ACCACACCAACGAGAAGCAAGATGCAGAGTTGAGGAGCTATCTCGAAAAGAACCTCGAGGTAGGACACATCAGACCATCGACATCTCCAGCGGGCTACCCAGTCCTCTTCGTCCCAAAGAAGGATGGAAGGCTCAGGATGTGTGTGGACTACCGGCAGTTGAACAACGAGACGGTGAAGAACCGCTACCCACTGCCACTGATCTCAAGGCTTCGAGATCAGCTGTCAGGAGCACAACACTTCACACGACTCGACCTTCCGACAGCGTACGCCCACATCCGCATCAAGGAAGGAGACGAATGGAAGACGGCTTTTCGGACACCCTACGGACACTACGAGTACCTCGTCATGCCGTTTGGGTTGACCAACGCACCAGCGACGTTTCAAGCCGCCATCGACCACGCGATTCGACATTGTCTCGACAAGTTTGCGGTCTGTTACCTGGATGACATTCTCATCTACTCCAAGACACTCGAGGAACACAAGGAACATGTGCAGCAGGTGCTGGACGCACTGCACGAGCACAAGCTGTCAGTCAACAAGGACAAGAGCGAGTTTCACGTCCAGAAGACAGTATTTCTGGGTTACGAGATCTCCCCAGGGTGGGTCAAGATCGAACCCGAGAAATTGGAAGCTGTCAGAACGTGGCCAACACCGACGAACGCCACAGAGGTCAGAGGATTTATCGGATTCGCCAATTTCGTCAGGATGTTCATCAAGAATTTCGGCGACATCGCGAGACCTCTACACGAACTCACAAAGAAGGATGCCACATTCCAGTGGAAGCAGGAGCACGAGCAGGCTTTCCAGCGGATCCGCGACGCGATTATCGCCGATCCGGTACTCATGCTGCCTGATCCAAGCACGCCATTCGAAGTCGAGGCTGATGCTTCGGACTTCGCGATCGGAGGACAACTCGGTCAGAGGGACAAGAACGGCAAGCTTCACCCAGTTGCGTTCTTCTCCAAGAAACTCGACGGACCAAAACTCAACTACCCGATCCACGACAAGGAGCTTCTCGCAATCATCGAAGCATTCCAGGAATGGAGACCATACCTCAGCGGCACGACACACGAAATTCAGGTGTACACGGACCACAAGAACTTACGATACTTCACCACCTCGAAGGTGATGAACGGACGACAGATACGATGGGCAGAATTCATGTCCGAATTCAACTTCACGATCAACTACAAGAAGGGCTCAGAAAACGCACGAGCAGATGCCCTGAGCAGAAGAGCAGATCATCACGACAACACATCTGAAGTCTCACCACCATTGCTACAACTACAGCCAGACGGATCGCTACGGCACGCTTCCCAACCGACTGAAGACTACGAGATCGCAGCACTTCAGCAACAGTCGGAAGATCCCGAAGACAAGCCTCTGCAACCGTTTGTAGAATGCTGTGCGACCTTCAGGGAACAACGACTGGAACGAGACTTCCAGGGAGTCATCGCGGACGACGAGCGCGATGCATGGCAAGAAGAGCCAGAATCCAAGATCGCAGGGTTGCGACTTGAAGGGACGAGACTCTGGTACCACGACAAGGCCTACGTCAGGCTTGGTGACCAAAAGGAGCTCATTCAAAAGATCCACGAGTCGAGACTCGGAGGACACATGGGAATCGGCAAGACAATTGCGAAAGTCAAACAGAACTACGACTTCCCAGGAATCAAGCAGACGGCAGAAGGGGTCCTGGCGGAATGCGACCTCTGCAAGCGAAGCAAACCAGGACGACACAAGCCGTACGGGCTACTACAGCCATTGCCAGTTGCAGAACGACCATGGAGTTCGGTGACGATGGACTTCATCACCAAACTGCCGACATCCAAGGACGCAGTAACGGGAGTGGAACACGACAGCATCCTCACGTTGGTGGACAGACTCACCAAGTGGAGCTACTTCCTCCCTTACAAAGAAACATGGTCAGCAGAACAACTCGCAGATGTGATCTACCGCAACATCACCTCGGTCCACGGATGGCCGGAGGAATGGATCACGGACAGAGACACCAAGTTCGCATCAAAGTTTTGGCAAGCTCTGATGACAAGATTGGGTACGAAGAGTAAGCTTTCAACCGCTTACCACCCACAGACGGATGGACAGACGGAACGACTCAACCAGGTCGTCGAACAATACCTACGGTTGTACGTCAATTTCCAGCAGGATGACTGGGTCGAGCTGCTGCCGACAGCGCAACTCGCCTACAACACCACCGTCACGGAGACCACCAAGGTTACGCCATTCTTCGCGAATTTCGGCTACGAAGCAGATTTGCGACAAGGGCCCGAGGTTTCGGTGCCCAGAGCGGCAGTCAAAGCCGACAAAATGAGCTCGCTGCACGCGATGCTCAAGGAAGAACTCGAATTCGTACGAACACGGATGAAGAAGTTCTACGACAGAAACAGGCTCGAGGGACCTCGCCTAGAGGAGGGGGGCAAAGTTTACCTCGTTTCTCGAAATCTTCGCACGAAGCGACCAAGCAGGAAACTCGATTTTCGCAAAATCGGACCGTTCAAGATCGACAAAAGGATTTCGGAGAACAACTACGCACTCGCGTTACCCTCGACAATGCGACTACGGACCAACGTTTTCCACATCTCGCTTCTGGAACCAGCGCCCAAGAACGCACGACTCGACAAGGACGCCGAGGCAGAAGACGAAGAGGAGGAATGGGACGTCGAGGAAGTCCTAGATTCACGCATTACGAAAGGACAGTTGGAGTATTTGGTCAAGTGGCTGGACTTCGGCCCAGAAGACAATTCATGGCAACCAGCTACAAATCTCAACTGCCCCGAGAAACTCCAGGAGTTCCACCAGAGGAATCCGGACCGACCAAAGGAAGCCCCACAGACAAGTCGACCCCGGCGAGGAAGGGGTCGTCCGAAGAAAAACTAAGCACTGTCAGCAAAGAAGCAAGGAGGGGAGTAAAGAAAACGAACTTGTGGATCCAAGAGGGATCGAACGGAGGAGGATCAGCATTCGAGGAGTTGACAGGCGGAGCGTCGGCAGCGGACGAGGGGGCCGGAACGGAGGATGCCTCTTCCCTTTCCAGCTCCGAAATGTCCCGCAGCTCGCGGGACATCGCCTGCTTCACCCGCTCCTCGAGGGAACGAGACTGACTCTCAAGACGAAGCAATTTGGCCAGGGTCTCTTGTTTCTCCCGGTCCAGTTGTTTTTTCTCCGAAATAAAAGACCGGACTACGACGGTCAGCACCACGCGGCCGTAAAAGGACAGGAGGAACGCACACGTCGCAGGATCGATACCCCAAACGTCGCACGACGAGCAGTTCGCCCGATTGCAAGGACCACAGCGTTTGGAGGAACCAGTCGCCGTGCAGTCAAGGCCTTTCTCAAGGCAACGAGAACACTTAGGCATAGGGATCCCGAGTACGGAGGAGTTGGTAGCAAGGCGGTGTCGACGCTGAGTACTGGTCGCGGTATCGCTTTTCCTTTTGTACACGCGCTTAGACATGACGACGAGTAACGAGCGAAGGGAGACGACTTACGGGAAGAGAGGATGTTGGCACTATTTCATGCAAGGCGGCTAAAAGCAAGGTCGTCGGGGCGCCGACCCAAGGAGGAGGGGCATCGTGTCACGGATTGAGACCAACTAAGGGCGCGGGCCGCCCCATGACCCATCCTTAAGGAACCAATGAGAGTAGGGCTCCCCGTGGCTCCGTGGGAGCCACAGAGAGCCAGGACGGGACGGACTAAAGGGGCCAATAGGAATGTGCTCCCTAGGGCCCACAAGGAGCCCGGCTCTGTGAGGCTCTGTGAGAGCCTCAGAGAGCCACTTACACTTAGATAGTATATAGTCACTCATTCTGGAGAGCTCTGGGAGTTCTCCAGTTAGCAATCACAACTACAGTTCGCTACAAGCTCGAGAGCCTACTGTTGAGACAAATCTTTGTTGTGCACCCTTTGGCTGCACCGAACCTAAGCACCCTTGAGAGAATACCTTCGACCGATACTGAACCCTAACAGGACGGGTCCAGAGACAGGTTCGTCACATTCTATAACTATCTATTTCTAAATATATTTAGATTCTATCGAAGCCCTCTCTAATAGCGGTATAAATATCGATCCTATAGTAAATATTCTCTAAAACTTTAAAGAGATATCTTAATAAAGACTACCTAAATAGATAGTTATTACTACTCTCCCTATAATATTAACTACTAATACTTCTATAGCTATAACTATAGTTAATCCTTCTATTAAAAGAAGGATACCTCTAGAGAGTAAGCTATAATTATTTCAATCTCTTAATAAACCTCTAATATTAACAATTTTAGCTACTATACTATAAGAAATTCGATAATACCAGAAGATTTATAACCTATTAATACTCTATAAGCTATTCGAAAGGGTTGTTTATAAAGTTAATATAGACTTTAAAACTAGTTTATACTTCCAGTTAATAGCTATCTATATACTATAGGAGATAGTAGAGATATATCTTATTAATCTATTTATAGATATATTAATATAATTATTTATATAATTACCTATTAATAATATTTAGTAATAAACCTTATATATATCTATAGTAAATAAGTTACTATTTAGAATAAGGATATCTATCTTATATAGGCTATCTACTATATAATAAGAGTATATATTAAGTTAATTACTATATATAATAGCTAGTAGCTATAGAAGAGGGTAGTTAGATTATAATATAGTTTATATATATTAAATTAACCTTTAATATTATTTTATACTTTCTATTTCTAAATTAATATAATTATATAAATAATTATATATAATATAAAGAAACTTATTAATATTATAATTAAATTAATATTATAAATAAAACTAAGTTATACCTAATCTTCTCATTCTTATAATTAACATTAATAAATATTAAAATCACTTTTAAGTCCAACCTACCTATAACCCAAAGTCGTTTAGGTCCAACCTACCTACAACCCAAAGTCGTTTAGGTCCAACCCACCCAAAACCCATTCATTCTAGGTCCAACCCACCCAAACCCGTTTTCCATTCGGGTCGGGTGGGTAGAACCCAAATAAAGCTTGGCGGACCTATAGGTACCCGTAGGTGGGTAATTCCCGGGCCTACACAAAGGTCCTCACCCACGTCGTCAGCAAGGCTCGGAACGCGCCGGATAATTATCACAAAATTAGGAGCCAAATCGAGGACATCCGCACTGTCCTAAGCCAGCTGCAGCTCTTCGTAATCGGAACATCCCGTGCCTCGAGGTCGAGAACGTCGCTCATCCTCGTGGACCAAGTCATCATTACACTCGCCGCTTGCGTCACGACATTTTCGGAACTCAATAGCTTTGCCCAGAGCCTCGAGTCCGAAGCTGACATGGGCATTCTGGATCGGCTTCGTTGGCTATCCAAAGAACAAGAGATCAAAGACGTTCTGCAAAGACTGGAGTCGCATAAGTCTTCGTTATCGCTGATGATGACCATCTTGTCCTGGTGTGTTGGGATTTTCTCGCTCCACCCCTATACCAATGCTTACATATATCACAGCCAAAAGCAGGACGACGCAGAAGACAAAGTGGACAGGCTGTGCGATTTGGTGCAGCAAGCCCTAGGCCGTTACGATTTCCTCAACCAAAGGCTCACTACGCTGGAGCTGCAAGGCCATGGAATCAACCCTAGCCCAACCACTCGGTATCACCCTACGCTTCCGCCGCTGTGCGCAACGAGGGACAATGGGGATCAGATTTCCGGAACAAAACGTCCTGGACCAACCGCGGAAATTCGGGTCTTCGCCTTCGAAGAGCTGCTGATGACCTCTCGCGCCTACCGAAACGCGTCTGGAGACGGCTCAGACTGTTTTTCCATCATGAGTTCGGCAGGCAGAACGGCATCCTGGTCAATGCTTTCGGGGCTCAGTCTATCAGAAATATCGCAGATCGCCATTCTGGCTATTCCCATATACGCTGGCGACATCAGCAACAACGAGTCGTACGAGTTTGAGCCCCCGGCGGTCGAGCCCACGTCGAATGTGGACACAGTACCCCCATCGCGGCCTCCTCCGCAAGAGGCCAAAAAGTCTACACCTCGACGGCTCTTGGGAAAGCTCACTGGGAGCTACCTGCAGCGATCACGCCCCAGGGTCGAGCTGCCTTTGATGATTTTCGGTGCGCCGTTATACGACGGTCTCAACCACGCCAACGTAGCAATTAGCCTGTCAGAGACCGACGACTGCGGGCCAATTTACGGCTATATCCCTATTGTCGTAGGAAAGACTGGGGTGTTTCTGAAAGAAAGTGGTATGTTGGCCTAAGCCTTCCTATAAGCCTCTTGAACAATACCGATCATCGCACTAGGCACCGACGCTGTCGATATCTTTACCCGGAATGGCAATCCAACGCGCATAATGCATCTCCAGTCGGTTTTTGACTCATACCCGTACGGCAAGGGCCACTCATGGATAGGTTACACCGTCTACGACGCTGCCGGGTTGCTGCTGCGATTCCTCAAGAGCCTCCCGGAGTCAGTCATACCACGAGCTAACTATGAAAGGTTCAGAACAACACTGGGATCCTTTGCAAACCCTAATTCTGCGCTAGACGAAGCACAGGAGAAGGAATGCGCCAGCAGAGCCCAAGAATTATGCGTGGCACTTCCAGCGGTTAACCGCGCCTTGCTATTCTACATTTTGGACCTCATGGACGTGTTTTCTTACCACTCAGATGTGAACGGAGTGACGGCTGAGCGGCTGGCCGCAACGTTTCAGCCATCACTGCTTTCCGGCCCACCGAACGTGATGGACGGGGAGGCGCATAACGCAGCTATTGAGGTTATCGCCTTGCTTATTAGACTCGCTTCGAGAGATCTGCTGCAATACACATGACTTGGCGCATGGGTGGAGAAGGGCTCGAGATACATGGTAGCTGCTCGAGGGGCATCGCGGTTATGTCAAGACAGTCCGGCGCTGGGACGTGGTGACCGGCGCGACCCGGCAGACGCTCGAGACGCATGGCACTTGTGACGGCGCCCGCCGTCGGGGTGCACACGACGGCAGCACCTGCCATTGAGTGCACGTGCCCCGAGTCGTGGCCTTTTTTGGAGTCGTGTGATGCGGGTAACCTATTGCAGAATTAATCGAGAAGTGGTGTGTTGACAAGGTACTGGGTAGGACCAAAATCAGGTTTGTGGTGCGTCTCACTGCAGAGAGCCCCTTGGTAGCGTATGGAGTGGGAGGTAAAAGTACATTGCAGAGCTCCCATGACCAAGAGAAGAAAGCGAGTGTGTATATACAAAAGAGACCCCAGAATGCTCCCGTAAGCAGTGCCAAGCAGTGCCTCGTGTTCTCAAGTGCTCAAGAGCTTACCAGCCACTGCCTGTGGCTGCCGTGACAGGGTGGATCGATTCTTTTGTCATGACTGAGCCTGGCTCAACCAGCTCACCCGGCTCACACCGATTGGCAGGTGAGCCGGAGCCATGCGCGCATGAGTGCTATATTCTAGGTACGTGTGTGTGGTTCCGCATGCTCTGGCCGCTTCAAGTCCAGGCTGGCTCATCCGACGTAGTTGGTCGCGCGAGCTAGGGCGAGCTACCTACGTACCTAGTATAGGGCCGCAGGTATGTCCGGACCAGTCAAAAAGCTCAGTGCGCCTACAGCCATCCACACGATCTTCATTTGGACATGCCCTTCTTCTGTTAATGGGTCGGGGCGGTATCTCCGATTACTACCTACCAGGTAATTATATCAGGTCGATTAGTTGCAGGACTTAACTAGGGTAAATAAATACCTTAAATAAGTAGGCCTAACTACTGTATATTATAGAGATTTCGGGGGCTTGCAGAGCTCGGGGAATATACAAGATGTATACTCCGAATTGCATCGGGACGTGGCTCTCTGAGGCTGTGCTGGAAAGCCTAGAAGCTGAAGCGGGAATCGGAGCAGCGGATGAAGTAATTGACAACCTGTGTAGCACCCCAATTGAGGAACAATGGCAGAGGGAGGCCAGCTCCATGCCCATCCTTCGATTTCAAAGCTATCATCACCTTCCTAAAGTTCTCCTAAGCATGATTCGACCAGGCACCCCTGATGTAGCACCAGAGTAATCCATCATTGCCTCTGCCCACGCTTCCATTCCAGCCGGAAATCGTAAAATTACAGCCCCTGCAGCCCCAGCCTGTACTCGTAGAGACCATTCTTCTGTGGCATTTAGGGCAACTGAGATTCTGAGACATGGTTGAGCTGTGGACGAGAGAATACCACGCTGGTACGGTTGTTGTGTATCGAGATAAAAAGTGCGATTGAACTGGGCCGATTTAGTCAACTTTAAAAGCTCTAGCGCGGAGGACGGAAGGGGGGCGGGGCCTAAGAATACGAACCGTGAATGGAACAGTCCTCGGCCAGCGAGACGAGTGTGTCAGACGATGTTGATTTGAGAGAGCTTTTAAGGATGAGATGGAGATGAAGGTGCGAGTGATAATGATGATGGAGGAAAGGAATTAGACTTGAGAGGCAGGATATCAATAGCTTTATAGCGAGGGTAGTTACGCTAGATGATAACAACGATATCAGGTCATGCCAACAAACACCAACAACGAAGGTCTCCCGAAACAGGTCGCAGAATCCGCACCCGGACCCGCCTCCTATCTCTGAGCTCTCATAGCCTTTTCGCCTGTTTCGCGACGAAAATAGGAACAGGTCGAAGCCACCAGCGTTAGAGCCGGCGGTTCCGAAACAGGACCTGGTGGCTGCGAGACGATGGAACTGGCGAAGACCAAGTCGGCCACGGATCCGTCCTAGACGGCGGCGATCCTTTGCCATGATACTACCTCTCCTTAGGCTTGGTCGCACCCGTGACGCGATGGCTGGCAGTCGCCGCGCCCGATGCGCCGTTTCATCATCGGGGGCCAGGTTATCGCCAGAGCCCACGAGGTGGGTTTGGGCGAGGCCAGGAAGGTTCGGGAAGATCGGTTGGTCAGAGAGGAAGAGTAGGAGGGCAAGGAGCGTCGGAGGTTGAGGCGTTAGGATCGACCCAACCAACCAAGCCACCGACTTAGCCAGAGTCGCCCAGGCCGCCGCCCAATACGTGCAAAAACATAGTCGGGATGAACCAACGGTCCAAGACCCAACTCGCAACACCCCATACCTGCTTGAGACTGTAGACAATTGTTGGCCGCCGTTCAGATTTCTGTCTCGGCCCTGTCAACACTCCCTTCCAAGTGCTTTCAACTTTGCGGCTACATGTACCGGGGACGGCCAGGGAAAATAAAGCCAGCTTGTGGGATGCAGTGGAACAAGGCTGGGTCAATTGCTTCGGAGTCTCAATTCTGCTATGGATGTGGATGCAGGAGGCATCTCGTATTCAAAATGTGGGTGGTTGTTTACCTCGGTCGGTAATCCTGGTCTGGGGTGGCCAGCGCACAGGCCACTACCTGGCAGGTATGGAGGTACAGAGCTACCAGGTATTACCTATCCAGGCTATCCCACACAGCTCTTGTTCGCTGCGTCCTCTGCGGCACGGTCGTTTGATGTCGGACTGAAGGGGTTGCCGCTTCCTTGCACAGGGAAGGATGTCCTTTTGCCTGCGCAGGACATCTTGGCTGATGCGATGGGGGCTGTGGCGCTCCATCTCCTCGAGTTCTCTTCCTAATCGCCGGGGGTCTCAGTTGTTGAGGGGGGGGGGGGGTGGGTTATCACGACCCCCGGCCATCTTGACGGGCCCGCGCTCACCCGGCTCACTCACCCGGCGGCTCACCCGGATTGGCGGGTGACCCGGAGCCATGCGCGCAAGAGTTTCATATTGCCAAGGCTAACTGTGCGTTGTAACGATCTGTAAACGACTTATCATCCTCAACATGAAGTCATGAACCCACCTCAACCCCAACGTCGCCTCCCCAAAATCGCAATGGGCCTGCACAAAACGGTTCCGGGTCATCGACGATGGGCCTCGGTTTTACTCTTCGGAAACCGTCAACCTGCATTGTCAACACATCCAATAGCCGAATCTCCGAGTTCCTGGAATCGGCGGAAGGGGAGCACGAGATCACCCCAACCCCACGGTCCCCACCTCCTCCGCCGCACATTCAGTCCGAGTCATCCACCACACTCCAGCCTGATCACTGCCAAATCGTTTTCAGACAATAGAGCTAAGACCATTGAGTCGGGCCTAATAATGGAACACAAACTTCAGTCCGTTAGCCTTCGGGATCAGCTCACAGCGCCATACCCGTGGACAGCCACCCCGCTCATCGTGGGCGCGCCGATGCGGGTCATGTCGGGCCCCGAGCTGGCCGTCGCTGTGTCCTGCGCCGGAGGGTTCGGTTTCATTGGCCCCGGCGAGAAACCCGAGAGCACGGCGGCGGACCTGGAGACGGCAAAGGCTTTGATCGCGTCTTCCGGCATCCCGCAGCACGGAACCACGCTCCCGGCTGGAGTGGGCTTCCAGATTTGGAATGGGAACCTCGACATCTCGGCCTCAACCGTCTCTCAGTACCGGCCTGCTGCGGTCTGGCTCTTCGCTCCTCGACACGGGCAGACGGACGTCGATGTCTGGACTCAGCGGCTGCGCGGGGAATCGCCAGAAACCAAGATTTGGCTGCAGATCGGGACGCTGCGCGAGGCGCTTGACGCCGTACGCAGCGCATCCCCACCCGACGTTCTCGTCGTTCAGGGTGCCGAGGCTAGCGGGCATGGCCGCGCTTCCGACGGCATCGGCTTTGTCACACTGCTACCGGAGATCGCCGACGCGACGCGGGAGTCGGGCATCCCGCTAATCGCAGCCGGCGGTGTCGCGGACGGACGGGGCGTCGTGGCAGCGTTGGGAGTTGGTGCTGCGGGCGTGGCCATGGGCACGCGCTTCCTCGCCTCGCAGGAAGCGCGCATCAAGAAGGGGTACCAGGACGAGGTGGTGAGGGCGACTGATGGCGGCGCAAACACGGTCAGGACTCACCTGTATAATCATCTGCGTGGCACCTTTGGTTGGCCGGAACAGTTCAGCCCGCGCACCATTGTCAATCGAAGCTGGGCTGAGAAGCAAGCCGGTACCGCGTTCGAAGACATCAAGAAGCGCCATGACGATGCCGTCAGCCAAGGAGATTCCGCATGGGGCCCCGATGGGTGGACTGCAACATATGCGGGCGCGAATGTCGGGCTGATCAGCGGCGTCGCTAGCGCCCGTGACATCGTGACGGGGACCAGGCGTGAAGCGGTGAATATCATTCAGACTTTGAGTGGTTTGTAGCGCTAGTCTCAAATCATACACGACCCCTTCCGGGGCCAATAGCCTACATGTTGTTACGGCATCGCCGCACCCGCTAAGGCCGCTTCCGCTAAGGCTGCTGGGGCATCATCCTCCTCCTCCTGATCCGTCCAGCCCCTTTCCGGGCCCCAACGGATCTCCTTGCCCATTTCCTCCGCGACCTGGATAAGACCCGCTACCATGGCGCCGCGTTTCTTGACGCCGGGTCCTCCGTCAAAGTGAACGCAGTCCAGGGATGACAGTTCCGTCAAAACATTGCGCAACAGATCTCTACAGAATCCCTCGTAGAATCCGTCAGCCCGGCGGTATCCCTCATAATAGCTCTCGCTGGGATCGATCTCGGCGAAGACAGTCAATTTATGCACATTAACGCAATCGCTGAGACCCAGCGCCGGATTCACTACCCAACCACGTGGCGGGTCCGTCCAACCCGGGCCGAGACGTAGTTCCAGCGAGCTGAGGGACCTACGCTGATGCGGCTTCAGACGCGCGAGCAGCGGTTTCTTGGTTTTGAAGTAACGCCCGCCCTGCGTGGGGAAGATCCGGAACGTGTTTATGCTGTAAAACACATGTGTTGCTTCTCGATGTATGGCTTTGCAAGTTTTGAGTATCGAAAGCTTTTTGCGGAGGTACTTGTGGTTCTGCGTGTTGAGGTCGACGACATCGTCGGCCGCCACGAAGTACGTGTACACTTCGATGCGCAGCTCCGCAGGCAGATCCAAGAATCGAAACGGCTCCCTCTTCTTCTTCTTGGGTGGAATTGGTGCCGGGGCTTCGGCCGCGTCAGGGTCGTCGATTGCCAGGCCATCCATCGAGATCTCGGGGACTTCATCGCCGGGGTTCAACGGGCCATCTGGACTTGGAAGGGTTGCAGGGGTTGAGCCTACGGGTGCCGGTGTAAGAGAAGGACTGCGGGCGGCTCTGTGTGGCCCCCCGTTGCCGTTGTGTTTTTGTTTCCCTTTCCCCTGCCCTTTCGCTTTCCCTTTCCCTTTCGCTTTCCCCTTTGCTTGGGGGTGTTTGGAGGGCATTGTGGTCGTTGTAATGAGGGGCGCGTGAAAATGTCGGGTGTCGTGATGTTACTAGTAGGTGTGCTGTTGTTCCGCCGGGCTAGGAACTTGTTTCGCCTCTACAGGTGCCTCGGAGGAGATCAGAAAACGCACTTGGGGTAAATTTGGTCAAGCAGGAGGAGGCGCGCAGACGTGAAGGTGATAGCTGCAGGCAGTCTCGGTATGCTCGGAGGGGAGGTAAAGTTCGGGGAGGGAGGGGTCCCATCGCAGGTACTAGGAATACACAGCAATTGAGCCACCCCCTAGAATGCATCTGCAGCAGGCATGGCTGGAAGTGTCGAGAAGAGAGGGAGTTTGGCGTTGAGGGGAGGTTTGAGATGCGAGAGACATGGAACCGAGATGTGCGCAGCCTCGGGAAAGATAGCCTGAGTAGTCGGCACAGGAACGATCGCGAGGAGCAAGGACACGCTGTGAAAATATTATTCGAGAAAGAGCCGAGAGACCGTGTAAAACTCCCAAACCGAGTTAGTTGCGACCTCGGGGTCTGGGTCTTGACGCAGGCGAACTCGGAGACACGCCACGGCTTGGGGAACTTCCAGATTTGGCGGGGCAAATGGGCGAATCAAAGTGGGGCGCTGGGTGGCTTGCTGATTTCGAGCCATGACGAAACTCGGTTCCACAAAGCTGGTCGCATTTGGTTAGCCTGATTGACTGAATGGTCCGTGCTCAGCGCAGGGCAGAAAAATCCACCAGGTCCTAAACAGCGCTGCGAGGCCGAGGGCGGATTTTTTGCAGGCTTGGAGCTGACCACCAGCGGCCCGGATGACGACTCCAGCTTCTCTAGCATCTTGAGCACCAAGGGCAGCCAATTGCACCTGGGTCATCCCCGAAACGGATAAATCGTTGGTTCCCCCTTTTAGCAGAGCCTACCGCACCTAAACGGGGCAACAGTCATGATGCTGTCGCGAGCTGCCGCGCGCCCGGCAGCAAGCCTCCGAGCGGCGACCCTCACAACCCCATCTGCGCTTCGGCCGCGGAGCCTACCTGCCATCTGGAGTCGGGGTATGGCAAAGAACAACAATTCGCAACCACCGCGATTCTCGAAATCACAAAACCCGGTCACACAAAAACCGTCACAACCACCACCTAGCAGCTCTACCTCCGCATCCGCTCCCAAACCGACTCCCGAACCTCCGAAGGAGCCCGCTCATCCACCCGCGGACGACCTTGCAGCGCCACAAGAGTCTGACCAACAGCCGATACCAGACTTGTCCAAGCTTCCCAACCTCACACAAGGCATCCCGTCCACGCTCGAATATGAAACCTCTGGCGCAGACAAGTCCGCGCTGGCTGCCATCGAAGAGGAGGGAGCCCCAAAAGTTGGTGGCGGAGGGGGTCGAGGCAAGGGTGAGCTACCCGCATCGGCGTATGTCTCTTCGACGGAGCGCCGCCGACAGAAGCTTGTGTTGTGGGCCCTCGCTTTCACCGGCCTGTCCGCCGTCGGTGGTGTGGCATACCTGGGCAGGGATTGGGACGAGGAGGAGCTGTCAAAGAACCCCGACGTGCCCAATGGCTGGAACGTTGGCCTTTGGTGGAAGCGCGCCATGGCCCGTATGGGCGATACCGTAACATACTACCAGGAACCAGCGTTCGAAAAGCTCCTCCCGGATCCCGACCCGTCCTTCGAGCGCCCCTACACACTGTGCATCAGTCTGGAGGACATGCTAGTACACAGCGAGTGGAGTCGAGACCACGGCTGGCGGGTGGCGAAACGCCCTGGTGTGGACTACTTCCTGCACTACCTCAGCCAGTACTACGAGATCGTCCTCTTCACCACCGTCCCGTTCGCCAATGGGGAGCCCCTGGTGCGCAAGCTTGACCCGTACCGTTTCATCATGTGGCCGCTATTCCGAGAAGCGACCAAGTACAAGGATGGTGAAATCATAAAGGTATGGTAATGCCGATCGATGCTGGCAACCGCGTTGCACCCGATCAAGACCCTGAATGCTAACCGTGGAACAGGATCTGTCATATCTCAACCGTGATCTGTCAAAGGTGATCGTCATCGACACCAACGCCAAGCACGTGCGCGAGCAGCCCGAAAATGCCATCATCCTGCCCAAGTGGACCGGTGACCCCAAGGACAAGGAGCTAGTGTCTTTGGTTCCGCTCCTCGAGTTCATCCACACAATGCAGTACGACGATGTGCGCAAAGTCATCAAGTCTTTCGACGGTCACCACATCCCCACCGAGTTTGCCCGCCGGGAGGCTCTTGCTCGCGCGGAGCACAACAAACGGGTCCAGGCCAAGTCTTCCCGCGGAGGCGGCATGAGCTGGCTCAGCAGCCATCTCGGCCTCAAGCCGAGTAACATGAGCCTCATGGTGGCACCCGAGGGCGAAGAGAACCCCCAAGAGGCATTCGCCAAGGGAAAGATGCTCCAAGATATCGCCCGTGAGCGCGGCATGCGGAACTATTTGATGCTCGAGGAGGAGATCCGCAAGAACGGCGAGAAGTGGCTCAAGGAGGAACAAGAAGCTATGGAAAAGGCTCAAAAGGAGGCCATGAAGAGCATGAAGACATCCTTCTTCGGCTGGTTCACCCCGCCCGAAGAACAAAAGGGGGGAGACCCTCAGGACGGCGAGACGAAGCGCGACTAACGGCGCGGGGCTTGACCCTGCCTCCCGCTATGTGTCAACAAACTCAAAACCCCACTTTTTCCCCCCAGGGGCACCCGGAGCACAAAGTTGTGTACAATATAGGTGGGAGCTGCAGAGGAGCGTAATCGCCCGGGAGACTAAACTTCTCGGCCTTGTACCATACACCTCATACAATGTTAAAATGTACAACATCCACACTGTCGGTGGACTCTCCAACAGGTCCACCGCCAGCCAGGGTCTCTTCCCAAATACCTACCTAGAGCTGTGCATCTACCCACCCGGCGAGCAACGGAACACACGGAAGTGCAAACACGTATCATAACACAGTTAAGTACACAGAAAATCTTTCTAGACGCAGCTTCCCTGCGGTTGTTTACAGCAACGTCGGACAGGCTAGTAGTCAGCGAGCAACCGTTCAACGGCCCGATTTCAGATCAGACTAAGGTGTCCCCAGCACCCACAACAAGAACTCGGCGAAGAAAAGGAACACTAGACAAACACCATCAGACCCGCTCGGTCTGGCCTACCAAACCACTGGCGCACAATTGAGAGTCAATATCTCCCGGAGGTCAAAGGGAGTCACCACGGAACCGAAGGCATTGAGTGTGTAAGGAGTCCGGTGTGTAAGAGTCCATCCTTGCTGTGTGCACTTCGACAACCGCCGCTCTCTGGGGGAAACGGTAGGATGAGTTGGACAAGGTATGGTCGGAAAACCTAGCGGAAGGAGAAAAAGGGCCCTCGCTACTGTTTTCCCCTGACTCGCGTCTGCCGCTTCTAGGCCACCTTCTGCATGGACCCTCACGGATGTCACCAAGTCATACCACGCATGGAGTTCCATGGGATGTCAAAAGCGGAAGACGGGAGGCTGTAGAATCCCTCCACCACTCGATACGCTGGCTCTGCCACTACGTTGAGCTGGTCATGGTCCAGGAATTCAATGGACATAGTACGGATACTTGCCTTGTCCTAGCCAAACACCCCGTTTCAACGGTTGTTGAGGACGGCTGGAGAGCAAACGGAATCACCCTTGGCCAAATTCCGATGGCGGCGTCATAGAAGGCCTTCGGTGAAGACATTCCGGAGAAATCGATTATGAGCTCGTCCAGCTTATATAGTCCCCCTTCTCCCCTCGCTCCTCTTAACCAACTCAATGCAGTGACAATTCAAGTGGTCCAAGTCTCTCCATTGCCTACCCTCAATTTCCCAGGCCATCAGTTATCAGACATAAATCTTGCATTCCGACCGAGCTCTACTCTCCAACATGCAGATCACTCGTCTTGTGGTTACCTTTGCCCTTGCCGTCAGCACTGCCAGCGCGCTGCCACGGGGCAATCCTGGGGGTGACTGCACCAATTCCCCGGCGGCGAGCGCGGACAACCTCGATGTGACTGGAGATACGCATCAGAAACGGTCGTTTGACGGCTCCATGCAGCCGTTCGTAAAAGTTGGTGTCTCTTCCAACGACCCGCATGGATCTTCCTCCGCCAGCCAGCCTATGCACCAAGATGCGATGAAGGAGAACGAGTCTTCGGGCGCTTCCCAGACAATGTCCATGGGCCACGAAGACAACAGAAATGGCCATCTCGCCGGCCCCAAAGGCTCCGATAAGCAACTCGAGGGGTTGATTCACATCACAAGGGCCCCTGAGTCTCAACGCAGTGCCCAGGGTTCGATCATCTCTTGCTCGAACAAAATGCCCGCTGTTCAACAAAATGCCATGGAAACCCTGCACCACGGTGCGGGTAAGGGGCTGATGGACTCGGAAAACAAGATCAACTTCGGCGTCAGGGCCCGTGGGCTTTTGAGAACCTTTGGCCAGGCTTGGAGCCGTATGCGAACCGAACCAGAACAACGCGAGCAGCAACAGGCAATGGCGGCCCGCCAGGACAGAAGCCAGCTGTCCATGTCCACAGACAAAACGGACGTGAACGGCCAGAGACAACAAGCCGCATCCTCGGTGACGCAGATCGATAAAGTTCGGGAAGAGAGGAACCACGAGGACTGCAACCAGAGGCCAGACAATGCCGCCGCAGACGTCCATGCCCAACAGCACAATCAGAACCAGAACCAGGCCCGGTCGCATACGGATGGATCTGGGGTCCACGCTGACGAAATGGAGCGGATGAACAGCCAGCAGAATGCAGGCCGGGAGCAGCATCAAGTACAAAAGGAGTCAAAGCAGATGGATAAGCAGGAAGCGGAGTGCTCACAGCAACAACAGCGGATGGAGCAGCAGCAGATGCAACCTCAGTCAGAAATGGCGGAGTGCTCCCGGTCCGCCATGGGTGATTCACGCCGGCAAGTTCGCCAGCAGCGCTGCAATAGCCCTGATGCTAACGACCATCTCAGGCAAAGCTCCCGCATCAATGAACAGGACAGAGAGCAAACCCATACCTAGAGCGGAGTCCTATCGTAGGTGTCGGCTTGGAATAGGGATTCTCGACGGTTCCAAGGATAGCGCGAGTGGGTTCGACAAACCCAGGAGAAAACATGTTGTTGGGTTGGAGGCTTGACTGCCAGATCTTGTGGTTCTTTCTGATCGGCCAAGTCGTAACCGGTGTCTTCATTTCTTGTCCGTCAGGACCGTCACGCGTTCCTGGACCTCCCGTGCCAGGCGGGCGCTAACTGGCGCGTGACACCTTTTGTGTTCTTAGCCGCCCTCGCGTTGCTTTACTTCTAGGACTGTTTGTTGTTGGTGACCAGTTTATAACAAGAGGCTTTCTCGATAAGGGCAGGTTTCAGCCATCCCTCCTGCGCAACGGTTCGGTGTAGGCCGGCGTGATGGTGCGATGGCTGACGTAGAACCGTCAAATGTAGTCATGGAACTATGTGTGATTTCTATACATGGGGTATTACATACTGATTAATACAGCAACGACTCCGCCCACTATCCCGGGCCGCCGCCGTTGACCACATCGACCCCCTTAACCGGCGTGTCGGGGCCGGCAAGCTTCCTCTGCGGTGTGCACAACCTGATCACTGACCTTTCCACAGCACTGTCCACGTTAAATCCAAGAGCCGACAGCACCGTCACAACAACAAGCAACAAGATGCCGATGACGACGATCAAATCCAAGATATGCACAAGCCACCACAAGTGCTGGGTCCCGAGCGGGCAGGTGGCGTACTCGGTCTTCCACTCCCAGCTGGCCTCGTCAAACCAGATGCTCAGCAGGCCGGCGTTGCCGCCGAAGCCACCCATCATGCTGCGGACCGTGACCTCCCGAACGCCGGGAAGCTCATCCTGGCCGACAATGCCGGCCCCGTTCGCCTGCCGCCATCGCTTCACCTCCCACGCGCGCTGATCCGACTCCGGGATGGACTGGTTGATGTAGTGCCACGTATCGCAGCCCTCGTGGTCATGCCCGTTGAGGATGATGCCCGGCCGGCCACGGCCGCGACCTGCCGCCTTGGCGTTGCCCGACATGCCCAGGATGCCCTCGAGGAACCCCTTGCTGGCGGCGCCGCTCAGCTGGTTCTGCTCCCTGAGACTGCCGTCGTGGTCGTGGAAGTCGAAGAAGGGGTCGTCGACGCAGACGCCCTCGGGTTTGTACAGCGGGATGTGGGTCAGGATGACGGTGAAGTGGCCCTCGAATTCGACGGCGGCGGCGGTGTTGATGACCTTGTTGATGAACGAGTACGTGTCGTCCTGCAGCTTGGTGGAGATGGCGGGGGTGTCGAGGTTCATGTCGTTCAGCACGATGATGCGCAGTTCGGGTACCAGGCGGCTAGAGCTACCGTCAGCCTCGAAGGTGGTCTCGGCGGCGGATGTGTTGGCTAGGGGCAGCTCGAAGCGGAGCTCGTAGTTGACCTTGCCAAACGCAGCCTCGAACCTCTCAGTCCTCTCGTCGTTGATGTCTCCCGCATAACCGATATCGTGGTTTCCAGCGACGTTGATGATGCGCCGAGTCCAGGCGGTCGATTCGTTGAAGGGTCCACCTCCGAGATGGCCGGCCAGATCATATTCTTCGGCCGGGTAAGCCGCCAGCTCATCCGGCACACGCTCCGCTCCACGGAAGACGCGGTCCCAGTAACGGCTGGCGCGGCGATAGAACTCGTTGTCGTCGACCCACTGGCTGCCCAACAGATCGCCGAGCACGGTTACGTGGGTCGGGCGTGACCACCAGTGTACCGTGCGGTAGATATGCGCGAGATATAAATCGTTGCCGACTAGGTCGATACGTTTGCGAAGCGATTCGAGCGCATCGAAGGTGTCCTCGAAGACGACGTCGACGAGCTCATGGAAGCTCTGCCGAATGCGCTGTCGCAACGACGAATGGTTCGACTTGAACGTCACATGCCGGAAGAGCCTCTTCGCGTGCGGGAAAACACCGAGGTAGTCGGTCGGAATGGACGTGTCGCCTTCGAGTTGGGGGTCGCCGAGCGCGAGAAGACGGAACGGCGCAAGTGGTCGCGACGGGACGAAGGCAGTCGAGTTCACCTTCTCAGCGGCTCCCGTGGCGGATTGCCAGTGTAGTTTGGCAGTCTCGAAGAATGCTGCTCGCCCGGTGTCGGCCGAGATGGAAGCACTGTTCTGGCCCGGCGGCAGCGGGAATGCGCATGTGCTGAAGACAGGGTAGAGGTAGAGATAAACGGTCAGTCCGATCGACACGGGAATTAAGATTCGCAGGGCATGGCGGAGGAGCGCCGTCGGGGTCAGACGCGTCATCAAGACAACAGCATCGGGCACTCGCTGCCCGATGCTTGTGCAATACAAGAATGCCAGAAAAAAATACAAAGAAAAGAAGCAAACGACTGGAGATGGTGCTGACGGTTGTCGGGTAATGGAAGTGAAACAAACCAAAAATGGAAATGTTGGAAAAGGGTCCCGCGTCTGAGGCGGGCTTGGCGCGACCCCTGGAGGCCGTCAGGGGCAGCCCGTCGAACCATGTGCTGAGATAGAGGGTTAGGGTACATGCGTACTCACGTCCTGTACCTCTGCAGGGATTCCACCGCTGTTCTCCGACGTTCTAGACCTTTCGTGCCTCATCAGCCCTGGCCGCTCCAACGACACCACAACCTCACAACCTACGCCACTCAGATCGCGACTTTGCCAACCACGAGGCAAAGCTTGCTTCTTTCTTGATATCTATCCGGGCTGCGTCCAACCAATCGGTGTGTGTTGCCGTATCCCCCTACTTTTCTCGACATCCACCTCGAGCAAATCCCGCCCAAGCTGGCCACCGAACCAAGGTAGAATGCAGTGACAGCACCAACCACCGTTGCCGATTCGGATGCTTGATTGTTCTCGCGCGTTTCCAAGTTCGTGTTGCCGAGTGCCCATCGAGGTCTAGTGCCGCATTATATTCGTCTTGTAAAAGGAATAAATCCGCTCACCACCAACGAGACCCTCTCACCATCCGAGCCCACTCTCTTGGCGATGCTGACAACCACACTTGGCATATCCACGGGGTCGCCCGCCAAGGGCCAAGAACGCCTGGCACGCTCGAAAAAGAGCTTGACCCGGCCTTTGCTGGCGTTCGCCAAGTTGTATGCAGCTCTTGGGCTGAGGGGCCATCGGCGCGGCGCGGGGGGTTGAACCCGGTGGACAATCAAGATGTAACAGATGATCGGAACCGTGCGTCTCGATCTGTTTTCTCCCGGGACTCTAATATGTCAGCAATGCCATTAGTAGATGATTTGAGACTAACCACCCATTTTTCTCGCCTTGTGTGTGTTGGCGGTGCCCCAAGTCCCACCGCTCAAACCCGGTCGATATGTACCCAAGTCCCAAGGCAGCCAAGATATAGAAACAGCTATTTGCGAACCCCCCACGGTGGAACCATAGGAGGCTACAATGACGCCATATGAACCAAGCTTTGTTTGAAACAATAGGAAGAGGATATCGGTAGTTGGTTGCCCACCTTAGGCCTGCCAAGTGTGGAGGCTGTTGTCGGCAAGACACGGAGTACCTTGTCCACGCTCCTGGGAGCAGCAAGAATGAAAGTTGCTAGACATGGCCGGCCAAGATCTCCAAGCCTTTATGTACCCACGGAATATGCCTGCCTGCCTGCTGAAAGTATGGCGTGCTGGACATTGCCGATGTTCTCATATGTGCCCAGAAACAAATCAGAACATCTCGCTCAAACGGGGTCATGATGAGGGCCGCTACAGCCAATTCCTGTAGCCGCGTGAGCAGTGAACTGCCCGGAGGTATAAGGGCGGCCGGAGATCCGGCATCTTTGAAGTCATGAGGTGCCTAGGTCGGCAGTCAATCCACGGCCGTTTCACACCCACTCAGTTGATTGTCTTTCACCCTTTGCCTACTATTTCCGCGGACCGCGGACCAAAGTCTCGGGGCCATTGCTAAGAGCCGACACAGTGTGGCATCCCGACAACATGTCCGGCTTCGACGTTAAATCGGCAGATCCGGGCCAGTATCCGCCACCCCGTGAGGATGAGGAGTCTCTTGCCCTGCAACGGGATTGGTCTCCCGAGGAGGAAGCCAAAGCCAAGCGGAAGTGTGTATAATCACCGACTATTCGCCTTTGGTTGTCACCGCTAACGAACCCCTCCCCTCGTGATAGGCTAGACTTCATTATTATGCCACTGTTGACCCTTGGCTTCTTCTGTTTACGTCGGTGCCAATCATTACCTGCCGCCAACCTCCCATACCCAGACCCCCCTTCACGTTGTAGCCCCTGAGGCTAACACACCCTCCGATGTAGAACTTGACCGTGGCAACATTGCCAACGCCATTACCGACCGCTTCATGCAAGATGTTGGGGTGACACAAAACGAATTTAACGTCGGGCAGCAGATGCTATCGCTGGGCATCGTGCTGTTTGAGATCCCGTCCAACATGATCCTGTACCGTGTCGGGCCCGGAAAGTGGCTCACGCTCCAGCTCTTTCTGTTCGGGACCGTCAGTACCTTCCAGGCTTTCCAAAATAGCTACGGATCATTCATCGCAACACGATTCCTGCTTGGAATTACCGAGTCAGGGTTCATTCCAGGCGGTCTATGGACGCTCTCTACATGGTATACCCGCAAGGAGACGGCAAAGCGCGTCATGTTCTTCTACTTTGGAAACCAATTCGGCCAGGCGTCATCTAAGCTGCTGGCGTATGGCATCTTGCACATGCGCGGCGTTGCAGACCGAGCCGGCTGGTTCTGGCTGTTCGTCATCATGGGTGGTTTCACCATCCTCAGCGGCTTCGTCCTCGGCTTTTGCTTGCCCGACTCATTCCGCAACCCGTCCCCGACCTTTCTTCCCCATTTCACATTCTTCACCAAGCGAGAGTTGCATATCTTGCAAACCCGCGTGCTGCTCGATGACCCCATGAAAGGAAAGAAGAAGAAGAACATCAATCTCGGTGCCTTCAAGCGTGCTTTCGCCGACTGGCGTCTGTGGTGTCATGTCCTGATCACCCTGTCCAATAATGGCCCGCAACGCGCCTTCGACACTTACTCGCCCTCTATCGTCAATAGCTTCGGCTTCGGTGCCCTGACTAGCAACGCCATGGCGTCTGTTGGTCTCTTCCTTCAGATTCCAGTTTCATTCACCTTCAGTTATGTTTCTGATCACTTGTATGCTTCTCCCTCACCCAATCACCCCAATACCTGTTCTGTTGGATAGCTGCTGACCTGACAAACCCCTAGCAACAAACGTGGTGAAACCGTCATAGCAGGATTCTGCTGCCACCTACTGGGCTATGTATTCAATCGCGTGTTTACCGAGCTCATTGGCCTCCGGGGCGTCCGTTATTTCGGTGTCGTCTGGACGCAGACCTTCGGCACCTTCTCGCACCCCCTCAACATCGCCTGGATGTCCCTCACCTGCGAGGACTCGGAAGTGCGCGCCCTAGCCATGGCAATGTACGTATCTTGCCTCTTCCATGCCAACGCATCTCAACAAAAGGGCTAACTCACTCCCCTCAGGGTCATCATGGGTGCCAACATCGCCGGCATCTACGGCGCGCAGATCTTCAGGCAGGACGACAGCCCGCTGTACCGGCGCGGTTTCACCATCAACATCGCCGTGCTGGCGGCCGGGCTGGCGCTCGCCATCGTGCGCTATGCCGATGATCTCATCCGCCGCCGCCGCAGCCGCAACCAGTTCCTGCAGGCCGAATCGGCTAGTGACGGGGGTCAGACCAAAGAGGACGAAGGCGCCCTCGCTGGACAGACCGAGCCGGGGACGGTGCAGTTCAAAGGCCCTGACAAGCAGGCTCTGCTGTGACGAAGAAAGTCACAGACTGCAACTAGTGGTGGAGGAGTTACTTGGTTGACCGATGCGTCACCCATTTTGAAGCCGTGGTGTTGATGGTGTGCTCCCGGCTGGTCTGGTAACTTCGTTTTGAAAGCCGAGCAATGCGAGGTTCTTGTCCCCCCCACCCCCCCCCTAGTGGGATCGCAGTTTCGGGATCGCAGTTTCGGGATCGCACTTCGTTGTATTTTCCACCACCCCGAGTGAACTACATAGAAAAAGGCCTCAACCTAGAGGCAATTAGAGATGAGGTCCGATCCCCCACGGACGACACCTTGAAACTAGTTCCGGAAATACAGAGCGCCGAGACCATGTGGCCCAAAAAACCAGCCGAGAGTATGTTGTTGCCTGTTGCTTCCATTTAGAGACCCCCGAACACCTCCCGCCGTTTCTAACTGAAATGCGTGAGACCCAGATATTATACCACATTGCCAAATCATCCTAGCTCCACAAAAAGCCGAGACAGATCCTAGACGAGAGGTGACCCAGCAAGCAAGCCGAGTTCATGCTGACCGAAAGGAAGAATCCATATACCGTGGTATCAATAGCGATTGGGGAAAAGGTGTATATAAAGACAAAGAAAAGGATGCCCTCATGGGCCGCTCACACCACCAGATCCGTCATGAAACACTAGGAGGGGCCACTGTCCTGAATGTGCGCTGCCCATTGCGTCGTCTTGGTTGACGTGGTCGACGACCCCGCCGGTGCCGACATCGCCCGGCCGTCCAGAGTTGAGCGTGAGGAGGGCGTTGGCGCTATACCGGTCCTGCGTGTCTTGGATCGCATTTGTCCAGTCTTGCCATGTATTGGTGGGGGGCGCGTTATGCGCCATTAATGGGGGTTGCGCGGGCCAGTTGTCTGTCGCCTGTCCCGCGACGTGTTGTGTTGCTTGGGAAGCGAAGGCGATCAGGGGATTTTGCGCCGCAGCCGCTTGCTCCATTGCCGCCGTCGCGTTCGATGCGGTTGCCGCTGCAGCGGCCGAGGCTGCTGCATAGAGATACTGTGCCCCATCGGGAGAGTCGACTGCCCCGGTATTGCTCTGGTTAGCGGCAACCCCACCGGCGGCCTGATCGCCGTAGCTGAGAGACGGGTAGGCGGCGGCGGTGGTGACGCTGGGTTCGTAATAGTTCCCGTTTGTGGTACCACCGTTCCGTTGCTCGGAGGCGGTAGTCGCGCCTACACCGCCGGGAACTAGTGCGTTGCTTGTTTGTTGTTTTGGTTTCACGGCTTGTTGGTATGATGGGGACTGCTGTTTGATGGGAATCTGGCCGGCTGGTGACCCGGACTTACGGCCCATGTCTTGCTCGATCCAGTTGATGGTTCGCTCAATGATGGCGCCTATCTCGGTTGCAAGACGATTGCCCGTGCCTGCTATTGCGTCAGTCATGGGCGAAAAGCCGCCGACGGGTACCATGGGTGCTTACCTAAAAGTCGACCTATTTCCCCGATGATGTTCAACCACAGTGACATGTCTTCACGAAGGGCGGCAACCTCAAAGGCGGTTATTTCGTAGCGCCGTTGCCAGTGTGCCACGAGTGTCGAGAAAATGGCACCAACGTAGACCGCCTGCTGGTACCAGGTTGTGTCCAATGACTTCAACTTGAACAGCGATCCAACCACCTTGAGAAGCTTCCGAGCCGTCTCCTCGCAGACCCTAGTGTTTTCGGCGACGATTTTGGCATCATCAGCCAGACAAACGGAGGGGTGCCTGAGACAGAGGGTGAATTCGAGACAGAATGCCTGGGTGTAGAGCGCGAAGATTTGGCTCGTGGGCTGGCATTTGTCCAGTCTCAGCTCGTCGGGCAGCTCATCCAAAAGGTTCCGCAACGCCTCTTCAAGTTGGCTGACCACTTGGACGTACTTGCTAGGGTCTCGCCGCACGCTGTAGATTTTGGAATACATCTCGATGTAAAGAGGGGTGATCTTGAAGCCTGTCAGGCCGACACTGTAGTTGCAATGGCCGATCTTGGAAGGATCCAATATCCCTTCCTCTCCAATGTACTCATCGTTGATAGCGAGAGGGAAGCCGACGTCAAACTCTTCCACCGAGATGGGCATCGGCCGGCCGAGTCGGCCGTTCAGGGTGCACAGGATGGCGACGGTAGCCCACCATATTCGCTTGCGCACTTCGTTATCTATTGTTGTCCCGCCACCTGGTATCTTGACAGCTCTGTGAAGATTCATCTCGATGGCTTTCCCAAACGCGTAGCTGGCGACGGCCAGAGAGCACTCGGGCTTGGGGAAGTTCCGAGTATGCGATGCAATCATGGCCAGGGCCTGGACAGACGTCACCGCATGAGAAGTGGCGAGGTCAAAAAACTTGTTCAAGCTCCAGTGGTAATGCTTGTTGGACAGTTCGTTGAGTTGGGCATGCTTCTCGGGCTCCTCCTGGTTCCTAACGCCGTATTGAAAATAAATTGTGGCGAAAACCATGTGCACGACGACCAGCTCCGGCACTGTCGGCTTGAAGGTTGGGTCGTCATAAATACGTGTCAACTGCGGCGGGGATCAGTAACGGCCCTAACCACGTCGGGGGCAGTGGGTGACTTACAAGCTGGATAAAAGAGGGTTTGTGCAGGATTGGAAGGAATGGCCAGACCATGAGGAAATACCACTCGGCATATGTGAACGCATCATTCCTCGAGGGCAGCTCGACATTGCTCTGCGGGGGGTTGATGTTGAGGCAGGATTGGAGCAGGGCCATGACGGATTTGTTGTAAAGCGGCGAGCCGATGGGGGCTCCGGGAGGAGGCTCATCGATGTCCGGGGCGTCAAAACATGTCAGGTCAATCGTGGTCCCGAGGATGGATAAGGTGGTTCCCTTGATGGAGCTGAGAGGTGCGCTGTCCGAGGACACACCCAAGTAGCTGTCTTTCGGCCTGGACGCGAGCATCGACCATGGCGTATGGGTGCTGCCGCTGTTGGATGGCGGCTTCTGTTGACTGTTCTTCACCCATACCAAGCCGACCTGCTGCCATTGGTCCTTGAAAGACGGGTCGGGAACGCCAAGGTGGTCGCGGGGAATATCTGGGGGATACGTGGTCGTGTACCCGGGAAACTGCCACGGCCTTACTTCGACGCCGTTGTTCTCCAGGAGCTTTTCGAGCTCGCGGATATGGACGAGCATGGCACCCTTCTCGCGCTCGAGTTGTTGGAGATAGCCCCTCCGCTCGGTGCGGCCCGTGACGCGGTCGGTCACGTAACACTCGAGATTCTGGGTGGCGCAATGCGAGCAGCCTTCGGCGAGGGCGTCGCAACGGATTTTGCGGACCTGCGGGCAACAAGGTGAACGGTCAGCGACCCGAACCCATCAGACGGACACCCCGGATTTTCGGCCACCATGCACTCACCTTACACCGATCGCACGCCTGCCCGGTGCGCGTGTACGACTGCAGCTTGCTCTTCACGACATTGGAAAACTCCTCGGGTCCGCGCTCGAGACGCGCCAGTTTCACCTTGGGCACCGAGGCAGCATCGGCTGGCCCATCGCCGGCGTCGCTGGGTCGCTTGGGTGGGCGGGCTTGAGGCATGGTGTATTGTATGTTTCGGCGACCGGCAGGTCCCGGTACTTGGGCGTGATGCTGTGCCGCGCCAACTCGGGGCGGCGTGGCGTCGGTGGGGGAGACCCTTCAATTGTCGATGCTGTGTTGGACGGCGCACAATGCGGAAACGCGTGCAAAACCTGGGGGAACCGCCCGCGCCTCAGGTTGGTTGGCCGGGTCGAGAATTCGGGTGCTGGACGGGTTTTGCCGATGGCAGACCGGTGGGAGAAATGGAGATTGCCGCGTCCCCAGATCCAGATGTTCAGGGGCGGCACCTGGCCCTGTTGCCAAGGGAATCTGCTAATTGGGTGCACCGCGTCCAGAATGCCGGGTTTTCTGGCCCGACCCAGCATGGACACATGGACTGCAGCACCACCTCACTCGAGGTCTGGGCGGGCTCCATCCGTCAATTTTTACCCCGGCACCTTAACTCACTCGTGAGCCCGGTAACTACTCGTGGCGAAAAGCTCGACATGCGTCGCGGCACGACATCGCGAAAAAGCAGTGTGGTTCGCAGTCGCTTCAGCGCAGGCTGTCAGGGAAGGGAGAGGCTTGGGTAGTTCAACCTCTGCGCCATCGCGATCGCAAGCCGCAGGCTACCATCCCCTTGTGGCTCGCAGGGTTCTTATTTGCGATCGGATGCTTGGGGACAATCCCGTCTCATCTCTTTCGGCCCGCTGATCGGATGACAGATTTCGCAAAACCATTCCGCAGGTTGGGTTAGGGTTAACTGCAGCCTTGGCAGTCGCGGTGCGTCAACCCCGCGCTGCCCCTCCAAGTCGGCTCGAAATGCCCGTCGAAATGCACTCCTCAAACGCTGCGTGTCTTAACTCCCTACCGATTGAATTTACATTTGAAACCCGAATTCACGTAATACCCACTACAATCGAAGAGACCTGCCTGAAAACGCCGAAATCTCCCGAACAAAGCAGAAACAATGGCTCTTGAAAAGCTCAATCTTGAACACATCCCTCCAACTTGTCAGATTTACGCTGCCTTTTTTCGGGACGTCTCAAATTGCGAGTTTCTCCATACGCAACTACTCTCTCGGAATAGCGAGTTTGAGTATGCCTTCATCGATGCTTCATCCGTCATCTCCAGGCTCCACCTACTTGCCGCTGTCTACAGCGCTGCCAATATGTTGCTGGACGGGACGCTGCGGACACCCAATGTTCACTCGGAAATCGTGGTGTCCTTGAACACAAACAATAACGTACATACTTTCTCTTCCCTTTCAATCACCACGCCCATGAGGACCGAGGTCGTACTAACTTTGCACAGATCGCAGACGCGTACCGAAGGTGGGGCATCACTCCCGGCAAGACAAAAGACCTGATCGTGGTCAAAGTCGTACTGTCGTCATCGACCGCGCAAGTAGAAGCCTCGACGCAAGCACAAACACAAGAAGCCATCTGGGACCACATACAGCAACACGTGAAGGGAACCCCAACCCCCTTAACGGATGCCGAGCTTGCCCAAACGACCGAGTGGCCAAAGGTGCGCAAATACTACAGGCTCAACGGGGTTCCGTCGCTGGAGCGTCTTGCGGATGAACAAGAACAACGACAACAGAGCGAGAGTCTTGCCATTATGGGGATGGCATTGCGAGGGCTTTGATGGGAGGAATGATTTGCTGGGTTCGTTACCGCACCCTGAACGCTGTCTGCAGCAGACGCTCAACCAACGGCAAACCCCGCAAGAAAGGGGGGGCAAATCGGGGCCAGGACGCAACAGAATACCCTCGTGGAGCCACAATTTCGTTTCCTTGGCCACAACGGTTTCGTGAGAAGACTGTTTGGAAGTGAAAGTGGCTCTCGGCGACAAGAGCAAGGTTGCAATAACCGGGCGCCGGATAGTCCATACAATCGTCGCATAAACCTTCCTGTTTCTTTGGAGAGGAGTTCTGGCTACTCCTAGCAAGGGTCACCCTCCGACAAAAAGAAATACAGGCTCAAACCAACGAGCCAGAGCCGCTCCCTCGAGCCCCTGCACAACCATTTATCAGACGATCAGAAAACAGTGGGGGATGGCGCGAGAGATCAGTATTGTGGGAATACGTTTTATAGCAGCCGTCTACCAGTCAGCTTCGCTCCCCTCTAAACTAGAAAGTCGTCCGCAGATACATGCTGCGGGGTCATGATGGCATCAAAAAACCGATAAAAATGCAGTGCGCCCCAAACTCCCGCCCTTCCTATGCCCCGACTACATATGAGATGCCAGCAAAAAGCCCCACCTACGCCGACAGCCCAAAAAGGCTCTTCACCCTCCGAAATAGCTCGACCCGCATGGCATCCCGCCCCGCCCGGGTCCGCTGCACCGCATCCCGGTTCTCGTGCGCCCTCCGCAGCAAATACTTCATACACTCGCCCGTCGAGCCCCAGACGAGGTACTTGTAGGCGCGCGGCGCCCTGTTGGCGGCGCGGGTTGTCACCAGCTCGCAGCTGACCTCGTCCGCCATCCCCTGGAGCTGGGCAAACGCCACGTCCACGTCCGTGTTGATCTCGGAGAGGACCTTGCGCGCCTTGACCACCGACTCCCGGTTGTGCGTGGCCACGACCACGCTCACGTTGGGAAACGCGGCGGTCCCGCCCTTCTCACCCCGCGGTGGCTCGAGACCCGCGCTCCACTTGCCCCGCAGCAACGCCTCGGAGATGCCGTCGTAAGCCGCGTCCGTGTCGGCCTTGGTGTTGTGGATGAGGTGGCGGGGGTCGGAACCCAAATAGGCGCCACGGACCAGCTTGACGCCGAGGGTAAAGCCACCCTGGCTGGCGGCGGCGAGGTGCCGGCCGATCGTCGACGGCGTCGACTTGAGATACGCCTGGTATGTGCCATAGACAACGGCGTTCTGCCCCGTGTTGTACTTTCGCATGTACGCGAGGGACCAGTCATCGATGCCCGGCTGGAGGGCCTGCTGCTCTGCGTCAAAGAGCAGGCGCACACCGCGTGATGCAGCGAGCTGGCAGATGCTGTCAATGGCCGAGGCCAAGGCCTCGGAAGGCTGCAGGCGCTGAGAGAGGGCGTGAAGCGCCTGGCGGCCGGCGCCGGTGAACTTGAGCGCGACGAAGTCGCCCGGCGAGGCAAGGCGTACCGTCTCCATGGTGCCATTGGCCCAGGGGGTGATCTCGGTTCGTACACAGTCTTCGGCAACAGCGCCAGTGCTGCATGAGGCGAGATCCTTCATCTGTGCTTCGGTGAGCACGACCTCCTTGGCGTAACCCAGAATGACGCCGCTTAGGCCGATCGCTTTCAGCGATTCGATCGTCCGTCGTACTTCCAGCGGGTTCTCGCCCGCGCAGAATTGGGCATAGAATGTTTTTTTCAGGAAGAAGCGGAGAAGGGGGTTTCTGTCTGGGTTGAGAACCGCAACAGAGGTGTTCGCCAGGACGGACATCATGGCTAGGGACGGCGGGAGCAGGAGCGGGGATGACGAAACGGTCGTCGTCATGAGAGACCGGAGAATATTGGTTAATGGCAGCACACCCAACGGCGCCGGCTGAGGCATCTTTGTTGGATGATGCTCAGGCGTGGGGGATGACAAGTCGACAGGGACTGGAGCGCCTAGCGTTGAATGCACGGAAGGTGATGAATTGCTGGAAGATGAGTGTAAAGGCCGTGATGATGTGGGTGTTGATTTTCTGGTGATGTGAGAGTTCCGACGTGTTTGTGGCAAGCAATCTTGACCAGACGGAGAAGCGATTGCTGTGGCGGGGATGGCTGTAACGATCGGTCTTGCCCTCGTCATGCTACCTGGCGGAAGGATGCCGGCAGGTAGCGATCTGGGGAGGGGCGCCATGGCAAAGTGATACCGTGATGCTTCCTGGTAATCGTTTCACTGTAGGAAACCCGAATGGCGGAGGGTGGAGGGGACGGCCAAAAGATATGATAGAATCCAATGAACAACTTCGGTGGGGGTTAGGCGAGGGGTATCGAAGGATGGACGCTGCATCAATGGGGTTGCCCTGGGTTTCCATTGATGAGACGAACTGTGAAGATATAATCGGCGAACAACCCGCTTCTCGGTTCTCCTCCCACCGGTATCGCAGACCATTCATCCCCGAAACGCACCGAAACGCACCATAACCCACCAATCCCGGGGCCATTACGGGACAAGATGAGAATCTTCATTGGCGTCGCAATGTGCCGTTGTCGTGGCGCGCGATGCGCCGATGATGTTATCGCTGGTCTCCTCTCAGAAAACCGCAGATAGCCGCACATGTGGGGTGTTCACTCTCTCCCGGCACCGCAATCCGGCCCACATTAAGCGTCCAGAGCACAAAGAGCCACTGAAGCGGGGCCCTGCCAAGCAGCCGAGTGCAGCGCAAAAGCGGCTTTGGGTGTTTGGGGAGGATAAAACTCGGGGCCCACTCGCAGTGTCAAACCAGGTCAGGTGAACTCCACGCCCGGCTTAAGGACGCCGGGAGATCTCAGCGATACTTCGAAGCAACCAAATCCTCGCTTCGGACGATCGACCAGGGATTGAGCGCGGTTGATATCGGCGTCCATATGGTGATTGATATGCCAGAAGGGTCAGCTGACCGCTATCGGCGTTGAGGGGGCGTGGGGGTTGCCGTCATCTGGGCCAGGACGCCGGGCAAAGCGGAGCGAATCTCGGTCCGTCGAGTCGGGCCGTAGCCAAAACTTGCCGACCAGTCCGGCAGAGCAGATTAACTCGCGGCAGGATAAGTGTGTTCCTTATGGTGTTCTCGGTTCCTTTCTTTGCGATGCGCCCAGCTGCCGCTTGACCCAGTCGACGTATCCGATGGGGCGACCCCTCACCACACCCAAGGCATCCTGGAGCCCTCCGTAGACAAACCCAGCGGCAAGGGCGGCTTTTGTCGTCCGAGCGGTCATTGGCAAAGAGAAACGATCTGCAATGCAGTCGTGGTATTAGCAGCCATTAGACAACATGTCGCAAGAAGATGTAAAGGAGCCATACTCCAAAGACTAAAGCCCCCTGCCACAGTGACGCACGATGTCACCGTGTTAAAGATGTCAGCGGTTCCGCGGTACGAGTCGAACATTTGCTCGATTGCGAACATGGCCGTCGTCCAGAAGGACACTTTGAACCCCATCCTGAAACCCTCGCGGATTCCGCCATATGCCATGTGGTAATTCTTGCTCTTGTGGTAGAGGAACCAGCCCGTTGTGCTAGTCGGCAGCTTGTGCGCGTGCTCTGCTCGAAACTGCAGACCTGCCATCTTGCCGCCTTGTGCCGTTCCCAGGGTGAATCCAGCAAAGAACGACAGGGACGAGGCCATTGGAAGTCTCAGTGGGGCGGGTAGGGAGAGGCGAGCGTTGTGGTACAGCTCGTCGATTTCGGCACGAGACGGAGGGGGCGGCAGTTCGCGCATCCGCGAGGGTGCCTTGTCGTCTGTAGCAGCCATTGTCGGTACAATTGAAGGATTGGCCCGGTCTTAGCAAGACGAAATGTGTGTGAAATCGGATCAGTTGGCGGTTCGACAGAGCTGTGTTATCTGGAGTGCGTCGCGCCAGCGTGCGTGGACTTTTTTGTACCTCAAGTTGATCAGATGCAGCGCGTGAAAATGCTTCCCAAGAATTGAAGCTTCAAGATGGATGGTGGTCCAAGCTCCCCCCCCAGCTCAAATACATAGCGGGTTGGGGTCGGGCCACTGACGAAATGCCCCTCCATCCGGCACTTGGCAGGGCGAGCCGACCGCCGCTGACACTGCTCAAGCTCTCAACATCTCGGCACCGTCGAACGCCTCCCCTCAATTCTAAAAACAACGAGAAGCACGGCGGATATCCAGCATGGTATGACTCCTCGCCTACTCCCCGCTGTCCAAGAAGTCATCTGGCCGATTTGCACGCCCCACTAACGAAACCCTCTCTCAGCCGAGCAAAGCAAACAGCGTGGACGATCCTGAAGTCACGATCCGCCTGAAATATGGCATCCATACCGTTTTTATCTCCGCGATGCTCGACTGGCCCTTCTCCCGACTCACCGCCGAGCTTCTCTCCATCCTCCGCGAGCGCTACCCAAACGGGTTAACCACTTCGATCGGCCCGCCCCAATTAGTCGCCGTTCCCGCAAGCGACAGCGACGTCAAGGTTGCTTACGCCCTCCCCAAAAACCCCGGCGACTTGACCCAGGGATGGAAAACCATCAACGCACGAGAGACCGACATTCTTGGCAAAAAGGGTGTGACTGACATGAGCTCCGTCGCCTTTGCGTTCCTGGAGACCGACGCGAACGAGACCCAGGCTGTTTTTGCGGTGGAGGTCCCAACTCTCGACGAAGAGGCTGCTCTCGGGGAAGAGGAGGATTTAGGGGACTCGGAAATCTCGTGAAGACCTTGAATGGCTCGTGCCTCCGCTTTCGCGCTAGCACTTCACGGATATGTGGGATACGGGGTACATGGGATCTAGGCGTTGAGGATGGCAATACCCGGGGAACAAGTTTTCTGTTGGATGACTAAAAGGCGCTCTACAATGCGTGGTCGAGGAGTGGTCTTCGGCTGTTGAGAGATCGTTGGACTGGAACCCGTAAAAGTGTCACAGAAACACGACTTGAGTTACCAAGCTACCCAGTTCTTGGCCGCTGCGCATTCGTCGATTTGCAGGAGAAATCTTGGCCTCACGTCTCGCGTTCCGTGTGCTTGGCCTCGACTGGGAGGCACGTAGTCCGCTACCTCTAGTGACAGGTATCTCGCAACGAATGTGACGTCCAATCTGGTTCCTATATCCCCGGTTCGCTTGAATTGCACACTAGGTGTAATTGTCTATGCATGCTATTTGATGTGACATTCGAGTTTCGATGACTCGGAACATTCCAGAGGTTTAGGTTATTAGTCAATGGTAGGGCAACGCGATCAAACATTGCCTCGTGGTTATTTTGTGAACCGTCAAGTTCCATAATAGTATCTTAGGATCTTGATGTGGCACCTTCTACACAAAGGTTGTGTAGTGTAGTGGTTATCACTCTGGATTTTGATTTCTATCAACCCTTCCAGTAACCCCGGTTCGAACCCGGGCACGACCTCATTTTTGCCTAATCGGGACATTCCAACAACCATTCTGCCAAGAATGTGCGCATCCTGCTGTGTTAAGCCCTTAACTGCTACATTGATTAAATGTGAGTAAAACGCCCTTTTGCATCGAGAAACGTCTTTGGCAAAACAGGTCGTTGTGGCCCATACCTAACCGAGTCTCAAGTAAACTATGTCTAGCTGGTTCCATTCTTCTTTGCTCCTGACTTTGCCACCGCCGAACGACAGCTAATACAGATCTTCCTAGTCCCAGACCCCTTACTTAAATAACATATGCTCCTGTCCTGGACTAAAGCGGCCCAGAAATGGAAAAGAAAGGGGATACAGCAATGCAAACAGAATAAATGAAACGCGACCCGCAACTCGGTGCGCGTGTCGCCGAGTTTGAGGCATCAACGACGGTTGGAACTCCTTGTCCCCCACAGGACCGCCTCAGTTGTCCCTATCAGAGTTTCAGGTTCTTGTCGTCCCGGTGTGTGACGGTAAGGTCTTGGATGCCCACCCCAGCTGCTGGTTGCCACCGTCAAAGACGACAAAAGCAGCCTTGAGAGCGACATCTCCATAAATGGAAAACCCAATTCCTGTATCCGGCTGGATGCCCCCAAAGCAGGTTGTCCCGCCCGAGGTCGTTGGGGCGAATTGCATGTAATCACCAGGCACAGTGATCATGGCGCCCTTGTCTCCAATTCCGAAGGCAAAATCAGGTACTGGTCCGTTACACGGGAGTGTATATCCTCCCTGCATAATGTCGTACGTTGCGCCGCTGACTTGTTCGTAGTAGGCCGAGACCACGGAGCTGGGCAGAAGAAGTAGGGACGCACCCGTGTCCGCAATGCCCTGAAACGTGGTATTCTCGAATCCCCCCGACCCAACCGCATACCCCGATGATGTCCAGGCCCAAAATCCTCCACTGTTGTCCACCGGCGCGTACGTGATGTTCCCAGTATAAGCGTCCGGGTCGATATATCCGAAAGTGAAATGGCCAGCTGCAGGTATCATAATGTCAGTCTGCAAGCTTCGTAGAAGGAGAGTGAATGGCACGTAGGAACCCACGAGCGCTGGCTTTGAGGTCAGCCGTAAAGAGAGGAGAAGCAAGGCTGGCCTTGGCATTGTCGAAGAAGGTCTTCTGCGCCTCCGGCTCGACCGTGTTGATGGAGCTAAACCCCAGGCCGAGCAAGCCGTCGTTATTGGGGTCGGAGGTGAATTCGTCCGAAACCCGCGTTGCAACTTCCACCGCCTGAGATGGGACGGCTAGGCCGCCAATCGTGACTGTGTCGCTATAAACGGTGCCGCCGGAATAGCTGCCATCTCCGTAAGAGATCTGCCACGTGTAGCCTTGAAGCTTCTCAGCCGTGCTGCTCTTATTCGGATTGTAGACCGTCTGTCCTTCAACATCGCTGTTTTTGGTCTCGGAGCTGAAGACCCAGAGGTCACTGGATCCCGTGTCGAAGTCAAGGTTTAAGACTTGCTCGGGGGTGCCGATAGAAACCGGCGTCAAGTACTCAACATCGTGTCCCTCTGGATTCGTCTCGACACTGCCATTCGACCGTTTCCCCGGCTGGTTTCCGATTCGGTTGACGGCCGCCTTGAGATCGTCCGGAAGAGAGGTGTGGTATTTGTGATAGATCTTGGCCAGCTGGGCCGGGCCGTTACGGACAAAGTTGAGGTTCCGCACTTGTTTTAATGAAAAGGTACCGGGGCGGTCGGTAACGAAGGTGGGTGAGGAGGGCGGCAAGAGTCTTGCAAGGACACAGACCGCAGAGGTGACCGCAACGAGAGCTGGGACGAATCGCATTTTGTGCGATAAATGCTTCGATGGAGCAGCAGTCCGTGATATGGGATTCTCAAAGGCAGGAGTTTTCTTAGAACGCAATTCAGTTTGAAACTTGAGATTACGGAACGAAGGATACGGGTCTCGACAGGTGCAGCATAAGAAACTGAGCTTGCACGGCGAGTTTGGAAAATGCATGCGGCAGCTGCGGGCGATTAGATCGCGGCAAGCGGGCAGGTATGAACAGTTTGGTCGACTGATGACCTTCCTTGTAATTCAGCCATGGCAAGAACGAACAACACTTTTTGGGTAACAACCTTGGGTTCGAGAGCAGAGGGAGGAACCAATCCCACCTATGCCTGAACTTTACCAATGAAGCATTACCGTAGGTATTACCTACCTATTCAGTTTATTCCTCTTTGAACCATCGGGCCTGGTGTATATTAGTTGAAGTCACAGCCGCTTCAAGTTCCCAGCCACGAAAAGGAAACGGTCGCCGTTACCCTTCATAGAGGTTACGCTATGAGACTCTGGCCGAAGCACACGGAGTCATTAGAGAACTAGGTAGGCACCTACCTACCTAACTGGAACCGCTCAAGGCTACCAGGAACCACCAGTCTGGACATATATTATAGTATACCAGGTCGTTTCAGGGGGCTAATACAGTAACATATCATGAACAACGTTGCCTGGAATGAGACGTCCTCCCACTTGGTAATAGCTCACGATTACCTCTCTTATTCCCAGTACTTTGAGTTCCCAGGCCGAGCCCGAAATCACCCCAACTACACTTGAATTCCTTCATGAATACCGGCGGCTGCTGTACACATTCATGGTATACACCCTTCAAAGCTCTCTTGAGTTTTGACTGCTAGGCTCTGCCGTCATCACGCTGTATTGCCGCGTCCTATCCCACTTGAGCGCAAGGCCTGAGTGCTTAGCGACCCTCGCTAGCCTTGAGTCCTTGGCATGGATGCCCCAATATGAATCTTTGAGATCCGTCAAACCCGCCAGTTCGCTATGTATTACTATGTTTTCTCAACAGCAGAAGGAATCGTATGATCAATAGAGCAGTGCCGGCGTGCAGTGCAGCCGAGGCAACCCTTCCGGGAGCCGGTACATCTGTACTCCACCCGGAACGGCGTCTCGCGAGCGGGCTGTTGCAGAATTGGCAGGAGACAAGCTTTTTGCGGCTTGGCGGCACCGGGCCGATGTTGGGCGAGAATGCTCGAATCAACTTGAAGTCCTCGAGTCGCTGCCAGCCAGCAGCCTCAGGATGCCGTGGGATCTCGTAATTGCCACTTGAGCTTCACAGCCGAACACCTTGACACACTCGACAAGGAGACTCGCCTGTTCCGCCAGATGATTGGCCCTCTCGACCAGTCTTTGCCCTTGCCTGGATTGGCAGGTGGTCGAGTGTTGGTGCCGTTGCTCCTGTGTAGGATAACCGGGAATAAGGGACACCTGCCACACCGAACCCTTCACCCGACCGCCGAAGACACACGCATACGAGCTCCTTCCTCAATCCTGCCTGCCAGCTGGTACCGCCCATCAGGTGCGAGGGCAGCGAGGCAGAGGGAAGGTGCAAGAACAGAGGACCGAAGCACGAAGGAAGGCGTCCTGTGTACCTACTATATATAAAGGCGGGTAAAGAGTTGCCCGGAAACGAAGTTCATAATTTCCTCGGCCCGGGCTGAGATCCAAGTCAAAGCGAGTTGAGTTCCCTGGGGTTCTCTCTGGGTGTTACCCCTTGCTTGATCGTTCACCAGGCCCCCCACATTTGTGACGGTTTGCGGCACGGGCCCGAGACATGTGAAGTCGTCCTCAGATTGGAAAAGGTTGGAACTGCTGCAAGTGATGTCGCACGCCGGCATGGTGCCTGCGTGGATCCGAGATGTTGGGACACCCACAAATTGCGAGGCTGGAGGACTCACCCATGCACCATCTGTGACTTCGTTCAGGCATTCTGGAGCAATCGGCACCGGGATGTTCCGCGCATGACCGAAATCGGGTCGATTACGAGGGAAGACGGCGCGACGGGCGGATGGATGGTGGGGACGTGGGGTCCAAGAACGGACACTTATCACATGGCAACCAGGTTGAGGGGTGATGTTGAACATTTACCTGCCTCTTTGATGCTGGGACGTGTGGTGCCTGCCAATATCTCAACGTTGAGGTCTGTGATAAAATTAGTAGCCCATTCAGAATCCTCGAATCCTTTGACGCATGGCATCATTCGATACGGTCGCTGGGTGGAAGGGAGCCCAATTTTTACGGCGCCCACCGTCAGTTGCTGCACGCTCGATCCCATGTTCGTCGGGTTGCCACATACCCAATTTCCAGCTCGCGGTAACGATGTTTGTTGTTGATCTGCAGCGGCCGTATGGATGTACATACATGGGCCTCGAATCCTCGACCCAACTGCGCCCTTCGAGTCATCAAGTTGTTCAAAATCCCGACTCACATTTCTCAATAGACCCAGAAAAAATGACACTTGCCCAAGCCGGTTACGGCCGTGGAATCCGCTCGGCGGTGGGCCTGGGATCTTGGGCGCATTCGGTGCTGCGAGGATCATCTCATTCCTGTGGTCGTTTCAACCAGAGCGGGGATCCTGGAAGGGCGCGAAGCGAACGAGCGAACACAGTCCCCGTAAGCGAGCCGGATAACTGCCTGCTGTTCCCGGCATGGTGGCATCTGCAGGCCGGAGCCGGCAACCTGCCTTCTTCGACGACGAGTGCGCAAAATGAGCCAATCAGATGCCTGCCTGCCCTTGCCCTCGAAACTCGCCTCTGCCACCCAGCATGGACGCGCCCACACTGACCAGGAAGCGGCGATTGTCTCCTGCTGATCGCCTCCCTTCCCCAGCTCTGTTCGGGTTGTGGTCTGGTCTAGCTGTGAATGAATGAAGCGTGCCGTAACAGATATTTACCTACCTACCTAGGAGATATCAGAGATAGGAAGCCAGCTGAGCCAGCTCCTGGGTCAATTGACTCTCCCTGTGGGCTTATGCACTGTGCGAAAACGAGATTCTGATCGTGTCGGCCAAGCCTCCGGGAAGGAGCTCGAGGAAGGCTAAAATACCCCACAAATGAGATGGAGACCCACCTGCCAGATCGACGACCCTCAATCTGTCGCATGCCGTTGTTTTCGGGAGCCGGTGGCCGGCCCCAATTTTCCTCTTTACATCGCGAAATGGTGGCTGTCGACCTGCCTAATCTGGGCTTGCTCTCGTCGTTCCGGCGAATCACTGCGCGCGCAGACTGCCAATGGCCGCTCAATTCACCCAGTTGTCCTGGCCTCGGTGCGCGACCACCCCACCTCAGTTTGACGGTTGTGTGTGCGCATTGGTGCGTTGCCACACTCCCACACAACACAACCCCGGCAGAAGTGGGTGTTTCCATCCCATCCCATCCCTTATCACGGGGGCCCAACATGGAGCAGCACATGGCAGGAACGCAAGGGAAGCTTGCCCCCCGAGTGGCACCCGGATAAGGACAGGCCAGAAAAGGGAAAAGGGCAGGCCAGAACACACACCACTGCTTCCGGTCCGGCCTCGAGTTACCGCACTGGGCAGCTCGTCTGGAGGGATGCAGCTGTGACCGGCCGACCACCGACCGAACCTCGATTCTTGGCCGCTTTAAATACACACTGCATGCCATCGCGTTCCCGCTTCCCTTTCATCGGTCTTCCTCGTCTCACACCCCATTCCCGTCCGGCACCGTCAATCGCTCACCCGCCAAACCAGGCTGGGAGTCTACCCCCAACTGGCGGTCGCGCGCTTCCTAATCTGAGTGACAGCTCGACACAGAAACCTAGCCATCATGGCTGTTGAGAAGCAGGCCCTCGAGGCCGTTGCGGTCTCCGGGACGGTTCGCCCGTTCTCGGAGAGCCAGCCGCCCATTGAGGATACTGCCGAGTTGAAGTCACACAATGTTGAGGTCGAGAAGGCCGGGACCGACAGTGACGAGCCGGAAGAGGATGACCTTTTCCGCCCTCTCATCATGGACGCCTCGATCCCGGACGAGGATAACCCGCTCACCATCAGGGCCGTCGTTGTTGGTTGTCTCCTGGGCTCCTTGGTTTGCGCATCCAACCTATACCTCGGTGAGCCACGAACCCACCCCCCCCCCAAAAAAAAGAAAAAGCCCAATCATTTGCCAATACTGACGCTTCCGGCAGGTTTGAAGACGGGTTTTACATTCAGCGCCAACATGTTTGGTGCCATCTTCGGTTATGGAGTCTTGAAGCTCCTCTCGAAGGCCAAGGTCCCCATCATCGGCGGTCTTTTTGGCCCCCAGGAAAACTCCATCGTTCAAGCTGCTGCGACGGGCGCCGGTGGCACCGGCGGTATCTTCGTGGCCGCAATCCCCGCCATGTACCGCCTCGGTGTCATGGGAGAAGGCCACTCGCCCCAGGACGATATCGGTGCTATTTTCACCATTACCCTTGTTACCTCCTTCATCGGCATTTTCTACGTCACCCCGCTCCGCAAGTTCTTCATCATTCAGGTCGCCCGCGAGCTAAAGCTCATGTTCCCGACCCCGACCGCCGTCGCGCTGACGATCCGCTCCATGCACGCCGGCGCTGCGGGTAGCATCGATGCCATCAAGAAGCTCAAGTGCCTCGCCATCTGCTTTATCGGCGCCCTCGTCCACCGTATCGGGTCATACTACGCGATCGGCATTCTCTACGACTGGCACGTCTTCACCTGGATTCACATCTGGAGCGGTCACACCAGCTGGGCCATGAACATCGAGTCGTGGGGCTGGTACTTTGAGTGGACCCCGGCCTTCATCGGTTCCGGCATCCTGATCGGCCTGAACCCGGCCATCTCCATGTTTGCTGGTTCCGTCATGGCCTGGGCCATCATTGGCCCCGCCCTGGTGCACTACGGCGAGTGTATCGGCATCGACCTGAGTGACGGCGACCCGAAATGGGACGGCTACTACTCGTTCGCCTCTCTGAGCAACCTCGGCAAGCAGACGCCTTCCCCTCGGTACTGGCTCCTCTGGCCCGGTGTCATGGTCATGGTGTGCTCTTCCATGGCCGAGCTGTTTGTTCAGTACAAGGCCATTTGGTCCGGCGCCAAGTCCATCTGGAACCAGTCGTGCGCGGGCATCAACTCCGCCCTTGTTTCCCGGGGCAAGTCGAGCGCCTTCTTCGCCAAGCATGGTTCAAACCAGGTCAAGGACGAGAACCTGGTCGAAGACCCCTTCCCGGAGGAGCAGCAGGTCAAGACGTGGATGTGGGCCCTTGGCCTGCTCGTCACCCTCGTCGTCGGCATGATCATTTTCCACTTCCAGTGGGAGATGCACCCCGGCCTGACCATCTTGGCCATCGTACTCGCCTTCCTCTTCTCGTTCCTCGCCATCCAGATCGGTGCCGTCACCGACACCACCCCGCTCACGGCCGCCTCCAAGGCGTCGCAGCTCATCTTCGGCGGTGCCACGTCGAACAGCGGCTACTCGATCCAGCATGCGCAAAAGATCAACTTGGTGGCTGGCGCCCTCGCCTCGGGCGGTGCCGACATGGCCACGGCCCTGGTTAGTGACTTTAGGACCGGCTTCCTGATCGGCACCTCTCCCATCAAGCAGTGGATTGCCCAATCCCTTGGCAGCTTTTGCTCGGTCTGGCTCGGCCCTGGCCTGTTCGTGCTCTTCACCTCGGCCTACCCGTGCATCTGGGAGCCGAACCAGGCGGATGACGCCCACTGCCCCTTCCTTGTCCCCTCTGTGTCCGCCTGGGCCGCCGTCGCGCAGGCCGTCACCGACCCCAACGTCCAGATCCCGCTGAAGAGCGGCATCTTTGCCATCGTCATGGGCGTCGTCTCCATCATCCAGGTCGTGGTCCGCCACTTTTTCTTGGTCGGTGAGCGCGAGAAGTGGCGCAAGTGGCTGCCCAACTGGGGCGCCATCGCCCTGTCCTGGGTCATTCCCGCCCCCGTGTTCGCCAACGCTGCGCTGCTCGGCGCCATCGTTGCCGCACTCTGGAGGAAGTGGGACATGAGGACCTGGGATATTTACGGCTACGCAGTCGCTGCTGGTAAGTTTCTCCCCGCCCACTCGACCAATTCACACGTGCATAAGGCTAACCTGCTTTTCCCACTTAGGTTTCATTGCTGGCGAGGGTCTCGGCGGCGTCGTTGGTGCTATCCTCACGCTTGCTGGCATCGACGGCGGCACCAAGGGCTCCAATATTGCCTGCCCTGCTAATTCGTGCTAGGCACGTCATGATTGTTATGTAGTCGGGTGTTTGGGGCGGCCCAGATGGCCGGATTGGCATCTCACTAGCAAATAACCTAGTGGGTGCCACACCCAATTTGCATTTTCTGTTTTAGCCACATTATGGATGATATCGCGATACCAATGAGATAAGGCTCAACGCCCAATAATGACGAGACTCGGCGCCTCTTACTTTTAGGCGCCTCGTGTATGATGAGGTTTAATACACGTCCACAATGTGATGGTGTATGGAATGCACGTCTTACTTGACCCGAGACTGCCAGTAGGGGTATAAAACAACGATCACGATCAACATGTACCAATGTGGCCGAGCCCCAAGGGGCCGTGTATGGTCGATGGTCAATATGTACTCATGATAATCAACGAAAATACACCACCAGGGACCTGTCGCATCCCTCCCAAGCCGCTTCCACGCCACGCATCTACGCCACCTCCGTCTGGAGGGCGTGGGGCGCGTCCTTGTCCTTCTCCTGGTCCTTCCCGTTCGCGTTCTCCTTCACCTTCTCGTTCCCGCTGACCGCTTGCTCGGTGGTCAACGGCTTGGACTCGTCGGTGACGCCGAACAGGGCGTCCATGTGCTCGAGCGAGATGCCCTTGGTCTCGGGCACAAAGAACCAGACGAAGACGAACATGGCGAAGCAGAAGCTGCCGAAAATGAGGTACGTCCTGCGCGAGACCACGTGTGTTAGCTTCAGCTTTGTTTTGCTTTTCTCCGAATGGGGGGTTAAAGCTTACCCGTATCCGTCGCTCCCCACGGTGATGAGCATGGTTGGCACGGCGCGGGCGACGACGAAGTTGAAGAGCCATTGCGTCGCCGCCGCGTAGGACACGTTGAGGGAGCGCAGGCGCGCGGCGGGGATCTCGCTGGCGTAGATCCAGCAGGCGGGACCCCATCCGAATTGGAAGAAGCTGGGGGGTTGTCAGTTATGTGGTGGGATGATGGGGTGGGTGAGCAGGGACCAGGGTGCAAACTCACGCGGCAAACAAAAAGATGGATACGAGCGCAAAGTATCCGGCCGGCGGGACAGGCTCGCCTGCCTTGGGCGGTGCGATGCGCACGTATAGACCGATATAGAACATGGCGAGGCCTTGGGCGATGGAAGTCCATAGCAGACTGCGGCGGCGGCCCAGCGAGTCGGCCATGAAGAGCAGGAAGCAGATGCAGCTGGTGACCTTGACGATGCCGTAGATGCCCGTGCTGAAGAGTGAGGTGGAGGTGCCCGTGAGGCCGAGGTTCTGGAAGATGGTGGGAGCGTACGTGTTGATGGCGTTGGTGCCGGTCATTTGCTGGCAGATCATGAGGATGATGCTGATGAGCGCGCGGCGGCGGTTGCCCGCGATGGTCCACATCTCGCGCTGCAGGTTCCAGAAGGTGGCGTCGCCGATTAGGTTGCGCTCGTGCTCGAGCTGGTCGACGATCTCTTGGAACTCGTCCTGGATGTACGGGTGCGTGGGCGGCAGGTTGCGGATACGCGACAGGACGTGCTTGGTGTCCTCCCAGCGGTCCTTGCGAGCCAGCCACCGGGGAGATTCTTGGCACATCAACATGCAGACGCACAGCAGCACGGCGGGAAGCGCCTGGATGGCGAGTGGGAAGATGTACTGTATCTTGGTCGCGGGGAAGTTGACGGTGACCGAGTAATTGATCCAGAAGGCAATCATGCCACCCGTAACGATAAAGAGTTGGTATAGACCGGTGAGCAGGCCGCGGATGGCACGTGGGGAATTCTCGGAGACGTAGATGGGGTTGATGGTACTGGCAGCGCCGACGCCGAGACCGGCGACGAAACGGCCGGCGTACATGGGCCCTAGGTTGCCGTTGGCTGCCGCCTGCATGATGATGCCGACGATGATGACCATGGCGACGCCGATGAGACACCATTTTCTGCCGAAGCGGTCGGTCATGGGAGAGGCCACGAGAGCACCGGCGAAACAACCGGCCTGGAGAGTCGAGACGATATTGGCAGCGAGATTGGCAGATGCGACGGACTTGGGATCGCCCAGGGCAAAGTCTTTCACGAAGGGGTCCATGATGATAACACCGCCGATGACGGACGAGTCCCAGCCGAAGGACATGGCGCCGAAGCAGGCCTACGCGGGGGAGTCTGAGGTCAGCAATTGAAGCCGTAAACAAACCTCATCGAGGTGATTGATGGCAACTCACTGAGCAGGCAAGCAGATACACACGCCAGCCGTAGATCTCGGGCGGATCCGAGGCCATGGCCTCGTTCCGCACGATTTTCTGCAATATCCTTGTCGAGAGCGACATGGTGGATATCTGTCTATCGACGTCAATGGGTGAAGTCGTGACAAGGAGGTGAATTCAGTCTCGCGGCTGAGACCCGGACGGGGGGAGGGGGGGGGGGGGGGGGGGGTCTTTGGTATTAAAGGCGGCGGTGGAAAAGGACGGACCCCAGATGCCGGAACTCGGAGCAGTGAGACATCGGCGACAGCAATCCGGGCCTTTTTGTAGTCGCACTGCATCTCCGCGATATCAGGCTTGCACTCGCGAGCGGGAGACCGGGGCCCGTGGTCACTCCTTCGGCATGCTCGACCTTGATTGGGGGGTCCCAGTTCTCAATCCCGGAAGACCCCATGTGCAATCCCACCCTTGACGGTGCGGAGAAGCTTGGTGTTTCTTTTCAAACAGATAGCTGACGGCGATCTCGCTTCAAGGTAGCACTGAACCGGCTTCTTGCTTGAAAGTGACATGTGCTCGATGTGGTCCCCCATTCTGCGCTAAGACGGAGAGTTCCAGGGCCACCATCCGTTTTCCCTTTTTTCCACCAAAAGGAGGCGGCGGCGGGGGTCCTCACCCTGCAGCAGGTTAACGGTTTTCCTCACTGCCCGGGAGCCAAGACGGCCTTGGGGCAGCCGGACGTGTTGAACTGAAGCGTGCAATTCCCCGAGCAGCAGCAGCCTGCCGGTCACTGGACAGACACCTTCGACTCTACTCGGCAGCTCGGCCTTCATCTCTGATAGATCCGAGCCCACGGAAGGAGAAACGTCTTTCTCGGAGATGCATGTGTTCCAATTTGTTAGAGTTCTCGGCAGAGGGTAACGGTGTGTGCCAAGTCTGGATAGCACTCTCCCGCAGACCGCAGAGAACAAGCCGGCTCGCACGCTGGCACAACGACTGGCCTCGCGTTGCTGTTCTTGGATGCCATGCCCGTATTAGCCTATTCGCGGTGTGTGGGGTCGATCCAAGGTGGAAGGTTGGGGAGAGGAAGACGGGGATACTGCGGAGCTGGAGCTGGGGCAAAAAGGCGGGGGAGGGGGCAGGGAGAACAAACATGGGGAAACAAGGCGCCAAGGATGTCCATCACTTCCCTGAAGTCTTGGCTTGATTGCCTCGGTCATTGTGATTTCAGTCCAACGAGGACGACGAGGCGAGCTGGAAGCTCCTAGCACCGAGGAGAAGCGTTGAACAACGGAACTCTACATTGTATAATATTCAAGTCAGCCCTTGCGTCTCCTGAGTAACAGTTTTGGTTAAAACCGGCACCATTTGCTCCAACCTTGGGGGTGATACTTGAAGGGTTCTCCAATCACAAGCTGCCATGGCACGCGGCTCGAGACGAGAACTCCAATTTATCCAACCTGTTACCGGTTCTTTGCCGTACCAAGTACAGACCCTTCTCCAAACTGAGCGGCATGGTCTCATGCAAGTGCTGCTCACTCCTCCCACACTGCCGGGGCCTGCGATGCTTGGGTGGCAGGCGCCGATCCCTGTCGTGGATTATTCCAGACACCATTTCTCCACGAATCAGCGGCCATCAGGTGGTTGTCCCGTGTGTTGGAGAACACCACTCACGAGGGGGCGACACTCTGCGTAGGGTACGAGGCCGCCGCGGTGTTATTTCGAGCACGTGTGTTTGTTCCAGCTCCCCGGGGCAGAGCACGCAGGGGCAGCCGTCGGATAGATTTGACGCGGTTCGCAGCTTTCGACCGACGCCGAGATGCTCTCGGAGCCCAATGTCACGGCGCTCGGCCAAGATTCCGTTCGGCGCAAGTTCAACATCAACTGCTACTCGTTCCAGCAGGATGCCATTGTGACGTTCAATGGCTTTCAGTACGCATGCTTTTATTCTTTCCTCGAATCAGAGCCGTCGGACACTTCTCCAGAGCCTCTCTATGTCCATGTCGCGAGGAGACAGCTGCCGCTTGGCGAGTGGGACGTAATGGTGCTCGGCGACTACCCTCAAACGACGGACGATGGACACAACACCGTCCAAATGGGCATCTGCCCAGCGGATGGCACAATTCATCTTTCCTTCGACCATCACTGTGACGCGTAAGTAGCAAAAATAGTCATCAGCTTGTCGCTCGGGAACGGACGAACGAGAGTTACTGACGCGCCAGTTGTAAAGGCTGAAATACCGCTTCTCCGCCCCCGACGTGGCCACAAGGCCGAAGGACTTCGAATGGAGGCCCTCCCTCTTCACGCCGACCCTCCATCACCTCCCCGGTTTGCCAATGGCGGATCCCAAGTTCAAAGACGTGACGTACCCGCGTTTCGGGTCAAGCGGCGACTCCATGTTCTGCTCGTTCCGCGATGGCAAAGCCGGGCTCGGTAACGACCACCTGTACATGTACGTGCCCAACAAACGCGAGTTCGTCTTTGTTGGCACACACCTGACAGGCGTCCAGAGCAACCCGTACGTCCACGGCATGAGCTGGCGCGGCGGCAGGCTCCACGTCACTTGGGTGTACCGCGGCTTCGTGTACTACGAGGGCTGGGACGACCCCCTAGACACCAAGCACAAGCAGCAGGCTGGCCCCAACGGCGCCGAGAATAACCACGATATATGCTATGCGTATAGTGACGACATGGGGAACACGTGGAGCAACGGCGCCGGTAAGGTCATCGCCCGTTTGCACGCCGGCGAGACCATCACAAATAATGCCGAGGGCATCGTCGCGTTTGAAATTCCCAAGGGCTCGGGTCTCACGAACCAGGAGGCGCAAGCCGTCGACCAAGAGGGAGGGGTCCACGTGTTGAATAGGGACACCCTAGACGGGGGTCACGGTGCATGCCCAATGTGGAAACACTACTACCGGTCGCCGCATGGTGAGTCTCCCTTTTTCAAACCCGGCGCGGGTGAGGCGCCAGATGGTTGGTGAGTGGCTAACGCGACCCCTAATTAGGCGTTTGGACTCGGCGCCCCATCCGGCCCGTTACTGGAAGCGCCCGTGGGCGGCTAGCGATAAGCAAAACCGGCGACCTATTTATTGTGCTCCCGGATTTCGGAGCATCCGAGATGCGGGTCCTGAAGGCGTCCAAAGCGAGCGGTTATGCCAGTTACGACGAGGTTTGGAGGGGCAACAAGCTGACGGGCGAACCACTGGTCGACTCGGCGAGACTCGAGCAGGACATGGTTCTGTCGGTGATGGTGTTGGCTGAAGAAGAGGCGACTTTGTCGAGAAAAAGAAACGTTGTCGTGCTGGACTTCCAGCTGTGACTGATGGTAGGTTGCCGTTCTTGATAGTTAACTGGAACTGTTAGGTCACCCCGACGGGCCGATCGACGTCGGACCCGGCGGGTTTTGCATTGATTCGTCGACGCCATTTTTTGCAGAATCCATGTTCAACTGTCGACATGCGTTCGCAGCTGTTCCATTTCTGAGGCGGGCATGGACCATGACTAGCTCGCCCAAGGCAAAACATTCGCCGTCGCAACGCCACCGTGGCACCGGGTTGCAGGCCGAAAAACAACAATCCAATGATGCCAATCCCATGACAACGGCACGAACGCATGCGGGTTTCGGCTGGTGCAGCCACTGCCGTCGCGGTCTCAACCAACGTTCGACGCTTGCGGGTTGTGGCTGGATGTCCCGTGCCCCGTGCACCCGGAAATTCGAAATTTGGAAGAATGTGGATTTCAAACCGCGCCCAGATCCAGAACGGGCGCAAACTACCGATTTCCGGCAGTCAGTTGCTGGCTTTCAGCTGGCCAAGGTGGTGGGCACAGTGGGTTCCGTCCACAACCTAAATTTTTCAGCTTGCGAGTTCCAAGCCCCTGCACCCGATTGGTGCAGTCCGACGCCCAGTCAGAAGCAACGGCCCAAATTCCAGAACCACAGGGCAGCGTGGGCAGGCAGAAGGATGCGGGTGGGCCGTGCTTCGGTGAATTCCCCTTGCGCGTTCTCTGGTCTTTTTGTGTGTTGCGGGTTAGGGTTATTGCCCGTTCGAGCCGTTTTCCTTGGTTTTGGCCCTTCTTGCTCAGCTGGTCGCGCTCGGCAACAAGCAACATGTCCCCACCTTCCTCCCGAGTCCCGCAAGTGACGGTGCCTGATTCCATGCCGCCAAGGAACGCCATCCATCCCACTGCAGAAACAAGACTAACCAGATGTGGGAAGCTCGGTGATGGGCAGTGTTTCGAGCCCCAGTCGCGGGTGCATTTTCTCATTTTCTGGGCACCTTTCTGGCACCCTTCTTGCCGCTCTCGTCCCCGACGCCACATGGTGCAACCGTCAGCCAGCTCATACTTAATTCTAGACACACCGCGAGTGGGGACATACAAAGACAACCATGGCCCGAAACGTCTCCCATCTTCCCGGAATTCAGCTCGTCTGTCCTCTCTGGTGGCTCCAAGCTCGCCACTCCATAGAAATTAGCCCCAGAAAGCCCAGAAGCCCCAGACAGTGGCAGGCAATCCCCGTGACACGGACTGAGATCAGAGCTGATCGAATGCATCCCATCCTGATCCAGACAGCCGGGTCCTGGGAAACATAAAACTCCATGTCCATTTCCGATCCTGCTCACTATGGCCCCGATCAGACTGCAAGCCATCAAACTGCAAGTCATCATACCGGGAGTCACCAAACTGCCATTGCCATCTCACTCGCAGAGTCCGTCCACTGTTTTCGAACAACCGCCGCCGATCGACCCCGGTCCTCTATCAGAGCCAAGTTCACCATCGAGGAGAGGGAGAAAGTGTTGGGGGTCAGACGTCAAGGTGCATGTCTGAGGTGTCGGATGCTTAAGATCCAGGTGTGTTCAACCCGATCCATCACACAAGCCTCCCTACCTAGGTCCTACCTAGGTACCTCCCTGTTTTGGGTGTAGTACCCTACCTAACTAAGGTAGCCTCGGCTGTTCCCGGTCTATCTCGCTCACACACACCCCATACAGTGCTCTCTCGAGAACCCGTGTCAACCTTGTCTGCAGTCCGCCATAAAGGGCTCCGAGCGAAAGGTCCTCTCATTTTGCTACTGCGTCCGGACTCGCTTCGCCGACGTCAACATCTTTGACCCGTCGTCCTCTTGGTTCGGCGCCGCCACAACCATGCAGACCGAATCACTGATGCTCGCCATGAGCAAGCTGCTCGGCCGGATCGCCACGCCTGCCAACTTCTCCCTCACGTCCAACCCCATAGCCTTTAACAACACCATGGTATCGTGGCTCACCGACCCCGACTTCCACCTCCCCAACGGCAGCATCGTCGGCTTGTGTTGCTCCAGCCTCCTGGGCCTCCAGTTCCCAGAGGACACCGCCGCCGGCACCGACGGCCTGCTCGCAGACTTCCGCAGCTTCCTCCTCGCCACATCCCTCACCCACGCCCGCTGGCGCGACAGCAGTCTCAAAGTCATCCAGGCCCGTGACATCTGCGCCGCGGGCCAGGTATCAGGGTATCGACTCCTCAAACGTCTCGACCGCATCCTCACCCCGCAATTTCTATCTCGCATCGGCCGCGAGTCCTGCCAGGTACTATTCCTCCTCGTCTTGGGCGCCGTCCTCGGTGTAGGCTACTCGGCTTCTCAGTTGGAGGATCACTCGCCTCGGCTCCCTTCGGCCGAGATGCTCAGCCCCGAGTTCCAGCGCAGCCCGACGTTGTGGTTGGCCATGAAGGAGCATTTGTGTCAGATGCTGGCGCACCATTTGATTTTCGTCGGGTCCATGTTGGGAATCAAGTTGGAAACCGCGGTGGAGCAGAGGATCATCGATACGGCCGTGAGCCGATGGAACAAGGCCGAGGAATTTGTTTGGGCGGATGCCGTGGGCTGCAAGAGGGAGGAGGTGGATTCACCATCGGCGCTAGGAGCGACCGGCGGTTCTCCAGAAGCCGCCAAAGCGGAGGGCGGAAACACAACCTCGGTGCTACCCGATCGGAGTCGGGGTGTCATTTCTTCAACGCCACCGTCACCGTCGCCGGCCCCTCCTCGACAGCCTCCGCCACTGCTAGTCCCTATCCCAACTTCAGAGGCCGCGCCGTTCCACTCCCAGCCCGTGGAGGCCTGGTCGGAAAACCCAACGTCGTACCTTTCCATGTTTGATGAGTCGGCAACCCCTGCGCCCGGTTCGAGCGAGCCACGGAGCGTCAGTGCCATGGAAGGGACAGCATCACCGCCCAAAACAGTATCCGAGCCATCGGCCCGGCAACAAAGTAAGTTACGAACAGCCCCTATTTGAGTTTGACGAGGAGCGAATAATTAACTGGTCATCAGCGCCGGAATCGATGCGGCCACGCGAGAGGAAACGGAGATCCATGTGGATTGTCCGCCCCTTTGACGCCGGCCCTGAGCACGGCTTGATCAATGTACATGCACGCCTGCAGGGGTGTGGAGGCTTGGAGAGCCTGCGAACTTTTGTATGATGCCGGCTGCGCTCAAAAGATGATGAGATGATGATGTTATGACAATTCTGTGTACAAACGAAATCTGGGGTACTAGGAGGACAGATGGACCAGCCGATTTTCCTTTTCATGACTGATGACCCTCGGAGGCTAGATACAATCATACTTAGCGTTTCAAGTATGTAGTTATTGGTAATTAAGAGCTGGCGATCCCAGATACCCATCTGGGCCATATTATGTAGCTCTTACACAACTTTTGGTTCAAGAGTATGGTTCGCGAATGGACATCCATTGTCGACTCACCTGACTCCAGGTCCCTGAATCTTGTCATCAACCACTCAGGAGGATTTCCACTCGGATCTTCGACTTGTTAGCCATGGTCTGAAATTACCCGGACGGGCATGACGCTCAAAGTGGTAGAGAGATGCTTGGCAGCCCTGAAGCACAGCAATATGTGTGATTTAGCCGTTTTGGGTCTGCTATTAACATGAACTCTATTATGAATGGATCGACAATCACTATCAATCAAGGCAATGAGCCGCGGCAAGTCTTTACATATTGATTATTCTGATCCGGATTCCGAAGGCACCAGCAACAACGTTATAGCCCAAGCACATGGCAAGCGCGCCTTAAACTATTTATGCATAATATCACATATAATACATGGGACATCATCAAGTGACATCTCTGTTCCAACCCAGGAATCTCGGCTGGCTCCGTCCCGCTGCTTCCCAAGCATCCGGGTGGCAAGCGTGTGTCTGGGGCATACCCCTGAGCCGAGATCATCTCCCGAAGGGGCTGCTCCTCATGTGCTATCGACGCAGGGACGGCCCTCATCTTCCATTCCTGGCCGTCGTTGTTACCGTTACGAGACGCGCAAGTTCCGCAGCGACGTACCAATTGGCCAATGGCAACGGGAAAGGGGGGGATTGGTATAAAGGCGGCAATTCCCGCCAGGCGAGACACATTGTAGAGGTAGAGGAAACTCCAAGGTCGATTTGATTGACCGCCATTTCGTACAGTTCGCGCGTGCTGTGATAAGATACGGAGCGAACAATGAAGATTCCATTCCTCCTTTCTGTGGCTGCTGCCACAACCGTACTGGCGGGGCCTAATTGCCCTCCTCTCGGCCCCGTCTACGAGAAGCCGTTCAACTTCAAGACGAGTTCCGCGATCCAGGCCGCCATCGCCAACCTGACCGCCACATTCACTGCCTGGGACCAGAATAACTCGACCGCCATCGGCTCCAACACGACGAGTTATAGCATCGAAGTGTTTAGTACGAGCGAGGAGGATCCGACAATCTTCAGCTGGCATCACACAGCGGCGTCTCTCGCGAGGGCCACCAACACATCCGGCGTCAAAGAGGCCGGCCCCGACGCCGTGTATCGTCTGGGCAGCCTCACCAAGGTCTTTACCGTCTATACGTGGCTGGTGCAGGATGGTGATGTGAAATGGAACGAGCCGATTACCAAGTACATCCCGGAACTGGCTGCTGCTGCGGACAGGGCAAAGGAAGATCCTGTGGCAAACGTAGCGTGGGACGAGGTGACTATCGGCGCACTAGCCGGGCAGTTGTCTGGCGCCATTCGAGATTGTGAGTCTGCAAAGAGAGCTGCCGATGGAAAGGGCTAACAGTGCTGAGATGGCCTAATGAGCGAGGTCACGCAAGAGTTCAACCAGAGTGACGCGGTGGGTTTGGGATTTCCGCCCTTGGAAGAGTCCGACCCCTTGCTACCGAAATGTGGACAGTACCCGCAGTGCAACAGGACTGGTAAGTCTAGGAGTGTTCGAGACGAGATGCAAACCTATAGCTACCTTTGGTACGCTAACAAGGGAACTGTTAACAGAATTCTTCAATGGCCTGCTTCGAGCCTACCCGTCATTCGCCCCCTTTGCCACTCCAGCATACACCAACACGGGCTACCAGATCTTGGCTTACGCGCTTGAAGCCATCAAGGGCAAGAGTTTCCAGGCAATGATGGAAGAGAGCGTGCTGCAGCCCCTGGGCCTGGACCATACCTACTACCGAGACCCCCCGGTCGAGCAAGGCATCATTCCCGGCGTCCAATCTGAATCTGGGTGGAACTACCAACTGGGAGACGAGAATCCGTAAGCCGCCCTTCTTCTCCCATATCCCCCAGCCTACCAGTGGTGACGTGTCCTCCACGACAATTGTTGACTCGATTGCACGCACTAGCGCCGGCAACATGTACTCCTCGATAGCCGACATCTCCTCCCTCGGCCGCGCCATCATGCGCTCCACCCTGCTGGCGCCCGTGGTCACGCGCCGGTGGCTGAAGCCTGCCACCATGTCATCGGAGCTGCTCGCCGGCGTCGGCTACCCCTGGGGCGTCCGCCGCGTGGCGGTGCCCTACGCCAACGGCAAGCACGTCGTGGACGCCTTCAACAAGGCCGGCTCGATCGGCTACTACTCGTCGCTGCTCGTGCTGCTGCCGGACTACGACGTGGGCTTCTCGGTCCTGCACGCGGGCGAGGCCATCCCCGGCAACTCCAACTTCAACGTCGCCGACATCCTGGGCGCCCAGCTGGTGCCCGCGCTGGAGGCGGCCGCGCGCGAGCAGGCCGAGGCCAAGTTCTCGGGCGAGTACGTCGACGAGGGGAGGAACACGTCGCTGCGCCTGACGACGCAGGCGGACCGCCCCGGCCTGGGCGTCGAGAACTGGGTCAGCAACGGCACCGACATGATGACCAACGCGGTCGTCATGCAGGGCGGGTACGCGCCCGTCAACCCCAGCGTCCGCATGTATCCCGCCGGCCTGGAGACGGTCGCGGAGGACGGCACCAAGCGGGTTGCCTTCAAGGCCGTGTTTGAGGACCTCAACCTGCCGGCGCGGACGACCAACATGTTCTCGACCGACTGCGGGACCTGGGTGTCGTTCACGGGGGTTGTGTATGGGACGCACCCGCTGGATCAGTTTATTTTCCATGTGGACGCGGATGGGAAGGTCGTGAGTATCGAGAGTATAGCGCTGAGGTCTGTGATGAAGAAGATGTGATTCTGGGAGTTGGTATCGATGGATCGGGTTTAGTTGAGGATATCTGTGTTTTAATTCACTTATAGCTTAACTAACTATTGCATTTATGTAACCAAGCCCGCAATCCTCTCGTATGGTAGCAGACGTGAGTGGGTGTGGCATATCAGACAGAGCAGCAGTGCATCGGCATATGGGAAACGATTTACTTTCGAATTACTTCGTCTACATTGCTCAATCTCAGCCTTCGATATAGAATACCATTGCTACGGTAAGAACCCGAGCCATGACCAGGCCCGTGAACCCGCCTTGACGAGCAGTTGTCATCACCCCCTCCCTATCCTCCCACGCCGGAATTCATTCGATTGAAGTTGACCTAACACCCAACCTCTCCTTTTCTCCTCCGCCCCGGTCACGTTAGCCGTGACTCTACTAATGGCTCTATGGTCGGCCTGTAGGTTGGCGAACGACTTGCGGGGGCGGCCCCAGCTCACATAATAACTTAGGGTTGCTCCTATGCTTAGATGTCCGCCGTGTGTTGTGTGTGCGAGCCTTGGATGCGGATGCGAATCGAGCGGAGGGAGGCGAACCACTTTTGGATAGGCTTCTCGTTTTCGATAACATCGGCGTCGTTGTCGGCGACTTTGATCTGAGCCAGATTCCGCCCGCACCAAGCACAGTCCCAAAAGGTCAGCAGAGCCCAGAGCTTGATAAAGCTGTGGAAGTAGGCAAATGAGACATAGACTGGAAAGAGAAATATGTCCTGAGGATGACGGCGGAAGTAGTCGAACACCTTGACCATCTTTGTAAATAAAATCCAACATACCAAACCCGCGAACGTGGTGGTGGTGTAGGCGGAGCATTTCGTGAAGAGGTAGACGAGCAGGCCATCCGTAACGGCCGCAAAGTTGGTCAGCGACGTAAGATAGACAGCGTAGACGCAATAAGGTTGGCATGCCCACACGCTACGCTCCGTGATGAGACTGCAGAGGTTCGACCTCCAAGTCGTCCGCGCCCAACGCTTGCACTGGCCTAGGAACTTGGTGTGCGGGACTGCGTCGACACCAATTGTCGTGTGCAATACACAATCCTCGGCGTACTGAATCTTGATCTTCCAGCCGTGGCGGACGGCGAAGCGAGTGATGAAGTTGTCGTCGTCCGGGTTCAGGGGTCCGAACATGCTGAAGAAGAACCTCTCATTAGTGTAATGGGGAAGGAATTCGGGATGATGCAGGATATCGGTGCGTATAGCTGAGCACCTGCCGGAGACAACAAAGACTCCGCCGTCTACGGCGTTGGTGGCGCGAATCTCAAAGTTGTGCCGGCAGAGATAGGTTGCCCCGAGCATGTTCCAGATCCGGCCCCAGAGACCCAGGCCTTCCTTGCGCTGGACACGCTTGTTGGTACCAGCCAACCCCACTAATGGGTCCTCAAACGCGTAGAGTAGCGTCTCGAGATAGCGTGGACCCCAGAAAGCATGGTCGTCGAGAAGAACCGTGATGTCGGTCTCAATATGCGGCACAGCAAGGGCGACCTGGCCCCGTTTGCTAGGAACCTGAGCTGTTTCAACCACAAATTGTATTGATGGATACTTGGAGCTGACCGTGTCGACACACGAAGACACTTTAGCGAAGAGCTCATTGCCGGCAGTCACCACGATAACTTTTGCCGGCCCATTATCTGCGCAAGATGCGAGTGTTTTGTGGAAGGTCTCCAGATCTGTGCTGACAGTGGGGATCACTGCTGTGACATCCTTGGACGGCGTGTAAGTCGGTTTGCTGGGCTTGGGTGCTGGGGGATAACACCAGAATGCCGTCAGGTTGACAACAAACCGGAGATACCGCCAGCAGAAAAGGGCGAGAAACCAGTAGAGGTAATAGTCGGCGCCGGCGAGCCTCCTAATCCCGATATGTAGACTAACAGCAACAGTGATCAACAACGCCACGTTGACACGACGGAGTCTGACTGCCATCATCGTGAGGTTGATCTTCCTCATCTTCTCCCGGACTTCCGGGCCGAAACGTTTCATGGCGATGTCAATGCTAGGGAGCTCGAATGTGGATGTCGGGGAGGTGGCGATTGGGTTTGGGTAGTTTAGATGCGTTGAGGGTGACTTGAAGCGATATCTCCCCCTTACTATAAGCTATTTTCCGCTAAACCGATGTGCCCGTAAATTACAAAGCACCTACCTATGTGGTTTATTCCTTTGTACTCCGATCACCGCCCGGGCGTGGGAAAACAATGATACACAGGAAGAGTCCTGACCCACCACGGGAATTATTAACGGGATAGAGAGGTATAATTCTTTACGCTAGCCCATGTTCGGGAGTTCCCGGCCAGCCAAGTCATGGGCGATGCCTCACGATACCTCACTGGGGTAGCACAGGGGCTCATGGTTGGGAGGATGTGGTTACCGCGAAGTGTGTACGTGTCCTCGAAGGAGCAGGTGGTGAGTGGTGTTGGGGGACAAGGCTGGAAATCATCAACTTCCCCAGAGACGGACGGCACGTCAATGGTGGTACGCTTGGTCTGGTGTGTCTGAAACCGATTCCCATGACATCATCTCATGTATTAAAAGCAGAAACACGCCACCCTGTTGCTATCAAGGCCCGAACCGTCACCTCATCCCACCATCTTTCCCGGTCTCTCCCCCATCGACACATTTCGCCTCCCTCTCCTCCTGGGCGAGCCTCTCTGCCCTCGCCATCCGCCATTGATCCCCATACACCCACACAAGCCACAACAATGGAGTCAGCACGACCGTCAAACCAGCAAACATGAGGAATGTGGCCACCTCCCCAATCCCATCAATGATGAACTGCACCGCCGCCACCCCCGCCGCACCCAGGGCGCAGCGGATGAGATTATTCACCGCAGTCGCGCTGGCGCTGGCTCCGGGGTACAAGTCGACCATGAGCGCGCTGTTCTGGGTGAAGAGCCCTGTCGCAGTAAAAGCGATGACGAACTGCAGGAACAGGGGCAGCGCCATGCCCCGGACCGACGCCAGGAGCGGGCTGGTGACGGCGAAGCCGTAGCCGCCGACGGCGAGCACGAACAGCACGACCTGGTACCACGCCGACCGCAGCCGCGCCCGCGACACGGGGAAGTCGCCCGTCTTCTTGCCGTTGATCGCCGCGTCCGCCGGCAGCCCCCTGGCCAGGCGGTATTGCGCCTCGATGATGCTGTAGTCCCGGTCCAGGATCCGGCCGGTGATGCAGGAGCCGGCGATGCAGCCGGCGCCGTTGGGCAGGAAGGCGAGGCCCACTTCGAGGTCGCTGAGGCCGTAGCGCGGCTGGAAGAGGGCGGTCGTGGACGAGGTGACGGTGCTCCAGATGGTGTAGACGACGGCGCCGAAGAGGAGGGTGCAAAAGACGTCCTTTTCGAAAAGGAACCGGAGTGGGGAGAGGATGGATGCGAGCGTGACTCTCGGGGGGTCTTCTTCTGAATCGTGCTCGGGGTGTGGTCGGTCCTCCCAATACTGTTTCAGGGGTTGGTAGACGATAGGGCGGTTCAGTCCGTCGAGTGGCACGCTTCCGTTCCCGGCGATGCGACGGAGGGTTTCGGGGAGAAACAGTATGATCAGGGCCAGAGCAACGGAGCCGAGGATGAAGAGAAGCCAGAAGATGGCTTGGAAACCGAAGAACTGGGTGACGATACCGCCGATGACGGGCCCGATGGCTTGACCCAGCATGCGGACTGGGGTAGATCGTTGTTAGCTCATGGTCACAACCAAGTATTCCGTACAGGGATAAGATCACCTACTGCCGCCAAAACTGCCCATGAACCCGCCCCGTTCTTTCGACGTCGTGATATCGCCAATCACACCGGCACCTGCCACTCATCAGCCATCCCTTCACACCAGAATCACAGAATGCGGTGAGCTGCCGTACCAACCGAGATGGTGGCTGCACTTCCGGCAGCCTGGATTGCCCGGAATATCATCAACATTTCAAACTCATCGCTGAATACCAGAGCAATATTGGCGATCAGATAGACGGCAAAGGTACCGATGAAGGTGATTCTACGTCCGCGGGTGTCACTCAGCGGGCCCCAGAAGGATGGTGCCACGCCCTGGACGATCATGTAGACGGTCACAGTGAGTGCGATCAGGGCAATGTCTGTCTCGGTTTCCTACGGACATTAGACCAACACTCGGGCCTTCGTAAACGGACACCCACCTCGGCGATGTCTCCTAGGGCGGGGAAGTAGATGTTGCTCGACAGAGGCGAGAACAGCCCTGCTAGAGAGACAATGTAGACCAGTTGCCATTTCTTTCCAGTCGTGAAGACATGGTAAGGCGGCTCGGGAGGGACATCCTGTTGTTTCTGATTTGTTGGTGGGCTCGGCTTCTCGTCATCGGAGGATAAGTCGGTCTCTGAATCCTTTACCGGCGCAGTCGTAATGTCGTTATCTTTCTGGGAGAATATGGATGTGAACCGGTCAAGTTGCCGCTTTACCGTTTGTCTCAGATTCTGAACGGGGGGCTGCGATGTGTTTTCGAGGGTGTTCGGCGATATGGGTACCGAGATATCAGAGACAGGTGTTGGCGGGCCATGTTCCCCGACTTGGTCTTCATGAAGCCGTCTTCCGTCCGAGTCGTTACGGGTCGATCCTATGCGGCAGCTCGGCAGCTGGGGAGATGTTGATCGTGTCGCCATGACTATTGATCTTGGAAGCGCTTGGCTCTTGGCTTTTGAAAAACATGTTCGGAAGGGGGGCAGCGTCCCATATTTACGCGGCCAAGGACGGTTGGAAACCTTGCCTCCCAATCTCCAGCACCCTCCGCTCCCCGAGCCCGAACGCAGCAAGACATGTCGAGTCCCGACACCCTCCCAGGGGTCTGGAGCCACGTTTGATTACCAGGGAGCCGAACTGTGGAGAGTTTAGAGTGAACGGTATGGCAAGCGGAAAGAATACCGAGGCCGAGGTGGCGATCAACAGGAGTTCTAGTACTGATCAGCGGGAGATGTGTCGGGTCGCCCGGTGCCCAGCGAGCGGACGCCGGCTTCACGGAGCGTTTCCGAGATGCGGTGCGGATCGGAGATTGCGAGGTTCCCGGCTAGAAGATTCTGTTTCGCTGTTTCGAACGTCACGTCATGATGAAGCGGATGCTGCGAGGGTGTCACAATATGGTGATGGCCCCTTCAGCGGAGCAGGGGCCTAGGGGGTGCCGCGTTGATACATTTTGCCTTGGATCGTCACTCTCAGTTTCCTTCCGCGGCCGGCTACGATAACGATATGATCGCGCTTCCGTATAATACCGCGCTGAAGTAAGCGTGGGAAGAAGGCGTTCGGCCGTTAGAAACAATCGCGGGAAGATTGCCGATCTCAAGCCCGGTGTAAGTGATCCGGCCCATCCGGCGCCGGCTCCGCTCCCGGAAAGATGGATCCGCTCGGCCCCGGTTCGCTAAGGTGGGTCCAGATCAACATGGCAACCTCAGGGGAAATGCTGAGGAGAGGAGGCCAGTGCTGTGCATTGTTGTATTTGTAACCCCGCCGGATATATAAATCCATATTTGTAACTATCGCTGTGAGAGAGCTCACATTCCGAGTCCGCTGTTGACCCAATGTTCTATGGTATCTCGATTGCAAACCCCCATGCCGCCTGTTGCTCCCCGGTTTATTCCGAGATTCGATTCCGTGTGCCAACAACGCCTGCTCCATGTCTCGGAGAAAATCAACAAAAAGAATAGTTAGCGCCAGAGGTGAAAGAAGGACGGGCCGACGCTTTTTAGCGCCGCAAGGGCGTTTGCTGTTTTGCGCGAATTTTCCGGAAGTATATCGCCGTGGTTCCCGGGGCACGCGCATTGGTCTTCGGGTCATAATACGTCATGACGTCTAAAACGACATAAGACTTGGACGTTTCCAGCTCAACGAGTCCCGAGACACAAACGGATCCCCGAGGAGGGTCGGCCTTGAATGGCCGCTGCTCCCGAGAGTAGGTTTGTTTCAATTGTTTCCAGGGTTGGGAGGTTGCAACGGAGAGCACCATCTCCTGAAGCCACGACTTCTGATCGGGCGTGTCCTGTTTGTTTTGACCAAGGGTCGGTTTGTCCGGCACAGGCATGGGCTTGTCGCGGGGCGCTGAAGAGGGGGCCGATGGCGCACTCGCCGAGGAAGACATGGACCCCGGGTCGTTTACTTCTTCAGGCCGTCTAGTAGCTTGCTGGCGGATTTGCTGAAGCGCTTTCTGTACCTCGGGACCGGGCCCAGAAGGTAAAGGAGGAGGAGTCGCTGGGTTTGTAGGCGTCTGGGCGCGCCTAGGTTCTTCGGAAGCAAAGCCAAAGTACCTTGCAACTTCGAGGGTCGTCTGCTTCACTGTCGCCGTACCCAAGGCCCAGAAGCCGAGCGCAAGAGGCTTCGGCCATAAGACACGTTCCATCTGTTTTGCGACCCATGAATCGTAGGGCATGGTTACCAAGGCCATCGCGTCATCCGTAACCAATATGCTGTCATATGCGTCAGTAATGCCACCTCCAGCGAGGTGATGGCGGCCAGCATGACATACCCAGTCCGCTCATAGACAGGTGGTGCCATATAAGGGTAATCGATATCCATCCAGCATCTGCCGACCCCCATAATTTTCCCGACTTTGGCCGTGAGCACAGGGTTCCGCGAGGCAGCGTCAAGAACGATTTGAGCTACATGATCTACACGAAAGGTGAGAACTCGGAAAGGCGTCTTGTGGAGTTTGGGAGGGCCTACCTCGGATTCTTCGTTGTAGTTCACGATCCTTGGACAATTTGATGAATGCCTGCCATTCTGGGTCCCTTCTGGAATATGGTTGTTGTGGGTATTTTTTCGTCGTTAGGGGAAGTGGAATGAAGACTGGGTCATCGTCCTCATCCTTCACGGTCGTGTGCTCGGGAGACGAGGGGTCCGGCGTAGCCCACCACATGACTAACTGGTAGGCTATGACACCTTTGACTACGGTTCCTCTGCATCGGACAGTGGTCAGCGATAGTAGCACACGAGAGGGAAAGAATGAATCCCCACAAGAACCAAGTGGTTGGCCTCCCTTTCCTAATCTTGACTCTCTCGACATGGACCGTCTGCCCGCCCGACAGACGAGCCGCTATCCTGGCGGAGCCGAAGAGCGTCCGGAATGGACGGGAGATTCGTGACATGGCGGATGGTTGTGGCGCGCCAACCCGGCGGCCAGGGGAGGCGAGGTCGGAGAATGGGTCGAGGAGGAGCGCTGGGGGGATTATTCGAAGAACGAAGGGCTGATCGGGAAATTCAACGTGGTCGGGTGTCGGAGGGGCGGAGGGGGCACCACGCTAAAGTTACAGGGCCCGGTATAAAGTTGCGATATAGTGCTTCCATCCAGTAGCGGTAAACAAGCCAGAGATATTCGGTAGTATGAGGTGTGGTGCGAGATGCGAGGCCGCGGAGGCGTTGAGTCGAACCTCGATTTGTCTTGTCGCGATTTGGCCTCCATTCGGACGGGCTCTGTCTTTGGAGAGCCGGCTCTTTGGTGGGCCCGGGTCCCAGATGCAAGTGGGGTGGCCGCTGGTGCACAGACCAACGAACCCGCGCAGCAGCTGCGCCGTTGCAAGGGTCGCAACCTGGAGACCAACCAACCAGCAGCACCAACAATCAATCAACTGCACGCGGGCCGACCAAGACTCGTCAGCCATCCCGTCGTCCTGCAACCATCACCACGCCTTTTTCTTCATTGCCGCCCCTCACCACGCTTAAACGACATCAGGAATTGGCTGTTTACCATGAGGCTCGTCGCCGGCCTAACAGCGGCCGCTCTCTCCGGCCTCGCTGCCGCTGCAGGTCAGCAGCAGGATGCAGAGGTCTACATGCTCCAGTCGTCATGGCAGGCCTCCTCTGAGACACCGAGTATCCCCAAAGAAGTCGCCCGTCATATCTTTCTTCAAAGGGTAATTGTGGGCCGATTGATGTGTGCATTCTGCTCCAATGCTGATACTGATGAGCAGACATCGAGGCAACGATACGGTAGCGACCTGCGCGACATCCCCAGCTCCATCGACACCGAAGTCGCGGTTGATCAGCTTGCGAGATTCGGCAAGAACCCAACACCGCTGTTTACTCACGCCGACAAGACCGATGCCTCTCAACTTGTCGTCATTATCGAAGGTGCTGCGGCTGAACAGTCTAACCGGCTGAAAGAGAAACTGGGGCAGAAAGCCGCGTTCACCATCTCCGATCCTCCTTCGTCCACCGCCAATAACCATTTGATGGCGCTCTTCCGGAATATGGGGGTTGCGTCGTCGCATCAATGCGACATATCCGCGATGGTCAATCCGTTTGATACGGATTGCTGGACCGGCCCGTCTTCAGTCGTCAAGTACGACCTGCGAGCTGTTAGCCACTCCCGTCCCTTCGTTCCCCGACAAGCTTGCTGACATGCTCCAAAAACAGTCCCCCAAGACGGTCGACTCCCTGCTCGATAACTTCTCTCGGCTAGACAAGTTCGTGGCCGACGGCGACCTCGACGTCATGCTGGTCGTCCTACCCGAATCTAGCCGCTCGTCCAAGCTCAGCCACTGGAGCGCCGCCGCCGCAGGAACGGGCTCCGACCTCCGCCGCCGGCGCGACGCCGAGATGGTCATCTCCGACCAAGACAACACACAAGCCAAGACGACCTCCGCCCCCACCAACGCGCCCGCGGCGGCCCCCGGCGGCGACGGCGGGTCCGCGGCCCGCCGCACCAAGCCCGTCCCGCAGTGCTTCCGATCGCTCGATAGCTGCATGACCGGGACCGACTCGTGCTCGGGCCACGGCGAGTGCGTCGACAAGTACGGCCGCGGCAACAGCTCCGGCTCGGAGGCGGCGGCGAGCTGCTTCGCGTGCGTGTGCAAGGCCTCGGTCGTCGAGCGCGAGGGCGCGCCCACCAAGGGCCGCAAGACGGTGCAGTGGGGCGGCAGCATGTGCCAGAAGGAGGACATCAGCGTGCAGTTTTGGATGATTGCCGGCTTCTCTATCGTTATCGTCGGCGCTGTGTCGTTCGCCATCAGCTTGTTGTTTGGCGTCGGCGAGGAGACGCTGCCTGGTGTCATTGGTGCTGGCGTAAGCAGGTCCAAGTAAGCAGTCGGCGGGCTGAGAGGGCGGGGAGGGGATACTGTGCTGTCTTTTGTGTTGTCACTGGGTTCGCGGTTTTTGGAGATAGCCCTCGTGGAGGGTCGTGTGTGCTCGCTGGGAGCTTTCGGAGTGTACCATAGTCATCGGCGTCGGCATAACAGATACGGGTTGAATTCATCGTTCTAGACAGTCAAGATCACAATGTACTCGGATATGGCCAGTCTTTTTCGCGCTGGGACTCGTATCGACTTAACATTACAAACACCCAACACCCCCAACACCAAGACCTATGAGGTCATCTCCACATCGTCCCGCCTTGTGGGTGTCGCACCAAAGCTCTCTAGGCCCCGTTCCACGGGCAAGTCACCCGCAATTCCCGGCGGGAATGGTCTCAATGGCGACTGAGTCACCATCTGGGCGACGTCTCCCACATTCCCGCCGGCACTCGCTACAACAGCCTGGTACTTGGCGCCCGCCTGATTCAAAATCTCCTGAACCTCCTTCTCCCGCGCGAGGATGTCCTCCTTTTCCTTTTCGAGGTCCCCTATCCTCGTCTGCTTCTGTGTAACTTCGTTCTCTAGGCCCTGCACTATCTCGCGCATGCGCTGCAGTACCTCGTTCAACTTGGGTAGCGGCTTCATGCGCGGGACGGCATCCGGTCCGCCGGCGTGGTCCATGTCGTGATCATCGTCAGGCCGGTGTAACCCGTCCATGCCCGCCCGCCGCTGTGCAGCCTCGTACGCGGCTCGCCGTTCGGCTTCGCTGTCGTCGCTCTCGGCATCAGACCCGTCCTCGGCGGCCTGGATCATGTCCGCCATCTCCTTCCTGTGACGCCGTGCCGCGTCTCGCTCGGCCTTCTTGCCGAGTGCTAATCCGCCATCCGAGACAAACTCGTCATACCCTTCGCCAAGGTCCTCGTCCTCAGCTATTAACCGGGAATCCTTCTTTTTCTTGGGAAAGTCTACCGTCACCCGCCCGCTTGGGACCTCTTCATTGTCGGACCCGTCGTCGTCGAACGAAATGAAGTCTGCCTCCTTGGCTAACCGCGCGCGCCGTTCCTTGCGCTCACGGATTTCGGCTTCGGTCAGGACCTGAGCGGTCGCGCCTTGCGTTGACTGTGGCTTTGCGACGTCCGTGGACTGCACGACCAACGCGCCCTCCAGCTCGGACTGGTCCAGCTCCATTTCATCTCCGTCATCGTGGATTTGTAAGGATGCCAGGTTTTGTGGCGTGTTGGGGGTCGCACTCTGTAATTCCTCCAGGTATTCCTTGCTGTATTTCGGACCCTCCTCCTGGGCGCCAAAGCGCATGGGGAGGCTGCCCGCCAAGTTTTGAAGTGATGCCGACTTGCGAAGCGTGTTGTTCTGGAGTAACCGCTGGCCAAGAGGCTTCTTTGGTGTGAATGGTTTGGTGACCGCCCCTCCCGTATCGTCGTCGGCCGCGTCCGCCGAGGCCCCGCCTGGGCCGAATGAGAGTCGAGATGAGGCCGGGCGCTTCTTCACTTTTGTCGAGCTCGATCGGCCGAGTGTAGGACGAATAACGACAGGCGCACTAGATCCATCTTCCTCATCGTCGTCACCACCCGCGGCGGAGGCGGGCGCGGATGCCGAACCTCCTTGGATCTCGTCATCGTTGATGTTGATGGTCTTGCGCAGCGTGGAGGATTTGGCGGGCTTGTTACGGCCAAACTTGATGCGCCCTGGGGGCGCCGATTCTGCCGGCAGCGCATCAGCTTGCTCGCTCTTTGTAGGACCGGTAATCAGCAACGGAGGGCGTCTCAGAGATGCTTGAGCAATGGCAGTCAACAACTTACGGTCGCTTTGCTCCTCGTCGCCGGCGCCAGATGCCGCTTTCAGATCATCCCCGTCATCTTCAAACGTCTGGATAATGCGCGCCTTTCTCTTCGGGCCGAAGGAGCTCATGGTCGCACACAAAATTAAGCTGTTTTTGCTGGATTGCTGAAAATGTAAAATGCCAAACGGGAAAGAGGAATTGGGGGCCTGAGAGCGACAGCGGCCGGCAAGGTTGTCTGCCATGCATCCCTTATCGTTGCTCGTTATCAGTGCCCCACGTGACATCACTTGTTCAACGAACTCCCTTCCAGATTTCCAGACTCGGCAACGCGCCAAAGCATCCACTCACTTCGACTATCGCGCCAACAATTAATTGCCCTTCAACGACGGACGGCATCACACGACAAAATGGCACCCGCACAACCAGAACTCAAAAAGGTGCGTTATCCCTCTTCATCGCTCGGACACAGTTGCATAACTCGTGCAGTTACAAATCCCACAATACTCCCTCCCCATCCGCTCTGCAAGATCAACGCTAATCCATCGCGCTGTAACAGTACCTCGACAAGCGGTTGTTCGTCCAGCTGAACGGCAGCCGCAAGGTTCTTGGCGTCCTCCGGGGATATGATGTACGACCGCTACAGTACCGTGATGGATGGCAGAAACTAACGGTACTCAGGTCTTCCTCAACATCGTACTAGACGACGCCGTCGAAGAGAAGGATAACGGAGAGAAGGCAAAGCTTGGAATGGTTGTTATCCGCGGCAACTCAGTCGTCATGCTGGAGGCTCTCGAGAGGATTGGTGGCGACGATCGGGGCGGCCGCTAAGCCAGTGGCACGACGCAGCTTGCCAAACTGGGCTGGGGGGTGGACGACGGCCGGCAACGTTCATACCGGGGATATGATTTTTGCGATGGAAAACTTGGGAACGGGATTCGGGTGCACGGCGTTCATCTCTGCGGTACAAAGCCAGTTGGGGAAGACAGGCCAGATCCAGCGGCGCAAAGATACCCAGCATTACATACTACCTATCCTCCGCCCGCCACCTTTTCTCGTCATAGCCATCCATCATGCTGCCGCCGTACGCTTTCACCCAGCCCCGGATGCCGCCGACCATCACTTGCGACTTCAAGTCACCGCCGACCTCGTCAACATAGTCCTGCAACCAAGCAGCACAGCGGGGACCTCGACCAAGGGAAGAACCTACCATAAGGAGGGAGTGGACATGGTCAGCGTCCCGGACAGCTCGACTGCAACGAGATTAGAAATGCAGACTCACCACAATAGAAGATAACCCTTCGAATCCCCGCCTGCTTGCACAGGTCGTACAAAGTTCCGCGCGTTGGGTAGAAGCTGTGAGCTGGCAAATTCATGGCCCCGCGCACTGTTCCTCCCGTGCAATCGGCGCGGCGCGCGTCCACCAGCAAAAAGTCCCGCTGCTTGTTAGCTGGGAGCTCGTGGTCCCGAAGCAGCTGGAAGACCTCCTGAGGCTCAACTTGGGTTGCCGTTGATATCGGCTCGGGGAAATCTGTCCACCACGGCGTCCCATCTTCTCGTCGCGCCATCTTTAGGCAGTGTTCGTGTGCGTGCCCGTGTGTGTGCCCATGGTCGTGCCCATGTAGTATCTGATTGTGGATTGCCATTATGCGATCCCTAGCTAGCCTGTGTGACTAGGAGAGTAAAGGTTCGGGGTCCAACCAGGTGTTGCCACTAGAATCATTGAAGGTTGACAGCGGAGCAAGACAGTAGTCAGTACGACAAATTCGGCATGCTACCCACATGTGAATATCTGTTAAAAAGCCCATGTTTGATTACGGAGCCATGGGCCCGAAACACTTGGCAAGCATCTCCTCCTTCTAACCCTCCATGATACAGTATATCATCCGCCTTCTGGAACCCCAGCTGCATAGCCCGGAGCATATTGATGTACATTGCAGATATTAGCGAGGCACATGGCCGATATTGCCCTCGGGGAGCCTCAAACTGATACCGAGCCTGTTATGAACCGTGAGGGGGTGCCACGTCACCTTGCCTTTACCCGCATGCCCAGGAACGTGCTGTGCGTGCCAGGGCAGCAGTTGTTTATCCGGCTCCATGCCAGCATGAAGATCAACAAATACTTGGGGAACTTGAATACATAGGATGGGCCAGTTGGCCAAATCCGACACAGGGGTAGGGTTCAGGGGCAGCTTGGAGCTTCAACCGAATCAAGCAATTTTCAACTCGTGTAGTAGTACTTTGCAGGACTATCTCGTCTCCTGACCAATCCTCCCCTGAATATGAGGGCTCAACTGTGCTCAAGCCGGGCGCGGTTTTCAAATGGACATGGGCAATGTGAATGCCAACGCTACGCTATAATATGCCGCGGTCCGAGGTCAGAACCGCCTACTCGTCGTAATACGCCTCCTCGTATTGCTCCTCGTACTCCTCCCGGGCCTCCTCGAGAGCCTCCTGCTCGCTGCTACTGGCCGAGGAGCTGGCGGCATCCTCGAGGGCCTCTTCGTAGGCGTCGCGGGCCTCGCGCAGGGACTCGCGGTCGCTGCTGTCAATCTCCTCGCCGTAAGCATCATGCGTCGGGATGACACCGGGCGGCAACCCGTCGTCGGCGGGCGGCGCGGGAGGCGGCGCCTCGCCGTAGTAGTAGTTGTTGGTCTCGTAGATGACGGGGGCCGGGGCGGGTTCAGGCGGGGGAGCGTAGGCAGCGGCGGCCGGGGCGGCGGCGTACGCGGCTTGGTTGCTGCTGCTGTGGTTCTCGTCGTCTGACGAATCGTCGCCTGAGGGGATAAGGGAGACGAGGGTCAGTGGAGGGACTTTCTGGGTCTAAGGGAGGAGGATGACGTACCGAGTTGGTGGGCGATGACGGCGCCGGCGACAGCACCGACGGCAAGCCCACCAGCGGCACCCATTAGCATGCCGCTATTGCTCTTCTTCTCCTTGTGGCTGCCGCGCTGGTCATCGTAACCCGGCTGGGCGCCGGCATAAGGATCGGGCTGACCGCCATAGCCAGGCTGGCCGCCATAACCAGGTTGGCCGCCGTAGCCAGGCTGGCCGCCATAACCAGGTTGACCGCCGTAGCTAGAGTCGGGGCCATACGAGCCACCGTAGCCCGGCGAGGGAACACCGGGGGTGGGGGCACCATAGGGGGAGTAGCCACCCGGAGTACCGTGACCACGGCTGTCATCCCCGTGGGGACGAGGAGAGGAGTGGTCGTAGCCGGGAACTTCCCACTGGGAACGCCCGCTCGACTCCTCTACATCTGTGGCGAGAGTTAGTCCACTTGACTCATTATGAACACAGCGCGACGACAGTAAACTCACAGTACCAGCGCTGGTAGTGGTCATCCCAGCGCGGAGTCCAGCCCGAGGGAATCGGGGGCTTGTCGGCCGGCGGGGTGTACGGAGGCGGGGGTCGGGGCCCGGCCTCGGGGGGGTAGGCGTAGGGTTGGGGCGGTGGCGAAGCGTGGTCCGACTGGTAGGGATGGCCCTGGGGCGGAGGGTAGTGGCCGCCCTGGCCCGGCGAAGGGGATTGGTAGTGGCCCGAGTAGGGCTGAGGGCTGGACTGACCGTAACCCTGGGGCGGATACTGATTGGGAGGGTACGGATTTACGCCATCGCGGTTTGAAGAGGAGGCATCATCCTTGCGATCGTTGTTCTTGTCCCCTAGGCCCAAACGGCCGAGGTCATCGGCGATGCCGTCGGTGAACTTTTTGAAGAAGGCCATGCAGCGCTGAGCAAGTACGTAACGGTACGTTCAAAAAATGAGAAAAGAACTGGGGAGATTGTCTCAGATGAGGGAATCGGAGCTGAATATTTCTCATCCAGCGGTGGCCTCTGGTTTTATGACTGTTTTGCTGGCACCCTCGTTGGCTCCCTCCCGATAGATGGAGCAAAGAGCGAGGTGCCCTGGGCAACCCGAAATGGAAACTTGGAGGGGTTCACCCCACCACCAAGCATACATGTAACACCTCCAAGCCCGCAGTCGGATCACAACGGCCTGTCAGGTTGTGGGTCAAGGAATCAGGTCGCATGGTTTATGGTTTCCCTCTTTGCCGCGCACGCAAGGCATGCAGCCAAGCAGCGAGTGCTTGGGAGAGAAACTGGGTGACGTGACTGGGTGGAAGGCGGGATGTTGTTTGAGCAGGCTCGGCACGCCGAAGCACCCGTGTAAAAGGTCTTGGCATCTGATGATGAGCGAGCATTTTCAGGGTCCCAAGCCCATTCCCGTCCCATTTCCACCTTTCAGCTCCTGCGCCCCACCAATGTCAGACGCCGACACGCCGACCATGCCGACCGACAGCCGCCCCCGGCCTTCCACCCAAACACTGGCCCCGCACATTTGCCCCGCGTCGGCCGCTCTGCCGCGTTCCGTGTGAAGAGACCTTCCAAACCCGACCGCAACCCGACTTCCATTCCACTGCATGTTGAGGCAGCCCGCTCTGGTCACGGTCATCATCAACCACTCCGGTACCCAACCGACCAGCGACCAGGGATACATTTTCGAACACCTACCTAAGACCCCGAGTGGCCCCCGAATTTAAATTACTTCTGTTGTTTTTACATACCACCTACCTTTACCGGCCGCTGCAACATGTCTTACGGATACCCTGGTCAAGGTTACGGACCTGGCTCCGGTTCTGGGTCGGGCCACCATCAACCCCCTCCCCAACAGTACGGGGGCGGCGGCTACGGGCAGGGCCAATACGGGCAACCGCCGCCGCAGCAAGGTTACGGTCAATACCCGCCTCCGCAACAGCAGCACCACCAGCAATACCAGCAGCACGGGCAGCACCAGCAGCCGGGTTACGGTCACCCTCCCCCTCAGCATCACCAGCAGCAGCAGCACCACCACCAGCGCCCCCCAGGCCCCCCGCCACAGGGCTATGATGCCTACGGCTACCCCATCGCCCACGGGCCGGGATACGGAGGCTCCGGTCCATCCCGCGCCGCCCCGCCCCCGCCCTCGGGCAGCCAGGAGTTCGGCCACGGAGCGCCCCAGGGTTACACGTTCCAGTACTCCAACTGCACGGGTCGTCGCCGCGCCCTGCTGATCGGCATCAACTACTTTGGCCAGAACGGCGAGCTGCGCGGGTGCATCAACGATGTCAAGAACCTGTCGACCTATCTGATGGAGAACCACGGCTACAAGCGCGACGACATGGTGATGCTGACCGACGACCAGCAGAACCCGGTCCTACAGCCGACCAAGGAAAACATCATCCGCGCCATGGGGTGGCTGGTGGGCGGTGCGCAGCCCAACGACGCCCTCTTCCTGCACTACTCGGGCCACGGCGGCCAGACCGAGGACCTGACCGGCGACGAGGACGACGGCTACGACGAGGTCATCTACCCCGTCGACTTCAAGTCCGCCGGCCACATCGTCGACGACGACATCCATGAGATCGTCGTCAAGCCGCTGCAGCCCGGCGTGCGGCTGACGGCCATCTTCGACAGCTGCCACTCGGCCTCGGTCATGGACCTGCCGTACATGTACAGCACCAAGGGCGTGCTCAAGGAGCCCAACCTCGCCAAGGAAGCCGGCCAGGGCCTGCTCGAAGCCGTCGGCCACTACGCGCGCGGCGACATGGGCAGCGTCGCGAGCACCGTCTTCGGCCTGGCCAAGACGGCCTTCCGCGGCAACGACGCCTACGAGCAGACCAAGCGCACCAAGACGTCGCCCGCCGACGTGATCATGTGGAGCGGCAGCAAGGACGATCAGACATCGTGCGTACTCGCTATATCTTCCTCAAGTGTCTTGGCGGGGGGTTGATGTCTTGAGGGGGGAGTTGATACCTTGTAGTTACTAGACAAGTGCTGACCTGACTCGCATCTAGCGCTGACGCGACCGTCGCCTCGCAAGCCACGGGCGCCATGTCGTGGGCCTTCGTCTCGGCGCTCAAGCAGAACCCGCAGCAGAGCTACGTGCAGCTGCTCAACAGCATCCGTGACGTGCTCGAGACCAAATACACCCAGAAGCCGCAGCTGTCGTGCAGCCACCCGCTCGGTGCGTATTCCCGTGTCGATTCCAGTTTCATTTCCGCAAATTCCGCCCTGCTGACCACTGTCATTTCTTTGCCGGTAGATACCGATCTGCTTTTTGTCATGTGAGATGGAGTCTCGGATCGGACTCGACCCGTGGGTTGGGGCGTGGGTTGGGACGTGGGGTTGAGATCGGTGCATGTGCCGATCGTCCAGATCGTGGATCCCCTTCGGGCCCGGCAGACAGATAGGGGGGAACCAAGCGGGGCCGGAGTTTGATTATTACAACGCGTGCAACAGGAGATTCCGATCGCTGGCCATGAGTGAGACGCGACTCATGCTATGCATCGGTGGGTTTGAAAATGCGCCGATGATGTGTGAAAAAGTGAAATGCCCAGGAGAGTGTCTTGAGAAAATCGCTAGTGTGCCATGGGCATAAACGACGATATTACGACTACGACTAATAGATGATATACACAAAAGGGGTATAGTACGCAAAAACAGACTCATCCCAACATCGGCCTCCTCAACCCAGCTCATGCAGACAGACACATTGACCGCCCAAACCCCCAATCTTAATAGCTCGCCCCCCATTAGCATGCCTCTCCAAACCCAGACAGAATCCAACTTTTGCCAGCGACAGGCCGCCGGCCGGTATCAAGTAGTTAGATAGTAAAAACAGTAAACAGTTATAAAAAGAAAAGTCAACGATGGACGTGCTTCGCATCATCCGAGCCAAGGGTGGATGGACTCGGGAAGGAGTATAAAAGGGGAATCAAGAAACACAAGATAGAAGAAGACTCAAAGAGAGGTCATCACCGAATAACCCCCTTCAAAAACCCCAACGCCCCCTTCAAGCTCAACTTACTCTCCACACTCCCCCCGCCCACCGAACTCCCCGCCCGGCTCGTCCCCGACCGCCTCGTACTGCTGCGCACGGTATCCGACCGCCCGCTATTACTAGCCCCACTGCTATCCCCGGCACCAGGAGTAGTCGCACTGCCGTTGCTGCTGCTCTCCGAGTTGCGCCGCTCGCGCACGTACTTGGGCCACGTGTTGGTCAGCACCAGGTACTTGATGCTGGCGTGGGCGGCGTCGAAGACGGACGCGTCGAAGGCCGCCGGGATGTCCCCCGCGTAGAGCGGGAGGGCGGATTTGGTTGTGGGTGTGGGTGGTTCGAGGATCTTGACGGTGAGCGGGATGTGGGAGGTGCGGTTGTTCTTGGTGGAGGGGGTCGGTGTGGGCGGGGCGGCGTTGGAGGCGTCGTCGGGTTGGAGGATGTGGATTTGGGAGTCGCGGGATGGTGGGGGGTGGGGGGGTTGGTGCTGCTGGGCGGCGCGGGGGGGCGAGGGGATGAAATCGTCGTTGGGGTCGTCGTTGGGGTCGGCGAAGGGGGTGACGGCGTCGGCGGTGGAGGAGGAGCCGTTGGCGGCGGCGGTGCTGCGGGCCGCGCGCTCGAAGATGCCCTGCAGCTTGCGGAGGTCGGTCCAGGCGATGTTGATGGGGAACTCGGCGTCGCGGGGCGAGATGAACTCGGTGTAGATGCGCAGCGCCTTGGTGAACTGCTCCCGGACTGTCTCGGGGGTGGCGTCGTAGCGGCTGCGGGTGAAGTCGGACGGGAGGGCGAGCTTCCACTCGGACACGGCCGTCAGGAAGGCGATGTTCTCGCCCGAGAAGTCGCGCCGGGCCGAGAACTGACGGAGCGGCTCCGGGTTCTTGTCCAGGACGTGCTCGAGCGCGGCCATGGTCAGCACGCTCTCGTCGGGGACGCCGCTGAGGTTGGCCTGGTTGGTGCCGGATTCCAAGCTCGACAGCTTCTTCCAGGAGTCGAAACCTGAGTACTCGCCGACCTTGGTCGAGGTCGTGCTCATTGGGCCCGAAGAGCCCTGGTCGCTTGACGTCTCCGTCTTGGCGCCGAACTGCTTCTTAGACTCCCAGTTGGCGATGGACTCGAGCGTCTCCTGGCGCAGGGTTTGATGTTTCCGGACCTGCCAGCAGGGGACGAAAACGGTGCAGACCTCGATAACGAAAATAGAGAGGGCGATCCTGCTACGGTTAGCTGACTGCGTGAAAAGGGGCTGCGTGCCGGGGAGGCATACCATTGCGGCGGCACAAAGTATTGGTTTACCGGTGCCATGCCAGGAACGTAGAGAGCGATCAGCCACATGGGCGCTGCCGGAAGGCTATCCAAGGAGTTAGCATGCCGAGTTTGTCAAGCAAGAACAGGGTAAACCTACCCAGCAATGCAGCAGGCCATGGTCTGGTACTGCCAGCCATGAGTGTCGTGGATCCCGCGGGACTGCCAGAGAATGATGGGAGCCACAATCCAGGCCCAGACGAACTGCCAAACGATCGAGGGCCACCTTGGAGGCGTTAGTATTGTCCGAGACGCGTGGGGGGGGCACCATGTCTAGTGGTAGATACGTACCATTCCCAACCCCTGCCCTGTTTCATGGCAATCTCCATGGGCGTGCTGCCGTATACTTCGGTTCCGGGAATACCGAAGTCGGAATGGAATTTGCGGGATATCATGTAGATGATGATGACCACGAATAACTAGAAACCCGCCGTTAGACTCGATACCAAGGGAGGCTAGGGCGGGGGGGGGGGGGGAGGAGGGTGTGGTGGAGGGGTAGTCTCACCTGCACTGCCATGCCTATCGTGACAAACATGAACATGCGCTTCTGGTACTCCATCTGGCGCAGGCGCTGGAGCAGGCTCGGCTTCCCCGCCGGCCGCTTCTCGTCGAAGCGCGTCTTCATCTGGCTCGGCGGCCGGGCGAAGCGGCTCTGGGCTTTGGCGACATGGAGGAACTGGCTGTTGCCGGCCTGGAAGAGGGCGATTCCGAAGGGATACCAGATGCTCATGATCCAGAACTCGGCAACCTCGGGAGCGAGTGGACCGACGCTGTAGCCGATCTGGACGGAGAGCCAGTAGAAGTGAAGGAGGATGATGCCGGCGAAGGTTAAGGAGAGTCCGCGCAGTCTCAGCGTCGGTGTGTTGCGTTTCTTGTAAAGGAATGTCATGCCGCAGACGAGGAGGGTCGTCCAGATGCCGGCGAAGGTGATCCACCAGATGCCGACGGCGTCGAGCCGGGCCACGGGCTTGGTGTCGGGCGTGGTCCCGAACTCGGACCCCACCGTAGAAGGCGCCCCGGAGTCGCGTGGCAAGATCATGGCTCGGGATGGTTACGTTCGGTCGACACTTGGTTCCTCAAACGGCGAGCGTGGAAAGAGACGGCATGGCTTGAGAGCCCGGACGGGGGGTGGGCGAGGAATATGTAGTTATGTGTGAGATCGTGGGCCGGCATGGTACCATGGCACCCACCCATGTAATGCACGCACATGGCGGCCAGGCAGGCGGGCGGCTTGAGCACACGGGCGGAGATGATGCGTCGGCGCTGGGAGACGCCTCCTGTGCTCCTGTCTACCTGGGACTGTGGACGATGGAGCATGGCTGCCAAGCTGGGATCCCGGCCGAACGCAAGGGCGGAAACCAAGGGCTCGATCCATGGTAATGGTGACATCGTGGGTGCACCGTGTTGTCGCACTCTCGATCCGTGACTGCTCGAAAGAGCTGCAGGAACGTCGATCCGGTGTGGGTATGGGCTCGATGGGCCCCACGCCTGTCAAGTCCCAGACCCCAGTCCCTGGGACACCGATGGGGCTGCCGGGAATGGGAACCAGGAAACACTGGTGAGTGCTCAAAGCTCCGAGTCTCGGTCCTGCCGGTTTTGGCTGCTTGCTCACATCGGCGTCGGTCAGGGCTTCGGACAGGAGTGACAGGGCTTGTGGCGGCCAATGACGGCGCCCGCATCTCCGACATGGTCCTTCGGTCGTTTCTGAGCAGTCTGATTCAGATGTGATTCTCTTGAATCGCAGGCATGTGGGGAGGGTGACGAGGGGACGGGCTCTGGGTACGAAGGTACATCCATCCACCCATCCGTTCGTCTGATAAGGACATGGTCATGGTGCCTGGACGATCATGAGGTGCTTGCTCGCTCTCTTGCTGGGCCCCCCACTGGCCGAAGGGGATGTGAATCCCACGTGCCGGGGTCATGTTTGGTGTTTCCCGATATCTGTCGGTGGTGGGCGCTTGGATGGGGAGATTGGCTTCCATTGGCTGCCTTGAACACGGAGACCCTCCGAGGTGAAGACGAGACCCTGCGGCTTTCTTTATTTTTTAGGTCCAGTGCACAGCATCATTGCTTCGTCGAGTCCTCTTTCTCGACAGGTCAGTTCGGGTCTTGTAAAGCCTCAGCCTCTGCTAAAAGTGCAGCTTGGGGCTTTGAAGCTGCATCTGAGATTCGGTCGCACACGCAGCAGGCTGGTCGGCGAACGGACGAATAAGCCCCCCCATGTCCTTCCATGCCGAGCATGCTTGGGCTGCAGCTTGTGTCGATCCCCATATTGCATGGGAGATGCCGGGGGGTGGGGGACCCGCAATGTTTCCGTGGCACACCCGTGCTCGCCGTACTCCGACTGCCGACGGGTGCTGGAGGAGCCGAGAGAGGGGGATCAAGAACCACCAGACGTCCCCGAACGGACGCTCCGAGCCCTGCTTCAACGGTAGACAAGATGAGAGATCGACAATGGTGTGTTTGGCAGTCGTCAAGCTGCTGTATTCAGTTTAAGGCCATCGTCATGACTCCACGGCCAAGTCTGACTGACGGTTCCTGTTGTTTGGGTCGCTCCCGAGGATGCCCGAAGCTGGGACGGCACGACGGGGTCATCCACATGATGGGGCGCGTATCAATGGAACATGAAGTTTCCCCGTCACGGTCATGACAGGAGGCAGTCAGCTCATCATCAGCCAAGCTCCAGCCAAGCTCCAAGCCAAGCTCTCCAGCCAGGGATGGCAAGGGCGGGTACAGGGCGGACAAGATTCCTTGGCAATCCGATGGACCAGGATCACTCGGCGGAGTCGGGAAACCTTGTTGGTGAAAAAAGAAAAGAGTTTTCCATGATCGGCCTCGCCTCAGCGCCTGCTTCCGAGTCCATGGCCCGTCCCCCAGTTCCCCAGGCTTTCCATTTCTTTTTTACCCAAACCTTTCTTTTCTCAATGACCGGCATATCTAGCGTCTCCGGCTAGACGGACGTTGTGTGAAACATGAACTTTAACGTCTCTAATCCCAGAAACGGCCCCCTCAGTGACGTAGTTGGAGGGGAGCTGGAGGGGAGCTTGAAAGACAGGTGTCAGAGTCGAGTCAGGGAGAGGGGAGAGACGGCTTTCTGCCCTGCCGGAAATACAACTGTGACCTGTCAAAGGCATGACTGCGGAATTGGGATATGGCCCGGGGGCTGGATGAATGGCTGAATGGAGGGAGCTGAACACAAGTCCGACTCGGAGCAAACCACACCGGCTGACGACTCCTGTCGGATTTCACAAGCCACAATGGCACAGAATGTGACCAGGCCCGGACCAGCGCAGCAGCCACCCACCCCTTTTCGTGCCGAGTCTCTCCCAGCCCATTTCTGCCCGATTTGGGTTCTCCGAACACGTCCCTTGCGTTGACTCCCTACCTACCTACCCCGCAAATGCAAAGAGGAAAAAAGAAAGTAAAAAGGGACAATAGTTTCCCTGCAGTGTTCCGTGGTTCCGGATCTACTCATAAGTGCAGCTTGCACGCCCGTCTTAACCTTATTGTAACGCCGGTATTGGTCCGGGGCTGCATACGTGAGCTTGAGAAAAACGATAAGGGACCGCCCGCAGTTGGCAGAATGAGACATTGTCTGCAAAACTATCATATCACATTGGTGCTTGCTTTTGGCAGCTCGTCGTGCAAACAATCCACCGAATCCCCGCTGAGAACGCCGCCCAACTTCCGAGTCCAGAACTCTCCCCGGCCCTATCGCGGCTGTTGGTCTGTTGTTTGTGTGTCTTGAGGCCAACACCGTTCAACCAATTTCAGTTTCCTCACTTCCAGTCTCGTGACACCGCTGCTCTTTTCCTCGCCGGGCTTAATCCTATCCTCCAGCCTCGAGGGCCAAGCTGAGAAGTCCGAGGTGCCACGCTAGAGCGCTCAAACCCTTACACAATAAAATGACCTCGGCGGGAATATTATCATTGCCGTTGGCTTTTGCAGTTCTCACTGAGAGAGAATGGGTTGTTTTTGTCTGGGTGTTGTTGCTCAGGTTATCACTCTTTGCTTTCAGACCCTTCCTCGAATTTCCAATGGCGAGTACGGATAGGCAGAAAGCTGTATCCTGTATGTATTCCACCGGGCAAACCACTCGGCCCACCTGCTGTACCTTGTACACTACAAGTACACTATGATGGAGAAGGAGAATCTCATTTGCCAAGGCTCGTAGCGAACTCGAAATAAAACTCCAAGCGATCTGGACGACCCCTTGTGCGGATCATGCTACACAGCAATAAGGCTTGTTATACGGAGTAATATCAAGTAACCCTGTGTTATTACGCTGTCAAAAGTTCATTTCCAGTTTCATCAACCAGCCCGGCAATCCTGATTGATGAACCTTGTCGTGATCTTTGAATTGGGTGGGTGCTGGAAAGCCGATGCTCGAACGATTGTTTGGGAGGATAGAAACTCCGAGACCCTTCGCCCTTACAATTTGACGGTGTTTACCACTCTTCGGAATTGGGGCGCCAAAGACAAACTTGGGTAATTAATTAACAGGCTCATACCAGGCTCCCCAAGCAGACTGCGAAAGAGTGGTTGGGAAATTCAACATCTACCCTAGGTACCCTGGCTGTTACTTGTATCAGATGGAGACCCAGGCTCTAGGTCGGGTAGTGTGAAGCAATGGACGGAAGATCAAGCCCAGGACATCATAACATGGTAGGTACGGAATAGGTGAGCAGCTTAAAGCTTCGGCGGTATTTAGAACGGGATATGCACATACGCTTTCTTTTCTTTTTGCCCCTTTTCTGTTTTTCCTTTCTGTCTCTTCGCTTCTTCTTCTCCGCTTACGTTCCTCAGCTAGACTAGTACTCGCATAGTTTAACTCGATTTGCCAGGAGATGGGATCCTGCGAATACGTTGCACCCACGGCATTCTTAATGGATTCCGGTGGTGCCATCTTCGACCGTGGCCCCCCAAGACAAAGGTGAGCACTAAGTAATGATCCGGGGTTGGACACCCGTGATGGATCCATTGCCCGGTTTTACATATTGTCGGGATCTGTTTCTGCATCCCGCAACCTTAGATGGCCCCCGCACAATCTTCCCGACGGCAGTAGCGCAATATGCCGCCCCGATATGTTTGTTGCAGGGAAAGGGACTGCGGGAGACCTTGCTTGGTTCGTTCCTATCCGCGCCCTGCCTAGAAGCGGATGACGCTACCATCCGTGGGACTCAATGCCCCGTTTCAATATCCTCCGTGACCGCCATGAACGGAAACCTCCCGGTGGTCCGGGGTCACATCACTACGCGAAGGCCTCAAGGGATTGGCCAGAGCTAGGTGTGAGCGCCTTGTGATGTTGCTTCGGTATGAAACAAGTCTACCTAGGCATGCCTGCTGATGAAAGCGGAATCGATGCGGCCTATGAGCGAATGAAGCAGATAGATCACATTTTCATCTCCCCTTTGGCCGAAAAGGAGGGGACACGGGGCCGCCACGGCCGAAGACTTTGTCTTCATTTACTCTTCCAATCCCCTCGCCGACCGCTGTTCTATTATAGAGGGGTTGGTCGTCCTTGTAAAGATTTAAGGATTCACAGCCTCAGCGCAGTGGCCCGTCCAAGCTTTTGGTGTTCGGGTCCGGCAATTGTGCCAGGGCCGATCCAATATGGCTAATACGCTTAGTGGCATGTCACCCCACACGATCCAACACTGGGACCCAATGCCGAGAAGGTCCGGGCGACGGGATGCCTATATTTCGGGGGTTATTGTAGCGATTGACAGCACCTCCCGGGCGAATGGACCCCGTGTTTCGGCGGTGATATACCCGACGACCCTCACCATGATATGATCTTCTCACTAGGTGAGCAAAGCCGCCCAGAACGATCGTCAAGGAAACAATGCGGTCCGTTCTCCACCTGTTGGCCGCGGCAGCGATCGGCAGCGCCGTCGCCGTCGCCGTCGCGCACCCCCTAAACCCCCGACAAGGCGGCGGCGGCGGCAACACGACGATCGAGTGCGCCCCGATCCCCTCGCCGTTCCCGACCTGGCAGCAGCTCCCGCAGCAGTCGACGCTGCCGGACCCCTTCCTGCCGCTGCAGTACACCACCCCCGACAACGCGCAGGACGTCATGGCGGGCCGGGGCGAGGGCCGGGTGCGGACGCCCGAGGAGTGGTACCAGTGCCGGCAGCCCGAGATCGTGCGCATGCTGCAGGAGTACCAGTACGGCTACTACCCGGACCACAGCCAGGAGACGGTCGAGGCTACGCGGAGCGGCAATACGCTTAACATTGCCGTGACCGCGGGGGGCAAGAGGGGCCAGTTCAGGGCCACCGTCACCCTGCCGTCGGGCGCGTCCGCGTCTAAGCCCGCGCCGGTGGTCATCAACATTGGTGGGATGCAGAACCAGGCTTACCTGAGCGCGGGCATTGCGGTGGCGCAGTTTGATTACACCTCTGTGTCGCCCGATAGCAATGCGAAGACGGGGGCGTTCTGGAGCATCTACAACGGGAGGGACATTGGTGCGTTCTGGGCTGTCATTTTGTCTTCTGACATATATCGCGCGGCGTGGGGCTAACTCCAGCAGGTGTGTTGACGGCATGGGCGTGGGGTTTCCACCGCACCCTCGACGCCATCAACATGACGGTCCCCGAGATCGACGCCGGCCGCGTGGGCGTGACGGGATGTTCCAGGCTGGGCAAGGCGGCGCTCGCGGCGGGGCTCTTCGACACGCGCATCACGCTCACGATGCCCATGTCCTCCGGGGTGCAGGGCATGGGCCCGTACCGGTACTACACCATGAGCGGGCAGGGCGAGAACCTCGAGAACAGCAAGCAGGGTGCCGGATGGTGGACCAACAGCAAGCTGGGGGCGTTTGTCAACCACTCCGAGAACCTGCCGTACGACGCGCACACCATCGCGGCGGCCATCGCACCGAGGGCGCTGGTGATCGACCAGGGAACGGGCGACCAGTTCGTCAACAGCAAGGGCACCGCCGTCGTCGTCTACCCGGCGGCCAAGGTGGTGTACGACTGGCTGGGAGCGGGTGACAAGATCGCCATTAGCGTGCGTGGGGGCGGGCATTGTGATATGAGCGGATTGTAAGTGAGACACAGGACGCATGAGACGGGTGCCGGCGTGACGGTGATGAGAATGAAGGACCAGAAACTGACTCGTGACTTATTCTAGCACATCCATCTTGCCGTATGTGCAAAAGATCTTCTTTGGTACAGAGACGACCAAGGACTATAACGACTTAGGGTCGTATGGCTCGCCCGTGACGACCGCCTTCCCGTGGGGGACCGCTGTTCCTGGGGCATGAGCTGCGCATAACGGCATCGGGTTGGACGGTTGGAGTACAGTCCTCTCCCTGAAAGTTCGCTAGCGCGTGACTTCAAGACCGGGGTCCTTGCCAAAATCTCCAACTCAACGACAAAACGGCGCTTTTTTCAACAGAAAAAAAGGTTTGATTGGAATGGTCTTTACTAACGGTTCTAGATATTGCATTTCTTTGCATTTTAATCGGTTGCTGGGCTGTCGAGGTAGGGGTTTTTGACTTTTGAACTAGGACCCCTGTCAGAGGAGCCGCGCTAACAAACAAACAAGTATTGAACTGTAGGTAGGAAATAAGCTTACTTGGGGAGTACCTTGATGGTAAATATGGAGTATTTTTGGGATCTCCATGCCGCTTGAGGAATCGGGAGGCTGCAATCTTCAAAACGAAGGAAATAAATACCGTGCAACTCCCTTCCTGCATCGTCGTCGGTGAGGCATATTCCACCGCGATGGTTTTAACATCCCGTCTTCAAGATAACGAAGATGGGTACGAACATGGAAAGATCGACCAAAATTGATGCCAGTTCCAGGTTGAGCCGACGTCAGCTAAAATTAACGTTAGGGGGAACCCCACCATTTCGTCAGGGGCATTTGAGAGCGGTGGGCCTGGAACGGGCGCAGTTGAAGGCCGCGTCTCGGCGGCAGGCACGGGATGGCACCTCGAAACATCGCAGCGTTCCATTCCAACCAAGAGTTTCTGGAGCTCCATTTCTCAACGGCAAAGTCATCACGGCGCATTGGATGTTGGTGTCTCAAAGAGCCACCCCGCCGTTGGTATTCTACCCAACGCCACAATGCAGTGATCGCCAAAAACAATTTCAGGGTTTGCATTTGCATGTTAGTTAGACTGAAAGGTGCGAAGTAGAGAATGGAGAAGCTCGGTTTGCGGGCAGATGGTCAGTTGAACCTTCTACCCGACATGATGGACTCTACATGCACCTCCCCAATCTTCCACATCACCACATTGCGATGCCATTTACCAGCCGGGAACCTCGGTTGCTAACAAACACCCGCACCCCGCAACAGATCCCCGATGGTCCTCGATACCTACCGACCTGCTCCTCGCAGAGCTCTCGAGACGCGATGACGCCAACGAGCGACCGGCATGCGGTTCGGGGAAGAAGGGGTCCTACGACACAGGCATCCACGTCTTCGCCCTGTTCCTCATCCTCACCTTGAGCACTCTGTGTATGTCAATGATGCCCAATTGCCGTCCTCTCCGGGGGTTTCAACGCTGACTGTAATACCCCTAACAGCATGCGGGTTCCCCCTCTTCTCCCAGCGCCTGACCAAGGGTAGCAAACGCCAGCGCAACATCATATTCCTCTGCCAGCATTTCGGAACCGGCGTTCTGATGGCCACCGCCTTTGTCCACCTTCTCCCGACCGCGTTTACCTCTCTGACCGATCCATGTCTTCCGCACGTCTTCAGCAAAGGATACCGGCCGTTGGCGGGGTTGATTGCCATGGTGTCGGCGTTTGTGGTGGTGGCGCTGGAATCATATCTGACGACCCGGGGTGCCAGTCATTCGCACTCACACCACGCATGGGAAGAGGAGGACAGCGAGGACGGCGATGGAAACGGGGGTGGTCACACACAAGAGGGGGAATCTTCGCGACACGCGCGCCGGGATCGACCCGCCAGCATTGCGCTTGACGACCTGGAAGCTACGGAGGGGTTGGTGGCGGGGGCTTCCCCTCTCCCGGGCTCGACACCCACCATGGCCCCCGCTAGGGAGGGGTTACTCAAAACCCAACGAGACAGCGGACAAGACGACGACCGAGAGTCTCTGGATCTGGAGCTCAGCTTTGAGGAGCTGCACCCAAGGGCGGACTCGGACCACCAGCACAAGCCCGAGCCGGCGCTTGCGGCCCTGCAGCACATCCCCGGCCCGGAGGAGCAGAAGCGCATGATGCTACAGTGCGTCCTCCTCGAGGCGGGCATCCTCTTCCACAGCGTCTTCATCGGCATGGCGCTGTCGGTCGCCACCGGCCCGACCTTTGCCGTGTTCCTCATCGCCATCTCCTTCCACCGTACGTTTCCTCCACACGCAGACAGACCCCTTCTCATACAGTTACTAACTAACCCCCCTCTAGAATCCTTCGAAGGCCTCGCCCTCGGCACGCGCATCGCAGCCCTGCACTTCCCGCGCTCGTCCCCGCGCCCCTGGCTGATGGTGCTCGCCTTTGGCGCCACCACACCCATTGGCCAGGCCATCGGCCTCTTCATCCACCGCTTCTACGACCCCATGAGCCAGACCGGCCTACTCATGGTCGGCTTCATGAACGCCATCTCGAGCGGCCTGTTGTTGTTTGCCGGTCTGGTGCAGCTGCTGGCCGAGGACTTTTTGAGCGAGAAGAGTTACAAGGTGCTCAAGGGCCGGAGGCGGGTGAATGCTTTTTTGGCGGTGCTTGGTGGGGCGGGGTTGATGGCTGCTGTGGGTGCTTTTGCCTGAGGGATGTTGGGTTGATGAGGGTGAGTGAGAAGGGGGTCAGAAGGTCAAAACATGTATTCGCATATGCATGGTTATAGACGGCGTCCGGGTGGCGTTGGAACTGGTGTGGTTCGTCTGTTTTTTGGCTTGTGTTATCATCCTATTAATACTACAAATCAGCGCCAAGTTGAACACTATTTGTCGCCCTTTTCCTCCCACTCCTGATGATACCCCTCCGTCTCATCCTCACTCAGACCATCCCATCCATTCCAACCCCTATTCCAACATGGGATCTCCCCCCCCCCCCCTCTAGTTCGCCCCACCGACATGCTCCTCAAACTGCGCCGCCGGCACCGTGCCCGGCTCGAGCGACTCGGAGAACATGCCGATGTTGTCGTGCACCTGGAAGCTGCTGGCCGTGTTGGCCGGCTGCGCCACCGTCGTCTCGCTGACCGCCCACGCGAACGAGTTGACCCCGGTCGTGCTCAGCCGGCCCCCGCTCCACTTGCTGCACCCGGAGCAGACCGTCTCGACCGTCCAGTGCGTGCTGTTGCGCGAGGCGCCGACCGTGCGGTAGGTGGCTTCGGGGTAGAGTTGCGGGAGGGTGCGGCCGCTGTTGTTTGGGGGGTGGATGTGGTTAGTTTGGGTTGGTTTTGCTGGTGTGTGGTGCTGCGCGCGGTGGGGGTTGGGTTGGAAGGGGAGGAGATGGGAAGGAAGGAAGGAGATGGGAAGGAAGGGAGGGAGAGGTGCTTGTGTATCAAGGGCGAGTATGATGAGAGACGTACCTCGACCACCGCGACGAGACGGTCGCGCTCTGGCCGTTGGGCCACACCACCGTCAGCGGGTTGAGCGTCATGCGACCGCCCCAGCCGAAGCCCACCCACCCGAAGGACGCCGGCGAGACGATCTGCAGGAGCGTGTCGAAGTCCGTGTCGGTCGCCGCCGTGTCGGGCACCGCGACGCGGAACACGGGCGCCGTCGGGCCCCACGAGTACTCGAGGTAGCACATGCCCGACGCCGTGTCGCAGTACTGGCCCGTCGTCTGTCTCTTTTCGAGCGCGGGCGAGGCCTCACCCTCCTGGCTGCCGCCGAGCAGCAGGAGGAGGGAGAGGAGGGAGGAGGTGTTGGAGAAGACGCGCATGGTGGTGTGGAGAGAGGAAACCTGGGTGGTGGGCGCTGGGAAACGTTCTGGAAGGACAGCATGGAAGGGTCAGTATATTAATATCTATGCGTGGCCCGCTCTAGCTCGCCCCCAAAAGGGGCTTCCCGACTGGGGAGGCGGGGGATCGTCGTTCATGATGGCACCGCAGGGCCTTGCTTCATGTATGTCAGGCAGGCTCCGTGCCGGATAAAATGGGGATGGACGAGCCAATATCGCCCAACCGCGGAGCTCTAGGGTGGATTGTCGCAGCACGTGTCGCTGCCTTGTATAATGAACCATATACTCACCCTGTTAAAGCTTAGGCTGAACATCACCGATGCAGGGTCAGACCCATGTTGCTCCCGTCCTCCCAGCTACCTCTGTGCAGGTCAGCAAGTCAGAGAGCGCTCCATTTACTTTTAGGGTGATGATTATCTCACCCAAGGTGATTGGATGCCGTCGGGTCGTGAGGTCGCAGCCAAACTCCAATGCGAAACATGGAGAATGTCACGCCGAGGACATGACTTGATTGATCTCAGGGAAGCTGGACAGTGACATGCACTGGTGGTACAATTCGTGGAAAAATATATGAGAAATATGTCCATCCCTTTCAAGGGGCATTTCAAACTCGGTCAGATCATGCCCCAGTAATATGGCATTAGCATGGGGTTGGAATAATACACTGGTGGCTATTCGACGATGAGTCCCTACCTAATCAGGTACTCCATGTCCAATGCTTGACTTGGGTTAATAGCAGGCAACTTACCTCTCCTTCTGGTTGGTCAAATGCCTCGCGCAGTAGTTTATACGCGGTTTGGGGGTTCATGATAGTTTGTGAGATAAACGGCCAGGGTTAGTCATGTTTCTCCTGACGCATAGTATGATGATAATTTCGGCATTGGGCCTCTTCGAGTTGACGATCCAGGCCCGTGAGATTCGCGCCTGGGGCGGTGATGCGGAGGAACCCTTCCATGTCGAGCATCTTCAGGTCATCCGCAAGCCGAAGAAATCGGCAGTCCCTGGCTCTGCTTTGATGACCCTATTTTTGGGGCGAACGAACGCATATTGGAGTTCTTTTAGAGTGCCAGTGGGCACGGAGAGCTCGGATCCCGCAGTCCAAGGGGTAATGGAGGCTACGACCCTCCAGGTGCTGGGTAGGAGACTGCGCATCTTTGGGAAGCATCTTAAGTTGCTTAAGCGGCCCGTCTCTGATAACCCGGTATCGCGGCCGGCGAATATTTCTGCTGGAAGAGTGCCGACTTCGATGGCGGACGGGTTGTCGACAGTCGGCGCTACGCATGCGAACATGTGGGCTACGGACAACGACCACGTTTTCCGATTCCACATGTCGTCGTTGTGTGCAAAGAGTCCCACAAGGCCATTGACAAACCGGCCAGGGGTCAAGAAGGCGTCTGTCAAAGGGAGGTAATGCATGGAAAGTGGTTGGTCACGTCTGACGTCGCTCATTATCGGAGGTCCCAAAACGGAGACCGGTTCCCGTTAGGGGACCTGCCGGATCTGTGTACTGATATACCTCACTACCACCACCTCCAACACTCATAGATGGGTGGCGGTTATCAGTGATGATGAGTTGCGAGACCGGGAAGGACGGTGGCGGGACGAAGGACTCGGTCGTTGGCAACCAGGCCCCGGCGGTTCAGGGCACAGGAGGTGGCGCCGGCCAGCAATATCTTGCTACTCGGGCATCGCGAATGCGCCGCCAGTGCCATGTAGAACTATCCCACCGGGCCCTCGTCTGCCCTACTCGGGGATTCCATGACGTAGAGAACCTCAAGACGTGGTAGCACGCAAAGGGCCTGTGCCAGATTTGCCCCGTCGGTGTTGCTCCAGTCCGGGCAAAGACTCAATGTGCAAAGACTCAATGTGCGGGCCCCCGAGAGTTCTGGGCCTTGTAGGGCTGCCGTGACGGCTTCAGCGCTCAGACCGGGGAACTTGGCCGAGTCGAGAAAGATGTCTTCGGCGAAAGCAACTCTAAACAGCACCGAGGGGCCGGGAGATTTCACAAGGTCATCCTTGGCGGCGTACAGATGGCTCCGCAATACCCCTTTGAAGCCCGTGGGAGTGACAGCGGTGAATGCATTTTCTGCCAGACCAAGTATTTATATTGATGCCGAGAGCAGATATGCTGGCCGAGCCATCGCGCCTGTCGTACGGGCTGCTGGTATTTATGTGTATGTTTTAGTTTTCGGGTGGTTGGCGAGACAGGAAGACTGAAATCGTGGCCTGGAACGGGGCCGTTGTTGAGGGTCTGGGTTGAAAGTCTTTACCAAGACGAAGCTGGGCAAAGAACCAAAGTATGATAGTACCTAGGTAGGTAGTAGTATCGGATATCACAGGATTTATACCTAAGATCAAAGGTCGAACATGCGAGAAACTTATGATGACACAAACAATTGACTTGGCCGTGATTTAAGTAATCGCTAAGGTACACGGTACCTAGGTAGGTGATCAGTGACTCGATGGCTGCGTCACTGGGCTGGGACAAGAAGGGTTTTCTTTTAAAAAGTTACAAGTCGAGCTTGTGTCATTCTTTCGTCCGTTATTGTGATTGTGATATCATGGGACATATCTATCTTGGGTTCAGTTTGTGTCATTGCATCATCAACACAGCTGTAATATGTAAACTTCTTACAAGCCTCCCCCGCCCGTTAGTTGGATACGGGCAACTTAAACACCGGTGCTGACGGCTACTTGTTGGTTATCACTGCTCGTGGAGACAGGTTTGGAATTATACTGTGGAATTAGCTTATGGGCACGAGTTCCCCTCTAACCTCGCTGTGTGCGCTTGCTCACCACCACCCAATGATAGGAGACTGACTGCTGCCAGGCATGCAGGTTACTGGTTCCCAAACTTCTCGGCGTGGGTTGTGCCGATTCCCTGGAATCCATAACTGCCTACCTATCAGGTACCTTAGCGAATGCACGAGTGAAACCCCGCACTCGAGAGGTTGCTCAAGCTCAGTTGTAACCCAATAATCGAGGGAGTCCAAGGTTGATTTTTGTACAGCCAGTTCGGCCATGCCCAGGGTACCCCTATCTAGGTACCTGTAGTTTTGCTATTTCTTTCTTTCTTTCAAGATAACGCGAAGCCATGGACCAGTTTTCACCAGCAAATGCCGCATCCACCTGCTCGGCCTTGTTTGACAAGGCGCAGTCGATGGTCACCCAAACCCAACGAGTCCTTCAGGCGGTCCAGGATGACGGTGAATTTCACCAATCCCTAGCCGCACTATCATCGAGACTCCAGCAGCTCGGGCACCATGCTAACCAGCTCGGGTACCTCATTGCCGACGCTGCCGTCGTGCATTCCCAGCTCGGACTTGTCCTCCAGTCTGGCCTCGCCGAGTACCAAAGTGCCTTGGCTGTTGTCTCGGACGGGCTGGATGCAGAGGGTGACCGGACCTGCGACAGGGACGCCATCGCTGGCTACCTGAGCTTTGCTGCCGCCTCCGTCGCCCTCTTTGTTCTGAGCGCCCAGCTTTTGACAATGTGAGTCTCTGTCCGCATGCTCGAGCTCGATCTCCGAGTTTCGTTGTTAACCCCATTCCAGGGAATCGGAGAAAGAGCAACAGTCAAAGTTGGCCAACCCGGGGGGCACAGCTATCGTGGATGCTGCTCATAGTGCCTCAGAGCACGTTCTCTCATCCAGCTACAAGATTAGAAACTGAGGCGCCGTATCACTTAATCCCCTGAGACTCGGAGTTATGGTGGTCTAGAATTAGACTTATCTAGGCCGCTTTTGCTCGCGCCAGCTGGGGCGAGTTGGGTGAGCGGGGTGAGCACGCGGCTCATGTGGCGTAGCCATGCGTCTTGCATTTATCTCTGGATCAAAGATCTTGTTGTTGAGCGTGCCTGAAACCACCCAGGTCAGATATTGCAATACCACCACGAGACTGCTGCAAGCTGAGCATAAACTCGGTGTCCTCCTCTGATGTACACGCGCCGCCGTGCTAATGAAGAGAGATCCCGCGCATTCTAGCGGCCCCTGGAACGGACGGGCATAGTTCTCAGGACCTGGTCGGTCAACTGAAGTTGCTCGTGAAAACTCGCTATCATTCGACAAAGTTCGTCCTTCGTTTCCTCCGGTGAAGCGTAACCCTGCATCACAGATGCGGATGGTGGTGCAGGGACCGGACAGGAGGGGGGTAGACGTGTTTGACTGGGGTCGGGGGCCAAATCCAGTGTTGTCATGTCACTCATGTGTGAGGGCGAAGAGCTGTCGTGGGTTCTGGGTGGAGAGCTTGGGTAAAGATCCTCGTTCAGGTAGACGGACGGCTCCCTAGGTCTTGGCCCGAAATTGGTGTCGACAGCATGCCGCTCGAGATCAAATGGTGTTTTCAGGTCTGAGCTCGTCGATGCGGCGTCCGAACCCGCCGTGGATGGACGGCTGGCTTCTGTCGTGTCGATTGCAAGACTCGCATCGAGGTCAATCAGGCTCACGATCGAAAGACGACTAATGTGAGCTGTCGGTGTCATCCGATCCAAGTCTTGACTGTTTGCGTGATCATATTGCCGGTAGGCTGACGTCGGATCCTGTGCAACCCCAATGGGCTGGGGGTTATTGCTGAGCTCGGGGGCTGCCATGTCAGGGGCTGCCGTCGCAGGTGTCATGGACGGGAATGACCAATCCTGGGTCCGTCGCCGATCAACGCCCTCGACGAGGGCTGTTGCTGGCCTCGCCCCTGGTTTTATTGTATCCATGTCAGCGAATTGTGACAACTCGCCTCCATCTAACGACAGGTCAAGGTCGATCAGGGATTCTCGGATGGTCGGCTGCTCCGGGGGCTTTCGTAGGGGGAGATCCGTAATCGGTGATGGGAGGGCCTTGGAGTAGAAAACTCGAGCATTGTCGTCATAGTTGGAGATTGTGTGCGGGTCGAACACTCTCTCGAGGGGCACTTTGAACGTTTTGATGTTGGGAGGTCGGCGACGACGGGCTTGTTTCTGATTTTGCCAGCCGGGAAGGTCAACGTCTGGGCCGTAGACATCAAAGACAGCCTGAGCATCCGCATTGTTGAAGTCGAAGCTTTCCTCGGTTGCGCTGAAATTCCATTCGTCGTCAGGGACAACGGAAGGTGACAGGTCGTTGGCTGGACCCTGGGCGCCGCCGGCGGAAAACAGTGAACGCCTGTTTCCGCCCTGTATCTCCCAGACCTTGTAAGCGTTCACAAGCTTTGAGAGAGAAATGGTCGGGTAGTCGTCCTCGGAGTTGTGGATGTACGGATGCTGCTGAACCCGTTCGATGTGAGGGCGCAGGGCCGGGTCCTCCACCATGCAAAACGCGACAAGGTCCTTTAGTTGATTCGAATACTGATCACCTATGAGACGGGGGCAATGTTGCTTCAGGTATGAACCGAACTGCGAAATATCACCGATTGGGCCCGCGTTCGGTGGCAGCCCAGTAGCCATCTCGTAAGCCATCGAACCAAAGGCCCTGTACGGAAATTGTCAGTTGTCAGGTTGCCTGCCAAATCTATAGTGCACGAGGGGAACCGATGTCCCAGGGGTGAAACATGCTTGGATGGATACAGTAAGGTAGGCATACCAGATGTCAACCTCGGAGCCGTATGAAACGGTCGAGTCAAAGAGCTCGGGGGCCATCCAGTGCAACGTTCCGGTTACAGTGCTCCTCTTGTCGAACTTTGTTTCAAGGAGCCCCGCAACGCCAAAGTCGCAGAGTTGAACGGCTCCAGCTTCGGTGATGAGAACATTGGCGCACTTGATATCTCGATGGATGACACCATGCTTATGGACCCAGTAGGCGGCCTCGGCAACTTCCCGCAAGATGGGAATAATCCATTTCTCGGTCAGGCCGCCAGTCGGCCTCATAAGTGTGGACACGCTGCCTCCGGCGCAGTATTCGGTGATGATCCATATGGTAGGGCCAACGAGCAGGGTATCGATGACAGTGTTGATGTTCTTCGCGCCGCTGTCACCGAGAAGCTTGAGTGTCTGGACCTCCTTGAGAATGTCGCTGAACGTGTCTGCCCTGCCAGGCTCGAGGCTATCTCCATCGTCTATGCTGACCATCTTAACGGCGACGGCCTGTCTGGACCTGATGCTAGTGGCTTTGTATACACGACCGAAACTTCCCTTGCCGATCAATTCCAAGAGCTCATACGGCGGAGGGTCTCTGCCAGCATTGCCGCATTCTTCGACGACCGCGGATTGAACGGCCCTGGCCTCTTGGATCGCTTTTTGTTTGGTCGCCGAATACTGGCCAAGAAAGCTCTGCCTCAGTGTTGCCATCATGATCGCGGTATGGGGTCTCCCGGAATCCGGATCGAGGATTAAAATTCAGCGTCATAAATCTGGGCGCGATGCGTGGCAAACCCTGTCGAACGAACATTGTAAGGTTAGCAAATAATAAGAAGGTAGGGCAGGCAGAAGAGAGAGGTCGCCAACCTCACCCCTGGCTCACCCGGCCCGGTGAGTGGCCAGAGTCTTGGCCAGAGCCAACTGCAGTATTATTCCGGGAATAATATGTTTATGGATTTGGTGCTGGGCTAAATCATGGTTATTATCTCACCGTGATGTCGTGGGCTTGCAAGGTCACGGGATACGAACCTGGGACAGGCCCGTATAAGTCATTAGACTGATACCTAGTGGTTTGAATTGTTCAGGTTCTCATTCCAACCCCCCAACGCCAGGTCAAGTCCCAGAGCACCTCCGCACTAATAACACTCCAACTAGTTGATCTACAGGTAGACCATCCCGCCCCTGTAATTCCATACCCGTGCTGAACATCCAGATTGCCCCTCTCTTCAAATCAAACCAGCCCTGGCAGCCTCGTTCCCGCCCTTCTCCATGACGCTCTCGACCTTTTGCTTGCCCTTCCCAATACCACCTTCACCAACGCCCATGCGCCGCGCGACGTATTTCTGCGCGACGATGCCCACCGAAAGCCCCAGGGCTTCCTCCACCCACTCGGCCACCCACTCGCGGGGGTCCACGCCGCCGCTCTCGATGATCTCGCGGATCTCGTCGGGCACCCGCCCAAACTCGGCCTGGAACTCCTCGTCCCCGCTGGCCGGCGTCACCGGCGTGGCGGGCGCATCCAGCCAGCGGATCCACCGCGCCCGCACGGGCTGGCTGACGGTGGCGTACTCGATCTCGTGCACGGGGTCCAACAGGTAGACGGCGAAGCACACCTCGCCCTCGGCGTCGTCGTCCTCCTCCGCCACCACCGACGTCTCCTTCTCCCTCTCCACCGCCGTCGACCCGGCGAACAGCGCCTTGTCCGCCTGCACATTCACGGCCTGCACCGACAGGAAGATGTCCGAGCTGCGGACCGGGTTGGACTCGCTCACGGGCTCGGCGGCGCGCTGCTTGGCCTCGGCGACGCCGCCGTGCGCGGCGAAGTAGTCGGCCGCGTACCCTTCGGCGTTGGCCCGGCACAGCTTGGTGCCCTCCACCAGGCCCTGCACCACGCCCAGGTCGCGCGCGATGTCGGCCTGCCGCCACCACGGCCCGTCGCGCCAGCCGGCCGCCGACTGCTGCGCGCCGCCGCCGAAGAGCGCCGCCCCCGCCGGCTTCTCCGCGGCCGACGGGCTGCGCAGTGTGAATTCCTGCCCCCGCTGGATCACCATCAGGTCGCCGCCCTCCACCTGCGCCATGACCCGGTTGAAGACGCCGTAGATGAGCGGGTCGAGGGACGGGTACCCGACCAGGTCGTGGGTGATGTGGATGAGGAGGCGCTCGTGGGAGGAGATGGGGGGAGCGAGGGTGTGGAGGATGTTGGTGAAGGTCGGGAGGGCGCGGTGTCGGATCTCGTCGCCTGGAGTGTGGGGAGAACGTTTGTTAGTATTGTGTATTGTTGGTTTAGGGCCATGGTTAGGGGAGACGAACTGAAACCTCTCAACGCTCCCACGTTGCCGCGGACTTGATCCGCCCACTTCTTGGCCTCTTCGTTCTGCTGGATCTCCTTGACGGCGGCCTCGGCCTGCTTCATGGCAGCCGATGCGGTTGACAAGATGCCACCCCACCAACCGCCGCCAGGCGCACCACCCCCTGCTGCTTGTGCCTGCTGAGCGGGTACTCTCTTCTCGCTGTCGTGCGGTTCGGAGCTCGTAGCGCTCGGGGTGAGGCTTGCACGGTGCGACCCGGTGCTCTCGGCGGATTTGCGTGCGGCGTCGGTGACGGGAGGGGGTGTGTTGGTGGACGTTCGTTTTGCGACATCTCGGACGCGGGGAGTGTGCGGCCGCTCTGGGGCTTTCTCGCCGAGTTGGTTTTCGAGCTCGGCGAGGATATCTTGATCAGCAGCATCGGCTTTGGGTTTGGCCGTGGCTGGTTTGGCTTTTGTGGGTTTCTTGATGGCCTTGTCGCCGCCGATGCCCTCGAACAGATCGCCAAGCTCGTCGTCGGTGGGGGGGGCCTTTGTTCGTTTGCTAGCCATTGTTGCAAAACTCGAGATTTGTAACGACGTGCCTACGTAATAACGAATGCGCAGTCAATGCAAGGCGACGCGATGGAGTGAGGTGGTGCTTCGTGCAGTGCGGTGCAGTGCACAGATGTCGCGTTGACCACTGAAACCAAGTGGGGGGGCACGGGAGCCGCTATGTTGCGTCACGGGCTTCACCTGGGTCAGTCAACGAAAGACAAGGCAAGAGGTTGGGTTGGTTGGGGGGTTCTGCAAGCGGGCCGGGCTGCAAGCAAGCTCCTGCAACCAGAACCATGCGGGCCTCGGTCTGATGCGCGCCCCCAGCCATTGGCTTGTCCCAGCAGCACTCGGACGGAGTTTGAAGCGACTTGGGTAGGAAAGTCAGCTGCTGGCAGCTGTGGAGGTGGGGCTTTCCTCCAAGACGGCTGGCGGAATGCGATTGGGCGTGGCTTATTCGGGAACCTCCAGAAATTGACGTGAGAAGAAATCTAACACGCAAGGAGGGCGATGCACGCTGAGTACTCGGTCTGATATTCACCACTCGCATTGCTATTGTGGCCATCCAACAATACAAATAATCACTACTGAATACTTCATTCATCCCTCCGCCACCCTCTTGTATTTTTTTGGGCATCCAAAGGGCTGCATTCTTCTCTCTGCAAGACGCAAATAAGCGACCAACCTGGCTTTGGGAGCTTTGGCAGCCCATCTGACTTTACCCTGACACGTTGGAAACCAGCCCCAGTATTACTCGCTTTAGTGCGATTCTCTTTTTTCGCCGCAGCCATCCGTCTCTTACACACACACCCACCACCTCGACTACACAACCCTCATCGACATCACCGCCTGGATGCAGCATCCACCTGACGACGGTCGTGCAAGGGGCGCTGGCGATCAAATTGAATTACAACCGCCCTCCATGGACCGCGGCCGCAGCAGCATCCCTCGCGGGCGCGGCGCAAAGAAACGTGCCACGCTTCCGTCTCACTCCCATTCTCACTCTTACTCGTCACATCAGACACTCCCTTTTTCAGACACGGTCGCACCAAGCACTCCTGAGCCTTCCAACATCCCTCCCCCAAACAGGGTGCCATCTACTGCACCGCAGCGAGGGGGTAGACTCGGTGCCCGCCAGGCCAACAACACGCCAACATCCTATCGCGCCTCGTCTCCCGCGACTGACCGGGCTGACCGGGCTGATCGTCCAGTTCGCAGTTCCACATTTCCTTCCTTTTCCTTCGACGTCGAGTCGCCACCGGCAGCAGGCTCTATCATGGCTGCCCACGGCCCTGCGCGGAAGAGGTCAAGGACCTTTGAGGCGTCCTATGAGGGCGCCGCCGATGATGAGGGTCATTCGAAAGGCGGCCATTCTTTGCGGAAGCGTGCCCGTATCGATTACACGCAGGAGATGATTGATGACGACCTCGGTCTGCCTACAGCTAAGAACGACTTGGTCGTCAAACCCGCTGCTACCCCCGGCGCTCGCACCCGCAAGAGGAAAGGCGGCCATGACGACTCCGGCGATGAATCAGAAGACGTCGCCTCAAACCCCAGTAAGCGCCACCGCATCGACAAGTCTCCAGTGCCGCCTCGAATGCCTCTGGCTCGCCGCCGCAACCCATCCAAGAAGTTGTCCGCGGATCTCACACCTTATGTCGACCAACCATCCGACAATGAGGTACAAGATACAATTCTTGTCAGCGTGCCCAACACCGGCCCGACACCCCTGTCGGAGGCATCCGAGAATTCCTCGTTGCAGGATCCCGAGTCGCGTCCGAGCTCTTCAGGTGAGAGCGACGCTGCCCGCGTTCAAGTGCAGCCGCCGACGCCCCCGGCACAGCCGTCCCAGCCAATCGAGGACGCCATGTCTATCGTGGCGGAAGGTGACGAGGCGATTGAGGATGCCATCGTCCCCGATCATTCTTACGACCAACCTCAGCCTCAGCTCTCCCCGACCCCTCTTTCACTCGTAACTGGTAGGGAGGCCGAGAAAGCAGAGCCGACTACTGAAAATGAGGCGATCAAGTCAGACGACTTTGAGTCCGCCGTTATGCAAGACCGCGAGACCGCCCTTCCAGAACCCCTCGACGGCCAAATCAACGAGGCTGGCCGTGAGGAGCAGAGCTCGCCCCAACAATCACCCAAACGGGATGGGACGTCCCCGGAAGCATCAACAACGAAACTTGAAATCCCAAAGCTCGGTCAGGTCCTCGCCCTTACATCAAGAGTGACCTCCGCGGCGCCTCAGGCTTCGCAAGCGGTGGCACCTGCGCTCCCCGTTTCTCTCCCAGCGTTACTCCTGGGGTCAAAGCCGACAGGACCTGCAAGGGTCAAGGCGCTAGAGCCCATTTACGGTGCCGAAGTTCCATTCGCATCTCATCTGAAGCTGACACCATATGAAAAAGAGGATATTCCTCTCCCGGGCCCGTACACGGAGTGGGTGCACCCAGTCCAAACTGTCAAGGGGGAGCCTACCCCTCTCGCAACCCCTACGCCTGTTCCCTCCCCTCTGGAGAGGAAGCCTACCGGCACTGAATGGAACCCAAACCGCCCTTTGAAGTACAGCGAGTTCATTGTTCTTTACAGCAAGGAAACAAAACGGAGACAAGAGAAGGGGGAAAAACCCATCTCAATGCGGGCATTTAATAACGAATGCGCTCGCCGGTACAAGTCCGCCCACGCCCAAACATCTGCCTCACCTACCTCGATATCAACTCCAGAATCCACAGCTAGTTCCACGGTCGTGGCCAGGACACCGACACTCATGACCACCGCTTCCGTTGAGGAACCAGCCCTTCGAGACTCACAGCCGGTTGAATCTCGCCCTCCCACCGCGGCCCCCTCGCCCGCTCCTGTTGATGACGCCATGGGCCAGGATGACGTACCGGAGGACGAACAAGATGCAGACGAGCCGATGGATGATCAGGTCAAGGCGGACAGCCCTGGCGAGCCCGTGGAGGTGACGCGGAATCCGCACACGCAATACCTATTCCCCAAGATTCGCGATTCCAACGATTTCGCCGAGGCGTTTGAGGGGTGGCAAGGCTTCTCCAATGAGCGCCTCTACGAGACCGTCGCTGCAGCGGTGGAAACCTTGCACACGTACCAGCAGGAATACAATGAGCTCAAGAAGCTCTTGGACGACGAAGATAATGCGAAGCGCCGCCGGGCCCACGACAAGACCGTCATTAACTGGGAGAATCGCCAAAAGGCAGACGAACCACTACCCCCTCGGCGCCATTTCGACGACCCGGTCAAAGGCCCGGCCCCATTTGAGGTACGCGGAATACGCGCTCCTCGCCCCTACGTCGACGACCCCCTGCTGGAGCAGCAGAAGGAGGAGGACCGTGTCATGGCCCACGCGTACGGCTTCAAGCTCAACACCCACCCTACCCAGGTTGGCCGGCAGAACCCGGAGGAGCAGCGGTGGGAGATGCCCGAGAACCGACTGCGAAAGAGGACGGAAAAGGGGGCAGAGCTTGCCGAGGAGAACGTCGTCGAAGGGAAGCGAACCAGGAAGCCGCGCCACGTCTCGGACCAGAGCCAGGATCCGAGCCGGGCCGGCACACCGACAGGTATTGCTGTGTTTGGTCCCGGGCGCCGCCAAAGAAGAAAGCCCGCCGCCGCCACTGGGGACGACTTGGACGGGCTGGAGCAAGGCCATTTCGCCGAGAGCTTTTCGGAATCCCCCCGAAAAGGGCGCGCTGCACGTGCACGCGCCGCCGTGCTACTAGATGAACGAGACCAGATCGCCCCAGGCGCCGGAGCGGACGGCAACCGGACAGAAGACGAGGAACGGGATGCGGAGAAGCCCAAGGCCACGCGCAGGCGCGGCAGGGGTGCACTGTCTGTGCCGGAGCCACCAACGTCGGTACCTGTTGGGTTCGGCGGCGAGGCTGGCAAGCCGAAACGCGCCCGTAACGGGAAAGGGTTGCAGCCAAGCCACCAAGCCGGCGGCGAGATGGTCAGCTCGTCCTTCTACAGCAACGCCTCGACGCAGCCCGATTCGAGGCCGTCGACCTCGTCGTCCAACGGCACGGCCCACACGGCCGAGACGACCGAGTCGACATACTCGCTGCGGGAGAAGCGGAAGCGCAACTTTGCGCTCGAGAATGACCCGGAGCTGGAAACCCGCGCCCAGCGGCGGAACCGGGGCGCGGCTGTTCAAAAGCCGAACGGTGCCGCGACCGTGCCGAAGAAACGGGGGCCGAGGAAGAAGGAACCGGTCGCCCAAGCACCACCACCCCCGGCTTCCGTTCCGTCACCTTCTCCACGCCCGGCCAGCCCCCCGCCGCTGCAGCCGCCAGTGGCCACAAAGTTTTACCACAACTTCGTGACCGGCCCCATGGTGGTGGATGCGGGCAACGGTTCCCAACCCGCGGCCACACAGGCGGGTCCGTACATGCACACGTTCAACGCGGCACCCGCATTCGTCGCCGGCACCCACCCCCCGCCACCTCCTCCCCCGTTGGTGAAGAAGCCCATCACCAAAATCAAGCTGACCAACCACGGGGCTTCTTCGTCGGCTCCCTCGCGGGCATCGACGCCGTCCAACGGGGCGTCTGGCGCCAAGCCAAAGCGACCGCGTGGCAAAAAGGCTGCTGCGGCGAACGAGGCTCAGCTGGGCGCGGCGGCAAACGGGGACGGCGACCTCGACAAGCCGTACGCGGAGATGACCAAGTCGGAGAAGATGAGCTGGTCCATGAGGAGTAAGTCGATACCCTTCCCTCACACTGACAGAGCCAGGCAGCTAACCTTGACACACAGGACGGTGGGCTTCGGGCGAGATGCAAGGGGCCGTGGAGAAGCGGCGCACGACGCTGGCCAACAAGAAGGCCGAGAAGGCGGCGGGCAACCCCAACGCCGACGGCAGCGATCCGAACGGGATGGGCCAGATGACAGACTCTGGGTCTGCGGGGCCGTCGGACCCGACCACGCCGGCCTCGATGCACGGCCAGCCTGGCTCCGGGTTGCTGGCTCTGCCCCAGGGCCCGCCCATGATGCTGCAGCACCCCCAGCCGCACCCGGGGTTCCTGCAGCAGCCGTCGTACCTCTATGCGATGCCGCATGGGCCACCTCCTCCTGGGCCGCCACCGGGACCGATGCCTTGAAAGTTTTAAGACATCACATTTGGGGGGGGCCTGCTGGCAGGCGACAAGATTGGGTTTCAATATGGAAGATGGCGGCGTTGGAAATCGAAGCATTTGCGAAAAGTTGGGCAGTTTATCATGATCTTTTTTGTTGCGCAGGGGACGGGTTGTGGCTGTATACAGAGTGATTGCGTTGTTTTCTTTTTGCTTTTCTTTTTCTTTTTCTCGTTTTTCTTCTCTGGACTGGACATTTTCCCCTGGCCGAGAAAAAGCAGGCCGCATGGTTCTTTGTATGCTAGGATAGCATGGCACTCTGGGCATTGGGACGGAGCATGTCTTCTGCATTTGCATGGCGCTCACGGTGCATGGTTAGATTGCGGACATTGGGAATATGAGTTTGGCGTGGTTCGTTTGCATTTACGCACGTACTTAATACCTACTTAGTATTGCTGCTGGGTATCGCGAAGGGCATAGGAATACAACATTGGTCCTTCGAATAACATCATCCTGCGCCTGTATCCGGGCTTGGTGTTGCTATGGCCCCAGACGTAGGCGTTGGGCCTGTGGACCTGGCAGTCCTGGCAGTCCTACAAGCAGTACGAGGTTGCTCTGCATATCTGCATAGGTACCCGTGATGTAAAGTTCAGAGTTGTGGTCACACATAATGTACCGCAACCCCGTTTTCGGTGCGTTTTCGCAGCTGCACGCAGGGTTAAACCCGGACGCCGCCGTGTAACACCACACTCTTATTTGAACGACACTTGGACATCGGACTGGCCAAGTTCTGCAGCTTGACGAACACCCCATGGTTGATTTTGACTGAATTATAAGAGCGAACGAATCTATATTATGAAAATTTGCCGTAGAAAACCGTTTCACCCCCTCAATTATCCATTGCCGAGGTTGTTCAGAGGGTTGCGGAAACCATCAAGGCGGAATAACAATGTCTTTGTCTCCTGCAGAGCTGGGCCACAAGCCAATCAAGTCAGAGAAGGGAGTTACTCGAGTCGGGACTCGATATTGATGTTCACGGGTTCAATATTCACAGGCTCCCCACCGTTGTTCCGAGTTCATGCTCCAGGGGGGAGGGGGAGAGGGAGGGAAGAGGTGGCAATGTCGCAATGCCCGAGCCAACTCCGAGGGGTGATTGAATGTTGACGCTGCAGACTGAACGGTTTCTCGATTGGCAGGTTGGGCATCGTTTTCTCACTCGCTGTTCGGACATTAGTCTCGTTGTTAAGGCACAGCTTACAAGGGTAAACAAAGTGTGATCAACAGTCGCCCCATGGCCAACATCATCATGGTTGACCACGCCAGATGATGGACCACGTCGACCACCCACCAGTTCACGACAGCGACTCAGGGAGCAACAGTTCGTGAAGCTGCAGTCTTGGCTTCGTGAGCGGGGCCTCGGAGCCTGACTGCACCCGACGGGACTCGAGGGCATTCAAATTCAGGGGCCGGAGTCCCCATGCTCGCCCCTGATTGGACCACCTGTTGGGCTCCCAGTCGTTCCAACAAACCGCCGCCACCTGGACTCGCCCTGGAAACGCGACGGGTGACACTAAGAAGGCATGCATGGTCTCATAGGTGATAAAGTTAAAAGAAAGGGTTTCAAGTAAATTGATAAATTAACCTGCAAACTCTCTCCCATTTTTCAACAACCTTGGTCTCTCCCACAAGAACGAAAATCAACTGTTTTCTTCTTTTCTCCACTCACGTTACACACACTCACCGCATACCATTTATTTACTTACACACCGCATTACACACACCGCAGTACACAGACCGCATTACACACACCACAGAACCCATTGAGGACATACACCACACACAACACAACGCAGTTACACACATCACACACCACACACCACCTTTCGCAATGAGACTGCTCAATGTTTCAACACGAGAGGTGGAAGAATTCCACGGAACTGACATCCCCGAATATGCAATCCTCTCGCATACATGGGGGACCGAAGAGATGACGCTTCATGACATGGAAGCCATCGCGAGATATCGTCGATCACAACAAGAACCTCCAGTAGATATGATGCCGCGCAATGCCGACACCCCAGACGCCATGAAGTTGATGCTACTCTCGACCATGTTGATGGCCTTTCGCGGAGACCGAGCCCGCGCGAATCGGGGTCCACCCCTTCCGGCCCTCACAAACGGTTACGAAAGCGACGACTCCGACACGAGGAGTCAAAAAGGCAGCGTGGTACCCTCGGTAACACTCCATCCCTTCGAGCACAAGGCCGGTTACGCCAAGGTTGCCTACGCGTGCGGCCAAGCAGAGAAGGACGGATATCGATATGTCTGGGTGGACACCTGCTGCATCGACAAGCGGAGCAGCGCGGAGGTTTCCGAGGCGGTGAACTCCATGTTCGGCTGGTACCAACGAGCAGCGGTGTGCTATGCATTCCTCGAGGACGTTCACTTCGACGACTACACAGAGGCCTACATGACATGGAAAGACCACTTCACCAACAGCCGGTGGTTCACTCGGGGCTGGACACTCCAAGAACTGCTGGCTCCGCGGAAGGTGGTGTTCTACGCCAGGGGATGGAGGCTACTTGGGACAAAATCTTCGCTCGTCAAGCACGTGGCCAAGATTACCGGGGTGGATGAGCTGACTCTCCTCGAGCCAAAACTCATCCAGAACGCCAGCGTGGCCCAGCGCATGTCCTGGGCCGCGAACCGGACCACCACCAAGCCCGAGGATCTCACCTACTCCCTCCTGGGCCTTTTCGGCGTCAACATGCCCATCATCTACGGCGAGGGCGACAAGGCGTTCCTCCGACTGCAAGAAGAGATCATCAAGCGATCCGACGACCACACCATCTTCGCCTGGGGCACCCTCGGCGACTCACAAGCCCACGCGGCCAACTACCAAACCCACCCCCCGGACCTCGACGAAATCGACTACGACGACCTAGCCGGCACGACCGGCATCCTGGCCGCCTCCCCGAAAGACTTCGCCGGCATGGCGCACGTCGTCGCCTCGCCCCCCGCACCACACCAGCAAACCACCGACTACGCCCTGACCAACAAAGGCCTGCACATCACCCTCGACCTGACCCGCACGGGCAGCGGCTACGGCACGGGCACCCACCTCGCCGTGCTGCACTGCCACGCCGAGCACGACCCCACATCCCGCCTCGCCCTGCTCCTCACGGAGACCTCCACGCCCAACATCTTCCTGCGCACGCGCTCGCGCGCCCCCACCACCGTGTCGGCGCCCGACCGCGCCGCCGCAAAACCCCGCCGCGTGTACGTCCCCAACACGGCGGCGCCGGATACACCGCGGCCGGGGGCGTCGTCGTCGGCGCGCCTCGCGGACGAGGTTGTCTTTGTGCGCGCGCCGGACCTGGTGGCGCCGGGGTATGATGTGCTGGATGTGCGCGGGGCGAGGGCGCAGTGGAATGGGGAGTTTCGGAGTCTGAGGTTGGGGGGGGTGGATTATGGTGCTGGGAAGAAGGAAGGGGGGGGGTTGTTTCAGCTGGCGGTGGTGACGTTTTGGAATCGGCATCTGAAGTGTGGGTTTGTGGTGCGGATTCTGGTGGAGGGGGTGTCGAGGGCCGTGTTTGTCGATTTGTTGCAGGGGGTGCGGGCGGATGGGGGCGCGGAGGGGGATGGGAAGGGGTTGGTGGAGGCGGCGAGGAGGGCGTGGGAGAACCCCGGGACCGTGGAGGTTAGTGTGCCCGTGCGGGGGGAGGATAGGGTGGCCAAGAGGAGGATACGGGTGCAGGTGATGACGCCCGGGGAACAGGAGGGGGAGGAGCGAGGTCGGCAGGGCGGTGCCAGTGCCTGGACATATCGTGCGGGACACGAGGTCATGGTGTCGGGGAGCGTCACTTTCACTGAGAAATGGGAGAGGGACTATCAGCGGACTGTCAATGCCAAGGTGGAGCGCAAGAAGAAGGGGGCCATCGAGCTGAACATGTCGTCCATGCTGTGGCAGGCTGCTCCGGTCATGGGGGGAGAGGACCTTGACCAGCCGTCCTAGTCATCATTCACATCTTTCCGGAGCCTGGGTAGGCGCCGGTGTACTTTAACCAGTTTCTTATGTTTATATCAGTTTCTTATATTTGTTATTACCAAGTTCGATGTCAATAATATCAACACCGTTACATAGCATCACAACAGCCGTGGCCAGTGGCCAGTACAACCCATTCCGAGGCCGGTTTCTTTGAGCACTCCATGTCCAACGTACAGGTACTGTGGTCTCAATCACCAACCCGACCGCGTGGCTACCGAGCGACGCAATCTCAAAGTTAATTTCATCATATTTCCCGTCAGTCTATGCTATCAACATCCTCACCCAGCGCCAACATCTCCCATTGTACCATGACGTGTCCCTCCTCTAATTACCCCTCTCAAGCCAATCAAATCAGAAACCGAAGCTCCGAGACCCGTGCTGGTTGCTTTTTGTCCACCACCAACTTAGGCCGGACAATGACGCGACCGTCATCGGTATCCAAGAGAGGCTCAAGGACCCCGGTAGTCTTGAGGGCAGTGACAACGTCAGCGGCCCAGTGGTGGGAATGGCGAGGCGGCACGTCTGGGTCGATTTGTTTCAGTTTATCACCCCACTGCTTCGGGGGCGCGGGGATACCCTCGCAGACCTCCTTAACCGACGCCTCGCGCCGCACCCAACCAATGTGCTCCATGGTCTGCCCGGTCGAGGACTCGAACGGGTGGCAGCACTTATCAAAATCATAACGCATTCCATTGTACAGGTCGCCGTCGACTCGGAATAGGTGGCCCCAGGACGAGAACCGTTGTTCCGGATCGGTTTCCACGCAGATGGCGTGATGGGTCTCCTTGGTGCATAGATAGGTGACCAGGTAAACACGGTAGTGGGTTCGCTCCGAAGGTGCACCATCGCGGTTGACCATCTCCCATTCGGAGTCAGCCATGTTATGGGTGTTGCTGGAGATGTAGCTGCTGCTGTTTGAGTTGGTACTAGTGGTTGAGGTTACCTAGGTACTAGAGCTGTCGGTCGATGGAGTTGGTGTCAAGATGAGGGGAAGAGCGTGTTGGATTCGACTTCAAATATGGAATTGTCTTCAGGAGGACAAATCTTGCTACAAATTGACGAGTAAAGGAACATGTTCTTTGGCGGTGTAATGTGTGGTTAGGGATGCGTTTACATCTGTTCCAATATTTGGTCCACAAAGAGCTGAGAGAGTGTTAGAAAGGAAACCGTGACCCTGAACCCACCGATGTCGAACCGGACGACAATACACACAAAGATAGCCGGGAACCAGGAGGTGAACGAAATACATCTATCAGCGGCCACTCAAACCGGGGATGGGAGTCTGGGGAGTATGGATGCAGGAACAACAAATGTTAATTAACCGCCACGCAAAGTGGCATCACAAATTGACGTAACGTCGGAGAAGGGTGATGGGCACGATGCTAGCTACCTAGGTAATTCAACACAGCCTCATCATGATACGCCGGTCCATCAGTGCGCTCCGCCACTGGACGGCCCCGACAAAGAAGGGAGGGGATCTATCTCCCGGCTTTCTATCTATAGGAGCTGGGTCCATTGCGAGATGGAAAGGAGCGTAATCGTCCGCAGGGCGGAACGGGGCGGGTTCGGGTTTTGCCCCGACGAGGTATCCCCATGAGGTGCCGATGATACGCGAAATTATATTGTTATGTGCAGGCTTCGGCTCCTCCATCAGCTTCAAGAGCACCTGGACATTAGGCGGGTCCAGTTGTTGAATCAGGGCCCGCAGGGAGATTGCATGCGTCGGATGGCCCTCGGAGTATTCCAAGCCGCCCTTCACCTTCTTGCGAGCGAGGAGGGCGAAGCAGTTGAAATCTGCGCCTGCTTCGATGAAGTACTGGATGACCTCGCACTCGGCACGCAGGTCCAAGGAAAGCGGGCGGTTTATCACCCCGCAGGCAAAACGGGTGCAGACCAGGTGCCAGACCGTATGTTCGACACGCGCCGACGTGCCAGGCCTGTCCACCTCCACCAGGTGGTCTGGGCGTGCGCCAGCGGCCAAGAGAGACTTCACCAGGGCCGGTTCTCTACCACACGCAGCAGAAAAGAGCAGGGACATTCCCCCCTGCGGCTGGAGCAGGCTGGGGTTGCCGGTGACTTTTCGCTCGACATAACCCGTGAAGCCGGCCGAGGCCATGAAGTGAATGAATGAGACACCCCCCCCATCCCCACCAAGCATGCTACTATCCAGGTGCTGAGAGATGCCTCCGTCACCATATTGCTTGTACTGCCCCATGGCTCGATCATAGCCATCCAGGATATAGTCAAGGTTTCCATTCTCTTGAAATTCAACCCGGATCTGTGTCAAAAAGTCCCGGTATTCCTGCAGGAAATGCCAGTGGCGTTCCAACCTTGCGAAGTGGAGCTCGGCCAGAAAAAGACGGGCATAAGTCGACACATCGGTATAGTTGGGAAACCTCGTGGCAAATTCTTGGATGGCTGGGCTTTGCGCAACAAAATCGTGGACGGTACGGTGAAAGAACGCGACCCGCCCCTGGTAGAAAGGATGATTCGCATAAGTCTCAATCTGGAGCAGACCCTTTGTGAAGCCCTCGACTTGACATCTTGCTTGGAGATGCCTTTCTTCGATTTCCTCGTCCGTGTATGGTTTGATTTCGCGGTTAGTCGGAAACTCCGGCTCATCCAAATCCCTCAGCCATGTCATGCTCAGCGCGTTCAGCGGGAGCATAAGTGAGCGACACTCGGCAACCAGAAGGAGCATCCTGAAGGCCATGGCCCGATCGGCGTCCTCGATGGACATGAACAACTTCTCGTACAGCTTGTTAAATTCTCTCGGAAGGTATTCCAATTGTTGTTCGAGGGAATCAATGGGATCGTGGCGCCCGGCAGCGTTAAGAAGGGCCCGAACCGCGAGGGATGCCCACAAGAACACCCCGTCAGAGGCGTCGGCGACATTCTCGATTAGGCCCGCATAGCAGTCCCGGATCTCCGGGCGCTGCTTGAAACACCTATCGTTCTCAAACATTTCGCGCGCCGCGAGGACGATATCAGACCTCGTAAACTCGTGCAGACGGATGCGCAGTTCGTCTGAGAAGGTGTCATCGAATTGCCGGTGCGGGCGGGAACTGGCCAGGATCTTGATGTCGTCTTGGGCGGCCCAGACGCTCAGAGAATCGGCCAAGAGCTGATGCTCCCTCTCATGGACGCCGTCTCCGCCGTACTCGTCGAGTCCGTCGATGAAGATGCAGAATCGATACCCGGGCGGTGGCGACTTGGTCACCAGGTCTTCAAATGCTTTGCGGATACTACGGGGATCAACGAAGAGCTCGTCGAGGGACCCTTCGATTCTGGATTGGGAGAAGTTCCTGTGTGCTTCGGGGAAGACGTCTCGTATCAGCTCCGGGCACTTGATGAGAATCTCAAAGAGGACGGCGCGGTAGAAGCCTTCTAACGAACGCTGCAGCTCGTCGCCGGATAGCCAGAAGAAGAAATGGGCAGAGACGAGTTGTTTCTCGCCGGCCCACTTCTCCAGCTCCTCCTTGGTCTTCTCGTTTTCCAACAGGAGCTTCATCATGGTCGATTTTCCGGACCCTGCCTTGCCTGAGATGTGGAATACGCCGTTGCCGTTTCTCAACCAGTGCAGAAAGCGGGACGCCGCCGCGCGTCTTGCGCGGGTTGCCCGATCTTTCACCTGGTCCCTATCCTTTCCCCCCTTATTCTCCGAATCCTCCGAGCCATAGGTCGCAGAGCCCAGGATCCACTCAAACGTGTTACCGCTGGCTTCAGCCACGTCGTGTTTCCGCCGATACAAAGACGGGGAAAACAATTGCCTGAGAACCCTAATCTCAGGCGAGGGCACGGTATTGCTCCTCAGCAGGTCGTCAATCTTTTCCAGTGCCGCGCGCAGCAGTTGCAAGTGGTCACTGGCGGCGGAGTCACGCTCCCGGTCCCCGTCCTCCGCGCTTTGACAAGCACCGCCGCCGCCGCTGGAGCGTTCGAACGCCGGGGGTGGGTCTGTCTGCTGCTGCAGGAGGACGTCCTTGACAGCCTTCAAGACGTCGTCTCGGAAAACTTGCATCTGTTTCGTCGTCGGATGGGACGACTGTTTCTGGATCTGCGATTGGAAGTCGGACAACTGGATCTGAATGGATAGCTGCCGTTCGCTGGGAATCAAGGCTTTAATATGAAAGAGTAGTCGGATGATGGTATGGTAAAAGACCTACTTGAGGATGGAAACCAAATGAATCATAAGCTCGGAGCGATATTTGGTCAGCCGCTCTTCCAGGTCTGCCACGTCGCCTTTCTTCCGCATGGAACGGAGAGCCAGCTTCATGGCCTCCCAGGACGAGCCTCCGGGTCTTGTTCTCAGCGTCCCTAGGAGGTCGGACAACCTCCCCGCTACCTCTTGGCATCTTTTGGCAAGATCCTCCAACGCGATCTCATGCGCCGACTTGCCCGAGGGCCGCCGAGCCAGCGCCTTCACGACGGCGTGAAAGTCGTTTAGGACAATGGTGATGTCTGTGTTCCTCGTGAGACTGCCCGATTTGAGTACCTCCAGGGTCCCAGTCACGATCTTGTGGCCGAAGTCGATAAAAGTCAGAATGCTGGCCGCGAAGCCGACCGCGCTGATAGGGTCCATGCCGCCGGTCGGCTCGGTGTCTGCTGTGCTGAAACAAACGGGCTGCCGGGATAGCTTTGAAGTTGAGTAGTAGCGAGCTGGATCGGAGGGATCGTCTTGTCAAGGCTCTAGGTCGGCGACGGATGGCTGTACGTATGGTTTGGGGAGGATTAAAGAGTGAAAAGGAGGTTGACGCGGGGCCTCAGGACGCGGCCGCGTGCCGATAAGTGTTGCTGATTAGCGCCAGCAAATCACACTTCGGGCAGGTCGTCCTGTATCGATGGCGCCGCGGCCGCCAGCCGAATCGGTATCGGGATACGGGGACTCTGGTTGGGCGCAACCATAAAGGGAAAATACAGGGTTTCCGGAGATGTCCAAAAACTGGTCCCCAAGGTAAGGTACCTGGTTATGTACATACGTCTTGGTAATCAGAACATACTTGTTACGGGGCTACGTAAGCTCCTTCAGGACAGAACCTATCTCGACCTCGGATACGCCGGCGGTCTACCGAGGCCTCGGTCGTATCAAAGCTTTACTGGAGGCGGGTTAGGAGTTACTCTAGACCCTAAATATAGACTTGGTTAAGCTTGGCTGGGTGAGTACATTATATATAAATGCCATGGTCCGACATAGTCCGTAGGACCTGCTTAACAATGTTGCCCTTCGGGGTACTGCTATAGGACATACATTAACCAGCCGCCGAGCGAGAAGACCGAGACCTGGAGCCCTGTATTCCGCTCTCCATCAGAGACAGAAGTTGCCGTTCGGTGCACAAACCTCCGTACCGCGATTTGGTTGGGAGGGGGGGGTCAACTGTGTATTGACAGTTCAAGAATGGTTGCGCCAGTCAAAAGCTAGGAATCTGGTGATGCGTTGAGCGGCGGTTGGTAAAATCCTTACCGTCGCCAGCCATTTATCGTTTTCTCGCTGTTCAACGCTTTTAATTTCCAACGTTGAATTTCTATAAATGTTGATCCGGGCCGAAACGTCAGAAAGTTCAAACGTTTCGCTTGCTCATCAACCATGAATTGATAGTTGGTCCGTGCATGGAAGAACTGCAAAATGGAAATGCGCCTGAAGCTCCAGGCTCTCGCGCTGTATTTTTAGGGGCCCTTACCCGAAAGTTGTATTTTTACGTGTTGGAAATGGGAGTCGAACATACAACGTCACGGTCACAGGCGAGGTGGAAGTCAATTGAACAAAATGAAATTTCTATCTATCACCTGTCTAGAAGAAGGAAGGAAGATGTGATATATACGTTGAGGAAGTCGCATTGCGGGTTGCGGTCTTGGTAGTGAGCTGCCCGTGAAGTGTTTGAGCTTTCAACGCTTGAACGCGAGATTCAACGTTTGAACCGCGCAACTGTAACTTAACGGTAATTTACGGCCAAACAAGGTGGGGTAACGAGAGAGCCAATAACTGTTGCGAGCGAGCCAACTGTGGTTTCACAGTTCGTTACATACAGATGACGCAACCAAAAGAACTGGCTCACCGCCCGTTAACTAAGCTGTGAGTGTCGATGGGCCCTTTTCTGCCAAGCAGAACCGCTGGAATCTGGAAAGCGGTGAGCCAATTCTTTTGGGAGCGTCTTCCGGACAGTTCGAACTCTCAATCAACAGTTGACCCAACCCCCCAAATCCTGGTACGGCTCCAAGGGGAAGGGCCGGTCCATCGACTGGCCGATTGTGGGGCCTGCCGGTCCGCCGAACGCCGGTCGACTGGCTCGTGTGGTGGGTGCAACGAAAGATGTCATCCCGTCATCCCGGCACCCCCTCGCCCGACCAGCGAACTCCAACCAGCCTTCTCGCGAACCATCCTAGCGGCTTCGAATTATTTCAGACCGGCCCACAACCAAGTAATGTAAACAGATTGTAACTGTGACCATGCCTCCCCAACTTCATCATGAAGACGACGACTCCGCCAAGCCGAAATTCAGCCACCTTCCGCTCAGCACGAGTGGCCCACTGAAATGCGCGCTCAAAGGCACCGTGCTGCTAAACCACTCCTACTTCAACAAGGGGTCCGCCTTCACTAAGAAGGAGCGTCACGATTTCGCGTTGTCAGGTTTGTTGCCGCAGAGTGTCCAGACGCTGGACCAGCAGGTGCAGCGTGCCTACGAGCAGTACTCGGCGCGGCCGGACGATCTTGCCAAGAACACCTTCCTGACGTCCATGAAGGACCAGAATGAGGTGCTGTACTTCAAGGTGCGTCGGTGGTGTTATGTGGGAGGATGCCGGGGAATTGGGAGAGTGCGGGGATTGACACGTGAGTAGCTGCTGCTGGATCATCTCGACGAGATGTTTAGCGTCGTGTACACGCCCACTGAGGGAGACGCCATCCAGAATTATTCGCGGTTGTTTAGGAGACCGCAGGGGGTGTTCTTGAACGTGCACGACATCGACCGGGTGCATCACGATCTGTCGCTGTGGGGGATGTCCGACGACATTGACTATATTGTTGTGACAGGTGCGGCATCAACTTCCTTCTGAGCCTTGACCTTCGCTGCGGGCATGAGCTAACTGAGCTAGACGGCGAAGAGATCCTCGGCATCGGAGACCAGGGATGCGGGGGCATTCTGATATCCGTCGCCAAGCTGGCCCTCATGACCCTCTGCGCCGGCATACACCCGAATCGGGTGTTGCCTGTGGTCTTGGACTGCGGTACGGACAATGAGACACTGTTGAAAGACCCGCTGTACCTCGGCCTCAGAGAGAAGCGGGTCAGGGGCGAGGAGTATGACAGGTTCATTGAAACCTTCGTCAAGTCTGCCCGGGAGCTGTACCCGAGGGCCTTCATACACTTTGAAGACTTCGGCTTTCAGAACGGTGAGGGGGTCTAGAACCTTCAGAGGGCAAAATCTGACTTGGCAAAGCACGGCGGCTCCTCGACAGGTGGCGGCCAGACATCCCCTGCTTCAACGATGACGTCCAAGGAACTGGGTGCGTGACCCTCGCCGCTATATTCGCCGGCCTGCATGTGTCGAAGATGAAGTTGAGTGACCTTCGCATGGTTGTGTTTGGTGGAGGGACGGCCGGTGTCGGTATCGCAGACCAAGTCCGCGACGCCATCGCGACTGAGCGTGGCATCACCAAGGAGGAAGCCGCACGGCAGATATGGTGCGTTCCCTTCCGGTCCGACCTCCTGCGCGCGCTAATGTGACTCCTGTCGGGTAGGCTTGTTGACAAACCGGGGCTTCTGACTGACCAAATCGAGAGGCTTTCGGATGCCCAGAGAACCTACGCCAGGTCAGAAGACTGGACCGATAAGGAGACAAACCTTTTTGGAGTGGTGAAGGAGGTCAAGCCGAATGTGCTGATCGGCACATCCACCGTGCCAAAGTCGTTCACGGAGGAGATCGTGCGCGAGATGGCAGCCCATGTCGACCGACCCATTATCCTGCCGCTCTCCAACCCCACGAAGCTGCATGAAGCGACCCCGGCCGACCTGTTCTCATGGACTGGCGGCAAGGCGCTTGTGGCCACGGGCAGTCCGTTCAAACCCGTCAAGGGCCCTTGGGGCCCGGAAGGCAAAGAGGTGCACATCGAGGTGGCCGAATGCAACAACAGCGTCGTTTTCCCGGGAATAGGACTCGGCAGTGTGCTGTGTCGAGCCAGACTTGTGACGGACAAGATGCTGATTGCCTCAGTCAATGGTGTGGTGGGGCACAGTCCGGCACTGAGAAATGATACGGCGCCGCTGCTGCCGGGTGTTGGTGCGGTGCGCGAGGTGAGCGTCAGAGTTGCGAGGGAGGTGATTCAAGCTGCCGTGGAGGAAGGGGTCGCGACGGAAGAAGGCATCCCAAAAGATGAGAAAGAGCTGGATGAATGGATTATGGAGCAGATGTGGGATCCTGTGTACCGACCGCTCCAGTACGTCGAAGCTCACAGCGCGAGTCGCCAGGCCAAAGGGGAATTGCGCGTCGTCGGCAGTTTGCCCCAGCGCCAATGACTCCACTAAAAAAAGGGACATCGCTGGACGGGCACCCTCTGGCCGAACAAACCCGAACTCGCAAGAAACCTGGAAGGAAATAAATCCAGCAAAAAGAACAAATAGAGGAGAAATTGAATAAAAGAAAGCAAATAAAAGAAAGGGGGATAAAAGAAAAGTAAATGGAGTAAATCTAGTTCCTCTGGGATGCAGGATGGCTTTCGTTTTGTTCCTACAGTCGAGGACTTGAAGTTTCCGTGGTCGACATCTGCACTCTGGAGTTCGGGCTTTTTTGTTCTTGAGGGTGACGGGCTCTTGGGCCGAATTGCTGAGCCCTCACATGCATGCATTTTGGGCCCATTCAGAGGGTTAGGGTAGGTGGGAAGTCGCCTTCCTCAGCAGCAACTCCTCCACGTGACCACTCACAAACTTGGTAGGGTTTCCGGCCCACACCAAAAATTATCGCGAATCGCAGTCAATTTTCCGGTGCCTTTTGCGTTTCCCGAACTTTCGACTCCCCATCGTCAAGTCGCATTTCCGCACCCAGACACTCACAATGGCCAAGCTTTCGTAAGTTTATACCGTCTTGTTGATTTCGTGCCACTCTCACAGCTACCGCCGAATGCCGAACCGCCGCTCTCCAGTGCTGCGAGAAATTTCGCGATGGAGGGGAATTTGTGGGCGAACTGGCAGGAGACTGCGCAAAACCCGGGGAGCGGCGGTTAACTGCGGGTAGCAGCTGTTGAGAAAGCGCCGAAAGGACGCTGAATTTACATTGCTAACTTCTGCCAACAGGCGTGGTGCCCCCGGTGGCAAGGTTAAGATGACCCTGGGTCTCCCAGTGTACGTGCGATCCCATTATCCCAGCCCGAAAACCGACCTCTCGACCGACCGACCCGATCCGAATCAAGAATATGTTGGGAATAACGGAGTTTGTCGCTAACGGGAGGACAGTGGCGCCATCATGAACTGCGCGGATAACTCCGGCGCGCGGAATCTCTACATCATCTCCGTGAAGGGTATCGGTGCCCGTCTCAACAGGCTGCCCGCCGGCGGTGTCGGCGACATGGTGATGGCCACAGTCAAAAAAGGAAAGCCCGAGCTCCGGAAGAAGGTCCACCCCGCCGTCATCGTGCGCCAGGCCAAGCCCTGGAAGCGTTTCGACGGCGTCTTCCTCTACTTCGAGGACAACGCTGGTGTGGTACGTGCTTTGGCGGGTTGCAGGAAAGAGCAGGCCTCTGTTCGTCCGAGGGCTGCTCGACCCTGCCATGCCGTGTGTCCCGTTTTGTGCCACAAGGTCTAACATCCCACAGATTGTCAACCCCAAGGGCGAGATGAAGGGCTCTGCCATCACCGGCCCTGTCGGGAAGGAGGCCGCCGAGCTCTGGCCCCGTATTGCCAGCAACTCTGGTGTTGTGATGTAGGAGCGTTCCTTGCGGGAGCGATGGGTTATTTGGCATGCGGGATTTCGAGGAACGAACGATTCTGTCGACCGAAGATAATCTTCCACCTCGGACGAGGAAGACAGGATGAGGGCCATAAAAGGCTCGGGCTGCATCGGCAGCAGGCTTTGCATTTCTGGCTGCGGCGTGCTAGGGAGTCATACCACTGCATGATATACAGGTCAATTCAGAATCAGTTCTTCGAACTCTGTCTTCCTGGCCTAGAATTTCTTGACGCGCAAACATGCGGCAGAGTTGGACAATGACCAGCAACTGACACCGACCACGGACCGGTGCCCGTAAAAACTCACCACGAACGACATTTCCGATAGCGCTCAGGCCCGACGGTCCTTGGATTCCTGCTCCGCAGCGCTGCGAAGGTCCTGACGCAACAAGAACTCGTCTTCCCGGCCATGTCACCAGCAACCACTCCCCCGAGAGCCTTCCCTGCCCTGCGCTGTGAACGCCATCCTTTCAATCACTTCGGCGGAGCCGAGCGGAATTTGCTTGGCACTGCAAATGCGGCAAGCTCCTGGCCTCAATGCATCTACTCGTACCACTGGAAGTGAGTGCGCGGTTGGAATTGCGACCGCCTGTGTCCCGCAGCAGTGGCCCCACCCTTGCCGTCTTCAGCGGCGTCCATGAGTTTCCCCCAGGGCCCCCAATGTCTCACGCTGCTCATCAGTGCCCCTCCGGCCCGCCAACCCCCCTGCCCAACACGTCAGCCAAGCAGACGGCTTTTGGGGAAGCCATACCACCGGGAGAGTGGGAGCTTGAGCTGAAGGTCCTCCTAGGCGTGGAACTCATTCCGTTATCTTCCTTTCCCGTTTGCTCAATTTGTTCAGTACAATTTTGGTCTTCGGTGGCCCTGTTGAATCGCGAACTAGGTAGACGGTCTCGATTCGCTTTTCTGTTTGACTTCTTCGTACCATCCCTCCTCCCCCCTTTTCGCTCCAGCCCATTCCCCTCGGAGACGGCCAACTCCTGCCCCGCCCTGCCCGTCTCGGTGAGGATCGCCAGACGAAGGCCCCCCAGGCAAGGAAGCGCATCCGCTAGCAGCCCAACGGGTGCTTGACAGGATGCTTGACAGGGTGCTTGGCGGGGTGGCGGGGTGCTTGGCAGTGGTTTTTGACATGGTTCTGCCAAAGGATGCTGCCCAGGGATACTGCACAGGGGTGCTTGGTGGGGTACTTCGGAGGGGTCAACGAATATTGTCTGGACCACGTCGACAGCAGGGACGGGTACGCGCGGCGGCGAGACTGGTCGGGCTTCCATCGCAGAGCTACCCCGCCATGTCCCCGGCAAAGACAGTTCCAGGTTGGTCCCAAAACAGCAACGCAAACGCGGGTGCGGGTGCTTTTCAGATGCTCCGACAAAAAGAATTGGCCTACCGTACCCACCAGAGTTTTTACAGGAGTTGTCCGTCTATCACGATAGGTATCTAATTTGGAAGGAAGCCAGTTTTTTGAGGGGGACAGGTTCTGCCAACAGGTTACCCGAACCGGCGTCCCCGAACCTTCTCCGAGACGTGAAGTTTTCCAGTACCACCGGCAGCCGCAATCTCCAGCGGGGCAGCGTTCTGCCATCACTGCGGGGTGGGGGGTCGAAAAGCCTAGCTAGGCCCGATTAGGCTAAGCAGCGATGTCCGCGCCCGCGTCGCCCGACACGCACGGGACTCAACCCCACCACAAAGCCCATCTCTGACAGCACACCGCCAGCCTCAGTTGAGGCTCATCACCATCCGCGTCTGTGACGAACGAGAGCATGCTCGGCACCGGTGAGTTCGCCGACCCCGCCCAGGCCGACCCGGTTGCCCCGCGAGACCATGACTCCAACAGTGAGTCAACAACGGCCGAACACACCAGACGTACCTGGCGCTCCTGGGACGAAGTGACGAAATACTGTGTAAGCAACTTGTGAGTTGCATTTCCAGTTTGAATCGAACATGGCTTCATGAAGCTGGGATGACGTAAATGATGCCATCCATCGCCAGCTCGGGCGCGAGCAAACCCGGCACGTGCCCGGGCACGACACTCTTGGGAGGGACCGCCCAACGCCCCAAAATGTTGTAAACACAGTAATTAAATGGAGTAATCACTGTGTTTTTAGGCCCAATTAGAATCCCAGCTTCTGTATTCGTACTGTGTAAACCACCAATTTCAGCCCGCGACCATTGAAAGCCAAATTAGGTCACAGGTGATCAATCCCATGAGCTAGCCTCGCCACGACAGAGAGCCGATCCATGTCTTGGCATCCATTCACTTGCACCAATCCAATTCAACTGGAGGGCTGGGTTCAGCCCCGAGAGGCAAAGTTGCAGTCCCTCAGGTTGTCTTGCGGAAAGGGCCCTTGTCCTAATCGGGCTTAGTCACCCCGACCCCTTGCATACACGGGCAGCAGGGACCAGAGCGGTCCTCCCTCTGGCCAAAAAAAGTGAGGCACAAACCGTTTCCACACCTTTCAAGACGACAGCGACCGCCTTTCGCCCTTGTTTTTCTCGCAGCAGGTACTGCGACAGAGAACGAATTGGGTAGCCCATAAATCCTTGATAGTAGGACATTATTATACACTTACAGCGAACAAGTTTGAGTTCGATCTGGCCGAGTTCTTCCTCATTGACAATTTTGTGCCCCTCTATTTATTTTTGGCCAGATGGAGCCCTCCGTCCCAATCGGTGTTCATCAGATCGGCAGGCCCCACAATTGGCCGCTCGATCGGGGAGACCCCTGGTCTTCCGTTTGATCCAGCCTTGTCACACCGCAACACCAAAGATGAGATGCATCAAATATCATGACTTGCATCCGTCCAGCAGACCATACCTAAGGCCGTTCTAGGTTCCCTTCCTTCGATGCTGTTCTTTCTTGGTTCCACTTTTTTACCCCGTGCTCAAGATCATGGAAGCCAACGGTCCGATGCAGACATGTCGCGGTATTTCGCAACTCAGCAAAACAAAACCAAGATCCTGTGACATGGGAAGCAAACGGAAACGGAATGACGATGAAGCGGTTCCGATCTTGCAACCGCAAAAGGGTGGAATAAAACGACAGCACTGTTTATCGTCACACCGCCTCGGAAGTCTTACCCCTCAATCGCGTCGTCAATATTCGACTGCTCGTTCATGGAGGGGTAACCATCAGCGATCCCAAATAATTTCCCGGTCTTTGAAGACAGGTTTCTCTCTGCTTGACATGGGCTCAGGGCCCGACAGCCGGCCCACACGAGCGGCCCCACACGCTAATGCACCACTCTGCGGCCACGGCACTCTGCCGTCCCCCTCCCACTGCCGACCCCCTGTCAAATGGAGGAGTGCACCCGTGTCCGGACGCATGGAGGGATCTCATGTTGACTTCACGTCCTCCACAGATCAACTCCCCATGGCGGTACAGTTGAAGGTTTGAGGGATTGCGCAGTTCGTTCACATCGATCCATAGCGAACCCGGGTGAGATCGATCATTAGGGAGTTATCCCGTTTGTATAATTCTTCTCACAGGAGCCTTTTAGCAGCTCGCAAGCAGCCCAGTGGCTTGGGAGTGACGCAGACGGATGCCTGCTTCGTCGTTTGTCGTTTTCGTTTGAAGTGCCTTGCGTGCGCGCCCTGGTTCTCGGCTATTGGTGTGCTCTGTCATGTAATTCGACGGCGGTGAGCTTCTCTTCAACATGATAACCCTGTCAGCTGTCACTTCTTGCAGGTTCCTTTGCACATCTGTTCGTGGCAAGACTGAGCCGGCGGGACAATCTCGCCGATTTGAACTTGAGCCCAACCCTCCCGCCCCTTTTCTTGAGACCAACTTCCTGCTACTTCCTCCCATTCTCATCCCACCATCAACTCCTTCCCACTGGGACATCAAATCTGTTACCAACATCAGCAACCCAGCCGGCAACTCCTATTAAAACCAACTCCAATAAAGCCCACAGCCCCAACAACACCAGCGCAATGGCCGACACGACTAGCACCACGCCTGTCACCCACTCCAGCGACGCTTCCGCCTCAATCCTTGCCGGGACTGGCAACATGTCCGCTCCCGTTTTGAACCCTGTGTCGAACCTGGCGTTGGGCCCCCGTTCAGTCCCCATGCTCACCAACATGACAAACGCCGCCGCCGGCACCACGTCGACCAACGCTGCCGACACCATGTCGACCAACACCGCCGACACCATGACAAACGCCGCCGCCGGCACCACGCCGACCAACGCCGCCGCCGGCACCACGTCGACCAACGCTGCCGCCAACACCATGACAAACGCCGCCGCCGGCACCACGTCGACCAACACCGCCGACACCATGACAAACGCCGCCGCCGGCACCACGCCGACCAATACCGCCAACACCATGTCGACCAACACCGCCGACACCATGCCGACCAACGCCGCCGCCGGCACCACGTCGACCAACGCTGCCGCCGACACCATGTCGGCCAACGCTACCGCCAACACCATGTCGACCAACACCGCCGACACCACGCCGACCAACGCCGCCGCCGGCACCAAAGCCAACACCGCCGCTGGCTGCAACATCGCCACCGATGTGTCTTCCACGACCACCGGTGACCATGGCGGTGACAACAGCAACAACACTGAGCCGTCCGAGCGGACCCACCATCGCGTTTACCTGGCCACCTACCTCACCTTCGATCTGCCCCATCACGCCATCTGCGTGGAACTCAAGCCCAACAACAACACCTTGGCCTGGGGTCGCATGTCCCAGGTTACCGGCGATCTCTATTCAGGAATGGTGTTCAACGCCAAGGACTGCTGCCATCCGTTCATCTCTATGAACGGGGACACCATTGAGCACATTGGCTGGGCACACCAGGACACCAGCGTGGAGGAGGCCTGCCGGCTCGTTTCCCCGCCCGGGCAGCAGGTGGATGACAATCTGAAGCGGATCAACCCTGGTGTGCCCCTTCGCCATTGCCACCACTGGGTCGTTGACACCATTGCCGAGCTGCGGACCACCGGGGTCCTTCAGCCTCTGACGGCCTCCGACGATGGCAGCGTCATTCCGCGGCTGGGGGCTATCAGGCACATCACCGGCATGTAAGGGCAGTCGACGGCCATAGGTACAAGGGGAAGGGCTGCGGATTTCGATTCACATTTGAGAGAGCTTTAGGGCAGGCGAGCCGGGTGAAAGATTGATAGCATGAATTGACGAGAAATACCACGACATGACTGATGAGTGATGAGTGTGAAGATGTATAACCCGTGACCGATGATCTCTTCCAGCAACCACAAACATTCCACATGCCTGTCACCATCGCACTCATTCCAAGGCTTGCCACAACAACAACAGCCACAACAGCGAACAGGGGCAACACCCACCTGCCACAGCGACAACAGCCACAATACGCATCGCCACAACACGTTGAGCCACAATAGCCACAGAAAGAGCAACAACACTTCCACAATAGCGGTAGCTACAGCCACAACAGCCACAGCCACAGCCCAACAACGGCCAAAACACACAACACCACAAATGTGGAACTGTTTCTCCAAGCGAGCAGTCAACCCCTCCAGCGACAGCAGCCGTAACAGCCACAGCAGCCACAAGTCTTACAGCCACAACAGCAACAACCCCAACAACACCAACCACAGGAACCACAGCCACAACAGCCACAAGAGCAGCACCGACAACAGCGACAGCCACAACAGCCACAACAGCCACAACAGCCACAACAGCTCAGCATCTTGTAGCGAAGCTCAGACCCATGCCAACCTTGAACTTGCTGTTGGAATCCCGTCGCTCGCGAGGGGCAATGTAAATAAATAAGTACGCACCTAATCTGATAGCGATTACAAATGTACTAGGATAGAACCGTTCAAACACGCTGAATCTAGCGATTTGAATACTGTTAAATTGATCAGAATAAAGTGAATTTTGCAACGCTGACGATGTGGCTGCGGTGGCAGGCGCAGGGGCCATTGGCGTCCCACACTCTGGCCAACCTTTTCCAAGAAGAAAACAAGGAAAAAGAATAAATAAAAAGAAATCGAGCAAAAAGAAAAAAGAAGAAAAAAAAAAGGGCGCGGGGGAGGGGGTGGGAAGGGGGGGGGGTTATATTTACTTCTGAACTCGGCCTTCGTACAGAGTTAATTTGACTCCCAAGTTAGTCAACCTATCAGCAATAGTAGACTTCGGTGGAAAACCATCCAGCCTAACTCGGCGACGTACTCGTCGAGAATCTTTGGAAGCCACTCGCCCCAGTCACTCCTGTGAGAGAGTTGCTCCATGGCGCCGCAGTATTCCCAAAAGGACGGGCACCACCCAGAATATTGCCAGTCGATGATTACGGCAGACTTGTCGTCATCTCGAATCATGATATTGCCCGGGGAGAAATCGCCGTGGTTGAAGACGGGGCGGTGGCCTCTGAAGACGATACGATACAGGCGGCGGAGCCAAGTCATGTAGTACGGACGACCTTTTGCCGGTCCGTGCTCTCTTTGCTCGAGACGGCGGCACATGGTATCCGCCCACTCCTCTTCAGTCGCTTTCGGGCCGGAGATGGCGCTGTCCGAGTGTGGCTCGTGGACCCTATCCGGGTTTCCGAAGTGGATGTCCAGGTTTGGCTGCCCCCAAAGCCCACCGCAGTAGCCTGGTGACGGGATTGCGCGTAATTCGTCCATGTTGCGACGGAGCTGTGACGTGATGACACTTTTCTCCTCGTAGCTAAGACCGTCCCATATGGCCCCAAGAAGCTGGCCGGGGATATACTCTTGCACGATGAAGTTCAAGTTTGTTTTCTCATCGTGGAATACGGCATAAACGGTCGGTACAGGTACGCGGCTGGACTCCTGCACAAAGAGTTGGTTCTCACCCTCCTGGAGGAGGGCATTCGACTGTCCGAACTTGACGGCAAAGTGATCGCGAACGCGGACTACCCTGGTGCCATACGGTTGGGATAGCTGCTCCTTCGACGCAAGGATTTCGGCCACCGTAGGGAGGTCGGGCCTGGAGCCAAAGAACGGAAGTTCACAGCGGGAAGCCATGGCTGCGGTTGGTCTTAAGAGGTGCTCAGGTGCTGCGTGTCAGCTATCAAGTGATCGATGTCGCAAGAGGGGTCCTCGACCCCGAAGTTATACTCGAAAAGGGAGAAAGGCTCGAGCGGCAGGATATGTGGTATTCTTTGACTCCGCGGGAGCTTCTGACTAGCTATCTATTTGTCCGCGACCATACATTTCCTGGGCCTGAATTGTCCGCACAAAGCCCACTTGTTGGGCTGAATACCCGGGCTACTGCATTCTCGGGGCGGGTCTTTGTGGTTGTCGACCGTGTTTATATTCGGACCATAAAGGGGTATGTTGAGAATGTCGGGAAACTTGGAGCCTCGCCTCTGTGATGCCCGCGCGTGAACGCAGCCAGAGACGGGGACTATGATGGCCCAAAAGCAAAGAGTTGGTCTTGCAGCGATTCCAAGGGGGAACAAGCGCTCCCCCCGGCCCACCACCAGCCCCTTCCGAGACCCAACACAAGACGTGCCGAGAAAAGAAGGCTCCCCGAAGAGAGGCTCACCAGGAGATCCGTTTCCGGCTCAGAGTGGCTGGGGAGGGTTGCTGCGACAAGAAAAGGGGACCTGAGAGTTGGTCGGTCGGTCGGGTGGTCGGGCGGTCGGGCGGTATTTCGTGCCGTCGCCGGGACCACGTTCAATTCAACTCCAAAGACGCGCGACACGCGTGATGGGCCTACCTGTCCAATGTTGCTCAGCATTATCCAACAACAAGAGCGTGTTTTACCGGCTCAGATGGAGTGACGAAAATACAAACTGCGAACGAAGCTAGGCTCGGAAAGCGGCCGAGATGCTAACATCGCAGACTTCCTTGGTAATCCGTCGCTTTTTGTCGCCGGAGCGGAAGAGTATCAAGCACAACACGATCGAGTTCGAAATTTTTCTCGCTGCTGGCTTCCGAGGTGGGGCACAGGCCAGGTCCACGCAGCGGGCTTCAGGGGTGGGTGGAAGTCCCACTTTGCTCCCATGACTCAAGTGCCAAAACACGCGGGGCGCGGGGTGGTCCGGATGCTGGCGGCGTCTTCAACGCGGGCTCGCAGAGTTCCGCCATCCCAACCAAACCAACTTTCCCACCGTGCTTGCTCTCCCGGCGCGAGACGGCCCGAGGCGGCAGCAGAAAACAGAATGACGGTATTACCATTCCTTTCTGACCGAACGCTGGTGGGCCGAGACCACTGGCTTTCAACTAGAGAACGGCCCGGAAAACGGCTCGGAAAACGGCCTAGAGAACGTGAAACCGGACGTTAATTGCACGCTGCCTACATAACTAGTACTTCACTACCCATCAAAGCAATCCACGAGCCCCCAACACCGCAACGACAGCAGCCGCGGCCATTGCCACGGCCCAACCCAGCCGACTACTGCACGCCGCATCCGCGTCCCCAACAACCCGAACACGCTCCACCAGCCGGTCCCCCAAGCCCTCGATGCTCCCCTCAAACGCGTCAAAGTCAGTCGCATTCCAATCCGCCCCGTCCGGGCCCGGCACGGCCTCGTCGCCCGTGAACCCCAAGAACAGAGCCGCGTCCTCGTCGATCCCGTTGGCCCCCGTCACCCGGCCCCCACCGCACGCCGTGACCAGCGCCAGCGACGCCTCCCCGACCATGGGCTTGTCGCCGTCATCCCCGTTCGTGTCGCCCCACACCCCGTACACCAGCCGCCGGTCCGGGCACAGCACGGCCATGACGCTGAGCGGGCGCATGCCGTGCGCCGCCGGGTCGAACGCGCGCCACTCTCCCCCCGCCGCCGCCGCCGCGCGTGCCGTTGCTCGCGCTGCCCGCGTTGCCAAACACCACGTACGGGTGCACGTAGGGGTTGAGGTCCCCTACGCCGCGCCCGTAGGCGGACAGCGCGTCGCGGAACGAGGTTCTGCCCTGCAGGTCCGGGCTCAGCTCCGCGCGGCACCGCCCGTCGTCGCGCGCCCCGCCGTCTGTCCCGTCGCAGTCCACGTCCAGGTTGGCGAGCGACCCGTTGGGGCCCTGCAGGTAGATGACGCCGGAGGAGGCGAGGTGGTCGCCGCAGTAGGCGAAGTCTGCTTGTTGTGGGGGTGGGGGGTTAGCTTAGATTGACGGGGGAGGAGGGAGGGCTGGGGTGGTTGGGGGTGTGTGAGATGCACGCACCGTTGGAGCCGTTGTCGCGGCTGTAGAAGCCCGTTCCCAGCTTGTTGGAGCAGTGGCCTTTGGCCCGCACCGCGTCGTAGAAGTCCTGGAGGTTTTGCGGGGCATCACGGGCATTGCTGACCACAGCCAGGATCCCGAGGAAGAGGGTGAGGATGTGTAAGAGGAATGATGGCTGCATCCTGCCGTGTAGGTAAGTGACGAACGATTCCAATTCCGCTGCTCTATTTGATGACGCTGTAAAAGGATACGGAATCGCTAGAATGACTCGCTAGAGGATCAGGATGTTGAGAAATGTGTTCCCTCGTCGTGGCCCGGGACCTTCACTAACTGAGGGGTGCAGTTTCTCGATAACACTCGACGGATGCCGGATGGGCCCTTCCAGATGACTCCGTATCCGCATCATCCATACCCCCATATGCTCCTTCCTCCTCCTTGACGTCGAGTTGGCCTGGATTTGCGTTGTTGCATGCGGTGTGCGTCACAGAGTGTCCTGTTCTTCACCACCCACACAACCCATCATTAGCTCCACCGCTCTCCAGGCGCGCGCTTTCGACTGCAGGGACACCAACGGAACCGTGGACGTTACTTGCTTGTATGTACATATCGCCGCAAGCCGTGCAAACGCACAGCCAAGGCTGGGGTCCACGCGGGTTGCACCGACCCAGCAGATTTCGACTTCTCTCGGGAGTGGGCAGTTTCCTTCTGTGGTGACGGCAGGTTCGGACTCGTTTGACCCCCTGCAGGGATGTTGTCCATGTCGTTCGAGCGACTGATCACGCGTGATGGCTAACACTTGCCATGGCTTCTCGCATCCCCGTCATCCCTCCGATCGGCCGCACAAACAGGGGGGCCGTCATCGCGGGAGCCATCTTCGACACAAAACGACGCGACCAAACGGCAGGTGTTGGAGAGGCTGAAGAAGAAGAGCTGAGACTGGGTATATTTTGGTAGGATTGGGGTGAAGAAATCTGAATGGAGGATGCCCAGCCGATGCCTACAATAAATACCCGATTTCCACCTAGTGCTTGCTTCCTTCCTTCAAGGCGCACCCAGCGGCTTGGTGGGGCACATCCGCGGGGTTGGTGTGGCTCAGTGCGGTTATCAGCCGCCATCGCTCACGGCAGTGCAGGACGACTTTGTCTTTCGACCGTCTGTTTGTTTCTGTTTGTTTCTGTTTGGAATTTTGGATATAATCGCGCATATGTCGTTTTGATGAGATTAGAAAGTCGCATCTTAAACGGCGGTTTAGTCTCAACGCATTGCCTGCAGCCCGTGGTGTCGTACGCAAGTACTTCGTACATTCATCAAGCTAAGAGTAGGTTGTACAGAAGTATACACAAGAGGGGGGTACCCGTCGAGAGGATGCTGATGCTGTGCGGCGTGAAACAGAACCAACAATGAGGGCAAGGCAACAAGGACCGAACAAAGGGGGTATTCCTACACAACAACAGAACAATGACTGATCAAGTAGAGCCGGAGATCCTTTCACCGCCGGCGGGGAATCCGCAACCCTGCTTTCCGTTCTGGGTGTTGGCCTGCGGCCCGGAGCAGACACCAAAGTTCGCCTCGCCGGTATTGACCAACGCGCAGCAACCGGAGCCGCAGTCGGCATCACTGGTGCACTCGCCCGTGATGAACTGCTTGCCTTGGCCATTCCCGACGTTGGCAGCGCCCGAGGGATCGGGTGTGATGCCACTGGGTTGGACGGTGCCTCCGGCTTGGCCGTTGTTCTGGTTGCCTCCCCCATTGGTATTCTCATTTCCGCCCTCCTCGTCGTTCTGATCCCCTCCCTGATCTCCGCCCTGGTTGTCGGCGCCGCCGGCCTCGAAGCCGCAGCCCTGTTTGCCGGCTTGGTTCTGGGCACCGACGCCGGAGCAGACGCCGATGGTCTGTCCGCCCTGGGGGAGGGTTGCGCAGCATCCGGAGGCGCAATCGGCCGCGCCGAGGCACTGCCCGCCGACGAACTGGATGGCAGCTCCGTTTCCGACGTTTTTCTCGCCGGAGGGGTCCGGGATGCTCTGGCGGGACGAAAGACCGGGCACGGCCTGGACGGAGAAAACGGTCACTGGCAGCTGTCAGTAAAGGAGCGACGTCACCAAGTCCCGGTCGGACTTACGGGCGAGAGCGCCGAGGAAGGTAGAGAGCTGGACCATGATGGTGACTCTGATCAACGGAGCCGAGTGTTGGCGTGTAGGATCGTGCTGGCGATATTGGCGAGAAGCAGATGTTGTCGGCCAGCGACGGTGAATACCTATTAGAATGGCGAGGGCTTGGAATAGGAAGGACGCCTGGTCCAAAGAAGAAAGGCCGAGCACTGCGAATGATGCGGTTCGGAATGACAGTACTTGGGAGGTCAAGACTGGCGGACGACTTGGAGGTTATTATAGTCGTCCGAGGTGGCGGGCACCATCATGAAGCCATCCGCCGGGGCGAGGGTTCGTCTGAGCTTGGGGCGAAGAAGGGCTGGTTGAACAAAGAGATGGATGCCCCTGTCAGCGCCGACTGTCTGTTCTCCTGCGGATGGCTCAAACATGCTCTTGGTGCGAAGATGGTGGGCATGGGGGATGCGATGCGTTTGTTGTCTCAGGTCCCGCTGTTAGCGCCATGGTGGTAAATGGTGGACAGCACTATCATTGCGGGGCAGTTTGTGATCGAAACAGAAAACTCTGTTCCCGGCGCACCAAGCTCGAAAGCGTGGGATGCAAGTCAACGGCCGGGTGGGGAGGACATGAATCGTGCCATAGTCCCTCTGTGCTCGCGTGCGCGATTAGCCCTCTAGGTAGCTCTAGCGGTGCAGGAGTGATGCTCGAGTGAAGTCGTTGGGCTGGAACCGTTGAGGTCCGCCTCAGACGGTCAACCGCTGTCCCGTCTGAACTTGACAACAAAGTCCAAGGGCAAAACCCCCTGCCTTCGTGCAAATGCAAGCCATCTCACCGGGGTCACTCCAACTTATTGGACCTTGAGACGACGGGAACTTTGAAGACATGGAACGAAGGTTGGAAGTTGAAACAGGAAGTTGAGCCAAGCCTTTTTGCCTCTGGAAAAGAAGGGAAGGATCAGCGGATTGGACAGGATGTGGGGCCTTCGCGGGGCATGCAACCTTGTCGGCATTTCTCCCCCTTGCCAGGACTTGGCAGGAACAGGGGAGCACCGAACAACAGGAATTTTTGGGCATCGCCTGGACTCCCGTCTCTCGACATCTCTCATCCTCGTTTCACACGTCTCGAAAGCTCAACGTCAGCCGGCCTCAACCTTGACGGCCTTGCGGAAGTTATCCATACGGCCAAAGGAATCGTACCACAGTACTTGGCAGCGGCCGGGATGGCTGAGAAATTGTTCCTGGTTGCGTGGGTTTTGGAGGGTCTCGACTTTGCTGCTGCCTCGTGCCTGGCGCTACCTGGAACAAGCATCGCGTTCTCCTGTCACAGACTGTGGGGTATTATTCCGGCAACAAGCTCACATCATCCCTTGTCCCACGTGATTGAGGCGGTTTCCTTCCACTTTCGGCAGCAACGTCATGCGTTTCCAAAGTTCCAACAGTGCTGAACCTGGATTTGGAACTTTCGACTTATTCCCACCAACAACGAGTTTGAAGGGGGCATTCTCCAACAACAGGTTCCAAAGCCAATCGGTCCGCTATGGTTTGGACAACATCTGTGGAACGCCACCCATCCGCTGGTAACACTGCGACGGCAAGCCTCTGTTGAACCTGTCTCATCGCCGGGGTTGTTCAGTCATCTGGTACTTCAATGTACCTGGGTAATCTGTACATAGGTAGATCTAGGTCCGTACATACATGAACGGATCGCTGCGATCCCGAGGATCTCGCTCCTTGGCTTCGTTATCTGCGTATCCAAACATGCAGATCCTCCCAGCCCTGGCGCGTAAACTCAAAGGGTTGCAAGTTGCACCCTTTTCATGGCGCCTGTTTCATGGCGCCTGTCTCATAGCACCCCGTGCCTGGCCACTGCGTTATCGAGCGAGGGTTGTTTTGGACTTATTCTGTTCTCTTTCTTGTCCGTCGGGTATGGCAGTCACTTGGACACCACGCAAGGCTCTAATACACATCGCCTACTTGTCTAGCCACCTCGGCAGGGGACCAGAGTTGCAAGCTGTGGTTGAGCGCTCATATGTGAAAGATGACATATCGAATAGTGCAGTCACACTACAGCAATACGTGTTGACGCTGTTATTGTCAGGCTACACCTTGGACCTCGACTGGCAGAGGGCACTACTATGCCCTTGGCGGCGTGGATAATCCTTTGTACGGCAAAAGACCCGAGGGAGGGGGAGTGCTCCCGGGGTTGGAGGTTAATATTTACAATGCACAAATGCCGCCCGAACGTGTCTTCGCCTCTTAGGCTTCCTGTGGTTCATATTCACAAGCATACGGGGCATCTGCTCTTCTGTCGAACTGACCAATTGGGATATGCCAAGGTCGTATTTCGAATCCTTCCATCGTCTCACTCAGCACCAGCCACTGTCATGGGAGACAGACTCCACTGATCATCGTTTGCTGAAAAAGGTCTTAGTTAGGGTGATGACCTACAACAGAGTAAACGTTTGGGTGCTCTATGTCCATTCCCAGTCCTGCTTCCCGATCCAGTACTCCAATTTCGGCAACCCCCCCCCCCCCCCCCCCACAAGATGTTCGACCATTTCCACCTCGCGCACATCCCCGCGCTCTTCGTGGCCAGCGCCATGACCTTCGGCGGCTTCTGGCCCTTCTTCGACGCCCGCGCCGCCACGGCCGAGATGGGCCTGCCGCGGCGCTTCAGCGACGCCCACGAGTCCCGCACCATCTTCCAGCTCTGCGCCGGCCGCACCACCGCGCTCGGCCTGATCCTCTTCACGCTCTACTTCCAGCACAAGCTGGCCGAGGTCGACACCGTCATGGTGATTCTGGGCGGCTACGTCGGCGCCGTGGACGGCTACGTCTTCTGGCGCGAGGGCTGTCGCGGCAAGGCCGTCCAGCGGGCCGTCTCGGGGTTCGTCATTGCTGTTTGTGGGTGGTACGGCTTGGTGGCTGGGAAATAGGTCGTTTATTGGCTGAGCATCCTTGGGAGGGCGTCGTCTGGGGTGGATGAGGGGAATTCTGTGCCTGGAATGGATCGCTGGGGCGTTGAGCTGCTGTTGGTTGAGCGTGATGATGTACTTGGCGTTAGCTCCGAGTCCATCACATACGGGGTAACCCGTTGGTGGGAAGGGGAACCCGTGTGCCTGAGCGAGGGTGAGGTGTTTTAATGGTCAGCGCAAGCAGCATAGGACCCTTTCCTGCAATCAAATCCAAGATTGCAAGTATGAAGCCCTGGGGTGGACACATCATCGCGTGGATCCACCGAGAAGAGTCGCGGAATGGCGTAATTTATGGGGGAGGCGGTGAGTTAGAGCCCATAGGTACCGTACCTGACAGCTCATGGAGCGGCAAATCAGAACGAGTGTGCGACGATTCGACGTCGGTCTTGGGAACTCCGGTACGGTACTGAACTCGTGCCTCCGGTTTTGCACGGCTCTGGTTTCCGTCACTTTGTTCTGGGGGTTTTGCTGCCCCCGACCACATGAATGATATAATTATGTCCTCGAGCGCCTCACTATCAACAGAACAACAACTTGAAGCTCTTCCGGCTGCACTATCCCAAACCAGTCTCGCATAGCAACCGCACGGCCCTCACGTTGCTACCTAACCAGTCAGTGTTGCTCAGCGGGGCCGACGTTCAGCCCATGGTGAAATTAGCGACCGATGTAGGCAATTCACTATTTTTGTGTGCATCGGCTGGGGCGAAGCAAGTTTCCCATTGGATGAATGCTAGGCTGGTAGGCTGGGGGTCTGGATCCCGATGGATCCATGATGCCCTAAGTAGTACATAGAGAGGAGTTGATGGCGCAAGCAACGGACCCGTCTCCATGTGTCGGGTAGGGATGAGACAGAAAGACAAGATTGGACCTCAGTAAACCATGTGGTTGCGATTTTGCGGCTTGGGCAAAGACCAACGTCGGCTGTGGCTCTAGTCGTGGTTTGGTCTGATAGGACGTGTAAGACGGCGGTGGAGCACCACTCATGTACCGTTGGCAACCGCCCTCCATTCACTGGCCTCGCTTCAAAGTGGTCTCTTAGAAAATGGTGGGAGTGGAAAAATATGAATAGGGCCACAGACACGGCTCGGCTACCGTGTGAAGTCCCGACGACTGTCCCGTTTGTACCTGAAGGCCAGAACTCACTTGATTCACTTCCCGGGGTCCAGACGAATAGTCGAAGGGGGACTGGGTGACGCAACAAAACGGCCTGAACAACTGAAGTCGTGTAACAGTGTGTCGAAACACTGTATATATGGCTTGGGCTTACCCTGGCTTCGGGTCCCTGATTCACAATTCCCCTGTGAGTCCCATCCTGTTGTGAGGCTCTTTTCATCCAACTTGAGCCTCTGAACAACCAGGTTATTCGAGGCTGTTCCGGTGAGAACATCAGACCGCACCTGACCGCAACAAGTCCCCAGCAACGGCTATAAGTGACTGTTCTCCTCGCCATTTCATTCTGCTTGCCTCCAACCAAATTCATCTCCCCGAATCCCAGCTTTACGCCTCAGCTTCCGCAGTCTGCGATTTTCCCACACCACACTTCTCAGCAATTTTCCTTCGCCATCTCCCAATCATCAACATCCTGCCAACAGGAGGCAAGCAACTTTCATCAACATATTCCGTCAATCTACTTCGCTCTCTTCTTCCGCATCTTTTTCTTTCATACATTTCTCCTTCGCGAGTGTCCATACGCATAAAGACACGGGCTGACAACAACAACAAAGTCACCCGACAGTTAATGCGGTAATGCCATCGATTTCATCACTGATTTCTCCCCCTACCACCACGATTGGTCATTCAGGTTAGTAAAACATCACATCATCTCAGACATGCCCGCTGCCCATCATCGCGAAACCACCGAACCTGGATCCCTTGTTTACCATCACACCCCACCATCACTCCATACCCACCCATCCCTTCCCTCACCTCGGCTACGACGCGTTCAAATTTTCCCTGGTCGCGTAAACAAGCCGAGGTTCCCATCAAGGCATGACCAAGCAACTGACAAGCCTACCATGGACACAGATCACACCGGCCATCCAGTCACAATGAGGACCACGACTGGCAAGAAGAAGTCTTCGCCGCTGGCTATCGTCCGCAAACCCTTCGGCGCTGTCTTTAGGGGCGGTCCGTTTAAGCCCACCGCCAAGGGCGTCAAATCTTTCATCAAAGCCATTGGCAAGGCGGTTACCTGCCGCAACTCGGAAGCCGTCGAGACCATTAATCATCGCGGCCTCTCCAACGCTGCGCCCGACGAGGTTCCCATCTTCGCCAAACCATCGACTGAGCAAGTTGCCCACCCGGACGTTTCCTCCCCTCGGCCGATTGGGACTACTACCCAGGTCGACGTTGTCACCAAAAGAACGGTTGACACCACCAAGCCGACCATCACTGTCGTTGCTCAGTGCACCCTGCTTACCGAGGCCACTCCTGTCTTGAACATCGAGTCCCCCTTGGAGATTTCCCGGGATGCCATCGTCACGGAGGATATTACCCCCCTCCAGGGGGAGGAGACAGTCGCTTGCGCTGAAGTCATGGTTGCGCCGACTGAGCGTGTCTCTCCTCCCCTCGACATCACATCCGAGGCTGAACTCGTCATGCCTGAGCCGACCCCGGTTGCTGAAACTTTCACCACCATCGACAGTGCTTCCGACTCGCCAGTTGCGGAGGCCGAGAGTTCTGAGGTGCCTACCATTGTCCGCGCCGAGGCTCCCGAGGTGGCTACTATTGTCTGCATCGAGCCTGTCGCTATCAAGTGCGCCCTTGACACCAACCTTGAGGACACCCAAGAGCCCACGCAAACGGTTCCTCCTCACGAGGACACCATCTTCAACACTGAGGTCACTGCACTCAACGATCAAGAGCCCACCGTTCAAGACATCCCTCCCGCCGCCAACACTGACGCTGTTCCGGCCGTGATGGAGGATTCTGACACCGACGATCAGGCTGTCGTCGGGGAAATCCTCCAGAACGATGACGACCTTGAAGTTGAAACAGACACCGAGTCGGAAGCCGAGGAGGTGGACCATCCGCTCGGAATTTATGTTATGGGGGCCTCCCACAAGGGCGAGGAGGCGGCCACCACCCCCAAGCCGGCCGTTCCGGTCTACCCGGTCATCTATGAAGATGATTATGATGCCGCCGTGTCAAGCACCATCGACGTCAGATTTGAGGAGTTTTTCAACATCGGGTTCCCATGGTCCGTTCCCCAGCTTGTTGAGAGGAAGGCCAAGTCGGACCGTGAAATCTTGCAGGAAGGGCTCGCGAATCGGCCGACGCCGCGGCTCAACCCTCGGAATGTGCGCCTAGCAAAGGCTGCGCGGGAGCTTACGATCGACGGCCCTTTGCGGATGCAAGACGCTGAGAAGGCGACTGCGCCTTCAACCATCCAGGAGGTTGAGACTCGGCCCGTAGATGAGGCCGGGACTCCCACCACACAGATGGTTGAGACTCCCAGCAAGCACCGCACCGCAGAGGGTATCCAGATGATGAGGGATTCCGCCAGCTGGAACCACTCGCGCAGCAGCAGCTCGGGAAGCAGCGTAGCATCCGCTAGCAGCACGCCATGCCCTGATACACCAGTAACGGAGTACTCGTTGACACCTACCAAAGGCGAGGCGGTAGCAGGAGCCAACGCGGGGAAGATTGCTCCCATCCGCATCATGGAAGAGACCGAAGTAGTTGGTGCCGAGCACACGGTCCAGGGTGAGGGCGAGACCATGAACTAGGATCTCATGGCCTCATACCCCATCCTAGGTGCCGAACAGCACGACGCGAAACTCAACTACTCAATCTTCCCTGACGGACGCGTCTGCCAACCTCACACCGAGGTCGGCCTCCGCTTGGTGCTGAATCCAGACGCCCACGAGCAGTATCTCACTGCCTCCCCGGACGGCGAGCAGGTCGACACTTGCTTTCTGCCCCCCAACGGTGACTCTGACGGCGAGGAAGCGGAGCAAACCAGCTTCGACACCGACGAGTTCTCGAGCGAGGCCAGCTCCGACTTTGTCGAGAACCCAGAAGACGAGGACGACTACCAAGCCGACGTGACGCCCGAACCCTTCGAGCGCCCATCCACCCCCGAGCCCACTAGCGAAGACAGCTACACCGCCGACTACAAGGTTGACGACACCCAGGAGCAGGCGGACCAGGCCGAGGAGAATGAGGAGCAAGCCGAGCAAGTCGGCGAGGAGGAGGAGGCCGCAACGCACCCGCTGGTCCGCCTCCCCCCGCGCGCCGCCTACCCACACCTCCCCGACCCCGACCTCCCCAACGACTCCTCCAACCACCCCAACAACAACAACTCACAACAACACGCACCCTGCCCCTACCGCCCCAACGCCACCGCCCACTCCTGGACCGGTCTCGAAACCACCCCCTGGGCCACCGAATCCTTCATCTCCCCCACCACGGGCCGTCTCGACCTATACCGCGAAGCCGACGCGCGCAGCAGTTCCTCCCACGGCCAGCTGTGGTGCTGCACGTGGGGCGGGTACGCCGACCGGGACCAGGCGCCGGTGCCGGCGGCGGGTGTGCCCGAGCTGAAGCTCACGACGCCCGGGGGGGAGGAGTACTGGTTGGTGGATTGCTTTAATGTGTATGCGGAGGGGTCGGATGTGTTTGATTTTGCGGGGGTGGAGTGTGATCATTTCTGTGCGGAGGGGTGTTTTGGGTTTTTGGATGTGTTTGGGTGGGATTTGTTGAGGCGGGAGGAGGTGGTGGAGGGGGAGGGGGATGAGACGCTTATTGGGGGGGATCCGTACGATGATAGGGATCGGGATATGGAGGGGGAATGCCGGGATGAGGGGGGGTTGGGGCTGGAGTGCATCCCCGAGGACGACGAGTCTGATATCGAGATGCCCGACATGGAGCTGCTCAACAGGATCGCCGCCAAGGTGGAGGAGGGCGGTGCGCTTCTGCGGGCTGTTGCGGCCGAGCAGAAGGCGGAGCGGGCTACGGCGGAGAGCGCTGCAAAGGTGAACCAGGTGTCTTTTTGGGACCGCGAGCCGTCTTGCGCCACCTCCAACATGAGTTGGGCCGACATCGACGAGTATGATGACGAACCGGAGCCGACTACAATGGAAAGCACCGCGGCGAAGGCGACTCAGTCGGAGGGGGCCGCCAAGGTGAACCACGTGTCGTTTTGGGACCGCGAGCCATCTTGTGCCACTTCCAGCATGAGCTGGGCCGACATCGACGAGTATGATGACGAACCGGGGCCGACTACGGTGGGAGGTACCGCGGCGAAGGCGACTGAGCTGGAGCAGGAGCCGGAGCAGAAGCCGGAGAGGGATACAGAGGAAAAGAGAGTGTCCTTCTGGGATCGGGAGCCGTCTTGCGCCACTTCCAGCATGAGTTGGGCCGACATCGACGAGTTTGATGACTAGGTATTGATCAGATACCTAGGGACTCGAGTGGTATGGTTGTATGATAGTGTACCGGTAAGGGATGGACTGGTTGTCGGGAGACCTGGTTGGATGGTGGGAGTCGTCTGACATTATTAACAAAATGGGTTGGGTTGTATCCCGGCGTTAGAGGCGGCGGTATTTGGGGGGGAAACTGTGTCGCCTATAGGTAAACACGCAGGTCTTGGTACACTATACACATATGTTCTGGGCACCCTTCTCATAGATAGCGAAGTGATTTGGTCTCACATCTATCTGCCTTGACGCTGATATGGTAACTTCCTTGACTCACCCTTCCTATTCCACAATGTGCTTAACGCAAACTTGGTCGGAATATGAGTCCGTTAATCATTGCGTGAATTCGAACCATGTAAACATCTCCAATGCCCTCGAATCAAACTCGGTGATTCAGTTATTATATAGCCTCAAATAAACACAGGAACCAATGCTCGATGACGCCTAATCCTGTTACGTCATACCCAAGCTTGCGTCTACGTTCATCGTCGCCTTGCCATCTTGTCTCTGTGTCCCTCGGGTGGTGACTCGTTGCACCTCAGTCGCTTTATTTTGTACAACCGTGGATGCCCGGCGGCCCGCTGTTGTTGGATTTCGCGGCTGGGGAGGGCAATGTCAGAAGAGGGGCTGGGACGGGAGAGGGGAGTGGGAAAACATACGACCTGCGCATCACCTCGGTGGGTGAGGGGATGACGTCGACCTGCTCGAGCTGTTCTCCTCCGCTTAAGGTAGCGGACAGAGAGATGGAGGCGTCCGTCTTTTGGCTGTCTTGATGTGGACGTTGGGCTTTCCTTTCACTCGGATGATGGCTCTTCTGTTCGAGAGCAACGGAGAGCAGCTCATGGGGTTGAATGTCTGTCAAATAACGGTGCAATGAGCTGTCATTAGGAATTCCCTTTTCCGCGGATTCGATCTCGAATGGGCCGAGCCGCTCTTCTGTTCCGGGCTTGTTGGAGGGAGGCAAAGTGTTCGAAACATCAGGAATGGGTGGTATGGGGCGGCGAGGAGCGGCCGACAGGGACAGCAGTATCGTTTCATGGCGCTCGTGGTTGCTTACGTATCGACCAATGGAGAACGGCCGGTCCAGGTTCGATGCCCAGCTCGAGTTGACGGAGACATTCGGAGATTCGATTAAGGGAACACCGACGCTAGAGGCTGGTATGTAAACTGAGCTTTCCGGGGTGATGTCGGCGAAGGTGCGGTGAAACGAGGGCTCTGGTTCTTTCAGTATGGGCCTGGATTGGAACTGAGCGAGCCAGGGCTGTTCTGAGTCGCTGATGGGAGTTAGCATCGAGGGAGCTGTATCGTGTAGATGCCTTCGACTTGCCTCGTTGGTAAAGTAGCGTGCGACGTCGGTTCCGGGGAGGAGAGGCTGATAGAATCTTGACTTCCAGCCCTTGTGTGCCGAGGGATGGCAATGTCTCGGCCGTGCCCGATCCCGAAGAACTCGATGGGGTCAAAGGCCGCCATGCTGAGGGCAGCCGATGGCGAGTACATACAAATAAAAGGACCTGCTGAAGAAAATGTGAGAGAAATACAAATTTAAGAGAAGTGCGGGAGAACCGAGGGGAAGCTGATAACCCCGGAATCTGTGCAAGGGATGCGGCCCCTGGTAATTTGAAGCCAGGCGGCCGGCGAGAGACTGTGCACCGACTCAGCAAGTTCCCGCAAACATGGTCCCGGAGTGGTGGAACGATGCATGAGAGGGGCGTGTGAAAACCAGACTGTCGGGTCAGCCCCCTGAAGGCGGCCAGCAGTTGCCGGCTTCCAGCGTTAACTTGGCGGTCCGCGCGCCGTCCCGTCGGCATGCCGAAAAAAGGCAACATGGGACTTTGCAGAAACGAAGGGAGCCTTCATGGATCCTGGGATGAACACTGTCCGGTCACTGTCCAGTTGCGAGCCTCGGGGAGATCGGAAACCTCCCGACCCAGCCAAGCGGCGCGCCGCAACTTGGCAGCGACACCCAGACCAATGGCGGCAGCTCTTCAGCGGCCATTCGCTTGCGGCACGGGAGCTAACAATCTTGCGTACCACACTCCCGGGATCGGCCCAACTGAATGGTACGGCGTGTCTCACACTGTGTGTTGACGCGACCTTGCTGCAGTATCACAAGCAAGGCCCGAGGACCCGGAAGCCTGGGACCGGCGCCACCTCCCCCCTCGACAGGAAGACGTGCGCCATTTCCTGCGGAATTTCCACGTGATGCTTTGCGGGCTCCCGCGCATGCTTTTCCGTGTGGTGCGTGGTAACCCATGGCGAAGCGAGAGATCCCCGTGGGGGCAAAAGAGGCACAAGGTATTTGTCGCGGGAACCGGGCAGAACGTTCGCTAAAGGTTAAGCATATACTTGACCACGCGAATGCCAAGCAGGAGACTGTTAGGAGGCGCGATAGTTAGCGTCAAAACACCCAGCAACGAGAGCTCACCCTTCGGCCCGCAAGTGCTTGACTGGAACAAAGTACAGATTAAGTTCGTGTGAATTCGCTCGATAAAAAGCAAGGACAAACCAAAGAACCCGGAATCCCGTTGTCGCTCGTAATCAAGGCACAATATCGCAGCCCCCAATTCGACCGGCGCTTCCGTTGCTCCGGCGAGGCTGTTCGTTTGTGCTGCGCAAGACCATGCCGACCGACATCCTAATATCCAAACACCCACCCCGCGAGCGAGAGCGTATCCAAAGGCTTGCGCTCGAAGGGCGAAGGACGCCGCACTAACCACCACAACCACCACCACAGCCACCTCCACAGCCGCCGCCGCCTCCTCCGCCTGTGTACAGGTCAGAATCCATTCTAGAAACCGGGTGTTGCGGCACGAGCAAGGCAAACGAAGTCGAACTTACCGTCACCACCTCCACCTCCATCTCCACCTCCACCTCCACTTGCACATCCTCCACCGACGCCGGCCCCTCCCGCATCAGCACCACCACATCCCTATGGAACGGCCACAAAGTCAGCATATCTTTCTCCCAAACACCACACGCTGCGAAACCCCCCCAAAGCGGAAAAGAAAACAGAAAAAAAAAGAAAAAGAAAAGAAAGAAAAAAGAAAAAAAAACTCACCCCCGCCCCCCCACAAGCCCCCGCCGCAATCCCCCCGCCACACGTCCCCTCGGCACACCCCGCCGCCACGCCCGCAGCGCACGCCACCACATAACCCGGATACCAGCCATAATACAGCCCCGGCGTCCACCACAGCGGGTAGGCGTAGGGCGCGGTGTAGAGGTAAGGAAAGCCCCAGTGGTCGTAGTAGACCTCGTCGTCGCGGCGGGGCGGCGGGCGGCCCTTCTTCTCGGCGCGCGCGCGCGCTCGCGCGTAGGCCAGGCCGAGCTGGCGGTTGTGGGCTTCGGCGAGGCGCTGGGTGAGGTAGGCGACTGAGCTTTGCGGTTGTTCGGGGTGGGGTTGGACGGCGGGGTGGGCGGAGATGTGCGCGCCTGTGGAGGGTGGGTCTGGAAGGGGGTGGGTTAGGATTGTGTCTTGTGTGTGTGTGTGTGTGTTGGGGGGGGGGGGGGGGGGGGGGGGGGGATGTGTGTTAGGGGGTCGTTGGGAGGGTTGGGGGAACATACGTAGAGCGGCGGCACCGGTGGCGTGGAAGGATTCGGCGACTGCTCACTTGGTGTCAGTTTACAAATGGGGATGGGAATTCTGGGGGCGATGGGGACCGCACTCTTGTCGTGCTTGGACATGCCGAGGACCTTTCCCAGGCTGCTGCTGTGAGAGGCGCGTATGGCTGGAATGGTCAGTGTTGGGTTCGGGTCTCGGCGGCTCGTTGGAGACTTACACTCGCAGTACCAACAAGTGCACTCGCTGTACACCTCACCGAACCAGGCCTGGTACACCTTGCTGGTCCACTCGAACTGCTTGCTCAGCGTGTGGTCGGCGATCTTGTCGTCGTGGTCGATGAACCGCCCTGCAAGATCCACAGTGTGGTTGTAGTAGCAGCTTGGGCTCAGCTGGTGGGTGTGCCAGGCAAGATCAACGTCCAGCGTGGGCACCGTAATGTTTTTCGGGTTTTTGGCCATGATTTGAAGAAACCGGTCGTATTTGGTCAGCAGCCGGGCCATGGTGTTCTGGGCCGAGGGGCTGTGCAACCAGTCCAGCTTGCACATCTTTTCGCCAAAGACGCCCTGGCGCATGACAGCACCACCCAGGTCCAGGGCGAACGGACTAAAATTCTCCCAGTACCGCGACATCATCTTGCGGACGGCAATCCGCGATACACTGGGCAGCACGTACCGGCCGGACGACTCTACCCCGTCGACCTTTTTGATGTGTTTCCCGATCGCTAGCACTTCCTCGAGGGCCTTGCGAACATCGTGCATCGTGGGGCCGGCGTGGTCGTAGTACGTGTTAAGTCTTGGGCATTGAAAACTCCCAAAAATACTCCAGGTATTTAATATCCGGTTGGGAAACGTGAGGGCTGGCAGGTCTGATTTTGATTTGGCGCCCGTGGTTGACTCTGTGGTGGGAATCCCCGTCTTGGGGTCGAGCAGCGTTCCCGGCATGGGACGCCGTTCGGATTTGGGTGCGGCGGTGAGATCGTGGTAGTCTCGGATAAACTTGTGGACGGCGAGGAGCTCTTTGCGAATCACAATGTCGCAGACTCGGCACCTGTATCGAAGTTTTCCGTCACCGTAGCCGCTGCCAGAGCGGTCAGACGGGCCGTCCTGGTAGCCCTCGACGAATCTCGTCCATGGGATCTTTACTGCCGTGCTACACCGGGGGCAGGGGATGGTCTTGTCCATCGGGTCCTGGGCGTTGTCCCAAGCACGACCGGTGTCATCACTCCAGCGACGCTTGCACTCGGCTGAGACGTTGTAATTAAAGTGGGTGTCGATGGCCTTGTCGACGACGTGCCACGGTAGACCGGTGCCCCAGAAGCTCCCCATGCCAGCCCGAATGCAGTCTTCGAGGAATGCGCGAGGGTTCAGCATATGAGTGTGCCAAACCATGAGGACGTCTGTGCCGTTCGTCAGCGATGGGCGTGAGATATGGAGCGTCTAAGAAGGGGAAACTCACCAAGCGGCGGCAGCATATTTTCGTCCCAGCGCACGGTACCGTCGATGTTAAAAGGGAACAACGTGTACGCAAAAGAGTCTGGGGTCATGTCGCGTTCCTTCAGCGGGCTTGCACCCGTCATTGCCGCCATGGCTTGCCACCAGGCCTCGTACCGGTCCACGGCTCTGGCGACAAAGAGGGCCCATCGCTTCTCACGAATCTCACTGAGGATTTCCAGGTTTTTGTTTCGCATCTTTTCCTCGACGCTTGGCTCGGGGGCCGCAGCCTCACCATCATTTCCCGCCCCTTTCTCGGGCTTCTTCTCAGGCCGTCGCTTCAGAACGGGGTCGATGGGGCCGGCGAGATCGTCCCACAGACCCCAGAGCCCATCGGTAAACCCAACATCCTCCTTCATCCACTGGAAGGCGAATAACAACTTCAGGTGGGCGAGGCATGTGTCGACCTCGGGGTTGACGGGGTTAGTGGGCAACTGGAGGTTGTCAAATGCGGCGGTCAAGCTGGGGTCGGCGTTGTTTCTGTCCTGGGCGGTGTATGCGGGCGGAGCCCCATTATCCGAATAATTTTCGAACCATGTTGTTGTGTTGGGGTTTTCGCGTGAGGAAGGTCCAGGCGCCCCGAAATTCAAAGGTGGTTGTTCTGCTGGGGGCATGGTGGGCGGCGCCTCCCGCTTCGGACCCGCAATCGGGTGGGAACTGGAATGAACGGATGGCGATGCTTGTTTTGCGGGTACTTTCGGTCCAGCACTTGACTGTCACTCAAATGGTGGGGGGAAGGTACGGAAAATGGAGGAATGGGAGTTGGAAGATTCGAGGTTTTAGTACCCGATTCACTCTTCAGCCGCAAACCTCAAAATAACTTCCTCTTCCAGCTGCATGCTATTATCCACAAAGGGAAACGATTGAGATGGTGCTTCTCCGCCATGACCACCACACCCTTCCTCGGTTCAGGAGACCGGCCTGATGAGTTTCACCGGCCACCGGCCCTAACCATCCTCAGCTGGGGGCCGTGTTTAGCGGTTCCGTTTGAGACACAGGGCACTGAGCCCCATTCGGTCGCAATTTTAGGGCTTCCGAGCGAACCTGGGGAAATCTGTCCAGTGGCAGCAGCGCTTGCGCCCACGCGCACTTCAACCAAAAATGCGGTGCAACAGCCGGAATGTGGCATCCATGAAGGGGGGCGCGAGGCGGAATTGCGGGACAGCGCTGCGACAGCCCCGGGCCGCTCCCGGCTTCCATGGTCTTGAACAGCTCAGCCACAGCCTTGCTCGGTTCCCATTTCAAATCACAAAAACACCCTCGCTCGGGGGCTGGGGTTCCTCATCGGTCACGGTCTCGTCGCCCGATGTCACCCAGCTTCACCACTTCCGTCACACCGAAACACCATTGAGCACCGGGACGAAATCTCAGGAAAATAAGCTGTCGGGGGACCATGAGTTTGCGGGTTCTTGGGATGCCACCCTGATGCATTGCATTCTTTTTTTCTTCCCTTTTTCTTTTCTTTTTCTTTTTTTCCCGTTGTTTTGTTTTCATCCTGCGCAGAGCATTGAGTCTGGGAAGCCGGACGAGAGTGCAAACTCCGGAGACTCACAAGAGTACCACCAGAGTCTAATAACAATTTGTTAGTATTCCGCCGGGGCTCGCCGTTCGGGATTGCATGGCCACGTACTTTTGATCAGGTACCGACCTACCAGGTTGCGAAAAGCCCTGACTGACGTCGAGGAGCTGTCCAAGAATATGTCGACAACGCCTCTCCAGATTTCTCGACGGGGATTCAAAACGGTCATGATCGTCGCCATGGAAAACAGCTTTGTTCTCCCGCGCTTTTGCTAGGTCGATCACCTGGCCGTCTCCGGGGTTGCAAAAATCAAAGATGTTGTCCATTGGCCCTAGGTCTCGAGACAACGGTCGGGACTGCGTGCAGCTGATAAGTGTATCGCGCGGTGGTGAAAAGTGGCTCCGTCGATACCATCATATCAAGTGCAGGCGACACAGTGCGGCTTGGACGGTTCAAGGCGACCATGTGGAAGAGATCCTCGGGTGACAATGCGGCGTTGAAAACTGGGAGAATGTCAGTTCCGATGTGAGCGAGGTTTGTTTACCGAAGGAGCCGTGTTCATGTTTCCGTGTTGCAGGGAAATGCACACACATCTCTCTCAGGACATCGCTAATCAGAGAACAACAATCACCGCTCCATCTATTTCTCCCAGAGCCTTCTGTCACCCGGTTTACGTCCGGTGTCTATTTACCTCTGACCGTCAACATGCCACGCGTTCACCGGCTCGGTCTAGTCGATTCCATTCTCGTTACACTACACCACAGTGCAGCCGCCACCCCTGATTTGGCAGCTTCTCATTGATTCACTGGCGTCCTTTTGTCGGGATCCTCCGCTGGTCTTCTGCAGCCCAAACCGAATGAGGTACATGGCATGATGGCGGCCCAACGATACCCAGCCACTTGTCCGCTGGCGCTGAGCCTCCATGTCGCACACAGAGATCGCCACAGCCTTGCCTATTATCCTGTCCCGCCAATGTTTTGGATCCGAGTCACATCGACAGCTTGCGTATCATCTTGAGGTAGCCATCGGTTTTCGGAGGCTGATCTCGAGGTTCCGTGCCTCGCCGCCAAGGGCAACCCCTGGCGTGATATGCGCTGGCATACGAGGAACAGGCTCACGCCTGGTCTAGACCGCTGGTAGACTCAACGGCTTCACTGCATACGCATTCTAAAGATGCAAACCATCTACACACGATCCGACGCGATCCGATCCGATGCAGCACCGTGCGGGTACGTGGTGGGCCCGGGGCAACCACCCGGCGCGGCGGCTAGTGGAATCCAGGTCCCGACTAAGTCGTCGTGCATCCACCGACTTGCACTTTTCCGGCATTGGACATCAGGGCTGCTGGATACCAGAACCCCCCCTGTTAAGCGACTGGATGCGGCGCAAATCGCCCGGTGACAAGGCGACAACACCGTCCCCAAGCATCCCTGGAGCCGGCCCATGTCTCACCGACTTTTCCATGTTCGATTCGCCTGCTGGGAAAGTCGGATAACACCTGACAACTCAGGCGATATCCGAATGTCAATTTCATGATACAGGCACACAATGACTTGAAAAACCCCAACACGGTGCTGTCTTCTGGCCCGTTTGCTACTAATTAACAGGGGGTCTATTATAGAAACCACCTGTGGCCAAGAACACGAGTTGGCGTCTCTCTCTCTTATCATAAAACAAGCACAACCACGCTCACGATGCCTGTATTACAACCACATACCTCCCTCCCTCCTCCCTCCTCCCCCACACTGGTTTGGAACCTCAAACCCCGATCGTCACCAGAGGAAGCTCAACCGGCGGGACTTATTGCCCTTGGAGTCTGCCTCGGGGTGGCCCTGGCCATAGTCCTCATCTGGTACACCTGTTGCCGGGCACAAACGGGGCCACTGAAGGAGGTGCAAATGTGCAAACGGGGTTCGAGGATGAGGAAAGAGGTCAGGACTATACGGCCGTCACCAGTGTCCCGAAGCGTGTCGGAGACGGACACCGAACCCTCTACATCCAACTCCTCGGGGTCCTCGGGCTCCTCCGACGCGACCAGCTCTTCCGCCGGAGACACGACAGAGGTATACGACACCTCAGACTCATACCCAAGCCCGATGATGATGCCACCGCTGGCATATGGAGCGTCCAACGGATATCCGAACCCGGTTACGGTTCCGCCGCAGGCATACGGCATTTCCCATTCATACGGAGACCCGGCCGCACCTCCACAGACATACGGCATTTCTAATTCATACGGAGACCCGGCAGCCCCGACACAGACTTATGGCGACACTGATCCATATCCGAATCCTGTCATGGCTCCCCCGCCGGCGGCAATGGGATCGGGGATGACGCACCCGCCGAAGGCATACACCCACCACGCCATGAGCTACTTGGATCCGCGAAAGTCAGTCGAGCCACAAGCGGTACCGGCAAGCATCCAAGCGGCGCCGGAGATGACGGAGGCACCGTTAGGGAGGCGAGCGGTGACGAGCCTTCCACTTCCTATGTTTACAAGGAGTCTGGGGGGTACCAATACTAGGCGGTCAGTTCGGAAGTCAGTCTCCCGGGGACAACCATCATGGGCCGGAATACGCAACTGCAAGGGCGCCTGGCGCTGGTAATTCGAACTGGTGGGATGGGGAGTAGGGGGGGGGTCTTTTGTTTTGGTTCGGCGGTGCATATTGGGATTCGGTGCATATTCGGACTCGGCGCATGACGGACATGATCTAATTACTCGTTCCTTAATATGTAATGTTGGTTGAGATGACGGATGCTTAACGGAGGTTGCTACGGACTAGCTAAAACAGATAAAACAGAAGACTTCGGAGGCTAAACAAAAAACGGCCGTCCTATGGACTCACAATAACACCCTTTGTTTCCAACACCGCATCGGCTCTCTTCCCAATCACCAGGTAAGTACACTACACTTTTCTGTCACAGCCCCCCTCACATCTTAACCATAAACGACCCCACAACCCTCCCGGACACTCACATCAATACAGCAAATACCCCAGCCTCCCCTCCAACACCAACCCCTCCACCTCACCGCCGAACCGCATCAGCCCCTCCAACCCATCCACAACCCCCCTCAACTCCCCGGCATCCTCCACATGATCCCCCTCCCCGTCCCCACGCCCCCCAAATCCCCCACCCCCAAACCTCGGCTCCGGCGACGCCACCGGCGTAATCGGGAAAATCCCCCCCACCACCCCCCACCCCGGCCGCGGCCCCTCCCCACCATTCCCACCACCACCATTCCCATTCCCATCCCCCCTTTGATTCCCACCAACCCCCTTCATATACCACGGCTCCACCTCCACCTTCACCCCCGCCGCAGCCTTTTCCCTCCTCCTCTCCCTCGCAACCCGCTCCCGCCCGCGATGTCCCACCAGCCCGGCCTCCACAGCCGTCGCGACGGCGGCGAAGCTGATGCCGGTGAAGGGTGCGGTCGGGCACGGCCAGGCGAGGCGGTGCGGGTGCAGGGACTGGATTAGTTCGCCGAGGAGGAGGGGGGCCGTCGTGGTGGTGGTGGTGCTGGTGGTGGTGCTGGGGGATGGGGAGGGGGATGGTGGCGGGGAGGCGAGGGTGTCAAGGGCGTGGTGGAGGTGGGTGAGGGTGCGGGTGAGGAGGGCTTGGCGGGTGGTGTCGATGTGTTCTGGGAGGAGGGTTAGTGTTGGGGTGGTGGTGATGGTTTTGAGAGTGGAAGGGGAGGGGGGGCTTACGGATGATCTTCTCGCGGATGGGCAGGCCGTGGGTTGGGATGGGGCCGGTGGATTGGGCGGCGGCAAGTTTGGTGGCGGTTTGGAAGATGGTCGCGTGCCGGAAAATGTGGCTGATGTAGATCCAGGGGATGGGGTCGCGGTCGATGGTGTCGGGGCTGCTGCTCTCGAGGTTGGTGATCCACCTGTCGGCGTACACCTCGACCGCGTCGAACAGCTGGAAGCGGTCGACGACAAGGGCGATTTGTGCGAGTGTTTCGAGGTCCACGGCCTTGGGGACTTTGGATCCGCGGCTGTGGATTACGTTCATCACAATGCTGACAGCCTTGGAGTCGAATTCCTCGGTCAACTTGAGATGGATTCGGCCATCTGACTGCCGCGCGCCTTTTCCGGTGCCGAACTGCAGCTTGTTCTTGAAGACGCGCGATGCGAGAGCGAGATGTCTCGAGGAGACCTTGATGCGCAGACCCGATTGAGCGACAGACGTTGTGACATTTCGAGGTTTGACTTGGTCATCGGCTACGTTGAACCGTATCCCGAGCCCATCTTGCGGTGCCAAAGCCTGCCAGTGGTTGGGTGGCTGCCCGGAAACAATGAGCAACACATCGGCATCCGGGTCGACCTCATAAATGGGAGTGAGATTCGCAAATGGCGAAGTCACGACAGGAACCTCGATGAAGCACATCTCTAGAGATTCTCAGATAGTAATACCGATACTGTTGTGGTGTTTGGGTTCAGTATGAGTGCATTTTGGTACAGAAAGGAGGTTAGATTCAACAGGTCGAGGGCGCATGATGTGCGGGGCAGACTCGATCACGCAATCTTCCAAACTTGGGTGGCTGGCCTCCCAATCGGGCACAAAGGCGGTTATTTAAGGTTTCTGCCGTCCTCGGTTGGGGGTTACCCCAATGACACTCAAGCGCCCCCAAAATGTCCCCAAACTGGGGTTGGGGGAAGGTCCAGTCGAGAAGTAACCTGGTTGCGTTGAGCCCTAGAGTGATACTACCGAGAGGGAGTATTGTTACCACCTGTCGGTAGTATACTCATAGTCAAAAATGCAATAACAAAGCCATTTATTCTTGGCTACCTCGGTAGTAGTAATGGAATTGGCGGTTGGGCAACACACCAAGGCGAGCTAAGGTGCGAGGTACCACTCTAGTTGAGCAGTCATGTATTAAGGTTGCATTGGTGGTTGAGCAGAGAGGGGACCTACCTAGGTGTGTTAGCGTGTACGTCCCTGGCTGCTGGCAAAACACTTTTGACTCGCAGTTGCAGAGGTCAGTACCTAGGTAGGTAAGTAATTCGGCACTGAGAAAAGATTACTATATCCAGTCAAATCTGGCCTCGGGACGACAACCCTAACCCGGCATATTTTAGGGGTAAAATGGTAGAGGCGCGCCGCAGCTGTTACGAATCGTATCCCGGTTCGACGGGGAGAAGGGGTGATGGTCTTTAGAGAAGAGATGCTGTGACAGTAGTAATGCATGCAAATAGTCAAAGATGAACTCGCTTCCTGTTGTACCGCACAGCCCGAGGTTACGTTCTGCTAGTCCTCGAGCACACCATCGGGGGCACCCTCGGGGGCACCCTCAAGGCCCAATGTCTCGGTCCGCAGAAATAAGGGAAACGGGCTGGAAGGGCGGGTGTATTGTGAAAAGAGAAGTGAACCGAGCACACAAGCTAGACGCCTCAGAGACTTCGAGGTGAAGGGATCAAAGTTGGAACTGAACATTATGATAATGCGATAGGAACTAGTTCCAATAGCACAACCGGTCTCCACAATAGGGACGGGATAGAAGTCGTCGTCGAGAGTTGGCTGATTTCACCGTCGTGTGGGAGTCTCTCGAACGGGCACAAGCCCTTCGTTAGTGAGTGCCAGAGTGGTGAGATCGGTCAGGGTTGAGAGTGAGAGGAGAGGTACGTAGGAACATATTGCGGGATTTGCTTAAGATTTGAGGTTGAAATCAGCGTTTCGCCTTTCGTTGTTTTGCAGGATGCGACGGGGTAGAAGTGACACGCCTCCGTTCCTAATCAGTACTACCCGTGGAGCATGCGCGTCAGTACCGACCTACCTTGCCACTTGAGGTGTCCCAGATCCGGGTTCCCACTTTCCATCGGGGCAGATGAGGCACAAAGCCGTACACAATCTCTTGGAGGTCTTCCCCCCCGGACGAGGCCGACGGATGTTCTCCCGATCCGGATGTATTGCAGCGCATTACGTCCCCCGGTTATTGGTCTCGGCTCTGTGTCGGTCGGCAGGAAGACATGATACATACAACATTCCAAAAGTAGTAACATGGCATCTGAAAACCCGGATGGAGTGAAGACAGCATATTAAAAGCCCGCCGCGCGTCTCCGTAGCCGGGTTTCCGCTTCAGTAAGGAAACGGTAGAACGGGTATAATTATACTGCAACGGGCGATGGTCGAGTGACGTCCAAATAGCCACCCACTCTGCGAACAGAAGCGTGAGCAGGATTCAAACAACCCTGTCATCTCCTAGGGGACCCTTGCGTTTCCCTCGGGCCGGCGTTGAGCTGGGGGTGTATTAGCCCCAAGCTGCCACCCTTGTGGCTTGTCGGTGTGCTACAGGCAGGATAGGAACGAGGTTCCAGGGACGTTCGGGCGAGGCTATTCACTGTCCGCCTCGTTGACTGTGGACATCTGCAGTTCGTGGGTCGGTCTCTACCGTTTTTGGGAGAACCCGGGGCACGTTACACCCGATTCGAGTCCTACCCACGACCTTGGGTAAACCACTCTCGACAACCTTTCGCAAGACGCGCTCCGACGGTGGGCACGAAGTACCATCTGTGGTGCGATACCACTCCCCGCAAATGTCCATTTAACAGTACCGGCAAGAGGGTCTTGGCCGGCACGCCATCCGCGATCCCATGGTGATCATGGATACGACCCAAGTCTTGCGCTCGGTTGTCTCGCGCCACTAGGTGCTGGGTTCGCGTCGTTGGGGGACGAGATGACGTTCTGGCATCGACTGTGTAAGTCTGAGGTTACAGCAGGGAAATATCGGCTAAAGTGGAAAAGCCAAGCTGGAGCCGTTAACGTTAGGCGAGACGCCCTGAAAGCGCCCGGCCGCGCAGGCGGCAAACCACTATCCAACGAAGTGGGTTATATCCTAAAATAGGGGTGACCAACATATTGCTCACGAGGGGATTCTCCCAATCGCAAGTTTGACCACAATGAGGAAACAACAGGCTTTTGTTTCCAAGCACCGGGGCGGCGGTTTCAGGATCTACACACGGGTATCTCACGACTCTTTTGCCATCGTTGGGATTAACACGGACGTCGATCACGGCCGAGTTGTTCAGGCTGATGAAGGAAATGGCACGTGGGCCCGGCCATAGCCGCCCTCAAGCGCGCCCCAATCCGGTAGTTGAGCGCCGGCAGAAGCCGGCAATGGTAGCCGGCATAGTGGCCAAGCTTCTTGGCTTTTTCTTCGATGGCTTCGATGGGGTCCCTGCCGGAACGGAGGGCATGGATTGGGGCGCGAGTGAGGTGGCTCAGGGTGGGTGCTGAAGATGGTTAAAAGTGATGCTGCCCTGGCGTGCCTAGGAACAATTTACAGGAAACAAGCGTTGTCAGGGGTTGGTCATGCATCGGAAGCGGCTCCTTGGCTGCGTTGGTGCCGGAGCCCCAGTGTGGTTCGAGTGGGTCGAGCAGGAAACCAGAGATCTTCCCCAAACCTTCTAGATGTAGGAATCTCGGAACCAGCCATGAACAAGACGACCCGGTTCCGGCAAAGGCCGCGCTGCTTTTGCGGGGACGCCGGCCATGTCCAGATGTTTGGTGCTGATCATCGTGGGCCGAGATTCAGGCTAAATCTCGTATCCCCTTCATTCGTGTTCGAACTCTGGAGGCGGCGGTACCCCAGACGAAACTATGCGACCCCCTGTATAGCATTGGGGGCGATCGTCACCGGCCCCAGTTTACCAGCGCCCAAACCGTCGACTCCCGCGCTCGGGCGGCCCCCGTTGCGCCCGCCTCAGTCCCGGTGACGAATCTTGAAGGACGATCGGAGAGTATCGACGCCAATGAATGCGGTCCACACGGGTGCCTATCACGGGAAAGATGGCGAGCGAGGAACTCCCTGGCCCTGTTCTCAACAGCCGACAGAGGAGCAGGGGGTATAGGGCCGCGTCTAACGGTTGTCGAGGTGTATAAGAACGGCGATCACCTCCTTCCTCTGCCCATCCGATTCCCTCCTCACAGCTCTAGCCAGCCCACCGCAAAGACCAGCCTCTCCAGTATCTCCAGCTTCATCAAAGCCGTCGCAATCATGGTTTCCGTCAAGGCCGTCCTTCTCGGCGCCGCTGGCGCCCTCGCTTTCCCCTTCAACGGGACCCAGCTGAGTGAGCTCGCTGGTCGTGCCGGTACTCCCAGCGGCACTGGCACCCACGAGGGCTTCTACTACTCCTTCTGGACCGACAACGGCGGCACCGTCAACTACGAGAACGGCGCTGGCGGCTCCTACAGCGTCAACTGGCAAAACTGCGGCAACTTCGTCGGTGGCAAGGGCTGGTATGCGACCCCTGAACGACAGCTACAATGACATGTTGCAGGGTTGGCTAATATGATTTCCACTCTCTAGGAACCCCGGCTCTGCCCGCACCATCAACTTCCAGGGCGAGTTCAGCCCGCAGGGCAACGGCTACCTGGCCATCTACGGGTGGACACAGAACCCGCTGATCGAGTACTACATCGTCGAGGCGTTCGGCGACTACGACCCGTCGTCGGGGGCCAGCCAGTTCGGCACCATCGACCAGGACGGCAGCACCTACACCATCGCCAAGACGACCCGGACCAACCAGCCGTCCATCGAGGGCACCAGCACCTTCGACCAGTTCTGGTCCGTCCGCCAGAGCCACCGCACCTCCGGCTCGGTCGACGTCGGCGCCCACTTCGACGCCTGGACCCAGGCCGGCCTCCAGCTCGGCACCCACAACTACCAGATCGTCGCCACCGAGGGCTACCAGAGCAGCGGCACCGCCTCCATCACCGTCTCCTAAGCGGTCCGTCTCCCGAGTCGAGGCCGGTCGCACGCCAACTGAGGACGCTCTGCTGGTGAGCACAGCCAAGGAAGGGTGGGGGGGGGGGGGGGGAGCGAAAATGGACACGCTAGCGTTGGGAGGAAGGGGAAGGGGGGAGAACTACTATGGCTTGCGCAATCTCTCATTGTTCTTTTCGATTCGAGCTGCAGACCTTTGTACATACTCTTTGTGCACGCAATCGCCTTTTTGTGTCGACCTGACCTGAGCATGGAACACGGGCTGTACATACACACGAGTCTCTGAGTTGATTTGACCTGCCTTGGTGGTGTTGACCGCTTGCATTATTGTGTGCCTTGCTGCTGTTTGGGGGGTGGAATTGCCGTTGTGACCCAGTGCTGCAGAGGTGATCTTCTAATTTCGGTAAAACAACCCAGAAATCATCATGTTGAACTAACGCCTTCTATACTTAGGTACGGAGGTACATACTTGCCTCAGGGATGTGGATCGGTAAAGGTTGTTGGCTGCAGGTACGAAGCCGTTGGCGGTATGTACTTGGGTACGGAACCAATAGGGGCCTCGACACCTCTCTTCGCAAGCAGCCGGTCCCTTGCACAACGTGTTGGTTGCTTTAGCCCAGTCAGAGACCAGCCCTGTATATGCATCTTCACTTCACGTAGCACGACTCCGTCGCTTAGGGTGGTATGTACATCAATTCACGACAAGACGGCGCAGTTGGCTCAAACCTCACACTCAACAATCACTCGCACTGGCAGCGAACGACCCCAAGGGCCTATTTGTTCCTCAAAGTGAGGTTTTTCTGTGCTCGTTACATTGTCAACTAAGCAAAGCTATCACACTACTCTAGAGGCTAGGTACAGGAAGTGACATGGGGTGAACAAATCCAGTCCGTCCACGCAATGCCCCCTTCCGACCATACCATCGGGCCGCAGAACGGCATTGATTACCAGCCCCAGGCAAGAGACTTCCACAGCTTGTAGAGGCGGGCAGGGCCGTAGGCGATCTTCTCGGTGCCGCTGCTGGGGACGAACTCGATCTTGACGTACTGGCTGCCGCTGTAGAAGTAGGCCTGGCCCGGCTTGCCGGGGACGGGCAGCACGGCGTCGATGGTGTCGAAGGCGGCCTCGTTCAGCGTCTTCCACTGGCCGGCCGTGTTGGTGGGGCCGAAGGTGACGACGTCGTCGTCGGAGCTCGGGGTGAACCTGATCTTGGCGTAGTTGGCGCCGCTGAAGAAGTAGGCCTCGCCCTCGTGGCCCGGCACGGGGAAGGCGGCGTCGACGGTCTGGAAGCCGGCCTTGATGAGCGACTTCCAGTGGTCGGCGATGTTGGCCGGGCCGAAGACGATGCTCTCCTCGGGGGAGCTGGGCACGAACTTGATGCGGACGTAGCGGGTGCCGCTGAAGAAGTACACCTCGTCGGGCTTGCCCGGGACCGGGAGAGCGGCGTCTACCGTGCTGAAGCCGGCTTGGACAAGGGTCTTCCACTCCTTGGCGATATCGGTAGGACCGAAGATGACCTCGTCATCGTTCGTGCTGGGGGTGAACTTGATCTTGGCGTAGGTCGCGCCGTGGAAGAAGTAGGCCTGGTTGGGCTCGCCGGGGACCGGGAAGCAGGCGCGAGTCATTTTGGGCGGTTGTTGGATGAGAACTTGAAAGCTTGAGGAGTTGTGTTGTAGATGGTATTTGAGTGTGAATGAAGGCTGATGCTGGTTGAGGATTCGGGAGGAACAGCGCGGAGCGAAGGGGGTTTATATAGCCCAATCTCTCGTACTGCTCAGCGAGAAGGGGACGACGTTGCCGGCCGAGTTCCGAGTAACTCCCTTACCCGCCATCGGCTACGCCATAAAACCAGGAGCATCGCGATACCCGCGGCTACTGCACGCTCCGCCCCGGCTTCGGCTTGCTTGGTGACGATTCATTACCACTCGTTGACTGGATTCTCCTTCCATCTTGCAAGACCAGATGCGAGAGCACTCTCCGCGCCGGCTTCGGCTGGCTGGGTGACGTTTCATCACCATTAACAGGCTGGATTGTCCTTCTTGCAGGCCTAGGTGCGAGCTGAACATCCGCGTCTCTCCACCTTTTGCATGCATGTCTGGACGTATCACAAAAAATGGTATAAGTCACGATAGCCGATCGCACAACACGGACAGGGCAGCAAGACGACCATCACGGGCCGGTCAAGCATCCGCACCTGTCATTGGTGACGATCATGCCTCCGGTGCTTGGCAACACGGTCTCACAATTCGACGTGGTTGGAGCACGAACGTTTAGACCGAGATCGCGCACCGTTTAAGCTCGACCGTGATGGGAGGGGATCTTCGCTCGGCATTGGGCCATCGCGGGCCGCCTGCAGCATGAAGCCCCACGGCGCTGCAGACGCGGGAATGGCGGCATGTCCCGTCGGGGCATCGTGGTTGGCCGAGAATAATATCGCAGAGCTGCAAGACGCCGTAAAGGAGGCACAGGTAGCCCGATTCATCTCTAGCAGCTCTGCAATGCGGGTTTGGTGAGAGCTGAACTGAACTCATAGTCTCTCGTAACAACTCTAGAGAGGGGAAGAGGAGCATAGTTGGGTTACGTTGGGCTAGCTAGGGTGGGTTGGATTTGCATCCCTTTCACCAATTTGAAGTCTAGATGCGCCCGTTTAATTAAGGGTAGGAGATATTGGATGTTGCATGAGGAGTCGAGGACCTTGGTGGGTCGGACGTTGGCAAGTGTGGTAGTACGACGTCTCTGATACGTATGCAAGTCTGTGTCGAATGGCCCATTAGAGAAAATTGGAGGTTGCTTTTGAGTGCTGTCGAGGGGCAAAATGCAACCGCGGTCTCAGCCTCTTAGTGAGGGGATTCAATCATGTAGACGACAGCTGTCGTAATGTGTTGTAATCTTCAAACCATTCGACGAAAACTTTGCCCAGCTCCATCAGGGCATAGATCGCCCGAAAGCTGGGGCCTCTCCTTGCCGAAGTTGCCGCTGGCTCGATTCCACCACCGCAGAGTATCTTATTCTTGGGCAAGTTGTTTCGGAGAAGGGAGTGTGGTGTTTCCGTGCGGTTCGTCTAGCCATCCCGCGCGAAGATCCAACCCCAAGCGCCCGCACTGGGCTCCTTGGTTTTCAAACGGGCATGGTCATATCGGTCCCCCAGGACAAGTCGCTCGGCTCGCTCCTTCAACCAACGTTCTTTCCCCGTCATCCACGAACATATCTCCTGCCAACCATCCCAACCCCTCTCCCTCGCCCTCTCCCTAGTCGCGTTTGTTCGTCGCCATGGCCATGTGAGCTCGGCGTAAAACCCAGCCAGGCCATCACGACCGCCCAAGCGGACCAGAGGTCTCAAAACATGGAAGTATGCCTCAACGGCCTCTGTCGCCTCGAAGCTCGTTAGCGTTCCCGTGTCATAGTGATCTTCACCCTCGCGGTAAACGGCGAGCATGCGTATTGTGAGAGCGGGCAGATTGAGATGGTCCTTGACCTGGTTAATGGTATCCGACCAGTCCTTGAGCACGGGGTCCCCCTTCCGCGGCCAGTGGTGGCCGAGGTAGGGGGGGAACACCATCTCGACAAGGCGCAGGTGGCTGAGGCAGTCCACCGGGACAACGTCCGTGAGGAACTGGCTTACGGCGAACCGGTTTCGATCGTAACCACTCTCGCGCGGAGGCCCGAAGACGGATAGACTTGGGCTATCAATGACGACAAACCGATTCTCTGAAAAGAAGACCAGGTTCGCGTCATGGCGCAGGGCGTGGCAGACGAGGAACAGCGGGGTGGGCGTCGCCCAGCAATGACAGGTAGACGAGGCCGCGGAATGCGTGAGCTGGCAGTAGCACCCCATGGTCTTGCGAGGGTATGGCCTCTGCGAACAGCTAGTGAACTGGCAACCGTGGTGAATATCGGGCGCCCACATATGGTCTCCCCTCCCCTCCCAACTCGGGCAGGAAGGGCGGCTTGCCAGGTATTTGCCGTGCGATCTCGTCCACATGACTTCCTTCAACGGCGTTACGAGGTCTGTGTACTCGAGAATGCGCAGACGCAACTCGCGTGGTAACCCAACAAGACAATTGCCAGTAGGCGGCGGGGGCGGAAGAGGGGGCGGTGGAACTCTCGATTTTATGCCGCGGGCCTTTAGAACAGTGGTTTGCGCAAGATTGTGAAGTGCGGGATCTGGTGTCCTGGACAGTCTTATGTGACAGTCCTTGAGCGGGGGAAAATGGCGGAACGCGTCCAGCACCATGGTGGCTAGTTGAGTATCTCGACTATACACGTCGCACACAAAGTATAGTTCGAGTTGTCCCGGGGTAATCAGCGGGCCTAGATGGGCAGCCGTTTTGTACCATTCCGCGATGATAGGCTTCGTGGACGGGTGGGATCGCCGGAGTGGATCATCGTGCTCGACACCATGATGACGCCACTTGCAATCCGTCTTTTCTTTGGGATATTCGTTCGGGTAGTAGACCGTGTAGAGCCGCGTCTCATCACAACACTCGCAATTGTTTCCTTCGCGAGAGCCCCGGGAATGGCAGGATGACTGGTTGAGAATGATTTTGAGGCGGGTCATGGATGCGACTGACTCGGGTCTCAGCTCTCGGAGGGGTGCTAGCGAGCGCAAGGCCTCGTAATGACAGAAGAACATGTTGGAGGAATAGAGGAGAGCCGAGGTTTCCGTGTGGATGGCGCGGCAGGAGAGCAGAAGGCCGCGAAAGCCGACTGGTGGGATGTTGTAGCTCTTGGTAGACGGGTCGTACGGCCCGCACAAGTCAAAGACTTCTGGCATGGAGCACTCGAAAAATAAATTGATCTGGTTGCCATCGCGTATGATTTCCCAGGGGGTGCCCCAGACGAGAAGATAGATGGAGTGTCGGATTTTGGGGGGGAGACGCAGAAAACCGGGAAGGTCATGGTGGATTGACTTGGCAGAGTCTGTCGCCATGGCATTTGATGTGAGGCTGTGGGATGCCGAAGCGTGGGTGTAAGTAATGGCAATGTTGGGTTTCGGTTTTGGGTTTGGGTTTGGGGCGTGGAAGTTGGGCTTGGGCAGATTTACGGGTAGGTACCTACAGAGCTCGAAACTTCAAGTTGTTGGTTCGGCTGCTGCTCCTTTGGTTCCTTCCCCGAACATGCCCTGGCACGCCTGGGAGCCAATCAATACCTGCTTGCGCAGCCAGCAGCGGGCTCTTTTCTCAAACCACGCTGCCCAGTTTCACGCGAGCTGAGAGCGCGTTGGGTCGCCCTGAATCACCAAGGAATACGACGGACGAATTTATTCCATGATAAAAATCAAAAAGAGGGTTGGGAGTTTGGAGCACCCAAGAAACCCTATGCGCAACGGCCAATACAACCCTAACCCCTAGTTAAACCGCACCACCATGTGTTGACAGTTGGCGACCTCGCTTCAAGACACTGCAATGCCCGAAACCCGGCCTCCTTTCCCCGCCTCATTCACAAAAGCCTACGGTACCACTGGTACCTAAGCACACTTTCCACGTCGCCCTGCCATCCGCATCAATCAATGCCCTCTAAACGGGCGGCCAACTCATAAACATGGGACACCTCCCCGTCGAGCTCATGTGGAAAGTATGCTTCAATTTATGCATGCACTGTCATTCGCCTGACGCCCTCCCCCACGCCGACACAACGGACGAGCGACAAGCAAAAGCTGCCCTAGCACGGCTCGCGAGGTCATCAAAATACATGCACGCCGTGGCACAACCCTACATATTTCACTACTACGCCACCGGGAACATGATCCGGCTCGTCGTGTCGGAGAAGACGGGTTGCGCGATAGACCTGACTGACCCGTACGGACCCTACGCAGACGAGTTTGGCAAAGGCTGTCGTCCATCTCACGATAATGACCACCTGCCCCTTTTTCTCCGTTCCATTATCCGACGGCCCGAATTGGCCGCCCAAGTTGAAGCTCTCCAGCTCGTAGCTTCACCCAACGTCGACGACTTCAACGCCCCCGACATGGAGGTCATCAGTGGAACCGCCCAGGGTGCCACTGCCATGAGCCGCACGTCAGAAGCCTTCCAAATGATCACCAAGGCAAGCGTGGATATTGGCCTAATCGATACCAACGTTTTCCATCCCGAATTCCGTGGCCGACACTCGGTAACCTCCGGCGTTGGCCCGCCCAACCACGAGAGCCAAACAGATTCCATTCATCATACGCTGGAGCAATTAGTCATTCTCCTCTGTCCAAATGTCAACACGCTTGTATACGGATATCCGCTTGAAAAGCGTTCCATCATCACAGCAGACACCCTACAGGTAGACCGACGGCAGCGAGAACAGTTTTGGAGTCTGGCCCTGTCGAGCGGGCAACACTTAACATCGCTGAAGCGGATTGCGCTACTCTCCCATAGCAGGACTCAGCACGTTTCGGATGGTCAGATCATGCTGTGCAGTATGCCAAACGTCGAAACCTTCTACGCCGCACATTTGACATATCCCGGCCCGGCCACCGAGACCATCGGCCTCAGCCTCTGGGTAAACCCCATGCCTAATGTCCGCAAGCTGGTTGCCGTCGACATGAGTCCGGACGATCTGGCCTTCCTCGTGGATTCTTGTTTGGATCTGTGGGAGTTGGAGTACACACACCACGGGTATTTCGGAAGACCGACATCCATCACCGGTTGTGAGCTTCTGAAGCCGATCACCGCCGTCCGAGGGACGTTGCGCCGGCTAGTTCTGGTGGCCATGGCGGAAGGTGACCCTAGAGGCGACCGCGTCACGGAGCACGCCATCCCGTCGCTGCGCATGTTTAAGCGCCTCGAAGAGCTTGCCATCAGCCAAATCCACGTACCCCATGCTGGCAACATCTCTTCCATTACACCAGGGATAAGTTTGGCCAAGTTTCTGCCTCGCTCGATCAAGAAGCTGCATATACTGTATCTCTCGGATGCTAGTTTTATGGCAGCCTTGGAGGGCCTGGCCCGAGACGCGCCGAGTAAGGTGCCGAAGCTCAGGTGCATTCGAATTAGCTATTTGGATCACGAAGATCCGGATTATGACTCAAATGACCGGTTACCTGTGGCGGCTGGCCAATATGAACGAGTCCGGGAGTCACTTGCCGCAGTCTCCATTTCAATGACCTGGGATAGGCTTGGATATAGAATGCCTAGGGAGGTAGCAATGCCAGCGGCGGGGGGATCAGCCTGTTCCGGTACCTATCTGAGCACGCCGTATTGTTTCTGGGAGGCTTCACACAGTTTACAAAGTGGCGGTGTTCTGAGCTAATCAGGCGTGATATAACTTCTGGCCAAAGAATGAACCGTGATAGCTGCGAGACTTCCTTGATCGGCGTGCAAATTCCGTTTATGTACAACCGCGCCAGACCCGAACAATTTGTACAAAGCCGAACAAACTCTGTTACCTACCTTGTATGTCTGTCTAGACGACGAGACCGGATAGACGCCGCGGACCCCACAATGATGCGACCATTACGCTCCGTCTTTAATAACCTACATAACGCCCCCTATGATTTCTAGTTCTCTTTCCCCTTGTCAACAGCCATAGGTACCTAGGCACCTAACCTCCCAGTCCGAACCTTACCGCCCCATGCCGACACTGAAAGGCTGTTGACGGCTTACGCCCCGGGGGCATTTATCCCGGCTTGAGCAAAAGGAGCAGCCCCAGGCGAGTAAGCCGGAGGCGAACGGTACGTTGCCGGCTTAGCGCCCCTGGTCGGCTCGATCCACAGCCCGCTCCTTCCCCCGAGCCGATAGACAACCGCTCTTACCCTCTAGAGGGGTTACTCTCCAGCTTACCTAGAGGAAAGAACGGCTTCAACAAATAATCCGCTCAACATCGTGACCCGAAGAGATAGGGCTCGTCGATACCCGCCTTGTGCCGCTACGAATCATGGCCGTCATACAGGACCTCCCTGTCGAACTATTCGCGCGCATCTGTTCTTTTCTCTGCTTCCATTGCCAAGCGCCGAGGTTCTTCCCAAACGCGGACATGGAGGAGCTGCTGGCGGATAAGGCGTCTCTGGCGCGCCTCTGCCGGGTCTCCAAGTCCGTATGCGGCATTGCGCAGCCGTTTGTCTTTCATTACTACGCAACCGGGAACCTGCCCTGGTACTATCACTGCGGCCCGGAAGACCCCACGTTCATGTACAGCGACGCAAGGTGGCCCTGCGCCAACGACTTTCTTCCGTCCTTCCTCCGCTCCATCATCCGACGCCCCGACCTCGCCGGATGTGTCCGGGCTCTACAGTTGGTTACACCCAAGCCATTCCCCGAGCAATGTCTTCCCTGGGACGGGGGACTGGAGGCTGATTGCGAGTCGGCCATTACAAAGGCGAGCACGGATCTCGGGGTCGTCGCCTTCAACGGATTCCACCCGGGATACAAGGACTGGGTGCGCAACATGCCCGGTTTCGAAGACTGGGTCACCATCGATGACATCCACCACACCCTGGTGCAGCTGGCCATCCTCCTGTGCCCCCAAGTCAGGACGCTACTGCTCATGGGCGACTTCTCGCCGTCCTCCGGCAGCCTCCTCCTGTCTAGCGGGCGCGCCCTCCCGGCGCTGGAAACAATCGGCCTCATATCTAACGACGGCGGCGGCCACTATAACCTAATCACCCCCCTCATCGCCCTCGCGCCCAACCTACAAACCATCCACGCCATCGACGCGCATAACGAAACCATTAACGCCCCCGTCGTGGCCGGCCGCGCATTCGGCCCCCCGCCCTTCCGCGACGGCCCCTTCACCACGCTGCGCAAGGCCGTCATTCAAAACCTCGGCGCCGACGACCTCAGCGCCTTCTTGCGGTCGGCCCCGGCCTTGCACGAGCTGAGCTACACGGAGTCGCACGAAACCGACGACGAACCGGGCCCGGAGTACTACCGCGACCTCGTCGCCGGCCTGGCACGCACTCACCCAACTCTCCGCCGCCTGTCCCTCCGGTTTCCGGTGGCCCTGACCATACTTCCGCGCCGCCACTCGTTCTTGCCCCCCGCCATCGGGTCGCTGAGCGGGTTTGTGCGGCTCGAGGAGCTGTCCGTTTCGCAGGGTGCCATCTACAGCCGGCATTATGGTGGGCCGCCCTTGGTGCCGCTGGCGGGTGGGCTGGTCGAGTTTCTGCCGCCGTCGCTTGTCGCCCTGTCCATCTTGGAGGTTTGTCGGGATTTTGAGGCGGATTTGAGGTGTCTGGCCCGCGACGCCCTCGGGGGGTTGCCGCGCCTGCGATCCGTTAGGATCGTCTCTTTCTACACTGATGAGCCTTGTAATGCACACCTGGTGGTATTCTCCGGGGAGGAAAAAACGAATGAGCTGCAGAGTGTCTTTGCGGCCGCGGGGATCTCGTTGGCGTTCGCCTGGGCGGATGAGGATGATGGGGTCGGAGACGTTCCGGGGTTGCCGACGGCGGAGCGGTCCGGCACGGATGGTTGCTGGAAACTTGGTCTGCGGTACTAGTGGTCAGGTAGTTGGGCAATTGTCAAGGTCTCAAAGAACATAAGTACCTAGGTATCTTACCAGGGTGATACTGATAACTCGAAAGTGACATGCAATTCGATCGAGTCAGGTACCTCGGTAGGTGAGTTGGATTCTAACCCCGCACGTGCCTCGTAACTTCATCGTTACCTGCCAGGTCTGTCCCTAGCCAGGGTTTGGTACCCGACGCCCAGCTGCCCCCTTGCGGGCGAAAAGAGCGTTGAGAAGTGCTTTGTGTCTTTATCTACACTCGGTGCCGATTGTTCCACAAGGGTCTCGTTAAATTAGAACGCAAGATGATATTGTTCTTGGACGGCATTCACCGCAGCTACATCTCCATTCTTTTCGCCCTTTCATTTGCTTTTGGGACTAGGACCAGAGTCGAGTTGTTCGAGTCCCATCCTTGTTCTCGATCACTCGCGGTCAAATCGGTTGGTTCCCCGCAGTTTCTGGCCCCCGGCCGATCTTCGAAATCGCCCCATTCGCTGGCGGCCTAGCCTGTTCTAGGCAAGCGCGCCTGCTGTGCGATGCGAAAACTCTCCATCCAATGCCGCTCCCTTCCCCGCAATTTTCGTGGCCCGGGCGATCTGGGCCCGGACACTGACAGCATTTGACTTCGGGGATTGAAAGCTTAGCTCCATTTGACACTTTGACACTTCATCAAAACAACACATGACAATGGCGGATGCCGCAGTTTGATATCAGCTATTAGCTATGGCCGATGCTCTAGGCCTTCACCGCTGCCCTGTTTGCTTCAAGACATACAAGAGACGCGAGCACTTGCAGAGGCACCGCAGCTCGCATACGTCGGAACGCCCTCATCGCTGTGTTGTGTGCGGTGCCTCATTTCAGAGGTCCGACGTGCTGAAGCGTCATCTCCAGACCTGCGATGGCCCCTCCACCCCGTCCTCTAGTCGCCGCCGCGCCTGCGATCGTTGCGTCCGCCAGAAGAAGGCTTGCAACTCTACCCAGCCGTGCTTCAATTGCCAGCGACGCTCGGTCGTGTGCCACTATTCAAACCCGCCAGCCCCGCCGTCGTCATCCCAACCCGCAGCAGCAGCAGCACCCCCGCTTATCGACGATGCATCTGGCCACAGCAACCCCGACGAAACTGTTGTGAGCAATCACGTTCCGCAGCCAGACCAAGGGCCCAGTGAACTAGTCCTCGCCGACTCCACCTTCGACCATGTGCCGTTTGACGACCTCGATACCTTAATCCAGGAGACAGTCTCGCAGTTCCAAATCCCGGACAGTTGGTTTGCTGTCAGCCCCTCGCAATCAAGCGCAACGACGGCGACTCTTGACGTCGAATCCGAGCCCTTCCATCATAACCCCCCCAGTGACTCTCTCCCTTCCCGCTACCGAGGTTATTCTTTCCGCTTCTTGAGTGACTTCACGAGCAGAACCGGCCTGGTCACGTCGTTCGAGTGCGCTACCCTGGCCCAGCGCCAACAGATCGTCTCGACATTCCATCAGTCGTATCTCGACCACCAGTCCCTCGATTCGTTAGGCATTCTTCCACCGCCATCTCTACCACCAGAAGAACTGCCCTCGCAAATTCCAGGCTTCGTCTCGAGTGTCGGGCCGGAAAGCGGCGGCCTGTCTTCGTGGTCCTTTTGGCTGCACAACCCCATCGTCGTCAACCTACAGCAGGTCGTTCTGCTCGTTAAAAATGTCGTAAGGGTGAAGCCGAACAACAGCACCATCACACTGAATTGGTCGACGGCCCTTGAACAACAATGTTTGCGGTTCTTTTCCCCTCCTCGGTTTGCCAAGTTCATCGAGCTGTACTGGTCTGTTTGGCATCCGAATGTCAATTTCCTTCACCGGCCCACCTTTAACCCGACGGTTACCAAACCGATTCTGCTGGCTACCATGGCTCTGATTGGTAAGCGCCCTGAGGTCCTGCCTTCATCTTAAAGTTCGCTCTGACGAGAACGGCAGGGGCTTGTGTATCCCCAGACCCCGTGGACATCGATGATGCCAGAATGTGGTTCAACTGTGTCGAGGAGATGGTCTTTACCGACGACGATTTCTGTAGCGACATGGACCCCCCCCGCCTTTAGCGATATCACAGTCCCCGTCGGCACCAGTGAAAACCGCCAGAAGCTCCAGGCCCTGCAAGCTGCCTACCACGTCTGTCTTTACCAGAACTGGGAGGGGACGGACGCCGGTAAACGGCGAATCAGACGGCACCGGTTCAGCACTGTGGTATCAGTAAGATTCCCCCACATAGAAACAGTCTCTCGACAATGTTTACTCACCAGTGCGCAGACCGCACGAGACCTTGGAATAGACACGGCCAGGCACATGGACTATAGCGCCCAACCCAAACACGAATTCAGCTGGTATGAATTCGTAATGAGAGAGGAACTGATTCGGTGCGTCTTTCGTGGTTGCCCGGAGAGTAAGCCGCGTCACCGCTGACCGAACAGCAGGATTTTCACATGGATATTCCTCCTCGATACGGCCTTCGTCATCTTCAACAACCTCCCCCATCGGATGGTCATCAAGGAGATGAAGATGTCCATGGCGAGTCCCGAGGCCTGCTTCCAGGCAGCAACGGCAGAGGAATGTATCGACCAGATCTATCGCTGGATGCCGTTGACCAGCCCGTTTTGCACCTTGCTTCTTCGTGACGCCATCGAGAACCTGTGTCTGGACAACTTGACGCAAGAAGTACAACAGCAATACTCCCAACTCGGCCCGTTGAACCTGTTCGCGATGGTGTCAGGTAAGCCACACAGAACTATCTGGCTCGGATTGTCGAGCGCGCTGACGAGTGTAATCCTTTTATAGCGATACATTACATGATCTTTCAGCATCAAAACCTATTTGCCGTCGAAGGTCAGCTCGTCCCCATCCGCAATGGACTGCGGAATTGGATTGGTATCTGGGAAAAGTACGCCGAGGTGCCGTCAGCCGTCTCCCCGCACGGTTTACTCCAAGAGGATTGCCCAGCACCGGCCTTGATGTGGAAGCGCATTGGTTTCGTCCGCTTCTCGCACGAGTACTGGCTGCTTGGGAGTCTCCTCACGGACCGCCTATCGGCGACGACGGTGGCATCCGCGGATATGTCTTCGGCAAATGCTAGCCTGCCGGGTCTCTTTTCGACATCGGCCAACGGTCGTGGTAAAGCCAGGTCCGCCGAGCCTATCCTGGAGAAGTATGACCAAACCAGCATGCGCCAGGTCAACGACTTGATTACCGACTTTCAAAAGTTCACCATTGGGTGATCCCGGTTAAGGACAGGCAGGTCAGTCGGGTGATGTTGAGCAACTTGGACCCCACTGCCCTGTGATTTAGGATATGACGGGTTGCAAATCGGGCGAGGTCAGGGGACTAGGATACGGATACTCCACTGTACAAAATGGGGGGAGCATTCTTTTTGGGGGAGTTGAGAGTCCCAGGCGGCAGCCTCCCACATCCACTCCGCAACTCCGCGGCCACCCTTCAAACTCCCATCTCGAAGTCCGACCTATCTAACCATCCCGTTAACCCGCGCTAATGCACCTCGAATACCACCAATGCCGTCGCCGTAAATGCCACGGTGGGCCGATCCGGATCGGGGCCCCAACTTAGAGTAGTCAGATGCGCCGACATGGAGGCTGTGACGTACCAATTCCTGGTGTGAATGAAGTTGAGATGAGTACTTGAGTGTCGGGCTCCCGCCGGCTGTCTTCAGACGAACACACCAAGTGTGTAAGAGGCGAACATTTCCACTCTCCTTACGTCGGCGCCTCTCCGTCGTTATACACCATGACTCTACTTACAACTGTGTTTCCCGTCTTCGTGGCGGTAGCAATCGTTGTTAGACTCTTGCTCTCAGGCAGGAGGCCTAAAAACCTACCTCCAGGCCCACCGACACTGCCTGTCATTGGGAACCTTCACCAAGCATGCAAACTCCAAGGCTTGTTCAAACTTGGTACTGATGCCCCATAGATGCCGGCCCGCGATGCGCACCTCCAATTCGAGAAGTGGGGGCGGGAGTACGGCCCTGTCTACAGCTTGATCCTCGGCACAAAGACACTCATCGTCCTCTCGAGCGACAAGGCGGTCAAAGACCTTCTGGACAAGAAGAGCAACATGTACTCTCATCGCCAGGAGATGTATATCGGGCAGACGCTCTGCAGCGGTGATCTCCGTGTCCTCATGATGGGCTACGATGCAAGATGGCGCATGTGCCGGAAGTTGGTTCATACCCTCCTCAACATTTCGGCTGCCAAGTCCTACGTCCCGTACCAGATGTTGGAAAACAAGCAAATGCTATACGATATGATCACACAACCCGAGCGTTGCATGTACAACATCCGCCGGTACACCAACTCGCTGACTACCACCATGGTCTTCGGCTGGCGATCGTCGGCGTACGAGGACGAGAAGATGATGCAGCTCTTCGAAGGCTTCTCCGAGTTTGCCGAGCTCAATCAAACCGGCTTGGCTGCCCTCGTCGACTTCTTCCCCTGGTTCCCTTATCTCCCTGATTTCCTGCTGCCAGTCCGCGCGAAGGCAAAGGAACTGCACAGGAAGGAGAAGGGCTTGTACCTCGGCCACTGGCTGAAGGCCAAGGAGGAGACCAAGGCGGGCACCATCATGCGCTGCTTCAGCGAGGACCTCGTCGGCGCCCAAAAGACGGAAGGCTTCTCAGACGACCAGGCCTCCTACATCACCGGCACGCTCCTCGAGGCCGGGTCCGACACCACCTCCAGCACTCTATACGCCTTCGTCCAAGCCATGGTGCTCTACCCAGACGTGCAGAAAAAAGCCCAAGCCGAAATCGACCGCGTCGTCGGCCCCAACCGCATGCCCACCATGGACGACGAGCACAACCTGCAATACATCCGCGGCATCGTCAAAGAATCCCTCCGGTGGATGCCCACCACCATCATGGGCGCGGTCCCGCACGCCGCCACCCAAGACGACTGGTACGACGGCCACCTGATCCCCGCGGGCGCGGGCGTGGTCAACAACGTGTGGGCCATCAACACGGACCCAGCGCGCCACCCCGACCCGCGCCGCTTCGACCCGGCCCGCTTACCGCGAACGACCGCCAGAGCCTGGCCGACGCCGCCACCGCCAACCCGGACCCGAGCAGGCGCGACCAACTTCACCTTTGGCGCCGGCCGCCGCATCTGCCCGGGCATCCCACGTCGCCGAACGCAGCCTGTTCCTGGGCGTGGCGCGCATGCTGTGGGCGCTGGACTTTGCTCCCGCGGTGGATGTTGTGAGTGGTCGGCCGGTGCTTCTGGGCCAGGGGGGGCTTACGCAGGAGTTTGTGTGCCAGTCGGTGGGGTTTGCCGTGGCGATCACGCCGCGGTCGGAGGCGAGGAGGCGGATTGTGGTGGAGGAGTGGCTGGCCGCGGAGAGGGACCGGCTTGATCCGTTTACGAAGCAGTGGCGGGTTTCGCCTTTGGCGGGGGGTGGGGCGAGGAAGGGGTAGGGCTTGGGGTTGTTGGAGTGGCGTGTGTGGTTCGAGAAGGTTATCGGAACAATGTTTGTTGGTCTGGAAAGGGGGTTGGAGAAGTGGTGTGGGACCGGGTGAGTATTATACCATTGTTTTTAGGGCTGCTTCTATCTGTGCAAGACGGCTTTGCAGCTGGGGTTGGCGATGGGGTTGGCAGCGTCGTTACCGCTTATAGTTCCAAATTGAACAACTTAACACACAATGCTCTTCTTCAGGATATCCATCCGATGCTCAACGCACCCAGCCATCTTGGACCAATGGACAACAGCAACTACGTTCACATGATAGAAGTTTAACTAGACAGTTGATCCATGCGTTGATTCTCCTCACGAGCTGCCGTCTCGCCTTCTCTCTGACGCCTGAGGTTACCAAGAGGTGAACCAAAAAGAGACCGGAGAGCAAAAGAACATACAACACCGAGGATTCGCTGGTCGTCACCGACCCAACTACTAGTTCGGCTCTCACAAGTTTATCGAGGGGAGAGCGGACGGGATCCCGAGTTCTCTTGTGGATATGGTCGTATGTGATGATCACGTTCGTTGGCGGACGTGAAAAGGGAGTGAGAGTTGCGTTCAGGGGAAGCAACATCATCTTCTCCCCTGCCTCCAGCTATAGCTAGAATCCGTGTATAGGAGCTGCGGTTACGAAACCGGCAGTCGAGCATCTTGACTTCCAAGCTCAGCGACGCATCTGACCAAACTTCCCGCTCCCTTTTGACTTTGCTAAACTTCGAGTGGTGCCCGTCGTTACCCCATCCCCACACCACCCTCCCCCATCCTACCCCTAAGATCAACCCGACACCCCGGATACCCAAAACTGGAGCCCCATGGGGTAACTCGCTGCCGAGCATTTCCATAGTTGTGGGATCCGATAGACCGGACGCGTAACATCCTCCCACATACTCCGGCCACTTCCTCCCACATCCTCCAGCTCCCTCCCACATCTCCCACCACCACTCCGTCCTCCGACTTGACAATCTGAGGGAGCCAGAGGTCCGACCTGAAACCACCACATACCAGAGCCGGGAAGAAGGGACGAACCCTCTATCCACTTTGTTGTGGGGACGGGAGAGCACACGGGAGACTGGGAACCGCATCGTTGGCGCCAGCTGACGACACGCTCACCTCCCAGCTCAGATCATAGGTCCAACTGTACTGTTAGAAGGACCCTCCGAAGCTCCCAGGGCATTCTCGTGACATCTGCATAGCCCAAAGAATCTGTCTGAGCTTAACCTCGACTCTTAAAAGTTCTGCAGGGAGGAACAACCCTCGTCACGACACAAGCAGCCATCATGTCCCGCACCACAACCGCCCTCGTCGTGCCCGAGCTAAACGGTAAGTTCGAGCTGCGTGAAGTCCAGCTCGATGACATGTAGCCGGACGAAGTGCTGGTCGAGATCCACGCCTCCAGGCTCTGCCACACCGACCTGTCCTTCGCAACGGGCGTGCTACCCTGCGAGCCGAACGCCGTGCCTGGACATGAAGGTATGAGATACCTCACCCCACTCTGTTTCCCCCTCATCACGCCCTCGTAGTCCATAGCGACTAACCTCTACACACACACCGCAGGCGCGGGTGTGGTCCTCGCCGCCGGCTCCGCAGTCACCCACATCAACACGGGCGACAAAGCCCTCCTCTCCTTCTCGCACTGCCAGACCTGCGCAGCATGCACGTCCAGCCACCCGGCCTACCGCCACAGCTTCAACGCGCGCAACTTTGGCGGCCGCCGGCCCGACGGCACGCCCTCCATGTTCGCATCCACAGCCGCAGGCTGCTCCGGACAGCGGCAGGGCGTCTTCAGCGCCTTCTTCGGGCAGTCGTCCTTCGCGCGGCACACGCTGGCGCACCGGTCGACGCTGGTGAGGGTGCCGCCGGATACGGACCTCGCGTTGTACGCGCCGCTGGGGTGCGGCATGCAGACGGGTGCCGGGGCGGTGCTGAACTCGCTTGGGGTGAGGCCGGGGAGCTCGGTGGCCGTGTTTGGGGTGGGGTCCGTCGGGATGGCGGCGGTGATGGCGGCGGCGAAGATTGCGGGGGCGGGGACGGTGGTTGCGGTGGATCTGCAGCCGGCGAGGCTGGAGTTGGCTGTGAAGCTGGGGGCGACGCACGCGGTGTTGGGGTCGGAGGACGATGTGGTGGGGAAGATCAGGGAGATTTGCCCGCCGCTTGGGGTGGACTACGCGGTGGACCGCACGGGCGTGCCGGCCGTGATTCGGACCATGATAGATTCCCTGGGGACGAGAGGGCGTGGAGCGACGGTTGGGGCACCGGGGTTTGGGAAGTGCGTGAGCGTGGATGTTATGGAGCATCTCACGTACGGGAAGGAGTATGTTGGGTGCGTGGAAGGGGATAGTTTGCCAGAAAAGGTGAGCTGGTTTGGGATGGGTATGGTTGTTAAGCGTGCTAACTTTAATAGTTCATCCCATACCTGATGGACGTCCACATGAAGGGGAAGTTCCCCATGGAGGAATTCATCCGGTACTACGACTTTGAGGACCACGAGAAGGCGATTGCCGATACCCATTCCGGAAAAGTCATCAAAGCCGTTCTAAGATGGAAGTAACGGATCTGAGCAGATTCAATGGAGAGAAACACGTGGGTGTTGCAAGTCTCGTAACTCGAGAAACAAAAGGATTGACCCGAGCTCGTTAATGGTACAGAAGCCCGAGACTCCCAGACGGAGGACGTGTAGTCTGACAGCTACGTAACCTTTCCTACATAGGACCCGAGCTTCAATGCGAAGGGCGAGGGTTGGCTAGGTAAGGGATATCAAGATCCTATTATGCGCCCAGGTACCTACATTTGACTCGCAATATGCGCTGGTAATAGTTATGTGAATAAGGTGAGATGTGCAGGCTGACGTGAGGGCTAAATACACTCTGTGGCCTGGCTTTGGACCCCTCACTTTAGAGCAACGAACGTACGTTTCCCGACGTAGTATTGAACATATTGGAATGATGAGCGGGGGACCCTCGCCCCGGTCGGAGCCAAAAACAGGCAGTGCTTCTGCGGTTGTCCCACCCGACGATCATGTGGGAGTTGGTTCGGAGATATACGCAACGGGATCTCGGCACGATGAGTGGTGTCGGTTTCCCTTTCTCTATTGCTATCTATCTCTGCTTAGAGATGCCATTACCATGCAGTTACATGCCTTGGCCAAGTGTGCCAGTATTTTTACCTTCATATTAGCCACCGCGTCTGCCTCTGGAACTGACACAGCCAGAGCCTCCAAACATGCCGACAGGCAGGTAGCGCCACGCAACGCCAACAACCAAACCTGCCTACCCGAGTTGGAAGATTCATTCCAGAGAGTCTGGACACTGAACAAGTTCCTCTACCAGGCCACCCAACGTGCCTTTGCCAACTTCCCCCCCAACAACATCCCCTTCAACGACGAGTTCGTCCCCTACAACCGCACGCTCGAGATCGAACTGCACAACGAGCTAGGCGGCTTCACCACGGCCTGCGCCTTTGACGACCCCATCCTCGACAACGCCACCGACAAGTGGTGGCACTGCACCTCGACAGAAGGCCCCCGCGCCCTTCCCAACCTCCCCATCGAAACCTCCATCCAGCTAAACCGCACCACAGGCGGCCTCTTGCTCAACCAGACCTGGTACTGCAACGACACCACCGATGGCGGACCTCCGTAAACCCCCCTTTTCTTTTTCTTACGATACACTCCCAAAACACAAAACACAAAACACAAAACACAAAACACAAAACACAAAACACAAAACACAAAACACAAAACACAGACTAACCCACCACCCACGCAACCCAGCTACCGCGTGGCAACCAAGGGCGTCCTCCCCGACGGCCCCGTGAGGCGGCTGGTCTGCGGCAGCAGCACGGCGGTGGCGCGGAACGTCATCTGCGCCACCAACATCGCGCCGATATGGTGTGACGTGCTGTTTGTGGCGGAGTGGTGCTCGCTCGGCGGTGATCGAGATGGGCGTGGTTGGGCTTTTGACTTTTGGGCGACGGAGGCGGTTTTGGAGAGGTTGGAGGAGGGGTGGGAGGGCGAGGTTCAATACCGTAGATGAGGAGGGTGGGGGGAGAGTCTGGGGGAGGTGTCTGGGGGAGGTGGTTTGAGGGGTTTATCTCTTGAGTCTTTGGTGGCGGTGTCCTTTTTTGCCGGTTTGATAATGCTTACATTTGGTTGGTATATCATCCGAGTCACACGTGGTCTTTGCGGCCGTCGGCAACGGTGGACTCATGGTATGGAACATCATTGATGACTCTCCTATAACTCCCCACCTCGCTATCAGTTGATGGGTTTCATTTTTATCACTAGCATAAAAGTCAAAACCAGAGCTAAAAGAATATAAACTCTTAACTCCCACCATTGTGACACACATCCATGATATGACGTCCCTAGTTGTTCGGGTTTACCGAGTCGGGCTCGTCGGGGTACGGCACTCCCTCCGCCCCAACCTCGCTAACGGTGATGCTCGACGACCCAGTGCTCTGGTAGCCCTCGGTGGCAAGGATCATGTAGTTGTGCGCACCCAGCTTCAGGCCGCTCTGGGTCCAGGCGTCGAAGTGCTAAGTACCAGCAATGTCAGTCATGTTATTCTTCGTGGGGCTGTGCCGGGGGGTTTGGAAGTAAAAGCGTGGTCTCGGGGGGTGCAATGATCAACCAGGACAGCGGCAAAAGGGAACGGGTCAGAGAAAGTCAAGGTTGCGACTTACAGTACCGGTGGTGATCTGACCACCAACACGCTTGGCCCGGCGGACGGACCAGAACTGCATAAATGTGGCCCTCCCTATAATCGAGGGCTGGTTGACACGCTGGGTCTGGTAGATGTCGTAGGTGCCGCCGTCGCTCTCGATGGTACCCCTCCTCTGCGCGCCGCTGCTGGGGTTGTACGAGCCGTAGCTCTCGACAACGTAGTACTCGATCAGTGGGTCCTTGGTCCAGCCGTAGAGGGCGAGGTACGAGTTGACGTTGGCACCGTTCCAGGTGCCGTTGTACTGCACCGTCTTGGGTCCGCCAGGGTTCCAGCCCTTGCCGCCGACCCAGTTGCCGACGTTGTTCCACTGGCTGTTGTAGGACCCGTCGGCGAGGTTGTTGTAGGTGACGCTGCCTCGGCCGTCGGACCAGAAGGAGTAGAAGTAGCCGCTGTGAAAGCCGTTGCCTTCGGGCGACCCTGCTGCTACTCCCCGGCTATCGTGGGCTGTGGGGTAGATCTTGCTTCCCAGATCGAACGACCTTCCGAACAACTCCTCGTCTAGCGGAATGGCGGCCGCGAGAACCGCGGTGAGTAGGAGAGACTTGAGCATGGTGAGGGTAAATGGGTGGGTGAAAGATGGCTGGGAGAGCTAAACGGAAGGGAGGTGGGTATTAGTGAGCGGTGGAAGAGCTTGCTTTATCATTTGTCTTTTCGGTGCCCGGTTGAGGGCCTTAGATGCCAATGATCCCTTCATCCGCGTGTAACCTACCAGCACCTGCTATTAGCGCTCAAGTGGGCAGATGGATAGATGTCCTATTCGGTCCCTTATAGCCTCCCAGAAAAGTAGTTCCCGCCCGGCGCCCAGTCATGGGACCTACTTTTCTCGTAGCTCATAAAACCCTATTCCAACTCCCAGAGTAATCATATCGAGGGGTCAGAAGGTGTGGGTGTCGGGAGTTGAATAATGGGCGGTGTTTACCATTTTACCAGCGGCTAAAGTGTCCGATTGGGCTGGTTTCAGTCGCTATTCTCGGCCCAAAGGCCCAGATTCACAGTGGAAAGGTCTCCGGATAAAGTAGGCGCACCGTTGGAGTTGGGGAAGTCTGGGGAAAGCCGAGAGGTCGGTATCCGTTTTGCAGTCGGCTGGGCCATTCTCCTTTTTTGACGCATGACTGATTTTCGGTCGAGTGCAACTCCAGCAGCAAAAGACTTTCTTTCATTGGTTCCTTGTTCGTCTATTTTCACTATATTCGAATTAGAAGGTATATTCACTAAGGTTATATATCAAGCTTGGGCCATGGACAAGGGGGCGGTGTAGAATATGCTCAGGAAACTTCATTCTTAGTACCATATCTTAGTCGGACAAGATGGTCGCGTTAAAAGGGGGTAGTAAATAAATAGTGCCAAGACCAGTGAAGGGGACACAATGGAGCCGAATTGGTGTCAGAAAGGCTGGGACTCAGGGCAAAAACAAACACCACCGAGGATTCGCTGGTCGTCACCGACCCTATTATTGATCCGGCCTAACCCCCTTTTCACCCTTTGGATAATGGATGGCGAAATGCGTCCCTTTGAACAGCCTCTGTGATACTCCCTATCCTTGGTCAAGCTCTTGGAGCACGACGTCACAAGGAATGTCTGCCCCGTTCAATGGAAATGCAGAGACAACAAGGAAGGTCGTCGTGCGTAGCACCGAACACTTCGTATCAAGAGAACATCAGATACGGTAGGGAGACGCTACATGTAGGTACCGAGGTAGACATATGACTAACCGTATGAGTAAAACGCTAGAAATCCTCAAGCCGTCTACAGTGAGGTGAGGGGGAAAAGGGGCGTGTGGCCCGAGCGAGACCTTGGATAGGTGGTTGAGTCCACCACGGCATGTCTCTCAGCCGCAAATGGGCGGTGGCGAAGTGTGGTGCCCAATCTCTGCAGCGCAACACCGCCCTGTTGATTCTTGATGATGACATACCCCGCACATAAATCATTAGCAGTATCCCGCATCCCTAAGCGTCGACCACTCCATGGAAGACGTGGCGTGCTGAAGGCCCAACCCCGACTAAAGATGGATCGGCCGATACCATTGATTGGTATTACTCCGGCTGCTGAAGACACTGGCATCAAGCCTGAGCCAACTCCCAGATCGCGTGCAACTAGCAGCCGAAGTGCCACCTCCGTGACGGGCGGGGGAGATCTGACCTGGCCGTCATGCGCTGAGAGCTACTGCCCGAGCCTGTAGGCATTCCAGTCTCATTTCGGTTACTCCGGCCACATGTGCACCCACCAAGTACATATAGGCACCCCAGCGCCTTGCGAATACCTATGTAGTTGGTACCTCAAGCTTCTAACACGATTCAGAACCTCTGAGAAGGATGCAGTTCAAGACTTGGTCGTATTTGAAAAGCTTCTATCAAAGAACAGTGCGATCCCGGTCATCAGTCGACAACATGATTTAAAAGGTATGTTGTTTTGGAATGTAATCCGTGTGCCATGCAGCAGATGGTATGGTACCTAGGTACCTAGGCTCTGTTGCCTAGGTACATGTACATGTAAGGTACGCAGACTTACGGGAACCTAGTACGCGAACTTGTTGTTGATGATCACCACTCAACCGAATTCCATGAGGTTAGTGAGCGCTAGGTTCTGGCTAAAACCGTGAGATAGCCAGTTGACAGCTGACAATTGCTCCTAGGTGTTGAAATGCAACCCGTTCACGGCCTGGTATAGCCATTTTTGCTCGCCGTGCCTGCGTGTGTCTTGAACAACTCTTTCTGACCACTCGGCAGTTTTGTCCGTCGTTTCCCACTGAACCCAGCCGGACCAACCCGGCCTGAGTACCACAAGCGGCTCCAGATATCCGCCAGGGCCTTTCGCTGGCTGCTAACACGGCTGGAGGTATCACCTTCTGTCGTCGCGATGATGTCGGGGGCGGGTAAAATAACTCCATTCGGCCTGCTGTCACGGACTCTCCGGCCTGGCACGCCAAGCGAGGCACGCCTAGTATGGTATGTCGTCCCGATTCGCATCTCAGTTCCCTGCAGCGACGACCAGCAGCGGCATGCTCTCAGCAACAACAACCCAAACGATCCGTCAGGATACCTGCACCTAGAGACCGTTATGAAGGACGTACGGTCCTCTAGCATTGCGATTCACATGCGCCATGGCCAGCAAACTACCACTGCGCTGTGCATCGACTCTCAGGATGGCAGGTGGTTTGAGTACTTGGATAAGCCGTATGTCCGTCTTAAGGAGGTGTTAGGTCAAGGAGAAAGAGGTATAGAGTCGGTAGAGTGCCCCTGTGCTTTACACCTGGTTATCCTTTCGAGCGCGGAGAGGTGGTGGCAGGAGGTAATCAAGGGGTTCAACAACGAGGTCCTCGCCCGTGTGAGTTTTCTAGTCTGTCTCTCTTTATCTTTCCAAGACGCCTATCTGACTTGATTAGGAGCGTCAGGTTCTAGAAACCCTTGTTCTGATGGAGCTCTCCCCCCATCACGGAGAGATAACGAAGAGTCTGCACGCCCTGGTAGCGCATGTGCAACGGTATAAGTCAGAGCTGCAGACCGCCTTGCGCATCATCCGCGGTCTGGAAGACACGACAGCAGACCACTCAAAGTGCCATGGAGTGTCCAGCCAGCAGCCGATGTCTCTGCCGTCCCATTTAGCCGAAATTGGCTGCCTCTTTGAGGGACTCATTCTAGTCGTCGAGGAGCTGGAGAAGAAAGTCCTCAGAGTCATTCAGTTGGTACGACTCACATATTTGTTGCCCACCGATCGGGATCGGGTTCTAGTACCCACCGTCCCCCAAAACCTTGTCTAGGCTCTAGAATGATTGTGAGCTGTTGAACCTAACAAATTCACAGCTCTTCGAAGTAGCCCACCTCGCAAACGACAAGGTCCTCGTCAAAAATGGTGTGGCAACACGTAAGATCATGAAATCCACACGCTCCCAGCAGATCTTTTCAGGTCGTATGGCTCGAGAATCGCAACAGATGGCGAGGGATATGAGGATGGATAGCATTTCCATGAAGACGGTGAGATTAAGGCGAGCGGCCAACCTTCCGGGAGAGGCCAGTGTTCTTTGGCGCTGACATGGACGATATTGCTAGATTGCTATTCTTACTTTGTTTTTCTTGCCGGCGACGTCGTATGCTGTGAGTGTGCTTCTGTATCTTCCTTTCCTTCGTCTTGAGATGCGACATCAGAAACTGACAAAGTGCCATCTCGGCCAACACAGGCGATCCTGTCTATGCCGTTCTTCGACCAAGATGCATGGATGGGCAGTGCAGAACGTGTATGGGTGTGGGTGGTGTTGACAGTACCGACCACAGTGGTGGCAGTTGTGATTTATGTGATATTTACGAGGCGAGGTCTGAAAAAAGAGAGCGATGCCCAGGGCCAGGAGGAGGAAGACGCCGACCTGAGCAGTGTGAATTTTGATCTCAACTCCTGAGATAACGGACAGAGTCTGCAGATGAGTGATCTATATAGGCATAGTGGTTTGCTCAAAGTCGGGAGAAATAAATAGGTAGGTACCTCGAGTGGCTCGAACTATTCCCGTTGTCCCAACATAACGTGCAACCGGGGCAGCGATCTAATCAAATTCTGGACTGATCGCGCGCTTTGGCCCTCAGGATCACCCAAAGCAACCTTCACTTCAGGTATTTTCCTTATCCTCTCAAACCGATCCTCCGGCGAAACCCCCACGTCGATGTTGGGCCAGCGGAGAAGGTGATGCACAAAGACGGCGATGCTATGGTGCGCTTGACTTTCTACATTGGCGAAAAGGACCCCAAGGCGGCGAAAGTCGGCAAGAGCTGTCGAAGGAAGCAGTGGTGTCTCGGCGAGATCGCGAACGGCGATGGAGACTTTGTACTCGAACTGTGTGAATCTAGTTCGCAAATACGCCGCCAGCTCATCTACTGTCTTGAAGTGGACCGATACCTTGCGCAGCGAGTCCCACCGGAAGAGTGACCGCGCAGCCTTGGGGTTGTCGACGAGGAGCAGCAAAGCCTTGGCCGTGTTCAGCGTGACGGCGTCAGCGTCCTTCTCCAGACGACAATATGCCTGGGTCAGCTGGTAGAGGAAGCGTAGGAAAACGACCGTCCTACGTTTCTCGGCGCTGAGCAGGCCCTTGTGGCGCGAGTCGGAAAGCGCTGCGTTGGCCACGATGAAGCCGTCCATGGGATAGCGCAGAAGCGTAGGGGGTTTGTGGTCGACTGTGAGGCAATCTCGGAACCCGCGGATGATAACCTCGTGGAGCGGGCCAACACCCATGCTCGTATTTTCATCTGCCCCGGTCAACGGGGGCGGTATGTCCTCAACCTCTGCTTCGGAAAGCAGCATGTCCAGCTCCCATCTGATTGCCCTCTGCAGTGCCAAGTCTTGCTCCCGTTCAATGCCATCCTCCTTCCCATCCGTACCGAGTCCTGCGTGCAACAGGTGTTCTAATTTGACATAGAGGATGCTAAAGAACACTAGCGGTGCGTCGGCGTGCGCGAATCTGTGTTGGGTTGCGAGACTGACGGACTGCAGCCACGCGGCTTTGTTTGCAATGTACGAGACAAGGGGCAGGGCCGACACAACCGTCTCGCTATCGGGGCTGGAGAATCCGTGCCCAAATCTCTCGACACAGTTACTACATGCGAGGATGCGTGAGATGACATCAGTTTCCGCGTAGTTACCCATGGTCAGGGGAAAGGCAAGTGTCGACATGCTTCCCGGCCGAGGGAAGTTGGGCGTGCTCTTGGCCGTTGGGGGTGCAACCAAGAGGAGATGAACCACGGAATTGCTGCTGCAGACCGTGCATGATGCTCGATACGCGAGTTTTGGGTTCGATGGTAAGGCGAACCCGGTCTTGATTGGCCGGGGCCCGTTTTCCTTCGCCTTCAAGCGTGTCAGGCGTTCATCGCCGTGGTTGATGCCGCGGAAGTTGTCGGAGGCGATCGTGATGGACATTGCCGAAAGCCGTTTCATGAAGCATTCGGACTCTCGACGGTGACGAGGCGCATCATGGCCCGAGTCACATTCCCGCTTACTCCGATTACTGTAAAGTCCAGTTGACCTCGAGCCTGATTTAGACCTAGACTCCTCACCAATGTCGAATGCAGGTCCTCCTGAGAGAGTTGTGGTATCAGCGTTACGACCGTGGGCGTGAGATTAGAGAAGATCGCACATCCCACTTACCGCTATCCGAAGCCAAGTCTGCCGCTACCTTGTCAAAAAGCCGCGACGGTTTCTGTGGCGCTTCCTTTAAGCCTGGTCCATTGTCAAGGACGCCATCGGTCCGGTCGAGTTTGCCGAGCCAGTCCAGGAGCTTGCCCTCGACACCTCTTGATTTAGCCGTGAGCGTAACCGTCTTCAAGTTTTCCTCGTTGTCGAGTATTGTGCCCACTATCTCTTCAGAAACGGGGAGATTCTCGAGGAAGGCATCGAGGTCCAGCTTGAACTTCCCCCCATTCAGCAAGATCTCATTGGGATCAAGGTCCGTTGGGGGCGGCACATGGACTCTCATCAAGTTCTCATACGAGGTCTGTGGCAAGTCCTCCCATGGGGTATCGTAGTCGAAATGTGGATTTTGAGATCCGGGCGGAAGCAGGGCGGAAAAGCAGCCCTTTGTCTGAATAACATAGGTCTTGTTAAATTCAACATTGGTGTAGAGGAACGCCACGTGGGGGCTGGCGGCGAAGACGGAAAGGCCGACGGTGATGTTGCACTGGCTAGGCCGCTCGAGCTGGTCACCGAAGACAGCGACTACAGCCCCCTTCCCGTGCATTCCGTAGTCGGCCAGACTCCTTGCGAACTGGTGGACGAGCGGGGTGTCGATGAGCCCGTCCGTCAGGAGGAACCAGAAGGACGATTTCTGCAGCTGGAAACGACAATCTGGATCGGCCAGGATAGCGTTTGGATCCGTCCCACCGTCTGAGTCCAGGTCATCTAAGCGGCCGACTGGGAGCGGCTGATGCGCGTTGTCATTCCAGGGCAGAATGGTGACGTTGTCGAGCAGTTTAGGAGGGATGAGCGAGCAAATGCTGCGAACCGCCTTCTTTTCCGCCGTCAGCGTCTCGCCGTAAGTGCTGCCCGAGACATCGACAGCAATGCAAATATTCGAGTCCCTGAACAGGCCACCCGTCTGCTGCGTAGGGATGGCTGCCTCAGTCCGTGCCCTTGTTGTACCGGTCGTGATTGTCGCATCGTCCTTGTCAGCGGTGACGGGCACCGGCGTTCCGACGTCAGCGCCGTCAACTTGAATTTCCATGGTCTCTGTCTCTTCCATGGGTACCTAGGTGACTGGATGTACTTCAAAAGAGGACGACAGGAACTAGGTAGGTTTGGGATTTTGGCTGGCCCCAAAACAAACGGGAAATTTACAAGTCACGGACACGGAAGAGGGCGGGGTAGAAAAAGCATGACTTGTGGCATCGTGGCTTGGTCCTGTGGGTGGCAAGCCTGGCGCTGGGTTGACCGACGGGGCGTTCTGAATGGGCGAGTGCGTGGGCGAGGCGTTGGAATCATGGTAGCACAACTGCATTTCCGCCTACCCGCCTAAGTGGCTGTGCGCATAAGGTACCTACCAAGGTATAACTGCGGACGAAGACAACCTATCACCTACCTGTAGCGATCAGCCCCGCCCCCTGCCTCGGCGCAGGCGACGACACACCCTTTTGTCCCGTCCCTCCTTCACAACCTACTTAAAGTTGACGAACCCAGCTAAATAAAAGTCTCTGGCTGAAACTCCGTTTACATCAGTCGACACTTGACCATCTTCGAGTTTGTATCGAAACCATTCTGTCACTGGCAGACAATATGGACCGAGTGAATGCCACCGCTGAAGACACCCAGGCCGAAGCCACGCCCTCCAGGGGAGAGCCATCACAGGGTCTACCGTACACCACATTTTATGACCCCAAATGGACCACACAGGGCGTCGGCGGTTCGACAAGGGCCCCGCCCCAGCCCACTCGCGACCAAACGGTGGTGTTTCGGCCTCCGCAGGGCCCACGAGTGCCAGGTGGTGGTGACACACCGGCTTCCGGGTCCGTTGGAGGACAAGCCCCTTCAGAGAACCGCGGCCAAAGCAACAGCAGTGCGTGGTCAGATTACTCGACTGCAGCCCGCAAGCTACCCAACACATGTAAGACAGCGCTCCGGTTACACGTCAAGGGTGGCGCACTGACTGTGCGTGCGAAATGATTATAGGATACCGGACATTATAATATGAGGACATGCGAACCTTCAAACGAGATTGGTTGATGGGATAACTATGTGGCAGTAAACCCATGTATGTGGGGAGTGGTGGCCATGGCGGGGGGCATAGGCAGTTTAGGCCGCATGGTCTGAGACGGCAGTAATGAATGAGTTTATGGGCATCGGGCCTTCCTGTACTTTTACAGCCAGGGGTTCTACTGACCGTTCCGCTCCATCTTACTCGGAATAACCTGGGGGTTTATGTTATAATCAATTGTCCCTTTTCATAAATGAGAACGATGGGAATGGAGACTAAGTTAATACGGAACGTAAACTACCTACCTAGGTGGTAATTAGGTAGCTGGCCCTACAACCGTAGGAGAGGATATAGGTGGTTATAGGTGCAACCCCATTTACCTTAGACGCCTTCAAACTCGCACTCCTCGCTCTCGCACTTATACAAGCCAGGGGGTCCACAGGTGTGAGGCACAATACAGGTGGCGGGCCTGTTGGCCTCCCACACGTCCAGCTCGTTGCAGCAAGAGCCCTTGCCCTGAAAATTAGGCTCGCCGTTGATAAAAGGCGGGACGAAGCACTGGGCGTCGCAGTATCCGGTTCCGTACCGGGCACCGCCGGTATTTAGCTCGCTCTTGCCTCCGTCCTGGGCCATCTCGGAGAGATAGAGAGCGCCGTTCATGCCGCAAGGCGACTTGGAAACGTCGACGTCGAAAGTGAGCTCTTGTCCGGTGAGCTTCAGCATCTCGTACTTGCTCTCGGAGAGGAGGTAGGGCCTGGGGCCGGCGAGGGAGCCGTCAGGGTGGAGCTGCTTCATAATCAGGACACTCCCGTCGGTGAAGACATCGTAATCTTCATCGTTTGTGATTCCGTCATGATGCAGTTCTCCTGGCATATCGCCGCGTCAGGGCAAACCGTGGCATTGGGCGCATTTCCCCAGTCGCCCCAGTTGATGCTAGGGTTGTTGCATTGGTAGACGGGATGGGCGAGACTGTCAATGACGAGGGCCGTATTATGGGGAGTGCATCCATCGGCCTTGGTGCACGTCCAAGTCGTCAAGCGAGGGTGGTTCTCAGCGAAATATGCACCTTTGGAGGAGCGTAGTTAGAAGCCATGGTGGGCCGTCGCGTCAGAGTTAAAGGACTGCGGATCCTGTACCGACCTGATCCCAGGGCGGCATGGTGCGGCTGAGTGTCCTGAATGAGTGTTTGGTCATGTCGGTCACCTCAGGGGACACCGGTGGTTCGACCCGGGGAAGTGACGCGGAGAGCGACTCCCCACATTGCATTGCATCGATGCATTGTGAATGATTTCCTGGTGCTGGGTATCTCCAACGGCATCCCCTGCGTGGCACAACTGGCCGCTCTTGGCGATGAGTCGGATCCCGGTTGCGGGTGCCCCTGAGGACCCCGGAGGACCTCGCCGGAGTATTCCTTGCTTGACCTGGGAACGAGGGCCCAGCGAGAGTGACATTCCAAGCGCTTGTCGCCGAAAGAGAGACCGGCTCCACCAAGCTAATTGGTGCGCCTAACGCGAACCAGCATTAGGGCCGGGTTGTGGAGCGCGGGAGTTGCGTCGACGAGAGTTTGTGAGACAGCTCCAACGACCATGGCACGAGAGCGGTATAAATGGCTCCGCGGCTCCGTCAGTTCCCACGCCGCATCAGGGTGCGGGAGCTTCCTCCGCGTCGGAACATCGGCGACAAATCCGTGAGCGGGCCGATCAAGGGGCTCACGCGAGTTTCCACCGACTGGTCGACGTCTTGGTCAAGGGCCAAGAACCACGTGCCATCGGGGAGCCCGAGAGTCTTCACTCGCCCCGGGCCAGGGACCACGCATGTTACAGAGCCACATGCGGTGACGGTGTGATCCTCCCAAATTTGGGTGGCCAGTACCAAGATACGAATACTATATCGCCGACCGGCAAGTGTAACCGTGCGATGAAAGTATACATACCTCGTCGTGTATCCCAAACGCAGACCTCAACCACTCGCACTGCCAAGCATACTGCCAAGTGGCACCGTCGAGTTGGCGCTCACATGGCAACGGTTTCCCTGTCGACCAACGTTCGGGAACGCCGGGAGGTTCTCCGTCCTGGCTCCGAAAGAATGACCAAAAGGGAACGGACGCTACACTACGGAGTAGAGATAGTCGTACCAAGACAGACTGGAGGTAGTATACAGACACAATAGGACGAATCATGCCGATCCCCACTCATAGATGCCCTAGCTGAAATAGTTGAAATACCCCGACCAACAGGCCGATTGAAGAGTGCTTTGCAGAGGTCTACCAGCCGATAATCATCAGCAGTACGGGTCAACATGCGTTCCTTTGCTCTCCTCGCCGGCCTCCTCGCCACCGCCTCGGCTCTTCCCGCGCTTGAGCCGCGGCAGTCTGGCAACCCCTTCTCTGGCCACACCCTGCTCGTCAACCCAAACTACAGCGAGTCGCTCGAGCAAACTCGCGAGGCCTTGGTGTCGGCTGGAGACCAGACTAGTGCCGACAAGGTGAAGTTCGTTCAGGAGAAGGTCGGCACCTTCGTCTGGATCTCCAACATTGCCCTCCTGACCGATATCGACGACGCCATTGCCAATGCCCGTGCCGCGAAGGAGAAGGGCGAGAACCCCATTGTCGGTCTTGTTCTATACAACATCCCCGACCGTGACTGCAGTGCCGGCCACTCTTCCGGTGAGCTAAGCTTGGCCGACGGTGGTCTCGCTCGGTACCGCACCGAGTACGTGCAGCCGTTTGCGCAGAAGCTCAAGGCAGCGTCGGATCTCCAGTTCGCCGTCGTTCTCGAGCCCGATGCCATGGGCAACATGGTCACTGGCGAAACCGAGTTCTGCCAAAACGCCCGTGAGCCCCAACAGGACGGTATTGCCTACGCCATCCAGCAGCTCCAGGCCAGCAACGTCCACCTCTACCTTGATGTGGCCAACGGCGGTTGGCTTGGCTGGCCGGAAAACCTCGAACTGAGTAAGTCTCATTCTTCTGTGCTAGTGTGCGGAAGAGGCACGGGCATTCACTAACCAACCACCACCTCACCAGCCGCCGACGTGGTCGCCACCATTCTCCAAAAGGCCGGCAGCAGCAACCGCATCCGGGGCTACGCGAGCAACGTCTCCAACTACAACCCCTACAAGACGGACAACCCGCCGGCCTACACCGAGGGCAGCCCGTCGCCGGACGAGTCCCGGTACGCTGACAACCTCGCGGCGGCCTTCGGCGAGCGCGGCCTCCCGACGCAGTTCATCATCGACCAGGGCCGCGTGGCGCTCGACGGCGCGCGCGAGGAGTGGGGCGAGTGGTGCAACGTCTTCCCCTCGGGCTTCGGCCAGCCCTTCACCACCGAGACCGGCAACGCCAACGTCGACGCCGTCGTCTGGATCAAGCCCGGCGGCGAGTCCGACGGCGAGTGCGGCATGGCCGGCGCCCCGCGCGCCGGCGCCTGGTTCGACGAGTTCGCCCAGATGCTCGCCAAGAACGCGCACCCGGACATCAGCACCGGCGGCAACAACGGCGGCGGCGGCAACCCGAACCCGGGCGGTGACTGCGCGGCGAAGTGGTCGCAGTGTGGAGGGCAGGGGTGGACCGGTGCGACCTGCTGCTCCGAGGGCACTTGCCAGGCGTCCAACCAGTGGTACTCGCAGTGCGTGTAAGGCAGTGGGAGAGTCAGAACAGCATTTTGTATTTCGATATCCACAAGAGTAACCTCTCGTTCTACCTGGGGGAAAGTCCCCATCAGATGACAAGAACTGGTCCCCTAATACCCATGCAGGCGGTGCGATCAACTATACGATTTGCAATGTTGACAAGGCGTCTGGATGTAAACCAACCACAGAACGAGGCAGTCTAACCCTCATCAACAACCCGACCAACATCATCCATCTCGTGCCGCGCAGAGCAAGCACGCCTCAGCCGCCGAGGATAGGACGTTCAACACCTGGAGACTGAGAGCCTTTGGCAATTCTCGCTCACATGGTGGGCCGGAGGGAACAAGATATATACCAAATGAACAAGAAATAATCACGCTTGTACCGGTAATCAAATCGCCAAGAAGCCTTCTTTTTTTTGCGTTGCTGGAAGGGCGTGCTTCTTCCGCCACCGTGTCATCCGTTCTACCCATGCTTTCACTGTCCTACTCTTAAACCTAGAATTGGATTTGGGGATAGGTTGGGATAAACCTGGAAAGACGAGTAAAAAGGTCAAAAACATACAACACCAGGGATTCGCTGGTCGTCACCGACCCAACTACTGGTCTGGCCCTCACTTGTTTGACTAGGGGAGAGCGGACGGGATCCCGTATTCTCAAGTGGGTATGGTCGTATGTGATGGTCAGGTTTGTCGGTGGAGGTGAAAAGGGGGTGTGTTGCATGGTTTCATCCCTGAGGCAAGGCAGCCGCGTCGGGGGAAAACGAAGTGTAGGGGCAGGAGATATGTAGAACTTGAAGATGGATTAGGAAATAAACCTTGAAACTCGAAGTGGAGCTGTCTGAATCCGAGCCAGGAGCTTTGGGGATATGAAGACATGGTGCTTGTATTGTGGGAACAAGCGGAAATCCTGGCTCATGGTTCTATTACAAGCCTAGTTGGTTGTTGCAATGTTGCGTTATGTCTTTCTTTTGTGTATAGTATATGAATATACATCTACCCACCTAGGTAGGTAACCTGAACTATCCCAGAGCAGAGTCAAGTCACCTGCTCACCTATTCCCATAGCTCAGGGGGTCCAAAGCGATATACCCGCCATGCTGCTGGCCGTCATACATATCATGCATATGATGTACAGATCCCACATCCTCCACAATATCAACCTTACCATCCGTCCCAGCCAATGAAGCAGCCCCACCCGCCGTCGTCGGCGTCGTCAACGCATCCTCCTCCGTCGGAACCGCCGCCGCCCCCTCCCCATCCGCAAACTTGACCGTCTTCCCCCCGCTCATCAACCCCCACTCCTTGGGCGTCATCTTGAAGTCGCTCTCCCCGGGGTACAGCACAATCGTGAAGATCCTGCCCGCCGACAGCTGCTGCAGCCGTATCCTTAGCTTAGCCAAACTCGACAACCCCATCGCCCACACCACCAGCGCGCCCACCGTCACCAGCCCCAGCACCACCAGCAGCGCAAAGGCCGGGATGCCGTACGCGTAGTGGTACTTGACCTTGTGCACGGCGGGGTAGACATGGACGACCGGCGCGGGGCTATCCTCGGTCGCGGGGCTTGTGGCGATGCCCTTGGTGCCGACCACGGCCGAGGCGGCGAGGTCGGTCCAGAGCAGGTTGATCATGCGGCTCGCGCCGTCGGCGGTGGCGGTCAGGTTCTGCCAGCGGGTGAAGACGGCCATGTCGGCGCGGCCGACGAGGTCGAAGGGCCAGTCGGAGCTGCTGACGCCGTTGGAGGTGCCCGCGTCGCCGGCGTAGACGGTGTTGGCGACGCGGAAGGGGAAGTCGGCCGCGGGCAGGTTCTGGTAGCCCGGGCTGTTGTCGTAGGTCGAGAAGGTCGGGTTGGTCATGACGGAGCCGCTGCCGAGGCCGACTAGGTAGAGGGAGGGTTGCTGGACCACGGAGATGTTGGGGAAGTTGGCGGCGGGGTAGGCTGGCGAGATGAGGCCCCAGAGGGGGGTGATGTCGCTTAGTTCGTAGCCGCTGTCTTCGATCGCCCAGAGGGGGTATGCGTCGGGGGATGGGTATGTCTTGGCTGTGATGTTGGTGACGCGAAAGGAGGTCAGACCGCGGGCGCTTTCGGCGGACTGCCGTGCTGGGTTGGTTCCGGGGTCGGTGGAGAAGGTTACTGTTTTGATGGTTGCGCGGACGGCCGTTGCGCACGAGTAAATGGGCGTGGTCCACTTGCTGCCCTGTTCAAAGATGCCGGGCGGACCGCCGTCCACCCGCCTGGGGGGGCCAGTGACAAGGCCGCAGGCGACGAAGATGTTGGTGACGTTGGCGATGTCGCCGCCAGCGGCGCCGGAGCAGATGATAGCTGGGGGGTAGACATGTTAACGAGGCAATGAAGTGACTGGGGAGGGATAAAGAGACGCACGTATCGATTCAAACCAGGGCCTGCTCTTGGTAACATTAAACGGATTGGGATATCTCATCTTTCCGCCCGAGCCGGTGGCAAAAAGATAACCCCCGTAGGCGTTGAAAAACGAGGCAGCCCTATAGTTGGTGAGGGTAGTGGTCCACAGGGGAAAGGATTTGTCTATGGCCGAATCCAGGTAGCGGAATGACTTGGCGCCCGTGCTAGAATTTCCCAGGTTTGTGACATTAAGATAGAGCATGGTGTAGTAGTTGTTCACCAGAGCTGCGAGGTACGCCCTGCCCCTGAGGTCCGGGTTCGCTTGCGGGTTGCCGTCGTAATACGGAAACGTGCGGTTGAGATCGGCGCGGTTCAGGTTGACGAATCCGCCGCGGTCGGTGAGACGGTAGTCAGTGGGCCCCGAGGAAGAGATGTTCTTGTTTTCAGATTCGGTGTAGTCGAATGTCAGGTTCGTGTCAACGCAGGCGGTGACGGGCTCGATAAATAGGATATCCTCCTGCCAAGTGACATTGCGGTCAGGAGGCTGAGGAATCGTGTGGTTTCGAAAGCCCACGCCGCCGGTCTGCGTGTCGACGATGAGACCCTCGACCAGTTTGATCGAGTCCTCCAAGGCGACGCTATCGACTTGACGGAACATGTTGACGGTATACGGAGATCCGCGGTTCACAATCCCAGCATCGTCGACCCTCATAGTTAGCTGTCGCCACTCGATATCGAAGAAGTTGGACACGGTCGTGCCGATCCCGCGCGTACCGCTTGAATAAAGCTCGCGAAGTACGGGAGGGATCTCCATGGTCAAGTTATTAGGATAGTCCCATGACGCGACACTGCTACCGAGGCTGAAGATGAGTGTACCGTTTGTGAGTGGGCATGGTGCAGGATTCAAGCGATAGGAGCATTGTCTCGAGAAGGTGTAATTACGGCGAGGACTCGTCCCGTAGAAATAAGCACTGCTATCGCGGATATAAGAGAAGTCGCCGACCTCTCGTTCTCCGATTTCAAGGGCGTCGTGAAGACCGATCGGGGTCACCACGCTAGAGACGGCAATCAAGACGGTTGCAATTGGAATAGCGAGGGAGGCGAGGAAAACGGGCCTTCGAACAGCATGCGGTCGCACTGAGTCGGTCCGTAGAATCGTCGTCCAATGCGATGACTGGAGAAGCTTTGCTGCCACCGACCTAAGCTCCGGTGCTTAGCAGCTGGGCACGAGGGGACCGAGCAAGAGGGCCACCCAAGTCCTACGTACCATGTTGCCGCGGTTTCTTCATCGCGGAGCACTCCGGCAAGCAGAAAGGAGATGGCGGTTGGAAGCCAGAGTTGTGCTTTGCCGTCCAGGTTAGCACTTGGCGTAGGGGATGGAAACAAGATAGGTCGAGGTTGGGGTTGGGGTCTTATGACTATTACTAGACCCCGTAGAATAAAACTTACTTATAAAGATGGCCAAAGCGATCAGGCCGGCTGTGTATCCGACTGAGTAGTCCGTCATTGTGCCACCCCAGTTCAACACGCCACAAGGTCAGGAGAAGAGGTGTGGCGTTTTTCGTCCATCGGGTAGCAAAAACGTGAAGGCACTGAGCGGCGAGGGGCCGAAGATGGGCGGGTGAGGTTGAAGTAAATGGCGCGTGAAGGGGGTTTAAACGTCACTTGGCAGTGAGGTTCCTCGGACTTCCATTCCATCTCAGGGCACCGGTCAGACCGAAGAAAGCCACCCAAAGCCACCGATCGCCCTTGTCCAATGGGCCGGTGGTTTCCGATTAAAGGCCAAGGGTGCCAAGCACAAGCTGAACGCTTTCTTGCATGTTGATGCAGGCAGTCGATCCCACTTGGTGATTTGTCCATGCAACCACACCAGCACGTCGGCAGGGATGAGGGCTGGGCCAGATGAAAGGCGACGCAACTTGTGTTCTTAAGTGGCTTGCAACCCGAGCCTTGCCCTCCCTGGTGTGATGTCCAAAGCTTTGACTGCTTGTCCCACAACAAGGTCGACATTGATGTTTTAAGGCTTTAAGGCTGTGGTGACCCTGCGCACCCACCCACCCCGACCTAATATTCATTAATACCTTATAAATGTCGCTCCACCCGCCAACTCCGTGAAAATGGCGTCTTTCTTTGCCCCGATAGTCCTCATTTTGGGCCTGTTCGCGCCTTTCATTTCCGGGCAGACTGCTACTAGTAGTCGAAGCGCCGCTTCTATCACTAGTCCCTCTGCCCCTGACCGCAGCGCAGAAGGATCTCAAATATGTTATGGTCGAGGCGGGATTTGTGATGCCAGGAGGGAATTCGGTGATGAATGTCAACGGGAGCAGGAAGCTCATGGAACTGATGGATACTACAAGTGCATTTGCACATCGGGGTATGCTGAAGTTATTAAGGCGTAAGTGTTCCCCCAACATGATGATGTTCTTGTTTCCCAAAGGTGGACTCTAAGCTTCCGGTACTCGACGATCTAGGTGCGATAACTGCCTGTTATTCTACGGCCTCATCTCAAGTAGGATCAACAACTACACCGTGACATGTTCAAGCAAGAGCTACACCCTCGCGCCCATCCCTAGCGGCCTGCTTGCGCAGCAGTCGTCGTACAATGCCACACGAGTGACGGCAGCATTGACGAGCGAAGCACCAACGTACGTGGTGACCATCGACGCAATGCAGACCGCACCGCTGCCAACTGTCGCTACCACCTTCGTTCTACCACTGGCAACCGGGCCAGGATCACGCCCGTCAGCACACTCAGGACTTCTGGGGGTGTTGCCAATTCTAGGAATATTGTTGGGGCTCTGGTTATAGGCGAGGGGAAATGGAAGGAATGTGCCCAGTTCGGCGAGAAGTGTTGCAAGATGCGGAAGTCGAGCTGCTAGGGCTGGGAAAAGGGGGCTGTGGGAAAAAGGGGTTGTACCCTAGGTGCCCGTTCATCCCTTTTATTCCAGATTTTAACACAACGTTAAGGAGTGCACTGTCATCAGGAGACCTTGGAGCAGATCTCAGTATCATCACTAGATGCGATCCGCTTAACGTTTAAACTGAAGCAAGCCAATATTCGCATTTGTGTTCTCGATGTTCTTGCCTCTTGATCTCCTCACCACACACACCCTCAAAAAGGAGGAGAACCTAATATCTGAGAAAAGAACGGAAAAAAGAATGGGAATTCTTTGCCCACAACCAGAATCGAACTAGTGACCTTGTCATTACGAGTGACACGCTCTACCACTGAGCCATGCGGGCCTTGAGCTTATTGGCTCGTTGTTGCTTTTGCAACGAGAGTGGGGAGAAGATGAAGGGGGTCTGCGGAGACGGTGGGATCGGGTTAAGGAATAACTTGTGTCTTGATGAGGATCCAGGACCTAGGAAGTTGGGGGTGAATAAGTATTGCTTCTTACCGAACACCCTAGGCGGTACCAACCATTCAAGCTTCGGTTGACAACCTTGAAGAACCATTGTTGTATTTTTGGGAATGCGATAACGCCTACAGCTTGGAGTGTTCCATCCCGCCTTTTCAGTTATACCATCGAGTGAACGAATGACTTGTTTGCTCGTCGTAGAGGTCGAATCCCTACCAAGACCTCTCACCTCAAGATAGGTCCGTATCCCTGAATGAACGAACAAACACCAACCCCAAATACCCTCCCCAAACGCCCGTCCAAACACAATTTTCCAGCCGCCCAACCCCCAATACCAAACCACCTCATACCAACCCCCTAACCACTCCTCAGCGGACCTCAACCCCGCCCCATCCCCTTTCCCCCCGCCCGCAACGGATCCGCCTCGGGCCCTCCCCGATCCGCCACCACATCGGCCTCGCTCTCCGTCGGCAGCGGCGCCGCATCCCCCGCGCCCATCCGGATGGTATGGTGCAGCCCGGGGGGCAGGGGATCTTCGTCGGAGCGGTCGGCAGCGACGTCGGCCTCGCTCTCGGTCGGGTTGCCCTTCACCTCGGTGCCGAACATCTGCGCCGACACCAGCACGCCCGTGCCTGCGCCCGTGACGGGGCCTGAGGTTTGGGCGGCGCCTGCTGCGGAAGGGGCTGACACCCGGTCCTGTCCGACGGAGTGGATTCCTCGTCGGTCGGAGGGGCGCGCCTGGCCGTGGTAGATTTGTGTGCTGTAGCAGGAGGCCCGCGCGCGGTTGTGGTCGCGGTGTTGGTCTTCTGGGCGGTTGAAGTGTGAGGACCACTCGGCGCCGAAGACGCCTTGGTTGGAGGGTTGGTGGTTGATGGGTTGGGTGGCGGGAGAGCTGCTGGGTGATGTTTTGTGGTGGGCGCGGAGCGTGTCGACAGTGGCTGGGCGGGTGGCCATGCCTCGTAGGGCGGTTGCCCGTGGGAGGGTAGTCGTGATCTTTTGTAGCGCGCGCATGTTTCCTGGGTGTGGTGTATGCGGGTTAATGGGAATGTGGAATGTGGTGTCGCTTGTGGATAAGAAAGGAGGGGTCATGTTCGCTACGTTGTTATAGGATCTCGATGACTTTGGAACAGAGTGACGTCACAAAGACGAATCTCTGACACGCGTTGACTCGGTCGATGGATTGCCATCGTTAAAGAGGCGACACTCAACTTCGGTCATCCACCCCGCGGTGGCGACGTGTTTTCTCTCAAAGTTAAATTTTGTGGTTTGGATATGTCATGTCAGCCCCTTACTGTTGTGGTGTACTTCAACCCCTTACTTGAAGCGACACCAGGAGAGCTTCGCCGGCCCAAGGCATCGCTCCTTATCATTGGTTGAGAGGCTCACTCAACCTGAACCGCTGGCAAGTTAACTTTGGGAGCATGTGACCAAAATAGAACTTGCTGCTCCTGTCCATGGTGCCCACGCGCCCAACTATCCCTTCCAGTGCCGTCTCGAAGCAACCACATGGTCCACATCCCACTCGAGGAACTTTGAGCGATCGACCTGCCCTCGGTTGATAACATCAAATGCCGCACCCGCCTCACATCCAGGGTTACCACTCACGCACTCACGGTCTCCCATACCTCGATGAAGGTTTCATGTTCCGTTGCCTGGTTATCAACCCTTCGCAATATTAGCAGGACTGATACGCTGTGATGGATTAACGGCCTGGTTGCGACGTCATTACCGCTGGGATATTACGGGGGACGCTGGATGATCGGGCGGTTCGGCGTTCGTGAGCAGCCAACAAAACCAGCTTCCGCCGTGGAAGAGCGTCTGGCGGAACACTAGCTGGGTATCAGGGACCATCAGCCGACCCCAAAATGGCGAGTCCGAAACTGTCACCAACGGCCTGACGTCTGCCGCGCCGTTGATGAATGCTGGGTGTTGCCGTCTTCCCGAGGGAGATCTTCAGGGGCTTGAAAGTGCGGGGGCTAAATCCGGGCTGGGAGAAGATCGACACCACGTCCCTGGGATTAACTTAGCGAGGATCGCTCGGATGGCACACAAGACGCGCTCGGCACCAAAATCCGCCCACGATGTTGCGTTTTGTCGGGGGGTTGAAACGAGGCACATTCCAGCAGGCCAATGGAGGGTCCCTCGTCGGGTTCGTCCCAGAAGAGCAGAAGGCTCGCGTGGGAATGGAGTCCGCAAGGGAGATCGCAGCCCGTTTGGGGAGATTCCTGGCGGGTCGCTCAAGCGGCGCATTTCCCATCTAAAATCTTCGCATCCACCACGGACCCGGGGGTTTGGCAGCGTCTCCTGATTGCGACAAGTTCAGTCACAGTTCAGGGATCAAACACCAAACGAGCCATCAACCAACATGTCAGTCCTCATCGGGCAGGCGCCCAACAACCTTGGGCCGTTGACGACGACGTTCACGCCGCCGCCAGAATGCACGGTCGCGGTGGGCGCGGGAAGCAACGCGATAGCAGACTTTTTCGGGGTCGGTGGTGATAAGGACGTTGCCTTTCTCGGGCAGGGCTGCGCTGGGGGGAAGGCCTTCGATGCCACGACATGCTGGCCAGAAACGTCAAAGGGCGCCGAGGAGAGGGACGCGCCGCTATCCGGATGGGGGTTCTACTCGCCGGGCTTGAATTGCCCGGTTGGGTACGCGACCGCCTGCTCGGCAACGGGGGGCAGCGGCGGAGGATCTGGCTGGCCGGTGCAGTTCAAGCTACGAGATGGCGAGACGGCGGTCGGCTGCTGTCCAAGGTTCGTTCGCGACATTTTTCGAGGGCAACGGGGTGGTCTAACGCGGAGTTAGTGGATATGATTGCGCCAACATCAACGGCCAGACATGCACCATGGTGGCTACCTCCACCACGATACCTATCGTCACATGCGACGGGAGCAAAAGCGGCGACGTTGCGTCCCAGACGGTCCCCGACGATGAAGCCTCCATCACAGCGTTCAGCCTATTCGCGCCAATGATCCAGATCAACTGGCAGAGCAGTGACCGACCCAAGTCAACAACAACCAGCTCCCGCAGAAGTGCAACGAGAACCTCAACCACGGACCGCGCCAGACCAACATCAGAGGAGACAAGTGCTAGCGACGACGACGACGACACCAAGTCAACCGAGACCTCTGGAGGTGAGACTCTTGTCCTTGACGAAAACCCGCAAACAACAGGCGACAAAGTGGACGTTGGCGTCAGCCCTCCAACTATTACCCCCACCCTACAAGAAAACGAATCGTCCTCCGAAGAAGGCGGAATCAGCTCGGGGGCTAAAGTGGCCATCGGAGTTGCGAGTTCGGTGGCGGTGCTCATGGTGCTCGTGTGCGCTCTGTTCTACTGGTGGAGGAAGCGCAAGACACGGCGGGAAGAACAGGAACTGGACAGGCTGTACGGGCTCAAGCACAGCATGAGTATTGGCGGCGACTTCACGAATAGTAGCGACATCCCCGGCTGGTATCGTGGGCAGAAATTGGGGACGGCGGTGAACGATCGATTTGGGGTGCACGATGCAAATCATGGGAATGTTGGGAATCACGGGACGGTGCCTGAGATGGAAAGACCGGCAGCGCCGTATTACCGCCCATATCGGCCGGCGTAATGGATGTTGGGAGTGTGCGTTATGTTATGTATGTTGTGTACATGTACGAATTGCGAATTGATTCGACCAGATGGAGTTTGCTTGCTGCGAGATCGTTCTTGCACTCACCAGGTTTCCATCTTGAAGTCCAGGAAGGAAGGAACGTCCGAATAAACTCTGGCATCCTGTTTCGTTTCTTTGTTTTTGCGGGATGTTCCAGAGCCCATGACCCTGTCTGTGCTTCGTCAGGCAAGGTCCTGTCAAGTCGGGAAGCGGAGCCTGCACAGACCATCCAGTTTCGTGCGCCAACGCTCCATGCAGCTGGAGCTCCCCACAAGCTTCCCCAGCCAAGCAAGCTCCGTGCCAATGCGTCGTATCGTCATCAACAGCATCACCAACGCCTCGCGCAACCCCTTTCCATCTCCCGTTTTTCGAACCACCTTCGACATGACACGATGTCAACCGAGTCCTCGCGCCCACTCCTGCTACCGCAAAATCGCAAACTTCGACATCTACGCGGCATTGCGCTAAGGAACGTCGCCTTCTCTCGACCCCGCGGGCGCACGATCGATGACGCTGCCCTAAACATCCAGAGCCCTGCGAAGCTCGAGTCGCTGCGGAACACGCCCCAACTACACCATGCCCTGTCGTCAGAAGACTTGCGCCCGCCGACCGCCCGACGGAGGAGCACCAATGTGCCGAATACCAGCCCCGCGACCCGTCAAAAGAAGTTTGAGGATGCCTTCGATAGCAAGCTGGCCGATGCATTCTTCTCGTTGCACGTCGAGGGAGAAAAAGAACCGATCTACATCAGCGAGGTGGAAGAACGCGCAACGGTACTGTTTCATACACGACCGCAAGGAGCGGGCCTAGCTGACTGCCATAGAACTTCAACTTCCGTCTCTTCGAGCTTGCCGACCTCGACTCGGCCATCACGCAATCGCCTCAGGTGACGGTCAAAATTTGGACAAAACGAAACGATACATGGACAGCATTGCGGGAGGATGAGGTTGACCTGCGGGCCCTCAATTGGTTAGGTACGCTGCAGGACGTCCACTTTCCGCCAAACAGCATAGTCTTCCATCTAGTCGACGGCATATACTCGCTCGAACTATCCGGCAAGCCCGCGCCGCCAAAGCACACCGCTCCGGCACCCACCTCGTCCTACAACGCGCTGATGAGACTCGCAACGTTGGATAACTCGGTTCAAGACGCGCTCGCCACCCGCGAGCTTCTCACACAACAGATCAATGACCTCCTGGAGCGCGAGGCAAAGAATGAGGTGCCTGAAGCCGAGGACACACTCTCCTTGACAAACAAATACCTGGCACAGCAGCGGCGGGCCGTGGCATTGGCCACAAAGCGGAATGAGGACTTGAAAACGTCCATCGCAGCGCGCAAGGAAGCCATCGCGCAAGGCCGCGCCGCCCAAGCCAAAGCGGCCAAGGACGTCGAACACGCCACCGACAAACTCACCGAATCCCAAACCCTCCTCACCAAAACCCAAGCCGACATCCGCGGCCAACGCCGCCGCATCTGCGACGACCTCTCCCGCATCTACAACATCGCCCCAGTGCCCCTCGGCCCCCCACTCTCCTTCCAAATCTGCGGCCTCCCCCTCCCCAACACAACCTACGACTCGGCCGCCAAATCATCCCCGACCCTCAGCGAGGACGCCCTCTCCGCCGCGCTCGGCCACGTCGCCCACCTGACCGACGCCCTGCAGTACTACCTCTCGGTGCCCCTCCCCTACGCCATCCGCCCCTTCGGCTCCCGCTCCAGCATCCGCGACGACATCTCCCAGCTGCCCGACCCCCAGCGCGAGTTCCCGCTGTACGTGCCGCGCGGCGGCTCCGCCGCCCATTTTCGGTTTGATTATGCCTGGTTCTTGTTGAATAAGGATGTCGAGGCGCTGTGTAGCTCGCAGGCGCTGAGGGTGGTGGATATTAGGCATACGCTGCCGAACCTGAAGTATTTGCTGTATGTGTGCAGTGCGGGGAGCGAGGAGGTGCCGGAGCGGAAGAGGGGTGGCGTGAGGGGGTTGTGGGCGGGGAGGGTGAGGGGGGTGGGGGGTGCTGCGTTGGCGGATGATGCGAGTAGTCTGGGTGGTGGGGGTAGTCGGAGGGGGAGTGATGCGAGTGAGGTGGCGGGGAGGCAGAGGGAGGAGTTGAGGCGGGCGGCTGTTGGTGGGGGTGGGAGGGAGGTTGGGAGTGGGCATGGGAATGGGAGTGCGGTGAATGTGAATGCGAATGGGGGCCCGGGGCTGTTGCCATTTGCCGAGGGGGAGATGAAGTTGAGTTTGAGGACCAAGGGGATGAGGGAGAGTGCGGCGCAATGAGGCGGGTCTGTTCGCCAATGTGCTGTTTGAACTTGAGGGTCTGCTTCAGCACAGCGAACTGATTTCTAGCAACGCCTGTTTTGTTGGGCAATATTAGACGGATATCAGGCTACAATGCCCCGTTTCTTGTTGCTCAACAAATCTAATTCATATGGCTATGACTGCGTAGTGAGTGATCCGCTTTAGACGATAGAGTATCCAAGCCCCTTTCATGTCGCCCAGGAATGTCACTATCCATGGAATTGACCAAGTACATACCTGGGTACCTAGGTAGAGGGGTTATGTACCTCAGCAAGGGGGGGGCTTATACCGAGGCTCTAACGCGGGTTGACTCGCCCCCAGCTCCTCGGTACCAATAATAGGTCCCGTATAAAAGCCCAGTAGTAGGATATCTCTTGTAGGTGAGGCTGATCTGGGAGTTGCTATCAATGGTACGACGTTGTGAGATAACAGCTGGTTAAGTGATAAATCCCATTGGCACCTGGTCCCCAGCTCCATGATCTATGGACAAGAACAAAAAGAAACGGTGTAAACACAACCGACCGAAACCACCAAACAATAGAACATAAGAAACAGTCTATGTAGCAATGAAATGACAGCGGAGATCTATCAGGTAACAAAAGAGATTCAGAATCGGGTGAGGACAGTTGTGCAATTCTAACACCAACTCAGTTAGCACGACACTATTAGATAGAAGGGGGGTGAAACAAACCAATGGCAAACCTACCCCGGACTTGGATCCTTGATGACGCGGTCAACAGAAAGTAAAGGCCCAAATGGGGGCACGAGATCCTCAGCTGCGGTGACTGCGTCCACCGCTGCCCCATGAGCTGTAGGGGGTGAGGCTAGTCTCTGGAAACCCCAAATCGACCATTGCCTCGGCGTGCCTCTCCCGGGTGTCACGCCAGTCATTGGCATTTTGTCGGATTTCCCGGGCGACCCTTTCGTGGTTCAGATCACTCTTCTGCTCCGTTTGTAACGCCCTCTTTTCCCAGACATTGGCATAGTCCTTGTTGAAGGACTCCCTGCCGATGGTCTCGCTAACACAAGTCAGTCCATGTACACGCTGCAAGGCATTTAGCGAAGGGGGGGGGACAGTGGTGGCTTACGCTCTGCGGTGTTTGAAGCCGTCGTGGGCAAGAGAGCGGAGCTTTTGGTCTGATTATATGGTGAGGTGGTCAGCGATGATACGGTCACGATGTCACCGTTAACAGTTAAACTCACGCTCAGGGATGGTAAAGTTGCCTCCCAGACCGTAACGGTTGGACTCGCCAATGGCGGCGTCTGGCCCGGAAAGGACCTGCTTGCGTGAAGGGAACTCCATTTTCTTGTCCTTGTACGCAGCAATGGCAAACCTTGCACGTCTATTGTTGTCCTTGTATGCACTATGGCGTGCGTGGATCTCGGTTCCGGGTCGAAAATGCTCTTGGCCATTCTCATCGTATTCCATCTGGTCCGAGAATCCTGACTTGAACGAAGTAGGCTGGGTTTGAGCATATCCACGGGGCCCGCCAGTCCGACCAATAGAAGTAGTCGGCAGCGGGAGCGCAAAGTCCTCCTCCCCACTGGCACGGCCGAACAGGCTGCTGTCTTTGCTTCGGCCGCTCGAGCGTGACCTTCGCCCGCCCGTGAATGACGGGTCTCCCTCGAGGGGCCGTGGAATTGAAGGGTCAGACCCAGAAGAAGAGGAGGTTCCACTCCCGAAGAACTTGGATTTGAACGGCTGATCTAAGGCCGGGGCTGTGGGCCTTCGCGAGATTCCGCTAGGTCCATATGGATCGTCGTCTAGTGATCCCGATGCGTAGTCACCAGAACCGGACCAGGAGGCAGTTCCACTTCTTGACTTAAAGGGCTCCTGTGCCCGCCGTTCCGAGCTTGCTGCCCTTGGCCGTCGCGAGCTGCCGTCCGGTGTGTACCCTAGTAATTCGTCCGTGCCGAGTTCAAAAGGGAATACGCCAGAGGGTGGAGCGTCGCTGAGACTAATGGATGATCTGCGTCTTGACCGGCTCCGGCTTCGACCACTGTCGTCTGCGGTGATCCCAGTCGGGGTATACGATAGAGAGCCTGATTTGGAAGCCGAAGGGGGGTAGCGAGAGGTCGACCGAGGACTGCGGGATGCTGGAGACCAAGATATGGGAACCAGATAGTCAGGGTCGTGCGAGCCAGGAGAGAGAAACGACGCCCCGGTGTAAGCCACAGAAAGACTAGGACGGCGGGATCGGCTGGAAGAACGAGGAGGGCGGGAGCTTCCAAAGATGGGGTTAAGCGGGTCATAGCCGAGTTCGGCTTCCGTAAGCCGAGGCCGGCTTTTGCTCCTGGAGGAGCGTGATCTCGGGCTACCGAAGATGTCGTCGTCGTGCCGGCTAGCTGAGCGGCCGCGAGGGCTTGGGTCGAGTCCAAAGGTACTAGACCGGCCACGGGGGCTAGGGACCTGTCCAAAAGAACCCGAGTAGGACATTGATGAATTGATAACCGGGGACAAGTTCTCATGTGCAAGGTAGGTACCTAGGTACCTAGGCAGGGGGATGTGATGAACGGGTAGCAAAACGGATTATGGACAAGACAACGACAACGACAACGTGCGAGCTGGTTCGAGGAGAGGTGAGTTGGTGTTCAAACGGGATGCTTCAACTCTATGACCTGGCTAGCAACCGGATCTGAAGACAGCTTAAGTACCACCCACCCGCAGTCCTGCACTAGAAGCAAAACAGGCGCCCGCCCACGTTTCTGACCTTCTGGACTCCACCAAGGCCGCAGTCACCCCGTGTCTACAGTCTAAGGTACCAAGGTACCAACAACCCCAGAATTATGCCCTCTCGAGATCATTCGATCTGCCATGAAGGCTTAGCAATGGCGGAGAGTAAAAGATTACTGTAGACAACCTAGACGAATTTGAACATGACGAAAGGGAATGTTATAGCAACTACCAACGACTGGTGTTTAGTCGTCGTCCACGACCATGAGACCTTCTCAGCGGCCCAGCGGCCTCGGCCGGCCGGTCTGTGGCCCGTAAGGCGGGGCGCCGGGCTCAATCCATTGTGCGTAACGGCCGGGTTTTGTCGCTCGGTGGACGGCGTCTAAACAAAAGTGAGGTGGGTCTTGTGCTCCGGGGAGGGCTCCAAGAATGTGTTGGTCGAGGCGGTGCTGGGAGCAAGGAAATCGCCGGCGGCAAGGCGCCCCCGCTACGCAGCCCTGGTAGCCAACCGAATTGCGACTTCTGCGGGGGGTGAGTGCTCCCCATGCCCTCATCCCAGGCTTCCCACTTCCGTGACTCAACTTTGACGCCGTCCTCATGCTATTGAAAACATTAAATCTCATTTCCGGGTAGTTACTTTGGCCCTTTTCAGTTTTCTTTTTCGGGAGCCATTTAGGTGTGGTCTTTGGTTACGATCACTTGTCATTGTTTTCCATTACTTCATCGCCCCCCACAGCTAATTCACGACTCGATCCATCGGCAACACCACCGTTCAGTGTTCACCGAAACTCCCAGCTTGGTAGGCATCCCCGACTTGGGTCAATTAAAGTTGGGTACCTACCTGGGTACTAGTCTTTTTGCTTGTTTTCAGCCTGGTTGCCTAACTTCTTCATCATAGCCATGGCAAGCGGCCCCGTTCTTCAGATGCCTTTGCATCTGCTGTCCATCGTATTATCCCAACTGGACGCCATGCCGTCGCTGGCATCTGCCATCTTTAGTCACTCTTCTTTCTACGCCGCCTTCGACGAGGACCGTGACAGGATTGTCCGCTCCATTCTTCGCAACCAGATCCCCCACGAGATCCGGCGTTATGCTTTTCCGGCGTATCTCGCAGCAACAACCGACTTGCGCCACCGAGGCAAGCGCGAGATAAGGTTCCTCCTTTTAGACGATAGCGTTGAAGACTACGAATTCAGAAGGAGCATGTTGTATAGGGAAATCACCGCCGTGTTCGACCAGTCAGGCCCTGCCAATATTGACCTCGCCAACATGGTGAGCAGGACTCATACCATGATCGAACATTTCGCCCGAGATTTTATCCGGGACACCCTACCCCTCGGAGACAAGGAGCTCGGCCTCCAGCGCAAGGACAAAACGGCTGCCTCCAGTGATGAGGTCTATCGAATCCACCGCGCGATGTACCGCTATGTGCGTTACTGCAACTTATTTCGTCGCTCCTATAACACTCGTTTGGCCGGCAAGCTGGGGTCATCCATAACTATCTTCTTCTTCCAGAGGTTTGCCCCCTGGGTTAACGAGCAACTTGCCTGCGTCCATGATTATTTTGAACGCGTCTTGTCCCGAGGTGAGTCCCGCGTTCAACAAGCCGCCCCGTAGGCGCGCATCCTTTTGTCCGCAATAACGCTAACTCTGCAACAGCATTCGACGAAGTCGCTGCCCACGATGTGGAATGGGGTTGTAAGTCTATAAGCTGGCGAACAGTAGCCGACCAGAATCAACACAAACAGGGATATGTAAGAACTGCCCCTTCCTCGAGGTGAATCACTGCGTTTTTAACACGGCCCTGTTAAAAGCTCTTGCGTGGGTTGAAATTTCTCTACCAATTGCAACAAGCGACGACGTACGGGGAGCGGCGTCAAATTCTCGGTGATTCAGTGCCGCGCACAAAAAATATGCTTGGGACGACCCTTGGGGGCTATGGCTCGACTGTTTCGGGTTGGCCAGACTGGGATTACTTCTGGGACCACATTGACACCACGCTCCCGAACGGGGCGTATTCCGTCAATTATGAGTGGAACTCGAACGGACCGGATGTCTACGGGTCGGCCCCCTTCCGTATATGGCGGGCATCTCACGAGGACTGCTGGCGCCAGGACGTCATCGCCCATGCGGACCACACCTGGCTCCGGCGCTGTGGCTACGTTTTCTGGGACTTTTCCGAGGCTACAGTTACCGATGACCAGCTCAAGCTTATCATCTCTCGAGCGAGGCAAAAAGCGTGGCTCGACCGCTTTCGGCGCAACGATGGCGAATTGAAGCGTAAGATGAAGCGTTCACGGAAGGAACGGGCCGAGATTTACAAGCGGGGAGGTCGAGGGTATTGGAGTGAAGGGGACTTGAGCCAGATCGTTTGGACTGAAGGCGCACCGAGGTGAACTTCAACATTTACGATACCTGACGTGATTAGGCAGTGAGCTGATACCATGATTCTTTGTACCTAATCATGCCTCAAATGCCAGTAAAAACTACGAATAAACGGACAAAGCCTCGAGAACCTAGTGGAATAACTGGATTTACCATGACAAAGCTATGTAATCGACCCGGGGGCCACCGATACTCTTCCCAAACCCCTTACAAAGTACTTACCGATTGCAGAGCAAAACTCCAGGATTCTCGTGTCGCGGGTCGGAACATTCTCCGGTAGCGACGGCCGCAGCTCCATTGGCAAGGTGTGTCCGGCTGATATCGGTCTTTTTACCGAGCCAACGAACCCAATACCATCGCCAACCACTTTTCGGTTCATGAAACCCAAAGCGTGCGAGTCATGCTCCAACAACAAAAGTCTTGACGGTTGGAACCCGAGCGTGGGCGAAGACGAAAGGAGCAACACGACAGCTTCCTAGAATGACAGGGCCCACGGACCTCCCCCGGCAGGAGAAGCAGCATGCTCATGCGGTTCCCCGTTTGCCACGAGTCTTGAGGTCGGTGCTCCTGCATGCGCCGTTCTGCAAGCACAGGAATCGGGAACTTTTGTTGCGCGAATCAAATCTCCGACCATGGGGGCGGGGGACAGTTCTTCTGGGTTGGCATGCTGACACTCACACTGCAAGTGGACCAAAAAGTGACAGACCAACCTGCCTCTACCAGAGTTCAAACAGCCAACGAGGGATCTCAAGAGGCGAGGCTTTCTCTCTCAACCAGTCGGCTTGAGTCGAGACTCCCTCCGCCTGCACGGATGACCGGACTTGTTATCGATCGATCGGACAGTTGCTGCAGTTCGGACGAAAACATTCGTTCCCTTTCCCAATCGGTCGTGAACACCATTCTTAGCTGCAGAAACAGATGCAACCGTCCCATCTGTCTGCCCTCCCAAAGCGTGGGCAGCCACTGCAGGGCATGGCCGAGGTGTCACCCCTGACTCGACCCCTGACCAGCCCCCGGCCCCGACCCCCAAATCCCGCTGGACTTGGTCCGTCATGGAAAGCTGCTGAGCCTGACGACTTTTAGTTAGCGGGCGATCATACCATCTTAACTGGTCAATTAATTGTTGTACTCAGATCTCATCCCAAATCCCCACGTCTATTCTGTTGTATTCGAAGATCATATCACGTTTAACTGTCAAAAATGAAGCTTCGTTAAGGTAACTAAAACTGCTTCATTAAGCCCCCGGTATGCAGCAGCTCCAGTCACCTCGGAAGCGACAGCTCAGAACTGCCGATGCTGAGGAGCTGGAACCGAGCTCAGCTTCTTCCCCAGACGTCTCGCCCGCCCCAATAGGTTACATCCCCAGCCGTCCCGCATCTTGACAGACGAGCTCGGCAGTAACACGCCGCCCTTTTGCGGACCGCTGCCGACAGAAATTGACTCCCCGTCGCTTAAGGAGGACGGATGCCAAGCTCGTGCGTGACACTCAAATCCGATTCCCGGTCTCTGGTTTCTTGCATTTTGCAAATATCGACAACCTGCCAAAGACACAGTCTTTGCTCGTACCGACCGGACGACCGTTGCCCCGGGTCGTTGTCTGGACAATTGAACGAGGAAGAATGTCACTTCGGCGTCACAGCCAAAGTCCCCACACGCCGGGTTACACCATACCGACATCATGAGCGACGCCGAGCAACCCCCGCCCGGAGCACCGCCACCCCTGCCACCGAACCTCCCCCACGACTCTCTCCAGCTCAACATTATCATCTCGTCAACCATCTGTTGGTTTATTGCCGCCTTCTTTGTTGGACTGCGCTTCTACACGCGGGGGGTCATAATCCGGGTGCTTGGGCCGTCAGACTGGAGCGTGCTCCTTGCCTTGGTGTGTCTACGACGCTGCATTTCACTGCCGAACCAGGAGCTAACAAACCTAGATATTCGCAGGAGCGACCTGTGGCGGCGTAATAGAACGTTCGTATGATCAGCCCTATCGCCGATACCCACGCTAACAATGTATTAGAAGCCATTCATGGTGCCGGTTATCATGTTTGGGACCTCGATCCCAACGATACGGCCTCTGCCTTGGCTTGGGGAAGAGTGAGCTCCCACCGGTTAGCACCATATCATCTCTGTAATCACTGACAAGACCCCTAGGCAGCCTGGTACGGCGTTCTCTTCTATTCGCTGTCGCTCTGCTTCTCCAAGATGGCCATTCTCCTGCTCTACATCCACCTCTTCACCTTCAAGTGGGCGCGCCTGGGCGGCCAGATCCTTTTCGGCATCGTGGTCATCTCGCACACCTACATGACGCTTGTGACCTTTACCGCTTGCATACCGCTATATTCGTACTGGGATTTTAGGGTGACGGAAAAGTACTGCCACCCGCAGAGTGTTTGGTGGTCCAGCACTGGGCTGCACATGGGTGGGTTACTGCAATCACCGAGGGGGGTCAGAGCCAAAGACCCGGTGCTAACGATCACGCAGTCACCGACTTCCTCATCTTCCTCCTCCCGATGCCCGTCGTCTGGACGATCCGACTGCCGCGCCGGCAAAAATACATCCTCTCAGCCGTCTTCGGTTTCGGTTTCATGTACGCACATCCCCCACAATAACTTCTGATCCCGATCCCCCGAACCCCTGAACCCCTTACCAAACACCCTCCCCCTTTTTACCCGTCCCGTCCCCCAACCCCAACCCAGAATCATCCCCCCCACCACCCAAACCCCCTTCTCCAACCCCCCACCCTACTAACCGCCCATCCAAAACACAGAGTCTGCTTCATCTCCATCCTCCGCCTGCTCCAACTCTTCCGCGCTCAATCCGACCCCGACTTCACCTACGTCGCAGCTGAACTCTCCTACCTGACCGCCGTCGAGGTCAACGGCGCCATCGTCTGCGCCTGTGTCGTCGTGCTCAAGCCCTTCCTCGCCCGCTTCTTTCCCCGATTGTGGGGGTCCTCTGCGTCGGTGGGTTCGAGTTCGTCGGGTTCTGCTTATGGGCGGCGTGCTGGAGCTGGTGGTGGTAGGGGTGGGGGGAGGCGTGGGAGGAGGCGGAGTGCGGCTACGTTTGTGGGGGATGGTGGCTATGATGGGCGTGGGGGGCCGCCGACGATTGGGAGTTTGCCGACTAAGTTGAGGTTGGGGCCGCTCGGGGCGATGGAGAGGGACGTGTGGATTGAGGGGGATGTTGGGGGGGGTAGGACGGGGCGTGGGCTGGGTGGTGCGGGAGGGCCGGGGAGGCGGGTGTGGGTGGATGGGGGGGTATGTGGAGATTGAGGAGGGGGCTGGGGATGTGTGGGGGGTGGATGTTGAGTTGATTGAGCATGTGAATCCAGGGAGGGAGGTGGACGGCATCGGGAGAAAGGGGGAGGGGGATATGCTTCAGCGGCCGCCGCCGGTGCAGAGTGGGAAGGTGAGAGTTGATACTGAGGTTCTAGTGGAGGTCACTAAGGTGGGTCGTTAACCTTTATGTGAGGGTAATGGGTTGTTTTTGGAATTGAGGATGATATGTGAACTATACTTTTATACCCAACAGCTTTCATATTAGTAGTACCTATTAGGAGCGATATGACGGTTGAACCACCTTGTTCTCAGTTGAATTACACTCACAACTCATACTCGACAACTCCCATTATTCCCTGTTAAGTGACCTGTATCATCTGCCTCCTAATTGGGGTGTTGCAATATCCGTGTCCGTCACATGCCAAACGTCGTGAAACCGATTTATCTGTGCTGTTAGGGTTTTATTCACGACCGAGAACTCAACATGTCCAGGTGTAGATGATGTCTTGGTATGTATTCCAGATACATGTCCCTTCTAATCTAGGTAAATGAGGCCAGCTCACTGAATTCCCCCTATCCCATCAAGGGAGACCCACACTCGACTATTCCCAAACCCCAACCTGGCGACCAGACTCCTGTTCATCCCCAACGAACCCCCCCGCCCCTCTCCCCCGATCATAAACCATTGTTGATGGTATAGAGCAGACCCCTAACCGTGCTTGCGGGTGCAGGGTTTCTTGACCTTCCGAGTACCGGAGCCTTTGCAAATCTCGCACTTGACCCTGCCAGTAGGGTTGCACTTGCCGCAGCACACAAGGACAAGGCCGGCAGGTCCATGAGTGCAGCCGGGGCAGAGGCGGTAGCCCGAGGAGTTCTCGCACCGGTCGCATCTGATGGTGACTTCCTCGAAGCCACGGGGCTTCTTGGTGTCGTTGCCGCACCTGGAACATTTGGCCATTTTGACTGTTTTGGTATTTGTTTGGAGGTGGAAGTGGTCGTTGAGTTGGTAAGTGGTGGAGTTGCGTGTAATAATAGCACGGCCGGCGTGTGGATGAGAAGATGAAACCTTGAGAAGAGATGCGTGAGCGGAGTGATGGTGATGTGTGAGATGGAATGGAAAATATGACCTTGACCCGCTGTCCCAAGGTCTTCTTATAGGGGACGACGACGGTCTATCTTGAGGTTCCAACTCTTCCTACCGGCCTCCGGAGGGCCGTCGCCATGGCTGTTGGCCGTCATCAGGGGTTCTGGAAGAGGCACACAAGTCTCACTTGTCGGCATCGACATACCGGTGCTCTAGAGGGATAGCTGACAGCTGGGGTCCTTCTTGAGACACCTGTGCCCGGAAGGACGCGCCTTCGAGACGACTCGTTGGCGACATCGACGGCTGCGTGGTCGGCAGCCACGCTGTCTCGCAGCCAAGTGTGTTTCGAACGCAGCCCAGTACCTCCGGGTTCAGAGCCAACGGGCTGTCGGCGCCGCGATGGAATAGGGGAATGACTCCAAACATAGCCGCCAGAGGATCCGGGAAGTGATCAAGTTGGCCTCTCGAACTGGTCGAAGCAGACTAATGTTCGCGCCCTAGACCTTGTGTTCAAAGAACAAACGGCCGTCGTAGAATAGGCAAGTTGTCAGCAAATGCAGGTGGTCCGCTCGACAGCGATGCATGGTAACCAAAGGCCGCGCAGGTCTGGGCCTGGTTACACAACAAGGCTCAGCTCGTGGCCCGGGGCTTACAAGACGTCGTGCTGGTGGTTCCCGAATATCCGGATTGCCACACACAATGCACACAATGTATGTAGGTATGTACAGATATGTACCTGTGCCTTCGATCGCACTAAAAACCCCGACCATCAGTCACCGTAGAGTACCGAGAAGTACAATTATACGTCTTATATGTGATCTCAAATCACACTTTCCTTTTTCGTAATGTAAGCGTACTTGCTGCAAACTACTATACCCACACACTGGTGTTGAGCCAGTTGGCGTATATTAATGGATGATGACAAGCGTCAGCCACCCAAACCTTCCACTACGACACAATTGGTAAGCACTGGAATCATTCTGGTCTTATCGGTAAGCCCAAGCCAGGTCATCTCCATGTTAGAATATGTTTCCCTCCTTCGAAAAATATGAGGGAGACGAAACCCAACTCGGACGAGCGCCGGCCCATCTGCTGCCCTCACAACGCCCCCCTCGTACTTTGGTGTGCCTTTCGTATTCTTAAGGCGGCCACTGTGGACATTAGGTGTCCCTCTAACTGGCTCGGGCTTATTCCCTATCTACCGCGGGGAGTTCGTGGTACTATGTATGTGAGATGTAGACCAGTCAGATGATCTGCGGGTGCCTCTTCCGGCGGATGAGGATAGGATCATCCGAGCCATGTGCAGCACCCTGGCACTCATCCTTCGCCCTCGTTTTCCCCTCATTGTACCAGACGGTGTGGTATTGCCAAGTTATTTCTCCCGGTTTTCGAACCCCAAAAAAAGAAGGGGGTGGGGGTGTGGTGCAAGCTCTTGTCCGAACTCCTTGGTCACGCTCTCTGGGTACGAAGTGCTGTCTGCTTTGCCTGGACGGTGCCTACAAGGGGGATCCAAATTGACAACCTTACCTACCTAGGTAGGTACCTAGCCCTTTCGTGGAAGACGGCGCAACCGCCGGGCGGCCGAGGTTGCGATCATTGCATGCCGCGAGCAGAAGGAAAAGATATCAAACGACCGTCGTCGAGTCAATTCCTGTTGTAACGGATGCGGCTAGCGGACCACGCTCTGTTTGTGTATCGGGATTTCGAGCCGTCAAGGAAGGCCATCTTCATTCCCCCCTGTGTTCTGAATCATGATGAGTTGGGTCCAGTGTTGCCTGACGCCAAGATCTTCCTTCGTTGCACGTTCACGATTCCGGACCTCCCGGAGACTCGCCACTGGGTGGCTTCCCCATTCCTCGAGGCCAAAGCCGGCTGGTAGAGACCGGACTCCAGTTACCACTGGACATTGCCAGTGCTCTCATCAGCTCGAATAGATTGGTCAAATGGGGTGGCACCACATACCTCAAGGGCTTCTCGCCGTCGTGTCGTCGCGGTCGCCGAATGCGAGGGAGGGCAAGGAAGGGGAGTTGGGAATGGGTGACGATAACGGCGTTCCCGACACTAAGGCTGGTTCAAGTTCGCGGCCGTGGTGGTAGTTCGGCATCCGGGTTGTACTTGATGCCAAACGAGCGGTTTCTAGCCGGGGATGCAATGGTGGGAAGGTCCAGGATTAAGATAAAAGGTCGTGAGGAGCATACAAGGGGGGGGGAGTGTCGAAAAAGCGAGGGAGAGTGACAGGCGGGGGTGGGCTTAAATGCCGGATCCGGAGGCAGCCATGGGGACCATGTTCGATCTGTTCCATACGCTTGGGTGGACGGGCTGGGCGGAAATTATTTGGGTTCGTTTGGAGAAGTGCTATCTTCTAATCCCGCGGTCGCGTACCGAGAGTCAACACAAAGCTAATGCTCGCCTGCCGGGATGAAGTTTGATGGCCGTCAGCTTGGTGTAGCATCACCTAGGCCAAGTCCAACAGCCACCAGGTCTGGCAGCGGGTAAAGGATAGAGATAGAGTTCAAGTCGTTTCAACTGCGCTGAAAATGGCAAGTCTGACCGCGACAAAGACTGGAGAGGAACATACTCGCTGTTACAAAATGACCTCGAAATGTGCCAACTTGTTCCTTGAACAACAACCCAGAAACAAATAACAACACCGCGTTTGAGACGCCGATCTCTTAGCAACGTTGCTGTCTCAATGGTCTTGTTTTTAAACCAAATTGGCCGGTCACAATGCACCACAGCAATTAAAAGTAGCCTTCGTTCCTATGTATATGTCAACCCCCACGCCCGTTAGTCCTGTTAATTAGTCCCTTGTCTTGGTGATGCACATTTTCACCAGCAGCAGCTCCAAGTACGAGTCCTAATCATCCACTACCGCCACGCCACCATGTTCGGCACCGCGGTGAACCAAAGCGATGTCATGGCCCTTCGTGCGGAAAGGTTTATCTTTACGCGAATAGAACTAGCTCAGATCTTCGCTTCGGCAGTGGCGAGAAACGCAGCGCAACTCAACAACCGTCTCCGCAGATTTGCAGATGAGCACCGGTAAGTGACTTCCCCCTATATTGCCCTGTTTTAAATGAGGTGATTGCTAACATGCTTCTTGTTGAATAGGACAAACATAGGTGCCCTCCTATTTCACGCACGAGATGTCGAAGGCCGCACCGCACTTCACTATGCCGTCATAGGCCACAACGCCGAGGCCATCAAGTACCTCGTATCCCCAGCGGCTTTCTCCGAGCAGGAGGGCGTCCTCGGGCCTTTTCTCCGCCTCGAAACCTGTGACAGAGGCGAAAGCGCAGCTCTCTACGCCATTCGACAACGCTGCCCGCCGGCCCTTGTCCACCGCATTATCAAGGCCGGCCGTGTAGTGGCCCCTATCCTCAAGATGACAACAGCCGAGGGTCTGGGTGCAGTCCACTGCGCCGCCGCCGCCGACGCGCCGGAGCTGATTCTTCTCCTGGTCGAGAAGCACAAACTCGACCCGACCCAAGCCATCACGAGGGACCCGAAGGACGGGGACGCGCCCTACCTTTTTCCCGAGCCCGTCCTCGGCGACACGCCCATGCACCTCGCGGCGCGATACGACAATGTCGCGGCCTTTGAGGCCTTGCACGGGACGCTGGACCTGGGCATGGCCGGGCCGCTCAACAGCGAAGGCGAGTGCCCCATGGGTGTCGCGATCAGCGTCAATGCGAGGGCCGTCCTGAAGTACATCAAGCGGCTCGGGAAGCCGAGGTTGTCAAGCCCAGACGAGGCGAGGCGAATGCTGCTGAAGCGGAGGATCGAAGATGTGAATTAAGCAAGGTATTAAGGAGCTAGCTAGCAGCGTAGGCACTTTCTGATGGGGGTTTGTGAGGTCCGAGGGGGTTAGTGATGAGCAAGTGTGTCGTGACAGCGACTGATAAGGGGCCCGGGCTGACAGAGCCTCGCCCCCCTCTTGTCACACTCTCGAGTATCACGGCTCAGAACAGGTGAAAGCTGTGGGACCTGCCACAGCGCTTCGTACCTATTGAGGAGGGCCGGCCCGTGATGCGGCTCGCAGTGGCCAATCGAACTGCTTGCAGTGCTGGTGTCCCCCTGCAAGGCTTTTCTGTAATTTCTTTGCTCCGCCTTTCTCGCGTAAAACACAGCCATCTGTTGCCCCCGTAGACACACTCACTACTACCCTCTGCGCCTAGTTTGCTCACTAGCTCCTAATTTCGTGACCAGGGAGGGCCTCGGTCAAGCCTCCAAATTCAACGGCGAATCGACGCGCCGGGCCGTGGAAAAAGGGAACAACAAAGATAACTTTGCTAGGATCTACTAAATACTCCATGTGCAGTGTACTCTGTGCAGATGAAGCCGAAATCTACTAGGGGTTGACCACGCAAACCACCGCCCATATTTGGCGTAGCGTTGATCGGCTGCAGGGCAGTGGCACGGGAGGGATCTGCTGTAACCCAAAGGTGCCGATCGACCGGAAACGCTGACCGGGGTTAAGGGGGAATTCGAGGCGTCGAGGCTCCATTTCCTTCTCAAGCCCTCGTCAACAAGTTCCGGCTCTTTCCAAGTTGTGCGCGACGCTCATCGAGAACGGTACTCAGGGTCGACTACATCCCCGCGGCCGGGACCTCTGTTCCCATTCCCCTAATCACCTTCTAGTCCGGACGAGGGTCACATTGGATTTATTCCATGGCATTCTCAATCGGCATACGTTGTTGGCGCGCATCTGCACTCCTCCTTGGGCTGGTGAGTGTTGCCGCCGGACAGATCAAGAGCGACATACCCTCGGGTGAGAATTTCTTCCGAAGAACTGGCCTTACAGGTTCGTCTTGCCTTACTCCCTTGCCAGATTCACTGGCCAACGCGGTAAGATGGAATGATCTGACATATGCGACGAAAGCGACTGTCCTTGGCAACTACGTCTACATCGACGGAGGAGAGCTTTCTCAGAAGATAGATGGGCTGGACCCGAGCGCCCAGAGCCCTATCAGCCATCCAGGTAAGTCGGAGGTTGCTAGTAAGTAGGTACATATCGACAAGAGCTCGAATTCACAATACACTCTAGTAAATAACACACTCTGCATCGACCTCACCGAGTCATGGAGCACCTTCAATGTGCTCTTGCGACAGATCGCCAAGCCATGGAAGGCAAAGCGCGACCAGGCCGTCTGGACAGACCCCGAAGCGAGCCACTACTATCTCTGGGGCGGTAACTGGGGGGCTTTTGGCGACAACGTGGAGGCGGGGAACACACTCTGGAAATTCACACCCGATGCCGGCGATGGCGGGGTTTGGACTAAGGAGCATTCAATAAACCCAAACTTGTTCGATCAACTCGACATGACCCGGCTGAGCGCCTATGCAAGCACCAACACAACGGCTTTCGTAATAGGGGGCTTGGCCTCCGGGGCGACAGATCCTGGCAGGCAGCCGTACCACAACCAGGCGGTAACGGGGATGCTGACTTTCAACATGAGGACAAGGGAATGGGGGGACGGGGCCACGGAGTTCGGGTTCAGCCCCGATGACACTCTGGTCGGCGCTTCGGCCCATTGGGTCCCAAACTTTGGGCCTAATGGGTTGATCATGCTACTGGGCGGAGTTGCTCCGGTGCCCATACAGGACACGACCTTCCCGGACGCGCCGGCATTTGACTTTCGCAACTTGACCTTCTTCGATCCGGAGACGAAACAGGCGTACTGGCAGACCGCGACGGGTAGCATCCCTCGCCCCCGGTCTAAATTTTGTGCTACCGGCTTCGCAAACGTCGATGGAGGCTACGAGATGTAAGTTTTATGTCCTCTACTACGCTAGCTTCAGCCTTGCCATCGTTAACGCATCCTAGTTTTATAAGCGGAGGGACTGATTACAGGAACAACTTCATATATAATGATGCTTATATCCTCAGCCTGCCAGGTTTTGTATGGACTAAAGCCCCAGACTCGCCGGCGGGCAAGCGCAGAATGTTTAGCTGTGTGTCCATCGGTGACAGCCAAATGCTCAGCATAGGCGGCGCGGCCGGCGATCTAACCGCGAAGGACCCGGCTGAGCGTGGGTTACAGCTGTTTGACATGACTGAGATGAAATGGAAGGACTATTACGACGCCCATGCCCCGGCCTATGAACGGGCTCCGGAGATCAAGGCATGGTACACTAACGGGTTGGTGTCACCTTCCCTTTACTTGACAGATTACCATGCTAACAAACGATTCAAGCTCCCTTGACAACGTCGAGTGGTCGTCGGACAGAGTGCGCGGGCTGTTCTTGGCCGCCCAGTCAACAGGTATGTCCGCAAACCGTCTAGCCGGCCCAGGGGCTCCCATTAACAACCATGACTCCAAGACCCGTCATCATCGTCATCATCACCATCACCATCTGCTTCGCAGAACGGTGACCCTGCCGCCCCTAACAACTCCCAGGACTCCAACTCCACTCCAGTCGGTGCAATCGTCGGAGGAGTTGTTGGAGGCGTTGCCGGGCTCGCTATTCTTGCCGCTGCCGCCTGGCTGCTCATCCGTCGGCGGAAAAACAAGGCCTCTGAGCTAGCAGCCACCAACGGCTATCCCTATGGAGACTCTGGGCCAGAGGTTACAAACGCGAATATGGGGACATCAAAATGGCACACTGGGGCGGAGCTTCAAGGGAGTAAGGTGGAAAGACCGGAGCTTGCAGCCGAGCGCGAAGTTGCCGAGATGGATGGAACACGGCATTAATGGTCCTTTTTATCATCATCAGCGCACCTGTCGCGCGGGATTCAGCATGTATATATTTAGCTCGTGGAGGCTTGAACCTTCTTGTACTTTAAATCGCCCTCGGCCTCACCATTTACCCGAAGGCAGTTAACGTGATACCATATGCTATAAGTTACCATGGTGCCAATCGAACTTCTAGTACGGGGTTGGAGGCTGGGGCTTTTTACAGCCTATGAAGGGTGAGGGTAGGAAGAGGATGATGATAGGGGTTGGCCGTTCAGTATTGATGTTCTGGGTGTGATGACGCTTAGGATGCTGATGACGATCTGGAACTATTGGTGGAAGTCCGACCGACCCGAGTGTAGCACTGGCCGAACCGGGCGACGCTCGCCACAATTACTTAGAGTAGACCCCTATCTTAAATATACCTACGTAGATGAGGCCCGTGTTTGACCAACAAAGATCTCCGCGGCAAAGGGAACAATTTGGCTTCCTCAATTTCATCATACTTTGCATGAAGCTGCATGAATCCGCATGGCCTATCGGCTCCCAGACAATGACCGGTATATATGATATGGATAGCCTGTCCCGAACAGTCACGTGGGAAAGTCGGCAATTGCAATGGGCGAGGGAGATCCCAAGCCATATCGAGACATAAGAGCAGGGGAGGTTATGCTCAACAAGGATATCACACGTCCCAAGGGCGCCAAGATGGCGGGGACGGATCGAGAAGCCCCGGATGGTGCAAGAAGTATATTGATGCCCAGGAATTTCCAGCACACAAATCAGTCTTGGCGTCGGCAGTCATGGCAACAGAGAAAACGTGTTGCCGAATTAGGGTGGCATGGATGCCACGCCGGACCTTTGCCTAGGTTGCTCTTTGCCAAACCTGTCGACTCGCTGGAGACGTACAGGGGACGGGCGAAAGGGACGAGAGGGAAACTTGTTTCTTACGGTACCGGGGTTATAAAGTACGGACCCTCTGATTGACCTGGTACTTGTATATATCCAGTCATTAACGGCCGGCAATAGCCTGAAATTGGACGAGAGTTTGCTCGAACCCTCCCATTTTTCGGATTCTTATATACCTACCGAGGTACACCTGGCGGGGACACCCAGCTTAAGAGTTTCTATACGGGTTGAACCACTCCACCCTCCATCTCGATTGTCTAGGAACACAGCACACAGGAAAGTAAAGGCGGGCCCGAAAACGATGCATCTCGGACTCTCTGTCACGTACGCTTTGGCGTTGGTGACGGGTGCTTTGGCCGTCCCAGCGGAGAAGCTGGAGACTCGCCAACAGCCGTTCACGTCGACACCCATCACCGACCATACCGAGCCATGGGCGTTTGCCTTCCTCCCCGACAACCGCATCCTCGTCAACGAGAGACGGGGTAACATGCGGCTCGTGGACCCGACCACCAAGGCCAAGGGTACCATTACCGGCGTGCCTTCCGTTGCCTACGGTGGTCAGGGCGGTCTCCACGACGTCGCTTTGCACCCCGACTACGCCGAGAACAGCATGGTCTACATCAGCTACGCCGAGACCGGCTCAGGCGGCGCAGGCGGAGCCGTCGCGCGGGCCAAGCTGACGCTGGACACCAACGGCGGCGGTGCGCTCTCCGAGCTCGAGGTGATCTGGCGGCACTCGCAGCGGGCGCAGGGCGGGCTCCAGTTCGCGTGCCGGCTGCTCTTCGGCCCCGATGGCGCGCTCTGGATCTCGTCGGGCGAGATCAACCAGATGACCCCCGCGCAGTCCATGACGGGCAACCTCGGCAAGATGATCAAGCTGTACGACAACGGCACGGCCTTCGCGGGCAACCCCTTCGCCAGCGAGGGCGAGGTGCAGGCGCAGATCTGGTCGCTGGGCCACCGCAACCCGCTGGGCATCGACTGGGACGCCGACGGCCGGCTCTGGGAGGTCGAGATGGGCCCGATGGGCGGCGACGAGCTCAACCTGATCGAGCGGGGCGCCAACTACGGCTGGCCGCTCGTGTCGCAGGGCCGCCACTACGACGGCCGCACCATCCCGGCCCACAGCACCCGCCCGGAGTTCAACCCGCCCAAGGCCTTCTGGGTCCCCGTCATCTCGCCCGCCGGCCTGATCATCTACAAGGGCAGCCTGTTCTCCGACTGGACGGGCAACGCCATCATCACCGGCCTCAGCTCCCAGTCCATCGTGCGCGCCACCATTACCGGCGACACCGCCAGGGAGGCCCAGCGTTTCTCGATGGGCAAGCGCATGCGCGGTATTCGGGAGGACAGCGAGGGCGCCATCTGGGTCATCGAGGACGGTCCTAGCGGCCGCCTCTTGAAGCTTACCCCGAACTAGAGAGCTACCGTGGGCTAGCGAGAGACTTGGGAGCTTAGGCGCCGTATGTACACAGGGTGGAGTTGGCCTGTTAGGATAGCAGAACACCTCTGGACTTTGACGGAAAGCTGGTATCTGTAGTGAATAGAGTTGAGCGTTTCGAAAGCTTCCTTCCATTTCTTACCCTTGTCATGAAACCATGGTCCTTATCCCTTATCCTTGACGTTGCTATTAGTACCTGGCCCAGACGCCATGGTTGTCATAAGGACCACCCCCCACTCCCCAAGTTTGCCGCATGGGCTGTTGGATTACTTGGGGTCAATACCGGAAGCATTCCCGGAGGATACGGAAACTTCAGTGCTTTATTTACCATGGTGGGCGGAGGTAGCTCAAAACTCTGCCGTGGAGGGTAACATCTTTTGCGGGAGAAGCTAGGAGTTGGTAATTGCCCCCGGGAAGAGTGAGGTGATCCACTTCAACAAGGGACGAAAACAGTATACCAACGAGCTAAATCTGGCGTGCCCAGGTAGAGAGGCTCCGGCACGCGTTAGGGCATAGTGGTGTTGGAATAATGTATACACAAGCACTAGATACTACCTAGGTATTTATTCTTTTTGGTCGAGAGGTCTTACTTAACCGGATGAACAACAACAGTCTTTGTGAGCACTATTCACCATAACTACTCCAAGTAACTAGGTTGTTCTGAACAGATAATAAGCAGGTATACGAACTAGAAAGTTTGCTGCCGGGTGCTCCGGCTTGCCGAGTGAAGGTCTGGAGTCAGAGTTACCCTCTTTTCCTTTCCGGCCTCCTTTCGCACCACTCCCAAGGCCCAAATTAGCAATTAATACCTTCGGCAGGTCAACATGATGACGAGGAGGATGCTAGGGTAAATATCAGGGACAACATGCTGTCGTCCAGGGGTTGACGTTAAGCCCTAACCCTCAATCTTTGAGCCACAAACCCGATCACCTCAGCAACGTCCCACCCCCACCTGCGTCGTTCCACATCTGCCTGAACGCCAAGTTCTCTCGCCTCAACAATCAAGATTCAAGGTCTGACTCCCACCAGAAGATTTGATATCGCGCCTGTTGGAACATCGTGTCGACACAAAACTATTGCGATCTTCAACATCAATATTCCAGGTTCTCGAATTATTATTTGGAATTTTCACGCCTGAAAACGGTGGTCGTTACATATTTTCTTCTAAACTTCGATCCTGGATTTCCGTTTTGCAATTTTCCAGTTTCCCACCCTCGCGGCCTATTTTCCTTGCGAAGGAAGCGAACAGTCAGCGACACAGGACGGCCGTCATCTCGACTCCGATCATCCATCCCGCGCGGGGTTAACCTTGCGTTTCTAATCCGTACAACCATCGTACTGCAGTGCGGCACTCTCCCGGGTGACAGCAGTTCTGGGGGAAATTAGCCACGGCGCGTCTGCGTGGCCGACCATCTTTGTGACCTGATCTGGGGTTGGTGAGCCGTTGGACATTCCCGCTTGCGAAGTGCCCTTTCTTACCTGTCTAGGAAGTTGTGGCGCCCTCTCCCTGCTCTCCGTTGCCGTGAGGCTCATCTCGGGGTACATCAGTGCACTGCGGCTCAGTGCTTGGTACCTCGACCGACAGCCAATCTGCAACTCTGCGACTTCGCGCTGTCGCGTGGGTGCGACTGCCGAGCTTGTGTTACGTCTCTCTTTCGGTGCCCAGCACCAACCCCTTCTTGCAATGTCTGGCCACCCATCTTGGCGGCTGCTGCCGGCCACGGCCCCCGGAATCCCCACCCTTCTGGTCTCGACAGCCTTCACAGCCGACTCATACACCGTCCATTTGTCCGACCTCGCCAACCTCTGGGTCGAGAGCCTGGAAAGGAGGCCTATCATAAAACGGGGGATGGTGGAGGACACAAGCATTGACCCCAGTGATGGGCCCGACCAGATCCGAAAGATGCTTGAACTCCTGCGGGCCGCTTTTGACAGCAACGATGCCGAGCACGGGAATACGTCTCTAACGCTCACGAGGGGTGATGATGACGACTCCCTCGTGGTCCACGTCACCTGTGTACTTCCAAAGCCGTTGAAGCCCTTCAAGTGGCCAATGCATTTGAAGAAATGCTCACAATCAACCCTCGCCTCCGAGCTTGTGCTCCCAATGATACAAGCACACGAGGCACGCATGCGGGAGATCGACCAGCTCGTCTCGCTCCTTCGAGAGAAGGATGGCGTCATCTCTAGGCTCATCGACAAACTAGAAGGTACAGGCACCGGCCTTGAGTACGTTTTCAACGCGCTATCCGGAAAGCGCAAGGTCACTCGAGCCACGGCCGAGGGACGAGTCAAGGGACTTGCCCCTTTTTCAGAGTCCGATTTCCGGAGCAAAACCCCAGACCTTCGCGCCATCACGCAATCGTCCGACGTTTCATCCATGTTAAGCTCGGTCTTCGGCCCACCCGGCTTGCAATACAAGTCAGACTTGGAACTGGAGGCATCAACAGCGCTAGATGGCTGGTGGACGAACCTATCCAAAGGCAGGAATCTTCTTCTGTCGGCTCGCGCAGAGAAGGAGATATCACAAACTATCCCAACGCCGCGGGAACCCGAGGCAGCCAAGGAAGAGGATGATGACTTCCAAATCCAGGCCACTCCACCAGGCGTGAAGTCCACTCGGAAACGCGGCAGCCCCCCACGAGTGATGGACGACGATGAGACATCAGACGGTGAAGACATGGCGGAAGCCCCAGTCCCCGCTCTGTCTCCGGTCAAGCCCAAGACAGCGATGCCCAAGCTTGGAGCGATTGGCAGGCATAAGAAGCCGTCCCCTTCTCCTCCTTCTCCGAGTATGCCGGAGCGGTCACCCAGAGCCCAGGCCGCGACCTCTGATACCCACTCCGAGACTGCCTCGGAAGTGGATGAGAATGATACCGCTCAGTCCCCCCCGCCTCCACCCCCCAAACCAGTCTCTAAAAGGGGTGGCTTGGGCCAAATTGGTGGAAAGCCAAAGCCTGAAGCTCCACCCAAACCGACACGCTCACCATCCCCGGCGGCCCCCCCGGATGAGCCATCAAGCCAGCTGCCGAGGAGGAACAAGCTGGGTATGATTGGGAAAAAGGCCGCGAGCCCAGATGCATCTGTGACAAGTACGGGCGACGAGGCAAGGGGCCGAAGCAAAACCCCTGCCTTGGAGCCCAAGAAGGAACAAGTGCGAGAAACGTCACAGGAACGAGCTGACCGCAAGCGGGCTGAGCTTCAGAAAGAGATGGAAAAGCGAGCGGCGGCGGGGCCGGCGAAGAAGAAGCGGAAATTCTAACGCTGGGTGGGCACATCGGAATGTCGTCAAAGATTCACATTTCCTTGAAGTTGTAAATAACAAGCACCACCACACACAGACATGCTACCGTGTCGAAAATTGCTTACGCTTCTGCCCGCTATCCGCTCCGCCAATTTGATCGTCCGCCCTTTCTAGGTACCGAGTTACTCGCCGCATCAGGGGCTTTGTCGGTCGGACCACCACCCGGCGTTTTGAGGCGCAAAGATATCGACTCCATTTGGGAATTACACTGGTCTCGCTCCACCGACACATGAAAGCGGGCCGCGGAAAGCTACCCGGGACCCCCACGTTCAGCAGTACGTGTCAGCTCCCCGTCGCCCAGGGCTGCGTTTGTACGCCCGCCAGTCAAGTCCCATGCATCATGCGATTACACCCGGGTGCCGCCTATCTGGAGGCACGGTGCACAACAGCGTGCCGTGAAACTAAAGCCCAGCTTGGCGCAAAGCCTGACAAAAGGCCGTCCAAGAACTGGGTTGCTGGGTGTTACCAGACAACAAAGACTGTAACGCAACCGTGTCACAACCGGATGATTTGGGAGCAAGGCGGCCACAACTTGCATGGGGCGCCATCCTCTTCGGGTGCCGCCCGCTCGAAATGGAAACCGGGCGTATCGTCCGCTGCGGCAGAGGAGAGGACAGCGTCCAGGGCCGAGTAAAGGTGCGTTACGGCCGGGGCCGGTGCGGGATCTAGTGTGACATCCGATAGTCGGCTCGACTTTGACACGGGGAAAGGATGACGCAGCTGTCGGCAGGGAACGGGTGTGCTCAACAATACCAGTGCTGCAGCTGCGTGGTCCGGAAGGACCAGTCGATACTGACGACGATACGTGTAGCCCTAGGATCGTTCAGGGATCGTCGTCAGGGGTAGAAAATATGACGAGGCTTGGACTAAGTCGACTGGACAGATGAAAGGGCACGGCAGCCCAGGCCTGTTTACGCGGTTATCCCGTTCGTAGAACATGCCGCCCTGGATGCAACTTGGCGAGCGGCATCACGTCCGATGCTGAACGTGCTCGGAACCGGTCATGGCTCGATCTGATTTCCGATATTTGAGCCTCAGAGCACGGAACACGGAGTCGGGAGGTGATCAGTCAGATGGACAGCATAACTGCTTCGCCCGAGAAAAGAAGAGACCCCCGCGAGTATGTTGACATGGCGGGAACGCGGCGTCCCTAGGTACCTGGGACCAAGGGGCTGAACTCAGACACCCTTGAATCACGGCACAATGTCAACCTCCTACAGAACGGGGCAACGCAAACCCGCATCCGGGCTCTCTCCCAATTGCTTGGTTGGAGGACGAAGAGTTCATGCTCCCCTCCATCCGGAACATTTTCTCCGCGTCAAAGTGGATGAGAATGTCACCGCTGGTATCTAATGGGTTGATTATTATATGATCTGAAACCAGGCCACTCAACCAGCGGCCGGCATCTCAAGGCGGCTGCTTCAACCCGGCCCATCCATTCCGCGGCCCTCGATGCAATGGATGTATGTCCGATGCTGACATGCATCCTGTCGTGTCCGGGACTTGCATCGATTCTCCCCGCGCGCACATGCTAGACGAGTCAAAATCCCCTGCTCAGGGAACGGAACATTGACACCCTAGTGTGCATCAAATCTGCGGCCGAGAGCCTTCAGACCCCTTGACGCTGCTCTGAGCCTCTGGCACTCGTGGTACGGGTCCGTCGCGCGATTGTAAAGGGCGATGCCGGACTCTCAATTGTTACTACCCCCCAGCCCGAATAGAGCAGAGTGTCTTCAACTTCACTGGTAAAAACAACACGAGACCAGTAACCCTAAAGGAAGTCAGAAGCTGAATAGCATTGCTCGACGAATCAACGCACTCAGAAGTCGCAATGTCATCACAAAACGACCGCCAGAGACCGGCTACCAGGAAAACGAAACCCAACGTCATCTGCCGTGCCATCCGCCAGGATCGGATCTGCGGAACCACTTCCACGGCGTCAACTCCTGACAGCTCGTGTGTAACTTGCATGCTCCCCGGACCATGATCCGATACCAATCCGCCCCGGACGAGCCACCAAAAAAGTGTCCCAAACCGAACACGTCGTTACTGCACACTGCACAGCAACCCCCCCTTCAAAAGCTCAATCGTCCGATTCCCCACCTCCCACCTCGCAACAATAACCGCCCGAGGGGAAGCAAAGAGGCCCATCGCCGGTCTCAATCCCTCCCCAATCTGCAGCAGCGACCACCGACAACGACCCCACGTGGCGTGCGCACCCGAGGCCCACAGCAGGTCGGGGGCTAGACGGGCGGGCTCCCTACCCCCCCGATGCCGGTGGAGTAGTACCATGCAGGCGTCCCGATCTGTGGCCCCGCCCGCGAGAGTCACCCCCGTTAGCGGTCGGGACACCGCATGCCGCGGGGATGAGGTCAGGGTGTTCAGGCAATGGGTGGGCGGGTGTGCCAGTGTGGGTGCAGGATGGACAGGGGTCGAGTTTTTTTAGGGGTTTTTTTTTTCGGTTGTTGTTTCTTTTCGATTGCTGTGTTTTGTTTCGCGGGGGTTGGAGTGGAAAGGTGCCATCTGTCAGCCCCGGGTTAGCGAGTTGCGATTTGCGGCCCGCGGACTGCGAGCCGTGAGGTGCGACGTGGAGCGTTCCCGAGTCGTAGCCCCCTCCCTCCTCCCTCCCTCGACTGACCTGCCTTGTTTGAAGTTGGCAGTCCTGTTTTTGGTGGGAGCGGGTGGTCAATCATTCATCGCTAAGGGGAGAGGAGACTGGCGAGTCACTGTTTGCCGTTCATGTTGGCAGTGCCGCAGCTTACCTATCGGCCCGAGAACAGGCGCGCTCACGATTTCGGCTCCGGGACCCCCTTCGAGGCTCCGAACGGGAGCCCGAACGGGAGCCAGAACAAGCGCATTGTGTTGAGTACCGCCGCCGTTTGTCTGGCACTGTTCGGGATTCGAGTCACTTGCTCGCCGTTTATCGACCAGGTCAGAATGTGCCGGTCATCCAAGACACCAGGGACCCGGCTCGTCCCCCGCAGCGTTCCATGCAGCATGGAAGCAGCGCAGTGAGACCGGTCCCGTGAACCAGGTTGCCGAGGCCGATCCAATCTCGATCGAGCGGCATATGCCGGGTGATCTGCGACCGGGGAGTCGAGGACCCTGGGGCTTTTCATCAGTTATCACTGTGGCCGGAGCAACGCGGACAGGCCGCAAGCGAGATCGGTTGGCTTGTTGGAATCTGAGACATGACAGAGCACAAGACGGACATTGCGTTCTGCAGGCTGATTTCCCGTTTCGCGCTCCAAGCTGGGGCTGAACTGCCGGACATTCCCCCCACTGTGAGGGAGTTTTTGATGGCGCTATTGCCTCGCCTGTGACACGGCAGTTCAGGGACTACAAGCCAAAGGGGCAAGGGGGCTCCATGACCAACGGCTTCTTTCTGAGTTGGGGCTAGGGCGGGCTGTGTGGCTTGGACCCTACCGCAAGAAATGGCTTTGTCCAACGGTCTGGGGAAGAAATCTGCGCTTCAGCCACAGGTTGCAGATGACAGCCGCGGGGAGCGCGAACGGTTACTCCCAACAAGACCCTCCCAGTCGACAATGCGTCAGCCTTGCAGCCTCTGGGTGTGAAATGCGGCCGCACGGCGCACGGAATACTTCATCCGGATTTGCATGTTGACGCCTTCAGGGCCTCGACCCGGAATTTACGCCACTGCACGCCCCTGCTGGGAGTCCTCGTCATCAGGAGGCGTTGCCGAGGCGTGTTGGTCATTTTCGACACTTAGTACTCGAACGCGCGTTATCACCCAGATTGGACATTCGGGTAACCCCTAGGCATTTTCCTTTTGGGATGCCCCGAGGTATTGGTCAGCTCAAGTTACCTAGCTAGGTAGTTGCTGAAGAAGGCAAGAAGGCGGGGAGGTTGAAGGGCACCACCATTGTTGGGTGATCGACGCCACCCTTGGGTAGAGTGCCGCTTTTGGGAGTGCCGCTGGTAGCCACTGTACCGCCACCATTACTACTGCGGCCTCGGCGACGCAGGAACATGAGACGCCAGGGAGGTCCTCCCGCGATAGTTGGTGGTTGCCGGATCCGTCGACAGTTCCTCAAAAATAGGCACCCTGGCGTGCCAGTACCGTTTACTCTGCGCCAGGCAATGCCGATGTCGATTCCAACGACTGCTTCCTCAACAGCGGATGCTGCACATGTTGGCAAGGCTGGTTCGATCTGGGGTTGGCTTTCTTGGCTGCGTCTGCGGGTGACACCACACAGATCACCACGCGCAGGAGGTTCTGCGTGGGCGACAGTGTACGTGATGCCGTGCAGAAACCAAACTGAACCCCAGCGTCCGGTGCCGAGTGGGCTGGCTGGTTGGCAGTCTGTGGCGTTTCGGGCTCCGGCCGGGCATCAGTCGGTGATGCGGGCATCTAAATTGGGAACTTGGACCCCGAATGCAACATCTGCAACGAAACTGGTCCTGCATTCACTCTCTCTCGAGGATTCGGGCCCGGCAGAAGTTTAATCGGTGTTTGACAGGCTACCCCCTACTCGGCAGGTGCTGCTGAGCAACTGTTGGAAGGGATGATGGGGGCGGTGTTTCGTCGTCGCTCAGCTGGCGGCTCGAGACTTGATGAAAATAGCCATGCCCAACGTACGGGTAAACCGATCGTTACCGTATGTGCTGGGAGCACGCACGCACACCTTTGCCTCGACTTTGGATCTCATCGGGCGGCGGCAGAATCCGACAGCATCGGCATCATACATGCCGTCGCCCGGAGATGGCCGCACGGGGTTCCTCTGTGGTTGCCCACATGACTTCGATGGCTTCCCCGCGATCGTCATCCTCCTCATTCCCGAATACGCCACAGGGGGGGCACCCGGGGGGCACAGTGTCTCAGGGACTTTGATCACCCCAGACGCACTGACGGGCCCGACAGAGTGGTAACCAATGACCATCCAAATCTGGTTGCAAGGGTGTTCTCCCTCCACCCTCCCTCCCTGTCGAATCTCGCGAGTCTCTGGCACTGTTCAAGGTTCCGGAGTACCTTATCCTCTTTCTTCTCTGTCACGAACCTTGGCCGCCGACCATTATTACTGTGTGAAAAAAGAGTAGTCGCAATCTTTATCCTGGAAGGCGGACTATCGATCTACGCTCGAGCCTCTTCGAGTCTCTTGAGGCTGATCTCCACAGCGGCCGAGTGAGACATTCGGACGATTTCCGTTCCGATGAGCTTGGCTCTCGAGAGCATTAGCCGCCTCGGGACATTGCAACGGCGGCACAGCGCCTATGTTGCAGGTCTGAAGTTGGCGACACAAGACCGGCTGGCAATGCCTAATGTAATGATGCAGCCGACTTGACCCCCTTTTTTCTTGCTGAAGAATGCCACGCTACTCGGGTGTGTTACTACACGCGTCAGGAAAACCAATGTGAAGCTTGCCAACATTGAAAGAAGCGCCACAAGGCATGGATCGGAGTCGGAGTCGGAGTCCGTTCGATCGGGGACGGAATCCGTGCGTGAATCGGGCCCACTCGACGCCGAATCGAACGGCGTCCAGCGGATTCCGTCCTCCGTTGGCTGCTGAACCACCCCCCCTGGCCATGAGGCGCGTTGGCTCCGCCTCGGCGAGGCCGGCACTGACAGGGTTAAAAATAATGGCGGCAGTCCCATCCCTGGCCTCGAGCAGCAGCTTGATTGGGGATCGCGTCATTGGCGGCGGGAGTTAACGTTGGCTGCATGAGCTTTCCTCGACCCAGTCTCACTCGGCCAACATTCGTGACTCATGAGACAAGGAACGGCCACTGGTGCCGGGCCGCAACCGTCCAAGACGCCGCCCAACGGTTCCTAACGCTAGGGCTGTCCAACACGGCATGGTGGCACAGCATGGTTTGAGATCGGGGGAAGAACGGCAGAGCCACACGCCGAGTTGAGCCTCTTACCCTCTCCGCCTCCCTCTCTTGGGTGGTTTTGAAGTACACGGAAAACCCCCATTGGGCAGAACGCTGCAAAATGCGAGGGAGATGGGCGAAAAAAAGAACACGAGCTGCAAGAATTTGAGAATAGTGCCCACCACAACGATGCGCAGAAAAACAGCAGCCAGCGATCATGTTTCACTTCCTTACCCCGTGATCTATCGTTCTAAACTCCTTCTCGAAGCAGCGCATCCATTCCAACGTCGAAGCTGCCATCGTCGCCATTCCGCCGACATGCTGCAGACACTGCTGCTGTGAAACTCCAGATTATTTGCTCGAGCTTCGACAAGGTGCCAAAAAGGGCGGAAAGGGGGAAGTGCAGCACAAGAATCACTGAATCAGCCACATACCACGGGGCTTCCCGCCATCCAGAAAAGGACGGGGTTTGAGACACGGCTTTTCTGCTGAGGCTTGGAGCCTTATTTCTGTTTATTGTTATCCCCGAGACAGGATCTCAACCGCCTGAGACAAGGCACGATCTTGATCCCCGGCCCCCTTCGTGACCGCCATCTTCTCGAAACACCCAACGTTGTACAACAAGATGTGAGCATACTTGGGGCGGAAGGCGGGGGCTTTTTGGTGTTACAGTCCAATACTAGAAACCTGCACTCCTACTCTAAAATGCCGTGTCCCGCGTGGAAGTGACAGATTTCGAGATCTTCATCGTTCCGGGGTAAAACCAAGGAACCTGGGTCATTCACATTGTCGATGGAGATCCCTCTGTGACAGGATCTGCCGCGGAAAGGATGTGATTCGCTGCCCTACCCAGGAACAACTTGAGATGCATCATGTGCATTCCAACCCGCCGTGCCACCATCGAGATCATCCCGGATAACCTAGCCAACTATTAGACTAGAACGATCCACTCACGCGCCGTGCGTGTGCATGAAAGAATTACAGGAAAGACCCCAGGTGAGCCCACCGCCCTGAGCCTTGAGGTGGTGTGAGACATTGGGTTTAGGGGCTGACTGACAAGTGGCTGCCGGACCCGAGGTACCACGCTCGGGTGACTGTTTGCAACTTTCAGCATTCCCCTGACCTGCCGCCCCATCTCGACTCGTCGACTGACGCCGCACCGCTGATATTTGTCAAATCACTGACGCTGGCGATCTCGATCGGATTTCCACGCCGTTGGCTGCGTTCCTCAACACCATCGCATTAACTCGCATCTCATGAATCCAGAATGCTCCCCCCCTCTCAAACGGAGCCGATAGATTTCGGACAGGCCGAAGCACCTGCCGTTTTTCTCCCCAATAACCCCATCACGGGAGCCACTCGGGGGCTCTGCCCCTTCTGCCGCGGCCAAAGACAGGTGCCGTCGCTGCTAGCCGCCAGACGAATCACAACTCGGCTGGACCAGGCGTGGCTTGAGAATGGCGTGCGTCAGGGTCCGACACCTCCTTTCGGTCCTTGGCAAAGAGCAGGAAACCCGACTGGTGGTGAGAAAATACAGCGAAGGGGGCACGACGTTGTTGGCTGCCGGCGCCAGCCGACCGACTTGCACACAGCGAGTCTGACCGCCATGCGGCGCTGGAAGCTTGTTTCTTCCTAGAACCGGGGGATTACAGCCTGGTCTGCACTAATGGGGCGAAGCTCTGTGTAAGAGTGACCCGACTTCTATTCTGAGCCATATGGCATCACCAGCTCATCGTCTGTACCAGCCATTCTGCAGCACAATGCATACCATGGTGATGAACAAAGGAAACAACAACAACATATCCTCCCTTTAAGTCTGCACACACGTGTAAAACCCAGTGCCATCCAACGGCGTACTGCGCCATGGCTGTCTTGAGGCTGCTGTGCAACGAGCGGCCGCGCCAGATGCGGCCTCCCGTTCTTGAGCGCCATCGAAGTCCGCAGTCCAAACGCGCAAGTCACCACCTACCCCGGCAGCATTGTCACATCCGAGTCTCCCTCTTTGTGGTGGTTCTCGATAGCCGTAAAAGCCAAGAGATGCAAAAGAACCTGCTCATGATCTCCGCGGGGGGGGACTATCGAATCATCAACCAACAGGCTCCGTAGCAAGAACTTGAAAAGTGACAGAACCGTCAAAGTCCCGTTCCTTTTTCTCTGCACCCCCCCACCCCGTCCCTCCCCATCAACACCAAGCCTTGTGATATACCCCTCCCTCCCTCGGGGGTGATCCACCACTCTCATCCCCGGCAACCCCGCGCTGACGAAGGCCGGGACTACCCAGATTACAGTCCAGGCGAGACAAGGGAGACGAACTCGCTCGGCCAGCCGGCACCCGGAGAGGGAGGCCAAGTGGCAAGACGCTGGCTGGGTAGGTAAGCGAGGTAAAGTTGCTGGGATCTAGGCGCCGAAAAGCGCAGGAATTCGGTCGTCCAGCTCAGCCGGGGTACCTGGTTGAGGGACCTCGATGGGGTTGAGCTGCGTATGCTCTCGTCGGGCCAACTGCCTCCGATGCTCCGTTAGCTTCTCCATCAGCAGACAGCCAGTCGCTGATACCATGGCGCTCCAACATGGGGATGATTCATCGGGTGAGACTCGTGAGAAACAGGAACCAAGAACGTGAAAACTCAAATGCGTCTATGAGCTATGCAGGGTAAATCAACATTAACTACCTACTCGGACACGAATTATTGCGCTGCCGCCGCTTCCCCTCCCCACCCATCCCACCGTCCTTTTTCTTTGTGTCTCAACATGTCAATAAAGCCAACCCATCCAACCGAAACCAACCGCGAACCAAAAGAAGTACCTGATCAGCCAACCAACCGGGGGGTATTGTCCCGCGCAGAGTAAGGAAGAATGCCGGGCGATATCGTACAGTGGGAAAAATAACAACATGCCGGATTAAGCACCCGCCCGCCCTCTCCTTCCAGGCCCAACCCTGTCCAGCGAGGCGAGTATTGAAAACCAAAATGGAAAAACCCCAGGCTAAACCCCAGCCAGCCAGCCAGTACATGCCACCCAAAACCCTCCCATCACAATGAAAAAGAAAATAAAAAAAGAAAACCCACTATCATTAACATTACTCCCCTGGCATGTGCAGCCCAATACTGTTCATCAGAACCCCTGCGCAAGCCCATACCCCGCGGCAACAGCGTCCTCGCCACACGGCCCCATGCCCTCCAAGCTAACAACGCCACCGGCAGTAGCAGTAACCCACCCCTGGATCTGCTGCTGCTGTTGGTGGTGGTGATGATGAAGGTGGTGGTGCGGGTTGTGGTGCGCATAGGCGCCGCCGTCCGTGTCCATCGCGTCCCCGTAGACTTCCGGTAGAGCTAAGGGGTAGGCGGCGGTATTCGGTGCGAAGGGCAGGCCGTGGGTTTCGCCTCCATGGGAGGCCGCGTGCTGGTGGTGGTGGTGGCTGTGGTGGTGATAACTCCCCGGGGGCGGGGACACGGGACCGCCGCCGAGAAGTTGCCCGTAGGGGGAGTGGTGGAACAGAGGCAGCGGTTCCGGTGTCACGGGCTCGTCGAGCGCGGCGCCGGGCTCGCTGGAGGCGCGCGCCATGATTGTGGGTGCCGAGGCGGAGGTGTTGGGGAAAAGTTGCGGTTCTGGGTAGTCGTAGTTTAGTCCTGTGTTGCTGCCGGTTCGCTCCATGCTCTGGGTTTCGGTAGGGCTCTGGTGGAAGAAGGATGTGGGCCCGCCGTATGGGGAGGGTGATGAGGAAGGGTCGTTCATGAGGTGGTGGATGAATGGGCCCCTGGCGGCGTTGTGGTGGTGGGGCGAAGGGGGGAACTGGTAGTGCTGCAGCTGGGGTTGGTTGGGGGCAGCATTGCTGCTACTGCGGAGCGACTGGCGGCTGCCGCGGAGAACCCGGCCACCCTTTCTGCCGAACGAGTGGTGGTGGTGGGCGGGGGTAGTTCCGGTACACGCGCGAGGACAGCCCGCCGTGGCTTGCGGCGCTGCGCCGGGATTGGTTGTCCTTGCGGTAGCGCGTTGTGCTCTGCACGCCGGCGACGGCCCAGGGTTCGAGGTACCACTCGGTGGACTTCTTTGTCTCAGTTTGGGGATTGGGCGTCGTGGACCCGGTTTTGGCGTCGAGCGTAGTCGTGCTGTTTCTGCGCTCGCGCTTGGTGAAGGCCTGGGCGTTGTTTGTTAGTGGTTGCTGATGGGGAGAATGCACTCCGCAGACTCACCTGGTTCATGCTCAAGTTGTGCCGGATGCTGTTTTGCCAGCCCTTGTTGGTGCTCTTTCCCCTGTCTGTGTTCTCGCGGAACCACTGGTAAATCTCCTGCAGCGTCATGGCCTGCCGCGACGTGCTCAAAAATGCGCGGTAGATGAGCTGAGCGTATGGTGGTTCTTCGGGTTTCCCCTCGGCGGCTTGGGGCTGTGAAGCAGCAGAGCTTCGCTTGCTGCGAGGTCGAGTCTCGCTTGCAATGTTGACCAACGTCGGAGCTTGGCTATCGATATCATCGTCCGGAGTACTCGCCATGTCATCCATCGGCATCGAGAGTGTCGTGCTGCATGGCGTCAACGGGTGACCGCTCTCAGGAGTCGAGGGGTATCCGTCTCTGGGCGACGTGTGATACCCGGCTGGGTAGGGCTCGGTCTGGCTTCGGGCGCGCTGGTAGTCGTCTGCTCCGTCAAAGGTCTGGGATGGTACAAACGGCATTGCGTCCGCGGGGAAGGATGTCGGGATGTCGCCGTTGGGAAGGTAACCCGAAAGTTGCGGGTCTAACCCGGGATACCGGCTGTGGAGTTGCTCCGTTGCTGCTTCCCAGGGGGTAGGGCCAAGCTGCTCTGGCGAGTCCCAGCTGCGGGGAGACGACTGATTCGAGCCCGTCTGAGGAAGGCTGCTGAGCGCGGGAGAGCCGTGGAGTGCGTAGTTGTCCAACTCGTCGCTGCTGGTCTGTGATCCCAGACATCCGCTCCAATGACTTGGCACGTAGGCGCGATGGCCGTCATTGTCGTGGCTTTGGAGGGCGCTCATACCGGCAACAAGCTGGTGTTCCACCTGGGCTGAATCCGAGGAGACACTGGAGCGGGACACTTGCTGCGGGGATGAGATGTAGAGGGCTCCCATGCTGGGAAGCGCCGCCATTTGCGCGGCGATTGCGATTCGAGATGGTCCCTGGCAGGAGGGGCGGGATAAAAGAAGAGAAGGCCGGCGGTCAAGCTGCGACGAACAGGAGGAGTCGAGGTACAAGATTGGTGTCTTGCTCAAGGCAACGAGGACAAAGAGATGTGAAGTGGACAACGGCGGAAGTGTGCGAGAGGGTGACAAGATAAGTTTGATGTGCTAGAAATCCTCGTTGGAGGTTGGGCCGGCCGGAGAGAAGTAGTCAGTCCTCGTTGAGGATCAAGGCTGATCTGTTGGTCGGCGAATGGGCTGGGGTCCCGGGAGTTATCTGCCAGTTGCTGTCGAGAGCCCGGAAGGGGCGATCCCTAGCAGGGGTTATGCAGATTGCGGGCGCCTTGTATCTTGGTACCTTTAGCAGCCCGGAGGCTAGGATGTAGCGGGGACTTGGTGAGCTTCCGCGGCGGAAGCGCAGGCAGGGGTGTTTGAAGATACTGGTGTAAGGTTGACCTTGCCAGCTCACTGACTGGTTGACCGGGCGTCTACATCACGATGCCGGAGCAGGCAACGTGCCTAGTGAGTACCATGCAAGTCTGCACTACCAGTGTGCGTGGAGACCGAAGGAGGAGCGAGATGCCGCCGCCGTGTGCTTCGGGTGAAGTACCATGTACCGAATCCTTTTGCACTCGCTGGGTGTGGCCCGGGGCGTAGGGTGTACACCGTGTGGCTGCGTGTTCTGTACCTGTTGTTGCCTGTGTGGTGTGAGGGAGAGGGGTGTGCGTATTCGTATGTGCGTGTGCCTGTGTGTGCGTGTGTGCTAAAAAAGGGCGAGATGCAAACGCAGATTGGGCGCCTGAGCCTGTTCCAAGCATTCCACAGTTTAGAAGACGGTGTTGTCCAGCCGGGGTCGAGCAGCCACAACCTGGGGGGTCGCTCTGATCCGATCCGGCCAGCCTCGCAGCCGCGGGCCTGGCGCACAGTACCAATATGCCGTCCCCCACATGCGATGCCGCATACTGCGGCCGACCCAAGCTCAACCGGGATGAGAACTGAGAGGCGACATTTGAGATCGCCCTGACCCCAGCTCCGACCCCGGTCCCGACCCTGTGCCCGCGAGTGGAACTTCCCGACCGCATCATCAGCCAGCACCTCTTGCTGGTGGGGCACGCAGGAGTCCGTCTCTGCGCTGAGAGGTTGATGACTGTTTGCCGATTTCTCAACGACTTCATTACCAGCAGCAGCTTGTCGAGCCCGGCTGCTCTCCCTGCCGTCGGCCGTGCAGTATTTGTGATTGTTAGCCACCGCCGGCCTGCTCCATCAAAGCGAACAATTCCGTGGGCGAGGGAGCAAAAAATGGCGGAGGAGACAGGGAACAAGCCCCGGAAGGGTGCATGTCACCGGTCAAGTGCCTGACTGGGCCAATCATGGATGCGGGTTGGGACAGTTGGTCGCTCACGCCCAATGGCGATGCAACGCCTGGCCAGCCGACGGCATCTCGCACCGTGCCAGGCCTCGCGGCAATCTCTGGGGAATCTGGGCTGCAGAACCGGTGTTTCATTCTAGAAGGCTTGTCGAAACATGCAGGTTCAGCATTTGCGCAGCTGCCTGGATGCTTGCTATGGGGCAAGCAGCAGGAAGCCGGTGGCGGGATCCAGGAACGTCAGCGAAGAGAAGGGTGTGGGGAGTGAGCCTCAAACAAGCTACAGGAACGTGTCGGCAACACAGTAGAAGCCAGTCTCCATTCCGGTGCCTATCCGCGACGGCTCCGTGTCCCCACACATGACCTTCACATTCAGGAACAGCAGGCCAGCCCAGGGGACAGGCGGCCCAGTAGGCAGCGCCGCGGCGTGGTTCTTCCCAAAGGTGATCTGCCCAGACGAGGGAATGGGTGGCGCGATCGCGTTCCACGCCCGAAGCCGGGAGACAGCATCCTCAGACGTGACGGAACAGAGCCCGCGCGTCGGCGGAGATAATGGCGGAATGATGAGCTGGCCAGAGCAAGGCGTCACACAACCAAGGCAAGGCTGGACGTTGTACTCGCATCAACTCTCATTAACTCGCTCTGTGGCCGGTCGGTAGTGGGACAGTCCGCTGCAGTATCGGCAGAGAGATCATACAGGTACAACGGCCGGCTCGACTGAGATGGGGCCTCTTGAACGGGCCGGCGCCGCCTCGGTCGGCCCACTCCCAGCTCGGAAGCCGTCCGTTCCAAGGCGCGATTCCGGGATCGACGAATGCCGTGCCGGAACCGACTTGCCGAAGAGAGTACTTTACTTGCGGTAATAAACCTGCACGCAATGTTAGTCTCCGGCTTGGCTGCTGCGGCATGTCTCGGACGTCTGCCCGCTTTGGATATTTACATACCTTTTTGAACTGGAAGTGCAGTTGCAGGATGCCCTGTTAAGCTCAAGTCAGCACTCGACTTCCATGTTCGACGCAGCTCAACGCAAAGCTTGACAGTCGCGAGGTCGGTGTTCCGTTCACCACCGAGGCAGAGATGCGCGTAAGTGGCGCGCATTGGTAAGGGGATGATGCAGGCCGCGGGCCGGGCCCGAGACGAATGCGACCCCCGCGATCTCCAACCCGCAAATGCGGCACAGCAGCATGAGGAAGACAACACGTGAATTCACACCGGACGTACCTTGTCAAAACTGCTCTTGAACCCTCGCTCTTTCTTGGCACTGTAGTCCCATTCCCGGTCCACGATTCGGAAGGCGATATCCTCGTAGGGCGGGCCGGCGATGAAACGGATGAGACAGGTGTCTTCCTTGCCGGCGGGGGCAAATGACTCGCCCTTTCGGCGACCATGCTCCCGAATGATCTTGAATGTCGGCGCCTTGGTCTTGTCGATGAGGTCAGGGTAGAAGACGTTGAACCGATAGCCCTGGACGACCTTGGGTGGCGGATTGTCGTGGTCGTAGTGCGTCTGGTTGTACTTGTTCCACTCGTACCCCATCAGCACGCGGTTGAAGTAGCGCGGCTTTCGGGGCCTGTGTTTATCGGCCCAGAGAGGCTTCTGGATGCCCGGAACAGCTTCTTCCGCGGCGAAGATCTCCTCGCCTTCGCCGACCCCGCGTGCAACTTCGCGGTCATACAACGCCTTGGTCGCCTGCGAAAAGTCCTCATTCCCAGCCGACGCAAAGCGAGCAGTCCCTGGCGGTGGTGCGCTGGAACTGCTCACGCCCACGGTTGTCGAGGGGGCCGGCTTAGCGACGGCCTTGGGGGCGCCCGGCAGTAATTCGGGGACGCGGTCGGAAAACCCATCGGAAGCCTCCAGTGCCATTGCTCTTTCCGGATCCCGCGCCTTGAGCATCTCGACCCGAGCCTCCTTGATCACGGCGCACACCTTCTTTAGCTTGGCCTTGGCCTTGTAGACCAGTAGGCTCTTTAGTAATGCCTCCCAGTAATCCGTGTCGATCGGCTCGTTCGACTGCAGTTTGGCCTTGATCTGCTTTTCCAGTCCCTCTAGCTGCTCCAGGGTCTTTGGGCTGAGGATCCGGTCGACGTCAGATGCCACCGAAGTCACCGCTCGTCCTTCCGGACCCTGCGGCTTTAATTTCTGGCGGCGATCCGAGCAAAGCGCCAGCAGGGCCGTCCAATACTCCTTGTTCCGCGCGTTGTGTTCAAGGGTATGGTAAGACCGAACGTCCTCCTCGAGTTCCTTTAGCTGCGCTTCGTTCAGGCTCTCCACCACGGCCTCTGGGGCGGGTATCTGGATCTCGATGTCGTCCTCGTCATCATCGAAGGAGTCGCGATCGGGATCGATAAACCGCAGGCCGAAAGCTAGGTAATCGACGGGTTGGGCGCGCTGCTCCCGAACGCGAATATCGGCCTTCTTCTTAGCCTGCTTCAAAACAAACTTGTCCTCGTCGGCGATGAACTGCTCCGACTGCTGGTCCTGCGTGAGGTACCTGCCAACAGCGGCTGCCGGATTATTTCTCGGGGGTAGCTGGCGGGAAGACTTCGCGATGCGGTTCGACGAGTCGTAGCGTGGCGCTGTGATGTCGCGGTCTCTGTCCTTGCGCGGTGACTTGGAGCCGTCGATCATGGCTTGCCGGTCTGGATTCATGGTGATGCTGTGATTTCGGTATTGTACGGTGGTGGAATGATTGGGGGCTAGAAGGTGTGGAATAACGGGGTAGGGGATGTTAGATGCAAGTCTGGTGCTTTCTCGTTTCTCGGTCGAGGGCTTGGAAGTTCTTCTTGTGCATCCGTGGATCAAGGTTGACGAGGCAAAAGTCCAAGCGCGCGCGTGAGTTCAACAGGCACAAGCCGCCAGCGGCCTGAACCGCAGAGCTCCTCCCCTCGCGCGGGGCGACCCGCCAAAATTAACTGAGCCCAGCCGAGCCCCTGCCGGTGAAGCTTGGCATTGGCGGGCCAATTCAACACCAAGCCGCTCAGCTCCGCGGGCCGTTCCATCTTCAATCATCGATTCAACGAATTAATAAATTCATCGCAACCGACACAAGCCAATGCGGCACACAGGTTTGCCATCGCTGGTTTAGTGATTGGACAACAGAATGCCTCCATAACAAAGCAAACACGCCAAGCGACCCTATGTACAGCATCGGCAACCAGGGCAAGATCATGCGCAAGTTGTTGGGCAAGACCACGTCGGATTCTGCCCACGACACACCCCCTCAAGCTGCTATCACTAGCTCACCTCTTGCTCCCCATTACCGCCCCACTGCATCTCAGGATGCCGTCTACGATGCTGGTGTCCCGATAGCTTCTCTGGACCGCTCTCCCGATGGACGGTCCGCTGTGCTCGCTGGGCGCCATGTGCTTAAGACGGTCACTTTCGATGGCCTCACTGTAAAGGACGGCATCGACCTTCGCGCATTGCTCAATGCCCAACCTTCTCAGCGAAGCAACATCCCTACCACTTCCGTCGCCGACCAGCTGTCCATCAAGGCCGTCAAGTGGGGTGAACCGCAAGGCAAGCAGGCCCTCTTCACTGCCGGCGCCAGCGGCAAGATCTTTCAGTACGACCTGGTGCGCGCCGGAACTACCGCCATCGGTTCCCCGGTCGACTGTGTCCAGATACGAGAAGACTCCCGCCAGGTCAATGCGCTGGACATCAACCCCCACAGGAACTCGTGGTTACTGTCGGGCAGCCAGGACGGGATTGTGCGCTGCTTCGATGTCCGACAGCCCACCCAGACCCGAACCGGCGCCACCTTCCGCTCCATCCAGGCGTTCAAGTGCAACGCCGACGGTGTGCACCATGTCCAGTGGAGCCCACGGGACGGCTTCCTCTTCGCCTCCGCCACCGAGCAGGGCTTCGTGCTCAAGTGGGACATGCGGAAGCCCAGCGCGCCTATCTTGCGCATCAAGGCCCACGAGAAGGCGTGCATGTCGATGGCGTGGCACCCAGACGGTATCCACCTTGTCAGCGGAGGTCTCGACAGCAAGTGCAACATATGGGACATGTCCAAGCAAGACAAGCGCCAGAAACCCAAGTGGACTCTCTCAACCCCGGCTCCTGCTGGCGCGCTTGCCTGGCGTCCGGGTCAATGGTCGGCCACCGCCCAAGGAAAGCGTGCCTCGCAACTTGCCATATCTTATGACGAAACCAGCCAAAAACGCTACGGTATAAATGTGGTACACATATGGGACCTCGCGCGGCCCACCATGCCCTACAAGGAGATACAGAGGTTCGACAGCTCGCCCAGCGCCATCCTCTGGCACGACCAGTACCTTCTTTGGACCGCGGGACAGGACGGAATTTTTAGCCAGTGTGACATCACGTTCGCTCCCAAGGTCATCGACCGCCAAGCGGTATCTACCATGGCCTTCTCCCCTAGGGGTGATGTGCTCATGCTCCTTGATGAGCGTCCCCCTCCCCAAAGGCCACGACCCCACGTTTTGCACCACGATGATGTCGGAGTCCCCTCTTATAGCTCGAGCCCCACAACCCCTAGATTCAGTGTCAGCCGCAGCGATTCCGAGGACGATGCTATGGGGAGCTTCATAGGGCCAAAACGCCGTGGCAGCCGCAGGCGCCGACCCAGCACCCGCTCCACAGCGACACTCAGTACGACACCGCCAGCGGGTCCGACCACGGAAGAGATTATGTCACTCGAGCAAACCATCAAGGCCACCGGCACCTACAAACCTCAGCAAGCCATGGCTGTTGGTCACGTCCCGTCTACTGCCAACGTGGACGTGTACGGATACCTAGCCATGAACTACCTCGAAGCACTGCACAAGGACCTACCCTACTCAGCTGGTTCAGGCTCCCTCCCTGACCGCGTTGCAACCATCCTCGAACACTACGCCAGGGCTGCGGCGAGCGTTAAGCATTTTCGGCTTGCGCAAACCTGGCGCATTCTCGCCTATGCGGTCGACATGCTACTTCACAGGCGTGCACAGTACCACCTTGATCGCCGCATGGACCGCCACCACTACGCCGCAAAAAGAAAGAGCGAGGCTAAGGCGAAAGCGAAGGCCAAGGCGTTAGCAGAACTCTTTAATGCGCCGATACAGACCACGGTCGATGGAGAGGAAACACCCCGGAAAGTCGTATCCATCGCCAGCTTTGACAAGGCACTGCATCCGAGATCTTTGCTGTCCGAAGAGCTGGAAAGCACATCCAATGTCCCCACCCCCGTTGCGCGCCCAGTGCCAGATGACCCAGGGGTGCCACATTCAGCGGAGAGAGAGCGCGGGAGAAAGCTGACCCCAATCGTTGAACCCGAGAGCTTTACGCTTCCCCCAGCAGCCCATCCACCCTCGTTGGTCATACGCAAACGGCTCGACTCGGTGCCGCTCTCCGTCGCAAGCCATGATAGCGGGGCGACACATGCAAGCACGGAAGGGTACGACTTTTACGATACCGAAGCCATCCTCGGCAAGCCGGTCAAGGTCCCGAGCCCGAGGTCTAACCCGACTCAAGTGCACGAGCACCGTGAGCGGGGGTCACCGGGCACAACGCGGAGACCGCTTCTCCGACAAGACTCCGAGGAAAGCTACGTCCACCTTTTTTCCATCTCAGACGATAGTAGGCGGGCGACCGGCCTCACGGCGTCGTCGGACGGCAGCCTAACAGGGCAGGCGGCTCGCGCAGCCATTGTCGCCGGGCTTCGCGATGGAAATGAGGACGCCTTGCAAGACCACATCGGCGGCAAGGAAATCCGGAGGGCCACGGAACATAACCCCGATGTGCCGTTCCGCACGATGCTCGGAAGAACCGAGACGGACATGACGGGCTTCACCGATGAGCACCACGCCATCACACAAACCACCACGGACAGCTTTGAGTCACGCTTCCCTTCACAGACAGATGCTGACTTTGTGGTCGAGTCACCCCTGTTGGAACCTCCATCCCCCGAATCTCCCATGTCCCCCGACGACGACCAATCCCCTTTCATCGTCGAGACGGACTACCTCTGCTGGCCCGACGACCACCCCTACCCCTACCCCGTTGACCCAGCCTCCGGCTTCTCGGCCGTCTCATCCACGCCTCTCCAGCCCTATGCCCTCATCTCCCGTGCCCTAGCCTTCGAAACCAAGTCCTCCGCCCTCAACGCCTCGGCCATCATCCTACTCCTCAAGCCGCTCCTCCCAGACGGCGTTCTAGACCATTTCCAAGCCACTGCCATCCTACGCCAACACCACGCCCGGCTGATGAGCATGAAGCTCTTCACCGAGGCCGCCCTGCTCCGCAAGCTGTGCATGAAGGGCTGGCCGGGCGGCTCGCTGGCCACCTGGGGCGACAACTACCCCGCCATCTTCACCTCCGCCCAGCAGGGCGTGCAGGCGAGCTTTGCCTGCACGAGCTGCCACAAGCCGCGCGACGTCGACCGCCGCGCGTCATCAACCGAGTCAGTCTGGCGCTGTGAGCGCTGCAAAGCCGTCATGGCGCCGTGCGCCGTCTGCGGCGCGAGAGACGCCGTCGCGCCCACGGCTGCAATGCCGCTACCCACCTCCCCCCACCCCAAACCCTGGTTTGCACAACACCACCACCAGCGGGCAGAAAGTGATGAACCGACGCTGACCACATGGTGGTACTGCCCCGGCTGCGGCCACGGCGGGCACTCATCCTGCCTGCAAGCGTGGCACGCGACGCTCGAGGGCGGGATGCACGCCGCGCTGGACGACGCGCCCGGGTCGGAGCCCTCAGATGGCTGCTGTCCGCTCGATGGGTGCGGCCATGCGTGTCTACCTGGCCGGCCTGGTGCTGAGACGGTGGTTACGCGTACCGAGGATGCGAGCCGTGTCGTGCGGGAGGCGACGAGGGCGGTTGCCAAGGCGACTGTGGCGGCGGCGGCGGCGGCGGCTGCCGAGAGGGGGGTTGGCACGGCCGCGGAGGTTAGTCATCTGGCGGGACAGTTTGCGGAGGAGCAGCAGGTGGATGTTGGAGTTGGTGGTGGCGGTGGGGGTAGTGGTGGTGTGGGTGGTCATTATGGCGGTGGGAAGCCTGCGCTGCCGGTTAGGAGTGATGGGAATGATATCCCGCAGAGCAGGGCGGTGGAGACGGTGAGGGAGACGTTGGGGAGCGGGGGCGGGTTGGGGAGCGGAGCGAGAGTTGGGACGGGGATTCTGAGCTCGAGTCCGGGGAGGGGGGGGATTGGTGTTGAGAGGGAGAGGAGGAAGAGTGTTAAGTTTGTTGCTACTGATGAGCGGCGGTAGTGACTGTGCCCGGGTGCTCCTTGGGTGCCATGGCCTGGTCGATGTTCGCTGCCGGGTTCAGATGATGAGAGGCTGTATGTCACCGCCACCATGTTGCACGCCTGCGCCTGTGCAAATTGATCAAGATATTGCAGTTCCCTTGTTCCTCAACCTTTACACCGTCCCAGAACCTCGCTTCTCGCCTAGGGTTAGGATGGAGCCTCTGCTCCGCCGGGTGGCCCAAGGTTCCGACCCCGTCGCATAAGCTCCGAGGGCCCTCGGGGCTAGCATCGAACTGGGTCAGGCCAACGCAACTCGTAGCCGAGGAGGATCGGGACAAGACACTGTCCGTGGCCCTTGGACATCACAATGTCGGGGGGTGTTTCAACCGCTTTCCGGGCTCCGGTGGCGGTCGGAGCACGCGCCGAGCCTCGAGGGACACGACATCAAGCCGCCTTAGGAGCGACACAGGTCGGAGTATACGTTGGCCATGACCATGAATGGGTATAAAGGAGCACTCCTCCATCACCTCAATGGAGATCACCTCATCGCAACACAATCCACCAAACGAACGTAACTTGATCCAACAAACCACCCACACCACACCATCACAATGGTCACCTCCGCCCCCAAAAAGCTCCGCATCGCCGTGATGCTCGAAACGGTCCAGCTCTCCGACATTGTGGGCATCGACCTCATCGGCAACCTCTCGCAAGCGTACATGAACGCCATCGACTCCTTCGAGCCCAAATGGAGCGTCTTCGCGCCGCACGCGGTCGAGATGGAGTTCCTCTACCTCGCGAGCACGCTCGACCCGACCTTCACGACGCCCGGCATGCGCATCGTGCCCAACATGACGTACGACGACTGCCCGCGCGACCTGGACATGGTCATCACCGGCGGCCCCATGTTCACGCACCGCCCCGCGCCGGCCGACCGCTTCATGAGGGAGGCCTGGCCCAGGACCCGCGTCTGGATGACTACCTGCACCGGCAGCATGTGGCTGGCCAGCACGGGCCTGCTGGACGGCTTGAAGGCGACCACGAACAGGGAGTGTAAGGAGGTGGCGAAGAAGATGCACCCTGATGTGAAGTGGCAGGATCAGCGCTGGGTGGTCGAGGAGAAGCCCTACGATGGGGAGGGCAAGGGCGAGCTGTGGACGGCCGGGGGAGCTGGTGCGGGTGAGTTTGCCTTTCCTGATGTGGAGTTTGACTGGAGATGCATGACCGCTGACCGGGCTTTGTTTAGGTGTCAACATGATTGCTACATACTTGTTGGAAAACTTTGACAAAGAGTTTGTCACTACACTCGCCCTGAGGCCTTTGGAGTTCCGCTTGGATGGCAACATGAGCCAGTTTTACCTGGCTTGAATGGTTGAGAGCAACGGAGATGGGATGAGAGTTGCTCGGCTTGGTGTTTGCTTTAAAGGTCACTGCACCGACCCATTCTTGTTTGTGACACTAAGCGGGATTTGCTATGGTGTTTTCAACCTGCAGGACGCAGTTCGAGTTTGGCAGCAGACTAGCAATCAGCGGCAACGGTGGACACGGTTCAGTCACAAAGTATCATTTGTCCGCCATTAACATGGCTTGTCTCATTCACTAAAGGCAATCTTCAACCCCACAATCACCAGGAGGTTACACCGCACGGAGGGAAGCGCACTTGAACAAAAGGCACACAACTTCATGATTGTTGATTTATTAAGGGATAGTTGTTGAAGGTTTCTATAGTGCGTCGGTAGCAAACCATCAGTTCCTATCAAACCATTGCCCACCAAGCCATTTAAAGCTCTCTTGTCATTCACTGCTCTTTATTTGTGTTTTTTCCTCATCGCCAACCTTGCCTTCTCCTGTTGTCTCGTGTCAAGAGTCCGAAACCACATCGGATCGGAGATCGTTTCTACCAACACCGTGACACTTATCTCTAGCCCATCTGCTACCTCATATTCTTACATCACGAACTCCAACAACTACGTGTCCATGGCGGTCATCACCTCGCTTCCGGGACTTCGTGTCACTGTCGAGTCAAACGGCGTGGCGGCTGAGGAGCACGAGCACCCTCATCCGCAAGAAGACAATTCGAGAACCATGGTCAGGGAGAACTTCGACCTCCCCCCTGATTATGAGGGTCCGCTGCCCCATCTCGTTCGGTACATCGAGGCAAAACCAGGCGAAGAATTTGAATTTGTGGTTGTCAAAGAAGCCGACGTCCAAGGACAGAGTCATCACTTAGGCTTCGGTTTCTATATCGACGGAGAACTTGCGAACCGTAGTCAAGAGTATCCCGACGCCCCATCCAGAGCATGGAGGTTAAGAGTGGGCGGCTTCTCATCTGGGAACCAATCGTCCGGGTACAGGAGGCACAACTACCAGTTCAAGGAGCTTCGACTGAGTATGTCGTGACTTACTATGGATTGCCACCCGCGTTCTTGATTGCTAATCCCGATGTAGCCCAAGGCGACGACCTTTCTACCCGGGACCTGCAACGTCAAACTAGCCTAGCACAGGAGTGTGGGATGCTGCGTGTTGTTGTCCAGAATATGGAAGAGAGCCGGTTCCTGAATTCGTTCAAACCGCACAAGATCACGACACAATTCAAGGTTACCGAGCTTCCGGAGGAAGCGCTGAAAGGCTTAACGACGGACTGCGCAACTAGGTAGGTGATGATCTTCTGGAAATCAAGTCCAGCCTAGCATGACCAGTCGTCCCGACTGTCAGTGAGTCACTTGGGCCTCTGGACTGACAACCCACAGTCTCACATCCAGACCAAGAGACCCCCCAGAGCCTCGTAGGCGCCGTCAGTGGAACTACAGCGACCCGGAGCGGCGTCCCTTTGCAGTCTTCGACTTCATTTATCGGTTGAGAGGTCAGTACCCACGACTCGCTTACCTCCCTTCCGCTACCCACCCCACACTATTGTGCGGTTACCATAAACAACAGACTGACGCTCATAAACAGAGGGCCTCATGAGAGAAGGGGTCATCCCCCGTCCCGACGCTCCACAGCAGGAGGAAGGCCCAAGAGAACTCCCGCTTCGGCTACGAGAGCCCCAGGCAATGCGCGGGAACCCCTGGCCTTCGGCTAGGGAGAAGCCAGAGCTTCCGTTTCGGCCGCGGCGAGCTGAGGCACCGGCAGAGGGCGGAGTGCGTTCCACCCCTACTTCTAGCTATTGAACCATGACACAACTGACACATCCCTTGGTAAAACAGCACTCCACCGAGCGAGAACAGCCAACAGACCGCACCCGCCACAAGAACCAAGCGTTCGGCGAAAGCCATAACCGATGCTGAGCCCACAGCCCGGTACAAGGTGCGGCGGACGGAGGACGGGCGGGAGGAGACAAACCGGACTGATGTCTGATTGCTGGCGGCTGTCTGGATGGCTGTCTGGGGGCTTGCGGCTTGCGACTTGTGGCTTGCTTGGTTGTAAGAACAACTGTGTGGGTGTTGATATAGGCGGATGGTGGTTTTGGTGGGAGAGGGAGGGCTTTTAGCTAGGATATGGGAGACAGAGCTCGGGGGAAGTTATGGATGAGGGTTCTCGTGATCAGCAGCTACACACGGAGGGTTGGTAATCGTACCTCTATGGACTTATATTTTGGTCTTTTGTTACTTGCACAATGCCAGTGACGTCGGCATCGCATCCGACATTTAAGGTGTGGTGCCGAAACTGTTCTGCTCAGGCCACGATGTGATTAACTGTGAAGACTTCGTGTTGGAACAAGTGTTTAACCCGCGTGAGGTGTGGATCGTGTGTGGTTGTGGACAGCGTTCTTGTAAATACTAGGCGGCGAAGTGAGGGCGGTAATCCGGAATTGTTATTGGTACATATTGCTTTGTTTCCTGCCGGTGGAACACTCCACAGATCTACCTTGTAGCTTATGCAGAGGATGGAGTAAAGGCCGAGAAGCCTGGGATCACCTGACAACCCGGTACCTAGGTGGTTATAAGAAGGTCTCCGAACGCGCACTGCGGGCTTAGAAAACAAACTCAGCTCACTTCGCAACTTCTCGTTGCATTCCCCAGATCCCGAACCGAGCTCGATCTCAACTGAAGGTTACTTTGAGAGACCAAGCACCAAACACCATGGCCATCATCAGCTCATTGCCCGGCCTCGAAGTCTGGGTCAATGTGGACGGAACGCCAGCCGCCGAGTACGACGACCCCGACAATCAAGTGCAGGGCATGAACCTCAATAATTTTCATGTACCGCCTGGCCGTGTCTCTCAGCCGCCCTGTATCATCAAGTATATCGAAGCGAAACATGGGGCGCCTTTCAGCTTTCACTATCTCGTGCGACCTCCCGTTGAGAGGTCGGACCAATGGATTCGGTCTATATTTTGGATTGACGGCACAAAGTTCGCTGCAAACTACGAGATGAAGTATGATCCGGTGCGAGGAGCTCGCGTCACAACTGTCGGCGCTGTTTATTCCGGTAACGCAACCGATGGGTATCAGCGGAACTCATTCTTATTCTCCCCGCTTGAGATCGGTATGTATGAACCCAATCACACTCTAAATACTCCACGGTGGCTTACCTATTATCGGCCAGCCGATGTAGTGGAGACTGGACAGGTTTCAAAAGAAGACGCGAAGGTCCTCAAGCACTGCGGGACCCTCCGGGTTGCTTTCTTTTACATAGAAAAGCAAAATGGCGATGCCGTCAAATATGACATCCGCCCTCAAGACAGCGACGACCGTGATACCAGAGCCCCTATCATCGCTGAGAAAGCACTGAAGGGCACGGCGGTCGATTGCAAGACAAGGTATGTCCCCCCTCATGGCGAGCGTCATGTTGCGGGGCTGGGTTAGTACATGTCGTGTCGAATACTAACCCTCTCATTTATTCTAGTTATATTCCTTCACCGGAGCAAACCCCCAGGAATGTCAACGCTCATAAAGACCATTATATCGACGCCAAAAAGCGACCGTTCGCCGTCTTTGAGTTCCGCTATCGATCGAAAGGTAGGCGACCTTCAAACACACCCGTGACGGTAGCGTCAACTGTATCACCTGGCTAACGAACGCGATCATCACGAACAGAGGGCCTTATCAAGGAAGGAGTCATCCCTCGCCCTGGAGTGGATGAACAGGTTGCCAACATGACCGATGCCGAGGTACGGCAGCCCTTGGCCGCGTTGATGGAGGAGCAGAACCAGGTAAGTAAACACGAGATGACGCCCGCCAGTGCTTGTGCATGATATAAAGAACAAGCTGACGGTTGACAATAGCGCTCTCTTGATAGCGTCAAGGGCGAAGATTCCACCGGGGTGGCCAATGCACCGGAAACTGGGAATCGCCGCCGAATCAAGAGCGAGGCACTGGCTGCCGCGGATGACGAGGCCTTGGCTCCTAGCAAGGAGCTGCGGCTCGATAACGGCCGGGTGGAGATCGACCTGACTGATGACTGAGACATTGTGGGTTCTGGGTTGCGGTCCATTTGGGAACACTCCCGTCCTCGGTAATTATGGGATCGGTTGGGCTCGGGAGTTTGGACTGTATCTTGCGGTGGTGATTTGGTGGGGGTATCTGAAGACTACCTATTTTGTAGCTAGACCTTCATAGAGCGGAAGGTCTCCTAGTTCTGTCTCGTGGTATATCAACGACATCTTGTACCGCAGATCCTGGAACAAGCCCCTCATCTCGGCCGCCCAGTAGTGCCACTTCGAGTCCTCCGGGTACGGCCCAAACTCGGCCAAAGCCCCATGCAACTTGTCCAAGTGTGCCGGAGTGGTGGTTGCGGCAGAAGCCATGAGCAGACAGGTAGGCATGAAGCCGGCGCCAACCGGCCTATACTTGGCCGTCTGCTCGTTTAACGCCACCAGCTCATCCGGGTACTCGGCCACCTGCCCAGCAAGCTCGGCGTTGTCCGGCAGCATCGCGCAGAGGAGGCTGTTTACTAGCATCGTAGCCGCCAGCAGGACCGCGTACTGGGCCTGGCAGAGTAGCCGGATCTTCTCCATGTCCGGGCCTCCAGGGCTGGATGGGAGGGACAGGCCATCGCTCGAGGAGTCGCTTCCTGACGGTGTTCCGACCATGTTTCGCAGGTTGTCGCGTGCCTGTGCCGTCTCGCGCAGCATCGTGTCGTACCCGATCACAATATCCGCGATATCGCCCCGTGGGTCCCGAACAAACTCGACGAGCCTCACTAGGGTCGACACGCTCGTCACCGGTCCGGGTCCGCCGTTCCTCGAAGATGTGGTCCCAAGCGGGGCGAAGGTTTCGATGACTCGCCGGAACCATGGTCCGGGCTTGATTTTCGGGTTGTAGATGCTCTCCGGAAGCTGTGGTTGTTCGTGTTACTATCGTCCTGCAGAAGCCAGAAGCGATTAGGGGGTTAATGGTCCTTACCACAGAAACAGCAAGCGTGAGGAACAGTTGGTTCTCGAAGCGGCCGCGCCAACCATTCAACGCTATGCAGTTCAGGATGTGCATCACGGCCTCGGAATGGGCCACCGGGCTATCGTCGGTTCCCCCTATCCAGCTCTTGACGGAGGGGCGTCCAGTTAGACACGACGACAATGACTCGACGACAACGCTCGACCAACAATGGGCAAGCATTCTGTGTTGGGAACAGGTCTCTGGGAAACTGTACTTGCCTGGCACAAGGTGACGATGTAGATAGCACAGAGCGTCTCTGGAGTCTGCGCGGTGGCACGGTCGGCCAAGGTATACCTGAGGCATTCCAACGCATAGACATACGCCGCCAACATCCCCCTCGACGTCTCTACCGTGTACAACTTGGGGAATAGCGCGGTGAGCGCGCCGATGGAGGCGTCCAGGGCTTTGTTGCGGCCAAGTCGCCGAGGAAGATCCTTGAGAAAGGCGCCACACCCGGCAAGGTCGTATCGCAGGTCTGATACCTCCAGCACGGCTATGTACGCCGCCGTTCCCCGTGTGAGACCGTTGCTTGGGGCTCGTCGAAGGGCTATACTCCTAGGCTCCGCATTGGCCGCAACGGCTGGTCGGTTGGGACCTTCTGAGCCCGAAGCCGGCTTTTCACGCGCCGGCTCCGGGACGGCTGCATGAGCATGCTTGAACTTGTACCGCTTCTCCCCGCAGCCGATGCAGGGAATGCGGAGCCGTGTGCACCTCGAGCAGGCTGGTTTGGCGAGATCACACTGGTTCCAGGTCAGCGGGATTCATCACATCACTCTAGGTTTCTCGCCACGGGCGGCACTGGCAGCCCGACGAGGGGCCAGTGGCGGCCCTGGCGGTGGCCCGGGGTTCGTCTGGTAGGTACCTTTTTCTTCTGCTTGCGGCATGCGTCGCAGCCTCGGCCGGTTGGTACGCCAGCCATTGTGCTTCCGAGCGCGCGGTTTTACTGGAAACGGCCAAGTCGGGTTCGAATGCGGCAGCCCCCCTTGCATGCAAGCACCGTACAGGTAAAACAGAGTACTTTTGTACCGAACGGGCGGGACGGTGCAACCAAAGTATAACCTTTTCACAATCAATAAGTTGTTGCCCTGGAGAATTGAGTCCCTTGACGTCGTTTGAAGTTCGTTCTCCTCCCGCGCGCGAGATATGTAATCGAATGGTAATACACCCAGTAAGCTCAGTCAGCCCCCCTGGCTTGGGGAGAGTGGCGAGAAAGAGGCAATCTCCAATTTCTTACAGCGGGCGGTCTGCCAAATCTGGCGTCGCCAAGAATGCACAGCACATCTTGCTGCCCAGCCGAAGATCATGGAGCCAACGAGAGGCCGAGCGTAACACCCAGTTACATTAGTCAGACTGGCTGGATTGGCGAGGATCATGGCATGGCGCATGCGTTTATCTCGGGAGGGAACCAGTGAAGGATTAGCTGGAAATAGCCAAGGCTTCATTCGTTGGTTGATAGTGTCAAGTACACCCGAAACCTCCTGAATCCTAGTTTCATGATATCTCCACCGACTATTTTGGTGGTCAGGGGACTTACTGTGTAATGCAGCACAGATCTACTCGGCATGCAACCAGTACCGTAGTTAGGTGGGCGATTAATCATCGCCACGGATCCTTCATCCTCCTGCAGTTTGCTTCCGGTATTGGTTCTCTCCTTGTGCAATGGCACTCGCTGTTTGTGTCAGATCCCTTGCACTTCACGCATGGCTAATCATGCCGTATTTAGCCCCTTGGGTTGGGCCAGGATGTGCCGAAAAGAAGTTGATGCGAAATGGTGGTGTTGGCGAAGACGTATCATTGTGTCGTCGCTTCGTTGTGATCAGACTTGACTGTACATGGCAGCTGCGGAGGCGTACTATCTTAAGTGAAAGGGGCGGGGAGTGGTAGGTAGGAGCTTTACTAGTAATAAGTTATAACTAATGCGGACCATATGTACCTAACCAAATAATTAACGCTGTTTGACAACTGTTATTCCTCAAGTGGTTTCCACAACTCCAATCCCTCACCTCCCACCTTTACTCCCAACTACCAATACACCAAAAAATGCAACCCAAGGTATCTTCCTTTTCCCAACCAAATATCACTTCGTAACCTCTTCCACTACTTCCGGTTCCGACAAGGCCACAATAGTGTGTGCAAACCCCGTCATGACTGCCTCCTTAATCCCGCTGACCATTAGTTGTTCGTCGTTTGACATGGAACTCGTCCATCTACCACCCAGCCCAAAACGAATATTCAATAGCTTGGTCAGAACAGAGCCCGCTTGCCTTGGGTTCTGACAGGGCACCTCAGCAAAGCTCTCTAATGCATCCAAGAGCAACTCCCGAATAGTCGTACAGAACATGTCCTTCGACCCCGGGACGATAGCCGCCTTCATTTCGTCCCACACGCGGTAGCGCTGCTCCTGTGTCATGGACCGCGAGGCGAACGAGCTGACCTTGCTCTCGTCGATGCACAATACAAGGCACTTCAGGTGTCGGCTGATCTCGGCGCGAATGTCGTCCGGCAGGGCCAACGGGACGATGTCGAGGTGTCGCTGGACCAGTTCCCGCGTGCAGTTGGACGCAACCGGGTGATCGATCCACCTCTGCACACCCCCCATCCATAGCTCCCGGTCGTTGTCCTTCAGGAGCGGCACCCCATCCACCTCGGTCCTGGACAACTCCGCCGCCACCTCCAATATCACCTTCACCACGCTCTTGTAACTGATCCCCACCGACGCGTACCTCGTCTCCCTCCACGCCGCCTCCCACAGCACCGTCTGAATCGTATCCGACACCTGGTGAATATCCAGCTCCAACATCAACACATGATGCAGCGCATCCGTCGTCGTCAGCGACGGATGCACATCATACAGCCCATCCAAATCCGTCGCCTCCTCTATCCCCACAAACCCCTCATTATACGGATGAATCATCGTCACCCAAATCGGCGGGCCATCCCAGCTCCTCACCGTCTTGACAAACCGTTCCACAATCGCAAACTCATCCTCCCCCGCGGACCCAATCGAGATATACACCAAACACCCGCCCATGACCCTCATCAGATGCACAAAAACCTCCCACAACTTCCACACGCTCACCGCCGCCCGGTCAAACACGCCCACGTCCAGCATCCCCACCTCGGCCGCCGCCCCGGGCCGCTGCTGCAGCACCTGCAGCACCAGCGACGCCACCGCCGCGTGCACCGTCATGCCCTGCGCCCAGATCAGGTAGACGCTCGGCAGCCCCGGGGTTAGGGTGCGTTGTTGCGCCACCCATTGTAATGCGTGCTGGTGGTCGGGCGCGTCGCAGAGTCCCTGGCTGAGCCGGGTGCCGCTGGAGGGGGAGGCTGAGCTGGGGAGGTGTTGTTGTTCGACTGCGAACCATTCCTCCCAGGCCCGGGCGGTTACGCTGTAGGTGGCGGCGAGGGACTCGTGGTAGGAGGCTTGGGAGCGGAAGTTTTGGAAGAGGGTGGCTTTGATCTGGTGGAAGATGTCCGGGAGGGGCGGGCGTGGGGTGGTGGTGTTGGTTTCGAGGGGGTGGGGGACGGCGTGGGCGTTGAGGGTGGCGGTGAGGTGGGCGCCGTGGAGGTAGGCGTCGAGCTGGTGCTGGGCCATGCTGGCGTTTTGGAGGGCGTGGAGCAGGCCGGCGTCTTTTTCGATGCAGGTTTCTAGGCGGTGGATGCGGTCCATGGCGCGGCCGAACTTTTCGTCGAAGGGGCGGATGAAGGAGGAGACGAGCTTGCGGAGGGGGGATTTGCGGTTGAAGTGGAGGATGATCTCTTCGAGGAAGTCGGCGACGGCGGCGTAGAGCATCGAGATGAGCTCGACCATGCGGGCGGTCGGGAAGAGGTTGGCATAGACTTCGATGCGGGAGAGCGTCATGCCGATCTCGACGAGCATGTCGGTGACTTTGACGAGGAGTTCTTTTCTGTTTTTGGCCATCTGTTCCGTGTCAGTCCATGCACCGTCGGACTCGGGGTGCCCAGCCCCTGAAGTTCTAACTTACCATCAGCAGCATCTTCATTCCGCCCCAGACCACCGCCAGGTAGGCAAAGTCGCCCGCCTGCGAGAGGACGTCAAAGACGCCATGGTAGTAATGCAAGATATCGACAAACCGCGAGACACGCCCGTTGTCCTCGTTCGACTGTGACTTGAACAGCTCGAGCGCCGTCTCTGCCACGTCCGTCTCCGAAGTATGGGTTAGTATCGCGGCGGCATCGACGTCCTTGATGGACTTTTGGATGGCCACAAAGGCTCTCGCATATGCAGTCCTCGCGCTGTTGATGTGTTTGGTGAGCTGCTGCTGGTTGGCGTTGACCGATGGCGACGAGAAGCGTCTTACGGCCTGGGTGTCCCACAGACGGGGCCTGGTCTGGAGCTGGTTGGCGAGTCCGGTCGAGGTATGTTCTGTCACTGCATCGAACGCGGAGGGGAAGATCAGCTGGCCAACGGCGGATGCCGATGTCTCGTCTAGCTCTCGGGGGTCTCTAGGCGCGGGCGTTCTGGGATCCATCAAGTATGGCGCAGTAATCCCTGGGTTCTGGAATGGTTGGCAAGAGCAGACCAAGTGGATGCATATCAGGCGAAGTGCGGCTAAGTGGAAAGCGTGGAAAAATGACAGACAAAAGGAGAATACGGTCTGGGCGTTTTTGGGGTTATAAGAAACCGTTGTTCGAAACCAAGAAACGATGCTATCGTGAACTAAACGGTTCCACGAGGTGCGATGCTATCGAAAAAAAGAGTCCGAGGTGAGGGACAAGGTCTGGGCCTGGCCATCCAGCAACTCGGCCACGATGTGGCTTCAGGGCAAGTCTGTCCCTCTGTCTCTTCAGGAACGCGGCGCGCTTCAGCCGCAGACCACGCGGCATGATAAAGCTTCCGAAGTCCCCGCGCGGGGGGTCATTGGGCTTTCCGTCTCTCTCCGATATCACGTCCGAGAGCTTGCAGTCCACGAGGCTCCCCATGGGGTTGGATTGGGGCGAAGCACCACGCCGACTCCGGGAACGCTCTCACCGTGTTTCCGTTCTCGCCCTCACAGCAACATGCTGTGCATTATCTGGCGCGTTTTGGGGGAGGAGGGCGCTCCAATCATGGCACATCACAGGGCACCGTGACCGGGGCCCCTGGGCTCCTTTAGGCCAAGTCTGGCCAAGCTGAACTGAACTTAAGCATCGCCGTTACACTGCATCCCGCGTGGATTCTGCCGGGGGAGGAAGGCCTGGAACTTCCCCCTCCTTTTTCAGAGACGGTTGCGTGCTTTTGGGGGTCAGAGAACCGAGAGTGTGCAGGTTCCGCCTTGGTGGCTTTTGGCAGCCTGTTCGTTCCCACCCAAGTTGATGCCGTGGTCGGGGCTGGGTGAGAGCAATTTTATCTTGAGGTTGAGCCCAGTGCGTGTTGTGATGTTAACTCTTGCCCATTCCACCCCTGAAGGTCCCGTCTCGACGAGGTAATCAGGGGTGGGATTTGGCGGCGAGGTGCCGGAGGGAGCCCTGATGTCCGCCAACGGCTGAAATCTGCCCCTATCGCCGGCCAACAATTTGCCGGCGAGTGACCAAATGGCTCGGTGTTGTTGAGGCGGTTATGGCAGACATTGGTCAGGCATTTCCAGGAAAACAGGTTCAAGTGCCAAACGTAACGGGATCTTTCGGACGTGTTCGCCTCACTTATTCCGTCTAATCAACATTAGCACCAAGCATAATATTCGTTGCTCTCCCACACAACCCCCTCCAATCCTTTGCCGCCCTTCCACCTCAGACTGGGGATCGAACCGTCCTCGCGTTCCTCAAAGATGACTTGCACCTGGGGACCCAACTCCTTCCAAATCCCAGTTGCAATCTCGGCCACCTCTCTGCTGGGATCCCAAACCAACACCTTCGGCAACGCCCACTCCCTCGCCTCCGCTACCGCAGCCAGCAGCAGCCTCTTGACATCCTCCCGCTGCTTCTCCGGCCCACCCCCCTCACGCATGACAATCCTGAGCACCTTCAACTTCTTGTCGCGCAGGTCATGGTCCCAGTAAATCCAGCTAGCCCCGTCCTCCGTCTTGGCCCCGCGATGCACCACCTCCCTCCCGAGCAGCGTCTTGCACACGTACGCATCCCGCGTGAAATGCCACGCCATCTGTTCGGGCGTCGGCAAGAAGGTAACATGCGTCTTCCCGTCCCCTGACTCCGCCAGCCGCTGGAACCGGCCCTTAACCACCTCCACATCCCGGTCGCACAGCGTTGCAACATCCGCCGCGTTTAGGAGGGCCACACCGTCAGGGCAGGCAGCGGGTAGGTTATCATCAAGAGCCAACAAGACCTGCGGGCTGCGGAAGTCCTTCCATCCCAGCCGCGTGTAGTAAACCCGGCCAATGTCGCTATACAGCGCGCCGCACTCAGTCGTCGCGTCAACCGCATCCTGCACACACCTCAGCATGTGGCCGGCCATGCCGCGCTCACGGAAGCGCGGGTTGGTGAAGACGCTGGCGATGGCGTACGCCGCCACTTCCCGGGTGGTCCCACTGCCGCTGCTGGCGTCGCCGCTGCTGGCGTCGGCGACGATGGCGCGTTTGGCGGTTACCTCGCATGCGGAGACGATGGTGGATGGGTCGTCCTTGGGGTGCAGGATGAAGTACTTGGTTCCGCCGTTGGCGGACAGCGTGGTTTCGGAGAGGGCGGTCTCGCGGCCGACGTACTGCCTGACGGTCATGGGTGGGGCCCAGGAGGCGCCGTTGAGTTCCCAGGAGAGGATGCGTTGCTCTGGGGTGGCTTCGGTGAAGACCACGTCGGCCGTGGTGATGGGCGACGAGGCCTCGGGCTCGGGTGGTGGCATGTTGATCGTTGATGGTGTTACTGTTGGAGAAGTTGTGGTGGAGTGCAAGTTTTGGAGGCGGAGACGTCGTGAGCTTCCGATGAGTCCGTCCGGTTTGCGAGATGGTAACGCTGATTCCCAGGGGATCAAGATGTTACTTATGCCCGTCGGAACTCTTCCTTCACCGCTTGTGTCTCGTGTTGTCGTTGAAAACCCTCGGATGTTTCTCTCAAGAAGTCTCGATTCGTGATGTGATGCTGTAGGCACCCTCGCAGGCTCACTCAAACTGGACTTTTTGGCGGCGTGTAAGAATTGAGATAGCCAGGAGGGGTAACACGCGCCGAGTTCAGGGGCCAGGGACCTTCCGGTTCGAATGAAGGGTCGCTCTCACTAATGGCCAGCCGCATGCAGGACAGCGGAGACAACGAATCAGGGGCTCTGGAAACCGACGAGTTGCCGAGTTCAGCGCTAGTTGCCACCTGGGCTCTGTGTTGGGCGTTTCTCTTGAGCTTGCACAACCTTCACTGTGGGAACTGTGAGAGAGCAAAGTAAACTGAATGATAGGTACATAGCATGAGACATACCCAACTGGCATCTAACCTCCATGTAAACTCCCACATCCCAATAATGGTGGACTATGCCTGAATGTCCCCGTCGCCGGCTCTAACTGTAAGGTATTCATCACCCACATCCTCGCTTCCAAGAATCCCTCCCTCGAATACTCCTTCTACCAGATCCCCTTCGTCGTAGACCATAACCAGGCTCTCCACGTCCACCACCTAGGGAATACAAAGTCCAAAATGCGTAATGCAACCTTATGCCATCCCTGCAGCTCTTGCGATACATGCCCAACGTTCGCACGTTCAAGCTTTGTCCGAATGGCCTCTAGTACTTCCTGCTGTTCGGCTGGGGTATCCCCGCCGAAAACCCGGACTGGGTTTACTAGGTCGTAACGTTGCCCGTTTCTCTGTTCTGACATGGTGTGGAAGATGGCCCTGATGCCGGCAAGGCTCAACGGAGGAATGTCCCAGTTGACGTGCTCCGGCATATTCTCCCTCACAAAACCAATCATGAGCGCAGCAACCGCAATAGCAACAGCGGTAGCGTAGGAAGTCCCAGTCATGCGCCTTGTTCCACCGGCTTGGTCCGGCATGCTGCTTGGCCAAGCCCCCTCGATATTCTCCCCCACAAAACAGAAGTTGTCATCGTCCGGACCGGGAAGTTCGGTGGGGTTGAACAACGATGCATTGCCCAGCCCATCGGCCGAGTGAACACAAATCACACCCTCTTGGCTAGCTGGGTACGCGCGAGGGTCGTTTGCGCCACTGTTAGACGCTGCGGCAAAGATGAGCTTTCCTCGGTCGACGGCCTTTTTGATCTCGTCTTGCACTTTCTGGGGTTTGTGGCGCAAGCCGAAGGATAGTGAGATGATATCAACGTCCCACTCTTCGCTCGCAACTTGGATTGCCTAGAATAGACAAGGTGAATCTTCTCAGCCACGTTTATGCAGGGACTATAGGGGTGTCGCACTCCTCAGCAATCTGCTCCGTCGTTTCAAACGTGTTGCCCTCCGAGATTTTGGCAACATAGACGTCCACGTTCTCTGTGAGAGACAGGATGGTGCTGACGATGTGCGTCCCATGCCCACTGCTATCAACGTCAGCAGCACTGCCGACCCAGCTTCGGCGTTCCTTGAGTCGATCTTCGTCAGCAAACTCTGGGTGTTTAACGTCTAGTCCGGTATCCAGCACCGCCACTTTCAGGCGTTCGGCAGTGTCTGGAATGTGTGCGTCGACCAGAGCCTGGAACCGCCAAACCCAGTCATCTGTTCGGGCACAGCTAGCAACGAATGTTAGTAACTGGCAACAACGGTTGGCGGCCAAAGAGCCAACTGGATCCCACAACGGTTGAAAGGAAAGGAAAGCGATAGGAACCCCGAAAGCTTGCTACATCTCTGCGGTTTGATGGGTCATAGACGCCTCTGGGCAGGGTATATATTAAAGGTTTACCTGGTTGGGTCGCCAGATCCCGCGTCGATATCAAAAACAGGAGCGTAATGCAGGGGGCTTCGCACCCTCGCGCGAAATCGTTCCATCTTGTTGGGTTTCGAGAGGGGGAATAACCCAAGGTCCTAAAGATCTTCCGCGACGTTAAATTTAATTGCAGTCTTCGGGGCCCGTGTCAAGCAGGTCCCGCACAAGAGGATCACTCCAATCGTAGAATGGGGAGGCGGCCCGGCCCAGGATGCGACCTCCCCGTCCGAGGTGAACCCTGCAAAAGATCTCTCCTTGGATCAAGGCCTGAGGCACAGATGCATCGAGGCTTGGACAGAATGAGGTGGTGGATTCAGAAATGTGTCTTGCGAACCTCTTAAACGTTCAGCTGCAGATCATTTACTGGCTCCCTACCTATTAGCGACCGCCACGGTCAAGTTCAAGTAAACGACCGGGAATCTGAGAGGTTAACAACAGGTCATTCGACCCACAGCACGACAAGCCATGAACTGACGGCCACAGCGCTTAATCCAGGTGGGCTTTTGGTAATATCATAAATGCCGAGCTGAAGAGGGTTTTCAGCGCCGTCCTTCATTGTCCTTCATTTCTCTTCGCACCGTTCAACAACCATCGGCATTCGGCAGTGTAGGTAGGTAGGTAGTAACCGGCAACCTGTCGGTCAAGATGGCAGACAGCCCAACCCCCGATCCCGGCCTTGATTGTAATATCAAAGTATACAAGATTCTGGCGAATGGGTCAATGCAGGCAGTCGACAAGGCAGTCTCACTACTCGAGGGCCTTGAGAATGACGGAAAGCCCGGCGTTGGTCTACTGTGTCTCGTTGAAGGGTTATCCGAGTCGACCATAACAGAGCTGCGGAAGCTGCTTCCAAGCCTGCCCGATGCCTTCATCAGCGCCCATTTGTGTGACAACCTTGCGCAAATCGACAGCGCTTTGGACGACGATCACTTGTTTCTAGCCAAGTGGTCCCGCGCCGCAGCTCAGCCCAAGGAGGCATGGCTACATGAGAAGAAACTGAGGACGTCCAATAGCCCTTTCAATGTCGACGACGCCAACCCAGCCGCCTCACGTCTGGATCACAAACGCTACGATCATATCACGGAGCCTTTCCGGTCATACAATCCCATACGCGAGTTTGACATCGGCGTCCCATACCAACCGAACATCGAGGGGGGACATTCTCGGACAACGACATCCGTCCTCGATGAGTCGTGCAGAGAAAAAGACATCGAAGGACAACACAACGCCTCGCAAGTTGACGAAAGGTCGACCGTCGCCGAACCGGCATTGAAAACCAAGATATGTGTCCAAGACATGTTCACGCACGCGGCTCAAGAGTGCATATCTTTCTACCATGAAAGCTTAGGGGATATGCTGATAGGTAAGGTCTCCCCAAACTTGCAGACTGCCGAACGTGGGACCGTGACATACCGGGTGTTGACCAGATCTCAGGTATTCTCATATTCGATCAGCCCAGACAATATCGCATCACCGAAGTTCACTACAACCTCATGACGGGCGGCGAGGTTGAGAGCAAGCCAGGCTCACCCGAGCATGCATTCCAGGACGATAGCAGTTACCCCGATAGGTTCATTAGCAACTCGAGACTTGCGAATATGGCGCCTCCAGTGGACAAGATCGTTGAAGCCGTCATTGACACCATCGTAGCTATTGTCCTCGAGGACCAGCGCAAGCTTCTCGCGAGCATCAGCAAGGCTCTGGACGAGATTGAGCTCTCCATGGGAAAGGACGTGAACAGCCCCAAGAACTGGAGAGACTTCCCGCCGGGGTGGAGGAACCATCTTTTTCACCAGTCAGAAACGATTGGATACTTTTTGTCTCGCAGTCCCGAGTCCAACACCGCTTCGCCTCCAACGTCGCACACGCCCAGGCGGGACCGAGCGCTGAAACAGGCCGAGAAGCAGCTCGAGGCCACGATGGCGCGGCTTGAAGGCACATACCAAGTACTCATGTCATCCATGAGCATCCTCGAAAGCGAGAAGGCGATCGAGCAGGCCGAGGTGGTGACGAGGCTCACGAACCTGGCATTCTTCTTCATCCCTCTGACCTTTGTGTCTGGGCTCTTCGGCATGAACCTAAACGAGTTCGACAAGCAGTTGACTGTGGCCATGTGGGTGGGCATCTCGCTCGGGGTCACCGCCGCCGCCTACTTCATCCGTTTCCGTCGCCCGCTAGCTATCGCCGCCTACCAAACACCCCAGACCATCCGGAGCATGCGCTGGGATATGCTTGTCGCACGCATGAGGCGCTGGACGCAGGTCATACGCTCCCTTTCGCGTGACCTCGCTTCGGTTGTTTTCTTTGCTGTCGTGGGCGTAGCCGTTTGGCTTGCTGCGACACTACCGGCCACCGACGAGGCCAAAATCGGCATTACCGCCAGCCTGCAGCTGCTAACACAACTCCTGTGGACAAAAGGACTCACTTTCGAGAACTTTCGTCTGCAGCGCCTGCAACGAGTCGTCAAGGCGGCTCTTTTCGCTGGCATCGGTGTGGCCATATGGGCTATCTCGACGAGTGCACTCCCAGTTGATGCCAGAATCGGACTCGCGCTGGTTGTTGTTCGCCTCCGAGTCCTCGGCACTAGCACGTGGTTTAACAGTATCCAGTCCAGCCAGAACGACTCGTCTACCTGGATTGATTTCCACGACAATTGCCGCATCCGCCTCCCGGTTCACCCTCTCTGGTTCGACGCGGCCAGGGCCATCCTCTGCTCCGCCCTGGGCGTCGCGCTCTGGAAACTGTTCACCAGTCCCCTCTCGGACGCCGCTAAAGTCGGCGTGGCCGTTGGCGTAATGCCTGTTCCCATCGCAGTGCTAGGTCTACCGTTTGTCGTATCTGAATCTGTACGAAGGTCGGACTGGAGAAACCTGCTCATGGCCATGGCAGTCATCACGATCCGCGGGGTGGTAGCTTACCTCCCAATCCAAGCTGTCGTAATCTGGAAGATCAGTACCGCCACCACGCTATCAGTCAGCACAAAGTTAGGCGTCGGAGTCACGTTCAATTTTGGCTTTTACGTTCTCATATTTTTGCTTGGGGCCGCCGGCCGCGAATCCGAATCGGCTAGCTGAAGATCGGGACTCAGACGTAATTACACCCGCTTCCCTCGAGTTTGCATTTCATCTTCAGCTATTGTAAAATACCTACATACATGCCCTATTTAAAGCAGGACAAGGTTGTTTAAAACTATCGTATACATTTACTGGATGGGGTACTTGGTGGTGAGCTACCACTTGCCTAGCTGTTGTACTAGTACTTTCTAAACTTCCGACCGTTCCAAGTTACGAGCAGAAGCCGTACCTTGGGAGGCTTTCGAGGCTAGGGGTTGCCTCTTCTCGGGGCCATCAGGCAACCGCCGCTGTGATTAAGGGGCTGCAGTGGCCCGTCTCTCGAAGCCTATCAGACACTGCCTCTTGCCGCCATTCGCCATTCGCCAGCGCCAAAAGCCCACATCTATTCTGTACTCACACAAAGGTTACGGACACAAAGCTGCAGTAGCAAACCCTTCTGTCCCAACCTCCGCACCCACCTTGGTATTCCAACCCATCCCCCAAAACCACTACCATCACCACCACCAACCCGTCCACCATGGCCGCCCAGAAAAAGCAATACTTCCTCGCCCCCTCCTGGGACTACCCCCCCTCAGGCCCCATCGCTCTCGGCAACATAATCCTCTCCCCCTCCCGGCCCGTCCCGGCCCTCCTCTCCGCCACCACCCTCTCCCCGCCCCCCCTTTCCTCTGAATCCAAACCCGAAACCCTCGCGGGCCCCAACCGCACCTCCACCTTCAAACACAACGTCGAATGGACCCGCGACCAGTCCCTCTCCCGCAGCCTCGGCGTCTGGAGCCGCTTCATCGAGCTCCTCGGCGTCCGCCTCGACTTTGAAACATCCCGCTCCACGCAGGACGTGTTTCGCTTTGCGAGCGTGCGCACCGAGGAGTGGTTCCCTAGCGAGGAGTACCTTGCGGCTGCGCTGCGCGATCCGATGGTGAGGAGGCGGATGGGTGCTGGCAAGGGGGCGTTGGTGAGAAGGGCGGTATATGTGGTGGTGGGCGTCAAGACTGTTTCGGGGGCGCAGGTCAAGCGGGTGTGGACGAGGGGGCTGGCGGCGCAGACGGAGGTTTCGGTGGATGCGATGGGCGCGTCGGTGTTGGTGGCGTCGGGGCCGGCTGGGGGGGTGAAATGGGAGAGGGGGGAGAGTATGGAGTTTGAGGGGGGGGATGACTTTGTGTTTGCGTATCGGGTGCGGAAGGTGTGGTTGAGGGCGGGTGAGAAGGGGGTGGGGCAGGATGATTATACGAGGGGGACGATGCTTGGGGAGTCTCTTGGTGATGAGAAGGAGGGAGAGGGGGTTGATATGGAGAACGTGGTGGTGGAGGGTCTGGACGCTTCAGACATTGGTGACAAGTGGAGTGGAAGTGAGGTGGTGGATGACGGGGAAGACATCGAAGTCTTTGCTCCGGCGACAGGGAAATGAGCGATATTGTACGTCCTTAACCCCCAGGGAAACGACTAAAATACCGAGATAGACAGGGGACAAAAGGACGAGATTGTGATGTGCTTATCCTTTGAAACAAGAGCCACATCGGACCTTGTAAGCTGCGGGAACGGACATGAGCTAGGCGGGATCAAGCCGGATCCAAGGTTCAAGGTGTTAGCTACAGATTGCCACTAAGTAACCTCGCCACCGTCCTCATAGTTTAGCCCCCGGCGTTGAATCGCTCTCCGGCTCGTAATCTCTACTTGGGGTCAAGTCACCCTCGAACCCCGAAAGACCGTCAGGATGTTTAACAAGCAACCTGCGCATCTCTTCCTTGACCCTAAATTATAGCGTGTCAGCGCCCTGAACCTTTATAGGGCTGGTATAACTGAACGTACCTCTCTAATAAATGAACCCGGTGCTCATACATCCCTACTGTCAGTAGATCGTTCCGTCTATCGATCCCTAAATCAGCGAATAATCCAAGGCACACACAAAAGGTCAACATAGAACTCACATGGCATACAACGCAACCCGGTCCTCAAAATCCGCCTCCGGCTCCGACTTGCCCAGCTCCGACGCATACGTCTTCACAAACCCATGATTCACCACCCCCCACTCCGCCCGCACACACTGCAGATCCATCTCACAATGCCCATAAAACGGGCATGGATCAAACAGCACTACGCGCCCCGTCTCAGCGTCCACCTGGATATTCCCGTCCCACAGATCCCCATGACACAGGCCCGCCCGTATGGCCCGCCCGCCCGTCTGCAGCGGCACCAGCAGCCGCGGCACGACGCCGTCCAGAAACCGCTCGCCGAGCTCCTGCAGCTCGGCGTCGGTGCCCCGCATCCGCTGCGCGTATGCCAGTGACGACCGCAGCTCCCGCCCCCAGAACTGCGCCCAGTCCGCCGTCCAGTCGACGACCATCGGCGGCGGGCCGAAGAAGGAGGTTGTGTGGAAGCCGAAGTCGCCTGTTGGGAAGGTGGAGGCGTGGTGGAGGGTTTTGAGAATTGTGAGGAGCTCCGAGATGGATTCGTCGTCGGGGTGGAAGGGTTTGAGGGGCCGGAAGTGGGTTAGGAACCAGGCTTTGGTGTGGTCGTTTGCGTAGTGGCCCCAGGCGATGGGGGTTATGGCGTGGTCTGGAATAATGGCGGAGATGGTCTTTTGGCCTTCGTATTCGGCTTTGGCCATGGGGACGTAGTCTTCGCGCTCGATCAGCTGGGAGGGTGTAAGTGACGGCACGTTGACCACTAAGGGGCAAATCGATGATGAGGTACTTTTGCGAAGAAGCTTTTGGTTTCATCTCCGGTTGTGACATCAATCTTCACCCCGGTTGACCACTGTTTGGAAGAAAGATGGGGGATTAGCACCTCTAAGGGGGTAGGTGGTTAGGGGGTCTGGGATACATTTGTTTCGCCATGTCGAGTCACCGAGGTGACCTTACTACCGGCTGACACTGGAAGCGCTAAGATGTAAAATATTGGACTTAGCATTCCTTCGCTGGTTGGGAAACAAAACTTTCTTCTTACCAGCCACGATGGCTTCATCCAGCAGCATGGTTTCGGTACTCATCGTAAATTGATACTCAGGTCCACAAAGATAAACAAACTAGTCATGTCCCAAGATTATGAGGCTTTGGTCAGGTACTGCAAGAGTGGATGGGTAAGCAAGTACTTTAATATGCGTTGGTGCGCAAGGAAGTCATCAGGATCGTGGTGGCTGTTTCACTTTTGGGTGCTGACGTTGGAACCCAACCGCCAACCAGCCACATCCACAATTGGTTTCTTAAATGCCAGGGCAACACCCGAGACTTCGCCAGAGTCTCTGCCCAATTGTCAAAGAAGGTCATTTGAGCGGAAGCTTTCACGCAGATTCATGAGGGGGGCAGTTCAGGAAATGATGCTGCCCCCATACACAAGGGATGCGTACATGTATACAAAGGCAACCCTACGGCAATTGCACGAGTCTACCTAAAAGTCGATGGCCTCCGACCAGAAGATCCAGTTATCCAGACACGCGTAACCAACATGTCCCCACCCCTGCACGAGAGGTATCTTTGGCCGGCTGAACTCAACATCAACGACTCGCCGGCCCTCGCCATTCAACCTTGGAGGGGAAACCCCGTAGCCGTGAACCCTCTGTTCCTCTAGGACGTCACCGGGAGCTAGCGAGCCGCCGGAAGAAGCCTTACAGGCAGATGTCTCAATGGCAGCTACTCGAGCACCGATCGCGGCCATGATATGTCCATCGGTAGGCCCCTCGCGACCTTGTTCGTTGAGCAGCGTCGTCGCCAACGCACGCAGCGCCGGATCTCTGCACTTCATACTGACAATGAACAGAGAGCTTACCACGCCAGGACGCGTTGAGAAGCGTTTGAAAGCGCTGGTTTGGGCCCGCCGCCTCAACCGCGCCGATGCTGCCGCGTCACTTACAATGCCTTGAAATCGGTCGTGGTGTTCGTCGTACCCCGTTTGGAACGGGCTGTCGACGCACATGAGGTAAATTATGGTTGACGTAAGCTGGGTGCGAAGGGCATAAATCTCGGCCAGCGTCTCCGCCTCTCTCAGCGTAGACGTCGCGGAAGAGTACTGGGATTGCAGTGTCGTGGCAAGCGCCGCCAGGCCATCGAGAACCGAGCGGCATTGGGTTACTACGTCGGATTGGCCCTTGCACATGATGGGATCGTGCGCTTTCCAGCTTGGATACGTATACCGTAGCTTGGCAGCCGACTCCATGAACTGGTATGACCGGTGAAGGCAGAGCATCGCGGCGTTGATGGCAAGCTCCGGGTCACGGAACACGTCGTCTCCGGCGGCGGCTCCTTGCCATTGAGATTCCATGTACATAAATGCCGGCGTCTGGGATATGGCATAACTGCTAATCAAGACGTCAAATTTGGTTAGTTCGTCTTTGATTGTGCTGAGAATGCCAGCAGATGACCTAGAAGCCCCCTGGCCATCTTGATAAGTGGTCAAAATCTGTACGGCCCCAAGAAAATGGGCGAACGCATTTCGTTCCTGCTGGCTTAAGATCTCGGCGCAGGCGAGGACCATTGATGCCAGAGCTAGGGACTCTGGCCCGGCAGTCCCGTTGTTGATATCCGACTGGAGCCTCGTCAGAGCCAAACCGTAGTAATGCCAGGCAGAACAGGGGCGCTTTTCGATGGCGTTGTTGAGCGATGATTCATAGGCAGCCCCAAACGCGGTGGCAGCGGCCTTGACGCATTCGACTTGGTTCGATAGCTGGAGAAATATGCGGCCCCAGACACCGTCTTCTTGCAAAGGATGGCCGTTGTTGTCGAGACACAGTACATGAGCAGCAAGACAACTGAGCCTCTCCGTGTGGCTATCCGCTGCAACGCCCACTTTTAGAGCAGGCCGCAAAGGCGCTGACGCCTTGTTTTCGTGGTTGTACTTGTAGCCGCCACATAGTCGGCCTGCTTGGACGCATCTCCGACACAGAGGCTTCTGCTCGTCACACTTCACCCGACGTGTCCTGCATCAGGTTAGTCGAATCCAAGGAGACACTCGCTAGTCACCACCGAGATAACAGGGTATAAAGACCCGTACTTGCAGGTCACACAGCCTCGTTTCGACTGCGAAACAACAACGCGAGACCGCTTTAATGCGAGGGCGGATGATCCAATGCCGGATATTGGGTTGGTAGGGGGTCGGTGGTTATTTGGCAGCAACTCCATGATGGTTCCAGAGCTGACGTGGCAGGAGTGAGGGAGGAGTGAGCGTTTCTCAGCACACACTCGTTCGGTCTGGTTTCTCACGCTTGGGTGGGTAACTATGTATTATTCAAGACCGAGATGGTTCCCACCCCTGAATCTCACTCACACTTAACTTGCTTAATCCAGCTTAGCGCAAGAAACACCGAGCTGGGCTCCATAAAAACACCGAGAGGAGCTCCACTTGCCGTTCGTGGCCAATCAAAACGCGCAGCTGTTGTCTTTCTCGTTGCATGATACACACTGGTACATACTTCGTACCGTGATACCATCTAGGAGGTTTTATGAGATAGAGCAGGGAAGAGAGGCTTACCAGGGGCGAGGTCTCGTAATTATTTAAACCACGTCGAGTCTTCGAGACAAAGACCTCAACACTCATCAGAATTTTGGCGGCTCTTACTCTCGTCGTCTCCTTCACCCGCCCGAGTTTCCAAAGTTCCATAAGTCCGATACAACTCAGCTACAACGCTCTCTGCCCTGCAACTTTATGGATATGCGGTCTCCGTGGATTCTTGTCCTCTTGCTCACCAGCACAACCGCAGAGTACCTAGTCCCAACCCCTCCTGGTAGATACAATGTCACCTTGACCACTGGGCCCCTGATCGACTACGCCCGCGATGACCCTTACGCCGCGGCGCCAACCCCTCGGGCATTGATGCTGTCCGTCTTTCAACCTTCTACGTGCGCATCCACGGTGTCTGTTCCCGACATGCCCAGCGAAGTTGCCGACTACCAGGGTCCATTTCTCAAGCAGACCTTCAACATCTCGGTCAACCTCTCACCCCTATTGCTAGAGGCTCACCTGCCAGTGTGTCCGGACCCCCTCAAAGTTTCACGTTGCTCGCACCCGAGTGACAGCCCTATCCTGCTCTTCTCCCCTGGCTACAGCATCCCTCGCCTGTATTACAACGTCCTCGCCTCAGCCATCGCCAGCGAAGGTTTCACAGTGATCACCATCGATCACCCCGGGGATGCCAACATCATAATCTATCCCGATGGCCACGCTGTTTACAACAACGCCAGCATTCTAGACAGCCCAACCTGGGACACGTACACCCGCGCCGCTGACGCATCCTTTGTCATCGACCAGCTGAGCAACGCGACCGCCATGGCCGAGCTGCTTCCCCAGCGCGGGCCGCGACCGTTTCCCACCGACCGCGTCGCCATGCTGGGGCACTCCGCTGGCGGTGCTTCCGCTATCATCGCCGCCAGCCGGGACCCCCGCATCCGCGGCGCCATCAACTGGGACGGCACCATCTTCGGATCGCCGCCCCCGCCAGGGCTGTCCGAGCCCGTGGAAGTCATGTCCCAACCGGTGCTATTCCTGTCCCATCAGGATTATGCCGGTCCCAGCTGGCTGTCGACGTGGCCGCGGCTGGAGGGGCCGAAGCTGCTCTTGTATATCGAGAACACGACGCACTACACCTTTTCAGACATGCCCACGCTGCTCGAGGCGGCGGGGCAAGGCACGGCGCCATTCGCGGATTTGTTGGGCACGATTGCGCCGACCAGGATGGTGCGGATCTTGACGACGTATACGACCGCGTGGATGAATGCCGTGTTCACGGGCAAGGTGGGAGAGCCGCTTCTGGAAGGAGAGGAGCCGGGAAGGTTTCCGGAGGTGTCCGCCTTGATGAGGGGGAACTTCTGAAGTGATGAGATGCCTCGCAATGTGGGAGCAGGTTGCTACCTATCTTCCACTGGCCACGGACTTAGCGGATAAGGGGCGTTCAGGGGCTTAGGAAGATGCACGTGTAAATTTCCAATACGTAGAGGTACACTATGAGAGAGTTTAATTCCATGAGATTCGCTTCAGCTCCTCAATCGCATCTTTGACGGCCTAGCTTTCACCCAACATACAAAGTTACAAACACATAGCCCCTACACATACGACACTCCTCCCCAAGTCCACCCCCAGCCACTGAACCCCCCCTAATCCCCCAACGGATAAGCATGCAACACCTGCCCATAATACAGCTCGGCATCCTTGCTCGCCAAAAACACAAAGCTCGGCGCGATCTCGCTCGGCTGGCCGACCCGGCCGATACCCGACTTGGTGCCGAACTCGGCCATCTGCTCGGCCGGCCGCGACGACGGCTGCAGCGGCGTGTGGACGGGGCCCGGCGCCACGGCGTTGACGCGGATACCCTTGGGCATCAGGTTCAGAGCGAGCGACCGCGTGAAGGACACGATAGCGCCCTTGGTCGCGGCGTAGTCCACCATGGAGCTGGTGCCGCGGAAGGCGATGGTTGAGGTGGTGTTAATGATGCTAGGGTAGGTGGTATGTGTTAGTGTGGTCGGTTCCCGGGGCAGGCATGGCGGACTGTCTGTGGAGTGGGGGAAAGGGGTTGGCTTACGATCCGCCCTTCTTCATATGCGGTAAAGCGTATTTGGACATGGCAAACATCTGGAGGATGTTGCTCCGGAAGGTGCTCTCGACGTTGTCCAGGTCAATCTCGGCAAAGTCTTCGCACATCATCTGCTTCGAGGCGTTGTTGACGAGGACGTGGATGATGCCGAACGCGTCGACGTGCTTTTGGATGGCCTCCTTGCACCTGCGATGGTCCATCAGGTCACCAGCGATCAGGAGGCACTGGCGGCCTTCCTTCTCCACCATCTTCTTGGTATCCTCGGCGTCGGGCTGCTCCTCAGGCAGGTAAACGATGCTAACATCGGCACCCTCCCGTGCGTAGAGGACGGCAATGGCGCGGCCGATGCCGGAACTGCATGCCATGTCAATATCACGGATGTGCTGCTAGCAATGTGGACACTGGATAACTGACTCTCCGCCCGTGATGAGAGCTTTGCAGCCCTTGAGCTTGCCGGCGGCCAGGTATTCGTATGCCTGGCCCGCGCCCTCCAGCTTTGTTGACTCGCTGGACGGTTCCATCTTCTTTTCGAGTCTGATAATAAGCAGTAAGTCAAAGGCTCTCGATTCATACTATGGGATCTGATATGGTCTTACCCTGGCAAGTCTTGAGCCTGTGCCTTTTGTGGGATGGGCTCGAAACTGCCCCCTTTGCTGAAGTGGGTGTCTGACATTGTGGATGGTGGTGATGCTTTTAGATGTGACGGATAGTATACGTGTATGGGTTAAGTTACTTCACAGCTGGATTTGACAAATTCTCCGGATTTAATGTTGGCAACAAACGTTTACTTATATATACAACTGGTTAAATCCACAATACAAGTCCCTCCTGCATTGGTGGTGACGCAAAGGGAGCTTTCAGCCCGGGTGCTCTCCCCAACCCATGACGTCAACATATGACCTCGCCGGTTCCTTTTAGCAGATCCAACTAGCAAACCACATAATCGAAATGTGGGTAGTATTCAAATGTCCTTCCATATATGAGTGCCACCGCGGAATATGTGGGGTGGAGGTGACGTCTTCTCAAAAGTCCCTGAGCTGCTGAGGTAGCAATTTCGAAACAACCTGTCTGGCAGCAAACCCGGCAGGCTAGGCTGGTCTGTTTGGATATTCCCAAAGCTGGTTCGTTCTCAAGGTTTCTAGACCCAGTCCTTGGCTAGTTTTAAGATGACTACCACCTCATAGACAAAAGAAAAGCCGCACTCCAAGTGCAGATGTCAACAATGGAAACTTCGAGTCCTGGAATGTAAGTGTAAGGTAGGGACAAAACGAAAGCCATCCTGAAGCCCAAAAAAACCAAATTTACTCTATTTATTTCCGTGCGGCTTCAGGGGCAAGAGCGAGGAGGCCGTACACCTTGTCTCTGGGGTCCGTGGCTATGGTGCGTGTCGCCTCCCACAGCCTCGTTTCAAATAGCATATTGGTGTCACGTTGTCCCGCTTGAACACTCCATCGCAGCTTGCTGATGTAAATGATATGTTCGGGATCAGCGACTGTTGCATATTGCTCAAGGTTGTCCTGAACCCGAGGAATACAAGGGCCGTTTTCAGGAAGAAGCATCTGAAAGGTGCGAACCAGATGTAAGAGGAAGATGTTTCTCAGGTGCCGAAAGCCGAGGCAGAAGCACTCCCAACAAAGGCTAAAATCACCGCAAAGAACCAAAGGATCCGCGCGTGGTAGCGACAATTCTTGTAGGATCCACGTTCGGCGAAACCACGGACGGAGAGCGAGCGCAGCAAGACTGTTCAAGAGCTGTCCAAGAGAGCTGCCCGGTGGTAAGCTCTGGACCAGTCACTCGCTTTCCATGGTCTATGAATCTGCATATTCCTTTACCCCATATCTTCCTCGCCTGGATACCGCGTCCCTCATCACAGTCATCGCAAGGCCATCAAAAGCGTGACCAAGTCAGCGGTGTTGACGCCGGATCGGTCGGCCGCGGACGACATGGCTGTCAGACTTTGTCGTGTTCGTCGTAGAACTTTACGGGACGGAGCTCGTTCTTATGTGAAATCATCGGTTGACGAGGAGGTGGTTGGACAGGTACCTTACCTACGTACCGACCTACCTAACGCTGGGAAAAGGCGGTCGCCCCAAAGTCTGTTTCGATGATGAGCCATTGGCTAACATCAACTAAAAAATGATCGGTAGGGCTGATTTAGGAACTCAGAATCAGCCTGACCGCTGGGTTTCTTGTATGCAAGATGCATGAGAGGAATTCCGGGCCATTCCCTACTGGACGGACTTTGAAACCAACACAAGCCGTCTGGCATTGCTGTTCTTTTGACCTCGGTACTAACAAACCAAGAACCAGGATCACCGTAGCCGTGTTGGCATCTCGATTGGCATGAAGTCGCGGTACACGAAGGGGACGCTCAAACCTGTGGACTTCTCACAAATCGGCTCTAATCCATAATGGCGAGCTCGTGGCCAGCCCCATCGGTCATCGGTTTGCCCCTCTCAGTGGCCTGACCTAGGCCGAGGCGGTAAGAGAGCCCTGAGGCTCACCACTCGGTGCTCGATACCACCACACTGCCAGGAAACAGTAAAAATGCCTTGTTTTGCTGCCGGAGAGCTTACGCGGCTCGCACCAAAAGACCGAACTGGGGCTAATGACATTGGGAGAGATACATCGGCGGTGTGGGGTGGACATCGGGGAACAAAGAGCACTGCCCGCTGGAGCAAATGAGCACGCAGGGAAGACCACATTGCCCCGACGCAGCAATGGGTCACGAAGCACAACTTTTCATTGATCGATAGGAGAAGGCAGTGACTGAGAGCGTGCGGCGAGGTTTTAAAAATGTCAGACCCGTATCTGTACCATGACGAGCAACTTCTTCGTCACGGCTTTTTCGTGGCCTGGGTTTAATCTACGGCGTGGGAGCTATCGAAGTAGCCCAGACTCCCCAAATACCGGGGGTGGATCGGGGGAGCCTTCGCTAGCCGGTGGCAGTCACGAGGTCGAGAGTCGAGAGAAAGCCGAACGAAGTCGGGATGTGATCACGATGCCAGTTTATTCGTTCCGAGAGACAATGTCCGTTGACGCCATCGAGTAACCGGCAAGATGCCCTCCAAAAGAAGAAGCCCCAAATCCATGCTCGGCCGTCGTCCCGCTGCCCTCCATCTAATTCATGTCGCGGCTCCGGTCGTTAAACGCACATCTGGGCCGTGTTAGCGATTGGGCGGCAACGAACGCCGAAAGACGAGTCGAACGCACCATCTTCCCCTCCAAATCCCTAGCAGGAGCAATCTACCGCTGGGCGCTCCAGACGTTCTTGAGGAGGCCGTCGCGCTGGGCGAGGCGGTTGAGAGCATCGTCGCTCTCACCCATGGCGCGGACGAAACCCGACAGAGCGTAGATGATGTTCTCGCCCTGGATGGCGCGGCCGTTCTCGTCGACCTTGGCGACGGTGATCTGGCACGACCCGTGGTCCTTGGACCGGATGATTCTGCCCGTCGCAGAGCACTTGCGGGGGACGTAACTGGAGGAAGGCCTGGTGTCAGCAAGATCGCGGGCCGCGGCCGGGGCAATTGTCGTCGGGCATAGCGGGCTTACAGGTCGACGATTTCGCCACGGTCGTTCTCCATCTTTGCGGCTTGTGATGAGTGCTGCGAAGTGACGGGTTCGGGTGTTCTTTGCGGTTCCGGAGAGCAGGACTGCAGAATTTCAAGGCAGTCTCGAATTTCGATTAGTTTTGCTGATTTGGTGGGTGCTGTGGGCTGGGCACGGGCACGGGCCAGAATAATGCCCCACCAGCCTGCAGGTGTGGGGCGGAAGCCCAGTCAGCTGACGGCGCGAGATGTTCGTGCAAGGGCGGGACCCGCTCGCCAATTACAGATCCACCCCGGCTTCGCCCGCTCTCGAGGTCGCTGCCTTTGTTTGTTGACAGCCCCAAATGTTTACAAACCAACAACATCATAGCCAACAAACGATTTAACGCCAAAACAGACCAATAGTCACACAAGACGATAATGCCCCGTACCAGGGTGTAATTTTGAAGCTGTCGCCCCTCAGGACTGTTTGCGCAAGGGTCGCACGCGCCTGGCGCGGCGGGGTGTTTTTGCCGGAGACATCGGGTACGACCACCGGTGGCCTGCTTTCTTCTCCCGGCAAGATGGCGAATCATGATTCTATTCTCGTCATTTCCTCGTCTCCCGATTTCCCATCGATTTGCGATCTACTTCCGAAAGCGATCAAACAACCTGCGTTGCGCAGCGGCAGCAATGCCGCCCCAGTCCCCGACGATGCACCAACCGCATTCACGAGCGCCGCAAGCATATGGCAATCCTCGCGAGCCCTTGATTTAGAGGATACCGGGATAGATAAACTAGGGCTATCTCGGACCGCCGCTTCCACGAACCTACCCGCGAATTCTGCCCCCCGCTTGTCGACTGAATCTGAATCTGCCATCGAACCCGCGAACCGCGGGGCAGCAAGGGAGAAGGAAAGGCCGAGGACGGCCAGAGCAGGGAAGAAAAAGGCGAACAAGCAACAAACTGAGCCTTCGACGGCCGTAGCCGCGACCGTTGTGGACGCGCCGCCGGCTGCAGGTGCACCGCTCAAGAAATCTGGGAGAAAGGCGAGGCCAACCAAGGACGCGGCATTGGCACAAAGTACGCTGCTTCAGGGGAAAGTAACCAAGCCGACGGCAAAGGGAGCACAACCCCAAAAGAAAGTAGAAACTGTTAGCAGGCATTTCGCTCCCCCGACCTCAGCTCCGGTGGCACCAACCGAACTGGTTGCGGATCCGATAGATGCCCCGCCGGCCACTTTTGAGCCAGCGATGGCACGAAGGATGGACTGGACGCCTCCGCAGGAGAGCGCGCGCATTCATTCCCTCGCCGATTCATCCACGGAGAAAGGACTCTCCTCTTCTGTCTTGCCCCTGCAGGACAACGTCTTTAAAACTCTCCAAGACACCTATGGCCGAGCTATGGAAGCCCACAGCCATGTGAGCGCCGCATTGCCTTCGGCCAATATGGATGTTCTGGGAAAGCGGAAGCTCGTCGAAATGGTAGCGTCCGCTGGGAACCGACAACAGACACCCGAGGCATCCCCAACAAAACCCAAGGCTGTGAAGAAAAAGCCACGTACCATCACGGAGCTGGCAACAGCGGCCTACCGTCGTCCGGAAGAGGAAGAGCGGTCAACTGTGGGTGTGCAACAAGACACCCCACCCAGTCACCCCGAGGTCCCTGGTGAGCAAACGGCGGCGGCAAGCAAGCCCGCAGGCGCGAAACCGAAAGCCGCGAAGAAAGGGTCCAAGCCAAAGGCAACGAAGAGAAAGGGACCACCGCCTAAGCCAATACTCCTGTCCCCAACGAGCGCCATGCGGGAGGTGTCTAACCAGGACTTTGTGTTTGGAACCGCAAGTCAGTTGGCAACTGAGGACGATCCAGTGCTCCTCCGAGCTTTGCACGAGGCCATGAAAGTGTCAAATCAAGCGGATAGCGATCCGTTCACAACGCCGAGCCCCGGAAACAGCAACCTCGCTATCCGGAAAAGACCAGGCGCAGGGCTGTGGGCAGCTGGGGCTCGGTACGGCGATGGGGATTTGCTTGACGCCGAGGTGCTGGACTTGACACGTTCTTCCCCTTTGTCGTTAGCCGAACTTGGGTTAAAGGGCCCGTCCCTGCACCCCGACGCGGCGGTGATCCACAAGCCACTCGTCGAGAATGCCTGTATTGAGATTGAAATGTCCGATGACGCGTTAGATCTCAGTATTTCTCCACCAGTTGGTTTGCCAAAATCGCAGCTCGCATATCCGCCGCGCCCAGGAAGTCAATCCATACAGCGGAGTGATTCTGACCTTGGGATGAACGTCCGCCCGCAAACCCCACCACAGGAACCTGAATTTGATCCGCCGCCCAGTAACCAGGAACAGCACCAGCTTCTTCTCACCCAATCCAATAGCCCGCAGCAAGAAAAACCACCACCGCCACCACCGCCAAGCTTTGAGCTTTACACTGATGCACGCCTCGCGAAAGAGGTGGCATCGTACGGCTTCAAGGTAATGAAGAAAAGAACGGCGATGATTGCGCTCTTGACCCAGTGCTGGGAAAGCCGAAACAAGATCACCCCTGGAAGCATGTCTACCCAAGCCACTATGTCAACGTCCACCGCGAACGCGGCTGCCTCCCCCTCTCGACCAAGGGGTCGGCCTCGGAAGGATTCTGCGACAGCAACGACTGAAGCTGCCGAAGCACCATCACCTACCAAAAGAGGAAAGAAGAAGACGGGCGTGGTCAAGGGTGCCGGAAACGAAGCGCCACAGCCTGAAAAACGGCCCCGCGGAAGACCAAGGAAGGATTCCGCCGCATCGGTTTCAGACATTACGGAGGCACCGGCGGTTCCGAAACCCCGGCGGCGAAAGTCAGTTGCCAGCAGCGATGTTGAGATTGAGGGGCCTCCGGTCGAGAAGCGGCCACGGGGCAGGCCCAAGAAAGTTGCAGCCGCACCTCCTACGAAACGGACGACAAAGGCAAAGGCGCCGGCCTCCCCAAAGCGCGCCAAATCACCGCGCAACAACACCGAACCCGCCCCGGCCACTCCTCGGCGGCGCAAGGCGCCCTCAAAACAAGTCTTCGAAATACCCGACTCCGAGTCAGACGACCCTTTTGCGTCCACCGCGCCCTCCTCCCCCGATCAACAAGCAGAGCTCTTCTCGTCCCCACCCGCTGTAGACCTATCTATCACCGAAGACACCGAGACGTCCCTCATGGCCAGCCCCACCACGGAGGATATGTCCCTCTTCAGCTACATCACGCGGGCGGTTGTTAGCGCGCCGCCGACGAAAGACCCGGCAAACCCCAGCTGGCATGAGAAGATGCTCATGTATGACCCCATCATTCTGGAGGACCTCACGGCGTGGCTGAACGCGGGGGAGCTGGACCGGGTTGGGTTTGATGGGGAGGTGGCGCCGGGTGATGTGAAGAAGTGGTGCGAGAGTAAGAGTGTGTGCTGTCTTTGGAGGGTGAATTTCCGAGGGAAGGAAAGGAAGAGGCTTTGAGTCGGCTTGGGCTGAAGGGGGCGGTGGACGAGGGAGTCAAGTTGGAAATGTTCCAGGTTTACTTTGCGAATCAGGGGTTTGGGGGTTGGTTTCAGCGACATGCTGATTCGCTTTCTACTTTAGCGAGCGTTCTCTTATGTTTGCATATCATGTACGATTCTAAGAATGAGTAACGAGGTCTACCAATGCGTTCCATCGCAAACTCCGTCCTTCCGAACTACCGGTTTTGTCGTCGTGTCGTCCCATTACCCCGGATCTTGGATCGGCGCTGAGTGGGGCGAGGCGGGGAGGTCGGTGGTCACAGGCTGGAAAGCCTCGGCTCGGCTTCAACCGCATGCCAAGTTTCAGCGCTCCTGATGCTCCCTTTCTTTGACACCTAAAACCCGCGGTTACTCGGGTGCAGCTGTCAGGACCATCTCGCAGGATGAACATTTTGAAGCCCACCTTATCTGGGTGCACAGCTTTCTCCACGATACAATCATTCCGAACATTGTCATTGAAGGGCAACTGCTGTCAGGTAGCAACGTATCGCCCGATTTCATCCACTGTTTGTACATTCAGATTTCAAGATCGATTGAATTCAACGGCAAGGGGTATCAGACTCAGAACACACATACCCGTCCCACAAAGAGGGAGCCGGGATAAGAGATTGTTTTCAACAATGTTTGATCAAGATCAAGGCCGGAAGGGTGAAAAGAAGGCGAAGAAGCCGCCAGCACAAGTCCGGCCGAGCTCAAGGTGAGTGCACAACGCCGAAGGCCGACATTGTCAAGGTCGAGTTTGCTAACACATGATAAGCATCATCCTTCTCTCGCCAACCAATCAAGTATTGCTCCTGCACCGAGTGCAGACGTCGAGCTCCTTCGCATCGGCGCATGTCTTCCCAGGCGGAAACCTGTCTTCATTCCACGACGGTCCTCTACCTGCCGTTGATACTCCAGCGCTGCATGAAGATGGCCCGGCGTATCGACTTGCAGCTATCCGGGAGACGTTTGAGGAGAGCGGCATTCTCCTTGCCAAAAGGATAGGCCAAACCCGGGACCAAGGCCTTCTGCAGATCCCCGACGATGTTAGAGAGACCGGCCGGAAGCTGGTCCATGGGAACACGGTCAAGTTCACTGAATGGCTGCGAAACCAGGGCGGCGAGCCCGACGTGGGTATGTCACCGTTTTCACACCTCCCTCATCTCTCGTCATCCTGTAAACACCATCACTGACAACCACCCCAGATAACCTCCTCCCCTTCACCCGTTGGATCACCCCGCACGGCCCGCCCAAGCGCTTCACCACCCAAATGTACCTCTACATGCTCCCGCTCAGCCTACCGCCCAGCAGCAACGACCTGCTACAGCACAAGCAGGCGCTAATCCCCACGCCGACGCACGACGGCGGGCTCGAGCACACGGCCGCAGCCTTCGACAGCACACACACCTGGCTGGCGCGGGCGCGGGCAGGCGAAATCATCCTCTTCCCGCCGCAGTACTACCTGCTGCAGCTCATCGCGGGCTTCATGCACCCGCCCTCACCACCATCCTCACCCTCCCCCAAAAAGGACACGGAACCCACCCCGGCATCAGCAGAGGACTACCACGCCCAGCGCACCGCCCTGCTCGCCTTCCTGCACCGCACGCCCACATCATCCCCATCCCTCATGGACGACGACGCCACGGACGACGGCAACGACGCGCGCACCAGCACCAGCACTATCCCGTGGTCGGACAAGGTCATGAGCCCGTCGATGCTGTTCGTGCGGCGGCGCGACGGCCGCGTGGTGCTGGGGCTGGACAAGCCGGGGCCGGAGCTGCGCGGCAGCGGGCGCGGCGGGGACGCGGAGCGCGTCGTGCTGGTGCGCTTTGTGGGCGGCGGGCCGAGGGAGGTGGAGGTTAGGGGGCGGGAGGAGGTGGTTAGGGAGGAGAGGGTTGAGGATGGGGAGGAGGGGGAGGAGGATGGTGGGGGGGAGGGGACGGGGTCGAAGTTGTGAGGAAAGCGGGATGGAAACGAGGTGGTTTTGGTTGGGGTGGGCATTTCCATGGGCGGTTGTGGAGGATGGAATTTGCCGAGTCCGGCTTGGAGGCAACTGCGGGTGGGGCCGGGGGTTGAGTCACCCACCGGCTTTGGTGCGGGAGAGCGGGGTCCGGGACGGGGCCGGGCGGGGAGATCGCTGGCTGCTGAGTCCGAGTCGGATGTCAGACTTCGCGCAATGGCACGCTACAATGCGGGGAAAAGTCCTAGAGAGAGGCTGCCTTGCAGTTGTTGAGAGATTGGCGTTCGGTCACATCCCTGTTGCTGATGCCTGCATCGCCTTGTGACAGAATTCCTCGAAGGCGGCTGCATGCTCCTGGATGCGAAATCGCGGTGTCAAATCCGGCATGGAATGCGCGGAAGCGGAGCAGAGGAAGCCGGCTGCCTCCCGGTTTCTCCCAGTTGCTTCCATCGGCATCGGAGAGCTGCAGGGCGCCCTGCCACAGGCGGCCGTGCTTGGCGCACCGCGCACCACCCACCGCCCTCGATTTCGTTGACTTGGTCGGATGGAAGTTCTGCCTAACCAAACAGAAAGAGAAAAAGAGGACCGCAACGATTCCCGGTGACGAGTCACAGTTTAGGAACCCCGTTGTCTTTTTGATCCACATTTTTGTGCATTTCCAAGTGATTGGTGTTTTCTTGGGATTTGAGGACGACGAGTCGCCTGCTGCCTAGCTCAGTGATGTGTTCTTTCCTTACTCACTGCTCAAGACGGGAAACAGTGCGCTCAAGTTCTGACCGCTTTGCATTGGCGCCTGCGCAGCCTCGTTCATGCAAGGACTCGGTCCTTGTCGCCTGTTCGCCTGTTCGCCTGTCAGGTTCAGGCTCACCCTCAATCCTTCCACCACCGAATACGGTATCAATAGGTACCCAAACCGATCTTATAAAAGATTCACCCTTCCCACCATCAACACCCATATTTTTCCCTCTCATCTCCGCATGAGAATTATTGACCCTCGCATTCACGGTTCAACAACCACTCGGTCAAATCCCGTTCACTTCAATATTTACCCCAACTCGATCGATACCTGGATTTCATCTGACCCAGACCCGGGTCAGCATTACACCGACCAACCATCATCATTATGGCGCCCGGAGCCCTCAGCGAGACTCCCTCTGCGGCAGTCGAGGAGGCTCGCCAGAGGATCGAAGTGATTAGCATCAACGGCAAAAAGGTTGAGGACGCCGTCAACGGTACCAACGGTGTCAATGACGAGAAGCCAGTAAATGGTGAATCCCAGACGGAGGAGAAGGCAGAGAAAGATGAGACTACAGACGAGGCCAAGGCCGACGGGGAGAATGACAGCAAAGACGAGACCACCGAGCCCGAGGATGAGACAATGAAGTGCGAGATCAAGCATCTTGACAGGCGGTATGATGACGACGACGAGGCCTACTTTGCCGAGCGCAAGACCGAGGTTGAGAAGCCGAAGCAGAAGGACTGGTGGCGCCTGTTTGCTTTTTGCATGGTCCGCACCTACGACTCGGACGATGAGCTCGACGGAACGAGCCTCTATGTCAACCCTCAACCACTCCGCCAGCTCCTCTTCGACGTTATCGGCAAGTACCCCGGAAATCCCATCGACGTGGACGATGTTCAGATCGAAGCACCGTACCATTCTCTGTTTTACTACCGCACCAAGCTTGAGACGGAGGGCCTTGAGCGCTTCGCCGAGGACCCGGAGTCCCTCGAGCAGCTCAAGTTGCTCCTGAATTGGATCAAGACGCACTTCGAGCTCGACATTGCCGCCTACGAGCGGTGCACCTCCCAGCCGCACAAGGTCATCGCTTACGACAGGCTCTGGACCCTTTTCCCTCCCGGAACCATCGCTTACTGCAAGCTTTTGTCGCAAAACCGTGCGTTCCGCATCAACGACACGTACTACGACGCGAGCGAACTCAGCCCGTGCATGGGTCTCCGGTCAGAATTTGTCGACTTTGACGGGGAGCGGCTGGGAACTCGAGCCATCGAATTGGCCGTCCCCAAGTACCAGGGCACGAGGGAGCTGAGCGATCTAGCTGCGATCCCCATCGATCTCATCGATGACGCTAGCGACCTCAAGGAGGAACTGCTTGCGCGCGGTAAGAAGTTTGAGGCCCACATCGGCCAACACTTTGTTCATTATGACGGCATCGCCATCAAGAAGACGCCTGAGGGTTACGCCCGGTTCACCGTCAACGGCCGCGTCATGATCGACTGCAAGACATACCACAGGCTGGAGCCCAACGACTCCTTTACCGCCAAGAACTTCAACGACGACTCGACCAAGATGGAGCGGAGCCGGAAGAGGGCCGTGGGCAATCTCACGTTTGCGGGGACCGATGGCGAGCGCAAGTATGAGAAGCTCACAGACCAGCAACTCGTGCTCACCAACGCCACCGTCCGCGGGTACTCGTTTACTGCCAAGCGCTTCTTGGAATTTTTTGTGGAAGACATCTCGGAAATCGAGTGGAACACGGGCTGCTTTGACGACCTGGTGCTTGATGTTGCCGTCAAGAAGACGGTGCAAGCCCTTGTGTCGTCTCACTCGCAGAAGCGTGAGAGCTTTGACGATATCGTCAAGGGCAAGGGAATGGGCCTGGTCTGCGTGCTACACGGGCCTCCTGGCGTGGGCAAGACTCTGACCGCCGAATGTGTCGCCGAGTTTGTCAAGCGACCACTGTACATGGTTTCATCTGGCGATCGTAAGTGCCTCAGCATCCCTTCCGTTTCCGCACACTTTGCTAACACAACGCGCAGTCGGAACTTCCAGCGCAGAGCTCGACCGCAACCTGACGCGCATTATGGACATGACGTCCACGTGGCGCGCCGTTCTGCTGATCGACGAGGCCGACGTGTTCCTCGAACGGCGCTCGCTGCACGATCTGCACCGCAACGCCATGGTCAGCGTCTTCCTGCGCGTGCTCGAGTACTACTCCGGCATCCTCTTCCTGACCACGAACCGCGTCAACACGTTCGACGACGCTTTCAAGTCGCGCATCCACATCCCCATCCGCTACACGGACTTGTCGGTCGACTCGCGCCGCCAGATCTGGAAGAACTTCTGCAGCATGGTGCCCGGCGGCGTCGACATCGACGAGAAGGGCCTGTCGACCCTGGCGGATACCGACCTAAACGGTCGGCAGATCAAGAACGCCATCAAGGCGGCCGAGAGCCTGGCCGCGTTTGACGGCGCCAAGCTGGATCTGAAGCAGCTGTTGCAGATCACCAAGATCCAGGCCATGTTTGAGAGTGACCTGACCAACCTGAGCGGGGTGGACTACACGGCGCCCGGGTCGAGCAAGAAGGATGCCGACAGCAGGAACATGTTCTTGTAGACTTTTCCCTTTCTCAGCTTTCTCTTTATATTTCGCGGCAGTTCTAGGTAATCGGGTTGGCACATGTAAACGGCGTTGGGTTGAGTCTTGACGGGCGTACATAGGGGGTAAATGACATACGACAATGGCAGCTACATTTGGTTTGATGAGGAGGTACCCATCAGCTTACAACTCCAAGCCGTGATTCCCATAATAGGTTCCAGTGCTCTTTCACCTCAAGTTCAAAACCTGTTATTCGAGCACGAAAGAATGCAGAACCCACCAGCAGCAATCCGTTCCTTTCTCCCCCGAACCAGGGGAAATTAAAACGTGTGCCTACGGAATTATCGCCCAGCAATAAGATGTATTCCGTCTATTTTCTGTTGACGAACCAGTAAGTCGGTAACGAGAGCAAGAAGAAATCAAGTCCTTGTCTGCGCTCTCATTGCCGTCAGTCCTTCTCGCCACATCCACCGGTTGCGTCTCTCCGCCCCTTCCTCCGGTCACTCCGTCAGGCCAAGTGCACTGGTTGGACCTCCTTAGCCCTGTCTTTGAGAACCTGAAAGCTCTGGGCACCCGATAGTCCGGGGATGTACGATACTCCAACGTGGCGGCGCCCCCCCTCCGGCCCACGCACCAGCACCGGCCACGAGCACCCGTGAACCAAGTACACGCAGTCGCCCGCCTCCATCCCCGGAGGGCCCGCGCCCAATCGTCCGTCTTCGGTGTGGAAAAGACTCTTGGTAAAGGCGAAAATCCACAGACGGCTGACAAACTGGGAAACGGCATCCTTCTGCCTTGCTTTCAGTTCAGGAGTGCGGGGGACACCCTTATCCGAACTCCAAGGTACGTCGCCTAGGCAGTCGTTTAGCTCCCCCAGAGACTGAACCCCCATGAATTGCAGCTCTTCCTTGGTGAAGTCGTCTGGCCCGTCCATGGTCGACGCGATCTGGCTCTGTGCCGCTTTAATCAACCTCCTTGCGGAAAACCCACGTAGAATATCAGGCGTGAGGTCCGATGTAGCTGGGGAACCACCGCCCACACTCTCGTTGACGGTCTCGACAAATCCCCAGAGCGGTGAACCCTTGTGGTGGTAGGCGGGGGCCCAGAGCCGGCGTCTGTGGTCCACGAGGTACTTCAGCACCGGGAGCATTGATTGACGGGTGGGAAGCCGCAAGTGCTTTGACTCGAGATCTCCGACGCGGGCAGAGGTATCAAGCGTCGGTTTGGGCGCCTCTGCTACAACTCGGCTGAGCTTTGTCACGCGGGCACCAAAGCAAGTGAGGCCTCGCGTCTGAGACACGGTGGGTTGAAACCTAGCCGGGACTTCGATGTCCAAATACTGATACGCGTAGGAAGCGTCGAACGATTTCACCTGCTCGCCGACGACCTCGAAATTGGGTTGCCATGAAGCAAGGCCGTGGTTGTTTGGCGGTCTCGGGTAGAGTCCGATGCCCGAGTAAAACAACAGTGACCCGAGAGGAAGATCCTGACACGGATTTGTGGCCCAGCTTGCGTACACCTCCGCCACGGGCATGGTATAGTCCGGCGTGAGGTCCATTCGAAATATGCCAAACAAAGCAAAGACTTTGTCCCGTGGGTTCTTGCAGCGCCATTGACGGACGATGTTGAGAAACAACCGAGTCCCCACCGGTGCGTGCTTTAGGCCGGCCTTCATCTCGTAGACTTGGGTTATGGGAGCGAAAATGGGAATTGTCAGGGGAGGGGACGGAGGATCGACACCGCCCTGCGCGAGCGAGACTGCCCAGGCGTGATAGCGGGTGAGGGACCTCATTGGGAGGTATTCATCGCCACAGAGGAAAATGGCATCATCCGTCGCCCACAGTTCTTGGAATATCCAAAGACGTTCGAAGTACTCGGCGTTGGCGAAATTCGAAATGGCTTCCCAGTACCTGTTGAAAGGAACGTGGTTGTAATGGATTTTGCACAGCTCCGGGTGATCACGATTCAGCTCCGCTCTCGAGTACCCGTCCGAGTGCAAGTGCACTGCGAGCTTCCGGATGGTGCTCAGGGCAAGGTCGACGTTCCTGTGGTCCGGGGGGCCGAGCCAGGAGAAAACGCATGCTGCCTTCGCGTAGATATCCCGCATCATAGGGATTTGCTTGCTCTTCTCGGCTGGGTCGGCTTGGTTGATGCAAACGGCGTCGATCCAGATCGGTAGGTTGCCACCGCCCACCCTCGCGCGTCGGTGAGAGCAGAGAATTCTCTCAACCATGAGTCCATCTTTGATGCTGGTGCCATTTGGATCATTGTCGTATTCTAGGCCACTCTCCTCGGAGTCTTGCTCCCCGTCAGTGTCTTCTTCGCCGTCAGTACCTCTCCCACTCTCAGGATCTCCCTCATCTTTGGCGTCTTCATCATCTTCGGCATCTCCGCCATCCTCAGCATCGCTCTCGTGGTGCAAATCGCAGTTTTCCGAGCCTAGATACCTTCTAAGTCCGGCGAGACCACCGGGCTGGTCCATCATAGATGACACCAAGTTCGCTCGCCTGATGGTATTGACGCCATTCTTTGCGAAGTAGCGCCAGAAGTTCCGCAGGGCCGATTCCAGGTTCGTAGTCACAGCTCGTTGGTGCCCATCAACCAACACGTTTTTGGTTATACTCTCATCGCCCCAAACGTAGGACAATGCGGCAAACTCAAAGTCGATGTCATCAAAGTCGACCGTGTGCAATGAACACTCGATTGGGCCATCCTCGGAACCTTGGACGATCTGAAGGAGTCGGATTTCACGCCGGCTGGTGCTGAGGGGCTGGTACATTTTCGACTGGGGGGTGATGGTGGGTTTTCATGGGACAGAATTAGAGACCGTGAAGAGAGACCCGGGAACTGCCTATGGTAAATTAAACCTTGAATTACAAAATGTCTTAAGGGACGGAATCTTGGTATTATGAGAAGAAAAAAGATCAAACGACTCGATTAACAACCGCTTGGAGGAGGCAGCAGCCAGCCAAACGACCGGCACTGCGCAAGGCTGGCGGACACTGCCTCACTGGCCCACTGGTGAGGCAGTTTAATTTTGGGGTGGGGTGAGAACGCGAATGGGTGCCAATCGATGGTTGGTGTTTTCAAATGTCAGAATGAACCCTAACCCAGGTGCCAAGCAACACCCCTGCTCATTTTTGGAATCAATCTCGACGAACTGCTGAGCCCACGGGATTTGTCATCCATGTCCCGCGACAACCCTGCCTACACAGTAAAGCTTGCGCTGCCGACGTCACAAGTCGACGACAGCTAAACTTTCGAATGGAATCGCAGGTTCCAAATCCAACCACTGCTTAGCTTAGTATTTCATTATTTAGTTGTCTTGTAACCGCACAATATCCATCATAATAATTCAATTCAATTCCATCTCTCCAAACGCTACAGTCTCTCACCGCACGCAAACCCACTCGCATCTGTCGCAATCACCCCAACAGCCCCGCCACACCCCCACCAAAACTCCAACTTACACATCGCGACCGCCCTACAAAACTTTCTCAACTTTCCTCCCAACCAGCATAGATGACAGCCCTCCCCCAATTCCTCACCCGCTTCTTCCGACCGTTCGCCTCGACAACAGCCAGCAGAATGAGCGCCACCCCCGTCACCATTCCCGAGGGCGCCGAGCGCGCAACGGTCGCCGCGGGCTGCTTCTGGGGCGTCGAGCACCTCTACCGCAAGCACTTTGCCGACAAGGGCCTATACGACGCGCGCGTGGGCTACATCGGCGGCGACGCGGCCGACCCGTCCTACCAGGCCGTGTGCAGCGGCAACACGGGGCGTACGTGCACCAACCACCACCACCACCACCCCAACACCCGCACTAACTAATCCCATTGCCATCCAGACGCCGAAGCCACCCTCCTAATCTACGACCCCACCCGCCTCTCCTACAGCACCCTCCTCGAGTTCTTCTACCGCATGCACGACCCGACCACGCCCAACCAGCAGGGGCCCGACCGGGGGTCGCAGTACCGCAGCGGCATCTTCTACCACGGCGCCGAGCAGGAGGCGGTCGCGCGCGACGTGACCAGGCGCGCGGGCGAGCAGTGGTGGGGCGGCGGCAGCGGCAAGATCGTGACCGAGCTGCTGCCGGCGCAGCAGTGGTGGGACGCCGAGGATTATCATCAGCTGTACTTGAGCAAGAACCCGCATGGGTATGAGTGCCCGAGCCACTTTTTGAGGCCGTTTCCGGATCTGAAGTGAGGGGTTGGTTGGTGGGGTGGGAAGTGTTGGGGTGAGGTTGTTATCTGCGGATCGAGATAACTATTGATACTTTGTGTGCAGAACTCGGAATTGGCGGGCGTTGGTTAGGTGGAGAAGTTGACAGTTTTTTTTTCTTTTTTTTCTTTCACATGTTTTTGCTGGCTACGTCAAATGACTACCTGATACATGAGTGGAAATACCAACGCTCCTGAACCAGTGCGCGGTATCATCCACAAAACATAGAAAAAACACCGAGTAGAGAGAAGGATTCGCTTGCTTATCCCGAACCGCCAAGCCAATGATTCACTCCCGTCCGAGGTATCCCAGCGTCCCGCTTACTTCCTCCGCTGCTGCATCATCAGGATCTGCACCATGCGCACAAAGATGTTGAGGAAGTCGAGCTCGAGGCTGATGCTCTCGTTGACGGGGTCCTCCTTGATGACGCCGCGCTGCGCCGCGCGCGCGTGGTAGAGCACCTTCTGCACGTCGTACAGCGTGAACCCGCCGAACACGGCCAGGCCACCGTACAGCCAGAGGTTCTCGGTGAAGGCGAGCGTGCGCACGGCCGTCGCGGGGAGGACCAGCGGCGCGAAGCCCGACACCGCCACGATGGCCGCGCCGGCGAGGAGCGGGCCGCCAATGTACATGTACTTGTCCTGCTTGGCGGTCGCCCCCACGATCGAGATGCTGCCCATCATGGCGAGGGTGTACAGGCCGGCGCGGGCGAGGAGGGCGGGCGGCGCCATCGTCATGAGGGGCGCGATCAGGGCCGCCTGGGTGGCGTTGAAGACAGCCCAGCAGGCGTACTTGGGGAGGTAGCTGCAATACGTTAGTTCAGCGTTTTTGTTTCTGCCAGATAGCCAGGGTGACTCACTTGTCCGGGTCAATTGCGCGCGTAGCCATCATGCTGCCGATGCTGAGCGCAATGCCACCGATGCCGACCACCCACGGGTTGGTGACCATGATGCGATAGACGAAACCGCTCTGGATCATCTGGTAGGCCGACATGCCGATGATGCCGATGCCGAGACCCGTGTGCATAAATGTGCGGTTGAGGTACGACCGCTCGAACGGCGGCATGCCGCCATCGTCTCTCGTTTCGCGGTTGAACATGGCGTTGACGGTGACCAGAGTGCCGCCGAAAATGGCGCCGCCGATCATGAGCTTGCGGAAGAGCTCCTTGCGGCGGGTCGCTGGGTCGACGTAGGTCTCATATTGTGTCCTGTAGCCGCGAGAGGCACCTTGCAGCTTGGTGAGGATGTTGCTGGAGGACTTGGTGTTGGAGCGCAGAGCGAGCGCCGCTGTCCTCGAGGTGAAAAAGCTGTTCTTCGGTGCGGACTGGTGGAATGCGCGAGCAAGCTGCGGCGCCTTCATGGCGAGGCGCCCAGGGCCTGCGCGGACCGTGATGGTGAACATTGTGATTTGCTCTCGATGGGTTATGGTGAGTTTGGCGAATGCAGGAACAAATGTATCGATCCTGGGCGTGATTCGAGGTTTTGATGTGGAGGAGTCGCTCGGTTCGGAATGACGTTTCGCTGTGGTGGCGTTTGCTAAGCTGACGGACAGGATTGGGCCGGGCTTTTCCGGAAGCTTCCAACGGCTGCGAGGGGTCATGGTAACCCTAACCCTATCCCGGCTTTAGGAGGTCTTTCCCCCGAAGTCCGACTGATGATCCTGTTTCTGAACTGCAAACATTCGAACCATCCAACTCATCTTCGTCCGAGTCAAGGATTTGAGCCTTGCCCTCGTTAAGCCCAGCCAACGTGGCGCAGTCGCATTTCGGCGTTCAGCATTTCAAACGCGAGCACTAAAATTCGACGCCCATTTAGCAATGCTTTGTTGCATACCGAGCTGAAGACTCGGAGGGTTGTTGTGTGTAACCTGTCACCCCATCGGCAAAACGGCCGGGCTCAACCTGGAAGTGTTCAAGTGTCCCAAGCTAACAACCGTCACCTCGGAGTAAAAACCAGCCCTTTTCGCCCCGACTGTGATTTCGGAGAGGGCCACAAATCCACGCGATAATGGGCTGGCCGAAGTTGGTCGTGACACATTCGGAAGCGGTGAAGTTTAACATGGTGGAATCCAGGAGAGTCCAAGCATATTCTCATTTGATCCTATTGATAAACTTCCAAGTTGTTCAGTTCCCCAACAATGGCGCCGTCTCACCAGCAGACGCACCAGAGTTGTGAAGCTCGCGTCGCACTGCTATAAACAACAAGACGGATTGCGCACCCGCAAAAACAGCGTAATCAACAGCCACGAAACCAACCATACGGAACCACTGCCCCAACACCTGCCAATGTAGCCATCCCTGATTTGGAATCTGATTCCACGAAAACCACAACCGCCATAACCATAGAGGAGCGAGCAGGGCGAAAGTGGCCCCTTGTGTGGCAAGGCCCACCAGACTAAGCGCGCCGAGTCCTGAGCCGGGCGTCCGCCCCATAAGGATGCGGGCTTGGGCGAACAGGGCAGCAATGCCGAGGAAGTTCACGATGGGATTGATGAACAGGACGTGAAGACCGCCGAAGAGTGCGAGAACCCAAGTGTGGTTCCGGTCGGTCGAGTGCTCCCTGAGAGCATCGACGAATACAGGAATGACTGATATTAGTAGGAACAAAACATAAATGGCTGATACGGCCTTGCGGCGGCCATGGTCGGTGTTGGAACGCCACGCGAGGCATGTAGCGAAACTGGGTTGGCCGTGCGGTTAGAAAAAGGAGGTTGTCCAAACACACGCGAGAATAGGTCATCCGCATACATGACGACCCAGAGGACCCAGACCACGGTAAACTGGGCCAAGTTGATGCGGTCGCCGACACTTAGCGGGTAGTGAACGAAGATGTCGACGGGTCCGCCGGGATCTCCGTAGTTAACCACGAGAAGGAAGGATAAAGTAAAGAGCTCGGTTGCAACAATGAGATTCCACAGCACGTAGAAGAGCGACAGGCCAGAACTGTCTTTCCGGACCCAGAGCAGCCAGAGCTGGGGGAGGAAGGAGGTGAAGCTCAGGAGGAGGAGCACACTGTGCCTGTTAGTTGGACTGAAACCGAAAGGGTGGGGCAAACGGACATGCTGAGCCAGTTGGGCAGTTCCATCTTATCACAGCAGCAAATGTGCGAAGACGATTACCGGATAATATGTAGAAGAAGGTTAGGAAGCCGGTTGTGTTGACTCTCAAAAGCCGTGCTATTTATTTGCCAAACCCAAAAAGCGCGCAATCGGCTGCGATGTGTCTATTCGTATCTTACGTACCTCCCAAGGCAGGTTCCCTTCCTCGGGCTTCCTGTATTCGTAAGCTCTGCCAAGTCAGGAATCTCAGCCCCCAAAAGAAAGTGAACTGCCGGGCCCGGATTTGCGTTTTCGCCCTCGGCTGCTGTGCAGTTTTCATTGTTGTCCAAAGGGTGTGGTCCGTTGTGCTCGAAGCTACCAGTTTTGGGATTTTATAGAGACACAACTTGTACAGATTACTGTGTGTGTGTGGTGTGTACGAGTACCAAGGCAAAAGCTGGCCGGGATGGGGAAGATCAGCGACAGCCTGGCGCCGAGGAGGAATGCACGGCCCGCCATGGAAGCATTTTGGAAGCACTCACGGCACGGCACTGCTCCCGATTCAGGTCCGTGCATTTTCTGGGGAACCCATGACTGTTGTGATTTGATTCGCTCTCCTTCATCCAGGTAATTTTCACCCCTCCCGGACTGAAACTGACGGGTGTGAGGGGCTTCGTCCGGCTGGCAATCGCGCAATCGGTTGCTGGGAAATCATGGAAGTCATGACTTGCACCCGACGAAGAGATGGATGGAGTCATCCAAATTATGATTTGGGAGGCGACGGAACCGAAATACACAGCAACTACCTCTACACAGTAAGCGCTCGCTGGAACTCGCAAGTGTCTTTCTCGATTCCGTCTGGTGGAGCGAACGACATACACTAATTCGAGGTGCAGATGGTGTGGGCGCGTCCCTGGGAATTTTGACCGCTCCTAACTAGAAAGTGCAGACCGCCATCTGAAAAGCAAGTGCCCGACTAGCGTTACAGCTCCGTTAGCTATTCGTAGATGTCTCGGTACGATTTGAAAAACAGCGCACCATCGGGCAGATTGACTTTTTCGCCGGTCCCCGTACCTCTCTTTACCTTGTCCTCGTCTTTTGTGATGATACCGTGGCGTGCGTGGGTACCTCGTCGTCAAGTCGTTTCGTGTTTCAGTTGCCCCGCAGTCGACCTTGGCTCTGGACCCTCAAAAGCCGAGCGCAGGCGCGCAACCAAACAGCTCCCTGCAACATCCACAGATCCGGCTCCATCATTACATCGCCATGACCAAAACGGCCCGGGCCTGAAAGCTTTGACTGCTGAAGCTTTGACTGCGCTGCGACCTGCGACCCTGTTCAGGGGCCGAGCTCGCCCGGGCAGTTCCTCCCCTCAGGCCCTTTACACAGTCGTTGACAAGAAGACGTCGCAACCACCAGTCGGCGTGTTTTTCTGAGCAGCACGTAACCGTCTGTCTTTCTGCCGCTTTCCGAAGTCGCCCTATTTTCGCCATGCTCAGCCCGCCAATTCCCACCGCCCGTCCGCTGAAGCGCTGAACCCCGTGTTACCTACGGCGCATTAGCCCTATCCGTGGTGACGTCGCACGAGACTGCAGTGCTGCAGCATTGCGGGACTGTAGGACTGCCGCTGGACCGCAGACGGCCCAGCCCGGGAACGCATCTTCAACGCCGCCTTACCTTACTCAGACCAATCTCACCTCCACCGCCATCGTTCCGGTCAGACCTGGTTCCGGTACATACTGCCTCTCGCAAGCTTGGTCGGTTCGCGGGGCTGATCGGCTGAAACCACAAGCAATTGTTCCCGAACCATTCATCCCGACCTCTTACCCCACATCTCGACCATCTCCAAATTCCATCTTGCCACGCGCGCGTCTCGACGTTTCAACCCGTCCCAGCATGTAAGAGGTGCCGGGGAAAACTCTGACCAGCAGGAGGCATGAAGGCTAACCAAGTTTCCCGTCAGACACCGTCTATCTCGAACGTTCCACTTCACGATCATATCACGTTTGCATTCGACTAACACCCAAGGCGCCTCGTCCGGTGGGTCGCCGGCAAAAACCCTCGATACAAAAACGAACGAACGCGATCGACGTTGGTATCTCTGTCCTCTTCCCGTACCCGCGCGGCGGCGTATCTCCAATTCTCGGCGCAAAGTTGATTGCCCCCCTCACCCCAAAACGACGACCAGGGGGCCGGAGGGAGCGCATCAACCGCGGTTCCTGGTGTTCCCGTTTGGGGAACCCGTGGTTGGGGCGGCAATAGCATGAGAGAGTTCGCGCCTAATCTCGATCCAGCCGGCTCTCCGCAATCTACCGGCCAGCGCGACATCGAGACGTCATCCGCAATCTGGGTGCTAGACTGAATTGGGGCAATCGGACGTTCGAGACGGTTTCGCCATCCACCGCCCGCTTCGGGACCTGGGAGGCAATCCTCCCGGCCGGCTCGAGACGTGATGCGACGCAGTCGAACGCCCCCAGCGGCATCGCCCTACCGCGCCCTCGCCCACCATCACGCACAATATGGCGCCGGGGCCCAGACAGGACAGCAGGCGCGTGACTCCGTGTCATCTGTCCTCCGGTCCTTCAACGTCGAGACAAACCCGACACGACCTATGCGCCCATCCCCCTTGACGGCCTCGACCATCTCGGACATGCCCCTCGACTTGGTCGACCGCATCCGATCATTCCCGCTCTTCATGTCCGCCCCGGACGATTTCCTCGCCGCAATTGGCGCTCACCTGCGCCCTCAGATCCATTCTGCACACGACCACATACTTACCGAGGGAGATGACGCAAAAGCGATGTACTGGCTGGTCCGCGGCGTCGTTGCTGTCACGTCTCGCGACGGGGAGGCGGTTTATGCGGAGCTCAAACCTGGCGCCTTTTTCGGCGAGATCGGTGTGCTTATGGATATGCCGAGGACGGCAACCATTATTGCGAGGACCAAATGTTTGTTGGTCGTGCTAAAGAAGGAGGACTTGCAGGCCGAGCTACCCAACTTCCCCAAGATGGAGCGGACAATCAGACAAGAAGCGCAGGAGAGGTTAGCCATTCTCAAAAAAAAGCGGCAAGAGGGAGGGCAGACTGGCAAACTTCCAGATACCAGCGCCGCGAATCTTGCGCGGGAGGCGGCGCCTGGCGAAGTCAGCACGGGAGATGTGGGAGTCATCAAGGAGGGAGGGGTGGTGAACACCAAAAAACGCAAGTCACCAAGCCCGGGGGTGGTTGAAGACCCGGCAATCGGCGGTAGTGCACTCGGGAGTGGCTACGTCAACGTCCGCAAAACGCTCAAGGAGCTTCCCCTATTCGCGACCCTCCCGGTCGACATTTTGCATTTCCTCGGGCTCAGCGCCCAGCCCAAATCCTACCCGCCGTTTACCGACATTATTCGGCAGGGCGCCCCCGGTAACGACATCTTCTTTATTGTCCGCGGCGAGGCGGAGGTGGTGCAAGAACCGCAGAGCCCCACGCTCAGGCGGACAACGAGAGCAACCTACTCGCGCCCGAGGTTGAAGCAGGGGCAGTATTTCGGGGAGGTGGCGAGCCTGGGTCTCTCTCAGTGGAGAACGGCGACAGTGCGGGCTGTTTCTGATGTCGAATGTCTCATAATCCCCGGCGAGGTAGTCGACGAACTGTGGAGAAGGTGTCCGCCCGAGGTCAAGTCCCAGGTGGAGGAGACCGCCAGGGAGCGTTTCCAGCCAGAAGACGTGGAGATGAAGGATGTAGAAGCAAACGGGAACCAAACAAGAGCGGTGGAACAAGCGGCCCCCACGGTTACGTTCAGCATCCCGGCGAAACCGGTCTCGCCACCCCTAGAGGAGGAAGACACTCGGCGGCCGTCCGACCCCGACCCGTATTTGAGTGTCGACATGGAGAACCTTCGGAATAGGCGCCGCAATTCTCTCGCTCCGCCGACTCCGCAGACGGATTGCAGTGTCATCGTGGGCGGGATCAAGGTGCCACCGGTCACACCCGCCCCGCCTCTGCTATCCCCCATATCGCTCGACGACTCTCCCCTACCCGCCAAACGCGCACGCATCTTTCCGCAGGTCGAGGGGGCCAAAGGAAAGGAAACTGGCACATTCCCCGACATCGTTTGGATCGTCATCTTCAACCACCTCGATCTACTCGAAATGATCCGCCTCAGGAGCGTCTGCAAGAAGTGGCGCCAGATGCTGACGACCAGCCCCGAGCTTTGCACGCGCGTCGACCTCGGCCGGATCAACCGTCAGGTCGATGACTGGTCCCTGACCAACATCCTCGCCCCGTTCATCGGCACGCGCGCGATCGAGATGGACATCAGCAACTGCTTCCACATCACGGACCAGGGGTTTCAGGCGCTGTGGAAGTCCTGCGGCAAGAACATCAAGATTTGGCGTATGCGCAGCGTCTGGGACGTGTCAGCCTCCCAGATCCTCGAGATGAGCGAGTGCGCCAAGGGCCTCGAGGAGATCGACTGGAGCAACTGCCGCAAAGTCGGCGACAACCTGCTCGCGAGGGTAGTCGGCTGGGTCGTGCCCAACCCGCCCCCCTCCCGCGACGGCGGCGCCAACAAAAACGTCGTCATCGCCCCGTCCGGCGCCAAACCCCGCCGCGGCCAGCGCACCCAACCGGGCCCGCCCGCCGCCCAACCGACGCCACCTCCCCCGGGCACCGTCATCGGCTGCCCGCAACTCCGCCGCCTCAACCTCTCCTACTGCAAGCACGTCACCGACCGCTCCATGGCCCACCTCGCGGCGCACGCCTCCTCCCGACTCCAATCCCTCAGCCTAACCCGCTGCACGTCGGTCACAGACGCCGGGTTCCAGGCCTGGGCGCCCTATCGCTTCGCCCGCCTCACCCACCTCTGCCTCGCCGACTGCACCTACCTGTCGGACAACAGCGTCGTCGCCCTCGTCGGCGCCGCCAAGGCGCTCACCCACCTCGACCTGTCCTTCTGCTGCGCGCTGTCGGACACGGCGACCGAGGTCGTTGCGCTGGGCTTGCCCGCGCTGAGGGAGCTGCGCATGGCGTTTTGTGGGAGCGCCGTCAGTGATGCGAGTCTGGGGTGCGTCGCGCTGCATCTGAATGAGCTGCGCGGGTTGAGTGTGAGGGGTTGTGTGCGCGTGACGGGGAATGGGGTCGAGAATGTGCTGGAGGGGTGCTCGCGGCTGGAGTGGGTGGATGTGAGCCAGTGTAAGAACTTGGGGGGGTGGTTGGTGGGTGGCGGGGTGTCTCGGTGGGGGTTTGATGAGCGGCGCGGGGAGGGCGGGAAGGAGGGGGAGTGGGTTATTGAGCCTGGTCCTGGTGGTGGTGGTGGGGGACCGATCACCGCGCGGGCGGCGCTGGTGCAGGCGCAGGGCGGGAAGATTGGGCTTGGGGGGGTTGGTGGCGGTCTGCAGAAGATGATTGCGGGCGGGATGAGGCCGCTGGGGCCGGGCCCTGTGCTGCGGCCGGTCATACCCCCTAAGGGGGCGCCTGCGAGGAAGGCGAGGAAGCCGGTGAGGTTTGTGGTGGAAAAGGGGCCGGGCGGGCTGAGGTGAGGTTTGTTAATAGGGGTTTGGTTCGGCATGACATGTATGTACAGATGTTGATGACTTGCATTGGATGACGGGATGATTTTGGATGGGCTACTACTACATATGATACAGACGGCCGGCACAATCGCTAGATACGGGGGGGTCATGCATGTAAATACCAGGATGGCTGGTTGGAAAGGGGTTGATACCCGGTGTTTACCATTTAGACTGAATCTGGATTCTGCGTTTGTTAGTATGACTGGCCACCTAGGAGGTGATCGGGTTTTAACAAGAGGACACGCACAAGACACTCGATTAGAACCTCTCTGTGATATCGATCATCTCCGTGGAGTACCTCTTCGATTTGAAGCGTCATGCTCTCCCAACTATCCCGAGTATTATTATAGCTTCTGTAGACTGGTTGCGTCAAGGAACTAACAACAAAAGGCAAACTCGAAATTCGCAATGACAAGATGTGCCCGCGATCCATCCCAAAGAGATCCCCGTGACGCCCGTTACAACTTGAAGCCATTCAACTTTGATTACTCCGAGTCCGACGGTGACGGATAGAGGCAACGTTCACAGTAGCCCCCCCTTGGATCTCTCGTACGTTCGATGCCCCATGTCCGACGGACACATTTGGCAACCGGGCCTGTGGCGGCTGCAGTTGTACACTACCGCCAGCCGTCTGACCACCAGTGTCCACAGGCCAAATAATAGTTTTGTATGTGGTTACACATGGCCTGGAACTCCAATGGCTCGTGAGTCGTAGTTATACCTTGGGTTCAGTCCACCCCAGGCCATGGCCCATAGGTCGGCGGCAGTAACCATGGCTGGGTTCATGGCGGTACTGAGGCTTGCTGCCCAGGTTCCTCTAGAACCAACAGCAACAAGGAACAGTCGGCATTAACTACCGGTTTTGAACCACGTGACACCGACCCTTCACAACCTCAGCTGGGTTGAGCCGAAACAGCGAAACCTCACCACACCGCCAAGCCCCACGGCCTCCTGAAGTGGTGGCGGCGGCATGATTCGCAGGACCATATATCCATCCTCTCAACTCTTCTAACAACGAGGAGCCGGGGCGAAGCCACCTCAAATACTTTCTGCTCCACCAGAACCTGGGATTTTGTAACCGATTTTATAACGGGGATCTTTGACCTGTTCCCCCTCCCCTCTTACAGCTTACATTTTTGATTTTTGTAACCACTGCTGTGGGCACTGGCGGCGAGAATGGATGCCTCCGTCGTAGACCCGGATGCCGCACGCTCTTCGGAGACCCAAGATGACGACCCTTCACTACGCAATATACAATTGGGAGTGCCGCCAGATGACGCCATTGATGCTCCAGTTCCAGAGGTCCAAGCTACGACAGGGGGGCGTTTCAACGACTTTGACATAAGTGGTATTACCCATGTCGTGATACAGTAAGTTACAGTCCCCGGCGCGAATTGTTCGGTTCGACGCTGACCATGGGAGGGTGACGATTTCCCGACAAACCGAAATCTTTCGGTACGTCGGCTACAAATACGACTGGGACTACCCGGGGCCGTTTTGGCATTTCCTTGGAAAGATAGTCACCAAGGCTGTCTTTGACAACAAAGCTGAGCTTCGAGAACTCAATTACGTTGCCGTCGGCAGGCGGGAGTTCATCGCTTACACGACGTCTATGTGGACGGCTGCTGTCGAAGCAGGGGAAGCGGCGGGGGTGACGGCGCCTCCGAATCCGCTTAGTGCCATCGAGGTGAACTTCAAAAAGCCACAGCCGGGGCAACCACTGGAGATGACATGGGCTCCTGCTAGAGGACCGATCACTAATAAGATCAGACAATGTGAGTTGAATTAGGTGTCAGAGGTGCTATAAGACCACTAACCAGGAGCGTGTTTAACACAGGGAATGAACGCACTGGTGATGAAGTTTATGACCAAGTCCCCAAGGAAGAGGAGTGAAGGTGTTGACATTAGCGATATAGCGTTTGTCAAAGAGTTTACATTTGAATTAACATTCTCCCGTTCATGTTTGGTCTAGGGTATTTTAAACGATGGTCGTCATCCGAGTCCTCATGCAGCCATTGAGGGTTTGATCGTTGCCCGGACTGCCTTCGTGTTGGTGATCACTCCTCTGCATCTGGCGTTTTTCGCCCTCACTCCATGTGCCTTGGCCGATTATGGACCGGCATGATGGCCAGCGCCACCGTGGGCACCAACTCGCGGGTGGCCCCGGGCCCATCCAAGGCAGGCGACGATCCCCCGACGACGAGAGCCACCATCTACGCACGCCGAATCACCTACGACCCACGGTACGCCGCTCCCGCCGCGGTGGTGCTCGCGGCGTGGGTCGCGCTGCTGTTCGGCGGGCTGCTGGCCGGGGTTGTGCACCGGCGCCTATTCGCGCACCTGGAGGAGATGGTCAACGATACGAGCGTCGGGCGCGTCGCGGCGGCGGCGGCGGATCCCGGGGCCAGGAAGCTCTTGCGGAGGCGGACGAAGACGTGGGTGGAAGGGGCGGGGTATGTTCCGGTGCAGCTGGGAGATGGGTGGGAAGGAGACGAGGACCAGGAACAGGGTGTTGTTTCGGTAGAGGCCGATAAGTATGGGAGAGAGTTCCATCACAGTCTTTTAGCTCCATCTCGCGGGCCGTAAGACAGAGAAAGCTCCCGGTTGTGTAATAAACAAACAGCGCTTGGAATTATTGGAAAGGGAAGGCTCAATCAGGCAACTAAAATTTCGCGAGGCAGACTCGCACGTGGTTGTGGCCCCCTCTCGCACCACACCAAGGGGATTAATGGCCTATCTTCCTTCCCAATTCGTGGATCTTAAACTCGCTAAAGCACGGAAACACGAAAACTCCACAGCCCCTTCCGGCCCGGTCGACGTTTCTTCAGGCAGGTCAGGGAGTTCCTGAAAGTATAATTTTGTATACGTGCAGGGGCGAGGCAAGCAGTCATTTTCCCCGCACTTAAGTCGCGTCAACCCATCATAGAGACCGTGACAGACACTATACAGTTACAGTTGTTAGCAGACGCCGCTGATACCTAGAGCAACCATGGCAACACAAAAACCGGTCGTCCGGGTGGGGGTCGCCGCCATTGTGCGTGACAAACAGGGGCGAATGGTCGTGGGCATTCGAAAGGGGTCTCATGGTGACGGTAAGTATGTACGTCGTGGTTTCGGTCCAGGCTGCTTGACTCTGACACATGACAGGACAGTGGCAGTTTCCGGGAGGCCATCTTGAGATGGGAGAGAGTTATTTCGCGTGCGCCGAGCGGGAAACACTGGAGGAAACGGGCCTAGTCGTCAAGGCCGAGAAGCTCCTCACCTTGACAAACGACATCTTCAGTCCGGAGAAACATTACATCACCATCTTTGTGCTATGTCAAAGGCTTGACGACACTCAAGACCCGCAGGTGTGTTTCTCTTTGCCGCGCATCCTGGTCCCAGATTCTGTCTTCTTCCGAGTCTTCTCCCCGCTAATTTCACCCAGGTCCTGGAACCTAATAAATGTGCTCGCTGGGAGTGGAAGTCCTGGGATGACGTGAGGGACGTCATTGCCGAGGAAGACGGGCAGCCCGGGAAGATTTTTATGCCCATCGTCAACCTTCTCGAGGAGCATCCCGATATCGAGGTTCTGACTACACCAACTTAAACGTTGAGTTCGAGTCCGAGGCCGCGGCCTGACTCATCCTGTACCATGGGGACATGGGTACGGAATATCTCCCTCCCTACAAGTACAGAGTCAACCGGGCACGGCCGGGCTCGCCGGGGGGGAAACGATATTTGGGCTGGACCCCGGGAATAACGGGCGGGTTATCAAGGTCTGCCGAGCCGGGCGAGAGGCATTGGCCATTCGGGGGATGCTTGGCGATCCTGTGACCCCACCATCTTTTCGCATCAGGCATTTCATTCCCAAATCAACTCTCCAAAATCGGTCATCCACAAAGAATCCCGTCTTCAACTTGCGAAACGCCTTTCCTAACACCTCCCGCTCCGTACATATTTCTAGCACTGAAACACAAGGCGTAATCCCAGTGCGGCCGTCTGAATATTCACAACGCTCATATGCATTTCGTCACGCTGCAGCAGCCGTGTCCTCCTGACCCCGCCAATCGAGCAGCAGCAGCAGCGCTCTGATTCCCAAATCCGTCGGATCCCGTTCCCGGCCCCTCCATCCGCCAACAATACGCCGTCGCCACCATGACCGAGGGAGGAAGTTCGACCGTGCAGCTCTCCGCGGCCGAAGACACCCCGAGGTCAACCGCCGACACTACCACAACCACGGGCGCCCACGATGGCTATGACCCCCAACAAATCATCGCCTTGGCCCGTCACCCACCCCCGGGTGCTTCTGTCTATTCCCCCACCGCTGCCCCGTCGGCCGCCCTCAATCCGCGCAGCTGCGTTACCTGCCGGAGGAGGAAGGTGCGCTGCCCTTTGTGCCACTACGGAGCGCTCCCAACTAACTGCCTAGCCTAGGTTCGATGCGACAAACACATGCCATGCTCCAACTGCCGCCGCGGCCAGATCCCCTGCATCTTCCCGGCCCCGGGCCGGGCACCACGACGCGTCCGCCCCAAGGACCCCAATGCGCCGGCAAAACAGCCGTCGAGCGAGCGCGAGCTGGAGTTGATGAAGCGGTTGCGGAAGCTGGAAGGCATCGTCGAAGACCTCAGCGGCCAGATCGAGGTCGAGTCGGTACGCCAGCCTTACAGTGCGGGAAACTCGCCGGAGGCCGGGGCTGCGTACCAAAAGGATGAACATACCCTGGGAGGGCGTTTCGGGCCCGGGTCCGGGCCCGGCGTGACGAGCGGCAGCGGCAGCGGCAATGGAACCGTGAACCATGACTCGCCAGGTTTCCCCAGCGCGCGGCTCCAGGCTAGGCCGACGTCCGCGTCCATCTCCGAAACGGACTCGGTCGGCAAAGCTTCTCCTGATGTACACAAGAAGTTTGGCCGGCTAGTGTTGAACGAGAGGGGCGTGACACGATATGTCAGCAGCTCATTGTGGTCGTCGATAAACGACGAGGTAGGCCTTCTCTCCTTTACGAAGCTGGGGACACTAAGGATTAACGTACTATAGCTGGACGAACTGCGCAAGGCGTCGCAAGATCTCACCGACGAGGAATCCATCGAATCTGACGTGGAAGCCACCCCCGAATCGATCAGCCACGATAAAAGCTTAATTGAGCACCAGTCCTTCATTCTCGGATACCGCTCGGCCGACGTCGAGCTGAGGCCCCTCCATCCCCTACCGTCCCAGATCCCCTTTATCTGGCAGGTCTACCAAGAGAATGTCGACCCCATACTCAAGGTCATCCATGTCCCCAGCATGAGTAAAGTAATCAAGGAGCTCCGATACAACCTGGACGGACTCACACCGTCGATGGAAGCATTGATGTTCTCTATCTATTATGCCTCGATCACCTCGCTGGACGAGGAGGAGGTGTGTACATGTACCCCAAACCATCGTGCTTCTCCTAACACCTGCAGGTCAAACTCAATTTTGGTACCGAGAAAATCGCCCTGATTCAGAAATACCGCTTCGCCGTGGAACAGGCCCTGGCTAGGGCCGAATTCCTTACCAAACCCGACTTCACCGTCATCCAGGCCTTTATGCTCTTCCTTGTTTTCGTCCGCCGGCACGACGACACCAGATTCGCCTGGACCCTCACCGCCCTGCTCATCCGCCTCAGCCAGGCCCTGGGCCTCCACCGCGACGGGACTCACTTTCCGAATCTGACGCCCTTCCAGATCGAGATGCGCCGGCGCCTTTTCTGGGCCGTGTGCGTGCTGGATCTTCGGTCCGCCGAGGATCAGGGGACGGATCTCACCATCGTCTCGGGGACCTTCGACACACAGATTCCCCTCAACATCAACGATACTGACATCTCCCCGGAGAGTAAGTGTCTTCCCAAACCGAGGGAGGGCACCACAGACATGGCCTTCTCGCTTATCCGCTACGAGATTTGCTCTCTGTCAAGACGCCTACACATTGTCTCGTCCGGCATGACCCCCGCTTGCCCCTCCGATGCCGGAAAGTCGCTGGAGGAGCGCGAGGCGCTCCTCACCGAGGCGTCGCGCAAGGTGGAGCAACGATTGCACAAAGACAGCTCGAACTCCATGTTTTGGGTGGCATCCAATGTCACCCGCATCATCGTCGCCAAAATGACCCTCGTCATCTACCAGCCAGTTTTATTTCCGGGGCCCGGTGACGATGTGCTCTCCGAGGATGTCCGGGCACGCCTGCTCAACGCCGCGCTCGACGTGTTCGAGTACAGCCATATCCTGAACACAGACCCCCGCTGCAAGCAGTGGCGCTGGTTGTTCCAGACCTGGAGCCATTGGCACGCGCTGGCTTACACCCTAATCGAAGTTTCGCACCGTCCGTGGGGCCCCAAGGCCGAGAGAGCCTGGAACGCGTTGAACCTGACATTCCTGTCGCCCAACCCAGCCGAGCTAGAGAAGCTGACGAGCCATCACGCCGTGTGGATGCCCCTGAGGAAGCTGTATCTCAGGGTCAAGAAGCACCGCGAGGCCGAGATTGCCCGCCTGCGGGCCGACCCACAGGCAGCGCGAGAACTAGACCTCAAAGACCAGTCCAGGACCCCTCCAACCAGCTTTGGCGGCATCCCGGCCTCTATGAAAGCCGCTGCTGCCCTCGAGCGGTGGCGGAAGTTAGTGAACTTGCCCGCACCATCACAGGAAGACCTCCAACTACACCAAGAACCAGTGCCCAAAACACAAGCACGGAGTCAGACCATGCCCCAAAATACAATGGGCATACACCCAGCTGCGACCGCGGCCTATGCCAAACCCGAATATATGGAATACCTCGACGACGCCATGTCCAACCCATCCTTCATCCCCACCGACTTTGGACCCCTCTGGGCCTCCGCGCAGCCCGATGAAATCGCCCGCGTCGCCTTCTTCCCGTACCAGACAGGCGACCCCTCGCAAGTTGACAGCTCGATAAACTTTGACCCGACCACCCCGGTACCTGACCTCCAACCAATGGGTAGGACGTCGACCTCGATGAGCTTACCCGCGCATCTATCACAGCATCAGCAGCAAACGCCACAGGGGATGGCGCAGGCGACGCCGAATAATGATGACAACCTCCCGCCCTGGCTCTGGCCGACGACTGGCTCACCGGACATCCTGCGCCTGCCGAGCATGGGGGGCGAGGACATGGATACCAATATGGATGAGGGGTTTGACTGGCAGACTTGGCAGGAGAGTCTGGGGAGATACGAGGTTGAGGCAAACGGGGGACGGGCGGGGAGTACCTGGGGTCCGGGCCTTTAGCTGTGTTATGCAGGAGCGGATTTTGTATAAAAAGATGTTGCTGGGTTGGTTTTAAGTCGAGTGGCCGCGAAGTGTGCCTTGTTCGAGATACCCTAAGAAACACTGTGATGTTTTACACAGCCCACTCTCGCCACCCTTGCTGATGAGTGTTAATTACAAATCCCCAAGACGAGCAGGCTGGCCCCCCAGTTATCCTCATTTAGCCTTCAAGGCATCTCGGCATGGTGCACACGCAACTATCTGGCAGCCAGGACACTGGAAAGCGAATCGCGATGTCGACTGCTGGCAACGGGAACACAGCTGGCTGCCTTGCTGGCGGCCCCACCATCCCTTGTGCTCGCATGATCCGCCGGCGCTCGTGGTGCCAGGGCCGGGCGAGGCCGCCTCCTGTTTGTTTCCTGGCGCGGACGCACCCGGGCTCTTTTTGTTGCCAGGGGCGGACGGGTTCGGCTTCTTTTTTTTCTTGCCAGCCTTTGCGGCCGGCCGAGGCTGCGTACGTCCTTGATCCGGCTCCTTGAGCTGCTCCCCCGCTTGGTCCGGTTCCTTGCCCTGCTTCCTCTCCCCGTTGACCTCCCCCAACCCCTCCCTCGCACCAACACCAACCTCCTCCTGCGCGCGTCTCACCCGTTGAAGCACCTCGTCTATCTTCTCCGCAGCCTTCCGCTGCCGTTCCCGCTCCAGTTGTTCTTTCTTGGCCTTCTCCTTCTTTTTTCTTTCTATTCTCTCCCTCTCCAGCTTCAGGTTTTGTTTTCGTATCCGCTCCTGTTCGCGCTCCTCCCTCGCTTTCCGCTCTCGTTCCTCTTGCATCTTCCGTTGTCTTTCCCGTTCCTCCCGTTCCTCGCGCTCCTCCCTCTCCCTCCTCTCCCTCTCCTCCCTCTCCTTTCGTTCCTGTTCCTCTTGCATCTTCCGTTGTCTTTCCCGCCTCTCCCGTTCTTCGCGCTCCTCCCTTACCTTCCGCTCCCTCTCCTCTCTCTCCCTCTTTACCTTCTCCCTCGCCTGCCTCTCCCTTACCTGCCTCTCCCTCGCCTGCCTCTCCCTTGCCTGCTTCTCACTCGTCTGTCTCTCCCTCGCCTGCCTCTCCCTCTCTTCCCTCTTCTCCCTCTCTACCCGCTCCCACTCTTCGTTCATCTTCCGTTGTCTTTCCCACCACTCCCGTTCCTCCCTCTCCTCCCTCATCCTCCGCTCCGCCTCCTCCCTCTCCTCCCTCGCCCTCCTCTCCCCCTCCTCCCACATCCTCCGCTGCCTTTCCTCCCTCTCTTTCTTTTCCTTCTCCCTCCTCTCCCTCTCTTTCCTCTCCCTCTCCACCCTCTCCCTCTCCCTCCCCTCCCTCTCCTTCTTTTCCCTCTCCCTCCTCTCCCGCTCCACTCTCTCCACCACCTCCGCCGCCGCCCTCAACCTCACCACCTCCGCCCGCGCCCGCCTGAGCTCGCCCATCTCCCGCTCCACCCCCGCCGCCCGCTCCCGCAACCCCGCCACCACCGCCTCCTGCCGCGCCTGTGTCGCTTCCAGCACGATCCGCCCTGTCCGGCGCTCGACTGCCCTTCGGGCGCGCGCTTCGGCTTGGAGGATCTGTTCGGGTGTTTGGGGGGGTGGGGGCGGTGGGGGTGCGGGTTTGCTGCTGCCGAAGAGGTAGCTGAAGGGGAGCCAGGAGGTTGAGGTTGAGGGGGGGGTTGGGGTGGGGGTGGCGGCGGCGGCGGCTTCGGCTTCGTCTTGGGCGGCTTGGGCGTCGAGGTTGGCGAGGGAGGCGAGGACTTTGTTGAGGGCTGTTGTTGCGGTTGTGAGGGGGGTGGTGAGGGTGGTTTGGCGGGTTTGGAGCGTTTTGAGGGTCGCGTCGAGCTGGGCGAGGCGGAGGGTGTATTGGCGGGTTTTGTCGTCGGGGGAGGGGGGGTTGGGGGTGGTAGGGTTGGGTGGTTTGGGGGGTGGGTTGGTTGGTGGTGGTGGTTTGGGAGGTTGTTTCGATCGGACCAAGGGGTAGTGGAAGGTGTCGTAGTCTCGCCGCTTGGTCGTGTCTATTAGCGTCGAGTAGGCGGCGTTTAGCTGCGGGCGAGGGCACATATGTCAGCATTATACGGAGAGTATGGACTGGATGTTCGGGAGCATACCAACTGGAATTCGGCAGTCGCATTCGGGTTGGCGAGGTTCTTGTCGGGGTGCCGCAGCTTGGCCAGGCGTTTGTAGCTGGCCCTGATCACGGCTTCATCCCCAGTTTGTGTGATGCCGAGGACGGCGTAGTAATCATGGGTGATTTTTGAGGCCACCATCGCTTGTCGTCGCCGTCTCTCCGCGCCTGGAATTGACGTGGATGGGATGGATGGTGGAAGGGGGCCCGAAACGACGCGGTTGTCTGGGTGCTACAATGATGGGGTCCCTTTCGCTGTCGGCCTCACTGCAGCGCGCCACGCCTATCAAATCGCTCTGGCGGGTTCACAGACAGCGATCAACAAATGATAGGGTCACAGTTTTGATGATGTGCATTTGATTGTTTTTGGTATTCCGCCCTTTACTTGGGGGAGATGTTGCAATGTACTTATGAGCATAAACCAGATGGGTATGAAATATCCCAATATTCCACCCCAACGCCAAACACCCCCAATGTAAACACACCAACTCCGCACCCGACCCCATTGGAAACCACATTTTTAACAACCACCCCCCTCATCATAAACCCACCCAAACAACCCTCAAGCCCACTTCCCCAACAAACTCATCACCGCCATACCCACCACCAACGCCACCAGCCCCATCACCGTCCTGACCGGCCCAGCGCGCGTCATCTCCCCGCCCAGCATCCAGTCGTGCGCCCACATCTCCACAACACCCACCCACACGAGGATACCCGCCGAGAAGGCGTCCAGCGTGCCGATCGCGATGATGGTCGACGGGTCGTTGCCGTTGAAGTTCTGCAGCACGCCGATGCCGATGCCCATGCCCAGGGGGGTCACCAGCGCGAAGGCGAGCGCGAGCAGCAGCTTCTTGCGCATCGAGACGGGCGTTGGTGCGGGGGAGGCGGGAGGGCCGTCCAGGCTGGGGACGGCCGTGTGCGTGCTGCTGCTGGAGGTGTCCGTCGCCGCGCGCGCCGTCTTGGGCTCTTCCGTAATGGGCGCTGCGGCGGGGGTGGGGCCGTGGCAGTGGCCGTGGCCGGTGGCCGGGGCGGAGGTTGGGGAGGGGCGGCCGAGCGCGGCGATGCGCGTGCCGAGGGCGAGGCCTTCGAACATCTGGTGGAAGACGATTACGGCGAAGAGGGTGAGGAAGAAGCTGTCGCCGGCGACGACCAGGGTGAGGCCGATGACTGAGGGTTGTTAGCTGGGCTGGTTGCGGTTGATAAGGGGCGGTTTGAAGGAAGCTTACGGAGGGAGTGGAAGATGACGCCTGCCTCCAGGACGGCGATGTTGACCATGTCGGTACGGGCAGCGGGGGCGGCATGGCCGTGTCCGGCCGACTCGACAATGCTTGACTTGGCTTTGGCCTCGTGCCACTGGACGAGGCGGCTCCCGCAGTACTCGACTAGGAAGGAGAGGAAGATACCAGCCATGAGAATGGCGGACGAGGTGGCCTCGTACGCGAGCTCGCCGAGGCACTCGTTTGTGAACATGAGGGTGGCATGTGTGTAGAGCTAGGACTTTGCGTTAGTATTTGTCGACGTTGACCGGGGCTACCAATGACTCACATGAACAAAAGCGGTCGAGATGATGACGCCAGTACCGAATTGCCGGAGGATGGTGAAGACGGGGTGGCTCGGCGAGACATAGGAAGCCACGAGGATCGGGCTGAAGACACCAATGGCGCTGGTGGCGAGCATGGCGAATAGCAGGCCGACGCGAAGATTGATGTTGTAGTCTCTGTCGACGCGCTCACAGGTGTTTTCAGCGCCAGGGCAGTGCCTGCGCCGGTTAGCATCCCATGGTGTAGAGCACTGGGTGTGTGGGTGCTTACTCGAAACCGGCATGAAAGTGACAGTCCTGTCCCAAGGGTCCACCCTCGTGGTTCTCGCCTTCGTCCTCCTGTCCGGCGGTATGGACTTCCACCTCGTCCCCGTTGGGGCCAATGCAGAAGCTAGATCATGTCAGGGTTTTGGTGCGGCTGGGTGGCACATATCATCACTTACGTGTCGGGTCCGTGGCTGTGGCAACCCGTGAAAGCGGGTGGGATATCTTGGGTAACCGTTATGGTGGTGTGCACCTCGTACTCAACTGTGCCAACCATACAGTAGCTACAGGGGGTTAGGATGGGTAAGAAACGGCAGAGAGGTGATGATTACTCACAGTAAAGTACTATGCGGATGACAGTCAGTGATGGCAGTGAAGCTCGTCACGGAGGCCTGAGTTGGCGTTGGGCCGTCGGTTTGTGCGGCAACGACTTGTACCTCGCCGGCAGGGGCCATGCAATACCTGGCGATGTTGGTCAACGAACACTAGTGAGGGGAATGGAGTGAGAGCTACATGTCGGCGCCATGGTTGTGGCATTCAGTGTAGGACGAGGCGGTGACGTCGCCCGATATCCTAAACTCAGAAGTACCTGCTTGGCAGTATCTACAAGATGGATCCGGCGTCAGAAGAGTACGTGGCTGAGGACGGAGGGGTGACATACTGCGCTGTACCATGCATATGACATTTTGATACGGCAGTAATGGTGGCCGGGTTAGGATCCGAGACAGAGGGATCCACGTGGGGCGCCCGTTGATGGACTGGTTGGGCAGTCGGTAAGACAGCTTGTGCGAGAGGTGCGCCGGTCGCGGCGAGGAGGCCGTAAAGGACGGACGCCCGGAGGGCAGATGAAAGCCGAGCCATGGTGTACGTGTCCGGGAGGGGAGGGAGAAAACAAGTTCGGCAACTCGAAGAGGGCGGACCGACTGGGGGAGCGGGAGAGGGTATATCAGGTGTGTGCAACTCTCCACCGATGGAGGAGTCGGGGCTCCAGGGGTGAGGAACAGAGAACGCGGGGTGTCTGAGACAAGTAGACTGTGGCTTCGTCTATTTCTTCGAGGGTGCGTAACTAGTTATCGGTTGGCTGAAGGGGATGGGGGGTTGCACAGGGGTCCTGAGCGAAGTGGTAGTGCAGCTCCAAGAGAAGACGCCGAGAACAGGGCGAGCAAGCAAGGCAGTCCCACCACAAGTTCTTTCGTGCCGGGAGTTTACTAGCCCAATCCCGATTCCGTGGTATGGATGAAGTTCAAGCTTTCTGCACGCAAGGCGGCAAGGGCTGTGATGGTCTTGGTATTCAAAGAGAGGGTAGGGTGAGAAGAGGAGGCGTGTGAAGGGAGGAGAGGAGGTAAGAATACAAAAATGACCAAGGTCGGAAGGGGGAGGAGGGTGTCGACAGCAAAAATGAATGTTGCAAGCGACCCGCGTTGGAGGAGTGAGTGGACTCGACCACAATCCACCTTCGAAAAAGGGATTGTGACCGAGAGTTGCCTGGGGGGGCGTGGATGGATGTGGGAAAGAGGGAAAAAAAGGGTAAAGAAAGAGAATGCACAACATCTGATTGGCTCCTTCCCTGCCCAGACTGCGCGCAATCTTTACCCGCGCACCTTGATGGCCGGCAGTCTGAGAACCTTGATGGCTTCCAACCCTCCAGCCAAGACTTCAGCCCCTCCAACAGCGCCAGTGAGCGCCCGGTTCTGTGCCCTTTGCCCCAGTTTCACCACCTCAACGCAACCAACGAACAGGCAGCTTTCAAGGTTGACCTGATATCAAGAAAATCCGAAGGAACTGACATCCCACGCCGTCGGCATCGGTAACCTGAAAGGGACTACTCGATTCACTTGATTCGCTCGATTTGCTTGAATTCGGACCAAAGACGCATTCCCGCAGGCCACACCCATGACGAGAACACCCATGATGGTGACACAACGAGACGACCTCCTTCCCAACCCGTGCCTTGTGCTCTTGGCGACGGCACATTGAATGAGCGCATTCCTGCAGTCCAAGGCCCCCCTTTCCAACTTCAGTCTGATGGCGGTGGTTGGTGAGTGGAGGGAGGGAGGGATGAGCTGAGGTGCCCTGCATCAGTCACCAGTGGGCACGCCACATGGCGCATATATCATGCCCCCCTTCTGTGCTTCTCCGTGAGCTGCTCCCATGCTTGTGCCCTTCCGATCTCACGGCCCGCTCCCAGATTCGTCCATCCCTCCATTCGTACACCCGGATACCACATCCCGCAAAATCAAATCAAAATGAAGGCCATTGCGTACGCTGCCGTCCTCTTGGGACTCGTTTCCACCGCCCTGGGTCAGGCCGAGACCACCGGCCTCGCCCCGTCCCCTACCGAGTCGTACGGCTGCGAGCCGCATGGTGATCACTGGTAAGCCGCCTTGCATCCCACCCACGTGGGCATTATGTCGTGTCGTTATGCGTGATGCTGAACCAGTGTCTCAGGCACTGCGAGGGTGCTCGTACCGTTGCTGAGACGGATGCTCCCACTGACGTCGGCACCACTACCGCCGCTGCCGCTACCACCTCTGCCGCTCATGACCACGACGAGGACGAGGACGACCACGATCACGACGAGGACGACGACGACAGCACCCACACTGACGCCGCCGGCACGGGGGCTCTGGCACCGAGCCCGACCGAGTCCTATGGCTGCGAACCCCACGGTGACCACTGGCACTGCGAGGGCGCCATCACTGCTTCTCCCACCGGGGCCCCCGCGGGCACTGGAGCCCAGGACGCCGCCACCACCACTTCTACCAGCACCGCAGCTGCTCCCCACTTCGAGGTTGCCGGTTTGGGTTTCGCCGGCGTCGCCGCCGTTGTCGCCATGGCTCTCTGAATGAGGGGCACTCCTATGCCTAATGCATCTTCATCCTAGTTTCACTCATCAACAACCGAGACTTGGTTCATGTTAGCCATCTCGGTCGAGGAAGGTATGGGGAAGGAGAGACTAGGGAATTACGATTAATTCTTTTCACTGTACAAACTTCTGTAATACAGAATAATCTACCACATATGGCCATCTTATCTTGATTCTGTCAGTTTCCCGCTCTGCATTGTCACATTCTCACTCATTCACCCTCGAAGTCTCAATCATCACGGCCACACATCGAGAGTCATTGACGAGTTGTTTTCATCGACTTCGGTTTTCATCAACTTTGGCGCTGCCCCCCACGTTCAGCTCCTGCAATGCTGGGAGACTGAGAACCTTGATGGCTCGGCCCACATTCTAAAAGCATTCATGCTGTCCGAGCTCACACCCCACCCTCTGCAGCGGTTTTAGCGGCTTTGCGGCGTGGAATTCCCAAAAATACTCAACCTCCGACTGACCCCGGCTTTTCTCACCATCGACAGATGTGCCGACATCCTTTGTTTACAGTCTATGTCCATCCCTTACGGGATATGATAAGATCCTCAAAGCTTGATGGCGCCGAGTCCTGCATCGAAACCCTGAGCGAGCAAGTTTCATCTACGCAGTAATTATCAGCCGACGATCGCACCTGCACTTGGGCTGAGCGACAGATACCCCCGCATTTTCTGAGTGTGGCGTTCCGAAATCGCCCGCCGAGTTGGAACCCTTGCATGCCCCGTGGCCCCGCAGCAGTTGACGGGCGCGCCCACAAGGGAGAAATTTGAGAGGGAGAGTTTTTTGGTGCTTGGCTCTCGGCTTTCTCAAAAAGGAAGCAAGAACACACACACACACACATTCAAGTTGCATTTCGGCTCGACCGGCTCACTTCCTCCGGAATCCGCATCCGGCATCCGGCATTCGGGAACGGCCGAGAGCAACTCCGTGCCCGGCCAGCCGGTCCGGCAGCAATTCAACAGTGCAACCATCCGGAGTGTGGACCGGGCCGTCCTCACTTCTGGCAGCCCTTCAAGAGCGCGATGGCCGCGCGATGAGCGACGAGAGAGGATGATGCAAGCCATAAAGTGGAATGCTGTGCATCTGACTTGAAACACCACGTTGGGCATCACGGGAGTGGTTAGGTCCCGACAGGATTTCGCGATGCTCCCATAAACATTGCGGCTTAAAGTGGACTGACCGCCAACCGGGCCCGATGCAAAAATCCAACCTCCTGTGGCCCTGCCTCACCGCATTTCCCGCGCCCGGCCGTCGTTCGGGAGCCCGGATGCGCATCGAGGGCAGCCCAGCGCCAGGTCCTTGACTCGTTGCAACTTGGGTTCTTATCTTCGTCCGACAGAACCCAGGTCTTGCCGTCAGGTCGACCGACAGGACGAGGTCCGGAGATGCGGGCGAGCCCGCCCATTTGTACCTGACTGAAACTTCACAAACTGCCAACTGACGATGCCGCGTTTCATGGAGGGTGGAACCAGCCCATGTGTGGCCAGCGGTCAGGCGCTGGCACTGGGCTAATGGGCCTGGAGCAGCATGGTGGCTGATTTGGACCGCTGTTTACTGGCTGTCCGAAAGCGACGAGTGGACACCCATCTGCAGGTCAAGCCAAAGACACAACGAGCCGAACAACTGGAGCCGTGCGATTGGCCCCTGTCTGTCCAGACCAGCAAAACCGCCATCGACCGACTGCCAGCGCGGCAGAGACGAACAGGCCATGATGACTCGAATTCGTCTCAAAGGGAGATCCGCTGCTGAGTGTCCCTTCTAAAAGGGCACTCTTGAGGAGCAGGGCAGACGTCAAGACGAAAATCTCCTGATTCAAGCAAGCGCCGACTAACCTCGAAACCCGCAAAGCAAAGAGCAAACGCCGAGCCCTCTTCCAGCCACTCACCGACTCACCGCCACATCTCTCACCGTGACATCCGGACCGGCCCTCAAGAATCGAGAGCCTCCGCAAACACAACCCGAGGGCTCAACGTCCCAGTCGAGTCTCTCAACACATCCACCACCACACACACACACACACACACACACACACACACACCACAGCCAAGATGCCCAACCTAGTCGCCATCGACGTCTCGGTCACGGACGACCGGATCCGGCTGGTCTTCTCGGACCGCGCCGTGGCCGCCGCCTACGCCGCCTATCTCCGCGCCCAGGACCTGCGGCCGCCGCAGTACCAGACCATTCCCGGCTACCAGCGCTCGCCCCAGCTTCACACCACCACCAAGGAGGTCAGCCTGTCGTTGCCCAACTTTATCACCTGGTAAGTAAGCATGAGCCGAGGGCCCGTTACACGGGGATTCCTGCAGTCATCCCACCGCGCATGCACTCAGCAGCCACGGCCGCCACGCCACACATTTGACCCGGTCTGCCCTTACCCGCCCTTGGATCTTGTCTCTAGATAGGGTGTATGCGTGCATGTGTGCTGGTTCATGTCTGTGTGTATGCGTGCGTGCGTGCGTGCGTGTGTCCGTCTGCGTGGCCTCTGTGTGTGTGTGAAGAACAGGGAAAAGGGGCACAAGAGAGAGGATGCTAACCCCGAACCAGGTTCATCACCTGCCGGCTGCCAGACGACGAGGACGCGGTAACCTTCACCTTCATGGACGAGCACGAGGCCCACGCAGCGCGGTGGGCCGACGCGATGCTGCTGTTCGAGCCCGCGCCGACGCCGCGGCCGCGGGCCGCCTCGACCTCGTCCACGGCCGTGGGCGACGAGGACGACGACGGCTACTACTACGACGACGACCACCACAACAAGAGCAGCAGCCTCCACGACAGTTTCCACAGCCACAGCCACAGCCACCACGACCACACGTCGTCGTCGATGTCATCATCACCCGTCAAGCAGCTGCACGTCCGCCGCCTGTGGAACCGCGCGCGCCTGCTCAAGCGCCTCGAGGAGCTGCGCCGCCGCACCCCGACCGTCAGGAGCCGCGTCGGCAGTCCCGTCTGGGCCGCCAATGGGGGCATCGTCCATGGCTACGGTGCCAACGGCGGCCGCATGCCCGTCGGCATCACCGTTCCTGGCGTGCAGAGGGGGGATATTTGGTGGTGATTTTGGTTGGTGATTTTGGTCCTGCAGCGGTGGTGCAACGGGTGATCTTTTTTTTTTGGCTTCCGTTCCGTTCCCCGAATAACTTTGACGTTGATTTTCAATGTCAACGTTACCTCGCCTCGTCCGGACGGCACGGGACAGGGTTGGTTTTTGGGTTCGGTCCAATTTGGGGGCTTCTTTCTGGTGACCGAGCACAAGGTCTTGCCGATTCCTTTTTTTATCAACTGGACTGGTCGAGGATTCTTTGCATTGGAGGGGCGTTTGTCGGCGTTCATTCCCTGGGGCAAAACTGGGGTCCATGGGAGGCGGGAGGCGAGAGGCGCTTTGTGCTGTTTTTTGTTGTCCGCAAATCTTGTCATTCGGCTCGAGAGACCACCCGGCGCTTAACCGGTGTCGGTGGTGCTATACCGAGAGGAGGAAGTGGCATGAGGCTCCGTCCCGTCATTGGCCTGGCGCGCTTGGTGTTGGGCATGGACATGCAGCCGGTCCGGAGCATCCGTGATAGGCGTTCCCAGCTGTGATGACGGCTCGGGGCGTCGATCACGCGATCGCGTTCCGGAGTCAACATTTTCAAATCGAGAAATGAAGGAGAATGGCTGAACCAAAACCAGCCGCCCAGGCGGGTGATCGGCGCTCTGAGCTACTGCTAGTGTCAATATCTTCGCTGCAAATAGCAGCGCCGTCTCCAGTCCCTGTTCCACACACTCGTAAGCATCCCCACAAGGTCCATGCGCGAGATGGCTTGGTGTTGAGCTGGGCCGAGCAGCACATGTCATGCTCCGGTCGCCAGAGACGCTATCGGTCGCCTTTTAAAGTATCCAGTCCATCACTCAGACCTGACTCATCCCGCCACCGCCTCCCACTCGTTCAAGAAAGCCTTGAAACCTTCACCAACGAGGCGCTAGGGTTAGGGTTGACCCGGATTCAGGGGCTTGAAACGGGTCAGCTTTGGTGAGATCGGCGTCTCTTAAGGCCGCGTCTATTATTGTCAATGAACACCACCGGCGTCCTCGGCGCTAAACCCATGCCGGCTGGCGGTCGACCGCCAAGATCGACATTCCCCGTTGCCAACAACAGCGTCGGGCCCCGGTTCGGGCTCTGGGTTGGCAAGCCGAGGAACGCGACGGCGAACGATCTATGATAAGCCAGGGGAAGCATGTCGACCGCTTGGGGCGAGTGAGGAGGACTGCCAGGGAAACAACGAACTTCCTTGGAGGGTCAGGAAAGCGACTTGAATGCTTACTTGAAAGTCAACATAAGCCCCTGAGAATCACGACGAGAAGTCGTTCCGCTCCTGCTCATCGAGTGCCCCGACTACCCACACCAATGTCCAAATTAGAATTTCCAAGTCCACACTGCCGGTGATGGCACCCTCCAACCAGATATACCGCCCGTCATGGAAGCCAAATAGGCCGTATAGGCGTCCTCGACGCTCCTCCCTTCCATCCCGCGACAGACAACCCCGCTGCGAATCGGCACCACCAAGATTCAGAATGCGCCCAGACCTTCTCCCGCCTTTGGTGATCCCCAAAAGGCGTTCTCCGCCGCCAATTCTGGTGGCGAGTCATGCCCAGCACCTTCAGCAGCAAGTAGAGCGGCCATTTCGGCCCTCCTACCACAGTCTTTCTCCCAGAGTCTTACCAAGTCGACCACCCGAACTCAAGCTCGACGACATTGACGACATTGATGTTTTCAACTTCTACAATCCCTGCCTCCTCCCGCCGTCCCCGATCCGCCCGTTCCCGGCCCGGGCGCACACCGATCCCACCGCGGGGCTCCCCGCGCCGCCGCCGTACTCGAGGGACCCACCTCCTCCCGAGCCAGCCCCTGGCCTGCGGAGGTCAACCTACACCATGACCCGGCGCGGCCGAGACAACAACGCCCGACGCAGCAATTACGTTGCCATCTTTCCACCGGCGCGTTCGAGGTCGCCTTCGCCGCCACGAGCCGATCCCGAACGCGAACCAGTTGTCTCGCCCTTGTCGATCCAACGATCACCCTCCCCCTTCTACGCGCGACCACCACCGCCAATCCCACCACGACTACGGCCCCGCCCCGTCACCCTCCCTCAATGGGACGCATCCGGCCCGCACTTCGAAGCCTCGCGGCCACCCTCGCCCGCCGTCGCGCCGCACCCGCAGCCGTTCGCCCCACCGCCGTGGGACGCAAGCAGCAGCATCTACTCTGTGCACACCGACGTGCCCAGCATCTACATCCACGACGAGGGGCATGATTCGTCGCGCGGCTCGTCCGAGGAGGAGGAGGACGAGGAGTACACCACGCCATATCTTGCCGTCAGGCCGGACAGCCGGCTGGGGCTGGGCCGCGAGGGAGATCAAGAGAGGGAGCAGCTCGCGCTGAGGGAACTGTGGGGCGTCATCGATGGGATGTTAGGCCCCGGCAAGAATCTGAAGGATTATGATTCCAATAGCTTTGCTAGTAGCATGGATGATCTGGCCAAGGCGGCTGGGAGTTGGGATGGCATCGCGAAGCAGGATAGTTCACAAAGCGACCAGAGCATGTACGGGGAAGCGACATGGTGGCGGGCGTTTCGGCAGGGGTTATTGCTTTCATAGTCTAGGGTCTCACGGTGGCTCCTACATGATGATACCCAACCAATAATACCAAGCATCTTTCAACAAGCTACCCGATCCTTCCATCTACCAGGAAGCTACCCAGTACCCTGTCTCGCCGTCTACACTACCACCTCGTCTCCACCTCGCTCTTCACCTTCAACCAATCTCTAGTTACCTAATGACTCGACCTCTTCATCCACGGCCCAACCGCCTCCAACAACCTCCTATGCGCCTCCGCATCCCCCGTCCTCCTCAACAGCTCCTCAAAAAAGTCCTCCCCCTGCGCCTTCACAAACACCAAAAACCCCCCCCACACAAAATCCGCATAACTCACCTCCCTCCCCAAAAAGAACGGCCCCTCCGCCTCTTTACCCCCCTTCTTCAACAACCCCGTCGCCTCCCTCAACACCACCTCCGCCTCCTCCCACATCTTCCCGCGATCCACGCCCGCCGCATACGCCTCCAGCTCCACCCCACCCACCCACGCCTTGCGGTCCTCCATCCAAAACGGCACGCTCGCGGGGCCCAGCACCCGCTGCGGCACGCGCAGCAGCATCTCGGCGCCCAGCTGGCCCATCATGCGCTGCATCAGCGCCTCGAGCTCGGCAAGCACGGGCGCGTCGAGGTGGAGGGGCGGGGAGGGGTGCAGGGTTTCGAGGGTGTTGGCGATGGCGCGCGATTCCATGATGTAGCTGCCGGAGGGCTGGCGGATGGTGGGGACCGTGTAGGGGATGCCGGTTGGGTTGGGGGGTACGCTGTGAGAAGGCAGGGGTTAGTGCGGGGGGGATGAGGTGAGATGGCCCGGTGCTGGGGGAGACAGGGGGTTGGCTTACTGTGGTTCGAGGGCGGGCTTGACTTCGGGGTATTCGAGCTGTGCGGTGGTGGTTAGGGGTTAGGCGTTGTTTTGGGGGGGGATGGGTGGGTGCGGTGGAGGCGTACCCATTCTGTGCGGTAGTCGAGGCCCTTGTAGTTTAGGAGCATCCGGGCTGTGTGTCGTGGTTAGACGGGGAGAGATGGATGCAGAGTGGTGACTGGTGAGGTGTCTCGCGAAAGGACTCACTCTTCCACGGGTTGAGCGACCAGCAGCTGCGCTCCCTGCTGGGAATATCGAACAAGACAATCTGTTCCGACATGGTGACTTTGGAGTTGGTGGTGGTGTTGGTGTTGTGTGTGTCTGTGGCAGGTGCGGAGGAGCGGGAAGCAGTGGTTTATAGATAAGCGGGATGGTTGGATATTTGTAGACAGATGTCAACCCCCTTCTTGCCCGCTTCCCACTCCGTTCCGAGCCGATCCTCCGTCCTTCATCTGACGTTGCGGTGGGGCTAGAGTGGGATTCTCGAGAACCGTATGCATAAGATGCGGGCTGCCGAGCTCAGGCTTGCTAAGCACATCGCTCGGCCAATCGGCTCTCGTGTTTATGGTGAAGTCCGAAGCGTAAGCCGGAAAATCGCACTCCCGGGGGGGTGCCTCGTACTATCGGATGCAGCCCGGGTGCCTCCGAGGTTATTCGGTGTTAAGCATAGATTCAAGGACTGCACTCGTATCACGAATCCAACAAAATAAGGTAGCCTGAACACTAATCTGATGTTTCAACCATTGCCCTCAGTGAGCTGTTGTTAGGTACTCAGTCGGGAGGGGTGGGGTGGGGGGGGGGGGGGGGGGGCGGCGGAACACAGATCCTTGCCATTAATCACCGTGGACTAACACTTGTTGTGATGTTATGAGCCTCTAACATTGACCAAAAAGGCATCTTGCTTGTGTCACGTACTCGAAGAATCCCAGCCGCTGGATATAAAGTCAAAAGATTCCCACAAGACACGTAGACCCACTATATGAAGTTCTTTTGGCCGTCGTCTCATGTTGTCATGGGCTCTCCAACGCTCTTTATATCGACTCGTTGTGGTCTCATATCAGTGGGTGTTCGATAATCTCACTCCCGTCACCCGACCTTGTCTTTGCGCGCCCGCATGCCACCTACCACGACTAATCGGACTTGTTCTTTTTGTTGAGAATAATTGGGTTAGTTTGAGAAAGCCGCATCACGTCCCAGGCGGTGTTTGTTTGAAGTCACGAGCCTCGTTACTCTTTGCATAACCGCTTGTGTGACTCGAGGTCACTCACCGTCTCGATGAACTCTTCACTTTCTTCTACCTGTCCACGAGGCTAAACCACGCTCACAACACACATACAGCCACAAGCAACTCCAGTCTAAGAAACACTAGCTGCAGCCATATCATTCAACGGCAATATGACGGTCTTGACTGTTCCCCAAAGTCCGACCGGGCAGCAAATCCCGAATCAACCCCTAAAGCCCCTGACACAGGCGACCCTAACGCTCAGTGGATCGGATAAGCTTGTTCGGTCTTTCAAGAACGATGGACTCAAGGCCGAGATCAGACTCGTGGACTCTGCGCTCGCTGACAAGGACTCGATTCTCACGGGAACGACGGTGGTGACAACGAAAGGTGGCCTTGCAACAGACAACCACGGCAATGTGACGGCGACATACGAGTGGACGGACCTCAAGGTAACCGAACGGGGAAATTACAAGTTATGCGTCAAGCTTGTTCGCGGCGAAGGAAACTTGGTTGTATCGGAAGTTGGGTCGGTTTATACCCCGACATTTCAGGTATACTAATGCATCTTGGACCGACTTTTCAAGTACCCCGGAGGGGGGGGGGGGTGAATTGGAGGTCGACGGCTCCCATTCTCATTCGTTTCCAACGAAACTCGCGAGGTGCGCAACACGCGCACTCCGAACCCAGAGGAGGGGACATCATGGCAGGGACAGACGGCGTCAGGGTAACAGGGGGGCAGGAGACCCCAACGGGAACAGGCCGCGGGCGGCAGGTCCGGCGAGGACCAGCAGGGTTGGGATTTTGGCATTGGGTTAAGCATAAAATCACAAATATTCTGTTTTATCTGTGCTCTCGTTCAAGTAGGGTGATCGTGTGTTCTAAGGCTGTAGAGAAAACCATTGCAACGTGAGACTATTCGCTAATCGCGGTACTTGTCTAGATACACTCTCTGGCAACTCCGAGGCTTTCAGAAAGAGGGAACAAGATGGCATGGTTTGCTTTACGCTCGCGAGTATGTTGAGACTTGAATCAAACTATAGTCCCAACTCCAGGGTCACGGTTGGGAGCACCTGCAATGGTTCATCATCAAGCGTACCTCAGACCAAAGGGTATAAGGCCGATGATCTTTCGTACTGGAACCATAACGCTGGTGACTTGTATTGGATGCAGCCATCTGGTCAAGCGACCTCCTAGGTACCATGGCCCAGCCTGGCGGCATTGGGCACCTAACCTAGTAACGAGTGCCCTTCCGATAGAGTCGTCTTGTCAAAACTACCTATAAGACCCGGCTGACCGAGTCACCGAGGCAAGAGTCAAGGCCAACATCGGATACCTCGCGAATACTTAGTCATAAGCCTTTTTGCGACGTCCGAGTACGCCAATTACCGACCATCTGAACGCCTTTCATAGAGCTAGTTTCCTCCGAAACTGCGACAGTCATAGGTACGCGCCCGCGTTATTAGCCTATAACTATATTTCCATGTGCCACCCCTCCCACCACGGCGGTTGTCTGGTCGTCGGAACTTGTTTAGTCATGATAGCCGAGCGCTTTATCCTCAACCTCATATGTTCCACCATGTCCGTAAGCAGCCCTATTCCGGTTCTTTATACGGGACTCCCACGGTGGAATTTCCTTCAGAGATAGATCAGTTGGATACGCCTGTATAGTGTGTGGACTAAGGCCGGCGAGTCTCTTACCATTGCTTCCATTTAGGTAGTTAAACAAAGATCTTGGAGCAGTGTCGTGCAGTTCTGATGTTCCTTGACCGATGAAAACGGGTCCAAAATGTATAGATCCAAGTATAAGAGTAGGCCATTTTCGGCATCTTCTGGCTAGGTTTCAGAGAATCACACATCAACAACCAGCAGCTTACCACTCTTTCCCGAGAAGAGATAACCGGCCTCATAAACGAAATATACTACTCGCCTACATCTACCGATCACCACTTTGCAATCATGTCGGGCACACTAGGGCAGAGGTTCCGACAGTCTCCGGGCAGCTATATTACGGAGACTGTTATCAATAATGTTGTCGTCAACCAAGAGTTCACGGTGTCCGCCGTGATGAACCTCCCGGTTGGGCGCGGAGACCAGCGTCCCGAGATCTCTGGCTGCCTTTCACTGACCAGGGCATCGGACACGGGGAACCTGGTATCTGAACATCTAGACCGGGGCTATGCCTCCTCAACTGTGGCAGCAGAATCCAGCGTGGTCGGCGGGAACTACGTGATGACCTTCACATGGTCAGATTGCCGGATCCGCCGGGCCGATCAATACCGGCTCATCTTTGTTTTCGACGGCACTTTGCCGACGGGAGAGTCAATCAGGGACGTAAATCATTGGTCGCCGCCATTCTCCTGCAACGACCCCACTCCCATGGTCAACGGGGTATAGACCGATGCTTACGGCACACATCAAGTCCACGGACCCATCGCTCATCCAGGAGTTCGGGAGCAGCAGAGGGAGAAGGCGTTGCGTTGAACGCAGACGATCAGGGCAGGGGCCGGAATATGGGGGCCGCAGGCGGCAGTAATGGTGGACATCAAAAAGATTAGGACTCGATAATCTGGGCAAATGAATCAATAAACGAAACTGGTCGCCCTCCCATCGTGATTGGATATTGGGATGTGCTTCTGAATGTATCATGTAGGTAGTTTAAACTTGTAGAAGCTACTCTCGGAACTTCGCTGTCGATGGCTGGTGGGATTGGTTAGGTACCTAGGTAGGTAGGTATGTACCTACCTACCTAGCTGACCGAGTCACTGAGGCAACATGATAGTCAAAGACAACATCGGATACCGTGCGGATGCCCTTAGGTCTTTTTGCGAGGTCCGAGGACGCTAATTACTAACCCCTTCAACGCCTTTCATAGAACTTATTTCCTCCGAAACTGTAACGCCCATAGCTAGGTGCCCGCCCTCTTAGTTTCTACGATATCCCCATATATCGGCTCTCAGACCTCCATCATCCTTGGGTCGTTCGAACTTGTTTAGTCATAATATCCGAGGGCTTTATCCTCGGATCCACATGGTTCATCACGTTGGTAGGCAGGCCATCTTTAGCCTCTTTATACGGGATTCCCACCGTGACATCTCCTTTGGATGGAGACTAGTCGGATGCGCCTGTGCAGCACGTGGAGTGAAGCAGCCGGAGAGTCTCTTGCCTCTGCTTGTAGTTAACAAAGACCGTGGTGCCCAGGGCGGATGTGCCTCAACGGACGACGAGGGATGTAGAATGGCTAGACCTGGGTATAAGAGTAGACCATAGTTCTGCGTTTTCTAGGCCAGGTCTCAGAACATCACACACCAACAGTCAACAGCCTACCAACAGCAGCCTATCACTCTTAGCCTAGACACAATCGGCCCTCATTAACGGAATATATTACTCGCCTCTACCAATCACCACCTAGCAACCATGTCGACCCTGGCGCAACTTATTAAGGACTCCCCGGGTCAGTACATCGAGGTGTCCGGAACCGCAGACACCACCGTCGGGGCCGAATTTTCAATGGGTGCTACCGTGACCCTCCCGGCCAAAGATGGGGAGCCGAAGTCCAGCATCCAGGCCTGCCTTCTCCTGATGAAGATAGAAAACGGCTACCTAAAGAAGTCACAAGATATCAAGTTCGTTGGGCGACTCGGCTCGAGCGTTTCGACTGTCACAGCGACGAAGGAGGGGGGAGACTACAAGGCCGCGTACGACTGGCAATGCAAGATCAGCGAGGCCGGCAAATACAGGTTCCATGTGACTTTCAAGGGCACTTTGCCCACCAATGAGGAATTCGATGTAATGATGACGACGGCAGAGTTCACTTGCAAGGCCTAGCTTACCTCGGGCGAGCCGGCAGAGGACGATGCTCAAGGCGCACATCATATCTACCAACCCATCACTCGACCGGGAATTCGGGAGTTCGGGAGTGGCATGGGCGGTTCAGAGTGGCGGAGGGGGGAGGCGTTGCGTTGACCGCAGACGACCAGGTCAGGGGCCGGAATACGCCCGTGGAGAGGGGCCGCGGGCGGTAGGGATGGTTGACATCGGAAAGGTTACCTAGGGTTTGAGACTTTAGTGGAAAAGAATCAATCAACCCAACTGGCTGCCTTCGCATCGTGACTAGATGTTTTAATGTGCTTCCGATTGTAATTTGCCTTGACCTTGTCGATGCCCGTATTGGAACATTGCCGTCTATGGTTGGTTATGCATTTCTCTTCACTTTCCAAGTCTTCAGGTACCTTGGTATGATCGGGCTCTTTAACCAATGTAAAATAGGGTGTATGGTGTGATATAGCGCAATGTAACAGTCCCGTTTCATAGGCCTGCCCTCTCAAGCACCATTATTCAACCAAGGGTTGAAAACCATGCGCTCACCAACGACTCAATACATCAAACCCAACAACACCCATCTACCGCTTCCGCCCATAGGTGGCGACGCCGGGCGGCTTGTTATCCAGCACGGCCTCGATCTCCTCGAGGATCTCGGGGGTCAGCTTGTCGATGACGTCGAGGGCCTTGAGGTTGTCGGTGAGCTGCTCGATCTTGGTGGCGCCGAGGATGACGGTGCTGACGTTGGGGTTCGTGGCGGTCCAGGCGAGGGCGAGCTGGGAGACGGAGACGCCGAGGCGCTCGGCGATCTTGGTGAGCTTGCGGACCTTGTCGAGCTTGGCCTGGCCCTCGTCGCTCTTGAGGCTCTTGACCGTGTCGGCGAAGAAGGCCGGGTTGGTCGCGAACCGCGAGTCCTCGGGGATGCCGTCGTTGTACTTGCCCGTCAGCAGGCCGCTGGCCAGCGGGCTCCAGGTGGTGGTGCCGTAGCCGTACTGCCGGAACAGCGGCGCGTACTCGACCTCGAAGCGCTCGCGGTGAAAGGCGTTGTACTGCGGCTGCTCGACCACGGGCGCGATCAGGTTGTGCTTCTCGGCGATCTGGATGGCTTCGGTGATCTGGGCGGCGCTCCACTCGGACGTCCCCCAGTAGTAGGCCAGGTTGAGGTTGCGGATCGCCTGGGTGAAGGCCTCGACGATCTCGAGCATGGGTGTGGCGGCGTCGGCGCGGTGGGCGAATACGACGTCGACGTAGGGGGTCTGGAGGCGGGCGACAGACGACTTGAGGCCCTCGATGATGTGCTTGCGGCTGAGACCTCTGGTGTTGGGTTCCTCACGGGCGGTGCCGAAGAAGATCTTGGTGGTCAGAACGTACTCGTCGCGGGGCCAGGCGAGCTCCTTGAGGGCCGCGCCCATCTCGACCTCGGACCCGCCGGCGGCGTAGCCTTCGGCGGTATCGAAAGTTTGCTGGGAGGGGGTTACGAGGTTAGTTTGGAGATACTCAAAGACTTGGGCAAGCTAGAGTAGACAAGTATCACATACCACACCATGGTCCCAGGCAGTCTGGAGAATCTCCTTGACGATGCTGCCCTTCTGGGTACCGCCGTAGGTCAACCAGCCGCCGAGCGAGAAGACCGACACCTGGAGACCCGTGTTGCCCAGGTAGCGGAACTTCATGTTCTTGGGGCTGTAGGCGGTGGGAACTACCGGTTCAGACATGGCGGCGGTTGGTGTTTGGTTACTTTGGCTTTCGTGAAGTTTCGGGGGTTGAATTAGGTCGTTTCGAGAGGTGGCGGGGGGGGGGGTTATGGTGTGTTTGTTGCAGGAGTTGATTGAGGGGTTAATGGCAATGGTTAATAGCGAGTTATCCACCACCCCTCAAGGGAGAGCGGGCCGTTTGTTGCTTTATGTCCCATAGTTCCCCGATGACGGCACCACTTATGGTTCCATTTCTGTCCCTTTCCTTTCCCGTCGCGGAAGAGCTTCCCCTCGAACTTGTGGGTCGATTGCACTCCCGTCGCAATCATCGTTGGCTGTGACGACATTAAAGCATTATCCGTACCCGCATCGGCTTTCGGATTTTAGTGCGGGGTGCCATTCTTGCCGGGTTAGGTAAACAAACACACACGATGGACGAGATAGGAAAACCAAGAACTGCTGGTGAGGTACGAATACCCAGGTAGGTATTTGTAGTTACATCCGGCGCGCAAGATTGTACATACAGCAAACCGTACTCCCTCCCTCCCCAGCTTCTAGTTTGCCGTCAGCAATGTTTGTCATCAATGGGTGATTAATTCGCATCGCGGGGTCGGGCCGGAGAAGAGAAGTGCTTAATTCCGAATGCGCATCGCTGGTTGATGTCGATTTTGAAACCCCGCGATCGGGGGTGGGGATGCGAATGAGGGGAACCAAAAGAGGCGTGGGATCGCGACCGGATTGTGGGTCTTGCCCTGTTCCACAATACCGAACACCGGACCCCTCCGGGCCGAGCTGCACGGCGATGCACGGGCACCACCAAACTCGGGCCGGAGGGTTGGGGTCGATACCTACACGGTAAGGTATGTATTTACTACAAACCTACCTACATGCCAAAACCGTGCGTTGCATACTCCGTAGAGAAAGTCACCAACCAATCTTGGGAGCCTCGGCGTCTGCCTTATTCACAAGAAGCAGTCTGCGCCGCTGCCCTTCTCCCTTTTGGGGGGAGTGTGATTGCACTTGGCAACCCCAGGTCGACTATTTATTCAGTCGCATCCAACAAGCGAGCTTCAGTTGGTGACAAGCTTCAGTTGGTGACAAGCTTCAGTTGGTGACATTCGGCGGCAATCCCCGTTACCCGAGGCGGCCTTCTTCCCGCGCTGACACGTGCTCGGGACACGCCTGCGTGTACCAAGGCAGACAGCCCCGGTTGGAACACACAAGTACCGCGCCGGCAGCCCCCCGCGGCTGTCACCTGGGTCGTCTATGTCACCCACCTCACCCACCTCACTCACTTACCTGCGTTTGAAACGGGAAGGAAGATACTTTGTACCCCAGGGCGTCTGAGAACGTCGGGGACGTCATGGGGCCGAAGAAAGAGGAACCGGCGTTTGCCTAGGTACTACACGGCACCGCAGTTGTTCATCAGCGTTGAGGAACAAAGCTAGCCCGTCCTGCCGCACTTCCCAGAGGACGGGTATGATACTAACATTCTTGGGGAGACACTGCGGGCAGGATATTTCCTTCGTGTTCACCCTCCGTATCGCGTATTCACTCATCCTGTCATCTTACCTCAACTGGAAGATCCGTGAGTCAAGGGCCGAGAGTGGTCTGCGCCACAGCCACAGTCAGCGGAAAGTTAACGAGAGCCGCGGCTGGGTTTAAAATCGTTCGCATGGCAGTCATCGGGCGCAGCGGCGGGTTGGCTTGGCAGAAGCGTCATCCGGCGCCTGGCTAAGCCGATGACAGCCTTGTGGGTTGTCAAAGTGCAGATTGTGCAGTTGGCAGTTGGGGGGTGGTGCTGGAAGGGAGTTAGCTTGGTGCTTGGGGTGGGACAAGGCTTGGGGAATTGGGGATTTGTGTGATCAGGCGCCGGTAGGCATTGTGCATAATTGGGTTCGGGGAGGGTGTCCTGACAAGGTTAGCAAACACGTGTCATTGGCCTCGCGACGGCGAGGCACTCCAAGTCCTAGGCAAAGTAGAGAGACGATGAATGGCAGGCCCTGGAAAGGGGCAGGTAGGCCGAAGGCATTGCCCGGCAGCCTGAGGTTGCTGGTGAGAATAGCTTCGGCCACCACCGACCACATCACGCATGGCTGCACTTGCAGCATCGTATCACACCAAAACGTATCATGACCCTGGGGTGTAGAAACATTACCGTCATAAACAAGCAAAAATATGTACAACAGGACATTTGTCCAGAGGGTATCGGCGCGCCAATCCACCAAGCCTCCTGAACGCCATAAACGCCGCCGTCTGTGCTAGCTGCCCTCGGCCCACTTCCGTCCCCGTGTTCTTGACCGCGCCGTCTCGGCGAGCGGTTTCTGTATCCTTGCGCCGGACTCCGCCGGGCTGCCTCTCCTCCTCCGCTGTACCGCCGGGCTGCATTCCCTTTCCCTCCGACTGGGCTTTGACCGTTGCGGATGGCGCGGGTCTCGGTGGGCGACGAGCACTTCGTCGAGGTCGCGTTGGGACAAGGGTTGCGGGCGGGATGGTGAGAGACTGCGATGTCGTCGGTGATGGTTTGGTGATGGTTTCGTGTCAGCAAAGAAGGACGCCGAATGCGCCTCTGGTTTGGGCGTCGGCGTCTCCGAGTCTGTGACTTCGGATGTATGTAGCGGGAGTGTGACCTCTCCCTTGCGTGATTTGGTTGATGGGGTAGTGTGGGCAGTGTTGGCATCGTTGTTGTCAACACCATGACCGGACCTCGCGGTCTCGGCGGTAGAGGTAGATAGATAACCGGAGTCGCGTCCGCAATCGCACGGCGCGTCTGACCCGCCCATCGCACAGCAGTCCGGCTCGGATTCCGAGAAGGACAGAGAGCGCGCAGGCGTTGCGTGTTCAAAGTCGAACTCGTGATGAGCATCACCAATTGGCGAAGCAACAGACGAGTCGGAGCACATGGTCATCGACCGAGGCGAGGCAGGGATGTGTTGCTGGGGAAAGCTCGGGTACTCGAACGGCTCATCGACGATGTGGACTTCCTCGTCCTCGAAGAACGAGGCGTGCGAGTCCGTGAGCGAGCCAACACTGCTGCCCGCATCGGAGCTGGACGCGGAATCCGACTTGTACCATGGGTGGTCGGACGGGAGATAGGATGCGTAGTAACGCACGAGGGAATCGAGCGACTTCGTCCGGAAGAGCTGCACGGCGTGCTGCCATTGCTCGGTGCCGATGAGCGAAGGGTTGGCGATAATCTCAAAGGCGGCGGACTCGAGCGTCTCGTTCAGCTCGCGCAGGCGTTGTTCCTTGCGGTTGTGGAGGAGATGGTGGAACTCGTCGGCGGAGCCGGCTTGCTGCGAGATCTCGTAGACATCGTGGTGAAAGGCCTCGGGGTCGAGGATCGGGGAGGGGACCGTGTTATATTGATCGTGCAGCGTTCCGAAGAGGTCGTCCTTCTTCAGCCCAAACTTCCAGAAGGGCCATGTCCAACAACTGTCGGGATCCTCCATTCTCCGGCTGCCGGGAGCTGGGGATTTGTGTAGGGACGTGAGGGTGAGGGCGAGGGTGAAGGTGAGGGATGGGTCGGGTGAGTACGGGAGAGGAGGAGACCAAGATCGAGAACCGGAGAGAGGGTATGCTTTCTGAGATTGTGACACGCGGATGTCGAGTTCGCGCTGAGAGCCATCTAGACGAGGGGTATGTTGCAGAACATTTTGAAGATCGGGTATAGTAATTGAGCGGGTTGGTTTGGAGGTTTGTCGCTTGCCGAATGTAGAACGGTGACTGTGAGTGGGCGATGATTCTTGATGAGACAGAGTGAAGGGTCGTCGTGGTGGACCAGGGTTGGGGGGCGACGGGGTGTTGGAAAATGGGCCGGGAACGAAGGGTGAGGTGTTGGCTGCCCGATCCGGAAAGACAAAACCGTGTGGCACGCCAAGTTCCGAGTTGCCGCAGATTTGGCCAATCATACCCGCGCGGGCTTCAAAACCGGCTGAGCACACCGCCCCCACTGACGGCCCAGATTCAGCGCTAGTGGCGTCTCAGCCAATCAACAAAGGGTCGGTTAATGCGGGCTTTCAAAAAGCCCAATCAGGACCGAGGGCAACCTGCGGCGGTGCCACCTGTGCGTCGCAATCTTGGTCATCCGCATGCAGGAATGCGGATCAGTCCGAAGACGGATCAGTCCTAAGATGGTGGAAGGGCAGAAGGGCAAAGGGGTGATTCCATCAGTGTTCTCAGCGCTCCCCTCTCCTGATTTTCTCGCAAAGGGAAGCCCCGGAGGGCATTTCCCTCTCTCGGTCTCAACGCCATCACCAACCTCAGACTTTGAAATGTCAACCTGAGCCGTGAGTTAGTCAAGCCATACTCGCCAAACTGCTGGCCCAACATGGAACCCGCCAGCGCTTCGAGTCTGGCCTCGGTTGATCTAGCCGGCCAGTCTTTGGCCCAAAGTCGGCTGCGATGACCTGACGAACGAGGGAGAAGGGGAGGGAGAGGGTGCGAGGTTGTGAGGGTGTGGGCAGAAGACCAATTCTGGCAAACTGGCTTCTGATGCAATTCATGCCTGAGGCCGTCAACCAACCAACACCGCCCTGGTGTCCTGCCCGATTTGACGCCCTGAGCCTCTTCAATGCATGCAGATCCAATTCCTGGATTTTCGACGCGCAGCCGTGGCCGGGCGGCCGGGCGAGCCAGATGACAGCGGCCGCCGCGGGCTGACAGAGAAGCTTACCAGCTGGCACCACACCACCATTCCTTTCCACCCCGCACGTGCAGCACTCGGGGGAACCTTCCCCGCCCATCCCCGCCCAATCCGCCCCGTCAGCTTTCGAGCTTGGAGCTTCGGCGTTCGGACGATTCCCCAAAGCCTCACGGTTCTTGTGATCCCTGACGCCTGGCTGGAGGGAACTTCCTCGCAATCGCAAGGCACAACCAACCCCATGGCTCTGGAGTGCCTGGCAAGCGTGGAAAGCCTGGAAAGCCTGACTGGACATTTTGACGGGAGCATCCGGGTCTTATATCAGACCAACGGTCGCCCACTCTTCATCATTCACTCGCTCATCAATCAGCTAGACACCTGGACAACGCGAGTGACGGTGTTTTTCCGCGTCGCCCATGTCATCTGCGCAGCGCAGCAGCTCAAAGTCGAGTTTAGGGCGCAGTGAAGGCTGCTCGCTAATAGCCCACCACATGCGATGACGGCCCGGTGCCAGGCACCCGCCGCCTGTTCTCTTCTGAGGGCTTCGATGCCACCTCTCCAATCATCAAACGCCTTGTGAGGCTGATGCCCCATCAGCAGGGCTCCCCTCCACTCCCCGCGCTCCCTCACCGGGCCCATCTGACTTGCGCTTCTGTGGCCGTTCTGTGGTCATCCTCTTCAAGACCGTGGCTCTTCATCACTCAACCAAGCGCATGCGGGACTGGGAATTGCTTCTGGTCGAGTCTGTTTATCTGTCGCCTCATCCCCCGCCTTCTTTTTCCCTTTTCGTTTCCTCCTGGACCTTTCTGCTCTTTGCATCTACCAAGTATCTCTCATGTCGCAGCGCCGCTACTTTCTGGCTGCCTGATCCATTCGCTGCAGCTCATTGTTTGCGCCGTGTTCCTGAGCCCCGCCATTGATTCGTTCTGAGCTGGCCGCCATACCATACCACTGTGTACACATTCACTATCCCGATCCTTTGATCCCATCCCTTTGGTGAGTCGCCATGGGCGACATCAGGGAGTACTCGGAGCTCTCCGAGGACAAGACGGAGCCGTTCTCGCAAGGTGAGATCCAGGCCCGCCTCCAGCGGTCCCGCATGGAGGAGTTCAACACCATCAACAGCGCAGTTCCGCTGGACAAGCTGGTGGTGCCCCCGGATGACGACATTCGCATTCTGATGAGGCCTCTGGCTCGGGACCGCACCGTTCGCGAGGATCGCAATGTGATGCCGCTCTCTTTGCGCGCCGAGGCCGCGGAGGCGGAGGAGATGACGCAGCAGGTTCTGGCCGTCCGCCAGACCGCTCGCGATATCAGCTTCACCGTCAGCATCCCCGACTATCGGAATCCGGACCGCCGGCTGGCCTGTATCATTTACTACGATCCGGCCAGCGACAACCAGATTCTTTCTAACCGGTCCAACGTCCCGTTCACCCTCTCCAGGGTATCTCAGGAACCTGAGGAAATACGCGGGTCGCAGTACCAAGTTAATCCTGACTTTCACAAGCCTCTGACGCCAGGCACCTGGCGGATTACGATGGGCGGGACCGATTTGCTCGACTTCCGTCTTCTCGAGAGGCGGCCGGTGCGATTGCGTACCGCCTCGAGTTCCTCATCAGACACGTCGACTTCGACCTCGGCGTCGGGGTCGGGATCGGGCTTGGGGACGAGTGAGGTGGTGAACTCGTCTGGCAAAAGGCTGTTTGTCGCCGACGAGGACGGCCCCGCGAGTCCCGAGAAGCGGCGCCGCCCGACGAACGGTGGCGACAAAAACGAGAACAGTGTTATCCGGTTCCTCCCCGCAGGTGCCAAAGGAAAGGAACTCGTGGCGTCCACTGGGCACCCGCTCCTGGATCTGCAGTCAGACGAGACCCTTGAGGTTTCACGTGGCGCGGGGCTGGTCGGTTACACAATCACCAAAAAAGATCCGATTGCATCCACGACATTGTCCAGTGTCTTTACCGCCGAATACTCCGAGGCGCCCGGCCGCTACGTCGTCGCCAAAGTCCTGAAGACGACAGTGCCCGCCACCGCACACACCAACGAGGGCGCCCTCGCCAAGACGGTCATCCGACAGGCCCAGACCTGGCTACGGGAGCTGGAGAACCAGGAGAAGCTCAAGCACAAAAACATCGTGCAAATATACGGCGGTGACGCCCGGTTTCTGTCTTTGTACATGGAGCCTGTGGATGGGCGGGATCTTTCCGCCAGGGGTGTCTGGCGCACCAGCGGGACCGACCTGTTCTCGGGCGACCGGTCCGACGCGCTGCGGATTCTGAAAGACGCCTCCAGCGGTTTGCACTACCTCCACAGTTTGCGGCTAGAGCACAACGATATCAAGCCGGGAAATATCTTGTACAGCCGGGAGCGTGGGGCTGTCGTTTGCGACATGGGTCTGTCGTCTGAGAAGGGCGCCAGCACCGGCGGCGGCACACCGTGGTACGTCCCGCCGGAATACATTGGTCTGCGGCAGCGTGGGCCGCCGAGCGACGTGTGGGCGCTGGGCGTGGTGATGCTGTATGTCATGGGCAAGATCTCGTGGCCGGACATCCGGGCTCACCGCCAGCACCCCCGGCACCTGTACTGGACCATTGCCGACGTGCACGAGAAGGAGCGGCAGCGGCAGGTCACGGCCGTGTCGCGGATGCGCGCCTGGCTCGGCGAGGTCAACTCGGTGCGGAACGGGCTTGATGTTCACGACAAGTTGGAACGGCTGGTGCACGGCATGCTCGCCCCGAACCCGAGGGAGCGGTTGACGATGAAGGAGATTGTCAACCAGCTGTTTGCCGAGCAGGGGACGGATCGGTGAAGGGCAAACGACGAAGAATAAGCATTGTACCAACATTTTACCCCACCGTCGTCCGCTGGCTGGGCGGGCGGGTTGACATCACAAAAGCCCAACACCAACGAACATCAACCGCATCGATCGCAACATCATCACTCAACCCTCCATTATTTCTATTTACCCACCCGCCCGCCAGGGCACACACCATCTCACCCGCCCATCCCCAAAACAAACACCACCACCAGCGCCACCACCGACGACATCACCGCCGCCATATCCCCCCCCCTCACCGACGACGCCGCATTCCCCTCGGCATCCCCCTCCGCCCCCGCACCCCCCACCCTGACGGGCGCAACCTCCACCCCCTCACTACTCACGCACTCCCCACCCGCCAACACCTCCGCCCCCTCCCTCAACACCACATCCGCACAATTATACAACGCACTCCCATCGCCCCCCACAGTAACCACCTGCAAGCTCGCCCGCGTCCCGTCGCGCACGGGCAAGCCCGCCGGCAGCGCCAGCCGCGGCACACACAGCGTGCCGTTGCCGGTCGAGTTCCAGGGCGGGGTGGTGAGGGTGTAGTTGAAGTTGGAGACGTCGGGCCCCAGGCCGAGGTTGATGAAGAGGTAGGTCCAGGGGTGGTGTAGGGAGAGTTTGAGGCTGCCGCCGGTTAGGGGCCAGGGGGTGGGTGGGGTGGTGGTGAGGTTGCCGGGGACGCCGGCGCCTGTTTGGGGGGTTAGTTATGTGTGCAGGTGGGTGGTGGAGGGGGGGGGGGAGAATTCATGGCTTACAGGGGTTGGTCCATTGGGAGTATGTCGTGTTTTGCTGGCTGCCGAGCGTGTTGGCGCGCATCGGGGGGTACTCGATGCCGAAGTGGGCTTCGGCGAGGCTTGCTGCCATGAGGAGGAGGAAGGCTTGGATACCCATTTTGGCGGCGTTTTGGTTTAGAGCATGTACCGGTTGGGCGAATCGGGGATGGAATTTGAGCAATTGGATAGAAGTTACCGACGCGGCGGGCAAAAGCAGGAGGGCGAGATCATTGCTCATGTTCAATGTATTCACCGGCAGGCGAACATACCCGCCTACTTATACCGCCGCTTCTTCCGCCGCCTGCCTCTGCACACCTATGCCTAGAGCCGTTTTGGCTTCGTTCGAGGCCCTTTGAAGGCGGCTCTGCATCATCGTGATGCCTGCACGGCCTGGGACACCTTCGCGGGGACCCAATCAACCCCAGTCGGTTGTACGGCCATCGACGCCAGCAACAGCCAATTGAGCAAGTTTACCACATGCCGACTCGTTCCCCTTCGTACCAAGCTCCAAAGCCAATTCTTTTAGCGAGCTTCCTTCCCGGGCGCGCGGGTTGAGGGGCACATCAGCCTGGCTTTTACCCCGCCTGGCCCGCCCTTCTGGCATCCAGCTGTGTCTGGCGCGGCCCAATCACCGGCCGTGGCCGTGGTCAGCGTCGCTGAAAAGGGTAAGTCTGGCGCCAGCGAGGCACACGGGCCAACGAGGGCGTGGTTTGGATGCGGAAAACTTGCTCAAATCGGCGCAGCTGTTGTGAGGTTTGAGCTATTGATGCTTGGTGTCAGTGGCTTGTTTAACAAGCGGGAACATTGCTGGGGGTATTTGGATGCTGGAAGTGTCGGTTTGTTGAAGCCCGCAAGGAGGCTTCCAAGTTTTGTATTTAGTATACCCTAACCCTATATAAGGGCATTTCCAATATCATTCATTCTTTTGTCTTTCCTTGGACTTACTCTATGACACTTTCTACATATCGTGCCCTAATATGTAATGGCTTGGAAGGGAAATTGCATCTCAACGATTATAGCGTAAAGCTATTCACAATTTCCCTTTTTGACGAGATTCTTAGTTTTGTTAACGTCACCATGACGGACGGACGGGTCTTTGTTATTTTCTGACCATGCTCATCCTTCGTTTTCAGCAGGTCAAAGCCGTCGAAGTAAACCACTACGCATACTTTGCACTTGGCGCTCGTTTGCCTCTTCCGGATGCGATCTCACCTAGGATACACGGGGGGTTCTCTGGAAACGGTGGGGCTGTGGTTGAGAAACAAAACATTGGGGACCTTTCCGCTTCCTCGACAAGGCGAACTATGTATTAGTTAGCTCCTCATCTAGCTTACATGCCCATTACTCATGCAAAACCATTAATTTGCCTCAAAATATAAGTCTAAGCTCCAACCCGTGGAGGCTCAAACATGTTTTGAGTTCTGAGTTTGGACGTCTCGGTGTGCGATGTTGAGCTCACCCCTCGACCAGGTAGGAAAATTTACTTTACCAGATGGGCTACACTAGGAACATTTCTCAAACGTTTTGTTGCTTCGGTAAGTGTTTTCTGGCCTTGATTTGAGTAGCTTCCACCAACTCATTCTCTCCGCCGGTATGTCAACCCAGAAAGGGGTACGTTGGGAGGGGTGTTCATCCGGACCGAAACAACTGCCATCCCACTCGCGATGGGGCTCAAAACACTACCATCCCCCCGGATCGCCATAAGTCCCGAGGTTGGTTTCTTTACGGCAGTGACAGTAACCCTGCATGGTCTAGAACCCGGGGGGAGAGATGAAACACCTCAAAGGCCAAACAGGGGCATTTACCCCTGAGACGGACCAACTCTTGGCAGGCACCCGCGACATTGCACCCGTTCGGGAGAGCTTGCGGTTGGATCGCTTTGAGATCTTCTGATCTGAGCGGCAGAGCTCAATGCGCGCCAGGAACCCAGTTCAGGACCCCTGATACCAGGTCTCAGAACCGACTGATCGCCGCGGGGCTCAGCTCAAATCCAGGAAGATGTGTTGACGACGACGCCTTTGGTTCGCTCACTCTCATGATGCATTGTATCTGCCGCCGGGTTGGGTCAATTGCGCGAGTCTAGCTGTCTCGACCGTGTTTCTCCATCCCGGCTTCATCTGAAGCCAGGGAACAAGCAGCGATGATCACGACCTTAATTTAGAGTCGGGAAAAGTTTATATGAGCTGCGTTTTGCCGCCGAGTTGGTGATCGGATGGCTTCCAGACTCTTCCAGCTCATCATTCACTCCCTTCACTTCCCTTTTCAGTCTACTGCGTAGACTTCTCTGAGCTGGTCCTCCATTATCTTCTAGTTTGTTAACACCTTTTTTACTTTTCAACCACCCATCATGGTGTCCACTCTCTCCTTGCGGCAGGCCGTCGTAGCCGCCCTCTTTTTTGGCGCCCACGCCGCTCATGTCCAGCCGCGCCAGGCTCTCCTCCCCGGCGGGGCGGGCCAGGACGCCCTCGGCCAACTGCAGGGCCTCCTCCAGGGCCTCCTCTCCGGTAACCTCAACCTCGGCGGCGCGGGTGGCGCGGCCGCCGCGGCCGCTGACGCCGGAGCGGGAGCAGGCGAAGGAGCCGGTGCCGGTGAAGGCGTGGGAGCAGGCGAGGGCGCAGGTGCCGGTGAAGGAGCAAACGCCGGCGAAGGAGAAGACGCCGGTGTGGTCGTGACCCCCACCCCTGGCGCAGCCGAGCCCACCGAGACCGCTGAGGTCGCCGACCCCGCCGAGACGGCCGAGGTTGCCGACCCAGCGGAGACCGGCGAGGTCGTCCCGCCACCGCCGCCGCCGCCGCCGCCGGCTGCGCTCCCCATCGCCAACGGCACGGTCGGCGAGAACGGCACCGAGGTCGGCCGTGGCAAGGGCAAGGGCAATGGCAAGGGGAAGGGAAATGAGAACGGCAATGGGAACGGCAACGGTAACGGCAAGGGCAAGAACAACGGCAACAACGGCAACGGAAACGATGATGAAGAGGAGAACCAAAACGAGAACGAGAATGAAAATGAGGATGACAACAAGGGCAACAACGGCAATGGCAACGGCAACGGCAACGGTCGTGGCAAGGGCAAAGGCAAGAACGCCGCCGCCGGCCTGGGCCTGGAAGGCCTGCTCGGCCTGATCGGCGGCGGCGCGGGAGCCGGAGCGGGAGCCGGAGCCGGCGCTGGCGCGGGTGCAGATGCAGGTGCAGGTGCAGGCGCAGGTGGCCTCAACCTCCAAGATCTCCTCGGCCTACTCACCGGCGGAGCCGGAGCCGGAGCGGGCGAGGGAGCCGGTGCCGGCGCGGGAGCGGGCGGTCTCAACCTGCAGGACCTGCTCGGCCTGCTGACGGGCGGCCAGCAGGGCAATGGCCAGAACGCGGCGGCCACGCGCGCCCAGCTCCAGGCGATGCTGCAGCGGGTTAATGCTGCTCAGCAGCAGCAGCAGCAGCAGCAGCAGGGTCGGGGTAAGGGCAATGGCAAGGGCAGGGAGGTTGAGGGTGCTGGCAGGCGCGCGGTGGTGCCGGCTCGGTTGAGGAGGCGGATGCGCATGGGTGTGAGGGCGTAAGGGATGGTTTGAAGAAGGAAAAGGGGCACGGGCTGCTGGTGGCCTCAAGGGTGGATAAGGTAGCTGGCTGAGTTGGGTTGGGAACTTGGGGTTGTTTGCTTGTTTAGGTCGTCTTTGGGTCCTTAAATACCATTCTTTTGTGGTACAAAACTGTATTTTAGATATGCCAGGGGCAGGACTTGGGTACAGGATGGTAACGCCGTAACGGTCTGGCGTAGGCTTGGGAGAGATTGGGGCAGTCTCGATGGCTGCTGTTGATAACGCAAACTTGAAATCAGAGCCAATACATGCAGTTCTGCTCCAATATTGAACACAACTCAAAAGATGAGAGATTCTGGTTGGCCGAACCCGGTGCCAGTTGGTGAAGACGTCCGCCTGTGTTGTGGGCCCATGCAGGCCACTGGGCATCTTCCAATTCCGGGCATCGTTGGGTGCAGATCCGGACCTCCTTCGTACCCCCCTCTCACCTCACCACAGACACGGCAGAATCATCTCCGGGCCGCAACGTTGGAGCCGGTGTCTGAACTTCTGAGGGAGCTGCATGAACAGCGTAGGTTCAAGATGTTATACTCGTTCTCGGTACCAGACATGCCACCCGAACTCTCTCGGGACTGCCCGCTACGTTCGGGTTCTGCTACGGCACCACGACCGGCCGGCCTTTTGACCCTCACTCCTCACCTTCGTCACTTCATATATCTCCATATCGACGTTGCACGGTTTGACGGGTACCCATACACCTTTTTCCTTAACGGTCACAAGGACTCGCCCGGCCTGTCCCGTTATGAGCCGCCACCTTCGCGCAATTTCATGGGCCTGTTGCTGTCTTGCCGCGTTTTGTACACCGAGGTTGCCTCTCTGCTGTACTCGGCCAACCGGTTCATTCTTTTCTACACCCACCAACGCACTCTCAGGCCCCTCCGTGCCTTGTCGCCAACCTCTATCGCCGCCCTGACCAACCTGAAGATCGTTCTCAACGAATCTTCCTGCCACAACCCAACTAACGCTCCGAGTTACCCACCGCCTTGCTGTTTTCACAGGCTCATGGCCCAAGAACTTTGCGCCAAACACCACGGGAGCGAGCACCGTCGTCCGCTGTTGGATTCTCTCTCGGGGATAACCCCCGCCGCGACCAGACTGGCAACCCAACCCATGCTGACTGAGTGGCACAATACCGCCGCCTACCTGTCATCCCATGCTACCCCCGGCCGTCTCGAGCTCTGGTTCGTTTGCGATATCGACCCTGCGCATGAATACGCCCTCGAGGCAGCCCAACGTCTCGTTGCCCCGCTCGCTCTATTCCCGCTCCTGAAAGACTGCCATGTAAGGCTCTGCAGCGCACCGAATCGGCCTCTCCAGCGGCTGGCCGAAGAAGCCGTCTTACCAGCCCGCCCTGGTTCCCCACCTCTCTCGCCGCTCTTAACAAACCTACCCGCCGAGCTACGTCTCCGCATCCTCGAGTACACCGACCTCGTAACCCCCTGGAAAGAGGTCACTTGGTGCAGACGGAACCGCCGCTATTACATATTCAGTCCGAATTGCTTAATGTACGAAGGCGGATGCCCACCTCACATCCACCACGGCTGCCCTCTCATCAGATGCACCCACGACGAGGAATACATACCGGGGAAAGACATACGCCGGGTCCACGGTTGTTTCTGCCGCCGCCTCCACGGCGCCTACACCTCGACCTGCAAGTGCTGGGTGCCACCAACCCGCCTCTTCCTCATCAACCGCCTGCTCCGCCACGAAGCCGAAACCATCTTCTTCTCCCACAACCGCTTCGTCGTCCACGACTTCTACGCCATCCCCCCTCAGAACCTGCGCACCTACCTAGCCGCGCACCGGGCCTCGCACCTCCCCGCGCACTTCCCCCCGGACCCCATCCCCCGCTTCGACCCGGACGAGCCCTTCGACGGCCCCCCGACCAACGAGCGCGACTACGTGCACACGCGCTTCGCGGCCTCCGAGTTCCTCCGCGCCGTCGTCCCCACGCATTGCCTCGCGCACCTGCGCTTCCTCGAGCTGCTCTTCCCGCCCTACGTGCCCAACGACTGGCCGCTCGAACGACGCTCCCTGCAGCGCGAGTGGCGCGCCACGGTGGCATGGGCGTCGCACCACCTCAACCTGCCCGCGCTCGCCGTGCGCGTCGTCATGTCCTACCCGCTGGTGCACCCCGACGTGCGGCGGGAGCTGAGCGAGGAGGAAGGGACGCGGATCTTGAGGGGGTACTGGCGCGCGGCGAGTCCGTGGAAGGAGCTGGCGAGGGAGCGCGGGCTGGGCGGGCTCTGGGTGCAGACGGCGTATCCGTTTCGCGGGGAGATGAAGTCGGTTTATTGTGTGGGGCTGAAGTGGGAGGAGGAGTGGATGGAGGAGAAGGAGCGGGCGCTGAAGGCGCAGTATGAGCATATACCGGGTCGGGAGGGGAGCGGCAGGGTTGAGCCGTTGAGAGGGGTTTGGCAGCGCTGGTATGAGGTGCCTTACTATTGAGTTTGGTTTTGAGGCCGGTGTTGGTTCTGTTCGTGGCTAGAGATAATACCTGTGCCTGGTGTTGACGTAGGCCGGACTTGGCGAGGGAACTAGGTAGGTTGCGATTTGGAGATTAGTTGATGGCATTACTCTAGGGCTAGGTTCAAAAAGATTTGGAATCCTATGGTTTTAGACTGCTGATGAGCCCCTATCCTGGGCAAAATACAGGCTGCTTGCTCATCTGAATGTGGGGCGGATAATTCACAAGTCTGCGGTTGTTAAGGCATTCTCTACCGACTCGTTACCTGTGTCACGAACACAGGGAAGAACAGGTAACAGGAAGACCTCAAATGTCAATTCTGAACGTTGCCAACAAGCTGGCCAAGATGCACGAATGTTCAACAAAAGATAAGGACCTCGGGGCCGTGTAGACTCCGCGTTTCCGGATATGTGAATGTTTGAAAACTTCTAACCGGAAGCGTTGCTGAGCGGTTGTGCAGGTGACAACATGTCTTCAGCCGGGATGACATACGGCTCGGGAGCCAGAACGTCAAGGCCGGATTTCTTGGCGCGTCTTTCGAAGTATGCCTTACCACTTGGGCTAATCTCGCACGCAGACATCCGTATAATGTCAGTCAGGCAGATGGGGGTCCACGGAGTGCAAGCCATGTGTGCATCTCCCTGCTTTCTCCTCATCCGGGAGTCTCCGACGGCCGCAGTACGAATCTCGTCTATCATGGCGACCAGTTGACGCACACTGACCGTCAAACTTTGCTCCCAGTTTTGGGCACCGCCAGAATACCAGTGCTTTCCGTGGAGTGCACGGTATACACCCCCCAGCATCGCGCAGTCGCAGGTCTGTTGCCAGTCCTGGCGTTTGGAAGAGCAGCAGTTGGTGACCGCCGGGTTCAAGAGTTTGTCCAGGGCCGCTCGTAGTTCGATGCTCACCGCGTGGAGCATTCTTAGGCGACCGTTTTCCCAGGGCTCTGAAAGGTAACAATGGTCAGTATTGGCTAGCATCAATTCCAGTAGCATGCATGACGTCGCAAACTTACTGAGAATACCTAACTTTTGCAGGTAAGGGTCATTGTAGAGGTCAACATCGGGATGGCTCTCCAAGCATAGCCTGCCATCTGGGCGCTTCTGAGACGAATACCGAATCCTGATCAGGATGTTCATGTACCTTTGCAGATGCCCAAGCTTCTTGGCGATCCCCAGGTGCTGGAAAATGGTGGGATCGAGAGTTGGTTCAGGCAATTTGTCTACCCAACCGCCCCAAAACGGTTTCAAAAGTCCCACCATGTTGTGCCTCTCGCACAGGGCGGTCAGATGGGAAAGCGCATCTTGAGATAAGATCACCGGCATGTTGGATAAGTCGCCATGAACCACCCGTAGGACGATGCGCATGGCCTCCGGATCGTCCTCTGGTAGACGAACCACCCAGCCATGCAGCCCTTCCCTGTCTTTGGGATCGGACGACGGGCCATAGAGTAGGTCATGCCATCTGGCTGATACGCGCCTGAGGGAGTATGAGCATACGCGGAAATTCACCTGCGCGTTTGCTTTTCCAACAATCAGAGTCAAGTTCCCGTGGTCATCGAATGACTCGATGGGGTTGGTAACGGCGTCCTCCTCGGTCTTGGGTTGGACGATCTCGGCACCGTTCTCAGGGCTGGGCTGTTCCCCAGGCTCTTGTCCGACATTATTGCCTCCTTCTTGCCCGGTCGTCGACTCGTCGTGCTTGACCGAGACGGTTTCTGCCCGATGCAACCCATAGAGGACGGTTTCGGCTCTAGGGCTGGAGCCAGCGACAGCTGCGTTGTCGGCGAGAAAGTCGCTGGGAACTGAAGATGTTTCAGGCCGAGGTTGGCTCGCGCTCGTTCCAAAAGGAGTCAAGTTCGACAGCCCTGGCCTGCCGAACAAGGGGTGGTCGGTTGAGCCAAAGGGATTGGTCGAGACTGGAACCTCCCGCGCAGAGGAAAAAGGGTTGATGGCGGGTGCGGTCGAATTGGCAGAGCCGAGTGCGTCCAGCTGGGTTGCTGCTGCGCGAAGTCTCTTTGCCGGCCGATCGCTATCGCTATCCCTGTCGGCGCCGTTGCCGGAAAAGTCAATTTTCCCCATCGCCACTGGAATAACTGAGACCTGTTAGACTTGTGGGTTTGTCCTCGGGTTTTTTGGGTTGAGGTGGTTGGTGGGGGAAAGTCGGGCGTTGAAAACATCGGTGTCCATCGTGGAACAGACAGATGGCGACTTCTGTGATTTGCAATGGCTCGAAGGAAAGGATTTGACTTGCCTGTTTACCAAGCCTGACACCTTGCGTCAATGGCGGTTTCGATCAGTTTGGCTTTCCGAAGTTAGCGAATTCGGAAACCCGTGAAGGGGAGCGTTTTCGGGAGATTTGGAGAGCTGAGCGGGCGACGATCGCTCCTCAGCTTCTAACAATTGGAGAAGATGGAGTCGATTAATCGCAAACCGTGGTTTGGTGGGTACCTACGCGTCGATGGAGGAAGGAAGGCAGGTTCAGGTCGCAGAATAAGGGACCGTTCCTTCCCCGAGAACTTCAACCACTCAATGCCCGGCGGAACTTGAAATCCCCCCCGCACACCTACCACATACTCAAGTACATATGTACCTATTTTCAATTCACTTCAGTTATTGCCCTTCTAGCTGTTTATGGGTGGTTCGGTTGAAATACCTACGTTACAAACATGGAACAAACAAACGGTTAGTAATAAACTACTCATATATTTGCTTCTACTTTAGCAAGCAATGCGATCTGGACGTAACGCGTTTAAAGGTCGAGATTTGGGTCCGGGGCCCGGGCCTCGCCAAATTTGAGATGTATCAGCACAGCCTGCCTGGAGTACTTCTCATGGAATGAACAGTTGCCCAACTCGCCGCGGGGTTGAGAGTCTTCTGTACTAAGTAGGTGCCTAAGTAGGTGGGCCCGACCAGCAGCGGCCCGCCCCCCTGACAACGACACAAAATCACACTTCATACTTTGGTTGCCTTTCTATTGTAGATTCGACCCTCATCTAATAGCCAACAGTGCAATCCGCCGCGGAGCCAAGCCCCGACTTCTCGGCGCGCTTGTCAAGACGGCGTTGATAACCCCATGCAAGCGCTTCGTCTTCTGGAAGACCGTTGCTTTGGACAAGCGCAAGATGTGGCCGGATCACACACTTGGCGTGCGCGGAACGTGGGTGTCTCACCCGCCTTTCTAAGACACTATCGGCACGTCTTCGAATCTCGTCGAGTATATCGTACAGTTGGATCGCGCTTAGAGGGGGGATTTCCGGAAAGTTCTGCCCTCCCGTGCAGTACCAGTGCTTAACGCCGACCGACTCCATGGCACCCCGGACCGCGTCGCGGAATGCAGAATCGCAAGCGACTGCCCCCTGTTGTGCCTTGCATATCGGCCCCGGCAAGTATCTCATGAAGTTTTGGAGCTTGATCCACATCGTGCTTAGTAGTGTAAGCCGTCTTTGTTTAATCTCGTCTGCATCGCAGTTAGTTGAGGTTCCGTAAGCGGGCGATCTGAGCACCGTAGGTAGGTAGCCAAGCGTTGGAAGAACAAACCAATCTTGTGGGCATTTAGTATGAAGCCGAGATATTTGTTCGAATCGAGATAGCAATCATCCAGCCTTAGACCTTGCAAAAGATCCGCGGCGGTGATCTGCGGCCGTCCGCCACTGTCTAGGCTTGTACGATGCACCAGGGTGCGGAAGAACGACTGAAACTCACGTCCGCACCCAAGCGTATAATATAGCCAGAGGTGTTGAACGAGTCGATGTCCAGGCATGTGCCGAGGGGAACGCTCGCTAGATTCGCTAGGATAATACATAGAACCAAGCCAAACCTTCCAAAATGGCCTCAAAGATGCGACCGTGTCGTATTTGTCCGCTAGAGCGGCGAGGTTGACGATGAAGTCGAGGGATCCCCCCTCTGGCACGGCGTCGAATTTGCCGTGTAAAGCGGAGAGTATGACTCTAAGCCCGTCGGGGTCGTCTTCGGGGAGCGACACGGTCCACTCGTCGCTGTTCTGTTGAGGAAACCCTTCGCGGAACGGACCGTAAAACATGGTATCCCAAACAGGGGATGAGCGCGCGAGAGTACGAGAGCAGACCTGAAAGGTGCCCCTTTCCGAGTTGTCTTCCCCGACGACCAATTTCAAATCGCCACGTCGGTCAAAGACTTCAGTAGCAGCGCCACCTGAAATGGAGCCCATTTTGTCTCGCCGCCAGCTCAATGTCTCAAGGGATTATGTGAATGGGGGCTTGGAATTAGGGATGGGAGGGTAGGTTGGGATTGGGGAAGCGCGTTGAACTAAAAGGATCGAAGGCTTTCCAGGACGGACAACTGGAAAAGCCGCACTTCCCTCAGCTTTATAGCCCCCGGTTGGTCAACCAGGTCCTTTAAACTTTCAGTTTCCGTCTGATCCAACGTCACGGAGCTGTCGTGTGCTGGTCATCGATGTTGCTCACCTACGTCATGGAATGGTAGCATCAAATGCATCAATTCACCGGGAATGGCACTTGAGGATGATCGAGGTTCGTCTAGGAACGTCATAGGTTGTCAACTTTGGTCTGTGGCCGATACAGCAACCCTCGACGGGTAGCAAATGCCCGGCCGTTGAGCCTTCGGGTTGTGTAGGTATTCAACACGAACTAGCCGCGAGTGCAGCGCGGTTCATACCTTGAGACTGCAGAATACCATTAACGGAGGCCTGAAGGTATTGCTTCCGATCCATCATGGTGATTCGGTGCCGGGGACGCCGCATATCAACACGACTCAATGCACAGTCGTCCGTTCTATTGTCGTTGCCAGCTGACAAAGTACTTCGGTGGGTTCAGCTGCTTGGCACTTTGGACTTGGTCTACCGAAAGGTTTTAAACTATTGCGTGTATTAGTATATAGTGCAGACTCATCATCCCTAGAAGTCTACAGTGTTGTCCAAGATAATGGGGCGGGTTCCTTTACTGTGTACTCCATTATCCTATAACTCGAGATGAGACCCTTGTCGTGCTTGTTACTATCCCTGTTGCGTGGAACTCCAAAACCTGGGGTTAAACCTTATCCTCAGCCTCTCATCTGGCGCTCCGGGATCTCTGGCTTGGTCACGGGCCCGGCGTTGCGGATCCCGCCCGCCGCTTGTTCCAAGGCCGGAAGGTCGCACGCGGATATCGGGTAGCCGCGCCAATCATGGCCCCCATAAGATGGTTCCGCGATTTGACCACCGACTCAAAAAGGATGTCGCCTCTATCAGCTTCTCCAATGACGACGGAGTGACTGTTTTCCGCTAATAGGGTCTTTCCAACGCCACTGTTTCCTATTCACGGCGGTGGATTTCCCGTGTTGGCGGCAATTCGGCCAAGGGATAGGCAAGGCCGAGATTGCCAGTTACGGACTTACTTGCGAACTTGGCTTCATGGTATTGCGATTCTGCAGATAGATAGTCTGTCCCGGTTGCACGATCGGCATGGACTCAGCAATGGCTGGCCGTTTGGAGATATAAGGCCGTGGTCCCTCTCATATCGAACCACACTTCTGCTTGAAAGTCTCATCCTGTTAGGGTTGACCCGACACTGGGAATTAACCGGCCATTTCAACAAGAACAATCAGTCGATCAGCAAGACGCCGAAGGACACAACCCATCACCATGTTTTCCTCCGGCCTCGCCGGTCTGCTCCTGCAGGTGGGCCTTTTCATCGGGGTCCAGCCAGCCGCGGGGCAAGCGTCCGGGCCCCAGCCGTTCGACATGAGCAGCATCGCCCTGACCGACAGCCGATGGATGGATAACCAGAACCGCACCGTCAGCTACCTGAAATGGGTGGACGTCGACCGGCTGCTCTACAACTTCCGGGCCAACCACCGCCTGTCGACCCAGGGCGCCACCGCGAACGGCGGCTGGGACGCGCCCAACTTCCCCTTCCGGACCCACGCGCAGGGGCACTACCTCACCGCGTGGGCCTTCTGCTACGCGTCGCTCCGCGACGACGAGTGCCGTGACCGCGCGGCCTACTTCGTCGCCGAGCTCGCCAAGTGCCAGGCCAACAACGGCGCCGCCGGGTTCACTGACGGCTATCTCTCCGGGTTTCCCGAGTCCGAGTTCGTCGCCCTCGAGGCACGCACCCTCGACAACGGCAACGTGCCGTACTATGCCATCCACAAAACCATGGCAGGCCTGCTGGACGTGTGGCGCCACCTCGACGACACCAACGCGCGCGACGTGCTGCTGGCGCTGGCCGGGTGGGTGGACTCGCGCACCGGCAAGTTGAGTTACGGCCAGATGCAAGCGATGCTGGGCACCGAGTTCGGCGGCATGAACGACGTGCTAGCCGACATCCACAAGCAGACGGGCGACGAGCGGTGGCTCGAGGTGGCGCAGCGGTTCGACCACGCCGCCATCTTCGACCCGCTGGCGGCCAACCGCGACGAGCTCAACGGTCATCACGCCAATACGCAGGTGCCCAAGTGGATCGGGGCGGCGCTGGAGTACAAGGCGACGGGGTCGTCGCGGTACCTGGACATCGCCAAGAACGCGTGGGACATGACGGTGGACGCGCACACGTACGCGATCGGCGGCAACAGCCAGGCGGAGCACTTCCGCCCCCCGAACGCGATCGCCGCGTACCTGGAGGAGGACACGGCCGAGGCGTGCAACACGTACAACATGCTGCGGCTGACGCGCGAGCTGTGGCCGCTGGACGCGGCCAGCACGGCCTACTTCGACTTCTACGAGCGCGCGCTGCTCAACCACCTGCTCGGGCAGCAGGACCCGGCCGACAACCACGGCCACGTCACCTACTTCACGCCGCTCAACCCGGGCGGGAGGCGCGGGGTCGGGCCGGCGTGGGGCGGCGGCACGTGGAGCACCGATTACGACTCCTTCTGGTGCTGCCAGGGCACCGCGCTCGAGACCAACACCAAGCTGATGGACTCGATCTACTTCCACGACGAGTCGACCCTGTTCGTCAACCTGTTCACACCATCCGTGCTCACGTGGGCGGAGCAAAACGTGACCGTCACGCAGGCGACCGACTTCCCGGCCGGCGACACCACGACGCTGACGCTGGGCGGGGAGCCGGGCGAGGGGTGGGCCCTGTTCGTGCGCATCCCCTCGTGGACGACCGACCAGGCCGAGATCAGCATCAACGGCGAGAAGGCCGACGTCCCCACCGAGCCGGGCACGTACGCGTCCATCGAGGGGCGCGCCTGGAAGGCGGGCGACAAGGTGACGGTGCGCCTGCCCATGACGCTGCGGACGGTGCCGGCCAACGACAAGCCCGACGTCGCGGCGGTGGCGTACGGGCCGGTCGTGCTGTCTGGGGACTATGGCAGTGATTCGCTGTCGTCGGTGCCGAACCTGAGCCTGGACTCGGTGAAGCGTGAGGGGAGCGAGGGCCTGATGTTTACGGCGACTGCGGACGGGAAGACGGTGAAGCTGGGGCCGTTTTACGATGCGCATGGCATGAATTACAACGTGTACTGGGCCACGCAGGGGCAGTTACCGGCGTAGACTGGTGGAAGGGAGGAATACGGGGGGCAGCAAAATTCCTGCGTGCAACTTAGGTGTCAGCATAGGTACCTCGACTTAAGCATGCATTACGTATGCTTTTGTGACCACATTTTCTCGACCTCCGGCCACTTGCCCGTATCTTATGATCATTGGGTGACCGGGATAGCAACACGGAACCTGAAGGACTTCCTTCAGTGACTCCTTCTCGCCGATTGTCTTAGAAATGGCCGGGCTCGTGTTAGCCATCCCGTATCAACACGAGGTATACTATGCTATTCTGATGTGACCATCCTGGTTGGTTGCGAGTTGAAAGTCGTCGTCCCACAGCCCAATTCAGCACAGGATTGATTGGTGCAGCCACGAGGCAAGCTGCTGTGATCCATCCATTTGAGACATGCTGCGCCGACTGATGCTTCCTTGTTACACGACGAATATGTGGTGCCGGCATGAGGATCCGAAATAACTAGAATCCGACACCCGCTGATGTGATCTTGTATCGAAGGTCCTAAAACGGAGACCGGTTGCCGTTAGGGGGACCTGTCGGATCGGTCTGCTCATATACCCCAACACCTACGACATGTGGTGATCATCTCAAGGAGGTTTTTGGTAATCGAGGATAACTCCTTCCTGCCGGGGACAAATAGGGACAGATCCCGGGCATGGAACGAGACACAGTTGATGGCAGAGTGATCAAGAGTCAGTGCCCGTGTCGGGTTCAAGGGTCTTACGAAGCACCAAGCGCGTTGAATGTTGAATCGTGTTCGTAAGTCGCAAGAAAGAGATTGGGCTCGATTCTAGCCTTGCTTGGCAGCTGCATGCAGGACGGACCCCGAGTTGGGCACCGCTGGGGGGGGGGAAAAACGAAAGAGAAAAAAAGACAAGAGCTTCTCGGGTTGGATGAGGTAATGAAAAAGCGCGCTGTTCCACAAACCTCCTGCGAGTTAACTAAAACAGAAGCTTGCGGACAGTTGGGTTGTTGGTCGGTGAGTCGACCGTCGGGCGATTCCGGCGCGCGAATCGTGCGAGCGACCAAAAACACATGCTTGGGATTCCATCCCTGCCATCTTCCAGCATCTGGGAATTTCCAGAAGAGCAGGGATCGACCGCCAAGTCGTTTGCTTTCAGTCCGGGCCAGACTCTGGCCCAACAACCAGCTCGGTTGCGCTTTCCCATAACTCGTGAGCAACGCGAAGTGCGCGGTTACGTGACGCGATGAAAGGGGAAGGAACAGCCAAGCCTGGCTGAGAACAACTTTCTGGAAAGCAAGCGCTGATCCGGGGACCTGCCCGCTTCTTGAAACATGGAATGACGATGACTTCCGCTTCCATCTTCCCCGCAACTCTTTTTGTCTCCCACGTTCGCTGCCCGGTTCTCTGTCGACTGCCGTCGCCAAGTACGACGGTGCACTTGGCGACCTTGGCAGCGGTCCCCGGGAAGGGTCCCGACGTCTTGGTTAATCTTCGATTGGCCCCTGAAGCGGAAGGGCTGAGTGAGTGTCAAGTCCGGCCGTCCTCGGGTTGGTCATTCTCGGCCGACAAACATCTTCTCAGGACTTCTTCGACAGCACAACGGTAACCGGTCTTATCGTGCTTATCGTGCCCCAGCTCTCACGGCCGCCACCTCCGCCCACCGCGTCCTGGACCTCCTCCACCTGTACATTTCTATCCATCTGATCTTGACCGCCGAGTTACACTTTGCGTGTACCCTTATAAACACGATCGGTCATCTTTCGAGCTCGTTGCCTTGCTGGTTCCAACGCTGTCAGTTATCGCACTGGCCGACCTCGATGCGACAACAACAACAGCGCCCCTTCCGCCATCGTCGACATCCCTGACACGAGTTACCAACCCGATTCAACCACGCGGCATGGCTAGGCCAGCAAACGCTGCTGTGAGAGAAAACAGACGCCGAACTACGCTTTTGGACCTGGAGCGGATGAATGTGCTCAAGGCCCTAACCGCGGCTGAGCACTCGAGGCGCCAGTTCATCTTGAATTTCGCTGCCAGTAGAGACACTCAGCTCCTCGTACCTGGAAAAAAGGCGGACGCCGTTAAAGCCGCCGAGGAGTGGGTTGCAGTCTGGCTCAGCCAGAATGGTTACCAAGCGGTGAACAACGACCTTTTCAAATACACAGTCGATGCACGCTTGTGGTCCGCTCATGGTACGTTTCCTATCGCCATCGCGTGTGAGTTACACCAACGACTAACCTCATAAGCAGTCGGGGACGACGTTGACTTTCCGTTCGCCTTCATGCGAGAGAAATTTGAGGCCTCACTCAGCGACACCTCTGAGGTTGATTGCAAACCCCCAATTAGCGAGACTTCACTCGTTGCTCACGAGATTGAGCTCGGAGACGGGCAGACACCCCCCGCCCCGGCTTCCGTAGAGCCCACCGGTCCCGAAGTCCGTTCTCTGAAAACGCTGCCCGAGCGGACAGCCCCATCCACGCCGCAGAAACGCAGGCAGCGCTCGATCACGGACCCCAAGCCCGCCGAGGCTTCAGACAGGAAGCGAAGCATGTCCTTGAACAGCCTCGATATGAAGGCACCAAAAGCCGGCCAAGCAAAGTTTCCGTTCTTCGTGCGCCTAACTCGCTCGTGGTCGCGCCACCTATCATCGACTTCCTAAATCCGCCAAACCTCCACCACGTTCTTCCCCGCGCGAGCCCGGGATCAAGGCGAGACAACACCCGCAACGGGGCCCCGACAGGGCACATGACGAACACGAATGGGAAAAGCCCGAGACGTCGCTCTTTGCTGGAAAGGGAGAGAACCACATGTCAGCGCGTCATGGTGGAGGAGTGCAGGCAAGGGCGCAAGGGATGGACGGGCCCCGGCAAGAGCGTGGCCAAGCGCTTGGCCGAAACACTGCGTGACGACGCTCAGTCGCACAGCGGGTTGCACTGCCACGTCGGTCAGCTGCCGACTCCCCACATCGACGCTTGGGTCGTGGCCGAGGGCGGGAAGGACCGTGACTCCCAGTGAGGCTGGCTTGGCCGTACTTGGCTTTTCTTGGTATTGGACGCACTGGGCCTTGGCTTGCGACTGCTGCAGCGAGTCTGTCCCGGACGCTGGATCAAGTCCCTTTCATATTCTTGGCGGATTTCTCTGGATCGAAGCTGCTTGCCTTTAACTATTGTAGACGCAAAAGGTGCGGCACAGAGTACTACACAGTAGTAGCTACGAGTTATGATAACCCCACTCTTCCATGTTTGTCGTTGTTCAGAACCTGGGCTTTCCGAAAAAGCAAGTCATCAACGGTGTGACAGTAGGCATGGATGCGTCCCGAACTTCAAATCCGTTCCACAATGAGACATGCTGCTTCCGCATAATTGCCCACATGATACGCAGGCCGCCCCGGGCGTCAGCTCCGACCCCGCACCCCCGGCTCGTCCCGGCTGGCCCACTTCTCCGGCTACTCCACTTTCCATAATGGGCTCCGGGCGCCCGGCCCAGAAAAGTGTAAGTGGATCACGACCGCCGCCAAGATGGGATGGAATGTTTCATGGTCTGGTTTAGACGGCGTTTCGTTGCCGGCGGTAGACAACGAGTGTTGATGCCGGCCTGCCTGTCCGCCCGTCTGCCTGTCCGCCCGTCCGTCTGTCGTCTGTGTACGTTGTCGAGGGGCGCGGCAAGCATGTGCTGCATTTAGTGCCCGTGCATAAGGTACCCTCGCGGGGTTAGTTGCGTGTGTTGCTGGGTGGCTGCCCGTGGGGTTGCTGGTGTGGCGGTTGGTGATCTATCTAGGGTATGGCAGGACTGGGACGGGGACGGTTGGGTGGTCAGGGGGCTTGTGGACGAGATGGATCCTGCAACACGTCGATGAGAGGCACCGAGGTAGTCAAATGGCTCGAGGTGGGGCTGTGGCTGAGAGGAAGAATGGTACGAGGGGACGGGGATTGGGAGTGATGGGAAAGCCCAAGGCACCGGGATGGGTTGGCCGTGAGTGGGGATGGTGAAGGTCGCACTTACGCTATCTTCATTTGGTCTGATAATATGGTGACCGATTCCCCCATCTTTCGTTCGGTTAATCTCCTGAATCAACGGGTTTCGGCTGATCGATTACCCCGATCAACGTGGTTCAGGTTTGACATTTTAACAACCAGCCAACCAAGCAAAGGTTATCGTGGCTCCTGAAAGGTACTTCATTCTATGTACAATGCTATCTTGAACGTTTTAAGCGCTGTGAAGGTCCACCCCACGCCAGCGTTGCCAGGTGCTCTCGCTCGGCTCAGCGTTGTCCCGATTACCTCGTCTCAAGCCCGCTGGGCCCCGCACACGGCGCTCAATCGCCTCATTGAAATCGCGGTGCAACCGTTCCAGGAACTCGTGGTCACCGGTTACCTCCGCGCGATGAACAAGGTAAAGGAAATCCTCGGTCCATCTCGCGGGGTGTGCCACCTGCATGTAGAAGTTTGCTAGACCACCCTCCTCCCTGATCAAGGGCTTCAGAGGATTGAAAATACAACTTTGCCCTATGCCGATACCGTCTACCAGAGCCTCGGTCATGACGGTACGGCCCGTGGCCGGGCCAGTGTGGAAGTCGGCCATGACGACGCGGAGGGTGAGCGCGGGTGCGTTGATCCGGCTCCGTGCCCAGCCGACGGTGGCGACCCAGTCCAGTATCGCGGGGTGATCCTTACCGGGCCAGCCGTGGGGCACGTAGGGGGGGAATACTAGCTCGAGAAAACGGAGGTGAGCCAGGCAGTGCGTGGGGATGATGTCCCGAAGGAACTCGGACGCGGCGAGACGGTCGAATGGGTAGTAGCTTTCGGTGCTAGTGCTGGGATTGTCTGGGGGTAACGGCTTCGTATTGTATATCCGGCAGGTACCAGGGCTCCCTTGCGTGGAAGTCGTGGACGATGAAGCGGTTGCGGGAAAAGAAGACGAACTCGGCGTCCTGGTACAGGGTGCGGCAGATGAGAAACAGGTACGTCGGAGGAGCCCAGCAATTGCAAGCGAAGGATGCTGCAGAATGTCTAACGCGACAAAAGCAGCAACCAGTTAATGGTGCATAACCCAGGTCGGCATCCAGGTCGGGGTCGCAACGGTGCAGCCGGCAACCATTGTGAACATCAGCTGGGCACTTCCCATTATCACGCGACGAGAAGGCGGAGCAGAGCGACTGAACTAGTTGGTAGCCGCGATGTTGTCTACTCCATGTAACCTCTTTCCAGGGGGTTATAAGGTCGGTATACTCGAGGATACGGACACGCAACTCAGGCGGAAGGTTTGTCAGAGCCGAGGATCTTTTGAGGTCGGCAGGGCCAAGTCGGGCGGGGGAGGCTTTGTCGCAGGCCTGGAGGACTGCAGCTTGGGCAACCTGCTGAAGCGCGTAGCTGGGCTTTTTGGACAACCGTACATGACAGTCTCTGAGACGTGGGAAGAGGGTGACCGGGGCGAGAGCAAGCCGGGCTGCTTCCAATGCGTATGTGTTCTGAGGGTCGATATCGCAAACAAAGAACAGTTCGAGACGCCCAATGCCGATATGGGGCGATATGGAGGCCACCGCATCGGACCACTCGCCCGTCATAGCCTGGACTTCATGCTCGGCCGATGTGGAAACGGTCAAATGGGAGGCCGGGGGATGGTCCAGCAAGGGACGGCGGTGCTGGCCATCACGGGGCTGAGCACCATGGCGCGGCCAGCGGTCTTTGAAACAATGATGGTTGGCAGACCAGGACTCGTCTGGATGGTCCCAGCACCAGCAATATGGAGGAAACCGTGACGGGTCAATCGGCTCGTCGCATGACTGGTTGAGAACGATCTTTAAACTGGTCAGAGACGCGAGGGATGTTGGTGACAGAGCGCGAAGGTTTTTGAATGAGTCCCGAGGCGAGTAGAAGACGACAAATCGGTTGGCCGAATAGAATAGAGCTGCTGTCTCGACGTACAGGGCACGGCAAGATCGGAGTAGGCCGGCGAAGTTGCGCGTCGGAGGAGATTGAAAGTTGGAAGGGTCTGGTGCAAGCTGAATGCTAACCAACCGAACCGACCTGTTGCGGCCGCCCAAAAGGTACGTGTATGGGTGGCCGTCAAACCGTGCCACACCCGCGTGGAGGTATATGCGACGACGGATGTGAGGAGGGAGGCCGACAAGACCAACACTGTGTGCTCGCCCCGGGGGCTGCCTTTCGGTAACATGAATGTTTTGGGTCATTTTTTTCAAGTTGTCAGCCCGCCGTATTGGATGTTGGTAGTTGTTAGTCGTTGGGTTCTAGGTGTTGGGTCCTGGGTGTTGGGTACCTAACTTCGACCTTGGGTTGGGTGTTGGTCATTTGGTTTCATTTGGTTCAAAATATGCCACGAACTGTGTGTTCCAGATGGATTGTCCGCCTTGGCGTTTACAAACGGAAGCCCCACTTGAAACCTGCACATTTGTGGGTAATCACTAGGTACCTACCTCCCTAATCAACCTATGAGTGCTTTGGTATGTGGTACCTTAGGGTTCTGTTGGCACGGGACGTTGGATGTTGGGACATTGGATGATCCGAAACCAGAGTGCCGCGTCCGCTACGGCCCCGATCCTACCGTCGTACAATGCTGCCGGCCCGCGGCCCCAACCCTACTGGCCCCAACCATACCGGCCCTGGTCGCAACTTGATCTTGAAATTTGGTCGAGAAAGCTGGCCCAAGACGGAGTGGTGGTTGTCGAGCTCCAACGGTCCCAATAACTATAGCATGGAACAACGACCCTTGCCCAATCACGGCCAACACCGAAACTCTGTTACTACTTTGGTGCGGTTGTTGGCTCAGCTTCAAATCGGCACCTGGTTGAGTCCGCGGTGCTGAGGACATGAGCTCCAAAGGTCTCGTATTGGGGGGTGTGAGTGGCCAACTGCGCAGCCTCGGCCGGACTACGGGTTCAGTATCCCAATAATGGCCGAAACATCACCAGCCAGGCCATAGCCGGTGGTCCACGGATGGCCGTTCCTCGTCTGAGTGTTAGGGGCTTTGGGGTCTCCAGGGGATCGGGCCGTGCCCATCATCCTGCTTTTATCTCTATCCACCCTCTCAATGTCGCCGAACAAGCCAGTTTCTAGGCCATGCGGGGCCACTTGTGTCTCGGGAACGCTTTATCAGGTTGTCGGAAACTGGCCAACTCGAGGACAAGCTGTCGCAGCCACTTGGGCTTGAGACCTTGGGCCCCGTTTGATGTGGTTCGGCGCCGCCTCGGAGCCAGGAAGCTAGAGATTCCAGCAGCGCGTGGAGGCGAAGAGGGGAGAGCAGCAAGACAGAAAAGTATAAGGCCACTCCGTTGACACGGGCTGGTTGATGATGTTGAACCAAGCTCGACACGCTCTTATCACCACTCAGTCTCCGATTGCCCTACCCTCCTTGAACCCCAACACATTTCCGAAAACACCTCATCACTCTGCTGGCTCAGAGCGACAAAAGCCCGCCCTTTTCTTGCTGGCTCAGAGAGACACCACCAACATACACCCCTCACCCGCAACTTTTCGACACACCCAGTCCACCATACGCCACCCCCCACGACAGACCCCGAACCAAACGTACACAAGGCAACATTATGTGCATATGGGAGCACCTCGTCTACCGTTGCGGCCACGCCGAGCGCGAGCTCAGGAAAATGCCGCACTCGTGTGAGATCTGGAAACGCCACGTGTACGGCGAGTGCGTGTTCGACGGACGCAGCCAGGTCATCGAGGTTCATCATCCCAACATCTGCCCGGACTGCCAAGCGAGCGACAATCGGAAGCAGAGGGAGAGGTGGCGCAGGACCGTGATGAAGGACGGTAGAAGCGGTGGTAAGGGTTCGCGCCGTTAATGGGCATTGGGGGTTGAGTAAGGAGGTGGTGTTCCTTGTTTGTTTCGGTGGGGGGCCGGAAGGGGGAGAAAGAGAGGTGGGCGGTGGTTGATGGCTTGTTTAGGAGGATACTGTACCCCACGTCGGGTCCATTCATTGCTCAGGCGCTGGCAGCTTGACTTTCTGGTGGGCTTATGCCGTGTGACATTCGTTTGTAGAAAGGGGAACGGGGGGTGAGGGGAGAGCGGTAAAAGGTGGCGGCGCCCGCTAGCACGAGATAGACCAAGAAAGGGAACCTCAACTTGCTCCAGTCATTTAAAAGGCATCACAAGGTCTGTCGTTAGTCTGCTAGGAAAAGTAAAATCACACACGCCCGTAAACCCCTTTTACCACTCATCCAGCCAGATATTATGGTTAAAATGCTTCTGCTCTGCGTCCCCATACTTCCTCGCAACAAACGCCACCTTCCCGTCGTGCAGCACCGGCATTGCCTTGAGCTCAACCACCAGCACGTTCGTCTTGTTATCTTTGATACCCTGGTCGACCCTGATCCGGTAGGCCTCAATGATGGCGATTTGGTCGAGGTATTCGAAATAGGCTTTCGCGCCGGAGCCGATAGCGCCGTACTGGTCCGTCCAGTCGCCCGATTCCGGGTCGAATTTGGACCTGTCGGTAACCACCCTGGACACGAACGGGCTCCTCTGGATCCAGTCGCGGTTACCGCGCGGCACCATCTCCGAGATGGCCGCGTCGGGACCCAGGACCGTGTACAGGGCCCCGACGACCGCGGGCCGGAGTGCCGTCATAGTCGAATCCTGGAGGGCCCACCGATCGATGTTGTTAGGGGGATAGTACGGCGGCGGCGGGACCGAGGAGTCGAGGAGTGAGGGAAGCTCGAGGGGGATCACAAAAACGAGCCGGCACGGGGTTTTAGAGTCGACGTGGAATTCGTTGGCCTTGATGACGATGGCGGGCATCGACGCCGGCGGCGTGGGTGATCTCGATCCCTCGGGCCTCTGCGACATCGTGCGTGTTTATTTAAACAGTTGAATGGGTCGACGTTGGTCAGCGCCCCTCCCTCGTCGATGCGGGATCTTGGCTGCTCATTTATGCTCTCTCAGTGTCGCTCGGTTCCATGGTCCAACGGCGGCCGCCCGCCTCCTGCTGTTGGTTGTTGGAACATGGCCGGATGCGCCCGGACTGGTCCCGTACCAATCACAGGCCATGCTTATGAGGCACCGTATTACACGGTATCAGCCTACCATCAGGTCTCCGCGGCTCGCGTAAGCCCTCTCCCCGTCGGACACCACAAATCACCAAGCGGTCGCACCTCATCAGGACGAGGGTGCCCCCGTCTTGGCTGCGAAGTTCCAAGAAGGAAATGATATCACCAAGTTCCGTACCAAGGTCCGGGCCTCAACCAACCAGCGCGAGGAGAACAGGCTTTACCGCCAAATCGGAAGCACGCTCGCGACTTGCACCAAGTTCCAGCTCGAAAGCGACAGGTCTACTTCAAGGAGCGGACCGGTTATATTTCCAGGGTCTTGAGCCGGAGAACACACGTTGTAAGGGATTATATGAACCCAGCCCATTTTCATTCAAGTGCAAGCTAGTGGTCTCTTGCAGTGTCTATCCACCGCGCTTTGCGGAAGCCGGGTGATGTCAACCTTTCCCTGGGTCTGTCAGCCTTGCTGACACCTTGGGCCAAGTGATAGCCATATTGGCTCTAAACAGTATATTCCATAAGAGAGAAGCTAAGACACAACAACTAGATCAACTCCTACCGATACAGAAACGTGGAGAACAGGCTCTTCCTCATGGCAATAGTTCCGCACACAGGAAACAGCTACGGGTCCCCTGCAAATAGGGGTTAGGGTTGACGAAGAGTCTCGGCCCTGAGGAACGGTGAACCGGTCGGATCTTTTCCGAACGGGGCAGCCTAACTAAATTAGCTGTTGTGGCGTCTGAAGATGGAGGAAATTTCCCAGGTTGATTTATAATTCGTGCGACTTCATATCGCGATTCACCGCTGCGTCCTCCCCCGTCCGTTAATATCAAAAGGCACATGCAACCTGAAGCCAGCGATTAATAAACTGACAAAAGGACGACAACGATAAGAACGGTCAAAGGTGTTATTCACCACCAAAATGGAGCCCGAAACCTTCGACGTTGTCGTTATTGGGGCCGGCCTGACTGGAATCAATACTGCCTACCGGCTGCAGACCGAGGTCCCGCACCACAGTTTCGCCGTCCTCGAGTCTCGCCACGAAATTGGGGGGGACATGGGCTTTCTGGAAGTATCCCGGCATCCGCACCGACAGCCCCATGGGCGTCTTTGGGTTCTCGTGGCGCCCCTGGCCGCACGAGACCAGCATGGCGCCGGCGCCGGCCATCAAGTCCTATCTCGAGGATTGCGCCGCCGCTGAGGGCATCGACAAGAAGATCCGGTTTCGCCACCGCGTCGTTTCTGCTAGCTGGAGCAGCGAGGAGCAGCGCTGGACGTTGCAGGTCGAGGTGACGGGCGAGGATGGCAGCATTGAGACGAAGATCATAAAGGCCTGGTGGATCATCAACGCCAGCGGCTATTACAGCTACGAGCGGCCGCTGCCTGCCGTGATCCCGGGGATTGAGAGGTTCGGCGGAGAGGTCGTGCATCCGCAGTTCTGGAACGAGAAAGTCAACCACGCCGGGAAGAAGATCGTCATCATCGGCTCGGGCGCCACGGCCGTCACCCTCCTCCCCGCGCTCGCCAAGACGGCCGAAAGTGTGACGATGCTGCAGCGCAGCCCCTCCTACATCTTCAACCTGCCGGGGAAGGACACGACCGTCACCTTCCTGTCGCGGTTCATGCCGCGGTCGTGGGCGGCGCAGATCCACTGGTGGCAGGAGATCTTCCTCGAGACGCTGCTCGTCACTTTCCTCACCACCTTCCCAACCCGCGGCCGGCGCCTCGTCATCAACAACATGCGCGACCAGCTGCCCGCAGGCTTCGACGTCGACAAGCACTTCAACCCGCGGTACAACCCCTTCGAGCAGCGCCTCTGCTTCTGCCCCAACGGCGACTTCTTCAAAGCCCTGCACGGCCCCAAACCCAAAGCCCAGGTCGTAACCGACACCATCTCGACCGTCACGGAAACCGGCATCCAACTCACATCCGGCACCACCCTCGAAGCGGACATGATCGTGACGGCCACGGGCCTGTACTTCGCGCTCCTCTGCGGCATCGCCGTCAGCGTCGACGGCACGTCCGTCTCCGACACGCTCGGCCAGCGCTACATCTGGAACGGCTGCATGCTCGAGGGCGTGCCCAACGCGGGGCTGATCACGGGCTACACGGCCGCGACGTGGACCCCCGGCGCCGACGTGCGCGCGCGCCAGCTGATCGCCGTGATGCGCCACATGGACGGGAGCGGGGCGACCGGCGCGCTGCCGTATATCGATCCCGCTGAGCGCGCGACCATGCCCGCGGCGCCGGCGGTCCAGTTGAGCTCCACTTATATGGTTTCGGCGCTGGATCGTATGCCCAAGGTTGGGGCGAAGGCGCCGTGGGTGAATGGCGCGAATTGGGCGGGGGATGCGTGGCGGCTGCTGACGGGGAGCGTGACGCGCGGGATTAGGTATACCTCGGGGGGGAAGAAGGATGTTTAGGTGGGAGACTTTCCGGATGTTTTTATGTGGGAGCGGGCGGTAATGAGTGGTGAGCAGGGCTCTGATCGAGAGTCGGTGGGTGGGTGTTTGAATAGGTGTATCTAACTTGAGGTAGGTACTTGGGTAGTTGATGTATTGCTGCAGTGGTACGGTCCATGTAATGTTAAAAGGCTCGAGGGCCATTCACCTCGTCACCTTGGAGGCTCGCTCCAAGACACCGGCGTTTTAGGCGTTCGGCCAGCGGGGTCATTATCATTTGGGTCTTCTTGTCCCAATAATACGGGGAATGGTGCGAAGGAACGCCGAGGGTAAATATGTCTTTTCCTATTCCTACTTTATTGAAGGGGAGGCGCTGGGGAACCTAACCAGCCCGTGCTGGCGCTCATACTTGAATATCTACCTACCTAGGTACCTATCCAGCAACCCCGTCTCCCCCACGTGCTTCCCAAGGAAGCAGACCTTTCCTCCTCGCTAACCAGACTCCCCTCACACGAGTAGGTAGGTATTAGCACAGGGACTCCCAAGCACCATGTCCCCCCAACACCCCACTACTCCCACACAATCGTCTTGTTGATATGGCTCATGTCAGGCAGCCGCATGCGGAACGCGCTGCTGCCCTTGGCCGTCACAGCATTGTCGGCGTCTGACCAGCACGCACCCTCGGCGACGTCCTCGCAGAACGGGTACAGCGTCTTGGTCGGCATGTGGCAGAACATCCTCTCGGCGTAGGAGACAAAGCTCTGCCCGGCGGCCTTGCCGTTGGGGTCGCATAGTTCGGAGGCGCTATGCTGGGCGCGGCGGCTCTTGATTATGCGCGGGTCGTTCTCGAACGTGGAGCCCAAGCGCTGTGCCTGGCGCTTACGGGTTGCCTCGCGGCCGGGGCCCGCCGAGGCGGTGTTGGTGATGATGTTGCGCTTGCGCTGCCAGGTCCAGATGGTGCTCGGGTCGGGCTCCGTGCGGAAACTGACGGGTGACTGGTTGTCGCAGTAGTACGAGATGTCCCGGGCGTCGGACTGGCTGCCGTCGAACTCGGGCCAGTGGACCTGGAAGCCTGTCGTCTCGACGTCGCCGTTGCCGTCAACCCAGGCGCAGTACACGGTATGCTCGTTGTCATTCAGGCCGGGGACCGTCGTGCCGGCATAGTACCTGATTCGTTTTATAAGTAGGTGAGGGTTGGCGTTCCGGAAGGACTTGTACGTACCAAGCACCGCCTCCGTTGCCATAGATATCGCATCCGCGGGCCCACTGCCCCGGATGGAATCCAAACTTTTGATTGCCTCCTGGGAAGGAGATCCCCGTCCAAGCAATGCAAATGGCATCGTCGTTACCCGTGAACAGGGTATATACAGGCGCCTCCCGGGTGCTCACATCTGTGGTGCAGGTCGTCCACCCCTCCCCGCAGTTGTCGCCGTCCTGCGTCGTGATTCCGAGGAACTCGGCCGTCTGATCCCACATCCGGACGTCGGGCTTGTGCCCTCCGGCCCCGGTGAGGTCGCCGTTTGCACCGTCATTGGCGATAACATAACTAACGGTAGCAGTGCCACTGTCGCTAGAGGGAATCTGCCCGAGAAGGAAGGAGAGGATGCTGACCCCCGTCCCAATGATCGAGACCACAAGGCCGGTAGTAGCCATAGCAAGATGCGTCTAGTATGTTCAAGGAGACGGAATTTGCCAACCACCAGGCTGGAGCTAACCAAGTGAGAAGTGAGCCGGAAGTTGAGACCTGACTCTGATGGGCTGTGGCATTTTAGAAGCCATCTGAGTTTGAAGCGAGAGCGTGCCGGTCTCTTTATACTTCCGTCCTCACTCCCGGTCCATCAACTTTGAAGTCCTGTTTAAACCCCGTAGAGCCCTAGTACAGGCGCTTTTAGACCTCGGTGTCCCGGAGTCACCCTTCTGTCACTCACTTCTACTTTCAGCCGCAAATACAACGCTTGGGCTGCGGTTGGATATCACGAAGCCTTGCTCGTAAATGTGTGTAAAAAGGATGAGGCCAAGACTTCACATCTCTGGACGATCCGGACCATTTGAGACATGGCGTGGTGAGATAGTACCACATTGGTGGGTTGCATACATACGGCGGCGCTCGGTGAGATCCCAGGAACCCCTGATCAGGGCTTGAAAAACCTTGGGCCATGCAACTCGGCGGCGTGGGATGATCGTGCGCCGGTGAGGCCGGTTCTCAGTCTACCACAGCTTCAGGTTGCTAAGGCAAACGGCTGCCTAGCTGCTGTTACCATAGCTACGTAAACATGATTCAATTGGCCGCATGCCCTTGAGATACTTCATGTCCGCCTCAATGTCGTTACATTTAAGCACCTTCACGGCTGTAAGTTGCCGAGGAGATTACCATGGGCCGAGTTGTGATGTTGAGAAAACCTCAAGCACACATGGTACCGAACTCACTACACTAATCCATACCATGTATCCGACCCGTATGTAAGTGCAGGGCTTGTAGATTTTGGGCCAAAAACTTCAAGATCGCCTCGAAGCATCTTGCCTCCTATTGCTCGCCGTTGTTGCTAATTAATAATAGTAATCATTAATCAGGGTTAACGGCTTCTACAGCGTACAGCTATCATAATACGTTACATGTAGGACAAAGTCAGGAATAATATCTATAACCTTGGTATTTAATGCTCCTCTGTTCACACGTTTTGGCAACACTTGACGCTCGGCATTCGGCACTGAGAAGGGATCGTCGTCGTCCACGTGTAGTAAATAGAGTGCCGCACTCCCGCGGCAAGGCGACATCAACAACTTGGCATCCCGAATTGGGGGTGAACAGACAGGGGCTCGATGCTTGTCTTGCGTCAGGCCAAGCTTCCTTCGAACAACACAGCAAGGAACTGGGGAATACACTCCACAAATGTACCTCAACACCGCCTGATGGGAACCAACGGCAACGTAACCCAACGCTCGCACTCACGAAATCGCCCCTATCAGGGGACTCCCCTCGGACAAAAGTGTCAAGGTTGATATCCGCCTTGAACGCAGTACGTCATGGCAACCTTTGCCATCTTTAATACTCTTAATTAAACTCTAACCTGGACGATTGAGTTTCATCATTTGCAATATTATTGACAAGTTGCGCTTTTACCCACTTGCACAACTGCTGGCAGTTAACCGGGCACCTTGCCGTTTTTCTCCCGGAACTTCAACCCCTGACTTCTTTCCGCCAGCACCGCGAACATGAAAGTTCACCACAGCCCTCTTCTAGTCGCTCTCGCTACTGCTCGAGCGGCAGCTCAGGGGACAAGTGACTTGCCAGAGACGCCGAACCCATCCATCAGCCTATCAACATGTGAGGATCTCGCCTGCAGCCCGTCAAGTAAAAGCGTCTGTAATGCAGAGGGTCTTCCTGGCGCGCCCGTCAGCGTGGGCATCGCGCCCCAGGTCCTTGAGCTCCCTTCAGCGAACTTCAGTCTTACTCTCATCGACGGCCTCGACGAGCGCGGTTTCACGGTCGCTGGCCTACCGGCCTACGAGTACACGGACCTACAGCTCTTCGTTGGCGCGGACCCCGACCTAGCAGAGGACGACTATCCGTCCGGGTGCGCTTTAATGATGCAGTACCAAGGACAGACGTTCCCAGTTTCCGACGACGACGAAGAATCGAATCGCTCCCAGTCAACATTGTGCGGGGAAGTTGTCGACGAACTCTGTCAAGCGTCCATCTACAATATGGTCCAGAGCTTCAGCAACGCCTCCTCTTCTTCGCAGGACGATGAATCGGACCGCTGCAGGGAGCTGACGCGGCACATCAACACGCGCATGCGCGAGGACGCCTTCCTGTGCGGCGGGCACTACCTCTCCACCTTCATCAACGTCACGGGCGGCGCCCTGCCCGGGCCCGAGTCACGGACGGTAACCCACGAAGCCCTCGGCGAACAATCGTGCCGCCCAATGCTGCCGCAGGCCTTCCAGATGTACTCGGTGGCCAGGATGCGGCAATACTACTTTATCGATCCGCCTGCGTCCGAGTTCCTCCAGCCGCTGTTCGGCGGTCGCGCTGGATCCACGCCCGTCTTCACGGTTGTCTATGATGGAAACAACGATACCGAGCCCGAGGTTCAGTTCGTTTGTATGAAGACGTACCAGGCCAACGGCGACCCCCAACCTGACCCGCTCGAGGGTGCCGCATCGATCGCTATCCCCAAAAGCACTGCCGTGTTGGTTGTAGTTTTGGCGATGGGTTTTGCAATGATCATGTAAATTAAAAGATACTGTTACCTCTCAAGTCCATGTAACCCCAATTTTGTGTTGTTTTGGGCGAAAATATGACAGCGGACGATGTACACGGCACCCCCGGGTATCAAGGAAACACACCATGGATGCATCGGGTATCTGTGGTCAGGTGGCCCCTATCGGGCCCCCGCGCGTCATCATTCGTGCGAGCGTCGGCCATCCTGGCATGCTCTATAGGTAACTGTTCCCATTTGCCACCAACCTCTAGTACCTTACCTGGTTGCCCAACTTGACCCCCAAGCATCCTTTGGGATCGACAGTTCGACCGTTGACAAATAAAATGGGATGCCTCACCTTCCACAACTTCCTCTCATGCTTCCGCCGGCAGCCGCGGCGCGAGACGTGCTGCACCCCGGCCGAGACCCGAGAGTCGCCTTCCGCGCCGTCCCCGCCTCCGTCCCTTCAGCCATCTCTTCCGCCATCTCTTCCACCGCGCCCTCCACGGTATACTCAACTGTTCCCCCCGCCGTCTCTTCCGCCGTCTTTTCCGCCGTCTCTTCCGCCGTCTCTTCCACTATCTCTTTCGTCGTCTCTTCCGCCGTCCCCGTCGACGTCCCCTCTACCGTCACCACCACTGCCGCTCTCGGGCTTTCTGTGGTTGCCTGCCGACGTTGTTCTGTACCTCTGCCGGGAACACCTGCCGCCTTCTGCAGCCGTGGGCTTGTCGCTGACCTGCAAAGCGTTGTTTGGCCTCGTCTTTCCAGAGGCAGCACCAGGCCTTGGCAGGAACCCGGCGGAGCGCGAAGCTCTACAGCTGCTGCTTGAGAGGGACTTGGGGCAGCATTGGTGGTACTGCCACGGCTGCTCTTTACTCCACCGCATCCGTAGCCACGGTCCGACTACCGACCCTCCCACCAGTGCTACAGCTTATTGGCCGCCAATCACCTGGGAACCCGGCCGCCCATGTCACAACAGTCACTGGTTTGAAGGAAGCACTTTTGTCCTCGACTACGAGAGCGTCCGCCTTGTCATGAACCGTCATTTCCTCGGGCCCCCAAACGGTTTACCCTTGGGGAGTTTCACCGTCGAAGCTAGCTCCATGTTCTTCAACCCATGGCAAGGAAAATTGGTCCCGTGGCGAGAAGGATGGTCAGCCCGTATCGTCCAAGGCCAGTTCTTTTTATCGGCCACGCGTACCCTAAGTAGCGCCGGATGGGCCGACAACACGCTGCGAGAGGCCTTGGCCCATGAGGAGCGGGAGCTCTGCGGACACGTCAAGATATCGTCGCGTCCATGTGTTCATTCGGTCAAGGCTCTTAGCTGCACCTATCGTGCATATCCACGCTCCTTTGTACCATGCCGTGATGTTGTCGAGTCATGCTACCGCTGTCTCACGGATTACGCAACTACAATAGAGCACGTGGGAACCGACACAGAACAGACGACCAGGTATTGGTTCATTACCATTACCTCGTATCATCAACTAGGAAGTGGCCGATCCGCCACTGATGCAAATTTCGACGCCTTTGGGCATCTAATGAGTCTGGATTCCTACCGCATGAGGCGGGACATGGTAACACATCCTCCGGGTGCGGTCAAAAGGTCATGGGAGTCGTACAAACCCTAGTCCTAAAGGGCGTTTGGACACGGGCACATAGCAATACAGAAGTCTACCAAAGCATCCTGTGGATAACCAAGGTCGAGGGGCAGCTGTCCCCAACCTGGCGCTCTCTATTCTTCCTGAAGAATTCGTCGTTGTGCCACACCCAACCCCTTGTCTCTCTGCAGGAGAGCCATGCCATATCTGACTTTGACTTTCCGCCTCCCCGGCCCGGTGCGTGACGGTGTGGCGGACGCACTGCTGGCGGGAACGGGGGCGGGCCCCGGTGTAGTCCGTGTCCCTGTCGTCCACTGGTCCTGAGCTGTAACTTCCTTTCTTGGGTTCTGTGCGGCGGAGGCGACAGTCGCACTCATCGCGCTCCTTCCCACGGCGCGCTTGCTGGTTGCCACTGCCATTACTTCCCTATCTTTTCTCAAAGACAAGCCAGAGACGGCACCGCTTCTTGGCCAGGTGCCAACTGTAAACTGCGTGGTAGCTTCCCGGTTCGTTTGAATCGCCGCTGCCAGGAAGGCCCTTGTAAGAAAGGAACGGGCCTCCTTCTTCACGGAATTGTCCCCCTCCTGCGCTTTCAGAACAACAACCATCGTCTGGGTGCAAGACGGAACGGTCGGGCATTGACTGCCATGGAAGGCGTCGTTTGCCATAGACCGCTCGTTAAAATACCTTTTCCCTCCTCCCTTTGCTTCTCTTCGCTTCCCTTCTCTCCTCACCAAACAGACCAAAAGCTCACTCTTCAACTTTGTTTCTGACACTGAAGAAAACATCATGAGCTTCGTTAGCATTTGGCAGTCGGTCTGGGCCACTATTGCCGCATTGCCGGTAATTTCTTCTTTGCTTCGGTTCGGCCAGCCTAACAGGCCACCAACACCTCCCCCCGATCCGGTTCCCGGGCTTGTAGAGCAAATCCGTGATGGCCAGAGAGCCATCGTCGCGAACCAAACGACCATCGCTGAGGGGTTTCAGCTAATCGCCGACCGTCTGAGTTCCATTGGCGAAGAGGTGAAGGTGATCGCCAAGGGTCAGCAGACCCTAGACAATCGCTTTCGGGCCCTCGGCGATGGTATTCACGCGGTCGACAATCGGCTGAAGGCCCTCGACGATGTTCCGAAGGCGACCGTCGACGCCTTGAAGGCCATCACCGACGAACTCAAAACGGCCCAGGTTGACTCGAACAGCCATCAATCCGACGTAAGGCATTGCCTTCACGCCGTGAAAGATGCGACAGAGTCATTGGCAGAGGCCCTCGGGCGCATGTCGAAACCAGTCGGGGAAGTGAGCGAGCCTCGCACGGCGCAGTCAGAGTCTGCGACAGAGCCGACTCAGACCCAAGGCACTCCAAGTCTTGAAGAGACGGCAAGGTAGCTACGGCGCCACCGTCTAGGCTGCTTGCGTGAACACGGCGGAGACGCAGCAGCTCCACCCGTCGTCCGGGGCGGCGGGTGGTGCCTCTGGGGACAATTTCATATATTAGACCTCCATCCTCAGAACCCCAGAGGTACCCCGGCGATGGGATTGCACCTTGACGTGGTGCCGGGGCTCGGCAGCATTCCCTCGGGGGTGCTGTCGCCAAGACAATCCCGCCCAGGTATGTCCTTTTCCACCTTGTCCGATCCTCATTTTCTCGCCTTGTTTGCTACCTCTCTTCTCCCTTTTGTCCCCCTTCTCCTCAACCTGCTTTCTCTCTCTGCTCCCTTTCCTCTCCCGCCGCCGTATGAAGGTTATTGGGGTACCCTACAGGTTGGGGTACAGGCCTGGTCTATTTTGCTTCGTCGGTCAGTTTTTGTATTGATTGAAATGGTTCACTTGGACGGTGGTTTGGTTGAGTCGATGGGGGAGATGATGTTGAACTGAGGAGGTGGCTTGTAGCTTTTCCCTTTTTCAGTTGCGTTCTCCTACAATCGCAGTCCTTGTATTCAATGTGAGGGTCCCGGCACCCCTCAGGGGTTCAGGGGTCAGTAAACATTGCCAAGCAATTGTACTCTGTTTCAATCGTCGGAGGAACCGCTCTACTTCGTATTTGGCAGTGTTTGTGACGGTGACCATTTGCCTCGAGGGGCACGCGTGTAGGCGCATTGACACTGAGGTCGTGGGACCTCCTGCAACGAAGCTCACTTCCGACGCCATCATCTCCCCTATGCGACATTGTGATCTGTGTAGTTCTGGGGGGGGGGGGGGGGGGAGCATCGCTTGAATGCAGTGTTAAACCCTTCTTTTGAGCTCGAGGGACTGAAATATTTCCCAATTTCCCACAACTTGGTCGACTAAAGATGAGAACGAGACCGGTCAAGGACAAGTTGGAGTTTTCTTCAGCAAAGGAACCCAGTTGTGAATGGAAGACCAAGAAGCAAACATTGAATGGTATGAAACGCATACGATATTCTCAAAGGCACAAGTGCTTATAGCTGGGTCATTTACTACCATATCCCACCAGTAATTACCAAACCCAGACCAACAGCCAGCTCACACATCAACGACATAACCTCAACTGCATTAATCCCCCATCCGCGCCATCCTCCGTCAACCCCAGCTCAGCGAAACCACACCCTAAACCACCTCACAGCCTGGTCCTCGCACTGCTCGCCCATCTCCCTCTGCGCCGGATCCTCCCGATTCCCCCTAACCGCAAACCCATGCCTCGCACCGGGATACATCACCATCTCATACCTCGGCCCCCGCCCAAGCACAACCCCTTCAGGCTCCCCCCCATCCCCACCGGCACCAGCACCAGCACCACCACCACCCTCCGCATCCGCCTCATTCTTCCCCCCCAACACCCGCTCCATCAACGCCACGTTCTCCCGCCCCACATACGCGTCCTCGTCCCCGATCGCCACGCTCAGCGGCCGCTCCACCCGCTCGATGTGCGCCGGGAAGCTCAGCAGCGACGGGTGCGCCGTGAACCCGCAGTCGATCAGCGGCCGCTCCTCCTCCCCCGGGCCCTCGTTCCCTCCCTGCTGGGCGGCGGTGGCGATCCGGTAGCGGTTGCGGGGCACGTCGTGGGTAAGGAGGATGGTGTGCAGACCGCCCCAGCAGAAGCCGGCGACGCCGACTTTGGTGGTGGTGGTGGTGGTGGTGGTGGTGGTGCGCAGCGCGGTGAGGAAGGCGAGCACGCGCGGGTGGGTGACGGATTGGCGGGTGCGGAAGAGGAAGAGGAGGACGGTGGGGAGGAGGCGGAGGGCGGTGAGGGCGCTGCGGAGATGGGTGAAGAGCCGGCCGGTGAGGGTTGTTGGGGGGACTGTGGGTGGGGGTTCGACCGCGGAGAGGAGGGATTCGGGGAATGCGTGGCCTGGAGGTGGTTTGGAGAGAGGTGAGTTGGGGGAGCGTTCTTGTGTGGCTACCTAGGTACCTAGGTACCAGGGTCTAAGGTAGGGGCCCAAGAGGACATACCGTTCATAAAATCCGGCACGTAGACGATGCACGGAACGCGCTTGGCGTAGGCGTCTGCCAGGGTCCGCGAGTTGCGTAGTTTCCAACCGAAGGCATCCGTGATGAAAACCACAGTACCGAGGGGCTTGACGCCGGGCTCGGGGCGAGTGACGTAGGTCGGGAGACCGTAGATGACCTCCTCATGGCCTGTAGGGGTCGCGTCGTCACGGAGAGTACCCGTAAAGCAATCGCGGCATACTGGAGCCTGCATTTTGATGTGGTTCACTACGAATTCAATGGGAGTAAGGACGGGGAATGGGTGCGCTGTGCTGCCGTGTCAGATGGGCGATCATGATGTAATTATAGGTAGGTAATGAGTGAATGAAGGGAGGGAGAAGTTAAGAAGGTCCGTAACAGAAAAGTGGACCGTCGGATTTAACGGAGAATAAGGGCTGAAGTGAGCCCGCTCCTAAGCGCCAAAAGAAAAGCCGAACGGCGCAGGAAAACAAGAAAAAAGTAGAACGGATAAACAGAAAGAAATCGGGTAAAAAGAAGGTAAATTGATAGGTACAGGTCGTGAGCTTCCGGATGACTCTCCTTTCCCCCCCTCTACTCAATGTTTGGTCGACGTTCACGTGGAAAATCGGCCTCTTTTGCGCTGGTTAGGTCCTGTCTTATTCAGGGGCTACGCCACATTTATTCTCGAACACCTCCTATTCGTACACCGATTTGCTTTCACTCCGAGTCATCATCCGCTATCACAACAGCTCTCATCCTTCGTGACTCGAGCACCTTGGCTTCGTTTCCTTCCTCCTCCTCCTCCTCGGGCCAGGTAATCCAGATGCGCCTACTCACCACCTCGGCGCTCCCAAATGGATTGTACAACGCACCAGTGTGGCTGTTTCTCTTTTGATATCCAGCAGTAGAGAACGTGCTAATCTCTTCGCTCTTGAACGGCACCGGCGGCCTCAACCAGACCTTGTCGACAGCTTCACTCCCGGTGTGAATGAGGATGGCCCTGTATCCGTTGTCGTGCTCCCTGATTTTGTGCATTACATAGTGGGCTAGAGCCTTTGAGAGGCCCTTACCAGCATGGTCGCCGCGGGTGTGCGTTCCACTCCTCCGCACCACATTTCCTCTGTTTGTCGGTGCCCAGACCGACTCGGGGCGCTTGTCGCCGGCTTTGAGCCCGTCGCTGATGTCTCTATGGCCGTCCACGATCTCACTCCAGGCCTCAACATTGGTTCTGGGTACACACCCGGACTTGACGACGTCTTTGGACATGGCAATTGATACGAGTGGGAAGTCCATCTGCTCGAGGAGCTTCTCTCTGTCCGCAGACCGGTCGTCGAAATCCCATTTTAGGGTTCCCTCCTCGTCTGGATTTGCCCACTTGTTCTCCGTTGAGAACACGCCATAAGACAAGCCGGATCGTATGTTTTCGATCGAGGAGTACTCTATCGCGTCAAACATGTCGTAGGCGCGCTGGGTTGCCCCGTCCGTGTAACCAACGTTGGACCAGACAGGGGAGTCGAAGCTCATGGTGTGGGCGATGATAGCCTGGACCCATCCGAGATGCCCAAGCCCGAGCCTGCGGATTTCGTATCCTTTGGGGAGATTAACGTCGTCAAAGGTCATCGTGCTGAGAGGAGTCGTTGTTACAGAGTGTGGGAAGATAGATCAATACCGATGCTAGAGTAAAAGAAATGGCATAAGATCGAGGATCCCCATGGGCTTTACATATACCAACGCATTATTATCCTGACACCATGTGATCCAGGTTACGTTTCAAGGCTCCGTCCGTCCTCATCACCCACGCCTTTGTGGGATGGTTTCGCAGCAGTTGGTGTGTTCAAGGTAACAGTAAGCGTGTGTCCGCATTGTTGGCACGATCCAACATCATCAATACCAGTATGCCGTACTGACGGGAGTTTGTCATATGGACACAATACCGTCCACGAGCGCCACATGGTCCGGAGAGAAGGTCACCAACACAGAAAATGCGCTGGCTTCTATCACACAACTCTATGATCTAATCGTATTACTGTTTTAGTGTACCACCAACTACCCTAGTCCCAACACCTAATGACACCCCCAACCAACCGTCTAAAACACAAAGATATCGTCGTCCATCCTCGCCACCGCCCCCGGCACTCTGAAACCCACCTCCCCCAGCATCCCCTTCGCCGCATTCACCATCCCCGGCGGCCCACACACCATCACCTTACTCCCCACCCCCGGCAGCGGCATCCTCTCCCGCACCACCTCCCTCGTAATATGCCCCACCCCATACCCCCACCCCTCAGGCGCCACATCCAACATATACCACACCCGCAACTTCTCCGGAAACCTCCCCGCCAACTCTTCCAACTCCCTTCTCAACAAAATATCCCCCTCCCCCTTATTCGCATACACCAAACTCACCTTCGTCTCATCCCCCTCATCCTCACAAATCGCCCGCACCACCTGGTACATGGGCGTGATCCCCGTCCCGCCCGCCACCATGCCGATCCTTGCCGCCCACCCGCGCCGGTAGCGCATCGCGCCCTTGGGGCCGCGGAACGCCACGCTGTCCACCCCCGCGCGCAGGTGGGCCAGGTAGCGCGACGTCAGCTGCCCGTCGGGGTAGCAGCGGACCACGAGCTCGAGGATGCCCTGGTCGGTGTCGTTGGAGATGGGCGTGTAGGAGCGCGTGACGGGCTTGTTGTCGATGGTGGCGCGGATGGAGACGTGTTGGCCGGTTGGGAGGCCGAGGGTTGTGGTGGGCGTGGGGAGGGCGAAGACCAGGCGGAGCACGCCGGGGGCGAGGGTTTCTTTGTGGGTGAGGGGGAGGGTTTGGTAGGTTTGCGGGTTGAGGAAGGTGGTGGGGGTGGTTTTGGTTTCGGTTTTGGAGAGGGTGGTTGTGGGCCGTGTCCGTCGGGGTTTGGTCGAGGGCTTGTGCGGCGGAAAGCGGATGAAGCCGGAGGGAATTTGGGTGAGTTTGGAGATCTTGTTGGCTGCTGCTGCCGCGAGGATGGCAGTCAGTGCTGATGCGGCGAGGAAGCCGACTGAAAAGCCGCCACTTCCTGTGGTGCCAAGGTGAGGAAAGTTTTGTGTCGTCGTTGATGGGAGGATCTTGGGGAACTTGATGGTGCTGCGATGCTGAGAGTAGTGGGCAGCAGAGCACAGGGTGGCTACGACGCAAGTCGCAACGGTCAAGACCTTCGCCGCTTGAGAGGTGGAAGAAGGCTGGGGTTTGGCGGCCGGTTCAATGACTCGTGGAACCTGGACAACACGTTTGGGTGCCGGCTTCTTGTACCCCTTCAGCACGCCGACACACAACTCCCGCATAATCTCCAGCGCATCCTCGGAGTGACCTGCATTGTCGAAGTCCTCTGTGGCGTCAGTGCCGGCCGCTTCCACGAGCAGATCGGCACCACCGGGGTGGTCTTCAATGTATCGTGAGACGTCAAAGACTGACGAGTCTGTTAGTAACGGTCAATGGGTAGGTTGTTCACTCATTCTTACTAACCTTCGCCATGGATAATCATCCAATTGTCGGATTTGCCCTTGTGCGCAGTCACGTCTTCAGCCGTGTACTCCATCGGGAGTGTCTGTCTGGTTACAGGGGGAGCCATTGTAGGTGTGAAGCATGAACCGAAGTTACTGAATACCTAGGGAGCACGAGAGTGACCAAAGCGAACCTCCGCGCCGTGCCTGGTTATGTTGTTATAAGGAGCCGGTGAGCACGAGTGACGAAAAAGTGTCAAACCGTCACGCTTATGATCCATATGATGACCATGTTTGCGTCGGCGTTGGGCGGCGCTCTGAAACCCGGTGCGCCGGCATCCGGACTTAGGAGTGGTGTGGTGGAGCGAGAACACCCTTGTGTGGATTAACAGCAATCTCCGTGATAAAGCCTCGTTTTGCCTCGGGACACAACTGGGAGAACGAGGTTTTCAGGGGTCCTCGTCCGGAACGGGGTGGAGTTCGGCCATCCCGACTCCTGAACATGATTTGCATGAACGCGTCCAGTGTAGCATCAGAACTTACCCCTGGCCGGCACTTGGGTCCCACTCAGCGACGGCGACCAGGTAATCCCTGCACCCAGTGAACGCCATGCCGCGGCATCTCGTCACGATCCACAGATGCCGAGTATCGAATATTCCATGCTTTCGCGAGCCCGCTCCGTGTGGCCACCGGGTCGGCGCGCGTTTGAATGCCGATCCGATTCGCAAGGTTTTGCTGGCCTAAGGGTATGCCTCAAGATATCTTGATAATCACTCAAAATACTTAACAAGAAGACGTCGCCCAGCCATGCATACTACGTACTGCTAAAGGACCTAATAATCTGTCTTTGGAATTCTTTTTTAAACTGAACGCTCATCTCCCTATTCTTGTTATTCATCATTGCCCCGAACCAGATACCTAGCCCCTACTTGCTAAACTCCTCGGACTATTTCCCCGAACCCTCTGTTCTCATAATGCCGAACAAACAATTTTACCTCCTTGGTGAGGATGTTACGACAGCCAGAGAGATCGACGTTGCAGTGGATGCAGAGCTCACGGACCTGCAAGAAATCACAGCCGCTTATTTTGGCATCGTAGAGCCCAAAGGTACTATACTCGGTGACATCCCCATATGAGACACCACAAACTCACACGCAATAGGCATTTCATTTTCATCACAAAATGTAAATCTTTCTTCGGTCCAAGAAGTCCTGGCTGCAGTCGAAGCTGTCGCCATCAGCATTGATGGCAGCAAGGTCAGGGAGGTTCCTGGTCCCAAGGGCCTACCGTACTTTGGCTCCTTCTTTGAGATCTACCCAGACCATCTCGGCAACCACCAACGGCTGTTTGACTTGTATGGCGCCATGTTCAAGACAAGCACTATGGGCCGGACCATCTATCACACCAATGACCCCGCGCTCGCCAGCATCGCCTTTGCAGAGAGCGAGTTCTTCTCCAAGGTGATCAACGAAGACCACCCCCTCTACCCGATCAGGAACCAACAAGCCGGCGTCTTCCTCGGTGATACCAACACCGAGGAGTGGCGCATCGTCCACAAATTCCTTCCGCCAGCTTTCGGACCCAAGGCGGTTCGGCATTACGCCCCTACCATGCAAAAGACAGTCGAAGACGCGTTCAATGTATTTGACGAGATGGACGAGCGGAATGAGGCTTGGAACGTCTACCCCTACATGCTGAAGCTTGGATCCCAGGCCGTCGGGAAGCTCGTTCTTGGCTTCGACTTCAACCACTTCACCGCGGTAGACGCACGCCCCCATGAGCTCGTGATGCTGATAGCGGAATCCCTGGAGCTCAACAAGAAGGTCGCATCCCGGGGAGACTGGTATGCGTCGCTGCCGTTTGGAGATCCCAAACGGTTACGCGGCATGAAAGAGCGCCTCGCGAACCTCATGGAAGAGCCCATCCAAAAAGCCAAGCGTGGCGGGATCCAGGACCTTGACCTCCAAGATGCTGCCCTCAAGGCAGAGAACATGATAGGTACGGTTGACCTCTTCTTCGGTGTGCTATGAATTCCACTAACAGAGATGCTACCAGACTACGTCCTCCGCGCCACCGACAACAAGGGCAACAAACTCCCCAAGACCTCCTTCATCGAGCCGCTGCTGGTAGCCACCGGCGCCGGCTTCACCACCACCAGCTCCCTCCTCTCATGGCTCATCTACGGCCTGGTCGCATACCCCGGCATGCAAGACCGGCTCCTCCAAGAACTCATCGACAACGGCTTCGACGAGAACACGCAAATCACCGCCGAGCTGACCAGCAAGCTCACCTTCCTCGACAAGTACATCAAAGAGACCCAACGGCGCCACAACCCCTCCTTCCAGCCCGCGCGCACCGCCCTCCGCGATCTCATCCTCCCCGGCGGCTACAAGCTCCCCGCCGGCGCGGTGGTCATCCCAGCCCTCCACCACATCCACAACAACCCGGCCGTGTGGGACAGCCCCGCGCGGTTCGACCCGGACCGGTGGGACACCGACGCCGTGCGCAACCGCCACAAGGCCGCCTACATCCCCTTCGCGACGGGCCCGCGCTCGTGCATCGGCTTCAACTTTGCCCTGCAGGAGGTCAAGGTGTTTTTGCCCAAGTTGGTGTATCGGTACAAGTTTGAGCGGGAGGATGAGACCGAGACGGTCGAGTATGATCCCATGTTTCAGCTGATCAGGCCGAATAATTTGTATGTGAGGGCTGAGAGGAGGAGGGAGTGGCCCGGGAAGAGTGGGGGTGGGAAGTGAATGGGGGAGTTTCAGGTTGTTGGTTGGTACGGTCCTATTATTAGGTATGTTTGGGGTAGCCGAGCATGTCTTTGTATATATTTTATTTGTCCCTAATATCCTAATGACTGCGTTGAAGTTGAGGACTTGCTACATTTGACAAGACTCAGTGGAAATGACCGGTTGATATATGAGCAAATGGAGACGTCCCTTACGCCCTCAGTTCTCCCTGAATACTCTGAATCGCCCCGACTAAGGCTGGGTAGAACCTGTCGGCGATCTTGACGTCCCCAGACGCACTCGGGTGGATGCCATCGTACAAGTCAGCGCTGGTAAAGTTGGTCCACTGGTCCACCACCCATATGGGAGAGGCCGTCGAGTTTTTGTCCGCAAAATACCCCGGAATCGCTGCGTTGAACTCCCGCACCTCACTATCCATGGCCGGCAACGGGATCAACTGCGCTACCTGCTTGGTGTTAGCCCTGCCTTGAAAACCGCATCACATGGGTCGTTACAATAATCCTCATGGCTGGGTTGCTGTCTCGCATCTGGTCAACCAGCTTTCCCAGTGCCGTGAGCACTTCCAGTCCACTCAGCATCCCCCGGAGAATATCAACGGTGCCGAGATGCATGGTGACGATGGCAGCCGGGTTCTGCTTCAACCAATCCACGAGCTGGCCTTTGGCCGCGATGTCGGTGGCCTGGAATCCTGGGTGTCCCTCCTGGTCGCGGTCGAAGGCAAGGCCGTTGCAGTCCTCGCCTGCCACCTGGCTGCCGACAATGTTGACATCGTGGCCGTCCTTCTGGAACCGCTCCCAGATCCAGGCTCTCCAACAGCCATAATCGGTGATGGAGTCGCCGAGGGGCATCCACCGTATCTGCGCTGCCTGTGCTAGAACAAGGAGTGCGGAAACTGTCAGAGTGAGAACATGGAGGCGGGCCATTCTGAACTATCGAAAACCGTGGTTGAGTGCTATGGAAGTCAAGCTTGTAGCCAGATTGCGAGATTTCCCCCGGCAACATGTTGGGGTAATTATGCTGGTGTTTTACCCGGCCAAACTCTTCGCTCTCCTGTTAAAGGGACATCGTCTAGGTAGCTTGGCTGCACAGGTATTGCCCGTGGGGGTTTTAGCACGCCCACCGATGCTATTAAGATTTCACATCAACCCCAACCCCTTGTCTAACCACGAAACACATCGTTGTCATGTGGGGAAAGTAATAACCACGACAATGAGGAAAAGGGACTACATCATGGGAAAAAGAGAGACCCCAGGTATTGAACTAGTGGCCTCTGCCTGACAGTGATACTTAACGACATGGCAATTATCTGTTATCCGATGAAACTGTGAGTGAAGACGTCGGCTAGATTCGTGGAGGCGATTCCACCAAGGACTCAGGGTGTCTGTCTCGTGGTGATGGTTTTCGTTGGGAAGTCAGAAGGAGTACCGGCTAAATGGAGCTGTAGCCGAGGTGGAGGCTAGGCTCATCGCTTGAATGCCCTGCAAGGGGCTCCTGAGCCTTGTGCGTGATGAGGGTGAGTACCCCTGAAGAGGTCGGCGCGGCCGGGAAGAACAAGTGAAGTACAACTAGCAATGCCTCCCTTCTGGTACACAGCGCGACGGAGTAATGGTCAAAGAGAATGCCTACAAGGAGGCCCTCAACCTCATGGCTAAATTTTGGCCCGCAGCTGACGTCGCTTTCCCGCGGAAACCAACCCAAAGGATCGGATCAGCCCAAGCGAAATGCAAGGTTCGACTGCGTAAGAAACCTTGTTCAGGATCCAATGGAATGCTTGGCGCAGTTGAGGAGACGGGGACATTGTCGCATTGGGGCGGCCCGGAATCCGGGTTGGATGGACTTTCTGGACGCACTCTCGGGCCTTGGACCTTCGCGGGAAAGGATAAGACGGAGCATTTTCCAGCTATCACTTGATTCCGCCCATCTCATACCTCTCATCCTTTACCCCATTGCCTACAGGAGAACTAACAATGGGCCTCTTTAGCCACCTCGCCCTCTTGGGCGCATTTGCTACCCTCGGGCTTGGCCAGGACTGTCCCATCTTTGGACCGGCGTATCCGCAGATCGTCGATCCCGGCTCCGCAACGGCATTCATCGAGGCTAAGACCGCCATCGAAGATGAGATTTCCAAAGGCATTTCCAGTGGGCAGTTGGACAATGGAACAGTCTTTGCGATACAGGTCTTCTCCCGTCACTCGGACGAGATATTGCATGAGCACTACTATGGACCCTCGATCGGCCCCGACACCGTGTTCCGCCTTGCCAGCATCTCGAAGCTCATGAGTGTGTACACAACCCTAGCAGAGTTGGGCGACGGATACTGGAACGACCCCATTACCAAGCACGTCCCGGAGCTCGCACGGCTCAAGGTGCAGAATCCGGTCTACGATGTCGACTGGTCTGAGGTCACCCTCGGCGCCATTGCCGGCCATATGGGCGGCATCCCGCGAGACTGTAGGTTCCTTTGTTCGTCATTTTCCATGATTAGCGAATTACTAACAAGAGAAAGACGCCCTCGGGGACGTGTCCGCTCTCATCCCGGAAGGTACTCCTGGGTTGCCGGCCCTGAATGAGACGGAGCAGATCCAGTGTGGCAACATCAACGTCCGGCCATGCACGAGGGAGGGTACGTCTTTGTGTTTTCTAAGCTCTAATGAGTAGCACTAAAACCGGACAGAGACGTTCGCCATGATATCGAAGTCGTTCCCGATCGCACCTAGCGACCACACCCCCGCCTACTCCAACATGGCCTTCCAGCTGCTCAGCTATGCCGTCGAGGGGATCACCGGCAAGAAATTCTCGACGCTCGTCGACAAGAATCTCATCCAGGCCCTAAATCTCACCCGCACCTTTCTCTCGCCACCCATCAACGACACCAACGCCGTGGTCCTCGAGGCCTGGGACTGGGACTTTGGCGAGGAAGCTCCGTAAGTCCCTTTCCTCCATCCCACTCTCCAGTCCACCCCTCTCATCCCTTACACCACCTCCTATCCCCCTCCCAACCCAAACCTACCCCCCCCTTAACAACTTAAACTAACCCCCCCTCCCACCACAGCGGCGGCGGCTACCTCTCCACGGCCCACGACCTAACCCACCTCGGCCGCTCCATCCTCCGCTCCACCCTCCTCCCGCCCCCCACCACGCGCCGCTGGCTCGCGCCCATCACCCACACCGCGCGCACCACCCTCTCAGTCGGCCGGCCCTGGGAGATCGCCCGCCTCGCCCTGCCCATCTCCGTCTCCCCGCCCTCCAACACCACCCGTGTCACGGATGTGTATTCCAAGCAGGGGTCCATCGGCCAGTACCAGAGCCTGCTGGCGCTGTCGCCTGACCATGGGGTGGGGTACGCGATGCTGATTGGGGGGGAGGGGGCTGCGGGGACGTATGGGTTTTTGCAGGGGGTGTTGGATCGGGTGTGGTTGGGCGCGGCGGAGCAGGCGGGGAGGGAGGAGGTGGGGGGGAGGTTTGCGGGGGAGTATAAGGTTGCGGGTGGTGACAATGGTGAGGAGGGGGAGGCGGTGGTGGAGTTGAGGGTGGTGGATGATGAGCCGGGGTTGTTTGTGCAGAGGTGGGTGAATGATGGGGTGGATTTGTTGGAGTTTCTGGGCGGTGCGGGGTTGGGGCCCCAGGGGGCGAGGCTTGGGGCGTGGTTGTACCCGATGGGGCTGGAGGGGGGAGGGAAGGTGGCGTTTCGGGCGGCGTTTGGGGCGATGGGGGTGCCGGCGGGTGAGACGTGCGCGTCGTGGGGGTCGTTGGATCTGGCCAAGTACGGGGGGAAGTCGGCGGATCTGCTTATTTTTGAGCTGGGAGAGGATGGGAAGGCCGTGGCGGTGGAGGTGCCGGTGTTGAGGAAGACCTTTAGGAGGGTCGGGTCGGATGGGGAGAAGTGCAAGGTGAAGAAACAGTATTGACACCCGTGAGCTCGGGAGGGTGTGGGAGAAGAGTTGATTGTATCTAAACTTCGCGTTTGTATATCTAACAGTAACCTTCTACTCTAACAACCCAACGGCCCTCCCTCAAATTACAGTGTGCTAAAACCGTCCATCACCCTTCCCCAGCTCGACACCCCGTCACCGATTACTCCTCCCACCACGCCCCCATCTCCCTCAACGCATTCGTCCCACAATGCACCTCCCCGCCCCTAACATGATGGCTCATATAGTCATCCACCCACTCCACCTTCATGCCCACCCTCCCATAAACCTCCTCCACCGCCTCAGCAAAGATATCCCTCCCATCCACCACCGGCCCCCACTGCTTCGGCGCGAGATACTTCCCATTCCCCAGCACCAACCCATTGATCGCCTGGGGCACCATCGCCTTAAGCTGCCTCTCGCCCTCACGCAGCGGGGATAACCGCGGCGGGTGGCCGTCGGGCGTGGCCGGCAAGAAAGGGAAGTTGACGTCTTTGAAGAGGGTCGGGACGCGGAGGATGTCGCTGTCCTGGAGTGGTATCTCGCTCAGGAGGAGGGCGAGGTTCCGGTCGATGTAGCGCTGGGCGTAGGCTTGCGTGTCGTGGAAGGAGGGGTCCGAGAGCAGGGAGGAGACGGAGGTGTTGTGGAGGAAGGCGGGGTCGAGGAAAATGGTCAGCTCGTCGGGGGTGGCGTCGCCGGTGTAGGAGACGAAGGGGGTGGTTCCGTGGCCGGAGGCGTCAGCCTCGCGGAGGAGGGCGGTGGCGGACGTGGTGTCTGCTACGGCCATGGTGAAGCCGAGGCTGGTGTTGGCGGGGAGGAACTGGACCAGCTCGTCGACGTGGCCGACGGCGAGCCAGCCTGTTTCGAGGAAGAGCGGGGATTGGGCCTTTTGGCTTTGGAGGAATTTCACCATCGACTCGGCTGGGTAGGTGCCGAAATGGTGGCCCATGATGACACGGCCATTGGGCCAGCGCTTGCCCTTGCGGGAGGTGTATGGCGGGATTGTCTCGATGTTGCCACCCGAGTTGATCTCTTCCCAGCCAAACCCGGAGCCTGAGCCAGGCTGGAAACCTCCAATACCGGCGCTCCGAAGCTGCGAAAATACTTGTCGACCGGCTTCCCGTGTAGACTGGGCGGAGCGAAGGAGGACGCGAATGGAAATGGGGCCGTCTGGGCCAGGCATGCTAGCGTATCCGGGCTCGAGGAAGTCCTGGGCCCATATGTCGGTGCTCTGGTTAAACAGAACCGTGGGCACATCGCCGTCAATCGCTTTCTCGACACCGCGGACGAAATGACCTTGCCACGAGGATCCAATAGTCTGATTGTCCCCCGGGGCAGTAGCGAGAACAACTTCGGCTTGTTGCAAATGATGGTGTATCAGCACCGGAGCCTGCTTCATAGCAACGAAATCGCGGGCCTTTCGGTCACCGTCTGTGACTTCGAACACAACCTTGACCGAGCCGTCCCAGACTGCCTCATCCGTCACCAGCTCGCGTCCGTCGATGGCGAGGGTGATGCCATTTCGCAGGCTGGTTGCGTTGAAGGTGACCTGACGGTCTACAGTTGCCCAAACAGTCGAGTAACCGGTGCTCCAATCATTCTCCTTCCAAAAGAGGCGGACGCGGTCACGGGTGTGGGCAGGCTCCGTGTAGATGTGTCCTACCGCGTTGTCGGACACATTCGGTAGTGGGAGAGTAAGGAGCGGCGCGGCGTAAGCAGCACTCGAGGGTATTAGGCGGTCGCCGGAGGCATCGTGACAGCGCCAGAGCTCGTCGTTGGAGAGAGGTGTACCGGTTAGGTCAGCGACCGGGCATCTGCGGTCGGAATCACCGATGTTCGGCAGAAAGATAGCTCCACGAGAAGCTGTCCAATCGTGCTTGTGGGGCTCGTCCAGCTGGTTGACGAATCCGTCTCGATTTGTGTCCGCGAAGATGCGTGGGCGTAATGTGGTGGCCGCGGCAGAGGGAACCAAACCCAGGGGAACAAGAGAAAGGAGGCGTCGAAACGAAATGGCCATGGTGCGTGGACGCGGAGTTTGAGACGACACTTGAACGATGTGTGAGAGTGTCCGTCCCACCCCCCGAAGGTGGTGCCCGGCGGCCATTATATACTCTCCGGGAGGTATTCCGTTGCAGAGACTGCGCGCTGTAATTCAACCTCGATCTCGCTCCTCTTTCCGGGCCATCTCATAGAATCGTCAGCATTGACCCGAGGAGTTGATACTATTGTCGTGTCCGTCGTGTTCAAAAATGCTTAGCGGTTCCCAGATAGGAAACATAGGGGGCCAAGACCTGATCAACCGACGCCCCGGGGCGGGCCGTGGCCGTGCTCGGGGAGCTTGGCGAATAGCGTGAGAGCCTCGTCGAGCTTCGTCGCGCAGGGTACCAGACGGGCTATTCGTAGACGGATTGCAATTTGACTCAAGCGCGTGGCATCCGCCGGGAAAAGGAGCCGTGGAATACCCAAGTGGGTGGGTATCGTGCAGGTTGCTAAGTTGTCCGCCAACTAAAGAACAAAGACATAAGACTGGTCGAACATGGCATCCCAGCCCCCTTTCCCCATCCCAAGCTTCCACACGCGCTTCTCCAACAAATCTTTCGCTACCAGGGGCGCAGCGGTGCCGAGGGCATTGCTGATCCACCGTAACTCGCCCATGACAAACCGCTTCGTCTCCTCATCTTCCGCCTCAACACCCATGACGAACAAGGGCCAGAGAACCAGCTTGCGCAGTTGAGTGCACTTGCTGACTTGGTGAAGCCGGCTGAGCAGCGTTGAGGCATACATGCTCCTCACCTCGGTGAGGACCTCCCAACGAGTGAGCGGTGCATCCGCCACTAGCTCCGTGTTTTGGTCTGGGCTGCCCACCGCCTCGTGGAGTAGGGACGCAATGCAATAGATGGCGACAGCCGACTGGTAGATGCAAGCAATTGCGTGCCAACCGCTCAAACCGGGAGGCGCGGTATTCTCGTCCCTGGTGATACTGACGGTAACCTCGGCAGCCCACTTATCGGTCGAAAATGACCTGATGCGGCGGAGGACGTCCATAGCTGCCGAGTATTGTGGGTCTTGGCCGTCTTCTTCTCGCGGAGTTGAGTCCTTGTCGGCCGAGAGAAGGGCGCCTCCTTGGAAAACGGACCGGAGGTGGTTGATGTGGATGATTTCAGCGAGCAAATCGGGAGGGCACGGGAAGCATGTGGAGAGGCCGTTTCCATAGAAGACCGGGAGCAGGGAAACCAGCTCGAGTTGGCTGCGGGCTGAGCGCATCTCGACCCGGGGTGAAGTTGTGTTACCTATCGCTTCGATGCTTTTGAGGGTTAGCAACAAGTACAGTGGTCAAAGGTAAAACACTGGACAATCCTACAGAGCATAATATCGGAAGAGGTGGCGGAGAAAGGGACGGGAAAGCACAAGAGACTGCAAGCCTCCTTTTAGCTCGATCATGACAGCCGCGCCGTTGCCGTGGTTTCGCCAGTTGGGTGGCTCGAAGGATTGTTGAATCTGTAACAGTGTTAGGGTTGAAGAGCTGAATTTGACGGTTGTGTAATGCCTACCTCGACGAGCAGCAGAGTAAGCACCGACGCTAGAGTTACATCTGAAGGCTCCTTCTGTTTCCCCAGGTCGGCCGTTAAAGCTTGGAGGGCGTCACCGCGATGCCGCTGCAGTCTCCGAGCAAGCACAACCTGGTCTGACGGAGCTGCATCACTCGACTGCAGGATGCGGTGGCAAAGCGAGGTGCAAACAATGGACTGGGTGAAGGACCGAGGGAGGATGGAAGCAGTGATAGGAGGCATCCAGTAGGGAGTCCGGGGTCCCCGAGACCCTGTGGCGATCAGATCGGGAGCGATGTGTGCATTGTCTAAGGCAAGTATGCATTAGCTACTGCTACCCTGTAGCCTTCCAAGGTAGGTAGGTAGGATACTGACAGTACTCGATGGCCTCCACGATGACGGTCATCTGGTGGTCGCCCTCCGGTTTGAGTGCCCGAGGCACGGAATTCCGAGCTACGACCATCTTCTCGGGCCCTTTGGAGTTCACCTGCTGTGGCTGCAGCCACTTCAGCGGCTTTTTGCCGTCATATCCCGGGCAAGCCACCCCCCTGGACTGGCATTTCTCACACTTGGGACGCGCAAAGTCGCACACCAACCGGCGGCGACGGCACTCCCAACATTGTTTTCTTTTCGGGTCGTCCATTATGAGCGCTCAAAACTTTATTGATACCGACGGGAATGTGAAAGAATGGGAGCAATTTGCGGATTAAATTCCGGCCTTTGAAGTTTCAACGCCATGGTAAAATGACCAGAGGTGACGAGTCGAGTCGCTGATTGCGCAGGCGCACAGCCGCAATTGGGAAGTGGCTCAGCTTAGGTGCCATTGCCAATGCCGACGCCAATCCGAAGCCCTGGCTGAGCGAACGAGGGTTTCTCTGAGCCAAAGAAAGGGTTTGGTGCTGGTGTCAAAATGCCATTGGCGGTTATCCGCGTGTCGCCATCTCTGCCCAACTCGAGATGCACTCAGCAGGGTTTGAGGTGAGGGAGTGCACGGGATTGGAGAGCTTGCGAGTTTGTGACAACCTCAAGACAACCAAAACTCGCCCCACCTGGATGGATATTCTGGATACAGTGAAACAGCACACAGTGCGCCTCGGCGTCCCCTGGCACAAACAGCACAAACAAACTGCTGGCTGCCCCGTCCTTCGTCCCACAGTGCATCTGCGACGCCACAACACGGGCTCGTCAAACAATCTCGGCATGTCGACATGCGGGTTTTCCAACCGCGTCCAACCGCACGCATCGCGTCGCTGTGACATGAAATCGGGGCAATGGCAAGATTTATGTCTTTTTAAGTTTTCTGCCGACAGGTCCGACAGGTTGAGGGGGATGCAACCCCCGGATTCTGACCCCGGTCGCCAACAGAATCTGCTGAATTCAGCAGGTGGAGAAGCCGCCAGAGTTTGTCCGCACTCCGACCAAAAATCCATGGATCCGATTCTTTTGTTGATCGCGGGACTGACTGCGGCACAGCTCTGTCCCATTCATCACCCAGTGCACATCCGAAGAATTCGAGCGAATATGTCAGCCGATAATTAATCATGTACATACATGCAACCGCCGATGCAGTCCTGGGAACGGCCAAGTGAAAACTGCAAGCCCCAGCTGTTGTGTGACCATGGCATGGATTCATGAACGACACCCGAGTGACCGGCCTGACCCCGGTCCAGCCAGCTTGACAGATGGATGGCATTTGGCGTTTGGGCTTGGAGGGCAGCTCGTTAAAACTACCAAACCGCATCGATGACACTGAAGAATTCCAAATCACTAGCCGACAGTTCTCGGAGCTTGCAAACAATTGCGAACGTGTCTTGAGCCTCGACAATCAAGATCGCTGACTTGGAGTTCGGACACCAACTCCGATTGGCATCTCGGCCCCCCCCCCCGGTGGACCATCGCCGTCCCCCCCAGGGCCCCAACAGCCCCCATGCGACTCCGAGTCTGCCGATTCAAGCTCCATTGATCGAAAGCAGCAGCGATGACTGGCACGTTGGGCGGGGAACCCAGCTCGGTCTGCGGCGAGGGAGTGGGACAAGGGCGAGAAACTCCGGTGATTTCTTGAAGTGTCCGCAAAACCATGTGTTGGGTTCAAGATGCGGCGGGGAACCGCCGATGACACCACACCACCGGCATGCATCACTAGTCAAACTAGTATCCTCTCACACCCGCATTGGTGGCCTTGGAGGATCGATCGACCATCAAGCAAGATGTCATGCACGGGGAGAAACTCCGCGACCCATGCCTTGGTCCGTCCCGAGACACCACCCTCATCGCATATATGGCTAGTCTTGGTTCCCTCAGTTGGTCCTTGCATCTCGTAACCAGTCGGACTTGAATCAGAGGCCCATTCACCGCCATGGAGCAATCAACAATACCACCCGTCAAGAACGACATCCAGACTGTCAGCCCGGCACATACAAGGAACACGTCAACAGCGTCCTCAGACACGGCATACACCACGGAAACGGTATACACTGTCGACGAGGAGAAGAGATACGCGTTCTCGGGGTCGGTCTCGTCCGTCGCGAAAGCAAAGCGGGAGAGCTACTCCTCAGTCTCATCAGACCTCGAAGCCCAGAATGCCGAGATCGACGACTTCGCCCACAAGCGCTTCGGCTTCATCCGGTACACGGCGCTCAACGTCTACCGCCGCCTATTCAGCATTGCCTTCATCGGCAATGCCATCGCTTTCATCATTCTCATGGTCAAGGGGACCGCCCCCCTGGACTTCGTCAATGCCGCCGCCGTCAACCTGGCCGTCTGTGGCCTCTGCCGCCACCCGCTGGTCGTCAACTCGCTGTTTCTCACCTTCGGCTCCGTCCCGCGCTCGGCGCCCGTGAGGCTGCGCCGCCTAGCCTGCAAGATCTTCCACCTCGGCGGCGTCCACAGCGGCGCCGGCGTGGCCTCGTGCGTCTGGTACATCGGCTTCGCGGGGCTCTACACCTACCATTTCGTGCCCTCGCCCGCGTCCATCGCGGTGCTCGTGCTGGTCTGGTTCGTCCTAGCCCTGCTCCTCGCCATCATCACCGTCGCCCACCCCGTCTTCCGGGCCAAGTACCACGACTACTTCGAACTCACCCACCGCTTCGCCAACTGGGCCATCCTCGCCCTCTTCTGGGTGCTCATCTTCCTGCTCGGCGCCCAGGAACCCTCCCTCTCCGCCTTCCTAATCAACCTCCCCGCCTTCTGGATCCTCATCATCCTCACCGCCGCCACCATCCACCCCTGGCTGCTCCTCCGCCGCGTCCCCGTCAAGGCCGAGGCGCTCTCCCCGCACGCCGTGCGCCTGCACTTCTCGCACGCCACCGTGCACTTCGGGCAGGGCATCAGCGTGGCGCGCCACCCGCTCGGCGACTGGCACAGCTTCGCGAGCTTCACGGACCAGTTCGACGCGGCCGACACCAAGTTCTCCTGCTTAGTCTCCAAGGCCGGCGACTGGACGCGCCAGGCCATCGCGCAGCCGCCGACGCGGCTGTGGAAGCGCGGCGTGCCCACCTACGGCTTCGGCTACGTGTTCCGCATGTTTGAGCGCATCATTGTTGTTACTACCGGGTCGGGCATCGGGCCTTGTCTGTCGTTCATCGAGGACCCGCGCCGGCCCGACATGCGCGTCGTGTGGCAGACCAAGAGCCCGCTCAAGACGTATGGCCAGCGCACGCTGGATCTGGTCAAGCGCATGGATGCCGAGCCGGTAATTATCGATACGTCGGTTACGGGCCGCGTGGATATGCTGCCCGTTGTGCTGCGGCTGTACAAGGAGTTTGGCGCCGATGCCGTGTGTGTCATCAGCAACCCGAAGATGACCCGCAGTCTGGTGTACAGCCTGGAGACACGTGGCATTGCCGCGTACGGGCCGATTTTTGATAGTTAAGCGGGTGGATGGAAGGTCATGGTTGTGGGTCGGGGACTGCAAATGGGCGGTTTACCATACTAAATGGGTGGATGGGTTTTACGTCTGGTATGGAATAGATGTATATCATGATTACTAACCGGTTGGGGATGGTTTCACGGCATGTCACTGGGTTGGGCGGATGGGGCGGTTCCTGGAATAAACATATCACGCTATGGGTTATGGCTATGAATACTAATGAGAAGGGATTTGGTTTGCCTGATGATGTTCTCTATCTGCCTCGTCCAACCGGATCAACCCCTTTCTCTGTGCTGGCTCGACACCCGTCAGGCTTAAGTGCCTGCCGTATCATGCACAGTTACGAACTGAGCCTGGTGGCGCCCAACCATCTCGCCCAACCATCTCCAAATTCTGTTCCCCGGCTTGGCTGCATTTTTGATTTCCAACCCTTGCCACTGTCCAATTATTAATCCTCGACATGTCACCGTCGACAGGACGTGCCTTTGCTTCTTGACGATTTAAGCCCGCCATCCCCGGAAAGTCCCCTCTTTCTTGAGGTGTAAAACCAGACACTGCATCTTTGGTTAGAGGTATCGCATCTCATCTTGCTCCATCCCATCTTGAGGGCTCATCTCATCTCATCTACACACTTACACGGCACTCCTATCCCGACCACAATATCATTATCAGACTCTCCCTACGCCCAACCCGAAGTCCGAGCTCCATCCGTAACAATGACCACCACCGGAGAATTCAACTACCTCGACCCGACGTCCATCAAACCGGGCGTCAAGCCCTGGACCAAAGTCGACGGCGCCTACGCCTCCTTCACCCTGTGCGGCGAACAACGCACCGTGACCAACCTCCGCGACCACGTCAAGCCCGACTCCCCGCCAGGCCACCTCGGCAGCGACATCGACGTCGCCGGCTTCGCCTTCTACCACTCCCCGGCAAACGAGAAAGACTTCACCTCGGACGCCGCCGTGCGCGGGCCCTACTACGCCGAGGTCGAAGCCCTCCTCCGGGCCAAGCTCCCCGGCCGCATCGCGCGCATCGAGATCTTCGACCACACGATCCGCAAGCGCGACCCCTCGTCGCCGCGGCAGCCCGTCATGCAAGTGCACGTGGACCAGACGCCGGCGGCGGCCGTGGCGCGCGTGCGGCGGCACGTGACCGACCTCCCGCCGGAGGGCGTCGACGCGCTGCTGGCGAAGCGGTACCAGCTGATCAACATATGGCGGCCGATCCGGCGGCCCGCGACCGACTACCCGCTGGCGGTCGTCGACTGGCGCTCGACGGCGCCCGAGGACCTGGTCCCGCTCGACCTGCTGTACCCGGTGCAGGATCGGGCGGACGGGGATGATGATGATCGGGGCAAGGAGAGGCTGCCGGACCCGACGAAGAAGCGCGAGAGCACCGAGGGGTACGAGGCCAAGGGGGAGACGTACGGCGTGCTGCCCGGGGAGGGCCACCGGTTTTACTATGTCAAGGATATGACGCCGGATGAGGCCATCTTCATCAAGTGCTTTGACAGCTGGGCCGAGGGGAAACCGGGGGGCAAGCAGGGAATCGCGGCGCTGTCGCCACATACCGCGTTTCAGGACCCGGCGACGCCCGAGGGGACCAAGGGGAGGGAGAGTATCGAGGTGAGGGCCTTGGTCTTTTATGACGATTGAGTGTTAGGTACCTAGATAGTCAGGATGTATCCTACATAATACAAATAGGGGGCTTTTTGTGGCAGAGTGCGTCCAGCTCGCCAATAAAGCATTCCAGACTATGGCCAAGTACACGTATCTATCGTAGCACCACAGAAGGATGCCAGGGAACAGACAATGAGGTCATTACAGGAGTGACTATCCTCGTGAGAATCCACCCCCTATTGACGGCAACTCGTGATAACCCCCCCTCAGGCTCCCACCCCCTGTGTGGCGGAGGGTCCAAACCGTTTCTCAGCCCGCTCCTGCATTTCCTTGGTCCACTTGAAGCCGCTGTCCTCGCACTCCTTGGCCAATATGCCATGCTCCTCGACCGTGAGGGTTATGCGTCCTGCCCGGCTCTCCTGCCAGACCGCAAACGGCACTATAAAGCCATGCGCCTTCTGGAACGCGCTCAGCATGTCCACCCTCCCGGGGTCAGCCCGCGCGAGCATCTTCGCGGCCTGGCGCTCAAACGCAGACGGGCTTTGCGCCAGCACCCGCTCGAGGCTCTCCATCTCCGCCTGCAACACCTCCTCACCCACCCCCTCATCCGGCGACCCATCAAAGGGCCCCCGGACCAGCACGGAGCCGTCCTCCCGCACGAGGAACGACTCCCGGGCGAGCCGCCGCAGCGGAATCCCCAGCGCGTGCAGCCGCGCCAGGACGGCTCTACACTTGTCCAAGTCCGCCAGACCGGCCTCGCGCGCGCGGGGGACGTGCTCGAGCAGGAACCCGACCACGCGGCGCGGGCGGCAGTTCTCTGTCACGTACGCCAGGAAGCGCGGCGCCAGGCCCGGGTCGCGCGTCGCGATGATGTGGTGCGTGCGCGCCTCGTTCTCGATGCCCTCCCAGTGGCCCGGCATCCACTCCGACACGCGCACCACCACTTCGGCGTCAACGCCCTGCGGCGGCGCGGGCACGACGGCCGCCGAGAGATAGCCCATGCACTGCAGCTCGGTCGGCTTGGGCACGGTAACCTCCTGGCCGGCCGAGTTGGCGACGGTGGTCCAGCGCGCGCCGGCCGGCGGCTCGGGGCAGTCTGCCTCGTCGATGGTGGTGCCGCACCAGGCCGGGTCCGCGCTGCCCAGGTCGAGGTCCGCGAGCGCGTCGGGGCCGTCATCGGTGGAGGCGAGCTCCAGCTTGGCCTCGGCGCCTCCCTCGGCGGGGGCGGCAAGCCGGCCGACGACCCAGTCGCCTGCCGGGACGTGGTCGAAGGCGAGGTTGGTCAGGCGGCGCTGCTGGGCGTCCACGGGCCCCGCGAAGAGGCGGGCCGTGTTGGGCGCGGCCAGGTATTTGACGGTTGGGCCGCCGCTGTTGCCGGCGTGCTCGCGCGACACGCGGATGCGGTATATGTCGGGCGAGTCGGGGAAGGCGAGCATGCCCGAGAGGACCGTGTCGATGGTGAAGGGTACCGAGAGGGGAACGGTGGTGGAGGGCTGGGAGGAAGACATGGTGGGTACATGCAATGGAAAGCAGGGCGCGTCGTTCTTTCACAGAGAAGTTGTCTTGGGTGACAAGGCTTCGGTAACTTGGAAAAGTGTGTGAGCTGTGAGAACCTTGAGTAAGTGATTTTGGGAGGAGAGAAGCAAGAACTTGCTGCTCTTAAGATGCTTCTCTCCCTTTATCGATGCCAGAATCATGCTTCTGAAGATTGAGGTGTGTACCTACCAACTACATGAGCCGTCCCACCGGAACTGCGGCGGGCTCGATGCATGCAGACCAGTCACGGAAGAACTGGGCGGGGCTATTGTCAATAAAAAGGTTCGCTATTTCCACGTCACCGTGAGCCTAGTCATAAAATCTGGGTTTTGGACTCAACAGTCCGGGTCCCATACCTCCGTACCCAATGACAAGCTCCCTAAGGTACCTTACCTACCTAGGTACCCATGCCTCCAGTGTGCCTCCGGCGCAGCGTGCCAGCACCATCCAACAAGCACGGCCCCCCCACGCTTGCCCCTTGGCTCGCTCGAGGAGGATGGTGGCCTTCTTGTGGAAGCCCTCGCCTGCCACAATAATCAACGGCGTTAATCGTAGCCACCTGCATATCCGACCCTCTCACAAATGCCCCCATAACGCTGCCGGTTCCATCATTAAACTTCCACGGGCCCGCAAGCTCCGGCAGCATTAGTACAACTGTCTTGAGAGGTCAACCTTCGCTGGGCTCAACGGAGAAAGTTTCATATCGGCCAACTGGTGGTTACGTATTAATAGTACACGAAATAAATAACTAGTATACATTCCAACACCTTCTTCCCTTAAAAGAGAGATTTCAGCGTACCATCCTCCGGGGCGCGCACTCTACGTCGTAACGAAGAGGGAAAACTAGGAGTCTTTCCAATTTAAACACCCTATGTTGAAACCGTCACTACCTAGCGAAGTGTATCCTCATTTATATTTTGTTGTTTTGAAAGGTTAGTGTGAGACGGGCCTAGATGTGGTAGGATACCTCTACCGAACCGTTTTAGAGTCAGGTCCGACCGGATTTATCACAGCTTCTTATTGGCCTACTGCTCGATGGCACTATCTATACCTATAATAGCGTGGAAGAATGTATAAGAAGCTTTTCCTTATCTACCTTGGAGAAGCGTATCTTTTGTTATGCCATTTTGGTAAGTCAGAGAGCGGGCGTAGAGAGCAAGAAGAGGGACAAGAAGGTAGGGAGAACGGCATTCTAAGGTTTAAGGGGAGAGGCCGAGAGGGAGGCCACAACAGACAACATAAGCGACCCAGGCCAGCACTGAGGCCGAACCGGAAACAGGATCCTGGCGCCAAATATGCAGGGCCATCGCGAATGTGCGGGGCGCGTACTGGGGGACTATAGGGGGTGAACGAGGTGGAATGGGCTACGCGTTCCGGCCTCCGTCGCCGGCGCCATTTGGAGTCGTTCCGGAGGCCGCCCCGGTCCGGGAACGCGAACCGGTTCTCGGCTGGCAAACCTTCAGGCGAGCGTTGGCCCGTGTTTACTGATTTTGCAAGCACGGCGCCGCTTGTCTTTGTTTCCCCCCCAGGAAAAGGGGTATTTGTTGACCCCTGAAACAGAGGTGGGCCATGGTGTGAACAGTCCCGATTTCCCGTTTAGCAACAATCACTTTTACACACCTTGCATTCTCAAAAAAAGATCCGCAATTATAACTAGGTAGTGTCAACAAAAAGATAGGTAGAGGAACCGACTCGGCACAGCAACCGGATGCTCGGTCCTAGTCAAGTAGTAGAGTGCACAGGCGGGCGTGGCTTGCCCCGGGCCAACGATTAATGAGGAAGAAGGTGCATTGCGAGTTTGCCAGAGGGCCTTTAAGATAAAGCTAGGCTCTTGGGTTAAGGTAACCTTAACCAGGAGGAGGCCCTTCTAACATACAAATCTAGGAGTGGAACTCCTGATGCAAGCCCCGAATAGGAGCCAACCTGGACCAACCGACCAAACAATTACAGCTGCACTGACGTGCGAGCCGGGTATAACCACAACACACCACGCAGAAGGAAATCCATCATTGAGTGTTCCCCTGGATCATTAGGCCGAGCTCGACTCGGTGTTGTGGGCGCTCTTCTCCATGAGCGGAGCGGGCTTGGGGATGTTTTGGCGGAGGATGTGCCGCTTGAAGACGTAAGGTATGGTAACCTTGAGCTCGTAGCTAATGAACTGGCTCGTCGGGACGGAGAAGACCTCTGGGAACGAGAGTTAGCATCGAAATTGTGTTGCCAAACTGAGAGAGGGAGTTGAATGTAGTTGGTCCACTTACGGTCTAATTCTTCCAGGGTAAGCTGCTTGGTTTCGCGCACAAAGCAGAAGATCATGAACCAGGCAATAAGATTCAGGCCAGCGTAGAACCCGACTGTGGACTATTGTTAGCGACCAGGCAAGGACATAGCACTGGAGTAGGGAGGGACATACAAGCTCCGGTGGGAGTCATGACGGTTTGCATACGGGGGAAGGTAAGACCAAGGACACCGGCTGTTGAAGGTTACAGTTAGTAAAGCGCACCGATGGATACTCAAGGGGGACAAAGCTTACCGAAGGTGTTGTTAATGCACACGGCCCAGGCCATGCCCTGCTCACGCTGAATGGTAGGGAATACCTCGGCGGAATACTGGAAAGCAATCGGTCCTTCGCCTAGCGAGTAGGCAATCGTGAAGAGATAGACGAACAAAACGACCGGGCCGAGTTTGGCTGCTCTGTCTTCGCTGGGGTTGAGCAGAGAGAGACCACCTGCAAGCAAAAAGACACACATAAATGGGAACGTCTAAATGGCGTGGGGAAGTGCAATGGTTAGCTCAAGGGGTACAGCACCGGGGGGGGGGGTTCAAGCAGTGAGAGCTCACGATCATGCAGAGAGTGCGGCGCCCCTTGGTATCAATCAGGAATAGGGTGGGAATGGTAGCGAGGACCTGAACGGCACCAAAGCCGAGAGAGGCATAAAGGGCGTCGTGCGGCGAGTAGCCGACGTTTTCGAAGATGCTGGAGCTGTAGAAAGAGATAACTGTGAGGCGTCAGCGGATATGTTGGCATGCGGACGCGGGAAGAATGGAAAACACACTGTTAATGCCACACATCTGCTGGGCAATCATGACCGTCGAGGCACCATAGTTGGAGCGTCTGATCCTAGGGACGGCAAAGCAGTCCCAGAGACGGGTAAAGTAGGTGGAGCCGGCGGCCAAGCGGGCTTCCTCCTCGTAGATGATCCAGGAGTAGTAGTAGTCCCTGACGGCGATGATGTTGTGTGCACGAAGGCGACACATGGAGCGGAATGCCTCGGCCTGTTTGCCGTGCTTCATGAGCCAACGCGGGGACTCGGGACAAAAGTAGATGCCGACGGCGAGGATCAACGAGGGGATAAAGGCAGAGCCGAGCTGTAGACGCCACTCGAGGTTGTCTTCGACGCCCAAGACGGCGATATTGGCAAGGAGACCGAGGAAGATGCCTAGGTAGGTAGGGAACATTAAAAATCAGTTTGCCTGAACCTGGAAACCACTAGATAGGTAGGTAGGCAAGGAAGCTTACCGATAACGACCCAAAGCTGCCAGAACATGACGAGAGCACCACGGATGCGGGCCGGAGCCATCTCGGCCGAGTAGATAGGAACAGTCGCGTTCTTTGCGCCAATACCAATGCCCATCACGAAGCGGGCTGCGAAGAGGCCCTGCCAAGACTGTGCACAGGCAGATCCGATCGGGGTAAGGGTGAGACAGACAGCGGTGATGAAGATTTCACCGCGCCGACCAAAGTATTTATTCAGAGGATCGACGATAAAGGCACCACTGCCAGGACTGTGTCAGTGGCATTGCACACTGCTGCGCAAGGTTTAGGTTTGCAATGGGCAACATGAACTTACATAAGACCGGCTGTCAGGAAGATGATGGAGTTGATGAGACCCTGAATCCACTGGTCCGTGGCCGAATTTTCGATATCGAGGCCGAGCGACTGGGGAAAAGTCAGGTTGGCGCCGTTGGTACCAGTTTGGTCCCAGCCTTGGGTCGCGGCGCCCATGGCGCACAAGCCGATGGCGTACCAGAGCGAGGAGGTGCCGTGCCATTTGTGAGCCTTCTCATATTCCAGGGCTGCGAGCTCCTCTTCGGTGAGGCCGGGGACGCTCGCGAAGTTATCCATGTCGCGGGCGACGAGGGCGCCACGCCCGAAAATATCGACGTGCTCGGCCATGCCATGTTCCTCGGCGAATCGCCTGGCGTCGGCGACAACCTGCTCCGAAGAAACGCGCTGTTTGATTTTGTAAGTTGCTGTTGTCAATGGTGAGAGGACAGCCGGAAACTTTGACCTACAGTAAGCGGATTCTCGATAACATTGAGGGCGACCGAGCTGCGACGGCCACCCTTGGTCGCGGTAGCGTCTTCCATCTTCACGTCCTCCGGCGTCGAGCTCACTGCCTCCTGAGCCGACACCGGCTTCTCGCCATGAGAGGCCGTCGGTTCGACCGCTGTCGCGTCTTTGGCCATTTTCTTTTTTTTTTCCTTTGGGCGTGGAATCCCCTATGGACCTCGGATTTGTGGTGAAGGAGGATGGAGGAAGGGCGGGGACATTAAAAGCTTGAGAAGCTTGAGAAGCTTGAGAAGCTTAAGAAGGCCCGGGGTCCAACGCGTCTCACTAACGACCTACCTAATACAGTTGATGTGCATGCTGAATACTTGATCAGTGCCGATTAGCCGTTCCTTGGCAAACATACCAAGACCTCTTTCCCCTCGTCCCTCCCCAAGATCCTTCCTGGGAGGCAACAAGATGGAAGCGATTGAACGAATCAACAGTCATTCCAAAACCTGGGGCCCCACCATTTCCCCGGAACTCCGCTGTTTTCCCCGACCTCCTCCATGGCTCCATGGGCTCGAACTCGAGCTCGAGCATGGATGGGAATCCTGAACAATCCTTAACCTCGGCCATTTCGCGACGTCATATCCAAGGAAGTGGTGCAACACAACGTCGCACCGCATCCTTTCGCGTCTTCCTGTGGACATCCAGAGTCAAGAGGCCACCAATAGGATCCCTTATCACGTTACAGAGACCAGCGTTTCTCGGTCAGAAATCAACGGCTGACTTTTGGTCCCCGCTCACTTCACGTGGCTGGCCCCTTGCGTGGAGCGACAGTGTACATTCGGACATCGTCTTCCTCGAAAGGGAAACGGGCTCCCGTACGACGAAAACGAGAGCTGGATATGCTCTTAGATAACCTCGCCCTGCGATATCCTTAGGCTCATTGCCTTCGGCTTTGCGCAGCTTGTATACCTGCTCGTCCGGTATAACTACCTATGTGCTAACTAGTGCGAGTACGAGTTACCTGGCGAGCCTGGTAGGGACGCTTGCCGGGCCTTGCAAAGCCTCGCACTGCGAGGGGAAAATTTTCAGCGCCCAGAATTGGAAGTGCGAGGGGTTGCACTGCGACCCATGATTGTCGATCATTTGATTCCCATCTTGGAGGGATTTGCGCTCCTTCGCGCGGGCGGTACAGTGCTTTTACACGTATATGGGGAAATTCGGCACTGGCCTCTGCTTCCCCACGGGGGGTCTGGAACCGCTCAAAGCATTAAGGTTAAACGATTGATGAAGATGTGCGCTTCACCCGCTTTTTTTGTTTCTGGTAAAGAGCTGACTCGCTCCTCGTAAATACTGTGTAAGACGAGTGCAAAGCATGTAACGGCTCATAAATGAGCGACTCGAGATACAGTCCTTTGCCGCGGCAGGAAGAAAGGAAGAGGGGAAACAGATACAAGAAAAAGAAGAAGAAAAAGAAGGAAAACAGGGTCAAGGAAAGGCGCCAGGTTTACTCCACCTTGTTGATGCGTGTATCGCCTCGGCGGAATCACTTTTGCGCTTTTCTATCCGACCCACTACTTATCTGCTCCTACAACGGTTCTGCGGCCTGCACACGGCTCAAGTGAATGAGGCAAGTTGGATAGGTACCTACGTACCATCGAAGTTTAGTCCCCCAAGCCAGCTCTGCATCTCCCGACTCTTAACCAAGGTCTCCGGGGACCGGGTATATGGTCAATGAGCGCGGTGGGGTCACGGTGTTCGTCGGTATCCACACAATCCAGTTACCTCGGTATGTACTTACCTATTGAAGGCAGTTAATGTTCGTTGGCGTGGCGCGGGTTGTCGTGAAACTGAAAGGAAGTCTCACCACTGAGGGGATAAGGTAAGAATATACGCGTCGAAGGTAGTGGAAATAAAACGAATCGTGATCCTATACACTCCGACCTCGACCCATCGGACCCTAGAAGCCGGGACTGTGGAATGCTGTGCCGCCGAGCGAGACACCGAGGCCATACCCTTACCGGACCAAGCCATGTTCTTGAGGCAACTCTGCTGTTCCGGTTCCCAATATCGCCTAAAGGGGAACACGCACGCTTCAACGTCGCTCGACAGCCTCTCTGAAGTTTCCATAGGTTGAATGGTGCGCAGCCACATGCTGTAACGTTACTCTCTCGGGGCTCTGATCGAAGGCCAAAGTCCCCGGTGCCGAGGGGTGAACAATGACATGTATGGTAACGCGTGGCGGCGCTGAGGGCAAACCATCTTGACATCCGACCCGGGATAGGCTGGGCCGAAGAATCAATATGGCAATCTTTAGACGAGAAAGGTGCAAGGCAACCGTGAAGGGGCCCCTCGCCGACTAAAAACACCACAATACTCCCTACAAATTCCACATTCCCCACGCGTTGTTCACCGACTTAGGTGAGTGTTCGACTCGCTTCACCATGCCCCCCACACTACATTGACACAGTGCACGATACAAGTGTTCCTGTAAACAACAAGGGTCATTGGTGGGCCGGGGTAGAGGTCTAATCTAAAACGAAGAAACAGAGATACTGGAACTTCCAAGATTCAATTATAAATAAGTACCTCCCTACCTATTTATGCTTCCCCAGCGCTACCAAGTTTCGGAAACAGTAGAGCGCATCTTCTCCACCTACTCTACACCGTGTTTCCCTCCCCGGCATTCGACATATCAAGAATCCCTCTCGGCGAGTTATCACCACTCATGATGACCCAACCCAACACCGCAGTACTGGCGCTTGCCCTGTCGTTCACACGGATGGTGGTCGCCGCGCCAGTCGCCAGCTCGATTTATCCACTCTGGTACACGTCTTGGTGGTTGCTGCCGCATTCTTCCTCAAGTTCGGCAAGTTCGGACCAGCATCTCACACCAACAGACGTCGCCATCATTGCGTCCGTGTTTGGGGGGTTGATCGGAATCCCAATTTTGTTTTGTTTCGTCCTATTTATGTATAAAACGCGCGGTACCAAGCGGAAATGTGTCAAGGGGTTGGGAAAGAATGTCGCGTCCAAGGTTGGCATGTGCATCGGCGCTGCTAGACGCAAGTTGCCAGGGGCGAGGGCCAGCTCAACCAACAACGATGGCGTTACCCCGGCCCAGAATAACACGGCTACCTAGATGACAAGCTTCCGGGACCACGGAAACTGGAGGCTAGGGAAGGTCGTGGGGTCAACCCGCCACGCGAGGGGGGTTAGTATTGTTCACATTTACCGCCGTCTCTAAAATACGAGTAGCATTACCGGCAAAGCAAGTACCCCCTCAAAGTGTGCTGCAGTGTTTATAGACTAAAGCGTATTCATTAAAATTGTAGCCCAACGCCGCATCATCAAACGATACACAAGCAATCCCAGAGACCGTACCCTCGAATCGATGTGCAAAACCGGCCCAATAACTAAGAATAACTCACTTGTTCCAGTCCCCAAACGCCGTGCCGATCCAAAACCCGCCAACGATGAAGGTGTCCCACAACTACCGAGAGACGGCAGCGCACCCGCTATACCTGTTCCCGCCGACTGCTGGAGCCGGCGCCCTGGCCAAAGAATGTATTGCGCCAGCTCGGCGACGCCGGCATTGAGGTCGTCGAGTTGGTTGAGTCGGTCCCGGTCTCTTTATCCCGCCCGCGCGCGGGCGAGCTCGGCAACCGCTGCGCCACCTGGGACACGGGGATGGTGTAGAGGTCCACGGCCTCGTCCCTCCGGCCGAGATGCATCAGCGACGGGATGTAGCGGCCGACGAGGGCGCGCAGGCAGGGCGCGCAGGCGCAGACGATGCCGACGTTGGTCTCGATGATGCTGTGCGCGGTTGGTTAGTTGGTCGGATGATGCGTCCCGCGGTGTGGCACCGTCCGATAGGGGGCTCGCCATACCTCCAGATGTAGTTCACCGCGAATTTGAAGGTGAAGTCCGTGTCTCCCCACCCCTGGGCGACGATGACGAAGCGCATGACGCTCACGCCGAAGACGCTGCCGGGTGTTAGCACAAGGACAAGCAAGCATTGGGCCGCCAAAAAGAACTATTGCCCAACGTACAATCCACCTGTTCCGAGGATGGCCGCAAGCGCAGCCTTCTGGGCGAAGCCGATCCGCAAGGGCCCGATGATCCAGGCGGGCAGGACCAGCAGCACGGCGTCGGTTATGCAGTTGAACGCGACGAGCCACCCGTACCACGGATCCATGGCGAGGCATCTCCCCTTGCCCTCCATCGTGGCATAGTCCCATTGGTAGTTGATGGGCTGGCACCCAAAGAGGAACCCGAAGGCGCCGGTCAGATAGGCGGCAATGACGAGGAACATTAGGATATAGACGGCGATGTTGAAGCGGCGAGAGGTTGAGAAGCGGAGGTAGAAGCGAAGGATGGACGTTTTGATGAAGAGGATTGAGATGTTACCGGTGATAGCGATGGAGAGGATGGAGAGCTGGGAGTTGCGTCAGTCTGCCAGCGCCCACCCGGGGAAGTCGAGGATGACGACGCACCATCATGAACGTGCGCAGGTTGGTTAGTCCCTGCGCGGCCAAGTACGCGCGGTGGTAGCCCAAGCCATGGTTGGTGACTGTATATGGTCAGTGCTTGTTTAGGTGGGCATGATCTGGTGCGACGGCACATACGGATGGCGATACAAATCGAGTAGCTGATCGAGAAGACCTATGAAGATTTAGTCAACCTGCATGGTGGAGCAGTCCCGCAACAACAGGCTTACTAGTGCCGCTAGAATGAGCCCTGGACTTGGGTCAGCAACGTCGTCGTCGAGGAGGGGCGGCACATACAGTCGTCTACGTGAATGGTCCGGAGGATTCTCCGGGCGGTGAAGAAGCGGAGGGCCACAAAAAGGACGGCAAACAGGGGAGCCAGGATGCAGGTAAGGACAATGCTGCCTGCCAAAGACTCGGGATTGTCAGCATCGGTGGTGTTGTTCATGGCGGCGACTTCAGAGGCGTCGGCAGCCTCCTCTTGCGGTGGTCCACCGTCATATGCGCTGCACCGGGACGATGATGGCGATGGAGAGGAGCGGCGGTGGAGTGTTGGCTGGATGCTGGAGGTTGCGGGCTGGCGGTTCAAAAGGAGAGCGCGAGAACAGTTCAAACCCGATCTTCAATCTTCACCGATCGGGCTGGCCAAAGGGGGGGGTGATGAGGATTGTTTGTTTCCCCAGACCGGTTGCAGATCCTGGCTGGCCATTTTCTTGGGTTTGGCTCGATTGGTCGAGATGGAGTTTCGCCTGAGTTCCCGGGTGCCGGGTGGCCGACCCCAATATTTGCACGGAGTGAGATCTTTGTTGCACGGAGTAACTAGGCTCAGTCAAGCACAGCGCAGGGAGCACCCTGACTCAAGACTGAGCTTGAATAGGTGGCGCATGTGGGGAGTGATTGCTTCAAGTCTGTGGGCCATGTGGCGATGAGCAAGGGAGTCTGGAGTTTTGTGAGACCGCTAGCTGTATCAGGCCTAATTACTCCGTGCAACAAGGATTTCGCTCCGTGCAAATACTGGGGTTGAGCGCGGCGGATGTGGCCAAAGCTGGGGCGAGACGAAACGTTTTGGATTTTGTTTGCAAAGTCTCAGATGCCACATGCAGTTGGGAATGGGCAGTCAAGCAACAGACTGCAGTGAGCAATGCTTGCGAAATATTCCCGGAGGTGGTTTGTCATCACTGGAAGGAAGGAGCCTGACCTCCTTCCTGAATGAAATCGAGGGAGGCATTCTTGCGGTGGCTTATGGGCATCCCTGTCCGTCTAACCACATCGAGCAGAGTGGCACTTCGCTTCGTTGCTCTTGCTTCTTTTTCCTTTTCTCTCTCTATGAAGTACGTTTATCTTTCCTTTTTGTCTTGGGCATTGGTCTCACAGTTCCTGCGCGTACCAGCTGCGTAACGCGATGCCAGCCGCCAGACAGATCGTAGTTGCATCCGGTCCTTCCGGACGACATTGAGCGCGGATTTCTTTCCGACTTGAGCGAGCTGTCACCTGGCAAACACAACAATTTCCGAAAGTGCAGCCGACCGTTCTCCCTTTTTCAACAGTGCGAGTCGGACAACGACGACTGGTATTACGGTAGCACCAAGTATCCGGAAAAGCGCAGAGCACTGCAAGGTGCACGGAATGTCTGTACAGTTTGTGAGGTGTAGTCCAAGGCGGCGATGATTTTGATCGTCTTCGATGGGTGTTCCCAATAAGCCAGAAAAAGAAGTGGCGTCGGAGTGCGGAGTGCGTTGAAGTGTTGATAGGGATTATACCGCCTCAGGAGAGAACTGAAAAGACGAGTGGTCTTAAAGCAACCTGGAACCTACTAATTGCTAGTATCCAGGATAAAACAACGAACGTCGGGACTATAAGTGAAAAGACAGAATGTTGTCATGTTGGAGATGCTTGCAATTTTGGTGGTTTACACCGTCTGGTCAGATTCGAGTCCCGCTGCAGCACAAAACGACTTGGAGTTTCTCTCATGTCAGTAGCACCGCCCAAGCTACCGTAGGTACCCATGCATTGGAGGCTGCAATATTGCGGCGTCTCAATGGCGTGAGTTAATCTCAGGATATGCAATTTTGAGACAGTGGCACGAATAACTGGAACCTAACTCCAGTCCTCTCAGAGTCACCGACTGCTTCTCTCATTGGGTTACTGAACCCGTGGATATCAACCCAAGCGGTTGATCCTACGCGGCCCTATCCCCAATTACAAGACCGTTGGTCATGGTCGTCCAGTTTGGCGAACCAGGAAGGACGTTATTAGTAACCCGCAAAAAGTCACAATTCACGAACCCCTTGCCGCCAGGCTCGTGATAGCCAACATCTTCCCCTCACGCTAGACTTCCATTCCTGGCGTCTGGATCGGCGCTTCGTCGTGGATGCCACCCAAGGCTGTGCGCCAACCCTGTCTGTCTTTAGCGTGACATCTTGCAGAGAGTCCCCGTGGGCCCGAAGCAAGCCAACCAGTTCTCCCGCCGTGCACCCGAACCCCCTGGGCTGTAGGGACCGTAGGGCCTGCAACCGCGCTCTCTGGGAGAAGGACGGGGGGATCTGCGTCCGGCCGCTGGGTCGAGCGGGAAGCGCCGCGTGGTTCAACTGTCTCGACACCAGCCGAAGAATGCACAAGGAAGGCAGGCCCCATGGCTCCAGGTATTCTACGATAAGCAACAGCGGCTCGGCCCACAGCCGAATTAGACGTTGGTCGCCCAGTGGAGCCCGCACCCCGGGTCGGCTGGGTGGGCGCGGACGGCCGGACCCGCAGCCGGCGCGGCGACGGGCGGCCAGCCCGAGCGGCGGAGGACCATCCCGCGACTCCCCGGCCGGGCGACGAGAGGTGAGACTCACAGCAATCTTGCCGTCTGCAAGTGTCTGGCCTTGGTTCCCCGGTTGCTCTGGGGATCCTGGATCGCCAGTGATTTTGCGACGTCTTGAGCCAGCAGCTCGTAGGCCAGTTGGCGGGTCACGCCGTCGGGTCTGGCTTGGCGGGTTGGTGCCGGCGGCCAACCGTCCGCGAACTTCGAATCGGCCCGGTTATAGACTTTGCGCCGGTCTGTGGATTGGGCCGCGGGGTTAGCTGGGGCAAGGCGGGATGGGGGGAAAGAGGACACTTACATCTCGGGTCGACATTCGGAGGCACAGGAGCCTGGTTGGGGCAAATGTTGCTCCCAACAGGCCGGGCCGGGAACCGGAAGGTGCCGGGACACGGACATTCGGCGCCGTCGGTGGGTATGTGTCCATATGAGGTAGGTATTTTCATTAGCACCACTGACTTGGATGAGAGTGGTTGGAGTACCTACGCGATTGAGACGACTTTTGACCCCTTGGTCCCAGTACCAAATCAACGGGACCGCCTTCTCGTCAAGAATGCACCTTGGAAGGAGATAAACATCAGGATTAAAAGCGCACTGGATACCCACCACTCTAGGTGCACTGTACAGCAGCAGACGGATCGACTAATGTCGGCGGTCCTAGAAGCGGTCCAAACCTTGACACCGAAAGCCAGACCATCGCTATACACCAAGAGGTAGTGGACAGCCGACCTTACACAACTACGTCGTATTTACACATACTGGAGGAACCGTGCCCGGGCCAAACGACGAGCGGGGCGAGCTTTGGTGGACTTGGAGGAAACGGCAAAAGGGGCAGCAAAGCAGTACCACGACGCTATCCGACAACAGAAGAAAAAGCACTGGGACGAGTTTCTCGCGGACAACGGCAATATCTGGAAGGCTGTCAAGTACCTGAAATCCGGCGACGACACGGCGTTCGGAAAGGTGCCACAGCTCGTCAAAGCAGATAGAACAGTCACGGCTAGAGTGTTGCCAACACACGCCAGCACCGCCGCAGCGCAAGATGCTCAACCTCAGTCTCCCCACCTCTATCCTCTCCTGCATTCTGCTCGTCGTCGTCGCGGCCCCGGTAAAAGTAGGCGGCCTACTCGCAACAAGATCGCCCACCTCCAGTCGAAGACACCATCCCCGCTCTCGCCATCACCACCCCTGACGACAGCAGCAATAACACAGCCAATAACCCGTGCAGCAGCACACCACCACCACCACCACCACCACTCACCCGGACGACCATCGTCGTCGCAGGCTGGACGTACCTCGGTTGTTACTATGACTCGAGTGTGCGCATCCTCGCCGGCGCCGAGCAGCGGGGGCCAACATCACCAACGACGTCTGCGCTAGCTTTTGCTCGGACAGCGCCGACGTCGATAGCGGGCCGCGGCACTTTGGGACGCAGCATGGCAGCCGATGCTTTTGTGGCACCCTGAGTGATGTGGTGCTGGGCAGCAAGAAGGTGCGCGAGTGGCAGTGCAATTACCAGTGCAGGGGGAGAGCTGGTACGACGGAGAATCGTGGTGCGAACTGGGTGTTAAGTTTGTGGGAGCGGGACGGGAGTTGATTGTGTTGAAATGCTGGTAGTGCTGTCGAAGGCTGGGCTCACCGTGCGGTGCATTTGCGTGGCGGTGAGGGCGGTTAGTGAGGAAACGACTGGACGGCATATTATCATACCTAGGTAACTACCTAGGTACCGACTTAAGCATAACCACATCCCAAATCTTCCTCTCTACCTATCTAATCCCTCCTAGTAGCAGCATCCTCCAAGATCGCCTCAGCCGCCTTATAACTCGCCATGAACTGGCCAACAATAGGAAACGGACTCGGCACTCTGGGTAGCGCACTCCCATCTACCACTCTCAGGTTCCTCACCCCCCGAACCCGAAACCTGGGATCTAGAACCGCAAACGGATCATCATCGGCACCAATAGCCGCCGACGACGAAGCATGATGCGAGTAGACCTGCCTTCTTATAAACTCCTTGGTAGCTTTCTCGGTGCAGTTCGTCCCAATCTCGCCAACGCAAGGCTGGAATTCCGTAAACGGCCCAACGGGAGTTTCCACCCCCCTCAAAACCCCCCTTCCAAACTCAACGCCCTCATACAGAGCCTGCAGATCCACGTCGGCATTCTCGGCCCAGAAGTCAAAGAATATCTCGGGCACATCCCTCGGATTGGCCGATCGCAGCTTCACCGTCCCGCCACGGTGGTTGCGTCCCTGCGTATGCGCCATGGCAAAGGTAAACGTGCTCGGCGGGTCTCCCTGCGGTCGAGAATAGCCCGGGAAGAAGCCCCGGAACACGTCCGGCGGGTTCCACAACACCAGGTCTCTCTCGCCGTCCCGGGAGACGGAAGTCCGGAGATGGGTGGCGTGCGGCGGGCCGGGGATGGCGTACGGCCCCCGGCCCTGCCGCCACAGGTCGATGCATGGATCGTCGCCCACGCCGAGGGTGCATTGGACCGGCGCCGGGGATGCCGGCCCCAGGTCGACCGAGGCGGTCGCGGCGAGGCTGATTTCGTAGTCGTCCTGCAGGCGGGCGCCTACGCCGGGAAGGTCCACGAGGACTGGGATACCGAAGGAGTCGAGTTCTTCGCGGGGCCCGATACCGCTCAGTTTGAGGAGCTGCGGGGTGTTGAAGACGCCTCCGGATAGGATCACTTCGCGGCGGGCGAAGACTTTGTGCGTTGTCGGGTTGGTGGTGGCCTTTCCTGCCGAGGAGCGAGGGTCGGCGCGGTAGAGGGACTTGCCGCGGAGGTATTCGACGCCTATTGCTCGGGGCTGGCTACCAGAGTTGGCTCCTCCGCTGGTCCGGTCGTTGTCGTGCGAGAATAGAACACGGGTAACCAGGGACTCGAGTTGGATCGTGAGCGGATTCGCTGGAGATCCGTCCGTCTTACGCTCCGCAAGTGTGGCCTCCAAGAGGTCATTGGCATTGGTCCGGTGACCCAAGGGTGTGTGGTGGAAGGGGAAGTTGAAGAGGCCCTGTTGCTGGTCTCGGTCTGGGCTCGCCGAGTTGGCGTCTGTTCGCATTCGTTCGAAGAGGTGCGCCTGGTCGCTGCCATGTCCCAGAGTGGCGGCCAACTCGCCGAGGATGGATAACTCGGCGGTTCGGTTTGCCCACGCCATTTCGGGGTTGGGAGTCGAGGTGGCGAGCCAACCGTCAAACCCGTGACCCGGTGTTCCGGGAGGGAGGTAGGTGTTGTTTTCCAAGCGGACGAAATACTGACGCATATTTTCGTGTCTGGTATTCCGGTAAGCAACTGGTCGTTATGAGTTGTGCTGAGTGATGTATGCACTTACCCCCAGGAAGCATCACTAGTGATGTTGGCGATGTAGTCCCAAAAGCTATCCTGAGGAACGATTGCGGCACCAGCATTATGAGCAGAGCATCCGCCCAGCGTTCCCGACCGTGGGTAGTATATACCCAGCGGTCTGGCACCCTCAGGGGGGCTTTGGCCGACATAGTGGTTCCCGTCTTCGGTTTCCCAAGTCAAGTAGCGGTTACTATTCTGAACCTCGTCATCTGCGTGGTATCGCACGAAGAAATCCCAACGCAGCTTCTCGTCTTCGGCTGCAACATCGGCAAGAGCGAGTGCAACGCTAGTGTTGAGATTGCGTCGCTGGTCGTCACCGGCATCCAGGAGAAGAACCGAATACCCGTTTTTGGAGAGTTGGGAGGCAACAGGAGCGCCGCCAGGACCCGACCCGACGACGATGTAATCGTAGGTTTCATTCGTGTCGAAGGGCTGTGATCCCGCGAGGGTAGGGCCGGCCAAGGTGCACGAGGCGATCGCCAGGGGCCAGGGGGCAATGAGATTCGCTCGCATGTTGACTTGGGAATCTTTACCGGTATTGGTGATGTTGGTGGGCGCGGTAAGGGAAGTCTAAGTCTCTAATCTAACGGTAGAGAGCTTTTGCGAGACCTATTTATACGTCTATGGCATCTCTGTATCACGAGATGATCACTTGTTCTGAACATGATGTTGGGCTAGCCAAGACTGTTCGATATCCTCAGCCACCTTCCTCCACGTAATACTCGTCATCAGCAACACTTGTATAGTTCTGTTCCCTGTCTTTCGAAATCCGATGCCTTAATTAGACGCGGACATAATTGTACCTTAAACTCCGAACTCCTGTTGTAGTCTACTCTTATTTGGAAGAGTAACGGATTTCCATATATTAATCTCACCTGTTGGTTCCCTTCCCATTTGTTTTGACATCCGCCAAGTGCAGTTTCGTCGGTAAAGGGGGCCGAATCCAATGCTTCGACTGGACGCGGACATAATTGTGCCTTAAAGTCCTAACTCCACGTAAGAGCCAATTCCGAGAATGACACTCTACAGAGGAGCTGACGTCGCTAATAGGGATTACAAATTCACGAAAGTGAGGCCTCCACTTTGCAACTTTCAGCGCGGATGCCCTCTCCCACACCGCGCTATTCCGACAACGCATGTTGCTGAGACCCGACACTCTGCATGCGTTTGTCCGGGGGTTGGTCCGGCTTCTAGACATACTGATGTAAAGATTATACATACTAGACACTGGGCCGGTCGGTAGATAGTAACCATACATCTTGCATAATGGACGCGTCCGACTCGGCTTTGAAGCGCGATGGTATCCTGTTGTGCGCAAGCAAAAGAGGAATTCCTTGCTATTACAAGGATACGGGCACCCTATGTAGTTCAACATATCCAGCCCCTCGATCTCCAAACACGGCGGATTCTTAGTGTTTATGAAAGAATGGAAGGGCAACTCTACTACTTCTCCTCTTTGTTGACACCAAACAAGGTAAGCACCTAGGCAGCCGTTGTCACTTCCGGTCGACTGGACTACGCCGCTGCTAGATACTCCTGGCCCTGAGGTCCGAAGCCTTGACAGAATCCCGCAATTGCAGGGGTGTTAGCTTCCTGAAGGGATCGTCAGCGACTCAATGATCGTTTTCTTGAATAAACGCCCAACTGACCGCAAAGCTCAGGGTCCACAACGGTGTCTCCGTCCCGGCAACCTTCTTTGCCAGACCGGCACCAATTGATATCCAAAAATTGAGGCTCAGATACAGCCCCATCCTGGAACTCTCCGCATACTATATAGTTTGACGCTGTCTTTGCTAGTATCTTAAAGAGTTCCTAGATATAATAATATAGATGACCGCTTTTGCTTTTACCCCTTGTTTTGGGCGGAGCGGGTGAGCCAAAAGCGGGGAGCGCTCACCCCGGCTCACCCAGCTCACCCGGCTCACCTGGATTGGCGGGTGAGCAGGAGCCATGCGCGCGAGAGTGCGATGTTCCCGCCTCGGAACGAAGCCCACATCCCGGCCAGTAAGCAGTGAGCTTCCGAAAACAACCACCCGGGAGCCAACCACGTCGTCGCCAGTATACGCATTTGCGTTGGGGGTGTAAAGGTGCTGTACTTTGTCCAAGTTATCACGCTACCGGATGGCCAAAGACTTTCGAGGCTTGCACATACTTGAAAGTCCGTGGCGGGGAAAGAGGTGTCGTATTGAGACTGTGATGTGCAGATGACAACGAGATGGAGAGTTGGTCGACGCTGAGCATAGTACGTATATATCTTGGTTCCTAGGAGGGAAAGCAGTTTAGCTGACCGAGATAAGGTCGTCAGTTAGAGATCCTCCGCTTTCGCCTTAATTTTTGATGTGATTGGACATACCGGGACAAAGAATGGCTGCCCCGGTGCGGCGGTACCAAGCGTAGGGGTCGACTGGTAGTTGCCCTGCTACAATATGAGTTGGCGAGCTGTTTTTCATTGCGCAAGCTTGTGGGGTGAACACATACAGGGAGTAAAGGCGACGGAGAAGGGCCGTTCTGCTGATGTATATGGCTGCTCAAGTCAGTGAAGCACAGTCCTGCTGATGCTGTCTCATCAGGATATCGTGCCTGGACGTCGGAAGCGGGCAACGAGTTCGCCGGGACTGGGCTGGCAACAGGGGAAGCCGACAGTATGTGGTCGTTGGACTGGACACTCCGCGTTGGCTGGCTCACGAAGGGGATGTGGCTCACTCAAGGATACTTACCCGTGACGCAACGAAGGGGTAATAAAGCTCCTGGTACGGAGTTGAATACTTCAGTGTGTCGTTAGCTAAGCTTGTGTTTTGGCGCCTGGTTGTTTCATGATATTGTATTCGCCGATCACCGGGATTGAAGATGGGATCGTCCGAAACCGGGGCAACAAGCATCTCCAACTGGATATTGTACTGTACGTTGTGTGATCAGCGGTGAGTTTTGACCACCGTCGTAGGTCCTAGGATAGGGTAAGGGCTTATATCAGTAGCGCCGCGGGCCCAAGGGAGAAGATTCGACATGGTTGTGATTATAAGGTTGCTGCATGGTGCGGTTAGTAACACATTGCCACCCTGCCAGCGGTAGGGTGAACACATACCTGATTCGGCACGGAAGGACGCGAGGCGTCAGGTTGGGGATACTGCTGATGAGATCACGTTGCGTGTTAGCCGGCCAGGCTTGGATTCGTAGTCGCGTCTTCGAGTGACAGCATACGGAACCAAACAACGGCAAAGAGAAGTGAGCACCGCCACCAAACGGAGGATGACCGGTCAAGGGATAGTTGTGGGTATGCTGTTTATCATGGTTAACGGTGTCGCTTTTGTTAAAGTGTCCGAGTGCAAACCTGAGGCGCGGAGACGGGCACTTCAGCGATTGACCTTGATGATGCTGACGGCATGCAAGGTTAGCCATCATAGGATGTTGCGAAGGCCGAGCGATGACTTACATGGGGGGCGTGGGTATGCCCAAAAGGCCCGAGAGCCAAGCCAACCAAAACTGCAGTAGCCCCCGGCGAGGGAGTAGTGGACGAGCTAAGGGCGTCGAGAGTGCTGAGGAGGGGCGAGTGCAGGAACAACTGTGCGTGGCCATGGTTAGAGCAAACGCATCCTCCCGGTCTTCAAGGTTGACGGTGGGCATGACGAGTGCGTACGAAGTAGTGGAGAGTCGGGTCCACTGGGGGTGGGTTAGTCAAAGCTGTCGACGTGTACGCCGCTCATTGGGGGCACTTACCAGGGAACTCGGGGCTGGGCGCGTTGCTGACGGCGACGACAAAACGCCCGTTAGCTTTGGTCGTCTGGACTCGAGGCCTGTACTGTTGCCGGCCACAGAGGAGAAAGTAGTGGCGGCTGCGGGACACAGGTGTTGGCATCATTGTGGTTGTCACTCTGTCTCAGTCAACCCGGAATACTTTCCATGGTTGCAGGCATTGCGCGGGTGGGCAGTGGCTGCGATGTACGCGCTAGTCTCGCCACCTCTCAACCCGTCACCTTCAACCGGCCACAAGGTCCTCACAGTTGGTGGCTGCGGCGGAGGCAGCACCTCCGTCGGCTGGCGAAAAGGGTGACATGGTGGCTTCGGCCACGGAAATAGAACAGTCACGAGGAGATCGAGTTGTTGATGCCCGAATAAAAGAAGACGAAGCCAAAGCAGTTTCTGATCAGGGTCTCAAAAGGAAGAGGAGTCGCTTGCGGGCAGAGGATATTGACAAGTACTAGAAGAGGGGAAGGATTTGAGTAAAACTTTCATTTTGTGCACAATGACCCGCTCCTCTCCCCGCGTGGTTGGCCGCTTGTTATGTAGGCAGCGGTTTTGAGGGTGACGATGTCATTCATGGTGGTGCACTGGGGGTTGCTGGATGATATTTACGGGGCTCAGGGGTAAGTGGGATGAGACAAAAAGGGCACGATGGCTCACAGCAGAGTCAGATAATGTGTCTTTGGGATTCACGATCTTGGTTCAACTTAATACCACTTGCTTTTCGCTGATCATGGTGTGCGACTAAACAACATCCTGTGCTCAGACGATTAAACGGCTTACGTTTGGACGACATGAAGATGAACCCATGGTGTTGTTTATCTTTAATTCAAAATACCACTTGCTGAGCAGGTTGTCCCACCTTTAGTCTCTATTTCCGTGTAGTGTCTGTGGGGGCCCAATGTACGGCCCATGCTTCATTTCTAATCTAGACGCCCTCCCATGTGCATAAAAAGGTTCCAGGTTGTGGTGAAGTTTGACAAATCCTTTCCCCGCCTTGGTCAACGAAATACCGCTTTCCTTCGCACCTTAACTACAAGAATTTAACTAAAGAAGGAGGATCGGGTGACAGAGGCCAAAAGCCTCTGCCTGGGGCCCACCAAGACACAGCCTTCAACTCATGCTTTTCCAGGAAATCGACCCCCTTCCCACACTAACTCACTCACCTCTTTGCTTCCTCCTCTAACAACACAACAACCCGCGAGTACACCTCGTGGCACAGGTCCCAATCTTCCAACCCGCACCAACTCCGATGCAGTTCTCCCTCAATATCAATACAGTTCACCACCGCCGTATAACAGCTCTCGCTCATCCGCTTCACCTCGGGCAGCAGGCCCTCCGCCGCATCACGGTCCGACAGCAGATTTACGCCGGTGTCCGGTCGCGAAGCAGTACTAGCCTGGGGCGAGTGGAGCGGCTGTCCCAGGAGCACCTCGATCAGCAGGCACCCTAGCGACAGCAGCGTCGGGTTGTACCTGTACCCCCCGTCAATCGTCGGTCCCGCTTCAGGTGGTTGTGCTTCGCCGCCGGGGAAGTGTCGGAGCAGCACGGGGCGGCAATACGTGGTTCCTGTTAGAGCGTCGTTCGTTTGAAGGAAGAAGATGTGGCGGCTGGTCAGGATGTGCGGGAGCCAAGGCGTGCCGTGTAGTTGGAGGACGCTCGAGGAGATAGTGACGGCTAGGCGGACGCGGTCGCGGAGGTATAGCGGCGGGACGCGGTTCGTTTGTTCGAGAATGTCGCGGAGGGAGACGACGGACCAGGCCCGTGACTCCTCGATGCACGGGGCGGGGCTGATGGAGTATCTCATAGTCCTGGAGGGTTGCGGGTGGTAATCGACGAGGATTCCGTAGATGTCGGATGTTGCTTGTTTCTGGGTCTCGGAAAGTTTCTTGCACAGGTCCAACTTACCGTGGCAGTTGGAGTAGGCGGCGCTTCTGGCAGTGTCCGGGGGCGGGTCGGCGGGGAGCAGATTCGTGGAGGTGATATTGGTGCCCACAGCGGTGGACGTTGTTGGGGTTGTGGATCGGGAAAGGCGGAGAGGAAAGATGCCCTTCTTCGTGTCGGTCTTTACCGGGGCCACAGTGGGTCCCTTGGTCGGGGTTGTGGGAGGTGTCCATGCTTTGACGATAATGCCTTGCCAGTTTAGCACCGCCGTGGGGTTCGCCTGGTCGCCGTGTCTTGTCGATCTAGACGAGATGGCTACCTGGAACGAAAGATCCTTCATGATCTTGTCGCTGTCGTCCGTAGGGATGATGTCGGCCGAGTGGCTCTGCAACTCCAACCCGATCTTGTGTGAGCAAGAACAGCGGAAATTTCCCCGCAGGGCGCGATAGAAGCTGCTCGATATGTCCCGCAACTCTGAGAAGAGTATTGTTTGAGAGCGCGCCCTGTGCTCCGGCTCGCGTTCTTTGCTCTGCCTTGCGAGAGTGTCTAGGTCGGCTACGGCGGCTCGGACGACAGAGAGAAGCTCCAGCAAGCGCGCGTTGTTCAGGGTGAATCTGGCACGGGTGAGTTTTGAGGCCTCGCCGTTATTTTGGGCGTCTATTGCCGACCGGATCTCGGCAATCGCATTCGAGTTGAGCTCGAGGATGTACTCGAAGACCTTCAAGTTGTCTAACTCGGACGTCCCGAGTAAGGCCCGCATGTTTTGTCTGAGAGATTCCTGCTTCCAAAGATCTCCGCCTGGATCACGCATCATGTCCGCGAGATCGGAATGCGGAACGCGCCCAACCAGCAGCGTATGGCATACATTGCGAAGCTTGGACTCCTCGACTTGTAGGCCCAAGGTGAGCTCCCATATCGCCGGGCGGTAATTCCGCCACACTCTGAACACCGAAGCTCCTTTGCCATAGCTTTGAAGCAAGGAGATGAGCACGGACACTGATCCGAGAGCGATGCCAATGGCCTCAATGCCGGACATGGTGAACCCCCGGTGGGTTTGATCATGTGTTTGTCGACCGCTTTGTTGGAGATTGGGGTTGGATGTTGCGTTGTCGACCGCTTTGTTGGGGGCCAAGGCTGGGTGTTGCGTTTGCCGACCGTCTTGTCTTGTTGGGATCAATAACTGGCGGGGGACGGGAACGCAGCTGTTGAGCATGAAAGGAAAAACATGGTTCCGTACCAACCGTTCAGAAATGAAAGGGCCCTAACCCTTTCGAGGTGTTATGAGTTTGTCCTTCCAACAGCAGCCGCTTTGTGCTACTTCAAACCCCGCTCGTCAGCGTTTCTTGAGCCTGTTTGTATTTACACCGTCATCCTCCGCGGACGTTGAATGCAAGAAACACCAACAGCAACAACAACAGCACCAACGTCACATCATACTCAAATAACCGGCCCCCCCTCCCCACTCTCAGGCCATGGCGGAGACTATTTCGGGTGTTGTCGAGAGATGTCTCACCCTTTTCCACGCTTTAGTGGGCCCCGAGGATGGCTCCAAATTGGACTCGGGCAACCTGGACTTCCCGGACCGGAATGTTGCGATTCAAATGATCGACCAGCACTACCGCTTCAAGCTATGGGTTTCCAGCGTCGGGGCGGACAAGCCTGATATGAGCTCGCTGGACTACCGGCTTCGAGATGCCTCGCACATCAAAATCCCCGTCATCAACCTGGTGAAGGGGCTCATCGAAATGATCGAGGCTGCGTCGGCCATCGTCCGAGGGGAGCGGACTCCGTGGGATCAGGAGGAGCTAGAAGAGGACCTGGAGCTAGAAGAGGGCGAGCTGGACCAATTTGATGTTGCTGACACGCAGCTTGGTCAGATCGCGATCAGCATGGTTAATATGGTCGGTTACCTCGTCGAGCTCAAGCCGGCAATCCGGAACCCAGCGCCGCACGACCGCATCATGGCAGCAAAGCCCTCCGACGCATCACGATTGGAGCATCTCGACGTGCGACGTGTGGCTTCCACACACAGGAGCGTTAAGCCGTGGCTCGCGGATCGACTCGGCAAATCAATCAGCAGGACGCGACAGTATCTGAAGCACCGCCTTTTTCAGCACGAAAAGCTCTCACACAAGCCAGGCGAGATTGAGCTCGACGCCGGAAGAGGCCTGGAAGACCAAACCGTAGCGTCCTCAACTCCGAGTCACCCGAAAGAAGGACGCGCAGGCTCCCAGGGTTTCCCGATCCTCAAAGATGATGGCTCGGATGCCGGCATGTCGCAGACGTCCTGTGCTGCATGTCTAGGCAAAGCGGACATACTCGCAATACCCCCGCTTCCCAAGGAAGCCCATGATGGGCCGTTCCAGTGCCCTCTTTGCTACATGGTAGTCGTGGCAAAGGACCGAGCGTCATGGGAGTAGGTCGAACTTCTCTCCCATCTTCCATTTCTCTGGTTCCAGCTGACCGAGCCCAAAGAGACCATGTTTACGATGACCTCAAACCTTGTAAGGCGCGCGTTTCGTATCCATCCTATTGAACTTTTATATCATCATCTGCAGCCCCTCGAGACCCTTTCGTGAGACACCCGTTTACTAACCCCAACAGATGTTTGTCTAGAGGAGGATTGCATCACCCCCGAAAACGAGTACTCGAACCGGCATGAGTGGATTCAACACGTCAGGCAAAACCACTGGGCGGTATACACGTGCCCCAGCTGCGAATGGGTCTCCACGTCGCGGGAAGAATATAGGGCCCATTTGGCAACCTGCCAACCTGCCGAACAGTCGCCTAAGGACTTGGACGCCCTATCAAAGCTTTCCCGGCAACCAGTGGAAAATATCCAACCAAGAGCTCCGTGTCCCCTCTGCCACCTTGCTCTCCGTTCGGACCAGCACTACCAACGCCACGTGGGCCGCCACCAGGAACAACTTTCTCTCTTTGCTCTCCATTCACCTGATGCCGATATTAGGCTGGGGGATGGCGAAGGGGACAGCGATACCTACGACGCCCGGGACTACATTGCGGACGACGAGCGGCACTGCTTCAACGCATTGGATGACGAGAAAAAGCAGCCGTCGATTGCCGACCTCAACAACCCAGAAACGAACCATGACGGGGTTACTAGCGACACTCAGAGCATGCTGCTCGGGAAATTCCTTTCACATTGTTCTGCACTTTTGGGGTTCGCGGCAGAAGCGAAGAACGAGTATGGGGCCGCGAAGGCAGTGCCAATGGAAAAGGATCGGCTGTCCCGAGAAGAGGTGCTCGCACAGGCAGAAAGTGGAGCCAGAGAAATCTTTGCTGCGTACCGGATGATATTCCCGGTCATGAGCAAGGGGTTGATGTGGGAGATCGTCAAGCACGTTCGTGACAGGATTGAAGAGAAGGCCGAGAAGACGAACCCTCAAAAGATCAGTCGCCGGGCCGAACCGATGATCCAAAGGTTATTCGGACACGAGGGCGAGGACAGCGCGGAGCCTGAGGCGACGCGGATTGAAAAGGAGGATTTAGAACGGGAGACGTCCAAAAAAACAGAGCCGGTTCCAAAAGAGGAGCGCGCACCTACGATGGACGAACTCGCCGCGACGGTCGCCAGGTGCGAGATAGTGCAGGCAGCGCTGGAGGAAGATCGGCTGGAGCTGGGTGAGTCGGACAAGGTGTTTGACACTTTGCACCTGTTTTACGATTTACGGAAGCGGGAGGCCAAGGAAGCTATTCGCATGTACGGCCGGGGTAAGGGCGTGGAACATTGGACAAGGTCGCAGCGCGAGGCGCAGGCTCGAGCAAACGGGTTTAGCGGCCGTTTTGTGAAGGAGTTCGATCTGGCTGGTTTGAAGGAGGAAGAGACTGAGCCAGCTATACAAGAAGAAAACAGGAAGAGGGAGACGAGGGAGAAGATGGAACCCGACGCCGACGAGAACGACAACAGACCCGCGCTTACGTGCATATCGCGCAGTACCTCGACATGGACAGTTTAGACTCCTTGCAAGGGGGGCGTTCTGGTACACGGCGTAAGTTCCCTTTAGATCCACCGCATCTCACGCCGTATACTGATGTATATGATGACAGGACCAGGATCATATTATCATCGAGCGCTGGCTACCGGAATGGGAACGAGCCGTGCTATTCTATCATACCCCGGCAATACGCATAGCCGACCAAGATGGCGGGTCTCACGATGACTCCGAACCTTTTGTCGGAAAAGAGCCTCGAGCTTGGCAGGATCGCGGAAGCGAGTACGATTTTGTCCGCTCAAAGAAGCGTCTCGGTCTCGCCGTAACTCAGAACATGGCGCCTGGGAACCACTAGGCCGAAACCTGAGAGAGGGGCCATCGGCAAGAACAGGGCGAAGAAGAACAGGGGTTGCTCCGCCGGAGCGGCGGAGCTCAATCATCGCCAAATCTCATCAATAGGTACCTACCTACCTAGGCAGTTAGAAACGAAGACAATCATCACGAGGAAAAGACCCATGAGCCCAATCGCGAATTAGAGCACAAAACTAGAATGTGACGTGAGGTTTTGGACCCGCCGAAGCAACGACAACTATAGTTGTAGTCAAAAAGGAAGATCACACTTCTTTTATCTTGGCACCCAAATTCGCCCAAACTCGGGCTTGTTAGGTACTCTGCGATAATACACCACCAGCAATGTTCTAGAAATGAAAGGGAAATACATAAAGGTATAGTTTTGCATTTTGCCCCTGGTTGCACAGGCTTCAAGTTGACATTCACCCGTTCTTGGCCCTGACACGGAGCTTGCCCAAATCGCGGGCCACATGGCTAGGGTGATCAACTGTTTTCTGAGGTTGTCGTCGGCGATCCGGGACCCACGTGTCTAGCCAGTGCCGAAAGACTCACGATTCGTTCGCTACCAAAGGAAGCATATGATGAGCCGTTCTTGCTAGATGATAATCGTAGCAAAGGATGGAATATAAGGGAAGTAGATAGTACCTATCTCTAGCTTTCCTGGCATTTGGTAGTTTTAGCCCACTGAGGGCAAAGAAAGTATAATTATTTATAAGTATATCTAACGATGTACAAACGCAGTGTTGATTTGCATGCTATTTAGCCTTTATATTGCCCAATTATAGATTGCATTGACCTTTCAAATTATCATTTACAGCACCCCGAACACCTTTCTTAACATGCGTGTTGCCTGACTGCAACAGCCGTATGCCTGGAAAGCGATTGTATTGCCCGAATGTAAGTACTTACAACAATATAAGCGGATTCAACAGATCGCGGGCAAAACCACTAGACAATATATAGGTGCGTCAGCTCCGGGCTGGCCTCCCCGCCGCCGAACTGTACCAGCCATTTCGAATATACCACCCTGCCAAACGGCCGGCAGAGCAGCTGGGCCCCTGGTAAAGCTTTCCGAAAAACCAGTAGATAATACCACGAGGAGCTCCGTATCTCCTCTGCCCCCTTGTTCTCTATTGGGCCCAGCGGTACTGACGGCACGTGGGCCGGCACTAAACACAGCTTTCTCTCTTTACTCTCGCGTCACACGATGCAGATAGTCGGACAATATAAGTGACAGCGATACTGATGGCGACTGGACCTCCGTTGCGGACGAGGAGCAGTGCTTTAACGTATTGAATGAAGACAACGAGCGGCCGTCGACTACCGCCCTTAACAACTCAGAAACGAACCGTGACGGCCGCAAAGATTCCCAAAGTGCAGTCGATACCGTCATTTGTAAAGGGATAACAATCTTTATCATTGCAAGCCTGGACCCAGCGTTCCAAGCATGTTAGATTGGGCGGGGAAGAGAGGAACACGTTGGATAAAGTACTTATGCACATACTATATAGGATCTTGCGAGATGGAAGTGAGGACGGGTTTCTCCGCTCGAAAAGCCTCGCGGTCACACCGCAATGGCCAAGCCGGGATGGGATGCATTAAGCAAGATGGGGTGAATAAGGAGATAGGTTGCTCTGACAGAGTTTACTCGCCGCCCGGTCGGGTCAATAATCACCCATATGATCCTGATGAAGGAGAGGACTGTGAGCCCAGATCCCGAATCCAGCTTTAAAAACAATACCATGTTTTGGACTGTACGAGACAAGGGCAAATGTTGGATCATTGTGTTGTTTAGGTAGGCAACCAAGGTCTCTCAATTTGTCTCCTATCGAACCCAGTGCTCTTCACAACTTTTCCATTTGCCCGCGGCTTAGAAGATGGGGTTTCCACCCGGCAGCTCCTTCAGCCCTGTATCACGGCCAAAGTTAGCAACCCCCCCAACACTCACAGGCACAAAGAGACAGCAGGAGGAGCACTTACAGCCATCAAAGTCCTCGTGGACCATCTCCTCGGCGACGCACTTGTTCTGCTGGGCGATGCTCTGGGTCTTGAGCATCGGGGCCGAGACGTAGGTGTGGGCGTCCATGGCGCGCTGGAGGGAGTCGTCCTGCCAGCCAAAGACGTAGTCGGCGTGCGACGAGAAGCCCGTCGAGTCGCCATTGGACCACACGAACGGCTGGCTGCCGTCCTCGGGCCAGTCCTCGGCCCGGTTGAACGCCGACGTGTCCCACACCGTCTCCAGCAGGATCTGCGGCAGCTTGACCGGGTGCGACGCCGGGCACGGCCCGCCCGACTCGAACGTTCCTGTTTCTGGGTAGGCGACGTGGTCCTGGTGGTTGGGCGTGTCCAGGTTGACGCCGTCCCAGCAGGTCGGGAATCGGTGGTTGGCCATGATGCCGAGCTTGCATGGCGTCTTGGGGAACCCGATGCTCTCGGGCTGCCGGGACGCCTGGTTTTCCATGCACGTGTATGTCAGCTGCCGGAAGTCGCGCGCCTCGTCCCGGGTCTTGTATGACGCGTCGCCGATTAGCATACGGAAGCCTGGCTTGAAGGCCGTTACGGTGGAGCGCTGGGCCGTGTCGAACAGGGCGTCGGACATGTAATAGACGACCTGGGTAGGTGGTCAGTGGGTGTCATCTATCTCTTAGGGATGTGTTAGGCTGGCTTACCATGCCCCCTTGGGTGCCCTCCATGCCAGCTTGGGCGATTTGGGGAACGCGCTTGAAAGTTCCGTTCCTTGCGCGGAAGTACAGGACGGCGGTCCAGTAGTTGGAGAAGTCCTCGGTGAACTGGCAACTGGTGCAGGTGGATTGCTTGACGAGGTCATGATTGGGGTGGTCCATGGACACGTTGAACGAGTCCTACGCTGTTAGTTCGACTCTTAGACCAGGGAGATGAACCTACCCCTCCGATGATCTGGTGAAGATGCGGCGATGGGTTCTGGCCCGGGGTGACCAGAGGATCTAGACGTTGGATTGTTAGACGGGCACAGCCGAAACGAAGCAGCGCCGTCGCGGGGGCAGCTAGCCCGAGGGCGGCCGTAATGGTGTTCCACTTCATGTTCAACTGGTGATGCGGCCGATTGTTGGGGGTTGGTACGGGGCAGTGGTTCAAGAAAGCCTCGGAACTAGGAACAACTGAAAAGGTGGAACGCGGCCAACCGACTTATGTCCAAGGTCCAGATTCTTCGAGAAGAATGGAACGATGAGCTGGCAAGTGCCGATCCCGGTATGCACCAGACAGATCAAAGGGCTGCGCAGGATGGCGAGATGGTAAACGTTCCGGCAACCGAGCCGCTTCCAAGTTAATCTAGCTTCATAACCGGGATTACAGATCCACCAATTGCTCGGCTTGTTGACATTCAGTTCCCAAGACATGGGTAGCGGTTGAGAGGACCGGGACGAGGGGGTCGTAGTGATGTATCCGGCTGCAGATGGAAGTTCTTTTGGAACCAAAACTGGCCAGTCATGTTCACTGCATCACCATGGCTGAACGATCTGGTGACGCCCGGCTCGGTAAACGGGAGTGAAACATTCTGCCGGCAGGAGCTGATCACGGATGAACGTGGCAGCCAACTCTATTTTGATACTTTTAATCACCGGCAGACAGCCGATTGACCCGGTTGTCCCCGCCTAATGTCGTTCCAAGACAATGGTGTGGGACGCCATCAGCACGTGAAATCGGTATATGCGCCGTGATATCGCTGTAGTTGTCCTTGATATACGGACGCTCGGTATTTCGTCAATGGTCCATGTTTGCCCTAAATTCCTCATCCACGTTCAACTGTTCATCATGAAACTCACAACTTCTTCGGGGCTCATTGCCCTCTTCCTCGGGGCGGCTCTGGGTCAAAGCTTCCCGGAATGCACCAGAGAGCTTCTTCGTACCGACGATTGTGCGGCGGTGGTCAACCCCAACGCTTGTTACAACCAATTCCGCTGGAGCGCGCGTACGCTCGGTTGCATCGAGGGGGAGAACGACACGCAGAGGAAAGAGAGGGTAGGTAGCTCCTGTTGGAGGTCATCGTTACAGGTTACCGTGAGATGATGCTAACTTCAGTAGGCATGCAAGTGTTGCAGCTGTGTCGGCACCGTCATGTGCAACTGGGTGACGCAGAACCGGTACTGTTCGTGAGGTAGTTGGGGGGTACTGTTTTTCGAGTTGAGAGAGGCGTACGTCAGGAATAAGATCAAGGAGACATCTATTAAAGCAAATACCACGTAACAATTGGAATATTCACAACCGATTCGACTAATGATAGATATGTCCCGGCCATATGCTGCCCTTCCGCCGAGCCCTAGTCCAACCCCTGAGCGGTGATCATCCATAATGGCACTTGCACACACATTCCGGCTGGTCGAGGGCAAACATCCTGCACTGTATCTGTCATTAGTATCTTTGTTCATTCCACAAACAATGGATACGCAATCCATACGTAGGAATCGGCACAGTTGAGAGAGCTGCACCCGCCGGCCAGCTCACAGCAAGCATTGGCGCATTTCGGTTCTGTGGTGTCATTGTGTTAGTAGAGGACGGTGGCGACTGGGAAGTAGGGAATAGGAGTAAAGCGTACTGGGAAGTTCAACGGCGCAGCTAGCTCTCTTCCAAGTATCCCTCCTCTGAAGTGTTGACATGTTAGTGGACAGAGCCATAGCCAACAAAGAACGCTGTTTAAGCTTACAACAACAAAGTTCATTTCGTTGCTCTGCGGTTCCGTCGGCATGGCTGCAACAGTGGCCGCTATAAAGACGAGTGTAGTGAAGAGTTGCATAATGGTGATCGAAGTGCGTTGAAGAACTTATGAAGTGGATTCTGCATGTTTGCCGCCTCAACTCACTGTCAACCCTAAGCTGGCTCTCCGTGTCAGTTTATAACCACCGCCGATTCCAGTCCATGGACAAGGGGTGTTACATCGGTCGTGGAGTTGATGATCAAGGATGTCAGACGGGTAGTTTTCCAGTCCGCTGGTACGCAACCAGGACGCGTCACACCCATCGCTTTCCTTTTGCGTAAAAGTTCCCAGCGTCTCAGCCTTTGGAGTCCCATGCACCCCGCATCCTTCTTGTCAATGCGCCCAATGAATGCTGCGGTGCTTCAGCTCGGGCGAAAGTTGCGAACCAACGAGATGCCAAGACAGGGAGGAGTCTCTCGCGATGGTGTTGGACGGTACAACGCGGAAGGTTGTCGTGTGGCCTGCTTACTTTCTAGGAGTACCGTTGAGTTCGGTTCGCCTTCGGTTCGAAGCCAATGTAAAACTCGGGTTCGCTGAGTGGAGGGTCGGTTAATATCATGGATGCTTGCTTCTGTGGTCAGTCCCAAGTCTTGACGTGGCAAGGGGGGAGGAGGACAACCGCTGCTCAGTCCGGGGGACTCTGCATCGGAGTCAAGGCAAGTTGTCTTGAGTCATGACAGGTATTGTCACCAGGGCCTTTTGGTCATCACATGTGGTGCCCACTGCGAACATTTCGGGACATCACTAACTCACATCAAACAAGTCTCCCCAGCACGGGCGGCGTTAAGATGAAAATCGTATTTCAACCAACAGCATTAACAAAACCACCGTCACCACATCATCCCACCTCCGCCCCCATTTGCCTCCCCACCCCCCCCTCTTACACTCCCACATCAGGAGAACCCCCCAAAGCCTCAACCGGCCTGATACACCGCCAAAGCGGCAACATGGGGGTTGATCATGGTGACATTATACGGCGTGACAAACAAGTCCGTATCCGTCAACGCGATGAACATGGTCCCATTGACCGCGGGATCCCCCTTCCAAGTTGACACATTCGGCTGGATGGTATACGCCGTCATCTCCTGCAGACTGACATTCAGCAGCGGCGTGTAGGTGACATTGAGCTGCGACAGCCAGGCGGCGAAGCGCGGCTCGGCGACGTTGGTCGTCGTCACGTAGCTGTTGTTGGGCCCCACCAGCTGACCGGGCGCGTCCCAGCGGAAGAAGACCTCGCGCCCCGGGTACGACAGCGGGATGGACCGGTTGTTGGAGATGGCCGCGGGGCAGTCGAGCGTCTCGTCCGTCGCGTTGATGCACAGCTCGTCGGCCGGGACGTCCGCCGTGGAGAGCGTGTTGGCCCAGCCGCCGGTCGTCTCGTTCCACACGTCGGCGCCGTTGATGCGCGCCGGGTTGGGCTGGTTGAGGATGTGCAGGGCGGGGAAGTTCTGCCATACCAGCCGGGTCTGGTTGTAGGGGCAGGACGAGATGTAGGGGGCGAGCAGGGTCCAGGCCCAGCTCTGGGGGATGCCGGGCGTGTGCCACTCGGGCATGGGGAACTGCCCGCCGAACTGCCGGAAGATGAGCTGCTGTCGCGCCTCGACCGTGATGCTCTGCAGCAGCATCGCCGCGGCCGGGCCCGAGTTGAGGTGCGGGAGGAAGCCGTACACGCCGGCCTCGGCCCAGCGGGTGAGCTTCTGGTTGAAGTCGATGTACTCGCGCACGTTGGAGACCGGGTAGTTGTAGGTGCATTGCCTGGGTGCGTTGGGGCCCAGCATGTTGGCTATCACCGATGCGTGGCCGATCTCCTGGTCGGCCATGTGCTGCAGGAGGTGGCGATCCTCGGCTGTGATACCGTACGCGTCAAACTCCTCGTCCGAGAACGTGGCGAGTCCCCAGTGGAACGCGTCCAGTTCGATCCATTCGTGGTAAAGTGCCAGCGCGAGGGACTGATAGTCGAAGTCGCTGGCTACTTTGTAGATGGGCACTGAACCGTTGGTGCCGATCCCTCCGCTAGGGGTGTAAGGCATCGGCTGATCGCCATGGAGCTCGCCGTCGGCCTCATACTCAACAATCCCAGGCGGGGGCGGTGCCGCAGCGATGGAGGGCGCCAGGACATCGGTTGAAAGGGCACCGGTTGTGGTGGCAGGCGGGCCGTCGTAAGGGCCGTGAGACGTCACATTGGAGTGAGAGATCGCGTAGGGAGAGGGTAAGTTCGTCGGCTCCGAGAAGACCGTTGTTGTAGGCTCTGATACGACGGGGACGGCGCGCACGTTGCTTGTCAGAGCTAACAGGGTGGCAATCCGAGAAGCCGTGAAAGGGGCCATTTGTGCGAGGCAAGCAAGCTGTTGGGAAGAATAGTTTATTGCAGTAGTACTACTGCCTGTGTACCTAGGTAGGCAGTTTGAGTACCCTGCGTGTTTTATTTTGAGGGACTCCCAGGTGAGACGAAACCCCGTTTTAAGTCCTTATCCCAAAGTATTCTGCTTTTACCCCCCCACAACGCCATCTTCCTTGTTTTCAGACAACAGAGGTGGTCATGATGTCACGATCCAGTGAAGCCGTCATGATGAAGTCTATGACCGCGGAATATGCAATGACGTTGTACGGTTGTACCTTACAATTCACACACCTACTGTGTACAAGGCACCACCAGCTAACCAAACCCCGGCTAGAGTAAGGCCCCTATCTTCAGGATCAGGATCATCAATAATAGGGTAGAAGCGGTGGTCTATTTTATATTCGTCTAGCAGCATAATCACCACGTCTAAGTTCACATTGTCTCGGCCCGGGTGGACATGTCCGATTCCATGCAACCTCGGCAGCATCGATGACCTCATCCCGGCAACCGGCCCTTACATATATGCAACTACAGGCGGACCAACCCTTCCAAATTGTCCCCTCCACAGACGGACCGCACCATGTACAAGTCAACAGTCTTGTGTCTTGTCCGACACCGTGACAGCTTAGGCAATCTCGAAAGTCTTCTCCCCCCACCCATACATGTTGGTCAGCCGCTTGGCCAGGTGCAAGATACGCCAGCCTTCAATACGCCCCTGGTGTGGGCGATGGGCATTGAACTTTTTCAGCCCCGTCCCCAGGGCCGGAATGAAAGTGTAGGCCGACCCCGACGTGGGCTTGATCGAGAAGCGTAGCTCGACCATGGCGCTCTCAAAATCTACCCAGTTGATCGCCCCACGCGACTGCGTGTTGTCGAATAGGGTCGAGAACACCTTGGCCGTTGCCGCACTCACCTTGAAGACCGAGGTAGCTGATTCGGCCACCGACTCTTCGGCGGGCGGCGCAGCCGGGCTGATGTCGTACGGGGAGGCGTGGGCTGGCCGTGTCTTTTCCTTTTCCCGCCGTTGTTCGATGCGCTTCTCGGTTGTCATTTCGGCCGATACGGGGAATGGTATCCACTCGGCGTTTTCGATTTCTTTTTTCTTTTCTTGTCTGGCCAGCCTAACCTTCTCCCGCTCGTACTCGCCATCGATGGAGCCGAGACATTCCTCAACCAAGTCATCGTACAGGAACCCCATTTTCGTGCCGACCTTGTCGATAATGAACTGGTCAAGTGCCCGGAGGGCGCCCTTGGACGAGCCCGGCTTGAGCAAGGCACTGACCGGGGCGGTGAAATCGCGGATGTCGACCTCACTCCTGAGCGCCAACAGTTCGGTTGCCAGGTCCTGCGACCGTGCGACAAACGTTTGCCCCTTTTGGCGCGATGTCGAGGGCAGGGTAAGCCCCAAGTTGAGGTCATGGATGAACCCGAGTAACAGGACGAGGTCGCAAAACGCGGCGGTATGCATCTTAGCGAGCCAGTCTCCGAGTGATGGTTGTTTGACCTCGACCTCAACCATCTTCGACAACCAATAGGCGCCTTCCGCATAACCAGTCTCGGGGAGGCAGAAACGCGTCAAGCAATAAAGCCCCGGGTCCGTTTTAGCGAGGTCGCCGGGGTTGAATGCCATCTTCACCCGGGGGTTTCCGAACTTGTCCAGCGCGCCAGACTGGCGCTTGAAGAGATCCTTGCCATTTCTTGTTTTGACGCCGCGGTGGAGGGTGCGCTGAAAGGCGGCTTTGACACGGCCGTATTCAAAATGGCAGACGTTGGAAATTTGCTGCAAAATGACGGCTCGGTAGGCCTTGTCGTCCGGGTTGTCTTGTAGGAGCTTGAGGAGGCGGTAGGTGTAGTCCGAAATCGCTGTCTGCTGGACCGCATCGTGGACAACCTCAAGGAGGACGCCGCTGATGTACTTGTCCCGGCCATATATCGTGTGTACCTTGCCGTTCTCGTCCGCCAGTAGCTCCGCCCGTGTGTTTAACTGCGCGTGTACCGTGGATCCAAGAATGAAGGGTTCGGTGCAGAGGAGAGTAAAGTTTTGTTTGATGTCTCTGTTTTGTTCCTCGGCACTAGCGACGACGTCGGCAAGGGAGAGCTCAGACGGGCTTTCCCCGACGGTCAGCTTTTCCATGGCCCCCAACATCCTTGGCTGAGACCTGCTAAAATAGAAGGTGCCATCACTGAAACCGTCTAAAAGGATCTTTTGGGTCAGGGAGAGGAGAAGTTGGAGCAAGATAACTTGTCGCTTCAAAACAAGGCGAGCCGTGGGCTCGGGAATGAAAGTATGGTCTTCTACGGCCTTAGTCCACTCATCATACCCCCCGGGGAGTGTTTCCGGTGTAACCAGCTGCCCGTAGCTATCTCCTTCCTTCTCGAAGGAAGCGTACACATCCAGGCGAGCGTTAATTGGCTCTGTATTCGCGGTACCGGTTTTCTGGAAAATCACGTCGCGGTCACCAAGGCGACCCGACGGCATCGGACCATGATACTGCTCCACGAGGGACGTGGTGGCACGGTCTCTGAGAAGGGTGAGGTCGAAGTCGGGTCCCGACTGTGCCATATCACGCAGATTCCACTCCGGGACTGTATCCTGCTTACCCGTGGCTTGATACAGGTCTTCCCGGTTCATTGGCTTGGTAGTAAGGCATTTGCTACGCTTTTCTCTGTCAAATGACCGCCAAAGAGCCTCTATGTCCACTTTGTGATTCTGGTATCTCCTCTCAAGGTCCCCAGCAAGGTGTTGGAGTAGCACGCCATCTGTCACATCCGCCATGGGCATCGATGTTGGATTGTTCATATTAGTATGCCAGGTAATTGTATGTGACAAAAGAGAGCGGATAATGTCAAGGCGGTTTTGTACGAGATTTGGCAAGGTGTGACCTCGGGTCTGCAAAATAAATCGGGATAGATGGATAAGTAGGCAGGTACCTACCATTTCTCTTAATCACCTATGTTATATGGTAAATGCAACAAAGCTTTCTTGAGAATTCAAGCCCACCCTAGTGGTATATCCAGTAAAAGAAAATTAAGGCGCCCACAGCTTCTACAATGCGGGTGTTCCGAAACCAGGGTCAGTTATGCCACAATCATAAGAGCAGTAGCTTGAACATTTTACATGAAACCTGTTTCACTGTGTAAAGGTCAGTTCCCAATGTAGGAATCGGCCAATTAAGATAGGTCTCGTATGGGTGGGGTTTTACAGTCCCAGCCCTGGAGATCAATTTGCAAGGCGACTCCGATTTCCTATTTTTTCTAGTAGTCCGGAGGAAGTTTACCTTCCGAGCAATCGGCAACTTATCTCAACGGGGAACTTTACATGCGCAAAACTAGGTGCATCAGGTCAAACGTGGATACCCCAAACTCATGTTCTCGCTACCTAACCTTTGTCCTCAAGTTGCCTCCGCTCTTTCCGGTCGTCAAGGTAATAAGTAAGCGGATCAGATAACATGAAAACCGGGACATACGCGGCCGGGCGCCACCTCTTTGACATCTCCACGTGCATACAACGACTGCCGTCAAAGTGGCCAAGTGTCAGCGCGGCGCCTGCGGACCGTCCAGGCGCCTCCGAAGGCAAAAGTCGCACAGCGAGACAACTATAAGGACACCGCGTATCGCACTGCGCGGTAGTTAGGTAGTCGCTTGACCGCCGGGAAGTGCATGTGCGTTGAATGGAAATCTTACAGAACGGCACATATCAGGTAAATATGCTTCTCAAAAAGAGCGCTGTAGCGCAGGGATGAGCCATAGCTCTTTTCGAAGCCGCGAGACCAAGCATTTAGGTAATCGTATACAATGCCGCCGGCCAAAAGTATCGAAATCCAAGAGGACGACACATGGAGGAGGTATATGGCGTAGCCGACGACGACGATCATTCAGGGTCACCACCTGACTCACATCGAACAAAACCGCGCAGATAACCTAAAGGGGGATAATGATTAGGTAGCCTCGCCGGTCCGAGGAAGGGGGGGCGGAAGAGGACTCGACTTACGCCAGCATATTTGACGCCGTTTGTGTAGCCCTCAGTCGCGCTGATATAAATGAGAATTATCAAGATAGCCAGCTCGAAGAGAAGGGCTAGCGCTCGACAGAGAATATGAGCCGCGGTCGCCGGGTTGACAAACTCGTTGTGCGGCATGGTATGACCGCGAGTGGCAATGCGAACGAGAGTCCAGGCAAATATGAGGGATCAACAAGTTGTGAATTTAGATGCGAACTCGCCGAGCAGAGTAAAGAAAACGATGGGAAAGACTGCAAGATAGTTGGAACCCAGGTTGGCTGGGAGCGAACTTGACCCTGAATTGAGGTGGGTGTGGGATGGAACTTAAGGTTCATGCCTATTTCTCACCCGCCCACGCAATTTCGTTGGGACGAGTATATCGGCAAAGGGGGTTGCGCCCTTGTCATCATCGACGGCGGCAATGACCGGCCATCACAGGAGCGGTTGGTTTCTTAACAAAGATACCTACCTACTTAACTAAGGAAACAATGTCTAGCCGAGTGCTGGCCGTTGCTCAATCCTAAAACAAAGACAACAGCGCATTCCCGTACCATACTCGTCGCCGCCAGTGAGCACACGAGCTCGCCGCCCCTTATTCACGACCACTTCGTGTCCCATGCCCCGCGAACCCAACAGCAACATGATCCAGCACCCTCTCCCACATAAACTCATCCAAATCATACCACCCCCCCTCCTCACACCCCATCATATAGGTAGCTATGCCACGCGCACACATCCCCCCACGCCTGGGCCAGTTACCCCAAATCCCTGAGCGACGTGGGGTTCGCCTACCCGGAGAGCCCGACAGGCAGCAGCCGCGCCGACACCGTCCCCTCACCACCCTTCTCACCCTCCTCCTCCCCCGCCACCACCACCGACCGCCGCTCGCGAACCTCGAGTGGTAACCTTGAAAGCGGAGAATAAAGCCACGAATTCTCGCAAAAACAGCTCTTCTTTAGACAGCTGAGACGACTAATCGTAGGGCGTATTGCCCTAGGTAGTGGAACCGCAGAAACAAAAAAAGAAAACGGCGGGGACGGGAAGAGAAAACGTGATCAACACGACAAGAGAGTTGGGATGCCTTCCTGCGACACGCCTCAGAACTTGAACCACTGTCTCCGCTTCAACTCCTCGGCCCCAAGCATCCCCAGCGTCCGCGCCGGCACCATCGACTCCCAGAGCCCATGATAGGCACCATCCCTCCCCGCCACCCACTCCACATCCTCCCCATACCCGTTTCGTGCAATGGCCTCCGAAGTAAACTCACAAAGGCACGACTGACATCTCCCCCCCTCCGTCACAACCCTCGTCTCGAACCCGCTCATCTCTCCGGCAACCGCCATGATATCCTCCCCAACCCGAACCAGCCGCAGGTTACCTCCCCCAGCACCCCCCATCTCCGCTCTCTTCCCTTTCTTAACCGCAGGATGATCCAGCAGGAAGTTTCTCTTTGTCTCCCCGCACACCCCACACTCCATCCACCACCGCTCCAGCCGTGCCGGCAGCAGGTTCTTGCCGCCCATAAGGGCGATAGGTTGGTGGTCTGCGTCGAGCAGCGCGGTGTCGCGGCTGATGCCCCGCCCGCATTCTAGAGAGCACAGGATGCTGGACTTTAGGAAGGCCGAGGCTGGCAGTGGCTGGTGATGAGCTCCGTTGGTGGGGATGGCCCGCTGGCAGGCGTGGGACCAGTATGCAGGCTGTACGGCGGGGACGGGGGTGGAGGGGGCGCGTTCGGTTGGTTTGGGAGGAGGGGTGGTGATGGTGGGGATGCGGGGGGGGGGTCTACTATTTGGTAGTGCATGCTAGCGAGATGGGCCATGACGTTGGTGTTGTTGGTGTTGTTGCAAGTGAGGTTAGAAATGGAAGCTGTTGGTTTCGGGGCTATGGTATTATGATCCTGTTTGCTGGGGGTCAACCTTACTTTTCTAAGGAGGGGGTCAGAAGCCAAAGTTGGGTACGCCTGCCCGAGTGTTTGACAACCCGTAACATCAGGGGATCAGTAACACCCCCGTGGGATGCGTTGTTGGCGTATCACGTTGGCATTTTCTTTCATGTTCGCTGAAAGGGCGGAAGAGCTTCGCATATGGAAACGGATGATGCATAAGAATGATGAAGGAATGCGCTTGAGGCCGTCAGGGATTAAGCTACCATGAGAGTACTACGGAACCCTTGTGTGACTTGTTACGTAGGTAGCTACCTATACACGAGTAAACGACCCACGGCCCTATAATGTGAAATATATCATCTTGGTGTAGGGCACCACAGACGTCACGAAGAATGTGCTGGGGACAAGTACACGAGCCACCTCCTACATCTATCCGGGACTTCACGCCATGCCATGTGATGACACCAAATATAACCGAACACGCATGGGGACAACAACACCTGTATGCTCAGAACCAGCAAAGCCTACGGTAGATCCGCCGATCTTATTATGACTGTACGAACAACTAAAGGGTAACCCAGAAGCGCTTGTGTAGCATCAACTGACAAACAGCTTATAATTATGGCCCGTAGACTTTTATCAAGTCGTAGTGATACAGTTCTGCTTGTGTATGTCCTAGGCCCTGATGTTCTAGAGCAAGATACAGAAATGATCAAGGCTACGTCAACATTGACCTGTCGTGTGTCCTACTTGGTGTTTGCTCCATGATGAAAGTGGGGTGAAGAATAACAAAGCAATGTCCCCCTATTTTCTGACCTTTTCAGCGTCCTGCCCAACTAAATACGAGTAGCCCCAGGCCAGCCTTTGCTCACTGCTATCTCCCTCAAACCCAGGCAACCTCAACCTCGCTCTCAAACACATCCCCCGCTAACTATCCCAAATGGCACCGTAAGCATGCACACCCCGCGTCTCCAGCCCATACACAACCTTGGTGGTAATCTTGCGATTAGCAATGATTATGACCGCCTCGGCCTGAAAGCTGCGAGCGAGGTTGTAGCTCAACTTGACCATATCGGGCCGGCCCTGCGCCGACGTATCCCAAATCACCGCCCCCGGGATCTGGCGTCGCACCGTATCGACCAACTCCTTACCATACGTCTTGACGGGATCCTTGGTACTCCACAGACACGCAGTCGCACAGCTGGGCAGCTGGATATGCCCCAGCAGCGGGCCAATCCCGGAGCCCGTCGCGACGACCACGACGCGGTTGAACAGCGTCGCAATCCGCATCACGCCGCAGGCCGGCACGCCGCGAACCCACACGCGCTGGGGGCCCTTGCGGATGCAGGCGCGCGTCCAGTCGCCGGCGTTGGAGACGACGAGCGAGTAGCCGGCGGCGCGGCCGCCCGCGGGCTCAGGCGCCGGCACCGTCGCGAAGGAGTGCCACTCCAGCAGCGGGCGGAAGGACAGGCGCGTGAAGGTGCCGTTGACGGGGACGGTGTAGTCGAAGTGCAGGCGCACGGCGTGGTCCGAGAGCACCTCGGCCTCGACGGGCACCCGGCGCAGCCAGAGCCAGGAGCTCGCGATGCTGAGGGTCGCGGCGGACAGGATCCAGAAGGGCGGGGCCGAGACGAGCGCGGATGCGTAGGTGGGGGATGCCCCCCGGGTGACCTCGTCGGCCAGCCCGAGGAAGGTCTGTACCCAGAATAGCGCCAGCATGGTCCACCCGACGAAGCGGTGATAGCGCTCGAAGAAGTCGTGGTGGGTGGAGCGGAACTGGGGCAGGGCGAAGCCGATGACGCTCGCGAAGAGGGCGGTTAGGATCCAGGAGATGGCTTGGTAGGCTGCTGAGTGGTAAGGGTAGCTGCTGCAGGCGTGGCTTGCGAAGCAGTACACGTCGCTGATGTTTGCTGCGAGGAGCCACAGGCTGGACCAAGTGGCCGCACCGGCGTGGACGCCGCCGAGGTGGTAGATCTTGGCGCAAGAGGCGCGGAACCAGAGGGGCCAGGTCTTGGGTACTGAGCAGCACACCGTGTATAGCAGGTTGATAACCATGTCCTGGCGGATGAGCACCGCGACGAGGAGGTTGATAGCCACCATGTTCCCGATCCAGGGGCGGTTGATGCCGTTGACGTACATGGCAACCAACGCTCCGACGTTGCCTAGGTAGACCAGCATGAGTAGAAAACGGTACGGGATGAAGGCCCTGTGCACGAGATTCCGGAAGAACTTTGCGTGGTCCTTCTCCGGAAGGTCGCCTTCGATGTTTAGGGTCACAGCCTCTCCTTCCGGCTTGACCATGTCGAGGGTGGTTGTGGACGCTCCGCTCGTCATGGTGGTGATGGAGCCCTTTTCCTGAGCATCGACAACTCCGGCTTCTTGATCGGAATTGTCACGAGTGGATGCGGATGGGGCATATGAGCTGGTATCTTGTGTAGCCGGTATAGCGATTGCCTCTGCGTTCCCTTCAATGGCAATAACGCGTAGGGCGGCCTTGTCGACTTTCCCATTCTGTGTAAGGGGCACATGTTCGAGGTTGTGGAGGTGTGTTGGGCGGGAGTAATACGGGAGAACCTGCTCGACTTGTTGTATCACCTGCTGCGTGTCGCAGCTTGCGGGGTGGAGGAAGCCGTGGATATCGCCGTCGACCAGGATTGCGTAGGCGTTCTGGACGCCCGGAGTTGCTGCCATAACGTGGGCAACACCGTCGAGTTCAACCCGGAACCCCTGAAACGATCAGCTTGTAGTCATTATGGTAAAATAGCAAAAACCCAATACGTACGTTCACTTTGACCTGGTCGTCTTTCCTCCCCATTATCTCAATCTCTCCGGATTCAAGCCACCTTCCAAGGTCCCCTGTGTTGTAAACCATCGACCTGCGACGTGTGAGCAAGCAAGAATCGTACCAGCGGTGGGTTGACTGTGTAGGTAACGTACCCGTCAAGAGCAAATGGATCTTCCCGGAATTTTGTAGCCGTCATGTCCGGCAAACCAACATAGCCCCTGGAGATTCCTCGCCCTCCGGCCCATAATGTGCCAATTTCGCCAACGGCAACCGGTCGGAGATCGTCGTCCATGATATAAACTGAGTTGTTTGGTGTGGGCTTGCCGATCGTCAGGGGTTTCCCTGGCTGGTGTTGAACCATGGTGTTTACGATGGTGGTCTCAGTGGGACCGCAGCAGTTGTAGTAGGTCCCGTGTTTTGCCCACTTGTCCGCAAGTCTAGGTAACCGGCCGTTAGCTTTAGTTATCGGGATAGGGAGCATCGTCTAGGCCATGCATGGGTTGTCTCACAGCTGGTTGCTGGGCTCACCGGCGGTCGCAACGACCTTGATGTTTGGAAATTCTTCTGTTGCTTTCAGGGACAAGATCGAGGGTGTGCAAATTAAAGTATCGATCTAAATTCCGGTGTTAGAACGCGCATGACTACCGGGAGAGGGCGACCAGTATGTTTTGTTTACCTCTTTTAACGTGGGAACCCAGTCTGAACCACGTATTACCAAGGTGCCGCCATTGCAGAGACAACCTAGAATCTCCCAAGCAGCTATTCCATTGTTAGTTGGATCCCTATTGACGGTAAAGCTGTGACGGGACGCTTGCTTACCCATGTCGAAACTGATGTTGAGGACCTGCCCAACTTTCGTCCCGGGCCGAATCCCCAGGCCACCGGGTGACATGCACACCAAGTTTGCAACGTTGGAATGTGTAACGTCAACCCCTTTGGGGGTTCCTGTGGTCCCTATTCCAACGTCAGGATGTTGACCACGTAGATAACTCGGCTGCGGGGCTCCCACGAACCTGACGTGTAAATTACATAACACCCGCTCTCGGGTGTGGCGAGATCGATGGACTCGGCCTCCTTCTCCAGTTCGGGTTCGGATTCATCTTCGACGCACAGCAGGCGGCATCCTCGAACCATGTCGGAATGTGTCTGCTGCAGCCGTTTCCTCGTGGACTTTGTGCAGACAACCCTGCTGCCGCCGGACTGGGAGATGACAGTCTCCAGGGCGGTCTGGGTGACGACTCCGCCGTCCAGAGGCACATACTGCGCGCCGCAGAGCAGAATAGCGTAGATGCCGACGAGCATCTCGATGCTTCGTTTTACCACGAGCGGGACGCGGTCGCCGGGGCCAACCCCAGCCATCCGGAGACGTTGTGCTAGCCATCGAGCACGGATTTCGAGTTGTGCGTACGAGACTTCGCGGCGGGTGCCGGCCTGGGAGAGGTCAATAGCGGCGACCGCTTCTGGGTAGTTGCTAGTGGCGTGACGGATCGCCGCTGTGACTGTGGGAAAAGGACATGGAATAATCTCCCCGGTCGTGAACGACTCCGGCACGCATTGGGCATTGTCCATTGTTTTTTGAGCCATGCTCGCGGATCCCAACTCCAAGGTGGGGAGGGGGGTATGTCAGATACGGAGGATTGTAATATGTGGTTTCCAAGAACCGTGGATGTCAGCCATGGGGGCCGATCCGCCTGGGGCGCAGGAGCGAAGGCGCTTTTTAAGTTCTCACCTCAGCCAAGCTTAAGCTGACCACCAAGACAAAGAAAGACCATTTCGTCTCTTCGATACCGCGCGCGTAACATCCGTCGTCCCATATTCACCCCTTTGGCGCGCTGGTAGCTCTGCTGGAGTCCTGTACCTTGCGCGCCATACCGGGGCCGTATTCCTAACACAGCCAGATCGTAGAGGTCCGTTCCGGATCGGTCCCCTTGCATCGGGCCCGTCTAGGAAGGGAAGCCGTGAGCTGCGCGGGTGTAGGCCAGGTAGCCTCGGAGGCTGGGCCGTTGAGAGAGAGCCCTTCAATCTTGAAAGGTTTGAGGGAGTTATCCGTTACAGTCGTATCAAACTTGCGGAGCGCCGTCCGGCGACCTTGCCCGGTACGTATTTTCCTTGGGCCTTACCTGCCTTGGCGTGTAGCAGTGCATCGTGAGCAGTTGATTCGCGCGAATCAGGTTAACGGCGGAACGCAAGGGGGTCGAGATCGTGTCTTGGGCGATCAGGACCGTTAGGGGGGCCATCTCGATGGAGGGCTGCAGTTAGGCGGCCCGCAAACGTTGCAACGGCGGGTCTCCAAGACCAGCAACGGCCTTGAATCCACAGCATGTTACAGCCATGCAAGGTACCCCTGGTCAGAAGTGCCAGCTTCGGTCGAGGGCTCGGGGGGGAATGGGCCTTACGTGACGATGACAGAGCAGCAAACAATCAGGGTCTCGTGCCTGGTCGTCCAAGAACACTCGATTCCACGCCCGGTTAGGAACCGGGTTGCTTGCCTCCTCGGTACCAAAACTGAAGTTCGGACGAATTGGTTTCCTGTTTCCACGACGGGCAACTCCAGCGTCTCCCGGCATGCCAAGTGTCCGTATGCGACACGAAACAAATCCCACCCCCTCTTTCACATGCCACAAAGTCTGCTGATTGCTTCCTCCTGTGTTCATACACAGAAGGTCGATGTCGCCTCATCTACGCCAGGTTGCGCCGCCAGTTCATGCGTGCCGTTGACCAAGAACTTTCACATCATTCGGTCTCTTCTGCGGCCACCGGCGGCCAACAACGCAACCGCAACCAGAAGGTCACAGCAGAGCGGACGTGATGGCATCCTCCATCCTGCGCAGCGATCCAGCGGCGCACGTCCGCGTGCTGTCCATCAACCGGCCAACCAAGCGGAATGCGCTGTCGCAAGAAGTCATTGACCGCTTCCTCGAGGAGCTGCACGCCGCATCCCATGACGACAGTGTCAGGGTGATTGTCGTGACCGGCACCGACGTGCTGTTCTGTGGTAGGCCCCAATGCCGATGATCTTCTGACATAAGACGGGCTGTGAGGGGAAAGCCCCCTTTCGTGGCCCCCAAGCTGACGACCTGCAATTGTGCTGCCACCTCGGCGGCGCGGTTGCTGCTCTCAGCTGGCGCAGATCTCAAGGAAATCGCCACTCTCAACACGGAGACGGCAACCCAGTGCCGGTATCTGGAGGACTTGTGCGATGGCATGGCCAACACGAAAAAGCCGCTGCTCGCGGCGGTCGAGGGTATTGCTGTGAGTTTCCCGGGCGGTCCAGCCAATGAACTGAGTTCTTTCCTGCGAATCAAGAGTCGAGGCTGACTTGTAGCAACTTTCTCTACACTCTAGTTCGGCGGCGGCTTCGAACTTGCGCTGATGGTGGGTGCCATGTTTCATTCGCTATTCAGCCGCATCGCCTCGACGACTCTCCAACCCCGAACCCCTGATCATTGATGAAACGCGCTAGTGCGACCTCATATTCGCGTCGACGTCGGCCAAGTTCGGCTTGCCTGAGGTCAAGATTGGCTTGATACCAGGCGCCGGGGGGACTCAACGCCTAACGAGTGCCGTGGGAAAATACAGAGTGGGTGCTGCCAGACCTGGAAGAACCACAAACTGCTGTCTCGGGTCTGATCATATCCCCAGGCAATGAAGATTATCTTGTCTGGCCAGCCCATCTCCTCCGAGGAGGCTTTGTCGATGGGCTTGGTTGCGGAGCTCTCCCAGCCCGGAGCCGTGCTTGACGATGCAGTCAAGATGGCCAGTGTCCTCGCCCAGCAAAGCAGCTCTTCGCTCTGCCTAGCAAAAGAGGCAATTTGCCGCGGTAAGTACCTGCCCGCGTATGTAGTGTCCATCTTCCAGCTGTTTCCTAATTCCTCATCCTAGCGGACTCTCTGGGACGAGACGAAGAGTTTGAGCGGAAGCTTTACTACTCTGCCTTCAGTAGCAGAGACAAAGTGGAAGGAGTCTCGGCCTTTCTCGAGAAGAGACCGCCGCGCTGGTAATGTATTGCAAAGCTATTAACTTGTGTAGGTCACTTCAATACAACGGGGCCTTGTGGCTCTTCTGCTAGTCCTGCATGTCAAAGTTCCCTTCAACGAGCTCGCTGCTCCTCGAATCCCGCGCCCACTTGGACCAAACCGTTGATAGAATTGCCATCATCGCATTGGATCTGGCAATCCGCAGGTTCGTACGCTTACGTTTCGTACCTCTGCAGTCGTAGACATCGAATGATGGTCGCGGCTCGCCATATCTCGCCGTAGTCGCGGTCCTGGGGCCCTGTCGCTGCGTTGTCTCTGGGGAGAACAACGGGGTATTTACCGCTCCACATCTTCATGGTGAAACCGTCGATCCACGCACCTTGTAACCGGGGCCTGTCGTCCAAATTTGGCACCGTCATCAGCACATTGGGACCCATCAGCGTGTCGTAAAAAAAGAACGTGCAAGGTTCCAAGCCATGCTTGTGGTCCGACGGCTCCGCTGTCGAGGTTGTCCCAAGTTTCGGCGTGGAATCCAACTCGCCATATGCCAGGGGTCGTCGGAGACGGGTGATTCCGTAAAGCCCCCGGGTGCTGTTAGATGTTAGCTTAGTGGCCTTTCTCTGGGCCGTGGGGCGTGTAAACCGCCGCGATGCCGCGGTAGCGGACCCAACCCACGTTTCACACACGGCGACTTTGCTAATTGTGACGTGTCCATGCCTTTATCCATGTCCTCCATTTTCGGACTGTCAAGCTTTGTCACGGCGGGAGGTTGAGAGACGGTTGTTGGTGCGTGCGGTTGCGAGAACGGTGGCCGTTTGCCATGTTTCACCCTTGGGCCGGGGCCAGATCCCAGGCTGCAACTCTATACCTATTGAACTTGTGTTCATGTGGCAAGGTGATGTACATACCTACCTATTAATGCAATCTGGTAAGGTCCGCCACCGTGCGCGGAACGGGAACCCTCCCAAGGGACGGAGCACGCTACTGCATGGAAGGTCGAAGCCCAACGTACATGATGTTCGGCTGGCCGTCATTCGTTGCCAGCCTGCCTGGGTGGAGACGGGTTTCGGTTCCGTTGACGGTGTGATGAGCTTGTTTAACCTTTAGGCTTCCAGCGAAGGCTGATGGAGACCCATGACGCTGGGTCCCAGTCATTCCATTACAATTGAACGCAACGCTATTACCATAACATTAGATCCTAAGCTTCATCGACAGATATTACCGAAACCGCACCAGATGAGTGTCCCATAGCAACAGACCCATCACAAGCAGCCACAGCACTGGCAGCATACTCATCAGGAACCCATATCAGGTTCTCCTCATCTCTCTTTACCCAGTTTGAGGTCGCAAAAACAGTACGAGAAGAGCATGGGGGTGTAGAGCAAACAAAGGAAGAGGACGGGCGACCATCGAGGGGGAAGGAACTTGTGTCTAATGTCCCGTGGTCCGTATGGACGTATCGGCCGTCATCCGAGAAGCAGACCCTTCGAACCACGACGCCAGTCTCGACTAAGCCCTTGGACAAACCCGTTTCGCATTCCCAAATCCCAACCCTTCCATCAGCCAAGGCAGAGACCAGCAACGTACAGTCTCGCGAAAACGACACGCACTTGATTGGCTGTTCCCCCTTGATCACCCGGACGGTCGCCCCCTGCCGCCAGTCCCACACCCGAATGGTGGCATCCTCGGAACAAGACGCAAGAAGCTCGCCTTCCCCATACGAGAACGCCACAGAGTTCACCTGGGCCAAGTGGCCCTGGAGGACAGCACGGGCAGCCCCTGACTCAAAACACCACACAACGACGGTCGTGTCTGCCGAGCAGGAGGCAAGGGATAGACCGTCCGGTGAGAAGCAAAGATCTGTGACTACGCCCTGGTGGGCTGCAAAGGTAGCCAACGCTGCCCCGCTCTCTACGTCCCAGATCCGGGTTGTCGTGTCAGCCGAGCACGAAGCTAGGAGCTCGCCGTCGGGTGAAAAGAGGACGCGGAACACGCCGGCCGAATGGCCAACGAGCGTGTGCAGTTTCGTTCCGGTTGCGGTGTCCCAGACGCTAACGGTTTTGTCGGACGACGCTGACGCCATGACACGACCACAGGGGGAGAAGGCAAGGTGGTGAATGCGGGAACGGTGGCCTCGAAGGGCGAGATTCTTGCCTCCGCCGTCTTTGGGCCACAGCTTGACAGCGCCGTCTTCCGAACCGGAAGCTAGGAAGCGGCCATCTGGAGAAAAGGTCATGAAAGTGACCGAACTCGAATGTGCTTTGAACTTGGCGGGCCCAGTGTTGAGGGGCCTGGGGTGTTGAGCGCGCCCGAGCAACCCGCCAGGGGAACCAGAGTTGATATCATCCACGACATCGAAGTCTTCGAGCTGTCCACATGGAGCGAAGGTCTCTGCATCCCATAGCCGCATGTCATCGTCAAACGATGCAGATGCAAGAAGTGTGCCACTTGGGGAGAATACAACCGCGTTGATGCCACTGGTATGCCCCTTGAGCGTGTGCAGAGCAGTGCCGTTGGACGCATCCCAAACGCGGACGGTCATATCTTCCGCCCCAGACACGATTAGTTGAGCATCCAGGGAGAATGTGACGGCCATAACCTTCTTTGTGTGCCCGCTCATCGACATGAGCTCGGTCTTGGTCGCAAGGTCCCACACTCTGACCGTCATATCATCCGACCCAGAGACAAGCCGCTCTCCAGTCGGCGAGAACCTGACGCAGTTGATGCAGCCTAGATGGCCGTCGAGCACCATGCAGAGTTGTTCTGACTCCCCCGAAACATCCCAAACCCGTATCATCTGATCAACAGACCCGGTTGCGATCAGGGAACCGTCGGGAGAAAACGCGGCCGTGTTTACACAACTGGACTGATTGTCAAACCTCCTGAGCTCACTCCCCGTTGCGGCGTCCCACAGCGCCACCGTTTCATCCATCGACCCGGACGCCAGGACCTTGCCGTCCGGTGAAAAGGCGACCGAGTTGACCCAGCGGGAATGGGCCTTGCGGAGGGCATAACGCACCGCCCTCGTGTTCAAGTCCCATACCATGACACCGAAATCATCCGACCCCGCGGCGATGAGGGTTCCGTCTGGCGAAATGGAAACCGAGCTGACCTTGTCAGTCGGCCCCTCAAATTTCCACAGCGCGCTCTTGGACGGCACGTCCCACAATCTGGCGATTTCGGTGTTGGACCCCGAGGCGACCTGTCTGCCGTCGGGTGTGAATGCTAGGTCGTTGACGTAGTTGAACTCGTCTTTGGCCTCGCGGACATCAGCTGGAGCAACCCATATGTCCTTGATCCAAGGGTGCATATGACCTCTGAAATGTTGCTTGAGTCGGTTGTTCGGACGGGCGAAGGCAAGGGCTGCGCCGTACACTTGAAGTGGCGCTTGTTTGATGATATTCTGAAAGGCAAAGAACCATCGTCTGGCATCTTTGACAAACGGCAGTTGCTGTACACTCGATGTCGGCTGGATCGGAGGTTTGTGTCAGGAGACTGCAAAATAGGTATGAAGCTCGACCCGAATGTGGTAACATACCTCGAGCATAGAATGGTAGAGTCGTATCATTGCACCCATCTCGGAGCTCTTCCCCATGAGGCAGATAGCCTCGACCCAATGGAGGAAATGTTCCCGGAAAAGGGTCGCGACTTGGCCATCGTCGGAAAGAACTAGGCCACTTGATCGGTAATGTTGGACCCAGTAAAGGCATGCGTACTGCAGGTGGTCGGGGATGTGGCGGCGTACTCGTTCTGCGTCCACATCCTTCACCAGTGTCCCGGGCGAACCGAGTTCGCAGATGTCTCGTTTGAGCATCTTTGACATGACCCTCAGACACCCTTCGGCAAGGTCCCGATGAGCCTGTTTCTCGTTGACCGAAAAGTCGAGGTCTCCGCACCGCTCCTCGTCAAGAAGGAAGTCACGGAATGTTGGGTGATGTAAGCGGATGGGCCAGGTCGGCTGACTGGGGATGTGAAAGATGGTGTGCAGATCGAGTAGCGTCTCCTTTATATCACTCAGGGGCATGCCGAGCAAGCTGGCCAGCGAGAGCATGGACAGAGGTGCGGCGAGAACAACGATGCTTCCTAGTACCTCACGAAGTATGATGCAAATCTCCGCCTTCTCTTCGTAGTTGTAGTCTTTGCGAATGGAATCACGGATGACGTCCGTGTATATTTGGTCCAGCTGCTTCTCCGGGCCTGCATCAGTGCGATGCCCATCGAGCAGTATGGAGACCCGCCTCATTGTAAGCCGCCTGCCCTCGCGGATAAAACGGCACGCGATCGAGGCCCAGATGAACAGGCCACACGAAATCTCGACGAGCCGTTCAATTACGCGCTTGCCGGGCCAGTCTTGGTCGAGGCCACGTTCTTCTCTGATGGCGGAGAAGTTACTCTCGAAGAAGAGACTGAGATCGCGGTTGACGAGATCGGGTGAGATTTCGTGGAGGGCGAAGATCTCACGTTCCGCGTCCGGTATCCCCCCGAGACTATGGCGGATGGCTATCTCTGGTCGGCTGGTCAACAGTAGCCGCAGCCGAACCTTGGTGAGCGACCGAGCGGTGGGAAAGACCCGCAGGAGGGCTCGGATATCCCTCTCGCTCTCGCACTCATCTAAGGCGTCAGCCACAATAACGATGGTGGGTGGGGAGGAGTGGCCATGGAGCTGAGAAAGGGGGCCTATGATCAATTGATCCCATTGATCCCAGTAGGAGTGCTCCGCAATGTGTTTTTGCCTCATGATGGCCTCACAAATGTGTCTTTTTGTCGCCGGTATTGCCGTTGCCAGTTGTCGGGCAATAGTCGTGACCAGCTTGGTGGCATTGTTGAGATCACCGCCTCCCTTGGAGAAAAAGAAGCTGGCCCCCAGTCTGCCTCGTTCGTGGCACCTTCTTGCAACAGTGCGTGCTACTGTTGATTTTCCCGTACCAGCTATCCCGCTCAGCCAGTAGATACACTTGTCATCAAGGCCATCAGTCCATTGTGCGATGTCATGCAGGAGTTCAGTTCTGGTATTCGGGAGACACGTTGGCTCATGCTGCTTGTTGAACGAGTTGAATGCCGCTTCCGAGGCCACAGGGAGCGCCGAGAGGGTTTCATCTAGCGCTGCATCCTCGACATAGCCTTTGTCAATATGTTCTCGCAGGCGAGTGAATGCATAGTCCCCTTCGCCGTACATGAGCGGCATAAAGACGTTAAATATGCCCAAGAGACAATAAGCCCTGTCCTCCTTGCGCGTCGTCTTTCGATTCTCAGCCCACGACAGCCTCTCGGCAACGGTGAAGTTAGTGAGAGTGTTGTCGCGCAAGGCCTGATGTGGAATGCCGGTGATTTCGTGAAGCAATGGTTCAAGTGACGTTTTGTCTCCAAGCCGGATCCCTTCAGCTGAGAAGAACTCGACAGACGCAGGAGCAAGCAACTCTTGGAGTGTCCAGCCCCGAGTAAACCACTTGCTGTGACGAAACTCCGGCTCCCACGAGCATGAAGATGTTTTGCTACCCCCTCCGGTAACGATTGTCCCATCAACGGACGAGACATCGGTCAGATAGACGTAGCACCTGGCCGAGTTCTGGTACCAAGTGAACATGGACGTGATCGCCTCTTGAAGCTCGGAGCTGCTTTTCTTATCGATACAACACGTATCAACCCAGAAGTACTCCAACCCATCCTTGCCTGCTTGGTCACTGCAGAATCTGATCTTTGCAGAACCGGCCTCTTTCGTTGCTGGTAAGTCGTCAAGCAAGAGGTCCTCGAAAGTGACTTCTTTGTCGTTATCCAGAAGCCAGGTATGAGAGAGTATAGCATACTGAGGCCGTTTGTCCTCTGCTAAGTTTCTGGTAAGCTCGAATCGGCCATCGTCTCGGCGCCGTAAGAGCCGCATTGCTCTCCGTTGGGGTTATGTCGAAGGGTATTCCGGCGGGAGTAAGCGATGGAGGTTCGTCGTGAGTGCGGTCGATGTGGTCGTTAATCTGGGAGTGTGTAACTTGCAAAACAACCGTGAGCAGGGCTGTAAGGGTTGCGACAATAAGCTGACCACGGAAAAGTGCGGAAGGTTGAGCTTCTCCATGTGCAACCAAGGCTCGGGCACCCCGCATATCATACATGCCGTGATACCCCAATATCGACCCGAAGTCGAGCCTTATCCATGATGGCGAGGAGAAGGCTCCCTGCCGCCATTGAGGCCGCACAGAGAGCGGTTCTCCAGGATTCAGGACCATGCACAGTCACAACTCACAAACGGCAGTGTTAGAACCACGCCGCAGCCAAGCGGGGACGCATGCCCGGTTTTCTCTCATTAGGTATTCTCGATAAGCACATCTCTTCTCCACGAGCCTCAATAATCTCGCTGGCAACACCGGCTTGGATAGCCGCGGCGCCCATGCATGATGCCCGGCTAGTGGGTGTATCACGGATGGTGCCCAAGCCGGTGACTCAAGATCCGGCCAATGAAACCGCGCGCCCACCATCCGGGCAGACCGCATTTCCTTTTTTGCCTTTTTGATGAGGGGGGGTTTCGGGAACCGACCAATCTCGCCATCATAAAATGGAACACACCGACACCCGGGATGTCTGGGCGGTCATATCATGTGCATATTCGGGAACGTGCTGGTTCTCGCGTACCGAACAGAGCGCCTCCTGCCAGCCACCAACAGCCATGAGTGGCTCACTGAGTGCTGTCCCGAGGCGTATGAGATACTGGTCGTGGAATCTGCCAGCGACGAGCGAGATTCCAATAGGCATCCCGTGGGCGCCCACAAATGCTGGAATATTGATAAGAGGCAGATGCAACCCCTAGACGAATCAGTTTAGCTAGGAATTGAGGAGATCCACGCGGCTTTTCTTGCTTTGGGGGAAGAGGGGTGGGGGAAAGGGGGCGTGGGAAAGGAGGGGGGGGGGGGGGCGGAGGGGGGGAATTACCGTCCAAAGAGTGTTGAAAGCCGCACTCCCCATGTCCTGCAATCCAAGCGGAGCTTCGTCCACGGCGCTGGGCGTGATGATCACGGAGTACTTGGCGGCCAGCCCGTCGGCGATGGCCCGCATGTTGGCGTATCCATCGAGGGCTTGTATCCTCTGCTCATGGGTGATGCCAGAGCTGTTTTCGACAAGGTCACAAATCTTGCTATCGAGCTTCGTCTTACCTATCCGATAATCACCGAGAAAGGAGACCCGGGCCTCACTTCCCATGACAACACGTTGCATTTCCCTTATAGTTTCTTCGACGCCGAACTCGGGCGGAAATGAAACCTCGTCGACTCTGACGCCGCTGTCCTCAAGAATAGCGACTGCGTTCTTCATGGCGGCTACCGTGCCGGGCCCTGCTCGGTGCCACATTGGGCTCTTGACCAAGGCAACCGACAGTCTCTCTAAAGCCACGTCTTCGGGAGACTTGTCGTCTTTGAGGCCAAACACCGTCGCAAGCAGCCGCAGATCGTCCATGCTGCGAGTCATAAAACCCAGCGTGTCGAAGCTGGGGGAGAATGCCTTCTGGCCTTCTGTCGAAATCGCATTATGAGTCGGCTTCATAGCAAAAAGTCCAGTGAAGGAAGCCGGGCGGATCAGGCTTCCACCAGTCTGGGATCCGAGGCTAATGGGGACTTGGAAATCGGCCACGGCCGCGGCTGAACCGCAAGAGGAACCGCCAGGTGTTCGCTTAGGGTCATGTGGATTCGTGGTACCAGGTCCGGAATTGGGCACTGTGAACTCAGTCGTGGTTGTCTTGCCTGTTAAGAAATCACATTATTAGCGGGATGGGTCAACTATTACTCGACTGACTGGGGAGTCTTGGAGACCCTCGGAGTCACAGGAGTCAGCGAACCGAAGATGAGCGCGCCAGCGGCTCGCAGAATTGCCACAGCCGATGAATCGAACCCAGGTTGGTGGCCTTCATACAATACAGAACCGAATTGGGTGGGCATGTCTTTGGTGTTCATCACATCCTTGATCCCGACTGCAATGCCGTGTAAGGGCCCTCGCCGGTCTTCGGGGATCTGGTCCAGGGCTTTAGCTTGCTTGAGAACCGACTCGGGATCTGCCGAACGGACTATCAGCGAAGGTGCCTAGACAGGACCACCAGGGAAGCGTTGACAATGGATGGGGACCGACTCACCGAGATATGCCCACGCTTTGATTATATGATCCCTCTCCTTGACGCGACCTAGCAGAGAATGCGCATATTGTTCAACCGTTACCGTGTTGCCCTTCAAAAGGTCAAGGGTTTCGCTGGCCGTTAAGGCGTAGAGTGGTCGGGCCACACGCATTGTCGTTAGGTGATACTAGTGGTATGCGGTAGTGGAGTGTGCAGTCGTTGATCTAGATAAAGTAAGGAATGAACTCGGCACGCGTATGTAGGTACCTCATGTTGAGCCAGAGGCGGTGAGCGTTTGCAGAGTTGAAGCTTCAACACCCACATGAGTGTTGGGATGAAGGCCAGCAAAGAGGTCGGTTTTCTTGACAGGCTCGGGCTGCAATGCATCGACCTAAATACCAAAATACCCCGCACGACTGATGACCATAGAGGAAAGAGGTTGGTGCTCACGGGGGGGTGTGTGCGAGTACGACGGGGACGAAATGGAAGGTGCCTTATTACTGGACCGTCTAGGCGCACGGCTGAGACGGATACAAGGCTCCATGCATGGGTGATGCACAGGGAGGTACCTCGGGTACCAAGGTACTTATGTGCCCGGTTGTTTAAGCAAGTACGAAGTATACCCGGCCGTTCAATTGTTATATGCCTCCGGTGGCGCCTCGGGGCACTTGACATACCTGAGTGAGCCTTCCCAGAATCCCACTTGACCTCGTAAGGGCAATTACAATTGACTCGGGAGCCAGTCACACTCAATGAGGCGACCGGTGAGCCCGATCAAAGGCATCAACAATCACCAGGTTTGTTCACCCAGCCCCGGAGAATTACATATACCTACTGACTCACCGTTGCACGTTTTGGACTTCATTGGTTCGACGCCGTTGTCCTGGCTCAGTCGCAGCGATATTCCACGCACCAAAGATGGCTTTCAGCCCCCTGCCACCCGATGAGCCAGCAGATTCACACGCCTCAAAAGGTTTATCGCCTCGGAGAATCGGTCAACCTAAGAGTCTGCCCGTTCAACGACACTTTTGCACCAGTGAGGACCAATGGAATAAGGAAAGGAGGTACTTGGGTATATGGTGAGTGGCCAACACGGGACCTGACCTTTGGCGCCCTGCGCGTTCACCGTGGCCTAAGGACCTAGGTCGTCCTGCTGTCACTTCTGAGCATTTGGACAAGACTTTAGTTGGGTGTATATAGGGACCAGATGCCTCCTCTTGTGTCGCGTTCGAATTTCAGTGATCAGCTTTCTTCGATACCGGAATCCACACACATTCAAAACACACATCCCCATTGCTACAGAGCAAATACCTACTTACTCCTCAACGTCAACCTCGATCATGTCCGAACCATGTCAACTGCCTGTTATCATAGCCGGTGCCGGAATTGTAGGCCTCGCACTGGCACAAGCACTGAAGAAGTCCGGGGCCCCGTTCTGTATTTACGAGCGTGACCAGAATCTTCACGCAAGGTTCTCTGGATGGGGCCTTTCTGTCAACTCGGAAGCCCTGAGGCACTGTTTGCCAAACAGCTTGTTCGACCGCCTAGATTCAATTCAGGTTGATCCCCGGCAGCGACCCACTAGTGGTACGTATTTCCTGATGTCAAATACCAGGTCCTTCAGAGTTATCCTTCCAATGGCCCGAGCTCATAGATACAACCATGGCCAGATATCGGGACCGGGTTCCTCAATCTCGAAACAGCGCAGCCATGGCTCACCATCCCGTCTAGCCTTCGCCGCCGCGTCGACCGCGGACGGCTCCGGGAGCTGCTCGCCACCGATATTGACGTCAAGTGGACCAAAAGGGTCGTGAGCTTCAAGCTCACCGACTCTGGCGTCTCCGTGTGCTTTTCCGACGGAACGAAGGTGGAAGGCTCTGTACTAGTTGCAGCAGATGGCAGCGGGAGTCGAGTACGAAGACTGTTGGTAGGAGACCGGGTGGGACGCCTTAACCCAGTCCCGGCCCACTACCTCGCCGTTACCGTCCGCTTAACAGAGGACACGTTGAACCAGTTGCCTCACCCCGTCATCTTCCAGGGTAGCCATCCAGCTACGGGATATTACATGTTCTTCTCAACCCTCTCAACGCCAGAGGTGAACGGGAGCCGTCGTACCAGCAACCCGTACTACGAGGCTCAACTTGACGTGAGCTGGCTGTCTGAGGGACCAGAAGACGTGGTGCCGCGGACCAACGCGGCTCGGCTTGCTAGGATCAAGCACATGGCGGCAAAGGATACTGGGTTTCACATCACCCTGCGAAAGGTCATCGACGACATCCCCGACGACACCCAAGTCAGCATTGTCAGGTTGGCCGACTGGCCCACAACCAGCTGGGATGGTTTCGGCGGCAGGGTCACGCTGCTCGGGGACGCAGCTCACCCTATGACCATGTGTAAGTGTCATGACTGTGACAGGCGAACAGATCCATCATCGTAACCAACTCAAGGCTAATCCCCGCCATACCTGTAGACCGGGGCGAGGCCGCGAATCAGGGGTTTACGGATGCCAAGAACCTTGCGCAACAGTTGGCTCTATGGCATGGCGGCAGCAAGACTCGCCAAGAAGCACTGACCGCGTATGAAACAGAAATGGCCCAGCGTGGCCGTGAAGCTGTGCTCCTCAGCCGACAGGCTTGCTTGGATGCTCACAATCTTCACAAGCTGACACCCAACAGCCCCCTGATTGGCAAACGGAATAGCCCAACGCGTCCGTGTTGAAAAGAAAGAGAGCGAGCCACGGAAGGGTCTGTTGAAGGCTTTTTCGATGTCAGAATAGGTAAGGTATGTCTGGGCACCATGTTGATAGTTGCTGTCGGGGATAAACCTTCAACATAGAATCCATAGAATGTCAAGATTCTTTTTCTTCTCTTCGTTGAAAGTATTAGTGTGGTTCACTGGACACTTAAAGGAAAAGGTGTCCATGTAGACTGGAAGGACGTGGTAACTAATGCAGCTTGAAGACAATGGCGATCCGCTGTGAAAGGTCAATATATGCATGCGCTGTCTTATTATCCGCCATTATCACCTTTGTGGACCTCACCTCCAACTATTAGGTACCTTACCTTAGCCAGCCTGATAGGTTCTCATTTTGGCTTTTGCTCTTCCACCCTTTGCCTCTATCACACGTTTAACCCACCATCCTACCTTCTATTGTTTCGGTGTGATACCATTGCCTTGCCCTTCCATGATGGGACCCTTTGTACAGTGAGGTACCTGTTACTTCCTCAGTTTCCCTTCCAAGCTTTTAGTGAGACCTTGTGAAAGTGTGCACCCACCAAGCCTCATCAGTGCTGGAATAGCAAAGCAGATTCCCCTAGGGTTCACTAGGCCGAGCCGGGTCGCAGGAGGGGGAATGAGCATGGACCGACTGACGACCTCGGCTTCCACCATCTTAACGCCCTAATCACACAATAATGCATGAATTTGTTTCCAGGTTTTTGTTTGCTTTCTCTTGTTGTATTTGTGCTTACCTACCACCTTGATCGACAACACATCAGCACACACAACCCACCATCTCACCAGTCCATCATCAACACTCGGACTTTTCGAACTCTCGAGATTGACAAGATGCCACCCCAAACCTCCAGGGTTGACCAGCAAATCCACGATTATGCTGCCAGCCTCGCGATTACCGATGTGTTTCTTGAGGGCTCCGAGAAAGGTCAAGTGACAGAATCGCAGGTCGCTCGCGTCCTTCCCCACACACCGGGGCTTTTTCACGATTGCCTGATCGCCATCGATATCATGGACAAGATTGACCAGCTGTTCAACATCGGCGAGCGGAGCTCAAGCGGACAGAGTGCCGACATGGACACTCCGGACGAGAGCACAGAAGACGAGGACCTACTGGCGCAGCGCAACTTCATCAAGACCCGCCTAAACATCACCCAATACCTGTTACGCTTCGACGTACGCGACAGCAAGATCCCGGCCTCCTTCACCATCGAGTTCTTCACGCGCATCTTCGACGACAAGGTCCTCCGCGCCCGCTTCGACGACTACCACCGCCGCGGGCCCCGAGGGCGTCCGGTTCTGCATCTCCGCCATTGTTCAACGCGGCATCGGCTGCATCGACGTGCGGCTGACATGCTGCTGCTGCGACGAGGACATCCACGCCGTCATGCGCGGGTACTGTATCCGCCTCGAGAAGCTGCGGAGCTGTGGTGGTCGCATCAGGTTCACCCGTGACCGTGACCTCCCGGTGCTGATGGTTCCGCTTTGGAAGAACAGCCCGGGCGTTGTTTGAGCCCTGCTAGCGTCTTATCCATGGGGGAAAGACGTGGGCCTGGGTCGGCATATCGCAGGGTTTGGAGGCCTCCCAAGCCTGCCGTGCGAAGGATCGGTGGGGCTGGGTTCGCGGGGGTCAAGGACAGCAAAACAAAATAAATTGCAGAACAACCTGAGCCCCCGGAGGCGAATGAGGGCATGACGGTTGGGACGTACGAGAAGAGTTGGGGATCTGCTGCCCATCCCACTACCCACAATAACGAGCTGTCTGATTCCTACCCAGCAACCACCATATTCCCCAGAAACTCCTACCCTTCGTGATGTGGCAACCCGGTCCTTGTTTCTCTTGACACTCTATTGTAACCCTTCATCAACCCCTCGTGCTCTCTACCAACGAATTTAGGAAACGTTATGTCACCAAGGGTCTACCTGACGCCTCCCGGAATCCTTCGAGCCTTTCATCAGGCTTAAACTCGGGAGGTTTGCCATTCACCAAACTCGGACCGCTGGTGAAGGTGGTTTGCACAGCCCCAATGCACAACATGCGGCCCCCAACAAGACATTAGCCGGAGGTCGAGTGAAGACACCTTTTGCAAATCCAGCCATCCTCCCACGGGTTTCGACACAGGCACGCCAGTAATGTTCAAGGTTGACTGTCACGTTAGATGCCAACCGAAGCGAAAAGGGCCCGCGGCCCGCTGGTCGACAAATGCACCACCGCCAAGGATGGCTGTGTACAGGTCGTCTGCCGGTCGTTGGTCATTATCCGAGGGGGATGCCATAGTGCTTAACGACATTTAAGCTTCAGGGGATGTGATATAAAGCAATATTGTCCCTTGATTCTTTGCTCTCGGACAGCAACCCCCAGACTCAAAAGCCAACTTGAACCACAACAAACCATCACCCCGACATCACAACCACCCCCGACCCACCAAAATGAGCACCGCCAAACCACAACAACAACAACAACCCTCCCTCCACTCCACCACCTCCTCCACCACCCTCACGGCACCCACCACCAACCAAACCGCCACCAACCAAACCACCACCCCCCCGACGCGCGAACCCCGCCAATACGTCTACGTCGACAAGCGCGTGGCCCCGAACCCAGACGCGCAGCCCAAGCCCAAGTCGCGCCTGAGCCGGTTCCTGTCCAAGTTCGAGAGCTCGGTGGTGCGGCAGGCCAACGCGGCGCGCGAGCGGGAGGCGCTCGAGGCGGAGCGCACGGGCGTGCGCAAGTACGCCGCGACGGGGGCGCCGGGGAATTCGACCCAGAGTACCGCGGCTTTTATGTGAGGGGTTGTGGGAGGGGGGGAGGTAGTAAAAGCCGGGGGGGGGGGGGGGGGGGGGTTGAGGTGTAGGGGGTGGCTGCGTAGTGGTTGGGGCGGGATATGTCGGGGGTCGTGTCAAGTGGGGATGGGTTGAGCTAGGTTAGGGATACGGCGGTGGTGGAATTGTACGGCCCAGACACTAATTTGAGGTGCGAGGGCTTTCTCTAACGTGTCCCGCTGCCTACTTCCTGTCACGCCCAAGTTCCTTTATGGGGGTATGCAAAAGATATTCCCAGCCTCAAGTCCTAAACCAGGGACTCATGTTAATAGCCTCCTTGACTTTGACGAGCGTCTCTTATAGTTCACATCGTCCCTTTAGTAGCGAATCAAAAAGAGTGTGCTTTTCTTTCCTTACTATTGTGGCGTTTGGTGGACAGCTGCACTCGCAGACCGGTTTTTTGCCTCCGTATGGGGTTATCATTTAAGGGCCTTGGTCAAGCCTGTACACGAATACAACCCCGTGGTCCAGTCGAGACCTGCAGTGGCATCGGAGCTCGCGGATACCAGTCTGTTATAGACTTCCTATCCCCGATATGGAATTCCCTACGGCATACTTGGAGCTCCCCTAGGTACTTACGTATGTACCTACCTAGGTACCCAGTCCGTTCGACATGGGTCGCCATGATATTTACGCAAGGTACCGAGGTAGGTACCCAACACGCTATCCTTTTCCCGAGTTGATCCCACCACATTTCTCTTAAACTTTAAAGCCACTATAGTCGATCGGTATCCCATTTTCCACAACTGGATGTCGGGACATGGTTGCATCCTTGACTGCTACCGTCAGTGATGGGATTAGAGTGAGACGGGAGTTCAACATTCGTTGGGTGGGCTGAAGTGGATAGGGGAACAACTATCAGCGCGCAGCGCGGGATAAATGGCTTCTCCTTGTTTTTCTTCTTATTTTCTCCTTTTGTTTCGGTTCTTTCCTTTTTCTTTTTAGTTGTTGGTGTGTCCGAACCGTAACGTAACTACCCTTGAGGGACCTATGGAAGAAGGAGGGACACCGAGGAGGCGGGAGGGAGGAACAGGGGGGACAAAACGAGAAGTCGTGCATGGTGGTGAAGGATGGCGTGGAGCGGGGTTGTCCCCGGCTCCGCCGAAGCGGACGGCACGGCGGTTGCCATTGGGACAGGGGATGTCGGCGAGATCGCAAGATGGAAGGGTTGATGGGATGGTTCTTGGTACAAAGATATGAATGAGCCTTCTGGTTTCCATTACTCATATTGAGAACGAGCGAGGTAGGCAACTTCCGATAATCCACCGCTCGGGCTCCATAAACTCCTGACTCTCCTGCCCTGGCCGGTCCGTTGTCGCGGGGAGATGCACTGTCAGCACGAGCGGGCTCCCCTCCACACACCTGAAGCCGCCCCCTGGTTCGCGGGACGGGCCCGGGACAGCCATGCTGAACCATCCCGCATGCTGACGCACCTCCCAGCCAACATCAGCGTGACATTGCAGTAGCCGCACGTGTTGGTTGGGCCGACGCGCCGCTCCCGCCTCCCCTCGGCGTTGGAGGGTATCATTATGCTTCGATTTGGGTTTGGGATCCACGGCCAGCTGCAGCTCAGCGCCAGAGGTGAATGCAGGATAGGTTGGACAAGCCCGAGGGATAGTCTGCGTGCGTATAAGGAGGGATGCTTCCCCCAGCAACCCACCGTCAATGAAGGGAGTGAGTGCGCCGCCACATTTCCATACCAGAAAATATCTCAAGATGAAGCCCGTTGCTTTCTTGATTAACGTGCTATCCCTGAGCGCCCTGGCCAGTGCTGCGCCCGGCAACGTTGCTAATGGCCATGATGCCGAGGCTGTGGCATCCAAACAGATTGCCCATCTCCAAAGGGAGTACCAAAAGTACATCCACGCAACCCTAAAGACCCGTCAGACAGGTTGCACCAAGAAGAACATCCTCCGGCGCCGAGAATGGTCAGTTCCCCGTCTTGAACCCCCGTCACATATAAGACTAACACCCACCCACCCACCATAGGGGCGCGCTCTCCAAAGCGGACCGCCGCTCCTACATCGACGCCGTCTACTGCCTGCACAACAACCACACCTTCATCACCCCGCCGACCACCATCCCCGGCGTGCGCAACCGCTACGACGACTTCGTCGGCAGCCACATGCTGCTGACCCCCGCCGTGCACGCGTCGGGCCTCTTCCTGCCCTTCCACCGCTTCTACGTGCACCTGTACGAGACGGCCCTGCGCACCGAGTGCGGCTACCGCGGCGCCCAGCCCTACTGGGACTGGACGCTCTCCTACACCGACCCGGCCGCGTCCTCCGTGCTCGACGGTTCGCCCTGGTCCATGGGCAGTAATGGTGTTTATGTCCCCGGCCGCCCGCCACTGTCCGTCGCCGGGCCGGCGCTGACCCGCACTTTCCCGCCTGCGACGGGCGGTGGTTGTGTTCATTCGGGCCCGTTTACGGAGGACCGGTTTACGGTTAACCTTGGACCCGTGTCGTTTGAGCCTGCTGCGCCGGAGGGGGGGTTCGGGTATAACCCGCGCTGTCTGGTCCGGGATGTGAGTCCGGCTTTTGCGGGCGACACCCGGCCGACGAATGTCACGGCCTTGCTGGGCTGTGCGGATCTGGCGTGTTTTAATGTTCAGCTCGATGAGCCACAGGGAGGTGTGCACGGCTCCGGGCACTTCCAGGTGGGCGCGATTGCGTTGGATGTGTTTGCCAGCCCGGCGGATCCGATCTTTTGGCTGCATCATGCGCAGATGGACAGGCTGTGGACCATCTGGCAGAACTTGGGGGATCCGCGGGATAGGACGTACCAAGTTTGGGGAACGGAGACGGCGGCGAACAGTGAGTAAGGGCTTCTTGGGGTTGGTGCTCTGCTAACATTTCGTGTTCCAGCGCCCCCGAGTGACAATGTCACCCTGGACACGGCGGTGCCGTTTGGACTGCTCTCCCCTTCTAAACCTGTTAGGGACCTTGTGTCGACGATTGATGGACCGCTCTGCTACATATATGAGTAGAGAGGGCGGCAACTAGTGGTTGGGATATCCTGGCCCGCCAGGAGTTGAATCCGGCTACCCACGGACGTTGGAGTCACAATCCAAACGAGATAGAAAACCAGGTATCGTCATGATTTGCCAAGCTACCTCAGACAATGAATATCCAAAACGAGTAGCAACTTCCCCTGTCGCCGACCATGCTGTCCATGCTTCAAAAGCCCCGCCGTGACTCCATCAAGCCCGTCAACCCACTCAAGTCTATTTCCCGGGCTTTACGGTACCATCCTTGTTGTCAACCGGTACCTCGGGCCTAGCTAGAACTTCCAATGCTAGGTAGTAATTACTCGGGTCAGCTGCAAATACTCACAAACAACGGCTCTCCGTCCGACAATGCGTGCACTTACGTGGCTACGTCGATGAGGAGCGGGACATCATCCTCGCAGGCGAACATTTCGGCAACCGCCTTGGCCTTGCCTGGGCAGTTGTGGACGCCACCGGCGGTGGTATTCATCCAGCCGTTACACACGGGGCAGCGGTCAGCCATATTGTTATCGTTAGTGGAAACGGTGGGATGTGGGTTGTTGTATAAGAGTGGAAGGATTGTTTTTCGGGTTCTGTAGCTTCGTCTTGAAGGGTTGTTGAGAAATGAGTTGAGAGTGTGATGGTTTAAGAGGAAGGTAGTTAGAATCTGGATGAAGAGTCTTTTTTATATTCCTCTTCCCCTCGAAGTCTTCGCCCTGCCCCAGATGTCACTCCGTCGCAGCCGACCTCAACTGCAATGCTTCGCCGCACATGGAACTGATCAGCCCAGGATGACAAGGCAACATCCCAAGGCGTATCGCCCGACTTCTGACTACCTAGCCTCGGTCGGTCAGGCCTAGGCCTCTCGCTCCGATGGTCTTTTGCAATTTGCTCCCCTCACTGCCTGGGTAATTCGCTGCCTCCCTACAATACCTTACGGTGGCCGCAAATTGGGCCAACATAACCAACATCGTGTTGACGTTTTCTCGGTCAGGAACCAACAAGTGAGCCTTGAGAGCCTACTGAGGGAGCATAGCACGAATAGCAAGGCAGCTGTTGGCACCAGAGGCCGAATTCGGGCCATGGGAGCCACTCGCGGGATATGTATTACACTTGATTGGCGAAAGGGGATTGTCGGTGGGCCTCTTGAAGGCCGCGCTCTGGATCTTGTCGGAAGGCGGTGGAACCTGGCAAGATGTTGGTGCGATCATTCATTGGCCGTCCCTGGCTTGGCCGGTATGGTGGTGCGGCGGTGCCCCTCGTACTCTCTCGTTCGATCAACCTCTCTGTTCGCACATCCCCAGCCAACTTTCCAAAATCATTCACGGCTTTCTCAAAATGAACCCTTACGAGGCCAATCCCGAGAGGATCCCCCTCGATGACCGTTATGCAGATGTGCCCTTCTACGGTCGTTATCACCCCACGGCCGGGGATTTCCAGCCAGATCCTGCCCATTTTCTGTCCACCTCACCCGAAGCCGTTGCGTACTGGTCGTCGGTGTTATCCCAATGCGACAAAACGAACAGGATTTACGAAAATCTCGATGGAGGGCGCGACGTCTTCGCTCTGGGGCGGGTTATCGTGAAGTCATGCCACCTTCACCCTGAACAGGAGGGACGGCGATCGACACGGGACTATTCCCTGGCAGACGAGAACGAGGTCGTGGCTACGGCTGTAGTCCGGCGGTCCCTCAGTGAGTTGGGTATCAGAGTTCCCCAGATCTACTTTGCGGGAAAGGTGCGTCTTTTTAAACCGCGTGATTCCAGTCAGGGGTTGCGTCTCCACCAAAACCTGGTACGAAACTGACGATACCATTTAGATTGACAAGCATCAGGTTTTCGTTCAAGAACGGATACCGGGAGTTGGTCTCAATATCGCTTGGCAATACATCTCCAAGGAGCAAAAGAAATCGTTCAAAAACCAGGCCAGGGAGGTGTTGCGCCGTCTGCAATCGATCCCCTCTCCAGCTGGCCAAAGTCGGTCTTATGCCGTACCAGACCCTAATCCGGTGAAGAACAAGGGGATCCAGGAGCTTGAGGAGCAGATCATCTTCTCAAAACAGAACGCAGATTCCGACATTGGCTTCATGCATAACGATTTCTCCCTGTCCAACACCATCGTTGACAATGACAGAATCGTTGGCCTTGTGGACTGGGAGATGGCGGGATGGTTTGGGCGGAAGACTGCTGCTGATGTGCATGTGGGAATTCGGACGCCGAAAAGGGAGAATTTTGCATCTCTGGCTCTCCCAGAGGATTTCCTACAAGATATTCTCTTTTGGAATGATCTTTACGAAGATCCTTAGTATCGGGAGAGGGTGATGCAGCACACTACGCACACTTGACGGCACACCACCAAAAGAAGACGAGGGGGGCTTAGACTTGGCAAACCTGTTCTGCCAGTGCTCGTGTGAGGGAGGTACTTTAGTGGCCAAAGCAAGCCATGCGAACTTAAACTCAAACATCGTGCCGTTGTACATAGAGTGCATATTGGCAAAATATCTCAATCACGAAGGTAAACATCCGCGAGCAAGGGGTGAGAACGGCCGAGAGTTGCCAAGAGGAACCCAGACACACTGTTCGTTTGTATAGACAAGCTTTGCCAAGCCTAACCTCAACTCCCATCCGAGGGACAGCGAGAACAACCGTCGTGATCACACTCGAGGGTTCCTATGTACAGCACCAGACCACCACCATCCATCCACCTACTCGATGTTGATGCTCGCCGACCCGCTGCTGCCGGGCCCACCATCAGCAGTATAGCCCTCCACAGCCACAATAACCGAGTCGTACGTGCCCAGGGTCATGCCCTGCTCCTTCCAGGCATCGAAGTGCTTGGTGGTGGTCACGGTGCCGCCGACGCGCTTCTCCTTGCGGACGGACCAGTACTGCTCAAAGGTGCGGGTGCCCTCGATGGAGGGCTTGTTGACGCGCGTGCTGGTGAAGATCTCGTAGGTGCCCTCGTCGATGGTGAACTCGCCCTTGGACGTCCACACCTCGTTGGGCGCCAGCTCCGGGTACGACTCGACGATGTAGTACTCGATCAGCGGGTTGCGCGTCCACCCGTAGATGGCCAGGTAGCCCGGCCCGGTGGCGTTGTATGTGCCGCTGAAGGTGATGGTTCTAGATGGCGAGGGTTGGTTGGTTAGTGAGGTGCTTTGTTGTCGTTGTTTGTTGGCTGATGTATGGTGAGCTCACCTGGCGCCCTGCCCATTCCATCCCTTGCCGCAGACGAAACCGCCCTGGCTGTCCCAGTCGGCCGTGAAGGAACCGCCCTGGCCGTTCACGCAGCGGATGTTGCTGCCGCCTTCCGACCAGCTGTTGAAGCCGTTTCCGTCGAAGCGGGCCTGGAGGTTGCTGGCCGGCTCAGCAGCGGGGGCGGCGAGCATGCCGGGCACCATAAGGCTGGCGGCCGTGAGAAGGGAGAGTTGGACCATTGTGAATACGTGAGTGTTGAATGTGGAAACAACGAAGAACCATGGGGATGTTTTGTGAATAATTAGAAGAAACACCCGGTATTTATAGCCGGAGCCCGGGTCAAACCTTCCCCAGATTTAGCATCGCGATGCCCTGACGATCCGCTGCGAAATGGCCAGGGCCAGGCTGAGATTGACGTGACTGACTCGACTGACAGCCATTTTCCCGAAACTAGGTTATACTGAGGTTGCATGCCGGTAGTTTCTGGTGGAGAGTTGGCCCAACACCACGGGACCAACGGAAGCTTCCAGGTTTAGGGAACACTCGAGATCATGCCTGATGGAGCATTATATTTAGGCTGAAGCATCACCGCAGATCCGCGATGATCATCGTCCGGCCTGCCTCATGCAACCATATTCGGGATCTCCGATTTTGTGGGGTATTCCCGGTCACTGCCGACGTCCCTTTTCCCGGGGAAAGGGGGGCGGTGGGCTGTTTTAGGATATATTAGCCCCGGGACGCGCACCAATAATACCTTTATCCCAAACGGTGCTTCCGCCGACTGGGCTCGGAGGAGCTGGCGTGCACGAGGATACTGCCGTAGTTAGAAACCGGAAGACAACACGGATGGCAAAAAGATATAGTATGAATGCACTGGGTAAAGGGGGAAGACTGAGAATAGACACCACACGTGCTATTGGCGCGCTTTGTAGCGGTTCGTTGCTGCTCCAGGAACCGGGGCTGCAGTGTGTTGTCCTGTCAATGCATGTCTCAACTGCTAACTTTGGAAGGGCGCCCAAGCAGGGTATGATCCATCGCCCGGTTATTACCCCTCGGGCCTCTAGAAACGTCCACCCGACTACCCGGCAAGACGGCTGGTCGGGTATGTTGACTGAGAAGCGCTATCGGTGATAAAACAAGATATAGGGATATGATCAAAGAACATTACTCCTTACGCGGGAACCGCACCAGTCTCGGGGTCTGTAAGGGACCTCAAGGCAGCAGGTATGCGAGTGCCAAGCTCCGAGCAAGGCACGATCAGGGTTTCCGTTCAGTAGGCGTAAGACAATGTTGGGGGGCGAGAAAGAAGGGGAAAACGTAGGATGCACAAACTCACAGCAGAAAGCAGGCGTGGCCACTAGGGACTGCCGTCGAGGATGTAAACCGACCGTGTCCGACTTTCAGCCCGTGTTCCTGGCTTACCCATGGGATTGGAACCTCTCTCATCCCTTCTTCGTTCCTTTTATGCGAAACCCAACAACGGCTATCTGCTTGTGGCACTAGGCACGGTACCTAGATAGATACATACATCCCCAACACGCATCGGATTTTGCCGTTGGGCCGTCGTGTGTTTTGTCCAAGTCTTTGCACGGCTCGTGGGTGGGCCTTATGGGTATCCTTCTCCTAGTTGGGGGCCGGGTAGCCATTCCTATAGTTTGCAATCCCGGCGGACTTGGGCTGGGGACCAAGGTCGAGTTGTTTCACTGCCCGGCGGGCCTGGATCCACCGGGCTTCCGGGGTGTTCGAGACTGGCATCACGATCCTGAGACGACGCCATTTTTGTGGGTTGAGCCACGCAATTGATGGGAGCTGAACCGTGCCCGTCACGACTTTCCTAACCAGCATGCTTCGCTACGGGGTGGCTTGAGGAGTTAATGGAGAAAAGTAAGGGGTGGCTGCCTTTTGTTTGAGCCAGGGGGTTCCCAGATCCTCCATTAGGTTAGGAGGCGGCATTCCCATCCCCTATGTCAACAAACTGGCTTCGGGTATGAATTTGAGATTTTGTTGAGGTCTGTGAATAGATCCGGACTGGATACAATGGGGCTGGGCGCCTTGGTGGCGAGGGTTGTTTGGCTTGCCGTTACTCCTACAATTGGGGGCCAGAATCCCAAACAACCGCGGTCATTGCGGTCAACACTACCCCCATTCCCGGTCAGTTGTCCCCGCTAATTGGATGGAAAAGGGGTCGCGTATCAATTATTTTCTTGGTAACTGCTAAGCTACGAGTCGCCAGGGTGGTCAGGGCCAGGCCAACACGCGCACCACCGCCCTGTGATGCATCAACATCATGGCGGCCGGGACGACGACGCCGACGGGGTGAAACGGCCCTGCTGGCTCCCGACCTATTCAGGCACGCGATCACGTCGGGCACCCAGCAAGAGTTGTGGAAAGCTAGTCCGGTGTAGACCAATATAAGATAACCACTGGTTCCCAGGGTGAGGTAACATAAACACATCAGCACCAGCATCATCACCACAGCAGCAGCAGCACGGCCACCACCACAACCCACAGAATTCATCATAAAGTTTCGAGCATTTAAGCCGCTGCACCCCGGTCCGCAAGGCAACTCACAAACACCGGGTAGGTGTTCTTACTTCTCAGAACACTAATAACCGCCATTGCTAACAACTACGACGCGGCAGCCCTCTCATCGACTCGTTCGCAGCACCACGCGAAACTAAAAGAAATGTGCACCTGGAGACGTTATGCTGGGTGGATCGATTGCGACCACCCTTGCCAGACCGAGCTTATCAAGAAGTGCGGCCCCGGTGCCAATGCTGATACCTGCCAGGACGCGACCTGGGGAATCTGCTTTCAACTCAAGCCTGGGCATTGCGGCTGTCTTGGTAACATGAAGAAGATCGACGTCCCTGCCCCGCGCCCCGTTGCCACTAGGAAGCCTAAGCCCTCGGGGTTCAAGTCGAAGTTGTTGAAGTTGCTGGGAAGGTCAAGGAAGTAAAATGCACGCGCGCTTTCGAGGAAAAGAAGATGGTGCAGGCCGGGGGGATGAATATTAGGTGACAGAAGGTTCCTGGAAGTGTATGGGGCGGGTCCTTGTGTCACTGACCAAACCGAACAATACGAGACCGAAGCTTTCCGGTGTCAACTGTCTTTGCCATTGTGCTCTATTGAGCGTTAGTGTGGGGCTGTGTGAACGCCTCCGAGACATAGGGGGGCCCGGGGCCGGTGCGGCACAGCTGAACACCGCCACCAACCACCCCGTTCTTCGGTGCTCGGTTCTCGGGAATTCAGCCCCCACGCCGCATCTGGTCGGGGCACGGGCAGTACCGGACTCGTTCTCCTTGTTTTCTCATTATCCACCATCACGTTGACTAAATTCAAGTCAAGTCATGCCGTATTATCCTCTCCCAATCCCCAGCCATGTTATCGATGAGATCGAAAATGAGGAGAGACAAATGGGAGTACCCGAGGAGGAGATAGAGCGGTGGGCCGGAAACCGAGCTACCATCCACGGGCTGTGCGGTCCCATCAACGCGATCTATGAGTCCGGCACGCCCCTCTTCACCAAGGCCGCCATCCGCGACCTGGTCCGGGAGATCGACGAGTCCGGCATGCGGCGTATCCAAACCGCGCCGCTCTCGTTACACTTCTCCATCACGGGTATCGACGGCAGGACCGTAGACTTCCCCATCCAGCTCGGCGTCAAGCACCCGCTCCCTCCACACTGGCCCCAACGCGCCGACGGCTCGGTGCTGATGGACGCCATGCTCTTCATCGACCTCCGCCCGGCAGACTACTTGACCTCGACCGCCTTCATCAACGTCCACGACTTCGACCATGACAAGGCCTTCCTACCCATAACCGTACGCGCAGTACCCATCCCCATACACCCAGGCACCGGCGAGCCCGTCCCACAACCCCCCCTTCCCCGCTCGGCACCAGAGACACTTGCCACCCTACAGCAAGCCCAAGCTCAATGGAACAGCGGCGCGGCCTGCCGCGAGCTGGTGGCAACCCTGCATAGCGCAGCCGAGGCACGGCAAGCAGCTGGCCTCGCCCCCCTACCACACGTCGACAAGGTGGTCGCGTTCGCGTGCAACCAGCTCTCGACGACCGAAGATGCCGGGCGGGTGGCGGCGGAGCACGCGCTGGTGCTGAGCCTACGGGATTTCTTTACTACGCATACGCAGCGGCGCGACCCCGAGACGGCGGGAGTGGTGCGCTGCTACGCGCAGGATCCCGCATACCAGGACGTTGACCGCGCGGTGCTGGCGGAGGTGGGGGTTACGGTGCTGGACCACCCGCGCGGGTTTCTCGAGGTGGACGAGTCTGCGGTGGTGTTCTCGCTCGCGCCGGATGTGGCGGTGCGGCAGGTCGTGGCGGATCTTGCGCGGCCCGCGGTGATGGTGTGGAATAGGGTGCGGGAGATTCCACGCGAGGGGGATTGGGTTGGTCGGGCGGAGCGGTGAGTTTCTTTTGTGGTTTTTGTTTTTCGTTTTTGAAGAGAGCCGTGTCCACGACTCCACGGGGCAATGGCAAGCTAATGGGTAACTACAGAGCCGATAATATCTCTCCCCGCGTGGAGGAGATGATCAAGGACTACACCGAGTTTCCGTTTCCCGCGGACCTGGCCGGTTTCGGGTCGTCTTTGGCCATTTACGTTCGGAATTACTGACGGCGCGGCATGAACAGTTGTAGGATACAGGCTGTCAGCAGCTAGAGGGGCACTTCCTAATGTTTTGTGGTGATGGTTTGCAGGATGGCTGTCTGATTGATACCTCGGGGGCTTAGCATACCTACATGTAATCGAATGTGTAAGATGCGTGGACCGTTTCATGATTTGCGCTCGGGTCCCATAAGGAAATCATTAAAGCGAAACTAGAAAGACGATAGCTCTGTGAAGCTGTCCAGGGCACTAGCGTTATCCAAAGACAGTGTCGCTTGTTCCTCTGCTTTTCCTCCAGATAACGAGAGACGTGATTCTCGATGTTCATCTTGTTGACTGTGCATCGCCACTGGTGGTAGCCGTACCCAAGCCGGTTAGCAGGTGCATCTGATTCCGTCCTCTCCCACATTCTCGGAGCATAGCCCGTTCAGGCAGTTGCTATAACAGGCATCCCAGCCGTCGTGCAAGCCAGCCGTGCACGATGTCGGTGTCTTGTCGCATCCTTTACACTCCCAGGTGCCGTCTGCGTTCTTTGAGCAAGCGCTTCCCTCTTCTCCATGGTCGCAAACTAAGAGACACTGGTCTTCAAAGTCGTACGTGCCCTCGGTACAATCACTACGTTTCGGTGCAGACGGCGGCGTTAGTCCTCGGCGGGCGACCGGGGGGAGTAAAGGCGGCAAGCAGAGTAAGGGGTCGATCATACCTTATGCCATTGCTGGGTAATGGTCCATAGTGGTTCAAGGGAGTGAAGTCGTTGGGATTCACTTGCGCTGGGTCGAACCCTGTTGAAAGTTTGAAGACGTCAGCGATCCAATGCTAGTACGGTAGTGCCCCCATGCCAGGCCGGAGAGAGTGAGTAATCGGTCGACGTAATAAGTAGGAAAAGGAGGGAAACCGACAACTCAAGTCCACCTGGTCAAACCACGTCTCATCGTCGCCAACACCGTCCTCGGTATCCTCCCACGCCGTGGGGGGCTGGGTGGGAATAGGCTTTCTCGGCATGGGCACGCCGATGTTTCGCCAGCGCTGCATCATCCACATCGCTGTGGACGCCAACGTCTGTCACAGGCCCTTCTATGTTAGCATCCTTTAGGTTCCATAACGTCCAGGACTCTACACCGGGCGGGAGGGGGGGAGACCGTTCTGTTTGATGTTGCTTGGACAGGCGACTTACCCAGGAATGGGCGTTGCGGAGGTTGAACTCGTACCCGTTGGTACCGCCGTACTTGGCGTGGGACGCAATGTCCTCCGGTGCGTATAGCTCATTGGCGTCGCAGGTCGGCCACGATATATCCTGCCAGTGCGCGGTCTCGTGGTATATCGTGACAGCGCGCACGCTGTTGGACCACCGGTCGATCTGCGTCCTGAGCGTCTCGAACGAGTCGCCCTCGTTCGCGACGTTCTTCAGGCTGCTGAACGCCGGGGCACCGGGTATGGTCCCTAACCACCAGGGGCAAAGGAGCGTGTAGTACTCGGACCAAACCGAGCCCGGGAAACGCCAGGTGATGGCGGCTGTGCCCCGCTTCCTTCTGTCGTTGTACGGGCAGGGCGTTCGCCTGATCTTGTCCTTCACCTTTTCGGGCATCTCGTTCACATCGCAGTAGTAGTAGTTGTACAAGCCACGCTGGGAACCGCTGCCACCGTAGTGTGCCTGGTAATGACGCTGGAAATTGCCTACCAAAAGACGGAGGGTAAGCAGGTGGCTAAGCAAACATCACAGCTGGGCCGCGCATTGCCAAAGGTAGGTACTCACGCCAGATGTGGTCGTTGACGAGGGGCACCTGGCCAGACCTAGGCCCAAGGTAGGTGTTCAGAGCGTTCTGGTACTTGTTCCAGCGGCTCCATTTGGGAGGCGCCGTAGTGAGTTCACCGGCCTCGTTCCAAGCTTCCAAGATGATGTTCTTGAACGGCTCACAGGACTTGTGCAGTTGTGGGATAACAGCGTTCAGCGGAGCGGGGAAAGTGTCATTCGGGCCAATGGTAATTGGCGACGGCGCCTCTAACCCTTCGGTATCAAGCGTGATGGCCCAGTCGGTCGTCCCAAGGAAGTTCAGTGCCCTGTACTTGGCGGCGCGCTGCTTCTTGTTATCGTCGTCCATATAGCCCACCCACTGCGTCGAGTCATAGACCAGAATGTTGCTCATGCTGTCTCCGTCTGACCACATCTCCGCGGTAGGGTTGTCCTGGATGATGGCTTTGATCTCCGAGTTGGCGATGTAGCCGGCCGTTCCCGTGCACTTGCCTGGCGTAGCCCCTGACTCGGGCCCGGTGTATGTGCACATGGGCCCCGTGCAGCCAGCCGCCGTCATTTCGAAGGAGCGGCCATAGCTCGAGACGCCAACGATAACCTTGTTTGAAGGCACGCCCGCCTTGGTGATCATGGATAGAGAGTTTAGCGTCTCGGTCATGTTGACATGCGAGCGAAGACAATTGCCAGCAGGACACCCCGGGTCGGCCCATTTGTTGCCATAGTCCCACTGGAAGACGTTAGACTCAGCCTGATCAGACGGCAGTTGCGTACTTACTTGTCCATGGAGGTCATAGGTCATGTAAATCACGTAGTCGACGACTCTGGCGATGCTCTCCATGGGGAACCCTTTCAGATACCAGTACCCAGCCGGTGCCGCAAATGACACGGACTTGCTGGAGGGTAGAAGGTCCCTGAGGACGATGAGAAAGCTCAAGTAATTTAAACCCTCGGTCGGGTCGGCCGAAGGAATGTCTGGGATATCTGGAGCGGCAGGATACTCCCAGTCAATGTCGACCCCATCTAGGTCGTTGCTAATAATGAAATTAGCGATGTTCCTAGCCATCGTATTTCGGTTTTCCCCCTGCACGCCGGCCCGAAAAATGCCATATGTCTCGGGGCTGTTTGGCGTTTAGAGTCAGCGCTTTACTCTCCAACGGGGAGGGGGGGGATAAAGTCACATACTCGGTGGAGAAAGTCCAGCCGCCAAAGGAGAGAATCTTCTTGACGCTGGTGAGCTGCTTGAAATAATGAAACTGGTTTAGCGTAGGCCCCATGTCCACTTCAAACGTATCTGCAGTGACGGTGGCGAAAGCGAAGTGAATGTGGGTGTAACCGTCGTAGTTGACGGTCCGGACGTCGACCCTATCACACGGTCGCGCGACGCCATAGCCTTCAAAGTAGCCGACCTTGAAAAAGGTTGCTGGGGGGACGTCCTGTAGTATGTTTAGTCGCCGTGGCCTTTTATTCAGGAACACTAGCACGAGCACTGGTGTTGTTTCTCTCCCTTACGTTGTTCACAATGTCGGTTCCGCAGTTCGAGATGCAGTTGGGCCCTCCAAGGGGCTGGGGAGCTCCAGGTGCTTGTCCGGTCGGCATAGGGCGGCAAAACTCGTCTGTCGTACCGCAGTGACCCCAGACGTTACAGCATGTGTTCAGCGGGCAAGGATTGACAGAGGCGAGGTCGGTACCAGCGCTGGGTGCTGTTGTCCCCGGTTTAAGGGGCCCGCATTCTGCGTCGCTGACCGGCAGTGGTAACGGCGGCCTTCCTGAGCTCACGCAAATAGCTGTGTTGGCCTGGAGATTTCCGCAGCCGCCCCATCCCCATGTCCCGGTATTGTATCTCTCGATGTCGTTTGTCGAGATGAGACCGGACAGCGACTCGGTGATGCCCCAGCAGCTATCCCCGCTCTGGACCGTGTAAGTGGCACAGTTTCCGTTGGCGTCTGGCTTGGGGATGGGTAAGTCTCCTCCAGAACAGCAGACCAACTGCGGGACCTTCAGAGTGGTGCAGAAATTGGTTTGGGGGTTGTACTTCAGGAGATCGGTCACCGAAATGCCGCACTTCCGTGCTAGATCCGCACACAGGTCGCCGGCCTCAACACCGACTGTTCGGCAAGCATCCCGCCTCCAGATCGCGCGCCTTGTCAGGGGCACTGAGTCAATAGTAGAGACTTGCAAAGAAGTGGAAAGGGGCTGAAAACCGTCGTATCCAGTAGAGACGCAGCTGGAGTTGGCCCAGTCCCTGACCGCTCGCTGGGCTGTAATAATGCCGTGCGGGCCAGTGCTGACCACGATTCCAGCCGCGGGTCCAGATGTTGCAGTACTGCATGCTTGAATTAAGCCATCACCCGAGTAGCCATGGGAGCGGATGAAGTTGTCAAGCTCGGTGATTAACGGGTGTGTTGGAACTCCGGTGCCGGCGTAGATGCCGACAGATGTTGAGCTATCCGGCCAATACGAAAAGATGATGGTGGGCCCCAACGATGAGACGATAGCTGCCGCCGAATCGAGGAATTGTTGTAATTGCTGCGCCTGAGAGATGACGTTGGCGCTATCCGTGGTCTGGGACGACTTCTTCCACGCGGCCTGAATCGATGCCTGCTGATCCCTTGATGCTCCCCCCTCTGTAGAATTGCCTGATCGAAAACGAAGAGATCCGGACTTGCCATGGATGTCCCTCGTTCCCTGCTTTGACGTAGGCGCTGCGTTGTTTCCCTTGCTGGCGTGAGCCGAGCCGAGAGCGCAGGTTCGAATGCTTTTCGCTGTCTTGGGGTCATCCAGTGGGTTAAAGATAGCAAAAGAGAGGGCGAGAGGGCTCGAACAGTATGCTACTCGCTCGACGGAATGGTATACCGTCCAGTTGCTTGGATTAGAACCAGCCGCGTCGCACAGAACCGGGCACGGGTCTGACCCAGAGAAGTAGACAGAGTTACCACGTCCGGCGGCGCGGGCTCCGCCCATGGCGACCAAAGCCACGACGGCGACACGGAGTACTCCTGACATGTTCCTCTGAGAGTTGAACTAGACTGGGAACATCTAGGCCCCGAAGATGGACCGGGAAGAGGGAGTATGATGGGCCTCGTCCGCGTCCATGAGGGTACTTATCCCCCCAGGGGCCGAGGAATACGCCCCGAGTACCACCCTCGCTAGCCTAGCAACTATCTCTTTTCGGCGGGTCAATAAGCACTGGTAAAATATTGAAACTCGCTGTAACCTCCCTTCTGTTCCATTTTTGCTTCACCTATTGGCTTCGGCTGACATCCATGGCTCAATAGCGCATGCGGCGCCTTTGTGTAAGTTCAGAGCCAGGGCTCAGTAGGTAATAGCTCGAGCTTGACAACAACTTGGCCTTTCTTGGTCTAAGAAAAGGTCGGCATGGGAAGTATCATTGTTGGATTGGTCTAGAGGCGTCATCTTTTCGCACTTGAAAGCAGTGCCAGGCCATGGGCGGTGATGTTTAAGTTCTGGGATTCTGAATCAGCCCCTCTGCTAGCAAGACGACAAACCGCGAGCACCATTGTTGAACTATTGGCTCTTGAGTACAACCATAACGAGGTAGGGAGGTTCCTATGGCACAGCAACCTCTGCCACCAACGCAATATCCGCTTTGAAGACCTGGTAGGCTTACGGGTTACACTGCATCGAGATCGAGACTTTGTCCACCAAACTAGGGCAATACTCTACGCGCGGGACTTGGTTTTCAAAAGGCTCAGAGAGGGCTTCCGTGCTACCCCACACTACTGGAATAATGGCGCCGTTGACCAATGGGACTGGCGCTTCGACAATATTGCGGCAGCAATGTGACCAACCCAGAGAACACACAAGAACCCAGCATTTCAGCTTTCAACCAACCTCAATGCGGACGGCTCCGGACCTGCCAAAATACCAAACAGCCCGACGTGGGTTCTCCATCCATGCCCCAGAAACTGTTACGGGGCGGTATGGGACACAACGAATAACAGCACACATTCATGTCGCCGATAAACACCATCTAGCAGCATGGCACCGATGATGGGCTGCAGGGAACGCGGGTTACAGCGCACGGCCGGGCGATACGGGCAGCCTAGAGTCCTTGCCCTTCTCCTTTTATCCCTCTCGACTGTGGCGCTGTGTCAGCACGATAAGACCGGGGAACATCTACACTCTTTATACCCACTGCGAAGTGAGGTTGCAATTGGGTTTAACCTAGGCCAATCATACGGGTAAGAGAGACTACAGGCCCATCTTCCATGTCTTCTTCGCCATGAGACTCACCAATCTCACAGGACTTCGGTCGCCCGCTTCGAAAACGGGACAATACTCAACCTGGCGAAAGTGCCAGCAAGTCCCGAATACATGACGCTCATGGCACGGCTAGTAGAGGCGCCCCAAACTCCGTACTGGCGAAGTCTCTTTGGGGCTGCTGGCAAATGGCTAGGCTGGTGGCGATTGCTTAGACGTCTCGTGGGCTTTGCCGGCACTGACGAGGCAACTATCTTGGCCCAGCTCGTAACCGCACTGAAGGCTGAATCGGAGGCCGCCCTGGAAGCACGCATAGACGTCGTCTCCGTCACGGCCCCCTGGGTAGCGGCGTGGGAAAATGACATACCTGTCGACAGCGTTATCAACGATGCGCTCGTGTCGGCAGGGCTGAAGCCGTGGACCTGGGAGGCCAGCGGTCCCATCTACCTGAGCGAGCCAAGCGGGGTGTTGGCGGCGAACGGGCACCGGCTATGTAAGGAACGTTGGTGCAGACTGGACGAGGATGACACAAGCGACCTCTGGCCCCAAATCGTCTTCTTCATCAGGTTGGCCTCCCGCTCTCTGTCCATATCCTGATAAGCTGCTAACTCGGTTTGTGGAGTCTTACCAACCACTCTCTGTATACAACGTTCCAGGCCACAAGGTGCTATTACCATCGCGCGTGGGAGAGTTACCTCCCCACGGTCGACACCAAGTATGGCCTGGATGAGGTCCCCGAAAACACAACCGAGCATTTCTGGAATGCACTCCGGGACCACCTACTTTCATCCGTTGTTGAGTTCTCAAAGAGGAACACGGGGTATAAATATTCCAATTTTATCGTCCTCACTGCGGGCGAATCAGCTGATCGGCCGGAATTCGTGGACGTTGTCCGGAGCGTCGCCGAGAGTATCCCAAAGGTTCGGACTGATCACGGTGCTGCCACGCTGCCCAAGGTTGAGCTTGTAATGCCAGATGATCCCGCATTTTCTGCTGCTCGCGGCGCAGCTTTCTGGTTACGCTCCAGGATGGACTGGTCATACTGTGATGGATTCGACGACATAGTGTCGCAGTATGATGTGACCAACGAGGGGCCAGACGGCCATATCGAGCTGTGAATAGTGGTTCGACGTGCCTGGGTCGGGGAAGGGCTTCACTTGTAGACTTCAAAGGAGTGTGTGGTAGTACCACCTATCTGCCGTAGGTATCAATCCTAGCCGTTCAAATCCTGAAGAAGCTCCTGATTTGGATGTTGACTGGCGGCGTTTCTACCAGGATTGCAGGGACCGAGCCAGGCAGGATGATCGAGCATTTCGAGCCGTATATTGCGAGCTGATCGCCAGAATGTCGCCCAACACACCCCACAGTTAACCGTTGGTTCGAAGCCTGACTACAGAGAGGTTTGTCCGGCCCAAAGCCACCTCCCTCGACTCAGAATACATATGTGGTGCCAATATCAAGGCGTTGGGCTTTGGCGAAGCTGACCTGTCACACATGTGTTGGTCAGACCCCTCCGCCCCCGGCATCAACGATCCAATCTCTCTCTTACCGCGGAAGGGTTCATTACAACCAGGTTGTGGGAACAAAGATGTCGCTGTCAATTTACTAGTTCTGTCCGGTCCTAGAAGGGGAACTTTCGGGACAGGGAACGCCATTGCGGCTCCGTCGATTACATGTACTGTGAACCACTCTGGAATGTGTGTTACCAAATCTATCCCAATTGGCTACATCAGTCGGACCAGTCGGGCGGTGACTTGGGCCAGCAGTCGTAGTCGACCACATCCTCCCAACGAAGCAACCCATCATCCGAATCCCACCCCCGCCCCCTATAAGCGTTATCTGGCGCCGCTCTGGCATTGCTCGGCTGTGCCGTAGTCTTCTTGTTCCTCCCGCTACCACCCTTCTTTCCCTGCGCAGCCTTCTTATTATTCTTCCCCACCTGCCAACGTTTCTCCGCCCACGCCTTCAACTCCTCCGGGTGCCGCAGACACCACACCACCACCTCCCTCGTCGCCAGCACATCCTCCAAGCTATCATGCGACTGCCCCTTCCTCCGAATCCTCACCCCCAACAGCTCCCGACACAACTTCTCCAACCCCGCCTGCCCCGAGATCTTCATCTTCCCCCCACCCGCCCCCCTATTCGCAAACTTCCCCGACGCCTCCGCCGTCACCACCGCCGAGTCCACCACCCTCCCATGCACCAACCCCAGCGCCTTCAAATCAAACTGCACCGCCTGCCCCACCACCACCGTCTCCGCGTCCACAAACTCCAACACCCTCTCCCTCGCCCCCTCCCTCCCCACAAGGGGCTCCCCATCCCCACTCTCCTCCCTCCCCGCGGCAGCCATCCTCCCCGCCGTAATCCCCGTGATCCCGCTCCGCCAGTCCCGCACCACCACCCCGCCCGCGGGCCGCACGAGCGCGTCGACAAGTACCGCGCCCGTGAAGAAGTCCAGCAGCGACAGCGAGATCGGGTAGTCGTCGGCGCGCGAGGGGGAGGTGCCTGCCATCTCGCAGTCGAGGACGACGGCGTGGTGGCGCGGGTGCAGGGGGTTGCGTGGCGGGGTGGGGATGGTTTTGGGGGGGCAGGCGGTTAGGGCGTAGCCTTCGAGGCTGAGGCGGGTCGGGGGGTGGGTGTGGTTGAGGAGGAGGGGGTGGAGGGCGGTTTGCTCGGTGGGGGTGAGGGTTGTGTAGGTTATGCCGCGGTGCTTGAGGGGGGGTGGGGGTGGTGGTGGTGCTGCTGCTGCTGCTACTGCTGCTACCGCCGCTGCTACTGCTGCTGCTGTTGGAGGGGCGGGTTGGGGAGCGGGTTGGGTTGCGGTGGTGGCAGGGGGGGTATGGGTGAGGGCTGGTGCTTCGGCCGGCGCGGGGATGAGGGTGTAAGTGCTGGCGCCGTGGGAGGTGGGGCCGAGGGCGGACTGGCCGGTTTGGAGTCCGAGGCTCTGGGCTCTTAGCTCGAGCCCGGCCATGAAGCGGGCGAAGCCGTCGTCTACAGTGACAACCTCTGGCGAGGGCGGAACGGGCGGAAGGGGCTGGACTGGCTGAACTCGATGAACGGATGGATAGCCTCCCGCGGGTAGGTTGACGTGAGCCAACGGACCCGTCTCGGCCATTGGGGCAGGCCGAGCGGGTGGTTGGGGATTTCTAGAAGGTTTATTGTGAACCGCGGCATTTGTCCGGTGCTGCTCGAGGCTTTCCACGCTCCCGAAGAACCGCTTACATGGTTCGCAGTGCCAATGCCTCTTAGCGCTGGTGTGCGCAGAGAGCGCGTCCCGGGTTCGAAATGATTTACCGGGACACATCTCGCAGTGGAAGGCTTTTGGGGGTGTTGCTTTCTGAGCCATGGCGGTTCACTCTGGTATGGAATATGAGGTAGACAAAAACTGAAGAGTGGTGGACGCCGGGTCCAGACCGGGTCAAGCAATATCAAATCCCAACAAGTGACCAGAGGTAGATGGAAGTGAGCGGGGTTGAAGAACTGTGCATTTGCTCGTGCAACTCACCTGATCAGGCACGAGGGAACAATGTTTCTTGTTTCATTGGACCACGTCCCCTTGGGCTGACTCGAACGAGGCCGGTGTAACATTAACGCTGTGGTAGGCCTCACTGCAGACAACCCGGAACCGCGGACTGTTTTGGCCCATTCAACCCCTCATCCCACGGTGTCCAAACGAAATCATTGCCGTTCAAGTACCTAAGTAGTCAAGAGGTATTCTGTACACGGCATGGCAGATCCTCGCAGCCGTTGCTCTCAGGGGACGTCAACAGGCTACAGTGTGAAAGTAAACAGGGATTTTATTTTCTCCCGTGAGACCCAGGTTGCCATTATGCCATGGGTACCTAATCCAACCCTGCAATACCTACAAACCCCGCGCGGAACACGGAATTGATACCTATGGAATGCAAATAATAGTACATGGAAAAGCTGAATCCCCTTGCCCTGGGCACTGGCAGGGCAGCAGCCCTTGTCTTCGACTCACGGACGGACAGCACTCGATTGTCTAAGGCACAATCTCCTTGTCCTCGAGCATATCCCATGTCGGCTTCGGCTGGTTCATGTTTTCGATTTGAGACACGCCATACCTCCCGCTTTCGGCCTTCTTCGCCACGTAGTCGCGAGCCAAAGGCTCAATTTCGGCCCAACTCAGATTGGAAGTTCCAACCGCCCTGCCATCCCTTTTGATGCTCGCCAGGACCGCCCGGACCCATGCACGGCAGCGCCAATTGGGGTCGGCCTGAACGACGGGTGTGTTCCGGAAACTTGCGACGAGCCGTCTTTCATCTTCGATCTTTGCGATTAGGATGCGGGCGAGGAGGGTGACGGTGGACTGCACGTTGGTGACGTGACGTTCCTCGTACACCCAGCCCTGTATGGGGTGGTTCTTGACATGGTAACGCGTGCCCGGAACTTCCTCTTCGTCTTCAATCTTGGGTCCGGTCAGGAAGCCCCAGTGATATCTAGTATTAAACCACGCGTTGGTCGTAAGTTCGAGGCACGGGGGAATAAGGGGAGAGGGGGAAAAGGGAAGGGTGAAATACTTCCGTTCGTCATTTCTAGCCACTCCACTAGGGTACAAAGCTATATACAGCCGTTTCTTGTTTGAAACCATGATGAGAAGGTAACGGAGAATAGAAAGGAAGTCCTTAGCGGTGTTCAAAGAAACGTGGATCGCCAGCAGCAGCCCAGTGGGATGAGAAACGAGAAGATGCGGGATCGGTGCGAGGCACAATAGTACAGTGAATGGGTTTACCACAAGATGCAAAAGATTTAGGAAGCAAGATTTCTTATCTTCTATTCCTTCACTGACGTCTTCCATCATCTTTCCTGATATCAACCGTCGGCGTTAATGTTGGCCTCCGACGGAGCCCAGCTCGGCGGCACAACACATGCGGTGGCGCTTGGCGGGGGTTGGAGAGCCAATAAACGGCACAATTGCACGAGGGAGACGCGCATGATCTTGTCGCTTGGAAACCCTCAGCGCTTCGCGCAATGGTCTTCGTCGCCCGAATCAAGGCTACTACCACCCCAGCAGGCGGCTGCAGCAGGTACACGAACAAGGTGCGGTCCACACTGTGTTCTAGACAACCAGAGCTACCTGGTAGGTGACTTTCGTTAATCAGGGGCGGGTGGACAGAATGTAAGGCACTCGGTCATGCCTGCAAAATGGGGTATTTTATGGGGGTTCTTTTGGAGATAGTATCCGGACGAAGACTTGATGCGCGGGACTTCAACTTCAATACAATTTATGTCCTAAAATTTGACATCTGTTTTTAAAAGTCTCCCCACCACCTTTGACGCGTCTTCTCCATCTCCAGCTCTTCGGGATACGGATCAAGAAACTTCAGGATCTCGTTTTCCCACCCATGCCGGGTATGATGACCGTACCATGCAGAAGTGTACTCCCAGTAGTGGGGGTACCAGCCAGCAAACTCCCAGTCAATGATTCCAGTAACGCAATCGCCACAAACCATAATGTTGGAGGGGTGGAGATCTCCGTGGGTGAACACCGGTGGCGGCCATGGGCCGTCCTGTTTAGCTACCATTCGTTTGATATCCTTCCAATCCTGGTCGTCTTTACGGTTTGGGTGGTCTTCCGGCCGAAGGTCCTCGCGGAGCCACAGGTGGAACTCTTGAACCGTTTTGAAGGGTCCGAATCTGGGTGAGGATCGAGGGATGCGGGAGTCGCGCAAGGAGCCGCCCACGCAGCTTTCAATTCCTACACCGGGAGGTGGTGGGAGCGACCTTAATTCCCGGAATATTGACTTAAGCTGCTCAAAAATGGCAGCGCGTTGCGCGTTCGACAGTGATTTCCAAGCTACTCCGAGGGTGACGCCCTGGAGACGCTCCATGACAATGGAAGCTCGATTATTATGGACAAAAGCACAGTGCAGGCGTGGTACAGGGATGGATGTCTTTTCGGCGAGATATCTCAGAGTGGCGGCTTCGGTGAGATGGGCAAACGGACCCCTCTTGATGATGAGATGTGGAGAGATGATTGCACATGGGCCATTGGAGCCGTAGAAGCGCTTTGTGGTTTTCAGAGCGAGAAGCGACAGGAAGCGGTAAATGAGGCTATCATTGACAACCAGGTCTTCAGTTCCATCGTGTTGGGTGGCGCTTTTGTCCGTGTCTTCAATAAAGCATCGTACCGTCATGGCGAGATCGTTTGGTGAACGACGACAAGGCGGCGTCAAGACTCAAGAGGTTGACGAAAGGGGCGCGAACGAGGCAAGTCGGTCTTCTGGTTGCCGACATGATTGGCCGGGAGTGAACTCCAAGCGGGGCGAGCGGGCCTGAGCGCGGCAACCCACGTGACCTTGGCGGCTGCCGTGCACGTGTCATTTTCGAGTGCAGCGATAACGCTTCCGACTGCCACACCAAACCCTCCATGCCAGTGACCAAACCCTCCATGCCAGTTGGTGGCCCAAGGCCCAAAGTTGGGGCCCCAGTCTTCAAATGTCCGGGCCCCAGCCCTGCGCTGTTCTGAGGCAGCGGCACGGCAAGCGCTTGCAGGTTTGGACCACATACGTTCAGGTTGGTTCAAACACCAGGTTTTAGAAAATGTTCTTCGCAACCAACGGGCCGGCGCCGAGCCCCTGAGCTGAAAGTCTGGGCCTCGAAGACGACCCAACCGCCCAGACCATGTATGTTGGAGAAAATCCAATGGGTTATTTCGGGAACCAACCAGGTGTACCAGGTTTCGTATGCAAATAATTTTCCCAGCCATGCGGACAGTGTGTGAGGTGTTGGATTTAGCGGGCGGTCCAGTTACCTTCCGAGGTGCAACCGAAACCCGACTGTTGACAAAACGGTGTGCGTCTAGACACTCAGGAGACAACTCCCAATCCGTGGCTTCATGTTCTTAATATGTGAATCCCAGGCACATATCTACCCGTAAAGTCCGTTCCCTTAACCACGTAAAACGCCGGCAAAGAATTTGTTATTCGAGTCTTTTTGGTGACTCCGGGGTCACGGTGCCAACCTTGAGCCGGAACTGAAACTCTACTTCAGCTGTCTTGCGGCACACCTCCTGGCCACCGCCGCAATCATGCTCGGCCGCCGAGAGAGACCCTGGCATGTGGCTAGGTAAGTTTCTCGATGTTTCTAGGGCTGTTGTTGTCACTCGCTGGCCGATGTGCAGGGACGGCGGCATCATCCAAAACACGCCATGCCGTGAAGCTCTAATTATCCTTTCTCTCGGTATTTCACAAAATCACCAAATCGCTTTCCAGCATAACCCTTGCCTAGGGCTACAAAGCGTGCGTTTGTTCGTGCTGAACCCTACCAACGTCGTCACACATTGCCTTGCCCCCTTTTCCCGCCCATCCCACCGTAACCCCGGCCCATCTTCTTCCCTACAACCCATTGTTCGGGTCTCCCCCCTTTCTTTTCATCCCCCAACTACCCCCGTCGTCCATCCTTTGGTTATCGTTTGGACTATTTTATCCTCTTCCCTTTCTTCATTCTGTTATCGGTCCGCGCCCCCCACCACAAGTGCCACTGCGACCTGTCTACTCCCGAACAATGTCCAGCTTCCAGCCCAAATTGAAGTCACGGCACACCATTGAGACTCTGAGGAAGTATGACAGATTAAAGAAGCCGATCTTACTAGACCACACCGCCCTCGATGAACTCCCATACAAAGAACCGGACATAAGGTTCGGGAACCGCAGCATAGAACGCCTGCCAACGAAGTACAAGGACGTCCTCGTCGACATTGTAAGGACCATCGCAATCGAAGGTGGCTGGAGCACGGCTAGTATCAAGTAGGTGTACAAGAGAGTACGGTAAACATTCAACATCACAACATAAAGGCTGACGATCCCTCAGGAACGACATCCACAATACCACTACAGGGGGGACCCACCATGAGTCTAAACATCCTCAGCCTTCAAATGTTATTGGGAGTGGGCGTAAGATTCAAATCATGTCAGACGATCCCCACCTCACCGTAACCATGGAATCGGAAGAATTCCCAAGCCTCAATAGCACCGTTCACATTAACACGGCGGTGGCCTCGGGAGACCTTGTCCTCAACGGGCCACAAAATCGCGCAGAGATGTTCGATAGACAGAAGTATCCCGTCGGATTCCCGTTTGAACGTCTGAAACCAAAGGGTCTGAGCGAACATTCGACCCGCCTCCAACCTCCCAAGCAGGAATACGCCAGGATCTACAACATCTAGAAACGCAACCAGCAGAAGATTGCCAGAAAGGAGGCCATGAACCGTTTTGATAGCCCTGAGAGTGGTGTTCCTGAACTGGCCGGTAAGTCTCTCTGCCTCTGGCGTTGTTTGAACACATGGCTCGAAGCCTCCCCCGTTCGGCGTCCCGCGTCTTCAGAAGTTCCACCCCCTGGTCTAGCTTTTGGACAGTGATATTGACGGGATGGCCTTGGTGCTGTAGGGCGCAGCTCGGCAAACCATCCTAGCAGCTCCAGTTCCAGCGCCCCCACATGGAACGGTTCTGCCAAAGGGGGCTCCAAAGTACCTGGCGAGAGCAATAACAGGTTCTCCATCCTCGAGTATCTGTCTGAGCAGGACAGTACCGCCGACGCTACCGACACTCGCTCCAGTTCCCCGAGCAATGACATCGCCAACAACGACAACGAATACACAACCCGACGTCACAGCAGCGGCCGGGTAACCCCCAGCTTCGCCCACGTAGCAAGACTCACCACCCCCCGCAGCCCTCACAGCAACACCGCCACCGTCGCCCGCCCCATGCCACCCAGCGAAAAGTCCCCCTTGGTAACCACCCCCACCACCTCCACCAACAAGCCAACCACAACGGAAATTTCAACCGTTCCCAAAACAACCACCACCACCAACAACAACAACAACAACAACAACCCACCCACGCCCCTCAAGACCGCCCCGGCCAATAACAATCCGCCACCTCCCCCCATCCTCAACACCAAGACGAGCAACAAGCGCGCTGCCCAGCCACCAAAGCCGACGATCGACAGCCAGGGTCCTACGACTACCACAGGGGGGCGTGTGCGGTCGGCACAGAGACCCCGGGAGCAGTGGCCCGCCTTGCGTGAAGAGTCTACGCGGAAGTAGGTATGTTGGGTTAGCATGCTGGGAGTTGTTGGAATGTGTGGGTAGACTGGGGGTGGTGAAGCGTTGTTGGATGAGTGGGCGGGGTGGTAAGGGTTGATTTGATTGTTGGTTATTAGGGGTGTTTCCGGTTGTGGTTTTCTGATTTTCTGTTGTTCTTTTTGTATCTCGTTGTTTTTTCTTTGCTCGTTAGGTTTTGCTTAGGTACCTAGGTACCTAGTAGTCAATTTGGGTTTCGTGTGCCAGTTCCTTTGTTTTCCTGGTCCTCGAGAGTATCGGACACAACGCAGTTTCGATGCGGGTTGAGGACAGGGATGTGGACCGGAACATCATGTCTGCTTAGTGATTAGATCCGGATGCTTCCATGTCCGGGAACGGTCACTTCGCTACATTAAAGGATGGGAAAATGGACATATAAGTAGGTAAGCCGCTTAAATTCATGAGCCCGAGATACAGAGCCTGGTGCCGGAAGGTGGATATCCTCGCTTGGGAACCTCCACCCTGAGTACCTCAGATAGGTACCTAGCGGCAGGCATCTACTAGGCTAGGGCAGCTAATTCAGTTCTGCGTGTTCGTGTCAACCGTCTTTTCGGCCTGTTCCTTTGTTCATTTACTGTGCCTCTAGAGTCGGTTCCTTACCAGTCGCTTGTCCCCCCCCTCCTCCCCTTTCGCTGCCTCATCCTCCTTACATGCAGCTTCCTCCGTCACGCCTCCTTCCCATGCAGAACCCGGGCTTTTTTCCTCTCGACAGCACTCCTCGGGACCGGGTTCGTCCACACAGGGTCCGGAGCTTGGGCTTTGATTCTCCGAACCGCCCGCCGTATTGCCCAAGTCCCGTACTCGGTCATGGTCAGCTCGGGGCGGGACGTTTGCATTATCGGTCGCCATCAGCAACGTTTCGAAAGCACTAAGCTCTTCGTCTGTTTCCTGCATCCATGGGTGTTCTGGGAGCTGGCCTGCAGTAACCCGACTTTTGTGGTCGTAATTAAAGATTTCCCGGAGAAGGTTGGAGAAAAGCTTTGCGTCCGCCTTCTCGATCAGTGGTGTATTTTCGGTTTCAAACCTCTCTTTTTCTGCACGTTCCTCCACGGTAAAGCACGGAAAATGCAAACAAAAGAGCTCGCGCCCAGTCTTCGGGTGCATCCCGCCAGCCAGGCGACGTGGCTCACGAAAATGGTCCACGCACTTTTCGAGAGGAGGGAATAAGTGAGGATTGTCCAGAAGTTCGATAGGCTTGGATTCGTCCAGAAGATCAGGTTCCAGCTCCGGATGAACGGGCCACCCGTCAAGGAACTGGATTGACATCCACTCTTTCGGCAAGGGGCCCAAGGCTGATTGCATCCTCCGCGCCTTTGCCTCGGGATCACTGCCAAGCATGTCTGAGAAAAGCGGGAATGGATCTCTCAGGTTGAATAAAATGCACCCCAAAGCCCAAACGTCCGCCGCAGGGCTGTTGGTGAGGGCGAAGATGGATTCTGGCGCGAGGTAAGACGCCGGGATGCCGGCGACCTTCCGAGGAGGGTTGCTGGTCAGGAATGCCTGGTCAAAGTCCAGGATGCTGATTTTGGTCGAGTAATACTCCACCGGCAGGCGGGTGAGATCGGCGGCGGCGACCACATAGGGCGACCCAAAGCGGCGGTCGAGTGGTCTCACGCGCGGTTTACCGAACATGTCATCTGCAAGTAGTTGTTGCTCCGTCAAATGGTCGAACGACTTGCGGAGCCGGATGGAGAGATTAGACATGGTGAGGTCTGCACGTAGAAACCTGGCGTTAGTGATGCATCGGAATTGGGAATTAAGTTGTGGGTGATTTGTCAAAACTTACCTCCGTGACAAACACCCAAGGAGTGCATAGTGGCGAGGCCGCTGGCAAGTTGCCGGGCAAAATATCGAACAAACATTGGGTATAGCAGCGCGGTATTGCCCAAATTCAATGAAGAGAGAGGCGGCCCCAGTACCGGAAAGACTTGGCACAAGTGACGGCGGCCGCTGCTCCTGTGGAATAGGCGTTCGAGCTCGATCAGGAACACCCCCGGGTGGCCATGGTCGCCCTCGTGTTTCTTCAGTCGGTCGAGAACTTCTTGTACCTCGTAGTTTTCGGAATGCAAATGCGACACGACTTTCAGCGCGACGTAACGGCCATGGCGTTCCTCGGCATCGCGAACAAGCCACACAGTCCCGAACCCACCATGGCCGAGTTTGTGTAGAATCGTGAAACGATCAGCGATGCAGTCGCCGAGCCGGATCAAGCAGAAGCCATTTCCGCCATACCTGTCGAAGTCCTCGCTCTCATTGCCGACGTCGATGGACCAGTCCACCTTGAACCGTTCGGAGTCCTCGGGCCCGGGGTACTCATCATCGCTGTCGACGGACTGCTCCGAGTCGTCCGACCAGTCCCGTTCCTTGGTGTATGGGACGGGGAGGCACATGACTGCTGGGAACTCGAATCGTTATGTCGGCTGGGGGTCGCGTGGCTTGGAAACTCAGGTTCCGACGATTTTAACCTATGCCTAAAAAGGTGACGTAAAAAAGGTTGTCGCTTTTGAGAGTTGCGGGTTAATAGCGTATGAATTAAAGAGAACGAGGCGGGGAAAAGCCCAAGATCTGGAGTTGAAATGCTGCGTACCTAGGTACATGTAGGTACCTAGCTGGTGGTCAAAGCCCGCCGTCTCTGTTTGATGAAGAGGTGGGTAAGGGAACAAGAGTAACAGCCTCTTCAATCGAGAACTTGAAGGAGACCCGCAGGACGATGATGTGACGGTACCTCAACACTTCCGTTTGCTTAGCAAAAACAACCTGAGTAAAGAGGTAGGATTGAATATCTTCCTGAGGCTAAGGGGCGGGAAGCCTTCGAACTTCTTATATTAAATACGTAGGTGTACCTATCTAGGTAGGTACCTACCACTTACGTTAGCCAAGAACAATGTGCAACAAACTGCATAAAATGCTGTTCCAGCCACTATTAACCCTGTTACAAATCACACGAATCTAGGCTGAAGAACATGGCATAATTACCAGTCAAGAATCGGCGAACGTTGTTCGGTCTGACAAACCGAAACCCGGGGTGTCCTGCGAACACCTATATCCCACGGATTGCTCAACAAAGAGGTGGGAGCGCATGGAGGCTAGATAGTTAAGGTAGGTAGTTAGGTAGGTAATGGCGGCAACTCAGTGGACGAGAGTAAGTCGGAGGTCGTCGATCGAGGACGCCTACTCCACCATCCAGGACGTGGCCGTGTGGGCCTACGGCACGAACGTCGGAGATCGTACCTAGATAGTTCTACTTTACCTCGGAGGAGAATTACCTCGGACGGCCGCGGATTGGGGGCGGCCCGCGGCGCAGCTCTACAGCACCAACCCTGCAGTATCACCAAGACGCTCCATCTTGTTTAAGTAGGTAGGTAACTGCCTGGCTTTCTCCTCTTGGCCACTGGCAACGACCCCAGGGTAGTGGTGGACACGCCCGCCCCAGAAGCACAAAGTGCAGTCGCAGTCGTTATAGCCACCAAACTCGTTCTCGAGCTATCTAACGTAACCAACGCCGTCGTCGGTTCCAAGTCACTCGTAATAGTAACTAGGACATTGCGCCCCGTAATTCCGAACCACTATGGATCCCAGGTGCCGTTGGCAGGGACATCCTAACCCGCTCCGGTGATATGAACCCGGATCGGGTTCGCGCCATAGACGTACCTGGGGTATTCCGATCATGATTCCCCAGCAGAGCTTTTCGAGGAGAACCGCATCTATAATAATATATGCACAACGGGCCGGTTTCGTCTTCGCCCGTCTCGTTGACATTCCGCCGGTAGATAACCGTCAAGTGTTAGCGGAGCCGTGAATGATGAGCGTATTTGGCCCAGGGCCTGTAGCAAGGGTACATCTCCACGGTGATGTTGGCTCACGCGTCGTAGGGGTAGGCTGGGCAACTACCGGGCTGTTTGCGCACACGAGTCCCAGCCCACGGTGGTACCGGTGTAGAAGGACCCAGCAGCAATGCCGGCACAGACGCTGTGATTCATGCCGCAGTCTCTAGTCATGATTACACTTCTGAAAAACATGTCTACGTTGATAGGTTGGGTTAGGTGGTACCTAGGTACCTACCTAAGGTTGCTAGTTCGAGAAAATGGACAAGTCGATCTAACCGGGTACAACGGGCGTAAGAGTGTGAAATGGGTCTACAGCAAAACTTTCGGACTGCAAATATCATATCATCGTTTATCAACGTGTTTAAAGCTGTGGGCTTTTTCCCCTACTGTCGTTGGAGTGAAGGAAAACGCGGCTAGGTGGTGGTGGGGTGGCGGTAATTAATGGTACCTGTGCGAGAGGACATTCAGCCTTGCGAAACTGCCCGGCTGTGGAGATGCCGAGCCACTCCATATGTACGATATCAAAGGTCCATTACCTGAAGAATTGGCTGCGGAATCGAAGTGTTTGACTCCTTGGTAGCTGGGTTGTTGTTAGGGGCATGGTTGTATTCATGTTAAGAGTTCACCGGAAACCATGTGATTCAGATCACAATTCACCCATTCAATCCCATCACATTTAGGGTGTGGTTGGATTGATTCGATTGTTAGGAGCGCTGCGGGAGCGACATTTCAATCCATGATCCCAGCCAAAGTTTATGGCCTGGGCGTCGGCCAAACCTGGTCTGAAGTATTGCTTCAGTCTATCAGAGGTGGGAGGGCTAGACTCTAAATTTGAGCAACTTGAAAATCCGATGACGTTCCTAAAATAGGCGTTATTACTATCATGAGTACCAATTTATAGAATCGTGCAGTAATTCCAACCGCCCACCTTTCTCGATGTGGCTCTTATCTCCTTCCCTGCCTTCGTCTTCTCCACCGCCGCTCTCTTCGACATCCACTTATTGTAATACCGTTCGAGTTCCTCCGCAAACTGAAGCGGAGGTGCCACAGTGCCGGTTCTGGCCAACTGCGCAAAGTGCTCAAGTACAGGTCGATGGCTCTCTCCATCGTTGAGAAACTTGAAGATTTCGGGACCTTTTGGCAATAGTTTCTTGAACTCTACCTCAATATTGTTGTTTCGGGTCACGAGCTTCTCGTCCTCACTGTCGTTCATGCAATCCCATCTGGTTGTGACGAAGGCCACATGGCGTTGGAACTTTTCGCCGCACATCGACTTAAGAATCCGGAGGTTGGCATGGTCGACCCCCGTCAGACGGGCGCCTTCGATGCTGTGGAAAAAAATGATGCCGCTGACCCTTTCCTGTCCCATGTTGCGGAGTTCTTCAGCAATCAGCCGAAGGACATCCATGTTCTCCTCGGTCGTGTTCTTATCCGCAAAGCCGGGAGTGTCAATGATGGTGAACTGGGGAGCATCGGATGTTTGCTCGACAATGTATCTCTCGCATTTGCTCGTACCTTCCAGGTTTAATTAGCGAGTAGTTACGTACCTACCGAGTTGGCACGGTCATATAAGAAACTTACAGGGATCAAGACCATCCCCAACCTCAATATCCGCCCCCGCTGCGGCTGCCGCGAAAGTCGACTTTCCGGTCCCATGAAGGCCAATAAGTAAAATGACTACACCCTGGTACACCATGGAGGGAACATCCATCGGATTCTAGCGACTTGACGTGTAGATGAGAGTTGTTAGGAAAGCCCACGGGGTTAGGAAAGAGATTTGATACTCGAGGGAGCTGAACGTGCGGATGCTCGCCAAGTTATTCGTTGTTGGTGGTCGAGATCATGATGAAATTGCAGACGGATCGACGCATAAGTCCAGGAATATGTAGTATCTAACTTTGGCGTGATCAGTTACCAAGGCAGGGATGCGAGGTGAGGTTGGGTACGGGTGTGCACTTTGATAGGTCTTGTCGTGGCCAGCGCATTAACTTAACCTTTGACTCGTCGGTTCACGTGGCTCGTGCCTCTGTTTAATCTTGACGTATCAGTTCAATGTTGGGCGGCGGGTTCATGTGTGATTCGATGTTGGGCGGTGCGACGGCGCTGCCCGACCGGAGCCTCCTGGCGACTGGCCCAATGCGGCCTGCTAACCAACCCTGGCGCGCGTTGATTCTTGGAGACCCCAGGCCCGAGCAGGGAGACAGAAAAGAGGGACAATGGAGAGCCTCTTGTTCCCTTTCTTTTGAACCAGACCTCCCACAAACCATTGCCTATTGACTACCTACCCAAAGTTTCCAGTAACTCTTCATATCAATCACTGGATTCGGTCGGATTAATCGAGAAAGATGACGCAGGCAGACGCTATAAGCAAATCCGATGCCCTGATAGCTTTGATGGGCTTGACCGGCGCCGGCAAGACGACATTTGCAAACGTCGCGGTTGGCGACCCAACCAAGTTGCAGGTCGGGCATGGCGTGAATCCATGTGAGGGAACCCATTGTCACCAGCCGCGGTTAACTAATTCAACAATGGTCTACAGGCACACAAGATCCCCAGATCGTCCGTTTTGCTCTAGACGGCCGCACAGTTGTTCTGATAGACACTCCCGGGTTCGATGACGACACTCGGTCTGACGTGGAGATTCTTCAAGACATCGTCAAGTGGTTGGCCGATAAGGGATATCTCAAAAAGTACCGCCTCGACGGCCTGATCATGCTCCACCCCATTACTATGAACCGGGTCGGCGGGACCGAGAGGAGACGTACTCGCCTCCTCCAGAAAATTCTAGGCGAGAAGGCCTACGAGAGGATCATCATCGCGACCACCATGTGGGACGACATGAAGTCGGAAGACGCTATGCAAAGCCGGCTCGATGGCCGGAAAGCTGCAGGGGGTGTGTGGGCCGAGCTAGTTGGCAAGGGCACCCAGATTGTGCGACATCAAAACAACCAAGAGTCAACGCACAAGATCATCCGGAAGATCATCAAGACATCAGATAGGCTTGGAAAGCTCGAGCCTTTGCTCCAAACCGAGTTGGAGATCAACCCGCGCGTCGTCACTACGTCAGCCGGCAAGGAGGTGAAGAGTGAGATCTTGAAAAGTATCAAGAAAACCAGGAAAGATATCAAGGAACACCAGCAAACTCGCCCCCAACGGCCTGGAAAACGGTGTTCAGATGCTACCATTCGGAGGGAGTGGAAGGAGTGGCGCGAGGACGAGAGGCTGCTGGATGAGAAGCTCGACATGCTGGAATTCCGGCTGAAAAAGTTAAACTCCTTGTCTGTAAGTCGTGAACCTTTCCTAATAGTCACTTGAGAACTTATAGTCTGCCATGGGTATAACCCTTCGGAGATCAATACGAGACCTAGAGTTGCTAATTCTTCGTTTCAAAGTTCCGATTCAAAAGTTTTCTTTCCTCGTTGTTTGGTAGATAGGTAGCTTCGTCGGTTGTTACATGCTATCCCGTCTGTTATTTAAGGACTGGGAGGGTAGGAGGGGCCAGAAGTCAATTGAGTTGGTTGGTACCCACCAATACCGTGATAATAACCCAGCGAGTGCTCTGCACTTGAGCCTGTTGTGCCCAGGTCTTTACCGTGGCAGTAACAGCAACCCATGGCATTTGCAAGGTTGTGTCGCTCTGGGATCCGGAAAGCAATCCATGATCAATCACTCAAGTTGTTTAACGCAGACTAGCACGCACCCGGACCCATTTGCGATTGGGTCGGGAAGTAGCTTAAATGTTTTATTGTTCACTTAGTTCTAAGACGTTTATAGAATTACACAAAACCCGGTGTTCACCTTCTTCATTACCTCTCTGCCCGCCATCGTTTTCTTAACCCCCTTTCGCTTCGGATCGCGTGCCTCCTGTTCTAGCTGAAGCGGGCGGTGACTACCGCGGCCAAAGCGGGCAAAGTGGCGGAGGACTTCAAAATACACGTCTGGGTCGCCTCCTCGGAGGTCAAAGACGGCCACACTGTTCCCGTTGAATTTCAGAGAATTCTCCCTCAGCTCTTCGCCGAAATTCTCGTATTGCATCATTTTCTCGGCTCGGATGTGATTCCACATAGTGGTGACGCAGGCCATGCGCGGGTAAAATGCCTCGCCGCATATTGCTTTGAAGATGTCGAAGTTGAACTTGCTTGTCCCCGTAAAACGCTTGTCGGTGATTTTGTGGAAGTATATAGCGCCGGTAACCTTGGCATCGTTTCCGAGGCCTTTAAGCTGGTTTACGATCTCCTGGAGAACCCCGAGGTTTCGACTCGCGCCTGCCACGTCTTCCAAGCCGGGAGTGTCTATGAGAGCGAATGTGGTCCCGTATAACGGGACCCTGTAGACCTTGCAACGTGAGGTACCTTGGATTCTTGGTCAGTCCTGACTGAGTCAAACTGTTGATAAGAGTAATACGTTGGAGGGGACGTACAGGGGTTTGGCCCATGCCCGACTTGGATATCGTTGCCGCCGAGGCCGGCTACTTCCTTAACGAAAGCGGACTTCCCTGATCCGGTGGGCCCGATGAGGAGGAGGGTCACCTCTGGAGACGCCATATTCACGGGCATCGTCGACTCTTGGGGGATAAGGATCGATGTTGTTGAGACCCGTCACCTCCAGTCCCCAAGACGGATGGAAAGATACGAAAGCACGGACACCACGCGTGACGCGACAGATAAAACTGGGCTTGTGTTGATGATGGGTGATGAGCCATTAAGGAGTCGGCGCGTGGATAAAACGCGAGGGGACGGCTTCAATCTGTGAAATATTATGATGCCACGTTAATTCGACAATACCGGCCCATCCCGAACCTAACGCACCCCCAAGCTTCCCAACGTGTCGGCTCGACGTTGGTGGGTGTGACCCCAATTGGAGCCCAGTAAAACTGACGGATGCCCAACACTAACCGGCACCGGTGAGGGCCAGGTGGACTCGGGCGCAAATTCAAATTGTCGAAATCAGGGCAAAACGCAATCCAACCTACATGTACCTAGGCAACGCGAACTCGATTCGAGCCCTTCAGTGCGCCGGCCCATATCAACAAAATCCCGTAGCTCGGCTTTCTCGTCGGTTTCGTTGGAATCTCCTCTCTTTGCATTGTGCCATTGGTTCAGGGAGATGGGGCGAGAGGTTTTGATTGGGCTGATCGGTGTGACCGGGTCCGGGAAAACAACATTTGCGTCGATCGCGTCTGGCCAATCAGATTTGAAAATTGGACGCACACTCAGATCCTGTGGGACAGTCCAGCCCCCCGTCTCCGGCGCCAACGGAGACGTTTGAGCATGAACAGGCTAACAAGCATAACAGGCACCCAAGAGCCTCAGGTGGTCAGATTCGAGGTGGATGGGCACTCTATTGTCTTGGTTGACACCCCGGGATTCGATGATGACGAGAGGTCCGACGTCGAGATTTTCCAAATCATCGCGAAATGGCTTTGGCTATACAATTCCGGAGAACGCCGCCTCTTGCTCGACGGCCTCATTCTTTTCCACCCCATTACAGCCAACCGAATCGGCGGCACCGAGCGGGAACGAACACGTCTCCTCCAGACGATCCTAGGCGAGAATGCCTACAAGAGGGTGATAATCGGCACGACCATGTGGGACGATCTCAGAAACGACGACGACAGGTTCACCCACGGGATAGATGGTCGATTGGAAGAGGGAGAAGTATGGAGCGAGATGAACGCCAAGGGCGCCACCATCCTTCGTCACAACAACAACAAAGATTCGGCACACGGCATTATACGGCAAATTATCCAGAAGTCCGAGGTTGAGGGCGGCGGGGTTCAGCTGCAGTTGCGGCAGGAGCTGATCGACGTCAAGGGAAACGTCTCCAAGACCAGGGTCGGGAGGGAAGTGAAGCGACATATCAAGGACAAGCTCCAGGTGCTCAACGACAATCTCAGGGAATTAGACTCCAGCAACCCTCAAGCGCAGGTCAGCGACACCAACCTGCAATCATAGGAGTGGGAGGAAAATAGAAAGGAGGTCGTGCAGAAAATTGAGGATAGGTAGCGAGAAGGAGTTGCGGAAGTTGCGCGAATTACTGGTGAGTGCCACTCTCCTGCTACAGCTTCCCCTAGCGCGCAGAGACAATACGGGTGTCTAGAAAGGCACCGACGCACCATCCTCCTATAAGTGGATCGAGAAAGTCGTCATTGACGCTAGATCCCTCAAGATGATGCTAGATGAGGACGAGAGGGTTTAGTTCGAGGTTATCGCGTAGCCGTTCAATCAACGGTTGATGAATGTCCTCAACTACTACCAAGCGCGGATGGCAAACAGCGTCCTAGGCTTTCCAGAATTGTCGAAGTTGATCTGGGAATGGATTATGGTGGACCCAGGTGGAGTGATTCAAAGTCTTGCCCGTTGTCCAGCGTGCATGGCGATATTTCGTAACAATATACGATGCCGCTATCGTGGTACCTGTGGTCATTTGTAGAAAAGAGAGGCATTCCAAGGTTGGGATTTTTGATTGATGTATGTGGCATCGGCTGTCCCTGACACCGTGCTGGTTGCCTTTCCTGGCTGGACTCCGCCGCGGGATCGATGGGGAAAGCCGCGGATGAATTCGCCATTATAAAACCCGCATGATACACTCTGACCCAACGTACCACAGGAATAAATAGGACTGGAGCTCGGGTAACCAGTTGTGACACCGTTGTCATGTCGATACCTACACCCGCCCACCACGCAGCTTCATCACCCTGCCGCGTCAGCAGCGCGTAAAGAAGAAGGGCTCATTATTCGGGTATCTGAAGACACCGTCTATCTCCGTCCAACTCCATGCAATAGAAAACCAGTTCCCCGCCGAACCCACATGCCGACTACGAAGTAACCGAGCCTCCTCCGTTACGCTCAGCAGCCCAGCCAGCCGGGGCCGGCTCGGCCGGTATTAGGTAAAAGAATATGGTATCATCAACTCTCCGGTGCATCAGCAACACCCCCGATTACGCCTCCTTGCGGTCAATGTGAACACCTCTTCCCACTCCCTCAGCCCTTGCCCGGCCCCTCTCCCCTTCCTCCTCCTCCGGCCCACGTCATCCGCCGTCATCGTGCTCTTGACACTCCCCCCGTCGCTAGTCCCAGCATTCCATATCGCACCAGCATCTCCATACTGGATCCCACTCTCTGGGTCATCGGGGTCGATCTCGCCCAACTCAATCTTGGTCAGGATCATCCTCGCCAGGCGGCCAAACACCTCGTCGACGCCGTCGCCGCTGCGGGCGCTGACCTCCATGGTGACGGGGATGTGCATGGTGCTAGCCCAGCGGCTAGCCTCGACGGCGGAGACGGCGCGGCCGTCGGGGGCGACGGTGGCGCGCAGCTGGCCGCCCAGGCCCGGGTGGACGGTGGAGGTGGACGAGTACGACGACGACAGGGCGGGCGTGCTGGCGTACGACGACGCCGTCGCCGAGCTGATGCTCCCCCCGGGCGTCGGTGGCGGTACCCCCATGTCGATCAGCGGGTCGCCCGACACGTCCAGTTTGGTCCCGACCAGCAGTACCGGCAGCTCCCGCGACGCTATCGCCCGCGCGTCGTTGAGGAATGGTTGTAGGCTGTGGAATGACGAGCGTGACGTCACGTCGTAGACTAGAATCGCGCCCGCCGCGTTGCGGTAGAATCCGTGTGTTGTCGCCCGGAAGCGTTCTGTCCCTGCCGTGTCCCAGAGCTGGGAGAGCTGTGTTAGTTATATGTCTAGAGGGTCTGATATGTACGGGCGGGGAGGGATGTTGAGCGTACCTGCAGCTTTATCCTCTTCCTCCGCGCCCCCGTGCCAACCTTGATGATCTTGCTTGCGAACTCGACGCTTAGTGTTGCGGAGGACTCGACGAGCCACTCATCCTTGACGAACCGATGTAGCAGACAGGATCTAGGTTCTGTTAGCGGACGCCGGGAGTTCCGGGACTATGGCCACTCACTTGCCCGCCCCGCTCGGCCCTATTAATATTATTTTTGCTAGATAGTCGTACATGCTCCCCAATTCTTGCTCGCGCACCGTCCCATTGCTGCTGTCCTCACTGGCGCCCGACGACCCCCGCGGGCGCGTCATGCCCGGCAACTCGAAGCTGCTCATGCGTGATCGACGAGAGTTTGTGGAATATTGGTCGAGATATTGTTGCGCGCGCGCAGTCGATTACCGGTTGTCGGTTGGTGTTGTGTGTCAACTTTAAATGCCTTCCCAATCTTGCGTCTATCGTTCTCGGGTCTTCCCAGCGCGTCGTGTACCTTGTCTCCTGATTGCTGCTTGTCGCGATGTTGCTCGAGTGAACGTTATCTGAGTGGATGCTGCCGGGTCATGCCTGCAGTGACATGTGGGGTCAGTCACAGGCAGCGCAGCCAACCAACAATGCGGCGCGGTTCTTCCAAATTTCAAACACGATTGGGAAATTTCCCCGTATCATACCGAAAGAGAACGTAACTTACAAAAGCACCCTGCATTGGAAACCGGGGTCCTGACTTGGAGCCGAGGCATCCCATGCATTTCCCCATATCGGCAGGGGGGAACGACCGGCATTGGCGCGGGCCATTGAACGGCTCATCCCGTTTAACATGCACTTCACAACCACACCTCTCAACCGTGAATCTTACTTTTGAAACCAAAGCCTCCATCTCCATACCACACACCCCAAAATGAAGATCTCAGGCCGCACCTTCGTCGTATCAGGCGGGTAAGCACCCAACTTGGCCCCAACAACCCCCAAGAGCTCTAGCTTGTCAGTCCCAAATCTCCTACTAACACCCACCACCAGCGCCTCCGGTCTCGGCCGGGCCTGCGTGCGCGACATCTGCGCGCTCGGCGGGCACGCAGCAATCCTGGACATGAACGAAGAGCTCGGCAGCGCGCTAGTCCAAGAACTCGGCGGCTCCCAAGCCAAGTTCCTGCCATGCGACGTGACCGACACGGACAGCATCGCCGGCGCGGTGGCGGCAGCGGTGGCGTGGGCATCCGAGACGGGCAAGCCGCTGGGCGGGGTGATTCCCGCGGCGGGGGTGGGGTTCCCGGGCTTGGTGCTGGACAAGCAGCTGCGGCCGGTGTCGCTGGAGAACGTGGACCTGGTGCTGCGCATCAACCTGCGGGGCACGCTGGACCTGGTGCGGCAGGTGCTTCCGCATCTGGGGGCGGTGGAGCCCGAGGGTGTGGATGGGGAGCGCGGCGTGGTGGTGATGGTGGCGAGCGCGGCGGCGTTTGAGGGGCAGATGGGCCAGGTGGCGTACGCGGCGAGCAAGGGGGCCGTGGCGGCCATGACGCTGCCCATGGCGCGGGACCTGTCGCGGTTCGGCATCCGTGTTGTTACCATTGCCCCGAGCATGTTCGAGTCCAACATGACGGCGCACATGTCGGACAAGGTGCGCGTGGGGCTGAAGAAGGCCATGGAGTTCCCCGCGCGGCCGGGGCAGCCCGAGGAGTTTGCTTCGCTGGTCCGGCAGGCAATTGAAAATGTCATGTTGAACGGGGTAGTGATTAGGTTGGATGGAGCGACACGAATGCCCAGCAAGTTGTGATCAAGTGGGTGGGATTGGATGTGTTGCTTCATACAATGCTGGGAGGACCTGGTTATTGTCGAAACAATCTCAAGAAGGCGAGCCGCAGCCAGTGGAATGTCCTACAAATATGATAGACTGCTACTCTACATGAGCTTGAGCCGTCAGGCTCGGTAATACGCCTGTTCTACCCGTGAAGACCTGCTACGGCGTCGTCCCGAGCGCTGGTACACCACTGCTTTCTTCCAACAGAACAACGCTGATAACTATGCTGACGTAGGCCTGACAAGCTAAGGGACCTCGTAGGACCCATCGCTGGGCCAAGATGGGGCCCAGACCATCTCACCACCTCTCTAGTTGTGGCTAGGCCGCCTGTCATCTCTGTAACGGTCATGCACCCACCGGTCGTGCACCGAGGGTGGGCTCAACCTACCCCGCCTACGAACGGGTAGGCGGGGAGAGGACAGAGGCGGTCGGCGGTTTGGCGGAGACGAGTTCAGCCTTCTATTGTCGCGAGGCGGGGGTGAGCAGGCCCGGGAGGGAATCGGGGAGGAGGCCCGAAAGATAGACGGCGATCGCGACCGGTTCCGCATTGAGAACCCGGAGATGCCGGCACCAGCCAGACGTGTGCCGACGGCCACGCCATCGAGGAATGCTTGTGTTGCCTCCGGGTTCTTTCTCGAGGACACGGGCACCGAAATGCCCATGACTCTACTCATATGATCAAGCAGGGCGGCCTGCTGTTCGGTCCACCTGTCTCCAGGACCCATGGCTGTCAGGGCCATGGCTCTACCATGGCCCAGGGCTTCCATCAGGGAGGAGCCCTCTTGCTTCGTGGTTGGACCGTTTCGGCTACCCCAACGGCCCTCCATCTGCCCCGGTGCTCTTCTATGAGCACGCGAGGATGCCGACGGGAAATGGTCGATGGGCCACGCCTGAACAACTGCGATGGCCTTGTGGGCGACTGCCTCCTTTGCGAGCTGTTCGCAGTCGTATTGCTTGTCGCCCCGGACAATCAAATCGCGCAGCTTTACGTGGCAAGTGAACTTGCCGCCCTGCAAAGTTTGAAGTTGCCACTCCAAGTTGAAATGGCGCATCTGGCACTCTCTCGAGAGGCGCCCTAGCACGCTTGGATAATGGCCAGATTGAACAGTTCCGTTGAGGGCGGGAGCACTGGTGTTCACGGAGGCCTGCGAATTCGTAATCGCAGATAAGCCTGGATTCCCTGTGCCTCTGTGGCCACTCGATGCCGATGTTTGCCCAGCGGCGGCCCCGTTAGGGGCGCTAGGGCCGGCACGGGCATTGCGCTCCCTACGCAGGCGTAGCTGTGCCTGCTCGAACAGTTCCTTAGCGCGCCTTAGCGGGCTTCCCTGGTTATGAGCAGAAGCAGCCCACGAGCGGGGAGCGCCACTGCCTTTGGGCTCGGTGGACTGATGATGGCTGGTGTCCGGGCGATTGGCCGAGGGTGTTTCGTAGAGGGCGCGCGGGAAGACAGTCGCGATCGAGGGGATCTCACCTGGCTCAACTGCACAATTTAGTACATTCTCAGGTAACACAATAGGAAAATACAAACGGGAGGCAGGTCGACCTGTGGGTTGATTCACATTGCGCCCTTTGCTCTCTGTTGACCGTCGGTTAGCGAAACCAACTTAATAGCGCTGGAGCCAAAGGATAAGTTACCTTGGGGCTCCAGTTTGACCTTTCCAGAGCCCAGTAAAACCTGGGCATTGTCGGGTTCGCGTTTTACTTCAGGGAGTGCCAGAGGCACCCGTGACTCACCGGGCTCCTGTTTGACTTCCGGCAGGTCCATGGTGGACTGTGTTGAATTCGCCATCGGTCCGCTAGAGGGGGGCCTGGGCAGTCTGCTGGTCACTGCAAAACACGCAGGTGATAGGGCCGCGAACCTATATATGGGAAAAAAGATCAAAATCAACGATGAAGAAAGTGGTAGTGTACGTTGACACGATGAATGGCGGAGTTGGGAGAGAAGAATTGACGGGGACTGGTGGAATTGGACAGGAACGAGATCGGCTATTTATTTGGTAGAAGCGAATGATCAAACCGGTCCCAAGTTCCGGATTTGTGCGTTCTGGAACCGGATGAAATTTGAAGATGGAAGGTACAGCCATGCCGATGGGGAGTTGTAGAGCAGCAGCAGCAATTGGCTCGGCACTGTGAAGGAATTTGGTTTCGGTGTTCACCACTGGGAACCTCGGCTTTTTTGACACAGCGTGTTAATTAAACTTTCGTTCAATAAATTTGTGTCTCGCCGTTTGTATGCAAGTGCCACCCGCAGAATCGCGGACTGCCCGCAGATTCTCGATTTGACGGCCCAGTTTCTGCTGTTTCCTGTTTACCTAGCATTTGGTACTTATGGGCTTGGCTCCCACTAGCACAGACGCTCGACCAACTCCTCGCCCTTCTCCCACCGCTGGAGGCTTTCGACTTGTTGGTCATACCACGCATTTAGTGTGGCCTCTTCGACATATCCCATGTGTGGCGTCAGCAGTACCCGGCTTCGCCCGTCCTGGCCCCATTTCGTTGTCCTCCACCGACTGTCTAGGGGCAGTGGCTCCAGATCAAACACATCCAGCGCCGCTGCCCGGATGCCGCCCTTCTCTAGCACACCCAGCAAATCCTCCTCCACCACTAGCGGGCCCCTAGATGTATTGACAAAGATAGCTGTCGACTTCATCATCTCCAGGTCCGCTGCCGTAACAATCCCCCGAGAGCGATCCGACAGCACCAGATGCATGCTGACCACATCCGCAGTCCGGAATAACTCCTCCTTCCCGACCGCCGCGAACGTCTTCCGACCCTCAGCATCCTCCACCGGCAGCCCCGCCTCCCGAGCCCTCTCATCAGCGCGCTCCTGCGTCAGATTCTCACTCCACGCAACCACACGCATACCGAACCCAACACTCATGATGCGCGCGACAGCCACTCCGAGACGGCCGAGGCCCACCACGCCAAACACCTTCCCGCGCAAGCTGACGGCGGGCGCGGTCTGCCAAGCGCCGGACTTGACGGCGGCGTCGTCCTGGGCGAGGTTGCGGGCCGCGGCGAGCACCATGGCCACGCAGTGCTCCGTCGTGCTGTCTGCGAGGGCCGGCCCGGCCTTCCCGGGGGGCGCGCGGTGGCCGGTCCCCACGACGGGGATCCCGCGCGCCTGTAGGGCGTCGAGGTCCAGCGCCAGATTGCGGTTGCCTGTTGTGAGCAGTAGCTGCAGGTTGGGTAGGCGGGAGACGAGCTCGCTTGGGAAGGGGGTGCGCTCGCGCATGGTGGCTGGTGGGGGTTAGTCTGGGGGTGGCCGGAGGGTTGGGAAAGGGGGGATATACAGATTACGGTGAAGGGTTCGAGGCGCGCGACTAGGTTGCCTTTCACGTCTTGAGGCGTGTCGGGGCGGTTGTAGGGGCGCAGCGTGTCCTTGAAGAATGAGACATCGTATTTGGATGGGTCGAGGGCCTTGAACTTGGGCTCAGAAATCCCTTGGTAGTCGTCGAGGACGGCGACCTTGACTGGGCGAGACATGGCTGACAAAGTTCGGGTGTTGTGGATGTGTCGAGAAGGATACAAAGGTGTTGCTCTAGTGAACACCTTTGTGAGAGACTGCATACCTCATGAGGTAGCTTTTGACCGGTTGCTTGATGCACTGGATGTCGTTTGCCGTCAGCGAGGTCCACGATCCCGTCATTGCCGGCCCCACTCGTGTTCCACGGCACCTTCCCCGCAGCGCGCAACCTCGCCAGACTCCATTCCTCACAGGCAGTCGGTACTTGGCGCGGGTGTCGGGATTATTCAAATCTTCCGCTTCCAGTCAACGCCGTCGACTCGCCTACTCTTCTGCGGCTTTTACGTAGTGCAATGTACGGGGGCCCGAGTTTATCGACACCGCCGTGACCTGAGCGTTTCGGCAATTCGCACCAGCGTACCCCGCCAGCCGGGAGGGTCTCGGCGACGGTTACGGTACCCGCCAGAACCCGGCCCGATCCAAAGACGTAACTTCTCAACCGCCGAACCCTCTTGAAGACGAAATGACCGCACGCAAAGGTGGATTCGGGAGCCGGCAGGATGGCGGTGACATCACGGCGGCGTGGTCAGCAACCGGCATTACAATCACCCCAGCTGCCCCACGCCTCGAACCATTCCCGGGCTGAACCCCCTCCTCCTCCCCCTGTTACTAAGTACCACTGTAAGTGGACTAATGCAATCCTAAGCTGATAGGGAGTTATTCTAAAACCCCAGTTCGAGGACAATGGCGAGAGCTCGAAAGCAGCGACGTTGCTGCAATGCGGGGGCTCGACAAAATAAAGTTGTCGATCTGGTCGCGGGTTCCACACGGAGCGTAACCCAACTTTCCCACCCGCATCCGTCACGGAAATTGTCCGAGTACCGGGAGCCAGCACTTGTAGAACTCTACTAAGTAACCACCAATTTGCTTTTACTGAGACTGCTCCGACGGATACCTCGGGAAAGCTCATGATACGTTCACGGAGACGCTCTGCCTCCGGCAGCTTGCAGGGCAACTTGGCTTCGGAACTCTTGACTCCGAGAAGTGGTATGGTTTGACGAACCATGAGGAGGTCTGGGGGAAACGGGTAAGCTGGCTCTGTGGTCTTGATTCTGCTTATTGCAGGAAGGCACATCGCCGGGACAACTTCTCGCCGAGATGTAACCTTCCCCCCGCTCACCGTCTTCGTGTTAAGATTTAAACAGACTTAAGGCGATGGTCTGAGACTTTCAAGCGTGTGTTCGCCTTGAGTGACAACATACTGAATTGGTCATACCGGCTTCTGTTCGCGTCACCCACCAACCACCAACCCTCGACACCACACGTACCCATCACTTCCACAATGCTCTCCACGACCGGACTCACGATTCTTCTCGCCCTCCGCCTTACCCCATCCGCGATCGCACAAACGTCAACCGTTCGGTATATGCCGACCCCAGTGCCCTGGCAGGAGGCCCTAAGCCGCTGCCAGGAGTGGAACATGTCGCTGTACCCCGTACCCAAATCGACGGACGACCCGGTCTACGACGCGCTCAACCAACACCCGCTTCCGACCTACTGGATCAGCCGGCGCCGTGGCGGGTCGTGCACTTGTCTGAACAGAGAGGGGCCCGATGATGATAAGTTGGAGGAGCTGCCGTGTGGGGAGGAGTTGCCTGCTTTTTGTGGTTGATGGATGGGGGAGTTGGGGGTGGTGTGGTTGCGGAGCGAGCTCTTGGGGAGTGCGGCATGGTTGTGGTGATCGCAAAGGCGGAACCTTCAGGTTTCATTGAACTTGGTTGATCCGAGTTCCGATGAGAGCTACCCACAACTGGGATTATCCACAAACTCAGTTACTCCCATGGTTGCATTTTGCACGAAAAAAACATTCACCCCATCTCAAAGCCGTCCCAAAAATGCCTTCACCCGCTCCGCCATCCACTCCTGCGCCTCCGCACCCGTCACACTATGATCAGCGCCCGGAATAAAGCCAGACAAGTCGCTGGCAACCCCGTCTCTGCACGCCGCCATCCACCTCCCAAGCAGTGCCTTCCTGTCCACCGTGGGCGGGACCATCTCGTCCTCGCCCGCCGGCAGTATCAGCATGGGCTTGTCAACCCTGCCAAACGTGGCCGCGAGCGCTGCGTCGGAGAGATCGGAGGAGAGGTAATCCTCGTCGCCGCTACGAGTCAGGGGGTGTTAGTTGTTGGGGTGGGATATAGGGAGGGTGGAGAGTGGGGGGTCTGGGGTGTGCGTACCCTTCGGCGGCGAGGGAATGCCATCTGTAAGCGGTAACTGGTGTCGTGAGGAAAAAGGGGAGATATTGCTTTGGCATTGGCTCGTCCTTCCGGCCGTCCTCGATCATTTCCTTGGCCACTTGGATGCTCTTGGCGGATCCCCCGGGGGACATAAACAGGACGACGGACTCGCGGTCTGAGACCGGGCTGGTGAGGATATAGCCATCCACTAGGGGCGTCTGGTACTTGTCGCGGTTGGTGTATTCGAGGCAGTCCTGGCAACCTGGGCGTGTTAGTGAGCTTAAATGTCCGCCGTGTTATAGACTGGGCATGGGTACCAGTCGATGCGCCCATCAGGACGATCTTCTCCTTGCCGATGCCGCGCAGATACTTCACCAGGGCAGCCGTGTCCTCGGCGTCGTTGGCGATGCTGGAGTATCCGAAGCCAGAGTATGAGCTGCGCATCCGGAATTCCCAGAGCGAGTAGTCCAAGGGGGACTGTTCCAACGTCTTTGCGAGGGCGGTGAGATTTGTTCCATGTGGCCCGGTAGTCAGTCCGCCAATGAAAACTAGGGCATTTTTAGCGGAAGCCGAACCCCTCTCGTAGGCACAGGAGTCGTGAGTTGGGGATGAAAATGGATGGACAGTGAGTTGGAAAGGAGCGAGAGGTGACATCGCGGAGCCTATAAAGGGGGAAAGTATGGATATGGAGGATGGTCGAGTACCTAGAGAGCACAAGAAGATTTGGATAGATGTTACGGTTATGAAAGGGAGATCATGAGGAGCTCCCTTAGTTATATCTCTTGCGAAGAGTCGGGTCCAAGGTGTGCAAGTCCCCGCGAATACGAATACGAACCAGGGTTCGAGTTCGAATCCTTCATACTTGGCATCATCCGAGCGGGAGTTCACGGCTTGTGCTGCGCCTTATTTCTGGGTGTTTTCGAATAATTGGTATTCGCAATGTTTATGAAGGGGAGAGGCTTTCCGCAACGTGGTGTTGAAAAGGGAGAGATGTCCAACTCGTTAGTAATCCAGGTTCAAGCTGAAGCCGTAACCGATGTATCCAAAGGTTTTGACCTAGGCAAGGATGGAAAGGCCGTCGCCGTTGAGGTGCCGGCGCGGAAGAAAACGCTGCGCAACTTAGAACGGGGGTGATAGAATTGAGGGTGTGGAGACCCTAGGAATAGATTTCCTTAAGACATTCCCTCCTCAATACCTCCTTGTTCGCTCCCTGTCCATCCCCCCCCTTGAAAGCCATGCCATGCTCGTCAGCAACGCCCAAGGACACGATACACGCGGCCAGGGCCGTGGCCATGATTCGGACACAGTCCTCCAAAAGCGTCAAAGTTGACTGGAACCACAGCTTGATGCTGCCCCAGTTCCGTAAAAACACATGGGATTCAGTCCCGCTGTCTAGATCTCCGAACTCACCCTGCCAATGTCAAGGCACGAGCTCAGACGCGTCAGTAGAGTGGCCGAAGGCAGAAGCATAGCGTAATGGAGGCCGTGGTAGGGACTGCTTGGTAGACTGGGGACTCACAATCAGCGCCAGAAATGTCGCCATCCCCACCCGAGCATTTAATTAGATCGACCCAGATCTAGCCCATCCCCTTCGCCGGATTCCTGTAGACAAGAGGCATGACCCCTGGCAACGTGACCCAAATTCGCAACCCGACCTTGCCAACACAGACAAGGCCGCCCTAAATTTAACTGGTATTGGCCCATCTATTTTTCAGAAGTTTGACAGCAGCCTCACGGCCCTCATCTGTGGCCCGGGAAACTGCTGTTCGACCAGTTTTATACTTCGCTTCGATGTTGGCACCTCTGTCAAGTAAAACCTTGACAACAGCCTCACGGCCCTCATCTATAGCCCAGGCAATTGCTGTTCGGCCAGATTTATCCTTCGCTTCGATGTTGGCACCGTTGTCGAGTAAAAGCTTGACAACAGCCTCGTGACCGTTTTCAGCGGCCAAGGCAAGTGGTGCTTGGCCATCTGCACCCTTTGCTTCGATATTGGCACCTTTGTCTAGTAAAACCTTGACAACGGTTTCATGGCCCTCATCAGCAGCCCGGACAAGTGGTGTTTGGCCATCCTTATCCTTTGCTTCGATATTGGCACCACCATCTAGCAAAAGCTTGACAACGCCTTCGTAGCCCTGATTAGCGGCCTGCCCAAGTGGTGTCCGGCGATAGTAATTATCATTCGCTTCGAAATCAGCACCTTTGTCTAGCAAAAGCTTGACAACTGCCTCACGGCCCCTATCAGCGGCCCAGCCAAGTGGTGTTTGGCCAAAGTTATCCTCCGCTTCGATATTGGCGCCTTTATCTAGCAAAAGCTTGACAACAGCCTCATAGCCCTCCTCAACAGCCCAGGCAAGTGGTGTTTCGTCATCTTTGTCCTCCGCTTCGATATTGGCACCTCCATCTAGCAACAACTTGACAACAACCTCATGACCAAAGTATGCTGCGAGATGGAGAGATTCTGCCTTGCTTGGAGCTCCAAAATGCGAATCCCTGTAGATCTGGTACCATTTTGAAACGCTTTCCAGATCCATGTCATAGATCCTTAACGCGCGATGGACAGTGCTAATCGAACCACTGAACGAAGCTTCACGGAAATGGTCAGCCCAGTAATTGGCCGAGTAATCCAAAAGCCCGACACATGAACCGCTCGGAGAAGTCTCGGGTGAATTGAACAGATCGAGGTAGGCAACGCAGACCTCAGCAAGGACTTGGTGGGCACTGCGGGCTGTGATAGATTGCTGCCAATGTGAAGTCGGTATGGCTGCCATCAGTGGCGATGGAGGGGCGAGCAGAAATTCCCTGGCTGTCTGGTGGAGGAAATAGATCTTGCCATGGTACACCGAGACAAACAGTCCACACCAATTCCTCAGGCGTGCTTGGAAATCCTTTTCCGATTCTAGGTCGAGGGCCTCCGGGGTGCTGGCATCAGTGTCTGTGTTGACGGCGATGTTCATTTCCGATAGCGTTAGAGGCCGGCCTGCCACCAAAATAATGCTCAACGCTTTCCGAACCATGGAGGTCTCGCGAGACTTGGTGAGAATCTTCTCGTATGCTTGGTTGACGTTATCAGGCAGCGTTGCAATGCTAGCATCGACACCCTTCATGGTCTTCTTGAAATCAAACTCTTTCAGGAAGTCGAACACAAGATATACCCAAAGGTAGGTGCGATGCTTAATCTCAAGTAGCCTCTGTTTCAGGCGTCCCTTGACTTCATCCCCGAGCTCCTTCTCCTGCGCGAGTTGCTCGACTCGATGGGCGACAACAAGATTCACTTCTCTGCCGATGGCATCTGACTCATCTTCACCTGGGATGCGGATGAATGGGAAATCGCCGACGAGATCCCGGAATTCTGCGACGATACCCTCATATGGTCGACAAGTTAGCAGAGTCCGGATCTTGCCGTGAGATTGATGCCGCATCTTTCGGTGGAGTTGTTTCAGCCTCCGGGCTAGGTCCCGAAACTCGGGTTCCAGGCATTCGTCCAGCGCATCCAAGACCAAGATAACGGGCCCCGTCTGTACATCCTGTATAACGTCTTCCAAAATGCTCCACAACGCTGCGGTGTTTCTGACCAGAGCCGAGCCGTCTTGGGCATGCTTCGACATTGCATGGCGGATCAAAAGAGGCTTGTGCGTGAAGAGCTGATGGAGTAGCGCGCAGAGCGCTTGGCTGACGGTGTTCTGGTCCTGGTCCTTGAAAAAGAAGTAGCAGATACTGCCGTTGGGTGGCCTAGGCAGCGCGTGGTCGATCAGATATTTTGCTAGCACTGACTTGCCGCAGCCGGGGTCTGCTGAAACCAATAGTGGCCCCGAATCTTGATCGAGCCACTGTCTGAAGTTGTCGTGTCCGAGAAACCACTGGCAGGTGTCTTCCACCCTGTCTTCCACGCGGTCTTTGTACCACTCGTACGAGACATCCTTAGTCCCTGCTGTCAGGCGGAACAATTGGTGACACTGTTCCTCCTTGTCGGTCCGATTCTGCTTGACCATGCCTGTCTGGATCTCAAGGGCTTGTTTCGCAACTTGGAGGTGCTCCTGGTGAGTAGCGAGTAACCCCTGCATGGCGCCGAGGGACCGGGCGCTCGCCTTCCTCAGCTCTTCCAATTTCTCGTTGTGTTCCTCCAGCTTCTCTCTCGCCACGAAAGCGTTGATACGCTCTAGATCTTGATTGACAACATCCTCTAGTCGTGTGATATCTCTCTGCCACCCTTCCCAGTCATCGTACCGGACCATATCCCGTGCAAGTCCCCGACGGCGACTTTGATAGAATCTGAGTACGGTTCGGAGTTGGAATTCCAAAATCTTCTCATAAAGGTCCACAATGTGCGTAGTGACTTGGGCCATCAGCTCTTCGTCGCCGGGGTTGCAACTTTGGCCAAGGCGGAAAACCAGAGGCTCAAAAGCCGCATAATAGCTCATCCGAGTGGTCACATAAGCAAAGCCGTCACGATTGGCTTCCTCGGCGGTTCTGGGGTTCGTGAGAAGCGGGAGGACAACGGAAATGCCAGCCCAGGCGATGGAGGCCTCGGGCGAGGTCTTGGTGGCGAAAGAAATCCAGTCCTTGGCCCACAGCACCAGGTCGGCAGCCTGAGCAATACGGTCCCCCACGGCGATTTCGTGGCCGGCAATAGTGTATTTGAGCTTCTTTTCTTCCAACCGCTTCAGGCCTCGTTCGACTATTGTTTGCAATCGCTCCCGGCCCAATTTGTCGCTCGTGTTGGCAGTCATAGTATCGTTGGCCCCGTCCGCGGTACCATCTACGCCGGTGATAAGTCAGCGCTAGCTAAAGGGGGGAGGGGGGCGAACACACCTATTGTCTCTAACTCGTCGAATAGCAAGTCCTCATACTTCTCAACTAGCCTTGGCTCCTGTTCCCCGAGTGCTTTGTACGCGCGGTCCCAGAGGCCTGTGGACGGTTCTTGAGTCTCGGGTTCAGGGTCGACACAGTTTGGAGGCGTGGCATGCCCGGACCGGGCATATTTAATCATACTTGGTTTGGGGTGGGCCCAATTCGTGAATGCTTTGATCGGGTCATGCTCGACGGGGGGCACGCAGTCACCTTCGGGGTCGGGAAGATTGGAAGACTCGGCACCTGTTGGCCGGCTCCCTCGCAACCGCCGGTAGCGCTCGCGAAGACGTTTAAGACGATGGCGGAACTTCATGGTGCCTATCGAGATCACTTTCAGGGAGATGGAGCTTTGAGGATGTCACTAACGGGGTGTCGCGTGCAGTCAATAACCCCCGGAAGCATCAGCCGGAGACAGTCGAAAAGACAAATGCAGTGGACGCAAAGCCTAAGGGGAGCCCAACGTAGTGACGGCCAACCATATTGATCAATCCCATTTGCGAGTGTGGTAAGGGAAAAGGACAACCATTGGCTAGGCGCAATGGTTGTGGTAGGTTTCCGATTGGCCTATTCAACGTGCGAAGGGCCCTCTCGAGCATGGCAGCGTGATGCTGTCCGCAAGAGTTGCGATGCCGTCGTCGAGATTTGGTGTGTGGCCGATGAGCCTTTCCCAAGTGGACAAACCTCCACGATAACTCTGAAATCTTGTCTCGAGGACGGGTTGATCAACGAGCTATGCTTGATCCAGGTTGATCCTAAACACCCACCAATACATCCTGAGAGAGTTCTAAGTACCTACCTTCCTGAGGATCCGGACGGAACCTGACCGAAAGTGCCAACGAAAGGCGTTGGAGCCGGCCACAGCTTTACGAGCGCAAGCCCTGAGAAACGCAACTACAAAGCCTGAAGGTCATTGAGGGAGGGTCTCCAGTGATGCATTTGACTATTATTTTACGGCAAGATTGCCTTCACGCTCCGAGGTAGACTTGAACATTGCAACGGTAATTCCCCGCAACTCTACCAACCCAAAGTTGAATCTACCCCTTTACCACCCGCTTCCACCATATCTCCGACCTAAATGTAGGGTCATCCGACGCGACCGAGACTAACAAATAAGTTGCTTCTTCCCGTTCGTGTACAACATAGTTGCGTTTCGACGTCGACCCGACCATGGCCGGCACACTTGCGGCTACGATAGGGCCATGTAGGAGTTGGCCGCTATACTTTGTCGCCGGCACAGATGGGCTAACACTGAAGGGCCCTGCGTACGACATGGCGTGCCTGCCCACCAAGACCCAATCCTCATCGGCGTCGGTGTCTTTCGGGGGCCAGCGAATGTTCGCCGGCCGCAGGCTCTCCTCCGTGGCTGCGGTGTTCGCCGCCATGTAACCATAACGGGTGTAGGTTAGGAGGCCGACTGGGTTGCTGCCCCAGGGGCTGGGCAGTTCCGTTCCATTTTGCCAGCTAGTTCACCGTTAGTAGGCGTGAGGAAAGGAAGACGCGGTGCCACTTACGCGGTGCTGTTTATCAGGGAATATGTCCCCGCAAGCGCAGCGATGATATCATCAGTCCTCATTGTACTGGTGTAATGGCAGGGAGGCCGGCGTGTTTCTCTAGATATTGGATGCGGCGTGGCGAGAAAGAAGACGTGGAGACAAGGGAGAGTCCCGTCAGCACGGGAGAATGTTAAGGGTGTTTATGTACATACCTGGGTAGCTGACAGTGCCGTCTCGACTGCCTATGCACTTTGCGCTTTGGTGGCTGGCTGCACAGGTCGTGTGGGAAAAAGCCAAGGCGTAATGCAGGCCATGCAGGTGAGAATCAATGACCTTATGCGGGTGAGGGTTCATCGGGTTCCACGCTTGTTGCCGGTTGGGAGCACGACATCCAAGCTCGGAATAGTGCCGCAAAATCTCGAGACAGGGCCCGGGCTCGGATCTATGATTGGAGCTATGGCGCCGGCTCAGCATCGTTGTTGGTGGTCAGCCACCACTTTGCAGTTCGCTTATGTGGGCACGCTGCGGTTTACCAAGGCCATTGCAGCGTGAGGGGGTGGCTTTCACTCATAAATTATAGTAGCTGCGAGTCACGCACCCGCTCAAGATGATGGCCTCTGTTGCTACACTGAATTTGGTACGAGGCAATTACTAGTTCGCAAACGCAAAGGGGTGGCATTGCTCTGTTATCGCTCCTATAAAATAGCTACCTAGGTACCTAGTATGTACCCTCAGGCTACCTGAGACAACCAACTTTGTTTCTTGTAAGGACCTATGAAAACGCGTCTGTGGCCTGCCTCTCATCACCTCCTGGGCCAAAGATCACCCAATCCTGACCCCTGCACGGTACCCCCTCTCACCCAACAGCCTCGTTGGGCACCACTCACGCATGATCCGACAGAACGGGCGTGGATTGGGCGTAGCCACTGTGACTTCAAACCCTCCTCCTCATCCGAGGTACGCTGAGGCTGAGCCTCGCCCTACTCACTCAACGTTACACAATCATTGAATCCCAAAATCCGTTTTTGGCCGCCCACGATCGAAAGCCCATTTCCGATTATCGGTAATCGGCCCGCACAAACCGCGATGGCTTCGACGCCGAATCCAAAATCGTTGGCCCACGACGACTACACGGTGGGATGGGTCTGTGCCCTAGATTCGGAGCTCACCGCAGCGACGGCCATGCTAGAACAGACCCATTCCGATCTCCCAACGCCGGGCGACGATACGAACGCATACACCCTTGGTTCGATAAGCGGGCACAACATCGTCATCGCCTGTCTGCCCATCGGAAAGACCGGTAACAACTCGGCAGCAACCGTTGCGGTGCAGATGATCCGAACTTTCCCATCCATCCGTTTCGGCCTCATGGTTGGCATTGGCGGCGGTATCCCGCCCAACGTCAAGCTCGGCGATGTTGTCGTCAGCACACCCACCGGGAGTTACCCAGGCGTGGTCCAGTACGACTTCGGCAAGGCCAAAGACGGCGGCAAATTCGAGCGGACGGGGGCGTTGAATAACCCCCCGAGGTCACTTCTTACGGCTGCTAGGAAGCTGCAAGCGGAACACGAGCGAACTGGCTCACGAATGCCCGAATATCTAGACCAGTTGGCGCAGAAGTACCCCAGAATGGCGTCGGCCTATCTGAGAACCGATTCGCTCAAAGATGTGCTATTCGAAGCAAAATACAGTCATGTCACCAAGGACCCTGCGGCCGATGAAGAGGAGGACGAGCATGACGATGGACATGACGCTGTAGCAAGACAGGGAACAGGGCGATCAGCAGATGAAAACGGCTTTTTCCTCCGCATCATAGTGCAGTGGCTGGTGGCGATGTGGGCTGCGTGGATCCAAAGCGTGGGCGGCGGTATCTGGCAACAACCGGCGGTCCAGAACGTGGTCCCGCAGACGGGGTTTGCAACAGAGGAAGACGATTGCCCTCACTGCGACAAGACCAGGATCGCGAAAATGACGCCGAGGGTTGCCGATGATGGGGATGTACACTACGGCTTGATCGCATCGGGAAACAAAGTCGTAAAGGATGCCATGGTCCGCAACCGGATCAAAAGATCCCTGGAGAACCAAGCCCTCTGCGTCGAGATGGAAGCGGCCGGGTTGATGGATAACTTCCCCTGCATGGTCATCCGCGGGATATGCGATTATGCAGACTCGCACAAGAACGACAGGTGGCAGAAACATGCAGCGGCCGTGGCGGCTGCCTTTGCCAGGGAACTTCTAAGCCACGTCCAGCCGAGTGATGTGAGGGCAGAGAGTACCGTGAAGCACATCCTTGACCATAGTGAGTAGATTTAAAAATACACGGCGTTACAATAATCTTCTAACGCAATTTATAGTTCGAAGTGATGTTCAGGAATGCAGAGAGAACGTTGGTGCAATCAGATGGACACTCGACAACAAGGAACATCTTGAGATCCTCGACTGGCTTACACCGGTCAACTACGGCCCTCAACATAGTGACTACTTCAATCGACGGCAACCCGGAACCGGCCAGTGGCTTCTGGATACGAACGAATTCAGGCAATGGGTGGAGGGTCGTCAGCAGACACTGTTCTGCCCAGGCATGCCCGGGTCGGGAAAGACGATGCTCGCCTCCATCGTCGTCAACAAGCTTATCGCAGACTTCAGGAACAACAGCGACATCGGAATTGCCTACCTATACTGCAATTGGAAGGACCGCCAAAACACCGAAGACCTTATCAGCAGTGTGCTGAAGCAGCTTGCCCAAGGCAGGTCGACTCTCCCGCAGACCCTAAAGTCACTTCATGACAGGCATAGCCGCCAAAAGACGCGGCCATCATTCGACGAAATCTTGGAGTCTCTCCATTCCGTAGCTTCGGGATACACCCGAGTCTTCCTCGTCATCGACGCCCTTGATGAATGCCAAGCGTCTGACGGATGTCGCGACCGACTCCTGTCGGAAATGTTCGCTCTCCGGGCTAAGTATGAAGCAAACCTCTTCGCCACATCGCGTGACATTCCGGAAATCACGGCGAGGTTCACCCAAAGCATGATGGTGGAGGTCCGTGCAAGCGATGGAGATGTAAGGCGGTACATCGAAGGGCACATCGACCGTCATATGCCACCGCTGCGGGAACACATTGAGAAGTTCCCGCAGCTGAAGGAAGAAATTGTCACCGGTATCACCGCCGCGGTTCAGGGAATGTAAGTATCCAATTCCTCCCAAGTCTTCTGTGGTCGGGTCTCGATACTAACCTATGATGTATCTGGCACAGGTTTCTCTTGGCACAAATCTATCTCGGCCTGCTCAACGACAAGGTTACACCCAAGAAGGTTAGAGATGCGCTGGCAGAGTTTCAGGGGCAGGCCTCTAGGGAAGGCACAAATGGCAAGCAAATTGCAAACGCATACGACCAAACCATGGCGCGAATCATGGGACAAGAGCAAGGTTTTCGGGACCTGGCCAAAGGCGCCCTGTCGTGGATCACTTGTGCTGAGCGACCGCTCACCACTGTGGAACTCCAACACGCGCTTGCGGTTGAGCAGAACGCCTCCGAACTCAGCGAGGATAACTTTCCTGGGATCAAACTCATAGTTTCGGTATGTGCCGGGCTGGTTACAGTCAACGAGCAAAACGGCATCATCCGGCTAGTTCATTACACGACTCAGGAATACTTTGAGCAAACGCAAGGTACCTGGTTTCCCGAGGCTCAGTCCGATATCACAAGGGCCTGCATTTGCAGCATCACCTGCCTATCTTCGGCCTTTGACAGCACGGTGGATTGCGGCTCGGGTGCATCGGGATTCAATCTAGACGCATATCCGTTCGCTGCCTATGCGGTTCTCAACTGGGGTTACCATGCTCGCAAATCGTCAAAATTGCATGGCGTGGTAATTGAGTTCTTGGAGTGCCCATCAGAGGTGGCTTTTTTCGCTTGCGAAAGGCACCAAACACCCGACCCTGCGCGGAGCGTTCTGACTCAAAACCGGTGGAGAAATTCACGTCTCCCTGCCAAATCCGAGCGGGAAGCCATTGGGCAGAACGGTTTGCACCTTGCCGCGGCATTCGGATTTCACGAAGTGCTTCACTTATTGCAACACCTCGATCCGAATGCGCGCGACAACTTCGGCCGAACACCACTGGCCATCGCCGCCCGAATCGGACAGGCGGCATTTGCCGAAATCTTGCTTAAAACACATCAACCCGAGATCGACTCGAGGGATTACGGCGGCCAAACGCCGTTGAGCTGGGCCGCTGAGCGCGGCCATGAGACAGTGGTTAGACTACTCCTCGCGACAGGCCAAGTCGACACTGACTCGAAGGATCGGATGGGCCGAAGACCATTAAGCTGGGCTGCGTACTACGGATATGAGGCAGCTATCAAACTACTACTCGAAAGCGGAGCCGAGGTCAATTCGAAGGATAATTATGGCCAAACACCATTGAGCTTGGCTGCGTACTCCGGATCCAAGCCAGCTGTCAAACGACTACTTGAAAGCGGAGCTGAGGTCGATTCGAAGAATAATCATGGCCAAACACCATTGAGCTTGGCTGCGTACTCCGGATCCGAGGCAGCTATCAAACTACTACTTGAAAGCGGAGCCGAGGTCGATTCGAAGAATAATCATAGCCGAACACCATTGAGCTTGGCTGCTGAATACGGATATGAGGCAGCTGTCAAGCTACTACTTGAAAGCGGAGCTGAGGTTGATTCGAAGGATAATTCTGGTCGAACACCATTGAGCCTGACTACTGAACATGGACATTGGAGCGGTGTGGAAACTACGATTAAAGCGCTCCTCGAAGGTGGAGCTGAGGTTGATTCGAAGGATAGTTCTGGCCGAACACCATTGAGCTGGGCTGCTGAACGTGGAGATTGGAGCGATGTGGAAACGATGATTAAAGCGCTCCTCGAAGGTGGTGCTGAGGTTGATTCGAAGGATAGTTCTGGCCGAACACCATTGAGCTGGGCTGCTGAACGTGGATATCGGAGCGGTGTGGAAACGACGATTAAAGCGTTCCTCGAAGGTGGAGCTGAGGTTGATTCGAAGGATAGTTCTGGCCGAACACCATTGAGCTGGGCTGCTGAACGTGGAGATTGGAGCGATGTGGAAACGATGATTAAAGCGCTCCTCGAAGGTGGAGCTGAGGTTGATTCGAAGGATAGTTCTGGCCGAACGCCATTGAGCTTGGCTGCTGAACACGGATATGAGGCGGTTGCCAAACTGCTACTTGAAAATGGAGCCGAGATCGATTTGAAGGATGCTCAAGGATATGCACCGATAGATTGGGCCGCTAAGGGAGGACATGTGGCAGTTTCCAAACTGCTAGGTAGGTAGTTATTCAGTACGCTGTCATGGCTCTCGAAGCTGCAAGGTTGCGGCTGAGAGAACGAGCTGGGGAAATTTGACACGAGGGATGGAACCATCAACACGCGACTTCCCGTCCCCCAACGCGCTGTATCTCCAGACAGCTGGTAGGTAGGTAGGTATTCATTCAATTGAAGCGGTTAGGTATTACCTAGGCATCCATTGAGAATGATCGGTTTTAAATCGAGCTGCCTGGTCTTTCAGTCGAAAGGTGCAAGGTTCAAACGCCATGAGGAATACCCCCCGAGTCATACCTCCGTAGCCGCGGGGAGCGGCAAATCGCGCTTGTCTGACCCGAAGCGTGCCGGAGGTGCATCCTCCGGGGTCAAGGCTGTGCGGCTACGCGGCAGGGTAAATGCAATGTGGGGGGCATCCAAAGGGGACATCGACATACGAAGTGCACTGACTCTCTGGTCGAGGTACCACGGTACCTCCCAACAAGGATTCACACCAACCCAGGCTGCGGCAGCTGTGGGGATCATCGGGGCTTCTGCATGAGAGACGCCATTCGTTGCCGCGGGGCATCTGGCCCCGCGGGTGCACATCCGGCAACTCAAACGCCAGGTCGCATCAGGATGACTTACACGGACGAAAACACAACATATAAACTGACCTGGCTCGCGGTTGATGCTGCCCGTCGCTTTCCTCCTCAACCAATGTCACCGTTCTGAGTTCTGTCAGACGGCACTCGTTCCTTCCTCAGCCAACTTAGGTACCTAACAAAAACCTGTTTGCTGTCTACTCGTACTGTAGGCATACCCCGCCCGCTGGCTGCCCCTCTCCCCTGCCCCTCGTCTTTCCTTCCTCCGCCATGACGCTCCGCGTGGTAATCCCCCTCGACAAGAACTGGGAGTTCCGGCAGGCCGACAAGGACGACTCCAAATTCCTACCCGTCAGCCAGTTCCCAACCAATGTCCACCTCGATCTTCAGCACCATGGCCTGATCCCGGACCCCTACATAGGCAAGAATGAACTTGCTGTGCAGTGGGTAGGTGAAGCCCAATGGACTTACCGGACCACCTTCAGGGCCCAGACGGTGCCCGAGGGTTCCCAGGCAGTCATTGCGTTCGATGGCCTCGACACGTTCGCAACGGTTGTGCTCAATGGCACCACTATCCTCGAGGCTGACAACATGTTCCTCCCCGAGCGGGTCAATGTGACTTCGGTTTTGAAGGAGGTGAACGAGCTCGTTATCACCTTCGACAGCGCTTACCTCCGGGGGTGCAAGCTGGTCGAGCAGCATCCGGACCACAAGTGGGGCTGCTGGAACGGCGACGTCTCGCGGCTGGGGGTACGGAAGGCGCAGTATCACTGGGTGAGTAGGCCATCATGATCCCCTTTTTGACTCCATGATACTAACCTTCCAGGGCTGGGATTGGGGTCCAACTCTCATGACCTGCGGGCCCTGGCGCCCCGTTAATCTGGAAATCTACGACTCGCGCCTGACAGACCTCTACGCGGACACGGTCGTTGACAAGTCACTCAGCCGGGCTACCGTCAAGGTTACGGCGGCAGTCGAGCGGAAGGCCAACAAGGTCCGGTTTGACATCTCGCTGGATGGCGAGCAGGTCGCAACCGAGACCGCTGATGTCAGGTCTGCCGACACAGTCACTGTCTCGTTCCTCATCGACAGCCCCGCCTTGTGGTTCCCCATCCGTTATGGTAAGCAGCCCCTCTACGACATCAAGGCTACGCTGTTAGCCGGAGATGAGGAGGTCGACACTCTCTCCAAGCGGATCGGTCTCCGCCGCGCCGAGTTGATCCAACGCCCCCTTGAGGAGCAGCCAGGGACGAGCTTCTTCTTTGAAGTCAACAACATCCCCATTTACTGCGGCGGTAGCGACTGGATCCCCGCCGACAACTTCATCCCGCGTATCAGCCGTCAGCGATACTTTGACTGGGTCAAGCTAGTTGCTGAGGGCAACCAGTTCATGATCCGCGTCTGGGGTGGTGGCATTTACGAGGAGCAGGCCTTCTACGATGCCTGCGATGAGCTCGGCATCCTCGTGTGGCAGGACTTTATGTTCGGCTGCGGCAACTACCCGGCGTGGCCGGCGCTACGCGAATCCATCAACCGCGAGGCGCGCGAGAACGTCAAGCTGCTGCGCCACCACCCTTCCATCGTCATCTGGGCAGGCAACAACGAGGACTATCAGTACCAGGAGTCCGAAGGCCTCACGTACGACTACGCCAACAAGGATGCCGAGAGCTGGCTCAAGACCGACTTTCCCGCCCGCTACATCTACGAGAAGATACTGGCGGATGCGTGCGCGGACCTGATCCCCGGCACCTTCTACCACCCCGGCTCCCCCTGGGGTGCCGGGCTCAACACGCACGACGCCACGGTCGGTGATATCCACCAATGGAACGTGTGGCACGGCACGCAGGAGAAGTGGCAGAACTTCGACAAGCTCGTCGGCCGGTTCGTGTCCGAGTTCGGCATGGAGGCCTTCCCCTCGGTCAAGACGATCGACTCGTACCTGCCCCTGGGCAAGGACGACCCGGACCGGTACCCGCAGTCGTCGACGGTGGACTTCCACAACAAGGCCGAGGGCCACGAGCGGCGCATCGCGCTCTACCTCGTCGAGAACCTGCGGTACGCGCCGGACCCGCTCGAGCAGTTCGTCTACAGCACGCAGCTGATGCAGGCCGAGTGCCTCGCGTCGGCCTACCGCCTCTGGAAGCGCGAGTGGCGCGGCCCGGGCCGCGAGTACTGCGGCGGCGCCCTCGTCTGGCAGACCAACGACTGCTGGCCCGTCACCAGCTGGAGCATCGCCGACTACTACCTGCGCCCCAAGCTCGCCTACTTCACAGTCAAGCGCGAGATGGCCCCCGTCAGCATCGGCATCACCCGCCGCACCCACCGCCACCCGCGGGACCGCCATACCAGGGTCAACATCGACGTCACCACCCAGATCGAGGTGTGGGGGAGCAATCTCATGGTCGAAGACCTGACGGTGGACTGTGTGCTGAAGGCGTGGGATGTGGTGAGCGGCGAGGAGACCTTCTCCGAGACGGTGGCGGCCGCGAAGCTGCTGCCGGAGAACAGGTCGACCGAGATTGCCGCGCTGGATGTGCCCGTCCGGGAGAAGAATGTGGATGAGGAGGCCCGCATCGTGGTGGCGGCGTACCTGGTCAAGGACGGCAAGCAGATCGCGCGCTACGTCAACTGGCCCGAGCCGCTCAAGTACGTGCACCTGCAGAAGCCCGCGGCGCTCAAGGCGCAGCTCACGGCGGATCTGTCGGCCGTCGAGGTCAGCGCCGAGGTGCCGGTCAAGGGCGTGGCGGTGGAGTGTGAGGATGACGAGGTGAAGTTTGATGACAATCTGGTGGATATCGTGCCCGGCGAGGTGGTGAGCATCGGTGTCAGGGGTGCGACCAAGGACACCAAGATCACGACGCGGTATATGGGTATGCTCTAGATGTAGAGAGAGGCAGCAGAGGAAGAGTTCCAAGTCGTTTTTCATTAGATTCCCATACACAGACGCCAATAGATCATGAACAAAAAAACCGACCCATGCACCGTACGCCATGACACTTATGCAACCATTCCCCTCATCCCCTTAGCAGCAGCCGGTGCTGCCGGCCGCCTTGGCCTCCTTGAGTTTCTTCTCGTCCACGCTGGTGTCCATGGCGCCGTCAACCTTCTCGTTGGGCCCGGCGATCAGGATCTTGATGACCTGGCCCTCCTTGACCTTCTTGAAGGCCTCCTCGGCGTCCTTGAAGGGGACGACGCCGTTGACGAGGGCCTTGACGTCGACCTTGCCGGCGGCGACGAGCTCGATGGCGAGCTTGTAGTCGCCGCTGCCGTAGCGGAACGAGCCGCGCGCCGTCACCTCCTTGAGGCAGAGCGCCATGATGGGGAAGCTGATGTCGGCCTTGCCCATGCCGCCCTGCACGTAGGTGCCGCCCATGCGCACCACGTGCAGCGACGCCTGGATCGACGGCCCCGCGCCGGAAGCGTCGATGACCACGTCGGCGCCGCCGCCCAGATCCGCCTCCGCCACCAGCCGCCGCCCGTTCTCCTCCGCCGACACCCGCTGCGACAGGTACGTGTGCGTCGCCGCGTACCCGCGCGCAAAGTCCAGCTTGCCCTGCACGATGTCCACCGCCACCACCTTGGTCGCCCCGAACGCCCGCGCCACCGCCCCGCACAGCAGGCCCACGGGGCCGGCCCCCATCACCACCACGCTCTGACCCGGCTGCACGCGCGCCTGCTTGACGATGTGCACGGCGACGGCGAGCGGCTCGATGAGCGCGCCCTCCTGGAGGGAGACGTTATCGGGGAGCTTGTAGCAGAAATCCGAGGGCGCCGTCCAGAAGCCCGTCAGCGTGCCGTGGTAGGGCGGGGTGGCGGCGAAGACCATGTCCGGGCACAGGTTGTAGTGGCCCGACAGGCAGGGCGCGCAGCGGCGGCAGGGGTAGCCCGGCTCGAGCGCGATGCGGTCGCCCTTGCGCAGCGTCTTGACCGCCGACCCGACCTCCACCACCGTGCCGGCCGACTCGTGGCCGAGCACCATGGGGTCTTTGACCACGAAGTGCCCGATCGCCCCGTGCTGCCAGTAGTGCACGTCGGACCCGCAGATGCCCGTGTAGTTGATGGCGACGAGGACGTCGTGCGCGTGCTGCAGCTTGGGCACGGGCCGCTCCTCGAAGCTGACGTCGTTGGGCTTGTTGAGGATGAAGGAGAGGTTCTAGGGGAGGTTTGTTAGTGGGTTGATGAGGGGGAAATTGGTTTAGTTGGAGTTGGTTGGGGATTGTGACTTACGGAAGCCATTGTGATGGTGGTGAGTGAGTCGGATGGGGGACGGATTGTGTGACTGCACAATGGTTCGGCAGGAGGGGTCGGCAGAGTTGGAGATGGAAGAAGGAGCTCGAGGAGGAGAACTCAACAGGAGGACGGGCTTAAATATGGTCGCTCGCTCACACATAGGGTGAGCACCGTTGCTCGGAGATCTCTTACCCAGGCCCTCCTGCTGGTTTTGCCCAGAACGAACTCAGGCACAACAGGAGTGAAGGGCATGCCCCTCCTTGTCCAACCGTATCAAGGAGACAGACAGGCTTTGGTTGGGGTGGGTGCGGGGAGCTCTCGATACGGTCGCCTCCCACCTCCTCCCACCTCCATTCCCCACCACGCCTCTCCACCGCAGCGAGGACCGAGCCTGGTTGTATCCGATTACGCCATGGTTTTGGTGGTGAGCCCGCGCATACCCGCCAGCCGCCAGCTCCCGAAACGCTTGTTGCAGCTGCCAATGCTTGCCATGCAGCAAGCTCCCGCGAAACCCCACGAACAGTCTTGCGGGCGATTTATCCTGGCATTTTACCCGCGCCAATCATGGGCCGAGCGCATTGGCGGTCGGGATCCGCTCGGTGGCTGTCACGACGAAGGTTGCCAGGCCAGACCTGTCAGCTGAGAATCAGAGACTTCTTTATCCACGATCTAGAAGGTGGTTAATGTCGGTGAGAAAGGGGCAATGGGGCAGGTTCAAGGGGCAATTTGCCGCAGAATCCGCTGCGTTGGCTCGGGGGCGCCGGGAGAGTGGGTGACTAGGGTGTCGAGATGCAGCATGAAAGCATTGTGGGCTGATTGAGTGAGCAATTGATGAAGGCGCCGTGCCTGGTACGAAGTACTTCGCAGGTAACTATCGCGGACACGACACGACAGAGCTCTAGAAGCCGAGCGGGTACCAATGCACGAGATGCAGACGGGCTCTATTTATCGCTATTTATCGCCTGGCGCGTGATCCGGCAGCTCGTGGGGAGGTAGCATTGCAGACGGGCGAGACCAGTCCCGCGCCGGTCACGGCAGTTCGCCGAGTTCGCAGGGCTCAATTCAAATCGAGGCCTTTGGGTTGGGGCCTGTCTGGTGAGAGGAGCATCGAGTGGGTGATCTGCCATTTGCCATCTGATCTCAAGGGGGTTCCTCGAGCAAGGAGGGAGCTGTTACTTGGGATGCATGCCCCTCATCCAAATCACCCCGCACCAACAAAAGCAAAAGAGATCAGAGCTCCCGCCATCCCACCCAAACTCCAACTCCGACATGCAAAAGATGACAAGGGTGAGATTCGAACTCACGCCCCATTACTGAGACCAGGAATGCTCAATGAGCCAATTCAGGTGGGCCTGAACCTGGCGCCTTAGACCGCTCGGCCACCTTGCCGTTGATGGAGTTTGTGGAGTTGCGCAAAGAGAGAAAAGGAGGAGTCTCGGATGGGAGGTTGCAGCAAGCAATTTCGAGGTTTGAGACTGTGTGTGTGTCGTGCACGAACCATCAACTGCGGGGCAGTTAAGTGACGTCGTGAGCGGTGTCGGCGACAGCTCCATGGCCCGACGCAACCCGGAGTATTCCGGTCTATCGCAGCCATCGATGGAAAACCTCGGGGTTATCTAATTGCATATCTCGATGCCCGTGACGAAATCCCATTAACCTCCTAACTTCCTAGGTGATTGGCATCCAGGAAGGAGGATCCCACTAGAACCGGCGACCCTTCAATGCGTCATGCGCGGTGGACAGCCATCGTCCCACGGTCACTGACCCGCGCGATATCCGGCTTCGGGCCATTTTCGAGAACGATGGCAACCGCCACCCGCAATTACAATGTGCGCAGCTCGAAAGCCATAAAACCATCAATCATGACACCGTCCAGATTGCTTACTACTACTGCCCATGCCATGTCCAGGACGCAATCGACGCCCTCAACTCCCTCCAAACCCCCTTCGACGTGATCGAGGCCCGCCGCCGCGCCGGCATCCGGCCCGATGCCGCCTCCGTGCGCGAGATGCGCGCCTACCTCGCCCGCGTCGGCTACACCCCGCGCGACCTCGACCGCCTCAACATCGTCCACGTCGCCGGCACCAAGGGCAAGGGCAGCACCTGCGCCTTTGTCGACTCCGTCCTGTCGCGCTACCGCCAACGCGGCGGCGGCGGCGGCGGCGGCCCGCGCAAGGTCGGCCTCTTCACCTCCCCGCACCTCATCGCCGTGCGCGAGCGCATCCGCATCGACTCGTCCCCGATCTCCGAGGAGCTGTTTGCCAAGTACTTCTTTCAGGTGTGGGACAAGCTGGAGGCGAATAAGGATGTCGCGGCGGATGCGGCCGCGCCTGGGAGCAAGCCCATCTATTCGCGGTACCTGACCCTCATGAGCTACCACGTGTTCCTGTCCGAGGGGGTCGATGCGGCCGTGTACGAGACCGGCATCGGCGGGGAGTACGATGCCACCAACGTGGTGGAGCGCCCCGTGGCCAGCGGCATCAGCACGCTGGCGATTGACCATGTCTTTGTTCTGGGCAACACCGTCGACAAAATTGCCTGGCACAAGGCTGGAATCATGAAGCCTGGAAGTCCAGCGTTTACGATCGAGCAGGTCCCCGAAGCCGGGGAGGTGCTCAAGAAGCGGGCGGTAGAAAAGAAGGTGGATCTGAAGGTGCTAGATGTCGACCCGCGCCTGGCGGGCGTCAATATCCGCCCTGATGCTGCTTTCCAGAAACGCAATGCCACACTAGGGGTGGCACTGGCAGAGACTGTGATGAAGAAGCTGGATCCTTCCTTCTCGCCTAACCCCGAAGCCTTGCCCCGGGAGTTTATTGACGGGCTTGAGCAGGTCATCTGGCGCGGCAGGTGCGAGGTGAAGGACGAAGACAGCGTGATATGGCATGTCGACGGGGCACATACGGTGGACAGCCTGAAGATGGCAGCCCGCTGGTTTGTCGGTGAGTGCGCCGGCCGGCCCGACCGAGGGCCTAAGGTGCTGGTCTTCAACCAGCAAGGGCGCACCGAAGCGGTGGACTTTCTTGATGGACTCCACAATATCGTGAAAAGCTCGGGGCAGGGGTTCGAGCACGTTATCTTCTGCACGAACGTCACCTACGCGGCGACGGGTTACAAAAGGGGTATGTAAATCCCGGTGTTGCTGCTGCTGCCGTGTGCTGACCTTCCAGATTTTGTAAACCGCCAACACAATCCCGCCGATATCGAGAAAATGACCCAGCAGCGGGTGTTTGCCGACAAGTGGAAACAACTCGACCCGTCCGCCAACATCATGCTCATCCCGACCATCGAGGACGCTATCAATACAGCCCGTGGTTTGGCGAAGGAGGACGGACCCAAGGTGCAGGCGCTCATTACCGGGAGCCTGCACCTTGTCGGTGGTGCCCTGGGAATTCTCGAGGGTGCGGATGCTCTGTAGAGCACAAAAGTCGACCCGGGCACGTCTTCATCGACTGTCCGTGATTTACCTTGTAATTCAACTGTACAGGTTGGCTTCGCGGCATTGGTTGGGATGGAGTTCTTGCATAGATTGGCAGCCTAGTATTCAACATGATCGATGACTTTGAGCACGGCGCCCACCAGGTGGAAGCTCCCGGTGACCAGGACCTTGCACACTTTTCCGTCCTTTCTCGCCTGGGCCACGATAGACTTGACCTGCTCGACCGTAGGCTGCACAGCATCTTGTACTGTTGTTTCTGTGGCGCCGTCAACCTCCCGCATCGTCTCCTGTGCCCTGATCTGGATGGAGAGGTCGCGTTTCTCGCCCTCTGGCTTCTGCTCCTCGTTTCTTGTGAAGATAGCGTGGGTGAACGTCGTGGTATCCTTAATGCCAGCCAGCAGCGCCCTTAGTAAGGGGGCTGGGTCCCTCTCTTGTTGGTTGAACACTAGCACCCGCACCTCGTCGCCCCGTGCTCTGCTCCCAAACCATCGCCCAACCCCAGCGAGGCTGTCATCGGTATGTGCACCATCCACGTGCCACTCAATGCCATCCTCATCCTTGAGGATCTCGCAACGACCGCGCAGAGCTGCCTCCTTCAGCCCCTTCACAAATTCCGGAGGAATATCGTTCAGCGACCACTCATCTGTTCCAAAGCGTCCCTCCAACTTAACGCCCGTCCGCAGCAGGTGTTCCCTCGCGGCATATACCGCCAACGCCATGTTATACTTCTGGAACGGGCCTTGCAGCTTCGCACCCTCCACCCCTCCCCACCGCTCAACCTCCTCGTCCGCCACCTCTACCAACACGGCCCCCTTCTCCTTCGCCCGCGCCCTCAACACCTCCATCACCGCCGCCTGCCCCTCCGGCAACTTCCTCGTAAACGCCTTCACGCCCTCCTTAAAAACCCCACTCTTATGCCACGCAATCTTCTCAACCGTATCCCCCAGCATACCCACATGATCAATCCCCAACTGCGTCACCACCGCCGCGGTAACCACCTCCTTCGGCAGCACATTCGTCGAGTCATACTCCCCCCCAATCCCACACTCCACCACCGCACTCGGCAACCCCTCCTCCAAGAACGCATGCAGCGCCACCAGCGTCAAGAACCGAAAATAAAACGGCTTGGTCGCCGGGCCCTCCAACTCCCCCTCCTCCACCACCACCCCTTTCACCACCGCCTCCGCGCGCGCCGCCTCCGTCAACCGCTCCCACACCTCACCCACGTACCGCCCCAACTTCTCCCGCGGAATCGGCTCCCCGTCCAGCACGATCCGCTCCCGCACCGACAGCACATGCGGCGAGGTATACAACCCCACCCCCCCGCCTCCAGCTCCCCCTCCCTCCCCTTCTCTGTTGGAACGGGGGTGGTGGTGATACTGCCCCAAAACCCCCGCCACCAGTGCGCTGACGCTGCCCTTGCCCTTGGTGCCCGCGACGTGCACGCAGCGCAGCGGGGATGCGGCCAGCGAGGCCGGGGTGTAGCCGGTGCGGCGCAGCCAGGCGAGCATCTCGGGGATGGCGAGGGCGTTGATGTCGGCGATTTTGGGGGCTCCGGCTGCTCCTGTTGCTCCTCCTCCTGTTGTGGTGGTGGTGGGGATGGGGGGGTCAAAGAGGGAGGTTACGGCGCGGTTGGATTGGAGTTGGGCGAGTCGGGTCAGGGCGGTCGCGTAGCTTGCTGGTGCTGGTGGGGAGGGGGTTGGGGTGGCCATTTTGTGGGTGCGGCGGGAGAATGGGGATAGGGATATGGTGTTTGTGGTGGGATTTGGTTGGCGGTGGATGGGTTGGGTGGTGATGGTCCTGATGGTGGTTCGGTTCGCTACTCGCATGTCAAGGTGTGAAGGAAAAGTCGTGAGTGAGTGTTTATATCGGCGGCATGTCTCGGGTTTGACCGCGCGGTCCGGTGAGGTTCCAATCTGTTTCGGTTTACTGAGATAAATGTCCCCGATATCGATCCCGAAATAGCTGAGCTGAACCTCGACGCCTTATCGATTGATGGTTGTTGAATGAAAGAGAAGAATCCATAACCTTGAAAGGTGAGTGGAATGAAGGTGGGACACTCCGACTTCGCTTATCCAAGAAAACACCACAACAACAAAACAACTCGTCGAATCACCCAAGCTGAGGAATTACGACGCACTCTGAGTTAAATCGCCAACTCGCGTCTATTGACTACTTGATACACCACAACCAGCCCAGACCTTTCTTTACCTAACAGATCTAACGCAGGAATGTAATCTGTACATCGACAAAAGAAACGCCCATGGTCTCGGGCTTATTCCACCTTCAAGCTCTGTAGCCTCGCCTCCGTCTGGATGACCTGTAGACAATCAGTTAGCAGCGTGCCCACACACACACGAACAAACACGTCATAAAAACAAAAAAAGACATACCTCCAAAGCCTGCCGCACCTCCAACACCTTGCGCACCTCACCCAGCCAGTCGCGGCTGAGCGTCTTGGACCACCCCGTAAGGCCGTTCATCTCCCGGGCGGCGTTGTCGAGGTCGCCCTCCTCGAGGAAGGTCTGGGTGCGGGTGAGGATGCTCTCGACGTCGTCGCCGGCGGCCAGGCCCTGCTTCTTGAACATGACCTTGCTCAGGACGTAGCTCGAGGCGTGGCTGGCGACGCCCGCGTCGTCGGGCAGCAGCGAGGCCTTGCGCACCTCGGCGGCGACGCGGCGGAAGCGGTCGATGAGCTCGGCGGGCGTCGAGATGCCGCGCTGGTAGGCCGACGGGTGGACGGAGGCGATGGCGGCGTCGACCACGGGGTCCTGCGCGGCGATCTCCTTGAGCGCGACCAGCTCCTTGATGAAGGGCCGCGGGTGGTGGGCGTCCTCGAGGCTGGCGCGCACCGCCTCGACGGCGACGTGCATCTGCTGCGTGCGCAGGTTGGCGTCGATGACGTCGTTCCAGCTGGCGGTGAGCTTCTCGAGACCGTCGACCGCAGCCGTGAGCTCGTTCAGCTTGCCGAGGCGGCCGTCGCGCTCCTGCTCGACGTGCTTCTTGATGTCCTGGGTGAAGGCGCGCTGCAGTTGCACGGCCTGCTCCAGCAGCTGGTTGTTGAGCTTCTCCTCGGCGAGCTGGCGCTCGCGCTCTTGGATCAGCTGCACCTTGTTGTCGTAGCTCTTCCGGAGCCGGTCCATCTCGGCCTCGAACTCGCGCCGGAACTGCTGCTCCTGGACCGACATGGCGGCCTCCAGGCGGGCGACCAAGTCGTTGGCGGCCTGGTCGAAGCCGTCGACGCGTTGCCGGACCTGCTGGGCAGCCTCCTTCTCGACAGACGTCTTGATATCGCGGATCTTCTGGCCGACCTTGCTGATCTCGCCCTTGGCCTTGCCAATCGTCGCGCCGTACCTGTCGTTGGCGCCGTCGTGGTTGATCACAGTGATGATGTCGTTTAGCATGCGCACCAGGTCTTGCACGACGGGGTCGGCCGCGTTGGGGACGGCCAGCGGGTCGATAGGCGAAGCTGGGGGCCACCGCGAAGGCTCGTCCACCTCGGGAGCCTTGAACGGCTTCTGCGTGGGGACGAGTGCCGTGGCCGCGGGCACGAGCGCCGTCTCGGGCTCGGGTGCCTTCTCCACGGGCTTGTTCTCCACCGGCTTCTTCTCCACGGCCTTCTTCTCCGCCACCTTCTTTGCTGTGCGCTTCTTTTCCGCAACAGGTGCAGGCGCCGACTTCTGGAGATCCTCGGCCTTGGCCTCAGCCGTGGGCAGCTTGGTCTCCTTGGGCTGGGCAGCCACAACCGGCTCAGCTTTCTTGCTGGGCTCCTTGGCAGCAGCCACCTTCTGAACTGCGCTCGACTGCCTGCCAGCCGTCTCCCTCGTGTCAGCGACACGCCAAGAAGCGCCGCTCTGGGCGGGCACCGTCACCTGCTCGCCGTCGGGCCGCCTGCCTGCCACCCGGCTGGCCACGTTGGGGAAGCGCTTCTTGAAATCCATCTCCTCCAGGTAGAGAACGGCCTGTTCGCCGTAGGGGATGTACTCGGTGAAGAAGTCGTGGAAGTTGTCGTTGATACGCGAGTACCAGACGCCGCCGCCGAATCCGAGGGCGCTCAGTAGGGTAAGCGTCAGGAAGAAGTTGCGCAGTCTCCGGAAGAAGCCCTTCTTCTTGCGCGGCGTCGGTAGAGGCGGCGGCGGCGCAATATCGGCCGCCTCGGTGGCCACAGAGTCAGGGGAGGGAGGGGTGAGGGGGACGTTCTTGGAGGGGATGGTCGTCGAAGCAGCAGTGTCGAGGGAGGGCGGAGGAGGGGGTGTCGACGGGGCCGTCAGAGTCTCGGATGCAGGAATCTTGGTCTCATCTGAGCGCTTCTTGTCGGAGGCATAGAATCTCTAACACGCACACACAAAATCGAGCAGGTTAGCTCATAACGTGGGTATAATAATGCCCGGGCATGACCTCATACCTGCCCAGACACGACTGCACGCCGGGCTGCGGAAACCGGCCATTGGCGGCTGGCAGCAGCGGCGGCGGGCCTGCTGCCCAGCGCCCTCACGGATTGCAGCGATGTCCGCAACATGAGGGGATGGGGTGGCCGAGAGGGCGCAAATGAAATGTTGATGTGGTGGTTTGAAAGTGGGAGCAAAAAAGAGCTCGGCAAAGTTCCGGGACAGCTGCGGGAACTGACCCTGGCAAGGCGGGTCTTGGCGGAACAGGCCAGCGAGCATTCTGCCAACACCGCAGGATCCATCCAGCTCAAAACACGCGCCGAAATGTCAGAATCTGAGCAGGTGGGGGATAAAGGGAAAAAGCATTAATGGAATTACAGATCTGTCGATCCATTAAAGTCGAGTTAGTTAGTACACAGTATAAGAGTTTAACTGTGAGGCATCCTTGCAAGTCAACAATACTTCCAGCGCTCACTACATCCATCATCAGCCTCATTAGGATTACCGCGTCGTTGCAAGCTGTTGCTCTATCTGCTTACTATACACGGAAGCACCTGCCCAGGCTCTTACCCGCCACCCCACGTTATAGGGCGAGCTATCAGTGTGCCGAAAACAAACATAAACCCGTAAAAAAAAGGTATTAAACGGCATCCGTACCATCCCCCCAGCAGACTCCGCCCCAGATGTGTGATGCCAACACTCCCTCCGTCATAACCCAGCTAACGCGCATGACCTGCTCTATGACCGCGGTCCGGTTCCCGCTATCCGTCTCCAGTCTCTCTGCAGTCGCATCTTAGAATCCCATCGAAATGCCCAGCCCTCTTCTCCGGTCCCTCAGCAAGCGCATGGCCCGCCAGCTTGGGTGTTTGCCCCTTCGGGGGCCAGGCTGACGCCGGGTCGCTGGCCTGGCCGGGCGTGCCTCGGTCCGACCTGGTCAAGCGGCAACTTCTTGGCGATGGCAGTAAAAAGCTCCTGCACGTTCTCGGCCGTCTTTGCCGATGTCTCGAAGAAAAGAAGACCGGCCTCCTTCGCGTAGGCCTCGGCGTCAGCCGTCTCGATCGCTCGCTTGTCGGGCTGCTCTGTCACCAAATCCAGCTTGTTCCCGGCGAGCGCGATAATGATGTTTTCGTTGGCTTGCCTCTGTAGCTCCTTCACCCACGACTTGGCCTTGTCGAGTGATGTCTAGTCGAGTTAGCAAAGATAATGTAAACGAGGTAGAAACAGTACGCACGGCTTGGGTGATGTCGTAGACGACGACTGCGCAGTTGGCGTTTCTGTAATACATGGGCGCAAGCGACTTATACCGTTCCTGGCCCGCAGTGTCCCAGATCTCAAACTTGACCGTCGTGTTCTCGTCGAGCGAAATGGTCTGTGTTAAGAAGGCGGCGCCGATAGTTGATTCCCGGTATGAGTCGAATTGATCCTAACTCTCGTTAGTCCCCGCGCTCATCGTGCGCGCAAATAAGTCGGCTCACCTTGACGAATCGCAACACGATCGAGCTCTTTCCCACGGCAGATTCACCTGCGTCGAGTAAGTATGGTGGTGTATCTTTCCAGAGGCACGCGCCGTCTCACCTAACAACACCAGCTTGAACTGAGCAAAGCGGTTGTTCATTCCGCGCGCGCCAGGGGGGCCTCGGGTCGCCATGGTGGTTGTGGTTGTGGGAGAAGCGGCCGACTTCAAAGCCGACTGAGGCGGTATTGTCGGTTCGGTACGGGAGCTCGGCTCTAAAAGACCGGGAAAAGCTGTCGCGGGGAACAAAGCTCGCTGTACGGTAGACGTGTAGCAGTGTTGTCGCGGATAAAGGCCGCGATGGAATGGTCGACCGTTCAAAGGGCGCAGTCAGTCGGGGATGTCGAGGGAACCACGGGACTAAAGTTGAATGAGGTGGTTCGTCGAACAGAGCTGGTTGGAGGTTGTTGAGCGCAGCCTGGGCCTGGCCACTCACTGTCACTGGTCAGCGGCGGTGCACACGTCAGGCGCAGAAGAGAGAAGGCAGCCGGGCTTGTCAAAGTGTCCGTGCACTTCCACGTGATGCAACGGCGACCTGGTTACGTACCCCTGTGTGGCCGTCATCCCGCACCAGCCGGCACCGGCAGCCAGAAGCGCCGCCTTCAAGATGCCAAGAAATTGGGACCTGGCCAGAAGCTGAGCCGATCTGGCAACACATGCCACGCCTGTTGTTGGCAGCCAAGAATCCATGTCAGCTTCAAGGCACTGCACCGAACTGAGGGATGGGATTGAAACGGCCAATTTTAGATTCTCCAACACAAATTGTACAAAATTGACGGCAACACTTGACGGTTGCATTTTATGCGCAATAACCCGAACCTCACGGGATGCAAATAACTCATCCAAACCCCTGAGTTTGTCCCCTTTTCGCCGCCGACATCGTTGGCCGTCGCAACCATGGCGCTTCCCTTCCGCGACATCAACGTGCAAACCGCATCCGACTCGTACATCTTCTCCTCGCCCTCTAGCCCCAATTCGCCCGCCCTCTGCATCGACCGCCCGACGGGCGACATCCGGCTCAGCGATGCATCCCTCCTCGCCGGAAAGCGCGTGTCCCGCGTCACCAGCATCTCGGGTATCCTGGGCATGATCCGGTTGCGGTTGGGTATGTTCACGATGGCTCAGGGCGTGGTATGGTCAGGATGCTAACAGGGCGCTAACCGCTCAGACAAGTACATCATCGTCATCACCAAGGCCCAGCCCGTGGGCCGCCTGCGCGGACACATGGTGTACAAGGTCGTCTCGACCGAGCTCCTCCCGCTGCGTGAGCGCCAAGTACACGACCCCGATGAGGACCGCTTCCTCGCCCTGCTTCGCACCTTCATCAAGTCCGGCCCCATGTACTTTTCATACGCGATCGATCTCACCAACAGCTTCCAGCGCCAGGCCCAGCAGGACGCCGAGCGCCCGCTCTGGAAGCGCGCCGACGACCGCTTCTTCTGGAACCGCTTCGTCCAGACCGACCTGATCGACTTCCGCAACCAGGGCGGCCGCGGCCAGCCGGCACCCCAGCCTGGCATTGACCCCTATATCCTACCCGTCATGTTTGGCATGCTCGAAATCCACCCGACAACATTCAAGGGCACACCCCTGACGATAGCGCTCATCACCCGGCGGTCTCGCAACCGGGCGGGCACCCGCTACTTCACCCGCGGTCTTGACGACCAGGGGAATGCCGCCAACTACAACGAGACGGAACAAATCTTGATCCTCAACGACAGCACTGCGGGGCTGGGCGGTTTTGCGGGCAGCGCCGGGCCGGGCGTCCAGCGCAACGCTTCCACCGAAGGCAAGGACATGCAGATCATGTCGTACGTCCAGACCCGCGGCAGCGTGCCAGCCTACTGGGCCGAGGTCAACGTGCTCAAGTATACGCCGAAGCTGCAGCTCCGCGCTCTCGAGACCGCGCTCCCGGCCGCGCGCACCCACTTCGACGAGCAGATCCGCATCTACGGCGACAACTACCTGGTCAACCTCGTCAACCAAAAAGGCCGCGAGAAGCCCGTGAAGGAGGCCTACGAACAAATGGTCGACATGCTCGTGTCGAACCCCAAGGAGCGCGTGCAGGCGGACCAGCGCACCGAGGAGAAGTTTCACACCATCGAGACGGGCGGCGGCCCGCAGCGCTCCCCCTTCGACCGGCTGCACTACGTCTACTTCGACTTCCACGCCGAGACCAAGGGCATGCAGATGCACCGGGCGCAGCTGCTCATCGACCGCATGCGCGAGGCGCTCGTCGCCCAGCAGTACTTCCGCGCCGCCGACATGCCGGGCAGCCGCATCGACGGCCGGCTCGAGGTGCGCAGCCTGCAGACCAGCGTGGTGCGCTCCAACTGCATGGACTGCCTGGACCGCACCAACGTGGTGCAGAGCATGCTGGCGCGCTGGACGCTGGACCGCATGTTCATCGACCTGGGCCTGCTGCCGCGCGGGGCGCGCTTCGCCGACGAGGACGACGCCTTCGAGCTCATGTTCCGCAACATGTGGGCCGACAACGCCGACGTCGTCTCCAACGCCTACTCGGGCACGGGCGCCATGAAGACGGACCTGACCCGCCTCGGCAAGCGCACCAAGGGCGGCGCCCTGCAGGACGGCAACGTCGCCGTCACCCGCTACTGGAAGAACAACTTCCTCGACGGCCCCCGCCAGGACGCCTTCGACCTCTTCCTCGGCGCCTACCAGGTCCCCGCCGGCGGCATCGGGTCGGGATTCATCTTTGCCGACCGCCGCCCGGTCTGGATTCAGAGCGTGCCCTACATCGCCGCCTTTGGCTTCTTCTTTGTCCTGGTCGCCACCTACACCCCGCGCCTCCCTGACGCGGCTGTCTGGCCGCTACGGCTGTTCACCATCTTCTGGGCCATCGTCACGCTGTGGAGCGTGCGCTTCATATTTAGCAACGGGATGCTCTATGTAAGCCCCTACCCCCTACCCTCCCCTACCTAAGTACTATACTAACCACCCACATAGGTTAACTGGCCCAAGCTGAACCCGCGCCCCTGGGCGACGGAGGGGTACCACGAGACCATCAGCCGGGTGCGCAAGGACGCGCTGCTAGGCCCGCTGGTGGCGCGGCACGAGCGTGGACTCAGCACGGCGCGGTATATCAATGCCGAGGAGGGCAAGAAGAGGATCGAGTAGACTGGCCGACAGTGGTGGCGGTGGTGTTCGTGTGTGTGATTGGGGCTTCCGTTCGAGATTTGGCGTATTCTTGTAGTGTCGTTATGGTGTGTTAGTAGTGCCCGTAGGGCTAGGGTAGAGCGATGTTGGGCTTCGACTTGGAATTGTTTTAATAATAAAGAGGTTTCGGTGGTTAGTTAAGTCATGCTGCGGATAATGTAGTGGTCGATTTGTTGGTGGTTATCCGGTGGAATTTGAGCAGCGTCCACACAATGTGACGTCCAGAGCGAGTCCATCATGACACGTCAAGTCAAGACATATAAAATCCAAGGTTAAATTACCAAGTCAGGCATAAAATATTACAAAAACTACACGTCTGGGTATCGCGCTTCAGCTCTCAGCAATGCTCGCCAAATCCCCAAAAACAAAGAGGTAACTAGTTGCTCCCGCCCATAACCAGGCTATGCAAACCCCCTCCCCCTGAAAACCACAACAACAACACCAATGCAAAATAATAAACATAGAAAAAGCTACAACCACAACAACCACTTCACCCCCCTCACAGCGCCCTTCCCAACCCCCAACCCAACCCTCGCAATCATGACCAAAAACCACACATACCACATGCACCCAACCAACACCCACTCCACCACCAGCCACCCGACCCGCCGAATCCACCTAAACCGCCTCCGCCTCCTCCGCAACATCTTATCCATCGCATCCAACACATGCTTGACCTTCAACCTTTGACCCACCACCAGGTCATGGTTCGCCTCATCCGCGGCGTCGATGGCCGACTGCGCGAGGTCGGTCAGCTCGTGGGCGACCTTGCCGCGCAGCGACTCGACGCGGCGGAGGAGGGCGGGCGCCGTGTCCGACACGAAGCGCGACGAGAGCGTGTGCAGATGGGAGGTGGACGCCTGGGTCGACGCCGCGAGCGTGCGCGCCGCGATCGGGTACGCTTCGACCTGTGCCAGCGGGGTGGTCAGCAGCCGCTGCTCGGTGGCGGCGTCGGGCGCGAGGCGGGCGATTTCGGGCCAGGTGAGGGATGAGGAGGGGTCGGTGGCGGTGGCGGTGGTGGTGGTTGTGGTTGGGGCAATGGCTGGTGATGGGAGGAGCTTGCGCGCTTTGGCGCGGCGGTCCATTTCCATGGCGTGGATGCCCGAGCTAAGGAGGAGAGTGCGGAGGCGGGCGATTTCGCGCTTGGAGACGGCGGTCGAGCCGGAAGCTATGCTACGATCGGCGATCGACCACTGCCGGTTGGCGGGTATGGTGGAACGGTGAGGGAGTGCGAGCGCCGCGTCGAGGCGGATGGAGGCGGCGCGGGTGTCGTCCGGCCCGGCTTGCGACTCCGTGTCCGACCCGACAGGCGCTTGGTTGCGTACCTGGACTGGGGGCGGCGAGGTACTTGGGGACGCGTTCTGCACATCAATCCTCGGCGGCTTGAGCAAGTCGAACCGCGAAGATCGTCGGCTGATGGGCCGTACCGACGGGTGCTGAAGCTGGGTCTGAGAAGTAGATTCGTAGTTTTGTAGCAGCGGAGCGTCGAGCAAGGTCTTTACGTCCTGCGCTGAGCGGCTACGGCCATGTCGAGGCCCGCGCGATCTGCCCCTGGCCTCAACCTCAGAGTCGTCGGACGAGGTGCCGGAGGAGTCATCGCCGTCTTTCCGCCATATCATATCGCTGACCTTAGAAACGCCGCTGCGCAGCACGGTATCGATGCGCGGGCCGCGGAGTAGCGACCGGAAGCTTATCCCGCCATCTTCCCCGCGCAGCTTGGCGCTGCTGAGGCTTTTATGCGACCGGTGGCCCAGTATCCGCTCGCCGATCGGACTCCTCGAGGGCCTCCGCTGTGGTGACGAGACGCCGCTCCCAGTCGGCTCCGGCGTTCCGGTCCAGTGGTCTTGGGGGTTCAGAGTCCCCCCGTCCTCCCCCAAATGGTGGGCATCCGTGTTGCGTTCCTTGCTGCGTTCACGGAAAATGCCTTTGACCCTCGTCAGTGGGTTACGGTGCGGCGATCCTGCCCTACTGGACATGGGCGACAGGTCCATGCCGAGCGCCGGCACCAAGCCGACTTCAGGGGTCGGCCGCAAGTTCGGGGAGTTTGGCTGCGACGTATCGTCGTCAACCGAGAAGCGTCTGCTCGTTGGGACTTCCAAGCTAGCTCGCCCGGCGTGTGATGGCGGTGACCTCACCAACGGGTGCGGCCTCAGTCCGGCACCCTTAGTTTCAGTATCGCTCAATTCTGCGCGGGAGTCTGCAGGGTGGTGTCCACTCGCGCTCGGATCTCGATCTGGGGTCATCGGTGCGAACTTCATACGTTTCGCCTCATGATCGTAAAGCGGGTGTGATTCGGCCTCCAACTGCTCACGAGCAATCATTTCCTCCATCTGCTTTTCCAGAACGGACCGAACGGTATTGGGAGGAATGCCGCTCTTCGCCCGCCGTCGGCGATCGCTGTCAGTATCAGACGACTCAGATGCCGAACCCCGATGGAGGCGGAGCAAGTCACGGTTGGTGAATGAGCTGGTATGCCGGTGATGTGAGCCTTTGAGCGCGCGGAATTTCTGCTGGGCCCGGTCCCTCGCTGCCATAAGTACATGTTCGTGGTCATGCTTCGCTGGCGGTTCCGGGGTCGCCTTCTCGCCGGGGGTGTGGGCTTCTAGCGAAACCTTAGCCGAACCGGGAGTTGTTAGACGGGCCGCCTCGTCGCGGGACATGGGCCTGGGTGCCTCGGGCCCTTGGGGAAAGACGCGCCTCCAGTGGCGGTCTTCCACCAGCCTCTTGTTGTCATCAAGCTCAAGCCAGTGTACGTCTGCCAGCATGTCTGCCGGGTCAATTACCCAGTCAACCCGGGGCCGCTTAGGCTTCGTCGCGGCTGCCGCTCTCACGTTCGCCGGTGGCGGAGAAGCTTGCAACTCAGCCGCCTGCGCAGTCGTGAACGGAGGCAGATTAGGGTTCCCGGGTTGGCGAGCTTGCCCGGTGGCCACCCACTTGGCCACCTCGTCGACCCACTCAGACACCTTCATAACATCGGTGAAGCCCTGCTCCTCACCGTCAATAGTCCGTCTCTCGCGGGCTCGCACTTTCCGGTTCCGTATGTATTGGAGCGGGTTATAAGGTCGCCCAATCTTTGCTTCTGACTCGTTGGTCGTCGTCCGAGACACCGAGCCCGAGCTGTTCGGCGTGGCCGGGTGCGTCGCAGACCATGGCCTCGCTGTCGCCTCGGGCTCTAGCTGGGGTACCAACTCGAGCACTCGGCGATATTGTGCCATCAGGTCCAGGTACTCTTTGGCCTTTTGGGCTCTGGCGAGAGTGGAAGTGGAGAAATGGTAGCGATAGCTTGTCCCGGGATCAAACGCAGGCTGCAAAGGTGTGAAAACCCTCCCAATCCCGACCCTCGGCGACCTGTCAGGTTTAGGCGACACCGTCCGCGAGATCTTTCGCTGTTGCTGGAGGTGATATCTGAGACTCCCTCCATGCGCATTGTCTGGGAGGGGAGCCAATCTTGGCGGGGTAGGTTGCGAGATATTCCTGCGAGAAGCAAGCCGTCTCGACTCGCTCAGGTTCAGAGCCATGCTGACAATCTGGGCCGACTCGACGTCCAGCTGCGGGGTGCTCGCCCCGGAGGAAGAGCCGACCATAGTATCGCCGGCTAATGACCTCCGGTTTGTGATTGTTGTCGAACTCGACTCTTCTTCAGGAAGGCCGCTCGGCCTAGGCGCACCAGACGGCCCCTGCGTGCTGCTGGAGGCAGGCCCCAGCACCGGTTCCTGGCCATGCTGGGAGTCTGCCAACGTCTGTTGGTCAAAGGACCTCCGCTGCCATCTCTCCGGTGTGTGCGGATCCGGGTCGCGGCGGCGGGTAGAATTGTGGCGGGCCACCGGGTCGGGGAGGAGGAAGCTTCCGCTAGAGCGATGCTTGTGGGCGCGATGGACGCCCGAGAGGCGGTTTTCGGCAAAGTTGCGGTTGGCGAGGTTTGGGCGGGCGCTTTGGCGGTGTATTTCGACGTCGGCAATCGGTGGGCCCGCAGTGCTTAGGAAGGAAGGATCTCGAGCATCGGCGCCGCGAGACGGAGAGTTGGGTAGTCGTGCAGCTCGCTGCGGGCGCAGATTTGGGGGTGGGCTGGCATCTTGGTCCGTCATTGCGCCCGTCGATGCCTCTTGTGCCACAGGAACTGGTCGACGGGACTTGGGCTTCTAGCTGTCACTAGGTTCGATGCATTGTTACGGGGTGTGGGTGCTGGGACGCGGTTCGCAAGGCGAGGGAACCATGTGAAGGTCGACGTCAGGAGGCGGTCGCTGGGTCTTCCCATTCGCCGAGATCAGTTGGTTTGAACATTCCAAGTTTGGTTTGCAGGGGAAACCGGGCCCTGCGAAATTCGGCTCGGCAGTCGGTGAGCAGGCTCGGCAGGGTCCAAGGACAAAGCAGAGCACCTGACTGGAGGGAGGCCGCCATATACCCACTGTTACCCGCCAACAGGCGGGGAGCTGTTGCTGGTGTCAGTGCTCGGAGCCTGGTCTGGAACTGGAATCCTTCAACTCAATCTGAACGTCGAATCGGATGGATACCACCTATGAAGGCTTGCATGAGGTGCCGCTTCCTGGGTAATTCTGCCCGCACTGCACGTTAGATAGGTGCTCGCTAGCCATTCAATACGCATACAGTGAGCCGGAACTGGGTGACACTCGCAGGAAATAAACAACTTAGAATAAAGAAAAACATTCCCGTCGGTGGCTAGATAAAACATAAATAGTAACGCGCTTGGGGCAGTCAGTCAGTTTTAGGTAGGTATTCCAATACCAAAACTACCTACTGGCTGCTCGAGAACATGCACGCCCAGACCTTTAGCCATGGACAAATCCAATACCCATAACCCTTCGCCGGGCCCCATCCTCTAACCATCATGCCCATACCGATTCAAACGCCCCAAACACCTCTAAACCAAAACCCGCCTTCAGAAAACAGTCACCGCGCTCACCCAACCATTCTTCAACACCTCAAACACCAATCCCGGAAATCCATAGAGCGTCGTGGTTGAGTCCTCCCCGCGGCCCTTGCCGACACCAGGGTTCGTTCCGCCGCTTTCCTCCCACCCACCCAACAATTCACAGCTACTCCCTGGACTGTCCCCCCATCCGCGGTTGAGCACCATACCCCGCTGTTTTTGCTGAGCCTCGGCCTCGGATGGGTAGATGAACTGCCACGCTTTGCGGAGCTTCTCTTCCATTTCTGTGAAGGGGGTTTCCGAGTTTGCGGCATCACTGTCATTGGACGACGAGAGGTAGCTAATCTCCCAGCGGCAACGGCGGTGGCGGTTGAACGGGTAGGAGCCTGGGACATTGCCGTGGAGAATAACCTTTGTAGCAACCAAGCGGTCGGCGGTGGTAGAACTAAAAGGCGGTTTGGGGGTATCGGGGTTGACCTCTCCTGATGGCGGGGGTCCGGGGGTCGTGTTGGGTGTCGAGATGAGCACGTCGAAGCCGAGGTAGAAATAGTTGTAAAAACACTCGCCGGATATGTTGGCGGCGATGTCGTCTTCGACTGCCTCATCGTTGGAGTCATACTCGTCTGACGCGGGGTGCGAGGACTGGTCGGTGTCTGTCAGGTCATCCGGTCGCTTCAGGTCGTTGCCGCTGGGACCGGCCATAGTGTTACTGGTGGCCCGCAACTTGTGGATATACATCCGCTGGTCACTCTTGCGGTAGATGGCGTCGGGCGGCCCGAGCTCGGCAACCAACTGTTGCGGGGTGGTCTCGTTGAGCATAATCCAGAAGGAATTGTTGGTCCACTTCCGAAAAAGCTGCAGCTTGCCGCCCCCGTGAATCCTCACCAGTGAGACCTCATCCGGGCTCGTATCCTTGCCCTTGGCAAGCGGTGCGAACGTCTTAACGCTAGGGAGTGTCTCTGTCCACATGGTGCCGCGGGCCTTGACCCACGAGTCGCCGCTAAACACAGCCATGGAGGTCGGGATGGCTGTTGAATGCAGCAACGACACAACATCCTTGGACGGCGAGTATTCCTTTTTCTTCATGGCAAACGTGAATGCCACGCCAGGGTACGACAGCACGTACATTTCGGCAGACGGCAGGTATTCTCCATCGTATGTAGGTCCCAAAAACCGCTGGTAAATGTGACGGAATGTCGGGCCGGGTGTGGCATCGGCCGGTGGTACGTCTTCTGTGGTGGGCCGGACAAGATCCCGCTCCTTGTCGTTGGCCGGCTTGAGAAAGATATGGTTCTTGGTGAAGTCGGTCACCTCGATCAGCCGCAGCCGCTGCTCGGGACCGTCGAAACGCATCCGTATTCCGTTCGCCGGCAGTCCGAGGATCACGGGTTGCTTCACCGGGTCGGTCGGGGTGTACATGAGGTCAAGCTTCGGGAACCGCTGAGGTTCGGCCTTGAGGCGAGTCAAGACATCGTGCAACGAGGCTCCGAGGACAAGAAAGCCTAGAGCCCGGCCAGGGTGAAGCTGGGCCGAGAAAAGCGATGACATGATGGGTGGTTGTTTGTCGGAGATGCTCGCGATGTGAAATGCCCCAGCTTGTGTGCTGCTACGGCGTGAGCGCAGCTTCGAGAGAGGAGATCATCGGCCGGGGGCCGGTTCGTAATGGTGACCAGTCTCGCGCGGTCCAAACGGCGGAGGATTATTGAGTCAAAGAGCCGGCTATCATCAAGTCAAGTTAAAATCCTGAGTATTATTAAGTCAAGTTAAACAGCTGAGTATTATCGAGTCGAATCAAATCGGAGGTGTACAGAGTTACCTGACCGAAATGGTCCGGAAAGCCCCGTGATCGTGGCAGGTGAGATGGCCGCTGGGAGGTGGACGTCATGGATCCGGCAAGCACGCGGCAGATCCATGGAGGGGCAGGTGGGGGCTTCAGGCTGCCTTTCTGGCTTGGCGAGAACCAGGAATGGCATGTGGGGCAGGCGTTGCTACGGCAATCGCACCCCAGCCCGTGCGTGTTTGTGTGCGTCGCGCCTGTCGCACCCTTGCAATCCCCACTCGGCCCACGGCAGCAAGCACACACCTCCATTTTTGCCCATGATACCGATAGCAAAGACCACAGTCCACACACTTTAATATCCCCTGCCTGCAGAACGAAGCACGACGCGCCTCCAATTCAGTTTTTTTTGGATGTTCTCCTCAAAATCAAGTACCGCGTGTTAATTCCCAAAAATAATTCGACCCAGTCATCATCACAACCTACGCGACCCGCTCCCGATGGAGCGCAGAAACACGTCAATGGCGCCGCCATCTCGGCTGGGTCCCGGGCGCCCGAGCCTCCGCCCTGGAGTACGAACTACAGCAGCGAGCTCGTCGAGGATAGGAGCCGGGCGCCACGCGCCAACTTCGCGGCTGGCGCGAGCGGCATCACCAGCGGACTCGCTCATGTCGGTAGCAACATCGGCCACGACAGGTGCGAAGCGCAAGGAGCGCGACTTTGACCCCGACGACGGCGAGGCTACGAACATCAATGTCGTCGTGAGGTGTCGCGGGAGGAACGATCGGGAAGTTAAAGAGAACAGCGCTGTGGTGGTGCGGACAGAGGCGACCAAAGGGAAACTGATCCAGCTTTCGATGGGGCCAAACTCGGTCAGCGACAAGACATACAACTTTGACCGTGCCTTTTCGCAAGCCGCAGACCAGAACATGGTTTTTGAGGAAGTGGTTAAGCCGGTCCTGGACGAGGTAGGCAATCCGAGCCGCATTCGGAATATCACTAACGCCAGCAGATGCTCTCGGGCTACAACTGCACCATCTTTGCCTACGGCCAAACCGGCACCGGCAAAACATACACAATGTCCGGCGACCTGACCGAGACCATGGGTATGCTGTCCGATAACGCCGGCATCATCCCTCGGGTGCTCCAAGCCCTGTTCAAGAAGCTAGAGCTTGACGAGCAAGAAAACTCGGTCCGGTGCTCTTTCATCGAACTGTACAACGAGGAGCTGCGGGACCTCCTTTCATCTGACGACAGCGCGAAGCTCAAGATCTACGACGATACATCACGAAAGGGGCACTCCACGACAATGGTGCAAGGAATGGAGGAGAGGTACATTCTGAACGCCGGTGACGGCCTCAAATGGCTCCGAGAAGGCAGCATCAAGAGGCAGGTAGCAGCCACGAAGTGCAACGACCTGAGCAGCAGAAGTCACACAGTCTTTACGATAACGGTCTACGCGAAACAAAAGACAGAGAACGGGGAGGACTTTCTCATGTTGGGCAAGCTGAATTTGGTCGATCTGGCTGGCAGCGAAAACATTCAGCGGTCGGGGGCGGAAAACAAGCGCGCGGCCGAGGCAGGGCTGATCAACAAGAGCTTGCTCACCCTCGGACGGGTCATCAATGCCTTGGTTGACCGCAGCCCTCACATTCCGTACCGAGAGTCAAAGCTCACTCGTCTGCTGCAAGATTCGCTAGGCGGCCGGACAAAAACATGCATTATCGCGACGATATCCCCAGCGAAGAGCAACCTCGAAGAGACCATTTCAACACTAGACTACGCCTTCCGGGCCAAGAACATCCGCAACAAGCCGCAGCTGAACGCGCTCACTAACAAGAAGACGCTTCTGCGAGATTTCACCATCGAGATCGAGCGGCTGAAAGCCGAACTAATTGCGACACGTCAGCGGAACGGCGTCTACCTGTCCAACGACATGTACGAGGAACTGACAGTGCAAAACGAATCACGTCGCATCTTGACGGAGGAGCAGGGCGCCAAAATCGAGACGCTCGAGACAAACCTGAAGAACAAACTGCAGGAGCTCTTGTCGGTAACGTCAAACTTTATGGGGCTCAAAAAGGACCACGAAGCGACAGTGGCTCAATTTGACGAGGCGAAGGAGGTGCTCGAGCAGACCGAGATAGTGCTCGCTGCCACCAAGAAGGCACTCACCGAAGAAACACACCTCCGCAAAGCCCACCAGGAGACGGAAGAGCAGCTGGCGCTCCTCGGGGGCGACCTGCTCAGCACGCTGGAAAGGACGGTCGGCGACATCAGCAGCCTGCGGGCTAAGAACAGGCGCAAGTCGGACCTGCACAACCTCAACCGGAGCACGTGGAACATGTCGCAAGCGCACGTCGCCGATATCACCGAGCTCGTGGAGGGCCGCATCGAGGAGTTCCGGCAGGGTCAGGAGGACCATATCTCTCACGTCTCACAGCGAATGCAGCTTTTTGTTAAGAACGAGCTGGAAAAGCTCTCGTCAACCCAGACCTTCCTCGACGAGAACCTGACCCAATTTGCTGAGTCAAGGACACAGCTCGCCGCGCAGCAGGAGCGGTCAAAGGAGGAAATGGACACGGTGCTGGAAGAAATCCAGGTTGTTCGGGACAACGTGAAACAGCGCGTGGGTGAGAGTCTCCAGGCCATTGCCGCGGCGGCCGAGCGAATCGCTGGGGACGTGCTGAGCGAGCTGGGCACGTTTCACAGCCAGCTACACACGTCATACAGCTCCTTGGGGAAGGACTGCAAGTCGGTCTTTGAGGAACTGCTGCGGCACATACGCGCGCAGAAGGCCGAGTCTGACAGGCTCAAACATGAGCTGGAGGAGGCGAGCCACGCCATCGTCGAGTCGAACGAATCGGTCTCGACGAGGATACAAGAGGTCTTGGACGAAGAACGGACACAAGCGGCAGCGGAGCGGCAGACCCTTCTTTCGCAAATGACGAGACTCATCAACTCACAAGCCGAACTTCAAGAGTCTCGCCTGGCCGACAAGGCAGCTCTCATACAGGACACCATTGCGGATTCCAACAAGACGTTTGAGGGCAGCATTGCCGAATACTCTACGGGCATGAACGCGTGGAGCGAGCGAGACAACAAGGTGCTCGAGGAGGTAACCAGCTCTAGGGACGCGCTGAAGAACAGGCTCAAGGACGACTGGACAGTAAGTTAGGATGTCAAACCTTCAGTAAGCTCTGCTAACAATCCCAGGTCGCGAGCAAGCACAGCAACTCGATCCAAACCACCACCAAGTCGGTCCACGCCGAGACGGTGAGGGTGGTCGAGGAGCAAATACAAGACCTCGACGTGCAGATGCAAGACCTCGACGACTTTGTATCGCGGGCCAAGTCGCACAATGCGAATCACCACCAACGGCACGCCGAGTCGGTGCAGGGCCTAAATAAAACGGTGGAGCAGTCGTTCAACAACATATCCGGCCATTTCAAGGAAACGTTTGGCAGGGTGCAGACCCTCGGCGAGGAGATGAAGGCCGATGCGGAGACACTCGAAAACGCGCTCGAGCCGCTCGACGAAAACGTCTGCCAGCCCCTGTCGGAGCTCAGAGACAACGTCCAAAACACGGAGCTAGCCGAGTACGAGCCGACAGGTGAGAGCCCCGAAAAGGTCAAGTACGACTACCCCACCGAGCTGCCCCGCACCGCCGCCCACGAGCTGCTCCTCGCCGCCATGCGCGAGTCGCCCAGCCCGACCAGGCCGAGCCCCATCGTCCTGCCAGACATCAACCTCACACCCGTGCGATCCCCCTCCCGCCCGACCAGCTCCGGCAGCCACCACTCGGAGGGCCTGCGCGAGCTCAACCCCAACCTGGCGTCGGCGGGCGGCGCCGCCGCCGCCGCCGCGGGGGGCGCCATCATGTTCGATCCCGCGTCCAACATGCTATCGCCGACGGCGGCCGGCGTCGACGCGGCCACGCCGCTGCCGCTGCTGAAGCCGACTACCAACACCAGGGCCAGGGCGTCCCGGCTGGCGAAGCGCGTCGGCGGCATGGGCGCCGTGGCTGAGGGCGCCGAGAACGTCCCGCCGCCGGCGATGCGGGGCTCCGCTAGGAGGAAGAGTCCGCGGTTGCGTTAGGCTGGGGTTGGGGGTTGATGGTCTCAGGGGTTGATGGTCATGGTCTTCAGGGTTGGTGGTTAGCGGTGGAGTCAATCTTTTATGCTGGGGTTTATTTTGTCTGGTGGGAGTTGGCGTTCTTTTGAACTGTGATGGAAGAAAGGTGGTCTCGGCTGTGTGGGCTAGGGGTATAAATAGGAGGCGTTTTGGCTGGCTGGCAGGCAGTTGTCTAGGTTGTAGGGTTACTGAGCACCGATACCCGTTCGCTTCGAGTTGGCGGTTTCAATTCAGAATTATTACTGTTATGATACGGCATGTCCAGATTATTGGGCGAGCGTCTCGTTCATGGCGGTGCTGGATGCATGATACAAGACCAAACCATGCGTATTATCTCTGCCAAATTCGAGGCAGTTGACAAGACAGTTACTAGCTACGGTAAAAATGAGAGTATTGCAGCAGCCTGCATCTCTGTCCAGCCAATCCCACTGAGTGACAGTCCATTCCACATTTTCGACCGCACCATTCATACAACAAGAAAAAAGTCAAGCCCCTGAACCGGGACAGTTGGTGTTGTGTTGACAAGGGTGAGATTCGAACTCACGCCCCTTTCGAGACCACGGATTTTCTCGGATGAGAAGGGAGATTAAGGGTGGACCTTAACGTGGCGCCTTAGACCGCTCGGCCACCTTGCCTTTGGATTTGTTTTGTGAAGGGCCGGTTTCGGGGGAGGGCTTTTGATCGTGGGTGTGGAGTTGTGGAGGTGGAGGGGGGATCCACCAGCACCGTTACTGCTTGAGGGCTGTCGGGGTTGGGGTTGGCGACGGCTCTGTGAAATGTGATGGAATGGGGTGGGATTTGAGGGTGAGATGATGCAATACCTCACTCATATTTTACTTTTCGATGCTGATATCAACATACATGTACAATGCAAATCCCTAAGCACTGCAGGGCGCGCCCTTTGCACAAGCACGAAACAGAGTGTTCCTCTCACCTTCAATTGCGGGGCAAAGAATAAGTACCGTTACATGGCATGACATCTCCAAACCCGGATGCCGGTGAGTCGTCGGCCAGGCTCGCCGGGTGCGGATTGGGCAGGTGCCGGAACGGCAGGTTAGCGGTGGGGGGGGGTGATAGCTGATTCGACCACCGGCGTGTGTTCCGGAGAGGGTGACGACAGGCGTCGGATCAGTCGTGTTAAAGGCGTCATCAAAAAGGTGTGTAAACTGTATAAAGGGTACAAGTTGAAACAGTATCAACCTCTAATAGTTAAACTCTTTCTTACCCGTCTTGCATCACACCCTCTACCCATCATTACAACCATCTATCACCATCACCCACCACACCCACCACCATGGCCTCCCACCCCGACCTCACCACCTTCCGCGCCCTCTCCTTCGACTGCTACGGCACGCTCATCGACTGGCAAGGCGGCCTAGCCACCGACATCGCCCCCCTACTCACCTCCCTCCCATCCTCCCACCCCTGGCGCGCGGACCCCTCCCTCGCGGTATTCCGCTTCAACCACCACTCCAACGCCCTCTCCGCCTCACAGCCCACCCTCAGCTACAACGCCAACCTAACCGAATCCCTCCGCCAACTCGCAAAAGAAACCGGCCTGTCCCGGGAGGCAAGCGAGACGCTGCTGGCCAGCATCGACATCGCCTCCGGCCCCGGCCGCTGGCCGGCCTTCGCCGACACGGTCGACGGGCTGCGCCGCCTGGGCCGCTTCTACAAGCTGGTCATCCTCAGCAACGTGGACGAGGCCAACATCGCGCGCGCCACGGCGGGCCCGCTGGGTGGGGTGCGCTTCGATGCCGTGTACACGGCCGAGGCGATCGGGAGTTACAAGCCGAGTGTGGAGAACTTCAGGTATTTGTTTGACGGGGTGCGGCGGGAGTTTGGGGTGGACAAGGAGGCGGGTGGGCTGTTGCATGTTGCGAGGAGTTTGCCGGTGGACCATGTGCCGGCGAAGGAGCTGGGGTTGAGGAGCGTGTGGATTGCGAGGGGCGGGGATAGGCCGGAGGGGTATGGGGTGGGAGGGGATTATGAGAAGTTGAAGGGGGAGGGGAAGCTGGGGTTTGAGTGGCTGTTTCAGACGATAGGGGAGTTTGCGGACGAGGTGGAGAGGCAGTTTGCTGAGAAAGAGGCACGCGAGAAGAAGTGAGCGTGCTTCGTGTGTGTGTTTGGTCGTCTCTCTGGTCTGCTCGGTGTCATCTACAGAAACGCTGAATCAAGCTCCTCGGATTCCGCCCTAGCCTTTTTCCGTGACCTGCACGCCCGGGTACGCTGCTGCATGTCCTCTCCCCGCCACCCCTTCCTCATCTTGATCGGCTGGAGGAACCCGTCCACGTGTACGCCGCCGTCCATCTCATCCGCGCTGTCCTCTTCATCGTCCGTAAACTCGGCCGCCCGCTTGCCGTGTACCCGCTTGAGATGTCGAGACAGGTTTTTCCGCTTTGTGAACGCCTCGATTGCCCGGGGGCAGTTGGGGTAGGGGCAACGATGGGCAATTGCAGGTGTTCCCGACCGACTACGGCGTGCAGGTAGTGCTTCTTCGTTCGTATAATTTGGCTCTGTGGCGGCAGGTGGCTGATCGCCATGCATGTCCCTGAGGTGTCTGTCGAAATTTGACCTCCTCATAAACGGCCGGGTAGCTTTATGGCAGTCCGGATAGGGGCACACCAGGGCTGCCGGCGCGTCTGACTCTGGCTCCGGTGACGACGAGCCAGCCGGTCTGACGCTCGATTGGCGGCTGATTGTCAGGAACTGGGCCAGCTCCTCCTGGGAAGAATCGTCTTCATCTGAAGATACCAGCAGAGACGCTCCGGGTACATACCGCATGGTCTCTATTCCGGCCATACCGGATGTAGCAGACCGCTCTTGCAGTGTGTGTATTGTCATCCCCTCCCCAAATAGTGTCGAGCATCGCTGGGTGGCACGAGCGATGACTGTCGGCGAGAAACCAGCCAGGGCGGCGGCACCCAGCACGTCCCGCCAGTTACGTAGGCCCCATCTGGCGAGCAGCTTCTCCCTGTTGGCCTCGAGTGAGGCGCTGGAACTTCTAGACCTTGCTGGTCGAGAACTTGCCCGCGAAGTGGCCCTCGAGGCCACCGATACTGAGCGCTGGCCCCTGCCAAGACTGTTGCTCCTGCTCCTGCCGCGGCCGGCCTCCCCCCCCGATTCTGCTCCCGAAGAGAAAGTCGGTATCTTCTTCCTATTCTCTCTTGCCAGCCTGATCAACATCTCCTGCTCTGTTTCCCCTTCCCGAGGGACATGCACCTTCCTGGGTCGGCCCCCCTTTCGCGACTTTGGCGGCACCTGAGACGCCTTCTCCTGCCAGCCCTCGGCGTCTGTCTCGTCCTCGTCACTAGCAGAGGACTCAGACATGTTACCAAGGCCAGCCATGCGCTGGTTGTGCAGGATCATGAGGGCGTCGTCAAACTGTGACATAATCCGACGCGTAGCCGGCCGCAGCAGCGCATACGACCGTTCGTCGTCGGCCGATACGACGGGTGTAAAAGTGGGCGACACAGCCCGCCGCTTGCGCCGGGGTGTCCTGCGCGGCTCGTCCGTCTCCTCGTCCTGGCCGGTCGTCTCCGCAATATCTTCCGCGTCCGTCTCACCCTCGGTAGTAGCGTCACCCGTCTCGATAGACGGCATCACCGGCTCTCCATCCACCCGCGAACCCTGCAAATCCCTCTCCCGAAACCGCTCCTTTGCATACCGCAAAATCGTCGCCGAGATCTCCTCCTCCAACTCACACCCCGCAAACCCCCGCCCCTGCTCCCGCCGCCGGAAGGTAAACGGCTCATTCACATCCGCCGTCCGCGGCAGCAGCCCATCCCCAGGCACCTCATCGGCCCGCATCGGCCACGCCGTCCACAACTTCCCCGGCTCCCACCCCTCATTCTCACCCCTCTCCTTGCCCCCACCACCAACACCCCCCTCCCCACCATCCCCACCATCATCACCATCACCACCACCCTGATTCTCCCCACCACCACCACCACCCCCCTCCCCATCATGACCATGACCCCGATCCTCAACATCCGGCCCCACCCTCAACCCCCGCCTCAGCGCGAAGGCATTGTACAAGTGCACGGCGAGGTCCTCCTTGCGCGCGTTCTCCAGCGCCAGCCAGGCGCGCCGGTCGCGCTCCGTCCAGGCCTGCCAGGTCGACGGGTGGCCGCGCCAGCGGTTGGGGCGCGTCTCGTGCAGGCGGTCCGAGTCCGAGTCGGAGGCCGAGGCCGAGTCGGGGTTGGTGTTGGGGTTGGTGGGGGGGTTGGTGTTGGTGGGGTTCGGGTAGGTGTTGGTGTTGGGTGCTGCAGCTGGGTTGGAGGCTAGGTCTAGGTCGGAGTCGAGGTCGGGTTCGGATTTTATGTGGGGGGGTGGTGGTGAGTGGGAAGGGCGGGTTGGGGTTGGGATCGGGGAGGTTGAGAAGAGTGGTGGTGGTGGTTGGTGCATGTCGAAGTTTGATGTTGATGTTCCCGCGGTTGTTTTGTTTTGTATTGTTTCGGTATCGGCGTGGGCTATGGCATTGAATGAATGGGGATGAAATCCGGGTTTAATGGAGTTGGATGTTAGATCGAATTAGTGAGACTGGAAAGGCAAGTTGGATAGAATGCGTAAAGCAGGACCGGTCCGTTTGTAAAATCATTTGTGGGGTAACCAAATCTCCTCTGCCTCGTCACTTTGTTTGGAATGTCAGTTGATAACTACCAAACCCAGAATGAGAATCATCGGATGAAGACGGACTGAAGAAATGAACGATATTGCACATGTGACTTGGTTGTTAAGAGCAAAAATGGACTTCACAACTGCAATTGTCAGTGCTTGCATTTGCCCCGTCTCGGCGCAATCAACCCCCCCTCCCGAGTTTAGCCCCCTGGAGTGAGTCAAGTTACCACGCACGTCGAGGTATATAACCCGACACCCAACCGAGCCGTTTCTACTTTCGGTACCACACCCGGACGATGTAGTTTGTATATTCCGTCCCTGACAGTCATGTGGCGAACACGGGAAGGCAGGTATAGAGGCGAAGGCTGCTCCCAACTTGGTCACTCAACTCCCTCCAACCTCTCCACCTAGTTCATACAGCACATTCCAACTACAGCTTCGTTGTTGTGGCGTAGTGTCTACACCCAATCTGGAACAGCGCAACATACCATCCCGACACAAGCATCGTCACCGCCGAGGAACACTTCGGTGGTATCATTATATTTACTCCAACCCAAAGGAAACACTACACCTTCTTCTCCTTCTCTAACCGCCTCCGCTTCTGCCGCAGTTTCAGGTCCTCGGCGCTCTTCTTGTTGTTCGTGTACTGCATCTGCTCAAACAACTTGCGCTTCTTCTTGCTGAGCATACCCTTGGCCCGCTCCAGGTCCTCGGCCTCAGCCTTCTTTTTCCTCTCCAGCGCCTTCTTGGCCTCCAGCTTCGCCTTGGTCTTGGCGTCCACCTTCTTGTCGCCCTTGACCGACTTGCCCGAGATCTCGGCCTCGAGCTCGCGCTGCCGCTGCAGCGTGGCCGACTCCTCCTCGTCCTCGGAGCCTTCCTCCTCTTCCGACCCGGAGACCCCGCCAAATTCCTCCTCGTCCTCCTCTTCCTCGTCTTCGTCCGAGGCAACGTCCATGTCGTTCTCGACCTCGGATTCCTCGCCCGCCTCCTCGTTGGCATCCTCCAGCTGGGCGTCGATGGCCTCGCCTTCCGATTGCTGCTCTTCCAGAGGGATGGTGGGGTCGTACTGCCCTTGCGTGGGCTTGACGAAGGGGCTGAGATGGGGCGGCAGCGCCGCGCCGGGGCCATAGACCTCGGGGCTCTTGAGCTCCTCGTCGTTGACGCTGTCCCACACCCACTGCGGCTGCACGTACACGCGCCCGGGGTACCGGTGGTTGGGCCCGACCTTCTGCGACGTCTGGTTGTCCTCGCCGTCGCCCTCCTCGCTCATGGCGGCCTGGACGACCGGCCTGTCGACGATCTGGTGTGTGATGGACGGGTCCGACTCGTCGGTTGTGAAGGAGCCCTCGCCGAGCACAGAATCCCAGCCTATCCTCTTGCACCCAAACGCGCGGAGGATGAATTCCAGAGACTGCCGCGGTGTTTCGCGGGACAGGAAGAAGGTGAGCCCGGAAAACAATTGCGCCGGGTCGCTGCTGCTGTACGACGGCTGGGGAAGAACATCGCCGCCGGGGGCGACAGGCTCGAACTTGTCAATGGCATCGCTAGGCTTCTCCTCGCCCTCGACATCGTCCGCAGAGCTCTCCTCAGCCGCCTTGTCGTCCGACTCGACCCTCAGCTGCTGCACAATCTTGTCCACCTCGGCCTGGACCTTGGGGTCGGGTCCGTGCTCCACCTCGCCACTCGTGATGGCCTTGGTGTCATCGTTCGTCGCAATGTTGACACCCTCCAGCGCAAAGGCGCCAAGCTCGGCACCCTGGTCGTCCTTGAGCTGGTCGAACTTGGGAGGGTACTTGAGACCGACGGCCGTGTACAGCCTGTAGTTGACAAATCCGAGCAGCGTCATATAAAACTCGACAAAGGTCCCCATGATGCGGAAGTCAATATCCCCGACAACCCTCTGGTTGAACTTGTACGGCACCAGCCACAGGATGTCCTCGCCCTGAATGTTGGCCTGGTAGTATATCCCCTTGATCGACAGGAACGATTTGCGGAGGCTGTGCGAGGTGATGAGGTAGTGCTCGAACTCGAGGCAAAGGCGCTCGCAGCGGGCGATCATCTTGGCCGGCACGGCACTCGTGGACGGGAGGTTGGCAAACAGGAAAAGCATCGACAGGCAGTCGTCCAGGTCGCGCAGGGCGTCGATGAAGGTTGGGTAGCGCTCGCGGATGACGTGGTTGAGCGTGTAGCGCGGCTTGCCCGTCTTGTCGGGGCGGGCGGCATTGCGCTCGAGCCGGGCGGCGTCGCCAACATCACCACGGCCGAGGGCGCGCGAGATCTTCTTCTCGAGAACTTTCTGGTCGCGGAACTTCTGCAGCAGCGGCTCGTGCAGGAGGTACTGGATGTCCTTGGTGTAGTAAAAGGTGGTCGAGGCTGTGGCCGACCTAGACACCTTCTTGCGGCTCCGAGGCTCGCGCGGGTAGATGCCCTTCCAGATGCATAGCTTACGGAAGTCGGGAAGGCTGAGTTGCAGCTTTTTGACCGCCTGCGTGCGCGTGATGTAGTTCTTGGCCTGGCCGGACTGGCCCTTCTTCTTGAGTTTTCCCATTGTGTCAATTGGTTTTGTTGATGGGCGGCGGAATCTGTCGCTCAACCCTCTGCAAGAAGATCTTCCTGGGTAGCGGGGCCATTCGCCAAACTTTTGGAATTTTTTATCCAGTAACTTTTTTATGCCCTTCTTCACCGCTCCGGCCGATAAGATGGCGCTTCGTCCCTGCCAAGACTGTGCTGCGGCCGTTCGCTTGTGGAGAGTCCCTGCCTGTTCCCCACTGATTCGCCGACACGACACGACTCCAACCCGCATCTCGAATTCGAATTTGGCCTCTTCACTTCCCATGTCCCGGTCATGGCGCATTGAACTATGGATGGCGCCAAGGTAACCCCGGGGCGGACGGCATGTCTGTATATTGGTGCAGCCGTCCTGCGCCTTGTCATTTTCACGCTTCTTCCCGGACTCCCGGATCTGCTGACCGGCCGCGTCGAGATCTCGACTCCTGTCACGAGCTTCAAGCGATGTAAGCCATCTATTCGCCTTCAACCTGCGCTTCTGTTCCAATACTGACCCCTTACAGTACAGGAAGGCCTCTTTTTATACAACCATAATGTCTCTCCCTACGACGGCGGTGTCTACCACCAGGCGCCACTCCTCCTTCCTCTCTTCTCGCTACTCCCGAGCATCACGCGCCTCCCGATCTTTACCTACCTCCTCTACATCGCCGTGGATTTATTAAGCGCCAGCGCGCTGTGGCGGATTGCAGACTCTGGTGAAGCGGGCTCGTCCGCTCTGTTTACCTCGCCGCGCCGGGAGAAGCGATGGAGCGGGCTGGTTATTGCTGCAGTGTATGCGCCCCCTCTCAACCCCTTTCCCGTTGCGTATCCTAACCTGGTTCAGTTTCCTCTTCAACCCCTTCACCGTGGCAACATGCCTCGGACGGTCAACTAGCGTATTTACAACCTGCGCCATTCTCCACGCCGTCGCCAAGGCCGTGTCGGGGGCGCCTTTCGGCGCCATGGTCGCCATCTCCTTCGCTAGCTACCTCTCCATGTACCCGCTGCTACTCCTCCCGCCGCTCGTCCTCCTATCCTATGACAGACAGCACTCCGGGCGGGCCATCAAATCTGCCCCCAAATTCGCCGCCATCTGCGCATCCACCGTCGCCGGCGTACTAGCAGCGCTCTTCCAGCTGTCGTACCTCGTCACCGGCTCGTGGGAGTTCCTGCCGTCGACCTACGGCGTGCAGCTGACGCTCTCGGACCTGACCCCCAACGTGGGGCTCTGGTGGTACTTCTTCATCGAGATGTTCGACTCGTTCCGCTCCTTCTTCCTCGCCGTCTTCTGGCTGCACCTGTCGAGCTACGTCGGCGGCCTGACGGTGCGCATCCGCCGCCAGCCGCTGGTCGCGCTCACCCTGATCCTCGGCATCTTTGCCATCTTCAAGCCGTATCCGAGCATCAGCGACGCCGCGCTGTTCCAGGCCATGGTGCCGCTGTACCGCCACGTGTTTCCGCTGATGCGGTACACCTTTGTCAGCACGGCCGTCATCATGTACGCGACCTGCCTCGGGCCGGCGTTTTACTATCTGTGGATCTACGCCGGCAGCGGAAACGCGAACTTCTTCTACGCCATCACGTTGGTGTGGAATTTGGGGCAAAGTCTGCTGGTGTGTGACTTGTTGTTTGCTGTGTTGAGGGATGAGTGGGAGGTGGAGAGGCCTGAGATGGTGGGCAAGGAAATTCGACAGATATAGAACGAGCTTCTGGAGCTCCAAGATGATCATTGACTGCCCTGCAACTGAGATTATAGAGAAGAAGTCTACATGATCCCCATAGAAGCGAGGGCACGGTCTAGATTCGACGTGAATACAGTCTGCGAATCTCCGTTACACCCCAGTAGTTGGTGCTATGGGCGGGAGGGCGTTGAGACGCCGGCGTTTTACACTATATTATTAGCCTCCGATATGCCAACCGTAGAGTTTGAAGTTGTCCCAATTCAAGTACTCTTCCCCCATTTCACAAGTTCCAGGGCACGGGACACCCCGAGACCCATTGTTATAGCAGTTTTGCGCCGTCAGTTTCCAACGAGGACCACCGCCCCGGGCAACTGAGCTTCCCCGCCTCCTGAACAAGTAGGCTGCGGGTTCGAGCCGTGGCCCGGGGCACCTTTCGAGCGAACGGATTGGGGTCCGCCACCCTTCACTTTAATACGGAGTAAACCCAACGGGGTTTCGTAGCCGGATACCTCCCTTCGGGTGGCTAGCCGGTGAGCTTTTGCCGCCGAGACTTTCATGGCTTGAAAGTTGTGGTTTTGTGCTGGTTCTTTGTGTTTATTTTGTCTCATGAAGTAAAAGACACCTCCAGGTCTCTTTACAAATAAATAGGAAGTTCAATTAGTGAATGATAAGAACGGATGTGAGCCTGTGGTTATCTAATTAGTAGGCCAGGGGTGATAACTGTCTTGTATAAGGAGTTAGTACTCTCTCAGCTAGAGGTGAGTGGCTAGGATTGAAAGCTATAAAATCACCCACATGACCCGGCCCTCCTCATTTCCTCTATTTAGTATCTTTGTTCTTGTTTGTAACATGTGGAGGACCTAGCACTTCGCTTCCTATCACTGCACCTTTCTCGAGCGGTTGATATGTTCAGCCAATGTAGTATTATCTCACAGCTTTGCTTGCCAAGTGCATGTACACATGTAAGCGTCTTGATTCTCCATTCACAGCTACCTTACCCTCTTGACCGAAATTCCGAGAGTAGAGCATCGAACACTATTACAGTCCTATATAATGGATAGCGGTTAGCCATGGCTTGTTAGTTTAGTGTAAGTTGCCCCCAGCCTTTCTTCTCGACGATCCAAATAACCATCGATGTCATGTTGTGCTGGTTGGAGTTTCTTCCTTGAACGATGCTATACTTACGACGGGCCCTCCATCGGAAACAGGAGAAGGTGTCGGTAACATCGACAAACTGTTTATATTCAGATACGATATAACAAGGGGTGTAGTCCACGAGAGCGACAATGTCTCTCACCACCTATGATACCTTAGTTAATGTTACTATGGCATTATGCAAGTTTACGATACACGCGAGAGATGCTATGGCAACCGGGCGTTGTGTTCCTAGAGAAGAGAGGGACAGATTTAGAGGACAGCCTAGTAAAAAAACAAAACCAGAGGCTTAGACACAGATAAGAGGGAGTAATTGTTGGGTACTCGTTGTGATAAAAATACCTATTACAAAACGGTATGCAACAAATAAGAGAAACTATACGGGGCCACAGTCAAATACACAATGGATCGGCCAATTTGGCTGGAATAAGGAATAGCTCTGGATTAATACTTCGGGCTGTCTGTTTCTAAGAGTGAGGAGATGTTGTTGCTGCAGGTTTGGTTGGACTTTCCAAATGGAGGTTGTAAGTGTTTCCCAGCCACAGGCCATCAGCCCAGTAGGGAGCCCCACCACACGGCATCATCACGTCTCACATCGCGATCAAAGCGGCCTTCTCTCCTTGCTTACAATTCTCGTCATAGAGCTCGTCAACGTCATGGCACCGATACGCCGCTACCTCAGGATCACCAAGTACTCGGTTCTCGAATGCCGCATCTACCTCGACAACCCCGCACTGGCGCAGTCTTGGCTGCTCAATCCGCGGGATCCCATCCTCCCCAAGGTCATTGAGAGCGTGCGGCCGCTGGTCTTACCGAAACTACGCGAGGAGCAGGAGCGCGAGCGAAGCAAGAAGAAAAGCAAGAAACGGAGCATCAAGGACGTGGTCGTCGAAGGTGGGTACGGCGCTACGCATTTTGGCTGACACACCGCTGTCGAGTCACCATTCCCCGGGCAATAACATATGCTGAGCAACCCCAGATGGCTTCGAGGTGTCGATCTTCCTGACCGAGACCGACACGCGGCACTCGCTGCTACACAAGAGGAAGCTGTTCCGTGACAAGATCCAGACAAGGCTCACCTCCAACTCGTCCAAGCTGATGGGCGCATCCCACGAGGAGCCCATCGACGTCGAGGGCCAGTTCCCGCAGGGAGATGACGTACCGACGATCCGCGAGGAGGACGACGACCAAGACGCCGTCAACTTGGCCGACATTCCCACGGCAGATGAAACAGCTGCAGACTCGGAACCCACCAATAGGAGGCCAAAACGACGACGCCCCCGTGAACAGGGGCAGGAACCGGAAAGAGGCTCCGAGGATGGGAGCGACGTGGAGGTGATCGATGATTCAGGCTCATCGGCCGATGAGCTGTTTGTGGGCGATGAAGAGAGCGACGAGAGCGATGCCGCGACTGGCCAGCGGCCACCCAAGCGCCGCAAGGAGAAGGCGGCCGCCGTGGGTGACACGGCAGAGCGGGACGACAAAAAGAAGATGGCCATGGATATCTCGTACGAGGGCTTCGCCATCTACGGGCGGGTGCTGTGCCTTGTGGTCAAGCGGCGCGGCGATGGCGCGGACAAAGGTGGTGGTTCAGCTGTCCCAGCTCGGACAAAAGACCAGACCGGCCGGCCTGGTGGCCAGGCCATGATGGAGAACTGGATCGCATCTACCCAGCTCCCTGAGGCGGCCGGGGAAGTAGATGCGCTATGAGGCGGCACCCAATTGCCGGTCGGTCGGCGCGGGGGCGGGAGATGGCCCGACGATTGCGATCGCGCCGCCGGTTGGCTTGTCCTTGCCGCTTGATGTCATTGAACAAGGAAACATCGCTTTTTTCGCCAGCTTGGGCTGCTGATGAGCTGAAGATACCCCGCAAACTTGTTTCACTTCCTCGCTTGCAGATGCCTCGTAGGAGATAGACATGTTGCGATCACCGTTTCTCAACCTGGAGTTGGCCAGACTCAGCCCCGCTCCCGCCAATCGCTATCGCGCCAGAGGCAGGTGAAACTCGCGATTATCATGATCGGGGATTTGTCAAATCGGCGATTTGAAAGCGTTGATGCTTTGTCTTAGCAATCCGGCTTGGGACGGAGGAGCTAAGCTGGGGTTTGTGCTGATGGATCGCGGGGCTCCGGATCCTGCCCAAGCTGTCCTGGGGCGAGCTCTCATACCAACCTCAAATGGCAAAGTGCGTCTTACACGTCCCAAGTACAGTACATCCATACGACGTAAACGGCGATCTTGGGCGCAAGAGGCCAAGAGCGTTCAGCCACAGCGCCGGAAAGATGTTGGGCCGGGAACGCGACTCCAAAACGGCCGAGCAAGAGGACGCTACCGCCAGGTACTCCCGTTCCTCTCTCCGAACCGTCCCGATTGTCGAATGGCCTCATCGACGGGCGGCTCGAGAGTTCCGTTGGCGTCAGCTGGGCTGCGATAAGCCCTCCCTCGGTTGCCGGTCGATGCACACCTCATTCGATATATCGGACGCCACGGCCGTGCATCAGACCATGCTGCCACGCGGCCGCCCGCCCAGACTTCTTGGGTGACTGATTGAGCAAACCTCCAGACAAAACCCCATCATTTGGGCGCATAGGGAGCCCATTTCCGGATGGCCAAGAATAGCATGCAGCGATCATCCGAATAACACAGGCAAGGCGTCTGTTAATGTACCGGGGTTGCAAGTTCGTCCGTGCCAAGTACAGTATGTCTATCCTTCTCTCCGGCCTCTCGGCCTGCGGATTCAACACGGGACGGCGGCTCCAAACCCCCAAACCCCCAAACTTGAGCCCCCACGCTACCAGGGCAATTGCAATTCTCTCGAAACACCGCCTTCGGCTGAATTGGGAGGGTAACGATGGTGTTTCGGTAGCGGCTCGGGGTTCCCTTTTTGGCTCCCACCACAGGAGGCTATCGACAAGCCAAGATACGACGCCGCGATGGCTCGGGCAAAGGGTCAAACGTCGACTCGCAACCGATTGCTCCGTCCGTGCGTCGCCATGACTTTCAGGGTGGCAGTGGGCCGCAGGAAATGCAGCAGCCCGTCCCTGCCTTTGCCCGAAATAGCGGAACGAGGGCGCATCCAGGGCCCAGGTTGGTCCCGTTTTCCGTGGTCGCGGCAGCGCCATCGTTTTCCAGCCTTCCAGCCTCTTCCAGCACCAAAGCACCACCACAACACGGCGGCCGAAACCTACAATTTCTTTGTCCCTGAGTGGCGCCCGCCCCCATTCCGACGCCGCCGCTGCGGCTGGGCGGGCGGGCGCGACGGCTGCTCTTCCGACGCGACAATTTGAGCCGCAAACGCCACTTAGGAGGTGGTGCATGATTCCAGACCCCTTTGCCCCTTTTTTTCCTCATCGGGGTTTGCCGTTTGCGACAGCCAAGCTGGCCTCTCATCAATCAACCAGTTCATCCGAACCGGGGCTGGGGTTCTTTTGTGCATGTGTGCGCGCGCGCGATCGGCCAGGGGCAACTCTGGTGCAACCTGCGCCATCCGCCATTTCCCACGTGGAAGCGCAGGGATGTAGCCACGCAGGCCAGCACGGCCAGTCAGCTGTGCGTGGGGACCTCGGCTTTTTCCCCCTGGTTTCAGGATTTTTAATCGTCCTTTCTCAGCCCGCCATTGGTGAGGATGCGGCATGGTCTGTTCGTTCGACAAGGCAGACCCCCGGACGATGGGCAGGACCCTGAGCTGAACGCCTGGAGAATGGTCGACGGCGTACGGGTAACGGCAGCTAACGTAGCAAATTTTCTTCCTTCTTTTCCGCGGTCTTCGGTGTTTGCCCTCGTGAGCATGCCGAGAGATGATCCACCCTCATCTCATTTGCGGTTGTGTCGTTTTTTTTTTCACGAGTTTTCCAAGGAAGCACGGTGTCCGAGGTGGACCTCCGGCGGACCCTGAGAACCGAATTGCCGGACAGAGACCCCCAATCCACGTTTTCTTCGATGTTCGGTTCGGATGAAGCAACTAAGATTTGGGATGACGACAGAGATCCGTTTTCTTTCGTTCTTCTCGGGCCAGCAGAGTGGACACGAGCGATAAGCATTGGTGGTGGGGATCTCCAGACTTCCCGTCCTGCACCGCCGAGCTGTGCCCGCTGACTGCAGGAGCGACTGACGCAACCGGATACGCCAGGCTGCACAGGATTGGGTGTCATGAAGTTTGGGTGCCCCAAAGAAGCCGTAAGGCTGGCAATCTTGCAGATGGGCGTCCCTGCCTGAGCCCGGCAGCGCGGTCATCAAATCATCTGCGAGCCGGAAAAGGAATCACGGACACCCTTCTCAGCTCCGTTGGGCATGGATGCGACCTGTCACATTCGGAATCAGGAAATGTTTGGTTGGGCTGACACGTGGAAAAGGACACCGCCTCCATTCCACTTGGCGGCTCGGAGATATTCTTGCTCGGCACAAACGGTCTCAACAAACATTTCACTCTGTGACATGCTTCATGCACTGACTGTGTCTCTCATACCCCGGCATCCCGGAGCCAAGAAAAGGGGTCCTCTGGAAATCGGAGCGAAGAACCGGCGGTGAGTGATGGGCGATGGCAGATGAGCAAACCCCATCGTGGAACAGGCTTCTGACCTTCTGGAAGGTTGGAAAAGCCGGGGGGATGCCTGCTACACCGAGGGGCCAACCACATTGCGCGGCGGCCACGCCGGACGGGAATGCTGGGTGCGACCCCCAAGCCAAGGCCGAGACAGGGACACAGGGTGGGTGGGATGGGACACATCCTCCCTTTGGCTGGGTGGTCCGTGTCAGATGACCGCTTTCTCTTACACCACCTCTGCCGGGCAAATGATCCTTGGCCCTCCGGGATAGATTAACAAACGACCTTCACCGCTCAGGAATGCGAGATGATTTCAAACCGTTGGACGGGGAGCATCCCAGGAGAATTGCCCCAGAGCGGGAAGAGAGAATTTTTTTCCCTCGTGGTGAACAGCATCTGATACCTGCCTCTTCCATGCAGGCCAGGGCTTTGCGTGTCGAGTTGGCGATGACGAACGACGGTTGCGGCTTGGGCGGGTCCGACGGACGACATTGGTTCCAAGCTGCCGGGTCTCGTCCGCACGGTCGTTGCTCCGTTCTGGTGTTGGCGACACTCGTTCGCGACCGTTTGCGTGCGTGCCTGAGTCCGTTTTGGGGGCCGGCGATGGACGAGCTGACCTCGGTGAGCTCTATCCCCGATATGCGATCGCGAGTCAGCGCAATAATCCCCGAATTCCGCCCGCGCACAGAGTTGCTGAGTGAGATTCGTCCCACCGAGCACGACGTCGTTCGTTATCGTCCGGCCGGCCTGGTCGAGCACACCATTTGGCGTCTGACTTCGGGGCCATACCGACTGCGCATTATTTTTTTTTCGTTTGCTGACGCACCTGATATCGCTCGCACTCACACACTCACGCACGCTGCGCGCGCATACCTTGCCTATACAGCGGGTAATTATGTTGCGTGGGCTGCGCCTTTTCGTGTTGTCACCCCGTGCGACGGTCGGTTGTCGGCTCTGTCTGCTGCAACCTCGACATGCGGCTTTGGCTGTGCCACCTTCAGCACCCGCCTCCGCCGCTGGCGTGCGAGCGGGAAACATGTTGTGTAAGTGCTGCCAAAAATACGGCGTTTCGGCTTGAGACGACATGTTTGAACAGCCGCTTCGCGGTTGCAGTCGAGATAGTATGTCGTTGTAGCATTATCACAGCGCCGTCGGTGTAGAAGCGCGGCAGTATCACGTTAAGCGCTGATGGTACGGCGGCTGGCTTTTGCCGTTAATCACTGCGCTGCCGCTGGCGCTGCCGCCGGCGCCTGGGCGTCTACGGGATATCCCGAGGCTGGAGCGAGACGCTGGACCTTGAGGGTATCAAGTTGAGGGCGTATCATGCGGACGCTGCGAGCGTCTCCGTTGCGGCCGCTGACTGTGAAGTTAATCTCACAGTAAGTGTTCTTTGTTACCTGACGTTTCCTTGGCTCGCTCACTAGCTCGGAAGGGACTCACACCTGCCAAATCCTCCGGGGTTCAAAACTCACCCTGCTTACACCTCCCACCCATCCTGCCTGATCACCGTTGCCCACATCCGACCCCGGCAGCTGGGAATGCCAGCACATCGGCGTGCGTCCTGCGTACATATGTGAGTCATGGTCGGGCAACGCTCCGGAAACGTGGGCAGCGAGCGGGGTTCACATCGCGGGTTTCCAAAAGAGGGAAGCTGCTGGGCTGGAAAACATGCCAGGCGCCCTGGGCGCTACTGCAGCTGCGGTAAGGCAACATTGAAACCCACGTTGTGTTGGTCACTCGCCGGCATGTCTTGTCAACCCTGCCCCCCCTAAGCGGATGCGAAGGGAAGGGAGGATGGCATTTCCTTCGTCACAGATCCCGTCGGATGACCGAAAAAGTGCGGGGAAAAGGATAGCCCTGCGTGCCCGATGCGTGGGGCCCAGGTCAGGTACCAAGGTCTGTTCGCGGGTGCACACCTTGGTGTCCAATCACGGCCGCGCTTCCCGAGCCTGTTCCTGGGCCAAGCCAGCCTTCACACCACCTTGCCCGGAGTTGTTGCGGCCTTGGAGGCGACCATCAAACAGCGCAGCGGTTTGCGCTGCACGTCGCTCCGCAGTCGCTGCCTGTTGATGTTGAGTAATAAACAAACGAAAAAACTGGAGATGCTGCATCTTCTGGAGCCGAAGCGGCTGTATGCCACTGTTCGGAGCAGCGTGAGACATGAGACAACTGGAGGGTAAGTTGCGCGCGGCTGCGCGAGCCGGGACGGTCGGCGTGGCCGGGTGAACAAGGAGAAAACGAAAAAGGAGGCATTTCCATTCTGGCGTGTCTGGTTCCGACCACAGCCCTGGAAACGCAGTCTTGGCGTACCCCAGATCATGGAGGACAATTGACGAAAAAAGAAAGAATGCATGTGGAGCTGCGGCGCCTCAACCACGCCGTGATTGGCTTCCCCAGGAAAGGCTCAGGAACGAACAAAGGGATGATGCGATTGCGACCAGGCTGTCTTGCGACGGACGCTCCTGGTCGTTGATCTGTCGTTCGGGGTGCCCCAAAATTGGGTGTCGCATTTGCTGCGTGATGTTCCAAGCCACGCTCACAGACGTGGCAGTTTTGCGTCCTCCCCGGACGGAGGATACGAGGGCCGAAGGCAGGGGGTTGCGAGGTTGTTTTTGTGAAAGGCCGCAGAAGTGGCCGGCTGACCACAAACGGACCTGTGTCGGCCGCTTCGCCAGATGGGTGCCTCCATCCCCTCCCCGATTCAACGCTGTCTCGGCGCAGTGGCCATTGTTTCTGAAACAGCGAGAGCGCAGTTTCCCCGGGAAAACTCAAATCGCAAATGGAACTCTTGGAAACATCTCCATGCTAACCTTCACAGACCGCCAGTATCGCCGGAAATTGTCAGTACCCCTGATGAAAATCTTTGGAATTGGCGGCCCCTGATGCATTGCTGTCAACATTGCCGAAAGCCCTGCGATGATCCACCCCTGGAAGCCCCAAGTGTAAATTTTGCTCGCACAAGTCTCTCACCGTTGAGAAATTTGTCAAAGTTGTTGAAATTGCCTGTGGGGTTCGCGGGCGCACACAAGGCTTCCCAACCCGAGTCCGTTTGGACGGAGGTCTCCACAGGCCAATTGCTACCTCGATTTGCATTGTCCACGATCGCCCTCAGCTCAGCTGTGAGGCGCTCATTTCGGACGCAACGGACGGTCCAGCTGCTCGCTGCAACCCCCGAACTCCGCATGACGGGCGCTTCCGTTTGCGCCGCCAGGCCAGTGTGCCCAGTCTGACGATGCAAGACCTGCCGAATGCGGGTTTGTATGCTGCCTGCGGAGATGCCCAACCCATTCGGCCGCCGGCCGCCTGGCTCACTGACATGAGATGAATGGAAGCCCCTCGGTTTGCCGGCGGTCCGGCGGCGGATCATGATGAGTCGACCAGGCGGCGACCAGGCAACCGGGCGGCCGTTTTGCTTCCGCGATGGAGTCTTGTCGACCGCTCTTTCGTTAAAATTCAAGGCGTCAAGTCGGCGTGGAGGCGCGCACATGTGGCATGAACGAAGTACTGTACCTGTCCGTCCTGTCGTGTCTCCCGACCGGGGCCAGGCGGTATTAACGACAGGGAGCTATCCCGGCTCTGATGCAGCGTTTCATTTCTTTGTGGTGGTCATCGAGAACCCGGCTCTCGCCAAGCAATGGCTGCGTCACCGCAACTTGGGGTTCCGCGGCGAGTCGAGGTACTTTTCAGGCACGGCTGCACGACTCGGGCTTGGCGGAATCTTCGGGCAGCATCGGGTGGGGACGTCCCTGGCTCCCAAAGTACCATGCGCTCCGTTTTCCGTACCGAGGACTTCGGCCTTCAGGAACCTGCGGTACCTGGCGCCCCACAAGTCCTGGCAGCCCTGTCAGTGAACTTGCTCCTTTCTCTGCTTGGCTTGGAAGAGTAATTTGAGAAGTTGTCGGGCATGGCGACATACATAAAAGCAGCCTCTGCCCTCTCACCCTTACCTCGTCCACACCTCTGAACCCATCGACAGTCGAACAACATCGCTCTTCAGAACAACACTACACGAGAACCTAGCTTTCTCTTAACGACTATCTACCTAATCACAACTGCTTCTCGGCTCTGACCTGTAAGCACCAACAACAACAACCAACCAACGACCAACATCAACGGCCTCGCCTCATAACACCCACCAACCGTCAAGCTGGCTTCCTCAATCAACAACCAGTCAACCTTCACCATGATGCCCTCTCAGAGACCGTCTCAACTCCCTCCCTGCCCCGGCCCGCCGCCGAGCAGGCCTCTGCCTCCTCTTCCCAAGAGGGGTTAAGGAAAGGGTCACCAACCAGTGCGACCCCCTTCGGGATTCGCCATGTCGCATGTTTCATCACTCGGTTACCAGGCTTCGCGCATCTCTTTCTGGGAGATCGCCGCGAGCCGCACGTTCTGATGTCTCCATGGTCGCGCACGCGGGGCTTGCTACACAACGCTCCCACTCTGCTGTCATCTGCATTGGTATCTGCATTGGTTTCGGACGCAGCATTCCTGAGCTGCACGCCATCGTACCTTTGCATGCCTCTAAGCCGCATATTTCGGGATGCAGCAACAGCCCCTCTCGACCAGCCTCAACTCCGGCCATTCACCCGCCCATACCCTCCACGCATGGCTTTTAGCCTCTGATTGGCCGACCCGGCAAGCAGCCCTCCGCCTCTCAACCACGCAGCATGCTGTGTTGCACACACATCTCGGCTGAGGTGGCTGGCGCCGCCACCACCTTCCCCTCCACCTGGCTGCATCATCGCGGGCCAGCCGTCGACATCACACCATCTCCTTGCGGATGCATCCCGAGAGCCGGCTCAGGGAGTCCTCGGCTTTCACCGCCTTCACCTTCAACCTTATCGGCGCAACGCACATGGGCGCATTCAACCCCCTTGTACCACCACCTGGGAATACGGACATTTAATCAACGGTCTTTTTGTTTTTCTCTGGCTTTTTTCCTATCTTGTTTGGGGCGACGACATCGATATCAAGTGTTACGACATTTCGGCACATCTGGGAATTAGAAAGGGATTGGTTCACTGTATCACTACGAGCATTTTTGGGCTACCGGCGTCATATGATACCACGTCGCCGATACCCCGCGGGGGGCAGAGTTATGAGGGCGACGAGTGAGGGGCGGCGGACGAAGGGGACGGGGATTTCGGATGAGGGCACGTTGGGCTCTCCTTTGCACCAGATTACATACCTGGCATTAGGCAATAATACCAACACGATAACTGATGATTTCAAAAACTGCTGCTTCACTCTCTCGAAATGCGACCGTGTGACCATGTCCATGTTGGATTGTGCTGGTGGATGAAACCATTCGTTAACGCTCATCTCAGATCATATGCTGCACGACACCCTGCTTTTTCCCTCTGTGGGCGGGGGTGGGTTGTCGCAATTGCAACCAGGTCCCGCCGGTGCTGCGACGCTGCCGGCGCGCTCTCGGCATACAGCGGTTACATCATGGCATTCGGGCTCCTGTGTCTGAGGCGGAAATGACTGACTGAGACCCCTACTGTACCTACATACATACACGGCAAAGACAGCCGAGAGGCCAGCACCCAGACGGCACAGCCGGGCGTGGCCCCTTGGCCAGCGCAACAGATCGAGCGCGGGAGATCAGCGCCTCTCCTGTCTTGATTGTGCGATGTTCAATGTCTGTAATGACGGGCTCGGGGATTTGGTGATCGCGGTCCACCTGGGTGAAACAGAAATCCGGTGTTGCCCGCCGTTCAATCGAGGCAGCCAGTGAGGGGAGCACGGCAGGCAGCGAGCTTCGGGCGACCGGGCTGTTGCTCTCGCCGCCCAGTCCGGTCGAAAAGCGACAGTGTTGGGCTTGGTCGCAAGCGATGCGCAGGAGACTGCCGCACCATCCGCTCGCTTCCCTCGCTATCGAGATCGAGCGGCGGCGTGTTTGAGACGGCACGGCGAGCCACGGGAGCAGCGGTGCCAAGCGGGCGAGACAGGGGGCTGCAAGGAACGATTGCTCCTTTGGGAATTGAGGTGTTTGTTGCTGTCAACAAGCGCCTCTCCCACCTCTCTCCCACATCTCCGCTCCGAGACCTGCGCAACGTCACTTGCCATCTCCTGTCGCGAACACAATTTGCGGGTCTGAAACGGCTCGCGGTGAACAGTGGGTAAGATAGGGGTTGAATGACGCAGGACTTTGGGGTTCATGCGACTCAGACATCGAGACGAGATCGCTCCACATGCGAAAGAACTCGAAATTAGAATTTTGTCGTGCCGAATCTCAGGACGGTGGAGTAACGTTCGTGGGGGGAAACTCGCGGCTGCGGGACGGAACTGGAGAAGGGCCCACTGAGCTCAATTTGGCATTCCCCGCTAGCAGCGGCGTTCTGGAAAATTTCCCGAGTCGGATTCTGGCTTGGGTGAAGGTTATCGGTTTTTTTCTCGACGCTTATCGCCACGTGAAGACGTGAACCCGCAAGAAACACGACCAGTTGTATCAGTGCATCGACTCGATCCCGCCCCAATCTAGGCCAAGCTTGATATTACAAGTAGGAGATTCTGCTCCGGCGTAGGTTGTCACCCACGCACGGCACTTGCAATTTACCCCAGTTACCTACGTCAGTTGTCATAGTTCGCCATGGTCCTCCAGCTCCATGTCTGGGGCCCGGCATTCGGCCTGCCGTCCATCGACGCCGAGTGTATCGCCGCCATCGCATACCTCGCCCAAACCGTTAGTCCGGCCGACTACCAGCTCATCCAGAGCAGCCCCTCGGCGGTTCCAACCCGTGCGTACCCCGAACCCAGCCCAGACCCACTCGTGCTCACCTCCCGCTAACCACGCACCCCACGTCAGAGCACCTCCCCGCCCTTTACAACCCCTCCAGCTCTACCTGGACAAGCGGCTTCTCCTCCATCACAACCCACCTCCTCGCCCACCCCCCCTCACCCCCCCAAAAACAAAAACAACCAACAACCCCCCACCCCCCCACCACTACCACCACCACCACACAAACAGCCGACAGCACCGCCTACACGGCCTTCCTAACCGCCCACGCCGCGCCCCTCCTCTCCCTATCCCTCTACGTCTCCTCCGCCAACTACAGCACCACGACCCGGCCGGCCTACAGCGCGCTCCTCCCGCTCCCGCTGCCCTGGACGGAACCCCCCGCTTTGCGCGCCGCCCACGCCCGCCGCGCGGCCCCCCTGGGCCTGTCGGCGCTCGACACCGACTCGGTGCGGGCGCGCGAGCGCGCCGAGAGGGACCGCCTGGCCGCGGAGGGTTGGGTTACTGTGCCGGAGGGGCTGCAAGAGAAGAAGGGGGTGGGGGCGGCGCTGAGTGCAGAGCAGAAGATGAGGATTCGGTTGGAGGGGGTTGCCGCGGGGGTGTTGGATGTGTTGGGGGAGGTGGAGTGGGAGGGGCAGGGGCTGGCGGTGAGGTGTCTTGCGTTTGGGTACTTGGTGTTGATGCTTGTGCCGGAGGTGCCGAGGCCGTGGTTGAGGGAGGTTATGGAGGGGAGGTATGGCGGGTTGTGTGAGTTTGTGAGGGGGTTTCGGGGGGAGGTGTTCCCTGAGGGGAGGATGCTGCCGTGGGTGGAGGAGGGGCAGGATGTGTCGGCGGTGGCGGTGGGGATGAGGTTTGTGAGGGGGGTGTTGGGAGAGGTGCCGTTGGTTGGGGAGTATTGGAGCCAGTGGTGGACGGCGAGGAAGAAGAGGGAGGTGTTGGCGAGTAGGGGTGCCAAGGTCGGGTCAAGCGGGGACCTGCTGCTGTTTCTCGGGGCCGGGCTGGGGCTGACGGCTATGGGTGCCGGTGCCTTCTTCTACCGCGGCCTGCCGCCGTTTGGTGAGGCCGTGCAGGTCTGGAGAAAACCGGTGGTGTCATTAAGCAGCTTTGGAGCGGCTGGCGCTATGTTTTCAGGGGCACTTTACGGAATCGATTAGGCGGACAAAAGGTTAGGTCTGGCGTTTGGAGTGATGACAGGCTGGGCTAAACATATTCCCCTCATGATGTACATGTATGTCCTTGCATTTACCGGTTGCATTTCGCGTGGTATCTCGGCCCGGGTAGTCCAGCTTTTATGCAGTTATGACTGAGTCGAAGCTATCCTCTTGATAACGGCTTTAAGATTAAGAGGCTGATTTGATCCATTAAATCCCCACGTTTGAAGTATCTGGAATTTTTAAGCTTTGTGATCCGGAGTGATTCCCGGTGGTGCACCTTGGCCGGGCCTGTGGACCCCTGCCGACCCGGGCCAAGCCGCAGCGACGTCGGGAGCTTGGGTCCACCGAACGCCGAGCCCGAAATTTATTTCGAGTTTCTCCGACTCCCTTCTCACGACCAGTCACTCCCCGCTATGACGTGACAGAGACCATGTCGAAGAGCTGGGCATCGACGCTACGGCTGCCCAAGTCGACATTTCCGTATGTTACTTGTTCCCGCTCGGTTACAATATTCTTTCGCTCACGCGTCGTAGACCACGTCCTCTCCAGCAGAACCGGGAGGAGTACATCCAACAATGCGCCGATGATCTCTACAAGTGGCAGGCGGCCAATCGCCCTGCCGAAGATGAATTTGTTTTGCACGATGGGCCGCCCTACGCCAATGGCAAATTGCACGCCGGGCATGCCCTAAACAAAATCCTCAAGGACATGATCCTACGCTTTAAGGTCCAGCAAGGTATGCAGCCGCCTCATCTCAGGAACCCCTCCCTCCCCACATCTACTAACGAATGCACACACCAGGCCGCCGCGTCTCGTACATACCCGGCTGGGACTGCCACGGCCTCCCGATCGAGCTCCAGGCGGTCGGCCCCAAGGCGGACGACCGCATGTCGGCGGGGGCCATCCGCAAGGCCGCGCGCAAGCTCGCCACCAAGACGGTCGCCAGCCAGATGAAGAGCTTCCGCACCTACGCCGTCATGGGCGACTGGGACGCCCACTGGACCACCATGGACATGGCCTACGAGATCCGCCAGCTGCGCCTGTTCCGCCAGATGGCCCGCCGCGGCCTGGTGTACCGCAAGTACAAGCCCGTCTACTGGTCGCCGTCGTCCGGCACCGCCCTCGCCGAGGCCGAGCTGGAGTACAATGACGCTCACGTGTCAACGGCGGCGTTCGTGCGCTTTCGGGTGGTCAGTGGTTATCACGAGATGCCGGGGTTGGAAGACATTTCGGGGAACTTGTATGCGGTGATATGGACGACGACGCCGTGGACGCTGCCTGCGAATCAGGCGATCGCGATTAATGAGGAGTTGCAGTACCATGTCGTGAGGGCCGGTGCAGACGCGTATTTGGTGGCGGAGAACTGCTTGGAGCGAGTCGCGAAGCTGTTAGGGGAGGAAACCCCCGAGTTCCTTGGCACGTTCAGCGGCAGCCAGCTAACGCAATTGCGGTACATCAACCGACTTCGTGGGGAGTCGGCCGAGGCTCAGCCATTCATGCACGGCTCGTTCGTAACGGACGGTTCGGGAAGTGGTCTTGTTCATTGCGCGCCAGGCCACGGGTTCGACGACTACTTGGCCTGCCGCTCTCTCGGGGTCACGGTCTCTGCGCCGGTGGACGATGGCGGTTTGTTCACCGAGGAGGCCTATCCTCCTGAGCCTGATCGTCTGAGGGGCATCTCGGTCCACGGCGGTGGCAATGAGGCTGTAATCGAGATCCTTGGAGACGATGTCATGGATGTCCACGACTACCAGCACAAGTACCCCTACGACTGGCGCACCAAGAAGCCTATCATCATCAGGGCCACAGCCCAGTGGTTTGCTGACGTCGATACCATCAAGGAAGATGCGCTGGGAGCAATCGACCAAGTGCAGTTTGTGCCCGAGAACGGAAAGAACAGGCTCGAGGCGTTCATCAAAGGCCGCAGCGAATGGTGCATCTCGAGACAACGTGCCTGGGGCGTGCCAATACCCGCATTGTACGAGCTGAATGGTGACGCCGTGATGAGCGACGAAGTTATCGACCACATAATCTCAGTCATTCAGGAGCGGGGGACAGATGCCTGGTGGACGGATGCCCCAGACGACCCGGCATGGATTCCCGAGTCGCTTCGGGGAAAAGGGGAGTACTCGCGTGGGCGAGATACCATGGATGTTTGGTTCGACAGCGGCACCAGTTGGACGATGATGGACAAGCAAGCTGACTTGTATCTCGAGGGCTCTGACCAGCACCGCGGCTGGTTCCAGTCAAGCCTGCTCACTCGCGTGGCTGCCACGGCCGACCACAGCGCAAAGTCTACGACCAATACACTCGGCCTGTCGCCCTTCAAGACCCTCATTACACACGGCTTTACCCTTGACAAGAAGGGAAAAAAGATGTCCAAATCGCTTGGCAACACTATCTCGGCCGACGAGGTCATGAACGGCTCGCTCGTCCCGCCCCTCAAATTCAAAAAGCAAAAACCCAATTCACCTCCCATCAAGGAAGCTCTCGGGCCCGACGCCCTCCGGCTCTGGGTCGCCGGCAGCGATTACACGCGCGACATCGTCCTCGGCGAGACCGTGCTCCAGTCAGTGCACCAAGCGCTGCTCAAGTACCGCACCACCATCAAGATGCTCACAGGGTCGATGCACCGTTCGGCACGCACCGCGCCGCTCACGGCCGTCGACCAGATCGCGCTCCTCCAGCTGCGCGACGTCATGGCCGAGGCGGGCCGGCACTACGACGCGCACGAGTTCAACAAGGCCGTCGGCGCCCTCAACCGCTGGATCACCAACGACCTGTCGGCCTTCTACCTCGAGGCCCTCAAGGACCGCCTCTACTGCGCCGACGGCGGCGGCGTCCTCGAGCCCCTCTTCCTCGGCCTCCTGCGCATGCTCGCCCCCGTCACCCCCGTCCTGGTCGAGGAGGCCTGGGCCCACCGCCCGCAGTGGCTAAGGGAGGACGAATCGGTCGTGCATCCGCTGCGTCAGCTCTATGATGCGCCGCTCGTGGAGGAGAGTCGGCTTACCCTTGCCGAGGCGGAGCTGAGGGAGGCCGTGCCGGTGCTGATGCGGACGCACGCCGCGATCAAGGCGGCGGCGGAGCCGGCTAGGGGCGATAAGGTACTCGGCTCGTCGCTGCAGTGTGATGTGGTGCTGGAGGTGCCCGAGGGGAAGGCACTGCAGACCCTCGAGAGGTTCCAAGAGGAGTTGGAGGCCATGTTTGTGGTGTCGTCCGTCGAGCTTAATGGGTCGGTCCCAGAGGATGCGCAGTGGAAGTACTGTGAGGAGTTTGAGCTGGGCGGGGAAAAGTGCAAGGCGTGGGTGCTCCCGCCCAAGCAGGCCAAGTGCCCGCGGTGCTGGAGGTATGTTGCGCCCAAGGAGGATGAGCTGTGCGGGAGATGTGAGGACGTTGTGGGCGAGGCTGTAGAGTAGGTGTATTATATGTGAAACATAGAGGCATATAGATGCACTAGACGGTTGCAATGAAGACTATATCCTGTATCATCATCACAATCGGGAATATCCCAGTTTCTCATGCTCAGCCGTGGTCATCAAAGGGGAAGGGGTATGTTACAGGATACGGTTATTACCACCGCAATACCAGACCCACCGATAAGAATCCCAGCTGTTGTGGGGCAGAACTTTTCTTATCGAGTTCGCGGCGCCCAAAATTTATCTTCAGATTGATCCAAGAAGACGCAAACGTTCAATTGCGCGTGGTACTCCAATTGCTCCGCCATGGACATTCTCAAAGTACTATCTCGCGGCATCAAGCCCAACCCAAAAAACAAAGCCCAAACCGCGGGTGCCACGACCCAGCTCCCATCGGCCGGCGCCCTTCCCCGCCCGCAGCTCTTTCACGACCCCATCAGCTCCCGCGGCAAGAAGAGGAAAAGAAGACGGGGTGCCCAGGATGACGAGCCGGATGAAGACGAGGAAGAGCTCAGCGATGTCGATTACTTCGCCCCGAAAAAGCCCGCCCCGGAAGCTGCACCGACCGACGTCGAGGAGACACCCAAGAAGCGCAAGATCAAGCTCCTAGACGAGGACGAGTGTCGTCAGATCCTGCGCTCGCACCGTCTCAAATTCATGATTCTATCAAGCCAACCCCAAGCTGAGGTGAATCTGGAGGAGGAAGAGCCAGCGTCAAAGAAGAAGAGCAGCAAGAAAAAAAAGAAGGAGCCCGAGAGCAAGGGCGAGAAGGACAAGAAGGACGAGCACAAGAAGCAGATCTTCCCGCAACCACTTGCCTCGTTTGGCGAGCTCCGGCATACATACGACGTGTCCCAGCAGCTGGCAGCGAATATTGCCGCGCAGGGGTTCCGTGTGCCGACCGAGGTTCAGATGGCCAGTCTGCCCCTGCTACTGCGGCCAGCCACGGCGCTGAAGAAGTCTGGGGGCGCGGATATTCCCAACATCGACAACGGGGCGGACTTCCTCGCTGTTGCCCCCACGGGTAGCGGCAAGACCATTACATTTCTCATTCCGGCTATCGACGGCGTGCTAAGGCGGCGTGCGGAGGAGGGGAGGGAGAACGACCAGCACGTGCTGGAAGCGGTTGTTGTTGCACCGACGAGGGAGCTGGCGAGCCAGATTGTGAATGAGGGGCGGAAGTTGGCTATTGGGACCGGCGTGAGGGTGGTGCTGATGAAGCGGGCGCTAAGGCTAGCTACGGAGGAGGTAGAGGACGAGAAGAGCAAGGATGAGGAGGAAGGCAGTGGGGGTGAGCAGGAGAGCGATGAGGAGAGCGAGGAAGAGTCAGAAGGAGAGGAGGGCAAAACCAGCAAAGAAGCCAAGCCTCTGGCAAGGGTCGATATCCTCGTGACGACGCCCAAGATCTTGCTCAATTTTCTGTCTGGGAAATCCGGTGCCCGCAGAATCCTACCCTCAGTCAGGTCCCTCATTCTGGACGAGGCCGACGTCCTGCTCGACCCTCTCTTCCGCAAACAAACCATGGCTATCTGGCGCGCCTGCACCCACCCCAACGTCAGCCTGACCTGCTGGTCCGCCACTATGGCCTCCAACGTCGAGGCCCTCGTCACCAAGCACCTCTCCAAGCGCGCCAAGAAGACCGACAGCCCACCGCGCCCGCTCATCCGGCTCGTCGTCGGCCTCAAAGACACGGCCGTCCCCAACGTCACCCACAAACTCACCTACACCGCCACCGAGCCGGGCAAGCTCCTCGCCCTGCGCCAGCTCCTGCACCCAGTCTCGTCACCCGACTCAGGCCCGCCGCTCCGACCACCATTCCTCGTCTTCACGCAGACAATCGAGCGGGCGCAGTCACTCCACGACGAGCTCAAGTACGACATCCCCCTCGAAGCGGGCGGCTCAGCACGAGTAGCCGTACTCCACTCCTCCATGGCCGACTCAGCCCGGTCCAAGATCATGGCGCGGTTCCGCGCGGGCGAGGTGTGGGTGCTCGTAACCACCGACGTGCTCGCGCGCGGCGTCGACTTCGCCGGCGTCAACGGGGTCGTCAACTACGACGTGCCCACCTCGGCGGCCGCCTACGTGCACCGCGCAGGCCGCACGGGGCGCGCGGGCCGCGAGGGCGGCGTCGCCGTCACCTTCTACACCAAGGACGACATCCCCTTCGTCAAGAGCGTCGCCAACGTCATCGCCGCGAGCGAGAAGCAGGCTGGGAAGGCCGGTGCTGAGGGTGCGGCCGTGCAGAAGTGGCTGCTGGATGCGCTGCCCAAGGTCGCCAAGGAGGATAAGCGCAAGCTGAAGGTGCGTGGCGTCGAGTCGCGGCGCACGGGTGGTAAGGCGACGATCACGACGAAGAGCTCGTGGGAGCGGCGGAGGGAGCATAATCGCGCGCAGGCGGTTGAGGCGAGTAAACGGCGGAAGAGGCAGCGGCGGGAGGAGGGGCCGGAGGAGTCGGCCGGTGCGGTGCCCGAGGGTGAGTGGGGAGGGTTGGAGGATTGATTGATTGATGGATTGCTTGATACCCGCGCGTGTATTCGGAACAGGGAGAGTAGGAGGTGGAGAGGGTGGATGTTACGGTGTCTATGAGATAGGTGTATTACAAAGCACTACAAAACACTACAAGACGCTACGACAGTCACAGGCCCAAGGCCAAGCAATCGCTCTCTTTGAAAGGAAGGAAGAACCTCGCCCACCCCAAATCAACCCCAGATATCACATACAGTCCCTAGTGGCAAACCTCCCCCGGCGAGTCTATCAATACCCCGCCGGCCGATACATCCACCTCGCCGGATCAAACAGCACCTCAAACCCGGTCTGCCCGCACGTCCCCACGGCACAGCTGAGGTCATGATACCCCTCGAGCCCCGTAACGGGCAAGTCCTCCTCGGCATCCGTCTCCTCGTGCAGGTTCCAGCGCCCGACCTCCTGCCCACCACGCGTGAAGAAGACCTCGGTGTCGATCCGGCCACCGACGTCGCGGAAGGTCATGCCCACGCCGAGGCGGTCGCCGCGGGCAAAGGGCGCGGTGAAGGCCTTGCCGCCCCAGCGGTCGTTGATAAACTTGTGGCCGTCGTCGCCGTGCACGGCCAGCGAGCCGCGGTGCCAGCCGGGCATGCGGAAGGAGGGGTACGGCAGCGCCGTGAAGCCCATGGCCACTTGGATCTCCCGGGACGGGTTGGCGTGCGTGAGTTGCACTTCGTAGTAGATGGTCTTGCTGCGGGTGGGGTTGGTGGGTGCGAGTGGGGAGTGCAGCGTGACGGTGTAGAGGGGAGGGTAGGCGATGATGCTGTGTGTGGGTTTGTTAGTTGATGGTTGATGATAAGGGGGGTAAGGTGTGGAGGTGCTTACGTGGAGTCGGCTGCGCTCGAGTCGGTGCTCCCCTGCCAGACACCCGGCGCGACACAGGCGAGGATGCCACGGTACAGGTCGGGTTGCATCATGCGCGGGTTGTGCGTGTTGAGCGCGTTGACGGCCGGGCCATCCAGGCTGATGGGCGCGGTCAGCGGGTGCTGGGCACACCATTGCTCGCCGGCCTCGGCCTCGGCTTCGGTGGCGTTGTTGGCGGGGGAGCGGTCAAAGCCGGAGAAGAAGCTGGGCGGCGGCGGGAAGAGCGATGTATCCGGCACGACGGCCTCCCTGGGGATTGTTAGTAGTGGACAGTAGAGGCGAAGAGGAGAGAGATGCTTACCAGTCATGCTTCGGCTTGTCAGCTGGCGGCGGGCCGGGTGGTGGCGCCATGTAACTCATGTCGTTGTGACCCGGCGGTGGGCCAGGCGGTGGTGCCATATAGCTCATGTTGTGAGACGGGGGAGGGCCGGGGGGAGGGGCAAAGTCCTGCCCAGCCGGGGCTCCGTGGCCGGGAGGTGGTCCGGGAGGGGGGGCAAAGTCGTCACCGCCTGTTTGCCCACGGAAAGGGGGTGGTCCCGGAGGAGGAGCGAAGTCGTCCCCGGGTCTGGTGGAAGTAACCAGGGGAGGTCCAGGTGGTGGAGCAAAGTCATCAACCGGAGGTCTCTGTGACAGGGGAGGTCCAGGAGGGGGAGCGAAATCATCGCCAGGCATCGCGGGTCTTGGACCCGGCGGAGGACCCGGAGGGGCAGCAAAGTCGTCCCCTGGCCTCGGGCCTGGAGGCGGGCCCGGCGGCGGAGCAAAGTCGTCAACCCCCGAGATCCCCGGAGGTCTTTGGGATGGAGGGGGGCCGGCAGGAGGAGCATACTCGTGACTCGGCGCCTGCTGAAACTGCGGTTGTTGCTGCTGCTGCTGCTGCTGGAGGTACTGGGGAGGCAGACTCGCCCTCTTCTGGCCGCCATGCAGTTGCTGGGTCTGGGCGGGTCGAGGTGCCTCGGCCTCGCCGGCGTCATTCTTGCTACCGAAACACATGTTTGCTGTAATTATGTGGCGATGTGTCGTTTAGCTGGGAAGTGCGGTGGGGGAAAGGGAACACAATCCCCTCAGCAAAATATGTAGTATCGCAGTTCCGGTCTGCTCTTTCTTGACAAGTCTAAGCCACAGTCAGATCCCACTCATCAAAGGCGGGCTGGGAACGTGTTTGTCGTCGGTAATGCAGCCAACCGGTCGCGGGAAGGTGCTTTGATCCAACTAACCAGATTATGTGGATGGCCTTTCAATTGACCGATTCCGTATACAACACGGCGCGTTGAATGCCCGTAGTCGAATACGCTCTCACGCGGGAGTTATTGCCCAGTCCCAAAGGAGAGAGCTTGGGGTGCTCGGATGGTGCTGATTTGATGGTTGAATGCAGCGAGTGACCGCCCCAAGAATGGCTGTGCTTGCGCCAAGAAGGTGCTCCCACTGGAAAGGCATGTACCCCCACAGTGTTAATACACCCGCTAACGGGCGGCCTCTTTGAGCCGGCACCGCCTGGAGGATGACGCCTCCATTTCAGCAGGTGGCCCCGGCCGCATCCCGAGGGAAGCTCACGAAGATGCAGTATAGTTTATATGCATGTTCTAGAACGATGGTTGGATAACTTTTCACCCTCCAACATGAGAATCACGATACAAAAATATAAATTTAGTGGGAAGATCCCTTTTATGATTGACCAGCTAGTGGTTTTAGTGCTCCAGCTAGCTCATGGATACCTACATATGCTATGCTGGGTGTCCCGGATGTTCTGCAACCGGCGACTCCTCCATCCCAAGGGTCTTTGATCCCAGTCTCACAACCAGAGCTTCCTTGTGGCTTAAGCACCCCAGGCGGATGCCTCTTCAGGTCTGGGGTAAAAGAAAGCCACGACGGCGATAATGACATAAGTCGACATCAATAACGCGCCCTCCAGGTAATTACTCCTGCCGTCGAGCACTAGGAAGTTGGTGATGAAGGCCGAGACAAACAGGCAGACCGTCTCGAATAGCGTAAAGTAGAGTGTCATCTCACGATCCAAGCCCCACCCGATGATGACAACCAGTGGCGTAATGAAGAGGGCGATCTGGATGGAGCTGCCGACAGCGACGCCGATAGCGAGATCCATCTTGTTCTTCATGGCCACCGTGATGGCTGTGACGTGCTCGGCCGCGTTGCCCACGATGGGCAGGATGATGAGGCCAATGAAGATTTCGCTGACGTTGCTCGTCTCGACGAGCCCGTTGATCGAGTCCACCATGAACTCGGCGCACACGGCGACCAGGGCGGTCGAGACGAGGAGCAGAATGACGGCCGCAGTGCGCGACAGTTGACCAACATTTTCCATCTCGGCAAGGGCTACCGTAGGTGGGTGAGCTAGCGGGATCTGCGAGGGCATCATAGCGCCGGGGGGACGGTAGTGTTGGCTTAGCCGGTCCGGGAGCGAGTTTGTCCTGCGGATGCCGTAGCGCACGCGGGGAATCGGGCCGGCAAGGGCGTTCGGCGCGTTGGCATCTTGGGACTGGGTGAAGACGGTCGGTGCCAGACTGTTGACGACAGGCCGGAAAGACATGCTACGCAGGCCTTGAAGGGGGCTGCGAGTCCGTGGTTCCCCAGTCGAGTTTTGGTGATCGATCGTGTCGGTAGCGAACTCGACTCTCTGAGCTTCACCGCCCGAAGGTTCAGCCTCGGTGTTCTCCTCGACCACGGCTTCGGGGGAGTGTTTGCGCTTGCGGTGCTTCCGTCTCGGCAGTCGACGGCGGTGGCGCTTCCCATGACGATGGGACTTGTCTTCTTCCATCTCATCGCTTCCGCCGCCGCTCGGCTTCTGATGAAGAATGGGCGGGCGAGACGAGGATTCTTCCGACTTAGGATCGTCTGTCGGGGGTGTACGGGCAAAAACGGGACTAAGCTCGCCGGTATCCGACGAGACTACACTGGACCTCCGGCGGCGACGCATAACCCGTCTCATCCGCTTCGACATAGTGTTTCGGGAGTGTTCCGAGTCTGACGAATCCGAATCGCTGGAGGAGCTGCTGTCGGAGCTCGAGGAGTCGAGCCAGTTGGCCGCAGGGCCGGGCGTTGCCTCCTCATCGATGATGTGCTGGGGCGTCGACTCGTAGAGGTACGAGTGCGAGATCAGCTGGAAGAGCAGGTACACAATGTACACCAGCAAGAGAATCTGCTTCACGTCAGCTTCCGCCCGTTGTAATTAGGGGCAAGTCTACTCACCACGCTAGTTCCGCGGCTAACCCTTAGAGACTGTCTATCGGCAAGGTTGATGTCACTGAACGAAGCGTGGAAAGCGGTCTGGACAGGTTAGCGTGGTGGCCCAATGGCTCTAGATTTCGACGCACCGGCAGGACGAGGCTGACGACGCTCAGGCTCAGCAGACAGGCGCTCATCTGAGTCACGGTGCTATTGTAGATCTAACACGGTCAGTATACATCCGGCCAAAGAGAAACGGCCAGACACCGACCTGTTCGCGGTAACGCAAGCCTCCGAGAAAAAACGACATGCCCAAGATCAGCAGCAAGTTGGCCAGGATAGAGCCAAGGAGCGAGGCCTGGACGATGCGGATTTGGTCCTTGACGAGTGCAATGCTGTTAAATCAGTAGTCAGTAGCGGTCCGTGGCACCGTCTAAATGCGAGAGAAGTGCTGGCGGGATGGGTGGTGCTTGCAGCAACGTACATGCTGCAGACTGTTAGCTTGAGATGCATACGTGGTCCGGACGGCGGCCAGCTTACAAGATAATCAGCTCTACAGCGTTACCAAACGTGACATTCAGCAGAGCACCAAGTGAGTCTCCAAGTCTATGGGCCACCGACTCGGTAGCGAAGCTCAGAAGGCCGGCCAGCGGGATGATGGCGACGGCGTTCATGGCGAAGATGACAGCCGGGGACATGCTGTGGATCTGGGCGACGGCGATGCCGACCGGCACAAAGACGAGGAGCACGTTGATCTTGGAAGAGAGCACGATCGCCTTGGTGGTGTACCAGAACCGCTGCATGACGGGCTTCTTTTCTTTTTTGTTGACATCCTGCTTCTCATCGTCCCCTAAGACAAACCCCGATTGTGCAGCCGGCGATGTATTGATGGCGTGGCCACTACTACTACTGTCCGGGTCAGTAGCCGGTGCCGGTTGAGCAGATTCGAGTCCGGGGCCGCCGCCACCGGGAGTGCCGTTGGGCGAGGACGAAGCTGGGTTGCCATTGCTGGATTTGGAGGGTTCCAGGTTGTGTGAACCACCCTTTACGGGAACCGGGTTGGAGTCTGGTCTTCTCGGCGAGCGATGAATGTCGCCATGCGATTTGGTCTGCTGCTTGGAAGCTTCCTTCATCGAATTGGGTGTTGTTCGGGCAAGTCTCGACGCGATGGTCGTGAAGCAGATGGCGGCCAGATGGACTGATCCCTGGGTGTGTAATGTGAGAGGGGGAGGGCAGGAACCGTTGCGCTGTGGCGGATGCTTTATACGCAGGATGGCTCGGATGGGAAGCTGCCAAACAGTGGCCTATCCCTGCCGGGGCGCAGTGAAGGCAAGTGTCTCGTTCCGTTTTGGGCACTGACTGGGGCGCCCCACAAAGTATGCTGTGGAAACCGGGAGACACCCCAAACCTGCCCCAATCGGCAACTCCACAAACATCAGAGAGAGAAGCAAGCGTTGGTTGCCCGTGGTTGCTCAAGGGGCACCCTCTAATTCTGTTAATTTTATGGCCCATCTGCTCATTCACGGCATAAAGCACTTGAGGATACAAGTGTAGAGGAGCTCAAGTCTGAAGATTAAGATACCAAGCCGCCCAGGCATCGCCAAGGAGCCACACAAAAGCTTCTTCGAACTTGGCCTTTCCTCAACGGCAATGCCAAGCCTAAACCACAGAAGCTTGGGAAACCTCGGAAACGAGATCTCACCCCGAGCAGTCATCAGCGCAGTGATGGTGTGGGTCTGTAAGACACTTAATCACTCAATGCAACACTTGGGCAACAAGCAGAGGAAGACTGCCTCTTGTCATGCAGCTCTGTCACAAACAGAACACATCTTGTATCGGCAGGTGGGGAGGGTGCTCCATGCAATGTGACGTCACGGCGATCGTGAATCATCCGATCTCGAGCCACAACTGACCGAAGTCCACAACGGCTGCGCCACTATACTACCATTCACAAGCATCAAACCAGCTTTGTTTCATGATGAGTTGTGGCTAGGGAGGAACACTGTACGCAAGAAAACCCCCGGGGGGTCCCTATGGCAGTCCGAGAAGCCCGCCTCATAAGAAAATAGAAGAACGTAAAACCCAAAAGCCAGGTATAGAATAAAGTTGTGAATTTTGTTCACACGTCATACGTTTCTCGTTGTGGTACTTTCTCATTCTCCGAACAGCCAGGCGATTTTAATTTCCTATCGTTGTGGTTGAGGGTTGGGTGATAGGCCTAGCCCGAGACTCTTTGCTGTTGCCACACTAAGTACATCGTTGACTCGTGTTCCAGACTATACCGTTATGAGAAACTTGAATGACTTTCTATCAAGTATCTTAGTTCATACATCCTGAGATGTCCTATCTCGACTCTTTTACCCCCCTGGTTTCGAACTCAAAGAAAAATACCGGGTAACCAGCGCCAGCTCAAGAAAAGTAACCAAACCCCTTGGGACCAACGACCGATCAGGGAAGAACCCCGTGTCCATATCCATCACTCATATCTCCATCAAATCATGTCAGCCACCCAACCGTATATCTCATATCATGAAACGCCAAAAGAACCCCACCATCTTCTCATATCATACCCAAAAACCCAGCTGTGTCAAACACGCTCACATCCCTCATCCACTCTTCCTCAAACTCAACAACCTCTTGATCCCCGCCTTCTTCGGCTCCCCTACCCCTACCACACCCCCTCCAATACCCCCCTCCACCTCCCCACCCCTCTCACCCACACCAACCCCCTTCTCAAACCCGACACCCGGACGATCCCCCGGCGGCGCCAACCCCATATTCCCCACCCCCCTCTGCTGCGCACCAGCACCAGCACCAGCACCAGCACCAGAAACCCCCTCACCCTCCTCACTCTCCCCCTCCCCCTCCCCATCCTCTTCACCCTCCCCCTCATACTCATACCACAACCGCGGCACCACCAACCGATACGGCACCGTGCTCCCGCCGGGATCCTTGGGACTGATCTCCACGTTGAGCGTGACCTCCATGGCACCCGTGAGGTCGACGGCATAGTCCTCGGGCCGGAACGTCTTGCGCTGCTTGACCGACAGCGTGGTGGGGGCGCGGTGGAACGGTTTCGGCACGAAGCCCGCCTCCTCTCCCACACCGGCGGCACCGGCACCCTGTTGCTGGCCCTGGCCCTGCTGCTGCGGCTGCTGCGGGCCGACGCCTGCGCCGCCCGTCATGACCGGTTTGGGCGGGACGGGCGGGCGGTAGTCGTCCGAGTAGCCGCCGCTGGAGGGGGCCGGCGGGGCCGGCTTGACGGTGAAGAACCCTTCGTCGCCCTGGTCGTACTCGCTGTTGTATCCGCCGCCGCCGCCGCTTGTCTGGGTGGTGTGGGCGTACTCGCCGCCTAGGCCGCCGCGCATCCCGACGCCGCCACGGGGATGGTCGAACTGCTGCTGCTGCTGGTACTGGGCTTCCTCCTCGTCCGTGTCCGCGCCCCACGTGCCGTTGATCCCGCCGTCGTCGCGCCTGCTGGCGCTGCTGCCGCGGCGGAAGAGCCCGCCGATGCGGCTCGACACGGAGGATGATGACATGGTGCGGGTGAGGAAGCCTGGCTTGGGCGGGCCGGGCTTGCCGAGGTCGTCGGCGCTGGCGGCGACGGCGCGGCGGGAGAGCGACTTCAGCAGACCGCCCGATACGGGAGGGCGGGACCTGTCCTTGGGACCGCCGTCGGGACCGGTGGTTTTGGACCTGGAAATGGAGAGGCGGCGGAAGATGCTGCTTCTCCGCTTGCGGACCTCTCCGGACTGCGAGGTGATGTCGTAGGCCGACCCACCAGGTGTCGGCGGGGGCGTGTGGCCGGGCACGTACTGGCGGATGGCGCACCAGTTGCGGTGCGGGAGGAGATGCTTGTTGTTGCGCGGCTTGCCGTCGACGCCGTGACCGAAAATGGGAATCATGTCCTCGTCCGTTTCCTTGTCGAAGTGGTGCACCTTATTGCGCTTGTTCAGCACGTCCGCGAGCAGGTCCGGTGGCGGCGTGTTGACGATGGCAGAGGAGATGATGTTGGGAATGTAGCGGAAGTCCTTGTGCTTGGCTAGGCCGAGCTTGGGGTTCGAGTAGAACTGCCCGATTGCCGCCAGGTGGACGTCACCACTAGACAAGTCAGTAAACCAACCACTTGCATTGGAATCTCCAACACTCACCTCAAGATTGAAACGCGCATCGACTTGTCCGCGGCCAAATCCTGCAAGTCTTCAATCACGAGGGCGCGCTCCTGCTTGTGGTTCTTGGCCGTCCAGTGGTCATCGAGGTCGTCGAGGACCTCGACGCCGCCGTCGAAGCGGTTGAGCAGGCCTCCGAACATGCCCAGCTTGGCGAGCGCCTTGACAGGGTCCATGACGCGGGAAGTCAAGCTAAGGACGCTAGTCAGCACGATTCTCGAGCACCTTTGTTACGAAACAACTCACATGTTCTCCAGCCACACCAGCCTAGGATACGCGATGGGCACGCCCATCACCACCAGCAAATGCTCGATCTTCCCCTTGTCGATCTCCCCATAGCACCGGTCCATAATCTTCTTCCACGTATCCTCGCGCATCACCTCCTCGCGCGTCCGCTCGGTCCGCGAATCGACCACCAGCAGCGCGACCTTGCCACCCAAGAACATGAACAAGCTGCGGCTGAGTTCGGTGATGTACGGCCCCGGGCGCGTGCCGAGGATCCAGCTCGGCTCCGTCTTCTCCGTCTCGGCCATGACGCTCTGGTGCTGGAAGAGCATGTAGTACTTGAAGGCGACGTTGCCGAGCCCCGAGAAGACGGGCGAGTTCATGAAGTGGTGGGGGTACGAGCCGAACCCGTCGATGATGTCGTGGTCGTCGTACATGTTGACCATGGGGATCTGCGAGTTGGCCATGCCGAAGAGGCCCTGCGAGAACCACATGGCGTAGCGTTCGAGGTAGAATTCCTCGAGCTCGCTCTGCATCTCCGGCGTGAAGGGCGCGTTGTGCTTGTGCAGCGGGTTCTTGGTCATCAGCCAGTCCTTGAAGATGGTGGTCTCCTGCATGCACCGGTCGTTGTAGATCTGGTCGCCGCCGCCAATCATGACGTGGAACGGTTGGCTCTGGTGGCTGTTCAACACGTCGCGCCACATCGGGTCCGGCCCGGTGAACTGGTTGGAATCGGCGCTCAGGCTGAAGCCGTTGCAGCTGTGGAACATGATGTTCATGCTCTGGCCCTTGGCGGGGACCCAGAAGCCCGTCGAGGGGCCGCGGTTGATGCGGTACGCGATGCGTTGTTGCTTATCGCGGAGCTCGACCTCGACGTTGAACCTCCAGAAGGTATAGCCGCGCTCGGTGTGCAGCCTGAAGCCCCGGATGTCCTTGTACTTGCCGGCCTTCTCACCGTCCATCTCGGCCCGCTTCCTCCGAGCGGCGAACGAGCCCGGGGGGTCGATCATGCCATCGGGTAAGGGTACCTCCGGCGGGCTTCGTGACTTCTCATACAGTCCCTCGTCTGTCTCGTTCCTAGAGACGTCCTTGCCCTCCTCGAGATGGTCGACCGGTCGGACGTACAAGGTCTCGCCTTTTCGGCCGAGTTTGGGATGTCCGGCGATCGGGTCGATGTACTCGGGCGCCAGGTCGCCCTGAACCTCCCTCGGCGGCGGCGGGAGCAGCTCGATCGGCTGGGCAAACAGTCTCAGGATAGGGGCGATATCGTAAGACGAGTCGGAATCTGTCGTCACGATCATGATGGAGCCCCTCCAGATCTCCCGTTCAACGGCAGCGCCGGTCCGGGAGGGCCGGTTCGGCACCCGCTCATGTCGGATACCGCAGTACCGTAGCAGCGGGCCGCACTTGAGATAGAGCGGCGGCTTGAATCTCGTCGGAGCTAGACACAAATCATGTTAGCTTGCTCCCCCGAAAGGTATGGGAAACCAAAGAGCAGGGTCTTTGTACAGGAGTATGGCAAAGCTAGTCGGGAGAAGGCCGCATCGTTGCTAGACAACGAAAAGCAGCCGAGACTGTCTTGGGAATCGTTCGCGGAAGGACTCGGGCTGAAGGGACGCAACCCGTCCCAACGCTTAGCGCGGGCCCTCGCTCGCCGAGAAGCGAGGTGTTGAGGCTCGAACAAGGAACCGGCACCAAAACTGCTAGTGGACTGAAGGTGGAAATCCCCGCTCTGCACCTCCCGAATGCTAGGATAGACTGCCTGTTGATTAGGGGTACGCGTACCGTTGTTTGTCTCATCATATTCTCCTTCAAATGCCTCCGCTTTCTTCGGTCGTGACGACAGGCTGTTACTCCGCAGCCGGGACTGTGATGCGTCCACCAACGCGGCGTTCTTCTCCCCCGAAGCCGGCACATCCTCGAGGTCGAGGAGGCCGCCTGAAAGGGCCCCTACATTCGCTCCCTTCCATTCCTCCAGGAACTTGCTCGGCTGAAAGATGCCCTGGCCGGGTTGGAACTTATCGCGGGCGTTGTAGAGGTAGTCCGATACGTGGTGCCGTTGCCCGCTGGCATCGGTGTGGGTTTCGTGTTCTCCAGGAGGCCCGAAATGAGGTTCGCGGGTCTCTCCTCCGGGAGGATATGCCGGGGGGTTCATGGCTGCAGCAGGGGAGGTCATGGCCCTGAACGAGACAGCGTTTTGATCCCCATCTGTCGCAGCCGTCTGGGTCGGACCACGGCCCAGAATCTGGTTAGCCTTTCTCTGGCTGGGTGATTTGGTTAGTTTCCCTGTAGACGGGTACAACATAAACTCTTCGGCGAAATCGTCGTCAAGGAGGTTAGGATCCCTGGTGGGGGGAGCCTTGGCCGCTGGCTCGAATTGGCGCCGCTCAGGGGGGTTGGTGGCTCGGGTGTTGGTGGGCATGCCAGGCCCGCCTACCACCCGCGGAGTATGGGCAACTACCTCGCCCGTGTTGTAAATCTCGTCCGTTTCCGAGATGCGATTGGGCCACATGTCGCCCGGAGGGTTTTTCCTTAACCTATTACTGCCACTCCTCGGCGGAGTGCGGCCATCGGGGCCGGCCGTGGGGGTTGTTGTCTCCTTGGATGCAGGAGAGTCGAGGCTATTGGGTATCTTTCCGTCCGTCCTCGCGGCGCGCTCGCGAAAGCTGAGGTTGCGCTGCGGGATTCCGGACGACTGGATAGGGGCGGGAATCCGTGACTCGGGGTTTGGTCCCCTCGGGGACGGTCCGCCAGATGTGCTATGCCTCCGTCCTTCATCGGGAGGGTTCTGCGAGAGGGGGCCGTTTTGCGCATTCTGTCCCGCAGAATGCTGCGCCGGTCTTGTGGGTGTTATCGGGATGGCAGGGCTATCCCCGGCGGCCCCAGGGGTTGGTCGCTCGTGGAAGCGCACCTGCTGTGGGCTCCTTTCGTCTTGAGCGATCCCCTCCTTCGCCGCTGCTCTCTCTCGGGCAGCCCTCTCGGCAGCCTCGACACGCGCCCGTTTGTCCTCCTTGGAGATGCTGTCGAGCGTCAGCTCAAGCCTTTGAAGTGGTGATCGGACGTCTGCGAACGCTTTGGGTCGGTCTGTTGCGGTGCTGGTCGATGTGCGACGGGCGCTCCTTTGTAGCGACTGCTCGGCGGCAGACCTCCGGCGGCCATTGGGCAGCGGGGACATCCTGCCGAGGGTGGGATCGGTGGTGACCCTCTGGGGCCGCGGCATGGCAGATTCTTCCAACATATTGCGGGTGCGGTCCGAGACCGGGTACTTCTCCCTCCGGCGGTGTTCCTCAGTCTCCCTCTGGCTGCCCTGGCGACCAATTCCTTGGGGCGACGGTTGATTCTGGTATAATGGTCCGCCGCTCGCAGGCGGGTACTTGGAGCTCGAAGGCGGAGCGCGGGGTACGTCGGGAGCGGCGGGGGGTAGCGCGTCGGTCACGGCAGCATAATCGGCCTCCTGCTCCTGGTTTCGACTCTTGCGCCGGCGACGGTTCTCGAGTAGCTCGGGTGGGTATTGGTCGGCGGCGTACGGCAGAGACGGCGGTCGTGGTGTGAGTCCCTGACCCTGGAAACTAGAGGCGGTTGGCGACACGAAGGGACTGAAGGTCGAATCGGTCGGCGCATCGGATTTTGTAGTCTGAACGGAAATGCGGTTCGATCGCGGTTGTCCCTGGACCGGGGCGTCCAATGACTGGCGCCGATCTGTCAACGGGTCCTGTTCCTCGGACAAGCGGCGAGCTCTGGTTTGGCCCGCCTGAGGTGGTGGGAGCTGGCCCCAGTAGGGAGCAGACATGTCGGACGGTTGGGTTCTTGCAAGGCGTGGAGGCTTGGATTCGAGCTCGGCGCCAGACTGTCTCGGATGGAACTTGGTGTACTGGGGCTCGCTTGTGGGGTGGGCTGACCGCTCGTCGGGGAGTCAATGCCGGTTCGCAGGCGGTGCTCACGACTTGCCATTCGTCCACGAGCTGCGGGCAACCATACCAACCAATATTCGCGAGACACATGCACCTTCGGGCTCGAGAAGCCGTGACCAGCGCATGCCCCGGGGCTGTCGGCCAGTTATACCCAGCTTTCTGCCAGGGCGGGAGGTCGGCCACAACGCCATCGACCGAGACCCAACTAACCACCTGCATCCATGGATCCATGGATGCAATCGAGGTGGCCGGGGTGGCCTGGCGGCAAAAAAAAAGTCGGCTTCAAAGCCCCGGCTGGGAACAGCGGGCCAACGCCAGACTCGGCACCTCGGGCAGGGCCAGCTGGGGGAGCCACTGGAGCTTCCAGGTTGGGCGGAAAGATCTGGCTTGGCGTGGTTGGGCTGGCATCGACGGGCCCTGATTGACGAATTCCAACAGGGGTCGCCCAAAATCAGAAGGCGGGAAGCCCACTTTGTGCCCACATCTCCAAGTGCTTGGCGAGCCTCAACAACTCACCTTGGTTCAAGCGCATTGCCGAAATGCTGGTGGCTGGCTGCCGATTTGTGCAACAAGCGGGAAAGTCAGGGACGGAATCGAAGGCTTTGGGGTAGAGTCGTCGTCGTCTATCTCGACCACTGATGGCCTGCGAGATGTCTGGGGTTTCTCCTCTCGATTCCATCATACGCACATGGCTCCCACATGGAGACGGGATGAACCGACTGACGAGGGATTGGACGATTGCGACGTCAGGTACGGATTACAAAGGAGGGTACATAGGTGCCAGGTTTGGATGACTTGCTCTTCCGCACGCAGGTTCGAAGATCCTGCGCACTAGTGACAATGGATAGCTGGCATGGATGTGCACTAGTTATGTGCTTGTGTGCCTTACACCCGGCGCTGGTCAGACAAGGAATTCTACTCGACCACATACCCATGCCATGGATGTCTGTCCTCCACAAGCCCAATGCGGACTCCCGCTCATTGCTCGTCTTCAGTCACCGGCTTGTATGACAGTGTGATCTCCCGGTTAGTCACTGATTTCAATTACGAGGTCGAGCCGATGATTCCAAAAGTTGAGTCTGGCTTGCGTTGACTATTTACCACAACTTCTCCCAGGAAGAAATCGTTTAAGGGGCAGCCATGGAAGGACTCCTCGTAGAATGGGATATTGGTAACATTCCACCACTGCGGATAGTTCCCACATGGAAGTCCGGCGACAAATGATCTGAACGGAAGAACCTCAACTGCCATGAAGCAACCTAAGCTCGGGTCCTCATTGTTAAGGACCAACATCAGACAAAGCGGGGCTATCCGTCCCACCATATTCCACTTTGAGATCACCTTTCGAGAAACGTAATCCCAACCGATGATGGGAATAGAAATAAATTGAACGACTGTACAAAGTAATCATGAGACGGGATGATCATGGTGAGGACGATGCGAAGTCGTCCTCTCCTCGGCAGGCAAGCAGGAAGTAACCGACCTATTTTTGACCCCCAGCTGAGGCTTGGCAGCCCGACTGCCCACCCTCCCTTCCGGCCTGTCCGTGAGCGGAATATTCTTTGATTGGTCTCCCATTCGTGGCTTATACAGGCACCTTTTGGGGCCGCGAAGCCCGCCGAAGCCCGCTCACAAGGGACTGCCTGCAGATTGCGAGGCCACATCCCGTGTAACGCTTGGCGACTCTCCATCTCGGGACGTGGCTGACACTGCAACTCCAAGGCCACCTCTCCATTACCTACGACACACAAAGGCCATCGTTTTGAAAAGAGGATTTTTTTTGGGTCCGGCAGTTGAATGTGTAATCCACTGCGGGACTCGGAGAGTTTGGAAAGTTGGAAGTTTTGAAACAGTGGGTTGACCTCCTTTTGCACCGGGCTTGTGCACTCGCCACAGGTCCTTGGCTCAATTCGAGTTGCAACCGACCTACTTGCGACTCTGCGACGCCTTCGTCGCAACCCGCCTTCCACCCTACCGCGCCACCGTCGTCTTGACAGGAACAAAAGACGCTACAACAACCGGCTTTCAAATCGCCCCTATATGTACGCTCATTCGATCCGTAACCGACTCTTCTCATACCCGCGCCGGGTTCAACGCCAGGCCCTCGCCCTCGACCTCCCAACACGATGAAGATCTGGTCAGGTGCGACGCTGCTGGGTCTTGCCGCCCTCGCGACAGCTACACACGTTCTCCCGCGGAACTGGGAATCAAACGACTACTATGTGCTCCATCTCGATGCAAACACATCGCCTCACGAGGTAGCCAGGAGCTTGGGGCTCTCGCACGAGGGCCCCCTCGGTGAACTCCAGGACCATCACATCTTCGCTACGAAACGAGCCGATCACGATTTCGTCAAGCGAGAACTGGCCCAAAGACGAAAGAGGCGGTCGGTAGGCGAGAGACACGTCCTCGATGGCGTTCTCTTCTCCGAGAAACAGGGGCTTCGACAACCGTGGGAAAAGCGCATCATTCCCGAACAACCAGGACCTCTGCCCCGTCCCTCGAGGGCTGTCGATGAACCGGTGGAATCGGCCGTCCGCAAACAGACCGATCTAACTCGGAAACTGGAAATCAACGACCCCATCTTCCATAAACAATGGCATCTCTTCAATACCGTCCAAGTCGGTCACGACGTCAATGTCGCCGACCTGTGGCTCGAGGGCGTTACGGGGAGCAATACCACGGTTGCCATCGTCGACGACGGCCTAGACATGTACAGCGATGACCTGAAAGACAACTATTACGCGTTGGGCTCCTACGACTTCAACGATAAAACAGAGGAGCCGAAGCCCCGCCTGTCAGACGACAGGCACGGAACCCGGTGCGCCGGTGAAGTGTCGGCCGGCAGGAATAACGCCTGCGGCCTGGGCGTGGCATATGACTCCAAGATTGCCGGCCTCCGAATCCTGTCCAAGTTGATCTCAGATGCGGACGAAGCCGTAGCCATGAACTACGACTTTCAGCATAACCAGATCTATTCTTGTTCATGGGGGCCGCCAGACGATGGAAAGAGCATGGATGCGCCCGGAATTCTCATCCGCCGCGCCATGTTGAACGCCGTGCAGAACGGCCGCCAGGGTCTGGGCTCCATCTACGTCTTTGCCAGCGGCAACGGGGCGCAGAATGAAGACAACTGCAACTTCGACGGCTATACCAACAGCATTTACAGCATTACGGTCGGCGCCATCGACAGGAAAGGCCAGCACCCGAGCTACTCTGAGAAGTGCTCCGCCGGGCTAGTCGTGACCTACTCCAGCGGCGGCGGCGACGCCATCCACACCACGGATGTCGGTCAGAATACCTGCTCGAACGGCCACGGCGGCACTTCTGCGGCCGCCCCGCTCGCAGCTGGTATTTTTGCCCTCGCTCTTCAGGTGCGCCCGGACCTGTCCTGGAGAGACATGCAGTACCTCGCCATGGACACCGCGGTGCCCGTCAACCTAGACACGGGCGACTACCAGGACACCACAATCGGCAAGAAGTTCAGTCATACCTTTGGATACGGCAAGCTGGACAGCGCTGCCATTGTGAAGGCCGCCAAGACTTGGAAGAAGGTGAAGCCACAGGCTTGGTTCTATACTCCCTGGATCCACGTCAACAAATCGATCCCCCAAGGTGACAAGGGCGTTTCTGTCGATTTTGAGGTGACCGAGGACATGCTCAAAGATGCCAACTTTGCGCGTGTTGAACACATCACCGTCACCATGAATGTCGAGCACGGACGGCGCGGTGATATCAGCGTCGACCTCATCAGCCCCAACAAGATCGTCAGCCACCTGTCGGTGACGCGCAAGTTCGACGAATCCACCGAGGGCTACGATGACTGGACGTTCATGAGCGTGGCTCACTGGTAAGCACTCCCCTTTCTCCCACCCACCCAAACCCCTTAACTAACCTTCCCAGGGGCGAATCCGGCACCGGCACCTGGACCATTGTTGTCAGGGACACCGAAGACAACACGCACAGCGGAAAGTTCATCGACTGGCACCTCAAGCTCTGGGGCGAGACCCGCGACGCCTCCAAAGCCAAGGTCCTCCCGATGCCAACCGAAGAAGACGACGACGACCACGCCAAAATCCCCACCAGCACCGTCGGCGCCAAGCCGACCCCGTCGACCACCGACCAGGCCAACCGGCCCGTCAACCCAAAACCAACGGGCACCGCAACGGGCGAGGCCGTGGCCCCGCCCGAGCCGTCCTCGTCCTCCGCCAACAAGACGTCCACCTGGCTGCCCTCCTTCCTGCCCACCTTCGGCGTCTCCGCCGCCACCCAGGCCTGGATCTACGGCTCGCTCGTCCTCATCGTCGTCTTCTGCGCCGGCCTCGCCGTCTACTTCTACCTCGCCCGCCGCCGCCGCCTGCGCAACAACCCGCGCAACGACTACGAGTTCGAGCTGCTCGACGACGACGAGGCCGACGCCCTCGCCGGCGGTGATCGTGGTGAGAAGGGCGTCGCTGGTGGCGGTGGTGGTGGTGCTGGTGGCGGTGGTGGTATGGGTGTGGGTGCTCGTGGTATGGGTGGACGGCGTGGGGGCCGGACACGCGGTGGGGAGCTGTATGATGCGTTTGCGGGGGAGAGTGACGAGGAGGATGGGGATGATGATAGTGATGATTTTGGGGGTCGTGCCGGGGGTGTGGGGGGCCAGTACCGTGATCGGAGCGGGTCGGGGTCGGAGGGGAGTGTGTCGCCGATTCGCATGAGCGAGAAATTGCCTGGGCGGCGGGATAGTGAGGAGTCGGCGGAGCATCATGTTATTGGGGATAGTGACGATGAGGGGGATAGTGATGAGGAGGATGGGGATGATGACCAGAGGCCGTTGCATGCTGGGGGTCGGTAGTTTTTGTTTTTTCCGTCGTTGGGTGTCGCGCGTCGTTAAGGCGTTTTTTGTTGTCTGGTTGGGCATATCGTTTGGCACCTAGGTAGTAAGTATAGCGGATAGATGTGTATAAACGTGTGCGTGCGTGCATGCTTGTGGGATACGGTGCCTTGTGGTCATGTCGCGCTTGAGAACACAATCATTGTTTCAATGAAACACGCTTGCTTGCTCTGTGGAACTAAGGTAAAATGCAGTTGATTCCTACCACCCACCGAGAAACGCACGCAACCCGCCCTAACCAATGTTGCAAAAAGCCAATCTTGAACGCCACGACCCCAGAGCTTGAGTATCGATACAAGGGCTGTTTCCGCTCCCAAGCAATAGCGATACTTCCTTCGCTATCCCTCCAACTGGTTGACCAAGCCGCCCACCCGCTATCGCGCCTTTCCCCAGACCCCAGCCGTATCCTCGAACCCCTCCGGCAACGAGCCAGATCCGGTCGCGATATCAGCCCCCTCCAACTCCAGACGCCCATCATCATAATAGGCCCCATCATCATCGGCCCCATCCATGGACACGACCGCCCAGGCCTCGCCCACCGCCGCTCGGCGGCCCCACTAAGCCGGGAGCACGACGCCCTCCCTCTCCATCTCGCGGACGTACTCCTCCCAGACGTCGATGACGCCGCCGTAGAAGTCGACGTGGGCGTCGACGAGCCCCGCGAACTGGCGCTTGAACTCGACCTTCTTGATCCACTCGAAGTTGTCGGCCTCGCGCAGGGTCTGGTCGGCGAACAGGTCGGCGTCGGTGCGGGCGTGCTCGACCTCGCCCGTCAGCTCGTCGATGCGCAGCTCCAGCTTGCGCTGGCGGTCGCGCCGCGCCTGCTCGTGGTCCACCCCGCGCACGTCCTCGATCTTGGACCGGATGAAGCCGCCCGCGCCGCCGAGCGCGCCCGAGAGCGGGCCCGCCGAGTACCCGTGCCCGGAGGCGAGCGTGTCGCGGTCGGCGGTCGAGCGGTTGAGGTACTCGGTGAGCTGCTCGTAGTCGAGCTGCTTCTGCTCGCGGGATTTGAGGAGGTGCTTGATGGCCCCGCTGTAGGCGACCATGTCGCGGAGGGAGGTGAGATAGTCTTGGTCGGTGTGGTCTTTGAGTTTCTTGAGGCCGGCCGATGTGTCCTCGACCGAGGCGGCAAAAGCGTGCACGGAGGATTCCACGCCCGGTTCGAGGGTGATGAGCTTCTGGAATTGCTCGGCGAGATCCTTCAAGTCGGTTTCGAGGTCCGACTCTCGCCGGGCGACACGGGCGACAACCTTTTCGACATTGTTGAGGTCCTCGTCGAGCTTGTCTGACCTTTCCTTGATCTTGGTGAAGCGAGGGTCGACTTTGTGCACTTTTGCAAAGGCGTTCATGAAGCTGTCGGCGAACGAGTCAAAAACGCCGCTACCGTTGCTGCTCGCGGACTGGCTCTGCCCGAGGGCGTCACCCCCTACTCCAGCGGTACCAAGACGCCCTGCTCGGCTATGCATAGTCGCATTCCAGTCGGGAGTCTCGAGGAAGGTATGCAATATGCTCGCGCGGCGGAGGACGGGGTGGAGAGTGAGTCGGAACAGGAAGCGTTGGAGGGAGTAGGCCCGCCGCGCAGTGAAATCGGGACCAAACCGGTCGCCCCGGACATATTCCATGCGCTCCTTGTCTGGTAATGGGGGGACCGCGCATGCCGGGTAGCCGTGAGTAAGGGACTTGTAGAGAAAGACGAAGTCGGTGAATCGGCGGCGGACGGTCGTGGTTGGTCGCTGGAAGGTTGAGAAGGTGGTCTAGAGGGTCAGCTGGCGGCACCAACAACAGCTATGAAGCCAACCTACATTTGTGGTAATCAAATAAGAGACATAAGTGTCCTTGGTTCCGTCGTTCTCCTTGTGTGGCTCCGCGACTGTGCACTCGAGGATCTCGCCGGCGGAGTGGCCGTAGTCAACGTCCCTTTCATCGTCTGTCCTAATGGCATCATCTGATTGATGGCTGGAGAATCCGGGACTGCTGACGGGGTTGTGTGAAGCGGATGTGCTCGTCCCTGCTCGATCGGCATTCTGCTCGCTGTGCCAGGATATATTGGAGAAGTTGTCCTCGCCGCCGGCCATCTTGTCGGCTTACGAGGTTCGACGGAACGGTGCTAGGTTGCGCGGGGAATGGTGGAATCGATCTTTGGAGGTTGTTCGGGTTGGTATTGTCAAAAGGTACCGGCTACAAGCTAAGGCGTTTCGAAGTGAGCGGATGTCCTTGGAAGCTGAGCTGGCGTTCAATCGGTAATAGGTGATGAATGTTTGAAGGTTGGTGATTTGTGGTGCGGCAGTGCGGCAGTGCGAGGCAGGGTGCTTGGCGATTGACGTATGATGGTGGGGGAGGAGCTCGCCCGTTAGTTAGCGCTGCCGGTTTGGGCCCAGACATCGAGGTAAGTTACGGGCAGGACGTATTCGTGCTTGGCGCGTCACTGGTCCCTTTGAAGAGTGGCAAAATACGGTGTAACAACCAGAAGCGTTTGGCACTTGACACTGCTGCTTCGTTTGCGCCAGGCCGAACGTGTTGAAACTTCTACTGTGTAGGCTAGGAAGACACTCGGATATAGTAGAAATCAAACGATAGAGTTGATGCTATCCACGGTGTCTAGATGAGATGAGGTCTATATCCCGGACCGTTCAAGACAAAAGAAAGAATTCCACCGAAACCCAGACCCCAACTCCAGCCTGATTTCGCAGCTTGGCCGCTGTGTCTATACATACAGAATCCTCGCCAGTGCCATGTGAATTACTCAGTCATGACATACAAAGGAGAAAAAAAGGACTGTAAGCATCCTCGTGTGGGAATACCAATGTTACACCGCGAACCCCGTTCTAAGCGCTCACTTGTCGCTGGACTTGGGTTGCGCCGCCTCACGCTTCTCCTGCTCCTGCTCTAACCTCGCAGCATTGAGCATATCCTTCTCGGCATCCACCGCCTCGCCGACCTGTGCCTTCTCAATGGTGGCGTCGGCTGCAGCGTGTGCCTGGCGTTCTTCCTTGTCGTCAATGTCCTCGGTATCCCGGGGCGAGGCGAATCCGGTCGCCTGGTTCTCCTGGTCCTGCTCGAGCTCTTCATCGATGAGCTCCTGCTGCTCCTTGATCACCTCGAGACGCTGCTTGTTGGTGGCGGCACCCTCGGCGTTGTGCACCTCGAGCTCGATCTCGTGGAAGAGCTCCTCGGGGATCGACGACAGCACACCGGTCAACGCCTGGATCTGGCTCGACACGCCCTCCTGGGACGAGGTCTGCCCGTACATGTAGGCGCTGCTGAGAACCAGCAGGGTCGAGGGCACACCCTCGCGGAGCCTCAGGTCGAGCCAAGTCTGCAGATCCTCGCGGAGGCTAGCGGGGGACACGCCGTGGCTCTTGATGCCGCGGCTGGCGCAGGCCACCTGGAGCTCAGCAACGGAAAGGCTGTCGACGCCCTCGTAGCTGATAGCACGGTCATCCCGCTTGATCTGGCGCATGCGGTGGCGGATCTGGTACCGGAGCATCATGTCGGTGCCGAAGGTGTTGAGGTTCAGGTACCGGCACATGGACACCAGCTGTGGCCGCGACAGGTTGTCGAGGGTGAGATCATCCTTGAAGACCTTGCACACCTTGATGACGTCCTCGGCTGTCGGTGTCTCTCCTGTGGCACGGAGCTTCCGGAAGAAGTTGGTAAACTCCTCCTTTTGCGCCGTCGCCTGCGTCAGGGGGAGCCCTGTCTCCTTCAGGGTTTGTCGAAGGAAATCGCTAACCTCCTGGCGCGTGGCCCGCAGTGTCGACGCCTTCTTGTCCCTAGACTTCTGGCCTTCGTAGGTGCTGGGCAGCATGTTGGGGAAGAGCTTGAGGGCGACCGGGAGGAGGAGTTCGGCAAACGGGACGATGACGAAGACGGAGAAGGGGACTAGCCGTCCGAGATCCTGGACGGTGCGCTGGAGCTGGCGGTTCTCTCTCCGGGTCAGCTCGTACCCGGCGGCCATCTTGAGCGCGAGACTCGAGCTGATTTTGACCTCGGCCGCCAGCAGCTTCGTACCATCCCAGTAATGCTGGGCCTCCTTCTTGATCTTTTGCCCGATCGTCAGCTTCTTCTCCTCTTTCTTGCCCTCTGCCTTCTCTACAGCGCTCTCCTTCTGGGCGGCGAGCTGTGTGAGCGAGGCATCTGAACCGGCCTGCGCTCCCTTCGATTCCTTGCCCCCCTCTTTCACACCGGCCTCCGTCTTGGGCTTCTCGGCGGCCTTGACTGCGGGCTTGGTGGCGCTTCCGGGTTCCCTCGGAAGGGGTTTCTTAGCCTCATCCGAATTGAAGCCAGGCGGCGGTCCTCCGGGCGGGCCATGGGTGGTTGTGCCGGACGTCGTAAGGGTTCGGATTGGGATTAGCAGGGCAGAGGCCGGGCCCAGGTTCTGTGCATTGCGGGCGAGATGGATTGAGGTAGCAAGGAGCGCGGATCGAGGCAAAGCACGGCCTGCGCGACCGACGTTAGCGATGCGCATCCAAATGGCAAATAGCTTCAAAACGCAGAGGACCCACCAGTGCCCAGGAAAGGGTTGACAACCAGCGCCCGGCGCGCAACTCTTGTCGAGGCGCTCATCACGGTTGTCTTGGAATGGGAGGGCTGCGAGTAGTGTAGTCCGTATGTAGCGCCGTCACTCCTCGTTTGGAACAAGAGTTTTTATCGGAAATGGAGATCAAGGGGACTGCGCCGATGTGTTATGGGGTTGCGTTTAGGGATGCGTTATGGAAATGGCGTGTTGCTGTGCTTAAAAGTCAAACGTCGATAACGGCGGTAAACGCCGGTCGGGAATCTCGGAAACGGGAGAACGTTGGTTGCGTGGCAAAAAGGGTGCCCGGGTGGTGTCCGAGCAGCGTAGAAGAGAGAAAAGTAAAACCGTCTAGGAGAAACGAGATCAAGAGACAAAAGGCAGGGGTTTACTGAATCAAGATGAAGTTGGCGAGTTGGTCGGCGCCGCTGTCAAAAGGGGCGCAGTGACATCGAAATCCACGTTTCGCTGCGTTTCGATGCAAGTGATGGCTCCATTCCGCCCCGCGGTCGCCCCCGACAGGCCAGCTGGCGAGTCAGGAACACGGATGCAAATCACGTGATCTATCAGAACGATTTCCATGACCGTTTTCAAACCACGCACCCACTGTTCATTGATGGATGAATGCAGTCGGGCTCGGTCGGGTTCTATCGGACTCTGAAGTGGTACATGTGAATCTTTGACACATTGCCGCCCGCAACCGATGGCTGCTTGACACGTTTTGGCCGAGTTGACAACCTCGAGACGATTGCATGCCACTGACCCGTCGTCCCTCAGTCTTGAGGGGTCATCCCAGCTTTGAGTATTCTCGCGCTGCAAATTGTTCGGAACAACCTGGGTGCTCTCTTCAAAGCCGGTTTCAGGAACAGAGGAACATGAGATGCTTTTCGGGTTCCGGTGGCAGTTCCCACGCGATAACGATAAGAGTTGCCCACCAACGCCACCGCACATTCCGGCGTCGGAAGGCCGAGTCCGAGAAAAAGCCCCGGCCTTGGTTTGGGGGCGACATCGGTGTTCCTCAGTAACAGCGGCTCAACAAAATGGTCGGGATTTTGGTGAGGAGGCTGACCCTGCCAATCTTTTCCCAAGGTGAGCGACCTGTGCATCTCCATGCCAAGAGACGGGAGTTAAAGTTCCCCGCGGCGCTTCTTTTCGCTACATAATCTAGACAAGCAGGTGCGCGCCGGATGAAATGAAGCACGCGATTTCTTCCGTAATCCATCATCTCAATCTTTGACACTTGACATTGCCAAGCATGGAGTTTTTGTAGCTTTTCGGTCCTCGGTTGCGTCTCGATTGCGTGCCGATCGGTTGTTCCCCGCACTCCGATCGCTGTGACAGCCCAAGTTGACTGTGGCTCGCTCCCAAACTCGCCAGAACTACAAGTACAATCGGCCGACCTTGGGCCGCGTCGTCCCCGCCTATTTTCCGAATCCATTCACGCCCGTCCACGTCCGTCCACGCAACGCAATCGCTCCACCGTCAAACTATGCGCTTCCGAAAAGCAGCCCGAGTTATTCTTGTAGGCGCGCCAGGAGTTGGGAAGGGGACGCAATCGGAGCGGTTGCTGCAGAGGTTTCCACAGCTATCCTCGATCAGCTCCGGAGACCTGCTGCGGCACAATGTCAAGCAACGCACACCTCTCGGTGCGTGCATTAGCCCGCCGATACTATCTTACGTTTACCGAATTAACAAATATGATCAACAGGAATCAAGGTGGAGAGCACGATGAAGGCCGGCGGTCTCGTCTCGGATGACCTCATCCTCCGACTCATCAGCAACGAGCTCAACCAGCGCGGGTGGCTCCACTCGGGCAACCCGTCCGGCAACATCATGACGCTATCCTCCTCCTCCGTCGACATTTCCGAGCCCAGCCAGTCATTCCAGCACGATGCCGAGATGGCCGCCTTCCTCTCCTCCCCGGCACACGCCCGCGGCTACGGCCAGGCTCGCATCAACGAAGACCCGTCCGCCTCGTTCCTCCTCGACGGCTTCCCGCGCACAGCCCCGCAGGCCGACCGCCTCGACGAGATCGTGCCCATCAACCTGGCCGTGTCGATCAAGACGCCGCTCTCGGTCATCATGGAGCGGATAAACGGGCGGTGGGTGCACGAGCCGTCGGGGCGTGTGTACAACACGTCATACAACGCGCCCAAGGTACCCGGCCGTGACGACATCACGGGCGAGCCGCTCGAGCGCCGGTCCGACGACAGCGAAGAGGTGTACCGCGCGCGGTGGAAGAAGTTCCAGGAGACCAGCGAGCCGCTGCTGGAGCACTACGCTCGCAAGGGCGTGCTGTGGGAGGTGGATGGCATGAGCAGCGACGAGATCACACCGAAGCTCCTAAGCGAATTCGAGCGGCGGTTTGTTTGATGGGGCTCGCGCCTCGGCATATTTAGAGCGCGGTATACAGCTTGGGCGGCGTCTTGTACTACCCTCAACGGTGTATAGATGGTGGTGGATTCCTGCTTAACGGGAGGGCGCATGGCGTTTATGGGACTGAGTCATCTCGTCCTCGGGTTTTGGTTACATCTGAACACTTTGTAGTGTCAGTATATGTAATTCCTACTTCATCCTTTTTTTCTCGATAGCGATACACTATATCTATCATATTTACGACGTCTGCACTTGCCTTGACTACAGATATACATTGCGCGCAACTCGGCTTGACAAGTTGTCACGAATCTATTCATGGACCGAACTATTAACGATACTGGACAATCCAACCCACCCATCCAAGATAAACGTCGTCTCAACTTTATCAGGGGCGGTTCACGCAGCTCCCCTGAATATTGCAGATCAGACCGTCCCGTGCCTGCCACCCTTCAAGGAGAACGATGCAAGCCGCCCCGCTGCTGCACATGGATGCCCGCCTCCCCGCATAGTGCATGGTGGGGAACCCTTGTACCACCTCACCGGCCACCAGCCGGCCACTGCACGCTGAGTGCTGCCCACCCTCCACCCCTTCTGGAGACACCGCCTGCAGCGCCGTTCCAAGCCCTGATTCCTTCCTTGGCACACTCCAGCCCCGGGTCTGGGTTGTTCGCATGGTCTCAGGCGTCACAGGCGCTCAAATGTCTTGAACTTTTTTTCCTTTTTGTTGGTGACCTGGTCTCGTGGTTCCTTTTTAGCATTGTGCTTCCCGGCGTATATTGGTCGCTCTCTTTCAACATTCGTCGAGTTCCAAAGGGCGGCCTCACCACCCTAAGGACACCGTCCACTGATCTTCTCTTCCACCTTCTCAATCCATCACCCGGGCGTCACCACACTCCGAAACAAGACTCCGAAACAAGTTGGAAACGGTGTATCTCGAGAAACACAACCAACATGATAGCATGATGATCTGGTCGTGGTTTGATCAACTCGAAGCTGCTCTGGTAGCCGCTACTCGTTGACTACCCGGTGAAGTTTGCTTCGGCTGTTACCGAGTTATTGAACACGACTTGGTTTCGGTTTCTTGCAGGGACAAACTGTGTCACGCTCAAGCCTACCTACGTACTTCGATCTTAAACCGTTAGACCTTGGGTTTGTACTGTGTAGACCATACCCGATCCTGAATCTGAATCAACCTGTTTTCCTATATCGAAGAGTACGGCGTTTTACACTATCTCCCCTTCCCCCCAGGATATGCATGCTAACAACTACCTCTACCCAGACAAAGACTTTCTTAACTTCTCCTGTTAGCCCAAAAGGGCACTCCGTCTGCTCCCTGGCCCAGCCAGCATGCTTATTACCTGGGCCGTGGTCGTAGCTACGGCCACGGCCGTCTGCGCTACCTCTCCCTGGTCGTCACTTCTGTTGAAGCTGAAAGATAGAAACGGCAGCAATGCGGGACGCCATCCCCTTCCAGACATCGACCTGTTCCAGGACATGTTCATGGCACTGAGCGACATGCAGGATAATTACTTCCAGCGTTGGCTCGGCACTTGGCCTCACGGGATCGACTGGACCCGTGCCGTCATGAGCACGCATGTTGCCGCTACGCTCCGGACCATCTCTGACGAACTCGAACTCAACCGTCCCAACCAAGGCGTAGAATGTACCAGCAGAAAGGAGGATGTCATTGCCGGGTATTTTGCGGACGTCATTGCCTACTACTTCGCCGAGGACGCCTTTTCTCTCCGCAACCAAGCCTACGACGACATGCTCTGGGTCGTGCTGGGCTGGCTTGAGTCTATCCAGTTTATCAATGAGCACAGCAGGTTTCTCTCTGGTACGGCCTCCGCAGGGTTGGGAACCACCCCCGGGGCCGAGGCGTGGTATGGAAGTCGCTGGATACCCGCTTTCGCTCATCGCGCGAGGATATTCTGGGAGCTTGCCGCCCGGGGATGGGACACGAAGCTCTGCGGAGGCGGCATGCTCTGGAATCCGCGCCTCATGCCGTACAAAAACGCCATCACCAACCAACTGTTCATCTCCGCCTCCATTGGCATGTACCTCCACTTCCCCGGCGACCCCAACGCCTCCCCCTTCGGCAGCGGTGCCAATCCCACACTCACCGACAACCACCGCACAACAGAATGGCCCCCCCACGACCCCATCTTCGGCAGGGCCGCCCAGGAAGCCCACCGCTGGCTCGCATCCTCCAACATGACCAACCACCAGGGCCTCTACGCCGACGGCTTCCACATCTCGGGCCACCACTCCGGCGGCAACAACACGAACTGCGACGAGCGCGACGAGATGGTCTACACCTACAACCAGGGCGTAGTCCTAACTGGCTTACTCGGCCTATACCAAGCCACCGGCGGCCCGGCGCGGGAGCACTACCTGCGCGAGGGCCACACCTTAATCCAGAACGTGATCCGCGCCACGGGCTACGACCTCGCCCGCAACCGACCCATCGACGACGGCCGCGACCCCACCCGCCCCATCCCGCCCTGGCGCGGCCTCGGCCGCCTCGGCGTGCTCGAAGAGGCCTGTGACGCCCTGGGGTCCTGCTCCCAGGACGCCCAGACCTTCAAGGGCATCTGGATGCACCACTTCGCCGCCTTTTGCGCCCCGGGCGCCCTGCTGCGCTCCCGCGCCGCCGTCGCCACACCCGCCGGAGCGGAAGCGGAAGCGGAAGCCGAAGCGGAAGCCGAGGCCGTCCGCGCCAGGCATGAGGCCGATTGCAGGCGGTACGTGCCCTGGCTGCGGCACAACGCGCGCGCGGCGCTGGGCACGCGCGACGCGAGGGGCCTGTTTGGCATGTGGTGGACCGCGGGGCTGCTGAGGCTTGCCGCCGTGGAGGCCGAGATGGTGGAGGCGGCGGCGGCGGCGGCGGAGGAGGAGGAGGAGGGTGATGGCCAGGTGGTGGATTACCGCAACTTGGGCGTGCCCATGGATGAGGTGTGGATGCGCGAGGTGGATCTCCCGCGGCCCGTGCCGATGCCGAGTCTGGAGGAAGAGGGGGAGGGGGGACAGAAACCCCTGACTGGAGGTACGGGTGGGTTGGGTGGACGGGACCGGGATAACAAGACGGATCCTATGATGGGGGGAAGTGGTGTGGATTCGGATAAGGCGGGTGTTTGGGACCCTAATCTTCGCGGGCGAGGAAGGACGCTGGAGACGCAGGGCGGCGGGTTGGCGGTTCTCAGGGCGTTATGGGTCGTTTCGGGTCATGAGCTATGATGGCGTCTGTTGGAGGGGGGTTGGGTTGTGGTACACATTGGTATGGGATGGCATGGCGTGGCTACCTATGGAATAGACTTGGTGGGCACCTGGGACCTGGGAGTACATCTTAGAAGGGTTATTCTTGGTTAGTATCATACACCTCATCGTTACACTTTCCGGTTTGGTTCAGTCCCACGTGTGTTGAGGGAGACGGATGGGAGAGAGAGATTGAGCTCGAGATCCGTGATCCGGCGGGAACCTACAGGAAACTCTACCGTAAACCACCCGAACCGTTTCCTTCTTTTGTGCCTCACAGGTAGTTTGTTGTCATCCCATGCCCCTGAACCCCTTCCCTCATGGCTTCCTTCCCCAGGGTTAGGGTGTTTTGAGTTCTCTCCAGTTTTGCTCCAGCCCACTGAGTGCAGTGCAACAACACCCCGCCGGACCCGCGACCAGCATTATCGCCAGCCCAACAATCCATCCGCGACCCACGAACAACCTCGCTTTCTCAAAACTTAACGCTATTTCACATTCTCCCACCTCGGTCCCGAACCCATACAGTAACATTACCCTTCACCACCAACACAAAACCAAACCCACCTCCATCCATCCAACATGGCCTCGGAAGAAATGGAGCTCGACGAGCCCGTCCAGCAAGGACCCGGCGACGCCCCCTCGAACAACGGCAACAGCTCCGCCAAGCTGGCCGCCATGCAGACCCTCACCAAAGCCACCGCCGTGCGCTCCATCGAAGGCTGGATCGTCATGGTGACCAACGTGCACGAGGAGGCCGACGAGGAGGCCATCCACGACAAGTTCGGCGAGTTCGGCGAGATTCGCAACGTGCACCTGAACCTCGACCGCAGGACGGGCTATGTCAAGGTACGTACGGACGGACGAGGCCTCACACTCCCTACCATCTGGAGCTGCGGATCCCCCCACCACCCCCCTTCCCCCGCCAACCCTTGCTAACGCGACGCAAAACACAGGGCTACGCGCTGATCGAGTACACGACGCTGGAGGAGGCGCGCGCGGCCATCGACGGCGCCAACGACACGGAGCTGCTCGACCAGAACGTGCAGGTGGACTTTGCGTTTGTGCGCCCGCCGCCGGGCAAGCAGAACAACAACAGCGGGCGGCTCGGCGGCGGGTCAGGCGGCGGCGGCGGCGGTGGTGGCGGCGGCGGCGGACCGCGGGGGTCGAATCGCGGGGCGCGCAGCGGGAGGAGTCGCAGCCGCAGTCCCGGGGCCGGGAAGGATGATGGTTTGTGATGATGGGGTGGCTACCACGATGGGCTAGGGGCACTTGAGGGAAGTGAATTGTTGCTGCGCTGGGCTGGGGCTAGACCTTGTGAATGAGGACGCAAAAAGAGCCGTACGGCGCAGAATTCAGCCGATGTGTGTGTCTCGAGGGAGGCTTGAGAAAACACGTCGGCATCTTGCCATGGCAGTTTGATAGTAAGTTCTTGTTGTCTTCCTTCCTCCTCCTGGCTTTAACTAACAACCGGAACAGAATGGTATATTCCAGCCGAAGACCCATGTTAGGTTTGGGCATCATGCGGCTGACGTAGTTCTACTCAACAGGCCAAAAGTAACAAAACAAGACACAAAAGAAAGATATTGAGCATGCATGTTTTAGTTGGCACAGTCTCCTCCTGCCGTGGCAGACTAGTATTCCCTATGGTTCGTAGTGAAAGTGAACTCGCGTCTTAAACTCTTAGCCAGAACTTCGGCTCCTGTTTGGGAAAGAGTCAACTTCTTGATATACCCTCTCCTCACATCAGAAAGTAACAGTACCGAACAACCATGCACACGAGATATTTATAATACCGGCAACGATAGGTAGGTAGTATTGCAGACGAGAATGCATTCGTTACACAGGGTGCCTTGCTAAATAAACAAACCTTTCAGTACCAGACCAACCGATACTAACAAGCCATGATGAGAATTGGAATAATAACGCCGAGCTGCCATGATACAGTATTGTTAGTGGTCAGGAAAATAAACCACAGAAAAACCAAGGCGCTCTCCAGCAACCGCTAACCACAGCCATTGGGCATCCCGCTCGGGGGGGGGGGGACCAAGCCCGGGCTGATGATACTCCTCGTGACATCGTATATCTTACACGCAAATGGCACCCAGAAAATCCAACTGGAAAAGACAAACAAAACTAGATGGGCAGGCTGGCAAACTAGACAAAGTACACAGCAAATATATGTCCATGAAACCAAGCAACCATCAGAAATACAAGCCAACCACCCACGAGCCCGCCCAACACCACCACATCCCCAGGCTTTACCGAATGCGCAGCGCCTAGCTCACGCACGCTCCGCTCCGCTCTTGTGCGCAGAAAGAGGTAGTTGAAGAAAAGGGGCAGGAATCTCAATAAATACCATTGCTTTGCTGATTGATATATGTGTCCAGGCCACCCCGACACTGACCAAACACCCAACCGACGACCAACACCAACACCAACACCGACCGCCCGACCGCCATTGTATTACAAGAGCAATATATTGCGATATGATAACAAAAAAACAGAGGATTGTGAGAGAGAGAGAGAGAGGAAAACAACAGAGTAGGTATCATTTTGGTCTCAATTTCAAGCCCAACGCAACGAAAAAGGAGAGCATGGAGTTGCGATTTGACTTTGCAATGCAAGGGTTGTGTGCAGTGCGGTCCAGCCCTCCCCCGACACGACCTGGATTCCTCGGTCGTCAACTTCTTCTTGGCGCCACTCTCCAACAGCCATCAATCCCACCGGTCTCCGCGACTTCCGGTACGGGTTGCTAAAGGAGGGCGGGTACACGCCAAGTACCCGACGTTTTGCGACGGTCAAGCATGGCTCACCCGATCTCGCCACCCCTGGCCTTTCCTCTCCTCCTGAAGAAGTCCATAACCTTCCTCGCGGGGCCGCTGCTGCCAGAGTGGTCGTGGCCGCGTGAATACGAGTCAGTGTCCCACGCGTCGACAAACCGCTTGTTTTTCTGCAGAACACCACGGTTGGCTTTGGGGCCACCAGGAACCCGGCGCCCGTCGTAGGCCCCGTCCTGGTGGGAAAGCTGTGGGAGCTGCGGCGCAGATCCGGCAGGGCGCCGCATGTTGTCCACCGACCCATCCGAGCCGCCGCTTAGGAGCGGAGCCGGCACATAGCCTTGGCTGGCGGACATATGTCCGTACCCGTTGGCGGGGTACTGCTCTTGACGCCCATAGGGATCGATCGACGTGCGGGATTCTTCATGGAGTTGTGCGTACATGCCATCTAGAGTGGACGCATCCACGTGCTGTTCCCGCACCATGTCCTGGTCCGTGTACCGACCATATTGGTCAACGGTCGGGGGTTCCTGGATAGGTAGGTCTTGCTGTGAATCGAGCTGCGGGTCATCTTTGCCGATCCCGATCGCCTTGAGCGAGAAAGATGCCGGGATGAACGAAAAACGTCTCGCGTGCTTCTCCTGGGACTTCTGCGAGCCGCTGATGCTGCCCGATGTCTTCTTACCGAGGCCGATAGAGAAGGACCTGCGGGAGCGCTTCGAATCCATAGACGGCCGCGTTTCATCACCTCCTGATAGCGAGTTGTTCATGCTGACAGGCGGATATTTCCTGCCCTTCTCCCCGGCCGGTTGCTGCTCCGCCCGTTTGCGGTTCTTACCGCCAAACAGCGACCCGCTCCGGCCGAAGAGCTTGCCGCCAATCTCGCCCATTGTGCTAGACCGTTTGTGGCCCTTGGCCTCCCCGCCCGAAGCGCCTCCGGGGCTGGTATCACCCGTCTCGGGACCAAGGCCGGAGAGCCTGGCGAATTTGGGAGGTAGAGTGGTGCTGGGCCGCCCATACTCTTGAGGTTGGGGTTGGGGTTGGGGTTGTGATGTCGATGTGGGGATTCCGTAGCTGCTGCCGCTTCGTGATGGTTGTTGGATCCTTCCGTGGGCATTTGTATCTGCAACCTCGGGGGGCACCGGCTGACTGTACGAGGGTTTCGCGCCCGCCCCGGGGCCCTTAGAGCCGGTCGACTGCATGGAGCCGCCGGTTGCGGGCCTGGCGGAAGAGGTGCTTGGGACTGTCGGCATGAACGGGCCCTCGCGTGCGCCGCGAACGGCTGCGGCTGATGAGCTCGGATTGCGGTGAGTGCTCGGCGGCCTCCTCGACGCGACCGGCGGCTTGGCGTACGACTCTGCACCCGCATGGTGATTTTGAGGCAACGGCTTCTCCTTGGGTGATGATGTCGAGCCAACGTCGGCAACCTCCACAGCTCCTTGGCTCCCGGGACGAGCACGCGTACGGCTGCCGGATGCTTGAGTGCCCGACGATTCGCCGCGTTGTGTGGTCGTATTCGGCGCCACATATTCCACCTGCACCGTACGACGCTTGTTGTCCCTCTGCTGCTTGGCTTGCGCGGTAGCCTCTGCGTCCGCATCGATGGTGCCCTGTTTGCTGACCAACCCGCCAATTGGAGGTGAAACGGCCGTCTTTTTTGACGATTCCCGCACCGACGAACTCCGCCCGAGGGACGGGTTCTCCTCCTCTTCTGCGGGTACCGTCGTGTTTTGGATATCTTTGGGGCTCGTGGTGCTCGACGTAATGAACTCGACGACATGGGCGTACTCGCTAAGCCAGCTGTGGCGGGCCACCTCAAACAAGTCCGCTCTTTTGCGCGGGTTCGGAACGAGAATCCTCCGCAACAGGTCGCGCGCGTGAGGAGTGACGTACTCGGGGAAGGTTAGCGGGGGTGTTGACGATGTATTTGTAGAGAAGGTTGATATTGTCGCCTTCGGGGTTCGCCGGGTCGTCATCGAAGGGAAGATAACCAGCTAGCATCGCGTACTGAATGGAGATGTAGAGGTTAGCGCCAACTAACTCCCTGCACCACGAACCGCACCACTTACCAGGATAACACCGCAGCTCCAAACATCCACCTTTCTTCCGGTGTATAACGAGTCACTAACTACGAGCTCCGGCGCTGCGTAACAGGGGCTGCCGCAGCTGGTTTGCATTAGGTCGCCCTTTCGTGAGCCGTTGGCTTTGACCTTGTCCAGCCCCACGCGCTTAACGAATTCGCGATCTGTCAGGTTCAGCTCTTCCTCCTCGCTCAGCTCCTCGTGCGGGTCGAACGTGTTAGCGAACCCAAAGTCTGTGATGATGATGTTGCGGTTCCGATCCAGTAGGAGGTTCTCCAGCTTCAAGTCGCGGTGCACTATTCCCTTCTTGTGCAGGTAACCCACCCCTGACACGAGCTGGGCGAATAACCGCCGTGCGGCGTTGTCCTTCAGGTATCGGTGGTTCAAGATGTAGTCAAACAGCTCGCCCCCGGAGGCGTATTCCAACACGATTCCATAGTGCCTATCCGATTCTTCCATCTTATGGAGTCGGACAATGTTGGGGTGCGTTAGCTGCTTCAAGATGGCCACCTCGCGCATAATCTTGGCCATGCGTGAGGGGTTGCCGCCTAGCTGGTCCTTTTTGATGAGCTTGATGGCGACCTGATGGCCGGGTTAGCGGGACAAGCGGATTGGGTGACTCGGACGACGACGTACCTGCACACCTCCTTCTTGCTTCCAGCCGAGTTTGACTTTCCCGAACTCACCCTCACCAATTGTATTCCCCAATATGAACTCGCCAAACTTGGTCTGCTTTTCGCGTCTTGAGTGATCGTGCCGACTTCTCCCGCTGCGCCTCGTGTCTTCTGCGGGGTCGGACATTGCAACCACGGGGGGTGATGCCGCATCGTCGTCGTGCAGTCCCGCATCTTGGTGCGGCTGGGCCAGGGCGAGGCGCTCCTTTTCTCTCTCAATGTCAACTTCAGGCTGGGAAATCAAGATGCTGTTCAAAATCTCGCTCGCCTCCCTTGACGGTCCGTTGGTCGAATGCGCGTTGAGAGGCGGTGAGCGGGCTGGTCCTGTCGCCGAAGGGTTTCCGCGGGCATCGCGGGTGCCATTTACCCCGTATTGATCCTGGGAAGCTTGGTTTGCTCGTCGGCTGCGGGAGCTCTGCTCGGACGGATCTATCCTGCCGTTCGCGTCGCGGCTGGAATCGGCGTGGGTTCGGCGGGACGGGTCAGCGGAGCGCTCGCTAGGTTGAGTCCGCCGGGAACTTGATGTCCGCGGAGGGACGGCGGTCGGCATGTTACGCCTTCGCTCCGCGAACTGTAGTTCAGAAGGATCTGTGGCGGAATGCACCGGAATTGTCACCGGTGAGGCGACGGCGGCGCGGGAGCTCATTGGAGCGTTGGGAGAGGGGTCCGCGTCGTCGTTGGTGCTGGGTCTGTAAGGAGGTCGTCCGGAAGACGATGCTGGTGAGGCTCCCGAGAGTTCCTGATTTGCATGATAGCCGGGCCCTTCCCGTGTCGGAGATGGATGGGCCGACGGGTATTGTCGACCGAATTGCGAAGCAGCTGATGTTGGATGATGGGGCACTGTTTGGAAAGCACTGGACATTTTCCGTCTCCGCAGACGCGCAGACAGGCAAGCAAAGTGCGTGCAGCACTAGCAAATGTTTTTGCCTGGTTGGGGGGATTGGTGCCAGTTGAAGCGGGATGATTTGGGGGGTCGAACAGGACCTCTCCTCTCAGCAAAACCAGGAAATCGCGGTCGGTCGAGATGAGACAGAAAATCGCCGACTGTGCGGCGGCGGTGCAGCGCCCTCGAAGTTCCCTGTTTGCGTGGTGCTAAAGTCCAGAAGTCGATTGGCGGTTCGTACTATCAATGGGCCAATTCGATTGGCATTTTGTGCTGCGATTCGATGTCGGGAATCCCGCGTGCTGATTGATCGCCTGCCGTCGGGTTTTAGACTCGCAGGTGCGACGGTGATGTTGGGGTCGCGAGGAGCTACTGCGAAGCCTGAGTCGTGGGCCTTGTTTACTCGCGCCGCACCCGCAGGACAATGCGCCTAAAAAGTTCGGGGGCGGACTCGGTATACGGCAGAGTCTGGAGGTCGGAGGGTAGCCCTGTGCTCCGTGCGGATCGCTCTCCCGTCGCGCGACGGTGGAGAGGGGGAGGAGGGGGGGAGGGAGGAAGAGGGCGGTGAGGGAGGAAGGGAAGGTTTGAGGAGCTGGGAGCGGAGAGCCAATGGGTTTGTTGTCGATGTGGGTGATTGTTTGGCGCTCTTGCCCGCGCTGCCCGTTTCTCGGCTGGGGTTCCTTCCCCCAGTTCCTCCCGCCCGCAACTCGGCCAAGATGTTGGCCAACATGTCCATGCTCTGCAGCATTTGTACAGTGGGAATTTTGGCTTAAAGCTGTTACAGGCCGCCGTTAGCGCCATCGAGGGAGATACATAAACTGCCACCAATTTCCGCTGGTCTGACTCGTACCAGCCCGGTCAGTTTTTACCTCGAAGCCCTTTAATTCCCCAGTCCCAAGCCACCCTCCAGCAGCTGCCGTCGCTCGATTCAAGCACACCTTTCACGTTTCCGCAGACGCGGCTGTCAACAATGGCCGGTGGTTAGTGGGCCGTTGAGCGGGCTGTGAACCAGACCTCGACGGAACATCGCGTTTGGAGAGGAAGCCAACGCGCCAACAAGCCTCGTTCATCTCACAACTTGCCTTCGGACGCATGAAAGCCATAACAACTGTGTAATGGATCAACCTCTTCCTCCAGCTTGAGCGGTCGACCCGTATCCTGACATCACCCGACGCACTCACACCCTTGGGCTGACGGGCTTGCATCACTGACGACGACAGATGGCGATTACAAACAACTCAACTGCATCCCGCTCACGAAACATCGCCGCCTCGCTCAGCCAGTTCCCCTTCATGAAGTGTGCCTCTTTCCGTCTGATGTTTCGAGGCATATGCGGGCATGATTGGATCCTCAAGGGCTGTTTTGCAGATCCTCGTCGCAGTGCCAAGCGATCCGTCCATCCAGCACACTGTGCGTCTTGACCCCTAATAGCAAGCGCCTCCGTACCTGGGCCAAGCGGGATTGAGACATGGTTCAGGGGTATCCGTTTGCAATGCGGTGGACCTTTTTCCACCGACTCCATCATCCCAAAAGAACCCCTCCAGGACACCGACAGAGGGATATCAAAAACGGTTTCGGCAAAGGGGCGGTCGAGATGCACATTGTGACACGATGCACAGAATACAAGTACACAGTAAGCGGCTTTGTTTTGAGTTGTGCCGGCTGTGCCCGTGGCTCTGGGATAATCACTTCCTTCGGGAGCTATCCGAGGGAGCAGGGACGCGGTGAGAGGGTTGCCACAACCGAGGGATTCACAATCCAACCTTGAGAACGAGCGGGCTTTGCGCAAAACGCCGGTTCGCCCGTATCGCCGTCTCCGCATGACACCGATGTTGAACGACAAGGTAATCTGCCCATGGAGCACAACAATCAACCTGCCCACAACTAGTTACCAAGTACAGAATAATCTGTACCAACGTCGCCCATCAGGCCATCCCAGGCTAATATAAACGTGGACGGCGGCACGCATTGATGTCGGAGATGAGGCGCATATCGAAACGCAGGGATGCACCAGCTGACGGCATCCCCCACGGCCGTCGAAAACGGCAACGCCGTGAACAAATCGCATCGTCCCAAAGCAGGGCATCCCATCGTCCCTTTCGGAATTGCGGCTGATCTCGCGGTGGAGTCCCTTGCCTGAACGAGACAGAGTCACGTCCACCCTTGACTTCCAGAAGCGTGGCATCACCCCTCGGCCCCTGCCCATCATCGCAGCCGCGCTTCAGGATCAGAAGCCCAGAAACTGGGCTGACTGAACGACGCTGTCAGGGGCGGAGAAGCCGTGTTTTCTGGCCCCCTTGCAGCAACATGCACCCGCGGCTGCAGGAACAGCAAGATTAGGTGAGATCGGAGATTGAAAAAAAAAAGAAGCACAGATCGAAGCGGCATTGAGATCGAGCACAGGTCGCAATATTTAGATGCACTTGCCCGGCATGTGGAGAGGAGGCGTCCAGCATGCGCCCGTGTATTTGGTCAATATATTACAGGCATGTATGTATTACCTGGTCAGGTATGACGTGTTTCGTAACACCGCGTCCGACGACGTGGGAACAACTTTGCTTTTTGAAAGTGAACCTTTTCAATGTGTCGTTTGGGTGCTCGTTTGTGACCAAGAGGGGAAACCCCAACCCACAGTAGAGAAAAGCAAAACCGGCAATTCGCGAACCCAAGAGCCGGCCGCACTCGCCCGCTGCAAACAGCCTTGTCTTACACTGTTACACACCTCGGAAGCCGACATTATCTAAATATTGATGCCCAATCCAGGGCTACTCACCATCCCATCTTCTTTTTACACAGTAGACGCCCCATCTACAACTTGATAGTGATATCGTACATGTCCAACCCGACCGCAGCAGCCGTCAACACGGCCATATACCCACCCAACAGCCCCATTGTCGGGATTCTGCCCACATCCAGCGTGCGCACCGTCATGTTGACGAGCCCCGTCAGGAGGTTAGCCAGTAGAAAGATGGCCAGGCCGTTGCGGTTATACGCCTTCAGCACACGGCTCGTTGCCGTGTCGTAGGCCTCCTTCTCCGACTTCGCGTCCTGCGCCTTGTAGAATGCAGGAAAGAGAAGCGTGTCGACCAGGCAAAAGGCCAACATGAGCCCGCTGTTGGAGGCCACCACCCACAGTATGTATGGCAGGTTTGCCAACCGCCTGGATACCGTCAACCCCGCACCGTATGTGTAGTCGGTGCAAAGGAGGTAGAGGGTTATCCAGACCGCCGACCACCCGGCCAAGTTGAGCACTAGCGCGCGGCGCCGAGAGCCAGTGGCTCCGGACGCACCGTCTCGGGCAAGGCTCCTCGGTAGGACGAGCATGCCCGTGTCTTGGCCGGCGAGGAAAATGGCGAGGTATCCAATAAAACTGAAAATTCCCTCTCTGTTCATGGACAAGAGGTCGGTCCTCGGTCCCGCCAGGATGTACGCCTTCAGCTCCGTAGTCTCCAAAACCACCTGGTACAAGGTACCAAGCAGGATGGCCAGTCCGGCATACGACGGCACCAACTTGAGCGCCGACTGGAAGAGCGCCACGAAAGGTGGCAAGAAGCCCAGGGTAAAGAAGAAATTCCAGTGCACGCCATACTCCGTCACGTGTTCGGCATAGTCCAGGCCCTTGACGCTAAGCAGCCTCACAACACCCAGAGCGAGGAGCGGTAGAGAGTGACGCAGTGACCGCATCAGCCGAGTAGCTAGCGGTGTGGTTCGACCGTCGGCGCGCTCCTTGAGCACGGGCCGAGATGCGACGACGCCGGCCGAGTAGACAAATGACCCGACGCCCATGTCCATCAGCGAGGTACCCCAGGTTTCCACCTTGGCGTACCGGCGCGGGAACAGACGGAAGTCGACGGCGAGAATGCATATGCAGGTGACGACCATCATGTTGCCACGGTAGTTGGTCAGAAAGGGCTTGGTGGAGAGGGCACCGGGGAGCCCCGGCGATGTTTTGGACTGCGCATTGGGCGGGAGCTGGGGCTTTTTCTTGCGTGCCGAGGGGTTGTTCGGGGGGCTGAAATAAACCACGGCGGCGGGTGCCAGGAGGAGGATGTTGAGTAGGAGAGGCACGCTCGAGTAGAGAGTGACGGAGAGCAGGAGGGCTCCCACGTTGAGGAGGAAGTCGACGACGAAGGCTATCGGGTTATACGGCTTGAAAAACGTTTGTCGGGCTTGGAGGGCAGACCAAAGGAGGGAGACGACCTGTGATGGGATGGTTGATCAGCGACATCCCCGTGATAGCCTCGTTCGATAGTTCCGTCTGATGGTTCATACCGGTGCCACTGCGCAAACCTGGGCAATCTCCACCACGGACCCGCCCGAAAGGTTTGAGACAAAGTCCTCCTTCAATTGCTTGTAGCTCGGCGATGCTGCTGCCGCTGCCGCGGCCGCCGCCAAGTCATCGGCCAAATCAGCCATGTGGAAAGACCTAAGCTGAGGAATATGGGATAAACGGGAGGAGGGGGGGAAATCGGCGTCTCAGAATTTCAGGATAACATTCGTTCTCCTCAACAAACGATCATGCGGAAGTTGCGACTGCCTAATGCCGAAACCCGGCAGTAATTGCCAAGTGAGAAGTGATAGTGGAGGAGTTGTCAGTTTCAAGTTGGCGATGCCAGCTTGCGACTTCCCGATAAGGCCGCCAGCCGCCAAGGTGCGCCCCATCCGGCCAATAGCAACCCTCAGAAGCTCTCCAGGCTGCCAAGACTGGATGCATGCCTGCTCCCTGTCACATTCCAGCATCAGACGCCCGCATTCCAAACCCAATCCTCAACTTTCATGAACTCTTGAATTAAGTTTGGGTTCTCCTCAAAATGTATCGGACGAAGACAAGCAGTAATCATCACTCCTACATCATAAAATGCTGATATATTCGACATTTGGTCTTCAAAGGCTTCAACAACAGCTACGTTTGAACCTCGGTTCCGAAATTCAGGATGCTGCAAACAAATGTTGTCAGTGGCGTGCTTGGGTTTTTTTTTTCTTTGTCCTCTATCCCGGGTTGTGCCGGGAGACTGCACAACTCAGGAGGCTAGTGACGACGCTCTGCTCTGGAACGCACAGCATACCGTGATTCCCGCTATCTTTCCTGCGAGCTCGTCACACTCTGCACGCCCCCGGTCTTTGTCCACCTCCCCCCAGAACTGATGAGTCGCCCAGAGCTTTGTCTCGCATCATTGCCTCTGGCTGACTCACCGGGGATACGGGCTGCTTTGAGGGCGGCATTCTTTCACTGCCGAAGAAAGGGAGTAAGTACAAAAGCAGGCGTCGTCGCCAGCCACGCCGCCACCCCCATTATCGTCGACATGTTCCTCAGCACTTGGAAGGTTGCACTCAACACCACCAGAAATATTCTCACCGTGGTGTCGAACCAACTAGACGCAAGAGTCACTTGAACCGAAATCAGTTGTTACCACACGCCATCACCCAGGATGGAGACAGAGACGAGGTCTCGACCCGAGCTGCGTCCGGTTTGGACCGGCCGCGGCGATCACCCCCAGCCCTCTCCCGGAACCACCGCGCTCTCTGCGACGAGCCCTCTTTACTCGGCATCCTTGAGTTTGCCCAGCCCTATGCACCCAACACCGCCTGGCTATGACCCCATGAGAGCCCACGAGCGAGCTTTGGTGGATAGGCTGGACCGCGTAGATCCTCGGGGGAGGCGGGGATCCCAGCAGTCGCCAACCACGGCCCGGTCGCTCTCCCCCATATCCGAGCAAAACCCAGATGCTCGACGCGGGTCTGCCGCCAGCTTACCCTTGCCCCGTGCTCCGGCACCCTCTCCGCTGTCTCCCAAGCTCATGCAGTACACCGGCCCGCAGACCCTCGCGGCCCGAACGAGAGAGATCCTGCTCGGGGGGTTGCCTGACGGACTACCACGATCGCCGTTGACACCCGCCATCACTAGCGCCATCGACGACCGCCGCCACTCGCTCCCGGCATTATCCTCCCCTAGTGGGCGGCGTAACAGCCAACAAATCCGAGAAGGCCTCCAGGATTGGGGCCATGTATACTTTGGCAACAAGGCCATCGCCGACTGCTTAGTGTCGGCCGTCGCTCTTCGGAGACATAGCGACAGCTCCTCGACAGACGGTGATGCGGCATCCCTGGAACGGCCGTCCGGGGACAGCAGCCAGCTCACCATTCGTGCACGCGTGAGACCGTGCGCGCTCAATCGGGAACCTTTTCTCCTTCGGCGGACATTCGATATGGATGGGCTTAGGGCTACCATCCCGGAGCTGCCGCCCCCATCGGCTGGACCTAGGCGGCCTTCCAGTGAGCTTCCTCTCCGGAGCCCTCTTCCAACCGGCAGGCGGCGTTCATCGGTGGCGGCCAGCGCCAAGCACGGTCTAGATCGCGACAGATCTCACGTCCAGAGCACAAATACAGTGCCGATCCGTCAGTGTGGTTTCTCCGGTTGTCATGATCGTGCCGTAGCTAACAAGTCTCCTACAGATGCCAAGTATGCACGCGCTTTCTTCCCCGTCCTGGCCGCGTTTCTCTATTCAGGCCACATCGAGAAGGGCGACATAATCGACCTGCCCATGCCTAACCCGAAGGTATGGGCTCAGACGGTGGCACACGTTTACACCGGCCAGGGAGAGCTCACGGAGGCAATCAAACAAAACATCGAGTACCTCGGAGGGAAAGCGTGAGATAAGAGCGTGGGGCGCACGAAATCATTCTTCTTTGCCGTCATCGCTCACATGATCTGGGACTGCCCCTGACTACTAATCGACCCCTCTCATCATGTACTTTTGTATGGCGGGCCTTGCCCTGGACTTCCGCAGTATGTCTTTGATGGCGAAATACATTGCTAGTGAGAACCCGCGTTTACCCTTCCGTCGTGTACCGTGTAAGTCGCGCTGACCGGAATATGTGCTCCGTGTTTGCTATCGAGATGGCGTGTCCGAGTTGTGGCCATCGATTGAAAGTGCCTGCTGGTTGGAAATACAAGACTGCGCCCTCCCGCGGGTAAGTTTCTCGCCCCCTAGATCCTAGGCCTTTCCCGAGGCCGATGTTTTGTCTCCGCCGTCTGATGTTAGAGTGGCTAGGCCGATTCGCAGCTGATCCTGAGTCAATACCACGATTATTCGATGAGTCCAGATTCAACTGCCCCTCACCTTCAACCACGGGGACTACGAGAGCCGCCCAACGCCTCTGGTGTGTATATCTATGCCAGTGAGCGTGCACGGTGGTCGTCCACCCTTTCGGCCCAACTGCCATGGACACTGTTCACATCGTGATCTCACCGAGCCAAACGGTCGAAACAACAACTCAAACGGCAACACCAAGTTGACCCAATGAGTAACGTTCCCAACCGGCGTCCCCGCCTGGCCCCGTCTGTCTCTACGCCTGATATTTTCTGCCGGCCCATGGATCCCGCCCCTGCACCGTTGGTGTACATCAACGGCTGGAATGGCGTCGGGAAGGAGACGGTAGCCGAGTACCTGACGCTTCTCCTCGGCAGCGAGAATTCACTACTCGTCGACGTCCGCAGTGTTGGCCGGGAGGCCGCCAGCAGCAGCAATTGTTGCGGCATCAACCGCACCGCCTCCAAACACAAGCACCAACGCCGGCACGAGCACCACCCGCTCTTGACTCCCGAACATCCGCGCTACTTCTCTTCCGACGTCGACTCCTCCATCCACGACCTCAGCCCCCTACCCTCACCCTCCTTCTCATCCACTTCCTTCTCGCCCCCCTCCTTCTCATCCCCCTCCTTCTTATCCCCCTCCTTCTCATCCTCCTCCTCCTACTCACCAACCATCTCCCGCTCCGGCTCCATCTCCTCCGCCTCCACCGCCTCCACAGCCGCCACCTCCACCTCCACCACCTCCGCAACCCCCACCGCCCTCAAACCCACCCCCCCAACAACAACAACAACAATAGCAACCACCATCCCCCCCTCCCCAACAGCAACCACAACACCAGCCCCCGCCCCCGCCCCACCCTGCAGCAGCGAGAACCTCACCGCCCTACTCACCCGCCCCCGCAACGGCGCCCGCATCGCCGTGCTGCCCGCCTGCTGCCCGGATACTGCGGCGGGGCGCGCCGCCCTGCACACCTTCGAGGAGGCGGCCGCCCGCGCGGGGCGTCTGTTTGTCGGGGTCGTGCTGTGCTGTGCGGACGGCGGCGGCGGCGGGGGCGCGGCTTGCGGGGGCCGGAGGGCGGGCGGGGGTGGGAGTGGGGGTGGCGGTCGAGGTGGTGGAGGGTTTGGTGGTTTTGGTGGTGGTGGTGGTGGTGGTGTTGGTGGTGTGGGTGGTGTGGGTATGGGGAGGGCTGTTGGTGGCGCCCCGAGGAGGAGGGTCGCTAGTGTCGGGGGGTTGGACTCGGTGCTGCTGTCGTCGGCGTCGGCGTCGGCGTCGGCGTCGTCTGGGTGGTCAAAAGAGGAGGGGGGCGGGGGTGGGGTGGGGAGTGAGGATGGCGGTCGTGCTGATGGTGGTGATGGTGGTCACGGAGAGGGAGGAGGGAGACAGCCGACGGGTGCGTCTATTATAGGACGGGGTGCGGGAGGGTACGGGGAGGCGAGGGGGAGGGCGTTCAGTCTGTACGGTCCTGGAACCCAAGTCGGTGGCGGAGCTGGGCCTGGGACGGGCATGGGGTCGTGCTGGGCTCGGGGCGGCGGGTCGGAGCTTGGCCTGGCGAGGCCTACGAAGGCTGGGCTGACCGTTGATGCCTCATGTTTGCCGCCATTTGAGGTGGCGTTGGAGATTATCGCGTTCGTGAAGGGGCTACAGGCAGAGAGGGATGCTGAGCTATGCAGCAGTGCCTGTAGCGTTGCCACGACGCCCGGGGAAGGGCTGGAGAGTGAGGGGAAGCTGGAAGCGCCGGGAGTGCCCGAAGGGAAGTGAGGGTGAGGTCTTATACCAGAGTGGCTGGCGCAGTCTCTCGGCCCCCCTCCTCAGCAGGGCTGTCCCGAGGGGACAGGCACGGGCTAAGGGCGGTACAGATTATATCTTGGCCTCCGCGATGTGGCCCCGAGACCAACGAGCCACGCCGCGCGCCTAACGGGTTCTATTGGTTTCCCCTCACCGACTAAGAAGCGAGACCAACCAGATCTGAGCGAGCCACACCGGTCACGAAGCCACACCGCCCCCCAGGGCACAAGACCAGGCCGGGTATCTCGGCACCGTACCCGTACGGCGTATTATATTGCGCGGTGTGGTCTGCCTTGTTTTGTTTCACAACCTCCTGCAGGAGAGGGACGGGCCGTGTGAGACACAACGTCCAGGCAAGGATGGGAGACAATATCACATGGCGCTTCAGCAGGGGACGACCGGCCTTGGCCTCTGTTCGGGCCGGAGTAGCCTCCGGCCCCTTTCACCCACGCTGCTCACCTTACTCCCAGTCCGGGGGATACGACACGGTGAGGCCAGACCGAGGTCAGACCCATCCGGTATATGACCAGGGTCAAAACTGTTAAACCCTCCGGTCTGGGGTCGTTCGTTGGCTGTAACCCCCGGTTTCCGCCCAGCTTGCCTACACCCACGGCCCTCCAGCGGTGCTGTACCGGACCAGGGGGCGGAAGGGCATCCCCGGGACGGCATCTCGCAGATTCACCCACGATAGCCGCAGGAAGGCCCCCAGATTGCGCCACGGGTGCAGTAGACGAGTGGGGAGCACAGCCGGGGAAGAGTTCGACATGAACCGGATCTTGGCTACGACAGGGGCGCGTGTCATGTAAGGGACGGACTGTGTACCCATGGTTGGTATTTGGATGCATTTCACGGCCTGTTGGCGCTGGCGTCGGCATTGAGGCTTGCTTGAGGGACAAGTCTAGTTGTACTTTTATCGGAAAGATGATATCCAAACATGAAAGCATGAAATGAGAACACCGCTTTACGAAAAAGGTTTCAATCGCCATGTCCCGCCCTCAAGAAATCGCTCCCTTATACCTGTTCCTATGTATACGACTCCTTCGTCCAGATGTTCAGACACAAGCCAAAGATAGCGGTTCAAACTCCGTAGTGTATGTCATAATCGTAGCCACCACCACACTTACGCTGCCAACTTCCTAGGAACGAGTTTGCCACGTCTCATTAACATTCATCAACTCCCCCACGGCCAGCTTTCCACACTAACGACAAACAAGTTCCGTCCCCTGTAAAACCATCCCACTCACATCCACTTCGAATGTCTCCCCAAACGGAACACTCCGTGGCAACACTATCGACCATATCCACATCTCCACATCCCACGAGCCTCTCCCCCATATACATGAGAAGTACATGAGGTACATCCACGGTACCTCACACGACAACCACCAACAAGGCAGGCCAAAAAAGCAAGCGCAATCTCCGCAGGCCCCTCCCAGAGCCCTCCGATCCCCCGACGCGGGCCGAAGCCACAGCAAAAGAAGAGGAACCCGGCGGGGGCACAACTCCACACAAGGGCGATCACCAACAAGGCTCAGGGGTGGTGGAGGAGTGAGGGGAGGAGTGCGAAAGTCAAAAAGCAGGCGAACCGAACCGAGCCGAACCAACAACAAGAAGTTGATCGCCCATGACCCAAGATGGCGCAACTGGAGCGCGCAACTCCTCAAGCAATTGCTCTCATCACAAAAAGTCCTCAGGCCCCATCGCAATCTTGTTGCGCGTCGAGCAGGCTCCACGGGCGGTGCGACGCTGCAACGGGTGTCGCAGTCTCCGGAATAGGTAGGTTGCTACGCCTACACTGGGCGCGCGGGAAGGAAAGACGTAACAAACTCCCTCACTTTCGCAGGCGGCGAGTCCCTTCCTGGCCTTTGCCTTGATTCACCAGGCTCGCTTCCCAGCGAGCCCAGATTCCAGCCCTCCCTGCTGCTGTGCAAGGCGACCGAGGGAAAGAATCAAGTTTTAGGGGTCGTCCTCGTATCACTTGACCTGCCGTGAGACTAGATTAGGATATTTGATGTAGTATGTATCAGCAAAGCTGAAACCCAGCGGTGGCGTGAGAGAGTATCAACCCATCTCTCCATCTATCCAACCCACCAGCCCACCATCTCGGCTCAGCTGCGAGAGCGAGAAGCAAGATAACAAGATCTCCCATTCCCAGTTTCTTTCCCAACTTGGTTGCAACCCCCCGCCAAATCTCTCCGATGTCCGGATCGCCATCAATAATCCCTCGGAGAAGCAGCACCCAGTTGCCTTGCCTTTGCGGGAGGTTGCCTTGTGCCATCAACCCGTTCGCACATACTTTCCGCATACAACACGTCTCGAGAGGCAATCGCCGCAAGGATTGGCGTTGTCCCATCAATCACAACACGCCGCTTTCCCTTCCCTTGTGGTAGTGGGATGCCGCTTGACTTGCAGGACCCTTTCGGTTCCTCCGTCGCCTCCCGTACCCGGCCAATCACCCCGCCGTGTTCGTGCTGGAACGAGGGGGGACCAAGTTGGTTAAACGCCGGGCCCAGGGCTTGGCCCCGCTCATGCGACTCTGAAGCGGTTGATTGCGTGCATGTTGGCGGCAGCGCCCAGGGTCCAGACACCACAAGATTATGTGAGCCGGGAAAAAAAGAGGGGATAGCTCGGCCGTCAACTCAGCAATCATTCGACCCAAGGAAAAATGGGGGAGGAATATGTCAAAACTTTGCATAAATTGCAACTTATGTGCGTGTGTGCGTCTCCCACAATCCCACAAACTCCCTCACCTTCGTGTATTTCTTATGTAAACACTCAGAAACGCAACCCTCAAACAAACACCGAAACAAAACACCCTGCTGGTCTGGTGCGGCTAAGTTAGGTAACCAATTCACACCCGGCTTTGTTTCGTTTCATTTTCGTGATCTCCTCCGGCCTAGACCCGGCCCTCGCCTGAGCCAAGCGGCCCCAGATTTGCGATCCGCGCCGTCGACCGTTGACAGGCCGTGCTTTTTCAAGGGTCTCCCGGCGGGATGCGGGGCAGATTGCGGATCCCCGGCCTGAGTCGCCGAGGGGGCTGCCGGATTCCACCCTATCGCCGTTGATGTTTCGCTTCGGGACTTTGGCCGCAACCCGCTCGCATATTTCGACAGTTCCAGCCGGCCTGCAGCCAGAAGGAGATGGACAGGTGTCCGGAATGTGACACCTCAGCTTTGCATCAAGCCTTGCTTTGCATATCTCAGCGGGCGGAAGAGCTCTGGCTGCTGCCGGGCATGGAAACTGCAGTGCGTCTGCTCCAGTGTGCCGCCCATCGTGGCCTCACCATTCCATCTTCGGAGCTACCGATGGTTCTCGCCAAGGAGCCACTTGGCTCAACTCCTCCGGCCTTCTTTCCGAAGATTGATCCTTAGAGGACAGAAACCGAAGTGGCCTTGCCAAATCCATATTCTGCGCGCAATAACTCAAAAAACAAAATAAGGAATCCTCATCCATCCTAATCGTCCGCAGTCAATGATTCGGTAGCGTGCTGTGAACCGGCGTTGAGCAAACCGTGGGATCGTGGCTGGCCTTGGCATCTTGATAAGCTTCTCGCTTCGTAGATCTTCTCCTTTCTTTTTGCTTCCCTCCCACGGTTACCACAACCGTCGATCAGGAAGTTCCAGAAGCAGGCCGGCCGAGACCAACCTATGAGAGTGGCCGGTGGCTTGATCTCTCCGACGACCACGGAGGAAGTATGTCGGAATGATGGCATGAACGCCTTTTAACCGGCCATTCCGATGGTAGGTCGTTGCCACTTGTCCAAGGCACGGCAAGCCACGCCAACAAAACGCCACGGGTTTGACAAGTCGCTCTCACGTGAAGCCGTCGGCCGGCGCTGGAGTGCATCATCATCGCGCCGCCGGCGGGTCCCTGAGATCGCCGTCACTCTCCCGGCTAAGTAATCTCGCGGGCGTTTGGTGACGCAGTTCGCGTCAAGACAACCATCGCCATTTCGGGTTCCGCGTGCATGCCCGCAGATTCTAGCCGTCCATCCACCCACCCACTTGCCATCATCCGGCGCCGAGCCCACCTTCCTGGTGTCACCGAAAGGGGGTTGTCGCCGATGGAGTCGGCGCCGGCAGGCTCGGGGTGTCGCATTGCGGCAGTCCCTTCCATGCCGTGCCCCGAGTGCCGACTTCGCAAACCCACACGGTCCACGCTGTTCCGGGACAGCAGCATGACGCAACATCAGTTTCGTGCCGCGCCCGGTTTGTTTTCTTTGCATTTTGTGTCCCCGCTTGTTGACACGCTGGCTGCCGCTTCCCCAGGCTCTTGCGTCAGTCTCCGTCCCGCGGCATCCCAGCCTGCCTCCGCGTCAACAGCCTGCATCGTCTTTTTGTCAAGAAAACCCCCAACTGCCGTGGGAATTATCAGGTAACGACTGGGGCCGCGACACCGTGGGCGTGCATTCGCTTGCCGTGGTGGTGCACTACGGCGGGAAGCCCTGCATCGGAAAGCCCTCCCAATGCTGGATGAGGTGGCATCGCCTGCATGTGTTGGATGTCTTGGACCTGCGGGTGCGACATCCGGCATATTGGCAAATGCACATTGAGCTGCAGGGCGGCAGAGTAGAAAAATAATGCAATGAGACGATGATAGCAGTAGTTTGGCGTGAAACTGCGGTTGGTAAGAGTGTCTCAAAAACTGGTGACGCGTCTCTGCGCTGGGAGAAGGGAAAAGAACGAGATACCTACCTGGTACATGCCCTGCTCCAGCGCTGTCTCTCTGGGCACCGTTACGGAGTCCGGCAACTCGCGGGTTTTTCGGATTCCGTCTGCCTCCACCCCCTCCCCCAACACCCCCTCAACCCTGACCCCAGTACATGCCAGGCCGAGGGTAATCTCTGAGTGGTCGGCGACGAGAGTGCTGATCGTGAGCACATGCGCACCACCGATCGATCCCACGGCTCTTCACTAGCCCAGTCTGGAACCGCTCCGTTGTGGCACAGCCACAGACTCATCTCATCCACGTGCGAAAGCTGTTTGGGAGAATGATCGTCGAGTTGACGGCTTCGATGTCGACTTCGACGTCGCTCAACTCTCTGAGGCAGATTGGTGATGAGAGAAACCCGGTCTTGCTCCACTGTCATCCCGCTCTTCCTGCTTTGACACGCCCATCAACAAATGCAGACTGCAGTAGCTTGACTATCTTCTGCAAGACATGCGTCGTTGAAAGCCCACCCAAACTGTGCCACACTCCCACACGCCTGTGGGCCCAGCAGATGCAGGTCCGAGAGGAAGGGGTAAGGCGCGGCTCCCTGGGTGGGAGGGGTAAACAGCAGCGCTGCAGTCGGTGCTAGACACACCCTCGAGGGGTGTTTTGGAAAGATTGGCTGGAGAGGTATGGCAGGGATTAGGCGGCTCATTGTGCATCGTCGTGGGGCTTTGGACGGAGGTAATTCTTCAATTCTTCGGATTGCCTGATTGTTTACCAGGCCCTCCACTCCGCCGAGCGTTGGCGGCTTTAGATCGATGCAGATTGACGATTCGGTCGATTGTGCTTGCTCCTTGCGCAGCGAGTGGGTTGCGTGCCGCATCGTGGTGGACGTCACTTCGGGTGAAAGTGGCATCCTCGTGTTGAAGGGTGTGAACGAGATCGGAACTGTTCCCAAACCAGTTGCTTGGCGATCAGGAGCCTCCACGCCACAGCGGTTATGTCTACCAACGAGGTCGCGTGCCGGCGCGATGCGATGTCTCAAGCAACTGAAAAGTCTCCGTGGCCGATCTCCGAGACAGGCTGACCGAGTTAGCTGGAGCCAGAGTTGTCATGGGGCCACCGAGCGATGATGAGGTGAGACCGAGTCTCCGAGCTTAGCCGGGGATTGTTGAACAAGTGCCCTTTCCTTTTTAAGCATTCCTGGGGGGGTAGATGCTATTCCAATTCCGTTTCGGTATGATCCTCCTCACAGGCGGGTGGAGAAATAGGCGAAAGTTCTCGGCCTTTTCCTGACCGTGCCGTTACAACGGCAATCGCATGAGGCAGGAGTAACGCCCTTTCGCATGCGGCTGGGAAGCGGGGGTGTATTTTATAAAGGACAAGCCAACATCTAGGCGATTCTGGCACCACATATCCATGGCGCACAGGTAGAGGCCGCGAGGATGATCGCTGCTGGCAGGGTTTGCTTGATCGTGTGTCTGGTGTGTTTGGTGCGCGCCACGAAGGAGGGTCCGATGTTGTCTGCTGTGCATGAAGCACGTAATGCCGTCGGTGTACGGTACCCAGCGCGCCTCGTGTGCCATGTGTGTGTGTGATGAGTTCTTGGTCCTGAGACCAATCGCTGGCAGGAACGGGCATTCCCCAGGCATCCAAGATGGGTAAGCCGAAGACCCAGCCCGTGAGGTGAGACAGTCCAGTGACGGTGACGTACCTTCCCTACCTCGCTCAACGGTCTAGGCTACCTTGGCTGAATGCCTGCCGGTCGCTGGGGAAGGAGCAAGTGGGCCGAGGACAGCGGAGGGGGGCAGTCACGACTCACGAATCAACCCGACTCAGAAGCTGCAGCACCTGCTCGGTCGACCTGCACGAAACCGCCCCTGTCCGGGACCTCGCCATCTGCTATCCGCACATGGGGGGTTCGTCCGGAGTTCCCTGTCTGCGGGGACAACCAATCGTGAAGGCAAGCTGCAAGATCGTTCATGCGCGAGGCCTGCCAGGGCAGTCGATGGCTGGTCCATCTGCAGGACGGGGACCAGGGTTCGAGGCGTGGGGGGCAGGGACCTGACTGCGTGTGCTTCTCGATCAGGCATTCTATTTCGAGGGCCCCGAGCAGGTTACCACGAACGGTGACATCTGTCGCCTCGAAATCTGCTGTGTAAGATAGTACTTCGTATACTTGTAAGCTCCGCATGACATGTAGCGGCGCCGTCGAGGGGACATGTGACTCGATGGAAGTGAACTCTCGGAGGCAACTGTGTGAAATATCTACCAGAACGGCAAAGATATTCCCTTTTCGTACGCGGGACTGCAATGCTGATGTCAATAGGGCATGGAAGACCGCAGCAGCGTGGGAAGAGGGCGTGTGTCTGGCCGGGGAGTGAGAATTGGGGAACTTTCGCTTGTTTTCGCCAAAACTCACCAAACACACATACACCTGTTGACAATTCGTCCGGATATACGATGGGAACGCGCACCTGCGGGCAAAGCATCATCATGCCGGATCGCGCCCTAGTCCAGGTTGAAGTTGTGTCACATGGGCTCCATCCGGCCAAGATTCGAAGCATCATCTTGCACGAGGCAAACGCACAATGGCGTGCATTGATATGTTGTACCACCTAACAAGGGATAAGATCAGTCCACAGTAGCCTGATTGGGATATTTGCTTGCCCTTGATTGGCCAATTGTGAGTATCATGGATTTGCGAATCAAGATCCCAACCACAGATCGTCAAGAGGCCCCGGCTGCAACAGTGAGGGCTTCCCCATTTCGGTCATTGTTTTTTGGTTTAATTTGTTTATTTTCTTTATTTTTTTTTATCTGAGCATTTCCGTTTGTCTAAACACCTAGTCTACCTAACTATAGTTAACGGATTGTTCTAATGCGCCTCGAATTTCCTTCCTCCCCCGTGTCTTCACAACCAACCTGGGATTAATTCCTGCTTCAGCTGTAACTTCCCTTCGGCTCCTCTTTTTGTTAACCACACAAAAGCTTGAGAAATAACTAGAGAAACAAACACCCGTATCATTCTATGCCCACAGGGAGCCAGGCTATGCGCCGCAAGCTTCCGATGCCATCGTCCTGTCCTTCCTACCACCCCAGCCATCGCCAATTGGTACCATTAAGATTTAGGTAGACACCGGCTTCCCGTTTAGAGGGAGAGCCAAATCCTTCCCCCCAGAGGTCGAAAATGAAAAAGAGAAACAAAAACTCAAACTTTTGTTTTCCCGACTCGGCCCCGATCCGATCCCCGTTTATTTTATGGTGCCTCGAAAAAGAAGATGCGCCCCGGCATGGGTCACCCAAATTCCCTGAAGCAATCCCAGCCCATGTCGAGTCCTGTTTAACCTCGACCCTGTACCCCTGGTGCCATGGAGACCGAAATGAAATCCATATCATTCAGCCATGAGTCGTAATGTTCGTTGAGCCGGGAGGATGAGAAGGTCTCTTGTTGGAGACCGTCGAAAACCAATGTGCCCGTTGGTTGGTTGTTGTTGCGATGCTGCCTTAGCGCATTGGAGCTTTGGTGGCTTTTGGGAAGGGAACTTCCGCCGTCACAGTGCAGCCAATGAGGTCGCGCTTTTGGGACGACATGGCGGCGCGGCGGGCCTGTGAAAACCGAGAGTGCCGCATTGCTTTCGGCAAGTCCGGCCCAAATGGTGTTGACATGCTCTGGCTGCGAGGAGGCTTCTCCTGCAGACGGAAAGTGTTGTGCTCGTCACCGTCCTCACGGCTTCCCCAAGACGTCTATTTTTTGGTTAGATAAATGGTTAGATGGGGGAGGAGGGCAACTCGTAGCATACCTGTTTGAGGGTGCAGAGCGCCCACAGCTTGATCAAGCCGTGAAAATAGCCGAACAGGATGGACACCGGCAGGAACATAATATCACTCGGGTTCCTGCGGAACAGCCCAACCAGTTTCACTACTTTGGTAAAGGCGAACATGAATGCGATCTCCGTCCCAAGCAGGATGTAGCGATTCTTGAGCTCCCAGTTCTCCGTACCCCACCAGCACGAGAAGAGCAAGAGAGGGTCGACAAGGAACGCGAGCGAGGTGAAAGTCGCAATGTGCAGGGCATAGGTGCACCACGGCTGCTGACTGGATTTTACCGTCGTCAGCAGAAGCTCAAACTCGTAGAAGGGGGAGGAGGCATAGCATACCTCAGGACGTATTTCTCGTGGACCAGGCTAGTCCAGTTGCTCCTCCAGTTGCTCCGTGCCCAGCGAGAGCACTGATAGAGAAATTTGGTGCTGTTTTCGAGGGTTGTCTCAATCTCGCACTCGCGGTGGTACTGAATCCAGGTCTTCCACTGGTGAGCGACCAGCCAGCGAGTGACAAAGTTGTCGTCATCGGCGTTAAGGATGTACCTCCCCCATTTCTCGTTCTTGAAGTTGCCCAAGAAACTATAGCTCTTGAGAATCTCCGTTCGGTAGGCACCCGTGCGCCCAGACATGCACGAAGTGCCGCCGTCGATATTGTGCGTCGCCGAGATCTCAAAATTCCGGCGCTCAATGTAAGCGGCACCGAGCCAGTTGAAGATGCGGGTCATGATATCCCCGTCGACGACGCGCTTTACCCTCTGGCAGGTCCCAACGCCGCCCATCTGATCGTCGTCAAATGGTGCGAGAAGCCATGGCATCAGGGTGGAAGGCCACTCCACGTCGTCGTCGGCCATGACCGTAATGGAAGTCTTGACGTGATCGTCTTCGAGCGCCTTACACACCTGCAGACGTTTGTTCGCCTTGTCCACGTGCAGTACATCGATTTCAACGGAGGAAGTAAAATCCGGCATCCGTAGAGACTCGGCGACCTGGCTCAGGGCTTCGTGCTTGTTCCATGTCGTCACGAGCACTAGTTTCGCCGGCTTGCAGGCCAGAATGCTCTCGAGCGAGGGCCGCAGCTCCTCTGGGCGGTTATGGATGGTGGGGATGATCACCGTGACGTCTTGGGAGGTGTATCTCGGCTTCTCCAAGTTTGGCACCACTGACTTGTAGCACCAATGGCTGATGCAATGGACGATAAGTCGCACGTATCGATGGAGCCTGTAATAAGCCGTTAGCCGGCGAGCAGCAAAAGGGCCACGGGGTGCCGAGAGCGGCACGCCAAGCCCGGGTAAAGCAACCATACCAAAGGACTATGTGAAAAACAGCCCAGAACTTGGTGGACCAGAGAAAGTCCAGCCTCGGAATTACAATATCCATTAATGAAGGCATGCTGAGGCGAAAAAAGCGGAAAGCGAGGAGTGTATCCGTCCTAAGGTCCAATATGACTAAAGTGGTTCAGGGACGTTTTCCAGCCCCGGAATATCAACGAGCACGTCTCGCTGAGCTGTGAATCGGGGTCGCCGAGATGGCAGTGGCCTGGTCGAGGCGGGACTGCGAAAATGGATTTGAAGACGGTATTCAGACCGGATCGGCTCCGAGGTTAAGCGAGTGCAGCTGGTCTGGCGACGGAAGGCAGAAACGGCACCGCCGTATTATGGGAATCGACGCCAACTGGGGCCGTCGTCAAAGAGGGTAGGAACGAAAGGTCTACCTGCTAGGCCAAAGGTTTGGACAGGAAGGCACCCCCGAATCAGACACCTCAATGAGCAGTGGTAGACGTTTGGCGAGAAAGGACCGGCCGTGTTCAAGGCGGGACTGGGGCGGCGGAAGGGAGACGGAACGACCGACACAAGCTGCTCCTGCTGACACGACGGGAATGTGCCGTCGGGGGAGGGTGCCAAGGGATGGTATACACGACAAGATGGGCGAGGGCTCAAGGAAACAAGACCATTGCCAGGACCGATTGGTCTCTTTCCTGGTGAACAACGACAAAAAGAAACAATAATAGAAAAGAACAAGAGGTGTCGGCAGACTGAGTTGGAGGGGGGGGTCTAGACTCGGGAGGGAGCACCGGGATATATAGGCAAGTGCAAGAGGATAACAAGCGAGGCAGAAGGCGAGGCAGGCATTGAGACTGTTACTTAACAAGTCGGCCGAGTGTGCCTGTGGAAACGAGGAGGGGCGAATGGCGAGACGAGACCGGGACTAGTAACGAGGGAGACGGTACCTGGAAAGTACAGCACGCCGGCCGCGGGCCGGCAAGCGTCTCTCGTGCATGTCACCAATGTGCTCCGGTCAAGTCCACCAGAAGTGAGATGCAATCTTAAGGTGCAGCCGTACCCCAGTACCCCCGTATCCCCGTCCCTCCGTACATGGACTGGCTCCAGCTGGTGGGCAAGTCCCTCTTTTGGTGCGTGGCTTCTCGTGCGGTGGAAACGCCAGATGGCGGGCGAGACGCGGGTAGGTAAAATGTAGGGCAGGGTAGCCGTCCAGCCCATGTCCATACATGAGGTGCATTGCGCAGATTGGTTGATGAACCGCACGTCGTAGTAGGCCAAGCGATGTCGAATCGGGAGGCAGGGGGGTGCCCCTACGCAGCCCCACACCATGGCTTGCCAAGGCCCGTTGGGGCTATGTTCCCTTCGGGGTATCGCATGCACCCTCGGAGGAGGGGGTGTGCAGACAGCCTGTGGAGGAGACAGACCACCCCACGTCCCTTTGAAGTCCCCCCCGGATGTGCAGCTTTTAATTTTTTGACATGCAAGCGAATCAGACGTACCGACGCAATTCCTCTCTGCTGTCCCAGAGCCCGTTTTCTCGCCCTTCTTCTATGGCGCCTCACCAGAGCGTTTTGACGTGCGTGTTGATGGTCAAAATTGAAGTTGGGGGGAGGAGGAACAAGAGACTTTGAAATGGCTGTGCGGAGTCGCGTTCCCTTGATCCACTCAGGAGGAGGGACCGAGAAGAGACAGCCGAGTACCACGAATGTACTTCGTACTTGGGCTGTTTGGAATCCACGTGAGAATCTGCGGCCGAGCCGCCCGTGCTCCGACCTTCGAGACGCCTGGGCTTGCCAGACTCTCGCCGGCCCGGTGAGTCCACCGCGGGCTAGATCGCCGTTGAGAGGGCGAAGCCTTCGCGTCTGGCTTTCTTTGGCAGCATCCTTCTCGTGACGGGTGCGCTGGCTGCCTGTGGCGATTGCTCGATATCACATGGGGAGTGCTCCGGGAGCGGTTATTGGCGAAGGGGTGGGCAATCAGCGCTGGAGTTCAAAGGCCCACAGGGGCCAAGGATCCATCGATAGTACAGTTTGCAAGTGATGGATCATCCAGTTGGGATGGCCATGTCCTGATCGAAGTCTGTGCGGCCGCAGAGCTCAGCGAGGTCGCAAATTCGCGCTTTTCCACCCCCCGAGAAACACATCGCTCGTTGCTCGAACAAGCCGCGCGGCTGATCATGGTGAGACTTATGAGGCCCATGTTCGCGCGCCAGGCAAGGGAGCGCGGCTGAAGAGCGAAGATCTGGGGTGGAGCTGTTGGTTTCTGCACCTCTTGGCGTCGCTTTGACGATTCGCGAAATCCCCAGCTCCCCAAGGATCCTCTCTGTTGGAGAATGTCTCGCAAACTCACTTGGATGTCCTTGTGCGCCTGGGCCCGCGGCCGAGAAGCGTGACAGCAAACGGCAACGCAAGGGGTGGTCTCCCTCGACTCGGTCCTAATACGGACCAACAAGGTCTTATCATGTCACCTTGCTGAAGGCCCCGTCGCCCTGTTTGGGCTTCGGGCCTGCCTCCTTGAGCAACCCTCTGGGGTAGGGGTGCGGGATGTAATTTGGAGAACCTGGAGTCGACGCATCTCAGGGTCCAAACCCCCCAACCGCAATCTTGGACCAGGGTCGGCCGAAACCATCCGTGTGAACCTTCGCGAACGGTTGTGCTGCGCCTTCCCGTCCCGGAGCCGATTGTGCCTGGTTGTATCGGGGAGCTCTGTGACGGCCGGTTGGGTACGCAGCTCTCGTTTCTCGTCTTTCGTCGAATCCGGTATCCTCCGGTGGCGAGGACGGCTTGATATCGCCGATCACCGTCCGGTCGAAGCCGGCTCGGCACTCATCACGTCGAGGCACGGAATACAAGACCCGCAAAGCCCTGTGGGAACGACTGCTCACTCGTCGTTACACCTTGAATGCGTGATCCGTGCGCCCATACATCCCATGAGCGGCCCGCAGGTGCCTCCGGAGATATCAACCTATTCGGCCGTGTTGAGGGTGTCGGCAATGGTTTGACCCACAGAGAGGTGAAGCACACAACACCGTTGCAGTCTTCCGCACGCATCTAGGCCCAATAGCAGCGCCAGGTGAGCGAGCGACGGCACGCTTCGGTGAGCATCAAGGGTTCCGCACGGGCAGGGTTCGTGGATTTGGAGACCGGACTGGAGGGTGAAAGGCCCCCACTCGCCGGCCCGCAGCAAGCCCGCAGCCAACAAAATGGGATCAGCGGCGAGTTCGGACGCGGTCCGTGGTCCGTGGTCCGTGGCCCGGAGTCCTGCCTGCGCGATCAGGGTTGCGAAACCATCCGAGTTCTGCCTGTAGTGTGTAGTTATGGAATGGACCGACATGGCGAGGATGGCGAGCTCTGTCCTCGAGTCCGAGGACGTTTCGCTGGGGTGATAAGCATTGGCTCGGTGGCCGGGGTTGGTTTTTCGCGCCAATTGCCCCTCCACCAGGAATATTCCTCTTCTCGGTTGGCGGACAACTGTTGCCTAGCATCTGATATGGAGGTTTCATCAAAGAGCCCCCGACCGCCGCAGCCTTGCCGGCTGCACAACCGAGAGGCATACTAGGATAGTTACCGGCTGGGGAGGTGGTCATCCCGGTATTTGGGCAAAATGCCGATACAGCTGCTGGCCGCATTGAACCGGGCGGTAAATAAACAAGCCGGGTGCTGAAACCGAAGTCCTTGCGCGGGCGGCCTGCCAAGTCTGGATTGGATCAGTGGGAGTCTCGAGAAGACAGCGGGGAAACATCCTCTGCCTGCAACCATTTATCTGAAATGCGCTAGCAAGAGAGCCCGCTGAAGCTAATGGCGGGCACGGCGATCTCCCGAAAGACTTGTGTGGCAAACAAACAAGAAGCGCCGGTTCTTCTGAAAAATAAAATTTTGTGGGCAGGGCGCACAGGCCGCCGGCCGGCTTCGGGAGCGACCGCCTGCCAAGCTTTGTCCCGCGAAACGGCAGGGGCGAGGCAAGTTCGGTGGGGGGCCAGCCCTCCCTTGATCAGTCGATTTGGGCCGCCGAGTCTTCAAAAGGCAGGAACAAGTATCGATATTGACATGCGTTCTTTCAGTGCTGATGGCGGCAGTAGCGAGGGAAATTACGTGGCCCCCGCCCGGAAATTCGCTCGTCTTGTGGAAACATTTGGCGATGGGAGGAAAGCACGAACAGCCTTCAAGGTTCTTTTGTTGAGCAAGCTCGCTCTCAAGCTCAACTTCAGAGCTGAGTTTCTGCGACCTACCCATTCCCCGCCCGAAGTCTCGGCTACGATTGCCAAATAAATGATCTTCAGTTTACTTCAAACATTAACATGGGGGATTGAATATAAAATCGAAACATTTAAAACAGTCATTTTATTCTTCCGGTTCCAAAAAGTTCGCCGCATGAGCCTCCATCTCCCAGCATGGGGGAATCGCGAGGTTTCCCGGCTGCCGTTCGTAACTTGAAACCGCTCTTCACCGTTCCGTTCCACGGTTCCAATGTTTTCGGAGCGCATTGCGCAATCTCGAGACAGGTTGTCCTTTACGGACCGGAAGTCTCTTCAAGCCCTTCACTTAGACAACGGGAGGCAGATTACGTTGTTGTCCCTCGCCATCTCTCGTCATCCCCCCAGTCGTCCCTCAGTCAAATGGGGATAGCAGCGTTACATCCAGAACTTCTGTTTCATTCCCCAAATTCTTCAACAACCCTGCACCTCCTCCCCCGGATAGCAACGCGCAACTTCCAAGATATCCTCTGCCCTCGTTTATCAGCAGAAAGGAAAACAAATTTGCTTCCGCCCACCATGCAGGCCTGCCCATCACACGCATTACATATGCCATGCCACACAAACTGCCCCCCAACTGCCTGCCGGGGCTCGTCCTTGTCCCCAAGGGTCCACCGGCCCAAGCGCGGATCAAGCGGGAGAACAGGCCCGGGGAAGCAGGAAGGCTCTTCCGGTAGATGCGGACGATCTGGATGATGTGCACCCAGAGACTTTGACCCGTGGCTCTCTTCATGCGGTCGGCGTGTCATTTTTAGATGAAGAGCCTCCGAAAACGAACACAGTACTCTAACGAAACGGCGGAGCTCGTGAGTTGGCTGGCGCAGAGTGGTTTGGAAGAATGACCGACTAGCAAGGGGGTTCAGATTTTTTTTTCCCCCAAGCACTCTTCTCCATGACGCGCCTTCCTCCTGCATATGCCTTGGAGTCTTGGTTGCATTCTGTTACCACATCGTGCGTTGTCCGGCTTCGCTGATGCAAGTGTACAGGGTTCAGGGCCGCAAATCCTGTCAACCAACGCGGCAAAACCATGGGGCCTGCTTTCAAACAACATTCGAAACCCCAAGAAATTTTCTACCGTGCCGCCGGAGTCGGGGCACTTCGAGCGTTCAGCTCGACTGGTTTGGAAGTGGTCGGACAGGCTACGTGGTTGGCAAAAATAGGATCGGAGCGAGCGTTATGGCCTGACCGCGACTGGCGGTCAGACGAGGCCGAGCGCTTTGCAGACCCAACCTCGCAAATTCACAGGGGACAAACAAGTGTCAGAATGCCTTTGTTTCGCCAATACCTACGAAGTCCGGCGCCCTCGTCTAACCCTAAGCTTTCGGGCCACTTAGACACATCCCGGCTTCTTGCCGCGGGAGGGATGTCGTTTGGGAACTCGGGCCGCCCTCGCTCATAGGCTTGATGCCGACGACGGACAACGGACAGCGGCGAGAGGGCTTGTTGGTGCTCTGATGCGCCTTCGTCCTGTGGCAAGCGCCAAACTCGATCTGCGTGCCGAGTGGCCGGAACCCATTCTCCTTTGTCCAGCACCTCCATCGACTCAACGAGGGAAACGAGCTGATAGGACGTGAACACCGTTCCTGTGAACGAAGGGGGTTCTTGCGAGGCACTGTTGCACGTTGGGGACGACCGTGTGAAAGGTGACGAAACATGAGAGGATCTTTGCCTTCATTGGGACTCTCCATTTGGCTTGCCGAGGCCGTTTTCATGACACACATTCAAACCGCCGAGGTCAGCAGTGTTGTCAAGCTGAGGGGAAAGTACGCCCTTTGGGCTCTGGTTGGCCGAGGCAGGGCGACTTTGGGGTCGAACACCTGTCTCTCCGTCCCACCGTCGACGCCATCCGGCACATCTAGATCCGCATATCCCGACACACCTACCTCGAAACACTGCGGGATGAGCGTCGCCACTCGGGGCGCTCTTCGGTTTCCCACCCGAAGCCTCGTGTTTGAGCAGGATACCCCGCCTCCCATAGGTTCTAGGCCCGTCGTTGGTAGTCAAGAGGCGGGTGATAGGCATCCTGTCACAGGCATGATGTAGTTCTAGAAGCTCTGCGGCGACTCCCAACGTACGTGAACGGCCCCAAGAACCCCTGAAGCGTCGGAAAATCGAGCCAAAGATTTGAAGCTGAAAGTTTACTCGAGGCATGCGGAGCAGGCCACAGTGTGGCAGAGCCCACAATTCTGGGCGATGACGGTGTCATTCTCACACTGGACTCGGGGGTAATGGAGCGTCCCTTCTTGCTGTGGCTCTCTGAATAACCCGGGGAAAGCACGGGAAAACTACACCCGGGACACTGAGGGCGCCGTCGAGGCCGTTGAAACCCCCACGACTCTGAGGTAGATCTCTCCAGCAGTGTCAACGCGTCTCAGAATCCTCATTGGCAACGATGGCCAGTCTTGTCGACGCCACTAACCCCTTAGTGGCGTACTGTTCCGTCCGGGAAACGAAGTTACCGCGGTTTATAGGCTCAACTCCCTCCGCCCAGCCAGAGGGCGAGTTGATGACGGTTGTGATGGCGTCGGCCTCGCGCCCAGTGTTCTCATCACAACGAACCACGTCGGGGAGACCGGGGAACGGCCAGCTGCAACCTGCACATGGTCATCACCAACAACCAGCCTAGCACTTTGTTGAAAGCCTCTCTTTCCATCACCGGAGAGGCCCGGACCGCAAGCCGGGTCCGCGGCCTGAGGTAGGTGCAGTCGGCTGATTTTCCATCTGATATCGCCATGTCACAACACTCCACGAATTATGGGATGCATCCCAGATGGGCAAGCCGAGACGGAGCGGTCCTTCCCTTCCTTCCTTAGTCGAAGGGGCAATCCCCGCCGCTAAGGAGGCCGCTGGCTAGAAGTAACCACTCGGCTTTCATCTCGATCTTCCCCTTTTCTGCGGCTTGCGAGACCTGCCAACTCCTTAGTCGCTAAAACGACTCCCTTTTAGAAGGACGTAACTGTTCGATGGGCTAGGCTGTGGTAGCCGATCGACTTCCACAAGCGGTCTCGGCGGTTGAGAGATATGTCTAGTCGTCGGTGGGTAAAACTGATCGTGTGTTGGCCGGCCGGCGGTTGGGCCGACGGACGGGGTAAGCTGAGGCTTACGAGCTGGCCGAGTTCTTCTTTCATGACGTGAACCTCAGGTCGACTCATAGCACACCATCTATTCGCGATGCCCTGGATTGAAGAGGTCCGATTCATTCTTTTCAGACCATAGCCCGCCGCCACCCGGATAAACGGGGGACGTCGGAACTACGATCAAGTGAATTCCGGTCCGGCGTCGGCGTGGTTGGCCAACGGCAACACGGCGCCGGGCGCTGAGCCGGCAGGAGACTCATAACTGGCTAAAAAGGCATCCAAAGACTCGCTGTGCTGCAATGCTGCCCTCCAACCTAGATCAGCACGCTGCCCCTGGAGCGGATGGGCGAGCTCGGCGCCTTTAGAGGGGGTGGGATGCCTTCTGCTAACTCAGGTTCTCATGCACAGGAGAAGCATGCATCTACATACAAAGTACGACTCTTATCTCTGAATCCTCCCCAGCCGGCCCTATCACACCGCCGGGTATGCAACGAAGCCGGAAAGGCAGGTCGATAACGCTGGACGGGAGGACCATGAGAACCTCACCACCTCAGCACTGACACTCATTTCGGCAGAATGCCAACTGCTCGTCCCCAAGGATGCAACAACAATCCACGACCATTCACACACACGATCGGTCACCGCAAAGGGCAACTCACCTTTTTTTTTTGAACATTGTCCCCGCGGCAGTTGCCGGAGGCACAGGGCAGCATCGCTTTCCCACCGCCTTTCGTCTGGCCGTGGCCCCACCGCTCACCGCCCCTCCTGAAAATCCATCCGGGGATCCCGGCCGGTGGCTTCGATCCCGGCGAACCCCACCGTCACAACCCACCAACCGAAAGATCAACAGGTCCCGGCCCGTCCAGACGACATGGGACGACAAACAATTTTTTTTTTTTTTTTTTGAAACATGCCTGAGGGTTGTGAATCTCATTCTCGTTTTGCTTGCCCTGGATTCATTGCTCGTGGCAGCCATGAAGGCGAGGACCGTCGTAATATTGCTTCGACAGTGTTATTTTTGGCCGCGGGGAAGGAGGGGTTCGAGTCGGAAACGCGGGGTTGGGTTCGCCGCTCGGTGCAACCCGCAACCATTGCATCGGGGGACAAACGAATTGAGAAAGCGAAGCGGGAGGCTAAAATGCATCGGGGCCAGGTGAGGGTCTCTGCACGGGTTGTTGTTGCGCCATGCCAGCGAAGGTTCTTCCTACACTACATACAGCAACGAGGTAACGACCCAACTAACTAGCGAGGTTCGGGTTGCCCTTCGCTCGGTTTGCTTCCATCCTTCTCGTGTCCACTTAGTCTATTTCCGTTTTCAGTCTATTCCGTCTTCATCAATTGATGTCCTTGCCACTGGCACGGGGCCTGAACTGCACTAGTGAACGACACAGGTCGATCTTGGTTCTCACCCCGCATCAGGCGAGAATCTGCGGAGGTGAGATCTCTCTTCCGGGGAATGGAATTGAGACAGCAGGCGGGAGTCGATCAGCGGCTCTTCCCATTCTTTGCTCGCTCTGATCCTCTGGATGGGTGAGGTGGACCGGTCCCGTCCGTGTTCGCGGGGCAGCGGGATCCAACGCCCGGGTGCGGTGCCCACCGTCAAGGTCAGGATCGTCTGTATCCGGCTGGCGCTATTGACCTCGATCCCCTGGCCGGGCCGGGGGCCATCTCTTGACCGCCGTTACGGGTCGCGAATTCCGCGTCTGGGTTGGGCTATGTTGTCACCAGTCGTAACCACAACAACAGCGACGTCTGTGGAAAATCCGCAACCAGCGGTGGCCACTGTTGTTGCAAGTGTCCGTGGTGTTGATGATGTCTCTGGTTGGTTGTGTTTCCGGCCTCTTGGTGAAAGCCCTTCCTCCCTCTCGGAGCCAATCGATGCGAGTTCAGCCATCCAGCTGTCCGGATCCAGGCTGCCCAGCCAATCAAGCCGACGCGCGACGGGCAAAGCGTGTGGCTGACGATGCGTGACGATGCGCGCTTTGCTTGACCGCTACTGGACCGCCGTTTCAGGGCCCCGCACGTAGCCCAAGCCCCGGGCAAGGCACCCTTGCCAACCCCTCCTCTTCCCCACAGTCGCACATGGAGAGGACGAGGGAATGAGGCTGATGAAATCGGTGTGGTTCGTCGATCTGGCCTGCGTGGTGATGAGCGGGCTTGTCGGTCTCGTCGCAAAAACAACGACCTTCATCCCGGACCTCGCCCTTTGTTCTCGGCTGCCCGCCCTTCTCTGAACCGCATTCTTCAATTGCCGGCCCATCCGCGCCGCCATTTCGCTGACCTTGACCTTTCAACATCAGGCAGCCGCTTCTCCGGAAGACTGCGACGACAAACCGACCGCGAATCGCCTGGTTTTGCCTCTCACGACCATCGTGCCTGTGTTGCTGCGTGTTGGTCGGGAATTTGCGTGTCGGACTCTACCCGCGGCCGCGCCGACGGGATCCTCTCCTCATTTCTACCTCCCAAAGTGTCGTATCTTTAAATGCTCTTCGAAAGGACTCTAGTGGCCGTCTCCATCTCCCGCTCGTCGTGTCGTGCCTGACACGGCGGCAGCGCCGAAGCACGTCGCGGGGCTCCTCCTCAATTGCCATTCACACCCCGCGTTCATTCTCCGGTGCTTCCTCTCGAGCGACAGCAGGCATTTCTCCTCCCGGTGTCCCCGCATCTCCGATCCGTGCGCTGCCGCGATTCGGTAACCTAGGTCACCGACCGACATGGCGTCCGTGGGAAGTGGTCAGTCCGGTGTCTCGGTCACCAAGATTACCAAAGCGAGAGGGAAAATGGTGAAGCCGATATTGAAGAGGCTGTCGCACTCGGAGAAAAACTCGTTGGATTTGGATCGGGGTTGGGATGAGCAGCAGATTGAGCAGTTGGCGGCGGGCGGGTGGGACGGGGCGTTGGGCTATGCAGGGCAGGCGAGAGACGTGAGTTTTGGCTTTGCAGGTGCCCCGGGAGCTGGAGAAGGTGATGCTGTTGCGGCGATGGGCGGGGGAAGTGCAATCCGGTCGAACCTCAAGTTTCAACACGGTCGTTCCGGTTCCCAAACTTCGGGTGGAAGCGGCCCTCGCGCGGCCTTCGTGCATCCATTCGCCCAGACACCACGCACGTCCACGCCACCGCTGTCATATGCCAACTCTCTGGCCTCATTCGACAATGGGAGGGACTGCTCCCCCACTATCACCGAGACCGAGGACGATGTGGGCTTTGACACCAGCGCTACAGCATTCATAGCGCATGCGCCTACGCACCCTCCTCCCGCTGGGACCTCGCAGGCAAATCTTCAACGGCCATCTTTGAATAGCCAGCGGACCGCCTCATTCCCAGAAACGCCCGCATCGAAACCGCCGTCTCTTCGCATCAATACTGGTCGGTCGGTTTCTGGCACTACTGCAACTTCTTCACGTCTCGCCCACAACAGTGTTTCCTCTCCGAGCCATTCCGAACTCAACCTCGATTCTCACAACTTGAGTGTCAGTTTGACCGGCACTCTCGACTCACCCACAGGAAGCTTGGGCGGCGGCAGTGTCATCGCTTCGCCCCAACAACAGTCTCAATTATCGCCTCTTCGCACATCGCTCGACATGGGCGTGTTCCCCCGTCTCCGCAATCACTCCGAATGGGACACGGCCGCGCGCGGCGAGAGCATCCGCGCCGCACGCCGCAAGTTCGAGGAGCGCGAACGCGAGAAGGAAGAAAAGTATGACCGCGAGATGATCCGCAAGCGCGAGCGCCGTGACAACAAGGAGGCTAGCCGCATCGAGAAGGGCGAGACTCCGAGCCGGCCCTCGATGCATCGCAAGAAGACACCTACGGGGCTGTCGACCGTCTCCGAGCCAGGCCCGAAACCTACCAAGCCGAAACAATCGGCTCCGCACTTCGGGTTCTCGGCTCCGGCCGGCCACAGCGGTGGCATCGTGCTTGGGATCGGAAAGCGGCGACACAGCGACTCGCCCACAACCACCGCCAAGAGCGATAAGCAGATGGGCTTTGCCGCCCGCCGGTACGAGAGCGTTTCGGTCATGTCCCACACACCCCCTTCGTTTGGCGTGACGGCCGATGAGGTGCGGTTCGATCAGGCCCAGCCGCGCCGGGTCAGCAGTGCGAAACGGAAGACCCAGGGATATTGGCAGGGATTCCTCCTCTGGCTGAGGACGAAGCTGCTCCGCATGAGCACGCGGTAGACGGTCCTCTCCACGGCGCACTTACGTTCCGCTTGGGTTAAAAAACAGTACCAAGCGGCGAGGAGGACAACAGAACCCCTCACATTCAACATCACAGTTACCGACACAAACATTCACCATTCACACCCACCGACTCACCCATTCGCTGGCTCACCGACCCATATTTGGTATTCCATCAACACATCACACTTCACCGCCGGGTTTGACCGACCAGACTGGGTAACCTTTTAGGAACCCGGACATCGGCCGCGGAACTTAGACATGATTCATTCTTCCTCTCTCTCGAAAACAACAACCAGTACACGGCGGATGCCACGAGCCAGCACACACTCGTGGCATCCGGAATTGCTTTTTACGAAGGCGTTCAAGGGCTGGGGTTCCTGTCCTTTGGAAGGCACGGAACCGGAGGCTGGTCTTTTTGTTTTCCCACTTACCTACATTTTGCGAGGGCGTTTCTGGACGGGGACTCTCTTGTTTTTTTCGCATCCTTCTTTTGCATGATATTTTACCTCACCTCTTCTTGACGGTCATTTTTGGCTTTGGCTCCCCCGCTCCCTCTCCCTCTCGGGGATTGGATTGGACTGGATCGGATCGGATCGGATCGGATTGGTACCTGGGTATCGTATCTATCTCTCGGTTTACGTTGGGAAGGGGCTTTTGTCAAGTGGGGATACATCACCCCTTTGCTGGATTGGGGGTTTCTGGAGCATAACATCGTCACGTCACGGCAGACCATGGTTCCGGCTCGGGTCTGGGATTTAGAGGGCCACTGAACTTAAGGGGTTTGGGTTCGGGTTTTTTTTTCGATGGCATTGGATCATCGGGTTGGACTGGGCGAGGTATTGGGTACCTCTTCCTCGGGCCTAGGGGTTCGCCCCTTGCTTCTTTCACTCTTTGCGCTATCGTTAAAGGGTCACGGTGGGTAGACATGGCCGTGGTTTGGCTGGACACATGGAATTAGGTGGAGCTCCCATATGTGGTTGAGCTCGCCTGCGGTCTCGAGACTGCCTCGCGTTAGGTAGATCAAGCTTGCTTGCTTGCTCTGAATTTACCTGATGCTACTTATAACTATGGTTTTTTGTGAATTGCCGTGTGAGGTTCGACAACTACATCTCACCCTCTTTGAATCGGAGATACGGAAACACGGAACGGCCTAGGCGATTACACCGGCATAGTTATCGCGGTATTCCATAGTTTAGTACAGTTCTTTGTCCGGATTCCCGTATTCCGGGCTCTCCGTCATCTTTCGCCATCCCACCTCGATACATCGCGCCGCCGACGATCACTTGTTCGTCACCGTCGTCGTTATCAATCAACCGAGGCATCACCATCACCAAAGTCCGAGTGGGGCTTCACATTAACCCTGAACCCAGTCGGCTCTTTCCCGCTTTGAAGTTCTTCCCGCTCGGTACAACGCCAAGCGGATGTTACTTCCATGATACCGACTTCCATGGTAATTGCCCCATCCTAACTTCATTGTTCCTTCAATTCCCAATTGGAGCTTCAATTGAAGCTTCCTTCAAAACCAAACGCATTGACGGAACTCGTTCTTCACCGAATCGCAGCTGGGGATCCTTCCTGATCCTACGCGGGGCCGTTAGTGCTCACTCACGTAAAAACAGGGATTGTGAGTTGCGGGAAGCTGCGACGGGATTCATGTGAAATCCGTGGGAATCCCATTTTAACCTCCAAAATCGTACTTGGGAGGTACGGGTACCTGCAGCTGTGGGTATGTTCTAGATACGGTTAGTCAGCAGCAACTCGCTCGATCTTCGCATCTTCGTGGACATTCGACACATCCACTACACAGTACACCGGAGGCAACTCTAGCCCACCATTTCATTGACCGCCAACACAAGAATGGATTCCCAAACCAGGCGATTCGCCAACCATCCCGGCGCAAAGGAAGCTCCCTCCTCCGCGTTGGAATACCGTCTTGAGGAAGACCGTAATCCTCCCATGCGTGGCTATCCTCTTGTCATTGCCTCGGCCATGTAAGTGCCTCCTCTCATGTGTCCTAGCAACAATGGTACCTTAACCAACCATGCATGCTGACCATGCCCAGAATCGAACGCTTGCCCTTTCTCCAGAAGATCCTCTGGAACAACGCCAAGTTCGGACAGGCTAAGTACATCCCCGACCTGGATGGCGTCCCATGGCGAATTCAGGTAGGCCGGCCGAAACCACCACCAGCACATCCCATCCAAGCCACCCCCTCTCTAACATCCCCCCTCCCCCAACCACCAGCCCGACGTCATCCCCCTCGCCGACGGCACCTCGCCAGGCAAGATGCTAGAGCTCGAACCCGAACTGCGCCAGCCGCAGCCGGCCTCGCTAGCCGGCCGCTTCCTTTCGGTCGCCGACTACCACGAGCTGTACAAGAGCGGGGCGGCGCGGCCGGTCGACGTCGTGACCGCGCTGCTGCCGCTCGTCGACCCCGGCCGCGAGCTGCGGTCCGAGTACGCGGACGCCTGGGCCCGGACGCACGCCGACGAGCTCCTGGCCGCCGCCAGGGCGTCGACTGCCCGCTGGGCTGTGGGGGAGCCCCTCAGTTTTGTGGATGGCGTGCCGTTTGGTGTGAAGGATGACCTGGCCGTGGAGGGGTTTGTGTCGCGGATGGGGATGAAGATGAATGAGGAGGAGGAGTTCTTTCGTAGGGTGAGCAAGGAGACTGTTTGGCCGGTGAAGGCCCTGCAGGAGGCGGGTGCCATTATGGTGGGCAAGATGAACCAGCATGAGATTGGCATGGGTAAGTTTATCTGCCTCCCTATATTCGAAGTGCCTTTTCGCTGACTGTGTGGTAGATACGAACGGCTGCAATGTGAGTATCAACTACCCCTCCGGTTGGGGCTCGTGATAAGAACTAACATCTATTAAGCCATCGACGGGGACTCCCACCAACTGGTATAACAAGTCGTACTACCCAGGCGGGTCGTCATCCGGCGCAGGGTCTGCTCTCAGCGCCGGCATTGTACCGATTTCGATCGGGACCGACGCAGGTAAGTGAAGCTAAACAACTTCTTCGGAAACGATGCCTGACATTTTGCTCTACTCTAGGAGGCAGCATCCGCATCCCATCCGCCTTCTGTGGTGTCTACGGTCTCAAGACTACGCACAACCGTGCTTGCCATATGAGCTCGTCCATGTGCACGGTTGGTCCCATGGCGTCAACCGCCGCAGACTTGACCATCGCCTACCGGTTCGCGTCGCAGCCCAACCCCAACGACCCCGTCCAGAACCTTCTCGCCATCTCCACGCTCCCCGATCCCTCCGCCAAGAAGTACGTCGGCGTCTGCCGTAAGTGGGTAGCCACGGCGGACGCCAACGTGCTAGAGATCTTCGAGAAGTCGCTAGCCCACCTCACCACGCTCGGATACGAGGTCGTAGACGTGGACCTACCCTTCCTGCGCGAGGGCCAGCTAGCACACTCAGCAACGTGCGTGACGGAGGCAGCAGCAGACGCGCGCGCGCGTGCCAACGACCCAGACAACTTCACGCGCCTGCTCAACCCAGCCAACCGCGTCACCATCTGCGCGGGCGTGCAGACGCCGGCGATCGACTACATCCGCTACGGGCAGATCCGAACCGTCATCATGCGCCACCTGGCCTTCCTCTTCGCCCGCCACCCGGGCATGCTGCTCCTCACCCCGGCCACCCCGGCCGCCGGCTGGCCCATCGCCCCGGGAGACCAGGCCCACGGCTGCGTCGACGCCAACAAGCTCATCCGCAACATGACCTTCGTCTGGCTCGCCAACATGTCGGGCTGCCCCGCCGTCAGCCTGCCCGCCGGCTACGTCGACCCGGACCAGGGCGAGGGTGTCTTGCCCGTCGGCTTGATGGCCCTGGCCGAGTGGGGCATGGAGGAGCAGCTGCTCGCTTTTGCGCGGGAGCGCGAGGCGTATCTGAATGACGTCTATCCCGGCGGCAGGCGTCGGCCGGAGAAGTGGCTGGATATGATTGTGCGGGCGAAGAAGTGGCCGGCGACTGCGGCTGCGGTGAGGAAGCAGATTGAGAAGGAGATGGCGGAGAAAATGGCTAAGAGGGCGGGTAGGGGGTGGTGAGGAGTGGGAGGGAGGTTGGGTGTAAGGGGTTGGTTGGGTGTATGAGACTGCTTAGGTGTGAAGGGGCGATTAGGTATGAGAGTTTGATTAGGCGCGAGAGGTTGATTAGCTGTTAGAGGTTGGTTGGGTGTATGAGGCTGATTAGGTGTGAGAGGTTGGTCGAGTGTGAGAACGAGTTAATAACGTGTTGGAGTTGTATTAATAGAGAGGCAGATAAATGGCTTAGAGGGCGGAAGGTCAAATGTATGTACTAGTTCTGTGTATCCGAGTTAGCTGTATTAATGACGGGCATGGTGTGGCCCGGGTGTTGACCACCTTTCCGGTAACCTCTCATCCGATCAGTGTTTGGTGGACGTCTCGGGTAACCTATGGTCACTTGCTCGGAATATCCTAACACTTCATCGAGCCACACAGTTGGGAGGTTGTGAAGGGTCTCTTGGATCGCTTGTGTTTCCTTTCCCACATCGACTATGGTAGCGGCCAGCCACTTACACCACACTACCTTGATATGGAGGCGTGGATGGACAGACTTTGAGTAACCATTGAGTAGGTACATACGATGTGAGAATACGAGAGAACTGAGTCTATTTCAGGGTTGTTAAGTGTGTGTACTAACATACGTCAACACCCCCAGCCTAAACCGAAGCATGACCGAGACCGGAATATGCACCTTGCCGCCCACACATGACTTCTTCTGAGGTTGTTGAGGCGTTAACAATATAACGACGCAGTAACACGGTTCTGGGCAGTGTGCAGGGTGGCGGTCTACGGTAGGGGATCACATCAAGCAAGACTACCAGCATCGGGATCAACTAGTCGCATGAACTCTATTAATATTTCAATCCTCTCGTGTTTCCCATTCCCGCTCCCATTCGGCGAGCAAAGAGATATTTGCCCTGGGCCGAGCATTGATACGGCCGGAGTGTTTTCTTTGAAGCTGGACGGATTTCCGCATGAGGCCCAGAGCTCTCTCGAGGTAACCCTGATCATGTAAGAGGACCGCCAGCTGGCCCATAGTCTCAATCGTGCTGTGGTGCGTTTCTCCCAGGTGCACCCTCTCGGCCTTTAGCAGCCGTTCCAACAGTCCCACGGCTTCATCTAACTTGCCCCGTCCACCATAAAACGTCGCTAGGACCTTTACACTGTGTAGACCGAGGAGACCGCCGCTCTTGAGGGCCCAGGAGGACAGCTCCTCTATCTCTGCGTTTATCGTCTCAGCCTCGTCCAGCCGATCTTGTTTTTGATATACTGTCGCGAGGAAAGCGAGGTTGACCAGCATTTTGGCATTCTCCTTTATCCCACCTTTTCTCTCTCGTATCTTTATAATATCCTTCCATAGGGACTCGGATTCCTTCCACTGCTTTAAGGTGAAATATATCGCTGCCAAACGCTCCATGGCCAAGAGCGTGGGTTCATCCTCGTCTCCAAAGCTTGCCTTTCGCATTTCCACGAGTTTCACCAACAGGTTTCCAGACTCGTCCCATAGACCTCTTTCGCCATACGTATGTGCGAGTTCCGCAAATGCATACACTTTAGAGAACTCAGCGGCTCCTGAATGCGCGCTTTGCCCCTTGGTTGCAAATATGAGCAGCAGGGTGGCTCTCTTCAAGCGGTCCTTGCGTCGGAGCACCTCCGCGGCGTCGACCACATTACTCCACACATCAAAGCGCCTACTGCCTAGCAGGACTTTCCTCCACCGATCAAACGTCCTCCGATCGAGCTTTTGTAGCCGTTGTTCCGGCGTCTCTTCAACCTGCCCTTCTTCCTGTGGGACTTCGCCCTCTCCGGCTGGGGGTATGGAATGAATCTGCCTCCCTAAGTCGTGCTCGACGAGCTTGTCCCTCCACTGGCCTGGGGTCATTTCCTGGTAGATCAAGATGCGTTGCATCATAGCGTCACGGTAGGTAGACGGGCTTTCCGTTGCCACTCTTTGTTCCTCGTCCAGCGCCAAGCAGACGAGCTCCTGGGGTGATCGAACGAGCATCTTCTCGTCGTCTTTGGCGCTTTCACTTAGCTCGCCGTTGAGTCGGCAGAACAGATCATGGATGACCCTAAGGGCGTCAAGTCGAAATTCAGGGTCCGCTGAGACTTCCCACTCCAGGCGGCGGGGGATGAGACTCTCGGGCTCCCTGGGCGTGCTGTTTTGGTCACTGGCAGCGCTGTTGGGGGCGCCATGATCCGAAAATACCGGCGGGCCAAGCGATCGCCCCGAGTCAGAGGACCTTTTACCCATTCCCTCGGAATCCAGCTTGTCCGTGGTAGAGGCGCCGTCTTCGACAGGCCTCGGCAGTGCAAACATAGCAAGCCGTTCGAGGTGATGGGCCAAGTGGTTCTCAAGGCCTTTGGCAAACGGTGCCGGTTCGAAACAGATGGGACAATTAGAGCGCTCATCCGATATGTTGACGCCGGAAAGTTCAACGAGGCTGTCGATCTGTTCATCTGTGAGGCGGCTGGAGTGCTCCCGCTGCAGATGAGCCTTCAGTCGGTCTGGGGTTTTATAGAGTAGTTCCGGGTGTTCATAGCATCGATAGAGCCGTCTATGCCTTGAGCTTTCGTGGTCTGCCCACTGCCTCTTGGACCGGTAAAGTCGGGACGGTTCAGGGCAATCCTGGTACGTGCAGATGTATGGCTGTAGATCGTGCAAGACGTGAGACCTAGGCCAAGTGTTAAATATAGTCCATTCGAGCTTGACCAGAACAAAAGCCTTTACTGACCTCCAAGCCTTCCGCTGTCCATACCTCGCGGGGCATATAACCGAGCAGTAGGGACACACAAAATCCTTTCCCCTGAGGGCCTCTGTCGGAGGATTCGGCAATTCCAGCCGATGCCCGTCGGCGTCGAGAGTCGTCGAAGCGTATGAGACCACGGTTCCCCTTTCGGTCATGTCGTCGAGATTGTCTTGGTGGTTGGTGGCCTCCGTCATCGACATCAACGTCTTCGGCTCGTCGGTACCGAGCGGCCGGATCAGCTGGGGCACCTGGTTCCGTTGCCCCTGACTAGCGGGCCTGGGATCCTCGGTGGCTTCGACTGGTTTGATACGTGGCACGGTATGGAGGGACAGCTTTTTTCCATGCTTCTCCCAGTACCGGAAGTGCTTACGCCGCAGAGTTATGGATGCCGCTAGGCGAGGCATGAGATAGTCGGGGTCCTCGTCAGATGCAGACGGTGGCTCACGCCCTCGCCGAAGAGACTCGAGCAACGCATCAACATGCTGCCGGTCAAATTGGGGGAAGGCGTCGAAAAGGTCGACGCCCGTGTCTGGATCGATTTCCCGGTAGCGGGTTGCTTTGGAAGACGAGGGCCGCAAACGGGGATCGCGGATCCTGAACCCAAGTTCGTACAGCTTTTTTACCAAGTCAACAATACTCAATAGGCGCATCGAGAGTTCGTGTCGCTGGCGGATGGGATTTCCATCATCGTCTTCGCTATCATCGGCAGACTCATCACTCGAATCACCGGGCTGCGTCTGGTCTTCGAAAGCAAGCCGTGAGCCAGACACAACGGAAATACCTATGCCAGCATGAGCTTAACTCGCCATGTACGGCCAGGGCAACCCGCTTACTCTCGTCCAAGTTGGAGCGCAACTGTTGGAGCAGTCCGCAGACAGTGGATAATATGACTGGAGATTCTCGCAGCCGATAGTCCAGAGAAGCAAAGCTCTGCTGCAAGGCACCGAGATTCCCACACCATACTCTAAACCGGCCGCCCTCGTTCTCGACGGATTCCCGCGGCATGAGGACAGTTGGACGGGCGAGCAGCTCCTTGCCAAGGGTGACAAACGACTGCCGGCAGTCACTGGCAAGAGTGAATATGTCGGGATCCATGGCAAAGAGGAAAATCCCCGGGGGGGTGGAGGAGGGTTGAGGTGAGCAGTCTGAGTGAAATAATACTTCTGTTCTGTGATGTCGACGGCCGATGAGCAGGGGTTCAAATGTAAGGAAGGCTTCTTGCATACGAATACCCCCTGGACTTTCACTCAGCTGAATTGGGGAATCGCTGCGGTCAACTGCGGGCACCAATCACTCTCAGCCTCGGTCGAGCCTCGCCTCATGGTGCTGGAGAGCCTCTCATCCCCCTGTTTTCCTCGAACGATGCGGTTCTTCAAGTTCTAACCCAACATATAATTTCTTGGAATTTGAAGTTCATTTATTTGTCATATGCATACCTAACTAACTGCCCACCCCGGTCACAACCCTCCTCGCTAGGGTACATAGTCGATGTGTTCGGTTACCCCTTCGGCATGTCCGGGTTCGAAATTGCCGGTTTGGTGCTGGGCGCCATCCCTCTCGTCATTTCAGCCATAGAGCACTACGAATCAGGCCTAGACAGAGCCAAGGTGTTTTTCAAATGGCAGGATGTCCTAGAGAAAGCAAGGCGGGATCTTTGGGTCCAGTACTCGTCCTACGAGATGACACTCCGCATTCTCTTGGTGGACCTTGCAAACGAAGCCGAGCTGGAAGAGCTCTTGAGTGAACCCCAAAGCACACTATGGGATAGCCCGGAGTTGATCCGCGGGTTACGGGACAAACTAGGAGAGACGTACCAGGTCTACGTCTACACGATCAAGCAGATGGAGGGTTGCGTCAAAACTCTCGCGAGGCATCTGGATATTGACAGGCGCGATGTATGTTTTCACGCTTGATGGTATCATTATGGAACCATGGGAACATATCGAGACTCTGACCACGGCCGTATGATTCCCAGGCTACCAGCGCCGACGACCTCGAGGCTATTCTGGAGGCAAACCAGCCAGTTCCTGGGTCTCAGCAGCAAGGCCATGCTAAGTTTGAGTTCCGCCGGCGCATCAAGCTAACGATAAAACGACGCGATATCCGCCAACTACTCAGCAGTATCAAGGAGTGTAATGACCAGCTGGACCTGTTTATTACAAAAGCGAGGAATGTGGAGCAAGCCTCTCCGCTACAGTCGGCGCAAAAACGCAGCAAGTTCAGCTTGAGCACGCCTCTTCAGCAAGTATATGAGCACGCTGCTCACCTCCATCAGGTGCTTTGCAAGGCTTGGGCTTGTGGTGCTCACGCCTCTCACCGGGCTCACTTACTGCTCGAGCATCGCATGGTCCCCAAGGGGAGGAAGAAGCAACAGTTAAGGACCTACGGCGGCAACAATAGACAGGGAGGTGACCAGGCCAATTTCACGTTGGCTTTCAAGGGCACGGGAGACACAGACGCTGCCACCTGGTATCTCGCTGAAGTTAAGGTGCTGGACGAGCCAGCTATACCGCCGAGGTAAGTAGTCACAACTGCATTGGCTTCGAACCCTGGTAAGTAAAAGAAGAACACAAGCTGACGACAAGGGGTCTCTAGATCTGCTGGTGTCAAGTTTAGCATCTCGCCTCCATCCGCTCCCAAAGACTGTTCGCTCTTGGGCCCACCCTCGGAAAATATTTCCAGCCTTGATATAGTACAGGACATCTGCTCATCGTACTCTTCCACCGGTAATGCTTGCCTTGGTTTCTGCCTAGATCTAACGTCGCAAAGCGTGTTACGGGGCACATATCCGGCAGCGCAGCGGTCAATATGTGTAGGGGACGACCTAGTCTCACTAGAGGACGTGCTCTTCTCGACAGACAACAAGTGGCAGCCCCTCACGCACGAGGACCGCTACGTCCTCTGCATCACCTTGGTAGCATCCTTTCTCCAACTCCACAAGACACCGTGGGTCGGCGACCGTTGGAGCGGACGCGACATCCACTTCTTCGCCCAACCCCCTGACACAACAACAACAACAACAACAACAATAGGACAGGCCAAACGCGCCGACATCCAACACGCCTTCGTCAGCAAAACATACACCAGCACCGCCAACCCCCTTCCCCCCACCCCCACCCAACCCCCGCAACCCCCGCAAGCCACAATCTTCTCCCCCACCACCACCACCACCCCCACCACCCACGACGACAGCATCAACCTCCTAACCCTCGCCCGCATCCTCCTGGAGATCCGCTCCGGGCGGCGCATCGAATCCCTCCGCTCCAACACGGACCTCGGGCCCGGGGCGCGCCCCAACGAGGCGACCGATCTGCAGACGCTGAAGCGGTGGGTGCAGCAGGAGAAGGGGAACCTGTCGTTTGCGTTCCGGGACGCGGTGCGCTTCTGCATGCAGGGTTTCGCAGATCCGGATACGGATCTGGGGGATCTGGGGTGTCGGATGGGGGTGGTGGAGGGGGTGGTGGTGCCGCTGTTGGAGGAGTTGGGGTTTTTGAGGGGGGGTGTGTGACTTCTTTTGGGAAGAAGGGGGGGGGGGGGGGTTAATAGATGGTGATGTTGGAGGATGATACCCTGGGGCGGTTAATGGTGTAGCGATAGACGTCCTAAATAGACCTTTTATAAACTATCTTCGCAAGCAGCAAACTTATAACAAGCCTCTCTCCTGGAGACGAACCATGACCTATATATAGTCTCGGTTCCGTTTGTTACTAACACTTCTTGTCACGTTGGTGCATTGGGGGTACTTTTCCTTATCCCCTTTCTCATCCTTCCGAAAGCTGTATTTATTTTCCTCTCAGTAAATCTATGTGTATACCTATGTAACCAGAGAACGCGGTGAGCTTTGCTTCTCTAACCCCTGAAATGCCAGTGGGAGAAGAACCGCCGGCAGAAGAACCCTCAATAACACCTGATCTTTTTGTTCTATTTTTTCCCTTCCTTTATTTTCCTCCCCTTCTTTTTTCTTTCCTTTCTCGTTTACATCACCTTCACTATTTTCATCTGCCTCTCGCCGTTGTCCAAGGGAAATGTTGTTTACAGGAAAAGGGATGAAATAAGCGGGGCGAGAACGCCTAGACTCACTGCCGGGGTGACTGGATACAGATTTCCGCGGGTCATTTCCTCTTTCCTGCGGGGCAACCTCCACCCCCGACCGCGCAAGACCTCCGGCGAGCCACAACTTGAACCATCGCAAACCTCGGCTCACAAACGTCGGCCATCTCGGGCGATTGACACCGCAGCCATGGTGTACCGGTGGGAACAGCATCGGCTAACCTGCTATCGCTTATACGTCGAAGAGAACAAGCCGATTCAGGACGTGGTGGAGTACATGCGAGTGCACCATGACTTCACTCCGAGGTAAGTCACTAATTGCTTTTATGTCAACTGGCCAATTTTCCTCACCGTACACACTGCAACTCCGTCTTTCCAGCACCCACTCACTAAGACCCACTGCGCTTTTATCACATCACGCATTTCCCACGTGTATGGATAAGCTAACCAGGGCCCGGCCGCCGCTGCAGTCGTCGCGCCTTTCAGGGAGCATTCTCTCGCTGGGGATTCCCCAACAAGCTGAACCCCGCCTACAAAAATGAACAGCTCGTCGCGCGAATCCGAGAGCTATGGGAGCGGAACTTGTCCCAGAAGGAGATGGTCTCCATGCTCGCCGACGAGGGTTACGAAGTTGGCGACCGTGAGGTTGCCCGGATTCGGTCCAAAAACGGATGGCTGATGCGGACCAACGGCGGATATCCTCTGTCGGATGCTGCTGCGCGCCAGCGGACTGGAAGTGCCGAAGACGGCGCCACAGGGACTGACGGGGGAGACTACGCCGGGAATGCCAATGGCGACGACGTCAACGCTAGCGTTGAGACGCAGGAGGACCAGAGCAACTACTGGAACTACGGGGCTACCGGACTGGAACCCGCCGACGCGCAGGTGCAGGAGGAGACCCTCAACGCCGTGCGCGAGGCCCGGAGGGAGTACCGGAAGCGCGCCTACGAGGCCGAGAGCCACGAGAGGTGGGCCACTAAGAAGCGGCGTCGACACACCAAGCCTTACGGCGGCCTACCCCCCGACCCTCCTGGGCCGCCCCGCTTCCCGTCGGAGACCACCCTCACCGAGGCCAAAGAGATCCTGCAGTTGGACAGGAAGACTTACCTCGCGGTGCGGGAGAAGTTCTATACCATTTGCGTAGATGCAGCCGTCTACAAGAAGACGCTCGTCGGGCCCGAGAGGTGGGAGTCGCTCAAGGACCAGCTGATCCGCGAGACCATGCACCTCCGTGCTGTCATGTGGGACGTCACTGACATAGAGAAGAAGAAGCTGGCAATCGAGGTCATTGCCTGCGACGTGACCAAGAGGATCAGGACCGAGGCCACCTCCGTGAAATTGGCCGATGCCAAAGTCATTCTTGGCTTAAACCCGGAAGAGGGGAGGTTGGTTCGTGGTCAGCTGTACAATCTTTTAGCCCAGGAGAGGTTCACATCGAAGCTGGAGGAAGGACTAGAATTCTTCGACGAGCTCAAGCAGCGATGGATTGCCGAGTCACCAGAGCTGACCAGGGCCATCGCGGTTGGGCCGCTCGATCCCGAGTACCAACGCAAGGTGAAGGCCGTCAATGTGCTTTGCAAAGACGCGACGAGGAGGTACCGAGATGACGTGTTTCGCTTGGGGAAGACTCCGGCCATTTTGCTGCCGCCCTCGGAGGCGCCGACTCCAAAGGCCAAGGGAAAAAAGGCGGCCTCGAAGCAGCCGACCGATGCCACAGGTGAGGAGGCAGGCCAGGAAACCGCGCAAACAGCCACACCTGGGTCCGAACCCGCCGCTACGGAAACACCTGCAGGCCCACCTCAACCCCGGCGGCGTGGCCGGCCACCGGGCGGCAAGAATAAGAAGCCTTTCCCTCATGTCCAATCCCGCCTAGTCTTGGCCCATTCAGACCCCCAGGCGGACCAGCAGATGGTGGATGCGCAACTTGGAGCCAACATGTCCGGCGAGCCACAGAGCCAGAGCCCATTTGTGGAGGACCAGTACCGGGAAGCATATGCCGCCGCCCAGCAGGCGGCCTACCGGACACAACAGGAACAACAGCAACAACAACGGCAGCAGCAGCAGCAGCCGCAACAACAACAACAACCGTCGCCGCCGCCGCCACAGCCGCAGCAGCATCAGGCGCCACATATGCCACATCAGGAACAACAACAACAGCAGCAGCAGCAGCAGCAGCAGCAACAGGCGCCACAGCAACCAGACCCATCACCAACCCCATCCAACGCCATCGCCGCCTTCTTCCGGCTGAACGGCGCCGCCATGATGATGTTCCCGGGAGTACAAGCGCAGTGGATCGCCACGCTCAGCGAGCGGACCATGGCCGAGCTGCGCAGCGCCGCCCTGCAGAAGACGCCCGGCGGCCTCTGCTACAAGATCGAGGGCGTCGTCAAGGACGGCAAGGGCGGCGAGCTGCCGCTGCCCGTGAGCGACGAGGGCGAGCTCGAGACATACCTGCAGCATGTGCGGGGGAATGGGGCGCCGACGTTTCATGTTCATGTCGTGCCGGGGGATGATGTGTCGTGGAAGTAGGTTGGGGGGGGGGGTGGTGAGAGTGGGGGGAGGTGGGGGGTTGCTGGGGGTTGCTGTGTGGTCGTGGGGAGAGCGGACTGACTTACACGGATTGGTGTTGCGAATGTTAGAGTACCGATGTAGTTGGTATCGGGCAGTTATCGCCTAGTGTGGGAATATCCCTCTTAGAAAAGGGAACATCAATTATCTTGATTCTATCTTTATTACACGAATCACACAAGATGTCCTCGAGGTGTTGGCGTGATTTCGGTGTTCAATTCCATCCTCCGGGGACTGACCCCTGCTCAACGGCCCATTGCGGGGTTCCACTTTGCCGGGAGCTCCGATCTTTTTTCTCCCTCTCGTCAACTTTCCAGACCTTGGCACGCGGGTCAACATCCCCGGACCAGCGACGAAAGCGACGAAAGCGACAGCCGACGACACGGCATGCGGCCGAGCTAGCTTCGAGCTCCGAACCCGAGGCCAATTGACCCTTACACATACCGATATACGCCATGTCGCGGCTTGCGGGCAGGATGCCCAAAAGCCTGGGGCAGCGCTGGACAGCTCCGGTCGGTGCGACAGCTGCTGGTGCTGCTGCTGCTGCTCGCCGGTCGACATGTCTCTCTCTCCGTATTGTGCCCGCGCGCTTCTCATCGACAGAGAACAACAGCAACAAACCTAGGCCGAGCGGGCATTCATTCCAGGGCCAGCTGACCCACAGTATCATGAACCGTCTGCAGCGGGAGAGGTCCGATCTCGAACGCATGGCTAGGACGCGGCCCGAGTCGAATATCGCAAGGAACTTTAGTCTTACCTTCGGTAAGCTTTTACCCTTCCTTGCCTTGAATGCGCTCCTTGTCTGACTGCTCATTGTGCCAGTCCTCTTCTTCGTCGGCTCCGTTTCATGGCTGCTCGGCTACCAGTACCCGCGCGATGTCGACCCCAACTCGACGCTACCCCTCAACGCAACACGACCGCCGTCCTACAAGCTCAACCCGGCCCATCTCGAAGCCGCCTGGGCCGACTTCGTCGAGATCGTCGGCCAGGAGAACGTCAGCACAGTCGAGGACGACATCAAGCAGCATGCCACCTCGGACTGGTCCTCCCACCAATCCGACCCCGCCCACAAGCCCTTCTGCGTCGTCTACCCCTCTACCACCGAGCAGGTGGCCGCCCTCATGAAGATCTGCCACGTCCGCCAAATCCCCGTCGTCGGCTACAGCGGCGGCACCAGTCTCGAGGGCCACTACACGCCGACGCGCGGCGGCATCTGCGTCGACTTCAGCCGCATGGACAAGGTGCTGGCCCTGCACAAGGAGGACCTGGACGTGGTGGTGCAGCCGGGCGTCGGCTGGGAGGCCCTCAACGAGCAGCTGGCCGAGCACAACCTCTTCTTCCCCCCCGACCCGGGGCCGGGCGCCCAGATCGGCGGCATGATCGGCACGGGCTGCAGCGGCACCAACGCCTACCGCTACGGCACCATGCGCGAGTGGGTCCTGTCCCTGACCGTCGTGCTCGCCGACGGCACCGTCATCAAGACCCGCCAGCGCCCGCGCAAGAGCAGCGCCGGCTACGACCTGACCCGCCTGTTCATCGGCTCCGAGGGCACCCTGGGGCTGGTGACGGAAGCCACGCTCAAGCTGTGCGTCACGCCCGCCGCCGCCTCCGTCGCGGTCGCGAGTTTTCCCTCTATCCGCAACGCGGCCGACTGCGTGGCGCGCGTGGTGGGCGACGGGGTGACGGTCGCCGCCGTCGAGATCCTCGACGACGACCAGATGCGCTTCATCAACGCGCTGGGCAACACGACGCGCAAGTGGCGCGAGGCGCCCACGCTCTTCTTCAAGTTCTCGGGCTCGCCCGCGGGCGTCAGGGAGCAGGTCGACCTCGTGCGCGCCGTCGCCCGCCGCGCCGGCGGCCAGTCCTTCGACTTCGCCCGCGACGACGCCGAGCAGGCCGAGCTGTGGTCCGCGAGGAAGGATGCCCTGTGGGCCACCATGGGCCAGCGCCGTCCCGGTGATCATGTCTGGACGGGGGATGTGGCCGTGCCGATGAGCAGGCTGCCGGATATTATTGAGGAGACGAAGCGGGATCTGAAGACGACGGGGTTGACCAGCTCGATTGTGGGGCATGTGGGGGATGGGAACTTTCATAGTATGTTTCTGTTTCTAACTAGCTTCCTGCTGGATAGAGAGAGTATCGGCTAACATGTCTAGTTATTCTCTTGTACAATGAGATGGAGCGGAAGCTGGCCGAGGACTGCGTCCACCGCATGGTGAAGCGGGCCGTCGAGATGGAGGGCACCGTTACGGTAAGCCGATAATCAACCTTTTTCACAGCCCCTTGGCTCGACTAATCTGGTTTCTCTTCTAGGGTGAGCACGGAGTCGGCCTCGTCAAGCGCGATTACCTGCCCCACGAGCTGGGCGAGACGACGGTGGATGCTATGAGGAAGGTAACAAACAACCCCCTTTTTTCCCCGATCGGAAAAGTGAACCGCTCGCTAACCACCGTCCCTAACGTTTAGATCAAAGCCGCCTTCGACCCCCTGTGCCTCCTCAACTGCGACAAGGTCGTCCGTGTGCAAAAGCCTGCCCGCGGGGAGGTGGCTGAGTGGTAGTGGAAAGCCATTTGTACAATTTAACTCGGCAGCTTATTCAGGTGTCGAAATGTATACCCTGTCTCATATGCATGCTTTGTAGCTGTGATATCATCACCGCGGGGACGCCGACATCATCCTGCAAGCTCCCGCGCCCTTCGTTCAAGAAGCAATCCGCCCCGGCAGTGCCTTGCCGGCCGGCCGGACCGTGCCGCGACGAATGGCTTTCCACATCGGTGGTTCCTTTCGTTGCTTAGCTAACATTATTCATCATCCAGCTCCCGGCGCAGTTTCCTTTTTTCGAAGGAGCTCCCTGGTGGAGGGAACGTCATGCGATCGGCAGACCGGCGTGTGGCGAGGCAGCAATTGGTGTGCGCAACTTCTCGGCGCATTGCATGCCGATGCGGTTTCGGCGTCTCATTGCAGATGCCCGGAAATTGCGCGGGCTCCGGCGATCCAATCCTACGGACCCGTCTCACGTCCGTTTTCGGCTCGCCGTCTTCCTTTGCCGGTAGACCGGCTCCGGCTCACATCAACGCCCTGCGTTCGGCATGACTCAAGACGGCTTGGATTCCGAGATGCTGGGGGGCGAGTTGGATGTTGATTGGGTTTGGTTTTTGGTAACGTGTTGGGCTTGGCTGGATCTGGCTCGCCGGTTGAGGAGGAGCGAGGGCGCCCGGAGATAACGGGCATTGAGGTGATTCCCATACTACGGGAGAGAGACGAGGTTACGGCGTCGGGAATAGCATCTAGGAAGTGTAGTGTGCTGAAGTCGAGTAGGTCGAGTATTAATAGCCTGCATTGCCGTATGCGCCAAGTACGTGTTTCTCTGATCAAGAGTACCCAACGAGTGTGGTAGTGTATGCAACGATGAATCCCGTCAACACCAAGCCCTACAAGCTTCCAGACGATGCAGTGTGGTTGAGTGAGTACCCCCAGACGTTTCCCGCCCCTGAAGACATCAAAAATTGACCCCAATCTCCAGTAACCGGCTGCTCGTCCGGCATCGGCCGCGCCCTCGCGACGCTCGTCGCCAGCAAGCCCAACCACCGTCTCATCGCCACGGCCCGCAACCCAGCCGACCTCGCCTACCTCTCCGACGGCAACCCTAACATCCTTAAGCTCCCGCTGGACGTGACCTCGCCAGACTCCGTCAACGCCGCCTTCACCGCCGCCGCAGAGCACTTTTCCAAGACAGAGAACGGCGGCGACGGCAGATTCCACCTCGACGTCGTCGTCAACAACGCCGGCTACTCCCTCTCGGGCGACACGGAGTCAGCCACCGAGGAGGAAACACACCGGGAGATGGAGACGCTGTTCTTCGGCACCGCGCGCGTGACCACGCGGGCCGTGGAGGCCATGCGCCCGCAGCAGCAGGCGGACGGGGACGACGCCAGGGGCGGTGTCATCTTCAACATCTCGTCGCTGGCCGGGCTGTGCGCCTTTCCCGGGCATGCGTACTACCACGCTGGCAAGTTCGCCGTCGAGGGTTTCTCTGAGAGCGTCGCAAGAGAGGTCCACCCGGACTGGGGGAGTAAGTGCAAATTTTCAACCTCTTTACCTGCCTCCCTGCTTGTTTGAAGTCGGGTACCCACTTGTCCGTGTGTAGTGCAATGGCTAACGAAGATGGCAACAACCCTCCTTAGTTAACATGTGCATCGTTGAACCGAGCGGCGTCCGGACCAACTTCGAGGGCCACAGCAAGGCGCGCACGGCGGCGCACCCGGCGTATGCCGGCCCCGACATGCCGGCGCGCAAGCTCGAGATGTACGTCAACATGGGCATCAAGTCGGGCGTGGGCATGATGGAGCCCGCCGCCGTGGCCGATGCGCTCTACAATATTGCGAGTCGCGGAGAGCGGGTCCCCCTGAGGCTGCCGCTGGGTGCCGTGGCCTGGAAGATGGGCAAGGCTAAGTTTGAGGGCTTGGTGCAGGAGTTTGAGGCGGTCAAGGAGATTAGTGCGATGGGTCAACAGCTTTGAAGGGGGATGTGATATTTTAATTTCGTATATTGAGAAAGAAAAATGACTGATTGTGTGATGGGTGGATGAATTGAATCACTGCTGAATCGGGTTACCAACTGTATGGATTTAATGAAGTGTGCAGCTGAGAGCTCCTTCTGTTATCTTTTGGTCCCCTCCTCTTCGCGTTTTCCATTTTACTTTTACAACTTTTCGTTCGTCATGAGAATCAGGTCTCGGCAAAGCCGTTTCGAACCCGATTTGCTGCTTCATCCTTCGACGTCCTTGTCTCCTCGACAGGAGAAAAAACTCCGGCTGGATACGACGGTAGCGTGGTGTGCGACCCGCGGAACTGATTCCAGCCCAGTGGATGCGCTTCGTTGGCCAGGCTGTGCTCCCCCCTGCTGATTGCCGAGAGGTGGAAACGCTGGGTCCAAGGGACTTTGGGAAGCGGGGACCTCGAGATTCCCATGTTGAAATCAGGAATCCCATTCTCTACAGCCCCGCCCCCGCCGCTTCCCGCTATGATCGACAGTCTCGGTCGACAAGTCATTGAGTCTGGACCGGTTGGACAACGACTGACGGAATTGATTGTAGGCCTGCCGTCCCTTCCGTTGACTCGGGTTCCATTTCCCTCGTTTTCTTCTTCTTTTAAGCGCACCTACTATGCGCACTAAACATCTTCGAGACGGTCGTTTTATCTTATTTTTCATCGTTATTCGCCACCAATGCCCACGTGCATCGCTTTGACAGGCACCTCATAATCGCTTGCTGGGTCTAGACCGCGCCCCCCCCGTCCAAAATCCAAACTCTTGCCCCGACGGCCCCATACTACCCCCCGTTCGCCATCATGTCCCACCGGCGTTCTCTATCCTCAAGCTTCATGGGCTTTGGGATGCCGATGAGCATGGGCTCCGAGACGTCCACGCTGCAGGTCCGCCTTTAAATTCACTTTCGCGAGGCATCAGACCTACTGACACCGTCTTGACTATGCAGATGAATCCCGACGCCACCGACACGCTGTTCCCGCTCGACAGCTCATTTTTTTATCCATTTGTCGACGGCAACATGTCCTTGGCTCTACAACCAATTGAATCAGCCTCGAGGATCTACGAAACCGGGCCGGGCCCTGCCTCCTCGGCCGGCCTGGTAGGGAACACCCCACAGTCGTCCTCTTTCTCTCCCAATGACACGACGGCCACCGAGCCGGCCCACGAGCCCCCGGGAACTGGAAACCAGACCCAACCAAGCGGGTTGAACGAGTTCACCAAGCGGTCCAATTGGCCAGCCCGAGTGGTCGACGAGCTCCGGGACTTGTTACACATCTTGGACGCCGAAGGGAGGGTCAAGACGGTCTCGCCGAGCGCCGAGCATCTGACTGGCTACAAGCCGGCCGAGCTCCGTGACATGCTCATGCGCGAGCTGTTGCACCCCGATGACGTAGGCGTCTTCACATCGGAGCTAAACCAATCCATAGCCGTGGGTACTCCGTTCCGCGTCTTTTACAGGATGAGGAAGAAGGACGGGACCTACGCCGTCTTTGAAGCCATTGGCCACGCCCACATCGCCGCCGCCAAGTTTGCGCCCAACCCAGACAACCAAACACCCTTCTGCCAAGCTGTCTTCATGATGGCCAGGCCGTATCCCACCAAGAACGCGGCTCTGCTCGACTCATTCCTAGAACACAAGATGGAGAACGAGCGCCTCAGGCGTAAGATCGCAGAGCTCCAAAAGGAGGAGCAGGACGACGCCGACGAGTCCGAAAGGACGTGGCGGCGGAGCCAAGAGACCACACCGTCCGAAAACGGCGTACGCTTCGGGACGACGACCTTCCAACCCCTGCCAGATGCGTCCACCCACCTTCGGGAGCGGGATGCCTCCCTAGACGGCGGGTTCATGGATGGCGTGACGGGCTCGCGGCGGTCCTCGATAGGGGTAACCCATGCCGACACCATCGAGATGCTCACCGGCCTCCGGTATCAGGAAGGCGAACGAAGCCATGGAATTACCACGGGGGTGGCTAGCCCCACTCTCGTGTCGGGAGACGCTGGCGTCCTCACTGGAGACGCCGGCATCGCCATCCCAGTGGACAGAGATCAGCGTGCAGGAGAGAAGAAGAAGAAGCTCAAGTTAGCCGAGGAATACGTCTGTACGGATTGCGGTGAGTTCATACCCTTCCGGCTCGGAGGTTGACAAGCACTGATTTACTTCTTAGGAACACTTGAGTCTCCCGAATGGCGCAAAGGGCCTAGCGGGCCTAAAACCCTCTGCAACGCCTGCGGGCTTCGCTGGGCGAAGAGGGAGAAGAAAAAGAGCGCCAGCCATGTTGTGGGAAGCGGCTTAGAACAACATCCTGGGCCTGGCGGTGATATTATCGGCTAGAGGTCGTTCGCCTGTTTTGAATTGGTCAAGTAATTCATGTTGCGTGTGTTGCGACGATTCGAAGCCCTTCCTCCGAAAGTTGGTTGGCTTTTAGGTACAAGGTCTCTGGAAAAGCGACAGGGCCCTGGTGGTTCCAAAACGTCCTGCAACGCATGCAGCCTTTGGCAAACGAAGGGTCGGGGCCTCGACCACGGCGGCACGGAACGTCATAGTATCTCGGGCCCAAGGGGAACACTACCGGCTAGACGCAGAGACTCGCTCAGAAATGAGACTACGACTACGGGACCCAGAACGTCAACCGTTTCTACGGCGTTACCTGGTTGTGGCGGCATACGTTAATAGGTGTCGTCAAGGCGGGGATTTCGGCGGTCTCTTTGCTGGCGCCGTACGAAGCAGCTTTCTGGCTAGCCCCCTAAAATTAACACAACGCAGTAACGGTCATGTATGTATAAGACGGCAACGGCTGGCTTTGGATGACAGGTATTGGGTTGGTCCTGGGCGCACGGGTCACAACACAAAACATACTAAGGGACTTGCTTATGATATTGGACTTCTCTATTTTAGTAGTACTTTCCCGAACATACCACAAAACTACAACAACAAACACAATCACAGCAAAGTTCTAGTGACCAGCCTTCGGCCCGCATAACCTCATCACCTGGTCCACGCGTGGGGCCGTGGGGTGACCTGATTATTATTCTCTGATGTCTTGACGGATTTGTTGTCATTGGTGAAAGATGAAGGTGAAACAAGCTGTGGGATCGCGTTGCTTAAACCACACCTCCAATTGGGCCCAAACACGACCCCGCGATGGCCTGGACACCAGAAATGACAGGAGACCTTCCCCTCCTTCAGCTGCCTTCGTTACTTACCCCGCCAAAGTGCAGCTGAGCTCCAGCGTACCCCTCTCCCTCCACTTATACTTATACCCCTCGAGCAACCTGGAACTGCCTTCTGGGAGGCACCCACTTCAACACAAGCAAACCATCCGTGGAAGCAATAGTAAGTCGTTGCTTCGCTTGGTGTATTTGGTTTCCCCAAGTACTGACCGCGGCAGTTAACCTCTCTTACCACGCTTACTTCTTCAATTTTGAACATTCAGAGGCCAACATGGACGGGCTCCTCGGAAAGGCTGTCGGCAAGGTGTTGGGCGACGACGACGAGCGGCCCCAGGGTGAGTGACAGACACAACCCCAACCAATACAGTGACACAACAACCAAGAATGGGAATGGCTAACAGACCCGTCCATCCAGGCCTACAGCAAGGAGGCGGTAACCGTACGCCAGCCTCCCCGCCCTCACCCCCCGAATCACGACACTAACTCTCTAATAGTGACCCACGGCGGCGCCTACCCCGCCGGCGGCGGTTACCCACACGACGACGACGACGACCTGCGCGGCGCGGCCTCCATCGCGGCCAAGGAAGCGCCCGAGAGCCAGGGCTTCTTCGACGACATCCTGGGCACGCTGCTCAAGGACAAGCCCAAGGCAAAGCTCGAGGAGGAGGACCTCGACGAGGACGGTGCGCACACCACCACACCACACCACACCACACACCACCACCCTCCTCACCCCCTATTTTGTCACACCCGACCAAAGAGGCCCCAGCTAACCTCCCCCCTCCTATCCCCTAAAAAACAGACGCAGTCCAATCCCACCGCAAATTCTTCGGCCTCGGCGACGCCGCCTCCGCCGCCACCGCCCAACAAGCCCCCGCATCCAGCTCATCCCTAGGCAACGCCGCCGCGATGCAAGCCCTCAAGCTCTTCACCTCATCCGGGAGCAGCGACTCCTCTGCGGCGGCCCCGCCGCAGAGCCAGAACGCGTTTGTCGGGCTGGCCATGGCGCAGGCCGCCAAGCTGTTCGACGCCCAGTCCTCGCAGGGCAATGTCGAGGCGGGCGCGGACAAGCAGAGCGTGGTGCGGAAGGCGGGGGAGATGGCGTTGAAGATGTATCTGAAGAGTAAGGGGGGTGCTGGTGCTGGCGGGGCGGCGGGTGGTGCGGGTGGGGGTGTGGAGGGGTTGCTGGGGTTGGCGGGGAAGTTTATGAAATGACGGGAATGAGTTAGGTACCCAGGGAAGGGGGGGTAAGATAGGGGGTGGTTGTTATTTTTTATTTTTATTTTTGAAGTCTAAGTTGGTGTTTTCAATCCGATTTTGCCCTCATGGTTGTTGAATGCCTAGGGAGAAAGAAGGATGTTGAAAGGCATGATGGGAACGATTACGTCTGGTGCCGTAGGGTATGACTGTGTATGTTCGCGGTTCTTTTATCAAATCCAATCATGGTGTTCACCTTTCAAGGGGCAATGAGAGAGAGCGGTCAGCTTAGCGAGAAAGTCGACGGACACGGCCGGGTCGGGCCACAAGGGTCTTTAAAGTTGGACCCACTTCGCTGCCTAGCCTTGTCCCGTGATCTCGCGATTTGAGTTGAAGGAGCGCTTGCAACCTCCACTCCGTGTCGCGGCACCACGCGTTCGCATCCGATCGACATCGAGAGCCGAGGCCCAGGAACACCGCTTCCTTTCCCCCTTTAAAACGGTTGCATGGAATTGGACCCCACCAGCTCGGGCCTCACCCCGTCGCACCGCCATGTCTAGGATAGAGAAGCTCTCGATTCTTGGTGTGCGCTCCTTCGGGCCGCAACACCAGGAAACGATCGCGTTTAACACCCCCCTGACCTTGATCGTTGGTTATAATGGCTCGGGAAAAACGGTGGGTTTTCATTTTTCGACCATCTCAGTCACACCGTTGCTTTGCTGACACCCTTCTAGACCATTATCGAATGCCTCAAGTATGCCACCACCGGCGAACTCCCCCCGAACAGCAAGGGCGGCGCCTTCATCCACGACCCCACACTGGCTGGTGAGAAGGATGTTCGCGCCCAAGTCAAAGTATCCTTTCGATCGACCGTCGGCGAGTCCTACGTTGTGACGCGTAATGTCCAGCTCATAGTGAAGAAGAGCACGAGGTCGCAGAAAACACTGGAAGGGAGCCTGCTACTGCGGAACAATGGAGAGCGGCACGTCATTTCCACACGGGTCATGGAACTTGACAAGCTCGTCCCTGAGAAGCTTGGTGTTTCGCCGGCTGTTCTGGACACCGTCATCTTCTGCCATCAGGACGAGTCCCTGTGGCCCATGAGCGAGCCCTCTGCCCTCAAGAAGCGGTTCGACGAGATTTTCGAAGCCATGAAGTACACCAAGGTCATCGACAACCTGAAGATTCTCCGTAAGAAGAAAGGCGAGGAGCTCCGTGAGTTGAAGTTGCAGGAGAACCAGGACAAGGCGAATAAGGAGAGGGCGGACAAGGTCAACAAGCTCATGGGCCAGCTGACGAGGGAGATCGAGGAGGGCCGGGGCAAGTACGACGAGCTCACAGAACAAATGGCGGAAGAGGGCGCCAAAATCAAATCAAAACACGAGCAGGCCAATAGTTTCCTGAGGATTGTAAACGATCTCCAGACCAAGACCGAGAAGTTGGAGTACAAGAAGGAGGCAATCCAGGAGCTACGCAGCCGCATCGAAGAATCTTCCGACACAGACCAAGTCCTAAAGAACTCTCTTGATGAGTACGAGCAGACGATCGAGAGGACCGTCGCCGACCGCGACAGAAAAGCTACCCAGTTCCACGAGCTCCAGGGGGATCTCAAGTCATCCCGGGAGCAGCATACCGCGAAGGCCTCCGAGCAGGGCAAGCACCAGTCGGACAAGGACAAGTACGAGCGCCAGCTTGTCACCCAGGACCGTATGATCCACGAGGCGGCTACTCGCCACGAAATCCGGGGCTACGATGGGGACCTAGACGACCGGAGGATCGCCGCCTTTAATGAACGCATCCAAAAGACCCTCAATGATAAGAAACGCGAGTTGGAGCGCATTCAGCGTGAAAATTCTGAAGAGCTCGACAAGAAGTCTGCCGTCATCACGGAACGCGATAGCCGAAAGGCATCGCTGATCCGGGATCGCGCATCGGCCAAGCAGCGCATCATCACAGTCGGCAAGGAATCGGCCACTATCCAGGGCGAACTCAGCAGATTGGATATCGACGAGGGCGCCGAGGCCATGCTTCGGACTGAAATGAAGGAGCTCGAGGCTAGGATTGAGACAGCAAAGGCCGAGGAGCAAGGGGCGGACTTGGACGCGCAGATCAAGAAGGTCAACGACGATATTTGGAACCTCGAAGCGCAGACCGCCAAGCTCGCCAGAGAGCTCGTCGAGTGCACGAGACTCGCATCCGAGCGAGCCCAGCTCGACCTGCGAAAGAAACAACTAACCGAGCGGCGGCGAGAACTAGAGATACTCAGGAAGACTTGGACCGAACAACTTTCGGCGTTGGTCGGGAACGATTGGCAACCAGAGACTATCGAAACTGAGTTCCAGAACGCAGTCAAACACCAAAACACGGTTGTTGCCGAGTGTAGGAAGCAGAAAGATGCGACTCAGCAGGAGTTGAAGCAAGTGGAGTATAAACTCTCAAACGCACGGGATCGGCATAGCAAGCTGTCCACGGAGAGAGAAAACTGCAACCGCGCCGTCACAAAAGCCCTTAAGGACGTGAGGAACCCGGACTCACCACCCATTGAGGACTACACGAAGGAGATGGAAAGCATCGAGGCCGAGCTCAGCCAAACGGAGACGGATCTGAAGCTCTACGATGAGATGAAGAAGCACTACGCGAGCATCAAGGACCGGGCTGTGCGGTTCAACAAGTGCTACTATTGCGAACGGGATTTCAAGGACCAGCCCACCGCGAGGTCAAAACTCCTTGACAAAATCGCGAAGAAGCTGAGTGATGAGGACAAGCAAGAATTAATGGAAGACCAGGTTCACTTCACTGAACAGATCAAAACTCTCAGAGCTGTACGCGCTCAGTATGACAGCTATCGGCGACTTGAAACTGAGTTGCCGTTAATAACCAAAGACATTGACGCGGCCTCGTCTCAGCGGGAGGAGTTGGTCCGCCGCCTGGAGGACCAGGATCTCGCCTTCAGAGAAGCAGAGGACAAGCGTCAAGAGGTTGACGGACTGAGCAAGAACGTCCTGAAGATATCCCAGACGCATAAGGATATCATCGAGGCGGAGAGGCAGGTGGAGAGGTCGCAGCAGTCTTCGAGCATTGCAATGCGGAGTCCTGACGAGATCAACGAGGAGCAAACCACTTGCGCGGAGCAGACCCGAACTGCCCAAGCTAAGCTCAGCAAGCTCACCACCGAGAGGCAGCGCCTGAAAGACCTGGCCGCACAGCTCGAGGTCGAGAGGCTCGAGTTGAGGCATAAGATCAGCAGTGCCGTTCAGCAACTGGAGCGGAAGAAGAGCCTCCAGGACTCTATCCGCAGATACAAGGAGGAGCAGGGTCACCTGCGGGAAACCATCCAGGAGGCCGATAAGGAAGTAGAGCGTCTCGAGCCAGAGATTGCAAGTGCTCGTGCAGCGCTAGAGGAAGCTCGGCAACAGGGGCGAGCCAAGGAGCAGAAGGTCGCAGAAGAGAGAGATGCCATCGCCACTACCTTCAGCGAGCTCAAGATGGTCAGCACCGACATCCAAGAGTACCTGGATCGTGGCGGTCCTTCAAACCTGGCCTCGAACCAGCGGGCCATTGCTACCCTAGAAGCCACGATCGCCAATCTCGAGAGCGAGATGAAAGATCTAACAGTTCAAATCAACAAATTGAACAAGGAGATCGACAACAGCGACGCCAAGAAACGGAACATCGCCGACAACCTGACCTACCGCAAGAACCTGCGTGAGTGCGACGCCCTCGAGGAAGAAATCGTCGAGCTCGAGTCTCGCAACGCTCAGGAAGACTACGACCGTCTCACTCAGGAAGCCCGCTACCTCGAAACCCGCCGCGGCAAGCTCACCGCCGACCGGGAGCGCCTCGTGGGGTCCCTAACGACCAAGGACGAAGAGTTCAAGCGACTGGATGAAGAATACCAGATCGAGCTCAAGGACGCCAAGGCCAAGTACAAGGAATCCCATATCAAGGTCGAGACCACCAAGGCCGCCATCGACGACCTCGGCCACGGGACTGCTGCCCTTGACCACGCCATCATGCGATACCACTCCCTGAAAATGGAGGAGATCAACCGCACCATCGGCGAGCTGTGGCAGAGCACGTACCAGGGCACCGACATCGACACGATCCAGATCCGGTCCGACGTGGAGGCCGGGGCCGGGTCTGGCGGCGGCAAGCGCAACTACAACTACCGCGTGTCCATGGTCAAGGGCGACACCGAGATGGACATGCGCGGCCGCTGCAGCGCGGGCCAGAAGGTCCTCGCCTGCATCATCATCCGTCTGGCCCTGGCCGAGTCCTTTGGCGTCAACTGCGGCCTCATCGCCCTCGACGAGCCCACCACCAACCTCGACAGCGACAACATCCGCAGCCTGGCCGAGAGCTTGCACGGCATCATCAAGGCCCGCCGCTCCCAGAGCAACCTGCAGCTGATCGTCATCACCCACGACGAGGAGTTTTTGAAACACATGCAGTGCAGCGATTTCTGCGATGACTTCTTCCGAGTTAGGAGAGATGAGAAGCAGAATAGTGTTATTGTGCGGGAGAGTATTACCAGGATCATGGAGTAGGGAGAGAGCACGGGTTGGGGGGGTTCATATTGCTCTCCTGTTTTTGTACTTTAAGGAGTTGGCATTTCTCGCTGATGGTTGATATTGGCGCATGGGTCTGGCTTGTAATGAATGAAGATGGAGAGATACCAACACCTTCGTTCCCGGGGTATCCGACACTCACTGCTCTGCTGACCCTCGGTCCTCGGTTCAACTAACCACTGCGGTGTATTGTATCCAGCGCCCTAAAACACAAGCACCGCTGATACACACCAACCCAACCCTGAGCCGGGTGAACCCAACCCGAATCTATTCCCTTCTCCCAAAGCATCCGCCGAACAACGACGTCACCACCGCCCTCAATCCCGCTCCGCAATTCGCCCACCGCGCAGGCAAAACAACCGACGACGGCGCGGCGTGTGCCTTCTCCGAGACCACCGGCAAAGCCGGGCCACACTAGCCACCGGCCTGATCTTTAGCAGCCTCGTCCTGCTTCGTCACAACAGAACCCCCTTCACCACTCCCAGCCGTGTCCTTTTCGTCGTCTCCCTTGGTACCGTCCACCGGCCGCCCCTTCTCGGGGTCCGCAGCAGCCCCGCCCTCGTTGCCCGCCTCGGCGGCGCCGGCATCCGGCAGGACGACGTCGCCTTCGGCGTCACGTTTTGGTTCCGAGGGGGCGGCGTTTCCGTCGGCAGGCTTTTGCTCTGTCGTCGTCGTCGTCGTGTTTTGGTCCTTGTTCTCCTGGGCGCCGGGTTCGTCGTCGTCCTTCCTCCTCTTGGTGGTAGGGGATTCGGGTTCCAGGTCGTCACCCGCCTCGCGTTTCGGTGCGGGTTCGCTGCCCTCGCGGCTGTCGCTGGCCGGTTTGTTGTCGCCATCCTGCTGCTGCTGCGCGGGGGGCGACTGGACCCGCCGCCCGACGGCCGCCTCCACGTCGAGACCCTGCACGTCCATCGGGCTGCCGCCGCTGGCGATGTAGTTCGCCGTCGCGGCGCTCTGCGGGCCCATGTCGGCGGCGCCGATCTCCTCCGGTCCCCGGACGTGGGGCGTCTCTTCCTCCTCCTTGTCGGCGCCCTCGCCCATGGTGGCGTCTTCCTGTGCCGTGGCGTCGGAATCGCCCTGCGTCTGCTGCTGCGGCGATTGCTGTTGCCTGTTGATCTGGTTCAGCGGCACGAGGCCGGCACGCTGCTCCTGGCGTAGGAGCTCCCCCTGGGTGACGCTGCGCTGGGTGAGCAGGGCCACGCCGGCGCCGGTGGACGGGATGCCGTTCACCGACACCGAGACGGTTTCGATGCTCCCAATCCCATTAGGCCCTTCGATAGTTTCGGTGCTTTCCGTCCGCACTCGACCCTCGATATGGCCGCCTGGTCGCTGCTGCTGCTGTTGGGCCTGAAACTGTCGCTCGGGGTTCTCACCGGCGGACAGCGGAGATGAGCCGCCTGCCTCACTGCCGTCTTCGCTGCCGCTCCCGTTTGATCTCCTCGAAAGCCAGGGGATTGGCGTCAACAAGGCCCCGCCCAATGCCTCGTCCGACCCGAGGCTGTTGGCCGCCGCTGTGTCGATAGACAGATTCCCTGTGCTCCCACTGCCCGCGCCGTTCGCTAGCAGGGACATGGCGCCTACGTCGGGAAGGGCCGGGGGAAGCGGGTAGGTGTTTGCGCCGCTGGTTACGTGGACAACACGGTCGAGGGCGTGGAGATAGGGTACCAAGTGGCGATAGTGTTGGCGCGGGCGCAGGATTAGCTCGGATAGCCGTTGAATGGTGTGCGGTGGGTACTGGGGGAAACTCGTGCGCAAGACGGATATAATCTCATCGAGCATATCGGCGATGGGTTTCGGGAGGGAAGCGGTCGGCGTGGGTTGCTGAGCGGGTGTGCCCGGTCCTACCACCGCGGCGGACGCAACGTTGGTGCTAGCGCCAGCACCTGCAGCAGCGGAGGGCAGAGATGGATCGGCATTCTCCTTATTTGTCCCTTGTGATGACGATGTTTCTGTCTGGTCTGGCGCATCAAACGGGTCGGAGGAAGGAAGCGGGGCGAGGAAGCGTGGGGAGGGAGGTCTCGCAGGTTGGGCGGGGGGCGGAATATTGGGGATGGGGAACTCGGTATGTGCAATCTGAAAAGTGGCATTGTCAGACCAGAGAAGACCAGTTTAGGCTAGTTAAATCAAAGATCGATCTTGACGGGATACTCACCTTTTCGATTCGCGATAGGACCGTCGGGAGCAGCTCTGGCCAAAGCGAACTGTGGCATGCTGGATTAGCACCATTGCGAGTCGCAGTTGTGGCATGGTGGGCGATACTCACTAGTCCATAGAACCGTCCAGCGCGGCCTTCCTGAGAACGTCATCGCCTGTGTCTATCTCCATCTCGGCCATATTAAGGGTGGGGTGAATGTGAGCTGGAGTCGAGGTTGAGGTTAGGTAACTCAAGGTCCAGATGTTTGGCGCGTGCTCGGTCGCCATGGAGCGCGTCATGGGCACCTGCAGGCAGGGCCTAGAAGGTCCGCTAGCGATGGATGCCCCACCAACTTAGCCTGGCACCTCAATGTCGCAGCGACGGCCGTAATCCGTACATACACGGGCAGTACTTTCCCTTCCCGTCCCAAGGTATGAATGTCCCGGGCCAGCTAATGGAGGTACTCAAGTGCTACAGATTACCTAAAACAGAAGTATTTCGTTCCCCATACAATTTCCCATCTTCAGAACGACTCGCTATTCCATCCCACCCCTCTATACAACCCGGAATGATCGATTTTATTTCACCTCCCATGCTTTTAAGGAGCGAAGCGGCAGCAAGCCATGACTCGAGACTCACGACCTTTGGACCGACGAAAGAAATGACAGACGCACGAATACTTCGTATCGACCACGAACCACCGCGATCGGCCCTATGTGCAGACAGGAATCCCGCCGATCATCCGCTCCCCATCTCAGGGCTCTTTCGTGGCGCCCCAGAACCACAGCGAGCACAGCGATCGCTGCGACAAACGGGCAATGTTATCAATTGCGGCGCGTCCGATCGTCCGCACCTCTGTCGTCATCTCACGGAGAAAGCTGAACCGTGATGCGGCCAGCATGAATGCCTTTTGCTCGGCGTCTCCCGCCAAAGGATTCTGACCCGCTTGTTTAGCCCAAGGCCGTGGTTTCTTCAGGGTTCAACCTGTCGCGAGTTGCTGCGGAGGGTAACCTGGCATTCAAGATGGATTTCGGTGAAAACGAAGCCGCCCCTCCCAACCCGGTGTTGCTTTCAGCGTGTAGCGGAGCCCATCGCAAGGCCCATACGAAGTAACCTCAATCAAGTCCGCAGACTGTCTGTCCTGCGAGTCGTGCGAGCACTCGAAAAAATAACCCAAGTCCTCCAGATTATTGTGGATATCGAGCTCCATCCTCCCCGGTCGACTCGCCGAGCAGACCCACGTGGGGCTGGGCTGAAAGGGCTGACTGACTCCGCGGACAGGCTGGGGATGCCGAAGAACGGCGCAGAACTCAATGACTGGATAGTTCCATGGGAGCAGCCGATCCTCTGCGGGCTCGACGTGTTATTATGATCATGATGGATTTGTTGGAAAGGCCTGCAAAGCTATACTTGTAACTAAATGATGACCTTGGTTGGTCGGTTGGCTCGATGCAAGATGGTTGGTTGGGCTGTGAAAGCCGTTTGCATGTCCGAAACGGCATGTGGAGCCAGTGCAAGTCGCTGCAGCAAACGAAATACGGACGAAACCGTGACAGCCGCCTGGCCTTGTTCACATCAGAAAAGGGACGGGAGGGAAAGAGAACAAATCCAAGGTGGGATCACGAAACTGCCGGCCGGTCGACAGACAGTGATACACGACGTCAACAGACTCTGTACAAAGAGTGGAGGCTTTGAATGAATCGCGGCCGCATAAACTACCTAGTGTAGGCAAACTGGCACAGCCTCGAACTCGGCCAGCCAAGCTTGGCTCTGCAGGAGGCTGATGGGGAGAAACTAGCCCCTGTTTGGAATTCTCGCTGATGCTCGCCAGAGTCCTGGTTCCTGTCTTGGCCCCGTTTGTCACCTGCCAAACCCCAGCACCCCAGTCCTGTCTGCAACATCCCACTCCCGCAGGGCCGTGTCCTTGGTTCCCTCTTTTTTCATCCCATCGTTTATCAATTTCGAGGTGCCCATTTGGCCATCTTTCCAATCTCTCTTTTTCGTTTTCATCGGATCCTTCCCAGCTCCACTCTGCCCTGCCATTTCCCGGGCGCACGAACGACCCAACCGCCTCCGCAAGTCGACTCTCGGCAAAACGTGACCGGAAAGAAGCCAAGTCCTTGTGGCCGAAGTGCTTTCGAACATCTCAGCTCCTCGACGTGTTTCAGCCTGCCCTCGGCCGCCGGAATTCGACGCACAATCCCCCTTGACCCAGCCGAGCCCCGTCTTTGATCACTGCGACGAAAATCGGACGGCGACGGCAGAGAAGCGCGCTTGACCACACTCTGACCACCATTCATTCGCTTTCCCACCAATCCCCCCCGTGAGGCGCCAACCGCCCCCGAGCTTTTGCTCTCTCCACCAAACCCTTTTCAGCGACCCTCGACGACCAACCGGCCCCGTCGACCCAAGCAAACAACCACTGACAAAGAAGCTTGACAAACACAAAATCAAACCGCCAAAGTGCATTCAGAACCGCCCGTCCTGGATTCGCAACGGGAACTTCGCCGGTCCTATCTGGCCGGGTCGCAGCCCATCTCGAGCTTTGACGGGGCGTACAACTACAGAGACAGCGCCATGATGGCCTCAGGTGTCCCGCCCACCTCTGGGCGCAAGAAGCCACTCTTTTCATCAGAGTTCCTCGCCTCGAAATGGGCGAAGCTCTTCTTCCTCATCGTTGGGTTGCAGGCCCTAATCTGTGTCGCTTTCGAATCGTACGTCGCCATGCTACCAACCGCAACCACAAAACAAGACCCACGCAATACTGACATGACGATGCAGATACGTGTTTGGGAGATTCCAGTTCAGTCTGGAGTACCAGGAGGAGTCGAATCTCACTGACAGGCTAAAGTCACAATACCGCACCATCCCGACCTTTTTGACCCTATTCATCTTCGGCTTCCTCTACATCCTATTCCTCACATGGGACGCCCTGCGGCTCAAGAACACCATTCAGATCATCGGCTTATGCGTGGCCAACCTGGCCATTTTCGTCTACGCTATCCTCCAGATCGATCAAATCAACGGTTCGATCGATACGCTCCTGAAGAATGGCGCCCTGAAGCCGGATAAGGAAGACAGGAACGTGTGGGCGCTGTGCAGGCCCTTCCTGATTGCCGTCCCGGCTGTGGTGGGCGTCGTCACTGCCATCATGGGTGGCCTCGCTTACCAGCTCTACCGAGAGTTTGCCTGGGATATCCTGAAGCAGATCGGTGCCGACTACCGCATGAAGAAGCGCTTCTTGCACTATCAGGTGAGTTCAGACGACCACGTATGCGAACGCCATGTCCTAACAAGGTGCAGATTTATATTGCCCTGCTGAAGTTCGATTTCTTCTTTTTCCTCGGCTTCACCGTGCAGTTCCTCGTCATCGTCAACGGCCTGAACGACCTCGAACTGGGCCTGCACGTCGCCGCCATCCCGATCACCATCGCCATTCTTCTTTGCGCCGCCTTCTTTACCCGGCGTGAGAACCGGCTCGGCGTCGCCTTCGTCATCCTTCTCTACTTCGGTGGCCTGGCCTATTTCTTCTTCAAGCTGGTGCGCATCTACCAGCCGGGCCACAGCCAGGACTACGACGCCGTCAGGCGGTCACTGACGGCATTCGCCGTGCTCACCATCATCCTCATCATTCTGACCATCATCAATGCCTTCATCTGCATGAGCAACTTCGGCGCCGGGCTCAAGGCCCACCTTCTCAGGCCCACGGCCCCCGATCCGGAGAAGGAGGATGCCAACTCGTACCAGATGAACGACCAGCAGACGGCGCTGCCCACTCGGATGACCATCGATTAAGCGAGTATCTAGATGATAGGGAGGGAGTAATACGGAATTGAATGGTGGAAACCGAAAATAGGGCGGGGCGCATCTCGCCTGCGCCAATAACGAAATTTACGACGACTCCGGAGTCTGAAACAAAACAACACCAGCTCCAAAGAGAGGGCCGAGGGAGGAGAGGCATTTCCTAGGTTGTTTCACTTGTCAGCAGCGGAACACCATGGCTACACCTGGCCGGCATAGATATCCACATTGATTTTTGTGATTTCTTTTTTTTTTTCCTTTTTTTTCTTCTGTAAGCTTCGGCGTGTTCAAGAACACGATCCCAGGCGTTATCTTATCATATTTTGGCAAGCACATCATTGCTGTGCCGTCCCCACGGGGAGAGGCACAGAAAGCGTTGGAAGGCGGAGGGGAGAATGGCGTTTTTTCTTTTCTCATTTGTTTCTTTTTTTTCCTTTTCGAGGGTGGGATTTAGCCTGGATCACAATCAGGTCGGTCGGTGGCTTCCAATTGAATTTGTTGTTGTGGGATGGGAATTTCCCCCGGCCCGGCTATCAGGACTTGTGCGCTTGCATCGAACCGCACGCTTCGCCTGCTCGTCGGCTGGCTGGCCCGGCAGACGGTGATGATGACTACCTTGGGAGGGTGGGGATGGGTAAATGAAGAATGTATGAGGGGGTAGATCCGAGAGCAGGTCGAAGCCGGGACGTGTTAAAATGCATGTACAAAGTACATTGGTCGTGATGGCTGTTGGCGAAGTGACTGTTAATAAGAAGGGAAGGGCTTGGTTGAATAAGCAAGCAGTTCGATACGCTATCTCTGTCTCGACAAAGTGAAGTTAGAGAATCGGGTCCTAACACCCTGCGGCGTACAGCACATAGGTACGTAGTACATAAAGAGTCTAACTCGGAGCTTTCTGGTTCAAAGTATAGCAATTGATATCAATCTACCTCTTTGCCCTTGACTCCGTTACCGTTGTCCGCTACTGATACTCTTGTGAGCTCACCCAAACCATTCCATGCCCCGCCCATAGCCCAAACAATCCCGAAATACCCCCAAAAAGGGAGCAAAAAAAACTCTTGAACCACTCGTTATACACCTGAACCCATCCATCCTCCCCGTTGCTGCTAAAGGCAAAATACGCCGCTGATAAAAAGAAAAAAGAAGAAGAAAACCACCCTGTACCCGCTATCCCGACCCCGATTCCGATTCCGATGGTGATTCCAATGTGGCCATATCCCCCGCATACCGGACCATAAACTCGCCCAACGTGGGCACGTAAAGCGCAACGTCCAGGTCATCGACATCCGCGTCCAACTCGGTCCCGTGTCTCCAGCCGACCCCCCAGCGTAGAAACCGTAGCTCGGTATCAACCGCGTCCGTCGAGCCACGCCCGCTATCCGTCTCCGTTGCCTCGGAATCACCAAACTCCTGGCTATCCCTGTAAACCCTCGCCTCGTCCGAGCTGCGGTGCCGTTCCAAACCAGAGTCCACAGGCCTCCTCCCGGGGCGCACCGCGTCCTGGTAGGCAAAGAAGGCGTCCCACGAATCCAGCGTGTTGTAAACGCCCTGCAGCGTTTCCGGGTTGGGCAGCAAGGTCGCCGTTGCTAAGCCGCTGTCCGCCGGCTCGCCCCCGGGCTGAAGGAGACTCTCCAGGGCCCGGGAAGAGTCGGTATTTTGAAAAAGACCATCGAAGACCCGGTCGACGATAAGCGCGAGAGATACGTCTGCGTCTCCCAGGCCAGGCGTGGGTCCCTGTCGGTGGTCCCTGTCGCCACAGGCAGCGTCATGCCCCAAGCCCACTCCGCTTCCAACCTCCCTTACCCCCGTCGAGTCCGCGCCACCCTACAAGACGACCCTCCGGGCGTCCTTGAACAGCCCCTCGCTTGGACAGTACGGGCACTTGAACCTGTTACCCTTGCACAGCTTCTGCAGCGTCTCGCGTGCCAGCATATGGCCGCAGGGAATCACCATGGGCGGGTTGTCCTCGGTCGTCTGCTCCTTGGACACTGGGCAGACAAAGATGCTATGGAACAGCATGCTCTCGGGAAGCGGTGTTTCGAATGGAAGCTCCTGCGCAGTTGTCCACTCGGTGCCCTTGGAGCGGGTGGCGAGCATGAATTTCATGAGTCGGGGCAAGGCCAGGGCGCCGGCGGTGACGGCGAGGTAGAGGGGGGATTCTGCCGACAGACCGAGCAGGCTGCAGAACTCGCGGGTAAAGGAGGCGGCGACATCGGTAAAGGCGGTGGAGATGGCGGCAAAAGTCATGTGGTAGGGGGAGTCCGGGAGGTTGGGGGCGAAGACCATGGCCGCCGCGAGCTGTCGGATCTCACGTAGGTGGCGGGCTTGGAAGCGGCCGAAGTGCTGGCGGGCATAGGCGAGCGCGCCCGGGCGGCCATTGTGTTCGTCGTCGGGGAGGTTGTTGACGGAAGGGCCTTTGAAGAGCCAGACGTATTGAAGCTTGGAGAGCTCGAACTCGAGATTGCTGCCGCGGGCTTCGAGCTCGGCCGAGTTCGAACGCGCCCATTCGATAGCGGGGAGCAGGTTCTGTGCTTTTAGCTGCTGTAGGATTGTGTACATTTCGGCAAACTTGTCTTGGAGTTCTTGAGAGTGGAGAGACGAAAGGTCATAATCGTCATCGTCGGGGGCGACCGGAGATCCATTCGTGTTGGTGTGGGTTTCAGCGGCCTCTTCATCCTCGTCCTCATCTTCACCCTCGTCCTCGTCATCGTCCTCGTCCATGGGTTCACTAAAGGTGGAAGGAGGGGCTGGTGGGGTCTTGGTTTGGACTTCGTTTATGAAGGTCGAGGCGACTGTGAACTGGCCCTCTCGCAGCAAGTGCATGGCGATGGCCCGGTTTATTAGAGGTAGACGGTCCTCCATACCGTCATCGTCCGTGGGCAATTGTTTAAGCGGGAAGTGCTGGAGGCGAACGCATGTTAGAGCCTCGTACGAGGGCGGCTGGGGCGGAGGGAATGGGTACATGCCTTGTCTAACGACCTTCCAACCTTCTTGTGTGACGACGAGGCCGCCTTCAGGTCGTCGTTGATTTTCCCGAACGCAAACTTGATAGGGTTCTGAAGCTTCGTCATGTTTAGACTCGCCGTATGAGGGTCCATGGCTGGTGGCGCCCATGTCAGTGGCCTGCTTTCCATCAAGTCGTCTGGGAGGACGAGGAGGGGGGGGGGTCGGGGATACCAACCTCCGGCGATCCGCTCCCGAGCATCACTGAGCAGCTCGATGACCTGGTCGACATCGCTGACAGCTGATGAGAGCCTGGGCAAGCTGCTCGCTTTAGACAGCTCGTCCAAGAGGGACTCCAGCCTGTGTTTTGCCTCCATTGTTATAAACTTGGTGTTCGGGTGGTCGGATGCTTAGGTCCTCGAGTCCGTGAGTGGTAGGTAGGTGCGCACGGTGCGGTGCAACAGTGGGCTATGGCGCAAAGGCGCCCAGCATTGTCTTGCCGGCGGTAGAGTAAGGGATGTTGGTGAAGGTGGGTTGGTAGGTTGTCGCCGGCGGGGTCGGACCTCTGTGGTGACGCCTGACCTTATCCAAGTTCAAAGTTCGTTGTGCAGTTCTGGGTTGTCACGTTGTGGACTGCATTGCTCTGGCCAAATCGAGATCGGTCCATAGGTAGGTACCTCCCCCCCAGCGCTCGGCTCTGCAAGCGGGCCTGCAGTTCCGGCGCCGCGCTTGGATGGCAGGCGCTAATTTGCTGCTCAAATGACGTCGGGTCCCTCGCTGCAAGCACCAGGTCCTTCCATCCCAAGCCCACTGGCGGTGTCTGGTAAAATACCTGGCGAGTACAGTACAGTACTATAATACACTGCGAGTACCATACACAGTACACTCAATGCGCAGAAATCGGTGTTGGTCTAGCCCCCAGGGCCTTGAATCCCACAGACGGCATTGCATCACATGCCTGCATGCCTGCCTGCGCCCGTGAACCAACACCATTCCATCCTGGGGTGCGACTGCCGTTCTAGGTAGCTTCCAGCAGCACAGCAAAACTCGTGGAAGTCTTCATCTCGTCCCTTGTCCCTCTGAACCCAACAGTGCGGCATATTGCATATTGCCCCGATCATTCCCCTCACCGCTCCTGTTAGCCCCACGATAGGCCCTGGACTTTGGCGCTTTGTGTTTCGCTAACTTGGCCGTGGTCCCTGCCGTTGACATGGATGTACCCCCCCGGGGCGCCGTTACTGGGTCCCTGTTATGCTCAATTGCCCTGTTGACGTCGACGGAGCACCCGACATCATGTCCCTCCGCCTCTCTTTCCCGACCGCCGTAGATCCAAGGGCGCACCGGGAAGAGGAACTGACGCTGGCCCGCACAGCTTCGTATCACAACCACCAGAGAAATGCGAAGTCGGCCGCGCCAGATACACCGGACGGCGCTGCCATGAGCAGCGCTCTTCCTCTTCCGGCCACCCATAGCACGGGTCGGCGCCGTGTCGTTCTCCCGGATCCCGTCGCCTTCAAGTAGGCTTCATTCGATCACGCAACAGCGCACACCCCCAGGGCGACTAACAGCTCTTGTGTAGGTTCTTAGAAAGCGATCCCTTGGTTGCCGTTGTCGAGCGCAGACATGTCCTCCCCGGCTACGAGCTCTACCTGGTCGAGCAGTGGGCGTGCTCGCGCCAGTCACCCACGCTCGTCATTGCCACCTACACGGGCGACCCGAGACACTCGGTGGTCGTTGGCGTGTTGGAGGTGCCCGCAGACGAGAGGGACTGGTCGCCGAGGTTGAGGGTTTACTTCCGAGCCATCCACCAATATCACGCACGGCCCAAGGAAACCGAAATTGGGGAGCTCATGGTCACAAACCTCAGCAGTTTCCCCTCCGCCCTAACTGTTATTCCCGTACCAGAAGGCGACATACGGAAGCATCGCCAAGAGTTCATCGTCAACGAGGACTTGAAGCGGCTGGGCTGTTCGGGACGGTCCGGTCTCACGCTGACAGAGCCAACATCGGCCACCCGAGCCAAGTTCATGCAAATGTACAAGACCAGCGATAGGATACCCTTCGTCGACGCTGTCCTCGAGCTTGTCAAGTTATGTCAGGTGGCCCTCTTCCTGTTCGGCATGCTTGAGCAGGAGTACATGGACGGTCTGCTCTGCGACGTCACGGAGAAAGCCATCAACGACTGGTGGACCGAGATCGGCACCGAGTACTTCAACATCGAGCCGGCAGACGGCATCCTAGGACCAACCACAGTCGCCGCCCTGCTCGGTACCCTTTTGGGTTCAAGGAATCGGCTCAGCTACTGGGGTGCTCCGGTGTCCAAGGATGTTTTCGATATTGAATGCACGAAAAAAGGCGTTGGCACCTTCCAAAAGGCCATGAGGCTGGAAAGGACGCGCCGCCTTGACCGGCAAACCCTACACAAACTACACGGCGTAACGGCCAAGGCAGCGGCAGGCGACGGCGGATGGGGTGTACAGAGGGCCGTCAAGTCCACAATGGCCGAGATAGGCGGAAAGCGCGGCGAGCTGGTCATAGGTATGGTGGGCGGCCGAGACAAGGCCAACATCGGAGACATCGAAACTTTGGACCTAAACAAGGTCATCAGTTTGGCCTCCGGAGAACGCTCGAAATTCCTCTGGCACGGAAAGCCAAAAAAGACCCTTCTGGACCACGAGCATGACCATACCCCATCAGCGTTCGGAAAGGAGCTCAGAGACGAAATAAGCCCTCAAGTGGGAAGCAGGAGAACACAATCAGCACCAATAGAGGAAGAGCCGGAACCCAGCAACAAAGAAGACTCCCCTGCACCCTGCCCTCCCCCCCAGCCAACAAACTCCTTGCCCATCGGCGCAGACGCTCCTGGTGGCGACCGAGATGCCCTACGAAAGAACGTTTTCAAGAGCGTCGCCGGGAAAGTGAACGACGCCCGTTCGGGGCTGGGGCGCATTAGGGACGCTGTTGGCGGCAGCCGAAGAGGGCACGCCGGCCGGCCTTCTAAGGACGAGACCCCGGACACGGCCATGAGCGGGTACTCTAGCCCGAGTATTGCGACGCTGGCCCAGTCATCAGCTATTGTGACGAGCCCGGTCGCCGTTGGCAAAACCTTCTCATGGAAGGTCAGGCCGGAAGACTATCCCCCCGCCGTAAGAAACGGCGAAACTGCTGAGTCGGCACCTTCAATACCTACTTTCTGTGTTGACGAAACTGGAGACCAGTTGACCGCCAAGGATTATGCCCAACCCTACGGGGTGCCCTTCCAAACGCTCGAGGAGAAGGACAGGTTAGAGTGCGCGCTCGCCGAGATGGCGAAAGACGTCCGCAGTACCAATGTCTCTGCCCCGGGCTCAGTTGTGGCCGATGGAGACTTGCAGGGGCCCGTCCTCGCCATTGAGCGGAGTTCTGACGGACCGCTCTTGTCCCTGCAGCGTCGTCGCAGCATCGACTGCATCGCCTCCCTCAACCGCCGCTTCGGCGAGGCCCGGTACCCACGACGGCTGTCATTCAGCGCGGCCGAGGACGCCATCCTCTATTGGGAAGACCTCATTACCCTGACCGACACACAGCCAGGCGCCAACGACCTGGCAAGCCTGCGCTCACAAGCGGAACTGTCCTACAGCCTCTACACACGCCTCCAGCGGATCCAAACGGGCCTCGCGCCCTGGGCGTCGGGGAAGCTCTCAGCGGTCACCGCACTCGACCAGGCCCTCGGAGCCCAGCAAACAGAACTCCAGGCCCTGCACGACGCCATGGAGGAGGCGTACCAGCGCGCCCGGCACGGCAGCGGCGAGTTGGTGGCCGAGGAGCGCGGCCGCCTGGCCGAGGCGGTCAAGGACGTCGAGATGCTGGCCGCCAAGCTGGAGTACGAGATCGGCGCGCTCGTGTCGCGCGTGAACGAGGTCGAGGACGGGGTCGCGCACTTCGAGGCCCAGGTCGAGGACGTCGAGCGCCGGGCTGACGAGCTGAGGGAGGTGCTCGAGACGGAGAGCTGGGTGCACTGGTTCGTGAGGACCGCGACCGGGATTGGGACGGGGCCGAATATCACGAGGGGGGTCGCCGTCCAGTCAAATGGGGGAGGGTGAGAGCTGCCGGGGGTTTTGTACTGGATAGGTGGTCGACAGTCTGGTCGGGTGGGTAACAGTGGGTTGGAGGATGGCGTTGGGCGTTTTTAGAGAGGGTTGCATTACGCAGTGGCATTGGTTTTATGGGAGCATTGCATGGGATGCGATATTGGATAGCCCAAGCAGTGATAAATAGCGTCGGCGCGCCAGCGGAGAAGAGATGCCATGGTTACAATCCCGCCCCATCCGTGGTCTCACCGGACCTCTAGTTACTCCTCCCGTGTTCAGTCGGTTCTATTGTACACGCCGTAGCCCAAACCGCAGACCCGGCCATCGTCATCGGTCCGCAGACCATCTAGGTACCCGCCAGCCAGAACCAGTAAAACTGCCCAAAACAACAGAGATATCATAGCTCCATGCCCCGTCCCGTCCCGTCCTGTCCCGTCCCATATCCGTACACGCTCGACTCGACTCGGCAAATCCATCCACCTCCACCAGGCCAGCCTCCAAAAAAGGAGGGTAAACCCAATCAAACGACCAGGCACTGGTTCTACTCTGCCCTCCACCCAGGATCAGAAGCCTGTATATGTATCATCCATCCATCCCCATCCATTCCCACCCAGCCCCAGCCCCAGCGACCCAATCGGCAGGGTGACAGAGTTTACATCCCCCCGCCGCCGAACCCGCGCGCCGCGCCCTCCTTCTGCAGCTGCTCCGAGATGGTCGTGTGCGCCTCAAAGAACTTGGCCGAGCACCGGTCCAGGCACACGGCCTCGCCCTTGGAGAGGTCGGCCTCGCGGTACGACTTGTCCACGCACTTGGACGTGCAGACTTTGAGCATCCTGTTTGGGGGTTGTGTGTTAGTTTTTTTTGAGGTGGCCGGGGTGGGGTGGTGGATTGGGGGAGCTGGGTTGGGATCTTGAAACGGGAGGGGGGAAAGATGTGAGCTTACCGTGTGTGCATCTCGGCAATCACCTTGAGCTCGTTCTCGACCGCTGCGATCTTCTCGGCGGAGGTGGGCTGCGGACGGCCGAGGCCTAGGAAGGACATTTTGGCGGTTGGGGGGGTATTTTTGGTGATGGTGTCGGATTAGAGGGTTGTTTTGCGCTGCGCCGGTCTGTGATGGCTAGTTAAGGGATTTAGTTGGTGTTGTAGTTGTCGTTTGTCGGCTTCTGTTTAAGGCCTGGATTTGGATCTCGATGTGAACGCAGCGGTTTTGCTCGTCATGCCAAGCCCGGGACATTCTCGGCAGAACCACCAAATGAGTGCCAAGATGGCCATTGTGCAGCGCTGGTTGGCTGGTTTCTGGGATCCATCCCCGCAAAAAAGTTACAAAAAGTTAAACTTCCAGGCACAACTTTGCATTTGTCTCCAACCTGGGACAACCTCAACTTCTCAGAGTTCGAGGAACACCAAACAATTGTGAGTAACGATTCCTATTTTTTTTTCCCAATGTAGACTCCAATGATGAACCGCATCATCAAGAACCGTTGCGACTGACGCGCTTGCGCGTATGATCAAAATGCCTATTTTCTGACTTATCTACTTCCCCTCGTGGTCTCTTTTTGCATGTTACGTTATGCAACACCAGCTAACCTGGCTTGCTTTCTACTACCAGACGATGCAATGAGGCCAACCCCGCGTCTCCAGTTCCTGCGCCCGTACTCCTGGAAGCCCGCGGGTCTGCCCAACCCGGCTTACCTACGCTTCTTCCACTTGGCCCGGCAGCAGGAGCTGGAGCAGGCCAATGCCCTCAAATACCCCCGCCTCCGTCACCATGGCCCGCCCATGCGTATCCCGGACTTCCGCGAGAAGTACGCCGGTATTCAGCAGGGCGCCGTTGCCGAAGAGGATGTGACACTGCACGGCCGCGTGGACTCCATCCGCCGCGCCAGCTCCAAGCTCGTCTTCCTCGACATAGGGAGCGAGTTTGAGCGCGTGCAGGGCGTCTGCAACTTTGGCAAGCTCGTAGATGGGACCACCGTCCCCGGGTTAAAAGGGCTTGCCGCGCTGCTCAAGCGAGGGGATATCATATCAATCAAGGGGAAGGCCACGCGGACACCAACTGGCGAGCTCACCATTCAGGCGACGCACCTCCCCGAGATCCTGACCCCGGGTCTGATCCCACTCCCTACCAAATTCATCGACGAAGAGTCTCGGATGCAGCATCGGCACATTGATATGCTCGTGAATCCTCGGACGAGGGATATCCTGCGGCTACGGTCTTACCTTACCAAGTACCTGCGCGATTTTCTGCACGAGCGAGACTTTCTCGAGTTCCAGACCCCTATCTTGGCTGGTGATGCCGGCGGGGCCAGCGCCCGCCCCTTTACCGTCTCCGCCAAAACGGTATCCAGAGATGTCTCCCTCCGGATCGCCCCTGAGCTCTGGCTCAAACGCCTTGTCGTGGGCGGCGTAGACCGCGTGTTTGAGCTCGGTCCAGCCTTCCGCAACGAAGGCATCGACCAAACGCACAACCCCGAATTCACCATCTGCGAATTCTACCACGCCTACGCCAACCTCTCCGATCTCATCTCCCTCACCGAGGACCTCATCCGCGGCGCAGCCGCCCACTGCCAGGCCCTCGTCTCCACCAAACTCACCTCCCTCCCACCCATCGATCTCCCCACCTTCGAGCGGCCCTTCCAACAAGCCGAATTCATCCCCACCCTCGAAGAAACCCTCGGCTTCACCCTCCCCACGCTCACCTCCCCGACCGCCCTCCCGGACCTCCTATCCCTCCTCAAAGAGCACAACATCCCCGTCGACACCACCACCACCACCCCGGACCTCCCGCACCTCCTCGACCACCTAGCGGCGACCTACATCGAGCCGCGCTCCGCGCACGGCCCGCTCTTCGTCACCCACCACCCGGTCTGCATGTCGCCGCTCTCCAAGTCCTTCGCCTGCCCGCGCACGGGCCAGGCCGTGTCGGCCCGCACCGAGCTCTTCATGGCCGGCCGCGAGCTGGCCAACATGTACGAGGAGGAGAACGACCCCTTCGAGCAGCGCCGCAAGTTTGCCGAGCAGCTCGCCGCAAAGACCGCCGCCGACACGGGAGATGCCGTGAGTGCTGTCGACGAGAGCTACGTGCGCGCTCTCGCGAGCGGGTTGCCGCCTACGGGAGGCTGGGGGTGTGGTGTAGAGAGGCTGGTCATGCTGTTCAGCGGGACGGGGCGGATTGCGGATTGCCTGAGCTTTGGGACGTTGAGGAATGTGGTTGGGTTGTCTTCTGCCGCTACTGCTGCTGGTGCTGGGAAGGGAGTTGAGGACGTGGTGCTGGAGCCGGGTGCGGAGGAGAAACAGGGGAAGGCATCTTCTACCGGAGTGGAGTGATGGTGATGGTGGTGATGTATGTGCGTCAGTGTAAGACTTTGTACTTATATCAGCTGCGCTTGTATACAAAAGAACTAGATACCCCCTTATTGATATTACCCCACGAAAAGCCATGGGGTTAAAACCCGGAAGCATCACCGTGGAGTCAAATGATTCAGATATCTCGGCCGCTGGATCACGTGTTCATATCATACCATCACACACGAAGCAAGATCGAGACCCCAAGAAAGTAAACCGCACTTGTCCTACAGAAAAGGCAAGACTTCTCTCTAAAATAGGGAGGGGAGAAACTGAATCCCAAAGTAACTAAGTAGCAAAGCAAAGTGGCTTCCGGCGGCAAGATATCCCATCCATCCATCCATGCATTCATTCATCGCGTTCCCCCCGATCCCATACCATACCAACGCCAATTTTCATGTTCCCGCCCCCCGAAACTCCCTAGTTATCCTATCCATCCTTGTTGTGAACTGATCTCCAACTCCGGACCTAACGCCGCGCCATGTCGTGATGTGATGCCTGCCTTTACCAACCTCCAACGCCAGTGCCGATGCCGATGATGCAAGTATGCGAGCCGGAAACACGGCCAGATTATGCACTATGCCGATGCCGGTGCCGAAAGGACTGGCTCCATGTGGAATGAAAAGAAAAACGAAAAAGAAAAGCGGCCAGAGAAGCAGCCAGAAAAGAAAGCGGACTCGGGACCCTCCGTCCTGCTGCATACCTCTACCGGCCATCCCCCACCACCCCTCCCCTTCCACCGGAGAGATGGGAAACACAAAGGGACAGGTACAGGTTGTCCACAAGGGTGAGATCTGTTCGGCGAGTGCCGCAAAAAAAAAAAGACACAAGTAATCCGTGGTTTGGAAGGCATGCATGTGCCTCCAGTCAATGTGAGAAGTCGAGAAGAACCCGCACTACGACAGAAGATGGTGGTGTGACGATAGACAGGCTTACTGCCAGAAGCCCTCCTTTCTGAAGCCATAGCCGCTCATCCGACTATGCTCATCCAGTAGACGATTGTACGCCACCGGATCCACACCCGGGTCGGGTATGGGCTTGTCCAGGTTGAAAGGCTTGCGGGTCAGCGTCGACATGGACCACAAGCAGTCCTCGATGAGATTAAGCTGCGTGGCGTACGAGGTTTTGTCCTCTTTGTTTTGCTTGAGCCACTCACGCTCCTGGACCCTTTTGCGGTACTCGGGCATCTTGCGAGCGCGCTTCAGCTCCCGTTCGAAGGCGGGATGTTGATCGTCGGTGATGTTCGAAGGCAGGTTACCGAGTCGATCCTCTGCCACCTTGTCTCGATACTCTTGGAACCAAATATCGGTGAAAATCTTGTCGCTCAGTTCCGTCCATTCCCAACGGCTCTCAAAATGTTCCTGCGCCTCAGCGCCGTAGTTGGGATCGGTAGAGTCACTAGCGCTGAGCGGTATGGTGCAGGGGTGGCTGCGCTGAGGACCCCCCCTTCCTATAATCAAAGGCCGCGGTAGCCGCAGCTCGATCCCAGCGCCAGCGAGCCATCGAGGCTCGGATCGGGTTGAGACTACTAGGCGGTGGAGGGCAGTACAATGGTTCCGGTGGTGTACCGGTTCCCCAGTCGTACGCGGCCGTGCTTTGCGGCGGGGGGTTAAAGTCGAGGAAGTACTCCCTTACCCAGTCCGCGCACCGAACATCTTCCAGAGCCTTATCCAAAGTCGATTTCTTATACGAGAGCAGTTTCCTGAGGTTCGTCCTGGGTAGATTAAGTCCAGATCGCCATTGCTGAAGAGCGCTCTCTTGCCAGAGCCGGAGATGGCTGTCTTCCATCATCTCGACATACCTCACCATCTTGCATCCCCAGCAAGTGTCGCGCCGGAGAGGAAAGAGAGACACGGGGTAGGTCGAACCGCACATGCGGCACTCCTCCGAACTTCGCCAGTACTTCCCGGTCATCTCATATGATCGATATCTCGCCATGGTGGCGGGCATCCTGGGGTGCGTCTGGTTGTCCCCGGTCAAGGCGGCCGTGAGGTCGTCCGCAAACCTGTCCCAGATGATCTCGGCGGACTTTTTGCCCACGGCCAGTTCATGCTCGCGGGTCATCAGAGTCTCCCGAGCCTTTAGGGCCCAGAGGACGTCGGGACCGGGCAGCCGGCGAACAAAGGCCCAAAAGGACGAGCTATCACTGAGCAGGTCCATGCCCACCGTTCGGGCTAGGTCCCGGCACTGCAGAATCAAGGCAAACACGGCCTTGGGCGTGTTAAACGTCGGCTCATTATGAGTCACGCCGTATGTACCCAGGCGTGCACCTGATTCAGGTCCGGAAAAAAAGAAGGGCGAGAAGTCCAGGCGGATGTACGCCCTGGTACCCTGCCGGGTTTTTTTCTGCTGTGTTTTTCTCCGTTGGGTTCCCTCTCGTCCAGCATTGTTTCTCGAGGTTTCAACCTGTGCCTGCGCCTCCAACCCCGACATCTTCTGTTTGGGCATTTTGGCCCAGGGGTCGTTGGGCATCGTACGAGACGGCCTGTCTTCCAAGCGCCGCGGGTGGCGTTTGATGACTCCGAGCAATGGCCTCAACTTGGTCACGTCGAGAAGCAAGCACCGAGTGATCGTGACTGTCGTCAGCCTCGGCATCGTGTTGATCATGAGCTCAAACATGGCGACGTCAAAGAAGGGGAGCTGATCCAAGACGATGGAACGGAACGTCGATGGTATTTGCGCAATAGCGCGGCCTACCAAACTCACAGTTAGCATTGGTTCCAACGGTGAAATTAGAGGACATACAAAGCTGCATCATGTGCCAGAAGTCGGTCATGTAAGGTTTCTTGGGGCACCTCGGCTCGTCCGAGGTTGGGCTGATGATCAAGGTGTTGGACCGAAAGCCGCCGCCCTGAATGATATGGCCCTCCTCGTCTTGTTTCTTGGCATAGGGCTCAGTAGGGAAGACGCCCCCTCTAAAGTCCCAAACGTCCTACCCATAAACGTTAGCACCGCGGGCTAGGGATTGCATTCAGGGGGTAGGATAGGACGCACAAATTTGGCCCGCGTACAGGCGGCCACCCGTTTGCAGGACATGGCCAGTGCCGTGATATCACGGACGCTGGGGCTAATCAAATCGATTATCATGCCGCTAAGCTCGGAGACTTGCAGGAGCCGGACCAGAATGGAGTTATCGTTCACCGAGGTGATCCTACCAGCATCGACAGCCGAATTCTATAATAGGGTCAGCACGGCTGCTGCGGTAGCCCCCTAGAGAATCAAACTTACCGCGATGAAGAGCTTGGGTGAGCCGGACTGGTTGATGTTTGCCAGCCTGGCCCTGAACAGGTCCGGCTCGCCTGCCTGCCAGTACCGATCGTGTAGCGCCTGCAGTTCCTCCCCCGCCATTTGAGAAGAGGGCAAGCGAAGCTGGCGCTTACGGCTTCGAGCCATCTCCTTAGTCCATTCAACCTCGACGTTAAGGCCAGGCATTGAATGATAGACGGGACGGTCATAGCCCCAAGCGCAGTAATCGGTTAGCGGTTTGGGCTTCAAATAAGGTCTGGTCAGCTTCTTGGAAGGTGGCGGAGGATGGTGTCAAGCAAATGGACGAACGGTCACTTACGTATTTCGGATCCAGGTCCCACGGCATCCTCGCACCTGGTTCTGGGACCTGTGTCTATGGGACGTTAGTGAGCTTGATTGAAGAACAGAGAGAGGGGGAAAATGCCATGTGAAACCAAAAAGCCAAACATACCTGAGGACTGATCACCTGAGGATTGTTCATTTTCCTAGAGCCTTTCTGGGCGTTGCTCTCCTTGGCCTGTCGATTCGGACGAACGTGGCGGTCGGGGAGGTCCAGCTTAGCGGTTTGGGTTTTGGGCGCTGGAGCCGCTTTATTCTTGTTTTTGCGACCGCCCTTCCGCGACTGGTTCTTCTGCTGCTGTTGTTTGGGCCTTTGGGTCTGTCTCTTCGGCTTCTGATTTTCTTGGGACTGCAGAACGGAACTGGAGTCAGCATTTTGGGCCTTGCGGCCTTTGTTCGATCTTCGAGCCATCGTAGAGAGTAGATGCGATGGAATGATGATGGATTCGGGATGACGATGAATTCGAGAAGAAGATGGTTTTGAGGGGGGGAATGTGCCGTTTGGTCTAGAAGCAGGCAGAGGACCGGAAGCGTGACTCGGACCCTAGGGTCACCGGACACCCATCAAACGCAATGAGAATCCAACAGCTCGCTCAGACCTGTTGCACAAATCTGTGGGCCCTGGCAGGTTCTGAATGGGAAAGAGCTACCCAGTACCGCGCTCGAACTCACAGTGGGTACCTGCCTCAGTACCCGAGCTACCTGGGTACCTACCTAGGTAGCCAGGTAGGTAAGCTGGCGTTGCAGATGGGATTGGAAGTTTTGAAGGGGGAGGATAGGGTGGTGGTCTTTGGTCCCCCCTTCGCGCGGGGAACGCCTCGAAATAAATACGAGACGGGCTCTGCGAGAGTGACGGTATCAAGAGCAAATAGGAAAGAATCCATGACTTACAAGGCTTTCGGCGGCGGGCGAGCGGGTTCGTGCAAAGGAGGCGAAGAAGTTGAGGTTGGGAAAAGAGGGAGGCTCTACAACAAGGGCGGGGAGTGACTGGTCAGTGCCAAGTGGTAGGTCGGACAGCAATGGGTTCTAGGTTTCCACGGCGAAAGTTGTGGGATAGGGGCATACCTAATAACTCAGGGTTTATGCCAGAGAAACTAGCCTGTGCTCGGATCAAAGCGGTTGGACCTCCTATTACAGCGCAAAGAGTAACTACGCCCTCATACTTGACCCAATCCCGACCGGTTCCTGTTATTGTTATTGTTCCTTGACTTCTTCCATCTGCACCAACTTTCAAACCTATCGCCCATTCGTAGTTTGCCTCCGCTGAGCTCCCGCGGTACGGGAAAGAACCTGAGCAGGGGACCCCAGGGTTGGCTGGCTGGTAAGTCTCTCGCCTTGTTAAACACCGGTGTGCCCTCTGAGAATGTCGGCACCGAGAGGCTGCAAGCCGCAGAACTGGCAGGTGTGCCTCTTGTCCCCGTCGACGCCCCGGCAGAAACCCCGGGGTGATAACCTAGTGAATCACACCTGTTGAACACACAAGTGAGGCAGTCGGGTGATAATGTCTTGTTCAACAACCAACAGGATGAGACTGTGACAGCTCACAACATGTGACCCTTGTTACCCGATGTTATCATACTAAAAGGAGCAAAGGCTGTCAACAACCGGGATTGGAAGGGACACGCCATGAAAAAGTGACTATGGAAATGCTGTATTTGACAAGAAACAAATCGTTCCCAGCCCTACTGGAGTGGGTTGACAAAGCGACAAGGAGAAAGATGCAAGAAATCAAAGTTGATCTGCGAACCCTCTTAGTGTGAGGGCCTATAATAAGATAGATGCAGGATGCGTCCTTGCGATGTAAACCATTTCGCCACGTAGGAATAATTGCCCCAGCGGCTAGGATCTAGTTGACCAACAGCGGGTGTCCGGTCAATGTATACATACATACATAGGTTTAAGAGGGTCAAAATCCAGCGTGGCAGAGAGAAGGCCGGAGAGTACCCTCCTTGAGGTGGGATAGCAGAGGGGCGACGTGTCTGTAGAAGCCGACAATCTTGATGTGGAGGAGGAATAGCAGGAAAAAGAAGGCTTCTCACGGGCTGCATAGTAGTTAAGGGATTGTGTCGTCGTTGACATCTGAGACACCCCCGAGCCGACGGTGTTGCGAACGACGTTGCTGTGTCCCCAAGCGTGATGCGGGCGCGAAGCCCAAGGACCCCAGTCTTGATATCCTAGTATTGACATCCCAGCATTACCCCTGACCCCTCCACAGCGAATGCAGCCAGGGGCAGTCTAAGACGGATCCAGGAGCGATGGAATTGGGTCGGTGTTGACATCCCCGGTTACCCCTGAATAAGCCCCTGATTTTAGCAACCTGCTGTGACCGTCGACCGTGAATCGGTGAAGAGATCAACCAGGCGCCTCGACAATGGCAGGGACTGGGAGAAAGAGCAAGGAGGTCTTATCAAAACAATGATCAGACGGCTGCATAATCCGACTTGGAAGTGTTACCTGCCGATAAGGGCCATGCTTGCGATAAGGTGGAGGGGAGCCTCAAAACTCGAGAAAGAAATGAGCAAAGAACGAAAAAGAGAAGCATATTAGACCTAGCCGACTGCTCACTATATTGTCGAGAGCACTTGCTCACAGGGAGTATCTTTAAAAAGAAAGGCAGGCGAATTCAGTCGCTCTACTCTACCTTGAAGGCACAGCCATTTGTCCACCTTCCTCCTGTGGAGGTGACAGAGATCTCTTGATTCCCGCATCACTGAGCTTTGCCCCATTCGCTGCCCCGCAGCATCTGCTTGTACATGTACCAATGTACAACCATACAGCATTGTGGTGCAAACCACGGGACGCCACGGGTGGCCAAACGAGTCGCGTGCCGCTCCTGCTCGATTGGAATGGCTGTGCAACCCGACCCTCCCCTCACCAAGCATCGGCACGGCAGCAACGGAACCGTTGGCCGATGGCGATTGGAGAATTGAGCGGCTGCTCGTCACAAGAGAGGCGCTGGCCGCCTCATCGATTGAACAAGTACGCGATGGTCTGGGCTATCGGCCTGCCGACCTCGGGGGCTTGAGAAAGTTAGCCAAACTCGAGCCAGAGCCTCGAAATGCTGAAGTAGGGGTGGGGGGAGCCGGGAGAAGGCATGAGGCATTGAGCAAGATGCGGGGAGATGAGCGCGCAACAACCACCCTGCAGGTTGGCTGTGCAGACCTGCCACCCTATTCTTGGGAATGAGCAACGAGTGATCTCGTGCAATCGGTCGGAGCTGCGGCCGGTTCAGTTGGCGTGCATAAATGGGCGTGGTAAGGAGCTCTCTGGTCGGGCGAGAGGTGGTCAGGCGGGCAGGTTGAGAGGAGCGCAAGGTACATGTGAGGTTGGCCGAGGCTTGTCCCCCCTCCTCCCCACACATTGGGTAATGCAAGTGGTGGAAACTTGTAAGTCGATATACTTCGGACTGCATTTGAGAAGGTTGATTTGTGTAAACGAGTGTGATGTTGTGTCAGGTCGCGAAGGAGGGATCGGGAGGGATCGGCAGCGGCCGTTATCGATGAGAGGTCGACGAGTGGGTGTGATGGGGAGGATGGCTTTTGCGCAAGTCAGACCCAGGAAAAGTGAGATTTTGAGAGCGAATGATGCAATGATGCAATGTGTCGGCTCTTAATGAACAAAGATGCTCTCATGGGAGCCTCAATGTCGCCATCCCAGAGAGAAAATCACCATCTCCTCTGACGGAGACACGATCCGTCCAGCTTGAGTCACCCGAGGGGGGTTCGGAGGGTTGATGTGACTGAATGGTGGCAGATCCGAAAGTCCATTGTCGGTCAATCATTCCTGGGTGAAGCCCCGCAAGTGGAAACGTTGAAGATCTGGATCAACACTATCAGCGGCGCTAACCTGTAAAGGGAGTAGCGTTCTTTGACCACCCAGCATCCAGGCTCTTCCCGTGTTATCTCCAAGACCGAGAGCTGGAAAGGACATGAGCAAAGAGTGTCGAAATTAATTCTACTTTGTTGGAAGCACGGTCTATATAGGAGTCTAGTATGAATAGAGAGCCGGCTATAGATTTGGAACCTATGCTATTTTCCAGCTTCACCAACAAAGGGAGAAGTAGTTAAACTTTTTGTTGTTGAAGGGCGCGGATTGTGGGTGGAGGGGGGAGGTCAGGACAAGGACAGAGGGGCCCGCCAAGGCCGCAACCCCTAGTTACATGCCATCAACAGGAGACTTCGCTTGTGTTCGAAGGAGACGGGCGGTGAGTCCAGGGGAAAAGCTTGCTGGGAATCAGAAAAAAAATATTGTAGATACGAAGCCCACGATCAAGAGTCAAGCGCCTTGTCTGAAGATTTGGCAACCATGCCGCAGCCCGCCGCTGGTAACGAGATGATGCCCGAAAAGCTTTTGAAACTCCGAGGGATGACATCTGACTGTCGGCATCAAAATTGGTGACGGGAGAAGAATTAGCCAAAGGTCGGACCCGCATCACAGCCCATCCGAAGTGAGGAGGAACCAATCGCTTTAGAGGGGGACACCTTGAAGGCTCGTGGGCGGCACGGGACCCTCAGCAGACTTGCAGCTGTGAGGAATCATGCGAGTTGCATGACCAATGCACACAACCTTGGCTGGCTTGGAGCGAGGCTAGGCCTGTGGGAGGCGTCATGCAGGCTCGAATGATGTTTGCCAGATCTTGACAGTCACAGACTGATCAAGATGCCGACGGAGTCGAGTATTTGAAGGCCCGATAACTTTCTTGCTCCTGGTATCTTTGTTCCGCAGACTGGCCTGTTTGATGCCCCACTGCTCATTGCACGCCGAGCCTATCATCCCAGTCTTCTCGACTCATAGGTAGAGATGGGGAATGGCATCCGATCCGCCGTGCAGACAACTCCGTTGTTGGGAGGATCACGATGGCTCTTTTCAGTGCAGTGGCATTTCTTGTCAGAGAGTACTTGGAAATCTACCGGAGCCTTCTTTCGCGATGAGCCGAGAAACAAGATGCATGAGAGCGGGGGAACCTTCCAGGTTGCTTGAGCCATGATCTGAGGCACACCGACATCTTCAACACTCCCGAAAATCACGTCCGCTTTTCGCATCCCGGCTCGAGTCTGATTCAAATTATGTTTAGTTACTGCGTGGAGCCGATGCAGGAACGCGCTGCGAGGACCCGTGGGTAGGAGAGAAAGGCCTGGACTCGATGATTGAAGCTATAAACGACCTCATTTTCTTTTCATGTGCCGGGAAAGCCTGAACTGCAAGCATTAGAAATCGTCCGAACTCTGATCCGAATCGTCATGTGGACTGTTATGGTATCGATGGCGAAAATGGCAAACTGAACGGCAACGCCATGGAAACGGTGGATCCTCAAATTGATTACGTCCAAACCAAATTTTACAGGTGGAACCTCTGGGCACCGGTAGTGGCCGGCCGGCGGCACCCACACAGTATGCAGGAAACAAAGGGGACTCAGCGACCAGGAGCGGAATTCTTTGTGGTTCTGGATTTGCAGGATCGTCAGGCCAGCTCGAAGCGAACTGAGCAATGGAAGTTACAACTTGTGCACCAGAATAACCGTGGAATGAATTGAAGTGCAAGTTTATGAACGGCAATCAAGCTGTTTACGCAAGCCAACGGCGCTTCGAAAGGTGCCGTGACATGCAAACTGGGGACGGCTGAAGTCGATGGAGACGGTGTTTGATGAGGGCAACCTGGAAAACCGGATCGACAAGGAGACTGGGCGCATCCTGGTGGGGGAGACGAGCAACCTGCAAGCGAAGTCACCCTGACAAGGGCTAGACGCCGCCTGCAGCACTCTCACGGGAGCCAGACGCCTGAATACGGCGTGCATCAGTGGGTTCCATCTTAAACTGCAGGGAGCTGTTCGACATGCAGCGAGCATGCCGGTACTCGCATCTCAGGTACCCCCACTGCTGTGGGCTGACAGAAACCCCAGAGGTGCACTGGCCATTGGGCTGCAGCGTTTCCATGTGGGTCGTCCGCTGGGCTGCAGCTTGAGCGCGTGCAAGGGCAAGCTTGGATCCTTGAATTCTTGGCCAGAAACGGCCTGAAGCAATTTCGTGTTCTGGTCGCGACTCGACCTTGGCCCATCCATTTGACAAGCCGTTGCACGCCCCTTTTGCGAACCCAGGGCACGGCAGCACCTTCCGTGACGGTGATTGGGGCGACTGCCCGTTCTTGCCGCACAGAGCTTGCTTCCGTTTTGAGAACAGATCCAGAATTGAACCAGTCAGAGACCTGGGGGAAGGCAGCAGGGTCTGTCTGGAGGGGGGAGGGGCTGCACAAAGCTACACAGTCGCAGTAGCCAAGTCGTTGCCGTTTTTTCGAGAATGGCCCCAGCCGTTGCCGTCCCATCACAAACCGTGACCTGCCTCGTGCCGAAATAAGTAGCCCCAAGCGGCCATCACGCGGCAGGCCCTCCTTCCTCTCTCTTTCTCTTTTTCCTTTGCACACAACGCGCCTCGTCGATACCCCCAAGAACCAAGTGCAGGCCACGCCGTGATAATAATTCGTCACTCAGAGGCACCTGTTTTTTCTTGCTCTCTGTCTTCTCAGTGATACCCGATACCCATTTTCTAATTTTCTTGAGATACCCTGCTTTTCAAGCAAACCCCCCAAAAACGTCACAATGGCCGACACTCAGAAGCCCGCCGAGGTGCCCAAGGAGACCCCGGTCGCCGAGCCTGTTGTTGAGACTACCCCCGCCGCCGAGACTACCGTCGAGACCACCGAGACTGCTGCTGCTCCCGCTGTCGAGACTACCACCGAGGCTGCCACCGAGACTCCGGCTGCCGCCGAGACCGAGGCCGCTGCCGCCCCGGCTGAGGAGGCCAAGAAGGAGGAGGAGGTGAAGCCCGTTGAGGAGGGCCACCTCGAGCACAAGGGCCAGGGCGCCAACTTCCCCAAGTAAGCCCTACAATCACGTCGCATTGCCATTATTGTGTCGCTAACGCCACAATCAGGAACTTCCTGTACACCAAGCAGCTCTTCTGGTTCGGCTCTGACCCCGTCGACCTCAAGACCCTCAGCTCCTTCAAGGCCGACAAGGTCGCTGATGTTGCGCACCACGTCACCTCGTGGGCCGCTGAGACCGGCAAGGGTCTCCTCTTCTACAGCGAGAAGGGTGACAAGGCCGCTCCCCATGGCGCCATCCACCTGGTAAGACAAATAAATGTTGCGTTTTTTTGTAGTTCCACTGCTAACGTGTTCCAGGCCGACGCTTCGGAGCCTGCCGTCGATGGTTCCAACAAGTTCTTCTTCACTGCCAAGGGGCACAAGCACACTTTCAAGGCTGCCAACGCTGCCGACCGTGACAACTGGGTCGCTCAGGTGAAGGCCAAGATTGCCGAGGCCAAGGAGCTTGCTGCTACCGTCACTGAGTCTGAGACCTACAAGAAGACTCTCGAGGGCCTGAAGCCTGCTCCTGTCAAGAAGGAGGAGAAGGCCCCCGCTGCCGAGCCTGCTGCCGCTGCCACTGAGCCGGCTGCCACTACCGAGGAGGCTACTCCCGCCGCTGAGACGGCTGCCGCTGAGGCCGTCAAGGACGAGCCCAAGAAGGAGGAAGAGAAGGCCGAGAAGGCTGAGAAGGAGGAGCCCAAGCGCCGCTCTGCCAGCCGCAAGCGTGCCTCCATCTTCGGCAACTTCCTCGGCAAGAAGGAGGAGAAGAAGGCCGTTGAGGCTACTGAGGCTAAGCCCGCGGAGGCCGAGACTCCGGTTGCTGAGACTAGCGCCGCCGAGGTCGTTGAGGCTCCCGCCGCTGAGGCTGCCGCTGAGGCCGCTGCTGAGCCTACTGCCGAGCCTGCCACCGTCGAGACTCCTGCTGCCACTGATGCTGCCGCCGAGGCTAAGCCCGAGGACAAGGCTGAGGAGGCCAAGGAGGAGGACAAGAAGGAGGCGGCCGAGGCCCGCCCCGCCCAAGTCAAGCGCACCAGGTAAGCAGGCAATTACTTCAATTCAATTGGCAACTGCTAACAACTCCCCAAAGCATCTTCGGCAACCTCTCCTTCGGCAAGAAGAAGGCGGCTGCTCCGGCTGAGGCTGTTTCTCCTTCCAAGGAGACCCCCGCCACTGAGGCTGTCGCTGAGACTGCCCCTGTGATCCCTGCCGTCGAGACCAGCGAGCCTCTCTCTGCCGAGGTTTCTTCCCCTGCGACTGTCCCCACCGAGGCCGTCGAGGCCCCTGCTGCCGTCAACGGCGAGACCAAGAAGGAGGTCAAGAGCGAGAAGCGCAAGAGCTCGCTGCCGTTTGCCTTCGGCAAGAAGAAGGACGCCTCGTCTGATGAGGAGGCCGAGAAGCCCAAGTCGCCCTCGGCTTTCTCCAAGCTCCGTGCCACCATCAAGGTAAGTTGATCGCAAATGCACCAGGGTTTGGATGTGAGGAGACATGTGAGACTAACACATCCGTAGGGCAAGGGCAAGGCCGAGAAGACCGAGAAGACTGAGGAGAAGACAGAGGAGACCCCCGCTGTCCCTGCCCTTCCCGCCACCGAGGCCGAGACTGAGGCCAAGGCCGCCGAGCCCGCTGCCGAGGATGCCGCCAAGCCTGCCGAGACTGAGGCTACCGCCTCCGCCCCGGCTACCACCGAGGAGGAGACCCCCGCCAAGCCCCTCGAGGCCACCCCGGCTGTGACCGCTGCCGCCTAGGAAGCGACGCGTCGCAGTGCGTGAGGTGCCGGCCTGCTATGATCATGAGCATCGGATCGGACGGGAGATGAAATACGACCCAAAAAATAATTAGAGCGAATTCTCCCAACAACGCACGCCACCATGAGAGGCATAATACCCTCCTTTTTTTACCTCTACCCTCGGGTTTGGTCGGGATCGGATCTGCATTTCGAGATACCCAAGTCAAGATTGGTTCTCTGATACCCTCAGCTTCTGGCTGCACGCGAACAAAGACAACGCCCCGGTGTCTCGCACATAGACCACCGCACATTTGTTGCGCTGCTGCTACATGCTTTTGTTTCTCTTGCTTTTTATGCTTTGCCATTGCTGTTTTCCTGTCTTGTTCCTGTGTTTTTGATACCCAGAGTATACCCCCCGCCTATCCTCCCCTCAACAATGAGAAGGCACAGTCGTTTAGGTTGGCTTTGGGTCTGTCTGTCCGATGCGAAGGACGATGTGGAGATGGTGATGGGAGACCAAAGAAAATCACACAAAACATTAAAAAATCGGTGTTGTGGTGTGGCGGTTGAGGAATGGGTCCATCGGACGGGTGTTCTCTGTCCTTCTCGCCACTTAGGGTGATGATCGAGGGAGGGCTGACCCAAAACTCGCTAATAACTAATAATATACCTCTCGCGTGTTGAGTTCGCCTATCTATCCTTTCCACTCAGTTTAGTGGTGACCTTGCTGTTGTGTCTCTTCGTCCTGTTATGTATGTACTCCACATAATCTGACAAACAGTTAACATTCCACTCAGTCCTGCCACCATTTGTTCCAATCGCCGAGGATTCACAGAGGTGAACTGGCCAAAGGAGTTATTTTACATACGCATTTTGGGTGATCTTCCCGGCCATTGGAGAAAACATTAACTATCCATTACCATCACCATCACCATCACCATGTTTGCCATCCTACACAGCAAATCGGCTCCTTAATGATTAGGTAGGTACCCCAAACTAAACATATCCTGCAAGGTGGTATATCCTCCGCCCCTTCACAGATCCCTCTCCCTATCAATCCTCTCCCCCGGGCTCAGTCCACCCCTGGCTGTTGACTCCCAACTCTTTTTTTTTCCCTCCCCAACGCCCGCAAAGCAGCACCAGTCGTGTCAGACAGATCACAAAACGCCACAGTATCTTCCCACACTAGTCATTCATTCACCCATTGCATCCTGCCTCTTTCGACTATCGCGACAACTCAACGCCTCAGTGTCCGTAGCCCGCACGGCCCCAACGCCTCTGTGCATTCTCTCAGAGCTCCATCCACGCGTATACCACTCTCAAATTAATGCCTAGTATCCTGATCTCAGCCTCCTCTCCGCTAAGATATCCCCCCAGTGTCAACATGGTGCTGGCACCATGTTGTATTTTAGCACGAGCTCCTCGATTTTGGGTATTAGTTCCGAGATTCGAAACGGTTTCGAGATGACGCCATCCTACAAGAAACATCCAGCGGTTAGCGACGGGATCATAGCTAGCGTTGAAGGGTGGCGAAAAAGATCAGACGGAAGAACTTACAACGCCCGCGGCCTTCGCGTTCTCCACCTGCTCCGGCCGCGCATAGGCAGTGACAGCGATGATGGGGATATGCTGAGTGATGACTCCTTCCGCTTCTAGCCGCCTAATCTCACGGGTGCAGCTGATGCCATCCATGACGGGCATTTCAAGGTCCATCAAGATGACCGAGATATTCCGGCAATTGTTGCTGTAGTTTGTCGGCCCGGGATCTGGCGGCGCCAGCCCGCCAGACTTGCTCTCTGGGGCTGTGGCGCATTCGTACCAGAAGCGAGAACGGCGGAGCTCGGCCAGAGCCTCCCCGCCGTGGTTGGCGACGTACGTGTTGCTCCCAGCGAACTCCAGCTGTCGCTTCAGGACCTTTTGGTTCACTAGGTTGTCCTCAACCACCAGGATATCGAGCCGGGACGGGTCCGGCTGCACCATGGGGGATGGCGGTAGCGGTTGCTGAGCGGCCTCAGTCGTCGGTGTGGCAGATCTCGCGGGAGACGGTATTTGTTCTAACGGCACACTGTGCAGAGGTCCCGGGAGAGGAACGTTGTCATTTGAGGTGGGCGTGGGCGTGGGCGTGAGTGTGGGTGTGGGAAGCGGCGAGTCGACGGGCGTAAAGTCTGACTTTCGACCCTTGATGTAGAAGGCAAACGTGCTTCCTTGCCCCTTCGTAGATTGTACCGCAATTTGACCGCCCTGCAGCTCTGTCAATGTCCGGCAGATGTAGAGCCCTAGGCCTGAACCGCCGTATTGGACGTGAGTCCTCGGGCTTGCTTGGCTGAACTGCTGCAACAGGATTTGTTTTTCATTGTCATCCAGTCCCGGGCCGGAGTCGGTGATGGCGAAGTGGATATTGACCTTCTCACCACCAGCCCAGTCGGCTTCATCTGTAAAATCTTCCGCTGGTGGCTTTCGGGGAGGAACGTACGGCAAGCCGTCCTCCCACACGTCTGTAGATGCGCCGATACTGATTGCGATCGATCGCGTCGGCTGGTTCTGTGTGAATCGAATGGCGTTGCTCATCAGGTTGATAAGAACCTGGCGAAGACGCGAAGGGTCTAGTTTCACCCAGTCAACGGCTAGATCTCGGTACGACTTTTCGACCGTTACCTGCCCGTCGATACCATTTGAGCTGAGTTCAGCCTCGAACATCTTGAGCACATCTTGCACTACCGTGACAGGTTGTACATCGACAGGCGTCACGAGTAGCAGGTTCGAATCCAGCTTGGACAGGGTCAGGATGTCGTCCACGATCCGCTTCTGATGGTTTGCACACAACGAGATAATGCTGGCTGCCTCGACGCAGCTTTCGACCAAGGCGTTCATTGCACTGGGAGCGCGAATCGATGGGTCCCCTTGGGTGTATCGACTCAAACCTGACGCTATCTCGTCGGCGCACTGCAGCATGGCGCTCAGGGGATTTCGCATTTCATGACTGGTTATGTCGATGAAATTCTCCTGCTGGCGCTTCAGCTCAACCGCCTCGTCCCGTCGCTGCTTCTGGACGCTTTCGGCCCACTTCTGTTGCGAGATGTCGGTGATACAGCCGAAGATGCTCTTGACACCCCCGGACCCGTCTCTCTCGGGGTAGGCGCTCATCAAGACCCAAACATCGACCAGATGGCCATCAATGAGTTCTCTGGAGCCGTTGAACCGGAATTCGTGCGTCACGGCCCTCTTATCCTCGACGACACGGCGCCACGCGAGCTCTGTGCCAAGCCGGTCCTCGTCCCGGATGCTCTGCATCCACGCGGCGAAGGTGCTGGCGTTTCTCGGGAGCCCAGATATCCTGTACCACATCTCATTGCAGTAGTTGATGTGCCCGTGACCGTCCGCAATGAACAAGCCCACGGGCCCAAACTCAGCCATTCTCGTAAACCGGTATTCGCTCTCGACGGCCTCCTGTGTCCGAAGGTGAAGTTGCAATGAGAGTTCTTGCCGATCGAGCGCGGCTAGGCGGGCAGCCTTCTGTCCGCGCCTGATTTCCTCCTCGAACAAAACCACAGAGGCTAAGGAGGTAGCGAGCTGACGGGCGAGGAGGTTGATAAAGAGTTGGTAATCCTCGTTATAGGGGCGCCGTGGGTTCGCACCCAGAACGATGAACCCAACCACAGCATCTCCTGCTGTCGTGAGATGCACGGGAAATACGACTATAGTATGGCACGGGTCGCCATACCCGGCCCACGCGATGCCTTCTATTAGTGCGGTCGGCAGGGTGCCGTCAGCCTCGCTGAGTACGATAGGAGTTGCCGGGTGCGCCATCGATTCTCTTAGGTATGGGGCGAATCCTTCGTCGCTGAACCGCAAATCGATAGACGAAACGGCGCAGGGGTGGCCGTCGGGTGTGCCGATGGAACCTTCGAGGACTATTTGCGGCGGGTGTGCGACGCTCCCCGAATTTAGAGACGAGACTTCACTCTCGCTATCTTCGCCGACCGAGTAAATGAGGGCAAAAGGAGCATCTAGTTCATTGTACTCGAGGCCCTTCTGGAGCTGAGCCCAAAACCCCTTCACGTCGCGGGCCTGCGCTGTCTCGATGCCGATCTCGCGAAGTGTCAGCATGCGGCGCTCGACGACCCTCCGGCGCGTATTCTCGAACGCTGGGTTGTAGATGGCCACGACTGTCCCGTCGCCTCCCAACAGAGGGATGACTGCCCAGTTGAAAAAGGCCTCCTCCATGAAGCCGTGGCGGGATACGAAGAGTGTGTCATCGTTCTTCATTGTTGCATGCCCACTATCCCAGGCGGCATCGAAAACTGGCTGGATCTGGCCCCATATCTCGGGCCAGGCGTCCCGATACCGAGAGCCCATTAGTCGGGGGTGTTTTTGGCCAGCAAGAGAGATGTAGGCCTCGTTGTAGATAGCAACATAGTCTCGACCCCAGTAGAGCGCGGCCGGATGCGGGCTGCCCATGATCATAGATGACATTATCCGCAATTCGAGCGGCCACAACTCGATGGGCCCGAGCGGAGTGGACGCCCAGTCGATCGACCGTGCAAACCGATGGTGAGCGGAGAGGCCGGGGTCGTCGATGGGAATACAAGTCCAGTCAAACGTTGTACGTAGCGGTGGAGACGAGAGCGCCAGGTCATCAAAGGGGCGGACAACAGTGTCGGCAGTTGAGCCAGCCCTGCTGCGGGGCTCAGAGTGAGAACGGGGGTGCGTCCGCCCAGCTGTCCCAAAGTAATCGCTGCGTTCTCCGGGCGAGGCGAGCCTCTCTTCTGGCCAGCGCCCGCTTGGTAACAGTTCGGCGGCAGGCGAGGGTTCGGATGTTGGTGTTTGGCTCGGGGAGGTCGTTGCGTTGAAGGTCATGTTCTGGTATCCACGAATGATTCGGAAGCGCCTCCGGAGGGTCGAAAAAGTCCACGGAAACCCAGCATAGGGGGCAGACTGAGCAGCAGCATTGGTACTCGACTTGTCTCCCACCAAACTGGCGGCCCACGTCTTGAACGCGGCAAATTCGGGGCTGTGCCGCGATTCTGCTTGGTTGAGCTGCAGCAAGTGTAGGACATTGGGCGTTGTTCTCAACGCGACGTTAGCGTAGAGAAGATGCAGAGGACCAGGGTGGAAGTTTGCCGGGTCATTGAGGTCGATGATGAAGGTCGGCCGTTCGTCTTCTTCCAACAGCTCGACGACCCCGATCCCCTGAAGAAGCTGAACGACGGACGGCTGTGGCCAACCATCGGGGCTGCGGGAGAGACTAGAAAGGTCGGTTGATGACCAGCTACGCGGGGTGCCCGACGACCTCGCAGGACTTGTCACGCTGACCTGGCCTTTCGGCAAGCGGAGCGTAGTCACTTCACCGAGAGCCTCGTTCCTGCCACCCATTCTGGAGGGGGGCACTTCCGGAGTAGGAACGCTGGGTGGGCGATTGAGCAGACGCCTCGGCGAGTTGGAGAAGAAGAGGGGAGATGCCACGGCCGACTGGACGGGAATCGTCTCGTCCAAGGGGGACGGTAATGAGAGATTTCCAGGCGCCACAAGCCGGGGCTTCTTGGTCGGCGACCCGAAAGGGCGCGCGGCGCTCTTGTCCGTCGCCGAGTACCTCTTGCCCTGAGGGCGTCCTAGTGGCGGTCCCGTCGAGATCACCGGGGCCCGAGTTCCGGACGGGAGAAGCCCACGCTCAGACAGTTCGCCCGTCAATGAGCGAGATGCCAGACCATGCCGATGCCGGCTAGTATCAGGTGCTCGCGTCGACTGGCCGTCTTCTCTTTCGATCCTCCCGGCAAGCTCGTCCAGCTGATTACTGCTGCTAGGGCTAATTCTAACGTTCCCCGTACGGCGAGCAGGATGAGCGAATGGAGTAGAACAGCCGTTGGTCGACGATGCGCCCGGGGGGACAGAGCGGAGCTGGTTTGGCGGGGGTGAGGCAGCGGCGTGGGGAGAAGATATACAGGGCTCGGGTTGGCCCTCTAGTGTCATGTCGGAGGCAACCGGCGTATCTCGACGCTCTCCCAACAGGGGGGCGCTGCCGAGGAACTTCGTGATTTCCTGAGCGACCTACACGGCTACGGAGGGCTGAGTCCGCTACCAAAGACCCGGGACCACAGTAACGGCACCGGGGCGGATGACAGCACGTTATCGGTAGGCGAGCCCAGCAGCGGGCCCCATTGGCACGCAAAAGTCAAATCAAGAATAAAACAGATGGATGAGCGTAAGGGCTTGGGCCCGAACGGGATGGTCGAAATCGGCGAGTCGGGGCCGGCTTGTGGCGAGCATACGGTTCAGCTCTTCCGGGATATCGTCTTTTGTCGTACGCGGCAGCCTGCGATGGGCTTTTTCGGTGCCCTCCAGTAGGTAGTTACACCACTGCACCGTACTAGCGAAAGCACGCAACGGAGCTAAAGTCGGTTGGCAGCGTATGCTCAAAGGGATGGCAGCAGTATTCGCAACGGTGGATTTTTGCACCCCACTGCAGGCAGTTGAGACTCGAGGACCCGAAAGAGTGCGGTGTTCAGTTGGTGTCATTGCATGTAAAATGAACTTGCTAGAATCGACCGACGGCCCGGGGACCATGGAAAGACAGGCACTCCGCAGGGCACTTCGGTTGTCGCGGGGGAAAGCGTCCGGTGCAGAAGAAAGCTCAATCCAATGGGTGTTCAGGCAGGGGCAGGTGATGCTGCATGGCACGGCATGTTCTGCATAGAGAACTGAACCTGGAAGGGAAGGGGCAGGTAACCCGGGCGTTATACGTAAAGAAAGAGCGACCTGCTTGGGAGAGGTTGCAGCAGCCAGCAGCAGCAACAGCAGCAACAGCAGCAACAGCAGCAGCGATGCAATGGAGAAACAGGGGCAGGAAAGAGCTGAGGTGGTCAGTCGTGTATGTACGGTAGGTACCTTAATTACATACCACTACCCCGGCTGCAGGCAGAAACACCCTCCCGAACAGTTCCGGCGACCGCTGTCAGTTTTGTCTTTTGTCCGCCTGTCTGCATTCTGCTGATGCACAGCAAGAACGAGGATACGGATCCGTCAAACATTGCGTCCAAGTGGAGAGGAAGTCTTCGACAGTCCGCCTAGAACAGCAGGCGGCGAACGGGAACCCAAGCGGGCGACAGGGGTGGTGCGGTCCATTGGGGTCTGGAGCTTGGAGTTTTCTTGTGCCGTTTGGTCCGCTGTGGAGCAGCTTGTTGACCCTTGCAATCACGAAGTCTCCACCCCAGCAGCAGAGAGATGGAAGCTTTCCATTTGCATGTTCGCAGACCTCACCCCGATCTGCTAGTTAAGGTTCGGAGGTATGTTTAGTTATGGCAGATCGAACGCCGTTCATTCATTTCGTGTTCAAGTAACGCGCTTGTCTCGTGAAGAGTTCAATGGTTCATACCCAGTTTGTAAAAGAGGGGCTTCCACCTGATATCCCGGAGTGTGCACGATTGCATCCTGGTGGCGGAAAGCGGAGATGTGAAGGATGAGTTCTGCGGACACCGCCGCACGTTATCTGCGAGACCCCTCCGCGTTCTCTGCCAATCTGATGAGGCTCTCGTGGCTCCCGTGCTCCCATACAGCGGTTCAATGTCTGGGGAAATGTCGTGTCCCTTCTGTGCGGCGCCAGTCTCGCGTTCTGGAACGGCCTATTTCTTGGCTCCATCAACGAGAGACCTGGAGCAAGAGACCAATCAGTGGCCGCCCAGTTTTGGTCTGCGTTGAAGACGCAATTCCCATTCGCCGACAGCGGCATTCCGCGATTCCCATCAGCGACACAGCGCTGATCGTCAGGTTGTTATGGCTAGACTCCGATCCTGGCGGCGTCGTTCAAGGGCGCGAAGGGCAACCAACATACCCAGATCGACACCGCTTGGTGAACTACTGAGGAACCATTGAGCCAACCTTCAGCCCGTGTCCATTGTTTCGGGACGACATCGAAAAATTTGAGGATGCAAGCGGCCACACCACGGAAATAGTTAGCAAGGCTTTCTGGGCACTCGCTTGTTCGATTGATGAGATCGCGCCACGGCCCACAGATCGGAGTTTGTTCCGTCCTGCCTTCGCTGCTGCACGGGACAGCCATCGGCTCCGTTCCCTCGTCCACGGAGCAAGCATAACGTTATGCGCCTCATCCAGAATGTCGGCGATGGTCAGCCCAACAGGGCGAGAAGCGTCATTCTGGATGAGCTCGAGCGCTTTTTATTCTGATGCCTCCCCAGAAGATGGTTACAATACAAGCCAGCGCGGTGCATGTGTGTACGAATCAGTTAAGTGTACGGATCTGTATGTACAAGTACATATATCAACCACTGGCGACGCGCGGGATGTTCCTGAACACACTTGATCGGCCCGGTTCCAGTCGGTCGGCACACCGTAATTCAAAAGAAAGAAAGAAACCCCAGTCGGTTGCTTCCGGATCACGCACCGCCCGCGCACACAGAACAATGGCGAAGCCGTGTTGGGGCTTGTGGGGATCCGATTGATCGGAAACCTCGAAAGCGACCAGGCGCTAGATTGGACGGCAGTTGTCACTCTGCTTTTGACTCCCGACCAACCGGCAGCGGCCGCATAGCGCCCGCCCTCGAGTTCATGTCCGTCACTGGCGGCATCTCACAGCGCCTGGTGGGTAACACTGGCCAGCTGTCATGATAACTTGGCAGGGCTTGCCAGCCATAAACAGCTGCCGCCCCCAATCCCCGCTCCTGCGACTCACCCTACGATTGGACAACTCGGCGCTTACACGCTGCCACAGCGAGCCCATCTGGAGCTCTCATTGGGCGTCGAGCTGTGATTGACCTGCCACCCGCATCTCCAGGGAGTTTTGCCATGGTCGCGGGCGGCACCACCCACATACGGGCGGCGAGCGAGGCCTGCGAGCGCAAGAAAATGAGGGCGGTCCCTTTAATAAATCGCGGCTGCCGCCTGTTCCCCTCCTTTTTGTCCCGGATTACGACAAAAGCAACGGCGAGGGGTATTATCGCGATATCTGCTGTCGCCGACAACCGACAGCCGGAGCAGTGCTCATTCGGCAGCCCGCCCCCGATCCCCGATTGATTGCAAGGATTTCGATGTGAGCCGTTCCCTGGCGGCTTCCGGCATCCAGCGCGGACCCCGATTATTGGCAAGACCGGCAGGCACCAAGACGGGCCACAGGCGACAAAGACAAACCACCGAGGCCGTACCATACCATACATAACCGGCGTTTGAGGGACGAACAATGGCGCGCACATACCGGATTCTCCATCGCCCATGGAGAGCTAGGCGGCCTCTGTACTTCGTCATGATTCCCGAGCTGACCGGCATCATCACCCTGCTGGTCCTCTTCGGCGTCCAGCAGCCCGACGCTTTCCGCTCGCTCTTCTGGCGCATTGGGTATGAGAACAAGTTGAACTCAAACCCCAACATGATTCTCTACGCATACGCCAACTACCAGGAAGTGCCGGCCGTCCCTTTTGTCTGGTCACGAATGTGAGTGTCCCTCGTCTTTTGTGGACAAGATTCCGGACGACTAACCAGACCAGGTTAACCGACTACAATGTCGCCATCTCCATCATCTCCCTCTTCGTCCTCCTGGCCAAAATGATTGCCACCATCATGAAGGTCTTCTATCCCATCTTCGGCACCTTCATCAGCATCGCCCTCACGGCCCTCTACGCCGTGAGCGTCTACGGCCAAGCCGGGCCCGACTACGCCGACCCGCGATACCCAAGCCCGACCCCCTGGCATCTCCGGGTGGGGTGCAGTCTCGCGGAGCCGTACGGGGTCACCAAGACCTGTCGCATGGTTCAAGGGACACTCGGTGTGACGGTGTATATGCTGTAAGCCAATGGATCCATTCCCTTGTCTCATTTTGACGGACGACTAACAAGGGTTCAGCGCCGTCTACCTCTACCAGACCGGTTTTGCCATCTGGGCGATGCTTCCCAACAAGGAGCTCGACATGTATGACTCGGACGATGAGGATGCCGAGGAATACGGCCGCCACCCTGCGAAGAACAAGGGCGTCTCGGTCCAGATGCAGCCCACGCCGCCGCCCGATCAGGCGCCGTTTACCCCGCGGACACAGGCGTTCCACACGTTAGAAAGGAAACTGCCGCTTCGGTACTCTTAAGAGGCTGACGGAGGAGTGGGATGGAGTATATATTGGGCGGCGCCAGAGCCGTGTTCAGAGTCACTGCTCTGCTGGCCGGGGCATAGGTCGCCCCGCGGTAGGGGACTAGGTTGGAATATCCGGAAGGCCAGGTGGCTTGTATTTGTTCTCCGATTAGGGATTGGGGCTACTATTTCTGGGCATCACTAGTTGGATCTCTCGCGATCACGGAGTTGGTGGTTTTGACACGTTACGAAATGATATCTCGGTTCAGTCCAGTGTAGTTGATACACTCAATGCAGCTGCCCTGTCACGGCGTACAGCCTTCCACATTATTCGTGTCAAAACGAGGGTCGTCCATCGTCGTCGTTTATCAATCGTCATGACACCATCAAACACGAAACAAACAATACGAAAACATCAAACCCCCTGACCAACCACCCCTCAACATAACCCTATCCCATCCTCTCCCACCCCATCTCATCTCACCTCACCTCTCCCTCCATCTCACTCACATCCCCCTCCATCTCACTCACATCCCCCCTCCCCCCTCCCCAACACCCCCATCCAAACCCAAACCCAAACCCAAATCCAAACCCAAACCCAAACCCAAATCCAAATCCAAATCCACCACCACCGCACTCGCATCCGGCACCCCCACCCTCACCACCCCGCCCTCGCCCACAACCACCGTCTCCCCCACCGTCACATTCCCCAACCTCGCCGGCCGCCCGCCATCCAGCTCGTAATTATAGCTCCACCCGTCCCAGCTGATCCCCGTGATCGCGTCGCTGCCGTTCGCCATCAGCCGCCGCACTCCCACCAGCGTTCCCTCGGGGAAGGAAGAGGAGGGGAGGCGGAAGGTGTATTCGGTGGTGTTGCGCGGCGTGGTGGGGGGGTGGGGCAGGGGGGTCAGGCCGGCGCCGTCGACGGTGGTGTTGTGAGTGTGCAGGTTGAGGATGATGAGGCGGGTGAGATGGGTGCCGTGGGCGGTGTAGATGGCGTAGGCGGATTCTGGGGTGAGGTTGGGGGAGGAGGGGTTGGGGGTGGTGGTGGTGAGGGGGATTTCGACGACTGTGGCGGGGGTGGGGCCGAGGGCGGCGGCGACGGCGATGGAGCCGTAGTAGGGCGCTTTGGTGCCGATGGTGGTGAGGGTGGTGGGGATGGGCTGCCAGGCGGCGTACTAGGTTTGGGTCGGGGTTAGTTGGGTGGTTGTGGAGTGGGGTGTGGAAAAAAGGTTGGTGGGAGAGGGGGTTGTTGGGAAGGGGGTTGATAAACGGGGGAGACGCACGCGATAGTTGGTCCCCATGTGCATGTGCACGCGCTTGAAGCCGACTGACGCCGCGTAGAGGTTGAAGTCGAGGCCCCAGAGGGCGGCACCGAAGGTGTTGGACAGACCCGGGCGGCCTTGGTTGTAGAGGGAGTTGGTCTCGCCGAAGATGAGCGGCGGAACGGGGTCGGTGGACTGCGAGAGCATCTTGTTGTACTCCTCGATGTGCGCGTCGACGGAACGCTTGGTTACGGCGTGGTTCATGAGTGTCCCCTGGAGTGTCACCCCGGGGGTTTCGGCGCCGCTGATATAGCTGGGGATGGTCAGTAATTGCTAGCGGGTTGTGGCTCAAGAAGAGGGCTGACTTGTGGGTTGAGAATAGCTTGACATTCTTGTCGTCGTTGAGCCCGGCCGCCCATGCTGCCTCGGCTTTCAGATGGTTGCCGACGCCAGCGAACGAGGGCGCCATGTAGCCGTAACTATCCTCGTCCGCCATCTCAGGGCAATGCTCCTCAATGAGGGCCTTGATCTGCCTGGTGCCATTGTGCCATTGGGAGACGTAAGCATCCTCGCTCCAGTCAGACGGCCTCACAGGCCCCTGGGCCGAGGTCGAATACAGGTCTGGCTCGTTGCCGTATCCCCAGACATATAGCTTCCCGCCACTCAGGGCTCTGCAGGCCAATGGCACAGTATCGAGCAGAGTTTGCCACCCGCTCGACCTATTCCCCCCCAAACCAAGGTTAAATCCATGGTAGTATTTGACGTCTTTCCAAGTGTTGTATGCCTCAAAATAAGACGGCCCAATGGTGATAGTGGTTGGGTAGTCCTCGGACCGTGCCGGGTCAAAGGTGCCATTGAGAGCGTATGGTAGGGAAGCGTCATAGAGAGCATAGTCCTGGGTGTTTCCGCCAACGCGGATGTAGGGCTTGTGCCCGATGATGCGCGCGATATTGTCCAACAGTATGTCTGAGAACGTGTTGGGATGTGTGTTGTTCCCTAGGGGGGTTAGAGGATGGTTCATGCCAGAGATGGGACTGGGCATACCTACCTGCAAACTCTGGGAAGCTCGAGAACTCGATGCTGTAGCTCACATAGCCGTCAAAGACATCGTTACTCTCTACTGAGGCGGCGACGGTATACTCAGACCTAACCAGCGCTGGGCTGGCGAGGGTATAAAGGAGGGCGACTTGTTTCATACTGGAAATACGCCAGGCGGAATTGAACGGGCTTCCCAAGGCGGTATGGCCGGCAGGAGACAAACAATCATTCATATACGGTCCACTCCTGACGCCGCCCACGCTCATGTCCCCTCACTGGACTCAATCAACCGGGGTCGCATCACAGCTCACCCCCAGGGCTACCTACCGCTACCTACCGGCGGCCATAAGTTCCAGCAATCGGCCATGATCTCGGCCAAAAAGGTGCATGGCCAGCGGGGCGGCAGCTCACAAGACTTAAACAAACAGAATAGCCGCTGACGTTGTGGTACGGGAATGCAGCATTGGGTTGCCGAATGGGCACGGTGAGTGGTTGGGATGCAGGTCGAATTGACTGATCGACATCGTGGATGTGGGAAAGCGAGTTGGGGAACGTTGGGGAACGCTGGGGAACGATGTTTGCTCGTGAGGTTTGAGACAGTCGAAGCAAGCCACTCGGGTACGCAGGTAACCGACTCGACTCCATTCAATAGGAAGGTAACTATCGAAACGCTGAAGGTAAATCCAAGCCTGGAGTTGTGGGCTGAATGTTGGTCTTTGTGCTACCGAGGTACTGTAGACCTGGCGGCAGCCCTGGAATCCGTTGCATTGCGCGGGGCGAGACTTCCAGGTTTAATTCGGTGGAAATTGTGTACGATGGAAGAATTTAGGGACCTAACTGAAGGGTCAAACCCTTAGAGGTGTTTTCTCAGCCTCTAGAGAGGGCATTTGGAGGGTTAAATCCGGTGTTACTGCACGAGGCACCTGCAGGGAAAGAGTGGGTTCTTCCAGGAGTGAATGGAAATCTCCAAAATGAGGATATTGGGAAAATGGGATTGAGTAACGTGGAGAATAAATAAACTGGAGAATTGAAAAGTCACAGAATCTTCGGTGCATTCTGAGCGACGGATAATCAGAATCATTGCCTTGGAGAGGGACGCCGGGCGCCACGGCGCTCCGGGATCGTCTCCACTGCCGTTCCCCGACGCTCGGCGCCGTTTCCCCACTCTTAAGCCGGGTTCTTGCCTGAGGATGCCAAACCGCGGTTCATCTGGCAATTGCGATTGGCCTCGAACACCGACGTCATCCAAACGGGAAGGAAACAGCGGCGACAAAGGGTCGGATGGAGGTCGAGGAAGGTGCAGTTCTCAAACAAAATTTTAGCAATTTGAACCCCAATCCCATACCGATTCCATCCCACGAAATTCCCTACTTGCCCGAGGTTGCCCTACCAGTGACCGATCAAACCCGCCTTGGCATTCCATCCCTCGGCCCTCCGCAGCTGCGGAGTTGTCTCCTCATCACATCAACCTCGGGTCGCTTCCGTGTTATCCGCAACGAAGGACGCACGCAGCCCGGCGGAATGTCGGTTCTACAAAAGACTCTATTTTCTGCCTCACGGGCTGCAGCAGTCAGGTCTCAGTTCCGGCGGTCAGCGTTGCCAGCCATTGTTAATCCATTTTTATCCTCACGTCTGGCATCCACCATGGCTCCCAGGGTAATTACCTCCTCACCGCATTCTCCCCGGTTATCTCCCCGGTTATCGTCGATGACAATGCGAGTATCCGGCGGCTAACAATGCCGCCAGCTCAGAGATCCCTCCCTTTTCAAACAAGACGTGTGCTACGTGAATGGCGAATGGGTAAAAGCCCAGTCGGGCAAGACATTCGAGGTCCATGGTAAGCCCTGTTCGGCCATGCTTGCCCTGATCTAGTCCGCTCACTCCCGGTCTAGATCCAGCCACTGGCCAACTAATCGGTACATGTCCCGAGTTTGACACCCAGGACACCGAGAAGGCTATTGCGGCAGCCGAGGTCGCCTTTGACGAGTTCCGCCACAAGACAGGGCGCGAGCGCTCCAAGTTGCTCCGGAAATGGTACGACCTCATGGTTGAAAACGCCGACGACCTGGCCACCCTCATCACCTTGGAGAACGGCAAGCCAACAGCCGACGCCAAGGGTGAGGTGACGTACGCCGCCAACTTTTTTGAGTGGTTCAGCGAGGAAGCGCCACGCATCTACGGTGACACCATCCCCTCGTCAGTGCCGGGCAACCGCGTCTTCACCCTGAAGGAGCCCGTCGGCGTCTGCGGGCTCATCACGCCATGGAACTTCCCCGCCGCCATGATCACCCGCAAGGTCGGCCCCGCGCTGGCCGTGGGCTGCACCGTGGTGTGCAAAGCCCCCGGCGAGACGCCCTACACCCCATTGGCTCTCGCCGAGCTCGCCCACCGCGCCGGGATCCCCAAGGGCGTCGTCAACGTTATCACGGCGCTCCACAATACCCCCAAGGTGGGCGAAGTCCTGACCACCGACCCGGCCGTCCGCAAGATCTCCTTCACCGGCTCGACCCCCGTCGGCAAGCTGCTCATGAAGCAGTGCTCGGGCACACTCAAGAAGCTCTCGCTTGAGCTCGGCGGTAATGCACCCTTTATCGTCTTCGACGATGCTGACGTCGACCTCGCCGTCGCGGGCGCCATCGCTTCCAAGTTCCGCTCGTCGGGCCAGACATGCGTCTGCGCCAACCGCATCTTCGTGCAACGCGGCATCTACGACGAGTTCGCCACCAAGTTCGCCGCCAAGGTCCGCGAGTTTACCGTCGGGAACCCTTTCGGCGCGGGCGTCACCCACGGGCCCCTGATCCACCACAAGGCCGTCGACAAGGTCGAGCAGCACGTGCGCGACGCCGAGCAGAAGGGCGCGAAGGTCGTCTTGGGCGGACACAAGCTCCCCGATCTAGGGCCCAACTTCTACCAGCCAACCGTGTTGAGGGGCGTGACGACCGACATGGCCATGGCGGCCGAGGAAACGTTTGGTCCCGTGGCTGGGCTGTTTGCCTTCGACACGGAGGAGGAGGTGGTCAGGATCGCCAACTCCACTCCTGTCGGGCTGGCCGGGTACTTCTTTTCACGGGATCTGCACCGTGTATACCGCGTTGCGGAGCACCTCGAGGTGGGTATGGTGGGCGTGAACACGGGGTTGATCTCGGACCCGGCCTCGCCCTTTGGCGGGGTAAAGGAGAGCGGCTTTGGGCGGGAGGGCTCGCTATACGGCATTGGGGAATACCAAGTCACCAAGATGGTTACGTACGGGGGTATGGGGAAGCCGTTGCAGAGTTAGGGCGTGAAGTGATGGAGTGCGTGACTGCGACTTGGAGAGGCGACGGATGAGTTGAGGAAGATTACGATGTGATGTCTGGATATCCGAGATTGGAAGTAAACTGTCCAACACAGTTGATGTGCGTCTGCACCGTAAGCCGCCGAGAGTCACACACGCCGATACGAGATTCGGCGGGCGTCCCTCGGAGACTTGGTGGTTGAGATTTCCGAGTTACTCCGGCTCAAAATGCCGAAACTTGTTCTCACCGATCCCGGCGGTGAGGCTCGTCTCTCATTCATCCTTGACAATGGAAACCAAGAATACTCGCCTGCCTGGTTCCGAACCCCATCTTTTCCAAAGATCTGCGGTCTGCGGTTCGGGGTGAGTTACCTCCGTGTCCGCAGCATGGCTGTGCGGCCGGGTCATTGCGCATCGCCCCGGCGGAGCCCGGCGCTTACGGCACGCGAGCATGCACGCAATGCACCGACCGGGTTTATCAGGTTGGGTTGGTTCCCCCGGGCAAGCCCTGAACAGCCGCCGTGGCCGGGGGTTTTGTGCGAGCTCGAATTGCTTGATGGTGGGGTAATTAGGCACGCATTTAATGCTGGGTGGTATTTTTGGGAGCTTTTGACGTGTTGAGTTAATGAAAGCTGAGTGTCTTGTTGAACGACTTCTGTGTAAGTGTTACCGGGTACGAAGCAGTGGAGCGGATTCAGGGACCGATTAAAATAGATCTCATACCGCACTCCGAACTTCGCACACCTCGACCCAACGAAAAAACAGCTGATGGTTGATTCCATCCCGATCTCCTTCCCACAGCTCCCATCCATGACCTCGCCGTCGGTTCCTCCAGCACCTAGCATAAATCACTCACCCACAGCAGTCCCCCTCCCACCATTCAACCCCACCCTCACTCACCTAGGTAGGTAGGTCGATGAGTCGGACAAGGTAGGAAGGAAGGAAGGGAAGGAAGCGCAGAGTGCCTTGCCTGCTTGCCCTTCCCGCAGCCGCGTTCCCCTCGGCAACAAAAGTGCATCCTTCAACTCCACCTTCAAGTTCCCCTCCTCCTTCAACTTGAGAACTCAACAACTCACCAACCCACCAACCGCACCATCGGATCGCACCATCGCACCACTCGGGATGCCGCCGCCTGAAAATACACGCGCGCAAAAATCCCCGGGGCCAGCCAGCCAGCTCCACCCCGCGGGAATCCCTCGCTCGGGTTGCCGTCTGACGCCCGCCCCGTCCGCCCGGCCGTACCTGCGTTAGCGGAAAAGCCTCCTCCTTCCTCGCTTCCCCTCCTCCCAGGGGAAGAAGGCGAATGATTGATTGAATGAGTGATTGAACGGATGATTGAACGGATGATTGAACGGATGAATGCCGGGCCCACTGTGAATGCGGCATGGGGGGTTTGTTGAGCCGGACGCCCTTTGCCCCCGGGCCGTGTCACATACCTCCTGTGGCATGTATGGTATGCCTTAACACACAACCCGCCGCCCACCAACGGACACGGGGTGGGTTGGTGGTGGTGGTGTGGGTGTGGGTGTGGGTTGGGAAAGGTGAAACGAAACGAACGGCCCCGGCCCCCGGGTCCGAGTCCCCAATTGTACATATTTTGTCTTTCCAACCCGACCAACTGTGCCAACAAAACGAAGGTGAAAAGAAGCAACGATCGCTGGCCCCAACGGCTGGCCAGCCGGTCGGTCGGTCGCTTACCTGGCCGCACACACACACACACAATCGCACACAAACGGGCTTGTTGTTTCGTTTCGTTTCGTTTCCTGCTCGCGGCGGGTGTTCATCCACATCCACACACAGCAACCGCAACCGCAACCGCACACGCAGGATCCGCATCCCGGCGAGGCGGGGTTCGTCATTGTCCTCCCCCCCCCGTCACCCATCCCCCGGCCTCCCGCCCCCCGGTCTTGTTGTTTTCCCCTGTTTTGTTCTGGCCTCGACTGCGAGCCGTGGTGGTGGTGTGTCTGTCTTCCGACCCCGAACCGCCCCCTGGCCCTGGATTTAAGTGAGTGCAGAAGGAGCAAGCGCAGCCGCGGCGGAGTTGGCGGGGTCGGTTTCCGCCTACACGACCTTCGTACCCTTACCTTACGCGGCAGGATGTGACGCTGTAAACTACAATACCACTGTACTTCGTCCCACTCTCACTTGTCTGTTACCTTGTGGGATGCGAGCGTGCGGCGGGTTTTTGGGGAAAAGGGTCTCGGGGTGTTGCATGCGGGCTCGCCGTGGGTACGGAGTACTTGTATGGTGGAGAGTATTGGGGATGGCTAGGCAGGGCGTTTACCAAAGTCTCAGGGATGGTGGGGGATGCGACAGAGATGTTCAAGGCAGGCTCAAGGTGAGTGAGTGACCACCGGAGGTTTCCTTTGTGCTTGGCCCCGACAGGTTCCGGGGGAGGATCGGGACCGAGACGAGATCGCATGCATTCAATCATCGGCGGGCTTGACTTGACTTGACCCCGCAGGCAGGGGAAGGTCGCATGATGGGATGGGATGTGCCGCGGGGGGGGATGATGCGAGGGATTGGTTGTCGAGGAGGAGGAGGAGGAGGGAAATTGAGAGGGGGGAGTTGATTAACTGAAGTGATGGGAAGGTGAGTGTTCCCGAGGCCGGTCGTGTGAGTGCTCGTGTGTGTGTGTATTCATCTTTCCGTCTTACGCTTCCTTACGCGCGAGGAATACGGGGTAATACGCCAGCCGCACCGCATCACCATCAGCTACGGCTCAGCTGAGGGGATCGTGACGTCGGACGCCGCAGGACATGAAACCCCCATATAACCATCATCGGGGCTAAAAACCGTTGTTGGCAACACACACGCATCTTGTCATCTCACAGCCTCCGTGATGACCTCGTGGAATGACCACCACCCCTGTCGGGTACTCCGTGATACGTCGTGGCCAGTGGAGACTTTTGCTGCAGGTAAGACTGAGATGCCAGCACATGCAGAAACGAACCCCATCAACGCAATGTATGAGCGGGACGATGGATTGCCGGGACATGGAGGCCAGAGTCGTCCAATGTTTTCACCTGCCGTCTGCAAATGCAATGCGATCCTGGCGGGAGCTAGGGGATTGAGGTGGATAATGCCATGCGTTGCTAAGTGTCGTCGGTGGAGTAATTGACGCATTTGTATTCAACGACGATGAAGATGGACAAGAATGATGAGGTATATACCTGTATTTGCTTCAAAACTGCAGCTCCCTACTATATGTACACATCGCCTTTCTCGCCGTAACAAAACACCATACCCCAAAAATCATGGAGACGTCACCGCGTAAAACGACATGTGCTTCGTCTGTCCGTCGACACAACCTCCCACCCCCATCCCAAACTAAACACCGTCCAAACCAACCCGGCAACGCGGGTGGGTGACCAGGCTTTTTGGAAAAGAAGAAGAAAAAAAGAAAGATGAGAAGAAGAGGAAGACCCAGAAAAGGAATGTGGTATCAAGTCCAAGTCCAAAAACAACAACCAGCAAAGTTTTGCAACCACCACCCCTTGCCGCTTTGCGCCCCCCTGAATGCTGCCAGATAGATGAAGATACCGGGAAGGAATGGCCAGTAGAACGCCTTTGCCAAAGAGAGAGGGTAAAAAGAAAAAACGGAGTCAAAAGATGCCCCCGTCCTGCCTGCATGCCTGCTAAAACACCGTGCAAATGACCGAACCGAGTACCGTGCCGTACCAGCTTGTGACGAGGACGAGGATAGAGAAAGAAGGGAAAGACGGATGACAGATGGAGGAAAAGGAAACAAGGGAAGGAAGGTGGTAAAAATACAGATACAACGTAATGTGACAATATGCATATGGCTGGTCGCATATAGCGTTCCCGCCATATGCGACAATGATATGTTTATTCGGGGCGAACCAGGAATTAAATCTGGTTCCCCTCGGCCGGTCCAAACCCAGCGCCGGAGATATGTTCGGTATGCCAGTTCAGGAAATCGCCCAGGTCGTGGCTGAGGTTGAAACCCATCGGCACCATGTACTCGTTGCCTTCGACATCGTGGCTCACGACGAGGTCCATCATGGGGCTCTGCGGCAGGCTCTGGATGCTGTCGATGCTGGGCCGCCGGGTCGAGTCGATGGCGAGGCCAGCGTGGTTGCGGCTCTCAAACGACGCCGAGTGCGTCAGCTGCTTCGGCTTCTGCGGCGGCTGCCCAAAGGTGGTGCTGCTGGCGCTGCGCCGGTGGCGCGAGTAGCCCGGCCCGGCGGGGGCGAGGGAGGGAGAGGGGAAGAAGCGGCCGGCGATGGAGTCGCCCAGCGAGAAGCTGTTGAATCCGCTTTCGCTGTCCTTTGCGGCGGGCGGGTCGATCCGCCGGATGCCGGGGCTCCGGGTGCCGACGACGGTGCGCGGGCTGCTGCCAGGGGTGGAGGTCGGGGAGGGAGGAGACAGCACGGGCGTCCGCGGTAGGACGGGCGTCCACGATTGGGTGGGCGTGTGCGGTTCGCTGGGGCCGACCAGCGAGCCGGCCCCGTCAAAACCAAACTCCCCGTACCACGACGCCAGCTTTTCGAGCTCGTCGAGCTCCTCGTCGGAAGGGCGCGAGTAATCAGTCGGCTCGCTGAAGAAGTCGCCCGCGCCGCCGAGGATGGCCATCTGAAACGCCGTCCAATCGAGCGTGTCATCAACGGCCGCGGCCAATTTGTTAATTGGCAGATCGGATTTGGCTAGGCGGATCCGGCCGTGTCGGATGGCCGGCATGGTCAGCGTGCAGGGGTTGCTGTCGAGGTAAATGTAGTCATCTGTGTTTGACTTGCTGGCGGGTCCGAGGGGCGGTGCCGAAGTGGGTGACAGCGGCGTCTCTTCGGGAGCTGTGGCCACGATCTCGGGGATAGTCGGGAGCGGCGGCAGTTGCCTGCTCGGCATGCGGCGATGCATCGGACCCTTCATCGGCGGCATCGGCGACGGGGCCAACTTGGCTTCGGCCGGCTGGGGTTGAGCGGACGGGTTGTCCTCCGCGATCATCATGATCGGCAGGTTCCCGTCATCTTCCTCTCCGTCGTAGGATTTCGTGGTCGGTGAATCCGGCAGCTGCATCAACAACTGCGATTCTCCCACCTGCTCCTCGGCCTGTGCCTGTACGTTGATAGCCTCTGGAGTTAGGCTTAATTGCGCTTCCGGGGCCGCCGTAGGCGTCTTGCAGTCCTCCTCATAGATCTCCGCCCCCTGGTCCACGACGGACGCACGGGGCGTCACGACGTCCTCCTCCATCACGGCATCGGGAGAGTCGTCGAGACTGAGCGGCTCGATCGGCGCGGCAGCTGTGCTCTTGTCGACGTGTGTCACCCCCAGTTCGGGAGACCTCGTCCAATGAGCAGCCCTGCTCATGCGAATCTCCCGGAGCGTGCTCTCGGGCAGCATCTCATCGACCTCGATCCGGTGGAAGATACGTATCGTAAACAAGTCCTTGGCGCTCTCGGTCAATTGCCACATGGACGATTGCCTTGCCGGGGCACGTGGCCTCCTCCGAGACTTCTTTGACTTTGCCCGCTTCGGCCGAGAGTTGGACTGGATTCGCGCCTGGGCCGGTAATAAAGGGTCTTTCATCGACGTCTTTGTGGGAGACTTGACAGACTTGACCGAACCCTGGCTCCGCCGTTGTGATTTCCTGCGCACAGGTACCGACACGGGCGACGGCTCCTTGGGCTTTGGGAACTTGTCTAGCTCATGGTCAGATAGTTTCGCGTTGCTCAGGGCCTGGCTGAGAGCCGGCGCCTCGTCCGTCTCCGGCGTGAGGATCTGAACATCGGGAGAGACGGCAACATCGTTGCTGTCTACGAGTGTTTCTGGGGGTGGCGGGGTCACCACCATGATTGTCTCTGGAGACGTGGGTTGACTGCTGTTTGTGGTCGCAGGCGTTGACGGCATGGTATCCGGCGAGGTCAGGGGTGTCTCCGGAACCATTTCTGCTTGTTGGGGAGGGGATGAGGGAGGCGTCAGTTGAGGACTCTGAAGCGTGTGAACTGAGACCGGACTCCTGCCTCGTGGCGGTTGTTGTTGGTCTTCGAATTGTTGGGGTAGGAGGAGCGGACTCCTCTGTGGGCTTCTTTGGGGGCTCATCAAGGGGCTTCCCAAAGGACTCCGGTCGGGGCGACGGGGAGGCGAAGACCTCGGGCTGGCAGACATAACGTAACCGGCGGTGCCATTGTCAATGCTGCACAAAGAAGTAGTTGACGACTGCGGTGTATCGGGCAATGGCGGGATACAGATGATGCGGTGCAGGTCCTCGCTCCGGCGGATATCGATGCTTGGTTTGGAACGCTTCATCAACCCCATTGGTGGCCTCCATGTCTTGATCTTGCTGAGTGTATCCATATCCTCCTCGTCGTCGTGATAAAAGTAGGATCCCTCGTACTCCCCCTCCGGCCCCTCAGGCTTCTTCTGGGGGCTCGGGATAAACTTCCGGATGCTAAAGGTCGGCCGGGACAACATGGTGCTGTCTGGGAGTGGCTCAAGAGGGGAAAGAGAAAGAAAGAGAGACGGGGTTAGGGATGTAGCACCATGGCACGCAGATATGAGTGATGGGCGTCAGGAAGGAGATCGAGTTTCCCGGTCACCGTATGCCAATGCCGTCTTGTTGTTGGAGTCGAGGTCGAGAATGTGACGACAAACCCAACATACAGACACACGGTGAGAGGAGAGGAGGGAGAGAGAGGCCAGGCTCGCCGGGAAGGGCATGGCCGGGGGCGCGGGAGGGGGGGTATGAACGCTGTAATATTAAACAGAGCGGCGCATGGCCGTATTGCAGCATTGCATGCCAGTGGTCTCCACGACGAACGGCACCCGCCGGGGCCGCCTCGCCCTGCGACTGGCTCGAGTCCCCAGGCGTGTGCGACTCTTGCGCCGAGTGTGGCGTTGCCCACAACCCAAACCTGCAAAGAATGCAAAGACCAGGGCCCCGGTTCCGCCAAGAGGGCTGGGGCGGGCACATCGCTGTGTGTCCGCAACAAGCGAGCGATGGGGCACCGGGGGTGAGAGGAGAGGAGGAAGCGATGAGTGATGGGTGCGGGCGCTGAAGGGGGGGGACCCTGCCATGCCTGCTTGAGCCTGGTGGCCTGCTCCCGCACGCACCTGGCCTGCTGCTTTCTCTGCTTCTTACGCTGGTTAGTTATTTTTACAGTGCCGCAATTGGCCAACCATCTGGCCTCGCCGTCGAAACGTCTGAGGAGCTGTGGTCAAGCTGTGTCATCTATACGCCGAGCTGAACCGCAACGGCAGCCATGGTGACGACGATGGCGACTCCCTCAATGGAGCAAGCCATGAAGAAACAAAACACATCGATTTGCGCCGAGGCGTCAGTGCCGGCTGCCCGGGAGAGGGGAGGGGCATCACCCGGTGATGGAGTGATCGACGCGTAACCTGATGGAGAAGGCGGCAGTGATCCTTGTTTCCTCACCCTCGCCCACCCAGACCTTGTCGTCTGAGTCGTCTCGCACTGACTGCCCACACGATCCCGCTGCGATCGCGCACAGCATCCTGCAGCAGGAGGAAGGACCCGACGTTGTGCCTGGCTTGCCCCGGCGCTCGATCGGATCCGCGCAGCTGGCAAGCAGGCAACAGAAAAGACGTTATGGGATGGATGGATGGATGAATGAGCAAGGAACTCTGTTCTGGGTTTCTGGCTCATTCATGCCCCCCCTGCTGCGGGGTGAGGTGACCTCGGCTTGGAGTGGAGAGAGACGGTGGCTTCTCTTGGTCTTTTTCGGTGTTGCAGCTTAACTACTGGCAGTTCCTGGGCTGTGATTGATTGTTGCCCATACTTGGTATGTAAAGTAAGACAGCAAGACGAGCCAAGCTAGTCCAGGCCGAACCCGTGATGATAAGTCTCAACCAACATTATGCTGTTGGGAGAAGTTGAGAGCTGAACTAGCGAGGAAATGTTGCGAGAAACACGAATCGGGCTCGGTGTTGGTCGGTTGATCAGTCAGTTAGGTCGGGGCAGCCCGGGTTTGTGCGGGACAATGGCTCAATGGCTCAATGGGTTGCTGCTTCCATCCCAAGCGCCGCGAAGGCACGGTGAGCATGGAATGGAAGTCATGGCAGGGGCGGATTGCGCCGTGACCTCCATGTGCGGGCAGTAGCGAATTCCCTCCCAACTAGCGCACTGCAATCACCAATCACCAACCTAACGCCGGCAACCCCATTCGGCCCCGGCTATCGGTCGGATTACCGTGTAGGTATCCGTATTTATCGGGGTTGATGAGTGATGCGTGATGAGTAAGGATGAGGACGGAGGTCTGATGGTAGGAATGAGGATTTGGACTGCCGTGTATCAACCCAGAAACAATGCCGCGTCGATCTTCGATGATGAAAATGGAGACCGCAGGGGCTGAGCTCCCGCTGCACTCAGGGCTTGTTTCAATGGATTGGCCCTGAAGTTCAGACGAGAGCGGGAGAGCAAGGTACTTTCTCTGCAGGGCGGCAGGAACTGCCCAGGTGCCCCGCACCAAGTGGACAGTGTGCAATCTCGGCAGCCTGGGGATGCCGCACTGGCCGAATCCGCCGTTGGAGATCTGATCAGTGGGGAAACTCACCCTGCTCGGTTAGCTTAGCGGCGTTAGCGGCCGAGTTCTCCTCCGAACGGGCCGCACTGTGCACGAGCCCCCGAGTGACCTGAGTGCCCGAATCTGGACACAACTTCCCCAATTCAGCCGGTCCACGGGCGCTCTCTCAGCACCACAGCACACCACTCCCCGCCGCCGCCCTTGATAGTCAGCAATTTCCAAACATAAACCACCTACCCACAGAATGAGCACCTGAGCAGAAGCAAACACTGACAATTCAGAGAAATGGCGCTGATGAAAGCCAATGGGTAGCCTCTACGCTCGATACTAGGATGTGTATTTGGTTATCTCCACCGGCGGGTTTTTTGACGCACCATCGCCCCTGAAGCAAAGGAAGCGGAGACGGCTCCGAACTTTGAATCGCCAGTCCGTCTCATCAGGCGCACGTGGAAGGACTGGACTCGGAGGTTCAAGGTCGCTTCCATTGTCGTGGAGTGGATTCTCCAGGCACGCTCTTCACGCCCGCCAGGGTTGAGGGGGGCACTGCGAGGGGTCCTCAGACGCTAATGAGTTTAGCTCCCTGCGGGCGGGTGATGACCAAGTGTGTTCACCAGGGTTTATCGCCCGACTCTCCGCCATCCCGGACCATTCCTGGACCTCCCAAATCGGCCCCCACGAACTCAAAATCCGAGTGTGGCTTTTCTCATCAAACAAGCTCAGACAAAAACCAGCGGCCCCCAGGCCGGTCTCTCGATTATCGGCCCAATGATCCGACAGAGAATGCTCCTCCGGCGACCGGGGCCAGGATTTATCTCCGCCACAGCTCGATCAAACCAAACATGCTAATGCAGTAGTTGGCTAGTGTAGGCCGCGATGATGAGCATGATTCCAGATCGCAACCGTCGTTTCGTTCCTGCCCGGGAGTGCCTGAGCGGCAGTTTCCCTCCTCCAGGCAACAAAGTTAATCGAGCCGAGCATCGCCCGGACCATCGCAAGTCACCCGCCGCCAGTCCTAGTTTCCCGCTGGGATTTTGGTGCGAGCTGCACACCATCTCGACTGCAACTGCCGCGCCGGTGCATGCGCCCAGCCGCCGCAGCCAACCAGAGCAGCAGATGGCGAGCAGCAAGCGCAAAAGCGGGAAGCTTCGCCACAACCCAACACCACACATACCTGATCGGGAACAGCGTCTCGAGACCCTGGACCAGACTGCGGCGGCCAAGAGCCGCGTTCCTGACTTGTGGTCCAGTTCGTGCCTGTGTTGCCCAGGGCAGCCGTCATCCTGCGGCGGTGCTCTCCACCTTCGTCGGCGTGCGCATCCTGATGGCGCTTGAGCAAGGCCCACGAGCAACCGCCGACCACCGACAGCCGACCATGCGTGCATGTGTGCATGCGTCCTCGCGTCTCACCATAGCAGCAAGCCTCCCCTTCCCCGGCTCGTTATCATGCCACTAACGTGGATGGGGAAAACCAGACGCTCGCCTGGCCTTGCGAGCCTTGTTGCCTCGGTGCAACGTCGAGGAGCGTTGGCCAAGTCTCAACACCATCCATGGCCGCTTGGTATTGGCCTTGTTAGCGTCAACCCCCCGGTCTCCTCTCCCTGAACTTCCGCCGGAAATTCACCGTTGCCGCGACATCGTACCAAGCAACTAATGAATTTGTTCGGATACGTTACGTGATATCGCCTCGTCCACCAAGCCTGTGCGGGCGAAGATGCGATGCCATTAGCGCTCCTTCTCGGAAAATAAGAGGCCATCACGAGCAGACTGTTTCGATGAGGTCATCGGCTTCATTCCGGCGCCGCTTTGTGTAACTAACCGGGCGAAGGATCCCCGTCGAAAACGCCGTTCAATGAGAGCCGCCCCCGGGCACCCGTGAGACCGAGCGCTCAGGCGCGCTTCCTCTCCGCATTGGACGAAGCGGCCGTCATCCTCAATTTCCGCCTCGAGAAGAGCAACGAGCCTCGCCCAGTCTGCGGCCTTGATGAGAGGCGGCCGCGCCAAAATGGGTCTCTTCTTGTCGGACCTCCACTTCTCCCATGCCCGGCACCCCGGGAACTCTCACCTCAGAGCATGGCAGCATGGTTGTGATAAGATCCTTTCACGGCGCACCAATGGCGCTGCTGTTTCAAAAAATCGGTACCTGGGACTTCGCCACGGATGACTCGGTTCAATTGTGCAAAACCAAATCGCCGGACGTCTCCACCCGCTCGCTGTTGGATCTGTTCATGCGGCACCTCGACTCAGCAACTTCCTATCAGAGACAGTCCCATCACTCTGGTCCCCATGCCCATTGGCCTTCACATGTCGTCCCAACCAACAGTCAAGGCCCGAAACCGCGACCCTCTGGGGCGCTCTGCAGCATCTGATCGGCGGACCCAACACAAAGCCGAGAATATGACAGAGCCGCCCGCACCTCCAACCCGCTCCCGCATGTGTTCCACCGTTGCTTTTTCCCGCCCGGTCGGGAGAGGTTTGACTGCTGTTGCTCCGCTGCTGCTGCTGCTGCTGCTATGTATAACTGGGAGTGGCCGGCCCCCATTGTTGCGCCTTGTTGCGCCCCGGCCTCCCTCGGCCGACCCCGGAGACAAGCCCGTGGGAACTCGACGCCGCCGCGGCAAGTGCCTCATCCGCAAACCGTGAAACCAACTCCCCGAGCCCCGCCGTATCCGCAGCGCCCGCTGAGCCCGCTGTGCCATTTTCCACCGTTGAATATAGTTGACTCGGCCACTGTTGTGGCCCCCTTCTCTCCTCCTTCCGGGCTTTTTTGCTCTCGTTTCACCGAGTCCTTCGCCGGTTTTCTCGGCCGGTGTTGGTTCACATAAGTCCCACGCCGACGACCCCGAGGGCTGTTGATTGATCAATGCTGACGACGGTGACCAAGTGACAGCGGGTGTCAGAGGATGGCGTTCGCGTTTTGCATGTCCTTTGATGTGGCTGTCTTGAGAAATGACGACGCGGCGTGTGTCGGCTTGTGGACATATTTTTTCTCAAAAGGGTCGGGCATCTGGCCGCCTTGCTTGGGGCCCCAACAGCGGGCCAAGGATCCGAACGACGACTTGATCAAGCCGAGTGGCAGGCAAGTCCGGGTTTCCTTTGGCGTATCATTTCCATCCCGTTCGAGATCGCTATAGTTGCCGTTCTCCATCGTGCGATGCCTGTCCAGCGGTATACCCCAGAAGATGTCGAGGGAATGAACCGTAAGATGGGGCGGTTTAAACAAATACGAGGACGTGCCTAGGGAGAACCCAAAATCCATTCCGCGGCGATCGCGTCGACGATATAACCAGCTGATCCATTCCTCGACGCGAGTCAGACAGAGGCAGCGTGCCAGGGCGGCGCTGATATAAGCGCCAAAGCAGGAAACAAGTTCCACGCCACGAGCTGACACCCGTCTAGACGTCTCCGATCCCGACTCCGCGTGCAAGGACACCACCTTTTACGTCTCGCAAAGATTTTCCATTGGCAGATCGGGAGCGAGACGGCGCGAAGGTTGTCTACTCGGAGCCGCACGCAGGGCCCAGAACCCGGCAGGTGGCAGGTGGTCGGCCCAAACCATCGGGAATTGGACAGAGCCTCGCTTCACGCGTGGAGAAATGCGGAAAGTGAGACGGAGTTTCACATCGTCAGCCCTGAGGTGCCTCCACAACGCCTCCAGGTCTTCCGCTGTCTAGTTTCAGACGTGCCTTTGCTTCTTTGGTCTTTGGCCATACGCGCCGTCTCACCGCGGGTGGAAGAAAATGGAGCATCGGGATCGCTTGCATACATGTGTGCATGGCTTTGGGCCGGGGCTGAAAAGGTTCGAACTAGTGCGTCGCCGTCCGCATCACTTGACACGCGGGTGACTGAGCGCTGTCGACGATCTGGCCAGTGGCATGCCGGTGTCGGCGCCACAGTTGAGGGCGGGTGACGGAAGAGCTGTCCGGTTGGAGGCGGTCATTCTTATCGTTCGTAGGGAGCTATGAAGAAAGGATCTTCCAAGGTCTCAGTAAATGTGTATTGCGTTGTGAATTGCTCCCTTTGCTCTCGACTCCCCGTCTCGTACACTTCATTCTCTCATTCTATGGAGTAAACCACGGATACAACCGAAGACTGACGAAGAAAAGACGTACAGCTATCAATCAGCCGTCTACCGATGAACAACAAGTCCCGACCCTGTGGCAACTGCCGCTCCAACCAAAGCAAAATCCCCCTCTGCCGCTCGTTGCCTAGGCGGCGTTCTCCTCCACGCCCTCGACCAACCCCTTGGGTCGCCCGCCCCCCTTCCTAGATGCCGAAGTGGCTCGATGATCGGGACGGGGGTCTAGAAAGGGAAATGCGGCTTAGGTCTTTATGGGGATTTGTCGAGTCTCGTCGGAGTTGCATGGCCTAGCTTGCTGGCAGGTTGTCTCCCCCGCCTCCGTTTCTCTAGCGCTCATGTTGTTTTTCTCCTTTCTCCCGCCGCGCCGCCCCTTCTCTCGGCTCACTCAGCTGTGGTTGCAGCCCGCCCGGCCGGCGCTGCTGTGTGTAGTGCTGTTCTTGTGCGGTACTTGTGTGTGCCCGTGTATATAGAAACAGAAATGACCGGATGCTCTGTAGGGATTAACTTAACTCTTGTTACCCTTCAAAGTAAGTAGGTGGAGGGCGTCGACCGGTCTACATAACTCACCGGGATGGCCCATAAGAGGCGGGAACTTTTGGCTCATCTCGGACGCTTGTTTCCGTGGTAGGTAGGTCTGCGAACTGATACTGGCAGAGATAGTTTGGAGTGGACGGAGCCGGCTTGCAAATACGTTTCCCCCTTCTCATGCCTCCTATCCCCTCCCGTCTCTCTAGTTGGTATTTTTAGCCGTGGGCTGTTGCGTGTGCCATAGGTAATGGCCGGCCCCATGGAGGACGTGGTTGGTGGAGGTGGTGGGATAAGATCGAGGAGCTCCCCGGGTGGGCGTACGATGTGCCTTATCAAGTACATACGCCCTTGCATTTTGTCGTCTCTCATGCCGACTAGCAGGAGAGTAGCCGGGAGGACTTGGAAAACTCATTGTCACCAGCCCACCTCTCCTGATTCCTAGTAAGGCTCCATGCTCAATGGCTGATAACATTGATTCCGGGTGTCGGTGTCGTTTGGCATGAGGGCGTACAGAGCAAAGCACCTATCCCACTCGGGCTGGTAGTGCGGCTTCGGCATGTTCGGAAATGCATGGGTTTTCTTCCCGCTGTGCCCAACTGGGGACCGCATCAACTATAACTACCTACCTCACGCTATCCACCCTCGGTGCTCAAGCTGATTGATCGTCTCGGGGGGTACTCGCAGAGCAAGTCCATGAGCAACACCTTCAGCCAGTGTTCGTGGACCGAATATTCCAAGCCAACTAACCAAAGCCGTTGCTATCTGGCTGTGTTTGGTTAAGGAGCATCCCCCCTGCGGCTTCAACGACCCCGAATATAACCATCTTTTGTCCTCGCAACCACCACATACGACCATACCTACTTGAAAAGTGAGGATCCCGTCCACTCTCCCCTGTGGGGCTTTTCTTTTCTGGGAAGGAGGAATGAAATCGTTCGCTGGTCAAAGTCCTGGGGGTTCCAAGCCCAAAACTGCGAGTATCTTCCCTCGTTTTATGAAAGATAGTTAAAGAAGGTGAGCTTCGATCCTCGGCAAGGGCAAGTAGGTACCCAAGTATCTTTATTCAACTGATTTCCCCTGAGCACCAAGCGCCCGATCTTCCTCACCTTCCTCCATCAACCACGCAACAATCGGATTCACATACGTCCTCCTCATAGCCTCGGTATATCCCCTCACCTCAAACGCCACCCCCCCCCCCCTCCCGACCCTGCCACCGCCTCCACCCGCAGCCGTCAACATGCCCCTCCACCACATCCAACCGCAGCACCCTCGGATTGGAAGCCCCGAGCGCCGCAGCATCCGCGCCGACGCCGCGAACGAGATAGAAGCGAAATACGTGCAGCACCTGGACGGCGTCGACGAACTCGTTGTACGCGTGCACGGCGCCGCCGCGGTATTCCACCCCGAAGCGGTCGCGCCATCACCACCCGCGGCCGGCAAGGTCAAAGTCGTCCTGCTTATTACCCCCCTGGCGATGCTGGCGTCCCAGGAGGAGAGAAGCCGGCCGCCGAGATGGTTAGGGTCCGAGTCGGAGCTGTCACCCCGCATCCGGGACGACGACCGAGCCGAACAGGTGGGCTGCGATCTGGGGGATCAGGCGGCGGATAAGGGGCTGGACATGAGTGTCGCGGAAGGCCTCGGGAGTGGTGGTGTCGTTGTCGTTGTCGTTGTCGTTGTCGTTGTCGTTGTCGTTGTCGTTGTCGTTGTCGTTGTCGTTGTCGTTCTTGTCGTCAAGGATGTAGGGAGGCGCGGGCAGTTGCGGGTCAAGGCGGTAAGGGAGTGGGATGGGGATGTTGATCTCCAGGACGCAGCGTGTGGTGGCGTCAATTTGGAGGGCGACGGGCTGTAGGAGACGTACGGGCGGGCATGCTATGGTCAGGACTTGGACGGGAGGCACCAAGAAAGACTGAAAGAGGTAGACACCAAAAAAGGGGGAAGGAGAGACTCGAAGTCTGTAAGTGGTGTAGGGTTGCGGTCTGCAAGCTGGAAGTGATCAGTGGGAGGAGGAGAGATGCCTTTTATACTCGTACTCTCTCTTCCTCCCTGTGTGGCATCTGGGGCTACCACGGCCACTTACACGGGAAAGACGTTGCATTGCTCAACTGCACTGACCACCTCTGCCTGCCAATGGGAAGAATGTTTCGGTAGAGCCAAAAGGTAGGTAGACAACAAGTTCCATGAACTGGGTCTCAATACATAGTACGACTATGATTTAAGTATAATTGTTTTTGCTAAGGAAGCTTTAAGCTCCCTCGTCAACGAGTGATGGGCTTGCGTTGGTGTGGGAGATGTCGTTTGAGGGAGTTTAGTGTTTAGGATTGTATAAGCTTTGTGTCCTTCTTCGTCTTGTGTGGTTCCTGTGTTGTTTGTATTGCGCTGGGTTCGGTGCTGGGATGCTGGGTGCGGGTTGGTTTCTAGCATGATGTGGGTTGTTGCCGTCATTTAGGTAATGTCGGCTCTCTAGTGTTGGTGTTTGTAGCTTAGGCCATTAAGCTTGATGAACCATAAAGGACGTAGGCTGTTAATAGAGTCACTTGTTATCACGTATTAGATCGACTTCAGGTGATATTAGAATATCGCACTCTCCCACATATAGCGCCGGCTCATCCGCCACATACAACTAAATCAAAATGGGACAACATCCTACTACAAAAGCCCATCCTTCGCCAAAGCCTCCCGAAATCCCCCCTCGGACAGCTCCGACGACACAACCACATACACCTCATAGCGCGTCGCATTCAACGAGCATACCTTGCACAGGCCCTTTCCCAGAAAGGTACCAACGCGCGCCAGGTACTCGGTGAGGTCCCTCACGTGTGTGACGACCTTGGCAATTACCAGGAACTGGTCACCACGGCCCGAGGCCAGTCGGTTCTGCCAGTAGACCGAGACCGACGGCGGGCCGCCCCTGAACTGGTCCACACCAGCCACGTGTGTCTTGAGCTCGCCCGCGGAGAGGTCGAGGTACTTGCCGTCGACGATTGGGTACCCGTCCACGGTCCAGCGCTGGGTCGGGCGTCCGCCGTCGCTGGCAGCAGGTTCGGATTCGGTGAGGGCATCGTTTGTGCCCGGCGGGTTGGTGTTGGCGGGAGGTTCCATAGCGGGGTCTGTATGGTGCACCTAGGTAGGTAAGTACACTTATTTCAAGCGCCCAGGCTTCGTGAATACAGTTGCTTACTTCTCCGTTTCAGTATGTAGCCTGGGAAGCTTTGTTTTAATCGTTTGCCGAAGCCCGAGACCGACACTGATGAAGGTAGTGACGGAATAGGAATTGGGCCTGGGCAGGACTCGCTTTCTTTAAGCAGTTGGTTCTATGTCGGTCATTGTGCACGGGTAAGGACACCCGGGGAGTCTCGTTATTGAGCCATCGACTCGGTTCTGCATCTGCTTTGCAGCCAACGGGTCCAACCCATCATTCCGGGATGTTCAACATGTCGATGTACGGAACTGGCAAAGTCCTTGAACCAGGCTCTGCTGCGAAAGTTCCCGGATGTTGGAGTTGCCGCAATCACAATGCATTGGCGGTTAGAGTGTCCAAATTCAGGTATAAATATTGAGCCACTTTGGTGGATGGCTGTCGTTAGGAATCCTCCGCATCTCTTCGAACAAATCCAGCTATTCACCACCACAGCCGGCATTTTTAAAACCGCTCCCTCCACGAACAATGAAGGTAGGAGATTTGGGTCATTTTTTCACACATACTACAGTCAGTACGCTAATCACTCCAACTCATTCCAGACTGGCGCCGCACTCTACCTCGTTGGCCTTGCTCTGAGCGCTCGGCCGCTGCTCGCAGCACCAGTTGGCTCACCCGGCACATCTCGCAATCCGGCTCACGCGCTGATGAAACGGTTTTGGACCCTTAACTGCACCGACGGGCTGACCCCCAATTGCGTGAACGCGTGGAACACATGGTGCGATGGCCCGTGGGTTACAACAGACGACAACTGGTGTTTCAACCACTGCGAGTGTTATTGGACGTATCAGTGCCCAGCTCTTGGTGGATGCAAGGCGCCTGCCCAGCCTGGTGGTGAGACTGGAGAGGGAAATGGAGATGAGAGAAAGGGGGTCGAAACCGCTGAGCCGACCAAGACGCCTGAGACGGTTTGATGGTGGTGTTTACTAGTAATTGGTCTCGCTTGATTCACAAACCTGTTGAGAAGACCCGAAAACTTCAAACAATCAATCAATCCCGGTTGTTGAGATTAGTGGCTTGTACTTTCTGTCTTCTCCCGATCTCCTTGATCATGCCAGTTGTTCGTCTACCCTTCCTTATCAAAGTTTCCAGCCCATACCTTTCTTTCCGTTGCTTGTTGTTGGTTGATTGACTTGTGCGAAATTGCCATGAATTCCATCATCCTCAGATAAGGCCCGAAGTACTTGGATAGGTATCTAGGTAGTCACTCTTCACATGCCCATTCGATTGGGTGGAAGGTTTCGATGAAAGGTTACATGCTCCTTCACTCTGCGAGCTGCAGAAAGAACCAACAGAACCGGCTGCCAGGATGCTTTTCAGCCGGTGAGCAAGATTGCCACTGTCCCACCCACAACATAACCAACAAGACCCAACTCGGCGGCTGTGTTAACCTCCCCCTTCCCTTGGCAGCTGCACGGGAATGGGGGAGACGGCAAAGAGAGGCGCCGAGATCTATTGAAGGAACTGGAAATGGAACGAGTGCCGCAGATAGGCATCCTAGACATAAACCGGTGAGCCCGGATCGACAGGTGCATAGAAATCGCCTTCGTTGGAAACCGGGCGGCATAGAAAGGCTAACGCAAATGCACGAGGGTGGTAAGGAGGGGTGGCAGTCACCTCGTCGAGCAAGGATTTGTCCCCCATGCACTCATCAGCGCACACGTCACGGATTAAGATGGGAAAAACAAGCGAACTAACTGCTAGCCAGACCCCTAGACGTATCATGGAGGACCGGATGAGCAGACACCATGAACATCATGCGGAGCCATGAGCGGATGTCAGACCAGTTCGCCACACCCTTGGCGGAGCAAACTCTTGGAATCGGAAACTGGCGTAGCTCGCAAACATGACACGTGGGGACATGAAGGGAGATTGATCCCCGACAATGGAGTTGTTAATAAACGGCAGCAACCCGGGGAGTTCTCAGTGAACGCATCTCGCCGAAACCCAAGTTATGCAACAGAGTAATGAGGCCGTGACAGATGCTGGTGCCCCCTTTACTGACGCTTTCGACCCGGCGTTTATATCGTAGGTTTTGTTTCGAATGCAGGACATTCCGCGGAAAAAACGACAAGCCTTAACTTCATGTCTGAATGATTTTCGACACATCCCCGAGGCTGCAAAGAGTACCTATCCACACGGATTTCGTTGTCGAGGAGGGTTCCCTGATCAACTGCTCGCTTTCATCCATAATGCTAAGCTCAGAGATCCATTGATGATTGGAATCTGGTTGAAAACCTTGCCTCCGCCCAAACAACGCCCCGCTCACCACGTGATGCAGGAGGTCCACCGGCCTCCAACAGAACCTAACCCGTTGGTTTGTTCGCGAGCGCTTGTCATAAATCGTTATCGTCATTCGCTGAGTCCAGCCCACTTCTCCCACCTCGTTTGGTTAAACAGGGGTAAGGGAATGGGTGGAGGTTTAACCACTTGATATATTGAGACCGTCTCTGTGACGGAAGCTCTTTGGCTAACGTTTTCAAATTTCCGTTAAGGTTGGCTCTCGCCATTCACGGGTCACATGACTTGCTCTTTGGAAAAAAAGAAAGAAAAAAAAAGGTAAGTTAGCAAGGTCATTTTTTCCTGGGCTCAGTTAGAGGTTCGGTCGGTTCTGGCGTTGAACGACCAGGGGAGCGCTCGTTGCTGTGTAGGTTCTGAAATACAAGGGAGGAGGTTCCATGTGGATAAGAAGAAACCGTAGGGCAAGCAAGTCGGTCCCACTTCAAACCGGAACATCGCCATGTTGCCGTTGGTGGTGGAGTCGTTCCCGGCGGCAGCAGCGCCGGCTTCGACCAGTTGCCACGTGTATTCAGAGCCCGCTCGCTAAGGCCGCCGAAACAAGCAAACACGGGAACGGCGTCGGGGTCTCATCGAAGGCGATTATGACGAATCGAATCTCTCGGTATATTTGTCTGTTTCTCAGCTCTCGAGTCTACACGGTGAATCGGGACACGCAAACGAAAACCAGCAGCGCTTCACCATCACAAACTACTTTTCCCATCCGTCTATGCCTCCGTATCCATTCCCTCCTGCCCTTCCTCCTCCTCATCCTCCCCCTCATCCTCACACACGGCATACGGCACAAACCGAAAGTCCAAAAAGCACGGCTTGGACCCCTCCACCTCCACCATAAACTGCATGCTGAGCACGCCCTGCCCATCCCCGCGCAAGCTAACCTTGCTCGCGATGCGCATGGCCTCGCTAGCGGACTTGATGATATCAAACTTGAACGTCTGCACCCACCGGGCCCCCACGGAGAAGGTCTCGAGCAGGTCGCGGCCGTTGGCGAAGTCGACGGTGCTGGAGCCGAGCGGGCCGCCGGAGCTGGTCAGGCGCAGGTAGGGCTCGGCCCTGCAGGCGGCGATGGTCAGCTTCTCGGGGCTGGTCGGGGCCATCTCGGCGAGGGCGTCGAGCAGCCAGCGCGCCGACGTGATCATCTTGAAGGACAGGTCGTCCATGTCGAAGGGGATGTCGTCGGGCGCCTCGGGCACGTACGTCGTCAGGTTGCACGTCGTGCTGACCCCGGCCTCGTCCAGCACGATGCTGAAGGGCTCGCCCTCCTGCGCGTAGGCCAGCGAGCAGGTGCCCGACATGCCGAGCGTCTGGTTGGAGAAGGCGTCGGACCGGTAGTTGCGCAGGTTGCTGCGGTAGGGGTCGACGTCGGCTTTGGCCTGGCGCGCCGCGGCGTCGGCGGCGCCGAATATCTGGAGGGTTTCGAGAAGGGCGGGGAGGGATATTTGGAACGTTGGGGGCGTGACTTCATCGTCTTCGTCATCTTCTTCGGCGTCGTCGGCGGGGGTGGCGGGAGAGGGAAGGTTCGTCGTGTAGCTGGTAAAGAGGCTCTTGGTCCAATGGGCAACCCCTTACGCAGTTAGTCGTGGTGACTTTGGCTTAAGGGGTTAGATAGTTGCGCCTACCTTGCATGACGCGAGCATGGTCGGCCGCAAACCTCAAGCCGTTGTCTGTGACATCGACGTGCACCTTATTTGTAAAATTGATCGCCTTGAGGAGCTGGTACAGCGGCCTCGTAGAGCTGGCGACAGCCCGGAAAATAGGAGGGGCGGGAGCAGAGCCTTGCGTGTCCATGACGATGTGATGTGGGAGCGTGGAGGGGAAAATGTGACAAGCCTCAACGGGGACGTCTGCTTGGAAGTGCGCAAAATCGACTTGTGTTTGAAAAATGCTACGGTACAGACTCGACGAGAGATTTGGGTATCTTAGACGTAAACTCCGACCGCACAGAACATGTAAACCACGCCAAACCTGCCAACTTTGTTAGACGGTTTTTGGGGAAATCGAGTCGGAACGGGGGCGAGAGACGTACGCAAGAGCCAGGGATGCGGGCACGGCGAGGACGGGCAGGTTCACAATTGACCGGTCTGAATTGAGACAATTAGCACATGAAGGAGGATGGAATGGTTGCCAGAACGAGGGGGATTGAGAGCACCAAACATACTCAAAGTAAATGCACCACCGAGCCCGAGACCCAGAAGCACAAGCACCGAGGCGACGAGGAATTGGCTGTCCTTTCCAACGGTGGGGACAAAGGGCGAGCCAGCTGCTGCCTGCCAGACCTCATGCAGTGACGAATCCATGTGCTGCAAATTGGGTTGTCTGAATGAAGCTGAGAGTTGCTGCAAATTCGCAGTATGGATAGCTCCCGAGAAGACCGAAAGAAGGACGCGAGTTGGTGATGGTGCTCAAGCTGTCAATGGACTGGAAATGTCAATTGGACAGCTTTCGATTGTTGCTTGCTTGCTTCAGCCCGCCCATTGAAGCTTGGCAGAGACAAGGAGCTGCCGCTCGCCTAAACGTGGCCCCTGCTCGGCCCGGGCAGGGGTGCAACCGGGGATTCAAGATCCACTCCTCTCCGCATCCCATCATCATTCATCAACCGCGACTTTGAATCCACGCCCCGCGCCAACTCTGTCATCGCGGAACCGCCGCGCTCTATCGATATGCAGGACGGGAGTGAGTTCCCTACTTTTAAATAATATTAATGTTTTTATTTACTAGACAATCCCGCTAACGTACACTCCGCAGAGGGGAAGCGCAAGGCGTCGGACGAGCCGCCGTCGCCGACCATATCTAAGCGCGTTAAGCACGACGACTCTGCTGAGCCCGAGAGCAAGCCTGCGAAGACGCCGGCAATCCCATTCCCGGAAAAGGTGCGCCCAACCTTGGCTTCTCTTGCCCCACCTCCGACAACTCGTATGGGACCCTCTTACTAACACTGTCACGTCCAGCCTGCGGTTATCGAAGAGCGCAATGGAGAGATCGAATTCCGAGTGGTCAACAACGACAACGACCATGACAGCTATATTATCCTCACCGGCCTTAAGTGCATTTTCCAGAAACAACTACCGAAGATGCCGAAGGATTACATAGCCCGCCTGGTGTACGATCGTACCCACTTGTCCATCGCCATCGTGAAGAAGCCGCTCGAGGTGGTTGGCGGCATCACATACCGGCCGTTCAAGGGGCGCCAGTTTGCCGAGATCGTCTTTTGCGCCATATCGTCCGACCAGCAGGTCAAAGGCTACGGCGCGCATCTCATGTCTCATCTCAAAGACTACGTCAAGGCGACCTCAGACGTCATGCATTTCTTGACATACGCAGATAACTACGCGATTGGCTACTTTAAGAAGCAGGGCTTTACTAAGGAGATCACCCTCGACAAGTCGGTCTGGATGGGCTATATCAAGGACTACGAAGGCGGCACCATAATGCAGTGCACCATGCTCCCGCGCATCCGCTACCTCGAAATGGGCCGCATGCTGCTCAAGCAGAAAGAATGCGTCCAGGCCAAGATCCGGGCCTTCTCCCGCTCCCACATCGTCCACCAGCCCCCAAAACAGTGGCAAAAGAACGGCGTCGCCCCGATCGACCCGCTCTCCATCGAAGCGATCCGCGCCTCGGGCTGGTCGCCCGACATGGACGAACTCGCCCGCCAGCCGCGGCACGGGCCCAACTACAACCAACTCCTGCACCTGCTCAACGACCTGCAGAACCACCCGTCGAGCTGGCCGTTCCTCACGCCCGTCAACAAGGACGAGGTGCTCGACTACTACGAGGTGATCAAGGAGCCGATGGACCTCTCCACCATGGAGACCAAGCTCGAGGCGGACCAGTACAACACGCCCGAGGACTTCATCCGCGACGCCAAGCTCATCTTCGACAACTGCCGCAAGTACAACAACGAGACGACCCCCTACGCCAAGTCGGCCAACAAGCTCGAGAAGTTCATGTGGCAGCAGATCCGCGCCATCCCGGAGTGGTCGCACCTCGAGAACTCTTAGGACGGGGACTCGGCGGGGGGGAAGAAGAAGTCCGGCGGGGAGGAAACGGTCATGGTCGAGGATCTGCCTGCCGTCGTTTCTGCGGCGGGTGGTAGTATTGCCGGCCAGAGCGGCGGTTCACCGAGCGTGAAGCCTCGCCGGGGTAGGTCGGCTGGTCGGCGGGGGAGGCGGGTTGCGGATCTTTAGCCATTACGCGCGGGAAGGGATGGGAGAAGGACATGAAACGGGGAGGCTTTGGTTGCATTTTCAACGGCGTTGACGTGGAGGAGGTGGGTGGTTGTGTGGGGGATTTTGGCGTCGGCGATGGTCTTGGACAGTCCCTGGGAGGGATCTGGGTGGGCTTGGGCTTTGGTTGTTTCTTGGGAGGGAGGTCATATTTAGTACAATCGCATAGCGCTTTGGTTATTCGGATCCAGCAGCAAGAAGCTACCGATATTATTCACCAGTACCGAGGTACTCTATGTGCGAAAGCAAAAGCCAAGGTCATTCATTAGGTAGGTATCATACGGATGCGACGCAACCCACCCAGGCAGCTTCGAAGCCACGCATAGGCGCAGCTCCAGACCACCCAGGCTCGCCGGTACTAAACACTAAGGCCACTACTATAGGTAGGAATATATCCCTCCAGTCTTGAACACCATTATCACCAACCAACCCACTCAACTCCGCTCAATTCAACCACCGCTTCCACCCACCCACCCTCTCTCTATCTCTCTATTTCAACTTCCTCCGCCCAAACATCTTCGTCCACGCGGCATCCCACGGATCCAGCTCCACCGCCCTCCTCCCACGCCGCACCCCAGCAACACCAGCCACATCGTCAGATACAGCCCGCTTCTCGCTAGAATGGGTATGCGCCGCGGTGATGTCACCACAGTCCGGGCGAGCGAGGCGGTCGCCAAAGACGTCAGCCGCCCAGATCAGGACGCCGTTGGTCCAGCCAAAGCCCTCGACGACCTCGTACTCGCCGCCGCCGCCGGCGACGTTGGTAGCGTCGTCGGCGTACTTTTCAAACATGGTTCCCCTGGCGCCCGGGGCGGCGCCCTGCAGCTGGGGCGTGGCGCTGGTCGAGCCGCCCGTCGCGTACCACGTGCAGAAGGTCGAGTCCAGGTAGCGCTGGGCGAGCCGCAGGGCGAGGTCCTGCGTGTGGGCGTAGGCGGGGTCCTCCGTGCCGAACGTCGCGGGCGTGTTGAGCAGGCCCTTCATCAGGATGTGTTGGAGGGGTGGCCACACGTTCGGCTGGTCCCACTGCTGCCCCGTGCGGAAGTTGGTCGCGGCGATGGCGCCCGCTTTGGTGTCGAGTAGGCGCGCCACGCGCGCGTAGGCGTTCTGCACGGCGAGCGGGTTGGCCTTGAGGCTGGCGGGGGCTGCGCCTGTCCAGAAGGGGTACAGCTGCGCGATGTCGAACAGGACCTGCTGGCCGGGCGGGGCGGCGGTTTGGTCGCTGGGCGCGGTGTCGGCGTCTTCGGGGACGAAGACACGCTGCGAATTGTCGGTGAGGTTGTAGTCGAAGTAGGACCAGTGCGTGGCATTCCACATGAGCGCGTACATGGCCTCGCTGCGCTGCTCGGCGGCATCCGCGAAGCGCTTCGCCTCGGAGGAGTTGCCGGCTTGCTCGAGGTACTCGGAGATGATCACCTCGTTTTGGTAGAGAATCGAGTTGAGGTCGACGGATACTATGCTGCGGACGTTGAGCGAGCGGAGGGGGAAGTAGACGTCTCTCGCCGCATCGTTGGGGGTTCGAAGCCACCGGGCCGTGTAGTCCCAGCCGGACTCGGCGCCGCTAGCCAGGTTGGAGTACAGCTCGGCCTTTTCCGTCTCGTTGAGAGGGGTCTTGACGGGATATATGATACCCGACTCCGCGTAGTAGGACGTGTTCGTGGCCGTGACATAGTCTTCCCGGTACGACTCGGGGCGCGGCTGGTTGTTGTTGACGGAGTATCTGGAACACAAGTATAAGCCAATGGTCATCAAGGTGCGTCTCGTTCGGTTTGCCTACCTATTCAAAGTGTACTCCTTGCCGTCGGTGGCGGTGATGGACACGGTCCGGTTGTTGGTCCAGAACTCGTGCTCCTTGACCAGCAGTGGCAGGGCCCTCTCCAGAATGCTGGTGTCGTTGGTATAGTCGACGTAGGTCTTGACCATCAGCGTCAAAAGAGGAGGCTGAGACCTGTTCAAGTAGTAAATCCTGGCGCCGTTGGGAACGAAGCCAATCGTCTCCACAAAGTCGAGGAAGTTCTCGATCATGTTCTTGGAGATCTGGGTGAATGCACCCCCGGTGCGCAGCAGGCCCTCGAGAATCCAATACGAGTCCCAGTAGTAGGGCTCGCGGAAGCGGCCACCAGCCACGACGAACGTACGGTTCACCGGGATGAAGCTGTTGGCGCACTCAGAGCAGTTGCCCGCGCCGGCATAGCGCCTGGTCAGGTCGGGCCAGATGTCGATCACCTTCCCGACGAACTCTTTAATGTCGACATTTTCGAGCTTGTCGAGGAAGCTCGGATCCGTCTCGAGCTCGCTGGTAGGCACCTCCTCGAGCTCGCCGCCGGCTGGGGCGAAGTTCTCAGCCAGGAAGGCAGTGAGCTCCGAATTATTGGACAATGGCTGACCCAACCGGCTAAAGGCTGCAATCACTTCGTCCAGCGGCTTGATCGTTGGCCTATGTAAGGAAGTGTCTGAGTCAGTCTATGTCTCACCGCGGATAGGCCAATGTCTAAGGAGCCTAGTGAAACTTACATATCCACGAATGTCTTGGAATCTGAGAACGGCCGGGCTAACTCGATGGCCTTCAGGATTTCTCCCTGGCAGTATAACGGCGAGTCGCACGGTGCTGTGACGGAGCCATTGATGTACAGCGCCGAAGCGCTTGGGATGAGACCGGCGAGTGCCGCGATCGCAAGATCTCGGAACGCCATGGTGTAACTCTCGACACGTGGTGGTCACCTTGACTAGGTACAAACAAAACAACCCTCTAGGAATTGGGAGAGAACGAGAGTAGGGATGGTAACAAGGGGGACTTCGGGCTATTTAGCGAGAGAGGCCCTCTATCCACCTGGCTGGCCAAGAAAGAGAGGGGAAAATCCACAGAGCCGGCGTCATCGGGCTTTGGGAGCGGACGGAAGGCACGCCGTCTTAGTCCCGAGAGAGCTCTCGGGAGGGAAACGAAGCTTTGGCGAACCCTTTCGATGCGAACCAAGAAGTCGCACGTGCAACCCTGCTTGCAGCAAGCTGCAGCTCAGTGTTGAATACGTAAGGTGGTACTGGGGTGACGCCTGGATCCGGGGAGGGCTGGGCTGGTCTCCCTGTCCGAGGGGTGCCTGGGAGTTGATCACAATGGTCACTTTCTCCAACTTTTTGTTTGTAAACGGATTCGGAGCCGAAAAGCAAGCATCGCCGTTTTAGGGATTGTGTGAGAATTCCCAGTTTCTACCTAACTATGCGCTAGTTTCGCGTTTTTTGAGGACGATGATAATTGCGTAACCCAACTCAATTGCTTCCCCTGAGTCCCCTCGCACCTTCTCATAACTGCATCTGGTCGAGAATATGCGAGCGGGAGGAAAGAAGGCTCGAGGGAGGGCCGAGAATTTCGGTGTTGGAGTTGCATTCCCCGCAGCCACCAAGCAAAACCCCCGGCATCGCCCCGAATCCGGCGCCTCGATTCGCTGAAATCCCCAGGTTTGAGTGACGTCAAGCCAGGCCCGGTGCGGGACATACAGGGGTTGTGCGGGGCAACTCGAGGTTTCCCCAGCCGGCAATGGCCCGTTTTCCCCAGCCAATTCCAGCATCCTGGTTCCGAGCTTTTGCATTTCCCAACAAGTTTCGTGGGTCACCGCGTAACTCCGAAAACTTGCGATGAACTGATGGCCGGGGACGGCTGGGCTAACGATGCCAGTGGCGGTGACTACTTTCATTGGCTTTGTGCCACCTTGGTTTGTTCGATCTCAAGGTAGCACGTGTCTACTGTCGCCCCCATCCAGATCCCCGAGCCACGATGATGTATTCTTAAGCATCACCTTTCCTATGCAATGCGTAGGAGAGTCGTGTAATTAGAGTATTGGTGTGTTACAGCTCCGACATTCGTGCGCCCCAGCCTCCTGGTGTGGGCCACTTCACTAACGGCTGACGCCGAGTCATGGAGACCTCTCGGCCCGCAGCGTTCGGCCCTTCTTCGCTGCATGGCGGGGCCGTTAGGTCTATCAAGGGATAGTGCTCTGGGCCCATCTGCTCACCCTCATCACGGTAGTTGAGAGGTTTGATGCGGATGTCAACAACGGCTCGGTCACGCCGGAAACCCCGGAATGTCGGGGACTCGGGGTTCATCAGCGTCTTCTTTTGTGGTCAAGGGCGCATCCGTGGGTCGTTCACTCTCGTCGGCATTTGTCTTGAGGCAAGGATGAACTTGTCCTGGCTATTGTGAGCGATACATGGACGTCTCTCCATCCTTGACTTGAGATCTCGCACCGCCCTTCGTCTTGCTATCAAACACTACCTTGAAGATGTGTGCCAGTTTCGGCACAACAATGTCCCGCCGCTCGTAGATCTGGTAATGCATGATCATCCTGCCGCCCATGAGCTTAAGGCCGGCCTCCTCCCCGAGCTCCTCGAACCTGGCGCTGGGGCAATCGGCGTCCTCCAGGTCGACCCAGACCATGTTGGTATGCACTGGATGAACAAGCTTGCCGCCGAGATCTGTCCACATCTTGGCCACCTCTTGTGCGAGGGTATGCGTGTTCTTCAACAGGCCGCCCTCGCCGTTGGGCCCCTTCCCAAAGGTCTCGTCGACCGCAACACGAGCGGCAGCGGTGACAACACCTGACTGGCGCAATCCGCCGCCAATGGACTTCCTCACCCAGCGCGCATGCTTGATCACGTCCTTATTGCCGAGCAGGATGCTCCCGATCGGCGCGCCGAGGCCCTTGGAAAAGCAGAGCGTCACCGTGTCAAAGCACGAGGCGAACTCGACCAAGCTGCCCGCACCCGACGCTGCGACCTCCCAGAGCCGAGCGCCATCGCAGTGCATCTTGACGCCGTGCTCGCGAGCAAAGGCTGAGATGCGCTGAACCTCCTCCAAAGGCATAATCATGCCATTGAGTGTGTTTTCTAGACTGATGACGCGGGTGGGGCACGTATGCACGTCGTCGTCAAGATAGATATTTGCTTTGATGTCTTCTAGTGTAAGATAGACACCGTTCTTGGGCGCGACGGCCTTAACCATGGCGCCCGTCAGGGACGAAACGCTGTGAGGCGGGTCAGTAGGGGCTTTGGTGAAGCAGCACGCACAGGACTCTCAACGGGCGCTTACCCTCCAGCCTCATATTTAACAATATGGGAACGATGGTCACACAAGACGCCGTGTGGAGGTTGCGTCAACAGAGACCTTAAGGCCAACTGATTCCCCATCGTTCCCGACAAGACGAACAGGCCAGCTTCCTTGCCGGTCAGAGCGGCACAGTGGCTCTCCAGCTCTATCGTCGTGGCGTCCTCGTTGAATACGCTATCCAGGAGAGAGCACGATTGAATCGCGGCTAGCATAGATGCCGTCGGCGTGGTCATGGTGTCGCCTTTTTGGAGTCAGCCACGGAACTGAGGGAGAGGGGTTCACCGGCACTAACTCCTGAGATCATGGCCGGCGGCCCCAGCACTGCCGATCCAGGCATTGTGCTTCGGGGCCGTTGAGGTGTCGATTGTATTTCCGTTTGATGATGCCATTTTTAAAGGTCGCGATGCCGATGTTACAAAGGAAACTTTAGAGGTGAGGGGAGACAGCGACCGCAAATATAATGCCCTTCTTGGGCTGTCTCTGACAGACAAAGTGCGGAGTGGACAACGTATTGCAGCATTTCTCCAACTTACCGTAGCCGGCGTGACTCTTCTCCAGAGTTGCATTGCACCGCAACTAATGTAAGATAAGGATTTGGAGTTCGGTGGAGGGCAGCGGCGGCCGACGATTACCGGACCCGGGACGCGGACGGCAGGAGGGCAGATCCTCGCGGGGCAGGCACGGCGGGGTTGTTCTCACCAACCGACCAGGTCGAGACCGCCACATTTGATAGGAGCCAGTCGAAAGCCCTCGAACATGGAAGGGCCACCGGGCGGTGACTACCCGACGAAAGGAACTGCGGTCTGGCACCTTCCTAGCACCAAGGCGCGACCCACCCGCGTGGGCAAAGACTGCAAAGATTTCCGATGTGCTTTGGTGCAGTGACCCACTGAGATTGGCTTCCCGATTGAGCCGATCCCGCTCACTCTCTTTCTCGTCCACGAGGGACAGGCAATACTGTCACCCACGCGCACAGCAAGCGAGCCGTTCGCACGTGGCAGCAAACCAGCAATACGGCGAGACACTTCCAAGCCACCGGATCAGAAATCGTCCATGGACTGGTCGTGAGAATTCCCAATCCCCGGGATCCCAATCTTAGCGCTGTTGCGTTCCAGCTGTGTTACGAAAAAGCTCCCCCTCGCCCAGATGTGATGCAGGCCGTTGCCACAAATCCGAGTCCGACGGTTTTCGGGGCCTCAGGGGACAGGAGGTGACTAAGAATTAGGAACTTCGGCGACTGGTTCTCGTTTCGGGGAACACAGCTGCAGGTGATATAAGTAGTTCCTCCCTCGCACTTCTCGCACCTTTCGATTTAGCCCCCTTCTACCTAACAATTGCGCAAGCTCAAGGTGAAAAGGGAGCATGAACGCGGACCCATAAAACGTATGAAACCCTGACAATCCCAAAGCTGACTGATTTTCCTTCTTTTGACTGATACGGGTTAAGCAATTAAGACCTTCTCAGGGTCCAACCCCAAGCGAGATATGGCCTTCAGCGCCTGTTGCACAACCACCGAAGAACCCCAGCGAGGCGAGCCTCCAACAAAATTACCAAATCCGGTAAACCGACGACACCTCCAACTACTCTTCATGGGAATCATCAACCAACAATCAGATTACAGATGTCAGTCGTCGGCCGTCACCGACTCAGATCGGTGCTCGCGCTCTCCCCGCAATCATTCAACATCCCCCGGCCGTCAAACCCCCCAGGCAGGTCGACGTAGTGCTGCCGCATCCCGCTTTGATCCGGAAGCGGCACGGGCCAAGTCGAGGGATGGCCAAGTCCGAGGCCCTGCCAACCCCAATATTCGAGCAACGCGGGCTGTTGCGGGGGTGGCGAGCTGTCGAATCCGGGAAGGCCGCCGTTTTGGTACATCGGCACATTGCTGCCCAGGCCTTCAATCGCCTGGGGTGGCTGCCAACCGGGCTGGCTGAAGGGAAGCGCATCCACGGGACTCTGCGACGGGTATTGAAACCCGGGCTCCTGCACGTACCCGGGACCGGGGTTGTATGCCTCTGGTGGCATGTAGACGGCCGCCGGCATGGTGTTTGTCGCCGGCATGAAGCTGCCCGTTGCTCCCGGGTACGCCGGGTGGACCGGCACGAAGTTGCTAGAAGACGAAAGACCAGCCGCCGGCGCCACACCATTCGATGGAACGACGGACCTAGGCTGTGGCTGAACTTCCGATGATACTCGGGGATTTATCGACCGACAGCTGTCAGGTACCGACACGGAGCTCTCGCTGCGTGGCTGGAACTTGGACGAATCCATCGTGGAATCGCTGTTGGAGCTGGCGCTGCTGGAGCGGTGCCGGGGTTTGTGATTCCGACGACCTTCCGGTCGGGTACGCTGCGACGAGGGAACGCTCGGGGACTTCATTGCGAGAGCTCGGTCGCTGGGCGGCGTAGACCTCTCGTTCTTCACCCGTTTTGCCGCCCCAGTCACCCCTTGCTCTCTGGTGCTCAGCGGCAGTTTGGTAAGGAGGTCTTTGAGGATGCGGTATAGCGCTGCCGTCGTCTTGGACTCGGGAGAAACCTCTGCGAGCATGCCCAAGGATTTCTTGACGGCCTCGAGGACCGTCTCCCGCTGCGGGAGGTTGCGGGCCTCGTCCTGGAGGAATGCGGAACACATAACGGTTGCTGCGTCGAAAATGCAAAAGATGGCATAATGGAACTTGGCCCCCACCGAGGCCAGGTTTTCGAAAAGCTTCCACGACACATCCATGAGGCCCAGCGCCGCATCGACGCCGGCCTCTCGAAGCTTCGATTCGAGTTCCGACATGGGTTTCGCCGAGCTCCGCGTGAGGAAGGGCTTCAGCTGACTGAACAAACCCATGTATCCGATCAGGTGCAGATACCGGCGTTGAAACACGACCCAATCAAACTCGCGGTCCCATCGCGTCTCGGGTGACTTCACGGCGTATTCGGCCGGGAGCTTCGCGAACCAATTCTCCACCGCGCCCTGCATCCGTTGGGCTGCTTCTGCCTTACCTGTCTCGGAATCCGAGTCCTTCGCCAACACCGCGGCTAAGTCGATGCACAGCTGGCAGTGGAGGTTCATGTGGCGGAATTGTGAAGGCTGGTCGGGCCGCTCTCGGTTGTTCTCGAGAGTTAGGGTCGGCATCACGACTGTACTGTGGGCGCGGTCGATCATGAACGGGCGAGATAGCATGGAACCCAACGCGCTGAACAACGTTAACACGCCATCTTTATAGGCAGGGGCACTCATGACACTTACAAATCCCACAGATACAAGATAACCCACATGCGCCTCCTCATCTCGCGGTCATATTCCGACATACCCTCAGAGGAGGAATCTTGGTGCAGACCTGTACTACGTCAGCCTGACATGGTTTCAGAGCGCCGAGATTGTCGAGTATTACCTATCTCGTTCGCGGCGGGGATGGCCCGGCTCAAAGCATTCCAGGCCTCCGCCCATTTCTCAGCCGACTTGAACCAGAATGCCGTAAGGAACAGCTGCTGAACGTGAACGAGGCCGCCTTTCCCTAGGGGAATGCTGGCGCCGAGCTTCTGGGCCGCAGCGTGCATGCGGTCCGCGAACGTCAGGACGTCCGTGTCAAGGTCGGTTTCAAGTCTCACTCTGACGTTGTCGTCGATGATGAAATGGAGGGAGCATGCGCAAACGCGCAGGATCAGGCTCGTGAGTTCCGGCGTCACCTTGTTTCGCGGAGTCGCCCACCAGCCGTCGTACTGAGTCCTGAATTCGGGCGGGTACAAGGCGTAATACTGATGATTTGCGCCGTTCAGCCAGTTGTCGACGAGGCAATCTGCGCCGGTCAGCACCAGCAAAACGTTGGTGGGATAGGAGGGTTGGAATTACCGGTGTACCGCTTTTCCGGCATCAGCCGCAGGGCGTCTTTGAGCTCATCACACTGTTCTTCATCACTTTCCTCCACGATATCCCTGACTGCCTGCTGGGCTGTTAGTAAGGGGGGTTCGCGCCTCTCCGCCACGGCGCGCGTCACTTTACCTTCGGGCCAGGGCCCTGGCCTAGCACTAAGTGGTGATGATGGGGGAGGTAACCTAGCCCATTCAAGGCGCCGCTCACGTCGATATCCGAGCCCGAGTCATCGTGATCCGAGTCTCTGTCGGACGGCGCACCTTTGTCTGAGCTGTCGAGACTGCGCTTCCTGGATGCCCTGATAGAACGGTAGAGTCACCGGTTAGCAGCGACGCGAAGGATTCGGGCTCATGAGCCTAACCTTGGCTGGCCGTCATTTGAACCGTCATCTCTGGCCTTGAGGCCAGCAGGTTTCGATGCAAACCGGCAGAGGTGGGACACTCCTCGCTTCAAGCAATGATTGCAAGGAAACTTGCGGTCGCACTGGATTGAGCTGTCAGCCAGAGCGTTCTGTGTAAGAGCCCGCCCGTTCTTCCGCCCGTCGCCCTTGTGGCGGTGTGGGTCTCAGGTCATTCGCGGTCGTTTACCTTTTGCTTGCGCCGTTTGCACTCGCCGCAAGACACGACTGCCGCAGCGTTTGAGGCCATGTCGCCCTTGCGTGGTTCTGGTCGCTGCCGGTTGAAGAAAAAGAACGGATCCGAGATGGACTTCCCAGACCGAGAATGGACGTCGAGGCTCTGTCAGGTCGATCCCGGCGGCACGGCGGGACGTTGCAGCAGTTGTGGTTCCAGGAGGGCAGCGGTGGCGTCTGAAGAAAGCGGAGGCAGCTTCGCGCCAGGTTTGCTGTGAAAGCCGAGTCCAGCCCCAAATCGGCCAGGCCCCCTGCTTGCGACCCTTATTGTATCACAGCAACAAATCTCGGATTTTGCTTCCCACCAAATGACGATTCCCAGCGTCCCCAATCACTGCTTGCCAAGAATGCAGTGGGGGTGTGTTGAGGATGGCGCGCCTGCAGCCCAAACCCTTGCGATATCCCGGGCACCGGGACCTTGAACGGTTGCCATTCTCAATCCCACACTCGGGACTGGCCTCTCTTTGCATCTCGGGAGAGGACACCTGGGAGGGACGCCCGGTTACCTAATGAAGCGGGAGAACACAATGAACCACACGCTACACACAGTGCAGTACAAGAAGACATCCACACGGCCACGCAACCACCCTGCGGCCCAGCCAATGCGGGGTCTGGAGATCTCCCTCTCATTGAGACCCGGCTAGTCCGTGATAGGCCTCGCGACGGCAAGGGAACTGGTGGGAAGTGACAGCACCCTTTCCGCGCCGTCCGCCGTGAAGAGAGGGCCCCCAGGGGCCCTTCAAACTGCTGACCAGCAGAGCTTGACAAACAGACCGCCAGCTCCTGGCCCATGGTCCATGGGTACCTGGCCCGGCACATTTGCCCCGGTGGTACCGCATGGGGTGAAACCGTTGCACCGCAGACCCTGCGTGCGTCAATCGAGCAGCAGCAGAGAGAGAGAGAGACAAGTGAGCGTTGAGCTCTTGCAGCAGCAACACTGAATGGGAAGATCGCCCGCCCCAAACCCGGCCCCCTCCTCGCCATCCTCGGAAGAGGATCTCTGTATTTGTAGACTAGCGACACGGCACCATGGCGCCGGCGACATCGTGACTACCGCCACAACCCGATTCCGCATCCCTCACCGTGCCCCTTTTCGCCTCGGTACTTTTCCCCAGCTTTTCTTTGTCTGTGCGGCGAGTGCGCGCGCGCGCGTCTGTGTGTGTGTGTGTGTGTGTGTGTGTGTGCAGGAGAACCGCCGCCCCCAGGCCGCATCGGCACTCGTCGGTCGCGGCATTCCCCGGGTCCCGGGTCCCCTTCCCCGGCAGGCAAGGAAAAAAAAGCCAAGTCTGTAAGCAAAGCACCCCCCAATGCGGTTACCCGAAACAGAGATGTTTGTTCGCTTCCCGGGCCGAGGGCCTCACTTGCGCGTGCCGGCTGCCGTGTGTGTGATATGATATCTCCGGGGGCGGCAAGCAGGAGGAGGAGGGAGGCAGGTAGGCAGGCGGGACGGGGGTGGACGCCCGCTGCTGCACTTGGCCACTGTATCACTGGACAAGTATCTCCACAGTAGTTATCGGGCCTACGAAGTGTACTATTGACTATGTAACGATGGGGGGTTTCTTGAGGCCGGGCTTACGGGCCACAGGCGCTCTCTCCTTTTCAGGTGCGGCACAGGTCACATTGGAGCAACCTGAACTGAACTGAGGGAGGGTATTTTTGACACATCTGCCGCTTTTTTTTTTGGACGTCTTGGCGTGCGCGAGGCTGGAAGCGGTGGCTGGAGGAGAGAGGGGATTGTTGTTTCCTTCCCCTTCGAGATGATGGCCCCCTCGAACGGGATCTGTACATACATACTGTGTATTGTGTCACGGAAGGGGGAGGGGGGGGGGGCGGCTCCATTTGAGACCGGCGTCGGGTTTTGCCAAACTTAAATCCGAGGGGCTTGGTCAGCGTCCCGGTCTGGTCCCAGGGCTGCGACGGACGGTCTGGGAAGGTGATGGGCAGAGAGGGAAAGGGAAAAAAAGAGACATCGGCTGTGTTTTCTTCGCACTGGCTGCCGGGCCGCCGGGCTTGCTGGGTGAGATCGGGAGTGGGATGGGATGGCACGATGGGAAGGAAGAGCGGGTGAAACAACATCTCGCCCGCCCGTCTTGGCCTCTCTCCTGCTGATGCTGATTCCGCACCTGGCAATATCGGATACCCGATTGGGCAATCGGCGGGATGCTGTGAGGGTTGGTTGGTCGGTTGCTCGTCTGAACAACACCCGAGAGAGGAACACACCCCCTCCCCTCTCTTGACGTGGACGTGGACGTCGGTAGCTGGACGTCCTATCGTGGCTCGGTGTCAACACCCACCCGTCTCACCTGATTTTCAGCTTGAAAAGGCAGCTCGTTGTGTTGTTAGTGAAGAGAATAGGACAGCAGAGATCCAACACAAAGCCAAGGCAATATTGGATTTATTTAGGTGCCTTGGCAAGGACCCTGCGTGGACGCACGATGCATGCAATCGAGCTAACGGGTCTCAGTGATGCCCAATGTCTCGAGGGTTCCATCAAGTTGATGGCACAGTTACCAGTTTCCAAGAGCACCTAACTGAGGAGTGAGGGCGTTAAACCCATTCCGGTTGAAAGCCGTGAGGGGCAGAGAACAAAGAGGATTTCGATTCTTCTCCCACACCCAACCCGCCCTACGGAGCGCTCTAATATGCAAGTTGAGACGTAACTCCTTGACTATACTCTCAGCCGGTCATGGACCAGACCCTCCTAGACCAAACATTGCCCGTTGCAAGCCAAACCCACAGTACTCCAACGGAACCAGAACCCAAACACACAAAATAAAAGTGTGGAAATAGACAACCCATTTCCCAAACGCCCACCCGTACCGATACTCGACCCCTAGTACCCACAACACAGCAACTCGAATCGAAAACAACCCCCCCGCCATGCACACCTCTCAATAACAACAAAAAAGACGGCAAGCACACTCATTCAAACCCTTCCCACTCCCCTCTGCTCTCCCCCGTCTCATTGACCTCCGCCCTCAGCAGCCCACTCAACACGGTAACATCAACACCCTCCCCCTCCATCAACTGACCGGCCTGCTTCTGCCCCTCGAGGACATCATGGAGGCGATAGAGGTGGCCGCTCTTGGCCTCGAGCTCGCTCTGCAGGCGCTTGATGTCGCCCATGACGCGTCGCCGCTCGCGCATGCCGAGTGACTTGTCCAGGGCAAAGTACACTTCGTTGAGCCGCTTGAGCTCGATCTGGAGGTGGTCGATTTCGTCCTGCGTTTCCTTGATCAGGACGGCCAGCGCCTCGCCGGGTGCCATGGCCGGGCGGACGGTGGCGTCTTCGGCCTGCTGCTGAGTGTGCGGCTGGTCCGTGAGGACGCGGTCCGAGACTGGAATGGGCTTCTCGGCGGAGACGATCTTCTTGCCGCGCCGTACGTCCTCCGGGGTGATGAAGATTTTGTTGGCGGATGTTGTAGCGGCGGAGGCGGGCTTCTCTCCGCCGTGGGCGGCAATCCGCACGCAGATGTTGCAGTTGACAGAATTGTGCTTGCAGATGCCATCCAGCAAGCGGCGAGCATCCTTGCTGAGTGATGGGACGGGCTCTTGCGGCAGGTCCTGAGCGGTGCCCTGCTTGAGACCCTCGAGTGTTATGTCGGGCATGAAGAAGGCAGAGGTGGTGTTGGCCTCCGTCGTTTCACGGCCGGCCTCCGAGTTGCGGCGGAGGCGGGATTCTGCGCGGGGGAGGTCCTGGGTATTACCCATTGACGACCTCCGGGTGCGCGTGTTGTTGAAAGCCTCGTCCTCCACGTGGTGGTTGGCAATGCTCAGCCCAGACTTGACGCTAAAGCGGCCGGTGTCCTCAAATTGACTAGACTTCTTGAGGATACCGGGGAGCTGGGCCTTTTGCGGGCCGAACCTGGAAGGGACGCCGCTATCAGACTTGCTCCTCTGAAGTGTCGGGGGAAGCGAAGGCAGCGAATGATCAGTGTCAGGATCCTGCTGTACCCGTTTCTGAAGCTCTCGATAGGTATGCCTCAGCTTGACGATTTCGCCCTCCATCACACTCGCAAAGTCCGAGTCCTCCTCAGTGAAGTGGAGCTCCCTTGTAAGATCGTCGTCGTCAACGTTGACGGCGCCGCTCTTCCCCGTCATTTCGTCGGTTGTTGTTTGTACGTCTTTTGGCTCAACAATGCGGGTAATTTTGGTCGATTTCCCCGTGAACTCCTGCTCCGCAATCTCGCTGATTCTGTTGGACAGGCGTTTGACTTTCTGAACGGCTGCCTCTCGGCGCTCGAGTTTCTTCCGCAGAGCCGCTTCTCTCTGTTTGAAATCATCGTCCAAGCGGATGCAGTCGTCGGCATCCTCATCGATGATGTTCTTGGAGAGGAACTGGTCCTGCTTATCCCTTTCGTCGGCCCACTGGCCCCTCGCTTCCTCGTGGCCTGAACGAAGGCGTCGGTTCTCCTCCCGCAGCCGTTCATTGGCGATGGAGAGGTCCAAGTTCTGTTCCTTGAGAGAACGGATCCGACCTTCACTTGCGCTGATCTCGTTTTCCCTTTGGTTCAGCTCAGCGACTTGCTCTTCGACCCTTGTTTGCAGTTGCTCGGCTTCGGCTTGGAGCTCGGCATTCAGCTCGAGGACGGCGGTATTTGTTGTCAAGCCTTGGATGTTATCGAGCATCTTGTCTCGGGAGGTGATTCCCCTCTTGAGATCGGTGATATGTTGATCACGCGCGGCGACCTGTGCCTGCAACTTTTTGTTTTCCTTGTAATAGTGGTCATTGTTGCGCTCCATGCTGGCATGGTCCTGTGATATGTGCCGCTTCTCATCTTGCAGGCCTTCGTACTGCTTGCGAACAGAGGCAAGCTCCTCGCGAGTCATGCGAATGTCTTTTTGTACCCCACCGAGTTCCCGGCGAAGCTTGTCGTTTTCGGCGGTGAGGGTTTTGTTGTTTTGAAGCGCGGAGTCGCGTTGGTGTTTGAGGGTCTGGTTCTCGGAGAGTAGGGCCTCGTTCTCGAGCTGCAATTCTTCCCTCTCCTGCAGCAAATGAAGAGATGATTCGAGATCCTTCTGTGTGGCTTCAAGCTCGGCGTGGAGCTTGGTAGCACGCTCGCGGGCAACGGAGGCTTGGTGCAAAGCTTCATCGCGCTCTGCAGCGAGGGCGGCACTGTGGATGTCATTGACGCCGACCTGCCTACTAGCCTGGTCGAGACGATCCCGCAGCTGCGCAATCTCGTACTCCAGGTCGTCGTTTTGCCCAACGCTGCGCCTGAATGAGGCGTCGGATTCTGAACCAATGGCACTATCCGAAAGCTTCCTGGTCTTGAGCCTCTTAAGCTCGCCTTGGAGTTGGTTGACTTCCCGCTGCAGCTTCTCGGCCTCGCGCTGAAGCATTGCGTCGTGGTCATGGAGTTCGCGGACTTCTTCCTGGAGCTTATCCATGGAAACAAACATCTCCTCGTCCTCCTTGGTGATTCCGACGGCGTGGATCTCCTCATGGTCCCTCCCATATTTGTCCAGTCGGACGCCTGACTTGTCTGACTTGACAAAGACGGGAACGCCGTTCTTCATCGTGCTAAATTTGAGAGTGCCGGACGTCCAGTCTGGGAGATGACGGAAAGATGGCAAGAAGAACGATCGGCTGGTGGGTGTGATAATGCCGTTGTCGAGCACGAGGGCGTGGGCCGGGGTGTCATAACTGGGGCGCACAGCAGGCGAGCGCTTCGGGGTGATGTCGCGCTGGCTAGTCTGCTTTTCGGTGCGGATTTTGGACACCATGTCCTGGAGAGAGCGCTTGCCAGATCCGGGGGAGATCATGACCTCTGGCTCGGCGGGGGCAAAACGAGACCGGCGGGAGGCCGAGACAGGCCGGGCGGGCGAGAGGGAGAGGATGGTGGAGCAGTCGGACTCGTTCTCTACGCGTGCTTGCAGGTCAGCGCGGAAGCGCTTCCTCTTCATCTCGGCCATATCCTCGAATGTGTTCTCATCGGCACGTTCCTGGGCCGGGGGCATGTTCTCCTTCCCACCGGGGGAGGCAGAAACGGGCCTAGGTGGTGCGGTCATATCGCCAGTCTGGGTAAAGGTTGCGTTGTCCTTGTTCAGGAGGCCGGTCCATTCCGGAAAGGTGCGGGCAATTGCCGACGTGTTGAGGACCGCGTCCATTTGCTTAGAACCGAAGCGGCCTGACCGGGAGGCGTGTCTCTTGGATGTGGCCTGAACTTCCTCGCCGAAGCGGCGGGTGCCTTCGCCGTCGGGGCTAAAAGAAAAGTCGGAGAGGTTCTGGGAGAGCTCTTCGGTGGTGGTGCTAACCGTGTCGTGGGAGCCGGTTGATGAGGGTGGTGAGCTGAATGGGTTCTGGTGCATACGATGTTGGAGCATTTCTTTTCTAAGCCTAGAAATATGCTTTGGCCTGCTAGTCGCATGATTGCCTCTGATATTGCTGTTGATGTCCATGGTGAGCCTGCCGAGAGCGCGTCGAGCGCGACACTGGTTAAACCGGGGCGTGGACCGGCAGCAGGTGCAATCGAGGGTACCTCGACGGGGTTTACCGTCGACTGGAGCGACGCCGACGTCGGTGTGCTGCTGCAAATTGCAAAACAGAGGGGAGAAGGTGCGTCTGATGTTAAGTCCAGGTCAGGATTGCATGGTACTCGTACGATGGTCGTGCTTTCCGCAGAGTTGCGAGAAGACAATGGGAAGTGGAAGTCGCGAGTCGCCCGTGGCAGTCGTGGCAGTCGTGATTGACTTGGAGGCAAGGACGCGATCGGAATCCATTTGTTTACATGCAGGGGTCAAAATAGACCAAGTGGGGCATGAACGGGCTGATGGTGGGGCTGGAAAAAGGCCGCTGCATGCGCTCTCATTGGCAGATCCGGTGCAGGTTCACCACCGGTGTTCAACAACTCAACACACTCAGAACTCTCTTCAGACAACGGTTCCCGCCCAAACTCTCAAGTTGACCGAGGCTTACTGTGTAGATGGCATCCAAATACAGGCATGATGGAGGTATTGCGCATGCCCCGTGGGTGATATCTAACAGCCCAAAATTGCATCGCTTGCTCGACTAAATCGTCTCGTTTTTATCACTCATACACATAGACCACAACTGCGCCCTCGCGCCTTGCTTGTGACCAGGCCGGGCATTTTTATAGTCCCTCCCCCTCCACGAGTTAGCCGTAGTATTTGTTGTTCAGCGCTCTCCGGCAAGCCTCCTGCTCTGGACCTCCCCAAGCGCCTTCGTCCCGCTTAGCACAGCGACAGCACCGACCACACCCATGACCGGCAGCACCTGGAACAGGTTCCAGCTAGTGTAGTACATGAAGAAGACGAACTCCATGGCGATAATCGAGCCGAAAAAGGTGGCATGTGACAGCGGTGCCACGCCAATGGCTTTGGAGAAGTGGTTGAGGTTCCCGCCAAGAGACAGCCACTGTTGGTAGGTGTCAGTATTGCCGCGCGAAAGGGCTGGGCGGTATGACTTACGCTGATCAACAGCACCGGTAGGGTCGCAATCACGGCCAGGCCAAAGACGAGCGAGACGACCTTGGGCGGGCTCTTCGCGTCGGGCCGGAAGATGTGGTGGATCTCGGGCTGCTTGCCATAACGGAGAGGCTTCTCGTAGGTCGGAGGCGGCACGTTGGCATCCTGCTCAACCTTGACCTCAAAAACAGGAGTATCGAGACCTTGGGAAGAACCGAAAGAGGCGAGGACGACGGATGCTTTGAGGGGTTTGGTCGCGATGCCCAGCTGGACAGGGAGGTCCTTGTGTGACTGCGGGGAGGACGTCAGCAATCTGGTCTCTATTTTGTAAGATAAGACGGCGCTCTTACAATCTGGACAGTTGCCTTTCCACTCTCCTTGACGGTCAACGGAAAGGGGGCTTCGAGCCCGGTGTCCTGCTCCTGCAGCACGAGGAATGCCTGGTGGGGGCGCTTCCCCTTGCCATCGTCCTTGGCCGTCAGGATCAGTTTCAGGGTGCTGGTGCTTCCGAGGGAGACTGGTTTCGAGAGCGGGCTGTTTTGGTTGAACCTGCAAAAGGGAAGAATTGTTATCATCTCTGGGCTTGGGAGATTCAACGTGCATTGGCGCGTACTTCTTGACGGACTCGCCCGACTTCTTTGCGGCAATCTGGATGCTGCCGTCGTCGAACCCCCAAGCAGAGGCGGCCTGAGAAACGCCCGCTGCAAGCAGCAAGAGCGCCGGAGCAATTGACTGTGTAAACCGCATTGTGTGTGGTTGTCGTGGCAGTATTTCTTGCCCGTCTAGAGAGCGGCGAGTAAACAGCAAGGCTGACGGTTGCTTCCAAAACTCTGGACACTTGTTCAGCTCAAGCTCCATGCACGGCTTGCCTTGGCAAGACGCACGGGCCAGATCAATGTCCTTCGCTGCGGCTAATCCATATCAGGCTAGCCTGTAAGAGGGCTTGGCGATCCAATTCCAATTGCCAACTGAACACCAAACAGAAGTTCAAACCTTCCAGAATGGGGCATCGTGCGATTTCAAGAAAACCATAATACCAACATAACCTATTCATATAGGTCCTATCGCGTCTGAAGACTCCATGTCTCCGTACGCTGCGATGGGTATTTGGAAGACAGCTAACTCGGCATTCCGACTTGAAGCGCACCGAAAGCTTCGTTCGTCTTCTGAGCTGAAGAAGAGCGTCGTCACTCGAGGACTTTGGTTGTGTGTTTTGGTCGCACATTACAGAATAATGCATGTTTTAGCTTTCCCTGCCTTGGAACAGGTGCGCCAACGCAGGCAATGAGCGGTCGGCAACCGAGGACTCCATGCCAGGCGGGGGTTGGGGGTGTACAGAGAGGCTCTGCTACCTCCGTCACTGGCACGCAACAATGAGAAGAACCAAGAGATCAACATTCGGGTGCATTGGCCCTCTTGCAGCAGCTCAAAGCGTCGATTGGTTGCTTCCATCCAGAGAACCCCGCCGTTCGCGGGGAGAGCTGCATCCATCCATCTCCTCCCACCACCAAACGACAACACCCCACGCTCGGACATCCGGCACAACCAAACCCGGCGGACCCTGTATTTTGAGATGGAAAAAGTCCGATATCTTTAGCGGCCTGAACGCAAGTCTGGATGGAAGAGGCGGTATGTGGCAAAGGCATGATGATGAGCATGGGGTCGAGATACGAGACTCGGCGGTTGAGTCTCGAGACCATGGAGCTCCATTCTGGGCGGGGTTTCTCGTATGGAACACTGCATGCGACCCCCTCCTGCACCAGCGGGCATACCTTATCGAAGACAACGACACTTACACATCCAAAATGGACAACTTGCCGGACGTCGAAATCCTCCTATCGCACCGCAGACGACGCCGACTGCAGCAAAAAGATCTTCTCTGACAGGAGGAAAGGAATAGGTGCACCCACACGAGGAATGCAAGCCCCTAGCGTGATTCAGATGGCATCCCTCGGGTTACTCGGCCCACAAGGCACAGAGGTTTCCCGTTTGGCGCAGCATGTTCCGCGCCGTTTCCGAGCCGTTGCTCGAGGCACAAATAGATTCGCAGCTGGGAGTGCCGCACAGGCAACCAGATGAATTGAGGCAACACACCTACCTCCCTGGGATGAGCCAACAGGTTTTGTCAACTGCCCGGCAAGAGCACACGACATTACTGTGTAGGTGGATGGTGAGCAGCCATCCAATATGTGGTGGAGCCCTCGGGTAATGACTCCGGCCTGGCTCGTTCTGGAACCTCGACTCACGAACTTGACTATTCCGTTGTGGTCGATAAAAACTTGATGATGATGCGCGATCGGATTGCTTTTGCGTCGTCCGAAACAAATGGCAGAGTCGTGCCACAGACGCCCCTCCGGGCCCAGCCTCCTTCCGATCCTCATCGCCGTTTTCTCTTGCCACGGCTGCATCGCGGAGTGCCATGACTGCTCACTCAGTGTTGGCTTGCTGATCCCTGCGGCGGAGCGAACACGGCGAGACGACAGGGATGGGGGAGCTCCGACCTATCATGACACCTTCTTGTTGATTGAACTGCCAAAACCGGCCAATCCGACACAGGCTGCGGGCTCGGGAGCTTCCATGGCATCCACTCTGGATCCGGGGTTGCTGGGAGTGCTTCCCTTTTTATCATGCCAGCTCGCGTTTTTTCCTCCTGCGCCGTTCTCATCATCCTTGATACCCTCAAGAGCTGCGTCCTCCCCTCGTTTCAAGGACACCAGTCGCCGGGCACTTAATTCCTCTTCTCGCCTTCGTTTCCCCTTCCAACCCTTCATATTTGAGCTCGGCTCACTCACTCGCTGTAATTGAGTAATTTCTCTATATCTAATCCAACACCCCTTTTTACGAGGTCTCGGTTCGGATCGACACCGACTGTAAGTCAAGCCGTCCCCACTGGAATGCGGGCTGGTCTCTGCAGCAACTTGACATTCTCGGACTCTTGTTCGTCTTTAATGTCTGGGCCGCTCACATAACTTTTGTTCAGACAGTCACCGGTCGCCTATCCATAGTTAATAGTTAATTCTTAACCTTCGCAGCTCCCACAACTCCGACCTCCAGCGAATCACCCTCTCATCATTCACAATGGTTTCCTTCCGGACAACCCTGCTGGCCCTCGTTGGCGCCGTGGCCGTCTCGGCCGACTACTGGGTCGATCCTGAGACCGTGTCGCCGATGCTCAGAAGTACGCTTGGAATCCAGACCACCCTCCAGAGGAGCATGAACTGACAACCGTCACAGCGGCGTGGTGCAGCGACCAGCGCAGCATGTGCAAGCCGATCTGCCTCGAGACTTCGAGGGGCGAGCCGCAGGTTAACACCTGCGATTCCGTACGTAGACCCTCCCACAACCCGCAGCCCGCGCTCGCGCGTGTGGTCGCGTGACGCGACGCAACCCGACTGACAATCCTCCCCCACCCACAGGAGACCCTCACGTACGGCTGCGTGTGCAGCGACGGCAAGCAGCCCAACGTGACCGAGTACACGCTGACGCTGCCCTACCACATGTGCACGGCCTGGGGCACGCAGTGCGTGGAGAAGTGCGGCTCCGACAACTACTGCGCGCGCGACTGCCGCGAGGACCACCCCTGCGGCGCCCAGCGCCCGACCCGCGTCAACGACACCGACACCTCCTCCACCACCGCCGCTGTGCCCTCCGCCACCGGGCCCCCGGCAGACCAGGTCTTCGACGGCCTCGATGACGGCTCCGACGGTAACGATAACGACGAGAACGCGGCCGGCTCGCTGCGGTTCGCGAACTCGTACGGCCTGGCCCTCGTGGCCGGCGGGTTGTTCGCCGGGTTCGCCGTGTTGCTGTAAGGGGTCGAGTTGGTTGTTGTTCGCGTGTGTGTGGTTGATATCTGCATTTCAACGGCTGGCTGGGTGGTGACCAAAGTTAATTTAGACGATCCGGGGAAATCTGGGCCTATGGGACAGGACCCTGTTGGTGGAACCGAGCTGGCGGAAAACGGCGGATCGCCAATCGCCCCAACCAGGAACGGTGTTAGTCATGGTTTATCTTTTTAATGTCGGCTTCCGGAGTCTGACGCATCATTGGGTACGACGAAGTATTGGGTAATTATTGCATTAGTGGTTTCAAGAATCAAGTTCAGCAATTCGACACATTTTCCAGTGCTCGCATGCCCGCGTGTTGTTCCCTCCGGTGGCAATTGGCAAGAATGTCAGGATAACTGTTGATCAGCAACCATCTGGTTGTTTCATCTGAACTCTGGAAAATTGCCCATTGGATGTTCTGGACTGGTGCCTTTCTTGCGAATCATGCATTCCTTGACGTAGGCGAGGCACCCGAACATCGGATGGTGACAACTACCGATCCATCCAAGACCCCAAATGATCTTCCCCAAAAAGTGGCAGTTGCCAAACGGAATCCAGTCCAATCGCCAGACCCAAACTTTTTATTTTTATCGTTCAAGTGACGGTGTTTGTGTATTCTGTACAAACCGGAGCTTCACCGCCCAGGAGTTCGTTATTTTCACGTGTCAGGTTCTCAGGCTAACATTGGTGTGGATCCTCAACAGCCAACCGAGGAAACCTTGACTGGAGATTTGATTCGCGACGGCCTGGGTCTTGTCTCAACGAGAATTGTGAAAACTTTCCGCCGCAGTCGGTGCAGGACGCGTGGAACCGACAACGTAGCTTGCGCTAACGTACATACACAGTACGGAATATAGCGACCCCCATCCGCCAAAGGCATACGCATTCGCTTGCTGTGCTCTGCCGGTTGCCGCGAGACCTTTTTTCCCCTTGTTCCACCTCCTTCCCAGATCCACAGATCTAACCGGGGAGAGAGAGCCTCAACCAGATTCCTCAAATCTCCGTGTCTGGCCCCTTTCTAGCACCGCCTGTCCATTCTACGCGTCGAAAGCAACCCCATACGAAGCCGGTTTTGCTCGCGTCGCCCGCCCCGACAGCCGACCATGGCTCCCAACAGCAGTTCGTCGAGCCCCACCCCCGCGCTCCCGCTGTCGGCGGACTTCCTGCATCTGCCGGGGTCCAGAGCAAGAGAATGGAACTTATGTCAACGTCACAATTTGCTAACCGTGACGCCGCGGCCCAACAGGAAAAGCAGCCGCCGAGTGCGTATCAGATGATGCCCTCATCCACCTCAAATCTTACAAGTACTCCGCCGTCGACAAGTCACCGATATCCCACTACATCCTTCGGCCATACGTGCGCATTGCCCCACCCCCGCCCTACATGCAAGCTTCGTGTGCTCTGCGCGACGGCTTGGTATCGATGGCGAGAAAGAGGACACAGCTAAAATATGAGAGCAGTGGAACGCCTTTGTCGAGCTATTGCCGCTATGGCTGGCCCCGAACATGGTAACCCTCCTCGGGTTCATGTGCATCCTCTTCAACGTCGGCCTGTTGGTGGTCATGATGCCGGATCTTGAAGGACCAGTGAGATCAGCCGCCGCCACACATTCCACAGTTCCTAGCTGACCTTCCAGGCACCCCCTTGGGTATACTACAGCTTCGCCTTCGGCCTCTTCATGTACCAGACCTTCGACAATGTCGACGGCAAGCAGGCCCGCCGCACCGGCACCTCGAGCGGTCTCGGCGAACTTTTCGACCACGGCATCGACAGCCTTAACTGCACCCTCGCCAGCCTTCTCGAGACGGCCGCCATGGGTCTCGGCACTTCCAAGTCGGGCGTTTTCACCGCGCTCTGCCCATGCTTGCCCATGTTCTTCTCCACCTGGGAGACGTACCACACCCACACCCTCTACCTGGGCGTCGTCAACGGGCCGACCGAGGGCCTCCTGCTCGCGTGCACTTTCATGGTTCTCTCGGGCTACTACGGCCCGGCCATCTGGACCCAGCCCCTCCCCACACTCCTGGGCCCGCGCATCTCGGTGCTCAACTCCTTGGGCGTCTCTGACGAAGTGCTCGACAGCCTCTCGATCCGTGACCTGTGGGTGACCGTCATCGTGGTCTCGCTGCTCTTCACCCACATCCCCTTCTGCATCCACAACGTCGTCAAGGCCCGGCGCGCAAAGGGCCTGCCCGTAGCCCCCGTGTTCTTGGAATGGACCCCCATGGCCGTCTACACCCTCTCCATCGGCGCGTGGCTCTACTCGCCCTACTCCACCCTCCGGTCGGAGAACCACCTCGTCATGTTCTGCATCATCATGAGCTTCGTCTTCGGCCGCATGACCACCAAGATGATCCTCGCCCACCTCACGCGCCAGCCGTTCCCCTACTGGACCGTCATGCTGTGGCCGCTGGTCGGGGGCGCCGTGCTCGGGAACCTGCCCCGCTTTGGCTTTCCCGCCGTCTCCGCCGAGTTCGAGTACCTGTACCTGGTCGGGTACCTGGTCTTCTCGGCCGTCGTGTACTTCCGGTGGGCGTGGCTCGTCACCACCAGCATCTGCCGCTTCCTCGGGATCAACTGCCTGACCATCCCCCATGAGAAGCAGATGCAGAATAAGCTGCAGAACAAGGCGCAGAGTCAGGGGATCCCGAACGGGACGCCAAGTGGGGGCCGTAAGGTGGACTGAGCTGTCATGGAAGGGGAGTCCGAGTCACAAAGTAAAAAGGGGTTTGAGGATGAAAAAGTGGCTGAAATGGGGGGATGATCATTCAACATATAAAGTGGCTGCCTAGGGCCAAGTTGTTTGACTTTGGACATTGGGTTTGCATTGGAGCATGGCGTTCTTCGTTTCCGGGCGTGGAGGGCATTGATGCATGCATTATGGCCCTTGCTGGCGGCTGGCGGCCAACGTTAGAGAAGCCCTGGATTTGTAATGGTCTGCGGCGGTAATACATAGAGATTTCACATAAACCAAGCACTCTTTTTTTTTTAAAAAAAAAAAGCACTCTCATATCGAGACACAGATGTGGCTGTTATCCAAGATTATCATTACTTTGAAAGTCGTGTCGTCGTTACTAAGATTGGTACACGCCACGCTCACGAGAAGAGAAACTCCTTCAACACAGGGGACCCCGAGAACTCCGGGTTGAGCAGGATACAGCTTTTAAGTAGGAGAGTCAGTCAGTCAACCACTTGTTCGAATCCTCTCCCCACGGGGGTGTTGGTGTTAGTACTCAAGAGCAGGTCTGACTCACTTTAGGAAATACTGCAGCCCGGCCCGCCTCTTCTCGAGGAAGCGCGGGTGGAAGCGCTTCAGCACGCTCTTGGGCGGCAGCGCCGGCACGGCCGCCTCGAAGCCGGGGAAGGTCTGGACCAGCCGCCGGCGGAGGTCGTCGAACTCGGAGTAGCGCTTGCGGATGTTTATGCGGGAGCCCTAGCAGAGGTAAATGTTAGATGCCGTTCCGCAGGTAGTTTTCCAGCTCTCCCTACCCCCCTCCCCTCCCTTTTTTTTTTTTACCGCGATACGGAAAGGCAGGCAGGCAAAGAGAAAGAAACCTACATTCAACGCCTCCACCTTGATATTCCACACCACAAACGCCCCGATATTCGTCGCGCTCCCGTTCACCACCACGGGATCCGTCACCTGCACGCTGCGCGCCCAGCACGCCCGGTTGCGGTCGCGCCCGTACACCTCGCTGCTGTTGCTGCGCCGCCCGGCGTGCTCCCCGCCATTCCCATTCCCGTTCCCGTTCCCCCTATTACTCCCGCCCTCCTCATCCTCCCCGTCATCCTCCTCCTCGTTGTCCTGCAGCGTGATCGCCCCCGGCGGCAGCACCGACTCGACCGACGCCGAGGACGCGCCGCGCGCGTGGCCCGGGGCGTGGCCGTGCGGTCGCAGCGGGTTGTTATGGTTGTTGTTGTGTTGTTGTTGCTGGAGGAGAAGGAGTTGCTCGGCGGCGCGCGCGCTGGACCAGTAGGGCGGGATGGATGCGCTGGGCGAGATCAGGTCGCCTTCTTCGTCTTCGGCTTCGGCGGTGGTTGAGGGGATCGAGGTCTCGGAGGCGCTGTCAGAGGGGAAGAGCGCGGCGCGGGAGGGGGCGGGTTCGTCGCCGTTTACTTGTGGCGGGCTTGGGGGTATCGAGGTCCCTTCGCCGTCGGCTGGGTGGTTGTTGTCGGGGTTGCCATTGCGAAGGGGATCTGGCGGTGGCTCCCGGTGCGCTGGTTGTGGTGGGTGCTGGTCTTGCTCGTTGTTCGGCGCCATTCAGGCCATTCGGCGTCGGAGCTGCCTCTGGGATGATTTAGAGCAATGAACGAGTCGTGAACGGGAGGTACGACTGTTGCGACTGTTGCGATGTGATGTGGTGGTTGCGACAAAGACGGTTCGAGGCCGGGAAAAGCGGCTATCTCGACGGGTTAAGCGCGGCTTGAGGGCTGATAGTGAGGTTTGTAAACAGTAGTTCTTGAATAAGCGTCGAGGTATGACCCGCAAATTTGGAGGTGGTCAAGGAGGGTTTATCCTGGGAGTCGTGGAGATATGGAGACATCCCTTGCTTGCCAGTTTGCGCAAACATGGGCGATGTGGCAGTGGAACTCGAGATTCTTGCCAAGACCTCGGTTTCAACGTCATCCCCAATTGCCCCACACAAACCCCACCAAGGGTCCTTCCCCTGTGTTAAATGGCACTTGGAGCGTGATGTTATACTGAACTCAGGAGGTGAGGTAAAGTTCAGTATAAAATACAATCGAGTCCTAGACGCAGATTAAAACTTTTCATCCAATATTTGTGAGCCCCAATGACCGAAATTCGTTCCCTGACACCGCCATTCACAATTCGAGATTCAGGGTTAGGGTGCTCCCGTCTGAACTCGAGAATACCAGACGTTCGTTAAGCTAAAAGAAATGGTTATCTGATCCTCCGAAGTTGGGACGGTTTGTATGTTTACATGATAGTTGGTTTAAAGATTCATAACTGTAAGATGCGTCGCTCAAGGCAACAGAGGCAGACCATATACAACGTTTCTATATAATACATACATCCTCCTCGACGCTTATGCTCCAACATAAAACTACAGCTCTTCCTTCTCGGACTCTACTTCTTCAGCTCTCTCTTCCCCTGACCCTGCCGCTACCTCTGGCACGTATCCCTCCACATCCATCCACTCAGCCACAAAAGCCGTCATGATCTTTGCCCAGTCCCTGATGGTCGGTACATCCAGATGCGCCGCGTCATCATCCATGGTATGCCACACGGGCGGGAACGGGGTGGGAATGACATGCAAGATGTCGACGCCCCTTCTCATAAAAGGCACGTGGTCGTCCTCCACAAAGCCACGGAACTTCACCCCTTCCTTCTCGCTCTCCGCCAGGAACGACTTCTTCGGTTTCGTCTCGAGCACCCCCAGTTTCCGCAGTCTCCCCTCGATCTTGGCCAAGTTTCGATACGCCCAGTGCGTCCCGGGAAAGTAGGACGGGATGTTGGGCGCCGCCGCGCCCAACAAATCCAACAACACAAACAGGCTGATCGCCTCCAGCGGCGTCGAGAAGCGACTCCCGGCTTCGTACCGCGTCGCCTCCCACTCCTCAGCGAGCGCCCTGCAAGCCCATCATCAGTATCTCCCACGCACAAACACACACAGCAACAGCAAGACTCACCTCGACCCGTACAAACTATCCGCCGCATTCCACTGCACCCACGCCTCCTCGCCATCCAACAACAAAATCTGCACCCCGCTCTCCTCCTCCAACCCGGCCAACCCCTCCTCCACCATGCCCTCCCATCGCCGCGTCAACGCCCCATCCACCCCCCTCGCCACCGCCAACAGCAGCGCGCAGGGCACCGCACTATCCACCGCGCCCACAAACCCCTCCGGCCGGTACAAACTATCATAATGCGCCGCGAGCGTCAGCCGCGCCACCTCCCCCCCATCATCACCCCAACCCCCACCCCCATTCTCACCACCCCCACCCCCATCCCCATCCCCACCCTCACCCCGACCCTCCCCATCCCCATCAGAAGAAGAGCGCACCCAAGGCGGATCGCGCCTCAGCACCAAATTCTGAAACGGCACCAGCCTCTCGCCCGTCGCGGGCGTCGTCGCCGTCGTGTTGTGCCACGCGACCGTCCAGTCCGGGTGCAGGTGGGCGCGCACAAAGGCGAGGAAGTGCTCCTGCACGCGGGCGTGGCCCGGCGTGCCGGGCACGCGGGGCTGCAGGATGGGCGCGAGGAGGGCGCCGTGGTGGGGGTCGAAGTCCGGGTCGAAGTCCGGGTCGAAGTCTTTGGGGGTTTTGGGGTTTGTTGGGTTTGTTGGGTTGGGTTTTTGGTCGGGGTTGGGGTTTAGGGGTGGTGGTGGTGGGTTTGATGATGATGGGGGGAGGAGGTGCAGGAGGGAGGTGTCGGAGAGGGGGGTGTATGCGAGGGCGGGGGGGATGTGGGTGGTTGTTGTGGTGAGGAGGAGGAGGAGGGAGGGAAGGAGGTGGTGGTGTCTCATTGTGGAGGAGGGTGGCTGCGAGATGCAGCTTTTTGTTGTTGGTGTTGGTGTTTGTGAGGGGGGGTCGGAATCATGCTGAGATGGTTGTATCCCATTTGTGTGCGTATACACCAAATCAATTGACGATTTTATCTCATGATGAGGCTGTCCGGTTTCGAAGTGTGGCTTGTGTCAAAAGAGAAATGGCAACGTGGTATAAGCCGGGTGAAGTCGAGTTGGGGAAGCTGCAAGTGTCCCTGAATAGCCCCACAGTGGAGATCTTCTTTTCATCTCTCGTCTCCTAGCCGACAAGAGTAAATTCAACCTTCGGGTAAACAAGATAAAAACGATGCAAAATAATGAAGGTTTGTTGCGCCCCATTTTCTCTCACCGTTGAAGCCAAATATTCATAGTCGATATACTGAGCGCTGGAGGTTCAACCGCCTACTGGGTTTCACTCTCGCTTATCATTCAGCATCAAGATAGGTGTGCGGTGGCTTACGCTTGAATGCACTGCCCACCCACCCTCTTTTCTTTTTCTTCTTTCTTCTTCACAGCGAAGGTTTCGTCCGTGTAGCCATTCACGTCTTCATCGCCCAACCCAACAAACACGAGAGTCACTCTCAGAGACGAACATCAAGCCCAGATTAAATTACCACCCCCGAGAAGTCCCCATGAACCATAAAACGGGTCCCCAAAGAGCTTGTAGGGAGGCAACTAACGTCTAATCCCAGGAGCAGAGGGCCCCCTTCAAGGCCCCCACCGGCCATTGGCCATGGTGTCGAATATGCCGTTACGCAGCCTCAACATCTCGTGGAACTCCTTCGGCGGCCCTAGCGACCCCACAATCACCATTTCAGATCCCGCCGCCAGCTGCGCCCACGCCTGCTCCGTGAACTCGTCCGTCGGCATCCCCATCTTCCGGCCCTTCTCGGGACCCATGTAGTCGTGGATTTCGCCTGCGGGGGGGTGGTTAGTCGAATATGGATTGGGTGAGGGGGGTGTGTGTGTGTCGATGGTGGAGGGGGCTCACTCTGAACGAGGGGCGGCCAGATCTCGATGATCTTGGTGTTGGAGCCCTTGTGCACCTGGCGCAGGCAGCTCACGTAGGCGGTGAGGGCTGCCTTGGAGGTCGCGTATGCCGGCGCCTTGATGACGGGGACGGCGGCCAGCAGCGAGCCGGTGAAGAGTAGGGCGGTGGGGAACGGCTTCGCCAGCAGGTGCGGAAGGAACTTGATGGAGAGGTCCATGGGCCGCGAGAAGTTGGTACTGATCTCCCGGTGGAAGGCATCCAGGTCGACCTCGGCCGGCTTCGAGAGCAGGATCGGGGTCTGGGTCCCTGCGTTGAGGAAGACGCAGTCGAGGTCGGGGTACTTGCTCACGATGCTTTTGGGGGAGGAGGTTAGCCTGCTTCGGGCGTGTGCGTCGCCGTTGGGGGGTTGGAGATGGTGTCACTTGCCCATCGACGAAGGCATCCAAGCCAGCGCTATCCGTGATATCGTAGCGGACACCGCTGGCCTTATCCGGGCCGTGCTTTTGGACAAAGGCATCGAGCCTCTCCTGACGGCGTCCAACGGCGATGACCTTGGCACCCTCGCGGATGAACTTCTCGGCCATGGACGCCCCTATCCCAGAGGTAGCCCCGACGAGGAGGACACGGTTGTACTTGAAGGACATGGCTAAAGTTTCACGTCGTTACAGGTTTGCGTTAAGTGCTGGTTGGTTGGAGTATAATGAGTTGACCGTCCTTGCGAGTCGGGGGGGGCTACATCTTCATGATTTATATCTTCAAGGTCAGGTACCGATATAAATGCTGCCCGAAGAACCCCGCGTCGAGCCCGCGTTCAGCCGGCCTCATTTCGCCCGGCTTGCCTGCGCGCGGTTAGGTCGACTTTGCTTTTTAAATACGCGGGCTATCGCACATCTTCTCCCACGACTTATTTGTTGGGGTTTGGTCCACCCAGTAAGACACGGAGACATTCTCAGCGTCGCACACAGTGTTCCATGGTCGTTTTTGGCTTCCCAACAAGCCACATAAATAGAGCAGCGGCCCGAAAAGGGCTTAGAACGCGAGGGACGGTCGGCAACGACCAATGGTAGTTATTATCACCACGCAGCTGGAGGCGGGCGGGGACAGCGTGTGAGCGGTGTCACAATGTCGAAAGGGTGCAGCGGTGTTACACTGTCGAAAAAGGTGCACGGCGCTCGAGTCGCTGGATGGGCGGTATGCAGGAGGTATGGGATGTCTTCTACGGAGGAGCCAGCTGAGCGCCACATGTCAAATCGTCATCTCGCGTGTCCGCTTCGCGGCCATGGCTCCGGATGTAAAACGGAAACAACAAGAACATGAATAGAACTTGGGGCCCGAGGCGGTTTTTTACCTGTGGAGTATAATACCCAAACGATCAACTGTAACTGAGGTCCCAGAGGTGTATTACCAAAGGTATCAAACCAGTTATGACTGATGGATTAGGCGTTCAGGTACATCCAAAGGGAAGGGCCCGTTTCTGATGAGCGAAGGGCTGCTAGTCAATGTACGTATTGTTGAGTTCTTACGATCGTGAGTTATGAGGTAAAATACGAGATGGGGTGAGCAGGACGACGTGTATTCGTAGTTAAAAGGTTATGAAAAGAGGTGGAGACATCTGTTGGGGCATCCAAGTTTAGGCTTAAATCAAAGGGTCTGATGTATGTAGAAAGCCATCCTGCTATGCGTAGTGAGGTAGTTCGAGCCCGGGACAAGCTTGTCCAACATCCGGCTCCGATATGTCCGAGAACTCGCGGGCAGAGAACCTCGATTGTGCAAAGGTTAACAAGCGGACTGCAGTTCCGCGAGTTTCCGGTGGCGTCGTCGGGTGTATGTACCAAGTACCAAGCCCGAAGCGCTAAAGCCATCGCCGATAAAATTTACTGCTAACGCCGATGAACCCCTGTCGGCTGCTCAGCCCAAGGGCGTACGACTCGACCACCATCGGGGATAGGTTGAAGAACATCGATATCGGGATTCAGTCTTCGGAGTTGAGTTCATCCGCTAAAAACATTCATGACGATGTTTAGGGCGTCGGCAGGTTGTGTGACGGGAGTTCACGGACTTGGACGGTGATGGCGGACTTACCTAGCTTGGTTTACGACGGCGTGGGTGCAGTTGGGTGAACGACGATGGCGACTCAACGATGCGTATAAAAGCCGTGCTCGCCCCAAGGGACAGCCTTAAACAGCATCTCAACACCATCGCAATACCATCACCCTCACTGCCAGAAGCATCTTGACAACCAACCGGTCTTGTATCACATCACAGCCACAACAAACCAACAAATTCGCCATCACCACAAACCAGCACAGACTCACCACCACCACCACCACCACCACCACCACCATGCCAGCCACACCCGTCTTCCTCATCACCGGCGCCTCGTCCGGGTTCGGCGAAGCCATCGCGCAGGAAGCGCTCGCGCGGGGCCACCACGTCATCGCGACGGCGCGCGGCACCTGCAGACTAACGGAGCTCGAGTCGGCCGGGGCGACGGCGCTGGCGCTGGACGTGACGAGCGACGAGGCGACGCTGGCGGCGACCTTCCGCGCGGCACACGCCGTCCACGGGCGCATCACACACGTCGTGAACTGCGCGGGGTATCTGTTGGAGGGGGCGGTTGAGGAGGCGAGGTGGGTTCTTCCTTCTTCTTTCCGGAGGGTAGGAAGTGGGTTGGAGTGGAGTGGGGCGGGGCTAATGGTTGTGGTCATGGGACAGCGGGAAAGAGGTGTTTGATATCTTCAACACCAACGTGCTCGGCACCTTCAACGTCGCTCGGGCTGCGGCGCCCTACCTGCGCGAGGCGGCCAAGGAGCCCGGGCAGATGGCGGCGCTGGCGACGTTTGGGAGCTTGGGGAGTTGGTTGTCGGGTGCCGCGGCTGCTCATTGTGAGGCCTCTCTCGTCTCCTTTTCTGAGGGTCTGGTTCGCTAATTACAAGTCCTGCCTGCCACAGACTGCAGCACCAAGTTCGCCGTGAGCGGGCTGACCGAGGGCTTGGCCGAAGAGTTCCGGCCTTTCGGGGTCGACGTCTGCTGCGTGGAACCGGGATACACGCGCACGCCGATCCTGGCGAACGGGGCTGACGGGGTGAATCATCGGGTGAAGACGGCGCGGCAGCTGGACGTCTACATGCACCAAGAGACCGACGCGGCCAAGATGCGCGCAGCCCTCGATGCTTTCAGCGGCAACCAACCAGGCGACGTCGTCAAGTGCGCCAAGGTCATTGTTGACGTGTTGACCAAGGAGGGTGTCGCCAAGGGGAGGGCGGTGCCGGTGCGGTTGGTGCTGGGGTCGGATTGTCTCGACGTTGTGCGCGCAAAGTGTGAGAGCACGCTGAAGCTGGTCAAGGAGTGGGAGGCAGTTTCTATGTCGACAATGAGGGACTCGGAGGCGCCGAGAGAGGAAATTTAGGCCTGGGTCCGGCCCTGTTCTCAGCCCTGTTCCGGGCCAAGCTTTCCACTAACAAGCGGCTGCCGGGGCTTGGCAATATCCGCCCAGACTTGCAAGGATTCAAGCTGTTCTCACCTCAAAGACTGGTGTTGAGTTTTGGTTTTTTAGGCTTTTTTTTTAACCTGTCCGTTTGTATACATGTATCAATAATCAGTATTTGCAAACATTTCTCTTCTAGATTTGTCCTATTACTATTTGAAATCCCGGCTCCTCCTACACAGTAAATCTGTAGCTGGAATCGCGGCTCGGTCAAAGTCCGTTGGCGCCGAGACTTGGCACCCACATGTCACCCTCAGATCATCGGCTTGCCCCACGCTCGTAGCATCTGCACGCGCAAGCAGCGGGCGGTGCACGACTCTCATCAGTGCCGCCCAGCCGAGTTCTCGAGAACACCGGCATATACAAAGTGTATTGTTAGCAGCTTTAATGACCTGAGTTCCCTAACCCGATGTGAAGACACCTCAAACAGAGAACCGCGATTGTTAATCGACCAATCATGAACACCACTAATTCCCATTCCGAGACTCGGTCGATGCATGAACTTGTGGAAGACCCGGTGGCCCCGCTATCGTCAGTGACCCCTCCAGATAGTCCAGACAAAAGACCAAAAGGAAAGCGCCCACTGTCGCAAGGCTCAGCCGATTCGGCACACTCGACGCGAAGCCGTCAGGAGTATCTAGACTCGCTGGTATCGCCAACAAAAGAGCAATTCGCCCACATTGCAGAAAAACAAGCAGAGAGGGAGGCCGAACAGAAACGCGCCCATCGCCATAAACAGCCTCAGAGTCTCGACGCCGTACTGGGCCCATTATCTCCTTCGAGACCGCAACCTCAACAACCGCACCATATACCCCTCGCCAGCCGGCTTGGCTTCGGGTTCAGTCACCGTACCGGCAGCAGCGACGATGGGCTCCGCAACCGGGCTGCCACCGTTATCCAGCGCACATACCGCGGGTACCGCGCCCGTCGAGAGATTCAGGGGCTAGGTATTGATGCTTCTACCCGTTGGATATATGCCGTACGGGAGGCACAATGGAGAGACATGACCACGCCCCGCGCCAGGGCCGCTTCCGTCACCAACGGGATGTCCTCTCCTGAACGGCCAGGAACTGCGGCCGACCGGCCGTCGACAGCACGCCAGAACTGGAAGAAGGTTTCCGCCATTGCCCGGCACGCCGGGAATGACCTAGACGCCGATACTAGCTCCTCCTCTGACTCCGACTCCGATTCGGGCGACCACCGGAATTCCAGAGAGCAAAAGAAGGCGGAGCGGAGGCGGAGGGAAGAAGCCAAGGCGCGCCGCAAACAAACCGCCAAAATGATGGGCCTGCAGTACTTCCTCGAGATGATCGACCTCAAGCACCGCTACGGCGCCAACCTGCGGGTGTACCATGAAGAGTGGAAGCGCGCCGAGACTAACGAGAACTTCTTCTACTGGCTCGACTACGGCGAGGGCAAGAACCTCGACATCGAAGCCTGCCCGCGCGAGCGCCTCGACCGCGAGCAGGTGCGCTACCTCTCCCGAGAAGAACGCCAGTACTACCTCGTGAACGTCGACTCCGAGGGCCGCCTCTGCTGGGCCAAGAACGGCGCGCGCATCGACACCACCGAGAAATGGAAGGACTCCATCCACGGTATCGTCCCCAGCGACGACCCAACCCCCGCCTACAGCCCGCTAGGCGAGAACCAAACCACCCTCCTCGGCGACACCAGCACCGACTCATCCCCGTCCTCCTCCTCCTCCCGCCCCACCACCACCTCCACATCCACCTCCTCCTCATCCACAGACTCCGCCAACGCAGCCCGCTACGCCTCCTCCCTCACCCCCAACACGCGCACCAAACAAAAAATCACCCACCACCTCTCGGGCGCCACCATCCTCAACAAGCTCCTCCGCAAAACCGTCCGCAAAAACACCTGGATCTTCGTCGCCGACACCTCCTTCCGCCTGTACGTGGGCATCAAGAACAGCGGCGCCTTCCAGCACTCCTCCTTCCTGCAGGGCAGCCGCATCTCGGCCGCGGGGCTCGTGCGCGTGCGCGACGGCCGCCTGACCTCGCTCTCCCCGCTCAGCGGCCACTACCGCCCGCCCGCGAGCAACTTCCGCGCCTTTGTGCGCTCGCTGCGGGATGCGGGCGCCGATATGCGCCGCGTGTCGGTCAGCAAGAGTTATGCGGTGCTGGTTGGGTTGGAGGCGTACGCGAAGGTAAGGGGGAAGGCGGGGGAGGTGCTGGGGAGGGTGAGGGGAAGGGGTCGTGGGGGGAGGGGGAAGGGGGAGGAAAAGGGGGTGTTGGTTGTGCCTGAGGTGCTGCCGCGGTGGGAGCGTGGGGATGGGGAGGGCGGGCCGACGAGTGGTGAGGATGGGTCACGTCGTTCCCCAGTAGAGCGCGGAAAGGGTGCCGAGCCGCCGCCAGACAGGGCAGGAGCTTCGTCGTTTACGAGGGAGGCAGACGACGAGGCGCAACGGCAACAACAAAAACAACAACAGCAGCAGCAGCAGCAGCAGCAGCAGCAGCAAAAACATGAGGAAGAAGACAAGATGCGCTCGGAAAACGAGCTCGCCGTCGATGTCCTGCAGAAAATGAACCTCGGCGCCGAGCCGATCGAGCCCAAAGGGCAAAAGGGGGGTGATGATGGCCGTTAGGGGCGTTAACCGCTACCTACGGCGTCCGCTCTCTCACTGCGCAGTCTTAACATAACCCCCCTGACTGACGAGTAACCCATCGATCGGACACCTACCTAACTATCGTAATATCGGAGAGAAAAGGGGCTGGAAATGGATATTGGCACGACTGACGAACGACACGACATGACACGACGTCGAATTTCCTGTGTTATTTACGACCTGAATGAGTTAAAGTAGAGTTATTAGGATCTAGTTCCTGCTAGTTAGTTTTAATACTTAAATAGAGGCCAGATGGCAGTTGGCATATCGATAGTAGTGTTCCTAGCCTCCTCTTGTTCATAATAGTGAACGAAGCCTCCTAAGAAACCCCGTACGCCAGACAGACAACTCCAGGATTGCACTTGCGAGAATACCAGCAGAGCAATGTTGGCGAATAATCAGGAACCCATCGGCCACACCCATCGGCCACACCCATCGGCCACTCAGGAGAATAACATGATGGCTTCTCGTTCAGAAATAGCAATCAGGCATCACAATCCTGACTAGAACCAGAGTATTTTGCCCGCCAACACGACTCCAAACAAGGACAATCTTTTCCCGCCCAACCCAGCCCATTCTAATCTATTTTCCAGTCCGTTTTTCATCTTGACCAGGCCCTATCTAACATACCCTCCAACCCTCTATCATGACTGACTTGAACCTAACGTTAACAGACAGGCAACCTGATAAAACCCCACTCCAACCCCCCTCCGTAGGTATTCATGAACACAACATAAAGGTATCATAAGACATACTCCCACCGAGAAATGCAACACAACAACAACAAGGCAGAAAAGACTTGACATGGCTATCCCGCCTCATAACCCCCATCGACCCCTCCACCAAACCAGGCGAAGCAGAGTACCTATCCATCCCACTCAAGCAAGCTCCGAACCCATTTCCGTCGTTCCGGTCACCGGCTCACTCTTTGACTGTACCCTCCTCGAGTATCGCGGGTACCTCGGCCCTCCCCCGTCGTCCGCACGCGAGCTAGAAGAAGTAGAAACGGAATCCGCCCGCGTTGGCTCCTTAACCCGGATTCGCCTCTCTCTTGACGGCTCTGAGGCGTCATCTTCCTCGCCAACGCTGGACTCGACTGTTTCAAATCGCCTCCTCACCATCCCCGTGATCGGTGGCGGCAAGACAGGCTGGGAAAGCACTCCCGGATGCGCTTGAAACATGGGGGCATACGAGGCCGACATCGGCACCATCAGCATCGGCGCGGCGGCGAAGTAGTGGACTTGGTGTTGCGTGGGCGGCGGGGCAGCAGGGACGGGCTCTGGGCTCACGGGTGGGTTGTTGAAGAAGCCGTCCAGGGAGCGATGGGGTTGCCGGGTTGGGCTCGGAGCAACCGCCGATCGGGGCGTAAAGGTTGCCGCGCCCGGGTTCAGCTGAGAGGTCTGTGGGGGTTAGAAGAGGCGGCAGCGCGGGGAGAAACGGTCAAAGTATGTATGTATGTATGTTATGGCGGTAATGATACATGCATGCTTCGACTGGTTTCTCTCGCTCATACCTCTTTCTCGTGCCCGGGAGTCGTTTGGTTGTTCGTCTCTGTGGTGCTGTCGGAACTCTCGGCCTGGCCATTTGTCGTCGGGGTCGATTTGACCTTACGAAGTTCCGAACAGGTAGCCTCGGCGGTCAAGTCGTTGACAATATTTGGGCCTTTGCGCCCCTTGGTGGCAGGCTTGTCCTCGCGCGGCCCCTTGTCCTTGGGCTTGACGAAAATCTGTTTCGACCATAGCTCTGCGTACTTTCCGTCTGCCCGGATCAGCTCTTCGTGGCTACCCTGCTCAACAATTTCTCCCCCGGTAACGACGATGATGCGGTCGGCGTTCATAATGGTGGATAAGCGATGCCTAAGCCCGTTAGTCTGGATTCCTCAAGTTCCATCAGAACGCAACTCACGCTACAATGAAAGTCGTGCGGCCTTCGCAGAGAGTGCGTAGAGCGTCCTGGATCTTCTGCTCGGTCTCTGTGTCGACTGCGCTCGTTGCCTCGTCAAGGAGAACCATTGAAGGCCTCTTCAGAATAGCCCGGGCAATGGCCACTCGCTGCAGCTCGCCACCAGAGAGCTTGACGCCTCGCTCTCCGACCTTGGTTTGGTAGCCTGTCTCGGTCAGCTTGGTTCCGCCGTTCTACCTGCGGGGTCAAGGGGCACCTACCATCAGTAAATGTCAAGATCTGGTCGTGAATGCTGGCAGCCTTGCACGCTTCGTAGACCTCTTCGTCAGTCGCCGTGAGCTTGGCATACCGCACGTTGTTCATGATGGTGTCGTCGAATAGGATAGGAGCCTGGGGCACGACTCCGATCTGGGCTCGGAGACTGAGAGGTCTTAGCGCAACGTGATACACCATCCACAGAGGACCACAACCCACCTGTATAGATCAACGTTTCGGATATCCTGTCCATCGATTGCAATCGACCCCTTCGTAACGTCGTAAAACCGGTCGAGAAGTTTCAAGATGGTAGATTTGCCAGCCCCCGTCGCACCGACAAAAGCCACCGTCATGCCTGGTGTTGCGGTGAAGTTGATGTCCTTCAAAATCTCCTTCTTATTGTCGTACGAGAAGCAGACACCGCCAAAGCGGACTTCTCCGTTTTTGAAATGCAGAGGCGGTGCTCCCTCCTTGCTGAGCACGCTTGGCTTGGTCTGCATGATCTCCAGAAGCTGCTCTGCATGGAGGAGGTCCCTCGAGATGCTTTTCCCGAGGCCAGCAAAAAAGGTGAGAGGGGAGACCAGTTGGGCCCAGTATGTCAGCAGCATGATGAAGTCACCTGGGGTGGCCTGGCCGTGGGTAACCTGGTACACTGCCAGGAATGCTCCAGCGAGAAGCCCTGAGAGGAGAACCAAGAACTGGAACGCATAAGCAAGGACGTAGCCGAAGTACACCTTTTGGGTCTTGGCCACACGGTCCTCGACGGCGTCCGAGTAGCGGTTTTCCTCGTGCCGGATTTGGTTGAAGCTGGCGACCGTCGACCACCCCTGAATTCCGGCTTGCCGGACATAGTGCTCCTTATACCAAGCCCCTACCTCATTCCTACGTGCGCCCTTGAGTGCGGCGATCATGCGAGTAGCGATATAGATGAAAATGGCGGCGGTCGCGATGGTGATGAAGCCCTCGTACGGACCAAAGGTTGCCGAGAGATATACAAAGGCGACCGTCATATCGATGAGCATCGGCACCGCCCGGAAACAGATCGACTCGAGAATGTTGGAGATGCTTTGGCCGGACTGTATGGCCATCATGATGTCGGAGGAGCTCTTGGAATCGTGAAAGTCGGAAGACAGGTTGAGAACGTGAGAATACGCGGCGGTGCTAATAGCGCCAAACGAGTAATACTCAACAGGGATCCAGAGCCACTGGCGTAACAGTGAGAGACCGGCTTCGGAAGCCACGAGCTTGAGGCCGGCAAAGAAGAGAACCTCGCTCCAGGGGTTCTTGCCGTTTGAACCGGAAAGACTGTCCATGATGATACCCAGCTGGCGCGGGATCAAGACGTTGATGAAGTTCATGGCAAGCAGGCATATACCGACAAGCACTACGCGGATCTGGAGCGAACGGTGCTTCACGGGCCAGATGTACGGGAAGAAGACCTAAACAAGCGCTTGTCAGTGACGGGATCAGACAGGGTCGGGGGACGACGAACCCGAAAACTCTTGGCATATGTGACCCAGTTCCCCTTTTCCTTGAGCCTTTTTTCCATCTGCTCGCTCGCTTGCCGCTGGCGTCTTTCGTAAGGGTTTTCGTCGTCGTCGGTGTCGGAGGGCTGGTTGCTATCGCTCGAGGAGGACTGGTTGCTATCGCTCGAGCCATCTGACGTCGACCCGTACCCGTTCTGCTGAGTTCTGTTCCCCTGATCATCCGAGTCGGAATCGTGGCTGGCATGGCCGTTCGCCTTGAGCAAGCTTTGGCGTTCCGAGTCGGTGCCCTTCTCCTTCCGGGTGTAGTGGTTCCCTTCCAAATAGAAGACCACGGCTAGGACGACTGCAAGGTACCTGACGGCGAGGGCCGAGATGTCGAACAACTCGATGAACTTGAGAGGTCCCGTGGACCGAGCCATCAGAGACACGGCCCCCACGACTGGTTCGAGAATGAGTGCTATCGCGAAGGATCCAATGTACGGATACCAGACCGGATTGGCCGCCTCCGAGAGACCCGCAAAGACAACTCCGAATGCTAGGGCGCATGACATAAGACCGATGATGGTATCCTGCTCGGCGAATGGGAACACATGCTGGACGGCGCCCTGAATACTCAAAGCGAGCAGCTGGGCAAAGTAGGTGAGGATAACGAGCACGAGCAACCACGTGATCGGACGGCGGCGCGGGTGAGCGTCTTCCGAAGACCTAGTTTGCAGAGTGCATATGGCCACGGTGGAGGTGACCATGTAGTAGATGAAGACGGTGGTTGGGTAGGCGTAATGAAGACTTGCTAGGACTTGGCGCATCGGCAGCCCAGCGGGCTCGTCGGCCGCATCGATGCCATATGGATCCGCCATGATGGAGGGAGAGACCGGTGCAATGTCGATGAAGGGGGGAGAGGAATCCCACGATCAATCCTAGAGGTTGCCGAGATGGCTGATGTGCCAGGCTAGACTAGGTAGGTCTGCTCAAAATCGCCCGAAAACTGATAGCTCGTTTTGCAGCGGGACGATGTACTCTTTTGTCGCTTCCCAGGATCCTTAGGCGTGCCACACACGCGGATCAGACAATCCGACGAGAACTTGCTTCGCCGGTTTCGTACGCCAGGAAGGTAACCCAACGCTCCCAGTGTTTGGAACGGTTGAGCCTTCCGAAGTAAGACAAAGCACCAGTTTTTTTTCCACGTGAACCGCCTTCAACGGTGCCAGGTGGCCAAGTTGCCAGCAGCTTCTCGTTCCTTCCTCAATGGTTGCGATGAGCGAGATCGGAGTCAACACTAGCCCTGGAGGGAAGGACCAGTGCACCTATCTGATCTGAGGATTGGTGGCAGCACTGCAATCTCTGCGACAGGCAGCGGCAAACTTTTGCAAACTTGGTTTCCGCCACCGTTTCCCCGGGCAGCCCGGTTTCTGCAGGAACAGAAACAGAAACAACTAGGTCGAGTCGATTTCCACGCAGAGCGCTGGAGCTGATACTAGGTAGGCAGCTGCGTATTTATGAGGCAAGGCCCCTTTTCCCGCCTTGAAGAGCCCCCAGCCTCGCGACCTGGTCACCCCGAACAGCGAATGTAAGGTGGCAACAAGTCGGATATTGGTCTGAAGTTTGACTGTTCAACAGCAGCCGGCGCGTTTGTCCTACGAAACGTCTGCCTGTCGTGGAGGATCTGGGCTCTTACAAACTACGAGCTTGTGAACCCTCTTACGCAGCCAACGAACCGGCGCTTGCTACCTATGCGAACGGTCAGCAGGCACAACGTCGGAGAGAGTGGTCGCGATTACCTTGTTGTGGTGTTCTGATCCGAAGCCAAAGACCAGAGACAACGTATGAGCGCAAGAGTGGGCACAGGTTACTGTTGGATGAGCCCTTGGCGAGAGTAACGGATGGATTTGGCGCCCCACGGAGAGGTCGGAAGGGGAAAGTATAAAGCTGACGAAACCCTTGGTAAGTTGTTGGTTCGTCTCCCGTTCTCGGATGCCTGGAATGATGACGGCAAGAAAGAGGCGCAAGAGACCAATTGTCTGCCTGACTAGGTACGTTCAGCGGCACAGACTTCACTGCCACCGCGCGGTTGGGAGTTCCAGACACCCGGGTCCGTGAATGTGGCCCAGCGCGTTTAACTAACGTCGGACGACAGTTATGTTTATGGTGGCGTGAAAATGATGCCCTCAATTACAGCACGATTACAACATAAAAACACACCCTTCGACATGGAATGGTGGCGGGAAGAATCTGCCACCCTCGTGATCGATCCAATGCGCGGGAACAGACGGTGTAGGACTCACGGTCGGTAACAATCCTGACGACAACGCGCTAGATGCCGAAAGGCGTTAGTGGAACGATGGAATTGGCGGCGAGGGACCGTCCCTCGCCGCTGGCATTGCCAAGAAAGAGCAGACACAGCAGAGCAAACTCTGGATCGTAAGCCCCTGCTCTCCATGTGCGCTGAATCTCACACAGGTATATCGCAACCAAAAGGGGAAAGTATTCGACCAGCGGTGAAGGTAACCCATGTTCCGAGTGGGTTGTTCTCTCCGGACTCCGAGCGGCAAGGGACCGGATGAGACTTTGGTAGGAATGGCCTCCTCGGGGCGTCAACTAGAGTGGATGATTCCACGGCGGCGGGCATGTGCCTTGCTTCATTGGAAGCGTGCACCGAATAAATCGCCCCAATATATCGCTGGCATCACGGTATTGGACCGTCGTGGAACGTGGCGTGACGTCGGAGCTAAGATGCGAGGTGCAAAGTGAAGTCCGGAGCCTTTGGTGTTTCTTCTCTGACAGCGGCCACGGAGACCGACTACCAGCGATGTGTGTCTTGAAGTGTGGACTGGTTGACACGAAGGTGATGATGCTAGGAAGGGACAAACTCCGAGCCCAAGTCGCAGGGCAGCTATTTCAAGGTTGCCGGATACCGCTCTTGGCAGCCAACCTGATGGCAAGACGTGCAGGACGAAACCAGCACCACGGCGGCAATTTTCCTGCAGCCGATACATGCGGTGATCCTGGCTGCGTCTGCATGGGCGAATATCCTTGGTTGCTTGCATGGCAGCTTGCATCTCTACCCGCATCCCTACCTTCCGACAACGGCCCTCCTGTCGTGGTTCCCCTTGTCGAATTTGGCGTCCCCGACTCGGCTGCCACGCAGGTCGGGCCCGGTGCTCCGGAGTTCGGGGCCGGCTCGCTCTTCATTGGGACGCTTACGGGGAGCAGCCAGGATGGCCTCATCGTCGACATACTGTGCGGTTCTTATCTACTATGTGCATACATACACGGGACATGATACACAGGAGAGGATATCAGAAGTGATGGTAAGGCTGGGGGCCTCTTGGGCGCTTCTTTGCGCCAATAGCGATCCGACAGTGCCTGCAGCCATATGCCGGTCATTTCAAGGGAGGCCAGGCGCTCCACCGCTCGGCCGGTTCACGCATACGTCGGAGGTCAGGCTGATAAGGTTGCGTTGAGTGAGGGCCGGTCTCTCTTGAGACCAGAGATCCAGATCTCGTCGATTGGTTTCAAGCTCTACAGATATAGTCGAGATATTGCTAGTCCTATATTTTATAGTGATACAACCTGGCGGGCACGGAAGGGTGATGAAGGTTTCCTGAATCCCACCCCCACCCAATTGAAGATTCACTTGCACCGGTGCTAATAGAGGGTTAGGGTCACAGTATCGCTGCCTGCCCTCCCATCGCCGTCTTCCATTGCCGTTCAAGTTTCTCGCTGTGCATTTTTCCTCCAGTCCTGACATGTTCAGTTTGTGAAGTTCACTGAATTAAATAATCTCGGGTCATGATTTCCCCGGACTGAGTCACCGGTAACAAAATTGACGCTAAGGCACAGCCTCAAGAACAAAGCACCTGAATAATCCTTGGTTGTTCTTACATGGATGGGAGTACTCTGAACCTGCATTTATTTACAACAATCAAGGAGAGATTCTATGCAAAATAGCTGTTTCCGTTTCCATTCCCCTTCCCATTTTCCCAAGCTCAACTCCCCAACTCTATCGCCATGCCGTCCAGACGATCCAAGCCCGCTCACCGTGTAACCAAGCGGCCCAGAGCCACGGCAGCCACGGCGGCCACGGTCCCATCCACCGAGCCTCAAACCGCGACCTCAAGCGGCACATCCCCAGTCTACTTCTGGCGCGAAACCGACCCATTGGTCGGCTACCTCTCCCAATGGTACGCCTGCGCCTTCACCGACGACACCGACCCCTCCATCACCTACCCAACCGCCGAGCAGTAAGTAACCCCCCCCCCAACCAAACCAAACCAAACCAAACCAACCCTCCAAACCCCCCACTAACCCTCCCCTCACAGCTACATGATGTACCAAAAAGCCATCCTCTTCAACGACCCCGCCATGGCGACCCAAATCCTCGCCGCCCCCCACCCCCGGCAAGTCAAATCCCTAGGCCGCAAAGTCTCCGGTTTCTCCGACAGCGTCTGGCACGCCCACCGCGAGGCCATCGTGCGGCGCGGCAACCGTCTCAAGTTCACGCGGCCGGCTAACCCGGATGACGGGATGTGGCGGGTCGCGGTGCCGGTGCCGGTGCCGGGGCGGGAGGAGGGGGCCGGGGAGGGGGGGCTCGTCAGTCTGAAGGAGCTGTTGCTGCGGACGGGGGAGAGGGAGATTGTGGAGGCGAGCCCGATGGATCGGGTGTGGGGGATTGGGTTTGGCGCGGCGAAGGCTGGGAGTGTGAGGGCGAGGTGGGGGCTGAATTTGTTGGGGAAGGCGTTGGTGGCTGTGAGGGATGAGTTGAGGGGGGAGGAGGGTGGGGAGGAGGTGGTTGATGGGAAGGGCGTTGAGAAGGGTAAGGAGGGCGGTGGTGAGAAGGGCGATGAGAAGGGCGACGAGAAGGGCGATGAGAAGGGCGATGAAAAGGGTGAGGATGAAGAAGAGGGCGGACAGAAGGGGAAGAGAAGAAAGATGGAGTAGCGGGTTAGAGAAAGGCCGATATGAACTGTCTTGAGAAGGGTTGCAGTTAGTCATGATATCAGATTGCGTACCCATATTTTAGGTATTATTATGTATTGTCTCGGATGCATCGTTTGGTCGTCGAGGACGCGCCCCTCCCGTCGCATCCACGTCTCCTTCAATATTGTACAGTATACTTTTCATGTCATGGCCGTCTCCAATCGGCCCTCGCGGAGTGGTGTGATCGTAGAAATGCATCAAGACGCCTTCCGCCTGCTCCTCCTGCTCTATACCACAATAAGCCCCAAAACTCCCCGCAATCTCAGGCGACAGGATCCCAGATGCCGTATGATACAGTTTTTGTGACAATAGAACACAATGAATGAGAAGTAACCAGCACCTTGGGCAAGGTGCTTGGGCGTTTGCCCCCCTCCTGGGGAGTCACACACGCGTCGAGTTCGTAAATGCAGGCCGATTAAATGTAGTCGCGGCCGCTCTTCTGCATCTCGATCAGACGCCATCCCCTCGTCTCCGGGTTGTTGACGTCCTCGGCAATGCGTGTGACGCCGATGGCGTAAGTAACCAGCTGGACCTTGTCCTCCATACCCGCCGCGAGCTCGCCTGACTTGGCGTTGCGGTAGACATGGACCTCCTGTGTCCGGCAGGTGACGATGAATACCGGGATCTCACCAGGGTCGAGCATCCGTGCGCGGAGGATGTCCACTCCTCGGATGTCGAGGATTTTGCCGTCCGACTTGAGGCCAGCCTGCAGATACTGCTTGGTCAGGGCCTCGTAGACGGAATACTGAGCCTCCGACAACCACAGCTTCAGTGTCTCCACGTCGCCCTTGACGTAGGCGTCCAAGACCTCGGGGAGAATGTACTCGCGGAGTTCTTGTATGAACGGCTCCAGCTTGAACGACGGGTCCATGGACCGTAGCTTCTTGATCACCATGGCCGTCTCGTTCTCGGCAAAGAAGCCGGCAACCCTGTCGGTAATGCTTCGGGCCGTCGAGATCAGGGGATTTTCCGACTCTTGGTACACTGACTTCATGCCGAATACGCCCTGGACGAATTTGTTTTGATCTCTGAAGTCCCTCCATGCCTCCTTCCACGCGGCGTCCTTGTGAAGCGTGACGTTGGTTCCGGCACTACCAAGATTAGCAGATGAATTGCGGGACGTGTTCGGCAAGGAGTCTTACTTGGGATCCTCATCGTGGATCGTATTGTCCACCCCATTCTTCTTGTCCATTTGCTCCCGCAGCTCCCTCCGACGCTTGCGCTCCTCCTTGTCGACCCACCCGCCGTACCTGGAGCTGCTCCCGTCGTCGATGACATCCTTGACGTTCCTGTACGCTTCGGTGTCCCGGATCGGCTTGGTCGCCTTGTCGAGCGCCTCGCCCGTTTTATTTGCGCCTTTGCGCACGCCTTTCATAACAGGAGTGTCCCACGTCCACGTGGCACCCTTCCCGATGGCGCCGGCTGTCGACTTGACCGCTTTCGCAGCCGTGGACGAGACGGCGCCCGAGGTGGCCTCGTAGGCTTGTCGTGCTTTCCGAACGCGCTCACTCTCGACAAACTCGTTCGCGGAGGAGGCGAGGGCCTTGGTTGACTCGTTCCACTCCTTGGACTGCTTGAGCTCGGTATCCATGGTCTCTAGGAACACCTGCCATGGGGTCTTGTCGCCATGAGGCGGTGGTGGAGGGAGATCCTCTTTTTTCTCCTTCTCCTTGCCCTCGGCCTTCTCTTCACCCTCCTTCTCCTCGCCCTCCTTCTCCTCGCCCTCCTTCTCTTCTTTTGCCTTCTCCCTAGACTCCTCTTTAGGCTCTGAAGATTTCTCTTCCTCGCCTTCCTTTGTTTCTGGTGGTGTCTTGGCCTCCTTCTCTGCGGCGTCCTTTTGCTGTATGCGGCCCGAGACGTGGAACAAGCGTGCGTGGCTCCGTGATATGCTGTCTAACCTGAGGGCATTGACAGGGAGCGTCGAGCGCAAGAGCGGCTGTCGCTGGAGAAGCACGGATGTAGAGCATGTCGCACTCTCAGAAACACCGGGTTGTGTTACCCGAGACGAGAGAGAACGGTACTGTGAGGGCGGCGTGCAACGGGAGCTCCGCAAGCCTGATGGCCTCAATGGGGCACCGGGCACAAGCCTGGGGATTTGCCGTGCTGAATTCATAACTCTGAACAAGCCGAATCGCCCTCAATAGAAGTGATAGGCGTGGCAGAAGATGGAGAAATGGATGATGGGAGGGGCGGCGCGCAACCTCGCTTTGGTTGATAGGGATTTTGCTCACGATGGCAAACTTCAAAGGCGACTTTCTGGAATTCTTTTGCCCAGAATCATTGCCAAGAGTCGGCAAATTCCCGGAGTGGTGGGACCCTTCCAGGTTCTTCCCTCCCACCCCCCACCCTCCGCAGCGGCGGAAAGTTCCGACCCCAAAATTTCCAGTGTGCTCCATTCACCAACCACGAAGCGGCGGCTCAATCTCGACTTTCGCGTGTTCGCAGTTCCTCTGGTCCAAATCTCGAACACCATCCCCCGCTCCCGCCCAGGCACTGAGGTCATCCGGATGACCATTGCCCGGTGGCGATGAACCGACTTACAATAAACCGCCTTTTGGCGCCAGGGCTGACCCGACCGCTCTCCCAAACCGTCTGCCCGACAACGACAGTCCCGCAATGGACCCGACTCTTCTCCCAGTCAAACGTCGCCAGCAACATCTTCTCGCAAAATCCCCAGAAGCCGCCATTGCAGCCAACTCAAGGGCTGGGGAGCGGTTCAATGAACCGCATCCTTCAGCATATGAAGCGTGGTAGTGGGGGCCAGGAAGACACCGACTCCCTCTCTGAGGATCTGGCCGCACCGGAAGACGAGAGCACAGAACCCTACCATTTCCACATCTACAGCCACAAGCACAACACGCACATCACCCTTACCAAGCCGAACCGGGACGCCCTGCTCTCCCTATCATGCGGAAACCTGGGGTTCAAGAAGTCTGGGCGCAAGCACTACGATTCGGCATACCAGCTCGGTGCCTATGTGATCGACAAGATGCACCAGAAGGGCTTTGCGAGCAAGATCAACAAGATGGAGGTAGTCTTGCGGGGGTTCGGGCCTGGCAGAGAAGCGGTTGTCAAGGTGCTGATGGGGAACGAGGGTAAATTGCTGCGGCCCAAGATCACGCGGGTGTCAGATTCGACGAGACTCAAGTTTGGTGGTACTCGGAGCAAGAAGAAGAGAAGACTGGGTTAAGAGGGTTTGGTTGGTGTTGGATGGTGTTTGGGGGTTTGGGAATAGAGCAAACCGTGGTCTCGAGTGCTCCGGGTCCGGGTCCGGGCCCGTCCATATCCGGGACAGGTCCGGTCCTTATGTATATGTGTATACTACAAACAACCCTTTTTGGTCAATCTCTGGTTGTACCATCATTGACCGTGCCCACGTGAGTAGCAACTCCGGCCTGTGCTGGAAGTGGTCACCCTTTGCGACCCTCCGCCTCCCGCCGTGGCGTTCTTCAGATGCTCGCATGTCGGTGTTTCGTTGCCCGAATTCCCGTCCCGAGACCCACTAAAATTTCAGGTCTTCGGCGGCGATCAATTGATTGCCATGTTCGGAAGAGAGCTCCCCACCATCCATCCGCCATCCAACATCAACGGCGGGAACCCACAACTTCCACACGGAACGTCGCTACGTCATGTAGCGACCAGAAACAACAACTTACAATGTCACCAACAACACCAACAACCCCAACCGCAGTCTCCCAGCCACTCCACCCATTACTCACGATACCAGCACCGACGACGACGCCCACAGCTACGCCCGCCACCCCACCACCGCCGTCTCCCTCGCCCTCAGCGCCGTCATTCCTCGGCCTCGATGCCCTCTTCACCAACCCCGTCTTTGCCGGCGGCATCGGGCTAGCCGGCCTCGGCGCAGCCGCCGCCTTCGGCCGCCGCGCCCTCATCTCCGGCGCCGGCCTCCTCCGCCGCCAGCTGCTCGTCAACATCGAGATCAGCAAGCGCGACCCGTCCTACAGCTGGGTGCTGGCCTGGCTGGCCCAGCCGCGCGACAACCGCGGCTTCCTCGCCCAGCGCCTGACCCGCCTGCGCAACCTCTCCGTCACCACCAGCACCAAGTCGCTGAGCCCGCGCGGGATGGCGGAGGATGGCGGCGGTGGCGGCGGCGGCGCGGCGGGGGGCCGGATCCACGCCGACTTCCGCGTGCAGCCCGGGTTCGGGCGGCACATGGTGCGGCACGCGCCGGGGGTGTACATCGCGGTGAACCGCGAGAAGGCCGGCACGGCGACGACGGCGACGGGCGAGCCGCACGAGACCCTGACCCTGACCCTGCTGTGGGTGCACCGCCACGTGCTGGCCGACGTGTTCACGCAGGCCCACGCCCTCGCCCAGAGCTTCCAGCAGGGCAAGACGGTCGTCTACACCGCCCGCAAGATGGAGTGGGCCGTGCTGGGCAAGCCCCGCCTCAAGCGCCCCCTGGGCAGCGTGGTGCTGGATGAGGGGGTGAAGGAGGGCTTGGTGGATGACGTGAAGGAATTTTTGAAGGCCCAGCAGTGGTATACCGATCGTGGCGTGCCGTACCGCAGGGGGTATCTGCTGTATGGCCCGCCGGGGACGGGCAAGACGTCGTTCATCCAGGCGCTGGCGGGCGAGTTGGACTACAGCGTGGCCATGATCAACCTGAGCGAGATGGGCATGACGGACGACCTGCTGGCGCAGCTGCTGACACAGCTGCCCGAGAAGAGCATCCTGCTGCTCGAGGACGTGGACGCGGCGCTGGCGAACCGCCGGGAGCGGGACCCGGACGGGTACAGCGGCCGCACGGTGACGGCGTCGGGCCTGCTCAACGCGCTCGACGGCCTGGCCGCGGGCGAGGACCGCATCGCGTTCCTCACGACCAATCACATCGACAGGCTGGACCCGGCGCTGATTCGGCCGGGCCGCGTCGACATGATGGTGCGCATCGGCGAGGCCACGCGGTACCAGGCGGCTCAGATGTGGGACCGCTACTACGGTGATATCGACACCGACCACGCAGGGCGGGAGCGGTTTTTGAATCGGTTGGACGAGCTGGGCTTGTTCGGCGGCGACAGCCAGAACCCGGACGTGCCCAAGAGACACACCTCTACCGCTGCTATCCAGGGTCTCTTCCAGTTCAATAAGGGGGATATGGAGGGTGCGATTAAAATGGCCGAGGGCCTGATCCCCCGGACGTTCGAGCCCGAACAGCCGTCCGCGGACGGGACAATCAAGTCCCCGGCGTGAAACCAGGGGCTGCTTGTGTAATATGTAGGACTACGATGTACTATCTGATATAGATCGGTGATACCCCACCCCGGCACAACTGCCAAGTGATGTCTCGGGTGCTCGGTTCGTGGCGTTCTCTAGCTGTGACGTTCGGCTATCGGAGCCCGGGAAAAGCACAAGGATAACATTACATTAGACATGGTCAAGACTCATCACGGCACCAATAGATATTCTACCACATCAATTTAGTATCTGGAGACCCGGAGGGTGCGCAGTGTGCGTATTGGGTTAAGCCCCTAGACTCAACCGGGTCTCCCACTAGACTCCACGGGTCCCTATCAAGTTGAATGAACAGTGGTGGCTTTACCCATTAGAGCTGGGCGCCAGCGACACCTGCGCATGTACAAGCGGGACTCCAATGTGGGGAACCTTACTCTGAACTGACCTGTCCCCGGCACCTCTCCTGGCGTCGGCGGGGGGGAGAGACCAGGTCGTAACCACTGACGCATACGATCGACGGCGTCGTCGATAGCCAGCGGTTCAAAAGTTGTTCCTTCAACTCAACCTTTTCATTCATTGCCACACCTCCCACTTGTCGGTGACCAGCTTCCTGGTCGGGGGGTCGCCCGTCTCCACAATCTTGTACTCGGTCGGCCCCTCAACCTCGGGCTTACCCGCCTCCTCAACCTTGGGTTCGCCCGCCTCCTCAGCCCTGGGCTCGCCCGCCTCCTCAGCCTTGGGCTCGCCCTCGGCATCAAATCCCAAGGCATCCAGCTCCCGAATGAGCTCATTCATCTTCATGACCTTGGCGATCTGCTCCGAGAGCAACGTCATGCCAGTCTCCTTCTTCTCCTTGAGCTCCCTTGCCTGCTTGAGCTTCTTCTTTAGATTCCGGACCTTCTTCTCCTTCTCGACGGCGGGATCAACCTCCTCCTCCTGGGCCTTCTCGGCCGGAGCTGGCTTCTCCTGCCCCTCCTCGCTGGCATTGGCCTTCTTGCGTGCCTCGCGACGCTTGGCGTTCTTGTTGGCGGTAGACGAAGATGGCTGGGCTGGCTTGTCGTCCTTCAAGCCCTCTGCACCGGGGACGGGTCCCTTCCCGCGGTTGCGGAAGGCCTCAATGTTTCGGTTCTTGTAAACTGCGACATCCTCGGGAGGGAGGTAGCCGGGGCGGATCTTCTTGGCTTTCCTCGTGCTGCCGTCGGCTCTCTTGGACGCCGGGATGTGACGCTCGCCGCTGGTTTCATCCGTCACAATGCCGGAGGCTGATGGTCCTGTAGCCATGATGGATGTCAGGTGCAATGTGACGAAGAGGTGAGGTGTAGGGTGATAAAGATGTAAGGTGTAGTGTGATACACCTAGATAATATGAAGGTAGAGTGTGAAAATGAGGTCCGACAAATTCTGGTCAAACAAATCGAGAATCGAGATTTTGTTTGAATGAGAGTAGTCGAAGTTGTGAAACCGCTTTATGTTAATGGGTCGTGGAGGATTGGATTTCACACCCTTCTCCAGTACCAGGACATCTGCGCTATGGCCTCTTTTTGTGACTCAGAGAGTGGTGTCGCCTCCCAGCACCTCATTTCCTGGGGCACCTGGTGATAGGTAGGACGTCGGTGAATTGAAGCATTTGATAGACTTATCTCGGGCAACCTTCAATTGGGTATACTTGGCGGGGTTCTGGAATCGCCGCTCGGTCATTTTCGCCAAGCTTTGGGCTCTGAGAGAGCTCGGGCCAATGAAGAAGGCGCCCCGCATACTTCCGTGCGGCCTTTCCGGCTTCACTGACTGGTCGTTTTTGCTCGTCGCAGCGCAAACAATCCGGAACAGCTCTTCAGGTTGCCAACCCACGAAACAACGCCAGTCCCAACACCCACCCTCAATTGGGATCACAACCGCCTTCAAAATGGTAAGTTTGGAGCATGGTGCAGCATCGTGAGCGATGGAAATTTGACAGCTAACGGCGCGTCCACAGGCTACCGCAATCTACAAGCAAGTCCCTTCCGATCAGCAACCGCCGACCGAGACCGAAGCTAACCCTCGTCACTAGCACCCTCTTCCGGAGGAACTGGACCATGCTCGGCGTTGTCTTCGCCGGCGCCTTCGCCTTCGAGCTGTATGTGACCACTTGAACTGGGAACGAATGGGGAACTTGGTACTGAGTGTTATGTGCAGTGGTTACGATAAGGTGATGGACAGGGTCTGGGACAACAACAACCGGGGGGTACGGATATTCCAAATTGCGTTTCCTCGAGCACGGATGCTGACAGCAGCCAACAGCGCCAATGGAAGGACATCCGGCACAAGTACATCGAGGGTGGCGATGACGAGTAGGCAGACTTCAACGGGGCACATCGAAAACTACCAGGACGAAGACAAGGACGAGGGTATTGCGCCAACCCCGGGTTACGGGAGCTTCACCCGTGTACATTCGGTTATGGAGAGGGTTGTAGAGAATAGAGCTTGGCTTGTCGACAGTGAATTTAGGTTCAAAACTAATGTTCTGGTCTCTACGACACTGGAGAAGGCGCTAGAGTAAAAGCTCTGCTTCGCCCTTCAAAACCGCAGGAAATGACCTCATGGTTATTTTTTTGGTGGAAGAGGATGACTCTTGCCATCTCACATACATAGCTTCCACCCGACATTCCTGTCCATGGGTGCCGGGCATCCATTGTCCTCGCATGGCTGCTTGATATTGGCGCTAAACCGAGGCAAGACGCACACGCTCAATGGCCCGAAACCCCAAGGGACCCCTGCCCGCATGAATGCCGCCAAAGCCCTGTGTTCCACTGCAGCAACACTGTTCCAGAGACTCGCCTGTGGCTGCTCCTTTCTACATACCTCCACTACTTTGTGAGATCATCACGTTCTAACCTCAGTCTTGTCTTGTTTTTTCCTTACTTTTTCTGTTCCCCCTACGTCTGATAAATTTGCATTGTTGCAGCCAGAAAAATTGATCTTTTCTCCCCCCACCCAGACTACCTCAGGTGGCCCGGTTTGTTAAGAGACTGAGCATTTGAGTACATCCAACACACGCCACCCAGACGCCCGGGCCTGCTCCTGTCCATCCTGCTTCCTAAGCCAAGGACCCCACGATAGGGACTCGACACCCCTCCTCCACCGCCCACCCTCTATCAGCCCTCCGATAACCCAACCAACCAAGCAACCTGATTTTCCCCCCATCAACTCCAACGTTTTGCCACGACATCATCTCGCGGCACTATTCATACCTTTTGCACACATGACAGTAACGTAGGCTTTCTGACCTGTCTACCACGATGGAGACACCGATGTCGACACAGGAGCAGCAGCTTTGTCAGCTGCTGCTGGAGCTACCTGTTCGCCACGGCTACCGATACACCGAAGATGCAGCCCGAGAGCTGTTGAATGCCCTTTTTTGGTGCATGGCCGGCGGCAAGTCCGACTACATGAACCTTTTCTTCCCGACCGGCGGTCCAGCGCGAAATGGAACCCTCAAGCTTCGAGAGGCGCAGGGCGCAGTGGAGGGTGCCGAATACACCGAGGCCGCACGCGGCAAGGCTTGCGGGCACATATTCAGGCAGGGCGAGGCTTCGTATGCGTGCAGGACATGCAGTGCCGACGACACCTGTTGCCTGTGCAGCAAATGCTTCGACGCCACCGACCATACCGGCCACATGGTCAGGATCAGCATCTCGCCTGGCAACAGCGGGTGCTGTGACTGCGGGGACCCCGAGGCATGGAACAGACCCGTGTTCTGCACCATACATTCGATATGGGAGGGCGAAGGGAAGGGGAAGGGCAAGGAAGCGCCGGCATTGCCTGAGGACCTCGTTTCCAACACGCGGATGACCATCGGTCGCGTCTTCGACTATCTGTGCGACGTCGTCTCGTGCTCTCCCGAGCAGTTGCGCCAAACGAAAACAGTCGAATCCATCGAGCAGGACGAGAGGATGTCGAGGCTGTCGCCTACATATTGTGGAGGGGATACCGAGTCGCCAGGGGAGTACGCTGTGCTGTTGTGGAACGATGAGAAGCACACCGTCATAGACGTCAGGGACCAGGTGGCTCGCGCGTGCAGCACGACCATGGCCAACGCCATGTTCAAGGCCTACGAGACGGACGGTATCGGGAGGAGCATTTTGATGTACGACAAGAGCATCGAGAAGCTCATCGAGGTCGCCACCACCCTCGAGAGGATCAGGGTTACCGTAACCATCCGGTCCGCTAGGGACACATTTAGGGAACAAATGTGTGGCACCATGATCGAGTGGCTGCGGGACATCTCCGGATGCAGCGTGGGTGAAGACCACCAGCTCCTACGACAGGTCGTCTGCGAGGAGATGCTCAGGCCGTGGCGCAGAGGGAGCCCGGCGTCGCATGCCATTGTCGGTAAGGGCGGGATTGATGACGAGGAACTGCTTGACCAGCAAGATCGAGAAGCGCATGAAGACTTTTACCTCCAGCAGGCAAGAATTTTACTGCAGGCTCGCCAGGCAGCCCGTGCAGCCGGCATGGACACCGCTGGGGGCGAAGGGAGCGACGATGGAGAGGAGGACGAGGAAGACGGAGACAACACACCGGGGAGCGATATGGAGGAAGACGGCGGCGACGACGACGACGACGTCATGATGCTTGATACCCGGGAAGACGGCGATGTACCCATGCAGGACTGGCGGCAAGACACAGCACTGGAGGAAGACGAGGCTACAGTCGCTGGTTATCCGCCTCCGCCACCACCACCTCCGGTTCCCCGTCGCACCGCGCGCGAACGCGAACTCACGCCTTCCGACTCTGATACAGCAGAACCCCTCATCGCTCCTACGGTATACGCAAAAGCCCATCTAGAAATCCCCAAGACCCCTGGCCAGACAGGGACACCGGCCTCGCCGCCTCCCAAACCTGGCCAGTACTGGCTGGCTACACCCAGTGGCTACGTGGAGCAAGAAGACATCCCAGTGGCTGAGGATCTCTTCGAGCGAGTCCGCCTAGACTGGATGATCCTCTTTGACCTCAGGATGTGGAAGAAGGTGCGCAACGATCTGCGATCGCTCTACATCTCGACCGTGGTCACTATACCGGAGTTCAAGCGGGTCCTCGGCCTACGCTTTGCCGGTCTCTACACCACCCTTGCCCAACTCTACCTCATCGGCGACCGGGAGCCCGACCATTCCATCATCAACATCTCGCTACAGATGCTAACCACTCCTTCCATCACCGCCGAAATTGTTGAACGTGGCAACTTCCTCACCAGCCTGATGGCTATTCTATACACCTTCTTGACTTCCCGACAAGTTGGGCACCCGTGGGACGTGGGGTCGAACGCCGTCTTGTCCTTTGACACCGGCTCTGTCACAAACCGGAGAATGTATCACTTCTTCCTCGACCTAAAGTACCTCTTTGGGTCTCCCCACGTCCAAGACCGCCTCAGGACCGAAGAGCGGTACATGATGCAGTTCCTGGACCTTGTCAAACTACATCAGGGAATATGCCCCAACGTGCGGGCGATCGGCGAACATGTCGAGTACGAGGCGGACGGCTGGATTAGTGCTTCTCTCGTTACGCGCGAGATTAACAGGCTATGCAGACAGTTCGCCGAGTCCTTCCGCAATGTTAAAGAGCAGGATACGCCCTACGTCTCGCGAGCGATCCGCCTCGCCGCAAAGACCGTCATCATCAACTCGATCGGAGCCGAGCGCGGCAGGTTCAGCCAATCCGAGATCAAGAATGAAGTCAGTTTCAAGACCCTCGGCGACTTTGAATTCGAGAGCCATGGCCGAAACTTCGACGTTGTCAAGTTTGTGGTGGAAGAGGAGCCCATCAGTTTCCATCACGCTCTCCACTACACCCTCTCGTGGCTGGTCGAATGCGGCAAAACGATGCCTGTCGAACAGCTCAGGGCGCTACTTAGCTTCACGAGTCAGGAGCTCATGATGAAGCCGCGCTCCATGGGAAAGAAGACGATGCCGCGAGACGACGAGTACGGCCCAGAGGACTACCTGATGGCCGTCTTTGACTTCCCGCTCCGCGTGTGCGCCTGGCTCGCCCAGATGAAAGCGGGCATGTGGGTTAGAAATGGCCTCAGCCTGCGCCACCAGGCCGGCACTTACCGTGGCGTCGGGCAGAGGGACGTCTCGCATCACCGCGACATCTTCTTGCTGCAGACAGCCCTGGTGATCTGCGACCCCAGTCGCGTGCTCGCCTCTGTCGTCGACCGCTTCGGCATGGAGAAGTGGTCCAGGGGCTTTTTCGAGCAAAAGTCCAAGGCTCAGGATGACATCCAACACCTGGATGTCGTCGAGGATATGATACACCTCCTCATCGTCCTCCTTAGCGACAGAACTTCGCTCATCCCTGCCGAGGATTCCCGAAGCGCATCCCACGTTGCGTCTATGCGCCGCGACGTCACGCACGTCCTCTGTTTCAAGCCTCTGTCCTTCTCAGATATTTGTCTGAAGCTCCCAGATAAGTTCCAGGAGCAGGAGGATTTCCACAAGATACTGGACGAAATGACAATCTTCAAGTCACCAGAAGGCCTGACCGACGTCGGCACTTTCGAGCTCAAGCCGGAGTACATCGAGAATGTCGACCCTTATATCGCCCACTATAATAAGAACCAGCGGGAAGAGGCCGAGATGGCTTGGCGGAAGTGCGTGGCCAAGAAGACCGGCAAGGCGGTGGAAGACGTCGTCTACGAGCCCAAGCTGCGGCCCATCCCGTCGGGAGTGTTCGCCGGGCTAAGCCAGTTCACAACCACCGGCATGTTCGCACAGATCATCCACTACTCGCTGCTTTACACCCTTGTGTACGGTCGCCTGACGCCCCAGGTCCCGGCCACCCGCGTCGAGACCTTCTTGCAAGTGGTGTTGCACCTAGTCCTCGTCGCCATTGCCGAGGACAAATCAGACGAGGACCAACCACAGCCGTCCTTCATTGCTACCGCCCTCAACCAGCAAGCCCTCACCGTCCTTCTACCTGAACCTCCACAGGCCAAGACGATCGTGGCCCTGCTGAACTTGATTGCTTCCAAGGACGAGTTCAAGGCCTGCCACCCGAAGGTGGCCACCATCCTTCGGCGAATGCGGCAGAAGAGACCTAAATCCTTCGAGTTCAGCTACGAGCGTCTCGGCCTTTCCGTTGACCGTATGGGCACGGCCTCGCCCGCGGCCGGCAGTGGTGACGAAGAGCGGGAGCGTAAGAAACAGGCGGCACTGGACCGTCAGGCGCGGGTCATGGCGCAGTTTCAGGCCCAGCAGAAGAGCTTCATGGAGAACCAGGGCGATATCAACTGGGGAGAGGTGGAGGACCTCGAAGACGACGAGGTCGTTCCGCCCATGGAAGAGCACCGGGACTTTTGGAAGTACCCGACAGGCACTTGTATTCTGTGCCAGGAGGACACGGACGATCGACGACTATACGGCACGTTCTCCTACTTCACCGAGAGCAATATCCTCCGGCAGACGGACTTGCAAGATGCCGATTTTGTGAGGGAGGCATTCAATACCCCGGACAACCTCGATCGATCTGCGGAGGACATCCGCCCGTTTGGTGTTGCCCACGAGAACCGACAAGTGGTTCAGAAGGTGAACCAACAAGGTCAGACGTTTGAGACGGAGCGCCAGGTCATCGGCAAGGGGTTCCCTGCGGAACTCTCTCGCCTCGGGCCAGTCGCGATTGGCTGCGGCCATATCATGCATTACCACTGCTTCGAAGCCTACTACGACGCTACCGTGAGGCGACACAACCAGCAGATCGCGCGACATGCTCCGGAGAAGACGGCCAGGCTCGAGTTTGTGTGCCCGCTCTGCAAAGCACTCGGGAATGCGTTCCTGCCCATCATCTGGAAGGGTCAAGAGGAGTCGTATCCGGGGCCCCTGATGCCGCCCACTCCGTTCTCGTCCTTCCTCGACTCCCAACTTCACTCGGCGTACTACACGCTCGGAGCCTCGCGTCCGCCAGACACGGTACAGAACGCCTTCGCTGCCTACACGGCTCACCACATGATCAACAACCTCGCAGAGAAGTCGTCGCAGCTGCTGGACGACGCCTGGGTCGACGTGGGGGCCCAGTCTGTCTCCACGGGCACGCCGTTTAGCGAGACGTTCTCGATGGTTTCAGCCCCAGATCAAGGCGGCCGAGGGCCCACCCCCGACGCCAGCACCCCGATGAGGGAGCTCGTCAATGTCTATCGCCGACTTAGGGATACGCTGAGGGAGAACGGCATCACGTCTCGCCATCAATTTGAGCCCCCCGAGCAGGATGCCAATGAACTGTACGGCAGCGACGTTCTGGCGCAATCCGTTGGGTTCTCCATTTCTGCCGTGGAGATTCAGCAGCGCGGCGTAGAGGCTGAGTACGGCATGACGTTCCTTGAGAAGATCCCGGACCAGGTTCTCACGCAGCTCCGGATCCTCAGCGAGACGGTTACCTCCTTCGTTGCTGTCGGGGGGTTGCGCGAGTCCGGTGAGAATAAGATCGATACCGAGTACCGCCGGGATAGCGAGCGCCAGCACTGCCAGTTGTTTATCACGCAGTACCTGGGCGAGGAGACGGAGCACACCCGGTTCCCGGCCAACAACTACGCTCCTCTTCTCAGCCAGGACCCGTTCATCTTCCTCTGCGAATGCGTCTTTGGTGTCATTCCGGCGCAGGGGTATGACATCGCGCACATGGTCCGTCTGTGTTACCTGGCCGAGATCACAAAGGTCGTCTACCACCTCGCCCGCAATATGCCCGCAGCGCTGTTTCTGCAGTTCTTGTCCCGCGAAGAGGATCTGGACCCGTCCATGGCCAACTTCGTGTCCTTCTGCGAGGAGCTCATCAAGATCGACTTGGATTGCGCTTCAGAACCAGAACCGGGGATTCATCGGCCCACGTTGGATAACAAGGGCTTCGAGCAACCCGGTTTGGATAGGTGGGAGTCGTGGTACGTCCTCCTGCGCAAGTACGCTCTGACGTTCCTGCGCAAGAGCGTCATGCTCCTGCACGTCAAGTACGGCGTCAACTTCAACAGCCGCGTGAGCCCCAACCCGGAGCAGCGCGAGCTCGAGCGCCTCACCGAGGCCCTGCGCCTCCCTTCGCTCGACGAGATGCTCACGGCGCTCACGCCGGCGCAGGGCGTGCGGTACGGTTGGCCCGGCGACACGCCACGGCTCGTGGCCGGGTGGGTCAAGCACCAGACGCTGTGGCCGTACAACGGCGGCGACGAGTCGCTCCCGGGGTCGGCCGTGCTCAGCCACCCGGGCATCTTCGAGCTGGTGGGCCTGCCCAAGAACTACGACACGCTCATCGAGGAGTGCACGCGCCGCCGGTGCCCGACCAAGGGCAAGGACCTTACCGACCCCACCATCTGCCTGTTCTGCGGCGACATCTTCTGCGGCCAGGCCGTCTGCTGCGCCAAGGAGCTCAAGGAAGGCCCGTACAAGGACTCCCAGATCGGCGGGTCGCAGCAGCATATGCAAAAGTAAGTTTCTCCTTCTCTTAGTCTCCCCCAACCCGGACTGCACTCACTAACACGCACACCACCGCAACAGATGCCAGAAGAACATCGGCCTCTTCATCAACATCCGCAAGTGCTGCGTCTTCTACCTCTCGCGCCGCTCGGGCTCCTTCAGCAACGCGCCCTACATCGACAAGTACGGCGAGGTCGACATGGGCCTGCGCTACGGCCGCCAGCTGTTCCTCCACCAGAAGCGCTACGACTCCATGCTGCGCAGCCTGTGGCTCGGCCACGGCGTGCCGAGTTTTATTGCGCGCAAGCTCGAGGCCGATATCAATAATGGGGGGTGGGAGACTATTTAGGGGCGGTGGTTGGGCTTGGTTGGCTTGTTTCTGAGGGGGGGCGGGGGTGGGGTAAGAAAGAAGAATGTGCGTGAGCGGTGGTGTGCATATGGGGGTGTTTGGAAGCGGTTACAAATGAATTTATCTGGCGGGCGTTTGGTTTCTTCCTTTTTGTTTTTTTGTGTTTTGAGAGGACGAGAATACATGGCTACTTGCTTACCCGCTTACCGTTTCTACACGCTGGTATACAGAATGGGAGGTGGTGATTTTAGGGGTTAGTGGATACAAAGAACCTCGGTACATCCTCACTACATACGGGCTCGTGCTTCGATTACCGCGGCAACCACGCATGTGTGTGTATGTGTGAAAGTGGGGGAGAAAGAGGATGTGTGTGTGTGATTTGGGGGGGAAAGAGAATCGTTTTGAGACATGCAAACGGGGAGGGTCGGTCCAGGAGTCAAATCCGGAACTTCCTGGCAACTTCCGAGTCACCTCGGAGGAAAGGGGTGTCTCATGACCTATTCTGTAGTTAGTGTATTATCCCGGTCTGCCCAGGACTCGAATTTGGAACCTCTTGATTACACGATCCGCCCTAAGACATCCCAGAGGAGGTAGGTAGAGGAGTCGAAGTCAAACGCTCTGCGGCACGCGAAGATGGTGCCCAATGCTCAATCCGGGCATGCTCATTAGCGGTGTGATGTTGTTGACTCGTGCTAATTTGGGCAGACGTACGGATACAGATAATTTTTAAGACAAAGCTATCGATCGGCACCAATGGGCACTTACATGCGCTCTCTTGGCCTGGATCGCCGTTCAGCTCATACCATAACTCGTTAACTACCGGGTAGCGTAAAGCTTTAGTCTTCCCAATTCTTGTCCAGCTGAAGTTTGTTGGCATTAGTTATTAAACACCTTTACCCAAACAGGTGTAAGTTGTCGCTTGTCCCAAGGGCCCTTAGACATAAGCATCTTCGGTCCGTTGTCCTCCTTCTCCTTCTCCTCCTCCTCCTCCTCCAACAACAACAACAACAACTCCCAGCAGCACCGCCACACCCAACACCAAACCCACCACCATCACCGTCACCGTCACCGTCACCATGAAAGCCGTCACCACCATCCTCCTCACCCTCACCACGCTGGCCTTTGCCGCGCCCAACCCAGCCGTCCTCTCCACCCGGCAGGAAGCCGAGTGCTCAAACTGGTGCCAGTGCATAGACGGCCTAGGCCGCACCCTTAGCGGCCCCAGTAAAACGTGCTGCGTGAACGGCACGCTCAGTGACGACGACACGGTGCGTTTCTTTTTCATTTCTTGTCCCATGATCTTCGTTGAGTATTAGGACGCTACTGTGCCGCCGTGAGCCTAACTAAGGGCGAATGAAGGCTGACCGGTTTCGGTGAGACAGTGCGGAGGTGTGGCCGAATCATCCGTGGAGACTTATCAGGCTTGCTGCGCCTTAAACTCCGGCTACCCCATATGCCAATCGTGCGGGGAGTGAAATTTAAAGGTACGGCCACGTACGTCGCTAGATGAGAAGGGTGGCACTATGGGGTAGGTGTGGTCTGAAGCCGGGAGAGTGTTGGGTATTGGTCGGTGGAAGAACATTGAGCCAGCGAACCTCGTTAGTTGTTGTTGAAGAACGAGGCGGGAGTCCATGGCAAAAGCTGCTGTGGCAGTACGTCAGGAGTCCTAGAGCGGTTCGAGGGCTGATAATGGGACTTCACTTCACTTGAGGAGATCGGCAGGTTGGGGAGCAGTCAGATTCTCTACCATGGAGTCAGTGGACCGTGAAAGGACGAGCAATATAGCTCAGTATCTAAGGCCAAAGGGTAGGGGGTAGAGTTAAAAGGTGGTCTCCTCAGCTAACATGGAGTCAGCGTTTCTGCTCTCTTCTCGCTCTCTAGTTGCCCCGGGAAACTTCGAAGAGCCTTATCAACCTTCCGCTGGTTATCATGCCTCTGGCCTACCGGGTGATGGTAATGGTCGATAGGCTATCTCAAGATGGCTAGGACTGGCAGTGGCTGTTGTCGAGTAGCAGAGCAACTATGTTCCCGTACCGCTCTGCCTAGGCACGAGCGCCGCCCTCAGCCAAGAGCGCCTCCCTCAGCCTAGCCAACGCCTCCACGACCGTCGCCTCGCGCACGCGCTCCCTCGAACCCGGGAACATAAACGGGCCCCAAGCCCTCGCACCCTCCGGCGAGGCAATACCGATATACACGGTCCCAACGGCCTTCCCATCCTGCATATCCGGCCCGGCCACGCCCGTCGTACCCACCCCCCACGTCGCCCACCCCTCCTCCCCCCCATTCACACCACCCACACCCTCCCCGTTCTCCCCAGCAACAGCAGTAACCCTCCTCGCCCCCTCCGCCATCTGCGCCGCCACATCCCCATGGATCACCCCCTCCCGCTCGATCAACGCAGCATCGACGCCCAGCAGGGCTTGCTTGAGCGGCGTGGCGTAGGTGACGACGCCGCCGCGGAAGGCGGCGCTGGCGCCGGGCACCGAGGTGATGGCGGCCATGAGCCCGCCGGCGGTCAGGGACTCGGCGACGCCGACGGTGGCGTTGGCGGCGCGGAGCAGGCGGATCACGTCGGCGGCGATGTCGAGGGCGGTTTCGGCGCTGCGGGGGGTGTGTTGTTGTTGTTGGGTGGATGGGGTGGATGGGGTGGTGTGGTAGTGGCGGTGGTGGAAGCCATGTTGTTTTGTGGTGTGGACGACGGTGTGGTTGTGTTTTGTTTTGTTTTGTTTTGTTCTTGGTCGGTTATTGACTTGTTAAGTGGGAGGATGATGAGGAGGGGGGAAGGAGAATAGTCCGCTAGAAGTCAGAAGGCTGGCCTTAAGTAGGCACACATAACTATGTCCTTCCTCTCCTTTGACTGACTCACTCACTGGGATTAGCTAGTAAACATAGGGGTATAATGATGCTAAAATTATACTGTGAGGACACTCTAGCGGACCATCGCTCAATTATTCCTTCTTAACCCTGTTCTAGCCATATTTGGGCTTTTGCGAACGCCTAGACTACACCACTGCAAGGCCAATAGGCTTGGGAACACCTATACATATTCATGATTGTTGTCGTTGTCAGCTTCCCCCCTGATTTAGGCAGCTCTCTGCCCAAATCTGCATCACAACGTGGCCGTCTGCATATAAGACCGCCTAGAACATCTCCCAGTAAGCAAGGCTCTCCCGACGGACCAATGGTAGCAACAATACCAACCAGGCTCCAGGTTCGTGCTGTTCCTGTGGTATTTATGCCAGCCACGAGGCAAGCAAGGCTTCATCCATCTCACATGGTAATGCTCTCTATTACTACTCGTCTCGGTGCCTAGTATGTAACCAACTACTCGCTCTATCGATACAAGTTCTCCTCCTTTGTGCAGACACGAAGCCCAGCTGCCTATCACTATCTTCCCAGCAAAGCCCCCTGGGAAGCTCACCGCAGGCTCCATGGACCGTTATACATGGCCCGCACAACCGCGACATCATCCCCCCACGCCTGGAATCCCCCCCGCTGTTCTTGCTGCTGCCGACGTTGCTGTCCATGTACCCCGGTTCCATGACCCCCCTCATCAACATGATTCTCCTCATCCTCCCCGCCCCCATCCTCCCCATCCAACCCAGCAACAAACCCACCACCACCACCCACGTCACCCCCATCCCCATCCTCCTCTTCCCCCCCCCTCATTCGCGTCCACTCATACCCCAAAAACGCCGTCCGCCTTCTCACCTCCATCGCAACCGCCCGAGTCCGTCCATCCCTCAACAACTTATCCCGCGGCCGCCTGCGCTCTTTCTGCCCGTGGCCCTCTTTGCCATCCCCACCCAGCAGCCCCTTCCCACCACCACCACCACCACCAAACCGCCTAACAAACCCCCGCAGATACGAGCGCTCCGCCTCGGTGGTATCAGCCAGCGTCATCTGCGCCAGGTACGCCTCGAGCACGCGCAGCTTGGTGTCGACGCCGTCCATGTGGGCCGGCGGCGGCGGTGGTGTCGCCAGCACCGTCAAAGCCAGGCTCTGCAGCGCGTACCGCAGCGGGCGGAGGAAGGCGAGCTGTTCTTCATGGTGGGCGTTGAGGGGCGTGGGCTGGAAATGGGCCGGGCTGGCGGCGGATTCGAGGGACGGGAGGAATTGTAAGGGGGTGGCGCCCGCGGTGATGGTGGTTGGTGGTGGTGGTGAGTAGCAGCAGTTTGTGTCGCTGGGGTTGTAGCTCTGGAGATAGCCGGCGGCGTCGACGTGGTCGGGGTAGGGGTGGGCGTGCGCGACGGGGGGCGGGTAGTAGGCCGCGGCGGTCCAGCCCGGGATGGAGGCGGGCGGGGAGAAAAGGATGTTGGGGCCCCGTTCGGCGGCGCCGTCGTTGGCATCGTTGGCTTGGGCGTCGTCGTCTGCGGCCGCGCTCTCGCTCCCGTCGCTCACCGACCCGCCATCCTCGAAGTAGTGCGTGTCATCGACCGAGCGGAGCTTGGGCACAAGCGGCGGCTCCAGCTCGTGTAGCCGCTCCCAGGGGATGTGGCGGAACCACTTGTGCGCCTTGATGTCTTCGGCGTCGTAGGGAAACACGTAGCGGCCGGCAAAGTCGCGAATCTTGCAGCCGGCCCCGGACGACGAGGATGACGACGACGACGTGATTAAATCCTTCATGCGGTACCGCTCCGAGCAGAGTCGATACTCCTTGTCCGCGATTAGAGAGAGCATCAGATGCTGGCATCGGCGGGACACGGTAGGGCGCGGCGGGAACCCGAACGTCTCGTGGTGCCGCAAGATGTTGTCCTTGGTCTGGTGCCGGCCGTCCTCGGACAGAAAGGGGGTATGGCCGTATATGCACTCGAACAGGATGACACCGACGCTCCACCAGTCACACCGCGCGTCGTACCTCCTCCCCTCAATCACCTCAGGGGCCATGTACTGGCTGGTCCCGACAACGCTCCTCGCCGCGTGCCGGATCCCGCATCTGTTGCGCCAGGCCAGCAACGGCTCGCCGTCATGCCCCATCTTCCTGTCGTGTCTCGCGATGGCGGCCGTGATACCGCTGGACCGCTTCTTGGCCTCGGGGTCGCGACTCTCGTTCTTGTCATCATCGTCACCGTCGACCGGGATGCCCAACTTCCGCACCAGGCTCTACCGGTGGCTGTTGTAGTAGGTCGCGTCGTGGGACCAGTGCCCGTCGAAGGCCAGGCCGAAGTCGCTGATCTTGAGGTGGCCCGAGGCTGAGACGAGGAAGTTGTCCGGCTTGATATCGCGGTGGATGCACTTGAGCGAGTGCGCCGCCTCGACGCACAGGACGATCTCGGCGACGTAGAAGCGCGCCACCGACTCGTGCAGGACGTTCTCGCGGATCAGGAGACTCAGGAAGTCGCCGCCCGGCATGTATTCCATCACCAGATACAGATTCGCCAGGTCCTGGAAGCTGGCCACGAGGGGTACGATCCTAAGACGGTTAGCAATCGACCGTTCGAGACTCGACACATATGAACTTACCATCGTGACCCCTCGCTCGCCACCAGTATATCCCTCTCGGCCCGCAAGTGCCCCTCCTGGCTCGTCCTCAGCATCTTGCTCTTCCGGATAACCTTCATCGCGTACACCCTGCCCGCCCGCCCGCGGACCAGCCTCACGACTCCAAAGCTCCCCTTTCCCAGCACACTCACCGTCTGGTATCCCCGGCAGGTCAACAACCCTGCTCCTCCAGCCGCACCTACTCCATTCCCATTTCCATTCTCACCTTTATCCCCCTCCCCCCTCACCCCATCCCTATCCCCACCCACTTTCCTATTACCAGTCCCATTGCCATTCCCGTTCCCATTCCCGTCCCCAACTCCTTTCCCCTCACCCCCCGACCCAGAACCCAACCCAGAACACCCCCCAAAACCAGAACCCAACCCTATTTTCACCAACCCCAACCCCCCCGCCTTCACAACCCTCATCTCCCTCAAATACTCACTCTCCCGCCTCCAAAACCTCGCCCGCGCCGCCGCCGCACCACCACCCCCCAAACCCAAACCATTACCACCACCCCCACCACCGCCCCCACCCGCAGCGCCAGCCCCAGCACCGCCAACCCGATTCCGATTAAACAGCTCCGTCTCCAGCATCTGCTGCCGCATCTGCCTCGGCGACGGGCCCGGCCCGAGCAGCTTGCCGAAGTGTGTTTCGAGGAAGACCTTGGCGGCGGCGGCGCGTTCGGCGGTGGCGATGCTTGGGGTTGGTGTTGGGGCCGGGATGGGAGTGGACTTGGGGGTTTGGGGCGAGGAGTTTGGGGTGAGAGCCCGGGTGGGAGTTGGCGTTGGGATGGGCGTTGGGATGGGCGTTGGGATGGGCGTTGGGGGGGAGATTGGGGTGCGGTAGGGGTGGAGGAGGTGGGTGATGGTGTTGATGGGGGTGGGGCGTCTGTTGGTGTTGCTACGTGGGGTGGGGAGGGTTGTTGTTGTTTTGGGGGGTGTGATTCCTTTGGGGGGTGTGGTTGTTTTGGGGGTTGTGGTTGCGAGTTGACGGTTGTTGGCGCGTTTCGGGGTGGACGGCGGAGTTGCTCTGGCCCGGGTGTCCGGACGCGGGGGACGGTTCGGCGGGCGGTTGCCTTCGCGGTCTACTGTGTTGGGGTCTTGTGTCTTGAACGTGGAATCCGCCGACGTCTTTTGGGTTGTCTTGGCCGAGTTGGTGTTGGAGCCGCTGGTTTTGCTGGAGCTGGTGTTGGATGTCGTGGTGTGCGTGGGACCGGGGCCGGAACCTGGATCTGGCCACGTCCCTGCCTCCTGGAAGGTTTCCTTCAACAGCGGCCGGCTCTTTGGTGACGTCCTGCGAACGACGGTCGGCTCCAGGGGAGGGCGGAATATGGCGTTGGACATTTTGTGGATGCCATATATCAAGGTGGACTTCGTTTCGTGCTCCCCGGGGGATGGACTGGGTTGCTCTACGGCGACGAGCTGCTCCGAGGCTAGCATCCCAATATCAGTATCGGACCGGTAAAGCCGGTGTCAACCAAGACTTACAACTGTTGGTCAGTGATTTGAGAGCCGTGACCACCTTAGCCTTCTGCCGGCGGAGTTTGGCAGAAAGCGCAGAGCTTGATTTGGATGGGGCAGGATGACAGCCACCGGAAACGACTTCCAGCGTGTTCTCGGGACCTGGAGAGGAGTCGCCCGCCTGACTTGGGTCCCGGGCAAGATGCTCGTTCATGACGGTTGATGCAGTCCATGGAACGCGGGCCTGATAATACTGCGGTATGTGGTTGAGCCCCTGAAGCTAACGAATGTCGGGGAGATGCAACCGGTGACAAAAGAGGCCTCTAGCAATTCTGAGCGTGATTAAGCCTAAAGATGAAATCCAGTCAAGGTAGGAGTGGATAAACCAGTGATCTGCCCTCGGCGGCGCCTTCCTCTGCCCCCTGGGCAACTCGAGCTTGAAGCTCGTGACACGGAGAGCAAGAAGATACGGCAGGAGTTACTGGGTTGGCATACACCCCCAGCTAACGAGACAAGCCCAGTCAAGCTAGGATATAATGGACATGGCAAACGGCACTGGGCGTAGAGAGCGGAAGCAAATGACTGAATGTATCTTCGAAAGTGCCGAGATATCATTGCGCCTATGAACGGAGTAAAAAAGCATGACGAGATAAGAAAACCTTCCGAAAGACTTTTTCAGTTCGCCGACCCAGATGCAATGTAGACGTCGTCATCCCGTCAAACCGTGTCTGCTCCCCAGAGAGCGAGGGATCCTCGCAGACTGCGCCAGGTCAGAAGTCTCCACGGTGCTGTGCATTAACCCGCAGCGGGGACAGCAAACCAAAGGAAATTAAGCGCCCTCGATCTCGAGGCGCGAGTGAGGCAGACAGCAGAAATAGAATCCTCATAAAGTACAGGAACAAGCAACGACCAACGCCGCGCTTAGGATACCGAGAGAAGGCAGTCCAGATATGACCCCTCACAAGCGTTCCAGCATGGGCTGCCGTTTACTTGATCTCGAGGAGCTTGACGTCGAAGATGAGCGTGCTGTTCGCCGGGATCCCGGGGATAGCGCGGCTGCCGTAGGCGAGGTGGGCGGGGATGGTCAGGCGGCGCTCACCGCCGACGGACATGCCGGCAATGCCAATGTCCCACCCCTTGATGACCTCGCCCTTGCCGATCTTGAAGGAGAACGGCGCGCCCTTCTTGTTGGCTGCATCATTGCGCGTTAGCCTAGTTCGTCACGGAGAGTTCCCCTCATGGCGACTTACAGTCAAACACCTTGCCGTTCTGGAGCTTGCCAATGTACCGCATGCCGACCTTGTCGCCAGACTTCACGGTGCGGCCGGTGCCGGTCTTGCGGTCGTCGATGGTGACGCCCTGGACAACCTTGACGCCGAGGGCACCCTTCTTGTCGCCCTTGTTCTCGGCCTTGTCCTTAGCGGGACCGGTCGGGCCCTGCTCGAGGTTCTTGGCGAACTGAACCTTCTTGTCGCCCTTGGCGGCCGACTCCTTGGCCTCCTTGGCCTTGGCCTCGGCGGCGACAGCCTCGCCCTGGTTGTTCTTGAGCTTCTTTTGCTTCTTGCTCGCCTTCTTCTCGTCCTTGGCCATCATCTCGTCGAGACCCTCAGCCTCTTCCTCAGCAGCCCGCTTCTTGCTCTTCTTGGTCTGGACAAGCTTAGGGGCCTCCTCCTCATCGGTGTCAATCTCCTTGATACGGGGGGTACCATCGATGTCATCGAGCTCATCGCTCATCTCGTCCGAATCCTCGTCCTCGAGGCCAGGGGGGAGGTCGTACTCGTCGTCCGAGTATTCCTCGTCATCGTCCTCCTCTTCGTCCTGGGGGACGACGTAGTTGCCGGTGAGGTAAACGGCGTGAGTTCCCTTGACGCTGAAGAAGACCTTCTCGCCCTCACCAACCGTGATGTCGATGGGTTGCTGGTAGATCTGCGGTGGGTGTTAGTGTACTCGATCCAGCGAGTTCGGACATGTTTGAGGGGGGTTACATACGCGCTCGGTGTCGAGAGTGCACACGACGTACTCCTCCATGTTGGCGTCAAGGCCATCATCGTCCTCCTCGTCGCTCTCCTCCTCGTCCTCATCGCTGGCCTTGCTCTTGCCCTTACTCTTGGCGCCGTTAGGCTTGGAGCTGGCATCCTCCATCTCATCGTCCGAGTCCTCTTGGGTGGCATCGAGGATCTTCTTGATGGCGGCAGCGCGGCGCGCCTTGCTGGACTTGGAGGGGTCGCTGGGGCCGCCGTTGACCTCCTCATCCTCTTCGTCCGACTCCTCATCATCGTCCCCGCCGCCGAGGAGCGACTCGAGATAGTCGCCCTCATCCTCATCGTCCTCATCGACATTGGCCTTGTAGATCTTCAGGGTCGAGCGAGGAACCGAAGGTACATTGCCCTGTCCGTCGGTCTCCGGGGCCGCGGTGGGGTCAATGGCCGCCATGGTGATGCGGATCTGGGATAAACCGTTAGCGATCCTCAATCAAGGCCTATGCCGTAAACTCGCAATAAACGTACCGTCGCCGGGAACTCAATCTCGGCGGGGATCAAGAGCTCTCCCGTAGGGACCTCAAGGCCGTAAACGGCGACAGGCAGAAGCGGCGACATCTTGATGTAGGTGCAATTGGCCGTAGATAAAAAAGGGTAGCCTGGTGGGAATTGAAATTGGCCTCTACGATGAATGTACTAGAGGAATACCAGGAGATCTATTCAGTTGCGGAGGGTGGGATGAAGATGCGAAGAAAGTCGAAGGGAAACCGACTGATCGAAAAGTCGGTTCTGCAAGAATCCTTCACTCGCCGGAGCTCGAATCCAGAAAAATTTGGAGCCGTCCCACAGTTTGCCGTCGATAAGGCCTTATCCCCCCACCGGCTCCCCGGCCAACCATGCCAGACCCCGCCAGAATGGTCACCGCCTGCTCCCTTTGGATTAGCGGCCCCCACGATGATGTTTTGACACGGACCTCGCCCAGCTCGACGCCATTGTTGGAGAGCGAGTGCCTGACCTCAAATCCTAAGACAGGCCGAAATAAGAGAATGGTAAAAGTTGGAGAGGCAAAAGGATTATTTCCTTTCGCATAGCAAGATCCCTTTCTTTCGTCCCAGCCCTTTTATTTGCCATTCATTTCGTTTTCACACTTTTTCTTGCTTTCCTGCCCCTTCCCTCGGGGGAAATAATAGCATTGTCTCTGCTATCAACTCAACCTAACTCGGCACCTCGGCTGCACCTACACAGTTTAACACTTTTAAAAACTAAGCGGTATGGAATTGGTAATATTGAACAACTTCCAAGAGCTCTCTATCTTTACAATGTTTCCTTAAAAAACCGTGTATCTTGCTCCTCTGCTTATCCCACAACTCATGTTATTTTATTCTCAACCCGCCGTCCCCCTCGTCAAGCTGTCTTTTTCTTTCCAAATCCCATCAACGCAGCCTTCAAAATCTGCCACACGATGCCCAAAGTTATGGCCGTCTTCCCAGTCTCATACCTCTGCGGCCTGTCCCCCGTCTCCGTCATCACCAAGCCAAACTCGGCCACCGGCCCCGGGAACCGGCCGCTATTTCTAGCATAGGCCGCAACCAAGTCGTTGCCATTCGTGATCCCCCCTAAACCATCACCCACAATCAGCCAAACGGTTTCCCTTCTTTACCCTTCGCACACGCCCCCAAGAAAAAGAGAGAGAGCTACAGAGAAAGAAAGAAAGAAAGAGAAAGACAGAAAACTCACCACTACTCCACACATTCCCATCCCGCACCCACCGCACCTCCTCCCCGACCCACTGCACCCCCTCAAACCGCTTCGCCAGATCCGCCTGCAAACCCCTCGGCCCGCACGCCTTGCGCCCGCGCAGCAGGCCCGCCGCGCCGCACAGGTAGATGCCCGTGCACACGCTCAGGATGTCGGTCGTCGGCCGCGCCGCGTGGCCCGCCAGCCACCCCGTCGCCTCGCGCTGCTTGCTCCAGTCGGTGGTTGGGTCGGGCCCGGGTACCAGGACGATGTCCAGCTCGCCGGGCTGCACGGCGGGGTCGGAGAGGTGGTGGGTGCAGGTTAGTTGGGCGGCGGAGGTCATGGGGATGGGGTTGTTGGGTTGGACGGTGGAGATGTCTGTTTGTTTTTGTTAAGGGTAGGGCGTGGTTAGTGGGGGGTGGGTAGGTAGGTAGGTGTGAGTCGGGTAGGTAAGGGGTTTGGCTTTACAGAAGATCTTGACGCTTGGGGCCAGGTTGGCGATCGGGGCTGGGCTGGCATCGCCGAGTATGGTGAAGTATTCGTGGCTCATGGTGCCCAAGATGTCGACACAGGCCATGTCTAGTAATTGGCAGTCTGTTGGGATGAAGACACCGACACGGATGGTCGGGCGGGAGTCAGTGGCCGTCATGGTGGGGGATATTGGGTTGAAAGCAAGTGCTACGCAGTCTCCAGTATGTTTTCTATGGTGATAGCTACGCTGGACAACATACATCACGGCCGTCTCTTTAACTAGTTGGCCGTCTGAGAAACTAAACCACCGCCGAGAGGACCCGGAGACTCGGCGCTGAGGCTCAAACCCGGCGGTCCCAATCCGGCGCTGGCGTCTTGATACTCGGCCGGGTGGGCACCCGGCTTGGACGTTGATTGGTCGGTTCACCCCGAGTCTCCGAGTGCCCTCGGCACGGAGTTGGTGCCCTGGGTTTCAGTCCCTTCACAGTAGGAGGTTGGACCGACAGCATCCGGACCTTTAATCCTTTGCTCTTCTTGCCTGTGATGCGGTGGTCCTCCCCTGGGTAATGTTATGTAAAGGCCGCGTCACGTCGGATGTGAAACTGATCCTTTAAACTCGGAACCCAAAGTCAAGCACTGCTAAACCTAGATCGGTAACTGCATACCCAGAGCCAGTAAGCAGCGTCGCAGGTTCGATTGCAAGAGCCTCGCTCTTTTAGCCTTCAAGTATCTTCTTAACAATATTCGTTACATCTCATCTCACCCTTGAATGCAAGCCAAGTCATCTATCTGGCTATCCTTCCTCAGCACAGCCACAACCATGATACTCCGGCAAAAACCCACATACTGGAAACACCTCACCTCTCACTCAGCCCAAGCCGCGTCACTGCGTATTTGTCCGCCCCCAAACTACGAATCAACCCACCTACCCCGCCATAGATAACCTACCTAGGAAGTGATTCGGCGACCACGCTGAAGATAACCGCGTAAGGCTGGCTGACGACAGTCCAATCCGCCTCAGACGAGCCTCAGATGATAGTTCTCCTTGATTATACGCATCCTCCTCACTCTGACCGACAAGGCAAAGAACCTTTCGGGGAACAAATGAGCAAAACACACTGAACAACATCCACCCACTCCCCCTCCCTTCGCCCCCACACTCCCTCATGTATGTACAATCCCTCCTGACCTCATAGCCAAGCCCGCCACCACCACCACCACTACCACCACCACTACCACCATGAGCGACAACCAAACCAAGGCACACTCACATGCACACACATACAAGCAACTGAAAGCAGCAGGAATGGGGGGACAGCCCAGCCCGCCCCGCTCCGCCACACCTTCTTGCAACCACCCACCCCCATCCTCCCCCTTCAGGGCCCCACCCCTCAACGCCCGGCTGGGCCTTGCATCTCCGGGTGGTAGGATTGGGTAAATTCTAACCGGAAAGGAATAAAAAAAAAGACTGCCCAACTGCTTGCGTCTTGCTCTCCTTGCATTGCATGCATGCATGTATGCATGCGGGGGCCACGCATGCAGAGGAGCGGGCTACTCGGTATGTACCTTGCTGCGTACGTCATGTATAAAGGTACATACCAGACAAGACGGGCGAGCAAAAAACGGGTGAGATAATTGCCCAACGTAGCTTGCGTGCTCTCTCTTCCGGGCTGGGAGCAGCGGGGCGAAGCAGTGACGCAGAGAACATGTGCAAGCCGCTACCGAGCTTGAGCTTGGCCAGAAGCTTGCTAGAAGCAGGTCACGAGGAGCAAATACTAGTGAACGTTTGTTTGTTGTAATCGCAGGCCAAAGCGAGCGTGGTGAATTTATTCTTCCTCTCTGCGCCAATGCCATCTCCAGAGCAGCACCCCATATCGGCCCCAGAATAAAGACGATACATGATAATAAACCCCGTAGCATGGCGCCTGCCTTCCGCCCAACTCCCCCCCAATCCCCCCTCCCCCCCGTCCCCTCGCCGTGCCAACCAACCGGCCAGGAAAAACACCACACCCCCATCCGCCTGCTGAGAAGCGGATGCCGTGATGTTCCCCCTCCGAGTCCTCCTTGTATGTACATGGTTATAAGATTAAATATTAGGGGGCTAGACGTGTTGATATTAGGGGTGCCCCCTGGGAATCGCGCCTCGTTCGTCCCAGTCACGGATCGTAGGGCCCCGTTCGCCATCATTATCCTCCTCTCTGTTGCGCCGCGCCGCGCCAGGCCAAGCCAGTTCCCAGGCGGCAAACAAAACCCATCTTCGTCTTCGGGTCGATGCTCTGTTGTCGTGACTCCCTTTCGACTCGGCTCGTCTTGTCATGTAGAACGTGTGTGCCTGCGCCACCATTTCCCGCGCCCGCCCCCCCCCCCTCCCCCAAAAAGTTTGTAAGCGAATGGCGCCAGCAGGCGGGATATCGTTTGTGTGTGATGCCAACCCCCCCCAAAACCCCTGCCGGTATAATGATCTCTCCCCTCTCCTGCTCCTTGAACTCCGGTGGAAACCGCCAATAAAAAAAAAAGCGGGGACAAAAACATGACAAAAAAGTCGAGCCCCCATATCTAGATGCCAAATGCCGATGCCATGCCATGCATATCAACATTACCTCCTCTTGATGTACACACGCGCGCCCCTAAAACCCGTGCTTATAAAGAACAAAGGCCGAAACCGCGGGCGGGGACAAGTGCCTGTCGCCCGGGTCCGTCAAAAATAAACATTTCCCAAGAAGCGAAGATAACGGGGTTCAGAACTCGGAGGTGTGTTTGGTTATGGTTATGCTGGCGAGCTTCTCGCCACGAGTTGTCGTCAAAATCGGACGGCAGGACCGAGTCCGGGAGGAAGAATTAGCCGAGTGAGCAAATGGGGAAAAAGAAGAGGTCGTCGAAATCGAAAGCAGCAAAAAGTTGTCGTAATCCATGCATGCGGTGTTATACCAACGCATCAACCGTCATCGACTTCGCCCTCCGTCGGGTCACCTTCTTGCTGACCGTGTATACCAAATCCAGAGTCCAGAAGTGGCATATTTGCGCTTGCGCGCACGGAATCGAACCGAAAATCGGAGCGACCAGCGGCACCATGACGTAGTCGATGTAGTTGGTCTTGACTTCTCTCTTCGAGAAATGCATGCCTTTCAACAGACCGGCGTCGCCCATCTCCTTTTCGCGCGACTCAACGCACATCTTGTGGAAGCGCTCGTACAGGAAAAGGTACAAGGCGACTTCCATGACACCGAGCGTCCGGAGGATGTTGCACACGGTGAAGATCCAGGAAATTCCGTGAACGTCGCCGGTGCCGTCGGCAGCCCACATGTAGAGAGTTGAAGCGACGATCATGATGGTCGTTTGGACCGGCAGGAAGTGGGCTTCGAACAAACGATGGCCCATGAAGGCAATGCGCTCCCAATCGGGTTCCTTCAGGGTATCGGACACAACGTCGGAGAAAATACCGCTCTCGGGGACAGCCTCAGCATCTACCCCATCGATTTGCGACTCCGGAACATAGGTGTCCGAGTCGTCGTTCCTAGCTCATGTTAGCCATTGCATGCCACCCGCATTTATCTCGGCGCAACTCACATTGAGGTGTGGAGCGGCCGGAACGCCCTCGAGGTGTGCTTTCTCTCCTTCCAGACCTCGACAACCTTCCTGAGAGCATAACCGGAGTCGAGAGCACCCCACATGTGCCTCATAGCCTGCTTGTACCGAGCGCGAACGTCTTGGGCCATGCCAGGAAGCCCCTTGCCGCGGCCACCACCGGTGACGTTCGTTTGGCTGACAGGGCTCATGACCGTCCGCACGGTGAGATTTCCGTTGAGGGCGAAGAAACACTTGAGGTACATGTGAAAATCCTCGCCGATGGCCTCCGAGTCGCAGTCCCAACCACCAACACGGTCGACCAGCTCGAGAGGTACGGAGTAGACGGACGTGGGCGGGGCAATTGTTGAACCCTCGTATAGCCCGGACATGCCAGCGGCCGACCAGAGGATGTCAGCGACCCGGACAATAGCGGGGACGTTGTGGGCGTTCCGGTCGAAGATGATGGGAGCCGAGTACAGAGTTGTGGTAGCCACGTCGGGATAGGCCACATGCATGGTGGTCACACTGGCGAAATAATTGGACGAGAGGTGGCTGTCGGCTGCATTGGGCAAGTTTGGTTAGCGAATCCTGACGCACAGATAGCGCAATGGCCGTTGACCTGATCCAGGCCAACTGGCGGGGCACACTGACCATCGATACCCGTGACGATTACGTCCTTCCGCTGGCCCAGGTTGTACTTCTCGCTCAGCTTCCGCGCAGCCCATGCCATGTTGCTGCCCTTGCCAGCCAGCTCACCCGGAATGTCGGGAGGGTGGATCGTGAAGTCAATTGAGCGGAATTTCTTGGCGAACTCGTTGGTGAACCTCATGGCCTTCGTCTCGGCATTGTGTTCTCTCTGCTCCATGGCAAGGTAGACCTGATTCGCCGTGGTTAGCTCCGAGGAGTTATCGGGTAACGCAAAAACAGCAAAGATGTTCCCCTGAAGATCATTACTCCACCTGTCGCCACTCCAACAAACGACTGCGTGGAGAACTCAAGAACAGTTGCCAGCTGGCATTGCGGCGGGGGAAAGAAGGGGAGCAAACTCACATCGTAGGTGTTGCGCGCTTGCGGGTGCGAGGCGAGTACCTCGAGAGTCTCCCTCAGGGTGTCGTTCTCTTCCTTGTAGTTCGGGATGACAATTGCGTGAATGACGCGGTCGGGAGCAATGTCGCCGTCGCCGTAGCCCTCGAGTTCCAAATCGCCAGCCTCGCTGCTCGAGGTGGAGCTGATATCGCGCGAAGAGGTCAACGTCTCGGAGCTGGAGAGCGATGTCGACGAGCCACGGCGGCGGTGGCCGAACTTGATGTCCCTCATGGCCCTGGTGCGCGCGGCCTTTTTCAGGCTCCCCGTGATGTTGAAAACAGCCCAGCAGGACCGGATCGGAAAGATGAAGACGAGGAAGTGGATGAGTAGGCAGTAGTAACAGAATAATTTGAGCAAGCCGCCGCCAGTTTTCGGGTCGCGATGCGGCGGCGCACTAAGGCTGTCGAGTGTTTCATACTTGAAAGTATGCCGTCGGTTTTCCAGTTCGTTCGAGATAACCAAGTATGAAAGCGAGATGGTGCCCAGCATCGCCAGCCCTCCGACGCGGCGGCTGCACCACGCAAAGATCGACATGGTGTTTGACTGCACGAGCGAATAGGTCGAGAATCAGAGGCCCCAAATTATGTCGCGAATTGACCAGGCGAGGGAACCGGGTAGGCGAGTCGCGTTGCTGGAATTCCCTTGTGAATCAGATGCGCCGATGAATTGATCGGGGCTAGCGAACGGGTGACCGACAGCTTGACCGCGTGATGTGAGAAGTCGAGAGTTGGTGGAGGCCAGTGTGGACAGAGGGGACGCGAGTCGAGATGCACTCAGCGTGATGCTTCAACAGGTCCACAGGCGCAAGCTTCGAGCGACGGGAAGGAGGGACTGCGGGAGGAGAGGGTAAAAAAAAAGGGAAGAAGGAAAAAGAGGGAAATATTGGGGTGGAATGATTCCCGTCAGGCGGCGCAGTTCTGGTGCGCTGGGGCTTGTACACTACGGAGTATCTGTACTGTGTCGGGAAACGTGCTGGGAGCTGAGGGTCGCCGTCGATGAAACCCACGACAGGCCATCAGCAGAAAAAAAAAGGGGGGACTGCAAGCCCGCGCGTTCAGCGCCAGCCCGCCATGCACAGTGCTCGGGCTAGGGTGTTACTTTTGGCTAGGCTGGATGAGCACCACCAGGAACAGGGATGCGGTGAGGTGAGCCTGTCCAATATCTCACGCTTGCCCTGTTCGGGTAACAAATTTCCCACCCTGGAGAGAGCGAAGCATGGGTGCCGAAACGTTTCTCGCAAGCAAGCGGCAAGCGGCAAGCGGCAAGCGGCAAGCGGGAAAGAAACCGATGTTTGCTCCAGATGCCGATTTTTGCTCAACCTTTTGAACGGGTTGGCGATGGAGCCCGCAATTGGTCCCTTCGACTCGGTCGCCATCCGAGTCACGGCTCACTGCCCTCGTTCACGACTCGGCAGTGCTGCTCTTGGGGGCAGTGACGGAGCCACTACGCCACTTGCACCACCAAACTTACCTTTTTACAATGTACCTGGGAAAACTGCGGGGAAGGGACCGAGGACGCGGGAGCTTGCTTCAACGTTTTGAGTCTTCCATTTTTGGCGACACGCACAGGACGCAACGGTGACGGCAGCAATGGTTTCCCATCAGTGGGCGGCTGAGACAAACTCAGGGTCACGTTGAGAAATGTTCGGGTTCCAAGTCACTGCCAAGCAGCGGTAGTTCTCGCCCGGTTGCTTGTCGCTTGCAGCTTTGTTGCCTGCCTAGCAGCAAGAAAAAGGGACATGACGGTCTCCTTCACCAACCACAGACCGTCGTCAAGACACGCGTGGGGATCAACTCCACCGACCACCACGGCGGTGTATCCCTCCAAGACGAGCCATGCTTGCATCGTCGCCGTCAAGAGATACTCCAAATGGAGGTCAAACAAAGGTCGGGTTGAGCACCGTTTCGCGCCATTGCTTCTCCCGTGCTTCCCACGCGGCCAGCATGAACGGTTGGGAGCTGCGGCCGGTCGGGCGGCAGAAATCGCTTGGGAGGTTGATTCCGGGCAGCTTGGAGCTCCTGGTGTGGGGCCCCAGGTCTGTTTCTGAATGCTTGCGCACAGCATGACCCGCATCGCCATCCTGTTGAGATATCGAAGGACCTGACTGGGCAACGGGAACGAGCCGGCAAGTCGGCACAATGCCGTTTGTCATTGCTACCAAAGCACGGGCAAAAAAGCTGGAGCTGGGCTCCTGGGAAAGGTCAAATTACCAGCCTCCCCGGCCTGTCAAGTTGTTCCCGTCCCGTACCTCTCTGTTTTGGTTGGTGGATCGATGCCACTTTGGGGAAATTATGATGGGAGCTCCTCCTTCTTGTCAAGCACATCGAAGTGCCATTGGACTCGCAAAAAAGACAGGGACAGCTTCCCCCCACCTGTGCTTTGAAATGGGAACACTCGAGCGCGTTACGACCCGGTACGAGTAATTTTCTGCGAGCATGCTCAGCCATGCTTGCCGACGAATTCTGAGACGATGTCGGGTGGATGTCAGTTCTGCATCGCCTGGGGCTGACCAGCCCGCCCTTGTTGCTGACGCAAGATGACTTTCGATTGGGATTTCTCGATGCTGTCCAGGCTTTGGCGACCCCGGAGGTATGGACCTCACTCCGCAGGGCTGGGCAATTTGGCGATGGATGCTCACTCGATTGCCGAACGACGCCCGGTTTCTTTCGCAACGGGCACGATCCGCGTAACGACATGTATTGCGGGAGGCCTCGCTCATCTGACGAGCTCGGCAACTCCTGCACGATCATCTCATTTTAATCCAGGATGTGACGAGCACCCATTGGCTCGCCGAGACCTCAGTCTTTTTCCGGCGATTGCCCCAATCGGCAAGGGCCTCGCAAACCTTTTTTGAAGCTTCTTTTCCTCCCCTGTCAGCCTTGGGCGACATCATTTCGCTTGGCCCTGGTCTGAACCAACGTCGGGGCCGAGGTGGTCAATGGGTTGGTCAACTCTTCAGTCCGCGGAAACTGGTGATCCAGCTTGGCGGCTCGGCGCGTTTCCTTGTGGTGCGTTGTCATTACCGTGGACTTCGTACTTTTCGCGCCCTTTCGTACAATACCCCGGTGATCATGGGGGTCTGAGACAAGCTCGGGTTCCCCGTCAGCAATCGCTGGTGAACCGGGAGGCTGCGTTGAACCCGGTCACAACACTTCATTTGTGTCACCCAATTCACTGCAGAAGAAGGGGAAAGGAAGATGGCTCGAAACATGGCTGACTGATGACAGGCTTGCGCAACACCCCACGTTCAAAAAGTTCGACTGTCCATTCGGAGCATGCCTCCGGCTGGCGAGCAGCGTGTCTCCGACCGGACTGCGCCGTGATCCCGCCCCCCGGCCCGTCACTTGGGGTCCCGTTTTTCAGCCTTGTTCGGCGTTGTCACACCAATGAGCACTCGTCGCAATTTTAACGATTTCTCTCGCGTCTTGGACGCGTCTGTCAGGGCTCGCGAATTTACCGACCCCGCCATCTCACCACCGCGCAAGCGCTTATCGATCTAATCTCCGGGCTAATTGAAGGAGCATGCGTACTTGGTTCCTCCATTCTCCTCATACGGTTAGTTACCAACAACGATGGGGCAAATGCATGTTCCCGATCGTGTACTGTGTAAGGTCCCGTTTCCAGCGGCCGAGAGCTCGCATCCACTCGTATGCTTCCACATCATTTCGACATGTTGCGACGTCGGGGCTGGGCTGGGTTTAGAGGCTTGCCATCCCCGGGAGACCGCATTAGACTTGGGTTAAAAGTCTCAGTGGTGTTGAAGCTGTCCCACCCACGACTTCTCCAGGCGAACAGATGCCGGGAAAGGCACGGTCCAATTCGAGATGCGGCCCGGGATGCGCAGACGGAAGGGTGCCGAGGACCCGATATTGCCCCACACGCCCTCCGGAGGTGGCCGCCTCCACAAGCCGGCCCCCATCCGGGTCCGATACGGGAGAGCCGCTTCCCTCACGTCCATGCTGCCCAGTGTCTCCTAGATCGAACAGTGTGCTTGTTTCCGTTGTTTGTTGGTGTTTGGGCGTCGAAGTAAACCAGGCTCACGCCCTTGCCTGTTTCTCAATCCCCCACTGCAGCAGCTCGACTTTCTCTGAGCTTCCAGGTTACACGGCTCAATAAACGCCACAAAGGGGTGGGGTCCCTGGCGTCTGTGACCGCAAGCTTTTCAATCCACATTCATAGCCGATCTGATCGTAGGGGCGATCATAGCCGTATCCTGCTCATGTACCCTCACACCACCTTCTCGAACATCTTCTGGATGGGTTTGGCGGCCTGTGAACCAACTCATTAGTGACATGGTCGTCCGTGACACCAGCCGTAACTTACATCAATAAACTTTTCCAGATCCTTGTCGAGATTCGCCAGGTCGTCTCTCCGCTTCTTGTTCTCGGCGATGAGCTTTTGCTTCCGCTTCTGCAGTTCCAGTCGCTGCTGCTCGAGTGTCTCGCGCTCTGCCCTCTCATGGTTGATCCGCGCCACCATCAGCGCGTTCTCGTCGGCGTCGGCATGCTCGGGGTGTTGGGATAGGAACTCCTCTACCGGAATCAACGGGAGGAGCTGGTATGTGTGACTAAACAACAACAAAAAGAAGACCGTTAGCAACAGCAAATCCCCAAGGATAACAGAACAGAACCAGAAACACGCACTCAAACCCCTCGCAGGCGGCAATCTCTCCCTCCAAGTGCCGCTGCTCGTAGTACAGGTTCTGGAGCTGCAGGTGCAGCACATCGACCTCGTGGCGCGCCTCGGCCGTCTGGCTCTTGGTCTCGCGCGCGCGGAAGTGGGCGGCCCGGTGCAGGCCCCGCAGGTGGGCGAGGTTGGTGTTGAGCAGCTTCTGCTGCTTCGAGATCTCCGTCAGGGCGTCGGCGGGGAGGGGCCCGGCGGTGTTGGCGGCGATGGCCTGCGCGACCAGGTCGACGAGCGCCTGCGCCTGCTCCCGCGCGGCCCCGGACGTCTCGACGGCCGATGCCAGCGAGGGGTCGGTGATGTGGTCGTCGATCGCCATGGCTGGATGTTTTCTTGGATGGCTTGCTGAGTTGGCTGGTGGTGGGCAGTGATGCGACGGAAGTCGGTTCGGCCGATCGGGCCGCCGGTTCAAGAAAAGATGTGGGCCGGATGTGCGTTCGTGGTGAGGGAATGCAGTGAGGTGCAGTCGGTCGTGGGGAGCGTTGGGCCAAGTCACTCGGGATTTCGTTGTCCGAATTCAAGTGGGGATAGTGGAGGGACGCGGCCAACAAATTTTGACGTGGTGATGATGAGCTTCTTTGCGCTGGCGAATTATCGGGGGTTGGCTTCACATGCGTCGGAAGATGTTCCAGTTGTCGAAAGGAAAGCCAAAAGCAACACATCCTTGGCTTAGTATTGGTGTTGAGCTTGTGGGGCTGCAGCGGCAACAACGGCAGTAATTGGCGCCCTGGCACATTGTTGAATGCACCAGAGCGGGCGCTTTCGGGCGCTAGGCCTTGGGCTCGGCCTTCGCTGCAGCCATGGAGAACCAGCGGTTACCTAACTGACAGCAGCCCCTCTCCCGAAGTCCCATGTAGGTATTTACTTCCATCTCATCCGACATTCCATTCAACCTCCTGGCCTGGTTTTACCAATGCGCACAGCCCATGACAGATCTTTGACTGAATCGGATCTTTTGTCCGGGATTGCCCTGATGTTCGCTTCTAGAATTTCCCCTTCCTAGCCATCTCCCCTTCTTCCATAACCAACAACCTGGATTCCCAAACAGCGAGTGGCGACCAAACAGGAACGATTTTTCCCTCACCACCAGAATACACGTCGCACCCGATCCCTCATTTCCCGGTTGCTTGCCTTCGAGCCGGCCCTGCATACAACAGTGCCCCTCCTGTTTGGCTACAATCTACTGCTACACCAACCGAACACCTCTTCCAGTCGCACCAGACTGTGTAGGGTATATCCGGTTGTTTATACTTTCTCTTTTCCATCATGGATGTTTCATCCAACATGGGGTGTCCCGCCCCTTTCACTTTTGGCTCCTGTGACGATGCTCCGAAAGGCGCGTCTTCCGGGGCGCAGCCCCAGGGTCGGCCCAACGCCCGGAGGCGGCGTCATTCCCACTTCTTGCAGAGGAGAAAGTCCATCGTCAACCATCTTATGGAGGGCGAGGAAGGCCTGCTTCTCAAATTGGATCTTTTCTTGACCGAGCTCGAACGGCGGCTCGAGGATTGGGAAAACTATGCGGAACTTAGCTTGGACTCTAACATCTCGGCCGTCTTCGAGACCCTGCAGGCTGTTCGGACACGATGCTCGCAGGCCTCGGAGGAGGTCATGGGTGCCGGGCGGAGGCGACTGCACGTTATGGTGGAGACACTCGAATCTGGCTATCACGAGGCCTTGTCTGCGGCTGGCTCGCTGAACGAGAAGGCAAAGGTCGGCATCGAATTGCTCGATGAGATGCTGCAGGAGATGGAGGAGCAGGCGGCGAGGTTCCGCGAGAAGGGGCTTGCGAATGCCGCCGAGAGCCTCATAGACGAGGCGCACCGCGTTGTCGATGGGGGCATCGAGAGAGCGATCCGTGCCGCCGAGACCCTCGAGGACCATGTTCAGCGCGCCATCACCCGGGCCAGAGAGCACGGCTTGATCCGGTACGAAGATCTGCCGATACCCTGGAGGACCAACCCGCACATCACCAAGGGCTACCGCTTCTCCGAGACCAAACTCGCCTGCGTGAGGTCAGCCTTCACCTTCTCCAACGAGCTCGTCAATATCTGGTCCCATACTATCGGCCTCGTTCTCGTCCTCGCCATCGCCTTCTACTTCTACCCCACGAGCACAAACTTCTCCCAGAGCTCCAAGACCGACATCTTCATCGCGGCAGTCTTCTTCTTTGCCGCTTGCCAGTGTTTGATCTGCAGTGTCATCTGGCACACGATGAGCTCAGTCGCCGATGTTGGCCTCATCTCCATGTTCGCTTGTGTGGATTATACCGGCATCTCCCTGCTGATCGCCGCCTCCATTATGACAACCGAGTACACCGCCTTCTACTGCGAGCCCGTGAGCCGTTGGGTCTACATGGTTACCACCGCTCTCTTGGGCATCGGCGGCGTTGTCCTTCCGTGGCATCCCCGGTTCAACGGCCAGGATATGGCATGGGCGAGGGTTGCCTTTTACGTCGCGCTCGCGGCGACCGGCTTCCTCCCGATTGTCCAGCTCTCGATCACGCGCAACCCCGAAGCGGTCTTCGAGTTTTACACTCCGATCGGCAAATCGCTTCTTGTCTATTTGGTCGGCGCTCTAGTCTATGCCAGCAAAGTCCCCGAGCGGTGGCGCCCCGGCATGTTCGACTACGTCGGTGGCAGTCACAACCTTTGGCACATTGCTGTGCTCGGGGGTATTCTGTTCCATTACACAGCTATGCAAGAATTATTCGCCCACGCCTTCAAACTCGCCAAGGACGGTTGCACAGCATACTGAGTTTCCCATCTCCATCTGCTTTTCGGCTCAATCCAGGGGGGCAGGCACAGGGGCTGTTTCCTTCAGGTGGCCACATGGCAGCACCGTCGACCGCACACCATCCGTCTTCTCCTGTGGCGCGCTACGCTTTGCTGCTGGCTCAGAATGCTGGCAATGGGGGTTGTCCTCATGCGTTATGCCATCACCGCCACCGCTTTCGGTGAAGCATCACGGGTAATCCGACTGCTCAAATCTCATGGGAGCCGATTCCTATCATGCTCAGTGCCCCGCAGATACGAAAGAACGGTGGAATCTCGGGGCTGAATCGGTATTTGGTGCTTTAAGCCGCTGAGCCCAGGGTTCTATTCCTGTTGGCAAGACTGGATACACTCGCCCTGTCATATATCCGGTCTTGTCCTCAGTATTGTTGGCTCCGGGGGTGCCGTCGTTGCGAGGCTTTCCAAAATCTTGAGACCCGGCAACACGAAGCCTGCATTTTCAGCACATGTCTCCAAGTCTTCGGTCTACGCTACTTGTCAGCATTCCTGCCATTCTTCGGCGGAGACGATGCGAGCCCTTACGTCCAAGCAGCAATACCCAGCGACTGGTGCACACCATGTCCCCACCTCGCAATAACTGTTGTCGACATCACAGCACGACTTCACTGCAGGTCAGCTATAGTCGTGCAGCCGTGTACGGAACGGAGGTGGCCAACTTACATGTCCCAAAGCCGGACTATAGCAGGACTTGCTATTCTGATCTCATCATTCAGCAAACCAAATATCTCCATGTGAGCGAACAGCGAAGGGAACATACCCGACTCCCACACTTCGTCCACCCGTCACCATACGTCTCTCCGCACGACATATACTGTCGCGTAACGCCTGACATCTGAGCAAGGTGCCCCAGTAGCTTTTGCCGGTCTGCTACCGGCACTGCCGCCGCCAGCACGCTGCTGACGGCCAGGTGCCACACAACCACCCATTGATGCATTTTGTCGGTTTTCAGCGTTTCCCCTCCCCGTTCTCCCTTCGCATCCAGCGATCAAAATTTCGATTTTCGTCCTCGTTATAGTGCGTCCGTTGTTATCCACATGGCAGTCGCGTTGTTTCCACCAGGGAGTGGCAAAAACGGCGGAACCGGTGGACACCGAACAGTGATGCGGGCGCGAGTCTTTTGTACCCGCCGGACAGAGGCTGCGAGACGCGACCGAGCGTTCCCCTTGCCGTACTAGCTAGGGCGTAACGAGAGACAAGCGGGCATCAGACGCCGCTGGGAGATGCCGAGCGACGTGGCACAGGGAGGACGGAGGAATGTACTGGTCGTGCCAGAGGCGGAAGCCACCGGGCTGCGGTGAGATTTCTGTTCTAAAATATCGTTTTTGGGGATTAGACTTGACGTCGGGTTGGCAGACGTCCGGATGATGAAAAATAAATTAGATGTAGGGTCCAAATTAGAGGAGGTTAGGGGAGCGGAGACAGCGTGGCCAGGATCTGCGTCATGGCACACAGCGTATGCAAGGTACAGGACACCACGGTATATATATTAATATCAGCATCATCCACAGACCCAACGGTCAGCACAGCTCCTAGAACTTGCCGGCTCGGTGTCACAGCCGCTGTTTCACGCGTGCGATGAGAGGGTTAGCGCGTGATTTGACCAGCCCAGGGAGAGCACGATTAGGGAACATGAAATCCGGCTGCTGTAGTAGTATATTAACTCTCCCTACGCTTCGTTGGCCCGCCCGCCGCACCTTCAATATTGTGCTCCCTTCTCATGGAATAATATCCACTTCCCCGAGGAAACAGCTCGTCGAGAAAAACGATTGAAACCCCAAGAAACGCCCCTTGCCTGAACACAAAAATGGCGTCGACGGTCATGCAGGGGTTGGTGAAACGTCGACTGACACCAGCCTGGGCACTCGAACCACCCGTTCTACAGATTACAGAGCACACAGGCTCGAGTACCAAGCAAACTCGCATGTGGCCGGAAGGCGTCCGAGAGCCAATGCTACCTCAAAACACGGATTAAGTTGAGTGACAAACTGATGATACTGTGTAGTCGGAAAAGCATTAACAAGAATGCTATGTATCGCTGCATAGGTACCTACTCAAACTGCAAGCAAGGGAGGAACAGCTGTAAAACCATGGCTAATAAGCACACCAACTCGAACCGCGCCGTTGGTGTAATAAGGCCGATTTGCCGGCCGATTGAAACCAAGAAAAAACGTGGCAAAGCAAAGAGCGCGCCGATCTCCTTTGTCTCTCCCTCCAACCGTCTAAGTAGTTATCTCCCTCCCTCCGTCAGATATCAGCCGTCCATCAATCCGCCGGATGATTGCAACTGCACAACAAACCCGGCCGTTCGGCAACACCCACCCCGCCCCGCAGCAAGTGGTAACACATGTCTGTCTAGCGTCGGGAGGTAGCCTGCGCTACCACCCCTCCCTACAAAAGTAGTGCAGCATGACGTGCTCTCTCCCAGACGACTCTCTGAGGCGATGTGTCGCGTGGCAGCGCGTCTGAAGGCGCGTTCGCGACGCTTGGGGGTTGATCGGCGCGGCTGGGGAGGTTGGTTTATTGTCCCTGATTGAACCCCGATGGAATGGGAATTCTTCCACACGGCTGTCTCGCCCCAGCCGGAGGGGGCCGGGGCTGGATAGGCTATGTATGGGCGAACAAACCAACTCGGTTCCTACGATAGGTGATCGCCCATCTCGATACCGCGCGCGGTATGCGGGTAAATGCGTTAGTGGCGCTTCATTCGCTTTTCCGATTCTCCCTCCCCCTGGCGCGGATCTTGAGTGATCACCACCAAGGTCCTTAAGCCTAGGGGTTGCTCCCGTGGAAGCAGCCGGAAGACCAGGCGTGCACAATGGGTTGATCCTGAGACTGGGCCAGCGGGATATCGCGGTCCTGGATCGCTTGGTCTCGTTGCTGGTCGAGCCCCCCAGTACGCCGGCACGTCAATCGCGGCTCGGCGACTTATAGAGGTGCCGCTGGGGAATTCATTTCCAGGGCGGTACGTGTATTAGTATTAGGCCAGACGGGCATGGTCAAAGGGACTGGTATTCAAAATTCGTTCCCGCTAGACCGTCCGCCGTCGGATGTTGTCGCGTTGGCAAAAGGTCGCATGGCTTGCTTTACCGGGCATGAGCAACAATTTCGGCGTAGACATCGTCGGGTATCATTTTTATTACGGCGAGCGTCGTGGCCTTGATCTGGTCGGCCTGGAGCGCTGGGAATGATCGGAGGAGCTTGTTGGGGCTAGTGGTCATTTGTTAGTTATGCTGCTCAATGAAAGTGAAAGTTAAGCCGGGCGTACCTAGGCGATTCCATGATCTTGGTGCGAATCATAACCAGCTGCGCAACTATGCAAAGGATATTAAGATGCGGCCCGTACGCAAAGAGAAAGTCCCAGAGCCTCAGGACCTCGGGCAACGGAGGCGTGCAGGCGCATAGCGTCAGAACGGAGGGGAAGGCGTAGATCTCGGCCGACAGGTTTTTAGAAAGCAAGTGCAGGCTGAGCTTAGGATCGACGATGGCTAGCACCTTGTCGACCAACGCCAGCCCTTTGTGCACACCGTCCATAGCACCGCGGATGTATCCCGGGCACTCCTTGGTCAAGAGCTGATGGAAAGCGACATATGCCTCGGCCTCGCTGCGGGCGGCGTACAGGAAGGGGGCTGCCAAAACGTTCATGCCCTGGACATAGGTGCCCGGTTCGGCCGTCACGCTGGTGACGGAGCCCTCGGTCGTCAGTGTTAGGGCACGCGCTCTCTTGGCTGCTGGAGAGGAGGCTGGGCTTCCGAAATCGCTGCTGTAGCCCGTTCCCGGTCGGCTACTGGATTGGTCGAGCGATTGACGCGAACTGCTAGCCACGCTCGGGTCGCGCGTTCGCCCCTCGCGAGCATCATGTAGTGTCCAGGCGAAGGCATTGAGCAGGCGGATGAGGCTCGCCTCGCTCACACGGCGTCGGAAGAGTGGGTCGGTGGATAGAGTGCGGAAGGTATCGTTGCGGATCTTCGAATAGGCGGGGGACGCGCCACGGTGGATGAGGGAAAGGTAACTGTCGGTTTCGAGCATGGGCGCGTTCAGGAGGATGAGCCAAACGTATATACGGAGGGAAGACTATGCTCTCGAGTTAGCGACCCGAGAAATCACACCTGCTAGGGCCGCCACGGCTGCTCGGGGTGCCGCTCACCATGCCATCGCCGTCAGACCTGATGCCCTGGTCGAGGATCTTGAGTCGCGTGCTCTCGAGGGCACCCGCCACGTCGCCATTGGGGGGTCCTTCCCGCAGGAGCCTTTCCAAAGTCATGGCGTCGGCCGCGAGGGACCGCCTGCCGAGCGCAGAACGGCGCGTCGCCGTTGCTGCCGTCATGTTCGCGGTACTGAACTGGGCGGCGTTGGGGATCGGTGGTGCGTCGCTGTTGGAGCGTCCTCTCTGTGGCGAGCGGTTGGTGCTCACATGTCTTCTCGCCGGGGCAGGAGGGTACCGTTGGAGGTGCTGGTTCAAATTCTGGAACTGGACCTGGGGCTGTTGCTGCGGTTGGAGTTGGAGTCTCTGCTGAGAAATGAGCGACGGTTGGGCTGCAGCCTTCGCTCCCAGGCTGTGAGCCGACTGCAATCTCCTGAGTGTTCGTTGAGGGCCCGGAGAGCTCGGGGGGTGGAGTTGCATCGCCGAGGAAAGAGGGCCTAGCGGAGACTGGGTTTCCTTGGTCGGACTCGGCATCCTGTCTAATTGATTCAAATCTCGCAGGGTCATTGTAAAGGGGGCTTTTTTAAACACTCTTAATTGGGAAAGTTTCGAGACGACGAAAACGACGCCGGAGATGGCAGCGCTCTGCCACAGCAAATCTCAGGCAGGGTGGTTGACGATTGGGCTGAATCCTGGCAGGAGGTTGGAGGAAAAGTTGGACGAGTGAGCGCCCTGAATGCGGGCTGCCCGCAACCCGGAAGTGCGCTTGTGGACGGCCCAGCCGCCGTGTTCATTTCGCGACAACGCGTCCGTTTAGCCAATAACGAACTCAACTGCACTTCCGAAACGGCAAGTTCTCCTCCTGTGCGATGGTCGACCTCTGTAGTGTACATCGTATGGTACGAAGTACACCCTGTGCCACCCTCGTGACAGTCTTCACGGACTCGAATTCTCCTCGGTGCCTCGTCTTGGAATTCTTTTTTTTTTTCGAAGATCCTGTGAGTTCCTTCGCTCATCGGGGCATGGAACGCGCGGATCCTTGGCGGATCATTCTTGAATCTCGCGTGGCTGAACGAGGGGCTTCCCAATCTGGCGGTTTATGCCCCACCAAACACAGGCTCGCCCGGTTCCCCGGCCGTTGCCCCGCACTTTTGGAAGCCACCGAAGCCCGGAAACTTTCGAGCATTTGCAAGCAAAGAATTGCGATGTTCAGTCAAGAATGCAAATCTCAACCAATCTTACCAATCTTCGGAGAAAAGCCAGCGATGCCAACAGCAAAAACGTCCTCGAGTCCATCCCACTCCGAGTTTCTTCGCATGCACCGGACCGAATGACAAGGCTCACTGAATCCTAACCGAAATCTCGAAATTAAACTTGAAAGTGCAAACAAGTTGGATTCATGCGACCGGGGGATTTTAACCCCAGCAAGCCACTTCCCTTTGCTGGTCTTCAAGAATGATTTGGGGCCGTCGAGGAGAAAGTTTTGGAATCATGGGCGACGAGCCTTGACCGAGGGAGGGCGCTCCTCTCCAGGCCAGTGTGAAGTGATTTTGTCCGCTGGCGATTGAGGCAGAGGAAGTATGAAGTCGATGTCTCGGGATATATTCTGATGATCCAGATCTTGCGCGCTGCGTTCAATCGGATGGGCGACACAGGTACACACATGTTTGCCCATGTGTGTGCGATGTTTCATCCGTTTTCAACCTGTGGCCTCCCCTCGCTTTCCTGAATAGGATATCGGCTGCATGGGGATTGGTCGGTATGGCACGCGCCCGAAGGATGGGTTTTGCCCATGCCAGAGACGGGCGGCTTTGTCCACAAGCTCCGATGCGGCTCGTCGCGGCTCGTCGCGCCCCGACGGGAGTCGATGTTGAGCAAACAATGTTAACATGGTCTTAGTCACATGGGTAGCTTTTTAGGTTCACGATTCCATGAGATCCTTGACACCGGACAGATCTCCATCCCGGGTTGGCACGTTGGCCGCGCGTCTCCACGCTCTGATCAGGCCCCGCGGCAGGTTCCACGATGCTTTTCTCTCGATGATGTTTCTCACCCCACCGATCAGCGATCTCACACCGACTCGGATTCCCCGTCAGGCTAGGAGCTCGGCTTGTCCCGGCGACTCGTCGAGACTATGCGGTCATACTTGGGTGGTAACACGGCGATAGGATGCGACTATGACCTCGCAATCTGTCGGATCACATCCGTTGCACGGGCAGTCGGCGCTGTCTGAGAGACCGAGCCTGACTGCGAAGGAGGCCGATCAAAGGTCAAAGCGGCAGAGCGGGGCAGACATTCCCATTCGGATCTCAGATGCTGGAAATCCGCGCAGCCGCGAGAAGCCGCGTCCCTCGATCCAGGAAGCTGGTTAACGAGATCGAACACGCGGGGTTATGGTTTACAAATCATGGCTATTGGACTAGCCGAGAGAAATCACCTTGAGCTGGACGATTTCTCAAGTTAACGTGGGGGTTAAGCTTTGAGGCGCTGAACTTGGCGAGCACATCATCGTTGGGGCAAAATTGCATCATCGCCATCCCGGCAGTTTATTCGTTGCTCAGCTCGGCACGCTGACACGGCTGCCCACCATGACGCCGCTTCTGCGCTCTCGATGGGACCCAAGCACAGCGCGCCAAAGCACCGGTGCCTCTTGCCGCCGAAAAACCGTTGTTGGGCGTGCTTCGGTTGCTTGGTGAGTGCTTGGGTGCTTGGGTGCTGGGGTATGCCGCTGGGCGGTCTGGGCAGTATCGGGCTGCACGGCGTCCGCAGGTGGCATGCATGCGCAAGTGACAAAAGCATTGTCGTATCCATGACCACAAAATTACTCGATTCAGCCGGCATATCTACCTACTGTGTACAGTTATGGTGTTCCTTCGTCTCAACCACCTCCGACTTCCTCGGGGATGCCCCGGACGCAACGGAGGTACGGAGGTAAGGACCCCCGACAAAGCAGGGACGGAGCATGTACCGTTGCCCCTCGTCCCGGCCAGGGCACAAGCAAGGCCACCTCGTCCCTTCTGGGCAGCTTATTCGCCCAACTCTGCCATGGCAATATCCTGACGGCTGGTTCCATCTCCAAGATGCCCCAGTTCCACTGTCAAACTCCCGCTGCTAAGCTGTGATAGGCAAGGCAGCGATTGCGCCATCCAGCTGGTGCCCGCTCTCCGCAAGTTCCGAGACCCGCTTCCTCACATTCTGTCGATGTACTTGGTAGTGTAGTAGCGAGGAGCGGGACAAGCCAAGCCCTTGTCAACCCTTTTCTTCACAGTATCTATTTTGATGACAATTGCAAAAGCACTCAACTTTCTTAATATCTTCGGAGCTGGCCTCTCTCCATCTTGCCCCCCTCTCAGAGCTCCCTATCAACTAGGATTCTCATCGAGCACTGGCCGCCGGGCAGTTTACACGGACCTCCTCCGCATCTTTAACACTGCGCCATACCGGTCTCTGAGTCTCGGCCTTCTCTACCATTATCATTGCAGCATATCAACTGCTGTTCGACACCACACGCCATAATCGCCCCCTCACGTTCATTTGTGCGGGCCCCCCGTGCGAACTTCTGCGCTCCCGAGCCAACCCATTGCTCGTCCGCTTTCATCTTCCCATACTACAGATCTGTACTTCCAACCTCCGCGCACAAACCGAGATCATTGATATCTCCCATTTCTCGGCTTTGGAAGAACGACTCGACTTCACACACCACCTCACATCTTCATATTCCCATCTCTAGGACCGTCTCTCTAGCCCGCGCCGCCCAGTCTCAGCCATAAGACGGCGCGATGCCTCTCAGGGCCCGCCAAACTGTGGCCAAAGTGCTAGGTATCAAACTTCAGGATGAAGACCCTTTCCGAGAGCTCGACAGGCCCGGGGCTTCGGTGGTGTCCGACCGGACGGACCACACCTTTGTGGAGGAGCCCCCTCAGGTTGTCGACTACTTGAGAACCCTCATTCCGTCAGGCCAGGAGCTCTACGAGTACTCCCTCTCGCTGTTCCCCTTCCTCTCCTGGATCGGACACTACAACTTGCAGTGGCTCATTGGAGATCTCGTTGCCGGTAAGAACCCCTCTTCTGGTAGTTATAGGAACAGATCACTCACTGCCGCATAGGTATCACTATTGGCGCTGTCGTCGTTCCCCAAGGTATGGCCTACGCCAAGCTGGCAAATCTCGAGGTCCAATTCGGTCTCTACTCTTCCTTCATGGGCGTATTGGTCTACTGGTTTTTTGCCACCTCTAAAGATATCACCATTGGTGTAAGTGGGCTCCACCAATTTGTGCAACTTGGGAAGTGCTGACGGTATCACACAGCCGGTCGCCGTCATGTCGCAGCTTACCGGTGGCATTGTCGCCGACCTGGCCGTCGCTTTACCCGACGTCGAGGCCCATGTCATCGCTTCCGCTCTCGCGATCCTTGCCGGTTCCATCGTCCTGTTTATCGGGCTCATCCGCTGCGGATGGATCGTTGATCTGATCTCGCTCACTGCCCTCTCGGCTTTCATGACTGGCTCGGCCCTTAACATCGTGGTCGGTCAGATCCCTTCTATGATGGGCATCACAGGCTTCTCGACTCGCGACGCGCCCTACCTCGTCTTCATCCACACCCTTCAAGGCCTACCCCGCACTACTCTGGATGCTGCTATGGGGCTTAGTGCTCTGACGATGCTGTACCTGATCAGGGCAGGCTGCTCGCTCGCTGCGAAACGGTGGCCGAAGCACCAGCGCCTAGCCTTCTTTCTCTCGACCCTGAGGACTGTCTTTGTCATCCTCCTGTACACCATGATCAGCTGGCTCGTCAACCGGGGTCTTCCCGAGGACCAAGTGAAATTTAAGATCCTGCTCGACGTCCCGAGAGGTGAGTTCTAAAGTTTGGGTAGGCACTAGTCAAGACTAACCGAGACGCAGGCTTTCAAAATGCGGCGGTCCCCGTGCTTAACCAGCGTATCGCGAGCAACCTCGCCAGCTATCTGCCCGCCACCGTTATCGTCCTGTTGATTGAGCACATCGCCATCTCGAAGTCGTTCGGGCGGGTGAACAACTATACCATCAACCCCTCGCAGGAGATGGTCGCCATCGGTGTCACCAACATGCTAGGCCCCTTCTTGGGCGGATATGCTGCCACCGGCTCCTTCAGCCGTACCGCTATCAAGTCAAAGGCCGGCGTCCGTTCTCCGTTTGCCGGTGTCATCACCGCGGCTGTGGTCCTGCTCGCCATCTACGCCCTGCCCGCGGTGTTCTACTACATCCCGAACGCCTCCCTCGCCGCCGTCATCATCCATGCCGTCGGTGACCTGATCACGCCGCCAAACACCGTCTACCAGTTCTGGCTCGTCTCGCCGCTGGAGGTCTTCATCTTCTTCGTCGGCGTGCTCGTCACCGTCTTCTCAACCATCGAGAACGGCATCTACGCCACCGTCTGCCTCTCGGCCGCCATGCTGCTCTACCGCATCCTGCGGGCCAAGGGCCGGTTCCTCGGACGCGTCAGCGTCGCATCCATGCTCGACGACCACGTGGTCGGCGACGACTCGCGCCGGGGCGGCGAGTACGGCACCTTCACGGGCTCCCCGGAAGCCCCCTTCCGCAACGTGTTCCTCCCCATCACCCACGCCGACGGCTCCAACCCGGAGGTGGAGCTGGACAACCCCTACCCGGGCATCTTCATCTACCGCTTCGCCGAAGGCTTCAACTACACCAACGCGAGCCACAGCCTGGGGTACATGACGGACTACATCTTCGCGCACACGCGCCGCACCAACCTCGAGAGCTTCGACCGCCCCGGCGACCGGCCCTGGAACGACCCGGGCCCGTCCCGGCGCAAGCTCAAGGCCGCCGCCGCCGCCGCCGCCGCCGCCATTGACGAAAACAACGACGAGGACGACTCCTCCAACCGCCCCACCCTCAAAGCCATCATCCTCGACTTCAGCTCCGTCAACCACGTCGACATCACCTCGGTCCAGCAGCTCATCGACGTGCGAAACCAACTCGACCGCTACGCCGCCCCGGGAACCGTCGACTGGCACATCGCCTGCATCAGCAACCGGTGGGCGAAGCGGGCGCTCGCGGCGGCCGGGTTCGGATACCCGACCGCTCGCCCGGACGTGCCGCATCTGCGGTGGCGGAGTATCTTCTCCGTGGCGGAGATTGGCGGCGCGCAGAGTGCGGCCGCCGCGGCGGAGTTGGAGGATAATGAGAAGTTGTTGGAGACGGAGCTGAGGCGGGTTTCGTCTTCGGTTGCGCCTAGTCGGCATCGGCATCGTCTGCATGATTTGGAGGCGGGGTTGCCTGCTGCTGCTGGGGGTGAGGGTGGGAGTGGTGGTGGCGGGAGTGGTGTGTCGGCGAAGGGGGAGGATGATGGCGGTAGTGCTGAGACAGAGGGTGATGATGGGAAGGGAGGTGTTGAGGCGGCGCCTGCGCCTGCGCTGCATGCGGGCCGCACGGTGGCCGTGCATGGCATCAACCGCCCGCTGTTCCATGTTGATCTGACGAGTGCGCTGCAGAGTGCCGTGGCCAATGTCGAGGCGCGCGGGGAGGTTGAGGTTGCTGGGCAGGATGCGGTTGCGGTTGCGGTTGGGGCTGATGCCGGTGCGGGTGTTGGTGTTGGTGCTGGTGCTGGGACTGCGACGGGGGCTGGGACAGCGGTTGGTGGGGAGAGGGCGGGCAGCGGGGAGGTCACGGATACGAGCGGAACGTTGAGGTGATTAGTTGGTGAGGTGGGTGGTGATGTTGGGAGGGAGCGTAAATTCTAGAGGAAGCGGTGGCGTTGGGGCGTCGCATTGCGGGTTGGATTGGTTTTTTTGGGTTTTGGTTTCTGATTGGAAAATACCCCCATAGAGCATTTCTGGAGAGAATTCATTTTGCGTATGAGCAACCGGGAGATGATGTTTTGCCAATCCGTTTCCAGATCGTGGTGGCTTGGACATGCGAGGTGAGTTCATCCGAGTCATTTCAAAGACGGCCGGATTAGCACCAAGGTTGTAACTGTGTCTTCGCACCAAAACATGGGCACTTGTGAAGGTAATCCAGCTTGATGACTCTATCGTGGCCGGGTGTTGGTAATGCTCTCAAGTCAGTGTGTAAACATCCAATTTGTCACGCCACGAGTGTTCGAACGGATTCAGCGATATCGGTCTTTATTGCAGCAAAGCTGGGTCAACCAGCTCTGCAGTCACACGCCTCTATCTAGGTGTCCAACAGACAGACAGCCCTGTGCACCCGCCAGCGAGTGTCTCCTCTGCCACTCTTCGCTGTTCGGAGTGACATCCCGATTACCCATGGTATCTAGCGGCACTGAGCCGAGGGGTTTTGTAACAGAATGAATGGTATATACGAAAAACAGAAACACCGAAAATCCGCTACCGTTTCCGTTCATGGATCGAATCAAGGCGGCCAGCGCGCCTGACGTTTTTTGTACCGTTTAAATAAGCGCGCGTTGGTCGCGCTCGTTTGTGTTTGTAAGAACCCTCGCTCCGGAGCTTATGATCCGCGAGGTCTCTTCTTTGGCCCCCCTGGACTCTCCTGCGAGCTGCCCTGGGAGACCGGGCGTTTTGCGCCTCTCCCACTGCCCCTCCCACCCCCCCTACCGCGGCCGCCTCCGCCCTGACCACCACGCCCCCGAGCGCTCGCCGGCAGATCGGGGGTGAGAAACCGCACGCTACTGCTAGAGCGGCTTGGCTCGGGGTGTTGGACAGCGCCCGGAGATGGTTGGTCTAGTGGCGGCGTCTCGCTCCTTGGGACGCCGCTCCCGCTGGCCGCACCGACATCCTCGACCTTGTGACTGCGCATGCGGGCGATCAGACCCCGCATATTGGCGACATAGGAAGGCGGTGCGCCGTACACGCCGATCTTCTCCATGATCTCTTCAAGCGCGTCGATATACTGGCTCTGGTCGGCAAGCATGTCGAGTGCCGAGTAGACGAAGCCTGTGTCATGGTCACCGACCAGACGTGCATACAGGTCCTTCTGTCCGACTACGGCCTTGAGAATGACAACAAGAGACCGGGCGGCGGACGACCGAGCCCACCCGGAAAGTGGACTGGAGCCGCGGGAGACAAGCTTCTCAATCCGCCTTACGCTGTGCTGGATTTGACGGCATGCCCAGTCCACGCTTCGAGGGGCCCCTGTCCGCCTCTCTCGCCTCTCAGCGACGGTTGGGTCGCGCTCTGGGTCCAAGGATGCGTCTAGTTGCTGTATGACACGGATGACTCGGTACTGGATGCTTCGGAAGGGGTCGACCGCGGGGTCGGACGGGCTAAGCTCGGCGCGCACCCACTCTGCGAGCGAGTGTGAGGCGAGAATGAGAGAGAACAAGGTCGCTCCCAGATCGCCACGGCGTATCAGGTTGTCGGGGTTGTACGAGACTTCTAGGTCCGGCCTGTAGTCGTCAAGCTCGTAGGGCTGGACGCCCGCTACCGCAGCAACCATTTCTCGTGCTTCTCTTACACGAGTCGGGTTGGGAGGGGTGATGTCGCTGTCGGGCTCGGAGGCGTCGCAGCGGAGGTCGTCGGCAAGGATGTCGAGACCGATTTGTGATATCTGGTCGAACGGGTCGCCCAGCTCTTCGGGGTAGCCAAACTCGGTCAAGTTGAGCTCTGAGTCAGGATCGTGATCGAAAAGGGCTTGTTTTGAGATCTTATCGAAGAGCCAGATGAGGTGCTTGCAGGGGCTTGCTTGGCCGTATCTCGCATCGGGGCACTCGCACTTTGGGGTTGAGAACCTCCCGCTGTCCCGGGCACCGATCCTTACAGAGCACGGCACCACCTCGTGCATCTGGAAGGCGTAGAAGAAGCCGGCACCTTCCGAGTCCTCCTCTCTCACGCCGCAGAGCTCGAGTGATATCTGAGGGGGTTCTCTGGGGGATGTCTGGTTGAAGAGCCCCTTGGCCGCCTGCCGGGCTTCTGGCGAGAGCCGGGATACGTTGTACTTGAACCCCGTGGGCGACGACACAACGTTTGTACCCTCTTCATCCTCCTCCTCCTCTTCAATCTCCCAGTCACTGGCGTCCGAAGCGTGCCCGGAGTCAGGCATCGGAGCGGGTGTGCGTGGGGATGACATCCGGCCCTTGTCTAGAGGAATGACCGAGTTACACTCTAGGGAAAGCCTGCTCAGTCGTGTGGTCGGGGATAAGGACATTGGAGCCCGGGAGGAATAGGGAAAGGAGATGGAAGGTCGAAAGAGCAAGTGGCGTCAGAATCGGGGCCGAGGGGAGTAGCAGGTGTGTATCCAAACCAACGATAGCGTCCCCGGAATGTTGTCACGGGTCTCTTATATGACTCGGACGGTAGAGCAGGTAGGTACCTGGCAAGTATGACGGCTGGTTCAAGTGCCCTGGCCGGCCCAATGGGTTGGGCAAAGACTGAATGCGGCATGGTCTAGGGCTGTTGGTTGGTGTCCGTCTTGGCTAAGGAGAACTGAGGACATCATGGAGGATGGCCTGCCCACCAGGCCGGGTGATCCGCAGTGCTCATGAGCCACGGGAACAGCCAACCTGGCAGCACGGATAGCAGAAACGTCGGGTATCTTTGACCTGTGCCCCTATTCCTGCAGCAACCTGCATGGGGGGTCACACTGGGGAAGAGGAAAGGGGGGAAGGGTGAGATGGTAGAACGGTAGGCAACCCACAACCGACGGGTAGGGCCTGTAAGACCGGGGTGACGCAAAAGGAGATGGTGCAGGAGAGACTGCAGTACCGAATTACGACTGGTAATCCGCGAGCGTATAGAGAAGCGTCTTTGGGAAAGCGAAGGTGGCAGCCATTTCACGGCTCTCCGCTTCCGGGAACTTGTCTCTCGACAAAACAAGTCGATTGGTCCATGGTGAGATGAGCGAAGGTTGATGATGCGGGATGCGGGATGTTGCGAAACGGTCGGGAAGCCACGCCAGGCGAAGCACATGGATCGACCTGCGGCGAGCAATATTTGGCACTGGCATGCATCTGGGAATTTGTCATGGCCATGGTCGTCACTGCCATCATAGTCACGGCCTCCAACAAACAGCAGCCGCGGCGGAGCCCGAGCAGCGAGTGAACGGAAAGAGCAATCCGGCAGTCAAACCTCCATGGCAAGAGAGGCAAGAGGCCATGTCCCCAAATCCCCAACATGCATTTTGGATGGCGAAGCAAACTTCCTTAGAGGCTAGGTACCTAGGTAGGCAAGAATGGGCCGGAGATGCCGCTCTCGGTGCCGGTTCGTGATAAAAAAGTTTGATCTGTCGATGACATTTGGTTGCCTCGTTTGTGTGTGGTTACAGCCCGATTACTTTCTCAGAGTTACACACACCCGTGGACCTGTGCTTGCCTTGGCGAAGGGCTTCGGCAAGGCCCCAGCTCGCCCCCAGCCAGGCCCGTTTTCAAGGCCAGATGGCCCGTGCATCCGCTTCGCCACTCAGCGTCGAGCTCCAGGTTGTTTAATTGGCCATGTTGGCTTGTGGACCCTCAGCCCTGCGGTTCTCTTGCACCCACCCCCACCAACTTCCCTCCATTTCTCGATTTCACCTTCAACATCGACTCGGCTCCGCCTTGCCATCAGCGGAGAAATGAGCCTTGCGCTATCCTCGATCGATGGTTTTACCCCCTTCCCCTTCATATAAGAGGTGGATGCGGCCGCTTTTCGCGACCCTTTTGTTGCAGCCGGGTTCCGCGATATCACCAGTCTTTTTTGTCTTTTCCCTCGCTTCGTGATTCCACTGCTGTGTTTGCCGTCGTTGGCCGCAGAAGGGGCCGCTTCTTCCACACTCCCACCGGTTCGCGCCTACAAGCCCAGTTTCGTCTATTTCGGCGTCAGAGGCACTCCAAACCCTTCCTCGAGAACAACACCAAAGCTTCGCCCCGTTATTAGGAGGCTTCCGCTAACTGGACGGATAACCGCTGTTGGTGCCAGCGGGATTCTATCGTGTGCTGCATCTATTTACGGCGGCATAGAATCAGCCCCCCCCGGCTGGGGGGCAAGCAGACGAGGCTCGACCACGCTGTAATCGGTCTCCGGCCAATCTCATCAGACGGATGGCATAGGTTGGCCGTCAACGGCTCGTGTGACGGTCGCTTATCGCGGCAAAGTTGGCCTGCTCCCGGCCAACCGTCGGTCTACCAATATAGGGGCCCCGAAGCCTTTTACCCCACGGAGACGCAGGCAAGTTGGGGATCGTCTTGAATCTCAGGGGTAGCCAAGAACTGACCCGTGATGCCCCTTTTGCCCGCTCACTCAGGGGTTGATACCAATTGTGTTGCTTGCAACTACCTGCGTAGCCGAAATAAGAGTAAGCTCGAATTCCGATGGAGAGGCAACAAGCCTCACCTGGTATATAACTCGAATCACCGAGTGCTGCCCCGAAACCTGTTTTGTTTCCACGATGCGGTCATACTTTTATCTCGCCAGCTGATGGCCCCTTTTCACATGCACAAGAGGCCGAATGGTGATGGTTCCATGTGTAAATCGAGCTCGTCTATGCGCCCAACTGCATCTCATCTTTTCGGCCCACCGTTGACGGGAGCGCCCGGATCCCATTGTCAGGATGTGAGACCGGATGACAGGCATCAGGGCGGTCACGAAACCGTACGGTTGTGCATTCCCCCCCAGCCCCCATTTCACAGACACACAACTACACCACTTTGGGAGGAGGAAACGGCCATGTCAACCTCCATCCCAGGCCACAATGTCATCTGCAGGCAGCGGTCCTGGAACGTCGCATTGGACCGTGAAAACTCCCTCAGCCCTCCGAGCAGCTCTCCCAAGAATTAGTCATGACGGCCTCAGCCTCGCCGTCTTCTGCACATGCCCGTTTGAGAAAGCCGCTGCTGATAGGCCAGGACTTTGGCAGGATCGGTCCCGGCGAGGCGGTAACCAAGCAGAAACGACGGCGATCCTCCGTCTCCGTCCTCTTTCACCGCGGGTCCCGAACAACAAGCCGTCCGGCCATTGCACTGCCAGCGCCGAAATGCAGGATCTGGGGAGTTTCTCACCGGGCATGGTTCAATCATTGCCTCGTCCCCGCTCCAAGAACGTCGAAATTATGTTAGTCTTCCCGTCTGCCGGGCGGGGGAGGGAAGATGCATTGCCGGGATGGATACAGCGCCATGTCTCATACTTTGGATATCAGAGAGACACCCTTCTCGTGACTCTCTAGCCGAAGCACTGTTGATCCATTTCCCAAACCCGTGGATGTATAGTCGTGGTTAGGAATAATAGCGAATAAAATACTCCAACTAGATAATAATAGTTACCAGACATACAGCCCTATTCTTTTTGGTACATGTAGTAGTAGCTTCGAGACTCGGACTCGGACTCTCTATTTGTCGACCAGCAGCCAAGGTACAACCTTACCGAGGAACACACGATCTAGACAATCTCATCACCCTGCGGCTGCGTTTTCTGCCTACTATTTCCCGATCTCACCGACGACACATCCTGCTCCACGTTGCTGGGGTCCTCACCCGCAACCGCAACTGAAGTACCAGCAGCACCAGCACCGGCAGGAGAGCCCTGCACAGCTGCTTCCACAGCGGCCGTCTTCTCAGCCATCACACCTTGCCCCCCCCCCCCCGCCCCCTTTACTCCCCCCTGCGAGACCACCACCAGAGCTAATGGCGGGGGCCGGGGTGGCGGCGGTGGCGGCGGTAACAGCAGCAGCCTTGTTCCTCTCCTTGGCCTTCTCGGCCTCGTGTGCCCGCCGGGCCTGGTACCGAATCGCCTCCCGACGCGCGACGCGACGGTGCCGCTTGCGAGCAATCTTGTAGCGCTCCGTGTCCCGCGCTTCCACGGCGACCGCGGACGCCCAGTCGGTGAAACGGTCGGTAGAAAAGCGCGTCTGCGCCCAGAGCCGGTAGATGCCGGATTTGTATAGCAGAACGACCTTCAGGAGGCGGTAGATGAGGAGAAAGATGCGCTGGATGCGGCTGCTAAAAGCCGCGATGATGGTGAGGGCGGTTACCGCGAAGGAGATTGGGACTTATCGCGTGCCTCTTTGTCAGCGAGCTTGATTCGACAGGGAGGATCCGTAGACTTACACAGCAGCCGGAACTGCTCTCCTAGTGACCATGAATCGTTGGCGAACTCGGCCGCGCTCATGCCGAAGACGCTGGACATGAAGGACAACGGTGCCTGTGATTACGACAGAGAGTGAGTCAAACCCCATCCACAAAGTAGGGAAGAGAGCGTAGCGAGGTACTCAGAAGAGAGAGAGAGAACGCACAAATATGACGGTGACGACGGTAAACATAACAATGGCCGTACTCTGCCTGTAAGTCAATGTGGATTGCATCTGGGATCGCCAGGAGTCCGCCGTCGCCATCGTGTGTTGTTTCACGGTGAGGAACTCGAGGATCTGGGTTCCCGAATGCCGACGAGTTACTTGTCAGTGTATTTTCAAGGGCTCGTCGGGCCAATGTGCATGTGTCTCTGTGGATCGTGCCATGACTTACACTTGCAGACAGGTTGTCTGCAGCCCTGAGCATATCATCCAGTCGAGCCTTCCGAGCCCGGATCCGTGCCATAACCTCGTCCGCTTTGGTCGCGAACCTCCGCAGGGTCTCCTCGTCTCTTAGGACACTACCCGACATGACGTGTTTGTGCTTGCCCTTCCCCGGATCCCCGGCGGAGTTACTGCTACTCGATAGACTTGGAAACCCGTTGTCTAGGTCCTGTCCACCCTCGAAGCCTCGTTGCCGATGGGTAGACTTGGAATCCAACAGCCGTCCCACTTGCGCTTTTAGGCTCTCGAGCGTCTGCTCGTGCGTCTCCGTGATATTGAGCATCATCCGCAACTCCTCGGTCATGTCTTGGAGCTTGCCGCGAATAAAACTCTCCGGGTTGATGGCATGGGTAGCCCAGGTGACTGATTCGACTGAACGACCTTGGAAATGGCCCCGTCCGTGGAGTGTCTGCATGACGTCTGCAACTTGATATAGCTTCTCGCGTGATAGTGACCCTTGGCGACTCTGGGTGAGAAGGTGAGTGAAGGCCCTCTCGGGGGGGACGGTTGGGTGTCATACTAGTTTAGTAAGAGCTTCTTCGAACGCCTCGAACACTGGGGGTTTCCGATCGCGTAGTTTGACGGCGGGGTTGCTCTCCGGGTCCAAGAGGTAGTTGAAACTCCCGTCGAGAATAGCCAAGGCAACATCAAAAGCCGAGTTGATAGCGTTGGATGACGCTCGTAGCTCGGATCGAATGGCGCTGTGCATTTCGGCCGATTCATCATGATCCGATCCATGACGGTTCGGGAAACATGTAATGATGGTATGTCGGTCTAGAATCCACATCCATAGCTGGTCAACCACGATCACTTTGGGTGACATGCCGATGTTGAGCGCGCAGCTTTCGCATGGGCTCTCGTCAAGAATGTGGTCGGGCCACATTTCGAGGCCATGGCCATACTCGTGCGGGAAATTCGGGTTGGGCGCGGTGAAGTGATGGACAACTTGCTGCCAATCACGCGTATTGACATCTCCCACCTTGGATGGCATGAAGGCTCGATGGAGTGTGCGTCTGAGATGCAGCGGCTTGTCGGCGGTGAGGTACCTGTCGAGAAGTAGCCGATCACGATAGGTTGCCATGGCCTCGTACATCCTAGCACAGTTGACCAAGTACTGGCCGAGCCGGCTGCGGACTTGCAATGTCCCTGCTTCGTCGATGTAGGAATGCCACCCGCGCCGTTTTCCGCCTAGGACTGGGGTGTTCGATATAAACTGACTGATAGCACGAGGTATGCGGCTTTGAGAGAGAGGTTGCACGACGCCCTGTCGTCTGGCGATGCGGTTACGCCACTTCTCTCTGTTTTCCGCTATCTGCCGTTCTCTGTAGTCACCGAGGTTCGCATCGACCATCTGCGAGATGAGAGCCTGACGCCTAGCAGACTCCCAGGAAAGGAACGGCGTCTGAAGGCCGCAGTCAACATCCAGTTAGCCCCTTGTTCGTGTGAAACCGCAAGTGAAAACAACATACAAACAGAGTTACACAGGTCGAGACAGGCTGGGGGCCTCCCGGGCGTGATTCTAGAAACAAAACGTTAGCTAGGTATTAGTAGTGGAAGCTCAAAGGCCTGTAATCTTGTAGCCTACTCGTGTCGAAGACTGTAGATCTGCATGTTTGACGGAGGGATCGAGCGCTGAGGAGCCTCAGCTTCTCTGGGGGTTTGGTCTGCCATGCGTCTGGACAGAGTGCCTGGGCCGCAGCAGACAGTTGATCATGACCAAATATTAGCTTGTGAAGGCGGTGGCCGTGAGGCCGCAATGTCTCCCCCTCGCCAAAGTATGCTCTAACAGCCTCCTGTTGCTATGTCAAAGACAGTCGAGGAGCCAAGACGGGGATAGACGGACGCACTTCAGCCCACTATAATTGTACCCAATGTGTTAGCAGATGTCGCCGTCGCCATGAGACACAAGCCCTGTTTGAGGCATAAACCTACGGCCATGTTATTCGCTGGCAGATGAATCCACTTGATACCGCCGCCCACCAGATTCTCGAGTAGCCCATGGGCGCCATCGAAATCTCGGCAGTACAAGAGCTGATTAACCGATATGCGGTGCTCCGCGTATTGCTGGCGTTCCGTAAAAACGTCGACATCTTCATCTACACGGGGAACAGTGCTTCCAACATGGGCAACATATGCAACTGAGTCCTCGTCCGGATCGTACTGTTCCGGGCCCCCATCCTGGGACATGCCCAGATAAGCCCTACCCGACGATTTCCAGCGCCAGCGGCTTCTGGGAAAGTTCTCTGTTAATACGTTATATCGAAGGTCTGTATTCATCGCTCGGCGAAGACGCATGGCCCTCTCCAGTCTCTCATCGACGGTTCTCTTCCAGCTCCTCAGCTTCTCCTCGACCACCAGGCGCGCAGCCTCTTCACTTTGTGACCCGCTGGCGGATGCGGCCGTGACACATCGGCGCCATAGTGGGTTAGAAGGGTTAAAGAAGTTCTCTCTCTCATCGAACCGGAGACAGCCCATGTAATGAAGAACGGGGTCCGAAATGTTGTCGTCGTGGGGGTCCGAACACAGGCAACCACCGACGGTATAAGGGTCGATTGCCTTTGGAAAGTGCACGCTTCTTGACATTCTTCCCGGGCGGCTAAGGTAACAGATGCGTCTCTTTCAGGCGTCGGCAGTGAACGAGTTGCAGAACAGAAGTGGGTTGAAGCAGTTGAGATCTCAGCTGCGAGTGCGGCTGAGATGCCGACTACATGACCTGACCATAATAGTCAATACGGCCTCGGACAAAGTCTTTTCCGTAGCCAACACGGCTTGTTTGGTCTCACAAATGCAGCGGAGATTAAGCAGGAGGTATCAAGAGAATGAATACCGGTAGTTCATGTCTTCATGAGCACTTCACCTAAGCCGCCCCCCAAAAGGGGTCAATTATTGGACTAATACCAACCTATTTTAGAACAAATCTAACTCCTAACTCAAATAACAGCTGCAAACTTCTTACCCGCATTAAGCCACTTCCAACTCTAGGTGGCAATGTTGGTTGAGTTCCGTATGGGATCTTATCAAGGTCTGGACGGGGCTGGCAACATCAACAACGCCATTACCGGGACGGGGCTAATCCATCCGCAGCACGCCACTGTGTAGAGAACCTGCAACTAACCTGAGTAACCCGCAACGTATATCAAATAATAACAGTCTTGTTGGCGACGAGGAACGACGAGGCTGTGTTATCTCATCCTTCTCCCGCACACGACAGGGTGGGCGGCAGACGGATAGGCAGGCAGCAAGCATAGCCACCTGTAACTCTGGCACAAAGGAAAAAAGAACGCAGCTTTGCATATTTGCGGGCGGTTGGGCTGCAAAAGCCTGGTCGAGCCATGGATTGACTCGGTGCTGCGCCCATTCTGCTTTAAGAAGAGTCGATTTCATTTGATGACGCCAAGTTGGGACGGGTAGGGCAAAGTGAGCAAGTAGAGGGTACATTGGATTGCATCCCACAACCGGAACGAAGGCGATTGACATAATCGAGAGACAACCGGGACACAAGGCTAGAGGAATGACTGGCAACCGTTGAAACAAAACACCACACGTCACCATCAACATGAATGTCAACATCACCACCAACAGCAAACACATAGACTGACCTCATACTCTTGTATTGCTACAACCCAAGAGACAAGCTAAACCCAAATGCTATACTGTAACCCCAACAAAAAGACAGGACATCAAAAATGCAGCGTAAAAACAACATAACCCAAGCCCGACCCAAGCCCATGGAAACACGTCTCCAAAAGGAACTCCCTTCCCTTTCACTCCCATTCCACCGTCTTCGCCAAAAAGGCAAACCAAAACGCCAACACTAACCTCGGAAAACTCCAACTTAAGCAAGAAGAAAAGAAAACAACAAACCCCCTCCATGCGTCTCGTCTATCTATCTCAGTCGAGGTAAGTAGCCCTTCCTCATCCCACAACAAAACCTCTCCACCGCGCCGCGAATCACCGCCTGGAGGCGAGAGATCATACCAAGGCGGGCGGAAGAGCCGCTCCTAAAGACGAGATAATAACCAGAGGATGGAGAGGAGCAAAAAAAGGGTATGGATGAAGGACGAAAATCCTGCCAGAAGATGCATGCATCAATCATATGCAATATAATGAACGCTCGCGCTCCCCGGAGCCATCATCTCACCCCATCCCAGGTCCGTTTTTCCGCAACGCCGGGCATGCAGTAGTACGTAGGGGTTGTCCCATAACCAACAACGAAGTTCAAGTCGGAGATCATTAAATTGGTGAGAGAATTGCGGAGGTTTCGTATCGTCATAACTCGTGAACGTCGGTCGCGTCGTGCTGAAGGGGATATGAGAAAGCACAAAAGACCACGCAGCGTTTGTCAGCTGTTGGCTTAGTGTGTTCCACTGACCTTCCTTGTGGCGGCGATGGGCGAGACATTCCCGATACTACCGACGCGTCCGCTGGTCTTGCGGACACCGGCCTCTCGCACCGCACCAGCAGCAGCGGCACGCTTGGGAGAGCCGCTTGTCCCGCGAACCTTGGCCAGGACTCCGGACGCCGAAGTAGCGCGCTGTGCCTGGTCGTACGATTTTGACTTGGCGGCGGCCATGCCGAGGTTCTCGATGTCGTTCGAGGCGTCGTTGTCAATGGCCTGGTACACGGTGGTGGTTGTAGTTGTCATCGTGGTGTGGTGGCTGACAGACCGTTCCCGGCGGTCTGGTGAAAGCGAAGCCGATGCCTTGCGATGCGACCGCATGCGCAAGTTCCACTCCTCATCAGACTCGTTGGCGCGCGAGCGGCGCACCGAACTGGCTCCCGCGTGCGTTTCACGACTGGCACCTTCTTCCTCAACCGTCGGCACCGCATTTGTGCTGCGGTTATAAGGATGGTGGCGATCAGCACCGGCCCGCTGAGACTTGCGCGGCTGGCCGGGTGTAGGCGCAGGGAGGTAGTCGTCTTGCACGCCAATGGTGTTATCACGAGCGCTCTCCTGGTCGATCTCCCCAAGCGGTGTCCGGACGCCGCCCCTGTTGGGGGGAGTCGATGTCCCGTTCTTGCTCGCGCTGCGGCCGATGTGCGCCTTTTGCATGGCGCGAACGGGGGTGCTGGGCTGGTGGCTGCCGTGGGCCTGTGCAGCGGCGAGGGCTGCCTCCTTGCGAAGCTTCCGCTCGAGGCGCTCCTCGATCCACCATTCGCGGAATGTCCCCTGGTTGAGGTGCAGCCAGTGCTGCTGAGGGCCAACGACCATCCCGGGGCGCATGAAGCGCATGTAGGAAATGATCTCGTTGGCCGTGAAGCCGTGCCGGTAGATGAGGTACGCGCCAATGAGGCAACCGGTGCGACCCAATCCGGCCTTGCAGTGGACTGCGATTCCCTTCTTCTTCACCGTGATCATGTCGTGCGCCATGCGGATGAACTTGCGCACCATCGAGAGGGGCGGGCAGGTGCCGTCTTCGAAAATCATGTCGAGATGTTGGATGCCGAGGGCTTCAAAGTAAGACGAGTCGTAGAGAACCGAGTTCAGGCGCACTACGAGTCCGATGTTCCTCTCGGTGAAATGCGCTAGGACGTTCTTGAACGGCTGCGGGAGAGTGGGGTGGGCATCAACTGCCGACATCGTCTTTGGCAACGCCTTCCAGGCATCGGTTCCCTCGATGGTGCGAGCAGAGGGGGTGCTCTGAGGCGAGGCAAAGGCGAGGAAATGGGGAGTAATCCAGTTGAAGTCGCCCTGCTCAACCCGTTCGTAGCGCTCGTATTCGTCGAGGTCGAAGGTCTCGAGGACGCAGCAGCCCTCCTCCTTCGCTTTCCAGACACCGTACACGATATCTTGCACGGTGATGCCGTAGTCAGCTTGACTATAGCCGGCGTCTCTGAAAGGCATCAGCGGCGGGTCGACCTGGGCTACAGGTGCCAACGCGAGGTGGGGAGGCCATGACTGGATGAGGACCATGTAGCACGCGAGTAGGCAGGAGGCATTGGCGCGGCCTGCACATGGTCGTTAGCAAACACCATCAAGCAGCGGAAACAATGAGGAGCGAGGACACGTACTGCGCGGGTCTGCCCTGCTCCAGAAGACAATCGGCCTGTCCTTGTTCTCCTTGGCTCCGAGGATCTCGTGAAACTGCAGCGCGAAGCGGTAGAGGTGGCCAATGTGCAGCGGGCCAAAGTCGTGGTGGAAAGCGTTGTAGAGAAGAGTGTCGTCTACGGTAAAGTAGTAGGGCTGCTTCTGGCTGTGTGTTGGCGCGGGGGACTCCAGAGACCGTTGCGACCTCTTGCTTGGCGAGCGCGGAGGAGGGTCGGGATACGGGAAGACGGTGTTGGCATCGGGAGTTTCGACGTAGGATGCGAGATAGAGACGGTCTGTAATGGTTAGCACTATTCCAACAGACCCAGAGAATAATGCATCTTTGCGAGCCATGCGACTGCGCCTCATGGTTGCTGGGCGAGGCCAACAATAACAAAAACACATGTGATGGCGCCGCGAATGCGACCGGGGACCGAAGGCGGCGCAACCTCGTAGTAAACACATACCTGGAATATACTCAATAATCTGCCCCAGGTTTGTGGGATGCCGAGAAGAAGGAGCCATGATGTCGATGTTATGCGTTGTTGGTATTGATCGAAGAGGAAAGTGCTGCGGCGTGCCTGCGCAGGGACTACGCAACAAGACCTGCTAATATCTGATGTGCCGAGTCTTGCGACTTCGAGCACTTGAGGTAAAAACAGATGCAGGAGCCTTCCTTTGTTGCGGTCGTTGTTTTGTAGGTGGCGATGTTGACAGCAGTCACGGAGGAGTTGAGAACGCGCGAGGGTATTAGGATCGAAGAAGCAAGTGCAATCGCCAATAATGCTGGTCGGTATACAGGGCTCAAGCAAACGCGCTGAGGGAATGGAAACCTGCGTTCATGAGGGATGCAATTGGAAAGGAGGAGATGTGCGCAAGCAACGGTTGAGGGTGAGGTTTTGTATGAATGATGTGATGTTTTTGGCTCAGGGCCTGTTGTTATGGCTCGTTCAGGGTCTCTTCGGCGCTGGGAGCTCGTGGCCAATTGGCATCGTCCAATCTGCGCCGGGGGTATTGTCGCCATGGCAACAAGTAAGGCAGGCTGCGAGACAATTGGCCTGGTGGAGCCAGTGAGCAACAGGGGTGCTTGCTGACCCCTTCTGCGCGCCTGTTATCTTATCAGAAAGCCAACCGTTTGCCCCACCAGTGCAGCTCTGGAATTCGAACATCGTCATCTGTCACCACTTCGAGACGAACCCCCTTGACTGCCACAATTGTTGGCGCCAGCACAGCCATGGCGACCGACACGTCAGCCGGGTTCCCCTGCGCGCTGTACGTCACATTATGAGACATGTTGAGCAGAAGACATCAAAACATATACATACAGACTACCTGCGACGTTTTGGAGAGAATTTACCCCGCTAACTTGATGTTGTCTTTCTCCTATCGCAGAACCCTCGACGTCCCCTTCCCCGATGCGCGCCTCGCCTCGGTCGCTCTCCAGGCTCTCAGAGTAGACAAGGAGCTATCGTCACTAGTGAAGCGTGATCTCTCGGCCGTCGCCACCGAGGGGTCATCAGATCCGACCGTTCTCCGAATCGAATACAAAGCCGCGACCAACCGCATGCTGCGCGTCGCTGTCAACTCATTCCTCGATAGTCTTGCTTTGGTGTTGGAGGTTCAAGAGGAGCTGGACGTGGATGTGGTAGAGGCCGGGCGGGCGCAGGAGAAGAGTGGTTGAATGCGAGGGGGACAGACGGCAAAAGAAAAAACACACGGAGCCCAGCCTCAATCATTAAGCCTAGGAACTTGACAGAGCCTTTAGACCCTCCATAAAAATGGCGTCAGTCGCATAGCTCTGCAAAGGCATGGGAGAAGTAAGCGGAAGGCACGCTCAAAAAGGGCAGCATCGCTAAACGCGTGCCCATCACGATGGAGGACCGGGAAACGAAGATTTGCTTGCTGTTAAACGGGTATCATGATTCAAAGCCTGCACCCCACAGCTAGACAGACCATCCAGCAGACGTTCCGGTTGCATACCGGTTACAACCGCTCCTCTTTAACGTGCTGTCCTGGCGACTCAGCGTCGGCCTCAACCTGCCGTTGCAGTTCCTCGTCCGCTGCCGCCACCGCGTCAGGCGTGTCCTCCTCCAAGTGCCCATTGGCGCCACTGAATTCGTTCGCATCCCCATCCTCCCGCTTAACGGGGCCACTCCTGGGGCGGTGTCTAAACACCTTGATGAACCCGTCCTGCCCTGAGCTGACCATGATGCCACCGTGGACATCCACGCAGAAACACACCCCGTCGTGTGCACCCTTGATCCTTTGTATCACCCCTTTGCTCTTGACGTCCCACATGACGATGTCGCCGTCCTCGCTCGCTGATGCTATGAACGACTGCCGCCGGCTCTCGTCATTGTCCACGCTTTGGTCCCCCGCGGCCCCATCGTCCTGGTCGACGAGCACGCCGAAGCAGCCCCCAATTGAGAACCCCTTGTTCGCATGGCCCTGGTATGTCTTCTTGACCGAGCCCGAAACGTAGTCCCACAGCCGGATCGAGTTATCGAGGCTGAAAGCGAGCACGAAGCGGCCGTTGGGGCTGAAGCAGACGTTCGCGACGGCGGGGTTGTCTTCGTGCACGAGGGTGCGGAGGCACTGGCCGGTGGAGGTGTCCCAGACGCGACTATCAAGAGCATTGTCAGCCACGGGGTCGGTCGCAGAGGTAGCAAAACAGCGCAAGAAAACCATAGCAACTCACATCAACCCATCCGTCGAGCAGCTCACCACCAACGTCCCGTCCCTGCAAAAGTCCACGCCGCTCACCGGGTCACTATGCGCCGGCAAGCTGCGCATCAACCGCCCAGCCCTGACATCCCACAAAAACACCGCCTCATCATAGCTCCCACTAGCCAGAATATTCCCCTTGGGCGAGAACGCCAGACAATACACATAATTGTGATGCCCCAAAAGCGGCCCGCGCCCCGTCCTCCCGCCCCTAACCCCCTCCCCAGGCACCCCCATCCGCGCCCTCCGCGCCGCCACTTTCGCAGCGGCCCCCTTCACCGCCGCCACACTCCCCCCCATCATGCCCGCGGTGGCGGCGGTGTTCTCGCGGTGGGCGACGGCGTGCGCCGGGCTGCCCGTGACGCGGTCCCACAGCCGGATCGCCTTGTCGTCGGAGCCCGTGGCCAGCGTGTTGCTGTCGGGCGCCCACGCCAGGCACGACACGCCCGCCATGTGGCCGACCAGCGTCTCGAGGTGGGCGCCCGTCGCCGCGTCCCAGATCTTGGCCGTGCCGTCGGCCGACGCCGACGCGATCCACCGGCCGTCGGGCGAGATGCGCACTTGCGAGACGGCGCCCGTGTGGCCTTGCAGGAGGAGGTGCGGGTGGTAGTTGGGGAGGATGGGTGGTTGGTTGTCGTGGCGGTGGTGGTGGGGGTCGGGTTTGTCGTGGGTGGTTGGTTGCGGGTGGGAGGGAGATGATAGGCTTCGGCTTCTGCTTCTGCTTCTGCTTTGGGAGCGGCTGTGGTCGTGGGATGCGGATCGGGAGCGGGAGCGGGAGTATGAGGCGCTGCGGGAGCGTCGACGGTCTCTTGACTGCGATCGAGAACGGGGTGTCGACCGCGCGCGAGAACTTGATCGAGATCTTGACGGCGAGGAACGGTATCGTCTTCTATTATCTTCATTGTCGTTGTCTGTCATGGCGTTCCCGTCTCTACTCCTGCTTCGCGACCGACTGCTCGGGGGACCGCGCCGGATGGAGAGCCTTTGGTCGGGAAGGTGACCGGTGTTGGGCAGAGAGTTCTGCTCTTCGCTGTCGGGCGACGCATACCGGGGAGTGGAATCGAGGCTATCATCGTGCACCCTGCGCCTTTTTGACGGCGGCTCCGAGACGGGTACCCCCGCTGCTGGGTCAATATTTGACATGGCCGGTTTCTGTGTATGTTTATGTAAAGAAAAGTTGACAGCCCCAGCAACCAAGCTCTTTCAAAAACCAGTCGCGGTTTCCGTGTGCCGCGTCGGTTTGTTCCAATCGAAGCATTGAATGCGACAGCGTGACAGGGAGCCAAATTTCAGTGGGTCTTTTCTTTCCTGGCTTCCATGGCTCCCATCTGCCATCCCGAGGGTTCCAGCGGGCAACGCTAAGAGAAGGCGACTCACAGGGGCAACCCAGCAGCTGAACCCAGGGGCTTTCAGAGTGCATGTGAGCTTCCTCTCTTTCACCTCGGGTTGGGATTTCTCTTTCATGTTGACAAATTCATCGACAACAATTTCAGGCACTAGATATTCCGCGGACATGATCTATCTACTTCTCATGCTGTTATTCTAATCAAGCACATTTAATTATCCTCATCACGTAATTGTCTGACAATTGAGTCGAATACCTCTCCGAGACGCCCGGTGACATCCATCCAATTGTTTGCTTCTCATCAGTCGAAACGTGCTCGAGTAGATCACAATCTCGTGGGCGAACAGTATATACTACGACGTAGTCAAGTACAGATCCGTAAGTGACTTCCATTTCACAACTCGCTCGACATCACTCACTCACACCCACCACATAGCATAACCGTAGAGATCAGAATGCCGTACCCGCCGGAAGAAATCAACCTTGTCACACTCAACTGCTGGGGCCTCAAGTACATCTCCAAGCTTCGCAGACAACGTCTGACCGAGATCGGCCGTCAACTTGCCACAGCTAGCCCCCAGCCGGACATCGTCGCCCTGCAGGAATGTTTCACTGAAGAGGACTACAAGAGCATCCGCTACAAAACCAAATCCATCCTCCCCCATGGCAAATTCTACCACAGTGCTGCCTTCGGTGGCGGTTTAGCCATCCTCTCGCGCTGGCCCATCGAGGAGAGCACCATGCATCGTTACCCCTTGAATGGCCGTCCCACCGCCTTCTGGCGTGGCGACTGGTACGTCGGAAAGGGCATCGCCTGCGCAAAGATCCGCTACGGCCCGGCGGCGAAGCAGGTCGTGGAGGTCTTCAACACTCACACCCACGCCCCCTACGAGGGTGGGAAGCCGGATGATTCGTATCTCTGCCACCGCACTGCCCAGTCGTGGGAGATGGCCAAGTTGCTGCGGGGCGCTGCTGAGCGCGGCCATCTCGTGCTTGCTATGGGCGACTTCAACATGGTCCCCATGTCACCCGAGTACCAGCTCATCACCGGCCTGGCTCCAGTCAACGATGTCTGGCGCACCCTCCACCCGGATAGCTCGTTGGGGCCGTCCCACCACCCTGCAGAGGAGGCTCGCCGCCGCCCTGTCCCTACTGCCGAGTTCAACATCCTGGAGAACGGAGCTACTTCGGACGGCCCGTACAACACCTGGCGGTGGACCAAGGCGCAGCAGAAGCTACTAGGGTCAGGCAGGCGTCCAGTGACGGTGTCCCCCGACACACCTGGTGCGTTGTTGTCCCCATCTCCTCGAAACCTCCATTACTGACCCTCACCAAGACCCACTCGGCAAGAGGCTAGACTACATCTTTGCCAGCTCTGGGGACGCCACCGCCCTAGGCGGCACCTGGAGTGTCGAGCGAGCGAGCGTGGGCATGATGATGCGGCATCCCGACCTGGGCTGCTCTCTCAGCGACCACTTCTCCGTCGAAGCCACCCTCTCCTTCCAGCCACTCCCACCGTCCCCGCCCTTCCATCCACCACCAGCACCACCCTCCCCCACCTCCAACCCAGCCTCCATACACGAACCCTCCCCCACAACAGCAGTACCCAACGCCCCCGAAGCACCACCCTCCGAACCCACCCCACCAACAACCACAACACCACCACCACCAGGACCACCACCAGGACCACCACCAGGACCACCACCCGCACAACCACAACCATCCCACCGAATCTCCAAAACCGAATCCGCCCTCCACAACGGCACCTACCTCCAACTGCAAACCCCCACCCCCAGCCAGCGCACCTCCACCGACCAACCGCCGCCCCCCATCGCCCAACTCCCCCTCGCCACCTACGACGCCATCCTCGATGTCATCGCGACCTACGCCGCGCGCGAGGAGCGGCAGCGCGCCTGGCGCGCGCGGCACTTCTTCCTCTCTGTTCTCATCGGCGTGGGGTGTATGGTCGGGGTGTGGTTTGCTCCGGCAAATTATGTGAGGTTTGTGTTGGTGGTGGTGAGCAGTGTGGGGCTGGTGGCGGGGACGGTGGATGGGTTGATGGCGTTGTTGTTTTTTGGGGGGGAGTTGAATGCGCTGAGGGAGTTTGAGTGGGAGGTGGGGAACGCGAGGCGGGTTGCGGGTTTGCAGAGGGGTGGTGGTGGTGGTGGTGGTGGTGGTGGGAATAGGGGAGGGGATGGGGGAGTTGCTGGGGAGAGGGTGTGGTGATGGGGAGATGGGGAGATGGGGAGATGGGGAGATGGGGATGGGATGTAATGATCAACGATCTCATCTGCATGTAGTAGTAATGTATTCAATGGAATGTAAAAATGTCATCTCCGTTCAAGTGGTACTTTGTTTACTTGCCCCCGGGTACAAGCGCCACGATATATATAATTTGGCGGGTCATGACAAGATCAGAACAGCCCGAGCCTCTCAAATCGAGAAATGGTCTGTACAGTTAACCATGAAAGACACCGGTTGTTTCACCTGGTTTCGTTTTGAGGCGTTGCATCAGAATGAATGCCCGCAAAATGCGAGGCAGGTCGCTCACACATTCCATTACTCTATAACAACATTTTCCATCTCCCCTGACCTGTAAAATAAGCCGTTCCTAGTAAAGTGATAGCTATTCGCGAACGCCATATCCCCTTGTATCCCACCACAGTAAGATCTAGGGGTATCGTGACTGGCTTTGCCGATTACCGGATCCCCCTTCAGCTTTCCTCCGTAACAGTAGGGGACGCGATCACCTCGTAGAACTTCTTCAGCTCGGCCAGAACCTCTGCCAATTTGGGTCGCCCAAAGTGGTTCCCATCCCACTGCCCGCTGGCCTTCAATTCCTCACGCTCGCTGAGAAACGCCTCCGTGGCCCTAATCTCAGCCTCCCACCAGCCGCGAGCCACGCCGAGTACCTCCTCGCTAGTGCTCTCCCTGTCCCGGAGCACAAGCCTGCTCCCCTGCCTGACAATCAAGTCCGACAGCGTACCACGCCTGCCCTTTGTGCAGCGGTCAATAAGGCTCATCAGCGTCTCTGGTGTCAAGCGAAAGACCGGGAACTCGATGTCCGGCTCATAGCGGTAGGATTGCCAAACGGCAGCCTCCTGCGGCGCGCTCTGGCCCTCGAAAATGCACCACAGGACTCGACCGAGCATGTAGACGGTCGCGGCCTCCTGCTCCGTCTCATCTAGAGCGAGCCAGGGGATGTTGTAGTTCGAGTATCCATGTGGCCGCGGAGAAGAGTAATCCTCGCATGCCTGGAGGACATCCCAACCCGGGAGAAGCCGGTCGAGGATGGCGGTGAAGCGCTTGCGTGCCTCTTCCGGGATGGTGAGATTGGCCTCATCCACCTCGTCGCCGGCCAGGATGCGCACGTAGTCGATTGCGTTGACCTCCGGGGCGGAAAACTCGCACCACACGCCGCGTTGCTCGAGATCGATCAGGACGATATCGCGGGCGGCAGAGAGGAGAATATTATCAAGCCGCAGGTCTGGATAGAACATGCGGCCGCGCTCATGGACGTGCAAGACAGCCGAAGTCAGCTGAATGGCCCATCTCAGCTGCTGTTCTAGGCTGAGACGGCCGTGGATACGCAGCAGCGGCAGTGCATCACGAACACTACCGGGCTCGTGGAAGGGCAAAAGAAAGCCAAGTACCGCTGTCTTGCCACCGAACAAGCAGCGCTTGGTGACGAGATAATCAGGCCTCGAAATAACGTTTGGGTGCGGTTCCATCTGCAGCAGGTTTCGCAGCTCTACGAACAGATATTTGGTGCTGCTGGTCAGGGCCTTGAAGATCCATAGGTTGCCAGTCCCATGGTTAGCCCCATGGCCCGGCATACGGACGAGGCACACACTGTCGTACAGTATCCGGAGGATGGTCAAGCGCGAGATGTCGATGGCCTTCGGGAGGAGTTCAGGGGCAACACCGAGGCTCTCGTCTAATCTGGCCGTTCCAAGCAGCTGCCTCTCCACATAGTAAGTCGGCACAACGGAGGGTTTCGTCTTGCGGATGTCGAAGTGGAGAGACTCCAAGATGATGCGGGAGCCGAAGGGGAGGGTTTCAGACAGCGATGAATAAGTGCCATAGCCGTTTTCTGTAACCCAGGCTTGCAGCACGCGCACTATGTAGGTGGAAATGCCCAGTCGCCGGAGTCTCGGTGCGTCTTTTGTGTGGAAGGCGGTATCCAAACCCAGTAGCTCGCGGAGATCGGGGGAGGCAACTGCTTCCCCTGGGATGAACACATCGAAGCGCATCAGCGGCATGTCGGGGCGGAAGATGGGGACAGCATAATACTGTGTCCCTAGGCCTGTGCAGCCGTCAATCCTGAAGAGGGGCGCTCGAGGAAGGTCGAGGCTGTCGAGCCGGTTCTTTGGGTTTTGTTGGGAATCCTCCCAAGGAACACCCTTTGACGGCGCTGGAGCCCTACGTCGGGCCAATGCCGAGTTCTGGTTGAAGGCGGCCGTGGGGTGGATGACATCGTGTATCGCTGCCGAGCTGAGTTCCATGGCGAAGAGTATGAGGTTCGACCAGGCTATGATTTTGTGAAAACAGCTACCGGCTGCACAAGTCGACCCACGAGAGTAATGTTCTCGAGAGGTTAATCGTCACCTAACCTGGGCAGGGCTGTAGGTAGTGAGCAGATGAAGCAGTCAACACGGCCCGCGTGCCCCGGGCCTGTTGACAAAGCACGCCCGAAGCTCCTCGCCACAGGTAGGTACCTACCTACCTAACAGCCCCGGGCAGGTACCGGCAGCTTTGCACTTCAGGTACCTACCTACCTTACGGAAGGTTCGAATGGGTAGGTACGGGCTGAAACACCTAGAGGTTCTGGCGGTGAGTGCCGCCCGAGTCACTCTTGGGTTTAGCTGCTCGGGCTTTCTGGGGAACTCACCGGCTGCAACTTCCCGCCCGGACGCTCCTGCCGAGTCGAAGAAGCCCTGACGAACGCAGCTTCCATCGGACCCGACACGGGCAGGCCAGCGCACTTTCCCCCACGGCTCGCGAAAACGACGGTTTTTTTGTGGTATTTTTTCCATTCGAGGTTCGGCCGACTTGGGCGGACTGCAGCCTTCGGACACAGGGATGTTGAGCGGTTTCCCTTTTGAGTGAATCAAGCGCGATGCCGGGAGAACTTTTTTGCAAACCTGAAGAGAACATTTCCAGCTGCTCAACCGAGACCCTATCTGATTGGCTGTTGTCTTTTCTCAAAACAGATGAGTGACAGATGGATATCGGGCCGGAGGTTATGAAAAGAGGAAGCCGCGACAGGGTGTCAGGGGTCTGTCTGCTGCCCCAGATGTGTGCACCGTTGGACCAGATCTGAACCCTGCTAGGTTGTCTCATGGCTCGGGTTCTGCATGACGACCGCAGGGCCGATGGCCGCCTAAGCTGAGGAAAGCGCTAACGACGTACTGTGTAGGCCGTACGTAGGGAGTTGGCAAGGGCGCTCCACCTTTGCTCGCATAATGGAGGGTTTGACATGGCTCCGTTTGGTAGCCAAGTCCGCGTCTGACTTGTGGGCTGCATCGCTTCTGCATGCACAGCAGTGGAATGTGGGAAAAAAGAAAAGAAAAGAATGAGCCACGAACTTTTTTGGGGATCGGCCGGACGGCGCCCCGATGTGCGGATCCGAGGAGGAAAAGTGAAGTGATGATGGTGGCCCCGAGGTTTGGAAGTTCGAGAAAGAGTGACGTATCGCCCTTGAGATCAGGGATGGGTTGAGGGGGGGGTTTCACTCCTGTCCTTTTTTTAGACTCTTGCAGGCGTATGCGAGCCGGGCCTGGCATACAAGTAGCGTGCCGGTGGGCAGCTTCTTCGCCGTGTCTGACGCAGCCACGCCCGTCCTGGCCGAGCGAAGAAACTCAGTTCGACGGCCCGACTGAAGCTGACGGAAGGGGTCGGCACACGAGTTGAAACGAAGCGTCAGAGTTATCTGGGCCAGCTAAGACCTCTAATATATTAGGTTCGGTCTTTTCCATCCCGCGCCCCCTCTAGTTCGTCGTCCCCGATTCAAGTGCGTGGGGAGAAGGGTTAGAACCCTCTAGTTGTCAGCCGGGAGATATGTGCACGCAGCACAGGGCCTACCCAGGTTTAGAAGGCGGGCCGGCCTGCATTTCCAGAGCATCGGTGGTGTCCTGACCACCCGTCTCGGGCCGTATTTGTTCTGGAAGTTGTGGAACGTGGGGTTGGGGCGAGAGGGAAGGGGAGTGTGATCGCGGCAGCATTTCCTGCTGATGCGTGCCGAACTCGTCTGCATGGGACTTCACATGGTCCACGCTGAAACGGCACTCAGGTATGCCCGGTGCAAGCGGGGGCTCATCGATCTGTCATCCCTCGAGCGATGGCCTATGGAACCAGAAACATGGCCGGCTTGAATCGGCGAATAATTCGGGATCAATCATATCCCGGGCAGGTTTGGGTGACAGATGGATTGCCCTATCCCATCAAACTGGTTAAGTTCAAGCCGTGATGGCATCCTGCTCTATACCAGCGGGGACGAGGGTCAAATCTGGTGATCGTGGCTGGGGCCATGTATGCCCACCGCTTGTCGTCACAGGATTTGGTCTGGAGCAAGCTCACCAGCCCGTGGAGGGTTTCCAGGAGGCTAGTTCGGTTCACCGCATGTTTGAAGGCAAGCGGAATGGGCTGTTCAAAGCCAAGGCATCACGAAGCGCTGGGACAACCGCGGCCGTGCCCTCCGTCAGGTCTCTCGGCGGGCAGACTTCGACCGAGCAGACAGCGCGACAAATAATAGGGCGGTGTCGAGTGCCGGTGTGACACAGCGAGTGCTTGTGAACCACAGGGCCGCAACCCAAGAACCGGGGCCGAAGATGTTTGTGCCGGAAGCATGGAAACCGCACCGCATCGTTAAACGACCAAGCATCCTTTGGGCCGCAAAGTTTTTTCACCGTAGGCGCGGGGCATCTTTGGGCAATTCCCCGGGTGGCCGACAGCCGTGTCTCTCCCACACGGGCGCTCATTGATGGCACCCTCCACCTACCTGCTCCAGACAGGTACGCGACAGAGTTGGCCCAAGTGCAGTTCCGCGAAGGGATCGAAGTGATGCCGGTGAGGCAGTCGCGCTGTCGGCTGCAGAACCCGGCCTCCCTTCGTCGTCCCGTGGGCCCGCAATATCTGCAAGGTTATATTGACCGGTGAGCAGGGGGTGGTCAGCAACTCTTCCGGTGGGGTGGTAACGACGACGAACAATGCTTCCGATGGGGTCTCTCGTCGGTCGGGGCCGGATTCAGCGGGTCGGAAATGCCGACTGAACAGCTGGAGGGCACCCTCCCTCGGCCCCTTCGCAGCCCGCCTCCTGCTTGCACCGTTTTTGCAGTCGGCATTTGACCTGAGGTGTTGAGGGGATTGGGGTCGCTTCCGGACCCAACTAGCCCTGGCAGGACCCTGAAAACGAGTCCCTCCTCGCATCCCGGCTCGGTGCCCCTGTGTTGGGAAAAACGGCCAGCTGAATCTTCTTCAGACCACCCCACCAAAAAAAGAAAGCCAATCACGCTTTTTGGGGGGGTTTCTCGGCGGACCCGTCTCTCCTCTGGCTTGTCGGCCCGATCTTGATCAGTCAGTTCCGAGTACCTCACTGCACAGGAGGTCCTTGCTTCGTATGCAAGTATGGGAACCTTGAGCCTCGGTCAAGTGCCAAACTCTCCTACTTGGTATACTACCGGGTTATTGGATGGCTACCGGGTTCAGCCCCGGGGCTCGGTTTGAAGCGTGATCGCCCCCCTTTGAACCATCGAAACCACGTTTCCGAGGCCACTGGACGTGGCTGGGAGTACATCGATGCATTGCCGGCAGCGTCGACGACATAAAGTGGATCCTGATAACGCAAGAGTTCCAGGTTTGTGGGGAAAGCGGGAGCCACTGCATCTCTGCTGCAAGTCAGTCCTGCAGTCGTTGTTGGATTCAAGTTTGTTGAATTTGGACGATCGAGCCTGAAACCGCAGTCGACGACGGCCTTGTCAGCTAACTCTTGATCGGTGTGGAGACCGATGCTCTTGAGCGTCTCGGGTTGCACAAGCAACGGGCTGACGGTCTTGTTCCCGGGGTCAGGGCTCCATCGCAGCCAAGATCACGAAGTGCAGCGCTCGCGGCCGAGGGCGCCAGCACGCCAGCAAGGAAGAGTGAAGCCTCAGAGGAGCTGTCAGGTGGTGCCAAGATCACCAAGCACAACAGGCCCGCGCTAGAACCTTCCCCGCTGCTTCGCAAATCTGCCATTGGTTGCAAGGATGGAGTCCCACGTCGTCGGTTGGGCAAGGATATTACCCGCCGGCCCTGAACAAGAAACAGGTCTTGTTGGAAGCTTCGAGGGAGGATTGGAAGCGGGTATCGCCTTCTGTCATTATACCTCTGCAGGTCCGGGACATGACATGTAAGATGGTTGTGCCGGCAGTCGGTCGTCGAATCGAGTCGCCGAGAAGCCTGGCGATGGCGGTCGAGGCGGGATGAGAGACGAATTGTGTCCTGTGCGACGCGAGAAAAAAGGCGTTCGCACGTTCCATCCCGTGGCCTGATGACCGACTTCTGCGACTGCCAAACCCGGCGCTGTCGCATTTCACTTTCCCGCAATTGCACTCCCCTGCTCCGAGCTGCTCCGCTCACTGGCCGCGCCTTCCACTTGTCAACCAGGAACCAACAAGGGTGAAGGGGCAAGACGTGGTCAGGCCGCGCCTTCCCCGCGACCGGTGAATCTCTCTTCTTCACTTCATCCCCTCGCAGCTCTCACCGATTCCTTCCTTTGCCAGCAAACGAGACAATAGCATTCTTCACCGGCTGTTCTGGACTCCACCTTGCAACAACCACGGTCCCATTCGGTCTGTGCCGTGAGACATCGCGTGTATTACCCGCTTGACCTCGCAGAGGACCTCGCCATTATTGGGCAGCACTCAAACGGCAGGACAGCACCGGCCGCCGACCGAGTCGGTATCGGATCTCCACTCCCGAGCAACCAGTTCATTGTTGGGACGAGCCGACCTGCGAACCGCTCGCCAGTCCATCGCGCGCACCCATCCGCGGCAGCCGCGCCAAACGTCGGCAGCCCAGCTCGAGTTTGCGTCGAGGCCGACCGTTGTCCAGCACCGCCTCGGAACGCGCAGTGTTCGTGCCGATCGGGTCTGTCTCGCCGCGGCCGAGGGAACCCCATCTGCTCCGACCAAGTCGGCGGCTTTGTCCGGAGCCGCACCCTCTCATCCCCGGCCGCACTAGCCGAAGCCAAAGGGAGCCTCGGCGCTGGGGGTGGTGGTAGTCACTAGACAAACAGCAATTTGTGCTACTCGTCTTCCGGCTGTTTTTCTTGGCTCGTGCCGACCCCCTGCCTCTTCCCTTCTCAACCCCGATCTTGTTACAACCCCACCCCTCGTCGCGGCTCCTGTCCGCCGCCCCCCAACTGCATCGGGTGCCGTTTTCAGGTGCGCCCGCATCACTCTCCACGTTTCCCGTCCGGGCTATTTCGTCCCTCGTGGCGATGGCGCATCTGTGAGATGCTCAGCCCTGGGCATCCACACATTCACCCCCCCTCCCCACCTCCTTCGGACGGTTGTGACTTATCCTTTAGTCGTCCCGAGACGCGGACCAGGTGTTGGCTGGCTTCCTCTGCTCCCTTGTTTCCCCCTTGCAGACCGGGTACCTCTCCACCTCACACATCCTGGGTCATCGCCCCCCTCGGACTTGCCTAACATAATACCCCGGGCTTGTCTACATCATGGTAAGAATTTTGTCTTTCATACTAGGCTAGGCGGCAGGATGCATGGCGGCAATCACAGATCGTCCTCGTGGCTGCTTCATGTCCCCTTCCACTCCCACCGTCCACCCCCCCCCTCTCGTGTCACTTACACGCACATCCCCCTTCCAGCTCTCTCCGGTTCTCTCCCCTGTCCTGCCCCGTCACGACCTACCTTCACCGGTCCGCGCCCCATTCTCAGCTCTCCCTCTTAATTCGTCCAACCTGCGGTGAATTGAATTGACAATGGTCGTCTAGAATCCCAATATCAGAAAACGGCGGGCTTATGGCCACGAGGAGGCCCCTGCAGAGTCAGTCTTCTATGACCTGACCTACACGCCAGCTCTCCTAGACAACATATCTTTGCCACCCGACCACCGGTATATACTCGACCAGGGCCCTCCACCTTGCGTGCTGCCCTCATCTAGTCCTCACTATCTGACGCGTCCAGAATCTCGGCAGTATGTGCTGGAGCAGGCAGCTCTGATTCTAAACCAACCCGTGAACGCTCTATTGGACCTTAGCAACCAACAGTACCCGTTCGCCAACCAACCACAACATCAGGATCCGGAGGGTCAACATCACTTCCATAAGAGACTTCGACTGAGTCCGAGTACCTCGATGCCTTCACTCCCTTACTCCGACGGCCTCCCCGTGCATAATGGGCAAGAGAAAAGTCCACTTGGCCCGCCGGCTGGCCAGCCGGATGCAGGGGCAGGCACTGCTCGCAAACCGCATGGGCTTTTCCCTGGGAGGGACGTCACAACTGGCTGGACGGGCACGCGGCTAGCCGACTGTTTTGCGAGCTTCTCCATGTGCCCACCATTTGAGGCTCAGCCAGGTAGGTTTCCCTTCCTCGTACCATGCCCCAGTGTTCCGCAGAGGGAGGCTAACGACATTGCCAGCGGCGTACCAACCACTCTTAACACCTCCATCGTATGATTACGATGATCGTCGTCCCCCGGCGCTGGATACTGCGGTGGTCTCAGTGCAGCCGCAAGCCCAAGCCTCTCTCCTCCCCACGCCCGTTACCTCAGACCCGGGTGCGCTCTATCCCTGTGATCACCCTGCATTGATGGCTCAGTATCTATCAAACTACCCCCCGCTGCAACCTGAGCGGGTCATGGGTCTTCAGCCCGCTACAAGTCGGGAAGAAATGATCTACCCGAGTGTTTCGCCAATCGTCAAATTCGAAGGCAGCGCCGACAGCCCTCCTGACGCCTCGGGCATTGGGATACAACCGCCTCCATACGGGCCCCCGCAGACAGGCGCCGTCCCGACTCCATACCCTATCGGTGAACCATCGCCGTATGAAGGGCACGGGATGGTCATGAACTTGCCGTCGCGCTTCCACCCAATCCAATGTTTCGATGTTGTCCCGGGAACGGAGAACGCGGGTGCCCAGGATCTGGACTTTTTCCCAGCACACAGAACCACTCCCGTCAAGCGCGGGCCGTTCAAGGACCAAGACTCGCGGGAGAAAACGGCTCTGACCAGGAAGATGGGCAGCTGCATCCGATGTCGAATGCAGCGGATTCGGGTAAGCACATGTTGTCCCCCGCTCTTTTGTTGGAGGCCAACCTAACGCTCCGTGACAGTGCAATCTCGATCCAGAGAACGAAGGAGGCCCGTGTTTATCGTGCAAGAAGATTGCCAGCAGTGCCAAGGTATATCGGCTGAACTGCTTGCGTCTAAAGATCACGGACGTGAAGCTCTTCAAGCCTGGCCAGGTCAAGGGGCAGGAGTGGACTAACCGTTGGAAGGACAGCGTGATGGACGACATTGGCAACTGGGAAGCCGGCCAAGTGCGGACTATCCGCGTCACTGAGGGTTACACGGGCCAGTCTGTCAGACTACAGGTTCGGCAGTTCAAGCCTCAGCAAGGTGACAAAATCAACAGGTCTTGGGTGTCGAGGAATGGCAACAAACATGAGATCCAGATTCCGACCTTCGCCATTGTAAATCTGGATAACGCCAAGGCCGAATTCGACCAGTATATCAAAATCGGCTTGGTCGACTGCTGCCACCACTTGCTGGGCTCACGGGACAAACTCCTTTGGCGAACTTATTCTCTAGCCATCAAAACTGCACGAGATTCCTCCACGCCGCAGTCGGAGAAAAGCCTGCTGGTTTCGACGCTCGACCTCTGGATGTCAGTCCGATTGACCACCAAGTCGTTTGAGATCGTAGGTGATGACACGTTGGGGATGCCACGAGACATCATCGATGACCAGGACAATCCGCTGCATGGGAAGATCCCGCTCCCCCCGGTGATGGGTGCGCAGATTGATTCGGTCATTATTCACCAGATCCAGCCTCGCCTTCGTCGAAGGGCACTCGAGGAGCTGCAGAAAATGACGCAGGAAAAGAAGCAAAAGACTTGGCTCACCACATATCTGGTGACGTTCATCCTGTTGCACAACATTGGTCTGATAACCAAGCACGATGCGGACTATGCCAAAAAACACGGCATGCAGGTGCGTTTATTCGTCTCGGAACCGGAAACATTGTGACTCGACTGACCTTATCGCCAGACTCGGTTCGCACGGGAGGCCCATGTCAAGGAGTACAACCTGGGTGAGTGCGCGCGACGGGGGGAGTGTAAGATGACTCGCAACTGACCCGGTGACTAGGGGCGAATACCCTTCTTGCCTACTTCCACTACTGCAACAAAGCCATCTACCCATTCTCTAGCGAGTGTAAAGACCAGGATCTGCAGACCCTAGCAGAGCTCGACGACGAAGCCATCTCGTTCGTACATTATACTCGAAAGATGGTTGCCGAACATAGTAAGTAGGCCAACACCATTATTGGGATCCTATCTGACTCCGTCGTGGCAGGAAAAGAATGGGAGCGCCTGTGGACCCATGATATATATGAGGACGAGTACTACTATGCGAGCCAGCTATTCGAGCACAACTGGCAGCCCCGAACCATGGCGTAGTTGTTTTCGTGGGCGGGACATGCTATTTGTGCGGCTAAGAGTGAGCGTGGTTTGCAGGTGACAGGATAACATTTCCGGGGTGGTCAACCGACTGTTTGCGGGTGAGGGGGTAGCGATGAGGGGCCGCTTCCGTTACTGCCGAAGGTTTGTTTTAAGGAATCGCTGCTTTCCTTGGTTGTTCCAGGCACTCGAGGTTTGACATTGACAAATGGCCACGGGCAAGGAACAATTATGGGATCCACGCAAGGTACGACCGTTTGTGCTGTGAAATACATACCCGACATGCTCAACCCAAAGGTCCATCTTCTTGAACGCGTCGTCCGCCAGACGAACTCGAGAGATGCCTCGGAGTTTTTTCTTCTCCTTCGTTCTTGGTGCCGTGGTGCCCTCCATCCCATGGAAACCGGATGTACATCGGACACTCTGCAACAAGACCAAGGAGCCCCCCAATCACCGACTGCAGACACCACAGGTTCGGCTGCATCACGACGCATCTCCATCGTGCTGTGAAAGCCACCGCTAGCCAATCGCGGAATGGCGGCATGTTCCAGCGGATGCGACTGCAGATCCCCAGTTGTTGCTCCCCACCTATCCAATTGCAGAGTTGGCGCTCCAGCCCATCAAGAACCCAGGATCAGGGGTTTTGGCAAAGGGGACACAGATCTTTCTTATCCGATCCGATCTTTGCTTCCACATCGATGGCTGGCTGGAAACTCACAAACACCGGCATGAGACAGCTGGGCTGGACGTCGGGTGGCTGCAGGTCGCCGGAAAGACAACCCGGGCCATGTGTGAGGTTCCTATCGTTTTTTCGTCCTTTTTCCCCCTTTCTTCTCCATCCTATGTCTCATTTCCTCACCGGCTCAAGCCACCACCCACATGTCGAGTGCCAGAACCAGTTCCTCCAACTAGGCTTCTAACCGCAATCGGATTTGCTTGCACCCTTTCTTTTTGGTCGGAAATCGGGGCCGGTGAACGGGCGGCCGAGGAAAGGGAAAGAAAAAAGAAGGCGATCATGCTTGATCATGCTTGCCACGCGGGCGATTTGCACCTTTGCGAACGTCGCGACACCGCCCGAGAAGCCGCTAGCAATTGCAACCACAAACCACAACCACAACCGCAATCACGCTACGTATTTCCCATCTCATGCAGCTGGTGTACCACTTTGGCAATTCCCGGTCGCACCAGCCACCTGCAACAGCGGGAATTTTTGGGTATCAATGTCTTCCCGTCCCGCCCGCGTCCGAGATGAGATCTTGTCGAAGGTCAGGGACGGGAGAGGCTTTTTGGTGTGTCAGGCTTCTCACATTTCTCTTGCATACGATTCCAAACCTGGTCCTGCTGGGATTCTTCAGCATTCAAATTTCCTTCGAGCTTCTGCGCAGCCTGCCGAGCTGAACAGCAAGCCACGTATTCCGTCATTGAGGATCGCGCTTGACACTGCTTTATGCTTTCCTCTAGTTAGATGTGGCCTCGTCCAAGGAAGGCACGACATCCATCAAAGCCCACCAGAACAGCATGTCACTTCGGGTTTCCAGGCTGCCCCCGGTTTTCTCCGTGCCCGCTCGTTTTTTCCCGCCGAGTCAAAATCGGGGATAGCTACGGCTTGTGTTGTACAACGGAAAGAACGACCTGCTACACTTCACGGCCACCTACCAGGTTCTTCCACTGCATGTGGGTTCCAGTATTATCCAAGTCGCTTGTGCCACTCGGAAATCTTTCGATTTCTTTTTTTTCCCTCCCTAGGTTTCTCTGCTTCTTCGCGCCTGCATGATTTATGCCTGGTTATTCCGCAGTTACCCTTGATTTGCGCCACATCTTCTTCTGATACCCGTTGCTTCGCTTACTGACGAACAACGCCTTCTTCTTCGGCGTGATGGCCGTCTCCGAGTCCGCTACCTGCCTTACCTACCAGTCTGGATGTCTCGACATGCCACCCTCTGCCCTATATGCAGGTGATGCATGGCCTAGCAGATTAGTGTCTCCGGCGGCGGGTCCTGATCTTGCTAAGAGCTTCCAGGTTTCGCGGGCAAGTGCCCCGGTTGCTGCGGTCGAACGCCATCCCACAGCAGCCCCTGCCATCTGCTCGTGATCATCAGCTGGTGGTCCCTCCGCCTCGTCTTCCGTGACCGGTGGCCATCTCCAATGTCGGCAAGTGCAAATCAAAGGTAGTTAGCCGGCCTCGAGGGGCGTGTCCTTCGATCTGCCGCCCCCCTCAGGCGCCGTCACGGAAAGCGCCGTGTCTGGTACATGCCTTCTGTTACAGTTTCACCCCTCCCCAAACGCCTTCTTCTCTTTTTGCGTCCAGTCTCACCTATCGTTCGCCGAGCCTGGCCTCCCCTGCCCACCTTGGCTCCCCGTACATTCCTTACCTAAACCCGCTCATCTCTGGAGCAGGAACCACGGAACCCAACACCTGCCCGTCCTCCAAGGGGGTAGGGCTACCTGACGCTCTCCCGTCTGTCTGGCTGGGTGCCTGCCGCCCTAGTTTCTTTCAGTGTCACCCCTGACTTCATTTTCACTCGTTCTTTCTTCTTACCGGCCTCGGTCGTCCGCCTCAAACGGCCTTATTCAAGGTATCCTCTCTCCGTTGCCCGCCGGGTCTGCACTTGCCCTCGCTCCGCGACCACAAACAAGAAGGGATGCGGGCAGGCTGTTGTCTGTTCGACGTGAGCCGCAGTGTTTGGCCGTTCTGTCCCTCCTGGGATGTCTGATTGCTCGCCAAAACAAATCTTTCCGTCTATATAAGTCGGCTTGGACTTTGTTCTCTGCCCATCCATCAGACATCGAGTCCTTCCAACCTCCATCAACTCTCCATTCGCTCGTTCTCTGGTCTACCCGGTTTGTGCCTCCCAGTTACCCATCCGCTTGCGACATATCAAGCACACGGTTACTCGACACTCAAAGGAACGTCTCGTTGCCCGCCGATCCATTGTTGATAAGCCGGATTCTCTTTCGAGGTGGGTTCGCTGCACCCTTCCCATTGAATCTGATGCGCTGGCCGTGGAGCCGCAATGTGCGTCTACGAAGGGTGCTAACCTCCGAACAGGAAACCCATCGTCAACATGCCCACTGCCGGTGCCGGACCCGTTCTCGCCGCGGCCACTGCCTCGGTCGTTGGTACTCCCAACTTGGCCCTGCATGCCAAAACCAATGCCGATGCCCCCACCCTTCCGGCCGGCTTCCCCGCCCATCTGCCGGATAAGCTATCATGGACCGGTTCCGACTTCAACAAGACGTCTAACCACATCCTGAACTTGAGTGGTACCCACCATGCCGAGATTAGTGCCGCTCTTGAGAGCTACAAATGCAAGTGTTTTCCTGCCGAGAATCCACTCCAGCCCGTTTTGTTCCGCTAACAGTGTCCGGCCAGCCCTCGGTCAAGATGGAGACCTCGTGGAGCCTGCCAACTTCCCGCTCCCAACGCTCGGCCCAAAGCTCAAGGAGCTCAGCGGCGACGTCCACAATGGCAGGGGTTTCTGTGTCATCCGAGGCATCAACCCTGCTTCTTACACCGTCGAGGACTTGACTCTGGTCTATCTTGGCGTTCAGTCGTATATTGCCGAAGAGCGTGGCCGCCAGGATAAGTGTGGAAACATGCTCGGTAAGTGAAGAGGCATTCTCCTCTTCCTAACTCAGCACTTGCTGACGGTTTGGTAGTCCATATTGTTGCGGATAATAGCACCAAGCAGGCGGCCGAGCATCATCGGCACTCGACCAAAGCAATTGTCAGTTCTCACTCGGTGCGCCCTATGGTGCATATGCGGATGACGGCTAACCACGTCCGGATCTCTTAGACGTTCCACAACGAGGAAGCCGGCGATGTCGTTAGCTGGTTGACTCGCAGCACCGCTGCAGCGGGCGGCAAGTGCATCATTGCCTCGGCCTACACGGTTTACAACGTTCTGGCAGCCACTCGGCCCGATGTGATCCGTACCTTGTCCCGGTCCGATTGGCCTTTTGCCATGTAGGTGACACCCTGCGGCTCAATCGATACAATTCGCTGACTGGCTTGGCTTCTTCTAGGCCGCGCTTCCAGTGCCGTCCGGTTATCTTCTACCAGGACTCGAAGCTCATCATGAACTTTGGTCGCGCCGCCCTCCTGGGCAGCGAGGCTCATCCCCGGCCTCAGCACCTGCCCTCTCTCACAGCGCGCCAGATCGAAGCTTTGGACGCTATCGAGACCATTGCGCAGGCCACTCAGCTAGAGATCCAGACGCAGGCTGGGGACATGCATTTCGTCAACAACCTCGCCATCCTTCACCGCCGCGAAGGCTTTGCTAATGGGCAGGCTCGCACTGAAAAACGCCATCTGGTGCGCATGCGGCTTCGCAGCGCCGAGCAAGGGTGGTCGATCCCCCGCGAGCTCGAGGCGGAATGGGACGATGCGTTCAAGAAGCATGGCGTCAAGCATTGGCACGTGGAACCGATGCCTTTCTACTTTTTCCCTATGCGTCTGTATCCCAACTAGCCCAAGAAAGCGCTCCCCCCTTCGTGGTTGTACTTTGTTTTCGCCCTTTTCTCGTCGCATTCTAGGTGTTCTCAAACTAAAGCTGGACATGGGACGGGGGGCTAAAAAGACACGGGGGCGTTTGGGTTGGCATTTGATATCATTTCAGTTTTTTTATACTTAGTTTCCTGCGACGATAATGACTGACGGGAGGTAGTGGTAGCATGGAAGGTGGACACACAGACTGTATCCACATTGCTGGTCGACTTCCGATTCAAAGGTTTGCTTTCTCTACCTTCTATTTAGACGATGTTTGTTAGTTAGTTATTGGCCAAAGCTGGCCTCAAGATTAGCCTGATCAGTACGGCTCTTTGCCTCTTCTTCAAGCTCTAATAGTACTGGAAGTGCCGGAAATGAAGTTTTCTGCCAAAGCACTGCAAGAAGTCTTCCAAGGTTCCATCCGGGCGCACACAAATTGCCACGCATGCGAGATTCCAGATACTGCTGTCCACCCACTGCCACCTTGACCGCATCGCATCCCAACGTTCCAAGACCGGGATCCACACGACCCCTCACAAAGCTGGATTCCCACTTGCAGCGAGACCCAAACACCCAAATCATCACGCCTGCATAGCTGTGCAGGGAGGCTAGAAAGGGCTAGGCAGCAGGGGTCTTTGGGGATCTGATAGCGGGGCATTTACCACGTTCAGAAGCACGCGCAGACGAAGAAGCATGGCTCCGATCCACCCCGTGTTATTAGTCTGGTAAGATGAGGAATAGCTTACTGTGCAGGCTGGTCGGGGCCGTCTTCCGCGGCTGGGTCTCGAGTAGATAGCGGAGTGTGGTGGAGATATGGAGGGTGAAATATTTGCGGCGCAGAGGGCTAGAACACGAACAAATTCCACTTCACTTACACAAGAACGGACTGTGATGCTCTTGAGAAGGAAAATATGCGCTGCACGATCCGGCACAGTACATACATACATGTACGAATACGGGGTTTCTCCTTGGCCCGCCCTATTTTTGATGGGATCTTCCGAGACCAACGCTTTTCTGGCGAGGTGCAAACATGTATGTATGTATGTATCACCCAGATAAGCTTACCGTCGCTCCCGGGCTATGGCCGGCAGTTGCTCCGAGGTTACATTCCCGATCGGATCGGAGTGGGTCTTCAAAAGCCGGGGCTTGCGGGGTCCCACTTCTTCCACTTCCCTTCCAGGGGGGGTGGATGCACGTGCGGGGATTCATCACACCTCAACAAGCTGTGTCTCAGCTGCACCTTCCCTCCCAGCCATGCGCTTCCATGATCAAATTTTATTTTTTTTCGCTTTTCTTTTTTGCGTGGCTTGTCAGATATGCAGGCCATCGGCAGTGATGCCGTGGTGACGGGCGAAATTCCATGGTCCGTTCCCAACTTTCCCATTGCCCAGGGCCTCAGAATTCTCGCTCGGTTTCTCTGAGCTAGGTCGACCCCCCCCCACGGCACGGCAGACCATCGTCCACCTCGTCACAATGACGCTGCTCATCTACATCGTGTATTTTTCTTTTTTCTTTTTCCGGTCAGCCCTGCTCTGCGGCTCTTGCAGCAGTGACAGTTCTGGCCCGGTAGATCATGCGATCCACTACGTCCCAAGGGTTTGGGACGGCCGATCCTCCCCCTCCCTTTGGGCTCACCAAGACACCCCAAGAAACCCTAAACACCGAGAAGCGGGTCAGCCGGAGCCCAACAAATAAAATCAGCGGTGAGGTGGACTATCCCATTCCTCGGCAGACAGAAAGGGGGACCGATGAATGCCATGGACTGTCGGAAGGGAACAAAAGACCGAATTCTTGCGCACCACCACCGCCGCCGTCGACCCCGCTGCCACCCAACCCGGTAGGTATTTCGCAGAACAAGGACTCGGTAGCGACCAGGCTAGCCGGATGGCGATGACTCGATCAAAAGTACGGCGCAACCACCCGTCAGTCGTCACTCGTCACACCGCCCTAACCAGCTATCCCGCACGAACGAACCGCAGGAACGGATTGCTGTCTGTCATTCGAGCGTCCCGTTCCCATGGCACATCACAAATCCGATGCCCCCGATCCACGGTTCCGGGTTTCCAAGTTTCCGTGCCGATCCTGTGCAGCTTTGGGGATAGCCCGGGGCTCCGGAGGCGGCTGAAAAGGGACGACAGCATCGGCCTTGAGGCTGGCGAGGAGCAACTTGCTTTTCTTTTTGCCCAATCCCGAGCCGCGGTGGTGGGTGGGATTTTTGTTCGTCTCATGCGTGGGAAAGCCACGAAAGGGCCCGAGTCCTATCCTGTGTGTAAGCCGTACGGTTGCGATTGGCCAGGCCGGAACCGCCTCGTCGGTGATCCCCACGTTTTGCGCTGGTTAGTGTGCTTATCAAGGGCGTATTGCTGTTTCTGGACGCCCCGATACGTTCCTCTGCCTCGCGGAACAAGAGCGTCTTGCCTCATCCGGGTTTCCATCTGAGTCGGTTTCGCCCGGGGTGTCTCACAGACCACATGTAGGGCGCCTGTGGGCGGCGCCTTGGGCGTCCAGTTGCCGGCCTGGGGGCGCTGACTCGGCCCGTTGACGGGAGTGGCGGCGTCGGCCACCCTTGCACAAGGGCGGGGAGCAGCATGATGATATGATATCACTGCCCGAGTCCGGTAGCAGATGGCGTGTCTGCATCCCCATGTTTGCATGTGTTTGGAGGACGGGCCTCCAGGTCAGCAGCGCCACTCTCCGGTCCTCTCACCTTCGAGCCTTGGCTCTCACCCACCTGCCCTTCTGGCGTGTCCGGCTCGGAATCTTCCCGAAACAACAGACGGCCCGGATTAGTCGGGCCCGCCCACTTGTATCCCCAGGGACACACACTCCTCATGGTACAAAGAACAAACCGGCACCTCTTCGGGTTAGAAGGACCCCTCCTCGGTCGGTTAGTAATCACCTGAAAGGGCGGGCATCGTGGGATCACCTCAGTGGGGTGAGAGGGGCTTTGCAGGTGTGATATCAAACTTCACTATCGACACCAGCTGAACGGCATCCCCAAGTCGGAAATGAGCACATATGGGATTTGCGCGATCTCTCGTTTAGCTGACTCCTCGCCACCAGCCTCGGCGGCTCCAATACGAACAGCAGAACGAACAGTCTCTCTCCCCCTCTCGCCCCGTCATGATTCACTTTTGATGACTGACTCCTCCTCCCCCCTCCCCGACGCCAATCGGATTCGGAAAGTGGGAGACGGGGCCCCGACTTGGGTTTATGTGTATGTCCGCGTGTGGAGGCTTGGCGAGACCCCGGGTACGTAATGGGATGGGCCCCGGGCGGAGGCCAGACCGTGCGCCGTCGTCGTTCTAACTATTATGTGTCTCTTATCTCCTCTGTCTAACTACATACACTAGTGCAGCCTTGCCGTCCTCACTGATCGGCAAGGGTCCTGGAGGAGGAGGAGGAGGAGGAGGAGGGGGAGGGGGGGTTATTTCGAGGCGTTGAGACAGCCCCGATCCTTGAACCGCCCTCCGCCCGCCTCACACGTGTCGGGGCCCCGTCTCCCCCGCCATGTCTCATGTCTCGGTAGTTGGTGGCCTCCGGCCGAGCACGGGCGGTACCTAGGTATGCACGCCCCGGTAACTATGGGAGAATCCCGGAGCATCCCCTCCCCCCACCGACCCCCGACCCCGGGCGGGATAGCCGGGTTGCTTACTGTGCAGTGAGGCGTGAGGCTTTGCTTTTTCGTCGTGTGATGTGTGGTTGCGTCATGCGAGGCGCGCCCGCCCTAGACATTTCTTGTTGATGGGGCTTGCTAGTTGCGGGCTATGTCGATGTGCTCTAACTATCTCCCTATCTATCTCTCTGTACTGCTGTACGCGCCGCGTTATGACTCGGTCATTCCGATGAGGACGGTGAGTTTGGAGGCTTGCTAGGGGTGTTGACAGTTGCTTTGGGAACAGGCCGCATAAGAGAGACATCGTTGTTTTTCTCGGCGCGTATGTGTGCCGACGGTCCGCTCGCTTCTAAGCTCCCTTTATTGACTAGTCGCCATAGGTGGCGTGTTGAAGGACCGCGTTTGAGTCACGGATGCTGCCGTATCTGACGGCCGTGCGTTCTTCATCTAGGCCACCTTCTTGCTTCCATACCGAAGGGGTGCATGATGACAACGTACAAAAGTGAAGGCGATGTAGGGTGGGCATGCACGGTTTCGGAGATGGAGAAGAACTTGAGGCTGATGTCGCTGAAAAACTATGGATAAGGAAACACAGATTGGCACGGATAGCGGCCTCTTGCTGTGGAGGTTACTAGAAGACTAGGATAGTAAAGAGTAGTGAACGACAGCAGGAATATAAATAAATTAGAAAAGATGATACATTAGGGAGCATCAAGCGTTAATGACTGCGCAACTGTTGTCATTCAGGGGTAGTTATTGTTGACAGACTGCCGATTTCAGCAGTTATTGTTGACATTTCATTAAAGCGGTCTGGGAGCTAGAGGGCTACTGCTACGAGAAAAAATGAGTTGAGCAAGTTTGACTTCGAGGACGACTCCATACGTGACCTGTTTCAAGGAACCACATCCCTATGTAGCAGTTTATTGAACCGAAGCGCATTATCCGTGAAAAATGATCGGTGCCTTTCGATATAGAGTTGTTGGTCGTTGGGTCGAAGACGCGAGGCTCAAACGCCATCGAGATGGTAACTCAGGGCTCATACTATGGAACAAGTTTGTCCCCTGACCAACTAGGAACACTTTTACATTCCTAACGATTTGTATTGAACTTTTCAGCCCCATCATTGCTCTGGTAGGTTATCACGCGATGACAATCCAGTCCTTGTGAGGAGACGGAGTCCGTGGCCATGTTATGGCACGCCATTTGTGGAATTGGATTTACAAAATGGACACTAAGTCCCTCCATAGGCGTTTGGAAATAGAATAAAGGATACAGTGGCCTGGAATGATATAGTGGGGACCAGCTATTGCTAGTACAATGCCAATACCTGCTCGTTCTACGGGGTGATATTAGACTTGTTCTGTTTTGTATCAGGACCACCGCTGGTTTTTAAGGGGTTATTTGATATTTACGGCGCTTCGTGTTCTGGAATCCGAGCATGACATTCACGTTAGGGTAGGTACCAGCGCCTTCTTACCTGCTATAATGTGGGATTGGGGGCTGGGAGCCTGTTTGTGCTGTGAAGGTGAACTTGTGGTCTCATGTCGTCAACTGAACAAGCCCCCTCGGGAACGCTTGCCCTCCCGCCCCCCCCCCCCCCCCCCCCTACGAGAATAGAGAAGCCTTTTAAAACACGGAGAGATGGGTGGGCGGCCGCCTCAACTCTACCGTACACTTGGTCAATTTCGTCTGGACTTGAACAGGAGGCCGTGGCCACCAGGGCGGCCGACTTCCAGGCGTAGCTGTTCCGTTGTGTCAACCTAAGAAAGGGTTCAGAGGAACCGGGCCGCTAGGAGACAACCCCGACTCGGACCACGGTATCCCCGAGCCCGGGGCCATCGTGCTCAGCTTCTTCTTCTCGGGGCGCCGTATATTCAGACGTTATGTGCAGCAGTTGACTCGCTCGTAGGTCATCAAAGACTGGCGCCGGTATGGTTTTGAAAGCCAAGTATATTGTAACAGAGGCAAGCAGTCTAACGGCTCGTCGTTATCGTACAAGGGGCTAAAATAAGACGGAAGGCGTGACAAACGCTGGTGTTATATGTCTCGTCTGGTCTTGGTGGTGGATGTCATGGGGCTTTTGGTACATATGTATAACCCAGCTTGCCTAGTCGCGGACTCCGGCCATCTGGAACTGACCAAAACCAACCCACTATCATTGCATGTATGTTTCCTTGTACACTGGTTTGCCACACGGGTTGCTGCCCAGCCTCTTAGTATCTTACAGGGCTTCGATGACTGCTCGAGCGGGCCATGGTACTTGGTTTTGTTTGGTTTTGGTTGCGGGCCGGGAGAACGGTAACGGCAACTGTTCACCATAGCAGCGAGAAACTCAGTTTCATCAGCGTTCAAAATAATGAACCGCCCAGTACCGCCGCGGCATTATCGGGCCAGTTCACTTCGAGAGCGGATGAGTTGGCGGACCATGAGAAAAAGAAGAAAATAAGGACCAGAGAGGGAGAGACATGAATATATGGTTTCGTGCTTGCATCCTACTCTGAGGTTGATGATATCATGGCAGATGGGAGGCGAGTCCAGATCTGGGATAGGATTGGGCGCTGGGTCGGGCACCGCTCTTAATATACTCGACAGTAGCCTGCTTTTCACATCGTTACCGAAATTATTAAATAGAGACCTGCTTTCCTGGGAGGCTCGAGAAGGGTTCTACAAGGCGGGTTCCCTTAACCACGAAACTACGTTTACCGTAGACACCGCCGTCATCGAGTCTTAGGTCGCCACCGTCCCCATCTAAAGACACCCGGCAGGCAGCAAATATCTGAGAGCTGAGAACATGCTCTGATAAAGGAGGTAACCCGGGAATGGAAAGCATGGATTACTCCTATCGGGGCAGAAGAAAGCTCCACCATATGCCGGTTCGATTGTTGGTGTGAGAGAGTCGAGGTTCGGGATATCACGCATTAGGACCTCTAAGAGAGTTGGATGAACTGCGTCATAAGCCTAGAACTGTGGTCCTTGGGGATGACGGCTCGATGGAGAAAGGTTGCTGTGCGCCGTTCCTGTCCGACACTCCAAGCCACGGCACTTGTGCTGACCACTTCGTTCCGGGAAGCTCTACACGTAAGAGCTTTGAGTTGAGTTGGTCCGGCTGACGCTAAGCTCGAGTTCGTCATGAGCTTGAAGACTGACTTCCTTCCTTCCACATGCGAGGCGTGGCCTGGCTTCTTTCTTGCCTCGGGTTGAAGATTGAAGGGAGGTCTCGCTGTTGTGGAAGGCGCTACTGATGTGTCGGCAGTGGAGTGGAAGTGGTGTGCTCGTAGACTGGCGACTCGATGTGAAGTCGAAGTTGGCAAGAACCCCCCCCTCCTCCTCCTCTTCCCTAATCGGCGTAAGACTGCATGCGAGAGTGTGGCAGCAGCATCGGGCACCGTAAACGCCTTCCATCTTCGTCCATGATTTTCAACACTGCGCCTGCCTTTTGTTATAAAATCCCCCGCTGCAGCTCGGGGATTGGAGATGCGGGGGCTTATCTGCCTCGGCACACTTAGAAATCCCGTGCGTTCTCCATATCATCATCAGTCTGCTTGTGATCCGGCCGATGACAGCTTCTTGAAGCTCTTGGCTTGCACAACGTCAACGGCGCATGCTCGGGGAAGACGATGCACCCCAGATTTCCGCATGAGTCGTTCCGGTGGCCCACCAACCCCAGGTTTTCTGCTCGCTTGCATCCCGAGCACACCACTTCACACAGTACGTTGGCTGCGCGTACGTCCAGAATCAGTCGCCCTCAGGTGGGTGTGGCATGGACCCATTTTTGATTGCGGTGTGTCTCTTCATCAAAACGAAAAATCCTTTTTTTTTTCTCCCCGGGCCTGGAGGTTCCAAACTTCCAAACGGACCCGCCTCGCGGATTCCCGGAACTGCTCGTGGCGAACACGCGCTGCGGTGCACTGCGTGCGCATGCAACCTTGAGCTAACTGCATGAGCAGGCGACATCAAGCCCACAATGGGTTGCGTTGCTTTGCTTCCTGTCACCCGCGGGGAATCATTCCAAAGATCGTTCGATGAAGTGGGAAACATCGCCGGCCTGGGTCCGGCCGGCTAGCCCAAGCGACCCGGTGAAACGCACCGCGCACTGACATGAGGGACTGCCACGGTAGCATCGGTCCCTGAGCCGTGATTTGCAAGAGGCGATTTAGCCACCACCGGTACCAAAAAACCGCAGGCTTGCGACGTCTCTGTTAGGCAATGGTGACCGCGGATTCGGGCCCACGCTTCACCAACAGACTTCGAAGAACGTTCTTCTTTGGGTCCCGGGTGTCCGATCCGGCAGCGAGAACTGGCAAGCGAACGGCCCCCCCGGCCTTGGGAGGCCGGAATGAACAGCCGGATTCGCACCCCCGGTTCGTCCCAACCGATATGGCAGTCCCGAAACCGCATCGGCATCAAGATGCAGGCGAATGTCACTCGCAGCGATGGTTGGTGTGTTTGTCGTATTCAATGAGGGTCTGGATCCAAGCCCCGAGTACCGCGCGACAGATCAGCCCAACGACGAGTGAAATCGGTCCTCGACATAGCCGAATCTTTGGTGAACCGCGTTTCGCAAGAGCTTCAACCAGCTCGGTCTCGGGAAGACGCTTGTCGAGAAAGATCGCCCCGGCAGGAAGCCAATTTTCAGTGGAAATCCCTATCCTTGTCGGAAGAAGAGTCCGAGAAACCGGCAAAGAGCAAAGACTGCGTCGATAGATTCTTGTCAACCTAGAGCGGAATCCGTACCCAAAGGTTCGAGCTCCCAAGAACCCCCACCGGAACCAACACCGAGGCGGATCCGGTGTTTCGTCACCGGAAACAAGGATAGCTCGCCGCCTAGCCTCCCCTGTTGGCTTCAAACATGCGGGTCCGCTTGCCTGGCCCCTGGCGACGCTACCCTACGCGATATTCCACGAGGCAAGAGAGACCAAAATGGAAAGAAAGCAAGAACCAGCCGGCTTGGCCATCGAAATCACAAACGTCTCTTGCGCGCGGCGCCGCCCCCTGGGCTTTTTCTCGGCTCCACTCTCACGGCATCGGAGATGCAGCCGAAAGCCGTTAGCGCGCGCCGTCCCGCAGCATTTGGTGGCAGAATCGGGGATTTGTTTCGCAGATGACGGAAAGGGGCCGTCCATGTTGGTTGCTGGCTCGCATCGGGAGTTGGGAAGAAGGGTGGGAGGGTGGTGAGACGAAGCGGACGGAACCGTCGCTTGTCATGAACGGGACCGCAGCTCGGCATCGCATGTCGGGGGGGACAAGATGAGATAATGTGAGAAGGGGGGGAAGCAATGATGCAATGTTCCTCGTATCAGACTGGTTTCGAGAGCATGAGAAGGTTTACACGGTAACGACAGATTACAGGACATTCCCCTTTGCTGCGTCTGGTTCGTATGTAATTCCGGGCCGTATCCGTGACGTGATGCGATCTGCAGGTACCAGACGCACTGCAACTCTCCCACAGCACTCAGGTTCTTTGCGGGGACCTGTGGGAGATTCGAACAAGGTCCCTTTCCGGCTGCCTGCATCAATGCGAAGAAGGCGAGTCCTGGGTCCTGCCCAACAGTCCACAGGCGACGCCGCGCTGCACGGACGGCGAGCGTCGTCTGTGCTGAGACCTCGCGAGATTCGGTCAATGCGCCCGAGAGAGGGTGTCGAGTAACCGCGCGGCTGGGAGAGATGAACAAAACACATTTCCAGGTTGTGTCCTATCTGTCGTCCATCGTCGCCCGTGTGTGCCAGTCTTCCTCTGCTGTCAAACAACAACGGGGGACCCGACAGACCAGACGGGCCGATGTGGTGGGCCCCCGGGTGCATGCGAACCGTTGCAATATTTGCTTTTCCCTCGTCTGGCATTGATTACCTGCGTTGCATTATCGCTCCGGCGCCAGTGTGTAGTCATCCATCAGGTCAGCGGCAGGGCTGGCTAGATTGCGCGCTTTCGCGTCCCTCATCCCCATCTGCGGGACGCAGGAGCTGGTGTCCAGATGCCCAGACACGGCATTTTATTAGTACCTGTGCTTCCATACGATGGACTGGACTGGTTGGGACGACGCATGGACACTGGTGTATGGAGTAAGCGAGACCTGGGGTTTTCTTATTGCTTCTGGGCGAGTTATTCTGGGAGCTTGTGCGACTCTGGAACCGTGGGACGGCAGGATAATCTGGTCGGTCGGATACGGGAACGGACATGGAAGTTCCCAAGTCGCTGGGAGTGACGAAAATCGGGATTTTCGTCCACACAAGAACACCGACAGACCTGGTGTGGCGTTCATTTCGCGTCGCGCGCGCACGCAGCGGCCTTCCCTTTTCGGGAGGTGAGAGCCGTTGGTGGCGGAGGGGCGAGCTCACGTTAGTGCGCTCGCGTGGGGTTGCCTCGGTCGGGAAGATGCGCATCGCATGAGGTGAGTCGAGGCGAAAGGTTCGATGGTTCTTCTAGAATTCGTCAAGGGCGGCGCGCGAGCGAGGGGGGGGGGGGATGCGGGAGAAACTGGTGGCTTGAAGGGATGGAAGCGAGGGAAGACAGGAATGGTCTGTGTGCTGCAAATCTGTGCCTTCTGGACCGTGCGTTCGGATGGCTACCGGATCGCCCTCGGCAGTCGAGGTGTGCTTTTTTCCTTTTTGGAATCCCGGGTGTCGTTCTGATACAAAAACTTGTGTTTGAGAAAATCGCGGGTGAGGGTGAGTCGAGAGACCGATCGGGTGTCGGCCAATCGTGGGGGAGGATCGGATGTCGTGCAGGTTGTTGCTTCATACCTACGGCGCGGTGTCTGGCTGCTATTCCTGCCCTGTTTGGGGCTTTCCTTTGAGGATTGGAGCCTCTCCCGCCGCCTCCATGCAACTCTTGGGTTTGCTGTGCCGGCGGGACGTTGTGGCTGTGGTGACGTCTTCGGTGTCCCGAATCTGAAGGAGCCGACGTCCCAGGCTGTTGGTTCTGTTTGAAGCGGGAGCGATGGTGCATCCAAGTGTTCAGATCTGCCGCCCCTCCGTCTCACCCAGCCGCGCGCGGGCCGATTATCAAGGCAACTCTCTCCTGTGGTAGCATCGCGGGGCGGCGGGGTTTGTGCTGACGAAGGTTCCATGATACGGGGTGAGGGAATGTCGAGAGAGTCTCCCATGGTAAGTCTCCCATGGTCAAAGTTCGTGGCATCTGGTTACCTGCCAGTGCCTGCCAGCCCGGGCCTGCCAAGGGGAAATATCTTGACCTGATGGTTGGCTGTGGGGAACCTGGGGAAGACCCCATCTGCCCGGTGGTCTCGGCTGGCGGCGGCCGGAGCAAGACGGCGGAGGGTGTGGACGATAGACGAGCTCTCAAGAAATTAACCCCGCATTTTGTTGTCTCACATCATTTTGGTTGCGAAGAGCGTTAAAAGGTGGGCGGGCGCGCAACCCTTCACCGCAGTTCAAGCAGTTTCGGATTGCTTGAGACGACCAGAACTTCGCAGGAGAGGGTTGCATGAACTGCAGATAATATGAAGCCGTTGTTGAAGGTTCCCATGGGTAACATGCAGGCAGTAAACCGACCAATCGTTCTGCCCTGCGGAGTTCTCGGCGATGCGAAGCGACCCGGACAGATTCACACCCTCCCACGCCTCCACACTCTTCCTCATCAAGGCAGAGTTTACCCACCGAGTCGAAGGAAGATCTACATTGGGTGTGTAACCAAGACGCGGAATCTCCAGGCTCGCCATTTGGAGCCAACCGCCTCCCCAAGGACGTGATGAACAAGCGGTTGGCGGCGTGATCAGGTCCCGGGTCTCAACTTGGAGCTGAATGGCCCTTTTAAGTGGTGAGCCTTGAGGACTGCTCTGGCCTGTCAAATTGCAGCAACCGTCTCCTCGGCGAGCTCGGTCAAGGGGCTCGGCAGAGCGCGCGATCAATAAGATCGATGCGTGCGATGCAGCGAAGGCCGCCAAGCAACACGGTACCGACCGGAAGGTGAGGTGCAGACAGTCGAGACAGTGCAAGAGTTAGGAGAGCACACGGTACGTCTCTTTCCCCTCTACGCTCAATGGCCTCGCCTAGGCGAGCACAGTCTGCAATCTCTTCGCGGCAGAGACCAATATATCGTGTTTACGAATGCCGACAATGTGCATACAGATGAAGGTTTCTCCGGCAATGCGTCGCCCTTTTGCCTCTTGCCCTGCCTGAACGTCAATTTCCTCTAATCAACTCAAGATTACCGCGACCCTATTCCGGGAGGCCTGGTGGAGGGCCGCCCACCTGTTCTTGTGGCCATGACGAAGAGCGTTCGTGTTGGTACATACACACCTGTGCGAGGCGGTGCGACTCGCTGCCAACCCGTCACCGAGGCCATTGCCATCGCCCTCACCGATGGTTCTGTGTACCGTCAAGTACTTAATTGCTGACATCGCACAGCATGAGAGCGGCGACGTCGCTTCTCGGGCCAGGGCAACGATCAGCCAACTTGACTCGGACGATGACCATGTCCTTGCTGACCGTCAGCGGACTCGGGCGGCATTTTTGTCACCTTCATCATAAAATTGATGCTTGACAAAATCATCGCACTACATGAGACGGAGTCGCGCCTCGTTAGTCGATCTCTATAAGGTTGCACGGCGAGCCAGGCCGGCTCCGGAGGTCCTTCGCAAGGCCGAACGCCGGGGTATCCCGCCTCGGCAGAGCCGATGGCGTCTGATCACCTCGTGCAACAAACGCCATCCTTGGCGACCGCTTTCCGAAGCCGTTGAAGATTTGCTCGCCTGATAACTCGTTAACCCAACCTGGAGTTGGGGTCGGAAAGGTCCGACGCGGCGTTGAAGGCCACCCTCGTTGCGAAGGGACATCGCTTGCACCTCGCGACATCCACACACTAGTTAGTTCCTGTCAGAGCAACCCACAAGGGCGCGCCCGACTCGGGCTCCACCCGGCTGATATCAAGCGATCGCCCAGCTTGCGGGAGGGCAGATCCTCGCTCGCAAGACTCTGCTCGTTCCGGTCATGTGTGATTATGTACACTAGACGAGTTATCAAAACCCGTTTCGCGACAAGTGCGCCGCGACCGTCGACATGGGTCTAGATGTGGGCGACGTGAGAGGCGACAGCAGAATCCCTCGAAGGTTACACTGCGTTTGGCCGGCTCTCGACGACGGTATGGTTGGTTTGTCAATTCTCGTTCTGGCGACACACAGTCGAACGGAAAATCCGTAGCTGAATCCCTTCTGTCCCCAACAAGGTCCGTCCGTGTGGGTTGCTTGATTCCCGTGATGACTCTCCACTCGCGAGTTGCCCGGCAGTTCATGACCTCCGGGCCTATTGCTGGCCGCCGGGTCATCAGCTACGGGCGGCGCGTCCACGCATAACGGTAAGTGCAATTCGATATGCGGCCCAAAAGTTGTCGATCGGCGGTCGTGTGATAAATGTCATGCGTTCAGATGTGCCCGTCTCCTCACTAGCATGCACCGAGAGTTGCTCGAGCACTCGAGTCAAAGACAATGGGGATTGTGGAGGAGCACGACCAAGGGATTGGACAGTGCGAACGCGTCACCAACGAAGAAATCTGTTCGAGGGTTGCCAAGCGAATCGAAGCAGAGGAGGATCCCTGTCAAAGGCGGGTCGACTTGGACCAGCAGGCAACGAGAGAGCCGGGGTTTGCCAGGAACACTGTGGCTCCTCGGCTCACACCTGGCCCCTTCCTGCATCTCTTGGCCGTTCCGTCAGCCCCCCGCCCCTCCATCATGGCTGGACCCTTGGCGGGGCCGGCCCCAGTGACTGGAAAAGGTTGCCCCTTCCAATGAGAGCTCGCAGTCGCAGACCCAAGCTCGGGAAGAGGCACCTTTTGGAGAGAGCAGGCCAAAGGGCAGCGACCACCCACATCGCATCCACCCCCGGCGCCCGCGATGGAGCAGGGTCCCGCCTGCCCGCTCCGGAGCAATTGGTCAAAATGGTTGGTCCCCTGCTGGCTCGGTCGATCCACCTTGCGAAATGGCACTGCCAGGTTCTCTGCGCTCCGTGTTCTGTTGCATTGCGACGAGAGGCTCACACCTGTCCTTGCCCCCTCCCCGGCCGCACCACGCCCCCCCCCCAGGCTTCCCATGGCCCCAGGGGCTTGTCGATGGAGGAAGAGGGAAGATCTTGACAGGATCCATCATACATAATGTTCCACACCCCTCAACTACGATTCCCTGTCGTTCGTTCTCACTTTTGGAAATCCTCCCTTTTTTGTTTCCCTTCTCCCGTCGGTGGCAACCATCTCGAATTCCCTCCTTGTTTGAGACACGGGCTCGCGCACTCGACAACACCAACTTAAACACCCTCGCTAGCATTCTCAACAAAAACGCCACAGATCGATACTTGTCTGTTTCCTTGTATCATATTACCAGGTTCCCGATCAGAGCAACTTCTAGGACCGGTATCCGAAGCTCGATGGGACGATAATCCGGTGTGCGCTTTTACGTTCAACCACGCTACCGACAGACTGGATAAACTTGGCTGATATCGCCACGCGACCGAGTTGGGACGAACTGCTGGAGCTGGGGTTCGAGGCACGAGCTTGGGAAGTGGACTGGACACGACAAAACCCGGATCCAGCACTTTTCGTGGGCATCTAAGCACGGCCGGGACAGAGCAAGTAAACGCCGCGTGGCGCGGGCGAAATCGAATTGTGATATAAGGGGCCGGACGGATTCGAAAACAAAATGAGCAACGCCACGTGCCCGACGCCCTTCCTTTCGGATAGCGCCTACGGAGATGGTGGCTGTAAGTCGAGAGCTGCGGAAACCGGGCGCGCCTGAGGCAACGGCTACTGACATTGCGCTTCAGTTGTGGCAGGACGATTGTGTCAGGAGCTTGGCGAGATCACCTGCTGTCTGCCATGTCCCATGACGGACTGGGCGTACCCGGACAGCTTCCAGACCATGACCGAAGGGGCAAACTGGGTGGCTGTCGCGAGCACCGTCTGCTGTGTTTTCCTCCTTCTCTCGTGGGCTGTGCTGCCGGTCGAGAAGACGTATAGGCATTATCTCAGCATCTGCCTCACCGTGGGAGTCATGTTCATGAATGTGCGTTGCCACGTCTCCCGCTTCGCCCGTGCCAGAACGATACTGACTTGCTCGCCAGCTTGGTTTCGTCCTTCCGCTTGCCGGCAACCCGGAACAATGCTTTGACGACATCACTCCGAACTCGATGGGTACCGGTTCATTGTGCGCGGCTTCGGGTTTCTTCCTCATCATGGGTGGCTGGGCCGGCGTGATGTGGGTTTTCTTGCGCGCCTTGTCCCTCCACCTCCAGATCTGCTGGCAACTGGTTGTCGGGCGGAACTTCATGTGGTTTGCCCAGGCCGTCGGCTGGGGCATCCCGGTTATCGGTGTTGTCATCGCCTTCATCCTCAGCGGTGTGTCGTTCCGGTTTGGGCCGACGTGCCACATCAACCACAAGAACAGCTTGGCCGATCTCTGGATTCCGTTGCTGGTCTTTGCTGGCTTGACCATCATTATCCAATTCGCGACGTTCGGCTACTGCATCAAAGTCTACCTCGCCTCGCTTGCCGACAACAGCGCCTCGACCGAGGGCTCCGGCATGCCTTCATATACAAACAGCATCCGGACCATGACCCCGAAGCAGGCCTACCGTCGTGTGCGGCGCGTCATTGCTCTTCAGTGGAGAGGCATTGCCATTGTGCTCATCATTATTGCGGACGTCATCTTCTTTTCGATCATCTTCGTCTTCCAGGACAATACGGTAGAGGCCGTCAAGAACGATCCCTCCATCGCATTCCCGTGGATTGCCTGTCTGGCATTGAATGAGGGTGACAAGACGCTTTGCTTAAACGAGGCGGGCAGGCTGGTGGTCAACATGCCGACGATTGGCGCCGTTCTATTCCTCCTAGCGGTACTTATTTACTTTTCCCTATTTTTTTTCAGACCGTGTTGCTGACTGTCTCGCGATTAGATCAACGGCATCTGGCTCCTCCTTCTCCTCGGCCGCTGGTCTATGGTGACAGGCTGGCGTGACATGTTCACAGCGGTCCCTCAACGGAGCAAGCGAGAGTTCGTCTCAGTCGACGCGCGGCTGGACGATCTCAAAAAAGATACACGTTCGTACGAGATGCTGTCCCGGGACACCGGGAAGACCATGGACGATTCAGTAACACCCTCCGTAGTGACCCCCATCTCCCCGACACACGCGAGGTCGCCGACGGGGAGCCCGATACACCATGATTATATGCAAATGCCCCATCCCGACGGACGCCGGACTCCTGACTACTTTGGCAATACCGCTCGGTATCACACTCCCGCGAGGTCATTCTCGAGCCCGCGCCCACCACAGCAGACAGTAACATGGGACGCCCGGGAAACGTACGCCAGGCCGACATCACCACCGTTCACACAGCAGCAGGATCGATATGTCAACCCGCTGGCTATGAACAGGATATGAGATTTACGACGACACATGAAACATTCTCCCCTTCTTTTTTCCTCCTTCCGATAATACAACCGATGGCGAAAGAAGCGTCGGTGGAAGATATCCCCGGAAGTTCCCTCTCATAACAACCTTCACGCTTGACCACCGAGCGAGCACTCACCGAAGCGTGTATGCAACGGTGTCACATCCACAACCAACGACGCCGGGACCGCGAATGTTGCGACAGTTATCGATCCAGTCGCTATGAGTCCACGGCCGATCTCGAAGAATTTGTGTCGCATATCGCTAGATTTGGCAAAGGATAGATTTGGGCCGGTCGGGTTACCTGGGGCAAAACCCCTTTGGGTCGGGTTACCATCGAGCCTAGTGATCTGAATCATTCGGGCTTGGGGCAGACAGAATGCGCCCCGGGATGGGCTGGGTGGTGTCGGGGAGATATACCAGAAGTTAGACGACTTGTGGGTCCCACGGATGTCTCGGGGCGGCTGGTTGCGGAGTGGGTGGGACACCAGGGCACCATTCCGAAAATCGCCGTTCCTCTCACCATCTTCGCCCTCTGCGCATTTCCCATCGACGCCGGGTCTTTGGGGTCAGGACGGCTAAAGTGTCACATCTTGGATGGCTTTTATGTCGTGCGCCTATTGGCGGCGGTGACGACAAACAGCCGTGGCATCCGAAGCTTCCGACACGGTGGCGCGATGCGGGAAGCCCGGGATAGTTTTGGAGCGGCATGACCACGGGAGCCCGGGCAGGCCGGATGGACCGATTCGGGCTTGGGTTCGCACCGGCGCCGACCTTTTTTTCTCTGTGATGGACCCTGTGTATATATAATTATTCAAGACATCTCGTCGGGACGGTCTGCAGTACAGGGGCTGGGACTTGGTTAGACGGTGGTCGCAATTGCTTTCCAGATACCAATACCTTATATTTCAACGCCGCTAGGATTTCTACGCATTGTCTTCCGCTCTCTGCACCAGTTGGTCCTCACTTGCCTCCTGCGCTGCTTCCAACAAAGCTGAAGTCCGGGAACGGCATTTAGTAAATTGACCGAGTCGGTAGGTGGGGATGCAGCTGCAGCTTGTGCCGTGTAAGTCCCTGCAGTGAAGCCGGAAACCTACGCTGGGTACCCCACGATCGGGTCCGGCTCTTCCACTTACACGGTTTCTAAGCAGGTATTACACAATACCGGGCTGACGGCACGCGGTCGGTGTTGAGTAAGCTGCCGTCCATTTTCTTCCTCTGAGATTTCTAGGGTTTCCCTGCTTGGTCAACCAGTTCAGCCCCCAATGCTTCGTTGTTCGTCTCTCGTTATTTCGTTTTTCGTTCTTCGCGTTTCGGATCCTACGGAAAAGTGTGGGCGCATGTCTCTCCTTCCTTTTGTTTTTCTCTGTCGGGTCGCTGCATAAATACCTAGAATGGCCGGTATGGCAAGCTGGGGTTCCGCGTCAAGTTGGGCCGCAGCTGCATGCTTTCGAACCGACACTGCGGTCACAATGCGAACTGGCGACTGAATCTAGGGACAAGGCATTGCGGATGCTAATCTGGAACATGTGTTTAGTATGAGTGAGAAACGACACAAATCTATTATCGCCTTTTTTCGTCATTGTCCCTACTACTTCGACCTCCATATGACCCGGTTATAAAAAAAGAGCGATTGCAGCCCTTTTTACTCCCTTCTTCCATCCCTCGCCGAGGTGGTTGAAGATCGAGTTGCGGCGCATCAATCCCGGCCTTGATTGGGGAGTTCAGCTCAACACCCGGCCCTGCCAAGACCCGCAACTGCCCCCCCGCGCGCCTCAGCCTTAGCGAGCTCCGGCCGCCGTCCCGCCGGAATCATGTTCTTCCTCCCACGCAGGAAACAGATCGTCCTCCCAATCTCAACAACACCACCACAACCACCACCACCGGCGCCACCATCAAGTTCCAAACACTTCGCATCCCGCATCCTAAGACGCCGGCCAATGTTTCCCGTCCTCCTCCTCATCGCGGCCGCGATAGGCGCGCTGCTCCTCTACCTCTACCGGGCCGAGTCCCGCCTGCTCCTCCCCTGGGTCCCGGACGCCTCGGCACGGCTCTTCGCACAGCGACCACTGCCGCCACCGCTCGACGACACCTTCCTGTCCTCGCCAACCTACACCCTACCATTGCGCACGCGGGGGCGCGACGTGGTCGACGCGCGCGGGCGGCGCTTCAAGCTGTCGAGCGTCAACTGGTACGGCGCGTCGGACGAGCTGTTCGTGCCGGGGGGGCTCGACGTCAAGCACCGCGACGAGATCGCCCGCATCGTGCGCGCCATGGGCTTCAACTCGGTCCGCCTCCCCTACGCCGACGAGCTCGTCCTGCGCAACCCCGTCGTGCCGCCCCACCTGCTCGCCGCCAACCCGGACCTCGCCGGCCGCCGCGCCATGGATGTGTTGGAGGCTGTCGTGGACGCGCTCACGCGCGCGGGCATCGCCGTGATTGTGAACAACCACATCACGAGCGCGACCTGGTGCTGCGGGGCGGACCCCTGCGACGCCGGCTGGGCCAACGACCACCTGCCGGCGGTGCTGTGCCGGGTGCGGCAGACGGAGGACGAGTGGATCGAGCACTGGGAGGAGGTGATGCGGCGGTTCGTCGGCAACCCGCTGGTGGTGGGCGCCGACCTGCGCAACGAGGTGCGCGGCGTGTGGGGCACCATGACGTGGGACCGCTGGGCGACGGCCGCCGAGCGCGCGGGCAACCGCCTGCTGGCCATGAACCCGGACTGGCTGATCATCGTGGGCGGTACCGAGTCGCAGAACGACCTCACGGGCGTCGCGCGCCGGCCCGTGGTGCTCGACCTGCCCGATCGCGTCGTCTACTCGGCCCACGTCTACTCGTGGAGCGGCTGGGGCAGCATCGGCGGCCGCTACGCCCAGCGCACCTACGCCAGCTTCGTCCAGTCCATGCGCAAGAACTGGGCCTACCTGGTCGAGGGCGACATCGCGCCCGTGTGGGTGGGCGAGTTCGGCGCCCCCGCCACCCCCGGCCAGGGCGATGCCAACTACTGGCGGAATTTGATGCGTTACCTCAAGGCGATCGATGCCGACTTTGGCTACTGGGCTATCAACCCGCGCAAGCCCAAGGACGACGAGAAGGAGTCGTACTCGCTTGTCGAGGATGACTGGGCCACGCCCGTGCTGGACTACAGGATGAAGGATATGACGGAGCTGATACGGGCCGGGGCCGAAGAGGGGGGAAGTGAAGGGGAGAGGTAGCTAGACCTGGGAAGGTGGTTTGGGGTGTTTGTTTGGCGCTTGGGAGTTGCATGTCTTATACCTCGGGGCTGCATCTTTACTATTTCGAAAAATCATTACTGTCGGTAACGCTCGGCAGCGCTCTCGGGGAGACATGGGAACTCGGGCGTCGCCGGCTCGGTACATCTATAGATGGAGGCGTTTGGGTTGGATAGGTAGGGGCATAAACTTCCTGGGTAACGAACGGTAACTTTATCTGTGCATTCTTATTCCTAGTTACTCGATACCACAAAAGTAGCCATAGAATAAATTAGGGATAGACGCTCGAGACACCCAAACGCTCAACGGTGCGAAACCCAGTGGAAACCTTTGCAGCCAGATATGTTGTGGTCATGCACGGGTCAGGTAATGTCACAAGCCATTGCAACGCTGAGTGACGTCTGCCACATGGTCTGGCCAGCAAGGTGCCCCACCAAGCCCCCCACCTCCATTTCCCCTCTTATCGATAGCACGCCCGTGAGCTCGACGTTGCCATCACTGGCACTAGCAGTTAGCTAACTCCTCCCTCAACGCCTTCAAAACAGCACCGACTCATCGTGCTCGTCCCCACGCGAGAGAGCGTACATTGCACACATCTCTCTCTCCCTCTCTCATACACACACATAGTAGACCGAATTTAACGTTACCAATTACATCGCATCCCCCGCCACCCGCGATCCGTTTGCGAATAATGACCGGTGCTCTTCCGATAACGTTCAACTCGGTTATCGGAACATGACGATGGATACGATGGATACAATGGATGTGATGGGTTCCGACGCTGCAGGCGCTGCAGGAGTTGCCACTTCTACTGATGGGCTCTATGTGAGCCCGACCTCTTTTATTCAGACAGCCGAGAATCGGGTAAGTTCTCGTCATCTTGGAAGCCTTTCGCCTGGGGATGCTATTGCCTTCTCTATTCCCCGTGCTTCATTCGAGCGTCTTTAGTTCCTCTCTGCATCGCCACGCATTCCGGGCTTCCGCCCACTCGCTCCAACTCGCTTCGGCTAACCAACTCGCTCGGACTAGTTCGGCGCCAACGTCCTCGATGACCTCCGAGCATTCGTCAGCGGCGCACCCCAGGATATCGATCTGGCGTTTGAGGACGAAGACTCCGGGGTCGACGATGAGGATGACGAGCCCATCGACGAAGAAGTGTTCTTGGAGGCGAATCAATGGGTCACGCACCTCAGTCCAGGACTCGAGACCGACCATGCCCAGCACGGCTTCCCGAGAATCGCGACTACGAGAAATAACCTGACTGCTCTTTCACAACGGTACAACGTAGGGCTCCTGCTTAGGTACGAGGGCGATAGACACGCTGACCCGAATTTACGGTACAGCTCTACTTTGCCGCCTACCAAGACCGGATCTATGTCTACCGGCCGCGTAGAGCCGGGCCCCAGATACTCCCCCCTCCGGCCCTTATCCTCTACCCGCAGCCGTCCAAATGGGCCGAACGATGCCACGGGGTGCTGGACCAACGTTTCCCCCACCAGGTCAATCACCTGATTGTGGGGAACCTGGGAAACTTCGAAATCCTCTTGTTGACTTACGACGACGGCGACACGATAGCGTACTATACACATCAAATCGTTCACTACATCAAGGTAAACAGCGGCCGCACGCGCAGCCCAGGCCCATCCTCGACCCCTCACGGAGCACATCCGAAGCCTTTTTTTCACGAGAATGTGGGCGAGTCAGCTTGGGGGCTTGCCATCCACGAGCAGTCCAGGTTAATTGCCGTCAGTTCGAACCTCCACGAAGTTACCGTGTTTGCCTTTGCACTCAAGCGGCCGGATAGCACCTCGCCACGATTTTCCGAGCAGAACATGCCCCCCGTCCACGCCGTGTGCGGTCACTCGGCACTCGCGCTCCAGAGACACTTCCAAGCGAGGTCGAGATCGTGGAGGATCGTTCTCCCGCTTGGCAACGGGGGCAGCAATATCCCCAACGTGTCCTTCGTGGACGATGAGATGGGCGATGCGGAAAAGGTTGCCGCCATCGACATCACGGGCGCCGTGGTGTTCCTGGATATCTGGAGGCTCGGCTTCCCGAACGCCCGGTGGCCGGACGCCGGCTACTTGAGGGAGGCACATCTCGCACCCACGTACGCATACGGCGTTTTGGTTACCCGGACCGAACTTTGGCTAATGATGGCTTGTGTAGTGTGAGAGGCTGGGGCGTGCTGGTGCTTCCTTACAGCAGCTTCAAGCCGACCAAGACGATCCGCGAAGCGCTCGGCGCCCCTGGGAATGAGGTGATTGCCGTCAAGAAACCCGAGGGCGGCGACAGGGTGTGGCTGGACACCACCTGCAGCCTGTACTACATCAACGGGTTCGAACCGAACCCGGACACCCTGTTCCGGCAGCGCAACGCTCGCCATGACTATGCTAGGATGCACGCATCGAGCCAAGACTACGAGGAAGACGAACTTTCGGACGGATGGGAGAGCGAGAGCGAGGCCGACGCCGAGGAGGGCGCGCAAACGACGAGCCTACAACCGACAGGCGGGCATACGGCCGGCATTGTGGCGGTATCTCTGGCCCGCCGAACAGGGAAACCGTGGTGCGACCGGTCCTTTTACAAAGGCACGCAGGACTTCCAGCTCGGCCAATGCATCATCCCCAACCTGGGCGAGGTACTCGAACTCGACGACAGCCTCGACACCCGCACCCAATTCAGCCGGCTCTGCATCGAGCGCAAGCGCAAGACAAAAGTCGTCGAGTTCGCCCCGGCCGACAGCCACCTCAGCAAGAACTACTGCCTCCTGCGCACCTCCTCCACCGACGTCGAGCTCCAACCCCTCGACCCCAACACCCCCTGCATCGAATGCAAATGGGTCCTCCCCCACCAACACAACACCCGCACCACCACCACCACCGGCGCCGCCCCTGCCCCGCAGCCCTGGGACCTGCACCCGATCTACTCGGAGCGCATCAGCATGCTGCACCACGTGCCCGAGCTGGGCCTCGTCGTCGCCGGCTCGCCCACGGGCCGCGTCGCCCTGCTCGTCCTCACCCGTGCCGCCCCAACCCGCATGCTGCACATGACTAGGCTCCGCCACGGGTTCCGCGTCGCGTGTGTCCTGCCCCGGAAGGGCGAGACCCGTCCCGATGGGACGCGGGTGCAGCCGGGGTGTACGCTTGTGGGTGTGGCGGTGTCGCCTGCGCCGCGGCTGCCGAGGTTGGGGTTGAGGTTGGGTGCGAAGGGTGGGGTGGGGGGTGGTGGTGGTGGCCTTGGTGGTGGATTTGGTGGTGGTGGTGGTGGCAAGGCGCTGCCGGTGACGTATCGGCTGATACTGCATTATAAGGATCATACTATTCTGGCGTATGATGTGAGGAGGGAGGGGGAGGAGGATTTGTTGGTCTTTTGAACCTCCCTCAACTTGGTACCGTAGGTCCGTCCGGGTTCGGGTCGTGATGGGTACTATGTACTAGGACGGGGTATTCAAAGGATGGGGATCCGGGGGTGTGGGTGGGTGGGTAGGGAAGTTATGGAGTTGCTTCCTTCTCGGGGTGGTGTGGTCATGGAGTTGCTTCTCGGGGTGGTGGGTGTGGTTTCTGGGGTTCATTTCAAGGGTGGGAGGAGCGGGAGGCGGTAGTTATGTTTCGGGGCGTTGCACAGATACCCGCCATCTACACGGGGTCGAGCGGGGGACGCTATGTTTCGGGGCGTTGCCAGATACTCGCCATCTACACGGGGTCGAGTGGTGGTTTGCTATTTCCAGGTTGGGGTTGGGCTGGTTTGTTTTGTTCAGTCCAAAAGTCCCGGGCCTTTCTTTGCTTCGCTCCTGCGTTTGCGGTCCGAGTTTCGACACCCATCTAGCCATGGGAGGACTGCAAGGTGGGAGTGGACGGGGAGGGCTGTTCCGGCTGGTGTGGCGTAACATTGGTGTGGGTGGGTGGCATAGCTTGAGGATGTGCTTTTCATATGTTTCTAATTTGCTAGGTCTAGGTAAGGGGTGGTTTAGGTGGGATTTTCTTTCAATCTCGGATCGGATGGCTGGACGGGTATGGCTGGGTTGGGGCGCATAGGTCGGTCGGGCGCACGCATTCCTGGGCGTTCTACATGGTGGACGGGCATAACTACCTGACTCACTGCTATCACTGGTGGACTACTTTCGAGGAGTCGAATAAAAGCTTTTACTTTTTATGCTCAGCGGTTGTGATGGCGGATGGTTGTAAGCCCATTGTGGTCCCTCGCATGCTGCAGTGTAGTGGATGGATGGATTTGGTGATTCGTGAGCAGCTCCTCTCTCGCGGGTGCCCTCTTCTCCAGCGAAATGAAGCGGGATTGTGAGAGGACGGCTTCTCTTATGGCCGATTTACCCCTTTGCTACACCTCTAGAGTGGCTGAACCCGAACCGAAGCCTCAAGCTACCGCTTAGAAAGGAGACGGGGTTATTCGTCCATCTGCACTGCGGGTTACAAGTACATATGAATACAAATAGGTTCTCTTTCGGTACTCTCCGCCTGGCTTCTTGAAGTACCCTCCTTGGAACCCGCAGCTCTAATAAACGCGGTGCATATTGGGTCTCCTAGGTACCCAGGCACGCTGTGGATGCCCATCGATGCATGTACTTTACAAACAGGCCGGAGTCGGGCAGTCCTCGCCAACCAGGCCGTCCGAAAGCCAGTTCTCCGCCGGCTTCGGCAGTGGAGGAGACGGAGATGCATGAAATTCCACCGTGGGGACCGGAATGCACCGTATCTTCTTATCGAGTAAGGCTGGGGCACGATGGGAGCGGTGACAATGGGAAAACATAAATAAATGCCAAGTCCCCCTCTCCCGCCTGAACGAAGAACTTTCGAACGACGTTGGGCAGCTCAGCTCTCAGCCGTGCCGGCCGGATGGGTTTCCCACTTTCCGCTACGAATACCCCAGGCCGAATAGCCGCGCGAGGTGAGGTGCTCGACGGACGTTTTCGGGCTGCTGTCCTCGGTGGTGAGTGGTGAGTGGTGACGGCGGGGAGGCGATGGAGGCTGGGTTGGTTCGACTTCCATCCTGCTGCCGTTCATTGGCCCCGTCGACAAGCAGATAAGCCTATCTCTTGGCAAGACTCGGTTCCCGCTGCCTCGGAGGATCGCCTACAGTACCCAGGGCCGGGATCAGGGGAGTTGTGGATGAGCATGCGACAGGAAGCGAAGTTGCCACTGTGAGCAGGTTTGGAGATTGGGCACATCGGGTCGTTCGGCGAGGGCACTTGGCGGCTGGTTGAGGAAGTATTTTTGTGTTTTTTTATTTTGAACTCACTCGATTTAGGAGAGGGTTGACAGACTTACAGTGTGTTTCTGGCCTGGTTTGATCTGGTTAATGATTCAGTCTTCAAGGTCACGTCCCGAATTCGTTCCGCCTTCGAGTCCAGAAAGATGACGAAACGGCCGGAACGGTCAATACCGTGGCGACTGATTGAAATAATCCGAAAGACCACTCAGCAAACAGAGAGTCAGCGCCGTGATTCAATTTCCGGTGCCAGAACGGGCGACTCCACTTGATAAGCTGCACAAGGGCGCCCCGGCATGAAACGCGTGGAAGATCTCGAGAAAAGAGCGGGTCGACAGATAAGAGAGATCCCCCTCCGTGATTCGCCCAATTGTCCCTCCTGCTTGGTTGGAGGCTGCCAGTCCAGAACCCCAGACTGAGCCTCAACAGAAACGATTTCGTAAGAAAAACTCATGGCCCCACGCTTCCCGGCTTGGCCTCTGGTTCGACGGCTGTCGCTTCGCTGCCCCATTCCAGCCCCATGCGATCGGGAAAAACCGCCGTTGGGCACCGGGGCGACTTGTCGTGGCTCTGTCATGTTCTGCCGGTAGCGGAGTTAGAAGCCGAAGGGCATTAATGAGGGTGGTCGAAGTGCGGGGAGGCCTCTGCGATCCACGGCGGTTAGGACGGCAAAGAGGGCTCAATTGGACAATTGATTGTATTTTTGTTGTTTCGCGGCAGACTGGCAGTGGGATGCAAATTCTCAGCTGAGTGGAAGGAAGGTGGTGCCAAGGTTACGGCAAGGCGAGTTGCCCTGCAGCAAGAACCCCGACCTGATCGCCAAGCTCCATTGGTCGGTGGGGATCAATCGATTTCAACATTGAACTTCTCTCTCAGCCTAGGAACCCAGCTATCTCATATCTCATTCCACCAACGATGTGCTATCGAACGGGTGACGACATCGAAAATGCAACAGCCCTATGGCCCTCATGTCGTGTAAGACACTTAGGTTTCCGATGCCATGGGAAGCACGAGTGAGCATGACATCAATCAACGTGGGGGAGAAGCTGCATACACCGTAACTCGGTACCTTATCCCGCCATGCCTCTGCTCCTGCTTGGCGTGTTTGATGTGGTTAGAGTATCCATTGTCTTGTGCTCACTAGATATCAGCTCTACACAGTAAAACAAGCTGTCAAGTTTGAGCGAGTATTAACGTATTTTATGGCGGGTTTATCAGACAGATCGAGATCCAAGCCCAAAGCAATGCTGATGTGGGGGTCTGTCTCGAAGCCCCCTCTTGCAAACGCTTTTCGCTGCCTGTTCTACGCGTCCGTCTCCTTCTAACATTCTAACGAACCGAGACGAGGGTTAGTTTGGAAGGGCAGACATGCGACATCTTGACAGACAGGCGCTTCACTTCTGCATCTTCGATCCAGAACGGCAGAGGTACATCAGGCACTGCGCGCACATGTACCGTCGCAGCCCGCAGAGGTGGGACCGAGCCAGCCAGTTCCGGGAGCGGGGGTCCTCCCACACACTGGGACGCCACCCATCCCGGGTCCGCTAACCGTTTTCAGCAGCGTTGGATAAGGTTCTTGGGGGACCCCAGACGGGCGGGTTGGTGGTGGACAGGCGGGCTGACCGTGGACGAACCATGGACAATGGACCTCTCGAAGGGGGTCTCGCCAGGGACAGATTGCGATTCCTGCTGCGCCCGCGATCCCACCCGACTGAAACGGGGGTAATGGGCAATGGATAGTTACTTGGTAATAACTCTGCATGTTGGGTCCGAAATAGGATCCATGGCAGGCGAAACCCGCGGTGCCCTTCGCAATCCTCGCATCCTCGCACCCATTTCGGGGCGGACTCCCACGCGAGACAGAGTAACTCACTAGTTATTGGGTGGTCGGTCGGGCAAGCAGGCAGGCTTCTCCGGCCGGGATCGCATGCACGCCCGCACCTCACCCGCAGCTTGCATGGGTCCGCCGACATGGGGCACTTCCATTCTTGTCAAGTTCTTCTTCCTTCCCTGCCGTGGACATCCACACAAGAGACGTACCTGCCGAACACCGCAGCCAGGACCCGGATCTTGTCGCTCCCCACTCTTCGGGACTGATAGGGCCATTGACTAAGGTGAGATGAAAGGAAGGGTATGGAGATAAGGTAACATACATACGCACAGTAGCAATGGGGTCCCCCCCCCCGGATCTTGTCTTTTTTTCTTATATACCTTTGGTCTTGTCCCACCTTTGATCGCGCTTGTTCACTTTCCCATCGTGCTGTTGTTGTTGTTTTGTTTTGGTGAAGCCCTGTTTCCGACACCCGAGTCCCTATAACGACACCCCCTTCGCTTCCCTCCCTCCTCGGTGTAATCAGGTCCCCCCTTGAACATTCCACCCTAAAGAACTCCGACTCGACTTCTTCTCGCGGCCACCATCCTCCCCCGACACAGCAGCAAATCCCAAATCGCCACGGTCCGCGAAGGACCGCCCTCCCACCGCCCATCATGTCGACCGCCGACGAGAGTAGCGGGAATGTCGGCACCGACCCGACCGTCGACAACCTCAACGCGCCCTTCAACGCGGGCGACCAGGCCTACATCATCGTCTCGGCGGCCATGGTCCTGCTTATGGTGCCCGGTATCGCCTTCCTCTACTCGGGTCTCGCCCGCCGGAAATCGGCCCTCTCGCTCATCTGGGTCACCGTCATGTCTTTCAGCGTCGTCGTCTTTCAGTGGTACTTTTGGGGCTACTCGCTCGCCCTGAGCAGCACCGCCACCAACGGCTTCATCGGGAACCTGGACAAGTTTGGGTTGCGCAACACCCTCGGCGCGCCGAGCCCCGGCTCACCGCTGATTCCGGAGCTGTTGTATTCTTTTTACCAGGTACGAATAGACCGCTGAAAATGGAGAACGCATGGGGAGAGGGGGAGGAGGGGTAGAATGCGAGAAATGCGAGAGCTACAAAATAAATGAAGAAAAGGGGAGGGCTAACACGGTAATTTGGGTCGTCTAGATGCAATTTTGCGCCGTCACCGCCGCCCTCGTCATCGGAGCCACGGCCGAACGCGGCCGCGTCGTCCCCGCGATGGTCTTCACCTTTTTCTGGGCCACGCTCGTGTACTGCCCCCTCGCGTACTGGGCCTGGGGCGCCAACGGGTGGGCCTTGCAGTACGGCGTGCTCGACTACGCCGGCGGCGGCCCCGTCGAGATCGGGTCCGGCGTGTCGGCCCTGGCCTACTCGTGGGTGCTCGGGCGCCGCAACGAGAAGATGATGCTCAACTTCCGCCCCCACAACATCTCCCTCATCACCCTCGGCACCATCCTCCTGTGGTTCGGCTGGCTGGGCTTCAACGGCGGCTCCGCCTTCGGCGCCAACCTCCGCGCCACCATGGCCTGCTGGAACTCGTGCCTGACGGCCATGTTCGCCGCCATGACCTGGTGTCTGCTGGATTACCGCCTGGCCAAGAAGTGGTCGCTCGTCGGCTGGTGCTCCGGCACCATCTCGGGGCTCGTGGCCGCCACCCCGGCCTCGGGGGTCATCACGCCGTGGGCCAGCATCCTCCTGGGGGTCGTCTCGGGCGTGGCCTGCAACTTCGGCACCAAGGTCAAGTTCATGATCGGCATCGACGACGCGCTCGACGTGTTCGCCGAGCACGGCATCGGCGGCATCGTCGGCCTCATCTTCAACGCCCTCTTCGCCGCCGACTACATCATCGGCCTCGACGGCGTCAACATGGGCGTCACCGGCGGCTTCCTCAACCACAACTACCGCCAGCTCTACATCCAGATCGCCTACATCGTCGCCGCCTGCGCCTACACCTTTGTCATGTCCGCCATCATCGCCAAGGCCATCGACCTCGTCCCCGGCCTCCACCTGCGCGCCTCCTCCGAAGCCGAGCTCCTCGGCATGGACGACGACCAGCACGGCGAGTTCGCCTATGATTACGTCGAGGTATGTTCCCCCCCGCTTTCCCCCCTCCTTAATTAACCATCCCCTCAACCTCCAACCCCTTAACCCCCCCCAACCCAACCCAGTCCACTAACATCTGTCTGTCCCACAGGTCCGACGCGACTACCTCGCCTGGACGCCCGCGGAGCGCGACCCCAAGGAAGACGGCGCGGTCGTGGTGCCCCAGCACGGCATCGCCGGCCACCAGGACCTGGCCGAGAGCGCGAGGCTGCGCGCGCCGGGGACCGGCTCCTCGGCGGAGAACAATAATCACATCCTTACTAGTAGGACCAGCACTGGGAGCCGTAAGGGGAGACGTGGGAGCGGGAGTGGGAGCGGGAGTGGGCCGGTGACGCCGCCGCCGGAGAAGGAGAAGGAGGGCGAGGTGGTGGCGGTGGGCAGGTTGGGGGTGGTGACCGAGGGGGAGAAGGTGGAGGTTACGCAATGATTGTTGCTTGGTTTTTGGTATGGGGAGGGGAGGGAGCGTGTTTGTGTTGGTTGTTCTTTTTGGGGTATATCTGTCTGGGGATTGGGAAACCTGGCTGGGCTGGCGTGGGAGTTAGGGGTGGGGCTCTTTTTTCTGTTCAAGTTTCTGCTTTCCCTTTTTTTTTTTCGTTTGCGGGGAGGCAGTCGTCAAATCGATGGATTGCGCTGCCGTGGCTGCTGTGCTTTGCTGAGCGTGCCGTGAGATGGGCGCGGAAAAAGGGGCGCCGGGTCGCCTGTTGCTGCTGCTGCTTGCTTTATATACCATACCGCCTTACCTACCTACTTATTTATTACTTATTACCAACTTACTTACCTTTCCTTTCTATCGACATACCTATGGATACCACGGTGTAGCAGGAGGGGAGACTTGATTTGCCTTTAACTGGATTTGGGTTATTGTGGTGGTGGTGTTCTCTGTTTCCTTTTCTTTGGCCATCTGCACTCTGCTCCGCGCTCACTGGCATGTTTTGTATAATACCCCCCAGTTTCCCTTTAGTTGCTACATTTACCGTACTGCTTATTAGCGGAATCGAGTTTGGATTTGAACATTTATGATTTTGGAGTCAAGGCCTTGGAGGTGCATCTCAGACTCTCAGACTCGCGTCAGTCAGGGGTATCGTTGTCTGGGGGTAGCTTCTTTTTAAGGCGCTGGTGGCGAGAATGCGGTTGGAGAGTGATGGGCAGAGGACTAGTTTAGATGTAGATTGTTTAATATCAGTGGATATTTCTACCTCTGAGCTGGGTTGTTGCACCTTGGTACGCACCTGGGTACGAAGGTGCCGAGTGGCATCATGAATGGAAGTGGAAGGGGACGGATTCCCGAGCGGAGGAGAGGGATGGGAAGTGAGCAAGCAGTGGTCCAACTTGGTGACGGCGGGGGGTAAATGTATGTATATTTTGGTGTTGATGGTGCCAATACTCGGCCCTTCTACACAACCCAATCCATAAGTCAAACCGGGCCAGTGGGGCCGATGTACCCCGAACCCCGGACCGGCTCCGTCTTCTGGATGTGGGGTTACGGCAAACGCCAAGACGGAGCGCGGCAGATTGCCTAAACGGGCTGTCTCTGGGCAAGAAGTGAGAATGAAGAGATTGGTAGCTCTGGAGGGGGATTTTGCGCGGGATTTGGAGTTTCCGGCTTGAATCCGGAATATTTGGGGTGATGGCTAGCTATGTTCTCGATGGGGCCTTGCCCGATGAACAAGACTCAATTCCCAAGTTTGTATCCTCCCTCGCCCGGGACCAGGCCATAGGGTCAACAGCACTGAGTGTGGTTGAATGCTAGCATTAGCAGTTAACAGGCTGACTATGTGATGGTTCCCAGGGTACCCGGCGATGGAATAATACCAAGCCAGCTCAACGGTGGGTGTTAAATACCTAAAGCTGCCCGGATAGTGGTTTCTGCCCTTTCCCGCGGCCCGTCTATATTTTGCGAAGTGGTTTTTCGCTGAATTGTGGGCTCGCCTGTGTTAGAGAGAAACTGTGCGAGACGGAGCGGCATATAACCCACGCGTTGTGGCCTCTTTCCAACAGATCCCACTGGTAACCCTCGTGGTGTAGTGGTTGGCTTGCGAGTTATTCTACCCCTGTGGACAACAAGATACTGCCTGTGGTGAATGACTTCGCGGCCTCTTTTTGTTCGATTCCAGTCGATGGCTGTTTTGTTGTTTTTGGTATCGTCTGATCTTATTCAGACTTTTTATCAAGACCGTGAGCCTCGACCTGCCTACTCACAACTGCACCCAGTTACCGGAACACTTTGTTTGAGCCCGGTTTCAACCTTACTCTCTCACATGGCTAATAAAATCAATTTAAACATTCAGTTTGTCTCAGCATTTAATTAGGCCTCCATTTCCTCTTTTTTTCTTTTCTTATCAAAGAATGACAGGTGACCGGCCATGTTTCGATCAGCCCTGCTGGTCTGCCACGTGGGCGCAGTGCCTCGGCGGTTACCATTCATCACGGTGTGATTGCCGCCCTGCTGAGCCCCCCACCTTGGTTCTGTTGGTTCTGTTGGCTCAGTTCGTGATTCCTGCATACTTCATCAAGTTGAGTTGGTTTCAAAATAAAGTCACACTCTCTTTTGATATTCTGATATCCTTTGCTGTAAGCTGATTTAATAACCGGCTCTTCCCGACTCAAAAGGTTCTCCGGGATTTTAAGTTCTGAAGTCCAGGCACATCGTGTTGCAACCCTGTTGGTCGACTCCACTCAATCTCATCTCACAACTTCCTCCAGGGTTTCCACTCACCACCCACCACTCACTCGCTCCCTCCTCAACACCATCATGACCCTCACCAACCGCCTCGGCCTGGGGTCGGAGGCCAACGGCGACAACACAGGACTCATAGTAGCAGGCACCGCCATCGCGACCGCCGCCGTATTATCACTCCTCCGCAGTTATCTGTGGCCGACCCAACCCAAGGTCATCCGCTCACCCCTGCGCAACGTCCTGCCTCGGCTCTCACCGGATGAGTTCGACAAGCTCGAGTACAAGCCCGACAACTTCCCCGGCGCCCGGGATGTCGAGACTCCGGTACGCGGCCCTGTATCGCCATCCTAAATAACCGGCCACAACTGACAAACCCAGTACGGTTCTATCCGCGTCTACGAATGGGGGCCCCTGACCGGCGAGAAGGTGGTCTTTGTGCACGGGATTAGCACCTCCTGCATCACCCTCACCACGCTGGCCAACGCCCTAGTCGAAGAGAAAGGCTGCCGCGTCATGCTCTTCGACCTCTTCGGCCGCGGCTTCTCCGACAACCCGGCCGACCTGCCGCACGACGACCGGCTGTACACGACCCAGATCCTGATCGCGCTAGCCTCGTCGCCCGACCTGGCCTGGACGGGGCCGCAGGCCTTCCGACTCGTGGGCTACTCGCTGGGCGGGGGCATCGCGGCGCACTTCGCCGCCGCCTTCCCGCACCTGGTGTCGTCGCTCGTGCTGCTGGCGCCCGCGGGGCTGATCCGGCCGGAGTCGTTCGGCGCCCTCACCCGCGCCGTCTTCACCTCGGGCGTGATCCCGCCGCGCCTGCTGGCCTGGCTCACGCGCCGCCGCCTGAGGCGACCCATCCGCTCGAGCGGCAAGCGCGGCAAGGCCGCCGCCAACAGCAACAGCCCCAACGGCAGCCCCAACCCCAACACCACCACCCCAAACCCGCGCAGCAACCCCGACCCCACCGCCACCACAACCCCCAAACCCGACCCCATCACCGCCTCCCTCACCGAAACCACCCCGCTCCTCCCCCCAGAACCAACCCCAGAACCAGAACCCGAATCCACCACCCTCCCCCACCGCGTCCTCCGCACCGTGCACTGGCAGCTCACCCACCACGCCGGTTTCGTGCCCGCCTTCATGTCATGCATCACGCACGCGGCCTCGCTCATGACGGGCCAGCACGCGACGTGGACGAAGCTGGCGGCCCGCGAGCCGGGGACGACGGCCGTGGTGCTCGGCGCAGACGACGAGATCATCGATCCGGGCGAGTACGAGGCTGATGCGTTGGGGTTGGTGGGTTGGGGCGAGGAGGGCAGGGTGGTGTGGGAGGTGGTGCGGGGGGGGCATGATTTTCCGATGACGGGGGCGAGGGAGGTGTTGGGGGTGGTTTATCGGGCTTGGGGGTGGGTTTGAGTCTTTGAAGGGGGGGGGGGGGCTTTGGTTTGAGGGGGATTGGGGTGGAAGGATGGGGGTTTGGCCTTTTTTTTGGTTGGGAGGGTTCGGAGGGTTGAGAGGGGATGCTTGTTGTCCAAGGTAGGATAAGAAGGGGGGTTTAGTTTTGAAAGCGGGAGGTGATTGTGGTTCAGTGCCTCACCTACTCCTCCCAGTCGCCAGAGAACATACACAATACCCAATTATTCTACGCTTCATTGCTGTCGTCGTCGCTATGTAGGAGTTGATCCACGCTGATGTAGCCAGAAATCACCGCCTACAAAATGGCCGGGGTAGAGCCCGCGCAGGTCGAGATGCCAGCGCGCAACCAAAACCGCGGAGTGAAAACACAGCCAATCCCAAGGTATCATGTCTGCGAGCCCCAGCCAGGCCGACCACCTCTTTCCCAGCTGGCGTGTACACCCCTGGCACCTGATGCGATTACCATTGCACCCTTGCTTATCCAAACTCCGTTTTGGTGTCGCTTGCGCCGCCTGGTCGAGCGGAATGTAGGTTTAATCACGAGAGTGCTCGCTGGCCAGATTCACCCCTGGGCGTCGACAAAGTCGTCCTCCGACCCGTTTGTGTTAGTCCGCTTGACGCTGCCGGGCAGGTCCTTCTTCATGTCCTCGTGGAAATCCACCAGGGGGCCGTCCTTGGCCTGGCTGCCCGTCGAGGCGAGCATCTCTTGGATCTCGGCTGTGCTGCGGTGCGACGGATCGAGGGGCGGCGGGTTCGCCGGAGTCTGCGGCTGCCCCTCCGCCGACGCCGGCTGCTCCTTCGCCGGTGGCGGCTGTGATGTTGGCTCGTCATCGCCAAAGTCTATCAGGTTGCCTTCGGCGCTTGGGGGGTCTTTTGGCGGTCCGTTTGCCTCGGAGAGTGAGGTCCTGGGGGGGATGACGTTTTGTTGGTTGAATTTCTGCCCCGCTACGATCGGGTAGATGGCCATTATTTGTGCCGCCTGCTTTTCCGGGGTCGTCCCGTCTCTGTCACGCCGTTAGCACCTCGTGTCTCCCGGCGGCAGAAGGTGGGATCGTCTAACACTGAGGCGTTGATGATCCATTCGAGGTCCTCTTCGCCCTCCTCTGGCCCACCTGGCCCGCCCTTTACCGGCCTAAACAGCTTGGGATGCCACTCGACGCCGTCGTTGGCCCGCTTGGCGGCCTCTTCGCGCTGCACCTCCTCGATCTTGGTCTTTTCGTCCGTTGCGAGCTCGTGGTTGCGCTCCTTGACCGCTTGTGCTGTCTTGGCCCATAGCCGTTGCGATTCCCGCTCAGCCTGCTCCTCGAGAGGTCTGCAGATGGGAGCACTGGGCTTCGATTTCAAGGCGTTAAAGAACATCTCTCTCTGCCCCGTCTGCCTGGTGTTAGCCTAGGCATGGCCAAGAGGACCAGCCGACTCACCTTCACATCCTTGATAAACATTTCCTCGCTCCACAACCCGGAGAGCTCGTAGAGAATCTCGCCGGTGTGGTCATTTTTGATGACGCCCCCAATGGCATTGTATGTACCGCTGACCCAGCCTTTGACCTTGAAGTCAATATCGGCTGATAACCCGGTTTCCGGGCACCGTACGAAACTGTGGTCGCCGAGCTCATATTTCATCTTCCCGAACAAGATGCCCCTGGCGTACATGTTCGGTTGCGTGAGAGTACTATCCGGTGTATTAGTCTCGGTGCCATCTACCCGCTGGCCATAGGGGGGCTCACTATCGCTCGCCCTTCGAGGGGTCGGCACCCCGGTTCAGTAGCGACAAGATGGCTGTTCCTTCCATCATGCTGGCGGCCCGAGTTCCCCAAAAACTTGCTCCTAGGCTTGAGCGTCCCGTCGACCCGAATGTTGTGCCCTGGGACCATGTAAAAGTAGCTTGACTTGGGCGGGTGGTGCGATGTTTGCTCCGAAATATAGTAGGCTCGAGTGTTGTCGGGGAAATCCCAGTAGCAGCTAAAGACCTCGCCGAGGACGGGATTCAGGGGTTTCTTCACCCCCCTAGACAGCATCAGCACGAGCTATGGTCCCAGAATACCAGCACGTCGGCACAGGAGAGCACTTACGGGGGCCGGATGTGCCAACCGCTCAGATAAAATTTAACTACGGCGACAAATCGATCAACGGGGTCGTCGATCTCGGGAATCGGCAGGAGCATTTCGGGGTGGCACATGAAGCTGTCCGCGGTTTGTTAGCTTCGATGGGACTGTGTTCGACGGCGGGCTGTCAAAGGGCCGGCTGGGCCATACTTGGTGATCCGTTCCAGCATGCTGCGCGGCTCCAAGATGAAAGTCGGGAGCACCACCCTGCTCAGATCGGCGCCTGGCCGCAGCTGGGATATAAGGTGGGACAGGACTGCGCGGATATCAGCGCCTCTTTCTCTTTACCAAGTGCCGGCATCACGTCTTGACAGACCATTTCCCTGGTCGGGCTCGACCACGAGGGTGTCATCGTCGAGGGGATCCGCCGCTTCACTCGAGGATCGACTGCCTGGGTGCGATAAAAGTTTGTTAGTATAAGCCAATACCTCCTGCCCCGGACTTTGCGTTGGAAAGAGCTCAACCAAACCGGCGTTCGTCTGCTCCAAACGCGGGCCAGGAGGAAACGGAATCACACAACTCACTAGCATTCGAGATGGTCCGGCGGCGGCCAGGCACGAGTCCCATCATTTTTTTTCAAGATCCGGGGTCAGACCGCCCTTCTTCAGCTGTCGCGAAGCTCTTGAGAAAAAGGGAAGAAAAATAAAGTGGGGTTAGGGTAGCTCGAAGAGGATATCGTTGGGGATAACTTCGCAAGCGAGAAGCCCGGATCCGCTGTCACTCTTTCTTTCCAGTTGACCGTGTTGTCTCTATCGTCTGGATACGCGTAATGAAACCCAGACCCGTAACATCTGGAGTGGTTCCTTGGAGGGGCGGGAGGGATTACGTCGTTAACAGGCAACACCACTCAGCTGAGAGGTTTGAACGGCAAACGGGATTCGCGGAGTGACAGGCTCCCGCACACCGCATCTCAGCGAAGTCGGGCGGGGCATGGAGGGGCGCCCTGACGGAAGGGCTGCGATGACGTGGGTGGGGCCCGGGTTTCCTTACACTTCCGGCTCTCCGTCTGGCAGAACCAGACAGGCAACTCAGCCTTCGGCACGTGTCTGGCGGGCATGTAGGAATATGCAAGAGATAGATGGACGTCTATTAATCTGGAGTTACGTATATTGGATTGGGGGCTGAGCCTTGGAGCTGGACGTTAGGTAGTTGCCTCATGTTCGTGAAACCGGAAGACAGAGTAGAAGTACACAGGAGGGTAACAGGTTACTATGAGAAGTTTCTCACCTTGAGTCAATCGAGTTGCCAACCATCCACCAACTGGTCCTGTCGAGACTCGAGAGTGACGATCTGTGCTTCCTCTCTTCTTTTCATCCATGGGGATCCCCACGTGGTGGAGCGAGGGTGGAGGCCCACACGAGCTTCTGTCCATATCCCTGCCCGGGGATGTCGGGGCATGAGACAGGTCTCCGCCTCCGCACATCTCGCCCAGCTCAGCCACAGCGGTCACGAGCTGGATTCTCGCGCAAGCCGAAGGGAGGCACGGAGTCCAGCTCGCTGGTTGATGAATCGATAAACTACTGTGTAGTTGTGGCGGGTCCGAGGGGAAGAGAACCCCATGTTGACAGGCTCGGCACAGCAACTTTGAGCCGCCCATCCGTTTCTCTCCTTTTTTTCTTCTTTTTTTCGGCTTGTTTTTCGCTTGCTTGGGAATGGGGGCCTGCGTTTCGTGTTACTCCTTGCTGTCAATGGGGTGACAAACTGGCTGCTGGGCTGTGCCATTGGGCGACAACGCAGAGTCGGACAGACAACACCACCTAGTTAGTCCCCCACTGTCCCCGTCACCCGCGGGAGAAGAAAGATTGTCACGTCAGCACGAATGATGATCTGGCATCCGGTCATGACTTGTGACGTGACTCTTTGGTTGCAACAAAACCTGTTGTTGTTCCTGAAGATCACGAGGCTTGTGGAGGGAGCGGGCCCATGCTAAGTTTTTTGATTGCGGTGTCTGGCCCTGTAACACCCCCGGTGGAATGGGCCCTGGCAGTTTCAGGTCTGCTGCCGTTGAGCGGGCCGCCCGAGGCTTGTTCGTTCGCATCCGAATGGCAGGGCCCTAAAATATGAAGACGGGACTGGAGATACGGACTGTTAGTGTAGCTTGCCATCTCCGCTGAGCCTCCTGAGCCTTCAATACGAACTCAGCTGGTCGGCGAGGGCGAGAAGAGGGACCCCACGAGGTTGCACCCAAAACCGAAAATATTAAGGGCGCCCGGGCGCGCCACAGCAACCGGGAACCGGCAGGTAAAACGGTCGCTGTAGCCCCTAGTGTGGAGAAACATTGACGAGCGTGCAGTGCTCGGTGGACAGCCGTCGACCCTGGGACATAAACCCAGATCGGTGCTGCACTAGTTATTAATCTGTATTGTTGCATCAGATGAGATCAGGGGAAGCGCGAGTGAGAAAAAAGGGGTTTTTGCCGAATCAAGAATCACCACAAAAGACAAAATCCATCCATTCTCGGTTCCTTCCTGCCCAAAAGCCGCGATTCGATTGCCAGTCCGACTCGGAACCCTGGGCATCCAATGCCAACGCAGGACACGGCGCTTCGAACCCTGTTTAGGAAGTCGATCCCTCGCTTTAGGTTCCTTGCCCCGCCGAACACGACCGCTGCCCGCTGCAAGCAACCTTGGAACTGCTCACTCCCTCTCACCCGCCGACCTTTCCAGTGTTCCACTTTACCAGCAGCAACCTCACACCTTCATCTCGGTTGACTAACCCGGCCTTCCCTATCGCAATCGGGTCACATGCGATACCCGGAGCCCGACAGCAACGGGCCTCTTTGGCGGCTCTGCAGTCAATTGTCGGGCTGCCAGGCGGACACCAGCAGCAACAGCGAGCACATGCTTGCTTTCCCTTTCCGTCTTCGAAGTAACCTCCCGTCGAGGCCCCGTCCCGAGTCGCCGTTGAACCGCCAGGCCAGCCCATGAAGAGCTTGGCCTCTCGATAGCAACGAGACCGAGCGAAATGACAGAGAACGAGCCTCCCGCCCTTGGTGTGCACGACGATGGCCGAGCCACGCGGAGCCGCCGCATCATGGGCAAGCTATTCGGCCGCGACCGCGATCGAAAGGCAACCCGCGACGACGGCGACCTGAACGACTTCTTGCACGGATCCACCGACAAGTTGCAGGTCACTCACCCCGTGCCGCCGGTGCTGACCAGGCTCGACACCAAGACCGCCCCCCGATACCCCAATGCCCACAACGTCAACACCGGCAGCGAGACCAAGACGGAGTACGCTGTACGGCCGCGCGACCCCCCGGCAAGGATCAAGAAGGGGAAGGGGCTGACCGTGAGTTTTGTGAATTCAAACCCGGATGTCATTGGGGATGGCGGCGACGAGTGCGAGGTTCCCACAGTCGAGATATCGAGACGCAAGAAACAAAGACCTCAACCCAGCCCCTCCTCCTCCATGGCGCCGCCTGGCCGACCTGCAAACCTCGGAGCTGGCTCTCAAAACCCATTCGCAGACCCACCCGGACAACCATCGTCGAGGGACGCACGGTTGAGCCCGGGGTTACGGCGCACCCAGACTGGGATGGCACCGAGTCCCGGTCCTCCGGGCTCGGGATTGACGCCGGGAGCCAACACAGGTCGCCGATATCTGGGCATGCCTGCCGCTCAAGACGACAAACGTAGATCGTTTATCGAGGTACAACAGGCCCAAATGCGAGAAGCTGAAGGACGAGCCTTTGCAAACGCCGTACGGTCGGCGTCGGGAGACCAGTCTAGGCAAAACGACCGGGCAAATTCCTCACCCACATCGCCCATCCAGGAGATGGAATCGCCCATCACCGCATCACCAGATTCAATGAATCCTCCCCAGCTACAGTCACCTGCGCATTTCGCAAACGCTCCCCCAATCCCCGCTAAGGCACAGCGCGCGCCACCTCCGATGCCGCCGCCTTCCCGAGAACCACGAGAATCACCCCCATCGCAGAATCAGTACACCCTCACTAGTCAACAGTCCAACTCGCCCGACCGGCTGAACAGGACGCCGAAGACGGAGAACAGCCCCGGTACCCTCTACTCGGCCGCTTCAAACTTTCACCGCCCGTTTGGGGCAACAAGACAAGAGACCAGTGTCCTGGAGAAGGGCTATGGCTCGCCTGTCCAACAACAGGGGGGGTCAAGTTTCCAAGACGTTGTAGCGGCTGCCTCGGACGACGCTATGAATGCGTTTGTGACGCGCACCCGCCATTTGTTCGAGCTGTTTCGCCTTCATGGTGAGAGTGTGCGGTCATTGGCCGCGTCTACACCCCAGGACCTCGCGCGGGCGGCTCTATGGTGGTTTTTGATCGGCCGGACAGCGCTGGAGGTTGCCATCCGCGACCGGCCCTCTACCCCCGAATCCCAGATGAAAAATGACATGGCGAAGCAGCAAGCATATGCCGATCTGGCTAAGAGCTACTGGCTCTTGGAAGAAGCTATGACCGAAGTTGTCAATAGCGGCCGCAGTCCGGTTGACAAGGAAGCAGAGGGCGTCCGGACCACAATCGTCTCCAGCCTCCGAAAACTAGCCGTATCGATGAAGCGGAACGGCTTTCTGCCGCCCGAGGAAGCATTCCTCCCCCAAACTGTTGACAGAACGATTTGGCTCGACTATCCACCCTTATCCCAAGACATCACATCTCTGCTTTGCGGTTCGAGTTCTGCTCTTGCCCAGAGTCACACCTCCGGGATGACGATACTGGAGACGTTGCCGTTGGCTGACACGGCGACCACTTTCTGCTTCGCCCGCTTCCAGGTCGATGCGTTCCTGATGGAGCAGGGGCGAGAATCACGGCGACTCTACCTCCCATGCTTCCTATCGACTGTCAGGCCGCAGACGCAGCCTGACATACTGTTCATCCTCGCCAGCCAGAACGGGGCGGTGCAGCTTCGGATATCCGGAAACAAGAACACAGGTCCGTGCTGGGACGAGGTCCGCTGGCGTCCAGAAAATTGCAACCTGGAAATCAAGTTGCCCCGGGGATTCATCCTGATCGTGCAGTGCTCACAGCAAGCATATTCCACGCTGCGGAGCATGTACGAATTTAGCGCAAAGGTTCACTCCAGTCTCTACCCAAGGCAAGACGAGAGCTGCATTTTCAGGTCAACCCTCCGGGCGTTCCAGTACTTTGACAACGATCCACAGTCAAGGCAGTTCCCGAAAGAATCGACTCTCAACTGCGAGATCGCCTTGTTTGAGCGCCTGTTTAGAGAGGGCGCGGCCACGGGTCCTCGCACTTACCACAAAGGGTACCGTATCGCCGTTGTCACAGGTCCGCGGACCAAGACCCTGAGTGGTGTCAACCAGATGTACCTCCCTCAAGCTCCCATACAATTCGGGTTTCTGCGAAGCGAGGCCAATGACCCTGCCCTCTCACTAAAGTTCGAGAACGGCCGATTCAAAGGTAACATGGTGCTATCGTTTGCCGACGAGGCGGAAAGGCTGCGAATGCATAGTCTACTCATAGGAACTGCCCTGGACCGGGGCGAGAGTGTTTCTGGTGAGGCGCCCCTGCAGGGAGTCTGGTTCTCGGAGAGGTACGGCGATGCCGGTAACAAGGGCCTACAGGCCCTGTCCGCTCTGGCATGGAACAAAGTTAGGGTGATCAATTACGACAATGACGGCGACAGGCCCTCGTGCGTTCTCGCCGATAGGCTCCGCGTGGTCTACGAGTTCAAAGAAGGCACCCTTACCGACCGTGTCAACGTCGCCCCGGGCGAACTAAAACTCCGCCTCGACGTACAAAACCCGAGCTGCCTGATGGTCTTCCGCCAACCCCAGTCCGACATCACCCTCGCCGTTACCGAAGCCAACTCGGCCCGCAATCTGTCTGGCGGCCTTACACAGGCCCTTGAAAGCGTCAAACAGTCCGCCACTATCCGCACCTTCATGTTCCCCAACATCAAAGAGCTCCACGCCTTCGAAACAGCCATCACGGGCTTCCAGGTGCTCTTCGACGGCACCGCCGCCGCCTTCGCCATCTCGCGCCGCCGCATGGTCGTGCCGATCCACAAGAAGTGGGAGGCAGGCGCGACGAGGATCCAAGTGGTGCAGCAGGACGGTGTGTCCCAGCTGCTGGCCTTCTTCGAGGACTTCAGCCACGGCAAGTGCATGGGGTTCCACCTCAAGGGGACCGACGTCTTCGAGTCGTTCAACCGGAGCGGAAAGGCCGGACTTAAGATCGACGATGCCAAGTTCCCGCTGCCTAGGACGCTCGCGCCGGATGCTGACAGCGCACAGCAGGCGGCCGACGCGGCGTTCCTGTGCCTGGATCTGCCGGAGCTGCCGGGGGAGCATGACGATATCTCCATCCTATTTGACAATGAGGCGGGTAAGTTACATGCAAATCACAGATACATACCATGACTACGAAGTAGGGTATATGAGGTTGACTACGTGCTAACTAATATTTAAACAGAGCGCGATAGGCTCGTCGCTTGCCTCCCGGCGCCAGTTAAAGCACCGCGGCTACCGAAAATCAAGGGGATGTCATGAGGCATTGAACGGGGCGATTGGCCGAAGAACGATGGGGGGGGACAAGCATGCGAGTGAGGGATACATATCCGGCATTGGTAACACGAGATACCCTCTGGAATCTATTTAGCTTTTTATTGTTCCAAGATCTGAGTCTGATGTGTGCTGCGTGTGTCGTCTACGGTTCATACACCAATGCTAACCAACATTTGGGATACGGAATCCGCCACAAAACATGGAAGCGACTCGATTTCTCCACGCCCGCTACCCTGTCCTCTACTAGTTTTGTTACAGAAGATGAATTACAAACAACCCCTACTCGGCAGGTACCTAAACCAACGCCTCAACTCCGTTGCAAGCCAGTGGGTAATTTTGATCCGCTTGATGCCAACCAAAGAGACGTGCCTACGAATAGGCCTCCCTATAGTGTTCCCTCCCTTCTTCCTTCTCTGAATATTTCCCAATCAAATCCGACGAACCGACGAACCGACGAATTATCTTCCGCTTCCCTTCTAATACCGCCTCCTCGTCGGCTCCGGGCTCGGCGACCTGGTCGGGCTGCGGGAGCGCGGCCTCGTCTTGAGCCACTTCTTGGTCGACAGCTCCAGCTCGCGGTCGAGCTCCGGGCCGGGGTTCTTGCGGTGGATGAAGTTGCAGAAGCCGCCGCGGACGCAGCCCTCGCCGCTGTTGAGGCGGCAGCAGGCCTCGCGGAAGTCGGTGACGGGGCTGAGCTCGCAGTAGATGGGCCGCGCGGCGTACCAGCGCGAGTTGAGGTCGTCGCAGGCCTTCTGGGCGCTGTCCTCGTACTTGAAGCGGGCGTAGACGTTGCCGATCAGGTGGTCGTTGTTGTTGTCGCACACGACGAGCTCCTCGACCTCGCCGTACTTGCACATCTCGCACCAGATGTCCTCGTAGAAGGCGTCGAAGTGGTTCTGCAGCTGCGACGCGTTCATGTGGTTCTTGGGGTCGAACGCCGGGTTCTGGTACAGGTTCGGCATCAGGATCGTCTGGCTGTACGACGGCTTCACGTGCTTGCGGCTGCACCGGTCCCCGTGCCGGCACGCCCCGATCTTGTAGTAGAAGGAGCAGTTGACCTTGTCCTGCTCGGTGCCGAAGATGGAGGCTAGGAAGTTGGCCATTTTCTTTTTGGGGCGTGTGGGGGAGTTCGAGGTCGGTTTGGGGTTCTAAGGTAGGTATCGGCGACGGCGGGAGTAATGAAATTGGCTTCGCTGGTTATGGTGGCTGGTCGAGGCGGGGGTGTAGTTGATGGATGATTTGAGGCGCGATCGAGGTCGAGATTTGGCGATTTGGCGGCGCGCGGCGGGATGGTGGCAGGCAAGAAAATCGCCGTGTCTTCGCCACAAGTGGCTGACATATTATCATTGGCTGAGCTGCAAGGCTGGATTTATGCCAAGATAAGGCTGAATAATGGTGTGGCTGAAGCTTCTTGTGCGGGCCACAAGGCCGTGCCTTCACCTGTTTCCCCAAAATTCCATTCATTGGAGTCCACCAACAAGAAACAACCTCCACTAACCAACCTAGAAAGGCCCAGCCTCTCTCAGGTACCCGAACTCGCCGACCCCGTCGTCGCCGTCTCCGGAGATGCTCGCGGCAAGCCAATCAGCCACGACCCCTCTCAGCTCACTTGCCAGTTGTAAGACACGCACTTGCATAACCCAATCGCAGCACTGAGCTACCCGGGTAGCGTTTATTCGGAGGGCCCTGCCGAGACACAAACGGAAACGGAGCAGCAGGGCACGCAGGTCACCTCGCGAGAGAAGGGCTGTGACAGCTTGTTTGTCTCCCCTCATTCCCAGCCTCCCAGTGTCACATCGAGATCGGGGGAGAGCAATTCGTTTGTGCAGGGGATGATCCGCAATTCCATCTCCTCACGTGGGCAGTAAATTGCGACGAGCGCCAGAGGAAGATGCTCGGTTGATCCGCTGCGGCTTGGATATCTGTCCATAGTGCCATGCTCCTCAGGATGTCAGCGTTCCACGGCTGTTGGCCACCTCGTTACGTTACCGAGCTCAAGAAGCTGCCGGTTTTTCCGCGGGCACATGCAAATCCTCAAAAATCACATCGCTGAAATTGACAAACCAGGTTACAATCTGGCTTCTGGAAACCGAGGAGCTGGGCCGGGATGGCTGGTGCCGAGATTTTCGGCGGGGATCCCGACCCCAACACACCCCACCCTAATCAATCCAGGGTTTTGGGAGCGGCCTCCCCAACGATGATGCAACTTGCTTCTTTGTTCCCTTGGGGTTAGGTTGTGAAGCCGCCTGAGTTAAGCTCAAACACACGGCGGGCCACGCAGGGCTTTCGCTTCGGCAACGTCTCCATTTTCTGCAAGGCAGTCTGAGACATGGATATCAATGAAACGAACAAACGAGCGTTATTAAAACGTTTCTCGAGCGCTTGCGGCTACAGCCATCCGGATTGGAGACCGGCGACATTCCAAGCTGCTCCAAGTTTCTGGAGACTGCCAAGGATGCGCAATATCTCTTGCGGCTTGGTGTGTGGGCAAATGCGGGAAATGCCAGCTGTTCCAGGGTTCACTGACGAAATTGATGGGGGAATCCATGCTCCGTTCTGCACCGTTCAGCTGGTGAGGAAACCCCTTGCGTCTGTTACTGTTGTAGCGCACCAGCCACGCACCTTTGGAACGCGACTGTGGAGGTTGGATGGATGGGAGGGCATGGAGGGCTGTCTGTCACTCGACAGAAAATCCCGGGTTCACAGTTCGCTGACGCGGAAGGTGGCCTGACTTGACCCGCTTCAACTAGTTGGAACCAGGTGCCAGCCCAAGCCAACGCACCGAGCTTGCACCACAGGGCCGGCCCCCGCTCCAGACCCATCTGACGTAGCACCCCGATCTCGACTGATCGGCCATCCCAGCTGGACCTTGCTGCGGCTGGGGTCATGCCAAGGCGCTCGGAATTCAAGAACACAATTCATCAGTTCCTCCAGCTTTCACACGGCCAGCATCTTTCTGGCTGTGCACTTCACATTTTCCCATCTCCTTCCCCCCCTTTTCCTGCAAAGTGCCCATGGTTCGCAGGCAGGTCCAGCTCCTGCGTTCGTTCCACTTAACGTGAAAGGCTCCCCCGCCAACGACGCGTGCGGATTCAATTCGCCTTTCCTTTCCGTTTTCCCTTCCCCAATTCCTGCATCTACACAGTACATACCTTACTGTGGAGTGCTCTTTGTGCCGCACTTGCCGCCCTACACGAGGTAGCGGAGCTCCAAACCCAGTTCCGGCCGACCAAAAGCTGTGATCTGACGGCTTCGGCATAATTGCTCTGACCACCAAACCTCATCTCAGCAACCTGCTGCCTGCCTGCTGCGGTTGCCATTGAACCAATTGAGAAGCAGGTGCACGGCTGCAGTCGCAGCGGAAACCGCTGCCCAACATGGCGACGACTCATGCCGCCAACGAGCTCAAGCAGCAGGGCGCTATCGAGGCGTCTCAGAACCCCGAGAGCAACGTGACGGCCGAAGATGCGGAGCGTAAGATCGTTGAGGACAGCCGGGAAGCAGGCGTGACGGCATTCACGTTCGACCCCGATGCCAGCCCAGAGGAGAAAAGAGCACAGGCGAGAGCTGTACGTGGCAGGAATCCCCTCCCCCCTCCCCCTTCCCCCCCTCCCTTGGCGGATGTTGTATCTTCCCCTCTGTTTGCAATCGCTGACCACTCTCGGCAGGCGGTCCCCGAAGGATTCCACCGCAGACCCAAGGGCGTAGCGATCGTGACCGATATCGACGATGGTACCAAAGCCGATGTCGACCTACCCTCGCCCTCCAAAGCTGGCGCCATCGAAGTTGCCAAGGGCGAGGACGGGAAGCCCCTCGCAAACGGTGAGGCCGGCGACGAGGAGGACTGGAGCAAGACGGGTTGGGAGCCCAGGTTCGGGTGGCCCACCGAATCCACAGAGCAAGGCGACGATATGCTGGACCACTCAACATGGGTCGAGTCACAGTTGTCCGAGCAGTTCTTTGGAGGTAGGGTTCTTCATCCTAGTGCATCGGGAGCTTGCGTGGTGGCTTACAATTGTGTCGCACAGATTGGTACCACAACGCGGCAGTCATTGCCTTCGCATGCCTCGCCTCCTGGTTGGTAGCCATGCTCGGCGGCGGTCTCGCTTGGGTGTTCATCGTCATGGCCATCTGCTCGACCTACTACCGCACTTCGCTTCGCCGGGTGCGCCGGAACTTCCGCGACGATGTCACGCGCGAGATGGCGCTCAAGAAGCTGGACACGGACAACGAGTCTGTCGAGTGGATCAACTCCTTCTTGGTCAAATTCTGGCCTATCTACCAGCCTGTTCTTGCGCAAACCGTCATCAGCTCGGTTGACCAGGTCCTGAGCGGTGCCACCCCTGCCTTCCTCGACAGCTTGAAGCTCAAGAGCTTTACTCTGGGTTCCAAGCCGCCTCGGATGGAGCATGTCAAGACATACCCCAAGGCCGAAGACGACGTTGTGATCATGGACTGGATGTTCAGCTTCACCCCGAACGACACAGCCGACATGACTTCTCGCCAGCTCACCAACAAGATCAACCCCAAAGTCATTCTAGAAATCAGAGTCGGCAAGGCCATGGTCAGTAAGGGCCTTGATGTCATTGTTGAGGATATGGCCTTTAGCGGCCTGATGCGCCTGAAGATTAAGCTGCAGATTCCCTTCCCTCACGTCGAGAAGGTCGAGATGTCATTCTTGGAGCGCCCAACCATCGACTACGTCTGCAAGCCTCTGGGAGGTGAAACTTTCGGTTTCGACATCAACTTCATCCCCGGTCTTGAAAGCTTCATCATGGAGCAAATCCACGGCACACTGGCCCCCATGATGTATGCGCCGAACGTCTTCCCGATCGAGGTCGCCAAGATGCTGGCGGGCACGCCCGTCGACCAAGCCATTGGTGTGGTTGCCATCACGCTACACGGCGCCCAAGGCCTGAAGAACACGGACAAGTTTTCCGGCACCCCCGACCCGTACGCCGTGATCTCGCTCAACAAGAGACAGCCGCTTGCGCAGACCAAGGTCGTCAAGGAAAATGCCAACCCCCGCTGGAACGAGACTCACTACGTCATCATCAGCTCCTTCAACGATTCGCTGGACCTCGACATCTTCGATTACAATGACATCCGAAAGGACAAGAAGCTTTGTTCCGCATCCTTCCCGCTGGAAAACGTCGAGGAAGTCTACGAGCATGAGAACGAGAGACTCGAGCTCAAGCACGACGGCAAGGCGAGAGGTGTGGCACTTTGCGATATCCGCTTCTTCCCGGTTTTGGAGTCGAGGAAGCTCGAGGACGGAAGCATGGAACCAGCTCCCGAGTCCAACCAAGGTATCCTGCGGTTTACCGTCGAGCAGGCCAAAGAGCTCGATGGCTCCAAGAGCATGGTCGGTCTGCTTAGCCCCTACGCTATGCTCCTCCTGAACGGCAAGGAGGTACACACCAGCAACAAGCTCAAGCGGACCAACAACCCGGTTTGGAACAACGGGTCCAAGGAGATTCTGATTACCGACAAGAGGAACGCCAAGCTCGGCGTCGCCATCAAGGACGACCGCGACATTGCTGGAGATCAAACCGTCGGAACCTACCAGATCAAGCTGGAGGACATGCTAGACTTCATGGAGAAGGGACAGGAGTGGTACAACCTTGCCGGGGCCAAGACTGGCCGTGTCAAGATGATGGCTCAGTGGCGGCCGGTCGCCATCTCGGGCATTGCAACCGGCACCGGAGGTTACAAGACCCCCGTGGGCGTCTTGCGGGTTCACTTCAAGTATGCTAGGGGGCTCCGTAACGTGGAGGCCCTGGGCAAGTCCGATCCGTACGCGCGAGTCGTCAGTGCCGGCATCGAGAGGGGGCGAACTGTCACGTTCAAGAACAACCTCGACCCCGACTGGGACGAGGTTCTCTACATCCCGCTCCAGACCGCAAGAGGCAGAATGCAATTGGAGGTTATGGATGCCGAGAGTGTAGGCAAGGACCGCAGCCTCGGTCTCGTCGAGATCGACAAGGCCGACTACATGGTTCAGGATGAGAACGGCGAGTGGCTCGTACACGACGAGAAGGTGGAACACAGCGACGGCCTGCGCATGCACAACAAGGGCACTCCCAAGGGCGTCCTGACTTACACCGTGGCCTTCTACCCGACTCTTAACATTGCCGACCCCGAGGAAGAGGAAGAGAAGGAGAAGGAGATCGCGGCGAAGGAGAAGGAGATGGCCGAGAGGGAGAAGGAGGAGCAGGAGAAGGACAAGGAGGCTGGAAGCGATAAGGACAAGTCTTCTTTGACTAGACCTTCCACGGACGCGCGGTCATCCGCCAGACCATCCTTGGACGTGAGGTCCAGCGACGGGAAGGAGCCTGGCACGCCGTTGACGCCGACCAGCCCTTCTCGAAAGTCTCGCGACGTCAGAGAACCGCCCAAGATATTCCTCACACCCCAGGAGCTGCTCGCCCACGAGTCCGGCGTGGTCATCTTCCGACTCATGGAGGCGGATCTACCCAAGACTCAGACCCGCATCGAGGTGTTTGTCGACGACATGGCTTTCCCGTCCTACGTTTCTTCAACGGCAAGGACGCGGCAAAACAAGTTCGACGAGATGGGCGACTGCTTCATTCGCGAGCTGGAGTTCTCAAAGTTGACTATCGTGGTTTCTGAGAAGACAGACAAACATGAAGACAACCATAAGGGGGATCATATCCTCGCTCGTTTGTCAGGTAACACGCTCGACACCCTCAAACAGTGCCTGGTAAGTGATGTCGTGTCTCTTTCGTGTCCGTGGAACGCAAGCTAACAACCGCAGAACAACCCAACCGTGCTCAAGATGAAGGGCGACGACGGCGAGGCGTACTCGATCAGAGTGAGCCTCAAGTACGTCCCGGTCAAGATGCAGCTCGACCCGAGCGAAAGTATCAACAACATGGGCAACCTCCGAGTCGATGTTCTCGACGCCCAAGACCTCCCGGCTGCCGATTCCAACGGCAAGAGCGATCCCTACGCCAAGTTCGAGCTCAACGGCCAGGAGATCTTCAAGACGAAGACACAAAAGAAGACGCTGAATCCGGCGTGGAACGAGTTCTTCAACGTCCCGATCCCTTCCAGGACGAGCGCCAAGTTCAAGGCTACCGTGTGGGACTGGGACTTTGCCGACAAGCCCGATTACCTCGGAGGCGCCGACATCAACCTCGGGATGCTCGAGCCTTTCAAGGCGCAAGAGTTCAAGTACATCTTGGACGGCAAGTCTGGCATGCTCCGTGTGCGCATGCTCTTCACGCCCGACTACGTCACCCGCACCAGGCAGGGCACGTCGGCCTTGGCGGGCACGTTCTCTGTGCCAGGCAGGATCGTAACCGGCGTCGCCGGCGTCCCCCTCAAGGGCGGCGCGGCCGTCGCCGGAGCCGTGGGCCACGGCGTAGGCAAGGGAGCCTCGTTCCTCTTCCGCGGGTTCCGCAGCAAGAAGGACGGCGACGACGACAGCAGCGACTCGGAGAGAGGCTCGGTCGATGTCCCGGTGATCACCACCGAGGGCCCGTCGGAAACCAAGGCGATCGGAAACGGCAGCCCGCTGCACCACACCCGCACCAAGAGCGTCGGCGCGTCGTCGGTCCACAGCGCCATCATCCCCGGCGCGGCGTCGGGCACGGCGTCCTTCACCATCGTCTCGGCCTCGGGCTTCCCGCCGTCGGCCGACATCTACATCATGGTCACGCAGCTGCGCGACGACGGCGGCAAGAACAAGCAGGTCGGCAAGACCAAGCACCGCAAGTCGCCGAGCGGCACGGCGCGCTTCGACGAGACCTTCCGCATCCAGTGCACCCCCGACGCGCAGTTCAAGGTCGAGGCCAAGGAGCACCACACCTTCGGCAGCGACGACCCGCTCGGCGAGATGCTGTACTTTGTCGACGAGTCGGGCTCCAACGCCGAGAAGACGCTGCCCGTCGGCAGCGGCACCGTCGTGCTCAAGAGCAACTTCGCGCCCAACCCGGGCTCCTCGTCCGCGGTCGAGGACGGCGCCGCCAACGGCGGCCGCCTCGTGCCCGACAGCCCCAAGTCGGGCAAGTCGGTCGTCGGCGGCGTCCGCCGCAGCTTCCTGAGCAAGCGCGAGCTCAAGGTGCCCGGCACGCCTTCTTAGTGGGAGGGTGGTGGCGGTGGGCCCCGTAGGTTGGGGAGTGTGCGTGGGAGGGGAGGGCGGTGATGATGACGTTGCATTTTTTCCACTTTTTTGTTCTCTTTTTTTTTACTTATCTAGCTTAATATCTCATGATATTGCTGTGTTTAGCGTCGATACCTTGTTTGGTTGGTGGTGGGAGTGGTCGTGGAGGGTGAAGAAGCTGTGGCATGTGCGATTATTCTGTCTCCTCTCTCGGGCTTGGGTAAGTTTCTTTTCATCCGGGGTGGGACTGACGGGTTCATTCAAAACGGGGTAGATGGCAGATTGGGTTGGAATAACGGTCATGGAATTGCGGGTGTGAGTTGCTTGAGTCTAATCATGAGCTCTCCACCTTGAGGATTTGGCATCATAGCAGAGCGGGGGGATAAAACGAGCTCTAGGTTATCATTAACGATCAGTTATCCAATGCTGTCTATGCCCCTTGGTGTTCCTTCCCAAAGATGCCATCCATGATTCACCACATCATTCCAAGATGTATGGTAGGTATCCAACAATTAGTCCTAAAAAGCCCCCTGCCCAAGAGAAAGCCCCCTACCCTCAGTCAACCTCCTAACTCTCCTTCACCCCCTCCCCAACCCTCTTCCTCCTCCCCTGCAACAAATAATCCCCCCCCACAACCGCCCTATACACCCCATACAACCCCTTCAACGGCCACACCATCCACAACACCCCCAGCAACCACGCAACCACCACCCCCGCAACCCCTTTATCTCTGTCAACCTCCCCCTCCCCCTGCTCATCCACAACCCTCACCTTCTCAAACACACTCGGCAGATGCCCCGCCCCGTACCGCGCCCGCCCGGCCTCGTACGCCCCGCGCGCATAGCTCGCCCAGAACTCGGCTTCCGTGTAGAAGGCCTGCCCGTACAGCCACTTCTTGCCGCCTAGGGCGTGCACGGTCTGTTCGAGGGCGCGGTTGGCGTGGATGCTGGCGTGGTGGTGGGTTTTGCTGAGGGGGATGGTGGGGGTGAGGGAGGAGGTGGAGGAGGTGAGGGAGGAGGTGAGGGAGGAGGTGAGGGAGGTGTTGGTGGGAAGGGGGACGGGGCCCCAGATGCCAAAGTTGAGGAGCGTTGCTTGGGAGGGATCTTGGGGTGGGGGATGGGGATGGGGTTGGTTTGAGGGGGGCAGGCCGAAGTCGGCGTGCAGGCCGTGCTGGGAGTCGGGGGTGGTGCGCTGGACGCGGAGGGGGCAGAGCCAGAGCGGGTAGAGCGGGAGGTGCTGGTCGAGGTGGCGGGTGAAGGCGGCGGCGTGGGCGTAGGGGATGCCGACGTCCTGGATGACGTGGAAGTCGGAGAGGCCTGACTGGTGCAGGGCGCGGTACATGACGCGCGCGTGCATGAAGGGGTCGAGCAGGAAGCGCGTGATGCGGTTGAAGGGCGTCAGGAAGTACCGGAATGCGTACCGCGCCGTCCAGAACCCGCCCCGGTCGTACCGGAAAAGGTAGTCGGTTAGCGGGATGTGGTCGACCTCGACGGCGCTGGGGGGTTGCTGTCGGAGTCGCTTCTCTACGCGCTGTGCGTGGACGTAGAACCACGGGTCGCGGGCGCGGAGGAACTGGCGCGGAGAGGCGCCGGCAGGGAGTTTGTCGACTAGACGCCCGGTGCAGATGATGGTTGAGTTCAAGGAGAAAGTGATGCCGTCAACATAATCGTTGGGGGTGTCGTCGGCCGTCTGGGCCTGCATCACGGACACGACGTCGTCAAAGTCCTTGACATGGCGGTATGTCAACTCGACGTACTGTTTTGCGTCTCTCAGCTGGACCTCGAGCAGGGTGACGACGCCGAGGGTGCCAAAAGCCGAGGCGGCACCCCAGAACAGGTCCGGTTTCTCCGTTTTGGAGGCTCGGGTGACCTCACCACTGGCCAGCACAATCTCAATCCAGTTGACGGTCGTTTCAAAAGCACCATGACGAAACGAGCTGCTCTCGCCCGACGTCCCAGAGAAGCCGCCTCCAACAGTGATGCCGGGGAACTCCATGACGACCAAGGGAACCAGGCCATGCTTCAGGGTCGCGTCAACCAGCTCGTCCATGGGAACATTGGGTTCAACCAAAGCCGTTTTTGTGGTTGCGTCTACGCTGAGGACATGGTTCATGCGGCTGGTGTCAACAGTGTTGTCCTCTCGGCGCTGGGACTTGCGAGTGCTGTTGGTAGACCCATGATAGACCCTGAATGGTGTCTTGGTTGCATCGAAGTGCTGGACTCGCGCGGATACAGTGGCGACGGCAGCCTTGTGGCCCTCCATTCCGGTCGAGATGGAGCTTGATGGTGAGCTGGGGGGTAACGGTGAGAGTGAGATGGAGGTTTGGACGTCAACACCCGAGTATGTATGTACCAAGCAAGTCAGACTCGACTGTGGGTTGGCATAGGCTGGGCGGATCAGCCGGGGATACGCTCCTCCAACGAACGGGTATGTTCAATGAGAGATGCATAGTTATTGGTCACGTCACCAGCAAAAGTCGACATTTGTGACTGTTTGGTTGCATTTTAGCATTCCCGCAAAGAGTATATAATTTGCATCCTTGGCTGTGATGATGTATGGACCGAGGTTGAGCTCACGTCTCACGCAACAAAGTGGGTGGATAATCCGCTGGAGGAAACTCAAAACTCTACGTTACCCCAGAACGGAAGTTGCCCGAAGTGCGCGGCTTGCACCTGAAAAAGGCCTGGGAAGATCGAAAGTCGAGAATCGCGCGGATGCAGGAGGATCAACAGCCATTGACCAATTGGAAGATGTGATGCATCGGTTCGAGGCCCGCTTTCGGCGCTAGTGAAGTGTTTCCCCCACCCTAGAGCGCTCATCTCGAAAGACCCCTGGACAGCCCTGCAACAGCCCTGACAGGAGTCCGAAGGGGCCTGCCGCTTGAGACTTTGAGCCAGTTCGACTTCTCGAAAGAGAATTGGACATCTGGCGCGTTGCGAACACCACCACATGGATCACATAACTTCTCCTTTACAGCGACAATTCCTACCGACCGAGCGCTGGATCTGACCTGATACGAGCAGCTGACAAGACAAGGACAAGAAGCGCGCCCCTTCGAGTCTGTCATCGAGTCCGCCGACCCAAGAATTACCCTCGACTTCCCGATTCGAAACGCTACACAAAGAAACGGGAACACATAAATAGAATTGGCCGACGCGCAGTCGGCTACACCCGCCGCAATGGACCAAGCCGACATCCCCGCGCTGCTCTCGCGCCTGTCGTCCGACGAGGACGCCGCCCGCAAGATGGCCGTGTTCAAACTGCAATCCTCCATCAACGACCCAGCCTTCGCCGACGTCTTCATCTCCTCGGGCGGCCTCACCATCCTGCGCCGCCTGATCATGAGCGCCGGCGGCAACACCCTCGCCTACTCGCTGCAGAGCCTGACCCGCCTGCTGGAGGTCGACATGGGCTGGGACATCTTCGAGGGCCCCGCCGCGGGGGACCTAGTGGAGCGCATAGTCGAGCTGATCGTAACCAACCCGCTGGTCAACATCCTGCGCGGCGCCATGTCCATCCTGGTCGCCCTCGTCGGGCGGTCGCAGTCTTCGTCGGGCGGGCCAGCACCGGGCGGGCACGAGGGTGGGGGCCCGAACGAGACGGGCCTCTCGCCCCGGACACCGGCCGCGCTCCGCACCCCGGGCACGTTTGGCTTCCGCGCGCTCAAGCCCGCCGTGGCCGTATACCCGCAGTTCTTCGAGCTGGTCATCCAGCAGCTGCAGAGCGCCGACCATGCGCTGTGCGCCAACGCGCTGATGCTGATCAACGCCCTGATCCGGGACGCCGTGTCGAACGATGGGAGCGTCAGCGGAACGGTAGCGCCCAAGAGCCCCGGCGCCAGCGCAGGCGAGGAGTGGAGCAAGTTCATCAAGCGTCTGCAGGATCTCGGCCTGATCCGCGCTGTCTACAACCTGCTGCAGAGTTCGTCGCTGCAGGACCTGGCGCACCCGCTGTTGGAGTTCCAGTCGCTGACAAAGGTGCTGTTGAGGAAGTGGAGAGAGGTGAGGGTGGACTTGGAACGGCCGGAGCATCGGAGGGCGCTTAAAGGGCTGCATCTTGCGAGCGCACCCGATAGGAGGCATGCCAACGGCGTCGCCGGGGGGGCAACTGCGTCTGCGGACGAAGGGGATGTAGCCAGGAAAAGCAGCAGGAGGCATAACCCCGAGAAGTGGAGGCGGCTGGGCTTCGAGACGGAATCCCCGGCCATCGAGTTTGAAATAGCCGGCTTTCTCGGCATGATGGACCTGACAGACTACGTGAGGAAGAACGAGGACGGTTTTCAAAAGCTGCTGCTCGAACAGTCGACGAGGCCGTTGAGCGAGCGGTGCCCTGTGGCAAGGGCAAGTCTGGCGGTCACCATGATTCTCTACGACCACTTCGAGGTGGACAAGTCGGACTTGGAGGATATCAGGGGTTATTTGGCTCTCAACGACCCCAAGGCTCACGACAAGTTATTCCACCCGTTGCTGCTGCAATGGTCACGGCTACATACCGCCGGGCTTCACGCCTTCTTTCGCCTGTGGAAGTCCACCGGAGCCCAGCGCGACGACTTCGACAAAGTAGCCGAACTGGTGCGTGTCCTCGTCGAGCAGGTGGTGGGCCGGTCAAGTAGGACAAAAGACGTGCTTGAGGTGGAAGACGAACTACAAGAGTACGATGCGGCACGACTCCGGGAGTTGCAGATGGAACTGTTGGAGCTGTCCTTCGAGGACCAATGGGGCCCGCACCTCGTATCAGTACGCGAAGAGCTCAAGCATGAGGCACTGCAGTTCGTCAAGGAACAGCGGATCAGGTGCCTCCTCCAAGGCAGCTGGTTCACCAAGCCGATGCCGCACACCCGGCAGGAGAGCTACACCAAGCGGCGGCTGTACCAACCATGGCGATACGCCAAGCTCTCCCACAACCGCCGGTACCTCCACTACGCCGACTTCCCCGAGAAGCTGCCGTACGACCCCGGGCTGGACACCCTCACGGACAAGATCGACCTGGGCACCATCAGCTCGGTCGTCTCCAACGTGTCGGCCAACCCGGAGGCGGACGCCGCCGGCCCCGAATCCGAAGCCGACTACAGCCCCAACTCCAGCATGCCCAGCCTCCGCCACAACGGCGCCGCCATCACCACCAAACCCACCACCAAGATCACCATCTACTCCTTCTCCGACGACCTGACCATGGCCACCCCCAGCATCGGCGCCCACACCCCGGACAACACCACCGTCATCTCCACCCCCAACGGCCACAACCACAACCACAACCACGGCAACCACGGCAACCACGGCAACCACGGCAGCGGCGGCGGCACTAACGGAGCCAGCACCAGCACCAGCAACGGCGGCGAGGCCAGGGAGCAGCCCGTGCTGACGCTGTACCCGCCCACCCACAGCCTGGCGTCCGAGTGGCTCGACGGCCTGCTCATGCTGCTGAGCCAGGCGCCCATCACCGCCGAGACCAACAAGCTCGTCACGCTGGTGAGCGAGTACGGGTTGAAGATTAGGTTGTTGAATGTCAGGTTGGAGCAGATCTATGCTGGGCCGCCCGTATCAGGAGGGGGTGGGGGTGGTGGGGGGAGTGGGAGTGGGAGTGGTGGGAATGGGGGCGGGGTGGGGGTGGTGCCGAGTCGGGAGGGGTTGGATGAGGATTATTTTTATGAGATTTGATTTGCTTTGTTGGGGGGGGAGGAGAGGGAGGTTTGGGTTTGTGACGGGTTGAGTTATCAGGGCAGGCCTAGTTGTTTCATCTTTCCCTTCTCTTTTCTTCGTTTCGGGGATTTTGTTTCTTGAGTGTTGTTCAATTGGTCGCGGATACCCACCCCATACCCCGTTACTATACCATAGCTACTTTTATACCCATTTTCTGTGTTTTTATATTCAAGTTAGTTGTACATACCATATTTGTAGTCAGTAACTGTACTTTTTTGCAGTTGCGCACCATTCTACCTAGGAGTGGCTGGATCGCTCTCGTTGAATAGTACACTTTGCCCTGCTAAGTAGTCTGGATGTATTACTTCCTCAAATAAATAGTACTCTCTGTAAATAGCTTCTGGAGAAATCCATTTGTCCTAAGGAATGGTTTGTGAAAGCACAATTGCCATGACGGCACACTGGGCAAGGCTCATTCGTGTGGGGCTCTCATATTGGTTACACTGCACATCCAATTTCAGCTCTTCATTCCGTTCTCAGCTCTGAGGCCTGCCACCTCCCCTCTCAATGGCCGGATTCGTTTGATCTCTTTGCCAGCCTCTTCAATTCGGTGCTTCCCCCGCACAGCGTTTGAAGCTGCCCAAAGTCACCCAAAGTCGGAACTCACTTGTCGCCACTTTCGTCAATTATCTCAGGATTTCATCACCGCCTCCGTGATATATCCGTGAGATTCATCTCACAAATTAGACTGTTTATCAGCCCCTGAACCACGAAACAACAAATCGAGGGCCAACCAGCGACCCCAATGTCGGGGTCCGCCGCTTCTCCGTCGGCAAGCCAGGCTCGGCGCTGGCAGAGTGCGCAGGGCAAATTCGAGAACGACATATGGTTTTGTAAGTTGCGCGAGCTCATGTGTAGATAGTACTATGTTGTTGCGTTAGTATGTACTTTACCTGACAACTCGTCCTCCAGGCGCCTGCGACCCCCCGATGCAAGCGTCATTTCTGCAGGTGCAGAAGGCAGGAAACAACAAAGGGCGATGGTTTTACACCTGCCAGATGCCCCGCGATAATCAATGTGGGTTCTTCCTGTTCGAAGACGGTGCGCGGGTGTTAGAGAAGAGGGCGCAGGGAGCGGAGAAGCGAGCGGAGCCGTCTGTCTTCAATCGGCCGGCCCAAACGAACACCGCAGGCCCGAGCAACGGCTCGGCCGCGGGTAACAGGTTGCCTACAGGCAACAACATTCAGAGGGCGAACAATTACAACCTCGCTCGTGTTACTCGGTCCGACACGCCGCTCTCGGAGGCTGCCTCGTTCGTCACCGGCCCACTCTACTCCCCCGCCACCAGCGTGTTTCCCACGCCAGCCCCAAGACGGGGTATCTTCCGCGGCATTCCGCGTCTGGGGGACAAGTCGTGGAGTTCGGACGAGGATAGCGATGTCACGGCAGACCGACCGGCAAAGTCCCCAGCAAAGTCCCCGGCCAAATCGCCGGCGAAGCACCAATCCAACCTCAACCAATACCTCGGCCTATCCACCCCGGCATCGAAGCGAAAGCGGTCCGGCGCCGACGACGGAGCCGCTCGGCGCAGCAGTGGTAGCACCAGAAACGCCGCCATCGAAATCACCTCCGATATCGACTCGGACGACGCCGACCAACTCGTCGAGCTAGCCGACCAGACGGCGCGGCAGCACCAGTCTGCCAACGGCCCCGCTGACAGCCCCAGCACGGTACGAGGCAGCAGCCGTCCCGGGCTCGGCGGCCTGCCCACCCCCGAGACGGGCAACAGCTTCATCAGCACATCCTCAGAACCATCCGGCGCCGCCAAACGCTTCAAGAACGCCCAAGGCCTCGCCGCACCCCCCACCCCAACACCCACCCGCAACCGGAACGCAGCAGCAGCACCACCCCAAGGCCAAACCAAACCCGGATCAGGAACAGGACCACCAGCAGCAGAAACAGAAGACGACGAAGAAATCACCACCACCATCACCACCCTCCTCGCCACCGTCCACCACCCGCCCATCCCGCCCGCCATCCGGCGCGCCGTGCGGGAGACGCTCAACGCGCACGCGCGGCGGGCGCGCGGGCTGGAGCGCGGGCGCGACGGCCTGCGCGACGCCCTCCGCGCCCGCGACGCCCGCATCGCCGACCTCCAGGCCCGCGTCGCCCGCCTCGAGACGGAGAGGCGGTTGAGGCAGGAGGTGCTAAGGAGTGATCTGCTGCAGGCGCTGTCGCAGGAGGTGGAGGGTGGGGGTGGGAATGGAGGTGGTGGTGGTGGTGGTAATGGGGGGAATGGGGGTGGTGTAGGTGTAGGTGGAGGTGGGGGTGGGAATGGGAATGGGAATGGGGGGGAGGAGTGATGTGATGGTGGCGCGGAGAAATGGGGAAGAGGAGTGATACATACTGGTGAGGGAGGACGATGGGAGGGGAGGCCGGGAGTGAAGGAATAAAGCGTGATAAGTGGATGGGCATGGGGGCTTTTGAGGGGATGATCGACCGGGCAAGGGCTTTGAATTTAACTGGTTTCTTCTGGAATTGTTGCTATTTGGGAGTTCAGGATGGGAGACTAGGAAACGGGCACGCATTGTCGAGATGGAGCATAGAGAGGAGTGCATCTGGGATCTGTGGTTGTTGTTTAGTTTAGGTACCTACGGTCTGCAACGGGTGTTTCCCGGAATTTATTGTTTCTCGCACCGGGCACTGCAGGTTCGAAATGACCCCTCCTCAACTTGAATTACAAGTATAGTGTATCAGTACGGTACAGAAGTATCACTGAAAGTCGCGATAAATCCCAGAAGCTTGGCGACAAGGTGCTGCCAGTCCCCCGGCCGCTGTGTTGACTTCACTTCCTATTCTGGAAGGCTGCCACGGTTGTGATTGGCCAAAGCTGACGCGGCCGGGCGCGAAGCTCGCACACGACGTGGGTCTCGAATTGATTGTGGGTGGGCTCTGCTGCAGTACATCTCCGCTTCGCCTCTCCCGGCACACGCGTGTCTGTTTCCCAGTGCTGCCCACCGGAATTTCCCCTCAACACGTACTAAAACTCGTCTCTGTCGACCATTGATCCATCTCCTCCTCTCCTCGCGAATATGTCTTCCGCCGGTCTCTAGCGGCGCGTCCTCTTCTTTAATCTTCTCGCCACCCTTTCCGGTTTTTGGCTAGGTACCAAGCAGCACTGCACCCTGTGGGGGATTGATACAGCGCAGGCCCTCAGTGCTCTCAACGCGTGTTGATGCACCATTTACCGTTGCCCACCATGGCGTCTCAAACCACCTCTCTCCCGTCTCCGCCCACTCCTCCGCCGGCTGCATCGCCCTCCGAATATGGGCAGAGCGACCTCATAACCCCAGCAGCCTCTCAACAATCGTTGCCACCCACTTCCGATCCCGTGTCGCCCTCCTCCACCGGGCAACGCCACCCGAGGGGTCAGCACCCCAAGGGCAAGAGGAACCGGACTTCGTACGTCCCATTGCATCCTGCATTCGGTGGCTTCGCTTGCTGATACCTTGTGCTTCCATTGCAGACCAGCCGACAAGGCCGTGCTCGTGAAGGCCTACAGCGAGAAGCCACAGCCGAGCCAAGAAGAGATCGCCGAGATCACATCGCGCGTCTCTATGAACAAGCAGGCGGTTCGCGTGAGTCCATGCACGCCCCCGAGCTAGTTAGGAGGAACGGATACTAACGAAGCGTTTAGATCTGGTTCCAGAACAGGCGCCAGAACGATCGCCGCAAAGCGCGTCCATTGTCACCCCAACTGATAGAGAGCATCACACAGGGCCGCATCTCCGTGTCCCGGTTCGGCGAACTTCCCGAACACACTCCGTTCAACTCGGGGGGCTTCCCCGGCTCCTCTCAGACCATGTCGCCGCCAGAGCAACGGACGAGTTCCTCCGCCCACTCGGACGGTGCTAGCTGCCGCTCCGACGGTACACCGGGGAGCCTACGGGGAGCGGTGCACGAGCGAGGGTCCATTTCATTCGAGGGCAGGGAGCTCGCACCCTCAGAAGGACACCCCACCCCCGCTCCTTCTTGGCCCCTCTCAGGCCAACCCGGTTATCTATCCAATCGACGAAACACCGCCGGCGCCCCTCCCCTGCCGTCGAGCTCTAGTCGCCGCGACTCCTTCAGGTTCGTACCTAACTCGTCCTGTTAACATGTTCATCCACTCACTTATATGCATGTAGATCCGAGCCTTTCTCATCCTCATGTCCGCTCCCGCCTTCTTCCAGTGCTGGTCACGATGCCTTCGATTGGAAGCCGAGCTCTCAGCCGTCTCAGTTCCGTCTATCGACATCCATGTCCGGTCAGGCCGAGATCACAACGGAGTCACCACCACGCCCGAGTCAAATACTAGCACCCGTGGAGCCGCTTCCATGGCCAGAGATTCCAGGGCCGTCGGAACTCCGCCGCTCCGCTAGCTCAGCAAGCCTCAGTCGGCGGGCTCCCGGTCTCAAGCGCAGCCGCTCAAGCAACGTGCAGGTCTGGGAGGACTGCGCCAACTCGGAGACCCGCGAGGATCCGCTGATCGCTCAGGCTAAGCACGAGAGCAGCGGCTCAGCCATTGCAGAGATCAGTCTGCTCAGGTCATTGAGCGCAGCCGGGAGCCCCGCCCTCGAACAGGCCAGCAGCACCAACCGTGCGAAGCGCCGCAGCCACCACATGGCGACCAGCTCCGACGCTCGCTATACCATTTCCAAAAGGCCGAGGCTTGAGCGGTCATGGAGCACCAATGCCAGGATCGAGACGACGTCGGCTCTCGCCCAACGGCACAACACGCAACCGAGCCGCCTGGTTCCCGCCCACCCCGCGGACAAGCCCAAGCCCACGAACGGACTCGACCACCTATCACTCCTAGCCTCAGAGTCAGACAAGGAGAACTTGAGCCCGGACGAAGACGGCAACCCGCGCCCCTACCGCCGCACCCTCTCCACCGGAAATGTTATTTCATCAACCTCCTCCGGCCGCCGCCGCCTCCCCTCCGGGCCGCCGTCCAGCAAACCCACATTCGCCAACCGCAACCCGCGCCGAACACCACAACATCAACAACACCAACAACCCCCACACCCCCGAACAACCTCTCTGGCCCGCGCCGCCACCTCCCCCTCCTCCTGGTCCGCCTACTCCAAGCAATACCGCACAAACAACGCCATCAACCGCCGCCGCTCACCCGCCAAATCCCGCGGCACCGCGTCACCACGGATCTATGAGGACGGGGACGGGAGCGGAGACGAGGGGAACAGCGTCGACGGCCGTACACGCGACCGGTTCCTGGAGCGCGACGATGTCCATCGTTTCATGACCGCGGGCGACGTCAGTCCGAGTAAGAAGAAGGAGGTGGATGCGGCGGCGAATTTGATTGCGCTTAAGTTTGCACGCTGAGGTGGCTTTGGTTGGTTGGTTACCTCCTGTCCTAGTTGGTTGGTTGGTGTGTATCCTGCATGCGTGCATGCGTTTTGGGGGCGGTCGTTGTGGGATGCGGTTCGGGCCGCTCCCGATTAGCCGTTGGGGGCGGGGGGGTGTGGTGTGGTTGTTTACGCGCACTCCTCATATGGGGTTGTGTTGCGTTGTGTGCACGGTGTTGTGTGTGCATGGCTGGCTTGTACCGAGGCTGTGCATGGCTGGTGATTTGATTATTCACAGCCAGTTGGGCTCGGGGAGAAGCCGGGGCTGCGAGATGAAAGGAGGGGCGGCCTTGGTGTGGTGCTGAGGGCGTGGATGGGCCAAGCGCTGGTTCCGTCCTGTCCCTCGGACCTACTTGTATATGGAAGGGATGTATGGACCCCTTGAAGGAGAAGAAAGCTTCTCCGATCCTATTCGGATATCTAACGTTTTTTTCTTTTGTTGTGGGATGATGTGTTATGGGGAAGGAGGGCGGCTTTGTCAGGGTGTTTAACTGTTGGTGAGGTTGTTTGCTAGTTTATGGGCGATATTGCGGGCTTAGGCTGGTGCTGCTGTGGGCAGCCTCTGCAGCGAGTCCTTGAAGAAGATATCATGAAGAAATACTTTATAACCAGACCTCGAGCAACGAAACGTTTCGTCCACATGATATCCCGTCTCAACCAGTCCAACGCGCGCCGAGTGCAAGCAAGTGCAAGTAGAGGTAACCCCTCCATGATGTTCAAACCCGCACCTGGACGACTCGGGTGCACTCGCAAAGACCGCACAGCCCGACAAGCCCAACCAATATCACAGCCCAACCAGGAAGGAGGGCATCATGTCAGCGAAGTGACCTCCTCTGATTCGACCCGACAGCCCAGGCGATCGGTGACTGCGGGGTAGCTCGAGGGGCAGTGGCAGGAAGAGGGCGCTAAAACAGTGGAGGGGGCCTCGTCATCGTCGATGACATCAAAGATTGATAACTATGTATGTGTGTCCTGTTCGCCCTTTTGCCAAACCAGGCATACCAGTTCGACCTATGTAGCTGAGTAACCAGATCTTCCCTCCCCTTCATACCCCATCATTCCCTTCCGGGTTGAGAACCAAAAGAAAAAAAGAAAAGCCAGAACGCCCGCCTCCCGATGTCTTCGAATAACTAACGGCGATCAATCGCCGTTTCGTGCAGTCGTATGCACTGTGCGATAGGCAATCGCATGCCACAAGTTCAAACCCCAACCCAACCTCTCGCTTCTTCGTCTAGTAACAATGCTTCGCGACGGAAACCAACTGCTCGACCCGACCCGACCCGACCTAACAACCTACTCCACTCCAATACAAGACAAGAAAATCCAAAAAAAGAAGAAGCCTCCGCGAACACTTCTTGGGGAGCCAGGTGAGAGAGAGAGAGAAGAAACTCTACATGGTAAACATGCTCATCTGCCGCCTCAGCGGGCTAGCCGCGGTGCTGTTCTCCTCGCTGGCGTAGCAGGCCGAGTCGGTATCGATGTCCCAGCCCTCGTCCTCCTCGCTGCCCTCGACCGAGCCGTCGGCGGCACAGCCGGCAGCGCCGGCATCGAAGCCCTTCTGGGTAGCGGCGCGCACGTTCCAGCGCAGGGTGCGGGAGACGCTGTCGAACCACTCGGTGTCGGTGCGGACGACGGTGGGGAAGGGGTACTGGGAGGCGGTGATGGTGACGTGGTCCCCCTGCTTGAGCTCGATGCGGCCCTTGCCGTCGAAGGCGCAGTAGGCGGTCGCGCGGCTGTTGCGCGGCACCGACACGCGCAGGAGCATCGTGTCGGAGAGCACCATGGGCCGGAACGAGAGCGTGTGCGGGCAGATGGGCGTGAGCAGGATGGCGGGTATGTCCGGGTGGACGAGGGAGCCGCCGGCCGAGAGGGAGTAGGCGGTGGAACCTGCGGGGAGGGGTTAATAATGTGGGAATACCAGAGGAGGGAGAAAGGGGGGGCGCTTACCAGTCGGGGTCGAGAAGATGCAGCCGTCCGCTTGGACCACAGTCAACAGCTCGTCGTCACCGTACAGCTCGAGGTTGGAGACATAGGGCGACGGCCCGCGGTCGATGACCAGCTCGTTCAGAACCTCAAATTGCTCGCCCTCCTCCATCTCTTGGCCAGCGGGCGTATCGCGGTACACGGTACAGGTGAAGCGCATCCGGAGGTTCGCACGCATGCCATCCTCACCCATCACACGGTTTAGGTGCTCCTTGTACCGTTCAAACTCGAAGCTCGTCATGAAGCCGAGACTCCCGAGGCTGAAGGACAGGACAGGCGGCACAATGCGCTGGAAGAGCCAGGATGTGAAGAGCACGGTGCCGTCGCCGCCGAGGGTCAGGACCAGGTCGAAGTTTTCTGGTTGGGTCCAGCACAGGTCGGGAGTCCAGTACTTGAGCATCCCCTGGAAGCGCGGGTCGAGATCCGTGATCTCCCTGGCGCCGAACCGTTTCGAGTGGCGCAGCTTGGCATCCACGTAGACGTTCACACCGACGTCGGACCCGTAACGTGGGGTCTGCAGCAAGAACTGGGTCAACTCGCGCGTGAGCAGGACCAGCTGGTTGTCGCGGGCCTTGGTCACGATCATGACGTTCCTGACGGCGCGCTTGATCGGCTGGCGCTGGAGCTGCCGGGCTACCTCGCGCACGACCTTGGCCGTCTGTACCAGGCGCGAATGCGACATGAACTGGTCGTGCTTGATCTCCTCGAGGACCTTGTCAATGTCGACGGCGTCGTCGAAGCGGTTGTGGTAGAAGCAGGGCGATTGCAACGAGGGGAAAGCGGCGGTCGGGGTCTCGGCAGCGACGGAGCGGGCGTTCTGGGCTATGGCAAGGCCATTGAGGGCGTCGCAGAGCTGTTGCGAGGAGGACGAGCTGGGCCGATTGTCGGCCCCGTTCTGGGCGCCGTGTACGGACAGCATGCCGGTCAGTGATAGGGCCTGGGGCTTGTTGTTGCGTGCTACCGAGGCCAATGCTTTCATAATTGTCTGTCTCGGGACAGACTCGATCGAGGGGGCGTTCTTGCGGTGGCCACGAGGGGGAGCAAAACTGGAGGGAGCAGGACTGGCGGGGACGGAGCGGACGGAGCGGCCGTTGGTGTGTTGCGACAAGTCGAAATCCAACGGGGCCAGGGTGCCTATTGTTGGCAGAGTGGGCTGCGATTCGGCGACAAAATCATGATCCCGGATTCCCGTTGTTGGCCCTGTTGCAGCTGTGGCTGCCGGTGCGACTGTGGCGGTGGTCGGTGTTCTCGTTGTTGTCGCAACGTCGACGTCGACGTCGGCGTTTGTCGGCAATGTCGGAGAAGTCGGTTCACCGTTGTCCGGAGGCGACAGCTTCAGTGTCAGTGCTGCGCGGGATGATTGCGAGGAGGATCCGGAGTTGGCGGGTGACCGCTTCTTAACTCCCTCCGGGTCGTAGCGTTCCTGCCGCAGTGGGAGCGGGAGGTCAGCGGGGTGACCCAGCACAGATGGGTGGATTGAGAAACCGGACATGGTCGAATTCGGGGTGGTGGGGTGTTATTTTCGGGCCCGCTTCAGCGCAATCCTGGCAGCTGTTTGGGTTGAGTAATGGCCCCTGGAAGTCACGTTTGGTCACCTCTGCAGTAGCGTCCTGCAGCAGCTCTGCACACTGTCGTGCACTGGGAGTGATCGGATCTCGCGGATGCCCAGAATGGTCGGGAAATCCCCCGAAGCGAGTTGAACCTTGTGTAACCCGTCACCCTTGAGGTCCTGCAAGGCAAATGGAGAAGATGCACGAAGCGGCCCGACGCGCTGTTCAGCCGACGTCACTGTATGCCAACGAAGTCGATTCCGGCCCGAGACGATTGGTCGTGGGTCAAAAAGCAAGTTCGCAATACCTCTTTCCTAGCCGCGTTGGCCGAGGAGATGGGAATTCAGAATTCAGCCGAGGTGAGATCAACTACCTGGAGGAGCCGAGTGTTAGTTCGCGGCCGTGGCCCCCATCAGGAGGTAAGAATGACTTGGCCCGTCCGGGACACAGATAGACAAAGAAACAGTGGGCGAGTGCGGCACTGCGCCGGCCCGGCCAGCCCGTTCCAGGACCTTCTGGGTTGGCCCAAGATGGAACCTTGAGAACCGTAACAGGGTAACTAGGTAGGAAAACGCTGCAAAACTGAGTACGCACCTCGAAGCCCGCAAATATTTGCCAGGGTCAACAGCCAGTAACCCTAAGTACACACTGCCCAACGCAAGCCGAAAGTGGTCTGGAGTCTCGGGGACGGGGCTCGGATTCGATGCCGAGCGGAGCGGGAATGGCTTTTGTCTGAGATCGGGGGCAAGTGATGTGGCGGGTTGGTGGGGTCGGTCAACTGGAAACAAGACCGGCTGTTGGAAGTCTCGCTGGTCGGTGGGCTGCTGTGGCGTTGGCCGTGTAAGTCCACTGGTGGATGTTGGTCGAATTGGAGTCGTCGAGACAGGTCCAGATATTAAAGATAAAATAGACTAAAGGTAGATTAGGTATTGTTTGAAGAACTGCCAGAGCTCTGCTTCCAGACGAGCTCCCAGAGCCGAGAAAGAAATGAAGACGAGGGAATGGACGGTGGGTTGGGTCATCAAGACGAGACTGGGGAGCGGAAAGAACAGTTGCTCGCGTTCAGGCGGTTTAATACCTCGTCGCGGCCACGATGTTTCCCCTGTGAAGGCAGGGGATGGTGAGCGAGGAGGCATGTCCTCCGAAGCTTGTTACAAGGGTGTCGAGCTTCGAGGGGTGCGATCCATCGCCAAAGCATGTACTTCGTACCTCCTCCACGGGTTGGGTGCCGTTCTCCGGGAGATGGCCGCTGGTTTGTCTCCACCACCGTCCCGATGCAACGGCTCAACGTGCCGGCTTATGCGCGGATGTACATACAGACATACTCGAGAGTCGTATGCTTTGCGTGGTGGAGGAGGTTGGGGCCATGCTGGGACGACAAGTCCCCAGCGATGTAACTCGACGGTTTCTCTTTTCGTCGTAAGTCCTCCGAACCTCCCCCGGCTCGCATCATTTCTCAACGTAATAGGGGCCAGCGGCAAACGTGTCCAGCCTCTCACTGGAGCAGGAGCAGGAGCATGTCTGGGCGCTCGGGTATGCGAGTCTCAAAATGTCTCCTCGAAGCCAGGGTCTGGAGGCGAGGAGTTGGGGGACCAGCCGCCAGTGGGATCGACCCAGCGTAACCCCCTGACAGCACAGCGGGAAGCCCTGCAAATCTGCCGCGAGCCGCAACGCTGCGCTGGAGCTCGCGCAACCAAAGCAACCGCATGAGGACCCAGTTTCCCCACCGCGATCCTACGTTGGTCAAAACGTTTGGAACCCTGAGCGGCGAATTCCATGACCTGCCGCTCGGCCGTGTAGACATTCTTTGCAGCATTTATTAGCCCGAGAGATGATGCATTCAACATCTTGGCACAAATCGAGCCGGGGTTCCAGCGGCTTCTCGAATCGAAGCTCTGAGTCTCGCGGTCTCGGGGAACTCGAAGAATGATCAGTGACGGGAGCCGGAGAGCACCCAAGTTGATTACCAGTTGGGGTAGTTATCGACGGTCTCCACTCGCCCGCCCCCATGGCTACACTGGCATGGCTCTGGAACACCCCCACATCCCCAGAACAGCTTCACACGAAAAAGTCACCAGCAAGCGCCAGGTTTCGAGAACCTCTGGTAAAAGCCCCGCTGAAGGAACCTCAGCCGTCCTGGTGTCCTGTTAGATTGCCCGAAAAAAGGCAATGTCACATCGCCAGGATACGGTGTCGGGGAGGAAAGATGAGATGAAACGGGGCCTCAGCTGATGGGGCAATCCTAAACATGGCCATGCAGATGGGCCCACCAACGTTTGAGACGGGTAACACTTTGCTTCCATCATAACACAGAATTCCTAGGCAGAAGGACGTGGTGCCGTAAAAGCTTCGGGAAGTGGCATTGATTGTTTGCTTTGGTGATGGCTCCTGCTGCCCGATGCCGTGCCTTACTGCCGATAGCCGTTGTATAGTCGCTTTGCTGTTCAACATTCGAGGCCGGCGGTGTGCTTCAACCGCCCAGCTCCTTGCTCCGACAAACCGTGTAAGGGTTTTCGTGCACGTTTTGGAAATTTCGCAGCCACGATACGAATGGTTTTCGTCCTTCGAATGGCTTCCGCATCGGGTCCCTCTCCATGAGCTCGTCCAATGCCCACACCCACCGAGTTTGAACATGGAGCTCACCTCGGCGCCTGATTCTTTGAATCGAGTGGGACCAATTCCCACAGCGGCTGTTGGCTCATTTCCAATGAAGATCCGCGGCGACCTTCGATTCCATGGTTGACCGAAGAAACTGCCGCATATCGGTGGCGCTAGCTTCCTCGTCGTCGAGTACCATCGCCGTTCCTTCCTTGGCCGGCCCAGCGCGGCAGCAGATCCCCTTGGCGGTTTCGTAAACATCATCCCACTCCCCGACTGTGAAGTCTCCCTCGCTCTCGGCCAACAGCAGTCCATTGTGAGACGTGAAAGCCAACACATGGACTGACCTCGCCGTTTCGACCTCCCTCGGCGAAGGATCCACTACCGTCTTCTTGGCCCCATCTTGATGCACAACCGCGACAGCGGTGGCGGTTGCTGTTGCCCTCATCGGCACGCCAGCCGAGAGAAGCGCCAGAATGGCCGTTTGCACCAATGCCGGCATGATAGCAAGGTTCTGTCGCAGCGATCAGCAGATGGGTCCCGTCCGTCTCAAGGGGCTTTCGCTCACCAGGCTGGCCTGAACAAGTTTTGTGTTCACATAGTCATTCTCTGGCGAGTCTTCGACCTGCAGCACGATCTGAATGAGGGATCGGGGAAAGTTCTTGACGAGGATGAGCTGGGCGAGCGAAGACTGGAGGAGTGACTCAAGGTGTCGTTCCCGGGTCCCTATATAGCAAAGTTAAGTCAATGAATGAGGAGTCCCTCCTATGACATGCGGTGTGGGCCGGGAACTCTCACCTCCAACCCCTGCCGCTGGTCGTACGATAACTTCGACATGTGCCTCATATGCATGCTCATCCCGCCGCTGGGCCTCAATCGGCCCATTAACCGATGCCGTCAGGGTGTAGCCGGCGTGAGAATATTTCGCAGATCCGTCCGACCGCGGGAGAACCCCAAGTGCGGCCTGTGGCGCTGTTGTTGTTACTGTCATGGTGAGACTGGATTTGCAAGTTGTGATGGGTTTGCAGCTGCCTTTTGGTTCTGCCGTGTGTAGATTTGGAGTTGCTAAAATTCAATGGAGCAGCCCACCAGCAGCCCACCGCTGCAGTTTGCATCGGTTTCTGGGCTGACCTGCAGCAGCGATCGGCCCCGCATTTTAGCGTCCCCGTCTCCAAACAAAGCTTCCATCCCACCTGCAGGGATGCCAGAGCATGGAGCCAAGGAAACCCTCAGTCGACTTCAACTTGCCATCTTCAACCTCACACTTGTAACCCTGACCGTAGGAACATACCATTGCGACAAAAAATCGAGCGATTAGTCCCTGTTATCATACGAGATCCAAACGTTACAAAACATGGCATCAACATCACCCAAAGTGCCCGGGGAGGGAGCCAAACCCCCCGGTTCAGTTGATCCCCCGCGTTTGCCAAGCGGGGGTATTCCTAACCTCAAGGACCGCATCCCGAAATTGGAACCCCGGCGGAGGAAAGCCGAGCCGGCGAACCCGATGCCCGTCCCGGAGACACCATCGGCACCGGCCCGCCCAGACCCGGCAACCATCAACTTCACCATCCCTGCCAGGCGGATCCTCTCGCCACAAGACCACCAGCTCTTCCTGTCCTCCCCAACCTACAATCTCATCCTCTCCTTCATCTTCGGCCTCTCCGAGTCAGTCGTCGACAGGCCCATCTCCTCCGTCAAGGACACCGACCTCTCCCCCACCGTCCAATCCATCCTCACCATCCTAGACGAAGCCGAAGCCCTCTGCGAGGACTCGCCCCCGGACGACCAAGGCGGTTCCCGCTTCGGCAACAAGACCTTCCGGGTCTTCCTCGACAAGGTCAAGCAGCGCGCCCCGGCCTGGCACGCCACCCTTCTCGGCGGGTCCAACCCCGACCCTGCTGCCGCCACCGCCGAGCTCTCGGCCTACCTCTGCCAGTCGTTCGGCAACCGCAGCCGCATCGACTACGGCTCGGGCCACGAGCTCAACTTCGCCATGTGGCTGCTCTGCCTGTACCAACTCTCCCTCCTCCAGCGCAGCGACTTCCCGGCCCTCGCCCTGCGCATATTCACCCGCTACCTCACCGTCATGCGGCGGGTACAAAGCACCTACTACCTGGAACCCGCCGGCTCGCACGGGGTATGGGGCCTGGACGACTACCAATTCCTACCCTTCCTCTTCGGCGCCAGCCAGCTGGCGCACCACGCGGTGGTGACGCCGCGGGCGATCCACCAGGAGCTGATGCTGGAGGAGTACGGGGCCGAGTACCTGTACCTGGGCCAGGTGGCGTTTGTCAACAGCACCAAGACGGTGCGCGGCCTGCGCTGGCACAGCCCCATGCTCGACGACATCAGCAGTGCCCGCGGCTGGGCCAAGATCGAGGGCGGCATGCGCCGCATGTTCGTCAGCGAGGTGCTGGGCAAGCTGCCCGTGATGCAGCATTTCCTGTTTGGGAGCCTGATTCCCGCGGCTGAGGGGATGAGTGAGCCGCCCGAGAGGGGCCCCAAGGAGGAAGAGGGGGAGGATGACGAGGAGGGCGGTGAGGTGGAGGTGTTTGATGATAAGGAGGGGGTGAGGCATGTGCATCAGCCGAGCGGCTGGGGGGATTGCTGCGGGATCAAGGTGCCGAGTAGTCTTGCGGCGGCGGCGGAGATGAAGAAGAGGGGGGGTGGGGAGCAGCTGAGAAGGATACCGTTTGACTAAGAGCATGGTGACTCCCAAGGTAGAAAGGCCTTCTGCTTGCTGAAGCCCGGTCGTCCATGTATTCTTTTGGCCTACTAAAACTACAATTGGTCACCATGAGCCTGGCCAGGCCTAAACGTGACAGCCTACCTAGGTAGTTTTAAAGTCAGACACAGCCGGCTGTAGCTTCGGTGGGATTGGTGCAATAGGTTTCCTCATTGCGCTCAATTAGGTACATAAGATGGCCACAAAACGCACGTTCACCTTCCCCAGACCCGAAGCTCCCAAATAGAATACAATCCCGTGTTGTGGCGACAGCCATGTCGCCGTGATGAATGCCGACGGAGAAGGGTATCAGAACAACGGATTCTCCGCTAAACGCCTGCCAATGTTGACAACCCTTTGCCATAATGCCAAATGAACAAACCGAAAACAAAAACAAGATAAATCTTGGGTGCTGTTACACCCCCCAAGCCGATGGAGCCACTCTATAGGCATACCTCGCGCTCTTGGCTCGTCCGAGTCGTTGAGGATCAAGTACCGCACGTTGCGGCGGTCGGTCTGCCAGATCCCCCATCCTGCACGAATGAATACCCGAGTACCTCAATCCTCCCAGATAGTCTCCAGATCCAGATCTTGCCTCCTCTCGGCGCCACACACACTCCACCGCTTCCTCTTATCGCGCGAACCAAAACCACTCAACGTCCGGCCGCGGATGGGCGCATCCAAACTGCCCCTCCCCTTGGTATCTCCGCCCTCGGCGGCGTCCGCAGCAGCCTTCAGCTGGGCGATCCTCTCCGCCTCTACAGCCGCCTCTTCGGCATCCGGGGAATCCGGTATCGTCTCGAGGCTGGAAATGCTGGGGCTCCTGGATCTGGCAGACGTGGGGGTCGAGGGCACAGAGGAGGACGGGTAGTATCCGTAACTGCCAGAGAGAGAATCGTATGGTCGGTATGACGGGGAGGTGGCAATTGAGGAAGGTGTCGTCGGTGTTCCGCCGGACAGTAAGGCCGGGCTGGAGTGAGAAACCTGACAGAGCGGGGAAGACGGCCTCCGCAGTTTTGGCACCGATGTGATGGGGGTGATCCCCAAAGCTTGGTTGGGGTTGGGCGAGCTGCTCCCCTCTGGTATCTTTCGCTCCTGGTCGAGAACGGAAACGCGGGTCGGTGAGGAAGGAAACCCTTCATCGACCGGCTTTCGCGGGATGCGGATCCGGCTGGGTGACCCGGAGGGGCTTTGTGGGCGGATATGGGGAGAGAATAAAAGGTGGCCTGTGGCGCTTGTGCCGGGCATGGACTGGGTGCGGCCCATGAAAGGCGCCAAACTCGCTGCCGATCGTGATCTGACGTGGTTGCTAGACAACGGAGAAGACGCTCGGGGCCGATGGGGAAGAGCAGGCGGCATCCAGGATGGCGAAATGGGAGAAGACGGGGACGGATCAGTCGATCGGCGGATGGTAGGAGGTTTCCGGAGAGACTCAAACTCGGGAGCGCTGAAAGATGAAGTCGCCGGAAGCCTCAGACTCGGAAGCGGCGACGGTCGAAACTCCTCCATCCTCTCTGTTTCGGGAACCGGCTCCATGTTGACCGAGGTATGAGGTGCGCTCGGGTAACTGGGCCTGTCACGAGGAAGTGTGCATAGGGGGTCGGCGGCGGTTTAATGTATTCGGAATCGCGGAACCTTTTGTCGGCGAGTGAAAGAAGGATGGTCGACCAACGGTTACAAACAGGTTCCGTTTGCAGCTCCGTTTGTAGTTCGAGTCGATGTCGCTGTCCGGGAATGCGAGAATGGACCGTCCACTGTTAGGTGCGGCTGGCAAAAAGTCCACGTGTTAGAATCGTAGAATTCCAGCCGGTCGCTTCTCAAGTTGGTTCCGAAGTCATGGCCGGCGGAAAGGTCGAAAAAAAAAAGTACTTGCAAGAAAAGCTTCCGCAAGAAGTTGGAAGACGGTGAGTCGAGACCTTGATGTGCAGGCAGGTGCTCCTGCCGGATGACCAAAGAAGGGGAACCTCACCACGGTTGGCTGGTTTGCAAGGCTCGTTCCGGAATGCAGGGTCGAGGCGGGGTCTTTATCCGGCAATAGGCGCTAATCGCCAGTGAGAGCCCGCAGTGACGGGGAAGATGTGGGGAGCAAGGCGCTGATTGGGGACGCTAATCATGCGCCGCCGTGTTTTGCATGCGGAACTGTTAGGAGCGAATCCAATCGCCGACAATGGCTCAGGAACTGGGCTCAGCTGCGCTGCGTGCGATGGAGGTTTGGCTTTCTTTTGCAATCAATAGGTAAACAACAACTTCCCAAGTTGCGAGTGTTTTGGCGCATCGCAAACATGGAGTAAGTAACAACCGAGCAGCTCCCAACAAGCCACAACCTGGATAGGTATCACGAGGGGTCAAAGTTGGATGCCGTAAATACCGGGCCTGGACCAAATGCCGCTCCTCTAAATGCCTCTCTCGCCGGGAGTCCGGCTCCTCGGATCACGATCGTCCGCCCGCCGAGTTACTCAGGAGACAGCCTTCCTTCGCCACACCACGCCATCTCACTGTCGATCCAACAGAGCTGGGTGTACGAAGGAGTGATCAAAGATCCCATGAATCCTTGTATGCTTTGATACGAGCTCTTTAACAGACTGTTGCCCCCAGGGCCCTATCACAAAACAACAATTCGTCCAGCCTGTTTGCGACTTCGACAACTCGGCCCCTGTTTCACTCGAAGCTTTGGCCGCATGCAAGCGCCAAGGTCTGGTCCGTGGCTCGCATGTGGATGCGCAATTACGAACGACTCAAGCGCAGGTTTCAAAACGGCCTCGACATCCGGCTGCTTTGCGGATGGCGGATAGGTAGGACGCGGTTCCAGCGTGCCTGGGAAGGCCCCTGTTGACACTTGTCGAGCGAAGTCCAAGACAACTCTCAGAGTCTCGGCATCCACCCGCCACAAGCCGACCGTGCCCACCTAGTAAACCTGCCTATTATTATTGTGTTGAGTCTTGAGAACTGGTCATGCGACCCTTCCTCTCAGCAACAACGCGCGAAGATCTTCGGTCGCAACCAAGATTAGGTGCAGCTCAAGATGGTGTTACGATGCACCTTTTGCAGTTCGTGTATGTATTCAGTACAAGTCAGTTAACTACCGCAGAAGCCATGCATTTTCCATGACCAACGGGGCAGCCCCCCCGGCCCGGATCTCCGCAAACTCGGAGCGACCGGTCGTGCTGATCGCTACCGGAGTCCTTCGGCTTTCGTCCGAAGCTTGGTTGACACCTCGGCTTCACATGTCGGAAGAAATATGACGATGTGTTTGTGAGAAGCTATGGAAGTGAAAACAAGGGCTGGGATTAAACTGCTACCAGACGTGCCAGAACTGGGTGTAGTAGGTTCCTGACTTGGAGCTTGCAATTAGTGTCTTAGTTTATAGGTTACTCAAGCTTTGGTATCTAGTTAACACTTAATAAATGAGTAACAAAACTTCAACTAAAAGTTAACTACAGAAGCAATATACAAATTCTCTCCACGTCATAGACTTTTCTGTAAATGCAAAGAGAAAGGGATGAATATTGTCAGGTGATATTCATCTCATAACGCGTGTCCAAACCTGGCTATGATTTTGTAAATAAATACAGAGAGAAAAGCAGCACTCTGTTTTAAACCAATAAACCTCTAAAAAAAATGGCAATGTGACTCTTTTTGCCACTGATAAAAGAAATAGCAACGTCATTCATTATGAAATTGCTAGTGGAAAGCACTGCAATGCACTGCAAAGACTTAACACATTATCAGACTGCCGACTAACGCGCCAGACCGAGAAATCACAGTGCCAAGGTTCGTCGGTCAATCAGCCATCCGGTGGCGAGCTGGCTCAGCTGGTTTATAGGCAACCAGCGTCTGCCCCATTTGCCATCCACATTCAACGGTTTGCAGCTTTTACATCCAACCCCAGATTCATTCGCTTCATCGCAGCCGGGCTGTCTTTCTTTACTTTATCCCCTTTGTAATGGAATCAAATCTACCCACCCGTATCCATGAGGATATTGACCATCGCCAGTACGAGTGCGTCATCTGCACAGACAAAGTACTGCGCAACTCGGAGGTGTGGTCCTGCTCAAGATGTTGGACAGTGACCCATCTCTACTGCGCACATCAATGGCACACACACCAGAAGCAGGAACGCGAAGAACATCCGGATTATGCCCATCCCAATACCTGGCGGTGTCCAGGCTGCAACTCGAGGCTACGCGATGAGCCTCAGTTTTATTTTTGCTGGTGCGGCAAGGATATCGACCCCAAGCCCATCCCCGGGCTTTCTCCTCACACATGCGGACAGACCTGCTCGAAGTCGAGGGCAGGCTGCCCGCACCGGTGCTCATTGATGTGCCACGCCGGGCCTTGTCCGCCGTGCACATTGATGGGCCCGACGCAGTCTTGCTTCTGCGGCAAACACACCGCAACCCGGAAATGCATCGAAACCGACTATCGAAAGAACTGGAGCTGCCAGGATCGCTGCGGTGATCTGTTGCCCTGCGGAGAGCATAGGTGCACCCGGATTTGCCATTCTGGGCTATGCGGCCCTTGCCAAATACCTACGCTGTCCATATGCTATTGCGGAAAGGAGCAGCGAGTGATGCCCTGCGGCAAACGCGATCCCATGGAGTCGTTCAACCACGGACAAGTCAAGCCGCCATTTACAACCGACGACAGAGAATCCAACCCAGACCAGTTGTTCGAGGGCTCATTCCACTGCGGCAACGTTTGCAACCGACCGTTCCATTGCCAACATCATACCTGTCAAAAGGCATGTCATCCGCAAGGGGTACTGGTCACCCACTGCCCTTTTTCGCCAGAGTTGGTTACCCACTGCCCATGCGGGAAAACCACGCTCTTTGAGGTCCTCGCTTTGGTCCCCGAACATCAGCCCCCCCAGTTTTCGTGTCGGGATCCGCCCCCGCGCTGCAACAAGCCCTGCAATAAGGTTATGGCTTGTGGTCATCTGTGCGTGGACGTATGCCACGCCGGCTCTTGCGCGCCTTGCACCCGGTATACCGACATACCGTGCCGATGCGGGAGGGTAACGACCAAGTCCGCGTGCGATCAAGGCGACGTCGCTCAACCTCATTGCTCCCGCGTTTGCAAAACCCGACTCAACTGTGGGCGGCATGAGTGTGGAGAGCAGTGTTGCCCCGGCGACAAGGCGGCAGCGGAGAGGCGAAGACGGAAGCGGGGCGCCAACGGGGGCTACGAGCCGGAGCATATCTGCCTGCAGGTATGTGGTCGCCAACTCAAGTGCGGCAATCACAGCTGTCAACAGCTCTGCCACAAAGGGCCATGTCCTGTGTGTCCAGAGGCCATCTTCGACGACATCAGCTGCGGCTGTGGACGAACGGTCCTACAACCACCCCAACCCTGCGGGATGCGACCACCGGAGTGCCGCTTCCCTTGCACGAGAGCCCGTCCATGCGGCCATCCGTCTGTTTCGCACCAGTGCCACCTCGACGACACGTCCTGCCCGAAGTGCGTATTCCTTACCAACAAGCCCTGCATTTGCGGCAAGAAGATCCTGGGAAACCAGCCCTGCTGGTTCGAGGAGGGACGGTGCGGTCTTCCATGCGGGAAGAAGCTCAAGTGCGGGGCGCACGAATGCAGGAAAACATGCCACAAGCCTGGGGAGTGTGAGGATGCCGGCATTTCTGGCTCACACTGCCCTCAGCCCTGTGGCAAGGTCCGGAAATCGTGCGAGCATACGTGCACCGACCAGTGCCACGCGCCCGATCCTTGCAAAGAGGACAAGCCGTGCCAATCCACGACGTTCGCGACTTGCCCTTGCCAGCACCGCAAGGAGGAGGTTCAATGCCAGGCTACGAACCTCAGCCCCACGCCCACCGGAGTACCAACCCTCGAGTGCGACGACGAATGTCTGCGGCTCCAGCGGAACCGGAAGCTCGCCGATGCGTTAAAAATCGACCCCAGCACGCATACGGACGACCACATCCCGTACTCCGACGGCACGCTCAAGCTCTTCCGGGAAAACGCCAAGTGGGCACAAGAGCAGGAGCGGGAACTCCGGGTGTTCGCTGCCGCGCCGGAGGAGAAGCGCATCAGGTTCAAGCCCATGCCGGCTTACCAGCGTGCGTTTCTCCACCACCTCGCCGCCGACTTTGGCCTGGACACGGAGAGCCAGGACCCCGGCCCGCACCGCCACGTGTGTGTCTTCAAGACACCGCGGTTCGTGTCCGCCCCGGCGAAGACGCTGGGGCAGTGCCTCCAGATCGCGACCACGGCGGCGAAGCTCCGCACCGGCGCGTCTGCCATCGCCGCCAAGTCTGCACCGGCCAGGGGGGGCGCCGCCGCCGCGGACAGCGAGGGGTGGAGCGCGGTCGCCGGCCGTGGTTCGTGGAGGCAGCGGGGGCCGGCCAACGGGGGGCCGACGAGCGGGCAGCGGCCACGGAACGCGTTCGTGGCACTGGAGGGGTTGGAGATGTAGGGGGAGAGTGAGGGGCGGAGAGGGGGGGCGAGGCAGGGTTGCAGTATTAGCTGCACCAATATTAGTATTAGTTAATCTAATCTAAAAAATAAAAAAATAAAAAATAAAAATATAAACTAATACAAAGCTCAGTAGACCAAAGACTAAACTCAAAAGTCTGCCGTTTGGGATGGTGTTGTTGTGACGTCCGGAACTATGGCACGTGACTCGACTTAAACACGTGAGCTATCGCATACACAGCCCTAACCCTTCTAGCCTTCCCCCAACGCCGCCTCTGTTCTCAACGATGATGGCAGTCCGAAGGGCCCGCCACTTTTGGTATTACCTTAGACCAATGCTAACCAATACTAAGGATCCTAAGTTATGCGCCTTCGCGAGGGCGTGGGAGTCTTGCCATTTACCCGTCGCTTGGATCATCACACTATGTTTGGCTTACAGCCGACACATACGGCACATTCTTCGGGACGCCACACATATTCCGTGTGTTTCGTCTTAGTTGAATGAAAAACGAGAAACCTGCCAAATTCCTAGCGCAGGCCGGGGTATCAAGTGTATCTAGACGAAGCTGGAATGAACCACCCGCCCCCCTTTCCCCCACCCCCGCACCGAACTTCAGACATCATGCAACGAGCAGCCCGTAACCAACCCGAGACACTGTCTCGTCTCCTGCCGTGGCACAACAACATTACAAGCTCATTGCTTCTCTCCATCCGCCACTATCCGGTTCATGAAGTCGACAATGGCCTCAAAGTAGCCCTCCTCGACTACACTCGAGTTATGATCGCCGCCAGGGAGCGGTTTCCAGATCTTGATGGGCGCCTTCGACAGGTCGTGAAGGCGCTTCATGTGGATCGGGCTAGGTCACAGAAGTGTTAGTATGAATGCAGACCAGTGTAAGCACCGGTGGACGACGTACGGTATAAGCTCGTCCTGGAGCCCGCTCAAGAAGAGCGTCGGCACCTTGATGGTGGGTATCAAGGTGTCGCTCGGCCAGACCTGGTGGCACAGGTAGGCCAGGTACTTGGCGGGCGGCATAATAGAAGGAATCAATTTGCGCATGCTCAGGAAAGTATTCTCGAGAATCAAGCCGCTGATATCCGCGGAGGCCTGGTTCTTGGCAACGAGACGGATACCGACAGCACCACCCAAACTCTGCCCGTACACGACGATCTTGTGGTCCCGGGTCTCAGCTCGGTCGCGGAGGTAGTCCAGTGCCGTTTGAGCGTCAATGTTCAGGCCGGACTCGTCAGGTTGGCCGGTCGAGATGCCGTAGCCGCGGTACTCGAGCATGAAGACGTTGCAGCCGGAGGCGGCGATCAGCATGCGTGCAATGGGCAGGCGGTGGCCAATGTTGCCAGCGTTGCCGTGGAACATCAGCACCGTCAGCTTGGAGTTCGGCCCACCGCGAGGACCCCGGATGTAGAAGGCCGATAGCTTTTCGCCATCGTTGGTCGGAATGATAAGCTCCTCGTAGTCTTTGAAGTGAAATTGGCTCGGGCGGGGAACGTCGGTGCGGGCGTTTGCGGGGACGTGGGAGGGATATATCAATGCTCTATAGAGGGATATAGCGTTAGAACCAGGGACATCAAACAGTGGATGATGAGGGTGGCGGATATTAATCACTTTTGTTTAAAGTAGAGGAGAGCTGTTAAGACCGCGGCGACCCCCTAAACAAGAAGAGAAGCGGTTAGCAGGCATGGACACTTCAGCTGCGAGTCGAGGCGGGCAAGGAGAATCTTCCAACTTGCCCCCTGGACCAGTCGGCGCGGTTGGCGGCGCAGCCATTCAGGCACTGGGCGGGATACACAGAGGTGTCGGGGCATACAGTAGAAGCTATCGCAGGCAAGCGCATGTAGCCTGCTGCACTGCTCAACAGCGAGCCAGTCTGCTCCAGGAAAGAATTGCTGGCCGACGGGTCGGGCATGGCGTTGCAGTTGGAAATGTTGGGAAAAGGGCGGTAGGCGGAATATAGCGGCCGGGTGGAGGAACCGCGGTTGGTCAGGGATAAGATTGATTGAGATGGAGAAACGAGACGACCAGGTGCGGATGTGAGCAGGGGGGATGGTGATTTGGGGCCCCCAGCGGTGTCACTTTTGGCGGGAAAGCCTAAAATGCGGAGCTCATGCCCAAAGCTTCCAGGTTCTCGCGCTTCTTGATGCAAGTGCCTGCGTGCTGCTGCAGGGAGAGTTTGGGGAAAGTGCAGTGGTGGAAATTTGAATGCAGGTCGAAATGTCCGCGTTGGAGAGGCGGAGCATGATGTAATCGTCATCCAAGCGGATCGCCCAATTCATTTTCCAATCGGCCCAGGCCCGGCCGATCGCGACGCTTTCTCCTCTGCCGTTCTGTGGCACTTCGGCCCCGGTGGAGGTGGCCCGACTCCGGCCACCAGGCCGAGACGGGAGGAGCGGGCCCACGGGACTGCGATCGACGGGATGAACCGATCAGCTGGGCAGACAAAGTATGGCCGCCTTTCCCAGGGAAGCTTAACTCGATCTTTTGTTACTCAAACTATTGATGAATTCAGGGCGCCGGCCGAGCATTCCAGTCCCGGATGATTTTAGCTCGAGCCCTTCGGTCCGCTGGCATTCCATCCTTCAACCAGCACTTTGCCGCTCAAGAGAGACCAATCCGTTCGATAGCAACGCAATCGGCACAGCTTCGTACTCGCGCGCAACCCCGAGCTCTCGCATTGGATCGTGCCGCGTTCATGCACCCCGTCGACGATTGGGGCGGGCCCATCACACTGACCTTCCTGCCTGCCTCGTGGTACGCTAGGCCCGGGCAGGATCGCGGACCATTCGGCTGGATGCTGTTGCGCAAAGTCTGAAACACGAGACGGGCGGAAGGGGGTTTCCAACACCCATCGGCGTGCATTGGGAGAGACCCAAGACCCCGCGAATGGCGATGCGACAAAGCCGTCGCAGGAGTTTGCAAATCCCTAGCCGCTGCTGAAACGCTCTCGAAGCCCTTGGGGAACATGATTCGTTATGCGCCTACGTTGTCTGCCCGGTTCCTGGCCGAACACTGACAAGAAACAAACCCATTTCCTTCCTTCCATCGACAGGAATCCTGGAGAATGGCAGGAATTCCGACAAGGTGGATGATCCCCCTCAAATGACTTGATTGCTCCGTATGACAAGGTGACAAGGCGAGTTCCGGCCACGGCTGTCGGCAGGTTGCCGGCATTTGCTTCTTTTTATAACTGAGAAGAGGACCGCGCGCTCGCTTGTTCCCCGACCAACGAAGGGCGCCTCAGTTGAGTTTCGTGCAAGGATGGTTGAGTTTGTTGTGCCGCACCTCCCCACTCTTTTGAGCGATCGCGAACTTGTCATTGGCAGTTTGGCCGCTTTCCTGCACCAAGCCGGCTGTCTGATGCACGAATCGGGGCGATGGGTTGCTCCCGCAGTCATCCCGTTCTGGCGGGCGCGACCAGGGGAATGGAGGGGCTGTGGCTCGTTGCTGTGGAGCTTTTGCCTGCATCGGCGCCCAAAATCTCCAACCAAAAAACATCTTCAGCTTCAACTTTCTCCATGGCCACACACCTGGAAAGATCTGCTAGTCACCAAACCCTCCATCCACTAGCCAACTGATCGGAGATCCGGCCAGTTCAAATTCAGACCTACAGAGCTAGCGGGTTTCTTACGCGCCGTTAGCTTCCCCACGATTGCACACGCTGCTGCTAGTCAGCTCCTCCAACTCTCATTCGTGCCCAAAGGCGCAGCAACCCACTTCCAGCTTCTCCAAAGTCTCTCTTTCTCGCTCAGCCGCCCACCCGCCGACGGACGACACACAGCCCCCATATCCTAGCTCTCTGTGCCGCCCATACCACACCCGCCCCGGATCAGAGCTCGCCTCGATCGTTGCCTCATCACGCCGTCCTTCAGAAGCCGGGCAACAACCAACTTCTCTCCCGGCCCAAGGACGATTGGCTGGATCGGGCGCTCCGTCACTGCCATCCAGTTGGAAGGCCAGAACCAGCAGTGAGGCCAGCCCTTGGCAGCCACTGTTGACAACCTACCCGCGTCACTTTCTGCACACTGCGCGCCAATTGGGACGAACCGGGAGTTTGGACGAACCATCCCGCCACCACCATGGTTTCCTTTTCGTGCGAGGTGGGTGGTTCCTTTATTTTCTTATGCCCTCGGAGAGAAGGCTGTCTTTCTCTGGCATGGTCCGTTCCTGGGCGCATTTTATCAGAGACAAGCGCATTCTTGAGCGTCCGCGCCTCAATTCCAACGCTTCCTCGACCCCCCCCCTCCACCCCTCCTTCGCTGGCTGGCTGAGTGGGATGTCCGCACCCCCCTCATGACCACCCCCGAGGGCAATCTTAACTGACATCACACACACCTTTTCTGCACACACCCGCGGGTCACGGCCAACAGGTCACACCCCGGCACACCACCCCTCCATCCCGCACTCCCCTTCCCGTCTGATCAAGTTGATCCTCCCTTCTTTGAGTCTCCTGTCACTCTCCCTGTTTCCTCCCTGCGTTGCCACCAGATCGTCTTCACCATATCATCCGACCCCTCCACACGATCAGCTTGTTGTCTTCAACAGCGTCTAACAATCGCTCTCGCATTTCTTCCGCTTAGGGCTGCGGCGACGTCTTGACCAAAAAGAAGCTCGACCCGCATAGGAACCGCTGTCGCGGCGCAACCTTCACTTGCATCGATTGCATGGTATACTTTCCCGGTACAGAGTACCGTTCGCATACGGTAAGACGGATCCGCTGTCGGTGTTTACATGGCCCCGCTAACGAGTAACGAAGAGTTGCATGACTGAAGCGCAGAAGTACCAAGGTGCCCTTTACCGCGAAAAGAAGGGCCAACCTGCATCATTCCCCGCGCAGAACACGAACGCCAATACAAATCATAACGCCATGGCCCATCCGGCGTATGTCGAAGATGTTGCGGAGGATTACGACTCCTGGCGTGACTACGAACAGCGCAGTGATGACGACGACCAATCCATCGCCGACCCTCTTCCGGAAGCACCGACGCCCCCTTCGGCCCTCGAGCCTGGATCGCCACTTAATGTTTTCAATTTCCTTGTCGCCAACCCGACGCCGACCGCTTCCCACGTTTCTCTCCCAGCCACTGCGCCCATCCAGCTCAACGAGGACACACAACTGGTCCGCTTCGACCCCGAGGCCAGTGGTATGACGGAGACTTGCGAGGACGCCGGTACCATGGTCCGGTATGACAGCGCCCAGGTACCAACCCACTTGGAGACCCCCGCGCCAAAGGCAGCGCGGAAGAAGGTGAAGGACACAGACAAGGACGCCAAGAAGGACAAGAAGCGGAAGAGGTTACACATCGAGACGGATCACATCATGACAGATGCGCCGCCGGTGCTGCATTCAGGATTGACGGGCGGCATGAACCGGTTGATGTCCAGACCCACCGTCTTCCCGCCGTCGCCGGATTACTCTGGCGGTGACGTCGCCGAGACGCCAGCCAGCCCGCTCAAGAAGAGCAAGTCGAGACATCGCGGGTCTAGCCGGGCAACCGAGACCCTAGGTAACAGCCTCATGGCCATGATCGCCGCCAGCTCCAAGCCCAAGCCCTCATCCAAGAAGCGTACCAAGTCAAAGTCCAGCTCGACACCGTCCAAGGCAAAGAAGAAGCGCGGCACCAAGGCCCTCGAGGCGCCACAGGAGCAGAAGCTCCTCGAGTTCAGGCCCGGGTCCAAGGACGGCAAGGAGGAAAACGGTACCATGGTCGTGTACAAACCGCGGGCGGAACACTTCCTCAGCTTTGTCAACAAGGGTCCCGAGAGTGAGCGCGGGTGCAGCGTCAACAAAGCTCTGAAGCGGTTCCATCGCGAGAGGGGTGCGTCGGGTGTGCCGGTGACTAAGCTGATGGAGGAGAAGGAGCTGTGGAGGACCCTGCGGATGAAGAAGAATGACCGCGGGGAGATTGTGCTGTTTTGTATCGATGATGAATGAGCCTCCCGAGTCATCAATAAGTAATGGAAGGAAGGAGTGGCATGTGCATCTTGGGAGGGCATTTGGGAGGCTGGGGGAGAGGGGAATACATCGGATGGGAGTTAATGACGGCATGTGGCATGTCTTTGTTCTTTTTTTCCTTTTCATGATACCTTCTGTCGTGTTTGGGCATGTGGGTATATGTGGGCACGAGTTTACCTTTTGGCTTCTTTCTTTTCATCCCAAGGTGCAAAGTCGCAGACTCATCTTGGCGTTTGTACTCTCGCAATTTCATTTGCCTCGGGGGTGCGTTTTCTGGTTTTGCTTCTCATGCCTCCTCATTTCCGTTCCTTCTAGGGATGGAGTACGGAGGACCTTTTGGTTTGGGTGGACTTGTTTTGGTACACAAGGTGTATTTGGAGGCAATCTGCTGGGACTGATGCCGTGCCTTTAGCATCGGCGTTTCCTTGGGTGGACTGGGAGCGAACTCTAAGCGTATGTCTTGTCGTTCATTACCTTGTACACTACCAGCTGTCACTGGGCCAACACTGGTGCAGCTGGGTTTTTCTTTGTCCTTCTCGTGAGGGAATCGAAGTTCCTAGCTCGGTTTCTCCGACCTCGCTTTGCTGTGTAAAATAGGGCTGGCCTTAATATACATTTGCTCGTCGAACTTGATATCCGGTCTATTCATGAATCATCCCAAGAAGTTTATACAGCCTCGACATTGCGTTCACGATTACACTACTCTAAATTATCTCTCCCTATGCAACCCGCAAAGGCAAAATGTGTTGCACCATCGCCTCCCTCCTACACAACGGACACTCGGGCTTCTCCCTCACCCAGTCCCCAATACACGCCCAGCAAAACACATGCCCACACTGTGTCGCGGACGGGTCCTTCAGCTCCTCCAAGCACAGCGTGCACTTCCTCTGCTGTTCCCCCTTGATCCACCCCATGACCTTCTCGCTCGTCCCCAGATCATACCTCGCTCTCCCGGCCCTCGGAACCGGCGTGTGGGCCATCGCGCCAATCTCCCCCAGACTCCGCTGCGACGAACCACTTCCACCCGCACCACCCCCAAGCAGCTCATTATTACTCGTAAACGCATTCTCGTCCATCGACACATCCACATCCGCCCCCGGCCCAAACGCAGCCCTCTCCCTAAACCCCCCCTCCCCGTCCTCACCACCACCAACCCCCCCCTGCCCCGCAACCGCCAACTGCTCCCGCACATGCATCCACCCCTTCACAAGCATCTGCACCACCAACAACACCCCCAACACCTCATACCCAGCCCTCCCGCCCCCCACCGCGCCCGCAGCCGAGGAACCCACCCCATCCTCCACCCTCCGCGTAAACACGTACCGCAGCCCCCACACGCGCTTCGACAGCGAATAGTACGCGCCCGTGAAGTAAAACACCGCCAGCGCGACGGCCTGCACGTGGGCGCCGCTGGTCAGCGGGCCCAGGTGCGCCAGCAGGTACCGCAGCACGCGGTACTCGGCGCCCGGGCGCCCCGATTTGTCGCGCGCTTCATCACGGCCTTGTTTGGTGAGGGTTGCGAGACGGGATTGTAGGCGCGTGCGGAGGATGGTGCGGAGGCGCGGGAGGGTGCGGCTGGCGAGGTATGGGAGCAGGATCGAGGTGGTGATGTAGCCGGCGCGGAGCGGTAGGGAGGGGAGGAGTGGGCCGGTGGTTGTTGGGGGGGTGGTGGTGTCGGTGTTGGTGTCTGAGGTGTGGTATGCGGGGTGGGGTGCGGCGGGAGGGGCTTCGACTTGCACGAGGTCGCAGTATTCTTCGCCGAGCGTGCGGTTGCCGATGAGGGTGGTCAGGCAGAGGTAGAGGGCGTCGGCGAAGGTGCGGGTTTCGGTGGCCCAGGCGTGGGCGGAGCGGGCGCCGCGCAGGCGTCGGTGGAGGTCGCTGAGCTGGTTGGTCAGCACGCCTTGGAAGTAGGCGTCCTTTTGGTGGGCGCGGATGATGTCTGGCGCGGCGGCGAAGGGGTAAGGGGAGGAGGTGAGCGGTGGAGGCGGGCGTGATGGCGGCGGTTGGGAGGCCATCTTGTGTTGGAGATCAGGCGGGATTTCTGAGGATGAGAGTGCTAGTGTGTTGATTGCATTCAGTAGGTAGGTGGTTCAATGGAAGTCTTGGGTCGCGACGGCGAACGTGGTTGTTGTTGCGACCAGCGCATGCAGGTCGAGGTTCGGCCCGTGCAGATGCTCGGCAAGTTAAACAGCTGCAAGCGGGCTGGACCTCGGGTCACGGATGGGCCTCGCACAGGGATCTGGGCGGTTGCATGGCAGGGGTGCCGGGTCGAGCGAGGTGGACTCGGCGGGGGCCAAGCCTGACGTCGTTCCCCAAATTCCCCGTTTTTTTATTTTTCCAAGGGGGGAAATACAGGGGCAGAGGGCGGAAATCAATTCTGGCCTCGACCATGGACGTTCCGGAAGTTCCAATCTCTCCATTTTCTGTCTTTGACATTGGCGTGTTTGACAACACCCCGACAACACTCGTTCCTCCACACCCTCGTACCGTCGACAGCGTCTTTCGATGACGCTGGCGGCCCCAATCCACGGATACAATGGACGGTGATCCTGCTGTCGAGCACCAACTCGACTCGTTCAGTGTGACGTTTCCGCTTCCCTATCGGATTGCCTTTATCGTCATCTTAGGTGTGTTACGAATTCGAGATGATAGAATGACTCTAGATAACCAGAATATTCTAACACGAAACTTAAACCGCAGCTGTCTGGGGATGGGGCTTCAACCTCCACTTCTTGCACCTCCGCCGCATCGATGTGCCCGCCCTGATCCGGTACCCCGGCCGCTCGAGCTCGACACAGCTAACCCACCACCACTCGACCTACCGTCTCGCCTCGTTCCTCTCCATCGCGTCGGGCGCCTCCATCCTCATTTTCTGGCTCTTCACCCGCCGCGACCCGCGCCGGGTAATCGACTATGACTGGCTGCCCATGACCAACCTGCTCGTCCTGGCCGCGCTCTTCTCCATCCCGCTCCGCCGCCTCTCCGTCTCCCACACCGGCCGCAGCCGGCTGCTGTGGACCCTGCGGCGGGTCAGCGTCGGCGGGCTGGCGGAGGCCAAGGACGGCAAGTTCGGCGACATCCTGCTGGCCGACGTGCTCACGAGCTACGCCAAGATCCTGGCCGACCTGTTCGTCTGCCTGTGCATGTTCTTCTTCGGCGGCCGCGACGGGTCCGCCACCGCCAGGCCCGACCGCGGCTGCGGCGGCGCCGTGCTCGTCCCCCTCATCATGGCCGTGCCCAGCGCCATCCGGCTGCGCCAGTGCCTGATCGAGTTTGTGCGCGTGCGCAAGGCCCCGTTCCGCGAGGCTACCGGCTGGGGTGGCCAGCACCTGGCCAACGCCGCCAAGTATTCGACGGCGTTCCCCGTCATCGTGCTCGGGGCCATGTTGCGCGGCCAAAAGGACGGCTCCCCGGGGCTGTACAGAGCGTGGGTTGCCGCTTGCCTGCTCAACTCGTTTTACAGCTTCTACTGGGATGTGGCCAAGGATTGGGATTTGACACTTTTCTCGAAGGACCGCGGCTCGCCGGAGCATCCGTTTGGTCTGCGGCGGACCCTCCTGGTGCACAAACCGGGGGTGTACTACGCTGTCATTGTGCTGGATCTGGTGCTGCGGTGCACCTGGATGATCAAGCTGAGCTCGGACATGGATCGCATCAGCGATTTCGAGAGCTCGATTTTCCTTATTCAGTTCCTGGAGGTGTTCAGGCGCTGGGTCTGGATCTTTTTCCGCGTCGAGACCGAATGGGTTCGGAATTCGACGACCGGTTTGGGAATGGACGACATGGTTTTGCTAGGGGATTACCAGGGTAACAAGTACGAGGATGAGGACTGAGGGTTGGTTCTCAGGCGTTAGGACGGTCTGGCGGTGTTGTGTGGCATTATTGGAAAAGTCGGGCTGTATATTACGGTCTACGTGTGCATTAGAGGGGCGTTTGAAGACTGCTGGCAGAGGTATGGGCAAGATATTCCTATCAATCACGAACTGTAGACTAATATCTCTTCGCGAAAGAATACACACCGGCTTTCGTTCAAATTAATGGTATCAACCCACAACAAGTGCAACCTGTCCTAGCATATATCGCCACGTCCAAAGACGAATTGATCCGCAAATCTTCTTTCGCCATTCACGACAATGGTTCGTTGTCTAGGCTCAGGCCCACGTTTTATCCAGGGCAAACTTGGACAAAGGCGCACGCCGTCTCATGACGGAAGGCGGCGAGGATGAGGAGCGACACACAAAGCAAGAAGTCGGGCCGGAGTGCCATCGAAGGTTCGTCTTTGTTAGGAATTTCCAACCAAAGGACTGCCAACGTGGTTGGTCCCATCGAACCACCCAACCTACTATTCCCACCCTTCTAGTGAGAATCTAGGCCGGCTCGAGGATTGCAAACGTTACAACACCCCTCAACATGACTGCCAATATGCCTCTACCACAGAGCCCAGATATCTCCAGCTCGACCTTGGGGTGGTCAGGACCAGACGCGCCCGTCCATCACCCACTCGCGCCCCCACCGCGCAGAGAGGTCGAGAGGTACGGGAAGAGAGCACTGCCGCCGGTACCGCTCCACAGACATTCTGGCGTGTCTGCTTTCAGCAAGGAAGTGGACGACGCCCTGGCCACTCCTGCGCCCGTGGTCAGTCCTGCCGAGGGTAGTATCTATCTCATGTTCTGTGACGAGCCTACGGATAACGGACACGCTGAGATTACCTACAACCCAGACAAACCTGCAGATAAGCACCTTAAGAAAGAGGGACTGAAGGTCAATACGGCCGGCGTCCCAGGAGCAGGGTTCGAGACGCTTCGATCCCCACAGCCACAGCACAAACTGTCCATCTCCAAGATACAGAAGATGTCGGGCATTAACGCCCCGACCTACCGAGAGACGACGCCGACGGGGCACGATTCTGCGAAGAAGATCCAGAGAGTCACAGGTATTGGGGTTCCTTCAGAGGCTATCCAACAGCAAAAGCGAATCCGGGAAGAGCACAAAATACAGACACACGGCGAAGAAGTCTCTCCTTTGAGCAACAGCGGCAGTGACTACGGCTTAGAGGAGCCTAAAACGGCCGTTTCCGAGTTAGACGGCGATGGGGAAGGGCACGGCAAAGGCTACTTCTCGAGGTCAGGCTGGGGCTATTTTGGCTCCGGCCATCCCTATCGACGGAAGTACTGGCTCAACCGCCCTGCCGAGTCCGCTCCGTCTCGTAAAGCCCCCGAGACCGAGCCGCAGCCCGGAATTGGAACTACTAGGATCGGCTAGGTACGGCGGGTATTCACCGCGACCCCTTCTTTCGCCTCGGCTGGAAAGTGAACGGGCGAGCCCCGGATGGAATTCACCGAGCAAATTCACTCCGGATCTTTACCACGAAACGATAAAGGAAGTTGCACAAGCAGGCGCACACTCGCCGCTGGAGGATAACAGGATCAGGCGGGCACAGCTTGCTACACAACAGTTCCTCCAAGGGAGCAACACAAGCAGCACCGGTAGCCACGGCAGCCCCGGCCCCAAACCACTTCCTCCTTTGCCAGTCCAGCACGGCCACCACCGCCAACCGGGACACTCTTCAGACACCCGGCCTTCAGGCAGCGCCGAACGCATCCAACCCGTGTGGCGGCCCTCCAACCCCCAACAAGAAGCCCCCCGCGCAGTGAGCGCCAGCACCTTTGGACGACACCCTAACCGCTTCCACGCGCAGCAACACTCAACCACGCCATCCCCATCCCCATCCCGCGACCCCCAACCCCCCAGCAAATTCGACTTCGACTCCGACTCCGACACCAACCCCAACACCACCGGCACCCCCAACACCGGCAGCTCCATCCCCGTCTCCATCCCCAGCGACCTCAGCGAGGGCACCACCCCCAACCGGCCCCACCGCCGGCACCGGCACCGCCACAGCAGCAGCGGCGGCGGCGGCGGCGGCGGCATCATAGCCAAGGTCTTCCACCACCACCGCACCTCCGCCACCTCCATGACCACCGCCCCAGGCACGCCCCCGCCGCCCGTGCCGACCAACACCCCGCAGCAACCCTCCTTCCCCCAGGGCACCACCACCACCACCACCACCACCGCCACCACCTACCCCCCCAGCCTGCGGCCGAGTTCGAACCCGAACCCGTACCCGTACACGCCCTCCCAGCCCTCAAACCCAAACCCAAACACGAACCCCGGCTTGGGGGGGCCCAAATCAAAGACGGCGGTTGCTTCCCTCGCGGCGCGCACTACTGGTCTGGTTGGGGCCGCGGCGGATTTTATTCTGGCTAGGGCGGCGGGGGCGGGGACGGAGGAGAGGAGGCGGCAGAGGTTGAAGAGTAGTATTCGGGTGCTGGGGGATGGGGGGCAGGTCTTGAGTGGGGGTGATGGGGATGGGAATGGGAATGGGTCTGGGTCTGGGTCTGGGTTTGGGGTTGGTTCTGGTGTCGGTTCTGGTGTCGGTTCTTCTTTTATGGCGGTGGGTGGGTTGGGTGGTAAGGAGGGGGGTGTGGGATTCAGGGGGAGGTTGGCTTCCGCGCCGGCTGCGCCGTTGGCGTCCTCGACGGTGATGTCGGGAGGGGGAGGGGGACCGATTGGGAGGGCTTCTGACGTGGGGAGGCTGGGACATGGGCTAGGGACGGGTTCGAATGGGAGTTTGGGAAAGGAGAGTCTAGGGTCTGCTGCTGGGGTGAGGTCGGTTTCCCGGCAGGGAGTCAGTTCCCGGGGCAGCCCTGCCCCGCAGGCAGCTCGGGTTTCGAGAGAGGTTAGCCCGAGGGGAAGTCCCCAGCCAAGGGGAATGGAAGGGGTGACATCCCCGAGGCCATCCCCGAAGCCGTCGCCCTCACCTAGACCGTCACCGAGACCTTCACCTAGGCCGTCACCTAGGCCGTCGCCCAGGCCGTCGGCGGAAACAGGTCATGATCACAGAACGGGAGGTCAGGGGTTGGGGATTGGGATGCGCCCGGTGTAGGGTGGTGGAGTGTGGTGTAGTGCTGGAGAAGTCACGGGTTGGTGTTCAGGGGTATTCACGATTTGGGAGTTTAAAACAGACCAAAAAAAGAAGTCAGGCTTCTCTCCTTTACATTAGATATTTTATGTTTATTTTATATCATTCCCAACGTGCCAACCCTTGATTTACTATACATATGTACATACATCCCGTACCGTCCCCCTAAACACCGGATATTACCGGCCTTGACGGTACCCGGTGCTACCCAACGCACCCCACAGGCCGGCCGAGGTCCCGGCAAGTGCCCCGCATCCTGCACCCCAACTGCTCAGCCCTGTGACTTCCCTTCCGCAGCCGGTCTTTGTTATCCGAACGGGTAACTGCACACCCGACCCGTGACCCAACCACCTACAGCGCACTGGCGCCCGAGACCATGAGCGCATCTCTCCCTACCGAGGAGCAACCGCCAGTGCAAGTGCAAGTCGGCTCGCCAGAACACCAGGAAGAAGTCCAGACGGTCATCCAGAGTATCCAAGACGCTCCGGCCTCCGACACCGCTCTTCCGCTTCCGGCCGATTTAGACGGAGAAGCCGCTGAGTTACCCTCCGAAGTCGACGAGGAAGAAGAAGAAGAAGAAGAAGAAAGGCACGAGGGATCCAATTATTGGGATGCATCGACCATGGCTCCGCTGAATGCAGCTTCGGCGGTCAGTACCTCGTCTCTCACCTATCTCGTGTGCTATCCCTAGCTCATGCGCTCCAAGGCCGCCATTGCCCGGCTAAGGGCTTACAAGCCACCACCGTTCCCGCTCTGGGACCGCCTCCCAGTTAGTCGCCGTGCAGCGGTACTAATGCTCCTGTACGCCGACAAACGGGGTGATTTGCGCGTTGTCATCACCATGCGCGCCGCCAGCCTGCGCAGCTTCTCGGGTGCGCACCACCCCAGCCCTCGTCCCCTATCCCTTGACTAACCCCCAGCCCAGGACATGCCGCCCTCCCGGGAGGCAAAGCCGACACCCTAGACGAGTCACCTTGTATGCTCTCTCCCACTCCGTCCCGCCCCTATCTACTCTACCCCTCCCCTCTAATCCCCCTTGATCTACCCCCTAGACCAAATCGCCCGCCGCGAAGCCTGGGAGGAGATCGGCCTCCCCCTCGACGACAACAAGCTCCCGGCGCCCTTCCGCATCGAGCACCTCTGCTACCTGCCCATGAACCTAGCCCGCACCGAGCTCGTCGTGCGCCCCTGCGTCGCCCTTCTCCACACGGGCGACACTGCCGCCACAACCAACCCCACTCCCACCACCACCACCACAACAAAGCCCCCCGCGAGCCCGTCCCCCACGGTAGAGGAGTCACTCATCCCGCGACTCGATGCCAAGGAAGTGGCGGCGGTCTTCTCAGCACCGTTCCACAACTTCCTACGTGAGACCGACGAGGTCCCAGCACCACCACCACCACCAGCAACACCACCGACAACACCAGCGCCGTCGGCATCAACAGCAGCAGCAGCAACAGCAGCAGCAACAGCAGCGCCCGCTGCCGCACCACGACCGCTGCCGGCGGGCAACTGGTACGAGGGCAGCTGGACAACGTGGCACGACTCGCAGTGGCGCATGCACTTCTTCTACGTGCCCGTGACCGACCAGACGGTGGTCAAGCCGCGCGTGCGCGAGGGCGGGCTGGCCGCGCTGTCGGAGGGGGAGGGCGAAGGGGAACGGGGTGGGGAGGAGGGGGGCGGAAAGAATAAAGATGGGGATGGGGATGGGGATGGGGATGGGGCCGGAAAGAAAAAGGTGGCGGGGGGAGGGGAGCTGGAGCGCTACAAGGTGTGGGGCATGACGGCGCGCATGCTGGTCGACGCCGCGACCGTTGCGTACGCCGAGCGGCCCGAGTTTGAGCACAACCGCCATTTTGGGGATGAGGGCATCATTGAGACGCTGGCGAGTATCGGTCGTATGGGGGAGAAGAAGAGGGCGGGGAGTGTGGTGTCGGCCGAGGACTGGAAGAAGGCGAAGGAGGCGGAGGCGAAGAGGGCGAAAGAGAAGGAGAAGGAAAAGGAGAAGGGGGAGCCGAGTAAGATGTAGACTGATCGGTTGGGTTTTGGCTCCGCTGTTTTGAGAAGTAGAATAGAAAGAAGATGCGAGGTAGATATAGGTGTAGACTAGGTGGGAAGGGAATCCCTCTACGGGGCTGCCGGTCTCCATCTTCTCGCCGACAAAATGGTGTGCTGACGCTCCTCAATGGCAGGCCGTCTCCTTGGTCACGGGGGTCTGCCCGCCAAACACGAGGTAGCCCAGCCCGGCGCCCACCGACACCGCGATCATCACCCACCCGTTGTAGGTCATGAAGATGAGCCTGGCCCGTCAGTCTATCTATGCACAGAAAGGGGAACAGGGAAACTTACATGATCATGAAAGCGTAGAAGTTCTGGATGCCGTACAGCACCGCCTTGGTGACGTGGGCTTGCCGCGTGATTTGCTCTCGGTTCTGGCCTGTACGCGGTGGGACGAGGAAGGGGGCTGTCTCAGTAGCTGGTTCTTCAGAATATCGCGGTGCGGACGGTGACGATGATGGCGAGGGGGACCCGGGCACTCGATCCGTAAGTGATGCTTCTTAGCGGAAGAGCTCGCTACACTACATGATTTGGGCATGTATACGATGTGGCATGTGTGCGTGTGCGCTTGATCGACCCTTTTGGGTGGTGATGGAGGAGCGAATAAAAAGGGGGTGAAAGGGGCTAGGAGATAGATGAGAAGGAACAACACTTACGCGGCGCGGTGTCGACCCTGCGGGACAGCTCTGCCTCATACCGCCGGATACCCTCGCGCAGGGCCTCGTACCCAGCGCAGATGGCCACCACGGCGACCAGCGAGACGGCGAGGCTCAGCGTGGACGTGATGCGCCATTGGCGGAAGACGACGCAGAGGTCGGTTGTATCCCATGTGAAGAGCATCTAGGCGGGCGTGAGCTTGGGTGGGTGAAGGGGGAGCAAGCATGGTTGGAGTAGTGGGGGCGGAGTGCGCTGACATTCATGTTGCACATGGGGCCGCTGTCGCCATGGTCGGCGTGGGACGAGTGGTCCATCATGTGGTGATGATCGTGGGAAGAGTGGTCCATGGCGGATAGATGAGTTGATGTTTGGGGCACGCGATGGGAGGGCGAGGGGAGGGTGAAGCGGATGAGCTGTTGTCGCGGTAGCGATTGAGGAATTGAAGTGGGTGGCGCAGCAGTTGGGAATTCCGATGTCAATGTCTACAAAACTACAAAATCACGGTAACTTGTCCTCATGGGTGGTTGTATACTTCGTGGGTGGGTGGTGTTTTGTCCCAATTAAGCTCGCGTGTTCAGGTCCCGGAGTGGGTGGGTGTCGAGCACTCAAGCAGGAGGCGGGCCGCTAAAGAGATCCACTGCGCTGAACTCATTCCGGGAGCGGCGTCACTGCTGCTGGGCCTGCCGGCTCGGCGAGGGCGGGGTCTGTTGGCGGGGCATGAAACAGGTGAGACTGGAAATCGTTTGATGCTGTGAGTTTTTCGGGGGCGCAGTTTGACCAATTCACGGCTAAAGGTCAAGGAAACCCCTAAAATATGACTCTACTTTCCAGGTTGTCTTTCAACACCGATTTCATGTTGTAGGGAGGTAGCTGCTCAGTCTATTCTGTACGACCGACGATACCCGTTCCACTCCGTAAGGGTTGCGGGGATAAGACGCTTACTCGGACCACCTTCAAACATTCAAGCAACTTACAACTTCAACTTGCCGCTAAACAGATCGATCGGGAATATCCTAGTTCTTGAGTCTTTAAGCTTTCAAAATGCTCGCACCGCCAGTAAACCTCCCAAAGTGGTAAGCTTGACACCTTCTGAACCAACTAACACCATCAGAACCCTCTGATTCACCACCACTAACCATGCTCCAGGCTGGAGGAGAACTCCCACCTTCTCAAGCCACCCATCAACAACTACTGCGTCTACAACGGGGACTTTACTGTCATGGTACATATTACATTGCACCCCCTTCCCAGCTCTCACCAACCCTCCCCAACTCTCACCAACCCTCACCAACCTCCCCATTCCCTCCCCTCCACCCACACCACCCAAGCAAGGCAACTAACCCCCCCACCCCAGATCGTCGGCGGCCCCAACGCGCGCACCGACTACCACATCAACCAGACGCCCGAGTGGTTCTACCAGCACAAGGGCGCCATGATCCTCAAGGTCGTCGACGACGGCGCCTTCCGGGACGTGGTGATCCGCGAGGGGGACATGTTCCTGCTGCCGGCGGACACGCCGCACAACCCGGTGCGGTTTGCCGACACGGTGGGGCTCGTGCTGGAGCAGAAGCGGCCCGCCGGCTCGCTCGACCGCATGCGCTGGTACTGCCAAGCGGAGGGGTGTGGTGCGGTGGTGAAGGAGGCCGCGTTTCATTGTACGGATCTGGGCACGCAGATCAAGGAGGCGGTGGAGGCGTTTAGGGCGGATGAGGAGGGCCGGAGGTGTGGCAAGTGTGGCGAGGTGGCTGAGTGGTGTCCGAAGCCGGGGTCGATTCGGGATCCGAATTTGGAGTAGGGTGGTGTGTGTGTTTGGATGGGTGAGGTGGTTGTGGTTGGGGAGTGGGGAGGTGGATGGGCGGGTGTATTTGTGCTTGTTTTTTAGAGCCTTGCTAGCAATCACATTGGTGTGTTGTTTGAGCTCAGGTTTGACTACCGTGCGTTTGCGGCTTCGCTGGCGAACAGAACACTGGAAGAGCCAATTTTGAATGCGCACTCTCGAACCATACTACGAGTTTGTCATCCCTACCTAGTAGTATGATACAGTGATGGATATGAATGGCAGGTCAAGGTCGTAACAAGGCAAAAAAGCTCACCTACTGACCCCATCCGCCGGTCGAATGGGGGCTGCAGGCTACGAAAAGCCTTGTTCAGGTTTTATCTTCGCGAGGGGGGAGTCGAACCCACGGCCTCTTTCGGTTGGCGTTCCAACCGGGTCCCTCCCAATGCCGCTGAGCCAACCGGTGTTGGCTTCAATGGGGAGGGTCGGTGACAGTGTGCGATGCGAAGTTGGTATATATGCCGTGGGCTGGTCACAATTGGCCGGGAAGGAACTTGTAAAGAGTTGAAAAAACTTTGGATGAAAGTGGGCGTTGAGGCAGCCACTTTTCCGAACACTCCGGGTACTCCGGATACTCCGGATATCCCGGATATCCCCATGATTATCCATCTATGTCTATGACAGCGAGGAATGCGCATCACGTCTCGGCATATTCATACGCCCCGGTCGACTCTTCCACGGCAACCTCGATCTTGGCCTCCTCCAACTCCTTGCCGTCGACCCTGATCCCCGCCCGCATGACATCCCCCGGCACGACGGGGCCAACGCCCTTGGGTGTGCCCGTCAGGACGATGTCACCCGGCTCGAGCGTCATAACCTTGGAGATGTCACTCAGGATCTTGGGGATCCGGAAGAGCATCAGCTCGGTCGAGTCGCTCTGCACCACCTTGTCGTTGACGCTCAGGTACAGGTCGATCTTGTGCGGGTCCGGGATGGCGGCCTTGCTGATGATGTTGCTCACGGGCAGGAAGGTGTCGAAGCCCTTGCCAATGTCCCACGGCAGGCCCTTCTTCTTGGCCTCGTTCTGGACATTGCGTGCCGTCATGTCGATGCTGAGGGCGTAGCCTGGTCTCGGTTCAGCATTTCGAATCACGGTCCGGGAAGAATTGCCTCACTCTCAATGGCATCCAGGGCCCCCTGCTCGTCCTGCACGTTGAGATCCCTCACCCGCTTGCCCAGGATGAGGGCGAGTTCAACCTCATAGTGCAGGTTGACGCCTCGAGGACGGATCACCGGACCTTCGCCCGGGAGCAAGATGGACGAATTCGGCTTCTGGAAGAAAAAGGGTTGCTTCGGCCGGGCGCTGTTGAGCTCCGTGATATGGTCCCTGGATGACTGTCAGCCACACACCATCCCAACGCCATCCTAAGCCGCAATCGGGGCAATGAGGACCGAGCATCGACCAATCCAGGTAAGCAAAAAGGGCGACGCACGCATAATTGCGGCCAATGCAGACCACCTTTCCGGTCTTCTTGAGCGATGTCATGGTCGCCATTCCTCTGATTCCTCTCCTGAGTAAGAGTACCATTGTGAAACAATTCCCCCGCGCTGACGGGCGCCGCTTATATTATACTTGTACAACAGGTTGGTGACAAGGTGTAACGTCCAATCCGATCGGGAAGACGATGCAACTCCGGCAGTACGAATGTGGTCATTCTCTCATTTTGGCTCGGCCGACGGGAACACTTTTGGGTGGCCGATGTTGACCCACCAGAGCAGCAAGGGGCAACATGCAAAACAGAGCAACAGACCAGGTTACTGCATAACTATCGTTAAATACCGGCTTTGAAGCTAAAGGTTATAATATAACTATGGGGAACTCCGCAGGACAAGTGCTCAGTATCGGCATTGCTGCTTGCTGCTTGGAAGATCTGCTGGTCTGATTAATTAGGCACTTAGGCTAATAAGCCGCCATCGCCGCCAGACTCAATGCTTGAGCAATTCGGAACCCCAGATCTGGTTGTCTCGTTATTCGCCTTCCATCGATTTTGAACTCAGAAGGCACACGTAAGCGGCAACCCGATCAGATCACGGCAAGCAATCGGTTCCGTGTGTGGCTGTCGTCCGGAGAGTTCGCCGTCGCCGACGCGTTCCAGCCGGACGGGACGAGCGGGATGGCTGAGATGCTGCGGGAATAGAGGGCCTAGAAAACGGTCGCCGAGAGGCATCGGAGAGGCGCTTCCAGGCCTGAAGAGGAGGAAGGAGGCGAAACCGAAATGCGGGGGTCCCACGAGGGCAGGATGCACGAGCCCCCTTGAGTGTGGGACTGCCCTCTGACCGACAAAAAAAAAAAGAGAGAAGTCGATCTATCTGTGAAGGAAAGCAAAAAAATAAAACAAACCATGTAAAATAAAAGCAATCAAAGAGGAAAGATCAAATGAGATGGGTTGAGCAGAATCAAGCAAAATAATCGAGCAACAGAATTCGAATAGAAGAAGTCGAGTGAGGACGGGATACCTTGAGCAGAAATGTTGAATCCAATGTCCAATTTGAGTATTGCCGTTTTTGGGCAGTGGAGTGCCCCGAGCCACGGTCCCCTGTCGGTCCCGATAGCCCCCCGCTGAACAAAGCAGAAAAAGATTCGCGTTGACAGGCTGTCCGTCATAACCTAGTTCAGCCCTGCGGTCACGGGACGGGCAGTTCCAGGTTCTCCGTCGCAACTTGATGTATGGACACCATCCCGTGCAGCACCGCGGGGGAATGTCGGTATGCGCTTTCCTTTAGGTAGCTTACCTGGCACCAGCATAAAATTGGCTGCTCTTCGCCTCACCGAGAAAATCCTCCTCTGTGAAACCATCCATCTCACGCAAGATTCCAATAGGCCACGCAACCTACCACCAACACTTTTAACTGTGCAGCCAGTCTTCTAGACCTTGACACACCCGGCCCGTCACCAGTGGCAACCTCGACGCGTTGCTGTCTCGACTATTTTGAATGATCGCGAAAAACCGAGACGGCCCATCCCAACTTTGGACGAAACATCCATAATGATGGAGAGCATTCAGCTTGCACAGATGCTAGCTGACTTGAGCGACCTGAATGCGGCGGTATGCGAATCCCATACCCACGCCATGCCGCCTTTCGACTTCGTGTAGGAAACCCTGACTAATGTTTTGCTATAGCAGGAATCACAAGCCGCTGTCGCCCTAGTCAACGCGAACAAGTCCATCCCGACATCGTCGCCTGCCGACTCGGCCAGGCAGTCAGACCAACCGCCCACCCGGCCGGCCCTGCGACACCACAAACGCACTGGATCCGCCGGCTCGGCAGCCTCGGCAGGCTCCTCGTTCATATCGAGGACAGCTTCGCCCGCCAAATTCGACAAATACGGTCGGCGCATTCTTACACCGCCCAACACACGCGCGAACTCATCCTACGGCTCCATCCCCGGGACGCCGCGACGAGAAGCAGAGGTTAGCAGGAAATCACCCTTCACCACCACCATCACCACATACCCATCAAGCAACGCTACCATCCCCGCCACATACTCGCTCTCACTCTCGCTCCTCTCCACGACCCCCAGCAATGGCCATGTACTAAATGAAACCCGAAACCAGCAGATCGATGATGACGTGGACCGAGCCAACTCCCTCATGGCACTCTACGAGATCCGCGCGAAGCTGAAGGATCAGGACAACAATCGGAACCTCGGCAAGTTGAGAGAGAAGATTGCTGCCCTGCATGTAAAGCAAATGCAAGGGGAGAAGAAGGATGGCGACCCCGGGAGGGCGAGATTCAGTTATCCCAAGAGCACCTAAGAGAGCTCGTTAATGTTGTAGGGGTGTGGTTATTTGTTACACTTTCCCGGGTCATGTCGGCTTATTATTGGGTTATAAGTAGGGCTCAGCGAGGGTTTGCATGGCGCCGGGTATCATGCATGGAGTATCACGGCGTTATGGATGTACACTAGGTTGGTATAAACACTGTTGAGCCAGTGAAGGGGCCAGTCGGCCCTTGGGTAATTAATGGACGGACGGAAAATGTACGAGTATTCTAGGATAGGCCACTCCATCGTTCTCTCTGCATTATTGCATGGAGAGAGCTGACGTTGAGTTCTGAAGTCTTTGTCTGTCCAGAAGCGATGTGTGCGGAGAGTATAGGCTCAACATCTTTCTGCACTGCTTGCTTTGATGTTCGGACAACAGCCGAATAATGCCAATTCTCTGGATGAAAGCATCAGATACCTAGTATCCATCAGTGCCATCACACCTATCCATTGTTCCCTCAGAAGCACTTGTTGCAGGCAAACGCGGTTCACAACTCATTCTCAGGCGGGACAAAAATCCCTCATTTCCCTCCTGATCCGAGGGTTTGGAGAGCCTCATGATCACCACCACCTACTGTATTTACAGTGTCACACACACCTTCACACATCCGTCCACTGGAGCGCTTCTAGATCATGCACGCGACAACCAAATCGAGACCCCCCGCTATTTCGAACCCCACGCCCTTGCATCCCTGTCACCGCTCTCCGAAGTGGGGTGCAGCAGTCCCGCCCGCCAAGCCTGCCAAGACCCGTCGAGCTTCACATCCATCTCGTCAGCACGCGTCGCTGGAAAGCGCCTCGGCGACAAAACTTTAACCATCTTCAATTTCGACAGGATTCTCCACCACGGGTGAACGACGGGATTAAATCGAGCGACTGCCTCGACGTATTCTCGACGCACCACAGCAAATAGGGGAAGGGTAGGCAAAGGCATAGCCGACCGACAGCCATGGCAACCGGCGTAGACGCGAAGCTCCTGAAGAGCACCAAATTCCCGCCCGAGTTCAACCAGAAGGTGGATATGCAAAAAGTCAATGTGCAGGTCATGAAGAAGTAAGGATTGCCGACCGACACCGACCACGAGATCAACCCCCTGTTCTGACAGCATGCCCAATCAGATGGATCGCCAACCGAGTCACAGAAATCCTGGGGGGCGAAGACGACGTGGTCATCGAGCTGGTCTTTGACCTCGTCGAGGGCGTCCGCCATGTTAGTATCCAACCTACCAACTCCCTTCCCCTCACCCCCTCCCCCGGCCTTTATCATTTGCTGACTTCGACCGTGCGATACCACCACAGCCCGATATCAAATCCATGCAGATCCAATTGACCGGCTTCCTCGACAAGGACACGCCGACCTTTTGCAAGGAGCTCTGGAAGCTCTTGCTGAGCGGGCAGGCCAGCCCGCAGGGCGTGCCCAAGGAGTTGCTGGAGGCGAAGAAGCTGGAGCTGATGCAGGAGAAGGTGGGCAACAGCCAACCGGCTATTATCTCGACACACAGACTGATACCCAAGCAGATGGAGGCGGACAAGGCCGCCGAAGAGGCCCGCCAGCGACGAGACGAATTCGAGCGCCGCGACCGCGGAAGAGGTGGTCGAGGCGGCGGTGGGGGACCCGGCCGGGGTGACACATGGCGTGGAGGTCGGGATGATAGAGATCGGGGCGGGTTCGGGCGCGGGCGGTCCCGCTCGCCGCCCCGCTTCCGCGAGCGTGGTGAGCGTGGTGGAGGACGCGGAGGGCCCCGCGGCGGCGGCGGCGGAGGATGGCAACGGGATATCTACGTTCCCCGCGGAAGTCCACCCAGACGTGGGAGCCCACCCAGGCGGGGGGGCGGTGGGTGGCGCGACGACAGACGTCGCCGGTCTCGGTCCCGGTCCCGCACCCGGTCGGTGTCGGTCCGGTCGACCTCGTCCCGGTCGCTCTCGCGCACGCCTAGCGTGGAAGGGGATAGGCGGTCCATCACCCGGTCACCCAGCCCGCCGCGGCGACGACGCGGCGGACGGTCTCGGTCCCGCACCCCGGTGTCTCGGCGGGACGCGCCCAAGCGGCGCCGGTCCCCGCGCGGCCGGACTCGCTCCGTGTCGTCAGACCGCGGCTCGCCGTCGCCCAAACGCCGTCGCTACTCGCGTTCGAGGAGTCGCAGTCGCGGTCGGAGCCCCAGCCGTAGCGAGAGCCGCAGTTTGTCCCGAACGCCAGTCCGCCGTTACACCCGCTCGGCATCCACATCCTCCTCCCGGTACTCGCGGTCGCCCAGCCGCACCCCACCCAGGCGGACGAGACGCGACAGCCGGAGCGGCTCTCGGGGCGCTGACGCACGTCGGAGCAGAGCCCGAACTCGGAGTGGGAGCCGCGGCGCTAGCCCCGCTGGTTCGTATGATAGCTGGCGCCGCTCTCCCAGCCGGCGGTCTCGCGAGCGAGGCGATCCCCGTCGGCGTGCTGCTGGGGGTGGCGACGACAGCCCGAGGGGCGGACACGGGGCCCGGAGAGCCTCTTCTGCGTCTTCATACTCCTCTACACGGAACAGATCGGCTGATGGTTCAGGCGCTGAGAACAGACCGCGATCTTCCCGTGACGACCCGGCGGCGTCGAGTGCGAAGCAGGTATGTACGTTAGGAAAGGAGGGGCGATGAGAGGCGTGATGGGGATGCGGAACTGACTGACTGACGACTCTCTGTAGGACGCAAAAGCAGCCAGCGAACTCCGCGAGAGGGAACTCAAGGAGAAAATCAAGAAGATGAGATCCTCGAAGAGCGGAGACGACCACGTTGAGGCTAACGCTGCTTGAAGCTCTGCTACTATTCCAGGACGGGCGCGCCGTCTCATCTAGCAAAGAAGGATCATGGCTCTGGGGCGTATCGCACTGGCTTTGGTTGAGGATTGGGATCTGTGAGACCAACCCCTGAACTCCCCCCAAACGTTGCCCGCCAAAATTGTCTGAAGTCTCTCAGGTTCTCTCAGGTCTATAGAATCGAAAGTTATCTTACCTCGACTCGACTGTGAATTCCTCCCTGTCTTTGTATCGTTTTTGAGATCCTTGACGCAACGTTATCGTGCCACCTCTTGAGTTTGTAACGGAAGTACACCAGAAACATCCCATGTTGCTGTTTTGAACAAACCACTGCAAGCTCTCGTGGTCCCATGCAAACGGACTTCCATCGTCCTTTTTATAGTCGGCCTCCAGGGCCCAGTTGAATCGCAGTGGTGGTCGCACAGTGCGGGAAGGTGCCTATTATGCGCTGATTGGCTGGCCCGCCAAGGAACCTTGTCGGACAATTCGAGGTTCGCCCGTCGCGTCGCACTCCGTCATCGACAGCAGGAAGCCGGATAGATTACTTCAACCTCACGGCCACCACAAAATACCTATCTGTTAACAACGAGGAGAACAACAGCATATTTGTCTCAATATGACAGGAAACGTACCTCCTGGTGGCAACACCAAGTCGGCGGGGGCCAATGGCCCCGGCGGCGATGCGGCTTCATCATCTTCTGCAGCGGGAATCCCCTTCTACGAGAAACAGCGGCAGCAGCTAAAGGAGCTGATTTCTCGGAAGAGGACGTTAGAGAAAAAGCTGGTGCGATCCAATCCCTTACTACTCTGCCTCAACCCTCTATTCTCAGACGCAGAGAAAAAGAGAAAACAGCGGGCGAGCCCTCACTAACCGGGGAACAACCAAACAACAACAGAGCTCGATCGAGGACCACATCTCCAACAAAGAATCCGAATACCTCGACGGCACCCCCAGCGGCAACATCATCATCGGCTTCGACAACTACGTCAAGGGCGCCACCGCCGCCGCCGCCCTGCGCCGCAAGACCGGCGCCCTCGACCACAACCGCGTCTTCTCCCGCAGCTCCGTCTCCTACAACACCTCGGCCGTACGCTCCCCCCTTCCGTTCCCCCCCTCCCCTCTCCCCCCAAACCCACCCCCACAACACCCCAAAACACCCCAAAACAAACCACAACAAACCAACCCAACCCAACCCAACCCAACACACACTACCCACCCCCGCTTACTTACTTGCTAACAAACAACCAAAAAACAGGACGCCCAAACCGCAGCCTCCACCCCAGCACACACACCCCTATCCAGCAGCTTCGGCGGCAACGGCAACGGCCCCTCAGGCGCGCCCACGCCGACAAGCGCCGTCAGTGGAGGAGGAGGCGGAGGCGGAGGGAGGAGCGGTGCGTCGACAAAGAAGAGCAAGAAGAACACGCCTGCTGCGAGCGCGGCTGCTGCTGCGGCGGCGGCTGCGGGTGGTGTTGGGGGTGGTGGGGTTGGGAGGGGAGATGGTGGTGGTGGGGGGGAGGATAGTGAGACGGATGGGAGGGAGGCGAAGAAGGTTAGGACTAGTTTTGGGGCGAGGAAATGAGGCTTCTCTTGAGAGGTGGGTGGGTGAGATGGGTTTGTGAGGTGGATGGGTTTGTGAGATGGGTGGGTTTGTGAGATGGGTTGGTTTGTGAGATGGGTTGGAGGTGGAGGGGGTGCTGCTTTTGGGGTTTGGCGTTCTTGGGGGAAGGGTTTGCAGATGGAGGTTGGGACATACCCCTTTGTTTAATTGCGCGTTGGCCGGAGAGGCTAGGGGGGATATGGCGTTTGGGATGTTCTGGGATTTACGTGGGAAAGAGAGGGAGAGGTCGAGGTATAGAAGGCGGTGGATGTCTGTATGTAGTAGGCATGTACTTAGACGGAATTGAGGGTTGTCAACGGCATGTAGTTGGGAGTATGTTTATCCATGCATTCTAGTCCACCCTTCCATCCTCTCACAACCGATTCTATCCAGTTGTGTAATCAACCCCCTTTACGCCCTCCATCCATCTCCTGCCTATTCTGGCTGCTGTGCTGGATGGAGCTGCCCATCAAGGTGCGGGGCCGAACTGTTTGGTGCCCCTCACCAACTAATTTCGCCTTCCAGAGCTGACACCTGCTCAACACCATCCCTCTTCTCACTCTCCCCGAATGATCCTCAATTTTTATCATCATTATACCAGGTCATTTATCATCATAATCTCTAGCTCATAGTCTCGTCATACCCAAACCGAGCCACGATGACGCTCACGGCCAACAAATTCACCCCCGAGGTGATGCTCTCGGCCCCGAGACGGTCGGCAGGAGTGCCCAATCCGTCGGGGAAGCTGGTCTTGTACACGGTATGTGGCTGGGTAACCCTTAAATTCGAATGGACAGACCATCGACTGACTTACGCAGGTATCTACATACTGCTTCAAGGAGCACAAGAACACGTCCCAGATCAAGGTCCTCGAGATTGACTCCGGTAACTCGACCACCGTCTTCGAGGGCCCTGGCGCGAGCGAGCCTGTCTGGCTTGGGGATAATGACGTCCTCTATCTCAAGAGCGGAGACAATGGCAGCACCGTACTGATCGCTTGGGCTGATGGAATCGAGTAGGTTATCCCCTACCCAGTGCTGGCTTGTTCACGGCCCTAACCATTGTTAACAGGCCATATGAGGTTGGATCTGTCAAGGGTCCGATCTCCAATGTGAAGGTCAAGCGGCTCCTAGACGGCACCGTGGCCTTTGCCTGTTCGGCTGTGACGACCCCCCATGGGAAGTTGTGCAATCCCGAGACGGAGAAGAAGCCGCAGTCTAGTGCCAAGGTCTATACTAGCCTTTTCGTCCGCCATTGGGATGCCTGGAACACCAACAACGCTAGTTCCATCTTCTACGGTGTCATCGACAAGAAAGACGACAAGTATTCGCTCCGAGACAACACCCTCCACAATGCCCTGGCCGGGACTAAGCTCTCCTCGCCCGTGCCGCCCTTCGGAGGCACTAGTGACTTTGATATCGGCCCGTCAGGGTTGGTGTTCGTGGCTAAAGACCCAGAGCTCAACGCGGCCATCTACACCAAGACGGATCTCTACTTCATCCCCCTGAAGACCTTCACCGAGTCCAGCCCGCCCTCTCCACAAATCGTCAAGACGCCCGGTCTCGAAGGCTACTCTAACAGCCCCGTTTTTTCCCACTGCGGTCACAAGGTCGCCTTCACTCGCATGCGCAGCAACCAGTACGAGTCCGACAAGCCGCGCCTCCTTCTCGTCCCCGACATCGCCCACCCCGACAAGACCGAGGAATTCTACGCCACCCAAGACGGAAACGGTGGCTGGGACACCCGCCCAGAGTCCATCCTCTGGAGCCACGACGACGCGAAACTCTACGTCACCGCCGAGGACCGCGGCCGCACCCTGATCGTCGAGCTCCCCTCCAGCCCCTCCAAAACCGGCACCGCCCTCCCCACCGCCATCAAAATCCCTAACGGCAGCGTACGCGCCTTTTACCTCCTCGCTGACCCTACCAACGACGAAGAAAAAACACAAACCCCCAAAGGCCACCAACTCTTCATCACCACCACCTCCCTAATCGACAACGCCTGCTACTCCATCACCAACCCCACCACCTCCACATCCACCACCATCTTCTCCGCCTCCAAGCACGGCAAAGCCTTCAACCTCTCCCCCCACTCCATCTCCACCATCACCTTCCCGGGCGCCGGCGGCGCCTACGACATCGACGCCCTCGTCGTGCGCCCCTCCAGCTACTCCCCCTCCGACCCCCCGCACAAGTACCCGCTCTGCATGCTCATCCACGGCGGGCCCCAGGGCGCCTGGCAGGACTCATGGTCCACGCGCTGGAACCCGGCCGTCTTCGCCGAGCAGGGGTACGTGGTCGTGTGCCCCAACCCGACCGGCAGCACGGGGTATGGGATGGCGCTGCAGGACGGGATCAAGGGGGAGTGGGGCGGGAGGCCGTATAATGATCTGGTGAGGTGCTTTGAGTGGGTGGTGGAGAATTTGGCGGAGGTGGATGGGGCTAGGGCGGTTGCGTTGGGGGCGAGTTATGGCGGGTATATGATCAGTGAGTTTTTCCCGTTCCATGGTGTTGGTTGGTTTGGTTGGTTTGCTGATGAGTTTGGGGGGGGGCAGATTGGATCCAGGGCCACCCGCTGGGGCGCAAGTTCAAGGCGCTGGTGTGCCACGACGGCGTGTTCAGCACGCTGAACCAGTGGTGCACCGAGGAGCTGTTCTTTCCCATCCATGACTTCGAGGGTACCCTGTACGACAACAGGGCGTCTTACGAGAAATGGGATCCTGCGCGCTTTGTGGCCGACTGGGCCACGCCGCAGCTGGTCAGTGTCCCACTCTCTCTTAATACTTTGTGAGGCATGCTAATCGTAGGGCGTGTCCACATGCAGACCATCCACAGCGAGCTGGACTACCGCCTGCCCATCACCGAGGGCCTGGCCGCGTTCAACGTGCTGCAGGCCAAGAAGGTGCCGAGCAAGCTGCTCATGTTCCCCGACGAGAACCACGTAAGTTTGTTCTGTCACATCCGAGATTCAACAATGAGTTTGGCTACGGTTGCTGACCCTAGGAACCTTGCAGTGGGTGCTAAAGCACGAGAACTCGCTCGTCTGGCATCGTGAGGTGATCGGCTGGATTAACAAGTATTCGGGCATCGACGAGGAGCAGAGCCTGGCGGAGGAGACGGAAAGGTTGAAGGTATGAGTGGGCTGACCTCAGAGCGGGAGCGCCCGGGTTAGTGGTCTAGTTTAGGTTTTTGTCTAGTTAGGGTCCTTGTTTTCGCCGATATGGATGGACATGTTCTGCAGGTGTAATTAAGGATGATGTGGATGGTAAGGATGGGCTAGTAATTGTCAATTGTGATGGCTTGATCCATGTTTTTGAAACCTGTGAATACGAAAAGGGGTTGGTTGCATACTTCCTGCACAAATTGTTGATGTGAGATGTTAAAGACATGATGACATGCATGGAGGGTTACAAACAGTCAACAAGAAAAACCAACATCGCCAACGAACACAGACATGATCTAAACTAGTTCGATTCAATCGCTATCTAATCAGGCCTTGCAGCTGTATGTATCCTACAGCCACCTACACGGTCCACCCAACTATCCCCAAACCCACACAAGGCAACGACGACAGCGCCTAGTCGCTTGTCAATCCGTCCTCCAAACCAATACACTCATGCAAAACCACTACCACAAACAATAACCTAGCCATCTCCCTCGCGTTCCCAACGAGGACGTACCCCATCACCAACAGATTTTGTCCCAGACCAGAACTAAGCCGTCCAACAATGGTATCCCCAGTTTCCCGGAGCGCCAAACGCCACTCGGTCGTATTGACGACGACCGAGAAAGAAGAGAGAGAGAGTAAACAAAGACCCGATGCCCCAACACAACAGCGCCACCAGCCAGAAATACCAAGGAATCTATGCAGTACAACAACAAGCCAAACCCGAAGCCAACATTACAGGTGCCACGCCGTTCTTTTTAGGCATCGACCATAGAAGAAGACCCCTACGCCTCCACGGCCACCGCGGCAGCCGACTGCACGGCGCTCTCGGGTTGGTTTTGGTGGGGCTCGCGGGCAGCCTCGCCGCCGGCCTCGCGCTCCGCCCAGTCTCCCCAGAGCCCGCGCTTCCCGCGGACGCGGATGTGGCCGCCGAGGGCACCCTCGGGCTGCTCAACCTTGATGGCGTCCTTGGTGGCGAGCACCAAGCACTCAAAGAACATCTTGGTGGCGTCGGCTTTGGAGGTCTTGTGCTCGGGCAGCAGCTCCTGGAAGATGACGGCCGTCTTCTTGCGCTTCTCGGGGTTCGTGGCGGCCTCGGCGCCGAACAGGTCGCGGAGAATGTGCACGGCATGCTTAGTGCCGATGGACACGGGGCCGCTGTCGGAGGGGTGTACAATCGGCATGGTGGTATCATCGAAATTAGGCATCGGGCTGGAGGGAGCACCTCCCCGCGAGTCGGGTCGCTCATTCTCCTCTTCGTCGCCGTGCAGGACGACAGTGTCATCGGCGGGGATGTCGAGTACCGTGCCGTCCGCGGCGATGCTCTGGTTGCCGGCAATGGACCCGTCGAGGCCGAGCACCGTCTCATCCTCGGGAAGCTCTAGACGCGGCGACTTTGAAACGCCCTGCTCATCCTCGCTATCCAGATCGGCAACGCCGCTGTCCCTCTTCCGCTTCAGCGCGTTAGGTCGGATAGATCCGAGAGACAAAAGGCCCTTCAGCTCGGGGGCCCAGCCATTGCTGCGGCCCTCGAACAAAACGTTGTTGACAAAACCGCCGTTCTTTTGTAGGTCCATCAGGCCGACGATATACGGATCGTGCGTCAGGAAGGACTGCGGCTTGAGAATGTTGTCGCGCTTCGCTTGCTGTTCCTTGATCTGGGCGTTGGACAGCATTGTCTGGTCGTCTGGCTGGAGCAGCTTCTTCTTCTTCTGTCGCTGAGGCGCCCGGATCATGGATGCTGTCGGGTCATCGCCCGGCTCGTACATGTCGGTGTTCATGTGCCGGCTGTACTCCATCTCGACCTCCTTGGCAAAGTCCTCGTCAATATCGGACAGCGGCGACTCGGAAATGCGCGCACGGCTCATGTCCGGGCGCGCGGCCCCGGGCATGGCGGACTCGTCTCCGACGTTGAACTGGAGATCATCGTCGCCCATTTGGATATCACCCTCCCCATCGGCAATCTGCACGCCATCGCCGAAGTCCAGATCGAGACCCAGGGATGGCTCACGCGTCTGGCGGTCCTTGCTCGGGCCGCCCATATCCAGCTCGCTGAACATGTCCTCCTCGACCGGCCGGGCGGCCGGCGCATCTCTGCCAATTTCCACGCTCTTGTCCATCAGCTTGGTCGGACGCTCATCGATATCCATGCCGAAGTCCAGCTCCAGGTCGAGGTCGTCCATGTTCGCGAGGGCCAGCTCTTCATCGTCCCCTGTAGTATCCTGCAGGAACTGGCTGTTGTTGAAGTCCTCCTGAAGGTTGATGTCACGGTGGCTGGACCTGACGGCAGCCTTGCGGGCGTTTATCGGGCTCGCCGTTACCTCCTCGATTTGCGAAGCAAGAAACTCGGAGCTCGGCGGTGGGAGCAGGTCGAGGTTATCATATGGCGTGATGGTATCGGGGAGCATGAGCGCCTCCTTGGCGGTTGGATGTAGATTTGTAGGAATGTCATGGTTACCGGTTGATCGGAAAGCCTAGGCGCGTCAATATGCAACTCGGGAAAGTGCATTTCGCGGGGCAAGCCATACCATCTTAATCTTGATCAGAGCTTCATTGCAATCGTCGAGGAGATAACGCGCCTTCCGGCTATAGATGCGGACGACGCCGAGCAGCAGCTGGCCACTCAGGCGGAGAGCGAGGGGGGCGTCATTGGGGGCGATGATGGCGTCCACGCTGTCTTGCAAGTTGTGCTGCAGAATCTGGACCTTGGAAATCTTGCGCTCTTGGTTGGCGGAGAGCCATGCCTTGGCCAAGGGGCCGGTGGCACTGAGCAGTGTCCCGGACCAGAACATGACGGCGGCGACGGCGGTAACAGAAGCAAGATGCGAGGGTCAATGATAGGGGTGTGGTAATATGGCAATTGTCGAAAAGTTAAATTAGCGGAGATGTCCGCGCGCGATAGGAGGGACGCGACGGCGGGGCAGCTGAGATGGCGGGCGGATTGTCGGGAGGTGGAGAGGTAAACACGACAAGGCGCGTTGCGTTGTTTGGGGCAATGGCGTCGCGCTGGAGCAAGTTTCGCCACACGGCTCAGGGCAACGCGCAAATTAAGGAAACCCGTCGAGGTTGTCACTAATAATCGGTTTGGGTGGTGCAATGGGCATCGGAACGGATGCGGGAGCAAGTAAGAAACGATGATTGAGATGGGGGAGGGTCGAATTGGAGGTGAAGAGGGAGGGATCTGTCGGCTCGGATGGAGGGACGGCGGGTGGGAACAGCAACGAGCTTGAGCGAGAAAATCAAGCCCCTGCGAAATTTGAGAGGCTGGGGTGCCCCACCAGCCACCGAGTCGGGTTCAGGCAGCATAGTCACGTGAAACGATATCCAGAGAGAGCTTTGCGTAACCAATACCCGAATTACCATTCGTTACGAGATCAAGCTTTCGGGTGCGTGCCACTTGCCTTCCGCAAGCGAACAACTGTCTCACATTAAGCAGTTAGTTTTAACGTTCTTCAACAGACTTTACCACAGCTAGAGTTGGTGGCGAGTCTTCGTGACCATCGTGCTGGAGAGGGAATTATGGAATCATTTGCGACCCAACCAGCTTCTGTTTTCCCCGATCTTGTATGACGGGCTGAGCTGGGCAGTTGTATTTAGCAGTAATAGGTTACACTTCTTTAGTTTGAATACTTGTCCGGAACAGTGGCGTCTATGGTATACAACGGAGCTATCGTGTACGAGGATGCGATATACCGCAAATGTAGCGATTCGCTCTGTTTACCATCACAATCACGATCATTTCAACAAACTTAGGGCGGTTCCCATCATCGCGGTCTCAAGCTCAAGTGCTCGGCAACTCTCGAATTGAAATGCGGGACCTCGAGAAGATGCCAAGCCACATGGCACATGGCGCATGGTGCCTGGCCCGGCGCCCCTTCTGCACACACCCCTGTTTGCAGGTCGGCGCGGAACAGGGAATGGCAAACCTTGATTAAAACACGTTCCACGAGCGACGTCTCGGCTCGGTTCATTGTCCCCTTCAGGTGTCCACCTCTAACGCTCGACCAGGACCTCGAAACGGGAAAAAAGTCACCTGCGCCGGTAATGGTGTTGATTCCTTTCTGATGTATTGATTAGAGCTCGGATATCTATTCCCTTTTTCTTTTCAGTTGTGTTGTCTCTGCCGTCGATCTTCCGGGCCGCTGCCGCTGCCCCTGCTGCTGTTGCAGCCATTGATGACGTTCGGTTCGTCCATCGACTCCCGTTCGGGGTCCTTTGCGCCCACGTCCTGCGACGTCGCTTGCCTCGTTCACGGACTCTAGGATGGATCGATTCACGCGGAAAGATAGCGGGGATGCCCTGCCGATCTACCAAAACCCCCAAGAGCCAGGGTCAGCAGGGACCCCTATCGAGTTGGAGCGTTCGTGGTCTGCTTCGCCAAAGATGAGCCCTCGACCGACATCTGCGCAATCAAGAGTACGGTTCATGGCAATGCATACTAGTGAGCAAAGACATGCTAATTGGCCTCAACTAGACCGTGGCCGATGAATACTCGTCTCTGACGCCGATCGAAGTCGCCTCACGGCTGAAAACGTCGCTCACCCATGGCCTCACGCCCGCCGAAGCCCTCTCGAGGTTACGCGACTACGGTCCGAACGAAATCCCGCACGAAGAACCCGAGCCGATATGGTTGCGATTCATCAAGCAGTTCCAAGAGCCGCTTATACTCCTCCTCTTGGCTTCTGCCGGCGCGTCGATCGTGGTCGGGAATATGGATGACGCCGTGAGCATCACGGTTGCTGTGACCATCGTGGTTAGCGTGGGCTTCGTACAGGAATATCGCTCCGAAAAGTCGATTGAGGCGCTGAACCATCTCGTTCCGAACCATGCCCACCTCGTGCGGAAACAGGCACCCAACGCCTCTCTCGGCGGGCGCTCGCCGAATTGGCCAGGCGACAAAACCCCCGACTTTCCAACATCCGGTTCGGTCACTCCCGAAGAAGAGGTGCTGGAGGCAACGTCGTCCAAGGTCATGGCCGCGCAACTGGTACCAGGGGATCTTGTCCTCTTCACCACCGGTGACCGCATCCCCGCCGACATTCGGGTAACGAAAGCCGCCGATTTGACCATCGACGCCTCGAATCTCACGGGCGAGAACGAGCCTGTAAGGATCACGGCGAATACCCGTCCGCGTCGTGCGATCGGCGTCCCTAGCTATGGCAATTCCACCTTGCAATTGCCTCAGCCGTCCTTCGGCGGAGCCACCAACGGACACTCGGCGGGACATGCGAAGGTGGACCATGACGGGCCGCACAACATCGCTTCCATGGGAACGTTGGTCAAATCCGGGCATGGACAGGGTATTGTGTTTGCAACTGGCGGCGATACACACTTTGGTACAATCGCAGCCAGCGTGTCCGGCACCGAAAGCCCTCGCTCCCCGCTGCAAATGTCTATGGATGACCTTGGGTCACAACTGAGCAAGGCATCTTTCGTCATCATTGGGCTGATCTCGCTCATTGGCTGGTTTCAGGGGAAGAAGCTACTCGAAATCTTCACCATCTCTATTTCGCTAGCTGTAGCGGCGATTCCGGAAGGCCTTCCCATCATTGTAACCGTGACCCTTGCCTTAGGCGTCCACCGGATGGCCAAGCATAACGCAATCGTCCGGAGGATGCCCAAGGTTGAAACGCTAGGATCCGTCAATGTCGTTTGCACGGACAAGACAGGTAAGCCAGGCAGTTTGGTTGGGGAGAACTATGTGTGTTAATACGAGTTCTAGGTACCCTGACGACGAACCATATGACGACGGCCAAGATGTGGTATTTTGGCACGAACGATGCCGTTGATGTAGAATCCGATGACGAGGCAACCGAGGCCAAGCTGGGCCCTGCTGCGCTGAGAATCATGCGGATTGGGAATATAGCTAACAATGCGCGTCTCGCCCGTAATTACACCGAGAACGGCGCGGCCGCGAGAGCCGTGCTCTCCTCCACCCAAAATAGGGGTCATGCGTCAACATACACGCGTTGGGTTGGTCAGCCTACGGATGTTGCCATGCTCGACCTTCTAGATCGATTCAAGGAGCATGATGTCCGTGATTCTATCGGGCCCCGGGCGACCGAAACGCCGTTTAGCTCCGAGCGCAAGTGGATGGGTGTCACGATTGGCTCCGAAAATGGCAAGAACGACAAGGAGTTTGCGTACATGAAAGGTGCTATCGACAAAGTCCTCGACGCTTGCGATACCTATGTCACTAAGGATGGCAGGGAGATCGTGCTGGACTCGGCGCGGCGGCAGGAGGCTTTGGAGGCGGCCGAGCAGATGGCATCCACGGGCCTTCGAGTTTTGGCTTTTGCCAGCGGGCCCGTCTCAAAATTCAGGAATAGCAAACATACTCCTAGGAGTAACACTCCCGGGTCAGACAGGGCTGATAGCCCCATCCATCATGGCGTTGAGGAGCAGTACAAGGGCCTCAGTTTCGCCGGTCTGGTTGGGATGAGTGATCCGCCTCGACCGGGTGTCGGACGCTCCATCAGAAAGTTGATGCGCGGGCGCGTCAAGGTCATCATGATCACTGGCGACGCCGAGACCACAGCCGTTGCTATCGGCAAGCAGCTGGGCATGGCGGTTGCAACACCCACTGCGCATACATCAAACCAAGTCACCATCAGGTCGGTCCTTCGCGGTGATGAAATCGATGCCATGTCGGACGAGGACCTGGCAAGGGCAATGGAGCACACGACAATTTTTGCACGGACGAATCCCGACCACAAGTTGAAAATCATCAGGGCGCTCCAGTCCCGCGGCGATATTGTCGCCATGACGGGCGACGGCGTCAACGATGCGCCAGCTCTCAAGAAGGCCGACATTGGCATCGCTATGGGCATGCACGGCACCGACGTTGCCAAGGAAGCCGCCGACATGATCCTCACCGACGACGACTTCTCAACCATCCTCCACGCCATCGAAGAGGGCAAAGGCATCTTCAACAACATCCAGAACTTCCTCACCTTCCAACTATCCACCAGCGCCGCCGGCCTCTCCCTCGTCCTGATCTGCACCGCACTGGGGTTCAAGTCCCCGCTCAACGCGATGCAAATCCTCTGGATCAGTAAGGCCTCCACCCCCCCCCCCCCTTACACCCATCAGCTAACTCTCTCCACCCAGACATAATCATGGATGGCCCCCCCGCGCAATCCCTCGGCGTCGAAGCGGTCGACAAGGACGTGATGAACCGCCCCCCGCGGCGGCGCGGCGACGCCGTGCTCACCCGGCGCCTGCTCGCGCGCGTCTTCACGCAGGCGGCCATCATCATGGCGGGCACGATGCTGGTCTACACGCGCGAGATGCTCGGCGACGGCAAGGTCACCCGCCGCGACACCACCATGACCTTCACCTGCTTCGTGCTCTTCGACATGTTCAACGCCCTCACCTGCCGCTCCGAGAGCAAGAGCGTCCTGCGCGGCGAGGTCGGCCTCTTCAGCAACCTGCTCTTCAACTGGGCTGTGGCCGGCAGTCTTATGGGCCAGCTGGCGGTTGTGTACCTGCCCTGGCTGCAGGAGGTGTTTCAGACGGAGGGGCTGGGGTTTAGGGATCTGTTGGGTCTGTTGATGCTGTGCAGTAGCGTGTTTTGGGCGGATGAGGTGCGCAAGTGGTTGAGGTATGGGAAGGGGAGGAGGGGGGTGTTTGTGGGTGGGTATAGTCAGGCAGTTTAAACCGGTTATAAGGGGGTTGTTTGGTGGCGTAGGGTTGGCATTGGTTAAGCTGGAGGAGTATGAGAATAGATGTGGCCTGGGCTAGACGGGTTGGTGGAGTTCACGCACTTAATGAATGTATCGTATCAGTGTGTTGGGTTTTGCACGTACAAACTACCTACCTCTGTCTTGCGTTGTACACACACGGTCCCATATTGGGGCAACCGAGACAGGTTCGCCCAAGCGTATTACCCTTAGTTCGCTCCCTGAAGACCTGCAGAGACTGGAGAGAGGTGTGAGTTATTCCCCTGTGGCGAAGACCTTCCATGGCGTTGTGGGCCTCGGCGCGGCCCGGGGCGGGGCACCGCGGGGAGTGGAACCATCTCCAGAACGAGACTCCACACCCGAGACCATGTATGTAAGTCCGTCCTCGCCAGGCACAATCACGACGACGGCGTCTCTTCCCACCAGTCAAACACATCCTAGGATTTTTACCCAGCAACTTCTCGAAACAAGTCTATCAAAATCTAAGCGCCGCCCGTTCAGCTGAAGCCCAATAACGCCTGCCAAGACCACCGAACCAACACCTCCAACCCAGCCTCATTCATGCAGCCCGGGGGGTTACAGGGGGTTCCCGCTCCAAGCCTCCCCCGCCAACAGCGGGATCACACACCGTGCCCCCGTCCCTCCCTCCCTTTGGAGTGCTCCCCCACAGCTTTTTCCCGGCCTCTGTACACCGGCAAAGACTCCGGATAGGCTGTGCAGCATCGATCACTCACCCCTGGTATGTATGTACATGGCTGCAGTCCCCGACCGGCCGCTGAGGCCCACAGCGACGGCCGTCTCCTCCTCGCTTAACTACCCCCTTACTCAACTCAACCAACCTTGCCTGCCGGGTATTCCATACATACATGCAGAAGCAGTTGGGGCGAGGTGATGCCGTGAGGCCTACCGTAACCGCCCCTCCGCCCTTGACCGGCAGATCGCGGGCGGGCGGCCGTGGCGGTTAGCGCTGCGGTGTCCTGGGTTGTTCTGCCTTTTGTGCGGAGGTGTTCTGCCTTGGTGGTCTTGCAGGACGCCTTGCGGTTGGAAGTGGTTTCCTGTGTTTCGTACATGTGGGAGGTGTGGGAGGGGTAGTAGGTTGGAAAGTATAAGAATGGGGTAGGGGCCCCGGTGAGTTGATGGTTATGCACTCGTTTGCTCATGAGCAGTCAGTCTATCGTAGTCTTCAAACGAGATAGCCTTTTGCCCGAACTCCTGTGCTTGACTTGCAGCTGTGGACTTTGGTTCTCGCCATAATCTCCACCATGGCACACGATCCCCAGGATCGGCAGCACGACAACCTCGTCAGCGCTTCCCTCCTGCGGAAGATCGATAAACTCCGCGATAAGAACATCGGCAAGCATGTCCCGCTACCTCAGGTGTGTTCTCTCGCCACTCGAAAGCCCCGTGCTGCGCTAACCAAGTATCAAGCTCGTCGTCGTGGGCGACCAGAGCTCGGGCAAGTCGTCACTCCTGGAGAGTTTGACGGGCATCCCTTTCCCGCGAGACGTAGAGCTATGCACGCGCTATGCGACCCAAATCACCCAGCGGCGCGATGATGTCTCCCGCGTTGAGGTCAGCATCATCCCGGGCCCGAATGCCTCGGACGCGCACAAGAGGCAGGTGGAGGGATATCGCACGGATGCGCTCTCTCCTGACGACTTCCGGCGGAGGTTCCCGGGCATCTTGCATGAGGTTCGTGCTGCTCAACAGATGACAGCCAAGGGGATGTAGACTGACACCTTGGATAGGTAAATGCTAGGATGGGTATCCGAATGAGGCCCAGCTCCGATTCCGGCTATACGTCCGATGAACACTCGGAAGGCTACACGTCCGATGACGGTTTCGGCCGACGAGCGCTAGTCACGACGCACACAGCTCCGCAGGTCGGCAGCGTTTTCAGCGAAGACGTACTCAAGATCGAGATCTGCGGCCCGTCGGTCGACTACCTGACCGTGATCGACGTGCCGGGCATCTTCCGCACGCCAACGGAAGGCGTCACGACCAAGGAAGATATGGTCATGGTCAGGAATATGGTGCGGTGGTACATCCAGGACAGCCGCACAGTCATCTTGGCTGTGCTCCCCTGCAACATCGATATCTCCAACCAGGAGATCCTGACCATGGCGGAGGAGTTCGACCCGAACGGCGAGCGCACGTTAGGCATCCTGACCAAGCCCGACCTGGTTCCGGAGCAGAGCTCGAAGATGGCGGTCTGCAATATTGTCCGTGGCAAGAAGAAGCAGCTGAGGCTGGGGTACTACGTGGTAAGAAGCCGCGGTGCAGACCAGGGCGATGGCGACTTTGGGCGCCGGGAGGACATGTTCAACCAGGCGCCGTGGAACACCCTTCCGCCCGAGAGGGTTGGCGTCCGGGCGCTCAAGGCGCGCCTCGCCGAACTGCTCGGGCACATCGCTCGGCGAGAGTTCCCGAAACTGCGAAAGGACATTAACGACATGCTTCGAGATGCAGAACGGGAGCGGGACGCGCTTGGTCCGTCCCGAAAGGATGAGCACGAGCAGCGCCGGTTCTTGAGCGCCATCGCCGGGAGATTCCAAGACCGTGTGCGACAAGCGCTCGAGGCACAATACGCTGGCGAGAACACGTTTGAGAAATCGATCCATTTCCGTCTTGTGACGCAGGTGGTAAACCTCGCCGATGCTTTCAGTCGGGAATTCGAAAACATGGCAGTTCTCCGCAAATTTGAGACCAGTGAGGAGAAGGAGGAGGAGGAGGAGCATGTTCCACAAAGCGGCTCGGACACGAACGTTATTCTGAACTTCGCTCAGGCCATTGACCCAGAAGACTATCCCGAACTTGAGAATATCATCAGCCACGAGTTTGACGTCGACGAGCCGATCGGGGGCATCATGAAATGGATTGTCGAGCTCTACACACACTCTCGGGGGATGGATCTCTGCACATACAACCCCGCTGTCTGGGCAACTGCATGGAAGGAGCAGTCGAGCAAGTGGCCGAGCATGAGCAAGGCGTTCGTGAGCAGAGTCATCGTGGCCATCCACCGGTTCATCAAGGCGGCGCTCGATGACGCCTGCCTGGATACCAACGTGCGCGAGGAGCTATGGTCAACCATTATCGACGAGCTGCTGCGGCGATACGGGGCGGGCATGGAGGCGGCCGAGTTCCTCGTGTCCGCGGAGCGAGACGCCAAGCCGTACACGCTGGATTACCACTTTGGCGAGAATCGACAGCGGTGGCGCGGCGAGCGGATCGTGGAGCGCCTGCGAAACATGTGCTTCGGCGACGACAACGGCGTGGACATGGTGACGGTAGAACAGGTCCGGAACTCCACGGAAAAGAAGGCAAACGCCGAGGACGTGACCGAGAAGATTCATGACGACCTAAGCGCGTACTACGGCATCGCCCAGAAACGGTTTGTCGACAACGTGCTCAACCAGGCGGTCAACTACCGCCTGCTCTTTGGGCCATCCACGCCACTGGGCGTGTTGAGCCAGGAGTGGGTGATTGGGCTAGAGCCGGGCCAGCTCGAGACCATTGCTGGTGAGTCGCCGAGCATCAAAGAGCATCGCGAGAGGTTGGCTCGGAAGATCGTCGACTTGACGGCGGCAAAGGATATTCTGCGGCAGGGTTAATTTTTTATTTTGTGTGTTCGTTTGTTTGTTTGACACGGATTGATGTCTGGTTGATGAATCATGATAGCGAGATGTTTTGGATGAATTATTTGAGTGAAGAGGAAAGTTCTTTGATCAGTTGTTGTTTGATGCGGACTGAGAGAAGAAGGGAGGAGGTTCTCTACTTCTGTCAATGGAATTCGGGAAGGAGGTCCCCTTGACTGCTTTACACTGGCATATCGTATTATGATACATATTATTCCAAAGTTACAGTTCCTGATTGGCCAAAAGTGACTCGAAATGTTCTGAGCAGAACTACAGGGGGCTGAGGTCCCTGCAACTGACACCACAGCCCGTTCCACTTAATAACGGCCGGGGCAACCTCGAAGCAACTCCAGCGGGGCATCACCACCTTTCCTTCTACCCTTTGGCGCACAGCAGCAATGCGCCGCCATTGTCGCGACGGCAGCACCAATGTCAGCCCTCCCCAATGGCGCCGCCAGCACTACAACCACCAAGATGCCTGCCGCCAATAGCAGCAGCAGCAGCAGCAGCATCCCATCCCATTCCCACCCTTCCACCATAACTACATCCGCAACCATGGCCACAACCGTCCCCTCCACGAAACAACCCTCCAAAAAAGACACCGACCCCTCCGCCGCCCTCCGCAACGCCACAACCCCCTCCGAGATCCGCACCGCCCTCGCGGCCCTGCACGCGCGCGAAGCCGGCCTGACCACCCAACTAACGGGCCTCATCTCAACACACTCCGACCTGACACGGTCACTCTCGCGACTGGACAACCTGCGGGCGGGGCTGGGGGCGCAGGTGCTGACGGCGCGGGGCATCTCCAACGCGATGCTGGCGTCGGCGTCGGACACGGCGGCGCGGCTGTCGGGCCGCGTGCGCACGCTCGACCTCGAGAAGCAGCGCGTCGAGGACACCCTGCGCGTCGTCGAGCTGGTCGCCGAGCTCAAGGCCTGCGTCGCCGGGGTCGTGGGCAGCATGGGTGCGCCCCAGGACTGGGAGGCTGCGGCCGGTTACATCAGCCGCGCCGCCCGCGTGCCCGATGATATCGTGCGCGGTGGGTTTGCGGCGGCTGTTGTGCCGACTGTTGAGGTCCCCGACCCGCCGTGGGTGACGCTCGAGCAGGCGAGGGAGAGTCTGTGTAGTTTGTTCTTGAGGGAGTTCAAGAAGGCTGCTACGGATGGGGATGCCGCTAAGGTGACGCGCTTCTTTAAGCTGTTTCCCCTGATTGGGAGGGGGGATGTCGGGTTGGATGTGTACGGGCAGTTTGTCTGCCAGGGTGTGGCGGGCGAGGCGAGAGCTTCGTTGAAGGAGGGCACCTCTCCTGGGGGCGCTCGGGGCGGGAAGGACGGCGTGTTCTTCGCCAACGCCCTGACGAGGCTCTTCGATCACATTGCCCGTATCGTGGAAGCCCATGGCGGGCTTGTGGAGAGGCATTATGGGATGGGAAAAATGGTCAGGGTCATTGAGAGGCTTCAGATGGAGGCTGATGTCCAGGGCGGTATTATTCTGGACTCGTGGAGCGACGACCGGACGGTGGACCGGCGGCTGACAGACGTCAAGAGCTACCCCTTTTCCTTCTTGGTGCAGAGCTTCTTACCGCAACAACGAGGTTTTGGAGGGACGCCGCGGGTGAACTCGCCCGCGCTTGGCGCTCAGACCAACGATGTGCGTAACAGCGAGGATGAAGGCGTCAATATGAGAGAAGTGGACGGGTTGTTGGTGGAGATTGCCGCGATGCTCGAGAAGTGGTCGGTTTACTCACGGTTCCTGGCTGGAAAGTGCACGGTATGCTCGAGCATGAATGACGGACTTGGGCATTTGTATTTGAAGCTAACAACCCCTAGGAACCTGGTACGGCTGACGACGCACCACTCGCCGTGCCCGACGTCCTCGTCAAGTCTAACCTGAGCCGCAAGGTATCAGGGAAGCTCGTGGCCCCGTATAACGTACTAACAAACTTTTTCTTCCGGCGGTCCGTCGAGAAGGCGTTCCAACTAGACGAGTCCCCAGCCGGGTTGTCCTTGAACATGAGCAGGCCAATAGACAGCAACCCCCCATTCATCATCTCGGCCGTCGACGTCGTCATGTACATCGTCAACACCGTCATCCGCAGGTCCATCTCAACCTCTCAACCAGGCGTCATCGACTCCGTCATCCCAACAATATCCAGCCTTCTCGGCTCCGACTTCGTCGGCATGATCCAGCGCAAGATGCGCGACGAATCTTATCCACAATCCTCCGTGCCCGGGAACCTTCCACCCGAGAGCATCATCGTCTCCTTCATCGTCCTCATCAACAGCCTCGACATGGCCAACGACTACCTCGCCCGCATCGTCTCCAACTTCCTCAAACCCGCAGACCAACAACAGCACCCCAACGGGGCACCGCACACCAAGCCACTCCAGGACGCGTTCCCCTTCCACAACGACGCCGCCAACGTCGCCACACGCCTCACCAAACTCAACGCCTCCTTCACCGCCAAGACCACGGAGCTGCTAACCGAAGGGGTCAAGGCGCTCTTCAGCCAGGTGATCAAGCCGCGGCTGCGGCCGGTGCTGTCGGACGCGTTCCGGGACGCCGACTACACGCTGGGGGGCGAGGAGGAGCTGGCGGAGCTCGCCGCGCAGGGCGACCAGACCGAGGACGAGCTGCTGGAGCAGGTGCCGCGCGCCTTCGAGCACGGCTGGGACGCCCTCATGCGGCCCGTCGCCCGCCTCATGACCCCGCGCACCCACGCCGCCCTGCTCGACCTCACCGCCGACTACCTCGCCCGCGTGCTCGAGAAGCGCGTCTGGAGCTACGCCGGGGGGCGCACCAGCCCCTATGGGGCTATTCGCATGGAGCGCGATTTTAGTGGGGTGATTGGGACGATTAGTAAGGGGAATTATGCCGTCCGGGAGGTGTTTGGCCGCACCGCGCAGGTGTTGATGGTGGCCAATATGGAGGACGAGGAGTGGGAGGAGCTGGTCGGGGAGGAGGGCCAGGACGGGGAGATGGAGTGGGTGCTGAGTGAGGAGGAGAGGAGGCGTGCGAGAAGTATCGTCAAGACTTAACACCCCTAAGGGTGGGCTAAGAAAAGGGCAATGTGTGGCCAAATACTACAAGGGGTTTGGGCCAATTCCTATCTATGTGTTTGCCCCGTTGTTTTTGGTGTCACATAGCCTGGTAGAGCGGCTGGTCTTCAAAAGCCTAGAGGGTCACTTGCTTTCCTGTTTTAGAGTTATTCCTCGAGTCAAACGAGGCTTCCAGGCCAACTCGGACTTTCATATCCAGCGCAGGTGCACTAACGGATTGCCCCGTACTACTCAGACACAATCCCGCGTCCCCAACCATCACCACTCGTTCCCGCTCCGAGCACCAACCTCCGACGAGCAGGCCTGCCCGTATTAGTCGGGGTGGTAGGGGGTCCGGACACAGCCGTTCGGGTGCTAGGTGCCGAGCATCACCAGCCTGCCTAGGCGTGCTTGTGGCGGTGGCCTCGACGCTGGGCGTTGGGGGTTGATCTGAGTAGGCGTTGTGCTCTGGCGGGGTGCTAGGCGAGGATATGCTCATCAGGTCGGAGGGCTCGATGGTGGGCTTAGAGGGTTTGAATGGGGTAATGGGTTTGGGTTGGGATAGGGAATGGTTGGGAACTCTGGGGAGGGGACGGGGTTGCTGGATTCCGCATCTTGATCACGATTTGGACAAGAAAGTGGTTGAATTGCTTTTATTGGGCTGCCGGTGTCACCCCGAGCTAACAGGAGGGATAATCGCAACCTCGTCGCCTTCCTGTATTACGACCTCTTCCGCATCATCTACGTCGACATACGTCAAGTTTATCGTGACGAGACTGTGGTCCAGCACGCTCGCCCGGATGCCCTCGTACCGCTCCTCAAGGGTGCTAAAAAGTTTCTTCAGCGGTAGCGGCGCCGGCAAGGCTTCGACATTCTTCGACGTGTACGAGCCGGCGGTGGCAAAGTACAAGACGTTGAAGTGGCCTTGGGGCGGTTTTGGGGTCATGGTACTAGCTTTGGCAGGATTGTTAGCTTCTGGAGCTGCAACCATGCTTGTGGGAGATATGTTTGGGTTGAGGTGTGGTTGTCAGAGATCTTGGTGATTAGAGAATACATCAAAGTGTTTTCAGGAAACGAATGCTATTGCTTTCATCATGCAACCGGAGGTAATGGAACACGTGGGTGGGGGTTGTTCAAACTTACATTATTTGCGTTATCGGGTGTTGTGGTGTTGAGGGGAAATGCCCCTCCGAGGATTTCTCAGCTTCAGCAAGTTTCTGGAGGGCGCGCCATCACGTGCATTGCCTAGCCACAGCACTCAAGGCATATTTCAGCCAGCGTTCAAAGCAGCCCGGTGGCTGTTGCTAGCCATCACGAAGGGCATGCACAATGAGCTCTTGCGGCCCTTCGAATTTTGGTTGTGAGGGAGAGGAAGAGGAAAAGTCAAAAAGCTCTGGCCGAGCTTTCTTGGAGAATTTATCTTGCAACCGAAGACGCGCTCGGCGGGTTTGATTGGTCAATGGGCCAACCTGACCCACTCTCCCACTGTGTACTGAGGGTACTTTAGCATCCAAAGGCCAGGGAGTCCAATCGTCACCCAATCGTCACATGCTCTCCTCCGGATTCGAGTCTGGCTATCAGTTGGGAAAACGAGTATCTCGCGTTGGGTATCATAGGGTCTACTCGCTAAGACAATTTCGCCATCTTCTCCTCAAGATCCTTCACCCACGTAGATATGACCTCCACATTCTTCGACATGGTCGCATCACCCGCCCTGACGGCGCTCTCCACCTTCTCTAAGCCCTCTCGCCATTGCTGAATCTCGCCGGCCATCTCCGCCTGCTTTTTCTCCAGACGCTCCAGCGTCTCCGAGGCCGCGGCGGCGTCTGCATGGATCATTCGCAGCGATCGGAGTCGGTCGAGCAGCGGCGGCAGCAGGGGGGTGAGATTCTCAATGGTTGGTAGGGTTCCGTAGAGTGCGTTGATCTTGGCCGTCTGCTCCAAATCCTCGGGGGCGGCGCCCTCGGAGGCTGGTGCAGCTCCCGCCGAAGCAAGCGCGTCGTGGGCTGACTTGGCGTTCCGTCTCGCCTTCTCCAAATTCTCAGCCTCCTGCGTTAAAGCCCGTACTCTCCGGCTGATGCTATCGAGGGAGGGGACCGAGGCTTCGGAGAGGGTCAAGACTTGTTTGTGAAGCTGCTCCACAAGGGGTACGACGGCGCGCGGCAGGCCGTTCGCGTCAAATTCGGGCATTGATACCGACCCGACCCCTAGTGCCTTCTCCAAAACGACCAGGCGGCTGTCGAAATCGGCCGCTTTCGCGAGAACGTGTGTTTGCTCATAGCTCGGCGCATAAGTTATCGTGTAACTGACGCCCTCGGTGTGCTCCCCGGATGCCTTCTCCCCGATACTAGTTGGTTGGGGAGCGGGGATGGCGCGGGAGGCTAGGGGCTGATCAAGTCCCGATATCTCATCCAACACCTTGCTCAGCGATTCGAACTCGGTCTCGGCGACCTCTTCCTCGTCCGTTGGTTGGCTTGAGGCAGCCTTTTGTTTTCCATACTCCTCCTTGGCTTCCTCGATTTCGCGTTTTAGTCGAGCAATCTTTCGCGCTAGGTTCCCCGCATCGTCGCCCTCGTCACTCAGATCGCCTATTTCTTCCGTTCCATCCTCGAGGATTCGACGGCGCCGGGTCGATGTCTTGTAGGACTTCCGTTTGCTCGCAAGACGGTCTGAGAAGTCCACGTCTGTCGCGTCGACGGCTGCTGGCATGAACCTCGATCGGGCTTGGTTTATACGGAGACGCGACCGCGAGATTCCAGTGTCGTCATCTTCCTCCTCATCGTACCCATTGTCGGAAGGCGACCGCACGGTGGTGGGCTATGATGATTAGTTGCCATCTACTAGCGGGCGCAAGAAAACGCACTGGAACTGTTGACTGGTCGTCGATGAGTTCTGGGGTCTCGTAGATGTCTGGTGCCGAGTCCTGGACATGAAGTTAACACAACCGTATTGTTTCGCTGTGTGTTTGACTCGGGTGGCCTACGAGGTCTGGCAACGCAGCATATTTCCTGTTAGATGCCATTTTGTTGTCGTACCACAATTTCCATCCACCAGCATACGTTTGCAATCGGGTCAACCAAATTTGGTTGACTTCTCTCGAGAGGAGGTCGCCCGCTTTGTCCAATCGCCGAGAACGCCCTCAAGCTGCGGCCGAACAGCACAAAAGGTGGATACCCAGGACAGGGGCCAAGACCCGCAAACGCGTTTCGGTATGGACCAAGCATGTCGCGCTTGCCACTTGGGGTGGAGGGACATGCAACTCATCAAATCGTTTCTGAAGACATTCACACATGGCATATTTTTACGCAACCTTTTCTGCCTACCTTGCTGTGTAGTAGTAGGTTGCACTTCAACTCCTCACTCACCTCACATGGTTTTGAGGTGCCATAACCGCGCGGATACCTATAATTCAACCTTGGTCCACGCTCAAGTCCCCTCCACTCTTACACCACAAACATCACTTGCTCGAAAATGCGATTGGCTTTTTCTCATCGAAGTCGACCAGAATTGACTCTCCCGCGACTACCCGCCACCCGCACATCACCAATTGTGGTCACTTCATAGCAGACAAGTTGTATGTCGAGAGTGTTTGTTAAGATCAAACGCAACGCATCTCGTCTTAGGAACCGCTGATATGTCCGGCGAACGATTTGTCGGCCTCAGCGCCCGACAGCCTGTCCCCCGCCTCCTAAGCGTCGTAGGCGGGAAGAACGTCACCAAAGACATGGAGGCTATTGATGTGGATGCTCCGCCCCTGAGCAGCTCTGATTCGAGCGACAACGACGGACTTTCAACGAGAGGAAACATCACATCAAGTCACTTCACCAGCTCCCGTGCTAAGGAAAAGTCTCCCCCAGGGCGAGGCATCAAAACTGCAGGGGCCAGCAGAAAAGGTATTGCACCAGCAAACTTCACACGGACCCGGGCATCTGCACGATCGGTCGCTGGGGGGGGGCGCGGCACAAGCCTGAAAGGCACGAAGGATCAAGAGGTGATTGACAGTGACACTACCGCGGGCTCCCCTGCCTCGAAGAAACCTAGGCGGACTTCACTGAGCGATGGAGAGCGAGGCAGCCAATTCGATGTGGACATGTTTGCCAAAAAACCGACTGCGAGCCGGCGTTACGGCAGCAGGTTCAAATCGTCGGGTGGCCAGCCCAGGCCAAAGGCGTCACCAACGAGGAGGTTCAAGCGCCCACCCAAAGAGCCAACACCAGAGGAGGAGGACCCAGACAGGTATAAGCTCAAGCTCCCCTCCTCGCCCTCAGGGATGAGAGACGAGGCCCCGTCGCCAGCCCGCAAGTTCAAAGCCATCCCAGATCTCGCTTCACCCGTCAAGTCTCCAATACGGAAGAAACGGCTGAGAATGCCGGATAGCGACGGCCTGTTGTTTCCGGGGGAACTCGAAAACAGTGAAGCGTCCCAGCGACCGGTTTTCACAATACCAGACGAGCTTCCGGAGTCCTTTATGGGAGGAGACAACGACAGGTTCGACTTTGCCCTTTCCCAAACGGGCGACGCACTCAAAGAGCCCAACCTCATCCGGGACTCGACCTCCCCGCTCACCGACCTCGAAACCCTCAGCCCAACCCCACTCTGCCCGCTCTGCAACAAAGAAGTCGACCAGGCGCAGCTCGACGAGTTCAAGGCGAGCCAGGGGCGCATGACGGTGGCCGGGATGCGGCGGTTCTGCGAGCAGCACCGGCGGCGGACGGCGCGCGAGACGTGGGTGCAGAAGGGGTACCCGGACATCGAGTGGGCGCGGCTGGACGGGCGCATCGCGCGGCACTACGGCTTCCTGCGGCGGATCCTGGCCGACGGCGAGCGCTGCCACCACGGCGACCTGTTCCGGGACGCCGTGCGCGAGGGCCGCAACCGCACCCTGCTGCAGTCCGACGCCAACCTCACCCCGGGCTACTACGGCATCCGCGGCCTGCGCGCCATGACCGAGAACCTGATCTGCGAGTTCGCCGCCCTGCTGCGCAGGCGCTCCGTCGAGGATCGCCTGATCGCCGCCAGGGGCCACACCATGTACCTGCAGGCCGTGTTGGTGCCCGAGCTGGCGGTGCGGCTGATCATGGAGGATATGGGCGTGGGGGTGGAGGAGGCCCGGGAAATCTTGACGGAGAGCAGTGCCGTTGGGGAGTTGTTGAATGACGAGATCCCCGATGTTATTTTAAGCGATGATGATGATGACGATGACGATAGAGATGAGGCGGAGTCGGGCTAGACTTATTTGCTAGGTATTTTCTGCTGGGTAGTGTACAATAGGGGCACTGATGGTTTTCCGTGGAACATGAACCCGTGTATGTACTTCTACTACATGTACTCACGGGCAATCCGAACCCTTTGCCATGGTATTATGTTTACCCTCTCACGAGCTACGCAACAACTCCAGCGACTTGGGAGTCTACGGTGGATATCTGGGGCCTTGCTTGAAATTGAAGATCTGCAAACCCAAAAGACAACGCTAAGCTGGCAAGGGCCTTTCGGCTTCCTTTTGCCATATCGACCGTGGGATGTCGTGGGGTTGAGGAGATGTAGCCCGAGCTCGACCCCGGGTACTTCGTACCGACTACCTCGTACATCGACAAAGGAAAGCCCGCGGTCAGCTCAACGGGCTTCCACTTGGAAGTTGCCGGGGGAAGATCGCATGCAGAGATCGGCGTTTCGGACAGACCGCCCTTCATATAAAGCAACAAAGACAGTTTCCGACAAAGAGATGATCTCCTTCAGATTGTGAGTTATCATCTTTCCGCTTTCGGTTGACTTAACGGAGGCAGTCCGTTTCCAGAGCGGGGTTCCTCGGGGGGGTTCAAGTTAATGCTTTCCATAGCACATCTCGTTCTATTGTAGGTACATGTAGCTCAGCGCTGAGAGAACAACTTTTGCGGGAACTCCAATAGACCAACTTTGTTTTTGACAGGAGCCAGCGACCATCTTACCCCTAATTTGGACACCGGCAAAAGGAATTATGCCGGCCACGGTCAATCTCAGTCCGTCTGACGGTGTTTTGGCCCAGACTCCCCGCCTACACTGTGTAATAAAAGTCTTGTCATATTCTAGATTTACAACGAGTCGGATCTGCTCACCAAAAGGGTAATGTGAAACTCTGACTACCCAGCTTGAGTTTCTGGGCAGTCCCTCCAGTGGTGGTCTGGCCGAAACTCCTCGGAGACTTTTTGCTCAATATGTGTCTGTCGTGGACAAAAGAAACCATCGCCATCCTCTCTAGTTTGGGGTCTCGGCGTGTTTCTTTGTCCAAGCATCCTAACCCTGCTCGAGATGGCGACCGAAAGGTGATGACGGATAGTGGATGAAAGCCTGTGGGCCAATCCCGATCGCAGAAAGTTCACATGTTGAAAGACCAGAAATTAACGTGAAGTGGTTTCCGAGTTAGGCAAACCTGTCATATACACCCTCCTGACACAAGGCCACAGAGCTGCCTGGGCTCTTCCCTTGCTTTCACTACTTCTGCCGGTTTTCTTAGCGGTTGAGGATCTCGATAAAGCGATCTATGACGGGCAGCCAAAAAGACGTCGGTGGAGGTTTCAATAACTAAAGTGGATCTTGATCGATACGCGAGCCCGAGATCCGTCTGGGCAGCGGGGCTGGAATGACGGTTCCTCTCATCAACAGCAGGCGAGTTTGTGTCTCGGGTACCGTAAAGTGCTGCGTTGAGTCGATAGACAAATAGAAGTAGGTATTTATTTTTATTTATTACAATACTACACCTCCCGCTTTCGTCTGCAATGAGAGGGTGTTGTTGTTGGCTCGGGACCGGGCTTTGTACACAAAGCGGGCGGGGCCGTGCAGGGTCCCGGAAGCTTGCTCGGGGAGGTGGGGGAACGTTCGGTCCATGTGGAGGTTGAACCAGAAAATGAGACCATATGGTTATGACGGCGATTCGGAAATCCCTCAAGGCAGTACATACCGATGTACATGTACGAAGTACTCATAAGGCTGTGTGGTTTTACGACGCTGCCTGCTGTGCGACCTCAGTGAGCGAAATCGACACCGAGGCTTGGGAAACCTTATGCAATGAGTCTCGCGCAGTAGGCCAGGTGAGCGGTTGGACATTTTTGGAAATGGGGTGTGTGCTCTTTGATACCCGGAATTAGGCCTCGTCGGAGATGACGGCCAGGACACTAAGCGCAGAGCAAGTGCGATAAGGCAAACAGACAAGTACATACATTCCATCCTGCCTCACCAGGCCACACTCCACTCGTTCGCGTCAACGTGAGTATCCGTGCCGCTGAGATCCTTGCCCGTACAGCCCGCGAGCTGCCCGCTTCGAGTTCGAGGATCGTGAAAAAAAGGAAAATAACGCACGTTAACTGTTCTGGAGGCATCCTGATGAATTCCGTTTTCCTCGGCATTGACGCCCCGACTTCTTCACAGTCGTAGGCTTTCTACCAAGTAGGAGGGTCACGGTCTCTCAATTCGAAATACCCCGATCCTTGCCGTGGGGCGCCCCGCGCTCCTAAACCTTGTACCCTGGCACGCCGGCAGCACCCAACCTTAACCCGTAACAGGCAACTTGGGCGGGAAAGGCCCACCAACCAGCCCACACGCCCGCCAGCTCGCTGCGAGGTTGGCTGTGCTTGAGCGCTGTCTCTCACTTTTCGCCTGAATCCCACTCGAGCACCATCACATCATTGCTCGCAACCGATAACTACCTTACCTATATACTACACAGCACTAGTAGGCGACGACAAGCGACGACGGCGGTGACGGCCACAACCAGAAGAACCGCAAGCACAGGCAATGACCTAATCAGCGCCATCCGCCTAAGAGACGTGCGTGGAATGGCAACGGACCGCTAAACCGCCGTCCCTTTGTTGCAGGTGCCGCGCGGGTTGCTGCTTTGCAGCCGGTGACAATGCCTCGAACCGACGACAATTCTCGCTTTAGCTCCATGACGGGCTCGAGCACCGACAGCGGGAAGTCCAGCATCACGGTAAAACCGCTGCCCTTGACGCCCACGACCCCATCGCTCCCAAACTTTGGTGCTGCAGGGAACAATGCCTCCCGGTTCGCCCCGCCTACATCGCGACGAGCGGCTCCGTCGCGCCTCAAGACGGACGAGAGCGGCAATCTCATACGGTGAGTTGCTCCAAGCCTGCTTCTCCGTGCTCCCCCCCACCCGTGGCGTATTATACCCTGGTGAACCCGCAATTGTTTTGCTCTTTCTTGCGCCATCCTTGTCTCTAGACGTTGGAGCTGACGGGATGCCCGTATCGTTGGCGCCGCCACCCAGCTCCGTCAAGGAATCAGATGGTCAGGTTTCGCCCACGTCGAACGGTGCGCGACTCGCGCTATCCCCCTCCTCGGTGAATTCCAATACGTCGATGCGCGATCATTCCATGAGCGACCTCTTTGATTACCGCCGCGACCTAGCGATCCTCGACCCCGCCGGCGGCCGGTCGACTCGCAATCAACACACAAACCCGTCCACCGGCTCTCTCGGCCAGATCGCGCCCTGGATGACGGGCAACGGCAGCGCCGCCTCGCCGGCGGCCCCTCCCGATCCCGCACCCACCACATTCTACAACGACTCGACCGATAATCTATCCCTCGACTCCCGACTGTCCCCCGGTGTCCGTACCTCTATTAGCCGCGCGACCCCTGCTGGCAGCACCGACTCCCCAGACGCTGCATACTTTACCGACGAGAGGCGCCCGTCCGTCGCGAGCATCACCACAACGGCAAGCAGTCAAGGCTCGCGGGCCAGCGGCGCAAGAGGAGGAATACGAAAACTGCAGGGCTTTTTTGGGGAGGAATTTCCGGGGAGAGATTCATCCGAAACCAGCCTCGGCCAGGGCGGCAAGGAGCATCGATCGCATTCATACAGCTACAGCCGACCGCATAGGGATCGCAACTATTCCAACGCCACTGACCATGGCAGAGACGGTTCCCCGGCTTCGAGGCCCCGAACCCCGGTGCCGGCGCCGGAAGTAGTCCCGTTTTTGTACCAGGAAGCCGATGTACGTGATGCGACCCCACAATCATTCCTTAGTCTCGACACTATATCCTCTCCTTTTCTTCTTTAGGCATTTTGCCGTGCCAATCACCCAATGCGACGCTCTCTGCGGCCCTCCGCCGAGTGATTGTTTCCTGCCCCATGCCAACCCTATACACCTTTCTGACACTGAACGCCATAAACTAGGACATTGCCCGATACGGTGAAGCCCCAGTCCGAGACATCCTCAGCGGCCCGGATCGTGGCCGCTACATGGCCGACGCCGCCGCGCAGAATCCACCAAAAACATCCGGCTCCGGCCGGTCCGGCCATTCAATCGTGCACCTGCCAGGCCATCACAGACACAACAAGAGCAACGAAGACCCAAGGTCGCTACGCCCGTCGATCAGCAGGGAGGATCCTTCCGCGCCCGCGGCCAAGGAACGCAGCGGGTCAAACGGAATGTACGGCACGAGGTCGCGCGCTCAGAGCCCAGCTCCAAGCGCGAACAGTGGCTCCTGGGGTTCCAAGACCGTTCTTGGTGACGGGCAGACGTCTCCGGGCCACCACCATAAACGCCGGTTCCTCGGTCGCTTGCGAGGGAGAAGGGAGAAGGACGAACCGACTGATCTGAGGAAGCTTCCGGTGTCTTCCCAATCCCTCCAGCCGCGACCAAGCAAGCACGAGTTCCCGTTCGGTGAAGGGCAACCGACCCCAGGATCCGAATGGTCAGCCTCGCCAGACCCCCGCGAGTACGGAGGATCGCGCCCCGGTTACGCACGTGGCGCGACCTTCAACAACAAATTTCCTTTCTCTTCCAAGAAGAGCCGTACCGTCAGGCAGCACGATGACATTGACGAGAATATCGGGCCTACCGACAGGCAGGGTGGCGGAGGAACCATGTTCCACCTCGACACGAATCTCAGCGATATGGAGGGGATCCTGAGCAGGCCCTTGCCCTTGACGCCGATGGACCCCGACTTTCTGAACGATATCGACTTCGACAAGTTACCCATCCAACCCACAGACCCAAGCGGCGCTTGGAATGCTCCCGACAGCTGGGCGGTCCGCCGTGGGGACGATGTCTCAGCCCAGGTTCCAGAGGCCGACGATATAGGGAGTCCGCCGAGGCCAGAGGAAAAGATGACCAATTACTGCATCCGCGTGTTCAGGGCGGACGGCACCTTCGCGACGCTGCAGATGGCGCTTGACGCGACGGTGTCGGACCTCATCTCGCAGATCGTCAAGAAGTCATATGTCATCGACGGCATGGAGGGCTACAACATCGTCTTGAAGAAACATGACTTGACCCGTGTCCTCAGCTCCGCCGAGCGCCCGCTCCTAATGCAAAAGCGCCTCCTGCAGCAGGTCGGATACGAGGAGCGTGACAGGATAGAGGACATCGGCCGCGAGGATAATAGTTACCTGTGTCGCTTCATGTTCCTGTCCGCACGAGAGAGCGACTTCCACACCGTCACACACAACCTGGGCTTCACCCGTTCGCAAAAGTACATCCACGTCGACATATCTGGCCGCAACTTGAGCGCGATTCCTGTCATCCTCTACTCCAAAGCTTCCGAAATCATTTCTCTCAACCTGTCGAGGAATCTGTCGCTCGACGTGCCGCGGGACTTCATCCAGGCCTGCACCAGCCTACGTGATATCAAGTACCTGAGCAACGAAGCCCGGAAGCTACCACCAAGCCTGGCCTGGGCCAACAAACTCACGTTTCTGGACGTCTCGAACAACCGCCTGGAGGAGCTCGAGCACGCTGACCTTGGCGGCATCACTGGACTCCTCAAACTAAAGTTAGCAAATAACCGTCTCAACCACCTACCACCATACTTTGGGGCCTATTCGGTGCTGCGGGCCCTGGACCTTTCTTCCAACTACCTAGAGAAGTTCCCAGCATTCCTCTGTGATTTGGAAAGCCTCGTCGATTTGGACCTCAGCTTCAACCTCATCAGTGACCTCCCAGACGCCTTCGGGAAGCTAAGGAGCCTGGAGAAGTTCGTCGTGACCAACAACCGGCTGACGGGCGCTTTTCCCGGGTCCTTCAGAGATCTAAGCAACCTTCGCGAACTCGACATCAAGTACAACACGATCTCGAACATCGACGTGATTGCGCAGCTTCCGAAGCTGGAGATCCTAACCGCCGACCACAATTCCGTCTCCCAGTTCGTCGGTACGTTCGAGAGGCTACGCAGCCTAAAGCTCAACTCGAACCCCGTCACCAAGTTCGAAATCAAGTCGCCGGTCCCCACCCTTAAGCTTCTGAATCTGTCCAGCGCCCAGCTGGCGAGCATCGACGAGTCGTTCAATAATATGCCAGGCCTCGAACGCCTGGTCCTCGACAGAAACTACTTTGTCTCATTGCCCAGCCAGATTGGCAACCTCAGAAAGCTTGAGCACTTTAGCATAGCGCAGAACTCGGTGGGCAAGCTGCCTCAGGAGATCGGATGTCTCACAGAGCTGCGCTTTCTAAACGTCCGCGGAAACAACATTCGCAGGCTCCCGACGGAATTGTGGTGGGCCAGCAAACTGGAGACGCTCAATGCGTCATCCAACATTCTAGACAGCTTTCCGACACACGCGTCTCGCGCGCCTCAGCCTCCCGATAACCCAAGTAGCACAAACAGCTCCCTCAGCAGCAAGGTATCTGGAACGGCGCGGGGCCTCTCCCCCATGCAGAGCGTTGAGGAGCTCAATGGCGATGTGTATCGGCGCCCGAGCCAGGCTTCAAGTGCCACGCTCCTCAGCGTAGGACCGTCGCCCGTGCCGGGGGGCGAGCACAGGAACAACTCCTTGGTATCGGTGTATGGAAAAGGCGGCCGGAACACGTCTGTGGTGTCGCGTAGCACACATAGCGGCTCTTCGACGACGCTGGTGGGCCCCGGTCTCAGGAAGGATTCCGGATTCGGGGCGATCCTGACCAACACCTTCGCTGGTTCCCTCCGGACTTTGATTCTTGCGGATAACCAGCTGGACGACGATATCTTTGACCAAACCACGCTTCTTTCCGAGCTTCGCGTCCTCAACCTCTCCTACAATGAGCTCACCGACATGCCTCAGGGCACAATGAAAAACTGGCCGCAGCTGACCGAGTTGTACCTTTCATGCAGCGGGCTTGCGAGCCTGCCGGCAGATGACCTGGAAGACTATTCCTTGTTGCAGACATTGCACATCAACAACAACAAGTTCACGAACCTTCCCGCCGACATTTCCCGGGCCAGGAGGTTAGCCGTGCTAGACTGCGGCAGCAACTCGCTCAAGTACAACATTGCCAACGTCCCCTACGATTGGAACTGGAACCTCAATCCCAAGCTGCGGTATCTCAACCTGTCCGGGAACAGACGCTTGGAGATCAAGCAGGCCTACCCCAACGCCGTTGCGCAGAACCGCGAGCAGCTCACCGACTTCGGCCGCCTTGCCAATCTTCGCGTCCTAGGCCTAATCGACGTGACGCTTACCCAACCGAGCATTCCCGACCAAAGCGAAGATCGTCGTGTCAGAACATCGAGCACCTTGGCGGGGTACATGCCCTACGGCATGGCCGATACCCTCGGGAAAAACGAGCATCTCTCCACCATTGACCTCGTGGTTCCGCGCTTCAACTCGTCTGACTCGCAGACTCTCCTGGGATTGTTTGATGGCCAGGCACTCAGCAGTGGCGGGTCCAAGATTGCCAAATATCTCCACGAGAATTTCAATGATATCTTCACCCACGAGCTGAAGATTATGAAACCCGACTCGGGCGAGACCGCCGAGGATGCGCTGAGGCGCGCCTTCTTGTCGCTCAACAAAGACCTCGTCACGGCCGCGATTCAGCACACGGAGGAAAGGCCGATCACGACGCACCGCGGATCACAAGCTCCTCTCGTGCTCAGCCAAGAGGACCTCAACTCGGGCGGCGTCGCCACCGTTGTTTACCTCGACGAGCAAGAGCTGTACGTCGCCAACGTCGGCGACGTCCAGGCGATGCTTATCCGGAACGACGGCAAGGCCAAGATTCTGACCAAGAAGCACGACCCGGCAGATCCCGTGGAGCGGTCGCGCATTCGGGATGCCGGGGGCTGGGTCTCACGCCGGGGGCGCCTGAACGACATCCTTCCCGTCTCGCGGGCCTTTGGCTACGTGGACCTGCTGCCGACCGTGCAGGCGGCGCCGCACATTACACGTCACACGATCGAGGACCAAGACGAGACGATCCTTGTGGCTACCGGGGAGGTGTGGGAATACTTGACCCCGGAGCTCGTTGTCGATGTTGCGCGCTCCGTGCAGAACGACATGATGCGAGCGGCACAAAAGATCCGCGATCTCGCCATAGCCTACGGCTCCCGAGAGAAGATCATGGTCATGATGCTGAGCGTGTCGGAGCTCAAGCGGCGGCGCGAGCGTTCGCGCATGCACAGAGGGCAGAGCATGTCGTGGTTCAACTTCCCACAGGACGATAGCAATGCCGCCGCGGCCGCGGCGCGCAGGGCCAGGAAGGCCAAGGCGGCGGGCCCGCTCGATTCGGTCTTGTCCCGTCTCGAAGCGGAAGTGCCTGCGCCGACTGGCATGATTGCGATCGTGTTCACGGACATCAAGAACTCGACGCAACTGTGGGAGACTTACTCGGAGGCCATGAGATCAGCCATCAGGCTGCACAACGAGGCCCTGCGTAGGCAGCTCAGGCTTATCGGCGGGTACGAGGTCAAGACCGAAGGTGATGCCTTCATGGTGTCGTTCCCGACCGCCACCTCGGCGCTCCTGTGGTGTTTCGCCGTCCAGACGCACCTTCTGACGGTCAATTGGCCCAACGAGATTCTCAACTCGATCAACTGCCAGCCTACCTTTGACCGGGACAACAAGCTCATCTTCAGGGGCCTGTCGGTGCGTATGGGCATCCATTGGGGCGAGCCGCTGGCGGAAGAGGACGCGGTAACTCGCCGCATGGATTACTATGGCCCAATGGTGAACAAGGCAAGCCGCGTCACGGCGTGCGCCGACGGTGGACAGATCACGGCGTCCTCAGACTTTCTTAATGAAATTCAGCGCTGCCTCGAGCAATACGAGGAATCGTCAGCCCCGACGGAGGACATTCCCGAGGAGGACGTGTTTTCCCGAGCCATCCGCAACGAGCTCCGCTCCCTCAGCAGTCAAGGGTTCCGGGTCGAAGATATGGGCGAGAAGAAGCTCAAGGGCCTCGAAAACCCAGAGTATATCTACTCGCTGTACCCGCACGCGCTCGTGGGGAGGATGGAGCAGCACAGCCTCCACGAGCGAGCGCAGTCTACGACGGATAGGCCCGCCGTGCTCAGCCCCGACAGCGACCTCGCTATCAACCCGGACGAGATCTGGGCCATGTGGCATGTGGCGTTGAGACTCGAGATGCTGTGCAGCACGCTCGAGGACGTGAACAGGCGCGTATTGCAGCCGCCTGAGACGGAGCTCATGGAGCGGATGAAGCAGCGCGGCGGAGAGGTAACGGAACGGTTCCTAGTGAATTTCATGGAACATCAAGTGAGCCGGATCGAGGTATGTTCTTTTTTCCCCCCCTTTTCCCCCCTCCCCTAACCGGATCCCCCGCGGAAGGAAGAAACAAAAGGCTAACAGAACCTAGACCTGCGTGTCGACCCTCGCCGTCCGCAAGCTCATCCTAGCCGACAGCAACCCCAACAAGCAGACCGCCGCCACACAGGTCGGCGACCTGCGCGCGCCCATGTCCCAGGTGCTAGACACGCTGAGCCAGCAGCTTGCCCTGCTACAAAAGTACCAGGCCCGCTACGGCCCGCTCGACGACGCGGACGAGAAACCCGCGCCCACGTCCGCCGTGTCGCTGGAGGCGCCTGCATCCGCAACACCACGACCCCCGCAGCTGCATCCCTCCTATCCCGACAGTCTCCAGGTGATGATATCGCAGGCGACATCCGCGACCCCCTCAGCTACTGGGTCCGGGGTGAACACGCCAGATTCGTCGCCCGACTAAAACCGCGGTTTGTCTGTGCTTGCTCGCTAGCCACATGGCATGCATGCACACATAGGTCATCTCCCTTTCCCTTAGTCTCTTGCATGTCGGATTGTCTTGTTCATTTTGCGATACCCCCTACCACCACCACCACCTACCACACCATTTTCAAAACGTGGGATTTCTTCCTATATATATCCTCACATTCTGAACGAGCCCCTTCTGTCTCTTCACCACTCGGAAATGGTTGTTGTTCTGGCTTCCCCGAGCTTCAAAGGGGAGAAAAGGGGGATGGATGGGATGGTATGATTACATAATTCGTGTTTTGCCCCGCACGTGACTTTTGTTTGTTTTCGGGTCCTGTTGTCAGGGGTAGGGCGGCGGGCTTCAGGACATCAGTGCACCTCAATCAGTGCGGTTGGGGGTGCCGCGTTCTCTCGGTGTGGTGGCGGCGTTTTCATGCTGGGATGTGTGTTCTTTTTCTTGGTTACGGTCTGGTCTGGCCGGGGCTTTGGATACGGTTGGTTTGGACGATGGAGGGGGGGGGCACCGGGCTTTTCTGGATTATGTTTGGGGTTATTCCCTTCTCTTTCTTCTCTCGCATGCCATCGGGAGTGGCGAGTTCCTGTCTCTGGTGGGAAATGGAGGCATGCAATGGCGGCATCTCTGTCTGTGCTTAGCCCTGTCTAGCAGATTTGATCAATTCAGCGTTGCATATATGGCTTGGCTGTCCCTTCCTCTGGCTTCGTTCTGCATGGGTCATCGAGGTTTCCGAAGGGTTGGCTGTGGTCTCGGCCACAAGCTTGCGCTATGATGTTCGACGGCGATGCGTGTGTCTTCTCATATCGACGCGGCATCCTTGTCGGCCACATTCGACCTGGTTCCGCTGTTAGGCTCCCCGACTTGTTAGCAGACAAGTACCTTACTGACGGAGCACTCCTTAGGGTCGAGCAAGACATGCTCTGATGCTATTGAGACTTAACGGCCCGGTTCTGTGCAGGAACGCACAAGCCCGTCACTTGCACGCGGACTTGCCATGATGTCAATAGCGGACTGCCTGATACTGCGCGCTGCCTATGGGAAGCCACAAGCCGTCACTTGCACGCAGACATGACGATGATCTCAATGGGGGCAGGCACATGGATGGCATTCCCAACATTCTTCCGTACCGCGCATTTGCCACCATGTTGCTGGGCATCCTCCATCAGGTGGGCGCGTCCGGTCCAGTATATCAGCTGCCCCTTCCCCATCCTCTCTGCTCTTTCCTCGTTCCTCATGCATCGGAAACTGAATGATTTGGCAAGTTCGTTCTTCACTTGTCAAGATATAAACAGGTTTCCATCGCCCATCTCCGAACTCCTTTCTGTAAGTATTATTTTCCTGCAATATCCATTACCTCTTTGCTTCACCCCTCACCCCCTTGCGTTGAAACTTCGCCGTCGCCGTCGTCGCCGCAGTAGTGCTGTCTTTGCCGCCCTTTGGTGAGCCCAGAGAGCCCGAAGATCGCACTGACAACAGTGCCTCGGGCCGGCGGCGATGTGCTCCCCGATATTCTTTCTCATCAGTGACATCGTGCTGCTTGTGCTCAGTGTCGGCCATTTCGCCGTCAGTGTTGCTAACACTTCGGTCTTTAGTACATCCCACGAAGGCGCCAACGTCTTCGGAATCCCGTCTCTCGCTGTCGGGCACCCTCACGGCTCGACATTCCCTTTTTTTCTCCTTTTTTTATTAAAAAAATGGAACCAACACCCCCCCTCTCTCCTCGCCTCGGCCCCTATGGCGAGATTATGGCGACCGAGAACACGGGGGGCACAACCAGCGCCCAGTTCTTCGAGGACGATGCCGTCTGCTCGCTCCTCGCGCACCTGGACGAGCCCACCGACCTCCTGGTGCTTGGTCTCCCCGACACGGGCAAGAAGTCGCTGTTGGCCAACCTCCGCGCCGTCGCCACCGCCGCCACCGCCGACGACCTCTTCGCGGCCCCTTCCTGTGCCGACGCGTGGCCTTCCTTTTGCTCGCCTGCCCCCGCCCCGACCCCCGACTGTGGGTGGCAGCTCACCGTCAACAACGCTCAATGCGCCGCATTCGACCTCGGCGGGAACCATCAGGAGTCGTGGTGGCGGTGCCGTCGCCTAAAGCAGCACCTGCAGCGCGCGCTGGTGCCGCAGGAGACGGACGAGCTGCTGAAGCAGCAACCACCGGGTGCGCGGGTCGGCGGAGTGCTCTTCGTGGTGGACTGGGAGGCGTGGCAAACGCACGAGAAGGCGTACCAGGAAATGCTCGGTGTCCTGAACATCGACCAGCTCGCGGGCGTACCGTTCGCTATCTTGTTCTCTGGCGCCGACCCCAACCCCGACGAGTGCAACCTCGCCGAGTATGAGAGCGTCTACGACCAGTGGCGCAGCTCCGTGCCGTCCGACGGGGAGGTAGAGGTGTTTATGGGCTCCGTCGAGGACCACTGGGGGTACAGGGCGGCGTTCGAGTGGCTGCTGAAGGACTTTGTGTGAGCCGGTTCGGCTCGGGGGTAACTGTATTCGTGCTGGGGATCTGGTTTCAGCCTGTTGGCTCTTGGCTATGTATTGTTTTAGCGGGCGGTTGGCTTCGTGTTGTTTTAACGGGCGTTTGGTTGGTTGGTTGATACCCATGAACTGGATGGAGGAGGTTGGATATACCCCTTTTCTTTCTGGGCAACGTTTTGAGATACCCTGGGGGCTCACTCGAGTCACCGTCGAGTTTATGCTTAAAAATATTCGAATTCGCGACAACCTAGTGGCATTTTATTTAGTGACTATCCACGTGGGATGCTGTTGACCGGCAATGTTTACTTCCCTCGAAACAAAGCTTCAACCCATTTGCAACTCGAAATGGACGGCACTTGAACCATGGTGCGTAATCTTGTTTACTTTCCCTCTGCCATCACCGTGTTGGTACCTATCAGCATCAGTCAAGAAATCCCCTCTTGTTACTACCTGGCATTCGACTCTGCCGGGCTGCTCCCCAGGTGTGTCCCGTGGGACAAGACTTGCATATCAAGTCACCTCGGGTCGTTTAGAACTCGGACCATTGTTGCTCGTCTATAGACCCGAACTTTGGGGTCCGCACTATTGGGTAGCCCGGTCTAGACATTTGGGATAAAGTCAGTTCCTGTGGGTAACAAGGCCATTTGGCAAGGAAGTTGAAGGAAGATGATTCGAAAAGAAAGAAAAAAAACCAAAAAAGGGGTGGTCGTGCAGGGCGGATAGAGACGGTGACCAGTGTAACACAATGCTAGAAAACACCAAACACGGCACATCAAGAATCACAGCATACTCCAAAATGATACACCTCTTATTCATGCGCGCTCTACAGAGGCCCCAACACAAAATAATACCCAAAACACTGTATACTACCACATACAACAGCCTCCCAAACCCCCCATCCATGCATTCGCATTCATGCACCTTCATAAACCACCGGCAAGCACAAAAACAAAAACAAAACTAGACAAAACAACCTAGCTCATACAACAACACCCGACCCCTCCCCAGCCGCACTCCCCTCCTCCGCTCCCTCACCGCGCGGCCCCGCCTCCACCTCCGTCTCCGTCTCGCTCTCCTCCCCCATCTCCTCCTGGGCCTCCTCGTAATCAGCCTCGGTCTCCGTCTCGGGGTGATCCGCCGCAGCTTCGTGCTCAGGCACCTGCTGCAGTCCCACCACCACCTCGCCACCACCAGCCACTTCCCCCGGTGCGTCAGAGAGTGGCCCGGTATTGGTATTACTACTACCGCTGCCGGTCCCGACTTCGACGAGCGACGACTCCGTGCCCTCGACAAGTGACCCCTCACCGCCCCCGACAAGCGACTCCGCACCCCCAACAACAACCGGCTCCTCACCGCCCTCGACAAGCGGCTCCTCCCCCTCCTTCTCCTCCGCCCCCTCCCCTTTGCCTTCGGCGGCAAGCGGCTCGCCGCCCTCGACCCAGACCTTTGCGAGCTCGCGCTCGATGTGGGCGTGGCGGGCCTTCCACTCGTCGACCTGGGCGAGCTTGGCCTGCAGGTCCTCGAGCTCGCGGCGGGCGTGCAGCATCTCGGTCTCGGTGCCGATGCGCTGCAGCTCCCAGCAGTCGTTGCGGTCGCCCTGGCCGAGGATCAGGTTGTAGGTGTGGTACTTTTTGAGGGAGGCGCGGGTCGAGATGGTGATGAGGGCTGGTGAGAGGAAGGAGTTAGTATGGGGTAATTTCGATTTTTGGGGGGTGAGGGTTTGGTGGTGGGACTTACTGATTCCCTTGTCCTTGCACGTCTGGTACAGCAGCCCTTCGACATCGCTCGAGACGGCGCTGGTGCCCTCGTCGATGAAGGCGTACTTGGGCTCGTGGTAGAGCAGCCGCGCGATCGCCAACCGTTGCTTCTCGCCACCACTCAACACGTCCTTCCACTCCTTGCGGGTGTTCCACCCGCCCTCGCGCTCGGGCAGGTACCCGAGGCGGGCTAGGTCAAGTACGTACTTGAGATGCGTGTCGTTCTTCCGCTTGTCACGCATGTCGGCCTCGCCGTCGGGGTAAATGACTTGGTCGCGGAGGGTGCCGATGCTGAGGTAGGGCCGCTGGGGAAGGAACATGATTCCGTCCTCCCCGTGGTTCTTGGGTCGGCTGACCAGGCCGCGGTAGACGGGCCAGAGCCCCGCAATGACCCGGGCAATGGCGCTCTTGCCGACCCCGTTAGGACCCGAGATGAGCAGGTGGTCACCGCGACGGATGATCATGGAGAGAGATTCTACCAGTTCGTCGCCGCCCTGGGGCCAAACCGCGGGCGCAACGATGGGAACATTTTCCAACCGTACGCCGTCGAACCCTAGCTGCGTGGTGCCTTGGATATCTGACAGGGAAAATGGCTCGTTCTCCCTGCCCTTGGCATGATACGACGCGGCATGGACCCTGTGCAAGGTCGAGATAAGCGTGTACACGCGGCTGGTGTGGCCGGCCAGCTCCGAGAGATCCTTCATCGAGTACATCATCCGGCCACCGGCGTCGGCGAGCGAGAGCATCAGCCGTTTGTTGGTGATGAAATCCTTCATGCGTGATCGCTCGCGGCCGCCCTTGACGGCGTGCTCGGCTTGCTCCAACTTGCCACCAAGACCACCCCATGCGGGCAGGAAGACGGGTAACGACGACAGGAGGTAGCCATAGGCACTCCAACTGTACTTGAGGATGAAATCCTCCAGCATGTTGTACTGGATCCTGATCCGATAGACGCCGGTCATCCACTTGGAAAGTGACGCATACTCCTTGTTGAGGAACCTTTTTTCCGTCTCGGAGCCGCCATAGAAAGCAATTTCTTCGGCGTTAGCGATCAAGCGTGAGTGTAAGCTGCGGAACTCGCCCTCCTTTCTGCCTTCGACGGCCTTCAACCTCGCGAAGGGCGGGGACAACTTCCGGAGGATGCTCGCTGTGATGAAGTAGTTGCTGGCAAGACCCAAGGAGGCTAACGGGCCGAGGGAGCGGAATAACTGGTAGTTGAAGACGCATATGTCAACAAATGGTTTCCCCAGGGACGAGTAGAGATTCGCTGCTGCGGCGCAAAAGTGTGTCAGGTCCTGCGTGATGAACTGGTCGGCTCCTGACCCCAGACCGCCGTCAAGGTTCTGAATCTTGTAATAGTTGAGGTTGTCGTTCAAGTACAAATCGTGGATGTACCGAGTTAACCGAGTGCGGAAGGCAATGGACACCTTGCATTCGAGAAACTTGATCATAGCATTGGTGTACGAGGCGAAGCCGCCGAGCCCACACCACTTGACCAGTCCCCACACGAAGGACTTGCCATTTCCCGCCACGAGATCGCGCACGATCTCGCCGTCGAGACGGGCGACGACCAGCGACATGTAGGTGCGCAGCATCAAGAAGACACCGTGGCTCACGAGTAGGCCGGCTTCCTTGCTGTTCCATCGCGGGATCATGATGCTTAGCAGGCTGAGGAACTGGTGAAGGAAGGCTAGGTTAAGGCCGGGCTTGGTCTGGGTCGATGGGACGAGCCCATCGCCCAGGCCTGACACCCTCGGGGGGTTCAGGAACAGGCGACGGTGAGCCTGGAAGGTGAGTGGCTTCGTGTTATGAATGACCACTTTGGCCGGGCGGTCGCGGTTTCTGTACGGGACGAAGATGGTGCGAGAGCCATCCTCGTTGTGAAGCCATGAGTTGGTGCGTACGAGCTTCCGACCTTGTTCTCTCTCGTCGCGCTTGCGCTTCCACCGTCGGCGTACACCTGCGCCGGCGAGGATGATGGAGGTGGCGAGGGCGAGCGTGGAGAGGAGGCGGGTTGCCCGTGAGGTGTTGCGCAGCTTAGAGCGGATGAGTTCGGCATACTTGTCGATGAAAGCGGAGATGGCCTCCTCGGCGGCCGAATGCCGTAGCGTGGACTGCGCAGCCATGATCACCGATGGCGAGCTCGGGTTGCCGCGGATGGCGCACCGCAATCGGGTCACGAAAACGTCGTGCGCGTCTCCAGATCCTCCAGCATCAGACGCACTTTTCCATCAAGTCTATCTGTAACGTGTATTTGGTTGGGTATTGTTGTTTCGATGCTTCTTTATCGAGTCGCGGAAGTCGCAATTGAGTTTGGATCGAAAGGGTCTCTGGGATGGCTCTGCTCTATTGTAGGGAGTGTTGGTGAATATGTTATCGATGCTTGATTTGGTTCCGAGGGGCCGGCCGTATTCTGATAAAAGGCAGAAGACAGATTGCTCAATGTTCGTAATTCCGTAATCTGTAGTTGGGGAGTTGTTGAGTTCTCGGCAGCCGCGATCCGCATCCGAAAGTTGGTCACTGGTGGCATGTGAAAGGTCCCGCAGCCACAGTCCGTCCCGCTCACGTCATGGAGACAGCCACTTTCCCCAGACAAACGCCACAGGGCCTGCTCTCCAGTCTCGAGCCAATCTGATGAATGCTCATCAGCAACGTTTCCCCGCACATGCTGAAGAGGTCTTGGCACGTTGGGGTTGAAGCAGCACCGGCTCCACAACACGTGCATAAAAGGTCTGAATAACTCCTGGATGCACAGGGGAAACCGGGAGAGGGGAGAGTCACCCAATGCACGTGTTATGCGGTTCCGGCGAGGAGAAGTCAACCAATATCGTCATGGGTTATTGGGAGCAAAGAGCAGAGACTTCCGCGGAACTTTGGAGGAAAGAGCAACCTTCGTACCAAGTATCCAAGTATTCGTATCTGAGTTTTACAGACTCACAGGTTATGATGAGGGACACTCGCAACCTCGAAGACTCCACAGAAACTTTGACAGATGAAAGGAAAGCCCCTGCTTGTGCCCCTGGCCGGCCCCGGAGAAGCCAGCCGGCTCGGGTTCGGGTTTATGTACAGAATATGTACAACTATCGGCCCCGGCAGCGACCGACCGGTTTGACTCTCAACTCCAGTACTTTGGACGTGAGAATGTTTCTGAGCCCGCATGCCCCCAAGATGCCGGTGCATCACTGGCGACAAGGCGGCCATGGTGAGTGGTCGGCGCTCAGTGTTCTGGGGCTGCTTGTCACTGCCCCGGGCGGTAACATAACCAATCAGACGGCCCGCCTGCAGTTCACCAGCATCCCCTGCCGAGAACCCCAATGCTGCGAGAGGATGCCATGCTCTGGACTCTGCAAATACCATCCACTGCAGCCCGGGCAATTTCTTGGCCCTGTGCGTTGGTGGATGCTGGTGTCGACGACTTGATGGAGAGCAACCTCGAAGCTTGTCTGCTGCGATGGAGCAATTGGGCGACTGGCGAAGATTCGCTTTTTGCGACGGTCCCAATCAGGCACAGCATTGGCCGACGTCCTTTGCCAGCTGGCCCTCCGATGCTCGCTGTTGGCAATGGATGCTTTGGGTCTGGCGATGCGGCGTTGAATCAAAAGCGGGCCCAATCCCCGGCGGGTGCTGCTGTTGGTTTGGGCCGTGAGCCACCGGAGACCTTACTCGTCCCACGACGGGCGGCTCTCGAGTGGCCCAGATCTCCCGCTCTCATCAGTCGCCAGTGGAAGGTAACGAGGCGCTGGCCGTTTGTCAGCCTGACTTGCGTCGGGCGGGTTTAGCCATGCGGGCGCCGGATGAGGGCATAGTATGGAAGAGGGGTGAGGGGCTTGCATGCATCGGTAGAATTCTTATTCAGAGGAAGCTGTTTGTTTGCCCATGGACCTCAATCCGATGCGAGAGACACTCTGCGCTCTTCATTCTCTTCCCCCATCAAAGCAGTCCGAGCCGGGGCATTTCTGGGCGGCGGGCCGGGCAGTGGATGGAGAGCTGAGATCAGGTACATGGCCGAAGCTGGGCCGCGATGGACCCTGTTAAGGTGAGATTGCAAACACGGCCATTAGCGCCCAAAAACCAGGGCGTTCCGGGAGGCGCCGAGCTTGACCCTTAACCTCTGCCATCGTGACTGCAGGCCCACAGTGTGCCCCAAGCGTACCTGAAGGGTGGCTAATCTCTGCAAGGCAATCCGCCATTCCACTCCTGGCTCCTTGCTCCCCCAGTCGTCCACTGTGCCTCGAGCGATCCCAGTACCTTCCCGACCCCATCACCTTTTAAGTTCAATCATCTCGCTTGCGCTCTCACGACTTCCTCAGCCGCCGATACGTCCTCTTCTCGTTCTCCATCCGCTCGGCCATCGGTTGGTTCATCGGCTTGCGATCCTTCAATCGCCGGTCTTCTTTTTTTTGGTCCCGGTTTCCATACCTCTCTTTCTCACGTCGCCCGACGCCGACACGCAAAAGCCGTGTGTGCTCGGTCCTTTCCCGATCGACCTCGCGCCAATTTCCCGCCCTGCACCGCCACCAGTCACGGTCAGATCGAGCTTTTTTCTCTTCGCGACACCAGCCTGTTTTCCCCGCGAGAACGCATATGCGAGGTTCCAACAACGGGCAGTCCAACTAGCGTCGTGACCAGACGAGCCGGGACGAGATACTTGGTAGGCATACACCGTTGAGATAGGGGCTGGGTCGCGCTGGGAAGCTCCGGATCCATTGAGGTGGGTTCCCCCCCTAGTCTACACAATCCTGCAGCCGCATCTATTGAGCGCGCGCAGGCGACGATGGCGAGCCCCTCGACTGCGCGGTGCTCTCATGCCGTGTGATTGAAATTGGACAATCAACATCGCTATTCAGGGGCGCCCATCCAAATTCTGCGCGGTGACGGCGCGCTAAATGTAGCGGGCATCGAATGCTCGCATTCTCATCGTCTGAACTCGCGAGCTAACTCGGCTGTAATAGGGTCTGAATTCGCTCACTAGAATCGCGGGCGCTGCCGTCGACGAACCACAACATGGCACGGGGTATGGAGGAGCGGCCGCAGGCCGCTGGGGAGAGCTCGAAGGAAAAGGAGACATTGACACCCGAGGATGGAGCCGCTTCGAAGAAGGGCCGGGGCCTTCTGCCAGTTCCATCAAGGTCATCTTCCCAAAAAGTCCAACCTTCGCCGACCGCCACAGGATTAAGCGGCGCGACGGCTGGTGATCCGAGAGACAGCATCGGCGGGCGCTCCAAGGAATCCAGAGCCAGTATGTTGCGACCAAACCACAATGGAAAGGCATCTAGTAACCATTTAGGTGCCGGGACAGGACCAACAGCGACACCGGGCAACTCGGAACCAAACTCGCCTGCAGTTACGTCCCACAAGAAGAAGAAGGGCGGCCTCCTCGCCCTTTTCGGCTGCTGCGGCGTGCCGGATAGCGCCAACGGAATCGACACCGAAGCACCAGTTCCGAGCCATAAGCTCGAGAAGATACCCGCACGGCCAGCTACTGCCAGCCGTAGGACAGCGACGCCTTCGGAACAACCCTCGGGCAGCAGGACCCACCTCTCCGAAAAGGATGCCAGCCAGCAAGCCCCACTCTCGCTCTCGCAAGGGTCGACAAGAAACGGGAAGCGAACCTCGGGGGTCAGCACCCAGGACCAGTCTACGGTTGGAGGCGAGCGGGACAATGAGTCGAAACAGACGACGCTCGTTGGCCCGGGCGCAAGCAACCTGGTGATCTCGGTGGAAGCACCACACACTGTGGGCGCCGACGCCGACAAGGTGGAGGAAGTTCCGGCAGAGAGGGATGCTGAGGGCGATGTGCAGATGCCGGATGCCGAGGGTTCGCGGCAACTAGGGAACCAAGGAGCCACAGGAACTGCAGACGAACCACTCCCGAGGGTTCCACCGCCACCCCCAGGACCGGTGCCAGCAGTCCCGAACGCACCCACCAGCACCTTGGCCGAAAGCCCCCCGGTCTTTGCACCCGATCAACCGCAGCGATTCCTCTTGCCTCCCCAGGCACCCGAGCACAAGGGCCGGAAATGCCTCGTTCTTGACCTGGACGAAACATTAGTCCACAGCTCGTTCAAGGTAAGCCAATGACGCAAAAGTTTTGCGAGCGTTTAAATGCTGACTGCCCCAGATCCTTCATCAGGCCGACTTCACGATACCGGTAGAGATTGAGGGCAACTACCATAATGTCTACGTCATCAAGCGGCCAGGCGTCGACCAGTTCATGAAGAGAGTCGGCGAGCTCTATGAAGTTGTGGTCTTCACGGCGTCGGTGTCCAAGTATGGCGACCCGCTTCTCGACCAGTTGGACATCCACAAGGTTGTCCACCACCGGCTGTTCCGGGAAAGCTGCTATAACCACCAGGGCAACTATGTGAAGGACCTGTCCCAGGTGGGCCGTGACCTGAAGGACACCATCATCATCGACAACTCGCCAACATCCTACATTTTCCACCCGCAGCACGCGGTTCCGATCAGCAGTTGGTTCTCGGACGCCCACGACAATGAGCTACTCGATCTCATCCCTGTTCTCGAGGACCTCGCTGGTCCCACTGTCCGGGATGTCAGCCTGGTCCTCGATGTCACTCTTTAAAGCTTTCTTTCTTCTTTTGCGGCCCAGCTTCTTCCGATCGAACTGTCGCTTGAACTGGTCATTGCCCCATTTCGAACAGCTGCAATCTTGGCCCATACCCGCAGCAAGAGCGCACATGCGACATTTTCTTAATATCCCGAGATTCGGTGTCGAGCTCATTCACAATTACGCATTGCCGTAGTCCCTATCCGACCTCCGACAAAACGGACAGCGCCGAGTAGATGATGATCATGGCCGTCTCTGATCGCGCCGAAACTTGGGGGGACACATAACGGCAATAGGACTAAAAGCAACGACGGGCTTGGTTCGAAATCAAAAAAACGTTCAACGGGAAGCGGTTTCAGGAGTTCGGTATATGTCCGAGACACGGGTTTACTTCGTTCTCTTCTCTTTTTTATTTCTTTTTTTCTTCTCACATTATCGGAGCTTTGAGTAGCAGGCAGACAGACAGGCAGGCAGCGACGGAGATTCGCCTGCGTTGTCAGATATCGGATCTTCCTGGTCTCTTTTTTTTATGTAACATACTCGGAGAGATCTTGACCATGGCTCAACCGAGTTAACCCTGCTGCAGATCGAGTCTGCACCGATCCCAGGCACCATACCCCAACCCCCTTGATGGGCACATGTCTATATTCCCGTTTCCCATTTCGTTTGTCCGTCCATACCCCCTAACGCACTCTGCCTGACCTCATTTATTCGTTCTTCTTTTAACATGGTATAACCTTCACAATGTCTGTTGTCTGATTAACACCATCCCCCAACATCATACCCCATTCCACCAGTGTACATTGAACTCTCCCTTTCCTTTTTTGCAAGTAGCATGTTTCAGAAAACAACATCGACATGGCGGCAGGGAAATTTGTGGAGGACCAGACAGTATTTTGGAAACAAGGAAGAGTTGGATGGCTTGGACTAAGTGTAAAGAATAGCTTGGGAGCTATGTCCCTATGGTCTGGTTGCATATAAGCGAGTGTACCGAGCTGTCAAAGGAGTGCATCATGAATATGGTGAGGCGTGATGAATACTGTGCAAGCGGCTGGACTGTGAGACAGTCTACCGTGTAAGTTGCCAAACCACAGGGCAACCTGAACCAGAGACAACAACGAACCCAACTCCGCCATTTCATTAGTCGCCATAGTTATTGAGCTTCGCAAAAAGAAGAGGACAGTAAGATTTTATCCTTGCTTTAATCAAGAGCAAAATAATCACTCTATCACAGCTGTACACAATATTGCCACACTTCCCCAAGTCATTTCAACGACTTTAATCTGGACACAGACCGAAAGACAGAACCCAGGCCGCTGATTGATCTCCTGATCTCCTGGAACCCATCGCTTCCATTCTTGGCAGCACGTGCCCGACCTCCCCAACGTGCCAACACAAACCACTGCCAGCTCGCCGTGGAGCCGGCCCGGGCTTGAAGGTTCTGGCCCAATCCCGGTCAAACAAAATTGCGGCGCCAAACCTCGAATCAAGCTGGAGCAGGGAGCTGTGACTTCGTGGCCTCAATTGGGAGCACGGATCACCTGCCGATAATTAGGGGCGCGAACTGCATCTCCAGCGAAACCATCGCCCAAAAATCCACCACGCGACTCCGACCGATTGACTTCATCCAGTTCACCACCACGCCGTTCATTCTCTCATTTCTTCGTCAATACCAGCCTTTTTCCGTTCTACTACCTTTCTAATTCCACAAGATGGTAAGCCAGCCTCTCAATTCCCTTTTCAACGACCAGCAAGCCAGTCAGGAAGCCAGCCAGCAAGCCAGCCAGCCAGCAAGCAAGCAAAGCAACTCGACCAATTCAAGCCCCCTTGCACACATCCTCCCCATCAACACAACACGCCTCTCTCATCGAACGAGCAAAACCACCTCCCACCCAGAGAAAACCATAGCTAACCAACCCCCCCCTTCTTTCCACAGTCCTCCCCACGCGCCGCCTCCCCCCCAACCGGCAGCGCCGCCGCCGGCTCGGCCACGGGCGCGTCGGCACGGCCCTCGTCGCCGCCGCCGCCGGGCGGTGCCCGCACGGCGATCCGGCGCCGCGCGGCCGCCGACCAGAAGGAGAAGATCGCCAACGTGCGGCCCAACAGCACGCGGTCGGCCGGCGCGGGCGGCTCCAGCAGCACCATGCTGCGCCTGTACACCGACGAGAGCCCCGGCCTGAAAGTGGATCCGGTCGTGGTGCTCGTGCTGAGCTTGGTGTTTATCTTTAGCGTGGTGGCGTTGCATAGTGAGTCCTCCTCTTGTTTCTTTTTTCCCGGTGATGATGATGGGGGGTTGGGGTGGTGGTGACCATGGGCTAACGGTTGTGACCACCTAGTCATCGCCAAGATTACTCGCAAGTTCTCGAGCTAGATTGTTTGAAGCGCGGCAGCCTGCATGGGCGAGACACTACACGGAGCCCGCACGTCGACTGTAGGAGGGAATGGTGGCCCCTTATCGACGGAGCGGGAGATACGAAGACAGGACAGGGCGTGTACGGGGGGCGACGGTCATCTTGCGGAATGCGGCCAAAAGGTGCTCTTTCGTCGGTTTCGGGTGTTGGCTGGGGATAGATACCTCGGGAAAACAAGCTGGGGATACAGCAAAAGCTAAGCATGGGATTCGGCCTTAGGTTTTGGCGTGCCTATTGCCATCTTGCAATATGTGGCCGCGGCGGATCCCGTTGATGGTTGTTGTACAATATCATATAATGCGTTGTTATGGGAATGCGAGGCTTCTTTGTTCGGGCAAACTGCGCTGCGGACGTCGTTGAGTTTTTGATGCCAGACACAAGCCCACTCGTGAGAGCGCGGATGGGTTCTTCATCAGTATAGCATTGAATGCAAGCCTCCTATGGCTTGTTCTCTACTCGTGTCTATGTTTCTCTACGACGAACTTGCTGGCGGCTGCCGGCAGGAATAGAAACTCGGTCCCCTTTGACGAAACCTATCTCCGAAAACCCACGGATCTGGGGGAACCATGTCGCTGACCGGAGAGCTCAAATGGAAGCTATCGAGGCAGCGTTACGGCTCGAATATTTAGTTATCGTACATTCCTCTACCTTGTGACGGCCGGCGCAGTTACAACAAGCCTAGTTACATGTCTAACTAGAATCATCTAACCAGGCTTCAGACGGAACTTACTACATGACTTATGGCCGGTGTTGGGGACTTCTAATTAGATACCAAACTTCTAAGTGGTGAGTTGAACGAGATAATCGAGAGAAACTTAGGTTTTGAGGAAGAGGTTCAAGTCCTAGCGAATCCCGTGCCTCTACCAAGTTTTTGTATATATTAGGGTATACGGGACCTGATAGGGATTATCTCTGGAACCGGGTCTAATTATATCTTTTAACCTCTGTAATGTATGAGGCAAAGTCAAGATTGTGAGCCCGTCACCCGGATGACTGGAGACTTGCATGACTTTTCGTCTGATATGTTTTCTTCTGTGAATAATGCCCTTTCTTGTACGGTTGGAAAACCAAAGGGCCACTCTGCCTCGTCGCCATCATCACTGACAATCTACGTAGCCTCTAGAGACGCTTTAGTGCTCCCTGCTGTTAGCGTTGTCTCACCGGTTTCGCATATCCAGGATCGAGTGCTGCGGCGGATCAAAGGTTGTCTTACCACAACGAAGGATGCCGGCCATGCGTTTGCCCATCCAATCCTTCGCGATGCCCAACCGCGGGATTGCAATCTTAGAGACATCCTACTCACCTCGGGACTGTGCCGGACCTCCCAGGGCCACCACCGCCATGCTCTCGACTGGGGGTGAATTTCAGTGCTCTCAATCCGCTTGGCCGCTGGTTCTGATGTGTGGTCGAATGTGAGTTTAGCAATTCGTTGTGTCTTTTGCGCCGCCGTTTCTAGCCGCGCCCGTCCCGTTGTCCAGCGCTCACGAATTTCTTCTTCCTCGAAGCCAAAATCTTCGAATTTGAACAGCCCGCATCGGGGAAGAGAGTGTACAAGGAAGGCGCCTGTGCGAATATGACCTGTGGCGTCCTCGCAAACGACGTGGCCGAAGTCCGAACGAGATACACCTTTCCCGGTGGGGAAACAGTCGTCGTGCACCACCAGGAGCAGGTTGTTCTCGATGACCGTGCTTTCTTTGGCGACTCGGGCGCGGCCGTCCGCCACTACGACGGCACCATAGTCGGCATACTCTGGGGCGGCATGTACCGCAGCGCGCAGGGCAACCGGCTCGAGGGCCGCTTCGTTCTCGGGGATCCTGCTCCAGAGCCCCTGTGTCTTGCCAACATCACGTTTGTTACGCCACTTCTGACGTTGTTGGAGGATATGGAAGCAGGGATTGCGAAGAAGTTGGGAGATACAGAGTTCACGCTCCGATTTCTATCACATGGCCAGGGCAGTCAATTGCCTTAGCCCTTGTGCAGACTCCGTTGGCCCCGTCTGGATTGAATGGGTGGCATTAGATCGGTGGAAACGGGAAGCGGAGGCGATTATTGGGTGTTAGGGAGGATACGGACCGGTGTGACATAGCTCTCACAAAATTAGGTAGTTAGGTAGTCGCTAGAGTTCTTTTTCTAGCACGTCTCCGGCTGGTCCCTGGCATATTCGGATGGTGGAAGGCCAAAACTTGGTGGGCGTGCGTGGTGCGTGACTGGCAACGTAGAGTTGCTGCGCGGTAATGTCTTTGCTTGGGGGCGGGTTGGGCGGCCGGGGGAGGGGCAAGCGCGGCAACAGAGACAGTGTCTCGGCTTGCTCGTTTCTAACATGATGATATGGAAGCGTCGTCATAGGGCGGTGACTCTGCATTCACGCGTCATTGGCCATGCTACTGTAGTTACCACGACCATCTATCCTGTTGTCCTCGGAGACGCGGAGAGAAAACGTGGAACTCGGTCAAGAATGGCCGAACATCCCACCTCTATTTGTCATCTGGAAAGTAACGCACTCGGTACATCTGTAAACCCCATAAACTGAATAAGCTCAGTGTTGCCAGCTTTCCGTGTGTTATGACCGGCATGGGCAAGCCGTCATGTGGCTGGGCGAGGTGGTTGTACCTTGGACATGTCTCAAACCAACTTGCAAGTCACCCGCGGGATACTGACCAATACCTCCAAAGCCCTCACCCACCACGAGTGCGCCGGCGATTCTCTCGGCCTGTAACACCACCCTAAAATGCATGTTGGCCGTGGGCCTGCAGATCGATCATCATTTACCCGGATATCGAATAGTTATGTACTTAGTTAGGCCTTCACCACTGTCACTCGGAGCGTTTGCTATTCACGTTACCGGATTGGTGCCGGGCCGAAATGTAAAATCAAGTGCCATGCCGCCGGCACCTCCATACCATGGCATTTGCGCTGATGGGCTTCTAGGATGGACTTCAAAAATAGCATACATTCCTGAGTTACTTTGGTGTAATCACAGGTTTCAACCCGTTGACTCTTCGTCGGGCTACTAACCAACACCTCGCATATTAGGTACCTAATAGAACGTTTCTCGGATTATGGTGGCCTCGTGTGATGCCCTTTCCCCTCGAAGGATCGGACCACATGTAGGGCTGTTTGCGGGTTTCGTCATCGGGCAGCGGAGATGTTGGTTTGGACGGGCGGACGGCGCAAACATGGACGGTTGCCGTCGTCAATGGAATCGCGACGCTATTTGTCGGCTCAGCTTGCCACTTTGTGGCCTTTCAGCGTTGGGTCTGGCCACTGAGAAGGACTCCCTCGCGTTGGCCGCCGCGGGGCGCATGCGGGAAACGGGCGCCCTGCATGCCCGACTGGTGCACTTCTTCAAGGGTGCCATGAGGAGCAGCGGGCAGACCATCCCTCAGGAGGCAGGCGGGTGATTTCAGCGGCGTGGCTTCGCATCCCTGGCCCTGTGTTCTGCGGCGCATTCCTTCGGCAACCACGGCCCTGCATCGCGCGCTGTCACCGGCTCGATGAGATAATGCGTGGCGCAGACAAGTGCCTTGGTGGCCCTCATACGGCGTTATTAACTGTGGCAAAAAAGCTATCCTGTCTACTTGGTAATGAATTTGGATTTTGATGAATTCGGAGTCGGGACGACTTGCGAGTCACTTCGCGGAGGATTCCTCTGGGAAGTAATGCCAAGTCTTACCGCAGCAAATCAGCCCGGACAACGGGACCCGCATCCCCGACTTGTGGAGTGTGCGGCCAGTGCGGGTAAACCCAAACCACGAGCCAATGGTGCTTGGAAGCTCCTTGCACAAGCGAAGCCTTCGATTTTACCCCACACTTCCGCTCTCGTGGACTCTCATCAGCGTGGCATCCATGGTCTTAAAGTCCCTGACAATGGGCGAATCGCAGTCTCGGCCTCAGGCTGATGGGGAATCCGTCTGGCTGGTGCTGGCGCTTGCACGCGGGAACCCCTATATTGCAACCTCACGGCCGAGCATGCAACCTTTGGCCAAGCTGCAACCTCACTGGCGTCGAGCAAAAGACAAGTCTTGCCATGACATCTCTTCCGAATGCTGAGAGCCGCCACAAAGCTTAGAGCCCACCTCGAGCCCACCACGTGTGGTAGAGGAGCTGGAGAGACCGATGGTTGTCTTTTTCTGGGCGTGCCGCCGTTCTGCGAGCTGAAGCAACTGGTCGTCCGACGCAGTGCGACATCGCTACCCATGCGGTTGGGCCAACGACGGCGGTGTATGCAGCTCAATCTTGAATGGGGCGACGTAGTTGGAGGGATATATGGCAGGTTATTTTGTTCCAGTCAAAGCTTAAAGAAGGAAGCGGTCCGCTACCGGGATATGCTGAGTTTTCTGCTCCTGCCTTTTGAATCCGCATGAAGGGCCAGCAGGCCGATGAGCTGGTGGTTCAGGCGAGAAACCATGTAGTTATGGGTGTCCATCTGTCTTTCTTCCTTGACGGCCCATGGGTTGGGTTGCGAGGTTGGCTTGCAACAAAACGCTCAACGTGGTTTTGAAAAGGATCGGCCGATTTCTACCCGTTACCAGACATACCAGAGCACAAATAGAAAATGAGGGGTCTGCCAGAGAGTCGATCTGCCGTCGCCCGGCGTTTGGGAGGTCCTTGAATGCAGCATGGAGAGCCACAGAGCGTTGCGCTTAACCCAACAAATCGAACGGCGCCCCCTCTGGGAGGAATATTCGGTGGGGTTCCTTCCTAGGCGACCCACACCCCGCCAGGAACTAACTGTTCTGGAAACGAGCCGGTTTTTCCAATCGAGTTATTGCTCGCAGGGGGGTACTTGGCAATTGTCACCATGTAAAGTACAGGAACCTACCCTGACCTCCCAGCCCTGCGTGCCTCTTCAACATTGAGCTCGCTTGTGTGTCGCTTCCTCTTCGCCGGAGCATCGAAGCTCTTGTCGATCCCTGCACTCTGCTGAGCCCTACGTCCAGCTTGTTTCTTTGCGGCTGGAAAGCCCTCTCGTTATCCTCGAACTGTTTCCAGTAGATTTCAGCATTCGGATTGCCCTGTACGATACGGGCATGCCTCGACCAACCCCGACCCGCACATGTCGCGAAACACCGAGCTGATACTTCGTTCCGATGCTGAATTGCGCAACTCGAATTGTTCCGTCAAACCGTGCAGCTTGCGTTACCCAATACTCATAGTTAATATTTGTTCGAGACTCCGAACATCGCGCGCCACTTTATGTGCCTCTTAGCTTTTCCAATACAGCTTGCCGGATGATTGCTCTCGCGCCACTCGACCCATCATCGGTATCCTGGGACTTCCTCACATCGTCCCACGAGATCAGATCGACAACAACCAACCCCACCTGCCGACTAACGCCCCGGGCGCCTGGTCTCCTCGGCGCTCGCCATGGCGGGGTTCTTCCAGAAACTCAAAGGGGCCGGATCTGTAAGTTAGACCAACCGCTGTGTATCGGGGGACCATCACACTGGAAGGAACACCAACCAACACACACACACACAAACACACACAAAGCGACACTAACCTCTGCTTTCTCCCGCCACCTCTCAACTACGTGGAACCTCGTTTAGAACTGACATTGCCACCATCTAGGGTGTTTCAAAATCCGATAGCACCACAGCCACAAGGAACAAGAAGGACGAATCTCAACCGGACTTGACACCAGTCGAGAAGCTGTTGCACAATGCGGGGCCCATTCGGGAGGATGGCAGCGACAAGTTCTTTGGGCTAGAAAATGTGAGGGCCGCCTACGAACTTAATCCTTCATAGCTGCAATTAGGACTAACCATTGTTGTTCAATCTAGTTCGGAAACACCTGGTAGGCAGAACCACACGCGACACAAGTCCAAAATCCACACGGGCAGAATACTGATTACCCTCTTCGCAGTTATTGTAATTCGATTGTTCAAGCATTATACCACTCCGAGCAGTTTCGAGAGCATGTGGTCAATTATCCTCCGCCCCAACCTGGGGACCAGTTGAGCGGAACTAGGCAGAAAGTCAACGTCACAATACGGCCTCCAGCGCAGGCAGACGCTAATGGGGCTGCTGCTGGGCCAAGCAAACCACGACAGTCTTTCAGCGGAGGCCAGCTGGCGCCCCCTGTACCACCCTTGCGGCCGGAGGACAAGCCAGATTCACCCGAGTACAAGAAAAAACAGGCCATGATCAAGGGCCCGGTATTAGAACTGGCACAGGAGAACAAGGACTCGTATGGCATGGAGGAATGCACCTTTACAGGTCTACGGGACATCTTCACGACTTTCATCGACAGCCAGTCCAGGACAGGCGTGCTGAGCCCACAGAGGTTCTTGGACATCTTCAAGCGCAACAATGAGATGTTCCGCAACTCTATGCACCAGGATGCCCATGAGTTTTATGGCATAGTGCTCAACGACGTTATTGCGAACGTGGAGGCCAACGGCAAGCGGATGCAGGAGCTGGCAGAAAGCCGAAGCGACAATGACCCGTCCCAGGCAAATGGCACAGCGTTGTCAAAAACCGGCCCTGACATGGCGACGCGGGCTTCAGGGACTGGGTGGGTACACGACATATTCGAGGGCGTGCTAACCTCCGAAACCAGGTGCTTGACCTGCGAGACGGCATCACAGCGTGACGAAACGTTTTTGGACTTGTCCATAGACCTGGAGGAGCACTCATCTGTGACTGCTTGTCTGCAGAGTTTCTCGGCAGAGGAGATGCTGTGCGAGAGAAACAAGTTTCACTGCGACCACTGCGGCGGCCTACAGGAAGCTGAGAAGCGAATGAAGGTCAAGAAACTTCCGAAGGTCCTCGCCTTGCATCTGAAGCGGTTCAAGTACACCGAGGACTACAGCCGGCTGCAGAAACTCTTCCACCGCGTTGTCTACCCTTACCACCTCCGTATGTTCAACACAACCGACGACGCCGAAGACCCCGACAGGATGTACGAGCTGTACGCCGTGGTAGTACACATCGGAGGAAATGCGTACCACGGGCACTACGTCGCCGTCATCAAGACCAAAGATCGCGGGTGGCTGCTCTTCGACGATGAGATGGTTGAGCCGGTGGACAAGCACTTCGTCCGGAACTTCTTTGGGGACAAGCCCGGAATGGCTTGTGCCTATGTGCTGTTCTACCAAGAGACGACCTTCGAGAAAGTGCGGGAAGAGATGGACGCCGAGGGTGTGGACCAGGTAAAGCTGGCCGCCCAAGCAGCCGACCTCGCTACGGCCACCGACGCGACCAATGGATCGTCCAGTCAAGTTATCCTCTCCAAGCTCAACTCACAACCGCTGCCCGCGGTAGATGAGAATGAAACACTAGCCGCGCTCGATCAAACAAAGTCGGCTTCTACTGAGGTCGACGCTACCAATCCCAGCGGCCAGCTACCCCCGCCGCTCTCCGATTCCGAAACCCACCCCCTGGCCGCAGCACCCCCAACCGGCTCGGCCGTTATGACGGAGGCAGACAAAACTGCCACTTCTTTACCCAAAACCAAGGACCAAATTGCCAGGGAAAAGAAGGAACTCAAAGCTCGGGAGAAGGCCGAGGAGAAGGCACGAAAAGCCGCAGACAAGGAGCAGGCGCGCGCCACGGCAAAGGAGCGCCAGGAGGCGCAACAGAAGATGCGAGAGACCGCTCGGCTCGAACGTGAACAGTTTAATAAAGCCATCCAGGAGAGCAAGCAGCTGGCAGCGGAGGAAGAGAAAAGGCAAAAGAAAGAGGGGGCCGTCACAACAGATACGGCCACTTCCTCCGATGCGTGTGGCAGCGATGAGCACCACTGGAATGGTTTCCTTAACCGCACCAGTCGAACAAGCAAAACCATGGCTCGCAAATCCATGACCCGCAAGAGCTTTGCTTTCCTGCACATCGGGCAGAACAAGGACGAGGACAAGAGCAGCGACACCAAAACAGACAAGATGGACCACAATGAGACGAACGGCGAGAACCACGTCAACAAGGGCGAGAGCAGCGCCGGCGGTGGGGAAAACGGCGCTCCCCACTATCAGAACGGGACCAGTAGCAGCGTCGGACCCGCCGGAAAACACCACAACCACCTCCTGCCACGGGCCATACCGCGGTCCGATACGGCACCCGGGGCCATCACCCAGCTGCGCAACTACGAGAACCACGACAAGGACAAGGATAAGGATAAAGATGCCCACAAACCGCCGCTGAAGGAGAGGTTCAGTTTTGGGCTCGGCAAGAAAAAGAGCAGCAAGTTCTTGTCTTCGTCTTAGAAGGGCATGAGACGTCTTCTGCCTTGTTGTACCGAGCCAGGGCCGGAGACTTCGCCGGCCCACGATACCGCGGCTCCGGGTCGCTCCTGATATCGGCGGCAGCGCGCTCTCGACATCGGGTTCGGGTTTGGGATGTATCCGGCCTGTGGCCTATTTGTTCATGTTGCATATATCTTGTTCGGCTATATACGTGGTTGTGGGTGTATAGAGTTGCCTCTTCCCTCCGGGGTTTGGATGTTGGACTGAATCCGACCGAGCGAGTGAGCCCCTTGGGGGGGGGGGGGATACAGCGCGCTTGTTGGATGAGTTGTGTGAAAAACAAGGGAGGGTTTGCGGAGGTTATTTGGCTTTGGCTTGTACGATCATGGCTCAGCGCGGCAAGATTCCTCGGTGTAGTATACCCGGTCCTCGGTTCATCTGACTGCGCGGAGTTTCGGGTTGAGAAATGAAGCGAGTATTACCAGCCGTGTGATGTGATCATGCTAGTGGAAGCAAATAAGTTGGAGCGCACTCGCGTTAACTCGTTCCCTGCTTCTTACGTTTCGTTTGGCCCCCTTTCCGAGTTTTATATGTACCGAGTCAGTCAGGCTTGTCACCGGCCAAAATGCATGCAGCAATGCCCGAGCCAAATACATTCCCGCCCGAAACGCCTGCAATTAACACCGGTGCTTCCGTTCCGTAGATATGACATGGCCCGACCCGTCACCCGCAGCGCTTCGGTCCACGCAAGGGGACATCAAAGCAGCCAATACGCTCTCCTCCGTCCCCGCGCTGCCAGTCTCGCCTCGTCTCGTCTCTCCCCACAATCCACCACCGCACGGCGCATACCACTTAGCCGAGGATGAGCTCGTACACTATGATGAGTGTGTTGATTATAATTAGGGGTACTGAAAACGACGCCGGGGCGCCGCAGACGTCAGCATGGTGATTCCATTCTCAAAGTGGATGGCGCGGAGCTTACCCCTCATGACCGTCCGCACGCTCGCGATCAACTGGATTATTTTGTATTTTACGCTGCTGTCTACTTCTTGCCCGAAGCCGCGCTGGTATGTCGCCGGGGCGAGGCCGACTGTGGGATGGTTGTTAGTTTGGACGGTTTGGTTTTTTGGTTCGTCTCATCCATTGGAAGTTTTGGGTCTGCCAGGTTTGGTACCCTGGGCTAGAGGCATAATCGCGACTGAGGGTTGAAAGGGAGGATAGGGGCGAGCGCAAACGTACCGCGCGCGAGGAAGCGGTCTTCGGAGGGGATGCAGATAGCGTTGAGGAGGAGGACGGTGACTGAGGTGGCAGTGCGTTAGCTGGGGTGGTATAGATTATGCGGTCGGGAGAGGGGCCGTACCATAGATGAATTTCCCGAGAATAGACATTTTGACGGAGTTGCGCACCCAGCGCTATGGTGTCGTCGCGGAGAAGGGGTGTGTGTTGCTTCGGCCTGCTGGCCTCTTTGCGCCTGGTTGTCCTCTTCGTGTTCCGGCGAGAGTTTAGTAATTAGGTTTCAATGTAGGCTGCCGATTGGGTCTTCCGCGCCGTGCGTTTGCGACCGCGACTGTGACAATCGTCGGGGAGGTCGCCGGCGTCGATGTTGGTTACAGTGGGATGCACTCCGAATGCACGACCCGATGTTGAAAGCTGGCAGGCAAGGTACGTACTGTGGTACATTGCCTCCAGAGCTGAGCTAGCTCGAAATGGAAAGGTGGCCAGAGCTGAGTTGCTTGGCAGTGAGGCTGGCCGCACGACCCTAACCCTTCCTCTCCAACTTAGCTATGTCTCGGTTTTTGAATCTTTTACTCTCTTCGATGTTGAGTCTCCGAGTTCTTTATTCGTATGCCCATCTCGAGATGCAATGTATACCTACATTTACGTGTTGTGGATATGTAAAATATCATACCGATCAGCTACACCAACGCAGGATTATGAATATATTCAGTTATCGATTAATTGTCTTGGGATCTGCGGGCTTGAGGGGAGTTGATCTTGGATGGCTTCCATGTGTCTGAGGCGAGAGTTATCTGCCCACGGACCAACGGTCTCTGAGTTACCAGAGACTGAATCGAAAGGCTCAGGCTTGTTTTGAGTTCAACCAGAAATGCACCAACCAGGAAAGCGCTGCCCCTGGCAGGCTCGTCCAGTCATCAAGGTTCTCAGTCGACGACGGCAACTGCCAATGTGGAAAGAGCGGCCCATGTGATTGTGATTCATAGGCCTTGCCAACTTGCACAGTAAACTTCAAATTTTCATCGCGGATTGGTCTTGGGCTCTCGGCCTCTTCACGACATGCACCGAACTAAGCCCGAAACCGCAGATCAGGAGAGCAGCAGGCCGATGTTGTTTTGCCATCCTTCAACGCAACTGGAACATTAAAAGCCTCAAAGGCTCCACGACTCACTGCCACCCGAAACACGCAGCCGTGTTGAATTGGCTAAAGTCTTCTTTCTGTCGGATTTCATCCAAGCCTTTCTTCAGTCTTTGTTCGCCAGCAACTCCTGGCTCACCGTCGGTCAAGGTCAGGTGAGCAGAAAACATGGAGATACTCCGGCGAAAAGGAAACCCACTGTGGACTGCTCTTCCATTGTCTTTCTCCCAGTTTGTAATTAACCGGCCCCCCTGGTTGGCGCGGGTCTTTAACAGGCTAAATAGCGGGCGTGGCCGGATACCGGGTCAAGTCGAAACTCCAGACTCCAGCACGGCGCCTCGCGGCGCACGCTTCACCTCGTTCGGAGGGATTTCCCTACATTCCACCGGCATCGGCCAGGTGATCAGTTGAGATTTCGTCTGGCTGTGGCCAACAGCCGCCCCGAGACCAACCGCAGCCGTCTGTTTCCGGTCGCGAGCCGCCAGGACGTTGCGCCTCTACGACCCTGTGAGAGGGCACCCTGCCAGATTCGGGGTGCCTGTTACACGATTGGGGGGTTGAAACCCAAGACGAGTTCTGCCGCCGTGTGCATGAGGCTAATGGGCAGCCCGACTCATGAGTGACGCTCCTTGGCTCCAGAAAGGAGTCCACATTTCTCCAGCGAACAAAAGGATTCCCGTTTAACCCGCGCAAATGGAGACCGTCCGGACGGCTCCACAGCCTTGGCCATCTGTTGGTGGACATCAGGTTCCTCCATTATCCAGGCGAATCAGTGAGCACTCTCGGAAGCATGCCCGGAGATCTGCCGTGCAGGCCATCTCAAGCCTCGCCTTCGGCCAGTAGAAGTGGCAGTTCTCCACGGCAACGGAGATCGAAGGCACGGTAATGGACCCCTGGCGTGCTTCTCGCGCCGAGAAAGACCCCGGCGTTCAGCCTTGGGCTCCCGCGCCCATATGACGATGGGAGCGGGTCTGAATGGGGGTTTGGAGGGGTCGTGGTACCTGAGTTGCTGGAGATACCGCCGCACGCGGGACGGTATGACCCTGCTCGGCGGCACATCATCTAGTTGAAGCGCGCGACTCGGCGGAGCGCGGCATGGGCTCCAGCATGGCCTGGTGTCACCCCTCCCCTCCGGCTCGGAAAGCTTACGGAGAGCGGCAGACCGTATAAGTAGCGCAGCAACCCCTCGATACTCTCGAAGCCCCCCTTGGTTTCCCCCGAACTCTCATACCATTTCCCATCCATCTTCTCGACCCCCCTTCGCGGACAACTCCCCAAGTGAGTCTCCCTGCGCGCTCTGCCCCCTACTGGCTTTACCCGACAACTCGCTCCCCGAGTCGTTGTGCCGGTCGATTTCTGACTTCGGTTTCACAGAGTCGCAAACCGTTCCCCGGAAGAGAATCCATAAATCGACACAATGGCTCCCGTCATCAAGCTCAACAGCGGCTATGACATGCCCCAGGTGGGCTTCGGTCTCTGGAAGGTCGACAACGCTGTTGCCTCGGATGTCGTCTACAACGCCATCAAGGCCGGTTACCGCCTTTTCGACGGCGCTTGCGGTAAGTCACACTTGCCCGCTCCTCACCTTTTTTGTCACCGTCCCGCAGACAATGGCTGTGTGCTCTGCTTTGACATTGGAGCACGCGCCGCGCAACGTGGAGGGGCAGGGAAGAACGAGGAGGAACTACCCCGCCCCCTCGGTCTCTTCTCCACCCCACATGCACTGTTGGATGGAGGGGTCGAATTCTGCCGGACCCTTGCCGGAAGCGTCAGCGGGACGGGAGGTGGATCAGTGTGGGACTGTGCCAAGGGGCGCTTCCATCTACTCGCATCTACACAAACACACACAGAGAGGGACAGCGGCTGACCTAAGCATAAATAGACTACGGCAACGAGGTTGAGTGCGGTCAAGGTGTTGCCCGCGCCATCTCGGAAGGCATCGTGAAGCGTGAGGAGCTCTTCATCGTGTCCAAGCTCTGGAACACCTTCCACGACGGTGACCGCGTCGAGCCCATCGTCAAGAAGCAGCTCGCCGACTGGGGCATTGACTACTTCGACCTCTATCTCATCCACTTCCCCGTTGCCCTCGAGTGGGTTGACCCCGCGGTCCGCTACCCTCCCGGCTGGCACTACGATGGCAAGAGCGAGGTCCGCCCCAGCAAAGCCACCATCCAGGAGACCTGGACGGCCATGGAGTCCCTCGTCAGCAGCGGCCTCTCCAAGAGCATCGGTATCTCCAACTTCCAGGCCCAGCTGATCTACGACCTCCTCCGCCACGCCAAGATCCGCCCGGCCACCCTCCAGGTCGAGCACCACCCCTACCTCGTCCAGCAGGAGCTGCTCAACCTCGCCAAGCGCGAGGGCATCGCCGTCACCGCTTACAGCTCGTTCGGCCCCGCCAGCTTCATGGAGTTCAACATGCAGCACGCTTCCAAGCTCACTCCCCTTATCGAGGATGAGACCATCAAGAAGATTGCGGCCAAGTACAACCGCGACCCCTCGCAGGTCCTGCTCCGCTGGGCTACCCAGCGCGGCCTTGCCATCATCCCCAAGAGCACCCGGCCCCCTATCATGGCGTCCAACTTCCAGAGCATCGAGTTCGACCTCTCCGAGGAGGACATCGCCGCCATCTCTGCCTTCGACCGCGGCATCCGCTTCAACCAGCCCGCTAACGTAAGTAACCGACACAGCCCCGAAGCATGTAACCATGATACTAATGACTGTGACTATAGTACTTCCCCACCGAGATGCTCTGGATCTTTGGTTAAATGCTTTTCGTAGCAACCAATATTGTGCGGGGCGGGCGCAATCCCGCCCTGGCCTGACTGGCTGAACACAGAAGACAAACCTGGCCGATCGCTGGCTTGTCTTTCACCGATGGCCCTTTGGCCCATTGACCACAGGGGGCGCCCGGCGGGAGGGAGTTCCCCTCCCATCAGGCCTTGTCACGACTGGAATGAGAATTATGTCAGCTCCGTCGCCTGCCCGACGATAGGGGGGTGACTTGGGGCCGTGTGTTATTTGATATATCCGCCACATATATCCGGGGGGAATGTGTCTCATGTCATGGGGATGGGTCTCGTTTTATGCACTGCATGGCATGCTTGTTTGGTGGAATTTCCATAGAATACATCCAATTTGACGATGCCGGTCCCACTCACTACTGTTCCCTTATTGCTAGATCTCGTGAACGTGGCGGAAGGGGGTTGGCCTTGATTCTGAATTCTTAATCCCTTGGCTTGCCAACATTACTACTGTCACGATTATCACCAACCACCGTCTATAGATCCCCCTATCTCCCACTCGAGGTATGCCGTATCCCGACATCCGCATCCTTCCGAGTAGATGGTTATTCCAGCCGAGCTTGCCCTCCTGCCCGAGTACTCAGCCGCCCCTTTCCCAAAACATCGAAACCAAAACAAGGCAACCAACACTTCTAGCACACCAGCTCCCTAATGCCGGAGGTGGCAGGTAATCGGCTATACTTGCGAGCTGCCAACATGCCACTATCTAAGCCTAAATAAAAGACCAGAACACAAAGCCCATCCCGACGGCCCGGCTGTGCTTCCAGCGCGCTGGCTTCGCCCCTGACTTCCTAAGCACCCAAAACGCCGCCGCATGCTATCGTACGTGGTATAGTTCGCTCTCATTTTCCCCCTTTGAGGAGTCGAGCCATACCCTCCACCCGTCGTTGCGCATTATTGCTATATACATACATGTCTACGAAACCCTTGTCCTGCCCAACTGGCCCCCCTGGGCGGTATACCACCCGGCGATAAATGTCGAAAGATCAAAAACAACGCAGCCCCTCGCCAATAACCCACCCACTCACGTCCGCACAAAAGCTACGCACCACGATCAGCACCCCCCCATCGAAAACGAACACACCCAAAGTGGGTTTAAGTCAAGTCAAGTTACGGAGGGAAGGAAGGAAGGAAGCGAAGGAAGAAGAAGAAACTCACTGGCGTCGACCTGGCGGACCTGGGGCAGGGCGAGGCGGACCTTGTTGCGGTAGAGGGCCGGGGCGCGCAGCTGGAGGGGGTTGCCCTCGAAGTAGACGGTGGAGAGGGCGGGCTTGTCGGCGAGGGCGCGCTCGACGTCGGCGAAGTCGGCGACGCGGTTGTAGCTGGCCCAGAGCTCCTCGAGCGCCGCCAGCGGGCCCAGCCCGTCCGCCAGCGTCCCGACCTGGTTGTTGGACACCTCGAGCACCCGGAGCCGCGTGTTGTGCTCGATGCCCGAGAGGGTCTCGAGTGCGTTGTGCGAGATGTACAGCTCTTCGAGCTGGGGGACGTCGCGCAGTGGCGAGAGGTCGCGGATGCGGTTGGATTGGATGGAGAGGAGGCGGAGCTTGGGGAGGCCCGATAGGCCGGCGAGGGAGGTGATTTTGTTCTTGGCTACCCAGAGCTCTTCGAGTGCCGTGAGGGCGTCGAGGTTCTGGAGCTCACGGATGCGGTTGGAGCCGAGCTCGAGGGTGCGCAGCTTCGTGAGGCCCTCGAGGCCGTCGATCTTGGAGATTTTATTGGCGACGAAGTAGAGGTCGGTGAGGTTGGTGAGGTGGGAGATGTGCTTGATGTGCTTGATCTTGTTGAAGGAGAGGTCGAGGGAGGTGAGGTTGGTGAGGTCGTCTAGGCCGCGGATGTGGGAGATGAGGTTGTCGTAGAGATCGAGGTCGTTGAGGGTGGAGGCGAGACATGAGAAGCCTTCCATGTCTTGGATCAGGTTCTGGCGGAGGCAGATACGGGCAACCTTCTTGAAGCGCTCGAGACGTAGGGCGGGAATCGACTTGATTCGGGAGTGGGTGCACATGATCTCATCAGTCTCGGGGTCTTCGTCATCGAGCAGGTCTGATACGCAGTTAGCTTTCCGATGCCATCCCGGATACGGCCGGCTTCTTTACCCTCATCTGCAGCGACCTCGTCGCCAGGTACGACATTGTCATCGTCTGAATACTCGGGATCCGAGAGCGCTTCCGGGTTTGTGAGAATGGCGCTTTTGGGCACACGCAGCTTCCCATCCCAACCCTTGCTATCCCTAAGCCCGGGACTGGCTTCACCGTCGTGACGCGGAGAGGGATTGTCGTCGACCAATTCGATGTGGTGACCGGGCGTCCGGGATTCTTCTTCTAGTGGTGCTGGCATGGCGAGCGGTGTGTTCTGCGGGTGCGGATGTGAATTGCGGGCTTCTCCTTTCTTGTTGAGGGAAATCGAGGGATCGTCTGCGGGAGATCAAGGCTTTGAAGGTGCCGAGTGTTATTGTTCTATTTGAGGCGCAGGGTCAAAGAATGGCTTGCACTGTGTATTAGAGGCAGGTAAGGCCATGCGTCAGGGTCGCAGTGGATTCCCGAGACGGCCAACCGAGGAGGGGCGCCGCTTATCGAGGTTATCGGACCATCGCCCAGCCACCCCACCAACCGCGCGCTCCCACTCTTCGTTACCCATGGAAACGGCGTACGAGAAACGATGACACGGACGGGATGAATAAAGCAGGGGCAAATCCGACAATAATTACAAATGCGAATGGCTATATTCCTTAAGCATCATACTGTGTAAGAGAACGACGAGTCAAGAGATCCGACTTGGCTGGCAACGACTGACACAGCACACGATATACACAACTCGTGAATTACGCTGTATGTATGGTAAATACGGCGGAAGTTCGACTCATGCAAGCCAGGTCGAGCTCTTGTGGGGCTAAACCCCAACATCACCGGGAGCACCTTCATCTTCCAACCCATGAGAGACTTATTCCAAAAGGTTCCAGATCGCCGTTGTCCATTGCTCGTTCAATCGATAAAGATCCGCCTCGCAGATGTGTGACTCTCGTCTCCCGCCGAGTTTCACGTCCCTTACATATCTTTTGACAGCTCATTCGTGGCACGCCGTCGAGGGGCGGAACCTGCATTTCTTGCCGACGAATTGCATCCCGACAACAACCACGTCAGAACTGCTATCCTCAAATTCCCGCCCAACCAGGCCAGCCCAATTCGAACGGTTTTAAGTTTTGACTCACTGAATTGACGAGTCGGGACCCGGCCGCGGAACAGCCCGAAACAGAGGACGAGTGGGAGACGAACACATGATTCCCTAGGCCATGGCATGAGCAAAGCTCGAAGGGCTTGCCAACCTACTCTCGGGCCAGATCTCCGTGCCCAATGCCGGGCTCGTCTGCTATGATTGCTCATGGCCGGATGGTGCGGGGAGTCCAATGGCAACTGAGGCGTTCGTTGCACGCTGGACGCAGCACTCGCCTCACTTCAGCACACCCCTGGGCATTCGTGAAGCGTGAGGCGCTGTTGGGAGCTAGCCACCATCGGGTCCTGTTTGCTGGGAGGAGCTGTCGCAGCATTCACATCCCGACCGTGCTCCTCCCGCCCGTGGTCTTTACCGGCCTGCTGGTGGGGTTGTGGATCTGGTATGTTCTACATAGGAGAACATTGGATCAAACACATCACTAATACCTCGAACTAGGAAGTGCGTCATGATGGTGGTCTTCCAGAACAAGATCATCTACATGCCCGGACTACCGCCAAGCTCCCGCCGGGAGCAGATCGCGGACTGGGCCAGCATGTGTGGAGGCGTCCAGTGGACCGAGGAGAGGACGGCGGCTGCGGACGGGACCGAGCTTGCCCTCGCCGTGACTACCGTTCCTCTACCGAAAGATAGATGTCCGGGCGCGGCAGCACCGGAGGTTGCCGCTGCGCATGTCTATGTTCTCTACTTTCAGGGTTGGCAGTCATGAAACCGGAGGCTTGCGATTCAGCACTGACGTGGTCCAGGGAACGCCTCATCGATACCGCCACGGCTGCCCGACTTGTCTTGGGTTCTTCGGGCTGTGAGTGACAGCAAGGCCCCCGTGCTAGCGCCGATGCAGTTGACGTTTGTCTGTCTGAGCTACAGAGGTTACTGGACCTCACGTGGCCGCCCCTCAGAACCCGGTCTTCGGCTCGACGCCGAGGCGGGTGTGCGGTGGATTACCGAGCGCCACGAACGAGTTTTCGGGAGTGTCGGGGCCACCGACCCCATTTTGCTTGTCTGGGGGCAGAGCATCGGAGCAGGGGTTGCAACGAACCTCGCTGCCACTGGCCGGGTTCCTTCGAGCATGCCGATCCGAGGCCTCCTCCTCGAAACTCCCTTTGTGTCAATCAGGGCTATGCTGGAGACCCTGTATCCCCAGAAATGGCTGCCGTACAAGTACCTCTGGCCGTTTCTCCGGAACCATCTGGATAGCTGGGGGAACCTGGGGCTGATCGCCCAAGCCTCAAAGGAGAGCGGGGCCGCAGCGCCCATGGTGTATATCCTCGAGGCGGACAGGGACGAGCTTGTCCCGAAGGAACAGAGCGACCGTCTTTATCAGAGGTGCGTGGATCTCGGCCTGACCGTTGAGAAGGGAACTGTGCCAGTGGCATACCACCAGCAGGCGATTGCCCGAGGGGATGGGAAAAAATTGGCCGCCCAGGCCGTCCTGAAATTGGCCCAAAATGCGCGAGACAGCGGTTGAGAGCTTTTTTCACCTAGGTTCTGTCTCGAATTTCTTTTTCGAAAATTTCGATTGTGGCAACACCATTTTTAGCGGTTTCCATGGCCTGGAGTTGCCCCTGTCTATCACCCCGGATGCGGTCCGATAAGTCAAACTTCGGTTCCGGCCCAGACGGACGGAAAGAAATACAGATTACGAAGGACAGCCCGGTGGAAAAGGAGGCAAAAGCTGGGGGGTCATGCCAAGGGGGTGCATTACCCAAAGTCTTTCCGTGCGTGCCGTGTGAAGTCTTTCCTGGTTGATTGCTTCATCAGCGAGCGGCACGGTTCGAGCGGCCGTTTGCTCCGTGCTTCTTCTTCTGCAGGGGTCTTCTCAACGTCGGGTCAACGTTGCGTGATCGGGTTGCCGCCTCCGTCCCAGGTGTGCAAATGTTAATCTTAAACGGCGATCCACCTCGTCGCCAAGACTCGAATTCGAGACTCGAGATCGAACGCACATGGTGACATGGCCAATGCTTTGTCTTGAAGTCTGGAAGGAGTCAATTGATCTCCCATCTTCGAGGCATCGATGAGTCGTCCCAAGAGATGCGGACCAGGCCGCGGGTGACACATTCCATCATTTTTTCGCCATCGCGGACTTCGTCATCGCTTCAGCCTGCTGCTGCCTCACAGCGATCGGCTATCAAAAGTTCACACGGAAGTGAGTGTGCCTCGGCGAGCTCGGTAGCCTTGCAGCGTAACATTCCAATTTCTCAGCCTTTTCCAGAAAATCCAATTCACCCTGGGCAATTCCATCCGGCCTCGCCTAGCGCCAGTCTCCACGGCATTGAGCACATGGAGACATGGAAAACCCCTAATCATCCCGAATATCCTGGTCTCGCACTGTCGTTTTGCGACCCGGCTTGCTTTTCCGCCCCTTGCTCAACCCAGCCGGCGACAGTTTGCAGGGAGGAGCCCTGATTGCTTCCTGCAAAATTTCGTGCAGCTTGTCTTAAAACGGTAACCAAGTCAGGTGATTCCGTGTTGGGACAGCGTTCCCCGGACCCATTTTTACGCGTCGAATCACGTTGGATACCTTTTGCTGCCGCCGAGACAAGGTGTGTCCACCCATGATACCAGGCATCACTGCATTCACGGCTCCCTCCCAAGCTTTAAATATGAGGCCCGGTCTTCCCTCGCCGGAAATGAGATGGGAAAAATTTTTAACCATCCTCGTTTGAGCCCACCCGAGCTTCACTTATTAAGGCGGTAGGTCCTCGCTCATCACCAAACCATCGGGTCATCGACACCTGAGCTTTTCGTTATCGGTCTTTCATCTCTTTCATTGTCTTGATTGTCTTGCATTGTCCATCCTTCTGTTTCGCAACCCCGGCCTCCCGTCATCGCCCTCCACATCGCATCGACCACGACCGTGCCCGACGACCCCACAATCCCGGACCGAGTCAACGACATCTTCGGGCCTCCGAGCCGAGTTGGGTGGAGCAAGTAAAAGGAACACAGCACAAACGACGTCGGCGTAGTCCAGGGATCAAGATGTTTTCTCGACGCTTCGAACCGTCTCAGACCAAGAGTGTCTCCTCCAAGTCTGGGAGGTCTCGGAGAGCCAGCTCGTCCTTCACCAAGGAAGCCGGCATCTCTAAGAGGCCCGTTGAATCTGGTCGCCGCCGTGCCGGTACCTTGTCCAATGCGGGCGCATCCGAGTCTACCCTAGGGTAAGTCACCGCGAGCCGGTACACACCCTCAAGAGTAATTCCAAGATGTTGACATTCCTTTGCTGTAGTGGTTCCATCTCGGCCATCGTTACCCTCGTCGTCGGTCAGGAGCAGCGGATCTTCGCCGCCCATGAGAACATCCTTGGCGCCTCGCCTTTCTTTCAGAGCGTCCTCAAGAACCAGTTAATGGACTCCCAAACCAAGAAGATTTCGCTTCCCGACGAAGAACCCGAAGTCTTCTCATCGATTCTCGAGTTTCTCTACAAGGGCGACTACTACCCGCGGCTGGTGCACAACAAGAAGCGGAACTCGTGGGAGCTGGAGCAGGCCGGCGAGGATGGCCGGTCTGAGGCGACCGTCTATCACCACACCGTCGAGGGCGAGCTTCTGAAGGACACGGCCATCTACTGTGCTGCTGACAAGTACGGACTTGAGGAACTGAAGCGCATCTCTCTGCGCAAGCAGGGTCTTCGTAAGTCGACTCCTTCAAGTTGTGCCTCTGTACGCCCGGCCTTGCTGACCAACGAAAACAGAGTCCGGCATCCAAGCGAGCACCATCTTGGCCTCGGCTCGCTACGCCTACGCCAACACCCCCGACACCGACTCCAAGCTCCGGGCTCACTACCTCGCCCTCATCATCCGCAGCCGCAGCACCTTCAAACGCAGTGGCACCATGCAACTTGAGATGTTCAACGGAAACACTCAGCTCTTCTTCGACCTGTTTGTCGCCTTGTGCAACCATGTCGATGACATCTCGAGCGCTGCGTAAGTTTTACCGTCTTCCTCATTAAAAGCACCTTGGCGCTAACAAGTCATTGTACAGCAGCACTCCTCGGACTCCTCGCAGCGGCCGCCCTTTCTAGGCTCCGACCTCTCTTTCGCCATACCCCCTTTTGCACAAGACGATTGATACCCAACCCCCAACACCCCTCACCAACACCATATGATACCTGCCCCTGATGGCGTTCTCGACTCTGCGATGGATGATGCTTCATACCCCAGCCTCTTCGATTCTACATCTTATGCATACGACTTTTTCAGCACTAATACGGTCTAATTTTTCTGTTTTCGGCTTGGGCATAGACGTTTTCCATCATCGTTTCATGATTTTGGCGCATTGGGGCGGATCCGGTTGGGTTTATTTCCTTTTTTTCCCAGTCATGTTCTGCATTGGAGTTTGTCTCATTTCTACACTCTTACTGTCTGTCTCCTAAACCTCAAACTTGTACCAACAGCATACCCATACCCTGATGACACGACCTCTTGGTGGCGGAGGATTTCTGGTTTTGGCAGTTTCTGTTTTTCATTGAATTTCACGTTGGAAAGGATGATGATTTACCCCTGCTTGAGAGATGCCGTTTTTTCCACGCGGTTGCTTTGATGGGCATGGGTTTTCTTTTCTGGGTGGAGATCTCATTTTACAGTGTTTCTTTGACGGCGGCAATTCTACATATGAGAGTCGAGTCTACCGGTGGAGACTGAACATGGGGAAAAGGAGATCTGAGACAATCTTTGCTTCTCGCTCTCGTTCATCACGCGTTTCGAGCAAGGGTGTTTTGAGGCATGTCTCGGAAACGGCACTGCCCAAGGAGGAAGATTCCAACACCAAGCTCTGGAAACTCTGGTGCTCATTCTCTCGCTACAATACTACCAAGCAACCAGCCAACCCCTGTCCCAACCTTGAATGTCATGCAGTGCCAAAAGCGTTGTTCTTGCCACCACTCCTTCATCTCGGTGGAAACCACGCACGGCGAGCCCGTGGTAACCAAATCAAAGGCCCACCGACCCATCCTGACGGATCGGGTGGATCACCACTCCAACACTAAAACGTTAGCGTCAAATGTGAAAACCGCCGGACCGGATCAGTCCGCGGGTCACGAATCTGCAAGGGCTTGTCCGAGCTGGGAATATCTTCAGGGGTTGATGTCTTGGCTTTCCTCGAGATTTTTCACGTCATTTCCGTTGCAAAAGAAATTTCAAAAAAAAAAATCTTCGGTTGTCAGAAACGGAAACTGCAAAATCCCCGGACAAGACGGCGAGGGACGAAAAGGAGGCGACAGCCCGAAACGGTGCCTCAAAAAGAAGCGAAATGCTTCGGTGATCCGAACAAGAAACACGAGTCCAATCCAACCCAATCCAACAACCCAATTGCAATCCCGTGTCTGTGTGTGTCCGTCCGTCCTGCCGCGGACCACTTCCAGTGTGACGGGACGGGCTGAGCACCCGCGCGTGAGTCACTTTTTCACGACGCGCCCCCCCAGCGCGTCCCGCTCGGTAGATTGCATGGGGCAAAAACCACCGAGCGTGCGCGCGAACTGTGCCCGTGTGCACGTGTGTGTGTGTGAATCCCTTTGGTGCCTTGTGTGCCTGGGCGACTTCAGCCCGCGGGCCAAGCAAGCCGGAAACGGGAAAAAGTGCGGGGAAGCAGAGGGGGCGTTCCTTGGTTCTGGCCGGTGCAGCGTTCCTTTTCCGGTCAGTTGGTGGGAAAAAAAGCCAGGCGAGCCAGGGGAAGGGAATGTGAGGCGGGCGGGAAAAAGGGGTGATGTTTGCGTGCGGTTGCTTGATTGGGCGTTTCTAGAGCAACAACCTTGCGATTTCCTGCCGTGCATGCAGCTTGCAGGACAGCTGTGGTGAATCATGAGATGGCTGCGTCGGTGCACAAAGATGGGCGAGGAGGGTTTTTGTTTGAAAGTGTTCGAGTCGTGTTCGAGGTCTCAAAAAGGGGTATCTCTCGTCAATATTCCGCGCTCTACGAGCAAACTTTGGCTATCTCGATCTATGCTGAGCAAATAAACCGGCCGTGTTCAATGGCACAACTACCCATTGTCCCGCCGTATTTCGAACCGCGACATGAGACAAATCGACGGGACCAAATCCTGTGGTCCACTTTGCCGCCGCTTTCGAAGTGAGCACTGGCTGGTCCGCAAATCGGCCGAGCTGCAAGGGATGACAAGCCTGCTGTCGGCTTCCGCCAACGGAACCCGGCCCCCTCACACGTTGGTACCGGGAAAAGCCCCTGACTTGCTGAGCACGACAATGCCGTGCTGTCGGGAAATGTATCCCTTCATATGGCCCTGGACGGCAGTCAGCAAAATGACTCATTGCTGGGGCAACAGGTTACACCAATCGGGTTGTTTGCATCGCGAGTGATCCTGCCTTGAACCCTCAGGCAGAGAGATGTCTGACAAGGCACAAGCAGGCACCAGGTATCAGGCATCAATACCGGACAGCTGCAGACGGGAAGTGGGCAAACTCTCGGCTGGCGTTGGAAAGGGGGATTTCTCCGGATGGGTGCACCACGGCAGATTTGACTCACCTTGTAGATCATGTTGGCTAACAAGCACTCGACCTCGTCGTTGTCGATTTTTTCTTGACTTCCGAGGCTAATACCAGCGGCAAATTCGGCCACTGGGACGCGAGTGCGGCGAGCCGGCTTTTCTCCTTCCTTGGCCTCCTCGAACCCACGGGCGACGAAGACTTTTCGAAGTAGGTTTCGCAGCGCAATGTCTCGGCCACGCTCCAGAGTGAGGTAGATGCGGCGTTTGACGAATTCATCTTCGCCTTCCTGCAGCGCTAGGTCGAACTTGTGCAGCTCTCCCCTTTTGATGCATCGGCAGAGAGGCAGGAAGAGCCTCTGCAGTTCCGGGAACGGCTCCAGTAACTTTTCTGCCGGAAGAGTGTGACTCTTGATGAGATGACACGGGATGAGGTACCCCAAAATAAGCCTTGTTCCCATGTTAGCAAGCCGGTAGCACCACCCAGCCAATGCTGAATGTACTTACTCCTTATTCTTCATGGCGTCCTTGTGGCAGAGGTTCCATGCCTCCGTCAAGCATTGCTCCGCCTAGAAGGAATTAGCATTGGTTCAGTTATTCAGTCATCTTCTTAACAATACCAAGACGTAGTTCTCCTCCAAGAAGGCAAGGACGCCTTCGTGGTACTTGAAGGTCACTTGTTGAGATTTCGGAAAGGCTGAAAAGTCGGGCATATCTCGCCCACCCGCACGAAGGCTATTGAGTATATTCTTGGACAGGGATGCCGAGTTCAACTTGAAGTATGTCTTGAGAAGCAGGTTGGCGATGTAGTAGCTGCCCCACTTGCGGGATTCTTCAAGTGGTGCCCTGAGATACTGTGAGATTGGGGACTCCTTGGGTCAAGATGATGTACCTACCTATCTGTCTGGCAGACCATGAAGACTCTGGACAGGACCCTGGCACAGTCTTCCAACTTCTGGCGCTTGTTGGTTTCCGGGTCAAAGTCGTCTTGGAGAATCGCTGCAGCATCGTCGAACGAGCTGTTGTTGTTCCGCTCTTCGTCTGCTTGCATCGCGAAAATACGCAGGTGCTTGCATACGACGTACATGCAGGGGATAGTCCATGCCTCGAAGCCCCAGTTCTGGTACCCCCGAAGTACGACATTCAGTAGCTCCGTCCAGGTCTCGTAAACTTTGGTCCAGAGCAAACTTGATGACTGTGTCTCTAATTAGCATCGACTTAAAGATGACAAGTCAAAAAGGCCTGGTTGGGGACGTTAAGGACATGCGAAGGCGCTCACCTTACTGCTGTCATTGCTCGATTCTCGCGCTGCCAGTATCACACCAGTGGCATTCCAGTATGCCGCGTACACCTCCACCCAGCCGTGGATTTCTTGCTGATCAAAGTCGACAGTGAGTGCATTCAGTCCGCGCTTAAGTGCACCCTTGATACTGTGAGCATTTTGACTCCTGCAGATCTTCCTCAGTTCTTCGGTCGGAATATCCGGCGATAATGTTTGTGCAAGTTGATAGCCATCTTGCTTAGAGAAAATATCGGTAAGATCATTGAAGAAGGATGTATTAAACGCCATCTTAGAGAACACGGGCTGCAGAAGATGAGAAATCTGGTTGTAGATGCGACTGTCCCGTTAAAGTTGTTGAGTCGGAGTCGAAGGTTCGACCCAACCTAGAAGTAGGTGTGTTTCGTTGTTATTGTGTTATTGTTTCTGCTTGTGCTGGGAGGCGATATTCTCAATGTTATGAGCACACTTAAACTCTTTGTTTTGAACTCGGCTCCGCGTCAGGTCAGGTCGTTGCTATTGCAGGGATGCGAATGAGAGCATGAGGCGAAAGCTTTGGGCGCCAGGTTTCATCTGATTGGCGTTGGGGTCTTCGCATGCTTCCGGAAAGACGACCCCACGTTGTGTGGCGGTGCGGGACAAAAGCACCGCCACATGAAGGTCGGCTTGGCAGTAGTGGTTGGCCCAAGCGCCTTGAGCCCTAAACCAGGCGCACCCAAATTTTTCCTGCTTTCGCGATCGCTAATTCAGGACTCGGACAGCTCACCCAACGACTTCGTGATTTGCAGCGGGAAACAATCACAGTAAGTCCCCGAGTACCTACAGAAACATATTGTCGAACGAATTTCTAACGGTGAAGCAGATGGGTAAGCAATTTTCTTTCTGCACTTCGTCCTGTCATTGCATCGCCGGCGACGATCCGAATACCGACGACCCCACGATCGATATTCAACGGGAACCGATGCCATAACTCGATCAACGATCATTCGAATGGAGGGTACTCGACGACGGGATGCGGTGAATTGTTGAGCTTGGGAGGGTGTGATATATGACGTGGATTGGTTTTGATGCAACAACATCTCCCTCGACCGACCACCAACCTACCAACCTTGACTTTCCGCCTGCCAATAACCACCGACCGGCGATGCTGCTCTCACGGCAGCCTTCTCATCTTGCACTGCGCTCAAGCACAATGGAAGCCCAGATGTACTGACAGCATGGTCCAGGTCGTCTTCAGGAATACCAGGTGATTGGGCGCCATTTGCCCACGGAGGCCAACCCGACCCCCAGCATCTACCGCATGCGCATCTTTGCGCCGAACCAGGTCATTGCCAAGTCCCGTTTCTGGTACTTCCTTCGCGGTCTCCGCAAGGTCAAGAAGGCCACCGGCGAGATCGTCAGCGTCAATGTGGTATGTGCAGCTGTATCAGGGGAGGACACTGGATGGAGCGCTGACTTGTCGCTAGATCTCGGAGAAGCACCCCCTGAAGGTCAAGAACTTTGGCATCTGGATCCGCTACGACTCGCGGTCAGGCACCCACAACATGTACAAGGAGTACCGTGAGACCTCGAGGACCGCTGCCGTCGAGGCCCTCTACTCCGACATGGCCGCCCGCCACCGTGCCCGTTTCAGGTCGATCCACGTATGAATCCCGCACGCGTACTATGGCCGACCCCCAGGTTGCTAACATGTATTCAGATCCTCCGCGTTGTCGAGATCGAGAAGACCGAGGAGGTCAAGCGTCCCTACCTCAAGCAGCTCCTCACCAAGGACCTCTCTTTCCCTCTGCCCCACCGCGTCCCCAGGATCAGCAACAAGAAGATCTTCAGCGCGAAGCGCCCGTCCACTTTTGCTTGAGGGGTTTCATGGTTGTGGTTGGGGTTGGCAGGTTCTTCGGGTGTTCATCAAGGAAAATGGGATATCCTGCATTTGCTCCCTAGGACGAGCATGAAATGAATAAATGGTCAAGCACGGGTTTCGCGTTTGTTTTGTGAGCAAGCCTTGCCAGTCTTTTTTGGCGACTTGTGTTTTGCCGGGAATTGGCGCTGTAGGCGTATCTCCAACTGCCGCTCCAATCCGACGGTACGCCTTGACTCGCTCGCACCGGTGAGAGCAGAGAGGGTGTCGTGGCTATGCCCCGAGTTCGCATTGAAAGCGGTGTTTGTAATTTGGTCAGGCTCTGACTGTCACCGACTAAATCCGCGGTCGAATTGCCCCGAGGCTGCGAGGTGGTCAGCGGTCAAGTCGCGGAGGCAGGACCCTGCATCCCCTACTCCAAATAGGGAAGCTGACTATCAATATGGAGTATGTCGAGGGAAAGGCGTGAGTCATTGAAGGTATCCCTAACACGAAGTATACGAGCCCCGAAGTCGACTCGCTTGTCTTTCTTACTTTATCTTTCCTTTGGCAATCCGAACTCACGAACCTACCCACCTCCTTTCTCATCTCTCAAGCGCCACTCCTACCGTCTCATCCCCAGGCTCCCTCAACCCTCCTCACCCAAAACCATCCCACATCACACCATGTCCACCGCCGTAGAGTCCTCACCGCCGGCACAATCCCGCCCCGCGCCGGGCCCGGAACCGGACCCGACAACCTTCATCCGCGTGCGCGCCACCCTCCCGCGCCTGCCCTTCCCGCCCAGCGCCGCCCGCCAGCCCGTCGTCACGGAGCGCCTCCTCCTCCGGCCCCTCACCCCGGACGACCTGCCCGCCGTCCACGCCCTGCGCACCCAGCCCGAGGTCATGCACTGGACGGCCCTCGGCGTGCCCGACAAGGATCTGGATGAGACCAGGGCCAAGATCGCCCCCTTCTTCCCGCCGCGTGATGAGACAAATTTTAATTATGCGATCTGTGATCGTGAGTCTGGGGATTTGATCGGGCTTGGCGGGTGTCACAACTGGCGGTCGAGTCTGGGTTGGCCGGAGGTTGGGTATATGTTTAGGAAGGAGGCCTGGGGCCGCGGGCTGGGGACGGAGTTTCTGAGGGGCTGGCTGCCGGTGTGGGATGGGTTGGGGAGGGAGGAGGTGGAGATTGAGGTTGATCCGCGGACGGTGGATGAGGGGGAGGTGGAGGGCGGGGATGGAGTGGTGAGGGGCCGGTTGCTGGCTATTACGGCGGATTTGAACGATCGGAGTCAGGGCGTGTTGAAGAAGGCTGGGTTTGAGTGGTTCCTCACTTGGTTGGCGGAAGACTTGCAGAAGGGGTCTGGGGCGGATATGATGATTGAGTTGCCGACGTATAGGTACTTTTCTGGAGGGGAGAAGGTGGGTGAATAGGTAGGTACCTAGGGGTTTGGACACTGAGTGTGTTCTCTTTTTTCCTTTTTTCCTGCTTTCCTTTCTTTCTTCCTTTCTTTTCTTTTTCCATCTTTTGGTTTCGCCGTCATAAATTCCATTTTGTAGACTTTTTGTTATTTTTCCTGGTCATCATTAGAGGCTGGATTTACACTCAAGTCTAAGTTAGCATCAATTGTCTCGACCGATCAATTGTGTGAGGTTGTCAAGGAGTGTTCCTCTCGAAAATAGTGGCCCCTAACCCTCGTTTCCATTCCGCAGGCCTCCAGCTCTGCTTTCGAAGCCAAAATGACATCACAGAACAACCTCTCCCCCCAGACAATTTAAATTCTGTGTTCGTCGAATGGTCAACCCAACATCGTCCAGGACATGCGAACTGGTAGGTTACATATCAGAATTCGCGCGAAGTATCACCCAGATACTGAGGCAGCCTTGCTGCTACCATTAAGGTCGCCAGTTCTGCCTTCAGATAAACCTGCAAGTCAGGAACAAGCGAGAGGCTGCACAAGCCGCACGTGTCAACTGCTCATCCGCCAACAAGCAGCAAGCAACTCACTAAGCCCCCTCGGCACGCCTCATGCACACCAAAAACTAAACTTGGCTGCTTGGTTGCGTCAAAATGTCGGTTGGTTTCGCATGTGGTGCAGCGCCGCTCGATGCCGCAGCAGGGCCTCCACAGCTTCTGGGAGGGAGGGACGACGTCCCACCTGCTGCTGCATGTTAAACCCAACCACGCCAACTTATCAGCGGCTACATACCTTGGTGACTCAAATCTGCCTGGCATTCAACCGATGCACCATTCAATCAACCTCGTTTTCATCTCGAAGCCTCTTTTGAGATTGCGCGTGTCTGCCCACGTTCCCCCTCCCAGATCCGCGCGGCAGCCTAGATCTTGGATCGGCTAACCATGCAATCGGAAGCCGGTTCCAGGTTTTAAATGCTGATGAACTGTCCACCCACAAATCGCGAACCCCTCCTTCGATCGTACCACCCCACGTTAGCAACTAAGCCGTTGTTGGCCTGGGATCATGGCTGCTGGCCATTGTCACTCATCAACAACAACGCATGTCTAACCGCTATGAGGTTGACCTCATCTAACAATGGCGACTACATCAGGCGAAACGAAGGACGGCAAGGCCTTCTACGGCTATCTGTTTACCAAAGCGAAGCCGATACCAGCTCCCACGCCTGTCTTTGATGCGCTCCTGAGAGCTATTGCGCTACATGTTGTTCGTCGCACCCCCCAAGGAGTAACAAGATCTACTCCCCAGGTTGGCTACCCAGAACGTGTGCTAATTCAAGTACCCAGACGAACGAACTCGGCGACAAAACCGACGCCCACTTGACCCCTGGGAAGCTGGCAGCCTTCTACAAGACCGCCGGCCATGACTGGGACTGTAAGCTGCGCCTTCTACTTGACTTGAACCGATGGCGCTAATCACAAGCTGCGTATAGCCTTCTTTGCCGATATGCCTCATACGGGCATCTCCACGGTCTACCAGGGCCTGGGCTGCCAACACTCCCTTTTGCCAAGTGTCGATGACTTTGCTGCCCCGTCGGTCCCGGCACTGACCACCAAGGGATTCGTGCACTGGCAGACGATCCAGACCTTGCTCGGGCCTCAGGAACAAGTGCCGGTGTTGCAGTTTGCCGCAGCACACTGGGCCTTGAAGCATCCCGACACGGGAACTCCGCTGCCCGTGGACCTGCCGAAGGAGGCGTTTCCGTCCGATACCGACCCCGAAACGGATCGCTGGTATCAGGAATGTGCGCAAATAGCGCGCACCAAGGCGGCTGCAGAGGAGCAAACGGAGGCTCCCAAAGAGGCTCCCAAGGAAGCTCCCAAGGAGACTCCCAAGGAGACACCCAAGGAGACACCCAAGCCCGAGTCCGCCGACCGCAAGGTTCCCTACACCCATGTCCGTATGAATTCCTCGACGCCGCGCGACTACTTTGCTTCACGCCCGCCGGTCAACGTTGCCTATGTACACGTTCCGTCTCCTCGCGCGACACCAGCCGGGCCTTCTCCTGAGCGAGACCGAGTTCGGGACCGAGGGGAGCGCTTCGTTCGCCGTCAGACGACGTCGACGGAAGAAGCTGCGCAACGACGCCGAAGCTTTTCTGACTACCCGCACTCACCACAAGAGGCGCGCCCCGTGCGGGTACCACGCCCCGCGCCCGAGCGCGATGCACAACGCCGGCGGCATAGCCATCCTCGACGCTACAGCAGCTCATCCGACTCAGATGATGCGCCCATTAGCCCGCGGGTTGCCCCACGGCGTGTCCAGCGGTCAAACGAGCCACCGCCGATCACCATCCGCCGTGTTTATACGGGCAGCTCCGAGGACTCGCCACGTGTTATCCGTACAACGATGGCACCGCCCCCAATCCCACCGTCACACATGCGTTCCCCTCGTCCAGCGACTAGTGGCCGTGCGCCGAGTCATGAAGAGAGCAAGCGGCGCAGCGCTCTCAATGACATCAAGGAGAAGATCTCTAACTTTATCAGCCCGCCCGCCGATGATCAAGCGAGAGCGCGCAGCGTGAGTGGGTCGCGAGGGAGACGAGACGGGCCATCAGGGTCGGTGAGGGCCTCAAGAGAAGATATCATCCCCAATTCAAGACTAAGCCGGTCATGGTCCGAAATCGACACCGACGACACCGACCTGGAGGAAGAGAGGAGGAGGCACAGCAGACGATCTTCGCGGGAGATTCGGGAACACCACCGTGACAAGGAGAGAGACCGCGACCGCGACCGAGCCGTGCGCGACCGTGAGCGGGACCAGCATCGAGACCGCGAGCGCGAGCGAGACAGGGACCACGGCAGAGGCCGCGCGGACCGCCCCTCGCTCCGAGAGCGCGACCGGGCCCACAGCGACAGCGACCGGCTCCGGCACGAGCGACGCGAGAGAGACCAAGACCGGGACACCATCATCAGCGCCGCCGCCAACAGGGACCGTCTCGTCCCCGTCCCCAGCCCGGCCGCATCCGCCGCCGCGACCGCCCTGCACCGCGAGACCAGCACCATCCCCAACAACAACCCCCCGGCCTCCACCGCCTCCCGCCGCCGCGGCAACTCGGACGAGGACCTCTCCCCGACGCGCCGCCGCTGGAACCGCGGACCGTACCTCACGGGCGCCGTCGAGGGCGGGCACCACCGGCGCACGAGCAGCCACGCGGACCTGGACCGGCTGGACGGCAGCGGACGGCGCTGGGGCGGCGGCGGCGGCGGCGGCGGCGGCGGTGGCGGTGGTGGGGACTGGGAGCGTGTGGAGCGGGGGCCGCACCGGGAGAGGGAGCGCGAGCTGAGGGAGCGTGATCACCGCATGCGTGATAGGGAGAGGGATCGGGACAGGGACAGGGACCGGGACCGTGATCGGGAGAGGGAGAGGGAGCGGTTTAGGGAGGATGGTGGGGAGAGGTGGAGGCGGGAGGAGCGCGTGCCGCGCGAGCGGGAAAGGGATAGAGAGAGGGAGAGGGAGAGGGAGAGGGAGAGGTTGCCGAGCCCGGCTATGTCGGGGGCGTCGTCGGTTACGGGGGTCGGTGGGAGGAAATACCCCGACACGATGCCGTGGGTGAGGGACTGAGGGCCGCTTGGCCGCTTTTATTTTGTAGAAGGTCGCGGTTTTGGACAGGGCATGCAGGTGATGGTATCATGAGCGATGATGGGATGACGGGGTTTTCTCAACGGAGGTGATCTCAAGGAATAGGTGGTGGCATAGTCTTCAAATTACTGGCGTATGGAGAGTGGGCGGTATCTGCGCACATATAGCTAGCTGTTGTTTTGGAATAAAATCCTTCCTCACCTTGTCTCTTCTCGCCTCTGTTCGAGGTTTGCCAAATCCTCAGACGCATGTTTGTTCCCCGGCTGGTATACTACGTCTGTCTCTGTTGACACGTGTCCGTCTCTTGTCACTCACCTAAGAACCTACACTAGACAAAATTGCGCTCCTCCCGCTGAGTGAGACGTGTAATCGTTACCTACCTAGCCACCCCAGATTATGCACTTCGGGGCCCCGGATCCTACGAGGGACGTCCGTCTCAACAGCCAGAGCGGAAGGCTCCCTCTCGGAAATGGGAAGGACGCGTCATTACTACAGACCGAGAACGGGCGAGGGATTGCGGAGGGATCAGTCCTTCTGCTCCTTTTTGATGCTTGGTTGGTCGGCCGCTTCGCAAACCACCACGCCAACTCCTCGCCAGCAATCAATCAAGCCTCGGCACCCGTCTGGTTTGCGCAAACACCCGGGCCGCCAAAGTAGGCCGCTCCGAGCTTCGTTCGCCTTCCCACGCCGATGTTCGGGCGAGGGATTGGCTCTTGTTTGATGAGTGGTGGTGGTGGGGGGTTGGGTCGGGAGAGGTGCCACCGCCGCAGCTCGCAAAGCCCCCGGTTGCCCGTCACGGATTGGGCAGGCGGATCCGCGCCGTTCTTGGGGTTTCTGTGCCCTTTTCTCCGTCCGTGGGCCGCCTGGCGAGGCCGGGTGCGGCCGTGTTGGGCGGCCCAGGGAAATCCCTTCTCGTCTGACGGGACTCCGCTTCCCGGTGGTAACCGCGGGTATCGAAATGAGAGGGGAGATGGTGGGGGGTCTTCCCAATCGATCTGCTCCCTTGGGTTGCGGCGAGCAGGGAGCGGAGAGCGAAATTGCAGGGTGGCAGTAGCCCGTTTTGAAGGGCTGCTGCGTGGCTGCCGACGTGGAAGGTTTGCCGGCGGGCAGGTCGGAAGTGGTGGCGTTGCGTTACAACCAGGGCCGGTCAGCGTCGGGAACGGAGAACCAAAACGTGCCTTGACCCGGGTTCTTGTCCGGCCGGTCCGGCCCTCGCTAAGCAGGCAGTTGGGTTAAGTTAGCGTTGGAGCTGGCCCGATGGACCGGAGCGCTGCGGCTGTGGCACATTGCGCATCCGCCGCCAACGTCCCAACAGGCAGGTAAGCAAACATGGAAACAACAACGGCGGCGCAGTCATGCGTTTCTCTGGCACAGCTGCTCAAACTTGGGGCCTTCGTTCGACAGTAGACGCCGGTGGCTGGAAAAACAGCCCCCCTCCCGCGCTCGCAGGCACGTTTGTTTCCTGCATCAATTCGCCGGTGCGCACCACCGCCCTCGGTTGCCGTTGTTGGAGGGCAGGCCGCCGCGAGCGCGACCATGGCCGACGGAGCAGCCAAACCGGGCGGTAGCACGTTGATTGGACAGCGACGGGTAGGCGCCCATGCACACCGCCAGTCGAGCCATATTAATGGGCCGTCCAAGATGTCGAGCTGCGGTCTTTGGAGATTGTCGATAGGCAATGACGGAGGATGGAGGTGGAGGAGCGGTCGCAGACTTGGCCGATGCTTCGGTCTCCAACTGCCCACTCATCAATTGAATCCTGGTGGCGGGAATAACGACCGAGTAACTCAGAGAAGCGACTGGAAGAAGTGACAAGGAAGGGAAAGAAAGGAAATACGACATATCCGAGAAGAAGAATGCAACTCCAACTTGGCCGCATTATGGCTCAATCAATGCGGGCATGTAAACAGTATGCCCGTCCCTACCTGGCCCCTCGCTTTCGGCTGTTGATGATTGATGATTCCAATCGTGCGCATGAACTGTTGGTCAATTCCTGCCCGAGATGTGACTCTTCGCCAGAACAATCAAAAATAGTAAAACAAGGCGAGCCGGGTTCCTGACGCGCAGAAGCAAGGGCTAGGGGCTAGAACCGAGATAGCTCGCGGCAAGTCATTTTCTGCGGGGTTCGTTTCGAAACGGCTTTCTCCGATTGCTTTATTGGCTCAGTGTTCAACTTCATTCGTCGCAATTTTGGGTGAAGACCAAGGCAGGCTCGGTTTATCAAAGTGTAACCTCGAGTCTTGGAAGGTTGTTTGGCGTTGAGAAGCTGGAATCCGATGCAGCGTGGGCCATCTGAGCTGTTAAAAAAGCGGAGACGAGGGGGGGAGTGGATCCTGAGGTCTTTGTCACAGTTTGCCTTTGATGGGAGAAAGTTTGTTGAAGACTGGAGGCGCAGTTGCGATTTTTTAGTAACGAAAAGAAAAAAAGAAAAATAGGAAAAGAAATCCGGTAGCCTAGCTGGGGTTCGGATACAGGTCCCTGAATAAAACCCCCGTCACTGGACAAACTCTCACAAGATCGACAAGAAGGCGGCGTGGCTGCGGAGGGGCGGTCGTGGCCGTCAGGTGGGTCAGCCGGGCTGGCACGCTGGTCCACATGCTGTGGACTCCAGATCTCCCGGGGATATCCACTTCGGCTGGGAGCCACCGAAGAAGGAGCCAACCGACGTTCCCGATGCCGATTCCACAAGAGGACCTTCCGGGGGAGTCAGGTAAGCCAGTGAAGCCACTCTCCAGTCAAGTGACCATGTGTGTACCCGATCTCCCTATCTCCTGATGGTATTCTAAGAAAGGACCCGAGGAGGCACAGGGCTGGTAAGTGTCGTGGCGTGCTCTGAATTACCCGCCTCGAACCCGCTTCGTGGGGTGCATCGAATTCTTGGGATGACGGATGACACCGTGACAAATACACTCGTTCACTAGTGACAAGCCCTGCCTCTCAGAGCTTACTGTGTACGAATATTGTATGCTGTAGCTTGCTTGGTAGGCACCTGGCACCTGGGTTCTGTTTGTAAAACCCGAGTTGAGCGCATGTGAGCTTGGGCCCCTCCCGAGCTCGAGTGGGCAGAGTCGTGCTGAACAGACCGAACTCGGCCTGCTGAGCGAGTGTCCCGGGCATGTTCCTGACCAGTGGTCTCACCCGCCATCGAATTGCATCTCTCCACAGCCCAGCCAGTCAACCGGCCCACGACAACTCGTGGACTTTCGGGAACCTGTCAAAACGGTTACCCTTCAAGTTTTTTTTTTCTCCCAACACGCTACACCCCGGTCTTGACGAGCCTGTCGTTATTGGGCCCGCTCTTTCTTAGCTTCCCTCGCCCTTCCAGTCCCGCGCGCGCGACAGGTCCAACCAGTTCAGTCCATGCGACTTTTCAGGGATCCCTTCGCAATACCGACCACCCGCTTCCTGATCCAGACCCCCCGCCACGACCCGACAGCCAACCCCAGGGACCAACCCCGGCCCAGAGACACAGCCCAAGAGCCTCGTGTCCTACATTAAGACCATCAAGATCCGCCGGGTCCGTGGACCCCAAAATTCCTCCTTTCTTAACAACGCCGCTCCTTCCCTTCACAACCTCATCGCCTGACCGCGTCCCGCCTGCCTGTCGCGTGGCGTCGATCTGGACGACAGGAACAGACGAAAACCCCCCAACCCTCACCGCCTCATCCCATCCCCGACCTCCACTCTCATTCCCCCAACAGGCTCTCTCGACTAGGGCCGAACAAGGGCACAAGCAATAGTAACCCTGGGGCTTCCATATCTGGCGACTTCGCGGTGACGTGACGCTCAACCAACCTTGCTTAACCCACCCTCTTTGCACCCGACACCAAACTGCGCACAATCCTTACAGCGAGGATAAGGAGCCGCCAAGATGAAATGTCGCCCTATCGAATCGCTCGTTTACGAGTACATGTTCCCGAAGCCCCGGCAGTCGGATCCCCAGAACTTCCAATCCCTCCTTCAGAGGTATCTTATTCTCGAAGTCCGGCAAGAGACACATTCGTTCTACGGTCACTTGGATACGCCGGAAGCGAAGTATCCCGGCCTCGACTACACACACCCGATTCACCGCATCCGCCTCAGCAGGTGGCCATGGCACCGTCGCCTTTTCCGCGCCCTTGACGGCCTACGGCTGACTCCCGCCGAAATCTCGGGTCTGACAAAGTGGGAAGGCACAAAATGGGCCAAGGAACGGTTTGAGCGGGACCAGGGCATCCGTATCCGCGACACTACCGCCGACGGGTTTCCGAACTACGCCGATCCCGACGACCCGTACTCTGCGCAGTCGCAGCGCGCCGAATCGGAGGAGACAGAAGGGCCGATAGAAGGCGATGACGGAATCGAGGAGGACGATGATGAAGACAACGAGGAAGAGAACGAGGAAGAGGAAGAGGAGGACGAGGAGAGTGACGGGGAACTGGAAAGCGTCGGGGTGGCTCTGAATGAGCGGCTCCGGCAGCGGGTCGCCATGCGGAACATGTCCGGGGATAACTCGATGCCGCTCGACGAGGAGTGGGAGAACTGGCTGAAACACGCCATAGAATCAGGGGAGTTGCCTCATGTGGCAGACCAAATCGCCCGGTTCCCGGGGCCGCACAGCACGCTTACCGCCGACGATATCTTTCCGCCGCGGATGATGGCCGCCGCTAGGTCCGGCCACTGGGACGAAATACCCGACTTCCTGCACGACATGATTCGGCAGGCTCTCCAGTCAGGGCGCAGGCCAGTGCAGTCATCTGCGGCTAGCTCGAGCTCGCGGCCTTTGATCAGGTACTCTAATGTCCTGAACACGCTCACAAGGGTCGGCGTTTATCCTCCCCGTGCCGACGTTCGTCCACCAGAATCCAGCGGCCGGCGAACAACACAGTCGGAGAGCCGATCTCAACAGACGGCGCAACCGGGTGCGTAACGTGGGGTTTGTTGGAAACCTGGCGCAATACTTTCCGAGACGACACACACCTCAAAATTTACACCACACATCAGAAACACCTTGATTTTAATCGTATTATGGACTGGATCCAGCCTCGCCACCACGGCGTCGTCTCCCAAGCCACCCAAGTGAGGAGAGAGATTTTTATAGAAAAAGGCTTAATCCTACCTCGCCATACGCGGGGCCACTAATGGTTCTCCGAAAGGGGTACGGGGCATTGGGAAGACCCGGTTTCGCATTGGGGGCGCGGCTGGCTTTTTACGGATTCTACTGAGAAAGGGTTAGGGAATGAAAGGGAGGATACCACGGGCCTGGGCATTGGGATAGGGGTTTTAGCCGATTGATACACGAACAAAACAAACAATTGATACACGTGCGCTCTGTGTTGACCTTGACTTGCTGTGTGACGCTGTTCCAGGGAGGCTAATGTGTATTTGGGCGAGGAAGGATGAGAGGACCATCCATGTGAAGGAAAGGGAGCTGTAGGATATATTTAGATCATTTCTGGGGCGAGATACTTCGGTACTGGGCCACTTTCACACAGTTGTTAGAATCCTTTCGTTTTCTTGAATTAAGAAGTCTAGTGCTTTCACGTGGTGTCATATCAGTAATTCTTTCCCACCCCTAGAATAGTTGTTGGGCATGAGGTTTCCGCCTCAGGCAGATATGTGTCTGTCGCGTTACCTATGCATGCTACTTCTAGCCGCTATGTTAACAACCTGGAAACTTTGACAGAGGCCAACACTCCCGTTCTCGATGTGTGTTACCCAACTCTCGAGACGGCCATGTGTACCGGCAACGCCCGGCTAGGGCTAGCCGGGATAGCGGCTAGAGTCCGGAGGAACTCCCTTACAAAGTGCTCGTTCGAGTTCACAGCCCTCAGATGGTCTGGCTTGTCCCGAGGTAAGACCCCAGCTGCACGGGGTAACACACCAGCGTACCATCGCCTACAAAGCAAGACCCGACAGGGACAGAGGGATTCCAGCATCTAAGCGCCCCCCTTTCTCCCCCAACTTGGCCGACATCAATACCGCAAACTCGCCGACTAGGCCGCCACCGTCATCCGGCCCTGGGACAGCCAACTCTGACAGCACCTCCACAGCGCCGAGGTCGGTCTGCCCCCCGACCACCCAAGAGCCCGCCCGCCGTCCCCTCTGGCGCATCCCCCTTGAACCACAACTCCGCTTCCTGCGCCTCCTCATCCACCGCACGTTGCTGCCAGCCCTGGCATCACCAGCACCACACCAGCGCCGTGCTCGCCCCCCCCCTCACCATGCTGCTCTACCACCCCTATTCTTTCGGCGGGGCACCGCGCCGGAGACAGCACACGACAACGGGCAGGCCATCGCCGTGATGTGGAAGAGCGTGGAGGCGTTTGGGGCGCGGGCGGTTTGGTGATTTTGCGGCGTTTTGGTTGCGGTTGTTGGTCTACTTTGTTCCGTTCTGGGGAGGGCGGTTGGGCCTGGTGAGGGATTTGGCGATGACGGAGCGGGTGCGGGTAGTGGTGGTGGTGGTTTGATAGGGGCGGGTGACGCATTCGTGGTGACGTAAGGGGTTGGTTCTAGTCGAGTCAGGCGAGTGATGTTGATGTTGTCGGGGGGCTGCGGCTGTGAAGATGGTGAGTCTAGGATAGCGTTAATGGTAGGAAAGGGGAAGAAAACACAGATAGAGGGAAGGAGAGGTACAATCCCCAGCGCCATGGCCAACTCGCGTCTAATTCATAATGTACACATGTACAGCCTTGACATGAGCCTAAATAGGAAAGAAAATCTCTATGCCGTGGATGCGACGTGTACGCAATAATACACCATGCCTGCCCAGTTACGGGGCCGTCTCCCGCGATCCTCGGTTGTGACCGGCCGTCATTGTCGACGCAGCGCATGCCCTCGCCTTCTATCCTTCCCAGGCGTCGTTCGTTCGCCCGCCCCCACACTTGATCCTCGGGCACTATGCCGAGTTCAACCTGTTGTTTTCCTTCCACCCAGCTCCAGCAGCTCCTTGGCTCCCAAGATTATGCCAGGGCGTAGCTTATTTTTGGTTCATTACCCCCTCGATGAAGGCCTCGAGGTCGAAATTGGGCGACGTCAGGTCTTGGTTCACTATGATAGGTTTAGCCAACGTGTTACCGGAAAGAGGAGCGAGGTGGAACTCACCCCCTGATGAGGCGGGCGCGCTGGCGGTGGTGGACTGCTTCGACTTGGCGTAGGCGCTCTTGGCCTTGTTTATTAACTCCTGCTTGTGCTCATACTCGCGCTGCGCCGCGGCCGCCTTCTGCGCCGAGTTGATGCTCCGTTGGTGCTTAAAGCCGTAGACGACACCCAGGCCGAGGACGGAATACCGGAGGACCTGCGTGGGCCGCAACGTTAGCTGAGCTAATTCCTGAGAATAACCGAGGTGTGGTCGATTTGTCCCGCAACCCAACCTGGAACCAATCTTCAACCTCGACCGGAATCTTGAATATCCTTTTCAACCTCTCTCCCTAGCTCTTGACCTCACGCATAAAGGCGGAGGTTGCGCTGATGTACCTCGTCCAGCGAGAGAGTTGCGGTGCAGGCCTAGGATTGGGGCCGGTGTTGGGTATTGGGTGTTGGTGGTGCATCCGTGGCACTTACGTTAACTCCGGACGTGGACGACATTGCGACTGAATATATCGGGTTCCCACGACTTCTTTCGCTTCGGGTTCGGGGAAGTGGCTCGTCGGGGGCTGGGGCCGTCAATTGAAGGTGTCAATTGATCCCGTGGCTTGTCGTCGTCGATGGGTCGGGTCCGGTTCGGGCGGTGGTTGAGAGGTGCAAGTTTTGGGAGCTCGGAAATTCTCGCGGCTCAGACCCACTTTCACTTGGCTGCCCGCCGGGTGAGTGGCAGCAGCTCCCGGCTTCAACAACTGGGGCGCTGGATTGTGTATTGTGTCAGGTGATACGAGACACCCCGGTGTAATTACACCGAGCGGTTACCCCTGTCGTCTTTGGGGAGGCGCGACGCGGCATGAGCGCCTGGATTCGTACTTTGTACATACAGTCAGTACATCTGCAGGGACAAACCGAGTAGAACGCCGAAAGTGGTTGCTCTCTTCGTTGTTCGGTTCTTTTCTTGGACGCACCCTCTGCTTTTAGGATACCCGAGATCGCGGCATTGTTGACGATCGGCGACGACGAAAGAATCGGCATTCGATCACAGACTCCTACGACCGGCGCTCAAAGACTACGATTGTTCGGGCAAGGTCTTCGCCATCCGTTCAACATCACCGGTTGAGCCCTTAGATGGGCCTCGAGACTTGGCAGTATGCAGCACCGCCGGGATGAGATCCTCGCAAAAAAGGCAAAGCTCGCAGAGCTCAAGCGCCAGAGAGAACTTCGAGCGAGCCAGGCCACCCGCTCGAGTGTCGCCCCAGGCGAAGTTGGTCGCCCGTCGCAACCCTCGCTCAATGCTGAACTGACGGTTGGCTAGATAATCTCCCCTACCCCAAACCGAGCAGACAACCGACGGGAGATAGAGACTCTCATCGACAGCCTTGTTCGTGAGAGCAGACCCGTTTCTGTTTCGACCGGCGCCAACTCTCCCGCACGATTCGGCAGCAGGCCAAATAGCGTTCTCAGTGGGGGAGGACTCAGCGAGGACATTTCTGAATTTGCAGGCCCCGCGAATGGGCAGGTGGTCACCTCCCAGCCCCAGGTGCTCTCCACCGTCGCCTTCAAGACGGTTTACGAGTGCCCCCCGTCGCCGATAAAAGAGGTATACTCGTACAGCAAAGGGGTCCAGACATCCGACGAATGGACGACTCCAAGGAAGTCGCGCGCCTGGTCCGAATCCGAAGGCGAGGAACCACCGGTCACGGCATCGCCTAGTAAGCGGCTCAGTAGGAGAGAGCGGGACAGGGAGGAAGAGCTGAGGGAGAACATACGGAAGGAGATCGAAGAGGAACTCCGGGCGGCCAAGGACCTTGTGACGGATGGCGTTCTCAAACCGTCCGCTGCGGCCAACTTTCCGGCCCGGGCACTTAACAGTGATGAGCTGAAGGCGGTTACGCAGTCGGACGACTTTATGGACTTCATCGACAGGTCGACCAAGGTCATTGAAAAGGCGCTGGACCAAGAATACGACATCCTCACCGACTACACCCTGCAGGTGCACGACGTGGACGACGACGACGAGCAGAGCGGCAACACAGGAGGCAAAGGCCGGCGGAAAGTCAAGGAGATCGCGCAGTTCTACGACGAGCGGTGGTCCAAGAAGCGCATGGTCAGTTCTATTGACTTTTCGCCCAAATTCCCCGAACTCCTTCTTGCATCCTACACCAAGAATCCTACCGCGCCCCACGACCCGGATGGCATCGTCCAGGTCTGGAACCTCCATCTGAACGACCGGCCCGAATTCGTCTTCCACGCGCAATCCGACATCCTCACGGCCAAGTTCTCGCCCTTCCACCCGAACCTCATCATCGGCGGCGCCTATAGCGGGCAGGTCCTCCTCTGGGACACGCGCGCGCGGTCTGCGCCCGTGCAGAAGACGCCCCTCACCGGGTCCGGCCACACTCATCCGGTATACTGCGTCGACATTGTCGGTACGCAAAACGCCAACAACATCATCTCGTCTTCCACCGACGGCGCCGTCTGCGGTTGGAGCGTCGACATGCTGGCCCAGCCCCAGGAGGCCATGACGCTCTCGGCGCCGCCGCCCTCCAAGACCGAGGACCTCGCCCCGACCTGCATCGGCTTCCCGCAGGCCGACCCCACCTTCTTCCTCGTCGGCTCCGAAGAAGGCACCATCTACCCCTGCCACCGGTACGACCGCGCCGGCGCCAAGGCCGGCGTGGACACCCGCGTCAGCTACCGCGGCCACGCCGCGCCCGTCATGTCGGTCTCGTTCCACCCGGCGCGCGGGCCCGTCGATCTCGGCGACCTGGTGCTGTCGGCGAGCTTGGACTGGAGTGTCAAGCTGTGGAAGGTGCGCGCCCCCGCGGCGACATCGGCCGTCGGCGGCTCCGCGGTGGGTGCCGGGGCCGGGGCCGGAGGCGTGCTGGGCGCGGGCGGTCTGGGCGGTGCGGGCCTCCTCGAGCCGGCGGTCACGCCGCTGCTGGACTTTGTGCGCGAGGACGTCGTGTACGACGCCGCCTGGTCGCCCGTCAAGCCCGGCGTGTTTGGCCTCGTGGACGGCGCCGGCTGGCTGGAGCTGTGGGACGTCACGGTCGAGACCGAGGAGCCCCTCTCGCGCATCTCGCCGAGCCCGCGCAAGGACGGGCGCACCATGCTGAGCAAGAGCCTGAACAAGCTCGCGTGGGAGCCGAGCGAGGGGAAGCGGCTGGCTACGGGCGGCATTGACGGGGCCGTGACGGTCTTTGAGGTCGGCCCGGATCTGGGCGGGAAGGAGGCGCTGAAGAATGAGGAGTGGACGAGCGTCAAGAAGTTGGTGAATAGGTTGGAGGCGGTGGGTGGTGGGGAGGGTGGCGCTGCGTGAGGGCCATGTTTTAGGGTGTAGCAGGGCGTAATGGGAATGATCTGGGGGGCTGGCTGTTTGTGACGACGAAGATAATATCGTATTCAATTCATGGCTGGCACCTGTTGACTCTCGTATCAAGGGGTGATGAGAGTAATAAACCCTAACCCTCTTTATAGGAGGAGCTCCAACCCTTACGTAAACCGACCCATCCTCTTAAATTTCTCGCTCCAAGCTTTTTCAAGCTTCATCCTCACCCAAACCATTGGCACAAGATCAGTTTCCCAGCCATCTGGCTGGCCTTTGGTTTGAATCATGTAACAATGTGTAAGTCACCTCCATATTTCAGTTTCTTCTTGTTTCCGGCTTATGATGAATGATTCTTCCATGAATTCTGCAATACTTAAGCGCCTCTCGAGGCTCACTGTGGACCAAAATCACATTCTTTATTCCTGACAGTCGATATCCTACACACCCATCTATTTCGTGCCACTGCAAGTTCAAAAACTGATCGGGCCTAGACATCCGCACCCAAACCCTATCTCCAAGCACCCACACCTAAGTATTCACCGCCACATGCCCCGGATACCTCTCCCCGCGGACCTCAAACGTCGCCAGAATCCCATCAATCGCATCCATCTCGGCCTCGCCCAGCGCGACCTGCACCGCGTTCTCGGCCACGCGCGCCGCGGACGTCGACCCGGGGATCGGCACGATCGTCGGCATCCCCCGCCGCCGCGCCGAAAGGTGGCGCGTCCAGGCCAGCGCCAGCTGGGCCGCCGTGCAGCCCTTGGCCCGCGCCAGCTCGTTGACGTGTGTGTAGAGCGCGAGGTTGGCCGGGAAGTTCTCGGCGGAGAAGCGCGGGAAGGTGCGGATTAGGGGTGGGAGGTCGGCGGGCGTGCGCAGGTTGCCGCCGAGGATCTGGTGGGGTGGCGCGCGGGGGGATGGTAAGTACTTGTAAGTGGGTGTGAAAGGAGGGTGGGGGTGGGGTGGGTTACTTACGCCGCGCCCGATGGGCGAATACGCGACGAGTGGGATGTCGTGCTGCGCGCACGCGGCGGCGACACCGTTGGTGAGGACGTCGGGGCTGAATATGCTCAGCTCGACCTCGACGGCGACGATCTTGGTGTGCTTGACAGCTTCGTGGATGGTCGCCGCGGACACCTCGCTGAGCGAGATGCCGCCCAGCAGACCCTTGTCGATGTACTCCTGCATGGCGCCAAAGGTTTCCTCCATGGATACCTTGGGATCACGGCGGGCGCACTCAAAAACGTCGAGCTTCTTGCGGCCGTTGAGCAGCTTGAGGATGTTGTCGATGGAACGACGGATGCCCTCGGCCGAACCGTCGGGGCCGTGGGGCCCGACAGCGCCTTTGATGCTGAGAACTACCTTGTCGGCGTCCTCGGGGTATTTGGCGAAGTAGGCCTCCAGGAGAGTCAGGGAGTTGCACTCGGGCGTGCCGTAGAATTCGCCGCCGTTCCAGAAGTTCATGCCCTTATCGAGGGCCGCGCGCATGGCCTCGAAAGCTTGCTCGTGGGGGGTCGGGTCGGGGCGCCAGGTGAAGCCTGGACATGGTCAGCTCCAAGTCGTGGATTGAGGCAGAGGCTGAGACGTACCCATGAGGCCGTAGCCTGTGGCGCCGACTTCTTGACCATTGATCTGAGGCATGTTGGTGAGTAAGGTAGGTGAGGTGATAGTAGTGAAACTGCTTGTGGTCTTAGAGTATGATGTTGAAGAGACGAAATAGCTGGGGTGAGGCCATGGTCCCAGCTGACTTTATATCCACTTCATCGTTATCCCATGCTACCCAGAATCGGTGTTCTACGGCGCTATTCTCGCCTACGCTACCTAAATCCGTGATTCGAGATGTTTTTACCACAGTAGGTGGAATACCGGAAGCGACGCCGGCAGTAACGACAGCGGACATATTTTCTCCGCCGCGGACATAGCACAAACAGGCAGGTTTGGGGACGCGTCGTCATACAAACCAAGGTACAAGACGGCGAGTGTTGCGATGCGGACAGGAGATAAGCTTGGCGAGGGGTTAGGGCCGGCGTTAACCCCGTGGAGTTATTCTTGACACTCATGGCGATCAACTACGAATAGCGCTTCGCCGTTTGACAAGCGGGCCGGATTCAAAAGATACCAAAAGTCATAAACTCCGGCGATGGAATTCTCCCTTCGAGAATGCCTCTGTCAACCTCGAGCGGTCGGCACAACAAAGACGCCGAGATTTATAACATTCTGAGGTCCTGGATGCAATCACGGTCCTGTAGAGACATTCCATGATGAGAAACCCAAGACCTAGGTAGCTACGTATTCGCGCACCCAGCCCCCGGTGTAACAGAAATAATAATAAAAACCAATTACTCCGAAAAATTATCCTTCCCGACCCCCAAGGAGCGAGCAAGAGAAACCAACGACGAACACGGTGTGAAGACCCACAGTGTGTAAAGTACTATACACGGTGGCATTTACAGTGAGAACAAGGGGCAATCCGATGCCAAGAGCTGAGACAAGGCAGGAACAAAACTCTAAAAAAAATGTCAAGTTTATTGTCGGTGACAATTCTTCAACCTCACTGGTGGGGGTTGAGGAACTGATTGAAAGATCCGGGGCCGCTCATTATACAGGCAGCACTATTTCCGTTTATTTCATCCTTATTATATAATTGGACACACAGCCAATTGTTTCGTTATTTCGTTGCTATTGTCATTTGCGATATCCTCCGGTCTTCATTCAGCCCTCGTCAGCGGGCATTCAGTGGCCTATTGTGCCGGCAGTTTTGGCGATTTTTTTCTATCACATATTCTCATCTATTTATCTTCAGGATGGTTCAGAACAATAGCAGCGTCAGTGACATTGGCACTGACCGCCTGAGGACTGCAAAGCATAAAAGACAAGCAGTTCTTTCTCGCACATCTACTTTGCAGCTCTCCTCCGAACAACATCGACAAGTTCTCCGACGTTCGACTTCTCTAGAGATAAATTCTAGACTTCTTTTTCTCGGAAAGTCACCGGCCTTCTCACTGTCACAGCCTCCATCGCCTGGCCTCCCGCTCTCTTCTTCACATCGGAAGACCAAGTCCAACCAGCTCGCCCATCCACCCATCCTTCACCGTCACCTCAGCAGACCTCCGGCGCCCAGCAAACTCGCCAAACTCTACAGGCGTCATCGCAATCTTGAGAGGGCCGTCAGCTTGTTTCTGCTCCGACGACAGTGGTGGAGACGAACACGAAGACCAACCCTCAATTCGGACTTCATCAAGCACCTCCGCCAAATCCAGGCCGACGAGCCCTCTTCGGACGAGGAATCGGGCCGCATCCTCGCCTCTGCCGCTGTCTCCGCCCACCGCCGCAGCCCTTCGACCACGAAGCCGGCCACCACCACCACTCCCGCTCAGCCGGGCGAGACCGAGGTTGCGCCCGCCAAGAGGAAGCGAGATGGCCCCGCCGAGGCTGCTCCCGAGAGCACCAACCTAGGAGCTCCGGCTAAGCCGGGCAGAGTCCAGTCCCCTTCGCCCCTCGCCAACGGAAAGCCCTCCCCCGTGGCCAACGGTACCACGAGCCCGAGGAAGCGGGCCCGAGCGAACGAGGAGGCCAGTCCCGGTCCCCGTGAGGGCGTCCACAAGCGGGCCAAGACCGAGACACCGCTTCCCCCCAAACCCAAACCGGAGGCGGCCAGCAGCAAGACGACAGCAGCAACAGCAGCAGCAGCAGCGGCGGTGCCCCCTCGGAAGCCCGTCGACAAGATGGAGTACTTCGAGCGGCGCGTGCACGACATGCTCACGAACCCCCTGGAATTCGACGACTGCGTCCACGACAGCACCCGGCCGCCGCCGCGCCACGCCGCCCGGAGCTTTGCCAAGTACCGACGCCGCCAGACGCAGGCCCCGCCGCCCCTCGTCATGAGCGGCGCGCTCGGGCCCGCCGCGCCTGCGTCGTCCACGCTCGTTGCGAAGCCGGCCGTTGTTGTTGCACGGTCTAAGGGGTCTGGGAATGCCCTGGCTACGGAGGCGCAGAAGCGCGCGCACCAGCGGAAGGGCGGGGAGTGGGCGCAGGGTTCGAAGGGGAAGGGGAAGGCGGTGACGTCGCCTGGGCCGCATGGGAAAGCTGTGGGCAGGCAGCCGGTTGTGTCGAGGTCGGATGGTGGCAGGCGTGGGGAGAGGCGGTGGTTGTCTAATGCGCGGCAGACGGGGGTGAATGGTGGGCAGCGTCATCCGGCGGGTGTAAAGAAATATAATAAGTTTGCTTGATTTGGTGTGTCTGCTGTGAATGGTGTAGTGCTTTGAATGGTGGAGTGCTTGATGCTGATCTAAAGTCTGTCTATGACCGGCCTCGAAGACGACGCATGACCGCCGGTAATCTACCACTGACTTCGGAGCACTCCTGGGAATCATAACCCAATAACAGACAAAACTACTACTCAAGCGGGACCATCATCTTTAGTTCAGCATCATCTCCACCAGTGTTGTCCATTACGCTTAACAAGGAGACGGGACTATTGTGGTTGGTAAACGCGGGTTAGGGTTGTTCGGCACGCAAACACAGGGTCCAACATACGTAGGTGCAAAAAGACAAAGAAAGGACGGGCCTTGTAGAAAGTGATACAAAACATCTCCAAAAAGTATCTCGTGGTCTCGAAACCACACATTTCTCGATCCACCCAGGGGTCGAACCTGGAACCTCCTGATTACTTCGATCCGATCCTCCCTGGTTATCCCAGGAGTTGAGGGAGTCGTACATCGTAGTCAGACGCTCTGCCATTGAGCCAGCGGACCTGCCATCTCGCTTGTTGAAAGTCTCCGCAGAAGTTTTCAATTTTTATTCGAGAGGATGGAGTGGGTGTGGTGCTTCGTGTGTGGAACAGTGGAAGACAAAACAGGGGGTCAAGGTGGAAAAGGTCAGGCTCAGAGCGGGCCGAGACAGGGGACCCTGCAACAACGGTTTGGGGCACGCGAGGCGGCAAGTTTATCCTGTGGACCTCGGCTGGCGGCATCGGCGTCGGATGCTCCCCGCAGCAGGAGGCCGGGTGACACCTTGGCGGGCAGCTACGGACGGCGAGCCCTGGGAAATATATAGCTTGGATCCGGCATCTCAAGCCCAGATTGACCGACATTAAAGGATCCAATTGAGTCTGCCACTTCTTCCCCAACCTTCTCCAACCCCATCCAAACACCCATAACCACCGTATCAACCGTGATCATGTCCGGACCTGGTGTTGGTTTCGAGTTTCCGCCGCAGGAGGTCAGCTGGACCAAGCGGGATGCCCTCCTCTTTGCCAACTCGATTGGCGCCACCGTCGACGAGCTTCACTTCCTCTACGTATGCCTCCTGCGAGTCCACCATCGGCCCTCAACAAGCGAGTAAACTAACCGTGACTAGGAACTCGACCCCAACTTCTCCGTCTTCCCTACCTACCCCGTCATCCTCAGTACGTCCACCGCCCACGCTCTCCCTCCCCTTGACAGCAGCAATCAGCGCACTAACCACCAGCCAACAACAGCCTTCAAGGGCACAGCACAGGATGTAGTCGACTTCTACTCGGCCCAAAAGGCCGTCCCCATCCCGGGCGTACCCGTGTTCGACCCCACCCGCGTCGTCGACGGCCAACGGCTACTCCAGTCCTTCAAGCCGCTCCCGGCGTCGTCAGCCGGCAAGAAATTCGAGATCCGCGCCAAGGTGCTGGGCGTGTACGACAAGGGCCGCCCGGGGACGGTAGTAGACACGCAGTCGGACCTGGTGGAGGCGTCGTCGGGGGAAGTGTACACGCGGGTGATCTCGTCGTCCTTCTACGTGGCGCAGGGCAACTGGGGCGGGCCCAAGGGCCCCGCGACGGTCAACTTCCCGGCGCCCAAGGAGCGCAAGCCGGACGCGGTGTTCGAGAAGCAGACGACGGCGGAGACGCCGCTGCTGTACCGGCTCAACGGCGACTACAACCCGCTGCACGCGCACCCGGCGCCCGGCCAGAAGATGGGCTTCGGCGGCGTCATCATCCACGGCCTCTACTCGTGGAACTGGGCCGCCCACGGCCTGCTGCAGCACCTCGGCGCCAGCGACCCGGCCAACATGAAGGAGTACCAGGCCCGCTTCGCCAGCCCCGTGCGCCCGGGCGACAAGCTGGTCACGTCGGCCTGGCGCACGGGCGAGAAGCAGGGCGAGTGGGAGGAGGTTCGCTTTGAGGTCAAGATTGAGGGCGGCAAGGTCTGCCTGAGCAACGGTCGCGCCCTGATGAAGTGCGTTGCGCCTACCAAGGGGAAGCTGTAAATATGGTGGTTTTTGAATGAGGCTGTAGAAATATTGTTAAATTTTGTTATTGATGTTGAGGGTGGTGATTAAGTGTGGTGACAAAAGCGTGATGCTTCCTTGATGTGTAGGAAGTTAATTCCTTGCTGCCTGGATCGACTTGTTTATTTTAACTGGACAACCCAAAAACGGGTCCAACCCTCACTCAACCCTCAATCATCAACCTCGAGATGGCCCTCCCTCCCCAAATCGGCGAGCGACGCTCATACGACAGCGCGCCCTGCACCGTGAGATACGTTGGTGAGGTTGCGGGCACGTCGGGTTCATGGTTGGGTGTGGAGTGGGATGACCCCTCGCGGGGTAAACACGACGGACAACACAAGGGCGTCCGCTATTTTTCATGTACAACCCCCGACACACTCAATGTATATTTTCCTTTTTATGCCCAACTATTCTAATCATTTTCTCAGGTTTATCCCAGTCTCCAAATGCCGCCTCCTTCGTCCGCCCCACGCGCGCACCGGATGCGCCCCAAACCTTCCTCTCAGCGCTGACCTTCAAGTACGCCCGTGGTCCGAGCCAGAACCAAACCCCGGCAAGGCAAATCAAGTTCTCGGGAAAGGTTGCCGAGGAGGTCGGATTTGAGAAGATCAGCCGCCAGCAGGCCCAATTGGATGAGTTGCAGTTCGTCATCCTCGATGGCGTGCAGGTTGCTCATGCCACGGACCCGGAGAGGGACGGCCATCAGTCCATCCACCAGGTCTGTCCCAAGGTTAGGGAGCTGGACCTGAGCAGGAATTTGTTTGAGCGGTTTGGGCCCGTCGTGCAGATTTGTTCAGAGCTCAAACTGTTGCGGAGCCTGAGGGTCAAGTGCGTTTGTTTGCTTCCGTCGGATAGCGTTCGGGTGCTGACATGAATTGCTAGTGGAAACCGGTTTAGGGATATTTTCGACGATGAAGTCCTAGAATCCGCCGGGGATGCCTTTGCTGGGGTTACGGAGCTCGCGCTCGAAGACACTCTCCTCTCGTGGCAGGAGATATGCCACATCGCCTCCAAGTTCCCCTCCCTGACCACCCTCCACGCCGGCTCCAACCAACTCTCAACCCTCACCGCCATCCCGCCCGCGCCATTCGCCACCAGCCTCGTCTCCCTCCACCTCGAGCTCAACGACTTCACCTCCCTCTCCTCCCTCGCCCCGCTCGCTACCATCCCCACCCTCCGCAACCTCCTCCTCAAAGGCAACTACATCTCCACCATCAACCCCCCATCCTCCCCACCACCCATCTTCGGCCCCAACCTCCACTACCTCGACCTCTCCTACAACTTAATCGCCTCCTGGACCTTCATCGACGCCCTCCCCGCCACCATCCCCGGCCTCACCTCCCTCCGCCTAACGCACAACCCCCTCTACACCGACCCGGACCTCGACGACACCACCACCACCACCACCACCACCACCACCACACCAACCCCCACCTCAATCCCAACACCCCCCAAACCCATATTCCCCCTCACAGAACGCATCACCCCGCGCCCGACCGCCTCCTCCGCCCGCAAATCCGAAGAAGCCTACATGCTGACCCTCGCCCGCCTGCCCGCGCTGCGCACCCTCAACTTCAGCGCCGTGACGCCCGCCGACCGCGCCGACGCCGACATGTTCTACCTCTCGCGCATCGCCCGCCAGCTGGCTGCCGTGCCCGAGGGGGGTGACACCAAGGAAGAGGGTGTGGTGCTGGCGCGCCACCGCCGTTGGGCGGAGTTGTGTGAGCTGTATGGGGAGCCGGTGGTTGTGAGAAGGGGGGAGGTGGTGGATGCGGGGTTTTTGGAGGCGAGGGTGGTGGGGGTGGAGTTTGTGTTTTGTGGTGGTGGTGGTGGTGGTGAGGGTAAAGAGGTGGTTAGGCGGGTGCAGGTGCCCAAGTCGTTTGATATCTATGCTGTTAAGGGGGTTGTGGGGAGGGTGTTTGGGTTGAGTCCGTTAAGGGTGAGGTTGGTGTGGGAGACGGGCGAGTGGGATCCGGTGGGTGGGTTTGACGAGGCCGAGGGGGAGGGTGACGAGGAGGATAGGGAGGCCGAGTGGGAACGGAGGGAGGAGGAGGGGGGCGCTGCTGGGGGTGAGGTGGCGGGGTTGGAGAGGAAGGGTGGGAGGTGGGTGAGGCGTGAGGTTGAGCTCAGGGATGGGCCGAGGCAGTTTGGGTATTGTGTCGATGGGTTGGAAGCAAGGATTAGGGTTGAGAGACGGTGATAGGTTGCTCTTGACGAGGTGGTTTGAATGAGCGCAATCTCGCCGTGTTTGCTTGGCTCATGGTGTTGATTGATGTCTTTGTCTGGCCAAAGCCGCAGAGTTTGTTGCTTGCGGGCCGATGCATGAGAAGGCAACGACGATCGGGGAGTCAACTGCCTAACCCAACATTAGTCTATCAAGATGCTCCTACTCTCCTCCCTTTTCTACCCTATTCCGGATCACCGCTCTCATCATGCATACCCACCCACCCCGACCATACCTCACCATGGTTGCTCAACCCCGTTTCTTTATCGTCAGGCCCGACACCAAGCATACCGCCGCCGATGGCAGAACCTATACCCGCCCCGGTCCCATTGTACCCCTAGTTGCAGTTGACGAGCTCCCGGAGTGGCTCGACATCCCCGACGCCCCGCGCCAGCTTTCAGTAGAACAAACCGTCGGCCTCTGCAACCTGGGCGTCGCCAGCAGAAGCAAGTACGCGTACCCCGTCAAAATCATCCACCATGCCACCCCTGCCGCTCGCCAGAAGGCTGCGGTTGCGAAGAATGCGGAGGCAAAGCCGAGCAATGGTGCCACTGCCGACGCCGCCGCCCGGTATTCGTCGCCCATATCTGCTTCCGCGTCCCATGAAAGCAAGGGCACCACTACCCCGACACCCACACCGGAAGACCACCCGGCAGACCACATAAAAGCCCATCCGAACGATGCCCACACCGGCGCCCGCGCAGGCACCATCACAGCTTCAGAGCACAACCCACAGCAACCCCATCCCCCACAGACTCAGCCCACCCCTTCAGCCATTATCAACACTAGCACGACCCCTACCAACAGCACCACCACTACCACCACCTCTTCCTCCACTACCAACAACCCTGACACCCCCAGCAGCGCCAGAACCGAGTACTGCCGCCACTGGTGCCACTACGGCACCTGCAAGTTCGGCCTGCGCTGCCGCTACCTACACGCCATGCCCGAAACCGCCGCCGAGCTAGCCGCCGTCGGCCTGCGCAAGATCCCCGCGTGGTGGTGGGTTGCCACCGCACCCGGCGCCGGCGTGGGGCCCGGCCATGCGTTGGGTGTGCATTCCCATCAGCATCAACATCATCAACAGCATCATCAGCAGAATCTCCAGCATCCGCAACAGCAGCATACCACGCAGCAGCCCCCCCATCTCACCGATACCCACCACAACCACCACAACCACCACAGCCACACCAACCACACCAACCACACCAACCCCATACCAGGCCCCGCCGTAGGCAATACCAGCACGCTAGACTCCCGCGACGTCCGACTCGGCGTCGCGCGCCGGCGGGGACTGCTCCCCCACTCCCAAGCCCACGCCCACGCCCACGACCACACCCAGGCGGAAGAAATCACCGGTGGCGGTGCTGCTGCTGCGGGCGGGGGAAGCGCGATGAGCAACAGGGCGATGCGAGCGCAGTTGCAGGAGGCGATGGCGTTGCTGAGGGAGTTGGGGCTCGGCGGCGGCGGCGGCGGTGGTGGTACTGGTTGTGGTGGTGGTGGTGGCGGTGGTAACTATGCGAGGCCGAGGAGGAGGGGGATGAACCCGCTTCAGAGGCTGCGTGGGAGACCGGTGGTGGGGAAGGGGGTTCCGTTGAGGGGGCCGGCGGTGGACGCGGCTGCCGTTGTTGCTGCTACTGCCACTGCTGCTGCTGGCGGCGGTGGTGGGCAGATGCAAAGTGAGGGTGGGCTTGCTGCGATTCCGGAATCGGTGCTGGATAATGTGGTTGAGGGGGAGGGGGAGGACGGGCGGGTGGCTTGCGGCGCTGTGCAGCCCGTTGGTACGGAGAAGGTTGAGAAGTTGGTAGATGTGTGAGAGGCTGAAGTGGGAGGTCGAGGGAATAGGAGTGGGCGAATGGACTGTACAAGTACGTACTGCATTCTTTTCCAAGTAGCGGCATGGTGTCGAACACTCGAACTAGTGGTCACGGCTGGTGTAATATCGAGAGCGAATTCGACTGCATAATCAAAATTGCATTCTGCTGTTTACCATTGCCTTGTCGGCGACAAGCTGCTGGGCACTGATAACCCGTTGTGCGTGTTCTCGGGCTACCTAAACAAAAGAGAGAAGAGAGTGACGACCTCCAATTCATACCTATGCCCTTTCCCTTATTCCAAAACGCCCGCTACCCTACCAGAGGAGTTTCCACAAATCACTGGAAACGGCCCCTGGCCCTATCACACTCCTCCAAAAACCGGTACACGCCCTCCAACCCCTCAAAGTCCTCCGAGCAATGCTCCCCCGAGCTGCTCATGATCGGCGGCGACATGCTCTCATAGCCCTCCAGCTCCGACCCCGAAGAAACACGCCATGGGTTTTCTTCGAACTCGTCCACGATGAACGCGTCCTCCACGCCCGACGAGGTCGACGATGGCCCTGAGCGGTGTGACCGGAGAGAGCCGCCTGGGGAGGTGATGGTGTCCTCGCCCTTGTCATCCGGCGCGAAAGGGAAGCGCAGCGCAACGTCAACAGCAGGGTTGGCATTAAAATTGGGATCCTGGCCGACGACCCCACGCTTGACACCGACGTCGTCGCACAGCCGCTCGACCGACTCAGCGTCCATTCCGGGGAACCGTACCCTCAAAACATTGTTCTTCTCAAGTGAGATGGGCAGATCCCCCAGCCTAGCGAGACTTTTCAAGTCTGTCATAGTCGCTGCCAAGTCCTTGAGCGCGCGCGCAAAGTCCACCGAGAGGACGTCAAGGAAGCCCTCAGCATTGAGCGTCGCGCCGGCGGCAACCTGCTCCTCCATGCTCATGAAAGGCATCATCATGCCAAGCGAGCTGAGCGCAGTAACGGTGGGGCTGATCTTGAAGTCGATAAAGGCACCCGGCACGGGCCGGTGGGTCATCATCGCCTTGGCCATCGTCATCCGCGCGTCGTCCTGTGTGGCGCTGATAGCGCGGTACCGCTTCTCGCCGTTGGGTCCCACGCCGCTGAACTGGGCTCGGTGACCAGAGAGCCAGAAGGCGCGCATCGCCTGGCTGACGTTCTGGACGACCTGTGCCGGAGCGGCGGGGGTATGGCTGAAGTGGCGAACTCCGCCGATGCGGCCAGCACCCGGGATGCCATAACCGCCTGCCGTGCGACCGAGGGTGCCGCCAGTGAGGTTCGGGCGGAGCGTAGAGGCGAAGGGAGCACGGCCAGTGAATTGACTGACGGCGCGGGAGATGGTCGAGGTCGGGAGCTTGGAGCGGTCGAAGCGGAATCCGGGCTTCGAGCCGGTGTGGCCGCCGGTGCTGATGAAGCGACGAACGGTAGCGTTGAGATTAGCGGACGAGTACCATTTGGTTCCGCCGGTTCGTTTCTGCTGTCGCAGCCACGCCGCGGGGGTGAACTGGTTGGCGAGCGTTGCCGGTGCGGACTGCGATGGGTTGGAGTTCGGCATTGAGAGGCCGCGTGGCTGCCGCGAGCTTGGAGCGCAGCATCTTGGTCGCCATTCGAGCGTTGCTAACCAAGTGCATGCGTAACATGCGCAAGGCTGCGGGAGCCCAAATCCCCGCTATGGGAGACATGGTGTTGGTTGATCAAGTCGATGAGTCCAGAGCCTGGGAAGGCTTGAATGTGAATGGAAGATGTAAGGAGGAGGGAGGGAGCCAGCGGCGGGAGCACCCGGGATCTAATCGGGTGGTTTATCGATAACCTAACCGCCACTCAAACCACACAGTATGAATACCAACGAACAGAGTGACCCACGTGCGACCAGAGGAAGAAAAGCCGCTAAACGTTATTTGGCCTATCTTATCGCACCCCACACCCAAGGCCTTTTTATGGTCCAAATTTTCCCAAAGCTCCCACAGCTTTCCCACTTCCTCCAACACACGCAAATCGTCAGTCGACAAGGTAAGCAATCACCTCCCCCATTCCGCTGCACAGCTTCCGTGATGATTATCGATCAACAATCCAACTCCGACCAGCCCGTGGGGACAACAATTCCGCTGAGAGCACAACTTGGAGCGACTCGTGTGGGCCTGGTTTTTCTGACCTTCGCTAACGCGTCTGCCCAGTGTCGACCGACTTGCCGTGTTCCTTTCTGTTTTCCGTTACTCGGCACATTTTCTCAAAAGGTTAGTCGGTTTTTTATTTTCCTGCACCCCTCCAAGTGATGATCAATGTACAATTATAGGGAATTCCTCATGCCGAATACACTATGTGGAACCACTTGTTTCAGCCTTGTCTGATTTGGATTCTTTACTTCTCGGTTGTTTTCTGTTTTGTGTCTGTATCAGCGCGCTAACAAGCAACCGCAGGTATGCTCAAACTTCTTTTCCCACCTCGTGGCACTATGACGAAAGTTTGAACGAACGGGCGGACATAAACGAAGCCTCTCCGTCTCCTCTCGCCAAAAGCAGGACTGTACATCCTGTGAGGGGGGCTCGGAGAGAAATTCTTGTTGAGAACTCGTCACCTGATTGTGCCTTTGTCCATCGACTCGATGAACTCTCGACAAAACGAGGATTTAACTGACTTGTTTCTCGTCAGGTAATTCACTCTCGCACCGACTTGTTCAAGAACCATTTGCATGATGATCTTTATTCACACTGTTTGATCTACCCTCGGGTGGAAATGAACACTAAACAAAATCTGATTTAATGAGGTACGTCTTGGATTTGATGGCGATGGCGTTGGCGACCAAATGCTGACTTCTCTGGCAGACTGAACTTGATCTCTGACTACATGTCTGTACCGCAAAGGTTGCGATCATATGCTGACCGCTTTGATGGCCAGGTAACCGTCGAATTTCGACATTCTTCTCCTGAATATAAAGTGTGAGTTGGGCCTTTTTCTTCCTACCACATACCTCCATGATGATTTCTTTCCTACCTGTTTTAATTAGACTCTGAGTTCATCGTGACGAGACAACTTCACCTTGGAGAACTGATGAGGTGTCAAGACCGTTATTCTTGCGAGCCATGAGTTGGAGGAACATGCTAACTCGCTGTCAGTCCAGGTCCGCATGCCTTGCCGATGGCACAGGTCTAGTTTTAGTCTATATGCAAGCTCTAAGCAGCCATGTGTGGTTTTCCCACAGAATTGATACATGATCTCACACTTCAATCTCCATCTCGCAAGTGCCCGTGACACAACGCACATGAACAGCTGGGCGCCCTATTGCCGCAGCTGCAACCTGGCGTTCCATCCCACAATGCACCGCACGAGGTCCCAATCTCCATGATGGCCAACCCAATCTGTCACCACAATCCCCGTGGCGGCATCCCCGATATCCAACTCGGCGGGCCCCTTCCCAGGAGCGCCGTGTCCCATACACAAGTACTCAATCATGGACGGGTTAATCTTGACCGCGATCCGATCCGGCCAGCAGCTCGCATTGAAGAAATTGCTCGCGCTCAAAAAATTGATAAAGAGCGGCGTTTCCGGCCCAGGCCCACCACTACCACCACCACTACCACTACTGCGCACCACCCCCTGGGCAGCCCTCTCCAGTCCCTCCTGGGCGAAGCGCACCTTCCGCTGGATCTCAGCACCGCTACCGATGCCGTAGTAGTCCTGGATGCGGATCGTCCCGCTCCCGCACGTCCCGTCGGCCACGTTGTCCGGCCACACCGACCCGTCGATGCCCCCCTCCCACGCCTCCCCCTCCTCTCCCCGCCGCTTGGCTTTGGCCAGCCGGAACCGCCGCACCAGCACGATCCGCCCGCGCGCTTGGGCGAGCGTCGGCACCCGCGCCGCCGTGTACCATCGCGCGCGGTGCGGCGTGATGTAGTGGGTGTGCAGGATCTGCGAGAGGTCCGCGTCGCTGCCCCGGCCCGTGCCTTCGCGCTTGAGGGAGAGGAGGACGGTTTCGGAGGGGTGGGCGTCCAGGAAGGCGTAGAGGGTGGCGAGCAGGGTGGAGAGGTATTTGGGCCCGGTGAGGGAGATGGGGAAGGCGGAGTGTACTAGGCTGAGTTCGGGGGTTGGAGGGGCTGTGGGGGTTGTGGTGGTGGTGGTGGTGGTGGTGGTGCCGTTGGAGGGTGGTGGGGCCGGGGTGCTGTTGTCGTAGCTTGGGCAGGAGACGCGCACGTCGAGGAAGCGCACGCCGTTGTGCAGCTGGTCCAGCACGGGGACGGCCTGGCAGCGCACCGAGGGCAGGGCGACGTGGCAGGTGGGCGAGTTGTGGGTGCCAGGGATGGAGAGGGCCGATAGCGGGAGCGTGCCGTCCAGCGTCGACATCCAGGAGGAGAGGTTGGCCGAGCTGAACAGCGCGAGGTGCGCGTGCTGCGGCAGGTAGATGGCCGTGAACTCCTTGGTTTCCGCCTCGGTGTCCTGAGCGAGTGCTCTGAGGACTATGCTCCGACGTGATGAGGCCGGTATTTCGGCGCTGTAGAGGTGCCCGGTGGCGGGGTCCTCAAAGGTAAGGCGGAGTTGCTCGTGCAGGGTTGGGTCTGGAGCATAAACGGAGGTGTGGCATCCCGAAAAGGGAGAGATGGTCACCCCGGCGATGTCTTGCTTTGATGGTGGTGGCGGTTCCTCGTGTTGCGCGGTTGTTGCGGATGGGAGAGGTGCATCGGGTTCATGAGACTCTTCAGGGCTGGTAACGTGGGACGAAACTTTGACCAGCCCTTTTGCCTTGTGTAAGTGTGGATGTGGATGAGATTCGAGACGCTCGACCAGCTTGAGCTCCAACAGAGTGACGGTAAGGTTCCGGATGGTGAGAGTCGGGAGCGCCGTGGGCAATTCTGCGGCTGCAGCTGGGCGAGATAGTGCAAAGCCCATCTTGCTCCTATGGTTTCGGGGTATTGAGGATGGGCAATGCCAAACAAGGCTTTTCCGAGGTTAGCGCGTTTCGGTCTCGCGAGTTCAAGATGAGCTGTAGCCCGACCCAGGGTGGTAGGGGCGTAGAATAAAACGCTTGCGTAATCAGACAGTCTGTGGATTGAAATGGGAATGCGAGTATAGTTATAAGACACACTGAGCCGTGCGGGATGCCCGGATGAGTGAGATCCCGACTCAATCTGGAAATTTGTTGTTGTGTTGATGTCCAAGCTTCATGGATGCTGGGCGCCCAGCTGCGGGTGTGTGCTTACATAATCACATCAACATCCTTTCTCGCTTTTGTCCTTCTCCATTGTCAGCAGGAAGGAACGAAATAATGACACACTTACCTAGTGATGTTGTGTTTCCTTTAGAAGTTAGATCACCGAGTTATTAACTTACACCGCATCTATACGCAGGAACGAATGTTGTTTTCTCCATCTGGCAGGACATGCTCGACCTAATCGGCAGAGCCTTGACTGCTCAGGGGATTATGTTTCAAGTGCTAATGATCATTTCGATACCAATAAAAGGAAATAACTTTCCCTTACCTTAAACTATTGTTTTACCGAAAGGCTACCCGGACTCCCCGTGCTCCCGTACCGGAGGGCCCGGAGTGTGGGGCCGAATCACGGGTGCCGGTCCGACCAATCGTCATCCACCAAATTAATCCAAAACTTGTCTCAAGTGCTTTACAACGGATACGCCTCTGCTTTCACCTTTGTCCTTGGGTAGCTTGACACCCGACCACGAAAAAAGGCGATCGCATTCCCCAAGCGGTCGTCTACGAGCTCCGAAGAAATGTTAAAGAAAACGGACATTCGGGTTGGTCGGATTCGCCGAAGCGGTAAAATATCAGAGTTGTGTGCAATGGGATTTGTATTGCGATTATAGAGGAGTTGGATGTTCGTGTCCTAAACTCCTAGCTAGGTAGATGTGATTCCGGTTGTTATCCAGTGCCCCGCCGTTGGTTTCCTCTCCGAGCCCGCTGCTTTCTCGAGACTGGGACTTGCATCATTTGCTCCGACCTAAGGAACAGGTCAGCCTCCATGGCATCAAGCGCCGTACAAGGACACCTACTAATGGGGATCGCACATGGGTTTTGCCGAGTTACGTACGGGGCCGTAAAACGACGAGGGCAAAGAGAGCTGCTGCGGCCAGAGCCGGAACCACAATGTCGCGGATCCCTCTTGACTTGACCTCGAAGGCATGCGAATCGCTGGCGGTGCGGACTGCCATTGCAGCCTCGTCGCGGAGCTGTGGAGGAAGGTTGCCGTGTCGGACGCGAAGGTCAAGCCGTCCATTTCCCGTGCGAATGATTAAGGATTGCGACGGGTCATCGTCGGGGGCGAGGGGGAGTTCGTTGTCGCGCGGATCCTCGAGCAGGCGGTCCATGGTGTCTGGACGCCATCATTAGCGTGAGGCTCACCTATTTTTCCATCGAGGTCGGAATAGAAACTTACAATTAGTAAGACGTTGAATAACCTGGTCATACATGCTGAGTGATCGATGGTAGTGGATTACCAGGACGGGGTGAGGAAAGCCCTCCATCTTTTTTGGGCAGAGGGGCTCTTTTGATTGTAAGTGTGTGTGATTGCTTAGTCGTGCGAGTGTTCTGTCACTCGTATGTGACCCGTCGTGAATACTTAGTTTGTTCAGGCCTCTACACGTGAATAGTTAGTTTGTTCAGAAGGCCTCTACACGCTGTTCAGTTGTGAGCGATACGTTCAGTTGCGAATCTGTTTTCGCTGGTCAGTCACGAGTTTAAATACCACTTTGTAGTCAATGACCAAGGGCTACTCCACCAGTAGTCAAACAGTCACGACAAGACATATACATTATTTCTCAGACTATGATACTCTTTATCATCATCACACCCCATCATAGAATGCCATTCAATGCACTTAAAGAGCAATGGGCGAATGTTACGAGCACAGTATAGGAAAGAATGAAATACATGAAGTATATGGTAACAATTTCCTACGCCTTGGGGCCATCAGTGTTAATGGGGATTACATGACAGATTATATGATTGTACACTTCCCGTGGAAAAGCTTTCTGTACCAGTCCGATATCTTGTTCGACGACATTCCGTCCCCGTCTCTGTAGCTACTAATACCCTTAACTACTCTAGGCTGGAAGGCATTGACCACCCATTCTATCTCGTTCGTACCTAGGTATCAAGTCCTCCAAACCTTGTCCCGCGGACTTGCGATGGGTGTGCAATTTAGACACTAGGATCCCAGTCCCGCTCGGGAAATATACCACATCAACACTCGAGGCTCGGTAGGGTAGTAACATATCTTTCCTGGACATAGACCCAAAAGGTTCAATCGGATCAAAGGCGACCATAAAGGTGCTAGGTTCGGCTAGGCCAAAGGAATCACAACAATGGAGTCTCAACAGTCGGCGTGGCTTGTAGCAACCGTAGTTGAATTGCTTACTCAAGGACTCTCGGACTTATCCAGAACGGGTGACTATGACGTTAAACTATCTCAACCCCGAGGTACATTCGTCTCTGGATCGTCTGCCACACCAATAACCCAGGATCGTTAGCTAGGCACCTGGGTGCATCCCCCATTCCAGCCGTTGCGACCATTAGTCAGGAGTTGGTTGGAACAAAGGCAAGCTCATGATATTGCAAGCGCAATGCAGCTCAGGGACACGACTCCCTTGTTCAATATACCAAATCAGGATCCCCGTTTGGGAGCGTAAGTGATGAGCCTCCTGTTCGGCGACAGGGTGTGACGTTCACAAACACACCTACCCCCTGGAATCTCATCATCCGTGGACTTCTTTTTTGAGAGGCGTTGTAACTTGCCTAATGCTTTATGATAATATCGAGCTGCAGGAAGATATTGATGAAGGGAGCGCTGCTCGGGCCCGAGCCGCTCGGACAGCCGTCGCCAGGACCTCACCAGTCCGTGGCAAAAGCAGCCGGACTCACCGGCACATGAGCTTGTTCCCAGTAACTCCGTGATGCCGAACCACAGGTCGAGCGTCGTCGACCGGACGTCCGTCAGCCCGTTATTAAATTCCGAGCCGGAGCTGGCTGGATAAATTCAGCTCCTAATTCGAAGGCTTGGGGAAAGGGTTTTGGGCTTCGAAGTGGCCCGGTTGTCATCGCAAGTCTAAAAATGAACGTCGACGAAGTCCGATGAAGAGGGATGTATAAGTACGGGCGTGGTCGAGGTGTGGGAACGGTCGTTGGATGAGTCCATCAGCAAAGCTTTGCCATCAATACCTACCTACGCAGGAATTGCCTACGCTTCACGAACAATATGCGCCTCTCGACTCTCGCCCTCACCACATTCGCCAGCTCGGCGTTCGCGCTGCCTTCCGTTGGATCGCTCTCACCGCGCCAGGACAAAGACTGCATGACTCGCGAGGAAGCCACGGAGATCGTCGAGATCTACAAGCGCCTCATCGCCAACTACACGCCCGAAGACTGCGAAAAGTACTGCGCCTCGGATTTCGTCGACCGATCCGACAGCATCAACACCTTCATCCACCGTCCGCTTGGCGAGCCGACGTTTGCGACCAAGGAAATCTTCATGGAGGCGGTACGTACTCGCTAATTATGTCACTACAGCTAGAAATGAATGATGTGACTGACGCTGTTGGTTAGCAATTGTCAAACCCCCCGTTCCCTGTCGAGATCGACAGCGTCGACGCCGTCGACTGCGAGGCCATCGGCCTGCGCTGGCATGCCACCTTTGGCGCGGCCAACAAGCCCAGCCGGGGCCTCACGCTCATCGGGACGACCAAGCGCGAGGGTTGGTGGCAGATCAAAAGCCTGGATGTCGAGTTCAACAGCCTGATTTGGCTGCTCAACATGGGCGGGAGCTACACCTGGGAGGGTTAAATCGGATTGATGCAGCGAAGAGGAGGTCGACCGAGTGAGGGCATTTGGAACGAGGTGAGAGAAAAGTGCTGTGGGGCTGAAAGGGGCTGTGGTGTGTTGCAAAGGACTGTGTCAGCAGTTGATGAGGTCCAAATCCAATGAAGGTGCTGCTGTCTGCCCAGGGGTCGCCATGCCAGCAATCACGGCTCGAAGCGGGCTGCAGAGAACTTGTGCGTGGGTGGAAGGCGCTCGGCTAGGAAATTACCCCCGTGAGATGCGACTTGTCGGTCTGAGAGTTGGTTGGGTTCGAAACCAGCAAAACAGGATTTGTTGGACAAATTGACTCGATTGCTCCGACGGCTGTGTCGCTCTGCTGAGACTGCTCCGATCCTCTCGAGGTTTTTCCGCGCCTTCTCATAGGGCTGCATGTGAGACACCTGCGTTGGCGAACGGCTTGCCGCTTTGACAAAGTCGGTTGCACAGCTCGTCGCTCCTTGAACTCGGGGTTTCTTCAAGGAGTCAGCACCTTGACTGCTGCACGAATCAGCATTGGTGCCCAGGATTGCGGCTGAAGGATTCTGGGTCTCGGTCCGTCGAACGAGTTCTGGGTTTTTCATTGCCAAATAGCCAACAAACGAACATGGTGTGGACGGAGCAATCCATTTTTGGAAACCGCTTGGAGGGCTTTGCTGACTTGCCGATTTCCGAGTGCTTCATTTTTCAAGGTTTGTGGCCCTGTGGGTTGTGGGAACTGGGTTTTTCGAGGTGACAGGCGCGCGACGGACGAGGATCCGGGCGGGTTTCTGCACCGAAGCGCAGTCGAGACTCGTCCTGATTGGCTTTTACCCCTGAGACAGCCAGGGCAACCCCACAAGGAACCAAGGATCTGGATGGGCAGCATTCGATGGTGCGTGCCTTGTCACCTTGTGGGACCGCCCAAACGGTCGAGTCGCGCCATTGCAAGGAACGACAAGGAATGACAGGAGAAATGAAGGCGCCGAAGACTCCAGGGGTATCGTCGGTATCGGCTGAAGGTCCGGCCAATGAGCTTGGCGTGTCGGTGCGAGCAGGCAGTGGCAGGCAACCGCTGGGGGGGGCCAGACACTGCCAGACTGCCAGAAGGGTCAAACTCTGCGAGAGAATCGAGGAGGGGTGCCGACCCCCGTGTCATTTTATCCAAAGGCGCAGCAGCATGCCATCCAAGCACAAGTCGGCTTGGTTGCACTGAAAACCAGCCGATGTCCCCCCCCCCCATCATTCTCCCGCTCTCTTTTCTTCTTCCACCCTCCAACGCGTCTCTGCCTGTCAAATCGTGGTGTTCAGCCGCAAGCCATTCTTTTAAAAACCAGTCACTCTTTAAATCGCACAAGTCGCTCTTTTACGGACCCCTCGTCTCTCATTGTTTTTGCAGATCACCCGTTGTTGTGCAACCGTCCCAAAACAGCAAAGATGCGCTTCTCAATCACCGCCGTTTTCGCTTTTGCGACCGCCGTCATGGCTCAAACCGAAGGTTTCAACGTCATTACGAAGCCCGTAAAGGGCGAGCAAGTACCTGCCGGATCGACGTATGAGATCGTGTGGCAGCCCAGCGCCGCCCACCCGGGTGAGATCACGATCGGCCTGCTTGGTGGAGCCTCTCCCCAGACTCTGTCCGTCGTTGACACTATCGCGAGTAAGACATGTCCGTGCACACCGTTGAAGAAGAACGCCACAGCTGACCACCTTCGATAGCGGCCGTCGACGGTGAGGCCGGCACCTACAGCTGGAGCGTGCCCTCTACCCTGGGCGACCTGGAGACCTACGGCATCATGATCACCCTGGAGTCCGACGAGAGCGTCTTCCAGTACGGCTTCCCCTTCCAGATCACCCCCGACGAAAGCGGCAGCTCGAGCTCGGCCGAGGCCACCGCTACCGCTACCCCGACCGACTCGGAGGAGCCCGAGGAGACCCCGACCACCTCGACCAAGGGCTCGACCAAGACCGCCAACTCCAGCGTCACCAGCACCACCTTCGCCGTTCCCTCGTCCACCATCGTCTCGTCCACCGTCCAGGGCAACCTGTCGACCACCGCCAGCCCCTCGTCCACCATCACCACTAGCGTCATCTCGGAGACTCCCAGCGAGACCTCGACCTCCACCTCCAGCATCGCTACCAACGGCGTTGCCCCGCTCGCCGCTGGCTCTTTTGCCATGCTCGGTGGTGTCGCCATGGCCGTCCTTGCTCTTTAAGCAGGATTGTGACGGTTGGGTTTTTTTTAATTGGTGGTAATGGTTTTCGAGCGCGGTTGTGTGTGGATTTATTATTCCCGAGTTGCAGGATCTGCACCAAAATGACTAGTCACCATAATGGCATCACGAATGGAGGGGTTTGCATTGCAGTGTATTTTGTTTTGTGTGTGGCGGCGCGTTTGATGGCCGGAGAGAGGGCGTTGTTGAATGTGATAGATACCCCTTGTTAATGTCTGTTACACCACCGAGCCAAAGTGATGCAGCATCTGCATGCATGTTGCCGTCTAGCTGCATTTCGCTGTCCTCGCCAACCACTGCACACGTGTACCTGCATGTGCCTGCGCTGTTTCTTTGACTGCTTGCACAGCGTCTGGTATGCAACCCCTAACAGCTACCACATTCGGAAATAATTATCAACCTCCTTCGGCCGGACAACGAAAAGGGGAAAACCAATAAAAGTAAAGCGAGATAAAATCGAATCAGGTAGGGACGAACGGGAGGGGATCAAAGAATACGAGGTGAGAAAAACAGGATAAAATGGACAATTATGGAGCAACGAGGCGAAGCCCTCTCCATAACTCGGAGGGCATTTCACATTGCTTCTATCCAAGGTACCGAATAACCTGGAACTTGCGTACGCTGGGGTCCCCCCATCAAACCCGCCGACGGTCAACACCTGTTTCCTACCAGTCTCATCTAGCACATCTACCCTTCTCAACCTACATCGGCCGCGTTAGTTGGACAACCTTCTCACTCCTCGACTTGCTCAGCTACAGTTTAAAGGCAACAGAGCATCCGGGATACAACTTGTACTGCCGACTACAACTAGTACCTCATCGCCACACAGCACAACATCGACCTCGCGAATAAACATGCATCATCACTTAGAAGCCGGCTGGCCTGGGTAGGTAGGTAGCTGTGAACTGTTTCCTCATTTCCGAGCACCTATACGTAAGGTAGGTAGGGAGGCACACAACCGTTCCCTGCTAGCTACAGAGACACACGCGACCCCCTCCCCCCACTCGCTCAGCCCCAGAACGCGAGAGCCTGCTTGCCCAGCGAGCTCTGGCCGGCGGCATTGGCATGGCAGCCGTCCTGGACCTCGCCCCGCATCAAGTTAAAATCACCGGGGTAGGTGACATTCAAGGCAGCGTCAGCCCCGGCGCGCTTGGCCAGGTCAACGGTGAGCTGCGGGCCCTGGGGTCCCGCCAGGGAGCAGCTGGCCGGGTTGTCCGGGTAGAGGGGCTGGCCGGTAATGTAGATTTTTGCGCCGGGGGCGGCGTGCTGGCGGGCGTTGGCGACCAGCTGCTTGACCTCGTCGTAGGTGGCGCCCGGGTTCTGGAAGATGCAGATCTGGATCCAGACTTCGGACGGCTTGCCGCCCTGCTGGGTTGCTTGCTGGTCAAACTTGCCCCAGCTCGGGGAGTTGGTGTTGGTCCATGACTGGACTACCAGGCCGCCGGTGCCGTAGGGGCCCCACATGTGCTTGCCGCCGTTGGCGACGTAGCCCTGGGCGACGTTCTCTGACATGGAGCAGCCGATGAAGCCCATGGTGCCCTCGCTGGCCTGGCGTTTGGAGGGCATGGCCGCGGCGAGGCCGAGGATGAAGGGGGCGAGGGTTAGATGCATCTTGGTTGTTGGGTGGTTTATTGGGGCTTGGTGCTCGTTATTGCCAGCTGTGGTGGCTGTCTTGAGTGTTTAGGTGTCTGGTGAAGCTGGGAACATTGCTCTCTCTCCGGAAGATCTGGCTTTACTTATACCTGAGTTGGGTTGGACCAAGCTGGAGGCAAGCCATGGCCTGGTCCGCTCTCGACGTCGCAGAAAGAGGACAACATCCCCGATCATCGTTACCGACTTTGTTGTCCGGGTTCTCAAAGACCCCAAGATGGGAAATTCGGAGGAGTAAAAATATATTACCACATCCTCCGCGCTTTTCGCCGTGCTTGGGTCGATTCGGCCGTGTAGTTGAGCGACCGTCCACTGGAGCGGAACCATGAAATAAACAGGGCATCTTCGATTGGCCGGCGCGAGATGAGGCCTGTTATGGTTTAGCGTATCGGTGCGGAGGGTTGCTCGGATTTGCGCATGAGTGGACAAGCGAACCCGGAACGGCCTCCGTCCTTGTGCCAAGAAGCCCGGCTCGGGACAACACCAAGCGACGGAAGAGGCTCAAGTCGGTATTCGAGGCCGGCCTATCATGGACGGACTCTTGGGTGTGATTACCCCGCGGGGAGATGTGGATAGATCTGTACCGAGACCAGGAGCCGGGAAAGGCTCATAGCTTGAAGCCAAGAGGCATAACAAAACCTAGATCTGGTAAATAAGAGGGAAAATCAGGAGATGGGACAGACCTCGAGAGCACCCCACTGTTCTTTCCCTAAACGAGCCTGATTTCGCGCGCAATTCTACATCCAAAACAGCATACGACACCATGGTGGGAGTTCCCGGCCGCTCCAAGAGCTGCATCACATGCCGGAAACGGAGAAAGGGGGTGAGTGGGCAGAGGCCAAGCGTCCGGGACGTGCCGTTCAGTTGTTATTGAGTGGTTGAGTTACTGATGAGCTAACGGTCTGGCTACCCAGTGTGACCTCGAAAAACCAGCGTGTGGACAGTGCAGAAAGGGTGGCCTAACATGCGGGGGCTACTCCACCGAACGCATCTTCGTTGTGAGCACGCCGCGCAACCGGCACGCAGGCTATAGTGCGCCATCTACCGCCGCTCCGGCCAGCCTTCCGTGGCAGCGAATCCAGCACCACCAGGTCTCCAGCAACATCACCAACCTCCGTTTGTTGGCACGGCCGGAGGATGAGAGGAGGTGCATCGATCACTTCTGGGAAACCTACTTCCCGGCAGGGCAACCTATCCCGAGGAGCGCTGCTAGGAGTTATACATGCACCTGGACGGAGACAGCGCGGAGTTTTAATCGGGACGATGGCTGCCTGAGATATGCCCTGTGGGCCAACTGCCTCGTCGTAACCGGAAGACACAATGGGGTTGCGTGGATGCTGAGGGAGGGTTCAAGGCTATATGGGGAAGCACTCGCTGACCTGAGGAAGTCGTTGGCTGGGACACGGGGCCCGGGAAAGGGCGCACTGATAGCAACGATCAAGTTACTCGGCATGTTCGAGGTATGGGTGATGCTGCTCATTATGGCAGCTAAAGCAGGGACCACTGACTGATATCTCGCGTCGACAGACTTTCTCTACAGCAGGAAATGACCTAGCGGCCGATCAACCACAAAACTGGCAACGTCATCATGCCGGGGAACTTGCCTTGTTTATCACGAGAACGGCGGAAGCGCATATTGATGGTGAGGCACATCACGTATTTGCTGACGAGAGGGTTGAAATGGTAAGTTTTCCGTTTCTAGAGCACAAAAAGATCCCAAGTTGGTTTCTATGGAGTCTCATACGGCGCAGGCGCTATCTGCAATCCTTCAACGAAAGCGCTTGGTGCTCGGCGCCCCGGAATGGAAGAGCGTACCCTGGCAGAGAATACCCAAGGATTTCAAGGATATTCTTGTAGATGTCTTGGTCGATATGCCCGGACTAGTTGAGGACCTTGACAGCATGGGACTCTGCGCTGATGCGAGCAGGCGAGCGGCCTTACAAGTCGAAGTCGAACAGAAATGCTGGGAGCATGACCGACAGCTTCTAGTTTGGCTCCGCATGCTATCCCAAATGGCCGTCCCCAGCAAACAGCCCTGTCGAGAGCCTCGGGCAGAGGACCTCGTCGTGCACATCGCCCAAGTCCACGGCATGAGTCTATTTTGGACCACTTCCCTCGTCCTGTACAGCATCCTCCGGTTAGTCTCTGGAGCGGGGGAAGGTCTCCCCGCGCGTACCGACCCGATGCACTATGCTCGCAATCTCGCGACTTCCCTCGGCATCCTCCTGCAACCCAACGCAGGGCTATATGGACAACAAAGCGCCGCCCTCCCACTCGAGATCGCCTTACAATACACTAGGGGTATAAGCACACCGTCCCCTGAGAGCGGAGCACTGCTTGAGACCCTACAACGACTCAAGGACAACTTGGTAAATGGGCCGACAAGGGTATTGGGAGTCAACTCTGTCCACCAAGGCGCAACATCAAGAGAAATGGGGATACCATAGGATGGAGATCTAATACCTCTCTATAACATTGAAACCAATTGCTCGCTAAAGAAGTGAAACGCTAAAAAGAAGAACAGAAAAGCAGCAAACCAACCCTGCTACTTGGAACCCACAGCGATGTACTTGACCTCCAATACATTGTCCATGCCGTCGGCCGTCTTGTCGTTGGGTGGTCCAGGCCTACAATTCACCATGTCAGTCCAACCTCGTTCTCCTCCTTATCAGGGACAAAACTCACCAGTTCCCGCCCACAGCCACATTCAAGATAAAATAATGCGGCTGGTGCGCCACCGACTCCCAAATCTCCTTCTTCTCCATATCCTCCCCCATCACCTTATTATACTCCTCCCCATCCAGCAGCCACCGAATCGTCTGCTTCTTCCAGTCCCCGTCCGTCCTATCCACCTCGATCGCCCACGTATGCCAACCATTGTCCGCCAGCTTGACCGACTTGGTCAGCGAACTGCACGGGCTGTCGCCCGGCCCGCAGTGGGGGGTGCCGTGGCCGACCGACTCGCCGTTCTTGCGCTCCATGATGTCCAGCTCGCCGCACTCGGGCCACGGGATGCCTTGCTCGCGCGACGAGGCCCCCAGCGTCCAGAAGGCCGGCCAGATCCCCTGTTGTTTCTCCTTGGGGCTGTCGCCGAAGCGGAGGAAGGACTGGAAGCGCGTGACTTTCTTGTCGGCCGGCTCGTAGGTGGCTGTCGACTCGATGCGGCCGGAGGTCCATTGGCCGTCGTCGGAGCGCAGCGGGATGACGAGGAGGGTGCCGTTGCCCGAGTGGTGCATGTTGTCGGTGGAGGTGGTGTATTCTTGGACTTCGTTGTTGTAATGGACGCTGGGTTGGGGGTGGTGGTTAGTGTCTAGGGTGGATGGTGAAAGGGGGTTGGGAAGATGGAAAGGGGGGTTGGGAAGATGGAAAGGGGGGTTGGAAAGATGGAAAGGGGGGTTGTATGTACATACTCAGTTATGACGTTCCACTCGTCCGTGGACACGGCCTGGCCGGCCTCGCCGTCAAAAGTGATGAGCTTGTCGACGTTGAAGCCGGCGAAGCCAGCGAGCCCGAATAACAACAAGGGGTTGAGCGCCACCATGTTGCACTGTTGGTATGTCAAGTAGTAAGTCTAACGGTAGCGTAAATAAGGCTGGAAAGGGGGCTATGGTGTATCTCCGGGGGGATCAATGGCGGTTTCTAAGTGAACTGAGACGGGATGAACTGAGACGGGAATGAGAAAAGGAGGGACGAGTCAAGGTAGGAATTGGGCTTGATGGTGAATGTGATGCTCAATGAAGACAATGAGAGAGTGTAGATCCTTGACTTGGAGACATTGGCAAGATATATATATCGTCCGTACTGGGGGCCATAGCCAGCTCCGGAAGAGCGGCAATCTCGATTACTACAGCTCCCTCGACCAGACGGGCTGTAGCCAGCCTGAAACAACCAAACACTACATTCTTCTCACTCAGGTGCCTATGATGGTGGGCTGCGTCGTCCGGAGGACATGCCTGGTGCTCAGGTTGCGAACCCCACGGCCAGGTTAGCTGAGGGCGATGAGACCCAATTCCGGGGCGGAATTGAGAGCTGGTATCCTGGTAGGAGCGCTTCGGATACGGCAGGTTCAATTCCTAGCTTATGGTGGTTGCACCCTTGGATTTTAGAGATTTTAAACCTGTCTTGCGCCTGTTGACCGAATTCATCTCGTGTGAACTGATGTTTATTGAGAGTTCGATCGCCGTGCCGCTGATCAGAACGGCCCGGACATCCCAAGAAGATACCTACTGTGCCTCCCAAGCTTCTTGGCGATCATGTTCAGATGGTGTACTTTGTTCCTCTTTCAGCAGCTGGTTGCGTTTTGAGATTCCGTTGTCAAAGAAAAGGCCGGCGAGTTTCGGCCAAGGTCAATTTATGCGGTCGACTCGAACATTTGAAACATGCAACATCAGTGGCCTGCCGTCTCGTCTTTTTGGCGAGAAACAAAACGCCCCCACGGCCGTGATCATGGCCGGCCATGGTCGATTTGCAATTCCGGGGAGGGTGGGGGGCTACAAGCTGTGTCTGAAGCCGATATTCCCGAATGGGTGATGAGACGGGGTAAATGTTTATCATTTTCTTCTCGCTCTCATCAACCTGCCTGCAGATCATGATGCTGAGGTCGTGGTTTTGCTGACGCCCGAGCGCCTTCCCTCCAAGATCTTGAGATCTGGAGATCGGATGGACCGTGCCTTGCATCCACCACAAGGTTCAAGATCTCCACACTGTGCCACTCGCTCTGCGCTGCGTGTGCCGTGCCGAGACCGAGTGCATGGGCCATTGGACGGTTGAGACAGGGGCTCGGAAGCGGTGAGAATTGAACCCCACGAAACTGCCCCTCGCCAAGGGACCTGAGGGGACCAACCTCCGCCGAGACCCACAAATACTTCACACCAGACAACTCAACACCTCCGCAATTTCACAACCGGTGCCGACCCTTTCTTCTGTTGCTCTCTCCGCATCGCGCTGTGCGCTTCCTGGTTTGCTTCAACTCCGAAGTCACCGACATCTCTAATTTCGACATATAAACACCGTTAAGATGAGAGGCGAGGTAAGAGCACACCACCTTTGCCCCCCGCCGACCCGACCTGGTTGTCCGCACTCGGCGATGCCTTCAAGGCCGCGGCCCGCTGGCAATGCGGAGACTGCCAAGATGATGCCATCGCCATCCGGATTTATGAAATATGGAGGCGGTTTTGCTTGCCCCGGCTCAATGGTGTTTCGACATCAACCATTGCTTTTATTTTATAACGTCAATTCTGTGCCATTCGCAACTCGTTCAGTCGGGTGTTGGCCTTGCTGAATTACGCAAGCTTGCCAGACCTCGGCTATCAAGAGCGCCGGGGGATTGCTGAGCCTTACTACACAAGATGGATTTCACGGTGCACGAAGCTGGGTGCTAACACGACTGCCCGCCAGATTCTTCACGTCCACCTGGGGCAGGCTGGTGCCCAGTTGGGCAACAGTGCTTGGGAGTTGTAAGTCCTCACCGCTTTTCTTCCTTGTTGCTATCCTGGCTAACATTTCCAGGTACCTCCTCGAGCACGGCCTTGGGCCTGACGGCCGCCCGGATCCTAACGCCACCGACATCGCCGAGGGTGGCTCCTACGATACCTTCTTCACCGAGACGAGCGGTGGCAAATACGTCCCCAGGTCTATCTTCGTTGATCTCGACCCCTCCCCGATTGATGAAATCCGTACCGGCACCTACCGCCAGCTCTTTCACCCCGAGCTGCTGATCAACGGAAAGGAGGATGCTGCCAACAACTATGCCCGTGGTCATTACACCATTGGCAAGGAGATGATCGACAATGTCGTCGACCGCATCCGCCGTGTTGTTGGTATGCACATCCATCCTTAACTCAACGTTTGGACAGGCCGTGGCTGACGCAGGGTGATAAGACAACTGCAACTCTCTTCAGGGCTTCCTCGTGTTCCACTCGTTTGGTGGTGGTACAGGCTCTGGGTTTGGCGCTCTCCTCCTCGAGCGCCTGTCGACCGACTACGGCAAGAAGTGCAAGCTGGAGTTCACCGTTTACCCGGCTCCGCGCCTCTCCTCCGCCGTTGTTGAGCCCTACAATGCTGTCCTTTCCACCCACAGTACCATCGAGAACTCGGACTGCACCTTCCTGGTTGACAACGAGGCTGTGTTCGATATCTGCCGCAAGCACCTGGACATTCCCCGGCCGAGCTACGAGCACCTCAACCGTCTGATCGCCCAGGTCGTCTCCTCCATCACCTCTTCACTGCGGTTCGATGGCGCCCTGAACGTCGACCTGAACGAGTTCCAGACCAACCTGGTGCCTTACCCTCGTATCCACTACCCCCTGATCAGCTACGCCCCCGTCGTTTCGGCTGCCAAGAGCGCCCACGAGAGCTTCAAGGTGTCCGACTTGACTTTCCAGTGTAAGTGCCCACACCCTCATGTTGAGCTTTCTACGGGGTAGTCTTAGCTAATTCCTCCCTCCTAGGCTTTGAGCCCAACAACCAGATGGTTGTTTGCGACCCCCGCAACGGCAAGTACATGGCCGTCGCCCTGTTGTACCGTGGCGACGTGGTCCACCGCGACTGCGGCGCTGCCGTTGCCCAGCTCAAGGCCAAGTCCTCGTTCAACCTGGTCGAGTGGTGCCCGACGGGCTTCAAGATCGGCATCAACTACCAGAAGCCCGTCGCCGTCCCGACCGCCTCCCCGACCGACGGCGGCCTCGCCTCGGTCGACCGCTCCGTCTCCATGCTGTCCAACACCACCGCCATCGCCGAGGCCTGGTCGCGCCTCGACCACAAGTTCGACCTCATGTACAGCAAGCGCGCCTTCGTCCACTGGTACGTCGGCGAGGGCATGGAGGAGGGCGAGTTCAGCGAGGCCCGCGAGGACTTGGCCGCCCTCGAGAAGGACTACGAGGAGGTCGCTGCCGACTCGGCCGATTTTGCGGAGGAGGAGGCCGAGTACTAAGCGGCTGGTCCCGTGGTGGTGGCGGCGGCGTAATTACGGTTCGGCGCGCAGACGAGCGAGCTCCTGTGGATGGGGGGGGTTCGCTCTGTTAGGTTTCTAGGGGGGTGGGGAATGGCGGGAGTGAATGATGGCTGATGATGATGGACTTTTTTTTTGCGTCGCATGCGTCTATGAAGAAAGATGTCTATGAAGATAATATCCCCCAGCAAGCCGTGTTCTTACTGCTTCTGGCACTTGTCCATTTTAAGATATAGCAGAATGTGGATAGGGGTCTTGGTGGTTGGGCGACTGCCGCTTCCTCGATGATTGACATGTTCCCGGCCTCCTATGATACCTTTTGCTCAAGACACGACGCGCCGTGCTTTACAGATGCAAGCTGCTAAGGACAAACCACATCTATCGTGCCTCACTTCGGTCAGCTGTGTCGGCTCTGTTTCAGCTGTCCTTGCGCTGTAGGGGGATGTGATTATGAGGCAACTGTTCATTAACCGGGCGCCTCGCCAACACAGCGAGCGAGATAGGTTCTAACCGGTCCCGGTCTATCACAAACATTCATATACACACAGGTACAATAGATGAACCCCTCCATTCCCACAACATACTCCTGCCCCCCTCAGGCCTCCCCCTAGTATTTCCCAACCTTGCCACCCTTACCCTTTTTATTAGGCGGCTTGGCCTTGGCCTTCCCCTTCTTGAACTTGAGATCCTTGGGCTTGCCATCCCTCGCGCTGGCGCGCCGTCCTTCAAACACAAACTCCTCCGGCTTCTTGATCCCGCCCGTCTCCTCGCCTGCGGCCTCGCCGCCGCGGTTCACGAACCGGTCGCGCCGGTCCCGCCTCTTCTTGCTGTTCAGGCCGGGAGCCTTGCCCGCGAGCTTCGCCGCGCCGAACCGGCCGAGCAGTTTGCTGGCGCGGCCGGCGAGGGTCTGGGACTCGGCCGTGGGCTTGGGTACGTAGTCGTTGCCGGCATCGGGCTTGCGGCCACGCTTGTCGAACTTGCCGCCCTTGCGGTCGGAGGCCGCAGGGCCCCTCTGGTTGCGGGCCTCCATCGCGCGGGCGGTCTTGTGCGGAGCCTTGCAGCGGGTGACGCGGAGCTCGCGCGGGAGCATCGGGGGGAATTTCTTGCCGTTGATGAGAATGGCCGACTCGACTGAGTTGCCGTCCTGTGAGTGGGGTTAGTCAACAGTTTAAGACCGGCGTGTATTGGGAGATAGAGACTTACGTAAAACTGGACATAGGCGAAACCCTTGCCTACGCGGGTCGCGGCGTCTCGTACAACGCGGACGCTCTCAACTTTGCCGCCTTCTTTGCTGAAGACACGCCAGAGCCCTTCCTCAACATCCATTGGTGTCTTGGTCCGTTTGCGCCTCTCACCAACTTCCTTGCCCTCCTCATTGACTTTGACGTTGTACACGCTCTCGTCATCGACGAAGCCGAGATTGCCGACGAAAACGCAGCGCCGATGATCGACAGCTGCCGGATGGGCGACGCTGTCAACGCGGAGATGACGATCAAGCACAACGGTACCGTTGAGTTGCGCAACCGCGAGCCGCGCCGCCGCAGTGGTGCTGTAAACGGCGTAGGCATTGGTGGATTTGGTGGTAGCCTCCAAGACCTCCTTCTTGATGAATGCGGCCCGTTTCGGTATCCCTGCCGACTCAAAAGCGGTTGAGCGGAATCGTATCGATTCTACCTTTTGAGGTGGGTCTGCCTTCTTGTCAAGGACGGACGAGAGGTGGTTGATCAGCATTTTCTTGGCCTTGCGTGACGTGATAGCCTCAGCCGCGACGTTGCTGAGGAAGACGGTGCGGTTCGCCTTCTCTAGCTCGGATACCGCAGGGCGGGCAGCGACTGATTCGTGAACGGGGACCTCATCTCCTGATTCGTCGTCCTCCTCCTTTTCAGCCTCGGAAGCTAACGGCGCCGCGCCCTTCTCTGTTGAGTCTGCCTTGTGCCGCTTTCCAGACGGCTCCTCTTCGTTTGCCAATCTCTCAAAGTAGTTGGCCTCAAGATTCTCGTCATCATCTCGCTGTTTCCGCTTTCGCTTCCGCGCGTCGTCTTGAGATGGACCACGTGAAGCGGCTTTCTCCAGAACCTCCGCGGTTGCAGTTTCGTCGTCTGCGCTTGAAGCGTCGTCTACCTCATCGTCTTCAGAGTCATCTCCACCCGACGGCATCCCTTCATCTTCATCTGAGCCTTCAGCGTCCGACTCGGCGCCGGTTTCTTCCCCCGATTCCTCCTCCGAGCCTCCTAGTTCTTCGTTCTCGGACGCATCTTCGTCTTCCTCGTCTTCCTCCTCTTCCTCGTCCTCGGGAGTCGCCCTGGGCTTCTGCGGTAGTAGCTCAACGTAACGCGACTTAGGGGGAGTCTTCACGGCTCCGGCCTGGGTACCTAGGTATTAGAATTGAGTTGACCAGCTGCCGTCGAGGGGTTACTCACGCTGTGGGAGAACAACGCATCCAATGTGGGGTCAATCGCCTTGGATGAGACCGACAGACCGGATTTGCTGTAATAAGAAAATAGGTCAGTATTCCAATGCCGTATAAACGCCCAATTCCACTAGTTACAGTTCGCACCCTTTTGCCATTCTGCTGTCTGTTGGCGTTTCGATGCAGAGACTCGAAGCTTATAATGGTGGAAACTGGCAGCTGATTTGCCGGCTTGAAGGGGACAGAAAGATGGCTTGAAAGCTTCGTCAGTGATGCAGGTTCAGCTGTGGATACCGCCCTGAAGAGTTCAGGATGGAAGACTCGATGCCAGGGAGCAAAAATAATTCAACTTCCAACCTGGAAACAGTCCAGCAGCAGCTTCCTTCCTCAGCGCCCAGAGCATGGTGGGAGGGTCCTCTCAATGTGCCGAAAATTCGCTTATCGCTGCTTATCGAAAACTGCCAGGGATCACCGCCCTCCTGGGTCGCAGGAACTCGGCCGGCGGGCAAGCAGCTCTCGTCCCGCCCGTCGTCTGTGCTGCTCTGTCGCTCCTGTCCCCGTCTTCTTGGTCAATAATCAGTTACCGGGCACCACCGAACTTCCCAATCCTACCCACCACACATGCGTCCAGCCCTTGTGCGCGAGATTGACAGCAGTAACGCACCATATTCTTCTGGCTGCATCGACAAGTTTTATTTATCTCTTTGGGCGCCCTCGCCATTATTATCCTCCCGGTCGCAACGCCTGCCGACAGCAAAACCGCCCGCTCGCGGAACCCGTCGAGTTCAATTTTGCGCGACCCTACTTTCTCGACCACAACCGCTCACGGCGTCATTGGCACAATATTTAGCGATTTATTATCAACCTAGCTACATGGTCTACGATGGCCACAGGTGATACCGCGCCGCCTTTGGCACTGTCGAGCCCGCCCCCGCCCTTGCTGGACAACAGCCCCAGCAGCGTCTCGAGCCCCCTTAGCGAGCCCGAAGATAAAGACGGATATGGCGACGAGGTGGATCTAGATATGCGTGACCTCAGCGACGGCCGCAACACCCCGAGTCGAAATGGGGCCCAAGGCGACCCGGACTCTGACGCCGCCTCAGAGTCAGACGACGAGAGCAAGCTCTCAGAGGTGGACGTTAATGATTCAGAGGCCGAGACAGAACGGCTCTACGACACGCCACCAAAGAATGGCGCGACACGCGACATCTTGAACACGACTGGTGAGGGAAATCGGCGATTCACTGACCTCCGAGACCGAATTTTCGAACGAAGCCCGAGTAAGCTACACCAACAGCTGCGTGCCGACATTGAGACAGGAGATGCGACTAGCAGTCGCAATTCTGTTTCCGAAGGAGAGGACGGAGAGGATGACGACCTGTCAATACCCTCTAGCGAACCTGAGGTCGAGTCGGTCAAGGAGCCTCGGCTCCGAGCCGCCACACTGGCAAAGAAGAACCAGGCCGCCCCCTCCAACGACGCGCCCACCTCACACCCAAGGAAAAACTCAGCCGACTCTAGGAAACGGAAACGCCCGTCTGTGACCGAGCACTCGGAATCCGAGCAGCCGCTGAAGAAGCGGACTGGTTCGGCTAGCGCGGGCGACCGGGAGTCTGCCGACGACGTTGCCATGATTGACGACGACGGGATCTCTACAAATCCACAAAGCGGAAACCACACTGCAGAAGAGGATAATGAGGAAGTAGTCGCTACGACGGAGACCAAGGAGGAGCCCCCCGACGCGGGCGATGAAGACCTTGTCGTGTCAACCAGGTCCCGGAAAGGGAAGCGCAGTCCGACGAAGAAGCAAAAGAGCAAAAGCCCCGGGGAGACTACAACGAAGGAGGAAGCGCCAGATGAACCTCCAGAAGACGCCGACGGGCAGAGTCCCGAGGTGCCCACACCGCAAGCCGAGGATGACCACGCCGACGAAGTCGACGAGGAGGCAGAAGCAGCACACCGCAACGAGGAAGAGCGTATGCAGTCGGCGATCCCCTCTTTCACTTTAGTAGAAGCTAACCGGGCGACAGTGGAACGGAAAAAAGCAGCCTGGGAGGAGCTAATAGGAATCGAGAAGCAGTTTAGCAGCTTCCGAGAACGGTCCGTACATCGCTTGGCCTCCAAACTTTAGCGCTCAATTACTGATTTCCTACAGTCTCTATCAGGAACGACTGGAGCAGCTTAACCAGGAAGAGGCCATGCTCACGAGCGACAACCCGACGCACCCCGAATATCTCGCGATGCTCCAGTGCCTCGAGGAGCGGCGGGCAGAGAAGATCAGGAGGAGCAACCTTGAGTTGCAATTCAAGTTGTCGGTCCTCCGACACCGAGCTGTTGCGGAGCGTGCGCAGATCATGTCGCAGTTCTACCAGGCTGTGCGCGAATCGAGAGACGAGACGGTGACAGAGCTGGGCGAAGAGTGGTACCAGATTCAACAAGAGCGCCGGCGGGCGGCAAACACAATACCAGACTATGGGATTCGGTTCCCTGCTACGAGAGCACAAGCTGTCAGAAACGCGGTTTCGTATAACAAGGAAGTTTCAGTCCTTTCCGGCTTCGCGAAGCACGTCGGCTTCCCCGCGGCGCCGTCTATTAATGGCGCTTCCGAAGAACAACTGGAGGCGGATCTGGAAGCTATTCAGGTGAGTTTGGTACCAATGCCGGCTGTGTGGTTTGAGCCGAAGTTAACAGTAACACCAGAGCATCCGGGAGCCAATGCCGAGGCAGACGTCAAACCAGGCACCCTCTTTCCGACCGGAATACCCGGGCGGTCTCGCCTCGTTCGTACAAGGGCTCGGTGCCGCCGGCGAGCAGTTCATTGAACAAACGCCGTGGGCAAACCCGAACCACCCATCTCACCGGGCGCAGCAGCCACAAGCGCCCCGCGACAATAGTTTCCAGCCCACGTTTGCCGGTCCGTCGTCAGTGCCGAAAAGGCATTCAAACCAACCCGGAGGCTTGTTCTCGTCAAGCACGACCACTATCCTTAACGGCGACTCCCCGGTACAGGTGCCAAAGACTCAGTCGCCAGTGGTGCCCGAGCCCTCTCTGAAGGGGAAAATAGGCCCCGAGGCGCCCAGGCGAGAGTCTGCCATTCATGCATCTTGATTTTTTTTTTCTCGTTTCATTCATCTTTAGCACGTCGCTGGAGGGCAAGCGGTCACCATCGCCAGATATCAACGGAGTTTAGCGCGCATTGGGGAACCCCATGGGACATTGTACCATGCGGCTGAGCATTTCCGCCGCGATTTGCGTTTTTCTTTTTCTGCCTTTTCGGACTGGGCATTTGACGTGGCAAGGAAGGATACGGTCTGCGTTCTCGGGTCGACTAATGTCGCATAGATGAGGTATGTGTATGGATGAGGATGTGTACAAACTGAAGCGGGTTTTGTCCATCGCGGGGTTGTATTTGGCCGGGGTTGTGGTGCTTCTTTGGATCCGTAGGACCCAACGCGAGGGATACCAGGTGTTTTTGTTGTTCGAGTCGTTACCCGGGCTAGATGCGCGGGGGAAGCCGTCGATGTCTTTGAATCAAGCATAGATTCCCCAACTCCATGTTTTATGTCGATTGTACATGTACAGTAATACAATGGCTGCTTCACCCACCCGCTCCCTCCACCGTGCACACAAGGAACAGGGTGTCCCTCTTCATCAAATTGATCTAACCAGCCCGCCCTCCCCTCATTTGTTCGCACCTTGAGAGGTAGGTTTTACCGGCACGTCGGGGACCTTGACATCTTCGAACTCGTCTTGACCGATCGCGGTAATGGTGTAGGCCCCTAGAAGATCCCGGAGTTAGTCACCCGGAGCTTTAGGAGCGGCTGGAGCTTATGGGGGGAGCCGTACAAATACCAATGGCAAAGGCGGAGATGCTGAGCCCCACTACAGCGTTCTTCACCAAGTACGGCCGCCGGGCCCGGATCAGGGCGGCCGACTGGCGGTTGCGGTTGTCGTAGTAGCTCGAGCGTGAGAGTCTTAAAGCGGGTTAGAATGGGCCGTGCTCGGCAGATGCAAATATGGTAGTGGTGGTGGTGGGGGATAGTGAACTTACACCATGACGGCGTTGGGGAGCACTGTGGGTGCTTCTACATACAAAACGGTGGTGGTGGTCTTCGACCGGGGAAAATGATGGCCACCCTCGGATGTTGCCGCGTGGGTTGTGTGTGGTGATGCAGCTTATCGCAAAGGGACCAATGGGAGGGGGGGCGCATTCCCGCAGTAAAATGGTCCGTGCACCCTGTAGCCCTTGGCTCCTTTCACGTCACCTTGCTTCAAAGCGCGTCTCGCACCTTGCAAGGCTGGAACAAAGCCAAACCTCACTCACGCACGACCGCCGAATTCATATTCCAACCTTTGACCGCGACCACTGAATCCGCTAAACGACTAAAAGAGGGAATTGCAGGTTGAGACGATCGTTGACCGGCATCACGCAAACATTGCTGGCGGTGGAATTGATGAATCTGATCATTCTGATGCCATCGACCTCTCCCTCTGCCACACAAACTTGACTTTTCCCGGATTGCTCCACTGGCACCATTCGTCGACAACCTGGGATTTCACGGCGCAGTATGACTTGACCTTCGCCTTTGGGTTGCGCAAGTCGATACTGGAGAATTTGACTGCTCGGAGGTGATCATTGTTCTGGCTGGCTGCAACAGTGCCTGCTTTATCTAGCTCTCGTTCAACGCATCGGGGCATCATCTGAGCGGAGGGAGGCATTGGCATTGGCACCAGCACAAGCTGCAAGACAGTGTGCCGGCTTGGTCGACCACCAACCTACCTAGACTGCCTTGTCCTGTCCTCTTTGCCCCGTCCAAGCATCAGTCAGCGCTCTTTGTAGAATCTTTACTGCTTTGCCTGTCGCACCCATCACCACCTTCACCCCCCCTCAACACCAGCCCATCGTGCACCACTTCTCCGTTACCCTCTCCTCCTGGACCGCCAAAGAGGGCACGTGGGCGGGCAAGGCAACAAAACAACCACCACCATGGCTGCCGACTCGACCTCGACAGCGCCCTCGGGCAGTGCGATCTCGGTGGCCGAGCAGCTGGAGCAGCTCGGCGCGGCCCGCAAGCTGGTGCTCGAGAACGCGACCTACTACGACCGCATCGTCAAGGGCGTGCTGCCCATCATCGGGCCGACGGCGCCCGTCGAGCTGCGCCGCTGGGGCGCCGAGTTCCTCGCCGAGTCGCTCGCCACCCCGGTGCTGACCATGCGCGACAAGGAGAACATCACCGTCGCCGTGCTCGACACCATCAGGGGCCTGCTCGACGCCCCCGGCGAGGACGTCATCGTGCTCAAGGCCAGCATCGCGGCCGCCGCGAGCGCGTATCCCGTTGCCGTGAGGTGGATGTGAGTATTCTTTCTTTCCTGTTGTTGTTGGACGGATGGTTAGAGGGGCTGGCTGGTATGGGGAAGGGGGTGTGGAGGGGGACAGTGGTTGTTACGTGTGACACCTACTTTTTCTAATGCGCTCCCTGACCCCTGGGCGTTGATAATATATCTTGGTGCTATATGACCGAAAGAAAAAGGGGGCGAGGCTAATCGAGGCTTGACAGCATCAACAACTCTTACCACACCGAAAGCTGGGAACAAATGTCGGCCGTCAAGTCGAGGATATTACGCATCTGGGATGGGGCGCCGGTACCGGTTAAGCTGAGCTGTATCAAGTTCGCTCAGCGAGTCGTGCTCGCGCAAACGGCGTCGAATGGGACGGAACAAAAGGTTGGTCAATATCCCGGACAAGGGTGCGGTGTGACAAACGCTGACAAGGAATACGCAGTATAACGGACTCGACATCTCCTTGAATATGATCCCGCCGAACCATCCCCTCCTAGATCCCCGACAACTGGAGGCCGAAGCGACTGGGCTTCTGGATAGAATGTTGGGCGTGTTACAGGACAACAGCAGGTGGGATACGTTGTATGCTCAAATTACGAGAATGCCGACAACTGACTCTCTTCAAAGTGATGCTCTACTTGTCGATGCTACTATCAACTGTCTTTCCATCCTCACCCGATCTAGGCCAAATACATCAAATCGTATCCTCAACACAGTGCTCAACTTCAATCCGTTGAAGCTGGCCAACTCCCCAATGACACCAAAGACCAGAGTGCTTGTCAGGTCTTTGGAAAAAACCACTCGCATGTTTCTAACCCATCTCCTTAGGCGGTAGGCAACACCATGACTGTGATAACGGGAGGCTCCATCCGCTAACAATGTGTCAGGGACCCCAACAATCCCTTGTCGGGGCGGATTCAGCAATATGTCGAGAGGCTAATGCGGTCACGCGCCGAGATATTCGACGAGGCTGGCCGCAAAAGAGCGCTTGCCGACCAAACCGCGACGGGTTATGGTGATGCCAAAAGACAGAAGGTGGAGGCCGGCGTTCCTCAGTTTTCCGTTCCTCCTCTAGGACCGGGGCCGCACACGCTTGCCGGGGTATTTACGCTCACAAACAACGCCGGGTTGCAAGCGTTTGATGCCACCCAACTACCAGCAAATCTTGCCGCCAAGATCGGCGTCAGGACGTTAGCCGCCCTCGATCAGAATGTTCTGGACTTGGCGGTCAACGTAAGTGCTTTCAGAAACGCGCCTGAAGACTTGAGTGTACGAATACAGACTGACTTGACTAGGGCATCCGGGATCGCCTCACTTCTCTCCACGCTGCAGGAGCAGCCGCAGCAGCAGCGGCTCAGCCTGCAGTGATGAACGCTGCCACGGCCCCCTTGGGCGTTGACGAAGACGACGATGACTATGAGCCGGACCTCACCCCAGCTGAGGACACGGAACAGATCCTCAACAAACTCGACAACGCCCCTCCAGAGGAGGCCATGGGGCAACCCGCCGACGCTGGCGCGGAAATGGCCCTCGGTCCATTCAGCCTGCCGCCTCCGCCTACCCTTGACCCCGATGCCGCCGCCAAGCTCAGCCAAGCAGCCGCCTCCCGCGTCTTTGGCCCATTATCAACACTTAAAGACCCCGGCGCGGCGGTGCGAAAGCCAAAGGCGGGCATCAACCGCCTGGCTGCGAGCTCGTACGACCGCGATTCCTGGCTAACGCTCATCACGCGCCTCGCGACCCGCAGCACGGCCGGGCTCGATAGCGCACCCGGCACCGGCGGCAACGGCATCAAGTCGGAAGAAGACGCGCTCGACCGCCCCCGCGCGTCGCTCGGCGACAGCATCCGCGAGCTGCTCTTCACCTACATCCTCGAGGACTGGCGGCGGCGCATAGAGATCGCCGTCGCCTGGCTCTGCGAGGAGTGGTACAACGACCAGCTGACGAAGCGGAACGGCACCGGCGGGGAGCTCAACTACGAGAAGTGCGCGCTGCGGCTGGTGGACGGCTTCCTGAGCTACATCACCGCGCAGGACAAGGTGCTGACGCGCTTCCTGGCCGAGATCCCCGAGCTGAGCGCGCCGCTGCTGGGGAAGCTCAAGGCGCTCTGCGCCGACCCGACGACGGTGCAGCTCGCGCTGACGAGCCTGTTGTACCTGGTCATGATGCGGCCGCCGGTGAGGGAGATTGCGCTGGATACCGTGGCGGAGATTTGGACCGAGTGTGAGTGCTTACCTAATTCGTTTTTTCCCCAGTATTGCGAGGCTTAGACTGACTCTCGGTAGATGAGGACGCGCGCCCCCTGGCGGCGAAGTACCTCGTCAAGTGGCGGCCGGGGTTCATCGAATCGCAGACCCGGGGTACTGGAAGCGATGCGGCGCCCGCGAATAACATGGCGATTGCTACATGAAGACAAGACATGTGACACGGATGATGGGCAGAAGAAGGACGGAATAGCGCAACGTCGGGATAGTGTATGACTTATTATGTATTCTATCTCCAACCTATGCTTAACAGGGGCCCGGAATGGGTTTGACCGGATTCATGAAGTCGGAGGTCATTCATTAAAGCAAACTGTGGGTGAGGATAGAGGCGTTGGTCACGGGGGAAAGGCCCTCCTCGTATTAGTTAGAGAGGGCACACGCGACGCGAAGACGCGACGTGTCGTAGATTTCGTCATTGGCATAAACTGTCATATTACCAAAGACAGATTTGGAACAATGTTAAGTTACCCGCTGTCTTCGGACACGCACCGGGAAATGAGCGAGGTGAAAAATAAAATAAAAAGTGTTTCTTGAAGGATGTCATCTGTTCGCATCGCAATGGAAGTCCAATCCAATGCGACCGTTGCTGATCTCCGAGTCATCTTCAACGAAAGCTGCAAGGAGTTCCCCATGACCACCCAGGCACAGACGTCCAACAAACCCCTGTCTCGGATTCCAGCTCAGCGGGCCGAGCACAGGGGCTGGTGAACTTGGCAGCCACTCACAATGGAGGAAAAAGGGCCCCGCTCGAGGGTTTGCATGGTTGCTGTGGCAGTGGAATCGACTATGTTTGCTGCACTCTTGCACTTTCAGCGCGCCGGCCTCCAAGATGGTTGCAGCCTCGATGGATGGATTGATGGATTAACGAACCAGCGGACCAACCGCATCAACCATAGGGTTGCTTTTGTCAAAGCGGTGCAGTCGCCACGAGGATAAACAAAGATGTTGACCACCTGTTTTTGCTTTGTTTGTCGTTCCGGCTTCTGGCCCTCTCTGGTTCCTTCATCCCCGGAATTAATTTACATTGCCCTGTAAGCCACAGCTTTGCCTTGTCTGCTGTGCCAAGCAAATAAGAACATCTTCCTATGTAAACCGATCCAAGTTCCGAGTTATCGTCCAAAAAGGCTCGCGCCTGATAGGCACACATCCTTCTCCCTCGTTACCGTTCGAAGGCTCTCTTTGTTCGATTACAAACGTGCCCGTCCGAGGTTATCATCAGCTAAAGTCAGCCACAGAAGCAATCGAGACACGGCTTCTCTCTCGGCGAGCGGACCCGACCCGCTTTCAAGTGGAACAAGCTCTGCCACCCCTGGCACTCTCCGCGCCTTTGAACCCAGAACCCACCACCGTCTCACGAGAAATGCGCAACAAGCTCCTGAAGGTCCGGCCACATTCCGATCAAAAGCCGGCCTTCTCAATCCACCGGGACGACCAACACAGTACGTCTAACCCCTGGCCCGTACCACCAACAAGATAGATCTTCAGGGCGAATCCAATCTTGTGTGCGCTCGAGAACGTGCCCTCGCAAACGGCACCATTGTGTTGTGCCCGGGTAGCTGCAGTTCATTTTCGCTATACAAGCCATCAGGGCGTTCCACACAACGTCAGAGTTCAAGTCGGAGTGGTTATCCTATCGGAGGCTGACAGTGTGCGGCCATAGATTCCCCCGTGGCCGTCGTTCCACCTGCGGCAGCACCGACAACCCCAACTAAGTCAACGCCGAGCAAGGCGTCGTCCAGGTCCTTGCATGAGCGCCCTTCGCCCCGGTCCACCCTCACACCCGCGTCCGAAGGCACAATAAACTCCGCTATGTCCCGGACAGCAACAAGCGGAGCCAACGGAAAAGCCGTCCCTCCCGCACCCGCCTCGTCTTTGTCCCCGCGCACTCCGAACCGCATGAACTCGACGATTCGGACAGTACCCAGTTTCGACGACAGGCAGGGGTATGCAGAGGAAGATTCCGGTACTGACGGAGCGCAATCACACTCAACATCAAGGGATTCGGGGTTCTCGAGCTCGCTCAACAGCACCGCCAGCATGGCATCAACAAACTCTCCCCGCCGGGTACAAGCGGCAACATCAACAGGGATACCAAGGATGCCGTCATATAACAAATTAAAGTTCAGCGCCTCGGAGACAGCGCACGATAACGGGGACAACCACTCCGGACCGAGTTTCGCCGACACCCCCCCGCGCGATAGCAACCTCCATGCATCCGGCACAAACTCCTCACCCCAACCACCCAGTAACTCCACCGAACCCACCAACGACACCTCCCTCACGGCGACGGAAGCCAACCTCTCCAACGGCTGGGACAACTCGGTGGGCAAGGCCGGGCTGGGCAAGACGGGGCGGGTGATCAACCGGCTGGTGTCCGACAACGAGGCGCTCAAGCGGGACATACAGATCGAGCGGCTGCGGGCGGAGGAGTCGCGGCAGACGGCACGGCTGCTCGAAGACAAGCTGGAGCGGGTCATCTCGGACTACGAGTCGCGGCTGCTGGAGGCCAACGTGACCAAGACGCTGCTGGCGCGCAAGGAGCGGCAGGTGGAGTCGCTGCAGGACGCCGTCGAGCTGGAGCGCCGCCGCGCCGTCGACGCCGCCGCCCGCGAGCGCGTCTGGAAGGACGAGATGGACGCCGCCCGCGCCGACGCCAAGCGCCAGGTCGAGGACGCCACCAACTACGCCGCCCTGTGCGAGGGCCGCTACAACGCCATCAGCAGCCACTGGAAGGACCAGGGCGAGGAGGTGAAGCGGTCCGTCACCAAGGTGAAGAAGGAGGTTGATGGCTTGGTGGTCGAGAGGAAGAAGGACGACGGCAAGATCGAGACGCTGCGCGAGCTGTGCGATCAGCAGGACGGGAATATCCGCGAGCTCAGGAGGCAGAAGGAGGACATCCAGGCGCAGTTTGAGAGGTACAAGCTGCAGCAGGAGGAAGGGCTGAAGGATATCAAGCGCAAGGCCGACGGGAGGGAGCAGGAGCAGGAACGGACGCTGCAGGAGGCTCGGGACGTACTGGATAAGCTGAGGTGGGCTCTGAGCGTGAAGGAGAAGATTGAGTGGGCTCAATGAAGGATCCGGGGGGGTTCATTAGGTGGCGGTTGGTCTCGCCAGCTTTCGGGGTTGTCTCCTATTTCCCCTGGCGGTCTTTTCCGCGATTCATGACGTACATAATGATGATACCAGCCATCAGGCCGGACTAAACGGGCGGACCCGATAGACCATTTCCTGTTTTTCTTTTTTTATCATTTCTTTTTTTTCTTTCCGTCGGGTGGAGCACAAAGCAGGCGCGCGAAGAGCGAGCGGGCGAGCGTTTGATGCATGGACGGCGGCGGCATATCAGCCACTTAGTTGTCCGGAGAGGCATTGCTTCAGTTCTATTCCATGATCTCGGGACTTAGGGAATGGGTATCCATTGGCAGGGAGTTCGGCGTTGCTGGGAACGAGGTCAGGGTTCGGGAGTCAAAGTAGAATGGCGTGCAATCGTATCACCAGAACAACTAGGGATCTACTTGCTTTGTGACAGGGCCTCTCAAATAACTCATAGGTACCGGGTTACCTTGTCGAAGAGGTGTAGCTCTTGTGCTCGAATTAACGTTGACCTGTGCTCGAACTTTCAACATTCGGTTGCTATGTTGACTCCTCGTATGTTGAATGTTTTTGCTTGGCAGGGGCGAACACTCAGGGGTAGCAAGTAGCAAGCCGGCTTGTTACCAGGTTTAGCTCGCACGACAAGAACTCCACGGCGTTTTTTAGGACATAACTGCTCCTTTGATACCTGGTAGAAAATCTAGGTGATGATCAATGGTCGATGTAGCCTCAGGCCACTGGACGGTGGTTGAGCCAACACGCCCACCCCCTCCCCCTCCTCGCTCCTTCCGTCCTTTGAGAGCCATGAAGGGAAGTCAACCGACTCCTGCAGCTGTTAGGTGGAGTCCCCTGACATTTTGTTAGGCTCCCTCAACTGCCATCTCAAGTCCACGCGTGTTTCTTGTTCCCTTCATGCACCTGACCTCCCATCTCCCGGCTAGTGAATTCACTGACCCAGGCTTTGTGTCCACAACCCTACCCCAAAGTTTCGCCGACCAAGCGACCTGTGTGCGAGATTACCAACCCTGACTCTTAGGACCACTCGAGAAGCGGTGCCAGGCACCTTGCTTCCAGAAACTTGTTGATGGGTAAGACCTTCTATCCCATCCTTGAGCTCTGCAAAAGTTTGCCTACCCACACCCCCCACATCCTGTCGTGTGCAGCGACTTCTCTTCCTTTTCGCAATTTTGAACTCCCTCCGTTGGGTCGCCTTTACTACCAAGTCAGACTAATTCTTGCGTCATCAAAGATCTGACTTATTATCGCATTCTCGCTGTCGCTTCGCCATCTCCCACGATGGACCCCCCCGTGCCGTTGACCGAGTTTTACCTGGCGACTCTGTGGACATACAAGCCCAAAACTGTCACCCAAGTAATCGATGATATGGACGACAAGGGATTTGTAAATTAACCTGTTCTCGCCTACTGGTCTTACCCTAACCTATAATACAGGACCAAGCCGAGTTCGTTTATGATAGGGAGTACAGTTGGTTCAGAGTCACCTGCCGCAAGGACCAAGCGGACGAGATCCGTACGCAGTTTTGCCTCACCGCTCGCGAGATTGAAGACGAAGCATTTGATGACTGCGAAGATGACTTGTTGAGCCTGGATGGGACTCTCCAGGTAGGGCGCAGCGTCATCGGTAGGGAAAAGCTGCGAACGAACCCACTGACATTCGACAGTCATCGTTTGACAACGAGTGGTTTAGTCAAGATACCACATCCTCCAACATTGGCGAAGTCGGCGAGTCGTACTGTCGTCCCAGGGCTCTCGCCGAGTACCCTTATGTCGAGCTTTGGGATGATCTCGATAAGGGCAAGCAACCTTACACATATTGGGAAATCGTGTCCCGCTATCAGGCAGCGCTGATGGAAAATACGCTGGGCATCAAGCTTTCTGCCGCCCTTGTCGGAAAATTGGTTTACGTCGCGGGCCACAGAAAAGAATCCGTTGATGAAGCCATGGAAAGACTCAGGATCATGCTTACCACCAGGGTAAGTGGTATCAGGACAAATTCCTTACCATGGGCAGTCACTAACCTCTCTAGAAACTCTTACCCAGAGTAGATCACATTGTATATGCAGAGGACAGCCTCAGTCCGGTCGCGCCCGGTTTGACAGCCGATATTCGATACCTCGCCAACATCGACCCAAGACTAGCTTCCTCAACCCTCATCGATCGGCTCGTGGTTGACATGCTTGTGAAGTCATACGAGACACTTTATCGGGAGGCTTCTTCGATCCGGATTTGCCCTTGGGATTCCGGCAAGGGATGCTATGTGTCTCTACTTGGCCCAAAGGTCGCCACTCGTCCCAGGGACAAGACAGCCTTGGGGAACCGGCCTGCTATATTCACCAGAATCATCGACAAGTATACACCCCCCAAGAAGCCTGACGGCCATAGCGAGAGCCAGGGCGGTGGGGTCAGCTGCCAGGTTGGGACTTGGGTCGAAGCTGTTCCGATCCCTGAGGAGTCCGTTCGACGGGCCGCCCACTATGTTCTCGACACCGGTCCCCAAGCAGTTATAGATTCGTCTGAAATGCCAGGGCAGGGAGATCTTATGGACTTCCATGACGACGAAACAACATTATGCACCGAATCTCCCACGGTCGCGACACCCGGAACGGCAACTGGGAAGCCAGGTTTGACGGGTGCTGATCCCGAAATGTCACCCTCGTACCAGACGTCCTCCACCCGTCGAGCACAACTGGGTACGTCGAGCGCGAAGGAAACAGTGAGACCTCAAGGCCATGATCTTGGATTCACTGGCGACGACAGTCTAATCGACATGCTGGCTGCTGTAGACACAAGGAGTGCTGAGGATGCTCCGAGGTTGAGGATCGACTGGGGAATGGCCCCCCTCATTCCACTACCTGTAGATAACTCGGCGCTGAACCGAAACTTGACATCTACGCCTCAGGTAGGCCGCGGGGACCCGCAAGCAGAGAGCGACCCGGAAAAGGAGGCCACGATAGAGAAACATGGGTCTGCGCGTCAATCTGGTGCCGGCAAGTCTCCGCACCCACATGGGCTGACAACCCCCGACGTACGGCCACCCAAGACTGGGGGCTCTGGGTACCCGCCTGTCACCGAAGACTTTGTCAGCGAGATACACGCAGCAATGGTCAATCTCTTGTCCATGGGCCCTTATCGTCGTGGCAAGGTCGAAGTAAGAGCTGAGATTGGGCGCATCGTCCTCGAGAAGGTGGACAAGACCGGTCTAGCGTTCAACAACGAGAGTACGCCCAGCCAAGGATGGGAGAAAGCGATGTTGTTGGAGAGATTGAAGACCGACTTCGGCGGACACCAAAACATCCACTTCACCAAAATCCTCTCTGCATATGCTCCCAACATCGAGGATATGATCAACACCGAAAAAGACGGGGTTCGGCTTTGGGAGCATAAGCCGAGCTGCGCCTCGACGACGTACTCCTTTTACTGTGGATTACGTTCCGACAAACATATTTTCCCGTTTTTTGTCGACATTGAAGATGATGGTACACTTAGTACCGAGCTCTCGTACTCGGTTCGTGTACACAGTAGCAGGCGGGACTGGGACACCCCGATGCCCATCTACGTCCATGCAATTTGTCGTCACTGGGACTTACGGATTGTGACGTGCCATGTTAAAACTGATGAGTTGGAGACCGCGTGCGGGTTCTTCGCGCGTGATTTGATGCAATCGCTGAGCATACTGTGAGTAAAAGAACAACAACACGGGGTCAAATCTGGGTTTACGCTGACAACGTCCGTAGGCGCAACGAGAATGGTGCCTTGGAGCTCCAGTTTGCGGTGCCCAGCACGTCCCCCGCGGATGTGAGGGAGGTGCGTGTTCTGACCAAGTGGCGCTACTCCAGTGTCGATCAAAAGAGCACACTCGAAATCACCGAGGTCCAACAGATGAAGACGGAGCCGTACTCCGAGGGCCCGTACTCCAAGGCTTCCTGGAACTCGTACGAAGGGAGGCGCGCTCGCCCATGGTCGCAGAGAATGACCAAAGACAGCAAGGGCGAGGTCGCACGGTGGTACGAGGCTGCCGTGCTCTCCGTCGAGCTGGAAGACATCTGCCGGCAGAATGCTCTGCTCAGGGTTGGCACCAAGGCTGACTGGGACGCTGAGGACCTCGGGGCTCGCGGCGTTTTTTCGGCGGTCTACGGCCCCGCCCTGCAGATGGTGAGGGCGATGGACCATGTCGGCAGGCTGGATGACAACAACCTCTCGCAAAGCCATGGCAACTTACTACTCCAGCACAACGACCCTCCTACTCGGGTGGTTGGAGTGACTGCATCGAAAAAGGGCAAGAACAAGGTTTAGTGAGCGAGCTTTATGAGTGACGTAGGGCGATGGAGTGATGGTGGTAAGCGGTGTGCGCTGGCGATGAGACTTGATTTTCTCCTTGTTACTTTGGGTTCGGGGCCAGCTTTTGTGGCGCCAGAGGATGGATGCATGGATGGGAGGCGTATGGGCGTGTTTGTGAAGTTGATAATGTACGGTACAGGAACGGCGACTCGATGTCGAGCTGCTGGCAATACTCGGACTTTTAGGTGCCCGGGATAGCGATGAATTAGATTTTTATTCTGTTAATGCGGTAATATTTGACCATACATGGGTTACTAGACGCTCGTTGTAAATCTAGCCTTTTGTTGACCTCGGTGCGGAGTGCCTATTTCTGTCTCGGCCGTTGTCGTGTTGATTTAAGGCTGGTGAGACAAGGAGACACAGGTACCCTCTAACCAGAACAAGCCGGACTCCCAAGGAAGATAAGAAAAAGACTGATCACGATAGGGGGGTGGTGTTCACCGTTGTCACTATTTATCACAATATACACAGAATACCCCAATAGCAGCAATAATGGTGACTTGTACATACCTGTGGTATGGCTAAGGAGCTAATTCTGAACGATGGGTGGCCCATGCATACATCTGAGCCACCGAGGAGCACAGAACCCTCGTCTTCTTCGTTGTAATTTTCAACCAAGACCTAAGGTATCTCGTATATTCCTCCAAGCAAAAGCCATCGAAAAATGACGGTCAACGCTGCTACAACACGGTCTACGCCGTCCCAGACCCAGACGCCGAGGCTCTCGGAAGTAGGATGGCACGAGGTTGCAGATTGCTCCCATCTCGTCTAACAGACAATCGACCTTAGATCAAGCGTGGTGTTCGCTATTCCTGATGGTGACTTCATTCTCGTCATCACTAATGGCCACTCGGAACAGACAGTCGGAATGAGGGCGACGAAAGAATTGTATTGGTTGTGTGGCCGAGGATGCTCTTGGCTACACATATTCCTAACCATTTCAGTGAAGTTTCATCATCGCGATGCTCAACCACTAGCGCGCGAAGCCTTCTTACTGGCTCGTGGGAATGTAAGACTGGGAGCTGTACACTACAGATTATGACGACTCAGTCCAGTATTTTGACCAGCTGGAGTATCTTTGGCACCCCATGGGCAAGAAGAGCCGGTCCCCCCTTTTGCTTGGGCTCAGGGGCTGCTCGTCTCAGGGGCGACAACGCCAAGAACAAACACAGGCGTGTAACTAAAGAGAGCGGCCAGACAACGCCGTTGCAGGGAGTCGCTCTCCCATTCAGTCCATATCTCCGCATTCAACGCGATCCCCGTGGAATAAATCTCTGGGGTCAGAAACGGGGCAATCCAATCTCCGCGCCCTTCAATTGGCAGATGCAGGCAGCACCACCAACCTCGCACTCATTCGTCTCGCGCTCAGCACAAGCGTGCCGGATGCAGGAGGAAATGGCGTCATAGGTTACCCCAGCTGCCGAATCCGTTCACCCCCCGCAAATAAGGTGAGAGCCAGGGCGGATGGCGCGATTCGAGCGCGTCGGGGTGCATTTCGGGTGCATTGGGGTTGAGTTTTCCATGTCTAAAGTTCCCCCATTTGATAGGTCAGCTCTTGCTCCCCCCCACGTCCGCTCTTCCTGCCTGCCCACCTTCTGTGTAAGCTGCCACGATGGGGGGAGAGGGGGGGGAGATGGCAGGACAAGGTTGAAAGCACCAGGTTTCCAGGTTCCAGGTTGTGCAGCCGAGCTGCAGGCCCGTCCCGAGGTTTGACCAGCGGGAGACGGGTTGCATGCCTACCGACCTACCTTATTATATATATATATGTATATTGATTTGCATGCCCCGCCTGTCTACATTCTCAACTTCCCCAGCCTCTGTTCGAATTCCTTGCTCTTTCCTTCGCCGACATGGAAGATATTGAACCGGGCGGTAAAGCCCCATCGGTTGCCAAAGCCTCCAGATCCTCCCCGTCACCCCCCAACGAGCAAGAGGATGTCTCTCTCCACTCAGCCGACAATGTCAGCGCCATCTTGCCCGAGGGTCAAATCGACCCGGTCTACGAGAAGAAAGCAAAGATATTGAACCGCGCCGTAAGCCCTTTTGACGCCTACCTCCTCGACAAACGCCAGACATGGCTAACAGGCACCCCCAGATCCAAGACATCGGAATGGGCTGGTACCAATGGCAGCTCAGCGCCGTCATATCCTTCGGGTGGGCGTCGGACAACCTGTGGCCGATCGTGACATCGCTGATCTTCACGCCGGTCAAGAACGAGTTCGGCCCGGCGCGGCCGCCACTACTAACGCTCAGCCAAAACATCGGCCTGCTCGCGGGCGCGCTGTTCTGGGGCTTCGGGTGCGACGTGTTCGGGCGCAAGTGGGCGTTCAACCTGACGCTGGGCATCACGGCCGTGTTCGGCATGGTGGCCGCCGGGTCCCCCACCTTCGCGGCCATCGGCGTCTTCGCCGCGCTCTGGTCCTTCGGCGTCGGCGGCAACCTGCCCGTCGACTCGGCCATCTACCTCGAGTTCCTGCCGGCCTCCCACCAGTACCTGCTGACCGTGCTGTCCGTCGCCTGGGCCATCGCCCAGGTCGTCGCCACCCTGGTCGCCTGGCCCCTGCTGGGCAACCTGACGTGCCAGGAGGAGGACACCAGCTGCACGCGCGAGGAGAACATGGGCTGGCGCTGGCTGCTGATCACCATGGGCGGGCTCACGGTGCTGATGTTTGTCGTGCGGTTCGGCCTGTTCACGATCTACGAGTCGCCCAAGTATCTGATGGGCAAGGGCCGCGACGAGGACGCGGTGCGCATCGTGCACGAGGTCGCGAAGCGGAACGGGAAGGAGACGACGCTGACGCTGGACGACCTAAGGGCCTGCGAGCCCGAGGGGTACGTCCACCAGGCCAATACCGCCGACGCGCTCAAGCGGAAGCTCGAGGATGTCAATCGTAAGCTGGATCTGTCCTCCCTCTCTGCGCCTTCGAGCCTACGGGTGGCTGCTGGTGCCCCGATGAGGAAAGGGAAAGCTGACGTTGTCTTTGTAGTTGACAGGGTAAAGGCGCTGTTTGCGACGAAGAAGCTTGCGCTGTCGACTGGGCTGATCATGGCTGTTTGGGCGTTTATCGGGCTAGGGTGGGTTGATATCCGAGTCGGAATGGTCGACAAGAGCTGACAAGAACAGGTACCCTCTCTACAATGCCTATATACCATTTATCCAGGCCTCGCGCGGCGCCGACTTTGGAGACGGTTCCACATAGTAGGTCATAGCCGCCCTCTGGTCTTTATGGTAATGGCTGACATGTTCCCAAGTCTCACGTACCGGAACTCATTGATCATCGCCGTGGTCGGTGTCCCTGGCGCCCTCCTCGGCGGTTACCTTGTTGAATTACCTCGGTTCGGGCGGAAGGGCACGCTCGCCGTCTCGACTATTCTGACCGGCGTGTTCCTGTACGCGTCGACGACAGCGCTCAACTCGGCGGCGCTCCTGGGTTGGAACTGCGCTTTCAACTTCTCTTCCAACGTCATGTACGCCGTGCTGTACGGGTATGTCAGACATGCGCTCACTATCACCCCTTTTCGGCCTCTTGCTGATACTTTTCTTGGGCAGATTCACCCCGGAACTTTTCCCGACACCGCAGCGGGGGACGGGGAACGCTCTCACTGCGACCTGCAACCGCGTTTTCGGTATCATGGCGGTAAGTAGTTCCCGTTGGACGTTGATGACTCCTCGTTAAGCTAACACAACAAAAGCCCATCGTAGCCATGTTTGCCGACCTCCAGACTGCGGCGCCGGTGTACACCAGCGGGGCCTTGTTTATTGCTGCTGGTCTTTTGGTTATTGCACTGCCGTTTGAATCGAGGGGAAAGGCGGCCTTGTGAGACATCAATGGTGTGCAGTCGAGCATATTTCTTTTAGCATTTACCACCGAGTATAGCTTCTAGGAGCATGGAGCGGCTGCTCTGTCGGATCACGATTGTCAAACTGGGGGAGTAAGCCGAGGGCTACCCCTCGTCTCCCATCCCAAGGTTCATTGCTCGAGATTCTGTTGACTCGATCGGATGATTACTCCCTTTGTGAAAGGCGTTTGCCAGTACATACGCTGTTGGGTGATTCGGATACGTGGTAGTGTAGTGGGCCGAATGATGGTTGGCAGATCGGACTTCTCAGTTCTCATTCTGCTTGACACCTCGTCGGTGAGACCCACTTGCCAAGCTTTGATCAACGCGACAGGCTTTCGTAAGCTCCCCACATGCCGTCACTTCGATATCAACTCCTTCTTTGTAGTTATTGTCCCACCTTCCTCTCCCTCAACCAAACCACTTCACTTTCACCTCCACCATCCAAGCCGCAACCCCACTCAACACACAACAGCCAGGACATCACACAACCACAACCACAACCACACCCACCACACCCAAACAACACACAACCCTCCCCCCCCCCCACCATCAAAGATTCATCCAAAATGTCCCCCCCCGACACAACCACCCCCCGCCGCCTCACCCAAACCGCCGCCCTCCTCCTCACCACCCTCAGCGCGGGCGTCAACCTCTCCCTCTCCACCTTCCTCGTCCCGCGCCTGCTCGAGTCGCCCACGCCCACCATGCTGCAGCAGTGGCGGCGCACCTACGCGCGCGGCGCGTCCACCATCCCCTTCGCCGCGGCCGCCGCGGCGGCTGGGTATCTGTGGCTCGGTCTTTCCGGGGGTTGTGGTGGTGGTGGTGGTGGTGCGGGGATGGGGTTGTGTAGGGCGAGGTTGTATCTGGCTGCGGCGGGATTGACGGTGGGGATCGCGCCGTATACGATGGTGGTTATGGGCGGGGTGAATGGGCGGTTGAAGGGGTTGGAGAAGAGGGTTGGGGAGGTGAGGAGTGAGGGGGAGGTGGCGATCGAGGAGAGGAGTGCGAAGGGGTTGGTGGATTGGTGGGGGGTGCTGAATCTCGGGAGGGCGGGGTTGTTGGTGGCGGGGGCGGTTTGTGGGTTGGCTGCGACGCTTTGAAAGGGAGGAGGGGGAGGGGGTGGTTGATGGTGGTGGTGTGATGGGAGGTGGGCGTGCTTTTTTAGGGGATGGGGTGGGGTTCGGATGATGCGCTTTACATGATGGTTACGATGGTAACGACGGTGATGGTGTACGATATGTGTACTACTAGTTTGCAGGCGATGACTCGGCTCTCAATTCAGCTATCACATTGACCACTGATCACTCCGTCCGTGGAGATTTAGAAGAAATGCCCCGCGTTCGGACGTCACACAACGGCCTACTTGCTGCTGCCCGAGTTACCCGACGAGCCGGAGCTACCGCTGGTGGAGGACTGGCCCCCGCTGGGCGAGGTGTACGTCGAGCCACCATTGCCGTCGTTGTGGTAGGTGCTGCCGTTGGGGTTGGAATAGTAGTAGGACCCGTCGCTGGTGTGTTGTTAGTATCCTTGAACGCATACCAATTACGGATTGGGAGTTGGGGTCGAGGCATACCTGTTGCTATAGTGGTACGAGTTCGAGTTCGAGGCACTGCTACCGTAGTCCCTGGCGCAATAGTGGTTGCCCTGTCGAGAGGACCGTTAGCGATACCCGGCTCCTGTAGCCAAAAGAACACGGCCGTGCAAAACTGGAGATGCTCACCTGGCTGTTGGTGCCGGAGCTCTTGTAAGAGTATCCCTTGCCAGACATGATGATGATTGGTGTCGGACTGGTAAATCCTATATCGGTGCAAAGAGGCTGAAGACGCTGATGACGATGAAATGCGAAGAAGAGTTGTAGACCAAAACCTCTTTGTTCGAGGGGCGGGCATAAAGAGAAGCAATTTATAGACCACTAGGTAGTTGTTTAATGTCGTGAGGCCCACCATCGAAGTGCGGGGCTTCCTTGAACACGGGAAAGAGCTGAGTTGGGACCGATCTCGAGATCGGCGCACCTGCGGAGTATCTCTCCATTATTGGCTTAGGTGCCTAGGTAGTTGTCGGCAGGCATTGCGGGTTGGAAGGGATCAAATCGTTCAGGCACTCAGGACTCGCATGACCCATGAACGCCTTCCTCTCCCGCCATCCATGACTCTGGTAGGTAGTTATCGGCCGTGCCCTTCACTACCGCCGTTTCGCACTACTGTCCCCTTCACAGACCAGACGTTTCTGATCCGGGTCACTTTTCCAACCCTTTTTCCATCGCTAATTTAGGTAGTGCGTTGGCATTCAAACCATCGGGGGTCAGCGTGGTTGGCTTGGTTCGGTTCAGCAGCGGGTCAGTAAGGGCAATGGCAAATCTAGGGTATACTTCTATCTTAGCCATGGCCAGGCATACCCACGGTAGTCTATAAACAGCCGCAATTCTATAGTTTCCCATCCGCCTGCTCCTCCTCGAGGTCCGCCAGGTACTTCTCCGCATCCAACGCCGCCATGCAGCCGGTGCCTGCAACCCGTTAGTAACGCAACACACCCCAACCTCGGAAAGGAGAACATACCCGCGCTGGTGATGGCCTGCCGATACCTCTTGTCCTGGACATCCCCCGCCGCAAACAACCCCTTCACGCTGGTAACGGTAGAGCCGGGCACCGTGCGGACGTAGCCGTCCTCGTCGGTCTCCAGCTGCTCCTTGACGAGGCCCGTGGCCGGGTCGTGGCCGACGGCGTAGAACAGGCCGTTGGCATCGAGGGTCTCCTCGGCGCCCGAGACGACGTCCTTGACGACGAGGTGGCTCATCAGCCCCTTGCTGTCGCCCTTGACCTCGACGCCGACGGTGTTGAAGCGCACCGTGACCTTCTTGTTGCTGAGCAGGCGGCGGGCCATGATGCTGCTGGCGCGCAGCTTGTCGCGGCGCACGAGCACCGTGACGTGGCTGCCGTACTTGGTCAGGAACATGGCCTCCTCGGCGGCCGAGTCGCCGCCGCCGATGACCACGAGCGGCTTGTTGCGGAAGATGGGCACCGCGCCGTCGCACACGGCGCACGCCGAGATGCCGTTCTGCCAGTACTTGTCCTCGCCCGGCAGGTTCAGCCGACGGGCCGACGCGCCCGTAGCGAGGATCACGGCGTCGGCCGTCATGACGTCGTCGGGGCTCCACTCGGTCGAGTACTCGAACGGCCGCTTCGACAGGTCGAGCTTGCCGACCGTCTCGCCGACGATGACGGTGCCGAAGCGTTCCGACTGGGCCCGCATCTTGTCCATCAGCTCCTGGCCCGTCACGGCCTCGGGGAAGCCCGGGAAGTTCTCGACCTCGGTCGTCGTCGTCAGCTGGCCGCCCGCCGCAACGCCGTTGGCCATGAAGCCCTCGTACAGGACCGCTATCGACGGGTCAGTACTGGACACGATACTCTCGACGGGGTCGCGTGATGGTTACTCACGCTTTAGCTCGGCACGGGCTAGGTAGATGGCGGCCGTGTGGGCGGCTGGCCCAGAGCCGATGATAACGACTTTGCTGTGCATCCTCCGCTTGCCGATGGTGTGTATCTCGCTCTGATAGTACGGGGCACTCTTCTGGGAGAGCGTTGCGGCAGCAGCTACGGAGAGACCGCTAGCGCTGGAGCGGAGGGTGCGTCTTAAGTATGATGCGAACAGCTTGGCGGTTTGGGGGGGGGCGGGGCTTTGTCAGAGTTGGACGGCAGGCGGGCGGGCGGAGCGAAGTCGGGGCTTCTGGGCGCTTCTTATTTTAATTACTGTGTAAAACCTTCTTCTAACGTGGTGCTGGATTCCAAACCAAGCGCGCTTTTTATTTTACTAAGCCAGGGGCGGACAAGATGCATGAACGTGGGGTCGTCCCGAAAAATGGGATTTGGAGGGGCAAAGCAGGGATCTGTTCGGCATTGGTCCCTGAATGCGGGTTAGGGTTGATTGCTACATGGTGAGGTGCTACACTCCGACATGAATTACAACTTGCTCTGTCCCTCCTGAGGAACAGTGACGACCACTTTACCCCATGTCCCTCTGCTCCCCAGAGCCTTTAGAGCGTCGGGGATAGTCTCGAGCCCAACGAACTCCTTATCCGTAAATTCGGTGCCCCTGAATTTGCCCTCGGCGATCAACTTCATGATCCCCTGCCACACTGTCACCACCGTCTCCTTCTCGTGAACGGCATACTGCCCCCAGTGGATGCCAACCAAGCTGATGTTCTTGAGGAGCACCTTGTTCATGGCCACCTTCTCAATGGTGCCTGCGGCGAACCCGACAATCAGGATGCGCCCGTTCCAGGCGGTGCACTTTGTGCTCTTGTCGACCATGCCCACGGGGTCGTAGACGATGTCAACACCCCTGCCCTTGGGCGTCAGTTTCTTGACCGTCTCGGGCCACTTTGCGTCTCGGTAGTCGATGACGTGATCAGCGCCGAACGCCTTGGCTACTTGGAGCTTCCGCTCGGTGCCGGCTGTGGCGATGACGGTCGCGCCAAAGGCCTTGGCGACTGCACGTGTGTTAGTACGTGGTGCTTGACGCTGGGTTCCTTACGTCAGAACAAACCTTGAACGGCAGCAAGGCCGACGCCTCCAGCCGCCGCATGGACGAGGACATAGTCGCCTGCCTTGACTCCGGCACGTACAACCAGTGCACCGTAGCTTGTGGGTGCCGTCACAAACAACCCCGCCGCCTCTTTGTAGCTCCAGCCCGGCGGGACAGCCAGCATGCTAACCTCCTTGGCCACACACTTGGTGGCATATGCGCCTTGGGTGGCTCCGAAGACTCGGGAGCCGACTGGGAACTTGGGGTTCTTGGAGTTGGCGGGAGTGGCCAGCACGATGCCCGCGAACTCGGCACCAGAGACCCAGGGGAAGGCTGTCTCGTGTTAGTCATTGACCGGTAATTTCGGAATCCGGGGTTCTTACGTGGCTGGTGCTGGTATTTACCCTGGATCTGCAGGATATCAAAGAAGTTCGTCGCTGCGGCATGGACCTCGATGAGATAGTCATCCGGGGCCTGCTTGGGGTCCGCCAGCTCCGTCACGTTGAGCTCATGGGGAGCCTGCAAATAGTCAGTTTTGCACCATGCGCCTTGCGAATTCATAATGGATTAGATAACCGTGGTACAGTTTGGGTGCTTACCTTGACGTAACTCGCTACTTGAATACCTCGCATCTTGAATGTTGAATGTTGAATCTGGAAAGCAAGAGACGATTTAACGGATAACAGCGCAGCAATTAGGATGGCAGGCGGGCGTGTGTTCGGATGGGAAAGTGTGAAACAAATCGAATGCTAAGTAGAGCAAACAAACCACGATGGGATTGATAACTAAGAGGTTGGGAAACTACACGACAACACGCTTACCCCAGACTTTCCCCATTTTATATGTTCCATGTTCCGCCCCTGTTCGGGTGCAGATACCGCGGGGCAACTTTCCCGAGCCGAGGTACCTGGCCGACTCACGCTGATTGGTTGCTCACCAGAATCCGACCCACTGCGCCGATCTTCTTGGCAGACGCGATCTCGAACCCACAAAGAGAGACTCGACATCTTTGAAGTCTCAACCACATCTTTGACCACTGGCACCAGACAATAAGAACAACCCCGCGACCGATAAAAGCCCACACACACAAACCCCATAAAACCACAGAGATACGAAGCCCGCATCCAGCGCATTGAGATACAACCAGCAAAACACACACTCCTCCCCAACCGCCACCATGGCAACAACCGACACCCTCCCTGTCGGGAGCACTCCGCCCTCCTCCCTCGCCTCGCGCCTCCTCACGCACGGCGCGCCCAGCTACACCTTCACATTCACCCCCTTCCTCCAGCGCACCTACCAACACAGCCTCCCCGCCGACCGACCCATCTGCAAAGCCTTCCTCTCCGGCTCCTGCCCACTCAAATCGCACTGCCCCGACCGGCACACCACCCCCGCCGGGACCACCACAACCGGCCACGGCGGCGGACGAGAGGGTGGTGGAGGATTTGGATCATTAGTCTGCAAGCACTGGCTGCGGGGCCTCTGCAAGAAGGGCTCGAGCTGCGAGTTCCTGCACGAGTACAACCTGCGCAAGATGCCCGAGTGCAACTTCTTCGTGCGCAACGGGTACTGCAGCAACGGCGACGAGTGCCTGTACCTGCACATCGACCCCTCCTCGCGCCTGCCGCCCTGCCCCCACTACGAGCGCGGCTTCTGCCCGCTCGGCCCGCGCTGCGACAAGAAGCACGTGCGCCGCCGCCTGTGCCCGTACTACCTCGCCGGGTTCTGTCCCGATGGGCGGGCCTGTCGTGCGGGCGCGCATCCGCGCTGGCCGAAGGAGGGGGATCTGGAGAAGCCGAGGGTGAAGGAGGAGAGGCCGAAGGAGGAGATGGCGGCGGAGGAGAGGGAGAGGGAGCGGGAGAGGGAGATGCAGATGCAGAGGGATATGGAGAGGGGTGGGAGGGATAGGGATGGGGAGAGGGGTCATGATGGGCGGCATAAAGATCGGTTTGGTGGTGGGAGAGGTGGGAGGTGGAGGGGGAAGGGCGGCCGGTTCCGGGGGAGGGGCCATTAGAGAGGGGGTCGCTTTACGGAGTCATCCGCGAGATTGGGCACCGGTTAGAGACTGTAGTGGTTATTGCCATTCGGTTCCCTTGATACATGTGTCTGTCTCTCATCAATATAATTATGTATGGAGAGTCATGAGTTGCAGCTGTCTTTGGCTGAGCAAAGTGTACCGTACCCCTATGTACTCCAAACCTTAATACCCATACCCATGTTCCCATGTCCCCATGTTCCCATGTTCTTCCGGGCGTAATTAGCCCTCCTTCCAGACATTTGCGTCCCCCACCTGTTCCAAAGGCGGCACGGTAACATATGAATCGCTCCCTGGTTCATCGCTCCTCGCCGACTTAGGGCTACCGAATGCAGACGACCCGTTCCCCTGCCATGTGGCTAGCTCATTTACCCGTCTAATCCCCATCATCCACGAAACCAACCCTTTCGGCACCCACCGGCCGACGAACCCGTACACGCCGGCCCCGAGCCCAACCTGCACCATTCCACTCGTGAGCGACCCGTCAATGACGTCAAACACAGCATTGTGTAGCTCCTTTAGCGAGCTGCCCCGCATCCCCCGTATCCGCCCGGCGCCAATCGCCGACCCCGACTGCGAGACAAAGTTCTTCCCGTACGCATGCCGCGCCGAGTCCGGCCAGGGGAGCGCGTCGGCGTCCTCGGGCGCCGCCGTGAGCAGCCCGTGAGGATGGAGCAGGCGGGAGTTGGCCGCCGGTGTGAAGCCCGCAAAGTCGAACGTGCCCAGCTGCATATGCGTCACGGGGATTCCGAGCGGCCGCAGTTCGCCCGTCAGCACTTCGGTGAAGGCCGAGAGGGCGGAGCAGATGGTTGCCTCCGGAGCGTGGAATGGTGGGTTTATGGACGAGATGATGGACGGCGTGAAGACGAGGACTTTCGGGCTCGGTCGTTCCTTGTCCGACGACGGGGTGAGGCGCGCTGTGAGGAGCGGCAGGAAGGCTTGGATTGTGAGGATCGGTTGAAGGAGGTGGGTGTTGAAGAGGTCGGCGAAACTCGACGGCGGGATGGTCGCGATAGGCGAGGTCTGGTAGTTGAGCGACGGGATGAGGATGACGGCTTTGAGCAACAGATGGTGTCGCTTGCCGTTGGGGATCGCGGCGTGCGGAGACTGGAGATAGCGGGCGAAGGTGTCGATGGAGGTACCGGTACTTGGGGGCTGCGGGGGGTTAGTCCAAAATCGGCATGTGATCGGGAGGGAGGGGGAGGGGGAGGGGTAACATACATCGGTGATATCGATGCTCAAAGGTCGGATATCTGGCCGTGCTAGGTGCTGAACCATGATCTCATCCTCATGGCTGTTGGCGACGACGAACACAACAAATCCTTTCCGTTCCAGGTCCAGCGCCAGCGACCTCGTCAAGGGCAGGGCCGGCGAGCCGGCGATAACCACCACATCCATCCGGCCGCCACTGCGGGACCGCCTAGCGCGCCGTGTTTTTCGCCATCGCGCCGTACTCTTGTATGTCCGGTAGACAACGAAACCGGTAGTCACGGCGACAAACCCGACGAGGATCTTGTGCTTGTAGAACCAGTTCTGGACCTTTTCGAGGGCGGATGACGGCACGGTTATGATTGTTGGTGGAGGGGTCGGTCGTGGGCGGAACTGCTCGGGCACCCACTGCGAATTGGCGATAGTGTCTCGGAGTGTTTCGGCTATTTGGTCGACATGCCTGTCTACGTATTCGGCTGCGTCTCTGGAGTATTTTTGGATGTTGTTCGGTAGGGACGATAGCTAGACGGCGGTGGGTCAGTATCCGTAGATTGCATTCGCCGGCTGCTGAATGATGCGATGCGGGGGCGGGGAGTCATACTACGTCCAGAAAGGCCTGGTCGTCCGCAGACATGATGGCGGCGGGAGTAGTACAGCTCCCCGAGTTGTTAGTCGACCTGCGGCTTGAAATGCGCGTTCAAGGTAGCAAAGCCAATAAGCTGCTAGGTGTGGCGGGTTGCGAAGGTTGAAAATGCCGCCTTTATCGGCTTCGATGGTGGTTATCGTTATCGGGGCTTTCGGCACCCGACGTCAGATCCTGGCCACCGTTTCACAGAATTGATTGGGCCGTCAAGGTAGTTACTGCCTGATTTGGTTAGTTAGATAATTAGACCAGTTAAAAGATTAATTCAATTGTTATCAATATTCACGGCAGCTTGTTACCAGAACCCATCCACATCCTCCCCAAACTATCATCAAATTGAACTTGAATGTTAAATCAACGAGTGAGGAAAACCCCCAGAACACACCGCCCAAACTAAAGCTTCCTAGCCACAACCCTCAACCGCACATAACTCAGCATATACCCACCCCCTGGCTGACTACAAACAACCTCCAACACCGCAACCACCTCCCTGATACACTCCTCCCTCTCCCCCTCAGGCAACACCTCGAACCACTTCTTCCCCATCAACCTCACCCATCCCTCCACCCCCCCAACATCAGCCACCGTCGGCCTCCACTCCCTCTCCACCCTCTCCACCACCCACCCCCCAACAGCCCCCTCCATAAACCCCCTCACCCACCCCTCATCGGGGAAGAACCACGGATCCACCTCGGCGGCGCGCGCCAGGCCGACGCGGCGGCCCACGGCCGAGAGCAGCGCCGCGCGCACCTCGGCCACGTTGCCCAGGCCGCCCATCTCAAAGACAAAGACGCCGCCGCGCCGCAGCGCCGCGTTGACCCCGCGGAAGACGGCCTCGCGCGTGCCGGGGGCGGCGAGGATCCAGTGTAGCGCTGCGTTGGAGAAGGCCTTTGTGAAGGATGCGGGTTGGAGGGCGGTGGTGGATGGGAGGGTTGTTGCGTCGAGGACTGGTTGGGAAGGGAAGGGGGGTTGGTTAGTGTGTGGGTAGGTTGGGTGGTTGTGGTTTGGGGAGGTAGGTATCTGCCTTATCTATCTGGGGTTGGAAAGGAAGGGGCGAAGTGCTCACCTTCAAATATGCATTTATTTGCGAGCCCGTTGGATTCAGCGGCTGCTTTGGCGGCGGAGATCATGGCAGGGGAGCTGTCGATGCCGTGGACGCGCTTGCAGATTCGGGCCATTTCCACGTCGAGGACACCGTCTGGTGGGCAATGTAAGCTTAAGTACCAGGCTGTGGTGAGACCGGACGTAGAGTATCTGGGGAGGGAACGACGAGGTATGAGTATTCACCTCCACAGCCAACGTCGAGGATCACGTCGTCTTTCTGCGGATCCAGCCATTGCATGACCTTCGTGGCCAGCTTAGGCACGAACGATGCCGCATGTTGGTAGGCCTACTTGTCAGTTATTAAACGGTAAAATTTATAATGATTAGGATGGTTAAGGAAGTCGATTACGTCGGAAGACCAGTTATCTTTCTGTTCCGCCATGTTGGATTTCTTGGGAAGGTGCCCGAAACTGGAGGTAATGGGTGGTTTACCGGGAATGTAGTAAGGAGGTATGGGGTGCTTGGGGGCCTTTATATACGCAAGCCAACAAGGCCACCGAACGTTCCAACTCGTGTCTCCGTCGCAGCTGGGGGAGCATGGGTTGGGAGAGTGCTCACAACACAGACGCCGATGTCGGCGCTTCAGGGGCGGCCACCACTCTTGACGGAAGGCGCATTGACACCGTACTGGGCTAAGAAGGCAACGGTATGATGGCAATTATTGCAAAATAATGCACCGACGAAGCTATGATTAGCCCTAAAACATCGCTCCTAGTTCGCCGTCCATGCGTGGTTCTCCGATATCCCACTGCTTGCCGCAGCTCACCTAGTTCCCCATCTAGACTCCTCCCAATATTCTAATTAATCGAGCTCATCCAGGTCCATTAGCTCGTATTTGTCATTACCAAGAGCGTCCTCCACCCTCTTCATAACCGCGAGCACCTTCTCCTCTTCCAATCGCCGCCCTACCACTTGTACACCCACAGGCAACCCGTCCATGCGCTCGGCATCGTAGTGTTTGTAAGCACCCCGCGCCACACCATTTAAATTCTTCATGCTGAAGGATTCAGGTAGCTTATCGAGCTCCTCGTCCACGTGGGTGATGGGGAGGACACCGGCTGTGTAGTCGAGCTGTGGGTTGTGAGCATGAGTCCACAGATCCAAGTTCCTCCAAGGGGACTCACCAAATTGAACAAGAACGTATACCCGCAGCTGCTCACGGCGTCCCGCATTCCGTCATGCGGCACTGCAGGCGTGGCATTCGGAGGCGAAATAATCACGTCCAGTCCTTGCTCGTTCCACCACTCAAACCACCTCGCCCGGTACGCCTCTCTCTGGCTAACCAGCTTCCAGTTCTCGAAAGCCGACTGCGGCCGCCAATGCCTGACCAGCCCCGCCCAAATGTGATCCCGCTGCACGTACTTCACCCACAGGTAGTACACATACCTGAATGGCGACCACAGCGAAGCCAGCTTCTTCATCTGCAACGCCCCGGCGTCGAGCCACTCCCCAGGCCGCCGAAACGAGTCAAACATCTGACAACCATCGGCATTCAGTAGCAGCGCGGCGAGCCTCAGCCCCTCATACATATCTGGGGCGTCTTCCACCTCGACAATCTCACACCCCTGACTCCTCAGCGCCTCCTCCGCGATGCTCAGCGCCCTCGCACACGCAGGGCTCGGATCAACCACCCCATCCGTCCTCAACACCCCCACCCTCAACTTCCGCGCGGCAGTCACAAACTCCCTCTCGACCTCCCCGCGCCACGGCAACGGATGGACCGTGTAATCGTACCTCCACGGCATCATCTCCCCCAAGATCACCCGCGTAAAGTACGTCAGATCCCCCAACGTCCTCGCCATCGGGCTGTACACGCTGGGCACCCCCTCCTGGCCGGGCATGCTCGTGGCAATACCCGCCTTCGGCCACCGCCCCGTCGAGCAGCGAATCGAATAACAGCCCGCAAAGTGCGCCGGCACCCGCACACTCCCCGCCACATCACTCCCAATCCCAATCCGCCCCCCCATCGCCAGCAGCGCCGACTCCCCACCCGTACTTCCACCAGGCGAATAATCCGGATTATGCGGATTGCGACAGCGGCCCCACAAGTCATTCGCGCTCTCAAAACTCAACAGCGTAATCGGCAAGTTCGTCTTGACATACGGCACGGCGCCCGCATCCTTCAGCAAGCGCACCATGGGCCCATCCCTCGCCGCGCGGTGGCCCGCCAGCGCCGAGTAGCCCACCGTCGCGTCGTACCCGCCCACCACGACCGTGTCCTTCAAGCTCACCGGCACGCCCGCCAGCGGGCCCTCCAGGTCGATGCCCCCGTCACTCTCCACCCCGCCCGCCACCCAGCGCTCGGCGTCCGGCAGCAGGATCTCGGTCAGGCAGTTGGTGCGGGCGTGGGCCTTGAGCGCGAGGCGGCCGTAGGAGCGCAGGACGGACAAGGCGGTGGCGGTCCCGCCCGCGTGGACCGACGCCACCAGCGTCTCGATGGGCTGGGTGAGCGTGGCCTTGTCGGTGGGTGTGAGCGGGCCGTGGTAGGCGGACAGCGAGGCGGCGAGGCGGCCGCGCTCCGTCTGCTTGGTGCGGCAGTCGCGGCGGTGGTGCAGGTAGTCGAGGAGGAACATTTTTTTTTGGTGTGGTGGGTGTGTGTGTGTGTGTATGTGCTCTTTTTCTTTTTTTTTCCTTTTTGCTTTTGCTATGGGGGTGTGGGCATGAATGAGGAGGGGGTTGCTGAGTTGGAGAGGGGTGAGTGAGGAAGCAATGCGAGGTTGTCCGGTGAGACCTCGATTCCTCCTCCTCGGATGAGCTCTGAGTTAGAATTCGGGGTCGCACAATGCTGGCCGAGACTCGAGGAATGAATGAGGGTTGGGTTCAAAAGCGGTTGGAATGGCAGGAGATGCCGAGAACAAATGAAGCTAACTGGCTGGTGTAAGTGATAAGATAGCGGGAGGCAGCTGATGTGTGGGGAAGCGGAGACGGCGGCCAGGCTTCCCCGCATGCCGGACCACTCCGCTTTCTCCGTTCCGACAAAGCCCCACCCGAGCCGGGGCTTGAGCCGCTCAGAGCCGACTCTCAACGCGTCCCTGCGCCTCCCTGCCTCCGGGTTTTTTGGGGGCTCGGTACTCTTGAGTAACCGTGGTAACTTATGAGCCCATATATCGTTCATGTTTTGAGTCCTACATACCGAGGTAAACAGCGACATAATTCTCGACTTAGGTGTCAGTCGCAAATTAACAAACCGAGGTCGAGCAAACCAAAGAACCAATCGCTCCCTGATAGCACAGCACCGCCAAATGCAAACCCGCCGGCCACTCTGGAGCAACATAATGAGAGGCTTCACCGAGAACTCGCCCGGTTCAAGACATAGCATACCAGTCCCAGTTGCCCGCCAGTCCCATATCGTAACGCCATCCCTTCCTTGCATATTATACACGCATTTGACCTCCCGTCCTTCAAGAGCCCCGGACCAACTTGTTATGCCTTAGGCTCTTCGTTGTTGCCACTAGGTTGTGGCCCTCCGCTAACGAGCGTGGGCGCAATCCGTCTCCGCTTCGAATGGTTACCCGAGGGCTCATCTGCCTCGTCTTCGGTCTCCCGCTTGGTGCCCGTCGGCGCGGTGAACGAGGCGCGCGGGGTCTCGGGCGGCGTTGTGATAGGGAGCCCGACAACCTTGCTCGAGTTTGTGGCTGCTATGCTGGGCACTTGTCCCGATATCAAGGGCGGGTTGGTAAGCACGCCCGTCTGCGGCGCTGATACGGATGAGTTCGAGCTCGACCGCGCTGGGGACCCCGCCCGTGGGTTGACAAAGGAGGCCGTTGTTGTTGGCGGCGACGGTGCCGTCAGCGAGCCGACCGAGTCCCAGTGTCTGTGATGCGAGCCGTTCGGGAACGGCGAAGGCGGTGCAAACACCGAGGTCGGGGTAGGTGCTGGCGTGTTTTGGTTGGACGCATTGGCTACGGAGGGCTTCGGAGGTCCAAGGTCTCCGGTATAGACGGTGCCAAGTTCGCCGGGGGTGAACGACAGGGTCGAGCAGAACCCGTCTGAGGATGATATGAGCAGGGTCAAACCGTCGCTCGACCTACGAACGCGTTAGCATCGGCTTGCCATTAACAAGTGACGGAAGACTTACCAAGTCAGATCCGTAAACGTGGCGCAATGTAGATTGCTCACCACACAAATAGGCGTGTGTTGTTGTGTGTCATACAACAAGACCGAATCCTGGGTCGCCACGGCGTACACCATCCGATACGGCAACGCGAACACGGACTTTGGCCCCTGACCTTGCACGCCGGTTTCCAGGTTCAGAGTCTTTGCAGTAGAAGTCGAAGCCTCTGCCACTACCGGCGGCGGCGGCGGGTCCATCACCGATGGGGCCGGCGAAGCCTTGGCTAGGGGCTCTGGGAGCGACGGGATAGGCTCCTCGGCAGACGAGCTATCGATGGTTATGTTTTTGGTGACGGGAGGGGACTGCCTCAAGGTGTAAACAACCGGGGAGCAGCGGACCGCGACCGAAGGCTTCTTGTGGCCCGGTAAGTGCGCGATTGGAGGTTTGTTGATACCACCACGAGTGTATATGTAAACCGTGTTGATGACCTCGTACGTGGGCTTCGCGCCCTCCATTTGGTGCTGGGTCTGGTACTGTCCGGCAGGTGTGAGAAGAAGGCTCCCATCGGGCGTGAATGTCAGTCTCCGGAAAAACGAAGTAAGGGTCTCATTGGCGTAGAGGCTGGCGTTTTTCATGCCCAGGCCCATGCTATTAAGGTGCGGCTTCGGGGAGGCTTCGATAGGCATCACAGCCGGTAGAGGCATCGACGGAGCAGGCGAAACGGAACGCCTCGATGATGAGAAGGAGGTCCTCCGGCTATGGGTGATCACGCTGGGCGGATTCATCGGTAGCGCAACCGACGTCGGAGTCCCCGGGGCCGAGGGGACAGGCGAGCCGATCGTGACCCCCGGCACCGCATCTATCGCCGCGAGAACCGACCGGTAACCTATTTCGGGCGGTGCTGGGCTGCTGGAGGATATCCGTCGGGGAGGGAGGTCGGTCTTGGCATGGCTCGCGAGCTTCGGGGGCTTGTCGTCATGATTGTGGAGGGTGTACTGGCCATCTTTCGTCCTCAAAGAATAGATGTGGACGGAACGGTCCGATGATTGTGTCGCGATGTACTCGTTCAATGGGTCCCACGCGACGCCCTGGACATAATGGCTGTGTTCGGCAATCTGGCGGACCAGAGTCCCTAGGATAATCAATCAGCAAACCCTCCCCGTCATGTTGCCAGGGAAGCTGCCCACCTGTCCCAGCGTTGTAGATTCGCGCCACGTTGTCCATGCTTCCAATGATGAAGAACGACGCATCTGGTGACCATGCAAGGTCATATATTTCCGTCCCTAGTGATCGACACATATGCTTTGTCCGCCATGTCTCCTTGTCGTCGAGGCCCTCGGAGCCAAACGTCGGGTGGTGGGTTTCGGACCGGACCCATAAGATCACGTTCCCGTCGTCGCCAGCGGATGCGAGGACCTCGCCTAGAGGGTGTCAGTAAAGTTTTGGGATGCAGCTCCTCGCATTGAATTTACCCTACCCTTCGGGGCCCAGCGAACGACGTTCACTGCTTGGGTGTGTTTCGCGAGGGTCGCGATGTAGTCGACCTTCTGCTCGGCACCATCCTCTTCTACCTTCCACAGCTATCACTCTGTTAGCGCTGCATCCAAGGCAGGTCAATGACAGCGCGGCAGGCAATCGACCTACCCGAACATTGTTGTCTCCGGCACCCGTCGCGAGACGGCCTTTACCATTGGGTTCGAAGTGGGCAGAGTAGATCGGGTACGGGTTGTTGTTATCGTGATGCCAGTTTATAATTAACGGAGTTGCCTTCATTCTGAGGACTGGCCGGCTGCGGAGCCGTTGTCATGGAAGTAATGTTGCTTTCGACGACTTCCAACTCGGGTCGCAGCTGTGGTCTGAGGCTGGATGATGATCGGTGGAGAGTGGTCGAATCGAGAAAGAGAAAGGCCGGGTCGCTGAGACAAGCTGTCAAGTGTTGGGGTCTTTCTAGCGAGGTCAATTGGCCAGGAAAACGGCGGGCTTGTTGGGATCGCAACTCGCCCCGGTCAATACGCGTTTCTGCTTGGTGTTGGTGCTTGAGGCTTGTGCGGCTCGAGTGCACAATCAGAAACGTCGGGGTGCTTGGAGCCGGGGATGAAGAATAATAAGCGGGTCCTGGATTGGGATCTCGATGTCCTCAGGCAATCAGATCGATCCTGTCGTTTGTCGCGGGAGTCTGCAATATTACTTGCAGTTGAGTTTACAGGTTTCTAATGTGAATGAAGCTCCGGTCATCCTTGTCTGTCCCAGCCTCGACCCCCTCGTGTGCTTGCGTGGGAGGTCGAGTAGGCCAATCAATGCGCGCCGTAGTGCACTCGCTCGACCCACTCGTGAAGTTTGCCAGCCGTCACCACGAATTGTTGTTGGATGACAAGTCCCGCCTGCACGCGCTGCAAGTCATCGACAGCGTGAACGATGTGACTGGACTGCTGTATATCGAGTTCCCGGCACAGCAAGTTCCAAACCTCGTCCTATCATTTGACCCTCCAACGTTATGCTTCATCCCTGTTCGTAGGGAGCGGCATGTCATCATCTCGAGCAAGTCCGAATAGCAGACTCGTCATTTCCTTACGCCGCTGTTTTTTTTTGACTTTCCGCATATTTTTCCTATTCATTCTCTTCTCGTCGAACCAAGGAGCCAAGCCCCCAAGCTCATACCACACATACATAGTAAGGCTGATGAAAATCTCGCCACCTGCAAAGACGATCACAAAAGCACAACATGTAGGGGTAATACAACCCTAACCCCCCTCTGCCGATTCTCCAACAGAGGAAATAAGGCGTCGACGGGGTTGCCAAGGCAGAAGCGATGCGTCTCGCCGAAAGACGCCATCAGAGGAATACGCCCGTTTCGTATACACAGCAACCTAGTGTTTTTCGCGCCAGGGCTCGCGAAGATCCCAGGCCTTCGAGACTCGAATCCGAGCTTCTTTTTTAGTCAGCGAGAAGGTACGAAGTATCTGTTGCAAATTCTTCCCAGCCACGAGTGCCCGACACTTTTGATGCCACTCGCCGAGATTGGAAGGTGCTGACCGCCCGCATGCTGTCCGGCAAATCGGAACTGGACTGTTTTTTGACTCTCCCGGACCCGGCGATCCCACCACTTCCATTCAGCTCGCTTCACCGCATGAGTCAACCTCAGCGAACATTGCCATGCGGCGAGACAGAACCGTCCCCCCGCCAATTCCATCTTGTGCGGGGCGCGTAAGCACAAGATAAAGTTAAACGCCGGAAAGGATCTGAGACGATGGCTGGCTGAGTTCACTCTCTCTGCCTGTTCCTCTTCTCGGTCTCGACTCGATCCTATTGTTAGCCAACCACCTGGTTTGCAACACCAATTGAATCGTGGTCCGGCACCATTACCTTGCCTCCTTCCACTGCTCCTCGAGCTGTAAATAGTAGACCTTGTCACGATCTTTTGAACTTCGAACTCGTCGAATCCTACTTGGCAATCCGGTCATCTTCTGCTGCTGCCAAGCCCCGCCCTCTCTCGGAGATAAACCCCACGATTACAGCATCTTTGAACATCGCGGAACGCCAAGTCGCCCTCGTCTGCCACGGGCTTGCAATGCCGCTTGGTGACTCCAACTCGATGCTGAAAGTATTCGGAACGGGAATCGCTCTCATTGGAATCTGCTCCCTCCCTGCACTTGGCAGCACCGTAACCCGGCTCGGAAGAAGAGATGCGAAGCAAGATGTGTACGAGGATGGCGACGGCAAGGCTACTCCCGAGTCGGTGAAGGCCTACTCGGGGAAGCTCCCGAAATCATTCGCGGTGGTTTCGGCCGGTGCTGGTCTTGGCATCTCCATTGCCCTCCTCATCCTATCATCACATGCCGACGACCGATTGTTGATAGACAGCTTGAGCATCGGAGCCTGGGTAAGTCAAGCTGATGTTGTATTATTGTGTGTGTTGTGTTCGCCGATATTCTGACGCTTCTCCCCAGGCTCTTCTCTTGTTTCAGGCCGTCGCCGTAGCTTCGAGCAGGAGTTCGGTACATGCCTACCGTCTCGGTCTCTATACCTTCTTCTCTGCCGCGGCCCTGGCCGGCATTCTCCTCGCCCAGGGCACCAAGATCGCGGAACCGCTGTTGCATTCGGCGCCTGTAACTTTCGGGCTCCGCGTGGTTGAGCTAGCCTCCAGCATATCTCTCTCTTTCTCGGCCCTCTGCATTCCGAGGCGGCCGGACGTCTTCTACCAGGGCGAGCTGGTAGATCGCTTGTACACTGCGTCCGCCTTCCGCCGCTTCACATGGGGCTGGCCAAACAATATTCTCAAGCTTGCCGCGAAGAAGAACGATCTGGACCTGACTGACCTTACGCGGCCGAACCAGTACACCCGTGCCACCTCTTTGTCGAGCGACTGGAAGTCGAAAAAGACCGACGGCCAACGGCTCTGGATTTCTCTCGCGCTAGCTCACAAAAAGACCCTGATCATACAATGGTCCCTGACTCTTGTCGCCTCGATCCTTAACTTTGGCCCGCAGTGGGTCATTCTGCAGCTCCTGAGGTACCTTGAGAACCGCCAACCGGGCGACGGACAAGAAATTGACGCCTGGATGTGGGTAGTCTGGCTCGGCGTTGCCATGATCTCGCTAGCATGGGTTGAGACCTACACCTGGTGGATGTCGTACGCCGAGGTTCAGGTTCCCGTCCGCGCTCAGCTGTCAGCCCTCATCTTTGAGAAGTCGATGCGTAAAAAAGACGTCAAAGGCGCCGAAAAGTCCAAGAAGAAGGTTTCCGAGGAGGCCGACGCCGCATCGGACCTCCCGGAGGTAGAGGACGAGGGTGATGACTCGGAGGATCTCAAGAACAGCAAACAAAGCACGGTTAACTTGATCGGCGTCGACAGCAAGCGAGTGTCCGACTTCTGTTCTTTCCAGAACCTTTTCCCGGGCAGTCTCTTCGAACTCCTGGTCTCGCTCCTCTTCTTGCTCAACCTCCTGGGCTGGAAGGCGCTCCTGGCTGGCTTTTCCGCCATGGTCGCCATCATGCCGGTCAACATCTACTTCTCCAAGCGCTACTCCGCATCACAGGATCGCCTGATGAAAGTCAGAGACGACAAGATGGAGGTTGTCACCGAGGCACTACAGGGCATTCGCCAGATCAAGTTCTCTGCCCTGGAACCCGAGTGGGAGGCCAAGATCAGCACTGTTCGTGAACGGGAACTTAGTGCCGTCTGGAGCGTCTTCCTGAACGACACGATGCTGATAGGTTGCTGGGTGACGAGTCCGATCCTCCTATCTGCCATTTCTCTAGCTGTCTACGCGGCCGTACATGGGGCCCTAGCCCCGTCCGTAGCCTTCGTCAGCTTGGGTGTCTTCAAATCGCTCGAGATGACCCTGTCTGTCGTCCCGGAGTTGATGACGGATCTGCTGGACGCTTGGGTCTCCATCAACCGTATCGAACAATACCTTAACTCTCCAGAGGTGGAAAAGATCTCGAAGGACTCGGACGAGGTGTCGTTCGACAATGCCTCCATTGCCTGGCCGTGCGATGAGGACGTTGACGAAGCCGACAAGTTCGTCCTCCGCAACATCAATGTCACTTTCCCCAAGGGCGAGTTGTCGGTCATCTCCGGAAAGACGGGCACGGGGAAGAGTTTGATGCTGGCAGCGATTCTGGGGGAAGTCGACCTCTTAGGCGGCACCCTGTACGTGCCGAGAGCGCCAGAGCTCTCTGAGAGGCACGACGACAAGGCGAACAGGGGCAATTGGATCATTCCGAAGGCGGTTGCTTACGTGGCGCAGATCCCTTGGATCGAGAACGCAAGCATCAAGGACAACATTCTGTTTGGGCTGCCCTACGACGACGAGCGGTACAACAAGACGGTCGAGGTCTGCGCGCTGAAGAAGGACCTGGAGATGCTTGGCGACGGTGAAAACACCGAGATCGGCGCCAACGGTATCAATCTCAGCGGTGGTCAGAAATGGCGCGTTACGCTTGCCAGGGCTATCTACTCCCGCGCTGGCATTCTTGTCCTCGACGATATCTTCAGTGCCGTCGATGCCCATGTCGGCCGCCACATCTTTGAGAAGTGCCTCAACGGAGAGTTGGCCGTAGGCAGGACGAGGATTCTGGTCACCCATCACGTCTCGCTCTGCGAGCCCAAGACAAAATTCCTGATGGAGCTTGGCGACGGCCGCGTTCTGCATTCCGGTCTCCTCTCAGAGCTGCGAGAAGAAGGCACGTTGCAGAAGATCAAGAGCAATGGCCAAACGGCCGAAGAAGAGGCCGAGGTGGAGGAATTGGCCACGGCAGTGAACTCTGACTACTCGTCAGTTGAGGAAACCGAGCAAGACGGTGCGGATAGGAATACTCTGAAAAAGGTGCCGTCTAAGGTGCCCGACGCACGCAAGTTTGTCGAGGATGAGACGCGCGAGCAGGGCGCTGTCAAGAAACATATTTACTCGACTTATCTGAAGGATAGTGGCGGGCTTTTCTTCTGGGCCTTTGCGGTTTGCATCTTTATGAGTGTACAGGCCCTTAACCTTGGTGAGTTTAACTGGGCTCAAGTTTAACATCGTCTCAGTACTGACCATATTTTAGGGCGTTCATGGTGGCTCAAGATCTGGACAAGTACCTATGAGGAACAGGGCACCCCTCAACATCATATTCCCAATGTCTCCACCGAATACGGATATTCATACACCCAAAGTCTCCGCCAGTCGATCCACGTCATGTCCGCGCCTTCAACCAAAGTCCAGGGCAGTTTAGCCTTCTACTTGGGCATTTACGTCGCCTTGGCCGTTGTCTCGTCCATGATCGGTACTCTAAAGTTCCCGTACATATACCTTGGTTCGCTCCGCGCCAGCCGCAAGCTCTTCGCCAAGTTGAACTTCACCATCCTCCGTACCCCTATCCGATGGCTGGACACTGTACCAGTCGGCCGCATCCTAAACCGCTACACGGCTGATTTCAATACCCTCGACTCCCAGTTGGCCAACTCTGTGAGCTTCGGAGCTAATTCCTTCCTGGGCCTCATGGCGGTCGTCGTTTCCGGTTTCTTCGTGTCATCATATATCGTCCTACTGGCCAGCTTTCTGCTTCTCGTCTGCCTCTACTACGCTATCCGCTATCTCAACGGGGCCCGGCCTGTCAAGCGACTAGAGAGCACGACGAAGTCACCTGTTTTCGAGCAGTTCGGCTCTGCCCTTACGGGCGTCACCACCATCCGTGGATTTGACAAGTCCCAGGTCTACGTGGAGCGCATGTATCGGAAGATTGACGACTACTCAACTGCGACATGGCATCTGTGGCTTTTCAACCGGTGGATGGGCTGGCGGATGTCGCTTGTTGGCTCGTTCTTCGCCAGCTTTGTTGCGGTTCTCATCTTGCTCACCCCCGACATGAACTCCGCCCTGGCGGGCTTTGCGCTGGCCTTCGCGCTCGACTTTTCAGGCTCGGTCATGTGGACTATCCGACTCTATGCAAACCTTGAGCTGAACATGAACGCTGCAGAGCGAATCATCGAGGTAAGGCATGTTTGTTTGGGTTGAAAGGCACTCGAGACTGACAGCGACGTAACAGTACACCGAACTACCGACTGAGGCACTTGACGGCAAAAGCGCTCCGGCTGCGTGGCCTACCGAAGGCCGCATTGAAGTCGACGATCTAGTGGTAGCGTACGCTCCCGACCTGCCGCCGGTTCTCAAGGGCCTCACTTTCAGCATCAACCGCAACGAGCGCATCGGCGTCGTCGGCCGCACCGGGGCGGGCAAGTCGTCCCTGACTCTGGCCCTGTTCCGTTTCCTCGAAGCACGGTCCGGAAGCGTCTACATCGACGGGCTCGACATCTCCAAGATCAAACTCCACGATCTCCGATCGCGCCTGGCCATCATCCCGCAGGACCCGGTCCTCTTCTCCGGCACCGTCCGCTCCAACCTCGACCCCTTCGACCACCACAGCGACACCGAGCTGCGCGACAGCCTGGAGCGGGTGCACCTCATCGGCAGCAGCACCCACACCCCGGACGCCGGCACATCCGGCTCCACCACCCCCGTCGAGCCCACCTCCACCTCCACCCCCACCACCACCACGCCCAAGAACAGCAACATATTCGCGGACCTCTCCTCGGCCATCTCGGAGGGCGGCCTCAACCTGTCGCAGGGCCAGCGGCAGCTGCTGTGCCTGGCGCGGGCCATCGTCGCGCGGCCGCGCGTCATGGTGCTGGACGAGGCGACGTCGGCCGTCGACATGCACACGGACGCGCTCATCCAGCGCAGCATCCGCGAGGAGTTCACCGACGCCACGCTGCTCGTCATCGCCCACCGCCTCAGCACCATCGCCGACTTCGACCGCGTGCTCGTGCTCAGCGACGGCCGGGTGGCTGAGTTTGGCACGCCGCGCGAGCTGTGGGAGATGGGCGAGGGGGGCATGTTCCGCGGGATGTGTGAGGAGAGTGGGGAGCGGGAGAAGTTGAGGGGGATTGTGTTTGGGGAGAAGTGAGGGGGGTGGTTTTGGGGGTTGGTTGGGATTGGTGACGGGTTTTGTTTGTCGTGGATTTCAAGGATTAATTGTCGGCCGTTGATGTGGGCTTGTTTCCATGGTTGTTGATTTGGCCGCTGAGGGTACTGAGCGTTGGTTTGGGCTAAGCAACCCAGCCCCGATTTGAGCTATTGTTGCAAGGGCATACGATGGGCAGATGGTTTTATATATATGTCACTGTGATACTGCAGTTTGGATTCAAAATGGTCGGGAAAATAGGAAAATTAAAGGTTCCCCATAAATTGCATTTGAAATGTCCAAACCCCTGAAAATGGTGTTTGTTTGTATTGCAGCGCCCCTGGGCCGAGGGATAGGGGGTGAACAATGATTGCCGAGCATACTAGGACCATGATAGCAATGACAAGAATAACATGAGAAATTGCAACAATAAACAAGAAGCTTACTATTCATTCTGGGTTGGGTAATAAGATTCCTCCGGAAGGTAGGCACAGATTGTCGAGCGACAAGGTAGGAAATAGCTTATTGTTTACAACCACAACAAATCACTTTGTAAAGCTTTTATCACTACGTTTGATGGGTATCATTCCATTTCACATTTGGTCCTTCATTACGCCTACTCCTCAATATTTTAGGGGTAGACATATAAAGAAAGCCATGGGCTCCGAAGCGCATCAACCTTGCCAGAATGGACATCCCATACTTCAAAACACAACAAAGGACATCAGCTCACGACGAATCAGCTCATAGGGTATCAGTACAGAAGGCATCATCTCACAGGCTCGCAGGGAAGAACAAAATGAGCTTATCACAGCTAAATAGAGCAAAAACTGCCACAGATTATAACCCTAACAACCCCATATCCCCCGGGGTATTTTAGTTTTCCGTTCCCCAACCCACCACCACCATCCTACCACACCATGATGACCGACGCCTCGCTAAATGAAACTCAAGACCGAGTGAGCGAAAACGGCCAGAAGGCAGCAAAAAAAGCCAGGAAAGAAAAACAACAAAAGCAAAAGAGCGCAGTAGAACCGACCGCCTTACCAAGCCCACCCATCCATAACTGCAAAGCGAGATCTCCGCCACCCAAAAGATCTCTCCCATCCATCACCCATCTCAACCAACGAACGCCCTGAACTACTACCCCAAATCCCGCCTACCCACAGGCTCATCCATATGCCCAACCACAACACAACAACAACAACAACCAGCCTACTTCATACCCAGCCACCAACCAACGTGGGCCAACCCCCCCTCAAAAAGCACAACAAAACACCTATGTAGCTAGCCCCCCTTCCGGTTGACCATAACAGTCACAAAGACCGCCAGCGCCACCAGCCACACCCCCGAAAACACTATCCCAATAACCATGGTATTCCGGCGCTGGCGACGCGTCAGCGACCCCGTCTCGCCACGGGTGTACCACGACAGGGCCGAGTTGAACGTGCCGCGGTAGACGAGCAGGGCGAAGAAGGGCACGACACAGAGGAGGCACATGGCGTAGTAGTAGGCCTGGCGGCGCTTGCGGGCCTCCCAGGAGAGGTAGGCGGCGGCGTCCGCATCGTCGTTGATGCCGGATGAGAAAAAGGCGAGGGGGGCGCCCCTATCTGTTGTGCTGGTGCCGGTGCCGGTGCCGGCTTCCATGGCGGAGATGTGGTGTAGGTCGGCTATCATGGTCTTGCGGACGTTGCTCATGGTTAGGTTGGCGGCGCGGACGGTGTTTCGCTGGTCGCGTGCGATGAGGCAGGGCGGGGTTTCGAAGACGGATTGGTTTCCCGGCCCTGGGAAGGAGGCATCGCCGTCGGCGACGGGTTCGAAGGGGGGCCGGAAGAAGCGCGAGAGGGCGGAATTGCCGGGGACGAGGGGAGTTCCGCTTTTGTAAGATGTTACGTTGGAGATGCCGCGGTCGTGGCCGAAAACAACGCGATCTGTTGCTGGTCAGCAGGAAGGATGGACAGGTAGATGGATGAAATAGACATGGTTGAGTTACGTACCCTGCGAGTAATCGGAGTAGCCACGACGGTTCGTCGAGATACCTAGAATGCTGGCAGACGTGGGACGGCTGGCGTGGGTGGGAATGGGCTTTGTGATATGAGGTGTGGGTGGAGTGGTTCTTAGGGTTGTCGCTCTTGACCCGTCCATGCTGGAGTTTTTCTGCGTCCTCGACCCGCTCGTGATGGTGCAATCGTCGTCGTTCTGACCCCCCACTGCCTTGCGCCTAGCGGCCTCTTGTAAACTGATCAATGGAAAGGCGAACAGAGTTGGCGAGTCGAAGTTCTGGGGAGACTGGCGGGATTGAGCCGCGCTTCGGCTCTTCAGATGGGCTGCAGTGGGTTCCCTTGGGATAGGAGATGCCGGTAATTCCTTGCTTGTATTCCGCAAATGTTGCTGCTCACTCCCGCCTCCATCGACAACAATCCCCGCATTGTTTTCTTGCCTCAGAATCGGTGTCATACCATTTTGATCGGGGCTGCTGGCAATGGGCGTGCTATCCACCACCTCGGGTTGCTCTGAATAAGTTGATGAGAGTGACTCCAGCGACTCGAATTTGGATCTAGACCATTGCTGACTTAAATATTGATCCCGGCGCTGTGCGAGCTTCCTGGCATTGCGAGACCGAATTGAGGCACTAAGTTTCTCAACCAGAGCACTCCTAGCCGAGTTCGCGCTACTTCCAGTAGTTGTATCGGTGAACATTCGGTGAGGATTCTGAAGATAACCGTTGACGCGGTGAATGCGTGGTTTCGGAAGAAAGACCGGGCGTTTGGTTTCGTTCAGTGACCGAGGGTAGAAAGTATTGTGGGTGCTCTCGGGAGCAGGGGGCTGCAGAATCTGCTCCGTGGATGACGAAAAGGCATAGAACTGAGGCACATGGATGCTGCTAGTATCGGAATAGTCTGCGATACTGCTCCCTGTGACCTTCGCCAACTGGCTGCCACTGAACCCCGTGGAGGAGGCCAGAGCCCGGTTGCTGTCAAATTGGCCAACACTTGTAGCAACAGTCTCCCAGTCGGCCCTATCGCTCATGAGAGTGTTGATATCCTTCCTGCGACGGCTGCCACCTAGCCCCTCGACAAATTCACTTAGACCAATGGCCGGCTGCACTGGTGAGTTTGGGGGGGCAGGCGGAGAGCGAACAGAGATCTTGACCTCCCGGGGGGTATCCCCACCTTCCCAGTCATAGTCAACAGTGGTGGTTTGGTAGGACTGCAGCCTGTTGAGAAAGGGGTTGGTGTTTTGAGTGGCACGTGGAGTGTCGGGTTCCGGTGATAAGGAGTCCTGGAAAATACCGCTGGCCGATTCCGTGCTCTCGGTGCTCACAAAACGAAGTGCGGCACTGACTTCTCTCTCCCTCGAAGGTTGCAGGAAGACAGTGAAGGAACCACGGTCATATTTGAACGGGTCATCGTCGGAGTCGGTGGACACTCCGTTGGACATTCCACCGTGGCTAACATCGCCCTCCTGGTAACCCCGGTCTTTTATATTCTCGTAGTCCGATGGAGGAGGCAACCGGCCGTAAATGACAAAGTCGGATTTGGCAGGACTGGCGCTGGGCTGGGCAAGATCCGGACAGTTTCCGGCCGCAGAATCGGAGGAATCGCCTTTGAAGCTGCCTGCCCGAGTAAGGTTGGCAGGGGCTGACATAGGCTCTTGAAGGTTGGCGGCCGAGTGAAATGACAGCACGGGCCGGCTGAAGTTCTGCACAGAACTGACAGAGTCCTTTGCCGAATGTGAGCCCTTTGCCGAATGTGATGTGTTTCCTCGGACTCGCGGTGGGCTAGGCAAAGACAGCTGACGAGATTCATCGACCCGGTGATGTATTTGCCAGGTAATGTTGCCCGGGCCGATGCTAGTGTTTGCTCGCCGAATGTCGGGAGATTGGGGACGTGGGCTCGCAAGATCCGCCTCTGAGTAGTACATGTGGGTGTTGTTTGGAGGGCCACCATCAGCAGCCCTGGGTCCTCGAGTCGCTGAAGGGGAGGTATAGTACTGATCGTAGATGTCCCCCATAGAGTTGCCGGATTCGGAATTATCTAGATTGGCTCGGTTCTCTTCTCCAGGACCATTGTTCTGGTCATCTCCGACGGAATTACCAGCGCTGGATGATTCGAAGCCAGAAACAATCGGAGAGGGCTCGGTCGGGGTTTCGGCCCACCCGGTGCTTGCAGATGCAGAGGCTCTGAAGGGCGTCAGACATCTCTGACGCTGTGAGAGGCTGGGTCTGGCGGGTTCCATATGTTGGGCACTCGATAGGCTTTTGGTTGAGATGGTTGGGCCGGAGACATTGACAATAAACGAGTCGGTGGATGTGGAAGACGGTAGAGAGTTGTCGGAGATGTGGCTCCCAGTCGGCCGTGATACCACCCTTGAAGTGATTGCTTGGTGCGCCTCCCCTAAGTTGGAAAATAGAGTTCCTTTTGGCGTGATGGAGCGCGGGGTATTGTACCTAAAGGGAGGTGCCATGCTCGTTGACTGCTCGGTCGGATTCCAATATTCGGAGTGGTCATCTCCCTGCCCATCGCTCTTGCCCGACATGGTTACTGTGCTCTCTGCAGCCGCGAGTCAGCGTTGATTTTGTATGCATCTGGTGTGTTAGTAGGCGATTTTCGTACCTCTCAGAAACTCCCACAAATTGACTGGATCTTGCAGATGGATTCCAAAAGAGCAGCGAGGACAGTCTGAATTCAGCTACTCAACGGCCTTTTCTCAATTGGCGGAAGTCTTGGAATAGAGAGTGGGTGCAATGACAGCGCAGTTAATAGACGTGAAGACGGGGGTTGAAGGCGAGGAAATATCGTGAGTTGCTTTGTCGTCGTGAGGATCGAGAGAATCGTGAGTTGAAGTGGAAAAGGAAGCCATTGACGACTTGGACAAAGTGCAGTCAAGACGCAATGTTAACGAGGTGAGGCGACACTGGAAAAGTACTGGCCGAGCGGTGGTAAAGGAAGGAGTGAGGAGTGGCGGGGTATATGGGGCGCTGAGAAGGGGGGAAGAAGGTGAGGGTGACTGCACCTGTGAGCAGGAAGACTGGGGAGGGTTTTTGCTAATGGTGTGGTGTTGTGGTTTTCTCCTGTCTCTGTGCATAATCTGCAATGGGAGTCTTGCTGCTCCAGGAACTTACAGGTACTGGTGACCTGCCTTGGTCCTTGATGCCCACCCAATACTCTGATCCGAAGATTAAAAGCCAGGCCCTGTCAGGACTGGATATTGATTTAGAGCGAGAGCCGCGAGTAAACTTGGCCTACAGAGCTAAAGGATATTACAAGGCACCCAAATTGGTTCGGAATTCAATCGGTTTGGAATCTGACAATGACGGGAGCAGTGTAGAACCTGTAGAGGAAGGAGGATGGAGGGGATCAAGGGGAGGAGGCAGAAAGAAGCCTTGCTGAAGTGATAAACTGCCTTTGCTGCCTCCTTTACGCCATGTTGTCGAGCACTGCACTGTGTGAGCCCTATAGTAGAAGAGTAAAGACTGAATAGGTACCTTTGCAAACCAACATTCGATGAACACAGGTGTCTGGCAGACATGCTTATCGCTCCCCTCAACACAGAAACTTGACATGTCAGCCATGTTGGGCATGTTCAAGAGCATCAGAGATGACATTGCAGTTGAGCTTATGGGGTCAGAAGTAATTATATTAATGCCTGTAGGGAGAACCTCGGATTTAGTAAATGGAAGTTTGGTGCCTTGACAACGGGCAAGTGTCTCAGCGGATGTTGACGTTGAAAGAAGACTTATCAAATAATTACATTTTGCCAAAAGCGGTTAGATAGTTCTGAGTTAAGCGAGTGCGCCTTTTACCTGAGGTTGCCCTGAAAGGGTCCCCCGCCCCCGCCCTGCTGACTTTTGCGTCCGCCGATCACTGCGATCTCCCAGTCTCCGCACCCCTCACCAGTGTTTCCCATGCTTTGGTTCCATTTGCCCATGAGTGCCATCCATGCTGTGTGTGGAACCTTCTTGATGCTGCTATCCGCACACGTGAAGTTTGCTCGGGAGGACATTCCTGAACCTTCCAAACGATGGGTCCAGCTGGAATCCCATGGAGAGGATCTAGACTGGGCTAACTAACGCTGAGAGATTTTCTCCAATTATTTGACGACGGTACAGATTTTTGTACAATAGCATTATCCTTACATCTCCATTGTTATCCTTGTTATCAGCAGCTTGCCCCTCGTATCCAGCAACTGGCCCTTCAAAGTCCCGACACCATGGACGCTCTCCCTGGGGAAGTCCTCCTCATAATCTTGTCGTGTAAGTGACACACGGACACACGCTGGACTTGAGAGCGTCGAAAAGGCCAGTGCTAATCGACCGACCGCGCCGTGCTGCACCTGTCACAGTCCTCGACCCCCCAGAAATCACCAACCTCCAGCTCGTCTCCCGTGGCTTCTGCAGCCTCGCGCGCGACAATGGTTTCTGGCGCGCCCGTTGCCTGGAAGAATCGTCCTTCCTCGAGACCCTCGACCGCCGCCGCCGTTATCGCGGACTCCCCGACACAAACACCTCACAACAACCCACACCAACACCCCGCAGCAATAGCAATGGCGCCAGCGTCGAGAGCAGCCACAGCCACAGCCTCGGCCTCGGCACGACACCAAACGGGAACGAGGACGACACCAACGGCAGCAGCAGCAGCAGCGGCAGCAGCAACGGGCAGCGAGCGCCGCAGCAGCAGTACACCAACACAACCACAGCAGCGTCGGTGCTGAGCCGGGGCGAGATGCGCGGGCGCGAGCGCGAGCGCGTGCGCATCCTGGCCAACTGGGACCCCTGCTTCCCCTCGGAGCGCGTGTCGTGGTACGACGAGTACATCCAGCGGCAGGGGCCCGTCGCCGTCAGCTGGATGCAGTGCGCCTACGACGACCACGACGACCACGACGACGGCAACCACGACGGCGGCGGTGGCAAGAAGCGCACCGTGTCCGCCGCCGACCACGTCGAGGCCCGCGGTGTTGCGCTGTATTACCCCGACGGGGAGGAGGCCGAGACGGTGCTGGCGGTGTCGCCGTTGGATGATGGGAGCGTCGGCGTGTGGGATGTTGCTGGGACGAGGGGGAGGAGGGGTGCGATCGTGGCGCGGAGTAGGCCGGGGATATTGTTTATTGACGGGCCGGGGGCGGATAATAGTAGGAGGTCGAAGAGGATCGATTCGGGGGTGACGGAGTGCGTCAGCGTGGATAGTCGGCAGCACCGGGCTTTCTTTGCTGTGCAGAGCCGTAAGTGTGGTCGATGATGACAGCCCGGAGTTCCGGGAATGAGAAAGTGCGAGAGACAAGCTGACGATGGCTCGGCAGATCTCATCGAGGTCGATTTGCGGCGCCTGTCCGTAATAGACTGCGAATCGTTCCCTTGGTCCATCACAGCACTATCTGCTGCGGGGCCGACTGTTCCGCTCACCGTCGGGACCAGCCTTGGGATACATCTACACGACTACCGGGCGCGCAAGCCACCGCGAAACGAACATAACGAGACGGTTGACGGCTTCGATAGGATGGGCGCCAAGGAGTTTTACGAGCGCAGCCTGCGACACATTTTCAGTGACGAGCCGTTACCACCTTACGCACCGCTATCACAGCCGGGGCCGCTGAGCATCCTCCATCTCCAGCAACCGGGGCAAGAAGCAGAGCTATCAGACGACATCTACGTGGCGGGCCGGTTCTCCAACATCCTGCACTACGACCGGCGCAAGTTCCCGTCCATCCGGGGCTCGATCCATTCGGGCGGGCGGCTCTGCAGCATGACCTCCCTCCCTTACCCCTTTTCGACCCTCGACAGCGAGCTGCGACGCATGGGTGAGCTGTCACTGGAGCAGGTGGAAGCTTCCAAGAGCGTCGAGGGCGGTCGGACGTTGATCGCGTGCGGCGAGTACAACACCAAGGGGTCACTCGAGCTCTACGGCTTGGCACCCGACGCATCGCGCACGAGCGCGGCGGGGGGCCTGCAGAGCTCAACCTTCCGGAACCGGCAGACGTCCTCGCAGTCCAAGCTGATGTCGGTCGTGAACCACGGCACGCGCATCGCCTTCTCGGACGGGTCGGGCTACATCAGGTGGTTCGAGCGGGACGGCTTCACCGAGGTGCGCCGCTGTAAGATAGGCCACAGCGAGCGCAGTCACAGCGTCTCCATTTTCGAGTCGATGCCCGGGTCGGACGACATAGCGAGGAAGCTGCTCGCGACGCGGCCAGCCGGCGAGGTTGGCCACGACGACAGCGAGAACGGGAGTGGACGGAGCAATAACAACGATCTGCTCTTTTGGACGGGCGAAAAGCTGGGGCTGGTCACCTTCACTGCGCGCCCGGGTTTCAAGTCGGAGGATTTCGAGGAGCGGGACGAGGATGCGCCCGACGCCGAGGCGCTGGCCGCCCAGAGCGACTACAGCGATATGATGCGGCGGGCGCTCGAAAGGCAGGCGGACGACGTCAGGTTCGTGAGGAATCTGGGGCTCGGTAGCGGGATCCGACCTGGGTAATCTGGAGACCCGAGGCTCTACACAGGAGGGGCGCGAGGAGAGAACCTGCTCTGGAGCCACGGACCCTGGCGATCGGCAGTCTGCTGGACGGACGAGGCGGCAACACCAGCGCCGTTTGGCCAGGCGAGGTGCACGTGTCGGACGCGGAATGATCGGATACTGCCAACGCCAAACAGCGGTTCCATGGGCCCCAAGGCACAGCGAATGACATATATACCCCCTCTTGTTCGTCCCCGTCTTTTTTGGTATGCGTGAGACTGTTGTCAACAGACTAGGGTAGCTTCGGCTACGACGTGAGCTGCATTTCCCACCGGAACTGCAACATGAAGCGGCACAGCGGGGATTTGTCTTTCCTGCATGTTGTGATGCTATGCTGGACCAGGACCTCCGCGGCCTCTCAGCGGACATACCCACTCGTGTGTGCGTGCCTCTTGGATGTCGTCGTGGTCAGCCTCGGCGGGATCGGTGGGATGGGAGATGGCGAGCCTGTGGAACCACGGAGCAACGCCGAAAATTCGAGGCGGCCAATCCGCTCGGGGGCCGGGCCCCTGTCCACCAATCGCCGTGGTGCTGGAACGTGGGTTCCGCTTTTCGCGCGTCCGCCCCCGGGTTTGGCGGAGATTGATTGCTTCGGGAGAAGGAGCGCTGAAGCCTCGTTCTCCATCGTTACACACTCGCATACCTGAGCATGCGCAGTGGCGCGCATGAAGGGTCGAACACTTGCTCTTGGCTATTTTTTGCAGGTTTTTTTTTGTGGCCTTCTTTCCTTCGTGTCGTGTTCCAGGTTGCCTTCCAGGTTGCCAGGCTCGCCAGGGTTTTGTTGATGTTTTTCTCTGCCAAGGCCATCATCGATAGGCCCCCGCACGGCGTTTGTCAGTGTCTCTGATCTGGTCAAGTTCCTGGAAAACTCACTTTTTTCTCGTCACCCATCACACGCCCCAGTCACCCAATCCACCCAGTCCACCCAGTCCACCACGGATGGCGTTGCTGCTGCACCAAAACTGCTGCATATGCGGGTGCACCATCCCCCAGACTCCCGCAGCCAGCACACCGCTGACTACGCCGAGCTGGACACGCTCTACCCCCTTTTGTTGTCTCCCATCGTCTTGGCGAATTGTCCTTCCTGGGAGTCCCGAACTCGCAGACCGCCAGTTCGGCTGGGGATGGGGATGAATCCCGTGGTTCCAGACATCCCCCCCCCCCCCGCCTCCCCCAGGGCCCCAAACAGCACACGGCACGAGGCAATATTTGTTGGGGGCAGCAAGACGATGGACAGTTAAGCGCCGACCCTGTTTTTTGAGAGAGCCTTTGGCGCCCCATTCCTCAATTGGCCTTCCGTGTGTCGGGGCACTGCGCTGGGGAGGAGAAAGAAAAAGGGGGGCCACCTCGCTCAGTCGCAAGCCGGCTCGGCTCCAGTGGCCAACTGAAGACCGGATTTGCGCCTAGACACCTGGGCTCGCAGTGAGGCGAATTTACCTTTATCTGGGTCCCTCTAGTAAAGACACCTCCGATCCGGGTCGCATTTCCGGGACGAGATCTATCACTTTTTACTGTTACGTTCCCCGATCCAAGTACGACGTTGCCGGTTGCCGTCTTGGTGCTGCCGTCTCTTCTTCCACACCTACCAACTTGCATCCCCCCCTCTTCCCCTTCCAACACATTCTCCCTTCTTAGCTAGGGAGGGTGTCACTGTTGCAGGGCCCCTGTTTCGCTGCCGTGTGCCTTGATACCTTGTCCTCTTGACCATATCTCTTCTCTGGCTCCTTGGCTCTGGCATGACATAGAATCTCCCTCCCGTTTTTGTAACACCACCTCATCCTACGCCTTGCTCCGAGCATGTCCGATGGCACTACCGGTGGCAGGCGGGGACGATTACCCGCCGTTCCGTCCCTCGGGCGGCCCCTACTACCCGGCCAAGCGGCGCCCCATAGATGCCGTCGACGATGACGAATTATACTACTCTCGGCACAAGAGGCCGAAATACGTTCAGCAGGCCCAGTTCGCCGGCCCGGTCGCCTTCAAGGCGGCCGAGCCACCACTCAACAACTACCCACCGGTTCACCACCCACATCCACACCACTCACACCATTCACACCATCCATGCCACCCACACCACCGCTACCCCTCTCCGCGGCCTCATGTTCCCTCACCAGAACCGGTCGGTATCGCCGCTGCCCCGGCGATGGAACGCACCGCCTCCGGCCACTCCATCCGGCCTGACGCAACCGAGGGGTGGGCCTTGACCGAGCTCCTGGAGGACCGGGACGCCGCCCAGCGCGTACGCGACCACCTCGCCACCTTCCGCCGGCGCAACCCGGACTCCAAGCACGAGCGCATCCTCCGGAGCATCATCAACCCGCGGCCCCGGCGCCACCCGCGCCACCACTCCCACCACCACTCCCGCTCCCACTCCCGCAACTCCCACCACTTCCCCGACAGCAGCAGCAGCAGCAGCAACACCACCACCACCAACCCCAATCTCAACCCCACCCCCACCGGCAACAGCGGCGAGGAGGACAGCGAGTACCCGCTCGACAACGACGCGCTAGAATCCATCTTCTCCGCCGCCAACGAGATCTTCTTCAACGGGCGGCTCAGCCAGCGGGTCGCGTGGGACTGGTCGCACGCCTCGTCGGCGCGCTACGACAGCCGGGTGATCGGGACGACGGCGCTGCGGCGGGCGGCCGCCCACACGCGCGGCTTCGAGACGCTGATCGTGCTGTCGGCGTCCATCCTGCGCGATGGCGGGTTCAGTAGGAGGCTGCTGATCAGTACGTTTCTGCACGAGCTGATTCATTGTTATTTGTTTATTTGCTGTGGGTTTCGGGCAAGGTGGGAGGGGGGGCATACGGACGGGTTTCGGGAGATTGCGGGGCTGATTGATGAGTGGGTTGGGGAGGGCGGTGGGTTGTATCTGAGGAGGGTGGAGGCGGATTTGGATCTGTTTCGGGTGGGTGGTGGGTGTAGTGGGCGGGGGGGCTGTGAGGGGGAAGGGGGTGTGCCTCTCGTGGATGATCGCGGGGAGAGGGGGGACGGGGGAGATGGGAGATTTGGGATGGCGCCGAATGTTTACCCGTGTTCGGGCATGGCTGCCGAGCAGGAGGAGTATACTGTTACTGCTTCTGCGGCTGCTGTCGCGGCGTTTCCAAGTCCTGCAACTCAGGAGGCGGTGTATTTTGGGACCGGCGGGGGTAATGGGCCGGTTGCGGGCCAGGAGACGGTGTATTACGGTCGGGGCTCTCCCAGTCCTAGACCCGGCACCCCTACCCGCGAGCTGGTGTACTTTGGGCGTGGCTCCCCGAGTCCCAGGCCTGGTACTCCTACCCGGGAGATGGTGCAATACGGCGACCGCGCTCTGAGCAGCAGCGGAAGCAACGGCAGCAATGTGTGGTGGAGGCATCGCCGAGCAGGTCGGCCCCTTTACGTTTACAGTGGCGACGACTCTTCGCCGTCCTACGTTTATACGCATCCGACGGGGCAGAGGCCATGAGGTCGTCACGAGGGTTCTCTGCCCCCTTTTTTACCCACCGACCCTCATTACATTTATTCGCGTTGGTTGTAACGGTACTGCATGGAGGAAGCCTGACTGCATGGCGACGGCGTACAAAGATAGGCGGCAATTGCATTGGTTATTAGCGTGTATCTGGAAGGATTTCGTGTCTGAGCTCGTGTTTAATTCTGTTGGGGGTGAGCGGGCCGCTCCTCATGAGGAGACAGTAGGGGGGCCGTTGGCTGGGGAACTCGGTCATGGTCGATGGTCAATGAGAAGGAACACAGGAGGGGTGCCCAACATCGGTCAACACGGGGCTCTTGGCCATCTTGTTTGTTATTTGGCGCATTCATTTAGACAGATACCCCATGTACTCAGCGAATACCACACCTTGATCCTTAATGTGGTAGCGCAGTGTCGCAAGCACCTCGATCTCCCACGTATATTCTAGAGGCTCATATTCTGTGCTGGGGATGACCCGCGGGCTAACCTAACCACTTCTCACACATCTAACCTGTACCAACCCTACCACGCAATACAGCTCTAAACGCTGTCTCCAAATAATGACCCAACACTATATCCGCCTGCCCGTTGCATCCGATACGCCCAACTGCCCGTCATCCAACATCATGTCCGTCATAACTCAATTATCCGCCTGTCCGCCCAACCCCACCTCCCCACCATCCTCACCGGCACGACCAACAACCCCAGCAGCGCTCTACGCTTCACCCACAACCGTGTTCCCGGCCACAACCCCGCCCCCATCACCACTATAAACCGCATCGCGACACAGCAACGCGACCTTCTTGAAAAACCGCCTCCACTCCAACGGATCCCCCTTGACCTTCACAAACCGCACCTCCAACAACTCCACCCCCTCCTCCACCCCGCCCCCAACAAGCCGGATCCGATCGACCAGCACATCCCCATGCAGGCCCTGGCGGCGGTCGTCGAGGGTGCGGACCTTGAGGGTAGCGACATGCTCGGCGTCGGGCGCGGCGGCGAGGGCGGCGGCGGGCGAGCGCAGCGGCTGCGGCACGTTGAGCTGGTGCAGGGCGTCGTGCAGCATCTGCACCAGCAGCGCGGGCGGCACGTGCGAGAAGAAGCGCGTCAGCGAGTACGCCGGCACGATGTCGCGGAACTGGCGCGCGTGCTGCGTCAGGGATAGCGGCACCCCGGGGGTTTGCGAGAACTGGCTCATGGTGGGCTCGTCGGCGAGCGCGGCGAGCGCCGCGTTGAAGCTTGGGGTCGGCTTGCCCGCGGCTGCGGTGGATGCGGCGAGGGCGGAGCTGGCGAGGGGTTGGGTCGAGGAGATGGCGTAGGTGCCGAGCGTGCGCGGGGGTGGGTGCTCGAAGTCGAAGAGGGCGTCGGTGATGGGGGTCTCGGGTTGGGTGGCGGGGAGTCGGGAGGACCAGTCCTGGCCGCGGCCGGTGTCGATTTCCATTAACTCGGGCTGGGACTGGCGCTGGGACGGCGTGGGTTCGGCGTTGAGGTCGATGCGTAAGCCAGCGAGCATCTGCGCCGCGAGAGCGATGGGGTCCGAGACCTTGCCATCCGCCGTCAGGAGGGAGTTGCGGCGGGTGTACCAGGGGTGCTGGCGGATTTGGGCAAACGAAAACCGCTTGGTTGGCTCGATGTTCATCATGCCGCGGAGCAATGACAAGGCGTCGCCGGGTAGCCTGCCCCATAGCGCATCGGTGCTGCGGCCGTTGTTCTTGACATATTCTTGGAATTCCCAGCTCCCGGAAGTCGGCTCATCCCAGGGTGTGTTGCCAACCAAAAGGACAAACAGAATAACACCGCATGACCAGATATCAACCAAGTCGGCTGAGTATTTCGCTCCGTCTACCGGCTTCTTCTCCTGCCTTGCACAGTCCAATACCTCAGGGGCAATGTAGGGCGGGCTCCCACACATGGTGGTACTTTGCTTTCTCGCCCCCTTGTACTCGAACATGGTTGCCATGCCAAAGTCTGCGAGCTTTAGATTGCCACTTTCCGACAAGAGGATGTTTTCCGGCTTGAGATCGCGGTGGGCGACCCCCTTGGAATGCATGAAGCTGACACCACCGATAAGCTGTAGAAAGTAGAGGTGGGCAATATCCTCCTGAACACCAACATCTGCCTCAATCTTGTCGAAGAGGTCGCCGCCCTCAGCAAACTCCATGGCGATCCATCTCCATATCGCATCTTCACCCGTAGCAAACCATTCAATGATGTTTGGGTGCTGACCGATGTGCGAGTGCAACGACACCTCCATCGCAATCTGCTTTGCCGAGATGCGGCCCTGCCTGACCGCATAGCCCTTATGTATGAGCTTAACGGCGAAAACAGGTGATGGTGCATCCAGGGGTATTGCCTTCTTGATGCTGAGTTGTTGTCAGTGTGGGGCGCTTAGACGAGTGTGGTGTAAGTGGGTGGTGGGTAAGAGGGGTGGGTATGGTCTCACGATGCATATGCGCCCCTTCCAATCGTCTTGGAGACGATTCGGAATGGGAGATCGCTTGGTAGAGGATCTAGTTGCGACTGTTGCATGTTTTTTAGGATGTTTAGTTGATATTCTCAAAAAAAGCGGAGTGGGGTGCCTCCTTGGGCTTCAAGAGGAACAAAATATTGAAATCATGAAGCATTCCAAAGTAAACAACGAAATGCGCCAGTTTGGTGACAATGGAACACCTAATCTGGAACAAGTGGATCATAGAATTGAACAAGATAACCAAGGCCTCGCGAGCATGGAGCTTTGCAGCAGGAGCGTATGTCAGAAAGCACTCACCATCGTATCCATTGACGCGTTGAGTTGATGATACGCGTGTTGGTCGCGTTAAGTGTTCCAGGTTGTGATCGAATGAAAGGAAAACGCACCCGGAAACGGGGCCATTGTTTTTGTCTGAATTGCAGGCAACAACACAGGCTCATTGGCTGCTAAGCTGCATTGGGACCCCTGGAATTTGGTGTTGGCCAAGCCCCGCCGGCCATGGTTGCTAGAGGGGCTCATTCGTCACCTAGGGGCTGGTGGGGGGCGAAGACTCGGGTCTTGCTGTGTAAACATTCGTGCCCGAATCTGGAAGTGCTCTTTGACCTGTTGTCGCCTTCCCATCGCAACGCCCCAACCACCGCTTCCAGTCCCGACAGAGGTTCAAATTCCGCCCCCTTAAAAAGACGGACGGACGCTTGACGTCTTTCTGTTATAGGTACGGAATTCATCACCTTTCCTACAACCCATCTTCATTCGCTCTTCGCGATCCTAGATATTGACTTCTCTTCCTCAGCAGTATTGGTCCGAGGCATTCTGCTTTATACTCCTCTTTTATACTCGTTTTGGACCTGCTTGATCGTTGTGCCCTCGATTGGCCGTCGACCCAATCCCATCATGTCTTTCGCAGACGAGAGTCAAAACTCCGCCCCTGATAACGCCCCGGCGAGCAAACTCGGCGGCGCAAGGAAGGGCGCTGAACCGGGCCAGAATGCTGCGAAGAGGTGAGTGTCCTGCGTCCTTTATCGAGGCTGCAATGGCTGTCAGAAATTAGACATGTGGCTAACACGGAACCTGGCAGGTTGCAAACCGAGCTTATGCAGCTCATGACCTCGCCGGCCCCGGGTGTGTCCGCTTTCCCTTCCGCCGACGGCAACCTGCTCTCCTGGAGGGCGACCATTGAAGGCCCCGAAGACACGCCCTACTCGGGGCTTACGTTTAAGCTCAGCTTCGAGTTTCCGTCAAATTATCCGTATGCACCGCCTACCGTGCTCTTCCGGACACCCATCTACCACCCCAACGTCGACTTCTCGGGCCGCATCTGCCTCGACATCCTGAAGGACAAGTGGACCGCGGCATACAACATCCAGACCGTGCTGCTGAGTCTACAATCTCTGCTGGGAGAACCAAACAAGTATGAAGCCCGCTGCTCACCATTGCGGGAGGTTAGCTAACCCTTCATAGTGCATCTCCGCTGAACGGCGAGGCTGCCGAGCTTTGGGACAACGATCCCACTCTCTTCAAGACCAAGGTTATGGACCGTCACAAGGACGTTGAGGACGATTGAACGGGGCGCGCCGGATCATGGGCTTGGCTTTCCTGGGTTGTCATGGAGAACGGAGTTTGTTTCGAGGCTTTGCACCCCGCGGAGTATTGGTGCCTGGTTAGGATTGCATTGCCAGGTGGATTGGTTCATGGATATCCCTTCATTGTCTGCTAGTGGCGCAGGCTGAAGTACATCAAGCATTGGCTTTGAATGGACGTTTGGTTGTCCATGAGCGTATCACTCTGAAATAATCCCAGCGCATCACTCTGCTAAGCGCCCCCGACCGACCCTAGCCCCTCGCGCCTTGACCGTTCGTCGAAATGGCAGTGGTATCGAAGGTGCCGTGCGTTACGAACCCATGTATTCGTAATAGGAAGCTAGATGCCCATGCGAAAACTCCGGAAAAGCCCAATGCCGCCATGAAACCGAACCACGGCCCAATCTCGATTTTCCCAGTTTTGTTGTCAACCCTTACTCCTCCACGACAACGGTGTGCAGACCCTTGGGGTTCTTGACGTTGACGGCCTGCACATAGCTGTAGAGCTTCTCCTTGGCGCCCTCCTCGTCGTTACGCCTCCGGGAGATGCGGATGCGGAGCCTGTAGCCAACACCCTTGACACCCTGCTCCCAGACCTTCTTGTTCAGCTGGGGATCCACGCGGACGTCGGAAGTGCCCTATATGCCATTACTGTCAGCCTCCCGTTCCGTCTGCCATTTGACCGTTTCGAAGCCTGGGCGGGCTCGAGTCGTCGATTGAAATTGCCGCGGGGGTGTTTGTGGTCGGACGTACCATCGCCTGGGTGGCAAACGCCTTGATCTCCTTGATAGCACGCGGGGCCCTCTTCTTGAAGCTGACACCGTGGAGCTGCACAGAATGTTAGTTGTTGTCTAAGCACCCTGACCCATTTGTTGCATGACATACGCGCTTGTGCATGTGGATGGTGTACTCGCGGGCGACCACGTCGGCGATGGCCGAGCGAGTGGCCTTGCCTGAGGGCTTCTGGGACGACATTCTGGCAGCAACTTGTTAGCGGGCGTTGTGACGTCGATATTTCGAAGCGAAAATAATGTGCTGGATCGATTCGAGAGACTGTTCGGAATAGGGGCTACAGGCGCAATTACGTACTTCGGCGACGTCTGGATCTCGTGCACTCGGAGTCGGGTTGTGGTGTCGAGGAGTCGTCGATTTGGCTGCGTGCGATAAACCTACCTCTGGCAATTTTGCACTTGTTTTTCCGCGAATTCTGCGAAAGTGCGGGCCTGCCCGGGCTCGGAGTCCTCGCGTAAATGCCCTAAAGTGGAATGGCGCTCTGAATCGCAAGCCCCGCTCGAGGTCTGTGGCTCAACAAACGTGGCTGATGCTGGCAGTGACCGACAGCTGTCAGCTTAGCTCCAAGGATAAAGTGCCTGCATTGAAGCTTCGATGAGATGAACGGTCCAGGCTCCACCCAATTTTAGCTGGAAGGTGCAGACCCGCTTATGCTCATCAGAGACATTCGCATTGCAGGGGGCAACCGCGCCTCTTCGAGTGTTCGTTCAAGCTGCTCCAAGACGAAGCCAACTCAATTGTCACCGAGCCTCACTACAATCACTTTGATCGGTGCGCTGCGCGCACGCAGACATTCCTTTTCTACAGAACCAGCCGAAATCTTCCAGCCTCCCGACCCCGCAAACCACACCAACTTCATTTGACAACATCACTTCGTGCAACACCAGTGCAAATTGCTGTCACCCGACTGCGCGCGCACTCGATCGATCGCTGTCACGACCCAGCTCGCGAGGTTCCAGAGGCATATCTCGACGCGACTCGATTTCCGATCGTTAACTTTCTCTTCTTTTTACCAACCAACATATCGTCACACGGACCCCAGCTTTAGTCAAGATGGCAGACCACGCGGCAGCGAGCCCTTCTCCCCAGCCCGACTACACTCGGAACCGCCTGCCGACACTCTTTGAGGTGCTGAGTCGGCGTACGCTTCCTCCCGTCGATCTGTTCTCCTTCTACATTTATATGAGGGATCAGCAGCGTTCTGTCGACTACCTTGATTTCTGGTCGGTCCGATTGAATTGGATTTAATGATGATCAAATGGCTAACTCTAGTTCAGGCTCGATGTCGCACAGCACATGTCGCTCTGCCGCCACTATGTGCGGGAGCTTCGCCGGTCTGTGCTTGTGAGCACGCCGGACCCGGACAGAGCCTCCAGGAGATCGTCGGGCATTCTAGAAGGTCTCGGAGATCTGAGCCATTCGGTTGCCGGACCATCGATGTATGCGACGGAGAAGGAGAAGGACCAAGATGCCCAAATGTCGGCTTTCCTGCGGGAAGACCGAGACCATCATGATTCTCCAGTCAGCAGCGATGCCAGGCAAAACCGCCCGAGCACGAATATCAGCACTCCCCGCGAGTTCAACACCGACTCGAACTCCCCTCCCCATGCGGTTGCCCGACAGGATGTCAGGGCCTCGGCTGAGAAGATCCTCTACACATTCCTTCTCCCAGGTGCCGAACGCGAAATCACCCTGCCAGGCTCAATTACTCAGGACGTCACAACAGCTATCGAGGAACTCGGAAGAGACGATCCCGAAGTGTTTGATGTGGCTAAGGACTATGTCTTCCAGGCGATGGAGCGCGATGCTTTCCCCGGATTTCTCAGAATGAAGGCCCTCGGCAACCTCATCCCACCAACATTGATTATGCGCCTTATCCTCGGCCTTGTCTCTATGTTTGGTGGATTCTGGGCCGCGTTCATCTTGATTTTCCTGAACGAGTCTCGCATGGTGAGACTCTGGGTATGTGACAATTATTTGATTATTCATGGCCCATTGCTAACTTTGACGCAGCTCATCCTGCCTTTCACGATTGGGGTTTACTGCCTCGCCTCTTACCAGTATTCCCTCGACCCTGTTCTCGCCCTCGTTGGCTTTAGCGAGTACACCCCTTTCAATTTTGCTCGGGTGCGGGAGCCCTATGTCCGGAAGCTCCTCGCTCGCCGGGCGATCATGGTCCTCACCGTGACGGTTCTCATCGATGCAGCGCTCTGCGTACTCTTTATTCTGGTTCCAGGCAAGCGGCTTTGAGGGAGCACAGGCTTTGAGCTCACGGGAGTTAGTGAGCTGGCCTCGCTCCCGATTTGACCAACTGTGCCGGCTTTCTCAACCATAAATATCTCGTGGTGGGAAGCCAGCCAGAATTAGGGAAGCCTTCTTCGATCACGACCGTCATGATGTTTTAAAAGTTTCTTTTTACCGCCTTCTAAGGGAGCCAAGGGCGGCGCTGGGACTCACATAATTAAAGGGAGCGCAGGGTAGAGGCAGGACTTTGCTGGGTGTTCAGGATACGGCGTGCTTGTCAGCATTATTTATTTTCCATCATACTTCTTTACGAAGCATGGGTGTGTTTCCGTGGGGACGATCCCCTGGCTTCTTTTCTTTGCACGATGGTTTCTCATCTTACTGGCTTTTGCGTTGCACTCGCCGCCGATGTACAATATACTACATAACCCCAGCCTCCTGGTTCTCCCAGTAGCTGGGGAGTTGTCACCCTGATAGAAATTAGCTGCGCAGAATCACATCTTGATTTTTTGCCCCAACTTTATGGCCACATAACCTATATCGCCATTGTGTTTCGTCATCTCGTAATGCATAGGTAGTAAATACATGAAACCGTCCTGGTGGGTTTCAGCAGATAATGGAACTCCGAAGCCACCGGCTTCCGCTTATTCGTCCGTTTCGTCCGTTTCGTCGGTCCCGTCGGTCCCGTCCACGGATCCCATGGTGAATCCATCCATGCCGTCCGCTTCTTCTTCATCCATCTGTTCGCTGCCGCGCTTTTTCGCCATCCTTACTTGAAGGCGCGCCGTGCCCCCGCTGTCGGCTGGGCCTGTGGCTGGCTCAGGGGCGCCGGGAGTGAAGAAACTGCTGCCGCCGCCAACCGTCAGCATGCTGTTCATCTCGCTGTTCGTGGTGATGGTGGTATTGGTGGTATTGAAAAGATTTCCGTTGCCGCCGCCGCCGCCGCCGCCTCCTCCGCTGGTACCGCGATGCAGGGCAGGGCCGGGGATGGGGCCCTGGCTGTGGGGATTATAGAATTTGCGGGTATCCTTGCGGAACGGGGCGGCGTTGGCGGCGGCGCCGACGGCAGCGGTGGGGGAGGGAAGTGATGCACGACGGGGGGCTTTCCCACCCTTTTCCTTCTCGGCGAGCATGTCGATGTCGCGGGCGCGGGCTGCTGCGCGTGCCGCGCGGCGGTCGGCGTCGGCGCGGAGCTGCGTCATCTGGCAGGACAGGGATTCCAGCGTGGCTTCGCACCGCCCGGCCCAGGCTTGCAGGCTCGAGAGCAGGCCGCCGATCGCCGTGGGGGCGACGTCCCGGAGCGGGGAGACGCTGTTGATCTGCACGTGCGACGCCTTCGGGTTGAGCTGGCCTTTGATGAGGCCCGCGTAGATGGCGCTGATCACGAGTTCCTCGAGGGCCTGGCGGCTAGGGAGGTCGAGGGCCGCCTGGAGCGAGGCATAGTCCAGCGCTGGGGAGCCGGGATTGCTGATATTGCTGTCTTTCTTGGCGAGAGTGAGGAGGGAGAGCTGGCGGAGCTTCAGGCGCTGGGCATCATTGAGCTCCGGAAGGCCGGGGTTGGAGGTGTACGTGGAGTAGGTGCCATGGCTGAAAATTTGGAGGACTGTCAAGTACGGCGCGAACTCCTCGGATGAGTTGAGAGCTTGAATCTGAGGGGCCTGGAGAAGCTCGGTGAAGATGTAGGTGTTCGGCGCCGAGGTCGCGCGCACGACAAGGTCAGCGGCAGCCCGCGGGGACGTGGCCGACTTGCTGAGAGCCAGAAAAGGCTAATGATGCCGTCAGTTAGGGAAGTCTAGGTACCCAGAGCTCATCGGTTGAAGCCCTACGAATGTCGCCTTAAAAGGCGGGGAAGATGGGGATGACGACATACCTCGAGAGCATTAAGAGCTTTGGTCTGCTCCATCTTGATTATTTTATCGTCCTAATTTGCCAAAACGCCGCCGTTGATGCAGAAAAATCACTTTCGTCGAGCTCTCAACCCGTATTCGATGTCAGGTCGAGGATAAAGTTGTTGTCTCTCTCTCTGCCCAGGCTGCAGCCTCGCTGGTGGGGCAGCGATAAAGCTTGGGCTTGCGTTCCGGGGGGGATAAGGCTGAGCCAGCACCGAGCACCCAGCGCCCAGCACAGATGCCGATCGCGGGATGACCCTGATCGGCAGCGCCAAGTTTAGCACAGTCTGCAAAAAATAACAGGTCGATCACGGTCGGTCTTTTCGCCCCTCCGACCCCGCGATAGGCTGCGCTTCGTCCGGTGTTTCGAGTTCCGCGAGAGGGTTGCTTCATATCTGTTTGATGCCGACCCCAGACCCGCCTGGCCGCCAAGGGCACAGAGCAAGGTCCGGCCTCCTTCTCGAACCTCCTGTTCGGGCCTGACAGTCCGCTTTTACCTCTTGTTATCCTAGCGTGGCACTTGGCGAAACTCGAGTAAACCCTCCTGCCACGCTTCCGGCGGGAGCTCACAGTGCGAGCTTTCAATGGCGCCATCCTCCCGTCTGCAGGTGTGACAATATTCCCGCGGGATGCCCGCTAGCTAGGACAGGACAGGATACAATTGAAGAGACTATTGGGTTGCTATTGCCCATCAACCGTGTGTGCCGTGTGACCATTCCCATGCCGAAAATAGATTGTCCCGAGAATTGCCCCTTCGGCAGTGAGCGGACTTTGTTGAGAGCAACACTTGTCTGATTACGAAGTGACCGGACTATTCCTTCCCACCACTTCAGAGAGCCGGGCAAAAGCCCCGCCTTGCTTATTTCGCAGAGCACCAGCTGAAGACCGGCGTAGTGGAGAACCACCACGAACCCGCATTGGAACACTCGTTCTTTGCTCCAACGGGGGCTTTTACTAGTCGTTTGGGGTCTCTGACAAATGAGTTAATGAGGGCTGAGGAGAGACATCGAAATAATCGGCATTTGGTTCGAGGTGTCGGGCTTTTTGTATGGACAACATGGAAAGTCATCGAGCTGCATGTATGAGTGCTGGTTTCAAGGTCCGGCAGTTCTCGTCTCACAGTACCAAATACCACTGTAGCCCGCCCGTGCAACAGGGTCCTCGAACCGGCCTAAGCCCGAACGGGCTGACAAACTCGGCTCGGTTCCGTCGCTGCCGCAGGCCAAGCTGCGCTTCATCAAATACTAGGTTACCCGTGATCTGGCTTCTGTTCCTTTCTTTCCGCTATTTTCTTATTGTACAAAGGAGATCGCCATCGCCGGAAGGTGGCTTGTCTGCTTTCCATTTCTTGCAAAAACCTTGCCCTGAGCCTTGCGACAACTTGACCGCGCTTCCAAATGTTATAGCGATAACTTCCCGACCGATCGAGCGATCTCGAGTGTCTGAAGACGTGCATCCCGCGCTTCTGGGCTGCGGCCGGTTCTTCGGCTTTGGGGTTGAGAAACAGAACATAGACGTGCTTGGGAAACCCAGGGGAATTGCAAAATGGCGCCCGCCAACATCCAAGTGTCGCTCGCAGCGCCACCCGCGCATATGGCGACGACGACACTCAAAGTAGAGGGGATGACGTGAGTTCCGGTCGCATACAGTCTAGTTGACTCGATAACTAACGTCCTGCAGTTGCGGCGCATGCACATCGGCAGTTGAAGCAGGCTTCAAGGGTGTCGATGGCGTTGGCAGTGTCTCGGTCAGTCTGGTCATGGAGCGCGCGGTGGTGATGCACGATCCCCAACGGATATCCGCCGACAGCATACAAGAGATCATCGAGGACCGTGGGTTTGACGCCGAAGTCTTGTCGACAGACTTACCTTCACCGATTGCCCCTCGCGCCTCGTTCGGAGGTTTTCCCACCGATAACGGTCCGGTCCTGACGGTTACGACGGTGTCGATCAAAGGCATGACTTGCGGCGCGTGCACCTCGGCGGTAGAAGGTGGATTCAAGGACGTTCCGGGCGTCAAGAATTTCAGCATATCGTTGCTCTCGGAACGCGCTGTCATTGAACACGACCCGGCACTTCTAACGGCTGAGGCTATCTGCGAAACTATCGAGGATAGGGGGTTCGATGCCGAGCTTATCGAAAGCAACGAGAAAGCGGGGGAGGAAAAGGCGGCGCCAGAGGGCATGAAGACGGCGTCGACAGCCACCACGACCGTGGCGATCGAAGGGATGACTTGTGGAGCATGCACCTCGGCCGTCGAACAAGGGTTCAAAGACATCAACGGACTCCTCCGTTTTAACATCAGCTTGCTCGCGGAACGGGCCGTTATTACGCACGACCCTGCGAAGCTTCCGGCCGACAAGATCGCCGAGATCATCGAGGACCGGGGTTTTGATGCCAAGATTCTTTCGACCGTCTTCGATTCGCAAGATCAGACGAGTGGCACGTCGACGGCGCAGCTTAAGATTTTCGGCAATTTAGACGCGGCGGCGGCGAAGTCACTCGAAGAGAATCTAACTGCGCTTCCAGGCGTCAACAACGCACGGCTTGCGCTCAGCACCTCCCGCCTTACCGTCACCCACGTGCCCAACGTGACAGGCTTACGGGCCGTCGTCGAAACTATCGAGAGCGCAGGCTACAACGCTCTGGTTGCGGACAACGATGACAACAGCGCCCAGCTCGAGTCCCTAGCCAAGACTCGAGAAATCAACGAGTGGCGGCGGGCGTTCCAAATATCCGTCTCTTTCGCCGTGCCCGTCTTCCTCATCAGCATGATCATTCCCATGTGTGTCTCAGCCTTGGACTTTGGGTCGATCAAAATATTTCCTGGCTTGTACCTCGGCGATATTATATGTTTGGTTCTCACGATACCCGTGCAGTTTGGCATTGGGAAGCGCTTCTACGTTTCAGGCTGGAAGTCCCTCAAGCATGGTTCCCCAACCATGGATGTTTTGGTGGTCCTTGGAACGTCCTGCGCATTCTTCTTTAGCATCATGGCCATGCTCGTCTCCATCTTTTTCCCGCCTCACACGAGGCCGAGCACCATCTTCGACACGAGCACTATGCTCATTAGTTTCATCACCCTTGGCCGCTTCCTGGAGAACCGCGCAAAGGGCCAGACGTCGAAGGCACTCTCGCAACTAATGTCCCTGGCCCCGCCGATGGCCACCATCTACGCTGATCCCATCGCCGCCGAAAAGGCTGCTGAAGGGTGGAATAGCGAGGTCAAATCCGAGGACCCGAAGCAGCCGCTCGATGGCAACGCGGCGGAAGAGAAAGTGATCCCCACGGAGCTTATCCAGGTGGGGGACATTGTCATCCTTCGACCGGGAGACAAGATCCCGGCAGATGGCGCCCTGGTTCGTGGGGAGACTTACGTGGACGAGAGCATGGTCACTGGTGAAGCTATGCCGGTTCAAAAAACGAAGGGAAGCTTCCTCATCGGTGGAACCGTCAATGGTCACGGAAGAGTCGACTTCCGTGTCACCCGAGCCGGCCGCGACACACAGCTCAGCCAGATCGTCAAGCTTGTGCAGGACGCACAGACGAGCCGCGCCCCGATCCAGCGACTGGCCGATATAATCGCCGGCTACTTCGTCCCAATGATTCTGCTCTTAGGTCTTCTAACCTTCCTTGTGTGGATGGTTCTGAGCCATGTTCTGGCGCACCCACCCAAGATCTTCCTGGAGGATGCGAGCGGCGGCAAGATAATGGTCTGTGTCAAGCTCTGCATTTCGGTTATTGTTTTTGCATGCCCCTGCGCGCTTGGGCTTGCCACTCCTACCGCCGTCATGGTTGGTACCGGGATAGGCGCTGAAAACGGCATCCTCTTCAAGGGTGGTGCAGCCCTGGAAACCACAACCAAGATCACTCAGGTTGTGCTTGACAAGACGGGCACCATCACGTACGGCAAGATGAGCGTGGCCAAGACCAACATCGTCTCCCCTTGGATCGACACGGACTGGCGCAAGCGACTCTGGTGGACCATTGTTGGCCTCGCCGAGATGGGCAGCGAGCACCCCATCGGCAAAGCCGTGCTCCGCGAGGCAAAGACGGAGCTCGGCCTCGGCCCTGACGCAACGATCGAAGGTAGCATCGGCGACTTCTCAGCGGCTGTTGGCAAGGGCATCAGCGCGTACGTCGAGCCGGCGGCCGCCAACGACCGGACCCGCTACAAAGTCTTGATCGGCAACGTCCTCTTCCTCCAGCAGAACAACGTCACCGTTCCCCGCGCCTCGATCGAGGCCTCAGAGCAGGTCAACGCGTCCCGCTCCACCAAGTCCAACGCCGGCACCACCAACATCTTCATCGCCATCGATGGCGCCTTCGCAGGCCACCTCTGCCTCTCGGACACCATCAAGGACGGCGCCGCGGCCGCGATCGCGGTCCTCCACCGCATGGGCGTGCGCACCGCCATGGTGACGGGCGACCAGCGCGGCACGGCGCTCGCGGTAGCATCGGCGGTGGGGATCCCGGAGGAGGACGTGCACGCGGGGGTGTCGCCCGACCAAAAGCAGGCCATCATCCGGGGCCTGCAGGAGGACGGGGCGGTGGTGGCGATGGTGGGCGACGGCATCAACGACTCGCCGGCGCTGGCGACGGCGGACGTGGGCATCGCCATGAGCTCGGGCACGGACGTGGCGATGGAGGCGGCCGACGTGGTGCTGATGCGGCCCAACGACCTGCTCGACATACCCGTCGCGCTCAGCCTCGCCCGCACCATCTTCCGCCGCATCAAGATGAACCTGCTCTGGGCCTGCCTCTACAACGCCGTCGGCCTGCCCTTCGCCATGGGCCTCTTCCTGCCCCTCGGCTTCCACATGCACCCCATGATGGCCGGCGCCGCCATGGCCGCCAGCAGCGTGAGCGTGGTGACCAGCAGCCTGTTCCTGAAGCTGTGGAAGCGCCCGCGCTGGATGGAGGAGGTCGAGGCGGACATGAAGGGTGGTGTGGTGCGGAAGGGCAGGGGCTGGGGGTTGTTGGGCGGTGTGCGGGAGGCCGTGGGCAGCCTGTTTGGCGAGCGCAGGAAGAAGGGCGAGGGCTACGTCCCGCTTGCGACGCTCGATCGCGACCAGGCGGTTTGAGGGGAAGCATAGAGGGGGCTTTCTTGTGTTTCTGCTTTTTGGGTATTTTGAGGCGTTGGGGAGCGAGAAAGCCTGGAGGTTTGGATTGTCCCAGCGATAACCCCTTTTTTCTTTTGTCAGTCTTGTTATATACCTCTCGAATATCATTTATTTGCCTCTCGCGTCTTTTTGCTACTATTTGTGCGAGTCTGGTTTTCCACCAGCATAGTATGCCCAGCATCAAACACCGGGAAAGGTGCGTTAGCAGCGAGGGGACGGCCTAGAACTCAATAGCCCAACAACATCAACGAGGTCGTTTGTTGTATGCTTCATCATTTGACATCTATCCGAGAACTTGTCCTGTCGATGCTGTGACAGCACGTCCCATGCTATTCTACCCGATATCCACACCGAGCGGCATGCAGTGACCGCAGGGATCTTTTTTTTTCGAGCCTGCGCAACGACACATGTAGAAATGAGAGGTTCGGGAGGCGCCATCTATCCCCAAATATCAAGAAGGTCGTCACATCGTGTTGAGTTTGCGGCACGCCATTAGAAAGCATATGCTGTCAGACGAGGAAGCTGACAGCCGCGTCGGAGGATAGCATCCTCCGGCCGCTTACTGTGCGCTTTTAGTTTCGGAAGGCAGAGAGGCACAGCCCCATGCAAGTCGGTATTCGCGCCTCGTTCAAGCAGATTCTCGTCGCATCGTTTAGACATCGGGCTGGAGGTAAGCCCTCATGGCCTTCACCGCGTCGCCGTCGTGCGCTTTGAGTAGGTCGGTTGCTTTGGGCTTAGGTAGCTCGAGCTCTTCGACCTGTTCCCGGGCCTAGCGTTAGCGGATGAACCAACCAACTCTTGATGCCATCGCACGAGGAAAGAAAGCGGGAATGAAACTGACAAGCAATTTAACATCGGCCGCATCCACCTTGACCACTTTAATGTCCTTTTTGTCGGCGCCACCGCCTAGCGCACTCATCGCATTCTTGACGGCTTCCTGGTCGACCTCGCGAGCGGCACCCTCGTCGTCGCCGCGGGAGTCGAGTTTCGAGAGAGCGGCGGCGGCCTTGCGGTCCTCGGCGGACTTGGCGGTGGGTTGGACCTCATCCTCCACATCACCCGAGGTGGCACCCTCAACGATATCGGCAGGCTGTCTATCTTCGGCCATGATGTGCTGAGACGATGCTGTGGGAGCTGTAGGAGTGTAAGAGTGTGTGACCTGTGCCTTTTGGGTCGGATGTGGGTCCCGGTTTTCCCTTGCTGAGCCAACTTGTCAAAAATCGGGTGCTCGCCAAGCGTATGGCGGGGGAGGGGTAACCACGCACACGTAACTCAGCGCTCAGCTGCCCTGTCGGTTGGCGCTCAGTTTGAGACAGGAACTGGGTCCGACTTCTAAGCGGGAAGCATTTCCATTGGCCAATTCTTGTGGTTCAAGCTTCTTTCATCCCACCTTTAAGGGGAAGAAGAAAGTACATCTTTGACTCACAGTCACAATGAAGTTCCTGGAATCTGGCCGCCGCTGTCTCAAGCTTCATAAGCCCGGGTGAAAAAAGTCACCGAAGACACGAGGGTGCAAGTCAGCTGTGTAACCGCTGGGGTCATCATATTAGCTCGACTTGGACTCGAAGAGGCGATAACCCACTCCATCACCCCACGTCTATTTTTTGGGTTGACACCAAGTCGCATCATCCATTGATAGCGATCCGCGATAACAACCACGAGATAACTCAAGATTTATCCAATGGCTGACACGACAACCACCAAGATCAACGGGCATACGCCCGAGTGGACGCCTGACTCGTGGCGGTCCAAGCCGATGAAGCAGTGCCCCGACTACCCAGACAAGGCCGCCCTCGCCAAGTCAGTCGCATCACTCAACAGACTGCCACCCATTGTCCATCCGCGCGAGATCAACCAGCTCAAGCAACACCTGCGAGATGTTGCCCAGGGTAAGGCCTTTTTGTTGCAGGGTGGTGACTGCGCCGAGCTGTTCGACTACTGCGAGCAGAACGCGATCGAGTCCAAGATCAAGCTGCTCCTACAGATGAGTCTGGTGCTCGTCTGGGGCGCCAACAAGCGCGTCGTGCGCATCGGTCGCATGGCCGGACAGTATGCGAAGCCGCGTTCCAGCCCCATGGAGACGGTCGATGGCCGCCAGGTACCGTCGTTCCGGGGTGACATCCTGAATGGCTTCCATGTCGACGAGCGGGAGCTCGATCCCGACAGGCTGGTCAAGTATGTATACCTCGCGCAGTTGCGTACATAGACTCCATTTTTTAACCTTCCTACTAGGGCCTACCACCACTCCTCAGCCACCCTCAACTACATCAGGGCTGCCATCGCGTCTGGCATCGCCGATCTGAGCAAACCCCTCGACTGGAGCCTCACCCATGTGCACGACCCAGAGCTCAAGGCCAAGTACGAGAACGCGGTAGAGTTCCTCAAGGACATGCGGAGCTTCATGCACACCATCGGCGCCGAGAACGAGAAGTTCCACACGGTCGACCTGTTCACCAGCCACGAGGGCCTGCTCCTCGAGTACGAGCAGCCGCTGACCCGGCTGCTGGAGGATCCTACCTCGTCCCGCACAAAGCCCAAGCAGGCGTACTACGACACATCGGCGCACTTCCTCTGGATCGGCGACCGCACGCGGCAGCTCGACCACGCGCACGTCGAGTTCTTCCGGGGCATCGCCAACCCGTTGGGGGTCAAGGTCGGCCCCACGACGCCGGCGTCGGACCTGCTCGAGCTGCTGCGGGCGCTCAACCCGGCGCGGGAGCCCGGAAAGATCACGCTCATCACGCGGTACGGGGCGGACAAGGTGTCGGCGCTGCTGCCGGCGCACATCCGGGCGGTGGAGGACAGCGAGTACGCGCGCACGGTGGTGTGGCAGTGCGACCCGATGCACGGCAACACGCAGGCGGTCAGCCGCGGCATCAAGACGCGCCGCTTCACCGACATCTTCAGCGAGCTGCAGGAGACGCTGCGCATCCATAAGGAGCAGGGCAGCTACCTCGGCGGCGTCCACCTCGAGCTGACGGGCGACCCCGTCACCGAGTGCCTCGGCGGCAGCGAGGGCCTCGGCGAGGACGACCTGTCCACCAACTACACCAGCTTCTGCGACCCGCGCCTCAACGAGAAGCAGGCCCTCGAGCTGGCCTTCTTGATCGCCGACCACTACCGCACCGAGCGGAACGGCAGCGGGAAGTCGTCGCCAGTTATCGGCTGAGCCGTGGCTTTTGGCAGTTGAGGAATGATTTGGGAGTCAGGGCAAAAAAGGATATGACGATGCGAGATGGTTGGTGCTTAGGATATACGACAGGATTTCTTCTTCGTTCGTTAATTAGAGGGGGATAAAAACCAGCTCACACGCGTATATGCGTGCCCATATAACTCAAAATATCAGGCGTTTAATTTGTTGGGTCTAAGAAACCTTGTCTATCCGTTTCTCTCCCAGCACCATGCTTTCATCAGGTGTCATCATTTCCCACTGATCCAACATCCCACTCGCCCAACACGCAAATACATCACCTAACCATCACATCACCTAACCATCACATCCCACCCCCCCACCTCCAACCCCAAGCCTACCCCCCAACCCTCACAACAAACTCCACCCCCCTCCCCTCCTCTCACCCCGCCCCCGTCAATGCAAAAGCGTAATCGTCTGCGCCCCCTCGAACGCATCCCCGGCCTCCACCGCCTGCCAGCCGCCCACCGCACCGGGCTCAACACACAACATGTTGCGGAACCCGTCGTCGGGCGCAAAGTCGGCCATGGCCTCGGCCTTGGCCGCCCACGGGTTCCACACCACCACGTTGGCGAGGTTGTCGCGCGTGACGCGGAAGCGGGGCTGGCTGTTTTCGGCGACGGTGACGGCGTCCTCCGTGGGCGTGTATACCCGGTCGGTCTCGCCCGTGATGGTCAGGGTGGAAGGGGGTGGCGGGTTGGGTTTTGGTGGAAGGGGCCGACGGGCCGACTTTGTCGGTGTAGGGCGCGTTGGCGAGGCCGGTGATTTCTACGGCGGTGATGTCCTGGAGGGTGAAGGGGGGTGGTTAGGGGGGTGGCTGTTAAGGGGGGAGGGGGTATGAGAGGGGAGAGGAGGAGAGGGGAGAGGGGGGGAGGGAACGGGGCGGGGCGTACCTTGACGCGAAGGTAGGTGTGCATCAGGACCTGGCAGTCGAAGGGGGTGGCGCCGTCGTCGTTGGTGGCAACGATGCTGGTGGTCAGGCTCTCGCGGTTGAGGGTGACGCTGTAGATCAGGTTGAACTTGAAGGGCCAGTGGGCGGCCGCCTTGGGGTCGAGCCCCGGGGCGGCCGAGCTCAGGCCGAAGTCGAGCTTCACCGTCGGCTCGTCGGCCGCGCGGCCCACCATGGACTCGGACGTCGACTTGCCCAGGAACTCCCACCGCGAGGTGCGCGCGAAGCCGTGCTGCGGGAGGTCCTTGGTCTGCGGGTGGTCGGGGGCGGTGCCGAAGACCTTTTGTTTGTTCCCCGCTGGTTAGCTAGGGTACGTCATACCACTGTATTGGCTTCTTTCTATGAGGGGGGGAGAAAGAGAGAGAGGAACTAACCGGGAAAACAAGAGGAATACCTCCCCTCACGGCCCGACTGCCGTCCAGCTTGGCCGCTTCGCTCAGCCACAACTTCTCGTCACCAGTGGCATCTTTCCAGCTAATGACTGTGGCGCCATAAAGGAGAACCTCAACGCTCTCGCCTGTGGGAAGCTCGGCGCGGAGGCGCGAGTTATCGTCGGTGAAGTTCACGGTGGGTTGGGGCGGCAGGCCCGGGGTGGACGACAGCTTAGGGAGAGTCTTGGGTTTGTTGGCGCGGTCCATTGCGTGTTGTTGGTTTGTGAGTGTTGTTGAAATTGGGAGTCGGGATGGGAGTTGGGTGGGCAGAGGATGAGAGTGAGATAATTCCAGCGAGTGACAAAAGATGAAGTTGGTAGTTGGCAGGTTACTAAGGGCCACTCACTCACTCTAGCGTTGGTTTCAGGTTGGTGATTGAGTCTAGAGTGGGTGGGATGGGAACTGCGGGGTATTTGCTTGTAGCTATAGCGGGGAGCTCCTAATAGTGGATGAATGCAGCTGCTGCTAACACAACACACAATGACAGACAGGCACAATTGATAAAGTGGCAACCGAGACTTGTTTATATAATTATTGATTAGGGAGTGGCAAGCGGCGGCAGCCTAGACCGCACAGTTTTGTGGCGAAGTTGATCGTCCAGGTCGCAACAGGAAGTCAAGTTTGATGACCTTGAGGACCTTCATGCGCGGGAGATGCGGGGCACTCGGGGCGTTCCAGCGGCGGGGTACGGAGAGCAAGGTAAATACGGCCAGACATACCGTGTAAAACGGGCACAGCTTCCTTCTTGCCGTGAAGGGATAGTCGGGTGTAACGCGCCAACGGCCGTCGCCGTCAGTCTGTGCTTCCCAATTGCTGTCAGCCGCATAACCTGAAACGCCGCCACCATTCTCTGTGCTGTCACCGTCGACCTCGGGCGCCCCCACCATGCACAATGGAGTGACCGGTCGAGGCTTCTGCCCACCTCCATGTCCAAATCAAGCCAAGGTTTCTGGTTGCCTTCATAGCCACCTTCTCTCATACGACTGGGTATCACTTCACAGCAAGCGAGGGTTTCCATCGTCAAACTCGTAACCGCGCCTCCCAACCCCGCCCCGTGGGACAGCCGCGCGAGGTGTTTTCCCATTTCGTTGAACCTTCTGCTAGTAACCGTATATCTCAGCAAGCTATCCCAACGCTCTTTCTTTCACATAACCGAACCTCATAAACCAGACCCGTGCACACCGATCCAACCGTAAAACGCCATTGACCCATGCAAATGTGATTACCTATGCTCGCCCGCGCCTCTCCGCTTCATACAATTCCCTCCTCATGTCCATAAACATATCCTCGATTTGGTAAACCTCCTCCCTTGACAGCCGCGCCGACCGCAGCTCATTAAGCCCGCCTCGGAACAGGTCCATCATCCTTTGCGCCTGGTTCATCTCAGGTGTCGCGGGTTCTTCTACGTTCGTGCTAGCATCCGCCGTGTTTTCGGCGATCTTGCCATCCTCTTGTTCATCGATGGTGGGGTGTTGAATGTCAACCTGCATCGACTCCTCGGCGGTGATGAGCGCCGGGGAGGTTTCCTCTGACGCCAGACTGCTCTCTTCTCCCACTTGGTGTTGACTGAGCTCGAGTGCAATCTGGGATTGCACGTCCTGGTCGTCTGCTTCAAGATCCATGGCGTCAACGGTTGCCGACGCTACAGGTTCCTGAGAGTCGCTCTCGCTCTCTTGGCTGAAACTTTCCGGGCTCGATGGCTCGGCCGAAGAGCTCGGAATTCGCTCCTCGGGGGTTTCGTCTTTGCCGACGTCTTTAGAGATGGCTGTCCGCATCTCAGCCGACGCGTAGACTTCCACAACGACATCTTGAACGGTCGCCGTTTGGCTGCTCGACATTTCCTCCTCCTTCTCGACTGAATCATGCCGCTGCCTCTTTGGGTCCGCTTCCTGTGCCTTCGAAGAAGCCCGCTTTCTTTTTGGGCGTCCGGCACGCGCCTTGGACTGCGAGCTCGGTATGTTTTGCGCCTCGGCGCTAGTCGATACTGCCGACGCCGTGGAGCTCGCTCTGGTTTTCCTTGACGGTAGGGCCGGCTCAGCTTTCTGCGGGCTGTCCCCAACCACAATGCAGTCGATGACGGGCGACCTCGGTCCCTTGCCCTCAGGGGACAGAGAAGGTGCAGGTTGGTACTCTGATCGGTCAGCCTTACCAGAGTCCAGCTCAACCACCAGCCTGAGCATACTCCTCTCATCGACATCGCTGATATCGAAAGACGTAGTGCCTGCTGGGATGACGTGCTGTTGCTTACCGTCGAGCACCTCGCTTGCTTTCGTGGGTCTCTCTTCCTGCTTGGGGGTCGGCGACTGTGGGCTGGTTGGCGCGTCCACGAACTCCTCGCCGTCAGACTTTGTTGTCGGGGTTCCCCGGGTCCTCTGGGACAGCCGGGAGGAGCGCCGGGGCGTAGATGGACCTTTGTCCGCTGGGGTGTCCGATGGTTTCGGGGCTATAGACACCCCCACAGGCTCAAAAACCATACTATCCTCAACTACCTCACCCCCAGTGGATGGCGGCTCCGTCTCGTATTCTGCTTTTGCTGGGCTGCTAAGTACCTCGGGCAGGTTGACAACACTGGCGTAGCCCCGCTGGCTCGAAGGGTCGGCCACAACCCCAAGTCGGTTTGGATTCGGCGACCCGGAAACTGGCGAGGAAGAAAACTGCCACTCTTCGAGGAGATTGTGACTAGCAGACCTCGATCTTATCTCGGCTGCTAGCGGATTTCCTCTCAACTCTGGGGGTGATGAAGGTGGATCCGTCATATCATGCTCCGGCATGACCAGCAGCTGGCCGCGACGAGGCGTAGGAGTTGACGAGACATAGTCGTCAAACCCTATTTCGGGCTCCGGGGTGGTAGCTTGCCGTGATTGGGGGGCCACTGGGAGCATCTGCTGATCTGTTTCCTTCGCCTTCACACCCGGGCTGGACCGGATCTCGGAGAAGAGACACGCATTTTCCCGCTGTCGCTCACGGATCTCCTTTTGCCGCTCCGTCAGAACCTGAGACTCAAGTGGGCTACCCACGGCAGACGAAGGCCCAATCGCTGCGAACTGGACCTGCGAGTCGTCGTGCCTTAGCCGAGGGGTTGTGGTGTAGCGACTGCTTGTGGCCGGCTTCCTCTGAGGAGATTTATCGAGCTGCTTCGCAGCAAACGTGGTGGCGGTAGGCGACTTGGAGTGAGATGAGCTCGGCCGTGGAGTGCCCCTTCGGCTGTTGGATCGCGTGGAAGGGAATTTGGGGAAGCTGAAATCCTCATATGAGTCAACGAAAGACAGCTGCTGTCCAGCATGCTCAACACTTGATGTTTCCAATCCTGGCAATACAATATCGGCATGGAGTTGCATCTGCACAAGGGCAGCTTTGAGTTGTTCCGGATATTCCAGGTGCTCGGCCTTCTCGAAGAGTCTGTTCCACAAGGAGATGGTGGGATTGGCAATGGTTCGGTGACACGAGGTGAATGAGGCGCAGAAAAACCGTTCAAGGCATTGTAGCTGCTGCTCGGGATGTTCGAGGTCACTGATCAGATGGGAAAGCTTGTCCCAAAGGGATTTTGTCTGACTAGTTAGCTTTGTTTTCCACATGAAGGGGCTACTACACTTACTGCCGTAAACACAGTGTTGGTCTGACTACTGAGTAGCCGTTTCGTGTCTTGAAACCAGGGAAGGAGACCATCCTGCAAAGCGATCATCGCCCTCAAAAACAGTTCGCGGTTGCACCTGTCAAAGAAGCCACCGAGCTCCTTGAAGAGCTGCAAAACAAGATCCGGATCAACAGCGGTGAAGTTGTTGTATGACGAATCCAAAACATCGTTGACAGCTTTGTAAAGGTTGTCGAGAGTGTCAAAGGACGAGGCGCGGGACCCAGCCAGGGTCGTGCCCCAAAGTCGCTTTCGGGCGGCATCAACAGCTTGCTTGTCCCGTGGTTGCGTAGCAACGGAGATCAGCTCGGTCACAACTTTGATACAGCTGAGCGAGTTAACAGCTAGCCCTCGAGCTACCAGTTGCTCAGCTGTAACCTTGGCCAGGGGTTCAATGACCACCATTGCCGCTCCGGCGTCTCCGGTTTCCTCGCGCACCCGCTCATAAGCTGCACAGAATAGAGACTCCCAGTGCTTCGGCGGAAGGTTGGGCGTTGACTTGATGCCGCGTTCGAGGACCTTGACGACATCACGGTAGTCATGTCCAACCGGGGTCTCTCCTGCAGAGCCAGTCGAGTGATGACTGTTGTGTTTAGGCTCCAGCCAACCGGAGATGTTTTCAGCCACCAACAACCAAGGTCCATAGGGCCGAGGAGCATCCATGGGGATGGTCGACATCAAGTCTTGGGCGATATCCATTCTTGCTTTGTCTGCTTTGGAGGCGAAAAAGGGAGCAAAAACGAGACGGAAGAACACTGCATAATCATTGTCATCGGAAACACCCGGTGGCAAGGTCGAGAGCATCGAGAAGAGCGTGTAAATAGGCGCCTTGGCAGATGCCTGGTGTTTTCCGGTTTTCTCTGTGAAAGGGAGAAGGCCGAGGGAGTTGACCATGACTTCCAAGTAGGTCCGCGCAGAGAGAAGGAAGTCTGATACGCTGCGTTCGGCCTCTTCCTGGCCCAACAAGCCCCGCTTCCAGACCTTCTGTAAAGCACCAAGCGCTCCTGCGACGAAGAGAGCTGTATCCCTCGAGACTTTGATTTCCTTGGCCGCTGCCGAGGCGACCGTCGAAACCAAGGTCCGCCAAAGGCGGCAAGTTGGGCTGTCAGTTCTGGCGAGGGCAAGAAAATCCAACTCAAGAATGGGCTCAACCACGCCGAACACCCGGTTGGTATTGTGCCTAATCCATTTTGAGTCGATTGGTGGGAGCTCTTCCGGCTTCACGAGCGAAGACTCCATGATATGGTCTCCAATCCATCTTCGCGGCGTTGTACAGTCGAAAAGACCGCCGAGAATGGCACTGCCCTGTTGAAGGTTGTCATCAGCAGCCTCGGCGGCCGGATCGAGTAGCTTTGCTAGGACAGGCCGGACACTGGTATCCCAATAGGTATCCAAGAGCATGGAATTTGTGTTGGGTTTGAAGGCGTAGTAAAACAGGTTGCAGATACCGCCCAAAACCGCCTGCCTCAGTTCCGCTGAGGTTTTCCCGGAACCTTTCCGTCTCAGCTGACTGACGAGAGGAGTTGTCAGAGTTGCTAAGTTCTTCGGCAATGCCCGGTCGTCGAGGTGCATGAGGTAGACGAGGCGAGCCCACGCATGGTTGGCCCTAATCTTGGTCGGAAAGTCGGCGCTGTTGAAACAGTTTTGAATGACGTGAAGCCAGGGGCCGGTGTACTCCCACTTGTCGATCCGAATACGAAGGAGAAGGATGACGACGCTCCATATTTCGGGAACAATGGCCGATTCGTGCTTGTCCTTGGACATTACCTTGAGCCTTCCCTCGTAATACTGGATATACCGCTTGTCTTCGTGTGAGAGGTTGAAAATCTCCATGACCTTCCGCGAGAGCTGCTTTTCGTGGCCGATGCTGAAAGCTGCTTCCAACCCGAGGGAGATGGCAGCCGAGCGGATATCCTTTAGGCTGCTCAGCATATCCGTGAACATGTCGAGCAGCCAGTCTGAATGAACGATCATGAGTTGCTTGGACTGCTGAACCAGTTTCCGGTAGATCAGAATTCGAGACAAAACAATGCTCTTTCCCTTCAAGTGTTCCTCGATGTTGTGAAGTGACGAAACCAACCTCCCTATTCTGTCCGCGGTCATGACTTTTGGGGAGAAGTTCTGCAACGAGATGGCCTGCATGAGGCGGCGGGCAGTGTCTTTCGGGGTCGAGACATCCTCGAACGAGCGGATGCAGTGGTCGATGATGAAGACGCCAAAATCGTTGGATATTGTCGAGGATATGGCGGGAAAGTGCAGGAACGTGTTGAGTAGATTGAGCGCGTGGTTAACGAGAGAGGTATCGAGGTTTCCTTCTACCGTCTTCGCCACAATATCCCGCTGCATGAACTGGGTAAAGAGTGTCATCTTCTCTTGCAGAGCTACCCTGTCTGGGAGGTTGTTGGAAGCCTTCCATGCTCGTGTCAGCATCAGGTAGGCGTCGAGCTTCGAGTCGCGGTCGCCGCCGGCGAGTTGCTGCAGGGTGGATTCCAACATGGCGACAAGGTTGAGTTGGGAGTTTGGCGAATCACAGCCAGCGCCGGCTGTTGAGTCGAGGAGGTTCTGCGCGTTGGCGGTGACCTTGAGGATCGACTTGACGGGCTTCGATGCGCTTCGTGACAGGGACACGGGAGTCGGATGCTGTCTCGCCCCCTCACCGTCGAGGTAGACGGGCGGCTCCTTGTACTCGGCTTGGGCAGAGAAGCCAACCTTTTTCCGAATTCGTCGGGAAGTCGAGGTTTCGGCGATCGAGGAGGTGGGCGACTGAAAGCCGGGCGGTGTGTGTATACTCAATCGGGTATTGATGGAGCCCAACGAAACTCTGATGGGAGCTGCAGCCTCATGGTGCGCCTCACGCGGTGGGGTCGGCGGTCTCGGTGGCAGAGAGCTCAAGAAAGTGGACAACACGGCTGGAGATGACATTCTGCCGTGTTGACCAGTTTGGGGGGGTGGAGGGTGCAGACGGACTGCCTCCTGAGACGAGCGAAGCGTCACCTCGAGTAGGACGGTGACAATCGCATTTGAAACCAAGAAAATTGAAAATGACGGCTGAAAATCAGGACAAAAAAAGGACCAAAAAAAGGACCAAAACCCAACAAGAACAACAGAACCCGGAAAAGAGTGTAGGATTGTGATCCGACGATGTCCCTTGCTGCGATGAGGCCAGCAGCGGTGGAGGAAGAGGTACCTCGGTGGATGGAGCAATGGAGCCGTGAGGACGCCAGGCAATTAAGACTTTTGACGCGGTCGCGTGCGGAACCAGGGAAGGCGCGTCTGCATCGCGCACCCACTTTATCGATGGCACCTGGGCCCACCTCAGCCTCCCGCTTTAGCAGGTTACTCGATCTAGTTTAGCCCATCTTGACAGATGAACCATGTGGTTCTGTTTCCCCAATCGGGGATCAAGTCGAGATTCAGATGAATGGATGAGTTTGAGAACATGCTTCACTTCTCATGACAGTCAACTACTCAATTTACTCCAGAGAACTCTTCCTCGTAATTTAGGTCATGAAGCTCTTCTTGGCCCCCCAGAGACAAGGATAAGCTCAAAACCCAAGTGCAAGGATACCTTACCCTGCGAGACGAACACATGTATTCCATACCGTAGTTCGGTAACGCTGAAGCACTGAATTACGGTATCCAAATCACAACGTTTCATGATCTCAACCTCGTCCATTTGAATCGAGCCATTTCAAACCGAGGCTCTGGAACTCGGAAATACTTTGGTAACCAGACGGATTTTGATAGAGTTTACATCTTTCCTCTCCTCGCCGTCCCACATAGAACGTCGAAACCAGGTTAAAACCACCGAAGTGGGGTAGTTATTCGCTGTCGCTGTGCTGAACTTCTTCCCGTGCAACCAAGAGGGGCAAACGGAACTTATAAACATAGCAAAAATAGCACAGACACCACAACCCCCCTAGTTGATATGGCACAACTTACTGGCCCTGGTGTGTACTTGGTCCCTGGGTTTCGGGTCTGTGACGATGACTGACCACCTCACTCAGCCAAGCTTGATGCAGTCCGGAAACTGTTCGATCTTCTGGCCAAAGACCTTACATCCGGCTCCCTCCAGCCTCGAGGTCGGTGGTTCCCGTGACACTGAGTCAAGGTGGACTGGGCAATCTGTTTGCTGAACTTCAATACAGAACGCGATGCCGCTCTTGAGGAGCTAAAGCTGTACGGCCGGGACCCCAACTATGCAGACCCCATCTTCACAAAGGAGGTAGGTAGACTTCCAAGGCGTTGTTTCTCCAGTCTCTTACACACCTCGCAGGGTATCGAGATCCTCGCCAAGTTTGCTTTCGATAGCTCCTCAGACACCACATGCCGCAATGCTCTCAAGGTTCTTTGCAATACTCTATTCATCAAAGAACAAACCCGGCAGATCCTCGTGGATTTAGGGTACGAACCCAAGGCATGCGACAGACTCAAGAACGACAGCCGGGATGACGAGTTCCTAATCTCCAGAGTGATCCTCCTCTCCACCTACGGCACGAACCTCGGCCTTCCAAAACTGATTGAGCAGCATCAGTTGGCCGACTCCATGGTAGCGCATTTGTCGAGGCATGCCAGCCGACTCTCTGCGCAGCCATCCGTGACGGGCCCAGTGAACCCTATGGAGGGGATGGCTCTGGATGAAACACTCAAGCTTCTCTTTAACGTCACCAATTTCGCCAAGGAACACATCAACTCCTTCGACGGGGCACTGCCACACGTCGCCTCTATCCTCTCCGCCCTCCCCCTGCCCCAGGCCAAAGCACCACTTGATCCCCCGTTCAGCCTCCTCATTGCCCCCCTCCTCAACCTCGACCTCACCACCCCAACCGCCCAGGCCTCCCTCTACCCACCAGCAGAGCCCTCCCGCATCGCGAGCCGTCTCCTCCAACTCCTCGATCTGTCCATGAAGAGCTACAACGACACCCAAATCGAGGCCACCGTGACCCCGCTCCTCTGCGCGCTCTCCGTCCTCTACGAGCACGCCCCTACCGAAACCGACACCACCACCACCCCCCGCTCCACCATCCGCACCACCCTCCTCCCCCGGGAAGAGGACCGCAAGACGGTGCTGGGCCGCGCCGACACGCTGGCGTCGCGGCTGCTGCGCAACTGGACCAACCCGCTGGCGCCGCAGTTCCGCAGCGCCGTGGCCCACTTCTACTTCGACCTGTCCGGCAAGGACGCCGTGCGCTTCATCGAGAACGTCGGCTACGGCTACGCTTCGGGCTTCCTGTTTGAGAATAATATCAGTATCCCCGAGGGGGCGATGCAGGGGCAGGGGCAGGTGCAGGGGGGTGGGGAGGGTGATGATGATGAGGCTGGTGAGGGGTCTGCTGGTGCTGCTGATGCTTTGGGGGGTGGTGATGGTAGTGAGAGTGCCGCGGGGAGGCGGGCGGTGAACCCGATTACGGGGCAGTTTTTGGATGAGGAGCGGTTCCCTGACCTGCCGGAGATGACGATGGAGGAGAAGGAGAGGGAGGCGGAGAGGCTGTTTGTGCTGTTTGAGCGGTAAGTGCTTGGCCCTCTTCTGAGATCATCTACTAGCGTGACTTGTTGCTGACGATGAGTAGGCTGAGGCAGACGGGGGTGGTGTCGGTGGAGAACCCAGTCGCGAAGGCGATGCAGGAGGGAAGGATTCAGGAGCTTCCGGATGACGAGGAGGACTTGGACTAGCGGAATTGCAATGTGATTCTGGTTACAGCTCCTGCTGTTCTTGTTCTGACGGAATCGGTCATTTGCTGTGCTCGCTGGGGGTGGGGGTTATCTACCTATTTGTTTCGTTTTGTTTTGTTTTTTCACCTTGACTTTTGGGAATAGTATCTAAGGTATCCGTAATGGGCCATACCTAGGTAACTACCATTATGTTGGTACAGTGCTCAAAGTCAGTGAGGGGGTGCCTGAGCTTCGTGTGGTAACCATAGTGCGGTTAGCGATATAGCCCAAGTTTCGGAGTGCAGTTGTAAAGTTAGCCTTCACCGGAGGCCGCCTGGTCGAGTGGAACTGTGTTGCGCTCAACGCAGTAAGGTTGCCCAGAAACTATCGGGTGCCCATGCGTGGTATGGCAAACAAGACCGTTTCGTAGGCGGTCCGATGGTCCTAAGTTCGAGTCAGACCAAGGTCACCAGGCCGCTGAGCTTTTGTCTTTTGGCTTGGATTGTCGAAGCAGATATCACACTGGCATAGAGCCCTTCCAAAGACATTAGTTGCCTGATTCTAGCATAGTATCTTGTTCATAGGAAGCAGGAGCTTGGTGGTGGTTAGCTTGTAACGAGCTGTAACTGATCATGTAAGTGACTACTCGGGTGTGAAGAAGAGTAGAGAGCACATTTCACACCACCTAGTAAATGAATAGCGCCTTTACCATTTAACCAATCTAACTATGCTGCAGATACAAAGAAGAAGCACAATCATAACTAGCTCGAAGAACTGATGCCGTGTTCAAGCAGCGGTTGAACCCGACCTCACCCTAACCCTGACATCAAGCAGGAGCTGTGATAGTTTATTTACCAATTAATTCCCTGATAAATTAGCCGACCATTCCTAACCCGAACCCGGGACCTCAGCGCGTCTTCTGCTTCCGGCACACCTTCCATTTTAGCTTGCCAGTGAATAACTTCATCGAAAGTCAGCGAGGACGACGTGAGTCTTGATCAGAGGTAAGTGCTATATATTTAGCTACTGAATTTCCTTCGATTTTTAAAACCCCCTTTCTAACTCCCCACCCAGTGTTCTGGTAATACGCTTCGCGACAAGCTCAGGTCATTCACCAGTCGCGTCACGGTCTCAACCGCCAGACCTAGGAATTGCCCAGCGCAGAGCCATCGACCATTCTCAACAAGTAATAGCTGGATTAATATATCCAAAATGCCTTTTGGTGAAGACTTTTTCCCGGAAGGGGATATGACCCCCCCTCTGATTCAGAGTGACCTCCTCAAGTAAGTCGCGGATAGTTACGCGTTTACCGTCCTGCTGTTAGCCGCTACTCCGAAGCCCGCGCATTCAAGATTTATTTCCAAACCCATCTTTCGCGCCATAGCCTCCCTGCATTTTTTCCGCTTCGTTCTTTCTTCACGGTTCTACCCAACCCGCGCGTTTTTAGGGTCGAACGCGCCGCGGCCACAAAGACATTTCCTGCATCCGTTTACATCCGCCGCTAACATATCGCAGCTCTCTTGAAGCCGAAATGGATCAGGACTTTGGCGAAGAAGTGGGCCCAACAGTCGTGGCACTAAACGGAGACACAGCGGGTGTTCCTGAAGCCAACATGGATATCCCGCTAGAGGATGAGGTCGAAGCTGCCATAACTGCCCCTCCATCCACCCTTAAGAAGCGCGGCCGGCCGTCGCTCTCCGCTTCTGCCACACCCGCCAAGTCAGTTGCCTCCAGGACACCTCGCTCGACTAAGAGCAGTGCGGCACCCAAGAGCGCAGGTCGTAGCACCGGCAAGCGTAAGGCGGCAGAGTCCGAGCCTGAGGAGGAGGGGTCCGAGGAGATTGAACCCGAGGCCACGCCAGTGCGGAAGCGAGGCCGTCCTGCCCGTGCTGCGGGTACTTCTGCCAGCGCGCGGCTTGCCGCTAAGGCCGCTAGCAAGCCGACTCGCGGTCGACCCAAGAGCACTACTGTGAGTATCACTGCCATGAGAACCACCGTTTGCAACTCTAATTCTAATAACAGACCGCGGCAAAGCCCGCTAAGAAGGCCGGACGCCCCAAGAAGGATGCCACCGACGAGGAGGCGCCCGCGGGAGAATACGAGGTCGAGAGCATCGCCGATTCGGCCATCGACGCCGACACCATGGAGCACATGTATTTCGTCAAATGGAAGAATTACCCCGCGAGCGAGAACACGTGGGAACCCAAGAAGAACCTCAAGGGTTCTCTTGACCTCGTCCGCAAGTTTGACGCCGCCAAGAAGAAGGCCGAAGCGGCCGAGGCTGCGAAGAAGGCGACCGCTAAGAAAGCGACCGCTCCCGCTTCCGGCGAGAGGAAGACAAGGGGAGCAGCGAAGCCGAAGGCGGTAAAGGAGGTCAAGGCAGCCAAGAAAGCCCCTGGGCGGCCAGGACGGCCGAGGAGAACGCGGTCTTGATCGAGCGGGTGACTTACCTCATTTCTTTCCTTTCCATATCTCTTTTCTTAGCACGTCTACGGCATGGGGTTGCTGGTTGTTGGCGGTTGGCTCGGTTTCATTCGTTGGGAGGCGGAAAGGAGGCAACGAGGGGGGAAGCTCCTTGACCTAGGTAGCCAAACCGAAGGCTTCTCATGGTTGCTTGGGCTAATTAGAGAACCGTCGGCTCTCTAACTACCTAGGTACCCATCATTTGTCTTTCTTTTCACACAAGGGCAAAGACTTGCTTGATTGGGCGAAATCGAGCATTGTTAATGGTACTGTACTCATAGACAAAACGGCTAACTATGCCATGACATGATTTCAACACGGCCTCCATGAATGGGAGCACTGGGTCCATCGATGACCCCCGATGGCGAGGATGGTTTAACTAAGCGCCAGTTAATCCTAACCACGAATGGCACTACGTCAGTCTGCTTGTCACAACTGATCACCGCTGACAGCTATTTTGTGAGATTACACGTGTATGTACATATGTGTCAGTTGTTCCGGTTGGATGCTCAAGTTTGGTAGGTTGTTCGGGGGCTGTCGGTGAAGCGTCGGAAACGGGCCCCAGTCTCGGGCCCGCAGTGGGGCGCGCCTGGGCTTTGCTGGATGACGTTCGGGGAATTTCCAGTCGACACGCAAACAGCCAGCTTTCAGCTTCGTCAGCTTCGTCAGCTTCATCATCGCCCGACAACCCTCAATCGCGTCGCAAACACAATCAATATACCCGACAAACCATCAGTTGAGCGCGAACCGACAGCTACCAGAGCTCAAGTCTCGACAATCGCAAAGATGGACGCCCTCCGCTCGGCGATCCAGCCGATTACGCACAACCTGCCAGGTCCGATCCGCGACCTCGGCGAGTCCATCATCGGCGACGCGTGCTACAAGACCCTCCTCCTCGACGTCGATCTCGAGAACACGGCCTGCGTCAAGCTGGCCGTCAGCAAGGGCCTGGGCATCGGCATCGTGGGCGCGTCGTCCATCGTCAAGGTGCCGCAGATCCTCAAGCTGGTGCAGTCGCAGTCGGCCAGCGGCGTGTCGTTCCTCTCGTACCTGCTCGAGACCAGCAGCTACCTCATCTCGCTCGTCTACAACGTCCGCAACGCGTTCCCCTTCAGCACCTACGGCGAGACCGCGCTCGTGCTGGGCCAGAATGTCATCATCACCGTGCTCGTGCTCAACTACAGCGGCCGGGCCAGCATGGCCGCCCTGTTCGTCGCCGCCCTCGCCGCGAGCATCGTGACGCTGTTTAGCGAGAGCCTCGTCGATATGCAGAACCTGAGGTACCTCCAGGCCGGCGCCGGCGCTCTCGGCGTGGCGAGCAAGGTGCCGCAGATTCTGGCGATCCTGCAGGAGGGCGGTACGGGGCAGTTGAGCGCGTTTACCGTGAGTTGACGACGTCCCTTGTTGTTCACGTATGAATTGAGTTGGGTGCTAATTGGATTGTCTGTGTGCAGGTTTTCAACTACCTCCTCGGCTCGCTCGCGCGCGTCTTTACGACCCTGCAAGAGGTGGACGACAAGCTGATCTTGTACGGTTTCATCGCCGGGTTTGGGCTGAACCTCGTGCTCGCGCTGCAGATGGTCTACTATTGGAACGCGCCGTCGGCCAAGGCCAAGGGAAAGCAAAAGGAGGTTCCCGTAGCCGCGCCGGTCTCGGCCACCACGACATCAACACCCAAGAGCAAAGGGCCGACGACTCGTCGCCGTGGTTAGGATATCTGTTTCAGTTTTGAGTCTTTTGACTTTGGCTTCAGCTCCCCGGGGGACACCGGCCGAGGTGTGGCGTTCTTTTTGCGGTTAATCTCACACTAATGCCTCTTTCTTTGTCACGAGTGCCTTGACTGCTATCGACTAGTTGCCCTGCCACGTTTTCTCTTCGGTCTTACTGATGTTCGAGACCGTTCGGCGACATTCCATCACAAGGTCATGTGTCACTCGGTCGAAAACCCACCGCCAATCATTCTGAACTTGACCGCTTCGAGCTCGGTGACCACCAAACAACTCCCACGCAAGTCCAGACTTCGCGGCTATCTGCAGTTCGGGAGTGACCCGGAAGATCCGACCGCAGTGGGTTCCTCTTGACGGAGCCACGGCGGTGCTGTGGATTTTTATTCTTTCAACCCCAACTTCCAGTATCTCCCCCCATTGCTGTGGGGACCCCTGATAATCCCCCACACGACCCCTGTCGTACGCTTGTGCAACGAAAAAAAAATCCGAACGAGCAGCAGCACCCGGTGGACGCGCGTTGATAAGGGTCCAGACACTCAAGGAGCGGTGAAGTTGCACCAAGAAAAAGACTTCAGTTCGGAACCCGGGAAAGTTTCATCTGGTCTTGAGAAATCTAACTTGTTGGCAGGCGCAATAATGCGCAAAGCAAGCTGAGATGAGATCTTCCTCGGGCATATGTCAAACGCGGGAACAACTCACCGCCAAGCAAGCCCTCATCGTGGATTTTGGAGAATGCGGCGAGTGCTCTCGTGATGCCAAGACAGTGCCACTCTGCGAATCGGCGTTCCTGGACCCGCCGGGTGCCCCTGGTGGCCAGCGGTCCCTGGTGTTCGCCAGACAGCCGGGCTCCGGGAAGATTGATAAATGGAGCCGCCCCTGCTCGCTGTGTTCTCATCCCGTCTCTCGATGGCGCCATCTGACGAGCTCACCCATATTGCATCAGAGAGGTTGCGTGCTTAGGCGTCATCCTATCCCCATCCGTTCCCCCCGCTTACTCACCGTTTATACACAGCTACACCAAGAAGATCGTGGGGGGTTTAAACTCTTTCTCTTCATCTTGATCTTCTTTGAGCAAAGTAGAGAACGCCACATCCAGTCGGGCCCATCCCGTTGCCAGCACTTGCACACCTTCACTTTTACCTAACTCGGCCTTGCCGCTCTTGGCATACATTAAGCCTTTCTAGCTTCCTGCAACCCGGCTTGCCACGAGAAACCCCCTTCCCGCTTGCAAGCATCATCCTGTAGGGCTGAAGGCCGAAGAACCACACGCCCACGGCACAGAAGAGCCAATACATCCACCCCTAGCACATCTACACACACACGAACAAGGCAGAGACACCAATGGCTCCAGACCTGAACTCGCTCCCGGCTTCGCCCCTTCCGGGCAAGCCCGTCAACCTCACACGTGGTGGCGCGGCCAATGGCGGGCCAGCCCCGGGCAAGAAGCAGCCCAACATCCTGTACATCATGGCGGACCAGCTCGCGGCGCCGCTGCTCAAGATGTACAACCCGGAGTCGCAGATCCTGACCCCCAACCTGGACGCGCTGGCGGCGCGGTCGGTGCAGTTCGACTCGGCGTACTGCCCGTCGCCGCTGTGCGCGCCGTCGCGCATGAGCATGATCACGGGCCTGCTGCCCATGAAGATCGGGGCCTTCGACAACGCGGCGCCCATCTCGAGCGACCTCCCCACCTACGCCCACTACCTGCGCCTGCAGGGCTACCACACCGTGCTCGCCGGCAAGATGCACTTCATCGGCGACCAGCTGCACGGCTACGAGTCCCGCCTCACCAGCGACATCTACCCGGGCGACTACGGCTGGGCCGTCAACTGGGACCAGCCCGACACCCGCCTCGAGTGGTACCACAACGCCAGCTCCATCTTGCAGGCTGGTGTCTGCGTGCGCAGCAACCAGCTCGACTATGACGAGGAGGTCATGTACCGCTCCACCCAGTTCTTGTATGACCACGTCCGCGAGGGACCCGGGGCGAGGCCCTTTTGCTTGACGGTAAGTTTGTTGATTGTTGTTCGTTGGTTTCTTTTTTGGGAAGGGGGCGGGTTGAAATACCTCCCTCCTGTCTTAATCGGGAAACTTGGGTTTCGTGATTGGTTAGGCTCAGACGCACGTTATGCGTGGGGGTTGCCTACTGCCGGCGCGGCTGGCGATGGTGGGTGTGTAGAACCGTAAACTGACTGGGCGGGGTGTTATCTTTAGGTTTCCTTGACGCACCCCCACGATCCGTACACCATCGAGGAAAAGTACTGGGACCTCTACGAGGGCGTCGATATCGACCTGCCCAAGGTCAAGATCCCCAAGGAGGAGCTCGACCCGCACAGCAAGCGTCTGATGCAGGTGTGCGACCTCTGGGACAATGACTTCACTGATGACCAGATTAAGCGGGCCAGGCGCGCTTACTATGGTGCCGTCAGCTACGTCGATGACTGCATCGGCAGGCTGTTGGACGTGCTTAAGAAGTGCAAGCTGGACGAAGACACTATCATCGTCTTCAGCGGCGACCACGGCGACATGCTTGGCGAGCGCGGCCTTTGGTAAGCCCACTCCCTTTTTCCCAAACAGTGAACCCCAACAGCCAGAAAAAAAAAGAAACTAACAGCCACCCAGGTACAAGATGAGCTACTTCGAGTCCTCAGTCCGGGTCCCGCTGCTGGTCTCCCACCCGGCGCAATTCACCCCGCGGCGCGTGACCTCCAACGTCTCAACCCTCGACATCCTGCCCACCATGTGCGACCTCGTCGGCACCAAGCCGGCCTCGTTCCTGCCCATGGACGGCGTGTCGCTGCTCCCCCACCTGCAGGACGCGCCGGAAGGCGGGCACGACGAGGTGTTCGCCGAGTACACGGGCGAGGGCACGGTGCGGCCGATGATGATGATCCGGCGCGGCAAGTGGAAGTACGTGACGTGCCCGGCGGACGGCGCGCAGCTGTACGACCTGCAGGCGGACCCGCTCGAGGTCGCCGACCTGGTCCGCAGCGGCGCCGTCGTCGCCGACGAGAAGACCAAGCGCGTCTTCGACGACTTCGAGGCCGAGGCCCGCGCCAAGTGGGACTTTGACGCCATCACCGCCCAGGTCCTCCACTCGCAGCGCCAGCGCCGCCTGGTCTGGTCCGCCCTGACCAAGGGCAAGTTTCAAAGCTGGGACTTTGATCCGGTGGATGATGGAAGGGAGAAGTAAGTCTTGCTCTTGTTCCCCCTTTTCCTTTTTATCTTGATTTCTTGTTGTTTTTTCTCGTTCCAAGGAGCTCGTGCTAACATCGAGGAAAGGTACATTCGCTCTCATATCCCGCTTGACGACCTCGAGCGTAGGGCGCGCTTCCCGGCGGTGGACGCGTTTGGGCGGGAGACTGGTTCGGTCATCGTTGCCGACCAAGCGGGCTCGCATGGGCAGTGATTCCTGCCGGAGTGGTCAAAAATTGTAGTTTGCATATTCTTGCACAGGCCTGATTTTATTTTGCCATGTTTTAACGGTCTCGGATGGTTTTCGGGGCATAACTTAGCGTGGCGCAGAGCGTTTTAGCACTTCCTTAACGATATATTAGCACTAGCAATAATTGCCCTGTGTTTCAACAACGGGTTGCAAAGTTCCTTTAGTTTGTTTAGTTAATTGCCCTCGAGATTTGTCCCCGTGTGAAGTTTGTCGGGTGGTCATTCGTACCAGGGTTAGGGTCATGCATAAGACGGCTTTCCCTTGAAGCTCGCCAATGTGCCCCGCGTCGCGACTTTCATCTTTGAAGACCATCCACGCATCGCGCAAACTCCGTAACCCGCGCGGTCGAAATTCTAACTTCCACGCCGAGAACACATCCAACACCCCCCTCTAGCAACACTCGCAAAAACGACACCGGAGCCATGACGTCGCTCAACATGAGCCCCGAGGAGCTGAAGCAGCTAGAGCTGTTGCGCAACCGGTTCGCCCAGCTCACTAACAATCTTGCGAGCTTGCGCGAAAGCGTCTCGAACTCCAATCCTCTTCCCACATAGTTAGTCCAAACTGCGCGCTCTCTGTTCATTCGTCTTGCTCACCATCCCCGTCCAGCGAGTCCCTCCAAGCTTCCGTAAACATCCTCCAGGCAAACATCCGCTCGATCCAAGAAATCGCGACGGAGAACGCCGGCATGTTCCAGCGCCTCGCCATCCACCCCTCGACCAACTTCCCCGGCCGCACGCACGAGCACATCCTCACCCAACTACTACGCAAGAAGCTCGAGCCGGGCGTCGAGAGCTGGGTGGAGGAGGCCCGCGCCACCGCGCGCGGGGTCGGCGTGGACGCGAGCAAGCTGGCCGGCGGCGTGCACCGGCGGGGCGAGCACGACTACGACGACGAGGGCACGTACGGCATGGACGAGGACGACGACGCGCCCCAGGACCCCTTCAGCGAGCAGTGGGCCGACATGCTGGATAACTTCCAGCAGACCCTGCAGCAGTACGTCACGGTGCAGGTCAAGAAGAAGTACACGGCCGAGGAGAGGGCGGCCGGCATCGAGAATGTGCGGACGGGGTTGCGGCAGGCGCTGGAGGAGAGCGACGAGGAAGATGAAGATGAGGAGGAGGAGGAGGAGGAGGAGGAGGAAGAAGAGACCACCGCTGCCGCAGGTGACGCCGGGGGTCTGACTGCTGGACCCGGGGGCCCTGCGGCGGCGGGCGGGACGACGCTGGCGGTGATCGAGCCGGAGCACATCTTCTACTTGCAAGCCCAGGGCAACCTACAGCTTCCCGGGAATGTCTCGATCGAGTCGAAGCGCATCCAAGCGGCGCCAACTCGGCGAGTGGCGCCGCCGCGGTGAATGCGGCAAGCACGCGGAGGTCGATGGTCCGGCCCTCATGAGCGCAGTCCCAATAATACAGAACTTCGACGGGTGGCTCGCTAAAGAATATCTTCCGCCACCGATGCTCCATCTACGATCAAGGGTCAGGTGGTGGGATTCAGAGGACACTAGACGCATGTGAAGGAAAGACCTCGGGTGAGCACATCCTTCGGTCACCTATTTCTGGGTTGTGCAATCAATGGCTAACAACTAAGGGAAGGCGATGTGCGGGAGGTTTGTTAGGTTAGCTGAAGAGACACCAGCTCCTTAGCCCCCCTCTCCCCCTCGCGTCCCTTTGATTATTACCGATACAGCGGAATCATCACCACGGAACACAACGCGAGTTTGGGCATGATGGATGCGTTACGGGCCCCTTGGAGGTGTTGACGTCATTAATAGTCGATAATTGCAGCTAGCAGGGGCGTGGTGTTGGCAAGGTCGTCTCGTCTGAATCACTCATGTCTCTACTGCCGACGTCTTAGGATGTTATCGTTGGAACCCCAAATTCTCGAGTTCCATCCGCATGCTCTACTGATGTTGACTTACTTGATATCGGAAATGGGCACGGCAACGGACAGAGTAGCAAACAATCATACCGGCCGTTCCAACGAAATCTCTATTCGTTAGGCGCGCGACGGCCGTATTAACACGGCGGTGTCGCGCAGCGCTATGCTGGGCGCAAACGTGCGAACCGTCTGTATTCATGACTCTATCATCTCGTCATGAGCACGCAGTTCACGATCCCATGATTCACCTTGGTAGGTACTACATACCTAGCTTAAAGGTACAAGTAACCTCTTCCCCTCCCACGATAGGTATTACCAAGCCCTGTCTTTCTCGAACTCCAACACTCTTAATCATACATTGATTATCCTGAGTAAACTTGAAATGGCCAACCCATTGCGACTATTCCAAGCGTGGCTGGGATCTGGGATTAGCAACGACCCAGGTGATACACCCTTGAGCCACACGTCAAGCCAGCAAGAGGCGCCGCCCTATTGTCAAAGCTCCAGGTTGAGAATGCCGCCGAAACCCACCAAGCCATTCAACGACGACACGCTCTCAATCATCCATGCCACTGTCGGTATCGCTGCCGCCGACGGCGGGCCGGTCGCCGCCAGAGCAGTGGCCGCCGTCATCGACCATGTCGCCCATTGTGTTGCTTCGGTACCCGCCGCCGATGCACAGGTTACTGCGAATGTGATAAGTAATATTATCACCAACTATGTCACCGCGGCTGAAAAGGAGCCGGGGCTTTCCATAGCTGCCATCTACGAGCAGGCTCGTGACTGCGTACCAGAGTCGTCCATACAGGGCGTTTCAAACGGCCTTCCTGAGGCACTCGGAAACATTCGCCGCGCTCTATCTTATATCGACACTCGGCTGCCGGACAGCAACCTTGCTGCCGCTACAATCTACGCCGTCGCCCGGGTTACGAACTCGGTTGCGAGAATATCTATGCGCGGTTGCGGGCGGGATGTTGCTGACACATGGTCCGACGCCGCCCGCAGAACAGTCATCATGCTCAGTGACGGCGTCAGGACCGGCTCCAGCACTCGAGCACTCCCCGACCGTGCTGGCGGCGGATGCTCAAGCGCCGACACGGGCACCGGGACCTGCGAAGCGGTGCTGCAGACGGCCAAAATACAGGCGGCTATTGGTGCGCTCAGCAACTACGGCGAGAACGCGCATGCTTTGGTGGCATTGAATGCAATTGATGCCGTAGCTGCCAAAGATCATCTTCCCCACGCCGGGGCGGGATTGAGCGGTGTTACCAGGTGTACTTGCAACAAAAGCCTCGGAAGTTGCAAGGCTTTATTGCAGGCGAACCGGCTTCGGGCGGCTCTTTCCGCTCTCTTGGCCTACAACACCAACGTCGGCAATTACGAAGTAGTCGGCGGACTTTCAGCTGTGGCCACCGCCGCCGGCCTCCAACCTCCGCTCGAGGACAACGAAGTACCATACCCGAGATTGTGGTTGCCGCCCAGACCAGTAGAGCAGGGCCGTTCCTCCCTTGGGTATCCGCACGAGTAGATACCTACCTTACCTTCCTCCTCGTCTCGACAACCGAAGAGAAGGAACGAAAGAGGGAAAAGGAAGAGAGAAGAAAAACGGGAAAGAGAAGAAGAGAGAAAGGGAAAGAGAAGAAGAGAGAAAGGGAAAGAGAAGAAGAGAGAAAGGGAAAGAGAAGGAATAAGCGAAGGAAAGGGGGAAAGGAGTAGTATGAGACGGAATAACAGAAGGGAAAGAAGAATAAGAAAAGGAACAAGCGAAGGAAAGGGGGAAAGAGCAAGAGAAGGCAGAGGAGAAGGAACAAGAGAATAGAAAAGACCCAGGCAAAGAGAGAGGGAAATAACGAAAAAATAGAGAGGAATAAAAAACGGATTACGGACCTGCCGTATCTGCCTGCCTTGTCGGGAGCGACAATATTGGAAGCTGTGACATGGAGGTCACTGAGTAAAGGAGCACCTTCCATACCGTACATAGGGCAAATTCGCAGCCCTTCAAAAGTCTCGCGTTTCCCACCGACTGCTCGTGAAACCAACTCCAACAAAAAAAACTTCCAACAACGCTCCAGCACCAAAATCACCAAAGCTGGAAACACCAAAGTCATAACAACAGCAGAAGCAGCAGCATCACCACTACCACCATTGACGCCACCTATAACCACCATCAACACAACCACCACCGACACAACCACCACCGAGGCACCGACACTGGCGCCGCCACTACCAGAGCAGCAGCAAGCAGCAACAGAAAGCAGCAACAGAAAGCAGCAACAGCAAGCAGCAACAGCAAGCAGCAACAGAAAGCAGCAACAGCAAGCAGCAACAGCAAGCAGCAACAACACCAGAAGCAGCACCACCAACACACTCACCACCACCCGTGCTCGACCACCCTCACCACCAGCACCACGACGTCCGGCGCTTTGTGGGCCGTGGGCTGTGTGGTGGGGGTGGCAAGCTAGCCTCCCCCCGGCCATTGAGGGCTGGTAGCACCAACAACAGCCATGCCCGACGCATGGTGGGGTGCGAGGTTTGCGGTGGATGTGCTGCCTGGGCGTCCTCCTCGCCATCGACAGCTGGTGGCACCAGCGCCGCCAACTGGCCAGGGCGCTACGCGCAGAGGAGGATGCCCACGGGACGGAGAGGCAGGCCTGCCGAAGTGGAGGCTGAGGCTCGCCGGGCGGAGGGGCAGAGTCGTGTCGCCCTAGAGGAGATGCGAGGGGAGCTGCAAGAGGAGCTTCGGGACTCCCACAACAGGGAGGAAGATGCCCGGCGGGCCTTGGCGGCCGCGATTGATGGGATGGAGAGGGCAGCGAGGCGGTGGGAGGTGTTATGGGGTGTGTGATTTGCGGTGGTGGCGAGCTTCGCCCTCGCCCTACATGCTTGGTGGCACCAGCACCACCAACTAGCCAGAGCCCCGCGTGCGGAGGACGCCCGCGCCGCGGAAGCGACGTCCCGCGGAGCGGAGCGGCTGGCCCACCGGGCGGAGGCGGGGGTCCGCGGGCAACTGGCGGCGGCCCTCGAGGAGGCGGCGGCGTCTTCGCGGCGGGAGGCCGAGGCTCGCGTCGCCATAGCGGAGGGCGTGGAGCAACTGGAGAGCCTCCGCCGCGAGAGGGAGGACGCCCGGCGGGCCGCTGCGGCGGCAACTGAGGGGATGGAGAGGGCGGTGAGGGGGTGGGAGAGGCTGCGCGGTGAGGTGCGCCGCCGCCTGGGTGCCGCGGGAGAAGATCGGGAGGACGAGTAAAGTTTTTCTTTTTAAGGAGGCGGCTCCTTTTTTTCTTTTTCTAAAGAAAGAAATGAATAGAAGTAATGGGGGGGGCCTAAAGTGCCCAAAAAACTATAATTGCTTTACTCACAACCCCATGCCTAACCTAACGCCCGTAAACTCTATACGGGCGGCTTTTTGAAGGTACTGGACTGGTAGGTAGGTAGCAACAACCTATGTCATGCGTCTTCTATTCTTACACTCCCATTTAGTTGAACATCCTCGGAGAAGCGTTTAGTTGGTGTCTTGTTCTCTGTTTGTTACCGGATAATATGAGGTAGGTAACTGACTACACCCCGACGCCCCATACAATCCCTGGATACCTACGTACCTATCTTTCCCAGGATTCCACATCTGGTCCAAGCACGTAGCCCAAGCTCCCTAAGATGCAGCCCGCTTACTTCTTACAGCTGTAGCTCTCCCTCTTCCTTACTGGATTGACCAACCACCTTTTGACTCAGCCTGTACTCTGAATACCCTTATTTCTGTGTCTTGCGTATCAAATGGTAACTGTGACGTAAGTTCGCTTGACCTCAGCGCAAAGACCTGACGAAGACGCCGTGTTGGACTGTTTATGCGTGAGGAGGGAGGAGACCACTTTGGTCCTCCTACGCCCTTGCTTCGAATATATCCGTCAGCCCCTTGAGTTTGGCCCCATCAGTCTGAACGATTCGACCTCCTCGCGCAACTTTCCATTACTGAATTACGCCGTCGTCAGCTGGCCGGAGTACGCTCGACTTCACCAGAGACCGTGGCGGACATCTTTGATTTCAGTGGTCCCTTTTGCCTTGAGGGGTCGAAGCTGTTCAAGTATTAGTGGCTATCTTACCGCTCCGGCTGAGGAGACAAAAGAGAAACCGGAATCGCTTTCCCTCCTTCACATGGCATCGTACTCCGGCATTGTGGCACTAGCTCGAAAGGTCCTTCACGACCGAGACTAGAAAGGTATGCCTACGAGTGGGAACTGCGGGCACTTCAATATCATCTTCTCAGAAACGAGCAGAGAATATAGAAACTGCAACGAAAGAACGAAGGAATTCTAAAGAATATCGAATAAGGGCTGCATCCATAGATCCCACGCGCTCTGCGGCTGGCGGCCGAGAAATCTCGCTCTCCTGAAGGTCTGGTGTCTGTCTGTTCTATTTACCTCGGTGTTACTGAGCCCCCTGAGGACTGCTTAGCTCTTCGCCTCGCCTCTACAAGAGTGATTTTCCTTCTCGTCTCCTAGATTACTTTCTTCAAATCTAACTCAGTCTCTCGCCTCCCGTTGTTCGCTGTGGTGGGCTCCTTGTTAGCAGGTTATGACAGCCAACTCCGGCTGCCGAAAGCAACCTAAGACGGCCCGCCCGGCTAGCTTAGTTGGAAGAGCGTGAGGCTTTTAACAAAGGAGACCTCAAGGTCGGGGGTTCGAGCCCCCCGCCGGGCGTTTTTGCTTTTTCCTTTGTTTTTTCACTTGGCTCTAATCATAACCATAACGCTTAGGATCAGGTAAATCCTCGTTGGGAATCTTTTTTCCCCAACACATCCCCTAGAGATACAGAGGTTGCGGCTAAAAGTAGATACCCTCTTCCAAGTATGTACCTTCGCTAAGTCAGCAAAGTGCGACATTATTTTTAGAAGCGATCCATACTGTGTTTGTCATCCACTAACTGAGCTCAGATTTAGCGGGGGATGCGCTAAACTTCAGGGTACTAGTCTCTGAAGCTTTAGCGGCTAACACGCTGAAGCTTCAAAGTTTATACGCACAAAGGCGCACGGTAAGCACGGGCCTTCGCAACCGAGGTTAGGGTGTTACTGTTCACTTTTGGCCGCAACCTCTATACGGATCATACATAGGGTGTGAGGTGAGGTACAGAGCTCCATAGGTACCGAGGTAGGGAGTTGCTTCTCCCTTTCTTGGCAGAGGCCACCAGCAATGGAGAAATGCAAGACAAGAACTTAGTGACGAGCGAGCAATACTGATCAGGTTCAATAGCACTCACTGCAAATATCACTCAATTGTTCGAATCTAAAGCTGAGGAAAAAATAAGAAAAAAGGGGAGCCGTACACAACAACGGAAATTGTTGAGGGCAGCTTTCACGTAGTACATACAGCTGTTATCGTTCAAGTATGGAAAAGAAATCTTGTAAATATTCCAGCCAGTTTTCCCGCCGCCCTCCTACCCGTAAACCCCCGCGTCTTCTAGGCCTCCGACGTCTTTTCAGCATCTTGCGTTTTCAAGCCTGGCAACGTGCCATCCTCAACCCCCTTCTGCTTCCCACGGCGGCCTTTGACCCTCTTCTCTCCTTTGGGCTTCTTCGACTTCGCCCGAGTAGCGGTCGGAGACCGCGCTGTGTTGAGCCCCGAGTAGAGGCATGGGGGATGCAAAAAGTCGAGGAAAGGCCCTGACGTCCGCCTTGTTGCCGGCGGTGGTTGGGTCTCGGTGCTGGCGGCGCCCGGGCCGTTTGCGTCTTGGGAGCGCGACGGCTCACCGCTAGGCTTGCTGCCATCGAGCTGCGGTTCTTGGACGGAAACACCCCCCTCGACTCCAAGCTTAGGGGCTTCGAATGGTTCAGCGTTGAGGAGAGCTTCTAGCCCGGGGACATTGCGAAGGTCGATGAAAACTTTAATGATGGGCCTCCTGTATGGGGAATAAGGAGTTAGGATTTGGACGAACACAGCGCCATGTACAAGTTCATCCCCTGATATGTAACGAAATAGACGGGGCAGGGGTGGGCTACTTGGGGTCCGGTCCTGTACTACCCTCGTCCCCGGGTACTACCGGCTGCGTTTGCTCTTCGAGGTGAAAGGATATGTTGGGGCGCTGGTTGGGGGGCTTGCTCTTTTTCAGGGGCTTTAGGGGCTTTAGGGGCTGGCGGGAGCTTTCCATCAAGATAGAAAGACGACACGGAGGACAAACCCACGTGTCATCGCAATCTTCCGAAGATGGCACCATGGCAATGGCCGTTGTTGGGGTATTCTGGAATAGAACGCCAAACGGTCATTCGGCCGGGGCAGACGAAAATGGCCGTCTTCAGGGGAAGATAAGTGAATGAAGTTGGGGGGGGATTACAGCTTATGGTTACGAAGTCTGAATTGGATGCAGAGATGGGATCAAGAGCTCATGCAGCTGGTCGTTGGTTGCTAGACGTTTTGTCTTTGTCTTGTATATTGAGCCAATGTGTGTACCCGGCGTTTGCTCTGATTGCTGTCCATCCAGTCGCTGACAGGCGGTTCTCGACTCATACATGCACCACATTTTGAAATGCTCAAAAGAAAGATTGTGGGAAGAAAGATGAGCAACCAAGCAAAGGGAACATTGCGAAGAGGCGCTCGACATTTGGCGAGCGGTAATCTCAATGGGGAGATGGTGAATCGAACAAGAGACTCGATACCATGTAAGAAACCCACCATCCATCACTCTAACCCCGGTCTCTCATGTCTCCCCAATTCAACTTCCCTTCGGTGAATATTAGGGGTCGTCGTTTGGAAATATTATGGCTGCGAATTGTGGGCGGGAAACAGCTTGGGTACGTACTACATATGGTGACAGACAAGGGCAGGGAGAATCGAAGATAATGCACTCAATGCAACATGAGAGCTGTCAACTCTGCTGGGCTATCCGCGACGCATGTTGGACTGTGAAATGTGTACCCACGTACCTTGGCTCCCTCCCCAAAGATTTAAATACAGATCTGTAAACCGATGGAACGTTGAAGTGTGGAGGGCCCATGCACCCCCCACAGTTTTAATTTGCGTCGGGCTGCACCTGCCATGGAACCTGAGCGTGTTGGTGCTGGTGCCTTGCCGGAAGCCGGGACGAGATCCTGGCAAACGCTGCACGGGACAGGCACAGCGGCACCGCAGCATCTCATCAGCTTATCCGCCGCCTCAAATCCTTCAGCCCGAAACAAAACTGACTCGACGACATGGTTGATTTACTCAGCGTGGCGCCGTGCCAGATTGAACAACGTTAAGGTACTCTGGGTTTACTTCCAACATGCACGGTTTGATGGTCAAAATGCAATGTTCAAATTATTTTGGCTCGGTCTTCAATGGACCCCTCCACGACAAATCCGACCGTTGATGCCCCTCGACGATCTATACCGAAACGCACTTCCGGGCCACCCAAATGACGCCTGGGGCGTTTCAAAAAGCCCAGAGGGGTGCTGCCGGGGATTTCAGAATCCTCCCTGAACCTCCCTTTGCCGTTATTCGCCCAATCTCCGCTGCAGTTGCCGTTGAGACTTCCCAAGGGGGAGTCCACGCGGCGACCATCCCTTTAACGCTTGGAACAGTTTTAGCGGGGCGCTAAGGCTACCTGGGTACAATCAGCCACATTATTTTGGTGAAATTGTGGCGCCCAACAGGGGGGATTTTGGTGTTGTCGAGGGTCGACAAATGTATCACCACCAAACGACAATGTACTGTGGGTACGGACTTGGCGCATCTACAGCTTCCAATTGGTGGCCCCGCTAAAGCTGTTCCAAGCCTGCGTTAAAGGGATGAAGATCTCCGCCCCAAGTTGGAATGGGTGCTGGGGCTCCCTCATTACCAAGCACCCAAGGTATTTGCTTGCTGCTGGCAGCCGGTTGCGAACTCTCCTTTCCGGGTTGTCAGTCCGTTTCTTCTCTTCGACACACGCTCCTTTCTTGCCTCCCTTTGTTTGATATTGGCTCGGCGTAGTCATAGAATATCCAAATCCTACAGCATCTCCCCAGAGTATATACCTGGCATCCCCTATCCTTCCCATTTTACGACATTGCGGTCCTGTGGATTAGCGGTCCTGTGGATTAGCGGGGGCCAACTCCGAACTCGACGCCGCGTTTGAGGCGCAGGGTCTCAGATGAGATTCTGCCTCTACGGCGTGGGCGACCCCTTTGGAACCCGTTTTCCGACCCAAACCGCCAAACCGCCGTTCTCACCAAAGCCTCCAACTTGGGATTCCAGAAAAACAAACTCCGATGCCATAAACCACAACCCACCGCCACCCAACCGGTTCGCGCTCCCTCCCCGCCGAGCCGACGCAGCAGAAACAAGAAACACACCATGATAAGCCCGGGCCACCGGCGCGGGACGTCGAGCTCGTCGTCCATACAGAGCCTGCTCCGGCCGCGGCAGTCGTGGCTGCGGTTCCTGCGGCCGCTGCTGCCGAGCTTCGTGGCGGACGCCGTGTTCCCGGACCACCACCGGCCGGCGGCGCCGTGGCGGGTGCATGCGACGTCGTACCTGGACGGGCTGCGCGGCGTGGCCGCCGTGCTGGTCTTCTTCTGCCACTACACCGAGAACAACTTCCGGGCGCTGACGCCGTCGTACGGCCTCGGGCTCGAGCCCGACCCGGCCCTCCGCCGCGTCGCCAGCGCCGACGCCTGGGTCCAGCTGCCCTTCCTCCGCGTCCTCTTCTCCGGCCGCCCCATGGTCCACATCTTCTTCGTCATCTCGGGCTTCGTCCTGTCGTACAAGCCCGTCCGCGCCCTCCACGCCCGCGACACCGACCGCTGCTACGCCGCCCTGGCGTCCTCCACCTTCCGCCGCGCCTTCCGCCTGTTCGGGCCCTGCGTCGTCTCGACCTTCATGGTCATGTGCCTGCGCCAGATGGGCTACCTGACCCCCGCCAAGGAGACGCTCGCGGAAGAGTTCTGGAAGTGGAAGGACGCCGTCTTCCACCAGATCACCTGGCCGTGGGCCTGGGACCGCGACCTGCTGCCGGCCTACGACATCCACCTGTGGACGATCCCCATCGAGTTCGCCCACTCCATGCTGCTGTTCATGGTGCTGCTGATGCTGTCGCGCGTGCGGCTGCGCGTGCGCATGGCCACCGTCTTCGGCCTGATGGGCTACTGCCTGGCCTGCGGCAAGTGGGCCGCGTTCGAGTTCCTCGCGGGCCTGTTCCTCGCCGAGGTGTACGTGCTGCGCGCGGCGAGGGCCAAGGAGTGGGGAGGAGGGGGAGGACCCGGACGGGCACCGCGCGCGGGGATCGACCAACTGGCCGCTCAAGATCTTCCACACCTGCCTCGTGCTGCTGGCGCTGTTCATCGCGGGCTGGCCGAACCGCGACGCCGAGGAGACGCCCGGCATCCGCTACCTCCTCGACCAGACGCCGTTCCCCTTCGCCACCATGGACCGCCTGGCGCCGCAGAAGTTTTGGTTCGGCCTGTCGGCGGTGGCCATGGTGTGGGCGGTCGGGGAGCTGGGCTTCCTGCGGCGCTTCTTCGAGAGCCCCTTCGCCCAGTACTGCGGCCGCATCAGCTATGCCGTGTATATCTGCCACGGGCCCGTCGAGGGGCTGTTTAAGGAGCGGCTGATCGGGCATCCGCCGATTCCGGCTAGCGGGGAGCCCGGCGCGCCGGACTATGAGCCGGCCCTGCCCGCGATGGGGATCAAGGGGCTTATCGGGGACGAGACCACGGCGCAGGTCACGATTGGTTGGATTTTGGGCATGTGGCTCCTCGGGCCCTTCGTGATTTGGGCGGCCGACCTGTTTTGGCGGGGTGTTGACAGCCAGATAGTTACTCTGGCGAGGAAGTTGGAAACGGCGTGTTTAGACGATACGGAACCGAGTCCCAGGATTCAGGGGTATTCGGTAGCGGCATGACATTGAGTGTCTGTCTGTCTTTGAGTTTTGGAGTACTTGAGTTTGTATTACTGGACATTAGCGGGCTTGTATACCCAGGTCATAGAAGCATATATAGCATATAGCTGTAATATTGTATCATATTCCTCAGGCTTATGCCAAGGTTGCTGCATCCGGGCAAAGCTCCCGTCCCTCCTGGAGGTTTGTTGACTGACGATACCTTCCTCCGTAGGTAGTAAATAATATACGGCGTGCCCTGAGCTTCATGCACCTCGGGGTCGGCTTACGCCCTAAATTGGGCACCCCACACAGCCCCGACGCGATTGTTAGGCTGCAACGACCCAAGTGATGAGCATCCCGTTCCGTCATTATTTTCCCGCTGAGCGAACAACGAGCTGAACCATGGATATTGGCAATAACAACGTTGCCAGCAAAATGGCTTCAAGCAATGATATCCTTGAAGAGGAGCCGCCGATGCGCACCATCGACTTCTCCGACAAGCCGGCGGTGATGCAAGTCTCGGCGGCGCTACGTCGTTTATGGCTCATCGACCCGGACAGTCTGGAAGTCGGCGACCACCAGGACAAATCCCAACTCCAGTCTGCTTTCCGCAACGTTATGCACAACGTTGGTAACTGGATCGCGGAGACGCCGCCAAGCGAGCGCTGGAATGACGAGGTGTGGAAAGCGCGGACGGAATACAAGCTACTCGATCCCCCGGAGGGCTCGCAGGCCGAAATCGACAGCAGCGAGGGCGACCAAGGGCCCCTTTTTAGCCCCTTCAGGCGGGCCATCTACGGCGTGTACGATCACGTCTTCTGGGACGTGTACAACTCCCTGAAGGAAGAGACAGATGTCGGCATCGGCGAGTTCGAGCCGCCTGCTACCGTGGTCATGGTTCTAACCTTCGCGGAGGACGGCTCTTCTGAGGTCCCCCACTTCTTTCCTACAGATACCTTTGTGTACCCGGTGTGGATTGCGCCCGGCACAACACTCACCTTTTCGGTTGATGGGAAAGAGGAGACTCTGACCCCTGAAGGTCAGACCTGGCGATATTCACTCTGGTTTCGGGCGGGGAAGATAGCTACCGCTACGCCAAAGAGCGAAACGGAAGAAAGACGCGGCAAGGTCGCGGCCGTTATGGTGATGGGCCAATGCGCGCCGCGGCTTCTGCCAACTATTCCGCTCGAAGACCACACCATTGGAGCCCACCGCCGGAATTTGACGGATGCGCAACCGTGGGCGAAGGACGGGAAGGGGGAGATCGATCCGGGCCGCCCCCAGACGTGGCCAGAGGCGGACCATCTAGCCAGAGCCATATTTCTCAAGGCAGGCGATGCTGTTGACCGATGTGTGTTCGATGAAGAGTTTGCCGACAGCGATAAGGGAGAGGAGCAGTCGGATGGTCAACTCACAGACGTGACCACTCCGAATGAGCAGCCGCCCGATGCTCCTCTGTACTCACCACTCCCCGCCGGTTATAACATCAGAATTTTGGTCCTCGAACCGGCCCCGGCCGCGGAAGACGAGCTTCAGACCCGACTGGAGGTGGTTTCACTCGACGACAAACCGAGGTTCGAGGCCATCTCCTACACCTGGGGCCACCCGTCGGACATGACAATGCTGAACTGCAACGGCTCGACTGTCAAAATGCCGCGGAACCTCGAGAGTGCCCTCCGGAGACTGCGCTACACGGACCGACCTCGCCATGTGTGGGCCGATTCCGTGTGCATCAACCAGCAGGATATCCCCGAGCGTGGCCAGCAAGTATCCATCATGCGCAACATCTACCTCAGTTCCGAGCGTGTGCTCGTTTGGCTTGGGCTAGACGAGCATGATGAAGCAGCAACCGCGTTCGCTGCCGTCTGCGACATTGTTCGGGCGTGGCGCCCCGAGGGGGATAGAGTGGGATTTGAGGGTTATTCCAGCCTTTTGGAGCCCATGGAGGACGATGACCTCGCTTCCATCCGGACGGCCGTGGATGAGAAGGCATGGGCGGCCCTCCGTACCTTGTTCGAGTTGAACTACTTCCGGCGGTTCTGGATCATCCAAGAACTGGCCCTCGGTAGTTCGGCCGTCGTTTTCTGGGGGCAGCACCGCATATCCTGGGGTCTGATCGGAATTTGCGCGGCGTGGATGATGAGTAGCGGGTGGTACTTCAGCCGCGGAGAGCCCATCACGGCCGCCTACAACACCTTTCTCATCTACGTGCTGCCGCTCGCCAAGCGCAGCGGGATCTCTCCCTTCTCCAAGCTCGACCTGTCAGTCGTCCTGGGCACCACCATGGGCCGCTTTGACTCGACCGACGCGCGGGACCGCATCTACGCGCTCTTGGGCATGCCGTTCGCGGGCAACGACCCCGAAGCCGAGCTGCTCCTCAAGCCCGACTATAGCCAAGACCTCCGGTCGGTGTACATCCAAGGCGCGCAACGCATCCTCGAGCAGGACAAGCACCTGCGGATCCTCAGCGCCGTGCAGCACGGCGCGGAGCTCGACCTAACCTACCCCTCATGGGTGCCCAAGTGGCACGAACCGCTCCCAGCCGAGCCGCTCGGCCTGCGCGACGAGCAAGGGTACTACGCCAACGGCGGCGAGCTGTTCTGCCCGACCGCAGCCACCTTTTCCTCCCCCTCCAGCAACGACGACAACACCAACACCACCACCACCAACACCCACCATTCACTAACCCTCCCCGGCCTAGTCTGCAGCACCATCACCTCGACCAGCGCCCCCCTCGAAAGAGGCAACCTCCACCTCGGCGCCCTCCCCCCCGGCCCGCACCGCACCGCCCTCTCAACCCTCTTCGCATCCCTCAACTCAGAACAGGCCCAGGTCCGCGCCTCCTGGAGCGCGACCCTCGAGAAATTCACCCTCTTCGGCTTCGCCGACCCGGCCGTCCAAGCGGCCCACCACAGCAGCAACTCCAACGCGCGCGCCGTCGCCGTCACGGGCCAGCCCGGAAAGTACGGCATGCGCGCGGCGGCGGAGTCGCTCGACGGCGAGCGCGCGCAGACGGATCACCTAGGTGAGTTTCTGCTGTACTGGCGCGAGCGGGCCGGGTGGCGGGGTGGGGAGTTGCGGCATCCTGAGATGGGTATGTTTTGGCGCGTGTTGGAGGAGAGTGGGTCGGTGTACATGCGGGAGCGGGCGCTGTGCGCGGTGAATGCGCTGGCGGGGAGGCGGGTGTTTGTGATGGAGGATGGGCGGGAGGGGTTGGGCCCGGCGGCGGCGAGGGAGGGGGATGTGGTGGTTGTTTTGTTTGGGGGGGTGGTGCCGTTTGTGTTGAGGCCGTGTGAAGGGGAGGAGGGTGGGGGGAGGTTTTGGAGGCTGGTGGGGGAGTGTTTTGTGCCGGGGCTGATGCAGGGTGAGGCGGTTGAGCGGGCTGGGCTGCTTGCGGAGGGGACGTTTGATCGGGATGAGGGCGGTGCGTTGAGGCTTACGCCGACGCCGCAGGATGAGGAAGACCCGCGGTTGACGAGGAAGGTGGGGGAGCACGGTATTGTTGCGTTTGAGATTCGTTGAGATTAAGGTCGGTACCGACGATTACTCTCCCCTTCGTCACTTCCCAGGCGAGTTTCTGACCCCGTCGGCCTTCGGTGATACTCGGAGCCCGGCCGGTGCTAAGCCGGGGGAGGAGTCGGTGTAACATCGGATCGGGTCAGCCCCGGGGTCAGCAGCGGGGCTCCGCTCTTCGCTCTTCGGCGCGGGGGTGCATGATAAACAGTTCAACATCCCTAATCGACCTCAATTGACTACATGTTAAACGGACCCGTCTGACAAACAACGAAGCGAAGTACGACAAAAATAAAAGCTCGTGTCATTGCGGAGTCCTATATTGAATGCTTTGGGAAGATCAGCAGCATTGCAGCCCTTCAAGGTTAGTCAATCGCTCCTTGTTTCCGTCCCCGGACGCGCTAAGAAAGTTGGCTTTCACCGCGGAGGTCTCTGACGCAGTTCCCCCGTATGCAGCCTGGAAATGGATTGACGGGTAGTCATGTGACCACGCGTCTCTGAGTCGCTTGGTGAATTGAATGCCCTGGCACCTCAGGCCGAAGTGACTCACGTCACTCAACAGGACAGTCACAGAGCTGGGAAAACAGGTATAATTTCAAGGCCACCGCTACTTGGGAGGACAGAAGCCTCAGGTCTCTTTCCCTTTTCTTCTTGGGTATCTCTTTTTCGTCTGGCCATCTCATTGGCCCATCCCACCCCTTCTTCTTCCAGTCTTACATGACCCGAACTCCGTCTTCGGGCACGGCACAGGACGGGAAACCAAAAAGGTGCACTGCTGCTGCCGCTGGAAGCCGTCGCGACCCGATAATACCAATCGATCACTTGTTGAGTCTGGGTGTAACTGAACTCGAGACAACAAGTTCCTAAATTCCGACCTCGGCTGACATCTTTACGATTGGCATACACTCTAAGACTCTATACAACACAACTCGCTTTTTAGTTGAGCGGCATCAGAAAAAAAGACAGTAATCATGGAAGCCAGTTGCCAATGTGGAGCTGTTAGCTTCAAGACACCGACCGAGAAGCCCCTGGCATTGTACATCTGCCACTGCCACGACTGCCAGCGGCAGGCGAGCTCGGCGTTTGGCGCGTCGGCCATCTTCCCCAGGTTCGAGTTGCCGGACGCCGAGTTGCTGAGCTGCTACAAGTAAGTATGTCACGATCTCCCTCTTGCAGTGGGGTCCTAACAGGTTGCCTTGATAGGCGAGCCACTTCCATGGGACAGACAATGTTCTGGTAAGTGAGAACCAAAAGAAAGAGAGAAGCCAGGGACCAAACTGGGCTCTGACTCGGCTCGACGCGCAGTTACTTTTGCAAGCAATGCGGGACTCGACTGCTTCACACAACGCCTGTAAGTGTAAACACCACGTCGAACTCACCCTCGCCCAACTCGTATTGACCTTGGCTCCGTTGTTAAAGGGCAAGAACGTCGTCGCCGTCAAGGGAGGCTGCATTGAAGGCTTGGACTGGAAAACGGCCATCCATATCTGGTAAGCGTTCGTCGTGCTCTGCTGCTTCTACCCTTTTGCCTGCCGTCCAGTCAATTGACCCCTTCCCTCCCGATAGGACCAAGTCGGCCATGGTCCCCATTCCAGAGGGGTCCGAGACGTACTCGGAGGAGTCGGAGCTCACCGAGTACAGCGATGGGAGCTCGGGGTCGCTTGACAAGCCGACTGGGCTGGTAGGTTAGGCGTCGAACAACGACGCAGCTGGCTATCACGTTAGCGCAGGTCCTACCGTGTTTGTTGGATGGGCTCAAAGTAAGGTGGTATATAAAAGCAAGGGACGTGGTGAGTTGGTGAGTGATCAAGGCGTAAAAACCGGGTGTCTGTAGATTCGAGCATTTTCGAGGCCAGTGGGCCGGTATGTGTTCAGTCATTCCTTGCAATAGTAATTCAGGACGCGTCAAGCTGCTATTTCCGTCGATTTAGGGTTAGACTCGTTGCATTGTAGACAAACTAGGCGGTGACTCACAATCGACGACTTCGTTCGCTTTGCGAGGTGAGAAGCACAATATCTGGCGTTGCACGACCAGCCACTGTGACACGGCTCAAACCTGGGCTACTCTTTTGTCGACCTAGATGTTATACCACATGTCCATATCGAGAAGAACCGCATATAACGGGACAAGCTCATCGAGTTAGACCCTATTCCCTATTTCTCAGTTCCCGTAATTCGTTCTCATCTGCATGCACGAAGCAATATACCTGACTGCCGGAAAGCACACTCCCTGGCATCTCCTACCTCCCAACCCACTGCCGAAATCGCCGACTTCCATGTCTCGACAATATCGGCGCCATCTAACGTCTCGTGTTCAATGATGGTCGAAGTTGGTGTCGGCTGGCTGGTAACATAGAGGAACCGGATCAACCTTCCCAGGTTATTGGTTAAAAGATGACACCAGCTCGCGAGGGTCTTGAGCAACAGCGCCGCCAGCAGGCTCTCGACAGTTGTTGTAGGTGGCTTGGCAAAAGTTGGTTGACTGAACGACTTGCAAGGGAAAGTGTGATCCCGCTTAGGTACGTAACGCTTGTTCCGGTGCCTGTCTCAGGGGCTCGGCAGTTCACCCCAAATCGGAGATCCCCAAATCGGAGATGGTGAGGGATTCATCTCGGCTGCTCCATCACAAAAATAAACAGTGAAAAATATGGCCGAGCATTCAATCACACAAAAACCACAATTGACATCTCAACGATGGTCTCGCAAGGATTGACAGCCAGCCTGGCCGCATGTGAGGGCCTGGACCTTGGCCGGTCTCAGAAAGCGCCCGCGCAACCGTTAGTTATGGGGTCTGGGGATCCTGGGTCCACATGGTTTTGAAGAACTTTCCGATTGGATTGTGCAAGTTCCTTCCTTGTTCGTCAATTCAACACAATTCGACTTCGCATCATCGCACTGCAAGTGCAGCTTAGTTATCATGCCTCGTTTTTTTATAATTTTCGTTTTGTTTGGTTCAGGATAAGTCGGAACACCTGCCTCACCATGCGACGCAGTGGGGGTGATGACGAACACGGCGCGTGCTGCGACGCTGTACTGTCTTCAACTGTCCCCGCGCCATGGACAGCATGATAGTATCGGCAGGGCGACAGTTCCATTGACAAGCTTCATCAGTTCCTTCTGCAACTGCAACTCGTCGCGGGGCCGTGATGGTTTTGTTGCAGCCGGGTCCCCCTGCGCCGCTCACGCAGTGGCCTGTTTCGCTTGGGCCGACCTCTGACACAAGCCGTCTGGGGTCCGTCTCATGCCCCTTTGCGGCGTGGGACGCCTCTCCCGCAACCCACCACGAGGTGTCAACGTCCCAAGTCCCAGACAGGGATCCGGCCGCGGAGCATTGAGCCTCATCGGCCCAGAACCCACTTGGCGAGACCCCCATGAGACTCTCTTTCAGACAGGGTCGCCTTGCGCAGGATGCGCGCGTCTAGAACTTCTTGGGTTCTTCTGTCTCCCCTGTACGACGAGATGGTGAAAGGGGACGAGGATGGGGCCCGTTCGAAACACCGTCGCCAAGCTCTCCTTTTGCTGTCTGTTTCGACTGCCAGTTTCTTACTAGGTTTTTCCCTTCTCCCCAGTCCGTCTTCCCTCCCAAATTACTGTGCTCTTACCCTTCTTTTGCGGTTTGTTTTTGCCTCAACCACACTCTTTACCACGCGTGTCCTTCATTTCTTCTCCTTGGCGGTCATCGACACATCGATACCCCAAGTTAGTTCTTGATATACAGCAGTGCTGTTTTGTCTGTCGCCTCCACCTTTGACGCCACCGGAAGCTGTTCTTGATTCAGGAACGCTTCGTCATTCCCTCAACCTTACATCGGATCATCGCTACCCGTCCACCAAGACCGACGACTAGGTTCGCCTGTATGTCTAGGGATCGTCCGGGTTGAGTGTACGGCTTCTGTTACGGCTAGACGTCCAATCGTCTCCCAATTTAAAACCACTATCGCTAGAGTGCCGAACGGAGAACGGTGCAAGAATCGTCGCGTTGTGGGGCAAGTCAGAATGAGGCCCCGTGTTTACGCACTCGCGATCATTCTGGGCTCTGCATCAATCGCCCAGGTAAGGAATACTTTAGTTGTAAATAACCAGGTCACCTACTTACGGTTCCATAGGCCGCTGCATACAACCGACGCCAGGAAGCTCCCGCCGACACCCCGAATCTTGCCGATGGCTTCATGAGCATGTTTAACCGCCTGGGAGCTGGCGCCCAGACGGTCACGGAAACGCAAACCATCACGGTTGGGGGAGATGGAGGCTCGGGCGTGGCGGCGAATGCGACGGCGGTTACCGTGACCGTCACGGCCGCAGCTTCAACTGTCACTGCCTGCCCGGGCTTGGCCAACGGCGCGGTGGAGGGAGTTGAGGGCGGTGGATCAGCATCAGCGGCGCCGGCTGGGGACGCGGGTTCGGGAGCGGCACCTCCAGTGGTTGTTGCTAGCGGAGGCGTTGGTGTCACGGTGATTCCGGTCCCGGACGATGCCCGCAAGACCAGCGAAGCTGGGAGCCCACCGGCAGTCACTCCGCCAGCAGATCCCGCAGTCACTCCGCCATCAGATCCCGCAGCAACTCCCCCAGCGGATCCGCCCGCGGACACACCAGCCGCGTCTTCTGATCCTGCGGGTGCGAGTTCGTCTCTCGCGCCGTTGCCGAGCCAGGGAGGAGCGGACCAACCGGAACTCGTCCCACCCCCAGGGCTCTCCGACACGCCCGACACGCCATCCTCGACTCCGCTCGCACCTCTCCCGTCTTCCCAGCCGCCCCCAGCGGCCGCGGACCCGTCGGCCGTGCCCATCGTCGGCGCGCCCGTATCCGATAGCTCGGCCGTCGACGACTCAGCCACGTCGTTGGCTCCTCCGCCGGGCCCCGCCAGCTCGCTGACCGACACGCTCGTCCTCCCCAGCACGGTCAACGCCCCGGTCGCCACGCCGGCCACGAACCCCGAGGGCGCCTTCGGCGGCGTGGCGGGCCTGATCCCGATGGAGTCGGCCATGATCGTCACGCCGACCCCGACCACGCCGGGCGTCGCCAACGGCGCCGGCGCCGGCCCCACCATAGTTGTCTCGGGCCTGACCCTGTCGAGCCAGCTGAACCTCGGGAATCTGGTCCAGCAGACTGCCTCGCCGATCGCGTAGGTGGTCGGGTGTATGCTGGCGTGATGGGGAAAAAAGAGAAGGATGGAGCGGGCGGACTATACCCATTGTTGCTTTTTCGTGGTTAGATACCAATTAGTTGTTGTGTGTTGTGGCGATTGTGCCGTTGTACATGGTTTTGGTTCGGCGAGACGGCTGGCCTTTTCTTGTTAATGTATATAGCGTGTGTTGGCGATGCCGCCCTACCCGGTGGACCCGGTGCCTTTTATTTCTTAAAAACAATGTAGAACAGACAAGAGCAAGTCTCTTCAGGTTTGAAGCCTCAATTTTGCCCGCCATCTCCACGTCTATAAGGGGTATCGTAATGCCAGCTGGCCCGTTGGTATGATACAGGAGAAGGAAATACCTATCAGCGACCCAGGAAGCCATCAGGCTTTTGACTGGGAAGCCTCCTTCCTCATCTTTTTCGCCTGCCTCTTGCTCACCTCCCCCGTCTGGCCGCCACCGCCGCCACCACCACCGCCCTCATTTTTCCTCTTCTGCCCTTGCTGACCCTGCTGTTTCTGCTTCTTCCCGACCTTATTCCCATTCCCACCCTCCCCTTCCCCATTCCCATTCCCACTCCCACCCCCCTTCCTCATCTCCTCCCCACCCTCCGCAGGCCTCACAATATCCACCACCCCCCTAAACCCGCGCCTCTTCACCCCCTCATTCACCACCACCGCCCTCGCCCCCTCCCCCAGCGCCGCAAACCCCTTCTCCGGCCCCAGCCCCCACACCGCCATCAGATTCACCACATCCGCCGGCCCCCGCAGCCCCAACACCCCACGCGCCTCACTACTAACCACCACCCCCCTCCCCTTCGTCGCCCTCACCAACGCCTGCACATTCCCAATAAAATTCACCCGCGCCCTCCCCGCCTCCACCCCAGCCCCACTCCCAGCCCTCAGCGCCTGCGCATAGCACACCTCAAACCTCACCCCGCGCTGCACCGCCGCCATCGCCGTCCTATGGTGCAGGTGCCAGCCCAGCGGGGCCGACAAATCCAGCGAGACGAGCGCGGGCGCGCCCGCCGCGTCGCCCGCCGAGGAGGCCGTCGTGCATGCCCATGCGAAGGCGCGCTCCGTGGTTGGGCGCAGGGCCACCAGGTCGTAGGCGCGCCCGAAGTCGCCGAGGCGGTAGTTGGTCGTGGAGGGGTCGGTTATGCTGAGGGTGGCGCGGCGGAGGGTGGTTGGGAGGAGGGGGGTGGTGGTTGGTGGTGGTGCTGTGGTTGTGCTTATTGTTGGTTTTGTTTTTGTTGCTGTTGTTGTTGCTGCTGTGCCGCCGCCTGGGTAGGAGGGGTGTGGGGGGGTCAGTTGCGGGATCGGGTTGGTGATGGGCGTCGGCTGGGTTGGGATGGGGCCCGAGATGATGTGGTTGAGGGCGACGACATCGTAGCCGAGGTTTTTGGCGAACTTGAGAGTGCGCTCGAGGTCGGCGGCCGGTGTGCCCGGTGACCAGGCGATGTTGAGGTCGTAGAGCATGGTCTGGTGGGTGAGGCCGTGTCCGTTGCTGATGGTGATTGGATGTGGACGATCGGAAAGCAGCGGCAGCTTTTTTGAAGTTGGAGTCTGCGGGGCGAGAAGACATCTCGTTGCTGTGGTGGGTCCAAGCAGGTCTCGGCCCGCTTGCTGCAGGGCTGCCAAGCTTCTCGCTTAACTCCGATCACCGACCTCCATTGCCGTCAACGTTAGGGAGTATTGGTAGGATGTACCTCGCTAACTTGAAGTACAAAGTGTCGGTATTTTAGAGCATGTTTGCTGACATGTAGTGTACTTCGAAAGAGAAGCATTAAAACGTTAGTCATCCTCCTCCATAACAACGTCCACACCTCCACAGAAACGCCCAGTCGTTGTCTTCCGCTCCCTCAGCGTCACCCGCCTCACTCGAATATTTTCAAATAGCAGGTTCAGCGCCATGATAAGCGATGTTCCCTCCCAATACCCGTTTGAGGATCTGAGAGTTTCAATACAATTCTCGTCTGATTGCGCAAGCCACTCCATTATCCAACTACTTCTATACTACCTAGTGGATGGCGATTCCCTGGGGGACTGCGGCCACCCGAGGCAGTCCGTCTCCATCAAGTGGCCCCACGCCCGCCACGTTTGGGATGCCGCCGCCCATGAAGCCATGGAAGAAGCCGTTCCCAACAACCATATACTGAGGAAGGCTGTCGGTGTCCCAGTCCCCTAACTTTAAGTTACTGTCGGAAGATTTGGGGTCGTCAAGCCGGCGAAGAATGAACGGAGCGGGGCATCCAGGGATGATATGGACCTCATCGCCCTTCTCGGCGTCCCTTGGGGCCAAGCCGATCTTCCCTCCTTCTGTAATGAAAAGTCGGCGCTCCCAGAGACAGGCTAGGAGGTGATAGACCATCTTTGCGTCCATGCCGACAACCAGGTCATGCAACTCGGGCGGTTCCATGCCAACGGGGAACGACTGCTCGTCGAGTCCAGGGTTGTCAGTGACTGGTGTGCTTCCGTCGATGGCCTCAATGGAGGCTTCGGCCCCTGTCCCCGGCGCCGTCAATGCATTACAAAACTTTCTTCCCAAGGCAACAAATCTAAGAGATGTCCACAGCGATCTGAGTCTTGAATAGTCAGAGCCTTGGCCATCCGCGGTTGGCCTTCCGTACCGTAGACTGCCGCCATCCTTCTCCGTCGAATTGTTGATCACTGTTCTCCAGAAAACATCCATTTGCGAATCTTTTGCCGGGGAGGCTTCAGGCCAGGACGTGTGTTTAATGCCAGCGAGTTCCATCCATGATGCGAGGATGTCCGGCACATACTTCCACTGCTTCTCGTCTACCAAGATGCAACCAAGATCTTTGATCGTTGCAACTTGGCAGGACTTGGTTAGGAGAAGGGCGTTCTTGCTCTTTGTTAGACTGCCAACAAACGCCTTCCTTTCCTTATCTGACTCGGAATTGTCTGTGGCGAATGACGAGTAGATGCCGAGTCTGCGCCGCTCCATCAGGGCCCACTTCGGAGGGAAGGTGCAGAAGCAGGCGTCCGATACCCAAGAGGGTACGTGAAGCCTCCGATATGGGTTTTGGTCGCGGAAGAGTCGCTCTCCGAGAAGGAGCTCGGCCCCATCTTCCTCTAACTTGACACAGCCAAAAGTTGCGTCGGTGATGGCTGTCCGCAGGGGCAGCTTGTAGTCGGGAGTGAAAAGTTTTGTTTTGGTAACGATACCAAGGAGCCCGTAGAAAGAGTCCCGCTTCCACGAGGCCTCGGACCCGCAGAAGCGTCTTCTCAAATGGGCGAAGGTGATGTCCTTTCCGTCCAACCGGTATTGACGTGCTAGAATCATGGAATGGAGCCGCTCCTCGATGGTCACCACCGCCTCGAACCCTAGCCCACGGAGGCCAAGTCTGTGGTTCTTGCAGCACGCGAGCAAGGAATGCCGAGTCAACCGCAAGACAGCATCCTCCAGCGTCTTATAAGGCAGCGATTCGCTGTCGACCAACAAGTCGAGCTCGCCGGGGAGAGTGAGCTCCTGGATGACCCAGGTGCGCCTCCACCATTCGAGGTTCAGAAGTGTGGTCAAAGCTTCGAACCTGTCTTTGTAATCGTCGCTGACGTCGGTGCGATTGTCTTTTGTGCAGAAGCATTCGAGCTCGAACACATGCTTCCCATCGGGCCAAGTTTGCTTGTCGGTCTCCTCCTTGTCCACCAGTGCGTGCGCGCTCTCTCTCGACGAGTCATCCCTTGGGTCGCACTCGGCAAACATCTTGAGAAGCTCCACCGCTTTAGAGACCCCTCGTGTCGGAGGAGTAGACACCGGGAATTCCCCCAACCTGTCGCTGTTAGCATATAGCAGAGACAGAGTGGCATGCATCTTGAGCTGAAATGTCGTACCAGACGATACACTTCCTGCAGTGTTTGTACATGTCACCAATCCTCTCAACCTGCTGGCTTTTCTCCTCTGACTTCTTATCCTGGTTGATGCAAATCGCATCAACCCAGAGTCTCCCGGTTTCTCCCCGATCTCGGATGCGGCGCAAGGCGAGCCATAGGTTCTTCCTAATCGTGATCTCGAAGCCGGCGCCCCCTTCAACAGTGATAGTCTGTTGGTCCTCCTTGTCACCCCAGGCGTAGGAGAGTACGTCGTACGTTTTGTGGAGATCAGAGTTGAACTCAAGAACCTCAACCTTGCAGGCAAGCGGTTCCCCCCCAACCCCTGGTGACAGCGTTATCAGTCGCACCTGACGAGGGTCAAGCTCAAGGAGCGAATACTCGAATGTCGCCGTGGGCGGTGCGGCCTTCTTCTGCTCGCCGTGTGGCATGATGGTGGCAGCTAGCTATCACGTCCAAAGTTGCAGATGACGGACTCGGGGTTTGATGAAGCGGGATGGGAGAACGGTTGCAGAGCTGCTGACTGGGAAAAGGAAAAGGAAACTGAGTACATCTAGGCCAGAACACGCCATCCCATATAGATTCTGTGAATCCAGGCACTCACATATCTTCGTCGAGACTCGAGCCCGAAAGGCTTGACGCCCAATCAGTCATCACCTCTTCTCCCACCTCCACATATCACAGCCCCCAACCTAAGCTGCCCAACCTGCTCAGTTGCCAATGAGCCGGCTCCACGAAACCTGGCATCACATCGAAAAACGCGGGCCAAAATATCTCGAAGACCGCGGAAGCTGCTCGAATCAACAAAAGCTGGAAATGGTGCCGAGCCAGCCGCGGCCCGCTGAGGAAGAAATGGTGCCATCACCACCGCTTCAGCCCAACCCATCAGCAGCAGTGTGCCCAACGCCTATCTTTTCCGTTTTCTTTTTCAGCTGCTGTTTTGCGGCCAAATAGAAGGAGCCTATTGAAGTAGAAAGGGGTCTCGCCAAATCTTTGATGACCTCTGAAGACGCACAACTATCCCGCCCGGACCGTCGTTGGCCATCTACCAAAGCAAACTGAACGTAGCAGTGGGGAGAGACCTGCAGGAGCATATTGTATGACCGCACAGTCCTGGTGCGGGATCCAATTAACCGATGGTCGTCATATCTTGGAACTTTCGTGTGGCCTATGTCTGGGAACCAACGAGAAGTCGGGGTAGCTTTGGGCAGTGTGCTGGACTTGTTGGGCTCTGGCAGAAGGGCGGAGAGCACAGTTTAGCCGGGGGGGTCTCAAGATGGGTACCTAGGTAGGCAGCTTAGTGTTTTCATTGATTCCAAAGTTGAGCTTTGTGAGATGTGAGCCGTCTGGGCACCCCATGAGCAAAAGAAAACCGAATTCCACCTAGTGCAGATGTCAGCCATGGAAACCTCGAGTTCTCGACTGTAGGAACGAAACGAAGGCCGCCCTGAAAACTGCAAAAAAACGGGATTTACTCCGTTTATTATTCATCTTTTACGCCGTTCATTTTAGTTAATGCTTCTGTTCGATTCATTCTTCTTTTCTTCTTTCTGCTTCATTCCCTGCTTTCCTTCAATTCCAGTTCAACTTTTTTTTGGCCAGAGGATGGCCGTGTATTTGAAATTTTACTTCGCCAGGCCTTACGAACGCGGAATGGAAGTTGGAGGAGTCAGGACGAAGCAGGTCACGTCGCGGGCAAGCATTATTCTTCATATTACTTGCACGGTAGAATAAGATTTGGGATAAGGTTTGGGAACATCGACAAATGAGTCTAGGTAGGGCTTTTCCTCCCCAGTTGTTCCATCCAGATTGCTCGACAAGTTCCCTCGTTGACTCGATCAACACCAGGACTAGTGGTTCCTCCGTCGAATGGGAACATGGTATGTAAGACGGCTCTAGTTATATTATCAAAATTCTTTGACGTTTGAAGAATTAGTGCCCGTGCTGATGCCGTGCACTCAAATCTGACTGTCGTTTGTACGGTCTGCAGTGAAGACTAGGTGGATAAGGGGACACGAGCGAGGTCCTTCGAGTCAGTTTGCCCAACCGAGAGCCCCAAGTCTGTAACAATGGTTTCTAGACCGTTGGTGGCTTCGGCCTACTCCTGTGTTGACTCAGAGTAGAGTTAATTCACTCTTTTCATAGTGTACCTCTAGGCTCTAGTGAAGTGTGAGGATTTGATGTTCGCGATTTTGTGTTCTTTGCCTCTTGGGAACTCAGCGTTGGGATTTCTTTTCTTTTTTTCTCTTTCTTTTCAATGGTTTCCTTTCTTGAAGCCTGTGTTTGAGAATCGCGAGCTTGAACTACAGTGAAAAAACAACTTAGAAGTATCAATGCATAGTTACCACGGCCTACCTAGGTAGGTAAGGTAGGTACCGAGTTGCCTCGACATACGAATTGTTTTCTTGCGAACAAACCAGCGGTTGAGGACGAAGTAAAAGTGGGGTTCCACGTGGCTCGAGGCCCCATTTTCCTGCTGAATGCTGCGTAAGCGGGTTAGGGTTGGCGTCGTCATCTCTTCTCATTTCATGCGCTTGAAGACATCCCGACCAGTAATAAAGACAACTTGAAGGCTAAACCGCCGCCTCGTGGACAAAAGGGTCATTTTCAACACCTTACCAACGAAACACCTTATTGCGCGTATCGACATCGTACCCTGCTGTCTATCCTCTAATTGTGCGACCGGTCCGACATCAGGCCAATCTCCTTGACAATGTGCATCGTGTTCACTTGCGGCGAGCACACCTTCCGCAAAGAGGTGGAAGGGTACAACGGGCTCGTCTGCCGGTGCTACAACTGCGGCAACTACTCGGGGTCAGTCGTCAAGTCGAACCCTTGGTTCACCTTTTGCTTCATTGTAAGTCTCGATTTTGGATGGCTCCCCACTCCCCACCCGGTGCCCGGCCGTCGGCCACGCGGCCTCCACCGTTGTCAGCTGCAGCGCTAACTCGGTCGCATCGCATCACAGCCCGTGATCCCACTGTCGATTAAGGGATACGAAGACGTTTCGTGCCGCGTTTGCAACTTCAGGCAGCCTCTCACGCACCGACCCGATGTTCAGGCGCTCAGAGGACAGGGGGGGCAAGGAGTACACATGCAACAGCCTCCTCCTGGACCGCCCGGGCACCAGGGATGGGGTCAAGGAACACCGAAACCGAACGAACCGATGAGATATGGATAAGAAGGAGATTAGATTGGGGAGGATACTGTTGAATGAGCTAGACCTCCTGCGACGATCTAGATGCCACCCCCGGGTACCAGGACGGGGAGAGGGCGAGGCGCATGGCGCAGAAAAGGCGTTGGGGACTTTACGGCGATATTGACGGATTGGTTCTTGTTGAGCTGTTTACTGTTTATGCGATGGGAACCGCTTCTTGGGGGCGTTTGCCCACCATGGCTTTCTTTGCGGCTAATGGGGCGGGCAGAGGGCGGAACGGACGGATGCTTTGATCTTTGAAGTCTTGTGGTGTACATATGCTCGGTTTTCAAGATGGGCTACGACGGCTTCTGTGGGCGGGCTTCGAGTGAGATGGGGGTGGTTTCGCGTGTTTTGGTCTGCTGTTTTTTCGGATCAATCTAGCTCTGCTTGACAGTCTCGGTCCAAAACTGAACCTTGGACAAAAGATGCCAGGTATTCTGGGTCCCAGTGGCTCTTGACCGCCACGCGGAAGTCAAGATATTTGTTCCTTGTGATATTTGTATGGAACATATGAGAACACACACTCGATACCTCTCTCTAAGCCATTAAACATAAACTACAGATACTCGACTTGTCCAGGATTCAACAGCTTCCTGTCGAGCTTATCCTCTCTGCTGTGGGGCGCAACCGTTGAGGAAGGGGGTGGGGCCTGTGGAATGACGTCGCTTGGCCTTTCGGAAATCTGGGGCCGCTGCAGCCAGGGCCGAAAAGGAAGTTACTTATGCATTGAGCAAGGACTCGATTGCTGCATGTGGTAATTCAAGAACCCAAAGGCAGCTTCACCCGATAAACCACAGCATCGACTAGCCGCAGGATTGTGGGCGATAATGAACCCAATGGGTGAATGTTAAGAGAAGACAGAGGCTCTCGTTGAACTGCGCCGTTGCACTCGATCAATTGACCGATCACAATCCTCCAACAAACTCACACGCCCCAGAACGCTGGCTCGCGCCAGAAGCGCCACTCGCCCATCATGGCCTCCGCTAAAAGGGGTGCCTCAGTCTTGGTGAGTCGAGATCCGGCTTTCCCCTGGTGACAGCGTTGGTTAACTTGTGGCCCTCTAGGTGACCGACTCCCGAGAGCGACCTCAACCACGAGGGGGACCCCAACGAGCCACCCCAAGCCCCGCCCGACCGAGCAGTCGCCTCGTCTCCGTCGACAATGTCCTGCAATATTCGTCCGACATACCCTCGGGCCAGCCGAGGGTGCCCCCAGCGCCGCGCCCAACGCGCGCCATGGCGATGCGACGAAGCAGCCAAGGCGGCCTGCCCACGCTCGCCTCCGCCCGCACCGGCCAACAGATCGTTCCTTCGCGAACAACCAAAATTAGCGAGAAGCTCGTGCTGATCCCCGAGGCGCCTGAGGCTGGGGACGAAGAAATAGAGAGTGACGAAGAGTTGGCGCGCCGGGTGTCGCTGCTTCGTCGCGAGGACGAGAATCGCCCGCTCAAGGACGAGGAATTGGACGTACTGAGGAAGCGAGGTGGAATTCGCGGGAAGAGCTATGCGGAGCGGTTGCCCAAGTTACAGCGCGGGGAGAAGGTGTCACGGTTGACAGCCTACTGCACCGCCCAATCGTACAAGATGAAGGCGACGGCCGAGTTTTTGCGGAAGACGCACGAGGCCAAAACAAAGCTGTACGACGACTGTTTGTACGCGGTATACCACCTCCCGCTTCTCCCGGGTACCGAGGGTTATCGGCTGAGGAGCCGTCCCGTCCTGAAGACGCCAGGGACGGGCAAGACCGTCCTTGACCTCGAGATTGAGCGTAGCGAGCGCAGGGACGAGCACGAAGGCTATTGGGACGAGTACGCCTATGGCGTGCAAGGGCTTGATAACAGTCCGGGTGCCGAACCCCTCCTACAGCAAGTGGCGAGCGCCCCGGACACGCTTGAGCGCTCGCCTACCGCCGACGGCGACCACGACCACGAGCATGAGCATGTGACGGTCAGCCCCATCAACCGCCTGGTCCCGGACGCGAAGAACTTTGGCGAGATGTTTGTATACTCATACGGTGTGGTGGTATTTTGGAATTTCACCGAGCGCCAAGAGAAAGACATCCTCGCCGACCTGACCTTCGCCGAGAACGAGACGGGTATCAATCTCGCGACAAACACGCTTGACGAGAATGATTTCGAGACGGAGGAATTCCACTTCGAATACAGTCCCGACGTCAAGCGCCCCCGCGTCTTCAACGACATGATCACGCTCCTCCCCCGGTCAGACCACATGGTCAAGCTGACCATCAGCCACGCCATCGCGCAGAGCACCAAGCTCTGTTTCTTCGAGGAGCGCATGTCCGAGACAATGCTCGACGCGCAGCACGTCCCCAAACGCTTAGCCCTCACAGGCGAGCTCAACATGACGCGAACGGAGATCGTCAAGATCCTCGGCCGCCTTTTCAAGAGCCGCGTCGACATCAACCTCTGTAAGTAGGAACCAAGCAACAATCCCCCCCTCACACTCCCTCCACCAACCCCCCCCGGTCAACGCAGCTAACCGCCCCCCTAACAACAGCCTCCAACGTGCTGGACGTGCCCAACTTCTTCTGGGACGCCGAGCCGACCCTGCACCCGCTCTACGTCGCCATCCGCGAGTACCTCGAGATCGACCCGCGCATCCGCGTGCTCAACGAGCGCTGCCGCGTCTTCCTCGACCTGGCCGACATCCTGGCCGACAGCGTCGCCGACTCCAAGATGAGCAACATCACCTGGATCATCATCATCCTGATCGTCGTGAGTATTATTGTGACCGTGACGGAGGTCGGGTTGCGGTTTGGCATGCTGTCGAGGGAGAAGGGGAAGGAGGGTGGCAGTGGTGGTGGTGGTGGTGGTGCTGGGGAGGGAGGTGAGGGAGGTGGAGGAGGGGGGCCGGGGAATGTTATTGGTGGTGATGGGAATGGTGATGGGAATGGTGCTGGCGCTGGTGGCCTTGATTTGAGGTGGTTGAGGGAGAAGAATGTGTCGGTGGAGGAGCTGCGGCTGTGGGCGAGCGCGCTGAGCGAGCGGGAGAGGGCGGCCGTGTGCGGGGCTGATGTAATTGGCACGACGTTTGCGGGTGTGTAGGAGGGGATGAAGGGTGGGCTTCATTGTAACAACAGCATGTGTAAGTGAGTAAAGTTAGTGTTGATAGGCTTTTTTTTGGGGGGGGGGGGGGGGGGGGGGGGGGGTACTCTCTCGACTGGCAGCGCATAGCGGGGCGTTTTCTTGGGGTTTATTACTTTTAGGTAACAATTATCGAAGTCAATTGGATGGAGAAAAGGAACGGCCAAAGCATTCGATGCCTGCTTCCGCAAGTTCATGCCGGTTGTTGACCACGGAGGTTGCTCAAGTTGTGCATAAGTAGCCGAAAACACTACTCCAACGATAGCTAACATGGTCTGCCGTGAAACTGAGAAAAAACCAAGCAAGTGCAGCAACGGACCCCAACGGACCCCAACGCCATCATCCCATCATCTTCGCAGCTACTCACTCCGCTCGCTATTGTTATCCACCAAGTCAAGGCCAAGGCACGCCACGAATAACAGCTAAACCGTTGCTTAATGCAGTCCTGTCTAACACATTTTGGCTAAAACACAATACCAGTAAACGCCAACTCCCATCCAAAGCCAACCCGAATCCACTGGGCGACTCCAAGTCTAAAATGAGTGACACTGTCCGCCTGGTTCGGTACAGTTGATGCTTTCCCAACCAGCTCCAAAACCAAAAGAAACCCCCGCCACACAATTATAAAGAACAAAAAACTACAATGTCATACAACCCAACCACCTCCGTCTAGTTCCACGCCTTCCAGGCCTTCGCCAACGGGCTCCCGACCTTGGGCGCAAATTGCAAGCTCTTCCGGCGGGCGGCCATCAGCCGCATGTGCACGCTCTCATCCCTCTCCTTGCCCAGGATGCCGTGGCCCGGCTCGACAAAGGCGGTGCGCTTGGGCGGGCAGGTGCGCATGTGGCGGCCGTGATCATCCTCATCAAGCTCGAGTGTGTTCTCGCTGTCAACACTGCCGACGCTAGACGGAGTGGTCAGGCCAGGGCTAACGTTGGCCGCGTAGCGCGCAATGGCCTCGGGAGCCGGCGTCTTAGGCACTGGGGTGAGCGAGCTCCACTCCATCTCTTCATCCTCGTCGTCGGCCTCCTCTTTGTCCTGGCCGTCGCGCTCCGCGTCGTCGTTTTGGGGTTTCTCGGGGGACCGAACCCACAAGCCGCTGGCACGGCGGTTGCTGGGCGCAGCTTGCGAGTTGCGGCCATTGCGTGATTGCACTAGCGTACCGTTGAGGTTGGAGATGGCTCGGGGCTCCATGCTCTTGCGCCGGCGCGCACCGCCGCGTGGAACGAACGAGGCGTCGATGTAGTACGGTGCCTCCTCGAGCCACTTATTGTCACGTTCGCAACTAATGGCGTACGTTAGCACCACTCCAAACATCGGGCATCTGAGAAAGTACTCACTCCAAGACCCAGGTGACACCCACACACTGCACCACACCGCGGCTCTCGCGAACCTTCTCCATTGTGCGTTTGCCACCATCTTTGAAAACCACATGGGTGATTCCAACTCTGGAATCCGCGCCAGTCTCTGACGAGTTATTGGGGTTCCATGACCATGTTTTAACACAACGAGCGCCCATCTGCGTCAAGAGGTCCACAAAGACGCTGCTGGCATCGGCGCCCTCGCTGGTGTGAACATCCACAAACACCACAGCCCCGCGGAGAAGAGCTGGATTGAGGTCACGGTGCGGAGTCCGGGCGGGTGTGCCCATCGTGGACCAAATGTCCTGCTTTTGCGGCGTCACGGGAGCAACAGGCTTAGGCTGCGCCTCGGCCTCATCCTCAGAGGGCACAATGTCGTCTTTCGTGCTAGACGAGCACGAACTTGCCGTGGAAAGCCTAGTTGACCGCCTCGTAGGGGGGAGTCGCGCACTGTGCCTGCGGTTCACGGCCTTGGGCCGAGGCGTGGAGTCATCTGCGGGCTTGAGGGGCACCTTGGCGACGGTGTGGACTTCGCGGCAAATCACCCGCTGGGGAGTGACGGGCGGGATTGCCGGCGCATGCACGGGATTGCCTGCGGTCGCCGTGGGTTCCACGGGGATCGCGTTTTCGTCGCCATACTCCTGACTGGCTTCCGAAACCGAGTCGTCATGGTCTTCGTCGCCGTGACTGACGTGTTCCTTTTCCACCAGCGACATCTCATTCGCCTCCGCGGCCAGTTCCATGTCCTCTTCGGTAAATGAGAGGTCTTCCAGCACCAAGTCATCGTTGTCCTCTACTTCCGTGGCTGCATCTTCTTCGACCTCCATAGCTTCTGGTTGCATGTGCATTTGATCCTCAAAGAATGTGTTCTGCCTTGGCTCCGTCGGGGTAGAGACCGCTTTGCGCGTAGGGGAGGCGGTTTGTTCCTGGCTATCGACTGCCGCGAAGCCGATCGGTGAAGCGGAATGCGCGCCGGTTTTCAGAGGGCTCGGGCCGGCGGTCCACCCACTAAGCTGCTGCGCAAGGGGGGTGAATCCAAGTGTATCTTCCGCTCGGGTCTTCTTGGCCGTGCTCCGACTTGCCGACCGCAGTGCCTTGAGCTTCCTCCCCGAAGTGGGACACGGGGTGGCCGGCAGAGTACTGAAGGCGGAGGTGGACTTCCCGTGTTTTACCGGTGATTCGTCTTCAGAGTCCGAGTCGTAGGGATGGAGGTCCTTCTCTCGAAGCCCGAACATGGGGTTGGCGGCCCTGGGAGACGCCGGAGGAGTTGTACTGACGGGTTCAGCAGCCGGGACCTCAACTAGGGGGTCCTCCGGGACTATGGGCTGTTCCAAATCTTCAAGGTCGTCGCCTCCCTCAACGTCAAGTTCATCGCCTCCCTCAACGCCGTTCTCAACGGAACGTTCCTCAACTTCGGCCTGTGACACCTCTTCCGGCGTCGCCGGCATTGGTGGTGTCAACGCCGGATCCGCATGACGTGGTAGAACAGCTGACAGTCGACCCGGAAAGCTGAGTCTCGTGGGTGAATCAGGCATAGCTTCATCGTCATCAACATCCTCGTCTGCGGCGCGATGCGCTTCCTCGGAGTCGTCGAGCGTTTCGCGCGGCAAGGGGCTGGCGAGCAGCGTGGGCTTAGGAGCGGGAGTTTGATGCATGGGTTCCTCCTCTTCGATGTGCCGGGGCAAAGGTTTGATGGGGGAAACAGGTGGTCGTTTCGCCGGCGAAGAGAGGAATGATAGCTTGACGGGTGACATTCCCGATCCGCTAGTGATGTCAGCCCCAAGGGGATTCAAGTTGAGCGGTTGCCTCTTCGCAGGGGATTGAAGAAGCCCTGCCTTGGTCGTGACCTGCGGTGTCTTTCCGTCGACCTGCGGCGCTGACGATGGGAAGAGAAGCCCCTCGACGCGCTTGGCTGGCGACTGAATGCTGCCCTTCCAGGGAGACGCCGGCATACGCTTGGCCGGTGTGGCCAACATATGGTTGGTCTCCGGCTCTGACCGGTTGATCTCGATTGCATTTTCGTCATTCTCTACCAGTACAAGGGCTAGGGCCTTTGCCGGCTTGTCGCTCCTAGGGGTCGGCTTGATCGGGAGCTTTTTGAAGCGCCGGACCGGAATTTTCTCGTCCATACCCAGCTCATCATCGGATTCGACGCGGTTCACCGTCAACTGGTTGACCTTCTTAGGGCTCAGCGGCATCGGCTTCTCCGCCTTGTCGCTTGGGTCGGCCGAGCCAGCCGTTGTTCGGGTGCTGCGGGCGGCGCGGGTAGTTGTAGAGGAGGCTGCTTTACGGACTGGCTTTCCGCGCAGGCCAGTCGTGGGGGTAGGCGCCGAGGCCTTGGTCACAGCCTTCCGTGTCGCGGCCGTAGGCGGCGCCATGTTTTCCTTCTCGGGCTCCTCAAACTTGACTGTTTTCTTGACAGTTGACTTTGCTGGGCCCTTGGTAGTTGTTGTCGTCGTTGTCCCTGCCGGCCGGCCACGGGTAGTTTTCTTGACGGGTTCAGTGATGGTAGCCTTGCCCTCCTCCGTGGCCTTCTTGGTACGGGTTGTCTTGGTGGCCTTCGCAGACTCCTCAGGGGGGCCTTCCGTGATCTTCTTGGGTCTCCCACGAGTCCGGACGGTTGTTGCGGCTGCTGGTTCCGGTGTCGGCTCTGGTGCCGGCTCCTCGACGGCGGCCTTCTTCGGGCGGCCGCGGCCCCGAACAGATTTTGAGGCAACAACGGTCATCTTCTTGGCCGGCTGCATCTCGTGGTTGTCTTCCTCGTCATCAGACGGGCTCTTCCTCTTGAGTGTCGTCCTCGTTGTGGTACTAGTGGATGGATTGCGGGTAGTCTTGGCCTTGGCGGCAGCCGTAACAACGCGGGTAGGCTTTGCGGCGGGCTCGGTTGACTTTGCCGCAGCCCGGGCGCGCGTCATCCTCTTCGGCGGTGACAGCGCATCCATGGTGGTTTATGCTAATTAGGTGTATCGTAATGGTAGTGATGCAAAATGGAAGGGAGGAGTAATTGGGAGAGAAGGAAGGTACTCCCACGACCAATTACACGTAAAAATGTCTAGAAAGCGGTGACCAAAATCAACAAACTTGGGGGTGCTGATTTTGGCTGCAACAGCGACTCGGTGCGGTGAAAGAACTGATTGTGGAGATGGCAGTTGCGACCTGTTGATTGATGAGCGTGTCGTTGCCCGGGACGACGCCGGGGGGAGCGAGCTAAGGTGTGGAGTCGTTGAACCCGGCACTTCACAGCTACCCAGGGTTAGGGTGCGTGACGATTTGGAAGTTGGGAGTTGAGATGGAGCGTCAGGAACAAACCATCCATTATATAACTACACAATTCTAACATATCCTATTTTTGCTGATTTTACGGCATCATTCCCACCGCACGCTCTTACTGTTCGTTCCGGATCAAGTATTTCAAGTGTGAGTTTCTGAGATGCGCTTTGGCGATAAGTACCCAACCAACACGCGCCCTGCAGCTTTGCGAATTCACCACACATTAATTAATCAAGCTCGAAACGGTAAACTCGCAACACATTTTCCATGTCGATAGACCTTAACTGGGAGACGGTCACGGGCGGACCCGACGGGCAGGAACTGGCGGACCAAATCCGGGACTTCATTCACACCAAGTTTCAGTCGGTCCCGCTACCACGCTTCATCAAATCTGTCACGGTTCACGATTTCCAGTTTGGAGCCATTCCACCAGAGGTTGAGCTCAAGGATATTACCGACCCGCTACCAGACTTTTACGAGGACGATGTCGATTCCGATCTAGATTCTGACGATTCGGAAGAAGATGATGCCGCAAACAATCTTACACAGGACCAGGACGAGCGCCACCGGCCAACAACCGATGTGGAGAGCCTAGGTGGTGGTGCTCGGAGCCCCGGTCGTCTTCCTCCGCACCTTATGTTCGGCGGTCCCAACGGTCCTGGGGTAGGAAGCTTACGCAACGGGGACATGGGCAATCCGTTCATGCGTGTGTCGACACCTGGGATTTCCGGTGGGACTTCCAACTTGCATTACTTCCACTCACACTTGGGGGGTGGGCTTTCGGGAACGCAAACACCTCTCGCGGCAGTAGCCGGCGCCCAGCACCTCAGCACCGCCAACTGGCTCGAAGGCCATGGGCATAGCTCCTCCGTGCCGAACCTCAACCACTTTGCCAACCTTGGCGGACCTGGCACCAGCCCTCGCCAACACCCTGAACACCCTGAACGGAGGCATAGCCGCAACCCATCCCAGGGCTCCATCTCCGTCGCAGACTTCAACCAAACCAACACCCTCGCACCACCCACATCATCCACCCTAGGCGTCCCCTCCTTAAAGGAGAAACACAGCGTCTCGACCCTAGCACCAACCTCCGCCGACGCCTCGCGGCCCCCGACCCGCGACAAGACGTCCAAGGTCCCGGGCTCAGCAATCGACGGTGGCGCCGGCACCGGCACCAGCGCCAGCTCCACCAAAGCCGGCAGCGGCCCCAGCGAACAGCAGCCCAACGACGACGACGACGACGGCCATCCGCGGCTGCGCGAGCCCCGCATCGACGACATGCAGGCCGTCTTCCGGATCCGCTACGCCGGCGACGTCAAGCTGCTGCTGACGGCCGACATCCTGCTGGACTACCCGATGCCCAGCTTCGTCGGCATCCCCGTGCGCCTGAGCATCACGGGCCTGACCTTCGACGGCGTCGGCGTTTTGGCCAAGATCAGGAAGCGCGTGCATTTTTGTTTCTTGAGCCCCGAGGATGCGGTCGCCGCTGTCGGGGATGAGGAGGGCTTGTCTCCTGATGAGGGACAGGGGCAGGGGCGGGGACAGAGCCAGGGGTCTGGGCAGCAGAAGCAGGCTGGGCGGGCTGAAAAGTCGGGAAACACCAAGCTTGGGGGGTTGTTGCAGGAGATTAGGGTGGAGAGTGAGATTGGGGAACGGGAGAGTGGAAGGCAGAGCCTGAAGAATGTGGGCAAGGTGGAGAGGTTTGTGCTGGAGCAGGTGAGGAGGATATTCGAGGAAGAGTTTGTATACCCGAGCTTTTGGACGTTTTTGGTGTAATCAAAATGATCACGGGGGTCATATGGAACCATGTGTTTATGAAAGGGTGCTCTTGAATCCCTGATATGCTGAGTTGATGTCTAGCTCCAACTCCCGCGCCTGGTCCTCGCCCAACTCCTCCGTCGCCTTCATCTGGTTCAGCGTGATAAGCCACTGCACAATCTTGCCCCTGTTCTCGAAGTCCCGGTCCGTCACCTTGTTCACCGACTGGATTACGTCTGTCAGGAGGGGGTGCAGTTGGTCCTTCGCCAGCAACCCCAACCGTAGCGCGTCTAAGAATGTAATAAAATCTTGCGTCGCTTCCAGAATCAGCGTGCCGCTGGTGTTTCCCGACGTGGCCGGTGTAGGGGCGGCGCCAGAGCTGGCCGTTACGGCAGTTGAGGGCATGCCCACTCGTATTCTCTCCGTTGCGCGGGGGACTTCGAGCTGTGTGATCAACCGGTCAGTATCCTTGAGCAAGCCAGTCTGTCGATCTAGTGTCAAGTCATACATCCCACTCAGCCTTAAACTCCTCCAACCCCACGAATGCCTTTGCAACTGTCTCGTCGGCGACCAGTGACTTGTATTGTTTCAGCGACCGTTCGCAGATCTCGGTGTAATCGGCCTCGGGGATGGCATCTTTGAGGAACGCCTTCTCAAGCTCGTCGATCGTAACGATGATGCTAAAGATCTCGGCGAGGGAGTCCTGCAAGTCGCGCTCGGCGCGTGTGTCGGCGAGCTTGACCTCCTGCGTCACCGTTCGGTCAGTGGCCGAGAGGAAGGTGAGTGCGGGGCACCGTTGCGCGCACCTCGTCGAGGTTTATGGTTGCCGATAGCGTCGAATTCGGTACATAGCTGTGCGGTGTTGGCGCGTAAGGCTGCCGTGGTATCATACTGACGGTTAGGTGCCGTGGGTTCAGCTTATCGTCCGTCTCGTGAAATAGAATGCAAGACTGACACTGAGCAAGGTACCTATGACGAGGAGCTGCTATCGTTATCGGGCGATGATGCCGAGAAACACAGTGACGCGGCTGGGTTGGCACGTTGGAGGTGGAGGGGTGACGATCAGAGCACTATTCCACTCAAGGTTTAGCGTCTAGCATTTTGTCGATAAGACCCCGCGATAAGGAACTCGGTTCGCGAGTCTTGAAAAAAAGTTCAGGACCTCAGATGAACTCCCCTGTCAACCAGCCCCAATTGCTTAATTAAATCGCACACTGCGTCCCGAGCGCACCTGTCGCCCACAATGGTGGCCTCAAAGAAGAACCTGAAGGCGACCAAGAAATTCGAGAAGAATCATCTCAAGGGTGTCCTGGAAAAGAGGAAAACGGTCGCCAAGATTAAGCAGCGACAGCAGATTAAGGACAAGAAGAAGGCCAAGCGATCGCAAGATGACGAATTCTACAAGGGGCCTGGCGGCGAGGCCAATGGCGAGAAGAAGGTTGTCAGCAAGAAGCCCGGTGCAAAGACCAACGAGATGAGCGTCGACGACTTCTTCAAGGGCGGCTTCGAAATCCTCGATACCAAGTCCAAGGAGAAGACCAAGTCTTCTGCAAGCCTAGGGAAACGCAAGCGGGGCGAGGCCGGTGTTCAAGTAGATGGGGCCGAGGAGAGCGGTAGCGAACCCGAGATCTCGGACAATGACGAGCCCCTGGGCAGCGACGACGAGCCCGACGCCGACGATATCAGCGACGCGGAGGATCTGGGCATGTCCAAGAGCGCCATGGACGCGCTCGCCGAAAACGACCCAGATTTCTACAAGTTCCTAAAGGAGAACGACCCAGAAGCGCTAGATTTCGACGAGAACGCAGATCTCGCCGAGGTTGACGAGCTCAGCGGCAGCGAAGAGGAAGATGAACAACCCAAGAAGAAGCAGAAGAAAGACAAGAAGGGTGCCAAGGAGGACGACGGAGACGACAGGGAGCTTACACAAGCCATGGTTGCGAGGTGGAAGGCCTCAATGGATGCGACACGCTCACTCAGGGCCGCCCGCCAGGTCGTTATCGCTTTCCGCTGCGCAGCCCATTTGAACGAGACGGACGAGGAGAACCCGCAAAGATACAGCATCACGAGCCCGGAGGCATTCCACGATATCGTCGTTGTTGCACTCAAGGGGATTCCCGACGTCCTTCAACACCATGTCCCAGTTAAGGAATCCGCCGCGGGCAAGGTGTATGTCCAAACTGAGGGCAAAAAGTTCAAGACGTTGTCGATGCTCATCAAGAGCTTTGCGGCCTCTATTATTCGGCTGCTCGGTACATTATCAGATGAGGCGACGCTCAAACTCACATTATCGGCGCTGCAACCGCTTCTGCCGTATCTCCTTTCCTTCAGGAAAGTTCTCAAGATGCTCATAAAAACCGTCGTTGCCTTCTGGTCCCAGTCTGCGAGCTCCGATACCACTAGGATAACAGCGTTCCTAGTAATCCGTCGTCTGGTGGTTATCGGCGACAAGGCCGTTAGAGAAGTCGTCCTAAAAGCCGCCTATCAAGGGCTGGTCCAGGGCAGCCGTCTCACAAACGCCAACACCATCCAGGGCATTAACCTCATGAAGAACTCAGCCGCCGAACTCTGGGGCCTCGACCAGGGCCTGGGCTACACAACGGCTTTCGCCTCGATCCGCCAGCTCGCCATCCACCTCCGGAACAGCATCGTCAACAACAAGAACGACTCATACCGCGCCGTCTACAACTGGCAATACGTGCACTCGCTCGACTTCTGGTCGTGCGTCCTCTCGGAGCACTGCAGCCCCCTCAAGGAAGCCGAGGCCGGCAAAGAAAGCCAGCTGAAGCTCCTCATCTACCCTCTCGTCCAAGTCACCCTCGGCGCGATGCGCCTCATCCCCACCGCGCTCTACTTCCCGCTCCGCTTCCAGCTGATCCGCTCGCTCCTGCGCCTCTCGCGGGCGACCGACACGTACATCCCGCTGGCGTCGGCGCTGCTCGAGGTGCTCGGCTCGGCCGAGATGAAGAAGCCGCCCAAGTCGTCGACGCTGCGGCCGCTCGACTTCGCCGTCGCCTACAAGGCGCCCAAGTCGTACCTGCGCACGCGCGTCTACCAGGACGGCGTCGGCGACCAGGTCGTCGAGCTGCTCGCCGAGTTCTTCGTGCTCTGGTCGCGCAGCGTCGCGTTCCCCGAGTTCGCCCTCCCCGTCGTCATCGCCCTCAAGCGCTGGCTCAAGGAGAGCCGCAAGCCCGGTCGCGGTAATAAGAACGGCAAGATGGCCGCCGCCTTGGTCCTGCTCGTGCAGAAGCTCGAGGCCAACGCCAAGTTTGTCGAGGAGAAGAGGGCTAAGGTCGAGTTTGCGCCCAAGGACCGCGCCCAGGTTGAGGCGTTCTTGAAGGATCTTGACTGGGAGCGCACGCCGCTCGGCGCGTTTGTCGTGTCGCAGCGGAAGTTGAGGGCCGAGCACCAGCGGATGGTGGAGGAGGCGCGCAAGGAGGAGGATAAGAAGCGGAAGGAGGAGAGGGAGGCGTTGGATGGTGGTGATGATGCGGACAGTGGGGATGATGAGGATGCTGAGGAAAGTGATGAAGATGAATTGGAGGGAGAGGACGAGGAGGAAAGTGAAGGGGAGGAAGAGGAAGAAGACGAGGATGAGGATGAGGAGGAAGAAGAGGATGAGTAGACATGTCTTTTATATCACCTGTGAGAAGATACTAGCGCGCTGCTGCTTGCGCATATTCGTTGCATCATTCTACAATACGACATGACACATGCTGGGCACGTTTTGTCCATAAACTTTACATATCTAACTCCCAACACCCGCTTGCTTGCCCATCCCTTACCATTCCCGTCCATCACCTCCAGCTCGAATGCTCCTCGAGCGGCGTCGGGTCGCAATACTCCAGCCCCTCATCGTTATCCACCATCGTAATCCCCATTCCGCCCTCCTCATCGCTGTCGTCATCATCGACATAATCCACCGCATTCTGGCTGTGTGAGGATGTGAGCACTGGTCTGTGTGGGGCTGGCAGTTGAGATGCAGGCGCGGGAGGTGCGGAAGCTGAGGATGCCGCACGGGTGGGCGTGGGGTGGGGTGGTAGGGGGGTGGCTGTGTGTTGGGGTGTCGTGGGTTTGGTGTTTGTTTGTTGAGAGGGCACTGGCTTGGGCGGGCTTGGGTTCCGCTGAGGGACGGCAGCTTGTGGTTGGGGTGATGGCGCGGCGGGTTTCGCTGGCCTGCTTTGGCTCGGCGCCGGGGTGTCTGATATGTCGAGGCCTAAAAGATCTTGGGTGACTGCGACGGCGGACGGCCTGGCCCTGTTTACGGTCGTTCGCTGCTTGCTACGCTGGGCCGGGGGCGGTTGGGACGCTGGTGTGGGTTGTTGGGGCGCCGGTGTGGGATTGTACACGGGCGGGGCCGCGGGCTGGCTTATGCTAGGAGGGGCCGTGATGTTTGGACCGTCGAGGTCGATGAGGTTCGTGCTCTCTTTGTCCAGGTCGCTCAGCCTGATCATATCCTCGTCTTCCTCGATCGGCCCGCCAGCGCCACGGACAACGGGGATACCACATTTAGCGAGGATCTTTGAAATGATCTTGGCGTATCGCATATGTCCCTGAACCTCCTCCGTTAGGTTGAGGTTCTCGACCCCTTCGATGTCTTTGATCTCCTGCAGACCGGCGATCCCGAGCTGCATGGAGGTTGCGCGGTATAGAAACGCGAGGAGATAGTCGTTCTCGGAGTAGACATTAAAGAGTTTGCCCGATACCACGGTGCGGATCATCTGCCAGTGCTGTCTGTTCGATGGGATAGGGGCACCGATGAAGACGACTGAATCGACCAAGCCGAAAGCCCGCCGTGCGGCGAGCGTGCGGAGGCATGAGTAGATAACCCTAGCGCCGAGCGAGTAGCCAATAAGTGTGACTGGGCGTTCACCCTGTACTTTGTTGATGAGGGCGTCGGCCAGGATTTCACCTGCCTTTTCTGACCTGTTCTTGGCGAGACTAAAGGGATTGTCAATGGCGGAGGCCGATGACAGAAGGTAAGCTGGCCAAAGAGCAGACCACATGGTTGCTAAGACGGTCCTCTTGAGGATCTCGACCCTCACCGTATTCCAGGCGTAGGAAGAGACCAAGTCTTTCAACGTCTTGCCAAGCCCCAGGAGGCTACTCATCTCGTACCGCAAGGCGAACGCCTCGGAATCATCACCGAGAGCGCGCCATGGCTTGGTAACATCGTCTTTCGTGCCCAGCCAGCCGTTGATGCCGATGGTTACCCGGAGACGCCTGTCGTTCTTGTTGCTGCCCCTTGTGCCCCACTCGTCTTTCAGGGGGATGAAGCGGAAGTCCTTGACTTCTCTGGCATATTGGTCGACCATCTCTCCCTAATCAGAGCATTAGCTTACTCATAACGACGATTCAAATTCCAACTTACCGTCATCCTGGCTCCAAATGCGCCAAACAGCGTCCCCACAAGTGCGCCGTTCATCCAGAAGATACCCAGAAAGGACGCAACACCCCCCAGGCCTACTGACCCCATGATGCCGCCAATGGCGCCCGCAACAACAGGAGCAGCGAGGCCGCCAGTCACTCCAATAAGGGCAGCCCCCGCCACCGAAGCTAGACCAACCTTCCAATACCGGCTCGACTGATTCTGCTGCTTCCGCTTCTCGGCCTCCGCCTCGGCCGACATAGTCCGCTGCTGCCTCTCCGCCTGGGCCGAGCGCTCGACCAGCGACACCGCAATCTCGACCTCCTCAGCATTCAGCACGGCCAGCGGCAGCTCCAGCGCCGACGCGAGATAGACGGCCATCGCCCGCGAGTCGGCCGAGTAGTGGCCCGTAAACAGCAGCGCCAGCAGCACGCAGCTGAGCGTCTCCCTGCGGTCCTCCTCCGACAGCGTCACCAGCCGCGTCGGGATGGGGTGCCAGTGCGACTGCAGACGGGCGACGGCCTCGGCGGGGTCCTCTTCCTCCTCCGCCTCCACCACCGCCTTCGCCTGCTCTGACATGGCCCCGCCATCCCCGCCCTCCTCCGGCCAGGCGTCCCACGAGCCGAGCAGGTCCGCGCCGCGGCCGGCAGCCGAGCTGTTACCGCCTCGCTGCTGCTGCTGCGGCGGTTGCTGCTGTTTCTGGCGCTGCAGTTGCGCAAGTCGCTCGGTCCGCTTGCGGCGCTCCTCGACGATGGCGGCGTCGTCGGGGGTGGAGAGGACCTCCTTGAGGCGGGCTAGGACATCCTTGCGCCAGGCGTCAAAGTGCTCGATGGCGGCGGCACGCAGGCGCACGAGGGCTGGGTTGGGCGGGGTCTTGTCCGTGACGCCGGCCCCCGCGGGGATGACGATGCTGTTCTCGGCCGAGGGGTCGATTAGTAGAGGGGCGGGGCTCGAGTTTCCGGCAAGCTCGTGGAATTCGAGCTGGGAACGCATAAAGGCTGTGATTTCGACTAGGAGGGTGTAGAGAGCCTTGCGCCTGGCCAGGTTCAGGACGGTGAGAACCTGGCGCGGTTCGGTGGCGAGGGGCGCCATAGTGGCCTAGCGGATATTCAGACGGAAGACAACGACTTCGGGCCTCAGGTCATTTGGAAGAAGAGCAATTAAGGTATTCGACCCCTCATTAGACAGAGCCGCCTCACTCGTCTCATCACGCTGCAGGAGGATTCATTGAAAGATGGGACAGGGGTGTATCGGACGGCGTATCGGGGGCCAAAAATTGTCAACCTAATTCGGAGAATGGACAGGTACTATTGAAAAAATGGTGTTGTAATTGCATGTTTGTGCGACTTGTCATTTATTCCGGCAGACCCGAGCGTTGGATTCAGTCGCATTGGGAATGCACGCGATGACGGAGAGCGGTCTAGGCACTGCTGCCTGCTCACTGCTCCAGCTTTAACTGGCCATACTTCCCGGGTCGTTACTTTGGCCAGAGAGAGACGTTCTCCCGCGGGAAAACTTGAGGAAGATGTACCAGAAGCATGGGAGAAATAAAAAAGAAAAAAGTTTACCAATGGTTCCACTTCGGCCACACAGCGGAAATAACGGGAAACATCAAAAACTTGAACGCATCGGAAAACGGCATTGTCCACAGCGCACGCCAACTAACCCCTTTTCGAGAACAAGCCTCCAAGCCTGGCGGCTGGTTGGGCAGAGACACAGAAACTTGGAAGTCAGGCCCTGAAATGGCAAGATCTGTTTGGCCAGCTCACCTCGGTAAAATGTTTCCCAAATCGGGAAGCAGTTTCAAGGACCATGATTTGATCCATCCATCCACCATCGCCGCGGATCCGGCAGGCAGTCCGGTCTCCATCGGTCTCGCACCTTCTCTCGCTCTGCCCAGGCGGCTCGGGGAAGGCGCAGGTGCTCGGCGTGCTTGAGGCGCCGCGTGAGACGCCAGGAAACCCCGATCGTGATTCTTTCCGACTCGGCCATGGCCCATTTCGGACGGACTGCTACGCAACCGTTTAGTGTCATCTTTGATCGCGCTTCTCGAATTCCTGTATGTCGATACAGATGACATCCATTCGATGGAAGTTCTTGCCCTGTTCAGTGTTGTCACCTAATAACCTAGACTGGTTAGAAACCCGAGAATAGACGACGCTAATGTCGAACCTGCAGGATCCGGGAACGAGCAGCCAGCATCTCCTCCCCCCCAGCGCCAACCCCAGCAACCCTGGAGCACCATCCAGCACGCGGCACAACCTCTTGGCATTCAAAACCCCCGGTGTCCCGCCCCGGTGCTTGGCTCTGTGGCTCTGCTCGGCTTCTTCCTTCCTGCACCGATTCCCTGAACTGGCTCTCCTGAGCCTTTGGACGAAGCATTCTTGTTCCTTTCCTCCGCTCCCTTCATATCAGAAATACCGACCAACCTAGCATCCGTACCCATCTTTTGTCGCCCCGCACCTGCGCCTCCGCTCACCAGGCGGATGCCTGCGACCCGTCATGCTCCAGGGCCATCAATAAAACCCTTTGACATGTCCGACAATGTCAATGTGTGAGTTTTGAGTTTGAGTTTGGGGGGAGTTTTGAGTTTTGAGTTTGCCGGCCCTCTCGGCTTCGGGCAGCTTGGCGATGGTTCCCGCCTCGAGGGCCTCGCCTCGCCCCTTGGCCGAGCCAAGCTTTACGCCAAGCCCGGGGTCCTATCTTTCAGTCCCTCCACGAGCCTCACAACTGACGTTCCATTCGCAGCCCTGAATGAAATACGCAATGTCATGTACGTATTCTTCTTCTTTTATCCTATCCTTTACAGGGAGTTATTCTTATGCTACCCCTACCTACATATGCGCGGCCCTAGCTGCGGGCTTGTTGTCGTCCCTCCTGTCGACCTCGAGCCGCCAGCTCTCCCTTGTTTGGCCCCCCCCCCCCAATTCCCCCAGCTTGTGTCTGTGTCTCCCTATCTAGACATGATTACCCCAGTCTTGTGTCACCCGTCATCTTTAATCACTGCAAAGCACAACATGCGCCTTGGGGTGCACTGCACTCGCTTCGTCAACGGAGACCCGGGCCCTACCGCATCTAGACCCTTCGTGCCGCAGCCCGACTAATGAGATGATAGTCTTTTGTTCAGCAACCCATCATGGAAGGGGGCCAGTACGGTCTCGAGTACCGTCATCCGGAATGTCACTGCCTCGTCTGTATGTTGTTACCTTGATACGCCTCGTCTCTCGGATAACCCCCCCTAACTCGGAAACAGAGCCACTTGGCATACTCGGCCCATTTCTCTGGAAACACCACGACACTATCCTCCAGGTTCACCCCCGTTGCGAACGGTGTCATTTCGGGCCTCTTATTTGTCCCTGACCTCTCTTTCGGCGACTCTTGTATTCTAGAGACGGCAGCCCATGTCCCCCTGTCCGCTGTCAGGCAGGCCGATCTTCCGCCCATGAACTATCACCTAATCGCCATCGCGCCTTGGGTGAACGGCCGGTGCGCCGAGGCCTACTTGGATGCTGCGCGGGCAGCTCCCGTGCGATCCTTTCTCTTCTATATTCCCGGGACGGGATCCGATACGCCTCCGTCGGCCGACTCGTCCGAATGGAACATTGACGACGGACACAACTGGATGACACGAACCAACTGGCCCGTCTACGCCGTTTCCGGCCTGGTTGGCGAGGTCATGATGCAGCACCTGAGCCTCTACTCGGGGAACGTGACTGAGGTTCCGTTTGGCCAGGACATCAGTGAGCGCTATTTCACCGACCCTGAAGATTACCTTCGGATCTGGACCGAACTCGACCTGAGCACGCCACCATCAGGCCTCGAGACCTGGGCGTACGCCCTCATTATCATCGGCGTGGTACTCACCGTCATCATCTCGACGTCACTTTTTATGCACCTCGTCCAAGCCTGGCGGCGCCGGGGCCTTCGACGCCGCGTGATCGCGGGAGAGGTCAACCTCGAAGCCATGGGGATCAAGCACCTTACAGTACCACAAAGTCACATCAGGACGTTCCCTCTATTTACATACCATTACGAGCCAGGGGTCGCCACCTCACCCACGTCCCCACGCCCGGCTAAACTCGGCCGGGCCCGGACGAGAACGGGCGGTACGGATTTACCGGAGAGCACCACGGCGAGCCGGGCCGCACGGTCCGCCACCGTCTCCGACCTTGGTCTGAGCAGCCCCTTCACGGCATCCACCACCGCGACAGATTACCAGCCCAACTGTGAGATCTGCCTCGAAGCCTACGAGAACCGGGTGACCGTCATCCGCGAACTCCCATGCGGGCACATCTTCCACCCCGAGTGCATCGACGAGTTCCTCCACGAGATCAGCTCCCTCTGCCCCATCTGCAAGGCGAGCATGCTCCCCGAGGGATACTGCCCCAAAGTCACCAACGACATGGTGCGGCGGGAGAGTGCCATCCGGCGGCTGCGCGGCCATGTCGAGGTCCAAGACGACAGCGAAGAAACCACGCCGGTGAAACGCCAGGGGCGGTGGATGCCTACCAAAGGCAGGCTTTTCGGTGGCAGGGGGCGCGGCCTGATGTCATCAACCTCGACCGAGCTTAGGGAAACTAAACCGAAACCCAAACCCAAACCCAAGGGGACGGAGCCACAGCGTGTTCAGCTGCAGTTGCGGCCAAGCAGACAGACAGAAGCCGATGCCAATGCCGAGCCGCAGTCGGCGACCTCGACGCTGGCACGGGAGCGGATGCGAGAGCTGGCCGGTTATGAACCGGACTACGGGGGGCCTAGCGGAACGAGATGTAAGTCGTGGTGTTGGTATACTCTTAGCTGTACCTATGTGACTAACTAACAATTGCGCAGGGCAGCGAATACGCACGAGGATATTCCCGGGCTTCTCATGAAACAAGCGTTCTTTCCGATTTCATTCGTGTTTTTGGATTTGGTCAAGGCGGATAGAATGCAGGATACCCTCTTGGATTTTCTTGGACTTTGGGGATGCATGCGTACCTAGGTAGCGTCAAACATGTTAGATGCAAACATTGGCTCGGGCCTGTATATATACCAACTTAGCGGACACAAAACTGAGCGCTGGGACACCATTGAACGTGTTATTTCCCCTGTCTCCGTTGCTGTATCATCTGAGTTCAACACCTAAAAAGGCCAACCGCTCTCCATCCTACAACCCTTTGGCAGGCCATGCAAAGTAAAATGAATGCACGCGTATCTCGTTGCTTGAAGAAAGGTGAAAAGTCAGAACCATGCTCATCGAGATACTATCGACGGCAAGACAGGTATCTGCCCAAGAACGCCCAAAACACCATCCAGTCAGTACCCATCGGATATATAAATACATCGGACGATACGATACGCCTCGCTACCCGTGGGACAGGAGAACGCCCAAGGAACCGCCGACCCAAAACGCCACAAAGTAAAGTAAACCAGTTACCCTCGCCCAACTCCAACTCCCCCATCCACTCCACCCCTACCTACCCATCATCCCAACGGATGGATGAGTGCACGAGTGGACGAGCGGACAGACAGATATATAAACCCACCCACAAAAAAAAAGACCCAAAAAAGAGGAGCGAGGCGAGAAGAAAAACCCCAAGTTAGTCAGCCACCCACCCACCACCACCACCACCACCACCACCACCCTTATCCCCACCCTCACTCCTCCTCCACCTCCTCATCCCACGCCTCCCTCTCCCTCTTCATCAACTCCGCCATCTCCCCCGCCTTAAAAATCGTACTATCCCCATCCCCCACCCTCGGCACCCTCGCCAAGCCCTCATCATCAAACACGGTCCCAATACTCTCAATCCACCGCCTCCTCCGTTCCATCAACGTCCTCGTCAGATCCCCAATCCCGGGCCTCGCCATCCCCGCAGCCGCCGAAGCCGCCGCAGCCGCCGCCGCGGCCGCCGACTGGCCCGGGCGGGCCTTCTTGGGCTTCTTGCCCATGGTGCGGGTGCGCTTGAGGTAGGCGGCCTGGACCTGGGAGTCGAGGTCCTCGAGGATGGTCTGGTACTCCTGGAAGGCCATGCGCTCCTTGACGAGGTCGGTCAGGCGCGTCTTGCGCGCCCCGTTGACGAGCACCTGCTCCCGCAGCCGGGCCTGCAGCAGGCGCATGCGTGCCGCGACCTCGTCGTCGTAGTGCCCGTCGTACTCGGCCGTTGCGGCCGGGTCGGGCTGGGTGGTGTTGGGGTTGGCGCTGCCGTTGGTGCCGTTGGGCCCGCCGCCGCCGCCGCCGCCGCTGCTGCTGCTGCTGCTGCCGTTGGGTCCCGTGGAGGCGTTGGTGCCGTTTGTGTTGTGGTTGGTGGCGGTGGAGGAGTTGCCGCCGTTGGTGTTGGAGCCGTCCTGGGAGAGGAGGGGGAGGAAGCCGATGTGGCGGAGTTCTTGCTTGATGCGCTCGTCGACTTGGGTGTAGTCTAGTTTTGGGTGGGTGGCTTTCTTCCAGGGTTCGGTGTTGGATTCTGGCATATAGGTTGCGGCAGGGAGGGATTGTGGTTGTGGTGGTTGGTCGGGGTTGGTTGCTTGAGAGGCTGCCCCGTTGATGCCGTTAGTACTGCCGTTAGTTTGACTGGCTGGGGGGTTATCGCCAAAGCTAAAGTCAAAGGTAGCGACCCCGTTGATGCCGTCGCCATCGCCGCCGATGCCGTTCATACCGCTTGGTTTGTCTTCAGCTGGTGGTACGCGATGCTCGGGGCGCATGGCTTGGAGGAGTCGCGAAAGGAGGGGGCCGACCGAAAGCTTGTCCGTCTCGGCCACCTCGTCATCCATGCTCTCGATGTTGCCGCGCGCCTGGTTCGGCGGCAGCTTGCCCGGTGGTGACGAGTCGATGGCCATACCACCATCCTCCTCGGCCCAAATCTCGCTGTAGTGTTTCTTGCCCCGTTTCGGCATGACGAATGGCATCATGCGATCGCCTCGCTCCCTAAGAAATGCGAGATCTTCCTCTGTGAAGGGCCGAAAGTAGGGTTCGATGTAGGTGCTAAAAGTGCTAAAGTTGATCTGATTGCTGGGCTTGGCACTGCTAAAGTCTTTATCTGGGGGATCGCCGGCGATGAGATCCGCGAGGGTCGCTCTTGGGGTATCCTGCGACAGAGTATATTTCTTTTATTTCGTCGTCGGTCATGCCCGCTTGCACTGGCAGGATCTCGTAGACGGTCGGGTCGGGAAATGTCGACGGGTCATCGCCGAAGGTATTGGCTTGCGGTCGCGCTGGGGGTGGTGGGCGTCCATCGTCAGAACTCGAGTCGTCGTCGTTCGCTTCGGCTTTGGCTTTGTCGTCAACGTCCATGTCGCCGGGCGTCCGCGGCGCAACGGGTGAAAGTGACGAGCTGGCCGAATCGTTGCCACGAGATAGTTTTCTAGCTTTCCCTGTCGAATCGCGAAGCGGCGACGAGCGTTCTGGTTGCGAAAGTCAGTCAGCGATGTCGCGGGTTGGGTTGCAAATCCGGATTCTAGAAGAAGTGGGTAATGCAAAGCGCAAGTTCTAACCGCATTCACACGGTTTGCGCAATAATCACATGGGCCCTTTGAACAGGGCATAAAAACACATGCGATGGAAGATGGTGACTGACCCGTGTTTCCCGCATGAGGTGCGAGCGAGTCTGCGCCCTTGCGCTTCTTCTTGTTCGATTTTCTTTCGCGTTCCCCGTCGTCGGCAGCCCGCTGTCTCCGCTCTTCTTCCCTGCCCCGCTCCATGGCGAGTTCGTCGGCTCTGTCCTTCCGCTTCGCAGCGAGGGCTCTCATCCCGCGGTCGCAGTTAGTCCCGCGTTTATCTATCACATCGCCCAGTCGATGCAGACGGGTGAGGACGCCGTCGAGGCTTTTGGAGTCGGGTATCGGCGAGCTAGAGGCTGGGGTATCGACCATGTCCTCGAAGGTCAGATTGCGGAAGACGTCAAAACGCAGCTCGATGGTCTCGGTCTCGATGGTTTCGAAAGGGGGCAAGCCGGCGGATGGGGGCGCGGGGCCGGGGGTGGTGTTGCGGCTCCGCTGCTGCTGCTGTTGCTGCTGTTGGCGAATTGCGCTGGCGCCCCCCTTCTTCCCTGTCCCCTTCTGGCTCGATGACGGAGCCATCTTCAATTCCTGGGGCAGGACTAAGTCACCTTCTTATCGCGCGTCAATCTGCTGGTATAATGTTTTCCGACGATTCTTTGCACGCGGCAACAGCGGGGGCGTCTGTCGCGTCCTGTCGCTTCCAACTACTTGTCGCGAGGCTCGGTCGTTGCTGGAGGCTCACAAAGGCATGCACGTCACATCCAATGATTGAGCTTGGCCCGCGAGACGCATACCCCTGTTGGTCTCGGCGCGGAGGGCTGGCCTGGCTCAGTGGGCTGCTGTGAAACCGAGCGGGGACTGCCGGGCCGCGGGCGGATCATCCACAGGCGGCCCTCCGAACAAGGAGGAGAGGCGCAGAGGCCAGCAGGTTGTGATGACTCAGCATAGTAGAGTCTGAGAGCAGAGGAACCGTGCATTCTGCTTTCTCGAGGATGTACCTCTGTCGGGATAAATTATTGGTGGTGACAATTGGAGGTTGTAACATGGGAAGTTCCATTTGCTTCCCAAACAACGGTTGCCATAGTACTAGTGGGCGTTTATGTTACTGTCTGCCTCGCAAACTTCCATCACGCACTCCTCTCTAACTACAACCCAAAATGCAACTAGCCATGCCCGATCTGGACGGATACGTGGCTCTGATACATCTCGCGTAGCTCGACCCGTAATGAAGTGCCCTCGCCAACGATGTAGCGTGGTGCGGAGCACATGTGCAGTTTGGAGAGTGCATTCGCGCACTTGATCACTCCAACCAACGCAGCTCTAGAGCGATCACGGTGCTCGCAATTACAAGGACCTACCTAGGTCATTCAGCGGTGCAGCCGCACCCTTTGCCACTTCAACTCCGCGGCCGAGTTTCTCGCGAGGATAGCGCGGTGTCGTCAAGAATAACTTTCGGAAGGCGCCCAGGGGAGGGGTATCCTATGGCGCCGCTGTTACTTTCCCGTGGCTCCATGCATTTTCCCGATTGGTTTCGCGAGCAACCCCACCCACAAAACTTTGGCCGACAACAGGAGGAGGGGCGACCACCTGTTCCCGCATGCAACCAGAAGGGTCGCCGCTAGCATGGAGTGCACAGCGTGCACGGCAGGGTCGCGGATGGCGCTTGGATCAATTGGCATCCCCCCGTCGGATGGAAGCAGCGGCAGCCTGCCATGAGATCGTGTTTCACAGCAGGCCCCATCCGCAACGGTCCATACAGTCGCCGTTGGTCGGGGGTTCAGATCAGGTTGCTCGATAGTGGTAATGTATGCCCTGTACTATGTTTTTAAGGTAGATAATTTTGCTTTTTAGTGACGGGATGGCGCAGAGATGGAATCCAAGACAGGGCGGAAGCCGTTTGTTTTTGTTCAGCTCCATCTTCAGGGCGTCCCCTCGCCAGGGCATCTCAACACGCTTGAAGCCAATACCCCCCACATCCCACATGCTGCTACTGATTGATACACACAACAAACGGCTTGAAACCAGTTCTCTTAAGTGCTATTTATTTATTAGACAGCCTATACGCACGGCTCGCTCCTAACGTGCAACGCACATCGTGCGGTGGACTCGGACATGTGGTCAAGCGATTGGTCGACGGCGGCACACCACACCCGAGCCCACTCTGCACATACCCCGGGTCTAGGTGGGTCACGATTCACGGCTGGTGGTGCTGAGCGGCTGCTGGCTCAACGTTCTGTAGCGTCTCGAGGGACCGTGTTGCCGATCTGGCATCCTTGAGGAGTGAGAGGAGAGTAGACTTGACTCGACTAGGAGGAGGCGGGTGGCGGGTGGGTAGGTGCTGCTGCTGCTGCTGCTGCTGCTGCTGCTCCATGGCGACGCAGCTATTTATTTGGTATCCCCTGTGTTCCCCTCTCTCTCTTCCTCTCTTCTTTTCTTTCCCCCTTATCCGCTGGCTGTTCATTCAACCAAAGACTCGTTTCAACACGTTCCCTCTCTGCCAAGCATGAGAGAATACCATGGCTTCTCTTGGTGGTAACATATCGCCCCCTGAGAGCATCATTAGCCCCCAAATCTTTGTTGCTGGTCTTGCCGGTGTGGTATTCTTTACCATCGGCTTCTACCAGCTCTCAAGCAAGCATTCGCAGGATGGCACCCCCGACGAGCCCAGCATCGTCAAGTCCATCTTGCTGTTCTGCTACTCTTGCTTTTTAAAGCCGCACTCGGCTGCCGCCAAAGGTGGTCAGCAGGGTGCCCTAGAGTCGTTTTACGCTGGCCAAGCCGGTGCTGTATGTCTCCCTCACACCCTAGCTTTCGGTTGCCCCCCTTTTCGCCCCCAACGGCTCGGGGTCAACCAGAATGCGTGGGCGAGCAGCCAGCAACTCATCAACTGAGTCTCAAACCACTAACACCGCCGGTAGTACGATGTGACTAGGAAGGCTCTCCTCAAGGGCCGTGAGGACATGCTAGCGCTCGCCGCAGCGCAGCTACGCTTCAAGGCCGAGAAGGAAGATGGCGCGGGGAAGAAGCGCATCTGGGTTGACGTGCGCTATCCATCCACCCCAACTCTGATTCAAACCAAACCCTAACGAGCCCTCAGGTTGGTGGCGGTACTGGCTGGAACATTGAAGCCATGTCCGAATTCGTCAACGTGCCCGAGTTCTTCTCCAGCGTCTACCTGGTTGACTTTTCGCCTTCGCTCTGCGAAGTCGCCCGCAAGCGGTTCGCCCGTCTCGGATGGACCAACGTCAAGGTCGTCTGCGAGGATGCGAGGAAGTTCCGCCTCGAGGACTATGAAAATGGTTCCTCGGGTGGCCGGACCAGCCCGACTCGCTCGTCCACCAGCTACTTCGAGCCCCGGCCCGACCACGGTGGTGCAGACTTGCTCACCATGTCGTACAGCCTCTCGATGATTGTGCGTAAAACACCGGGGAGATAGACTCGCTATGTCAGCTGCTAATACATCCACAGCCCGATTACTACTCTGTCATCGACTCGCTCATGTCGCTTCTCTCGCCCCATGGCATCATGGGTGTTGTTGACTTTTACGTCCAGTCCAAGGTTGACGTCAGCTTCCGCAACCACACCGGCGGAATGGTTGGCCGCCATGTCAACTACCTCGGACGCACCTTCTGGCGCGCATGGTTCGATCTCGACCGGGTTTCCCTCGAGCCTGGTCGCCGGGATTACCTGGAATACCGCCTGGGAACCGTCCTCACCGCTAATCTGCGCAACAACACTCTGGGCTCCATCCCTTACTACATCTGGCTGGGATGCCACAAGAAGCCCTTCTCCTCGTCCAGCCTGCCCCACGAGATCGTCGAGCGCATCGATGCCCTGGCAACTGAGTCTCCTTACCTTTTCCCGGCGAACAAGCCCAAGGGAACCGACGCTCTGACCCGCGCCGTCGAGAGGACGGCGCCCGAGCTTCGGTCCAAGGCGTTCGATGCCGCCGTTGGAAACCTGTCAGCCAACCTGCCTCTCCCGTCGTTCTTCTACCAGAACCACCACTGGCGGATCTACTACGATGACCAGCTCGAGAAGCACACGCAGTTCAACGACGAGTACATCTACGCCTTTACGTGGGAGGACTCCAAGGTGGACGCGACCCTGCTGAACCTGGGGCCCGAGGACGTCGTGCTCGCCATCACCAGCGCCGGCGACAACATCCTCTCGTACGCCATGCAGAGCCCGGCCCGGATCCACGCCATCGATCTCAACCCCAGCCAGAACCATCTGCTCGAGCTCAAGGTCGCCTCCTTCACCGCGCTGCCCTACGAAGACTTCTGGAAGATCTTCGGCGAGGGCAAGCACGCCGACTTCCGGTCCCTGCTCCTGTCCAAGCTGTCCCCGCACCTGTCCAGCCGCGCGTTCCAGTACTGGCTCGACAACGCCAGCATCTTCACCAAGCCCAACGGCCGCGGCCTGTACGACACGGGCGGCAGCAAGCACGCGATCCGCGTGTTCCGGTGGATCTCGCGCATCTTCGCGTGCCGGCAGGCCGTGCAGGAGCTGCTCGCGGCCAAGACGCTGGAGGAGCAGCGGCGGATCTGGCAGTCCAAGATCCGCCCCGCGCTGCTCAGCCCGCTCGTCAGCAACATCGTCGTCAGCTCCGAGGCCTTCCTCTGGGCGGCGCTGGGCGTGCCCAAGAACCAGCTCGCCATGATCGAGGCCGACCACGCCACCAGCCTCGCCGTCACCGGCCCGTCCCCCACCGCCAAGAACACCCGCGCCCACGCCATCTGGCACTACATGGTCAACACCCTGGACCCGGTCATCGAGACGACGCACATCGCCACCGACAACCCGTACTACCACGTGTGCCTGACGGGCGACTTCTCCCCGCAGTGCCACCCGGACTACCTCTCCCCCGAAGCACACGCGGGGCTCAGCCAGCCGGGCGCGCTCGACGGACTGCGGATCCACACGGACGAGATCGACGAGGTGATTGCGCGCATCAGCCCGGGCACGCTGACGGTGGCGATCGTGATGGACAGCATGGACTGGTTCACGCCCGAGGCGCCCACCGCCGCGGCGCAGATCCGCAAGCTCAACCGCGCGCTCCGCACGGGCGGCCGCGTCCTCCTCCGCAGCTCCGCCCGCGAGCCCTGGTACATCCGCGAGTTCGAGGCCCACGGCTTCGTCGGCAAGCAGGTCGGCGACCGCGAGCCGGGCCGCTGCATCGATCGTGTTAACATGTATGCGAGCTGCTGGCTGTGCGAGAAGGTCGAGAACCTGCCGCCGCCGACGCCTGGTTTGGAGGTCGAGACGGGCCAGGCGCTGGGCGAGGATTTGCTGCGGCTGTGAATGGGGGTGGACGGAGGGTTGGGTTGTGGTCGTCGGGGTTGGGGAGAAAACGAGATTGTTAGCGAGGTTTGGTGAGTGACGAGTGGGGTGGGTTCTGTTTGGGGATGGGTTGCACAACTAGATTGAAGACCGAGAATGCGATAGTGATTTAGGATTCTGATGCCCTCTGAAAATTGGTGACGCCGGTGACACATTTGAGACTGCCTGGCTGCGAGTCGTATCGATGCGGTGGTATGCATTCTGGAGTTGGGTGAGAACAACCGGCGCACAGCACAATTCATTGTGAACGGTGTCAACACCACCCGTCCTCACCCCCCGCCCCCACCTACCTATAATAAAATTTCAAGGGAGGGAGTGGAGGGTGGAGGGGTGACATTGATTCAACCATTCTGTATTGCCCGGGTGGGAATGAAGCAAATATGAACGAATCGATTTTGACATTGTTTCCCTGGTGCAGATCTCAGCCTCCCGGCCGTTGAAGATCCCGGAGAGAAACTCAAACTAGCGAGTTTGGGCCTCAAACGGGTGCACGAGCCATATGCGATTTTGATCGGACGATGATCGTGCACGATGCGAGTGCGAAAATGGAGGCTTGTTCAGGATGAGAAGTTTGGGAGCGTGTGGTTGGCGTGACCGTTCACTTGGGTTGTGGCGCGCTGTGCCGCCGAGGCAGCCCGTCCCCAGACTTGGCTCACGCTCGTTGCAGGTGGTGAGCCGGAAACAGAAGAATTGCGTGGGGCCGCCGTGGCTTGGATTTTTCCGCAGGCTGGTGCTGCAGCGGCCAGCGTTGTTTCCGAAAGACGCCGCCTGGCCAGACGCATGCTTGTGAGGTGGCCCAGAACCCTGCACCTGACCGAGCCGGAACCCCCCGGTTTCATTACGCAGGGGCATGTACTTACATACCAAAAAAGAGAAAACCTCGAAATGTCGAATATCAGACGAGTCAGTGTGTACGGCGAGAAGAGCTTTTGATATGAGGTGATACAGTGTTTTCGAATCTGATAGCAATAACGCATCATTTGGATGTTTGATATTTGGGATTGTGAATTCGGTGCTTCGAGGTGACAAGGACGGAAGCGATCGTGGGTCGCGCGCGGGTTGATCCGGGGAAGTCCAAGCTCTTTCCCACTTTTAAGCGCAAGGATCCACTTTGACAAACACGTCCCACTTCTTTGTTACCAAGTACTTGGTACGAACAGCGAAGTCGAGTCTGATCCACGCATTGTCAACCTGACCTGCCCAAAGATACATGGCGATTTAGGTTGAATGTGGCTCTCGTTCGGCTCTATTGTTATGGGCGACTCGGGTTTTCGATTCTTGCCAAACTGGCCGCCGTTAGTCTACAATGACGTTCGACAGGCAGCGACGATGGACCACGACCGTTGGAGCTTCATTCCTCTTTCGGACAGCTTGGGCCTCCAAGCTCGCAAAAACACATCTGCATCACTCAGCCAGCAATCCTCTTGGCCCGATCTGGCGCCGCAGACGCCAGTAAACGCGACTCCCTGCTGACGAATGGCAGAAGGAACCTGGAATGGAACACCCCGATTTTGTCTGAGGTGGCTGTGCACCATGTTTTCGACCACGTTCATTGGCTCAATAGGCGACTGAAGCAAAGCCCATTGGCTCCCGCCCGGATCAGCGACATCCGTTTGTGGCCTGGCGCTGTGCGCCCCGTCGACGCCTCCTCTCTCTCTGGGCTTGCAGCATGCTGCAGCATGCGCATGCACCAATGGCACCCCCACCAATGGCACCCCCAAGCAAGGGTAGGTGGTTCTCGCAGCAAGAGGGAGTCAAGGGTTCCCTCACTTGCGACCGTACTTTATAACACCGCCAACATGACGTTTATCCGTTTCAACATGTTTAACATATCCGCGGCTCGCCGACACTCCGTGCCTTATTATAACCACGGCGTTGGTTGATGGAGCTTCCGGCCAACAACATGTCAGCCACATCGTCGTCCCCGGCGGCGGCGGGGTCTTCCCCCCTCCAGCCCTGGGCCACAAGACCACAACACAACTGCCTCGAGTGCAAGCGGCTCAAGAGAGCCTGCGATAAGGGATTTCCGTGCAGCAAATGCGTCAAGTTAGTTAGCTTGTGCCTTCTTCCCAGATGCCGTCCTTGGCTCGACGCTGACCATCTTCACTTGTCTTGACAGAGCGAATCGGACCTGCGAGTACAAAGACCCCTGCGACGACGGCGTTTATGGACCTATTTCGGCCGCCAAGGACATCCATTCGCTCACATTCGGCACGCTCCTGGACATCCTCGTCAGCAAGCCGCGCGTTAAGGAAGCTGTCTCGCTGTACTTTGGCGGCGTCAACACCTGGTTCACCATCGTCGAGAGGGCGAGTTTCGAGAGGGACCTGGAGGCTGGCTGGGACAATCTCCCGGCTGAGAGAAGCGCTATGGCGCTTTGCATGGCGCTCGTCGCCCGCCCGCCGAACCAAAAATCGAGCAAAGGCATGGGAGATACCGTCTATCCCACCACCAAGGCCATTCTCGGCCTGGTCCAGAGCAAACTCCCCATGTCGGTACACATGCTGCAGGCCGAGCTTCTCGTCGCCATGTACGAGTTCTCCCAGGCGATGCCCCAGCAAGCGTACATGTCCCTTGGGCATTGCCTCCAAATGACCAAAGCATTCGGCTGGCACAACGCTGCGTTTTGGACCCCCGACCGCCAAGCGTCCAACCCGGGAGAGTTGAAGCTCAACTCTATCCTATGGTGGGCGATCGTCTATCTCGATTGGTAAGCGCACTCTTTGGGACTTTGATGCCGCCGGTGACTGATGCCGAAGCAGCCTCCTCAATGTCGCATACGACCAAGCGTACCCGATGCACACCACGGGTCTTGCTCCGGTGTCGCTAATTCCCTCTTCCGGAAACCATCGACCGGCACTTTCCCCCTAGCAGTCCGTTTCAATTCGGAGGCCAGGGCCAGGGGTTCCGCGAGGCCAACGGCGACCAAATCGACGGCATGGCTTTCCCCGAAGGGACTTCTGCCTGGTATCTTAGCAACGTCTTGCAGCAGCTGTCGAACCCCACGATGCCTGCAGTTGTCGACCCCAAAACCCTCTCTAGTATGATCTTCCAGCACATTAAGATTATGACCTCTATGGGGTGCCGGGTGGGGACGAGTTGCATGTGAGAGATCCTGCACCTTCAACTTCGTGAGAGCCGAGCTGATTGTCCATTTAGAGCCTTCATGAAGCTCCATCAGCCAGGCCTATTTGGGGGGATTGGGCCGATGTCGATTATGGGCCAGGGCAACCCCCAAGCCGTAAATGCAATCCGGGTGACCACCGACATGATCCATGGCAAGGCCGCGAAACTCGCCCAATCCGACGATCAATTAAACAGGGGACTCGTTGACCCTTCCTGGGCGTTCGCCATGTGCTACGCCTCGCAGTTGCTCGTTTCGCACGGCGACAACGTTCTCCAGGACGCCAACTGGTACCAAAAGGTCACCATCCTCAGGAATGCCCTCGATAAGGTTTCTAAGCGGTGGAAGATCGCAGGTGAGTTGCCATATGGGAAAATTGTCGGGGTGAATGCCGAACATGTGCTGATATCATAATCCAGAACAGCACTGCGAATTGGTTAAAATCGGCCTCGATAACCGTCTCACTGGCTTTGCCCATTGATTACTTGACCTCCAAACGAGAGGCATAGGCGGATCATTAAAAACAAACAAACAAGAAAGCAAGAACACTAGGAAAGGTCGGGAGTTGGATCGTGGGTTCTCGGGTTTCAATTCAGCGACGGGGTTTCTCTTTGGCGTCTGGGATATGTTAGGGGGACAGAGATACCCTTTTGGCTTGGTGTTAACGGATGGGATAGGGGGACCGGATACGGCGGGCTTCAACCTCAGTTCCAAGCTCGGCGAGGGTTGGATGAACACACACCTTGTTTGGCTCGATACCAACCACACGCTCCTCCCCCACATGATCTTCTTCTTTCTTTCCTTTTTCTTCTCTTTTTTTCTTCTCTCTTCTTTTTTTGGACTCTTTTTCTTTCGTCCAACTTATTTCTGATTTCCTTCCTCCTCTTCTCCGCTTCTTTTTCTAGTTATCAGTCAGGACCGGCCATGAGATGATAAACGACGAGCAAGGGCATTCCGTTTGGGCAGGTGGATGGGACGATTTCGTTGTTTCATTTCCGAGTCTATTTCTTGTCATCTGGGTTTCGATTTCCTAGCTAGATCTCTTTAGCTTTTCGTCATCTTTCCTAGTTTACGAAGACTATACTATGACCGGGACCATATTTTCATCTCGAGGTACTGAGAAACGCCGGCCCCTTTCGTGTCATCAAGGGTGTGCGAGTAGCCTGATTCAAAGTTGGAAGGACAAGCTGAAGCGCGATGGGCCTTGGTGGTAGATTCGAGAGGAAGGAAAAGACCGAGGAGCAGGTCCAGGCGTCGCGAAATGGGGAGCAACCCCACGATGATATGGCAGACGGTCAAAATAAGGAATGAACGACGGGATAGTGACGTATGAGATGGAAACAGACTAGACGGGAGAGGATACCAACGGGACACCGCAAACAGATATATACAGCCAGAGGAACCGACAGACAAGACGAACGTACCAAGCCAAGCGTAAGCCATCTCCATATATAACCTCCTAAGCCTCCCGGTTAGCCGCCTGCACTGCTCCCGCGAGACCAACCAGCGGCCGCTCCCAGGTGATAATCTCACGGTTTGGAATCAAACCCGGGCCGCTCCGCCTCGTTTCGTCGGCTTCGCCTGGCGAACGAAGGTAGTGGACCGGCGGTGAGGGGGAAACCAGGTGGAGGGCACGGAGATGACGGGGCTCAGAAATACGTCACGGGCCAGGATGAGAGGGGCAAAGGTAGCGGTTATCTCTCTAGGATAGGGAGAAATGGGCAATGTTGTAAAATTCCCCTTTCCGTCTGGGGTGGCAGAGTGAGTGTGGATGATGTGATATTAGTCGGCTTTTGTGGGGCCCTGCAGGTCGACGGCCGAGCAAGGCCGGCGGTTGGTGGTTGCGCCCGGATCTGACAGCTTCCGGGACGAAGCCGCAGCTGGAAGCTCGACGTTCCGGCCGAGAAGGATTCCCAATTTGCGAACACGTGCCAAATCTTTTGCCCGAAAGACGAAGTAAAAGTAGAAGCATGCAACGGCGCAAGTGCACTCATCAAATTTTAGTTTTACATCACTGAGTGCCGCACCACCGAAGGCAAGAGGCTCTTCGCTCTCCTCCCCTCCATTCTCTCCCCCACCCCCCTGATAGTAGCACAAACCCCGATACCAGCCACGCCGGGACAAAAGGAATGGTTTAGGACAAAACCAAAAAGGGATATCTGTGGTAGGTCATAGGGGGTAGTGTTTATACAGAATAAACCCCGCGCCCGCTCAGGCTTGCTGCAGTCCAACATCCATCTTCTTCCACCCCCCCCGTTATGCGGTCCAGATGCGCTTGATGGTCTCGGTGAGGCCCACGTCGGTGGTCTCGAACTCGTAGAGGGCCAGACCGACGACGGCGGTGGCGGCGTTGAGGCCCCACATGAAGACCTTGCGGGCGCGCGGCGTCCTCTTCTTGGGGAGGTAGTCGATGATGATGTTCTGGAAGCCGGTGTGCGAGTGGATGAGGATGGTGGCGCAGAGGAAGGCGTCGAGCGTCGGGTTCAGCGAGCCGGCCGCGAACGGGGTGACGGTCAGCGGGATCAGGGACGCCGCGACGAGGCGGTCGAAGGTCCAGTGGTAGGACCCGTGCGACGGGGACGGCTCGGGTACGGGGGCGGCGTCGTTTACTAGATATCGGAGGCTGCGGTTAGATAGGAGACGGCCAATGGTTGTGTTGATAGATGTTGCCGGCGGATCATGGTTCGAGTCGGTTGGTGGGGAAATGCGCTCATATCATACCTGTGCCATCGACGCGCTCTGTTCAGATAGTTAGCAAGTACGGCCTTATTACCAAGGAGATGGACGGTGCGCACGCGGAAGAGGGGGCAGGAGATCCCGGCGGGCGGTGGTGTGGAAAGCGGTTGTGGCAGTTGGGCGGGCGGCGCGGGCGATGACGTTCTGTTGGAAGGCTGGCCGTGCCGAAGCAACCTGCCTCAGCAGAGAGGAGCGAGCAATCGATGCCATGGTGTGTTGCAGTCAGCGGGCAGTCAATTGCTTCGATCGTGCGCTGCGTTGGGAGTTGATTGCTTCGGGGTTTCGACTGCCTGGTATATAGGTGGGTGGTGTGAAAGCGACGACGGCGGCGGAACGGGAGGCCCGTGAAAATGGTTGCCGAAACGGCGCTGCTGCTGTTGCTGGTTCCTCGGCAATCGGGACCACTGCCTGCCAATCGTCTTGTCGTTGATGTCAGCCGAAGGACCCCACCGAGAAGGTACCGGGTCGGAATGGGAATTTCTCCCCTCCCAGCGGACACCCGGGCATTCACACTGCCTTATCTAATCAGACTAACATAGTCATTCGCACGTGCGCACTTCGAGCAAGCACGGTGGAAGCTCCACTAAAAAGTGTCACCTGCGAGAATCGGTCAAAATTTTGGGATGGTTGAAGTTTGCGACGCGTTCTCGCGGCCGTGACTTTCTCAAACCGGATACGCTACCCACGACAACTTTACGGCCTCCTATCGGCGCCGTACTATGCTTACAAGTCGAATCGGATATTTATTCAGCTAATAGGGAGACACAAGAGTGGCAATGGCGCCCTCAGTGGCACCTCTCCTCCGGAGAGGCACTGTCTGCCGCAGCTGCGTCTTCGCATTCGCCAAGGGCGTGTCACCCATTCAGCGTAGGAATATCTCAACTGGCTGGCTGAGGAAGACGGAGGACGCAAAGGTGGATTGGGATAAGCGTGCAGAAGAGGTCAAGGCTGGGACGCGGCCCAACTTCTGGGACATGCTGGAGGAACGGGGTTACGTCAAGGACACGGCGGGGTATGTTGGGTTGCCTCCCCCCGCACCGTACTCTGGTCTCCTTTGTGTAATTACTGACATGATATTCATTTGCGTAGGTCGAGGGAGACGATTCGCGAACTTATGAGGCTCAAACGGACAGCCGCCTACGTCGGTATCGACCCCTCGGCGAGCTCGCTCCACGTCGGCCATCTCCTCCCTCTCATGCCGCTTTTCTGGATGTACATGCACGGATATGGTGCCTACACCCTCCTCGGCGGGTCGACGGTTAAGATTGGGGACCCTACGGATCGGTTGAAAGATCGAAAGCCCCTCGAGAAGTCCGAGCTGGCCATGAACCTCACCAAGGTGCACTTTCAGACCAAGAAGCTGTGGGTCAATGTCGAATTGCAGGCTAGGAGACACGGGTACGAGAAGGAGTGGGCCTGGAAACGCGGCTTGGTAAATAATAACACGTGGTGGAACTCGGTCCCTTTGCTTGACGTCCTGAAGCGCGTGGGCGGGTCCCTACGGATTGGGCCCATGCTATCCCGCGATACGTGAGTACGACCCTCGTTCACTATGTTCCCCCCATTCTGACTCCGACCCCTAGTGTTAAGCGGAAGATGACGGAAGGCGACGGCGTCTCCTTTGCCGAGTTTACGTACCCTATTATGCAGGGTTGGGATTGGTGGACGCTCTTCCAGCAGCGGGGGGTGCAGATGCAGATTGGCGGCTCGGATCAGTACGGCAACATCGTAACCGGCATCGAAATTGTCAAGACCGCTCGGGACAACGAGACGGATGCGGCCAAAAAGATACCTGCCAACGGCCCGATCGACGACCCGGTCGGTTTCACCGTCCCGCTCCTGACGGACTCGTCTGGTGTCAAGTTTGGGAAGACGGCTGGGAATGCGGTATGGCTGGATCAGTTCAAGACGAGCAGCTTCGATCTGTACGGCTACTTTGTTCGGCGGCCGGATGCGGATGTGGAGAAGCTCCTCAAGCTCTTCACCTTCCTGCCCCTCGACGTGATTGAGGGGGTCATGGCAGAACAGGTGGAGGACCCGTCCAAGCGTGTCGCCCAGCACTGCCTCGCCTACGAAGTGTTGACATTGGTACACGGAGAAAAAGTCGCGAAGGAAACACAGGAAGAACACCGAATGATGTATAGCAAGGGCGGCCCGAGAATTCCGCTCGTGTCCAAGGCGTCGGATGACGAGTCCCCAGACGAGCCGACGACCCTGAACAATGCGCCACGGATTGACATAAAACTCCCCAGAAGCTTGATCATGGGCACGTCGATCGGCCGCATCCTGTTCGCCGCCGGTCTCGCCACGAGCGCCAAGGACGGCCACCGGCTTGCTCAGCAACAGGCCGCCTATATCGGCGGTTTGCCCGGCCGCCGCCCCGGCAAGGGCCAAGCCATGGACCCGGAGCAGCTGACGTGGAACCCCGTCAAGCTCTGGTTCCCAGAGGAAACCAATAAATATTTGATCGACAACAAGCTCCTCATCCTCCGCAAGGGCAAGCACAACGTACGAATCATCGAGATGGTCAGCGACGAGGAATACAAGGACTCGGACGAGCACTACGCAGGCCAGCCGTACACGGGCCGTTTCCGTTATCTTCAAGAGTACATAAGCGCGCTGAGGCGTGGGACTAAGTCGGCTAGCGAGGTGCGGGAGGAACTGCGGCAACGCCTTTTGGAGGAAGACGAGGGGTTTATGCATGACTACCACCCGGTAGCAAAGAGCTCCGTGCAAATAAAATTCGAGAGACAGTTGGAGGCCCTGCTTGTAGCGCAGGAGATGGGGGTTACGAAAGAGCCGGAACGGAGTTAACTCAAACGATTTAATGATGACGGATCGGAAAGGTCTGTCGTGCCGAAAAGGGTTGTCTATACAATACCCGGGGGGGGCAGGACGCCGGCTGTATTGACGTAACGATCGAACGACGCTAGCTACCTACCCTTGGTAGCTCTGTATATCCATGTACTACTACTACATAGACCTTCGCTCCTGCGACCTGGGGTCTGGACATCAATGTACCATAAGCAACCCAATCCCACACACACCTACCCACCTACCTACCTGTAGAGAACCGTCATGTCGCCCGCCGGCGCGGGGAAGCTCTTGAGCTTGTCCATGATCTCGGCGTCGGTCAGGTTCTGCTCCGTGATGATCTGGTCGAAGGTGTGGCAGCCGTCCGTGTACTTTTGCAGCGGGTCGCCGCCGGCCGCCGGCCGCGCCTGGCCCGTCGCCAGCGCCGCCAGGTACTGCTTGGAGACCACGTACTTGTGCACCCGGTACAGGCACCCCTTGATCACCCCGAACTGCACCAGCCGCCGCACGTCCACCAGCCGCAGCACGTCCACCCCGCCGTCCATGTGGCCCTTGATCCACTCCGTCACCGTCTTTCCCACGCAGAAGCTCGTCATGAGCTTGATGAGCAGGTAGTTGGATACCCGGTGGCCGTGCGTGGTGCCGTTGGTTGTTTTGTTGCCGTTGGTATGGTTGTTGCTGTCGCCATTGCCGCTGCTATCACTAGCATCGCCGTTACTAGCGCCGTCCCCAGCACGGCCGCCATTGTCATCATCATCATCACCATCCCCGCCGCGGTCCCGCCCACCGGTGCCGGGCCCGACGCAGACGTAGTTGGCGCACTCGTCGACCATGCCGCCGACATTAGCAACAAAATCGTGAATCCCCGGGCGCGGCGCGTAGCAGGCGCCGAAGAAGAACATGTCGAGCAGCAGGATGGTGTCGTAGTAGAGCAGGTGGCGCAGGGCCAGCTGGGCCAGCTCGAGCGACACGTCGGCCTGGAAGGCGATGCGCCGCACGTCCGACACCCCGTCGATGTGCGCCGTCACCCGCTGCAGGGTTAGATCCCAGGTCGGGTCGACCACGTCCGCGAACTTCATCTTGGCCACGGGGACGTGCCAGCCTTTGACCTCGGGTGGGGTGGGGTGGTGCGGGAAGAGCTTCATGTTGATGGTGTTGGCGTCGTCTGGGGGTTGGGTGGTTAGTAGGGTGGTGGGGGAGAGTGGGAGGAGGAGAGGAAGGGGTGAGTAAAGGGGCAAGGACTCACCAACTGGGATCATGCACTCGCCGTAGTTGTTCAGGTCTTCCTTGATAATCTCCAGCAACGACCCGATCGGGCGCCGAGTGGAGGAAGCGTCGACGTCCTGGCTGAGAAACCCGCTCTGCTTCTCCATCTCGGCAAAAGTCACGGCCAGGCGGCGCACGACGCGCTCGTAGGGGACCTGGTCGACTTCATTCTCGACGACCAGGCCAAAGTTGAAGATGAACTCATTCCGGTCGTATCGCGGGCTGGGGATGGAGACCGGGAAGCCAAGAACGAAGTACTTGCCATCGGGGTCGGCAACGGTGATGTAGCGATTGCAGAAGGCCTGACGCGGGATGATGTACTCTTGCAGCACGTTGAAGTCGAACAGCGGCGGCTTGATGGTCGTGGGGCCGGAGACGGGGACGATGCAACCTGGTGGGCTTTGGGATACGATCTTGGTCCCTGGATAAGGTTAGCAGTCTGTTCAGGTGGGAAATAGAGCTGGATACGAATACCTTCTTGGGGAAAGAAACGGGCATAAAATATCCCCTGAATCATGTTGGATAGAAGAGTTTAATTGATCGTCTCACGACTCTTTCATGCTACTTGAACTCAGTTCATTTAAGCAAAAATAATGGTTTAGGTTTAGGGTTGATAAAATGGCATCTCGGGCTGATTGACGGTTGTACTCTTATGTATAGTTTATAAAGCAAAGTGTAAATCGGGATTAGATGGCACGTTGACGGCGGATGTGTATAGGTTGTGGCGGATGAAGTTCATGAGCCGTTGCTTTCAACATCGAGGTCCCCGTCACGGTCGTGAATCCCGATACAACCCTAACCCTGTACGTAATGTGTGATTTCGACACGAGAAGGATAGCAAGTTACTCTGATATAGAGGTCCTCTCGACTTTACGGTGTGGATTTTGAGGCATCATGACAGACTAACTCTCGGATAGCCAAGATTAGTGCTTAGTGACGCGATGGGGAATGAAGGTAGGCGCCTGCTTCGTTGCAACCGAAACAGGTTGTGTATGCACCCTGAATTGTAACAGCACCACCCCCTCCCGAGTGTCCATCTACGGTCTATATTTCCAGCTTCAGCCAAGTAGGTACTTAATCCAAAGCCGCCCGCTCCAACGCAGCCCTCCCAAGCGCAAAGCTACCCAGCACCCGCTGAAACAACCCCACCCAAATCCAATCACCCATCCAACCCCCCAGTGGGCGTGATATCCCTCTTCCCAAACCTCGCCCCCAACCCGCCAATATCCCGCTTAAAGAACATGCCAATATTCTTCAAATTCTCATTAATCGTCGCCTTCTCCTGCGCACCCACACCCACACCGCCGGCCCCCGGCGCTGTCCCCATCCTCTCGACCCCATCCCTCGCCGCATTCAGCAACTTCTCCCCCAGCGACGCGGCATCAAACCGGCCCTGCAACCCCGCGCTGGCCGCCCCGCCGCTATTCCCACCGCCCATCCCAGCGCCGCCAGCACCCAGCGCGCCCCCCGCCGCCGACGAGGACGAACCGGGGGCCATGAGCGAGGTCAGCAGCGGGGAGTTCTGGACCAGCGGGGGCGCGCCCGCGGCGGGGGCGGCCGCGTGGCCCTCGCGGTGGATGGCGAACAGCTCCATGAGGAGGGGCTGGTCGGGCTTGCGCACGCCCTTGAGGTCGAGGATCTTGCGGAAGTTGGTGTCGGAGCGGTCGCCGATGTGGATCAGGTAGGCCTGCACGAGGCCCTCGGGCGGGGAGGGGCGGACCTGCAGGGTCTTGAGCAGCGGGTCGATGCGCGTCATGGACTGGTTGACCCGCTTGATGAAGCCGGCCGGGGGTGGGTTCTGTGGGGTGGGGAAGGAGGGGGAGGACGGGGAGGTGATGCCGGTGGTGGTGGTGGTGGTGGTGGATGGGTTGTGGTAGGAGAGGAGGTTCTCGAAGGATTTGGTCAGGACGTATTTGTCGAGCAGCATCTGCTCGGCGCCGACTTCGCAGACGGGGCGGCATTGGACGATGTTGTTGATGTACGCTGCCGAGAGGTGCTCGACGAGGTTGTCGCAGAAGGCGCGGGCGTACTGCTGCTTGATGAAGAGCGGTAGGATCTCTCGGGCCTTGTCATTTACGTGCTTGAGAAGCTCGCCGACGTATGAGCTGTGGTCGCTGACGCTCTCCATGCGGCTCCAATTGGTGTTCTTCATCTCCCGCCAGGCGCTTTCGCAGTCGAGCTCGACCTTGGCTACCAAGGCCATGACGGCTGCGCTGGCTACTCCCATAAAAGAGTCGGACTGCGACGAGAGGTCCACCTTTGATGCCATATCGGGGTCGATTCGCTTCTTTATGCTCTCCTCTAGTTGGTTGGTGTTGGTGTGCCAGAAGTCTGCCGTGTTTAGAACGAGAATGGCTTCCTGAATAGGGGGTCCCTGCGGCCCGCCGCGTTGTATAAACGTGACCAGGACCTGTTGGGCGTACTCATCGAGGTACTTGGCCAATGTCCCACTGAGATCGAGCAATCGCTCGCCAGTAGACAGTTTGGCGCATTGTGAAAGCGTGAGCTTGTAAAAGTGAAACAGCTCGATCGCGGAGGGGATGACGGCCTGAGGAGAGAATTCCTCGTCGGCTGGTATGAGTGGCTGCGTCTTGTATTTTGGAATCATGGATGCCAGGGCTTTGTCTTGCGACTCGACCCATAGGCTCAGGTACGGCTCGAAAGCGACGGATATGGAGCCGTTGAAGCTCTGTATCCGGTCGTCGGCCGAGCTTAGGGTGTCGATGCTCGCCCGCGGTTCGCTCGCAAACCGGCGCTCCAAGCTCTGTTCAAAATCCATCGTCTCCTGAAGACAACTGAGGAGTAGGTTGACGTCTAGTTTGGCCCCGTCGATCCGGCGCATGCTCTTTTCGAGAATGCCCTTGAAGTCTTCCCGCGTGCCGTCGCAAAAGGCCATCCCTAGCGTCTCACCGACTCGCCAATGGGGCGGAAAGATAGCAGCGTGTTCCTCCTCGTGCGTCTTGAGCGTGCGCTTGAACCATGCGTAGCGCCGCCCGATATTGTCAAGGTTGCCTGCCTCGTCGTTGCCCCGGAAGACTTGGCGATACTCCCGGAGCTCCGTGTTGACGTACCACGTCACCAACCTCGTCTTGGCGTGATCACCGAGGGCATCCATGACCAGACAGGCTTCGACCAGGACGCCGCGACGGGCGGCCACCTCCCCCTTCGCAAAGGCCATCTCGAAATCCTCGCAGACTTGCTCGAGCAGCTCACGCTGCAGGTCGCTGACGTTTCGGCTCAGCACGGCAATCTGCTCAATGCTGCGGTAGCTGTTGAAGTGGCGCATCAACTGCAGGACGGCCTGCAGGAGGCCGGCGCATTCGCGGTACTGGCGAGTCCGGGAGAGGCCGCGCAGCTGCTCGTAGGCCGTGGTCAACATCTGCAGCCGTTTCAAGGCGGTCATGCTGAGGGTGAGGTTGCGCTTGGTGCCATCGAGGCGCTTGATGTCGGCCGTCATGGTCGTGATGTCTCGCTCGGTCTGTAGGGCACGACTGCGCACGCTCTCGATGCGCTGAAAGAGGGAGGCCAGCTCGGCCTGGGCCGACTGCATGCGCTCCAGCGACGAATCGGGCCCGTAGGCCTGGGTGGTCTCGAGGGCCGTAATCGAGCGGGAGAGGCCATCTTTATGACGCTGAATGGTCGAAGAGACGCGCGCGACGGAGGGGACGGTGGACGGGTGCGAGAAAAGCAGGTTCAGGTGCGCGATCGGATCGTACTCCACTGCGGCGAGACCAGGGAACATGTCAGTTACTCCTTCGCATTGCATCGCATTGCATCACGCCGAGGTTGATGGGAGTCCAGATTCCAGAGGGGGTCGGTTGGTTACCTGAATCAAGCGATAGGGATTCTGCAACGGCGATGTTCATGGTGCCTCTGGGCTCGTCTCGCTGCGGGATGTGTCGGGCAGGTAGTCGACCTCGACGAACCAGGGGCCACTTGCTGGTGTTTGTAAAGGGAGTTCAAGAGCGAATGCCAAGTACGACTTCGTCCAGGTAGTGTGTAAGACAACAGTGCCTAACTTGATTGGTCTACTGCGGGACAAGCCAACATTTAAAGCTGCTTTGGTGGGGAGGAGAAGGTACCCCTCGAAATGCTCCGAAGAAAAGTTAATTTGAGTTGCTAACCCTTGAATAATCATGAAGTAGAATATTAATTTCAATTCTTATATTTTATTTCACCTATCAAACGAAAAGGAACGTGATATTTAGGTAGATAACTCTAACTTGGAGCTGTTGGATGTTGTTGTCTCGTGGAGTGAGCTGAGCCGAGACCACCAATGCGGCAATGATGAAAAGACCCGCCCCCCCCAGCTCCGATAACAGATCCCAAGCACTGTTATCGCCAGCAATTTCGCAACTTCCTGACATGGAAACCGCACGAGACAAAGCAAGATCTAGGCTCGACTTTTTGAACTACCTGAAAACTCAAGTTCGCCTAAGCTGGGCAGAGCACACGACAACACCCCAATCATGATGCAACACCGGACATCATGGATACATCTGCCGTAGCCCCGACGCTGACCAGGCAGCGCATGAGCGTGGTTATTTTGACGCTTGCCGCAACCGCTGCCCTGGGCTACTTTTGCTACCGCGTCTACGACCCACCACTGCCCGAGCCCGCCCCCGACCGTCGCCTGCACCGGAGCAATGCTATCCGACACCGACGGCGCTCGCTTCCGGATGTCGTTCATTCCCACCACAGCCGCGAGCCTTCTGAGGCTTCCACCACATCGGTCGAGTCCAATGCCGACGAGAACGTCGATGTCAACACGGTGCGCCCCTTGAACGATGCCGAAACGGTCGCCGACGACCATGTCATGGACGACAATTGGTACGATGACAATAACAACCAGTTCGCCGCACAGCAGCAGCGTGCCGGCCAAAATATTGTCAGTCTCCTCTTCCGCGTTTCTGAGGACAATGCCCGCCGCAACGCCTACGTACATCGGGGCTGCCTATGTAACGGCTGCGGCATCACCCCGATCCGCGGAATCCGCTACCGCTGTGCCAACTGTACCGACTTCGATCTCTGCGAGACGTGCGAGTCGCAAGGGCTCCACACCAAGACGCACATCTTCTACAAGATCCGGGTCCCCGTCCCGCGCCTTGGTTCCCGCCCGCTGCAGCCTGTGTGGTACCCTGGCGACCCCGAAAATTGCTTGAGACTCTTGCCCAAACATCTTATGGCTAAGCTATCCAAGGAGACCGGCTTCGAGCGCCCCGAGCTGGAAGCGCTCTGGGAGCAGTGGACCTTCATGGCGAGCACCGAGTGGCGTGAAGACCCCGACGAACTCGGCCTGGCCATGGACCGCAAGACGTTCGAACGCTACTTGGTCCCGTCGGGTGGTTATAGACATATCGCGCCGAATCTCCTGCACGACCGCATGTTTGCCTTTTACGACGACAACGACGACGATCTCATTGGCTTCTCCGAGTTCCTGCGCGGCACGGCGTACCGCAAAAGGAAAGACAGGCTTAGCCGAGTATTCAAGGGCTACGACATCGATGGCGACGGTTACATCAATCGCCGGGATTGCTTGCGCTTGTTCCGGGCTTACTACGTCGTATTTAAACACATGCACCGGGATATCCTCGACGGCCTTGATGACCAGGTCATGAGCTCCACAGAAGTCGAACAGCTAGTGACCAGCCGACAGCCATTGAGCAGTTTTTTTGGCCGCGAGGGGGGGTTCTCGCAGGCCGATACTGACCGTCCGATGGAGGGTAAAGTGATCAACCTCGACACCGGGGAAGTTCACATCACGGATGGCACCACCAGGGCCCTAAACGAGGACACCCCCGACACCGCTGACCGCCAGTCCATCTTGACCAACGTATTTACCAGGCAAGCCCAAGTCACCGAAAATCTATTCATGCCCGTCATGGACCACCCACGACCGTCGGGGGAGAGAGGATCCGGGCTGGAATACCTGAATGGACTCCTCAACCCGCCGACCCGCATCAGTGAGCTGCCTGCGCTTCTACTCGGCGAGACTCGCGACGGTGATGACTTCTTTGTTGTTGTCAACGGTGGCCAAGGCGGGAATGGCGAGCAAGATGGTCAAGGTGGAGAGGAGGGTTCACCGAGTGCGGAGGAAACTGGAGATGACGGTGCTGAAAACCACGCCAATGCCAACAGATCGTCGGACCGTGAAGGGTCCAGGCCAGGCGGGCGAGACCAGGGTCGGCCCTCTTACAGGGTCGCGTCAAGCCGTCGGTTGAGGGTTACGGCGCGACGCAAGCTATTCGACCGGTGGAAGAGGCGGCAGTTCTACCTGGATGAGGAAGAGGGCATGATGCCCCCAGATGACTGGAGCGATGACGACGACGTTCTTGCCCGTGTCAACGGATCAGCCGACGACTCCAAGGCCGCGCAGCCTCCCCTCTCGACGCGATCTCGCTCATCCTCCAAGGTGAGATTCGCCGAAGACACAGACGATTTCGACGTCAGATCCAACCCTTCGACGTCTTCGAGGAGCATCCCCGAGAGATGGGGAGGCATGGAGATCCCGGATGCCGAGCGCGACCTAGGCAAAGAGATCTTCTACCAAGTGAGCCAGCAAGCCTACAACGAAATCCTCGATACCCTCTTCAAGGATAAAGAGGACCTGGCCGTTCAAGCTGCCGAGACCAAGGAGCTGCGCAATCAGCACAGGCCAGCCTTTCAGTCTATCAACCCCGACGAAGAGGAAAAGGCGGAGGCGAGCTCGCGCTCCGCTTCGGAAAAGCGCGAGGCATCCCAAGAAGAGTCGCTGCAACAACTGCTTGCGGCCACTGGGTATTCAGTCGAGAATGCTGCCACCCAAACCGAAACCAATACCGACGACGAAGAAGCGGAAGAGGAGGCGGAAGAAGAGGTGGAAGACGAGTATGAAACCAGTGACGACGATGACGACTCCATGCCGCCATTAATAGCAGACGAGTCACCCGCTGAGGACCTTTCCTTTACCGAATCCATCCCCTACCGCGACCCTACCATGCCTCAGTTCCGCCTCAACTCAGAACCAGCACCCCACCCGCGCGATCAGCCACAACCGACGTCAACAAGCTCAGCGAACGGCAGCGACCAAACCGTACCAGCTAGCTCCCCAACACCAACCACCGACAAACCAGCTGACACCACAGCAACAACAACACCAACAGCCAACGGGAAAGAGAAGAAATCCGCCGGCCCCACGTCGCCCCCCAAGCAGTTCCCGCGCAGCACGCTGGTCACGTGGAAGCGCCTCGACCTCGCCGAGGAGGAGGCCAAGGCCCGCGGCGGCTGGGGCAGGCTGAGCTACGACGAGTTTGAGCGCATCTACAAGGCCGCCGAGGCGCGGGGGACTCGTCTGGATTATCTCGGCACCTGGATCGACTTTTGCATCCCGTCTACCTAGCGGATAGGGCGGAGGCGGGGGTTGACGCGGGTTAGGGGAGTGGGGTGGGTGGGGTGAGCGGGTGAGCGGGTGGGTGGGCGAGTGGGCGAGTGGGTGGGTTGTGGGTGGGTGTAGGTTGGGGAGAATGCGCGGCTAGGTTTTAGATGGGATGGGATGATATGGTATCGGGATTGGGAATGGAGGGTGAGGGTGAGGATGGGAATGGGAGTTACACCTCGGTTGCAGTTTGGTTTCATGGGATAGCATGTAATTCTTTTTGAGACAGCGAATACCAGAAGTGACTGGCGAGCGTGTGTCGATGGATCCCAATGCTCGCTGTATGGTGTGAATGAACCAGCTCGCGTCTTGGGACTTGGAGATGCCTGGTAGTTGCTGTAAGTTGGCCAGGACACTGCAATTTTCCCTCTTCTCTATCTACCTTTGATCCTGGTCTGGTCGGTATGTAAGTACCAGAATGCAGGTTTTTATTTACTTCCTCGTGCGCTTCGTTGATGCTGATTTGCGTTGAGGGAGCGGGTGGCTGCGAGCATGTGTAAGGAAAAGGGGTAGTAAATAATGCGCACGGACCACCGTTGCCTGCCCCGGGCAACCACGAGGACTTTGGTCTTGTCGGTGGAAGGATGGTTCGAAACATAGTCATTGATGGCAATAACTATCAATCAGAGTATCAATACGTGTCATTCTAGAGCGTCACTGACCACGTAATTCAGGGCTAAGTGTGCGGTTGGGGTATTTGTTCTCTCCGGAGGATGGCGGCTCCAAGTTTCAACGACGCAACGCTACTGTAGGTTCGGGGAAGATAGTTAATTATGGGATTTGAACTATTTGCACTCCCCGTTACTCCTCTGTGTTAGATCTGCGTTCGTATCTCGACTCGACATCAGATTGTAGATACGTTGTCTGTTTTCCCAAGTGTTCGTGGTCGCTCAAAGAATCAAACACCCCAGGAATGCGCACGACCAGCCACCTAAAGTGCATAATTCTCGCCAGGATTCAAGGTTGGGTCTCTTAAACAGAGTGTTTCACCGGATGGACTCTCCTCCGACCATGGCCGCGAACGGAGAAGCCGGCAGGGAAAACGCAGACAACACCCGGCTCTTGTCCGTTTCGTACTTGGCCTCCCCTCTGCTCGCCGTTTCCAACTCTGCTCGGGGATTACCGTCGTTAGAGCGTGAGTCACGTCGCCGAGTTCTGGATCGCGTGCTATAGGTTGTGCCCGAGATGTATCCGATACCTCGGAGAGACATGATGTGCCCAGACCTCGCTCACCGTCTTTGCCGCGGGTCGAGACTCACATGATGACTAGGATCCTAGCGGTAATGATTCTGTGGACCGCACGCTTCTTCATCCTTGCCCCTTCGCTATCACAGGCCAGGTTTGGCGGCACCAAGTCAGAAGACCTCAAGCAACTGTGAGTGGGTTTCGGCCTCGAGGAGCCCAACGCGGCCCAACACCGTTCCATCGCAGCCGGTGGAGCAGAGCTCGCCTTCATTTGAATTCGTGGGTTTGTCGGCGGAGGGTACCCAACCCGCTCGACATCCGAGCTCTGAAAGCGCTCGATCGCATGCTGTTGGGCCTGTCGTCATCCACTGAGATGGCTACCTTGGACGGGCCGATGAGGGTGGACCGCGTGCTCCAAGTGCGTTGTGTTCTTGACGCCGCGTCTTCACAGTGCGTAGCATGAACAGAAACTGGTTTGAAAGTGAGCGGAGAGGGGTGAACCTCAACCATCCGAAGTGGAGTGTGCGGAACCGGGATGCCGAAGAATGAATTCCTATCAACCAACCGTTGGCCACTGCTGGCCTGGCATGCCTGGGTAGCCGGAGGTTGCGTTGCGTGGCCAGAAGCAAACAAACGTGGAGAGTCCCTAGCGGATGAGGTCGAGAGCGGCCGCTGGGATGTATTCTCCTCAGTCGGTGGCTCCGCGGACTCGGACATGGCTCCTGTGTTGTTGGAAGGTGGCGGGTGCCCTCCCTAGCTGACAGGTCACCCCCGGAAGCGCCCGTGAAGATGGCTTCCCTCATGCGGCAGCCCCGGGAGATGTGGTGCAGCATCTTCAGCGCGGCCGGCAGAAGATCATCAAAAGCTGAGGGAGAACGTGGCCAATCGAAGTTTGAGATGGAGTGGTGCGTGACAGATTCACCCATGTAACAGATGGAAACCCGTGGGAGACAGGGCTGATGGGTGAAGCCACGGCGGCGACCCTGTGGTTAGACTTCTCGCCGTGGCCAATCACTTAAGTGTATAAAAACAAACTTGTCATCGCAGGGGTCTGGCGAGACAGCTCCGCGGACTGTCAGGTCTTCGCCCTTCTACCACTGCCGCATGAGGAAGGATACAGTGTGAAAGTCGAGTATCGTGTCTTTGATAGTGATGTTGTTTCTGTGACGGCATGATGTATCATATGATTCAGGGAAGGTCCAGGCTGCGTTAGGCAACGATGTTCGAATTTTCTGGGGTAACCGTTTGGAGTGGGCGGAGTTCTGGCAGGTGCGAACGGAGCAGCGGACCTTCAACAAGGAAAAGTCCCAAACTCAAACTCGTGGGGCATGGATGGACCTTCCATTCCACATCCCCCTCAGCCCCGGATCTTTCATGAAAGCCCGTCAAGGTGCTTTCCGGCGCCAGATCTGCACATCGATTGAGAAACTGAACGCCACGCCGTCTGCCCTGCTCGCATTCATTCGCAAGAATTGCTGAGTTGGGCCCCCCGAGCAAGCCATTCATGAAATCCCCGTGATTGTCGACCCGGCGCTCTGGATCTCAATTTACTCAGGCCAATAGCTACGTTTCATAAAGCAATAAGCGCTCTTGCTAGGGCCAGGTTGATTACCCACGCGCCTGTTCGCCCAGGCAGACTTACCACAGCCCCCCCATGTCCCCCATTCTCGGCAGAGAGACAAAAAAGCATCGTGGTATTTCCCGCAGGCCGCAGACAACACAAATCATGTTACCTTGGGCCGCTGCATGGCCAGCAGATTTTGCTCCCGCGGATTCGGGTCGTGTTCCCGAACCGTCGTATTCGACCGGAAAATCCATTGCCAACACGTCGTTCCATCAGATGCAGTCGGGGGGCTGATGACCAGAGTGTCCCACATCCCTGTTGTCATTGACGCATCCTCTCCGCACCATCTGGCTTTCACCGCCGCAATCTATCTGTCCTCGTGCAGTTGAATTTGGGGGTTAAGCGCGCCACGGCGTCTCAGCGCTTAAACAATCCATCCTCCTACTGGTAACGAATATTCTGGGCCTTGTTCACCTGCTTGCAGATGTCGCACGCTCGCTCGACCACATCCAGAAGTTTCTTGTGGCACTCCCTTGCAGCCTGCGGTATGAGAGGGGGGTTGAAAAAACTGGCAACCTGGCGGTGGGATCCATGATTCCGGTTATTAGGTCGCCGAAGCTGAGGTTGTTGGTCCTGAGATTGCCCTGGCTGCAGCGCTGCTCCCCCTTTCACTGGCCAGCCCAGACTGTCCAGTTTGCACACATTCGACGAGGTCTTTCGTCGACCAGGTCTTTCCCTGTATCAAGAATGCTTTCTCAGCAGAACTCGGATCGATCAGGTCGTCACAATAGCGCATTAGCGGATCTCCGTTAGCTGCCGTTGACAATCTTGACAGGGACATGGATTGTGGTGGAGAGGCCGAGAGGGGGTCAACGACACTATTGTTTGCGCACTCCACCATTCCGCAAACTGCCGTAGCTCGCCGACTCGGGCGAGGAAGCAGAGACAAAAAGGGTAATCTCCAGCCACGACCAACAGCCCTCTTCGATGTTCCCCTGCTTAACCGTTTAGGGAACGCCAAAACACCCCCTGCAGGATGGCGCTTCCATGCTCACAGACTCGAAGATGCGGGGGTACCCGTTCCATCGCCCATCGACTCTCATCCTTGTTCCCCCACCACCACGACCAAGATGACTCCATGCAACCTGGGATGGCCCTTCCTTCCTCCCAACGACCCTCTCCTCTTCGGGTCCGAGACAGTTCTCCACGACCCGCCTTCCCCGTCCTTAGCTGGTCCGCCGCGGAGGCTAATCTTCATCAGAGTTGAACGTTATCTCGGTGGAACTGCGACCTTCCTCACCCCGGGGGGGATCCGCGTTCTCTCGGGGGTCTCAACCTCAACGGTCAAGCTGAGACAAGGAAAGGTGGACAACACAACACCACACCGCATAATCTCGGAGCAGCTGAGACTCGTGGCGCGGAAAAAGACGGCGGCTCCCCCCTCCCGCACCGCCCAAAAATCAAAAAAAGACTGTACTACTTACTTGTAAGAAAGAAAAAAAGAGACTGATCATCCCGCCCGTCCACCCCTAAGCGCCGCCATGCAGCCGCAGCAGTATGCACACTGCACCGCCATTTCCTTCCGGACGGCCACGGCTACCACACCCACAGACGGCAGGAAGAGCTGGGGGGGGTGTGGAGAGAGAGAGAAAGAGAGCAGAAAAAAAACGACCAGTCACTCGCCCTCGGCCGCGCCGCTGCAGCGCAGCAACCAACGGCGCGCTCTGATTGCGTGCCAGACTGTCGGGACGGGGGCCACTAGCGCACGGCGCGCCCAAAACGGCTTTCTGCCTCTCTCTCCCTCCCTCTCTCTGCTCAGCGCAGCGCAGCAGCGCCCATGCCGTCCCTCTTTTTTTTTGTTGTTGCTGCTGCTGCGCTGACCATCCATCCATCCACCCGCGCGCCTCTCTCTCCCCCTCCCGCTCCCTCTTGTTGGGGCAGGCGGGGGTGGGGGAGGGCTGATGATGGATGGATGGATGATGCTTGTCCTTAGCTCCCTAATATCGGGTGGGTTTTGTTTGGGCATGGGGTTTCATTTGGGGTATTATTCTCCGCGCCAACGTCAATGCCAACGCCAACGCCAACGCCCGTGACGGCGTGGTGGTGGGTGGGTATGGCCGCGGGCTGCTCGGGGCGCGTGAGGAGGATCCCGAGACAGATTTCGGCAGTTGTCAATCTCTGTTTTGCTTCTTCCCTCCCCCCCCCCGGCTCACCTCCCCTGTTTGTGTCTTGCTCTGAATGTCTTGTTTCCGTGCCAGTCCCTTTTCTTGGCAAGGTCGCGGCGATCAGGAACGAAGGATGGATGGGGAGGGTGGAAAGCAATCCAGGGTCACCAGGCCTTGGTAGATGGAACAAAATCAGATTTGCTACAACGCCGGATAAGCCAGTGCGCGCTAATGAAAACCACCGAAACCATTTTTTCAAACACGAACCGTGAGATTATTATCTAGGCACAAGAGAAAAGACGACCGTAGAACTCCGTGATATCGAGTCCAAATATGAACGAATGAATCCAAGGCTCCTCAACCATGCTCCCTTCTCAAGTTCCCAACCGTTGATGACGTGAACCCCCCGAGGTGTGCTGCCCAGCCTTCTTGGTATATCACCTCGCCACCGGCACTGAATAGGGGACGGTGGCGTCACAGTCGTAGCACTTGCCCTCGGTTAAGCGATGACGCAGCTTTCTGCAGTCGCAGACCCAGAGGGCATTCCCCTTGTTCAGCGGCCTGTGCAGGTCAATGACATCGCGCGGTTTGTAGAACCCTTTCCTGAGGCCGCAGTCGACGCAGAAGCGCCGTTCCTCCGACGTCTTCCTGGCACGCGCGTGCGAGGTCGAGAAGGTCTCGGTGGCCGGCACAGTGCTGGCGCGCCGCCCCTTGGCTGCCGCCGAGGCTCGGAGGCTGCTTCGGGTCAGGCTGGGATCGTAATGCGGGTTGGCTGGGGGCGACAGGCTCGAGCTCTTCGACGGCGGCGGCGTATACGACTGCTCTCTTTTCACTCCTTCGTCTTCACCCTCTCCCTGAGAAGCTAGCATGCCGTATTTCTGAGACTCAAAGTATTCGAATCCCCTAAACCGGTAGCAGTGGTAGCACCCAAAGAGGTTGAAGTTCTTGCGCGGTTTGCTGGTGCGAGGGATGTCCGACTCCTCAGGATCCTCACGCCCCTCATTCTTCTCCGCGCTCAGCAGGCCACCGATTTTCAGGCGGTCGGGGAGCCTGTCCGGGTGGAAGTTCTCTCGAAACCATCGGTTGGTCCGATAAACTTTCCAGCAGTGAAACCAAGTTACATGCTTTTGAATCTCGAGGATGACGTCGGGTGACAGTTGCTGCAGAAACCTCAGGAACGGCCCGGGTTCATCTGGCGTGACTGATTTTGCCCGAGGCTGATGTTGTTGCGGCACTTGATGCGAGGGCGGGGTTGGCAAAGAATGGCAAGGTGTGGGAGCGAACTCCTGAGGCCAGGTTTCGTAGTGCAGGGGCGATGGTTGATAGTGCAGAGATGATGGCTGATGATACAGGGATGATGGTTGATGACGGTCGAGCGAGGTTGGTTGTTGGTGTGGAGATGTCGGTTGTGTATGCATCGTACCGACTGAGTAGCCGCTGTATGGAGGCAGCGGCAGAATTTGTCTCGGGGCCTGGAAGGACGAGTAGAATGGGTGCGAAGAAGTGGCATGGGCATGGAGAAGTTGTGACGGCAGCGGCGTGGTAGGAGCTCGGAATGCCGGCAGGTGTTCGTGGGCAAGTGTCGGGTAATTATTCCTCGAGTATATCACAGGGCCCGCCGCAGGGCCGGAAACACCAGACGTGGGGATGTGCTCGTGGGCAAGCGTCGTCTGGAACTGATTCCTCGGGTACAAAACAGAGTCGGCCTCCAAGTCGGAAACGCCAGATGCGGGCGACACAGTCCGTGAGATTCCGACATTGTGGGTGGTAACGGCATCATATGGGACCGAATATGATGTGGATGAGGAGCTTGACGAGACCGAAGACGAACGCGCCTCCAGGGGCTGTCTGGGCGGCGGTCCGGTAGGGTAGTACCCTTCGTGGTGGTGATAAGTCATGTCGAAGCTGGGATGCGTGGAAAGTGTTTGGGGGTCAGGGACTTGTGGGAGGAGGCGATGAGAGGAAGCTTCCAAAGTGGATGTTGTGGTTGTGCTGTCGTCGGTGAAGTAGGTGGTGGCTTCCACTATTCGTAGGCCGAGCAATGGATTGGCGAGAAGATGGGGGAGCAGGTTTTGCGGAGCAAGCGATTCAGGAGCCACAGGCTTAGCTTCTTATATGTTGTCCACGGGCAACACGGCAGATACTGCTCGTCTGGTGCTGTCGGCGCGAGGTAACTCGGCAGCTGTCCCTAGGCTTCGTTGGGACTGACTCGTCTCGTAACTGGACGAGGCCAGTCGCCTATCAGGCCGAGTCTAGGAGGCGCCCTGTCTCTGCCTCGTCAAAAACGGCCTGCTCCGTGGGGAGGGGTCCACCAGGGCCAAATGGCTCAAGTTCCGCGGGAAAAAGACTGGGAGACCCGGACGGTTCCAGGAGGAGTCTGCTAGACCTGGGATTTACCCAATATCGCAAATGCTAGATGGCAGTCGACTGTGTTTTCAGGATTTATCTCTCCCGTGTATTATTTCGGTGCGGTCCGTGGCGGTCCAAGGATGACAACATTGAACTCAGCAGCTGGAGGGCCAAGTGCAGACAGAGTTGGTGATCCAGGGGTGTGAGGGAAACGACTCGAGCTCTGATCATCTGACAGAGACGGAACGCGGCCTGCCGTCGACTGGAGGTACCCGTACCTCGGGGAACCTGGATGGCCAGGAGAAGCGCCCGCTAAGCAAGCTGCCCTGGTCGCCGGGGGTGTCCTCCCGGTAGCCTTGCGATCCTGCCCTGATTGGCACCGAACGCCCTGTGAGACCTGCAGAAGGGAATCGAAGCGACTGAGTGGGTAACCTCCTCGGCAAGGTCTGGGTCCCAAACCCTGAATGTCACTGTTGGCTTCGTCTGCACTCGTGATTGCTCGTCGGAAACGGAGGTGGGAACAAGATGACTTGTCGGAAACGGTGACTCGGAACTGACTCAGGATGATATCAAAGGAACGGATCGTCGCTGTGCTGCCCACACGATATTCTTCCCTTCAGACCCGGAGTCTTGTGATGGATGCAATCGAAGAGACTGTTAAGCATACCAGTTCTAAATCCCCAACGTTTCGTGTGACGAGTCGCGAACGTCCGAGGAAATCATTGTGGGGGGGGGGGGAGAACGCCAAAGTGGTCGGCAAGAAAACCGAAGCAAGGATTGAGAAAGAATTACTCCTAGGGTTTTTTTGTGCGGGGGGGAGGCTTGCTGGAATTACCTGTCCGAATGCGCCTGCCGTGACATGTACCTATCTCCGAAACGAGCAAATATAGACATGTACCGAGGTATTAAGACATCCCCATAACCCCAGTTGAAGAAGCCGTTAAATATTCATGGGTGCTTTACATGTTCGTAATGGGAATGCAAAAGAAACATGATTCAAATGGTCCGGTGGGCGATCCTCTCTCGCAGGGTCGCAAGCGGGTTTGTCCATGGAGTCCGCGGAGGGCGGTGGATGAGATGGGAGATCTCTAGCCTGTCTTGGCTTCATGCTTTGCCTCTTGCCATCCGTTCCAAGCAGGGGCATCTCGATCGGGTTCTGCAGAGTGCGGCTGGCGCTGCCATGCACCCCCCCCCCCCCCCCTGCTCCTCGCACTGTAATCACGTACATACAGAGTACGGCATACAAGATTGCATGTCCTGACTGTATAGGGCTTCAGCTGTTCCCAGACTTATCCAAATTGCTGCATCTACGTGTGCCGTCATCGGCCTCAAAGTTTATCGTTCGACCGCACATGCCCGGTGTGCAAACGGAAGGGCCTGGGGCCCTGGGCGCGCTGGTGTGGGCTGCGCAGGCAACGAGTTGACCGAGAGATGGCGGAAGGCTCGACATGGGAGAAGGACCTGCCAGGACCCCGCAACCAGGCCGGCAGCCCAGGGAAAGCACGCTGCTCGAGAAAGGCCTGGTGCAGGCGGAAGAGGAAGGCACCGGCCCATGGCCTATGAACGTCGAGAACCAGCCCCACTCCAATAACTTTCCAACCAACACAATCTTGGCACAAAAGAAAGAGCCAACCAGAGCTCGCGGTATACTGTGTCACACTGTATTACCGTTCTGCTGGGACAGGAGAACTCATTTGATAGGCTGGACTGCTTGGCCCCTGGTGGTTGTCAAGGCAGGGGCTTCCAATGTCTCGCGGACCATGGAGATTGATGAATCTGTCGCAATTCTTTGGTAAGAACGACTTTGCCAGTACATATGCCACTCTTTTTGGTGCTTCACCGATCTCCACGTTAAAACCGCGCGATTTTCAGGCTCGGGACCCCGTTGCTAACCCACAATACTCCAAAAATAAACACAGGCCAGCGCTGTTATTTTGGAGGTTTGCAAATTGCAACCATCCCCATCCCGCCCCCAGCCCCATCCCATGTTGGTAGTGAGGACCCGAGAATGAGGTGCCACGTCAGACAGAAAAAGGTCTTAGCACGGCGCAGCATAGCGCGTTTGAGCGGGCAGTCCATACGTCAGTTTCTCCCGTTGTGCTGTGATGGCTCAGACCGTCGCGGCCTCGAGGGGGCGGAGAGAGTTGCAAGTCCAGACGGGTCGTGTTTGCGGCTGGCAATCAAATTCCAGTTTGAGGGACACCCAGAACCGAAGGAGGAGGGGCCCATAATAATCTCTCGCTTCGTTGGCTAGGAGTCGCATGATGGATCCTCGACTGACGAGTAAAATTCAAACTTCTGAAAAGGGAAGGAAGGCGCTGGCATCCAGCCAGCGCAGCCGCCGAGACATGGCGTCGGCACCTTCGTCCTCTCGACGCACATTTTCTACGGAAACAAGCGCTTTCATTCTGCGACGACTTCCATCGTGCAGACACTTATTCGAGCTCGCGAAACCCCCTGCAGCCTTAATTGGCGAGACCAAGAACGAACACCACTGGATCAAAGGGTTCAAAGACAATGGCCAACGCTGAAGCACGCAAGTCGCAACTCGGCTGCCTGTCCGGTTGGTAACTCAGCGACCACATGATTACGCCATAGATGCAAAGGCCAGCCTCGACGCATCTGTCATGTAATTCGCGACGGCAGCGGAAACATCGGCGCATGTCGGAACCAGGTTGAGAACGGCCAGCCACACCCCCCCCCCCCTCTCCCTCTCCCTCTCCCCCTCCCTCTGCAACCCACCCCCGGTGCTCGCCTAGCGAGCTAACCTCCGGGTATCGTTACCGTGAATTATCGCGCCGGCTATCGCTCCCGATGCCAAGTGTCTCTGGTTTTGGGGCACAAATCACCGAAATACCTCGGCCGCTGCTAGCGACTGTGTACGAATGTGGGAGTTCAGGGTGCGACAAGCTACCCGACTCGAGAAGGGATCGCCCAAAACAGGAAGGACAATGGCTAGAGCACCCTTTTGAGAGTGGTGAAATGGACTTGAGGCTGCGATGAACGATGCAAGCACTGCCTATTTTCACCTCCTCCCCTCCACCAGCCAGCACGCCTGAAGAATACGCCCCATGATTGTGACTGGCCGGGTTGGCGCGCTTGAACCGGATCCAGCGGCCTAAACCTCTCCCACATTGCTCATGTGGGTTGCTATATCCTTTTTCTGTCCCCTATAACTCACCGCCGTTGGTAATCACCTTTCTGCATCGCTGAACGGTTTCGGTACCCCGTTGGGCGCTTCCCCGCCCCCTCGTTTATCCAGTCCTTCGGTACTGAGTGCTCTACTTCAATATGGGAGTTTGCTAAACCTCCAAGGCAACAACAGCCCATAACGTTAGACGCGTCATAGGACATGGCGGTTCATATCCACGCTGTCCTTATGGAAGGACTATAACTATCCTCCATCTTTGAAGTCTCCCGATACCATAACTTGAACCGCCAGAGCTCTGAAGGCAACACATAAGATACGTTTGGTGAGGGTTACCGTTTCCCACCGCCGTTGGCTCCTTGCTGCAGGTAGCCACCTGGCTGAGTAGGTAGGCAAACCGATTTCAATGGTGGGCACATTTTCTCGAATGCATCATCACACCCCGTTCGGCGTCTCGCTTAGGCTCATACTACTGTCGAGCTCAGTTGGGATCTTAGGGGTGTGGCTGCATTCTCCCCAGAATCCCACTGCACACTGCACACACGTCAGCCTATCAGAGGATCTTGTGAATGATACCCGCGGATGCAGCTCAAGATCGTTTCCTTAACCCTCGGCCCCTGAAACACACAGCCTTGCTGAGCAAACAATACTCTAGATGTGTGGCTTTGCGGTCCAACGGCGAGGCAAACAGCCAAGTGTGCGTCTGAGTCTGGCAACCAGGAGGGTAAGGCGGCGGGTAAATCTCTCCAGGGACCAGGCTGCACGTTCCAGAAACTCGCGCATGTGGGTTTGGCGTGCTTGTGAGGCTGGCGATACCTGTGCTGAGCCTCAGTATGGCGTTCCCCAGATTTGTTGCATCACACACTGTGGCCGCGAATTCGGGCCGCCCGGTAGAGGGACCGCGTTGACAGATCTGAGACTGTCTCCACAGACGAGGAGGCGGTTTAAGACAGACAGTCCAGCTTGGACCCCGAATCCCAACGCTGAGTCTACCTTGAGCTAGTTATCTGGTGTGGCTTATCACAGGGCGGCCAACGGCCCCATACTCATGCCCTCATTCGTCTGACTGGGTGTCCCTCCTGGCCCGAGCCGAACAGTAACGGTGGTTGTCCGAACAAGCGCTGGCCACTTGTGTGGCTTGTCAGACAACCGTCGCCCAATGAGGCCGCAACAACTGCCGATGCCCCTTTTCCGGGCATCACCCCCTCTGTGAATGGACGGCAACGAGAAGGAGAGACGAAGAACGAAGCGGAGAACAGTAACAACCAACACCACTCCCAGTACACACCCGCCCACCCACTACCCGACCACAACCCCCGCGGCAGCCTTCGACCCCGCGGTAGCCTCGACTATCTCCCCCCTTCCCCCAAACCGAACAACATCAACCCCCACACAGCACCCCCACCCCCACACCACACACACCCCCCACCACTAATCAGCACCAGCACGACCACCAAACACTCCCGTCACCACTAGCACCAGCCAGCCACCACCACCACTTCCGCCACCACTGCCGTAGGAACCACCCCCGCCTCACTAACCGGAATCCCACTAATGACCACCACGTTCGTGGGCGTCAGCAGCCCCCGTGACAGTCACGGCTGGCAAGGCCGTCGTCGTGAAGGCGACCGTCTCTGGGAAGGTGAGTAGGGACTGTACTGTGGTTGAGGTTGTTTGGGGTTGGGGGTTGAGTCTGGGGTTGGGGTTGTGGTGGAGGCTGTTAAGGAGTCGCGGTGGCGGTGGTGGTGGTGACGGTGGCAGTTACTGTGACGGTGGTCAATTCGGCTAGGGGGGGGGGCGGCTGTTGTGCGGAGGGGGATGGTGATTAGGGATTCGGTGGTGGTTCGTGTGTCGCTGGTGGTGGTGGAATTGACTGCTGGGGCTGGGGCTCGACGGTGGCGGTGACGGTGACTGTAATGGCGCTTAATAGATGCGGTTTTGGATTGCTCATGTCTTTGCCATGGTGGGAGCGGGTATCGAGGTCCGCCGCGTCGGGTTTTGGGTCCTGACGGGAGCGAAAGAACACCGGGAAGAGGCTCCCCAAGGCAGAGGGTGGTGGCGGTAAGGGGGTGTTGAAAAGCGGCGAGTTGAGCAGGGGGTGGTTGCGAGCAAGTACTGGCGCTGCAGCAGCCAAATTGGCAGCGTTTACAAGCAAGACACCAAAAATAAAGAGTGAAGACATCGTGGCTTTTGCGAGAGTGTTGAGGCTCAGGGGCTTGGACTGAGTTGGGGCATGAGAGAGTGGTTCTGTTTCTGCCCCAATCTACACTAATCTTCCCCTCCCTTCCAAAAGGGCCTTGATACACTCTCCTTTCTTAGTTGGTACTCCTCATGGCTGGAACACAAAGTTGCACAGAGTGGCAAAGGCGGGAATTTGTGATATGTTTGCCAACGTCAGTCCGAGGGTTATCCGGAACCCATACTTAGCAGACCGGATGTGTCTCACACTAATGTTCGGTGCTTTCCCATGGCTCTGCGGATAAGGAATATAAAACTCTCCGATGTTTGATATGACGGCGAGTGGCAATGGTCCGGACTTGGATGAGAGCGATTCATTAGCCCCTAAACCTAGAATACTGAAGCAGGGCAACCCTTCTTAACTCGGCCGTGGTGTGTTGTCGTGTGGGATAGGACAAACTACAAGTGCAACTAAGTACTGTAGCTGTGTAGCGGGTGTTATGAGACAGTCTTACTTGACGCCATCTTGTAACACGTGAAGCTTTTATGCTGCTCGGGCCAGTGCCTCTAATTAGCTTAGCGGTTCTTTGTGGTTGTTCCATGTGTAACCTGCCTAGGGGGGAGACTTGTCACTGTTAGAAGGACACGAAGGACTAGAATATGCTTTCAGTTGTCTAGCAAGGCTTGGAATTGCCAGTTGGGTTACCAGCAGGGGACCGTTGGGAAACACCGCAACTCAGGGGTTGCTCGTCAAGGGTTGCTCAGCAACCCCACAGGTTTGTTGACATTACCAACAAAGCCTTACACAGTGCCTCGAGGTTGTCAGTGATCCTGCGTGTGTAGTGAATAGTAAAGACTGAGCTAATGCCCGTAATCTTCATGAGTCTTCGTCCGAGAGATGGTCGCCCAGCACAGTGTCAAGTTGGGATTCATGGAGTTGGCCACGAGCCACCCGCACGTGCTATATGTATTAGGTCCGCGCTCCCGATGTCCAACGAGGACCACCGCCCACTCGACAGTTGGCCAAATGGTAACTGGCGGTGGTCCTCCCCCGGGCAGCACTCACCCCCCTCCCGACGGGGAGCTCGTGGGTTCGAGCCGCGACACTGCCCGGGGAATTTCTGAGCGGGGACGCCCGCTTAGGACGGAGAAAAACCCCTCGAGGGTTTTCGTAACTGGCCACGTCCCCTCCATCAGTGGCGACTGACAGCGAGGGGAGTTGGCCGGTGAGCTTTTGCTGTTTTTTTTCTTTTGTGCCCGCACTGCCCTTCTCTCACCACATTTCTTTTGTTGTTTGTCCGCCGCATTCCCGGATTTCGACATCGCTCTCTGCTCGCACACCCCCGACTATCCAGATCAAAACTGGGAGGTACTGTCGCCTGTTAGCGTTCTTTGTGTTGTTTTGCGATAAAATGTATAAGAGTTAACATTACCACGAACTCCGCTATAAAGCTTGCATGGTTTTCGGCGGTCTCGATGCATATGTGACTTTTCATCACATGGGTGAGCTTGAGAAGTTTACCTCTAAGCTGCGTGGGTCGTGTTATTCTTGCCGTGGAGGTTGCGGGCGCTCCCTGGCCCCTTGGTCGTAACTAACTCAGCCAAACCCTCTCCGCCGTCCTTCAAGACCCCGAATCTCCCCTAGGTGCATCTTAACCATTGGAATCAATACCCATATGCCCATAAATCCCCAAAAGTAGTAACCACCGGTTATTCCCAGCGTCTTGGGTGGGGATTAGAGGAACCTGCCTCCGTGGTGCGGCCTCCCATCTTCCTTGATCCCCCTTTCTTTCCCGAGTTCCCACAGCCCATTGCGAGCAATCTACAGAACTCTGCCACGAAGCCTGACTGGCCCTCCAAACTGTTCCTTACCGTAGGTGTCGCAGAGTTCGAACATCTTCCTCACGTGATCTCCCCCTAGAACCGGTTCGCCTCCAAGGCCAGCTCCGAGGCAAGTCGACGACGGGGTCTACCAGCAACGGGAGAAACTAGATAACCTCGGATTGTTGCGACAAGCCCACCGTCATTCGTGAATGGCTCTATCTTCCATCCATTGGTGCCACGGCCCTGACCTTTCTACTTCACCAGGAGCCATTCACTCTCCTCGATAATCGCTGCTTTACCTCTCAGAACCCCAACCTCCATCGGGATTCCCAGCTTCGTTCTTTCTCTCCCCTGGGCCTCAACACTTCGACCCACGCTACCAGCCTCCTTTACCGCACGCCACAAGACCTGCTAACAAGGGCTGGGCTTTCTTCTTCCATCTTCACAACAAACAACAAAGCGCACGGCACAAGCTGCGCTTCTTCGCCACACATTTTCACGTCTTTCCTCATGAAAGTATATCCATAAAGTATATCCCCAGGATAACATACCTCGGATTGCTATTGCAAACCACCAGCGATCCCTCTCCAATCCCACGATCAAGTCAAAAGCGAGAGTGCTACTGCGTGTTTGCACAACGGGTAGCACAGCAGCCGACACAAACTGACCAAACAACCACGCAAGCAGCTTGTCACAATATACGAGCGTCCCCGACACAAAAGATCGGACACCGCCAGTTCTGGGCCTCTACACGACGCTCTGCGACTCTGCGACTCCGCGACAAGAACCAAGCTCAGCACAAGGGATCGTCTCAGGATGTCGCTCTCCAAGGATACTCGGGCAAACGCCACGGTCGCCCTCGGGCCTTGCGACGACAAATCTTCTAACATGGACGGTATCTCTTGTTTTAGGTCAGCAGACGGGAGTGGCAATGAAGCTCCGATGCCGCCTCACAACGTCGCGGCCGATGCTGTTGAGAAAGCAAAGGTTAGCCCTTGCCGATGTCGTGGTGGAAGTCACCACTTACGATTAACTAGGTGTTGCCCCAAACCGCGAACGAGCACCAACCCAAGACCATCTCAGAGCATGCCACAGAGACAGCATCATTAGCCGAACATCTCACGCAACACGAAGTAGAGGACAATGATAGCGGCCGGGGCGGCCTCGGCCTCGGTACCCAGAGTGCTACCGTCACCAAGAAGCCCGAATGCGAGGAAGTCGATATGCTACCAAACCCAGGTGTCATCAGCGAGGCGGGGGGGCGAACCAGCTTGGAAAGTCTCGAGACGGAGATCGAACTTCCCGGTGACTCATCAAGGTATGCTTTTAAGTGATAACCTGTGACGCTGGATGCGGGACGGGGTGTTAACAAGAGGGCGCCGTAGTCCCCAGCAGTTGCTGCCCCTCGCAGCAACTCAGGTTGCGCTGCTTGAGATATTGTCAAAGACGGACTTCGAAGCCATCGAGGCCAGCAGTTGCGCCGATGAGCAAGAACTCATGGAGCCCTCGGCGGAAATCGTGCCCACCAGCAGCAGAACAGGAACCCCGCCGGCGGATGTAGGTCCCGAGCAACAGGAAGAGCAGCCAGAGGGGTACATCGCCATGCCGCCCTCGCCTGCGGGCAACGTCGGGAATGTCGCGGCTGGCGTCGAGGATTTCTTCAAGGTCCAACGATCGGACCTCGGCGGGCTGGGAGCTTTCGCGGCCCGAGAGCTCTTGAGGGGCGATACTATCCTGGTGGAGCGCCCGCTGTTGCGTACGACCCATTTCCGACTGCTGCCGGATTACCACAAGCTTTCGGATGCGGCGAAGAAGGCGTATCTGAGCCTCCACAGCGGCGAGGATGGGGATCCATTCGGCAGAATCGAGCAGATCAAGGTGCTGAATTCGTAAGCCCCGCGCCTCGTGAGGATGTTGTTGATGCGCTTGCCAGGGTTTCATCTGACCGTTACAGATTCTTCGTCCCAGGCGGCATCGCCATATTTGAGGTTGCATCTCGCTTCAACCATGCTTGCCCGTCAGCTCGGAACGTAAAGTATGTATTTGACGATGAGAGCGGGGTTCTCACACTCACCATTTGTCAAGACGTGGTCCCAGCGGGAGCTGAGCTGTTTATCAGCTACGGGGGGTCACCGGTTGAGCTGTACTCGACCTACGGCTTCCGGTGTGCCTGCGGGGGCTGCAAGCCGCTGACCGACGAGGACATCAAGAGGTTGAAGAACCGCGCGTTCGGCACTTGGGATTGCGATGACGACTATGACACCTCGGGTTGGTAGTGGGCTGGTGTGATGGAAAGTCGCCCGGAACCCCGCCGCGATTGTCGACGACGACGACTCGAGAAAACGCTGAGGTTTGGCCGTGACGCCCAAGTAGTGGCCACGAATCTTTCTCCATCAACCATATTGTCGCGGGACGTCTGTCGTTGTTGGAGGGGACTCGAGGGATCGGAGGACCGACGACCGGGTTTCGGCTTTTGGGAAGAGAGGAAGAATAGTTAGGTAGGTAGCCCTAACCTGGTATTTAATTAATGGATCGGTGTGCGTTTTGCGTCCAGGTTTGGGGATGCAAGTGCGGGAGCTGAGCTGCGGTCCTAGAACAGTGGAGGAGGAAAGAGTGACTCAGGTCAGGTCCAGCCACCTCCATCCTGCCACTGCTCGATGCGGCTATTGACAGTCTGAGACCATTCTTGCGACCTCCCCTTAGTAAGCGGAATGCGGATCACCGATTTTCCTGAGGGCCATTGCTATTCATTGTCAGCTCGACAAGACGCATACTGAATGTTCCTGCTGCCTCGTGAGCATTTCTTTGGCCAAACCGGGGAGTCTATAGGTGGCGCCATTACAGGCCGGGAAGACATGCTCCTGATAAGGGAGGTACATAGGGAGGTGCTCCTTCCCCAAATGCGCCACTGGGACAAGTCTGAACACTTCACTTTTTTCTCAGAACTTCCCATGAGTTTTAGTACTGAAGAACCCCTCGTCTTCCGTCCGGTTCCTGACTTGGTGAAGGGTAGGTTGAGTGGTTACCTCTCTGTGATCGTCTACGTATAGTCGGCCGTCGTGCCCCCCAGCCAATGCAACGTCGCCCGAACGCAAGCCACGCACACAGCCCAGGTTTCACCACGACAGGTCTCCGCAGCGTGTACGTGCATGGATGTCCGTAATCCCCTCGTCCTAGCACGTATGGACACGCACGTCATACGAATCCAGGCTTGATCGATGTGCACGACTGCTTTGCACCGCAGTTCCCATGATGAGGGTGTGCTCTGTATACCAGCAGACACACAAGCCGTTTCACGCTTGGACAAGCATCGTTAGGTAGGTCGGGACTGGCCTCCTATTACCTGCCTGGCCACCGCGAGCCTCGAAGTCGCATTTCACAGTTGCTCAACAAGAGGAACTCGGGTAGGTTGCCCCGCCCATCCCCGTGTGGGGGCGATGCAGTGTGAGTGAGACCTGCGAGGGGTTGGAACAAGGTTTGTGGGGAAGCTACAGCAAATACGTACCGTGCGGGCATGTACATAATGTAATGGGCGGGCGGGTATGTCAAACCGTGAGATGAAAGCACGTGGTACACAGGGTATCAGCGGCCGCAGGAGGTTGCGTGCCGTTGACCCACGGAGTCTCAGTTTGTTCGTTGATCGGAGGTCAGGGGCTCTAAAAGTGCGGGACGGCCCGGAAGGAGCCAAGAGCGCACGGACCATAGTTAGTGTACACGACACGTACTGTGTATTTTCTCGTATTAATTACCCGGCACCCATACAAACGAACAATTTCATGACAGCTCCTCCCACCAAATGCGCAGCTTTTAATCTGTACTCATTTTTCTATCCGGAATACAAGGCCGCCAGAGATGTGTTTTTTTCTTAAATGCCCTCTCGCGACGCCATCATCCACCCATGATTTTGTACCCCCTTGTCTAATGCAAAAACTTGCGCTCCCGATGCCAAACTACTGACCGGAAAGAGAAGGGAAAAAAAGAAAAGAGAAGCCGGCCCAGGGCATCAAAGTCTGCCTCCAGCTCTCCGTTGTGGCGCACTGACTTGAATGCAACAGAACAGCAGCCAAAGAAAAGGAAAGAGAAGGACAAAGAAACCCAAAAAAAGAACAAGAAAAGGATAGCAAACAATTACCTACCGGGACAAAGGACCGCCCCTCCCGCACCCCACCAAGCCGAGCCCCATCACGGGCGCTTCGACGCCAAGTCGCCCGTCGAGAACAGCTCAAACTTGATGCGGTCGGGCCCCACCCCCCGGGCGCGGAGGTAGTCCGACACGTCGACCATGAAGGCCTCGGGCCCGCAGACGTAGTACTCGGCGCCCGAGCTGCGCAGGTGCAGGTCGCGGACGGGGTCGAGCCGGGCGAGGTCGACGCGGCCGGCGTGGTCGAAGGCGACGCCGGCGACGTCTCCGGGGGCCGGGCGCGTCTGGAAGACGGCGGCGCGGAAGGACGCCGCCCGCCCGTGGTGCTGCTCCCCGTGCTCCCGCCGCAGGCGCGCCACGTGCGCCGCGAAGGGCACCGGCCCCGTGCGCGCGCCCTGGATCCACGACACGGCCCGCCCCGGCTGGGTCGCCGCGACCGTGTCGGCGATGGCCACCATGGGCGCCGCGCCGACCCCGGCCGAGATGAGCACGATGGGCATGCTGCTGGTGTTGGCCACGTCGAGGAAGAAGTCCCCCGCCGGGTGCGACAGCTCCACCACGGCCGCCGCCGCCGCCGCCGAGCCGGGCACCGTGTGGTGGTCGATGAGCGCGTTGGAGACGAGGCCCGGGTGGAAGTACGACGCGGAGACCGAGTTGGCGTAGCGCGCGCCCTCGTCCCGCTTGACGCTGATGCGGTAGTAGTCCGGCCGCCACGCCTCGCTGAGCGAGTACTGGCGCGCCTGCATGTGGCCGTCGGGCCCGCGGATCCGCAGCGACACGTACTGGCCGGGCAGAAACCGGGGCAGCTTCTCGCCGTCCCGCGGCGCCAGGTAGAAGGAGTAGATGTCGTCCGTCTCGCGCACCACCCTGTCGACCCGGAACTCCCGCCACGACGGCCACTGCTCGGAGCCCTTGTACAGCTGCGCCTCCCGCCCCATCAGCATCTTGGCGAGCAGCCAGTACGCCCGCTCCCAGGCGGCGAACACGGCCGGGGTCATGGCCGCGCCCAGGACCTCCCCGAAGGCGCCGAGGAGGTATTTCCCGACGATGCCGTAGTGCTCCGGCTGGATGCCGAGCGAGCAGTGTTTGTTGCACATGCGCTCTAGCCTGGGGATCAGCTCGCTGGTGTGGTTGATGTTGGAGGCGAAGCTGAGGATGACCGACGTCAGCGCCCGCGGCTGCCGCCCGTTCTTCTGGTTGACGCTGTTGAAGTAGTTGTTGAGCTCCGGATGGTCCCGCAGCATGGTTTTGTAAAAGGTGGTGGTGATCTGCTCCCCCTTCTCCCGGAGCGCCGGGATGGTGTCCTTGACGAGTTTCGACTGCTGGTATGTAAGCGCCATGGCTACGGATTGCATTATACGGCCAAAAGGCCGTCAAAGAACAAGGAGGTCGGGAAAATATGAGCGAGGCTTTCGGCGACGGAAGGCTAGGTCGCTCCAAAGTTATAGACGAACGGGATGAAACAGGAGTGGATCACCTCGGCTCCCGCTTTCTACACGACTTTTGTTTCTTCCTCTGTTCCTATTTTTTCTTCTATTCTTTTCTCCTCAAAAATCATGGCAAGTCAAGACCTGGCCCGAACCCCCTGACCCCCCAAACAACTCGTATGATGTTGGATGGATACAGACGACAGGGGTCACCGCATTCGGTACAGAAGTGGCACCTCCTCAGTAGACCAAGCTCTGGTCGCGTGCCCAGCACTACCTGTGGGGCCGTTGGAAATGGAAGTCGATTCGTTTTCTGCCCTCTCCATTAGCTGTGCTCAAGCCAGCACGCGTAGGGCAAAGTTTGGCTTGCCTTGAGAAGCGCTTGGACGACATGGGGGCGCGTTCCATTGCCACCTTCCACTCTTCTCCCGTCACTAGCCCATTGCGCTTCGGCAGAGGTATCGTACGATACTTGACCTGACTCAATTTAAGGTGGGCTGGGCGGTATCCGCCCTCGGGACGTGACGGGGATGCGACGGGGATGCGACGGGATGTGACGGGATGCAACGGGTTGGCCCTTGCAGGCTCGGGCGGGCCAGGATGGAGACGTACGATATCGGGACAGACGGTGTGTGCATGTCGACCTCGAACTGTGTCCCTCTCGTTCCCTTGGGCGGAAGTCTCCGGGCCGGCCGGTCAAGGGTTCTGTCCCGGCAGAGGGACCTGGGTTCCGAGCATTCGGAGCCGGCACCTAATTAGATGCCGGAAGATATTGACCGTGGTGAGACAAAACACGGCTGCCTTTGCTGACCACGGATAAAGAGACAGAAACTTGATTACAGACCCTATTCTACATAACATCTAGATGCAAGAAATAGACGACAACCTTGGACAGTATCTCCCGCACCCCAAAACAGAAAAAAAAGAAAACCAAAAGCACCTTGAGCCCTCAACGGCCCCCTACACGGCTGGACGAACCCGCACCCAGCCCCAGGTAGCCTACTTCCCTAACCCCACTGGTCCGTCTTCCCTTGCTGGCAGCAACCATGGCAGCCCCTGCCCCTACCGGGGGGACCGGTCGAGCCGCGACTTCCAAAGCTTCATGAAGGCCCTTAGATCCCGTTTTAGCTGGTTTAGCGAGCTGGACCGGCTATCCCACCCTTCAAGTGCTCGTGGGTCCAAGGCGGCCACCATCTTCATGATGAGGCTGCAGAACGCCGGGGCGTCCGGGCGGCTTCGATAGTTGCTGCGCATCACGTCCATCAAGATCATGCAGAGTAAGCGGTGTATCGTTTGCTGTCCCTTAAGTATCGCAGCCGCATCTAGGGGGAGAGTTGGGCTCACCTGAAAGTCCCGCCGAGAGTTAGGTCCGAGGACCCGGCGGACAGTAGCATTCCAACCGTACTGCGGGGAAAAGGGGCGCGTGAAGTGCCGGGCGGCATCATCTGTGAGTGGTGTCCCGTCACCTACATCCTCGAGAATCCACACCATCAAGGTGAGTCGTCGAGAACTCCGCTCCATGGTGCGGGTCTTAGGGAGAACCAAAGGGTAGAGGAGGTAAAGGAGCGGCTCGAGATTCAAGCCGATCTCAGGGTGTGATTAAGCGGCATGTGTTGAACTGTGTTGAGCTGTGTTGATCGAACAGAAAGACACCTGGACGAGCGGCTAACCTGAGCTGCTATATACCTCTGGTTGCTCCATGGTGACGGCGAGCACGCTCCAGGCGCACGTCCAGCGCCATCACGGCCCACGGCGAGCTTGTGTCGAATTCTGCCCTCTTTCCAGCCGGTAGCAGGGAAGAAGAATCTGACAGATCGTAAAGCCACAGGGGGAAAGGGGCGGGCCAGGAGGAATATTGAGCCGTTTGTTTCGGCCCTAGTCGCGGAACGAACCCATTTCTCCTTAATTCATTGTCCTGGTCGGTTTCGTCGTGTCTGGGCACCCAGCGGGAGTGCCGAATTTCTGATAAGGGGTACACGGCGAGCGAGAAGAGTGGTTGGGAGGAGTCTCTTTGTTCGTTTCGGTCCCAATCAGTAATAGTCTTCCGGGCGGCGTTTGTCTCCTTCTCCGATGGCACGTGCGTCTCTACCGTTTGCAATAAAGAAAAACACGACTTTAGGGGTTGCGGCCACCCGTCGTTTATCTCGTGTGGCGTGTGTTCTGACCAAACACCGTGCCAATCTCCCCCCCTCCCAATTTCATCACATCACACACCCACCATCACCAGTCTTATCACCAGTATTTCGCCGCAGCAGCCTACCAGCCTCCCAGCCTACCAGCCTACTAACCTACAGCCATGGCTCATCAAGCACTCATCAACACTATCAGTGCGAGATGGGAGTTCAGCGTCGGTGCCTGGAAGCGAGCCCAAGGCCTTGACCGCTTACCCATGCTTCACGAACTGACCGCGGAACATCTGAATGAGTATATGCAAGACAAGGCCGCCGAGAATCTCGCGCTGTATGATGACACATCTAGGTTGCCCGTGTGTCGCGCGTTTTCGCATGCTGACCTGCCCGTCTGCGGTTCTAGTGCCACGGCCACGACCGATCTTGCACTCTTTTCCACCGGGCTTTGTCCAGGTTGCGAACAGCCCGGACAGGAGCCCGACTATGTCACCGAGCGGCTTGAGGTGATGAACGCGTGGGACCTTCGCGAGTACATGTTTGCGCTCGACGACTTGAAAGACAACCTCGTCCCAGCCTTGCGCTGCTCATTGCAATGCTTCGCAGCCAGGTACGTTTCGTTTTCGTTTCGTTTCATTCCTTCACACGTTCAGCCAGCACTCCCTTCACCCGCTTCTCCCACCACCCCTTTTCCGGTGCATGCACGAGCAGCAGGCTGACACGTCCACAGCTTCCTCACCAACGCCGTTCACCTCTACTTCTGGCCCTTGCCACAGCACAAGGTCGTGGGCTTCGCCCTTACGGCACTGACGGTCTATCACGCCGGCTTCGCCCTGACCTACCGCTGGTTCCTGTGCCTCATCGCCCGCTGCCGTAGCCACACCGAACAGCTCAAACATAAGGTCGATGGGGTGCTTCGTCAGCGAGTTGCCGCGGGCGGCTATCGTGGAGGCGACGCCGATGATCTCTGCGAGGATGATGTGCGGGCTTGGTGCGGGTGGAAGTTCAAGGTCGTTAGCCACGTCGCCTGGGAGCGGGACCTCCGATCCAGCTTCTACGAAACGGGCCTGACCTGGAGGAGCTTTCTCGAAGGATCCATGAGCTGGCTGACTCTCTGACTTGATACGGTCGTGTTGGAAGGGGTTCTGAGGATAGATATCGCGCTCTAGATTGTTACACAAACCGTTCTTGCTTTCCGTTCATACCACCTCCACAGGCTCGTTTTCGGAGCTGGACCCGCAGACCCGGTACTCCCAACTCCACCCGGGCCCCGAGCCCGGATCGGCATCACGTGGACGGGCTCCGGGTCATATGCGGAGGCGCAGTCGTCGTGATCAGCATCGGTGACATCTTTCTTTGTAGCCGGGCACGTGTGGAGCCTGCTATTGGCAGCTTCTCCTTCTTGTTGCAAGCAGCATTCTCCCGCGAAGCTGCCAGGTTGTGGCTGTGGCCTCCAGCCCTCGTGCCGCCTTCTCCTCAGTGCTGCACCCCCCCAACCCCAATGCCGGGCCGCGGAAGTGGTAATGATCGTCATAGGCCCCCCCACCCTCACCCGGGTTTACCCTTTGGGGAAACCCGGCCACCTTCTCCGGCAGCCCCCCCCCCCGGATCGACGCTAACGCCCACAACCCCGGGCGTTCTGGGTGTCTAGGCCCTTGTGGGTGCTGCAGCCCGGCGTCGCTTCCACGGGCAAGCCGCACAATGGGGAACAGGTCAAGAGGCTCTGGGCCCCAAGCTCTGCCGGGCGAGGGCCAATGGGAAGCGGATGCCGGGAGCAGCGGGTCAGCTCACCGGCTGGGTGGAGCGCGCTGCAAGGTGCGCGGCGGACCTTGGGTCTGGCCCTTCAGACTGCCATGGTAGCACGCCCCTCGTCACCAAGGCCAGATCTCCAATGGCCGTCAGAGGAAGGGACGGGGACAAAGGGGAGGGGAGGGTAAGGGTGGCCACCCGCTGCCGGACCTTCCTCGACTCGGCTAGGGCAGGAATGACGGTGAGGTGCTGTTCGTTTCGTGGTTCGTACAAGAAGAGACGGGAACGGTCAGCTGTCCCGGCCCAGTTTGCTGTCCGGTGTCATCTGACCTCGGGGCGCCATGGAAACGGCAACCCGCAAAGTACTATAATAATACCGGCTCGCCCTTCTCCAACGGTACCAACCCAGACAGACAGACAGACAGACAGACAGACAGACAGACAGACAGCCACCCGTTCAAGAGGAGAGCCCCAACACGACAGACCCACCCACCATATTACCCAACACTTCTCCCCCCCTATCATGGCATCCCTCTTCACCTCTCGGACAGCCCTGACGGCGGGCTCACGAGCAGCGCTGCTCGCGCGCCGGTCCCTGCAGGCCACAGCCACAGCCACCACCACCATCACAACCACCACAACCCCAACCGCCGCCCCCTTCGCCCGCAGCTTCCACCACACGCGCAGCCGGCAGAACCTGCCCGAGTTCAGCCTCAAGGACCGGGTGGTGATCGTCTCCGGCGGGGCGCGGGGGGTGGGGCTGACGCAGGCGGAGGCGCTGCTGGAGGCCGGGGCGGTGGTGCACGCGCTGGACCAGCTGCCCGCGCCGGGGACGGACAGCGACTTCGCGCGCGTGGCCGGGCGCGCGGCGTCGGAGCTCGGCTCGCGCATGCGCTACCACCGCGTCGACGTGCGCGACCAGGCGGCGCTGGGCGAGGTGGTCGGTGGGATCGCGGCCGAGGAGGGCCGGATCGATGGGCTGATTGCGGCTGCGGGCATTCAGCAGGAGACGCCCGCGCTGGAGTATACGGCGGAGGATGCCGACCGTATGTTGGGTGTTAATGTCACGGGGGCCTTTATGACGGCCCAGGCTGTCGCCCGCGAGATGATCAAGCGCAAGCAGAAGGGCAGCTTGGTGCTGATTGGCAGCATGAGCGGGACCGTGGCGAACAGGGGGTTGATTTGCCCGTGAGTGTTTTTCCCGCCTTCTTTTCCTTCTTCTTTTTTTTGGGGGGGGTTATGTGTGGCTTGCCATGGAGCGCCGGCTGACAAAATGTGACAGAGCGTACAACGCATCCAAGGCGGCTGTTCTGCAGCTCGCCCGCAACCTGGCCTCGGAATGGGGCGAGCACGGCATCCGCGTCAACACCATTTCCCCGGGGTACATCGTCACCGCCATGACCGCCTCCCTGTTCGAAGCCGTCCCCGAGCGGCGCACGGCCTGGCCCGACGCCAACATGCTCAAGCGCCTGAGCTACCCGGAGGAGTACCGGGGCGCGGCCGTCTTCCTGCTCAGCGACGCTAGCAGCTTCATGACCGGGGCCGACTTGAGGATTGACGGAGGCCATTGTGCGTGGTAGAATGGGGTACGATAATTTGCCGAGCAGCAATGCAATTGCGCCAGTGTTTATGTGGACCGGGGTATCCGAAAATATGTAATAATGTACATAGAGCCGGCGTCGCGTTGTTCTTTTTCTTTGCTTTTCGGGCCAGCCCCAGAGTAGAACCGTCCGCTGGCAACCAGCTTCAGCCAACAAAATGCAAGCCTAATAATTCAGTCACACCCAGCTCATGACGCGGGCGCCACTACGCCCCGGGGTCCCAATGTCGCAACGAGACCGGGCTTGAGCCTCAAGCGTGATTCAATGTCTGCCGCCGAGGCGCCACCCTGGCGCAGCACCAGCATCTGCCTGACCGTGCCAATATCCAAGAACTCCCTCCCCTTCTCGGTCGACTTGCCCATGTTCTCAAGCTCCTCTCTAGCGCGCGCCTCGAGCCGGCGCCGTGCCTCGAGCACGCCGAGGGTGACGTTGCTAGAAGACGACGGGTATTGCGGCGACGACGCGGAGGGTTTGCTTCCCGGCGGCGCGCCGAGGAAGGGGGAGGCTATGGACGACGGCGAGTATGTCGGGTTCGGCTGCACGATGCCCATCTTCTGCAGACGGTCGGCGAACTCGGCGCTGAATTCGGGCCGGTTGGGGTCCATCGAGTCGGCCCGGATTACTGTTTTGCCGTTAGTTTCTGGGTGCAGAATACCATTTGACGGCGGCGCGGTTAGAACTAACCATCATCTTTCGTATACGAAGCTTGCGGTCGGGATCGCGGTTGGGCGTCTGTTGCTGCTGTGGGAGGAGGGCGCATTCGCGGTGTTGAGCTTGGTTTTGGTTTTGGCGCTGATGCTGCTGGGGACGAGCCGGAGGCGCGCGAGGGGAATTTTCGCACGGTTTGTTGTGCTGTTTTTGATCCGGAGGCTCCCATTATGAAGTGTATGTTCGATTCACAAAAATCTTGAATTCATTGCTGAACGACCGTTTGCGCTTTTGCTGGCCCAAAATAACTAAATTCTGCCAAGGATCGGGGAGCCGGGAGCTCTCAAGTTGGTGTGTCGTCATCGTCGCGCCAGCCACAACGGCAGAGTGGCTAGTGTAAGGCCTGCGCCACATCATGCGGAAAGGGTTCGATTTGTATCCAATGCTTGAAGTCTTGCTGTATCTCTTTTAGGAACATGTCAACATTAGTACTACGAAGTTATACGATGGCCTCCCTAATAAGGGCGTCTGTGGTGATGTTATGAGAGTTTAATTGTGCAATCAAGGCGTGGTATTCCACGAATTTAGCGTCCTCAACCTCGTCTTGGGTTAACTTATTCATGAGATGAGTCATGCAGCCCTTCAGCTCTGGAAATCGGACCCGTGGCGTTGGGTAATCAAGACACTGGAAAAACATCGAATCAATAATGGAAATGGGAAATCGGCGAGCGCCACGGAGCGGAATGGGCTTACAGTCGCCAGCTCCGGAGTTTTGGAGCTGGCAGCCTGCAGGTGGCACCCCGGGAGCATGATAGGATTGATGGACCGTTGCGTTGGTCGGCACCCATCTTGTCTTGGGCTTTGTTCTTCGGCGCGACCCGAGGCAGGGCGACAGGTGGCTGGTAACCACATGTCTCCCAGAAGAGCTTTTCGTTGCTACGCGGGAGCATCGTGACACAATGTGGCCCAGCCTCTTGCAATAAACGCAGAAAAGGAGGTGGCGATCATTCGAACGAAGCCGACGAATCGCCTCCTCTTGCTCCTGCTCACGAATTCTTTGCCGCCTCAACTCTTCTTGTTCTCGAAGTATTCGTCGGCCCTCTTCGCTTCGACGAATTGGTTTCGGCCGGAAACGGGACTTGGGTCGAGTCTCCCCTACCTTGGGCTTGGGGGAAGTCATTGCGGTGATAGTAGGGCGACCGTACTATGACAAACCGCTTTCAGTGGGGATGTTCTGGTTCAAGCGTGAATAAGGAGTTTATGTAAGTCTGAAATGTGTAGTTTCCCGTTGAATGGACCAACACCGTGGGTTGTTCCAAGAACTTGAAAGACGCCTGTGTGGGCAATTTCGTAGGGCTACCTTAATTACATCGGATGTGTAAGAGAGTGTATTAATGAGTTAGAGACGTAACTTTCCAAACAAGTATCCCGGGTGTATCCATTACTTTTGAATTTTTAGTATTCTTGAATTTTGTTCCTGTCAGGCACCGAAGCAGCGTACCTGACTCGGCACCTACCTGAGACAGAGCTCTCCGACCTCCCGGTATATATCGGCGATCGGGTTACGCAACTCCTATACTTAGCCTTCGAATATTAGAATACTAGGCACCTTATAACCTTTTAGCACCTTCCAGGTACAGGAAGTAAAGATAGTAAAAATATATATCTACTATTTTTACTAGGAGTGAAAAGAATTTAAGAGTACTAAAAATTCAAAAGTAATGGATACACCCGGGATTGAACCGGGGACCTTTCATAAGCGAAGCTGCGATGGAGCAAAGCTGCGAAACGAAAATCATACCACTAGACCATGTACCCAACTTCCTTGAAAGTTATAGAGTGACGGGGTTGTTTGAGCCTATGTGGTTCTGAAATGCGGGACTAACCGCAGAGCACCACCACCCTGAAGTTTCCTTCCATGGGTGGAATAGTTCAGGCGATTGATATGAGCGCGTTGATCCGAGAACGTCTCGAACATTGATGGCCCGGAACCAATGCCTTGAAGTGAACTTGTCCATATAAGAGAGTTGACTTCGGTCAAGCCGAAACCATCAAGGGGCTGCACCTGAACCCCAAGCTCGGCAGACTGTCATCTTAAGAACATTCTGCACGAGGTGGAACCGGGCTGTGGCCAGAATGGTATGTCCATACCCTCAGCTGCTGTTCTCCAGCCTTACATCAACCACAACCCAACCGGGCAAGCATTCGACGCCATTAAAATCAACGAAAACAACTTCGAAAGGAATGCACCTCATCAAAAATCAGGGACGGGTTAGTAGTATGCAGGCTCGGGTATCTTTCCCGCGTTCCACATGCCAGCCCTGACATGGTCAAGATTTATCGACTGCACGGTTTCTTTGGTGCATTTGGCAGCAGCTGGCAGACTACGAAGGTCGTTACCGGGCACAAACACCGACCTAGGTAATCCGTGCCTGCCTCCCTACCAGGTGGTAGGTATGCACCGACTTACACCTAATCTACCTAACTCAGGTTTTAGCTCAATATTCGTCCAGCATGGCAGAACATGACATGGATGTTGCCAAAATTATGCAACTCACGCCAACTGGCTCGGCGCCAACCTGGCCAATTACTCGTCTCTGAGAGGCTGAACATCCTAACCAGGGGGGGAACTCGCGGCAGTCGCCGAACGCCCAAAAGCGCCACAGCGCCACGGCAGCATGCAGCTTCGCGTGGTCGACTTGGACCTCAAAACATGCCAAGGAACGACAGACCAAAGCGAATAATAGGGAGTTCACCACAAGGTAACCATTCCAAACAAGGACTCGTGCACTTGCAAATCCTTCCGTGCCCTCGTGCCCAGCCCTCGTGCCCAGCGCAGCTATGGCCGACGACCTCTCCGACTTTTCCAACGATCTGGCCACGGATATCGGCCCTCTAATCGTCCTATTCGGCGAATCTATGACCAAACAGTACCTCAGTGAGAGCACCTCCTTTCTCGACTACTTCATCTTCGCCATGGCCCCAATCGGCATCATCACCGCCATCGTCTCCACCATTCGTGTCTGCGGACATCCATCTCTCCGCGCCTTCATCGGCCGGTCTCAGGAAGGTGATGGCGCGGTCGAGGCCGAACTGTGCACGTCTACTAGTCGTGATGTGTGCGAGCTGTTCAACAGGGGCGGCATCACTCGTGTCCTAGGCAAGCCTAATATCCTCGAACTCATCTACCTGCCCCGCAGCCGATCACTCGACTTACTCCAGAATTATCTGAGAAAGCCAGAAAACACCGAGGACAAGGACTCAGCATGGTGGCAGAGAGATGATAGTTCTTTATTTGGTAAAGCCAAAGACCCAGCCGAGGGAGGCCTCTCGTTCGCTCCGAACCCAAACCTTTCACTCAATGTTGGTATCATAAAGCGATCCAATTGGGTTTTGTACACAATTGCGGCCGTTGGATTCGTCCTTCAAGCTGGTGTCCTCGCGCTGGCTGGGACTGGCGTTTGGATTCTCGGCTGGAACCTCAGCGGGGCAGAATCGTCGGCATCTAGAGACTACGCTCCCGTCATGTTCATCACGGGGACAGTCCTCATGTGCGCCGGAATGTGGAGTTGTGCGGCTCTTATAGGACAGACCACGCACGAACTACACTTCAGGCGTACCAAACGTCAAGGTTTAGAACGACCGCGTCTCCTCTGGCTCCAGCCCGGGCCCCAAGTCATCGGCGACCAGAGTTTTGATCCGTTTGCCTATTTCGAAGACACAGATACCACCCCTCTCCAAGTTTGGACATCGTCGAGGAAGGACTTTGACGAGAAATTCGAGACCTACACCCTCTTCGCCGTCCTGGCCGTGCTGATTGGGTACATCATGCAGTTTATCGGCCTCCGCGGGATGATGGCCTGGGTTTCTCTCGCCCAGCTAGGTATCACCATTGTCATGAGCATCCTGCGTGGATGTCTTCGCATGCAACGCCTCGGCAGGAATGACAACATGTTGCTCGCCACGCCTGATATGGTTGCAGGGCACGAGCTTGACTGGCTCTCCTTCGCGATCGTCGAGGCGGAGAACAGGGCGGGAGGATGGGGGAAAGGGGAAAAGACGGAAAGAAAACGGAGGGAAAGGGGGGGAGAGGAGAAAGACGAAGGGGATGTACCGTCATGGCACGTTACGGGCCAGTTCGAGGATGCCACACACCCCGAGACGGAGGAAAACACTCAACTAACTACAAAGCCCCAGTATCAATCGGAAAAGGGGCTAGGTTGCACGGAGTTGCTCCTGATCCGAAAGCAACTCGCTCACCTGACGGGGAATGTCGCCTTTGGCACGGCATCGGGCCACCAGGAGTGGGAGGGTACGCGCGTCAAGGTCCGCGCAAAGGCTGTGGAGCTGGGCAATGCCATCAGCCAAGCAGCGGAGCGTCTCTGGAAGAGGCGCCTATGGAAACACCGATCCGAGGACATCCCCCATACTAGTCAACGCGAGCAGGACACTGTGCTTCGGATTCGAGCAGTCGCCTCGCCTCCTGGTAAACAAGCGAATTCTCATAAGCAACTAATCGACGTTACTCTGAAGCCACCCAATGCATCAGAACCAGACTGGAAGATGGACTCGGCGCAGCTGGAGGCAATTCTAGGTCTCTGGATGTGGACTTTGCTTTCTGATAAGCGCGTTGTGAGCGAAGACGACTCTCACCAGAAAACCTCTCGCGCTGAGAAGGTCCAATGTATGCGGACTTTCTCGGCCGGCTTGGACAGGGAAAATCGGGGCCGCGGAGCTAACAAGCAGGGCGAAATGGACCTTTGGCTCGGGCCGAACGCAGTGCCGCTTCTCGAAAATAGCCTCACCCTCACCGAGCAGAGCTGCAACGGTATCGGTACGCTGTGGACTTCCCATGGTAAAACCAATAGGGAGCTAATACGGTGCGATTTGGGGTGCAACGCGAGCCAAATTCGACTTTGTGGTTGGAATCCCATATACGAACTACTCGAGCCTGCCGTTTCAGATTCGGCAAGCACGTCGACTCAGCAAGGGAAACAGATCAAGCTTCGGGTCCAGATTACCCCAGTTGGGGGTTCACTGCTGGACATCTGTGCCCAGGAACTCTTCACCTCCCTAGCGATGTCGTTGATGAGTATTCTGACCGTTGAAAGGACGACCATGGCTGAGAATGCCGGGTGGATGCGGCTAGGAAACCCTACCGTTGCCACGTTCGCGAGGGCATTTATGGACCACGATTTGGGATCCTACTCCGAAGCCTTGCTGTGTCTGGTACCGGCATTTCGAACCAAGTTTCCTCCTCCCTCCTCCGAAGACATGCTTCCCGCATTGCTTCAGACCGCAGATACCTACCGAAAGGCGTCAGAATGGGACAGGGCACAAACCACTTTGCGCTGGGCATGTGCGCGGCATGCTCCGAATCGCGGCGAGGAGGAGGAGAACCCGGCTACAGCACCAGGCAGCCCAGAGTCCCCTTTCACAAGAGCTCTCCGCGCGACGGGCGAACTCTATCGCTGGTCACTTGCACAGCATTCCAGCGTCGAAAGGAAACTCTTTGGGAAACGTGGGATCGAGTGGATGGCCAAAACCTATCGTCTCGCAGGTCCGAGTAATCCAAGAGTCACTGAGATTCTAGATTGCTACGAGACCGTCGCGCAAAGGATAACTACAGGACTACCCGACTCTCTCGCTCGCCTTCTTGTGGCAGCAATGCGGAAAAAGAAAAGGACGGATACGCTGCACTACCTGTGTTTTGTCAAGACAGGTGACTTTGCCTCCGAGGCCTTGCAACCGGTGCTTCCACTGGCCGTCGAGAATGATTGGAGCGAAGTCGTGAACGCCGTTCTGGAGATGAAAGCAGACCCGAACAGCCAAGACGAGTATGGCCAGAGTGCCCTTTTCCTCTGCGCAGTAGCCGGCCGTGAGTCGGATGCGAAGTTTCTCCTAGATCTTGGGGCGTTCGCGAACCGACCGGACGGCCGCGATGAAACGCCGCTACTCGCGGCTTCCCGGCTCGGGCACTTGAAGGTTGTTGAACTTCTTTCAAACTCGGGAAGTGTGGATATCGACTCGGTGGATCGCCAGGGTCATACAGCGCTATCGCGGGCTGCTGAGGGCGGGCATGACGCCGTGGTCAGGGCCCTGCTTGAGAAGGGTGCGAAACCTACGTCACGGGATAGTCATGGTCGGTCGCCGCTATCGTACGCTGCTGAGAGCGGGAATGAATCTGCAGTCAAGCTACTACTGCTCAAGGACCGTGCTATGCTCGAGTCAGCGGATAAATATGGTCGGACACCGCTATCGTACGCTGCTGGGAGCGGATCTGAGGCTGTGGTTCGGCTGCTGCTTGAGGAAGGTGCTAATCCTACGTCTCAGGATCGTCGTGGTCGGACACCGTCATCGTACGCTGCTGAGGGCGGGTATGAGGCTGTGGTCAGACTACTAGAATCGAGATGATGCACATAGCTCAGCATATTCGTTCCCGTCTCTCGTTATCCCTCTCCTTTCCTCTCAGACCTACCTAATTTCCTAGTTACTAGCGTGCTACTAGAAGGCATACGAGGCTTGAGGAGGGTGTGCAAGTGCACACTTCCATATCTACGAATTCTGACATGACTCACTCTCTATGAAGTCTATTTCTGCCACAATAGTACCTTACTTGTCATGTGGTAATGTCCGGGGCGGTATACTTAGCACTATGGGCATTGACGTCGTGTGGACGTACCCTTCGGGAGTTCAAGCAACAAGACGCTAGTTTACCCCTTACCTGTAAGCCTACCTACCTAAGAAATTTCGATGTAAAAGGGGTCTACAATAGAATATGGAAGGAAGGACTTCCTCAGCGGATCAAACCACGAGCCATTCTAGAGGGTCCGGTCAGATGTTACATAGGTAAATAAAAGCCTTCTGCCCCGAGTCTTAAGAAACGATCTAACTTAACGGGCAGTCCTCGGAGGTTCAGAATCTATTGTGGTAGCCCAGCCTAGTTTGCTACAGGGCTATCCCTCATCTCCAATTACCTAGTTATGCCCCTCCTCTTCAACCCAGACCTCGCTCAACGACGAACTGACGGGAAAGGGGTTAAGAATGCTGGCCAGATGAAGGGTTAGGGTTGGCCTATGATTCCAGAAGTGACACTTCACAAGAGAGCCAGAGGTCGTCAGGGTCCAATCCCGTCCTCGCCGGCTACGTCCTGCATGGAGCATGGAAGTCAGCTTGTACTTCGCACAACTGTGCCAACCCGTCGCATGTCTCGGCTGCTGGAAGAGAGCAAGAGAGACGCGAAGGCCCGGATGACGACGATGAGGATTCTGGAGATTTGGAGATCTGCTCTTCATGTTCATTCCTCTTTCTAAACCGCTGGGAAGTCCGCGCATCACATCACATGCTTAACATGAGGTACCAGTTAGGTTCGTCGTGGCTTGTCGTTTGGGATCAACAGACGAAGAAAAGAAGACATGGAAGCCAAAATGGGATCCACTCAATTGCAACACGTGGAGTCACGTCGGAAACCATGAGTGGGCCAGACCGATCTCTCAACCAATGGGCGGTCGCAATCTGACCCCCGCAGTCAAATTCTGTACGAGCAGAGCTCCCCCCGCTCGAGAAAACCAGCCCCGCTCTGGCGGAGGGACAAGACTGGCTTGCACGACGACGCCCTTCCGGAAATCGGCTTTTTCACCTCCAATTCTCTCGCATCGCAACCGCGAGACCGGACCTGCCACCGACCGAACTGCCGCGGCCCAACAAGCCCAACCTGACACCGTCCCGTGCCATCTCGGAAACCGGGAACCCACTCACTCGGGCGCGTGCGCGCACACCGTTTGTTTCTCTCCCCACCCACGGGGGGCGCCGGTTCGGCCATGGAGAGCCCCGAGTTTGCCGCTGGCATGCGGGGCCAAGGTCTCAATGGCAGCGGTCCTTCTAAGCGCAAACGGAGCACCATCGATAGCAGCCCGGCCAGTCTGCTCGACCTCGACCATGACCACGATCATGACCACGACCTCGACCACGACGAGAGGGCCGACGCCTCGCCAGACACCAAGAGCCGCCGCCTTCCCGGTGTGAAGCGTGCGTGCAATGAGTGTCGCCAGCAAAAGGTAGTCACATGTTGTTGAGTCACCGAGTCCCCGTTTCCCCGTTCTCCCCGTTCCCCTCCGCCGCGTCCGTGTCCGTGTCCGCACCGGATCCGGGTCCGAGCTTCTCCGGATCGCCCCTCCGGTCTTGGAAACCTCGCTGTTTGTTACTCTCCCCTGCGTCGCCATACAATGCTAACGCATAATTCCCACTCCAGCTTCGCTGCGATGTCGTCCAGGATCCGTTTCAGAGCTGCTCGCGGTGCAACCGGCTCAAGCTCGAGTGCAAGATCGAGTCCAATTTTAAGCGCATCGGCAAGCGTTCCAAGCATGCCGAGATGGAGAAGGAAATCGAGAGGCTGCGCCGTGCTGTCGAGTCGGCCAGGAACCAAGGTTTCGCCCTCGACGAGGATGACGAGGTCCTCCATTCCGGGGTTCATTCCGCCATGCAGTCACAGCTCCAGTCACCCGTTGTCGCGAGCCAGTACACGCACACCCGCAACCCCTCATTAATGGGATCGGATGAAGCCGTCTCATCTCTGCTTCATCTGAAGCGCGGCGGATCCTACGCACTTCCTCGCATCGCCCGCGAGCTGGGCAACTTCAGGCTCACCGAGGACGAGGAGAGCCAGCTGTTCAGTCAATTCTTCAACTACTACCACCCATTCCTCCCGTTTCTCAACCCCGCCCAGACACCAGACCAGTACTATCAACAACATCCTCTATTATACTGGGCCATCATCGCCGTCGCGAGCAGGCGCTACGGGTCCGACCCTAACCTTCTCACCAAGCTCTCGACCCCGCTGACAAAGCTGCTCTGGAACACGGTTGGAGATGTCCCGCAGAGCTATTTCGTCGTCAAAGCCCTCTGTCTACTTTGTACCTGGCCCCTCCCCACGAGCACAACGTCGGCCGACCCCACGCATATTCTCTGTGGCGTCATGATGAAAACGGCTACCGGCATTGGCTTGCACCGGCCAAGCCACATCAACGACTTCTCGCGAGTCGCGGTGGAACTGAACAAGGAGGGGCTGCACGACCGTATCAAGACGTGGGCGGTATGCAATACCGTCGCCCAGACTATCGGGACAGGATATGGCCAGCCAGCGTCGAGCCTCTACGACTGGACACTCGCCATTCGACCGGGCGTCGAGGGGCCGTACTCGCTCGGGCCAGAGCTGGAGGCGAGGTTGCTGATCGAGCGGTTCTGCGACAAGGTCTCCAAAGAAATGTACAGCAACGCCAGCGATCCCCGAGGCGTTGCCGGTGACGAACACCGTGCCATGCTGATGAGGGTGTACCGGCGCGAGTTCAACGAGCTGCAGGCTTCTATCCTCGCACAAAACCTGTCGCCGATCGTCTACCTCCACCTCAAGGCAGCCTGCCTTCATCTGCGGCTTGCCGGCTTCTTTGACTCGAGCCGTACCCCGGGGTACCTTGACGATCTGATGGCGTTGTGGCGTGCCATCACCGGATTTCTCGACTACATTCTAGACGGCCCAGGGCCTGATGCCTGCCACGAGTCATATCGTTACCAGCTACTCGACCAGTATCTTCTAAAATATGCCACAAACTACGTACAGCAGATGCTGGTCGCCGCCGGGTTTGCTCTGCTCAAACTCATGCGGTCTTTCTTCGTCAAGCAAGTCGATTTTGAGCGAGGCCGGACGCTCTTCCACAGGACGATCCAGGCCATCAGGGCTGCCAGCGTGGTGCAGAACGACCTCAACTGGAGGCTCGCAGAGCTGATGGTCCAGATCTGGAACGGGGCCCGGATCGAAGGAAGCTCGCCCTCGTTCCAAGGTGACGATCCGGAGATTGACGACAGTCTCCAGCTCAAGGTCAGGTGCAGGCACAGCATGAGTCTCGTGTTCGACTCGATCTGGCATTGGAGGGAGGAGTACCAAGCCAGAGGTCGAGGAACGCTCGATGGTGAGTTCGCCTCCCCAGACTACCAACCCCCCCGCCCCCGCCCCCGGCCCCGTCTGCTTCCAGTCCCCTCGTCTTTACCCTGTCTCTCTGAGGTGAACTCGTGCGGGCTAAGACACTCCTTGGTAGCTCTCAAGCAACCCACGAATCCCGATTCGGCTAATGAGTCTTCAGCCTCCTCCACCCATCTGGACAGCACCCTCGCCCCGCCATCCCACAGCCTCCCGGCCAACCTCGGTTTGGCGGCATCCAACGGGGCTCTGACGCCTAGTGGGGGCTCGGCGATGGGAGGAGGCACGCAAGGCTCGCTCTTGGGACTGAACACCTTCGACAGCAACTACGATCTATGGGATCCTCAGCACTGGATGCTGGACGGCCTGATCGACTTCAACTACAACAACTTTGGTGTCCCGATCGAGAGCGCCTAGGGTGTGGTGCGTCCGATGCTAACCCGGACCGACCAGTACCAATCCTCGTTTCGGGCGCCGTGTTTCTCCACTAAACACGGGCCGGCATCACTTTTTCGGTAGTATGTTTACATTTTCTGATGAAATACCCCTTTTCTTTTCCAGCGCATCTTTTTGTCACGGGGTTTACGGGGTTTACGGTTCTGGGTTGCGGCGCGGTCTGGTCTGGTCTGGTCTGGTCTAGGCTGGACAACGGAAAATCGCACACACACACACTCACACAACGAGAGAGAGGCAAACCGAGTCTGGCTCTTCCGGCATGCGTGGTGGGCGAATTGCCTCCCTCGCCATGCATGTCTTAACTATATAAGCCGTGTGACAGTTTCAAATAGCAAGCATTCCATCAATCGGAACATGTTTTCTACACCGCGCCGCGCCGTGTCCCCCTTCGGTATGTGTCACGTCTCGGAATGATGAGTAGCTAGGTCTCTGGCCTTGCAACACACAGCGCCGCCCGCCTGCTCGCTCACCGGCTCGTTCGCGCGTGAGCTGCTAAAATAAACTCCCACGCTGTCTGTCGGTCGGCATCGGCCCGTTGGTTACACATCACATGTACGGTGCTTTTGTGCGTGCGTGCGTGCGTGCCTCACCCACCCGGCCGGGCGGTCGGAGGGGCTTCTCACCGACGACGAGTTGGGAAGAACCCAACGATCACACACCGGGTCTCGGGTCTCAGATGCGCACCTGCATGGTGGCGAGAGCGACGCGGCGGGAGAAGCGTAGCGGGGAGAAGAAGTCTTGGGTAGTTGGTGCCGGTGAGGTATGTACCTGTTCGTTTGTTGCTGCTGCTGCTATTCCTGTCTGTGAACCTGGCTGCCGCGTGGTATCTGGTATAATATGGGATGGGAAGGAATGGTAGGCCGTGCCTACCCGGCCCAACGGACCCGAGGGGACGGGAGGGGGGGGGGTTGCTTGGCAGGGGAGGTTGTTGCCGTTGCTGTTGCTCGTGATGTTGCTAGTGCTGGCTTGTTGGTTGCCCGAGGTTGGTCGGGGGTGGGTTTGGGGGTTGTTTTGTTGTTTTTGGTGTTTTACATAGCTACATACGAAGTCGTGCGGGGAGGGGGGGTTGCGGCACAAGCCTTTTTGGGGTCTTGGTGGTTTGGGGTTTTTCAGCTCGGGAGGTCGGAGAGTGAAAATCTCCAACGTCGCCGCCGCGGGGCCGCGTCTGGGCGCTACGTTTCCTTTTTCCCGGCTTCCAACTGCCGCCACCGCCCGCCACCGCCGCGCCGCCGCCGTTCGTGGAGATGTGAAACACCAGCTGAGCTTGTTAGCTAGGTATGTGGCAGCTTTTTTTGCTATGCCGCATGCCGCAACATCACATCCCGTTCCGTCCGTCCCTTTTTTCTTTGCTTCACGAGTTCTGATGGTGGGTTGTTCCCAACCCCGCGTTTGGCATTGGCGTTGGCGCTGGCACAGATACAGTGCCGGGTGCCGAAGGTGATAGTTAGCCCCCGCGGCCTTTACTTTTTTTTAGACTCTTTTTTTTTGACTTTGTTCTCGTGTTGGTTTCATCCCGAGTCACACCCGGGTCGGGCATGCTGCCGCGCCCCGGGGGAGCGGTTGTGGCGCCGATGCTTGGTTTCTCCTTCCGGCTCCGTCCTCTTTCAACATCACGAACCTGGAACGGAAGTTGCAATTGAGGGTTTCGGTCCGATCGCGGAATTACAGAACCGTCATGGTTTTGTTCGCGCCGCATCACCGTTTTTCGTCTGTTTCTTGCCACTTCTCATCACACGCCCCCCCTCCCCCCGCCTCCCCTCTCTTCCGTTCCTTCCTTGTTTATTCTTTTATGCTACGATAACTGTAACGCCGCTCTTCGATGCCCTTGGTTCTAGAATCCTACGCTTCTAATCTCACTTGGGGGCCAAAGTTGCAAAGTTGCGTAACTCATCTCCCTCCTTCGCGTCGGAATTCCGTCTGGGCGGAGTTGATTGATAATGGGCCGCTTTTCAGATTGCGTCGTCGGAGTCGTAGTGTTTCGGCGCCCGTCTACGGCACGGTTTCCCTTACTTCACTCACAAGGCTGGCCGCGCCGGCGAATCCGCACAAGGGGCCTAGCTTTGTTGCTCCTTCATATTTATTTCTACTTGGCGGATCAGGAAATGCGGAGAGATCGGACGGATTTGCAGCAATTGGGTCAATCCATCCCAGCACTCGGGTCAGACGGATGACGACCATTTCTGCATTATCGGATTATTATCCAGTAGTTATTGGAGTCCCATTATTGCAAAGGATTGGTCGTGACGACAATATTGACGAACAACCTGGAGATAGCCGGAGTTACTACTTGGATGGTATTCAGGTCGGCCGCGTGGTCCTCTCAAGCTGTGAGGACCTCTAGGGCGTGAGCGTGGACCGGTCTCTTTCCCGTTTCCCGCGCCTTGTCTTTGCCTCGTCTTTGCCTTGTCTTCGCCTTGCCTTCGCCTTGTCTCCTTCGCCTCTTTTGTTTTACCTCTCCCCTGTTTTTCAGTCTAGTTGTTGAAGAGTCCATACCATGCCATGTCTCAGAGTTCGGCTCCTCCACACACCCAGCCTCACTTACACCCGGTCGCCAAGACCGACCACTGCAAGAGGCTTTGAGTAACCACGCCGTTCGCTTTTGTTTCCAATCATTGAACTGCTTCTCAAAACATCAATACCCTCTTGACCCGAGGAAATGGAGCAAGTTGGATCAAAGCCCAATTTTTACGTGGCTGTGTCTCTCCCTCCCCCCGCGCTCTGCGTCCTTTCTTCGTCTGTTAATTCGATCCGACGGTGGATTCCCATCTTCACTCAATTGTTGGAGGCTATGTCAACCATGGCCGCATGAGATGCGGCCTCGACATGGGCCTCTTTTCGACTTGACCTCTCACCAAAGGGGGTCGCCGACAACATGAATCCATTCCCTCGGGACTGTGTTAGTCTGCGCATTCGAGGCACTGCCAAAAACAAGGCATTTTTCGCTGCTTCTTTCTGGGGCTGTTCCCGGCCATCACCGGCGGCCGCATCGTGGCGGAGATCCGCTTCCCTATCCCATGCCCCCGGTCTCGTCCTCACTTACACGCCGTGTACCGAGTAACTCGAGCTTGAGTCATGCTAGAATGTGCCCGAGGACGGGTTCATTCATTCCCCACATTGCACGGCACGATCAACAGTGCCAGTCGGAGCCTGAACCATGGACTCGACATGACGTTGATGGGAGGTTGATCAGGAGGGCGTGCCTTGAAGCTCCCTCCCTGTAATCTCCACCCCCACAAATCTCTCTTGTTTGCAAACACCTGCACTGGAAATTACCGTCCCAGCCTTTTGCTATGTACATGAGCATGTACAGTACATGCACGTCCACAACACACCCCGTGGCTCCCCTGGGAGCCCGCCACAAACTCAACTCACCGTTTCTCCCCCCCAGCAACACTACCCGGCAGACGGACCGGTCAGTCGCCCAGCCGCTCCTTGCTCCCTACCTCCTAGGCAGGTATCCCCGATCGCAACAACCCAGCCAGTGAGAGCCCTCAAGGGCATCCCCCCTCCCCTCTCCTCTTCTCCACGGTAACATCGTGACTCGCGGACAAAGAACAGCGCGACCAAAAGGCCAAGCTCAAGCCGCCCCGGGGAACAACACAACACACACCTCGCGGCGTCTGCGGGCCCAACACGCGCCGTGAACGAACCAACAGCACCCCCCTTCCGCCCCCTTACCCCTGCCTGCCCTAGGCCAGCTAAGCGCGCCTATGCAACCAGCGCACACCCACACAGTCACGCCCACGTCCACATCCACACCCCCCTTACCCCCTACCCGCCTTCTTTACCCCCCTGATCACTTATGTACTCGCGGCCTTGGGCTTGGCCCGGGATGGCATGCCCTGTCCGGGGAGGGCGAGACATGACAAGCCAAGACATGGCACGACAGAGACACATGACAAGGTCGGTCGGACGACGGCAAGGGCACCGGCCGAAGTGAGATTTTTCTTCTTCTTCTGTTCTATTCTTCCCTGCTCTACTGCCGAAACAGGGGTTGTGAACGCGCCTCTCCGGTTAAAAAGGTGGGCAGGTGTGGTGGAGATGATCGATCACGGCGCGGCGGCGGCAAGGTAGGGCTGGGCAAGGAGATCGGGCTTTACTCTATGCATACTATGTACAGCCGGAAGGGGGAACGGTGAGACGGGAGGAAGGTGAAGAGGGGCACGGTGATGGGGACGGTGATGGGCGGAAGGGCAACGATTGGAGGGGGATGAAGGAGAGTTTAGTTACTATGTAGGGGGTGTGTGGGGGGAGGGTTTCGCGGCGTGCTGGTTTTGGGTGATCGGATGATGCCAATCCATGGTAGCCGTCTTGTTCGCCTAACTAACTGGTTAAGGCTGCTGCTTGCTGGTGGGTGGTGGGCCTGAAGGAGAAGAGGGTGGCGGGAGGGCGGACGGACGGACGGGCGGCTCGACCGTTGAGATGGGCAAATTGGCTCCTTGTTGGTTGGTTTTTCGTTGTGTGTGCCTCTGCCCTGTCCGGTCCTGTCCCCCCTGGGCGAGCTAGGGGGGGAGGTCGGCGATCTCGCGCTTGCCTCAGGCTACCTACCCGCCTGCATGCATTAACATTGCTTTGACATTGCCTTGCCGTCGACATCACCCGTCCGGTCGGTGACGGGTGGCACGGATGCAGTTCGTCCAGTCCTCTGTCCGTGCGGCGAGGAACCCGGTGGTGAGGGAAAGACATGTCGGCAGCAGAACGCGCAGGCGAGGCGGCGAGCGAGAGGCACAGGTTTGTCTCAGAAAGAAGGAGGGTAATTAGTAGAATATCACGATGATACGCGCTGCCATAGCTCTCGACTTTGTTTCTGTCAGCTGGTGAAGCTGCTTGAACCGAGACATTCACAAGCTCGGCAGCCCCGTGCCGTCTACTGATATCGAGTAGGCCGGGGGATCTTGACTTAATCTTCACTCGCCACCGGCATGCAGGTTTCATTAGACGGGTGCGCAAGAAAGCGTCTGACGGCGGTAAAACCCGCCAGTGTTCGTCAAGTGTCTATCCGTCTGTTCCCACTGTGAGGGTAGACCCTGACATCCACAACTTTTCGGGCGTCTTCCAGAACGAAGATACCACTTCCATCACAGACAAACAGCCCCGAAGATGCTGAATAAACCATCAGCCACCGAACCTCTCGGCGCGGGGGGCCATTCACATGGCAAAAGCAGGGTTGTGTCGCTAACAGAGAGGCCGTTGTTGAGGATTCCGATGGCCTGAACCGGTTCTAGAAGTCTGACGACAATTTCGTTTATTTCATTTTTTGCCTTCAGTCCCTTGGGACTCGCCCTCGGTGCCGCAAATGCGCCGGTTTCGTGGGCCGATCTACGGCGTTACCGACTCAGACGAGAAACCGTCCCCAGGCCGAGACCCAGGAGGCTAGAAGGCCAGAACAAATGCGCGAATTTCTGGTTTCTATCGTTTGGGCCCAGCGTCCTCGTGTTGTCTTCACAGTTAGAGTTTCAAAAGAGAGGAGAGGCAACTCGGCCACTGTTCCTTGGATAAACGGCAAGTCAACCGTCGTCCGAGATAGTCGCGAACAGAGGAGCTGATGATGCATTTTTCGCGCGCCGGCATTAATCACCATCCGGAGATGATGGACAAACATGTTCCTTGGATATGATATTCAAATCCCATTATTTTACCACAATACACTTCCTTTCCGGTGCGCGGTATTCGCACGGAGCGAGACGCAAGACGTTGGCGGTTGAAGCAAAGGGACACAAACGAGAAAAGGGGGCGGGGTTGGGGTTCGGGTTGGGGTTGGATGTGCGCTCATTGAGCCGTCGAAAGCACTTACACGGGCGAAACCACGAGCGGCCGGTGCTCGAGGCGGGGGACAGCCTGAAACCCCGAATTGGGTGACGGGGTTTCGACTTCGAGAAGGGTTAGGGGGTTCCTTGGGGGCTTGTGCCTCGCTGTAGAAGTACAAACAAAATACGGGCTTTTAGTGCGGGAAGCGAAGTCTCAAACACAGGGTTTGACCTTGGGCAGCTTGCGGTCGTTCGAGGCGTTATCCAATCAAATTGGCGGTTCTTCAGAGGGAAAGTGGGTTTTGAAATCTTCGGCCAATGGGAGGGGATGCAAGAAGCCCACACCTGACAAATGCGAGCAGATCTGGCTAGCAGCCACTGTAACCTCACTCCAGCAACCAGGATCAGGTTCTGCACAGTTTCCCCCGGAACTGTACTGTATTCTGTTACGTTACGCCCACGCACCACACTCCCACAGAGCTCGACCCTCGCAACGCCTCAGCGGATTGGCGCGGACCTGCGGTGATTCACACTTGGCCCGTTGCTAAGCTCGTCTGCCGAGCAACCACGATCCGACCAGGAATCTGTTTGGATCTTTTGCTGTGGACCCGAGCCACGCACTTCAGGGCGCGAACAGGGCATCCCAGCGTACCATCATGACATCTTCACACGGCGGGAAGTTGGGTTCCCGTCTATCCGTCATGTCTCCGCGATCGAGGCTGAGAGGTAGCATGTTCTCGCTCCCGCCCTTAGCCTTGGCAAACCCGCGAAGAGTGCGACGTGATGAGAGAGGGACAGAGGCGAAGTCTGGCGGTTCAGGGTTACCGTCGATACAAATCAGGAAGCTCGTAGCCCTTATGCTTTAGCCGGCATATTGTTAAGCTCACCGCAGTTCCTAGTCTGGATCTCTCGCCGCATCTGCGCGAGTTATCAATCTTGTCTCGGCTGCTCTGTGACGAGGGTGCTTGATGCGGCCCGAAAAGTACGGGCATAAGCCGTCTGTCGCACAAACGTGGACGGGAGCGGGCTTCTGCGGGCTTCTGGTGGAGGCATGCTGTAGAACCTTAACCGGGTGTGAGACAGGCACAGCTGTAGAGAGAGTTACACAACCGCGGGACGGTGGGCAAGGCGTGCACATGCCGTCAACACTGACGGAGGAGGCCCAGAAACTGCTTGCCGGCTCTTCGACACCACCCCCCCCCCAAAAGTTTTCCACGCCGCCGCCTGACCCCCTTAGCGAGTGAGAAACCTCGACGGCCGAAAGCGTTGCTGATGTGTACCAGAGTGGGTGCCAGGGTGGACAACACATGATCGCGATGGCGACGGAAAGGCTGCCGAAGTGGAGTCGCCGCAGGGGCAGGGGAAGGGCCAGACCCACGAAAAAGGCGAGGCGGAAACCGGGGGCTGACTTCCCCGGTGCATCTGGCGTCCATATCGATCGGGGCCCCAGCCTGAGGAGGAAACGGCCCGGGTCCACCCGCCATCAATGATGATCAAGCGATTTGCAAAATGTTCAAGTCTCGCGGAGACGCGGAGCAATGACTACAAGCGTCTCATCATAATGGGCGTGTTATTCGTAAAGGGGGACTGGGCGTGGGACGTCCCAGAAACCACCCGCGTCCTCCGGCGAGCGACGTCGCGAGGTGGTGTGATGAGCGAGTTGTCACCTCGTCCGTGGCGCGGTGCAATCAGACCAAGTCGTCAAGGTGACGTGTTTGGATAGCGTCAGGCAGAAGGGTAGCGGTTCCGTCCTGCTGGGACCTGACGGCGGCTGCGCGGTGATATTATGCAGAGACTGGAGAGGAGTTGACCCGGCCGAAGCCCGAGAACATCGACGAGAGAGGGGCGGAGGAAACGCCGAGCAGATAACGTTACCTGAAAAGCAAAGAGCGGGAGCTCGGATTGGGAGGCCGATATGGGCTCAAATCTGGTTGCGGATATCCGCACTCCCGTTACAGTCCGCAGTGCTATGTAGGTATACTACTTCATCCATTTTTCACTCTCCTCCCCGACGTCGCGCGCACGGGGAGGCGGGTGGAGATGCTCCCCTCGGGCATGATCGTAATGAAGATTGCCAAGTCGGGCTGCGGGCGTTGATCTCGCGCTGGGTTTAAAAGCAACGGTTGCGTTATTCTGGAGAGCAGCCGGTCTCCCCAGGCACAGCACCGTCGCTCACCGGCTTTCATTTACGCGATATTTCCCATCCGGTCATAGCGTGTCATTTCGGCCTGCTGTGAAACCCGAGACGTGAACGTGAACGGGCTCGAGAACGGGTCTCCTGGAGACCCATCAGTGGGCGTCGACGGCGGGCAGGGGGGATGCCTGTCCGTGTCGAAAAAGTGGCGATTGGTGGAGGAGCGAAAGGTTTCGGGGATCCATTTCCTGCGCCTGAGACCCTGCCGTTCGCTGCTAGCGTAGCAACCGCTATTTGGGCTGTGGAAAAGCTGCATTCGTGGCATGGGGGTTTCATGACCGGGCACCGAAATCAGACGCGATGATTTTCAGCGACGGCGCCGATGTATTGGTATGGAATGTCGTGTGTGGTTCGTGCACAGCGCGGTTCGCGGGAGCTGTTGGTTATTCTGAAAAGTGTGTTGGTTGTTGAGCTGCACGGTCGCCCCTCTTCGCGCCCAATCGCCATGCGCAATAAGCGCGCCCATGGTGGTTTGGCGTGCCGAACCAGTCGGCGATTGCCAGGGAAGGGTGCTGCTGCCAGGGAAGGAGGGGTCTGGAGAAGGGAAGGGGGGGCCACCGACCTGATCTGCACCTCATCGTAAGTTCGAATTCAGCTTTCCGCTTTTTTCCCTCACATTTTCCTCCACTGACCGCTCATCACTCGAGCACCGCTCCAGGTCGAGGCCAAAAGGGGTATAGCGCGGACCCGACAGACTGGTAAGAGTTGTGGTTGGCCCAAACCCTCTTGCCCTCAGGTTGCAGCACCAATCACACGTCGGAAAACGGACGACCCCAAGCACAGAAGCGCTGCTGTTTTCGCCCTTCCTTGGCCCCAAAGAGCCCTGAGGCCCGCTGTGCCGTAATCGGCGGGCATGCTTCGAAACACGAAAAGCCAGCTTTGAGAAGGGCTGTCAATCGAAATGCAGGGCTTCCGGCGGCATCAGGATCGCCAAAATAGGTGCCGATGGAACAATAATCAATACGCCGAGCAACCGTTTCATTGCAACGCGCGCATTTGTCCCCGACGGCAGATATTGTGGCAATCAGGGCGCCAGGGATGTGTAGAGAAGTATGGGTATGCGCTGCAGGCTGCAGAACCCGCGGATACCGTAGCAGTGGTGAGTCAAGGTAAGTGGAAGTCGAGTCTGCTGCATGACAAATTGTTGTGTGCGCATCCCGGCGACCGCCGAGGGTTTTGAGGACGAAGTGTGTTGTCGTCGCGGAACATCGATGGCTTTTTCCTTGGCTGATGGCAAGGGTTCAGAGTGCAATGATTGTCAGGATCGGGCAAATACTGCTGTCAGTGTCCTAAAGCCGTATCTCCGTGCGCTCTTTCCTGCGTTGCTGCCCGGAAAATTTGATCCTTCCATTCTCGGTGGTGTCATCCATCTCTATTCCGGCAGCCGCGGCCCTCTCTGCCACTTTTGAGTAACACAGCCTCGACGTTTTTCCCACTATTCCTCTTGCGCGCAGGCACAGCGTTTCAACCCAAGTCGCGAAGGAAATCCCGGTTGCTTTCAACAGACTTTCTCAGCCCACCCATTCCGCCTGGTCTGTTTTTCGGGCCGCTGCACCATCGCTCGAACCTTGGTCCATACACACAGCAAAAGAGCCCGACTGGGATCGCGGTGCCCGTTCGCATGCCCCATCGCACCCCATGTCTTCTGCCCCCCATGCCCCAGATTTCCGCAGCCCAGCTCTGTTCAAATTTAGCAGGCCGATGCCACCCCCGGCAATTGGCGGCTTCGCCCCCGGCTCGCTCGCCGAACGGGTGGCAGGTAAAGCGGTGATGCATCAACAGCTCAAGAACTCCGGGGTACCGTAACGCGACACGCGCACGCACACGCGACATGTTCCAGCTGCCCAGTGTAGAGACGGGCGAGCGACACACATGCCAGCGCGAGCCACGTCTACAAATGGCCAGCAGCAGCAGTGCGCGATCGAGATATGCCGGAGCGGGGTGGCCCTGGAGGCGTCTATCCGCCCTCCGAGTCGAACCAACTGGCTTCGTACCGGCCAACGAGGAGGAAGTAACGGCGGCTATCTCACAGTAGGGTCCTCCCGCATGGTGGCGCGAACCAGAGCTTCCCCGTCCGCCGTGGAGAGTGCGGTTCGCCCTGTTGAATGTCACGGTACATACCGATACGATACCGGAGAAGGGGGGGTCCATCACCCATCTCCCCCACACACCCACCCTGGCGAGCGAGAACGGCCCTAGCAGAAGATGTGCACTCACTAAATCGTTCCCGCAACGCCGCCTTCACAATTCAGGCCTTTGCCTTTTTTCCCCGGGGCCCTCATCCCTGCTGAAGATGGCCATTGACTCGTCCCGCTCTCACGTCTTCAGTGCCGAGATGCTGCCCATTAGGGCAAATGCTACCTCCGCCGTTTGCATTAATCTATTCGGGGTCAAAAAGATCTGATGGCCAGGGTCCCCCTTCTTCCTGGGGGAGGGGAACCGGCAGTATGTTGCCATGTCACCGAACCGGGTCACGGTGGGCTTCGCTCTGGCTAAGACTAGCACACCAAGCCGAGCCCCGGCGGTCGTTATCATGATTGGGGACTGAGCCGGCGCCCTTTGTGGCGGAAACGCCTCGCCCCGTCTAGCATCCATTCACACGGCTTGCTGTCCTCGAGGGTCCCGGGAAAGGGAGAATGCCTGGCCGACCCGGTGTCATCGTGGCCGTCTCTGCCACTTTGGACGAGAGCTAGGGCGCGTTAAACGGTCGCAGATGGTACAAGCCTCGTCGAAAAGAAGCTGTCTAGGGTCCGTCCGTCCAAGAGGGGCAATTCCAACTAATACCCTGGCGCCTTTGTCACCGTGTCGATACCGTCTCGTTGTCTGCGTGCACAGTTTTTTGAACGGTCGGCGCCTAGCACGTCCAGTGACTGCAAGGCATGTACCGGGGTACGGGGGGGGGGGGGGGGGGGGGGGGCGTGTGCATTGAAGTCGAGGTACGAAAGTACATGCATACCCGACTGCGTATCTCGCCCGCACCCACCCGACAAGGGCGGTGCGCCGTTCTGTCCTGATTGATCGAACGAGACCTTGACGGTCCCTGGTGGGCGTTCACATGGGTATTTTTTTCTGCCACCCAATGTTTCTGGAACGGGGGCGCGGAAAACATACATCAACCTCCTCCCACCTCGATTGCCTACTTCTACCTTACTTTCCGCCCCACCGCCGCTCGGAAAGCTCCTCTTCCTCCTTCTCACTAATATAGACGGTTCCCTGACCTCGCCTGTCAGATCAGCCTCCTCTGTCTCAAACGTTCCCCAGTTCCTTCGACGCCGCACCCTGCCCCACAGCCGGGCCGCACTCGGACTGCCAGCCAAGTTTTATAAGGTCAGGCACCCTTCCTTAGCTTTCCCACGCCGCGATCTCGAGATCTCCAAGCGTAAAAGAGAGGGAAACGCCGCTCTCGCAAGAAGAAACAGCACCCTTTTTCCTGCGTCGAGTTCTCGAGATCTTTGGTTGCAAGCAGCAAACAGACCAAGGGACAAACGACTAAACATGGATACAGACAGGCAAGACGAGGTCGACTCGCCTATGATTGAGGACTTTCTCGACTGCGACCAGTTGGGATCAGACTCAGACGGCGGCAGCTCCGGCAGTTCCTCTCCTAGGAAATCGTTCAAACGCCTTCACATTCACGTCGACATGACCAATAGCCAGTACCTCGCGCCCGGGGCGCACCACGGCGAGCAGACCCGGATAGACGGCCTGCCGATCTGCACTAGCGGCCCATCAACAGGTGCTTTCTCTTCAGCAGCCGATCTCGACCCCTACAGCGCAGTAAGTTGGCCCGCTGGCCACGTCCTTGAGTTCTCCCGCGACTCACCACCAGTATTACAGGTATCCGGCGTCTCGTCGTTCAACTACCCTGCCGCTGCTGACCCAAGCCTCCTGACGCCGGCATCGAGCTCGGGGAGCCCTCCTCTGCAGCACAAACAGTCGGGGAAACCGATGCGGACTTACCACCATTCTCAGACGCCGGCTCTCGCACCGCAGGCGCCGACGCCTCCCGACACATCCAAGATGTACAGCTACAACGGCTACGAGCTGAACTCCAGCAGCCAAAGCCCGTCTCCCATGACGGTGAACCCGTCAGTGACGGAAGCCGCGCCCTTCATGACGCCCTACATGGCGCACTCTCCTCCCGTCAGCCACCATACCTCCTCGCCCAAGAGCGAGATCCCGCCTCCAATCGATCCCTATCTCGGCCACTTTACTGTCTCGGGCGGAAACGACGGTGATGTAACGCACCACTCGCTGCAAGATTACCACCCGTACGGCGTCGAAGTCGCCCAACCAGGCGCATACCTTGCCCAGCAACACGTCCCGGTCGGCACACCGCACATGCACCACCGCATGCCTTCAGATGGGTCGGCACCAGTCTTGTCGCAACCCCACCCTTCACACTTTAGGCCGCACTCCGGGGCCCAAGTCGGCGCGATCGAGGACCTGCGAGACCCCGGCATGCTCCTCGGGCCGTATCCGACCCACGGGGCCATGAGCCCAGGCAGGAGAGCGCCGCCGCGGAAGAAGCCCTCTAATTCCAGGAAGCCGTCCCGCGCACCCAAGGCGATGCCCCACGCTGGGCCGAGCGCCAATGGCCAGTTCAGGCCGGAAGAGGATGGGGAGAAGCTCACGCTGAAGGACGATGCTCCCGAGGACGACAAGTACCTCTTCCAGCTCCGGAACGAGTACATCTCGGAGAAGGGCAAGGGCATGTGGGAGGAGATGAAGGCCAGGTACTCAGAGAAGCACCAGGGCAACTGGGAGAAGGCCGCCCTCCAGATGAAGGTCTCGCGAGCAGTGGCCCGGTATGGCGTATGGCCAGAAAGAGAGGTAAGGGAACCCCACCCCTCCCACCCCCCCGGCCTAGCCTGCACCTGTCTTGAGCCATCGTACTAACGATCACGCGCCATAGATTGATCGGCTCAAGGAAGCCTTCGATTACTTCGAGGACATGCGGTACCAGCTCATCATCGCCCGGATGAAGGAGACGGGCGGCTGCCGGGTGTGGGACTGGAAGAAGCCGCATATTATTGCGATGCTGGTGAAGCTCGGCTTGGAAGAGCCGACAGCCAACGAGAAGACGGGCCTACGCCGGCGCAAGAAAGCGGCCAAGAGGCAGGGCAGCCCCCAGAACGGCGGCCACCCCGTCATGGGCGACTGGTCGGGCGGGCTCGGCTTGCACCACCCGGTCTACCACGGACACGCGCACGCGCACCACGTCGCCGCCAACGCGGCAGCACGCCAGGGGCAGCAGTTCGATACCATGATGGGCGACGACTTCGGCGGGCCGCCCAACCTGACGGCCAAGCAGCAGGACGACCTCATCAACGACGTCTTCAGCAACGTCAAGGCAGAGCGCAGCCTCAGCCCGGACAACGGCATGGATGGCATGGACGGGTTCGCGTACGGCAGCACCGACGCCGGCGGCGCGAGGCGGCCTTCGACAGCGGCCCCCCGCGAGTTCAATCACCAGGGCAGCGCCCGTGTGGCACGACAAGCGTGCGATCAATTGCTCCAGCACCCTTCTTCATAGATACCCCGGGAAATGCACAACGGCGCAAGGATAATAACGAGACCATGGCACAGCCACCACGGCGAAGGTACAAGAAACAAGAATGACGGGGGGCTGGGTAATCAGGGCAACCTGACTGGCATCTTCTTTGGGTTTTGGGTGGGCGGTTTGGGTTCTGGTTTGGGGGCGGTAATCCTGTATTTTTACCAGCATCGTCATCGTCATCGTTTCTGTTTCCTTCTTGTCCATCTCAAAGTCAAAGTTACCCTTTTTTTCATTCATTACCACCTTTACTTTCTACTACATTGCAACACTGCAAAAATAAGAGATAAGTACTTGCTCACGCAACAACAACAACAACTTCTGTGTTTCTCTCTCTCTCCCTCACTCTCTCTGTCTCTGTGTGTTACATGTTACACATTCCTTTTCTCCCGAGTACTCCTCTTCAATCTCGTTTCGCCTTTACTTGCCATCTTGGGTGGGGCTCAGTTGATTACGGCGAAGTTCGGCGGCGGGGCGCGCTGGTGTGTTTCGGACTCAGTTTCTCGATGGGAATCCGTCATCCATCTCACAGAATGTCATTTTACGGTGCGGCGAAGCAAAAGAAGCTCCCCCCCGGCCTTTCCTTTCCGTTCCTATCCGCCGCAAAAGCCGGGTAGGGAGGCAGAGAGTCATGGCACGGGAACGTATAATTTCACGTCAGGCACTAGATAGGTATCGCCCGTCATGAAATGAAAATAGAAACCTTTCAAGATACGCCATGCCTCCCAACTTTGTGCTTCGCGACCTCGTCGGCTACCCACCTAGGCAGATAGGTATTTGCTCTTTCGGGGCAATTGTACACAATCCGGGCTTGGCAGTGAGACGATGGGATGGTGCCTGAGCGATCGCAAAGCCACGCCGACGCTGAATCCTCCGAGATCCCAGATCCCCGGTCCCGCATGTCACCACGGCGCGCGACAGCGCCGCAGGCAAAGTTGCACAGTTCTGGGAGATCCTCAGATCCCGCGTCTCGGCCGGGGCGGGATTCGTATGTAGTGAGATCCCTATCGGGGATTACAGCCATACGCAGTAGGTATTACAAACCCAAAGGAGCAATCTGGAATCGCCATCGTTTGCCAAACGCGGATTCTGACCTGACCACCCTGACTGTGTCCGATCCGGAGTGCGCGGGAGATCACCTGTAACTATGAAACGACGGAAGCGACTCGGTCGCTCTGTGTAATCCACCAAAAAGCGACGTCTGGCAGCCTTCCATCTTTTGCGAATTCGCATTCAGGGAGCTCCCCAGGCTGCTGCCAGGCAACCGATCGCAACCCCGATCGCAATCATCAAACGCCGACATCCAATCCTTGCCAAGCATGGGAACCCCGGGCAGGCATTTCCGTATCATGTTGCACACAAAACTCCAATTCGGAACTTTTTTGCGATCGCGGTGCGACGTTACGCACGTGTCGCTCCAGCGACAAATATAGCAAAAGGCAAGAAGTAAATTGGCCTACTCATCAATCATTTGCGAGAAGCTTCGGACGAAGAACACACTCCACCGATATGAGAGAGAGAAAAGAGGAAAAAAGAACTCGCAGCGACCATCTCCATCTCCCCCGCCCAGCAAAGCAAGAAGCACCTCAGTCTCGAACGAGCGCTAGTTAGTCAGCAAACCGGGGTACATATTCCGAGCTCAGCTGCGGGCGAGCACGTGATCGGTCAAGTGACCGCCCGGCCCATGCGGCCGCTTGCTGCGATCCACAAGGGTGTCGGCCCGGGGAAAGACACAACCACACCAACAGCCCAACCCCACATGGGGGGGGCATGGGGGAGCGGAACTGCAAGCAAAAGCGAACACCAACCTGCAAGGGGCAATCGCGCTGCCGCCAACCGGTTGTTCCCGACCCAACATTACAGATTTTTTTTTTTTAGATTTTTGGTGTGGTTCGTTTCCTTGTGTTGTGCGAGTCAGGGGGAAAAGGAAAGATGAAACCGGGGCCTTGGAGAGAAAGGGGACTTGACGGACATGCCGAATACTCTGGAGAGCAAACATTGCCGGGTAGTGAGTTACCCCGCAGATCGCTGGGGAACGCGCAGGACGGGCAGGGGAGGGAAAGGGAATCAAGACAACAATCAGGCCGACCAGTTCGCTGACATATCCTTTCTTAACCGCCGAAATGGGGTTTCCCCTTTCCACCGCGGCTGGGGGTTGGATGTTTGTGTCGCTTTGACTTGCCCGAGCTGGCGGCAAGTGCATGAGCTAACTCAGAGTGGCCCGAGGTTGGTATGGGAGTCTTCCGGTTGGTTGTGCGTGTGGTTGCTCGAAGCCCCGAATACGACGGGACGGGCGGGCGGGCGTTTGTTCATCTTTTGTGGGTTGTTGATATCGGGACGCATGGCGGCATCTGCCTTCACCTCCAACTGCTTCTCAGTCAAGAGAATGGATGTTTCATGTGGCGGCTTGGAATGGCCTCTGGGTCTGCTTGCCTTGGACACTGTTGGGCTACTTGTAAGTTGGTGGACGTCAATGAAGAGTCCGGCCCCGTGGGGTTGGTCGCGGCTCACAACAGTCGGTGCCCAACAAACAGCCCTATCACGTCCGCATTACGGCACGCTGCAGGTCATTTCAAGTTGCAGAATGGCGCATCCGCTCGTGCAACCCGGGATCGAGCTCGGAGCGGCCGACAAATGTGATCGCAGGGTTCACCGGGTTTTGGTCATCTCGGGTAATTCGGAGTCATGACGACGACGCGATGGCATTGCATGACACGTCTGTTAAACTGAGTTGCGATTGCTGCCCGGCGAGGATCGGTCCGTCGTGGGAAGCCCTTCTGGGCAAAAGATGGGCGGGCATGGCGAGTATCACACAGTATGGGGACGGGTGTACCTGCGAGGACGGCGTATGCAACCACCCGGGGTCAAATCTCTGGCCGTTTGCGCCTACGACACTGCATGTTGGGCGCGCCTCAAAGTCTTTTGCCGCGCTCCCCCCATCTCGTGGACCTGCATGTTGAAGTTGGTTATGTGATGTCCTACCCGGCTGTGGTGGTTTGTGGTGCCCGCTAAGGTGTACCAACGGGGACGAAACTTAGCCTCGATGCCAATTCCTTTCTTGGGGTCCATTGGCGGCCAAAATGTTGAATATTTGAAACAGAACAGCAAACTTCAGTTGGCCATGAGATTCGGCTCGTAGTCGCGGCCCGAGAGCGAAGTCCTCATGGTGTGCGAAGAAGCCGGCGACGGTTGCCAAGGTCACTGTGACTTGGAGCATCAACGGCGGCCGAACTGGATGATAACGGAGCTAAAACCACCCTACTCTTGGAAAACACTGTGCAAGGCGCGACTTGTGAAGAAGTCTAACAAAATTTTGAAGAGTGTGGTTGGCCCCTGCCCGTGCGCAGCGCCATGCAAGCTGCAGTTGGGGTTTATTGGACGGCATCAAGTCTCTCGACTTTGGGTCGATGCTCGGATCTGCGTGCCGCGGGAAAAAAGGACTGGCTGAGGAAGCGCGCATTCCGCATTTTCTCCTTCTGTAATGTAACTGCGGCATTATGTAGCTGAAAGACAAGCGCGATGAGTCGAGACACCGGAACTGTGAGTGGTTGACATCGGGAACCTGCAGGTTTTGATTTGGTTTGGGTGTTGATGCACAAATCGTAACTAAACGAAGTTCCCCAGACCCGCAACGGCGCCGACACCCGCCATCCCGCCGCCAAGCAAAGGGGAAAAGTGGGACTCAACAGAGGACAACTTCACCTTCCTGCAGGGTCAGCCAGGGCTTGCATGGAATTCACTTGCTGATGCCAAGGCGTGCTTCTCGAACTGCCACATCGGCAACAACAAATCACCACAAGCTTGAATTTGGCTTGAAGTTGGCTTGAAGTTGGCTTGCGCGCCCACTGCCACTCCCGTTGCCACTCCCGCCGACGCGAATCGGCGCCTTTTTCGGCAAACACACATGTGGCGTTCGGTTTTCTTTCCGAGGTGATGCCCTGTCGGCATGGACTGCCGCGACTTGGCCGCCGACCATGGCTCCCGATTCAGCCCCGGCCCGGCCATCAATAACCCCCGGCTTCCGGGGGTCCGTCATCGGCTCAACCGGATAGTCTTTCTCGGATGCATTTTTTTGTTGGCTTGCTTAGGCCATTGGCCCGTGGCTGCCGCCATGCGTCCGGACCGTGTGAGGGAGCTCCGGCGGGAAACCGTCGACATGTTCTATCACGGCTTCGACAATTACATGAATATTGCCTTCCCCGAGGATGAGGTATGGCTTTTACCTTTTGCCGACTCCGGACCAAACCGCTGACCCGACCGCATTAGCTCCGTCCAGTGTCTTGCACCCCACTCTCTCGGGATGGAAAGAACCCGCGTAATGTCGAGCTCAACGACGTCCTGGGCAACTACTCTCTCACGCTCATCGACAGCCTCTCAACCTTGGCAATTCTTGCCTCTGCTCCTCCAGAGGATGCCAATACCGGACCCAAGGCGCTGAGCGACTTCCAAAACGGCGTGGCTGCCCTGGTCGAGCAGTACGGGGACGGCACCCCCGGTCCTTCGGGCATGGGTCTACGCGGGCGCGGCTTCGATGTCGACAGCAAGGTGCAAGTATTTGAGACGGTCATCCGTGGCCTTGGGGGCCTTCTGAGTGCTCATCTATTCGCCATCGGTGCCTTGCCCATCACGGGATACGAACCCCGCCGCCCGGGCGACGACCTCGTGACGCCCCGTCCCGTTGTTTGGCCAAGTGGGTTCACGTATGATGGCCAGCTGCTGAGACTGGCTCAAGATTTGGGCCAGAGGCTCCTCCCGGCTTTCTACACCAAGACGGGCATGCCGTATCCGCGCGTCAACCTTCGACACGGCATCCCGTTCTACACCAACTCACCTCTCCACGGTGACGGTGCGGCTGGGACCGCGGATGGGCCGCCCGAGATTACTGAGACGTGCAGTGCCGGGGCGGGGTCTCTAGTGTTGGAGTTCACCGTCCTCAGCCGCCTTAGCGGTGACCCCCGGTTCGAGCAGCTGGCGAAGAGGGCATTCTGGGCCGTGTGGTATCGGAAGAGCCAGATAGGGCTGATCGGCGCCGGGGTGGACGCCGAGCAGGGGAATTGGATAGGCTCCTATGCCGTGATCGGTGCGGGCGCCGACAGCTTCTTCGAGTATGCTCTAAAATCCCACATCTTGCTCTCGGGCCACGAGCTCCCCAACCGGACAGTGGCCCGGCCCAACCAAGGTGGCGAGTGGATGGACCCAAACACACTTTTCCCTCCGCTGAGTGACGCCGAGAACTCGCCCGACTCGTTCCTCGAAGCCTGGCATCACGCACACGCATCCATCAAGCGCCATCTCTACAGCGACCGCGACCATCCCCACTACGAAAACGTCAACCTATGGACCGGCTCACTGGCCTCCAATTGGGTCGATAGCCTCGGCGCCTATTACTCGGGGCTCCTGGTCCTTGCTGGTGAGGTGGATGAGGCCGTCGAGACGAACCTGCTCTACACGGCCATCTGGACACGCTATGCTGCTCTCCCGGAACGATGGTCCATGCGGGAAAAGACGGTCGAAGGTGGCCTCGGATGGTGGCCGCTGCGACCGGAGTTCATCGAGTCTACATACCACTTATACCGCGCCACCAAAGACCCCTGGTACCTCTACGTTGGCGAGATGGTACAGCGGGACATCAAAAGACGGTGCTGGACCCCGTGCGGCTGGGCGGGGCTGCAAAACGTCCTGGATGGTGAGAAGAGTGATCGTATGGAGAGCTTCTTTCTCGGGGAGACGTCCAAGTACATGTATCTGCTCTATGATGACCAGCACCCCATGAACGCATTTGACGGCGCATACGTTTTCACCACCGAGGGTCATCCGCTGATCATCCCCACAGCTGTGACAGCGGACAGACCTCCACCCACGAGGCCCAATCGGAAGGATCTAGCCATTCCCTACGACGAAGCGTTCACGGACTCGTGCCCTCCACGCCCCGCCACAACTCCTCTATCCGGCTCGGTTATCGCCGCCAGGGACGACATCTACCACGCCGCACGCATGCTGGATCTGCACCTGCTGTCCACCTCACCACTCACCCTCGATGGCGGGCAGATGTCCGGCCAGCATATGGCCAGGTCCAACTTTACCCTGTTCCCATGGACACTCCCGGTTGAGCTGATGCCCCGCGACGGTGTGTGCGCCAGGGTCAACCATCCGGCAGAGCTCATGCTGGAATTTTCATCCAACGCCGGACAAGCGGCTGGCGGGAGCGCCTTCAACTTCATGCTAGGGAACCAGAACTTGGAGCGTCTGACTGCAGACCGCATCCGTGTTTCCAGCCTGTCCGGCTTGAAAATAACCCTGCGCCTGGAGGAGAGCCCGGAACGAGAATGGCGAGTCAGCAAGGTCAACGGTGTCCCACTGGGCCGCGACGAGTCCGTCGTCTTTGACCGATCCATCCTCGGGGAGATATCAGACCCTAGATTCAACCTTGTCCGCGACCCCGTCATGGTCAAGCTCCAGCACCTCCACCAAGTCGACCTCCTCGGTAATAGTACTGCCGAAACAACCAACGACCACACCCCTCAAGACGGCAACGAGGAATCGCACGTCGAACCCCTCCAAAACGCCGAACACTCCGCCGCCGCTCTCACCGACCTCGGCTCCCTCGTCAAATCCCTCTTCAGCCGCATCACTGCATCCCTCGACATCCAACTCCCCACCTCCCTCCCAGGGATGGGCATGGGCCTCACCACAGGCGGCGCCTCCCTTCCCTTCAACCTCGTCATCAACACAACCGGCATCACCCCCACGGGCGTCGGCGCCGCCCCCCTCCCCGACACACCCAGCACCAGCACCAACAGCATCCCACCGCGCACCCCACCCTTCGGCCCCGTCCCCAACGCCGCCTTCCCCTGGTCAACCATCTACGCAGCAGGCGACGCATGCGGCGGTGGCGATAGCAACGACAACCCCAACTCCAACTCCAACTCCAACCCCGGCAACAACAACAACAACAACAACAACAACAACAACAACAACAACAACAACAACAACAACAACAACAACAACAACAACAACACCCCCCTCCCCGACCCCGCCCCACGCAACCACCAAATCCTCCTCCTCCGCCGCGGCGGCTGTTCCTTCTCCACCAAGCTATCCAACATCCCCGCCTTCCCGCCCTCCCCCACCGCGCTCCAGCTCGTCATCATCGTCTCCGACGACGACCACGACAGTCCAAATCCAAACACGGGACTGGTGCGCCCGCTGCTGGACGAGGTGCAGCGCACGCCGGGCGGGATCCCGCGGCGGAACCCGCTGGCGATGGTCATGGTGGGCGGCGGGGAGGTGGTCTATCAGCAGCTGAGGGCGGCGGCGCGGGTCGGGTTGGTGAGGCGGGTACTTTGTGGAGAGTCAGGGGGTGAGGGTGGGGAATATCATTGTGGACGAGGGCGGGGATGGGGGGGATTGGTGAGGTTGGTGAGGTTGGTGATGGGTGGATGGGTGGATGGGTGGATGGGGGGTTGGTGATAGGTGGGTGAGAGATGGATGGGGGGCTGGTGGGTAGATGAATGGTTGATGGAAAGATGGATGGTCGATGGATAGATGGATGCTAGGAGGTTGGCAGATGGAGTTGGCGGGGGTTTGTTTCTTTGTCTGTTTTTGTGCTTTTGTTTGTATAGAAAGGGAGGTTGCGAGGGTGCGGGCATATAGGGAGAAGAGTGTGCAAAACATTCATGATAGACATGTACAAAGCATTGATCGACCCTATATGTTGCGGAAATGGGAGTGAGCGACGATCTCAACATTCCTTCTATGATTGGATATGCTGTATCAAGTCGTCAAGGTTCTTGCAGGAACAACTTTGGCCATGCTGTCAATGACAGTGGTCCATGGACGTTCTTCAGTCACCAACCCAGCAACACATTTTGCATCTTTCATGTACCGTCACGAGTGCGCTCAACGGAGATCAATTAAGCTGACGCGACCTAGGAGACATGTCGCGTCTATCATGCAGGTTCTGGTGGCTCAGCGACTTGATTCCACCCCAAGGCCAATTGACCCTCTTGAACTTTTGATAACCCCAACGCCTGGCCGAGTCAACCGCCTCCCCTGCTTCAATGTCCCAGTTCATTAAAGGGATCTCGGTCCCAACCCAATTGTAATGAAAACGAAAAACGAAAAGCCTAGACCGCCGAGCCCTGGCTTCCCGCCCACCATCATTAACCAGGCTGTGGTTCTTAGGCCTAAATATGTTGTTGAAAATCGGTGCGGGCGAATTAGGCGGCATGAAGTCGGGACCGGAAAAGGGTGGTATGGTCGGCTTGAGCAACACGACGAATGTCGGTTTCACTCGTCCGTCTCCAGAAGAGTGACCGTCTGGACACCGTCGAGCTTGGAGCGGCCGTTCAGAAAGGGGATCTCGAGAATGAAGAGATATCCGATCAAGTCACCACCCAACTGCTTGACAAGAGAACCGGCAGCAGCAGCGGAGCCACCTGCGTGCAATGTTAGCTGAATGCACAACAAAATTGGCCATCGCTTCTTTCTTTATTTTTCGCAAAAACACCCTGATAAACAAGAAGCACCCCCGCTTGTTGTGGGAAAACGGGACGAGGCGAGGTGGTGGTGGTGGGTGATTGGCGGATTTCAAGCCAGCGGTTTGTGTGAATGGCGCGCGCCATGGGGGATCGATCACAGTGTTCACTTACCAGTAGCAATAATGTCGTCGACCACAAGCACTTTCTGGCCGGGTTTCACCGCACCCTCTTGCATTTGGAAAAAGTCGGTCCCGTACTCCTTCTCGTAGGCCGCTGTGACGCAAGGACCCGGCATTTTGCCTTGCTTGCGGACGGGCACGAAGCTCGCATTGAGACGCAGAGCGAGCGAGGGCCCAAACAGGAAACCCCGCGCATCCAACCCCACTACAACATCAGGCTTCGAGTGCTCGGCGAATTCGAGAACCTGGAGCTCGAGGGCGCGCAGCAAGGCAGTATGGATTGCAGGGTCCTGGAACAAAGGTAGGATGTCGATAAACTGGATGCCGGGGATCGGGAAGTCCGGGAAGCGCTTGAGGGCGCCGAGCAGAGTTATCTTTGTACTGGCGAGTTCGGCGGCACCGGCGGCGGCGGCGGGGGGCTGTCCTCGCGAGGCATCGTTGGAATTGGAGGTGGCGCTGCTAGCCAGGACGGCGGCTTCGACAGAGGTCGGGGGGATCTGGTCTTTGCTGGTCTGCGCCAGAGATTGGGCAGTGTTGGTAGAAGTGCTCATGTTGAGGGGAGAGAAAGAGAGAAGGAGGGGAGGGGAAGGCAGGCAGGCGCGGTGCTCGTGTCTCAAGAGCAAGAAAAAAAAATTGCGGCCAGCAGGGTGTGCAGCACGAAATGCTTGGGCGTCAGCAGTGGAAAGAGACAAACGAGCGAATTGGACACCCTGCCATCAATCTGCCAGAGTGCAAAAAGAGAAACTGAAAACCGAGACGGCCCCTCCCGGAAGGAGTCAGAGGGGACCTGAGCCCCCCGGTGGAGTCGGTGAGGGAAAAAGGCCCTCGAACGGATCCGTGTATGTTGCAATGCGCACAAGATGGATATGCTCCCAAGTGGAGGACCGGCCGAGAAAGCGGCCAGCCCTGTGATTATTTGCACCGGGGCTTCCCTTCCGGGATAACAACCTGGAAGTGTGTCCTCGAGGCCACGGCGATGCCCGGTCTTATCTTTCCCTCCCCAGTGCAAACGGCAAGCAAAGAAATCGACTCACCGACTTTGATTACACCGTGACCACCACCGATATGCCGATGAAAACCTGAAAATAGGACCTATCTGGGAAGGTAGGTACCAGGGAGTTGAAATGCTTGGTCCGACTTTGGCGAAGGTCTGCGTTCTGACCAGATTGGATGAGTTGGGAAGGTGGGGTGAAGGCGATCTGAGGCGGCACACTGATGAGTGGGATGGAAGGAGCATGCTCGCCAAGCCAGGGTACCTGAAGACAACCACTCATCAGGCAAGCTGCAAGCACAGCTGAGAGAGTTTGGTTGCCTGGCGATGCACGGAAAGTTTTGTTCCATCCAAGATCGAACTTTCCGGCAGCAGCAACAACACCAAACAACAAGCTGGAACACGGGCCATGCTATTTTACCAAAAACACACCGCTCTCGCTTCTACCCCAGCCGTAGCTGTGGTCTCGGGTTCACTGCATGCACATGTGTCACAACCCCGATGCCGACTGGCTGCACCCCCCGTGGTCGGTCTGCAAGCTGAGGATGGTGGAGGCCCTGGAGCCTGTTTCCAGCTCATCACATCCATGGCTGGGCCGCCCACGCACGCTTATCTCGTGTAGTTGTGGAGAATTCCCCAGATTCACGGTCTTTAGCAAAGCCAGCCGGCGGCTTGCTCGGAGCTTATCGGAGAGTGGGAGGATCATTTCGCCACTCAGTAAGCCTGTACCCTGAATGCCCTGATGAGTGAAGCTCCATCCGACAACTTTTCGTGGGCCGAACGAAATGCAACCCTGACATTGACAGAGTGACTATCTCAATACCTCTGCACCTCTGATAACCCGTGTGAAAGAAAAAAAAAAGCGAAATCTCCCAGACGGAGCGAATGGAGAGAGAAACATCTCGCCCAATATCGCCGGACATTCGGCAGCCAACCAGTTTGATTGCGGGCCCCGACCTCCAACACACCAAACCAGCTCACTTACACAAACACGGTGCTCCACCATCACACCACCATGGGGACTATATCTATCCAGCCAATTGCCATCTCACACCCCCACGGCGTTCACACCTCACTTGGCTTCGTGAAGCGAGCTACTGTCTGTTTATTGCGAGATGTGACGAGACTATTCCGTACCGGCCAAACACCCTCCCGCTCTCCCACACGTCAAACAAAAGAGCAACTTGCCTGAGACGAGCGCGCATACCGGGCTGTGTGGTTGAACCCCCCTTTGGTCGGCCCACATCCGTTTGGCTAGCATTCGGATCTCTCGACATATCCGGTTCTTCGGGAACTACGCACCTGGTTTCGCGTCTACCGGGCTCTCTTCCCCGGGAGCCGTGCAGGCGACCTAACAAAAGCCTGGCCGCCTTTTGGCTGGGACTGTGGTTCCGCAGCATGATTGCAGAACAGGATCCAATAAGAAGTTTACAACTTGAAAACCGCTTCACCGCCCCCATTACGCAAGCTTCACAGCTGAGTTGCCTGCTTCGCAAGTGATGGTGAATATCGCCATCACCCAACCCATCACAGTCAAAAGTCTCTACTGGAATAAACTACCTCGTGTTTGGATAAGTGTGAAGTCAAGACAGCACGGGCATTACCGAACTTACCTCAGTCGAGTCGACTGCCACATTCTGACGGCATGTGAAGGCAGCTATGCCCAAGTATGCCGAAATATGGTTCGGCTTAATGCGCGCTTATGTTTTAACCGCCCCTGGTCGTTGGGTGATTCAGTTAAAGACTGTTGTTTCCGCCCAGCATTTTCAAGCTCTTCTTGTGCTCGGGAACCGAGGCGCCTCGCTCTCCTGATGCTAACTCAGTGGCTGAAACTGCGGCACCCGACGAAACTACTTGGGATTTCTAACAATAACTGGTGCGAAACAGGTGAGATCCATGATCCGATAAACAGCATAAAATCAGGCAACTATGATCAAAGAGTGTCGTCATGGCCATTCCGTTATCCGCACTGAGGCCACTCGGATTACGCTCTTCTCTGCCTTTTACGGTTTTACCCTTCTCGATACCGAACAACCTTCGACTCCTCATAACCGCAAAGGTGCTCGAGCATGGAATTGCTCAACACGGAAACTAGCGAAGTGATGCCTGCCTGGGCCTTGTCAAATCAGATCGAATGCCCGCATCCGTCCTCCTCGCATGCCGATAGCAGGCCACGGCAGAGTGGCAGATTCTAGATCGTCCGCATTAGCCGTACGACAGCAAACTGCAGCCTCCACTTGGCAATCATTGACCCATCCAACATCGACTTCATAGCCGCATTAGTCTACCCGCTGCTCTCTTTCTCCTGTTCTGGTTCGGACTTGCACCCTCACCGCCCCCCCTTCCCCTTACGATCCACTCGACTGTGGACTCAACTTGACCGCCTTGTCGTTGATTCGAGTCAGTCTGGAGAGTCGAGTCGAGACTGGGCCCGGATCTCCGGCTCCGGCTCCGTGCACACGCCGTGGCACCGCCAACGCAGGATCCGAAACCGGATCTGGGCGGCAGCCTCAAGTCCCGAGAGAAGGGTAACACGGCATCGACTATCAGTAAGGCTGTATCTTTGTCGGCGGTCGCCGGATGACATGACTGTCCAGGCCGACCAGCCAGCACACAAGACTCCCTGGAGGGGAAGTTGTGCCCCCCGCATCTTTGCCCAAGAAATTACCGAGCCGTTGTCGAGACCACGACCCCGTATCCAAAAGTGTAACAGATCCTCAGAACCTCGCATCAACATTTACCATCCCGCAACGCTCCAGAGCCGGTGCCAGTCCAGCCCGCGTCCCCTCAGTGAGCCCGGAGGTTGAACGGCATGACGCAGTGCGACGGGGCGGGACCCATGCCGGCTCAGCACACAGTACCAATCTGCCCAGAAGATCTCGCTGCAGCCGGCCCGCGTCCGGCAGGGTAGGAGTGCACTCTATTACCGTGCTGCAGCGCGAAGGAAACAGAACAAGAGCCCGCTGGGCGGCCGTGAAACCCGACCACGACGTGGGTCCCCAGTTCTTATCTTTCTCACCGACCCGGCGAGGAGGTCGCTTCCCGGATCTCGCACACCATTGCACACCATTAAAAAGGGTGGGCCGAGGCCAGCCGTTGATAGCGGGAATATGTGTGGGTGGTGGCATTGCCGCAGTGTGCCTGTCCATTGGTACGAATATAAAAACAAAGTCTCCCTCCCTCCTATGTTCATGTCTATCGTAACAGCGTGCCTATCCAAAATCGTATAATTATCCGTTTCAAAACCATAAGAAGAGCTCGATGCGATGAGAAGACAAACGCGGGTATCGTGCATTCCTCCAACCAAATGCAAATGCTCTCAATTCCTCGCTCGCATGCATTAAAAGAGGGTAAAGAAAAAGCAAAAAAAAGAAAACACATGCAGTAAAACGAAAAACAAGCGCAAAAAGGTTAACTTTGTGAGCGCCGAAAATCCAGGGGTCCGGGTCCAGCGAGCGGCCCACGGATCCTGCTTGGCCAGCACACGGGAGCGAGCGGCGGGCTGTGACAGGCTGGACCCGCCGGGGGAAGGATGCCGACGGTTGACGCAATAATAAGCCGGGTTTCGTTTGGCATCGCCAATGCTTTGCCTCTGCGGCCACACGTTGCTCTCGGCGTGGCCGAACCCATACCCATAAACTCAGCGGAACTGGAGCCGGATGATGGAGAAGAGCATGTTTTGCAGCACGTGCAGCATGACGGCGACGCAGGTCGGCAGCAGCTCGGGCCAGACGATGAAATCGAGCTTGCCCTCGGTGACCACGCTCACCTTGTAGATCCAGCGGATGAGCCAGTCGACGATGAAGCTCGCGACGAGCTCGCACCCCCAGGTAATGGTCGAGGCGTAGAAGGTCAGCCCAAAGTTGTAGTCTCCGTCTTCCTCGGTCCTGTCGAAGGTGAAGTAGGGGTAAACGTCCTTGTTGGCGCCGAAGTGCAGGACCACGACGCTGCCGAGGAAGGTCAGCATGGACGCGTTCTCGGCCATGAATCGGATGAAGACGTTGCGAATGCACATCTTTTGATACGAGCCGTAGCTTTGGCCGTTGACGCCGATCACGGATAAGAACCAATGGAAAGGGGCTGACATCAGTATCGGGGTGACGATGATGAGGCCTGTCGAGGAGAGGACTTGGAGCAGGATGAACTGCGAGGGGCTGCGCAAGCGCGCGTACAGAGCGCGGACGTATGTTTGGTAGGTGAGCATGAAGTAACTGTATTTTAGTGAGTCGAGCCGCTCAAGAACCTAGGTTATGTGTTTAGAAATGCACTTACAGCTTGAAGATCCAGCTTAAGGGGTAGCTCCCTACCCGCTCACCCTCGTTCCCTCCCAAGATCCAACCCGTCAGCCCGTCGAGCAGATAAACCGTTGATATCCACCCGTAGACATAGACGATGGTCTCAAAGTTATTATGCGGCAGCGTGCGCAGGTAGATCTCGGCGTAGGCTTCCCCTAGAACGTAGGCCATTAAGCCGATAAATAACGCGAGACAAAACCATATAAAGCGGACAAAGCTCGCTGGTAACCATCGGCGACGCATCCTGACGGGCACGGCGGGGCGATGGTAGCGGCTGTCCGCGACGCCAATTGCCGATGAGCCTGGGACCGGATCAAAGGCGTAAGGGTCCAGGCTGGCGCGGCTTCGTCTCCCGCCGCGTGGTGACGGGCTGTCTTCTCCCGCCCACCATGATGTCGTGAAGATACGCTGCGTTTCGGAGAGCGATTGCCGCAACTTGATATGGCGTTCGTTTGTCATGAGGATGCAGAAAGCAATGGCAACAGGCATCGCCATGATGACAAAGGTCCAGGAAATCCAGGCCGTATTGTGGATGGTCAGGAACCTGGTCTCGGGGGCGAGGTAGATGGGGATCGGGGCCGCAATGGAGATCACGGCGATGGCGGACATGGTGATGGGGAAGCCAAGCGGCTGGGGCCACCAGTTGAGGCTGTATATGTTGAAGACTTTGGTAATCCAGATAAGGGCCGTCAGGTTGTAGAAGCTGTAGTAAACGAAGAGGAAGAACCAGAAGTTGACCCGCACCCTGGCGGCTCCGTGGCCCGGTACCTTGTCCCGAGGGGTATCTTGCGGTTCCCCTGGCCGACCGCCTCCCTCGTCGCCGGGAAGCGGGTACTGGGGAAAGGGGATGGAAACCCACGCTACGGCCTACAGACAATGTTAGCCTTCCACGAGTCAAAAGGTTCCGGAGCCCGTCTCGGCTCAACTCGAGCCTCTGGTCCAGAAACCAAAAAGAAGGGGCAGCCTACCAACAACGCCGGCAACACCACCAACGCGAACCACCGACTCCACCACACATCCACCACCCTCCTGACGGCGCTCGCCTTGGGATCGACCCAGACATCCCCAAACCACCTCACCAACCTGCGCGTCCTCCCCACGCCCCAACAGCAGCACCCCACCCCGCCATCCTCCTCCTCGTCCTCCCAACTCCCATCCTCTCTGTCGTCACCCTCCTCCTCCTCCGCAGCAGCCACAACAAGCGCCCCATACCCCACATGCACACTCCCCCTCCACCCAGGCCCCGCCTCGGCCAAAGACGAAGACGAAGAAGACAACAACCCAACCTGCCCCGACCCCCTTACCCCCCCTCCTCCGGCCCCTCCCAACCCCAGCCCTAACCCCATCCCCGACCCCCTCCTCCCCCCGCCATTACCATTCCGATACCCTCCACCACCCCCACCACCCCCATTGCGATACCCACCACCACCACCACCACCACCACCAACCGGCCTCGGCACGGCACGAAACCGGCCCAGCAGCGGCGACGCCTCAGTGGCGAGCAGCCTGCGGTTCTGAGCGCGTTCAGAGCCCTGTTGGAAGGAGAAGACGAGGGAGGCGGCGGGTTGTGGCGGGGGGTTGTGGTGATGGGATGGTTTGGTGGTTGGTTTCGGGGGGTTGGTTTTGCTGCGTTTGGTGGTGGGGGCAGTAGTGGTAGTGGTGGTGATGGGAAAGGAGGAGGTGCGGCGGCGGTGGGTTATGGCGGCGGGGGGGAGGCCGTGCCCGTCGAGCCCATCGAGCCCGGTCGGGTTCGGGGGTTTGCTTTGGGTGAGGCCCATTCGCGGGAGTTGGGGCGCGAGGGTTGGTTGTTTGTGGCGTTGTGGGTTGTGTGGTGTTTCTCTACACAGTAGGTATTATGGTTGGTGTTGGGCGGGTGTTACAGGGTTGATGGATGCATGTTTGTGTTTTGGGATGGTCGGGCTCGTGGGGTATCCGTGTCTTTGCGTGTCGATCGATTGGAGCTCGCTGGGGGTTTCCTATTCGTGTCGTCGTCGCGGTCTCTCGCTCTTGTATTCTGGGTTTCGGGAACACAAAAAAGAAAGAGGGAAAAAAGACGAAAAGAAACTAGGTCCCCGTCAGGCGTTCGAGGGTCTCAGGATTTCTTGGCCTCGAGTTTGGTGATTGTGTCACGCGAGGCGTCTGTTGGTTCACAGCTTACCGCGGCCCGCTCGAGGACCCTGCAGGTCCCTTCAGGTTCCAGGGCTGCCGAGGACCCCTGTAGCGATAAGGTATCCCTGCTCCGATCGGAACGCTGCCAAGCCGTGAACCTCCATCCCAAGATCAAAGGACCGACTACAGATTAGTACAGAAAAAGATGGAGAGAGCACAGCCATGAGCTTAGACCACAGCAACAATAGAGCTACAGTATACCTATCTAAGGTTTGGGGGTGATATACTCTTACATATCGCAACTACCTGCCTCGTCAGCATGTAAAAGCCGGCGACATAGCTTCTCCCCCCCGGCAAGATAATTTTAGATTTTAATATCTTGTAGCGGTAGATTATATGTCTATGCTCAGTTATTAATCCAACACCAACAGCTCAAGCTCAACTATTCACAGTCAACACCCCCCAGACCCCAAAACGGCTTCCTAACTTCATAGAATACCGCCGCGACAAGCACTACCTATATAACCGCTCAAAGGCCCCCCAGAACAAACACCACACCCTACCCGGCACCACCACCATGTCCCCGCCCAGATACATCTTCCCCCACTCCCTCACCCAAATATATACAACCCCGCCCCCCCCCCCCCCCGACCCCAGTCCATCACCCCTCCTCCCTCCCAACAGGTTGACTCAACCGCTGAAACCCCGCCAACACCTCGCGATCGACATTGACCGCCCACTCCGCCTCAAAGACGTGCTCCCCCCCCACCCGCTGGACCAGATCCGCCAGCCGGGCACGCACAAACTCAAACGACACCACGCGATGTACCGGGTCCTTGAAGGCCAGCTCCCGCTCATGGACATCGAGAGGGGTATCATACTCGTAGCGGCCGGCCTCGGTCCAGACGAGGCTGTCGCGGGCGCCGAGCGGGGCGCCGCCGCTGCCGCCGCTGCCGTCGTCGTCGGCGAGCTCGGTGACGACGCTGGTCCACATGGAGAGGTAGTCCTGCAGGTGGCCGAGGACGAGGGACTGGGCGGGGTCGGGGAGCTCGCAGAGGCGGGTGAGGGCGAGGCAGGAGAGCTTTTGGCGGTCGACGTCGGCGGTGGAGTCGAAGTGCGCGAACCATTGCGTGCCCAGCCAGGCCCAGACCTGTTCGATGGGGGTGCCGAAGCTGGTTAGCATGCTGACGAGCAGGGCTGGGTCGGCGAGGGCGATGCGCGCGAGGATGGCGAAGTAGTCGGTTTCCTTGATGGTGCTGATTTGGCTGGTTTTTCGGTTGGGCCCTGTCGTCTGGCTGGCCTCCCACCTGCTGTGCAGCCCTTCGAGGATGGTACGAAGCACGCCGATCGCGAGCAGGTCCTGGGCGACGACCGAGACGCCCTGGACGCCGCCGAATTCCTCGGCCACGCGGATGACGAGCTCGATCGACTTTGCGCCGACCTTGGACTGATCCCGGGTCGACGAGTCCAGCGCCTTCGCTAGTCCCGCCAGGGTTGGGCGCCGGAGGGCGTCGCTCAACATGTCTTGCGGTGCCAAGACGATGTAGTCTTTGACGATATCCAAGCACTGATTCGCCACCGCCGTGTCATACTCGAGCAGCGGGAGAGCCAGTTGGACCATCTGCGTGAGGTCCGGGTTGAGCGGCGGTGAGCTTTGTGTCAATATGGCCTTCCAGAGATCAACCGACTCCTCAATCAAGTGCAGGTGGAGTGCCGACTGGGGATTCATCGCCTCTCGAAGCAGCGGCAGGATGACCCCCTGGTACCGCTGCGACTCGGTGCGCATGGATGAGACCAAGGCCGACATGATTGCGAGCACCGACTGCTTGATCATGTACTCCTCACTCGCAGCGGACTCCCACAGCTGAGGGAGCGTCAGCATAATGGCGTCCCCGAACTGCGATACGTGAGTCTCCATCCGCGTCACGACCAGTCGAACCGTTTCTAGAATCGCCAGCCTCGTCTCGTCGTTCTCCACCTCCTTGAGGAGATTGACCAAGAGGTTGAATATGTCGGCCGCAAAGGGGTAAAAAGCCTCCCCGGTGAACTCAAAGTCGTCAGCCACGCACTTGAGCTGGCGCGCCGCCGTGATGCGGACGACCTCGTCGTTGTGCTCGCTGTCCGTGTTCAGCAAGTGGCGGTAGATTTCGTACACGACAGGCCTGCTGGCCTGAGAAACCTTGACCGTGATCCACTGGCTGATCAAGATGGCTATCCGGCGGCGTAGCAGTTTGGCCATCGGGTCCTGGATCTGGACGTCCTTAACCAGGAAGGTGGTTAGGAAGTGGTCAAAGTCGAATTTCTGGTAGATGATGGCGGCTGCGCAGCCCAAGGCGCAATAAGCAGCCTCCTTGGTGACGATGTCCATGTCCATCTTGGTGGCGAGGTTGCAATACTCGAGCAGCGGCTCGCCAAGATCCTTGTAGTGCATGAGGAGGTCGAGGAGCAGTCTCTCGGCGCAAGGGCGGACCGCCCACTCGTATGCCTGGCCTTCGGTTCTCTCTTGCGCTTCCCACCCCTCCGGGTCCTCTTCCCAGGCCTCGAGGTCAGATTTGCGGAAAATGAACAGTTTGCTGACTATGACCTGCAACATGTCAAGGAGCATGTCTCTTGACAGGAGCTCCACCTTGAGGGTATGTACAGCTTGCTTTTCCAACTCTTTGACCTCCGGGCTCCGATACTTGAATGTCTGCACCGGCTGGTGTGCGATGGCTACGCAGCTCCTTAGAAGCAACAGGCCCTTGAGCGCGAGCTTCTCGTACAGGGGTCCTTCGTGCTTGGGGTTCCCACCGGCGGTCCCGCCCGAGGTTTGCCTGATACCACCCGACTTATCAAATACTTCCGAGAACCCTTTGACGAGGCTCCAGTAGGCCTTGACCAGAGGAATCGAGCCCGGAAGCACGGGGAAGCTAGCCGGGTGCATCTCGGACATGTCGATATGAAGCTTGGTGAACTGGATAAGGTGCTTGCCGACCACGTCCTGATAGGGAGCCGGGATCCACGAGTCCTGGCTCATACCGTTGAGAAACTGGTCGAATTGGGACTGTGATAAAGACCAGAAGCCGCAAACCATGGAATCCGTATGGGGCTGCTCGTAGCCGACAGTGACCAGTCGCCGTAGCACTTTGAGTGCCGTCAAGCTGTTTTCAACGGCGAAGCCTACCGCGGAATCGTCGCCGCCTTTTGTCCACAGCTCTTGCCAATACGCTGTCTTCTCAGTGTATATGTTGCCGAGCAGCTGTACGAGCTCCGGGGTGACGGCCTGCAGCGCTGTCTGCGACTTACGCAGCCGGGCCGTGCTCATCTCCTTGACGATTCGGAGCAGCACTAACAGGGCACCACGCAGGTGCAGTGGATTCGATGCATTGGCCGCTTTCGTCAACTCCATGATAGTAGAAAAGACGTCCGGCCACTCGGTCGGGTAGTCTATCCGAACGATCTTGGCTGTGACGAGGGCGTTATGCAGCGCCAGGGTCCTATCCTCCTCGCCGAGCGAGCCCTGTAGCAGCCGAGAGCGTATCGCCTGTTTATTTTCGGGTCTGATGGCATTCTTGGCCGCGTGGTTCTGATGTCTCCAGTACTTGTCGATGCCATTTTTTAGGAGAATAATGGCGAGGAAGCGGACCTGCTTATCCTGCGATGTGTCGAGGTAGATTGTCTATGAAGAGGGAGGGCCCGCTCGAATTAGCAACAGAAGCAGAAATCTCGACGACCTGCCTTCCCGGCCCGGAGGAGCGCCAAGTTACCTGGAGATGGGTGTAATAATCTGGGTGGGATTCCCATGTCTGAAGCTGCTGGCTGGCCGACTGCCTCTGGCTGTGGTCGGTTGACGTGCCAGCACTGGCGAGTGCCTTTACCAGCTCCCACTGATTTAGCGGGGCCGCCTCGCCAGGGACTTCGATTGCGAAGCTCATCCCGCCGTCTACAGGAGCATGTATCCGTGCGATCTCGGTAGAAATATCCGCGGCTGGTGTGAAACTCTAGAATGAAAACGGTGGAGGGTCTTGACGACGACCTCTAGGGCCCTCGGCGTCGTCAACAAATGCCTGAGCCACGGATAGAGTCGGTGTCTTCACTTGGTGGATGGACCTTCCATTGGGCTGCAGGCAGGCGTTGGTGGGGTTCGAGGTCGCAGCGGATGGAGGGGCAGTTGGACCCACAGTCGGCCGCTTGGGTCCGCGATGGATGTTCCGTCTGGACTTCCATTTTCCCAGGCACTTCAGGACTTGATGCCTCCTTCAAGTTGGGTAAATAGAGTGACTGTAATTTTAGGTACCATCCATATACGTCTTTTCCCCCTTCTATTCCCCTTTCTGATTCGAGGTCAAGTCAAGCCAAGGGGTCCTAATCAAGTCATTCGTGATCCATTTCCTCCTGGTAGGTGCCATGACCGTGTGTTTGGCGCCCTGTTAAAATATAGGTAGGTAGTTACCTAACTAACTAACCCCTTATCCAGTGTCAACAAACAGAAGGCAAAGCCAAGACGTTCACGACATAAAAAGCACAACCCGCTACGAATATGTAACCAATGTCTCTTATGATGGTACAAATAATTGTACTTGTTTTACGCTTTTTCAAATCAACAAATCAACCCGCTCACTAGGTATGTCGGCAGACCCCATGCTGCGGTTGCCAGGCTGGCACCTACATGCTGGGAAACGGGGGGAAGCCTATGCCAAAGCACATGATAGACCCTTCCGACCTGTATATATTCTTTTGCAACGTTTCCTCGCCGCCCATGTCAAACAGGTACACCCCTCCGAATCGGTAGCTTTTAAAGTGGTTAGAGCGGACGTTTGGGATAGCCATACTAGGAAATCGTGTCGAGACTTACCTGTCCGCGACGTATACTTCCTGGCCGGATGTTCTCTTGTCCATGGCCAAATGTGCCAGACCCCCGCCCGCATCCCACATACTCACTCTCTCCCGACACGTTGTGGTAGTCCGATTCAAGGAGTTGATGTTTTCCGACACGCTTGCCTCTGACCAATAGATGAACTCCATATCGCCGTCTTCGCCCACCTCAATCGCAGTCAGGTCTCGGAGGCTTCCGGCGTAATCATCGATATCGGATCTCGTATCAGGGCTGCACCCGTCCGGCTTCTCGGCTGGGCCCCAGTATATCTTCCCACCGTCTTGAGCCAAGGACGATCTCACGGTCCAGTAGAGGAGGTCAAACTTTGCCGAGAACGCGATATCACCGCTTGGGCGGTCAAGTTCCAGAATTGCATCCATCCAGCCCACAGAGCGGAACAAAATCTCCAGGCCGGTGCCGTCAAGATTGCACCCGAACACGCGCATGCCGCCGCAATCGGTGAAATACAGTTTCCGCCGTTCCTCGTCGACGGCGATCCTGGACGGGGAGTGCACCACACCAGGAGGTATGAGTAGCCGCGCGTGACCTCCGCGCAAATCGGACGTCATGATGGCGGAATCACTGCTTTTGTTGATGTCGGTGAGGCTCCAAAAGAGCGTTTCGAGTGGGTGGCTCACGGCGAGCCCGTAGTGCCTACTCCCAAGGAGCAACGGGTCGAGATCGGCGGTGCTCGCCGGGAAGCTGCTCTCTGCGGGGCCAAAAAGGAGCCGGAGTGGTCTTGGGTACCCGCCATTCGCGGCCTCGAGCACATACAAAATTGGCGTGGGTGGCTCCAAATCCATCGGCGGGCACAGACCGCCCAGGTCACTGCCAGCTCCAACCCTCCCTTCGTTGATGAGTCGTTGGAGGTAGTTGACGGCCTCGGTGTCTGGGTGATCACGGTTGTCGATGTAATCCCGCTCGATCAGCGCGAGGTTTTCCAACCCCTGGCGGTCCATCATCATGCAAGGAGCCAGCTTACTTCTGATGAAAACCTCGGTCCACGCCTTGTCTATCGTTTTGTGCGAGGCGACATCTTGTGACCGGATCGTCGAGATTTCCCGCGCGATGGCAGCCCATACGCGACTGAGGACAAGCCCGTGGTGTCCGTTCATGGCGACTACCGGAACCATGCCACATTCTTCCAGAGCCGACCTGGCCGAGGCTAAGACGCCGTCTTTGGTTCCCCGCCACGCCTGGAGCTCCACGAGGCGAATCTCGGGCGGGGAAAAGTAGCGCATGGTCAGCATGCGTTGGGCCGTCTCGGGATCGATTTGCCGGTCTATAGCGATATCCTCCGGCGTGTGTAGTATCGAGTTCGTGGCTATAATCGCATCGCTTTCGGCAAGCTCCTGTACCCGGCGGAGGAGCCTGACTTTGGCGTTTAGGTTGTCCGCTTCATCCGGACCGCATTCGATGATAAGCCAGGCGTCCGGCACGGTTTCCGCGAGCGTCTGTGCTCCGCAGTCTACGATGTTGTTCCGACAGCTCTCGTCTCGAGGATTATGCCTCCACAATTCCTCTGAGAGGTATTCCATGGCGCCAGAGAGCAGTTTCGTGTTGCGGTCCCGGATGCGAATTTTGTATCCCCCAGCGGCCCACGAGGCAGCAATACGTCGCCCCGCGGGGCCCGCTCCCAGAATGCAGACATGTCTGCCCCCGGAACATGGACCTGCTGGAGGTCGGGGTGCAAGCTGGGTGGGCATAACCAGTGGGAGGCAAGAGGAGAAGAGCATGGGACCGTCGAGACTGCGCAGGTAGGCTTGCTGGAAGGGGCAGAAAGAATAATGGCTAAGCTGAAAGATAACTGAGCAATCGAATAACGAGAGCCAGAGTTACAGCTTTAACCTAAACGAAAACGATGTGGATATCAGCCGATGGGTTTTGCTGCGGACGTTCGTCGACTAGACGAGTCTGATTTGAGGTGCTTTGAACCAACGACGATGGACTTTCCTTGCGCTGTACGCAACGATCTGGTTCTTTAGGCACGTTCCAAGCTGCCTGTTCAAGAAATCTGAAACCGTCCATCTTGCAGTCGCAATCCGTGGCCTTGAGCCATTGAGGCGGCAAGTGCTCTTGCAGTCTTAAGGAGTTCAGAGAAGGAGGGAAGGAGCTGCATTTCCTGGCATTTTTGGTGTCGCATTCTACCTTGATAGGCCCCTACCTAAATCCATACTTCAGATAGGTAGTACTGCACATTTCTGGCCCAGCTTTCCCACTCGATAGATGGATTCTATTGTTGTCAGGAGGAAGAGAAAGGGCATTATCCATAAAATGCAGGTACAGCAGATGAAAGTACCCGACTGCTTGTGGAAGTCCGGATAACTAAGTGGGTCCGCACCCCGGACTGCCAAGCGAACGGGCCGGCTTTCAGCTGCAACCAACCTCGGCTCCCCGGTTCGAGGTCGCGCGCTGGCTCCATCCCATTCATCAACCTACCTCGGGGGGCTCTTGCCATCCCGATCAACCAAACCACTCCCGACAACGATGCCCTTCAATTCCCAAGGAGAGGCTTCACCGGGCTCGAAACCAACAACTCCGATACGATGAGCGATCCAGGCCCGAAGGGGACGGGAAACACTCCCAACGGCGGCAACAGCACGACCACCACCACCACCATCAACACCGCCACCGCCAAACCCACCATTTCCGTCCCCAATCCGAATCCCACTCCGAACCCCAATCCCATCACCATCACCACCACCACGAATACCACCCCCAACCCTCCCCCTCCCACACCCACACCCACACCCACCCCCAATCCCAACCCCAACAACAACACATTCGCCCTCGCCCAACAGCGCCTCGCCGCCCGACGCGCCACCCGCGAAGCCGACGCGGCAGCGGCGCTGGCCGCGCAGCAATCGGCGTCCCAGCTACGCGCGCGCATCGCGGCTTCCCAGTCGCCGCTGCTGCGGCGGCTGGGCGCGTCGACCCTCTCGCTGTGGGACACGGTCGCCGGGCGCGAGGGCACGCGCCCCGCCTTCCGCGTCGGGCAGGTCGATGCTGAGCTGCTGGATGAGGAGCTGGTGGCGTTGTTGAGGGGGCAGGTGGGGGATGCGTTGCGGTATGTTGGGGGTGGGACTGGAGGGGGGGGTGGTGCGGGTGGTGGGGGGAGTGCGGTGTTGCATGATTGGGAGGCGGAGATTTCGATGGTGTTGAGGGCGGTTTTGTTTAAGTTGACCGTGTGGGACCATGATGCGACGTATGGGGCGGCGCTGCAGAATTTGAAATACACGGATGCGCGGCGGGATGGGCCGGGGCTGGTGCCGCCTAGCAGGTGGCAGAAGTCGCTGTATGGGCTGGCGACGGTTGGGGGGAGGTATCTGTGGGCGAAGTGGGAGGACTGGTTGCTGGAGCAGGATGATGGGTTCGAGGGCCCCAGTCCGGGCGCGCAGAGGCTTGCCCGGTGGAGCTCGACGCTGTCGACCATGCATACGTCCGCGGCATTTGCCTCGTTCCTCGTGTTCTTGCTTAATGGGAGGTACAGGACGCTGCTGGACCGGGTGCTGCGCATGCGCTTGGCTCCGCCGACGAGCCAGGTCAGCCGGGAGGTGTCGTTCGAGTACCTCAACCGGCAGCTTGTGTGGCACGCGTTCACCGAGTTCCTGCTTTTCGTGCTACCCTTGGTGGGCATCAACCGGTGGAGAAGATGGTTTGCACGGACATGGCGCAAGACAAAGAAGATCATGAGCACAGGTGCCGAGGGCGCCGACGAGAAGAAGGGCGAATATTCCTTCCTACCGGAACGGACATGCGCCATCTGCTATCAAGACCAAAACTCAGCGTCCAGCGAAAACGACCTTATGGCCGCGGCCTCGACCGGCGTTGTCGGCTCGGCACAAACCGACATTACGAACCCCTACGAAACCATCCCGTGTGGATGCGCCTACTGCTTCGTCTGCCTGACGACAAGGATAGAAAGGGAGGAAGGAGAAGGATGGTCATGTCTGCGCTGCGGCGAACTGGTCAAGGAATGCAAGCCTTGGAGCGGAGATGTGCTGGAACCCGAAGTAAAAACGCCTGCCGCCAAAACGGTGGTGTTTGCCGATGACGTCAAGGCCACGTCGGATAATGAAGGATATGGAGACGAAGAGGGCTCGCAAGTCCTGGTTGAAGAGGAGCCAGACAGCAGTGTGGAGGATATTCGCCCGCAAACACCGAGCGTGTCGTCTGATCGAGCTGATGGCTCGGAGGGGTCTGAGTTGGGAGATTTTGAAGCAGAAGAGGACGAGCTGAGTGAAGATCTGGACAGGTAGCAGACCGAATCTGTTCATTTTCATTGCTAAGCTACATCCCGCGCCGAGACTTGGTCGGTCATGGCATGCGATGTCAGTTCAATAGACGGCCATGGTCTTGTACTTTAGGTGTAGAATACTAAACATTTAATATCTCTCTGGCTAGCTGCGAGACGTGATGAGTTAACCGAAGGACGAAAAGAGAGCCCGCGCTCTTCAATAAGATGACCCGATCCGCCCCCATTTATCCCATCGCCGCCTTGTGTTTTTCCGCAAAACAATCCCAACCCTGCGACATGAAGCGCCGCATGTGTCAGAACACGCCGGCCCACCACTCCGGCCCCCAACGAGGCACACACACGGACTTGCCCACGGCATTCCATTGGCCCCTTCGAATTTCAAGCTTACTTTTGGCGAGGGCGGCACGGAGAACGGGAAGGGGGTGGGTGGGTAGGGGGTTGCTGTTTCCGGCTGAGCCGCATTGAAGTGAAGAAACGGCTGAGGTCGGGTATCAAGATCAAGATGGGTGGTGTTCGGTTTCGGTCTCGTCACCGCCTGACACAAAGTGGCTTGTCAGTCTCGCGCACTGAGCGTGAAGGGGGGGTTCCCGCTCTTGGTGTCTAACAAGCTTCTTAGGTTCGTGCAAGTCACCCACCGGCGGATGGTTCGCTGTCTGTCATAAGATTTGGTGTATTTGACAAATATGCAGATATGTAGCAGCTAGAGTATATACTCCATGGTATATCCAAACATAAACAGGAACAGGAACAAAAATGAAGACCTCCCATGGCATCCCCATCCCGCATTCCTCTCCACGGGAACACGGCAACTTTTCTGACGTTATATAACCGACTGAGCCCGTCTCAGAACAGCTTCGCCTGACAGGTGTAAAAACCGCCGAGCATAACCAAAACGCAAGATTCTGTTCGTGGTATCGTCCACCCGCTCCGTAAAATGGCAACGCCTCGACCTTCACCGCCACATCCCCTAGCGTGAACAATGGAAGTTGCGAATCAGCGAGGTTTGACTTGTTGGCTGATACAGGCTCCCAGCGCGGGCACCGATTCTTCCCGTAGACTGAAGAGGTTGCGCGTAGATTATCAAAATATGTACAATTAAAAATGTTCCTTCCAGAAGCGGAAACGGACTTCGCGGACAGTAGCCTCCTTGGCTGCCTTGTTGATGTCACGGGCTGTTTCGAGACGTTAGTGGCGCTCGTAGCACAGTGAGGGAGAGGGTAGATTGAGCACTTACCAGCTGCCGAGGGACCGCAGAAGTAGACACCCACGGTGGTCCTCATGTTGCCCTCCAGGCCGTTCAGGTAGGTCCGGTCCAGGATACCGTCGCGCATGCCGGTGAAGAGCTTGCCGAAGTTGGGGCGGCCAAAGTTGGTCCGGGCCTTCAGCTCCGTGAGCGGATCCAAGTCGGCGCCGACGCTGTTCAGCACGATATTTTGCGTCGTATCCATGTCGAGTTTCTGCGTGAGGTAAGTGTGGATCTTGAGGAACTCGATGCCGCTCGAGCCGGGGACGCGGGCGGCTTCGCTGGACTGCTGCTCCAGAGAGGAGAGCAGGGTCTGGAACCACTCGAACGAGCTCGTATCCTTGCACACCCAAATGAACTCAACACGGCGCAGCCGGGTTGGCGGGTTTGGCCCGTTTCGCAAGTGCCAGATGTTCTTGAGAATGGAAGCCCATGGCGTGACACCGATACCCGTTCCGATCAGGACCGCAATTTCGTTCTCAAACACATCCTCGGCCGGAGCACCATATGGTCCGTCGATGCGGAGCGATGGCATTGCCTGGCCGTTCTGGAGCGCGACTTCGTACATGCCCATGGGGTCGACGCCTTCGTATAGCTTGCTCTGCGCCGCGCCGGCACCCACTCTGTCGCCGAGTGCGCGGGTGAAGTCACCCACTTGTCGGATATGGACCGAGACGTAGGGGTCGTACGGGCAAGATGTGATGGTGAACGGGTGCCATTGGTACTGGGAAACTTCGGGTACCTGAAGGAATAGCCACTGGCCGGCCTTGTACTTGAACGACGGCTTGTTGAACTGGATCTCGACCACGTCTGGATGATGTTAGATGACATAGTTCTGTCAAGCGTTCGCGGGTTTGCTTACCATAAGGATGCCGGATCACGCGAGTGATCTTGGTCTCGCGCATAGCGCGGATCTCGCGGTACAGCCGTTCGACGAGGTAGAAGGCGCCCGTCCACAGTTCCCATCTCCAGCCTAGGTAGCCAATGCAATGCGTCCAGTACTCATCGCCCGCGAACGGAGAGTAGCCCTCGGCTGTGTCTCGGACGAAGCAACCAACGGTGTGGGTGTACAGGGCGAGGAAAAAGGGAATAAAAAGGTGGTGCATGTACCAAAACGTCTCGAAGGATTGCTGTCTGATGCGATGGTGCGCCGTCGTGTACATCAGGAGCATGCACAGAAGCATTACGTGGCCGGTGATGCCACCGGGCTGGACGTAGTGGATTTGCACGGCCGTCACCGGACGAACTTGGCCCTTCTCGACGTTGTAGAAGCTGTGCGAGGCCAGGTTAGAAAGGATACTCGCTCGAACCGGTCACATGACTTACTTGACGTAATGCGAAGTCGTGTGGATGATGGTGAACAGCAGCATCGAATAAGCGAGCTGCCGGTGCATCCAGATGTTCTCATCAAGCGGGATGAATCTGATCTTGGGCCGGATGAACCGCATGATGGTCCTGCAGACAGGGAGCAAGATGAGCATCCCGTCCACGCTCAGGACTAAACCGGCACCTCGTGATATCCACACTGAGTACTGAAGTGTGTTGAGACCCGCCAGGCGCGGATCGGCCGCTTGTTTCCACCTGCACACCTCGCGTATTAGCCACTGTTCGGACAAAAGCGTCTCACCACAGCACCGGAGAGAATGCGTACCATCCATAGGCGAAGATACCCCAGTGGAATACCCAGAAAAGGAAATGGAAGAGCAGTTTGGTTGGCGTGAACTGCTTCTTCAGCAGGGTGAGGAACGCCATCTTGCCGACTGGTTCCTCCTCTTATCCCCGTACGATACACGGTATATCAATGTCGACCTGCGACTGGAGTGCCGTCGACTCCTTCGGCTCGAGCCGGTCCCGGGATGTGTAAAAGGCAGCCTCGTGGGCAGTCGATCCAGTTGTGGCGCGGTGGAAAGGATGCCGGCCCAGTCTCGGATGTCCCACTCTCTTGCCCCTCTCGGTATTAAGACTTATCAAGTCGCTGTACTATCCAAACAAACAAAGGACGAATCGAACCCGGCGACAGCAGCGACACAAACAACGGGACCGAGGCTAGAAGCCCGAAGAAGAAGCGAAAATAAAAATAAAAGAGTGGTCTGAGCCAGCAGCTGAAGAAAGGAAGGACGGAGACGAGAGGCACTCGTTGAAGAGGTCCCGGTTCTTTACCTCGCCAAGTGAGGGACAGGAAGAGAGGGAGAAGAACGGGCGAGGGACGAGGTAATGTGCGGCGAGAGCCTGGTCATAAGCGACCGGCTCTGGGGCGCGCCGAGGACGGGAAACCAGATGATGCAACACCCTTTCCTACCCGCACTGCTCGACACGGATGCGGACAGGGAGCTAGGGACGGTAGGGGGCCGGATGCAACGGCAGCAAAGCCGTGCCCTATCTCTCCGTCCACTCTCGTCCTCGGATCTCCCTGTTCGGTTGTGCAAGGACTCGAGCCGTTATGATGGGTCGTAGGGGGTCTTGAAACTTCTAGACTGTGGTGTGGGTTGGGATATGGTTCTCTCTTCCTCGCTTTCGCCCCTTTCGCGTGGTTGAGGGTGGTGTCGTGGTGGGGCGACAGGGACGGGGCAAGACAAGGGCGATGTCTGCCGATGATGGGTCGAGGGGATTCAATGGGTGGGAGGATGCTGGGAAGATCAGACGTTGGAGATCGTTTCGCGGTTGAGGAGGTCTGTGTCAGGTTTCTGGGCCTAGCAAGGCGTCGCTATCAGACAGATGGGGAATTTGCGCTGGACAATGCGAGTAAGTTGAGACGACTGATGTTAGAGCCGCTTTGACCGAGGGGTTGCTGGAGGCGACCTTGATGTTTCGTATGGGCAGGGGTTCGCTGTGGAATCACTGTGTACCGAATAAGTCGTAACGGGGAAGACAGGGGCCTTCGATGCAAGGGGAAAAATAAAAATCGAAACTTTGAAGTCTTCAACCTGGGATGATTAACATTGTGGCAATCCCATGAGGTATTGCGGCGAAGGGAACCTTTACAGGTGAGAGTTGAGAAGTTCAGGTCGAGGTTTCGGTCGTTAACGGCGAGGCGGCGGCGGCCAACTAAGAATAGCCAGGGGTGCCATGCCCGGGCAGGCACATGCTGTCGGCAGCCAAGGCCTCCTGGCGCTTAACATCAGGCCTCGAGCTTTGGATTTGTTCCAGGAAAAATGCCAGGACGCGCTAGGCCGCCTTGGGAATAGCGCCCGGGCAACGGGCAATACAAACCAATAAAACCCCGAGGTGCGACGAACACCCTGTCAGAGTCTGCCCAATGCGGATTAGCGATTGTGCTGCACGACCCCAGCTGCACCTCACACGGGCCTGTCTCGGCAAGATGCATTTCCGCATCGACGTCCATTCCGGACCTCGCCTCAGGGTGGACGATGATAGAAGTGGGCAATGGGCTGCAGGCTTGGCCGTCTCAACTCCAAAAGCTGTCATCACTCGGTCATCGCCTAGGGTTTAATTGTACATACATATTTCTAGCGTAGTAATCAGCCCAGACGGTGATGTTGTGGGCTGACTCTCACCCCAATAACCCCGGATTGCCGAGATGCCGAGATGTTGTTGATGATGGATGTTATTGAGGTGATCTGGGCCTGTTCTCTTCCATCAATCTGGCTCGAGCTGTGGAATGGGGTGAATGGGTCCGAGACATCGCGCAACACGAGACAATCGACGGGATATCATCGGTCTCGAGTCTCGTCGTAGGAGCGGGGGAATGGTCTTCCCGGTGAGAGCCTCGAGACGAAATGTTACCTTGACCTCCAATAAGCATATCTGCGGGCACGGTGTCTCGGACGGGATTACGCGAAAAAGCTTGCTATCCCTTGACCGTCGACTGTGTCCATACATACATACTGTGTCGAGGCCAGTCATTTGAGACGTGTTTGGGGGAGGCACGGACTTCTCGAATACGAAACGGAGTATCTGATGACGGACACACCATGGGGGCCGCCCACCTCTGGGCATGTGGAATCAAAGTGAGTGCTCTCAAACTTTGCGACCCCGGCCTCGAAGAAATGCCATGGCGATTGTCGATCGTCGAGGAACATACATAGTGATGCAGGCATCAATGGCTATCAGAAACCCCAGATGCGCCGCAGGTTGTGATTATCTGCAGTGTCACAGTCGGCTGCTCATACTCCCAACGCCGCGCCATTGCCATCCCGGCACCAGATCTCTTGTGAAACCGAGAATCCCGGAAGTACCAGTCGCAGACTGAAAGTAAGAACATCCATGAACGGCTTGCGGCGGGGTGCGGGGGGGGCTGCCCGCGTCTGCTTGCTCTCGGGGAGGAGGGGGAATGGATGGAAGGGGTGCCTGGGTCGAGGGCCGAGTCTGTCTGGTGTCGAGAATAAGCGGGTCGTGATGGACCTCCTCCTGGCTACACAACTTCAGAGCGGGCAGAGGATAGCAAAAACAACAATGTCTTGATATATTCGCAATGAAGTTTGTCGTCCAGTCGATCTCATCCGAAGAGAAGACATGGTCTTAAATAAGGTTGTTTGCGACATCCTGCATCTCTCTGCACACCATCCTGGCCGAAGGGCTGCCCTCGAAGATCCGGGTCGCGCCGCACGTGGGGAATCGTACGATTTTTGCGTCCTCCCAAACACCAGACAGGCACAAGCCCACCACCAACAAAGGCTCTCTCTGCCTGGCCGGCTCGGTATAAATTCTTTCAAAATCCCTCGCTCCTGCTCTTTGTTTCTTGTCCTCGAACGTTGGGTCGGCTTGGGAAGGATTCGTCGCTTCAGCACACTCACCCGCGTCGCAAGGGCATTGATTGGACTCGTGTTGAAAGTTAACGTTAGGTAGTTAAACTGCAGGATGTCTCCTTGCCTACAAGTAGAGCAAAGAGCGAGTTGAACACAGAAATAGCCACAGCTTAGATAAGTCAGGTTGATGGGGAGCCAGCGCAGCTGTGGCTGGACAGAAGAAGCACTTCCATCCGTGACCTCCAAGCTTCCACCGTGCAATGTCCCTGCAGGCGGTTTGCCTTTCTTGGGGGCTTGCGCGGCGGCCGGTCCGACAGCTTGTGGCTGAGCGCAACTGACGCGTGCTCTGGCGGGGCTGTCTGAGGTCAGAAATGCTTTGATTGGCTCGTACCTCGAATGGCAAGGCCCTCGGGCTCCAGCCGCCCGCAGTCAGGTTTGCCCCACCAATTTTTGGTGGCCTTTCGTCACTGCGCAGAAGGGGCTCCATCCTGTAAGGAGAACCATCAGGCACCGTTGGCCCCAGGGATTACCTCCAGGGCTCTGAAAGAAAGGGAGGATTGCCCCCAGGCACCTGGAGATGCCAGAAACAAACACCCGACAACCTACCTCTACACCTCGCCGCCAGAACACTGTGCTGCCAGCGCATTCATTACATACCTCGCACAACCCCTCTAACCACAACCTGCACCGGCTTGACTGCCGCCCCGTATAATCAATTTTAATTGCTGGTATTTCGAAGAGCACGCGCATGACACGCCCACCATGGTGAGCACCACCCACCCACCCCCCCTCCAGAACGGAGGCCCCGTGTTCCGACTCGGCCTCCGGTCTCCGGTCTCCGGCCCGGATTCGAGAACGGACATCACTGACGGCGCCCCAAATCGCAGGGTATCACTCGACGTGCAAAAGATAAGGCCGCGCGGGCCGACCGCTCTGGCGGCGGGGGCGGCGGAGGCGGCTCAAGCAAGCCCAAGAAGGCCACTTACGATACCACAAAAAAGAAGGAAATTGGCGTCTCCGACTTGACATTGCTGCGGACCGTGTCCAACGAGGCCATCAACGAGAATTTGAAGAAGCGTTTCGAGGGCGCCGAGATCTACACCTACATTGGCCATGTCTTGGTTTCCGTCAACCCCTTTCGCGACCTCGGCATCTACACCGACCAGGTCCTCGACAGCTACCGGGGGAAAAACCGGCTGGAGATGCCCCCGCACGTCTTCGCCATCGCCGAGTCCGCCTACTACAACATGAAGGCGTATAAGGAGAACCAGTGCGTGATTATCTCGGGCGAGTCCGGTGCCGGAAAGACCGAGGCCGCCAAGCGCATCATGCAGTACATCGCCAATGTGTCAGGAGGGGGCGAGACGGGCGACATCCAGCAGATCAAGGACATGGTATTAGCGACCAACCCCCTGCTCGAATCGTTCGGCAATGCGAAGACGCTGCGGAACAACAACTCGTCGCGCTTCGGCAAGTATCTACAAATCCACTTCAACGCCCAGGGCGAGCCGGTCGGTGCCGACATCACAAACTACTTGCTCGAGAAGTCGCGGGTGGTGGGCCAGATCGTCAACGAGCGCAACTTCCACATCTTCTACCAGTTCACCAAGGGGGCGTCGCAACAATACCGGGAGACGTTTGGTATCCAGAAGCCCGAGACGTACATCTACACCAGCAGGTCCAAGTGCTTTAATGTCGACGGGATCGACGACTTGGCCGAGTACCAGGATACGCTTAACGCCATGAAGGTTATTGGCCTCTCGCAGCCAGAGCAGGACAACATCTTCCGGATGCTAGCCGCCGTCCTCTGGACCGGTAACCTCGTTTTCCGCGAGGACGAGGACGGATACGCGGCTGTGTCGGATCAGTCGGTCGTAGATTTCTTGGCTTATCTCCTCGAAGTCGACCCGGCTCGTCTCGTCCACGCCATCACCATCCGCGTCCTCACACCGAGGAATGGGGAAGTGATCGAGTCCCCTGCCAATGTGGCACAAGCGACGGCGACCAGGGACGCCCTTGCCAAGGCCATCTACTACAACCTGTTCGACTGGATTGTTGAACGAGTAAACCAGTCCTTGAGGGCGAGGCAGGCTGCTACCAACTCGATCGGTATTCTCGACATCTACGGGTTCGAGATTTTCGACAAGAACAGCTTCGAGCAGCTGTGTATCAACTACGTGAACGAGAAGCTGCAGCAAATCTTCATCCAGCTAACCCTGAAGGCGGAGCAAGACGAGTATGCGCGGGAGCAGATCAAGTGGACCCCTATTTCCTACTTCGACAACAAGATCGTGTGCGACCTGATTGAGTCTGTCAGGCCGCCTGGTGTCTTCTCCGCCATGAAGGATGCTACAAAGACGGCCCATGCGGACCCTGCTGCTTGCGACCGCACATTTATGCAGAGCATCAACGGCATGTCGAACCCCCACCTGACCCCTCGGCAGGGCAACTTTATCATTAAGCACTACGCTGGCGATGTCACGTACACGGTCGATGGCATCACGGATAAGAACAAGGATCAGCTTCTGAAGGGCATCCTCAATCTCGTCCAAGGCAGCCAGAACAAGTTCCTCCACGACATCTTCCCCCAGCAGGTGGACCAGGATAACCGGAAGCAACCGCCATCGGCAGGCGACAGGATCAAGACTTCTGCCAACGCGTTGGTAGAAACGCTCATGAAATGCCAGCCTTCATACATCAGAACCATCAAGCCCAACGAGAACAAGTCGCCGACCGAGTACAACGTCCCCAACGTGCTCCACCAGATCAAATATCTGGGTCTCCAAGAGAACGTGCGTATTCGCCGCGCTGGTTTCGCCTACCGCCAATCGTTCGAAAAGTTTGTCGACCGCTTCTTCTTGCTCTCTCCCGCGACGTCATACGCTGGCGAGTACACCTGGCAAGGTTCCTATGAAGCTGCCGTTAAGCAGATCCTCAAGGACACGAGCATTCCCCAGGAAGAATGGCAGCTCGGTGTCACGAAGGCCTTCATCAAGTCGCCCGAGACGCTGTTTGCGCTAGAGCATATGAGAGACCGGTACTGGCATAACATGGCGACGCGTATCCAGCGCATGTGGCGAGCCTACCTCGCGTACAGGGCCGAGTCCGCGACCCGAATCCAGCGGTTCTGGAGGAAGAAGCGGACCGGCGCCGAGTACCTCCAGCTCCGGGACGACGGTCACAGGGTGCTCCAGGGCCGGAAAGAGCGCAGGCGGATGAGCATACTCGGCTCACGGCGTTTCCTCGGCGACTATCTCGGCATCAACGCGAGCGCCGGGCCCGGAGTCCAGATACGTAACGGCATCCAGCTAGGGAACAACGAGCGAGCCGTCTTCTCTTGCCGTGGAGAGGTTCTCGAGGCCAAGTTTGGCCGGTCCAGCAAGCCTAGTCCCAGAACCATCGTGGTCACCAGCAACAAGTTTTACGTCGTGGCTCTGGTGATGGGCCAAAACAACCAGGTTCAGGTCGTGGTTGAGCGCTCTTTTCCGCTGGGGGCAATCAAGTTCGTTGGCACATCCACAGCTCGGGACGACTGGTTCTCCTTGGGCGTGGGGTCGCAGCAAGAGGCTGACCCACTGCTGAACTGCGTTCTCAAGACGGAGATGTTCACGCAAATGAAGAGGGTGATGCCCGGCGGGTTCAACTTGAAGATCGGAGAGACGATCGAGTACGCAAAGAAGCCTGGTAAAATGCAGCTCGTCAAGGTTCTAAAGGACTCGCCAACCCCGCATGATTTCTACAAGAGCGGCGCCGTACATACACAACAAGGAGAGCCACCGAACTCTGTCTCTCGACCAACACCCAAGGGCAAGCCCGTCCCCCCGAGGCCGATTACGCGGGGCAAACTGATCAAGCCCGGCGGCCCGGGCGGCAGGCCCTCTAGGGTTCCTGTCAACCGCACGCCCCAGCCCCGACCGTCAGGCGCTTCCGCGGCGGCTGCTTCAAGGCCAGTCCCGCAACCTCAGCCGGCGGCGGCAGCGGCAGCAGCAGCCGTCAGCATTCCCTCGCACACCCGGCAAAAGTCCAACTCGTCGGCTGTACGCGCGCCTCCCCCTCCGCCCCCTGCTGCGCCGCCTGCAAAGCCAAAGATCATGGCCAAGGTCCTCTACGATTTTGCTGGCCAACGAGACAATGAGCTGTCCATTAAGGCTGGGCAGGTGATTGAGATCGTCCAGAAGGAGAATAACGGTAAGTCTTTCACACTCAAATTGTTCACCTATGTATCGTTGCTAACCGATCTACCCGAATTAGGCTGGTGGCTCGCCAAGGTTTCCGGTGGACAAGCGTGGGTCCCGGCGGCGTACGTGGAGGAGCAAGAAGCAGCGCCGGTCCCGGCCCCTCGGCCACCGCCACCCCCGCCGGCGGCGAACGGGGCAGCTGCACGGGCGAAGCCGGCCGCGCCGCAGCCCCCAGCCAAGCGCCCCGCGGCGGGGAGGAAGCCGGCGGCGTTGCAGGGCCGCGATTCGGCCATGAGCATGAACGGGTCGGACAGCAGCAGGAGCAGTACCCCGACGCCGAGCCTGGGTCCCAGCTTGGCGGATGCCTTGTTGGCGAGGAAGAACGCCATGGCGAGGAAGGATGATGATGATGATTGGTAGATAGGTTAGCGTTGTTGGGTGAATGGCGAGGCGCGTTTGGTCGATAGCGATAGACTGACTTGTCAAGGCATCGAAGCCTCCCTTTGTGTTGGTGTGCCATGGTCATCACGCAGACTTTTTGTGTAAATGGGCCTTGTAACTCTATCTATATGACGGCCGGTTTGATGTCTGCTGGTTTTGTTTCATTTGGATGCTCGAATGTCAGGGGGTGTTAAATCGAGCGTCTTCACACATCGTCCTCCCTTGTTCGGACCTTACGCCTCCGGATCAGCTCAGCCAAGGGGACATCCTCGTCATCGCCCCGCGCAGGTATGATCTCCTCCTCGACATCCTCGTCCACCCCGTAGTCCCATAGCCGGTCGCCGTCGGAGTTTGTCCACAACGGCTCGCCGACCACCTCGTAGCCTTCGCTGTGGTCGTCCCCATCCCACTCTTCCAGCTCGGCAATGATCCCGGACGGCTGATGCCCCTGCGGCGCCCGGCCGTGCTGCCTCCTCAACAAGTCCTCCTCTTGCCGCCTCGCAAACGCGGCCTTCACCTCCTCCTGCGTCTGATACGCATCGTACGCCTCATCTCGCTGCAGCCCCGCGCCCGGCCACGCACCCCGCCTCTCCTGCCTCATCTTCTCCGGATCCGGCGGCGGCCACAGCCCGGGCAAATCATTAAACCCATTCTCCTCCCACTCCCACCCCACCCCCTTCCCGGGTGTCTTATTATCCACCACCGGCCCGCCCCCAAACACGGGCAAAAACCACCTCAACACATTCCGCGTCCCCATCGCCTGCGCCATATTGGCAAAAACGCCCAAATCATACGGATACTCAATCCGCGCCAGCGCCTGCCTCATCGCCGCATCACCATCCCCCCAAAACAACCCCCCATCCCCCTCCCCCTCCCCATCACCACCACCACCACCACCACCACCCCCCATCTTCGCCATCCGCCCCAACACCGCCTCATGCCGCTCCACCTCCCACTCCTCAATCAGCGTACAATTAAACACCCACCCCCGCACCGTCGTATACAGCATCACCCCCAGCGCCACCACCGTCATCCCATTCACCACCACCAGCGCCACCAACCCGACCAGTCCCACCGCGGACGGGCCCAGGTAGGCTGGCAGGTGGCGCGCGCTCCAGACGGCGGCGAGGCGCTGCCAGAGGAGGGTGGTGAGGTACCAGAGCGCGAGGTTGGTGTACAGCAGGAAGCGCAGGAAGGAGGGGAAGGTTTGCAGTGAGACGCAGGTGCCTGTCCACGGGCAGTGGTGGTCCATTTTGGGGATGCACCGGTTGCAGTGGCGGCAGTGGTGCGCGCGGAGGGGCTTGGGGTGGGCGCATTTTTTGCAGTGCCGGCGGGTTGGGGGGGTGGTGGAGGTTGATGTTGGGCGGAGGAGGTCGGGGTCGGTTGGGGAAGAAGTGGTGGTGGTGGTTTTGGTGGATGAGGGGGGGAAGTGGTAGCGGCCCGGGTCGACGGTGCAGGCGAAGTAGTAGGTCACCCAGACGCAGGCGAGGAGGGTGTTGAAGGTGAGGCTCTCTCGGCGGGTCAGGGGTCCGGGGGCGAGCTCTGGGTCGGCGCTGAAGAGGTATTGCGAGAAATAACCCTGGAAGGCGATCAAGGCGCACACGGCGGGTATGTATAGGACGTGGAGGCCCCGTGTCGTGGGACCGGTCTTGGGCGACGTCATGGTGGTGAATTTGTTGTTGGCGGGTCCATGGAGAGTTACCTAGTTAGGGAGGTTGTTGAGTCTGGAAATTTCAAGATTGAGGTTGGTTGAAGTTGGTTGGATGTCGAAACACGGTTGCTGATGGATGAGTTGGTTGATGAGACGCGTCGTGGCGCAGCTTAGTTACAGCTGGCAACGGTTTGAAGTTCCAGGTACTGAGTGGAAGTGGTGGGGTCCGAGTCTCGTATCACCCCTAACTAGCTGGGCCGGGGGTCAACCAAAAGGTGCTAAAATTTGGCACTGATCTGCAACAGGGGAAACGGGGAATGCATCCACTCAGGGACAAACCCAATGTTAACAGCTTGGAAAACTGGGCATGAACTCAGCCTCAGAGCTTCAAACATCACATAATTGCATGCCTTATCTGACCTCCTGAACATACAAACCTCCAAACGCCATATCACCAAAAACCATTCCCGAGTCCATAGATGCACATTTACTGAGTTGATGGCAACTCTCGGCGTTCAGGGGTGACTATGGCCAATCAGTTGACGGCGCTGTGGTGAGAAACCCCTGAATTTACCCAAATAACTACCTACCTGAGTTCACACTTGAAATTGTGAGACTAGGTTAGGTATCGACTCACCGCTAACTCATCGATTCTACTCTCACTCAGCACCGTCACATCATTTTTATGGCTTGCATATAGTCTAGAAGACCACCAGATCATAGGTCCGTCAACGGCCCTGCCAACTCATTCACATACTCTTTTTTCTGACCAAAAGGGGCCAACAGAACAACCGAGGCTCTCATCTCTACTCGTCCTTTCCATCGCAGCATTGTCATCATATGCCGCCAGCTTCTGTTCCGTATGGCTCCCGGGAACAAATGGAAGGTTTGGTATGTATCAACCCTTACAAACTAACTCCCGATAACTCGTCACTCACTTACCTTGCTGCTAGACGATGAGCGAGCACCGCTCAAAGTGAAGCGCGCCAACCTTCCCAATAAACCGCGGAGATATTTCTTGCCTGCGCTGGTTCTCTGCATTATCCTACGGCTAGAGATCTTCCACCGTGTATCTCTAGACCTCCAATGCTCAAAACCGGGACTCGAGGTGCGTTGGGGTCACGTCGGGCCACCGTGGACTGCCCAGTTACTAACTTCGTTAATCAGGCCTTTTTGCCTCTGTTAATCCTCCTATACGAGCTCCGGAGCCGCAGGGCACGATCCGGCGATGGCGACGATGAAGAGGAGGACGATATGGGGTTGACCATCTTCGAGGCATTCGGTGCTTGGTTCTACTCGTCCAGGGGACCCTTGTTCATTTCCGTCTTGATGCTCACTCTCGGTACATACCTCGTCTCGTCACTCGACCCCAGGTCGACCTTCTTCTGCTCAAACCAAGACCGAAGCGCCCTCGTCGTCCTCTTACAGTGGGCCGGTCTATTCCTCGACGCCTCTATCGCCATCATCATGTGGCGTATTCTTGCCTGGGCGAGAACGACCAAGAGTCGGCTCCGCACTCTCAGCGGAATTATCCTAGTCGCAGCCCTCGGCGCTGGCCTACTATACCGGACCTTCCGCCTCTTTGTCCCGGTTATGCCTATGAGCTACCAGTTTCGAGGTCTCGACTCTCTCTACGTGTTCGACGTTGTGGTCGACGGCCTCGCCTTCTCCACATTCGTCGTATCGGCCAGCCTTCTCGCCGGCGAAGGAAGCCCCTCATCGTTAGCGGGCATCCTCGCCTTTCTCTTTGGGATTATGCAAGCAATCCAGAAGACGGCCTTGACGGGGACGTGGGAGAACATCTCGCCTGGCACTATCTACTTTGCCCTGACGCTCATCTGCTTGGGCTTCTCGTTTTTTGTTTACCTCAACAACATCCGGTCCGTTATCTTCATACACCGAGCATTCTTTGTCTTCCTCCTCTTCATCATCACCATCATAGCGACGATCTACACACCTATCAAGGCTCTCCAAATCACCGACAAGCATCCGCTCATCAGGACCATCTACGACGCTCGGACCGAGGCAGACCGGTGGATGGTTCACGCCACCGTTAGCAACTCACTACCCGTCGCTGTCCAAGAATACAAAGAGCGCCATAACGGGAGAGACCCGCCCCAGAAGTTTGACATCTGGTATGATTTTGCCAAGGATCGCCACTCCGTCATTCTCGACGACTTCCAGCAGATGGAGGAGGATATCCTCCCATTTTGGGGCATGCCGCCATCGAAAATCAAAGAGGGCATCCAGCGTGCCGCCGCCGAGCCTGACATGGCGCTCCTCCAGATCCAAGGCGGCGAGGCTCGGCATAACCTCCCCCCATCAAGCCCGTACAAGCCCGTGGTAGACGATCTAGTAGACCTGGTCAAGGACTTTGTAAAACACCTCCCTAACATGGAACTGGCCATCAACCTCAACGAGCGGCCGCGAGTCCTTGCGCCATGGGATGACGTGCAAAGGTTCATCAACACAGCCAACCGAAAGCGTGTTAGCAAGCTCCTCCCTAGGAGTTCGGACTCCCTTGGGGAAATGCCCGCAGCCCGTGCCACGACTGACGACAACTCACCAACCGAAGTAGGCTTTACCCCGGTGCGGGCACTACGGCAGATGACAGCCCTCACCTGCCCGCCGGGGACCAAAGGACGGGCCGGGACACACTGGGATATCCGGGACATCTGTACATCGTGCGCGCGGCCGCAGTCGCAGGGCCAATATCTAACCAACTGGCCGCTCTCCCAATCACTCTGCCACCAACCCGACCTTCTCCGCCTGCACAGCTTCCACATGACACCCCCCGAAGTCCGGCCACTCCAGGAACTCCTCCCCGTCTTCAGCCGCGCCAAAACCGACAGCTACCGCGACATCCTAATCCCACTACGGCGCATCAGCGAACCCGCGGACCCACCGACCGACGGCGGCTTCGAGAACAAGTTCAAGCGGCTATTCTGGCGCGGCCGGGTCGACCGGTCACACACCAGCCCGGAACTAATCCGCGGCGGCCACCAAGAACGCCTGGTCCATCTCCTCAACACCCCGACCCGCTCCGAAAAGACCACCCTCCTCCTCCCAAGCAAGGACCGCTTCACCTACGAACAGGTCCCCACCGCCGCCATCAACGACCTCCTCCCCATGGACGTCGCCTTCTCCACCTACACCGCCTGCAAGGCCACCACCAACACCAACCCCAACACCAACCCCGGCAACACCTGCCCCGCCGCCGCCGCCGCCGCCGCCGAATTCCTCCTCCAACCCTCCGAACCCTCCACCGAACCCTCCCCCGAACCCCTAGAGCACAAATACGTCCTCCTCACCGACACCGACACCGGCCCCTCCCCCCACCTCCTCCGCACCATCCGCTCCAGCAGCGTCCCGCTGCACGCCACCATCTTCCGCGAGTGGTTCAGCGAGCGCCTGCGGCCGTGGGTGCACTTCGTCCCCATCGACGTGCGCCTGCACGGCCTGCACGGGACGGTGGCGTATTTCCTTGGGCTGCATAAGCGGGGCGGGAGGATGCTGAATGGGCGGGAGGTGGTGATGGAGGGGCGGACGGAGGATGCCAAGTGGATTGCGGAACAGGGGAGAAGGTGGGCGGGGAAGGCGGTGAGAAGGGAGGATATGGAGGTGTATTTGTTTCGGTTGCTGTTGGAGTGGGGGCGGGTGGTGGATGAGGGGAGGGAGGAGGGGGGGTTTGTGTTGAGTTAGGGGGGGGGGGATATACTTGTTGTATAAGGGGGTGGGGGTAATAGATATGGGGGTTTGGTTTGGTTGGTTGGGTTCTGTTCTGTGTGTGGCATGGGATATCTCGACGCTGGCGTTTTAATACATGACTCGAATTAGACTGTATAACTAGTTGGATATAAGATCACTTATGTCTCCATGGTCATCGTCTTCAAGTGCGTTGAGATGATGTAACCCTAACCCCGGTTGATGTCGAGAGAGAAGTGAAAAGGGGTAAAGGGGGTGAATTGATGAGAGAGTTGAAATCCAGAAATATGTGAACAAAATACTTGAATATTCTGGTTCTTTCCAGCGCCTAGCCATGAGTGCGAACTAGCTCCCAGGCTAGACATCCAACTCCCTCATCTTCCTAACGGTCAACCTCAACTAAAAGGTCCGGGTTTAACATCCCCTCTACTACCCCAAAACACCACAAACCCCATCCCATCTTCTAATCCCACCTCAATACTCCAACGGGTACCCCGCATAACAAGGCTGGCAACCGAAACCTTCCGTCCAGCTGGGAACGGGTAAAAGGGGAGAAAGAAAAAGAAGATTCCCCACCTCCCGATCCCCCCGTTAACCGTAACCGTCCGACTGCATTTCAGCCCAACCCCAAGTCCGGCCCCCCCTTTTCCACCCCCTTCCAAGCCCTCACTCCCAGCCCCGGCGCCCTCCATCGTGAAAGTGGCGTGACGTGACGACACTGTTCGAACCCAAAAACCGACCGAAAGCCCCATCAGACGTCAGTTATTATTAATCCACTCGGCACCGCACCGCACCGCACCGCATACATACTCGCACATACATACATACAGAACAGAGAGACGTGGCAGACCCTCAGACCCGGTCGTCTGCCGCGACTCACTGCCACCCACATATCCGCCCATCCCACCTCATGCTTTTTTTGGCCTTGCCTTGCCTTGCCTTGCCTTGCCTTGCCTTGCCCTGCCCGTCACACACCTCTCCCGGCGCGCGGCGTCAGACCCGCGTGCCTCCATTCCGTTCTCGGTTTTTTCTTTTCTCTTTGGGCACCCAGCCAGCGGGTGCGGCGCCATCCCAACGCCCGGGAATAACTAGGTGGCAGCAGCAGCCAACAAGCCAACAGCCGCGGTCCGAGCCCGAATCTCACGCCAGCGTCGCAGGGCTCTCTCTCTCGTTGCCAGTCCAGTCGTCTCGTTGTCAGTCCAGTCGTCTCGTTGTCAGTCCAGTCGTCTCGTTGTCAGTCCAGTCGTATCGTTGGTTCCGCACTCCCTCCCTCCCTCCCCGTTGGGCGTACGGCGTCAGATCTGTGCGACTCGAGTAGCCGCCACCAACCCGTTTTCCGGTCGTCTTGCTGTTTCCCGGGGCTTGTATACACAGAACATGCAGGGTGGGAAACACGTCATCGACACCGGCCCGGGAGAAAGGGACGAACGCACCATGGGGAACCTCCGGGTCCGACGATGAGAACCTAACGTCTAAGTATTCCGTGACAATGTCTGTCGCCTGTCTAACTGTACCCATGCCAATCCCGATATACCGCTATCCGTAGCATGCGCCCCTGCTTGTGCCACCATCTATTCGAGCCCGAAAACAAAGGGAAGAGTAAGGGAGCGAGCCAAAGAAAAAGATTGTAGGAAAGAAATACCCGTCTAGACCGTACCCCAAAGCCTTTTTGGTAACCTATTCCAAACATCATGTGCCGTAAGTTCGTCTCGTCGTTCACTCCATTTCATCGTTACAGATTTTAAGCCCTTTTCCGCTCGAGTACGAGGGAATGAAAAAGAAAATGAGAAAAAGGAACATGGTTAGGGCGTATCAAGAGCTGTGTAGCGCCTTGAAGCCCGTCGCGATGAGACTCCTCTTGGAGTCCTTCGCATCGGACGGCGCGCTCCAGTAGAAAAGCCCCTATGCCACAAACGCGGTTAGCATCCGTCAAAATTCAAGCCCAAGAATGTTGTTGAGGAAAGCCAAGCGACTTACTCCCAGCCCCTTTTGTTTGCAAAAGGTCGCCTTCATCTTGACCGTATCGGGGTTGTCGTACGTGACGAAGCCGCCGTCGGCGCCCACGCACTGGGCCGCGACGGCCCGCTTGTCGACCTGCTCCTTGGTTCCCTTTCTAGGCAGCTGGTTGTATTCGAAGGAGCCGTCCTTGCCTCCGGCGCCCCGGTTCTTGTGGCCCGGCCCGGCAACGCCGAGGAAGCTGCGGCCGAAGAGCGGGATTCCGAGTAGGATCTTCTTGCCCGGTACGCCAGATGACATGAGGTCCTTGACGCCCGCCGCCCCCGAGGTCTCGTCCTTGCTCATCGCGTACAGCTGGGCGTGGTGGCCGCTCTTGTGGGACCAGTGCCCGAAGAAGTCGTAGGCCGTCAGGTTGAGGGTGTCGAGGTACTCGGCGGTTTGCCGGAGGTCGATGTTCTGGAGGACCGGCTTCGCGGCTGGGAGGGTGGCAGTGAGCAGGTAGCGGTCTTCGGGAAGATGGATGCGGATCGCCGCGACCAGCGCGAGGAAGTCCCTCCCCTGCTCTGGAGTGCACGGGTACTCCCAGACAACTGGATCGGTTAGCGACATGGGCGTCTTAAGACGAGGACCTGATGATATCAAACTCACTGTCGATGCCATTGAGGCCGGACGCTTCGACCAGGCCTCGCGCTGAACGAGCAAAGTTGTCTCTGAGGACAGCACTAGAGGCCACGATGGGGAATGTCTCGGCCGAGTCGCCACCCCCAATCGAGAGGACAACCTGTAGATGGCGGTATCTCTGCTTGAGGTGCATAAAGGACCCCAAGGCGCCCTGGACACCGTCACATGGTGCTTGAGCGTCGGCCCACTCGTCACTAAGCTAGTTTCAGGGTTAGCAACGCACACACTGCCGGTTAGAGATATGGTTGCACTTACAAATACACCCCCGTCCGCCGTCACATTCGCAAAGGCGTAGTGAACGCGGTTGATACAGCCATAGTTCAGCTGCCCCGGCGTGTCCCCGTTGTAGACCCGGTAATTGGGCCAGTACACGGCGTTGGTGTGCATGAAGTGAGCCTTGCGTGATGAAGACGACATGGTGATTGTGGTTGACTGTGATATCGATGTGATGTGATGTCAATGGGTATTGGAAGGAGTTGGATAGGAGCAGGCGGGTGGGTCTGAGTGCGAGTTTGAGTTGAGGAAGAAGAGAAGATAGAAGAGGTGGTCAACGGCTCACTTAAGGCGTTTGCAACGGGGGTGTATGTTCACTTTTCGGGAAGGGGCTTGCGCCAGCGCATGCTGGTCTGATGTGTTCGAGGTGCTGGTCGGGCAGCAAGGGACACGATAGGAGACGGCAAGTATCACAAAACTTGCGTTTTTATACTTGGCCAGGGACGGACACTTGTGCGAGGTGGCCAGGAGGTGAGCCGCCAGCGGTCTACCCAAGCCTGTGGAGTCGGAAGCGGGCGTCAATGCCAGAAACAACACAGGGGTCGACAGAAGGACTCAAGAACGAACTGCCGCATGACATAATTGGCATGGGCGGATGTTCGTCAAGTGGGACGGAGTAGATCAGAGGAACCACGGCCATCGGAAGACGATGCGTTGCTGCGTGGTTGGAGACTCAAACGGGTATGCAGCAGGGGTGCGGACGAATGGGTCTGCTGCCTCACGACCCGGCGGCCAGGCGCAGATAGTACGGTAGGGAGCAAGCACGGTAACATAGGAGACACGTTCCTGAGAACCTTACTGTGCCCGATCACCGTGTGGTGAGGCGGCTGAGGGCGAAAATAGATCGTCCCTCTCTCACGGAGGCGGCGAGAGGGCCGGTTAAGCACGTCGTCACGGTTTGCCGATTTCCGTTCCGCAGTGTCTCTTCCGGTCGTGCTTCATTCAGTATTGCCGCCCAATCAGCCCTTCATCCCCAACCCAGCGGTGAGGGTAGGACCAAGCAGCTAAGCGTAGCGTTGCAGATTCGAGCACCTTGTTCTCGGCATCTATGGAGGCAGCCGAGTCGAGATGGAGCCACGTGAGAGATATGTCGGTGAGTGAGGTCGAAGAGCCACCGAGCCCAAGAAGAACATTGGTCGAATCCACCCAAGGCGTTCCCCGTCGTTTCTATGGCTGCAGCCGGATTCCGAGGCTCAACGGCGGACCGGAATGCCGGGGCACTGCCCTCGTGGGCTACAGAACCCGCAGGAGCGTGGCAGTCCCCATCTGGCGCACAAACTGGAGAGGGCACCAGACAGGTTGAAAAAACAAAACAAACAAAAAAACAAAGCCCTAAGACTTCGAGAATGCCAGGGAGATAGACACGCTGCTTGGTAGTAGTACCCAACACGCCACCAAGAATAAAAGAATAAACAAACACGGCAAGGACGGCAGCTCTGAACGGCTCGCCAAGTCTGTGAAAGAAAAAAAAAGAAATCTGCGGTCAGAGACCTGCCGTGCCATTGGGTTTTGCGGATGGCATGACGAGACCCTGATCATCGTTACTTCCCGCAGGCTGACGGGGTCCAACGTCTTGGGATGTTCGGGTTGGCTCAATGGGTGCGTGCGTCCTCGTTGTCGGGATGGTCGTTTGTTGCCAACGCAGCTAATTGCAGTTTTGGGATGAAGTTTCCAGGCTTAGACTCGGACTTTGCAGCAGTGGAACCCAAAGGAAGGGACTTAGACCAGAATCACCTTCAGCTAAGGCAGGAACTGCCACCTCATCGTGGCTTCCACATGGCAATTTTGTTTCTGAGTTCGGCCAAGTTGTCACCCTCAGGGAAGGTACACCCGTACCCTAAAATACGAGTAGAGCAGGCGGGGCTTGGAGGGGAGCCGGCTTCCAGAATAGTCCTCTGCCCCTCATCACCCCGCGCTCCGTTCCCATTCCTGCCCCTCACCTCCAACGCCATTATCGTCAACTCTCTCGTTCCACGTCGAGCGGGCTTCGTTCGTTTCCCACAATCAAAAACCAGAACGGGGGTCTGAGGGGGGAGACAGAATGAGAACATTGACCCCTGCCGGCTTGTGTAACCGTGATATGCCAGGCATCCGATGAATCGGCTTGGACGCATTTCGAGGAGGGCAGATGACCGCCTGACAGCAAGAAGATTTTCGCCCAGCCCAACTTGGTGCGACAGCCCTAGTAGTTCTTGGCCCTGCAAGTCATCCACAGACCACGCAGGGGTGCTGAGGGCATGATAGGGCGGGAGGACCCCCCAATGCCCCGCGGCGGGCATTTGGAGATCGGCTTAATCGTCGTGCCTACCCACGAAGAGAGCTTCGAGATTTCGACGGGAGCGGTGAGGTATCATGAACTCTCTCTGCTAACTCAACACACACACGCTCCCCTCAGCGCTATCCCCAATCGCCAGCCGGTTCTGTGCTCGTGTCGCGACGCTTTCTAACCCAAAATTTCAGTAAGGCTGGGTAACAAGGATGGTGATGATGTTCACGCATCAGGCCCGTTTCGGGGCCGCTGGGCACCGACCCGTTGTCCGGCCCGGTGAGGCTGCTCGATCCGCGATTGCAAGGCGCAACATTTTCCATGCATGTGGCCAGCCCGGCCATGGCCCAATGCCAGCGCAGGGCAACCAGATACCACTGCGCACACCTTGCGTCGTCGATCTGCTGTCCCGCTCGCCCTACGAGTGTCCGGCGCGGAAGACATGGCTCCTCGACATCCTGTCTCGGCTCCCCACGTGGCCGGTGATGGCACACTGTCGACGAAAATTTGTCTCAGAAAAGCATAGTAAGTGAGAGTGCCTTGATTCTGGTACCTGCCAGGGCGGCTTGCCTGAGACCAGACCGTTGTGGTGACTCAGAGGAGTTCGTCCCCGCGGGTAGTAGCGAAGAATTCACAAACCGGACGTTGGGCATTTGAAAGCCCAAGGACCTGGCTTGTTCAAAGGAACCTTACCCCCCCTCCCAAAACCTCGGGCCGTTGCCGTTTCCCGGCGGAATTGTTTGGTGGTTGTCCGCCGGGGTTCTCGTTGTTGATCGCCTCTTTCTGCTTCACGTTCGTACTCCCACACCGGCGCTCCGAAAACGCAGGAAAGAACAAGCGATGATTGACGAATGGCAGTTGTCGTTTGTGGCTCGATAAGTTCCAAGTATCACACACGGCCTTGGCTCCAACAGCGCTGCGGTCGACCCCTCCAGCGTCCGAAGGATCGAGCATTCGAGCAGGTGGTTGGCGTTCCCATTATTGGCAGTTCGCTCGTCGGGACCGAGAACCGGTTCTTAGTAAAGCATCGCCGTGGCGCCGATCGGTGGTTTCACGGCAGGTCCATTTTCATGGAGCACTACGCCGGCGAATTTCTTTCCGTCGTCCTCCGCTCGGATCACGGACCGGTGGTGTGGGCCGGGCCGTAATAATTAGCCCACTGATGTGTGTAACGGTGTAACCATGGTACGGAACTTTGGGGAGCCATGGACGGTTGGCAGTACCAACTAAGCACCCAGGTTCGTTCCTTTTTCGAGAGCGAGCTACAGCACTATGTCCGTCAGGTCAGCTTCGAGTTCCTTTCCCGTTGCACGAAACTACGCTGATTGGATTTTAAGCAGACCGTCATTGTAAGGTAGTTATTACGTGCTCAAAACGCATGCTGTACTTCGTACTACACTAAACTGAACCTTCTGTACATACATACGGTATGTACAGACATGGGTTCGTGGTGAGTGTATTTACAGATATGTACCGTGGGTAAGGCATATCTTACAGGTATGGACCGCCCTTTGCTTGGTTCGAGCCCGCGGTAAATATTCGCCGCGGAAGCGGTGGTAGAAAAGTATCAAGATCAAGGAGTATTGGGCGAGGAACTCTGCTTTATTTAAATTGAAATTGGGCGTGACTCGTCGAGGTTTCTTAACCTGACATGACACATGCAAGGCGCCGAGCCAAATCCTCGTCTTATCTAATCTCCTCCCCGCTGCCTGGCCACCGAGCGCCCGCCTTCCCGCACTCCAGCGTGTCCAGCTGCTGCGGTCGTCTCTCTTTGGCTTGGCAATTCCACGCCCATCATCAACGTTCCATCATACCCTCCGAGATCAAGCCTCGTCAATCAAAGACTTGTTGTGTCCAAAACAGACACTAATACCGGAACGTCGCAAGGAAGCATAATCACTCCGCGACATTTATTTTCTGCGTCGCTCTCTCGACCAGTCCGAAGTCCAGACGGAACACGATCATCGCCGCGCCACCCCTCGCTCCCCAATCACGTCACTCATCCCGCTCCCTGCTGCGCAGCGATGGCAGACAGCGCCGAGGCGGGCAGCGACGCCCAAATCACCTTCAAGGTGAAGAGTTCCAATGACAAGACACACACCATCACCATGGAGGAATCGGCCTCCGTTCTCGAGCTCAAGTCCAAGCTGGCCGGCAGCGATTTTGAGGATATCCCCGCCGACCGACAGCGGCTGATCTACTCCGGGCGCATCATGAAGGACTCTGATGCTTTGAGTGTGTACAAAATCAAGAATATGAACACTATCCACATGGTCAAGAGCGCTCGCAGCAACGCACCCCCCGCCGCCACGAGTGCTTCGGCTTCGACACCGACTCCCGCTGCAGTACCCCAAAACATGGCCGCCGGTTCCATCGCCGGCGACCCCCTTGCAGGTCTTACGGGTGCCCGGTTCGCTGGCCATATCAACTTACCGAGCGCCGACATGTTTGGTGCGGATGGTGGGGTAAGATTCCCTCTCTTCCTCTCTTTCCGGCCGTCTTGCTTGGCGTGTAAATGGCTTCAGTGATTGCAAGTCGCTAACTCGTATTTGTAGATGGGCGCGCCGCCCAGCGAGGACCAAATAGCCGAAATGCTATCAAACCCGATGGTTGCGCAAACCATGAACGAAGCCCTCAACAACCCCAACTTCGTCGATTACATGATCCGCTCGAACCCGCAGCTAGCCAACCTGCCCAACGCCCGTGAGATGCTCCAGTCCCCGGCCTTCCGGGACATGATGACGAACCCGGAAGCTATTCGTATGGCGGCGAGGATGCGTAGGGCACTACATGGCGGAGGGGACGCTTCTTTCCCGGCTCCCGGGGCTACGGATAACACACCGGCTGGTGCGGCGGGGACTGGGGCGCCCGCAGGAGCGGGTAACGCCGCTGGTGACGAGCATCTCCGGGCTCTTTTCGGCGGTGGCGGAGGCGCTGCGAACCCGTTCGCTCCGGGTGCCGCGAACCCCTTTGCCCCCTTCCTTGGCATGATGGGACCCGGCGGTCTCGCCGGCATGGGCGCGACCGGGCAAGCCCCTGCAGCTCCCGCCCAGCCCGCCGCTTCGCCCGAGAATCGTGGTGCGCCAGCGGGCCAACCCGGCAACCCTGCCCAGGCGGCCAACCCTTTCAACGCTCTCTTCGGTGGCGGTGGCGGTGGCGGTGGCGGTGGCGGTGCCGGCGCCGGCGCCGGCGCCCCGGGTGCGAACGCCAACAATCCGTTTGGGCTCCCGCCTATCTCGCCCGAAGCCATGCAGCAATTGGCCCAGATGTGGGGATTGGGCGCACCGGGCGCGGCTGCTGCGGCACCGGCGCCGGTCGACAATCGGCCCCCGGAGGAGCGCTATGCCGAGCAGCTGCGCCAGTTGAACGACATGGGCTTCTTCGACTTTGACAGCAACGTGGCGGCGCTTCGTCGCAGCGGCGGCAGTGTCCAAGGCGCAATCGAGCACCTACTATCGGGCCCATGAGAGAGCGCTAGGGGATGGGTAGTTTGAAGTGGTGGTTGAGGCACGGAGTTTGGGTGTGGTTGAAGTCCCTTGATGAGACCGGACTTAGGAACACAGAGGCAGGGCAGGCAGAACAATTCATGATGTATGCTAATGAGGCAAATCGGGGGTGAGGAACACACTCTGGAGGTATGAAGATCCACAAAGCACTAACTATTTCTCCGTGTGGGAGTTGGTCTGCATCTGACTGAGGGTCATGGAGGCATGTTGTGTATGTACCTTGTACTTGGTGTGCTTATCGAATACTGGAAGTGGCCTCTATCTCTGTGGTTGTTTCACAGAAATCTCAAAAGAGGAACCCCCACGTCAGAGAGCGCCACACCGCCAGGCAAGCCGAGACCCGGATCCCCTGAAACCACCCTGTCGGAGTTACGGTTTTGGGCTTGGGGCCCGAATTTTCAGCAGGTCTCGTGAACATCCAACCCTGCTGCGATGGAATTGGACCACGAAATGAGCCAACGTCGATCAAGGAAAGCCCTTGGGTGCCTGAGTGTGCTGATTGTTGTCGAGGGATTTCAACTGAACTCCAGAGGAAGTGAAACTCATCTGTACCTGTCATCCAATCAACTGATTTTGTACAACAAACCCGAGGTGAAGGTTCCTGTGAAACTTTAAAACTGTTTATGAGCACCTAACTTGTAAATTTGCAATCGCTGCACATCCCAACCAACCCAACCCGAATTATACTTCACCCGTCAACTTTCCGGTAGTTAAACACCAGGAACTATTCTCCCGGTTCCCATTCACACTTACAACCCACACAAGATGCTACGCTGGTGAGCAAAGACCCCCGATTTCCAAAATACCTAACCAAGAAACTAACCCACTCGCCCACTTTAGGTACCAAGCACGTCTCGCGGCTCGCCCGCTCCTCACACAGGCGATCACCACCTCGGTGCTGTTCGCGGTGGGCGACATCACAGCGCAGCAGCTGGTCGACAAGAAGGGCGTTGAGAAGCATGACCTCGCCCGCACAGGTCGCATGGCGCTCTACGGCGGAGGTATGTTTTATTTTTTATTTTATTTTTTTAGCTGGCTTACACCCACCCTCTTTTCCTCACTCAAAAACGCAACCCAAACCCAAACCCAAACTAACGCCCAACACCACAGTGGTCTTCGGCCCCGCAGCCGCAACCTGGTTCAAGTTCCTCTCGGCGCGCGTCAACATGGGCTCGGCCAACACGACCATGCTCGCGCGGGTGGCGGTGGACCAGGGGGTGTTCGCGCCGACCTTCATCGGTGTCTTCCTGAGCAGCATGGCGGTGCTGGAGGGGACGTCGCCGGCCGAGAAGCTGCAGCGCAGCTACTCGGAGGCGCTGCTGACCAACTGGATGATCTGGCCGTTCGTGCAGATGGTCAACTTCAAGCTGGTGCCGCTGCAGCACCGGCTGCTGTTTGTCAATGTCATCAGCATCGGGTGGAACTGCTACCTGAGCTTCCTCAACAGCTCGGGGGATGCGAAGAGGGAGGTGGAGGAGGTGGAGGAGGTGGGGAAGGAGAAGCGGGCTGTTTAATGGGGGAGTGCTCGGCTGGGTTGGCTGGTTGGGGGGGTTGTTAGAGACAGGTCAGGGAGCTGGGATTTTCTAGACTTGATTTTGATAGATCGAGGTTTGGGGCGAAAACGGCGTTTACGTCTAGCCGGCGAGTACCGTTGATTTCCGTTCAATAGACTCATGGATGCCATTGCTCATGGCTTAGAGTTGAGAAACGCCTTTTAGAAGGTGTAATCCTGAATTGATTCCGAACCAGTCGCTGTGTCAATGGGATCATTACGTCTACATCGCGTTCAGACTCTAAGGAGCGGGCCATATGATGCCAAAGGAGTCTTTTTTAATCACACGCATCCTCGTCCCCTTCTTGGATCTTGGATTATGAAGGGAGTGCTAATCCAAACACGCCCACCTCGCCGGCGTCCCTATTCCAGCTCCAAGACGGCAGGGGCTGTGATGGTCTTGGCAACGCTCTCAAGACCCTCGCCACCCTAACGCGAGAGTTAGCACGGTGAAATATCAAGAATCGTGCAAAGTGACTTACGTAGCTCATCAGCGGGCTCACTTCGACCCCGGCCTTGGGGTCTTCGCTGACAATAGCGATGCCCTTGGCCTCCAACCAGCGCCTGCCCTGGGCCATGATGTCGTACTTGCTGGTGTCGGGGTCGTCCTCGCCGGTGCCGCGGGCATTCTTGAGCGGGCTGAACTCGTCCTCGCGGCGGACCTCCATGCAGGCGAACTTGCTCATCTCCAGCATGGGGAAGACGTCAAAGACAAACTGCTCCAGCTTGATGCCGTTGGGCTTGGTGGGCTTGACCGTCTCGCCGGTCTCGAGGTCGGCATAGGGGATCTTCTTGCGGGCGACGTGGTGCGGCAGCGTCTTGGCCCACTCCGGGATGGTCTGGAGGAAGCGGAAGGAGTAATAGTGGTTAACGATGTTGGCGGAGCGGAACTTGAGCACACCGGGCTGCTCCGAGTCCTGCTCGGCAGCAACTTCCGGGTCGATCTCGCTGTACTCGACGACGTCAGGCTTCCCGTTCTTGCAAACGATAAGGCCAACGCTCTCGGTGGCGTTGCGCTTGCGCACGACCTTGGTAGCGATATCGACGTTCACAGAGGCAGAAAAGCCAATGAAGACGGGATCGGCGACCTTGACAAGGCAGTTGTCGACGCAGTAGGCGTGGATGTGCTCAATACCCCTCGTCTTCATGTCGTCCAGCACCTTGGACTCAACCAGGGCGTTATAGATGCCGCCGTTGCCGTCGGGCGCCACGGCCACCTTGCCCTTGCTCTCGAGAAGAATCTTGCCCTCGTTCGAGATGCAGGGGAGGACGCCCTGCTCGAAAATGATGACGTTCTCGGGCTTCAGGCCGAAGTAGTCGTGCTTCTTGAAGTAATCCTCGGTAGGCCCGCGCGTCGGCCCGGAGGTCATGACGTACCAAGGGACGGTAACGTTGCCGCCAGTGCCAGCCTTCTTGGCAGCAAGCTGTTCGACCTTGCGGATGCGTTCGGCCTGGATCTGGAATAGAGACTTGGAGGAGGGCAGGCCGATGTCGAAGCAACCCTTGGGCGCAGAGCTGCCTAGCCGTGTACCCTGACCACCAGCCATGAGAACCACGCCGACCTTGTTCGCAGCGATCAGGTCGAGACCTTGCGCGTACCAGCGGTCAATGTCCTCCTGCTTGGAGTCCATGATGCTGGCGCGGGCCGAGTCCGGCAGGGGCTCGAGAGAGGGTTTGACGACCCCGCCATCTTCGGTCTTGGGAGGGGAACGGGCTTTGGCGTCGATTTCGTTGATGTAAACGGGATCGAATAGCGACAGTTGCTGAAATAGTGACGCCTTCTCCGCGCTAGACAGGGAGTCGTAAAAGGTAAACACCTGGCTCTGTCCGGCGAGGGAGTACTTCTGCTTGAGCTCGGACAGCTCTTGTGGTGTTGGTTCCTGCGGGGCATCCTTACCCCCCAGGTTCAGGGCTTGCATGACCTTCTCCATTATGAGTACTTGCAAGGGAGTGATAACAGCAATTGAACAATGCAAAAGCGCTGCAAAACACTATTGTCTGTAATTGGCGTTGCGTTGGTCAGATGCAGAGTTTATCAAGAGAAGAAAAAAGGCAAAAACATGTCCTCAAGAGCAGGCGGGATCCTTTTGAAGCCCAACACAACAACACGAGGCACGACAACAGCGCAGGAGCCCAGATCCCGCCCGATACAGATCCCGAGCAACCACAGCCCAGTTCCAGCCCAGGAATGCCCCGCAGCACCGCGCCATATGCGCCACTCCGACTGTTGAACCCCGCTGAGACAGAGCAAGATCCACCGTGTGCGGCAGACTGAGCTTCCCATTCGATGGAATGGCAGGGGCGGTCTGAAGTGCCGGATTTGGGGCAACCTCAAATCGCATCTTTCCGAAACCAAGAAACAACAGTTTGCAGATCCGGACGGATCGCAGAAGTTGCAGTTGTCCTGAGAAGAAGAAACCTTCTAGGCAGACACTTCTCAAATTCGGGTGATCCCGCCGGATATGTACAAGAAGAGATGAACCCGTGACTCGACGCTAATCCCGAGTTGCAAGTTGCGCGTTGCTGCCTCAATTTGGCCACTAAGGGTCCAGGGGTCGTTGACGACAAGGCAAATGTGCCCCTGGACAAAGTTCGGATGGCGATGGCCTCGACTTTTTCCTATTTAACCCGTGCTGCTCCTGACCGCTCAACGGACTGATAGCCTCTGCCTCTGTGCTTCATTTGGCCAAAAAAGCAACTCGAAAATCGGACGCCCCTTTTGAGACTTCCAGACCTCCCTCGGTTAACCAACCAGCGTACGGCAATGTCATCTAATACCCAAGAAGACAACCTCCCAGCACCAACGTTCGAGGGCCGCCTCAAGCTCGAGACCTTCATGTTCAACGGTGACACAGCGGCCGGCGGGCCGCGGCGGAGCCCACGCTTCTCTGCCACACCTTCTGCAGAAACCGCCACACCCCCAGTGGCAGCACCAGCCCGAGCCTCTCGCGGTCCATCCAAGCGCAAAGCGCCTGGCGACGACAACAACAACGCCAATGACAACGGTGATACCGACACCACACTTAAACCCCCCTCCAAATCCACACCCAAATCCCCCTTCAAATCCCCCTCCAAACGCGCCCGCCAAAGCGCCACCTACGCCCCCCCCTCCACCTACGCGCACCTCCCCCTCCTCCCCGACGCCATCGCGCCCAACCTCCTAGTCCTCTTCATCGGCCTCAACCCCGGCATCCAAACCGCCCGGACGGGCCACGCCTACGCACACCCGTCCAACCGCTTCTGGCACCTCCTCCACTCCTCGGGGGTCACCCCGCGGCGCTGCTCCCCGACCGAGGACCGCCGCATGCCGGCGCTGTACTCGCTGGGCCTGACCAACATCGTGGCGCGGCCCAGCCGCAACGGGGCGGAACTGAGCCGCGCCGAGATGGATGCCGGCGTGGCGATTCTAGAGGCCAAGGTCCGCCGCTGGCGGCCCGAGGCGGTGTGCGTGGTGGGCAAGAGTATCTGGGAGAGTCTTTGGCGGGTGCGGCATGGGCGGGGGATTAAGCCCGCGGAGTTTCGGTATGGCTGGCAGGGGCCGGAGGAGAATATGGGGGTTTTGGGGGAGGGGGTGGTGGTGCAGGCGGAGGAGGAGGTTGAGGAGGGGGTGGTGTATAGTCCGGATTGGAAGGGGGCGAGGTTGTTTGTGGCTTCGAGCACGAGCGGGTTGGCGGCTACGCTGTCGGCGAAGCAGAAGGAGGAGATTTGGAAGCAGTTGGGGGATTGGGTGGTGGAGAGGAGGGTGGACAGGGCTGCTGCTGCAGGTAGTGGTGTCGGCGGTGCTGCCGCTGCCACGTCCGCTGCGACTCCCCCAAGGGTTGGTGAAGTGGACTGCGAGCCGACTCCAGAAAGGAGGTGAAGTGGACTGCGAGCCGACTCCAGAAAGGAGGTGAAGTGTGGGTGTACTGCGAGTTTTCACAATACGAACGTGGTTCAAGGCCTTGAATGGATACCCTTCGCAAGACCGGTTCACGCGAGCAGTGAATATAATCATACAATAATCATTATCAACCTATCTACACTATCCGCTGCTACCCGCTCAGTATGGTACCGTGATGCGGGTCGGCCATCTCTAAATCAAGGCGCAACGATGAGGTATTCATGAATCTGCTCCGAAACGCCGCCCCGTGTTCAATGGTATAACCAGCTCCAAAAAACCAGAACCAACATGAAGAATATGTGGTAGGCAAAAAAGCAGTTGTCAAAAAAGCAATTCCAAACACAACCAAAGCCCAACCAGAACCGTCGATTCTTATGCCGTGAAGACGATGGCGCAAGCGGTCGCGACAACCGGCCACCAGCCAGCGTGGCGGATCAGACCGCGCAGACCGTCACCGGCACCGTTCACGCTCGCGAACTCGGCGGCAGTCCCCTGGGGCAGCGTGCCGTTGAGCAGAATGGTGCTCCTGCCGTCCACGTCGGCGACGTTGATCAGCGACTTGTTGAGGCCGGCGTAGCTGCCGTCGCCGATCAAGTCGTCCAGGTACTGCTTGTCGTTGTTCTCATCGCAGCCGCAGTCGCCTCGGGGGGAGCACGCGCAGTCCACAGGCTTGCTCTCTGTCCGCTGGGTGGTTGAGTTGAAGAAGGTGTAAGGCCGTTCATAATGGTATCTGTGCGCGCCGTAGAGCCACACGCCGGGCCAGAAGGCGAGCCCCACACCAGCGGCGAGAAACACGGGAGCAATGCCCGACGGCGATGAACGGCCGGCCGTGTACGGCTTGGCCGCACCGCCACCGTAGAATCGCCCGCCGCCGTAGGCTGGAGCCGGGGTGGTTCGACCACTGCGATGCTTTGTTAGCAACCGTTGCGAAAAAAGAAAAAAAGATGTTATCAAGCGCAAAGACCGAACGCACCGCCCTGGCGAAGATGCCCCGCTGCTGCCGGTTCTCCCGTTCGAGTTGGAACCGCCTCGACCCGGAGAGCTAGATCCCCCGCTCGAGCCGGAATTACCGCTGGAGCCGGAACCGCCTCTACCCCTACTCATTCCAGGACGGCTCTGGTAAGGAAATGAAAGCGCGGAGAGGAGAACAATATACTTACGATCCCGAGCCGCCACGTCCGCCGCCGCCACTGCTTCCACCGCGACCACCGCCGCCGCCACCACCACCGCGACCGCCGCCTCCGCCGCCGCCCTTGCGCTTCCACAGATCCTCGTGCGATGACTCGTCGCGCTGTGTGTTCTGCACCGGTTGGTGTGTCTCAAGCTCGGCAACAGCAGGCGGCGCGACAAGCGTACCGATCGCGACGTCGCTGAACAGCGTTGCCGCGACGAGGAAGGACGTAAACTTCATGGTGCGCAGTTGTTGTTCAAGGTGTGATGGCTAAAATAGAATCCGAGAGCCAAATGCTAGGTGTGCAAGCAAGGTGAAGATGCCGCAATGTTAAGGTTGTAGGTCGTGCGGACGGCGTAAAATGGGGAAGATGGCAAGATGAAGCAAACGCAGACGGGAATGCTGCGTTGATATAAGGGAAAACGCCTCTTTCCCCAGTTTTGTTGCGGTTCCCTCTGCGCTTTGGTTGCTTCCCGCGGAGACGGTTAGGCTGTGTGTGCCAAGAACTACCAGGTATGTTCCTTCCAGGTTCCATGTGTGACGGATTTTTTAAACCATGACGGCATGGGATCAAAGCTTGAGAGCGCCCACTCGTCTAATTGGTTTCCAGGGCTCGTCAGGCACCTTTCCTCATCAGCCGCGAGCGCTGTCAAGTTGGCCCGAAACACATCCATGGAAGACTATCAAAGAAACCCTCGGAGCCTAGCTGATCTAACTTGAGCACAAAGCCACAGGAATGAGTCGGTGTGCGCCCTGTCACCATGCTGGCTCGGTCCTCCGTCTGAAAGAAACGAGGTCCGCATGGACATGGTTGCTGTCCCTGACACCAATTGATTCATGCCTTGCGGCGCAAACGGTGCAGCAAACGGTCCCCGCATGATGTCTATCACTTCTTCCAGAAAGCCGGGAGGGCGGCGCCACGGCTGCAGGAACTTTGTGGCTCAGCACTCTCGAGACCAAAAAAGCTGGATTCAAACCAGCGCATAGCTGTCAACCAAACTTCGACTGAAGAACAAAAGCGAAAGCCTCACAAGCCCAAGAAGTTGTATTTATTTGATATGCTTCTATTCTGCCCGCCATATTCTATTCCATTTATTTTGTTCTGTCTATTTATTTTATTTATTTTTGCTCGATTTCCTATTTCCGTTTTGAGTTCGGCCTTTTTTGGCGAGAGGAGCTGACAGGCCGGGATACGGCCAACCCATCTGGCCACCGATCTGCACACCAACTCGGTCAACCAATGGTGGCTGGGAATGGTAGCACGCTCCACACGCACCCCAGAGATCTTGAACCATGGCCCTGCGCCGACCAGCCGAGACTGCCTTATTTGGATCTCGAATGGGTGCCTTGGGGTGTGCCTTGCGCCAAAGCGCCTGACAACGCAGCAGCTCTGCTGATTGATCACACCTCTCGCACCGCCATCCCACCTTTTATCAGATGTCACTTTAACTATCGCGAGGACGCCTATCAAGACGCTCGTTGATGGTCAATCGGATTCCTTTTTCCGCGGCTCTCTCTTCCGTGTTGTTTGCTTTGATAGTTTTTATTTTATTGTGCGATCATCATGCCGCCCTCTCGGCCCAGTGATCAATCTCTGCTTGACAGGCTGAATGCCCTCAAGTCCACAGGAGTCACACTTGACAAGCCAGCAAAGTAATACTGCCCCGTCTCTGAAAGCGTGGCACCCCGTATGCCATCGTCTTTGTGTATAGTAGTCAAGCGCATCGGGCTAAGACACGTGCGAGAAGCACCGCAATCCTTCCTGAACCAGGTGCCCAACCACCCTCAAAGGAAGATGCCTTAGCTGCACGACTCCGCATTCTCCGGGGTCAATCGGGCGGCAGTAGCAGCGATGGAGCCAGCACAGGAGCACCGCCCCCGGGAGAACCGCCGGCTTTGAGAGGCCACCCGCCGAAGGAGGAGGGGACTGAACAGGTATCCCCGATGCCAAGGGTCCCCCCTCAAGCCCACCCTCAAAAACGGCCCCCATATCATCCCGCCGAGTTCGAGGCAGTGGACGAAGAAGCCCTGGACGAGCTTTTAGAAGCCCTAGGAGACGAGGAATTCGACCTTGCTGCAGATGAGGATGTGGTGCCAACCCCTGACTCCGATCCCAGCGACGAGGCAAAGAGAGTATCCGATCTCCTCGAATCACTCCGGAAGGACGCTGGTGACCCGGAATCAAACGGGCCGAGCAACACAGCAGGTGATGACGATGAAGATAACTCAGATGGAGAGCAAATGACACGCGACGTCGACACCCTCCTCTCACAGATACGCGATGAGATAAGCTCACTGCCACCACCTGCGGCAGCACCACCCAACGAAGATGAAGCCGCCGGCGAGCAGCCCTCATTCACGCTCCCCACCGTCCCCTCACAGCTTGTAGACCCAGCCCCCGGCCCCGACCCCCACAGCGGCGGCGAGGATGCTGTCGAGCGGGACCTCGCCGCGCGCATGGCATCGCTCCGGGGCCTAGGCGAGGGGTCGGCCGACGACGGGCTGCTGGGCCTGCCGTCGGCGCCGACGTTCCGGCCACAAGACCGTGACACGTCACCGACAGGCGGCGCCGGAGGCAAGCGGTTTGGGGGGTCGAGTAAGTACACGGACGAAGACCAGAAGACGTGGTGCGTGGTGTGCCTCGACGATGCGACGATGGAGTGCGTGGGTTGTGATGGTGACGGCTACTGTGCGCGCTGCTGGAGGGAGATGCATACGGGGCCCGCGGCTGGGTACGAGGAGCGCGGACACCAGTGGGTGAAGTTTGAGAGGTCGGCTCGTTCGTAGCGGCGCCTTCATTGGTAGCGAATAGATAAACCATGATCGTTTCGCTACATCCATGTTTCTGGTAGTCCACTACCTTGTTGGTCGTGTCAAAAAGCGCTGATGAGCTTTCCGGCCAACAAACCACCATCTTAGATGCCTGCACGTAATTACCCCTCAGTTCCAACAACTCCAGAAGCGCCGACTTCGAATTCACTCCAAATAGGTATAGTCTCCATCAGAAACCCCCTTTTTAATGCCTGTGGACACTAAAGGCTTCCCCAGAATACCGCGGACAGCATAATAAGTCCTAACGCTTACCATGGCGACCCTCACTCTCGTGGTTCCAAAAGAGATTCCCGCCTCAGGCCCTCTTCGGATCATCGTGTCCGTCCAAGGAAATCTACTGCATCACTTCGACCCAGATCTCCCAGAGACTCTCACCTTGGAGGACTTCAGGGACCGTGACGATCGTCCAGTATCTCGTCAGCTTGCACGACTGTCTCTCAACACCTGTTCCCGGGCCGAAGTCCCTCTTCCCGATGTCGACATCAAAGAAGCATTCATGGGACACGACGCCAGCGATGCTTGGAGTTTCATCGTCAAAGTCGATTGCTCCGTCTCGAGTCTGGATAGTGACCATGGTGTGGTTTATTTGCAGTCGAAAAAGGAGCTAGATGACGAAGGTAATGTCGAGTTCGTTCCGGTGGTGCCGCGGACGGCGAAAGCCAAAGCGAAGTACGGGCAATACGAAGTATTCCCGGTGGGAGACGAGGGCATATAATGGGGACTTGCCGCTCGTATATTCACTCCATATATCAGTGTATAGAAAAGACAAAGACTGCCCGTAGCACGCGTGTTGGTCGAAGCTGTAAGGGACCCGACGTCCTTCTCGACCGAGCGAGCAATTCTCAAACTCTTCTTCCCATCCGGATCAAGCATTGCTTTGCTGATGCCATAAATTTCTTCAAACTACCACTATCTGTGGCAAGAAACCAAACCATATGCGGAAAACACAGCGTATTCATCAGACCCGAGATACGAAATACGCGCTTGATACAACGACAAAAAAAAAGACAAAGCCACAACGTTCCTCAAAAACACCCCCAGACCGACCATCCAGCGTATCCCTGACCAGTAAGACATCATTTCATACCAAGTAGTCCCCCATCAACCAGTTACATGCCCATGCCCGCCCGGACGAAACGACCCATTGAACTCCGCCACGTCTCACCCATCCACCCCATCGGTCCGCCCTACATAGAGTGTTACAATTTCGGTGATGTAATGCGGTATCCATACCGAGCCACCGGCTGCTCAATTCAGCCAGCCAGCCATTCCTCGTCCCAATCCGAATCCCGTTTCTCCCTTTTCCATTTTCCGTTATACCACCGTTAGTCAAGTTAAGCCCTCGCGCCCGACCCACCCCCGTTTTCCTGCCCGGCCGTGCCATAGCCCTCCTGACCCTGACCACCCGCACCAGCGGCGGCGGTGTTCTTCTTGGCGCGCCCGGTGATATCGCCCCAGGTGGCGCCGAAGCGCCTGCCCGTGCTGGCCAGCAGGCCCTCCTCCTCATCGACCTCGGCCTCCTCGTCCAGCTCGCTGAGGTTCAGCCTGGGGGCGCGGAAGAGGCTGGTGACGAAGACGACGAGGAAGACGGCGAGGAAGACGAACTGGGCCCAGAAGTCGACGGCGCCGAAGACGGGCCAGTTGAGGGTCACGCGGTTGAGGAAGGTGGACATGACCGTCGGGGTGCAGACGTCCTTGGCGGCGGGCTCGCGGAAGGCCTCGGAGCAGGGGCGCACCATGTCGCTGTGCTCGCGGCAGTCGGGCTGCTCGCCCGGGTGGCGCGGCGGGTTGACGCAGAAGGTCTGGGTGCCGTAGATGGCGTACTGCGGGGCCACTAGCATGGCCACGGCGTAGTTGATGGCGAGGATCATAAGCGCCAGCAGCACCGTCGCGATGAGCAGCGCCTGCGGGGTCGTGCGGCCCTTCTTGAGCTGGAAGATGCGCACCCACAGGAAGCGGATGCCGATGGTGGCCAGGCCCGTGATGGAGCTGCTGAAGAAGAGGAGCACGAGGAGCGCCATGAGAATATAGTCGACGGGGAAGGCCTTGGCAGACTGGACGAAGATCCAATTGATGGGCTGGAAGACATTGAGGTGGCCGAGGATGTAGCCGCAGTGTTGCTTGCAGATGGAATTAGCAGCCTTGTCGATGCCCGTGATGAGCATCGACACCCAAATGAGAATGGAAAGTAGAAGCAGGAAAATGCCGCCGAGGAGCTTCAGGGGGCGGAAGACTGCTTCAACTTTGGTCCAGGCCCGGTAGATCTTGCTGCGATTGTCCCCACGCGCTTCCGCTGCCAACCTCTCACGGCGCACAAGAGTCCGCTCCTCGCGCAGAAGAGCGTCCATCTCCCTCCTGTCCTTCTGCGACATGCCTTCGGTGCGGCCGGCGTTGCGCATCTCCAGCTGTCTCTGCAGCTCGCGGTTACGCTCTAGGTCCGAGGCGGTGGTTGCCGAGAGTTGCGGGGCCGAGATGGACGGGGCCGATTTGATAAATGACACCGGGAGCAGAGCTAGGCCGGCGCTCGTGTATAAGATGTAGAGAAGGGTGCCGAGGGTTATGAGCAGGCCCACACCAAAGGTGAGCGCCTTTTCCCCATTGTTCGCGGCGAGCAGGCGCTTGAAGTAATCCAGGTCCATGTGCTTCCCGGGGTTTTTGCCAGCGGCTGGCACGAAGAAGCCGATGAGGAAGAGGACCACCACGAGGAAGACAAAGCCCAATGTGTATTTGAAGGCCCGCCAGATCCGAGCCCCCGCGCTGCTGGTGCCTTCTTCTTCCTCCACCTCATCGTATTCCTCGAACCAGAAGTAGGTGAAGGGTATGACGATCAGGCATAGCAACGCATCGAAGGTGTAAAGTGTGTAGTACACAATCTTGAGCGTCAAAAGAATCCCATCAACGCGGCCGGGCGTTGCCCAATCCTTCTTTGCGCCTAGATGAGCTGACGCGGTCGACGAGACGAGGGCGATATCGACGGGGAGGAGGAAGACGGTAGCGAGCAGCGCGGTAAGGCTGATGATGGAAACGATGGTGACGGCGATAGATCGCTCGTGGGGTGTCTGCCACGTAAGTGTGGTGATGACGGAGACGAGTAGAACGAGGGCGACAGCAACACCGTATGCGACCCAGATCAAACTCGTCTGCAGCAGACCTGCTGACGCCATTTTGCTGGCTTCGTCACCTCTGAAACGAGGATTTTGATGGCTTATGTTGAATGAGAAGCTTTCGGGGCGCAAATTGTCAAAATATTGCAATACGGGTGCGGCAGCTTCAATCCGCAAGTCGATGGATCAGGAACATGTTGCATGCAGGTTTGAAGAGTAAATTTGGGTTGTTCGGGAAGGGACTCGGAGGGGAGGGGAGGCAGGCAGGGAGGTTCATCTCTCGCTGTGACGCAATGCCGCATGAACTGCAAGGGTCAATCATCTCCACTCTTCAGGTTGCCGATGGAAAGCACCTGTGGTGGGGCAGCATCGGCTGCTTCTGGACTTGGAGTCCCCTCGCCTGGTCTGAGCTTCTGGGGTTCTGGCCCGTCTCCTGGCAACGGCCAATCAATTGCTCGCTGAAATGCAGCTTGTTCAAAGCTTCAAAGCTTCAACGCAACAACGCAACAACCACCCGTTCTTAGACCACAGCAAACCGAATTAACGTGCATCTCACTCCTGTAAGCAGAGATATGCCGCTCGAGTATATGCCATGCAGTGCTATACAGAGCTGACGCCGCCGACGGCCGTGACGCATTCGACGACGCTGCAATTTATCCCCGGGCAAGGCACGAACCTCGCCGTCGCCAAGTCGTCCCTCCTCCAAATATTCCGAACAAAGGTCGTTGCAACCGAACTCGACACATCGCAGAACAACGGACACCGGACACGCAATGCGAATCGATACGAAAGCCGGTTAGCCAACGACGATGATGGCCTCGAAACATCCTTCCTTGGCGGTGATAGCCTGGCCCAGAGAACTGATCGCGCCAACAACACGAAACTGGTCCTCGTTGCCGAGTTTCCGCTTGCGGGCACCGTAACAGGACTCGTTAGGATAAAGACACCAAACGCGCGCCACGGATGCGACTCGCTTCTGATCGCATGCAAGGATGCAAAGCTCAGTCTCGTCGAGTGGGACCAAGAACAACACACGTTGTCGACTGTATCGATCCACTACTACGAGCAGGACGAACTCCAAGGAAGCCCCTGGGCTGCCCCGTTGAGCCATTATGCCAACTTCTTGGCCGCAGACCCGGGCAGTAGGTGTGCTGCGCTCAAGTTCGGCGCCAGAAACCTAGCCATCCTGCCCTTTAAGCAGGCCGATGAGGACATTGACATGGGTGACTGGGATGAAGAGCTGGACGGCCCGCGGCCGGCCAAGGACCTGTCGAGCGCCGTCATAAATGGAGCTAGCAACATAGAAGACACACCATATTCACCGTCATTTGTCCTCCGACTCACCAATCTTGACCCAAGCCTGCTCCATCCTGTGCACCTGGCCTTCCTGCATGAGTACCGAGAGCCCACCTTTGGCATTCTCGCCTCCACCGCCGCCGCCTCGAACTCGCTCGGCCGCAAGGACCACTTCGTCTACATGGTCTTCACCCTCGATCTCCAACAAAAGGCTTCCACCACCATCCTCTCCGTCGCCGGCCTGCCCCAGGACCTCTTCCGCGTCGTGCCCCTGCCCGCTCCCGTTGGCGGCGCCTTGCTCGTAGGGTCCAACGAGCTCATCCATATCGACCAGTCGGGCAAGCCAAATGGCGTGGCTGTCAACCCCATGACCAAGCAATGCACCTCTTTCGGCCTTGTCGACCAGTCCGAGCTCAACCTCCGCCTCGAAGGCTGCGTCATAGAAGTCCTGGCCGCCGAGTTGGGCGAGCTTCTGATTATCCTAAACGACGGCCAAATGGCCGCAATGACCCTCCGTATCGACGGCCGTACCGTCTCCGGTCTGGAGCTGAAGATACTCCCCGCATCGTCCGGGGGATCTATCGTACCTGGCCGTGTCTCGACGCTTTCGCGGGTTGGTCGCAACGCCATGTTTGCTGGGCTCGAGGAGGGCGACTCTCTCCTGTTCGGGTGGGCTAAAAAACAGACCCAGGCTGGGCGGAGGAAGCCCCGGTCCAAAGACAATGCCGCGGACATGGACGTCGAGGAAGAGGAAGACCTCGTCGAGGAGGAAGAGGAGGACGAGGACGACCTGTACGGCGAAGATTCGGCACCTCGGCACCAGCCTGTGTCGGCAGTGAGCAGCCTCCTAAGTGGAGATGCCAGCCTTCGCGTCCACGACCGTCTCCTCAACGTCGGCCCTGTCCAAGCAATGACTTACAGTCAGCCGGTCTGGCTGTCTGGGAGTGAGGAGGAACGAAACTCGACCGGCGTCCACAGCGATTTGCAGCTGGTCTGCGCCGTGGGCAGAGACAAGTCGGCCTCTCTCGCGATCATGAACCTGGAGATACAACCAAAGGTCATCGGCCGCTTCGAGTTCCCCGAGGCGAGGGGATTCTGGACCATGTCTGCCAAAAAGCCAATCCCGAAAACGCTCCAGGGCGACAAGGGCGGGAATTCTCTCGGGAAGGACTACGACATGTCCGGCCAGTATCACAAGTACATGATTGTGGCCAAGGTGGATTTGGACGGCTATGAAAAATCCGACGTGTATGCTTTGACAGCCGCCGGGTTTGAGGGTCTTGGGGGCACCGAGTTTGACCCTGCGGCCGGCATCACCATCGAAGCAGGGACGATGGGTAAAGGCAGTAGGATCATTCAGATACTCAAGTCTGAAGTCCGATGTTACGACGGAGGTATGTTTTGCACGGCATACGTTCGCGTTTGTGAGTGATGTTTCTGACACGCCGGCTTTTTAGATTTCGGGCTCAGCCAGATAGTACCCATGCTTGATGAAGAGACCGGTGCCGAACCTCGGGCCATCAGCGCAAGCATTGCGGACCCGTTCCTACTCATCATTCGGGACGACTCAAGCGCGTTCGTCGCCCAGATGGATAGTAGTAACGAACTGGAGGAGCTCGAAAAGGAAGACCAAACCCTCGCTACCACCAAGTGGCTCACCGGCTGCTTATACGCCGACACTACTGGCGCGTTTGCGGAAGAAGCGGCCGGGAAAGGGGGCAAACCAGCCCAGACCATACTTATGTTCCTTCTTAGCGCTAGTGGCTCTCTATACGTGGGTGTCCTCAACATGTTCGTCTTGATACTGTGGTTGGTTCTAACAAAGCTCAGATCTATCGGCTTCCAGACCTGTCGAAACCAGTCTATGTTGCTGAAGGATTGTCTTACATACCCCCAGGCCTGTCGGCCGACTATTCTGCAAGGAAAGGCACAGCAAAGGAGACAGTGGCAGAGATTCTGGTGGCTGATCTCGGTGACACTACTCACAAATCTCCGCATCTCATTGTTTGTTACCCCTGCTTTATTTCTTTGCGTGGGCTAACCGGTCACAGCTCCGTCATGCAAATGACGACCTGACGGTCTACCAACCATTCCGCTACAATACTGGCGCTGGTCTGGAGTTTTCCAAGACCCTATTCTTCCAAAAGCTGTCAAACACGGCCTTTGCCAAGAGCCCCGAAGAAGCAGACGAGGATGAGGCAACACACCAGCCTCGAATCCTATCCATGCGCAGGTGCAGTAACATTGCCGGATACAGCACCGTTTTCCTCCCCGGCGCATCGCCAAGTTTCATTATCAAATCATCCAAATCAGCGCCGAGGGTGCTGCCGCTTCAAGGGACAGGTGTGATAGCCATGAGCCCATTCCATACCGAAGGCTGCGAGCATGGGTTTATCTACGCAGACTCTCACCATATCGCGCGGGTCACCCAGCTGCCGCAGGACTGGAGCTACGCGGAGACTGGACTCGCCGTCCAGAAGACATCCATCGGGGAGGATATCGCCGCTGTCGCGTACCACCCTCCCACGCAGAGCTATGTGTTGGGCTGCAACACGCTCGAGCCGTTTGAGCTACCAAAGGACGACGACTACCACAAGGAGTGGGCGCGGGAGAACCTGCCGTTCAAACCCACCGTCGACCGCGGCATCCTCAAGCTCGTGAGCCCCATCACGTGGACGGTGGTTGACTCGGTTCAGATGGAGCCCTGCGAGACCGTCCTCTGCGTCGCCAGTCTGAGCCTGGAGGTATCCGAGTTCACCAACGAGCGGAAGCAGCTCATCGCCGTGGGCACTGCGCTCACCAAAGGCGAAGATCTGCCGACTAGAGGCCGCATCTACGTCTACGACATTGCTGATGTCATACCCGAGCCCGGCCGCCCGGAGACCAGCAAGAAGCTGAAGCTGATCGCGAAAGAAGACATACCGCGAGGAGCAGTCACCGCGCTGTCTGAGATTGGCACCCAGGGTCTCATGCTGGTTGCCCAAGGCCAAAAGTGTATGGTTAGAGGTCTGAAGGAGGACGGCACGCTTCTGCCCGTGGCCTTTATGGACATGAACTGCTACGTCACCACCGCCAAGGAGCTCCCTGGGACTGGCCTCTGCCTGCTGGCGGACGCTTTCAAGGGCGTGTGGTTCACCGGGTACACCGAGGAGCCGTACAAGATGATGCTGTTCGGCAAGAGCTCGACCAAGCTGGAGGTTCTAAACGCAGATTTCTTGCCCGACGGAAAAGAGCTCTTCATCGTGGTATGCGACGCCGACGGCCACATGCACATCCTCGAGTTCGACCCCGAGCGTAAGCCTCCCCCCTAATCCACCACCCCAGGTTCCAACTAACATCCCCCTTAGACCCAAAATCCCTCCAAGGCCACCTCCTCCTGCACCGCACGACCTTCAACACAGGCGCCCACCACCCGACCAAATCCCTCCTCCTCCCGGCCTCCACACCAGCCGACAAAGAAACCGACAAGCAAAACGCCTCCACCAACCCCAAAAACCCCACCCAACCAGAACAAGAAGACCAACCCCGCGAACCCGCCACGCAAAGACCGCACGTCCTCCTCCTCGCCTCCCCGACCGGCGCCCTCGCCGCGCTCCGCCCCCTCCCGGAGGCCACCTACCGCCGCCTCTCGTCCCTCGCCACCCAGCTCGCCAACGCGCTGCCGCAGCCCGCGGGGCTCAACCCGCGCGGGTACCGGCTCCCCGGCGGCGGCGGCGGTGCGGCGGCGGCGGCGGACGCGGCGACGGCGGCGGGCGTCGAGGCCGGGATCGGGCGCACGATTGTCGATGGCGCGCTGCTGGCGCGCTTTGGGGAGCTGGGGATGGCGAGACGGGTGGAGTTGGCGGGGAGGGCGGGGTATGGAGGGGGGGGTGGTGGTGGTGGTGGTGGTGCTGGTGTGGGGGAGGTTAGGGGGGAGTTGGAGGGGGTTTTGGGGTGGGCGGGGTTGGGGTATTTTTGAGAGGGGTTACGCGATAGGGGGGGTTGTGGGTAAGGGTGTGGTGGAGGTGGATGTGAAAAGGGGGTGATGGAAGGTTGGTTTGGGGTTGAGGGTTGCTGTGGTTTCGTGGTGTGGTGGTGGTTGTTGTGTTTACTTACGAAAGGGGTGCTTTAGGGTGTTAATGAAAAGGGTGTTCTCCCCGTATTTGTTACAAGCATGGTGTGTGTGCTCAGTCTACGTAGGCACTCGTTGAGATCACTACTGCCAGGCCTGGTCGGTGACATGCACTGCTGTTTAGACATAGGTTATTGTCGTGAGCACTGCTTTCGAAGAACGTTCCAGTCGTTTCTATCTGTCGGTCGTAAAATAAAACATCTAGCAGAAATCACCCCCCATCAACAGACCGCTTGCATCCGTCTATAGACCTAAGAAATCCCTCCATAAAAGACGAAAGCTGCTAGAATTTCGAAACATCAACCCCCCCACGACAAACTCAATACCCCCCTTCCTCACCAGCCCTCCCCCTCCTCAAACTCCCAAACCGCCTCTTCAAACTCTGCGCCAAACCCTTCCCCGCGGAATTCCTCCGCTGCAAACCAGACGAGCCCGCCTCACCATCATCACCACGGCCCCTAGCATCCCCGTGGCTCACGCTCCGTTGGCGGAGAGTCACCCCCTCCTCAGCCTTGCCGTGGTTGCTGTGGTGGCCGTAATGACCACGGTGACGATCGTAGCTGCGTGATGAGGAGGAGGAGACGGTGGGCTGCATCTCGTAAGACACCGCCCCGGCGCCGTCGGGGTGGGATGGCGGTGCGGCGGCGCGCTGTTTGTCGCGGCGGGATTGGTCGTATGAGAAGGACGGCTCGCCTTTGCCTTTGAAGTCATCGTCGCGGTAGTTCTGGTGGGGGAGGAGGGAGTTGTTAGTTGATGGTGTGTGTGGGAGTGGATGGGGTAAGGGGAAACGGGAAGGGGGAGAACCTACGATGTGCTCCCACCGCTTGTATGCGCCACCGGCGGCGTCCTCCTCGCGCATCAGGTCGGCGCCCTCCTCGTAGTGCATCGTGCGCCCGGCCATGTCCTGCGTCCCTGGTGGGACGACGGCGGTGCCCTGGAGGGGCATGTGCTTCACGAGCGAGTCCTGGATGTACTCGGGCGGGGTGGCCTTGAGGGCCTTGGCGTTGGTCTCCTTGACGGCCTCGACGGGGGCGTACTTCTTGTTGGTGTTGCGCTCCTTTAGGGTGGCGTCGAACGGGCCGCTGTGGTGGTACACGGACGGGACGGGCCCGGTGATGTCGAGGGTGTCAATGGTGTCGCTGGGCTGCTGGCGGCGGTGGGTGCGTAGGTGCGGCGCGCGGTCCGCAGCCCGGTGCTGCTTGGTGAGCATGGCCAGCGGCCGGTGGGACATGTCTCCTGGGTACCGCTCCCTGAGTGAGCCGGATCGACGCGGGATGGTGTCTTTCCCTCCTCCTCCTTCTCTTGCTTCGACGGGCCGGTGGGAGCTGTCGGCAAGGGAGCTGGCACGGCGACGTTGCCCATTGTGGTCTCCCACTGCAGCCATGATATCTGCGCTGGGTCTGGGCGTGGTTAAACTGTCGGCTCGGGTTAGGATGGTGCCCTGGTTCCAGCGAGTCTGCGGCGGATTGGCGGTATGAAGGGAGCGCTTGCGTTCCAAGCCGGACAGTGGCGGGTACTTGGACCGTGGAGGGTACTTGGACTGGGGCGGCGAAGGGGGCAGGGGTTTGCGCTTTATGCTGTTGTTGCGCAGAAACGGGACCGCTTCGTCTGGGTTCTTGACAACTGGCTTTCGGCTCCTTTGGCCGAGGTAATCACGTATATTTCTAGTGGACGATGACGGCGTCGTGCGCGGTTCAAGGCGAGTGGCACTGACTTGGTTCGGCTCTGGGTCGTAGAGAGGACCAAGGATGTATTTCGATGCCTGTGTCAAATACAAGAGTCACGGATTAGTGGTCGTTTTGAACGTTGGTAATGGAAAACGACATCCTCAAGGGCTGGATTTATTGGGTCTATGGATGGCAACCTTGTGCCTGGAACTTGGCAGACTGATGCCATGAAGGCGGGAAGAAGTGACGCAACTCGACGATCACCAAGCCGCAGCGATCATCCCAGCACCACTAGGAAGATTGGAAGCTCGGTGTCGTAGTGAATTGTGGACATGGCGAACCAAATATCGGTGCCATACAACCCATAAAATGTCCAGAATTTAGAAGAAAGGGGTCCCAAAAACTTTTATGGGAATTTTGGTGGGAAGGAAGGTGAAAAGAAGAGTCTCTCGAGAGAGAGTTGGGGAAGGAGCTGGGGAACAGAAACGTCATCGGGACTTGCGCCGCCAAACTTGGGCAACGCAAAATAATGACAAAATCATAAAGAAAACTACGTGGGTTATGGACAGGAAAGAAGCTATCAACGATGCGCAACGATGGCCTACTAGGTACCAGTGTATGGAGAGCTTGAGGATTTGAGACATGAAGAAAGAGAGCTCACCCATTCCTTGTCGACAGCCATGCTGTCTGAATCCCTGTTGCCCATTTCAGTGTTTCAGTGGGGCTTGAGGAGATGTTTGGAGGAAGAGGTGGGGTAAAATGATGGTTCAACTTGGAAGTTCGAGGTTGGAATATCTTGAAAAGTAATTTGGTTTTAGTTTTCGAGGAGAAGGCGAGAAGTGAGTAGATAGGTAGCTGATGATAAGCGCTGGGGACACGCAGACAAGCAAGAATGAGGGGGGCAAATGCGATGGTGCGGCCTAATTCTGTCTGAATGTTAAGAAAACGGCCTGCATCGACTCGTTACAGACCAATACCCTGCGGTTCCTGACATCCCGTGGCAGCGTCATCTGCCCCCTTCAGCCACGCAGGGGCAACGAGTCGGGGGAGAGGTCTGGGGCCGGAAGACCCTAAATTTCCGTCCCTTCTCTCGCCCAAGCCAATCGGCAAGCAGTTGGAAGCAGTCGAAAGCAGCAGAACAAAGCGTGCAGCACATCGCAGCCAGTGCCGGCTCCCCGAAGGTGCACTAAGAAAAGCCCCTCGTGCAAAGAAAGCATCAACCGAGTTGCGCCGCAGCCGCCATTGGCTGATGCGTTCCGAGCCGGAGCCGGGGTTGCATGTACCGTTACAACACCAAAACGTGGCCGTGACAGGGCTGAGATCGGCCCCGGGTCTGCGCACCGGGCCGGGGACTCCGCACGGAGAGAGAGAACCGAAACGAGATGAAACAAAACCAAACAAAACCCGCCAGACCCAGCCAGCCAGGCCGCATCCAAAAAGGCACCTGACCACCACAAATCGCCAGAACCACCACCGTCAGCAATGGCCCTCGTAGACTACGCCTCCGATTCGGACACCACCTCAACATCCAGCACCGACACCCGAAACAGGAAAAAACAAAAAACAACCCCACCAAGCCCAACTCCACCATCATCACTCCCCAACAACCCCCCCAAAGCCAGCACCACAACCCCCCTGCCCCCCCTCCCCCCCGCCTTCCACGACCTCTACGCCGCCACCACCCGCACCACCACCCACGACGACCCCGCCCTGCACCAAGGCCGCGCCCGCCAGACCCCGCACACCCCCGGGTCCTGGCCGAGCCACGTCTACGTGGAATGGCACCCGCCGCCGGCCACCCACGCCCTGCTCACCACCCTCGTTACCACCCTGCAAACCACACTGCAAACCAACCCCCAAACTGCCCTCGCCACTAAAGGGGGGGAAGGGGTGGAGGTGGTGAGTTTCCTGACAAGTGAGTTGGCGACGCCGCTGCCGCTGCATGTGAGCCTGACGCGGCCGGTGGTGGTGGGGACGGGGGAGAAAGAGGGGTTTTTGAGGGAGGTCGCGGGAGCGGTGGTGGGTGGTGGTGGTGGTGGTCCTGGGGGGCAGGGGGTGTTTGGGTTGCGGGGGAGTGGGGTGGTGGAGTGGCATCGCACGGGGGAGAGTGGGAGGTCGTTTTTGGTTTTGAGGGTGTGTGGTTTGAGGGGGAGGGGGCAGCGGAACGGGGAGGGGTTGGGGGGTGGTGGTGATGAGGATGGGGATGGCGAGAATCCGAATCCCGAGTTGACGGGGCTGCTGCGGCGGTGTAACGCCGTGGTTGCCAGGTATGGGCAGCCAGGGCTCTACGAGTGGGCGGAGGATGAAGGAGCGGACGGAGGTAGACGGGTCGGGGAGGCGTTCCATGTGTCGATTGCGTGGTCGTTTGCTGAGCCTACGGAGGAGCTGGTGAGGGCGACTGAACAAGTCTTTGGTGGGCGGGATACCCAACAAAAGCTTCGGGAAGTGCAGATCCCCGTAGAAAGCATCAAAGTCAAGATAGGGAACGTGGTAACAAACGTGGCCCTTCGGCAGCCGGGCGTGAGGCCAAGCGGAGAGGGAGCAAAGAACTTGCTTGGGTTATGAGGCTTAAACGGCTAACACACAGATACATGGTATACCGCTATTTTGTTGCCAAACCACACTATGGTCACGTACATTTCTGTATGTCGGCCTCTAGCCTCCATCTCGATGTACTAAATTCGTAAATGCACGATCCTGAAAGAACATCGCCGTCCACAGCGAGCGAGGGCTAGGTAGTTTCCCCGCAACTCCAAACTCCAGTCTAGGCCCGTAAATCCGGGCCGTAATGCAATGCTAGTCAATGACGCTAAGGAAACCACGACCTCAGAGCTCATCCACCCTCACCCGCTCAAAGGCCCACGTCCTCGGAGACACGGGCAGGCCAATGTAGAACTGCCACAGTCGCCGCAACTCAGATGTGATAATCTGCCACCTTTGCGATAGATTAGTACAATGTTCACCTCTTCAACCAAACGTGTCGGGGAAGGCAACTTACAATATCGCCGGAAACTTGAACCAGCTCCCCACCACGTATTTTACCGCCTTAATCACCTTTTCCATCTCGTTGTCGAATTCCTCCTTCACGGTCCGCCCTTCGTAATTCGGCGACTCCTCGCCCACCTGCGGCTCATCTGCAGTTTCAGACGGCGCCGCTTCCGACGATCCCGGGACGACGGCGTGCCGCGGCTTCTTCGCCCGGTCAGGGATGATGCTGATCTTCTCGGCCTCCTTGAGCCGCTCGTCGAACCGGCTAGCCGCTTCGATCTGCTCCGCCATGGCCCTGAACTCCTGGATGGCCGTCATGCTGCTGCTCAGGCGCGCGTACGTGTTGAACAGGGCGACCAGCTCGGTGCGCTTGAGGATGGGCACCGCGGGCGCGTCGTTGTTGTCGAACTCGAACAGCACCTTGAGCGCGGTCCCGTAGCCGACCGTCTGCAGCTTGCCCCAGAGGCGGCACTTGTCGCACCCGACGCAGTCCATCAGGCGGCTGACGTTGCGGAAGCGGTTGCGGAAGTCCTCCTTGAGAGAGGGGCCCTCGCCGTTCTTGAACATCAGGCTCTCGTCAAAGATGTGCGCCACGCTCGTCGCCTTTTCCGTGACGGCCATGACCTTGCTGCGTGTCGCGGCATCCTGGTCCGAGTCGCCCTGGCAAAAGGTGTAGTCCTGGTGCTGCGAGAGATACGGGCCCAGCTTCGCGATGGCGCGAGTGACGAGCGCGTAGTTGAAGTAGAGGTTGCTGATGCGGTCCGGGTGCTCGTGTAGGCGGTCCATGTAGCATGCGACGTTGGGTTGCCACTCTCCGGTCGTCTGGTTGAGGAAGTCCCAGCACAAGTGTGTCGAGATGCTCGCGTGCATGCCCGAGATGACGCGGTAGAACACACGCTTCTCGAGGCACTCGTCCTCGTACTCCAGCCCAGTCTTCGCCACGAACGGGGTCAGCGGGTGGTGCTGCCGCTGCTCCTCCAGCACCTGTTGCCGGCCCGCAGCCTCAATCACAGCCCTGAAGTCCATGGCAGCCGGGCCCCTGGCCGACGGATCGCTCCCGAGTGCCGCCGAGCGCGGGAACGAGCTCCGCTGGAAGCAGTTCTCCCGGTAGATGGCGTCCCAGACCTGCTTGGCCCCGTCGCCAGCATAACCGGTAAACCGCTCCGGGTTGCGCAACAAGCTCACGTAGTCGCCCTTGGAAGTCGCGCTCTCGTCTTCGGGTACGCAGTAATCGCGGTCGTCGCACTCGTCGTCGTACTCCACCACGCAGCTCTCCCCGACGTTCTCCCCCAGCCGTCCCTGCAGCGGCCTCTCGGGCTGCTGCGCTTGCACGTTCTTGCCGGGGTGCCTCGCGCGCGGGCCCTCCAGCTTGCCGAGCTCGCTGGCCCGCCATACCAGCGGGATGTCCTCCTCGCTGTCGAGGGTCTCGACGGAGCAGGCGATGTTGCCGCACATGCCATTTTCGTCGTTCCAAAAGGGGCACTTCTTGTGGAACAGGTTGACGCGGTAGTGCGAGAAGAAGTCGGTCGTCTGCGTCAGGTCGTCAAGGGCCGGCTTGACGTTGCGGTTCAACCGCTCGAGGGTCGAGTAGGAGGCACATGCGTCACTGACGATAGCCCTGGGCGAGATCTGCCAGATGGAGCCGTTAGAACGAAAGAAGCGAACCTCGGCCGCCGCGGCCGCCGCGACCTTGGAGCAGTGCGATGATGCAGCTGCTAAAGAGATAAAAACGCCAAAAAGGCTAAAGAGAGCATACCGCGCAAGCATCTTTGGAAGAAGATTCCGGATCTGGGTCTGAAATCTGGCAAGAGACCCGAGGCCCCCAGAGGGCGAAGACCGACAGGTAAAAGAGGCGAGTAGCCGACTTCATGATTGACAACTCAGGGGCGTGCTTTTGCGGTCGTTTTGGAAAAGAAACCACGGGCTTGTGACCCCGTTGGCGTCTAGTAAGAAGGGCCGGCCGGCTTTGGTGCTAAGGGTGAAGCTTTATGGTGGTCTGGGACGATTCCCGCGACCTGGCCTGAAACAATGCGGTCCCAGAGATGTGGTCCGATGTTTATGGGTGGCGGCCGCAAGGGGACATTTGGCGATAAGCCCCTTATCAGCTAGCTTGGTACGGAGCGAGGCCAGGATCGACGGCCGGCAAGATGGCTTGGCGGTTCTGGAATTGCAGCGGGTCTGAGGCGAACAAAGGGAATCATTGAACAAGGAACCAGAAAAGCACAGGTAACCTTCAAAGAGACCCGAGTCTGCTTTCGAGTCTTCTTTTAGTTGGGAATTCGGCCAGCACCGTCATGCGACCAGCTCTGGGTGAGATCGGGCTCCTCTCTGGGTTTTAATATCGGAAGATGCGGGAGTCGCGGGGGAGGGGTCCTCGGAAGGAACCTGGAAGTTGAAATGTGTCCAAAACGGAAGATCAGCAGATGCTGAATTGCCGACCGAACGATCTGTTGCATCCTGATTGCTTAGAAATAAAGGAGTCGACCGATATTCCCTTGTTTCCAGCACCATGTGGCGTCGCATTCTCCATCCCGGGTCCGATCCAAAGATCGGAATCATCATATCCCGGGTCCAGAGTGGGAGGGACACGAGTTACTTCGTACCGAGCTTTGTTTCGATGTGTCGAGGACCTCGTCGCTTTCACCCCACCGAGGCCGAGGCCGCCGCCTTGTGTCATTTTCTTTGATTAACTGTCGACTGTCGGTGTTACCACACTGGACGATGCCCATTTTTGTTTTTCCTTCTATTCCTGCGTCATCAAACATACACAGTAGCTCGATCCTTGTACTCGAGTTTGATCAAACCGTGGTATTATTATTTGCTGTTGATCCAGTACATAACCAACAAATGCAGCATCCCGGAACGACGTCTCATCCGACTCGCTCTGCCCAGATGCGACTATCTCGTCAACTCCGTGCAACCCTCAATCGGCACTCGGATCGGTTCTCCGACCCATCACACAGCCTCGTATCCTGGAATTTACCTCCTCGGCCAGGCCATCGCACGCCGCTAGGCCTGGTGAGAGTACAGAGGTCGGAATAGCGGCGTGCCTCGTGTGTGTGCAACCCCCAATCGAAGACCGAGCCACGCTGCGGGCCCATGACGCGCCGCTTGCCCCCCATCCGGGCATTATAGGTAGGTAGTCATACAGTAAGGTGATTTCGCTATGCGGTCGTGCCTGCCATGATAATGCAAAACGCCCGAGGACTCAGACCTCGGTATCTTCTTCTCCGCTACTCGGCTTGCTTCACTGGGGTGGTTGATAATTCAGGGGCCGCCTTGTGCTGGTCAGTCTTCGCTGCAAGGGGAGGCTCGCGTGCGATACTTACTTGAAGAGGAGAATATGGGGCTCCGGCTCATGAACCTCGTAGTGTTCCCAACCAAGGCTCTGTACAGCAGTCAGCATCTGGCCTAACCGGTGGGCGATGCCGCGGCGCTCACCTGTGTGATCCCCATGCCCCTCCATTCATCCTCCCACAGAAGTTTCAATGTGCCCTTTGACTTGTCGTGATATTCGCTGGGAATAGCTTTGAGCATAGCTTTGGGCAGTTGCACGTGGCGGTACTCGAATTCGCTGTCAGAGTATCTGATACGCGTCAGTATCGATGGCTCCAACTCAACGTTTGCCGGTGCCGGGGAACGCACCTAGTGGAATAATGTATGCCGTCGAGGAATTCATCCAGACGCGCGCGCTCCTCTTCTGTCAATGGCCTTGGGGTTCGGTTGCGGCGACCGGAGTCGATGCCCATATACTCTGGAGTCGACATCTTTTCGCTGGTGATGATGTTTTGGGACCGTCGGTGACGATGGCGGTGTAGATGCGCAAGTCTCGCGATCTCCCGCGTCGAGGTGGGGATGGTACGGCTGGGCGCCCAAAAAGTTGTTCAAAGTCGCGCGAACCCCTCGCCCGAGGTTGGCTTGCGGCAAAGTACGTGGGGTAATGCCTGACTGCCCGAGAGCGGTCTGGTTGTGAGTTCGGGTTGCCGAAGACTACCTTGTGTAGTTCTGCAATGTAGATTGGTGATCCGCTGATCAGCGGTGTTTCTTAATCGGAACGAGGTGTGGTGGGAGGTGGTGTAACGCTGGGCTTTGCGCGCGACCGGTTGGCGTTGAGTGGAAATTCGTGAGTGGAGGAGGGGGTTCAAGAGCAGATGAAGGTAAACAAATCAACTGGTTCATCGCTGAAGGGCCCCAGTGCGCCTGCCTCACGCTAAAATTCTCACCCCTCCGCCCCATCCGGCAATGGAGCACGGGCCTCATTATACAAAGATGACAATAGTGGCATGTTCAAGAGTGCTCCAGATACTGCAGACTCGTTGTTTTTGTACGTTTATTGATGGTTCTCCGTCTTCTAGTTTCCACAATACATCAGACTGAACCTTTCGGAACAAAACACAACTCTTCATGCGCCCATCACAGGCCTATTAACCACAAGCCTCGCGGTACCTCTGATTACATAACTTTTGGTTCCAAGACGAACTGGCACTGTGGCAACGGGCTTCACGATCAGAGCAATGACACAAACATTAGTGCAGAATTGTTAATATGTAACAAGGTTCACTTCATTGGGTGCGCATGACATGAAAAGGCTTTTGTCAAAAGGATATCATGACGTATATTAGCAGTTGGGACGAAAGCCAGATGGGCACCTCCGACCACTGGTCATCCTGTGTTAGTTGGTATAGTGCTGGATGTCATATCCATACTGTACGCCCACCTCCCCCAAAACCGCATGCCAAGTCGATTCACCCCTTGCTGAACCGATTGAGCTGCAAAGATGATGCCGGCAACTGCAAGCATGTCCCAGCCTGTCTCCATCCACCTCGACAACATCTCTTTCCGATCAGCCTTTCTTCCCTTGTGAGGACACTTGACTACTTGGCCTCGCATCTCGAGACCCTCGCGCCTAATTTTCCGGAGCCAAGCCCTCGAATCGACCTCTGTGTGAGCTTTTGCGCCAACCAATTCCATCTTCGACGCGTCTCGATTGGCAACTGGTCCGCGCATCGACGTCGACCTCCCGTTGCGCCCTCGCATCCCTCCCGAGACCGACCCGTAAAAAATATATCGCGTTATCGTGCATTATCGTTTGCCGAGAAAACACGGTCGATTGGTGGCGGCGCAAGATGGATCACAAACGCAAGGCTAGCTCGTCCGCTGGCATCGCGGATGGCGATGATCGAGCCATGAAGCGCCAGAAAACACCAGGGGTAAGTTCCATTCCATGCCACTCCAGTTTTCGCCTGGCCCGAGCGCTCTCAAGCTGCCTTGTTATCGGTCATTTCAATGGGAGATAGCCAGCTTCGATGCAGACTGCCCTCCTGCAGAGTACAAACTTCCCACTGAGGTGCACTCCTCAGTGTACTCGACCAGCCCACCTCGTGTCCAACACGCACAGCACCAATGCGCTTTGCCTGTAAAAGCAAAGTATGCTAACCATGAGCGCAGCAACCGTCCGATTACAACCTCCTGCATGGCGAAACCCGCGAGTCCACATCCGCTTACGGTTTACACTTTCTCGAGACAATCCGAAGGACTAAAGACAAGAGGTTAGCAAACCCACATTGTTCTTCTACTCTCTATGGCCCCAGGGAGTTGCAAGCTGACTTCAGGACACAGCGGTCGGCTAGTTGCAAGCTACTTCGACCATCTTATCCCCCGAGAGACGAATAAGGAATACTATGAGCGCATTCGCATGCCCATCTCGCTGAAAGGAATCGAGCGGAAGCTCCTGAACCAGGATTTCCAGAATCTTTCGGAACTAGAGAGTTATTTCAAGCGCATGGTGACCAATGCCAAGGAGTTCTACCCCAAGAACTCCGAGGTGTTCGAAGATGCCGAGCGCGTGCGGAAAGCACTGAGCAACTACATGACCAAGACCAACCCCGCGTACAAACTCATTTCCGGGTACAGTTGCCAGGCCACGCCAATTCCTGTCGACCTGGAGTTCGAATCCGAAGACGCTTCCGCGTACAGGGCCACGGTGGAAGCCCCGGAGGTCGATGACGAAGACGCGGAAGGCGAGGATGATGAGCAAGACGATGAAGACGCCGAGGGCGAGGAGGACGAAGATGACGAGGAGGAGGAGGAGGAGGACGGGAACCCCACAAAGATCGTTCTCAAGAGGAAAGGCCCCGGTAGACCCTCCAGGGCCGAGTCGGAGCAAGCGAAGAAGCTCGACAGGAGCGGCCGGGTGAAGGCGGACCACGAGTACGAGGGCGTGTCATACAAGGGACTCTCGTTTCAGCAAGCCCAGGAGAAGGTTGTTGAGGAGCTAATCCGAAAACCGGACGGGTCGTGAGTCTGCACCCCTTCCGCTTCCGCTGCGTGGGAAGCTAACGAATCTCAAAACAGGGACCCGTACTTTTTGGATTTCATCAACCTGCCGCCGCGCAGCTACAAGGATTATTTTGCCGTCATCACATCACCTCTCTCCCTGAAGGGGTTGCAGAAGCTCGTCAAAGGGATCCACGGTCGTCAGCCCGCGACTGGTGTCAGCGACTTCAAGAACTGGGCAGCATTCGAAGAGAGGGCGAGTCTGCTCTGGACCAATGCCCATTTTTACAATGAGGAGGGGAGCCTCATCCACACGCTTGCCACGGACCTCAAGGTACGATGCCATTGGTTCGTGACATGATGCCGCAAAACTGACATTGATCCTTGCAGAAATGCTTTGCAGATGAGCTCACCGAGGCAAAGGCGGCCGTGCAGGAACCTCCGCAACCGAAGATCAAGTTGAAAATGACACCCGGTCAAGAGACGCCCATTGTTGGCCCTAAGAAAATCACCATCCATGTCGGAGGATCCAGGGGTAGCACAACAGCCTCGCCTGCACCCCAAACCGCTCGTTCAAGCGATTCAAGCCGTCCCGACGTCAATATGGACGCCAACCGCAACGCTCCATCCACCCCCGCAAACACCACCGCTGCCAGTTTTCAAGTCGACAACACCAGAGTTCTACCAGCCGCCGTGGCATCCCCGCGTCCCGCTGCTGGCGTGATGGCTCCGGCGGTTGGAGCTCAACAGCCCCCGGTGGGCTTTCCACGACCAAACGGCAATGTTCCAAGCCCAATGCCGGTCGCAAATGGAATGACAGCGCCTGCTCAGCCCTTTCGGCCACCCCCGGGCCAACAGTTGCAAAACGCGCCTCCACACCCAATACCAGCACCCGCACCGGCGCCGCCCATCTACGACTTCAAGTTTCGTGCTCCTGGCAGAGGTATGTCCATAGCCGCAGTTTTTGATGGTTTCATCAGCGCAAAATACGTGCATAACACTAACTTGACCACCAGGTTACGCCGACGCGCTATTACCGAGTGTTCTGCTGCGGACACACCCTAGTATGGTTATGGACCAGATGTTCAGAGTCGAGATCCCGGCACACCCGCAAGAAGCACACCAGAATATCACGATGCATGTCGGCAGCCACAGTCGACTGCAGCTCATCCCTCGCTTAGCACCGTTTGAGCAACAGGGCCGGCAGTACCGTATGTTCGTGACGGTCAATGGCCAGACCATTGGTCGAGCGCCTCCGCTCCCCGTCAAGGACGACCCGTTGCCTCCGAACCCGATCGTCTTTGATGTGATCGTGCAGCACATTACCACCATTGTCGCCGTCACCGTCATTGCTCGCCTGCCGAAGGGGCAGAAGCTGGCGACTGGTGCGGACTGCGAAGTGGAGAAGCTCACCCTAAATTTGCACATGTCCCGGAGTTCATGAGAGCCGGGGAGGGAAGAAAAAAAAGTATCGTTATCGGCGTACCGCTGAAGGCTGGAGGGTGGGTATTCTCGTGGTGTCTGGCTGGGCTGGGTGTAGTCCCCGTTGGTGACGCTGTATGGGTGTTACGAAGGCAAGGCAGGGGACTGTGTATGGCACGGCTAGGATTTGGCGTTCGGGGTCGCGGGGTCGGTCTTGACCTAGGTTCTCTCGGCCATTCTGAAATCCGAGTGGCTTTCTGTTTTTTTGTTGTTGGTGCCTTGTAGTCTACTGCTGTATCACAATTATCTTCAAGGGTTCTTGTCACTTGGTTTTCATGGTGTTGCACGGCTAGATGCAGCCTTGAAGGTGGTGCGCCGCAGTGGCTCGCCTCTGTTTGCATTCCGGATGCGGTCTTTGTTGAAGGGGCTGGAGGCAGAATACTTTCCCACTCCGTCAAACGGTCTTTGTCTGTACAAAGCTTCCCCTTCCAATCTCAGCTTAGGTAGCCTAGCTAGCTAGCTCTCTTTGTGTGTGCTAGGGTATTACACCACACCAAGCGTACAATCGCCTAACCTCGTCTCTCTCTTCCACATGCGCCATCTTCGGGTCGTCTCTACTCTCAGGAGAAACCCCCTGATACCAGCAGACCATCCATATCAGTTCCGGTAAGAAACACCCATCCGCTCAACACCAAGTGAGCCAACGCAAACCCCATCCCAACCAACAACCAACCCACCACCCCCAAACAAAACAAAACAAACACAAAATGCCCACCCCCAACCTCCACCTCCGCGGCGGCTCCTTCGCCGACACCTCCGGCTACGCCCCCAACTTCACCCGCGCCGCCCACCCACGCGCACGCGGCGTCCGCACCCGCTACCGTACCCGAGCAGAACGGGAAGAATACGAACAACAACAACAACAACAACAACAACAACAACAACAACAACAACAAGCACGCAACCAACCCCATAACCAACCCCGTACCGCATCCCCAAACGCAAACGCAGACTCAGACCCCTCCTCCACCCCGCCCAGCGCCGACTATGACGCGGTGCCTAGGGATGCACTGTATAACCGCCGCGTGCGCATGCTTGGGATTCAGGAGAGTTTGTTGAGGCCGGCAGCTGCGGCTGCGTCTGCTGGCGCCGGTGGTGGTGGCGGCGGTGATGATGGTGGTGGTGGTGGTGGTGGTGGTGGTGGTGGTGGTGGTGGTGGTGCGGATGATCCTGCGGGGCGGCAGGGTTGGGGGGAGTGGATTTCCGATGTCTTTGGTGCAGGTGGTGGTGGTGGTGGTGCTGATGTTGCTGGTGCGCGGCGGCGGCGTGGGTTGGAAGGGTTGACGAGCGGGGCGTGGCGGCCGACGAGGACGCGGTTTGATGTGCGCTGGCCGGTTGTGGGCGAGGGCGAGTTGGGGAGTGAGTGGTTTGAGAGGGTTTATGGGCATCTGTTTGGGAGGGTGAGGGAGTTTGCGGAAGGGTATTTTGGGTTGGGGGATATGCCTGCTGCTGCTGCCGGGGGGAAGGGCAGGGTGTGGTTGGAGGGCGGGTTTTCGGAGCAGTTCCTTTGGTTTGTTGCGCAGGTGGCTATGCAGGATAATAACGCGGGCGGGTGGGATGTGTTGCTGACGAAGAAGACGCATCGGGAGTGTCTTGTTACGGGGGTCATTGGGAAGGTGTTGGAGATGGCGGTCTTTGATGACTTGCTGTTCGGGGCCGACAAGGTGCAGAAGAGCATGCTTGAGGCGCAGGATGAGTGTACCCTCGATCTTGAAGGTGGGTTTTCTTGTCGTCGTTGTGTACACCTGAGAACTTGGTCTGACTAACATAACGTAGGTTACCACCGTACCGCCTTGCGGTCCCAGTCTATCCGCACCCTCCTAGTCGACGACATCTTGACACCGGATTTCTGGCCCTGTGTCGACCAGCTGACACTCCAGATCACAACGCTGCTTCTGCCCCTGCTCGGCCTCATGGACAGGCATATTCCGGCCAGCCAAGCCAACTCGCTGCGTAGCTTCTACCAGGACCTACACGCCATTGTCGCCGGAGCCGCATACCTATCCATCGGCATCCGCTGGTCCCGCAACATCTTCCGCTTCTCGCTGCCCTACCCTGGCGAGGTGTGGGATCTCGACCAGGAGCATGTCGATGACACGATTTACAAAGTTTCCGAGGCCGCAAACACGCAAGCTGATTCAACCGCCGCAGAGAGGTGGAGGACCGAACGCCGCCAGCGCTTAGACAGGCAGCGGGAGAGAGAAGCGCGAGCCAACAATCCAACTCTCCTAGATTACCGAGAGGACGCGCTTGCCTCGATTCGGAACCAACTCAACGCAGCCCGCAGGCGCATTCTGGGCCGAGAAGACGAAGAGGACTCGGGCAACGACAACGATGTTTGGCGCCAGCCCTCCCGCATGGGCAAGGTCCAGATCATACTCTGGCCCATGCTGCAACGCTTCGAGACGGTCGGCGAGATCGATCCCGAGGTCGGGGCCGCGGACGGGGAACACGTCACCAATGTTTTCAAGTCCCAGGTGGTCTACTACTACGGCCAGGTCGACGAGGCTGGCGGGGACAGCGACCACCATCCGAGCCTGGACGACTGGATGCGCGAGGCCAGACGAGAACGCGCGTGGGACTGGTTCCAGTCGCTGGCATGGCTTCTTTACCCCGTTGCCGCATGGTTCCTGCTCGGTTTCCTGGCACGATACAGCCCGATGATCGCCGACATCCAGCAAATCGTCAGTCACGGAGTGGATAGGGTATTCGCATACATCGCCCGGGAAACGAGCCTTTTCGTGATGGAAGCCCTGATCACGCTCGTTGCGGTTGTTATTGCCATCACCAAGCTGGCTATGTACATCGTTTATGTTGCTTGGGATAGACTTGCTGTTATAGCGGGGCCGACTCTGGGTTATCTTTGGGGTGCTCTTGGTGATATTCTTGGGTATGTAGACGGCGCGGGAGGGTGGTACAGTCCTGGGTTGGCTTATCCTGACATGAGCTGGGCGTCGATCAAGGACCTGGCCCGGGTATTTGCCGCGCGTTTCGGGTTGTAAGTCGAAGTAGAGAGCCCTTGGTGGCCTGTGAGCATGGCTAGCATGGTGGAAGGTGGAAGAGGAAATCGGTAACGGCCGAAGTCCCTGTTGGGTACACGATGGGCATACCTCCCGTTGTGGCGCCGTTGTGAGATTGATACCCACCGTCAATAGTTCCATAGTTCCATAGTAAACCCCGATTTCCTTCATGGCCAATGACCAAGTTAGTGTCAGTTAACCCCGGTGAGAGATACCCGTCCCTTTTCGAAAAAGGAAGTATTAACTAGGTACGCAACATGGGGCGAGCACTGCAGGACCAGTCAACCATTCACGAGTCAGCTTATGAAACCCCTCACAAAACACCAAGGCCAAGGTTTTGAGCATGATGAATTGCTCAAACGGACATCTCCCCAAGTGTTGTAATCATAACTTCCGACAGACAAGAGTAGAGGGTCTAAAATAAGAGTTGGGAAGTGATAGGGATCTGGAGAGCTTGGCTTCGTTGGCCATACTTTATTGCAAGATTTTGTAAGATACCTCGGTAGGGTGCTTGACCCAAAAAAAGGAAAGAAGAAAAAAGGTGATAAAGTACAAAGTACCGCTTGTCTCGACGGTGTGTAAAGTCGTGAAGCGCCAAGCGCCAAGCGATCGCTTTGGTGTGGAAGGCAAAAGCCAAGCGGATGCAACCCCACATCAAACCCTCCGCCAAGCCAAAATTTTGTCGACCATCTGAAATCAATTCGCGACAGGACCTCGACTTCGACCCCCAAGGTTATCCGTCAACACATCATAAGTACCTATCATGCAATTACCTCCGAAGTAGCCCGACACTCCGCCCCATGACAAAACCAAAACAAACAAAACCATCGCAATAACTCACCACCCCAAAAAAAAACCCACCATGGACGCCGCCGCCCTCCTCAAAGCGCAAGGGTGGCGGGGCAAGGGCTTCTCGCTGCACCCGACCGACGACGCGATCGGGCTCGCGAAACCGCTCCTCATCTCGCGCAACACGGACGGGCGCGGCATCGGGCAGAAGAAGCACTACACGAGCGACCAGTGGTGGCTGCACGCGTTCGACCAGAAGCTCAAGGGCCTGGACACGTCCCAGAAGGGCAGCGTCGTGCAGTCGGTCACGCAGGGCAAGCTCGACGCCGTCGCCCGCGGCCAGCCCAACGGCAAGTACACGGGCGCCAGCGGGCTGTATGCCTCCTTCGTGCGCGGCGGCCTGCTGGATGGGACGAGGGAGAAGGCGGTGGAGGAGGTGGTGGTGGTGGTGGCCGGCGAGTCGACTGATGCGACGCCTGCTACCTCGTCGTCGGATGACAGCGAAGCGGTGGGGCGCGGCTCGAGGAGAGGGGGGAAGCGGGACGAGTCCAAGTTGGAGAGGCGGGCGCGGCGTGCGGCGAGGAGGTTACGCAAGGCGGATAAGGCGGCAAGAAAGGCTGCGGCCGCGAAGGCTGCGCGGAAGGCTATCGAGAAGGCGGCAAAGAAGGAGCTGAAGAGGGCGAGGAAGGCGGGCGAGACAAAAGAGGAGAGGCGCGCTAGGAGGGCCGAGAGGAGAGCACGGAAGGAGGCTAAGAGGAGGAGGCGGGAGGAGGCTACACAAAAGTCTGATCAGGGATGAACGGCGGGCTCGAGCTGAGACTTTCGAGTATATTCTGCCCTCTAGGGCGAACCCTTGGGTGGCTTTAGTACCTAGAGGCTACCTTCCGGACTCAAGCTGCCGACGCCGCTGAGGTGGCCGTGCCGAGTCCAGCACATGCCGCGCGTCTCGCGAGGGTGCTAGCGACTTGCGGCTGGCAGCGAGTCCGATGTGACGGCAACGAGCGAAGCGCTGGCTGCCGTCTAATTAATGATTGGGCGCCCAAGCTAGTTTCAAGGCTCTTTCGGAACCTTGCCCGGTTTGTTTGATAGCAGCCAAGGCCGGCGGTCCCAGAAGTCGTCCTTGATAATGTCGAGATGTTGCACCACAATCGGTGCTTTCGCCCTCCGCTTCTTGTCGTTCTCGGCCTGCGTCTTTGATTGCTGCACCGGCTCCGCTAGGCTGTCGGCTTCGATGGTCGCGTTGTGTGTGCCAGGTTCCACCAGCTCATACTAGTCGCCGTGTTTAGTTGCTTGAGTTCGTCAACCTACAGTCCCCGAAACACTTACGTCCCGAAAGACAACGCTGCCCTTCTTATACATCTCGGGTTCGTTGTTGTAGTTGATGGCAAATTTTGAGAACATGATTTCGTTCTTGTCGGCGGCATACGTCCCCTAATTTTGTGGATTAGATGTTTGGCCCCGTTGTCGGTGGCAAACCAAACTCACTTTCAACGTCTTCTCGGCCTCGGTGGGATCGATACCGCCCAGCTGGATCAACGCCCAGAAAGTCGTGTTGTAGAGATTGTTGATATGGCCTAGCGGGTTAGACCCAAGTCAGAGCCAGCTCGGCTAAGCTCAAAAATGAGACTCACAGTCAACCTGTCTCCAACTCATGTAGTCTCGTAGATTCTGCACAGTTGGGTAGCACACCGCACGGCCGTCGAAGCTTGGCAGTGGAGGGGATAAAGGAGTGTCTGGGAAGTGGATTGACCAGAGGTGGACATAGTATGCGGTGAAGGTAGAGACGATGGTTGAGACCAGTTTACTGTACAGGTTAGTTATCAGGAGAGTCAGTGAGCGGTCCACAGGGGGGCTGGTTACCTGGCACGGCGTTCGAAGAGACTGCATGTCTTATGGAAGACAAAGCTAAGGAGCTGCGTCAGTGGGTGATCAAGAGAGGGATACCAGACAAAAGCATGCCTGTATTCATCGCTAACTCCATATGCGATGGTGATGTCTGGAAGCTCAGCCATGACTGCCCTGGCAGCAGCATTCATGAGCTCAAGAGCCCGCTTGTCGTTTGGTTTCTCGAAGCCATATTTGGTCGCGAACCTCGGTCACAGTTAGACCTTCCCCTTCAATTAATCATGCAGATGTAGTATGGGAATATTACTTGGTGAATCCACGCCCATCAATTCTGACGACGACCCACGTGTTCGGAAGGAGGTTGTCGGTTTGCTCGAATTGCTTGACATACTCAAACCTTAAGTCGAAGAATCAGTTGTGTAATTGTAAAACGGATGATAGAAGTTTCATACTTGGAGTTGGCCATCTTGAGATTCCTCCAGCTAACTGTCTATCCTCTGGTTGACTATACAAATGTGATAGGTATGTAACATGACATTTGACGTTCTCGTTGTTGTCGGAAGAAAACCGTACAGAGTTGAACCCCGCATCGGCTCCCGGGTGGTGGGGGACGTTCCTGATGGACGGGATCCTTGGCATCCCATCGCAACGGCGGATCTGCCGCTGAAAATCCCCGTAATTGCGGGTGCGCCGCAACGACGCCGCCCTGGACCCCTGGTTCGGTTCAGTGGGGCTCTGCAGCCTTGCAGCAACTCCAATTCTTCCCGCATCCCAAACACACAGCCTCGCCTCAACAACAGTCCCGAGCCTGGATCACAACGCGATTCTCCACATTTTACGCGGTTATGAATCTCTTACTCTCCGACGACTATCTCCTCCAAGACTACCCCGAAAACATCACCAACACCATCCGATCAGGCCACTCGACATGCGTGCGATTCAACCGCAAGGGCGACTTTCTCGCCTCAGGGCGCGTTGATGGCACCGTCGTCATATGGGATCTGGAGACTATGGGCGTGGCGCGCAAGCTGAGGGGCCACTCCAAGAACATCACCTCACTGAGTTGGTCTCGATGCGGCCGCTATCTGCTCTCGGCATGTCAAGGCTGGAAGGCCATTCTCTGGGACCTGCAGGACGGGAAACGCCACCGCGAGGTGCGTTTTCGTGCTCCCGTCTATGGCGCCGAGCTGCATCCCTGGAATCAGTCAGTGCCCCTCGATATTTGTTTATTACAAGAAGCACACAGGCTGACTGACCCACGGCAGCCACCAGTTTGTCGCTGCCCTCTTCGAGGACCAACCGATGCTCGTCGACATCACGGACCCCGCTGACGTGCGGTATGTCCTGCCCTCCGTCGTGAAGAGGCCCAATACGGAGACCGATGCGGCTGTGAGGGAGAAGCACGCCAAGGAGGATGCGAAACACATGACGACGGCCATCGTGTACACGGCTGCGGGAGACCACCTCTTGGCTGGCACCACGAAGGGACGCCTCAACGTTATCGACGCGAAGACGCGCGAAATCATTTACTCGGAAAAGATAGCGAGCGGCATTATCACAACGCTGCGGCTTACGGAGTCGGGCAAGGAGCTCCTGGTTAACGCCCAGGACAGGATAATACGAACCTTTATCGTGCCAAACCTCTCTACGGCAGATCTCGACCTGGACACGATACAAATACCCCTTGAACACAAGTTCCAAGACGTCGTCAACAGGCTATCGTGGAATCATGTGGCCTTCAGTGCCACAGGCGAGTACGTTGCGGCATCGACATATAACAATCACGAGCTCTACATCTGGGAACGTGGGCATGGCAGTTTGGTGCGTATGTTGGAGGGGCCGAAGGAGGAACAGGGGGTCATTGAATGGCACCCGCACCGCGCTTTACTCGCGGCATGCGGTCTGGAAACGGGCAGGATCAATATCTGGTCCGTCACGAGCCCACAGCGGTGGTCGGCCCTCGCGCCCGACTTTGTCGAGGTCGAAGAGAACGTCGAGTATGTGGAGAAGGAGGACGAGTTTGACATTCACCCGCAAGAGGAAATTCAAAAGCGGCGACTCGACCAGGAAGACGAGGATGTTGATGTCCTGGCTGTGGAAAATAGCGCCGGGCTCGAAGACGATGTAGACGCGTTTCGGATGCCGATACTCTTCAATTTGGGGGAATCGGACAGCGAAGAAGAATTCGTAAATGTGTCGCTTGGGACATTACGAAGAAAGAGTCCTGGAGACCAGGACGAAGGGGAAATGACAGGCGAGGAAAAGGGAACGGGGAAGAAAACAAGTGGAGCTGGACGTGGTCGAGGCAGGAAGAAGTAAATGCGAACATGTGCCTTGGCAGTTTCAGGTTTCAGCGACCGACCCAGGTAAAAATATGTGAATCAGTGTGTGATGCTTATCAGCCACACACGTGAACCCGAACAATGATGCCAATACAGGTTACTGTGTAGTGTGCAACCGGTGAATACAACGTGAGATAAGGTTACAAAAGGAGGTCAAATCGACCACACCAGAAACACGCCCCCCTGCACGTTTGCAGCTTACAGTGGGCCAACTGCTTTGTGTGAAAAGGTGGGCCCCTTTCCCAAAGTAGGTTAGTCCCAGTCAGCCGCCTTCGCCTCTCCTGGCACCTTGCTTTGTCAAGTCGAACTTTTTCGAGGGCGTCGTCCTCATCCTTCCCCCGAAACATCATCCAGCGATCACCGACGCCATCGCAAATCGCGTCAAGAACCCCGCGCATTTCTGTCGCCCATCTCCCCGCGGCAGAATACCGAACGTACGACTGCGATCATCAAATCGATCGTTGTTTTTCCGACCCGCAACGAGACTGGAAACGACGAGCTCTTGAGGGCCCTGCTTCCGGCCGCTGGCCTGGAAAGCGAGCGTGGAGAGGAGGTCAAAACAGCACCGCGGAAACGCCCGCGCGCCGGCTTGCTCGCCAGCCATTTTCCCGCTTTACCTTAACGACTACGAATACTTTCCTTTCTTTCGGCACCATTTGACCTTCATCGACAGGTCCGCACGCGTCTCCGCATCGCGACACCGCGACATTCGCTTCATCGCGTTTTCAGTAATTCATCAATCACCGTCCCCTCGTAAATCTTCCATCGCGATACTTTATTAATTCGTATTCGAAATCTGCCCACCTTCAAAATGGCGAACCTTATTTTCGCGCACTCGAGTGCGCCGATCCGTACGATTAGGGAGATACAGTTCGGCCTCTTGTCGCCTGAGGAAATCAAGGGCATGAGCGTCTGCCACATCGTCTACCCCGAGACCATGGACGAGAGTAGGACAAAGCCTCGCGACGGTGGTCTCAACGATCCCCTTCTTGGCTCCGTCGACCGCCAGTTCAAGTGCAAAACCTGCACTGAGAACATGACGGAGTGCCCTGGTCATTTCGGTCACATCGAGCTATCCAGGCCTGTTTTTCACCCAGGCTTCATCAGGCGTGTCAAAAAGTTGCTCGAGATGGTCTGCCACAACTGTAGCAAGGTCTTGGCTGATCGTGTTAGTGCACCTGATCGGGTGATAATTTGTATGGCTGATGCTGACTTTTCACCAGAGCGACACCCAATATGCTGCCGCCATGCGGATTCGTGACCCCAAGGTGCGATTCAAGCGTGTTTGGGACATCTGCAAGAGCAAGAAGCGCTGCGAGAACGAACCGCCCAAAGGGAAAGATGGCGAGTTCAATCCCGGTAACCCAGACCAACCCGCAGATAAGGGCCATGGGGGTTGTGGCAACACACAACCAGTCATCCGCCAGCAGGCTCTCACACTCTGGGGCAGCGTCGAGTCCAAGGACGAAGATGGCGTGAAGACCAAGGAGAAGAAAGTCGTCACCCCAGAGATGGCCCTCAACATCTTCCGCCGCATGACCGACGATGAGATGATTGATATTGGCCTCAATATTTCCCAAGCCCGACCCGAGTGGATGATCATCACCGTTCTTCCTGTCCCCCCTCCCCCGGTCCGCCCGAGTATCTCTATGGACGGGACTGGGACAGGCTTGCGGAACGAGGACGATCTGACCTACAAGCTCGGCGATATCATCCGCGCCAACGGCAACGTCCGCCAGGCCATTGCAGAAGGCTCTCCGCAGCACATCATCACTGACTTCGAGAACCTTCTCCAATACCACGTGGCTACCTACATGGACAACGATATTGCTGGCCAGCCGCAGGCACTGCAAAAGAGTGGCCGTCCTGTCAAGGCCATCCGCGCCCGCCTCAAGGGTAAGGAGGGCCGTCTGCGTGGCAATTTGATGGGAAAGCGTGTCGACTTTTCGGCTCGTACAGTCATCACGGGTGACGCGAACATTTCGTTGGACGAGGTCGGCGTGCCGCGCAGTATCGCTAGGACCCTGACCTACCCCGAAACCGTCACGCCTTACAACATCGCCAAGCTTACCAAGTACGTCCAAAATGGACCGAACGAGCACCCGGGAGCTAGGTTCGTCGTCCGTTCTGACGGCACTCGCCTTGATCTCCGCCACTCTCGGCGGGCGACTGGTATCCAACTCGAATACGGCTGGAAGGTGGAGCGCCACCTGTTGGATGGAGATTTCATCATCTTCAACCGTCAGCCTTCTCTGCACAAGGAGTCCATGATGGGTCACAGAGTTCGGGTCATGCCCTACTCTACTTTCCGACTCAACCTGTCTGTCACGTCTCCCTACAACGCCGATTTCGACGGTGACGAGATGAACTTGCACGTTCCCCAAACTGAGGAGACACGCGCCGAAGTCAAGGAGCTTTGCATGGTTCCTCTGAACATCGTCTCGCCCCAGAGGAACGGGCCTCTGATGGGTATCGTTCAGGACACCTTGGCTGGCGTGTACAAGCTCTGCCGCCGCGACGTCTTCCTCACCAAGGAAGAGGTGATGAATCTCATGCTCTGGGTTCCCGAGTGGGATGGTATCATCCCTCTCCCCGCCATCTTCAAGCCTCGCCCCCGGTGGACCGGCAAGCAGATCATCAGCATGGTCATCCCCAGCATAATCAACATTCACATGCCCAACGACCAGCCGGACAAGGATCATCCCTTCAAGGATGACGGTCTTCTCATCCAGCAAGGAGAGCTGATGTTCGGCTTGCTGATGAAGAAGAGCGTCGGCGCGGCTGGAGGTGGCATTATCCATCTGTGCTACAACGAGCTCGGTCCCCACGGTGCTATGGACTTCCTCAACGGGTGCCAACGGGTGGTCAACTATTGGCTCTTGCACAACGGTCACAGTATCGGTATCGGTGATACGATTCCCGACACTACGACCATCGGGCTGATCCAAAAACACATCAACGATGAGAAGGAAGAAGTTCGCCGCCTGACACTAGCTGCCACCAACAACGAGCTCGAGGCGCTCCCGGGCATGAATATTCGAGAGACCTTCGAAAATAAGGTCTCAACTGCCCTCAACAAGGCCCGTGATAAGGCCGGCACGTCCACCGAAAAGAGTCTCAAGGACCTTAACAATGCCGTCACAATGGCCCGGTCTGGTTCCAAGGGCTCCGCCATCAACATCTCGCAGATGACGGCTTTGGTCGGGCAGCAAATCGTTGAGGGAAAGCGCATTCCGTTCGGTTTCAAGTACCGAACACTTCCTCATTTTACCAAAGACGACTACTCTCCCGAGGCCCGGGGCTTCGTCGAGAACTCGTATCTCCGTGGCTTGACGCCCTCGGAGTTCTTCTTCCACGCCATGGCCGGTCGCGAGGGTTTGATCGATACCGCTGTCAAGACAGCCGAGACAGGTTACATCCAGCGCCGTCTTGTCAAGGCGCTCGAGGACGCAGAAGCGCGCTACGACGGCACGGTGCGGAACTCGCTCGGCGACATCATTCAGTTCGTCTACGGCGAGGACGGTCTGGACGGTATCGCTATCGAGAAACAGCGGGTGGATCACATGAACATGTCGAACGACAACTTCGACAAGCGGTTCCGTCTCGACGTCATGGACGAGGCGACTTCGGCCGCTGCTCTCGAATCCCTAGAGTACGGGAGGGAAATGATCAGCGACCCGGCTGTGCAGGAGGTTTTGGACCAGGAGTACGAGCAGCTGGCTGCTGATCGCCAGCTCGTGCGGCGTATCAACCACCGCAAGCAGGCTGAGGACCACATGCAACTACCCCTCAATATCGCCCGAATCATCGAGACGGCTAAGAAGCTTTTCAAGGTCGACGACTCTCATCGGAGCGACCTCACGCCCAACGATGTAATCCCCGTCGTCAAGGCTTTGCTCGACCGAATGATTGTGGTCCGCGGCTCTGACCCAATCTCGCAAGAAGCCGACTACAACTCGACCATGTTGTTCAAGATCCAGTTGCGGTCGCGCTTGGCGTACAAGCGTCTCGCCGTTGAGCAAAGGATCAACAAACTCGCCTTCGAACATATCCTGGGCGAGCTCGAGAACCGATGGTCTCGGTCAATGGTCGCCCCTGGAGAAATGGTTGGTGTGTTGGCTGCGCAGTCCATTGGAGAACCGGCGACGCAGATGACACTGAACACTTTCCATTTTGCCGGTGTGTCGTCCAAGAACGTCACTCTTGGTGTTCCGCGTCTCAAGGAAATTCTCAACGTCGCAAAGGACATCAAGACGCCATCCATGGTTGTCTACCTGGATTCCGAGAACGCAACCCAAGAGGATGCGAAGAAGATGCGAAATGCTGTCGAGCATACCAGTCTCCGTTCCGTGACGGCAATTACGGAGATCTACTACGATCCCGAGGTCACCTCCACAAACATCCCCGAGGACTTCGACATGGTCGAGTCGTACTTCTTGATTCCAGACGCCTCGGATCAGGATTCGATTGAGAACCAATCCCGCTGGCTTCTGAGACTAACGCTCGACCGGCAAAAGATGCTTGACAAGGGTCTTCGCGTGGAAGACGTCGCGCAACGCATCAAGGAGGAGTACAAGAAAGACGTTGCTGTCATCTTCAGCGACAACAACGCCGAAGAGATGGTCCTTCGCATCCGAGTCATCCGCCAGGATGACGATAAGGACGAGGATGGGAACAAGATCATCGAGGATGACGTGATGCTGAAGCGTCTCGAGAAGCATCTGCTTGACAACTGCACCCTGCGCGGTGTGCCCGGCATCGAGCGTGCGTTCTTGAACAAGGGCACCAAGCTGGTCGTGATGCCAGACGGGTCTCAAATGGCCAACAAGGATACACCCGAATGCATGGAGTGGTATCTCGACACCCAAGGCACGACCCTGAGAGATGTCCTCACCATCGAGGGTGTCGATACGAAGCGGACATACACCAACGACTTGTACCAGATTGTGGATGTGTTCGGCATCGAGGCAGCCCGGTCCGCGCTTATGCAGGAGTTGACCCAGGTCCTTGCCTTCGACGGTTCCTACGTGAACCACCGGCATTTGGCACTGCTCGTCGATGTCATGACCTACCGTGGCAGCATCGCCGCCGTGACACGTCACGGTATCAACCGCGCCGACACTGGTGCTTTGATGCGTTGCTCTTTCGAGGAAACGGTCGAGATTCTGCTCGAGGCTGCCGCCGTCGGTGAGCTCGACGACTGCCGCGGTATCTCGGAGAACGTCATGTTGGGCCAGATGGCGCCCATGGGCACCGGTCACTTCGATGTGCTGCTTGACCCTAAGATGCTCGAGACGGTCATCTCGGATAACTCCCGGATGAATTTGATGGCCGGTATGACGATCAAGGGCACCCAGCTCGAGGGTGCTGCGACGCCATACGACACTGGCTCGCCGATGGCGGATAACGGATACCTGGGCAGCTACTCCCCAACCATGGGTAACTTCTCGCCCATCCAGGGTGCCGGGTCCGACAGCCCCAACGGTTTCGGGACCGAGTACGGCGGCGGGTTCGGCTCGAGCACCGTCAATCCTTACGCGACGAGCCCGCGTGCGACCAGCCCCTTCTCCACCTCGCCGACGTCGCCCTTCAGCTACGGAGGTGGCTACTCGCCAACGTCGCCCGCCGGGTATTCGCCGACGTCGCCTCTTCTCGACGCCGGGGGCCGGTACGCGTCGAGCCCGCAGTTCAGCCCCTCGTCGCCGTCCTTCTCGCCGACCTCGCCCATGTTGCGGCCCGGCAGCCCGACGAGCCCGAACTACAGCCCGACGTCGCCGAGCTACTCGCCCGCATCGCCCGCGGCGACCAGGCACTACTCGCCCACTTCGCCGCAGCAGTTCAACTCGCCCACGTCTCCCTCGTACTCTCCTACGAGTCCGAGCTACAGCCCAGCGTCGCCGAATCTGCATGCCACCTCGCCATCGTACTCGCCGGCGTCACCAACCTGGTCTCCGACATCGCCAGATGCCTACTCCCCGACCAGCCCGTCGTTCCACCGGTCGCCAGGGCAGCAGATGTCGCCGACCAGCCCCGGCTATTCGCCAACGTCGCCATCATTCTCGCCGAGGACTCCGGGCCGCGGCCCGTCTGGAGGCAATGGGGACCAGTAGTAAGTCTTAACTCAGCCCACAGAGAAGCCTGCGACGGCGAGCTAACCCATCCCTCCCAGCTCACCCACTTCTCCGACGAATGATTGAGCTCTCTCATTCTGAGTCAGAGCGAGGCACGTTTGCACGGGGCACAGGTTTGCTTTGGGCGGGGAGCCTCGCAGTTGCCTGAGCATTATTGACAGCTTTGTTTTTTCCCGGGGTCATTTACATATTCGGAGCGATTTGGTTTCTACCTGTTCTATTTTCCCCTCTGCCCCTTATTTCGTCATCTGATAGAGCATCTCATGGCCTGACTCGCTCCTCGAGTCGAAAGCGAGTGGGGGCGGGACTAAAAGGAGGCTCAGCCAGCCCCTCGTGATAAAAAAAACAACATTGCATTTACTTCCATCATACCCAACCCCCCCTTCCCGTCGTCATCAGACATACATACATAGGCAAGATTCGGGGGGGCCATTTCATACTACTGAGGGAGAGAGAAAGTTGATTTATGGCACCAGATTGGTTTACGCATGGCTTATTCCTCCTAGGGGGGGATAGGGGTGGGATGGATTGAGATGAGTGGATGGATGGATGCGCCTGACGAAGGGTGGGAATATGAGATGAGATGGTGGGAGGATTGTAATGATTTGTGTAGTACTTGGCATACCATAGCAATGGGACAAGGAATGAATATTATCAAAACTTGGTGTGGTCATCGGTGTGGCGTGGGCGTGGTGTTGGTGTGTTGGTGGTGAATGGGGAATGGATGGATGGGTGGATGGATGGGGAATGATCTTCGTGCTTGGTGATGTCTTCTTTCTCGGAGGTTTTATGAGTCATGGTGGAGTGGGTGTGAGTGAGTGAGTGTGTCGATATTGTGTTGTGGTTGCTGTGCGGTAAGGTGGAAGGGAAGGGGGGGCAGGTGCGGCGGTGGTGTTGTTGTTGGGCCGGAAGGGGAAAGGGGGAAAAGGGGGAAGGGGGGAGGGTGCGCGCCCCGTCTCCACCGGCCTTTGCGCGCGACGATCGCCCACCGCGTCTGTCGCGTTGTCTCGGTGGGCCGGCTATGGTGTTCACATGTCATTCAACCTTTTGCGGTCGGGGTGTCGATCGTTGTGGATGACGGGGGCGGTTGCCTACCCTGCCTACGTTGGCTGTTTGGGTGTCTGGGTGCCTGGGACCTGGGGCGGTGGGGGGGTAGCTGCTTTGGTCTTTGATAGGGGGCAAGGAAAAGGGGGGAAGGGGGGCGGGAGACGGGGCTGAGGACATCGAGGTCGCAGTTGGGGATCGAGGCTTTCGCGTCGTCGCCCGTTCATGACGGCGTGTGGGGTTGAGTCTTGGCTCTGGACGTGCGAGAGGTACTTAGTGACGATGTACTTGGTTTCTTTGGTGGTGGTGTTGGTAATCAAGGTGTGGGTGGGTATGGCTCGTAATCCACTCCCCATATGGTCCTCCCTCTGCATCCACATCTTGCTGTTTTGGATGTCACTCAACGTAACATCCCGGTCATAGGGCAGAATTGGGCCGCGATCAAGGCACAGCAAGGGCAAGGGACGCAGGGGAACGGGGAACTAGATCGGAGAGGGAGTTCAGGGGGTTGAAACGAGTCTTGGGGCAGGGGGGGGGGGGGGGGGGGGGGGCGGGTGTGTAAGTGCAGATATGGAACCGAGGCGGTGACGCTACTCCAAGGCGTACAGACATGATAGGTGATTGAGAAAAGTGATTGATCATTTTCCCAAATTATCATGAACAGGGAGCACATAGTATGAGGCCTCACGTCTCATTGTATTATGAATACACACAGCAATTGGGCAGCCATGGACTGTCTACTTGGTCCTGTGCCTGGGATCGCGGGTCTTGGCGCATCTATACTGCGACATCGTGGCTTGCCACGGCCAAACCCGAACCAGTCGATCGCCTGCTTCATGTTGACAGGCATGCAATGTCTGAACGCGGCGATAGGGAATGTCTTGGTTTGGAAGTTGGTGGTGACAATGATGAAAAACCTGACGCGGGATGTCGAAGCACGGTGGACCGAATCGGGGCTCAGCCTTAGGCGTTGTCACGGTGGCCGCATTGGGGGCGACCTAGTTCGATGCCCACAGCCTCGTTCCAGAAGGGCGCGGAAGGGAAGGGAGAGTCGAAAAAAACCCAAAGAAAAAGTATCCTAGGTAGATTTAGGCAGTGTACAGGTCATCATCGGCCATCTCCGCCTGCCGTCAAGGTGATGTTGATATTCAACGGCAGTTCCCATGTTAGTCAAGTTGTTGGTGGTTGTCCGGAGGGCGGAGGATGGCAATTCCCATTGGATAGGTTAGAATTCGGGTCTTGAGTGCGGGACCTCACTTATTAATCGCGTTTAGCGGCGGATCAGTTAAGACCACGCCTGGGCGCGCTTGAAGCGAGGCTTTGCTCGGCAAGATCAGCAGATAACGTAATTTGCAGTCGCTCTCCGCAAAATCTGTTACCGGCTGAGCCACTCTGGCTGTGACCGTGATCCTTGTCGTGCACGAGCCAGGTTCCAAGCTGTCGGGTCGAGCGGGTCCAAGCGTTGATTTACACCATACACAGCCCTCGAAACAGCATCGAAGCCAGGCATCGAAGCGGCATGGGACGAGGGAGGATGATCTTTTTGCAGATGTTAGCTCAAAATAAAAATCTGTGCATATTGTTTTCAAAACCTGAGAAGTCACCATGGCACTGCCTCGTACCCCGACAGATGTACTTGGTACATGTACATGTACCCCCTTCCATCATGGTACCTCGTTAGTAGAGTGTACACTTCAGGAGCCAGCCTAAGTTGGGAAGGTTGTCAAGCTCCCATCGGTTCCGGTTTTCTCGGTTCCGCCCGTGCCGGCGGGAAGGGTCCCCGCCGCCGATTCCGAGCGGTTTAGGCAGTCCCCGCTGACTTCCCGACGGGGAAGTGCTGTTGGTGACACGGTCGAACGGCGGCATTAGGGTGTAATAGACCCGAACAGGATTTTCGCAACCGCCGTACCCTACTGGCAGTTCCGTCCTCCATGGCATCATGGCATTTAGGCAGTGAAATGACGGGAGGTTGCTCTTGCACGAGATGATCGCGCCCTAGGCCAGGGACGACGTGCATCTCCCATGCGGGAACCTCGGGTTGTTGGCTGGCTGCAGCGGCCATCTTTGCTGCTTCTCAGGTCCCATTGGTCGTTAACAGTCGAGTCACCCTAGTCTTCCGCGCTTAACAATCGGACTACCAGGCGGGCATCTCCCATCGAGCCAGTCATGTCCTCTGGAACCACGGTGACGATCCGGGTGTTGAATGGGGGTGGTGTAGGGGGATGCCTCGACATTGGCTGTCGGTGCCAAAGATGCGTGCTGTTGGTTCACCTTGCGGAGGCAGCTGCCGCGTGGTTCTTTTGGTGTCGGGCTCGGCGTTCGGTGGGCTGACCGGCGCGCACGAGAGCTTGGTATAGCTCTTGTACCTCGTGTTCAGGATGAGGAAATCAAGACCACAGCAGCTAACAATTTCCCACGAGATGGATGAACTGGAATTTCCCCCATTGGGCCCTGTCCTCGAGTTGTTGTCCCCCCTGTCGCCGCTAGTGGCGTGGCGTGGTATGAACCGAAGCGGGTGCAGGTCGTCGTCAACCGGGCAGAGCTCCTTTCCTTTCCTGGCATCTCGGTGTGGCCCGCGTCGTTCCTGCGCTTAGACAGCCCTACCGTTATCTCGGCTCTCAGCAGTGTCGAGCATCTGAGAGCTAAGTGGTCTGTGGGTTCACTGATCCATCCACTTCTCGTTTTCGGTTCGACGATGATGCGATGCTCCGTTGTGCTCAGTGACGACGGTCAAGACAAGACCATTGCTACTGTTTCTAGAGTCTAAATGTTGAGTCTAACGAAGCCTTTGTAGGGACGTATCCTCGAGGGATCTCGTGTCATATGTGGGGGGCCTCACTAGAGGAAGTGGAAGGCTAGGGTCGAACGAATCAGCAAGGTAGACTGTCAGAAACCGGTCATGAAACAGCAAACAAAAGCCACCGCTTCTGGCATGGGTTGCAATATGCAATCGACACCCCTTCTTCCGTTCTTTGCTAGAGAGTTTGCAGGCGAGGACCCCTTGCCTCCGACTTGTGGGTCGGCTCTGATTGGCAGGGGAGTGCGACTCTAAGCGCGATGCAGATGCACCTGCTGTGACACAATTACAGCGCAGCTCGGTCGCCGTGACGGCATCTGCAAAGATCGAGTTTATTCTTCCGGGCTCCAATGGAGATGAATGTGTGTGTATGTGTGGGTGGGTGGGTGGTATGGTGTCTTCTCCCCTCGGCGTTCATTATCAAGTCGTCTTCTGCCGGCCGGCCCCGCCTGTTCGGCGACCTACTCGCCCCAGCCGCCTGAAGCGCACCCGATATTTTGAGATGCTTCTCATATTTGCCTTCTGGCCACTCTGAGTGGACCGTTGACCGATTCGCCTCCGGGTGAGGATGCGGCGCGGCCCTGCAGAGTGCCGAACGGGCCAAACCGAGTCCAATGAATGTGAGGATTGGTCGAGTTGGATGGAGACAATGGCTTTCTCTGTTCCCAGTCGCGAGATGAGGAGTCGACTCAAATTCCCTTCCACCCTGCCTGCCTGTTGCCGGGGTGAATTGTGCCTCAAGTTCCTTCGACTTGATTATGGGCAGCGAGGCAGTCGCCCTCGGGCTAAAAAAAGCAGAACTTTAAGTAAAGAAAGATAAGGAATCAAGTAAGAATAAATGAATGAATGGAAGCGCCGAAAAAAAGAAAGAAAAAAAAGTTGAATAAATGGATCTTCTTTGCCTTCTGGATGGCTTCGTTTCGTTCAAAACAGTCGAGGTTTGCCCGGTCGACAGAAATTCAAGAGAAAACCCACTTTTTGGCCCCTGTTCCATGTTGCGAGCCCTGGTTTTATGGCCCACTCTTTCTGTGGAGGGCGATGATAAGCTTCCAGGGTTGCGATCCTTCCCGCTTTGGGCGATGGGGTTGCGCACGGGCTCTACAAGTGGAAGGGGTGCCTTCCCTTGCAGACGCCCCCCTCCATTGGGGCTCATGTGACAAATTCCTGCTGCGTCCTCCCCGCGGCCATGCCATCCATGTTTGGGGCTGCCATGCGCGCGAACACTAACGCGCGCCCTGTCTGCTGCAGTGGCCGCTGTCCTGGCCTGCCCGGCTGTGGACAATGCAAGCCAGCCAGCCAACAGAGGAAAAATTGACAATCTGTTTCTCTCGATTCCACGCTCTGCCGCCGCCGTACTTGTACGAAAGGCGGTGTCCTAGCATGACAAACCGCAGACGGAACCGAGACCTTTTCTGCTTCTTGTCGTTGGGGGATAGAATTAGAGAGCGGCTTGCGGCTTCTCCACGTGTCGCTCCCATGGGCAAGCGCTGGCGCAGCTGTGTCAAACAGCAGCGGACCAAGATTGCGCCGTGACATCCGTCGGAACTGATTCCCACTGTCAAGGCTGCACTGTCAACGGTTGACAATCAACGGAACGGCACCTGGAAAATCCCTCCGTCATCGCACAGGGAGGGGGGTCCCTGCCACCTGCGACGGAGCCCTCACCAATCGGTCCGCTGCCCGAAAGGTGACGCCCGGTTCTTGACCGTCTTCCTCGCGTAGCTTGGGATCGTGATCCAATAGTATCAGGTCGGGATCGCGGCCAAGGCAGGTGATTGATCATGTGTGTGTTTGGATGGGTGGAGCGGAAAACGCTGGGGGAGTGGGGGGAACGAGAGACAGTTGAGATTTAGTTTAGCACCCGGTGCAAAAGATAATCCCGTAAACTATGTAACAGAAAATCCACATCGAGAAGGGAACATCGGCCTCCATACAGACACACAAACATCCGACACCTAGGCAAAAAAGAAAAAGAGAGAGAAATGTACAGAAAATTGCCCGTTGCCCGTTCCCTTCGACAGCATTCCCACGTTGTCCCCTTGTCTGTTGTTCACCCGGAATCCAAAAGTCTTGTCAACCCCCCTGCCTCTAAGCCGGACGGCCACCCGCTTCGCTCGCGTGGTCGCGTGGTCGACGGTAAAAAGAGGCAGGGAGGTAGCGGTTGTTTTTGTAAAAGTCGGTAACTGTTTAGCGTGTTTTGTTAGGACGGTGGCTCATGGACCGGAACGCCAAAGACATACCACAGGAGCAAACGCTTATCCGTGACTCCAGCCAGGAGCCCACGGCTGCTAGTGGGAGTAGGCATCGCAGACGCCGTCGTGGTAGTCGTCGACAACCTGGGGGCTACCATCCGGGCAGTATCCCCGGGCTGCGCAGGTGGCGCATGGCACCAGTTCCTCGCGGACGTGGCTGCAAGAGGTGTAGTGGAACCTGTAGACGGTGCACATTGTGGATGGTGGGAGGCTTTTCGTCCTTGTAATGTTCGGAAGAAGGTATGGGGTTGTTTGCCGTGCTGGTAGGCAAGAGCGAAGAGATGGTTTTGGTCGGAAGGTAAGAGGGCTGAAGGTGCTCAGGGAGTGCTGCTTGAGTCTGCGTTGTTGGAGGTGAGGATGGGATGAGGATATTTCGAGAGGTTAGACGGGAGTCGACCGCTCCCTTTATACTTGTTTCGGGAGAATATGGGCTTGCCCTCTGTCACAATGATGGTTTGGCCGCTCGCCGTATGATCCCCAGGCAATGTCTGTTGGTAGTTGCCTTTCCACTGAGGATGGGGCGAGGCAAATTGAGTCGGGTTGAGAGCCGTTGGTTGACGGGTGTGACTGTCGTCCAGAGAATCTCCAAGTAGGGAATGTAACGATCCACACTCACGAGCAGATGTACAGAGCGTGTATCCCGGGCTGCGGGGGTACTTACTTACCTACCCGGCTGCGGCTCGGGAGACTAGGGAGCAGGTGTGGGCCGATCCGGGAGCGACAGCTGACAAGGGGGCAGCACAGAGGGAGGCCGTATTGGACCTATCACGTCGGTAGAGCCCTCACCTTCGAGGCCTGGTTGGGGTAGACGCGGGAGCACACCCCACCGCGGTATGTACACTACATTGCCCGTCCAGTGGTCAGCACCAACTATAGGAAAGGACATTGCCGTTGTGTAGTTTCTGCCGGGGATAGGAGTCGCAAGGAACCCCGGTACTAGCCCTACACTGCGCCGCGATGATGCTGTCCTTCATCTCGGTGGGGAGGGTGGGGGGGCAAGCCGTCGGTCAATGGCGGAACCGATCTGACCTTGCTGCGTCACGAACCCTTCTGTTGGGTGGCCGAGCAGAGTGACCCAGACGTTGCCAAGAGGACGGGGGAAGTAGCAGACATGGGTACCTCGCGGATAGGGGTATAGGGGAGCGAGGCACGGAAATGGGAATAGCTGCAGCAGTTCGTCGAGGAGGTGACGGGCCGCCCACCTTGCAGCTATCCCCCTCAGGCTCCAGAGGCGAAGCATATGACGAACATGAGTACAAGGCGCCAGCGAACAAGGGACTTGGCAGACGGGAACTGGCGACTCCCCAAGCAAGTCGAGCTGCAGCACAGCATGCCGGTGACATCAAGGGATCAGCTAACCGAAACCGGGTCGAGGGACTTCCCACCTCTGCCTTACGATCGCACACTGGGAAAACTGGAAACGCACCAGGGAAAAGATAGGAGACTTACCGTCAAGGGAGCCGTTCCGGCCGAACGTGAGAGAGGACTGAAGGGCCGGGAGCTACTCGAGGTGTCCAGTGGTCTCGAGAATACAGGGCGCAGGAATAACTGCCCGAGGCTGATGGGACGGCCACATATCATTGACCAACAACTCCACATTCAAGGCCATCGAGAGGAGCAGCATCGTCCACCAACACAGACGACTTGTCGAACAATGCAGCGAGAGCTAGTACCGACGTGGTATAGTAGCAGTTTCCATATTTGAGACAGCTCCACCGCGGACGACGGAGGGACTCCCCGTTAGGCCTTGATCCGATAAAGCATGGGGGTGAACTGCATCGGCAACGAGAAAACCCTCGAGAACAAACAAACGACAAGGAAAATGCTGGAAGGGGCCTTGGTACCTCCACCCCCCTGCTGTAAAACCCGTGGACTTCTGGCGGCGTTATGTCCTCACAAATTCTCAAGGCAGGCCCGCAGTGACTTGGAGAATGCATGAGGAAGGAACGCGAGACTCAGGTATGTAGCATGGAAGGAACAGCCACCGTTTCTATGAAGCAACTTCGTCGAAGATTTGAGTGACCCCCCTGTCTGAAGCTGCTTGAGCCTCAGTTCGACCAATCAGCCGCCAAATTCTGCATTCGAAGCTGCCGATTCTGTCCTCCTGTGCCTGCCTACTTAGCCCCACTTGACGCATGGCACGCAGCTGTTCGGCAGGAAGGGGCCCTCTCTTTTCCCCATCCCCCTGTCTTGGAAGCCGGCGGTGCTGCGAAAACCCCGATTTCTCTTTTCAGAACCACCTGCCAACATGCCAGCTCTGATGATCGTGCAGCACTTGGCATGACCCGTCGTCACTCCTCCGGCGCCGCTCCGGGGCTCGGATCCGGCCGGCGGGAGTCGATAGGTCCAGTCTTACTCTCCCCCGCCTTCCTTCGGTTCCGATTGCGCAATGTGGTCAGCCGCCCGCTTTTGACAAAGTTCGATGTATCAAATACCTGAGATACTGGTAACTTTGATGAACAATGGAGTTTCGGTATTGCCGCAGTTCCAGAATGCCTCGTGCGGCCCATTCTGCGGCCATTTTGCCCGATCTTCCTTGTCGTCGGTGCAACAGAAGTCGCTAGGCCGGCTTTTCTGGCCGACGCCATCGGCACAGCCCTGCTCTCCTTTTTTTGAACGGCGGAGTGGGGCTACCGGAAGCTCAACCTCAAACTCGACCCAAGACGGCCATCACGGTCCATGTCCATCGGCCTCCCGCTGCGTATCCCCCTTTCGCCATTCGTCTTTTTACGTGCCCTCGACGAGAAGTGTGGATATTGGCCTGAGGCCTGCGATGGTGTTGATCTGAAACTCCTTGCTCGGGAATTCCATCCTGGTCCGGTGATAGGGCCATAGCCCACCATGTAGGCCTGTCTATCACCCGAACTCCAATCTCCGTACCAAACTGACCAGCCGTTAACGACACGCAAAGTGGATGGCAGCAGTTCCATTGCCAAGGCTGAGTGAAGATGGAAAACACCCACTTCACGCCTTAACTTATTCACGACGGCGGGCTGCCCCAAACGGGACGCGGAATGGCCTTCGGCAATGACAAGAAATCGAGCTCCAGCACACCTACCGAGGCTTTTGAGTCGCATATTACACCGAGTACACGATAACTCCTGACTGTGCCTGCGAGGTGTGTTGCGTTTTTTTCTTGGGGTAAGGGGGAGGGGGACTTCTCGCGCCCCTCGCCGCCTGTGCGAAGCCAGCGGCCCGGTGGCAGACGCCCCAACGACCTCGAAAGTGCAACCCCCTAATATTGTCCCACGGTTCCAGATTGGTCATCGCCAACGGTTCTCCGCGGCTGCGCCTGTATGAGAGTTCTGGCGCCGTTTCCATTGACAAGAGGGCCCGCATCCATTGGATCGTACCCTGGGCAATGACACGACACACCCGGAGACGCAAAGAATAAAGAAACGATCTTGGGGGCGGTTAAAGACGCGAACCGACCCGATCTTTGTCGTTGGGCCGCAGGGAATATGCCATCGTTTCCGCGACTATGCTGTGACGGTGGCGACAGTTGCGTGTGCCTACCAATCAGGGCAGAATTTAAGCGCCTGGCGGCGTCAAAGCTCGGTAAGCGTTCCCGAATACCACGCAAGGACGACGACATTAATCTCATCCTCATCTACCAGGCCGAATATTATAGGCGTTGGTTTTCAGATGTGCTCGGTGGGGTTGACCTTCGCTCCTACGCATCCCTAATAGCGGCACCCAACCGGCCTGTCGACCATCTCGGTGAGTCCGACCACCCGGAATGCAGTCCCAGTTTTGCGTCGCTCGGCTGACCTCCCCAAGGGCGTGATGGATACCCAGCGTCTTGGCGGTTCTTCTCGATGTTTGCTTTGTGTTCTTTCGGCGTGAGGTCCCCACCACCTGCATACCCTCGTGAACAGGCCCAGCTGCACCTGGCCCGAGACCCCCCTGGGCCGCGTGTCTTCATGCAGGTGCTCTGTTACGGTTGGCGGAGGAGCGATACGGTCGATGCTGGGAACTCCGAGGACGCCACTCTCGACGGAACCATGTGCCTCCTCATCTCGTCCCGGCATATGGCGTCGATATCACCAACAGATACCCTAGCTCGACAGACACCGATCATCGGCTTGTTACGAGCTTGGGGGGGATTTCCAACACGGAGACCTTGCGCCGCGTTCAGCCTTGCCTCTACCATGCTATCGCGGACCAATGTCCAAACTAGGCATGTCCTTCAAGCAGGCAAGTATCGCCAAGTTCCTTGTCTAGAAAGTGTACAAACCTCATACCAACCCCCCTTTCGCCTGCACGCCGGCGTTGGTTGCTCGTTGGGGCGCACAGCAACAACCATGCAGGCAACGAATAGCACTACTGCATATGCTAGCTCCGTGGGGACACCAAGCGGCTGTTCAGCGCTGTGTGCTGAGCCCCTCACGGAGTGTCCCTCCCTCGCCGAGCTGAGATCGCCGTTATTAGCATGGGTTGTTCAAGGACTGCAGACCCCACGTCCTTGCTTTATCGCGTGTAGCCTTACGGCCGGTACCTTCGCGGCTTGACTTCTGTGCTTGTTCATTCGGACGAGGGACGAAGCCGCAGAGGGCTTCAAGCGAATTCTGCAGACAATCCGGCAGAGCCACCAGTCACCACTGCCATACCAAGGTGCTATTCTGCTGCTAGCAGAGAGCCTTGGGTTTCAGTGTACATACCTCTCAACTGCAAGTGCTGTTTTAGGAGGTTTCGGCAAGTGTCGAGCGTTTAAGGTCTGGCGTCGAAGACGAGGAAGCCGTGATTGCGTTACCCCAATCAGCTTTACAGAACAACTCATCGTGAAACGTCAAAGTCGGATACTTCTGGATCGGGGCGAAGGGAAACATCCGTACTTATTGAGGACAGTTCACTAGTCGCACCAACTTTCCTAAGTTGGGTCAAATGGTGGACAGTGACTGCTCGATGACCCTGAGAGCAGAACTGTCGTTCCGGATGACGAAGCCAATGTATAGAGTAGAGTGTTTACCCAGTGGTAGCACGAATAGGGGACGAGATACTTCGTTGGCACGAATCTTCAAGTCCTTTCCCTTATGGCCGCGATGATCGGGTCACGACGGTCGGGCCACTCTTTGTTGGGACCGGCGCATCAGCGCAGTCCGGCTAGCTTCGGATTCATATTCAGCCATCGTCGGCTCATCGCAACAAACCAAACACCAACTAGCTTGCAAGCATTGTTGTGCATCGTGTGCATCCTGTGCATCCTGTGCATCGTGCAAGACGCGTTGATGCAGCGGCGAACAGAAACGGCCAATCCAAGCGATGGACTCACGGCGTCAGCGAGAACCGAGATGCAGGGACTGGACATCAACGGTATCAGGCACACGGCAGTTGAAAGCTGACCCGCGCCCCGCAGCCTCCCGACGTCAGTTGACAGCCGCGATGTTCCCGAGATATCTTCGCGAACTTACCGGGGTCCAATCAACGGCGGCCGAGGCCCGACGTCATGGGTACCGCAGTGAACCGGGACGGCCCAGGTACATACAGAGCCGCGCGGTACTCCACATGGATGCTGCTTGTATCAGATTTAACTAATAGTTTATCTCAACTTTTTACCTGCATCATCCCGCCCCGATCTATGCGCGTTCCTGTCACGTTTCCTCCCTTGTTTTCACCCGCGCTTTCCCTTCCGAGTTGACCGACACAAGGAGCGCATAACCAAGGCATTGTTATGCTCGGGTTATGAAAGACGCCGACTTTCGGATTTCAGACCAATTGGCATCCCACGTGCGGCGGTCGCTCGCCCAGAAATGCTGGGTCTCCTTCTCACCGTCAAATCCAATCATGAGAAGGCGGGGCTTGCTGGGGTTTTCGGATCAGACGCGCCCGCCGTGTGAAACAAGTGCGCCGTGCCGTCCGTTCTGATGGAATTGCGGAAGGTTATCATGTGAGCATTGTTGCGGAGCACAAAGGAAGGAGCCAGCAGGGCAGGGGGGGATAGTCTCCGAGTAAGTGTATAAAATCCCCTTCACCCACCCCGAACTGACCTCCTTCTACTTTCTTTTCCCATCCACCCCTTCCCCCACCAAATCCAAACCTCGACCACCCAAACCAATACCAGACATCCGCTTTTCAGCCATCATTTCTGCTCTCTGCCACCCCACGAGCACCGAAGGCGACTTAGATTACAAATAAACCAAGAAAAATGTCGACCCCGACCACCGAGGAGCTCCGCCAGCTGAGCGAGCAGGCAGTCGAGTTTACCCCCCAGATCACTCAGCGCCGGCCCTCGACCTTCCTGTCCCTGGCTCCCAGCACATCAGAGTCGTATCCTCGCACCCCGCGGGTCAAGCAACCACTTACCGCCGAGGCCCTCACCGACGCTGCGCAGCAGCAGCAAGCCAGTGCGGCCACCGAGGAGGAGCTGGCCAAGCGCCGCACTTCCAGCCTGAGCAGCGATGCGTCCAAGTTCCGTTTCCTGAAGCTCGGACCCGTCCACTGGGGTGAGCACCAGGGCGAGAACGACACCGACTTCCACGAGGTTGCCGTCGAGTAAACCGTCCATATCACACCACCGCCTCATCTCATCATCTACGGCACTGCGCCCGGCCCTTCCTTTCATTTCGCCTCTTCTTTCGGATGCTTTACGCCCGATATCACGATACCATGAGCCAAAAATAAGACGTTTACCTTTTTTCTTCTGCTCGTTCGATTCTTGAGATTTGTTGTTTTATGCCCAACTCTGATTATGAATGTTGGTGTGTCGGGGCCTGATTGCGCAACGGTGTCCACTCAACATGGCCAACTCAGCGAGCGCCCGCCCCCTCATCCGAATGATTTACGTATCAATTTCTCGCACTCGGTATTCTTGGTTGGAGTCGTGTCGAGGACGGAAATGGTGGGGGGATTAAGCTAAACTCCGAACCGGGGGTCTGGCTTAGCCTGTTTCTGTTACACGACGGATTCACGAGAGGGTGTGGGGGGAGGAACGGAATTTGGGGGGGGGGGGGGGGGGGAAGAGGAGAGTGAGAATGTTGCCTTTTGCCACGAGCTAGCTGGACGCTGGGTCGGAATGGAGAATGAAAAGTGTCTTCCCTCGCCGAAAATTTCCAACTAGCGTGCATGTAGGATGGTGTGCTCGCCGACATGATGAATTTGTTGGAGTTTCACGCAATCAGATGGTCCTCACTGGTCCGGAACCTCTGGGTTTCCCCTCCAACGCGACCAATGCCCTCCCCTGGAGCCATGCATGGCGCTTCGCGGAAGTGCGGAGTCTTCATGCATGCTGCATGCATGGCCAGCTTACTTTCGACGGGCAGCGAGAGAGAGAAGAGTGGCGGGGGTTTATTCCCCTTCGGCGTCCGCTGCTTTTGCTTCGGTCTGTTTCAACGTCGGCGTTTTGCCCCCCCCCCCCCCTGTGAGGTTGGACGATCGACACTTCTCCGGTGGCATTAAAGGCATCGACGGATGCAGGCCAAGGCGGCAGGCGACAGGCGACAAGGGGCGTTGTCATTGCACAAATCCCATCTTTCTTGTGCGGGGGTATGAAGGGCCCGGTCGGGGAGGATGAAGATGGAAGGGAAGCGAATCTGACAGACAGAGAGAGCGAGCTCGCGTAATCAACTAGGCATGGCGGTCTTGGGGTCTTGGTAGCAATTTCTCCATACTGACTGACCCTTGAGCCCCCTTTGGGGCTTCTGTGGACTCAAGCAATTAACGTTAGCCTCCATAATTACTTTATTATCGGTTGTGTGGAGGTAACGTCGTCTTCTCCTGGAGCTAGCGAGCTGAGAGAGCTTAGCCCCAACTCTTGTGTCTCTTGCCAAGCCAGACAACCTCCACCCTTATTGCACAAAGCAACCCACCCACTCAGACAACACAACCCCCAGTTAGCGGTGTTTCCGAAGCTGAGTTGTCTTGACACGTTCCGCAGCTCTGGCGGTGTGTTTTTTGTTCTCGAGTTTCGAACTTCAACCCCATCCACCGCCCGTCGACTTGATATCAAGACACAGCCTCCCCCCCTTAAGATCTACACCAAAGAGATCTCGCCCAGACCTGAATCTGTCCCACTTGCCCCAGCTGGCTCGGTAGATCTTGATCATCGGCATGGTCCCGTCTTGGCGGAAAGCTCGGCAACGCCGCCGCCCAATTGGCCTTTTCCTTCGCTGGCAATCTCTCGTTTGTGGACGCTTGGCGGCCGCCCCTTCAACTATCAGGGTGTTTTGCTGGACGACGACGAGAGGAGCCAAGCCGCGGGGATTGTCACTCAAACGACCTTGATGTTGAACTCGGCCGCGTCGCCAGCGCAGACAACATCCACCAGCCTGCCTATGTCCACCTCCACAAACCCATCCCCCCACCCCCCCTCCTCCTGCTCCCGCCGTACGGCAGCAGCTGCACCAGCAGCAGCAGCCGGAGAAAGAGAGAGAGAAAGAGGAAGAGAAAGAGGAAGAGACGAAGAACCGCCGCCCCCCATCATCGCACAGCAGGCCGTCCCCGTCCCAGGAGTCGTCCCCCCCACATCCACATCCACATCCACATCCGCATCCCCCCCCTCCAACAACCCCCCAGCACCCACCGGAGGGGGGTCCTGCTGCCGCTGGCAGTAATGAAACCGACACCAGAACCGCGCATGCCTCGCCCTCAGCACCCGCAACCCCACCACCTCCAGCCCGGGGTCCGCCAGCAGCACCAGCAGCGCGCGCAGCGCCGGATTCCCCTCGTGATCCGCGCGCGCCATCCAGCTCCCCCCCTCGCGCGCCATCACCCACCCCGAACGTAGCGCCGTCACCGGGGGAGGACCGACCACGTCCACGCGCACGCGCCGCAGCGCCCCGTCTAACACCATCCCCTCGAGCGCCGGCACCACCACGTCCTGGACCTGGGCGCCGAAGCGGCGCACCGCGACCACGGCGGCGCGGATCCGCCGCCGCGCGCCCGCTGTTTCCGGGTGGGTGAGCAGGCGGAGGAGGGAGTCCGTGCCCGGGTCGCTGCTACCGCTGCTACCGCTACCCGAAGGGGTGGTTTGCTGGCGGCGATGGTGGCGGGTACGGGTGCGCTTGCGGCCTGAGGAGGAGGGGGCGAGGAAGGAGAGGTGGAAGGTGTTGCGGGCGTAGTAGAGGTCGCCGGCCTCGCGGTGGAGGACGGGGGAGGCGAGGAAGAGGTTGGTGGGGGGGTCGGCGTAGTCTCCGTCTTCGTCTTCGTAGTCTTGGTTGTTGTCGTGCTCGCCCCCCTCCGATGAGCCGTTGCCTGCTGCACGGTTGTGATTTGTTGTGCCGTCGTGGTGGATATGCCGTGTAACGCCGGCAGCGCCGCGGCGCAGGGCCACGCTCCTCCCGTCGGAGCCACCGCCGACCAGGATGCCCGCGGGGAAGACGCAGATGTGTGAAAGGATCAGCTCGCGGAGTTCGGGCGGGAGATCGAAAAAGTATTCGAACTTGTTATTTTGAGGCGCCATTTGGGTTCGTTGTGTAGTTTCAAGACGAATATCGGCGGGCGCCGATATGTTTTGAGTTGCGACACTTCGTACAGCTTACCTAGTTCGGTAGTTGAGTCAGAGGCTAACCAGTGTATGAGTGAGGATCATTGGTGTCGGTGCCCTGAGTTGAGTGGTGTTTTCCGGGGTTCCGGCCCACCTCCCCAACGGAACAATGTGGGTCCACCGGCCTCAAGATCAGGAAGGTCCGAGATATTTAACACTTCCCTCTTCTGCTTGAAAGGGGGGTGGAACTCTTCGATAACTCATTTCTTTTTGTTTGCCATTGCTTCCCTTTTCTCCTTCTCCTTTTAGGGTGGCAAGAGTTCGCCACGGTTCGGAGCTGCCGACTGCCTCTTCACCTCAGGGGAGGACAATACCAAGGTCAACGAACTCCCTACCTTTCCCTTTGTGTGTGTTCCCACCAAGTGTTTTCATACGATTTGATTAACCTTAAGCCTACATGCAATGCGCTAAAGGAAATATCGGTCATGAGAATCAAGAGGAAAAGTCCCAATCGTCAGCAATCTTTATAGATATCCCCCTGCCCGAAAAGGCCCCGCAGCGAAACGCAGCTCAAAGCCAGATCCCTCTAACTTTTGTGTCCCGTTTCATGAATCAAGATGAAGACGCCTCCCATCATACGGCGGCCCTGCCGTCCCGCCGGTTGCTCAATAGCTCCAGACCGTGGCTTCATAATCCCGTCCGATACGCCCTGTATCTATCTGGTAAAGGCCAATCCATCCATCCATCGTCAAGTCATTTACCGCGAGGACATGGCCTTGGTAACCAGCCTCTTAAGCGCAAGCTCCTTCTTCTTGAGGTCATCGGCCGACGAGTCGTCGATCTCGAGCTGGCCCATGGCGTCGCTCAGCGCCTGCTCAATCTTGTCCTTCTGGCCGCGCTTGAGCTTGAGCGAGAGCGTCGGGTCAGAGACAATCTCCTCAACACGCGAGATGTACGACTCGAGCTGCTGCTTGGCCTCGAAGCGCTTGCTGAAAGCCTCATCCTTGGTCTTGAACTTCTCGGCATCTGTGCTCCTGTTAGATATCTGGTTTTCTCGTTATACGTCACTGTGGGGGTACATACCGTTGATCATGCTCTCAATCTCGCCCGACGAAAGCTTGCCGACAGAGTTGGAGATGGTGATGTTGGCGCTGCGGCCCGAGGTCTTCTCAGTGGCGGTGACCTTGAGGATACCGTTGACGTCGACCTCAAAGACGACCTCGAGGACGGGCTCGCCAGCCTTCATGGGAGGAATGGGAGCAAGGGTGAATTCACCCAGAGAGGTGTTGTCCTCGCAGTTGACACGCTCACCCTGGAACACGGGGAACTGAACCGTCTGCTGGTTGTCGGCAACGGTGGTGAATGTCCTCTTCTTGATGGTGGGGACGGTCTGGCCACGGGAAACGACGGGGGCGAAGATGTTGCCCTCCATGGCAACACCGAGGGAGAGGGGAACGACATCCAGGAGGAGGAGGTCAGAGGTGTCGGCCGAGGTGGCCTTGCCGGAGAGGATACCGGCCTGGACGGCGGCACCGTAGGCAACGGCCTCGTCGGGGTTGATGCTCTTCTCGAGCTTCTTGCCGTTGAAGAACTCGCTGAGGAGCTTCTGGATACGGGGGATACGGGTGGAACCACCGACAAGGACGATCTCGTCGACCGCGCTCTTCTCGATGTTGGCGTCCTTGAGGACCTGGGCAACAGGCTCGAGGGTGCCGGAGAAGGCCTTGGTGTTCAGGTCCTCAAAACGAGCACGAGTGATCTGCATGTTCAAGTCCTTGCCGTCGAAGAGAGAGTCGATCTCGATGGTGGTCTGGGCACCGCTGGACAGAGTACGCTTGGCACGCTCGCAAGCAGTCCTCAGTCTCCGGAGAGCGCGGGCATCACCCGAGAGGCTGTCCAAAATGTCAGCTATTCCGTTTCCATCTATGACATGTCGGGGGCAGTTTCGGGGCGCACAGTGGCCCCCCAAGACCATTGGTAAAGGGCGGCACTTACTCGGACTGGGTCTTGCGTGTGAATTCCTTCTTGCAGTGCTCGAGGAGGTTGGTGTCGAAATCCTGGCCACCAAGATGGGTGTCACCAGCGGTAGCCTTGACGGTGAAGACACCGCCCTGGATGTTCAGGAGCGACACATCGAAAGTGCCACCACCCAGATCGTAGATAAGGACGTTGCGCTCCTTGTCGGACTTGCCAGAGCCAAGACCGTAGGCAATGGCGGCGGCGGTAGGCTCGTTGATGATACGGAGGACGTTCATGCCAGAGATGGCACCGGCATCCTTGGTGGCCTGACGCTGGTTGTCGTTGAAGTAAGCCGGGACGGTGATGACGGCCTTCTCAACCTTCTTGCCAAGCTTGACCTCGGCAATATCCTTCATCTGTTTCGTAGCACGTCAGTGTTTGGCCGGGGTTTTACGGCTTGCGAGAGTTACGAACCTTGTTCAGGACCATGGCGGAGATCTCCTGGGGGGAGAAAGTGTGGGTGCTGCCGAGGTACTCGACCTCGACCTTGGGGTTGCCGTTGCCATCGTCAACGACCTTGAAGGGCCATGACTCCATGTCCTTCTTGACAGTGGGGTCTTCGAAGCGGCGACCGATCAGACGCCTGGAAGAGAGATGATGGTTAGCGAACCGCTCGTAATCCGTCGACACACCCAAGGGAGCCATACTTGACATCGAACACGGTGTTCACGGGGTTCATGGCGGCCTGGTTCTTGGCCGCCTCACCAATCAGGCGCTCGTCCTCAGTGAAGGAGACGAACGAGGGCGTGGTGAAGCTACCCTGCTCGTTGGCGATAATCTCGACATTGGTACCTTCGTACGTGGCAACGCAAGAGTAGGTTGTGCCTGCATATCGCAAATGTCTGTTAGCAGTCGCACTCAATTTTGGTGGCCCAGGGCAGCGATCTTCTCGATCGAGCCGACAGAGCCAACCGAGAGAAGAACAAAGCGGGGAGCATTACCGAGATCGATGCCAATGGCACCATCATAGACTTCGTCCGCCATTTTTGAAGATTGGTGTTTTTGAGGGAGTCTTGAGGGTTGGGCAGAATCTGGCGCGCGAGGAGGGAAAGACCGATTCGACGTGGGGCAGACTGGACGGCCTTTAAATTTTGAAATTTTCAAATGCGGTGCTTGAACTTTTTCTTCTCCGCCCGCCTGCCCGCCTCTTTGCCCCGCCAGTCCCACACGCATCCGAAACTTTCTTATCTGCCCCTCCCCGTGACGATACACGTGACTTGGTGGCGGGGAGACCCTGGCTGCCTGGGCTTTCCAAACCGCTCGCCAACGAAAAACCGGGGCATGTGTTGGCGAGGCGCTTGCGACGGCGGCTGATTGTGCGACTGGCGGATTTCTGCTTGACCTGACCAAAGTTTGCGATCGCATACTGACTCTCTCCGCCCACACCAAACCCTTTCTTCACAAGACGACATTGCCTGGAGCACGGTCGTTCTTTCCATTCACAAAAGTTTGAGCTGCAGTTGCCTACCGCCGATTAATCGAGCCTTCCATCTCGCGACCCTTGCACCTGACTCTATCCGCATTTTCTGCGAAAACCCGTTGCAGCCTCAATCTTCGCAAAGCTGCTCCCTGTGGCCCACCCGATCCATCCCAACTAGCCGATCCTCGACTTAAACCGCTCGCTTGTCTCACCGAACGCCTCACCTGTCTACATCTCAAAATTTCCAACATGGCGGAGCAAGTTGATCTCACCACCATCCCCATCTCGCCCGATGGTGGGAACAACCCCGAGGGTGCCACCAAGGAGACCGCCGAGGACAATGACAAGACCGTCACCGTCTTCCACGATAAGGATAACTTCAATGTCAAGCATCCTCTCTCAAGTCGGTGGACTCTCTGGTTCACCAAGCCGGCCAGCGGAAAGGTTCGACCTGTTGTTCCACTACCCCGCCATGGGTACATTATTCTAACCAACCCCGCGCACAGGGCGACAACTGGAACGACTTGTTGAAGGAGGTCATTACTTTCGAGTCGGTGGAAGAATTCTGGGGCATCTACGTAAGATATCCCACAGTATCCGCGCCTTTTTGTGTGCTGTCTGTCTAACGCGGCAAACAGAACAACATTGCCCCCGTCTCCGAACTTGCCCTCAAGTCGGATTACCACCTCTTCAAGGAGGGCGTGCGGCCAGAGTGGGAGGACCCGCAAAACAAGCATGGCGGCAAGTGGTCGTACCAATTCAAGGAGAAGCGGTCGGTCAACATCGACGAGCTCTGGCTGCACACCATGCTCGGCGCGATTGGCGAGACGCTGGAGGACGAGGAGGATGGCGAGGTGATGGGCGTCGTTGTGAACGTCCGCAAGGCGTTTTTCCGTGTCGGTGTCTGGACCCGCACCACGGGCCGCCACATCCCCGGCCGCGGCGACGGTGACATCGCCGGCGGCAAGGGCCGATCGGGCGAGAAGGGCAAGGAGATCCTGATGTCTATTGGACGTCGGTTCAAGGGCGTCCTCAAGCTGCCGGCCAACGAGATGATCGAGTTCTCGGGCCACACCGACAGCGCCCACAGCGGTAGTACCCGCGCGAAGGCCAAAATGGTGGTTTAAGCATGGATGGTTGTCAGAGATGGCAGTTACAGGCATCATCATGCCTATGCTGCCTACTTAGATTTACCATGAGCGCCCTTGCACACTGCACTTGGCATGGGCGCGGGCCTGGGGACGGTCATGATTATGCTCGGATCACCACATTGGGCCGGTCATCAGAGGATATGAGATATGCCGCAACATCTGCTTCGGCGCGTCGACTGGGGAAACGCAGGGCGCTATGGGTTGGGGCGAATAAGGGTTTGTCTGCGATTCACGGATGGTATTTCACCTGCAACGAGCCTCGCATATCTGCTAGTCACTTTATAAGCAAGGCAATTCTGCCAACACCCAACCAACCCCTATGCTGTTGATCCAATGAGTCCTAGTGACACTCTTCCAAAACCCGTCTTCTAAGTCTAACACTTGTTGTACACTATATGCCCGCCCGCTGAACAAGCGATCTAACAATGATCCTGTGCTCTATCCGTTTGCCGAGGACAAACCAAAAAAGATGCCCCTTCTCCCATCGAATCTTTACCGACTCCAGACAGATCGATACCGACAAATCTCCCATCTAGAGCTCGTCCCCGCTGAACTCGTCCTGGAAGATCTCCTTGACCAACAGCTTCTTGTTGATCTTGCCCATGGCGTTCCGCGGGATGTGCTCCACCACCTTGAGCACCTGGGGGATCTTGTAGCCGGCCAGCCGGCCCTTGAGCGCGCGGCGCATTTCGAGCGGCGACCACCGGCCCTCGGGCACGTGCTCGCGGTCGACGATGACCACGGCGCCGACCTTCTGCCCCCACTTCCCGCTCGGCACCGCCAGCACGGCGACCTCGGCCACCTGCGGCAGCGCCAGCATCTCGCGCTCCACCTCGAGCGCCGACACCTTCTCGCCCCCGCTCTTGATGATGTCGGCGCTGCGCCGGCCCAGGATGAAGTACAGGTCGCCGCGCGCCCAGTCGCGCTGGCTGGGCGAGGTGGAGCGGCCGGCGCCGTCGACGGCGCGGCGCACGGCCACGTCGCCCGTCTTGAACCACTGGCCGCGGGCGTCCTTGGAGTCGACGAACTCCTTGGCCGTCGCCTCGGGGTTGCGCCAGTACTCGGCGAAGATGGTGGCGCCGCGCAGCTGGATCTCGCCGACGCGCTCGCGGCCGTCGCGGTCGCGCTCCGCGCCCCGCTCGATCACCTGGTGCGTGTCCACGTCCACCAGCCGCGCCTCCACCCCGGGCAGCGGCCACCCCACCGCGCCGTCGGCGCGGTCCGCCGTCGCCAGCCCGCAGCTGAGCGCCATCCCCACCTCGGTCATGCCGAAGCGCTCGAGGAGAACGTTGCCGCCGCTTAGGTCTGACCAGGCGCGCTTGGTGGGGGTTGGCAGGGCTGCGGACCCGGAGATGGCGAGCCGCAGGTTGGCGGGGGAGATGGCGGTGCGCGTGGCACTCTGCATGTCCGGCGGGAGAGCCCGGTGGGTGGTGAGCAGGCGGGAGTAGATGGTCGGGACGGCGGTGAAGAAGGTGATCTTCCGGTGTTGGTGGTGCGGGGAATCCGCGTTGTGGGTTTGGTCCGGCGTGAGGAAGGGCGCGGCGAAGCGCCGCCAGACGGCGTCGGCGTTGAAGGGGAAGAGGAACTCGATTGTGCTGCCGGAAAAGAGAGGGGTGAAGATGGCGTTAATGGTGCCGTGGATGTGATGGAGTGGGAGGACGTGGAGGAGGTGGTCGGAGGGGGAGTACTCCCAGGCTTGGAGTAACGATTTAGCTTGCGCTGTCATGACCGATTGGGGGAGCAGGACGCCTTTCTAGGACGAAGTCAGCATGAATGGGATCATGTTTCGTCCACCATATGGAATCTTACCGGTCGATTTGTGGTGCCAGACGTATAGAGCATCATCCCGGCAGCCCCAGCCGAGGACTTATCCAGAGTGACCTTCTCATGGGTCCCATTGCCCTGGAACTTGTCTAACTGAAGGTAGGCAGGCTCGACATCCAGTTCGGTTTTTAATACGTCCCCCGCCTTCGAGGCGAACTTTGCCGAAGACAGGAGCATCAAGGCCTCGCTGTGGTTGAGAATGTACTGCAGTTCTGGGGCGGGGAAGGCTGGAGACAGTGGTACTGCGATCGACTTGGCTGCAAGAATAGCGAGGAGGGTCACTTCGGGAAATTGAGGGTCAGCACATGTCGGGAACGGATGGAGAGAGCCCGACAAGCAGGAAGGTGCCGGTATTCGAGAGGGCAGCAATTGGCTTACCCACATAGTCGTAGCTGTTCTCGACCAGGAACGCGATACGCTCGCCATCCATATCGTCCCTCCCGGCAGTCTCGTAGAGGCGGTTCCGGACCTTGCAGACATCGCCCAGCAACTCCCCGTATCGGAACCGGCGCCCGCTGTTTGAGTGGATAACGACGGTCGAGTCCGGGTCATGACGGGCGATGGCCTCGAATACGGGCAGCCTGGGTAATGTCGACGCCATCCTTAAACCGGTAGACCTAGACCTATACAACCTGAAGGGACGGAGGAGGGGGAGGGGGAGGGTGAGTGGTAGAGCAGCGGGTAGCCGGTGACCAAAGCTCCTGGCGAGGGAGAGGGCGAAGGACATTAGTAGATCCGAAACGCCAGGTTGAGGCAGGGGGTTGCCGATCGGCTTTTAAAGGTGTCACTTGCAGCTGGCTGCAGTGAGTGCCCAGATAGGTGCTGCCGGAGGACAAGGTGGGACGGGCGGGATGTGGTAAAAACGGAGTCGGCCGGTAACCTCTAACAAAGTACGACTGAAAGTGTAATATTACAAGGATCTGAACATCTCACAACAACGGCCTTCTGATGCCGAGTCCGGGCGCATCCTACTTCTTTGTCCGGTGAAGACCGACCAGCGGCGAATCGGGTTCGTGATGCTCGGTTGTGGAACAGGGATTCGGAGAGCGGAGAGCGGGATGGCGATGCGGAAACAATCCTTGGAACCGAACGTCCCAAATCCGCTGGTGATTTTTCTCGTTTGAGCCAGGGTACTGGCGCGCCTAGCACCCTGCGGGCTTGTGGTGGGGTGGGGGTGGTCACAGGTGCATGGGGATCTCCTGGGCCTTCGTCCCAGCGAGCCAGCGCTCCATCCTGCGGCCAACGGCAGGGATCACGCCGCTGGGACACGCCTTATTGGGCAGCTCCCAGCGCAATCCCCTCCGGGCCCACGGTTTCCGCCCGCGCTCGCCGCGGTCGATTCCCGGCGCTTGCGAGTTCGCTGCCGAAACAACCCGTGGACCACATTCCGATTCCTTTTTTGGTGAATTTGTCTGCGGTTGTTAGGTGACGCAGACCCGAAGATCCTGCCCTACCTATGTTGCGCCAAGCTGCCTTTGGCTTTGCAAGAGCCGCCAGGCCATTCAGGTTCTCTACAATGGCGTCGCAAACTCCGCTTGAAGACTCGATCAGGCAAAAAGTACGTCGTGGGGGTTGTGTGACCCGGAGGGAGAGCCGTAACTGACCGAGACTGACCTGTTTTACCCTCCATCTAGATCACCACCTCTCTCAAGCCCACCACCCTCGACATCCACAACGACTCCCACCTCCATGCGCACCACGAGCCGATGCAGGGCGTCACGTCCAAGGAGACGCACTTCAGAGTCATCATCACATCCGAGGCTTTCCAGTCGAAAATGCAAGCAGCGAGACACCGGCTCGTCTACTCCCTTTTGAAGGACGAGCTGGCCCAAGAGGGCGGGATCCATGCACTCCAACTACGTACAATGACCCCGGAGGAGGAGGCCAAGCGGCGAGCTCAAGAAGCCGAAGCGGAATGAGGTAGGAATGCGGGGATAGCCCAACGATATTGAATGATACCCCGGTACTAAAGAGCGAGAGAGATCGTGCAAGTGTCTCGTAGTATTGTATACTGTATTATGAAGATGTGCTTGTGTAAGGCATACAAAACCCATCCTATCTTTGCGGGCAACAGAACTATGAATCGCGCCATTTTGTTGTTCTGTCATTGTCCTCCCCCCTGGAGATGGGTATCAAGTCATTACCAATCCCTCCCCAACCCAGCCCAATGCAATATGTCTCCCAGTATTTCGATTATTGTGGTGTCAGCCGTTCAGGGGCGGAGCTCTGCGTCCTCTTTTGCATCAAAAACTTCCTGAACCGCAGAGCTCGCTTGTCTGCGTCCTCTGTCGCCGTTTTTTGTCGCTTGAACCCGCCACCAGATTCCGCTGTCGACGACCCTACAGAAGCCCGGGGTGCAGCTCTGCGCTTGAGTACCGTTTCCGGTATGCTATCGGGGTTGCTGATCTGAGAGAGCACATTGCTAGGAAATGTGCTCGCCACCGGTAACTTGATCGTGGTTACCTTTGGCGGCGTGGGTGAAGGCTGGATGTTTGGCGGCGAAGAGTCGACCTGGGTCCGCAAAACCTCGAGCCCGGTGGCAGAGGTGTTTGCCATGCTGGCTGATATTTCAGCCGGAGTACGGCGTTGGCGGACCGAGGAACATCCAGAAGTGTCCGGGCTAGCTGCCAGCGGCGCACTGGTCACTCGGTGCTCCTGCAAGGGCCGCATTTGCATAGTGGAGTGGATGGGGCCTGGGGGCGGCGAAACTTCCCGAGTCGCAGATTCGGGGTTTGTCACGGAAGCCGGGCTGAGGGGGCTGTGTTGTGGCAGTGGATGACTTGTGTCCGTTGGTACGGCCGGCGACTGCACCATTTTCTCGCCGGCGGACATCCTGTCCGATGCTTGCTGGGTCGACTGCCTGCGGACTTCAGTATCGGATTTCTTGAGGGCTCGCTGAATGGCGCGTGACTTATCCGGATACTTGTTGGGAACATCTTTGATGCTGTCCTTACTAAGGACGCCTTTGGTGTAAAGGGGCCTCGACACGTTCTCATTGTAGAACTGGATTGCCGAAAGGGGGTGTGCATCCTCGTCCAGGCTGTCGATGTATTTGAGAAAGTCCGTCGAGAATACTCGGACAAAGTCGTCATAGAGAAACTCGGGGAGGGCTCTGTCTTTTTGAAGCGGCAAGATGCACAGAACGCCGCAGATGAATGTTCTAAGACTGCCTCTGTAACCTGGATAGGCCACGGTGAAGGCGGTGTACGGGACCTGCGACGAAGGCCCGTTTGGCGGTGGCTTGTCCGTAGAATTGCTGGATCCTTGATTTGCCGCTAGCTGCGATGTAGCAGCAACAACCTCCGGCACGTTCTCTGGTGCTGGGATATGTTGATCTCCCACTGGCAGCGTAACAGACGGTGTCTCCGCAGGCCGATGGGGAACCGTCGGCAGTGGCGGGGGTGACGAGCTAACAACTGGGCTAGACGACCGAAGCAGGACATCGGCGCGGGTGTTGGGAAGCGTTAACCTTGAAGCGTGTTTGTGCTTGACTGGTTCGGGGCTGGGGATGACGACAGGTTTCATACGTCGACGGCGTTCCGCTTGGGGCGCTTGGGGCGCTTGCGCAAGACTGGGCTTCTCGGTAATGGTGCAAGGTATTATTTGGGCAGAGGGCGGAGTGGGCTCAAGAGCAGCGACAGGTTGTCGGTTCACCGGCGCTAGGACCTCGGTAACAGCTTGGGGGATCTTGATCTCCAACCCCTGATCAGATGTGGCGCTACTGCTGGGAGGGAAGTCCGTTAAGAATCTCGCCCGGGATAAATTGTTGCCAGCAGCTATAGAGCTGTGCTGAGCAGATGAATGCCGGTGTGTGGTACTCGCAGTTGTCTCCAGTTCTTCTCTCTGCTGACCTAGCCCGCGGGTATGCCGTGAGGGAGACTGCGACCATGGTATAGGGGTGCCGGGCTCACTACTTTCCTGATCCTCAACCGAAGGCTTACTCGGGTCGATGTGCGGTGTGGCACTCTGTGCCGGGGATGCAGGCTGCGATGAGAATGCTTCCTCCCTCTTAGTCGAAGCGGGAGAGACGGGTTGTGAGGACAATGCTTCTCCCTCCGCCCGAGAGGGAGCCCGAGATTCCTTGACATATTGTGCCCTCACGTCCTCCAGTACACTTGGCGGTACATTGGGAAAGCCCCTCACAAGCCAAGCGTCTGGGCGATCGAGTAACTCGCGCTGGTCTGAAGGGGGTTGGAGATATCGACGGGGTATTCTTGTCTCACTGGTGAGATGGCCGGGAGACCAGGTAGTGCATTCTCCCAAAGCGGCAGTGCTACTAGCCCTCGCCATAGCCACCCACTATCTCATCGCCGAGGAAATGCCGTTGATGCTGAAACGTATCCTGGATCTCGGTTTTTGATTTTTGATTTTTGACGCCAGAGACGCCGTCGTCATGGATCCGAGGCTAGAATGAGTTGCCACAGAAAAGAGCCATGATAATTTTGAAGTTGGAAATCACCAGCAGTCTCCCATTGACCAAAACCAACGATGGTCAACTAATCTCGTGATGTCGGTTTTAGGACGGGTGTTATTCGTCGCGTTGTCGTCGTCTCAATTGAGGATGCGCGTTCACTGAATGTGGGGCACAAAGGCCGGATTGTGTGGTTGACGCCAAGTCACATGAGAGCCCCGCCAATCATGCCCAACTGCCCCACTTCCATGCTGCAGGAAAAGACCCGATTGTGCCTCGAACCCCCCCTTCGAAACGCAACAAAATACAGGGGTGGCTGCCGACAAGAGGCCCCCATCTTTTGTACCGCTCTGTGCCTGTGACCCTGCCTGTGACGACACCCTCCTAGACCCTGGCACGCCCGATAAGCTGACAAGGCACCGACCGAACATATCGAGAACTCAAGAGCAACGAGTCATTCTCCCGAATTCCTCGAGCCGTCCACATCCTCTAAACCAGTGTTATAACCGCATGGTGTGAGCTGAGACTCGGCCTCCTTTATTCTTGTTACCTGCTTGTTTCCGCTTCACCAAGACGACGATCTCGACCTTCGGAATGCCCGTATTCGCGCCGCACTCTGTGCCCCGCCCAACAACAGCGCCCGACTCCGATTATTCGTGATCCCGATCGCAAAAGCATGCTCTTGATTTCCATCACTCGGGCTGCTTTAAAAACACCCGTCCGTCGCCCTAAACAAAGTACGGTACGATGGCCAATACCAGCACCAGCGGTCTTCGGCAGCCATCCCTCGGTCCATCGCTGCCTCCTTCCCCAGTAACTTCACGGTCACGCCGCGATTCGGTCACATCGCTTTCGGTGTCTTCACATGCCGACAGGGAACACTTTTCTCTTAATCTCGACAAGATCCACACGTCGGCGAGCCAGTCGGATGCTCTGACTACCTTCAACGACTTCGCCCCGCCCCCGGGCTCATTACCTACCTCCGAGAGTAAATCGACCACCGGCGATTTCGTGCAACAGGGCCTCAGTGGGCTGTATACACGATTCAAAGAGGCCGTCGGCGCCGTAGGCAAGGGCGCCACGCAAGAGGTGGACGATACCAATAGCCAAGATGGCAGCTCCTCTAGAAAGAGCATCAGTACGGCCGCCGGCACGTCAAAACCATCGCCCCTTCCGAGGGGAGAGACCGGCGCTACAGCCTCAACCATGGAGTCTGGCACGATTTCGGATATTCATACGTCAGGGTTGTCCTCTTCCGGAATACCGACCTCCGAGTCGCAAACTGCCCCGCAGTCCTCCAAAGCCTCCTCAATCACGACGGCATCTAACCCCAAAACCCCTTCGATGAGCGCCCAGAATCTGCCGAAGATCGCAAAAACGGGGGCACCGGCCACGGCCAACGCCTCCATCGCCCCGGTCACGGTGCAGGGTCTTATGGATATGGAAGCCGCGCGGGGCGGGGCCGCCCGCTTGGAAGACTTGCCCAGCCGAACAGCGGGCCGTAGAAGCATAAGCAGGCCAACTGATACAGCGCCGAGCCCCAACCTCTCAGGGAATCCAAGTTTAGACAATGTAGCAACCGGTGATCGAATAGTGCCGCCGAACCGGGCGAGGAGGGAGGACGCCCTCAGCATGGACGGGAGCACTGATACACCCCGAAGCCCCATCCAGCCCGTGGCCGAAACCCATGCTTCCTCGTCGGCTTCCCGCCTTCCTCCTCAGGATGCCATGCGAAAACCAGCGGTGATCGACCGCATCGCTTCGACTAGGACCAGGAGCCATTCAAGGTCGTCGTCCTTGGAGCCCGGCGCCGCCGCGACCCCCATCAGTACCTCGGCCCATAGTTCAGTGTATCATGATTCATTCACGCACAATGAACGACCGCAAATGCTGCAGTCGGGTATCATGAGGATCCCGGGCACTACCACCAACGAGGGTGCCCCTGAGGTTGTCAATGCAAGGCTCGAACGGATGCGAAAGCAAGTGCTGAGTAAGGAGTTCTGGATGGCGGATGAGACCTGCAAAGAGTGCTTCCTTTGCGGCACCCCCTTCACTGCCTTCCGACGCAAGCATCACTGCCGAACCTGTGGCTGCATCTTCGACTCCAAATGCACGTCTAGCATCTCGGGCCAAAAGTTTGGCGTCCCAGGTACCCTCCGGGTCTGTAAAACCTGCCTCAATGTCATCAACCGCCGTTACGATAGCGGCTCTGACGATTCGGCCGACGAATCCTATCTCCCTGCGATTTTCCGCGCAAGCCAGCAGGCCAAGGCCTCGCCCGCGTCGGCCAGACCGAGAATGGACGACGAGGCTAGCATATCGGAGCGTACTGAGCAAGCCGAGGACACGAGGAACGCGATCACACCCATGATGGCCATCCCAGCGACGCGGCGAATGGGGGATAACAACAGGCACTCGGCCGTTTTGGAGATCGATATGCCGCAGCTCAGCAGGCCAGGCTCATCACGGTCACTAAAGTCCCTTTCGGCCAATCGGCCCCAGTCTTCGGGTCACCGCAGGCATCACTCCAAACACAACCTCCTAACTAGATTCAAGACAAAGACCGAGGACAGGGCCCCGTTTCGTACCCCGGCCGGTGAAGAGATGGCAAAGAGGGCCAACGTAAACGCCTTCCATGCTGACAACATTATCGACCCGGAACTGGCGGACTACATGTCCGACGAGTCAAGCGAGGATGAACAGATGAGCAACATTTTTACCACCATGAACAGCGGCGAATTTCAGCCAGCCAGTCTCGATCCCGGTCGAGGGAGCTTCGGCACCTACCTAAGTGCGGGGAGGAAACATCGATTTCGTCCAGGGGAAAAAAGCATTAGCGGGTTCAGTCACGCGAGCCGCGGGTATGAAGAGGGGAGCGTCTTGCAGAACCTGTCAATCCACACACGTCCAGCACGGCGGAGAAACCTCAGCATTGCCAGCGCGAGCATCCATCACCCCCGCTCCCCGTGGCCCAAATCTGCCGTCCTCAAAGGCCCCTCTGCCTCGGCTGACACACTTTCCATCTTTGAGAATGTCACCGAAGCCCCGGGGCTGAAGCGGAATGATTCCATGCGCGACGGGAAATCGGCAGAGGAAAGCATGAACCCCGCAAGCCTGCAGCACGTAAAGAAGCTCTTCCGGCAGTTGCTTCAAGATGCCGAGATTCCCAACCCCGCGGGCTGGGAGAAGACTCTGGTTCCCATCTTGGATAAGTGTGCCGACGATGTCGACCCGGACATCCGTAACGGCGACGACATGGATATCCGGCACTGGGTAAAGTTGAAGCGGATTCCAGGCGGCAAGCCGGCTGATACGGCCTATGTGCACGGCGTCGTCTTCACCAAAAACTTGGCACTCAAGAGCATGCCACGCAAGATTCGCAATCCGAGGATTGTCATCATCACCTTTCCCCTCGAGTACCAACGCCACCCGGAGCAGCATTTTATGAGCTTGCAGCCAGTCATCGAACAGGAGAAGGAGTACCTGAGGATGGTCGTCAACCGGATCCTCAACCTGGAGCCCCATGTGCTGCTCGTGGAGAAAAGCGTAGCCGGAATTGCTCTCCAATATCTCTCGGAAGCAAACGTCGCCGTGGCCTACAACGTCAAGCCATCCGTTCTCGAAGCTGTGGCGCGGATCGTGAGCATGCCGGTTATCTCGTCAATGGACATGCTCAGCCTGGGTGTTCGGGTCGGAATGAGTGAGAGTTTCGAGGTCAAGACGTTTGTGAACAACGAAATCAGGGGCAAGAAGAAAACCTACATTTTCATATCCGGCTGCCCAAAGGACCGTGGTTGTACCATCGCGCTTCGTGGTGCCTCGACCGAGGTGCTCTCTCGGATGAAGCGCATCACCGAGTTCATGGTCTACGTCATCTACAACCTGAAGCTGGAGTCGTGCCTCATGCGCGACGAGTTCGTGCAGATTCCGAATTCGGAGGCTACGCTACCGGCTCTACCGGCGCCACCGGCATTGCCCTCAGGGGAAAGTAATGACAGCCTCATGCTGCGTCCCGGCGGAGTCCCCGACCCCTCCAGCAGCCGTCCTGCCATCCTCATCACCCGGCAGAGCACAGAGAGTGGGCTCCTTTTACGGGGCAACGAGGGCCCAGCTGCGGCCGTTGAGTCGGAACCGTCGGGCACTGACCTAGCTGTTCAGGCGCCTGCTCAGGTGCCTGCTGAGCCGGACCAGGGACTGGTATCCATGCACGGGTTGCACTCCCATGTGCAGGTTCCCGATGACATACCCATGCCAGCCTTTCACAGCGACACGGTAGCAAAGTATGAGACGAGGATCTTATCAACATCGCCCTTTGTCAAATTCAGGCAGCCCTATCTGCTCATGAAGGCACGAGAGCAGGAGCGGCGTGCGACCTATCTGAGGCAGCTACTTGAGCAGGAACACATGGATGTGTCTGGCGAGGACGAGAAGCAAATTCCGGAGCCGTTTCAGCTAGTCAAGCCGGAAATGGTACGCGGGATCGAGCAGAGCGCTCCCCGGAAAGTCATGGAGGTCCTCCACGCTGTCCATGACGCTGAATACGACAAAGCGCTACACAGCTACCGAACCCAGGCGAAGCAGTGGGAGGCGTATATCCACGGGAGCGCTGACCTCTTCGATCCCTACTCCCACCAGAACATCGTCGTCCTCTATTCGGTCACCTGCACGGCTACAAAAATCCCGTGCTCGGAACCCAGTTTGGTCGCGATTGAGTTCTATAACGAACACCCCGACCCGAACGGAAGCATGGATCAGGACTGCACCCTCGGCCAATACATCGAGGATGTCTGCGAGGGCGCCGAATTCATCTGCCACTCCAACGGATGTGATCGGAAGATGTTTGAGCACCACCGCACTTATGTCCATGACAACGCCCGCCTTACCATCATTCTGGAAACGTCACCAGCATGGCCTGAAAATTTCCCGGACAAGCCGCAGGAGAACATTGGCGACAATGACGGGACCGGCATATGCATGTGGAATTACTGCAAACATTGCAACAAGCATTTTGGTCTAATGCCCATGTCTGTGAGCACCTGGAAATACTCCTTCGGCAAATACCTCGAGCTCTCATTTTGGAGCAGCGGGCTCCAGTTGAACCCTCAAACCGAGTGCCCCCATGACCACCAGAAGGATCACATCCGGTTCTTCTACTATCTGCACCGCGACATCGCAGTGAGGGTGCACTATGACCCCATTGATCTCTACGAGATTATTGCGCCGCGGACGAGAGTGACGTGGAAAGTGGACTACGATTTGAGACTCAAAAACGATGTCTTTGTCCGAGCCGAAGACCGCTGGAACCGCTTCATGAATTCTGTCGGGGCTAGACTCAAGAGCATTCGGATCGACAGTGTACTGCCGGAGAAAGCAGAGGCCTGTAAGGCCGAACTAGAAAGACTCAGCAAAAAGGCGCAAGAGGATCAACCGGAGCTGATCCGCGCGCTCCAGGACACGTACATGAGCTCCAAGTACTACGAGGTCATCCCGTTCAACACCATCATCCGCGAAATGCTCGAGAAGGTGACGGATTGGGATGCCGCGTTTGCCATGTTCGAGGCTGATTTCCTCTCCGATAAGGACGTTCGTCAGTTGACTATCATCCAACTGAAGAAGATGTTCACGGACCACGAGTCTAAGGAGTCCCTACCGAGTACCGACGGGACCGCGTCGATCGGGTCCGAGTCTGAGGAAAAGACCACCCCCGCTACGACTCCGCCCGGGGTTTCCGAAGCCGACGAGATCCCGCCTCAAATTTCAGAGGCCGACATCTGTCAGCCGCAGGAGACTCCGTCTCCTGTTGTGCAACCCGTTCCCGCGCCAAAAGAAGGCGGCGCGGTCGAGACGGAAGCGCTCTTGGAGCGGGTTGAACCCCTGGACCTCGCAACTCCTGGCCCGACGACCGTCACGAAAGACATACTTCCCCCTCCAGAGGCCCCTCTAGAAGCAGTTAAAACCCCCAGCGACCGACCATCTAGCTCGGCGGCCGCTTCTAGCTCGGCGGTCGCTTCTAGCTCGGCGGCCGCTTCTACCTCTACAGTTGCCCTGGCAACCCAAGCTCCTGCACGACCGGCCCCTTCCACAAACCATATGACGTTGACGGAGAAGGTAGAACAACTACGCCGGGAGCAGCGGGGATTGTCAAACGAGCCTAGGAGTAGCGCGAACGCCACCAGTATCCCAAAGCCCGCGCCGGAACGGAGCCTCCCTAGGAGGGTTGGCGCCGCTATGTCGCCTCCGATGATTCGCGCAATCTCTCACCCACCGGGGACATTACCGAGGCAGCAAACTACTCTCGGCAAACTTCTGAAAGAGCAGAAGGCTCATGATATGGGCGCTGAAGTGCAAAGGGCATCGACGGAGGGCACCATCAAGGGAGACAAAAAGTTTGTTGACCGAATCGGCCTCGGGGCCCTGAAGAGCCATCGTAAGGCAGGGCCTTCTGGGATCCCACGATACGTCCACAAGAGGGAAACAAAGGTCTCGAACCTCGCGCGTCATTTCGAGCAGCTGAGCCGAGAATTCGAAAAGGAGAGGTTGAAAGACCGCAAGCAGCGGGCCGCCAAGATGCACCACACTCGAGCATTCTTGCCGCGGTCTTCAACCAAGACCATAGTAGAAGTCTACAAAGACGTGGACCAGGCCGTGCAAGAGCCAGGGCCGTTGGAGGACGATCACATTCTTGACAAAGAGCGGCCCGCCCACAAACAAGCGGGAACGCGCCCCAATGCGACGGACGTCACGCTTCCCGAATCGCAGCAAACAAAGCCTTCGGGAACAGAACCTACCTCGTCACAGGAACTTCCCTCGCAAACGTCGCAGGCAGACGAAAGTGTAGCGCAGACAGAAGCTGAGGACAGTCGGCAAGAGAGTCGAGTCGGTTCTGATGACGAGGGCGCAGAAAGCGATGTCGACCACTCGGCCATCACCCTGGACGATATCTTGCCGGACGTGAAGGAGATAGCCGATTCTCTGGAACCGAGCGAAGAAATACCGGAGGAGCTTCCGAGGCACCAGAAGAAGAGCCTCATGACCATGCTGACCAACTTCTGGGCTGAGCGATCAGCCAGCGGTTGGCCTCAGTTGGAGTATCCCATCAACGCCACGGACCACATCTTCTTCGACTCGGACGTGATAATTAGAGAGGACGAGCCAAGCTCTCTCGTGGCTTTCGCCCTCAGTTCCGAGGACTACATGTTGAAGTTGGCGGAAATCCGGCAGAAGTGGGAGATGCCGAGCGAGCCAGAATCGGACGATAGCAGTGATGGCCTGGAAATGAAACGGCCGCAAGCCTCCAGTCCGGAGGCCAAAGCCGCCGCAAAGGCCAGCAGGTACAACGCGGAGCTCGAGAAGAGCCTGCTGCGGTCGACGGGTATGCATGTCAAGTACCAGTTCACCGAAGGCGCGGCAAGGATGACATGCCAAATCTTCTATGCCGAGCAGTTCGACGCGCTCCGACGCAAGTGTGGTGTAGGTGACCGCTTCGTCGAGTCCCTTTCTCGGTGCCTGAAGTGGGACTCCAAGGGCGGTAAGACCAAGTCGGTCTTCCTCAAGACCCAGGACGAGCGGTTCATTCTCAAGTCTCTTTCCCCGAGCGAAACCTCGTCGTTCCTCCGGTTCGCACCCGACTACTTCAGCATCATGTCGGAAGCGCTCTTCCACGACCTGCCGACGGTCATCGCCAAGATGTTTGGCTTCTTCCGCATCTTCATCAAGAACCCGCTCACCAATACCGAGATCAAGCTCGACCTCCTGGTCATGGAGAATCTGTTCTACGACCGCTGCCCGAGCCGGACATTTGATCTCAAGGGGTCGATGCGCAACCGCAAGATCCAGTCGACGGGCGAGCAGAACGAAGTGCTGCTCGACGAGAACATGGTCGAGTACATCTACGAGTCGCCGCTGTTTTCGCGGGAGCACTCGAAACGCTTGCTCCGGGCGTCAGTCTTCAACGACACGCTGTTCTTGGCTAAACAGGATGTGATGGATTATTCGCTCATGGTTGCCGTCGACGAGGTCAAGAAGGAAATCTCGGTGGGCATCATCGATTGCATTCGGACCTATACCTGGGATAAGCAACTTGAGAGCTGGATCAAGAACCGCGGGTTTGCGGGTGGTGGCCGGAACAGGCCGACTGTGACGAGTCCGAGGGAGTACAAGAGCCGATTCAGGGAGGCGATGGCGAGGTAAGCTTTTGAACTGCCCAGATCAGCTGAGGATTTTCAGCTAACAGCGGTATGACAGGTACATTCTTCAGTCGCCCAACTGCTGGCACACTTTTGGGAACCGGCAAGCGCCGAATACACCGGCTACTCCGAGGACACGATTTGAAGACGACGCTTGACGATATGTGCGGACTGGCGAGTCGGTCATGCAAGAACGACCTTTTAGGAGGGCATGAGTATGGTCGGCGCACGATGACAATGTTTAGTAATGTTTAGCATGGCATAGCGATCATTTGGGGTGGGCTTTTCCGCTGTGGGCTGGATTGGCGCTCATGGGATGTTTGCGGGCAACCGCCTTTGCTATTGTTTACTGTTACGGCGTTCAGGGGGGAGCCGGGTGGCGGACTCACAGGCGAGGATTGGTTAGTTGGTATACTAGGTAGACAGCCAACATGTTGTTTTCTATGATGAACGAATACGAAGCCCTTGTTCTGAGTTACGAAGGCATACCGAAGATAGGAACGATAACTAACGCCGGCACCTGCAATCAAGATCCAATACCGCATCATGTTACTTCCTCCCGAGCAGCCTTAACACTCCCACCTACCTTCATACCGCTATCCATGGCCTGCCCATGCCAGTCATGGCTACATCCACACTTTCAACTTCGTCCTCCTCTTCGACGCCTTCCTCTGGTGTTTCATAGCCCGAGTCTGTCCCCTCCTCGGCAGCTCTCCGCTCGGCAGCCCGCCGCTCAGCCTCGGCAACGGGGTCCCAACTCTTTGGAACAGCTCCGGGTTTGACAGGTGGCAGCTTGCCCTCCTCCTCCCGATCCTCAGCGCCCAACCAAGGGCGTGAGAATGGGTTCAACCTGGCCACCAGGGCCTCGCCCCAAGTAGGTTCTTCGGGCTCCAAGCCAGCAGCTACCAAACGCAGTTAGACACGACCTATTCACAGGGAGTTGGGATAAAAAGAGAGAAAAAGAAGAAAACCAAAACTCACCCCTCTCCACCATCCCCACCATCCTCTCCCTCAACACCTCCCGCTGCAACCGCGTATCCCCCACCGGATACACCGCCGGCCCGGCCCTAAACACCACCTTCTCCTCCCGATACGGCCGCAGCTTCGGCCGCAGATACCGCCCCTCCGTCGTCCGATCCTCCGCCCCAGCCTCATACCCCACCGCCGGGTCGGCAAACACATCCCCCCCGCACCGCCCGCTCCGTCTCCTCAGTCAGATACCCTGTCCGATCATTCCCCTCCACGGGCCACCGGTTCATTGACCAGAACTGCCGCCTCTGGCTCTGCTTCTTCTGTTGCTTCTCACGCTGCCGCTGCCGGCGTGTCTGCTTGGCCCCCTTGCTTGCTGCCGCCCCCGCCGTGAGTGGTGGTATGGCGGCCCAGTCCCAGTTGTGGTCGCGCACGAGAATCGTCTGGCGGGCGCCGGTCGCGTCGAAATAGTGCTGCTCGCGGCCGGGGGCTAGCATGCTGGCGTTGGCGTGCAGTTCGTTGATGAGGTGGGTGCGGAGCAAGCTGAGCTCGCGCGCGGTGGGTTCGGGGGTTGACATGGTGGTTGGAGTTAGGGGGGGTTCGGTTGGGGCTGTGGTGGTGGTTTCACCGGTGGTGGTTTCGCCAGGGGTGGTGGGGGTGGGAGGGTGTTCGAGGCGCGCGCAGGTTCGTGTCCAGGCGCGGATGGAGTCGCGGAGTTGGCGCGCGGGCACGGCTTGTTGGGTTTGGCGGTCTCTTTCCAGTATGGAGATGGTGTAGCCGAGACGGAAGGCGAGAGACATGAAGAAGTTCCAGATGGTGCTGCCCTCGCTGATGTCGGGTGCCTCGCCCCCGCTGATGATGCGGTCCCAGTCGGCGACGTAGCCAACCTGGAGGCTGGGCCGCTCGCGGCTGTCGGTGGGTGCTGGCCAGACTACGCGGTGCTCGGGGAAGAAGTTGGAGACGGGGCGTCTGACGATGCCGTAGCAGGTTGGGTCGAGGTGGAATCTGGGAGTGTTTAGTACGGGTACGAATACGTGGCTACCCCTGAAGGTATCGTCTCTCACCTCAGAAGCCCATTCTGCTTCATCCTGTCGAGCCACTTGCAAGCATCGTGCGGCTTAACCTCCTGCTTGGTAACCGCGCTGCTGTCCTTCCCGGCGTTGATAACCTTCAGCAGGTCCTCAACCCCAACATTGGCGTTATGCGAGCTGAACAGCCCCTGCGGGTTCCTATCATCCAGCAACTTCTTCACCTTTGTAGCAAACAGCTGAAACAGCCTATACTTATCCTTCGGCGTATCCGGCATGGCACGCCTCTCCCAGTTCCCACCACTCACACACTGCCCACCCAAAAACTTCAACCACTCCACCTCCTCCAGCTCAAGCAACCTCGGCACCCTCTCCCCACCCACCACCTCCCACTCATCCCCCGCGAGAACCACCACCCCTTCCGGCGGCCCATTCACAAACTCCCCACCCACCCCCCTCTCCACCAGCCCAACCACCCCCTCCACCAACCCCCTCGGCTCCCTCCTCGCCGCCGCCCTTAACACCTCCACCGCGACCCAACACCCCCTCAACAAATCCTCATCCTTCTGCCCCTCCGCATCCAGTATACGCCACACAAACGGCCCGCCACTCACCACATTGCGCGGCAGCGCCGCCCAACTGGTGTCGGCCTCGTGCTCCTCCTCGACGCGCATCCGCGCCAGCTCGCGGCGCTTCTTGAGCGAGGCCAGCCGCGCGCGGTAGGCTACCGTGTGCGGCATGGTTTCGAGGTCGGGGGGGAGTTGGGACGCGGGGAGCTGCGGGGGTGTCCAGGCGGGCTGGTCGGCGAGGGTGCAGGTTTGGCGGAGGACGGCTGCGGGGGTGGGGAAGATGAGGCGGGAGTGGGAGCGGGTGGTGGTGGTGGTGGTTGTGGGTGTGGGTGTTGGGGGGGTGGTGGGTAGGGCGTGGAGGGTTTGTTGGAGGGCGGCGCGGCGGGCGGCGCGCTCTTGCACCCAGTCGAGGGGGATGCCGGGGCGGACTTTCTTGTCGTTGGGGAGGATGGTGGCGCCGGTGGCGTCGGTGGTGACCCAGGTTCCCGTGTTGGTGCCTTGCCGGGAGAAGGTGGCGAAGGCGTGGTCTTCGATGTAGCCTAGGTTGAGTCTCTCCATCACGTCTTCGGCCCCGGGGGGGATGGTGTCAAGTCGTTCGTCGATTATGCGCGCCCACCACTCTCTCTGGTCTTCGGCTAGTTTGCCGTGGAGGAGGCTGTTTTCGGGTTGGTCGACGAGCATACTGTTGACGGGGCCCGGGGTGTGTGGGAGGATGGGCCTGGGAAGGAGGTTGCTGCGGTCTGGGGGTGGTGGTGGATTGTGAGGCGGGAGAGGCCAGTCCCGTGCGTTGACCATCCAGCTGAGCCGTGTCGACCTGAACGGGCTCTTTGGCGGTTTTGTAAACTCCAGGGGCGTGGGGTCATAGTGGTGTTTCTCGAAGAGGACATGGGCCTTTGCCTTGGTGACTGCATCGTTGAACATGGCTTGCGTCTGTGGGCTGGCGAGGAACAGTTGGGATCTGTCGTCTTCGAGATCGAGCCACTCCAGGTAGGAAACGATCTCCTCAAACTTGGGTTCCCAGCCCATGCAACGATCCACATCCTCCTCGGCGAGAAACTTGATAACGGTATCGAGACGGGCTGCCAATGGAGGTTGGCGTCTACCCTTATACCAAGAATCAACCTCCCAGTCATGCCCGTCCATTCTCACCGCTCCGTCTTCAAATTCACCAGCTGTAGAGACGAGTGAGATGTCCTGAAGCCGTCGGAGCAGATCATCCAGCCTCCCAAGTTTTGGACCGCCCCTGCGTCGCCCGACGGCCACCCTTGAGCGAAAGGGGGGGATTGGCACCCAAGCAGGCGGCCTACGGGGGCCGGGCGGGACACTCGGGGCTCGGGATGCGGGAGTCTCTGGCCCCAAGCCATGCGGTTGGTCGGGCATATCGCTCGTTGCCCTCTCACCTTCCTCCATGTCAGAGAATGCCCCTTCGGTGTTCAGCCCGGAGAAATCGGAGAAATCCTCGGTATCATCACCCAAGATCGAGTCCATACCCTCAGGTGGTTGAAGGATAGTTTCCATCTGCGGTCCTAAATCCAAGGTCGCCCTGGGCTGGTACCCCTCAGGGATTGGTGTAAATGGCAAGACATCTTGGTCCTCTGCCTGAGGAAATACCTGGTCGTAGATTTCATACTTCTCAAACTCGCGGACAAAGTTTGGACCAAGCCCATAGTTTTTGATCTGTGGATTTCGGAGGTGCGTTTCAACACTAGGTCTGAGGTCTGGGGTGCCCGGCTTGAGAACGACCTCCTCGAGGAAGGCCTTGAACTGGGGCGGGCATTCCGGGTCGTTCGCAGCATAGTCGATCAGGAACTGAACAAATGCTCCTATAATCGTCCATCAGTTGCAAGCTCAGTTCGTGCCCAAGGGACCACAAACCGTCGACTCTTATCCGTGACCCATGGCGGACTGAGGGGAACTCAGGGAACCCGAGTAATTCTTCAATTCCTCTCTGTGCTGGCACTGGCGGCGGGGATGACGGTTCAGGGGTTGGGTAGTCCTGATTACTCGAATAGTCCAAGTTGCTCGAGGTGTCGGTGGCCATCCTTGGAGATTTCTCACGGCTTGCTTGTCTATCTTGCTCGTCCTGCTCGAATCACTGGCGAGAGTGAAGCACGTTTGTGACGGAGAGAATGGCGTTGTTGCAATAAACGAAATGTTGACCGTTAAAAAAAAGAGGAAATGCCAATGTTTGTACAAAGCAGGGGGGATGTGAGATATCCGAACCCTGCTTCCTGACTGGAATGCACCGCTCGCGTCCATGTCAATAAGGCTATGTGACAATGAACAGGGCTTCAACATGTATAGCTTGCTAACTTCGTCAAAGAGCTCCCATCAGAGCTCACAGAGCAATCCCGTTTTCAGCCTGCCATGGTTGACAAACAAAGAATTGACACTCGAGTTGGGAACAAAGAATAGCACGGATTGCTCTGCGAGCTTGCTGCGGCTGACCTATAGGCATTTTCTTTGTTCTCGAAAGAGGGGTGAAAGAATAAGAGTTGTATACGCAAAAGGATCAAAAGCCAGCTGCACGCGGCTTCTTGAAGTCAGATAACCTCACTCTGCTAGTCTCGGAAACGTGAAGTTGGTCAACGATATCAACAAACTTCACAATGGCAACAAACGACCAGCCCTCCGACGGTGTTCCGGGACTCTCAGAAAGCCAGGCTCACTTGGCTATACGTGAAGCCGCTTCAAGTCACCCTGGCGGGCCGAGAGCCTCTGGCCGAGACCAGGCTCGGGGCACAAGGAGACGATCGTCGACCCTCAGACGAGCTGTGCACAATGTCGAGAGCTTCAGTCGTAACATCCACCGCGAATATGCTGGAGTCCGCTTCGCGCATCGACCAAGGACGCGGAGCGTGGCAAGGATAGAGAATGAGCAGCAACAACAGCTACAACAGCAACAGCAGCAACAAACTAGCCCGGACGTCAGCAATGTTCATAATACCATCAACCCCCAGCAAAATGGCTCCGTCGAAGAATGGAAGCCATCCATCGTCGTCGGCTCTCCTCTCTGGACCGAAGGAGAGGACCTCAACGCCATCCAGATAGCCGATCGGAAGGTCATGCAAACCCGTTTATGGGTTGACCACTACCGGGGTATACCGTACTTCGTCCAGAACTACGAAAATGCCGTCGAAGAGAGGGCCCAGCTAGACGAGTCGGCCGAAGAAAACACCAAACCAAGGTGAGCGAGCCCTTGAGCCTCCCGATCCACAAGAACGAACACCCAAGAACTAACCCACCCCAGATCCACGCTCAAGTCCACCCACGACGACGCCATCCACGACCGCCTGGACGTCCTCCGCACTCTCCTCCAAGACAGCACCTTCCCCCCCGAGCGAGCCAACATCGAAGCGGCCATCGCCGGCTACGAGTCCGGCGCCATCCCCTACTCGGACTGTTACACCCTCCTCTGGAGCGGCCAAATCGTCGACCGCTGCCCGGACTTCAACACCTTCACCCGCGACCGCAGCGCGCGCCTCGACCGGTACTCAGCCGCCCACGGCCCCGGCTGGCTGTGGTACGAACCGCCCCTCACCAACAGCAGCAACAGCAGCACCCTCCACGGCCCCACCACCACCACCACCACCATCCTCGCCAAGAAGGGCTTCTGCCTCGAGAGCAAGCACGCCTGGCGGCAAGGCACCGAGAACATGGGCCACTACAACATCCGCATGGGCTTCCGCCGGCGCAAGAGCACCATCACCCGCGGCGGCACCAACCCCATCCCCACCAACCCCAACCCCCCCCACCCCCGAACCCACCACCGCGCCGCAGCCAGCATCCCCCACCCCGACACCAGCCCCCCCTTCACCACCACCCCGGACCGCGACGGCCCGCAAATCATCTGGAACATGCTCCTCGACAGCGGCGCCACGCTCCCCACCTTATGGGCGGGCGACCTGCCCGCGCTGGGGATCGAGCCGGCGCGGTATGCGGCGCAGTCGGCGCGGCGGGTCAACACGGCGGACTCGGTGCTGGTGTCGCGCGTGTACGAGCTGGACGTGCGCGTGTTTGGCGGGGAGGAGGCCGCGCCGCTGGGGCTGGTTCGGCGGCCGGTGAGGCCGGTAGGGCAGGGGGTGGGGACGGGGACGGGGACGGGGACGGGAGCGGGGATGGGGGCGGGGGCAAAGGCAAGGGCGCCGCGGCGGGGGGTTGCTGGGGTGGGGGTGGGCGCGGCGGTTCCGCCTCCGGCTGTTCCGGTGGGTGTGGCGGCGGCGTCGGCGGCGGTGGTGGGCGGGGTTGGGACGGAGGGCGGTGGTGAGGAGGAGGAGGAAGAGAGTGAGGCGCTCAGCTGCACGATCCCGGTGCTGGTGTTCCCTGGCGATTCCAAGGATTTCGGCGGCGGCGACCACGTTCCCGACCGGCTCAGCGGGCTGCTGCCCTTTCATGTGTGCTACCTGTCTGGGGCGCCGGGCACCTTCAAGCTGTGGATGGGCGAGGATAGGCGGGACGTGCTCGGCGCAGGCCGGCTGCCGGGGATGATGCGGTACGGCGAGATTCTGGGAGGAGCACAGGAGAGGGAGAGGGCGAAGAGGGTGCCGGCGTCAACGACATTGAAGTTGGTTCAGTGGCGGAGTGAGGGTTTGAAGACGCCAGAGCGGGTCATCTTCGAGCATGATCTTGTTGATGACGCCGAGGGGGTGCTGCGGGACGAGGACGTGGGCGACGGTAATGCCATCATGCGCGGACCGAGGGGAACCAATTTCGACAACATCGATACTAAGACCGATGGCGTCCAGGTGCTACACATCGGACGTAAGAGAAAACGAGTATACCAAGAGGCACGGCGACGGGGGAGCACGGCAACCAAACCGGCGAAGAAAAAGGTCAAGAGTGAACAAACCGGGGAGAGGATAGGTTAAGCCGTCATGCAGGTAGGAGCTGCATTATTGACCACTGCTGGAAACGGATGGAGACACTGGGTGTATGGGTCATGGTGCGAACAGGAGGAAACAGGGGTGTGCCAGAGACTTGACTATTTTTTTTATTTTCTTAAGCAGCTACCTGCTTGCGGTGCCTCAGGATGAGTGATAGCGCTGTAGGGGATTATTATACCCAAGCAAGCCCCATTTCACCAGTGCCCTGCGTCAACAGCGGTCAAATCCCGCTCAGACCCCAGTCTCCACCGGCGATTATCCCTCGCCAGCAATGTGTTGCACTGTCCCGCAAGTTGAGGGTGACCCGATAGCTGCTGGCAATCGCGGCTGGGTGACCACGAGGAGGTGCAAGGGTTTCGTCCTTTCACCCATCCTCGTCCCAGCCGACTGTTCCTCTCGTCCTCGAACCCCACTCGGGTATCTCGCCAGTTTCCCAGCTTTGCCAATCTTGGTATTTGCCCTCCCAGTCACCAATGTCGCCATTTTTACCCTCCACCCTCTATCAAATCCGCCGGTCGGCGCGAGAGAACGCTCTCATATCCGGTGTTGCCGAGACGTGTGCTGTCTTGCTCCACACAAATGGATCGATGTCGTCCCTCCTTTTTTTGTAAGGTTTCGTTTTAAGGTGAAAAATTAACATGGCGGTTCGAATCAAGGGTATAAAACCTAGGGACACGGCAGGTCCCCACACCACGACAACGGGTGCAGCCATGATGCAGCCGCGCCAGAACGTCCCAGGAGAAGTGAAAGTTGAAAAGGAAATCGCAAAAATAAAATTCAACGCTGATGCCATGACGCTAAATGATCCCGTGCAAAGAAAGAGCCAGATGCATGCAATCTTTTTGTCTTCCAAGGTGGTATATTTCGAAGTGCCCTGAAAAAAAAAGGTGGAAAAGAAACAAGGCCGGATTCCCTTCGGAAAACAGCCGCAGCCGGGAGCCGACCCGAGCAGGTATCAAGCCTCCCACAAAACGCGTGCCCCTGAGTGATGGGCTTTAGTACGACATATGAGACGCGGTGTTGAAGTACGTTGACCCCGCCATATGTTGTTGTTGTTGTTGTTGTTGCTGTTGCTGGAGATGTGGTTGCGCATACGATTGCCCGTGGCTTGATTGAGGTGTTGGGGTGACCGGGCAGCGAGGCGGCACCTGGTAACCCTTGATCGCGGCATTGTTCTGACCAAAGCATGAGCCATCGGGGGTGATGGGCGGCGTCATGTACCCGTCGGCAACGCCAGGTACGGCACCGAGTCCCTTGTGGGGCGTGCTGTACACATCCGTTGCCTTGTTGGACAGGATGGGTTCCGACGGCGGCGACGGCGGTGCCCCTCTCCGCGCGATGGCAGCCTGCTGGGCGAGGAAGTCGGCAAGCTTGCCCGACACCCTCGAGTAATACTGGCTGGAATACTTCCTGGCCAAAGTGACCGACGGCTGGTGGAGGTGCTGTGACAGAGTGAGGAGCGTCACGTTGTCAGAGTGATCCCACTCGCCGTCGTTGACCTCGGGCTTGCCCAGAATCGCACGACCAAGAGCGAGCGATGCCCTTGCCATGACCGAAGGCTTCGTCGACACGAAGTCCCGGTGGTAGAGGGCAATCTCGCAGATGTACGCCGCCATGTGCTCCACTTCCCGGCTGTCTCGCTCCTCGGCCGCAACCAACTGGGTGAAGAAGTCCACGGTGGGGTGACCAATGTTCCAGTCCAACGTATTGAGAACGTGCATCTCCATCTGGGTGAACATGCCGGCATCGTAGAGTCCGCAGCACATGTTGTTCAGCTCGTTGATCTGAGGCACTCTGTCCTTCTTGTCTCCGTACTTGGCAGCGATGAGAAGGGCAGCGCATCCGACCAGTTGGTAGTGCTGTTTATACACCACCCGCTTCGAGCAGTACCGGTCCAGGAGGTTGACGGTGAGAAAGAGGGTCTCGGGTAGGAGAGAGAACGCGGAGTGAGCCTCAATCAAAAAGTCAATGAGGTACGGCCGCATAAACCATTGGATCTCGCGCTGCATGTCAATCAAGTTGGCATCGGGCAATGTCTCGTCCTGTGAGAGAAGCCGAGTTAGTCACGCTTCACACCGTCGCCGAGTCGATCGACCGTCCAGCGGTTTTCCATACCTCCATATGGCGCATGTGTTGCATGATGTCCTCCAGATACTCGTCACAGGCCAGCCTTGAGAGCTCGTTGGCGATCATCTCCTGCTTGTTCCGCGCAAGCATCTTGGCAGCATCACGCATCGTCATGTGCTGGTTGGACTCGTCCGATTCGACAAAAAAAGTGTTGTCGGTTTGGTATGAGCACGCCATCTTGATTGATCGGTCTTTCACGGCCGAGTGGTCGAAATGAGGGACGGGTGTTCCGAGTTCTCCAGGAATCCAAGGGCAGTATTAAGATAGAGTTGGTCGAGCCAAGGAGTGAGACGTCGACCGGGTACGATGACTAGTATTAGAGTATTAAAGAGTGTGGTGAAATAGAAGTACCGAAAGGAGTGGCTGTGGCTGGAAATCCGCCGACTTGATGTAGGAAAGAGAAATGGGTTTCTCGGGTGGCCGGGCGGTAATGAACTGTGTCGACCGATGGTTTCTAAATTGTTGAGAATCAGCACCGTTCATTCTCGAGCTCGGTCGTACTCGATGCACAACCCCGGAGCGGTGGAGCGGGCCGCTCCTCGAGATCCACTCCGTCAAGGGGCAGACCGCAATTGCTCGCCGTGATTCGGTCGATCTGGCCTGTGGAGACTCGTACCGGCACGGATGGGATTCCGGCGAGACTCGAGGCGCGAAGGGTATTGTGCAGTGAAGAAGGGGCGGGATCCCTTACTGCCACGGTTGCGGGTCGTCGAAAGAGAAGGACCGACGCAAAAACCGACACAATTCCTGACGCTGGGTGGGAAGCAACGAGTTAACGTGTCCCACGGCAGGCTGTCAATGGATCGCCGGTCGATTAGGCCTGAGCGTGAGAGATGCCGGGAATTGCAGGGAGCACCTGGGTCGGCATGTATCTGCAAAGGGAGCGACAAGACATTGTTCAGTATCTCTAACCACACGCGAGCTTGTGCCTGAACTGATGACATCAGGGGCAGCGACAGGGCGAGTACGACGGGCCAGGCCCGAGAATTCTAAAAGAAATTGGGTTCTCGAAAAATGTGGAGAGCCTCATACCTTCACTCTCGGAGCCTCGGCAGGGCCAGAAAAAGGGTTTATGCACCGATCGGGATCATGTAGATGATCGCGAGTCGCTCTCGGCTCGTGAATCGGCGGCAGAAGAGGGTTGTCGAAGGACCCGGTTTCTGGTGGGAGAATGATTGGAAATTTCCCGGTAGAAATTTTACTCGCGTGATTCCCAACGACGACTGCTTCGCTCGAGCTGGACTCTCAAGGGGTCGAGGTCGAGGTCCGGAGACGGTGCGTTGAAGAACGGGAGTGAGGTGGGAGGGCGCCCGGAACGAAGGGAGCAGCCGCGGGAGGGCAGGATTCCTCGTCGTCGAACCGAAGAATGCCTGGGCGGGGAGAGAGTCAAACCAGGACGCAGGGTGGAGCTCGAGAGCGTTGAAAAAAGCTGAAGAACCAGGAACGATTGAGATTCCTAATTCCAGCTTCTTTTTCTGATTTTTCGACTCTCTCTGCACGCACCAGTCCGGCCGTGTCCTTATATGAGGCTGGGTAAGCTAGCTTGTCGGGGGCCCAGTTTCTAAATCTCCTCCTTCCCTCCGTTTCTCGATCTGAGAAAGGGAGTCCTCGGGGGGGATGTTGGAAGGGACGGTGAGGGAGAGGGAACGACTGGTCGTGGATGGAGGAGAAGGGAAAGGGAAGGAGAGGAGGAGACGGATATTTGTTCAGGTAGGAGGAGGATGGAGAAGAGGAAAAGGGAGTGGAAAAGGAGCGCAGAGATTGGTTAACGGCTGGTTTAAGACAGGGCCCCCGGTTCGCGACTGGCGGAGTGCTGAGCACCAAGCAGCCTGCAGCACCGACCGCGTACTGACGGGAGCGAGCGAGGGGAGGTACCTCCTGCCCTGGTCTGGGCAGGACCACGGGCTTGCAGGGGAAAAAAGCCAGGCCATCCAGGCAGCTCAGCACTCGAGCAGCGCCAAGAGTCGACCTCGTGCAAGGTCCTGGCTCCGTAAATCCGCTCCTGCTTCCCCCACCTCCGTTGCGCAACAGGCAAGGACGGCCGTGCCAAAACCAGCCAAGGAGGAAGGAGCCATGTCCAATCGTGGCGCTCCGTCGGTCATGAGACGCAACTTGAAGCCCTTCGACTCCGTGCCGTCGACTTGGACGGGCTTCACCAGAAGCGTGCAGTGCTTCCTAATAGGTGAGCTGGTAGCTACGCGTCGCGCAGAGCCGGCCGCCTGGTTGCATGGCCGCCTCGCGAGGCAATGCCGCATTGCATTGCACGTCACTTCAATGACCTTTGCAGGACGGTCTTTCCTTGGAGCTTGGCCACACAGTTACCACTTCCCTGAGTGGTGGTAGTGAGTGGGGTACGGAGGTCGCACTCGTTCAGGCACATCCAGGAGGCTCGCTCCTGGCTGACTGGAGCTGGTGGTGGGCGACGGCGGGCTTGAGTGGACTCATTGCTCGGCACGGAAATTCAGGCCAGGTGGAGGACGGCAGGGATCTACGGCTGGTTTGGTGCGGCTTGCAGGGCCATCAGGCACTCCGTCGCTCATGGTTCACCACTCAAAACGCTGGACGGTGAGCCCCAAGGAGGCGGACGGCAGGGGAAATCCATCCAGAGACGCGGTACCATAGTATGCACCGACCTAAGCGTTGCACTTGAGGAGCGTGTTTAATGTCCTCTGTTGCGCGGCTGCGTGTCGCGATTTGGGGCATGGCAGCTGGGACTGGCGCGGATCAATCCCACAGTGCCGTCGTCGTGTTCTGCACCATAATCGCCTTGTTGAGGCGTCGACGTTGCAAACGGGATGGGAACGGGGCCTGGCAGTCGAGTGTTTGCACAATGGACTCTGGCTGTGCACAATGCCCGAGTACCCAAGGGAGAACAGGCTTTACTTGGTACATGGCCTCGGGTTTAGTGACTTCGTACAGATTACTGCTGCATGTATCAAACAACCTCCTGAGTGCGGAGGTCCCGAGTTGCGCGAGAAAGCACCAACCCGGCTGAAGCAACGGCCAAAACGAAGACCCCGGGTTCGAGGAGGGCTGATTGACACATCCATGAATGTTTTGTCCTTGTTTGTTTGTTGCACCAGCGTGGTTCCATGATCGTCATGCCCACACCTTCAGGCCTTCGGCTATCCGAGCGAGTAAGGCCATGCTAAAGGCTCTCTCGCCATGGCTTGCTGCTTGGACGCTCAGTCAACCGAGACAGCCGAGCCATCGAACCCGGTGAACAGGGACGGCACTTGATCGAAGTGCATCGACAAGGACGAGGTGCATGTCGCGAAGCCATACAAAAGTGGAGGGTACATAAGGCCAGCTGCAGGTCATCCGGAATGAATCGGTGCCCCCTTTTGGCTGCGAATTGAAACCCGCCGTGGCCGTGTCGCAATCAGAAGAAATGCACCAACGCATTGTCCACCGGGACTCTCAAACTGGGTTCTTGATTCCAGGGCTTACGTCAGGATCTCCAAAACGCTCGATTACGCCTCCACTCGACTTTATTGAACCGACTCGCCCGATGCGTGCTTGTTCCAGAGCAGCATCTGAGGCGCCCCTGAGATGGTGAAATCCGGTTCGCAAAACCCCCACCCAGCCCGGACCTCCAAAAGGAACGACAGTGCAGATAAGGACATGGCTCCCGACATATTTATACATTGTTAGATAGGTAGTAGTTACAGGCATGGAAGAGGCGGGCGCGTGAGTGTAGTTTCCGTCGGTTGTTCCTTTCTTTCTCAGCCGCTCGGTCCTCATTGCGCCATATGATCCTCTTCCACCAAGGCTGTCCAATGTTCCCGTCGGTTCCAAAATCTGAGTTGCTGCGCGTATCATGGAAGCTTGGCGTGTTCGCGTTTGATGGCCTGCGTCCCATTGGGGACCACCCGCTGCACTGAGGAAGAGGCCCGCTTTTTGAAGGCTGGATCCACAGCATCTCGAAAGTTCGCAAACCTGCCCGCTCTCATCCATTCCTCGGCAGACATGTGCAACCGACTCTGAGATAAGAGACCGGGTTTCTGGGCCACCATCTCCGAGTTAAAGTCAATAACTAACCAGCAATAACTAGCCAGCAAAGTCTTACAATGCGATGTCTTTCCCGACACCAACGAAAGAAAGTCCAGGGGGCTGCGGTGCCTTGCCGATGCAGAGTATCGGGAAGGTCTGACGGTCTGGCAGCCAATCAGGAGGGGCGCGACGCGTTGCTGCACGACTTCAGAAATCCAATTTAATTATGCGTGTCAACGACGGGCTCCTCCAATCCAGTGAGTCGGTCGGCTTGTGGCCCGCCACAGGGATCGCGACGACGGCAAGAGAGCGAAACCAACACTCCCACTTGCATCCAAAAGCGGCCGCTGTAACGCGGACGCGTGAGATCGCTTTTCCCCCCGTCCAAGCTTGGAAAACCGGCCGGGAGTGCGTCGTCGAACCCAGATTTCCTCTTGGCACATTCAACATGAACACCCACACATTGCATCTCCAACTCGCTTCATCAATATCTTGTTTCCATGCTATATGGCTATCTGCATTGACCCTTGTGCGAATGACGGCTCACAGGCGCCACCGGGATTTCAGTGCAACTCGGCCTTTGGCTTGGAGATTATTGATTGCTGTGCCCCGTGGAACACAACGTTTTGATAGTCGACGGGGTCGAGGTTCAAGCGCTGTGACACCGCCAGTCTCTTCCCATCAGACCACAAACCGGGGTAGTGCCAACGGTTGTGATCTGTCTATCATTCATCCCCAACCACAAAATACAGTAGCTCATCTGGGTCTAGGCATCCAGCTCCATATCGCCCGAGGGCCCGCAGCAGAATGATGTGTGTACACATGCATGCAAACGCTAGAGCGCAGATCCCAGAGCCATGTTCATCGGTCTCTCTTTATCACACACAGAGGCTAACTAACTAGATCGGCACCCTAACCGAATTCCAGCCTTCCACAGCGAAGGTCGAGTGTGGCGGCCCTCTCAAGTTGGGGTGGTGTCACCTTCGGAGCAAACAACTGGGAGCCAATGACTCGGCTCACGCAGAGTTCAGATGAAACTGCTTCTGCCAACTCACCAAGGAGGGCAGCCGTCTCCTCAAAACAAGACCCGAATGTTCTGGTGCTGACTGGAGGGGTAAGGAAAGCCTCCAGAGAAATGCAACCTCGAATGCAAGTCAGCAGCTGAGCCATCATCTGAGGTTGATGCGAATGGCCAAGACATCTCTGCAGAGAACTTTATCTTGCCGCCTCCGCTTCAAGCCCGCGCTCGTTCACCCAACAGAATAGGCCGCGACCCACGAGAGAGAGAAAAAAAGCCAGTTGGTGGGTCTTGTCGGGGGAGCAACGGAAAAGACATTTGCAACCCGGAGACTTGCAAGTTAACAAAGGAGAGATGATTTTCACCGGGCCACCAGGCGGTGTCGAAAACAACGTTGCCGGTCTTCCCGAAAGCGGGCCGCCAAGCCGACCGTTCAAGCCCGGCACCTCGGCCAGAGGGACTCCGACATTTGCGGAGCCGGCCTTCTGCTTTTCGGACTCTTGCTTTGCGAAGATGAAGGCCGGATGCCTGCGGGATTGCTTCACTTTGAGGCGACGACAGCGGACCAATAATGGAAGCGGTGAACCGACGAGAAAAGCCAGTCCCTGCCGGCTTGTCTCATCGGCCGTTTGCGCTTGCCCACAATACTCCATCAGCCCCCCTCACACGCACTCCACAACCGAGCCAACCGAGCCATCACGGAAGGGAAAAAAAAAAGTCAGCCAGCCATCCAGTCTCTTTGCGGTCCAGTCTCCTTGCGGTGTGGCCCGAGACACCAACCACTTGTCCACTTCCGGAGCAAATATCGTCAGAGCCTTCTCTCCTCCAGCGGATGTGTGATTGGAAGGGAGAAGAATATTCCCCTTGTTGCTCCATTCCCTCGGTTTTCCCACACCTGCTGCCGGGCAAACCCAGGAAAGGGCTTGCACAAACACGCTGCTTCTCCATCACATCTACGCAAGGGAGAACCCAAAAAAAAAAAAAGAGAGAGAGGAAAAAAAAAAGTAATTGCCTCAGATGCCTGGTTCCTAGCAGAGAGATCTAACTAAATAGACTCAACGAAACAGCTTGTTCAAAGACGAATTCCAGGTTGTGGGTCCCCGAAGTCTCGAGGCTCAGGCGCTTCCAGAACACCTGCCGAAGACCCTGGCCTGCAGCTGCAGAGCAGTGGTAAGGCTGAACTAGCAGAGAGTGCCACATGAGGCTGACAACCGAACCAACCCCGCAAGAACGGAAAGAGCGAGAGAGATCCCATCAGTGTGGCACCATGTGTGGAAACCTTGAATCTTTTCCCCAATTCTGTGTGGGATGAACCAATGGGCTTGACTCAGAATGGGATGAGCGACGCATATCAGATCCATGCTCAAGGGTACCCCAGACAGAAATCACGAAAAATGCAACCTCTCTCCTCTCTTCGCGATCCCGATTCGGTCCCGTCATTTCGACAAATTCCAGAAAAGCAACTGCTCAAAGCAGTCGCATTTGTGAGTTACTGTGGATTGTGGATCGTGTCTGCCCCGTTTTCCCGACCGTTTTCTTCGGCAGCGACGACTGCAATGATCAAATCGCGCGGGCGTTCACCCTCACACGGCTATCTCGGTGTAACTTGGGTTGCTTGTTCGGTCTTGATTAACATCAGGTATAGCCAAAAGAGAAACAGGGCGGCTTTCCGGGTTTTCAATACACATGAGACCTTGGCTCAAAAGCCGCCTCTAGCAATTGACCCTTTTTGCAGCCCCGCGTGTCCCGTTTCACCGCCCGTGCCGTGGCGTGTTTCTCGGCTATCAGCTCACTGACTTGGGCAAACAATTTGCAGGGACGAGGGCTCTTCATCAGCATGGAGCCGACCGCCGAATTCCATCTCCTGGGCCACCTCAGTCGATTCGTTGAGGGGCACGGGTTATCGAGATCCTGGGAACAACTGTCGAGTACTTGTAGATGCATCCCAGAAGCGTTACCATGGGACCGTCGTCGGCGCCATTAACCCTTGATGAAAGCCGAAGTTGCTACACAGTAACTTTCGAACATCACATCACGACAGGCTCATCCGCACTCCTGTCGCCCAACTACCGACCTCGGCGCCAGGTGCCGCTTGTGTTGCAGCATCTGCCCACTGCAAGGGCCCAGCCTCTACCGTCGTTACATTGCCCAACATCTGGAGGCGGCAAGACGAGCCCAAAGCGCAGAACATCGCCATGGATAATCTGGGACTCTTCACCGGCTCCCAGCCTGCTGAGCCTGAACTTCCAATCGAATAACTCACTACCTCTAACCGCCGCGGCACGGCTTGTGGCTCGTGGATATGCCCCCCAAACTCCAACGTTGGCCCCTCCGTCGCCACCTGCTTGGCCGAGCGTGCCGAGCACCTGACTGCGCCTGGAAACAGCATTCGGAACTTCCAGGTTTTCTTGGGCTGTGGTGGGGAAAGGGCTCTTGTTATCCAGCAAAAGTCGCGCCAACCGGGCGATTCGAGGCCTTCCTGTGTTTCACGGAGATGAATGGCCCATGGGCACGTGTCAGCACCATCATGACAACCCCCCCCCGCCTCGTTCATCTAACAGGGTCGGGCCAATGCAGCCCCTCCGCGACCCGGCGGCGCTCTCCGGCTCCTCTGCCCCGGGCACCGTCTCCGCCGGAAGCGCCGGCGCCGGGCCGGAAAAGCCAAGATGGAAATCTCGATGGTCCAAGGCCGAAGTCTCCTCCCGCACCGCCAAAAGCTCGGGCACAAATATCAAGACAAGCTCAAAAGTTCTGCTTCGGTTCCGTTCACATAGTTCCGCTCAATATCTCCTCACTCTCCGTCCCCGTCACCGAGGAACATTTCTATCCTAGGCGGAATGAAACAAACGCTCAGACAGCATCTCTCAACGCTTAAACCGACGGGCCAATTGGCCAATCGAATCCCAATTTAACCAAAAAGGAACGCGAAGACGCGATGCGGGGTGTGTTTTGGGAGCGGCAGACGCAGTCATGACGCGATTCGCACTGCAGAGCAGTGGCAAGGCGCTAAAACGCGGCGAGGGTTCTCCCACACATTGCTCGAATCCGGCTTTGGGGGAGCTCGAGGGAGGCTGGGGTTGCTTCGGGGGCTTAGGTAAGGAAGCTCGAAGCTCCTCGCATTAGGAAGCTCAAGCTTCAACATATGCTTCATGACTTCATCGTATGGCCAGGCCTCGGCTTCAGAACCGCTTCGCGACATCCACATGCACGACATTCCTCCACGTGCCCTGGAACTCACGTCGTTGCATCTGGAAGGATTCCAGTTGTTCACCGGCCTCCCATTGGAAGCAACTCCGCCACCGAACCCACGGTGATCGATACGGAGCTTCATCAGTTGAAAATCCCAAGAGGACTAACTAGTTGAGTCGGTGATATGAGCCCCTTCACCCCAAACAAAGCGGCGATCGATCTGTGCCGCACGCGTTGCAGGAGAGTAAGTCTCTTGAATGGGTGAATGGATTGAGGGCCCCGGTTCAACCCACACCGAGCACTCAATTCTCGACTTCGCCTGCAGTCAGGAAGTCGGGTTCTTTCCAATCAGGATCCGTCGCAAGCAGGCCTCCAGCTCTGCAGCCGCCCAACCCAGTCTGTCGGGAACAGAACAGCTGCGCTCCAACAGGAGGAGAATGCAGACCTGACGAAACAAGTCGCTCAAGCTTTGCGAGCTGGCCAGCCAATCACAGGCCCCTGCGCGCACTTTACGCGTGATGCGCGGCCCCTCGGCTTGGCGGATCGCGCTGGTGCTGCACTCGTCAGGCACGGCCTGGCCAGCGCTGTCCTATCAGCCCCGGGTTTGCCTGGCTCTCGCTGGACTTTTCGGCTTGTCGCAGCATCCCGAACGCTATTTCTGGGGACGCTGTTTTCTTTTCCCTGAATTCCCGCTCCAACGGGTATGATTCCCGAGCGGAGACGCACTTCCCCTTCCTGCCTTCCTCCTGTGAGGTGCATGTACATGTAGGCAGCCACGACGCAGGGCGAAGTCCGGAGCCACCGGGCGAATATCATTTCCGGAGCCCTCCCACTAAGGTAACTGAACCACTCGCTCAATCCTCCGACTGGCACTTGTTCGTAGTGAGCGTCTTTCTTGTTGGCGCCGCCACTGGCACGGCCTCCCCGCTCCTCACTCACTAGCAGCAACAACCTTGGAAACAACCACGCAACAACTTGGTTTCTGATTGCAATCCTGCACCGGGCCCGCCTTTTTTCTCTGATCTGGGGAAAGCCCACATGAGGGGAAAGGTTCCAGGTTCCGCCCGTAATCTCGGCTGCAAGCGCAACCACCCCGAGCCTCGCCCCAATATTCCTTTTCTTGTCTTGGAATTGGGGGCGAGAGCAAGCCCCAAATCGGGCATCTGCCGGGAAGTTTGTTGACTCGGAAACGATGACGAAGGTCAAAACGCATCCGAGTCTCAAATATCGAGTTTATCTATCCTTCGTGCCTCCCGAATCCCGTTTGGGGGTCGTTCAAACATCGCCCAAACGCAGTCCATGGTTATCCATACACAGTTATTGAGCTGCGGTGATACATATGTCCATACATCGCCCCCTGAACCCAATAACTATTCGTACCGTGGCGCGCTCGTTCGGATTTCAGCTGAGGGTGGCTGCATGGCAAATCTCGATATGATTGCGTGATCTGCGGCCGACCACTTCATTCGGTGTTAGCGTCGTGCCTCGACCATCTCCCTCCCTGGCTTGGCTGTTGGTGAACCCGAAAACGGCGACAGGGGAGAGAGCGGGAGCTTTCGGTTTGGTTTGTCTGTTGGTTGGCACGGCAAAGACCGATCGATAATTTGGTAATGTGAACCAGCAAACGTCTTGCTTGAGCATTGACGTCGTGGTTGAACCAAGTCTTGGAGTGGGCCTTGGACCGCTTTCGCCGGGCAAGGAAGGCTCGACGTCTCGAACCCTGTTACACGAAGCTGATGATTGGCCTTGTTGGGTTGTTGAAATGCGAAAGATATCTGCCAAGGCCCGGGGTCATCCTTGGGGTTCCCCTGAGCGAAGGGACACAGTTTGGGTTCCCAAGACAAGAAAGATCTCCAACGCTTAACAGCATCTGGAACGTTGAAGACATCTCCAATCTCGGTGCTTTCTTTTGGCACTTCAGAAGTCCGAAACCTCTTTCCGAACTCACAACACGGGTGGCACACAAGGTGACAAGGTAGTTATAGGCATCTGGCTAAGGAAGAGAGCAATAAGAGGCGGCGTTGTCAGTTACTCAACACTTTGAGTATTACATGACAGACAAGCATTGTACTATTAGTAACCCCCTATTGCCGGGAAGCTCGACAGCTCAAGCCAAGAGAGACCATGTTGCCAGTCTGTTGTTAGCTGTCAGTACTGAGCAGTTGCCGCCGCCCCCACGACCGAATCCAACCTGACATAGGCCCTCTCCACGGGCTACGCGGATGTTAGTTTGCATTACGGGTGATGATTTTATGTGAGAAATCCCTCGAGAAAAAAACAGAGGGGTTGTAACGAGACATCTCTCGCTGGCGAGGGTGCCTTAGTCGCCGGCCAAGTCCGGTTTTGTCACCACAGGTCTCAAGTTCATCTGCAAAACGTAAAACGAAAACAAGTACACGCTTTCACAACTGACCTCTAGCATATGTGGTGTGTACAGGCTTGTACTCATTCTATTCGTCGTTGTTGACTTGCCCCTATCTCCGAATTTGCTTGCTGAGTCTCGTCCAGGGCATGACACCCGTACAAGTTCACCATAGCTCATCCGGTGTGATGTGGGCCGTAGCTTTAAATCCATGAGCAGAGTGTCAGGCTGGTTCTTACGCTCTAGGTAAAGTAGTATGGCAGTTATGGCCATCCAATGCCCAGGCCGTGTCGTGTAGAGCACATACTTGTCAGTGTCCTCGAAGGCATCCTCTCCTTCAACCCAGGGGTTAGATACTCTGGTAGCATCAGGCGAGCATTTAACCATACCTCGGCCTCCTGATACTAATAACTGAATGTGTTTCGACCGCTATCACATCACAGTCAGGCGTTATTGACGAGTGACGAAGGCATCCCACTGGGCGAGCCACCGGCCTTCACAAATTCGCCGAGCGCAGCGCCGGGTTGTAGGTTGTACCCCGGAGGAAAACAGTAACGTGGAAGCAGCTTTCTGGCTCTTCTCGGTGATGGGAGAAATAGCCATGGTGATCAAAAAGAGTACCCAGGCATGGTGTGAAATGGAGTCAATATGGATCGTGGTGGAGCAAAACATCAAAAACATACAACACCGGGGATTCGCTGGTCGTCACCGACCCAACTACTGATCCGGCGGTCGCGAGTTTATCTAGGGGAGAGCGGACGGGATCCCGAGTTTTCTAGCGCCTATGGTCGTATGTGATAGATTGGGGTTGGTGTTGTGGTATATCAAGGGGCGACCGGGAGTAGCGCCACTGGGTATTGACACGTCGCCACTCAGCCGCCCACACATACGGTAAACCGGCTACCCTAATAACAGTCAATGACATCAAGCCTCTTACTTAATTCATTAAAGTATGACTTGGGGGGGGCTTGGTCAAGTTGGGGAGATGGTGAGCAAGGTGTCGGAAGGAAGGCCAGAACTCAAGAATCATCATCCACACCTGGCCTTGACAGTGGTAACGCGTGATTCATGACAGCAGAGATCTGTTATTTACGGCTGCTCAAAGCTCGACTTGAAATCAGGCTGAAGGCCTGGGTTAATTGAGGTATTCTGTCATCTCGTTATTGTTACCCCTATCCCGACTTTGGCCAGTTTAGGGGATCAACAAGCCCTCATGAATGCAGGACGCTGTGACTGTGGATGAATAAGGAGAGAACAGAAAGACTTTGCACCATCTGCGTGTATAGAGCTCGATTATTGACGGTGTGCTGTGTTGGCGTGGAGGCGCTGTGGCACCGACTGTTTACTTCGCAGCCCCTTTTCACCCGACGGATGCCAGAGCCGCAACAAGCGCGACGGAAAATACATTGGAACTGGCCGCTGCCAATATGGGATATCTAGGGCTGCAATGTGCTCTTTGCATGTCGCCAGTAAAGGATAGCGGTGCTATGATTCGTGTGGGAGGGCTCGAGCAAGTCAGCATCCAGCGGGTTACGCGGACTCCACGGATCAATCGTCTTTGCGTTGAGCACACATGGCATACAACCAATCACCCAAGCTGGAAATGAGGTTGGAGACAACGTCCAGCACTTATTGCCTGACTGTAGTGGTATTTGCACCAGCGTCATGCCACGTAAATTCAAGTTGCCCCTCTCCCCGGAACGCCCCGTGGCGATGGGAAGCTATCTAAGATACAGCTCCCACGCCAACCCCTCCCCCCCGCTCCCGCAAAAAAAGCAGACGCGTCAAATGCTCCCCTCAAAAGATCCAAGCGGCGCCGGCTTTACTCCAAACAATGATGGTAGAGGTATGTGTATATGATTGGCGACGACAAAAGAAAGGTAGGTAGTCTGTCTGTGGACACAGAGCGGTGGGTTTGATATATATGGTTGCGTAGTAGGATACCGGTGATGGCGTATGTAACATTAAAAACATAAGGCGACTAACACGCCGAAGAAGTGACGCGGTGCCTGTGCCGGCGATGCATCGTGCGTGTCGCTGGCGGGAACAAAACCATCAACGTCTCGACGCAATCGGGCAACGGTGGGTATCTTGCTGCGATGAACAGCGAAACCGTTGGCCGGCGACTCGACGTTTTTCTAATGGGGTTGGAACGCTAGCGATTGACCCCGGAGGTGGAGGGGCGGGGGCGGGGGCGGTTGTTGCTCAGGGGAATGGCGGGCCCTGGCCACGAGGGGGAGGGAATCCTTGGTTGCGTCGGCCGTTCTCCCCGCGGGCGGCTACCCATTCGGCATTGCCGCTCTGGCGTGCGGGTACGTCGGCAGACACGGGGACCTTGGTGTCGTCATTGGACGAGGACCCGCCTCGGGCGGCCAGTCCAGTCCTGCTCGGGCCGGCGTCGGCTGCTGTTGGCACGAGCTGGGTTACAGCCTGCGTGATCGAGGCGACGACATAGCTGCGGAGTTCGCGATCCTCCCTCGAGTCCTCCTTTTCTAGATCGAAGCGTTTCTGCTTCTCCAAGTTGGCGCGGCGGAGATGTTTGATCTCCTGCATGACATACAACATGACCTCTTCGGGGCAGCGGTTGCGCTCGTTGTAGTACTCGGTCTTGCGCACGTAGCGCCTGGTGACATCGGTAGCGCCCTCGTGCGAGAAGGCGATGCAGTACGACATCTTCTTACCCCAACCCTCGGTGTACAACCTAGGATTGTCCCACGCCTCTTCGCAGGCGTCGATGTGGACCCAGCGCTTCTGGTGCTCCGAGTAGACCTCGGTCCACACGTGGTCTTCGGCGTTCCATACCCAACGGACGCGGCCGCCGATGGCGCGGCAGAGCATGCTGAAGCAGTTTGCCCACTCGCCACATCGCCCGCGCCGTGTCTGCATGAGGCGCCAGACGTCGCTGTACCGGGGGAAGCGCTCGTACGCTCGGCAGTTGTTGTTGGAGCAACGGTAGAGCTCGACGCGCAGGGCACCACAGGCCTTCTCGTCCGGCGTCGGCTGCGTCATTCCTTGTGCGATGGTCGGAGAAAAGCAGACTGGGCACTGGGGGTTGTTGACCCATGTGAAGAAGTCGTTCTTGAACCACCTACAGCGGAGAGAGGTGAGTATGAGGCAAGCTAGAAATTGGTGATCCTATCAACCCGTGATAAGAAACGTACCTTAGGAGGGCGCGGATCATGCAGTCCTGATAGCCCCATTCCGCTTTGCGCCCATCCCCCATGCTCTCGGCCTCGGCTTGGAGCACCTGGCACTCCTCCTCGGCCTCTCCATAGATCCTGTCGAGTGGAATCGCCTGCAGGGCCTCGTCAAGCAGGCCGGGGTTCTCGTACTTCATCGGTGTTGCTGATAGTGATATGAGGAGGTTTCGAAATCGGGTGGACTCGAGATCGTCGGCTGCTGGTGGGGTCGGAACCTTGGGAAGGTTTCGGACGGATGAGTAGGAAGGCGGTGTTAGTGCGTCGCCCGACGTCCCTGGCCTGCTACGATCGGCGGCATAAATATCTCGGAGGTTGCCCGACGATGCGCTGTGCCCGGGCGCAGGTGATCCTTGGCGGGATCGTGTCGAGAGGTCGGTTAATCGCTTCGTTCTCAGGAGCTGCTCGAACTGCACCCTCAAATCGTGCGCCCATTCCTCGCCATACTGGTCCCCGCCCCGAGAGGCATCCCTCCCATTAGCATCCATGTTCGTTGTGTGCGATAGCCAACTGGTGCCCGGAGGGTTGGTTGTGGGCGACGGGCGCTATTTAATTGAATCGGGGAGGGCGTCTCGACAAGATGTCGCCACAGGGAAGAGCGCAACTTCGGATGCGTCGTAACGTCCTCTTCTTTTTTGTTGTCGTTGTCGTTGTCGTTGTCGTCGTAGTCAAATTGATCTGTTAGCTTTTCGTCGCCCGGCGGCGGGTGATAAGCAGTGGATGTCGTAGTCGTCAAGTGGTGGCGCCTAAACGCTGGGCCACGCAACGTTGCGGATGACGAGTCGGGGTGCGCCTCTCGTGACCCTTGTCTTCCTTGCCGCTCACTCAATCGCCGTCTAAAAAGGCGTCGGCTGTCGACAGACAAGCGCCTTCGCTGTCTGTGAGATGGCGCGCAATCCGAGATGGTCGTCGGGCTTGGAGGGGGATCGATTCCTCGCGACGCCGGGGATGGGGATAGGATAGGATGGGGGTGGTGAGTGGCAGGTTAGAGATCAGAGAAGACCAGCGCAGGTGGGCCGGGGACAAGAAAGACAAGGGGCCAGAGGATAAAGCTGCGGACGGGTGGGGAGGGGTGGGGAGGAGCCGACGCAGGCGTGTGTAATGGCGTGCGCCCGTCTCGGCGTCCCCTAACCACACACTGGCTGGAGGGTTGCGCGGCCGTTCCCAAGAATGTCCTGCAAGTATTCTGTACGGATACATGCACTGAGGGCGCAGATGGCATGTGTCATTTAGGTACCTCTTCCTGACGACTGCTCGTGGCCACGGGCCGATCACCCTTTTCTCATTTCAGATCTGAGCACAGCATTTGCCCGCCTTACTGGCCACTCGCAAGACCGACGTAATCAAAAGGTCGAGGATTGAGCTGTTGGGAGTGCCCGGAGAGGGGTGCAGGCAACGAGCAGACGTATCTCGCTGCGTGGAAACAGCGACGGCCCACGAGAGAAGTGGAGGGGGAGCACATGGAGAGGGAGGCGTCTTGGACAGAGAACGCGCGTCCAGTTTGCGGCCACGACCAATCAGGGCCAGGTTCGGATCCCTCCGCCCCAAATGGGATCCCCACATCGATCGGTCTCCGCCTCACCATGACCCTTGATCTTTCAGCGATTTTCCACAGGCCTCACTCACCAGGACGGACTCCAACGGACCTTGGCAGCGTATGTGGAAAGGCTCTGTGTTGATCTCTTTTCCATGACAAGGAAAGATGGAGGATGGTGTTTTATCGGGATTTTTTAAACGGGGAGCGGCAATGAATTGGATGGATTATGGATAATGGGGGTTACGGATACGGGCGGGAAGTGCAGGTACCGGTCGGAGGTGGGCGGCACCATGACGAGTCGTGGCTCGCGGGTGGCCAATCCCACTTCTGGTAATTCCTGTACTGTGGCTGAGGCTCCAGCCTTGCCATTCGCCAGCATCGGACCGTGTGGGGAAGGCCGCCAACAGTGCTATTCGCACGATTCGATTCGACACCCACTCTCAAGCCACTGCAGTTCGAGTGCACCTCGAGTGCACCTCACAGCGAGTTAGATAGAATATTGGCACACATTTGGCGATCATGGTTTGCCCGCCGACAATCTCGAACAAAAGTGGAAGGTTTCGACCGGTTTGATATTGAATTCGCCAATCATATCATATTTTACACAACTGCTGGTGAGAAATGCGGATGAAGGCGCGGCGGTCGATGAATTTGGCGAACTCGACTCCTTGACAACAGCCGAGACAGCGGGACAGCCTTGCCCTCCCTGGAGCCTCTTGTTTGCCAACACGCATGCAACATACGAAAACCGACTCGCCCACTTCACCTCAGCTTACCGACGGTATTCAACCTTGACTGTTCGATGACGAATGCCACGGTTTAACGTTACCACCGGTCACGCACGGAGCCACGGAGCCATGGAGCCATGTGCGCCTTCCATGTTCCTCCGAGTTAACTTCCGCGGTGCCTCAGCGCCCGTCTTCCAACGGCTTAAATCGCCGATACATGGTGACATGTTCAGCCCGAGTGGTTGTCGACATTGTGGAAGCGTTGATCCAAACACCCAGGTAGCTGACGACTTGCTGTTGCCAATTGCCACCAACGGCCTCGTGCCATTATCGGGTTAGTTACCTACTCGTCATCTCATTGTGCTCGTGCACGTCGTGTTAGAGGTTGATTCACTGAGCAGACGCCTGACGCTCTCACGCTCCATACCTATCAACCGAATCCGAATGGTCCCGGTCCAAGGTTTCCGTGGAAAACCCTCTGACAGTGTCTATCCCGTCGGCTCATAGGCGGGAGCACTGTGCGGCTGGTATGGGATGGACAGCACAATTCTGATGGTGGCGTTGAGGATTACGCGGCATTCGGCTCTTTTTCACCTTCTCTTGGCAATCCTCCACACGTCAGAGGACGACGACACGACGAACTCCATCATCCTTTTAACATCAGAAATCCGCCACCCGTTCGCAGCATCCGTGGTATCGAACCCGGAGGCGGACTTTGTAAGGAATTGTTCACTCCTCTCCTTTTTTTTTTTGGTAAGCGGGGACGTTTCGTGAGGTTCATTGCCAGGCTCCCAGGTTCACCCGCCTGCCCCCAACCCGTGGGTCTTCTGTCTCGGCTATCGACAACACGGGGAGCACATGGATTTATTCCCCCGTCTGGCTATCGACAACACGGGGAGCACATGGATTTATTCCCCCGTCTTGGCATGTCTTCGGCCAATGTATCTGTAAAGAACCTGCAGGTGTGTTCAGATATTGGCAGGTTGAGTCGTTTGGGTATGAGAGCAGGTGGTCGGCTACCCATCATGTCAACTCCATGAAACAGCTTGCCCCCGGCCTGTTTGGAATCTCTCAGCTCTGGCCACGCCCGTTAGCTGGGCCACCAGGCCACCTCGAGGCGATTGACCAGATATCGAACCCTCTCGTTTGATGTTAAAGGATACTACGGTGATGTAGATCAGCCTCATGTCAACGTGCCCGACAGGTATCAGCTAAACCATTTTCTTGCCGCCTCGGCCCTTACTTCTACCTCCATACCCACCTCTCATACGTGTACCATGTCTCGTTATTCCCCAGACCCGAGTGTAATCGATGCCATTCGGGCCTCAGATTAGACTGTGTCTGCCATGACTGTCTGAACCAGCCATCTCTGGGCTTTCTCTTCAACTATCAGCCTTTCCCGACTTCATCCACTAGCTAGGGGCAAGCTGGGGCCCACAAACGGGTCCAACATCCACCACACCGGGCCATATGTTTCCGCGTAACTGATACTAGCTAGCGAAATCCTCTCGGAGAGAAGGGAAACCGATTCAAGGCCTCACTCTAAAAATACCAAACCGACCTTTCAGCCTCGACCCGAGTGTTCCCGCAGACCATCCCCCTCCCCCGCCCCAACCACCCAGCCTGCCAGCCAGCCAGCCAGACACGACGGGTGACGGAAGACCCAAAGCGAGAGAGAGGAAGTGAACCCGACCTCGACGCGCGTCTCACAGCTCCGATCCACCCGAAAAAAACCTTTCCGTGCCCCGTGCCCCAGAATATTGCCGCCAATTTTGCCCCGAAGGGGTCCCCTACTAGACACATCAGAGGCGCACATCAGAGACCTGCATGCCATCGCACAACTCACCCGCAGATTGCGCGCAGACCGCTCCCTCGGGTATCCTACCACCCTCCTGTGTGTATGTACATGAGACGGACGGAATCGGGGGAAGTTCCCTTCTCCTCCGCGGCTCACCTCACCCCCCCCCCCCCCATCCCCCGGACCCTCCTGCTCTGATACAACGATGGTAGCCGCGGTGGGGGCCGGAAGAAGAAACAGACCACCAAGAAAGCAAGTATCACAAAGGCCGACAAGTCACATGAAAAAAACACATCCCCTGCCAGAAACGCAGGATAACATGAGCGTGTGTTTTGTTTGTGTGCCGACTAGCCTGTGCCTCCCCGACCTCCTCTCGGGGAACACAAGCACGACATGATGGAAGGTCGAAAGAAGAAAAAAAAGGGCACACGGAAGCGTAAATCCCGCGGGCCCGGTCCACGGTTCACTCCCCTTTGTCACACTCATTCCCTCGGCCTTTCCCTTGCCCCTCTCCCTTGCCCCTCTCCCTTGCCCGTCTTGCCGACGGGGATGTCAGGACCACAGGAGGACCGCGTCATCTACTGAGGGGAGGGGGGGAGGGGGCCACGCAGAGATCCACCGCCGCCGCCGCCGCCGCCGCCGCCGGCTCTATCCCCATCCTATCTGCGGCTGGCCGGGTTGGGAGGCGAGGGATTTCTGTTTTGGGACGGGAGCGGTGTCCAAGGCGGGTGGGTGGTGGGTGTTGGTTGATGTGTGTCCGTCCGTCGATCGATGGCGTGCAGAGATGATCCTGTCCGGCAGGTGGTCATTCGTGGTATGTAGCAGGGCCGGCGGTCCCATTGACTGACTCTCTACGGAGAGTGGAGGCCAGGCAGGGTGGGGATGCATGGGACAAACAAACACCAAGTTGCGGTTCTCAAGAAGGAAAAAGGTTTGGCGCGGGCCCTCCGAGGGTGCCAGGCTCGCCGTAGATCCATCCACCCATTCATACACGGCCTAGTTACCCCAGGCTGCAAGTTCTCGCGCAAGCAAGCAGGCAGGCCGGGTCTATCACAAGCTCGCTACACTCCCTCATGCCACACGCAGAAGGCGCTCATCATAAAACAGAACATGTACATACCACCCACCCACATTCACCTCTCCCACTCGCCCTCGGCGAAGTAACGTTCCGGCAGGTCCTCGCCAGTCAGCGGGCGCTCGACAAGAGCCACCTCGAGGGGCGGCAGGGCCCCCTCGGGGACGATCCCATTCGTCAAGCCGGGCAGGCCCTCGACCGGGACGATGCCCAATATCGGGCGGAACTGGTAAGAATGCCACCACTTCGGCGCCTTTGCCCCCTGCCCCTCCTCCTCCTCGTCGGCATCTACCGCGCCGCCGCCGCCGTTGGCGCCCTGCTGGTGGTCCCTCAGACGCTGCAGCTCGCCGCCATCGGTGTCGTCGTCATCGTCGTCGTCGACCCCGCTGCTCGCGCCGACGCTCTTCTGGTCGTCAGCGTCGGCCATCTCCACGTCCTCCCACCTGGCTCCGTCGGGCCCCAGGGCCGTCTTGACGCGCTGGGGTGCGAGGGACTGCTTGTCCATCTTCCCGCCCGCGCCGCCGTCCTGCCCGCCGCGCTTTCGCTTCGTGCCCTGCCTCTGCCCGTTCTTGTCTTCCGATGAGTCCTTCTTCTCCACGTCAAAGTCCTGGGACAGGTCCAGCATGAAGAGGGAAGAGACGCCGTAAATCCACGCCCTGTGGCCTTGCCATACGACCCCCTTGACTTGGTCCCGCGTGTCCCTGAATTGTGCCGGGAGCTTGGGGTACGTGTTCCGCCGCGACCACTCGGAGAGCGCGCCGCGGAGGGGGTTGAAGACGAGGAGTGACTTCACCGCGGTGATGGCCATCAGGTCATAATCACCGTCGTCCCGCTGGGATTTCGCAAACGAGAGCAGCACGGGCGCGGCGGACAGCTTGGGGAGCAGCTTGGCGTTGGGATTGCGGACCCAGCGCTCGCCGGCAACGTCGTCTGTCTCCTCATCTGACGAGTCATCCGACGACCCGCTGGCCGCATCATCGTCATCTTCGCCGGCCGTGCCATTCGCCCCCTCGCCGGGGCCGCGTAAGACCCACGTGTCGATGAAGCCTGCCAGGTCAGCCGCGCTGAACAATCTGCTGTCGGGGGAGAAGGCCATCTGCGTGACGTTCCGGTCGTAGGATCCGAGACCGCCAAGGAGGAGGTGCTTTGGAATCTGGCGCCGAAGTCGGTGCAATTTGTAGGGGTGAGAGATCGAGTACGTGGCGCCGGCTGGTGACTCTGTGGTATGCACCCTGGCGACCATCACTTTGCTCCCTTCTTCCGCCCAGGATATCCACCGGTTATCCGGCGAGATCTGGATCTTGGTCGCGGCAAGGCCGGCCGTCGGCATGTCCACTTTCCTGATCTGAAGTTGCTCCATTTGGCCCCCCCTTGCAAAATCAAGCTGGAACACCTTGATGTCTGTGGCAGTTGAGGCGACGAGAAGCGTTCCATCCTCGCTAATTACGGCGGATGATATGTAGGAGTCTCCTTTTACCAGCACCTGGGCGAGAAGCTTCCTGTTCTTACGGAGGCTAAGGGCGGCTTGGGGGTCGTCGAGCAGTTTCTGTGCCGGGCTGTGGAGGTGCCATATGCGGATTTCGTTTTCCCACCAACTAAGGAGGAAGCGCGCTTTGGGAGCGCTGTGCAGTGGCGCGTTTTGCGGAAGATGGGGCAATGTTCGATGATACTCCCTTCCAGCAGCACGCAAGGGCAGGGCCACGGGAGTCGCGTCCGAGCCTTCGAGATCCGTTAGCTTTGCCAGCAGCAGCGCGAGATGGTATACATACCGCCAGAAACCACAACACTCATCGCTTTGCTCTCAAAGGAAGCCATTGCCTTGACATCGTGTTGGTGATATCGGCGATGGAACACCTTTGACCAACGGCCAACCTGCCCAGCAATGGGCTCGTAGATGGCCGTCCGCCTGTCCATCCCCCCCGAGACAATCTTAGAGCCGTCTGCGCTGACGGAGAGACACAATACGTCCTGCGAATGACTCTGAATCCGCTGCGCCTGAGTGTATGTCCTGCCGTCCCAGATGCACACCTGACCGGTCGAGTCCCCGGACACAATATCCCCGTTGGGCAGGCACTTGACAGCCCACACGATGATGTTCTTAGAGCCCCCAGAGATGTCGGTTCCGAGAGTCATCTGCCTCAGCAATGTGCCGTTTCGGATATCGTAGGCGCAGATGGTGCTATTCGAGCAGCCGACGACGACGACGTTGTGAGACTGGAAGGCGATGCTGACAAATTTGGTCTTCTTCGACGGGGTCCGGATAAGGGTCTTTTGGAACTTCAGGTCGCCGTCCTCGATCGAGTAGAGCACCAGGTTGCCATCGACGGTGCCAGCAACCAGCTTTCGGCTGCCGGGCGCGGCGGCGCCCTTGTTCGGGGGAGGCTGGACACCGAGGCACCATATTTCGCCATGCTGGCCGCTTGCGTGCTTCTTCGCCTTTGCCTTCTCCAGATCCCACTCGGTGATGGTGGTCGTGTAGCCAATGCTAAAGAGGCGCGACTTGCCATGGATTGTCTTGCCGTCGGCCATCTCCTCGTCGGGCTCCGTGACCCAAACGAGGCCATCGACACTCCGATCCTTGCCGCCGGGAATTACGAGTTCTTGATGCCAGGCACCCTGGAGGGGGTTCCAGATTTCAATGTCGCCATTGGCTCTTCCGATCGCTAGTCGAACCTGGATGTGTTTTACGAGGTGCTTCTTCTGCGACGAAACCGAGGGGAGTGACGAGTGCGTGAATGCGACCGCATTGATGGCCGAGGCAGGATAACGGACGAATCGGCACCGGTGGATATCCATGCTTCCGGTGTTGTCAGCCCTGGGGTCGCGGGGAAGGGCGTCGGATCCGAAATTCCTGAAGGGTATAAAAGCGGCTGCCGACTGCCTTTTTTTTTTTTTTTTCTGCCGCTTCCAAAAGCTTTTGGAGGGAAGCCGGTCAGAGAATTAAGCTATGGTCCGTGCGCGATAGCAGATGGGGCGCGTCAGAAAGCCCAATCCGACGCCTGGGCAGCTCGATAGCCAACAAAATTCAGGGGTTGCTCTAGGGCGTTCTCACTGGATTTCTTGTTGCCAAGATCGGGCTTGGTGCCCAGCCATCACCCCACTGCGCCCCGCGGTCAGATAATCGTCGAGTCTCACATTCGAGTTGGTTACTCAACGCCGTCGCCGAGGCACCTCATCCAGTCACAAGCCGGTTAAAATAAAGGAGCTGGATCCGATCTGAATATATAACACACCTCGAGGTTTCCAGTTTCAACTTATTTTGGAAGGCGGCACCAAGTGTGAACGACGTCAGTTTCCCCCGCTTCAATCAATTCCCTGCAGTCAAATTCTGTACCCCGCGACACAGCCATTCAACACAACCCTGGAAGTTGTTTCAAGGAGCAAAGAGCTCGGAGTATCAGGTCCTCGGCCGAATACACCTCAGTTTTGGAGTATATATACCTGCCCTGACTTTCAGTGTCCGGCGCATTCCGAGGTGCGGGAGCGAGAGAGGGAGAAGACCTGGGTCCGATAATACCCCTCCCTATCCGTGGTGATTTACCTTGCACTTTCATCTCTTGGCATTTTGAGTTGTTCAAGTGAGTTGAAGGAACCTAAAAGAGCCTAAGGGAAGAAGGACTGTCCTCGGCCATATTTCTCAACATTATTCCGCATTCGGCATCACTGCAATCTTCCAACAACCGCCCTCCCGACATCCGTGGTCATCGAGATATTGAGTCACCGCCGCCATCCTCCCATCATGGATTTCAACAGCTCTTCGCCCTACCCCGAGGGTGTCATCTCCTTTCTCGACACGGATTTGTACAAGCTGACTATGCAATGTGCCGTCCTAAAATACTACAAGAATGTTCCCGTCACCTACGCATTCACCAACCGGACACCGGAAAAGAAGCTCTCTCGCAAAGCCTTCCGCTGGCTGGAAGACCAAGTCAGGAAGCTTGGAAATATCTCTCTCTCCGCCGAGGAGTTGTATTACCTAAAGGAGCACTGCCCCTACCTGTCGCCCGCCTACCTGGAGTTCCTGTCCGAGTTCCGCCTCCGCCCGAGAGAACAAGTCGTGCTCAGCTTTCTGCCGACGGGAGACGACACCGGCGCCGAGACCGACATTGGAGATCTGGATATCAAGGTCAGCGGCATTTGGGCCGAGGCTATCTTGTACGAGATCCCGCTTCTCTCTTTGACCTCGGAGGCGTACTTCAAGTTCATGGAACCGGACTGGACGTACGAGGGCCAGGAAGAGCTAGCGTTTGAGAAAGGGATGCGTCTGTTGGAGGCCGGTTGCGTTTTCTCGGAATTCGGCACCCGCCGGAGGCGAGACTATCATACCCAAGCGTTGGTGTTCAGGGGCCTCACCAGGGCCGGCAGGGAGGCCGAGAAGCGCGGCTTGCCTGGGAAGCTCTCGGGAACGAGCAACGTCCACCTGGCCATGCGCTTCAATATCCCTCCCGTCGGCACGGTTGCGCACGAGTGGTTCATGGGCACCGCAGCTATCGTTGGAGATTACCGCAAGGCTACCGAAGAAGCCCTGTGCCACTGGGTCGGCTGCTTCGGAGAGGGGGTGCTCGGCATCGCCTTGACCGACACCTTTGGGACGCCCGACTTCCTGACCGCGTTCAGCAAGCCGATCGAATACTTGGAGCCGCCCTCGCCAATCACCGCGCGAAAGCCGAGCGTTGCCGACTCCTTTATCTCGACGAGCCCCTCGGTGGCGTCCCACCACAAGTCCAACAAGACATACGCCGAAGTCTTCACCGGCGTCAGGCAAGACTCGGGCGATCCCAAGACTTTCGTCGAAACCATTAGGAAGTTCTATCGGGAACAAGGGATCCACGACAAGAAAGTCATTGTCTTCTCCGACTCGCTGAACATTGACCGATGCCTGGAGTACAAGGGGGTGTCGGAGGAAGCTGGCTTCCAACCGACGTTTGGTGTTGGCACGTTTTTGACAAACGACTTTGTCAACACCAAAACCGGCAAGAAGTCAACCCCCCTGAACATTGTCATCAAACTTAGCTCTGCGGACGGCAACCCCGCGATAAAGATCAGGTAAGTCATCTTTAAGCTCCGAAATGCTCTTCACTGTTGCCAAACATCAACTAACACTCTCGACAGCGACAACATTGGAAAGAATACCGGCGACAAGGCGACGGTCGAGAAGGTCAAGCGCGAACTGGGCTATGTCGAGAAGGCCTGGGAGGGCGGCGATGAGACGGCGAGGTGGGGTCGCGAAGAGGACGCACTCAAGCAGTGATCTTATTCCGCCGCCTTGTCTTCTTTGGACTAACATGCATTTTCCGGGATTAGGATAGTTCCCTGTGGTCACAAGGACTAGGCATATGTATACCTGGGGCAGGACAGGTCTTTTGTATTTTGGCATCGCGCTAGAACGGCGTGCCGTGGTTAGAGTTCGCATACCTACATAGACCATCATAGAAACCGGTATCAAACTCCTCTTTTATTTCCTTGAAATAACACGTTTCGCTGAAGAGGAGGGTCCCACAAGTGGCCGGTTTAGACTACACTCAGTCAAAATCACATATCGCTTTTCTCTGCCTCCTGTTTTGATTTAATATCTGATCATACCAGGAACGGGGACCCCAGCCTGCTGATATCGAGTGGTTGTAATCACCCGCGAGTCATAAAAGTGCACAAGAACAATGCGTAACCCCATAAAACCTACCTACCCGGTCACGCAAGCGGTCTTGGTCATATTTGGTCAGTTGTGCGAACAACTCATCTCGCACAAGGGTATCGCCCTCCGGAATATTCCGGTTGTGGACTCGACCTGAGCAAATAGGGGTCTTGTACGCCCTCGAGCTTTTGGACTTTGGGCCTTGAAATTTTTGAAATGTAGTAGTGGCACCAATCAACTACCTTGAGTGTAACAGTTTCGAAAGCTCGGTAATCCTGCCAAAAGAAGCACTCTACAGCGAGAAAACCCTGTCCTTGGGTGGACTACCTGCTCCTAGTTACACCTCCCCGCCGCCCCCTTCCCAATGCTCGGCACTTTCGCCCCCGCATAGCTGCCCCCTTTCGTCAGGTAGACTATTACCTGTGCAACGACACGTAAGTTCAGCCCCTGGATATGGTAGCTATGCCCTGCTGCGCTAGAATATACCTCACCGGAGGACAGCGTCGGTTGGGCTTGCCGTTCCCACCACTCGACAACCAACAGTCGGCGGTCAAAATAGCCTTTCCCCACCCAACGTCACACAGCATGCCATCTCTGTGCGGCCCACTCGCCCTAATCTGGCAGTTTGGTTTGCTTTAGGGGTGGGGGGTGGCACATCTGTCCAATCTGCGGGAAGGGAACCGGTTCTTTAGTCAGACCGGCCCCCCTCACTCTGATATTAACAGGCCCGCCCCTCCCCGTTTTAGCGGTCAGACCATCATGGACGGGTAGCAGCCTATTCGCCAGCCCCTCGTGGGGGCGGGACTGGGTGAACATCTGTCATCTTTCAAGCCCGAGAGAAAAGTTGGCTTGTTGGCGAAGGGGGGATGCAAGCGGGTGACCCAGTGGGTTGGTAAACCCTGGCAGGGGTGGGGTTACCGGGAGAACGAGCCGGGAGACAGGCCGTTACCAGCCCGTTGGCCCGGAGTACGTATCCTTTACGTACATACGGTTGGTTGTTGGTTGTTGGTTGGCGGTACAGTGCGGTACGCCGTCTGACATACTGGATACGCCTGGAGTAACGAACAGTCTGTCAGACGTCAGGCGATCTCGCCCGGGAGTATCTGGTTCCTCTGAACGATGTTCCCTGCAGTAGTGCTGACGAAAGACGCAGGTTGCTATTAGCCAACGTCTGGGCGGCGTATGGCGCTGGGGGGTTGGCCGATACCGCGGGGGCTAAGGAATGGGATGGACAGAGGTCGTGAAGGCCCACGGAGCAGAAAATGGGGGCCCAAGAAGCTCCCCAGACTCGCGTGACGCGGGACGAGGACGAAAGGATCCGCTTTGTCGATGTATGATGAATCGGATGACGGAAGACTGCATTTGTTCAACTTTTTGCATCCGTCCGAGGCCCTAATTGCCCAATCACCCTCAAAGGGCGGCTTGGAGATGGGCGCATCGGGCTCAGCCAAGATGGGGACACGGCCCCCGCCGCGATCCCGCATGAATACTGTGTAACTTTTGAACCAGACTCCAGCATCTGGTTGCCGTCCCACGAAGTAGCGGTCAAACCAGACCAACGATGCCCACAACGAGCGCAAGTTGGGGGAAGAGTCCCTGCTTCTCTGCTTGGCAGGAGTGCGGCGCAGGAGGCTCAGGAGGCCCAGGCTGAGCGTCTCTAGAGTAGGCTCGCTTGGGCAATCGAGAGTCAGCTACTCAGGGTGCTCGGACGACCTCGAAAGGTGGGTTCACATTTCGAATCGAGCCGTCTGACTGGATCGATCTCGAGACGCAAAGCACCAACGGACCAACGGGCAAGGCTACTGCGTGAACTACGCCGCTTTCGTCAAGCGGCGGCGGCTTCGGGAGATCTCTTGATGAGAAGCAGTCTTGCACATGTGACGCGGTCTTGTTCCGTCATTCTGTCCCTCTCGCCGAGTCAGGTATAGTCAGTCCCGACACTCTGGGTCGCCCCGCTTTCGGTCTCACCAGCACCAACAGGCGGACGCCATCAGCCTGTTGACGAATGACGAGCAGCTGGGGTTCAGAGGATCGGTGGCTTGGCGTCCGGAAGAAGAATAGTTGGGTTTGGAGGGGGCGGCTTCCACGCTGGGATCCTGATCCTTGGGTCAGCGAGTCCAGACAAACACCCCTTGGATTGAAACAAAAGAGAAACCGGATTCGTTCAGGGAGGGTTTTGCCCCGCAGTGTCTCGCTTTTGCTGAAAGTCCATTACGCTGCGATGTCAGAGGTTTTCCTTGATCGGTTGCAAAGCGGCTTCACCATTGGTGTCGCTGGTGTGCGGGAGTGATGCACCCCCTGCTGTGCCTTCCCCTCTCGTTGTCTCGAGAAAAGTCAAGGCTGGTTGCTGTTGGCGCTAGTTAACTACACCCGTTAGTGGAGTTGGAGGGCCCAGACCCCGACGAGCCCGAGTGGGACATTTGTGAAGCCGGTGTTTGTCAGGATGCAATTTCTTGAATTGTCGACATTGGAGACTGTCTTTCGTGTGGCGCGAAAGAAGGAGGGTGACTGGTGGGGGGAAAGGCAGTCACCTGGGCCGCTCACGCATCCAGTTGCGTTCAAATTCTTGCTTTTGGCCCGAGCCTGGAGCTGGCTGGACCTCCCGTCTCGTGCCTTCCAGAAGAAGTTGGTAGGGATGAATGGACCCACTCGGCGGTTCAGTAATTTCAGTCTTAAGGTCCTTCCATCCATCCCCCCCCGCCAACTTGGTCGGACCGAGGCCAGTGAAATTGTACAAATCATGACAACTACCTTACCTACCCACCTAATAAGACACGTGCCGACAAAGGAAACTCGGAGTGCCGTCAAAATGGCCAGGTTGTATCGCAAGCAGCGGTGAGCAGTATCGGCAGCGTTAGGCCCCGTCAGCAGGACCTGCCATTCATTTCCAGGACGCATCGCTTCATGATTGGGCCCTCACTTTCATCGTGTTCAACAATCCGACCCGACAGCTTGGAGCCGATGTTCAGCTTTGTTTAGCTAGCTGTCACGCATTGGTCACCAGCCGGTCTAGTCTAGCCAGTGTAGCCGACTGTGTGCATGGAAGCCCTTGCGACAAGGCGGGACCGTCTTTCTCGGCGAGATTAGCTGATCCTCGAGTGTCGTTGTTGCTCATCATGAGGCGCTAGACAAGGAACTGGAAGGAGGGGAGGGCACGTCAGCAAAGAGAGGCATGGGATGACACCGGCCGCATGCGTCTCTTGTCCCAAGAGAGCTGAATGGCACTGTACGATCTGTACGGACCTCTCGCAAGATTGAATGACGCCCCACAACGACTGGCAGGAGGGGCTGCGTCCGTGACAGTGCGGACAATGATGGAACATGGAATTTGGTGGTTCGCCAGGTTCGGGAAAACTGTGCCTCGCAAATTGCCGCCCGAAACGCTGAATTGGCCCCCATTCCGCGGCAATGGAAGTGTGTTCGACCGAGTAGGAGCCTACCGCAACCGGGCCACGAACGCAGGTCGCATGATCGTTCGTATGGCCCTTGTAACGGCGTTTCAAGCGACGGATTGAAGCGGGTGCGATTGTGCCGTGACCGGTGGACGCGATGTTGCGCTGGGTTTGAGTTGGGATGGACAGTACCTCCCAAGTTGGTACCGTACTGTGCCAACGCCGGATACGGGAGCGGGAGCGGGAGCTACCTAAGGTAGGGCGGAAAAGCCCTGCGACGGGGGGCCTGTTGGCAACGCACCCAGGCCATTGGGACGGCTTGAGGGCCCGAGAGAAAGATGGAAAGCCGGCAAACACTCCGACAGACAAATGTTGAGGTTCCATGTCGCTTTTACCTTCCATTTTCCCCCAACGCGCCCCCGGATTTCCAGTCCACCAACTCCGTACTCAGCTACGACCCGAAATGGTTTTTTTTCCATACCTTACCTGCCACAGTACACGGTAATTCGCAATTCTCTCGGCTCTGCGAGTTTCGGGCGCAGCTCCTTTCCCCCAGCCAACCTCTGCGCTCGGGATGTTGCGGGAACCCCACACAGCCTCCCGCACCTTCTTCTGCGCGAATCCCGCGGAACCCTGAACCCTGGGTTTCACACCAGAACTGGGAGGGCCTGCTTGGTTTGATGGATGGGCGGGTAATGATCGCTCCACTGCGTAGGCGCCGATGGATGTTCTTTCGAACCACACCGGTCAAAGAATCGCCAGCACGCGCCCCAAGCTCGCGCCATCGCGGAAGAGCCCGCTCCTTCCCACAACCCATACCTCATACCTTACCGTGACCTCAAGAACCATTCCGTACCTGGCTGCAGGTACATAATACCCACGTACATACCGTGACAGTCACATACTCGCACCCCGGATGTATATACGGTAACGCTGATTTTCCCTGCCGGCCCCCTGGCTTTGCATCATTGCGACGTCGAGGATTTTAAAGGCGCCCCTGCCACTTCCCTTTCCCGGTCCACAAACAGCACAACCGAAACCAGGGCGTTGTTGGCCCATGGCCACCCGCATCGACCACATCGACCGCAATTTCAACTCCAACCGCGTTCTGCTTATCATATAACGCGAGGGCTGGCCACTTTGCGGCCACGTCGAATGCCGGTTGTGTATGTTCCATCCTAGCCAATCCCCCATCGCAGTGTCACGAGCTCAAGTTCGAAGGTGAGCAATTGCTGTCTCTGAATTTATTCCCTTTGCTCTTTCCTTTTCATCCGGGCTCGGCTCGAGTCAGGCTGTCTCCTTCCCACGTCACATCCTTCCTTCCTTCTTTTTTTTTTTTTCATCAACTGCCAGCATCTCTTTCCCATCTTTGAGGGCGGCGAGTTTCCCCTGGCTTGCGCGTCAAACTCTCTTTTGCTGTTTTCTCATCATTCACTTGCTCCTGAGCACATCGGCCTCTAGGTTGCCCCCACTAGATAGTATCGACTATTGGTAGCCCGAAGCCTAACATTAGCTCGTGCAGTTGCGTCTCGTCTCGTCTCGTCCTGTCCTCACCGGCCAAACTACCTACCCTCAGCCGCTGTCCATGAGCCACCCCTCAAAAGTGCGCGTGCGTTTTCCACTAGTCCAGCCATGGCAATGGATTCACAGCCTTTCAGAGGTCACATGTAAGCTTGATTTCGTCACAAAACCACACTATGGAGCTGACCGTGGCCGCCCTCGTGCAGTCCCAATGGAGTGCCACCAAACCGGACCTACCAAGAGGTGTACGCCGAGAACGGTCGGTGGTACGGTACCTTCAAGAAGGGGAAGTATATGTTTCCCATCGACGAAGTGAGCCTACCCCATCTCCCTCGCCCCTTTGTGTGCTGAAACTGACCTCGAGTGAAGACCGAGCTGGAGAGGCTAGACGTTTTCCACAAAGTCTTTCTAGTTGCGCGCCGAGATGCTAGCCATAGCGCTCCCCTCCACAACCAGGAAACCCCCCGCGTTCTAGACCTGGGCTGCGGCACAGGCATCTGGGGCATCGACATGGCCGAGTGAGCTTCCCCGTGCCTGCTCTCCGTTGACCTGGCTCGCTAACGCTATCCCACCGAGTAGTAAATACCCCGGTGGAATTCACGTGGGCCTCGACCTGAACTACATTCAACCAGAATTGTCCGTTACACCGTCTCCCTCCCGCCAGATCATCGTACTGACATGTCCTAGCATCCCTGCCAACATGCGCTTCCTGCAAAAGGATATCGAAGACAGGTGGCAGGATCTGGAGCCGGGTTCCTGGGATCTCATTCACATGCGCGCTCTCTACGGCAGTATTAGCAATTGGCCTCGCGTATACGCCGAGATTTACAGGTGAGCCCTCTGGTTCGAGAGGAGAATAAGCTTTGCTGACAGCCTCCTCAAGACACCTCAAGCCATATTACGGTTACTTCGAGCAGGTTGAGATAGACTGGACCCCCCGCAGCGATGACGGTTCTTTGCGCAGAGATGGATACGTTGTGCAGTGGGCGAATGAGCTTATGGACGCAATGGATAGTTTTAGTCGCCCGATACGCTTGGACAGCAACCTCACCAAGCAACAATTAGCAGACGTCGGATTCGACGAAATCAAGGAGGAGGTGATCCAGTTGCCTCTCAATGGTTGGCCTACCGAGGTACACGACAGAGAACTCGGCCGCTGGTTTAACCTCGGGGTGCGACAAGCCTTTCAACCACTCAGCTTGGCACCCTTATGTCGAGGCCATGGTCGGACCCCGGCTGAGGTGGAAGAGCTGGCCGAGAAAGCCAGGGGCGAGGTTTACAGCAACACCGTGCGCGCATACTGCACATTGTAAGTTACAAACGACACACCTAACCCCCACCACAACACGCCGCTCGCCCAGCGCGAGCGGTTGGGGGCGGGGCGAACCACGCTGACCAGTCCCAGGCACATTTTCACAGCCAGAAAGCCACGGTGAGCCTGGCTCGTTCTTGCTGCCCTCGGTTGGCCTTGCGAGATCACGGCACACAGAACCTATGCCGATGGTCGGGCAGCCGACTCGAACCCGACCATCCCGCGGCGGGGTCGGTTGTACATACACCCGACATGATGCCAGGCCTGGTTCGCCGGCGAATGATTGGACTTCCGTTTCTACAATCTCCCTATTTGCTGGCCTGTTGACGAGGCCTACCCACAACCGGCAGGGCAGGCCACCCTGCGGCTGATAGCCCGACTGCTTGCTCCCAGAACTCACTTATCCAAACCACGGCCCCGTCGAACCTGAAGAATACTTCCAAATCTCGAGGTTCCAGAGCAGCGACCTCTCAGTTCACGTCATACTCCTGATGTCGAGTACGCAGCGCGTCTTTGATGGGGAAACGGGTCACGACGATAACTGGCTATCCCACCGCCAATATTACGCCCTGCCGAAGCTGCCGGCTGCGCTCAGGTGACACCTAAATCGACCGATCCGGCCCCCTTTCAGCGTGCCTGCTCGAAAACAGGGAACGGCAAACAAGAAATTGTTCGGTTCAGCGCGAAGGCGGAGAGAAGGGCGACAGATCCACCACGCTCAGTGGCACCGGAACTTCTTGTGTTATCGGCCGCATCAAGCTGCCCAGAACCCCGCTGCTGTTGGCAAGCGCCAGGATGCGGGTTGAGACCTTGCATACCAAACTCGCACTGTCACCGTTACCAGAATGAAGCCCGTTGGGGGCCGAGGCAGACTCATTACGGTCAACTGTTCCAGAAACGCCTTGAACACGTCGGTCCCTGGTTTTCTGCAATTATTTGATCTGTCCCGGCCTTCTGCTCGACACGATAGCTTCCCAAGTGGAGCGAGGGATCCGGCCGTGGCTTCGGTCAGCCGAGGGCAGCTGGGAGTTGATGGTCTCTGTGGGGATGTTGAGTTGTGGTGGTATGCCATTGTGCAGTTCCGTCTTGCATCCGGATGGTCTACCCGTTCGTCCCCATTCACGAAGCAACCCAACCGCTAAAGTCTTGGATACTCAGTTGGTTCCCCATCCCGACCCCGCTCCCCTGTATATATGCACATGCCGGTCTGGATATCGGACGCCCCCACACCATGTTCGCCGTAGGTCAGCTATTTTGGTTCTGGTGGTCAATAAACAACGTCGCTTCTCAACTTGTTTTCTCAAGCCTCATAATGAATCAACCCCTCCCCTGCAGCCCCAGTAAGATGGGTTTCAATTGCTACTTCCCTTACGTTGATAATATTCCTGTGGAGTCTTGGAAAGACCCCTTACGAGCCCTGCTTGAGTTAGACAGCCTAAAACCAGGCTCTACGCATGGGCTTCTGACACATAGCCTGTGATCGTGTCTTACTAAGTTTGATGCCGATCAATGGGGAGACGCAAACGGCCAAGGGGACATGTAGGGAATGGGTGATGGACACATGGATGATGAGACGCTATTGCTGCAGAAGCCTGCGCAGTGGACCAGCTGAAACCACAAACTAACCAACTAGTCTCCCAATGTCCGTCCATACATCGCAATGATGGATGACGATAGTTCCACCGAACGGGAGAACATGGAAACACTGCAGCCAGCACGGCACCCGGCGAGCGCATCGAAGAATATCGAGCCGCTTTCGGTACCCATTTCGTCTTGATACCCGCCAATTACACACCAGCCAAACCTTGTCCTCGATGAGCTGACTTCGCCAAGGGAGAACCGGACAATCTTTCCAGGGGCTGGCTGACCATGCGCCGTGCTATCCATGATCATTCCCGCTTTCCACCACCGAAACCACATGAGAGACGAACCATTGGACGCAAAACTGCCCAAGAAAAAAAAACGAGGCGAACCATGGCCGGCACGACGGCATCACCGCCCCCGAGGGCAACAGCGCCCGCCCCGTAGGGTATCACCGTGGAAACAACGCACTACCCGGGGGGATGGGGGGGATAATGGGATGGGATGGGGGTGCGAACCAGCCAGCCAGCTGCATGATATGGCATGGCATAGGGCGGTCCGATCAAAGCACACCACACGCAAGACACATGATGAGCGCGGCGGCCGGCTACTGCAACCTCGCGGCCAGCAGCAGGGACAGAAGGAGGACAGAAAGAGGCCGGCCTGTGACGGGGCCGGCCCAAAAGGGTAAAGCGAGATCTGCAAGGCCGGTCCAACTGCATCTGCATCTCCAGTTCCAGAATACGACGTTGAAGGATATGGGGGAGCGAGAGCGCTGGAAGGGGTGGGAGGGAGAGAAAGGGGAGGGGGAACAGCTGGCTAGCGGGCAGGACCACGATCATGCAGCAGCGCGATGAGATGAAGGGAAGGAAGGGTACGGAGAGTGAGTGGTGGCCAAGCCAAGCCACACGCACCGTGGTGCATGCGGGAAAAGAGGAAGGTGGGAGATCTGAGAAAGTTAAAAAAAAAAAAAAAAAGGGGGGAGGGAGGGGGAGGATGTCACTTGACGGTGTTCTTCGCCCTTCATCCGCCGGCAAGCAGGAAGGGCAAAACGGTGAAAACCAAACAAACACCTACCGGTAAGCCTACCCGGGACAGCCCGCCTTTACCGTCGTCCAAATCTACCGGCACCCACACACACCCACTTCACCCACCCCCCCCCCCCCCCCGGGCCGAGTTAGATCATGTCAGGTCGCGTCCTGCCGTCGATCTCTCCCGACGGGAGGAACTCGCAACCCAGAAAAGGCCACCCACATACCCACCCACACACACACACACACAAGTCACACCGGCAACCGAGCCTGCCTCCTGTCTCCTGCATGACAGTGGAAGCGACTGCTGACATGCCGCCCCGGAGTTTCGGGCCCGACTCACTCGACCACTCATTCACCCGGTTGGCTGGTTCGAGTGAGTGAGGAGCCAGCCAGCCAGGCTCGGCAAGGGTATCCGAAAAACGAAGTGCTGTTCTGTCCTGTCCGAGAGAGAGAAAGCAGAGGCTAGAATGGCTAGAGGCTGGCCTGGCGATGTCTCACAAGAGGGCCACCAGGCGCGGGAATGTGACGGCAGTCATGATTGGCAAGAGGCGGGATGGGGGGAGGTGGGAGGGATCGGGTAATTTGGTTTTGATTGGCTTGATGCAATAGACTTTGGTGGTACAGGACGAACAAATGAAAAAGGCGCAAGGCTCCCCCTCGGCTGCCGCAGACAGGAGGGCAAAAAAAATTAGGTGTACATACAAGGGAGGTGGGAAAAGGAAAGGGGGGTGAGGTACCTTTTCAACCCCCTTTTTGGCTTTACCCTCCCTCCCGTATGAGACAGCCCCCTCCCCCCACTCTACCCTCACCTGGCCAAGGTGAAGGATGGTGAAACCCTTACCCATCGGGAGCGTCCCTTGGCCTGGATGAACCGCGCGGCCGGGCGGCTCTCCCGTTGCGGAGCGAGGCGTAATGGTACCGAATGTGCCCGCGTATCTAGGATCAGTGGCACTCTCCCCCGATACGCCACCAAGTCTATTCCCCCCCGTGACGTGTAAAACAACACAGAATCCCCCTCTTTCCTCGCTTGTCCCCCGTTGCGCCTCCCTGGCTTGCCAGTGATCGAGTAGAAACAGCGGTGACCCCGGCATAGACGCGGGGGTAAGGCGCGGCTCTAATCCAACCCCTCCTCCCCTGAACTCTCTCCATCCCATCCCCGTCAGACACCAGCCAAGCTAGCTAGCTAGCTCAGTGGTGAGCGGCGGGGTTCTCGCCGTGGTAGCCAATGAGCTTGAACCTGCCGATCATCTCGCCGACGGTGAAGAAGCCGAGGCACTCGGCCAGCAGCACGCCGCCGGCCGCCATTTGTGTCCTGGAGATGTTGCGGGCCTGCTGGGGGTTGACTGACTGCGCGAGGCCGGCGAAGAAGGTACCGGGGTTTTGGAGCTGCTTCCATAGGTTTTGGAAGTACGTCTGGAAGGTCGAAACGGAACTGTGGAGAGCCGGAGAAAAACAACACGTCAGCAACGAGCGTCCTCGACAAGGAACCGACCACCAACAAACAGAGGGATGAACTGATCGACTGCTCGACCGCCAGCCTCAGGATGCACCTCTTCGGATGTGACAGGGAGTGGTGCGCGGGGGGAGGGGCAGGAGGAGGGGGAGGGGGGGGAAGGGAGGCTTACGGCGGGGACATGTTCTGGCCCTTGACGACGAGCTTGGCCATCTCAAGGCCGACCTTGGAGTAGTAGACGACGAGGGGAGTCTGGCCTGTACGGGAGGGGCGAGAAAACAACGGTTAGCCATTGGAACCACGACAAAAACGAAAACAGTCCACCTGTCCAGCACGTTCCTGTCCCCATCCCGCGCGTTGCGCCGTCATTCGAAAAGTAGCGCCCGCCTGGGCACCAACGAACCCCCCACGGCGCGCAGCAAATGGACGGCGGACAACGGTAGGAGGGGACCGGTTGTTGTGTGTTGGGTGCTGTGCTGTGTCGTGTCGTGACCCTGTGGTGTTGGGGGGGTGGGTAGGTGGGTAGGTGGGTGACTCCTTACTCTCAACGAAGGTCACCAGACGGCCTGTCCGGCCGCCCACGCGGCCCAGCGCGCCCGACACACCCTTGGCGGCGTTGGCGATGGCCGGACCGGCGGTGGAAGCGACGCGCGACAGGCCCTGCGTTGCCTTGGAGGCGGCCCCGGAGGCGGCCCCCGAGGTCTGCGAGGCGGTCTGCTTGGCGGCCTCAGCGGCCTTTGTTGTTGTTGTGTTGGCGGTCGACTCGAAACGAGCCATGGTGCGGCCCACCGAGAGGCCCGATCGCCTCATGACCAGGGCGAACGACATGGTGATTGTTGGTTTTGGAGCTTTTCGGAGGGGGTTGGGTGAGGGGAAACGTCCCGTTGATTCGGCGGTCGATCGCGGATTCGAATTCCAACGGTCGGAGCGGAGAATGGAGGATGGGCGACCGAGCAACAATGGCGGATGGCGGCCGTGTGGAAGCTGGTTCGGCGAAAAGAACGATATCGCGCACGTTGGACGGGGGACGGAATGGGCCGGAGATCGAGAAAAATTGGAAAAGCTTCGGAAGATTTCGAAAGGCGTTGTTGGCTGCCAGGTTTCTCGGCAAGAAGGCGGCCAATCAGAGAGCCTAATTGGGAGCTGTGGGCAAAGCTCCCACAGCAGGGTCCCCTAAAATAGGTAGGTCGTTCCTTCCAGCCGCCTGGAGGTAGCTATTTCACTATCGCCTGGAGTCTCCTGGGGTTATGAGGTGAATTTCAGTCTCACATCCACTGAATATACTGGAAATGAGTACACGATCAACCCGAGGGATTAGGTGTGATGTTTTACTCCAGCAAGCACGGAGTGAACGGAACCCTAACCCTACTAGGAGCACAAGACCAAGACCAACCAGTACTTGAGCTCTACGTGTCTGGTGAGCTCTGGAGAGATGTGATGACGATTTACAAAATTGATAGTGAACGGGCTGTTTGTATTCAGACCGACGCTATAAATAATCACATCTGAGGGTTGTTCTGTTCACTCGCCCCTTGATGATCGACGTGCTCCAAGGGCATCAGCCTCTCTTCATAGCCCAGCTCGAACATCACCGGCGGCGGGCCAACGAGTTCTTTCCCAACACCTGGGACAGAATACTCGGACGTTCCATTTGCCGCCAGAAGGACGTCGAAGTTGACCAGTGCGTCCTCGATGCGGCTGCTGGCGTCTGTGTCTTCACCCGGCCATAGGTTGGGCGTTGCCGCCATTTTCGAGCAAGCTGGGGTGAAAAAATGGAAGTCGGTATTCGATGCGAGAGATGGAGGCCCGGATTCCGGTAGCCTCGAATAAGTTGCCGAGTTATCTATGACCGGCAACGCGGGCGTTTCGGGGCGTAATGCTGACTGCTGGATATCACTCGACGTTGTGACCGACAGAGAGAGCGGCGGGAGCGTGTCGATAGAGGGGAAATAATCCGTTGACAACCAGCCGGGCCTGGGCATGGGCTGTTCCGGGATCGGCATATCCCCTGAAGCGTTACTTTCCCGGCGCATCGCTATCCCGGACGCAACTCTCATCTGCTCAGCAGCTCGTGAGGGCTGTATCATCGCAGTTGCCGCATCCTCTCTATCGGGAACATGCCTAGTATCGGCGGTTTTCCTCGCGCCGGATTTCCGTCGCTTGTAAGATCCTGCTGTACTGAGAGCGCTGCTATTGCATTGGCCTAGTACGTCGACCGTGTGTATCTGTATCGTTTCCAATAGGGATTCGACGATGGATCCGAGTTGGAACGGGAGCTTGCGAAGAAAGGCACCCCGCAGCTGAGGCAAACACTTGATGTGCCAGCCGTGTAGTTCAAAATGCTCGATGACGGGGAGGTACCCTAACATAAGACCCAGGTCAGTCTCACTCATTGGCTTCACGGCGGAGTCGTGGAAGTTTACCGGGACTGGGAATTTCAGAGGCATTGCCTAGGGCGATTTGGCAGATTTGGCGGTATTGGCTGATGGCGGTGTCTCCCTGCCGACCCTGCTTGCTCCTCAACGCCCGTTCTGCTTCTGGGCTTAGGCCGTCCAGCGGGTCAGTGCTGGACGGAAGTTCTCTGTAGGAGCACGCCCTCCGCCTGGCATGCTCATCAAGGAGAGTTGGGCTCGGAAATTGTTGCTTGCATGCTGAGCAGTATGGCTGTGACAGGATTCCGGGCCCAGAGTGACGTTGCTTTATGTGCCGCCTGAGAAGTCTCGTCAGATATAGACTGCGGGTTGATAATATCAACAAGGGATAGATAGAGAGACGCATACCGTAGCTCGTTGAGCTCGTTTCGTTTTGATCCCATCTCTTCGCAAATATACACCTTCGTGGCGCAGTCGTACCACTCCCTGACGTTGAATCGAATCGGGTCTTTCAGCCGGTAGGGGCACATGAACTCCAGCGGGCGACTTTTCCCGGAATCCGATGGTTTACCGTTTCCAGGCGGTCCCTCTCCGCCGCCGTTACGGCGACTAGTGTCTTCATCGTCTTCATCGTCTCCATCATCACCATCCTTCCTCGGGCGGCGGGATCGTGAACTGCCGCCAGCGCTCGCTTTTCTTTTCAAGGACGGCAGACCAGAGCTCGATCCAAAGGATCCATCTTCCTGGGGGCCTGTGCCTTCTGTCCCGAGTTTGAGAGCAACCAACTCGTCTATAAAATTCTCCACCGCTCCCTGAACCTGCGACCAATGGAGGGTATCTTCGATGGCGGGCCCGAATAATCTCTCTACAGCATATGAGCCGATGTCGGCTACATTGTCCTCGTCGAGGGAGTCCGTAGTGGATAAGAAGCTGTTTTGGCTGTCGATACCGTTAGGCTCACTTGTCGAGCAACAGGTTTGAGGGTCGAGTTTGCCGAACTCGGTGAGCTGTAGATGCCCAAGATCCTGAGTCACTTCTGTGAGTTGATCTTGCTGCGTGTCGGCTTGTTCCGGATGGCTGTCCGTTTGTTCTGGGTGGTTGTCGGCTTGTTCTAGATGGCTGTCCCTTCGTTCTGGTTGGCCCTCAACTCGCTCTGAATGGCTGTCGGCTTGTTCTGGATGGCTCTCAACTTGTTCTGGATGTCCGTCGGTTTGTTTTGGGTGGCCGTCGGCTTGCTCTGGATGGCCTGTGCCAACAAACTCATCGGCGTGGGAAGAAAAGTGTGGCTCGGGAGAATCGGAAACGGAACGTGACCCTTCCGGTTCATTAACAGAGGCAAGCCACGGAAGCACCTTTGGGTTTGGGTTTGCGACTTGATCCTGTGGACGGAATGCCGGGACTTCGACGGCTCTCTTCTCCATGTGCGGAGCGAGAGTGGGAAACTCATCGACGACTTTGTCCATGGAAACGAGAAGATCATCCAGGTTGAGCGGCTCCAGATCATTCAAGATCCGCTCCACGTCTGGCACCGAGATGGAATCTTTTGTCAACCTGTTCAACGCTAGCCGTTCTGCGATCGTGATCGGCTCCGGCCTAACTGCGGACGCGCCATCCAGGATGGAATTGCGGGAGGAAACGCAGGTTGTGGTTGTGGTCAGGGTGGGTAGAGATTCCGTGCCGGCCAAAGTCCCGGGCGAGGGAGCCCTGCCGGCCTTGACGAGAAGCGCGCGGAGGGGTCGAGGAACGCGAGATTGGAGCCTCGGACTCGGATATGCCTGTTTTGGTGCTCTCGAGGAACGCAACCAGGTGGTGATGATGTCGTCGCCCCCCTCGAAGATGGAACCGCTATCGTCTAAATCGTCCATGACCTTGATCACGGAATCCACACCTACACCTCTGCCGAATCGATCCGTTTACCGTTCGTTGAGTCGGGCGGCTCAGATATGAGGACAAAGGTAGCTTGTGCTTCGACTCAGACGGCGAGGCTCTGCTTTTGGAATCTGGTGTCTGCGGCTGACCCCCTGCGCCGCCGCCCAGGCGGGGCTGGTGATACTTGGGGAAGTTGATTGGCGAGGCTTTCCAGCTTTCTCGCATCCTTTGCCGGGCGGATAATCACTTCCCTCATTGGTTCGTGGGAAGTTCCATGAGGCCTTGACGCGGGCTCATGGAAATTTTCACGACGCTCGTGGGAAGTTTGAGATAATAGATCTCACAATGTTCATGAAGTCGTGGGAAAGTGGCCATCAGGATGGAGGTCAGATACAAGGTGGCTAGAATATATAAACTCGTCGTTAGCATAATGTTTCTCTCGAGATCCCATAACCAAAAACCCAAACACGAAAACGACTTGAATTACTCAACTCGCTTGACCTACCCTATCAGTGTGAACATGTCTTCGTCAAACGCCATCCTCGATGGAAAAGCACCGCGAAAAGTCCCCATTGGCTCACTGTGAACATCCCCGTTTCGTGCAGACTGTCGTTATCGCACATGGAGACGGAGAGCTGATTAGTGGCTTTTCAGACACGAGTTGAACTCCTCCCACACAAGCAGTTCCATGTTGGAAACATATCTCCACGACACAACTTGCTTTTCCGACCGACTGGTCCAACTCCAAATCGGCACTCCGACAGAGTCGAGCAAGCGGCCAACAAACCACCGAAACCCCGAACTACTGAATTTCGAGCTCGAATCGATGTTTGTCCGAAGCGGGGATCTCTCAAGTGCCGCTCCCCGGGATGGGTAACGGGGATTGTATGGCGGAGATAGTATATAGAATAGATCAAATGCTGGAAAATACTTGGTCAAACCCGTTTCGGATGAAGTGATGGTTGTTGACTGAATTGCGCTGGAATTGGTGGAAAAAGGCGGTCCACTTGCCATTTTCGGCATGCTCACGCACGAACTCACGGTGCTGTGGGGGAACTGGAGGTGGACCGCAACAGGGGGTCCGAACACCTTCAGAGGCCGGTGAGGTAATCCCTGCCATGAAACCTCGACATCTCAAAACTCGACGAGGTAACGTTAAGTCTTAAACAACCCCTACACAATAGTTACACAATAGTTACACAGTAAGCGTCTCTTGAACGGCGGGTTCAACTGACTCGGATTCCTATCTAACAGTGCCGCCGAGCTCGGTTCAAATCTCACTTTACACGCTAGATCTCTATGCGCCGGTCTCGAAATGCAAGTAAACTGAGAATCGGGTGTGACAATAAGACCAGAAACACAAAAAAAAAAAAAAAGAGGTAGAGGAAAATAAAAAATAAAAAAGTAAAAAGAGAAAAGAATGGCACAGAAAAAAAAAATAACAATTCTGACCCTCAATCCAAGCTCTGAATCATGACCTTGATGGCGCCCGTCTTGGGATCCGATGCCGCGTCAAAGGCCTTGAGGGCGTCCTCGAGGCCGAAGCGGTGGGTAACCAGCCTGGTCAGGTCGATGACGCCGTTCTGGATGAGGCGGATGGCGCGTGGCCAGGTGTTGCTGTAGCGGTACTGGAACTGCAGGTCGACCTCGCGGACGCTGGCGCGCATGAAGGGGATCTGGATCTCGTTCTTGCCGACGCCGATGACGAAGACCTTGCCGCCGAACTTGACGGCCCAGATGGCGGCCGCGATGCTGCTCTCGACCCCCGTGCACTCGAGCGCCACCGCGGGCTCGACGCCCCCGAAGCTCGCCACCACGGCCCGCGCCGCGTCCTCGGCCGGCACGCGCTCCACCTTGTGCGTGATCACCTCCGGGCAGATCTCCTTGGCGAACCGCAGCCGGCCCTCGTCGATGTCGGTGATGACGAGCGGGCACGCGCCCGCGGCCTTGCAGCAGAGCATGGTGATGAGGCCGATGGGCCCCGCGCCGCAGACGAGCACGGGGTCGCCGAGGCGCACCTCGGCGCGGTGCAGGCCGGCGAGGGCGACGGAGAGGGGCTCGAGCATGGCGCCGTCCTCGTACGACATGTCGCCGATCTTGTGGCACCACACGGCCGGGTGGTTGACGTAGCGGCGCAGCAGGCCCGGCACGGGCGGCGTGGACAGGAAGTCGACGGCCTCGCACCCGTTGTACCGGCCCGTCAGGCACGGCTCGCACGCGTTGCAGATGACCTGCGGCTCGACCGCCACCCGGTCGCCCACCTTGACGCTCGTCACCCCCGGGTGCACCGCGACGATCTCGCCCGCCGACTCGTGCCCGAGGATGTGGTCGCACCCGACGATCATGGGGCCGATGCAGCCGTGCTTCCAGAAGTGCACATCCGACCTGAGAGCAGACGGCGTGAGCTGGGGGAAATTCCTCGCGCATATATATACATATATGTTTATGTGTGTACATATATGTATGTATATCCGCACCCAACCAAGACCGGCCGGCGGACTTGGACTGGTCTGGCCTGGCCGGTCTGGATATGGGTTGAGTTGGGGTTGGGGGGTTTCGGGTTCCTTACCCGCAGATGCCCGTGCTCCTGATGGCGATGGTGACCTGACCCTCCTTGAGCTCCTCCCCCTTCTGGACGCTCTCCAGCGTCGGCTCGGCTTCGCTTATCCACAGGTCGTGCTTGGGGTTTGTGAAGACGCCAATGTTGGCCTTGGCCGCCTTTGCTTTGCCATTGGTACCATTGATACCGTTGGTACCGTTGGTACCGTTGACGCTTTTGGTGCCGTTCATGGTTGGGTGAGAAGGGGAGGAAGGATCTGGGGCGCACGGCAGGAAGGCGGGAATCCGGGACGAAAGAGTGGTCGGTCTCGACTTAATTTCTAGAACATCCAACGAAGGCGGGGTAGCGTGGGAGGTTACGTTGTCTTATATATGTGTGTTCTCTGCTTCCTTCTCTCCTGCTTCCCGAGGAGACGATCATCTGCAGGTTCCGCATGCATGCGCAGGGTTTCCCGGATACATCCATCTAGCCGGCGGCTGCTCGCATCGACGGTAGCACCTGGGGGGCACCTGGGTAAGTGTTTTGTTGCGCAGGGCTCCACACAATATCTGATCCCGCAAATGCAAGACGACCTCTGATGGGCACGGAAGAAAGGCTGTTCCACCAAAGACAGGCCTCGGCCTCGATGGACCGCACGCCGGGGGGTTGATAGGCTGCAATTGTCTTCTTTGAGTCAGGTGGCATCCCTCGCCACAACCCACACCGAGATGTCGGGAGGCCGAACAACGCCCGCGCGAATTTCCAGCGATTATGCTAACGCTGTGTTTGCTGCGCTTCGAATTCGTTCCCGCGCGCGGGGGACCTCCGCCGACTCGGCAACGGGAAGACCGAGCCCGGGACAGTGCTTGACCGGCCTCCACGTTTTTTTTTTATCCGCGCCAATCATCGGCAACGTGAATCCTCACCGTCTCCTCCCCCAGTGGTGGACACACATGGTGGGGGTTTCTCAGCTGCTGGAGATATCTACCCCACGCTTTCTCGGCCAGGAGGTGATAATCATATAAAAGGACGGAGCATCTCCCGCGGCTGCTTGCCGATGGGCAAGCCGATGGATCTTCGCCGTGTTTTGCCTTTCGCTTATACATTGAGAACCAACAAAACCATCCCCCTTATCTATCACAGTAACGCCCGCTACCGAGCCCTTCGCCGCCATAACGCCTGCCCAGAGAGCAATGAGCAATGCCAACCGACAAGCTAACCCCACACGATGATGTTCCCATGCCCATGTGCAACCCAGCAAACATTCCTAATACACCGCCAGTCTAATCCCACAGTCCTGTCTCCTCGCTGCCGTCGCAATGAATGAAACCGAGAAACGGAAATCGCCGTGCCGTCCCCCAAATATGGCCCCCGAGAGAGAGCAAAAAAAAAAAAAAAAAGGAATTGAGAATAAAAATGGAAGCCGCCGCTTGCCGAGCCCGCCAAGTTCCCATTCCGGAAAGTCGTCCCCATCGTATTAGAACATGGCAACGACCACGTCGCGGACGCATCGCCCGTAGCTGCAGCAGGCCTCCGGCGGGAGCTCGCCTTTGAGGATGAGGTCGCGTTTCCACTAGAGGGGGGAAACCTTGTTAGCCGCGGGGGATGGAGCTGGCTGGGGTTAGGTGGGGTGGAAGAGAGACTAACCTCGGTGCAGGCGATGGGGGTCGCTGTGGCTAGGTTGCCCGCTGTGAGAGTGATGGCGATGGCGACGAGGTTGAGTCTCATCTTGTCTGTTTGGTTTGGTGGTTCGCTGATTCGCCGGTTTGGTTTGCTTGCTGGGGGGGGGTTTCTGTCTTCGAGCTGGTGTGGTTCTTTGACTCGGGGTTTGCTTGGTTTGACCACTTTGAGAGAGTGAAGCGCGAAGTGGCTTAGTGGATGGGTCAATGGTAAGTTGTCTAACTCGGGAAAGAACGGTAGAAAGTGCTGGTCGTAGTCGGATTTGTTCTTGCTGGTTGGGTTCTGATAAAGAACAACAGCAACTGCATGTGGAAATGAGTAAATACGAGTTATCGTGTAAACATTGGCGGGGCTTGATCCAAGCACCTCTTCACCCCACAATGCGAGATGAGACAAAACAGGGCTCCCCTCCAAGAGCGAAATGGGAACGAGAATCCAAACGTCCTTCTATCTTTGAAGATACGAAGGATGTATTTTAAGACAACACGAGGGGTAGTAAGGGAGGTGGAGCAGACCCAGCCAACCGGTTCAGTTTAAGGGTAAGGAGTCCGGTTAGCCACTCAAGTGTCAAACCAGATTCAAACCAGATCCCGCCCGGTTTCTGGACACACGTTTCAAGCTATGCAAGCCATCGGCACACTTCGCCGCTCAGGCTTCTTCTGCCTGGTACATATTTTACGGACTTCTCCGTCGTCCATTCTCATTTTCCGCGGCAAACCCCGATCACTAGTCCTTTCCATGGGGTGATCAACCAAAGGTCCGTATGCAGAGAGGCGGAGCAGGATGAACGGTGTCGCCAAGAGGGAGGAAACAAAAACAAACCCAGAATGCCTCTTGTTGAATGCTGGATGTTAGCCAATGGTGACACAAATGGCTTGAGTCTCGACTGTTTGTGGTCTCTTGCTGGTTGGCTCTGGATTGCTCTGGACACAGGAGCACATTTCAGCCCCAGGAAATTCCCATCCTCACACAAGCAAATGTCATTGGATTCGAGATGATCTCTTCGAAAACGCCAAACTCCAAGAAAACCAAGAAATCAGGCAAAAAGAAACAAATAAAGGAAACAAGACAAAGAAATCGAGCAAAACAGATCGAATAAAATATATCGAGTAAATTAAAAAGCGAATCAAATAAATCTTCTCGGGCTTCTGTGGAACAAGTGGTCGGAGATGGGCATGTGAATGACCCGAAGCACGGACCAGCTCATTTCTGCCTGCCATCAATCAGCCACAGGCAATGACGTTTTCGATGTTGACCCCTGTTTGCCAGGAAGCTGCCCGCCTTTCATCTGGTTTCCACACACACAACACGTCACACCTCCCGACGCCCTGCAGAGCTCTGCTGTGACAAGCTCTTTACTTTTCTAGCTAAAATCTGTCCTTCCCGATTGATTTGCTACATAACACACGACAACAACACCACAGAAACTGAGCAGCACCAAAGCGCTCCGCCAAACAACAGCCAAGATGACGCTCTACTACACCTTGGTATGCACCCTTTCCTCTCTGCGCACGCGCGCTTCTTGTCAAGCTGCGAGACCACGGCCGACTTTAGGAAATTACTTTTTTGACTAACCATGATATCCTCCTAGGTATTTCTGCTCCTTGTGGCAGAAATGCTCCTCTTCATGCTCCTCATCATGCCATTGCCTTTCTCGATGCGCAGAAAGGTGTTCACGTATGCTCTCCCTAGACGTCTCACCATCTTCCGACCTGTGCATAGCTAACCCCCCACCTCCAGCTTCATCTCCGAGAACCCCATCGTGGCTAAGGTCCAGTACTGGATGAAGATTACCTTCATCTTCATCCTGATCCTCTTCATCGACAGCGTCAACCGTGTCTACCGCGTCCAAGTCGAATTGGCGGCCGCCACCGAAAACACAGGCGCATCCGCGTACGTCCCCTGCACACACATACCCACACGTCCGCCCGGTATGCACAGAACAAAGATGGGACACAGGTGCTAACCGTCTCAAGCAGGCCGGCCATCATGGGTCACGAGCGTCTCGAAGTGCAGGCCCGCAAGTTCTACTCGCAGCGCAACATGTACCTCTGCGGCTTCACCCTCTTTCTGTCGCTGATCCTCAACCGGACCTACACCATGATCCTCGACGTGCTGCGCCTGGAGGAAAAGCTGAAGCAGTACGAGGGCACCGAGAAGAACACCAAGCAGGCCGAGAAGCTGGCCATGGCCGGCGACGCGGGCGAGATCTCCCGCCTCAAGCGCGAGGTCGAGCTGCGTGACCAGGACATCGCCACCCTCAAGAAGCAGGCCGCCGGCCTGCACCGGGAGTATGACGCCCTGGCCGAGAAGTACGGCCGCACCCAGGAGGACGGGTCGTCGAAGAAGGACAAATAGGAGACTGACCTCTGGCACGACCTTGACTTGCTGGGCAAGGCCACCGCGGTGGAGGAGAAGGAGGGCGACACCCCGAGACATCGGAAGCCGGCGCCGTCAAACATCTGGTCGCCTCAGCTGCCAGCTTAACCGACCCCGGATAGCTGATAGACCACGCATTGGTCGCGGATTGGCCTAAACGCGGGGGTAACGGAAAAAAATATCGGAGACGAAAGATGAAGGCGGGAGGAGCACAACGGGCGGGGGCGAGGGGCATGGAAGGTGTGTATGAATCGATAATTGCGAGTTGGAGCGAGAAATCGGGCATCTGTTTACTTAGCCAAGTGTTTGCTAGCTAGCTCCATGGATATGATTCCAGTACCAGAGGCGAGTGTTGATCGATGTATATGTAAATTCTAGCTATCGCCTGATGTCTGACTGGTACAGAAGCGTAGCTGTGCGTGCGCGATATATCGCCAATCTATCCTCCCATGCCCCGATACCGAAGCGCTTTTTGGACCCTCTCCCTCTATAGCCAAAAAAAGAAAGAAAAAAAAAGAACAAAAAGAGGGAGAAAGGAAAAAAAGAAGAAGAAAAAGAAAGGAAAGAGGAAAAAGAAAAGAAAAAAAGGAAAGAAAATAAAGGAAAATCGAAAACAACCAAAAAGACAAAAAACCGCCCTCCCACTCCCATCCCATCCCATCCCACCCCGTACATACAAGCAAAATACCAAAAACAAAAATCACAACATATCATACAAATCCGGAAACAGAATCCCGTTCGCCATCGCGAGCACCTCCCGCTCCTTATCCTCATCCGCCTCCTCCTCATCCCACGCCAACAAACCCATCGCCCGCAACCCAGCCTCCCCGCCGGCCTCGTTCACCTCCCCCACCCCGGGCCGGCCCCCCACGTAGGCTCCGCCCTCCTCGGAGCGACCCCTACCGCCGATACTACCGCCGCTGCCACTCCCGCCGCCCCCGCCCCCGCCGCCGACCAGGTCGAAGTCCGGCCCCGCGTGCCCCTGCAGGAACGCCTTGCGCTGCCGCGCGAGGTAGAGTGCGTTGGTCTGGGTCAGCGGGCAGGCCGGCAGGTACATGTACGCTGTTGGGCTGGTGGGGGCCGCGCCTTCGGCCGTGGGGGAGATGGCGTGGATGAGGTCCGGGTGCCAGACCAGGTAGTCGCCTGGTTCGAGGTGGGGGACGGGCAGCATGCTGCGGTCGAGCTGCAGGTGGGGGTGGAGGGAGGGCGTGATTTGCTGGGCGTAGCTGGGGAGGGCGCCGTGGAGGATGCTGTTTTGGGGGCGGTTGAAAGTCCAGGGTTGTTGTTGTTGTTGTTCTTGTTGTTGTTGGTGGTGGTGTTGGTCGCCTTCTTGGGGGGAGAAGAAGGGGCGGAGGAGGAAGTAGGCTGTGGCGAGCCGCGGGTGGGGACAGACTTGCACGGAGCCTGGGCCGGGAGGGATAGAGTCGAGGGCGAGCCAGCCTTGGAACATGCGGAAGATGGAGCATGCGCCGGCTTTGTGGTAGAGGTCGCTTGTTACGCCTAGGCGGGTGCTGCTCTGTAATACGCGGAGTCAGTATGTGCGGTAGGGGAAACGGCGAGCCATGACGAGGAAATGTGTGCATACCTCCCAGGGATCGTATTCCTCCCATTGCCCTTGGAATATGTCCTTGTACGTGCCAGCCCGGCCGTATCCGTCGGGCTCCCACCGCTCGACGCTTCCCCCGTCCACCCGTGCGCAAAAGCCGTCCTCGAGGCCGTATCCTCTCCGCAATACCATCCGGTCAGCGTATGATATGGGGAACCCTGTTGTGACCCTGGCATTCTCGTCTTTCGACTGCCATACGCTCATTGCGAACTTCTGGGCCGCCAGAACGTTTGGATGCGCGCGGGCTTTTACCTGAGCAGGGCTCCAAAACACATCTTGAGACTGGGGATGGTTTGGTGGTCTGTTGGGCGGGCTCTGTTTGAGGTATTCATCTGCCTCTCGACTCCAAGCAAGAGCGGCGTCTTTGGGGATCACGTTGCGGATGACGCCAACTCCTCTTTGGCGAAGATCTCGTAGAAAATCCTTTGCTTGCTCCGGCTTGGTGGTATCCTTGAAGCTGATGGTCGGTATGGCTTCGGATCCCAGGGATGATACTGTATCGATTTCCTCTGAGAGACACCGGAGAAGCCGTTGCCACGAGGCACTGACTGCCGATTCCTTGCTCGACGTCAAGCCCTCCTTGAGAGCAGTGAACCTCGGTGTAAGTTGAATGGGGCCAGGATAGGCAAAGGAGTGTGTCTCAACCCTTTTTGCCCGGGAGAAGGGGTCGACCATGGTCGTCAAGATGGGAAGAGGCCCTACAGAGATGGCCATTGCAAGGAACAACAAGAGTTGACATGGCAGAAATGAAGGGTAAGGCAAATAAATGCGAGAGTTGCCCGGGGTGCCCGGACGGGTTGAACAGAGGAACGAGGAGCGAGAGGAAGAGAAGGATGCTTGCAATGAATACGGGAGATATACCCGTGTCACTCCCCATGATCATATCGAAAAGGCCACCGCACATGTCAACCAAAGTTTTCGTACGTTCTGAAAGGAGACGCCATGTGGCTGCCATGACCGGTGTAAATGCATGCGGGCAGTTTGGTCCGTCATGATATTGACAGGGGATACTTGTCCGCAGCCACGGCCCGCCAGGCCGGTCATGCAGGTCCACGGAGAATAATCGTGGCGGTCACCAATAGGGGAATTTTAGGAGCCTGCCGCCATGAGGGTTTCGCCCGGGAACACTTCGGGTATCTTTGCGCGCGTTTCGCTTGCGGCTTCTTTGCAGGGCTGAGGAAGAGCCGCCAAGGGGCCAGGAACATTTTCAGGAATATTTTATGCCCTTTCCCGAAGTCCCGTATCGTTCCACCCGGCGGGTTTACCTGGTACGGAACAACCCCTTGTCTACGCTTGTTTCCCCCGTTTTGAGCGTCGTACAGGCACTGCATCGGCGGGAACGTCACCCGAAGCCTTTCTCTTCGCCGGCTGCTTCTCGGCCGCTGATCCGGTTGGTGGTTTACTCACACTCGTCGGACCGGTGTCTTCGTCCTTCGGCCCTCTCATCACGACGAATGCCACACGCTCAATGTCAACTGCCTTGACACCAAGCCGTTTGGCCAATGTCTGCGCTCGTTTGTTCAGTTCCGTGTACTCCTTTTGGTTGTACTTGATGGGCGCCTTTGATCCGTTGCAGCACAGCCAGTAGAAAGCCTCGTCGGCGAAGAAAACGACGCGCTTCGGATCATGTACCGCGAGGAGGAGCGATGCGGTGGCCGGCCCGATGCCCTTGAGTTGGGTCAGGATATTGAGGGCACCGGAAACATCGGCCTTGTCCCGAAAGTGACCAACGGCTTTTTGGATGGTGTCACGGACGAAACCCGGTTCGTTTGATGATACTAGTTTCATCAAAGTGGGCCGAAACTTTCCATGCCGGCTGAGACCAGAATCAGTATGTATCTCGTCGTCGATTTCTCAGAGAGCAAGCAGAGCCGAGAGCGCTTGCTTAAGCGCCGCGGCATCGATGCGGGATCTTCGGCTGTGCATCTCCATCCGCCCGCCAAGGCGTCCGGGTTGAGACTAGCGGCATGACGTCGGCGAGGTGCGAGAGATTCAAGACGTACAGTTTCCACTCAACAAGTCTTTTGACGTGATCGAGATCCGTGACCATGGCCGGGTTTCCGGAACCAAAGGTGTCCAGAGCCGTGCCATAGCGATACTGATCCAGACCGGCCAGTGTTTCCTGGCCGGGTTTAGCTGCGAGGTGGGTATCAGAAAGCTGCTCCTGGGTACTACGCAAGGCCTAAAACAGATGTTCCTTACCTCCCTTCGCGTCGGAAATCTCCGCGATGAGCGCAGGATACCTTGCAAAAAACTCTTGAAATTCGCTGTCGGATATGGTATCCGGCGACGAAGTGGCTGTGTTGGCCATTGCGGCTCCTTGGTGATGCCGGGCCGGGGTCGCACTGCAGGACCAAGAGGAGCAACAACGGCAGCTGGCCAGGATAACGGGCTGGCGCGATGGAATGGTGGGATCCACAAGATCCACCAGATTGAGAGTGAGGGATTCGAGATTCGGGAGGACGCGCCGCCGATACGCTGTCCTGGTTGGTGGTCCGGGCGTCTTCAATAATGCCACGAGTTCGGTGTCTGTTCTGGAAGAATTCCCTTGTTGGAGCGGGCGGATGCAAGCGCGGCTGTCTCCTCGGTTCAGCGCGTTTGCGAAGCGAAAAAATAGTGGCTTGATCCAGGTTGCTGCTTCTGCCGCCCAAGTCCCGGAATACCGCCGCATCCAAAATGAAAACCGTTAGAACCGGTTAAGCGGAAGCAGATCGCATGCGGCACGGCAGCGCGGGCCTCTAAAGTAGCTGCCGATCTCTGATGTGTTGCGTGGACGAAGTATGGACGAAAACCGAGGCTCTTCTTTGGTGCTTCGAGAATCGATGCAGCAAGCTTCTTCGAAGTGGATGGGACGTTGCATGAAGGAGGACCTCCCGTCGGAAACACAATCGAGACTCCCTTGTCAAGCCCCAGCCAGTCGAACACCCCCTGTTCATTGCTGGTGTGAATCTTGAACAGGGGTCAAGGAGATGAAAACAAATGAAAGGAAAAGTCAGCGAAGTAAAAGTAAAGGCGAAAAAATATCAAGCAAAATGCGAGTGATACAATTATGTCCTTTTCCCTTCGTCTTTTGGTTCAATCATCAATCATGGTTTGTGCAGTCGGCCCTGTTTGTGAATGAATGGGGTTCGTCCTGTCAGCTGTCAACGGCGTCGGGGAGCCACTTGACCCCTGCTGCATCCTTCCACCAGTGGACAAGCCAGGTTGCGGCTCGTGCGCCTCTCTCTGTGTCCAGACCTCTTTGATGGAGCCGTTCAGTTGCAGGACCAACACTTCTGCGCGCCACTTTTCTTAGCCGCTGCGAAAAGAAAAAAACGTCGCAAAGATCGGGAAGATTGTACCCATTCTGTGCCATTGCACCTGCCCGAGCCAACAACAACACGAGAAAGAAAAACAACCGAGAAATCTTTCTAAAATGGGTGGTGGTAACGTGAGTGTCCCCTGTCTCCGCCGATGTCGACTCCTTCCCGACTCTCCGCGAACCGAAATGCCATTGCTGCCGATCTAATGACCCCTCCGACAATTACTGATACCACCTGACAGGGAGCCAAGGCAGCGCAGAAGCGCGCCCGGAACGACAAGAAGGCCGGTTCGAAGGCTGTCTCGCAGCTGAAGACGGTACGTGCCCCGTGGTACCCCGAGGACGATGTTGGCAAGCCCGAGGAGGAAGATCTAACACGAATTCTACCTACCCACAGAACACTGCTGCAATGAGCATCATTTGCAATCAGTGCAAGCAGACCTTCCTCTCGACTTCTCGCGAACCTCAGTACGATTATCCCTTCCACCCCCACCTCCCGAGAAGTACCTACACAAGCGGGCGGACGGCCCATACTAATCTTGTTTCTCCCTTAGACTTACCCTTCACGCCGTAAACAAGCACAACGCGACGCTGCCGCAGTGCTTCCCCGAGTTCGCGGCCGCAACCAAATGATCGGGTCAGCCACACTGCCGTAGATTCACGATTAGACACGAGTTTTACGAGGAATGGGCGGGGAGTGGGGAGTCTTGGGTTATTGAGAAGGCGTAGACGGAAGGCGTTGACAGTCGGGTTTCCTAGCGAGTCGACAGTATCTAGTTGACCTCTTGCATGTGATGGGCCAGCGACGGAGTACAGTTACCGAAGATGCGGAGCCGACAGAGGGTCCAACATACTCCACCGTGCTAACCAGACCCAAAGTCCGTCGGAGTGTGGTTCAGAGAGATGCTTGCTTGCTTGCTACCTTGCCTGCCCATTGCTGTTCCAAAACGCAACCCTCCCAGCCCCATCTCCCCTCTCCCCTCTAGACACGCTTCTCAAAAGGGCGGCGTCGCACTCACCCAGCAACAGCAGCAGCAGCAGCCGCCTTCCGCTGCTCCTCCCTCACACTCTCCAAAAGATCCGGATACCACCTCTCACCCACATCGGGATGACTCTTGACGCGATTCCGCAGCGTAGCCTCGCCCAACGTCTCCGACGCCCCGCCGCCGCGAAACGTAAACTCCACATCATCCAACCTCCCGCCCACCGCACTCAGCACCTCCTCGCGCTGGGCGCGGACGCGGTCGGGGACGGCGCCGACGCCGACGGACTCGAGGTCGGCGAAGCGGGCGTCGCCGCTGACGCCCTGGAAGAAGGGGATGGAGAAGCGCGCGCCCGCGCCCGCCGGCGCCGGCGACAGCACCCGGTGCGTCGTGCTCACGCACACCCCGCGCGTTAGCGCCTCCAGCCCCTGGCCGATGGCTACTACTAAGGTGCCGGGGATGGGCGGGCAGTCGATCCAGGCGCCGCGCATGTTTTGGACTTGCAGGCCGCGGTGCGGGGAGGCTTGGAGGAGGTAGGAGGATAGCACTTTTTGGGGGGGGGGGGGGGAGGGTGGAGGGGGTTAGTGGCTTTGTTTGCTTTGTTGGGGATAGGGAGGGGTGGGAGGTGGGAGGTGAGTAGAAAGGGGGAAGGGGGAAAGAAGGGTGAAAGGGAAAGGGGGGAGGAAAAACGTACTGCTATCCTTATGCGGCCCGACCCCTTGGTTCCCGCCCTTGCCCTCCGAGCCCAGCTCGCCGACGTCGGGGTATTTGACGATCTTGAGTTTGTGCTGCTGATTGGCGTCAAAATACTTGTTGAAGGCACCGCTTGGGAGCTCGATGGCCTCGGCGATCAGGCTGGTGAAGTAAATGGAGATGGCGCCCATGCGGTTCATGTACTCGGTGAAGACGGGCCGGAATTTGGGCAGCACCTCCGGCGACGGCCACTGGTTTGGCGCTAGCAGGTTGTAGTACCGTGGCGCGTCCGGGCCGGGCACCGGGTGCTCCGTCGAGAGGTCGATCTGCTCGCGGTGATCGATCGCGCCGGCTGTGACCTCGGCCGAGAGACGTGAGTAGCCCAGGAAGGAGGGCGCATTTTTCATCTCAATTTTGAGCCTGGGGAAATTCTTAGCTTCCAGAGATAAGAGAGTGAGAGGGCCTGTGTGTGTTGACCATACTTCTCTTCCGTGGGTATGTCAAAGAAGGCCCTGCCCTCCTCGATCACCTCCTGGAAGAACTCGTCTGATATGCCCACATTCTTGAGGTAGAGAAACCCAACCTCCATCAAGGCATGCCGCAGCTCGGACAAGAATTCGGGCTTTGTCGCCGGATCCTGAGCTAGCGCCAGATCCAGGATGGGGATCGAGGTGAAGGACATGGTGGGTGTTGAGTGCCGGTGCTGAGTGCCGGTGCTGAGTGGCTCGGAAAGAATGAAAATGAAGCTACACTCAACGTCGATGCTGGAAGTGGAGAGAAAGAAACGTCAAAGCAGGTTACTATCTCTGCAAAAACTGCATATATTGAGGACTATGCCAACAGGGTATCTAATCATAAGACCGCCCGGAGCTTTCTTCGCTTTTATAGCAAGCTTGATACCTTAAGAATTGCCCAAGAAACCAGCCCATTCTATGCAGTACTTCGTGCGCCCTTCGAGAATGGCGTAATCGGAGTTCGCCCTTCGTGCCCCGCAATTTTCACACCACACACGAGCAGCCGAAGACGCGGGGCAGCGGAGTCAGAGAGCCAATCTTCGGCATCGGCTGTTTGAGGACAGAGCCGACTACGCTACATGAATGGGCGGGCCGTCCGTGACCTCCGAACCGGCCGTTGCCGCCCCACCCCGCTCCCGGGTGGTCGAAGTGCCATGTCCAAACTTGGTTCATCCAGGGCCCTGTTCCGGCGCCAAGCAAGCCGGCGGTGCTTCCTGTCTTGGTTTGCTGACATGGGATTCTGTCGATAGTTGGAATAGGTTCGAGAGGGCTCCGGTGCACCGGCACAAAGGCAGTCTGTGGTGCGGACCATCCCTTTCTTTGTGGGTTGGGGGGGGGAAACATCGGATGAATTTAGCCGACACTAAGCGTTGACTGGCTTAGTCGAGAACAATCCGGCCACTTGGTAGAAGATATCTTCGATTGGCGGCATGGCGAAGGCCGGGGCAGCGTTGAATATCTCGGCGAGACGCTGCGGCGCCACAACAGCAGCGTGGGTGTCGTCTTCATCCTCCATCTCGACATCCTGGTCGGCGTCCTCCATTTCCTCATCGCTGGCTTCGCCCTCTTGAAGCTCGAGCTCCCCAGAGGTCGGTTCTCCAGCAGTGGCGGCGTCATCGACTCCTAGATCCGCCAAGGGCTGGAGCAAGGGTGCTTGCTCGGGGCCTTCGGCTACGGACCAGATCTGGGCTGCCGAATCGACCACGATGAACCCGGATGAAGACGGGGCAGCGCTCACTGATGTGATCAAATGGGGAAATGTCTTAATCAGCTGCGGCTCGTCTCCTTCGACGGCGAAGATCACAAGCTCTGATCTCGCGCCTCTCTTCATCTTGTCCTGGTTTTGATGCGGGACAGGCGCAACAAGCGCAACGCTTCGCGATTCATAGTTGACTGCGAGCTGGCTAAGCCGCTTGGCAGCCTCCGACGTCTCCTTCAGCGAGTAGCTATAAAGCAGCTCGTCCGACACGATGTCGTAGACAACCAGATCCTCGGACAGCATGATCAACGTTGATCCCATAGACTTCATGGCACGGATCTCGCCCCTGAACATGCCAGAAACGACGTCCCGGAAGGCACCAGTCTCGGTATCAATGGCCACTACCACCGCGCCGGAGGGAGGCCCAAAAGCGGCGAAAAGGATGGAGCCGTCCTCCGAGAATGCGATGGCGCCACTGCACGGCGCCTTCTTGGGGGGTTCGACTGAATCATCCTGCTGTTCGTAGATGGGGAGCGAAACGGTACGAGAACAGGACCAACTCCGTAATGGCTGGCCATCGGGGCCGGTGGCTGCGAGTCCATCTCTCTTGCGCATCCGCGAAGTCCAGAACCGTACCACCCCATCATTGCCAATCGTAGCAAATTGGGACGAGGTCGGGTCGCTGGCGAGGTCGAATATTGGCTGAGTTCGGTCCGTATGATGAGCGTCATTAATGCGAGTCACAAGCTGGAGAGATTGGTCTTGCGTCCCAACCTCCCAAAACTTGAGATGAATTTCGCGCCTCTCTCGGCATGCCTCTGCGGGCGTTTTTGACCCGGTTAGGAAAACATCTGTGTCCCGCTCGGAGGGTTGCCATTCGTCGACCGAGGCAAGCCACTTGCCGTCCCGAGAGAAGGTGAGTTTAGTAGCAGTCGGTTCTGTGACGGGAACGCCCTCGCTGGTGATATTCGCGTCCGTAGGGTTGGTGCGCGCAATCGCATGCTTGGTGACACCGTGAAACGATGACAAATCGAACACCTGGAGAAGTGGCGTGGATGAGGACCCTCCTAGAGCCGCTTGTTGCCCATTTCCAACACACACGAACATCTGCGACGGGATTTGAGGGTTGACGGCGGTAACCAATGGCGCCGCTATCTCCTCGGTAGGGCGCCAGACTCGGCGGACCAGGGACTCTTTGGATGGCCGATCGCCCAGGACGAGCGACTGAATACCCGAGACGTACATGGTCGGTTTCATCTCAGCCGTGGATAGTATCATGGCCGAGTTGTCATCTAGATGAACCGCATATGAAGAACCTCGGGGCGAGACGACGATGTTTTCGATAGTTGCGGAAAGGTGTGGCAGAAAATCAAGCCTGCCGGTATCGACTTGCCAGAGAACGAGAACGGTCTCGCTGCCACCGGAAATGAGGTAGTTGCCTGCCACTTGTTAGTCCAAAGGGCCCCCAAAGTACGCATATTTCACTCGACAGGCTAGGTGCTTACCATCCTCGGACCATTTGACGCTATGTACCGCCCGGCGATGCCAGTGATACTTCTTTGGCTGGATCACACCTGCCTTGGAGGACCCAGAACCTTCCCCTGGCAACTTGGACAACAAATCATGGTAAACATAGATGCCACCCCGAGCACATCCGACGGCAATGTCGACAGATTGGAGCTCAATTCCTCCTTTCTTGGTGACCCGGGTCGTGTGTCGGATGTCCAAGCAGCTAACAATATCCGGGACATCGAAGCAGTGGAAGCGATATGTCAAATCATCCAGAGATGCCGCCTTCTTCGCCTTCAGCAGCCCAAGGTGCAATGTCTCCTTTGCTGCAGCGACAATCAATCTACCGCCGGCGACAGACCGTAGTAATTGCGGGCTCTCGTCGTATGTGTGGAGAAGCTTGCCCGCGCCTGTCGATAGTGCCTTGGTGTTGTAGGCAACTATTTGCGCAGAGCTCCAAGTGAGCCTCTTTAGAACCAGCAAGACATCCTCCGACTTCCCGCCTATTTCCACCGCATCCACAGTTACGTCCAGCACTTTCTTGGCCTCGGTTTTAAAGGGAGTGTTTGCGCCCAAGCCAGATGTCCAATTGATGTACCAAATGCGTCCATCTGAGCACGCGACCCAAATGTAGTCGGCGTCGCACTTGGACAACACCGAGGCAACAATATGCGCTGACACGAGCTCGTTGTCGTCGTCCGTTCTTGTCAAGGGGAGGGCGATCCTGCGGACAAGCAAGGAGTCTTCAGTCGAGTACACCTGGATTGAGGTGTTATAGGTGATGATCAAGTGGCTAGATTTGTCAGAAACAACTCTATTGTAGTATAATCGCTTGTGCGTAGTCGCCCTAGCTCACCGTTCGTCTGGGGAGAAGACCGGATCAATGTCCAGCATCCTCCCACCCATTGGCTTAGACAGTTTCCATGATGCCAGCCTTTCCCGTCCAGGTTCCGCTAGGGCTTGTGATGATGCGTCGAGAAGCTCAAGGTCGCCGTCGGTTTTTTGTAGTGTCGCATCATTCGTAGCGTCTTCCCCAGTCGCATTCTCTTGGAGTTTTGATTTCCGACGGTGCTTTTTTTGGGATAGTTTCGGATCGTCCTTCGGTTCGCGCTTCCGTTTCAGGGACGCCGTATCGCCGTTTACGTCCATGTTCGAGGTCATTCCGTGTTGTGGTCGCAGCGGAGGAACTGGAACAGCGGCGATATGAACTAAACAACACAAGCCAATGCCTCAAGACAAACACTCAGACCGTCTCCAATTGCTGGCAGGCAGAAGAAATTTTGGCGGAGTCGTCAAAAAAAGTTAGAGTGGGGCACATTGCTTATCGGCGATAACGGTATGCACAGACCACTCAAAGTCCCGAGCAACAAAGATTTGAGGAACGGCCAAAGAGATGCTCGCGCGCGCGATCAACGAATTCGTCAATCAAATTCACGACAACAGAAACTTGCGCCGTCACTCGAGAGACTGCACGATCTCATCACCACCGATTCCAAGAACAATCACACGTGAATACCGACTACACACTTGGAACCGACAAATACCGACAAAATGATTATTCCGATCCGCTGCTTCTCTTGTGGCAAGGTGGGTTGCACGCCCCGACCGTCCCGCTGCGCTCACAACTAACCCCTCGTCTAGGTGACGGGCGATCTCTGGGAGAAGTTCGTCAAGCTTATTGAGGAGGATGGCCTTAGCGATGGGTAGGCGCCGGCGATGTACACAACAGGCGGATCGGCTTACTAACGATCTCAACAGCGACGCTCTGGATCAACTCGGGTGCAAGAGGTACTGCTGCCGACGCATGGTCATGACACATGTCGACCTCATCGAGAAGCTTCTCAAGTACGTCGCCTATGTCATGGAGTTTGCACATGCATGGATCTGAGCCGGAGTGCTGACACTTCATTCCAGATACACGCCCGATGGACGGAACTACAAGAAGATCGAGATGCAGCAAACACACCAGGACGCTTGAATTCGGTCGTTGACGTGCATATATTCGGCGTTGAACAAGGTGGCCATGGGTTTTCAAAATACCGATCGGGGAGTTCTATCGCCGTCGGTTTGGTTTCCGGAGGCGGCGTTTAGGTTGTATTTAGATCTAGGTTATTGGTATTAGATCGATTCGTCCTTTTCCAAATCAAGGACAGAGGGAGGCGGTCGGGAAACGCAATGCCTTTAGTGGACTGCTGGAACCAACCGCATATAACGTCTGTCGCGGGCATCGTGCCACGATGCACCTGCACAAAATCAAGCGTCTGCCCGCCGTCATGTGAATGGCGTTTGGAGCCCCATGCCCTCGGTACCAACTCCCCGATCAAGGGTGCCTCCGAGAAGAAATTTATCGGACACCGGGCTGTGGTAATGGCTGCAAGCAGGGGATCAGGGGAGCAGGGGAATCGGGGAAGATGGGATTGAGAGAAGAGAGGGGAAGCGAGGACGGCCGCAAGCGGATATCATGCCGTGTTTGCGTCAAGATTATCGAGAAATTCACCAAACTTCAACGACTTACTGTGTGAAGATGGTTCATGCGGACGGATGGATCTGGCATCCTGGGACGGGTGGCGGTGAGCTAGCCACGTATTGTTTTCTACCAGTCGACATGGTGTTGGTTCGGGTCCTTTGCTTGCGAGAATTTACTCGACCAACTGCGCAAAGAACCGGAAGGAAGCCGAGGACGTCTTTCGGCGGCGCTTAACACAGACTGGATAGGCATAGCGCGCACTTCGTGGGGCTGCAGTCGCCCAAATCCCACACGGCAGCCGCGACGGGCGTCAGAACGCTTCCTCTCAATCCATGTTTTGCGCGGCTGTTTGTTTTTGTGGCACCCACTCTTGCCATTTTCATCAAGATGCATCTCTTTCAAAAACAAAACAATCCACCACAATCCATTACATTCCACCACATTGACGCACATCGTGATCTTAATGCAACCCCAATCGCCGGTGAGGCACGAGTGACTCCCCTAGCACCATTGGCGGTGCACACAGTAGGGACGGTAGGATGAGTCGACAAACTTAACACCGCCCTCGAGAAATAGCCTCACTCTCGAGACGTGAGATTTCAAGGATGAGAAATTGGACAAAATTATTGCGAAAACGGACATCACTCCCACCGCCATTCAACGTCGATGCGGTCAGCTGCCAGCCGCCATGCCCGCTATACCAGAATGGGATCAGAACCAGATCGTCGGGATCCCACCCGCAACGAAATCCGAACCCCTGCTCGCCCTGCCTTGCCTCGTCTGCTCGGGCCCCCCGGCTGGGCTGGCAGGCTGATGGTGGCTGATCATCCACGACGTCGAAAGTTCCTTCTCGATGGCTATGCCGAGGAGCTCCTCCGCCCATGCGCACACCATCTTATCCGGCCAAGTTGGAGGAGGTCCGGTGCAATCTAGCATCATCCTCGTTTACCTGAATCATCCACGGAACATGACTGGAACAAGCACTGTGTGCCATGCATCTTCTCGGAGGTGTCGGATCTGGCTTTGCCCGATGCTGCCCTTCGCCAGTTGGTGCTACCCGTCCTCGGTTCGACTGCTGCTACCCCTCTCCGAATCTCGACTTCCAGAAGTCTTCAGAATATTTACACTCAAGTTCTGTTGCGGGGAGAGAAAGTCCCCGTCGGGCCAAGCTTTGGGAGTTGCTCGTCTCGTCTGTCCGCGATTTTCTCTTCGGCTGCCATTGGACGGACTGGCGGGCGGGAAGGAAATAAAAACGCCCGGCTAGGATGGTGTTGCCCAGCAGGCTGGAAACGGCGATGGTCTTGTCAGCCCGTGTGGAAGCCCATTGGAGGCTTCTTGACCCCTCGCTCCGGCACGCTTCGGACAGGGGGGAGCCTGTGAAACCAAGGCCGCTGACTTGCTGAAAAAGCGAGCCACAACGACTCGTTAAGCGCCGGTGTCATGCCCCATGCAGCCTGTCGGCAGAAGGAGGGGTTCCTCGCCGGCTTCCTACTGGCTCGAAGAGCAACGACGCGCATCGACCCCTGTTCTGGATGTGCGGGATGGATTTGACCACTGCCCTTCTGCGCGCACTCTCGGGTTCGAGGCTTCGAGACTCATCGCTGAGTACCAGCTTGGGCAGAGACCACATCTCGGTTGGCTCCCAAGCAACCCGTGCACCAACGGAGGTTCGCAAGTTCGAATGCATCACAAGAGCTGCCAAGCCGAGCCTTGACGCGAGAACCCTGAACGAAGGATGAGCGAGGATTTCTGCTAATAATTAACATTGCGACCACGCCGTGCAGCTGCCGCAGGCCCGTTGGTCGTGTTGTCGAGTTATCCCCTGTCGGGCAAGGCGCCCACATCAGACCCTTGACTTCCCGCAAACCACTTCCACCCTTCTCCCCGTTTGGCTGCTGCTCTTTCCTTAAGCGCAGCGGCGTTCTTTCATCGACCACTCACGCCGAGCGCTGGATTCCTTCAACCAAACCACGAGCGAACGACGACTCCACCACTCCCGCGCCCGAGAGGTTGTCGCAATCCTCCCACGTTGGCTCGCTGTCGCATCCCGCCAAGCACGCCTACCTGTCCCTCATCAGCAAGTCTGGCTCTGACAGCTGTGCTGTTTTAACGCTGCCTGCCTCGTTCCCCGCAAGCGGAGGCGACGCTGGCCCTCGGTTCACCATCTGGCATCCAGCATTCGGCATCCGCCTCCAGTCCCGCTCGGGCTCTGAAGCCGCACGCTAGATCCATCGTTCTGCAGCAGGAAGCTCCCTCGACTGGCTGATCGTCTTCGCCCAACCCCGATCGGTATTTGGGGTGTAAGACCTTATCTGGGGTCTCTTAAGAGGCGCCTCTTCGCTTTCACTTCGCTTGTCGAACCCAGCATCCGGAGTAGGAAAACAAAATATCCCGAGCTGCCCAACTTCTAGCGCAGAACTACAGCACCTAATTCGATACCTCGGCGCGGCGACGAACCACCGCATCTCAGTCAGTCGATAGCCCTTTAGTCTCGCGCCGGTCCTTGCGCAGCTCAACCGTGCCTTGCTGCCACCCTCCACGTCCCGATATTGTGTCGGCGACCCAACGGGGCCGAACAGTACCTTGAGTGCTAGATCATCGGCTCACACCGTTCCGGCTACCCGTTTCGCCAGGTTCGGGGCGCAATGGCTCTTGAGGCACCTTTGAGATCATCAACGGGAAGCATTGCCTCGAGATACTTGTCACACGCAGACATGCCACTCTCTGCCGGGTCAGAATCGTCCTCTCTACACTCTCAATATATGGCGTATGAATCACACCGAAGCTCGAAATCACAATGTCAGACCCTGACCGTTTTCCCATGACAGCTCCTCCTCCGGCCACGATGCCCAATCTCTCCGTCCCAACTCATTCATGAGGCCGAGCTCGGCCCATCTAATGAGCCCCAACAGTGATATCGTCGGCCCTTCTCCTGTGACATCGAACGGTACCGCGACCACGGAAATCGAGGATGAGGCGGCTGAAAATGCCGAGGAAGAAAACGGCCAGGTGCGGCATTCGGTAGGTCGGGGTGGTGGAGGCGGAGCACCCTGGCGGTTAGCTAACAGCGCCCAGCATATGATGCTGAGAACGAACATCCCGGATCACATTCGAAGGCCCCTGAGCGAAGAGGTTGTCTCGGTAATACACGCACCCCCGAGCTTCCAAAACTGGGTATGGTCAATATCGTATGTGCCCGAACACGGTCGCGGCGCTAATCCTACCGTTTTGCTAGAAGTCGAACGATGCGGCCTCAAGATCCAATTCGGCAAGCGTCGCCAGCGTGGAGAGCACGAGCGCGAGTAGCCCTCCACCAAGCGAGCCGTCAACAGTAGTGAGACAGTTTTCATCCGTACCTGCCTGCCCGCCAGTTCGATCCCGCTAACGGCAATAGACACCCCCGACGCAGCTACTCCCCACAGTTAACACCAAAGTGAAACCGGTGGCATTTGGCATAGATGCCCCGACACCACAGGCTCAGAAGCTAGAAGATGTGCTTGCGAGCGATCCCTCGAAGTTGCGATCGAGCACAGCCAGCAGTTTGGAGCGTGAGACTCGCCGTGTGTGCACGCCTCCGAAGTATCTCTTCTCACAACTCGTTGCAGTGATACCCGAAAGTCACGAGGTGGATGCGGACGACGACGAATACGACGACGCCGACGATTTTGCGGACCCGGGGCTCAGCCAAGACAGCGAAGTCAAAGCACTTAGGGCAGCTCTCGAGGAGTGTTGGACACTGTGCAACACACTCGCCAACCTCAGCACTATCCACCGGGAACGCGTCTTCAACAGCTCGGGAACACCAGACGCTCATGAGAAGGCCTGGAAGAGCTGCTGGAAGCTTTGCAAGCGGCTCTACCACAGCCGAGACGACATCTCCGAGTCCTACGGCGTCCGGACGAATCTGGACTTGTGTCGTGACTTCTGCCAATCATTGTTTGATGTGCGGCAAAAAAAGGATGAGACAGCCGATTCTATCCTCAGAGTCAGCTTTGAACTCAACAACCAGTACTGACTCACTTCCCTATTCTACCCCTCTTCGTTCATCAGGGAATCCCCGTCGTCTAACACAACTTTGCAGCCTCTACAGCGCCCAGGATAGCCGATCGCTTCCCGAGGCCTTTCGGGAACGAACCTTGGATTTCTACATTACGTTATGCCACCGACTCATGAAGCAGCGCAGCGATCTAGGCGAGGAAACGGATTCGCTCTTACGGGCCTGCTGGTCTTTGGCCGAGATGCTCTTCAGCCTGCGGCAAAACCGACGAGACGGCAAGACGGCCGACGAGGAGCTACTTGGCTCAGCGGTACAGGCGTGCTGGGAGCTCTGCGATATCTTCCGCGAGGGCTGGACACAAATCCGGCCAGATCGGGGCACCCCAAGGCCGAACCAGATCAATTTCTTCGCTGCCGGCCCGCCGTATGGTCTCCAACCGATGGGTAGCCATCCATCCGAGGTCGCTCGTTCAAATGCCGGCAGCCGCGCATCATTGCATTCGAAACGCAAGAGCCTCCAGAGCCTGACCGATATCGACCGGCCACGACCGCATGCCGTTGTTCCTGAAACCCCCGTGACTGAGTTCGAGGACACCCCCGTATCGCCCGACGCCAGCCCGCAAATGCCCAACATCCTGGTTCTCGGCACCTCGACCGACTCGCGGAGCGATCGTGGCGGTCGGTGGTCAAGCAATGCTTCAAACCTGTCCGGCTACAGCCAGAGCAGTCAACATACTTCGAGTACGGCCACTACAGCTGCCACTGTGGAGGATACTAACATCACACGCATCAAGGCGCTCATCGTGAAGGCCGCCATGAACATAGGGTATAACCGCGACGCGGCGGCAGCCAGTGGCACCGGCGGTGCAGTCTCGCTGCAGAATTTCGTCAAGAGTCTACCGACAGGCTCCTTCGGCTCGCTGCCCACCCACGCAACGCTGCTGCAGGGGTACAAAAGCCTTGTGCTCAGCGACACACCGTTCCGCTCCTCGGCTAGCCTCCCCGTCCGCGGGAAACGATTCACCGCCGTCGAGATCGCCAAGAGCGTCAGCTGGATGATGCTGCGTTCGAACCAGTATGCCTTCTTAAAGGATCTGTTCCGGCTTGTTTTTGGAATCCAGCCCGACGAGGCCGAGACGAGGAAGAATATGTCGATCACGATTTAATACGCTGTTCCGTGTCCGTGGGTGACGACAAGCCCTCCGTGCGGTACGCCGGTTTCTGCCGAGACTTCTTACTACCGAGCACACGGCTACCGTCACCTCATTCGGTCTTATACCCTTAATAACTCGCACATTCATCGCTACACAGACGCCACCCGCGGTGTTTGTCCCTTCCGCCGGCCGTTTATCAACACAACACCACTTCAATTTCCGGCCTGACCGCGATATATCTACAATCATTTTTTGGTCCGGCCATATCTACCATTTCTTCACCTGAAACAACCAATACACACGGATTCCCCCGAATGTACCCCGCCGCCGGTTCAACATCGCCCCTCCTCTGCCGCACGATCCGTCTCCCTGTTTTCCTATCCCGTTGGAGTTCCGCTCTGTTAGATACCCTGTCTTGGATGTTGCAAACTTTCTCTCGTTTATGTAAAGGCGTCCCCGAAGGTTAGGGGCGGGACGCCATGAGCGACCTTTTTTATACTCACTTTGGGGGGGGGAATCTTGGGAGTTTGATGATCCAGGTCGCGTTCAGACTGTTTGCCCTGTCGTTTCTGTCCTTGTGCGTTGCGAGCCCAATTTGGAAGGGGTTGGTTCGGGGCTATTAGAAGGTCGGGGGGTGGGTGGTGGTGCATCATGAGGAGCAGAGCGACTTTGTGTTATGGCTTCGGCAGGCAGACAGAGGAAGAACGAATTGAGACTTTTCTCGTTGATCACGGCCGTTGTGCCCACAAACCCCGCTCGAGGCCTGCCGCATTTTGCTAGTTGTTTGGCTACACGAGCGTCAACAGTTACAAGGGGATTGGTGGGGAAGAGTGTGATGCTGAACAGTCGAGCCCTTCGAAAGACCCCCTAGTGAGGTTGGGAATCAAAACCCAACCCAATTCCTAGTGATAATCTATGATCAAGGCGCCGAAGATTGTCATCTCCTGGACGACTCAAGCACCTAAATGCGATATTACATCTGTCTAAGCAGCCCTATTCTAGGAATCCTACTCCTTTCAAATGTCGATCTCCCTTTCTCTTTCCCACTCTCTCTAACTAATCCCAATCCCCCCCTACAACCCCCCCCCCCCCCCCCCCCCGTCGCGGGGCTCCAAACCCCCTTCGCCGGCCGCCATCCGAACGCCGCCTCTGGAAACCAAACCGACGGCGACATAACCCCACTATCAGTATTTCAAAAACGCATGGCCCAAGGCGGCCTAGGACAAGCCATGGAGTACAAACATACCCAACACAGCCGTCATCCCCAGCCTCGGAACCATGGCGCAGGTTGGAGTTGTCTATTTCCCGTAGACTCCGGCAAACCATTACGATTGATCAGGATACTACGAGGGACTTGGTATCGTAATGTAACTAGAGGCGCATTAGTGCTCCGGTTCAACCTCCTGTTTCTTCGAGCTCCAGGCCCTGGAGAGGGATGTTTCGTATCGGATGTTCCAGATTTAGAGAATTATGCGAAACTCGTTTGGGGCTGGGAATCGGAAAAGTAGATATGGCGGGAATGGGTGCGTGGGAGTGTCATACTGGCCTAGGTGTATTTGTGGGCGGGCGATAGTCCAAAAGTACAATGTTCGGGAGACAGCGATCAAAGATATCGAAACCCCATAATGAGTAGTGGAGCGACGTCGATAATACCTAGACAACCCGGACGAACACATAGAGTCTACCTTACATATCCGTGGGAGTGCATCATTTACACTTACACAGCAGAGCGTTCGCGGTTCTCAACGTGGTCTGAGCTAAAACTAGACAATGTTTCTGTACTTGGGTATATATTTAGCAGCCACAACGAGCTCAGATATCTTCTCCGGCGCTACCACTCCAGTAACTAGACCAAGTCTTAGCTTTACTGGCGTGTAGATCTGGTCACTTCTCCTACTCTAAATCCTGTATTTGTATGTCTAGCTCTATGTAGGTAGCCGTAGATCTACTTCCCGCTCTTCTCCCTTTCCTTCTCTAGGACCGTCTTCGTCTAATCCAGGCGTCATCTAAAACTAAACATGCCCGTAACGCCACGCTTTCGTCACACATAAGACCGGGCTTCACAATCGGGACCCATGCGAGCCTAGTTGAGGACGGACCGACCCCGACCAAATACGCCCCACCAGAAACCCACGGCTTGCATCTCGTCGTCGTCGTGCTCGTCACCCCAGTCGTCTTGCCCTTCCACGATGTTCTCGTTCATGCAGAGAAGAGGGCTGGGTTGCCGGGCCAACTCCTCCCTCAAGTTGCCGAGGAGCCCCTTGGTAGTCTCATCCCTTTGTGGCACCATGACAAGAACCCTTGCATCCGGGTTTAGAGCAAGTTGCTCGTCGATGGCGGTGGCCAGGAGCGCTGGGTGGTCATCGTCATACAGAGGGTCTGCCACAATGATGAGCTATGGTCAACAGTTAGCAGTCATTCGGTTAGCCCACGTGCCGTCTATTCTCTAACCTCGTAACGGTTCAGCTCCCAGAACATCGGGTCGATGTCGTCCTTGCCACCACCCCATGTCAGTGCAGCGACTTCGACTTTGCCGCCCCGTCCATCCACGACCTCCTGGTTCAGAGACGCATTGTGGGCCAAGTTGGGAACGATGACCGGCAAGTCCGTGAGGACAACACTTGTCTTCCATACGCAGGCGGCCGCGAGACCTAGAAGGCCGGTGCCGGATCCCAGTTCGAGGACCTCCTGCGGCGCCGCAAGTGCACCAGGAAGGAACAAATGCGCTAGGGGACCGGTGGTGAACTCATGGAGGAGTCGAGCAAGCGCATACGATGAACCCCATGTCTTAAGGCCGAGAGAGTCCCCAGTCAGGGGTGGCTCTCTAATTGCTAGGCTGAAGTCGCCATCTCCGTGATTCTCAAAAGGCCAGCGCCGAGTGATCTCCCCCATCGCTACCCTCGCCGTTAGTCTCCCCCTAGGTTGGGCTTTCACAAACCCCTTTCTACGACGTTGACTTACCTGTCCGGCCACACCGCTCCGACATGCGCTTGCTGGCCTCCTCCCAGACCATCTCCCGCTCATCATCGCTATCGAGCCACGGCAACCCGCTCTTGATGATGGTGGATAGGAAGGAGACGATTTCCCGTCGGTCATGGGCTGTGACGGCCTGTTCTTTGAGAATCTGGGTGCGCGAAACGTGCAAATTCCACACCGGGGGCTCAACGCGAAGCTTTTTGAGACGTGCAAGAAGCACTTCATAGGTGGGTTTCTGCCATAGGTGAGGAAGTTCGTCCTCAGGGGGCGGCAGCAGCGTGGTGTCTTTCATATCCGCGAGGCGGGTTGGGGGGGAATGGGGGGAGCGAGGGAAGGGTTGGTCCTCTAAGATCGGTAGGCAGCCTAAAAATGAGACAAGGAAAAAAGCTGTAAAAAAAAAGAAGAAAAAGAGAAGGTAAGTAGCCCAAACGGTAAGCGCGGACGGGCAAGAGTACGAGTAAAGTTAAAATGATCGGAGAAAAAAAGAGAAAAAAACTTGAGCAGAAACAAACCGTTCCGTTGTCAAAGGAGGCGAGAACACACGGCGGCGGCTACTTACAAGGAAATGCCTCTTTCCGCATAGGGAATTACGCTGACAGCGCCATCACAACGCAGCGGTCTGGCCTTTTCCTGCCGCCCCCCCGGTCCCGGTCCTCCCTGTGCCTCCACGAGAAACGGGGGCGTGTCAGGTTGGCGGTGACCCACTGCCTCCTCGATTTTCTCGAATTTTAAAAGTGCCAGCAAAGGAGGACGTTTTGGGAGAAAGAGTGGGGGTCATTTTTTTCGAGAAGAATTTCTGGTCGAGTGGCATGAGTGGGCCCGTGTTATGCGTATGATTGGTCAAAGCTGGCCGCGGGGCACTGAGCCGCAATTTTTGCGGTGACTCTTGTTAAAAACTGCTTGAGCTGTGCGACTTTCCTTTTCTTCTCTTTTTCTTCCTCGTGAAGCCTCGTCCTCTTCAACGCTGCGTTTCTATGCTACAAACGGAGAGCCTGCGAAAGCAGTGCTTTCGAACCTATCACTAGCATATGAGAAATTCGGAGAATCCGCTTCACTCTTCAGCTCGTCCATCTGCGCTTTCGGGCGTCCGATGGGTCGCGGGCTCTGCCGGTGACGGCTTGGCGCGATCACGCGTCTGTAATTGGCATCAGAAAAGCAGGGCCTGGCGCCGCCCCGTGGCAACGCGGGTGTCGGATGTCCATGGTTCCTCTGGGAGAGCCGTTACGAAGCTTGTGCCCAACACTTGAGTGCAATACGCAGCGTGCGGTCTTCTCCCTCCTGGGGGCGAGGCCACACAATTCGATTCCGATCATTCTGTTGAGGACGAGGCTTCACCAACTCTTTTTTTTCCTAGGTAAGAAGTGGTTTCTATTCCTACAGGGCGAGGGTACTGCTAACTATCTACGCGCCGACGGTGCTCGACGGCCAAACAACACGCCCTCCCGCTTTCGATAGGATCGACTCGACCTGCCAACACATAATACCTCTTCAATAGTCATAACCGCCCTGGTCACCGCTTGTATGCTCCTGAGACTGGCCCTCCGGGTTATCGAACAAACCGCCCTGCTCGTCTTCCTCCTCTGCCCCGTTGCCTTGGTTCCAACTCCCCCGCCTCTCTTCACGGGGCTGTTCCGCCTCCTCATGTCGCCGGCCTGTTGCTCAATTTCCTCTTCGCCATCTATACATAGAGCAATGTTAGTCTTGTGGTTACCGTCCTCGCAACGTTGGCGGGCTTGTTTGGAATCTGGGTTGTCGCCGGGGTGGACTTACAAATCCATGCGTGCTTCTTTCGGCTCAGTAACAATCTTGCCTCCTCCAGCTCGACCACCAGCTGCTTGCAAGCGAGCCGCTCACTCGCCGCTCTCCCGGCCAGGCCCACGATCCCATCGCAGAAGACAATCGCCTTGTTGGCTGTCAGGATTTGGCGCTCGAGGCCGTGTCTTCCCTCCCATACCTCCTTCATGACTATGGCGTCTTTCACGGCGTCCTTCACAGCTGTTCTGCTGTTCAAGATCCGCGCTGCCATCCCCTCGAACCTCAGCCTGTCACGTTTCTCGCGGAAAAACCTTCTCCTTAACCTTGTTCCTCCAGACTATGTCGAGCGTGATGTTCTCAGCCCAGCCTCGGATTGGCTCGACGTCGGCTTCGAAGCATTGCACGAGCGGTTGGAATACCTTGAGCGAGGCGTTCAACTCGTGGTCGAGGTTTCGCAAAGCAACGTCGATGGCGGGGCGTCGGGCTCTTGGAATGACTGGGGGGTTGTTGAGCTTCTGGTACTTGGTCTTGATACCGCGTCGGTTGCTATCTCGTAGGCCCTGTTTCCTTGATGACTTGGCGCAGAAGAACATGTCCTCGGTGCATTTGTCCTCGGACAGGTTAAGGCCGTCTAGGGAGAACTCTTGTTCGCTATCGTAAGAGGACTCTGCTCTAGGAGAGTGAACCCGCTGGTATGCCGAGTGACCAGGAAAATTCGGCGCTCTGTAGTCGCAAAAGTCCATCTCGATGTAGAGTTGGGTTGTGGATTGTTGGAGAAACTTTTTTGGCGTCGAATGGTGCGTGTCGGTGGAAATATAGACAAGATAGCAGCGTTGAGTCGGTCGCCATCTTGCATTCAGTGTCCCAAATTGCCATTGTCTCTTTGCTACTGTTATCTGAGCCAACTCCAACGACGTGCAAACTGGCAATTTATCTCCTAGGTTTTCTGATTGTTTCTAGAGTTATGTAGTTACCCTACACTAAGCGTTGTCGACTACATTGGAAGGCCAGAAGCTACAAACCATTAAGCATCGCACTCAATCTGCCTTCACGGGGGCACGCCGCGGGCCGGGTTGGTGCCTAGCCACCTGTCGTACAATGACGCTCTTCTGTTGCGGCACCGTCAACAATTTGCCCCCATGGTTTGGCCAGGTTTGTTTCTTTACGTATTCATCAGGCAAGCAAGCACGGGAGGCGGACAGATTAGGAAGTTGGGTGCGTACAGTAAAGGGGGGAGGAGGGGTTTGTTTTCTTTTTTGTTTTCCCACACGTCCGTCCACCCACACGCACACCACATGTGACGGCGTTGGTGTTACGAACCACAACGCCGTGGAACCACGCGCAATGTGTGATGGCCGAGATGTGATTGTCTCTCACTCGCTTGCGACCGACGCCTCTGTTTCCGGCCCCAGCACGAGATAGGTTGCGGAGTAGCCGCGGCACCAGCACCACCAGCACCAGCAGCGGCAGCCTCGTAGTCCCTAGGTAGACAAGTCTAACTCCGCGGCCCTTTTCGCGGGGCCGTCTGGGGAAGAGACAGCTAACTAGCCAACTAATGAGTTCGTCCTACCCAACCAATTCCCGATACCCTCAAGCCTCATCACGCCCACCCCCAAACTCCAAAGGGAGCACCCGGGTTTCGGCAAGGCATCCGCAAGTCATCGACCAAGGCGGCTGGCTGACCCGGCCTGGTGTTTCACTCCAAACCACCACTCATCGCGGGGGGAGGGAAGGGAAGGTCGACTTGGCCGGTTTTGGGGGTCGGGGTTCTGTGGCACGTCACATGCTGTGTGGCTTGTCGAACGAGTTTTAGTGAGTTCCGCTTTGCGCAGCAGCAGCCCAACAGCGTCAGAAGGAGTGAGACGGCCAGGATGGGGACGCCGAGAGCACGCGGGCATGGAAGCGACAACAACAACAACAACAACAACAATAGCGTGATGGGGAGCAAGGCGTCTAACTAAAGCTGGCTATTTGTCTGCCAATGTGTTGGCACTACTGCTGCTGCTGCCGCTGCTGCCGTTGCTGAGCCTTGCAGTTTCCGTATCGTCCATCGTGGGTGATGGATGGATTCCTGATCTCCCTCCCACCCCCAAGCCCGCAGGGGGAATGCAGATCACGGCGGCTGGCGGGGGCCAAGGCTTCTTCCCCCACCCCCCTGCCCAGCTGGCCCCACGGCCGGCCATCAACGAAGCGTGACAGGGCGGCGGGAAAACAAGGCCAACCACCACCACCACCGACGACGCCTCGACACAGAAAGTGCCCGGATTGGCATTTTGCCCTGGTAGCTTCCATCCGTGCTTACCACAGAGCACAGTACGAGTTATGGAGGGGGTGCGGTGCCGGTGGTCGGCCGACCTCTCTCCCAGCAATCGGATCATTTATTACCAAGCAGATCTCGCATTCTTTTCGGATCGGGTCCAGGGTCGCTTCCGGGAACCCCCCTCCCCCTCGGAGAGATTGGTGACTGGGTGACTGGTCTGGTTCCTGGCAGTTTCAAAATCTCAATCTCTGGCTCAGGTGTGCGAGTGGTGTGTGGGCTGCTGCCCGGTTGCCAGTCACCCAGTGATTTGCAGGCGGACAGGCGGCCGGTGGGGTTCCAGGTTTGGGCTCGGGAGGGACGGCCTGGACCGTGCGTCCGGGAATTCCGTTCTTTCCTCTTTTGGGGCTGCGCTAGGCTACAACGGGACGAGGGCGTGAAGGTGGCTGCAGTTGCCGATGGCGGGGGACACCCGCTAACGAGTGAGTGACCGAGTATCTCGAGGAACCCTCGCTCGGCTCGACTGTGCGTTGTTTATTTGGTTTTAGTGTCGAATGAATACGCAGCGGAAAAGAGGCACACGAATTGGAAACGGGCGGCAGTGATTATTCGTTACCATTGACATCCTGTGCATCACTGTGGTGTTACGAAATTGGCTGGCCAGGCGGGAGTGGATCTTGATACCGGCGGCATCATCCGCGAAATGGAACGAGGTGACCAGGGGCGAGTTGCTCATGGTGATCAATGCGACCATAGCAGCAGCGGCAAGTCTCGATTCGTCTGCGGTCGGAAGACGGGAACAAGACCCTTTTTCATCTCGAAGCAGAAGCTGGACAATGGAGAGCACGGGAACGCAGCACATGCGGGCTGCGAGCGATCTCACACGGCCTCCCGACTGCTGCCAGGGAATAACTAACTCACTGCCTACCCAGTTAAGCGGCATTGCTCTGTCGCTAATTACTTGTAATTATCCTGGCTGGGGTCGGGCGAAAATAAGGAGTCCATTTTCTTTCTTCGTTTGATGTGGGAGTTGAGGAACGCAACTCTTTCTTTTTGAAAGCTGAAGAATTTTGCGGTTTTCTGGAACTTCTTTCTTAATTAACCCCAGACTTCCTTGCAGGACAAGACGGCCCAGTGGTCCGACAAGCCTTTGACGGATAGCTTCTTCCGGTTCAGACAAATATGGATATTATCCAGTCTGCGCTTATTGCCGGCCTGGTAACGTAGCTTACGGGTTTTACTCTGTCCGGCACCCAAACGCGCATGTTACGATCGGGATACCGGCGAGAGATGCTGAGGGATGTCGTCGAAACGAGCAGATCGGGGAAGCCAACGCCGGTTTTGGTGGATCCTCTTCTGCCGGGTGACGTTGAAAAGGAAGAGATGGTGTGTGGCTCATGCTGACGGGTGGCGTGGCTGAGAGGCTTGAACCTGACGAATACGTCGTCTCGTTTTCCATCCAGTCTTCCAGTTTTCCCCATTGATGTGCTCCTTGCGCCCGTTTGCCGATCAATTGCTGGGTCTCATCGACGGAAATCTTCCGAGCCCACCCGCGAACAGCAATCTGTGTTTCCGTTCCCTCAGATCCAGGGCGGCGATGTGGTTTGCGTCCCACCCCTCCACTAACCTTGCGTCGCATGCGCGGGGTTCCTGGATGCAAGCGTAACCGTGCAGCAAGCAGCAGCGCAGCAGCAGCAGCAGCACACCACCCACCTACCTTACCTGCGCAAATAAGCGGGGGAATACCCGGTTCGCGGGCAATACACCTCGCCGTTCCGGAGTACTCCTCCAACCTACCTCTGTGGACGGATAGCGCATGCCGGAGGGGAGGGGGCTGCCGAAATGGCCCTTACGTCCTTCCCACCAACAAGATCACTGGGTTGCAAAGACAAGAGTCGTTTCGAAGCTCGGGGTTCGGTGAGTTACCGGTCGGGGACGGGGAATCGATTGCGGGGGCCGCCGGATGCTCTCGGATTGGGGGCGACCGGCAGGGCAATCTTGGCGGCATGCCGCTTCCCGATCCTTCAGCTCGCGACGGAAGTCGAGCCGGGCTGGCCCGGGTCCATGTGTCGGTAACAGGATCTGTGCACAGAGGTAAGACATGCAGAGAATGGAACCCGGGGTTTGAGAAGCAGCAGATGTGCCAATGGCAGCTGAGGCCTAGCGAATTCACGGGGACGGGAATCGCATCGGTGTCTCTAACGGGGACGGAATAATTCTCTCTCGAGGTATGGGAGGGGCGGGCGAGGACGAATCGCAACGACGCCTGCCCGCCCTCCGTGGGCTTCCTCTTTAGATCGGTTGCATTCTCGAGGTCTCGGGGCTTGGTAATGCCCCTCCCACACCACCCGCAGGACTCGCTTCTGAATCTGGAGCATCTGTCGCCAAAACGGTGCGGGCTGCCACACAGTCAGCAAAGACTCGGACCAGACGAGGAAAATGGGTCTTGTCATCCCACCCTGGGGAACCGGTACACCAGTGTCCCTACGGAAAACTGTCTTACTGTGTACTCTTACACACTGGCGGGGGTGGTGGTTTCAATGAGGTTCTCACGCTTGCAATTGGTAGTTATTCGATTCGGTTTAGTTACTGGATTGGTACTTATTCGTCGTTTGACCCGGGCATGTCTGGCCGCCTCCCCAAATGCTAGGTCGCCCATGGGTGCTGAGTCGCGATGCGGCCCCGAATCGACCGATCCACGCAGCGATTCACGCAGTGCTCATCGAGGCAAGGAAGAAAGCTTCATGAGTAAGCCGGCCAATACTTCGGTTCGCTTGCCACCGCCAGTTCGTTAAGCTCTGCACACTGCGCGTCCGCTCCGCAGTATGCTGTGCTACTGCAGCGACACTGCCCTCTCACGAAGGCATGGCCATGCGCTGTCATTCGGTACGACGTTGCGACTCTCTCGCTTTTTGCGTGCTGTGCCGCTGAACAGCGTGGCCATGAATTCGGTCAGGGCCAGCCGTGTTAGGCTCCGGCGTGCCTGACCCGATGATTACCAGGTAGTAGATTGGGGGGGTCGAAAACCCGGCGTTTTGTACATGGTAGTCAAGAGGTAAGTTTTGAAACCAGGAGACTGGCAAGTTTCAAAATGGGTAAAATAAACACCTTCCCATTGCCTTGCCATGGCTACCTTACCTAGGTATGTATTCTGTACTTACCTACCTACCTACCTACCTATCTGGGTATTTGGAAAGGTTGAGTTTTGGTTGAGCCAGAGTCGAGGTCGGCTCCTCGGGTCCGCGTGGCTTACCATGCAGTCCTCGTAAGTTTTGTTGACTCGTTCGGGAAACCCGGGGTTTGTCGAGAGGAGACGACTGGGGGGGTTGGAGAAACGCGCCAGGCGCACGCCGCAGTCGGAGGAGCCCGGACTTGGATGAGAATTTGATCAAGCCTCAAACCCAAAATCGAACAGGAGCGTGCGCGAGATATGAACTTTGACCAGCACCATCCCTCACCGAGGCAGCGATCCTGTCAGGGTTGTCTTGGCGTCAGACCCGAGGCTCTGGGACGACGGGAGCCTTTCGCAAGAGCCGAGGAGAGTCGAGCTAGATGTGTTGGCTGAAGATGCAATTCCATGCACAATGGTAACTGTCCGGGCTGAAAGGCCTTCTTGGAAACGTAAGGCTCATCCACCCAGCCCGACATTCCATCCCGTTGAAACGCATCAACGTATCGCGCATCACGCATCGCGCATCCTCAGTGGAGTCCATAACTACCTTCTTCAAGGTTACATGCAGAATACAGAGCGGCGAGAGTGTCTGCCCACCTCTGTCGCAGTGCGTCAGACCGACTTGGCGCAAAAGTTCCCTAAAGCCTTCTTGGGTTGAGCCCTCGCTTGAGCAGCCTTTTGAGGTTGACAGCCAGCATCCGGAGTAGTGTACTGTGTATTACTGCTGTTGTCGACTGCCCCCAACTCATCGTTGCCCTGGGAGATTTCAGGACGCGGATTGGGTGGGACACGGGAGCCGACACGGACTGGGCCGGGCCACTTCCCCTCCATGCGCCATTGCAGAGGGTGGAGTGCCATGCTCTCAGATCAGGGTCCACCCCCCAACGTTGGCCGAGTCTCCAACGCAACCGGGCAGATTCGAGAAGAGGAATGGACCTTATTAGGATACAACCGTTGAAAGCACCAAATGTTATCTCTGTTTACAATGAAGGCCTCCGCTCCAAGGGAAAAGAAAGGAAAATAAAGAAAAGGGAAAAAAAGGAAATAAGCTGAGAAATGCAGTGTCCGTTGCCAGGTGCGAAGAGAATGTTAGGCGGTCTGTCCGGTCGTGGGCCCGAAACCCAACGAAGCGAACCTCGAGGTTGAGCTCCACTCTTGCTCCCTAGGCGAAGGTCATCATCTCCACTGGAGTGTAGGGGCCGAGTGGTGTCCGGGCAGGTCGCGCCTCGCTGTTGGCTTGGGCTTATTGAGCCTGTATAATTCTTGATTTTCCTTTTGACATTGAGCTCCCTCTCTAACAGTGGCAGCCAAGTTTAGATTAGGTGTCGATGGCTTGCTGGCAAAGCCTGGAGATCATGGTCCGCATCGGATACATGCACAATGCTGCTCACCCGCAATCCCTGCCCCCTGTCGGGGCGAGAAGAAGCAGCAGCTTCCAGGCCGTGCCAGCTGCGTACCTGGCGGTACTGCCACGGGATCCACGCACCTGCCACCCTTCTATTCGGACCAATCACAGGCTGTTGTTCCCTGCTTCCATTCATCGGACCGGGCTCTTGACAAAGCCCAGTGGGGCGGCCGGGCCTGCAGGCGACAGTGCGGTACAAGCATCGGTGGGACAAGCCGTGCCAGAGGACGTGTGGGGACCGTGGGAATCGTGCAACCCACCCGCTCCGCCCTGTCCCATCTCTTGCTTGTCACCCTCGGTGCCTCTCTTGGTGCAGTGCACGCCCTCTTTGCACCTCCTCTTCCAAGGAGCTTGCCTCCTTTCTCCCAGAGTCTCTTTTTGTGTGTCTTTTTTGATCTCAAAGACACGACTTTGTGCTCCTTTGGGCCAGTCTCTCGTTCCCCATTTCTGCCCACAACTCACTGCTGTTGTTGTTCACGGGCCTCCTCGTGCACCTCCATCCTCCATCCTCCACCCTACACCTTCCGCCCTTCGATCTCCCGTCTCCCGTCTCCCGTCTCTCTCCGTACAGCCCTGGAAGAGCAGAGAGCACCACGTCAGTCTCGTCACCAGGTGCATACGTGCGTGCGTGTTGCTCGATCTCTACTCGGTCCTCCACCCAAAACAACCACACATGCCTCATACCTTGGTCATTTGCTACACGAGGACAGCCACGGACCGGGCCAGTGGCAAGCACCTGTTCAAAGGCATAACACGCCTATGCTTGCTGGCACTGCTGTTCTCCCGAGAGACAGTTGCCGCATGACCAATTGTTCAGGGTGTCTGAACAACTATAAAGAACAACGGCAGCATCTTCTTTTTTAGGAGCGGCCCTTCCTCCTTTGTGTCCTCTACTCGAGCCGCATCGTGCACGGGTTGTTTAGATTCCCGAATCACCATTTATCGACCCATTCAAACATACATTGCGTACCGACCGAGCGTTCTCAAACGACTACGCCCGACCTAGACTCGTTTCCCACCACCGACCGCTATCTTTCGAATCAACGAACCGGAAAGCTGAGAGAGACACAGTGGCAACCCGGACAGAAAAAAGCGTGGGGATCCTGAGGGACGAGAGGGAGGACTGAGGGAAACTCTTGCCAGCCCATACACACTTCGTCAAGATGGTGCTCAATATTTCCGAGAGTGGTGTTTTGCTTGATGGCTCGGCCAAAGCCGTGGCCGGGCTTCCCACCCAAGCATTTGCCATAAATCTGAGTGGGAGTGTTATTGAGGATATGATTTCCTGCGTTCAAAATGGCGGGGATATCCAATTGGCGCTGGGAAGCAATCCGGTAAGTCTTGAGCTCCTGGTTCCGCTGTTGTCTGCTATTGTCCCCTGTTTCGCGGTGCTGCACAATACCGCAGTTGTCGATATCGCATGATTAAATCCCATGCCAAACCTCCTGTTCGACTTATTTACTTCGCTGTACTGCCCTTGTTCCGAACATCTTCTAACTGCTCAAACTCCAGAAATTCCTATTCGATGATCACGAGCTTCGGATACCCAAGACATCAGACCCGTCCGGCTACGATATTTTCCGAGCCAACTCCGAAGACCCCTCGAGCGCAAGCAGGTTCCCCGAACCGACCATGTCGATCCTAAAGACCCCCAAACAGCACAGGCTTGCGGCCAAGGCCAAGGCCTCGAGAGCGGCGAAGCCGGCAGGAAAGGGAGAAACGGCAAAGAAGGCACCTAGCCGCCCCTCTGCGAAATCTTCGAATGCCACGCCCAATACCGCAGCCCGGCCTGCTTCTTCGTCGGCCAAGGACCCTAGCACGCAAAAAGGATCGGAAGACGCTGCGGCGAAGCTCAAGCGCTCGTTTGACAACCTGGCGGCAGACAAGCGCGGGAACTCGTATGGATATCAGAATGGTTCGCAGCGGGAAACTGAGACTGACATTGATCTTAGTGCTGTTATTGTCGGCGGTCTACCCAATTCCAAAGGGGGAAAGTTCGGTCGATTGCTCGAGACGCACGCTGGTCCTTCACCTCGGTCATTACCCCCTAGCCCAGCTTTGAGCGGCATCGGCTCTCCCTCGCTTTTGCCGTCCGGCGGCAGCTCGACACAGGACAAAGCGAAACAGCAGCGATTTCCTCTCATGCACGAGCTGGCGGTCCAGGATTTGTCCCGCCAGGAACTCCTGGAGAGATGGGACGAGGGAACGGAGGAAGAGTTCAACACGGTGCTCGATAAGGTGGCGTCCTTTGACAAGGACATCCAGAAGTGGGTTTTGAGGAAGAATTGCTGGAAGGACTTGGATGTTTTCGAATACGACTATTCGGACGACGATCGCCGCGAAACCGCCATCACCAATGCCATCAAGTGGTTCGACCGCAATCGACTCAGCGCATCAGACCCCCTTTGGCAGAAACTTCTTCCCAAGGCGGAGCGTGGAAAGGGGAAATGCCTGAGCAACCTGCAAGTGACGCTTGCCAAGGGCCCGGTTGCGTCGAAACAGCGAACCGATGCGGCGAGCGCCAGCGGGGGCGACTCGGACCGAGACGACTCCGCAGCTTCGACCACCAAGAAGGGTAAAGGGGGTGAACCCATGTCGAGGTCCAACTCCCAAACGTCGACGGGGAAGAAGAAGCTGTCTGCATCAGAAGCACAAGCGAAGCGGTTGCTGTCGACGACTAAGAAAAAGCCCCTGCCAGCGCCGACAACAAAGGCCGCGCCAAAAACCTCGGCCCCAAAGCCGGCTCCGAAAGCGGCGCCCACCAAGGGTGGGCGGGTCCTATCCAAGGAGTTTGTGTCGGATTCGAGCTCGAGCGACGACGAGGTGCCGCTCTCGTCGTCCAAGGGGAAGCCCAAAGCCGGGGGGGCTCCAGTCCCGAAACCGGCACCACGGGCGGTCCAGAAGCCAAAGGCGGCGGCGAAGAGCAAGGAGGCGGTCGCCTCGAGGCCAAAACCCGCAGCGCCCACGAAGGTCTCACCGCGGGAGCAGAGCAATGAGAGGGAGAAGGATACGATCCGAGCCCAGGTCATCGCCAAGCCGATCAGGCCCACCGCGACGAAGCGCTCGCGGGACGCCGACGATGACGACAGCTCAAGTTCCGGCACACCTCTCATGAAGCGGGTGAAACCCCCGACCAAGCCACTGCCCGCTCCGGCCGCTTCGACGAAGGCACGCACTGCTTCCGACTCAAGCCAGAGCAGCCGCGGGGCCGGCGCCGGGGCACAGCCGCCCAAAGCCAAGAACAACTCGCCCGTCAAGTCCTCACCCCTCGCCTCCTCGCCGCCGACGAACGCCACGGACGTCGAGCAAGACCGCGCCGCCCTTGGCCGTGCGCGGGAGCGGGAGCGCGAACGGGAACGAGAACGAGAACGGGAGCGAGAACGGCGGCGGGAGACGGCCGTGCGGAGCTCCAGCAGCAACACGGACAGCAGTTCCGGCATCAGCGTCGGCGCGGCCAAGAAGCGGCCCCCCACGGACTCGCTGCAGGCGAGCAGGGCGAAGCGGCAGCGGCCCTCGCAGGAGACGGTCGAGCTGGCGGCCAAGTTCAGGCAGTTCTACTCGCGCTACGAGCAGCTCCACCAGGACATCGCCAACCACGACAACCCCGACCCGGACAAGCTCACCGACCTGCTGGATATGCACAAGCGGCTGAGCAGGATGAAGTCGGAGATCTACGCTGCCGTCGAGGTCTGACTTGGGGGGAGGGGGCCGGTTTCTAAAGAAGACAGTGGCGGTTTCGGTTGGGTTTCTTTTTTTCGGCATGCTCATCACGGTTCCGGTCATGAGTTTTCTTTTAGGGAAAACGGCTACATGGTCTCGCAGACCTGAAAAAGAGAGGGAAGGAGGGGAGGAGAACAAGGGAAGGGAGTCAGCGCAGCTGAGATAGGGTTCTCAGAGCCCACGATCGAATTGGGCGCATCACATTTGGCTTTATAGCGAGGGCCCCGGGGCAGGGCGTTGGGCATTTCATTGAGGAAAAGGGCCCCACACAATTGGCGTTATAGCGAGCCATCTGGGTTATTGATTCATTGGTTTTTTGGTTGCTTTGCTTCGAGCGGGCTGGGTCACATCTGGATCCCATGATACCAGGGCGGCGGGTAGGAAAAACCGCCTTGCCCACCATGACGAGGGAGGATACTTTGGCGTTTTGATGACGAGGAAATATGAACATCGTCCAATGCTCTTGTGCCGTGCCCTTTTGATTTGCGTGTGCGCGCGTGCCTCTGTGTGCGTAATGGGTCTTTCGACATAAACTGCCCGCGTTGTATTGCTCGCGTGGTTTGTATCGTGGCACGGCGTTGCTACCATTATTACGCCACTTAACGTTCGGTGGCACCCAAGCCAGCGGGAGTCAGCTCAGCCGCCTCGATACGAAGCCCTACGCATGTACTGTCACATCGGGCGCGGTTGTGCCCCTTTGAAACACCACCCTCCACGGGCAAAGATTCGGAGATGGAAGTGGAAGTCCCGGGTGTGGCAACTAGGCCGGGGGTGTATATCATTCGCAGACCGAGGGGCCGGAAGGCACGGCGTTGCCCGTCCCCGGCCCCAACTTAACGTACAACAGTAAAACCAAGAAGGGGGACTCTTCCGCCATCATGCCGCGACGTCTGTCATTAAGCAGTCCTCCTCCTCCTCCTCCGTGACCGCCAGACCCGGCGCTCGTTGTCGTTTGGTGTCTCCGCTCGGCGTCCGGTTACCCGCCGCGGGACAATCCTCTTCCTCCTCCGTCCGTTTTCTTTTTCTCGGGGTTGTTGGCTCGCTGGGTAAAATCAGGTCGTCAGACTGTGGTGACCCTTCCTCGAGGGGAGATTTTCACAGCCGCGAGAGAAAACGGCGGAGGCCGCTTCCCTACTGGGTCTTGAATAGCAGGATCGCGCAGTGGCCGAGGTAGAAGTAGATGAAGTGCTTCGTCTCTGTTTTGGGGGTGGGACCCATGTTGTCAGCGAACGGTCGGGAGCAGGGAAGTGCCACTCCATACCGTGGGTTACAAAGCTGCCGAAGTTACGGCCAACAATGCAGTGCCATGTAGGACCCTTCCTGTCGTCGAGCTATGGGAAACCTGGGTCAGCCGAAAGTCGGGGTTCGGTTATTCGAGCGGCATGCATACGGTCTTCTTGATATGTTGGGCAATGTCCTATACACTCAATGTCAGTATGTTGAATTCTTGACATTGGCAAGCCTAGCGCACCCCAGGCAGACTGGGCATGCCGGGTGGGTTGTTGAGTGGGACGGACCTTTTCAATGGTGAACTTTACCATCGCTTCCTGGGCTAGGTCGCATCGCGAGTTAGTTTGATACGGGTTTGGCGCAACCCCAAGGTCGGTTCCGTGTTGCAGTTGCTACATACCCACTTCGATGACTTCTTGTTGCATGTCATCGGTCTTGGGTAGAGTCGGCGTGTTAGTGTGTTGATGCGCCGAAAACCGGAAGAGCTGGCGTTTCGATGCGAGAGACGTACCATATCAGCGCTCTTGATCTGAGCTGTTCCAGAATACATCATGCAAGAGTTAGCAAACACGGCCGTAGGCGTGAGTATCTAGGTGCCATAAGCAAGCAAGCCTACCCTCGAGCTTGTCCCGGGCAACAGGGGAAGTGCTCCCAGCAGGCTTGACCTCGTCGCCCGGCATTGCGTATTGTGTCGAAGTGGGTGACCGCTTAGCAGTTAGCACAGAACGTCCAACAGTTTACCGGCCCGGTCCCTAGGAGAGGGGGTTGACAATGTTTGTGCGGGCGATGCACTCCCCGTCTCCTTCCTATGTCGCGGGTTCCAGATTTGGGGGTCCAACAACATACAGGCAAACAATGTCTAAGTTAAGCTAATAATGCTTTGAAACCGGCCCTGCAGATGCGGGTGCGGATAGTTGTGTCGTTGGGCTGTGATGTACGAGAGCGACAGAGTGACAAGCAGTTACGAACGTTGGATGATCGAGCAAAGACGGTTTCTCGGATTTTTGGTTGTTTGGGTTGATCTCCGTTCCGGGTTGAGAAGGAGGTCAGCGCGGCTCGGCCAAGCTAAACCATTGGCGCTGCAGCGCAGAGTTGCTTTCCTGCGAAGCGCGCTGAGTCGCGGGGGAAACCGAAGGCGGGATTGGGCACCCCAATGTAGAAGTACTGGTACTTGTAAACTGTGCAATTTTAAAGCTAGTAACAAGTACTAAGACTTAAGAGGCCCGTTGCTGTGGACCAAAGCGGTGTGGAACAGGTCCGGTCGGTCGCAGCGTGGCAGCAGCCCATGCGATAAGATAACAGAGTGGATGCGGGACGTTCTGCATTGAAATTTCTTGGGAAAAAGTGCAAAAAAACGAGCCGAGCTTCTTTCTTTCTTACATGCATGCACTTCATCGAAAAAACCACATCAACAACGGAATGACCACGCGGTAGCCTTGGCTTCACACCCTGCTGGCGGCAGACAGGAAGCAGCAAAAATAATCACCATGGAGTCGTCAAGAGTGTTCGTCAAGAACTTGCCGCCCGCCATCTCCGAGGCTGAGTTCCGCAAACACTTTTCAGCCCAGGGCCGCGAAGTCACCGATGTCAAGCTCATCCCCAACCGCCGCATCGGCTTTGTTGGTTACAAGTCGCATGAGGATGCTGCAAAGGCCGTCAAGTACTTCAACCGGTCCTTTATTCGCATGTCCAGGATTGGCGTCGACCTGGCCAAGCCGGTAAGCGCGACCCCGCGTCCCAACCTGCCGGAGCTGTTGCTAATCATAGACGCAAGATTGCAGACTCAAATCCAAGACTGCCAACCGCAAAGGATTCCCAACGCCATGGGGTGCCTAGAGCTTCTGCTCTCGGCCCTAGCGTCCCCAATGTAGAGCAGGCCGAGGACGAGAGTTCCAAAAAGAGGAAGCGGGCGGCGCTTGACGAAGGGGACCACAAACTGCAAGAGTACCTCGAGGTCATGGGCCATCCGACCAAGAGGCCTCGAGACCAAGAAGCGTCAAGCGGCAATGCCCAGCCAGAGTTGGCATCCGCGTTGCCCCCTGCTGTTATGGAAGCAGGCGAGAGTGATGACGAGTATGAGGACATCCCCACACGCGGTTTAAAAGCGGCACCTACGGGGAGTTCTGCTCATGTCGACATCCCACCTGCTCCTACAGCGAATAATGAAACCCCCACATCCGCAGCAGCAGGAGATGGATCCGCAAGGGAAGCACCAGAGGTGTCGGTAGATGCGACAGACGACGACTGGCTTCGGTCGAGGACAAGTCGTCTGCTCGACCTCGTGGATCCAGATGATCCGGGGTTCGCCACAAGGGTAACCCCATCGGTGCCTGCGGCTCAGTCTGCACCCGAGCCTCAAGAACCGGCACGGGATGCCGTTGATGCCGACTTTGATGGCCTTAACGAGGATGCCCCCGTCCCGGCCGGGAGTAACGAGGACGTTGCCAAGCTAGTCGAAAGGACGTCGAGGCTGTTCCTGCGAAATCTCAGCTATAACGTCACCGAGGACGACGTTAGGGAACGCTTCGCGAAATTCGGAAATCTTGAGGAGGTGAGCATTTTTTTTTATTGTTTCTTTTTACCCTCACCACGCCCCACCCCTTCATGATGAATCCCTGATAGGGACAGCTTATGCCACTGGCATATGATGAGACCTGGGCTCGGTATTTTAGTAGATGCTTCGAGATTCTGATGAAAAGGGCCGATTAACTTTTGTGTTTCTGACGGATGGCACTGGACTCTCGCTAACAGCGTGACAGGTGAATGTACCGTTGGATAAACGGGGCCAGAGCAAGGGCTTCGCCATGATCCGGTATGAGCAACCTGCTGCCGCGGTCGATGCATTCCAAACAGATGGCTCGGTTTTTCAGGGCCGAATAATACACATTCTCCCTGCCTCTGCCAAAAGGGAGAACAAGCTTGACGAATTTGCAATCTCAAAATTGCCCCTCAAGAAGCAGCAGCTCCTCAAGAAAAAGGCCGAGGCCGCGTCCAGCAGCTTCAACTGGAATTCACTTTTCATGAGCCAAGACGCCGTCAACACAGCCATGGCAGAGCGTCTCGGTGTTTCCAAACACGAGCTCTTGGATCCCACGGACGCGTCTGCTGCCGTGAAACAGGCAGTTGCCGAGACCACAGTAATCCAGGAGGCCAAGGCCTATTTCGCCACCCATGGTGTGAATATCGAGGCGTTCAAGTCGCAGCAACGAGGGGATACCTCGATCCTCGTGAAGAACATCCGAAACGCCTCGATTGAAGAATTGAGGACCCTCTTTGAGGAGCACGGCGCCGTGCTGAGGGTCCTGATGCCACCAAGCGGTACCATCGCGATCGTTCAGTTCGCACAGCCAGCAGTCTGCCGGGCTGCGTTTGCCAAAAAGGCCTACTCTCGGTTCAAGGAATCGGTTCTGTTTCTTGAGAAAGGCCCGAAAGGGCTGTTCGTAGACCATGCCGCCCCGCCCCAGGATCGCCCTGCTGGTGTTCAAAAGCCGTCCGTTGCCGAATTGCTGGAACGTGATGACGCCGAGGATCAACTCGAGACGGCTTCTCTATTCGTCCGTAATCTCAACTTCTCAACTACCACTGAGGGCTTAACCAACGCCTTCAAACCCCTGGACGGGTTTGTAAGTGCAAAGGTCAAGACCAAGACGGACCCCAAGAAGCCGGGTCAGGTGCTCAGTATGGGCTTCGGCTTTTGTGCCTTCAAGACGAAAGAGCAAGCTCAGGCGGCTCTCAAGGTCATGGATGGGTATGTCCTGGATGCACACAAGCTCCTTGTCAAAGCATCGCACAGGGGCCATGATGCAGCCGAGGAGCGTAGGCGCGAGGACCTCGCCAAGAAGGCGGCGGCGCAGCGAACAAAGGTTGTCGTCAAGAACCTCCCATTCGAGGCATCTAAAAAGGATGTCCGCGCCCTATTTAGCGCGTATGGCAAACTGGTTGCACTCCGCCTCCCAAAGAAGTTCAACCACACATCACGCGGATTCGCTTTCGCCGAGTTTTCAACAGCAAAGGAGGCGCTCAACGCTCTCACTGCGCTAAAGGACACCCATCTTTTAGGGCGTCGGCTGGTGCTCGACTTCGCAGAGGCCGACGAGGTTGATCCGGAGGAGCAAATCAAGGCCATGGAGAAGAAGATCAGGGGGCAGGTGAACAAGGTCACGTTGCAGGAGCTTACAGGAGAAGGGAGGAAAAGGGTTAACATCGGGGATAACGATGAAGACGATGCATGATGGCACGACAGCATGAAGAATTGATCTCTCCATAGGTCTCGGATGAGAGACAGCAACCCCAAGAGATGTCTCGGTGGCCACACCGCCCTTGTCAAGGAGGCGTTGCTCACCCCCTCCCCCTGGCGGTCCCTCTGCAGAACCCCCACCTCTGTTCTTTGAAGATTGTTTGGTCAGCCTCACACCTTTCCCGTTGCGTCCGATCAGTTCCTGCGTAGGGCTAATCTTGTTCGCGTGCCTGGGGTGGCCTTTTCCCCGAAAGCAGCCCGCGGTCCCGAAACGCTCCGCGCCAACCGAGCAGCTGCGCAGGTTTTCATGGGGGCCGCCTCCACGGGTTTGGATCCCCTTGCGTTCCAGTTGGTACCATGTTGGGTTTCTGGGTGCTCAGGAGGGCTGGGCCAACAACCCTGTTTGGCATAGACGCGGCAGTCGCCCTGGGTGGTGTTGTTGCAACAGCATCCCTATACCGGGATGGGGTGCACTCGATCCTGGCCTCGTGGGGTGTGTCGAGGGTTTCCCGTTTTAACATATGTTGTGCTCCCTTCAAAGGCCGGGGCGTTTGTATTTCAGCATATTTTATATCTACGCTCTGGCTCGCATCCTGACGGCTAGCCATTCCTCTCGAGAATTCCTCCTCTGCTCTTACTTCACTGGCGTTCCTGAGCAAGTGTTTGCCGCCCAGGATACGTTGTAGGACTGCGATGTCCACTGTGCTCAACAATGGAACTCCAGGTCGGACTCCCAGTGCTCTCGGCTCAATGCTATTCACCATCACCGGATCATGAATTCGAGGGCCGCCGTGCGGTCTCGAGTTCCAGGCAGCCCCTCCAGGAGTCGACGGGCAACATTCAGCATCCTCACATGGCCTGGTACGCCCAGCATCTAGAAGCTCTCTCGTCGATCCCATCCTCGATCCCGCCGGTGATACCGCCTGTCTTGCGAACACAGTCACTCGGGCCAGACTATGGCGCGCCGTCGTACGCCAGATCCCAGCAACGACACGAGCTTCACTCGCATGGAAAGCGGCGGGCGCAGGGATCCAACCCGCTCATGCCCTTGTTGACCAAGGACTTCCAGAACTACCGGAAGAAGCAGGAAGACAAACCAGACCAAAAATGGCCCGAGATGTTGGAGGGGTTCTTCCTAGACGGTAAGTCCTGCGGGCAAACAACGGCGCAGGCCCAGGGCTGTGTATGGCTAACCGACCACTTCCTTAGCGCTGCTGCTCATCCCTCAGATAGGGCGCAGTAAATACACCATGAAGCAACAAACAAACGGCCGAAACCAGCTCATCGGCGAATACCTGTGGATTGCCTGCTGCCACAGCCTGAGTCCCGGGGAAGAACTCGACCCCCACGTGTTGGAGGTGAAGGCAGAAGGAGGAAGGAAGAAGGTGTCCAGCCACATCCAGGTGCTCAGAAACTTCTTTTCGGCTCATCGTTGCTGTAAGTCTGCCCACCGGCGACCCCGCCCCCCCTGGCGACCTTTTTTTTGTGGCGTTGGGCGCCCTGCAGGTCGGGAGTGTGACCAACAACTAACAAACACGCTCTCCCTTGCCTCGCAGTTCACTTTCTATTTGGTCCACGGCAGAGGGACAAGGAAGATATCCACGTTGAGAAGGGGTCGCTCAAGAACAACCCTGTCTTGATTGCCTTATCCGAGGGCCGCGTCGAGCGGCCTAACTACGAATATTTTGCACAGATCCTCGCCCTGAACGAACAAGTGCAATTTAGGCCGAAGCGATGCTGGATCTTTGTTTCGCATCCGGATGTGGTCATCGGCGAAGACGGGTCTGGGTACCTGCCGGCAACGGACAGCAAGCTCGTCGAGTCCGAGTACCCGCACCTCCCGCGCAACCTACAGCGGGAGACATGGGCCAAGGAGGAGCAGCAGTTGTTCAAGGGGGCCCTCCTTCATGAGTTCACCAAGGAGATGCACCAGGTCGAGTCGAGCAGCGTCAATAGTTTCAGCAAGAAATGGGAATCGGCGTTCCCGGACCTGCAGCAACGGTTGAAAAACATTACGTCTGCAACGACGGATGCGAAATGCGACATTTTGCACTTACACGCCACGCTCGAGCTAAAAGAGAAGCGAAGCTTCCCGGCCGAGTCGAGCCTCAGCTCGTGGGTTGAGATTAACATCGAGCAGCCACGCCTGCTTAACCACAGGTGGCGCGTCGAGACGCGGCTCGTGAGGCCTCGTGAGCTCAGCTACTCGCAGGATGACTCGCACGGGGGCTCGTCTCAGGAAGATATCTGCGAGCGACACAAGGAGTTTACAATCAAGTACCAGCATCAGCCGGGTTGCAATGGCCCCCGCCATGGCTCTCGAGGGCATTGTGATTGTCTCTCGCAGCGCAGCCGTCGAGATGGGGTTTCGGTTCCGTTCCCGATCCCCTTCCCAGCTACAGCCTGGGCACAAACACTCACCAACTGTGCTGAGTACCCAGCTCATCCCTTCAGCGGCAGCAAGAGACATGAACGGGAGCGTGGGGCAGCTACCAAGGCGGAGAACGATGACGAGGACGGGCGGAGATCCCGTCGACGCGGTAAGCAGCCCACGCAAATGGACTTGGTCCCGAAAATCGCCATGATGCAGGAGGTCTTCTCCTGCCCGCCCACCTCACCTCACGAAGGGGGGACTAGTAACGGGGCTGATCAAAGGTGGACGCGCCGTGCCGTGATCCTATGGACGTTTGAGACCATCCATAGCGTCATCGCCGACAAGAACAAGAAGGAGCAATTGGTAACCGCCCCAAGCGGGAGGACCAACTGGCGGTTCCTGACGATCCTCGATCCTGCCGGCGAGCATCACCAGCGGCAAGCCGTCGCCAGCAACCGCAGGGCTTCTGCTGACGAGTATCGGAGCGCCTCGAACAGCCTCGCTTGTGCTTCGCGGCCAGCATCCCGCGCCGCCGCCATGTCCCCTAGCCCGACCTACCAACAGCACCTAGGCGCAAGCGTGAATGAGAACTTCCACTCCGCGTGGGATAACAACGCCGGGCTTTCCTCGCTGTCCGGCCCGACGGCGCAGGCCTACGGTACCCACTTCATGTCGCACACGATGCCCTCACACACGGCGGTAAGCCAGGGGAGTTACAGTCTCCTCGACAGTTTTAGCAGCCACAGCGGCTTAGCTACACCTCCTCCGAGCGCCTCGATGGCCAGTTCCTTTGCCCAACCCTTCGACACAGCTTCGGCAAGCTCGGATATGCTGCCGAGCTACATGGTCACGCACGGCGCGGTGACAACGGCGGGCATGGACCCGGGCTCACACAGCCTGGGCAGCGCCCTCTCGGCGGTAACCGACCCGTTCTTGTCGCATGTCGGCGCGGCATACGGCGGGACGCAAGACGGCATCCACGGCTGGGACAGTCACAGTGTCGCGGGCAGCATGGACGCCGCTGCCTCCTGGTCATCAGGATACTCCGGCAACAACACACTCCATAGCGTCCACAACGGAGCCATCGACTGGTCGGGCCCGCAACAGCCGTCCATCCCCTCCCGGCGAGGCAGCGAACAGCAACACCAACCCCACTCGCACCATCGCGTAGACCGACAACCGTGGGCACCATCAACCCACCCCATGGACGACCACGGCACGTGGACACCCATACCCTCAGAAACCACCCGAACAACCAGCAGCCATAACAGCCACCGCCACCACCACAGCAACAACAACCATCCCCGCAGCCACCACCACCACGATGTCCACAACGAGCACGAGCACACCACCACAGCATCGCGGACCGCGAGCCAGGAGTGGGCGCACACCCACACCCACGCCTCATCAACAGGCAGCGGATCCGATATATCACAGGACTGGGAGGAGATGCACGCGCTGGCGGGGTCGACGGGCTCGGCGGGGCACACACCGCAGTCGCCGTCTTCGCCGCACTCGCCGCACTCTTTAGATAGGGACTCTCTGGAGGGGGACTCTCTGGAGGGGCACTCGCTGGAGGGGCACTCGCTGGGCTCCCTGGATCTGCCGCACGACTTGGAGGGGGACGGGGGCTTAGTGGGGCAGGCGAAACAGCAAATTGGTACCGGGCGTGGTGGAGGTGGGGGTGGTGAAGTGACGGGTTCGCTGGGGATGGGGAGGGTGGGTTTGAAGCGGAGGTGGGAGGGCGAGGGGTTTGGGGATGAGGGTGGGGACGGGGAGGGCGATGGGGGGTATCGGCGGTTGAGGGCGAGGAGTTAGTTGGATGAGCAGACGATCGATCTTGGGTTTTGATAGGTAGTTACATATGAAGGCGTTGGTGTCATGGGTCGGTTGTTGTATTTCCCCACGTTTTCTTTTTTTGGTGGTTGTGAGTGGGGTTGGCTGGGGTTTGGTTCCGAGGAGTCATTGGGAGTAATACACCACCACTAGTACTCCTGACACACGAGTCGTCTAGTCATGAACTGTGGCCGGCCTGGCCTTGACCTGAAATCAATGCATGCTGCGTTGTCACGTAGTACAAGTATATGAAGGCAAGATCCGAGTGGGAATCCCCAAAAACCGAGCCCGACCCAGCAGCCGCCCAGGATGAAACAAGCGAACCCCGCGAGAAACAATCTGGTGTGCAAACGATGTGGCCGCCCCAGGCCTCCGGAGATCTTGTGCCGTGCACATGACAGAGTATGGTGGTCGGCAGGGAGAAGGTCATCCACCTGATATCCGCCGAAAAGGAAATCATGATCTGGGGGTAGCCGAGATTTGAGGAAGGGAGGAAGGGAGGGCCAAACCTGACCTGCTTGAAATGTGGCGACATGTTTGAGCAACTTCCTGCAGGCGCCGAGTGAGATTGGAGTTGAGAGGGGGGACCTTTTCCATTTCTTTATCCCCGCCGGATAATGGCGAAAACGGGAAGTCGTTGATAAAATAAGTAGGCAGGGGCGGGTGTTTGTCTGTGTGTAGGGCTGGTGCGGTTGCTCAAATGCACGACAGGCAGGAACAGACAGGGGTTAATGACGGGGTTCAGATGAGACAAGCAACGGCGATCCCTGTGCCAATCATCAACGGCTGGGCTAAAACCGTTCGTCTCATTTTTTTGTTAGCGTGTTCTGTCTGTGCAAATCCACGACTGGTCGACTGCACAGTCAGCCGTCCCAAGGGGGTTTCCCAAATCCTCACGGCCGGGCCAAACCCAGGGAAAGAGAAGAAAAGGGAAAAGCAAAGAAGAAAGAAAACAGGATCATGGCATAGTTAGTGTCCCACGAAGCCGGCGACCGGTTTCGAAACAATCTCGCTTCACAAAGCCAGGACGGCGGGCGGCAAATCCCCCAAGCGCGTTCCGGTCCGGCTTCTCTGATCCGATCAGAGCATGTGGTGCGGCTGCCCGGGACCGGCCATGAGACGGGCCCAACCTGTTTCTCTTGGGGTCGCATGTGGGTGCATTTGCAGCGAATCGCCCGCAGCTTGGGCCCTGGCAATGCAACCATGTGGGCCCGCTTCTGGACTGCCAGGCACAACCAAGCACGTTCGCCTATCTGAGTTTGGCGGCGAGGGAACGGCACGAGTGGATGAGGTGCATCGACTTTGATGCTTGGCATTTCTGGCATGCCCACGCGGGTAATTCTGCTCCACTCGTAGCCCTGGTCTGCGGCGCGGATCTGGGGAAAGTCACTGGGCGCGCGAATTGGCGCGGTGGGGTGACTTCCTGGATACCAAATTCTAAAATGAAACCTCTTCTTCCCATCCACACGCTCACACGCTCCAACCGCGTCTGGTGCTTCGTCGATGAAGCTCCCGGGGGTGAGCACCACATCATGGTATCCACCATGGGGGAGAACCTTACCCTTGCGGGAGGCGACGGTATTGGAGAGCGCCTGCTACTTTCCGTTGCAACCTAAAACCCCGGTTCTGGGCGAGTCTCCAAGCAAGATGCCCAGCACCCGTCGACGGGTCGGTCTCTGGGGTCTCTATTCTCTAGCCTCATAGATCCCAGCCCTGACCCTAGACCCGGGTGCCCTCTTGCTCCAGACCCCCTCCAGGCCCTCCCCAGACCCTCTCCAGACCTTGGTCTTCACCCAGCGCCAGCCCGATCCTGTGTTTTCCCAGATCACCTCCGTTCTCCCCCATGAGATGAGCCGAATTCCCCTTCTCCGATGTCATCGACCCGGGCTTTTGGAAAACTGATCTCCTGGTCCGAACAGCCCACGAGGTTTCAGGTCCCCCGGTGCCACGCCCACGCGGCCGACTCCCATCGAACTCCGGTCTTTGTGTGACGTTCTTTGACTGGATATTTACCGCTGCCGCCGCCATCTTGGCGACTTTTCTTCTTCAGGTTCCTTGGCCTTCATTTCCACCTCTCTCCACGAGTCGACCACTCTCCGTTACTATCTGTGTGCTCTCCCTTCTTGCACACAAGCCACAACTCACCCCCGATCTCATAACACGAGACAACCAGCAACAACCCGCCAGCAACTCACCGCGTGTTGTTAGCGAAGCAACCTGAGACCGGTCCCCACGAGTCAACACTTTCTTTGACTTACCTTTTCGAAGACTTATTGTCATTTGACAAAGCATTGTTCGACCTTCTTTGTGCCGGACCTCCTATTCAGAATCTCTTCACAATACCCGAGAACCAACAGCCGCCACTCCCGACTGCTGTTCAACGTACAACTGTCCTGATCGGTATTGTTCGTGCAGGCACGAACAATATCAACGCTGGCCGTTAGGTAGCCTGTCTTCGATTCGTGAACAAATTCGACTTTTGAACAAAAACCCGCCATTCCCTGCAAAATTTAAACCAAGGCTTTGACAGCAAGAACAACAACAACACATTTCCCGTCATATTCGAAATCAACTTCTTTCCCCAGCAACATATTGTGGGATCTTTTACACCGACATCCAATCAGCTCAACAAATTATCATGAAGCTGACATTCTTGGACCGCACCGTGGCCGTGTGGCTGCTGGCGGCTCTCACTGGGACAGCGATAGCCCACTCATGGCCCGAGCAAACCGTCCGCCTCGCGCCCGACGGCAAAGAAGTCGGGAAGCCCGGTGCCGATAGAGCCCACATCGAGACCGGCACGGCAGACTACTTGATCCCGCCCAACGGCGGCGAGAAGGTGGTCCAGCAAAGCCACAAGATCGTGAGGGACACCCAGGGGCCCCTGAACGACGCGAGCTACAGCGACCAGTTCCCGATGCTGTCGGTCGCCCCGGGCGACTTCGTCGCCATCAAGTACCGCGAGAACGGCCACGTCAGCCGTCCCGACAAGACGAACCCCAACAAGCCCGTCAACCGCGGCACCGTCTACCTCTACGGAACGACCGAGAACGACCTCTCCAGCGTGAGCCTCATGGACGTGCACCTGAAGTGGACCTCGGACGGCAAGGGCGGCAACGGCAAGGGCAAGCTCCTGGCGACGCGAAACTACGACGACGGCCAGTGCCACGAGGTCATCCCCGCGGACGGCGACTTCGAGGGCATCACCGGCTACCGCATGGAGTTCGTCAGCAAAACCGACTCCCTCCTCTGCCAGTCCGACCTGCAAATCCCCGCCGACGCCCCCGTCGGCAAGGTCTACACCGTCATCTGGGTCTGGGACTGGCCCGAGATGAAAGAGCAGGGCATCGCGGTCTCCCCAGCCGAATACGGCGCCGAATCCGTCCTCGTGCCCGAAATCTACACCGGCGTGGTCGACTACAAGATCGTCGAACCCTGCGACGACAGCCTGGGCGAAGTCAAAGGCCCGACCTGCGAGAGCGGCGGCGGGGGTGGAGGCGGCGCCAACGCCAACTTCGCCACGGACCAGCCCGCCACGGCGCGCGGCATCGCCTCGCAGATGGCCGAGCCCTTCCTCGTGAAAGTGCCCCAGGCGGGATTCGACGTGCCCAGCGCCACCGCCGACCCCAAGAACATCCCGCTCGGCGTGCTCATCGGCGAGAAGCCCACCCAGTTCCCGCTGCCGCAGTCGATCCTCGAGGCCCAGAACGCCCCCGGCGGCGGCAAGATCCCCGCCGCGACCCCGGCGCCCGGGAGCGGTGGTGGTGGTGGTGGTAAGGGCGAGAATGCTTCTGGTGGAGATGCCGGCGGAGATGCGGGCGGCGACGTCGTCGTTACCATGACCTCGACCGTCCCCGAGGGCATGACCACCATGACTGTCACCCGTGACGGCACCGCTGCCGGCGGTGCTAAGGAGACGCCCGCGCCCAAGATGAGGAGGGGCGTGCACGCCAGGCGCCGCGGTTTCTGAGCGGGCGGCCGGGTGGGCCTTTTTCTTTTGTTTTTGGAATTTTGCGCGTAAGTCTTTTTTGGGGGGGGGGGCTTGAATACATTTGGGAATTTATTTATGGAGGATTTTCTAACTTGTTTCCTTAGATGTCCTTAGATGTCCGATATCGTATCGACGATCATGATGTGACGTGGTGTATGAGGTAGATGATGATTTGATGACGCCTTTCTTTCCTTCACCTGGGTCTAGATTTGGGCTGGTGGTGCATCACACGGCGGCATGGCATGGCATGGTATGGCGGCATATTTCTTCTCCCGTCATTGGGTACTGGCTGGTTGGAACTGGATGGTATAAGACGGCATGGGATACCCGTTCGTTTTCGTTTTCTTTTTTTTTTTGTTCTTCTTTCACTCGTTTTTGTTAGTCAGTTGGCGGCGGCATTTCAGATTGTTTTACTTCGCACCGACGACGGCGGATCTGGTATTCGAATTCTTCTGTTTCCTGCCGGCGCGCCTCGCGGTCTTGCTTGCTCTAGTGGGGGAAACTGGGCTGGCTGCGCCGGTGTCGGCATTTGTTTTAATACGTTTTGATAGATTTTAGACGGTTGAGCAATGGATACGGTTCGCGGTCAGAAAAAGAGCAATGTTTTTTGTGTCCCATAACGCGCAATCAGTTCGTGAACGCCACGCCAGTTTCCACCGATAACCATTCCCCCCCTTCATCCATCCACGCATATAATCCACCGCGCAAGGTACCTAACTAGCCTCCCCAGGTTTGATATCGACCAGCCAGCCAACCAGAAAACCGAGACGACTGCCTGCCCCCATGGTATGATGGTATCCCGCCGCCCCGACGACGACTCTACATCTCGCCGCACTCGGCAATGACCACGTCCAGGTTGGGCACGTCCTTGCCCCTGTAGCCCGTCTTCGTGGCCTCCATCTTCTTGACCACGTCCATGCCGTCCACTACGCGGCCGAACACGACGTGCTTGCCGTCCAGGAACGGCGTTGCCACCGTCGTGATGAAGAACTGCGAGCCGTTGGTGTTGGGGCCCGCGTTCTGTTCGGGGTTCGGGTTTGGTTAGTTTATATGCTATGTTATGCCAGTGGTGGTGGCGGTGATGGTGGTGGGTGGGTGGGTGGTTTCGCTGTTTTGGGAAGAGAGGAGGAATCGAGAGGGCAACACTCACGGCCATGGACAGAAGACCCGGCTCCTCGTGCTTCAGGTTGAAGTTCTCGTCGGCGAACGACTTGGTGCCGTAGATGCAGGTCGACCCGGTGCCGTCGCCATTGAGGAAGTCACCGCCCTGGCACATGAACTTGGGGATCTGGGGAATGTGTCAGTTCCTGTTCCGCTTTTCTTTCTTTTTCTTTTCGGAATGTAACTTACGATGCGGTGGAACTTGGAGCCCTTGTAGCCCTGGGGACGGCCGATGTTGCTCTTGGATTCGCCCGTGCAGAACTGGCGGAAGTTCTCGGCCGTCTTGGGCACCACGTCCTTGAAGAGCTCAAATTTGATGCGGCCAAGAGGTTCACCTGAGGAAGGTAGTGAGTATGCCGTGTTCTCAAAGTGAGTGGATGGGGAGGGGCAGTTTCATACCACCGAGTGTGATGTCAAAGAAAACGCTGTGTGGAAAGGGGTGTCAGCATAGGCGCTCAAGACTCAGCAGTGCGATAGTATCGCAAAATAACATGATACATGATCTCGTCGGGCCAGCGCATTCAATTCTCGATTTGCGCGGCGAATTGTGAGCTGAGCGGTCGGTGTAAGTTGTTGGTGGTGGGGTCGACCTCAGATCACCGAATGAACCCGTAATCGAAAAAGCAGCGATAAATACTGCGAAAAACTTACAGCGGGTTGCCCGACTCGGGAAGCTCGGTAGGCGCCATGTTTACGAAGTCTTGGATTTTGTCAATCTGGTTGAAGCAGAGCTTGGTGGTTTGTTTGTTTTGTTGTTTTGTGGACTTTGGTTCTCGCGATTGGGAGGCAAAGTGGGGTGTTCAACTGAACCCAGATGACGTACGGGGTAATAACGAACAAAGGGCAATGTGTTTGCTTCCAGGTGGCGGAGCCTGATTGTCAGGTGGCAAACATTCAGACGAGAGAGTTTGAGTCCGGAAAAAGAGTCCCAAGCCGGAATTGTCTTTGGCGGCAATAACCTATTCTACACCTATTGTGGCAGAACAAGGATGCTGGTTTGTGGGAGGAGCAGCGTTGCCTGCCCTTGGGTTTCGCTTTCTCACTCCCCTCTAAACCTCATCCTCAACTCATAGATGAGACGGCGCCGAGCAAAAGTAGGTTGCTGTCAACGAAATTACGGGCACCTCTAGGGCGGCTAAAGGGTCCCGAAGGCCGTCGCATGCTTAAACAAACCCTGGAGTAAAACAAATAACCTCTCTACGTTGGTGTTCCGTTAGATTATTCCCAGTGTTGGCCATCGGTCCTCCTCTACTCATTGATAGCAAGATAACACTCTCGTATTGTCCAATGTCTTAACACGCTTCTCATTCCATGCTGTTTTTTCAGCCCGCTATTCAATACGCGACCGCCGGTACTCTCGGGCGGACGCCGGTAAGTCTGTCTCTTTTGCCACTATATGTTTGTTTCACCGCTATATTCTCAACCCTCGGCCTCAATCTCGTAGCTGCTCGACTTGTGTTTTGGCTGGAACTTGAACCCAGGTGGTGCTGGGCCAAGGAACATCTCACTGCATCCTCGTTAGCTCACTATTCACCCTATATCTTCCCAGCTGGAAAAGAAACATACCTGATCTTGATCCAGTCCTTGTAATTCTTACTCGCAAACAGCGTTTCGAGATCGTCACGCCCGCGGTAAGCAGGCGGCCGCTCGTTGAGATTCGGCGGTAGATGCTCCAGTAGCCCGATGGGCACGTAGCGGCAGAAGAAGCTGAGAAACTCGAGGAGGAACCGGCGCGTGTAGTTGAGGCCGAGCTCGTCCGAGCCCCAGGCTTCCATCCCGTATCGGACAAACTTTTCGATGTACGTCAACCGCTCCGAGCTAGACTTGTCCAGATACTGGCCCTTTTCGATCTCCTCGAAGATCCAAGGCTTGACGATGGCGCCGCGCCCGATCATGACGCTGTCAACCTTAGCCTGGTCGACGTGTTCAAAGTAATCGACGTGCGAGTAACAGTCACCGTTGCCCAAGAAGTACATCTTCCCGCCATTTGGTAACGTGTTCGCGTCCGCCTCTCGGACCGTGTCGGCTAGGTCATGGGTCTTCTCGTTGAATTGCTTGATCAGCGCCGCGCACTCGGCGATGTATCCCCAATCAGCGGCCCTCGTGTACCGCTGCAGTCTCGTCCGGCCGTGTAGGGTGACGGCTGCACACCCGGGCGCACCAACAATGTCGCGCATGTCCTCGCTGCCGAGAGCCAGACGCTCGACGAGCTTCTGAGCCGTGAGCTTGTCGTCCCTAGCACCCATCCTGATTTTCGCCGTGATGGGCACTTCTCCTGATACCGCGTTCATACCCCTGATCATCCTCTCCAGTTTTGAATGAGAATCCAGGAGCGCGGACCCGGCTCCAGACTTGAACACCATGTCTACCGGGCAACCGCAGTTCAGATCGACCAGACGCAGATGAGGAAGAAGCTGTGACAAGGCCTCGGTGGCCTTCACAGCAACCCAAGGGGCGTTGGCCGCGATCTGGGCGCCAAATTTGAGGTCTTTTGAGTTGTCGTAGCTTTGAATGATAGGACCGCCGGGATCGAAACGGGGCGGCGTGATCTCGCTCTCATGAGCCCTCATCAGCGTCCAGTCTGCCTTTTGCCCCTGTAGCAAGGGAAGCCCCAGAGCCATCTCAGAGTATGTCAGTTGAGCACCAAGTTCGACGCAGAGCCGGCGGAAAGGAAGGTTTCCTTGCGTGGTAAGCGGCGCGAGAACAGGCGTCTCTCGTCCGAAGTAAAGCCTCCGCTTTTCTGACGGCTTGAATGGAGGCTCGATGTACTGCGCCCTGTAATCATTCGGCTTGGTCTCATCGTCCTTGTGCTTCTGATAATGTCTGGCGAGGTATACGGTATCCTTGGCCAGCCAGTCTAGGTACTGGTCCGATTTCTCTAGAGGAATCTTTTTCTTGGAGAGGTCGTACTTGATGCCGACCGGCACCATGTTGACCATGCCGGGCTTGATCTCGCCCGCCGCCTCCTCCTCGCCTTCTGGTGCCTTGGTGGCGTCACCGACTAGAACCAGCTCCGACCGCCCGTCCTCGTGCTTGACTTCGTCCATGTGGCTGTGGACGAACAGACAACGCCAACCGGACGGGCACTTGCCGTACTTCTCCCACACCGGGCACTTGCCCCCAAAAGTCGTGATATCGGGACGGCGGCCTTCTTTCAGGTATTTGCGTATGTCGTGGAGGGCATTACAGCGGTCGCCGTGCTTGCAGGGGCGAGGAGAAAACTCGGGAGTCCACGCGACTGTGTTGCATAACCGCTGGGCGTCCGAGAAGGTGCCGAACTCCCTTTCCTTGTTCTGCCCCTTTTGCTTCTTCCGCTTCCCGTCCTTTTTGGGGCCTTGTTGCGCCTCTTGAGGCATGGGAGCCGTCCGCCCCTCGGCATCATCATCATCGGCTTCGGCTTCGACTTCGGCAGGCTTCTCTGTTTGACGGGGTGCTACTATGAGATACCTAGGTAGAGTTGGTCAGCAGCTGTAATATGTCAAAATGTGCGCGAAGATCAATTTACTCTGCCTTGATCGGGGCAACGCCCTTGGCCCTGCTGTCGAGCTTTATTTTCTTGGAAGCAGGTTCACCATTCGAACCATTTTGATCGCCAATTGGGGCGCCATTGCCCTCTTCCTGGGGCCGTTTCGCTCTATCCTGCGGTTCCATATTGACGGAATATGGTTTTGAGTCCCCAGAGCGGTGTGTTTAAGTTGATTGAAGGGTTGTTGAACGAGGTGTGCTGGGTTTAAATTCGATAACATTTTGCAGTTTGAATTGAATCTCTGATTCTCTGTTATCGGAGCAGCAGCGCCAATTGGCCCCACAGCGGGGTCGCCTACAGCAATCTGGACGGCTGGGTGGGGTTTGATCTCTTTTCAGGGTCCAACCTGGTGGAAGCTCTGGTGTCCCAACGCCTGATGCGATGCGATCGATGGTTCTATTAACGTCAACTGCACCAAACAAGCCTCCTGCATTCGAAAACAGGGCTACCACCAGTAGCACCGGAAAATACCGCCAGAACTCGGGAATCGATTCCAGGTTTGACGCTTGAGCAGCCAACGAACACCCCGATGGCATGTTTCTGCGGGTCATTGTGCTGTTCTTGGGACACTGATCAACTGCTGCTGCTGATCTTGGCCGAATTCTGCTTGGGGCTGTCTGAGTTCAAGATGCGGGGTCGGGTCTAGTTCCTTACCTGACAGGTACAGTGGAAGGAACTTGAATGTCACCAACGAAGATGTCATCTTGCAGCATGATAGCCCCTGAATTCCCAGTTCCCTGGCACACTGGGGAAGGATGAGAGTGGGCAGGCGGAGGCTGGAAAAGGTGAAGGATGGCAGATGACATCTTGCAAGCGGTGTGGGGGGTTACAGTGTGTGATTGGGGACAGCCACTGGCACGCGGGCAGAGCAGGGTTGCTGGGCTGAGAAGCAACCGTGACAGGGGATGCGCTTTTGAAAGCAACAGCGCCATTCAGGGCTCACCGGCTGTTACATTCAGAACCCACCTGGGGTTGCTTCCAATTTCACCTTCAACTCCCGTCCAAGACACACTCTCAGGTCCCATTCGAGAGTGACCATCAAGCTTCTTATTGTACACACAGTAGACGCTCGGTTGTGCACACCACGTCTGTACCATAGTTCGACGTCGGCCTTTCCGATCGGCTCTGAAACACTCGACATTCGCCCCCTTTTATCTCACTCGCCCATAGGTAACCAACAGCCGGACCTCGCCACGCTGCCGTCTGAGCCCTCCGAGCTGTCTCTACGAGGTGTTCATGTTTGGGACATGATCATTCGACCCCACGATGGCTGATCAGGCCAGAGCAGAGGGGCGCGAGATGCTGCCGCAGTCACCACAGAACATCAAAATCGTACGGTCGCAAAGGATAGCCCCGGTGTCGCCGACGGAGTCGCGCCCGCCGCCCTCGGAGCTCTACGATCCCGAAGCCCAGGACAGGGCGCCGCCCATACCACGATCGCACACACCGGGCCACCTCTCGTCCAAGAGCCAGGACCGCCGCAGCAGGCCCGCCGACCTCACCCTGCGCCAGCGCTCGCAATCGTCCGGCGCAGCAATCACCCCGGCCTCCTCAGCCGGGATAACGCCGTCGCTCCCCCTCTCGGCGGCCTCCTTCTCCGCCGCCTCCACAAAACAACCGACACCCACCATAAACCGGCCGCCAGCCATTGCCGAAAATGAAGACGCAGGCAGCAGCAAGGACGCCCCGCGGCGACCGCCAGCGCTGCGCTCCACATCAGCCATCGCAGGCCGGCCGGGTGTCGCGGGGGGCGGCCTCAGCGGCGGCGGCGGCGTTAGCGGCGGCGGCGGCGGGACACCAGGGGCCGTGAGCCGGGTGGGCACGGGGCGGGGCGCGCCGGCGAAGGGGGCGGAGGCGTACACGGCGTTCCCGCCGCTGGCGGACCCCAAGACGGCGGCGGACGTGCCGGCGGCGCCGTCGTCGGGCATGTACTGGAGCCGGTGCGCGACGTCCGGGGCGCCGCACACGGCGCTGCGCGCGCACACGGCCACGCCCGTCGGGTCGAATGTCTTTGTCTTTGGCGGCTGCGACGCCCGCGCCTGCTTCAACGAGCTCTACGTCCTCGACGCCGACGCCTTCTACTGGTCCGCCCCGCACGTCGTCGGTGATGTCCCCGTGCCCCTGCGCGCTATGACGGCGACTGCGGTTGGGAAGAAGCTGGTTGTTTTTGGCGGCGGTGATGGGCCTGCGTACTACAACGATGTGTATGTGCTGGATACCGTCAACCTCCGCTGGTCGCGCCCGCGCATCCTTGGTGACAAGGTGCCGTCCAAGCGTCGCGCGCACACGGCGTGTCTGTATAAAAACGGCATTTATGTGTTCGGGGGCGGGGACGGCGTGCGGGCGCTCAATGATATCTGGCGGCTGGACGTCAGCGACATCAACAAGATGTCATGGAAGCTCATATCGGCGCCGTCCTCGGCCGACGGGCGGTCACCCGTCACGGGAAAGGATCTCCGGCCCAAGGCGCGGGGCTATCACACGGCCAACATGGTGGGCAGCAAGCTGATCATCTACGGCGGCTCCGACGGCGGGGAGTGCTTCAACGACGTGTGGGTCTACGACGTCGAGACGCACGCCTGGAAATCGGTCAACGTGCCCGTCACCCACCGGCGGCTGTCGCACACGGCGACCATCGTCGGCTCCTACCTCTTCGTCATCGGCGGCCACGACGGCAACGAGTACTCCAACGACGTCCTGCTGCTCAACTTGGTCACCATGACCTGGGACAGGCGGAAGGTCTACGGCCTGCCCCCCAGCGGCCGCGGCTACCACGGCACTGTGCTGCACGACAGCCGGCTGCTGATGATTGGCGGCTTCGACGGCAGCGAGGTGTTTGGCGATGTGTGGTCCCTCGAGCTGGCTGTGCACGCCTATTATTCGCAGATCAGCCATTTTACCATCGAGGTGTGAATCTAGTTCCATCTATTCTAGCCATGCTCATACGCGCGATCTGCCGTTTGACATTGTTTCAAAGGAACCGGGTATTTTTTTCAGGAAATTGGATATTGGAGTGGTGTTGGGCGGAGGGAGGCTGGCATTGACTGATACAAGCGAGGCACGGCGTCGCGCGGCTTGGGTTGGATGTAAAATGAGAGCGGAGCGGACTGATATCAAGATGGCTTTTCCCGTACAGTTGCTATGTCACAAGCGATCTATGAATCACGACAGTCTTAAGATGAACAAATTTAGAGAATGCGCGACAGCCTTTGTCGCCTGTCTTGCTTTTATATCATTTACTGTGTTTTATACCCCTGGCGCACACCGCGCTCATTACCCCGACTGTCCCCTTTTTGAACCTACTATTCGTAGCAAGGTTCACCCATATCCCGCCCGGCCAACCCGGCTACTCAGACACTAACAACATAAGAAATGGACAACCCCAACCGCCGATACCGTACAATTTGCAGGAAATAATGCGCCCGCTAACTCAATCCGAACGCCGCCGATGCACAAGAGGAGGGATTATTCATGGGCGAGGTGCCAGCCGTGGCGGCATTTCGTGGCGCTGAGATACCCCTTTCAAGCCTTGCCCGCGGGTTCCCGCTGCTTCTTCTTCTCTCCTAGCCGCTTCTCCTCGGAAGCTACCATTTCTGTAGATTAGGTCAGTCCCATGTCTCGAGCTTATATCACCCCAGTTCGGCAAAGGGAGAGACGGGGGATGGCAACGTACGCTTCCATAGATCCTGACCCTCGTAATCCTCCTTGTGAATCTTCTTCTCAATCTGATGCGTCGGGTCGTCGGGGTCGACGACCATGACGGTCTCCCAGCGGCCCTTGCCAGACTTGGCGTCGGCGGTCTCAAAGGCGGCGGTGGCGATGAGCACGGCAAGCGTGAGGCCCTGGGCGTACATACGGGCCTGGACCAGCTTCTGGCTCGCCGTCAGGTACTTGCTGCGACCGACAATAGCCATGGCAATCCCCATGGACGCGGCCCAGCTGACAAAGACGATGCTGTAGCGGTTCTCGCGGCCCCAGTCCATGAAGCGCTGGGCCTCGGTGCGCTGCTCGCGGCGGGCCTGCTCGGCGGCCCGGTGCGTCTCCTCCAGGTAGTTGTTCATGGCGTCGTGCGAGCGCTGGTAGCTGATGCTGTACCGCTCCGCCACCACCATGGCGCCGAACGTCCCCGCCGACGTCACCAGGAAGGACCGGAACGGCAGCGTCAGCTGCCGGATCGCCGGGTACCGCCGCGCGCCGCCCACCACGCCCGCCAGCCCGAGCGCCAGCCCCGCCGTGCCGCCGATGAGGCCGCCGCGCACCACCACGCCGTAGTGCTCCTGCTCGATTTCCTTGGGGATGACCTTCATGTTGGATGGTGGGGCGCTGCTTTGGCGCTGCTTTTGCTGTTGCGGGGCTTGATTTGGTGGTGGTGATGAGGTTGTGAGCGGCTATGCGACAGATGGCCTAGGAGATATTTGATGGGCGTCAAATAGGACCCTTGTTGTGCCTTTTATTCGTTTGCGGCACTGCTGTGTGTGTGTGTGTGTGTCGGCTTGAGAAATTATCGTATGACGATTTCAGGTCCCGGGCCGTGGCAAGGGATGTAAAAAAACCGGGTCCTAGTACAGCGGAGGGTCTTCTGCGGAGCCGACGTTTGGGCAACCCGCACTTGGCGTATGTCGCAACTACAAAATACTAACTCAAGTCGAGGGAGGTGCGCGGCTTTTCTTACGCTATGCGTCCAGGGTATGAGAGCACGGAAGTACTTTGGGATTTCACAATGCGCGCCCGCGGGCGTGTTGGTTACTTTTAAGTGAGATTCAGCCCCGAGGAGATAGTGATGTCAGGCCTGTGGCATGTGAGGTAAATTCCGAGTCTTCCCCGGAGACGGGTCGCACAGGCGAGAACCCTTCTCTTTCGGGGTTTGGGGTCGAGAGATGAGTGGTGGAAGATGCCGGGGAGCCGCCGAGCCATGCGCATGGTGACAAACAAGGACTGCATTTGCTTTGAGTCCCGTTCCTACTTTCGCCGGTCTCCTTCGGAAAATGCGAGCTCGCAACGGTTGGAGCATGCAAGACGAGGCTTACCCTTGGCCGATTCGGACAGTTCGCGTTTCTGAGTAACCTCCCTAACCCCGAATCAAGACTGTTTGGGCGGCCCCGGCCTTGCACCCACTCCCGGTAGTCCGGCCGATTCCGCGAAGCCCGGCATGCCTCCTTTGTGCGTTCAAAACACTTGTAGGTCTTGGGAGCTAACACCATCTGAATTCTGGCCATCGGATGATTCGAACGGTGAATTTCTCCCTTTGCCAGTTCGTTCGACTGAGTCTCGATGCATGTGTGATATGTCTCGCGCCGCTCAAGACGCCTCATCCTAAAGAGGTTTAGATGCCGCATCCCCAAAGGGTTTAGATGCCGAGCTCATCTTCGCACTCGGGTTACCAACATAGCGCCGAATTGTCAAGTTGCTTTAAGAGCAACCACATCCTCCAGAGGGAAGCTCACCTTTTTCCGCCGCGATTCTGCGCGACTCGCTCCGGTTTTTGGCAACACAGAGTTCAGGAACAAACTCATTTTGATTTTTGATGAGACGGACTGGCTCAGTGTTACCAAGCGAGCAGGGCTTGCCTGGAAATCCACCTCGCGGAACAAGCGTTCGAAACGGCGTGATGAATGCAACGACGAATAATCCGAAAACTGCACTAGTGTAGAGCCGTTGGCTAAATGCCTCGTCTTTTACGTACAATGGAACTCCTCATCAGTAGTCAACATGGTAGGTTGCGGCGTGATTCATTAACTGGGATCGAGGGACACATTCTCGGGCAAATGTAAACCCGTCTTTTCTTCTTTTCGTCTATCTTTTTTCTCTTTTTTTCTTTTTGTTCTTCTCTTCCGGGGAATTATCGGGCCAACATAGATTTTGAATGGTGATAACCGGATCATAGTGGTTGGGTTGAGCTTGTCAAAGTCCAGATCTGGAGAGGTCAGGCTCGTGACAGAGCATCCCGGAATGGAGAGCAACCCGCCGACCATGCCGTCGTCGAGCCTCCCCAATGCTGTGAGACGCACTCGTTTACCGAGGACGGCAAAGACGACGCAAGTGCTGACGACATGCTGCGCCGCCGACTGTCGAGTTATGACTGGCTCAACTGGGGAGCTTTGGGATCCCCCATAGATGCTGCCACGCTGCTTCACATAGAAAAGCACAAAAAGAACAGAACCAGGACGCTGGAGCGAGATGGATGAGCTCATAGGCCCAATGGCTCTGTCAATCCCCTGCAGATCCCCTTGGCAGGGACCATTCACCGGGCGGCATCTGGTTTTCGAAAGCAACGTTGAGGACAGATGAAACTTGGCTGGTGAAAGCGGAGAACGTGAGAGGCGTCGTCTTCCCAGTTTCTGGAATCAGCCTTGACCATCCGATTCCTGGAGGATGAGGCACGCGACTGTGGGGGGTTGCTGCAAAGTCAGGGTTCAGTGGCACGTGGCAATGTGAGGGATGGTATGTCCCGACAGTGACGTATTCGACCGTGCTGTGGTGGACTGTACCGTACCAAGACGGAGCATACCAGGATTACGTCCGAGTCTCCTTCCTCATCCAGTCCACCGAACGCTTCGCGGCTGTTTCGAACTATTTTACCGTCTTCACCGTCCCTTGCCTCGAACTCCTCGTGCGGAAAGGCAACAAGGACGGTGAATCCCGTTCGCAAAGCTGGCTAGGCCAAAAGAAGAATTGTTGACTCGGCGCATAGTTCGTTATGGGGTGGCTCGGTGGGTAGGTGGCCACTTCATGCCCAGTGCTTGGTGCCGAGTCAGGCAGTGGCGCCGAGTCCGCGCAAGCACGGCTCCGGCCGTGGCAGGAAATGGACGCCCATTCGACAGTGCCACCTGTATGATACCGACCCAGCAGTGGCGGACTTTGGACCGCCCTGTCTCCCTTCCGACTCAAAGCAACCTATGAGCTACCTTACGTGAGTGCACCGAATCTAGGGGGGAACCGAAGTCCCCAAACACCGAATACTCGGGCCTTGTTCGCCCGTTTGTTTTGCGCACAAGTACAGATCTGTAAGTACCCTATTGGCCATCGCTTTTTTTGGTCGTCGTGTTCCACAGGACGGCGATGGCCTTTGGACTCATCGGGCTTGGCACATGCTCCCGTCCCTTGAGTTGTTTGAACTGCCGGAGGGATCCTCGAGAACAAAACTCCACAGATGTTCGGTTGACCAAGTGCTGTGCACCGTTTCTTTTTTGCTCAACCCACATGGTCAGACGGAGGCATGTAACGCACTAATATATATACTTTTCCACACAGGGATCGAGGAGTGGAGGAAAGATGAGCCAAGGTTCCCGGTGCTCTGGAAACAGTGCGGACACAACGGCAGCAGCCCGCGCCTGGTTGGTTGGCGGCCGTGACGAAAGCAAAACCCCCGTTTGCCCTCCACGTCGCCACCCGAGGGAGATACACTTGACGAGGCAAACGTGCGAACGCCAACCCGGCATTTGCGCTCTCGAGTTTGGTTTCCGACAGGTGCATTGGAACGGGTAATGAGCGGGAACAAGCTGGCGGTGGTAGCGAGTGGAACCGGAAACTTCAGGACGTCTTTACTAGTTTTACTAGCGCAGTGTTTGCAGCGGTGATCTCTCGTCCATGTCATCAGAAGTCTGTTTGACTTCCCCTCCCCCCCTCTACTCCAAGGCGCCGAAGGCGCATGTCGTAATATATCCGCCTTCCCCTTCTTCCCGGGCGCTCCTATTCCCCTGTCCTTGTGATCTATGAGCTTGTGCGCCCTGAGTCCCGTCCCCTGGGATTACTTCCATGAGTTGGTTATCAGAGAGGCAAGCGTGGCAAACGACTTCAGCCAGGCCTCGACAACCCCCACTCCGCCAAGCCTTCCAACATTCCACCGTGCAGCACCAGAGCCCTTCCCTACCTTAACCTAAACTCCTCGCCGCCGTAATATATTCGCATCACCACCTATCGTGTGCACGAAGGCATTGTATGGTTTCGCTCGACTCCCGTTCCGAATGCCCTGCTCTGTGTTGGGGTGAATGAATTAGTCATTTCCAAGCCCGAGGCCCACCCTCACTTACACCGCAACCCCTGGTCGGACCTTCCATCCCAGCGGATCCAGCATTCACACCGCAGCACCCCGCGGACCCTGTCCTAGGTTTCGCCCATCTGCACCCGACACCAGGATTTACCTCAGGTAACGTTCCGGCTTGTCTGCATCACTAGTGGCTTCAAACAGCCCGCCGAGTACTTGGTACAGATTAGTGGTAGCAAGGACGGTTTCCATCATTGAGAAGCTTCTGTCTAAGCGTTTTATCAATCCCCGTCAACATCCCCCTCATTCTTCATACTTTCCAGTCATAACCCTCCATTCCCTTCCCCGAATCCCTCCGTTTCCGCTATCCGCCAGGTATTAGTGCTGCCCGGACCACCAACCTAACCCCCCTGGAGCGCGGCGAGTCCGTCCCCCGAATCGGTCGAACTACCGGGTTGTGGCTGTCCCAAGGCCCCATCAGTCTGCCACAAGGAGGACCCCCATCGCATCCGAGGCTAGGCAGCGTTGAGCTATCCACATTGGCCCGCCATGCCGACCTGGAGCCAGTGGTTTAATTCGAAAGCGAGCCCCGAGTCTGCGGAGCCCGCTGGGACCCATCGTAATAAGAAGTCGGGCTGTAACCACACATCGCCTACGAATAACGATTCGCCTTCCCCTCTCAACCACTCGTCGTCGCGTTCGCAGTCGCCAACATCCGAGCCGGCAACACCTCGCTCAACTGTCTTCGCCCACCAACCCAGCTTTCCGAAGCCAGCTCGCTCGCAACAACCGACTCCCTTTGCTACTACAAACCCAACCCTGAAACCCTCGGAAAGCGCTGCATCACCCGTCATTGCCGGCGCCGACGACAATCTCCATCATTTACGTGCCGCCGGTCGCACCCCCAACAGCGCCACCACAGCTTATCCCGAAATCGGACCAGGTATTGACATCGACCTCGACGGCATCGACATCGACGACATTGACGACATTGAAGCCGTCGACATGACGTCCGGCCTCGACTTTGGCTCGGCCACTGGCCGCAGTCGCCAGGATTCCTTTGTCAGCGCTGGCGCGAAGCCCATCTCCATGGCGAACCCAAACCGCGATCATGCGAACCGCGCTCGGCGCGAAAGCCTAGCGGGGAGCCTGATGGGGGGGATGAGCTGGGGAGGAATCTCCGTCGGTAGTTTCATCCGGGAGGAGTAAGTTTGTCTTTTTGGCTTCACATGTCTGTCCGGACCCCGCTAGCCGGCGCTGTTTCAAGCCTGTCCGGGCCCTGATTTCTCCCGTGTCTCGGGCCGGATTGTTGTTTTCTCAGTGCATTCCCCGCCGCGCCGGGGGTGGCCACGCACTACGCGACCCCTCCCCATCTTCGAGACCTGACGCTGACGGTTCCTGTCGCAGTATGATGATGACGGGGACCTCTCCGTACATCAATAACCAGTCTACGTCGTTCCACTCATCCTCGTACATCCCGAGGTTGGAGGCTAGTTTCATGCGCGACTTCACATGCTGCGAACAGAGGTGGCCAACGCTCCACGACCTCCTACAGCATTATGAAGAACACCACCATCCAACGACGACCCCTGCCGCCTCCAGGGACGCTTTCGGCGCGAACCAACCGAACTCCCGCGGCCCCGCCAGTCGCGCTGGGTCGGTCACCCCGTCCGTAGGCAGGGCACAGCAGGCTTCGCAGTCGCTACATGGGTTTCCACAGCAGCGCCAGGTTGGCCCCGGCATGGGTGTCGGCGGAATCGGGCAGATGATGCGACAACAGCAGCACCAAGCAACGCCCTCCTCCCAAAAGGTCAACATGTCCCACATGAACGATGAAATGGATGCGGTCGGCGACATGGAAATGGACGAGACTGTCGGGCCGATGGACATGGACGACAACACACGCACCATCCAAGCGACCCGCGAGCTCTTTGGGCAGCAGCAGAGACCGCAGCTGCATCTGAACAGCTCGGGTCTTCCCCACCAAGCGCTCCGCACCTCCCAGCCCCCGACGCCGGCCGCTGTTAGCTTCGGGTTCCAGAACAACCCGACTGTTTCCTCGGTCAACACGCCCACCTTGGCAACGCAACAAGGCATCCCGCAACGAGGCCAGCAGTTTGGGCAGGATGCGAATGGCGACGAGGACGACGAGCTTGTCGGCATGCCGATGAAGATGAATCTCGGTAACATGAACCTTGGCGGCTCGCAACTTGGGGGGTTAGCATTTGGCGCCTTGGGCACCATTGACGATCCCGCCAAGCGCTTGTATAGCCCCGGGGGCACGACCCAGATGACGAGCCAACAGCGGGCCATCGATCAGCAACTGCAGCTACAACAACAGCTGCAGCAGCACCTCCAGGCCATGAATCTCGACTTGAGCCAGTTTCCAGCCGGTACCGACCCGGCGCTTGTCCTGCAGCAGATGACGTCCCTGATGATGCCACCCGCCGAAGAGCACAAGCCTTTCAGGTGCCCTGTTATTGGCTGCGAGAAGGCGTACAAGAACCAGAATGGGCTAAAGTAAGTCATTCACGAGTCGCGCAACCGAGTTTCCATCACGCCCCCAATGCGCACAATGCTAACCCTTATTGTAGGTACCACAAGACCCACGGGCACTCAACTCAGCAGCTGCACGAAAACGGTGATGGCACCTTCTCCATCGTCAACCCAGAAACAAGCACGCCCTACCCCGGGACGCTGGGGATGGAAAAGGAGAAGCCTTTCAAGTGCGAAGTTTGCGGGAAACGGTACAAGAACCTCAACGGACTTAAATACGTAAGTTTGTATACAAGTACAATAAATATGGGATATCTCGCTGACACCTACCTAGCACAAGCAACATTCACCCATGTGCGATCCCGACATCCGAGCCCATCACCAGACAATACTATCATCGATGATGCAAAACCCCGCTGGTTTCATCGCGCTTCAGCAAAATCTTCCCAACATCAACGAGGACACAATGCTCTAACACGGCGATTGTTGCCCGACAGCCGTGTTAGTTCAGACCGGATCGCGCCGCCCAAGGCTATTTTTGTCGGTCTACGAAAGAAACAAGACAAATCCCACCTCTCTCCTTATCGGCGATTCGAAATCTGCATTTGCAACGTATAGCTTGGCGTTTCATCGATTTGTCTTTTAGTGTTTGTTGCATCACTATGCGAGCGGCGTTGGCGGGACTGGATCGCCACAGCCAAATACCCCTACATAGAGAAGGAGTTCAGACTGATACCCCCGGCGGTTGAACTCGGTTTCGGAAAAAAAGAAGATGCTGAGAGAGGGAAAAAGAAAATTGAATGAATAGAGGGAGTGTCGGAATGAGGGAGGACTCCTATCCCACCCAAGGGAGCGTCATCATAGGATCCAGCCGCCCATATCAACAAAATCTCAACCTTCGGCTGGGAAACAAACCCCGCGCCCTTGTCTCCCCAGAACTCTTTCAGCTGTACCTTTCGGGTCGGAACCATTACTGTCTTCTATTCTTCCACTACACGACGAGACGACGATAGAGAAGACGGACCGCGACTAGAGGAAGAACGACGACACGACACTAGACGACGACGGCATCGGGACCGATGGGGTGGACGAAAAGGACGAGGGGGGCGGATGTTTTGCGAATGTTTCTGGCGTGGTGTCGTCAACAAACCAGCCGTACGGAACAAACAGTATACTCTCTATTTGTTTCTTCTTCTCTTTCTGCACTGCTTAATCACTAATTCCTCTTCCCAACTGTTGGCAAGCGCCTACAGAGCGCAAGCTGGCTTCTTGATAAGGCATGTGCCTGGTTTTTTGGGGTGTGTCTGTGTGCGTTGTCATTTTGATGTTTTCATGGGTGGTTGAAAAGTCTGGGAATACCTAAGTTGCAAACAAAAAAGGGGCGGTGGTGAAAGATCTTTTACAAGCCGTTGGCGGTGGCGCATCAATGGGTAGGAAAAGTATTACATTCTTTGCTTGTTAAACGTTATAGATACTTGGGAAATCCCGCTCTTCACTGCTATTTTACATATTTTTATCACGTCCCGAATCTGCTGTTGTGATGGAACTAACTAACTCCTTTTCATTGAAACGCGCTGAGTTCTATCGAGGTCCGATCGATCCATGCGAGAGATACTCGCCCTTGCTTGCAAACCCTAGAAACACACATGCCATGCCGCCTGACGCCTCGCAATGCTTGTACCAATAGTAACATGACCCCTTTCTGTGATCTCCGGGCCCAATATGAAGCAGTGTGGCGAAGGAAATACGGCCGGCCATCCATCCCATGACGCGCCCCCAAAAAAGAAAATAGCGAACCGGATCTATCTAGCCTTGAAACCCCCCCTCCCTTTCCATCTATCTATTTCGTCGATGTGATCCAAACACAATTTGCGGCCACTCACCCACCGTCCAAGCGGCGGCGGGGCCGGCCGACCAGCAGAGAAGAAGAAGAAGCGAATCGGCATGATAAATGACAATCAATCACCACCATCACCACAGCACGCGGCGACTCCTCGGCGGACGGAGCCGGCGGCGACCACCACCACCAGCCTTCCTCCTCCTGGCGCGGATGCCAATCTAGGACATCTCCATGCCGTCGTCGTCGTCGTCGTCCTCCTCGGTCTCGAGCATCTGGGTCTGGTTGCTGCTGACGCTCTCCTTGCGGCGGGAGGCGGCGCCGGCGGGGTCGCCGAAGCGCCCCCCGCAGCCGTCCATGCCGGCCATCATGTCGAGCTCGTCGCCGCCGACGACGCGGCCCTCCATGTCGACCTCCTGCGACAGCTCGACCAGCGCGCCGCGCGGCAGGCGCTGGAACCCGGCCGTGCGCACCACGCGGCCCCAGTGCGTCATGCAGAAGTTGGCCGCCCGCTTGCGCAGCCACTCCTCGCTGGCGAGCCCGGCGCAGTACCAGATGATGCAGGCGTGGTCGACGTCGAGCTCCTTGCTCAGGCGGCTGACGCACAGCAGGCGCAGGTGCGGGATGTTGTAGATGTTGGACATGACGAGCAGGCCGGCCACGTCCGACAGGTCGCCCATGGGGTTGGCCTCGTTTTCGGCGTCGGCGTCGTCGGCCGGGTCGATCCGGTCCGTGTAGAGGTAGTACAGGAACGCCTTGACCACGCTGTAGGGCTCGGGGATGTGCATCTTCTTGGTGTGGAACTCGGCCATCTGGCTCGCCCACAGGCGCGCAAAGTGCGGCCAGCGCGCCTGCAGGATGAGCCGGTGCACGTGGATCGGGGGCGAGGTGGGCGCGTCCGGCGCGAGCCACGTCTGGTTGCTCTCGTCGGTTGGGTCGTTGGCGTGCATGAGCGCGGACCCCATGACTTCGTCCTCGTCGAAGTCGCGGGAGAGCGCGGTGACGACGAAGTCCGTGCCGCTCCCTGTTTCGGGCGCCTGGTTAAAGAGCGTCGCGAGATCTGCCCCCAGCCCCTTTGAGGGCGGCTCCACGCTGCGAGTCCGGAGCGAGGGGCGGGCCATGTCTGTCCGTGCCTCGGATGCTAAATTGCTCCCTAGGAAGCCGTAGCGGCGCAGGTCAATTTCCATGATGTCGGAAAGATATTCCTCGAGGCCATTAGCCCCGAGCTCGATCGCTCCGGCTTCCGTGGGACAGCCCAGCAGCCACGCCTTGGTGCCATCTTCATTCATGGTACAATAATGCCACCGGTAGCCGGGCTTGAAGATTTCTCGCCCTTCGGCAAGTTTCTGCCACCTGAGCGTACCCAGGTCCAGCGCGGAAAGCGAACATTCCTTGGACGTGATGGTGGCTGCCGGCGTAACAAAGTCCAGAAGTGTTCCGGACGAGTACACGTGGAAATGGATGCCTTGCATCTGCGAAGGGACATAGTCGCCGCTGACAAACTTGAGCGCCGATATAGCGCCGGGTGCGGGGGGCGCATACGCCTTGAGATGGAAAGACGGGGTGTTGACTTGGGCCGTCCTCGAGTTGGCTGCGTAACCAGACGAGCCGACTGCGGGGGACTGTGATGCTTGGTGGGGCGGCCGGGGTGACGTGGTGTTTCTCGCCAGCCCGGAACGATCCAAGGAGCCGATCTGGGGCGGCGACTCAAATGCCGGATTTCCCTTGAGATCCAGCCACCACAGATCGCTAACCTTGTCCATGTCTTCGCTCAGGCCGCCAAACACCCACACCCTATCGCTCCAGATGTATGCCGAGTGGTCAAAACGCCCAACAAAGCGCCACGACCTCGACCACGTGTAAGTCTTCAAATCCAGGTAGCATATGTCATCCAATACGTAGTTGTCGTGACCCGTGATGCCGCCCACGATGAAGAGCTTGTCCTCGTGCAGAACGGCGGCATGTCGAGCACGGCCCTTGGGGATCGGCCCCGTCACCTGTGGTTGCGTCCAGTGGGCCGTTTTGAGATCAAAGATGATGAGGTCGGAAAGATAGGTCCGGTGCTCGTTTTCACCGCCGAAGACCAGTAACTTGTCGCCTTTGTAGAGGGTAGCCGTGTGACCTGGCAGGTGCAGTTAGCGGAAGCCGAACAGATGGGGGAGAATCCAAGAACTCACCCATCCGGACGCCCGGGATATCGCCGTAGTTGTCAACGAGAGTCCACTGGTGGCTGACCAGATCCAGGCGAAGCACATGGTTGTAGACCTCGTCGGTGTACTGATCAAAGCCACCAAAGGCGTAGATCCGGTTATTCCCGCAATACGTGACCGAAGCATTGACGAGGCAAGCCGGGCGCTGGCCGAGAGTGCGCGTGACCTTGGGCCGGTAGCCATCCATGGGGACGCGGTTCTTGAGCGGCGAGTTGGGCATGATGTAAGTGTTGTTGGATGATGCCGACGCGGGTGTCAGGGTGGATGCAAAGGAGGATACGGAGAGGAGGTGCGGCATGATGTCGGTAGTGGTCTGGCCCGGCCCGCCAAAGATGGAAGGGCCCGCGCCGGCTGCTCCTGGGGTAGCGGGGTGTTGTTGTGCCATGATCGCGGATGCGCAGAGGCTCGTCGACGAGGCTATTGCGAGTTATGGTACCTTTGTGATAGGCATTCGGCGAAACGATGAGGGTTAAACAGTTCGACGTCGTCAATCCAGTAACCCCGTGCTGATGCCGGTGTTGAGAAGCACAGAAAGCCCGGTTGTCGACGGCAGCGGTCGATATTATGGATTGATGGCGGCCGGATGTGCCTGTTTGCTTGCATGGAACGAAGAAACGGTGATGGCGATCACATTCCCACCTGGTCCCACAAAGAAGTCCGTTCTGGGCAGGGCAGGGGTACGGAAGAGTGAGACGCGAAAGACGCTAGCAGGCTTGGCAGGCTAGCCGCCTTTCTTGCCGCGTTGGCGTTTGTCAAGTGCCACAGTGGGGGGCACAGGGGGGGGGGGGGGAGATGGGATGGAACATCCCCCCGACCGTGCCCTGTCAGGGAGGGAGCCCCACCAAGGCGTTGTCCGGTCAACGAATGTAAACAATTCACATTTAAGGAGCCCGACTTTCCCTTCAACTCCCAGACTCACTTGCTCCTTCCTTTGCATCACGCTTCCACCACACACCACTTCGCCCATCTTTCCGCTTTTCAAGCAAACCGTCTTTGCTTCATCCTACGAGTTCCTTATTTGGCACCTAGGACGCATTGGCAACCCCATCACCATCTTCTCTCCGTCTTTAAGCAATCTACCTTTGCCGGGCCAGACTCTGAGAGTCGCCTCGCCTGTTTAAATTGTCATCGGAGTTATAAATAATTACATCAGCACAGTAGTCGTCAATCATGGCTACAGCATCAGTTTCCACACCCCTCAAGTCCCACGCCGGGCTCTTCTCTTCCCGCACAGCAGGCGGGCGGATGCCCTTGACCCCTTCACCTTGCCAGCGGTCTTCCAACGTCAGCATCAACTCGTCTCCCTTCACACCCGACAAGTCTAGCAGCAATGACACCCACCGCGCACCGCCCAAATCGGTCTACGGCGGCAACCTGGCTGCCCACTTCGCCAAGTCCACCAAGAACCACCGCGACTCGCCCAAGTCCAACATCGCCCGCGTTGTGTCAACCCCTCGCAAGGTCCTCGAGCTCGGCGTGTCAGACTTTACGCTAAGGGGCACGGGTCCCAGTGTCAAGACATCTCCCAGCGCCCAAGCTAAGAAGCCAGCCGCTGTCAAGACCAAGCCCACCAAGACGACGGTTACCTACAAGGCTGATCGCTTTATCCCCAACCGGTCCTCGAGCTCGGCAATCGCAAATGCTGGCTCGGCAAAGATCAGGATCCGTGACCGGCAGCGCCCGAGGAGCGTCCAGGACGACGCCTCTTCGTCCACTACCGACGATGCCGTGGCTGCCCTTGAGGGTCTCAACATCAACGACGAGGAGCCGGCTTCGTACTCGCGGCCTTCGCCCAACACAATTGCATACCAAGAGTCGCTAGCCGATGCTTGCGGTGTCAACCTGAGCACGCGTATCCTCGAGTTCAAGCCCGCGCCCCCGGAGTCATCCAAGCCCATCGACCTGCGCCAGCAGTACAACCGCCCTCTGAAGCAGGCTAGCGCGGGGTCAGCCCAGTTCAGGCGCCGCATCGCCACCGCTCCGGAGCGTGTTCTGGACGCGCCCGGGCTCATCGACGATTACTACCTCAACCTGCTTGACTGGAGCACGGGCAACCAGGTGGCCATCGGCCTCGAGCGCAACGTCTACGTCTGGTCCGCAGACGAGGGGTCGGTGAGCTGCCTCCTCGAGACAAGCCCGGACACATACGTCAGCAGCGTCAAGTGGTCCGGGGACGGCGCGTACGTGGGTGTGGGCCTGGGCACCGGAGAGGTCCAGATCTGGGATGTCGCCGAGGGCGTCAAGATCCGCAGCATGCTCGGCCACGACACCCGCGTTGGCGTCATGGGCTGGAGCAAGCACCTGCTTTCCACCGGCGCGCGGAGCGGTCTCGTCTTCAACCACGACGTCCGTATTGCGGAGCACAAGGTGGCCGAGCTCGTCTCGCACACCTCGGAGGTCTGCGGCCTGGAGTGGCGCTCGGACGGCGCTCAGCTCGCCACTGGCGGCAACGACAACCTCGTGTCCATCTGGGACGCCCGGTCCCTGGCCGTCCCCAAGTTCACCAAGACCAACCACAAGGCGGCCGTCAAGGCCCTCGCCTGGTGCCCCTGGAACATGAACCTGCTCGCCACCGGCGGCGGTTCGTATGATCGCCACATCCACTTCTGGAACTCCACCTCGGGCGCCCGCGTCAACAGCATTGACACGGGTTCGCAAGTTACCAGCCTTCGGTGGAGCCCCCACTACCGCGAGATCGTCAGCTCGAGCGGTTTCCCCGACAACTCCCTGAGCATTTGGAGCTACCCGACTCTCGTCCGGAACGTCGAGATCCCCGCCCACGAGAGCAGAGTCCTCCACAGCTGCCTCAGCCCCGATGGCCAGATGCTGGCCACAGCGGCTGCCGACGAGAGCTTGAAGTTCTGGAAGATCTTCGAGAAGAAGCCGGGCAGCACCTCCAGCTCGAGCGGTATTGGTGGACTTAGCAAGGCCACCACGCCCAAGCACATGAAGATCCGTTAAGAGGTCGTCCTTCTAGGGGACGGTGTCTCGAGGACCGGTCGAAGTCAAGTCAGCGACAACAATTCAGCCAACGGTAGGTATACATGGTTCCCTTCTGGAAAAATTACGGTCAAAGCATCGGATGGGGCTCCTGTTGTTTGATGGGTTTCAGCGCGGCGTTGGGGAGATGATTGTTGGGTCTCCTCCGGCTTGCTTGCATATTACGGAGCTCTCACGCAGGGATGAATGAGCATCGACTCGGTCATGATGAATTTTAGCGCATGGGACACTGGGGATACCATTTTTGTTAGTCATAGGCGTGGTAGTTTGACACCGGAGTTTGGCATCGGATTAAGTCAGTTCAGTAATTGTATCGTAGTTATAATAATTGGGCCATGGGCGCAGGAAATGGATGAGTGACTTGCAATACGCCTTGGGAGATGGAACTCGCAGCGAGAGAATGACAGCGATAGCTTAGCGTTTTGCATCAAAGTTATCGATCGATAGTCGACTTCACTCACCGTCTTGCCTCCAAGGCCTTGACCTCGTTTCTCCTCCGCACGGCTCATCGCATTCGACCACAACACTCTGAACGCCAGAAAACTTCTTCAGATTTGATTGTGACAGGTTTCATTTTTTGACAATTTGGAGTGGTTGAAAGGAGTGAGAACGGAGACAGACGGATGCGCATGGAATTGCATGGTTTGGTGCAGTGCAGTGCAGCTTCGCACTCTCGCCGCTGTTGGGAGCTGCCACCTAGCTGACTAAGCTAGCCAGACTACAAATCCAGCCAAGTCTGGTGCCTTCTGGGAACTTGCCCAATACAACACACACGCACGCTGAACGCCGTCTCCCCCAACCTGCGGCGCAACACTGCAAAACCAGAGCTACGGCGATTTATCACCTAGAAGTACAAGATCACCAACGTTAAAAGTGTTTGGAGCGACCCGAAAGTTTCCCCCAAAACACGATTTCGAGCGCAGCCAGCGCCGTGTCTGAGGGGTCCGCATTCCACCGAGCACCCGCACTCTCCCCAACCACCGGTCGGCCGACCACACCGAACCGTCCAGGCGGATCGAATCGGCCTTGGGTGTGCCGAGAAAACGTAGAGCAGATACGAGCCATCAGCGGCTGTTCAGCAAGGCTAGGCGACGAGGCGACAAGTGCAGCAGCCCAATTTAGGAAGCAATTGTTGCAGAACCCGTGATACTCCCCAGTCAGCTCCGCTGCTCCGGTCGGAGCAACCCATCATCACCATGTCCAACGCCGCCGTCGGGCACGTCTACGACACCATCATCGCCGAGGTCGTCAATTCAGTGCGCGTTGATTTCGAAGAGAATGGCGTCGACGAGGGTGCGTTGGAGGACCTGAAAAAGGTGAGGCTCTCTCTCAAATCCCCTTTGTCCTCGCCACTGCAGGCAGCCTTGGGCTCGTCTGCCGCCCTACCTACCTACCCATTTCCCATCTTCCCATCAATCCGATCAACCTTTTTTTATTTCGCGATCGGTTTCCGGATGCATTTTCATCATGCATATTATTTTCGAGCGATCGTTCCCTTGGTTTGCCGTTGATTGCGCCAGCCAAAGGCGCGACAAGTGTCGGGCGCTCCCTCGGCGGCTGCCCTCTGGCTCCCAGGGGGCGCGGGCGAGAGGGGTGGAGAGCAGCTGGGCCGGGTGGGCGACCGAGCACTTTTGGGTCTCTTTTTAAAGTCCACCCCAACTGCTGCGGGCGCCGCCCAGTCATCTTACCCGCGACTTCCGATTGGACTGTCCGACCCGCATCACGTGCAAAACCCTGGAGCACAGCATCCCTCCCTTTTCCCTTAGCCAACCCTCGACATCCCATACGGATATGGAACCCAAAGCCGACGAGCACTAACACATCGGGTAATAGATATGGCAACACAAGCTGTCGCAGATGAACCTGGCTCAGTTCCCATGGGACCCCAAGCCAGAGGCCCAGCCTACACCCGCCGCATCTAGTGGACCACCGGCGACAGCTCCTCCGAGCTCACTCCCTGCGGCGACGGCCGGTTACACCCAGTCCACGTTGAGCCCTCAAGGCCCGGCGCAAACCCTCTCCCTTCCAGGCCCTTTCCCCCCGGCCTCCAATTCGATGCCCATGAAGCCAGAGCCCGGTTATGTTCAGGCGGAGCCCACCATCAAGCAAGAGCCTGGGCTCCCGCCCAATCATCCCGGCTATAACCCTGCCAATGGCGCCCGCCCAACAGCAGCACAGCGCGCTGCTCTCGCGCTGGAAAGCCAATACGGGCAGCGGGCTGCTGCGTCTATTAGTGCTATCCACAGCGGCATGGCTCAGATCAACCCTGCTGGTCAGCCTCAGCAGGGTCCGCGACCGGGACAGCAGCCGCCACAGCAGCCGCCACAGCACATGAACCCGCAACAGCAGTATCGCCAGGGTGTTGCAGCCAGTATGCAGCAGCGCATGCAGCAAATGCCCCGCCCTGGGCCACCAAACGGCCTCCCCCCATCTCAGCTCGACGGGCCGGGTGATGAGGAGGAGGCAGAGTCGTCGGCCGTAATGGACCGTGCTCAAATTGACGAGCACCTCCATGCGCAGATTGCGGCGAGGGCCAAGCAGATGGAGGGCGGCGGCTTGATGCTGCCGCTCAAGCAGGCTACCAAGGATCGCAGCCTCGCTAAGAAGCGAAGTGCTGCCGATGGCCCTGCCCAGCTTGACGGCGGGTTGGATGACGATGTGAAGAGCGAGGAGGACGATGAGGATGCCATCAACTCCGACCTCGACGACCCTGATGAGGCCGGGGACGATGATGAGGATGACGACGATTCCATGGGCCATATGATGCTGTGCATGTACGACAAGGTGCAGCGCGTCAAGAACAAGTGGTATGCGCCCTGCCCATTTCTGTTTGACCGGTGACCGTCGGATTGCTAATACACTCTGTAGGAAGTGCGTCCTGAAGGATGGGGTGCTCACTGTGAATGGCAAGGAATACGTCTTCACCAAGGCTACCGGCGAATACGAGTGGTAAAACCCACTCCCGCTTTCGCTTTCCCACATTGGCTTTTTATCGGCCGTTGCAACTACATCACGTACCTGGCCGGCAGTGGGGCAACACTCCCTGCCTTTATGAGTCAACGAACTCTTAGTTCCTCGCATCGATCTCTCCCTACTCTCAGAGAAGAGTCACAGTCAGTATCGACCGGCTCACTTCTATATTCTCCTCTCTGCAACTGAGAGATTTGCGGTTGTTTATTTGCGCTCTCCCTTTCTAGGTTCTCTCCCTTTGCCGGTTTTCTATTCAAAAGACATGACGCCTGCCTCTCGGCGGACAGATATCGCCCATAAAAACAAGGGCGGCTTTTCCTAGCGGAGTAGTCTGGATTTCTTTTATTCCCTTTACCTTTCTTTTTCTACTCCTTTTTTTTATTTAACTCACTTGGGAGTCAAGGCAGACCGGTTCACCCTTGATGAGGGTTGGCATATTTTATGTACTGTAACATATATGGATTGGAACGGGACCATGAGGGGATGGGATTCGCAAGGCCGCCGTCGGGAATGATGACAACTAGGTACCGAATCCATGGCGATGCATCAGGCAGCGAGCGGTTGGTAGTTTTTAGAGCGTTATCTACCAACGGAGTGATAAACATTACTGGTTTTCTCATCCTGCCGTGACCGTTGCTTCTATTGTGACATGCCACACTGCCACACGCTTGTGCAACAATCGATCAGGCGTTGCGCACTGGGCACAACGAAGTGGCAGGTGCTTGGAACCTTGACTGGACAAAACCACGTTGAATACATACAGATACAGGCTGTTGTTGGAATATACACTAATTGTTTAGGTAGGAAGCGCTACTGGAAAGGTACCCATCCTACCGCGTTACAGAGGATGAAAGAAAATAAAACAACCGGAAAGATGGTGACGGCGGGGCTTTCAATCCCCGCCCCTAAACCGTCCAGCTATTTGAAGCCAAATGTTCTGAAACCAACCCCCTCCTGATCCACGCTCAACTCCAAAAACGCCAGGACTTTTTCCTCCTCCTCGTCCGTTCGTCCGTCCATCCCCATCCCTTCATCCTCATTTCCGAAAGGTCCAGCGTGTGTATAGTATGTGATAGGGTGTGACGTCGTGCGACAAAGCAAAATATGCAAGGGTGGTTGGTGGTAATGCCAGTGTTGTGGGGAAATAGCAAGGTTGGGAACGCTGTTCAGGTCGGCGCCGTCGAGGCGGGTTGAGCAAGGGCAAAGCGGGTGGCGTCGACTTCAGCGGGAGGATGCATGGGCACCGCCTGCTTCTCCGACCGAGCATCGGACCGCGCCGGCCACGGCAATCCACGACCAGACTCGCCCTAGGAGTAGAACTGCGACTTCTGGAAGCTCTCGGGCGTGACGTCGCCGACCTTGGTGGCGGGCAGGGGAGGAGGCGGGGCCTTGGAAGAGGCGTCGGGCAGGGCGCTCGGGGCGCTGACGGTGCTGGTCAGGGAGTTGGCGCGGCTGCTCTCGCTCGCGGCGGTGTCCTTGATGGCGGCGACGGGGGCGCCCGGCTTGCGCATGACCTCGAGGAAGGTCGCGGGCAGGTAGCCGATGCGGCCGTCGCGGGCGCGGCACTTCCACCACTCGCTCGGGTTGCCCATCGGGTCGCTCTTTCCCAGCACCGCCACCAGATCGCCCTTGTGCACCTCGAGGTCGACGCCCTGGACGACGGCCTGGCCCTGGGCCGCGGGGGAGAACTCGTACAGCACGCGGCAGAACTCGAGCTTGGACGGGTCGAGGCTCTGCTGCGCGGCCACGAGGTGGCGTCGGCGCTCGTCCTCCTCGGCGTTGGCGGCGAGCGAGCGGATGACCTTGCTCATGACGTAGGGCAGGCCGAAGGCAGCCAGCATGAAGAAGAACAGGGGCTTGCGGCTGGGCTTGGGCGGTCCACGGTCGGCTCCGGGGGTTGATCGCCCTTCGAATCGGGCAAACGAGGCGGGGGTGAGCGCCTGGGCATCCACCGGCGGGGGTCTTCCTGTCAGTTTGGCGATCAGGGTCCGGATCCAGCGCATCATGGTGAAGATGCCGAGGACAGAGCCGAGAGTGTCGCGGAGGTTGCCGAATTGCTCGGCGACGGAGACCATTGCTTGGGGGTTCGTCAGAAAAACAGCCCTTTATGGTTGTGTACTGACAAAAAGAAAGAGGGCGGCTTACCGAAGAAACTCGAATGCGTCGCCATGTATGTGCTCTCCAGCATCTGGGCGAACCCGCCAAAGGCGCCGACTACGCCCTCCAACATCTGGAAAGTGGCTTGCGTGCTCATGTTGAAGCGCTGAGTGAGGCTCTCCGGGTTGTTTGGGTCCCCGGGTACACCCCCGGGCATGCCCCCGTACATGCCACCGCCGTACATGCCGCCGGCGCCATAGCCGCCGAGTCCACCGCCGAGGCCACCACCGTACATGCCTCCCCCGTACATACTATTGCCATACATACCGCCGCCGTATCTAGAGTATGGTGAGCCGTAAGGCGACGAGTATGCCGAACCGTATGGGGAGGCGCCGTATGGAGATGCGCCGTAGGGGGGTCTGCTGTAGGCTGCGGCGTTCTGGTTCACAGCGGCGGTCAGGGTGGCGGGTCGCTCAGGTATCGCGGGTGATGCGGCGGAGGGAGTCGCGGCGGTTGCAGTTGCCGGTGCTGACATGGCGTTTGCGGGTGCGGTAGGCAGGGTTGGCGGTGTGGAAGATGGAAGCGGTGGTGCTGTTGCTTTCTATGGTTAGCGGGAATGTTTGCGATGCCCAACCCCAACCACAACAAAGACACAAACATACCAGAAGCGGCGGCGGTTGCGCCCGGTCTCTCCCACGGTTTTGGCGGCGATGCCATATTTCGATGTGAACTCCCTCGCGGCTTGTTGGACAGCGGGCTTTTGGGGGAGGCGCGTTGAGAATGGAACGTTCACTGCGATGACGCTGGCGGCGGCTGGGGAGAGGGTTTCCAGTGTCTCCAGGTGGCGACGCGAGCGGGCCGAAAAATGGGCTGGGGGAGACGCCCAAGACCAGGGGGTCCAGTCTCAGCAGCAGCAGATCGGGCGTCAAAAGAGCCGACAAAAATCTGCGCTAGAAGAGTGGTTGTCTTCACTCAAATTATTATTTTCTCTTCGAGGTCTCAATGCATTCGCGGTCGCAAGAGCCTCTCCGGCGTGTCGCACCGTGTGATGGATGGATGGGGAGGTTGATAATCGCAGCAGCTGATCGAGTGGAGTCAATCGGCCAAGGTTTGTGGAAGGGTCGGGCGACTCCTTCGGGTGGTGGAGACGGCTTGTGAACGTGCGAACCTCGGTATTTTGGCCACGACTTGCCGAGCGCTGGGAAACCCAGTCCAGCACAACAAAAGTGTGGGGGAAACCCCATGCTCAGGCAGTCTCAAATGTGGGCCTCAAACTCGCCTGAAGCTGAAGCCATTTCCACGCTGTATCACTGGGTGGCAGAAGACAAGTCGTTACAGTGACTCGACGATAAAAAATCACAATAATTGATCCAATCAGTTTTATTATCATGTTACTAGGTAGTTATATCCTTCACAGAAGCCTAAACTCCATGAATAATATACAGCGGCCACAATACTCGATCAGAGCTCGTCATGATAATCGCCGAACTCGTCGTTCTCGTCGTTTCCAGCGCTGCCCGTGTCGTCGGCGCCACCATATAACTTCCTAGTAATGGGATGCGCCACATCCGACAGCTTCTCTCTTTGCTCGGCGAAGTCGTCAGCGGTTGCCGTCGTCCCGTATTCGTTGATCCAGGCGGTCGCTTCTCTCACGGCGTCCCGGAGCTGTGAAGGTTGTAAGCGCCATGTTCAGTTCCCATGGTGATGGGAGAGTTCCAGCAGATCACAACTTACTGTTTCTTTCTCATCCTCATCAATCTTGCCTCCGAGCTCGTTATCGTCCTCAAGCTGGTTCTTCAAACTGAAAGCGTAGTTCTCGAGGCCGTTTCGCGCTTCGATACGCTCCCGAGCCTCCTTGTCCTCGTCGGCGAACTTGTCTGCTTCGGCAATCATGCGTGCGATTTCGTCCTTGGTTAAACGGCCGTCGTCATTGCTGATCGTGATTGTTTCCTTGCGCCCAGTACCCTTGTCCTGGGCTGAGACCTCGAGGATGCCATCGGCACTAACGGAAAACGAGACTTCAATTTGGGGGACACCGCGTGGTGCCGGCGGTATACCGGTGAGCTCGAACTTGCCGAGCAGGTTGTTGTCCTTTGTCATCGATCTCTCACCCTCGTAGACTCTGATCATAACCGAGGGTTGGTTGTCTGATGAACAGGTCAGCGCTAGTTAACCCCTAGAACAAGCAAAAAGACTTACCACCCGTGGTGGAAAAGATTTGGGATCGACGCTGGAAAGGGGCTACATCAGTACAATGCTTACACCACACACACAAAGTAAGGGATAGGGGTGGTTAACTAACTGTCGGGAGTTGGGTGTTGCGTTGAATCAGTTGTGTCTATACAGCGGTTAGTCTCAGCCGACTAGACCTCAGTCTTGTATTCCCCTGGAACCTACCATCACGCCTCCAGCCGTCTCGATTCCGAGGGTAAGCGGGTTCACGTCCATCAGTAAAACCTTCTCCATAAGCTACCGCCAGATGGTTAGCAAGAGTCAGGTCCGCCACAGCCTATGAGCAATCTCACCTTCACGCCTCCGAGGACCTATCCAACAAGACATCGTCAGCCTCAACTCGCGGATAATACACACCCCAGCAGGAGCAGCAGCAGAGTAACAACTCACCCCTCCCTGAACCGCCGCGCCAAACGCCACGGCCTCGTCAGGATTAACCCCCCCACTAGCCTTCCTCCCAAAGAACTCCTCCACCAGGCTCCGAATCTTGGGAATCCGCGTCGACCCGCCCACCAGCACAATATCCGTCACATCCGCCCTATCCGCCTTCGCGTCCCTCAGCACCTGCTTCACCGACTCCAGCGTCTTCTCGAACAGCCTCAAATTAATCTGCTCAAACTTGGCGCGCGTCAGCGTCTCGGCGAAATCCACCCCGCCAAAAAAACCCTCGATCTCGATGCGCGCCGAGAGCTGCGACGAGAGCGTGCGCTTGGCCTTCTCGACCTCGCGCCGCAGCCGGCCCATCGCGCGCGCGTCCCCCGTCGGGTCTGCTGCGTCGTCGTGCTTGCGCTGGAAGGCGCGCGCCAGGTGGCTGATGACGCGGTTGTCGAAGTCTTCGCCGCCGAGGCGCGTGTTGCCGGCTGTGGCGCGCACTTGGAAGTTGTCGTCCTCGACCGAGACGAGGGAGACGTCGAAGGTGCCGCCGCCGAGGTCGTAGACGAGGACTTGGTGCTCGCCTTCTTCCTGGAGGGGGGTTAGTTTTGGTTGCGTTGTTCGGGATTGTAAGGGGGGGGTGGTTGTACCTTGTTGATGCCATACGCGAGTGCTGCCGCGGTGGGCTCGTTCACGACGCGGATGACGTTGAGGCCCGCGATGGCTCCGGCGTCTTTGGTTGCTTGTCTTTGCTTGTCGTTGAAGTAGGCCGGGACCGTGACGACGGCATGTTTAACCCTGTCGATGGTGAGCATAACAGAACTTTGCCGGACAGACCGAGGTTGGGCCTTACTTCTGGCCTAGATAAGCTTCGGCAACATCCTTCATCTTCCCGAGCACCATGGCGCTAATCTCCTCTGGCGTAAACTGTCGAGCTTCTCCCCCTACGTTGACTTCGACAACCGGTTTATCCCCCGGGCCCGCAACAACCTTAAATGGCATGTGTTTTATGTCTGCTTGAAGTCCTTTATCCGAAAAGCTTCGTCCTATCAACCGTCTGAGAAGGGGCATCAGTCAGCACACGGCGTCCAGCCAGGGAAAGGAGGGGTATCTGACTTGATGTCGAATATTGTGTTCGTTGGATTATTCGCGTATTGGTTTTTCGCTGCGTCTCCTGAGGACGCGTACATCACATGTCAGTTACTGGCCACGGAATAATCGGAAGACAGAAGCATGGAAAGCCATACCAATAAGACGTTCCCCGTTCTCGGCGAACGCGACATAACTCGGTGTTATTCTGTTTCCTGTACCCAGTCAACTCTTGTTTGGGCCCAGAACCCCCAGCCCATCCATGCATACCTTGGTCGTTTACTAGTATGTCTACCCTGTCGCCCTTGATAACGCCGACACACGAGTATGTTGTCCCGAGGTCAATGCCAATGATGGGTTCTCCTGGTTCGACGGTGGTCTTGGTGGCGCTGGCAACTGGGAGGATAGCGAGAGGGCAGATAAGGATAAGGAAGAATAAGAGAATGCCAACCCCTAAGGGTATCTGCCGTCTGTTTGATGTGATTTTCCTCGCCATAATATTCGTGTAAGGTTGTTGCGTCGGGTTGCTGTGCTCCGTCGGGCGGGTGTAAGTGGGAATGGGTTCGGGGGTCAAGTAAACAATGGACAACACTAACTCGTCTTGTTTGATGAGAGCTGAAACTGGAAACTGGAAGTACAGTGTGTTCTATTCTATATAGAAGAATCGAGCTCGAAATGCACCTACATAACAGGGTGTCCAGAAGGCACAGGCCGAAGCCCCCAGGAGCAGTCTATCCTTCTGAGCACTGCTGGAACACACTGGACTTGAAGAGAAAGGACACATTTCACTGACCGTATCTACAACCAGCCTTTGTCCAACACTGAAACTAGAATTGTTTAGCGTGCGTGCGCCCGCCCCCAATAATTGTATTTTTACCTGTCACTTGCTGGTCTGCTTGATCCTGACCTGTCCCAAAAGGACTTGACGCCGCATGCGGCCCCAGGCGCCCAATCTGACAGCGGCAAAGTCTTTGTCCGGCCTTTTGGGCGCATCATGTCGATGGATATGGGGTCCCCAAGTATTTGTCCCATTCTATTGTCCTCGTCAAGTTACTAGGTACTGGCCTAGAGACTGTACATACAGCATCCCATCCCGAGATCCTACCGACTGCCCTTTCCGTTGGGCTGTTTACTTGTTTACAACCCAACAACGTGTTGGTATTGACTATGCCCATTTCAAGTTCTTGTTGTGATATGATATCACACTGCTCAAAGTAATTGCTCCCTTCTGCATCACGCTGCGGGGGGGGTGGTTGAGGAATGTGCCGAGCCCGAGATTTGAACAACACACCAAGCTACAACGCCCATGGCGATGACTCGATCTGAGCGAAATAGTGGAAAGATACGCCCGTCAATGGATGACTCAAGATCTATAGCACAGTCCAATCCAACAAACCCCCCAATCCAAGATCGCCCAGAACACCAACCCTCCAAAGTTACCATGTCACGAATCAGACAGGTCTTTGAAAGACAGAGTGTCTTCATCGTGCCCGCTCCCTCTCCAATCTCCTTTTCATCTCCAAAACACCCACAGGCTATCAAACACAAGACCGATGATGAAACCAATGACTGTTTTCGCCGTTGTCGTGACTCATGACCATCCCGCAACGTGTTCTTTCAAACCGCATCCTTCGCCTGGCAAAAGAACAACAAACCCCCAAAAGGGGAGGAAACATCAGATGAGGTAAGCCAGCCAGCCTCAGGGGGCCGCCAACCACGCCGCTGACCAACAAACCAGTCCCGACCTGGAATGCGAGCGAGGTGTCACACAACAAGGCGGCTGTAGCGAGCGCCCCTAATCCTTCGCGGTAGGTCCCACCACGCCGCCACACCGAGCATGAAATGAAATGCCTGACTCAACAACCTCTTCACACAATCGATGCCAAGACAGGCCATGGACGAGTATTAAGGATTAATATTCTATGCTTCTTCCTCTGGGCCGGTTGGCCAATCCAGATCCGACCAGTTTGCTTGTCCCCCGGTCCGGTCATGTCCAGCATATCTACATATAGCCAACGCCGAAATCATCATCAGCCCCTTTCTTAACTTGACCCCTCCCTTTCCATGTATTCCCGTGACATTACTTCGACTCCCTCAACCCCCAACCTTACTCCTTATCCCTCCTCTCCCAGTGAATGTTCGCCGGCTCGAGCGGGCGCGAGAAGAGCGAAGCATAATCGGTGCCGATGACCTTGTTGCTGCCATCAACATTGCGGAACTTGAAGAGGCGCACCGTCATGGCGACGATGGTCTGCAGCTGGACGTTGGCAAAGTTCTCGCCGATGCAGCGGTGGCGGCCGGCGCCGAAGGGCAGGTAGGGGGAGGCGGCGCCCTTGCTGACCAGGCCGTAGCCGTAGTCGACCTTGTCGTCGTCGGCCTCCTCCGGCTCGTCGTTGCGCACGATGCTGGGCGCCAGCGGCGACTCCTTCTCCCACCGGTGCGGCTCCCAGAGGTCCGGCTGCGGGAAGTACTGCGAGTCCGCCGCCGAGACGCCCGGCGCCGCGAGGAGGACGTGGCTGGTCGGGATGACGTACTTGGTGTTGGGGACCGGCATCGGCTGCTTGACGGCGCGCATGATGGAGTGGATCGGGGCGTTCAGGCGGAGGGTCTCCTTGATGACGGCCTGGTTGAGCGGAAGCTTGGCCAGGTCCTCGTACTTGAGGGGGGGGAGGTCAGCGCCGAGGTTCTTGATCTGCTCCTGGTAGAGGTCCTCCATAATGTCGGGGCGGGCAGCGAGGTAGAGCATGATCCAGGAGCTGGTGGACGACGAAGAGTGCTGGCCGGCCATCAGGAGCGCGATCATCATGTGGGCGATCTCGTGGTCGGGGACCTTGACGCCGTTCTTGTAGGTCGAGTTCATCAGGTGGTACATGATATCCTGCGCGTCCGTCTCTCCTTGCTCGCGGCGCGACTTGATGGTGTCCATGTAGATCTTGGCGACGGTCCTCTGCGCGTGGTCGCGGCGGTTGTTCCACGGGAGCGGAGCCCAGTGCAGCATGAAGTTGATGGGGGAGAAGCCCATGTCGAGGTCGTGGTAGAGGTCGGCCAGGGTCACGTCGAACTTGTCGCGGATTTCCTTGCCCTGCAGCGCGTGAGAGGCGGTGAAGATGGTGATCTGGGCCATCTTGGGGCAGATGTTGACGACACCAGACTGGCCCTTGAAGTCGGCGGTCCGCTTGAAGTAGTTGGTGACCTCGTCCGAGATGATGGGGACATAGGAGCGGAAAGCCTCGGTAGTGAGGGCAACCTTCATGAACTGCCATGCCATCAGAGTCAGCGCCCCGATCCGCTAGTTTTTCCCGTGTCTAGCCAACCAACCTTCTTTTGCTCCATGAGCTTCGAGTTCGGGCAGTCATAGACGACATCCTTGCCGAAGACGGGGGTGGTGAGCACCGTGTAGATTTCTTCGGCGCAAACGTCGCGGATCTTGCCGTTCAGGATGAACTCGTTGCCCTTGGGTCCGACGTAGACGGTCGTCTTCTTGCCGAGCAGAATAAAGGTGAAGCATTCGCCGTACTATCAAAAACAAAGTGTCAGAGGTGATCGGCCAATCGGCGGGAGAGGAGAGGTCTGCTCTGTCGCGTTGTGCTCACCTTTTCCCTGTTCTCCTGGAAGAAGCGCGGAGGGTCCATGCCGTAGGTGATGGTGCTGCCCACGAAGGGGAACCAGTGAAAGACGAGGGGAGGTTCATTGGGGTTCTTGATGAGCACCTGCTTGAGCACGTTCAAGAAGATGCTCAGAAACAGGAAGCCTCCGATCGCGACACCGATTTGCGAGGCCAGTCCGAGACGCGCGAAGCCCTCGGCCAGCGGGCCTCCAAGGTCCTGGATGAGACCCATTCTGCGCGGGAGCAGAGGATTGCGAGAAGGAAGAAAAAAGGCGTCGTGGGGTAACGAGAGCCAAGTCACCGTCGAGTCGTGGATTGAAGCTCGGGATCTTGTCGTCCTGCAAAAAATGGTCTCCAAACTGGCGGGAGGGAGGACGTATTTAACGTTGTAGAAACCGTCTCGACTTTTTTCGCCAACAATGGTTCCAGGGGAGCGGGAGCCATTGGCGAGCGATGCATTTGATGATCCTCAGATTCGCAGCCAATGAGAGGCGGCATTCGTATTCGCATTCATCCGAAGTACCTTTGTACCTTTGGCCCGATCATGCCACGGCGAGCACTATCGTACGCAGCCAATGCTTGACAGCCCATTCTCGGACTTTGAGTCTAGAACGACGCGCGGACGTCTCCTTAGGCAACTAATTCAAGTTTTCCAACCGACACCTAACTGTGGAGAGCTGTGAAGCTTCCGAATACGATCAGAAAGAGCGCGCAGCTGTTGTTCGGCAGGCGCGACGCAGGTCCTCACGTGCGTGCAGAAGTGGATCAGATGAATCTGAGCCAAAAACCCCTGCCAAGGCCCGACGACTTCAGTGACAGACGGTGTACCCTAACCCTTGACGGCTTCCACGATTGCCCCTTTCGAGGCATTGTCTGTAAACACGAACCCTCCTCCAGCCCTTTGTTTGTGAGTTATTAACGTGTACCACCTCATAGAATGTTACGCGGAATTTTGTTCACTTTGCTTCGGGTTACCATGCCAATCTATCTCCATTTTATCTCTTGCGAGAGCGAGTGTGTCGTAGCGACGAGTATCATACATATAGCAACTCGGCCGAGTAGTTATTAGAAAATCTCAAGAAAACGATGCGTTGTGGTATCATGCTCCCCAGGTAAAACACCCCTCCCCAACTTCACTCGAAGGCCCCCCGCCACCCATGGTAAATAACGCCAGTAAACGCCCTTCTAAATGCCGAGGAAAAAGACAGGAAAGAAAAAACGCTGCTATGCACCAGCACCCCACGAGGTCGAGGTTGTTCACCACTCCAGCCCCAGCCACCCGTACCCGCCATCGATGTTGACCCAGTTGCCCTCGTCCATGGCACGCTCCCACCCCATCATGACGGCGAGCAGCCGACACCCGACCGCGCTGACCGTGCACACGACCACGTCGCTCGCGTCCGCCAGGACCGTCAGGTCCATCACGTACGCACGACCCACCAGGCTCCTAAGCCGGAGGGTTTCCGCGGATGGTGCGGCATAATTCCCGCTGCCGGGGCTGGCGTCCGGTGCTGCTGTGGCATGGGCGGATGTCACGCCGAGGTTCCAGAACATGGCGGCAAAAAACCCGCCCTCCCAGCCGAATGTCTCGTCCACGAACTTGCGCATGACTGACTTGTCCTGGTTGGTATTCTGGATATTTTGCTTGCTGGCCAGCTTGATGCGCTCCTGGGCGCGATTGGCTGCGCCAGCGAGCTCGGCGCTCTCGTAGACCATGGGGTCGTCCGACGCGAGCACGACGATACTCTGCTCTTTGGCGGCGGCGGCTTCTTCGCCGCTGTGGCTGCTGGCAAAGAGGCCGGTGGTGGTGTGGTTGAATTGGGACTCGATGATCTCGTACGCGGTATCGGTGTAGAGGCTCAGTGGCATGTAGGAGTGGCGGTACTGGAACTCGAGCGGGTGTCGGTCGCCGCGGCGGATGTGTACCCCGACAGCGAGGCCGTTACGATGACCTTTGGACTTGGGCACCGTCCTCATGTCCGTCAGCTCGCGGACACGTGTGTCGACATAATCGCCGTCATCCTTGTTCATCCGGGCCAGCGCTTCATAGCCCCGGCGGGCAAGGTTGAATTGTGTCTTCCGCAGGGCTCGATCGTGTGATTCGGACGGGGGATCGGCGCTCTCGGTCAAGCTTCCAAACAGCACATCCATCGTTGCAGCCGATGCCACGAGGTGCCGGGTGTGCCGTGGGCAGGGGAGAATCTCGTGGCTGGGCGGTGCTGAGCACTCCGGGATTGGTGGGGGTTGGAAGAGGGCCGTGAACTTTCCGTATGACCATCGGGTGTCGTCAATGAAAAAAGCACGTCCCTCCTTTTCGGCCAAACCGTACGCGATCCAGAGCATCATCAACGTCTTGCCCAAGCCGGCATCGCTTGACTCAAGGACGAACGTCAGGCTCTTTTTGCACGCCATTTTCCCCGTCTCGCTCCCTCTCGCAACCCCCCCATCATATTTCTCCACGCCGGCAAAATACCCAGCCTTTTCGGCTTCTTTCACATCAATGAAGTCATCTGCCGAGTCGGAGCCGAACCCCAAGGACACTTGATGCAGTCCGTGCCCGTGAGACCGCAGATGGCGAGCCCGCTCCGCTACCTGCCGGCACTTCAGGCACATATCCACGTACTGGCTCATCGCCAGGGGGAACTCGGACCCTGGTGGTATCGATACGGTCCACTTCGCCCGTCCCCGATCATCAGTCACGACAATCGGAGTCGGAAAATCTGGCACCGCCTTCTGTGAAACCATCCCTGTCTCAGGCTCGGGTTCTTGGATCACAGATTTTGTGGTGTTTGTCGGTGTCGGCGTTGACTCGCCAAAGAACCAGGTTAGAACCTCTAGGGCCACAAAGAAGACAAGGACGACGCTCAGCAGCCGGATAGCGTAACGGATAACCCTGAGCGGACGGACGGTGCTAAACAATCGTCGGCTCGGCTTCTTCGCCGGAGGTGAGAGCGAAGGAAGACCCGGTGATGGGGGTGGGGAAAAGACCAGGTGGTTGAAAGTAAAGCGCGATGATGTGGAAGAAAGCGGCCCCCGGTCATGTTGGTAAGAAGCTGCTCGGCGGAGATTGATGCGAGGCGGTGCGATAACAACTTTGGCGTGTGACGTCCTGCTGAGGTCAAGCGTCGGTGGCATGTCGAAAAGAAATGATACCGATATCTACGGCATCCAAGAACTCGAGAAGTAGAATAAAATAAGGAAAGACCCTGATCAGGGGAAAGGAGCGTAAGAGCCGGGCTCGCAGAGCGTGCGGCGGCTCGTCAGTGGCCCAACGCCGCGTTCGTCGTGTTAGGCCAGAGGAGGAACGACCGACGGCGTAACAGTTTGGCGCTGTGGTGTTGATGACCGTATATGCTGCTGGAACAAAGCCTCGCTTAAGGAGTGCTTATCCGGTGAAAAAGGAAGAGCTGAGAGGTCCCCGAGAAAGAAGCCATGCTCCGATCCCTTGTCCCGATGGCCGTCAACCGCAACCCCCAGTCACAAATCCGAGACCAGTGACGTCGTGGGGGTCTCTTTAGTGGTTTTCAAGGCTGATGGCGCGTGCAACGGAACCCCTCAAAGTCGAGTCGCACAATGCGACCAGGCTGTGGCAGCTTCTTATACCGTCTGACCAGCGCGCCGATCCGAGCGGTGAGGCCGGAGCGTGAGCTGCAAGGTCCAGCACAAGATCTGCGCAAAGGACAATTTTCCTCCCCAGGACTCCTCCGACGGGTTAGGCGGCGGCCCACGGTTGGGTATGTTGTGGGGTCGCCAGCCTGTCTGCGAGCCGCCGGGGGGTTGTGCAGGGGACACCGGCAATGACGTTGATGGCGCAACGCTTCTTGTCTCAAAGCTGCTCAGCCGGATGAATTCACGCCGTTGGAGAGGTCAGGGGTCTGTCTTTGGATCTGTTTATTAACTCGTGGTCGGAAAAGGCCGAAAAAAGGAGGGTAAAGAGAGAAAGAGGGAAGGAAAAAAGAGAGACCGGATCGAGACGGATGAAGCATACTTTCTCAAGCTCTCTCGGCCGCACAGCAGTTGCTCGGTGGCTTTCCGCCGACCAGGGAGAAGCTATGGAATGGCAACAGTGGATGGTCGGGTGAAGGGCCGGGGGGGGGCAAACGGGGCCCTCTGCCTCTCACATCTCACGGAAGAGGGTCGAGGATGAGGAATGTGCGACCTCAGTCAGGCCGTGACCGCTTGAACCCACAGGCAGAAGAGGAATCCAATAATAATGCCGAGGACAAGTCAACTCACCTCTCAGGGACCAACGAGACGGTGCCATTGAGGCATCGTCACGGAAGGAAACTGCAGGAGGAATGAGAAAGATCGCCGAAGCCCTGTCGAGTGTCGATCCGATGCGACTCTTGCTCAGGGGCTGCACGGGAACCGACCCAGGACTGCAGGGTCAAACCCCCCAATGGCCCACCATTCCGGTTCCATCTCGCCGTTTGCGATGATGACGAGGGACGATGAGGAAACAGGGCAGTTGGTCACCTGCTCGGCGAGTTCAATTCCGCTGTCGGTGACGTTATTCGTATTCTGGAAAACCCCAACAGAAAGGATCCAAACAAACACCATCCCCACAACTTGGGTAAGTTTGCGCTGTCAAACTGCGGGGGACCTTCCCGGTTTGTTCACCCGCAGACTGCTGCTCTACCGGGAAACCATGAAAAAAACGCCTCAACCGGGCGGCAAGAGACGCGTTTCTTTTGGAATTCGCTCCTGGAAGAAGGTGCCCCTCAGTGACCCTCGACCGAGAAAGGCAAGAGGGCGGGACGGAAAGCCGATCACATTTTCAATCCCTGTCAATTCTGAAACGCCCCAAGCTGGGGTAGGGGTCCTATCAAGGCGAGCAAAAGCCGCCACTTTATCCAACAGGCCGGTCACATCCCGCATGCCGCATCAAGCATGGCTTTTGGTCGCAGAATGCCATCCGAGTTTTCGCTTGTTGTGGACACGAAGAATCCCACGGGGCAAGAACCAGCTACATAGTACAGACAAAGTAGTCGAGACGAAAAACCTGCCGGGCCGAAGCCGGAATAAGGAGATTGCAATTACCGGGAACTGAACTGAAGAATTAGCCTTGATCTCTTTCGATTGAGATGCTCTCATTCCAGCGAAGCCATCATTTCTGATCTCCTCTTCCCCTGGCTCTCTCTCGAGGGAGAGGGCCGAGCACGAGCCATCTGCTGACGCACCGTGGCACCGCAAACGCGGTGTTGCATTGACCAGCACCAGATTGGTAAAAATAACTTATCACAGAGGAATAACTTGGTACGATGTTGTCTATAAATTGATACACTGTTCGGATGGGTACTTTTTGGAAGCCCTTTCTTTAGCTCTACCGTGACGGGACCCGGAAAACGGAACTGTGAAGCACGCCAGTCAAACGGGCATGTGGATTTTTAGAGCCAAGAAGACGGCAAAGGGCTTGACCGGGTGTCCGTAGATTGACAGCTAGGTCGTTCGTTCTCGGCTTCGACGCCCTTTCATTCCCGGACTCGGCCAACTGCTGATAAACCGGGGCCGCTTTCCGGCGGAAGTGGGGCCGTACCGGACCCGGACTCGGGTGTCCAGGTTAGATGGTCCGTTGGGGAATGTTAAATTGGATCCGTGCAAGATCCCGTCCCGCATCTCTGGCGGGCTATTCTTGGGGATATAGTTGACATAAGTATATGCATACCATAAAAATGTTTATAAGTCCTCACATCACCACAAATAGCCACCCCCTCGCCGTCCGGTCACAGCAAAGATACGCGCTGAGAGCTGTTATCGCCAATAGGTAGTTTTAGTACGCGCCATCACACCAGAATATCTACATCCGCTTCTCGACGTCATCAAATAGACTCACCAGCCAATAATCAAAACTACCTACCCGTTTGTTTCGCAGAAGCCCAGCCCCAAACACGCACAGCATGAACGCCAATCTCACGAATCAATAAATGTCATGCATCCTCCCGGGATCTTCCCGTCCCGCTATGTCACCAACCTCAGCTCTGTGCCCTTTACAGGACACGGCAGAAATGCAGAAATAGCGACCCGAGTCAGCTGCAATCCTTCAGCCCATGGTCTACAAACCGCTGGCTCGGCCGTCTATTGGTGGGAGGTCGGATAGAAGAAGGCACAGATATTGGAGAGTTTCCAATAGTTCTCCGCTGTGCTCCGCTACGTGACACCATACAAGTAGCGAACGACCGTTTGCTCTTGACTCGTGCTTTCATGCCCACAGCCCCCCCACCACGTCTTGATATGTTCGAGAACCCCTTCTCTAAACTTTTCTCGCGTCTGTGCAAGAAGGCCCATCAAGCTCACAACGACAAACACTCACACATCAACAACAGAAGCAGTGTTCAGCACAAGACCAAGAATCTATTCTTCTCGCTTGCTACGCAACGCAACCTATCAACCAAGGCCACCCTTTCCTCATCCACTCATGGTCATGGTCATTCCGTTCCATCACCAACCATCCATTGCCTCCCTTTCGGCCTTCCCCAGCAGCCGCTCCATTTTCACACATTACTGATATACAAGTGAGTACACTGCCTGGTGACAAACCCTCAGCGAAAATATAGATACGCAGAAGGGCGTCCGGTCCCGAGACTTTTCCGGCAGAAGAAACGGCTTCTGAATATGATAGCAGAAGTAAAAAAAGATGGATCCGCACCCAAGGTGGATAGGAAGAGTAAAAAAAAAAAGTGAGAAAAGAAAAAGTCGGGTATATAAAACAAGGTGAAAGACGACAACCGATCGGCCCAAACAAGAGACACAGAAAAAGACAAATGAAGATAAGTGGTTTCCCGCCAACCCCCGACCCCCCACAACTCCATTTCACGAACGGACAGCACCCGTTAACCGACCTAGAGAATAGATAGAACCCGGCCCCTAAACTTGGTTTTGGGGAAAACAGGACGCAAACAAATCAAAAAGGAACAAGAGAATAATAAAATATTGTTGGTTCACACCTCAAACCTCCATTCAAACCTCCATCGCTACCGGCTTTTGCGGCTCTGCCGCAAACGACGCCCGCTGCCTCGACAGAAGCTGCAGCTGGATGGGCGGGCCAGCCGGCGGCGGCGGCGGCGAGGCAGGCGGGGGACCGACAGGCGGCGGCAGAGGCATGGAAGGCGGGAACGAGGGCGGGGGCGAAGCCGGGAGAGCAGTCGGGAGAGAAGTCGGGAGCGAAGCGGGGATAGCAGGCGGTGCCTCGGCACTCCGTACGGGGCGCTCGTCGGCCGCGACCTTGACGCTGCCGCGCACGCTGCGGACGAGGTGGCCGCTCTCGACGCGGTCCTGGATCATCTCGTCGAGCATCTTGCTCATCTCGTCGACGCTCTTGGTGCGCTTGCGGAGGGTCGACACCTGCCGCAGCAGGGACGGCGCCGCGGGCGGGCTGCCGATGGGCGCCGGGCCGGGGTTGCTGTCGAGGATCTGCGACGTGCGGACCTCGGACCGCGACTCGACGCGCGACTCGACACGGGACTCGACACGCGACTCGACACGATCGGCGTTGTCGCGGGATCGCGCGGCCGTTCGCAGCGCGGCGAGCATCCGGTCCTTGTCATCGAGGCGGGCACGGAGCTCGGCGATCTCGGTGTCTTTCTCCTTGATGAGGGTCGCGACGCTGTGGTCTTCACCAACCATGATCCCCTTTCCTGTCGAGAGACCGACCGAAGTCCGCGACGAGCTCGCGCGGCGAGCTTGAAGGAGCCGCTTTTCCAGTGTCTGGATGTATCGGTTCTTATCGGCCAGGTCCGCCTGGAGCGCACGGTTCTGCGATGTGAGCGATGCCGTCCCGTCCCCAAACTCGCCCAAGCCATCGTCGTCCTCCGCCACGGGTGGTTCCGCACAGCCGGACGAGCGTTGGCTGGCCGATTTCCGTCCGATCGTCGAGCCACTTGAAGTCATGGACTCTGTCCGCTCGAGCCCGAACTTGGTTCCATTGGAGGTAGCCATCGAAGAGCGGATCGACCCTTGCGAGTAGCGGGGGTGTATGCCAAGGGCGCTGAAGGACCCGCTCGCGTTGACGCCGATCGATTTGGAGCTGAGGATGAGCCTGTTGAGGTGGTCTATCCTCTCTTTCAGCGCAGTCCTAGCCAGTTGCATTTCCAGCATCTGCTCCTCGTGGCGAAGTTCGGCCTCCTTTTCTCGAGCCCGCTCTTCTTCGGCATCGCGCTCCGCCTCCTCGTCCTGGTCCTTCTTGTTGTTGGTTTTCGCTTGGGTGTCGAGTTCCTTCCTCAGCTCCGTGATCTCCATGCGGTAGCGTTCTAGCAGAACTCTAGCATTGCCATCACCGCCAACGCCTAGGGCTTCCTCGGCGCGCTTGGCATGGCTGACGATGCTGTTCTTGGCCCGGGAAGCAAACTTGAGCGTGTTGAGGGTTTCGTTTATGTTTGTTGTGGACGCAGCGGTGCCTCCGCCTGGGCCAACTGCGATGGTGCACAGAATGCTAACGAGCGAATTACCCGACAGGGCTCCTTGCAACAACCGGGTAAGCTTGCTGTCACGGTAAGGCAAGTGCTTGCCGTCCTTGTCCGCGGGCTTCCCATCCTTGTCCTTATGCTCCGAGAGCTTCGCGATGACGGTGCCGAGGGTGAGCAAGCTCTTGTTGATGTGGGAGCCTTCCTGGCGGCGCTCCTTCGACTCGGCCGCCTTTTCGGAACCGGCCAAGTCGATCAGACTCAGTGTTGAGACACGAACACCACCCGGCAAGAGACCCTGCCGCTTATTGTCTCCGGGACCAGCGGGGACCCGTTCCCTGCTTTCCACGACAATTTGCACAACAGCATGACTTCGGGAACTCCTGGAGTTGAACTGGGTGCTCGCCGTCCGGCGAGCTTGGTCGCCACGGGCAATTACACGAAGAAGCTGTGTCGGGCTTTGGACGATTTCCTCCTTGAGAGGACTCGCATATACTCCCCTTTTGGAATCCTCCCGGAGCTTGATCTCTTCCTGTTGCTGGTTTGCGCCATTACCCGTTGCCATGCTCAACAGATCCTGGATCTTCTCGTTGTAGATTTCCAAGTAGCTGACCCGCAGTAGGAACTCTCTGGACGGCGTCTCGCGGATGTAGGAGAAGATATCGGTAATCGCAAGCGGTATCACACCGGGAGAGGATGCTGTGCCTTGCATCGAGAACGTCTTGCCGGTGCCAGTCATACCGTAGGCAAAAACGGTGCCGTGGTAACCCTCCATAACCCTCCGGACCAATCGTTTGGCGATATGGTCGTAGACCCTGGAGTTGTCATCCTGGGTCGCGAAGACATTATCTACAACGAACGAGTTAGTGTCGGGCTTCGAGCATTATGTTCACAAGGTCCATACCGTAAAGGTAGTCTCCTCCTTCTTTCCCCTTATACGCAATCAACGATTTCTTTCCGTCGACATTCCACTCCGCATTCGGCTGGTTGTCATTCCCGCCGGCATCTGGTCGCACTCTGACGCTGACAAGTACGTTCCCTTTGCCGTCCGTTTTTGATATGCGCTTTCCACCCAGCGCGGTATCGGACTTGAACGGCGTCGAGTCATTGACATCGTCGTATTGGGTTGCCGAGGTAGAGTAGGAGTCCTGGGCGGAGGAGCTGCGACTCTGAGGCGGAGACGCCACGCTGATAAGGCCATCTGAATTTCTCGTCGCGGCTTGTCGCGAGATCGACTTGCCATCGCCAGTGCCGTTAAGAAAGCTCGGCGTCCCGTTCGATAATTGATAGGTTGGCGTCGTGGGTGTTCGGGGTTTCCGCGAAGGGACACTGGTGGACAGCGGGCTGGGCGGGAGACTGGATATTCGACCATCTCCCCGTGGTGGTTGTGGGAAGGAATTTATGCTGACCGTTTTCCTTATTGACCTGCCGGCGGCATTGATACCCGACACTGATCTAGGCTGGGGGGTAGATCCCGCAGCGACGGGTGATGCTGGGGGGAGGAGGCTGGCCGATGGCGCTCGAAGGCCAGTTTTGGGGGTCGGTGGTGTAGATTTGTTGAAAGGAGCTGCAAGATTTCCTGTGCTTTTCCTTGTCTTGCTCATGGGCAACGCTGGGAGCGCTATCGTTGGCGGGCCGTTCGAAGGCCGAGCCGGCCTCGGAAGGGCGGTGGACATTATGGCGACGAGTTCAACGGCTTCTGGTCTCCTTCCAGAGTGCGGAGAAAGGTCCGGCGAATTCTGGCTGCACTACAACGGAGGAATTAGCGTAGCGGAGCCCGTTGACATCGCATTCGCTCCGCTAGTGGGTTGTGCTCGATAGCGACTTGCTTCCTGCTGTCGAGATCGAGGCTAGAATTCGTCCGAACACGGGTCTCGGCGAACGATGAAGATCGTGTTAGACGACCTAGGCCTATGATTGCTGGTCAGTGGCAGGTCGAAGCGAGCTGCACGCTACACCAGACATACCAATTCCCGAATTCCTGTCCGTTCCGTTCTCTGTTTGGGCGAGTGTGCGAAACAGAACAGAAACTGTCCGATTGGGCTGTTGCTATTGGAGCCTGACCCGAGCTCGGCGGAATGGCAAGGCGCGACCAAGATGCGCGACCGTTTGGTGACCCAAATACCAAAATAACGACCGTGTGGTCTAGAAGCCGTGAAACGGAAGGTACTGCAAGTCGTACTTTGCTCGTGGCGTTGCGTCACGATAATGGGCTGCAGTATGCCGCTACTATATCGGAAGATTCCCAGAGGCGGTGCTTCGAGGGCACAGACAGCTGGTAGGTGTGGATCGGAGGCGGTCGGAGTGCTGAACGAGTGGGGGGGGATACGGCCCGTTTTGTTCGTCCCTTGCCGTGTGGAAACCCCAGGATGAAGCTTCAACCCCTTGATAACAACAAGCTGCGCGCCAAACTGCGCCCGAGGTGAGCCCGAGCGAAGGGTAAGGTGAATAAGGGAAGGGATCCAAAAAAGATCGGACGAGCGAGCGTTCGAGAGTGGCGGGGAAACAATGGGTGCTCGAGCCAACACAAGGTCCGGCCCTGGCGTCAAGATCTCAAGTCTCAGACAGTCGATCGCAGGGACACCGCTCAACAAAAAAAAAAAAAATAGGGTCGGTCAAACACTAGAATCGGAAACGAGCGGACGGCCGGGCTGCAAGGCACTGCTGCTGTGCGGCGATGCGGGAGACGAAATCGGCGGATTGCTGTGGAAGGCGACTGGGCGGCCGGGAACGAGGGCGAGATGTAAGAGACCGGATAGATAGCCAAGGGAGTGTGGTGAGTCGCTAAGGGTCAGAGACTCGGGGCGGCCGCTGCTTTGCCCACAGTTGTAAGCGAGAGTCGCAACTCGGTGGTGTTGTCTTCCCTCGGTCGGAAATGCCCTCTCACCACCTCGCGGTTGCTCAGAGACGACGGTGGTCTTCGAAGAGGAGAAGCGTGTGGGCAGATCTTTCCTTTTCCTCGTCCCGTGGGATCTCCTCGTCTCTTTGGGAGACGCTTCTTGTGGCGCCCCTTGTTTTCCTCCAAAATCCCCTGTCCATAGCACTCTGGTCCCCGGTCCAACCGAGCCGGGCAATTGGCCCTCTTTTCTCGACGAGCAATTTCGACGGACCATCATCGGGCCCCTGCTGATCCCCTGTCAGTGCAACCCCCGGGCGGCTTAAGCAGTTTCTGGACTGGCTTCCTTGGCAGCGTGGACGAACCAGGGCTCCAGCAAGCAATTTTGGGTTTTGCGGCGGGCTTGCGAGACAGCACAGGGTCCCCCACGCGAAGGTCAGGTCCCGACAGAGGTACTGCGCACCTCGACAATTTTTAGTAGTCCTCAGTCCTAGAGCTTTATGAGGGATGATTTGAATATAGACTACCTCGAGCTAGTATAGAATTACTTACTTGTCTCGCTACCCAAGATGCCTTTTACGAACCTTGTCAACAAAATTAATTACGTGGGGTCACAGCGAGGAATGGGAAGACGGCACCAGAACGGTGCATCCTCCCGGCAATGGTTGGCAACCTGCCGAATCTCCACGACCAGGGCTTGCAGCTCGACACCAACCAGGCACGCAGGCGGCGCAGAGGGATCAACTTCGCGCCCCATCACATCACATCTCAAGCGTTGCATTGGTTCCAATTTTCCAGCATCCCGGGGGACGGAGTGTGGGGTGCTGAAGAAGCGGTGCTTTTGCTCTCTGTCGCGCACGTCGCGCTTGGCGGACGCGCGAGTCTCCCCGCGTTGGGTTCCTTGCGCCATTTGACAAAGGTGGACTGCTTGCCCGTTTGGCCTGGTGGCGGCGGCCCTGTGAGAGCATGCCACTCCACCGGATCGGGAGCGGTGCCGGCCTGAAAGCCGGCCCTAAAGACTCCGGAGTCCACAGGCTGCTAGGGAAACCGATCCGGGGAAGTCGCCCAATTCGACGTGAGATCGACATCACACAACATCGACAGAATGCGGGCTCTGTCATGTGGCCGCCACGCCGTCCAACAGTCGGAACCGAGGCTGGATTACCGGGCGGAAAGAGACATGAGAGGGAAACCGGGTGCCGGCTTTGAGGAAAGGAAGGAACCAGCATCGTCGGCAGCTGCAATGACCGTGCGCATTCTCGACAAGGAAAGGGCCTTGCACGGCGTGACGGCAACAATGCAGCCAATGCAGCCGATGCAGGGCAACCTTCCGTGCAGCGTTGCTTTCCGTTGCTTTCCGTCACGCACAGCTGAGAATCTGAAATGCAACCTGCAGTGGCAATCGAGAGGCATGCAATCTGTACTTCATACAAAGTAGGTACACAGTACTTTATCCAAAGGTGTGTTGCTGCGTTGCTTGATTTGTTGTAAACAGACGAACAATCCGGAACTCGGGATTTCCTCATCAATTGACAGGCTCCCAACCTGGAATGGGACTCGACCCCTGAACACCTGCAGCAGTCGCCGGCTTTCGTCCCTCGATGATCGACGCCAATGCAACCTCTGCCATCACATCCCTAAAATAAACTCGAGTCTCCCATGAAGTACGAAGTACCAAGTATCCCCTCGGCTTCGGATTCAGCCGTCGACTGACAGATAACTATCGAGCAAACACCGGAAAGTCACTGGCAGCTGGCTCTCGGGCCCCGTTTCGCCAGGATGAACTATTACAATCAGCCTCTATTGAAACACTTAACCCTTGCGGGAGAGATGGGGTTTGGGGACGGCTGAACCAAGTACAGACATCCAGTCGCCCAGATAGAAGAAGAGACGTCAATTGTCAACCTTATCTCCTGCATGCAAGCGATAGCGCCAGGTTGATTGCGACAAATAATCTACTTTGGCTAAGTATGAAAGCAGGCTGGCAGAGTCATCGCTCGTTCTCATCCAGACTGGGGGACGAGCGGTAGTTGGGTTCCCGGGAGCACCCGCCGTTTCAACTGATCCAACGCCTGGCAGATGATTTCCAAAACATTCCTGGCTTTTTACCAACCAAGCTCAAAGCTCCGGGTTGTCCAGCTTAGGTTCGGGAGATTGGTAGTTACTAAACAACTATCCAGCGCCGAAACTTCAAGTCCAATGCTCGGTCTAGACCCAAAGACATGAAAAACCAACCCAGCTTCTATGGGTGGATTTACAATCGATCCTACCTCTGAGTATTTGGGTGTTGTCTTGATATCTTGGTCTATCTCTTGATTCAATATTTTCCCTGTCGTCCTCGCATCCTCTCCTATTAGTTGGTGGCTAATGGGAGGGCCTCTATTCGTTGGATTATACTCAAACAAGACTCCAAGCGCTACGACAACCCAGTGCTCTTGACCAGTTTGTTGCAACTGAGCATCCTCACTAATGTTTTGTTTCGACTGATGTTCCAGAAGCCGTTCCGTCTATATGATACACACAAAGGCCCAGTGCAGCTGGCTTCCTCTTGCATAAATTGGGTGTTTCAGGCATGCAGTTGTCTCAATGAAACGTCTACACCGTAGGGGATCGCATGAACGAACGCCTCGTGCTCATCCTAGCTTCCCCGGGCGCCTGCCGCATTACCTTGCGGAAAATCGGACCCTGTACCCAGAATCCGGAGTCGGGACCGGGAACCTGCATGCCAGTTCAGACGATTGAAGCTTCAGCATGTTCCACGGAACTAGCCGTGGCTCCTTGAGAGGATTGGAGAGTTACCTTCCATCCCATGCCACTCTCCGACGTCTGAGATATCTCTGGCATAGAATGACAAGGACAACCTAGCCAGCAGAACCGCCCGCCGCCTACCCACATCCGCACAAGGAGTCTCCGAGACAACAGGAAGGAGAATATGTCCCCCTTGTCTAGAGGGTGACACGACTCATCAATGTAGCCAGTCAAACCAACGCACCTCCGCGTCTCAAGAACCTCGACGATGCCGGCACCCACGGCTTCCCGGAGAACACAGTCGAAAGCCAGCCCCTGAAACCCTTTCCACACTTCGTCCGCCTGGGCATGACGCCGGTGAACTCGCCCCTTGTCGTCGTCTTTGCTAAAAGCACCTGATTATCGAGAGATTCGACTCGGACAATGCCCGGCACTAGGTCTTCCCGAGTAAGTCCGCAAGGTGCTCCGGTGCCGAGACCAGCTTGAGAAAAACACCTTACTGTCGGAAACCGCGATGCGGAACCCGCCGAGCGCCGGCCCGGTTCCAGTCCCGGCCAGCCCTGTCATACTACTCCTCCCCGTTCCCCTGGTTGCGTGCAGCACCCCATCTCTCCCGGCCAAACATCCCCACGCTTGGAGTGCGCCTCAACTAGGGTCCAAACTGGTCCCTCAAGCCTTTCCCCAGCCAACTACACCGCGCGACTAACACCCCCAACGCCTCGCTCGCCACCACTAACACACCCTCTTCCCCCCTCGCACGAGGATACCGGCGCCGAGGTTAGAGGTTAGAACGATAATAGTGCTTCGGAAGTAGATTAGTCCCTACAATATATTCAAGGTTCGATGTAGGGTCAGTGATGAACTGTCGGTTTATGACGGCTGTGTCAATAAGTACATTTTTTTCTATTCCATAACAACTAATAATGTCCGCTAGCTCTGACGACAACGGCGTGAAATCTTTGTTTGTCGAGATACGTCTAGCTCTCAAAGCCCGCTCTGTTTCACAGCCATACTGCCTTGTACATACAGCTACTCACCCCTAGATACAATAATCCAAGCTGTTCCATGTGAGAGACTGATCCAAGTCTAAACCAAACAAACCAAATGCTCGCTGAAAGCCAAAAAAGACCACCCATTCCCCAACCCACCTCACTTCCAACCCCGCCCAACTACCCAGCCATAGTCAGCGTATAGCTCGTAATAACCGACATGCGCTCACTCGTCAGCTTCAGCGAAATCCGCAACAGCTCCTGCGCCACATCCGGCTCCTCCTTCTGCAGCCGGGCCCAACCCTCCCCGTCCATCACCCACAGCACACAGTCCCTCTCCACCACGCAGGTGGCAGTCCGGTTCGTCTCCGAGAAGAATGGCAGCTCGCCGCACGTCGTCCCCGCGACGATGCTCTCGAACAGCCAGCCCTGGGGCAGGTCGTACTCGGCGCGGAGGATGCCGGCCTCGACGAGGTAGAAGGCCTGGGCGGCCTCGCCGCGGCGGAAGAGCACGGTCCCCGGGGGGTGCTGGGCGCGCGCGAAATAGCGCGCCGCGCGGAACCAGAAGTCCTCGTTCCGGTCGCTCACGTCGCGGAAGATCTGCAGCATCAGCCGCAGCGGCGCCTTGAAGCTCTGCCACCGCGCCGACCGCCCCGCCTCGGCCTGCCCGAGCGACTTGCGCGCCGCCGCCCGGAGGTGGTCGCGCCGCGGCGACGAGCCGAGCATGGAGGCCGACACGGGGTCGGCGGCGGACGGCGCGGGCACGTCGAGGTTGGCGGTCGAGGTGGTGAGCGTGCTGTCCGCGTCGTCTTGGTTGACGTAGAGGGTCTTGAGGAGCTCGTTCTCGCAGTACTCGAGCGCCGAGTTGAGTTCGGGGAGGAGTTTGACCTCGACGCCGTCTTCGCCGAGCCCGACCGTTCTGAGATTGCGGCCGAGGCCGTGCTCGGGGTCCACGCCGCTGACGACAAGTTCAATGCCCTTGCCGTTTAGGAGGCGGCTGATGGTGTTGAAGACCTCGGCAGCGGAGTAGTCCACCCCGGTGACGAGCCAGAGGTCCAGCACGAGGAACTTGATTGGCCGTTTGTTAAACTCCTCGTCCGAGATGAGAGCCCGGATCCTGTCTTCCACGCCGACGATGGTCCCGAAGAACAGATAACCCGAAAGCTTGATGACGTTGATCTGGCGACCAACCTGGCGAAGGTAGTGCTGCTGAGTCGGGTTCCTCCTCACGGTCGACCCTACCACATCGCCCGAGTAGCTGGCTCTAACGGCCGAGACCCTCGATGTTTGGAAGGTCAGCGACATGAACGCCAGCAAAATGCCCACGCCAATACCGACCACGAAGTCGTAAGTGCCCATAACGAGAACAATCGCCATCACGGTAAAGTACTCGACGGGCTTGAGTTTCTTTCGCGGCTGCCATACGGCTTCGAGGAGGAGCTCGAATCCGAGGTCAAAGATCAGCACACCGACCATCATGACGGGAATGAAGCCAATGAGCGAAGGGCCGATCAACATGACAAGGAAAGTGAACACTGCCAGCTCGATCCCGGCAAGACGAGTGTTTCCTCCGGAGCGCATGAAGAACAAGCTGTTAGAGTAGACAAGATAGTTTTGTATACTACCGGCCAATCCGGACACGAAGTTTGAGTAGCCGTGTAGCTTGAGCTCATGATCCAAGTTGGCGTGGTCTTCGCCTGTGTTCAGGGCGAGGGCCGGAACATTGATGGGGACATGGAGGATGCCAAAGAAGGTCAAGGCGAGCATTGCAGGAATACACTGTGCAATAGCCCCCCAATGCACTTGGTCCAGCTCTGCGACACCGTTAGCCACCGCCCCGTCGGTCTCACGAAAGAGGGTCTGTCCTTACTGTACAGAGTGTAGAAGTGCCACCAAGGCTCATCCGCAGGCGGGCCTATAAATACCCAACCTCCGTTTTTGAGATGGTCCGGATTTAGCACGCCCATCGCACCAGCCAGGGCATAGAAGGCCGCGGGGATGGCGAGAATATATAGCGGGAGAAAGTATTTGGACCTGATCCTTGACTGACAGTAGAATAGGATGACGGCAAGTGTGAGGGGTATAATCCAAAGGGGGACGGTGTCGGCCTGCATGAGATGCTTGAGGGTATCCAGGTCGTAGTTGAGGTTACTATCCATCCGCGCCGTCACCTCAAATCCCGTGGCAACCAGGAACCACCCGACACCCCCGATGCAGCCGATCAGAATGTGCCGGGGGATGAAGCCAACGAGATAGCCAAACTTGAATTGGCCCATCAGGTAGAACACGGCACCTGTGAGCATCGAGCTCAGCGCGTACGACGTGATAGTTGTTGCGATGACAGCGTCGGGCTTGTCTTCTCCGACTATGTCGGTGATCGTCGCGGCCATGTTGTGAAAGAAGGGTACAACTTCGATCTGTCATGTATGAGATGAATGTTCGGTGCTTCTAGGGGAATCCGTCGATAGGAACCTACCAATTCGGAGCCAACCCCACCCTTGAATATACTCCCCGTCGAGAAGGTCAGCTGGGAGATGATACAGCTGACGTAGAACATTGATATCCCGGCGGACCCCAAGCTTGCAAAGATGGGGCTTCCCAAGGGGAACAAGATCATGCCTGCGTCGAGTCAGCACCTAGACAACAAACCAGCACAACGCCATGGGAACTCACCATAGGACAGCGCATCCAAGATGTTGAGAAGCAGACCAACCACGACAGCCGGGAAGCAGGCTACCGGAGCGACAACCACGTTGTCCCAGAGTGCACGGCGGTCCCAGCGCTTCGGGTGACTGATGAGCGGGAGAATGCTAACCGCCCGGCCGCCCGTTTCCCGCATAGAGTTGGCCGTCCTTCCTAACCATGTCCTACCCGGGCGTTTCTGGCCCTCCAGATCAAGCCCTTGGCCGTTCTCCTGGCCGACCCCATAGCTCCCACCCCGGCTCTCTCGCGACCTTGCGGCCAGCAATGGTGATATCTCGTCTGCCTCGGGCGTGTCTTCGCGGGCCACCAAGGGTCGGTGCTCGACGGTGGTTACCCTGCTTAACGTATCCTGGCCCTCCTCGTCGCCTTCCTCTACCGGGACGTCATCCTCGTGCGCATTACTCTCCTTTGGTGTATAGGAGTAGGGATTGCCCGGGGGTGATCGCCGAAACATGGTTGTGAGCATCGATGGGCCCTCCGCGTGTTCGTCGGTCGCTTCCGGCGAGGGCGGTTCTGGCACTTCGGGTATTGTCTCGGATGACCGAACAGGGCTGGCGTCGGGTCCGGGTGGTTCGAAGGGAGGCCGTGTTGTAGGAGAAGAGGCGGAGCGTGCCTGGCGAAGGAACGGACTGCCTCGACCGTCCTTTTTGTCGGAGAGAAAGTAATTGGCTAGTTCGGCGGTTTGCTCACGAACGGAGCGCGCCGACTCAGCGCTATCGAGGGGAGCTAATCTTGTGGGTTAGCGTTGGCTGTTTTGCGTATTGTTTGGCAAGCCAACTTACCGAGATGGCCTCTGACGGTGCCGTGGATAAAGGACCTTATGGGCTCGCGGTGGGTGACGGAGCCCACTGAGGAAGAAAGCTGCTTTCCATCATTGCGACCTGAAGCGCCGGCTTGTTCTTGTTCCTCTTCGTCTGAAACCTGAGAGGACGTAGAGGAATGCCTCCTGACCCAGGAGTGACCGAATGCTGGCGACGACATGGCGGAAGAAACCCAATTGCAAGCCAATAAATAATAAGCCAATTGTAAAACGTAGAGCTTGGTTAGGACGTCGCAGTTTCGTGGAGATCGGCGAACGGTGTACGCATGGTGGTTTCACAGAAGACGACACCGATGGTTAGAATGACGAGCAAGTGGTAGATCTGCTACGTAGGTGTGGGAAGCGGGAAGAGCGTCGGTAGCTAGAGCATTGGCTGAACAGCAGGTCGTATGTAGGGTACTAGTCTGTTAAGGATACGATCAGACGCGATATCGAAGTGGTGGGGCGGATGACCCAGGTAGTAAAGGAACGGATGAATAGTAGAAATGAGTAAGGCACGCGCAGTTGCCATGTGAAGGCAAGAGATAAGTTAGATAAGCAGGCAGATGAACCGTGATATTTTCAGTTGGTGGGCCCCACATAGGAGCGATTTGGGTTGCAACGGCCAGCAACTGAACAAGCCGGAGGTCCATCTGTGTCGATTTTCTTCTGGCCTCAACTTCGAGCGCTGCTTTGAGTGCTTGACCATGCCGAAATCCGGTTCAACCGCCCCAAGTGCCTGGCTATTTATCGAGAATGGCGACTTGGAGGGTCTGGACCGCGAAGGTCGATGCGGGTTGGTGGGGTGTAAGTCAAGAGCGGTCGTGGGATGATGCAATGACAGTGTGAATTGACTTTCAGAACAAGCTGGCGTTGGAGTTTCGGGCTGGAGAGAAAAGAGATGGCTTCGCTCGACAGCGCCAGCTGAGAGTCTGAGGGCTGGGTTGCGTGGAGGAATATAAACCATTGATCTACTTCCCATAATACTCAGATTCAAATCGACTTGCCAATCCTGCTGTTTGTTTCTTGTCTTTGGCTTCTGTGTATTGCCTCGCCCTTGAGGCTGGCACAGTAGCTGATGTCCAAGGCTCACTGTACCACGCCGCCTCTCAAATCTTGGCATAAAATTCCAGCTGCAGGCGCGTTAAGGTGTGTGGGCCTGCATGCATCTCCATGTTCCAGCCTGTCGCGGACCCTCCCGTCCACCCGTGTGTATCCGTCCCGTGGTTGGATAACCTGACAACCTAACATTTGGGGGGATTCGGCCTCTCCTTGCGTGGTATCAGCGCAAAGGCTCCTTCACCTTTTGCCGCCATTGTGACGCGAGCTTTCATCAGCTGCTCCTTGGTCTCGCATGACCACCCATTGGGACTGACGATCCCGTGGGGGTGATGGCTCGAGAATGGCCGGCGTCGTTGTGGACTTTCGCCCTTCGTCGCCGACTCCTCTGTGCCTCGTCTTTTCACGTGGGAGGTCTCTCTTGAGGCGTGACCGCGTTCTTGAGCGGGGGCTTCAACCAAGCTTTTGGAGGTAGCCTTGGGCTATCAAGCGTTCCACATCGCCTTGTCGGACATAGAACTGGCTATTCTTCGTCAAGTTAATAGCGCTGTAGCCTGCATTAGTTCTGTCTTCTGCACTAAGGGCCACACACGGCGGCTGATGGGGGCTTGTTTACCCGTATTCCGTTTGGATCTCTCCCGCATCTTTCAGCACCCGCACATCGATGAACAGATCTCTTGGGGGCTCGAGGCTTCCCGTTAAATCGATATCTGTCCATTGCCCCTTGTAGGCAGCCAATAGGTCCCCGTATTGTCGAAAATAGTCCTCTTCCTGTGGGCTGAGACTGCTGCTAGCCCCGCTGTCCGCAGCAGCGCCGTTAACGCCGCCTGCTTGTTGGCCGGCAAGATCGAGGACGTCAGATCCGTTCCAAACCAGCTCCTCCAGCTTGTCGGTACGCGTACGGTGATAGGCAAGAAGGCAACGCTTATTCCTGCGCATGGACAGGTGGTTGACCAAAAGCGTGCACGCCGTAGCCTGGTCCGCGGATGGGTCAAATGACCCTTGGAATGGCTCGAGCAAGCTGGCCACGTCCTTGTCTAGATCCCTGACCTCTCGCGTTACAGCACGGACAAGCTCAGTTTGATATGGCGGTAGATGCGTCAAATTCTGTGTCCGTTTGGCATGTTGGACCTGTGAAGGGCGTCAGTGATGAAGGAAAGGGTCATTGGACCAGTGCGGCTACAGACCAGTTTGTTGCCCAAGTCCCCGTACATAGGCATCTTGAAAAAAGATACTGCCTCGCTTTGTCGAAATCAACTCCCGCGTTGACGCGTTCAGGTTCGAGGATTTACGCTTCGCTTTCAAATGGCAGAGGGGCAAGGGTGAAGTCGCGCCGCATTGGGCTGTCCACGCTGTCGCCCCGCCCAAGAAACCAATTGGGCGACATACCGAATATTGTCCCCACCTTCCCACAGCAGTTATCATGAAACAGTTCAAGATTCATCACTTCAACTCGCCAGCCTGCTTGAGCGTGATAAAATGGGTGAGCCTCGTTTTGTTGTTCTTATTCTTCACCACTCTTACTCTAGTTATGAATTTCTCCGGCCGACTAAAATCATCATTTGAGCCGGGAAGTGCACAACCGCAAGGTTGTCTCTCTAGTAATTCAACATGGACACACAAGTCATGGGATGCGTCTTAGTCATTTATCGCTTGTATTATTCGGAATATGGAAACAATTCTTGTTGTTGACACAGTATTCACAGCATATGATCCGGTTCACATCGCCCCCACGCCAATCGAGCCTAGGAATTGGGCCGGGCTGGGCTGAGCTGGCCTGGCAAGGCCGTGACCACCCTACCTCGTCACCCTTATCACGATGTTTCAAGTCCAGAAACCGCTTGGTTTCACACCCTCTCGAGGCCGCAAGCCACGGCTGTGTTACGCTCGAACGAAAAGTGACTGGAGGGTGGCCACTCAGACGCTCAGACAGACACTGGGAACCTATAGGCAGGAGCAATTAGCGGAGAGTTCCACAGAATCGTTCAATTAAACTCAGGCCATAAGTATGAAATCAGAAACGCATGTCAATGCTGGGGTTTGTCGTCATCTGCAGGTCTTGAGGCTGCTTGGTAACACGGACCAATATAGATCATCAGGAGGAAAAGAGAGGGTATGATGTTGCGAAGTACGCATACATCTGAGTGAATGAAGAAGAGCACATACCGTTAGGATCACCGGGTTCTAAGCAATGAGGATGTCCGCTGCCAATTGACAGTGGGAAACTCTGAATCGTCCCGCAGGACATCCGAAAAAAGGTGAAGGGGAAGTTGAAGAATTTGAAAATCCCGAGTTTAAAAAGTCAACAATGGGAGCACGGACCTGCTTGAACCCAAACGCAGCCCCGATAAGATAAAGGTTCGACTCGGAACCTCGGTGGGTCTGTGGAAACCCCGAGAGCTTTCGTCGGAGCTTCCAGCTCTCGCGCGCATCTTATGGTCGCGGACATTGCCACAACCTTCACCTGTTGAAGTTGGCTTAAAGGTGTGCAATGCACCCTTACATCGACGTACATGCGTCGATGCAACAATTTTCTTCTCAGTTTGTAAAACAAATTCTGTAAAATGCAAGCAAGGGTTCAACTCCTGTCAACTGCTTCTCGGCGGCTTGCGGCCGTGGAGAGGGGCACTTTGCGACAGCGCCAATTCCCACGAACCTTGACAGTTACTCCGCGAGTAACGGCGGCGACAAATTCTTTACACATCTTGCCTACCGTTACGGCTCGAGCATATTCTAATGGCAGGCCACACCCACCTGGTGGTACCCACCGCATGAACCTTGGAGGCGAACCTGAGAAGCCGGCGCTCGAGCAATATGGAGTCGATTTGACGGCGAGGGCGAGTGCGGGCAAGCTGGATCCTGTTATCGGTAGGTCGGCTGAGATACAGCGCACCATACAGATCCTCTCCCGCCGAACGAAAAACAATCCTGTCCTCATTGGAAGCGCCGGTGTTGGCAAGACTGCTGTTCTCGAAGGGCTGGCCCTCGAGATCGTGCGCGGTGCCGTTCCAGAGAGTATTAAGAACAAGAGGGTGATCACCCTCGACCTCGGATCTCTCATCGCCGGTGCGAAGTTTAGGGGTGACTTCGAAGAGCGGCTAAAAAAGGTACTCACGGAAGTCCAACAAGCGAACGGGGAGGTTATCCTTTTCATCGACGAGCTTCACACTCTTCTCGGACTGGGCAAGGCGGAAGGCTCTATCGACGCATCAAACCTCCTGAAGCCGGCCCTCTCGAGGGGAGAACTACAATGCTGCGGCGCCACGACTCTCGCCGAATATCGCCAGATTGAGAAGGACGTCGCTTTGGCCAGACGGTTCCAACCAATTCTCGTCGGTGAGCCAACGGTACAAGACACGATCAGTATCCTCCGCGGTATCAAGGAAAAATATGAGGTCCATCACGGCGTCCGTATCACCGACGGCGCCCTCGTTGCCGCTGCAACCTACTCGAACCGCTACATCACCGACCGCTTCCTCCCCGACAAAGCAATCGACTTAATGGACGAAGCCGCTAGTTCGCTGAGATTACAACAAGAGAGCAAGCCCGAAGATATTTTACGCCTCGATCAGAAGATTATGACCATCCAGATCGAACTTGAAAGCCTACGGAAGGAAAAAGACGTTGCGAGCAAGGAACGGCGGGAGAAGCTCGAGGAGGACCTGAAGAAGTGTCAGGAAGAGGAACAAGCCTTGACGGGCAAGTGGGAGAAAGAAAAGGCTGAAATTGATGCCATCAAGCAAACGCAAGCCGAGCTCGACAAAGCTCGGGTTGAGCTAGAGCTGGCGCAGAGAGATGGCAATTTTGCAAAGGCGTCCGAGCTAAGATTTGGCACCATACCCAACCTCGAGCAAAAGTTGCCGAAGGACGGCGAGAAACCGGAAGGCGAGAGCACACTGATCCACGACTCGGTCACAGCTGATGACATTGCCAATGTTGTCTCGAGGATTACCGGCATCCCGATATCGAAGTTGACGAGCGGCCACACGGAAAGGCTCATCCACATGGAGGATATCCTCAGGGAGTCTGTCCGCGGCCAAGACGAGGCGCTCAAGGCTGTTGCGGATGCAGTACGGATGCAGAGAGCCGGCCTCAGCGGCGAGAATAGGCCTCTCGCGTCTTTCTTCTTCCTCGGTCCTACCGGCGTCGGCAAGACGGAATTATGCAAGAAACTCGCCAGCTTCCTCTTCTCCACCGAGACTGCCGTCGTCCGCTTCGACATGAGCGAGTTCCAAGAGAAGCACACCATCTCACGCCTCATCGGCGCGCCCTCTGGCTACGTGGGCTACGAAGACGCCGGCCAGCTGACAGAAGCCGTTCGGCGCAAGCCATACGCGGTGCTCCTATTCGACGAATTCGAGAAGGCGCACCGTGACATCTCAGCCCTGCTCCTCCAGGTCCTAGACGAAGGCTACCTGACCGACGCGCAGGGCCACAAGATCGACTTCCGGAACACCATCATCGTCCTGACCTCCAACCTCGGCGCCGACATCCTCGTGGGCGCCGACCCGATCCACCCCTACCAGGAAACCGAAGACGGCGACATCCACCCCGAGGTCAAGAACGCCGTCATGGACGTGGTCGCCGCGCAGTACCCGCCCGAGTTCCTCAACCGCATCGACTCCTTCATCGTCTTCAAGCGGCTCGCCCTCGGCGCGCTGCGCGACATCGTCGACATCCGGCTGCGCGAGCTGCAGGCGCGCCTGGACGACCGCCGCATCGCCCTCGCCGTGCCCGACGACGTGCGCCAGTGGCTCGCCGAGCGCGGCTACGACCCCAAGTTCGGCGCCCGCCCGCTCAACCGCCTCATCACCACGCAGATCGGCAACGGCCTGGCGGACAAGATCATCCGCGGCGAGGTGAAGGCCGGCGACAACGCCGTGGTGGCGCTGAATCCGGATAAGAGCGGCTTGAGTATTGTGGCGCGGCAGAGCGCCGAACAGGAGGAGGCGTGAGGTTATGAGGTTGATTGGTTAATGATTAATGACAGCGGGCTAGTAGTGTATAAAATTGTATATTTGAGCTAGGAATCGCCACTTCGTCGATTGGAAACAAGAGTCTAGCAGAGAGAGGGGAGCATTTATAGGGCGTTTAAAAGGAGGCGTCTCGCGGACGGTGCATGGCTCTTGTATGTACATACAATCAAAACGGATACAGTACAATACCACTCCAAGTTACAAGTTAAATGCGCCACTATTGGCAATACGTGTGCCGTTTTCGATATGTGATCGCGTGACTGCAACCTTTGCGACGCTTGAAACCCGCATTCTGGCAAGGCCCAGTGAGCGGTGCCGGATATCGGCTCCAATAGACTAGGGTACATTTTCGATATTCAATACCATTCGCCGTGGGGCCGACGAGCGAGGACGAGAAACCAATTGAAAGAACTTGATGGTGTGGAAGACGGCGGTTCCCGGTCCCTCCAGAAACCAATGAACTTTACCTACAGTGGCATTGACATCTGAGTGTCACGTCAAGGCAACGAAGGCGAATAAACAACGGGAGAGAAAAGCTAAAAACCGCGAAATCGACTTTCATAATTACCAGCTGAATTTACAAGCCTCCCTCTTCCCACCCTCTTCTCTCCAGACCGCAAGCACATCCCCATTAGATGTCCCTCTCCCAACCCAACACTCCTTCTCCCTTCCAGTCCTTTTCAGCATGGTAGACACGATGGGCCACTGGGGCCGGACTCGGGATCGCGGAAAGCAGTGAATGAACTGTTGTCTCCCTGACGAGTGTATCAAATTGTACATGATTCCAACCCAGTTGCGCCCCTCCGTCTTTCCGAAAAAAGTGACCAGAGTTTCAGAATGAGTGTTGGCCACCCTCCTTGCTTTCATCTTCTCATTCATAAGCGGCCATCACGATGCATGCACCAACCGCCAAAGATTCATCGGCTAGTCGACTGTTTGCCTAACCGGGGATATCTGATAGACCACAATCGAGCCATGCTTGTCTGGGGGGCGAGGAGAGCCGGTCCCCGGCGTCCCAAGGTCGCCTCAGTTGTTCTTCTTAATCTCCGTGGCGAGCCAGTCGAGGCCCTCGAAGAGACCGTCACCAGAGGTGGCGCAAGTGGATTGGATGTACTGCGGCACAGTTAGTACTGGCAGGGTTGCGCGGCAATGATACGGGGTAACGTACCCAGGTGCGTTGCCGCAGGCTGTGGAGACCGAGCTTGTCTGTGATCTCGGCAACGCTCATGGCATTCTGTAACAGAACGTTAGCAACTCGTTTGGCAACACGCAGAGAAAGGGACCACTCACCGGCAGATCCTGCTTGTTGGCGAAAACAAGGAGAAGAGCGTCCCTCAGCTCATCCTCGTTCAGCATGCGCTGCAGCTCCTCGCGAGCCTCCGTCACACGCTCACGATCGTTGCTGTCAACAACGAAAATGATACCTTGGGTGTTCTGGAAGTAATGTCTCCACAGAGGGCGGATCTTGTCCTGGCCACCGACATCCCACACGGTGAACTGGATGTTGCGGTACTCGACGGTCTCGACGTTGAAGCCTTGAGAGCAGATGCGTTAGCCTTTTGCCCAATCGCGCCAGTCAAGTAAGCGAAGCGGCTTTGTCAGTGGCGGCAAAGAAGGAATAGCGTACCAATGGTCGGGATGGTAGTGACGACCTCGCCAAGCTTGAGCTTATACAAAATGGTGGTCTTTCCCGCAGCATCGAGACCAACCATGAGAATACGCATCTCCTTCTGCTTCATGAGAATGGAGAGCCATCCCCACATCTTAGATCCTCCTATGCCCATCTTGGTGGTGTTGAAGGGTGGAAACGGGGAATTAAGTTAGGGGTGATCTGTTGAAAAGCGAGTGTAAGTAGATGAGCAAGAACCTAAAACGCGAGGTGATAAAGAAGGTTCGGTCGTGTGTCGGGACGGCGTGGAGTCGTGACACAAAGGAGTCGGGGGTTGGTTGGGATGGAGGTTTGTTTAAAAGCTGCTGACTGGCGTGATCTGAGGACAGATATGCACAGCGCGTCGACAGGGAACGGTCCAAGGCATCCCAGGCCGCCAGGAGGAAAGACCAGTAGGCGATCGGTCTCCAGCAGAATTGGACAACAGCACGCGCTGGCCGGGACCCCAAGCCGCGCAAGACTTGGTGGATTGGAGCCTTTCGGGGACGGGACCGTTCAAGCCAGAGGGCGGCACACCGAGGCAGAATGCCGATGCCGCAATCCACACGGGCGAGGAGGAGTCGGTCGACGAAGAAAGCGACTTACTATTCCGGGTTGATCTCGTTAAACAGACCGAGATGGCGACGCGGCTAATTACCGTCAAGTTGAGCGCTGGATATGATGCTACGATGGCGGTGTGGAAGGGAAAGCCTTTGGGGGGGAAACGGATTGGATTTTGAAAGTTGTTCTTGGGCTGAGCAAGGCCAGGGAAGGCAGTCACAGGGGGGCGCTGGGCCGGTTCCATCCAGGAGCATGTCGTGGCCCGTGCACACTACCTCAAGGGCACCTTAACTGCAGGGCTCCAGGCAGGCATTCGCCCTGCTTGCCACCGGCCGCCGCCTGTACCTTGCTTGTACTGGGTTGCCTGGAACAACATTGGACCGGGGCACCTCCTTTTCCATTTGGGGGCCCGGGCCTCGTTTTCACAAGCTGCCCAGGTGGCCCGCACGCACGCGCACTGTCTCACTGCAGCCCAGTTGGCAAGCCAGCCAGCGCAGCCAGCAAGTTGACATCCCTGAACCTGCGACCAGCCTAGCGCCAAAATCGCCAAGGTGGCCTTGAATCCCTGAAGCAGCCCCGAAAAGGAACTCCACACGAAATCTGGCATCTCGACGACGACGACGACGACGACCACGCGGCCACACGACCACATTATTTAGGCACCATGTTTCTACGAACGGCAGCAAAGCTGCTGGTCTCGGCCGGCTTGCTGCTGAGCTCGGCAGTAGCACACAACATCGCGCTCCCGGCGCACGGGCGCGAATGCTTTCACGAGACTCTGCACCGCGGCGACAAGATGACGGTGACCTTCCAGGTCGGCGACCGGGAGTTTGGCAGTGCTGGCAACCTCGACATTGATTTCTGGGTATGAAAAAGCCACATCTTACGTCGAGGGGACAGACATACCATTTTTTACCCTCTTCAGACACCCGACTGACATGTGCCCCCCTATCTCTAGATCACCAACCCGATCGGCCAGTACGAAGCCAACGACAAGGCGGTCTCGAACGGCGACTTCACGTTCGACGCCAAGCACGACGGCAAGTACGTGTACTGCTTCGGCAACGAGCACTGGGGCGCGGCGTCCAAGGAGGTGTCGTTCAACGTGCACGGCGTCGTGTACGTGAACGAGGCGGACGCGCCGCAGGACCCGCTCGAGGTCGAGGTCCGCAAGCTGTCGGAGCTGCTGGAGCTGGTCAAGGACGAGCAGAGCTACATCGTCGTGCGCGAGCGCACCCACCGCAACACCGCCGAGAGCACCAACAGCCGCGTCAAGTGGTGGAACATGTTTGTCATTGGCGTCGTTATCGGCGAGAGCGTCTTCCAGGTCTGGTGGCTGCGGAGGTTCTTTGAGGTATGTTGAATTACACCCTTCCTTGCCTTGATGGGATGGGATATGAGCAAAATGGCTAACATGGCTTGCCCCGAATTAGGTCAAGCGGGTTGTCTAATCGACGACTTTCCATATTTGTTTGCATTGCCTGTGCAAAGTGATATCAGCGAGGTTGGCGTGGGATCGGGGGGCGATTTGAAGGGTAAAAGGGACGAGGTGTTTCTGTTTGGCGTCTTGGATCAAGCATGCACCATCCGCCGTGTACGGGTCTGTACCATCAATACCTACATGAAAAAGGGCCGGAGGCATCGCCTCGTAGACGGCACGCTACGATAATACGATCATCTACGATTTGACTCTCTCAATCGCTACAGCATACTCACGATGAATGGCCGTGACAAACTCGCCGTTTTTGCACCTCTAAACATGCAAGCTGCTCATGAAGGCTCAGACAGACGGTGCACATAAATCATATTTCAACATCGGTATACACATGTACATGTCTGTATAAACATCGCCATCGCCACCCATCTCATCAACATCGCTCAGCAATATCCTGTATCCCATGTACCCAAACGCCAAAACCCAAACAGAAACACAACAATAAACCAACAAAACAAACGAACCCACCCCTAACCAACCAACCAACAAACCACAACCCCACCCGTCATCACCTAGGCAGCAGGATCCGACTCCGGCGCCGTCTGCTGCTCCCGCTGGCGCTGCACGGGCAACTCCACATCCTTGACAGGATGCAGCAGCATCGGGGGCAGACACATGCGACCCTCGCCGCCGCGCATGGAGCCAACAGTCTTGTCGTCGGCGCTCATGTCGGGGGTAGTCTCAAACTCCTCGCCGCCGTCGTTGTTGACGCGCAGGCCCATCCAGCGGCGGTACAAGTTGCCGGAGAAGCCGGCGTTGTAGAACCAGGTGAGGCCGCGCATGTTGTGCTCGCGATCGCCGTAGACGGACGCGCGGCCCCCGCCCGAGGCGCCGTTGCGCCCGCCGTTGAGCACGCGCGCCATGTAGTCGGGCGGCCAGGCGCGGTCGACAAAGACGGGATGCGGGGCGAAGACGGCCTTGAGGCCGTGGTGCAGCGCCACGGTGGCCGGCCACATCTCGGGGAAGGCGTGGTGCTTGCGGAAGGCCGTCTCGCGGTGCATGGTCACCAGCAGGCGGCGCGACATGCGCGACGCCGTGATGATCTGCGCGCGCCGCGGCGGCTTGCCGATGCCGCCCGTCTCGTTGTACCCCGTGATGTCGTCGGCCAGCTTCCACGAGGTGCCATCCGGGTCGAAGATGGGCGAGAGCGTGAGCAGGTCGGCCTCCTCGCCCACACCCCAGGTGTACTTGTCGCGCTCGTAGGTCGTGGGGGGCTGCGGGTCGGCGTCATGCTCGAACCAGTCAGACGAGGAGACCGGTCGGAGCGGGCCCCATACGGATTGCTCGCTTCCTCCGGGCGCGACATTGGGCGAGGCGGAGGACTTGTCGCCGGGTTTGGAGGCACCCGGGATACCGTTCCAGAGGTTGTCGGCACCGACGGTACCATGTTCAGTTTGCACGCGCGCCATCTGCTTGAAGTCTTCCCAGGTGCCATGCACGTGAGGAATGTAGAAGCGCGAGTTGCGCTCCCAGAGGCCCTTGCGGGGCTGGTCCTTGGCCCACGATTCCATCTTGGAGAGGAGGTCGTGGTAATGGCCCGTATAGCGGATGTCCATCTCCCACTGCCAGAAGTGCTCGTACTCGGGGTGGTTGTAGGCAAAGTGCTGCATCGCCATCTGCAGACCGCGGTATGAGCCATGCACAGGCAGGTCGGGCCCCTTAGTCCAGAGATCTCGAACGCCCTGGTATACGGCAAGCATCTGGGTCTCAGACCAGAGTGTGGCAATTCCGCGGAACTCTGCCGGAATAGTCTCGTTGATGCGGCTGCGATAGACGTCTTCGTCGGCCCACACGGGGTTTCTGCCGTCATTGCGAACTTGGACGAGAAGATGAACGTCATAGCGGCCGCCAGAGGAGAGTGACAGCTCTGAGATCAGGGCTCTCAGGTTGACGATGTCTTCTTCCCTCCAATTGAACTCGTCCCAGCACCGGAGAACAACCGCAGTCCTGGCAACGTCGCCTTGAGCCTTCTCACTCGCGGGCTCAGGCTGGTCAACCTGCTCGGTCTTCTCGGTCTGCTCGGTTTGCTCGCCTTGCTCGGCCGAGTCACGGGTCGCGAGTTGAGAAGTTTCCAGGCCCTCGCCGATAAAGAAACCACGAGGAGGGGCATCCCGCACAGCCAGCGGCTTATACCGCTCAGCATTGGCCTTGTAGCATTGGCGTTGTACAGCAGCCCAATCGATATTGCGCCAGTCAATCTGCTTGGTCGATCCCCAAACTTCATCGGCGCCCTCCCGGTCGCCATGTTCGCCGAGGCCGAGCCCGCCGGTCCGGGCGGAATAGCCATAACCATACGGTCCATATCTGCCGAAGCGGTCAAAGCAGATGTCTTCGGGAAGCGAGAGCAGTTCGTAGGAACCGAGAATGTTGTCCGGGAAGCCGTTGGGGCGGCCCTGTAGGTAGCGGAGTGAGGGCGCCTTGAGTGTGTTGTGATTATCCAAAAAGCACTCGTGAATCCCATCTGCGGTCTTTGGGATACCAGCGGTGGGGTAATCGGCAAAAGCCTGGCTTGGTGGTACCGCCCTCGCCTCCATGGCAGGTTGTATACGTCCAGGTTCGCTCTTGTCCGACTCCTGTTGCTCTTGTTGCTGCGGCTGGCTTGCGTTGTAGGGCCCCTCCTCCTCAAGCCGCGGGTACTGCGGTTCGTTGTCGGCTAGAGGAATAACGGACTTGACGCCGCCGTAATACCTAGTGAGGAACTCGAACTGCTCCCATGGGGGTGGGTCTGCGGGCTTCTTCTCGACTTTGCCTTCTGCTATCTTCTTGTTCTCGACCTGACTGGCTCGAACGAGAACGAACATGAATATAATAATGGTCGAGATCATGGCGAGACATAGGTACCGAATGACTTTGTTTGGCAACCGGTAGAGATATCTCCTGACCGGTGCCCGGCGGGCAGGGACCACAGGCCGCTTCTTGGGAAGCATGAGCGCTGCCGCGGAAGAGGTGGAAGATGAGGTTCGCCCCGAGCCCCCGGAACTCGACGTAGATGAGTCGGTAGTATCCCCATCGTCGGATTCATCGGATGAGTCTTCGGAATCCGAGTAGCGCTCCTTGACTGGGGATCGAGGTGTACGAGGTTTGCGCGCTCGGGAGGGGGGGAGCTCCTTGTATAACGGCAGCTTCGGTGCCTTTGTCTCCCGGGCCCGGAAGAGGTTGAAGGGGAGTAACCCCATGTTGGAGGGCGGGGTATGGTTCACTAACAGCGATGTTAGTTAACCCAGGCGCATAACGAGAAGAATGTGTTCTATGCTTCAAAAAAGAGCCATTGAGGGGTTCTTACCACGCAATCAAGGAGAAACAGCCCCGGGTCCGGCCGCACTGGCACCGTGCGTGTCCACAATCTCGGGACTCGAAAATGCCCGCTCGAAGTTTGTGTCTCTTGAGATCGCTTTGGTGGGGGTGGTGTCTCAACTCGAGTTCGATCAATGTTCGAGACGTTAAATCGTCGACATACAATTAAATCATCAAGGGGGCCATTGGGAGGTTCTTTGGCGGAGAATGCGGAGTGATATCAGAGAATCAGAACAATTGACTCGAAACAGAGGCGAGCGCATCCTCCTCGTCGCTGATTGGCGGTTGTTGTCAGCTCTGTCGACGTTCATCAACGCTTGGTTGCTGGGCAACCAACTCCTTCGGGGCGTGGGGTCTTCGTTTTCTCTTGGCCATTTGCCATCGACTTTTGTGGGACTTTCAGAATCTGGGGTTCTGGGTGCACAAAGGTGGGGCTGCCTAACTGAGTGTTCTTGCCATTTTCAGCCGACAATCGCCGTTTCACAGTCTGGAGACGAGGTACCTGCTATTTCAATCAACAATCATTCATGGCCTGGAGGAAAGACAAGACGTTCCTGTCCTTGCCTTCTTTTCGCTTCCCTTTTCTCCTCCCGTTTTCTCCATTTTTTCCCTTCATCTCCTTTTGTTCCAAGCCAACCAAAACCCCTCGTAACGGTCACCGAAGTCTAGATTGTCGTCTCATCGTCCCCACAATCACCATCGATGGCCTCGAGAGTGCCAGCAAAGCGAAATACGTCGGCTGCGGCTGCAAGTGCAGGAACGGCATTGGATGAGCAAAAGGATTTAAAGCTGCACCTCTGCATCATGCGCCAACGAATCGGGTCGCTTTTTCGTGTTCAAACTCCCGTGTCAGATGACTGCTCTTCATTGTCCAGCGACATCCTAATGATTACGGCGTCTCATGGCCGATCTCCCTGGCCTAGGGACCACCTACATACTTCCTCTTACTCAGATGGGATAATTTAAACGGGGCTTGGAGCTGACTTCGAGAGCTTACATCTCGCTTTCAAGCGACCCTATCGTATCTTGGCTTGCTTGATGGTTTGAGAGAAGATCCGAGGCACGCCAGGTTCGGCAAAACGAAGCGCTGCACCATTGTAACGTCATCGATCATCGTCAACCTGCGGAGACCAGGCGGTGGGATGACGGCCCCTGACTGCGAAGGAGCGTACCTCCAATCTGGGGTTCTGACCCCTCCTCACCCCTCCAGCGCAGGGTGTTTGTTCATTGCTGTTGAGACAACCCATTTTCACCGTCCCTCATCCGGTACAGATGTATGTATCGCGAATACACGGGAAGCCATTGCAGGCGGCTCTTGCGGTGTAGGGCACGTGGACAGTTATATCTGGTGCCGTACACTCTTACACGGGTTTGCTACCCGACGCTATATGGTGGAAAAGGTTCCAGTTTCTTGGTGTAACTTGTGAGCCAAGTATCTGAACCCATGCTGACCGCCGCAGCCCAGACCCGGACGGATGTCGCTTGGCCACGACGTATGTACTTCCTCCCTTACTTCCACCACTGACACATCGATATCACCCCTCTGTTCGTGGCAAACCCAATGCGATGATCCGCGATAGGATTTAAACCAGTTTCATCTTCTCACTCCGCCCCGTCGTGGTGTGTACCTGTACGTAGTACTATAAGAGATACCGTAACCACTCTCCATCCACCTTGATTCTCTCCCGCACGCTACTCTCGAACATCATTATTGGAGTGTCAATGTTGTGGCCTGCATTCGAACCCACCCACCCCGTGTCTTACAGCTACTACAACGGAAGCACACCGTGAGGGCAGACCTTACCATCACTGACACAATGTCTCTCACCGTGACCACCGAGTCCCAACAGGCGCCGGCCTCGAACGAGAAGAGCCCGGTGGCCGTCAACATGGTGATCCGCCAGGACCCATTCTACATCACGCTCGACGCCGCGGCCCTGCTAGCCGTCTCCATCGTGCTCGTGCTCGGCATGCACTTCATCGACCGCCCCGTGCTCGAGCTCCTCATCATCGTCGTACCCATGGCCCTCCTCATCCACAACGACTACCTCAACTTCCTCAAGCTCGGCCCCGGCGGCACCCCGCCCACCCCGTCAGGCTACGCCCGCCTGACCTGGTACCGCCTCTTCACCCTGCGCGACCCCTTCAGCGCCCCGCCCGCGGACCCAACCCAGAAGCCCGCCGCCGGCATCCTCTCGCACCTCCCCTACCGGCCCGGCCCGCGGCCCGTCGTCGCGGGGCTGGCACCGCAGCGCCAGCTCAACCAGCACGGTGCGCTCCCCTCCTCCAACCGCCTCCGCGCGGCCATCGAGGCGGTCACGCGGCGCTTGCCCAGCGAGTTCGTGACGGCCACCTCCTGCCTCGAGAAGCACGGCTTCGCGCTCTTCGCGCGCCACCCGCTCAACGTGTGCGGCAACGGCGAGGTCTGCCACATCCACACGTCGGACCGCTCGCTGCACCTCAACCTGCACCCGGACGACATCGGCGAGGTGCTGGAGAAGGGCTGGGGCCAGCGCCACCCCATGGCCTGGGAGGGCTGGGTGCGCAGTCCCGTGCCGCGGACTTTTACCATGATTTATGCGCCGAGGGGTGAGTTTTTTTCTTCTTTTTTTTTTCTTTCCCGCTCTTCTCTTCATTCTTAACCTCCTTTTTTCCATCTTCGCTGGGGTGAGATTGACGTGTTTGTAGATGAGAACGACTTGAAGATTGTGTGCAGCATCATTGAGGCGGCGATCTGGTACACCACTGCGAAGAAGGTTGAGGTGCAACCTTCGTCCGAGCCTTAATGAGTGGGGGTTGGGCCAGGTGTAAATTTGACGGAGTGGCTCATTTTGTTGATGGGAAAAGCTGGCTTAGGAGTGAGGTGTGCATTTGGTGCTTTACGGCTTGGGAGGACTATCGTACCTAGGCGGCTGGTTTGAACGAGGGGGCGAAGTTGCTTCACGGCCAAACACGGAGCGGGCGTTTAAGGGAATAGTACTTGAACCACCTATAAGACATATCATAGTAAACTAGCTTCGCTCGTTATAGTCGGGTATACAAAAGGACATACTTCGTCGTGGATTCCAAAACGAGAACCGACTTCCGTCAAGTGAACCCAGAAAGTCGTGTACTTACCACGAAGTCACAGTGTACTGTTTCACTCCCGATAGGACTGGGTAATTCTCTTGGTCCGGGGGATGATGCATATACCCAAGGATCGAAGCTATCACTGGCATGACGGTACTGAACCTTGCCAAGCTATCTCCGCTCGTCTACGGTGTTACTTTATCCCAAGCACAACGGGATAATGGGAATCACTAACACACCGTCGGACGGCCATTGCGCACGACATAAGCGATTCGAGTATCACCTTTGTCACCCACACACACAAGCAGCGTAATTCAAAACAATTCATTCCCCCACTCCTGGCCCCCAACACTCCCCTCTCCTATATCCGCCTGTTTTGTTTGTATACACGAACGAACCTAACAAGAGGCCGCCGAAACAACTGGTTTACAATATTCATCCAACCCCCCACCAACCCCCAAACTGATTTAGATATTTCTTGAACAAGCCGCCGGCGCAATTCCAAACATACCAGGACACCGGGAAAAAGGGGGAAAAAAGCAGGATGCTATGCTTGGCGGGGTTCTTTTCCCTCCTCCCCTGACACCACACGGACAGATTGGCGGATTCAATGATTTCCCTTGTGTCCCCTCCCCGCAGCTCATCTCATGGCAGCCACCACGGGTTTGCCCCCTCGTTCCCAACTCGATCCAAGATAATCGGACGAGACATAGCAACTCCTCTTTTCGCCACAGCGAACGACGCATCAGAGCCTCCTCACGCGTTGTTCGGTCGCTCAGCCCAGACGGCCAGCTAGGCAGGCATTCCGGTCTCCCAGATACTTCGACCCTTTAGTAGACACGCTTCATGGGCGGCACAGGCTTGCACTCGCTCTCGTCGAGGGTGGTGCCGATGACGCGGCGGTACGAGAGGTCGACCTTGCCCTGAGGCTTCTTCTGCCAGCTGAGCGTGTGCTTCATCCAGTTCTGGTCGTCACGGTCGGGGTAGTCCTCGCGGGCGTGGGCACCACGCGACTCCTTCCGGTTGGCAGCAGAAGTGGCAGTCTGGGTACTATTTCGAGTTGTCAGTGTCCGATTTCGGGTTCATTTTCCCAGCCACAGATCAGATTACTTACGCGCAAGTGAGCAGGTTGCGAAGCTCGAGAGTCTCAACAAGGTCCGAGTTCCAGATCATGCTGCGGTCCTTGGTGCCGACCTGCGAGAACATCTGGTCGACCTCGGTGATCTGCTTGACACCCTCGTCCAAGCTCTCCTGGGTACGGAAGACGCTGACTTCCCTCTGCATGGTCTTCTGCATGGCAAGACGGATCTCGGCGGTGCTCTTGGGGCCGTCGGCGGTACGGACCTGGTCGAGGACCTCGATCGAGTCGGCACCGGCATCGGCCTCGATGGGCTTCAGCTTGGCGCCGGGAGTGAAGTTGTCGCGGATGGTGTGCGAGACGGCACGACCGAAAACGACCAAGTCCAGCAAGGAGTTGGCGCCCAGGCGGTTGGCACCGTGGACGGAGACGCAAGCGGCCTCACCGCAGGCGAAGAGGCCAGGGACGACCTGGTCATTGCCCTGCTCATCCACCGTGATAACCTCACCAGTGTAGCGAGTGGGGATACCACCCATGTTGTAGTGGACGGTGGGCAGGACGGGGATGGGCTGCTTGGTGACGTCGACACCGGCGAAAATACCGGCAGTCTCAGAGATACCGGGGAGGCGCTCAGCGAGAATATCGGCGGGCAGATGGCTCAGCTGGAGGTAGATGTGGTCCTTTTCAGGACCGACACCGCGGCCGTCACGGATCTCCATGGTCATGGAACGAGAAACGACGTCACGGCTGGCAAGATCCTTGGCCGTCGGCGCATACCTCTCCATAAAACGCTCACCCTCCGAGTTGAGGAGGTAACCGCCCTCACCACGGGCACCCTCGGTAATCAAGCAGCCGGCGCCGTAGATACCAGTGGGGTGGAACTGGACGAACTCGAGATCCTGGTTGGGCAGACCGGCGCGGGCAACCATAGCCATGCCGTCACCCGTGCAGGTGTGGGCCGAGGTGCAGCTGAAGTAGGTACGTCCGTAGCCGCCGGTAGCCAGGACGGTGTTGTTGGCGAGGAAACGGTGGAGGGTGCCGTCTTCTTGGTTGTAGGCGAGGACGCCACGGCACTCACCGTCCTGCATGATCAGGTCGATGGCGAAGTACTCGATGAAGTAGTTGGTGTTATGCCTGAGCGACTGACCGTAGAGGGTGTGGAGGAGAGCGTGGCCGGTACGATCAGCGGCGGCGCAGCAGCGGTAGGCCTGACCTCCCTTGCCGAACTTCTGAGACTGACCACCGAAAGCACGTTGGTAGCTACCGAAGCTGTCAGTGCCCAATTCCCGTATACTGTACAGATGCCGACTTACATCTTGCCATCCTCGGTTCTGGAGAAGGGGCAGCCGTAGTTCTCGAGTTCGACAATGGAGGCGGGGGCCTCACGGGTCATGTAGTGGATGGCGTCCTGGTCACCGAGCCAGTCGGAGCCCTTGACGGTGTCGTACATGTGCCATCTCCAGTCGTCCTCGTGCATGTTTCCGAGCGCGGCGTTGATGCCACCCTGGGCGGCGACGGTGTGACTTCTCGTAGGGAAGAGCTTGGAAATGCAAGCAGTGTTGAAACCAGCCTCGGCTAAACCGAAGGCGGCACGCAGACCAGCGCCACCGGCACCGACAACGAGGGCATCGTACTCATGGTCCTATTTCGTCCCGGGGTCAATTCCTTATTCTCGTCCAATGTTGTGTGTTGAATGTTCGTTGGGGTAACGTACGATGACCGGGTATTTGCTGCTAAGGAATGGTGATGCCTCCTTCGCACGGAGGGGCCCGCCGTTGGTGATGATGCGGGCTGCAACCAGAGAAATATGTCAGCCCCCCCGCTCTTTGCCCGCCGTGTCTAGGAACTTCAGAACTTGTCAACGTACCAGCCGGCCGTGTTGTGGAAAACGCGCGGATCGGGTTTTTGGAGGCACGCGAGAGCTACCGAATGGACCTCGGGTCAGCCAAACCTGGTGCGAGAAAAAGGAATCTCGCGCAAACCAACAACTTGGGCCATGCGCGATGAATTGGAGGGGTAGGTTACTCACCGTCGGCGCCGTGGCCAGACGTCTCCAAGCCATTGAGGATGCCATTGTCGTCTAACGAGGTCTGAAGGGGGAGGTGGTGGACATCAGGGAAATAATTTGAGCCTCCTTCATGTGCAACGGCGTCTTGCAGTTGCTCTCGCCCGCCCCAAGTCCGGGTTGTTGCACCAGAGCTGTTGGCTGCTGAGCCAATCAGCGAGGGCTGATTACCCGAGTTGCCGGCGAGGCCCGCGCCTGGTGGGCCAAGAGACGAAGTGCGCTCAGCAGGGAGACCGGAGGGAAGGCAGGTGGGGCAGCTGTCTGCCGGGCTCGGCAATGACGACGAAATGCATTCGGTGACATTTCAACTCCAAGCTTGGGTTTTCTCAAGCTGTTTACAGCTATAAATCTGGCATGTTAGGTGGTTTATGAACAAACAGCAGCAAATTCCATCTAACGTTGCATAGTTATTTGGACATCGAAATCACTTCATTGTTGATAACGAACTCATTTTGGACATGAAAGAATAGTTAATCATGTGCAAGACTCGCTTCCGAATTTGGATCCATCACTTGGAACTCATCCCTCGGCATTCCGGCCAGAGCTTGCCAAGTGCCGACAACTCAACAACCACTCTGGAAAGCAGTTAGTTATTACCCCTAAACTCTACGACCACTGCCTCTTTATGACATGATGCCATAGGGGTAACAAGTATCATGCTCTAACGCATTAATTACTATCGAATACTACTAGTAGAATGCCATGGTCATCATCACCCCAACCCAACAATGCAAGCATGCATATCTACCTAGGTAGAAACCCACATGCCTCCTCCCCCCTTAAAGAGAGAGAGTCAAATCCATCCAACAACAGAGTTCCAGCATTCCAGCACGATGACAGCACACCTACCACCCCTTCCCCTCTTGACCTCTTGACCCCCTGACGCCACGCCAGTCCACCCACCCACCCCGTCCGTCTACTCAGCCAGCACCATCCGCAGCATCACCAAGAAATTCTCCTTCAGCTTATGCACCTCCTCCACCTCGGGCTTCGCGGGCTCGCCGGCATTGCGGCGCAGCCGGTCCTGCCGCCTCGACCTGCGCTTGCGCTCGGCGTCGATGGGGTCCATCTCGTCCTCCTCCTCGGCGTGGGCCTCGTCCTCGGAGTCGTCGTCGTAGCCCATCTCGGCGAGGTCCTCCTGGTCGAGGCCAAAGTCGGCCGACTGGAACGCCATGGCGCCCCCGGGGACGCCCTCGGCGTCGCCCGGCGCGCCCTCGGCCGCCATCTTCTGGCGCGTCTTGTCGTGGTGCCACTTCTTGCGCGCCTCCTGCCAGGCGATCAGCTCGTCGATCTCGGCGACGGCCTTGGCGCGGTCGACGGCGCCGGTGCTGGTGGCGCCCTCGAACAGCGCGTTGATGTCGAGGCTGCCGTTGGTGGGGCCGTGCCGGAGGAACTCGAGGATGCCCTCGATCCAGCCCATCAGCTGCGTGAACAGGCCGTTGTCGTGCGTGTGCACCTCGTGCACGAAGCTGTAGAAGTGGTGCTCGTGCCGCTGGCAGAGGTCGATGAAGGCTTGCACTGTCTGGTTAGGATCCGCGGAAGCATCCTGCTCGCGGCACTTGTCGACGACCTGGTGTATTTTGTTAGCTGGGCTGCTCGGGCGGGCGGGCAGACGTAGACGCGAGCGGCCGCGCGGGTACTCACCTGGATCAAATCATCGATAAAGCGGGCAAAGTCCGTCACGCTGTTGTAAACGTTGGCCGACTTGTACACTCTGACGAGAGGCTCGTAGAAGATGGTGAATAGGTCCCGGAACAGCTGTAGCGTGACCGGCTCCTCAATGAGACTCAACATCATGGCCTTATCCCTCTGTCGAATGTAGAGCTTCTGGAGCTGCTTGAGGTATGAGAAGAGCTGGGCGCCTTGTCTGAGTTCCTCATCGACGTTCTCGACCGCATTGTTGAAGGCCACATAGGCATTGTACAGCTTCCCGATCTGCTCAGGCTCAAGCGCAGGGCCAACAAGCTCCGACCTCAGGATGGCAACGATGACGTCGAGATCTTCGCTGATGGCCTCCTCCCTGATCGCCTCCTTGATTTGCTCCTCAGCGTCTGTGAAAGTCTTCAGTTTCTCGACGAAAACGGGATCCCCGATCTTATCACCCAGCGCATCGATCGATCGCTGGAAGGTCCTGATGCCATCGTGGAGCGTCATAGAGAATATGCGCTGCATCAGAGACCTAGTGCCGAAGGGTTGAGCCAGGAAGATATCTAGGATGCTAGACATGACAGCTGCTGGGTTGGCTATCCGGATTGCATTTTTGATGAGTGTGTAGGGTATCAGTGAGTGAATCCGCTTCGCCTGGGCGAACAGCTCAGGCGAGTTGTCCTCGGCGAGGAAGAGGTGATAGATGGTAGCTGCCACTTCGATGCGCAACCACTCGGCGAACTTTTGGTACTGTAGGCTCAGGTCTTGAATCGTCTCCTTCTCGCGGATTTCCTGGAACAGCATGGTCAAGCCGTTGCGCTCTACAATGTCCTGGCGGAACCTAAAACGGGTCAGCATGGGGTAGGCAAACTCGGCCAGGGCACGTACTGTTCCATGTAGACGTCCAGCTCGGCCGCGCGCTTCCTCGCAACCTCGTAGAACTGCTTCTGCTCCTCCACCCGCTTCTTGTCCACGTGCTTTCGGCGCACAATGTCGTCGGTATCCTCGTCACTTAGTGTTACCGGGTCTGCGGATAGGAACTCCTCCATGGCCTTTGTACTGGCGATTTGAGGGTTGTGCAAGAGGGTGCGCAGAAAAGCGCGTAGTGAGATTCTTTGGCTCTCTCGCCATATCACGACAGTCTGGGGATGTTAATAAGATTCTCAGAGAAGGCTTGGTGTCTGAGTCGGGAGACAGTACCTCTTGGGGTTTGGGACTCAGGAGCGCGGGGCTTAACGGCCTGCCATCGACAGAATTTCGAGGAGATCGGTCACCCGAGCGATGGTCTAAGTGTTGAACGAGTAAGTAGCTGACAGCCGGGGCACGTGAAATGTAACTGACCTTTTACAGACAATAACCTCGAAACGGCTTCGCTGTGATGCCCGGGGCCGTTGGGCACTGGACTGGGCGGGACCTGGGTTGAGACGGACGAGATGGACGATGTCTCGGAGTTATTCCCACTATGGCTGCCGATGATACTGGGCGCTGTCGAATGTGACTTGTTCTTCTGGGGGAGTGGTGGAAGGACTTTGCCCGGCAACTCGGTGCGCAACCTCTTATGTAAACGCGCAAAGTCCCCGTACCGTCGTCCGACAAAATGCTCTTGCGCATTTTTCCTTCTTACCCGGAGAAGGAATTCCTTCATGTCATAATTAGCACAAGAGAGACTACCGCTTGTATCGAGTGCGGGATAGAACTCACGGCATGCTTATGTGGCCTCAGTTTCCGCTTGACGGCGATGATCCGGACGCCAGCGACGTTGACATCCCACCCGTTCAAGTAGTTACCTTCAGGCAGCGTAGAGAGAACACCGGTATCGATCGCATTGGCATCGACAATCTCGAGCTCGGAAAACCTAATTCTCTCTTCGAACCCGGAGGATGTCGGAATTCCCGATACCATCATCAGCTCTACCATCTTCTTCGCCTTGGTGGCTAGCTTCCTTCGCTTAGTCTCCTCTAAGCGGTCTTCCGAAGACGATATGTTTTTGCTCGCAAATGACTCGAGGAACTAGACAGTTTCGTCACATATCAGCCCCCCGAATTTCTTGTCCCGGAGGTCTTCCGTCTGAAGTAGCAGGGGCAATCCAAACTTACCACCTGTAGCTTGTCTTGCCAGAATTCCTTCTCCTTCGCCTTGTCGAGGAACGGAAACTCGCGGACATGGTGAACGAAGATGTATCTCAGGATCGGCAGCTCGGAATCAAGCGGGGAGACCTCCCCGAACGAGGATTTGAACGGTGCGCCAAACCGTCGTAGCGCGGTGGGCGAGTTAAGCTCCGATACCTCCCACTTCACTTGCTCCGACACGAGTTCGCGCTTTAGGTCTACAACACGGCACTTGTCAGTTGGCGTTGGACAAGCGAGGTCAAGGTTAGGATCCAAAGAAGGCCAACGAACAGTGCTCTTGTTTTCCTGTTAGGCTCTGGTTTGGCGCAGGTGCCGATGCTCCAGCTGTTCGCACCGGGAGTTCCATGGTCTGGCCAGGTTGTACCTCGCCGGACTTCGACGTATTATCGGAAGCCATTTTCAAGATGGGACCAATATGGCGAGTGCTCGGAAATTATAAGTAAAAGTGGACTGGGTTCTCAGGGTTTGTTTTTGTAGGTTATATCCCGCCTTCTTCAACTTCGGCGTGGTCTCGGGATTGCGATATCGTGTTAGGCGTTCTTGATGGCGGGGCAGATCGCGGGCAGTCAGCTCGGGTAGGAGCCAAAAAAAGTACCAGGAAAGGCCCGCGCTTGCACTGTGTGTGCCGCCGGGTCGGGTGTGCAAGGCGTCTGTGTTTCGGCGCTTGTACCAAACGGAAACTACGAACCAACACGCAGCCCAACTTGTCGACGGGAAAAGAGTGCCGGATGGAACCAGATTACTGATAAGTGTTGCGGACGATGGAATGGAGGTATGTACAGAAGAACTGGAAGAACCACCCCGCAGGCCGAGATGCAGATCAACGCCCAGGCGGTTAACCCGGATGGTTGTCGCCTTTTAGGTATTTATCCTCGAGCTCCAAAATCGAAGAATAAACCCAAGACGGGTTACTTTGCGACCTGCTCCCAAGAAACCCCAAGACCTCTCCAAGACCCCAAGACTCGGGCGGTGTTGGCGCATCCTCTCAGCAGTCCGTCTTCAGTGGCTGGTGAATGCCTAGTTGGTCCACGGGTGGGATGGTTGCGGCAGATGAGCCTAAGCCTGCTGGCGCCCGATGACGCATTTGGCAGTTGTGTGGGTGGCGCAGATCCGAGTTAGGTCCCTGGTCCCTGATGACGTCTGCTTGGCATTCCTCCCTTGCAAGCAGCCAAGCCCGGGAATGCCTCCGGCGGGTAGCCCGACTCCCGACTCCCGACCCCCGACAACCGGAGGCTTACACGACAAGCCCTGGTGGAGTGGAAACCGAGATGGCTTTGTCTGTGTACGTACTTCGTACTGTGTATGTATTCGTATGAGCAGAAAGTCACGGCAGACCTCGAACAGACAAACCGGGGTTTTGTTGCTTCTCCCTGGAACGGCGTGCCGATCGTGTTTCATGCGACCCGAAGCGGGACCCTGCGGTCTTTGTTGGGCGGAAGGAGCAGGAGGAGCTGGGGCCATCCACCCCGATGCTTTGTCTCCGAGAGTTGCTGCGTTTCTGAGAGTTGGGACGGAATTCGGGTCATTTTTACACAGTAGCAAACCGCCGGTTGAGAAGAAAGCCAGTCAGACAAGGTAAGTTAGCCGCTGGCTTTGTATTACTACTAACTGCATAGGTTGCTACTTTGATATTGAATTCTGGCAACACAACGAAAAGAGATCTATGACGCGGGACCTCCCTAGATATGCCTCGGTACCTACAATTCATCGAACGCCCTGAGCATATCAGGTGTGGAAGACGAGACGCTTAGAGAATCTGTATTGTTAGATGGCCAGCTCTTCTCCTGGGGCGTTTTTGCGCCTGTCCCCGTGACATGTCTGAGGCTGCTCAAACCGTCGCTCGCAACGCGCGATATCGTTGTTTCTGGACTCTCGGGTGCATACTGGGAGCCGATGAAGAGCGAGAGCACCAGAAAGAAAATGACGGATGTGACGACCCAGACAGCTTTGAGGCGCTTCCTCGTCTTCTCCTGCCATTCCCGGTCCGCGCGCTCCCAACCCTCGATCCGCGCACTCACGGCGTTGACCCGCTCGCCCAGCGACCTGATGAGCTCCCGTCTCGATTGGATGCGGCCCTGGAGGGACTCTATGCGCTGTTGCTGGTCCTCGAATTGGCCAAATGTATCGAGCTGCGCGTTTATATCCGTGACCAAATCGTCCGCCTCTGTGCCGAAGTTACTGTTTAGCTGCCGGGAGCGTTCGCAGAGTTCTTTTAGTGCCATAACAGTGCCTTGTAGCGAGCCTAGCTTTTCCAGAACCCCGTAATATGTGTCATCAAGCTGCTTTGTCGTCGAGGTTGTAAAAGACTCAAGCTCGGCGAGAGATCGTTGCAGGCCACTAGGAGGGAGGTTAGCGCATGATCCGGTCGACGGAAAAGAGCTTGTGTGCTCACCTTTCTCGTGCTGCGGCCTTCTGCTGCTCCTTGGAAAGTCCATTAACCACCCCGTTGTCCTTCGAGGCCTTGGTGGTCGCCGGCATCACTTCGTCGGCCGACGCATAGAGAAGACTCGTGCGTCGGCTGGCGCTGGGAGTTTGATTCGGGGTCACCCCCTCGGACCGTGACCATTCGAATGAGCGGCTGCCTTGCACCACGGGTATCGCCGACTGCGGGGCCGGAGTGCGCGAATCCCGCTCCGTCTCTTTTGCTGCGCGATACGAGTGATGGCGATGCAGGCGGATTGGCGACGAGATCTCGGAGATGGACCTCTTTATTTGATGCCGCGGGCGCCCCGGCGACGACGCTTTGGATGCATCGCCGCCATTTTGGGACATGGTACTCCCCGTTTCCTGGCTGGACTTATGGGATTGGGTTGGCGGGCCGTACGACGACACTAGCAAGAGGAGAGGTGACTGGAATTGGACCCGAGGTTGCGAGAGTCATGTCAGGCGACCGCCAACTGAGGTGGGGCGGAAACTGTGAGCGGCATAGCGGCATGTGATTCTCAGCCACGGCGCCCGGGCCGCTCCAAAACAGGAATTTGGATAACTACAGGCTGAACCATACTGTGCAGTTATTCCTGGTCCTTAATTCTTGTCTTGCGTGCAAAGTCTCTAGTGTAGTTATGTATTAGATACTAGGGACAGCACGGCCCGGGTGGTCTACCAAGACCAAACCTGCACAAGAGGCCCGCACTAACTAATTAAGTTACCAGTCACTCCTGAACCCGGAGGCTTGGATCGGCGACACTCGGCTTTGTCCCGCTTCTGCTCTGAGGCTAACCCTCGATGTTGCTACCCGGAACCTTTCTGCGGGCGTATGCGTCGAGAAAGCGTGGGCGGGTAAAACACTCCGAGTCTACCGGCCTTCTTCCCTTCAACTGAGCCATCATGTATCTTCATTTTAGATCTTATCCATGGATGCCGTGCCCGGGATGTGAAGCGATCCTATGCGCCGCTGCCAGCTGATGTTGTTCCGTCCGCCCAAGATCCAGATCATGAGTTGAGGAGCTTGTTTCGTTTCTCCTTGCGCTTCAACCGCTCCAGTCGCTTTTTGTGCATCTTTGCCGCCAATAGTTCATATCGTTCTTTCTCTGCCTTCGCCGCTCGCTTCTCTACAAGGGTTTGTATCCGCCTCTGTGAAATTGGGAGTTAGCACTGCGTGGTCGCTCATCAATCAATATGGCGTTCCTCGGCGAACTGCGCACCTTTCGCTCTGCTTCCTTTTCTTCCTTCAGCTCCTTCTCTTTTGCCTTTGTGGCGGCTTGTGCGACTCTCGTTTTCGCTCGCTGCTCGTAGGATGTCAAGCCGGATCCTGGTCGAAAGGCTTTCTTGGGGGCATGCCATTGCTTGCCTGGTGGGTATCTTAGTATAAGGAACCAAAAGCCGGACGGCGGGTGTTTAATGTACCGTTTTTCCGCATCCCCAGAGGTTTTGACACCGCTACCTCTGGCGCTGGTGCGCCATCCGCTATCGTTGTAGACATCTTCAAATTTGTTGATTTTGTCGTTGTCTTCTTTTGAAGACGCCGTCGCTTGAGCTGCGGCGAAAGCGGTCAGGTTTTCCTGCGACCAAGCAGAAAATTAGGGGGCAGAATTGCGAGCGGTGAGCGGTGCTTTTGCGGGGTTACCCCTTGTGTGCAGCCGCGCTCGGGGGCCAGAGTGGCCAGCTGCGGCTGTTCGAAGAATGAGGCTGCGTGTCCCCACATGGACCGAGCTCCAGTCAGAACTTGAGCCGTCAGTTTGTATTATGAATACCTATTCGTAAGTCCAATGCGCTTTTGTTACCTCGAGTCCATTTCGAGTGGTGAATTGTTCTTCCATCTCGCGAGTTCGTTTGTTACTCCCCATGCAAACCACCTGGCATCCACATCCAACTTTCCGGTTCACGTCGTTCTTCCGTTTGGCGATTGATCAGGACACTTCGAGAGTTTCAGTGAGTTGCACTCCTCTCGCCGCGCGGGGCACGTCTGCAGCGAACATGAGCGTCGCGGAAGCAATCTGTGGTGTGGCTGGACAGCAAATTGCCCAAAGGAACAATTGCTGCTTCTTTGGCTCGGTTATCACGCTGTGATCCGGTAATGCATTGTTTTAGGCGTCGTATTGTGAACTAATGCAGGGGCTGACTGGAGTGGGACACCGGAATCCATAATTTACATTGGCTCTAACTCGGAAATGAGTTCGTCTCGTCGCCCAGTGCCGAGCATTCAGGAGTGGGTTCGTTAATCTTCAGTTTTCAACAGTTGTGATCGCAGCAAAATCAAGCACTTCCAGTTGTTTGACCTCGTTATTTGGCGTGTTGGAGGAATTTGAAGCTGCCGCCGTCGGCGTGCGTCGGAGTGGAACGGAGAGCGCCGCGGGTCATGCATCGCCGTCAGGCTCGCGAGCCACTGGACGGCGATGCTGACACCAGGCCCGCACATCCGAAGAATACGGAACGATGAGTGCGGAAGGCAATCGCTGTCCTTCCCTTTTTTGCGGAACATCAACACTGCGGGTTTTGCTGTGCCGTTCTGGAAGAAGGACTGCGAAGTGCGGACAGGATTCGAGCCGTGGGGTTGCATTTGGACCCCCGTGCGTCAGGGGCAAGTCGTGGGTGTGGCCACTTGCAACGGAGATCTGGCAGTTCTCACTTGCGGGGTACCCGACGCGCAAGATGCAATGAGGCGCAGACCGTCGCGCTCCTGTCTGGGTACAGATTACAAAGTTACTGTGGTCTGGCGGTCGAGAAACAGAATACGAAATATCGGAGGTGAAGATACCTCTGACGTTGATCCTCACGTTCCGGGGTGTCCCTGGCGAGAAAAGACCAGCGGCGCCGGGCTGCGAATGCCATCTAAAATTGGGCTGACCTGGCTTGCCGAGCGGCTGCCTCCTCCGTACCTGGCTCGAGCCCCCTCACCTTTATCTGGGGCACTGCGACCATGCCGTCGCATCGGGTGGTGGTCACGGAATCGCAGGGCACCCGACTCGGAGTGTCGAGTGTTGTGATCTCCATGGGGCCGAAGTCAGCTGTTGTCTGCGCATCGAATTCGGCAATTGAGGGCGTCGGTTGACTGTTTGCGCAACCTCAAACAACAAAAGAAGAACCACCTTCGGCACAGTATTGAAGCTGAAAGACGGGAAACGGGCCGGGAGGTTCAAGAGGACAGGCAATGGTGGGCGCCGTTCCTGCCGCTTTTGGTTCCTGAGGACCCGCACCCACAGTGTTAATGTTACCCCCGCACATTACAAGGCCCATTTCAACACAACGCCCAGGTTCTCCGTCTCTCACCCCTTCCTCCCACATCTCTCGCATCGCCGCCCTCAACTTCATCGACTGCCCGGCAACCCCTTTGGTTCAATTCCGGCAGCAAATCGAGAGATTTGCTCTGGCTTTGGCCGTCCACTCCTTTGATACCTACGCCGTTGGATTCGTCTGGACACAGCATTCGGTTGCCTAATTCTCCAGGTCTTTTGCAGCCACACGGACTTGTCTCTCTCAATGGTGCGTTGTGGTGCTCATTGCTCGCCGCGACGCCGCGACGCCGCCTTCAGAATTGCGACGTCGCGTACTGCGCAGCACACATCATTCGAACCCATGGCCATCGCCGGCTCATTTGGCTTTCGCTGACACCCACCAGTTCCCAGACTGCAATTGATTTTAATCGTTTAATTCTCACAAATTGGCTGAGCCTCGACAACTTTCTCGACTGGCCTCGAATCGCCCCCCGCTGCGAGCCTTTCCACCAGTCGACGTTTATACTCGGCATTTTTCATGTCACTCGCATGCCACTAAGTTGCCATTCGATTCTGGTGCCGCAGAGCGGCTTGAAAAGATGGCAACTATTGGCCTCGATATGCTGATCGACCCTCCCTCGCCAGACGGTCTCGAGCCCGGGGAGGCGCTTTACCTTTTAGGGCCCCAGACCATGAGCGATGCGGCGTCCCAGGAGCATCCTTCTGATCCACAGGCGTCTCCGCGATCGAACCCGCCTCCCCCGAATCCGCCGTTCGTCTTCCCGCAACGGCCATCCTCTTCTTCCGGGCCGCCTGCAGTTCCTCGAGCAACTGGGAGACGTCCACGATCCGCGATTGAACCTCGGAGCACGTTAGCGAAAGCAAGCGCGGAGGATGAAAAGGGTGTTCCGCGATCGCCAGCTCTGCCTGCCTTTTCTTTCAACCCTGGTGCTTCCCAGCCCTCAACACCGGGACTGGAGAACATGTTTTTGAGTCCCCCGCAGTCTCCCTCAGCACCGAATTCCCCGCGGTTGGCCGCCACTCGGCCCGCTGGCCATGGACATCGCAGAGGCGGGAGCGAGTTTGTCGGAGGGAGCATTCGGGATGGTGAAGCCATAACTGTTTTGAACACCAGCCCGACCAAGTCCGACAGCGGTATGGCTTCGCCTCTACTCCAGCCCACCAGGCCCCGCAGAGGCCATGCCCATCGTCGGTCTGCTGCTATCTCCAGCCACGACCTGTCTTCGATCATCGCCCCACCGCCAAACCCGAGCGTGAAGGGGAGCACTGCTCCTGCGAGCCCGGCCGCCGCCGAACGATCCCCTCGCCAAAGCCCTCATACTCCCGAGAAACCCACTGAAATCGAAAAGACGGCACCTGCGCCTGCCCCAGAACCCGTTGCAATTGGACTCGGCACTCCGCCGCCACCTGCTATGGAACTTGAACAGACCCCCAAGGCTCTGGTGCGAAATAGGGTTGGGTTTTCCGATACCTTGGAGTACATCCCAAGGCCGCTCTCGCTGGTGTCCACCGATACTTCCAGCACTGTTACCGCAAGGCCTGGTCACTCGCTCTCGGGGAGCATCTCCTCCGTCATCTCCATTACAAACGCTGATCGCGAGGTGGGCCCATTTCCTGGTTCCGCTCCCGCGCAGAAGACTAGCGACAGTCGGCCTAGCACGGCAGGTGCTGTCATGGAGCGAACCCAGAGCGCCCAGGAGCAGGACCCAGCTCTTCGGTCTCCGAGAAGACGTGGATCGATCCCTCTTCTGGGCTCGCTTCCCCCTACCATTCCAGACTGCCCAGCTACTCCGAGCCCGACCAGATCCACGAAAAAATGGTCGTTTTTCAGCCTCGACCCTTTCGTCTCGGGCTCACCTACACGGACTCAGCCGGATAGTCCTCGCTCTACCATCTCGCATTTGAGCATGACGGAGCCCAAACCCGTGGAGCGCGTCGCAGATACTCCGCCGCCCGGACCTGTAGAAGGCCCAGATGCCCCGAAACCGCTAAGCAAGAAAAGAAGTAAAAAGAAGAAGAAGGTGAAGACTTGGGCAGGGTCCATTTTGTCCCGCAAAGGCAAACACCGACCAGGTAAGCAGAAGCGCAGAGCGCCGACCCCACCTCCACCGCGTCCTTTCGAGGTGGCCGACGAGGTGGAAGACGGCGAGTTGCACATGTCTCTAGAGCCGGAAACTTCGAACCTGCAGCCATCTGGAAATGGGGACTGGGAAACGTGGACCTTCCCAAAACCTGCCCAAGATGAGGACATGTCGTACCAGATGATCGACCTGGACGCGGCTCTCGGACCGTTCAACACCCCCTTGCCACGCAATCTGGAATGGGAAGCTGCACAAAAGGCGGGAGGCCTCACCAAGAAGCAGCTTCACAGCGCTGCAGGCATGAGCCGGTTTACCGGGCCCGGGATGCACTACTACCATAGACGGGCTGAAAGCGCCCCGGAATTGGTGCCTTTCGAAGGTGGACGCTTTGGATTCCGGCGGTTCGGGAGCAGCTCCACAATGGCTGACGTGTTCGAGGAGGACGAGGAAGAAGAGGAAGAGGATTCGTGCGAGTCCTCGACTGGCGCATCGACGCCTGCTGCTGGGACCTCAATCGCCGAGAAGCCCGAGGACGTGGTACCGCTTGAGGAGCCGTTGCAACCTCTTCAACAAAGCCCAGCTAAGGCAGACAATATCGCGCCGCCTCCAGTCGAAGCCAACCCCGGACCGAGTCGCGAAGCCGACGATGTGTCGAAGACAGCAAAATCGGCATCGAATCCGGTTCCCAGTCTGGGCCGCGATGAGGTGGTTCTCATTGAACCTTCTCAGTGCTTGACCGAATTTTCGGACTCACCTGGTTACAACGCCAATTCTGGTTCCGCAACGCCTTCCCCGCGCCATGCCTTCCGGCCCAAGGATCTAGCTCCCGTCGAGGTTAGCCCTCTCAACCTTCCCACGACATCGTTGGGTCCTGTTAGCCCGTGGTCCATGACCCAGTCCTCCGCGTTTCCCTCTCCAAGATCACCAATGTCTTATGATGCGCAGTGCATCTCTACCGCGCCGTCGTCGGTTACAGAGGACAACTTCCATTCGCTTCTTATGGGAGAGCCCGGGCCAGAAGTCCGGATATCGGTTGACGATATCCCCTCTCTGACGTCCAGCAACTCAACGATGACACGGGACAGCCTCTTTGCACAGCACCCGCAAGCAAGGCAACCGCCGTTGAACGATCAAGCGAGGCCTGCCTCTTTTACCTCGACTGCTTTCGGGCGGCGGCGTTCAAGCCTGGCGAGCCTTAGTCGCCTGATCAACAGCTCACACGGGGAACGAAGCAAGTTGTCGATCGAAGTCCCAATGGATAGCGAGCCGGAGAAGAAGTCTAAAAGCAGCAAGACCAAGCGCTTGAGCCGGATGATGCAGTTTTGGAAGTCGAAAGATGGCAGCACGGCATGAGGGCCACAGCTTCCTGGCACATTCGGATGGTGTCTGAACTATGAGGATGCAATTGTAGGATTATGGAGGGGTGTTGGGGGGGTTTAATTTTGATGTCTTTTGGCGTTTCTGATGGCAGCATGAAGGGCAAGGTTACATGAGATCAGGAACAACAATCTCAACTGCCAGAGTGCGCCACGGGTTTGATGGCGGCTGGGAGGATATGATGGGGACGGATATATGATTTCTCAGGCGGCAATGGTTCGGATTCTCAGGACATATCATTTTACATGTGTCGTACCATGAGGTAGCGGGTGTATCCCGAAGCAATAGCTAGCAAATTGAGGCCGACATCCATGTGTCTTTTTTTTTTTCTTTTGTTGGCATTGACATTTTCCATCCTCGGAGTATTCCATACAGATGACAACTTCCCTTTGCCAGCTTTGACGGTACGATGTCCTGTAATTGAAGCCCTTAGGTAGTGGGTGGGGGTTCCGCACGCGCCCCACTGTGCACGCTGCCTCGGCTCCGAGCGCATCAACGCGCCCGACAAGCCGCGCGTGGCTGAAGGCTGTTGTCAAGTTGCAGCTCGAGGACAGAGCAGGGGTCGGCACATGGGGAATCACACCACACAGTGACGACGAATCATTGAATCCGCCGGGAAACGCCACGGACCGAATCTCCAGGACCGCAATCTCCCGACTTTGGTCGAACCTCGTCTCTTCCCCCGCCGACAAGAGAACAAACCCAAAAGTAACAACAACAACAACAACCGTACATCAACAACGAGGTTGCGAAACCGGCCCCTGGCGATGCCTCCCGCATCCCCCCTCCCCCGGAGCGCCATGCGCCGTCTGCTCAAGGAGCTCGAGACGTGGAACAAGACCGAATCGGCCGACGAGCAGGGCATTGAGCGTCTCGGCCCCGTCGCCGACGAAGAGCTACTTAGCTGGGAGGCCGTCGTCAACGGTCGGGGAGTTGGGTGCGGCTATGAGAGTGCGTAAACACACAGATATATATACATCACATCCCCATCCCATCCACCCACTTCCCCCCCCCCCCCCACCCTCTCTCTCCCTCCTCCAGCCAGCCACACCTCACCCCACCCACCCACCCAGCGCAAAACCAACCCAACTAACTCACCCTTCCTTCCCCTCACCAGACGGCCGCTGGCTGCTGCACATCACGATCCCGCCGGAGTACCCGCTCCAACCCCCCCAGATCCGGTTCGCGACGCCCGTCGTGCACGCCAACGTGAGCCTGCAGACGGGCGAGATCTGCCTGGACCTGCTCAAGGACGCGTGGACGCCGGCCTACACGGTGCTCGAGTGCGTGCGCGCCGTGCGCCTGCTGCTGAGCGCGCCCGGCGTCGACTCGCCGCTGAACATCGATGTGGCGGCGTTGTTGCGTGATGGGGATGTCATGGGGGCGCGCAGGCTGGTGGAGTTGTGGGTGGAAGAGGAGAGGTTTGAGGGGGAGTAGGGGTGAGTAAGAGGGGGTTTTTTTCTGGGGAGGGGGACGGTGGGATGGGAGGAGTGGAAGGTGGTGACAGAGAGATGGGAGTGGGAAGAGGGCAATCTGTTTTTTTTTGCCTGGCTTGAAGTCGGGAACGAGTGGCTGGCATACTTTGGCACGTATAAAGATCTAATCTGAGGGGCATGGAAGCAGGAGTTGGACTGGTCACATCGGGGTTGGACTGTTTCACCGTTGATACTGGCGACATAGCGACACAGGGCGTTCCGCAAGTAGCGTTCGCTTAGAAATGATGCATAATAACGATACCCATTGCTTCGCACCTCTATATCCTCTCAACGCCGTGCTTGTGCCTTTTATCATGGCCGTCCGCCAGCTAGCAGTGACCGATGCCTGCCCAAAAACGTCCAACCAAGCCAAAAACTAGGCCACCACATTGCGCCCGTTACCATCAAGGTCGCACACTGTATTGTACAAGTTTGAAGCACACCCCTTTCCGCTATTTGACCAACTCCAAGCCCTGGGAATAAAGCGGTGCAACACTCGCGATCGAGGGGGGTTCCAAGGCTGTTACTGACGGGCCAGAGCCTCGACTGCCAGTGTGCCATGCTCTGATGACCTCCCGTGACTATCCGAGTCAAATAATCACTCCGCCGCTCACATCATCCTGGGGAAATCTTATATGATATATCACTCGTTGTAGTGATACACCTGTTTCTGTTAGCACGTGTCCAACGCTGACTGTTAGTGATAGGCACAGTACCTTATAATTAGGGAGCCCAAAGGGCTGCCAGCCCAACCTCTTAGACATCTTTGCGAAACCCTCCGTCTCAATCAGGTTGTAGAAGGCAAACGGAGGGAACATAGCACCGTCCCGGTGGACGTCTGCCTTCACCAGAAGCGCAGCGCCGCCAACACCGTCCAGGGGCATCTCCTCATGCAGACGGCCGCCGTCATTGGTCATGTAAGCCATCAATGTCCGGAACGTTGCCATTTCGGCATAGCCCTCCAGCAGGATATCGTCCGGGTCCATCTTTTTGGCCATGTCCAGCGCGGTGGGGCTGTCCTGCCAGTTGTTGAAGTCGTACGGCCGTTCGTCCATCTCCTTCTTCTCTTCGTTCCAGAATCGCTGGAAGCAATTGGGCGCCATGATAGCCTGGTCGTGCTGGGCCAGGTCCTGAATGATCGTCGGCGGGGTCTCGACGACATCGGCATCCAGCCACAAAATCCACGAGGTTGCCGGTCCGAGAGTCGAAAAGAGAAGAGAGTTACGGGCCTTGGCCATGGCCGCCCGCCGGGCCTTCTGGTTCTGCATCTTATGGCGCTCCTTTTCGTCCTGCGATACGAGCGGCGGGTCGATGTCCTCCCGCAGGATGATGATGCTCTTGAACCGATCTTTCTCCGGCCCGTACTTTTGGGTCTTGGTGATCCGGTTCTGCAACTCCCTCGTCGCATCGTTCCCTTCCTTCGTCTTGGGCAGGATGAAGCCGAGCGTGATCAGTTCGTGGGGATACTGCAACTCGAGGATGTTGTCCCAGTACCCCTGGTAGAATCGCGCCATTGGCGTTAAAACCAAAACGTTCTCGCGGTTCTCGAGCGGCTTGGGTGTGGTGGTGACATTGTTAAGGTCATAATGTGCGACGGGCGGCGGTTTCAGCTTGCCATTGCCGGTCGACTTGCGAAAGGGAGAAGTCGGCGGCGAGAGAGGGTGGGATGCGGCGGTGGCCTTGCGAGAAGCGGAAAAGTCGGGAGTCGAGGAGCCTATTAAAAAGTATAAAATGAAGATGCAGAGGGCGGCGCCGACGGCAAGAGTCGCTGGGCTCGTCTTCTTGAGACGAACCGACCCCATGGGGCGCGCCATGGGTTCGTCGAAAATGGAATTAGGAAAAACGACCCATAGAGCTGCCAACGATGCGCCGTTGATTGTCGGGAAATCAACTCTTTGCACCAACGGTTACCCAACGAAAGGGACGCAACAAAGCGGCCCGGTAATGCAACCAAGGGGTTGCCCGTCCACGGCTGTGAAGGGTCGGAGGTGGTGCTGTTGGTGGTGCCAGGGGGTGGATGGAAATGGGGTTCGAAAAAAGGACAAACTGACAATCGCCCTGAACAGGTGGTGCTGGCTTCTCGCGGCACACAGTATTCGTATCAAATGAGATTAACCTTCCCCCCTGCCCTCGCTGTAAGTGTCCGTATGTATGTACCTTGCGAGTCAGACCAGCTCACCCTAACACTTGTTAAACTCTCCTCCAAACCGAACCAAGACAATTTATACGAAAAGCGTCTGAGTTACCTAGGCGGTATTCTAAATACTGTTCTTTCTTCAAAGGACTCCATAGTTAAATTAGAAGCTTAAATCTTGAAGTTTGCTAGGATCTGCATCACCTCACCCCACAGTGAACCGTACAGTTTGTAAACAGTGCTTGGCTCAGGGCGAGCTGCGTCAACGACCGGCAGCCTTGCCAACAGCAGCTCGCCCACTGCCAACCACAGAGCTCAAGCTTCAACACCCAAGCCCGCCGCCTTCCCCGAAAGTCAAACCCGACAGGCTCCTCCACGCACCTCGCGAATTTCCCTGTTCATAACCAAAACTGCGGCGATCGACGTATTCCGCAACGATGTCAATAACACCAATCATTACGTTCAAGGCGGGCATGTGTGATGTCGACGTCAGTCCGCCTTCGCTTATGTACCCCTCCATGAAGTTGTCGTGTGCTGACGGGATACCAGCAATCCTCAAAACCCTTCAAGATCAAGGCCCAGGCTACGCCAGGCTACATCTATCTCTACTCCGAAGATGGTATGATTACAACGCCCCAGCCCCAGCGCCCCGCGCACTCCCAGCCCGCAAGCTGACTGCCCCGCCCCAAACAGACCTCATCCACTTCTGCTGGCGCCCCAGGTGGACGCCCCTCGACGAGCCCGATCTCGACCTAGTCATGGTGCCGACAGACGGCAACTTCGTCCCATACGACACCCGCACGCCGAGCAACCCCTCCTCCAAGACCAACGGCCGCATCTTCGTCCTCAAGTTCACCTCCTCCTCGCAGCGCCACCTGTTCTGGCTCCAGTCAAAGCCCCAGGGCAACAGCGGCGACCCGGCCTGGCTCAGCCCGAGGGACCTCAAGATCGGCGACATCGTAGACAGGCTGCTGCAGGGCGAGGAGGTGGACGTGAACGAAGAGCTGCGCTCGGTCCGCAACAACAACGACGACAGCCGGCGCGACGCCGACGACGACGACGACGACGAAGCGATGGAGGATGTGGAGGGCCACGGCGATGTGCATGCGCATCGCCGCAGCGGCCATGGGGGTGCCGGTGCCGGCGCCACCGGCGGGGACTTTAGGGAGGAGGGCGAGGATGCCAGGGAAGGTGGGGGAGACGGCGCGAGAGCGTAGGTTGACCATTCTCCCATCTGACGCGGTTCCCGGGTGCTTTTTGGCGCGTACATCGTGGTTGTTTCTTGCTGCCGGGGAATGAGCCGGGTCTGGCGCATAGGATTGGGCCTCTTTCCAGATAGCATGTACATCCTAGAGACCCGCCAGCACGAACATGGCGGAGAAGAGAATGAGAAACCGACATTGTCTCATTTCTTGGCTCGCACCTCAGATGTCCTGCGCATGTGCTAACTCATGTTGGTAGGGCGAGCAACGATGCTGCTGACGTGGTACGGAACTTCCTCGATTCTCTCAAGGGTGGTGCCCCGGGGCTCAAGAGCAGCCGGGCCGAGGGCAAGGCCTATCCTCTGCTCAACGATCTCCTCGAGACCTCCACGACTATTCCCATGCTCGACAGTGCCGCCGACGAGTACGTCGACAACCTCCTGAGCTTCCTGCCTCCAACAGTGTTGGTCCTCGCCCAACAGGGAAGCAACGGCAACGCCATCGAGAGAGAACCCAGCGCGGAATCGGTGGAAGCGGCCAAACAGGCCCTGAGCTCTGGTCAGAAGCGCGCACTCCTTAAACAAGTTCTCCGCAGCCCGCAGTTCACCCAGAGTCTGGCGAGCCTGACGGTTGCGCTCAGGGACGGCGGTCTGCCTAGCATCGCCGAGGCACTGGGAGTCGCGGTGGAGAATGGCGGGCTGGTCAGGGGTGGGACTGTGCCTCTGGGTGGCGGCGACGCCGTTGAGGCTTTTGTGGAGGGCGTGAAGAAGACGGTACAGAAGAAGTGATGGAGTTTATTCGGCACCATTGGCAGGATTCAAGACAGGGGTTCGTCGAGGCACCTGCGAATTCCCATGTATAGCTTGCCCATGAAAGGAGGCATGCGGTCTTAGCTCTCAAGCCTGTTTCGAGAGCTCATCAGAGAAGCAACAATTGCACTCTACTTGAACAGAGATACACAGGAATTAGTTCGTGAATAAGGATCTCGGGGTGCTTGGTAGGAATACCTCGTTACCGTAGCTCCTCCCTGACGGTGACCACCCTCTACCTCTCCCCCGATAAGCTGGAGACCCCCAGAGGCCCCCTAGCTTCAATAACCGGTTATTGTTACTACGGAATCAACCCTTCGGACAATCACTCTCAAGCACGTGTCAAGACATGTCGGATAATAGGTGATTCTCTACATAACCCTAACCCCCATCATACATTTCGCTCCGAGCGAGACTGCGTCATCCCCGTCAGCTACCCTAGTTAGGGAGCTTCACCTTGCATCCTCCACAATCCTTCTCGAGAATTGTGTTTCTCACCCAACACCCAACAACAACACCGAAATATGGCAGCAGAAGCCGAATACTGGTCATTCCCGACCAATGTGGAGGAGTTCGATCAAGACGAGCGCATCTCATATTCCAAGCTCGACAACAAGTACATCGCTGTGCAGGAAGATGGCACCGAGTTCGAATTCGACGAAGGGCTCAAGCGTTGGATCCCCATGATCGACGAGGCCTTGATTGAGGAACAGCAGAAGGGGTACATGATGCCGAATGCCGACGCAGAGGATGACCGGCGGGGATCCGCGCTGGGGAGAAAGAGGAAGATGGACTCGAACGATCGCGAGGTAAGCTGCGCGCGCATCTGCAGCCAGAGCCGCCCCGCACGCCGCCATGCCCTCCTCCTCCCACCATAGCCCACCACATCAGAGAGTTATGAAGACAAGAACAGCCCCGAACGCTCGCGCGCGAGATCCGGGAAAGACTGACCAGCCGCTTGATGTTACTTTCTGTTTGCGCGTCAGCAGGACAACAACCACAATAGCAAGATGGATCGTTCGTCCAAACCCGGAAAGCGGCATGGGAACCGCGGGCCGCCCCAGCCCAAGCAGAATACGGCCGTCTACGTGACCGGCCTCCCGCCCGACGCCACGGCCGAAGAGGTGGCCGAGCTCTTCTCGCGCAAGTGCGGCGTCATCGCCGAGGAGATCGACAGCGGCCGGCCGCGCATCAAGATGTACACGGACGCCGACGGCAACTTCAAGGGCGACGCCCTGATCGTCTTCTTCAAGCCGCAGTCCGTCGAGATGGCCATCATGCTGCTCGACGACACCGACTTCCGCTTCGGGTCGTCCTCCACCCCCAAAATGCGCGTCCAGGCCGCCGACTCGAGCTACAAGAAGACCAAATACGACGGCGGCGACGCCAAACCAGGCGAAGCCAGTAACAACAACAACAACAACAACAGTAATAACAACATCACCGGCCGCTCCTCAGACACTGCCAGCGCCAACCAGCGCAGCAACCAGGACAAAGCCAAGATCATCAAAAAGACCCAAAAGCTGTCCGCCAAACTCGCCGACTGGAGCGACGACGAGACCGCCGACGGCGAGCCCACCTCCACCAGCACCACCACCGGTACCACCACCAGCAGCAAACACGACCGGCTCGTGATCCTGCGGCACATGTTCACGCTGGCCGAGCTGCGCGAGGACCCGACGGCGATGCTGGACATCAAGGAGGACATACGGGAGGAGTGCGCCAAGCTGGGGCCCGTGACCAACGTGGTGCTGTACGACGAGGAGGAGGAGGGCATCGTGAGCGTGCGCTTCCGCACGCGCGAGGCCGCCGAGGCCTGCCTGCGCCTCATGCACGGCCGCGCCTTCGCCGGCCGCATCGTCGAGGCCTTCTTCGCGACGGGACGCGAGAAGTTCCGCCGCTCCAAGGGCGAGGTGGGCGGTGGGCGGGATCGGGGGAGTGGTGACGAGGATTGATTGATTGGTTGGTTGACTGGTTTATCTATTTATTGGTTAATTTTCGGTAACTACCTGTAGACCCCCAAGGGCTGGGTCTCTCGTCTTGGTGTTTAACGGCCTGTGTTCTTTTTCATCGCCCTTCGGTTGTGGTCGAGTTGGTAGCTTATGCCTAGAACAACTCGGCTGGTTTCGTCTGGGTTTGTATGAATAATTATCGGTTCAAACCATCACTTTACTTCTGCACCCTGCAATAAAGTCGGGCCATGAGATCACCTGTTTCCCGAGGCTGAGCGATGAGTACCATACGTAAAGCAGTCCATTCCGTGTCTACCCTCTAAACTAAAGTGTTGAACTTTTCCCCGACCCAACGCACCAGCCGTAAATCATCATCCCTAACCCCCCGCAGGGGTTTCGTATTGTACATCGAACTGGAAAAATCAAAGGCGACGGGGTATCTAAGTCAATCTCCCGGAATGGGTTCTTTTAGTGGTGGAAGAGCCGGATGTTCTGCTCCACGAACGTGATACCGTGCGCCTCGGCCGTCTCGAAGACGGGCACGTCGTTCTGGCTGCCACTGGGGGCGGCAATGTACTTGACGCCGGAACGGGCGGTGCGGTAAACATTGTCGGTGAAGGGGAACTATGACATTCGTTAGCTTCTAATCGTTGGTGCATTGTAGAGATACCTACGAAAGCATCGCTCGACACAACAACGTCGGTGAGCTTGCCCATCCACTCGTCCTTCTCCGCCTCGGTGAAGGCGGGCGGGACCTCTTCAAAAGCGGCCTCGAAAAGCTTGCGCTCCGGCCCCGACTTAGGGAGCTGGCCGCTGACGAGCAGATCGATGGCGTTGCTCTTGTCCGGGCGCTTGGTGCCCTTCTTCCACTTGATGCCGAGGACACGCGGGTGGAAACGGAGCCACCAGTTGTCGGCCTTGTCACCGGCCAACCGCGTGCAGTGGATGCGCGACTGCTGGCCCGCGCCGAGACCGACGATCTGGCCCCGGGCGGCATAGCAGACCGAGTTGCTCTGAGTGTACTTGACCGCGATGGTGGCGACGGTAAGGTCGCGCAGGGCGCTCTCAGAGAGAGGGCCGGCGTTCTTGGGGGTGACAATGTTCTTGAAGGACTCGGGGGAGATGTCGACGTCGTTGCGGCCCTGGGTCAGGTTGATGCCGTACACCGTCCTGCTCTCAGTCTTGCTCGGCTCGAACTCGGGGTCCATCTGGAGAACCAGGTATCTGCCACCCTTCTTCTTCTTGAGGATCTCCAGAGCGGCGGGCTCATATCCGGGGGCAATGACACCGTCGGAGACCTCCTTGGAGATGATGCTGGCAGTAGGGACGTCGACAGTGTCGCTGAGTGCGATCATGTCACCGAAGCTGCTCATGCGGTCGGCACCCCTAGCACGAGCATAGGCCTGGGCGAGGCCAGAAGTCTCAATGCCGGCAATGTCATCGACCATGTAGACCTTGCGCTCGTCGGCATCCAGGGGCTCGCCAATGGCGGCACCGGCGGGAGAGACGTGCTTGAAGCTGGCAGCGGCAGGCTTGCCGAGCGCCTTCTTGAGCTCCTTGACCAGGGCCCAGCTGTTGAGGGCGTCCAGAAGGTTGATGTAACCGGGAGCGCCGCCCAGGACCTTGAAGGGAAGGTTGCCCTCCTTGACGTAGGCCGCGGCGGGCTTTTGGTGGGGGTTGGCGCCGTAGCGGAGGGGGAGGTACTGCTGGCCGTCGGCGGCGTACTGCTTACGGAAGAAATCGGAAATAGCGGCGTCATAGTCGGCAGTGTGCTCGAAGGCCTTCAGAGCGTACAGCTTACGGCTCGACTCCTTGATCTCGCCGGCCTCAAGCTCCTTCAGGAACTCAGCATAGTCCTTGGGGTCGCTGAGGATGGTGACGCGCGAATGGTTCTTGGCAGCCGCGCGGATGAGAGTGACACCGCCGATATCGATCTCCTCAACAGCCTCGGGCACTGTGACATTGATCTTTGCGACTGTGTCCTTGAAGGGATACAGGTTGCAGATGACGTAGTCAACCTTGTCAATGTTCTGCTCGGCCAAGTCCTTCTCATCTGAGGCGAGGTTGCGAGCCAAGATGCCAGCATGGACCGCAGGATGGAGGGTCTTGACGCGGCCAGCAAGCATTTCGGGGGCCTTGGTAATGGCGGAGATGTCCCTGTGAGAAAGGCTTGGTTAACTTGCTTCCTTTGAGTACACGGCAAAGTAAATATCGTACTCCACGGGGAAACCCGATTCCCTGATCATCTTGGAAGTACCGCCCGAAGCCAGAATGCGGACATTCTGCTGGACGAGGCCCTTGGCCAGGTCCAAGAGCCCGGTCTTATCATAGACCGAGACAATAGCGATTCGCTGGTGGTCGGCCATTGTGAAGGCGCTGTTTGGTGCTGGGAAGAGTAAACTGTTTGTTCCGAGGCTGTCAGTGCTTGCTTCCATGACTTTAACCTCGTCAGTTGCTTGGACCCGACCCCAATCTAACTTACAAGGTTTATCCACAACGAATTGGGATTGTATCTGGGCTACCAAATCAAGTGCCTGAAGCTGCGGGCTGTCTCGAGCAACAATTCCGAGGCTCGAGAAAGAGAGGATTGGCAGTGTCTCGGGGCAAGAAAGGATCCCAGAGCACGACTTTAAATAGTTAAAATTGAAGCTGTGCAACTTTGCCTATCGCACCACGAACGGCAGGAACGAGGGGCCGCAGAGCAGATAATTGCAGTCGCTCTTGCCGCTGCGTCACTTTCCCTATCAGATGGAGGGGCAGCTTGGCCGGGATCGGGGGGTTGCTCCTGCCCCGCATGCCACTTTTTTCAGTCCTTTAGGTAATTCCCGCACTAGCGCACTGCAGTTGGCAGTTGTGTGGGAGACAAATAAAAGAGTTCCCACCGGATTGCGCGAGAGTGCCTCCCCATTTTACTTTCATCAGATTTTGGCTTGTGAATGCCCGGGGAGTGTGTACGGAAGATGAACCCCTCTTGGTCGTCGCTCGTGGTTCATTTTGTCGACGCACCCTGCGCCTAGTCAGGGTTATTGAGCAACAACCCTGTGCAGCCAAAGGGCAGCGGTGGGCCGGGGGAGGTGCACGGTCTAGCGCCCTTTATAAGGTAGGTGCTGGGCGCCAAACATTGTCCTTCGGGACATTTGGTCAATGTGAGTATTTCCAAACGGTCTAGCGTTGCACTCTGCAAAATACTAACCAACCTCACAGTTGAAACGATACAGAGAAGATTAGCATGGCCCCTGCACTAAGGATGACACGCTACTCAAAGAGACGCTACCAATTTTTTTGGCATTTTTTCCACCCCGAAGTAACGCTGCAAGCTCCTAAAAGACCTTCATGCCCTCTATAATTGCCCCGTAATCGGGCGACCTCGGCCAGCTTGCGTGAGGTCGAGGGTTCGAATGCCGCCGGTTTTACCTTTTTTCAACAAACTTTATTTAACTTTTGCACTCTTGGAATGAATGTCCTTATTGAAAAGAATCAAGCAAATGTCGCTACTACAATACAATCATAATACTACCCATTAAACTGATAATCCAACGTCAAAAAGTGTGCTGCTCACACACACATCGCATCCCCACATAAAAGCACAGACAGCCTCTCCACACCTCCCAACTCACACCACTCGACTGAGGTCCCTCCACCAACTCCCTCTCAATCCTGCCACGACCGCCCCAACAACCCTTCCCCCCCACCCAGCACCCCCCTTCTCTCCTCATCCTCCGCAATCCGAATAATCAGCTCCCCAAACAGGCCATTCGCCCACCCGAACCACGAGCGCGTCCACCGGTCCTCCTTCCACGCATCCACCGTCTCGTGCACCACCCCGCGGCCGGCCGTCGAGTTGAGCACGGCGAACAGCTGCTCGGCGACCGCCTCGTCGCGCGCCTCTTGCGAGTCGAGCCCCGTGATGTCCTCGAAGGCGGTCAGCGCCGCGATGGTGGCTGCCATCGGCCAGGCCTTGCCCGGGCCGACGTGCGGGCCGCCGACGGCGGAGAGGGCCGGGCCTTGGGCGAAGTAGGGGTTGGCGAGGCTGAGGACGAATTTGCGCGTGTTTTGGTAGATTTGCGCGTAGTCGTGGTCTTTTACCGTCGTGGTGCTGGTGGTGGTGCTGTCGTCGACGGAGTCGCTGGTGGTGGAATCGGTTCGGGGGAGGGCTGATGGCTCGGTGTCGTCGTCTTCGGTTTCTGTGGTGGTGGTGGTGTCGGTTCGCGGTACCACTGACGGCTTGGTGTCGTCTGCTGTTTCCGTCGTGCTGGTGGTGTCGTCTTGGGCCGCATTTTTCACCGACTTGGTCATTTGCTTGCTCGCCTTCAGTGGGAGAGTGTAGTTCCACAGCGGCATGGCCAGCAGCGAGGGGACGTTGGCGTCATCCATCAGGTTGGCGCCGCCGTACCCGTCCACCTCGTACGCAAATATCTCGCCAAAGTCGCGGTGGGTGACTACGGCGTCGAGCGCGATACCGTGGCGGATGGTCCCTGCGAGCTTGCGCATCTCAATCGTCAGGTTGGCCGCTTTGTCGTTGAGCTCTCCGTCCGCCAGCCCCTGCATGATCTCAGACGCCTGCTCCAGGTAGGCCGCCCACATCATGTTGCTGGGTGTCAGGAGCTGGAAGATGCAGGCGTCGTCACTCGGGCGGAAGGCCGAGCGCACCATGCCGTTCTCCTTGACCGGGTTTCCGAGACCGTCGTTGGTCAAGGTCTCGGACCCGCGGTTTGTCCAGCCCGTAAAAGTCCAAGCCGATGGGAGAACGCGGCCTTCTTCGTCGTAAGTTCCCAGACGCATGGCAGCAGATGCGTCGACGGCGGCTTCCACGGCGTTGACCCAGGAGTACTTTCCAAAAAAGTCGAGATCGCCGGTGCGGGTGTAGTAGGCGGTGCTGATCTGGAGGAAGGACGCCAGGCTGTCAAGCTCCCACTTGCAATCGTAGACGAGTTCCGGGTCGTACGCCGGCATGGGGTGGTTGTGGCGGTACGCCTCGTTGGGTGTTGGTTTGATTCCACTCTCGGCCGGCGGCTGGAACGAGTGGCAGTAGGGCGAAATGATGATGTATCGCGAGTGCGAATTGATCAGGCCGCGCCAGAGGCTGGCCAGCGAGTCCGCGTCCTCCGAAGCTTCTAGGAGGGGCAGGTACGAGTACACCTGGCTTGCCGAGTCGCGTAGCCACATGGCGTCGATGTCACCCGTGATCACGTACGTCAGCTCCTCGTCCGTCTCGGTCTCCTCGCCAGTAGTCTCGTTTTTCGTCTTCGCGAAGCCGCGCCACTTGACCATGGTATCGAGCGTGTTCGGGTAGCTGTTCTCGAACAACCGGAACAGATCCGGGTCCTGGATCACTTTCTTCATGCGCTCGAGCATCCCCTCCAGAGCAGGGAGGTGGAACGTTCTGCACTCGGGCGGTGGGCGGACGTAGGGGAACTGGCGTCTACCTTCAGAGGGTGGTCCGGGCCTCTGTCTCTGCAGCGTCTCGAAGTCGACGCACTCGAGTGTGGGCGTGGGAGTTGAGTCGGCTGCTTCCGTGGCCGTGGTCTCCGTGCTATGCGTGGTTTCCCCGGTCTCTGTGGTCTCCTTGGTCTCCGTGGTGTCCGTACTCTCGGTTATCTCAGTTGATCCCGTAGTGGTGCTGTCATCATCGACCGGCTCATTCTTGGACCCATTGCTCTCATCGTCGAAATCCCCGGCCACAGATGTTGGTGGGTAAAAGGTGTTATCAGCTTTCTCCACCTCCTGGGTATCGTCATGTTGGGACGTCGTGTGATCATCATGAGGAGGTTTTGCGGCGGTGGGCGCTCCGGACGGGGGCTTGTGCAAATCAAAGGGGTCCTGGCGGATAGTTGATAGGGGCGTCTGATATCCAAACCAAACAACGAACACGGTCATGAGGATGGCAATGCTGAGATACCGCCCTCGCCGGGAGCCAGTCAAGAACGGGAGGACCATCTTTACCCAAACGGGAAGTTGTCGACCGCTGCAGGTCGGACTAGGGTAGTATGCGAGATATGTTTTACCCCAGAAGAGAAGTCAGGGTCGTATAAACTAGGTAAAGACAAGAGAAGCCTCCAACAGCCGAGTGTTCTAACACAAGGCCGGCTCAACCAGACAAGAGGGTCAGAACATCTCACGGGAAAAGGACAGAAGTTTTGCGGCACGACCCCGAGGAAGCGGAAAGTGTCGACCGGAATCTAGATGCCGGATGGTAGTATTCTTGGCGGATCCCCTCACAAGGAGCCAGCTTGGAACCGTCGAGCCAATGGGCGCATGAAGAAGGATGCTCAGGGGGTTGACAGCCTTGCGAACCCCTGCGGCCGTCACTTGGGTTGTTGGTTGATGTTTGATGCTCTCTCACTCGTTTTACTTCGTACACAGTAACATGTTGTGGCAGAGCCCGTTATATGCAAGCTCGAGACGAGCCATCCTCTTACAAGTAAAGGGGGGTTTGTATGTCAAAAAGACGGGGGATGCCTGGCCCACCCTCTGACTAACCTCACGCGACATCTCTACACTCTGCGGAATGTGCTGTGCCATGTCGAACAACCATGGTTGCCTTGGCGACTTGTGTGTGCAACCGATACCAGTCTCGTCTCGGCGTGCTTGTCTATTGTCCCACGGTCCAACAGAATTACCAGCAAGGGGCTGCAATCTCTCAGCGAGCGTTCTAATCATGTATCTCTATGGGAAAAGCCGCCGGCTATATCACCCCTTTTTATTCTAACCCAAACACATCCCATTGTTGCCGATGGTCTATCCATCACAGCGTATCCCCTCACTCACCAGTATTCTTTTCCTTGGTTCCCCCCACCAACAACATGCTCGGAAATTATGACACCCCCTCGAACATGACCATCACAAATCCTCGCTACTGCTCGACACCAAATCCTCCTCCTCCTCCCCTCCCCTTTCCGGCGGCACCCACGCCTCCACCTCCTCACAGCCCCTGGGAACACGGCACACGTCCCTCACATCACACGTCTTCCACAACACCTCCCGGACCTCCTTAAACACCTGTTCCGGAGCGTCCATAGCCCAGATGACATCCAGATGCTCATATTCGGGGATGACTTTGCTGTGCACCACCCTGACATGGGGCTCGCGGCCGCGCTCAAACCTGCGCAGCAGCTTGCCGCCGTCCACCAGCGCGTCGTTGCCACACACCCACAGCGCGAAGGGCGGCGCCTGGTGGTTGTACCACGCCGTCGACCCACGCGGCTTCTTCTTGTGCGCCTCGGCGGGGGGGGCGGCGGCGGCGGGAGAGGGCTGCTCCGACTTCTCGCCGGCGGCCGCCTGCTGCTGCCCCACCTCAGCATCGCGGTCGTCCGCCGCGTCGGCGGCCAGGACAGAGCGCCGGCGCCGACGCTGCTGCTGCTGCTCGCGCTCGTGATCCTCGCGCTCCTCGGCACGCCACTCCTCCTTGGTGGCCAGGATGCACTTGTGGCGGGCGAAGCACTCGCGCCCCAGCCACCAGCGCATGGACTCGGAGCTGACGTAGACGGGGGCGAACTGGAACATGCGGTCGCGCAGGCCGCGGTCCCAGCGGGTGTCGGACCAGTTGAACAAGAAGGAAAAGACCTTGTAGCCCAGCCAGCCGTAGATGCGCGGGGCCAGGGCGCGGTGGGTGGCCATCATGAGCGGGATGAAGGCGTGGATGCCGAACATGAGCCGGAACATGGCGGGGGTGATGACCCGCATGAACTTGAAGTACATCTTGCCGATGAGCGGGCCGGCGTACGCCGCGGGCGCCAGCGCGCAGAACACCGTCAGCCGCTCCCCCAGCGCCGGCCGCTGCTCCTTGGCCAGCGCGACGAGTGTTTGTGTGGTGCCCTGCGAGTGGCAGATCAGTCCGAGCCGTGCGAACCCCGTCTCGTAAAGGACTCGTGCCGCTAGCGCGGGTAGGTCGAAGACTCCCATCTGGCGGATGTTCCAGCACCACATGCGCGGGTCGGCGTAGTCGAGCAGTGCGTGCCGCGGTTGGAAGCCGCATCGGTTGTTGCCTAGCCATACGTCGAAGCCGGACTTGCAGAGGTAGAAGGCCAGCGAGGCGTCGTCGTTGACGCAGTAGGCCCCCGAACTCTGCAGGAGGCCGTGCATGAGGAGAACGGGGAATTTGGGTTTCTGATTAGGTGAGCCGGTGTTGTTGGTGGTGTTGGTGTTGGTGTGTTTTTGTTTAGGATCCCTGAATGCCTCGGGCTCGCCGTGGGCTCGTTCTTCTGGGGGTAGAGGTTGGTACTCTTTCGGGTCGTAGACGTGCCACAGCTCGATGATGAAGCCATCTTCGGTCTGGACTTGGAAAATCTCCATGTCAAGCCCGACACGGCGGGCGTAGTAGGCTGGGTCACACACAATCGGGTCCGGACCGCCCTCGGTAGGCGTAAAACCATCCCCGTCCGCGCTGATGCCCTCTTCGGATGCCTGCGAGGGCGAAGGGGCTTGTCTGCGCATCCATTCCCGTTCTTTTTCTTTTCTTTGTTTTTTCTCTTTCATTTCCTCCTCGTAAAACGGCCGGGCGGCGTCTGGATTTCGGAACGTTAGCCGCTGCCATCGGCGCTTCAGCCACGGCCCGATGCTGGTAAAGAGTGCACCGAGGACGATGACTTCTAGAAACGCTAGGCTGAGGAAGAAAGACGATATCTGAAAGACGCGGCACTGGATGTTCCTGAGTAGAGACGGGGGCCCGTAGAGTGGTAAAGGTGGAAATAAGGGGTTCGTATGCGTCGGGGGCATCGACCGCCTTAGACTCCCGTCTGGTGATTTTAGGCCCCCTTTCTTTGCCTTCTCTGCCGCAATCCTAGCCACATGGTCTGTTGCTGGTCCAATCTCGGCTTCGTCGGAACCGTGGCCCTCCCTCTCACTAGCCGGGAGTGTCGTCGGTCGGTGATCCTTCAGTTCCTCCCTTAGCACATTCAACTTGTGAGCTTCTTCTAAGGGCACCGGAGGCAGACGGTTGCCATCAGAAGTCACAAGCACCGGATCCTGGGGAGTCACGAATCGTGCCTCGACCGCGATACCATCGCCGTCACTCTCAGACGGGTGCTGATGCGATAGCTTTTCCACCTGGCTCGCGAACTCGCCAGCTGCCTTATCCCAGGAAGCATTGCGATCCGGATGTGACGGGGAACTGTCGGGTGTTGTGTTACTTTCTTGTTGTAGAATCTCTTCTTGTACTGTCATGTCGGCGGCGAGGGGATCTCTTGACTAAGAAGGTATCTACTGGAGTTGGGAAGAGCTCAAATGGGTAATAATATTAATAAAATCATTCAATGGGGTTGCACGACGCAAAGGAACCAACGGTATATGTACATGTGCAAATGGTGGGGGAGCATATTCACTGTTCGATGTTTCAGAAATGGTAGGCAAGAAATGTGTGTGGGATGTGCTGGTTTGCCCAGTTGCCATCCCTCGACGTCATAGGAATTGAGGCGACAGCGGGTGAATTGGAACTGAAAATGGCATGCTGCTTTCAAGTTCTTGACATGGAAAGGGGTTGCAGAAAGCGCCACCCTCGAGCCACCCCACGGGGAGAAACAGGGGTAAATTGGCCAGACCAAAGTTTGGCATGCAGCATGTGAAGATCGCTGTCGCTCACCCTGACTGTCCTGGGTTAGGGTTGGAAGCTCCCAAGGAGCCAAGTCAATCTCGCAGGTCTCGGGCGAGGTACGGGGCCCCTCTGCGAATGTGCCGAGGCCAAAGTTTAGAGCCGAAGCCACCTTCGAGAGACAACCTAGCTGCATCACAGCGGGTCTCGGCCTCGCAAGAGATGCGCCGAGTGTTTATCCGTCTCGAATAGTTCCCGAATATGGCATCTTGAATCGAATTTACGATCATAGAGACTTCATCAATACCTACTGTTGCGGCGCTCCCTCTTGCCGCGTCCCGCCCGGCGCGCTCTACATACCTACATTTTATGGTTTCCGCATTAGGGCAGAAGCAGGACCACCCCCAAAGAGCGTATCAACCCCGGAACGAAGCTCCCACGACGGCATCGGCCCGCTTGACAACCCTTCGCAACGACAAAAACCCCACGTCTCCGGTTATCTTTAAACCTTCCCAGTAACATTCACAATGCCGGCATCCGAAGCGGGCGGCAGCGTCCGCCGGAGACGTGTACGGAGGCGTCGCCACGACAAATCCGCACTCTCGGCGCGTCTAGTGCTGGATGACCATGTTAAGACTGATGTTGGCATCGTGTCCGAGGACTTGTTCGCCGAGCTGTTCCCTCACTTGCAGGACTGTATGTTTGCCTATAATAACGATATTCCCCCAACCCACATCCACATTGGTGCTAATTCAATGTGCACAATGCAGTCCACGACGACGATGATGAGGTCACGACCATCCCGAGCCCCCTACACATCGCTCTCGCCCCATGGGCCCCTTCACACGCGCCCGAGTCCACGAACTGGGCTATTGTCCCCGTCACTCCCTCATCCGCCCTCGCTCCGTCGACCATACAATTCTCCCCATCATCACTGGCTCTGCAGTCCTTCGCCCTGAACCTGAAGCAGGTCGCGCCGTCGCAGTTGAACACCCGGAGCAGGGGCGGGATCGAGGTCTTGGTGCTGGATGTTGCTACCATCGAGCTGGATACCGTCTTTGTGAATCTCGAAGGGGATCTAGCCAAAAGATTGGAGAATGGGGAGGGCAACTTCTTTCGGGAACACCCAACTGCAGGCCACGGCAAGGCCCCGATTGCCGCCTCCACGCCCGAGGCGCGCTTGACAGCCGCCTTGCGCACCGCCCTCGGCACTCTAAAAGTTGTCCATACCGGAGATATGTTCCCGCTCCCTCTGGCACCGCACCCTGTCACCCACGTCCCTCCGAATCCCGGCAAAATCACCCTTTGCGAACCGGTCGCTCAGGGTATCCTTGGCCCCAACACCAAGATTATTGTGTCTCGTGGCCGCACCCACTCCAAACATGACCGCTCATCGGCTCCAATGCCACAAAGCCGGAACCTCACTGTGCCCGCCGAGGACGACGAAGACACGGGGAACGACCAGTTCTTCTCTGCCGCCGAGGAAGGCGTCCGGACCGACACTGCTGCCGAGGACACGGATGCCACCGCAACCGAAACCGAGTTTGACGATCCGGAGGCCGAGGAAGAAGATATTATATCGGATGACTCGATGGACGAAATGATCTCGCTTCAAGCGCCGTCATTGTCGTCCACAATAACGAGCGGGATAGGCACTCCCGCCACCATAGGGCGCGGGCGGAGGACCAATGGCATGAGCGGCGCCGCCTCTGTGTTTTCGAACTTTACCGCAACGACGGCAAGGCCAGACCGGCCGCGGGGCCGCTTGTTCAAGGCCCAGGGGTTGATGCAACCCATCCCGCCTGACGTCTTGCACCCGAAACCTACTGCTGTCGACGATGAAGAAGCGCGAATCTACGTTGACACCAAGGATTTGTCCAGGATCGGCTGTTTCTCCGGTGATTGGGTGCGGGTAGAGTCATCCCAGGAGCCGCCAACTAATGGTTTTGGCGCCTTCGGCCTCGGAAGCTTCGTCGAGCAGGATCCGGACGACGCGGGATGGCGGCCCGCAAGGGTCTACGGATTACCAGATGGCTACTCCAATCGCCCCGTGGCCCGGGTAGCGAGCTCCAAGTACGATGGTAGGAGACCGTCCTTCTTCGAGTCTCAGGTTCAGAGGACTTTGAGCCCCACCGTTTATCTCTCTCCGGTCGTACACTCCAACTTGGAGAACCCGCCTTACCTACGAATCGCCCCTGTCAGACGAGGTGTGCAGGCGAAGGGGCCTCAGGCGAAGTCGTCGATTCCCATCCAGCCGCCTTTTGCTCGCGAAGTAATCCTGCAGCACGTAAGGACTCCCATTCCGGTTGAGAGGGACGTTCAGACTGCAGTCATGGCCGGGTTGAAGTATTATTTCGAACAAAGGTTACGTGTCATCAAAACGGGAGACCTCATTGCCGTCCCCATCGATACCCAGCTCGGACGAGCACTGCAAGAATCGACTGCGGCAGGTGACGATTCTGCCATTGATGACGTGCTGGGGATGATTGCCAACGGAAGGTCGGATCGGGGCCTCAAATACGACGAGGTCGCCTGGTTCAAGGTCAAGCACGTCCAGCCAGTGAAACAGGATCCAGCTGATGTGGATGAGGAAGAGGAGGACCCCTGGGGCCCAGTAGCCTGCGTCGACATTTCCATGGCGCACCTGGAGCAGACCGGCTCTGTGACTAGCCGTGTCCCTGGCACGACGTCGAATAACTGGCCGTATTATCTCGGGATCAAGAAGCTTCCAAAGCAAAAAGGCCCTTCAAGTCCCCTGGCGCTTGAACCCGAGCGCCAACATATTTCACCGCTGAGGAGAAAAATCAGAGAGCTCACCGCAGCAGCTACCAGCAAACCCGCCCTCCATCTCAAGATGCCCCCCGTAGCTATCTTGCTTGTTTCGACACAGCGAAGCATCGGCAAGGCCGCGACGGCGAGCCAGGCTTGCGCGGATATCGGCTTGCACACATTCACAGTCGACGCTTACGACATCGTGAACGATTCGGGCGCCGGTGGAAGCGATGTCAAGACTGCGGGCTTCCTAACCTCGCGTGCGGAGCGCGCCTTGAGCTGCGGTGCGGACTGTTGCGCCCTGCTCATCCGCCACATCGAGGCGCTAACCGCCGACCGCATGGTCTCCTCCATCAAGGAGATATTGGAAGACGCCAGAGTTCTAATCGCGACTACTACTGAAGTGGAGAAGGTGCCGGATGGCATAAGAGCCCTGTTCACCCACGAGTTGGAGATGAATGCGCCGGACGAGGCAGAGCGCGAGGGTATTCTGCGGACGATCCTAGACGACCGCGGCGTGAGTTTAGATCCGGAGGTGGAGCTCGGCGGCATTGCCCTTAAGACTGCAGCACTTGTGGCGGGTGATCTGGTCGATGTTGTTGAGCGGGCGCTCGTTGCCCAGCGCGCTCGTCTAGAGCAGCTATCCGCAAAGGCCACAAGCAAAGACCAAACCGTGACGGTGCGAGATGTGCAGGTTGCCGGTGGCCCAGCAGCTTCTGGCCTCACGAAGCAGGACTTTGAGGTTGCCGTCGAGGCTGCCCGCAAGAACTTTGCCGACGCTATTGGCGCGCCCAAGATCCCTAACGTCACTTGGGACGATGTTGGAGGCCTGAACAACGTCAAGGAGGCCGTCACAGAAACCATCCAACTGCCGCTCGAGAGACCCGAGCTGTTCGCCAAGGGCATGAAGAAGCGCTCAGGCATCCTGTTCTACGGACCACCTGGCACCGGAAAGACGCTCCTTGCCAAGGCCATCGCGACCGAGTATAGCCTCAACTTCTTCAGCGTCAAGGGCCCCGAGCTGCTCAACATGTACATTGGTGAGTCCGAGGCCAACGTGCGGCGCGTGTTCCAGCGGGCGCGCGACGCGAGGCCGTGCGTCGTCTTCTTCGACGAACTGGACTCTGTCGCACCGAAGCGTGGCAACCAGGGCGATAGCGGCGGCGTCATGGACCGCATCGTTTCGCAGCTGCTAGCCGAGCTCGACGGTATGTCCGGCGGGGAGGATACCGGCGGCGGCGTGTTCGTCATCGGCGCGACCAACAGGCCGGATCTGCTTGACCCGGCCTTGCTGCGTCCCGGTCGCTTCGACAAGATGCTCTACCTAGGCGTATCAGACACGCACGACAAGCAGCTCACCATCATGGAGGCCCTGACCAGGAAGTAAGTCCCCCCTTTTATTCTTCCCCCTCCCACCCAGTCACCACCGCGCGTAACTAACCAACCAACCCCCCCAGATTCACACTCCACCCATCCCTCTCCCTCCGCACCGTATCCGAACACCTCCCCTTCACCTACACGGGCGCCGATTTCTACGCCCTCTGCTCCGACGCCATGCTGAAAGCAGTCACACGCCAAGCCAGCCTAGTGGACTCCAAGATCCGCACCGTCAACGCGGACCTGGCCGCGCACAACCTCCGCGCGCCCATCTCGACCGCCTACTTCTTCGACCACCTCGCCACCCGGGACGACCTCGCCGTCATGGTCACCGAGGCCGACTTCCTCGACGCCCACCGCGAGCTCGTCCCCAGCGTCAGCGCCGGCGAGCTGGCCCACTACGAGCACGTCCGGGCGTCGTTTGAGGGCGTCAAGGACAAGGAGAAGGACAAGGATAAGATGGCGATCGTGGACGGGGCGGCGCCGCCGCCTGCTGCGAGGCTGGGCTTGCCCGCCCCCGCTGCCGGTGGTGGGAGGCGCTCCGCGTCGGGCGCGTCGGCGAGGAGCTCGAGTGCCAAGGGGAAGGGGAAGGCGCCGCTTTATGTGGGTAAGGGTAAAGGGAAAGCGGTTGCGGTGGGGAGTGGGGATGATGATGATGATGAGTTGGAAGGGGGCGGCGGCGGCGGATCTGGAGGGGGCGGCGGCGGCGGATCTGGAGGGGACGGCGGCGGGTTCAGGGATAAGGGGAAGGGTAAGGCCGTGGCGCCTCCGATTGCTGATGGGACGCCGTTTGGGGATGGCGTGGGGAGTGGTGATGAGGGGTTGTATGACTAAGGGTATATATAGTATGGTGGTTGTTGGATAGAGCATGGTACTAGTGGTGCATGGTGGTTTGAATAGAAGCACGGAGGGTGATGAGTTGTACCGAGTGGAATAAAAGGGGTGGTCCCAAAAATGGGACTCGAGATCACTAGGTATTTCGCGTTCTGAAAACTTAGCACCAACCGCCGGACTAATGAAACACTCGAAACGGTGCCATGTTTGTTGACAATCAACTTCGCATTCGATCAGTAGAATCTACGATACCGCCGCCCCAAACCCGCCGGCATAAACGCTATCAACACAACGCAACCCTACCCAGACCATATGCTACAAACCTCTTCCCTATTTCCCCGTCCCCTTCTTCACGGCCGAAGTTTTCTTGGCCTCGGTAGCCTTCTTAGCCTCCTTAGTCTTCACCTCTTTAGCCTTCTTTGCATCCTCGGTCTTCTTCACCTCCCTCGTCTTCTTCACATCCCCTGCCTTCTTGACCTCCTTAGTCTTCTTGACATCCCCGGATTTCTTGACCTCCTTGGCTTTCTTCACCTCCTTGGCCTTCTTGGCTTCCCTGGCCTTCTTGGCTTCCTCGGTCTTCTTAACCTCCACAGGCTTCTTGGCCACCCCAGGCTTCTTAACCTCCTCAGCCTTCTTAGCCTCCACAACCTTGCCCGCAGCCTTCGCCACCGGCTCCTCCTCCTCCTCTTCATCACTATCTTCCTCGCTCTCCTCCTCCTCCTCCTCATCGTCATCCTCGTCGTCATCGTCATCCTCCTCATCATCATCCTCCTCATCATCCTCATCCTCATCACTATCCTCCTCCTCCTCCTCAGCCCCCTCCCGCCCAGGCACCTCACGGATCGTCTCCGCGCGCTCCACAGCCGCAATCTCCGCCGCACTAGCCGGCGCCACCGCTGCCCCGCGTATCTCCCGCACGGGCGGGTCCACGTCCTGCGGCTTCCAGCCCGTCGTGGTAGGCGACTGGATCGAGGCGGTCCCGCTCGGCGCCTTCCACCCGGACGAGGTCGGCGACTGCAGGCCTGCTGCTGCTGGTGCTGTCGCGGGAGAGGTGGGGGAGGAGGCTTTGGCTGTCGTTGTCGTGGGGCTGGTCGGGGAGGAGGGGTTGCTGCTGCCGCTGCCCTTGCCGTGGACCTTGTCGCGGAGCGACTGCAGGTGCACTTGCTTGGCCTTGGCGGCCACCTCCTCGGCGATGGTGCGCACGGGGAGGGTGGCCTTGGCGGCCACCTCCTCGGCGATGGTGCGCACGGGGAGGGTGGCCTTGGCGGCGGCTTCCGAGACGGCGGCGACCCGCTCGACGGTGGTCTTGGGTGCCGGGGCGGGTGGTGCTTTGGGTGCTGCGGGGGCGGGCTGCTTGGGCTTCTGGCTGACGGAGGGCTGGGTGAACTCGTCGTAGTACATGGTCACGTGCTGCTTGAGCTCGCCGTACTCGTTCCATTCTTCGATCTCGACGAGGTCCTGTGGCGAGGGGAGGGGGGTTTGTTTGTCAGTGAGAAGTTGGAGAGAGTGTGATGGGGTTGACTTACTCCCAAAATCACGCCCATCTGTACAAGTCCCGGGAGCTTGCGCTGGCGGCCGCTCTCATCCTTCCCGGCGCGGCGACCCCATAGCATGCGGGCCTTGTCATCGGTGGCAATATCGAGGGCCTTGAACGGCACGCGGTTGGCGCGCAAGATGGTCTCGAGACGCGAGGTCGCGGTGACGATGTGGGAGGAACCCGCCGTCAACGAGGTGTAGATGTACAGTGCGGGGTCGGTCGAGTACGACTTGGCCTCGCTACCCTCGGACGCCATGGTGGTGGTAGTTGGTCTTTAAAAAGAAGCCGAAACCTGAAACTCTTTGTCCGTGTTCCAACTCTTAAGGTTGGGTTTGGGGGGGGCAGCTCGGGCACGTTCCTTGGCTGCTCTGGTCGCTGAAGGAGGGGCGCGGTCGACCACTTTTGCGGGGTAGCTGCTTGAGGAGGGGCACTCAACGCGTTCACCAAGAAAGGCAAGGGCGTTGGGGAGACACGGGATGGACGCTTGATGGTTTATTTTGGGAGGAAGGAAAAAGAAGTGAGGGGCTAAGAGCAAAGAACCGAGTGTTAAACTTGCAGTGAACCCAACTGTCTGGCACCATGTTTTAGAAACCGAGGAGAGAGCTCTGCGGCACAAGACATGAAACAGGGGTCCAACGCACATTCCCGCTCGATGATGCAATGCGATGAATGCGCAGGATCGATTCCGATGTTGGCACCAGTTCTTATCGACTAGGTAAGAGGCTTATCCGCTGCTCTGAAAGGATAAACATTCCAGCCTCGTGGGCTTTGTCGCACTCCACCGAAGGACGTTTTCAAGAAGCACGACAAGGCGATCCGATAGGGAACCTTTCTTCGAGGGCATGGACCGTGACACTCCTGTCCGGAGCATAAACCTGATCGACTTGAACCAAGGCCAGGGACGCAGGCGCCTCTCTGGGTTTCTTTCTTGTGCTTGGGTACGTACTGATGGGATTCCGGCTTGGACAAGTTGGTGATCCGCCTGGTGAGGTTAAGGAAGGTCCTGCTACTCCTCACCAGGACAAAGACTCACCAGGACACTACAAAGGATTAGACCTCGAGTCTTTCCTCGACAAGACCTCTGATGCCGGAACCAGCGAGGAAATGGGATTGGAGAAGGCAACTTATATAGCAGCTTCCACTGGCGCCACTGGAGATTGAGGTCAAACCGCAATACTGGCTGCTTCTCTCTCTCGCCAACTCCTCCCTGTCTGTGTGTGTGGGTTTAGTTGTCCATCACCATGTGCCTCATCGGCCTTTTGCTCCCTCTTAAGCCTAAGAAGCAGTCCCGAAAGCACAGGTCCAGGGGTTCCAGCCATAGACATTCTCATTCTGAGCGCCACCACCGAGATAGATCTCGCCGACAAGAAAAGGAGGAGCCGAGGCATTCGGCTGCGGTGGCCGAAGACGCGCTGGCGCGGTTATGCTTGTCGCTCGAGCAAAGTCTCATCGAGGAGCAGCAAAGATGGCGAGAGCAAGACCGGCTGGACAGGTCGGAAAGGTGCCGCCTAGGGCTCGAGCGAGACCGGACACCATTCGAAGAGGCACCGCCATATAGCGCCAGGGACGCGATGCGCCAGTCAACCCCAGAACCACAGTACCAAAACGGGGTAGCCGACAGCCCCCGATGTCGGGAGAGAGACTTAAGTGGCTCGACCCTGTGCTGCCGCAACTGCGTATGCACCCGCTGCGGTCACGACAACGTAAAATGCCCGACGGTGCCCGAACTCGATGACACCGGCCGGATCAGAGCTTTCACAAACGACGGCGCGGATTCGCGGAGGCGACGGGACTGAGCGGTCAGTGGTCCACACGCACCTTACAGGCCGGCCCGATGGGTGTGGCGACAGTGGTGGTCGAGATTCTACACGGCAGTTTCCCTCTGTTTGACGGAGTTTTGGTTGGGTTGTTTTGTTTGACGGGGTCGGTGCCCGCCGGGGGGTTAGCTTGCGATAGCTTGCTTCATCATCCGTAAATTGACGTTCGTGCTCAAGCAATGGATGTCGACGGGCCTGCAATTAACCTATATTGGAAAGGGGCTCTCGGTCGACTTGGGCTGTCCTTGTTCAACGTCCCACGGCCGAAATAACCTTCTGCCAAGGCCCGACAGAGGTTTCATCCCCAGGGTCTTGGGACCTCCTTTGGGATCCCTTCATCTCGAATTCAAGCGCAACGCGCGCGGCTGACGATACTTTGCCGTGCTGTGCTTGTTGAAATTGATTGTTTTGTCACACTGCCGGTGCGGCTAGCCTCGAGACCTGTGGCTGACTCGGCCGGTTTTTGCCGTCCTGGATCCCCGGCTAGGCTTCTTTTTTTACCCCATCGTGACACAGCGAAGGGGGAGAGGGACACGAACGGGATGACCGTGGCATGCCCCCCCTCCCCGACAGCCACACCTGTCGCTTCTAGGATTCCGCGCAGATATTCCGTGCAGGTTGTCGGCCCAACTGAGACATTTCTGTGCAGAGTCTGCAGATATGTGCCGAAACGTGGCAAGCAAGAAAAGGTTTTCCCTGCAAGATGCCATCATTCGCCATCTCATCCGATTGATGAGTTGTTGGCCGTTGCTGCCCGCTGCAGGCCAAGCTCTTCGCAAGAGTTCGGATTGGAGCAAGGGTGGGCGGAATGCCAAAGGCTGCAGGTCCGTCCGTTCGAAAACGATTGGTCGGTGCTTTATTACCCCTGGCTGTTCCTTGCAGATAGGAACGCGCTTAGCCAATGGTGGACGGCCGCTTGCAGAAACCCAGCTCCACCTTTTGCGCCTGCAAGGTACGCGCTTTTCGTCCGACCATTGCGTGGGAATCCTGGTCCCTCCCGCCCTGGGGCCCGGTCAGCTCCGTGCAATCGCTGCCAGCGAAGGAGCAAGGGTTGCGAGCCGCTGTGCCTGGGCGAAATGCTGCTCAGGCACCCTAAAAGGGAGGTTTCCCCAACTCATCCGATCCGCCCTCCCTCTTTTCCCCCTTCCTCACCCACAGCGCATCCCAGCAGCTATCCACTCTTTTGTTCACCTTCCCGGCGTCAGCCTTACACTCTTTTAAAAACCAACCGTTAAAGATCAACTTCGATCGATCCTCGCGATCAACCGATTTACCAATTCTTCAAACCCAGTTCTCGTTGATCTTTCTTCACTGAAACGATCTCGTAACCGTCCGTCTCGTTCACGATCCTCGACGACAACAACAACACACTCAAGTCAGCCGATTCCGGTCCAACCAATCAGTCACAATGCAGTTCAAGAGCATCATCGCCGTCCTGGCCGCCAGCTTCGCCATGGTGGCCGCCGAAGAGGGCGACACCACCACCACGTCGACCCAGACCCTGACCAAGACGGTCACCATCACTGAGTGCAACCCGACGGCGACCAACTGCCCCGGCCACACCTCCACCACCACCTCCACCACCACCACCTGGGAGTCGGCGTCGTTCCCCATGTCCAACTCGACCAGCACCGCCGGCCCCACCGCCAGCTCCTTCATCATCTCCAGCTCCGCCGTCATCACCCCGTCGGCGAGCAACGGCGGGGACTCGCCTTCCCAGACCACCGGTCCCGAGCCCTCGGCCTCTACCGCCGCTGCCGGCAACCTGTTCGTCCAGCCCGCCATGTTCCTCGGCGTCATCGGTGCCGGTGCCGCTCTCTTCGCTTAAACGCGTCGGTGCGACTGCGCTGCGACGGAGGGGATGGATGGAAGGTTCAATTAACTTGGCATTGGCGACTATACCCTGACCAACATCTTTTGCCTGTTCTATTCTTCATGGTCTATATTACTTAATTCTCTGGTGATGCGGTGTTTGGAGCTTTTATGGTTGGAAATGACCGGGGGGGGGGGGGGGGGGGGGGCTTTTGAATCTTCGGGCGGCTCGCCCCAGTTTCCTTTTTAAATGGGCTACTGGCTGGCATGTTGGACACTAGACGACGAGCTCTGCCTTCACTGGTATGGCTTTGGCATCATGACACGGGAGTTTTTGGCCCGGCGTATTTTGTGGTGTGTTGCTCACACATGATACCCGGCACGAATTGAAAAGATAAAACTCGCCTGTCTTGCCCATTACCCTCGCCACTGTCTCCCTTGTTGGTTGTCTATCTCATCGAGTGATTTTCATATGGCCCGTTCATCTCATTTGAGTATTGTCTCTGCCCAGCCCTATCGTTAGCCGACAATTGCGCCATGCAATGATATCTCCATGTGATCTGCGCTGGCGGTGCTGATCTGACGATCTGGATCGATTCGGCGCCTGCACGATGCACTTGGCAAGCCCATATTTCCCCACGAAGCACGAATCCCTCAAACGACTTGATGATCCAACGGCTCAGTGTGTCTTCCATATCAAATTGCAATCTTAGGCACGAGTCAAGCAGGGAGTCTCGGTGGAGTCGACGATATCGGACCTCAACCTCAAAACCTCTCAGCCCCTGTACTTCACGCGCGATTAACGCTTGACTCGCTTCTCAGACACCCTTCGATTGCAAATTCAAGCATATCAGTATCTCATAATTCTACGATCATCATGGGTTCGTTGAAGACGAGAATCACACACCATTGTTTCCAGTGTTGAGATGGAGGTACCATGATTCCGTGGCACCCCATACATTCGTCCTAGCTCCCCCCTTCGTTCCTCAACAAGATACCGAGTTACCTCCTCCACTCGCGAGCACCACCTCCAACTAACCAAGGAGGGAGGTAGGGGGCCGTTCTCCAACCCTATGTGCAAATACGATGGTCTCCCCTACCCCGGCCCCGATCGATACCCCGGCTGGTCATCGGGATGGGGGAGGTTCACATTGCCCCGACCGCGGTGATTTACCCTCGATCTCAGCGTATGCTTACGCCTCGTCGTTTATAGTCCCATGTTTCCTACTCAAGCAGGTGAAGTCGGGGGGCACTAAAGGAGGACTTCGGGCCTCTGCAAACACGTAGATACGATTACACACCACCCGGGTTTGTAAAAGGCAAGACAAGTATATTTAAAAGTTAAAACTAATAGCTAAACTCAACGCCAGAGGTACCTTCACGTACTTCCTAGTGTCCCGCTCCCGTTCCTGACACCGTGCCTTTGCCCCTTTGAAACATTCACGGTGTACCCCCGCGGCTACCAAATCAACGCTGATGCCCCCCATGTGTGTCTAGTAGCTAGTGCCGTCCGGGCGGTCGGTCGTGTGGTGAAGTCTGCACCACTAGCTTGCCTTGCGGCAGCTTACACCGCTCTCGCCGCATTTGCCCGCTGAGCAGTCGGAACAGAGATCATCTCTTTTCGAGACAGTGTTCATGCATGTCCCGCTAGAGAAGTGCTTGCAGTAGATGACTCCTTCCGTCATTTTGTCGTTTTGGTTGACCGGCTGGAATTGGGTGTTAGTGGAAGTCTTTGGGTACTTATCAGCGGACCGTGGGCGTGTACTTGGTTCAGTAAGAACTCTTAAGCGTTGATGGTGTTAATTGCGGTGGTGTTGAAAACAGAGTTGTATAGCTTTGTAGAATGGTATTTGTAGCTCGTGAGACGTGCGAATGAAGCAAGAGCTAAAGGTATGATGAGCTGGATCTAGGCGGTACTTATACCCGAGTTGTTGGACTCCTTTCAAGAAGACACGCCACAAGGCCACGATGTTGATATCAAGTTTGAGAGGCCACGGTCCTCACGTCGGGAGTCGTAGGCTCTGTTTCCACGTCGTTTGGTGCAACACAAGCTGTGTCGTTACCCCCAGACCACTTCTCCAACGGGAACGAAGCTCGTTCAAGCCTCTGCTAACTTGCGTGTCTTGGAAAAAGCGACAGTGTACTCAGTGGCTCATCCTAGGTGCATGGCGCACTAAGAACACCGTAGCTAAGTTGAGGATCATCCGAAAAGCCGTCCTCGAAGACCGGACACGGAAGACGAGAATCGAATGACACATGGCGTGACTGACTTACAGCACGATCGAGACCTGGCAAACTGATAGTATCGTATTCCACCAAGTCGTGACACTGAAGCTCCAAACAGCCGCGGTGTCGACAACACGACCGGAAAATGCGCCCTGACATGGCAGGTTGGTTCAATCCAAGCATAGGGACATGGCACTACCGGTGTTGTTAGCCGAGAGCCTGCTTGCTTCGGCCAAACCTCCCTCCTCGTGGCCGAGTGTGTGGGAAGCACGAGGCCAAGGGAACCAGAAAAAGGTTGCTGATGATGCATCATGGATGGGAAAAGAAAGCCCAGAGAAAAGACACAGCATATTCTAGGCTACGTGGTATATACATATACGCAGTTTTGATGAAGTTGGGGGATGGTTGTCGGTGTCCGGCTCTCGTCTCTTGTGATGAAGTTGGAATACCAACCAAGTGCGGGGGGGCTCGGCGTTACTCTGAAGAAAACAATTGCATTTTCTGAATGGAGGAGATACTCACCACTCGACGTGCCTGTGTTGATGTTGTCCCTCACTGGTCAATTATGGGTGACTTTGTGTGTGATCCGCGCCAAGTCGGCGCTGCTCGCCGGGATGAGACAGCAGAAGGAAAGCTTGCCGGCCCCACCTTTACTGTCAACCCCGGACTTGACCCCGGTTCCACAAGGCACCCCTACCGACGTAACCCGTAACCCGCAACCCGCAACCCGCATCCCTTGCCCCTCCACTCCTCCCTCGACAGCTGACTGACGCTGTTCCCCTCCGCTCCCCGACTGCTTCACACTGCTTTTGACAAGTCTCAAACCCCCGGAAGTTGGTCCTTAGGGAGGTATTTCAACCAGATCGCGAGAGTGGAACAGCAATCACGGTCTGATCACGCGCCCGCTCCGAGTTCGCGTGGTCCTGTTCTGTTATTCCCATGGCCGCGACGCCATCACCAGGCCGCACACCGACAGACCGACCGACCGAACGGGCCAACAACGGCCCCTCCATTTCAAGTCCTTGAGCCTACCTGGCTTTTTTTTAATCCGTGTCATAACCGCGGAGTCATTTGAACACACCACCTTTGAACCGAACTTGTAACTTCCCCAATTTGTGGAGGGGGAGAGGCGCCCTAGCGCAAGGCTCCCCACCCAGCAACTGGATAAGCCTAGCAGATAACGAGTTCCCCGACTTCGCTCCCCTCTTTACGGGACTCTCCCCAAAAGAAGACTCCGACCGCTCGCACATCGTATGTGCTGCCGACTCGACGGCCATGGCGACCCCCAACGCCGCGGGCTCATCTCGGCAACCCCACGTGCCCATCGAAATAGACAACAGCGAGTCTCCATCTAGCGGCTTAGACTCGACCGGCCGCGATCATGACCCGATCCAACGTGTGGTGCAAATGTGTCGATGGCGGACCGCGCGCCACCACGACCAAGAGTGCTCTCGATACTTCGACTGTCCTTCCCACGTAGTTGAACGGGCGCTGTCGGACACAGGACACAGGGCGGAAGTCGCGGAGGAAGAAGGTCAAGAACAAGAAAACGCGGAAGATGAAGATACCCAGAGCACCGTCTCGCCGCTCAGTGAAGATGATGAAGAGGAGGATAGTGGTCGAAGCGCTCGATCCCCTTCGCCAGAGGCCCAGACATTGGCAACCGAAGTGACAAACGCCGCGACAGGAGCTCGTGGGACACCTGAAGTGCCAGGGACACAGCGAGAAGGTATAACGGTGGGCTCAAACAGTGAAGTTGCGCCGTGGGACAACTTGCACCTTTCAAGACCATTAGCGGGGAGAAGTGGGAGCGGGGAAAATCAGAGCGAACTGCCTGTATCCCGGGTTCCTGGACCTTTGCCGAGAAGCGATGGGGCCGTTTCCGGATCGCAGGCTACCAACACCTCCGCCTCCAGCCTCGCTTCCGTCACCAATCCATTGCCAAGGTCGCCCCCTACTCTGTCGACACCCGTGGAACGTACCCGCTCAGGGGTGGTGCTGCCACGGTGGCAGCCGGACTCGGAAACGACGTACTGTCCAATCTGCGGCACTCAATTCAGCATTTTCGTGAGAAAACACCATTGCCGGTAAGTGGCCTCGGTGCGAGGATGAAGGCGTGGAGGCTTACCTCGAATTGCAGCAAGTGCGGCCGGGTAGTCTGCAACTCGTGCTCGCCACACCGCATCACGATACCTCACCAGTATATTGTCCGGCCGCCGGGTGCCCCCCGGCCTCTCTCACAGGGGCCTTCCCTTTCCCTACTGGACAGCCAGGGGTGGTATCCCGAGTTTGGTGGTGGTGAGAGAGTCCGGCTGTGCAACCCTTGTGTCCCCGACCCCAACACGGCGCCGCCCCAAGACCAAGGGCTCCAGGCCAGGTCACGGAATGAGTTGAGCTCACCTGTGCGGACTGACAACTCACCCTCTCATATGTGGGGCTTCGGTTTCGGCGCAGGGTCTACGAATGACACCCAAACGAGGACCCGGAGTGTTACCTTGGTATGTTTATGTGTCATCACTTACAATGCGTTGTCAACCAACACTAACCTTTTCGCTCACGCCGCAGCAACCCGGGCACACATCATCCGCCCGACCACATATCCCGCCACTCCAACGAAACGAAGCCCGCATCCTCTGGGGGACACCACCAGCCTACTACCGGTCCTCCCCAACCTCGCAACCCCCCCAACCCTACCCCGGAACCATCCCCCACCCCCGACCGCTGCTCGATCTCGGCGGCAGACCAGGCCCCTCCACCGTCGCCGGGCCCTCCTCCTCCTCCAGCGCCGCCCGCCGCTTCCACTCGGTCGTGCCCCCGCGCCCGCAGATCGCCGAGGAAGACGAGTGCCCCGTCTGCCACCGCGAGCTCCCGCCCCGCAGCCTCCCCAACTTCGAGGCCCTCCGCGAGGCCCACATCACCAGCTGCATCACCTCCCACAGCCGGTACGGCGCGCCCACCGCGCCGAGGAGGGGGCTTGGCGGTGATGACGACGATGACGACGACGACCCGGATGCGCTGCCGGCTGCGCCGCCGCCGGTCCGCCGCACGGGCATGTTCCCCTACGTGGCGACTGAGAAGGACTGTGTCGACTCGGCGGAGTGCTCTATTTGTCTGGAGGAGTTTGAGGTTGGTGTGGCCATGGCCAGGCTGGAGTGTCTGTGTCGCTTTCATAGGGCGTGTATCAATGCCTGGTGGGAGAGGCATCCGGGACGGTGTCCGATGCATCAGCATGATGGGTTGGGGTATTAGTTGAGAGTATTGTTTGTTAGGTATGAACATTTGTCTTGGCTCGGGTGGCGCATATAAGGGACTGGTAGCGTTGGGTTGGTTAGGGGTCGGATTTGTGAGTGATTTGTTTGGCGTTTTGGGGGAACGGGTGGGATACATTATCAGGCTGAGCATCATATACCATTCCTTTTGCGCATCTAAGGACGTTCATTCTGGTGGTTATAGAATATTGGGCTATGGTCTAGTAATAGAATGCTGTTTTCCTCCGGTACTTGTTATGTTGAACCGAGACCTATCACCAGGTTGATATGACCTGGGAAGGGAGTCATGGAACACACAAATTCATTAGGAAACAACAGCTAACTATGAATGCCTACTCCGCCCGCCTATGCCGCCTCTCTGCTCTTCAAATTGCTTCAAACCTCTTCTATGCGATGGTGACCCCTAAACAATGCAAACCCGATGCTCTCCACATTCAAACCCGACCCGCCGGCCCATTACGCAATGCTCGTCCATGGTAACACGCATCTATGCCTGTCCGGCGGGTGGCTTTGCCGGGTCTGGGACCCCGAGGTTGTCAGGGCCAAACGAGAGCGGGAGGAGCTAGCCTGTGTTAGCACTATTTTGTAAGTCATGGTGTTGGCGATCGAATGCTTACTTCCTCCAGCTTCATGACCACAAAGTTGCTGTTCTTGTCGAACATGATGATCGGCACACTCAGCTCGCAGAACTCCCGGATACTGCAGAACGAACCCAGTCAGCACCATCCTCTCTCTCCCCAACCCATTTCCAAAACCAAACCCCCAACAACCCTAAACAACCCAAGCACAGAAAGAGGAAGAATAAAAACTCACAACTGCCGACACATCCCGCACGGACTCGCCGGCGCCTCCGCATCCGTAGCCACCGCCACCGCCCTAAACCCACCACTTTGATGATGCCCGTCCACCACGGCCCGGCCAAACGCCACGCGCTCCGCGCACGTCGTCACCGGGTAGCTGGCGTTCTCGACGTTGGCGCCCAGGACGTACTCGCCCGACCGCGTCAGCAGCGCCGCGCCGACCCGGAACCCGCTGTACGGGCAGTAGGCGCGCGCCTTGGCGTCCTGCGCGTGCGAGAGGAGGGAGGTGAATTCCGTCGGGGTGAGGTTGTGGGCGGTGCAGGCGGCTTGGATGGCGGTGGGGGAGGTGGAGGGTTGGGGGGTGGGTGGGGAGGGCATGGTGGTTGGTGGTGGTTGGTGGTTTTAACGAGGTATTATTGTGAGGGTTGGGGATGGGGTGTTGTTGGTTATGTATGGGCTGGGGTGGTTAGGTGGTTTGGCGGCTGGGGCGAGGTTGGGATGTAATCTGGAGATACGAGTATACTCCGTGAAGTGAGAGTCAACAATGAGGTCAGCGGGGCATGGAGTTCGAGGAAAGTGAGGCGGTCTGAGACCGCTGTGCCGCTTGTAGCCGAGTTTGGTTTCTCGACCAACGGTATTCCTTGGTGGCTTTGTTTAGTTTCGGAACTGAAGCCTATCACAAAGTTACACAACCAAGTGTTCCCCAACGTCACTCCGTCTTCGTTTGGTGCTACGTATTCGTACAGCAAACACAGATAGCATATCAATTAGTCTCACTAACTTGAACAGTTCGGCTCGGTGTGGGCAATCTTCCAAGTTCCACCATACCCAGCTACACACTTACCACCCTTCAATTCCACAAACACCACACGACCCCCCTACGGCGTAACAATATTAAAGTTCGGGTCCCCCGGATCAAGCAACCCACCCAGCCGTTCCAACGCCGTGGTATCCCCCTCCAGCACCACGCCCGCAGCCCGCAACTTCTCAGGATCGGGCCCATAAACCGCCAACGCCGTCAGCTGCCGGCTCGTCGCCGTCATGGTCAGCTCCGCCTCCGTCGGCTGGGGCGTCGCCGTGGTATAGACCAGCGCGCCGTTAGACAGCCACACCCGATACGTCGCCGCCGCCGGCACCGCATCAGTAACAACCACATCGATCGCGAGCCGGACGTCCCACGCCGCGGGGCCGTTGATCTGGATGGCCAGCGAGTCGAACAGCATCTCGGGCGTGAGCTGCGCGAGCATGTCGGGCGAGGCTGTCGCCGTCGGCGTGCCGAAGTTGCCCGTCCGCAGCTCCGTCGTGCCCGACAGGAAGAAGTTGCGCCACGTGCTGTTCTCGGCCCCGTACCCCAGCTGCTCGTACGTGTCGGCGAGCAGCGCCCGCGCGCGCTCGTTGGTGTTGTTGCTGGGGTTGTTGTTGGGGTTGGGGTCCGCGAAGACGGCGTGGTTGAGGAGCTCGGCAGCCCACCGGAAGTCGCCGCTGTCGAAGGCCTTTTGTGCGGCTGTGATGGTGTGGTCGACGCCGCCGAGGAGGTCGACGTAGCGCTTGGCGCGGCCCGAGGGGGTGTGTTCCCACAGGTGGGACGGGTTGCCGTCGAACCAGCCGAGGTAGCGCTGGTAGATGGCCTTGACGTTGTGGCTGAGCGAGCCGTAGTAGCCGCGCGCGCTCCAGGCTTGGCCGAGCGCCGGCGGCAGCACCATCGCCTCGGCGATCTCGGGTCCGGTGTGCCCCTGGTTGATCATGCGCAGTGTCTGGTCGTGGACGTATGCGTAGATGTCGCGCTGCTGTGTGAGGAACTCGGCGATGTTGTCGCGCCCCCAGGTCGGCCAGTGGTGGGAGCCGAAGATCACGTCGGCCCTGCCGCCGAACAGGTCGATCGTTTGGGTCAGCTGTTTCGCCCACCCGTGCGGGTTTCGTACCAGAGCCCCCCGCAGCGTCACCAGGTTGTGGAAGGTGTGGGCGGTGACTTCGGCCGTGCAGAGGGCTTTGTGGTTGGGAAAGTACACCAGCATCTCCGAAGGCGCTTCGGTGTCGGGCGCCATCTGGAACTCCATCCGGACGCCGTCGACGGTCCTCGTATCCCCAGTCGACGTGATGGTGTCGGTTGGCGCGATCAGCGTCACCTCCCCCGTGGAGACGGTCTGTCCCAACCCGGCGCCGATCTGGCCACGCTCCCCGCGGGGGAGAGCGGCCCCGTACATGTAGGCCGCGCGCCGGCTCATGGCCGTGCCTGCGTACACATTCTCGACCACGGCGTGCGCGAGGAATCCCTCGGGCGCAATGATGGCCACCCGCCCCGAGTCGACGTCGTCCTGCGTGACCATCCCCTTGACGCCGCCAAAGTGATCGGCGTGGGAGTGCGTGTAGATGACCGCCTTGACGGGCTTCTCGCCCCGGTGGTCCCGGTAGAGTTGAAGTGCGGCCGCCCCGGTCTCCAGCGACGTGAGGGGGTCAATGACAATGATGCCCGTCTCACCCTCGATGAAGGTCGTGTTGGAGAGGTCTAGGCCCCGTACCTGGTAGATGCCGTCAGTGATCCGGAAGAGCCCATTCGTTGACGTCAGCTGTGACTGACGCCACAGGCTCGGGTTGGCCTCGTTGGGGGCGCTTCCTTGGAGGAAGCTGTAGGCATCATTATCCCACACAACATCGTCGTTGGCGTTCGTAACCACATTGAGTCTGCGGGTACCGATGAGGTTGTTGGCAGCATCGTCAAGGTCCCGTGTGTCAGCGAAGTTCAGGCTATTCTTCACCTCTTCCTGCTGTCTGATAATAGTGTCCGTTGCAGGCTTTGGCGTTGTCATGGTTTCGGCGGTCGTCGGGCACTTGGCAAGTTCAGATGCGGGCTTGTCGAGATACTCCCGCGATCTCTCGAGCTAAGAGAAGAACAGGGCCTTTCTTTATACTCGGCACTGGGTTGAAGCCGCGGCTTAGACGGCCCCCATTGACCGTTTTCGGCTACACGGCGCGGACGCGGTATGAAGAGTGATTCGCCGCTCCGCTTGTGGTTTTTATCAGAACTCATCAATGTTTCCTACATGGGTGGTTCCACGTGGATTCAAATTCTTATCATCGAGGGAACGCGATGTAGTATATCAGACGACTGACGTCAGACGTGGCTTGTGTGTACTCGATGAATGCTCGACCCTGATTAAGGCTTCGACTGGAATAGAGCTAGCATCACTCAAAGGTCACCAAGGGCGTGATTCAAAATTGCTGTCATGTAATGCCTCTCATCCGACAGGCGTTGGACCAGTTGTAAAAAACATTCTTGTGACAGAAAATAATTCTTTTCTGAACCGCGGCCGTTTATGTAGTAAAATGCCCTACCCAAAAGGTAATGATATTTCGCCCTCGTTGGAATGGAGAGTCCCAAATGGTAATACAAGAAGATTAAGGAAAGATGGGTGCAGAAAGCGGTGTCGCGACAGGATATCAAGAAAGGGACAGATAAAAGAAACCCAAAACTCCATCAAGACTTCCCGCCATGCTATGTCTCATGCAACGAGTTAAACTCGAACCGCAAGTCTAAATGGAACAAAATACGCAGGGTATTGCGCAGCCCAAACCAAACATTATACAAGAAATCAACCGCAGCGAAGCGGAAACTCAGCAGGCCGACTACCTGTCGAGCGCTTGGTTGTGGCACTGTCACACCAGTCAGTCAGCACGAACAATTAAAATCAGGGATCTCCAAAAACATACCATATGCCAGTACACGCCCTTCTGCTTGAGCAGCTCGGCGTGTGTGCCCTTCTCGAGCACCTTGCCCTCGCCGAGCACGTAGATGATGTCGGCCTTCTGGATGGTGGCGAGGCGATGGGCCACCGCGACCGTGGTGCGGCCCTTCGCGACACGCTCGAACGCGGCCTGCACAAGCTTCTCGCTCTCTATCGATCGTGACGTGTTAGTAGGAGGGACAGCGGCTGGGTGGGAAAGGGGGGTTACTAACCGGAGTCGAGGGAGCTGGTGGCCTCGTCGAGCAGCAGCACGCGCGGGTTGCGCATGAGGGCGCGGGCGATGGAGATGCGCTGCTTCTGGCCGCCGCTGAGGCTGACGCCGCGGCTGCCGATGTTGGTGTCGTAGCCGTCGGGTAGGGAGACGATGAAGTCGTGGATGCTGGCGTCGCGGCAGCACTGGTGGAGCTGCTCGTCGGTGACGGTGGAGGGGTCGACCCCTAGGAGGAGGTTCTCGCGGATAGTGCCGTGGAAGAGCGACGGCTCCTGCGCCACCAGCGATAGCAGCTTGCGGTACTCGTACACGTTGACGTCGGTGATGTCCTTGCCGTTGAACAGGATCTGGCCCTTGGACACGTCGTAGAACCGCTCCAAAAGACTGACGATGGACGTCTTGCCGGACCCGGACGCGCCGACCAGCGCGGCGAACTGGCCCTTCTCGATGGTGATGTTGAGGCCCTTGAAGATGGAGACGTCGCGCGTGGGGTACTTGAAGTGGACGTCCTTGAGCTCGATCCTGACGCCGCCGTCCGTGTCGGTAATCTGGTCCTTGGATTGCGAGGCGTTAGTGATGCGCGTCTCACGGGCGTGCAGGATGCGGTTGGCCGCCGCGGCGGCCTGCGCTGCGTTGGGGCCGAAGCTCAGCCACTGGCCGGCAGACTCGGCGCCCTGGATCACGGCCATGTACGTGACGATGAAGGCGCCGACGTCGTACTCCCTGCTGAGGAGCAGCTGGCCGCCGTACCAGAAGATGAGCGCCTGGCAGCCCAAGCTAACGCTATCGGCGAAGGCAAAGATGATGGTGGTGAACCGGGCCTTCATGTAGGCCGCCGTGACGTGGCCGTCGAGCAGGTTCTGGTACCGGTCACAGATGCTGTCCTCCATGACGAGGGCGCTGACGGTCCGGAACGCGCCGATGGACTCGGCGCCGAACTTGGAGCTCTCCTGGAACACTTCCTCGTTCATGGCGTTGAACTGCAGCTCGTACCGGACCCGGAAGAAACCGGCCAGGATGCCAAGCGGCACCGTCACGCAGAGGGCGACGAGGGCGAGCTTCCAGCCGTACGCGAACGAGATGGCGAGCGCGCCAGCGAGGGAAAAGATACCGACGAGCAGCATCATAAGATTAATGCCCAGCAGCTCCTTCAGCGCCTGCGGATCGCTAGATAAACGTGCCGTCAGCTGGCCGGTCGCGTTGTCGTCTCTGTCAAAGTAGGACGTGGGCTGGGCCATGATCGACTCGAAGTACTCCCGTCGGTAGGTCGCCGAGATGTGACCCTCCAAGTTGGTGGACACGAACGCGGTCAAGAAGTAGCTGGCCCCAACGCCAGCGGCGAGGGCGGTCCACATCTTTGCCCAGAAGACGGCGCCTTCCATGAGAAGTACCTCGTCCGTTTCCTGGAACACGGTGATCACCTGTGCGAAGAGGTAGGCTTGTACTGGCACTGCAGCCGCTGCGCCCATGGCGCCAATGACGGCAATGACGTAGAGAGGGAACCGGCTTCGCTGCTCGTACAAGAGCTTTCCGAACCCATTGAATACGCCTCGGACCTTCCACTTGGCTTCCTGTTTCGCGGTCTCAGCGACCGACTTGGCGGCGCTCTTCTCGCGCGCGAGCACGGCACCGATGTCTTCGTCGTGGAGGAGCTCTTCGCCCGTCTCATCGCCCAGGGACAACTTCTGGGCGTTGACGAGGCCGTAGTAGACGCCCAGCTCGTTCTCGAGCAGGTTGTCGTGGGTCCCTTCCTCGGCGACCACGCCGTTCTGCAAGACACAGATGCGGTCGGCGTTCTTGATGGTGGACAGCCGGTGGGCGATGGTGATGGTGGTGCGGCCCTTGGAAGCCCTCTCTAGCGCCGCCTGCACGATCCGCTCTCCGCGGACGTCGATGGCCGAGGTAGCCTCGTCGAGGATAAGGATCTTGGGTTTCTTGATGATGCTTCGGGCGATGGCAATCCGCTGGCGTTGGCCACCGCTCAACTTGGCGCCCGAGTCGCCCACCTGAGTGTCGTAGCCGTCCGGCAGCCGGTCGATGAACTCGTCGGCGAAGCTCTCGGCGCAGGCCTCTTTGACGAGCTGACGCCTGACCTCCTCCGATTCGTTCTCCCACTGCGTCCCGATCAAGCCGGTAGCAACGTTGTTAAAGATGGTATTGTTGAAGAGGAAGGGCTCCTGCTGTACCAGACCGATCTGCGACCTCCACCACTTGATATCGATGTCCCCGAGCTGCTTCCCACATGTTGATATGCTACCTTTCAGCTCGACAGGGGGGCCAAGATCTTCAGCATCCAGCGGAGCAACAACATCTTCTTCGTCATCTTCGTCGTCCACCTTTTTGCCCTTCTTCTTTTTCTTCTCCTTCTCCTCCTTCTTCTTGTCCTTCTCGACGGCCTTGGCGATCACATATTGGTCATGGAGGGTGTACCATCCCTCGATCAAGCCGACGATGGTGCTCTTGCCCGAGCCACTGGGGCCCACGATGGCGGTGTTCAGGTTGGCGGCGATGCGGAGATTCAGGCCGTCGAGGACCTTCTTGGAGGGGCGGCTCGGGTAGGCAAAGTGTACGTCCTCAAACACAATGTCCTGCTCGGCCGAGACGTCGGGCTCTTTCAACGTGCCCATGTTCGGCTTCGGCGCATCGATGACGGCGAAGAACTCGGCGGCGGCCACCATGGCCTTGGAGACGGCGATCAGCGGGGTCGAGATGCGCTCCAGGGAGATGACCATGAGCATGACGGACATCAGAACGATGAGGACGGTGCTGACGCCCTCGAGACGGTCTTCGATGTAGGACCTCATGCCAAACCAGAACGCCAGCGCGAAGGCGCCGTACAGGCCAAAGAAGACGGCACCAAACTGGATAGACATGAAGGGGGCGCCAAACTGGGTGGCCTGCTTGGCCTTAGTTACCCACTCGGCATATCGCTGGCTCATCCGGTCCTGGGCGCCGCACGCGGTGATCATGCGGATGGTGCTGAAGGCTTCGGTAGCCACCGAGGTACCCTTGGCGTCGGCCCGGGTGAGTCTCGTCTGCCCCTTGATGATAAAGGGCAAGAGGATAGAGAGCACGAGCGAGATGAAGAGGATGACGGACGCGGTCACCAGGGTCAAGGACCAGCTGTAGGTAAACGCGATGATGATGGCGGCAACGATGGTCGAGGTGAACTCGAGGAAGGTGCCCAACTTCTCCGAGATGCCGAGCTGCAGTGTGTTGGAGGTACCCGTGATGGTGCTGGCGGCGGCACCCGAGGGCATCGAGTCGAGGACGTGGACGGTCTGGCTAAACAGACACTGGAGGTAGTGCAGGCGGATAGCGGCCGACATGCGGATGCCGATGAGACGGAAGCAGAACTTGTTGATGTAGTTCAGGCCGAAGCGGGCGATGAAGAGGGCGAACATGTACAGGGACATGCGGTTGATCTGTTGCGAGAACTCGTCGGGGGACTGGGCGTCCGGCGTGGCGTAGTTGTTGAAGTCGCCAACCAACCTACCGAAGACGACGTTCATTAGGGGCATGGTGGTACCAGCACCTATGCTGGCAATAGCGGCGGCGGCCATCAGGACGAAGTCCCATTTCTTCGCGTAGGTGAAGACGCGAAAGTAGTCGGCGGCGGTGGCCTCTCTCTCGGGCCGTGCCTTGACCTCTTTGGCCTCCTTGTCGTCGTTAACCGGGCTACTACTGTCGGCCCGGTCCCCGGTGGTACTCGACTTTTTCTCATCGTCGACCTCGGCTGGCGGGGGTAACGGGCACCTTGCCGGCGCTCTCGAGGCTGCTCTCACCCATGTTTGCACCGGCTTGTTCAGTCAACGCCCATGCGGGGGAGGTTTCGTTGGTTGGCTTCCAGGTTGAGACGCGTGTGTTGTTGATGAAATTAATAAATAGAGAGAGGGATGGGTTGCTTGAAAAGGGAGATAAACAAGAGGGGAATGAATGGATGGATGCCTTAGGAACCGTCAACCCATTGATATCGCGTACTTATGTAACAAGTGCCTAAGCATGTACAGACCTACCTAGGACCTCCAGGCAGGCAGATGGTGAGGACTGCCGGACCTATTTAGGGCTGAACGGCTCCTGCCGGGGATCTTAGGATGTCCGAAGACCGAGCCAGAAGGAAGCAACGCCAAGTTAAGATTAAATGGTGCCAAGAGATTCCAGTCCTGGCTCTTTTTTTGCCATCTGGGCCGTTCCGCGATGCAACTTTGGAACCTTCCTGTGGATGTACGTAGGACTTTTTGTCCAGATTACCTACGCTCTCCCTTTACGGAAATACCTACGGCGCTGAGCCCCTGTCCGCATTATCTCCCTCCTTGGTTAGGACAAACGATCTCACGCGGACTTGAATCTGAAATGGTCACGCTTCCTCTCGTTCTGTCGAGTCGTGGGCTGCTCAAAGTGTTTCCCAAAGTGCAGCAGCTGTTGTCCGAGTCCTCTGTCAAACCCCCAGATTAGGTGTTCCAGAAGCGCGCCTAAAAGCCCGCCACAGGGATCGCCCGCCACATGGATTGTCAGACACGGCGCAACACGACCGATACGACGCAAGCGCGGACACGGGGTGGAGAAAGTCCCCGTTGGATCTGGGGCTCAATGCAGGCATCTCAAGTCTCAACCCAAGTCCCCCGCTTGTCATTATCAGCAAATATTGTTTTATCAACCGCAAGTATTGCTTCTCCCCGCTGTTGTTCGAGCTCCTCAGAATTCAAGCAACAAAATCAAAAAGCAATGCGACGAAACCGAGATCCTTGGCAGGCTTTGACTCGGTGGGTCCATTAGCGAGGTACTTTCATTTTCCCAAAATGGTTAACCCAAGCGGGCGCACGCAGGGAAGAAGGAGGCTCTGGTCTGGTTTGTCGGAAAGGCTCAGATGTCTGAATCAGCATGATCCATTCCACTTTCTTCGTTTCCCGCAAGGTTGTGATGCCGGTCATGACTCACTGTGCTCATCTTTCCATATTCAGAGAATATCTCGTGTGGTCGGCGGATGTACAGTTTACTCGAGTTGAATGAGCGAGGGAGCTTCCCTCGTGTAATGAGGTACAGTGTAAAAGGGGGCTGTCAGGGGCTGCTTTCAGGTTGCTTTTAACTTTTTGACATGGCGGGGTCACACAATCTTGGATGTGGTTACTTTGTCCGCGAGTGGTTTCGCCCAGTACGCGACTCGCCCCAGAAACCACCCCACCAATAGATATTTGTCCCGCATTTCAGCCTCGTCTCAGCCTTGCAGCCGGACCCGCACGCAGCAGCAATTGCACAGGTTTTGCCGGCTCCAGGACACAACGCGAGGCAGGAGCTTGAGTCACCCCGCGCGAGGATTCCCACCCGCAATTTTGATGCAGAGAACGTGGATCCTCGCCCTTCGGTCTGCCCGACCACGACGAGGACTAACTGCGGCATTGACAACCCTCTCAACAACAGCTTGCGATTTCGAATCCCGACGATTTTTTACGCCGTCATTCCTCCGAACGTCCCCGACCTCACTGCAAGAGCCCGACCCCTCCAACAACAACCCCACCACAAGCACAATGGCGCCAAAAGCCCCCAAGTTTGAGATCAAGTCTGTTGTCCTTTTTCCCTAACCTGGATGATCCCGAAGTGCACGCCTAACCGCCGATCCTATGTAGGACCCCTAAGGGCACTCGAGACTGTGCGTTGCCGTCGGAATTCCCTGCCCCACCACGGAACGGACGATTCTGATATCACGCCTAGGGTCCGGCCCGGACATGGTGCTCAGGGAGAAGATCTTCAAAACCATCACCGATGTCTTCAGTATGTGCGGGCAGGCAAACCATTGCTGGGGACTGGGCTGACGGACCGAAGAGCGCCACGGCGGCATCACCATCGACACGCCCGTGTTCGAACTGAAGGGTTAGTGTTTCTCATTACCACTACGGTTGTGCTGTCCATATATAATAATAGACTTGCTAACGGTGACTAGAAATCCTCGCAGGTACATAGGAACCGCACGCGACCACCGATCGATGTCCCGCTGACGGGGCGCACAACTAGGGAAATATGGCGAGGATAGCAAACTCATTGTGAGCCCTTTCACTCTGCTCATATGAATCTCGGAGGTTGGCCGATTCTTACCGTTCAACAGTACGACCTGGCAGACCAGGGTGGTGAGCTCTGCAGCTTGCGATATGACCTGACCGTCCCATTCGGTATGCCCGTAACTCGACTCTTGACTTATGACCGTGATGCTGAGAAACGACCCAGCCCGGTACTTGGCGATGAACAAGGACGTTACCCAGGTCAAGCGCTACCACATCGCGAAGGTTTATCGCAGGGATCAACCGGCAGTGAAGAAGGGCCGCATGAGGGAATTCGTCAGCATACCCCTTTCTAGCGCATGCGCCGGGTATTGAACTAACAATGGAATAGTATCAATGCGAGTATGTGGTGTCTTTGCCTTTCTCCAGGAAACGCTCCTTTTTCGCTTGATAAATTGGGCGTCGAGTTAACGACTTGTCCACATTTAAATAGCTTTGATATTGCCGTAAGACGCCACTCCTCTACATGAGCCCTCACGGGTTTCGTCGCGCGACTAGACACTGACCACATTGCTAGGGCCTGTACGATCCCATGATTCCGGATGCCGAAATTGTATGTCTGGCACTGGTCGGGTTCTCAACCCCGTCATCACCGGCGCTAGGCGACCTCTGAATTCTAACCCTAGAACAGATCAGAATCATCAATGAGGTTTTTGAGGGTCTTGGCTGGCAAGGGAAATACACCATCAAGCTTAACTCTCGGAAGATCCTGGACGGCCTCTTCCAGGTTTGCGGCGTGCCCGACAACCTTATCCGCCCCATCTCTTCTGCCGTGGACAAGCTGGACAAGATGCCCTGGGCCGATGTCAGAAAAGAAATGGTTGATGAGAAGGGGTTAGCACCAGAGGTCGCCGACAAGATCGGTGAGTGGTTGGAATCCTCGCTCGTTGAGTTTGGCTAACCAGGAGGATAGGGAAATATGTGGTACTCAAGGGGCAGCGAGACCTCATCGAGAAGTTGAAGCAAGATGAGGATCTGGCGGCAAATCCGTCGATGCAGCAGGGCTTCTCAGACATGGACTTGCTCTTTACTTATCTGGAGGCGTTCAATGCTGCGCACAGCGTCTCCTTTGATCTGTCTTTGGCGAGAGGTACGTTGGTGCTCTCCGAGACTTGGCAGTTACCGCCCGCGACCTCTGCTAAACGCTAATTTTTATGGTGCAGGTCTTGACTACTATACTGGTGTCATCTATGAGGTCGTAACGGAAGGCTCTGCGCCTGCGGCCCCCGCTTCAGGGGACGCTAAGGACAAGCCACCTAAGAAGAAGAGCGGCAAGCCCGGCGACCCTGACGAGGACCGTTCCGACGACCCGACCCTCGGGATAGGTATGCTTCCTGTAATAACCACCCTGGTACATATCCGCTGACATTTTCTAGGATCTGTTGCCGCTGGTGGCAGGTTAGTCGCTCAATACGACGCATTTGTCAAATTCACACTAACCCCGGCGTAGATACGATAACCTCGTGGGTATGTTCTCCGGGAAGACGCAGGTCCCGTGTGTTGGCATCAGCTTCGGCATCGACCGCATTTTCTCCATCACGCAGGCCTCCCAAAAGAAGAAGGAGAGGCGGAACGAGGTTGATGTCTTTGTCATGGCGTTCGGCAGTGGCAAGGACTTCACCGGGCTTCTCAAGGAACGGAGTCAGATCTGTGCCCGTTTGTGGGATGCAGGCATCAAGGTCGGTCACAATGGCGAAGACTAGGTGAAACCGAGACTAATATTGAACAGGCCGAATTCCTCTACAAGGTGAAGCCTAAATTCCAGAACCAGTTCAAGGCCGCGGAATCGGGCGGTGTACCATTTGCCCTCATCCTGGGCGAGGTAGGTTCCGCTGGGTTACAGTCTGTTGCACGCCAGTCATCTAATGCCTCCAATAGGACGAACTTGCCCAAGGGAAGGCGAAGCTCAAGGAGATGGGTCTCCCCGAGGACCACCCATTAAAGGAGGGCGAGCTGATCAGCCTCGACAACCTCGTTGAGGAAGTGCAAGCACGGCTCGCGCGGAAGCAGGAGCTCGACAGTATCATCCAGCAAGCCGAGGGTCTGAAGGTCGTTGACGGGGTCAAGGGCGAGGAGGTCAAAGCCGCTGCAGAGACGGCTGAGACTGCGCAGTAGAGTGCCTTCCCAAAGGCACGGTAGGATTTGAGTCAAGTCCACCGATGTCCGCGAAGTCTTGGAAAAGCCGTCCTAGACTAACTACCGGCCAACATGGCTGACCATCAGCGACTGGCGTGATTCCCAATGGAAAACATAGACCTGGCTTCGTCAAAAACAGACTCCCACGATTCTTCACTCTCTTCTCTCCGTCCCCTGCTCCTCGCCTTTTGAGACGGTTCACTTTTAAGGAGCTGCACACCACACCACGCAGTCGAACGAGTTTGTTGAACCGTCCACCGCTCTCAAAGTCAAACCGCGTTTTTCTTGGCAGGGTCAATGCGGGCGAGTCTAGCCAGAGCGCGTGCTTGCGAGTCGAAGCGAAGTGGGGATGCCTCTTCGATGTGCATCCATTCCATGCTGCGGTGGGTGGGTGGTGGCTCAGGGTGACGATCGTGGTGGTGATCGTGTGGCGCCGTGGATCTTCCTGCTGGCCTGGCGATGTTTGTCGGGTCACAATTGTCATAATTGGCGTGCCGTGTTTATGTCTGTACACAGTACGTATGCATGAGTTATGTGTGTATGTGTGCAGTAGAATTGTGCGTGTTTGATTCATCCCAGTTGGACTCTTCTAGCTTGCTTTCGAGAAGATCGCGTCGGTTCCGCCGGGCGAGCCACCTCGGGAGTCGGTCACGGTCATGCCGGGGACTCGGGGGTGATGGGGGGGTTGGTTGGGGACGGAAAACAGTCCGCGCTGGTCGGTGCTTTGGCGGCTGAGACACGGAATATTGGCAATCATCGTTTTTTCCTTTTTTGTTGTTTTTGCTTGTTGGCTTTCGAGCCCAACCTAACTACCTTACCTATCTATGTGAGAAAAATGTAGTGATGTCGTGTGTATTTAGAAATAGTCGGCCGTGGGTACAGTGAGCAGCTCTTCTCTCCCCTCAATGCGAAGTGATGCTCTGATACCATCTCAATGGCGATTGGTGTTGAAGACGTCGGACGCCGCCGAGGGGGAACCTCAATGGGTTTGCGAGCAGCCATCGTGCCCATCTAAACCATCTCGGGATTAGTTCACTCAGGGGAACAGCCAAGCTTTCCCTTTCCAGGCCTAGGGCATCAGGACCCAAGAGCCAGGCTCGAGCCCCCTGCGGCACTAGCGGCAGCACGAGCCCTCTCCGGGTCCCTGCGTTAGTGCATCGACGCAGGACAAGCCCCCCAATGCCACCCGACCTTCCCTGAGCTGCAACGCCGTTTCTCTCCCACACAACGCCACCGCGAAAACCGTGCTGAAAATGCCTCTGGCGTCATGCAGCTAAAGGTGGGCTCGGAAGATCCTCCTGGTTGCAGGTGTATTCAAGTGTTGCCCATCCCCTTCCTGGGGTTTCCAAGAGACATCTCGTGGGGGTTGTTTTTTGCTTGTGCAATTGAATTTTGCAGCGAGTGCGTTTTGTAGCTCGTCCACTCCTTCGGCACCCGCGAATCTATTGTTGTTTTTTGTTGTCGTTGTTGTGCCTCCTCCATCATAACTGTACTTGTCCGCTCGTTCCCGTTCTACACAGTGAGGAGCGTTTGTTCGCCATTGGAATCCAATTCGTTTCATCCAGTCGGAGCTGTGCCGTCGCCTAACGGCATCATCAACAACACACGCCTCCCGTCTTCCGTCTGGACCGTGTTTCGCCACCTCCTTCCTTCCAGAACTATTCGGCGGATTTATCAAACACTGCCGTTGTGGACAATCCTAGTCGAACCTCGTGGGAACTCTGATTCCGATCAGCCTAATATTTAATGTTGACTGCGAGTCGCGAGCCAGATTCCCAAGTCCGGGTCGTGTGCGACTCTCGTTTTGAAGACGAGGGCGATCACGTTGTCCCGGTGCCGATCTGAGCCGCAGGCCTTACCAAGATCACTAAAGTGCCCTCACACGTGGTTGAAACTCCCAAGAAGGACGGCCAGGCACGCCAGGGTCTCCTTTCCAGTCTGCTGGGACCAGCCTCATCTTGGAGTGTCACCGTCGAATCCACACCAATTCCGGTTGGCGAATTGCGCTGGTTGCCGGATTCGGCGATCATCTCCATCGCCTCATTTACCCAGTAGCAGGGCGCATGCTTGTACGAGCTGCGGGGAGACCAAACACGTTGTGGGCTCCGGGCCGGTTTCAGTTCAAGAGCAAGCCCTCAGCTCTCTTGACGATTTCTGGTGACGAACCACGAACCTCGACTCTCTGTTGTTCTGGGATTATCGTCGGCGGATAGTTAGCAACCATGGGCGGACTCATACCTCTGATGCTCGCCTCGGGCTCACACACCACGAGTTCACGCACGAGTTTACGCACGAGCTATATCGCCCCGTCCCCCTCTCAGCCGTCTTTCCGGCGGCAGTCAACTGGAGGCGCGGCCTTTTCGACGAGCCCAACAACGCCAACCTATGCAGCGAGGCCAAAGCCACCGAAGCGCTTGTCACTTCCCACGCCCGCGGCTATCCCGGTGTTGCCGTACACGAAGGCAGAATGGAGGAAGACGATTGCCGAAGTCAAGAGGAAGTACTTCGGCAAGAGATATCGCGCATGCTCGGCAAGATGTATCGAAGTCCTCGAGGGCATCAAGGACACCTCCCAGGTTGAGCCGGTATACCTGATCTACCTCCACTTCTACGCGGCGACGTCCTTGGAAATCTGCGCCCGTCCGCTGCCATCCACAGCCCCTTTACGGGCCACCCTCCTCCAGCAAGCCCGCACACACTTCGAACGGGCCTCGGTCCTCATCAACGCTGCCGAGGAGTCCGTCCTTAGGAAATTCCGCCCCGGCTCGGTCGGCTCATCCCGCGGTTCCAGCTGCCACTCGCCCTCCAGCTCCATCAGCTCCTCGCGCGCCTGGACCCCAGACACCGTCGTATCCTCCCCGACCGACTCGGTCTACTCCATGGATGACCAAATCCCGAAACCCCCGCAATCCCCGCCTCGACGCAGCAAAAAGGTCTCCTTCTCCCTCCCCAAAGATGCCCCCTTCCAAATCCCCACCTCGGAGCCCATCATCCGCCCGGACTCGCCCACCCTCGGCTTCGACGACGGCTTCTACCACTCCAGCATAGCGTCACCCACACCACCAGAAGACCTCCACCCCCCCGCGCCCTTCAAATTCCAAGAGATCGAACTTCCTTTACCCACAATACTAGAACAGACACTGGAAGAGGAAGAAGAAGAAGAAAGGACCGAGGACAGCGACGAGTACTACGACCCCAAAGCCGCCTACCAGGTCGCGCGCTCCGTCGACCGCTGCTGCGAGCACCTCGCCCACCTGCGCGCCCAGCTGGCGCGCCACTCCACCAGCCTCGACCAGCTCCTGCTCGCCCAATCACGCCCTTCACCCAACGCCAGCAACGCCAACGACCCGGCGAAAGCAACGACCGCCGCCGAGAAGACGCCAAGGGGCAGCGAGGCGCGCGCGCAGGACCGCCAGGCCCGCGTCGAGCGCCTGCGCAAGACGGGCTGGCAGCGCAGGCGCTTCGATGCCGCGCCGTACGAGGCGCTGTGCGAGGCTGTCTTGGCCGAGATGGCGTGATCCCGGCGAGCTGGCTGATCGTGCTTGTTTTTTTGCGGTTGGGGTGGGAGGCTGTTTATGAGTTTATGAGGGCGTTTTTTTATTGTTGTTGTGCGTGGCGTGGCGTATTGGAGGTGTTTGCCTACCCCCCTGCCTGCCTGTCTGCCTGCCTACTGGATGGTGGGGGGGGCTGTGGGTGAGCATCTGTTTGGGGATTGTTGTTGGGACTGTATTTGTTACTGTTGTATATGGTGTGGACTGTATCAGTGTTGTGTAAAAAGGGTGGGGTTGAGGGATCCATGTATAGACGGTTGGGTATTACCATGGGGGTGGCTTGTGCTTCGAACTTATGGTTCTTGCTTGTTGACATTATCGTCTTGCTGAGGACGGGCCTATAGAAAAAGGGGGTGTTGACCGGGGAGGAGCGGAAGCTGCGGAAAGTGGGCGGTGGTGGTGGAAGATGAAAATGTACTTAGAATGCGAGTTACATTTCTCGTTAAATATACGTACCGGTGAATATGATAATTATATCCCTACATACCTCCCTCGGTACCTACCTTACCTACCTTGTGAAACCATGGAAGTCATGCAACCCCTCCGTGCGCAAGTTGGTTGTGCGTCTTAGTCAACCCCTTTGGATACTCGCCGCCTGGCCATCATGTGATAACCCGTTTCCCCCTCTATTTCAGAGCCTAGCTGGCCATTGGCTACATGGAATTTGAGGCTGCGATTGTGTTTGGTGGTAGGCAATTTGCCCTTAAGATACATCCAGGACATCAGACTTCGCCGACACCGAGGGGCATAGCCGTTCTCTTACGTTGAAGCGTTCTGTCCCGGTTCAGGGGCTAATTTGGAGTTGCAAAGATCACGATAGGACCCGTTACTTTCACTTGGAAAAGACCGAATCTTCTAAATTAACCGGTTTGTCAACCAAAATCGTCGAAACGAAAACCAGGTCGCAAAATAAACCTCGAGATATCAGCACATTTGAAAGCAACCCACTCCTCGTCCAGAACTCAGAGTAGGGGGTATGGAGAAAGATTCCCTCCCAGTCCGTTCGAACAACCTAGTCCTCCCAAACCATCCGGCGTTTTGGTATCCGCCTATATTCAAGCTACGGCGGTGTTGTCCCCCGTCCCTTAACCCGTCTTCGAGGCCTCCTCGGTCACCTTGAGCGTCTCCTCCTGCTCCTTCATCTCGCGCACCTTGGCAAGAACCACCTCGCGGAAGATGGCGCCCTTGATGGTTTTGGATAGCGTACGTTTGCCGCCATCGCCGCTGCTGCCCGAGTCCGCGGCGGGAGCACTGGGAACGGCAGCAGAACCACTGTCCGAAGCATTGTTGTTAGCGCTAGAGGAATGGGAATAGTGGCGCGATTGGTCCGCTGCTAACGTGGCGTCTTTGGGCATATCCGAATTCTCGGGGTCCTCCTCCTGAATCTTGAGGGCCTCGATCCGGTTGGCGAGCTTGACCATCTCAATGCCGCGGCGCAGCCGCGCACGGGTGAGGTAGGCGCGGATCTCGGGCAGCAAGTTGTGGTCGGAGGCGTTCTGGCCGCTCAGCCACGGATGAGCGAGGGCGCGCTGGTAAGGGAAATGTCAGCTACGGTAATTGATGATGCCCATATTCAGGTGCAGCGGGGACTCACGTCGCTCGACCAGCGCTCCTCCGGTTTCGATCGCAATAGCCCCATGATGAAGTCCTTGGCATCCTCGCTCACGTCCTTCCAATACCGCTCGTGGAACACGACGCGGCAGGCACTGCACTCGTCGATGAGATCCTGGAGGTTCTCGGAGCGGAAGGGCGGGTAGCCGCAGAGCAGCGTGTAGGTGATGATGCCCAGCGACCACATGTCGACGGGTTTGCCGTGGCCCTGCTTGAGCATCACCTCGGGCGCCGCGTACCCGAATGACCCAGCCATAGTTGTGAGGACCTCATCCTTGGTGCCGAGCGTCTTCGCAATGCCGAAGTCGGCCAGAACCAGATCCGAGTCTAGGTCCTTGGTGAGGTAGAGGAGGTTCTCGGGCTTGAGGTCTGTTCCACCATTAATTAGGACACGTGCGGCCCGACGGTTTGCGCGATGCCACTTACCACGATGGACGACATTGTTCTGGTGCAGGTAATTGACCGCTTCCAAGACCTGCTTAATGGTTTGAGACCCATCCTTCTCAGTGAACTTGCCCTGTTGGCAAATCCGATCGAACAACTCTCCACCGGTCGCGAGCTCCGTGACGATGTAGTACTTGTCCTGAGCGCGGGAGGTATTAGCTTCGGTGTCCGCCTGACGTTGTCCGGGGGTAAAAGGAGGCGACATACTCTTGATTCGAACCAGTCCACAAACTTAACAATGTGCGGGTGCTGGAGTCGCTGGAGCATTTCCAGCTCGTCGAGGACCATGCGCTCATTGCCCCGGACGACCTTCTTCAAAATGATCTTGATCGCGACCCGGCCATCGGGACCCTCTGCCTCCCTGACGATGCCATACGTGCCGGCGCCGAGGGTGCGCCCAAATCGGTACTTGGCCCTAGATCACGCCGTGTTAGGGGGGATGCGGGGCAAGAAGCCGTGAGGGAGGGGTAGAGAGGCGCACTTCTTGTCGTAGCTTTCGGGTTGCCCGTGGAGGCGGTTCAGCATGTTCGAGACTGCATGATATTCCTGTTAGTTTCTGCGCAGAAGGTCGCATATGGCTGACCGTGATAGGGATCGCCGCCGAGACCAGGAGACAAGAGACAACAAACAGACCGAAGCTCGCGAGCGCCTGACGGATCGAGGGTGACTTACAGCTCATGATTGCGAGCTTTGCAAAAAAGAACAAGCTCCAAGCGGTCGAGTCGAGGCAAGTAGGTATTAAACTGCACAAAGCCCACGGTTACTCAGTTCCGTTCGTTCGATGCGTTGTCGGTGTCGGTCAGGGCAGCGCCTTGGCTATCTGGCTGTGTTGCAGGTGGGGAGATTCCGCGGGGGGGGCAGAGGCTGGGCGGAGCGGAAGTGCACGAAGCGGGAGTGTACGAAGCGGCTGAGGAACCTGGAAGCTGACAGGTTCGAAAAAGGCTTCAGATAGGTACGGAAATTGTTGATAGGTCGACGACCCAGGTCGGAACGCGCTCTGAGGGAGGTGAAGAGGGGGCTTGGCAGCAATTGGGCTGGACGAGGGGTAATGGAACCTGAATGCACTCTTGAAGAACCCCGCCAATCTCCTGAAGTCTTTCCGCTTACGGTAGGGACAAGAGAGAGTGTGGAGAGGGCAACTCGGTTCGGACTCGCATGAATAAATGGAGTTTCTGGATGCCGTTGAGGCTCACCAAAAGGCACAGGAGTGACAGGATTGACAAGTGCCACAGCTAGAGACTGCCTCGCTGGGCTTCTTTTTTGGAGCAGTTGGTTCCAAGCTGCGGCTGTGAGAACATCATCAGGTCTCATGCGTTGGTTGCCATGTCTGGCTGTGCCTTCAGGTGTGGGTCGGTCACCCCGCCAAGCCGCACCTGCGGCAAGGGTCTCAGGACCCCAGGAGGCAAGACCACTCAGATCTCGGCTCTGTGGTGCTCTTCATCCCGAAAACTTGCGAGTGTCATTTTCTGAGCTGACAGGGTGACAGACCCATGATGATGCACAAAGGTCCCCAACCACCTAAATCTTCATGTACATACGAGCGTTTGTGTCTCCTCTCTTGACCGAGATTTCGTCGGTTGGTCTCACAGGGAATCTACCGATGCTAGTGCGAGTGTTAGTCTCACCAATGCTGTGGACTGCACCGCCTCCCTCTAACGCCCAGTAAGGCACAGTGGAGAGGCACCCAGGGAGCCATTGGGTGGTTTTTGACGAAGGCGGTGATACCGGGCGCTTCCACATGGCAAACTGCTTCCTCAGAGAAGGGTGATACAGCAAGTTTGTTCTATCCCAGCGCGCTGTCGCTCTCCGCATGGATTTCGCCAGTGGAAAGGTATTGTGTAGCTATCCAAATGCATGTCACAGCAACTGTCTCATGGAGGCAATGCCTTCGATTGAGCCGTAGATAACCTACCTATCTTGATCATGTCTTGAGCCGCCTCTCAATACCAGCCAATGAATGGACAGCGTGGGCTTCCCAACCGGGTTCCTTCCTGCTGGGTCTCGCCAGTGACCTCTAGCTCAGGGACGTTCGAGGGTAAGGTGTTGGAGGCTGGTGGAGCCTTGCGTTTTGGAACCACGTCCGTCTTTCCACCCCGCTTACTTGGTAAACGCGGTGCTTTTCCATGACGAGCCGGGCCAGCCCAAGCGCGTTCCTACGGCGGTTTGCCTTGTCACCAGCGTTCCGAGTGCTCAAAGCGCAATCGGGTCACGGCCCATTACCCAATTGTTACCCTGTCGTTATTCAACCGGTTTGCGCCCCGCCGAACTAGGTCGCCGCCAGAACGGCCCCATTCATGACTCGGACAACGACCTGATGTTCCCCGCCCCCACTTCCTCGAGTTGTCTTTCTGCCACTCCCTCGCATCAGTTATTTACCTCTCGGGGTAATTTCTACCATTGAAAATGACCGTGCCCTTTGCTGCGAAACGGCTGGGTAAAGAGCTCCAGAAGGTTAGCGACAGCACGGACCATGACGTGTATGCCCCTCTCTAACAATGTGTTTCTAGATCAGCAACTCGCTGCCGCCAGGTGTCGAGCTGGTTTCGGCCGAGAACTTTGAGGAGTGGCTTCTGGACATCAAAGTGCTGGACGACAACCCGCTCTACCAAAACCAGACATACAGGCTGAAATTCCGGTTCGGCCCGTCATACCCAATTGGTTTGTCCTACCGCCCTCGCGGCTGGGGGTCGGAGCGAGACATTGACTTTCACTTGTAGAGCCGCCCGAGGTCGTCTTCGTTCAGCTCCCCGACCGCCCGATTCCGATGCACCCCCATGTTTACTCGAACGGCATAATCTGTCTTGACCTCCTCGGCCAGCAAGGATGGAGTCCGGTGCAAAACGTTGAGAGCGTCTGCATGAGCTTGCAGAGTATGCTCACTGGCAATTCCAAGAACGAGCGACCCCCGGGAGACGAGGATTTCGTCCGCGTGAACCGCCAACGACCAAAGGACATTCAGTTTTACTACCATGACAACGATGTCTGACGCACATCTTGTGTATATTCTTCAAGAGCGGTATTAATGTCTGTCATCTCGATGAACCTCGATATTTTGACTTCAGGGATTTGGGCGTTCGCTTTTGGCGGCTAGGAGGTTTCAAAGTCTTTGACTGCATTATGAAGCGAGGACTGCCTCATTTCGTGAATCCGACAAGGAGATTTCGCATTTGCGGTGGCGCACAGCATGTCGGAGGGTTGAGGCAAACTCGTCTCGGCTATTTTGAGGAGGAGAGACACAAGGGCATCAGGTTACTAGTTGGATGCCAGAACGGGACAAAAAGTTAGATTTGATAGCGATACGTATCTAACGATCCCGATAGCAGCTCAACGGAGCTCAAAATGGCACGTGAATGGCTCAATGGGGAGAGGTCGGTGAGGTTGCACACCGTCGCACCGTCTTACCGTATGCCGATCACCTTGATGAGCAAGGTGGAGCTTGGGCCAATGCCAAGGCGCCTCGGCATTCCTCCAAGAACTGGGACATCACCGTGTGGCTTTCGCAGCGCCGAGTGCCTAAGGATCCACTCAACGCCGGAACACCACATGGAGAGCTCATTATCATCATGGCTCCTCGTGCGGGGTTCGACACGGAGCAGGTCCACGACAGGGCGCGCAAGGACCTGCTACATCTCCTCGAGGGAGTAAGTCGATGGATCCGGTTTAAACGCACCGCAGCTCACGCTTAGGTTGCGATGTATGTACCTGCTGGATCGCTGAGACTGACAGGCAGTGCGCCCCCCCTAGGTTCGCGGCAAGAAGAACCTCGTTATTGAAAAGGAGCTAGCCGGCCCTCTCGGTGTCGTGGTTAAAGCCTCCACCCTGCGCGACTACGGCGTCGACAATTTCTTCTTCCTCGAAAACAAAAACACAGACACGAGCCAGCGAAACATCGTCTTCATCGCCCGCGGCGAGTCCGCCGGCAACGCTCATGCCATCGCAGGTGAGCTCATATTCCTAGCTCAAAGCTGCGGCTCATTCGAATTACCGGTACAATTACTGGTACGCTTCTCGTTTGTGACGAGGGTGTACAGTATTGGGCTCTCATTCACCTGGCACGCTGCAGTCACCTGAGCCGTGTGCCAGTCCAGCGCTGGTCGGCATGGTCGTCTTGACCAACATAAGAATTGGCAGCCGATGGCATTGTGGCATGCTGACAACCAGCAGATGAGATAATCCGGCTCCAGCGCGAGAGCCAGTCTCCCCACGAATTCCACATATTTTGGGTCCCTCGGCGGACATTGTTATCAGATAAAGTCCTGGAGGAAGCCGGCGTTCTGGGTGATACCAATGTCGCTGAGCTACCTCTGTTCTTCTTCCCACTAGAAGACGATGTCTTGTCTCTGGAGCTAAACGATTCCTTCCGGGATCTATACCTCGCGAAAGATCCGACACCGGTCTTCTTGCTCGCTCGCGCCTTGATGGGGATACAGCAGAAGCATGGTCTGTTCCCGCGCATCATTGGCAAAGGTGACAATGCCAAACGTGTGGCCGACCTTTTGTCTCGCATGCGACAGGAACTCCTCGCCGGCGAAGACGCAGGCGAAACGGACAAGGCAGGATTGAGTCCCAGCACTACCATCGAGAACGTCATCATCATCGACCGCGAAGTCGACTTTGTGACGCCCCTCCTGACACAGCTGACCTACGAAGGTCTCCTGGATGAGGTGTTCGGGATTCAAAACAACCAGACCGATGTCGATTCGACGATTGTTGGTGCCGCTGCACAGCCAGCCGGCCCGGGTACGTCGGCAGCGGCACCGCCGAGCAGTGGGCAGTCACGGAAACGTAAGATCCAGCTCGACGGATCGGATTCGCTGTTCGCACAGCTCCGCGACGCGAATTTTGCCATCGTTGGCGGACTCTTGAACAAGATTGCTCGGCGGCTGCAGAGTGACTACGAAAGTCGGCACAGCTCCAAAACGACATCGGAGCTCAAGGAGTTTGTAAAGAAGTTGCCCGGATATCAAGCCGAGCAACAGAGCCTGAAAATACACACGGGCATGGCGGAGGAGATCATCAAGTACACACGTACTGAGAACTTTAACAAGCTGCTGGAAGTCCAACAAAACCTTGCGGCAGGGGCCGACCCCTCGTCGCAATTCGATGCGATCGAGGAGCTCATTGCCCGCGATACTCCGTTACCCCAGATCCTCAGGCTGTTGTGCATCTACTCGTGCATTTCGGGCGGCATCAAAACTAAAGAAATGGACCACTTCCGGCGGCTGATCTTGCAGGGTTACGGATACCAACACATCCTTACCCTCCACAACCTAGAGAGGCTGCAGATGTTTTTGTCAAGGTCGTCCCCCTTGGCGTCCATGATACCCATGACCGGCGCTGCGGGCGGCCAGGGCAACAAGACAAACTACACGTATCTCCGCAAGCAGCTCCGGCTTATCGTGGACGAAGTCAACGAACAAGACCCCAACGACATCGCTTACGTTTATAGCGGCTACGCGCCACTCTCGGTCCGGCTTGTGCAAGCCGTGCTGCAGAAGCAGTACCTGCTCTCTATTACACGAGGCGGCGGTGCGGGCGGTGCAGGTGGTGCAGCAGGTGGGGGCGCGCAGGGCTGGCGTGGGTTTGATGACGCCGTCAAGCATGCCCGGGGCCAGACGTTTGACGAAGTTCAGAAAGGCGAGGACAAGGCTGTCAAGGCGCGGGCTCTGCTGTCGGGCAGTGGCGACAAGAAAACCGTTTTCGTCGTGTTCGTGGGCGGCATCAGTTTTACGGAAATTGCGGCACTGCGGTTCCTAGCGAAGCAGGAAGAAGGTATGTTTCCTCATGTTTCAAGCTGCGAGTAGAGGGATTTGAATTCTTCACACAAGACCTGGATGACTGACTTGTATCCTTTGTAAACAGCCCGGCGAAACATTGTCATTTGCACGACTTCGATCATCAGCGGGAATAGGATGATGGATGCCGCGATTGAGACGGGAACATTCGAGAAGAGCACTCCGCCGCAGGAACCAGCCGCTCCATAAGACCGGAATAAACAAAATGATGATGGTGTTAGGTAGTTAACGGTGTGCCAGTCCGGCTCGGGGGGGTTGGATTGTCTCAGAGGATGTGACCGAGGTCGTCGTTCATCCGGCATTCTATACAAAATACCGGGCTTTCGAGAACCGTGGTGAGGCAAACGTAGCTTCGTGTCTAATCGGAATACTTTCGTACTGCACAACGAAACAATCCAGTTATCTTCTCGTTCGTTCCGTGTCGAGTCTCAAGCACAGACAGGCTGCATGTTTTGCATGGAGGCGCTGTCAGGGCCCCTCACGTGATGGTGCCATACCTGAAATGGCCTATTCGATGCACGGAGCCAGCAGCACTTGGCGCTGCTCCAGTGGAGTTAAACCGCAGTGTCTCTCAGCGCGCAACTCCTCGTCCCACCCACCAACACAAGACGACGGCCACCCCGGGGCGTCGAGGCCCAATTCTTCAATGACAAAATTTCCTAATTTGTATTGGTGAGATTGGAAACGCAACCGACTATTGTTCTTAGCCAACGGGACGGGGGTGAATGGAAAGCGATATGTGTGTTCGAGGTACGGTGCACTCCCGGGAATTTTTGGAAATTGGGGATGGATGGATGGGAAGCTTTTTCGGAGCACCCGCCCGTGGATCCCATGTTTCCCCCAAACCCATGACACCCAATTTACACATATCTCGTCCATCAATGTTTCAAAGATGTCATGCTGATGCGTGCAAAAACAGAGATTCAGACCCTCTCTCTCTCGTAACCGCATTCGACGTACAATCGGCAATTGGCTCATAAACCCGGCTTGTGGTACCTTGTTGCCCTTTAGCTCCCTTCTTCACCTGAGTTAGGTACGGGGGGCTATATGGCTCGGGGGCGAGCGGGAACCCGTCAACTTCGGCGACAACCCCGATCTCTCCCACATATCGCGAAAGCCCAACCACCAATTTAGTGGTCTGTGGTCTCCACCGATATAATGGGAACTCCTTCGAAACCCCGCACTAGACAGTCTAGCGGTTCAGGAAAGGGTCTTCTCAGAGGAGCCAGGGATACCGACTCACGCCGCTCACCACGCACTTTACTTGCCAGTCCCGCCAAGCCCCCATCACCTCCCGCCAGTACGGCGTCGGATCCGGAAGCGGCCCCGAAGACGGTCCATCACGATTTGACTAACGGTTCCGAGGACATTGCTCCTGAGATCGTCGTCTGGACCGAAAATATGGACAACATGGTAGTGGACTCGCCAGAGTCGGCCGTCCCGACCACCCCCGCCACTCCGACCTCGGAAGGAAAGGCAGTGTATGTTCTGTCTCCGTTCTTGTGTCCCTTCCATGGCCCTCGTTGCTTCTCACTCATTCTCTTTGGTTCCTGATCTCATGCGAAAAGGATGTTTGAACTCCCCGTTTCCATATCTACACCCATCATTCTAGTCCTTATGTTGGAGCTCACTTCTTACGAATATACGCTGAACCGAACGATAGCACACCCGTACCTCCCTCCACAGCGACACCCCTGACCGCGACGCTCTCGAATCCGATACAGAATGGAACGCCCGTAAAAGAGTCCTCATTATCATCACTATCCTCATTATCCTCTATGTCCGACCAAAACGATTTCTCGTCCCTTGCACTGTCCGGATCGAGCAAGGCTACTACCCCTGTCGATGGCGACAGCTCAAAAGAAGCTCTAGCGGCCGGTGTTGCTCGTTCCAGCCAGCCGATAGACTCGCCGAGGCGGAGGTGGGATGTACGACCCAAGGTTTCCATCCCCCCTGATCTACCACTCTCCGAATATGCGATGCAGTGCGTTGCGGCTGCTGAGGCCTCGAGGCTCAATCCCTATTCACTCCACCAGGAAGAGTACTTAATGCTGCGGGACCATATCAGCCACACCCAGGTGACGACGTACTTGAACATCAGGAACGGTATTTTGCGGCTCTGGGTCCGAAACCCACAAATACCTGTTACGCGTGAAGAGGCTGTTGGCTGTGCGAAGGACTCGCGGTGGTTCGACGTCGCCAGTGTCGGCTACGACTGGCTTGTCCGCCGTGGCTACATCAACTTCGGATGCGTCGAGGTGCGGTCATCACGTAAACACGGCAAGCAAAACGACTCTTCCCAGCGCAAGCAGAAAACTGTGGTCGTAATCGGCGCGGGCATGTCCGGTCTCGGCTGTGCGAGACAGCTCGAGGGGTTATTTGCACAGTATGCGAAGAAGTTTCGCAGTCGAGGCGAAGAGCCGCCTCAGGTGGTCGTCCTCGAGGGCAGGGATCGGGTTGGTGGCAGAGTCTACTCTCGGGCCTTCAAGTCGAGGCCGAAACAAACTCCGGACTTGTTTGAGGGAAAGAGATTCACAGCCGAGATGGGAGGTATGATTATCACCGGGTTCGAGCGAGGTAATCCGTTGAACATCCTTCTCCGGGGGCAGCTGGGCCTCGCCTACCACGTTTTAAGGCCGGAAACAACACTCTACGATCCCAACGGCAAACCAGTAGATCTACATCGAGATCAGCTAGTCGAAAATCTTTACAACGACTGCCTCGATCGAGTCAGCGAGTATAAGTTCAAGCCGCCAGCATCGAAATTGATCGAGGCCAACAGAGACCTGATTGACGAGGGCAAGGACAGTTCAGCCGAAACACATAAAACAATACGGCAAGCGGAGGAATCCGCTGCAGCTCAGCCATATGCTGCACCCGTGTCAGAGCAGAACATTGCCCCGCGGGTAAACCTCGTGCCGGTCTCGACCGACCGAGCAACCGGAAAGATACACACAGAGCCGGGGACGCCAGGCGCTCTCAAGGCAGCCCACAAAGCAAAAATGATAGGCTGGACACTGAAGCAAGGCGTCAGTGACGACGCAGACCTGGATATCGAGACAGCGACGAAAGAGCCCGGCGCTACTCTCGGGAGCGTAACGGACAAAGTAATTGCCCAGTACAAGGACCTACTAGACCTGACTGCGCAGGACTTCAGGCTCATGAATTGGCACATTGCGAACTTGGAATACAGCAATGCAACCAATTATCGCCAGCTCAGTCTTCAGGGGTGGGATATCGACGCTGGCAATGAATGGGAGGGGAGTCACTCCATGGTTGTCGGCGGTTATCAGAGCGTTCCGAGGGGGCTCATGCATTTGCCTACTTCCCTAAACGTCAAGCAAAAGTCGCCCGTCAACAACATTTCATATACGTCTGGTAGCACCGCAGGCCCGGCAACGGTGACTTGCGAAGATGGCACCACCGTAGAAGCCGATTTTGTTGTTAGCACAATCCCTTTGGGGGTGCTGAAGCATGGAAATGTGAAGTTCGAGCCGCCTCTCCCGTCGTGGAAGTCAGACGCCATCGATCGCCTTGGATTTGGCGTCCTGAATAAGGTGATCCTCGTGTACAAGGAGCCCTTCTGGGACGAAGACCGCGACATTTTTGGCGTGCTAAGGAGCCCGACCATCCGGCACAGTCTAGATCAGAAAGACTACGCCTCTCAACGGGGACGCTTCTTCCAATGGTTTAATGTCACAAGGACCAGCGGCTTGCCCGTTCTAATAGCGCTCATGGCTGGCGATGCGGGGTTCGACACCGAGCAGACTTGCAACGACGACCTCGTCGCTGAGGCCACCGGCATCCTCCGCGGCGTTTACGGGTCCCGCGTCCCCAATCCCATCGAGGCGGTCGTCACGCGCTGGGCTTCGGACAAGTTCGCTCGCGGCAGCTACTCATCCGCAGGCCCAGACATGAAGGCCGACGACTACGACACCATGGCCCGCCCGATCGGCAACCTCTTCTTCGCCGGTGAACACACCTGCGGCACACACCCGGCCACCGTCCACGGCGCGTACCTCTCCGGTCTGCGCGCGGCCTCCGAAATCCTCGACGCCATGATCGGCCCCATCCAAGTCCCCACCCCTCTCATCCTCCCGAAAGACGCCTCGTCCGTCCTCGGCACCAAGCGCAAAGCCAGCTCCCTCCTCGAGGGCGGCGGCGGCGTAAGCGGCCCTCCCCACCCCAACCACCCCAACAACAGCAACAAAGACGCAGCCCAAGCCCGCCTCGAAGCCTACGAGACACGCCTCTGGGAGCACATCGCCGCGCAGCTCGGCCCGCGGCCGCTGCCGCCCGCAAAGCCCGCCACCAACGCCTACATCTTCTACAGCAAGGCGCACTACGAGGACGCGCGCGCGCGCCTCGACGCCGCCCGCCGCCCGGGCAAGGGCAAGCCCTCGGCCAACGAGGTCCGCGTCATGAGCGCCAAGATGTGGCGCGACGCCGCCGACGACGTGCGCAAGCCGTTCCTGGACGCCGCCGAGGAGCAGAAGAGGGCGTATCTCGCTGCGCTCGAGGCGCATAAGCTGGCGGCGGCGGAGTGGGATGGTAAGGCTGTGGAGGTGAGGGAGGGTTGGGTGGCGGCGAATCCGGATCCGGGTGGTCCTGGTGGTGTTGGTGGGGGTGGGAAGGGGGAGGTGGAGGGTGGCTTGGGGTCGGCGAGGAGGAGTAAGGTGAAGGTGGAGAGCTATGCGGAGGTTGATAGTGAGGCAGATGGGGAAGGGGTTGATGACGGGGAGGTGGGAGAGGAGATGAATGTGGATGTGGATATGGTGGGGGCGAGGTTGGTGGGGTAGGGGAGGCGACAAAGGCGTGAATGGTATAGGGGTGGTGTGTAATTGTTGTGTGTGTGTTTGTTTGCGGTGTGTGTTGTGTATACGTTGGTTTTTAAAGGGGGCCGCTGGGCCAACACCGTGGGTGGGCGTCATCGGGCATCGTGTGGCATTCATTCCATGCATTTCGGGGACCGGGCTTGCGGCTGGCTGGCGATACTCGGGTGTGGAAAGGACGTGGGTATATCTTCAGCAACATCACAATGGAAACCCGAACGTATTGCCTATTCTTACCAAAAGCAGTTTGCCTCCTCCCGTGATACCACCGGAGATATCCGATGGAACTCGGGCGGCGCTGAGCGAGGTACAGATTACCCGTGAAGCGTGCCGGTCGTTTTGGGCTTGGGTCGTACCCCTAGTGACCAAGAGGAAAGCAGGCTTTGCCCCCTTGCTCGACGAGCGAGCCAAAACATTACAGGGTGGCCACGGTATCAGCATATGGGCAAGGAACTTGGTATTCGGAAGGCGTTGATACACTGAGGGCCGGATGCAGCGCGAAGGCTCTGCTACTTGATATACAAAGGGAACACACCCTTCTCTTTCTCCCCGCTGTGGTCTTTTCTACGGAGGTGAAAAAAGAAGACGAAACTCCTCACCGCCGCAACCGCCCAAACCCCCGCTCGCTGCACGTACCCCTCTCTGTCTGCTCGGTCTATGGGAATTATGCGCTCTAACCCGCTTACATATCCTCCGAGGCGGTGGCACCAGTGATAATTTCGACCAGCTCGCCGGTAATGACGGCCTGGCGGGTGCGGTTGAAGAGAATCTGGTACTTGCTAATCATCTCGCCGGCGTTCTTGGAGGCATTCTGCGGGAATTAATGTCAGCTATGCATGCAGGGTAAATTGTCGAGATGAAAAAGACTCACGTCCATGGCGTTGCGGCGGGCAGAAATCTCGCAGGCGTGGCCCTCGGACAGAGCCCAGTAGAGGGAGTTGGCAAGAGAGTACTCGCGGAGGTTGGAGAGCAGCTCCTCGTCGACCTCGAAGGCGGCGAAGTTGGCTAGATGATAGGGTCAGCGCCTTACTCGGCCGATCGCAGAGTAATACTATCAAACATACGGGACGCAGCAATGGCCTCCTCGCTGTAAGCCGGGAGAACGGTGGGCTCGTAGCTCTGAGCGTTGAGGAACTTGTTGTAGATGATCTCAACGTCGGAGTAGTCGCCGGGGAGCATGACAATCTGGTCGGCGATAGCCTGGGCCTCGGCGAAGGTGGGGACGTCCTTGCCAACGCCAGCGAAGTTGAGAACGATCTCCTTGGCGTTGGTGCGCTGCAGCTGCGAGCGGCACTTCTCGCCGAGAATCACGAGGTCGAAGTTGGAGTCCTCGAGCGCCCTCCGGCGGATGTAACGAGACAGACCGGAGTGGACACCACCGCAAAGACCCTTGTCGGAGCTGCAGACGACCAGCAGCTTCTTCTTGCCCTCGCCCTCGAGCGGCTTGGTCTCGGCCGATTCGAACACCTGGTTGCTGGTCTCGCCGTACTTGCGCGAGTCGGTCATGGCACGCTGCGCACGCGTCAACTTGGTGGAGGCGACGATCTTCATGGTCTTGGTGATCTTCTCGATGTTGCGAATCGACTTGAGGCGGCCCTCAATTTCACGCAGGGTCGCGTAGGTGGCTGTCGGAGCTGCCGCTCTACAGTTGGTCGTCGTCGGTTAGCCCGGATTCTCCGTCTCTGTATCCTGCTCCCCGGCTCCGTTTGCTGCCACAGCCCGATGTCTCCCACCAGCTTCCTAACCCTCCCTCCACCTCCTCCATCCCCCTCCAGATCCACCACCATCGGGAGGCCCATTGAATGACGAAAAAGGTCGGACTCGGAGTGGGAGGACACATACCGGGACGAAACGGCAGCACCGGCCCTCAGCGCCGGGCGGGCAGCTCTGGACAGCATGGCGAAATGGGATGCTGCACGAATTCGAAAATTGCCGTCTCTGCTGGCTGTGGCCCCGATTGACCACGGTGTGTGCTGGCGTCGATTGATCGGGGAGTTTGAGGTCAATTGAACGCAAGGACCGCAATTGGCGTGAGAGGTTTGCTGAGCTCGGCTCCACTTTCGTTCCGCTTCCTGTTCGTGCTCGCTGCACCCGCTGCCCGTTTTCCCGGCAGCTGGCGATTGGCCCGGTGGAGACGACCCTCGTCCGCTGCAGTCGCTGCGACACCTTCCGCTCGCTGCTAGCTTAGTCAGGCCAGCGACGCTCGGGCCCCCATCGGTCCATTGTGTTGTTGCCCATAGAATAAGGCACCCAGTCAGCAACGGAGGCTCTCGCATTCCTCGCTGCCGCTGCCTGCGGCCCTGCAGACTCGAACTGCCTGCCACGGTGGCCCAGGGAAGCGTACGCCCAATTACCGTGCAGAAACCGGGGAGGCTTGCACTCGGGCTGCTGCAAAAGTGGGGCACAAAGAATTCCAATCTTTAACCTCACACTCGCCCCAGGTTCTTGTTCATAGAAGTCCTTCTTTTTTCCTTCCCGGCCTCTCCTGCCTTCCTTCCTCTCTCCTTTTCCCCCTTCCTTGCGCTCACTCTCTCGCTTGGCACCCTGCTTTTCCCCAGACTCGCGTCTGGGGTTTTTCGCCCAATTTTCCTCACCTCGGCTACTTACAGAACTTGCCGCGAACTTCGCAGCCTTTCGAGTGTTCCAGACTCGGCCCGCTCTCCGACGTTTGCGAAGCTGACCGTTTTGGCTGCGCCGCGTTGCGTCTCGTCGACCACCACCATCGATTCGGCTCGAACTCGCTCGACAACTATGCCTTCTGATAGCTCAGACGACGACATTCCTCTTGCACGAAACAATCACGGTAAGTTTCTGCATCGGCGCGTCGTCTGCGGTTTCCCTCCTTGGTTCGCCCGTGGCACAAAGGACCGGACCCCGACAAACTTGGGTTGACGTGTCACATTTCGGCGCCACACCTTCCCGCTCGCCTCGTCAATCCCATTGTTAAGCCATCTCGCGAGGGCATCTACTAAAACCCTTCTCCCTGCAGCATCTGCCCCCTCCATTTCGCCTGCCACCGACCGCGCCATGGATAGGTCGGCTTCCAAAGCCCGACCCGCGCCCCCAGGGCTATCAATTCGGCATGGGCCGGTCGATGACCGTATGGATATCGATTCTGCACCCAACGGGACCGTGAAGCGCAAGTCCCGAAACTCGATTGGCCAGGCCGTCAAATACAAGGAAGAGTCGGATAGCGAGGACGCCGCCCCCTTGGTAGGATTGCCCACTTTCTCTGCCGGAGTTTCCACAGACAATCGTGGGCTAACCGTTGTAGGCCAAACGCCAAAAATCGCAGCACAAGAAGGTCGAATCCGATAGCGACGACGTACCGATTGCACGAAGGAACGGCTCGAAGCTGCCTCCTTCGATCAAGAACACGTCAACGCTCGAGTCATCCGATGACGACCAGCCATTGGGAACAAAGATTGCTCAAAGGAAAGCCGGCATCGAGAAAGCTGCCGCCAAAGAGGCCAAAGCTATCCGGGCGGACGCCAAAACAAAGAAGCCAACGCCAAGGAAGGCCGTCAAGGAGGAATCCGACGATGAGCCACTCGCGAAGCCCAAAAAGCGCCAATCAAATGGCGTGTCCTCTTCCAAAAAAGCTAACGGCATCAAGAAAGAGGAATCCGATTCTGACGTGCCCATTGCGAAGAAGGGAAAGAAGGCTGCCCCGGCACCGAAGAAGGGCAAAGCCGTCCCGCAGGGCAAGGGCAGCAAGGCCGTGAAAGACGAGTCGAAAGAAAACAGCGAAGGCGAAGACGAGGAGGAGTACCGATGGTGGGACGCCCCGAAGAAGGAAGACGACTCGGTCAAGTGGACGACGCTTGAGCACAGTGGCGTACTCTTCCCCCCAGAGTACGAGCGTCTTCCCAAGAACGTGAAGCTTCTTTACGACGGGCAGCCTGTTGACATGCATGTTGAGGCTGAGGAAGTCGCCACTTTCTTTGGCTCCATGCTCCATTCAACTCAAAACGTCGAGAACCCCGTCTTTCAGAAAAACTTCTTCACCGACTTCAAGGACATTCTGAAGAAGACGGGCGGCGCCAAGGACAAGCAGGGCAAGACCGTCGAAATCAAGGACTTCAAGAAGCTCGACTTCACCAAGATTTTCGATCACTACAAGGCGCTCGGCGACGCTAGGAAGGCGCGTCCCGCTGCCGAAAAGAAGGCCGAAAAAGCCGAAAAGGACAAGGCCGAAGGCCACTACATGTTCTGCAAATGGGATGGCCGGAAGGAGAAAGTGGGCAACTTCCGTGTCGAACCGCCAGGCCTCTTCCGTGGCCGCGGTGAACACCCCAAGACCGGCACCGTCAAGAAGCGTGTCCTGCCCGAGCAGGTCACAATCAACATTGGAAAAGACGCCAAGGTTCCGGCGCCGCCTCCTGGGCACAAGTGGAAGGCCGTGCAGCACGACAACAAGGCGACTTGGCTAGCGATGTGGCAAGAAAACGTCAACGGGAATTACAAGTACGTGATGTTGGCAGCCAACAGCACCGTCAAGGGTCAGGCCGATTTCAAAAAGTTCGAGAAGGCCCGCGACCTCAAGAAACACATTGATCGCATCCGTGCCGACTACACGAGGGAGCTTAAGAGTGAAGTCATGGCAGACAGGCAACGCGCTACGGCAATGTATCTGATCGACAAGTTCGCCCTGAGAGCCGGCAACGAAAAGGACACGGAGAACGAGGCCGAGACCGTCGGCTGCTGTTCTTTGAAGTTCGAGCACGTCACTCTTAGAGAACCCAACACGGTCATCTTCGATTTCCTCGGTAAAGACAGCATCCGGTTCTACAACGAGTTCTCGGTGGATCGCCAAGTTTTTAAGAATCTCAAGGTGTTCAAGAAAAGCCCGAAGGAGGACGGAGATGACATCTTCGACAGGTTGACGGTAGGTCAGATCCGCGGGTTTGGTCAAGATTTGACCGCTAACATTCGTCGCAGACTTCGCAACTGAACAAGCATCTCTCGAGCTACATGACTGGCCTCACAGCAAAAGTGTTCCGTACATACAACGCTTCCTGGACCATGTCACAGCTTCTTCAGAAGCTCAAGGTGGAGGACAGGACCATGGCCGAGAAGATCAAGCTCTATAACGATTGCAACCGAGAAGTGGCCATTCTCTGCAACCACAAGCGGACAGTCGGCGCAGGCCATGAAGCGCAGATGGAGAAGCTCGGCGATCGCATCAAGGGCCTGAAGTACCAGAAATGGCGCACAAAGATGATGATGCTTGACCTAGACACTAGGCTCAAGAAAAAGAAGGGCGCCGAATTCTTCGAGCTCGATCCTGATCTGGACCAAGCCTGGATCGAGGAACACCAGCAGTTCCTCGCGAAAGAGTTGCAGGAGAAGATCGAGAAGAAGTTTGCGAAGGACAACGAGAAGCTCGAGGCCGATAAGCAGACCAAGTTGCCAGCCAAGGAGCTTAAGGAGCGGCTCAAGGCAGTCGCCGAGCTCGAGGCCAAGTTCAAGAAGGAGAACAAAACCAAAAAGGTTGAGGCCGAAGGCAAGGGTCCCAGCGTGGAGAAGTTGACGACGGCCGTTGAGAAGCTGGACGAGCGCATAAGGACCCTCGAGATGCAGTCCGCAGATCGCGAAGGCAACAAGGAGGTTGCCCTGGGCACATCCAAGATCGTGAGTTGCTTAGCCTCTGCTGCACATCGTTGGATTCACATGCTAACATTGTCGCTAGAACTACATTGACCCTCGCCTCACTGTCGTCTTCTCGAACAAGTTCAAGGTTCCGATCGAGAAGTTCTTCTCCAAGACTCTCCGCGACAAGTTCAACTGGGCCATCCAGTCCGTCGGTGAGGATGACACTTGGGAGTTCTAAAAGTGGATAGACATGGATGCACCGCATTATTGTATACATTAGAGAGCCTGATTTCCTGCTGCTGCCGCATTATCGACGCGTCTAGGGGAACGCGCTTCGTTCGGCCTCGCATGCTCCTGGGCAAGGTGCCTGCGCACTAGACGAGCTACAGTTGAGCAGTTCACAGCGGCGGCGTTGAAAGGCGGGAAGGCCATGCTGCATAGAGAGCGAGCGAGCGAGCCCTTTGGCGGGAGGACATTTGCTATTTGCAAGCCGGGGTCGTTCATCAGCGTGGGCGAGGTGTTACGTTAAGGGAGGAAATCTGCGGAGCATGAGCCATAAACACCAGAAAGCCATATTATCAACAGCGATGAGTTCGAGCCAATACATCGTCATCGCATGGGACACTTGGGGGGGGGGGGGGGCTTGTGATTAACGTAGCACTCTTCATTAGTTCGTTTCCACGATTGAAATACATCTCTATGCTGATGATACATGTAACGGCATCAGCCCGCCCATCCCGAAATATCACTGAGGTATGCCCCTGATCTATCGCTACCGTAAATGCTCCAGAACGCCCTTCAAATGCTCAAACCCAATCTAAAATGTCCAAAAAAAAGCCGCAGAATAATCAAAAAAGGAGGTGGTAACAGCCGCAACCAGCAAGCATTACCGCGAGGAGGAGCCTTGCGAGGCCGCCCTGCCCTGTGGTTGCTCCGCTGTTGGCCGACGGCGCGTCCGCCGGGATCATCCCGATGCCGGGGGTCGATGTCGCCCCGGGTGTGTCGGCGGTCACGCGCGTCGTCAGGGTGCTATCACCGCCAGAGCCCGGCGAGCGCGAGGCAGAGGGTGGTCCCAACGAGGAGGAGCCGGCTGGGGGTGTCTGTGAGCGGGTTGGTTAGTATTATGTTACAAAACAGGCAGTGACTTTTCGCTCCATTAAGGGGGGTGGTAGGTTGGGTAGGAGGATTGGTTTCTGGGACGGGCAGAAATAGTGATACGTACTTACGGTGCTCGACCCGACCGGCACAATCTTGCCCTCGGAGGTCATGATCCAGCCGTCGGGGATGGGGCCGACGGTGCGGGTGGGCCCGCTGCCGTCGGTCGCGGTCCCGCCGATGATGCCGCCCGGCGGGATGGTGGGCGACGACGAGCCCGTCGCGGCAGGGGCGCTCGCCGTCACGACCACGGAGCCCGCGCCGTCGGCGTTGCCGTTGATCTCGCCGCCCTCGGACCGGATCGACTGCCACGTGCCCGACTGGTCGCCGTACGTGTACTTCTTGCCCGTCGAGTAGTCCGTCACGACGGCCGACCGCACCAGCATGGAGAAGGGCCCCTGGGAGTAGTCGGTCGGCCCGCGCGCCCACTCGATGGTCCCCGGCGGGTTGGACGGGTCGCCGCCGGCCCAGGCGCCGAACTTGACCTGCATGGGCGTCTGCGGGTACTGGCCGTCGGCCTCGTCGAAGGTGAGGGTGCGCACGACGGTGCCGCCGACGTACCAGACGATGCGGTCGGTGGTCCAGTCGATGGTGTAGGTGATGAACTCGGCCTGGTTGTTGGCGGCCGGGTTGAACTGGCCGCGGTTGTAGCTGGTGGTCTGGCCCTTGCTGAAGTAGTTGGTCTGCACCTCGCTGTCGTCGGAGCCGAGCCACTCCATGTCGATCTCGTCGAGGGTGTCGGAGAGGAGCACGAGCGAGCTGACGATGCCGGCGCCCGGGGCGGCCTTCATGGTCACCTCGACGCGGCCGAACATGATGTAGAAGATGCTGGCAAGTTGTGGGGAGTCGCCTCTCCCGGCGACGGTGAAGCTTACCCCGTCGCTGCCGTACGTTGGGCGCCCTCCGCTCGAGACGAAGGAGTTGACCTCCCCTTGGGTGAAGTCGACGTTTATTGTCATGCCCAGTGCCGTGTTGGCGGGACAAGTTGCTTGGGTGGGTGTTAGCCACTCAGGACCTGGTTTGATATGATTTGTAGGTTGACTCACTTGATGATATCGGATTACATGCTGACCACGTCTGGGCGAGTGCTGTCCTGCTGAGCAACACAGCTGTTGTCGCTGCTATCCTCGTCCATCCTTGTGTGAACCACATGGTGTCAAAGCTCTGGAACTGCAGGGTTGAGATGTAGACTCGGTACTGGGTTCTAACACGCAAGGGGTGATAGGAAGCTATTCACGATCTGCATGCAGGTGTACTTGTTTGTAGGTAAGAAATATGTACAAAAAAGATGATGGGATCCCGCGCTGCAACGCAGCCCTGCGGCTGGGTTTTAACAAGGGGAACCAACGGACCCCAACAACCAGAATAATTCGACATCACCAACCTCCCGAAATCGTCGTCATCCCTCGGTGTGGAGCTTTGTGATGAAGCGCTGAGGCCAAGGTTCAGGCGAACAGGGATTGGTCCCTGAAGAAATCGACACGAGGCAAAGCCGACGAATAATCCAAGTCGCCTGTTTGTTCACAATTGCTTGGAGGAGGTTGGGAAATCGTTTGGGTTTCCCGGTGGCTGGAAGTCTTGGCAGCGTCAGCGCAGGCGGGCTCTGGCTCCACTTTTCTTTCTTCAACCATTGAACTTGCCCGGACACCCGAACTGATGTGCTGGTGGCGCCTGCCGATTCTGACTGATGTGGCTCGAGTGTGGTTTTCGTAGGCGCCTTTCGTCGTTTGACCTTGTGAAGAACCCGGAGGGAGCGTTGAACTCACCCAACCCAGGTTGCCAGGCAGATCGGAGCCCGAGAATGACTGTCTCAACCTCGCGACGAGGTCAATTGTCCAAGCTTTTCAAAGTTACTCATCATCGAGGAGAATCTTAACAGAGAATCCGTTTTCTATTCCGGGGTGAGGGCACATCTTTGAGAATGCGCATCGCACGGTTGAATGTCAACATTGCCCCTTTTCCAGGAAAGTGGGTCCAGGCCCCTTAAACTACGCGTCCGTAGTATATCATTGCCGCTGTCACCCCGGCTCTCCTAAATGCTCTGCTGGCGGAGTTTCCAGCGTGATAAGTCGGGGGCACTGTTGTTCAGGTGTCGCTTAGCGGAGCAAAGGGGGAAGTGGTTGAGAAACAATACAGCTCGTCGGGCAAGTCACTGCAAACTTTCCCCGCTAGTTTGAGGGAGGAGCTTGTTCCGTAAAAGCCCTAAATCACCAACTCAATGGCATTTGGCCCTCGCGCCTACGACTCGAAGATCAAGCAGGTCTCTTTCTAAAGGGGTCAGTTGTTTTAAATGGATACCTGATGGGCGCCTCAATTAAATGGGCGGATGTCTAGGAGTGCGGCTTGTAGAGGCAAGTAGCGAGTTGGTGGTTCCTTCCCTTAAGTCAAGTCAAACTTTTCCAACTTAACTTTTCTTTCCTTTTCCGCGGCCGCAACTTTACATTTCCCAGACCCCTCCTCTGTACCGAGTAGGCTATGATTCTGGCTTGTCAGTTACTCCTGAAAGCCCTACCTCTTGACCAAGGAAGTTCAACTCATGCATGAAGCCCTTTTAATACCCTCGCTCTTACCTATGGCGAGTCGAGCTGGGACTCGTATTTGGTCCAATTCTTGCTGGATCACAACCTACACGACCTATCGCGTATTGCTGTCCCACAGTTGAACGGCCCCAGTCGTCATTGATCAGGCTCCAGCTCTTTCCAATGTCTGAACACCCCGGAACACGCCAGTTCAGCAGATCCCTCGAAGAAGTGCAAATTCCCCACCTCAAGGTCACTCAGTAATACTTATTACTCACCTTCTCACCTGCATTCACAGACATTTCCTCTGACTTGCTAATGGCACCGTCTCCCTGGCCAAAGCACAAGGCGTTACGCTTACGCGCCACTAGTCAACCGACCAGAGGATGGTGTGTGTCGGGCAGGTTGCACCACCTCCGACCGTCGCCCGATGCTGCATCCCCCTTTAGAGCATCTTGTCAAGACAAACCATCCTCCTCTACAGCAGCAGCTCGCCAGCGGACAGAAACTGACACAACAAACTCACTGGGATAATCGACATCACCCGACCAATTCCGCCCCACTACCCCCAGAATGGTTCCTGTGGCTTCTATGAAGTCAAAAATAATGACTTCTATTGAAACAGTAACGATTTGGGGTAGTGGTAGTAAGGTCATAACATCGTCAGCCAGAATATCATCAGCCAGAACACCGTCCGCAATGCAGCCGCACATCTCTAATGGCGATTCCCTCCTTTGACCTTGAGTCCCGCATCCTCCCTTCGAGGGCTGGTCGTTTCGGACATTCTATGTCTTCCAGTAATTCATCCCAAGTATCGTGCCTTCTCCCCCCCTCCTTGACTCGTTGTGGGATGAGGCTTTAGAAACCTGTAGACCCCGGGGCCCGAGATGCTGATAACCATGGCGACGCATGTTGCCCATGGGAGATAGCCGAGCAGGATCAAGTATACATGCGCTCGGGCAGCGTACCCGATTGCGGCGGCACAGCTGAGGAGAACCAGGTAGACGACAAACTGAAACGGGTCTTGGCTTTGCCTCCGATGTGCGAATGATGAGACGCAACAGCCAAACACCAGGCAGGAAAGGAGCATAAGACCGGGAGAAGGGTGGAATACCAAGGCGCTGGTAGTGTCTCCAGATCGGGGTCCCTGTTCGCCGGTCAGCTGACTATTCAAACCGAGACCGGACCACCTGGGACAAACTTCGTCTGGGTTTTCGGCGATTTCATTCTGGGTGGTGTACTCCCACGTCACCATACTGCAGAGAGAGCTGATGATGATCTCTAGAATCTCCAGTAGCCGACGCCGGCGGATCGGCACCGGATTGGCCATCCCAGGACTCTTATGGGAACAGCACGGCATCGGGTTCATGGTTTGTTGACATGGTTTCGGGCTCATGATTCGTTAACACTAGTATCGAACGGCCTCGTCGGAGCACAGGACCTGGGAGACGAGCATCCCCAAGAACTCACCAAACCGTGTTCCTTCACAAAGTCTAAATAAGTTCAATTCCAGTCAACATCGTTCGAATCATCGTCAATTTCGGCATTGCCGAACCATCACAGCCTCATCGTCAGCACAAGCACCGATCAATCTACTACAGCCTCGCGGTCATCGGTCCGATGCAACCTAGCAGATTCCGACCAAAACGCACCAAGACGCGGGGTAGGGAAATCAAGGCTTGCACGCGCCCGTTCATTCATGCGTTGGTGCCCAAAACGAGCCGCTTGGGCAGCGACGGGAGTGTTGCCTTGTCGGCGCCCGGGCTGACTGTAGGGCTGACGACGCTCACCGAAAAGGCCCCAACCAATCCAGCGATTCCCTAAGTTTGAGCCGCACATTCGAGGCGGATCAACTTTGAAAGCATGACAGCGAAGCACACCTCCCGCCCTCGCTTGGTGGCATGGTGGTACGGATGTGGAAGAAGCATTCAACCCCTCCCGCACACCAACCCAAACGTGCGACACACCATTGCTCAAGGTGAACAGGCTGACACGGAGAAAGCCTCCCCCATCACCCATCCATTCAAGCCACGGCAGGGCGAGCGGCCGCCGGTTGCCTTACAATCCGTCAGGTGTGGCCGAGTTTTAGCCATTCGTTCCCTCCCTACCCCAACTTTTCCAATGTGACACACGTTGAGCCCCGTCAAGAGCGGCCTCCGGGCGCCATGTTAGCCTGCCTTATCTCAGGTTCCAGGGCAGCATCCCTCCCACATTGTTCTCATTAGCTCCGCCCTTTGTTCCTCGAATACCATCCTATAAATGTTTCAACCTCCCCCTTAGGCAGCACCCAACACACCGCCGTCAACCCTGTCGGTGATGAACATCTTCACGGAACCGGCCGATATGGAGTACACTCATACCAACAGCCAGCAGAAACCCCGGAGCGAGGCGTTGCGCGATGCCGCCAAGATTGTAGCCTGCGGCGTCATGATCGGCTCTGGCCTTCTTTTCCCCCTGGCCAACGCCGAAGGGCTGTGGTTTCGAGCCGTGTAAGACCAACCGGCTCTCAGCTCTCACCCGCAGGCGCTAACGAAGACTCAGAGTCCTCTCCTTCTTCCTCATCAGCGCCCTGAGCTTCCATGCCCTGCACATTGAACCCTTTGTTCGGTAGTTAACGTCTCCGCACACCCGGGATACCTCAGATTATTTACTTACTGTGCTTAGATTCGGACGCTTCACTGCCCCGGTGGCTCTCACCCTTCTGTTCGTCGCCGTCCTTGCGGCTGGGCCCTCCAGAACAGAACTCATCCCCTGGCTGCCGCTGTTTGCTGTTGCATTGAGCTTGATCACCGTTGTCATACACGATATCTCCCAGCATCATAGGGATGCAGAGACCGAGTTTTCGGGGGTGTCCGTCGACACGTTGAGTGTCCGTTCCCTCCGGACTGTGTCTACCCAGCCGCGAGTCCCGCTTGCGCTGGAGTCCAACCGGCACAATTCTCTTTACTTTACGCGGCACGGGCCATCCTCCACGGTGTCTCTCCAAACGGGGACGGATGGCACCGATATAACCCTCACCGGCGTCGTGGGGCAGTACGGACAACATTGGGATGACCAAACGCGAAGTTATTTCCCGGAGGCATTCTTGCCGGAACAGGAACACCCAGAGGAGCTCCATGCAAGGACTGCCGTTCCGGAAGGAAATGGAAATCCGGATGTGGACTCGGACCTGGACTTGGACCTAGACTCAGACCATGGAACGGTGGCATCCGACCACCCGTTGCTCGGAGCCCAAGGAGACGTGTTCCGCTGAGCACAATTGACCGTGGTGCCCCTGGCATAAGGCACGCTCCTCCATCCAACATGAAAATGTGATGCCGATCACCCGATCGCTCATCCTCTCGCCCACGTTTCTTTCATATCATCGCCAGGGGCCGGCTGCCCGGGCTGTACGCTACACCAACACATCAGTTGCCGACTCGGCACCTTTTTTTTAATGGCAGGCTAGCCGTTGAGCCAAGAACAGACAGGGTATGCCGACTTTGGTTCCAGAGAACTAACTCCCTCTGGGATATACGGTCTAACTCACAATATACAGGAGATGGCACTTCCAACGCCATCCTTCCGGCGCTTTCTCACGCGTTTACAAACAATTGGCGCCCACCTTCGTTACGCAAGGATCATCTCTCAGCAACCGCATGGGGTTTGCTGCCACACGTCGCGTGGATTTGGCGGTGCCCATGATTTCAGGCGGCCATCTTTGGTTTCAACAGCATGGCATGGCGCGAATTGGGTGGTGAAGAGGGGTGGGGGTGGGGGGGGGAGGTGGCTGGCATAAGTATGTCCAGCCCAACAGGGGTTCAAGAGCCGGTCTCACCACGATGGGGTTTTGGATAGGAACGGTCGAGCCGGGCTTTGATACGGGTACTACATGTCTCGGGGCGAGGAGGGGGGGAGACAGAAGAGAGGAGACGATAAGCCCGGAAAGGAAGCCGGTTGGGTTCTGGAGCATGGGGTAAGACGACCTACGACCTTTTTGACCAACAACAGCGCCTTGGTATATATACATACCGACGGACAGATCAGATACAGTTTACGTTTAGACTAATAATGCGACGCGACATGGGATGGGTTTGAAACATGCAAGTGCTGCCTTCAACCCGAATCCCAATTTGACCCTAAGCCCCTGTCCCCCTCTCTTGCTTGTGCTTTGTTTGTGGAAATCACTTCCTGGCCCGTTATCACTTGCCAAAGCAAACACGGAGTCTCGGAGTGCACGGCAAGCTAATCTGCAATATTACGTACTTGTTGGATAGCGGTGGCACTATAGTGGTCACAAGGGCGCGTGAATCTCAATGATTCAGTGTGGTTTAACGGGGCTAACAACGGCTACCCTCGGGCCCGGAACCCCGCCATCGGCCCCTAGCCGCTCCCTTGTAAGCAACGTCCGCCCGGCGCTCCTTCCTATCTTCTCGGGGGATATTTTGACTTCTTTGTCTTTTTCAACTCTTTCATCTTCCAACAATCATCGTATTTCAAGTGCCAGTTTTCAATTGCGTCCCGCTGCATCTCGATTTCCCTGCCAGTTTGTGATCTGGACTCAGATCCGATTATCCGATTATTTCGGCATCCGCTCCGCTCCGCACCGCATTCCCGATCCGTCCCGGCCAAAATGCGGAGTGCAATCCGGACCGGCGCCCTCCGAGGCTTGCCGCCGTCAACCACCGCCCCACTCCACTCCGGCATGAAGACCGCCCGGAGCTGCACGCCCCGCCGGGTTTCCGTTCCGCCCGCTTCGGCGTTCCATTCTAAATCTCCTGATTATTCTGAGGCTCCGGCCGCGGCGGCCAAGCTCCCGGAAGCCGAGCCGACGCCACCGCCGACGCCCCGGGATCGTATTACTCTCGCTGATATCAAGGAGCGACGGGCTAAAGCCGGTCGTCTCATTGCACCGACGGCGGCATCCTGCAATGCCGACATGTTCAAGGCGCCGGTGTGTACCCTAACCCTTGTCTTGCTTACACCTTGCCCCTATTTCACAACAACAGTAAACAAGGACATAGCTGACACCATATGACCCCTTAAGCAGACAACAGGCAAGCCTAAAGCCAAACGATGGGACCGTATGTAGCCCCCCACCCTGGTTTTATCTCTACCCCCCTACCCTCTCCATCCGACACTAACCCTTCCTCCCCCTCATGCAGACCTCCTAACCAAAGAATCCACCCTCCGCGCACCCTGCAAGCTCAAGCAAGCAGCAAAGAACCTCAACAACCCCGGCCTAATCTCCCTCGGCGGCGGCCTGCCCTGCCCCGAATACTTCCCCATCTCCTCGCTCACCCTGCACATCCCCAACCCCCCGCACTTCTCGGAAACCGCAACCCTCGCCGGCGGCACCGACGCCACCATCGGCAAGTACGACGCCTCCGCAGCACCCACACCCACACCCACCCCCAACCCCAACCCCGAAACAACGACCGCAGCAGCACCGGAATACGACCTCTCCATCGCGCTCAACTACGGCCAGGCGACGGGCTCCGCCCAGATGACGCGCTTCGCCACCGAGCACGTCGAGCTGCTCGGCGCCCCGCCCTACGCCGACTGGGGCGTGTGCCTGACCATCGGCAGCACGGGCGCCCTCGAGCAGGCCCTGCGCATGCTGTGCGACGGGCCGGGCCGCGGGGACACCCTGCTCACCGAGGAGTTTTCGTTTTCGACGGCGCTGGAGACGGCTGCCCCCCTGAGGGTGGGGGTCGTGGGTGTGGAGATGGATGGGGAGGGGTTGGTGCCCGAGGCGATGGAGCGGGTTTTGGACGGGTGGGATGTGGAGGCCAGGGGCGGGAGGGCTAAGCCCAGGGTGTTGTATACCGTGCCGTCGGGGCAGAACCCCACGGGGGCGACGCAGAGCGTGCAGAGGCGGGGGGCGATCTATGAGGTGGCGAGGCGGCATGACGTGTTTATTCTCGAGGACGAGCCGTACTATTACCTGCAGATGCAGGAGCCGGGGACGGAGCCGCCCGCGAGCGTGGAGGCGTTTCTGGAGGGGTTGATTCCGACGTATTTGAGCATGGATGTGGATGGGCGGGTGATGCGGATGGATTCGTTTTCCAAGGTGGTCGTGCCCGGTTCGAGGATGGGCTGGATCACGGCGTCGGAGCAGATTGTCGAGCGGTTTATTCGCCATGCTGAGGTGGCGAACCAGGGACCGAACGGGTTCTCGCAGGTCATTCTGCACAAGCTGCTGGATGAGCGGTGGGGGCATGAGGGCTATTTCAGGTGGCTGATGAACTTGAGGATGGAGTACACCAAGCGGCGGGATGCCATGTCGGCGGCGTGTGATGAGTTCCTGCCCAAGGAGGTCGTCAGCTGGCAACCGCCTCAAGCGGGCATGTTCGTGAGTTGTCCCCCGGACTGTGCCTACCCCTTTTTCGAGTTTGTACATACTGACAGGCGGACAGCAATGGCTGAAGGTGAACTATGAACTGCACCCTAGCGCCTCGACTAAGAGTATCATGGACATTGAAGAGGAGATCTTCAACAGCTGCATATCGAAGGGGGTGCTCGTGGCTCGCGGGTCCTGGTTCCGCGCCGAGCAGGACATCCCTCCGTCTGGACTGTACCTCCGGGCGACATATGCGGCCGCCACGCCAGAGAATATGAGGGAGGCCATCAGGCGGCTTGGGGAGGCGATTAGGGAGAGCTACCAGCTGTGATTTGGTGCGCAGAAGGTAATGGTGTTATTGCAGCTTTTATGGGTTATGAGGCGACATTGCTGTGTGACTTTTGTACTGGCTTTGCTATTTTGTTGAATTTGAAGGGACGGTCGAGGCGTTGCTAGTTCAACTCAAGAGCTGCATAGAACTACTACTACTAGAAAGAACTCGAGTAGATGTGTCAGTTTCACGCAAACCACATGGAGAAACTTAGTACGGGCGAGGCGCAGAGTGGTAGAGGGGCATTAAGAAACAAGTGAGATGAGTGTCAAGCAAGTTGCGACACGCTAACTATTCGTATTTGTGAAAAGCCAAACCTAGCCAACGCCCAAATTGTCATGAAATATATCGTACATGAAAAACAAGTTGAAGCCGCCCAGAAAACCATGAAAAAATGCAAGATCAGTTCATCACAACATGCCTCCAGTAACCAACCTAAACCCAACCCAATCCCCAACATTCCTAAACAGCTACCCCCACCCTCACCCACTCACTGCTTCTCCCCCCCCTTCGCCTCCCACAACCCAACCTTAACCCCCAAGGCCGGCTGCAGGACAATATCGGCCTTGAGCACGGGGTTGCCGCCATCCAGCGGGCCCATATGGTTATCGATGCGGTCGTAGCGCTGGAACAGGCGGGTCAGCACGTAGCCCATCTCGGTCAGGGCGAACTGCTGGCCGATGCAGATGCGCGGCCCGCCGTTGAAGGGTATGTACTGCCACGGCTTGGGCTGCCAGTGGTACCAGCGCTCGGGCGAGAACTCCTCGACGGGCGCGAAGGTTGCGCTGGTGGGCGGGTACAGGTCCGCGCGCCGCTGCATGACGAGGGTGGAGTAGCCGATTGGTGTGTCTTTGAGGACCTTGATGGGGTCGAGGCCGGCGGGGCCGCCCCCGCGTGGCAGGGTGGTGTCTTTGAGGGCGAGGCGGACGCTGCGGCAGGGGGTTGGGTTGGTTAGTAAGGTGGGTGGTGATTTACGACGACGGATGGGCAAAAGGGGCGGGCGGGCGGGGAGGACATACTTGTAGGGGACGATGGGGTACAGCCGGAGGGTCTCGTTCATGACATTTTGTAGGTACTTCATGCTCTTGAGGTCGTCGTAGGTGGGCGCCCTCGTGGACCCGACCACGGACAAGATTTCGGCGCGCAGCTTCTTGAGCACCTCTGGGTGGTGGGCGAGCTCGTAGACGGTCCAGGACAGGGTGCAGGCGGTGGTGTCGCGGCCGGCGAGCAGCACGGCGATCAGCTGGTCGCGTAGTACTTGGCGGTCGCGCGTGTATGCGGCGAGTGCGTGAAGGAAGGTGTAGCCCGAGTCACTCTTGGACTTGTTGGCCAGCTCGTCGGGGGTGAGGCGGAGAGTGCGCTCGATGTATAGGTTGACGAAGCGGTTGATTACCTCCATGTTCTTGTTGAAAGAGCCACGCGGGACGAGCTTTTGGAGAGAGCCGGTGCGGGCGATGATGCCTTGAACTCGCTGAACCTCGCCGAAGGCCTCGGCAAACTCTTGATGAGGGTTGCTGAGAGATGTGAGCGTGGGCAATGCATGGGATTGGGTGTGGTAGGAATGGGGGTGCAAACCTTAACGACTTGAGATCATGACCCAAGAGGAAGTCAGTGGCCGAGTCCAGTGTAAAGCGGAAGAATAGATCGCATATATCCACGGGCTTCCCGTTGCCAGCCTCGATGTCGACGGGCTGGTTCTCGCCGTTTAAGGCACCTCCGTTCGCGATAGCGCGGAAAAGGGTCTGCATGTGGCTCTCAAAGACGTGTAGATCACTGACACGGTCCTTGATGAACTGCGGGCGGATCAACTGGCGGCTGTCATGCCACATGGCGCCGTCGGTGGTAAAGATGCTGTCGCCGAGGAAGGCCTTCCATTCCTCGTGGAAGGGCTCACCCTTGCCGTAGTCGTTAAACTGGGTGGCCAGAATGGCCTTGATGTTTTCGTGGTCGGCGGTGAAGACGATGCGGCGGCCAGCAAGACGGCCCTCGACCGTATGAGACGGGGCATGTTTGAACATATCCCTCCAGAATCTGAGGGTCTCGTGCTTCTTCCCTGCGCTGATGCCGCCCCAGACGAAGTCGAGGCCTTCGCCGTGTTAGCTGTTGCTTGCCCGGGACGATGGACGGCCTGGACCAGGAAGGACTACTCACCGAATGGCATCACCGTCTTGATCTTGAATGCCCTTGAACCCGGCATCCGTGACAGCTTCATTTCCTGCCACGCGGGCCGCACAAAGACAGCCACAATGATATAGGCCAGTACAAGGCCTGGCACGAGGACCAGCACCGACTTGACCGACACATGGTCAACGAGAGCCTCGACGAGCCCCATTGTGTGCTGTTCGGCCGGTCAAAAGGGACAACACTAGCTAGGTGTAGGAAGTGGTTGTGAGCGGGCCGCCGAGCAGGACCGAGTGGCAGGTCGAGGGTTCAGCCCGAAGATGAGGGATGAGCTAAAGGTGGGTGTGTGCCCGGACAGGCGAAACTGTTGAGAAACGATGCACAAGCCAGACGCTTTTTTTGAGGTACAGTACTTCGTACGGGCGGAATGGATGGTATGTATGTTTGATTCAGTGGCTGCATGGAACGGGGAGAAGGCCAAGACTTGATGATCCTTTTTAGAATGCTCGCCTGAAACAGATGATCTTTTGTAGCTTGGCTGTCGAAGCCGGTGTTGATATGTAGTCCGAACCCCGAGCCCCGAGGATAGATCGTTTACTTGGATGACTACGAGGGAGTCGTGTTGGTTGGGTCCTAGAGGAGATGATTCGATACTAATCATGTTGCCCAGGACTGGGAGGCATCTCTGCCAAGTCCTATCGGAGACAATCCGCAACCAGGCTGTGTGCCGAGAAGGGGGGACTCCACGGGTGGAGGGTCCTAGGGTGGGCACAGGATAGCCCTGTGAGTCCACGCTGCACAGCGCTGGAGGGCGAAGCGATCGAGCTCTTCTCCAGGGTTGGTGTGGATGGATTGGACCCCAATCAATGGAGAGTGACGTGATGTATTTCTCTGGAACAAAGAGAACGCCGCCCCGAGCCAGGTCCCCCACTCGTTGGTGCCGAGACGGCCCACAACTCCTTTCAAATTTCCTTGAATTACTGCAACCTCGCCGTCCGCGGGACCCGTGTGCGGTATGGTAACGACACGGTACGCTGCGGTCGCAAATGTTCAGCAGCGTTGGCCGCGTAATCTGTACTTTGGAGGCATCATGATTGTCGACTAGGGCCGATCAAGATGTGCAAGCTTGCGAGAGGGCGGGGAAATCGAAACCGAGGCTGGGGTAACGCGGCGATCCATGTGGAAGCTGTGTGGCTGTCCTCTCGTGGATCCATTGGCTCGATGCAGCGCCCTGTCCTCCCTACCGAGGTATGGAGGTACCGACATCCAGATTATTGTATGTAAGAACTTTGTTTTTGTGTAACCCATCATGCGCCCAGCGGTTGAACAGACTCAACAGAGACACAACTTCGAAAGGACTTTGAGAGGACTTTGAAAAGCAATGTTGGCCGTTTTGTGCGCCGTTGCCCCACAAGATGCATGGATTAGTGAGACGAGGGTTCTAGAATGAGCCTGGAATCCTCAATGAGAGGACTGAGCAGCATGGAATTGATGAAATGGCCTGCGGTTTTATTGGGCAGCTGCTCAACGGTCTCAACGGCGTCGGCCACTCTTTCCCGAATCGAATGATATTAGACAACCCGACTTTCTCGTCGTTCCTTCCCTTGCTCGGGGCACATCCACACATCCCGAACTCTTGCATCGGGTTAGTAATCTGTAGGTATTTCTCCCCGCAATCTCCACGCGCCCCGCGCCTGGAATCCATCTGGGCCCGATGATTTCCCCGGCCTCCTTCGGGGGTGGAGCAACCCTCTCCTCCGACGGAGCAAGAGAGCGACGGAGTCTGGCCGATGGATCACATATCCCGGTGCCCACGGACAGCCTGAGAGACATTGTGACATATCATGTACCGTGTCCGGACATCTCGGCGGGTATTGCAAGGTTTTGAGGAACGGTGGAAATTGCCCGCGCTCATCATCCCAAGGTACCAACAACACAGTTCGAATCGGCCGAGGCAAGGAGGTATTGCACTTGTATTTGGTACATTAACCAATAATTCGGTAGAAGCAATACCGAGAAGACATTAACGTTATGCGCTCGGAAGCAAGCCGGGAGATTCGTGGCACCGGGTGTTTCCCGGGCCTGCCGCAACCCCATAGGCAAGCCCCCCCCGGAACCACTCCGCTCGACGATGCAACCCCAAACCAGGACATGAACAAGACCAAACTCCAATGGTCAAGGGAAAGAGAGAGAGAGAGAACACCTTTATCATAACCCCGGCGATCCTCAAGGAGCAAACTCGCACTCCTCCGGCGAGCCCTGGGTGCAGAAGGTCATGTGGACGGGCGAGCTGCGGACGCCCCTGTGGACCATGCGCTCGCGGAACTCGCTCAGGCGCGGCGCGGCGTCGAGCTGGCTCCTGTTCTGGCCGGCGCCGTCGGTGCGGCCGGACCAGAGCACCTCGCCGGCGGCGCTGGCGCGCGGCCAGGCGAGCGTGTCGAGGTTCATCGAGTCGATCGTCTCGCTCCACAACGTCACCTCGCCGCCCAGCACCAGCTTGGCCTCCTCGGCCGTCAGCCCGGCCGTGGGGTCGTGCGAGTAGGCCAGCCGCCAGCCCTTGGCCGGGTTGCACCAGTCGTTGAATGGCCAGCCCTGCTGGAAGGCATCGCCGTTTGCCCAGTTGAGCCACTGGCCGCGGCCGCAGTCGAGGTACTACATGAGAGCACATGTTAGGTCAACGGGCTCGAGGGTAGAAGAAGAAAAGAATAGTAAGTGGACCGTAGTTGCTTACCCAAAAGTTGTAGTTGCTGTCAATGACCTGGTGGCCTAGACCCGTCACCTTCTTGACGGAGTCCCCTCCCAACCACGTCTGGATGACCGTGTCCAGGGGCATGGTGATGTTCCACTCGAGCGGGATTTCCTCCCACGCGATGGGCGTCAGGCCGGCCTTGCGGACGTGCGCGTGCTGCGTGTCGACGAACTTTTGCAGAAGCGGCTGCAGCACTTCGGACGAGTTGGAGCGGATACCTTCGTCGAGCATCGAGTCGTTCTTGTTGAGCTCGTCGCCACCCGTGTGGAAGTAGGCCGAGTGGGGCGCCAGCCGCGGCAGCAGGTCGTCGAACAGCGTCTCGAGGAAATCGTCCACGGCCGTGTTGTTGAGCTTGAAGGCGCCGCACGGCGGCTCCGCGCACCACCAGTGGTAGGGGAGCTCGTTGTAGGCGACGATCAGCTCCGGGTGCGACAGCGACACCACTCCGATGTGGCCCGGCATGTCGATCTCGAAGTAGACCTCTACGCCGCGCACCGCACCGTACGTCTGGATATGCTCGATGTCTTCCGGCGAGTACGTCTGGCTCGGGTGGTAGGCGCCCTTCTCCGAGACCTCGGGCAGCGAGGGGATCTCGAGCGGCCACGACTGCGAATCGGTCACGTGCACGTGCAGCCGGTTCATCTTGTTCCAGGACATGGCATCGATAGTGCGGAGGATGTCGGATACGGGGAAGAAGTAGCGCGCCGTGTCCATCATGACGCCACGGTGCCGGAACTTGGGCGCGTCCTGGACCGACACGGGTGCGTACGGCGTGTACCAGGACGTACCGGTCGAGTGCTGGTAGAAGAGTTGGGAGAAGGTCTCGAGACCGCGGAGGACGCCAATCGACGAGACGGTCGTGAGCTTGACAGCACCCTCGGCGCTGACGGTCAGGTTGTACGACTCGTCGACCTCGCCGGCGAGCGGCTTGAAGGCGCTCGGCTCATCCTCGCTGGTCTGCACGATCTCTAGCGTCTCGAGCCAGTTTTGGCCCTGCGACAGGTCCGGCTCCCACTCGGAACCGGGCTTGTGCAGCCTCCAGGGCACGAACTTGCTGTCGAAGATGCCGGCGAGCGTCCGGGACAGGCCCGCCTGCACGACCTCCTTGCTGGTCACTTTGGAGGGCACATATCCGTACGTGTAGGGAAGCTGTTGGTACAAGAACTGTTTAGTATCCACACCGTCGTCAAGGCACACGTGGTGAGGAGAGGAAGACCAGCATACAGATTCGCCGTTATATGTGACCTTGATGTTTTGGTGCAGGTACAAAACAGAGCTGCCCTTGGTCAAGCTCTGGGGCGCCGGCCAGATTGCCGCGACCGGTTGAAGGGCGATTAGGGAAAGGGAAAGACAAGAAAGTAGCGGTGACCACATCTTGCCAATCAGTTCATGAACTGTCTTGTGGTATGGGCGGAGAGCATGAGGAAATAACTGTGGAGGGGTGCCCGTTTTGATAAATATGAGCCCAGCAAGGCGCGGCAGGGGTGCTGGAATGTTTCTAGGATTTTATGCTTGGATGCTCATTCGGGGATATTAATGAGACAGACCAGATGGTTGGTGGGCTCGGGTAGATCCAATCACCAGGACCATGCTCCGGCACCGTTGCACGGGTTGGTTGCAACCCGACAGGGGAGAACCAAAGAAATGGGGAATGCCCTGTGTTGTTTGTGATGGGTGGATGGGGGTGTTGACGGCGCCGGCGGGGACGGAACCTGCAGTTCGCCGCTGTTGGTGGATGGAGCCACGGTGCTGCGGGCTGGCACGGGCTGCGTGCGGGCTGCGTGCACACCGGCCGATCCACGAGGCTGGATTCAGCACAGCTCGTACGGTCAGCTGGTGGTGGGTTTGCTTTGCCGTGTGTGGTGCTGATCGAAATCTAGCTTTTACGAGGAATTGGACAGAACGGACAAGGCGCAACGTTACACCCCTGCCCCAGGAAAGGATACCAGCGGGGGAGCCAAGGCGTCAAGAGGCCATATCAGGGCGTTGAGAAGGTTAGAAGGATGGTAGTGTTCTTGTTATCCGAGGAGTGATGGTGTTGAAATCTTGCATCTTGGATCAGAGAAGGCGATTTTCACGGCATCTTTGCTTTACTCGGCTTGGCGATGTGTTTGCCTGCCGTCACCACACACTTGTTCCTTCCTGAACGAGGTCGATCGTCGGACGATCGCAAGTGCGGGCCGAGACCAAGACGCGGGCAGGGATAGCCCGGGCTTGCCTCCACAACCGGTGCGAGCTCAAGATGGCCCCCGTGCCCCGGGGTTGAAGAAACTCGACACAAAAGCGTCAAGGACATTGCATCGCCATCTCCCGGTTTCGTAACACTTCACTCAAGCGTAGGGAACTCGTACTTGGTAGGCTGCCGGTGACCAACCCGGTGGTAGAAACATAACTAACTATCGCATGGAGCGGTTACCCCAGGATTATGGCTGGGCAAAGTCGGCGCATTGGCTCACACCAGGTTGCTGGGGCTGCTCGGGGGCTGCCCGCGATGCAAAACAGTCGGGTGCCCAATCGTAAAGGCACCGAGGGTCCATTGAAGGTGAAGAGGAGCGCGACGCAGTTAAGGTTGCAGATGCATCGTAGTATGCAGGCCTTGATGGAGCCTTTGTTGCGCAGGGACGGTGTGTTGATTGTTGTCGAGTCGTTGGCATTGGGACGCCGCCTCGTTCCAGAAAGGAAGGTGGGCGAACAGTGCAACCAACCAAGAGCATCACCATGACAATCCACGGTCGAGGGCTCCGTTGAGGTGCGGTATCGAAGTCTGGAGATCTATTTTTGCACAGGTGCGGGGAAGCTCGAGTCCCGGCTTTACAAACAACCCAGCACACCCGATTCTCTGAATGGCAAATCTCTGCAGCGAGTTTGGTATGAAATAGTTAGTTATTCACATGTTGCTATGTTTACTGCTGCCTCATCGCTGGTCATCACGTAACGGGTCATCTGGCCGACGTCAACATGCATGCATAACGAATTTAAGGCTGGATATTAATGAATTGAGCAACTGCCGGGCGCCGGGAGGTATTGCCGGATAATATATAGTTACTAGTTAGGAACGAAAGAGATTTTGTCAAGACGGATGAATGTGAGATGACTGAGCAGACAGAGCAGAATTTCGAACTAGCCGGAACTCGGTCGAGATGCGCCACATCATTGTCAGAGACGGAGCAATAACTGTGGCTGAATCACGTGGGATTACGGAATTACGCCACTTCGCCCAAGCTCACTTCTCGGCACCAGCCACCCAGCAACCTGGACTCTTCGCCTGGACCAGGCTTTTGGTTTCGCGCAGTTCGGCTCCACGCTTCGAATCTTTAAAAACTACCAACAATCACGCCCACCTACAACATTTCCTTCACGGCGCATCTTCGCTGGGCAGCCTCATCGTGCTTATACCGCATTGCTTGAGGTAAAAGCGCAGCAATTTGGCCCTCGGATAGCTCACGCGTGTCGAAAGTCGCCCCAGTCGCGTCTTTGATAAACCTAGCCTTGCTTTGGCCACATCGGCCGCACTCGACTTCGCCCGACGCCGATTTTCCCACCAGAGCCCGCACGTGCGCGAGCGAGCCCGACACAGAGCCCCCTCACTTGAATCAATTCACCCTCCTATATCCCCCGATCTCGAACTCGTTCCGTATCACCACTTATCATCATGTCCGTCGAGGTTGTGCTCGGCACGCCCCTCGCGGATGCCCTTAACATGGCCATCCAGGGCAAGATCGCAGAGCTTGGATGGGCCGGCCCGGGCACCGAAGGCTCTGCCATGTCTGAGTACTTCCTTCTCATGCTCGCCAACGGAAAGACGGAATCCGAGATTGCCGCCGAAATCGCCGGCGACCTGCTCTCGCTTGGCCCCGACGACCAAACAGCCCCGGCATTCGCAAATTGGCTCTTCCAACAAATTGGTGCTCTGAGCGCACAATTAGGCCCCGACCCAGCGCAGACTGCTGACGTTCCGGATGGGGCGAACGATGACCCTATGGACGGCTCTTTTGACGCCATGGATGCACCAGATGCACCTGCTGCCGCGCTCAATGCGTAAGTGATCATATTTGTTTTCTTGGGAGCGCGAACCTCGTGAACCTCGTACTGACAGTCAGCAGACCTACTGGCCCTAAGGCTATGCGGAACGGGACCGGAAACATGCGCGGTGGGCGAGAGAAGCGCATCATGGGCCAGATCAACCGTGCCCTGGATCGGACACAAGACTCGGTCCTTCACCGTGTCCGTAACCAATCCGGCAACGAGAGGATCGGGAGGGGCCCCCCAGCTGGGCCAAGGATGGGCGCGGGAAGGCAACCGCGGACGAACAACACACGCGCCACCAACATCGCCGCCGGACTAGCGGCGAACATGGGCGGCATGCCCCCCGGCGCTCCGATGAACGGGATGGGCGGAATGGGCGGAATGGGCGGAATGAATCCAATGAACGCCGCCGGCTACGGACAAGCGGATATTTTCGCCATGATGGAGCAACAGAACCACATGCTCCAGCAGATGCAGCAGCAGCTCTTGGTCCAGCAGCAGAACGGCGGCGGCCGCGGCGGGTATACCCGTGGTAAGCAGCAGTTTGACCGTGGCGGCAGGGGAAATCAATTCCGGCGAGGCGGAGGGCACCATCAACACAACGGTCACGCGGAGCAGCAACAACACCAACCACAGGGTGCCGAAGGAAGCCAAGCAGATTCTGCCTCGCAAGGCGACGTCGACATGACGGGAGCTAAGCGCGAGGCGCCGAATCCCGACGAGACGGTCTGCCGGTTCAACTTGCGGTGTCAGAACAAGGACTGCAAGTTTGCCCACCAGTCCCCGGCGGCGCCGCCTGGCACCACTGTCGACCTTAAGGATGTCTGCACCTTCGGCGCGGCTTGCAAGAACCGCAAGTGTGTCGGGCGCCACCCATCACCGGCGAGCAAGATGGCGCACCAGAGCGAACAGGACTGCAAGTTCTTCCCCAACTGCGCGAACCCGCACTGCACGTTCCGGCATCCTACCATGCCGGCCTGCCGGAACGGTGGCGAGTGCAAGGTGGCCAACTGCAAGTTCACGCACGTCAAGACCCCCTGCAAGTACCGCCCATGCACCAACCGAAGCTGCCCGTTCATGCACGAGGAGGGCCAGCGAGGCACCTTCCAGGACAAGGTGTGGACGGCCGAGGACGGACAGGAGCATGTCAGCGAGCGAAAGTTTGCCAGCGACGGCCCGGAAGATCTCGTTCTCCCCGGATCGGAGGAGCACATGGATCATATTCCGGATGCCGAACCCGCTGAGGTGGTCATCTAGTTGTAGCGGGGGGTTACGTGTCAGATGAACTGCAGCGAAGCGGCACCGGGTCGGGTCATGCATGGCAAAGACGATGACGGGACTGGCAAAATGGGAAGAAAGGGGGGTGGTATATGACTGGGAATCGATGCGGCACGGAGAATGAATGAGCACTGAGGACGGATACCCATCTAGGGCATGGACATGTGGCATGGGCGAGTTTGTTGCAGGCATGGGTATTTGGAGGTGTAGGTTCGGTCATGTACTAGTATATCATCACAACGGCGTTTTAGGGGTGGTGCCTTGGGGTTTCTTGGGGGGTCCTGTTTCCGCTTAGACCGGCCTATTCTCTTGTGTTTGACTAGCGGAGAAATGGTGGAACTACCACAGCGTGAGCGACAAGAATATATATCGTAGTCGCTCCTTTTCGCATGCTGGTCCTCATATTAGGTACCTCTGAGGGTTGCTGAGTGAGTGAAACGAGATGATTTCGACACCGAACCATCCACGCCTCGTAGCCATGGACCCAGGGTTAGGGTATGTAGTGTTGGGCTGCGTGGTTGCTCCCAACCGGCCTTTGGTGGTTTTAATCCTGGTGGGGCCCAGTCTCAATCATCCGTACTTTATTCATCACCTGTCACCACCCACCCGAGCTGTTCCGAGCCATTGACTTCGCCCACTGACTTGTCAGTGCGGGATACGGCTTTTGGAAGACGGCTTGATATGTACGCAACAAGTCTGCGCTACCTCGCGCGTACACGGGGCCGCAATGGCGCCAGTCACAGCTCGTCGCGAACATGGCGCCGATTCCTCAGTTCACATGGCACCTTATTAACGGCGTACCCACAGCGACGAACACCCCGCCAACATCACCCCGCGACGATACCGACAATACCAACGATCCCAACCACGAGATTAATACTACCACTACAACCGGGTATTCCGTTAGACTCCAGGCGTCAACCCACGCGACACTATGCCGTCGACAGTAGCGAACACCCGCCGAAATCCATCGCCATTCTGGGCGGTGGCCTGACCGGGCTCTCCACGGCCTGGCACCTGACACGCGTCTTGCCCAAGGCAAAGATCACCATCTACGAGGCGCAAACGCGGATGGGAGGCTGGATTGAAACCGACAAGGTCGAGGTGAAGACCCCCGACGGTGGGGTGGGCACCGTACACTTCGAGCGCGCTGCTCGCATGATCAAGCCGCAGACGGAGGATAAGCGGGTTCCCAAGTGGGACGATCTGCTATTCTTTGAGATGGTGTGTCCCTTCCTCTGCCAATGCCCATGCGGAAGGGGGGAAGTCGGTTGCTAACTGTCGCCGACTCGACCAGGTCACGGAGCTCAATCTCACCGACCAGCTCATGCACTTGAAGAAGGCGGAGGAGTCCGTCGCCGGCTACATTTACTACCCGGACCGCCTTGTCGCGATCCCTAAAGCGTCCAAAACCATGTTACGGGACATGTTTGGGAGTGTCAGTGGCTTGGTCAAAACTTTCACCATGCTTGCCCAACCCTTGTTCCGAGATTTGATTCCCAGCTGCTTCCACATCCTCCGCAACAAGGACAACCCTTACCAGAAGGACATGTTTGAAGGGCGCAGCGATATGTCGATAGGAGACTTCTTTTCCCACTCGTTCGGAAGGCCTGGTCTGGTGGACAAGGTCTTGTCAGGCATGATCCACGGCATCACGGGCGGCGATGTGTGGAAGCTGAGCATGGGCAGTGGCTTCCTGGCGGACCACACCATGCCTAACAACATCCGGCGCATCGGCTGTTCCCCAGTGCGGACCGCCGACTTCGAAATGATGGTGGCGCTGCTCAAGAACAAGGCCGTTTTTGATTTAGCCTCGCAGCATCTCGACACGAGCGCCCTCTGGTTCCGCGACGGCTTCAGCACTCTCCCCAAGGCCCTCGCCGCTGCGCTAGAAAAGAACCCCATTGTCACAATCAGGACGGGAACCCCCGTCCGTCTCGTCGACTATAGAGAAGACGTAGACAAAGTCGCAGTAAGCACTCATTGCGCATCACACCTCTCCGCCCGTACCCAATAACCGACTGACCAACCCCCCTTTTTCGCCAGATTCACACTAAGAACACCACCTCCGAACCGGCCATGTACGACAAGGTGGTCTCGACCATCTTCGCCAAAACCCTCTCCGAAATAACACAAAACCACCTTCCATCCCTCGCGTCATCTACCGCCGTCAACATCATGGTGGTCAACATCTGGTATCCCGTCCCGCAAGCCAACTTCCCCCACAATGGATTCGGCTACCTCCTCCCGCAAGCCCTTTCCTTTGACCAAAACCCCGAGTGCGTCCTCGGCGTCATCTTCGACTCGGACCGCGAGTCGCCCCTCCCCACGGCGTCCAACCCTGACCCCGGCTACCGCGGCGCCGACACCGTCCCGGGGACCAAGCTCACCGTCATGATGGGGGGCCACTACTGGGACGGCTGGCCGTCCTCCGCCATGGAAGACACGAAGCGCGCCGAGGAGGACGCGCTCGCCGCGGTCGCGCGCCACCTCAACCTGCCACCGGAGCTGACGGCGCAGGCGCACGCGTCGGCCAAGCTCCGCCGCGAGTGCATCCCGCAGCACCTGGTGGGCCACCGCGGGCGCATGCAGGCCGCCCACGCCGAGCTGGAGTGGGCCTTCAAGGGCCGCCTCGCCGTCGCGGGGCAGAGCTACCAGAGCCCGGGCGTGCTGCCCATGCTGCGCGCGGGCCGCGACGTCGCCCGCCAGATCGCCGGCCGCGAGGGCCGCGTCACCAAGGGGTGGTCCGTCGGCGACACCGGGCTCCAGCGCTTTGAGCAGCCCAACCTCCTGTCGCTGTACACGCCCATGCCGCGCGGCATGATGCCGCTGCGCTCGGGGAGCGGGGCCTACATGGATGACAACGGGAAGCTGAGGTCGAGAGACGGGCTCTCGCTTGAAGACGTGGTCAAGGAGGCGAGAGAATGGCAAGAACGGAAAGAACGGGGAGACAGGTGAAGCCGAGGTTGGCGGTGGGGTGCGTGCGTGTATCTATGTGGTATGTATGTATCCCGTGTGCGTGTGTATTCAAAGCGGCTTTTTGGGTGTATGTGTTTTGATAGATGGACACGACGGGATAAGTCCCAGTCCCCCTAGGTTGCTGTTTAGACAAAAAGAATACGAGAGACCTCAGCATCCTGAGTAAACTACATCAGCTATTACCCATATCCTAGACAATACCGGGGGTTATGCACAACTAGGTTTGGGAGAGACAATTATATCCCGACATCCCACCCTACTACCGAACGATAGAAGCCAAGGCCACATCAAACGGACGCAACTCCAAAAACATAGAATAGCACCCTGCCTCTCGACTGATTGTTTGTGCTGGTATCATTACCTATCTAAAAGCCGTGCCGGCCCAATGTGATATGCTGTGTGACATGGTATCTCTCTCCTGCATCCATCCATCCCATCCGCCCAATCCCTTTTTGTCTGCCGGCCCGGGAAACACTGCTGCCACCCCTCTCCTTCGCCCGACCCGATCCCCAACCCTAGGTAAGGTTCCCCGGCCGCCGCAAAATAAATACATACAAGACGCCGCACGCTAGATGCCAGCCGGTGTCGGCCCCACCCCGTAGAAAGAAGAAAAAACCAGGGTCCCAAAATGAAAAGAAGATGGCGCGAAGTCATCACCCGAAGAGAGAGAAGGGGGGGGGCGATGGGGTTTGTTGCTCGCTCTCAACGCAAGTCGGATGGCCCCTCTCTCCCGGCGCGGGAAGTCGGCGAAAGAAACACCGCCCCTAACCGTGAAACCCAACCTGACTCAACCCAAGTCCACAGCCTGAAAACAACTGCCCAGTCTGTGTTATCGTCGCACAGAAGCGAGACCGCTGGGCTAAATTACCCGAAGCACTAGTCGAGCACCACCACAGGCGTGTTGCTATCGTTCATGCCAGCAGCAGCACGCTGCTGAGCCTGCTGGGCCTGGCTCTGGTTGTGCATGTGCTGCCGCTGCTGTTGCTGCAGACGCGCCTGCTGTTGGTACGACAGCTGCTGGCCCTGCTGGAGCTGGTGGGGAAATCGGCCGGGCATCGCAGAGCCCTGTAGCGGGTTTGCCTGCTGCTGCTGCTGCTGTTGCTGTTGCTGCTGTTGCTGCTGCTGGCGCTGCTCTTGAGCCTGGACCTGTTGGGGATGTGGGGCCGGTTGCTGGGTTTGCTGTTGTGCCTGTGCGGGAGCCTGTGCGGGCGCGGGTGTGCCGGCGAGGGACTGCAGGGCTTCGTTGATGAGTGCTAGGAGGGGCCCGATTCCGCGGTCCCATTCTGCCGCGGCGCTGTTCACGAGGCCCTTAAACCCGGTGCCGCTGGTCGCCCAGACGCGCTGCTTCAAAACCTTGTTGAACTCGTCGTTCTCGTTGTTGAAGTTCGGATCTGTTGTTGGGCGGCAGATGTGCCAATTGAGCTTCCCACTCCTATCGCGTGGCCGGATGTCCAGGTGCACCCGGCGGTTCTTAGCCCCGGAGAGCGCGAAGCGGATCGTTATCCAGTCCAGCGACTTGTGGAAGACGTAGCACGTCCCTTGGTCCTTGGCGAGGATCGCATCCCACGAGTCGTGCAGCTGTTCGAGTGCCTCGTATAGAGGGAGTGTGAATACCAGCCATGCCGGTAACTTCCCGAAGTTGACCGAGTTTGCTGTTGCGCGCAAATAGTCGATAACGCGCAAATGTGGGTTGCCAGCCTCGAGAATGACGTCCACGCCTTTGTCTGCGGCAAGATTAAGGCGCACTTCCCACGATCGCTGCTTGTCATCACTGGTTGCGGGAGGCTGGTTGGGTGGCGAAATTGTTGGAGAGTCACTGCTGTACGAGAATACGATCTCGCGGAGCGTGATTTTCGTCGGGGATACGTGCTTGCCTGCGTGGTGAAGAGCGTCAACAATGCTAACCAAGCGATCGAGTGCCTGCATACGGCTCCGGAGCAGGGTAATGGTTCCGGTACTCGATTCTGGCTGGAACCGCAGGGTAAAATCGCCACGCCGACGGTCGTACAGCACATCACGGTCGAGTCTATGCTGGAGGAGACGAAATTTGGCATGGTCACGAACGCTGACCGTGGCCTCGGTCATGACTTTTTGTCGTGCCGGCTGTCTTCGAACCGAATTAGGATCTGCAAGGAATTCGCAGTATTCCGATGGCACAATGGGGGCTGGCCCTTTGTAGACGATCGGAATGTATTTCGCAGCCCACGTTGTCTGCGCGGTGGCGTTGGAGCCAGGCTGGTGCGCTAGCATCTCGGTTGACCGCACGTATGTGGTCAAATTGCCACTATCACCGTATTTTCTGGCGGTATATGGTATGCGTTGTAGGTGGACCACGCGAAGGTCGTTGATCTGAGCCATGATGTTGGTTGCATGCTTGGTGAGTTTCGAAATCAAGGGACTCGATGGAAGCAACAAATCGGTGGGTGTGACGGGGAGCTCAGTGAAGGTGTTGATGCGCATGCCCGGTAATCCGTGACCCTCGGGTGTCCTTGATGAATGTTAGCGCAAAGATAAACATACAGCACGGATTACGGGTAACACTCTTACACTTGAACCAGCCACCAGCAATCCCCACCAAGGCTCAGGCTCATCATGGCGAACCACTGCGGGGTCCAACGAGCGTTTCTGATCCACACGGCATGAAACGGTTCCCGGGTGGTTGGAGCTCGTGAGTAAACAACGCGCTTCACCTCGTCGAGCGGGACCGGGGCCTTCGGAAGGACCACCCAGTCGGCAGGTTTCGGCAGCGCCCTCAGGTGACGCGATGTGTAATGCCACCTAAGCTGCTCGAGAACCACCGGGCCCTCAGTCACGGGATTGCGTAATGTGTTGAACTTCTGCGCCCAGTCGAGTCCGAGGGGAGACCGGTCGGCGAAATAGAAATTGCCCGCCCACGGGCCGATACCGAGGACGGCATTGTCGCCGCCAAGGATCTGCATCGTGAGCGTACAATCCAACCGCGGGGGATCCGGGATTTGTAATGACAATTTGCCCCGCTTCTGCGCATATCGAGGTTTGCTTTGGAGTGCGTTGTACATAGACGAGAGCTGGTGCTTGATGTGTCTGGAAATGACCGACATCAAAAGCTTCTCCGTAGAGATGGTGTCGGCGTCCAACGGGATGTTAGCGTCCTTGACTTCCTTCCCATCGCGGAACCACTGGACCATGAGTCGGCTTGGAGAGCTCGGGTCGTAGACTCCCTGCGAGGATTTGCCGCTGTGAACACCGAGGAGAATCCAGCTCTGAGGACCTTGGGTATGTGAACTCTGAACCCAATACTGAATCCCCAGAGCCCTGTTCAGCCTCTCAACTCTTAATGTCTGAGTCCATAACCCGGTACGGCTGAGTTCGACAGCCTGTCGGGCGAATTCCCCAATCTTTGTGGTCAGGGTCAATTCATGCAGATACTTGTAGCATCCTGGTAAGCCTTCGGTTTCGAGAATCGTGTTGACACGGGCCTCGATGAAACCCCGAGCTCCGTCCGAGAGTTTGGAGGGCGACGGGCTGAAGATGGGCCGGTAATCCAAGAACCAGAACTGCTTGTCAAAGTCTTCGTCCGATATCGTCAGATCTACCTCGAATTCACCGGGCACCGTGAAGGTAACCCGTCCGTTGTCGATCTTGTACTCCTTCCATGGTCCGGGGATCTGTTCGTACTCGTGCAGCTGCAGTCTCATTTGAAGAACCACCTCGATCTCATTGAGCCAGTGTGAGGTTTCTTGCGCTGTCAGGGGGGGCTTGGGTACGTAGCCAAACTAGTAATGGAGTCAGCATAGAAACAGCGGATACTCGCAACGATTGCAACCTACATCTGGCATCCAATGGACCGCTCCCGTGCTAAGCACCTCCAGGGCCGTTTTCAAGTCCGGACTAGGGACCTTAGCAAAGGCCATCTCGTGTTTGAGATTGACCATGTTCCAAAAGGTCATGTTGTAGAGTTCCAGCTTGGCGGCAAGATGTGTCCTCAAGTCGATGAGCTTGCCCACTTCGTCGGCGTTCCTAGCCCATTCCGTGATAACTAACGCCTTGACCCATCTCGAGTGCAGGTCCTGGATGAACTTTAATAGCATTGTCTTCTTGTCTAGGCTCTCGGGTGATGTGTCTTCCAGAGCTGGACTGGGGAGCTTGGTGGAACCATTAACACTAGCATTGGCGTTGCCATTTATGCTGCCGTTGGCGAAAGCCTTAGCATTGCCGTTTAGTGTGTTTTCCGGGAGGGGTTTCGATGCTAAGTCGAGGATGAGCTCCTGGAGTTTCATATGGGAGAACTGTGCAAGCCTGCTCAAGAGTAGGCTCAGCGGCATGACATCGTCGGTGATGTGTTGGAGTTCGTCCGGGGAGTCCTCCATCTTGACAGCCTGTAAACTGCTCTCTAAGTTTCCGTAGTCCCCGACCGTGGCCGGTCCATCGTCCGCCCCTTTGACGCCCGCTGGGGACTCTGTCTTAATCGGCACCCGTTCCTCTCTGAGGCCGTTGACAGCGGAAACTCTGGCCTTGTCCAGGTGGGTATTGTTGCTGTTGGCGTGCATGCCGTTGTCCATTCTGGGATTGCCGTCCGCGCAAGGAAGCATCCGTGAAGTGCCACCAACGGTTCCCGCCAACCAGTCTGGGATGGCGGTATGACCTCTGGAGTGACGTAGATGAAAACTGGCGTAGGAAGAGTCCTCACTGCGAGGTTCTCAACGCCGAGGCCCCGACGTGGAATGGACGCGCCAACGCAAGCGAACTGGGCGAGTGTCAATGGTGCAGTCGAGGAAAAGCGACCGCTATTGCGTCGAGACAGACGCAAACGCCTCCCAGCTTCCTTTTTCAATCGTCGTCGTCGCGATTTAGGCGCTGGAAGTAGGCGAAACGAAGAAGAGCGTGAGGTGAGAATGAAGTCGGATTGAGAGGCCCTCGGATTCCATGCGGTCGGTGGGTAAAATCGGTCGTCGTCGACTTATTTGATACTCCGCGGCCAGGCGAGGAAGATGAAAACTGTGTGAGGGTAGGTGAAGCAGAATCCGGAAGCCCGAAGAACTTTAGAAAGCCCAGGCTTCCCAAGTCGCGTGCAGCGGCCGGTGCGCCAGCACTTGCACTAGGTCGCCTCGTCACGAACTCAGCAGAGAGGGCAAAAACGGGTGACGCAATGGCCCATCACTCCGGGGGTCCGACTCCGCGTCGCGCGCCAAATGTCGGTGCGTGATTGTTTGGGTGTTCCCAAATTCCGTTTCGAAGTTGACCGGTCGCAAACCCGTACCCGCCTTCCGACTTCCGACTTCCGCCTCTGCTCGGTTAGGCGGCCCGCCTGACTGTCGCAAGCAAAATATTCGGTATCGCAGTGCTGGAGGAGGGCTAGCTGGACGACGCGCTCGGTAGGTTCTATCGATGGAGTGGCGATTTCTTTTCAAGTCGCGGCTGAAATCGTTGCGACGTGGTGGTGGTGGATGGTTTTCGATCGTCGTCGACAAAGTACCAGTGCAGCGCTCTCAAAGAACGGGATGCACGCTTCGGACGAAGGCTAAGGAGCAGGGGTCTGTTATGGATGCCTTAGATATTAGGCTTCGTAGTTATTCATGGAGCGCCCAACAGAGTTTCCAGGTTCATTTTTCGAATGCCAAGCCACCATTCATTCACTGGAAGCTGAGTGGGCGGCGCATTGTTTTCCCCACGCTTTCGGGCAGCCATTGTTTCTCCGATGGAAGTTCCGAGCCAGCCCGGGAGAGTATCGTCTTTCTTTGTTCTGAGAGGTACCTACCGAGGTTTTCAAACGGTCTCTCTAGGGCAATCTCTCTTCAGTAGAGAAAGCCTTGGGTACCTACCGGGGTAGTTATCCATACAGAGACAAAGACAGGTTTCAACCACCAATCCAAAAATTTGGAGTTCAACGAATGCCATCACCTTGGGCTGACTGCAGTGGGTGAGTGGTACCTTTCGAGGGATGCCTTCCTTCCTACGTCATTTCAAAATCGCCGAACTCGGACCGGATCCTGGCTCCCTTCTGTACCTCGCCTCAGTTTCGCGAATTGAGGGTTCAATTGAAGTGAGGGAAGTTTTAAAGATGGTTCATAACTTCCGTTGCCGGAAGCGACGACTATATTGATAAAAGTAACAACGATATCGAGCCTATGGATGGGTCATCGCAGTCTCCGGCTACGAAGCGCATCAACAACTCAACATCTACACTGTCTTCGTTGAGGGCCGCATATTGAGCATCATATACTTCGTACTCGAGGCTAAGTCATCCTTGTTCTTTTCCTACATGGATTGTGGGCTGGATACCAACCAGTGATGCCAACGAAAATAAAAGCCGGGAGCTCCGCAACCACAATTGGCGGTCCAAAAGACCCGCCTGCCATCCACCCCTTTTCCGCATTGCACATGGCCCTCCTCGTGTCAGGGGCCTAATCATAAGGTGACGTCCCTTGACCAACAAAAGAAACACTTGTTTTCACCCGCACAACATGTGCTTAGATTCGGTGTGATCGAACTCGTAGCGTAGTGCGCTCAGCTGCATTGAAAGCCATCGCTTAACCAGTGTTCATCTCGAATTTGGGAGATCATTCGACAACCACCAACAAGCTACTCACAACTTGTTGTTGCCCGTGCCCAGCGCCGACGTCGTCGGCCACTGATATCCAGCGGCATCACTGAACTTGTATCCGTAGGATGAAGTGAAATCGTCGAGCACCGCGGGCCCCCGAGAGCCTAAAAAGAGAAAATCAGTTTTCGCCGAGGCACTGCCGGTTCTTGGTCTGACTTACCGTATGGGTACTCCATAGGGATAATCTCTTTGTTGTCGTCGAGGTAGTGCAGCAGAGGCGTAAAGATCCTCCAGCTGGCGTCGAGCTCATCGTCTCTGACAAAGTTGGAGTGGTCGCCCTTCATGCAGTCCAGAATCAACGATTCGTACGCCTCGGGGATCTTGAGGTCAGAGAAGCGCCTCCGGTATGTGAGATCGAGCTCTGTGACCACCGTCTGCATTGTCAGGCCGGGGAGCTTCGAGTTCATCTTGATGTAGACGCTCTCGTTAGGCTGGATGCGCATGACCAATTCGTTCCGCGGAATGTCCTTAAAAATCCCGGAAGTAACGTCCTTGAACTGGACGCGGATCTCCGTCTTTTGCTCATTGAGCGCCTTGCCCGCCTTCATAATGAAGGGGACACCATCCCACCGTTCGTTCTTGATGTAGGCAACAAGCGCGCAAAAGGTCGGGCACCGCGAGTCCTTAGGCACAGTGTCGTCCTCCTTGTACGATGGCTTGCTGCCGTCCAGCGACTTCCCATACTGGCCGATGATGACGTTCTTGGGCTCGATGGCGGGGATCGCGCGGAGAACCCGCACCTTCTCGTCACGAATATCCTCGGAGGAGAAAGAGATGGGCCGCTCCATGGCGAGTAGGGTCAGTACCTGGAGCAGGTGGTTCTGCATGACGTCGCGAATGATGCCGAACTCGTCAAAGTATCCGCCACGCCCTTCGGTGCCGAAAGGCTCCTTGAACGTGATTTGCACGTTGTCGATGTGGTGCCTGTTCCAGGTCGCGCCCAAGAACGAGTTGCCGAATCGCAGAATGAGAATGTTCTTCACCATTTCCTTACCGAGGTAGTGGTCGATGCGGAAGAGCTCGTCCTCCTTCCAATCGGGCTCGAGTGACTTCTGGAGCTCGCGGGAGCTCGCCAGGTCCTTGCCGAACGGCTTCTCGACCTATCGCAATGTCAGCCACACCGAAAACGGAACCTTTCGACATGTCCGACGTACGATGACGCGTGCAATGCCTTTGCTTGGGTAGCAGCACTTCTTCAGGTGCTGCGAGACGATAGTGAAGACGCTAGGGGGGAGGGCCATGTAAAATAGCCTGTTGGTCTCCTTCCTCCCCTGCTCGAGCTCCTCGAGGTGTTTGTTGAGCTGCAGGAACGAGTCATCCCGGTCGTATTGGCCAGACACGTAGGTACAGAGTTTGCAGAACTCCTCCAGTTGTTGTTCGATGTCCTTCGTGGGCGTTTTGATGTACGATTTGACACGACGAAGGTACTCGTCGTGGTCCATCTTTGTCCGCGCATAGCCAACGATCTTGATGTCCTTGGGCAGGAACTGGTTTCGATACTGCCATGGGGTTCAGTCATTTGTCTCTCCAGGCATTTCGGTTGGAACGCTGCAAACTTACGAGTCCGAAGAGGGCGGGAAACTGGGGCAAGTCAGTCAATTGGCATACACAGCGAACCCTGGGAAGTGCTCGTGGTTAAGCATGCATACCGTCTTCTTCTTCGCAAGATCGCCAGAGGCGCCGAGGACAACAATGACTGTGTTGTCCTTCAGCTCGATGGAACTGCAAAGCCGTTAGCTTCCGCCGCGTAAGCCAATATCTATCGGTCGAATCCATGGCCGGCAGTAGCGCATCCATCCGCGGGCGAACGTTCTGCTGCTGCCGGCGAAGCCACAGTTGCGCCTGGACGCAGCCGCGCTGAATTATCCAAGTCGCGCAACCTAGCCCCACCGAAATTGTGTCATGAATGGCGGGGCTCGAACACTCACCCTCCAGCGGGATGTAGGTCTGTGGCCATCTTGTCGAGAGGTTTTTGTCCAGGTACAAAAGTCGGGTCGGCAAAGGTTCAGCGTTGAAGCGGTCTCTGGGCTTCTGGAAGCTTGGGGATAATGCTGTGTCGGCCGGGGAAGTCGGATAGAAAAGTGATCGGAGTCCGATCAACCTGAGAGGTTCGGGGTTAATGGTATTTCAACCGGGCAGGGGCGGATGAGTGATGCGCAAAAGATCGGAGCTCGAGGGGCATTTGTGACGAGGGGCAGCTTACTCAGGGACCCCGCCTTTACGTACTGGCATGCCCTGGCACCGAGGAGAGCTTGGACCGGGGATGTCAACCCTTCAAACTCTTTTTGTGTCCCCCGACTCCTCCGGATGCCGCAGGCCCTTCTTCGCCGGATTTGTAACTACTTGGTAAGGACCCCAAGATGCGCCTCGTGTGCGAGGTAAACAGTCATGATGGCGGGTTTGCCCTCTGAGATCTGAGAGCGACCCTAGCTTTGCTACTGTACTGGTACCTAGTACCTCCGTAAATATAGGTAGGTCACTCCTCTCACCCACCTACCTTCCCGGGCCATGATCGATATTCGGCAGGTAGTCGGGACCTACCTCGATCTGTGCTACGAGGCAGGAAAAAGCACCTTAATTACAGCCCTCCAGCTACTAGGCCCGTTTGCCCAATTCACACGAGAGGCAGTGGCATGCTCTTTACTAGGATCAAGTCTTATGGTAGAACCTGGAAGCATGGAGAGCGAGAGAAAACAAGCATCGCCAAACGCCGGAAATGGTTTAACAAAGGCCATGCGCTGTTCCTTCGCTAAAACATCCCCGATCCTGGGCTCTCCATCGGTGTCACACTGGCAAAATGCAGGAGCATCAATTTGGCTGATCTCGTCGCACCGTTTGAAGGATCTGGGAACTCTCGGGGGTAACACCGAGCTGTCGGTCCAGCCGGCGCGGAGCGCTGCATCTGGTTGGGGATGGTGGGATGGAATGGTGGGATGTGGGAGGTGGGGTTAGGATAAGGCCTGAGCGATAGCGGCGACGCCCTGCTTACACAACAGAGCTTGTTGACCTCCCGCACCTCCTTGCATTCCCACGGAGAAATACCGCAGGGATAAAAGCAGAGTGAGCGGCCTTGTCCGAACACTAAACCTCCTGACAGGCAAAAATGGCACGTTGCGGAGGTCTTGGAATCGGGCTGGGCTTGCCGAAGATCGCCCGCCGGCAGAATTCCCGTCGCTTGGCACCCCCCACGCGCGGCGCGTTGACACAGGATTGGGAAAGCGACCGAGTCTCGAAGTCATATCTCCCGAGCTCCCGAAGCTCTTGCGACTCCTCGGGGGGAGGCCAGGGAAAACATACTTATCAAGTATCAATGATTGGGGGTTAAGCATTGAAGTAGTAGCGGGAACATTCATCTCCGCGGAGCAGCTATTACAAATGATAGAACGAGCAATGAGTTTAGATGAAGCTTTGGGCTCTCAACGGCCATCATTGGGATGCCCGTCGTACCTGGGAGCCAGCCAGCAAGTCTGAACAAGACATCCCTGCCGCATTGGCCAAGGCGGACAATTTCGTCGTCTCGTCTGTACATGTGTTGCGAACTGTTCAACGGAAACAGAGGTGCCCGACTCCGAGATCCGGGCCGGCTTCGCACTTCCGAGTCAGCGGGCGATGGGGTTGAAGTCCACTCTCCTGCGTTGTCCCTGCATGGCCTTATTATCCGCACCATTACTAACACTGGAGCTGGACCGAACGTTGGTGGTCGCCTGGTGTAGGGGAAAGTCACATAACGTCTTCTGTGTCATGAACACCAATGGTGTTTTCTATACCAAAACATTATCCGGACTGCAAGATGTCCCAAAAGAGGCTCAGCAGATTGATAGCGGTGGTGCCGACGTCAACGGGACTCGCCAGATTTCCGTGTTGACCGAGTCCGGTTGTTCTCCGCCTGGAGCGCCAGAGGCACTTCCACGTGGGCTTATCGCAGGGTTTTGCTTATCAGTTAAAGGCGGGGCTCGCGAGATTGCATCATTTGTTGTGGCTTTCATAGTTAGCAGCCACATCTGGCTGAGGATGCGCTGGGCTGAGTGTGCCAAGCGTTCATTCAAAGACGGGACCACCCGGGGAATCGGTGCCACAGATAATCCGCCCCGCAAAACCACTGCAAGCCCTACCAGCCGCACGCGAATTTTTGAAATCGCTTGGGGTATCGAAGTGTAGAGCCACAACCACGCCGCCCAACGCCGGACCTCGAATCAGCACGACATATTGCTGATATCCCTCGACCGTGGCCGGAAGAGATTGATCGATCGGGAAATCGCAAATCGACAAGATGCCTACCGAAGCTGGTCATAGATGTGAGCGGACCCGGATTTTGCAGCAGGAACTGTGCTGGCGCCGACCGCCGATAACGCGGTCGCGATAACCAACATTGTCACTGCATGCGCTTTCGATTGTTGAGCATGGCTAACTGTGTCTTCTAGTATACGTCAAGTGAGTGCCAACCCCGGCGACAGACCCGAACACCCCGAGCTGCGATCCCGAAGCCGATGGACCCACGCGACTCGCGATAGTCGAACCGAAAGCCGACCGTTGATGGACTCGAGACTGACCGCAATTGTTCCATAGGGGTCGCCACCTGAGTTATCAGCGTAGCCGCCACACGACCCACGCCAAGACGAGCTTGATCAAGATCGAGGGCGTCGATGACACCGCTGCTGCCAAGTACGTTTCACGAACCGGACACCGGGTGCCAATGGGCGAGGATTAACGCGGAATACAGCTTCTACGCCGGCAAGCGGGTCGCATATGTCTACCGGGGCCAGAAGGAGGTGCGCGGCACCAAGATCCGCGTCATCTGGGGCAAGGTGACGAGGCCACACGGTAGGATCTAACAGTCACGATGCCGCGATCGGGATGGGCTTGGCTGACTGTTGTTCTCTAGGAAACTCCGGTGTCGTCCGGGCGAAGTTCACGAACCCCCTTCCTTCGAGATCTTTTGGCGCCTCGGTTCGCATCATGCTCTACCCCTCCTCGATTTAAGGGAATGGATCAGGCCGGAGTTAGTTGGTAAAGGTGGTTCATGATTTCGGTGCATCAGGGATAGGCAGGGCCTCAACACGCATGGCCATGCTTCTAGCATTCAAAATCAAGGCAATACCAAAATGACGATGCCGTTGAAGATCCGCAACATGGGGTACGGGACAGTGCTTCACTGATGAGGGACACAAGGCAGCTCAGAGGGAGACCCTCGTCTTCTCTCATGTCACAATAACAACAATAATGGCTGAACCTGGGCTACAAATTCTACAGGTGTACAAGATGGTCAAGGCGGCCCTGGTTACAATGGTGACTGGAGAAAGGAGCCGGCTTCAGATGTGTTGTGCGAATCAAGTCTCCAACGAGAACCATTGGCCAATGTTTTGGACCAACAAAATCCAATACTTTTCGTGATACTTTTACCTCGGGGAAATCATTCGCTGACGCTCAAGTGGCCAGGCAGTAGGCTGGCTGCAGCCTCCTATTCCTCGACCATCCAACAAAGTTTCGGCGGAAGTCTGGCAATGCAGGAACGTTCTGTTGTGTACCTAGAGGAGGTATCCACTGCGAGCTGTACAACGGATCTACATCTAGTCAGAGGGGCTTGGGGCGTTTGTGCTCTGCTTTGCGGGTGGCCTTGCTTGACGCTACGCAAGGGCTGTGGCGGGGAGGCTCGTACATTCGCGCAGGTACCCGCTAGATGCAAAGATGCGGCCAACGGTTCGGGAGCGGCCTCCGGGGACCCAGTGCATGACACCGTTGGGCCATCTAGACCACAGAGAGCGTAAACGAGAGAACCAACCCAACGGCTATCGAGTCAGCTTACAGGTCCGACCCCGACGGATATGGTTCCCCCTGAAGCCCCGCCCCCCTGGAACGGTATCTCTGTTGGAAACGGGCAAGCCACTGCCGGAGAACAGCATCGCCCTCGTCCAATATGGGCCTCCGGCCAGAGATCGAAAACCGATGGGCGGCGGTTTAGCAGAGAGGGGAGAGTGAAGACGCCAGACATGCATGTCCACTACACCGCCACGGGCCAACGGGGTGACACCTACTATGCACGCGGCCTTACGACGATTCCCCTGTAACAAATTGGCGGACGTCCTAATAAGCTCGATAGACCAGCAGGCGATATATCGGTACTCTAGGTGTTACCCACAAGTGGAAGCGCGGGGAGCGGGCTTCGGCCGGAGCTCCCTTGACGCATGGTTGAAAGCAACCCTGACTGCTTGAGCGGAGATAGACGTTGCATATCAGGGCATATTCGGAGTCATAACTGAGCCGTAGAACCAACGACCAGGTGGTGTTCCCCTGAGCTCAGTAACTGGCATCCATTGGCAGGGCCGCATTTGCAAAGCTGTCACCTGTGGATGGCTTAACTCACACCTAGACCGGAGTGTGTGTTACGACTTTTACGAAACCATCGGACTGTCAAATGGCTAGCACCGGATTGGAGGTTATGGGCCTTGAACCTTGAGCCTGGTGCGCCAGATACAAGATACCTACCTCGGTTCCTACTTACACATGAACCGACACAGAGTGGAATCTAAGACTCGGTTTCGCACACCATTAAGTGGCCCAGCCCAGGTGGCTTCGCTCCAGAGACGAAGTTTGCCTAATATCTACCGATTGGCCTTCTTAATCAAGCGGATAAGACATGTATGTAGTGTAATTTGCATCGTCTTTTAGTTGAAGTCCAGGTATGTTGTGTACCGCCCCCGGTGACGTGCATTGTGGCTTTGCACCTTGCTCCCAGGGCGATGAAACGTCCGAGGGAAGATCGTCAACCAATTGGCTATGGGAGGCGCTCGGATTAGCAGAATTGTATGTCTGCCCGGTACATGTTCCAGGTAAGAACCGTTCTTCTGTCCCGAGTTGCTCGGTAACGACATCCAGTACCACCCATCTCCGCTGCCACGCTGCGGCGCAGCAACAACCCGTCCTGAGCCGTCTTCTGGGCGGTCACTCACTGATCAGATCAGGCTTTTTTGCTTGGAGACCTGTTCTGCTGTTGCGTGCGCCTGGGCCAGCGGATCAGCCAGTAGTTTGTGTACATGCAATGCACTACTGTGTAGGTATGTGACTATGTAGTGTAGATCGCGTCCCCGGTCGCCACCTCATCGCCCTGCGGACGCTTGCCCGCTGTGACGGCGTGGTGGGGGGCCAGTGAGGCGGCGAAACGTCCCCACGATTTGCAGGTGGATCAACTGCGTAGCACCAGTGTCAGGACCATCGCCAGCTCGTTGAGCTCGTGTTGGCTGGCCCCTTGTCGGTCAGGAGCTGACGACGCTGAAGAGAGGAGGGAGCTGCAAGCGGCAAATCAAAAACAGGCCTGGAATCATCACCCGCCTTGCAGTTTCGTGCTGCATCCTCCCACTTTTCCGCGCGGCCCTCGCGTGTCGCCAGCTGCATCCGGAAGCCGAATCATTCTTAAGAATACGGCTGCCCGCCACACACTTTAATCCGTTTCCTCACTTGAAACCTTTTGGTACTGGCGCACTCTGCTGTGGGCCCCATAGCATTATCGTTGCATTCGAAACCCTCGTTTGTGTGGCTCCACGAAGCAGTGGACGCCCGATCTTCTCGTTAGCGGCGCCGTTCCATACCGCCCATTGTTGTTCTCGGCCTCTTCGTCTCAGCTCGCTCGGGTCGCATCCAGAAAATCCTCCTTCCGCAGCAGACGCCGAAGTCACCTTTTCATACCACCTCGCAGGAGGGGCTTGGCTTAGACCACAACGCCGAGTTTTTACTGTGGTAGTTTGGGACAACCCTTTGGCTCGATTTAGCGCCGATTTTCTGCGCTGCACATGCAACGCCGTCCTTCCCGCAAAGGAGACCAAACCTCGTATTCAACACACACCAAATTTCTCGTGCCATTGGCATTCGCGGGATACCAAAACTGAAGGCGGTCGTCGAATCCTCTCGAGAACGGTACCTTGCTCATTTCCACGTTTGGCGAGCGTGAAATAAGCGGTCCTCTGCGCATTCTCGAGCGGTGGTGTTTTTTCGATTTTAGTTTTCCAGGTTTGAAGTGGGGGCAACAGTTGTTGACGTCAGTGCTGTCGTCTGAAGCCACTCCACTCATCACCGTCAGCCCCTAGCGCTGTCTCCACAAGGCGCTCTTCTGGGGTTGCAGTGGAGCGCACTTCCGCAGGTTGCTCTCTCTCACCCCTGCAGCAAACCGAATCGAGCGCCCCAGCGAGCCGATCTGACACCAGGAAAGAAAGCCCCGTCTCGGTCCCAGCGATTGGGGAAACCACCAGCAGCCCCCAAGGACAAAAGGCGCAAGCGCCAAGAACCTGCCACCTCCACGCTGCCGCCTCCTCTGTGATTTTCTCAACCACCATTGTGTGTTGCAGAAATACTTTGGAGTCACCACCTGCTTGCTCCGTCTTTCGTCATTCTACAATTAGAGGCCGCGTCCGAAACCTCAAAAGGCATCCACCGCCTTGATTCCCACGAAGACCTGTAACGAACACTCAGTGGATCCTGTGGTCCTGAAAAAGCAGCAGAGGCGCCCAGGGCAATCTCTCAACGTCCAGGATCCCCCCCGACAATCCACTTTTTATTCTCCAGTCCTTGTTGTTCAAGCAACAGTGACTTGTTGGATCTCCGACTAGGCGGGTTGCTGTCACAGTGACCACGGCAAGGATAAGCCGAGTTTGGCTCCATCGCGCAGCCGTTTCTGCACCCACCCCTGACCACCGGAAGTGCAAGAGATAAAGTCGTTGCCCGACCCGCAAAGATGATGGCGATCGCAGATACCCATCCTCCACCCGCTCCTCCTCACCAACTCCAGCACGCCCCGCCACAGCACGCGCCCCAGTTACACTCAGCACCGCAGCAACCGATCGAAAGACCTAGGAAGACCCGAGCGTTTAGTTTTCGGTCGGACAAGTCTCACGGCTCTGGCAGCCACCACAAGGTCGACTTGCATGAGACATCTGCCGAAAAGGAAGCGAAGAGGCTGCACAGCAAAGCGGACCCGACGTTCGCCATGCAGGAGGCGGAACCCTGTGAGTAGCCTTTCCGTGTATCCCAATTATTGTCCGACGCCGTTGCTGACTTACATTGTAGCCGCGGTTGCCGCAACCGTCGGGTCCTCTCTCGCCTCGCTGAGGGGGATTCAGCACAAGGACGTTTTCGGGAACCCAATTCGTACGATCCGAGACACTGTCGTAGATTTTGGGCGCAAGGCTAATCCGAGCTCCACACAGCTGAACCCGACCGCTCAAACCCTACCCGCAGCCGGTGGGAACGCCCGCTCGATACCATTCGGAGTTTTGAGGCGGCGATTGATGGCGGGTACAACAACCGGAGGTCGATGATTCGCCCAGGTACGAATGGTAGAACCTTCTAATGCCAATGTGGGATGGTGCGCTAATCAATTATGGCTGTCGCTATAGATACAGAAGGAACATGGGGACCTAGTCGACGGGCTAGTTATTACGGTGGAAGTACGAAACCCCGCCAATTCCGAATGGTGGCGCATTACTCACAAGTACGGGCAGATGGAAACGCCGGCCGGTTCAACCGCGATAGTTACTATGGGAGTCGTCCACCTTCGATGATGTACGCCAACCGCGCGGACGGCAGTCTTCCAGATCTAAGGTCGAGTGGCATGGGGCAACGCGACAGCTATTACGAACAGCAGCCCGGGTACGGCGGTTACGGGGGTCCGGCGCAGAACGGCCGACGGGGATGGCCGAGGATGGCATCCGAACCGCAGTACGGCCCCGGCCACAGACAGCAACATCAACAGCCGCAGCAGATGGACTATTCAATTCCAAGCAACCACCGGTCATACGAGACTGTGACGACTGCTGCCGGGAGCGGTTCTTCGGCGGAACCAGCGGGCTATCAAACCGATCCCACCAGCAGCGACAACAGCTCGGTAGAGCGCGGACAATCCTCGGTGCCCAGGCGGCAGCCGGAACCCGTAAACGACTATGGCATCGGCTTCGGCCAAAGCCCATCGTACCAGAGCCCCAGCCTGGCGTTAGGTGTGCAAAATTCCGGCATGGGCACGGGAGGCGGGGGTGGAGGCTACATCAACAATAACAACTACCAAATGGGCGGCGCGCCCGCCCACGGCAACCCTGCACCGCCAGTTCCGCGGAAAGATGTAGGCGGGGGAACGCTGAGGAAACCGGTTTCCAACAATCCGGTTCATCAGGCGCACCAGCCGCGGCCGGCACAGCCGGAGAAACGAAAGAGCTGGTTTGCACGACGGTTTAGCAAGCACGGGTAGTGCTGATGCTTGTCTCTTGGTCCCGAGCCACACGGATATCCGATTTCTTTACTACTATTTTATTTTGTTGATTTCGATACCCATTTTCTCGACCCACCCGAAAACAGTTGGGGGGAAGTCAGCAGAGGCTGCTTGGAAGCGGTGGGTGGCATAATTGTGTTTTTTTGCGCCACCCGGGGAATCGGGGACACTGGGCGGTATGCTGGCTCTTCTCGGCGCTTCGCGGCGGTAAAATGATGAAAAATCGTTGGGGCTACCTTGGACACTCATTAGCGGGATTCTTGTTTTGTTTTGTCATCTGTCAATTCTCTGGGCGGGATGGGAGGTTGGGAGGTTGGGAGGTTGTCTCCCAAACGTACATGCGGAATTACATGGGTTTATGCGATTCACGAAGAAAAGTAATGAGATGGGTCTTCGGAGGTTCTTGTCGACTGGTCGGTTTTGTCTCTGCCGCTTCCCTAATCACGTCCTTCTTTCTATTTATTGTTTTCTGTGAGTGGGATGGGACTTCAGCGCTCGATACTTGTGGATCGGGGGGTAAGGGGAAGAAAGGACTCTAGACGGAACGGAACATAGTTAGGTTTGTATTCAAAACGTAATGGAGCTGAGATGAACATGGAAGCACCCATACAATTCCATCAGGATGACCTAGTTTATATTCTACACATTACCTTCAGAGGCGATCCCTTCCGTTTGACATCAAAGCCGAAGCACACCAAATAACCTGCTAGAAATACACAAGGGGAATCGGAAGAACACGGGTTTACCGGTCCTTCTTCCCATCTTTGGGGCCTCCCCCTTCTTGCTGCTCGCTCTGGTCCTCGGCCATGGCCACAAAAATGTAGCCTATGAGCACCACGTTGGCCATGATGGCCGCGAGAGCGCCGGCGTAGGTTGAGTTGCCTAGCACGTATATCCATGGTCAGTCTTGGATTCCGCACCAGGGATGTGTGAGTGGACACAGTGACGGGGCTATTTACCGTTGAAGACTGTGTCGACTGTGACAAAGTAGGACCCAATGGGTATCACGATCATTCCGAGGGTGAAGGCGAGGAGTTTCATGATGACGGACCTGGACAGGCGAGGGTTAGCTTCATATGATAGAATGAGGGCGGGTGGATAGGAAGGGAGAGTGCTCACGTCGGGACCGCCGGGGCAATGTTGGACTTCTCGTCTGCTGCTGGGCTGGAACCGACGGTGTCATCTTTCTCGAGGAGGGTTTTCTCCTGGGAGATGATTCGGCGGGTGGCCATGATGGGCGGGATGAAGGTAGTTCGAGGGTGAGATTGGAATTGGAAATTCAGAAAGGAGTGTTGACAGAGAGTCGAGGCTTGTTTTATGAATCGGAATGATAAAAGCTGTCAACGACGTGGATTGAGTTTAAAGTTGAACTAGGCTTCTTCAGTTGGTTGGTTCTTTTTAGATGTGAGGATGATGTGTTGTTGAGGCACAGACTCAACCTGCTTGGGTGATGTCCTCAACTGTTCCTTGACCATGCACGTGTCGACGTGCGGCAGCCACCAGCCCCCCAGTCGCGTCGACCCGCAAAATGCCCCATTAACGCGTTGTGGGGCGCCGATAAGTCGGGTTTGGCGTTGTTTGTGAACGGGGATTGCTGCATTCTTTTCGCAACTCCTCACCATCCTTCTCGGTCCCAGATTGTTTTCCCAAAAGCGAAGCAAGGAAACGAGATTTCCCACCGCACACTTTAGCCCGTTAGCTTCTGGTTGTACCAACACATTCAACTTGCCATTCTTTGTCTGCCTAACTTCCAATTATTTACCTACTCCCTTGTCTGATTTGCAGACCGCAAATTTCTGGGAGCGAGGCTGGCGGCTGCCAAACGGGGGCATTCGTTTTTTCTCCTGGCCTTTCAGAACTTTAAATAACCCCGTCTACCGATTTCAAGCCACTCTCTGGCGTTTCGTTACTTAGTTTCCAACAATGGACTTTTCCTCTTCACCTCCCGCCAGTCACCGGCGATTCAACATCGAGGACGACGACGACGAGCTGAGCGTAGTAACACAATCACCCTACTTCACACAACCCACCCAAATCATCGGGCGATCAGCTTCACGAGCTCCAAACCCCGCGACCTCCTCTCCGAAATCGATCGTCGAAGTACCTGCCTCTTCTCCGTTCCGCCCGCAAGCTGCTCAACAGCGGGGAGGCCGAATAGCAAACCTCATGGCTCCTGCCGGTACCGCGTTTAGGGCGCCAGCCCGTCAGACTCTGGCAATTACAAAGACGGCACCAAAGCGGGAGTTCGTCATGATCTCGGATGACGAGTTGGATGCGCCAATCTACGCCGGGGGGGATTCCTCGGATGACGACGAACCTTCCAGGGGTGATATTCGTCCGTCTTCATTTCAACCCAAGGAGCCGAAGACGTCAAACTCCACGACCGGGAGCCAATCGCGTGCTGGGAAACCTGTAGGTTACAGACAAGAGCGTTTCGAATCTTGAGGGGGAGAAGCTGACTATAGACAGAATTCCACGTCCGCCCCTGCGAGCTTCGTAACGAGCCCGGAAAAATCCTATGTCTTACAGAAAGATTGGGTGCCACTCTCATCCCCTACTTCGTCGCTCGAGAGCTTTGAGTCTTTGCGACAGCTTTCTCCACCGAAGCCAACCCGTCGACGCCTCGTACAAGGCCGTCGCCCACGCGCTGTTAGCCCCTCGAGCCCCGTGTTGAAGCTCAGCCAGCCCTCACCACCTCGGCCGCAATTGATTGACCTTGTCAGCGATGACGACGCGGATGATGGGTACAAACAGCCAAAGGCATCCCCGCAACGAGGTTCTTCGCCGGTGGAGGATGAGGAAGAAGATTCCTTCGACGAGCGGGTTCTAAACTACCTGAACACTTGCGACGTCATGCAGCTTGTCGCGATTGCGAATGTCAAGGAGGACAGCGCGAAGCTGATGGTCTCGCGCCAACCGTTTGGCGATCTTGAGGAAGCCCGCAACGTGACCATATCGCAGAAGAAGCGCGGCAAGAAATCAGCCAAGGTCTCTATTGGAGACGATATTGTCTCGGCTGTCAGGACATACGCGCGCGCGCTGGACGACATAGACCACATCATTGCCGTGTGTGAATCGCAAGCCGAGTCGCTCAAAGGGACAACCTCGAAATGGAATATCGACCAGACTGGCCAGCTTCGCAACGACTCCAATTCCGACGACGGAAAGCCGATGACCCCGCTCAGCATGGAGGACTCTACAAAGCTGGTGGAGGCGCCGCTGCGTCAACCGAGGCTCATGGAAGGCTGCACCATGAAGCCCTTTCAAATATACGGGCTCAATTGGCTTTACCTGTTGTATAAAAACCAGTACGGCAGCATATTGGCCGACGACATGGGCCTCGGCAAAACATGCCAGGTCATCTCGCTCATGTGTGCGATCGTCGAAGCATGGGAGCGAAACGGTCAAAAGGAAACCGACCGTCCCTGGCCAAACGTTATCGTCGTCCCGCCGTCCACCTTGGCGAACTGGGCTGCAGAATTCAAGAGGTTCGCCCCGAAACTCAACGTCACGCTCTACCAAGGAAGCCAGGCGGTTCGAGACGAGATTGCCTACGATATCCGGGAGGACCCATCAAGCCATCATGTGGTTCTGACTTCGTACACGCAACTTTCGAGGAACGACGACATATCCAACCTCCGTCACCTGCGGCCGATAGTAGCGGTGTTTGACGAAGGCCACAAGATGAAGAACCCGAAGACGAAGTTGTATAGAGATCTTCTGCGAATCACCGCCACATGGCGCTTGGTCTTGTCCGGTACACCTGTTCAGAACAACCTCATGGAGATGATCGCTCTTCTCCAGTTCGTCGAGCCTAGTCTCTTCCAAGCCCACTTCGAGAATCTGGAAGCGCTGTTCAACCAAAAAGTCTCCCTGACGGCCGTTTCCAAGGGGGCGCTGTTACATAGCGAGCGGGTTGCGCGTGCCCGAACAATTCTTGAGCCCTTCATCCTTCAGCGGCGGAAGGAACAGGTACTTCAGGACTTGCCGCCCAAGACGACCAAGGTTGTCACTTGCAAGATGGATCCGGTCCAGGAAGCCATTTATCGGGGCTACGAGAGGCGGTTTAGGAAGTCTGACTCCCAGGAGGCCAGCACCGGCGTGAAAGAAGGCCGTGAAAACGATACGAACAACGTTTGGATCCAGCTGCGGAAATCGGCCATCCACCCACAACTGTTCCGGCGGTTCTTCAAGGATCGCGATGTCCAGAAGATAGCCGAGGTCTTGATGAAGAGGGTCCCTCAGGCAGAGTTGAAGCAGCCAAAGCTGGATCATCTCACAAACGAGCTCAAGGCTCTGTCTGACTTCGAGCTACACCTCTGGTGCAGAGACTACAAGTGCATCAAGGGATATGATCTCCCTGACGACTCCTGGACGGATTGTGCCAAAGTCAAGGCACTGCTAGAACTGGTTCGGGGATATCAGGCAAATGGGGACCGCGCACTCGTCTTCACCCGGTTTGCTAAAGTGATTGAGATTCTCGGAGAGTGCCTCGCGTCGGAAGGCATTGAATATCTGTCCCTTCAAGGAAACACCGATGTCAGCGCACGGCAGGAGCTGATCAACGAGTTCAATGCCGACGAATCCATCCCTGTCTTCCTCCTCACGACAGGGTCTGGGGGCACGGGCATCAACCTGACGGCGGCAAACAAGGTCATCATCTTCGACCAATCCGACAACCCGCAGGATGACCTCCAAGCCGAGAACCGAGCCCATCGGCTGGGGCAAACTCGGCCGGTCGAGATCATCCGGCTCATCAGCGAGGGAACCGTCGAAGAGCTCGTGTACAAGGCATGTGAGAAAAAGCTCGAGCTCGCCAACAAGGTCGTTGGGTGGAACACGGTCGACATGACCTCTGGCGAGATGGAGTCGGCGGTAAAGAGTCAGCTGCTACAGCAGGCTCCTTCGACGCCTCCGGACGAGGATTGATATCGGGTATTTAAAGAAGGCTTCTTTTCGGCTGCACATAAGTTTCAGCCCGCCTGCCGCCACAAGACAACATCGGCTATCTCAGGAGAGACCTCTACGGCGACGATGTTTGGGTCGGGGACCATCACACATGTCCCGCCCACCCGAATTTGCTCCTTTGGCTTCGACCCGCTTTGCTTTCCGTTTCGTTAGGCATTTACAGGGAGCGCGGTTCTGCTTTTTAGTCCCTGTGGTGTTGCATGATCAGGTATTGGGATACACCCGGAGCAGCATCGGCCAGACGGGTCGGGACTTGGGGTATGGAGGCACAAGTCCCGCCAGGACGCTGGCCGGCGCAGGTAAAAGGCCATATTTCCCCACGAAGCGTCTCTACAACAATACATAGACTACTACCTAGACGAGGTAGCTTAGAGACAATTAGATATAGAATTCTGGGACCTGGAAATGACAGCGGTCGATTTTGGCATATTGCCGGAGAGTTCTAAAGTGATAACAACCAATCGGTGTCTAATATGTGTAGTGCATTGTTCAAGTCTCGCTATCCAGTACCTAACAAAGACTGAGGTGTTTCTAGGTCGAGTCTGCTTAAGTAGTGTTACTCGCTGTGGTAGGGGGTCGTTAACTAGGTAGTTATGGATCCCTGCTCGCTAAAACGGCCAAGCATTCCACTGTGGGGAATGTCGAATCCGCACTTTCACATGCCTGGGTTCCTCCCAACGGTGTAATTCCGTTGCTCCTTGACCCTCATTCTCACCGAATGCCGGCCACTTCCTTCCCCGTTCTTCCCCAGCTTTGACTAGGAGGGTTACACACGGACATGATTTGATCTGCTCAGTCCTTTGGATGGCCACCTTCTGACCTCAACGGTTTTGCCCAGATGTATCCCATTCAACACAATTCGAAGGTTATTTAGTTGGTTTTTGGCATTACTTTCATCTCTTCGATTTCCACTTTGCCACCCATGCAATCCATATTTCTTACCGAGTATTGGGTATAGGGTACTCATCTTTGTGCCATCGGATTCTTAATGCTGTTATTCCTCATGCCTATCTGGCACGCGATCTGGGACGTGGCGTGGTTCTGGCGAGCTGTGCGTATCCTCTTTATTCTCTTGGATACTTTCTTGCTCTTCCTCTCGACGCTGATGCGTGACGTCCTACAGAAAACCGTGGCATACTTGTTCGAACTCTCGCCACTCGAAAGATGGTCAGAAACACTCAACAAGGCGGCCGACTACGACGAGTGGGATGAGGCAGCCCATAACCTCGACCGCATTCTCAACCTCGATATGTGGCGCCACAACCCGACGAGTAAGGACTACGACTACCGCCTCATCAACGAACGGACGCGGCTCATACAAAACGCCCGCCAGGAGGGTGATGTCTATGGGCTCATCAATACGCTCCGCACCGGGCTTGTCCGTAATTTAGGGAACATTACCAGTGCCAAGTTGTTCAATTTTTGCTTCTCCGGCACTAAAACCCTCATCGAAGACTACGTCGAGCAGTATGTCGAGGCGATCCAAGAGATCGCTTTGCTTCCGCCGCCACCTGCCGACGGGGAGTCCCCGAACGTGGAGGAGGTTCCCTCCGAGTACGAGGATGGCGAGATCGCGGCGAACGGTAGCATCGGTGAAAATGACGTCGGACGGCCCGGCTCTTCTGCCCTGTGCTACCAAAGCAGCATGGCGACAAAATTCCTCCAGACGCAGCATAAACTCGATTTCATCACCTCTGCGAGACAGGGGTTCGGACGGAGCGCGCTCGTGCTGCAGGGCGGCGCCATTTTCGGCATGTGCCACCTCGGCGTCGTCAAGGCTCTATTTCTTAGGGGGCTACTCCCACGTATCATCGTGGGAACAGCAACCGGGGCTATGATAGCGGCGTTGGTCGGGGTCCATCCCGAGGAGGACCTCCTCCGATTCCTTACTGGCGACGGAATCGACCTCTCGGCCTTCGCCGCAAATGGCAAGGACCCGGCCGCACACAATGAACAAGTCATGCAGTCGCCGTGGACGTGGTGGGCTACGCTTCTCAGAAGAATACGGCGGTTCAGGGAGGAGGGCTATTTTCTGGACGTCAAAGTCCTGGAAGACTGCGTTCGGGCGAACGTCGGCGATCTAACGTTCGAGGAAGCGTTTAATCGCAGCAAGCGGATTCTCAACATCACCGTCGTGCCGGCCGGACAAGAGGGTATCCCAACCCTCCTCAACCATGTGACAGCGCCTAACGTGGTATGTCCCCCCTTTCGGCACACATCACCTCCTCAAAACCCCCCCGACTGACACCTTAACCCCTTTCATAGCTAGTCTGGACGGCCGCCGTCGCCTCCAACGCCTCGTCGGACGCCTTCTACGGCCGCCGGCAGACCAGGATCCTCTGCAAGGACGCGCACGGCAACATCACGCCCTGGGCGCCCGCCGACACGGCCGACTTCCGGCACTGGACGCTGGCCTCGTACACGGACCGCAACGCGCCGCTCCAGCGCGTGTCGGGGCTCTTCAACGTCAACCACTACATCGTCAGCCAGGCGCGCCCCTACCTGGTGCCCTTCCTCCAGTCCGACATGCACGGGCCCTCGGCGCGCCTCTTCGCCGGCGGTGGCTTCGGCTTCCTCGCCGGGCTGCGGTCGCTGACGATGCGCATGGTGGGGCTCGAGGCCCGGCACCGGCTGCGCCAGCTCGACCGCCTGCGCCTCTTACCGCCATCGATCCGGCGGTTCCTGGTGGACGAGCACCTGCCCGGGCCGAGCGTGACGCTGGTGCCGCGGCTGGCGCTGCGGGACTTCGCGCGGCTCATGGAGACGCCGACGCGCGACACGCTCGAGTACTGGATCCTGCGCGGCGAGCGCAGCGTGTGGCCCGCCGTCGCCGCCCTGCACGTCCGCTGCGCCATCGAGATGGAGCTCGACCGCGCCTACCAGGACGTCCGCCGCCTCAAGGCCGGCGGCCTGCGCCGCAAGGGCAGCGAGATCGCCCAGGCCCAGGCCCAGGCCAGGGCCCGCCGCGCCGCCGCCGCCGCCGTGCTGGTGGGCGACCGCGACCGTGACCGTGACCGTGATGGCAACCGCGGAGATCGGAGTGGGAATCGAAATGGGGATGGCGCCGATACGCCCGCGGCGGCTTAGTACCAAGTAGACGAGGGCGGGAATGGGGTGGAGGTAGAGGTGGGCGTCGAGGAGAGCCGCGGAGTGATCGACTTGTGTTAATCAACGCCGTGCTCTCTGATTGCTCGCTCGCTCTACCCCCTTTCTGTGTTTTTCTATCTCTCACAAGGACGATCGAGGCAGCAGGCTTGGGGGACATGGGTGGTTTGTCGGCGGTGGGAATGGAAAGGGCAAGATTGGACTACAAGGGTCGGGGGGTGCTCCATTTCAGGTATGAGTTTCCACAGGCATCACTGTGAGTCGCTTGGATCCTAGGCTTCGTATCCATAAGGACTAGTCCCCAGACAGCAGGGTAGAAAAACAGATTCCAAATTGGAACTCAAGATTCGACGAATCGCCGCAACTCTGAGCCGTGGGTGGTTTAGCGTTGCCCTGTGCATGGGTTACGTGACCTGCCAGACACCAACCATGCAAAGTCTGTACTGCCGGGATTGATGCAACTTCATGTTGGCACGGTACCTGGCTGAGGCTGAAGGCTAGAGAGGAGGGTACGGGGGAGGGGGGTCGACGCCTTTTTTTGATTTGGGATCTCCCACCAGGGTAACGACATAACTCTCCGCGAGGATCAAGAAAAGTCACATCAAGCAGGGGGGCTGGTTGCTGGCAGATGTGACTAGGGTAGGGCTGGAAACCTGGAGGTGGAATCTCGTTAGGCCGGCGGACGGAGGGGGATCCGACGCCTTCGCTAGCCCTCTTGGTATTGCGTCGGGGTCGCCGGTTGTAGCACGGCTTGCATCGGGGGGAGTCGTGGCACAACGCGCAAGCTTGGCTGTTGGGGAAGACCTCTTCTGGGTTGTCGGAAGTTGGGGGTTCTGTATTTGTTGAGGTAATGGAAATCGGACAACGCCGGCCGACCAGGTGAGTTGACTGAGGGTCACCCCAGTACTCCCGGCAGGCAAATTGCGGGAAGGGCGCCACGGAGATGCGTTGACAGATGGCGAGCAGGCTCAGGGGGCCAGGGTTTTGACGTTACCAAGTCCAGATCAGATGGACAGCCGCGTCAGGGCTCAGTCCCGGCAGACGTTTCTTGGACGACAAGGATCCGGGATATTTGGCCGATGCAGGAACAAGCCAAGCAGCAGTCAACTGACCCACGATGGCTGCAGACTGCATACGAAGTAACGACATCTCCGAGTCCTTAGAGGTCGTGGACTAGATCAGTTGCAGATGAAAACTTCAAGACACGCATCGCGCGGCCCGCTTGGTGAGATGTCGTCATGAACGAGATGATGATCCACGTTGGGCTTGTCTGTCTGTACGAAGCGGTGAGAAGCGAACATCGACTGCTGGAGCTACACGAGTTAATCTGTACCCTTCCCTGTCCGGCTGTAGCGAAGGCTCTGAAACGGTCTAAACGGTTTGGTGGCCAAGCTCACAAGGCTGCAGGCGCATCTTATTTCGTCCAGTGTTGGGCCGTCTGCTGAGGAGGTGGCTTGTCAACGATGTAACAGGGATTTGCTGATGATTTGTATTAGAGAAAAAAACTTTCGCGGTCACTCGCGGTCACTCGCGCATTTGTGGTTTGTGGTTGCGTATCACCATCCCTGCTTGTGGGAGTCCGAAATGTTTCGACAATGAGATGGCCGATCTCTTTGTCTTATTTTTTTGGCTGGTTTCTCGAACGTTTCTCGAAGCGACCCAAGAGTTAGACATTCCGTTTCAGCCCCGCCGATGCGCAGATCATTCCCGGGGCTTGCACGGTACGCTAGGCTTCTTCTGGGACAGGCTTGAGAGTCGTTCGGGGGATCTGCAACACTACGAAAGAAGTGTAACGTCGTCCGATAAATATTGCAGGGTTCATGGTTGTGACGAACGACCAGTTCGAGGCAACGGGCTGTGCTGTCTGTCGCTGGATCGGGGTGGGTAATGGGTGACGAGAAAATCTCTGTTAAGCACAAGGGAGAGAAGGAGGGGAAGCTTCGATCAGGGATCCTCGAATGGGGGGGAGGTCGTCAGCTTTGACGAACGGCGGGGCAGCTCAGGGTTCCGAAGCGGGTCCTTGACAGGGCTTGGCAGGTTGATTTCGTGATGCAGCACCCCCCGAGTCGATGACAGTTCGGGATCATCTGATCGGTTAGGTAGTGTAGTTCATCCGGGGGACTCGGTGCTCAGCGCCAAAGTGTAAAATGCAAACCAAGTCCTCAGTTCGCTTGACGCCGATGATCGGACAACTAACTACCTGGACACGCGAGCCACGGCGCCGCCTTGTTGGGGCTTAGGACTCGGATTTGCTGAGTTGAGTTTCCATTGGCGTGCTTTCAGCTCACCTCGTTTCCCAAAACAGCCACCCCAGGTAAAGCAAGGTAAGAGCAGATGCCGGGGTTGCAATGCGCATGTGGGGTGCAGTCTTTGTAATGCCAACAAGGTGCCAGTGGAGTGAGAGAGTGCGACAAACTGAGCGAGAAAAAAGTGAGGCGAGAATTAGGTAGGTAGGGAGCCATCCTATCCGATTCCAGCTAAGAAAACTTCCTGCATCCAGGTTCGGGCAAAACAGCATTTCCCCCCTCGACCTCGGTGTGTCGGCCTCTGCGGGAGTACACCAGAGAAAAGATCAACCGACTCCGTTTGACATGGAATGCGGAAGTATCGATAATGGTGGCAGACACACCGGACTGGCACTTGCCTGCCGCTTCCCTGGTAGGATAAGTGGTAGCTTCAAACTTCCATTGGGCAGGAGCACGCACAGCTCTTGCGCTGGTCTGCCGAGCCACGGTTGCCCCCCACACGAGTTGCCCGGTCTCGAGCCGGGCTCGGCTTGCCGCAACCCGCTGGCCATTTTGTAATTTCCCGCCTTTTTTGCTGCGGTTGTCCCATAACTAGCGGTATAAAGCTCCACGCCATCCCCATCCAACACTTCGGGACTTCATCAAGTACTTAGTCCCTTGGACTTGAACCCATCAACACTCGAATACTTAGAGGAGATTCGACACTCTCATCATCGTTCGCGCTATTCTCCGTCAGTCTTCAAATAAGGTTACCTGGAACTCTCAGGTCAGCTTCTCTCTTCCGCCCACTCCCCCGTTCCAAGTCAGACATCCTTTCCACACCTACCCAGCCAACGCCATGCTGAAACTTCTCTTCTCAGAAGCCAAGCCATCAACCACTGCCGACTTCCTTGACAACATGCACGCCCCGCCGCACACACCGCTCCGTCACTCCCGCGCGTCCACCCCCAGCGAGGACTGGGTCTTTGTCGACGGCGCTCACACCCAGGAGAGATCGCCCCAGCTCAAGCACGACAACATGCCCTCGGGCCAGGTCGCCAACGCCACGGCCGACGGCATCCCATCCTCTTTCGCCCTTTTCGAAGCCGACATCGCCGACATCATCGACAACAACAACAACGACTCAACCGTCGCCCACAAGCCTCCGTCCAACATCTCCACCGAGACGCCCGGCACGGACGACAGCACCCGCACCGTCACCGACCTCCACCGAGCCGGCCCCGCCGCCGCACCCACCCGCTGCACCCCCGGGCCGGCCCACACGGAGCTGACCCTCTCCAACATGGCCCGCTATCAGCGCGAGCTCGAGCAGTTCCGCACGGGCAGCCTCGCCGGCTGGGCGGCCGACGCGGGCATGGGCTCGCGCCGCCTGGTCGGCCGGTCGCCGTCGTCCCACCACCCGTCGAGCGTCGGCTACTGCAGCGTGCTGACGGCCGGCGGGCAGTCGATGGCCAGCGGCGTGAGCAGCATCGGTGCCGGCGCAGGCGACTGGGCGTACGTGCAGCCCTCGAAGCCGGGCGACGAGGAGGTTGCTGCTGCCGGGGCGTGGTGCTTCGACACGACCATCCCGCTTGCGGGCCGCCGGGGCTAAAAACCGTGAGAGAAGTCGTCGGTTCCGAGGATAAGGAGATCGGCGATACAAGGGTCGACTCGACAATGAGCGGGGTCGACGGCGTTATGGTCGAGGCTGAGTGGTGATGATGATGACTCCGAGTTGATGAGGTGTCGTCGACGTGTGTCTTCGAGACGAGATGGCGTCGGGTGGTCAGTGTTTCCTTCGCTTTGATCTTGCCTTGGATGCTTTTTTTCCTTTTCTTTTTTGGTTACCCATGTATGAAACACCTAACAACAGACTCTTTCTTCTTTGTCTCGGATGCTGTGGCCGGCATATCAATCATCCGCTTTCGTTGCGGTATATCTTTTTCTTTGCTCTGTTGGATCATGGCCTCTCTTCTATAATGTTTTGGTTTAGCATTCTCATCTTTCCTTGCATATGACGACGTCAATCAAAACGGCTGGGTCGCTTAGGAAGCGATTGGTGGAATATCTTGGAATTGAAAAAAAGGAAGGGGGGCAAAAGGCTGGTTCCCTGGCTCGGTTTTGAGTTTAGCTTCGCGTGTCTGCATTCAACCATGGTACCATCATATATCCACTTGGCCTCGTCCCATCACAGATGTCGTCGATCTGCATGCTCGTTTCTCAGAATAACTCTTCTCCAAATCTCCACCACACCTTTCCCCGGAGCCCGGATGCCGGGTGCGGGGTTCTGGGGGACAAACGGGACGAGGTTGCATCGGATATTGCCAGAAATCAGGTACTCCATCAGCTAGGACCCTTGGAGATGCATCCCGAGTCCACCATGCCCCCAGGCCGCCTTGGTTGAAGACGAAACGATGGAACCGGACGGCCGCCTATTTAGCCTGATTAAAACGAGCTTCGTCGTTCCGGGTTCCCATCATCCGATCGACAGCATCATGGCCCTGGGTTGCAACGGTCGAGCGGGTTCCTGCGTCTTGGTTGAGGGATAAATAACCCGTCGCCCGGGCCCGCGGTGGGCTCGAGGGGAAGAGTCGACAGCAGCGTCCGCGATCTCGCCCGGTCCTCCCCTTCGCCATGTCTAGCACCTTCGGCCTCCGCCGGCTTCTCGGCCTCGCGCTGGCTGCGACCTGCGTCTCAGTCGTAACATGTCACGACGACCGTTGGGTAGACATCTGGGCTTCTATGCCGCAGCAGGTGGAACCCTACAACTTGCCCGATGCCCCCTATGTCAGTAGTCCCACCCAACCTGTTCCTATACCCGGGAGGCAGGTTGGGGTAATAACACACGGCTGGACCACATAACTCACCTCACCCCTACCGCAGAACGGCACCGACGGCGTCTTCCAGAACACGACGATCCGCCAGACCGTGTACCTGACCCAGGACGCGACGACGATCCGGTTCCAGTTCAGCAACGCCTTCGGCGGCTCCGACCTGCCCATCACGGCGGCCACCATCGCGCTGCCGGCCAACGGCACGGCCGGCTCGCCCGCCATCCGCCCCGACACGCTCCAGCACCTGACCTTCTCGGGCTCGCCCTCGTTCGACGTGCCCAACGGCGCCCTCGTCGTCTCCGACCCGATCCGCTTCCCCGTCAAGGCCCAGACCAGCGTCACCATCACCGTCTACCTGGCGGCCGGCCAGGCCGGCCACGCCGTCACGGGCCACCCGGGCAGCCGCACGGCCAGCTGGCTAACACAAGGCAACCTCGCGTCAGCAGCGGACGTAACCACGCCCACGACGCAGCGCATCGACAAGTGGTTCCTGGTGTCGGCGCTGCAGGGGTGGCTGCCGGCGCACCACCGGGCGCTGGCGGTGGTGGGCGACTCCATCACCGACGGGCGCGGGTCGACGACCAACGGCAACGACCGGTGGCCGGACCAGCTCGTGCGGCGCCTGCAGCGCGACGGCAACCAGCGCTCCGTCGCCGTGCTCAACCTGGCCGCGGGCGGCAACCGCATCCTGGCCGACGGGCTCGGCCCCAACGCGCTGGGCCGTCTCGACCGCGACGTGCTGGCGCGCGGGCCCGCGGTGCGGTACGCGCTGATCTATGAGGGGGTCAACGACCTGGGCACGGCGGCCACGGACGCGGCGGCGCAGGAGCGGGTGGGCGACCGGGTGATCTTGGCGTACGACCAGATGATCTCGCGGCTGCACGGGGCCGGGATCGCGGTGTTCGGCGGGACCATCACGCCGATGAGCGGGCCGGGCCAGGCGTACGGGGACCCGGAGCGCGAGAGGCAGCGGCAGCGGCTGAACGAGTGGATCCGCACGAGCGGGCGGTTCGACGCCGTGGTGGATTTCGACGAGGTGGTAAGGGACCCCAAGAACGGGACCATGCTGAAGCCCGAGTACGATACGGGGGATTATCTGCATCTGAACCCGGCTGGGTACAAGGCCATGGCCGAAGCGGTCGACTTGGAGTGGTTTGCGCGGTTTGCGGGCGGCGTGAAGTCCATGGTCTGAGTGAGGTGAGACGGGTTTCGGACTTGGGGGCGGGGGCGGAATGGGGCACGACCAAAAGGTGGAAAAGGATGGATCCTTCAGACATATTTGAATAATAAGACAAGCTCGTGTGCTTTTGACAGGGGCCTTAATGGGGCTGATACATACACGTATTCGTAAACCATGCAGAGCCCAACTCCGAGCGGTGAGGCGCGGGCCTTGGGTTGGGGACGAACTTCCCGGGGCCCGAAAATCGCGGCCCAACATGCATCGACATCCTCTTCGGACACCAAGTAGGAGATCATATTGGCCGGAGGAATATTATATATGCAGGGATGGTGAAACGGACGAAAAGTCGCAGAACATGACTTCCTACCCAACGGCTGAACTGTGGTGGTATCGTGCCTCGAGGCATTTCTGCCTCAAGAAAAAGGATGTACATACATGGGGTGAGTCATAATCGAATCCGAGCACCAATCCCGACCCTTCCCCCTCTTACATCCATAGCCGAGCAGTCCCGTCTGCACCGGCACTGACGCACCATGGCTCTCGCGGGTGCCAATCGATGTCGAGCACACCCAGCTTGCTCACAACCTTGTGACCCTTGAGCATCTTGACCGGGACGATGGTCGGGTTCTCTAACTGGTCGTTCGGGACCTTGCCGTGGAAGATCTGCAGGGAGCCGTCATCACTGGCATCCGCGAAAAGTGGTAACCCGCCCCTGTGGTACCGGACCTGCCGAATGGCTTGGCCGTGGAATCTCATCGTCTTGTACGGCCTGTTGGACAAGTCGAGGTCGTGCCAGAGGAGACGCTTGTCATAGCTGCCCACAATCAAATTGTCTCCACCGGGATGGATGTCGAATGACGAGATCCTGGGAGGTGTTAGTAATAAGTTTCGTGCAATGTCAGCGGGTTCGGGTAACATACCATTTTGCGCCAGGCTGGACGACCTTGACCAGTTCCAACTTCTGGAGGTCATAGCACCGGATTGTTCTCTGAGTAGCAACGAAAAACAGCGGCCTGAGAGGGTGGAAAGCCGCTGTCTGAGCAAGGCCAGAGAGTTTTCGGAATGGTATTTGTGTGAGGTGTTTTGAGAGCGTGTGGATGGCCACTGAGCTGCGCTGTCCGGTGGGCGAGACAGTCGCAAAGTGGTCACCTCTCCTGTGCCAGTTGATGACCTTTACGGTTGATCGTACGGTAATCCTGATCAAGACACCCTCGTCCTCGAGCTTCGTGCCTGGCCGGGCCCACTTCGCTGCTGGCTCTTTGCCAACTGGGGCCGCCGGCTGCTGCCCGTTTGTAGCGTAGCCGAAACCTGTCGCCAAAATGTCCCTGCTGGCTTGGTCGAGAGCTGGAGTGACGCTGGCGTGTGTTGGGACCATTAGGAAAATGTCTTCGCCAGCCGCCGCAGCCAGGACAAAGGCATCTTTGGTCGGCCTCCACCGGACAGCGTTGACCGGCTCCTCGCTATTCAGCCTTACGGACCAGACTTGCCGGCCTGTTAATAGTTCCCAGACCCTCACCGTCCCGTCGTCACCCCCGGTTGCGAGCGCCACGCCGGTCTACGGACTGTTAGCATCGCGTTTTTGACCTGTTCAGCGTCCGGCCTAGGTGTGGATGTGCACTTACTGGGTCGACCGAAACACTTCTTACTCTCCCCTCGTGGCCACGGAAGATAGTCTGGACAGCGGTGGGGAAGGGCTTGAGCTCAGAAGGAGAAGGCAGCTTGGGAAGAAGCGAATTAGGGTCAATGTTGAGCCTGTTCTTTCGAATACGAGGCGCCAGATAAAGGTCCTGAACTGCAAGTTAGCGTTATCCGCACCGTGTCGATTTTCCTGGTCCACGTACCATGCACCGCTCAAAACGTTCTTTGACCAAGCTACCCCATGCAGGGACTTTCCGCAAGGCGTTATGTTTTTGCGGGAGGTATTCCTTTTCCCGATCCTCGGGGTCCGCATTCTCCCATTCCTCGCGCTCTTCCTTCGATCTAAAAACCAGTGTGTTAATGGGTAGCCGAAGTCGAAACGAAGACCCAAGGATACGTACGGCAGGTACTCCTCTGGCGGATTGTAACTCAGATCGTAGCCGGGAGGCGCCAGTTTCGGTGCGGGGATATGCATTGGGTTAGGCGCCTGGGGCTCCTCATTTTGCCAGAGGTCGAAGTGCACTTCCTCCTGTTCCTCCTCTTCCCGCTCGCGCTCCTCGGGCGGCTTATACGGTAGGATTCTCCCTTCGCGAATGGCGCGAACCAACTTCATGATTTGCTTGGCTTCGTTCTTGGAAGGGAGGAAGCGCCGCTTGGGCTCTGGGGCGCTACTGAGGGCTTCTCGGAGTTAGAAGGCACGTTTCCAGAGGAGGACTTGATATTTTACTTACGCATCTTCTCCTCGATGGATGTGAAGTACTCCACTGTATCAGGGTACGGATCTTGGAGATCAGTTGGTAGAAGGCCCATCTGAACCCGGCGGACGAGCTCCAGCTCATCCTGGCTGCATTTTGTTCAGAATGGCTTGACTGACGCATGGAGATTTGGGGGGTAACGTACGTGAGGTTGAGAGGGTTGCCAGTATCCACATCTGTCAATCCTGTCCACCCCTTTGGCACTTCGATACTGTCGAGGAGACTCTGCAGCGCATCGCCGGTCGCCGGCCGCATGATCTTCTTGCCATTGATGTCGTAGCCGATATGGGGATAGCTAGGGCGACAAATGTGAGCATGGCGATCCGACTTTCTGTTACCGGGAATTCTCACCTGTCGTAGAAACTCAAGGGAATGTCGCCTATCGTATTGACCGGGCCCTTCGCATCGGAATCGTCGGAGTCGTAGACAGGATCGATCTCACTGTCGACATCGAGTCAATATCAACCAAAAGCCAGCTTGTCACAACGAGAGAGCTCACTCGTAAACATATCTCTCCCCACCATTGGCGTCCTTTTCGACCCTATAGTTCTTTTCCTCGCCATCATCCTCTCCCCGCTTCGGGTCGACACCCGGTTCCGTGATTTCAAGTTCTCCCTGTTGTTTGACGAGCCTGTTTATCGCCTCTTCGCTATCCACATCCGAGGGTATGTCGTCGCTCAGTATGTCATCTTCTTCATCCTCATCACCGCTTGCCCCAGTTCCCTCGCTTTCACTATCGTCGACATCGTCCTCGTCGCCGTCGTCGGATGGGAGGTAGGCTTCCTCGTCCTCGCTTTGGGATAAAATGCCGTCAAAAAGGCCATTGGCGAGCTCGTCGTCAGACTCGGGATCCGAATCCCTCGATTTGCGCTTTTTATCCGTGAGTTTTGAACCCATTGTCCCGGCTGCTGTATGATGTTGTTCGTCCGCAGTCAGTAGCGCAGCAGCCAAAAAAGTTGCTAAAGATCCATGCGCCCGAACATTTTTCTGCCAGTTTTATCACTTTTTGGCGGGGAGCTTGGTTGACCGCCTGCGCTCGGGTGGGATTAAGCGACGGTAGCGCTAAGCTCTTTTAGGTCGCCCGCCGTCGAAGCATACCCCACCTTCTACTTTCGGAATACTCTCAGCATTGACCTTCTCACAGTTGAATCCCTGGATAATGTGTCAAGATGGATGCATCCTTTGAAGGCACAACAGGCAATCAAGCTGACGTCGCGAGAGACTTCGGTTAATCCCCGCCATCCGTGTAAACGAGGATTACAAATGATTGATTTTATGTAGCACACCCAGGTACCTTGAGGGACAGTCGATTAGAAACATGCGTGGAGCAGGTGCAGAAAAACCACGTGTTTGCAAGACCTGTCTCTTGTTCGACTGAAGTAATATAAGAGATGTGTCTATGGGTTGCAATGCAAATTGAGGTTCACTCGACGTGGTGCAGAGAAGAGATGAGATGCGAATGGTTGCCTGGTGTTCCGCCCTTCAACCTTGTCGCACCATGTAACTATGTATTTCGATGTAACCACGCCGATGATTTATCAAGCAGGCCAGCGAACGCGCGGCCCCCACTTTAACTCGACCGCCAGTGGTCGCCTTTAAACCACCGGCGTCTCCTCCGCTCACCCTCTTTACTAATCAATTGGTCGCCGCAACAAAACACCCCGACCTCGAGATCTGGCAGGACTCTACTCGGCCTTCGCCACTCTTTTCTTTTCCCCCTTTCGTATAAACAACACACGATTACGCAACGGCAGCACGAGCTGCCAGACCCACCTCGCGAGTACGGACGAACCCACCCCGCATAATGGACGCGACTCCCGCAAAGAAGGTTGTGGAGCAGCCCAAGCGGCGGGCTTGCGACGAGTGCCGTAGGCAAACCGGGAGCCCCACTCATTGTTGCTCTGTCTGACAGACTTACAGGAGGTAGAAAGCTCGCTTGTTCCAAGGAGGTCGATGGATGCGCTCGCTGCAAGCGCGAGGGTATCAAATGTGTTTATTCCGCCCAGAAGCGCATGGGCAGGCCGAGGAAGCATCGGGCTGCCGAGGGGGCAGAACCGTCGCCTCCAGCCGCCAAATCAACCGAGTCACCAAAACAGGAGGAGATACAATCGATCATGGCCCCGAATTTCGAGTTCGACAGCACTCTCGGCATGGATTTGGACCTCTCCTTCCTCGACATGAACAACATGGACATGAACTTCCTCGAGATAATCGATCCCAATATTCAGTTCCCGCCCGCTCCTGCTCAGATTGGTTCGGATCAAGAGCCAGCCGAAAATGGGAAACCACTTGGGCAACGCCAGCACCCGGGTTCATTCTGGCCCATGAGTAGCAACCTATCCGACATCAACTTCGACGAGCCCACCGGCCCCACTGCGACGCCCGCACCCGAGATCACGGCAGAGGAGGTCAACCAGCTATTCTCAGGCGAACTCGACACACTGCCCAGCCTCTCCTCGCCCTCATCGAGCTCACCGAGCACACACGACTCACCTCCCGAGCAAGACAGCGCCAAGTCATGCGACTGCCTCTCGGCGCTCTACCTGGCCCTCAACTCCCTCCAGAACCTTCCTCAAGACGTCTCCCAAGCCATGCATGTGGCTCGCACCGCAACAAAAACAGCCCACGACACCATCCTCTGCCCAAACTGCAGCAACCCGCCGCTGGAACCAACCGCCATGCCTCCGATACAAGCCCTGCAAAGCCTCATGATGCTCGGCGCGCTGCTACCCTCCGTCTCTAACGCGTACATGCGCATTCTGACCATGGTCGACGCCGAATCCGCCGAAGCTGACGCTAACCGGCGCAAGATCCGGTTCACGCTGACCGCGTACGGCGGGTTGTGGGGGTGGGCGGCTCAGGCTGAACCAACCAAATGCGGGGCGGCGGAGCGGCTCGAGGGCGCCATGCTGGAGCCGATCCTCTGGCGGCTGACGGTGCGCGCGCTCCTCAAGATGGACGTGTACGGCATCAACGAGCTGACGCCGGGCGTCGACGACGACGAAAACGCCCGGCAGCCCGGCCTCAAGGATATCATCAACATGATGGAGGAGCGCTCGCGGCAGCGCCACGAGCAGATGGATGCGATGGTAGCGGCGGGTCTTGTGCTGAGCTCGAATTGCCAGCATGTCTCGCTGTCGTCGGGCGAGAAACCGACATGTATGCGGATTATCGACATCGCCAAGAGGTCGATGGACGATCTCGTCATTCCTTGAGGGCCGCCTGGTTACCTCTGGACGAAGACAAAAATCTTCCTTCCGAGAGACGGATAACCGGCTCCCCTTCACGTCAGCGAGGGGCGGCGGCCTAGTTAACGACGTCACGAAAACAACCGAAAGGGGAGGGATAATTGCCATACCGCAGGCCCTCATACTAAAACAAAGTACGAAGCGCCGCGCCGAGGGAAGGAACACTCTCTTGGGGGACTGGATACCAAAACACCTCACGTAGGAACGAAGGAGACCCCACTAGTACGGTCTTGGTATGGCACCGCTCGACATGCTTCTTCAGCAATGTGATACCAAGAACAGGCAGAAGTCCTGGGCACGTTCGGTCGTTATATCGAACGGTATATGTACGACAACACGAGACGGAACCACATAATGGATGCGTCGGGCGGGAGGCAGATGTAGAGGACGACGAGGGGATGTCTCTCGGTCGTGTCGTTGTTAAGGGTCATATGTTGCAATGTCTTGACATTTGAGGAACAGGAAGCAGGCTTCTTTCAAGCGCATGTATGCTAAACCCACAAAACACTACAAATAGAAGCAACACCACTCAAAACTCCGTGACCCAAAATTTGCCCGTTGCGCATTTGTGCTGTACTTTTTCTACATCAAAATGGGTTCCACGCCGTGAAATGATGCAGAGCCCAACCGATGACCTCCTCCGCAACCACCCCTAACCAATCTCATCGGACAGCCCGTTCTCGGACTTGTCCCGGATCGGACCGCCCAGTGTATCTTTCTGCGTGCGATTTGCCATGACCTCGGAAATCGGGTGCGCGAGATATGCTTAGTAGACCTTCTTCTTCTCGTCGATGCTGAACTGGCCCGGGCCGCTGTTGACGAGCAGCAGGAGACCGCCAACGATGGACAGGATCTGGAAGAAGTCGTACTTGGCGAAGTCCTTGTGCGGGTGGTGCTCGTGGAGCTAAATCAAGCCTAGTCAGCAAATCGCTCTCTTTCTTCTCACACTCACTCTCCCCGCGGGAACTAGGTTACTCACAGTCCAGAAGTTGTTCACGAGGATGTTGAACACGCTGAGGATCACCACCAGCAGGGTCGCGCTGAACTTGGCCTTGAAGCCGACGACGACCATGACGCAGGCCATGAGGCCGATCAACGAAACAACGATGCGCCAGACAGACCACTGGCCGCTGAAGACGAAGCCGACGAACAAGAAGATGAGCAGGACGCGGCCGGCGAGCTGGAAGTACATCTTGCGGTCCTTCTCCTCGAGCTGGGGCAGGCCGGCGAAGGCCTTGGTCTTGCGCACCCACGAGTCGGACAGCACCATCAGCAGGCCGCCCATGACGGACAGGTTGCGCAGGAAGAAGTTGAGGTCGAAGATCAGCCCGTACCCGAGCGCCTGCGTGATCACCACCGCGATCAGCCCGCCCACCGCGCGCTCCGAGTGCTTGCGGATGATCACCAGCGTCGAGCACGCCACCATGGCGATCACGTTGAGGATGAGGAAGAGGTGCGTCAGGCCGGAGGGGACTGCGGAGGAGGGGGCGGGTTGGTGGTTAGCTATGGGGTGGGAGAGCTAAAAGGGGGGCGGGCAGGATAAGCCCGGGGGAGGAGGGACGCACTGTGGCGGTAGTCGTGCAGGTACAGCAGCTGGTCGTTCCATTGTGTTATTATTCTCACCGCGTCCTCGATGAAGGTCACGACGATCAGGAAGCGGCCGATGGCGGGCAGGTAGCTAGACGGGGCGTCAGCGGATCCGGGAAGGCTACCAAGGAGAACAAGCGGGCGACGACGCACGGCTTGATCGGCTCGCTCAAAGTGTCCAGGAGGTCCTCGACCTTGCTCGTCTGCTGGCGGATCGCATCGAGCGGGCTCTGCCCCGTCTTGTCCTCGGACGGTCCCCCGAAGGGACTCGGCGCGGCCATGCCGTAGCTACCCGTTCCTCGCATCTGCGCCATTGTCGCGATCGGTTGTTGCGGAAATCGGGGGGAATTCGTCGGGCGGGTAATCGAAAAGGTGGCAGACCGGCTGGCGCAATTGGGCTGGTTCTGGCGATTGAAAAAGGGGAGAAGGACGAAGCGCTAGGGAAGGGAGGGAAACGGAGACCCGAGGGGTTGGCGGGCCAGGGGTTGCGAAACGGCGATGGCAAGACACGACCGGAGACAAGGTCTTTGTAGGGTAGCTGCTGGTGTACTGCCCAGGGTCGGAAAAAGAGAGGAAATTCGAAAATGGTGGAGCGAAGGCCCCCAGACAAGCTCAGCAAGCTGGACGACAAGAAGCTATAATTCGCCGGCGAGAGAAGTGGTGGCGAGCGGGATGTGAGGGAGGGAGATCCGCTAGGTTGTCTTGTTGCTCGGAATTTGAGGTTTGCTGAGCTCAGACCGACGATGGTGGTATTCACAACTGTGTCCTTAACCAACCGCAAACCCACTGGCGTGCCGCATCAAGGCGATCGCCACGGGCTGGTGGGTCGGTATCCTTCGCTTGCCGATACCTCAATTTGCAGTGTTTTATTGGCTGGCCCGAGCGTAGCCCCTAACAAAGATACCTGGGAGTTGGGCGAAGCACCTGCGGATCCTCCGAGGTGCAACCCTTCAGACGAGAGAAGAAGAGCTCATCCCTCCACAACCTGGAAACCCGGCTCTCGGGCAGGATAGATGAAAACGATCGGTTATGGACTCGGAATCCGAGTTCCGTTCAACTCCGCAGGCGTGACTTATTCTCCCTATACAGCCCGTTTACCCGGATGCTCTGGACACGGGTGCAAGAGGCCACGAGTGTCTTCTTTCTTGTCTCTTTTCTTTGACCTGGGCTGACTTCGTAGGGGGTGCAGCGCGGAAAACATCCGGAGCTGATTCCCAAAGCATAAAGAGGGCCAAAGACGATTGGCGGGGTCTGGAGATCTTTGAATCCCCGAGCTTGGCCCCATCCTTACCCTCAATGGAAGTATCCGGACCTTGCCGGCGAAACCTTGAGACTTTTGAGACGGTGCTTCTCGGGACATCGCTCTACACAGTATGGCATATACGATTGGAATATTTATTCTCTTTTATGAATTATTTGAAACCAAGCCGGCCATACTCAATGCCGCGGTTGCTTCAATTCCTTCCTCCTCTCCCTCAATCGCATTCCGGAGACCCCGCAGATGTTGTCACATTCCAAGTCCAATTGTCTTGATTTCCGGTTGAAGTTACACAACGTCGAGGCCGGCACTAACTAACCCATTGTGCCAGCCGGTTAACCCGCGCTGAAGATCTGACATCCTTCGGCTAGTCATATGTGTCTTACTTACTGTCCAGCTTCCCTTGAGCTGAAACCAACTATTCCGAAGGGCTTCGGTATCAGTAGAGCAACAGTCTACTTAGTACTTGACTTGGAGGACGTTGGCGGCCGACTGGGCCACCGTGACACACAAGCAAGCAATCGTCGATACGGTGCTCTTAAATAACCACCAACGAAACCCAACACGAGGTGCCGTGCGCCTCCTCCCTGCGCCATGTCACTTATCCCGCAAGACAGACTGGCAAGGGAGAGGAGGGCAGAGTACATACAAGGACAGGTTACACGGTAGTGTGCCGCATGGAAGCATCCCAACAACCAACTGGCCCAAACCTAAGGCTGGCTGACCATTAGGCCACGTGCCGTCTCACGACACCTACCGGCTGTACGGCTGCGGCTCGGGCAACAACGTCAAACAAGTGAATGATGACTGACAAATATCAAGAATACACCCAACATCACGACAGGATGGAGTTTGCCAAAGGCAGGCGCGAAGCCCCGAGTGTCTTGCTAGGACCATTCCATGTTAGGTATCTATAAACCATCTCGTATTTTCAAGGACATGCAACCCTCCACACGTAAACAATAAGTAGGGAGCCCGCATTATACAAGGAAGGATATCTGATTTAGAAGGACGAAAGAAAAGACCTAAGCCACAACCAACCCAGCTCTAGCATATCATGGCTTCGCGCCAGGCCTGCCCATCGTGGCCTGCCGTCTACGATTCCCTGCCCTGATGATACCCCGGAGGCGGCGACTGTGTCGGCACAGGCGCATCCCCCGTCGGCAACTCCACCGGCGCCTGGGCCTGGGGCTGGAGGAAAGGCGTGTACTGATCCGCGCGAGGCGACGAATGCGGAGACCTACACTCCCGTTAGCAGCCACCCACTTATACGGCGGGGGAAAAGACAACTCACGGATACATGCCACCCGCATACCCCTCATGCCCATGCTGCCCGGCGGGAGCAAACCCATACGCGGGCGCGGGCCCCGCCCCCGGCGGACCAGGCGACGGCGTGGTGCCCGCGTACGGCGGATACCCACCCGCACCCGCATACAGCGAGTTCCGCCCATCATACGTCGACACGGTGCCCTGGCCGGGGCTCTTGGGGTTATGGCCAGCCGCCGCAACCCCAGCAGCCCCAACCCCAACCCCAACCCCAGCCGCATTAGCATAGTTCGCCTCGACCATGCCCGGCGACCCGGGCGCGGCAGCGCCGCCACCCGTGACTGCAGCGGCCCCCGCGGCCGGTAGCGCCGACTTGCGGTACGCCTTATCAAACCCGCCGCGGCGCCCGCACAGATACACCAGCGCGGCGGCCAGGATCAGGACCGCGGCCGCTCCGATCGCAATCCCCGCGATGGCGCCGCCACTCAAACCACCGCCACCACCACCGTCGTCGTCGCCGCCTTCGCCGGGCGGCGGGCCGCCCGGGGTCGGGGTCGGCACGGGGGTCTCGGAGGGGAAGGGCTCGCCGGGCATGAGCTGGTAGGTGGCGTCCTCGGCGTACTCGAGCTGGCGGGCGAGCGACTGGGTGGCGTTGGGGTTGATGACGCCGATCATGTGGTAGTCGACGCACGAGTGCGGCGCGGCGCAGTAGAAGAAGATGGGCTCCGTGTCGTTGACGCGGACGGTGTAGGAGGGGGGCTTTTGTTGTGTGTTTTAGTTAGTAAGGGGGTTGAGGGGTGTTGAGGTTGGAGATGGATGGATGGCGGGTCAGGTGCTTACGTCGTTGGAGATGACTTGGGGCGCAAAGATGCCGGTGTAGAAACCCGGCTTGTTGAGGTTGGCGTACTCGTAGGGGATACATGGCCACCCGAACTCGGCGCGGGCGACGCGGTCTGTCCCCGGCGGTGTTAGCTACCTTTGTCCTATCCTGACTTGGGCGCGTGGAGGAGCTCGGAAGCATAAGAGTTGATCTTGGGAGCCCCCCGGAACCCGCGAGAGGAATGAAAAGAAGTGCGGGCTTGACATACGTGGATTGTCCCCGGCAGGGTAGAAGGTGAATTCTGGTTGGTGGTGTAAGTCGATCAGTCTCATCAAAAGGGATCAATGACTTGGGACTCACTTATGATGTCGCCGACCTCGGCTGTGGCGTTATTCGGAGTGAAGACATGGCCGTTCTGCAGCGTTATCAGTCATTGCTCTAGGTCAATAGCTGCTATTTGTCTTACCGCCCCGACTGCTATGGTATGTGTTGCTGGTCCGGACGAAGCGGAGGTCGTCCTTGATCCTCCCGATGACCCTGTGTTTGTCGGGACTGGTTCTGGGTCGTGTTGGGCCGCTACCGTGACGGCTAGGGCGGCGAGCACGCCGATTACTTTTCGGGCGATCATGGCCGTGATGTTGGAATTCCAACTCGGTGACGATATGGTTCAAGGTTGAGTGCCAGAGCGCAACCAACAAAAACAGAAACAGAACGGAAAGACAAACAAAGGTGGCGCGCAGTCTCCTCCTTCTAATATGGGTACCTCAGCCCACTTGGTGCCCTGCCTGCAGGAAAGCTGTTGGTGGTCTCGACAAGGGGCCGGGTGGCTTGTTGGCTGTGGGATGTGCAAGCCTGGTGGGGAAGCGCAGCTGGACCCGTACAACAAACGACCTGCTCGTTTGGTTCTCAAGCCCGGCGGCAGACGAACTCGGTGTGCTGGTTACATCAAGCTGACAGGAGCAGACAAAAGAGCATTGGGTTATGTCAGAATCTGGGGAGTCCTCATATTTCTATGGTCAGAGTGGCGGCATGGAGGGGCCGAGCAACACCGGGCCAGACAAAGCTGCCATGTGTATGTAAATCCCGATTTGGATGGGCCCTAGACGTCTGCTGGAGTCGCCGACAAAGCCCAAAACAAAGGCTGGAGTGTGGTGGCGCCATCCCGCCCTCGAGACACGAGGAAGAGGAAGCATGCTAGCGGCACGGAAGAAGAATGCTTTCAAGCAACGTTGTGTGTTTGGCACCGTGGGCACTGCAGTGTATTCTCGGGCAATCCGCGTCACACGAAATCGGGCCGCCGGCCAGTCAATGGGCAGCAAGTGCCGTATCCTCGCTTCCAACCCAGTGGGAATACCCATCGGCGGGAGTCGGTAGTGGGATGCATCCATCTCAACCTGAGACTAGGCGCCGCCAGGCGCAGCGCGTTAGGTTGACGACGTTGCTATTTAGACCAAGTCCGCGAAGGTGCTGAGTGTCAGCAAAGCCGCAGGGCAGGGCTGAGGCGGTCGCCACGAGGTCGTTGTCTTTCCGGACTCCATTCTTAGCTGGCTGTGTGCCGAGCAACACCCCATTCCGGATGTTGGTTGAAAGGCTGAGAATGTGCCAAGAGCCCGGGAGGATCCAACCGTTGGTTGTTGTCGGGGATGCGATAGGTCGGCGGGAATGAGACGGTCTGACAACAACACACGCTGCGGGTCGATGTCTGCTGCTTTGCCCGTTTCTCGCCCCCATATCAAAACTCGCGCGGAGGTTGTTTATTTAGAGGAGGCTGCCGGCCTCGAGCCGGAGAGACTTTTTGAAGTGAGGGTAGCATGATGGCTCCCTTTTGAGGGGCCTTAAAGCGTCAAGAGCTTTGGTTCGCGTCTCGCCAACGGTTGGTCCGTGGTTGGCCAGGATCTCGGTGCCCAGCCGATGATCGTCGGGCCGAGTTCAAGCATGTCGTCAAATCCCCGCGCTCCATGGATGATGGTCCGAACTCTGCATCCCATGATGCCAAGAATCCCACCGTCCGTTCTCTAAAGAAAGTTCAGACATTGAGTTAAACAACAACCTGTCTGTTGTTGAAGTCGCCACTTGCAACCGTTTGGTTTCCGAGGCATCTGGCATCCAGGCATCCCTCCCCGCTGATTGTGGCTGGGGGCCAAACAACGAGGATGGCCATCCTCTGGTGCTGATTTTTGAGATCCTTTCGGTGGATCATCTCTCTCTCATTTGTGAGTACCCGAGGAGGCGACATCCAACCGGCATTATTACCACTGGGGGTTAGAGGTACATAAATCAGTCGATCGCTCGGGGAATTTGTACAAGAAAATCGAATCGGGTATAATTCAGGGTATAAAACTGCCAGCCGCTCAGCCCACTCCACTCGCTATGCCGGGTTGACCGCCGTGACCGCCTATTGGGTCTTCGCCTTTTCCTTCTTCGCAAACCACGACCTGGGCAGGATTTCGCTCTGCGTGACCAACCTCCCCAGACACCAGAGATAGCAGAGTGAGAAGCCAGCAGCGCCGACACCGACATTGGCCACCACCCACAAGTCCGGCTTGTCTGGAGGCGGCTGAAGGGATTGCACCAGAACGTGCCAGAGTGTCATGGCCAGGTAGAACGAGCCGTGAATGAAAAGTGTGACCCATTGGGTCCAGTTGTTGCCACCATCTTGGAAATAGGCACTCAACGAAGTCGGAGGTAGGCCGAGAAGATATGCCCAGAGCAGCGTAAGCACCGCATATGGCATTGCCAGATCTACCCGCTGCAGCAAAGGGAACATGGTCCAGCAGCCGAGGAGGTTGGCGAACCCTACCCAGGCGCGAGTGGACTTGTTTAGGCCGTGGCTGCCCGCAAGCAGCAGGGTCATTGGCATCAACGGGAGCAGAACGCTCTTTTCGTGTACTTGGTAGCTGAACAGGAAGAAGCCCCACGCTGTTGAAGCGAACGCCAGGGGCAACAATTCCTTTCTCGGCCGGAAGAAGAGGACGATATTGGGAGGGGCGATCGATGCCAATGTTGCCACGAGCGCGCCGCGCTGCAACAGTTCGGCCGGGTACTGCTTAAGCTTGAAAACCACATTCAAGGCGCACCAGAAGTTGGCGACCTTGTCCTCGAATAGGCCACGGGCAAAGGGGAAGACACGGTGGACCATCTGGACCAACTGCTCTACCACGGGGTAGTAAAAGGCTTCCGTGTCGAGATAGTCGGCAAGCCCCTGAAATAACGGCAAGGGCGGACGAGGACCGTCAATATCCGGCCGGGAATCGATCCCGTGCCTCGCGTCGGAAAGAGCGCCAACAACGAGGGGAAGTAATAGGATGGCAAACGACACCACGGTGATTCCTGCAATCGCGATGAGGCGCGGCAGGTTGATCCGCGGAAACACGCAGCTCCCGAGGAGGTAGGCGAAAACCGAAACAGCGTAGTATAGAGCCATCTGCTTGAACCCAAGGGCGGCTACGAAGAAGACGGCAGCCCACAGATTGCGACCAGCGAGCATGCTGGACATGCTTGCCACCACAAATCCAAGCATCACCGTGTTGTACTGGAAGTGGACATGGTCGATGAGGATCGTCGCGGGCTGCATCAAAATGGCAACGAGAGCGACTGCGGCCGACCAGTTGGCAACGCCGTTCAGCCTGCTGTAGCGGCGCACGAAGACAACAATGGCGGGAATATAGGTCAAGTATTCCGATACGACAACGGTTGCCCTCATGAAGACCTTGAGCGTCGGGTCGTGCAAGCCGCGGGACGAGAAGAGGGCGAACCACGATGGGTCAATGAGCGAGCCGATCTTGCCGCAGAGCCAGCTGTGGTAAGCCGTCAACGGCGGGTAGTCGAGACCCCACCATTGCAGGTCATGGAAGTACCATTGTGAGATGGGAAGCTGAGTTGTGAGCTCCATCCAGTGTCTCTGGGCTTCGTAGTCTCCGAACATGGGGGGTTTCTCGAAGCCTGCGAAATTGCGAGAGGTCAGTAGCTGTTCTCGATAACCTATGAAGCTATCGAAGGTTCGGAGCAATCGCACCTGAATAACCCCACAGCCCAGCCGCCCATCTGAAGAGACCGACGGCCATCAATATCAAAGGTAGTAGTTCCCATTGCGAGACGGTGCCCCTCGCTGGCCAGAGAAAGGCCGCCAGCGGGAAGGCCGGGGCGCGAGCCATAGTCTCGACGGTGCCGACATTGTGAATGTTGCTTGTCGAATTGGCGGCCTGCTTGACTTTTCGCCTTGGTTTGTGCGGAGAAGGCGAAGGTTTAGGCATTGTCACCAAAAATGCAGCTGGAGTTAGAGAGGAGGCCGCATTGAACGCTCGGGCGGGTTGTCGTCCGTCGAGGATGGAATGGTCGGGTCCTCGAGGTTGATGTGGAACTTTTTTGGCTGACAGCAATCTGTCTGGACAGGGGTTCGGAATCCGGATGACAGCAGACGGGAGTGGATGTGGGGAGCTCCATTAGCGACAAGGGGCCGCAATGCAGCGCCCAGGCACACCGCTGTAGCGGGCCGATATCAGCTGCTGGGCCGATGTGATGTCACCCTGCTCTGCCACCTTGTGAAGCTCTTCAGGGTGCAGCGCAGCTGATAGATGCCCCTCACCTCCGTACCTTGATGAAGCATTGGGCGACTAAGTGACGGTCGACTTAAACCTGAAATTATATATCCCAAATTGACTCTTTCTAGTAAATTTAACATTATTATATCGCCCCAAATTATACAATGCCGTACCCTTTCGTCCTCTCGACGACTTCCTCCTTCTCCTTCTCGTCGAGCTTCATCTGCGAGTCGCACCCCTCGCTACCCCTCCAAGCAAGCACCCACCGAGGCGTTGTTCGAGACACGCTCAAGAAACACAAGCGCCTCCCGCCAGCTTCCCAGGCGCCTTCCCTCTCCGCCGTCACCTCGACCCTCCAAACCTATCTCCCCTACCTCTTCGCTCTCAACGCCTCCCTTTCTGGCAAACCCACACATCCCGACGAACCCTCCGTCACCCTCAAAGCCGCCCCCCAAATAGAATGGCGCCCGACCCTCTCCAGCAACCTCCTCCCCGGCCGCGAGCCCCCGCGCATAAAAATCGACTCCCTTGAGCACGAGCTCCTCTTCGCCCTCTCCACCCTCGCCAACGCCCACACCCTCCAAGCCCGCGCGGCCCTGCAGCCCCTCTACCAAACCACCACCGCGCCCGTCGGCACCGTCCAGCGCCAAACCGCCATCACCGCCGCAACACGCCACCTGCTCGACGCGGCCTCGATATACGACCACCTCTCCACGCGCACCGAATCCCCCGCCGCCGCCTCCCAACCCAGCCCATGCGCCGACATCTCGCCACCCGCTCTACGCGCACAACGCGCCCTAGCCCTCGCGGAAGCAACCCTACTGGCCGTGCTCAAGGACGACCCCTACCCGGCAGCCGTCGCGCAGACGCGCAACCCGCACGACACGGAGTGGATGTACAAGTCGCCCGACATCCCAAAAGTGCGCGCCCACCTGTTCGCGCGCCTGTGCCTGGCCGCGGCCGAGCACGCCGCGCAGGCCGCCGCGGGGCTGGCGGGCTCGGGGAGGGTGAATGAGGGGTTCATGCGGTATGTGGAGGATCTGCGCCGGGCGAGCCGGGCGCGGGCGTGTCGCTTCTTTGCGATCGATGCGGAGCTGGGCGGGGAGACGGGGACGGGGATTGCGTGGTTGAGGGCGGGGTTGGGGGAGGTCGGGGTGGAGAGGAAGGGGGGCGAGAGGAGTGGTGGTGGTGGTGGTGGTGGGGGGTTGAAGGGGTTGCGGAAGGAGTGGAGTGAGAGGAGGGAGGATAAGAAGGTTGAGAGGGGCCTGGACTGGGGCGCGGATGGAGGGCGGCTGGAGGAGACGAGGGTGCTTGAGATGTTGGAGGCGAAGTGGGTGAAGCAGAACGATACTGTGAGTTGCCGTCTTCTCTCCTCTTGTGGCCCGTTCTAACGTCTATATCTTCCAGATGCTTACACAGCCGATACCCCCTATCGGACCGCTCCTCGCCCAAATGCCATCTGGGCGTGAGATCCACTCTATTAAGCCATTCCAGCCACCATTATTGAGCCCCGAGACTCTCGAGGCGATGAGGGCACCGCCGGATAGGTCGGACGAGTTCGGCAACTATCCTAGTTCGGACGAGGAAACAGCAATTGGCTCGTCGACGTTTTCTGGGCGGCCAGCAGAGAATAGGACAGGGACACCAGGTTATTATTAGCTCACATCCCCCTGTGGACCGGGATACGGGGGCGAGGTCGGGTTGTGTCGGGTATGGATATCACCATCCCTATACTAATAGGCTTGGATGGAGAGAAGAAAGTTGGACGGCCAACAGACACATATTGTATTAAACTCCTCAATCAGATACCATTTTGAGACCTCAAGACGCCTAAATCGTGCCAGTGACCATGCGCTAACCCAGAATTATGATACAACTCCTCCATGTTTTACCCCGATCTACTCCTCCTCGTCATCATCCTGGATGACGCGCCGTCTGCGACTCCTCGAAGCGTCGGCATGACTCGGACCGTCCTCATCGCCCTCGGCATCCTCATCCGGCTCGGTGGTCCTCTGGCGCTTCGCCCGCGGCCTTTCGTCCTCTTCCTCCTCATCATCCAGCAGCTCCTCTTCTTCTTCATCCTCCTCGACCGCCTCACTCTCTTCCTCACTGTCCACCAAGAACCCATCTTCCATATCATAGTTATCCGTTCGGCGCGAGCCGCTCGGGAGGTCATCGTCCGAGTCGTACTCAGGCCGACGACGCTTCTGCTTGGCGCCCCCCGGCGCACCGCGCTTCCTCCCGGCACCGGGCGCGCCGCGCCGGCCCTCGAGGTCGCCAACAGACAGCGCACCGCCACCCTTATACCTGGCCCCAGTACCGTCGGAGCGGGCGGCGGCCGTCTCGCGGCGGCGCTGCAGCTTGTTACGCTCCTTCTCGGCCATCTCGGCCTGCTTCTTCAGAAGCTCCGGGTCCTCATTAGTAACGATGATCATCTCGGAGCCGCGGTCCTTCTTGGCGCCCGCCAGTTCCGCCATCAACCGCTCCAGCGCGTGGTCCTGCAGCTCCTTGTTCGGACGGACTGTGTACTGCTCTGTGAGGTGGCCGACGATGAGCAGAGAATTAGTCGTCAAATGGGCGGCCGCCGCATAGTAGTGCGCGTCCTGCACATCGCGGTAGGGTTTGTTCGGGGGCGGGGCGAGTCGTTTGCTCTGGATCTCGTAGTGCTCGTCGCCGATGGCGAGCGTGACGGAGCCGTCGCTCCAGCGATACATGTTGGCGTTGCTCTGGATGCGGCCAGTCTTGGGATCGCGGCGGCACATTATGGAGGGGATCGGGTTCTCGGAGCTGGCGTTGTCGAGGTCCCATTCGCTCGGTCGCCACTCGTCGGCCTTGTATTCCATTGGGTTGAACTTGATGAAATCGGGAACTCGGAGGGTGTGTAGCTGAGGCAATTGTCAATGAAGGCTGCGCTTAAAACTTGCTTGACGGCCGTGACTTACACCACCGTCCTTGGAGCGCGGCGTGCGGTGCCGATACAAAGGAACCTCGGAAACCAGCTTCTCACGAAACTCGCGAGGCTCCTCATCCTCATCCTGACGGCGCCCGTCTCCTTCGTCATCTTCCCGATCCGACACAATCTCCCGGTCGCTCACAGCCTTCTCAATGTCTGAAAGCGCGTCGTCGCCGTCATCTCCAAAAAGATCGTCACCTCCCTCGTCGGCAATATCGATGGGCTCTTCAGAGTCGGACATGTTGGCGGTCGGTTTGGGAGATATGGAAGATGGGTTCCAAGTCAGAAGCGGCAGGGGTAATTCGGAGTGTGGAAATCTTGAGGGTGTGCGGAATTCCAACCTCGGTCCTCGAGGAGTGATGGGAGCGTCGCGTAGCTCTCTCCAAGGAGCGGATGAATGCGCGATTCTCAATGCAACTGCTCTGCCTCGACCGAGACCAGACCAATGGCACCTTGCTGACTCAGCTACCTTTGACCCCTGTTCCTTCGATAACGATAAGGGGAAGTGGCGCTGAAACAGCGGGGATCTGTCAAACACCCAAAGAGTCGGTGCGCCGAGGACCTGGGCTGCAGCCCGAACCAATTCACCAGTAAACAATTTCAAGACGACCCATCCAGGCGAGCTACCTAACAGGAAACAGCAGTTTGTGGACTATTCCCAGTCTCCCGTTAGCTTCTTGGGGTTCTGTCTATTTTTTACCCACTGCCTTTCTTTTAACTCGAAGCGACAATGTCTAACCTTTTCTCTGGAATGTGAGTTTCGGTCCATCAGGTCGATTTCATCCACCGCTTCCCCGCAACAACACCCAACTCCAACCATACCATCCACATCGGGCCTACCTATCCAGCCCGCCTCAACTCAGCCGTGCATAAGAGTGAGGCAGCCGCTTCTACTGTTTCCCCCCCAAGAGCCCATATTTATTTTTCCCAGTCTGGGGCAAGTGCTTGCTACCTTAGTTATTCTTAGACGTGTCTTTAAATATCCCCGGTTCCAAATTTGTCGCTTCGATCAGGGGTAGTGACCCGCGGGACCCCTCTTGTTGTTTCACTCAGCATTGTGAGAACTGTCCGTTCTTCATTCTGACCTGGAAGGAAAGCTCCCCTTCCGTTCACGCATAGAATCCACCAGCGTGGTTCATTGCATTTGACACAGTATGTTTGACCAAAAGCAGACCATGAGGGGTCTCATCTCCTTAACTATTGGATGCCAGGCCCTGTCACTTCATCCAGCCCAACAGCCTTCCTGGTTAATAGCACTGCAGCTAACTGCCGAAACAGCAACGCCCGCTTCCGTGGCCAGAGGAGTCCGAACTCGCCGGGCACGAGCTCTCCAACTCCCGAGCATCAATCATTGCCACAGGCACCGGCGCAGGCGCAAGTACAAACGCCGGCACAAGCCCCGGCTCAATCCCCAGGCAACCCTTCCCAAGGGCACCAAGGACACCAAGGAAGCCACTCTTCCTCCTCAAATCTTGCGGTGAAGCTCCCGCCGCTCCCCACATCGCCATCGCTTGCTGAGACCATCGGCATGGACCAGGCTAGTGGCATGGTGCCGTCGGCTGAGGAGGTTCTTACCTCCTACCACCTCCCTCCGGCAAAGCCCTTATGGCTCAATGCCAACTATGCGAAGCACATCGTCAAGGGCAACTTCTTGACACTCAGTGCAAAGCCCAAGACGGTTGAGATGGGAGAGTGGATTGCACACCAGGGTATGTGATTTTGGCGGGGCACTGAGACACGCGGCTAATGCGTTTGGCAGTTGTTGACCACTGGAGGATGTTGATCACTTTCATCCGCCTCGTCCACGACAAGGAGGAAGATGGCTCTTCGATCTGCAACTCTAGGAGATGTTCCAAGATGTCCGCGGGAGGGTGAGTCCGTCACAAACCGCTTGACCAGACTCTTCATACTGACTCAGGCAGGAACCACTCGTTTACCTGGCTCAACTCGCGCTACCAGCCCGTCGAGATTCCGGCATACGAGTACTTGACGCTCGTCCAGCGGTACATCTCGGGGAAGATTGACGATGGGACCATCTTCCCCACGGACCCGGCCGGAGTCTCATACGCCGACAACCTGGCCTTCTGCACCCCGGCGCCTGAATCTGGCCAGGATTGGGTGGGCAAGCGGAGTGGCTTCCCCCAGAACTTTATGGAGACGTGCCAGACCATCTTCCGCCAGATGTTCCGCGTCTATGCGCACCTGTACTGGTCGCACTTTGACGACATGTTCAGCCTGAACCTCGAGAAGTCGATGAACAGCTGCTTCAGTCACTTCATCCTGACGGCAACCACGCTGAACCTGCTCAAGAAGTCGGATCTCGAGCCCATGCAACCGCTAATCGACCTCTGGGCGGCGCTTGGAACGTTCCCGCAGGGATCCAAGGCTTTCGAGATCGCCAACCTTCAAGTTGGGCAACTACTGGTCCAAAAGGCAGGAGGGCCACCGGCGAACTAATGAGGGCCATTGAGTCGAAGTGTGATGGTGGTGGATCAAAAGGTTTTCTGCATAGCAGGCGAGGTAGGCTAGATGTGCGTTGTGCGGCACAACCAAGAAGCATTTGGCGGTTTATAGCAGCAGGTTCTAGGACGCAGTCAGGTAAATACAGAGCGAATACCCTATGGGCTAGCAATATGAGCATAATTTGGTGGTCTCGTTCACTGTCATTCACATGGTAGATTTGATGCTCTGTGCAAGCCCGTTGATTCAACTCCACCCATACCAGTAGTGGAAAAGAGGTTGTCCCCTCCTACGCAACAACTTCGCTCACTAGATACTCAACAATGGTCGGCTTTCCGGCTTCGATGATAAACCGCCCAGTCCCAACATACACCTTGTTCTCCAGCACCGCCAACTCCCCGCCGCCAGTCTCGAATTCTACAACGGAGACTTACAAGCAAATCCCCCAGGTCAGCATCACAGCCAAAACGAGTGCAAAACAAAAAAAGAAAAAGAAAAGAAGAACGGGAAAAACAAGGAAAGACTCAAAAAAAAGAAAACTCACCAGCATCCCCAAACCCCGTCGTGCCCGCCCCCTCCTCCCCCCTCAACACCCGGCCCATCGCGCCCGTCGTGTCGACCTTGCCGCGGTAGGTAAAGCGCACCAGCGCCCCCGTCACCGCGTCCCGCGCCAGGCTCTGCACGTCCAGCCGCGCCTGCGTCCCGTCCGCCGACACCCGAATGAAGTCGCCGCCGTGCTCGATCGCCGCGCGCAGCTGGATGGGGTAGGATGGTTCGGATACGATGCTGCCGCCGGTGGAGGCGAGGGGGACGAAGACGAGGGAGGGGGAGACGGGGGTGGGGGTTTGGATGACGACCTATTTGTGGTTGGGGGGGTTGAGTTAGTGAGGTTGGGTATGGTGCGTGGTTTGGTTGCTGTGGGTTGCTGTCTATGGGTGCCCGCTTACCTGGATCGTGAAGGCGGGGATGAGCTTGGGGAAGTTGGCCATGGTGAAGAGTTGTGGGGGGTTGAGTTAGTTACGGCAAGGGTGATGTGTTATGAGTGAAAGACACAGCCGGTGAAGGGGAGTAGTGAGAGAGATTGTGGGATGGTGATGGCCGTTGAGGTCTGTCTATTATATATCCGCATACTCGAGTGGAGAGGGTAACTGAGAGGGGCCCTCAACCGCGGCACTCGCGGCCGCAGTTGATGCTTCCCGGTACTCTTGGCCGCCCGACCTCCGAGCTGAACAAGTACCGGCGGTTCCACAAACCCCTCCGCTATCGCCCCATCACTTCAGTTGACGGGAGATTCGGCATGTCAAGTGGCACATGGCATGGAATTTGTAGACTGCGTTTATTCCCGACGCTTGCCCATGTATGTAGTACAATCTACGAAGAGCAGCATGAAACTTGGTGGCTCACCTAAGCATGGGTGTTAGCTGTATTAGTAGTTCTAGAAGAGGAAACCCGACATACAGATTACACAGGACCTAGGTAAATAAGCAGAATCCAAGTAGAGGGGGGGACCGACATCGTATTAGGTTGTTGCAGACACACTTGTAGGTAACGTCGTGCTCGTAGCTTCTAGAGGAGGTTATGATTGTGAGAATACTCCTGACAACCAAAACTCTCAACATCATCAGGCGATCTTGAACAAATGCAGAGTCGAAGACCCATTGGGAAAGTGCCGACTGCCTTTGGTTGTCGATGGATTTTATTCTCTTTGAGCCTCTCGTCGGCATTCGGACCGTGGGGGTTCGAGGCTGCTTTGAACCCCCGCAGTGCGGGGAGCTGCACCGAGCTGCAGTGCAAAGACCCGCTGGCTTCTCCCCAGGTAGCCAATCAGTAACCGCTGATTCAATGCAGCATCCGCGAGTTTGGCTGACATCACCAGTAAGTTGGAACCTTGGCCACCCACCTCACCTGCCACCCTACATGGAAGCCGACCAGCCGATCTTCAATTTGCCTCTCAACACCACATAATTTTCAATTATGCGACCGCCCTCCATCTTTTGCGGACACCACCGGCCGCCAACCCCCTAATCAGTTGAATCGAGCGACCAGCGACACCGCCACTTTTGAGACCAGACCGGGGCCCAGGCGCAGCACTCGGCCGAGCCTCCGATCTTGCACTTTTCAATCCACGCTTGGACGTGGCCCCAATCACACTCGCAGCTCTTCTTGTCTCCTCCTCCACATTGCCCATCATTCGATACCCTATTACTAGATCGGCCAGCCTCAGAAACCAAAGTCGAGTTTGGCCCCCCACGTGCCCGGGGAGCGACATCGACGTCGTCGTTCGTTGAAACACGACAGGGACCGGTTAGGCCCGATTTGCTAGCCTGCCTAGACCCGCTGTCTCGGTTTCTTGTCCCAATGGACTCGCAAAGACGACAACCACTTCCGGAGATATCCGGCTCAGCGTCTGCTCACACAACAAATCCCCCGTCCTCGATTGGCCACGGCCACGGCCAAAGAAGACGCAAGAACCATCGAGGGGGGAAGAAAAAGAAGCAGAGAAGGAAGTCGTTCGCGCTGCCTGCCGATGAGATAACGCAGGACAGCGTCAACGAAGAGGGGCTAGGCGAGGCCCCACCGAGCTTCTACACGCGACCGGGTCGCAACTTCAGCACCACGAGCATCGAGAGCGAAGCGCTGCTAGACCATAGGTAGAGATAGCCACCCCCCTGCGCATGTTACTCCACCCCGAGAGGCTAACCACTGGAGCTTTAGGGAGCAGCCGCCATTCATACGACCCCGACGCCCCTCCGTGATGACGACGAGCACCTCGTTCCCGGCTGCGCAACCCGCCACGAGGCCAAGGCTGGCAACCAGGGTAGACAGCGATGAAGAGGACGAGGGGGCGCCTCTCCTCTCCAGTCCAGTCTTTCAGAGGAGCGAGACAGCTCCAGGCTATGGAACGGGCGATGCTCCACGAAAGACCGGGCCCACGGGCCGGCGCGACTCGAGCATGGCGAGCAGCAGCAAAAAGAGGCGCCTTGGCGATGCCTATAATGTGAATTACCCGCCCTCGGTCCCGGGATCGCCTGCTCTCCACGCCACGGACCACATGTCCATGAGCTTTGGCGACGTGCTGCTACGCGACGATATCGACCACGGCGAGCATTCCACGACCAAGGGGAGCGGAGATGAGGATGATGAGAGGTCGCCGCTGGGCAGGAGGAAGACCATAGCCCTGCAAGCCCAAGAAGACGTTTGCTTCCCGCAAGAAGGCCTCTCCGAGCTTGGCGATGACGAGCGTAACGTGCGTGATACCGCGTACCGGCCCAGGCCGCGAAGACGGCGTGGGAAATGGCCCGATCTTTCCATTTTGAATGAATGGAGTCGATTCGAAAAGGAAGGCCGAAGTGAGGAGCGCCGTGCGAAGAGGATCACAGAACCGCAACTGATCGACGGGAGGCTGCGGCCTGTCCACCGGGGCTGGTTTCAGGCCGAGGAGGCAGCGCCCTATCGCTTCACTTATTTCAACGAAGAGTTCCAAAGCACCATACACAGCCAATCCATTTCAGAGTTGGTGCAACCAGGGGGCACATTTCGGGAGCTTTTTGTACCCGACCCGCCGGTTCTCTCAGACAGCTCCGACAGCGACGAGGAGGCAGAACCAGACATCGATTTATATCAGGTACTTGGAGGACAGGGCGGCGACCCGCTAATCCCTTCGCGGCAACCATCGCTAGCGACCACAACCCACGAATCTGAGCGGAAACACTCGACCAACAGCGAGGCAACCAAAGCGGATTCGAATGGGCACTTGCCCCCAGGTCTGAAATCTCCAGCAGACCCTTTGAAGTCGGCGCAGAATGGGAAGCCGCCAAAACCCCTTAGATATGGAGATCGTCCGGTGTGGTGGCTGGATATTCTTAGCCCGACCGAGGCTGAGATGAAGGTGATCTCTAAAGCCTTCGGGATACACCCGTTGACGGCTGAGGATATCATGATGCAAGAGCAGCGAGAGAAGGTAGAGCTCTTTCGCAACTACTATTTCGTCAATTACCGTTCTTTCGACCAGGACCTGGCCAGTGAGAACTTTCTCGAGCCCGTCAACATGTACGTTGTCGTGTTCCGGGAATGTGTTCTCAGCTTCCACTTCTCGGTAACACCACACCCAGCCAACGTACGACGACGCATCCGACAGCTGCGGGACTACCTCATCCTCTCGTCAGACTGGATCTCATACGCCATCATTGACGACATCACCGACGCTTTCGGGCCACTTATCCAGAACATTGAAGATGAAGTCGATGACATAGACTACGCAATCCTTCAGATGCATTCGGAGGAAGACCAAGCCATGAGAGAGGAGAAGCGGCGACTCAACGAGAAGTCCGACTCGGCCGAGGTGAAGTCAGCCGAGGCCGGCCGCGACATGCTCCGGCGGGTCGGAGATTGCCGCAAGAAGGTCATGTCGCTATACCGGCTGCTCAGCAACAAGGCGGACGTGATCAAGGGCTTCGCCAAGCGCTGCAACGAGCACTGGGAGGTGGCACCGCGATCCGAGATCGGCTTGTACCTGGGCGACATTCAGGATCATATTGTGACCATGACTTCGAACCTCGGCCACTACGAGAAGTGAGTTGCTCCTCCGCCTTGTCAAACCACACATACAACACGCTAACTAACGGGTTCATCAGGATATTGGCTCGCTCTCATGGGAACTACCTCGCCCAGATCAACATCCGCATGAACGAGCGGCAGGAACAGACGGCCGATGTGCTCGGGAAGCTGACCGTGCTGGGCACCATTGTGCTGCCCATGAACATCATCACCGGCCTGTGGGGTATGAACGTGTGGGTGCCGGGACAGGAGTACGAAGGCGACCTCAACTGGTTCATTGCCATCACTGCGGGGTTGCTCTGCTTTGGTCTGGGGTGCTACTGGATTGCGAAGAGGGTGTATCGCATTGTTTGAACCGGCGGGATAGGTAGGTAATAATGGGCCTTTGGGTTTAGGAGCGAGAATCGCTTGCTTGGGTTTGTATTGAATGCGTGCATACATACGGCATATACATACGGCCGCATACTTAGATGTCTATGCTGTTGGGGTGGCTAGAATTGCATATATTATGGCGTTGGGAATGGTGGATGGGCTTTGCGATGTTAGTTGCACACTCCCGGAGCGTGTGTTGACAGATAGAATGCATTCACACAAGTGCTTCATTTTCCCTTCCCGACCTATTTCATCGCGTTCCCGTGTTACTAGCAAGCTTTCAAACATGAAGTTCGGCAATCTAGGGATCACATCTCACAATCACCAGCTCCAATATCACTGCTTCGCCGTCTGAGTCCCATATATGGCATTGCTTTGCACCTCGTCATTTTTCTACCTAGCCAGCCCCATCTCCCGAACGCCAGACAAAATTGAAACCGCCGGAAGGAAACAGAGCCCCAACCGCCATGCAATCAATAGAACCCAAGGACAGCTTTCTCCCTCTTCCCCCCTCCTCGTAGCGTGCCCGTAAGAAGCCCAACCAGCCACCGCGTGGTCCGACCAGCCCAACGTGATCCTCGCGTGCCAATTCCCTCGAGTCTGCCTGCCGCCTTTAGCGACGCGTCTGCGCCGCGTAGCTCGCCCGCAGAGCCATGATCTGCTGGCGCTCCGCCTCCGGCAGCTGGTCGATCGTCTCCTGCGGCAGCTCCATGACGGCGCGCATGAGCGCCTCCGGGTCCTGGCCCGCGGGCGGGGCCTGCTGGGCAGGAGGAGCAGCAGCGGCCGGCGGCGGGATGGCGGCAACGGGCGCGGCCTGCGGGGGAGGTGGGGCGTAACCGCCGGGTGCGGCGACGGGGGGCGTGCCGGTGGCCGGGGCGCCACTGCCGTAGGCCGCCGCGGCGGGGATGGGGGCGGTGCCGGGCTCGACGACCGAGTTGATGGCGTCGGGGGAGACGAGGCCCATGATGAGGAGGGCCTGGAAGATGGCGTAGCTGAGCTGGGGCGCCTGGGCGAGCAGCTCGGTGGCGCGGGCCGGGTCCGAGGTGGCGAGCGTCTTCATCTGCTGCAGGATGTCGAGCAGCTGGGCGGGCGGGAGCGTGTTGAGCGTGCGCGAGATGGCGTCGGTGCACGACACCCCCGGCGGCAGGTCCTTGCCCTGCGGGAGCGGCGGTAGGGAGGAACCGCCTGCGCCGGCGGGCTGGATTGAGGATTGGGGCGCGTTGGCGCCGCTGCCGTTGGCGCCGGCGGGGTTGGGGTAGTTGGCGCCGCTGGCACCGGTCTGGGAGGTGGTGGTTAGTTTGATGATGGATGGGGTGGGGAGGGGTATTTTGAAGGAAAATACATACTGCGCCATCGCGATCGCGATTGTCCTCATCGCTGACCGTCTCATTGCTGAAGTCGACACGCAGTTTGCGACCCATGATTTCGTGGTCGTTGAGATTCCTGACCGCTGAAGCTGCGGAGTCTGAGAGACAAGAATATCGTTAGCTATTTGTAGGTATCGTGGAGTAAAGAGAATGAAACAAAAGGGTAGGGGAGGCGTACCGTAGTCTGGAAATTCAGCGAAGCCAAATCCTTTGGGGCGACCAGTTTCACGATCGTAAACGAGTCTGAAGTTCAGCACTCTCCCTGCACCACTAAAGATTTCTGTGATTTGCTCTTCCGTCAAGCCTTCACCCCGGGTCAGCAAAGTTCAGATCGCGGCAACCATGCTACTGTGGCTCACCATAGGGAATATTCCCCACGAACACAACACGAGATGGTTGTCGGGTCGACATTGTGTGTGGGAATTGGGCAATTGCCTGCAGAATAGTTGGGTAGATGCTACTTGTTGAAATATGTAGAGGCAATCAAGATATTGATACGTGGGAGCGATGGCACGGGGATGTGTAGTGTTGTGAATGTGAATGTCACGTCTGGGGGTCGGAAGTGAGCGATTGGGAGATGGAGAGATGGAGAGTTGATCGAAAACGACCAAGGACCAACAAAGGCAGCAGGTGACGATGGATTTATGCCAAAGCAAGTGGGCTACCGCAACAATTGGGGCTTTCCAAGCTCTCTGTCCCTTCCAACCTCACGCGAGTCTCGTGATCAGACCAAATTCAGGTAGGCAGTGTTGTTTGATGAGTGAAGTTGGTGAGTTTCTCAATGAGACCAATGATGAATGTTCGGTTGAAAAAGAGGTTGAATGGCACGTTCCAGATGATAATTACGTTACATCACGTACTGTTCAGTACCGACAGGGGTCAATTAAAGGGAACAATTGACTTCATTTGGCACACGTGAGCGAGCCGCAAGAAACGCTCGGCGCACAGGCCACCAAGCCCTTGCAAGCTACTGAAGCTCTTTCTCCACCACCGAACAAACCGAGCTGTGGGTGGACTTGTCGCGAGTCTCAACCATTGCGCCCACCACCAGCAAACATGTCGAATCGCAGCCCATTTGAGGATTACGCCAACCGGATCCGGGCCGCGGCGAAGGCTGGCGGTCGTGGAGCCCCAGGCTTCCCTGGCGGTTTCCCCGGCGGTTCTCCCCGAGGTATCGGCGCCGGTCTTGCCGGTCTTCTTTTCCTCGGTGGCGGGGCCCTCCTCTTCCAGAGCGCCCTGTTCAACGTCGATGGTGGCCACAGAGCGATTAAATACCGGAGATTGAGTGGTGTCAGCAAGGATATCTACGCCGAAGGTGCGACCCGCCACCCCGTCGATGCCGATATCGATATCGATCTCGAGAAACTAGACTAACGCGGCTGCAGGTACCCATTTGATGGTCCCGTGGTTCGAGACACCCATTATCTACGATGTGCGGGCGAAGCCGAGAAACGTCTCCTCCCTGACCGGCACGAAGGATCTTCAGATGGTCAACATCACCTGCCGTGTGCTCTCGAGGCCCGATGTGCAGTCCCTCCCCCAGATCTACCGGACCCTCGGCCAGGACTACGATGAGCGCGTCCTCCCCTCGATCGTCAACGAGGTTCTGAAGAGCGTCGTCGCTCAATTCAACGCCAGCCAACTGATCACCCAAAGAGAGATGGTTGCCAAGCTCGTGCGGGAAAACCTGTCACGGAGAGCCTCGCGCTTCAACATCACGCTGGATGATGTGTCCTTAACGGTTAGTGGCCGGTATACGTGCGGTTGCACTGGATTGCGCTAACCCGAAATGCAGCATCTCGCTTTCTCCCCGGAGTTCACAGCAGCAGTCGAGGCCAAGCAGGTTGCTCAACAAGAGGCACAGCGCGCCGCCTTCGTTGTCGACAAGGCCCGGCAGGAGAAGCAAGCCATGGTGGTCAAGGCACAGGGTGAGGCCCGGTCCGCGGAACTCATTGGTGATGCTATCAAGAAGAACAAGGCGTATGTGGAGCTGAAGAAGCTAGAGAATGCTCGTACGATTGCCGGGCTTCTGCAAGACGCAGGTGGCAAGAACAGGCTCCTCCTCGACTCAGAGGGCCTGGGTCTGAATGTTTTCGACCAGACCGAGAGGAAGTAAGGAGGCGGGAGGGTCACTTTGGGGGCAATGGACAATCTCTACTGTATGTTTAAGGGGATGTGGCGAGCAGTCTCCGTGTAACAACATGATGAATATAGGTCTGTGAAGGTTCAGATGCTCTCTTCTCCCATTAAGCCCTGTTTACTGAGTATTGGCACTGAATTTGTGCAGGAGTTGAAGCAGTCGTCTTTTCGTCGAGTAAATGGGCGATCTTGCCGATCGTTGCCATGCCGCAGATTTGAGAAGAACTTTGCATGCGCCATGCGGTGATTCGAACCACACCATTCGTCAAAATAATACTGTTCCAGTTGGAGCTCTTGCTCGCGAGGCACGAGGCTGGGAAAAGTTCCTCGAAGCGTGATTAGTGTACATACAACCGGCAGCGGAGAGGGGGTAAATTGGCCGTGCCCCCGCATTACCACCCACCGGCGTCTGCTGTGTAGCCGTATCGATAGAGGCGGCGAGGCCGGTATAAAGTTGCCAGGGCCCAGCAAGCCTAAAGATGTCAGGTTCCTTTAACAAATTAACCCCATGATAGGTAGTTGATCATTCTCTTTTCGAAGCAATGCGCCCTCTTCCTCGGCAAACGACCAGTCCCCCCGCCACCGTCTTTCCTTCCCAGATCAGCCCTGCCTCTTCTAGCAGTACAGCAGGAGACGACACAATCGTTCCAGCAGTATGCTACGATGTTTGTAGTGAGAAATATACCTTGACTATCAAGTTAATGATGCACCTGATACTGATTCCTTCACCAATATAGATAACGCCTATCGGGTATCAGCAGAAATAGGCCTCGTTCCCGAGCTTTGTGCCCCTGAATCGCCGTTTCGGCAATACCGTGATGAATGTGTCGCCTGCCTCGAGGGATACGGCCCGGGGGGAATCCCTGGCGATTTTCCATTGGGCGAGGCCATTGCCTACTGCAACACCAACCCCACGCCCAGCGTCGATTACACCATTCCGACATCGTGGCTTACAAATTCTACCACCCTGGCGGTCATCACCGTCTCCGGAATAATAGAAAATGATATCACAGGCGATAAGGTCTACACCATCGTAACGGACGTACTCGTCACGCGATCCGACTGGACCGGCTTTGATCGGAGCACCACGACCACCCCACCTACTAGTCTAACGACAGGGGTCGATGGCATCGAAACGGGCGACAGCGGTATATTCATTCGTTTCTTCTTGAAATCTGAGAGTTGCGGCTAACGCAAGGCCGAGCAGAGCCCGGCGACTCGAGTAGCTCGGGTGGGAGTCGGGCATGGATCGCTGGCCCGGTGATTGGGGGCGTGGCAGGCCTCGCTATCCTTGTGGGGATATACTTCTTCTTCGCCCGCCGACGGAAACGACCTCATAATGTGGAGGAGACGTGGTCCGGCAAACCAGAGCTACCCGCGGAGAGCGCAGCAGGGCCGCCAAAGACACTGCTGGAGGTCGAGGCCGAATCTCGACCTCCGCAAGAGCTCGATGGGGCTCAATACACGTCAGGCTACCAGCAAACACATGGGGCGCCGGCGGAGCTGGCCGCGAACGAGGTCGCTGCGCGGGAGATGGATGTGAAGAGCCCGGGTGAGGAACTGGGAGCGGAATCACTATCACGTCCACCAGCGGGGAATATATAATAAGAGGACGTGGAATTAATGAAATCGCTCCGCCGTTGGAAAGTCTGGCATGAGTTGAGGTTAGGGACCCTGGTTCCTGGTTCCTTGTTGTTTGTTAGCTGCCGAGCAACACCTGCTTCGGGTTTTAGGCGAGGGATATAACGCCGTGGTGAAAAATGTATCTTCCATAATAAATATGAATAAAATCTGAAGTACATATTAGTTATCTACACTAATAGTGCCTTCACTTTTTTTGAGATACACCGTCAGGTCGACTGCTCACTTCGTTATTTTGGCAAGAGATCTCGAGCGCAAAACAGCCGCCCCACTTTGAGCTCACTGCAGCTACCCCACTACCCCTCCTCATCGCCTTGACTTCAAGGTTCCCAACTTGCACACCTCTGCTGCCTTCAGCCTGCTTGCCACCAATCTCCCCATATTTGGACCACGCGACTGCATCCCGACCCCGCCGTGCTTACAGTTCAAGCTCCAACCAGCGAAACCCCCCTAACCTCATCTTCATCACCCCCCACCCCAACGAAAACACACCTCCTCAGCACAAGACCACACCGTTCGCCAAGATGCTCATCAAGTACGTCCCGCCGCGGTATCGATTGCCGCCTGCCCCGCCACCATTATCCCGCCTATCCCGGCCAGGGAGGACCCCTTACCCCCCGGTGTACTGACCGATCAACCCCCCGCAACCGTAGGGTCCGCACGCTCACCGGCAAGGAGATCGAGCTCGACGTCGAGGGTGGCGATCAGGTACCTTGTCCTACCCGTTTCATACTCAGGTCCCTACCAAGACGTTGACTGACCGTCCGCAAAAAATACAAGGTCTCCAAAATCAAGGAGCTCGTCGAGGAGAAGGAGGGCATCCCGCCCGCTCAGCAACGTCTCATCCACGGCGGCAAGCAGATGTGAGTTTTGTCTTTTGCCTCTGTCCTAGTGTCATGTTACTGAAAACCCGGGCTAGGGTCGACGATAAGACGGCGGATGACTACGCGCTCGTGGGCGGGGCCACGCTGCATTTGGTTCTGGCGCTTAGGGGCGGGCTATGAGGGGAAGGGGATGTGATGGGATGCGTGGCTGGGTTCTGAGTCGAGTTGGAGAGGGAAGGGGATAGAAAGTGATGGAGATTTCTGCTACCTACTACCTACCTACCCGGGCAAGACGGTGCATTAGCGTTTATTTTTGGTACTTGCTGGGAAGACGACGGACGGGAAACAGAGACTTGGTTTGGCTGCCTACCTGTGATGTGGGATGTGGAATGTAAAACGGCCCATTAGGTGGGTGTCAGCCTTGTTATCAGTTCGTTGTTTGATACGTTCGATGGTTCTAGGTGTATCTCTTCTCGCAATGGCGGTGTTAGGCTAACTGTACGGAGATGAGTACTAGCTTTGGTAAAACAAGCATAAAACGCGGCTTGATCACTCGAACTGTGGGGTTGAAGAAGCCTTATAACCCTTCCCAGACCGCTATGCATATCAGCAACCATACCCCACGAGGCTATGAGACAATGAAAGTATATATCTTGAAAACCTTAGAACATGAAACCGAAACCATGAAACCTGACCAGCAAACCACTAAACCGTTAACTCCACGCCACCCATGACCTTGCCGTATCCTCCCGAGCCCCGTTTCCTTTGCGATCCCCGTCATACCTAGCCCACCGAGACTTCAAGATGACTCCAGGTTAGCGGGAAGTAGCATCATCTCATAATCCCGGACTGGTGGTTTACGGAACATCATCGGCTATCCGTTCTCGTCGTACATCGGATTTCCCTGGGCGTCCTTCTTGTGCGGGGTCTTGGGGTCATCACCAATCGCCATCCGACGTTCAGTCGGGGTCGGCCCCTAAGGGTAGTGTTAATATCGGTCCCTGGGAACGGGGGCTGTAAAGCTGGAACTCTGGCGAGGGATAACCAGGGGGCAGTTGGGAGCTTCCAATACGAGTGGGAAAAGACTTACGTGGGGCAACGGCGCCTGGCGCTACCGTTTTGGGAGCAGACTGGGGGACATTCTTGCCCGATGGCTTTTGAAAGCGTTGGTTGGCACCCGGTGTTGCTAACAGACCCTTGCGCAGGGGTTTGGTGGGCTGCCTGGGGGCTTTGTTGGACGATAGTAAGGCAGAGGGGGTTGTCTTCTCGACACCGTGGTGGCGCTTGGTTGGCTGCTCAGTATCTGTAGCCTTAAGGCTCCGCTGGCGCTTGAGAGATTGATTAGTGGCCGGCTGAGGCATGGAACGTGGCCCCTGGCGTGATGATGAAGCAGAAGCCGCGGGTTTCTTGTGTTCGAGCTCCCCAAAAAGGTCATCATTATCAGCGTCGCCAAAGAGCTTAGCATCACCCGATAGATAATTGTCGGGACCCTCGTCGTCGCTGAAGCTGAGAACATTATTAGCAGCTGCGGCCTTTGGTTGGCCTGCATTCTTGATCTGAGATAGGCGTGCCTCGCGTTTCTCGCGGTCGTCGGGGCTGCCAGTGGCGGCCGGAGTCGGTCTGGGGCGGGGCGCTCGGATTACCGGAGGTGGTTCTGGGATTGAATTGCGATACTCCATCCTGCGGTGCTCGTCGACCATGCCGGGGGGCGGTTTCTTGATCTGACCTGGCCGGACGGGAAGTTTGCCAGACGGCGTCGGGAGCTTGAAGCACTTGGCTTCTCGGCGAAGTTGGGCCCTGGTGGCTGAGATGAAGGTTTGATCCCCACGCGACGGACCCCACCCGGACCTGACCTTGGGTTTACGTAGCTTCCCGCCTCTCTCGGCCGAGATGATGGTGGAGGCGCGAGACTGCTTTTCTTGACTGTGTGCGGCGAACCCCTGCTTCATCTTCTCGGTGGCGGCAGCGAGCTGCTCCGTGTCAAGCTGCTTGTACTTGCCATAGACCTTGTGCCACGACTTTGGGTTCTGGGGGGCGTAACCGTGCTTAGCAGCTAGTAAGGGGAAGTCCTTCGTGATAATTCGCTTCCAATGCTTTTCGGTCTCATCGTAGATGTCGTCACTGTTGAGCTCCAGAGTGTGAAGCTGCTCGGCCGACTTGACAGCCGCGAGGATTGGGTCGACATACTGGGGGGCGATCTGGCCCAGACTTTCGATGAGTTTGACGTTGTCGATTGCCACCTTGAGACTCATTTCTGCAAGAGACCGAGGGCCAAGGGGAACCTTCACAATATGGCTGGGCCCCAGGGCGGTGCCCACAAGAGCGCGCTGTTGAGCCATTGCGGGCATCTTGAAATAGACTAAGTTCGAAACAATTGAAGTGGCAAGATGATGCCGAGAAGATGAGGTTCGAAGTTGAGCTTTGAAGGTAGAAGTTTGAAGATGGGGATGGTCGGATGCTGTGCTGAGTACCTGCAGGTTGAGGGAGCAGAGATCGAGCGATTTCGAAGTCGGGAAAACGAGAGAAAGGAAAGATGGGGCGTTGGGATGGCCCAATATATATAGTTTTTCGGAGCGCCTCCGAATCAGCGACTGGGATACCTGCAGATGGTACTTTGTTGTGGCGTATCGTGCAATGTATCCAACCTTCTGGGGCGTGATTCAAAGATAGCTCGTGGCCTGATGGCGTTTCCGAGATGCAGGGTGTTGGGGGTTTGATGCCGATGTGCAGGCAGACAAACTTCGAGCATTGTTGCGCAGCTCGAGTCGCTGGTTTCACTGAGTTCTTGGGCAATTTGCCGAGCCCGTGGAAGGCGGTTTTTGACGGGAGGTAGAATTGAAAACAGTGTTGAATGAGTACCCGAGTACCCCTCAGAAAGTTTGGGTCGTCAAGAGCAGACCTGCTATAAGAATGGAAGTTGCGATGGGACACATTCAGGGGGGTCTTGCCAAATGAATGCTGTCATGTATTATGATCAGTTTCATCTGTACCTGAGGTATTGGCGGATTACCGAAGGGCCGATATGGATTGGATGCTAAAGGCGTATTTGCCGGCCCCGCGTTAGGCCTTAGCTGTCGTGGTCTTATCGAAAAGATCAGGTGGTTGGTTGTCAAAGAAGGAGCATGTGAGGTTATTCAGGTTGCCAATGCGAGCCTTGTCGCACTGTGCGAGGGATCTTGGGCCTTTGTCCTCCACGTAATCTCACACGTGTGGCATTGTAAAACGGTGCCTGTGTCCTATTAACACTGTTAGCACACTGTGTGTCATGGTTTTGCCCCACACTGGCGTGCGGCTCAAGCTGGCGTTGGACCAATCTAGAACTTTGCTCTCTGTGGATATCCGGCATCTTTGAACATCACATTGAGCAGCTCGATTGCGCTTGCCTGCCGAAGGATTGTTGTTGAATGCAAGAAATTATCACATGCCCGCTCGCGGTTTTCTACCCACTTAATCCGACAATCTCAACTTGCCTATTCCGCCAATCTTCAATTTTTGATTTTACGACCCAATAACGGCCTCAAGATGGCGTCCTGGGGCCTTCTCGACGACAAGGAAGAAACCGAGCTGCACAAGTCCCGGCTTCTTAACGTGGAAGAGAAACCATTCAAGCGTATCACCAAGCGCCTCAGCACCCTCCATTCCCTCACAATCGCACGAGCTCGCCAAGCACCGACACCACCCCCCGAAACAAACGGCACCCCCAGCCAGCAATCCCTCCAAGCCGCCGCCCCCAGCCAGCAGCAACAACGCGATGGCACGCCGGCCCCGGGCGCCGACAGCAGCGCGTCGCCCGACCTCGCGCAGCTCAAGGAGGACGTGACGATCGACTTCGCGGCCTTCGACAGCAGCATCGCGCGGCTGCAGTTCCTGCTGACGGCGAACGAGCGCGAGCGCGAGCGGTACGCGGCCGAGCGGGAGCGCATCGTGGCCACGTCGCAGTCGGTCCGGGACAACACGGTGCAGCTGCGCGCGCAGCTGGAGCAGGCGCAGACGACGCTGGCCCAGCGCCGCGAGTTCGACGCCCTCGCCGACGCCATCACCACCAACGCCTCCCTGCGCCCCCGCGCCGAGCAGACCGCCAACCTCCGCAAGCTGCGCGACGAGATTGCAGAGTTGGAGGCCGAGAGGGAGGCGTACGGCGTTACATGGCATGAGCGGAGAGAGCAGTTCGCGAGGATCATGGACGAGAGCATGCGGTTGAGGAGGTTGATTCGCGATGAGAAGGAGGAAGTGGAGAGGAGGGAGGGGATGGATGATGACGAGGCTGGGGGTACACCGCGGCCTTCCGGGATGGGGAGCCGGGAGGGATCGCCTAGGCCCGAGGGCGGGCTGGCCCCGAAGAGTGGCGCCGAGAGTGATGCTGTGGGTACACCTCGACCAGTATCCGTTGGCGGCCGGACGCCGGCGAGAGACAGCCCCGCCCCGGGCCTGGACAGCCAATCTTTCGCAGCCAAGCGAGCCACGGCGATGGATGCGAGCCTTTCGCAACTTGGCAGTCAGATGGGCAGCCGGATGGGCAGTCGGGAGCCAACGGTTGAGCGGGAAACCCAGGGCGAAACTGAGGCGGGGGAGGATGTTGAGATGGGCGAGCCGGAGGATAACAAGGATGCTATATCAGAACCCGACAGCCCCCTGACTCCGCCCCCAGCCGACGATATGCCGCAGATTGTTGTTAACGGAGAGGGAGAGAGCATGGACACGACATAGTCCGTCATAGGCTATCGCATAGCGCTTTTGGGATTGTGTGGGCGTGTTACAAGCTGCCTAACTAGGCAGGTCATAATTTAATTTTGGGACATTTTGTCCGTGGCCTCTTGTCAACACAAACAATGCACGGACACGACATGCTGTCTAGTCCATCACATACTATCACTCGACACTCCCGGGAATATGTTGGCGTGAGGTAAGCTGCTTGAGCAGACCATAACTTGACATTGACAGCATTTGATTCCCAGCGAACATGTACTCCCGTCATCTCTCATCAACATACAAAATCATGCGTGGAACCTAAGACGACTCCGACTTCTCAGCAACCTTCTGGCCCGTCTCCAGCGCCTCCCTTGCCTTCTTGAGCTCTTCCTCAGACCCAGTCCCGTCACTCTCCGAAATGGCAATCTGTTCCTCGAGTTTCTCCACCGCGTCCGAGATGCGCTTCCTCAACGGTTCGAATACGGCTTTGGTCTCGTCGAGCGCAGCTTTCTAGACTGAGGGTTAGGGTTGGACTCTCACTCAACATCTCTCTGTTTGTTTGTCATGAGGTGACCCACCTCTTGCTTCAGAATGTACTCGGCATTCGTATCCAGGTCGGGACTGTTGTTCTCGATGTCCTCTTCCAGCTTCTTGATGCGCTTCTCCTGGCTGGCCTGGTCTTTGTGGTAGTAGGATTCCTCCTTGACGAGGCGGTTGACGGCCTGCGTCGCAATGGCGAGGGGCGTTGGGGGTGCCATCTTGGAAGGTTGGTGTCCCGAGGTTGTGGATGCTGGCGGTTGTTTAAGATCCTGTAAAGGTTTTATGCTTTCCCTAGTTATGGTTGCCTGGATGGTGTCTAGTGAGCGAGGTCTGAGTCCTGATGTGCCTGTTGTGTTGTTGACTTTGAGGTGGGGTTGGCGGGGTAAAAATTGGGTGACAGCCGCGACAAAATAGGGACATCACAACGAGCAAGAAAGGTTGCCTGAATGTTTATTTAGGTACCTATGTGATAACCTCAATACCGTTCAACTGCCGATTTTCAGAATAGTTTACATTTATCCAAGCGACCTGACCACTTCCTTTGTTTGTTCCTCTTGTCTCCTCCCCCTGAGCATGGATGCCAGACGTGCTCGACTCCGCGAATTCTCCCCGCGTTTCACACAACCGGGATAAACGTGGCTTGACTTGTGGCTTGCTTCGGTATATCAGGCACGAGAACATTCGAACCCCCACGTTTGTGGCTGTTACTTTTCGGGGTCACCATTTTGAGGTCTGACAAGACCGAGAACCAAGCCTTTCTCTCTCGAACCAACAAAGAACCGACAGCCGGGGCCGCCCCGACTCCCGTGAGTCCCGTCCTTCGGCCTTCCGTACCCCGAGGTAACTCCGTCTTGTCTTGACATCCGGTGTCCACCAGACGGAAAGTCCCCCATGTTTAACACGCAAGACAACGGTTCTGTCGGCTCTCCAGTTGAACTTTGATTGGTTCCCTGTGCGCTGGGAGAATCGGCAAACGGCCTTCCAAGGCTGACCTGCAGGGCCGAGTCGGAGATAAGAGGGTTCGGCGGGGTTCGATGCGCCTGGACCAACGGGGGAACTCCAGGTTGGGACCGCAATTGGGGCGCGGCTGTGGGCGGGCGACCTGTCAGCAGCCACTCCACTCAGGGAAAGCCGCCGAGCGGCGACTTGGTTGAATTGGACACGTCGTCCAGTGCACATGGGGTCCGGAACGGTTGGAACCTGGAAGGCTGAATCTGTTTCAAATCTCCATTCCACTCGCTTTTGGCATTTTTCTTTCCTCAAGAAGGCCGTTGGTTGCCTTGCTTTCCCCATGATATCCTCGTAATTGCATTAGTTTTTCCTTGCATTGGAGGTTCCATCTTTTTTACGGAGAGTATTCAGGGTTTCAATCTCGGCTTCCCGTTCCCTGCCTGCAGCTCTTCATAAGATACCCGAGACCCCCCGCTGCCAGCCTGGGGCCGGCAACGCCCGCAGCACAGCATGGACAACGCCTTCGCGAAGTCGATTGACGAGGTGCTTGGCACTCTCGGTGTGAGCAAAACGACCGGGTTGACCAACGAACAAGTGTCGCAATCCCGAGCCAAGCACGGGAAGAATGGTATGAGGCGCGCCCCTTGAGTCCGTGTACCCTTTCCTCCTTGTTCGTGGCTGACATCTTCCCGGACAGCGATCGCCGAGGAACCCCCAACTCCCATCTGGGAACTTATTCTCGAACAATTCAAGGATCAACTAGTCCTCATCCTTCTCGGTTCCGCTGCTATCTCGTTTGTGTTGGCGCTTTTCGAAGACGAAGGAGGCTTGGGCGCGTTCGTCGACCCGGCCGTCATCCTCACCATCCTGATCCTCAATGCTGTCGTCGGAGTCTCGCAGGAGAGCAGTGCCGAGAAGGCCATTGCTGCCCTGCAGGAATACTCGGCCAACGAGGCCAACGTTGTGCGCAATGGTCAAATTCACCGGATCAAGGCGGAGGAGCTCGTGCCCGGTGATATCGTGGACGTCGCCGTTGGCGCTCGCATCCCCGCCGACTGCCGCCTTGTCGCGATCGAGAGCAACAGCTTTGCCGTTGACCAGGCCATCCTGACCGGAGAAAGCGAGAGCGTGGGCAAGGACTGCCAGGCTGTCATCAACGACGATAGGGCGGTGCTTCAGGACCAGATCAACATGCTCTTTTCGGGTACGACTGTCGTGACCGGTCATGCTAAGGCTGTGGTTGTTCAGACTGGCTCGAAGACTGCCATTGGCGACATCCACGAGAGCATCACCGCTCAGATCTCGGAGCCAACCCCGCTGAAACAGAAGCTGAACGACTTTGGTGACCAGCTCGCCAAGGTCATTACTATCATTTGTGTCCTGGTCTGGCTCATCAACATCCCTCACTTCAGCGACTCCAGCCACGGCAACTGGACCAAGGGCGCCATCTACTACCTCAAGATCGCCGTCTCTCTTGGTGTTGCCGCTATTCCCGAGGGTCTTGCCGTTGTTATTACCACCTGCCTCGCTCTCGGAACCCGCAAGATGGCCGCCAAGAACGCCGTGGTCAGGAGCTTGCCGTCCGTCGAGACTCTTGGAAGTTGCAGCGTTATTTGCTCCGACAAGACCGGTACCCTCACTACGAACCAGATGAGCGTTAGCAAGATCGTCTACCTGAACAACGATGGCAGTGACCTGGAGGAGCTTGACGTCGAGGGCACGACTTTCGAACCCAAGGGTGACATTAAATTCAAGGGTACGGTGCTGCGTGACCTCAGCCAGGAGTCTGCAACGGTTCTTCAGATGACCGAAGTCTCTGCCCTGTGCAATGACGCCCGGCTCGACTACCACCCGCTCATGGCAACCTACTCCAACGTTGGCGAGCCCACCGAGGGCGCTCTACGAGTCATGGTCGAAAAGGTTGGCCCTTGCGCGCCCTCCAACAGCCAGGGTCAGGATTGTGTTCACTACGCTAGCTCTTGGTACGAAAAGCAGTACAAGCGTCTTGCGACCTACGAGTTCTCGCGCGATCGCAAGAGCATGTCGGTCCTCGTTCAGAATGGAAGCCAGCAACACCTCTTCGTCAAGGGTGCACCCGAGTCTATCATTGAGCGCTGCACCCATACTGTGCTCGGTCGTGACGGGAAGCGGGTTCCCCTGGACCGCAAGCTCACCGATCTGCTTCTGAAGGAAGTCGTCGACTACGGAAACAAGGGTCTCCGCGTTATTGCTCTGGCTCGCCGTGAGAACGTCAATGGCGATCCCCTTCTCCACAAGGCCAAGTCCACCGCTGAGTACGCCGCCCTGGAGCAGAACCTCACACTTATTGGCCTGGTTGGCATGCTGGATCCGCCTCGCCCGGAGGTGCCCGCTGCTATTCAAAAGTGCAAGGACGCCGGCATCCGCGTTATCGTCGTCACTGGTGACAACCGCAACACGGCCGAGACCATCTGCCGTCAAATCGGTGTCTTCGGTCCCAAGGAGGATTTGACCGGCAAGAGCTTCACTGGCCGCGAGTTTGACAACCTTAGCCCCAGCGAGCAGCTGGAGGCGGCCAAGAATGCTTCTCTGTTCTCTCGTGTCGAGCCTACCCACAAGTCCAAGCTTGTTGACCTGCTCCAGTCGCTCGGCGAGGTTGTTGCCATGACCGGTGACGGTGTCAACGATGCCCCCGCCCTCAAGAAGGCCGATATTGGTGTGGCCATGGGTTCTGGCACCGATGTGTCCAAGCTCGCGGCCGACATGGTTCTGGCTGACGACAACTTCGCTACCATCGGTGTCGCCATCGAGGAGGGCCGCTCCATCTACAACAACACTCAGCAGTTCATTCGCTACCTGATCTCGTCCAACATTGGCGAGGTTGTCTCGATTTTCTTGACCGCCGCCTTGGGCATGCCCGAGGCGCTCATTCCCGTCCAGCTTCTCTGGGTCAACCTGGTCACCGACGGTCTCCCGGCCACCGCTCTCTCGTTCAACCCGCCTGACCATGACATCATGAAGCGGAAGCCCAGAAAGCGCGACGAGGCCCTGATCGGCGGCTGGCTGTTCTTCCGGTACATGGTCATCGGCACCTACGTCGGTCTCGCCACAGTTGCGGGCTACGCTTGGTGGTTCATGTTCCACTCGGAGGGACCCCAGATCACCTTCTACCAGCTGTCGCACTTCCACCGCTGCTCGACCGAGTTCCCGGAGATCGGCTGCCAAATGTTCACCAACGACATGGCCAAGTCTGGCTCCACCGTCTCTCTCTCGATCCTGGTCGTCATCGAGATGTTCAACGCCGTAAATGCCCTCTCGTCTAGCGAGTCGCTCCTGACGCTCCCCGTGTGGGAGAACATGATGCTCGTGTACGCCATCACCCTGTCGATGGCGCTGCACTTTGCTCTGTTGTACATTCCGTTCCTTCAGTCGCTGTTCTCCATTCTGCCCCTGAACTGGACCGAATGGAAGGCAGTGTTGTACATCAGCGCCCCTGTTGTGTGAGTACCCTCCCGTGTTCGATTTGTTGAGACATTGCTAACCGTTCCCAGTCTCATCGATGAGGGTCTCAAGTTTATTGAGCGGGCATTCTTCGTTCAAAGCTCGACCCGCAGGTTGCCGAAGGCGAAGAAGGACCAATAGAGTGGAGGAAGCAGGCGTACATAGATACGTAGACCTGTATAGTACTAGTACATAATCAAATCTAGCTGCGCAAGCGGTGAACGCAGAATCATAGGTCACAAGCATGCATGTCAACGTGGTGGTTATTCTGCGGTCTCCATTGCGTACCGAACGGAGCCTCGAACTGTTGTATTGTTACAACGCCCGTATGCCCAGCTTAATCATTGCCAGGACACTATTCTCCGTTGCCCTGTCATGTCTCATGTCGCCTCTATGTCCCTCTAATCCTGCCGCCCCTTCAGCAGCCTCTTGGTAACCTTGTCCTTCTCGATGATGTAGACATGAGCACCCCAGCCGGACAGAGCATCGCGGTCGACGGCGTTGAGAAGGGATTGCGAGATCGTCTCGAAGAGTGCATCCGGGCCCTGCATAGCGGAAACCCACACTGTCAGCAAACTATCCCAACGGCATGCCACCAAGCATTAAAATCAAGAACGTCATAGGATGTACATACCAGATCCGGCTCCCACAAGCTCTCGCACATGCCAAACAGCTGCTCCGTCGCGGTCCCCGAGACGATAAAGTCCTTCGCAAAGTCGATGCACCCGATGCTGTCGAAGCCGCAGATGAAGGGGGCGCCCGTGGTGGGGTCGAGGCCGGCGACGACGGGGCTGACGAAGTAGGGGCCGAAGCGGCGCTCGTAGAGGGAGCTGCTGACGAGGTTGGCGAAGGTGCGCGGGGCGATGTGGCGCTCCTCGCGCAGGCGGTACATGTTGACCTTGTAGCGGAACAGGTCCGACACGGTCGACACGTCGGTCGCCAGGCCCGTCAGCCCCAGGAACACGTTGTCGCCGTACTGGAACACCTTGGGGAAGTTGTTGGACACCGTCAGCGCCTGCAGCCCCAGCCGCAGGTCGCACGCGATCGCCACGCAGTCCTTGCCCACCATGGCCACGCAGGCGCCGCCGTCTGTTGGGAGGGGAAGGGTGCGGGGGTTAGAACGCTGGCTTGTGGGGTGGTGGTGGTTGGGTTGGAATGCGGGGGAGAGGTACTTATTGAGAAGGGTGACGACTAGAGAGAGAGAGGGTTTTGTTAGTAGTGTGGTGGTGAGAATACGGTATGGTGTGTTGACGTACCATCTTGACTGTGGGTGACGGTGCGTCTTTGGGGGCAGTCGTCGGTCGATGATGATTCTCGGAAGCGGGACGGCCGACAAGAGAGCAATGGAGCTCTCAGGTTCGAGGCGGGCGGGGTTGCGGCGCAAATAAGAGAATGAATTTGTCGTGTGACTGGATATGCCGCCGAAAAACGGGCACAAACGGGATCGCAATCTGATGATGTTGCGGTGCCGTGGGCGATAGAGAGCTCTCTCGTGCAGCAATAGCAGCCTTGTGGTCGGGCGGGTTGGAGCTCCAGCTGACAGGCTACGCTGGAGTTGACGTCGGAGCAAGGCAACACGCAGCTGGCGCGGCATGGGAGGCGACCAGGGTCCCTGGGAAGAAAGGCGGTGTCGGGCGGCGCTAATGCTGGGGCCTGGGGAGCTCCCGCTGTGGCGCGTCCATCAGTGGAATTGCCCCTCCATCCTCCAAGGCTCTCTCATCCCACCACCGGACATACTACTAAGATGACGATTCCTTAGTATTCCACCAACATCCATAACTCTTTGATGTTCAATCAAAAATATCCCGATATTAGGCTTGCTACACTCGACACCTCTCGGCCGTAAAGAACAAATTCCGTTGGCAAATAAGGGATTAGGCTGGCTGCCTTTTACACTCCGAGCTCCACCTCGCCGCCTCATCCCCTCCTGACAAAGCAGCCTACCTCAACAAACACCGGTTCATCAACCCGTTTGCTTTAAAGTTTTACCTCAACACAAACTAGCATCTCACAGAATTCACCTCAAGATAAATACCTTTTTTTGGCTCCTTGTGGATCTTCCCTCCCTGTCCCCTGGGTAGCTCGCAAGCACTTATCCCACCCGTTCTCCTAAAAGAGTGGAGCTTGAGCTTGGTTCGATCTCCCTGAACTGTCCAACACCGCCACCAACCTCCCAGCAACCCTTCACAGCTTCGCCAAAATGTCCACACACGTTGAGGTCGTTTCGACCGATCTCAGGCGGGCCAAAATCAAGGTCACACCGGGGACGTACCTCGTCGATATCTTGGGCGAAGCTTGTAAGAAGCTCAACCTGAAGAGTGACAAGTATGAGCTCAAGTAAGTAACTGCCTAATTTGACAGCGCCTTTACTATACTCAACTAACAAACTCAGGCACAAGCAGAAGCTGGTCGATTTGACTGGCCCGTTCCGGACATCCGGACTCAGTCCTGGCGCCAAACTTGAGCTCGTACAAAAGTCGAAGAGCGCCTCGGTGGTATCTATCGCCCTTGACGTTAACGGCCAGCGTTATACCAAGAAGCTTCCGAGCGACATGTCTTTATGGAAGGTGATGCGGCAGTTCGAGAGCTCAGAGAAGGGCTTGAGTATCACCGGGAGGGGCGTGCCTGTGGGGACGAACAGCGGTCAGTTATACCACGATGCCCCGGTGGTGAATATCATGGGTAGAGAGTATGCAGCGATGGAGGACCTGCAGAAAACGCTCTCCCAGTGCGGCATCAACTCGGGCAGCATGGTGCTTAGAGTTAGTTTCAAACTCGGCGAGAGGACCCTTTACGATGCCATGCGGGAGATCGCCCAGTACCTCGACGAAGTGGAGCCGGAACAACCCACCGCAGAGGGAGCAGAGTCCCAGCCAGCTTTGGCTACCGAAGAGCCGAAAACGGCTGACAGTGCTCCGAGGGAAGTTACGCAACCTGAAGCCATCGCGCCGGCGGCCACCGAGGAAGAAGCACAAAGTGCGCCAGCCGAGTCGAGCACAGCGGGCGAGCCCATGGAAGTCGATGGGCCACCTGCTACAGCTCCTGCCCCGTCGAATCCTCTACAACCAACCGGCGTGTTCACCGCGCCAACATCCTCAACCCCGGCCGCCGCCTACACACGCGAAGACGACTCTGTCTACGAACCGACCATCGCCCACGCCCAGCTCCGCCAACAGCAGCTCCTCCACCGATCCCAAAACACGCGCCTCAAGTCCGACGCCGAGCTTGCCGCAGATGCAGCCGAGGAGGCAGCCCGGCTTGCCAAGATCACCGAGGTCGAAGTCAAGGTCCGCTTCCCCGACCAGACCTCGGCCACGTGGACCATCACACCCGACAAGACTGGCACCTTCCTTTACCAAGCGATCCGCAACGTCATGAACCACCCAACTGCGCCCTTCAAGCTGATCCTCCCCGGCCCGAAGACAGTCATACAGGAGACGGACAAGAAGCTGATCGTCCAGTACCGCCTCAAGGGGCGCGAGATGCTGCATCTACTATGGGAGGACTCGGTCACGGCCAGCGTGCGGCGGGAGCCGTTCCTCGAGCGGAGCGTCGCGAGCAAGGCGAAGGAGGTGGTGGTGCCCGACATTCCGCAGAGCGTGGCGGACGAGCGCGATGCGCCGGGGCCGTTGACTTCCCAGCCGGTCAGGCAGGAGAAGGGTAAGGGTGGGAGCGCGCTTGACTCGGATGCTGTGAAGAAGAAGCTGGGCAAGTTCTTGGGGCTGGGGAAGAAGTGAGGGGGACTCTGGGGACAGTGGTTGGCGGGGGCATGGCGAGAATATTACTACGGTCGAGTTGAGTGTTGCTCATGCTTAGGGAACTTTTGCATTGTGTGGCGTTAGGGTCCCGGAGGTTGTCTGATAGCGGTAGTTGGTTTGTAGAAGCGAGTTATCATTCAACGAGTCACGGCCTAACTCCCCGAGTGTCGTTGGCATAACAGTTGACGGTACTTCCAAAAAATGAGTGTCCTTGAACATCTAGCTGTTGGGCCTTTTGCAGTCATATACGCTAGTTGTATCCGCTATCAACTCACTAGACCGGTCAGTCAATTCGCGCCATCTCACCAGCGACACGGTAACGCCCGGTTACGTATATGCCCATTTCTGTATCCACGGCTTCACTTAGTGGCCGGCCCGGCGAGACTCGGCAATGTATCGCTGGAGCTCCTCGACCTTGGACTTGGCCCGACCGAAGGTGCCGAGCTGTGACGTTGTCAACCTGGTACCGGGAAACGACGATTTCACATCCGGAGATAGGGACGAACCTTTCTCTTGCAGAATTTGCGGGCACGCTTGTCCTTGCTGTTGCGGAGGAGTTCGACAACCCGACGCTCGTAGGGCGCGAGACTGTTCGGCGGAGGCGTTTGTTAGCTGTCCGGTAAGGGATGATAGTCCGATCCGCAATCTGAGCTCAGCTCGGAGCACGCATGTGAAGCTGTTCCAATCATCGTACATGGATCGCGGCACGTGGGTAAGGCGCGGCTCTTCAACGCCCAGTCTGACTCCGGGGGAATGGGAAAAGTCACGACCAACCCCCACCCCTTCAACAACACAACAGCGCACCCCCTTTTTTCTCTCTCTCTCTCTAACACCCCAGAATATTGAGAATGCTAACTCACCCGGCGACCTCCTTGACAATCGATCGCACAAACTCGGTCCGCTTGCTCGACTTGCCCTTCCGCTGAGACGGCCGGGGCTTCGAAACGCGGGGGGTGGTTTTCTGTTGCCATGCCAACGTTCAGGGGCTGGTCAGCAACGAGTTCTCATGATAAATCATTCATGGTTGAGGAGGGTGAGGAATATTGCAGGATCCATAAGAAAATATTATTATTTTGGGCACATAATTGTTTATTGCGAGGTGTCCACGCTGGAAACCTCCCATCAAGTGCAAATCAGACGTACGTGACCCTTGTTGATGCCCCGCGAGAGGCCTGTCTTCTCGGTTTCCTTCGCCATCGCTTCGTTATCGGTGGCCCGTGTCGTCGTTATCGTCGAGTTGTCGTGGCTTGTGCAGTGGAGTTGGACGAGTTTGTGGAGTCGAGCTAGGGCTGGTTTGGGCATTCGGCTTGATTTAAGAGCTGTGGGGGTGGCTTGCTTTGAGGGATTGGAGAGTGGCTGGTGCGACGGGCTTCAAGGCCTTGGCATGCTTCCCTGCTCGGCCCTTGGACGACAGTTCAAGATCGTGCTCTGAGGTTTGACCCGGGTATGGTCACATCAGCCGGCAGAGAGGCTCTTGAGAGTCCGAATGAGTCACAATTAGGGAAGAGGCACTCCGCAAATGGCCGTCTTGTTTGACGGTGGACGCGCGTTCCTTGTCCTCTACATTGTTGAGGTCGAATGGTGTTGATTTGATCCAGTTTGCTCAGTTTCCATGGTTTGTCGTGTGTGTCCCGGGCGGGAGCAAGATGCGACATCCCGAGCGTGGGTTCTCGAATATTGTACTCTTGCCCTACCGGAGTCGAGCTTAGGTATTTGTGAAAGTGGTAGACAAACATTTCCTTGCTTCGTCATCAATGTGTGCGAGCTTTGTTACGCCATGGATTTCTAGACACCGCGGCCTCGCGAGTCCGAGGTTAGTGTAAACCACCATCACGCATCAGCTTCAATTATTTATGTCACACCAGGCATTTCACAGTATTATGAGACGGCTTGTGTGCGTAGGCAGGGTTCTTCATGTTACGCAGGCAGTGCTCAGCAAAGGCAGACGAAGAAGAGGTAGACTCCCTCGGGTGGCTGCTTGAATTCAGTCTGAAGCCAACACAAAACATCTCGAGGTGGCTCTAATCCCTATGCAGTCCAACCTCACAAGTCACTCCGCTTTACTGCCTGGGAATGACGTGGTTTGACCAGCTATGACTTAACTTCGGAATCCGGGAGGGGGCCAAAGAATAGAAGTCATCCAGAACAGCTCGTAGGGCTGGCCGGGAGTTTACTGAGGTAAGAGCACATGCAACTGATTGAGAGTATCCCCCCCTTGGATAAATCGACAGAGCTTGGCTGACCGGTCTGAAATCCATTTCTCTGAAAGGAGAGAATGGCCGTCTTTGTTGACCCAAACCAGGTGACTTGCTTGGTTGATGATAGTTTGGGTGGCACCTTCCCAGAGGCTACCTACTTAGGTAGTGGTTCCAAGTTCTCATCCAATCTCGAGAGTTTCCTAAGATCCGAACCTGGTAGTGCCGGGCAATAAAAGGGTACAAACTGCATGCAGGTACTGTGTGTGCTCTTGTGCGCGTTTGTGGAAGGAGCGTACGTACAAAAACGGCCCATCCTCGAACTCCAAGCCTGCAACTTTTTCCACCACAACGTAACACCACACTCATTTTCCCTTCGATTAAAGTGCCAGTCGTTCGCTTCTCGAGTTGGTCAGGATATTTCCAGATTTCTCGCACACCATTCAAGCACTTACACCTTCATTCCTCTCTACCGATCCATCAGTCACAATGATGCTGCACTTCATCCTCGCCATCGCGGCCGCGGCCCAGCTCGCCGTGGCTTTCCCGACCTACAAGGCTCCTCTGACCTTGTCCAAGGTCGCCCGCCACAAGCAATTCTGCATCTTCCCTGATGAATTCGTGGTTAAGAATTTCCACACCTGGACCCCTGAGGCTGGCAACAACCGCTCCGCCATCGTCGATTTCGATTACACGGATGACAGCGTCATGCCTGCGATCAAGACCAAGTGCCACTTCAACGAGACCTCGGTCAACGTTGGCCCGAAGGACCTCGCTGCTCGATACGCCTGCGAGAACGACCTGGTCCAGTTCATCTGGTGTGACGGCGAGCTTACCATGATTGAGCGAGCCTGCCCGCTGGAGACTGAGTGAGTGATAACCGGAAGGATAGCCAGTTTCCACAGTAACGCTGACCAAGCCACCAGGAACCGCCCCTTCGAGGCTGCCGGCTGGGTCACGCCCAACCTGGAATGCTTCACGAGCAACCGGAACAGCACCGCTGGTGAGGGCCACGCCTGCACGTCGTCGCCGAATGTCATGTCTGCCGTGTTCAGCAGCCTCCAGCCGACGCCGAACTGAGACCCATCCAAATCGGCCGCGCCGGCACATCGAGGGATGGGTATGATATCTAGTGGTGAAACGGGATCAAGCACGAGGGGAGAATATGGCGGTACCTGGTAGTTAACTGGCTTCTTTGCGGGCGAATCTTTCGATGCGAGTGGGCGATGGACATCATTAAAGAGACGCAGATATGTTAGAGGTGCCAGATAGCAGCTATACCGTGACCATAGAGAAAAGGCAATCAATGGCCATCTTATCTATCGTGTCGAGCGGTGCATCGCTGGGGTCTGAATTTTTGTTGTGTTCAGTAAGTGTCGGATTGTGCTTGAGGCGGGCTCCGCGCTCACCCAATTCCCCACGGTCATTACCGACCTCGACCCTTCTCATCAAGGTAACCTCAACATGGCATCCACTCAATTCATTGCTCAAGTCAGAGCTGATTCTCGCAATGCTGCAGATTCCACACCAAGAAAGAAGATCGGGGGTAATGTGTAGGGAAAACAGGTTGCTACGCTCGATTCCAACATGCAACTGCTAGGAGACATGGCGCCGGCCGAGGTTGTCTCCTGGTCACCACAGCTCCTCTCGCTATACTGCTGCGGGTATTTGCATCCTCCTGGCAGTGGCGGCATCACACATGAAGGAAAACGAGGCATGCGGTGGTCGTTTTCCCGGCGAGCAACACTGTCTACCCTAGAATCAGGTCGACTTGTAAGCTCCTTCAGTTCCTTCAGTTCTTTCTTAGCATCGCTGTGCTGCTCAACTTTTAGCTCGCCCCCGACATCCTAGTGAAGCTGTGCCGAACGGGTTCCAAGCATCTTGTGGCAACTAAAGGTCAGGCGCTTAATGGTGTCGTCATGGTGGGCTGTTTGTTATGTTCGCGATGACGACCTGGAGGTTTAAGGCAACCAAAGTGGCAAAACCTCTTCGGATGGCGCCTCCAGGCGGTCCAAAATCAAGGCGTCTGCTTCGCAAGCCCAGCGAGATAAAAGCCACCATCCATCCCATTCCCTCGCTTCTCACTCTTCATTTCTCCCACACTTTTCATCAACACCAAACCCCTTTTCTTTGGACCACATCTACAGCGAACATGGCCCCATCAGAGAAATACACATTCTGTCTACCACCACGCTGCGCCTTTTGCAGCTTTAGGTTTCAGGATGAAGACATCATTACTGGTGTGTTATCCCCTGATACCACGTTGTGTACACGTAAACCGCTGCTGACCAACATAGTGAGGAGGTCTGGGATGGTAGTTTCAGAGAAATTCCGTTTCTGCCCCAGAGTTTGTATTGCGGACATCGGCTATATGACATGTTCAAAACGGTGTCGGCACGGGGATGAGAAAGCATTCGCTTGCCACCCCGAATGTCTTGAGCTGGTGCCGCTCAAATTACGGTCGGCCGTTATCGAGGCCACTTCCTACCGATACGAGCCACCCCGAGCTGAGGATGAACGACGGGCTCGCTTGCTCCGACTGCAATGGAGCAGGGTCCTGTGCATAACGTTCCAGTATCGTTTCCCCCTCGAGCTTTGCGATGATATTGCCCAGTACTCCCTGAGGACGTTTGCGGTACGCCGCGCGCTGGAATCGTTGGAGATGCCTCAGCATGCCACGTCTTGTTTGGTCAGCCTTTCGACAAGAGTTTGGGTGCGGTATACGTTTGTTGATGGAGTAAGATATCTTCAGTCCCTCACAAACGAACAACCTCCCGACGACAGCGCCGCGGTTGAGCTGGCCTACGATTCAAACTCCGTCGATACTATGTTCGTCGCGGAGGACCATCTGGGCGTGAGGAACCTGCTCTTTACGTCTTCACCCCAGAAGCCGACCATCGAAGAGCGGCCGAATGTTTGGTGGCGAACCGTCGCCATTCCAAACTTGGATTCCAAGCTCGAGGGCAAAATCAACGTAAGTCCTTTCCTACAGCGGCAGTTACTCCATCTAACGTCTTTTCAGGGTGCAAAGCTGCGCTCGTTGACATATCTGGCCGAGCTTCCTACGGCTGAGTTTACCCAGCCCATGTACTGGCCGACGCCCCAGTTCGGTAAACAACTGTGGTGCGACCGTTTCAAGCGAGTTCTTAACCTCGACCCGATCCGCATGTCGGCAATCAAGTGTAACGACCCCAGCGTCATTGGCTATTCCGTATGCTGCACGCTAGACTTCGTTACCATACACGCCCATTCTCCAAAGGAGGACGCAGAGTTCTACCGACGGAGCCGGAACACCTGTGCGGTCTGGCAGTACATGCCGGTCGATAAAGGTGAACTTTTGGTGGAGGTATGGAAGCGCAAGGACCGTCGCTATCCAATTGTTAATCTGGTGGTATGTCTTCCCCCTCCCTTGGATACAATATCCCACGCTGACACTTGAGAAGTTTATGACGAACAAGGGCCGTGCCGCTGTTATGGGACCATGGCCACTAAAGTATCGGAGCGGCCAGTCTCTCTTGGACCGGAGCGGCTGGACTCTCTTGAACCGGCCGAGGAAAGAGCCGAGCCGGATTTTTTACGACACTTCCGACTCCCGCATGGGCGTATTGGCCTTTGAGACCCCGCCGCCGGAATCAGACGGGCAGCGTCCAGCGAGTCTGACGCCGCTATCCCCTGGGCCGGAATCGGGACCCCTGGAGCCCTACTTTTACTCGTCGTCCGACCTCAGTGGCGTGACGGCAGTAACCCCCTGTGAGCGCCGATTTGGGGAAACGTCGGTCATCAGGGGACTGCTCCTTCACCACGCCGACGCACATGTATCCTGTGTCGGTGAGGTGCGCCTGGACTCCTTGGGTTGCCCCCTGAAAGTGGAGGGTCCGATATGGCTTGGCTTCTCGACCACAAGGGGAGCGCCTTGCGTGACCCAGATCGCGACTTCCCGTCCGGCCGAAACGGACGCCGTGGACTGGCTTGCTCTGCCCTGTAGAGGGCAACTTGAGTGGTGGTACTCATTCAGACAATGCAGAGTACACCACGAGGGACGAGCAAGTCCCGCGACTTCGGACGTTTTCGAACGGCCACGGCGCTCACGGTCCGAATCACCGGATCGGCTCGGGTAGTCGAGCGCGACGAGTGGTGGTCAATCGAGGCCAAGGGTAGTCGACCGAGACGGAGGGTAGTTGATGAACGAGTGGGGTTGAGGATGTTTCCGGGGGGCAGCGGTACTCGCATTCTTTAAATGTAAATTTAGCAGGCTTTAATACCATCAGTGCCAAACTCGAGAGTCCTCGAATCGAAGCGGAACGTTAAACATCGGCCCACCAAGTCGGGGCAAGGCATCTCGTTGACGTAGCATTACCTCACCCGAGGTGAGATGGGAAAATCCATCTCAGAGCCTGCTCTCACGTCAGTATAACTGGCCTCTCAGTACTGTGTACAACTATGGATGTCGTGTATTTGAGGTTGTGAGCACGAAAGGTGACTGGTGAGGAGGAAGATGGAAACGGGGGCTTGTCTTGGCGATCGATCCCGCCAGCTGCTGCTGCCCACCCGCTGCGGCCAGCTCCACCTTCCCGTGTGGGGCGGCGTGCCAAGCAAACACCTTGGTGCCCCGGCCGTTCGCTCTTGCTGTGGAATAAGCAACCTCAGGTCCTCGAACATGGCCTTTTACGTGCCGGGCAGTCAACACGAAGGCTTCAACCTTGGAGAAATTCGTCAATTGAAACACGATCAAAACGGCAAATGCTACCAACTGCGCCTTCCCACCCACAAGGCTGATACGTCGCAGGCGCTGCCGGGCTTGGCGGATGATCACGGTCACGCGATCCAACACTTTGCCGTCCGACTGACACGGCAACAGGAACATGCCTCATTAATTCCATTTTCCCGTCTTTGCCATTCTACGTATTTGCGCCCTATTGTACTACTTAATCAATAATAACCCCCGATCCTCGCTTTTCGACAACGAGCATCGACGTCACCACACAACCATGCGCATCCTACCAAACCTCTCCCTCCTCGCCTCCCTCACCACCACCATCCTCGCCGACCCGATCCCCCCAATACCGCCCCAACCCCAACAGCAGCCTCAGCGACTCGATCCCCGTCCACCTCCCCTCAACCGACAGCAGCAACAACCACCCACCCACGCCAACACCCAGGGGGAAGCGACCGAGACCGGCGCCGGCACCGGAGCCGGGGTAACCCCCCCGTTCTTCGCCGGCCTAGAGCGCGCGGCCCGCCTCGTCGACATCACGTACTGCGTCGGCACGACGGGCATCGCGCCGCCCTTTTCCTGCGTCTCGCGCTGCCGCGACTTCCCCTCGCTGCGCCTGCTGCGCGTCTGGAACACCGGTCTCTTGCTGAGCGACAGCTGTGGGTATATCGCCGTCGATCACGGGCCGCCGAGGGAGGGGAGTGGTGGTGGTGGTGGTGGTGGTGGTGGGAGGGAGATTGTGGTCGCGTTCCGTGGCACGTATAGTGTTACGAATACGATTGTGGACTTGAGTACCGTGCCGCAGGAGTATGTGCCGTATCCGGCGCCGCCTGGGGAGGGGGAGGGGGACGGGGATGAGGATGGTGGTGGGGATGTCAGGTGCGACAACTGCACCGTGCATATGGGGTTTATGGCCTCGTGGCGGAATGCGCGCGAGGTGGTCATCCCCGCTCTGCAGGCCGCGCGGGAGAAGTACCCCGGTTACAGGGTGCATCTGATCGGGCATAGCCTGGGCGGGGCGGTCGCGGCCCTCGCGGCGCTGGAGGTGAGGTTGGGGTTGGGGTGGCAGGACGTGGTTGTTACGACATTTGGGGAGCCGAGGGTGGGCAATGCGAAGCTGGCCGATTATGTTGATCGGGCGTTTGAGTTGGGGGAAAGGGAGGTTGGTGAGGACCTAGCGTACCGCCGGGTTACGCATGTCGGCGACCCGGTGCCGCTGCTACCGTTGACCGAGTGGGGGTATCGGTCGCATGCCGGGGAGGTTTACATTGAGAAGTCGAACCTCGCACCCGGCCCGGAGGACTTGAGGTTGTGTCGTGGAGACAATGACCCGAAGTGTATGGGCGGGGCTGAGACGACGGACTGGCTAGGGTGGGTGCTAGGGTGGATGACCTGGGGAAAGGTACGGGAAGAGGTTGAAGCATCGAAACTGGGCCAGCGATGGTTTCCGGCGCGGCTCAAGCTGTGGCAGCTGTTCTTTGCACACCGGGATTACTTCTGGAGACTAGGGCTTTGTGTCCCTGGAGGGGACCCGGCCGACTGGTGGAGGGAGAAGTATAACCTGACATTGGCCGGAACTGAGGCCGAGATTCGGGACCTGTGATAGTTATGGGCCTTGAGAGGGATGATTTCGGCGTTTGGCAGGGTCTACTTAATGTCTGATGATAGCATAGCATGGCGTATTGCTTTAAAACATGTGTCGAGACGTCTCGAAGTCTGCCCTTAGTGGGCTTGGCAACAACATTCTTCAGCGCAGAACTACCTACCTACCTAGTAAATATTCTTTTACGGTTTTGGAGCCAAGGCTGCGGTCCAGATAACGGCAAGTATGTACATACATACATACACAGCAACCTACCGTGCCTGCGAACCTGCCTTCTCACGTAGTTGTTGTGGAGTCGCTCGCGACAGAGGTTGAGCTCCTCTGATCGTCTTCTCGGTGGAGCCGGGGACGAATATCTTCATTCCGCCATCAAAGGTTGGGGTTCAAACTAGTCGCACCAAGGGTTTGGGCCGCGTGACGCTGTTATCACAGTCCGGAATTGCGAGCTCTGTGCCGATTGGCAGAGAGACGTCAGGAGCGGAACCCGCAAGATGAGCTCATGGGTCGGACCTTCTTAATCACACGATGGAATCGAAAGGACAAATAAACGCGAAAAAACAGCCACTTGGTCGCAAATAAACAAAGGAGGGCAGTCCATGACGTGAGGTCACTCGAGCGAGGCTGTGCAGCGACCCTGCCGAGGTCCTTCTCCCGCAATCGATGCAGAAGCGGGCGATCAGCGGCTCGTTGCTTGTTGGCCCACCATGTTCGTGAATGCCGGGCGGGAGGGGAAGGCCACCGCTGGGAGCCTCGCGGCATTCTAGCCGCTTCCATGGTGCGCTGTCCATCCAGCCCCACCTTGTTAAAGAATGGACCCATCCGGACAATTTTGGAGCGGGACAACTCGAGTGTGACCGCTTTTGTCTGTTGGTCTTGCTGTCTCGGTGTGCTGGGCTTGGGACGACCCACTGTCTGGTACCAAAGGGAAAGGGGCCCTGGTGGCCGCGGGGGCTCGCCTCGTGATCGGAGACGTGACTGGATGCCGTTTGTCGATGAGGGACGGGCACGAGACCCCAAGAATAGAGGTGCCCAAGAGGGTGCGCGGTCGGGCGATGATAAGAGCGCTGCCGACCAAATGGAGGGGTTCGCTGGGTTTTCTGTGTGACGTGCAGCATGCCCCTCATCAGCCTGCGCTGTGTGTGTTGAAGCGAATGGCGTGGGCAGCGAGGTCGAATAACGAGCGTCGATGGTGGGGTGGATTGGTCGAGAACCTGTACCCTTTTGGCCTCGGGGCCGCACTTCGTATCCGTTTCGTGAGGCATATGGTGTTGAATGGTAGATAAATTTAAAAGATGTTGAAGAAGAGTCAGGTACGAATACAGATCAAGGCATCCCCCCAAAGCAACAACGATGATGCGCAAACAGTGGTTGTTGGACAGATTATCCACCTGCTGCTGCCTCCGAGCATCAGAATGACAGCCCCCACTGTCAGGCTGTCGGGTGCTGGAGTCGAGATCCTCGCTGTGGGCCAGCGACCGGGAGGCCTGGAAACCAGGACCCAGCAATACGCCTGTTAGAGTGGGACTCCCATTTTGCTGGGAAATCAGGTTGTATCATCGTCACGTGTTAACGCGCAGAATGGCTTTCATTCGATCTCCCTATGAGAGCACCCCGGCTGGCACCCACTAGCGCGGTGAGGGGGAGTCGTCGACCTGCTAAAGTCCCTTTGCTCAACATCTGAGCCCACCTGCAACCCCGACCACAATCCAAAAACAACAAAACAAGCCACGCTTACCACACCGATTTCCCTTGCGACCGTTTTATTTTCCCTCCACTTTCTTATAAATTCAACTGTTCGTTAAACCGCTCTATTTCTCAGACCACACATCACCAAAGATGGCGAACGAAGTAAGTGCAAACCCGCCAAAACCCGCCGTTTCCCCTCTCGCGATACGGCTCGCATGCCGGCGATAGCGTTGGGCTCGGTGCCATCTGGCAGTATCTTCGTCGTTTTTACGTCAGTCGCTAACTGTATGCCCCCTTCTACAGCGCGAAAGGTGTGTTAGCTTCCTCTCGGTGGCGGTCGCCAGCCCACATCGAACCAACTAACCGACCGTGACATTGCAGCAAGACTTTCCTCGCCCGCCTCTGCGAGCAGGCCGAGCGCTACGATGAGATGGTCACCTTTATGAAGGAGGTTGCCAAGATCGGCGGTGAGCTTACTGTTGACGAGCGGAACCTACTTTCGGTCGCCTACAAGAACGTCGTTGGCACCCGCCGTGCCAGCTGGCGCATCATTTCGTCGATCGAGCAGAAGGAGGAGTCCAAGGGCACCGATAAGCACGTGGGCACCATCCGCGATTACCGCCAGAAGATCGAGACCGAGTTGGAGAAGGTCTGCCAGGATGTTCTTGACGTCCTTGACGATGCCTTGATCCCCAACGCCGCCTCGGGCGAGTCGAAGGTCTTTTACCACAAGATGTACGCCTGCCCCGCCTGCCCTGTCTACCATCACCACTGGGCGTTCGCATGTTTTTCTCAGTTTCTGACGTTGTTCGCTATAGGAAGGGTGACTACCACCGTTACCCTCGCCGAGTTCGCCTCGGGCGAGAAGCGCAAGGTTGCCGCGACTGCTGCCCACGAGGCTTACAAGGTAGAATCTCCCCACTGGATTACGCACGTGCTTTGCATCGACTGACCCTATAAATTCACGCAGAGCGCCACCGATGTCGCCCAGACCGAGCTGACCCCCACCCACCCCATCCGTCTGGGACTGGCCCTCAACTTCTCCGTCTTCTACTACGAGATTCTGAACTCCCCCGATCGCGCCTGCCACCTGGCCAAGCAGGCCTTTGATGACGCCATTGCCGAGCTCGACTCTCTCTCCGAGGAGTCGTACCGCGACAGCACTCTCATCATGCAGCTGCTTCGCGACAACCTCACCCTCTGGACCTCGTCCGACAATGGCGAGCCCGAGGGTGCTGCCGACGCCCCTAAGGAGAAGCCCGCCGATGCCCCCAAGGAGGCCGACGGCCCGGCCGATGAGCCCGCGCCCGCCGCCGAACAGCAGTAAGCGGCTTCGCTGCTTGCTTGCTTGATCGTCTCGCTTTTTCCTCTGTCGCGCACCCTCTCTCTGTCTCCTGGGTCGGGGCTCCGCGTGTGGTTAATCACCGCACGGGAATCCCGCATGGCTCGTCTTGGGATCCGAGTTTATGGTAGGGGAATGGGTCTTTGTTGTCTGTGGACTGGGCTAGCTAGCGGACTGTGATCTCTGCCGGCACGCTGTTCAAGGCAAAGGGCTGGACTGCGAAAGGGAGTTGGTTGTTGGGTGGGGACTGAAAATGCAGGGCATGGTGCTTTTCTTTTTGTTATCTCGTTTTCCCCTTTTTTACTCCACTGCTTTTACCCCCAGGTCGGACCCTAGTCCGACCATTTATACGGGAAACACATGCAACCAAATCCAAATCCACAAGCTCGTCGTCCTTGCGAGGTCGAGACAATACACAGAAACCCCCCTCTTAACCGAGCCTCGTCTTTTCTTGGGCCTGTCTCGCTTGGGCGTGTTTCCTAATTCCCTCCAGTTGGGTCCGTGATCTCTGATTTGTGCCGAGTCTTGTGCGATTTTCCTGGTGTGGTACATGTGTTGTGTTATTTCCTTGTAGTTTTTCCCTTTATATCGCAACGGAATAGGGCTGGGTCGGGCTGGGCGGCGGTAAGGCAGGATGATGCGTCTCATTGACTACCCCTTCATGGTTATTGCAACCTGAGATAAAGAATACAAGCCAAGCTGATATGCTATGTGTGCGACCCTGTGGCGTCGAGGAATTCGAGATGTGTGTTTCACATTGCCCGAATGAAGGCAGCCCTGGCGAAGATCTCTAGGTGTGCCGTCTGCTTCCTATTGTCAATCTCTGTAGGCGAGAAAGTGAGCGCTCTTGGTCCTCTCCAAGATAGACTGGGAAAAGGATGTAAATAGGAAACAAATGTACAGTCAGATATGCACTCTCAATCACATACGGCAGTGGAAAGCAGTGAACGGTTCACGCAGCCTATGCATTAACAATACCATTACTTGTATTTCTTATATATCACCTAGCCCGGCCAGGCAATACAGCCCAAGCCCCCTCCTCCAAATGTTTGAGAGCCCGACAAGACTTTCTCTCGCCTGTTTGTATTCTACCGCTGTACCAACTTGCTTTGTAACTATGACACCGCGACGAGGCGTGTTGCGGTTGTGCCCACCGGCCCTTCTCTGTTTGTTTCAACAGCGGCCAGTATTGTATGCGGCGATGTATGCCGCCATCCGTCAGACATTTGTGTATTGACCGATCCGGGGCGGCCGGGCTCGTTGCGGCTGACCTCTGCCTTCCAGCAGCGGAGCTAAGTGGTACAACCTCCAGTCGTTTTTCCTGGCTGGGAGGCAGATGGCTGACGTTTGATGCTCCATAGAGCTGTGAGGGTCAAAAAGTGCCCCAAGTTTTGTTGATTTGTTCGAGGCTTCGGTGGCAAGAGTCGGGGGAGTAAGGGATCTCGACATTGACTTCCAAACAATAACCGAATCCTAAGGCGCCGCGTCTTTCGTGTTGGGTGTGGGCGATCACGAGAATCATAATCCAATCTCTGGATCGTCGTCGTCGGTTCGCGTTGTATCCCTTCCCCAGCAGGCGGGGCGGCTGCCACAGGGTGTCGAGTGGGCGGGTACACTCAATACAGCTCTTTCATCCCAGCCCCCCGCGTCCTTTTCATGGACAATTTCCCACTACCACCACCACACCCACGCCCGCCCCGAACAGCCCGCCCAAGCGACGCAACCAGCCCAGCCCCCTAGTCCTTCGACCTCGCCGTCGCCCGCTGCAGCAGCGCCGCCGCCCTCTGCAGGCGCGAGAAGCTCCTCGACAGGCCCGGCCTGTGCGCGTCCACATCCGAGTCGCTCGTCCCGCCCAGATCCGACGACGACGAGGACGCGGCACCCAACCCGGCCCCCGACCCCGCCGCGCCGCCGCCGCCGTTCGTGCCCGCCAGCGTCGGCAGCAACCTCCCGCGCGCCCGCGACTTCCACACGAAATACCCCGCCGCCGCCGCCGTCTCGCCGCCCGGCGCGGGTGATGATTTCAACCTTTGCGCCGCAGCAGCAGCAGCAGCAGGCCCCGTCCCCGTCCCCGCCCCCGTCCCCTGAACAGGCGCGGAAACAGGCTGGCTGGGCGGGCGGACCAGAAAACGCTTCTGGCGCGGCCCGGAGGTGGTGGCCCAGCGGGGCTGGCAGTCCTCGGGCCAGGCGGCCAGGTTGCGGATCTCGGCGTCGCGCTTGTGGGAGGCGGCGGCGGTGGCGGCGGCGGCGGCGCTCTTGCTACGCGGCGACGACGACGACGACGGCCGGCGCACGCGCAGCAGCAGCTCGCTGAAGAAGCGCTTCCCCGGAAGGAGGCCGCGACCGGTCCCGGGTGAGTGCAGCAGCCCCGTGCTGCCGCCCCAGCCGGAGCTGCCGTTGCCGGCCGTCGTGCTGGGGGGGCGGCTGCAGAGGCGGCAGACTTCGGGTTCGGGGGTGGTGGGTTTGGATTTGGTCGAGGAGGGGGAGGCGGTTCGTTGGAGGATGGCGCGCACGTTGTCTGCGAGCTGCGCGCTGGTCTTGGCTTTCCGGCCGCGGTTGGCGCCGTGGTGCTCGATGGTCTCGGAGCAGGCGCAGTACGTCTCTTCGCCGTAGCTGCTGACGGCTTGGCTCCAGCCGCGGATCCAGTCAGCCTTCTTGCCTTGGTTCCTGCGCGGGAGGAGTTGCTGGCGAGTCGCGAGCCAGTCGGTGGGTGGTGGTGTGGTGTCGTCCCTGGTGGGCGGCGGCCGTGTCTCCTGAATTTGTGCTTCTTCGGGTGCTGGTGGTCGTTGCGGGGTCACTGTTCGTGGTTCTTCTCGTACTGATGCTGGCTTCGGCTCTGCGACTGCCCTTACTGGGCTTGAAATGTCCTGGGATAACTCTGGTTTGTCGGAAGGAGGGTTGGTGGTATCGGAGCATGGTGTTGCTTGAGCCATAAACTCAGACAGAGCGAGGGGCGCCGGGCTTTGCGGCGTGGGGAGGCTCCGGGGCGATGCGTTGCTCGAGAGATCCATGATTGTAATATATGTACAAGCGATCGAGATCGACGGGTGCGGTCTGGGGGGTGAGGTCTTGGTGTCGCGTGCCCGGTATTATAGCTCCTTCTAAAGGCAGGGTAGGTCACCGCTTTCAGGGCGTTTTGTGCTCTGTGCTTGAAATGTGTCAACTGGCAGAGTCGAAACTAGCGATCAAAAAGGAAAAGTCTCCAAAGTTCCCAAGATCCCAGCAAGGAAGGGATTGAAGGGATCGAGATCAGCTCACCTGGCCTGTCACACAGAACGATGTGAGATGCGCCTCGAGTCTCTTTTGTCCGACCCTTGAGGTACCAGAGGTAACACACGGCCTTCCAATGATCGAAGGGGCGCGTAGAGATAGAACAAGTAATTCCAGCTTGTGTCCTGTTCCACTTCGTGAACACTGCGTTGTGTCACCGGAAAGCGACAGCGGTATCGGTCACCATGGCCTCGGAACTGGAAACACACTCCAATCTTCCAATCTTCCAATCTTGGTCCCTCGCAGCAGCCAGTAAAAATATAATTGAGGCGTTGTGATGTAATAATCCACCGCTGGTTGACCTCGTCCCTCGTGGAGTTTGCAGATTCAATTATTTCAAGTCGAAAAATGGGCGTGCACAAGCGAAAGCACGAACCAGAACTTGAACCCAGAACCAGAACCACAGCGCCGTCGGTCACCCTCACGCGCTTTTGCTTCCACTTGGCGTGGGTGCTGTGGGTTCATCCCCGACTCCCCGGTTCTCGGCAGGCAAAAGTTGCTGTGAGTTCAGCTTGGCGAGGGTCCTGGTGACCTCTTTTGGTTGAGGGCCCAGACCGCTACCGGACTAGCGCACGGCTTGTGCCTCAGGAGTGCCGCAGCCGGGTCGTTGCAGGCACCCAAGACAGGATGTGGAGAATTTCACCGGAAACCGCTGGTATTTGGTATTTTGTTGGAACGCACCTGGTTAGCGTTGTGGGAGAGAGGAATGAGCAATGGTTTCGTGATGGTCCTTGAAGGAAGGACAGGCAGGTTCTGAGATAATCGACAATAACCAAAGTTACATTCTCGAGATTGTAAGTCTTCTTGATCGACAACCTCGGTAGATACCTTATGTACAAGCAGGAGACTCCCAAAACACATTGCATATGTAAATGACGTAATTTGGTAGATGGTGCAGTTGGCGGCTGAACGATCGGGGTCGAGAGAGATCAGATCGTAAACCTGGTGAAAATCATTCGGTTCTTCGGCATTGTTAACATGCATCGTAACTCCAGTTTAGTTCTCGTTGCCTTGTTTTGTGTTTGCCGTCGAGTCTCACATTCAACTTTTGCCTTGAAGAACTACACAACGGCAACTTGGCAACACAACCCACATTTGAAGAACACTTTGCATAGTCCTCTGCAGTTATACCCCTACCTAGGTAGTCTTATACCGTAGTGTCGGTATCCGTAATCTGTATCAATCCATAGCTCATCCATTGCCAGCTTATCTCGGGCGCATAATTAACCCCTCTTACTAAACCATGTATTTTCCCTCAACCACAACCACAACGCCGTGTTTTGTCATGGCCACCTATCACTTTTGATATTAGCTAGTGCCCTGCCTAGCTTCAACCTTAGAACCCCGTTTCAAAACGCCGTCTAAATACCCATTACCCAAAGGAAACAGCCATGAAACCATCAACATCTTCCTAAGAGGAAGGTTTCAGGGCTTCCCATCCGCCCATCTCTATCGCACCGTCATCCGCCAATAGATCAACTGCTGGCGTCTTCCTAGGTGCCGGCGGAGGCGGCGGCGCCTGCTTCTGAAACGAGGACACGGGAGCGGGGCTCACCGGTTTCCTAACCGGCAACTGTGGTTTGCGCTCTTGTGTTCCTGCCAAACCAACAAGCGGTATCCCGCCCGCAGCCGCCATCCTGTTTTGCCCCATGACCCCCGCGCTAGTATTGGTTCGGCGAGGGAACTGCGGCGGCGGTGGTGTCCGCTCCCTTAGGCTCGCATTTCTAGCCGGCAGCGAGGCAATGCCGCCGCTTAGGTCTGACGCTGAGCCGTTGGCAGAGCCAGGTGTCGACCGTCGGGGAAAACTGGCCACCGATCCCTCCGGACCGTGCAGAGTTGCATCCGAGGTGAGGCTGGACGAGAGGATGCTACTCGCGGGGGAGACGGGGGCCGCGAGATGCGCTGGTTTCTTAGCCACTGGCGGCGCGGCCTTTTGTTTCGCCGCCTGCTCCTCGGGTGCTCCTGGCTTCGGCCCAACGGGCGGAGCAGGCGTCGTCTTATTCACCGGCTTCCGCTTCTGCTGGGCCGAGGGAGCGGGGGAACCAGTTCCTGATCCGGTACCCATGCTCGTCTGACGCCGTGGAGGAGGCGGGGGAGGCATTTCTGCATGCAAGCTCTTGATGTCGTCGTTGATTTGCATCCTTCCCATCTTGGTAGGAAGCATTGATGGGTCGTAAGGGGGCGGCAGCTTTCTCGGCGCCGAGCTCGACGCTGAAGACGAGAGCAACGTGGAATGGTTGACGTGCTCGTACGGCGAGGTCGACATGCTTGAAAAGGATGACAAGCGGGATTCAGACCTGGGAACACTGACCCAGTCCGGCTCGTCAGTTGGCGCGTGGGGGTTGGTCGGCCGCTTTGGGTTCAGGATGATTTGTGACCCTGGGTTGTCGGGCTTAGGTGGGCTGATAGAGGACTTTGCCATTTTTCCGTTGTCCAGCCACCACTTTTGGCGATCGGAACTCGCCGGTGGAAGACCGGGCTCAATGGCATCGTACCCTATCAGATCCTCGTCGTCTGACTCGTTTGCAGCCAGATTCGCCGTATCACCCCCAACCTCGGCTTTCCGCCGTTCGTACACCTCCCGGCTGATCTTGTCTCGTCGCTTCTCATTCACGATGTTGACAGTACACTCGAAAATAGCGTAGACCGGCCGGTGGTCGGAGAAGCGTAGTGGTGCCGAGTTGTACGCTAACTGCCGAAGGTTTGACCCCTTTCGAAGGATGCGATCGGTCCAGGCGGGAATACGTGCTTTCTCACTATAATCCATGTTAGCAATAGATAGCTTTCACATGCACCCACGAAGCCACTCACGAGCTATCAAAGTCGTCGGTGCCAACATCATACTTGTATGTCGGCATGAAGGTTATCCGAGCCTCGGAATAAAAGCGAAAGGAAAGCCCCGCCACCATTTGCAGGTTCAGCTGGTCGTTTTCGAACAGTCGCTCAAGATTCCGCCTCTTCACCGCATCCTTGGCTGCCTCCAGCCCGAGCCCGACCCGGTAGTTGAAGTCGCCAAACCAAATCACCGAGTCTAGCTGGGTGTTAGTCTTGACAACTAACCAAATCGCAAGTGGATCTGGGTCTCTTACCATGGTCGGCTATCCCTCTGTTCCTCTGGAACCAGAGGCCTTGATCGATAGTGGCATAGTCTCGGTTTCTCTCCTCGTAGTTGGCGAATCCTGCTGCTAAGTGTGCAGTTACGAAGCAAATGGGCGTGTTTGCGTAGTCCAACCGGATGGCAACCGCCCCCTTGTTTCCAGCCATCCCTGACATTCCTGTTTTCTTGACACTACCCTCCACATTTTTGATATTGTGAAGCACCGAGGCCTTGACAAAGATGCATAGCGCAGCGCCGACAAGTTGGCCGCTCCGCAGCAAGACATACTTCTCGTCCCCATCTCGGTTATAATGCTGGTCCAGCGTGGCTTTGATGGCCCGTTCCCACAGCTGTTTTCTTGTTGGGTCGCTGTTCATGATTTGCTGGGGATTAAGCTCAACTATCTCCTGGAATCCAATAGCGATGATTTCTGGCTGAATAGAACCAAGCTCAGAGGGCCAAAGCCAGGAAGACAAATCCTCACTGATGCCATCAGTCCTCCCATTGAGGTTGAATGTCCCCACGAGGCTATTGGCGTTAGTAACTTCCTTGAGCAAACAGATCTCCTCTGGCACTTACATATGAATCTTCTCGTTTGTGGAAAATTCGGCGTTCCGCCGCTGCAGCTCACCGGCAACATAGTCGCTGATGGGATCGAACAGAATGACGGGCGCCTGGCTAACTAGCCTCCCAAGCAAGGTATCGATAGTAATTTGGCGTGCTTTGTCGGCGAAGTTGTTGTAGTAAAGTCGTGTAGCTGACTTTCGGACATCGGCAATGGCTCCGGCAAGCGACATCTTTCCAGTGCGCGTGAAGGAGGACTTCAGGGCGCCGGTGCCGGCGTAGATTTTGGATAGGGAATCGCCATTGTCAGCCCACAGGTTAGCATGACGAGACCAAAAGTCGGATGGCGCCCTCTCCCCTCTGTGGCCGAGAAAGGATTCAACGGCCATTTGTGAGATGATTGTCTGAATGAGGTTTGTCCTGTCTAGACAGTCAAGGCAATTTGTCCTGAAGACACCCTCCTGCTGTAGAACCACGACAGAGCGGCGCTTCTTATGGCCACCCACACTGCCGTTCGACGGCCCCATGTCATCCGACTCCTGAGCAAGATAGTACGCAAATCCGTCGGCCGAATCTTCGATGTATCGACGAATTTCGTTGGCCGCCACATACCCCTGGGGCCCCTTGGTCTCGGCATGGAAATCATACTCGGTCTCTCTTAGTAACGCATGATCCCTGGACTGGCTACCCTCTGGTCGGCTGAGGGGGCAATTTTGGACGCCGAGTCGGTAAAGGGTCGTGAGCTCGTACTCCCCGGGTTTCGTGGCACTCAAGAGGTTCACAACATGAACGGCGCCGTATGCTTGCTCCAGGTCGGAGAAGTGCTTGTCGAATGCTGGTTGTGTCCCGTCCGCAGAACGCGTGACCGTTATTTTTTGCTGGTTCGGTATCAGACCAGCAGCTTGCTCCCAGAAGACCGGCACCGAGCCTCGTACTTGGGCGTACGAGAATACTACCCCGGACGGGCTCCAATATGTTGTCTCTGATTCGACGAAATTGGCCACGTTCCCATCGTCGTCGATTCCCCGTGAATTGAACCTTGTGCCGGCTCGTCTACACGACAATCGGGAGATGATCGTCAAGTAGGATGGCAAACCCGTCTTCGCAGAGCCCAATGGCGCCATGTTTTGTGGTATTGCCCAACTCCTGCAGAAACCACGGATCGCAGAGGTCAGTATCCTCGATGCGTCCAGTGCGTCCCGCTCTTGCTTTTGTAACCGGGATCGAAACAGAACGAGTGGTCGAATCATGTAGGAATTCCACAGGAAGGATTCGTCAAAGTTATCTATATCGAATTCCGCAGCATCGGCCGGTCTAAATCGTGTCAGTGCCGTGTTCATCGTAGACCTTCAATGCTGCCTTCCTACCTGTCCTGCATGCGGTTCGTAACATCAAAGTCGGTGCTATAATAGAACGTCCCGTTTCCAAGTAGCTTCTGTAGCTCCAGGCAAGGGTGTTCCATTGTGACGTCCCTCCTGCCCAGTCCTTGCCCGTATACCGATGCTGCGTCTGATTCGAGATCGTAGGGGTCGAGGGCTACGACGTCATCGTATTCGGCCGAGTTGAGGCAGAAGAACTGCACGGCCTCGATCTTTTCAACTGTCTCGCCCGGGCGGAGCGTTGCGACCCGCGAAGCCTGCGTGATGACGCATAGGAACACATCTCGTTCGATCGATATGAGCCCGAGCGTTCCGTAGATGGGTCGTGGAGTTAAGGGGCGGTAGTCTTCGAGTAACTGGTCGGATGCTGTAGAGAACTCCACCATGCACTTGGACGCATTGTTGTCAAAGGTGGTCGAGCGTTGGCGGCTAGCCGACACAGAGGCAAGTGACCCATTGGCGATCGCTTCGCTTGTTGTTGTGCTGTGTCGCAAGATCAGGGCATGCGAGTTCGATGCGATTGCGATGGCTCGGTGGGGGTATTCTCGAATTAGGATCTGACTGGACTTCTCGGGGGACGGCGGTTGGCCTGACCACAAGGCTGTCGAGGGTGGTGGGCCATGATTGTAGTCCATGTTGGTCGTAGGTAAAGAGGGGCTGCGATGTGATTAATACGAGGACAGCTTGCAAGGTCGAGCGCAGCCGTCATGGCGGTCTCAGAGCGAACGAAGATGGGCCAATTGGGCGCCAAGATGTGTGAGGTTTTGCGTGAGTGACTGGTAGCTGGCAGTGAGCAACTCGAAAGTACTTCGTACACCCAAACAAGTCGACATTAATGCACAATATCGGGTTGGAATGCAGTCGAGGGGCATTCGCTTTGTAAGAACGCGAGAGCAGCCTGACGTGCCTGCCCGGCTGGGCGCTTTTCAGCTGCACATCCTGTCAGCCGCCTTGCTGATCGCCCCTGCACACGGTTACAAGGAGGAGCTGGGAAAGCGCGGGGCTGCTCGAGTGCGGGGGATCCTGCCTGCCTCTCGTTTCAACGTCCGGAAGATGCTTGTTGAAGCAACAAGGCAAACCTTTGAGAGGCAATGAAGGGTTCGAGCATTCAAGCTGGGTACAGACATGGCCAACATTAAACAGATTGGCGGAAATTTTATTGAAAGCAGACATTACTTCCTCGAGGTAGGAGGACTTGGGCATTGGGATTTTATCATTAAATTAAGCTAGGCAATCATGAAAACTGTATGTGGGCTTGATTCGTTTCGCAAGAGGTGATCGTGCCACCCAAATAACCGCGTCTTTGAGTGTCAAAAATTCGGGAGTCGGATTTTTTAATGCAGTTTTTGATAGTAAGGTACTAGCAAATCCCAAAGGAAGTGCCAGGAAAGAATATGAGAGAAAAACATTTGGTGGCTTCAGGAATAATCAATATGAGATCATGCTCTCCGTTTCTGGAGAAATCAGCCTCTTCCTATCATGTTTGTTTATTGATTCGATCATCATTAGCCTGGAGAAAGAAAAGAAGAAAATTCGAGCAGTCGTAAAAAAAAGTTGAGTTAAATGGGCAACCGATTACCTAAGCGCCCCATTCAGCTCAGACTGGCCCAACCTGGAAGCGTGCCAAGCCAGATGTTCCAGCGCGAATCATAAGTGGGCCCTTGCTTGACCAGCAGGCCGCTTTTTTGCATTTGACTTCCAACCTCCAGCCCCCGGATTCCATCACTCTTACACCTCGTCCACCCGCCTTAGAAGCCTCAACGCCAAATCCCGTATCGTTTTGAAACTACACGCTCTCGCATCAATATCTCTGGCTCGTGGCTCGGAATTTCGATAACCAAAAAGAAGCCTTACTGCCTCCCGATCCGCGACCATGGCCGACTTCGCCAACTTCGGAGGCACCGACGAGGAAAACGCTGAGATCAAGCGGCTCAATGCCGACGTGGTAAGTGCGGCGCTTCCCATTTTGAAGCGCAACCGATATCTAACCCATATTGCGACAGGAAACGGATACCGACAACTTCGAGAATTGGGAGAAGTTGATTCGCGCCTGTGAGGGCCTTGAGGGCGGGCTCAACCGAAACTCGAGTCCGCAGGCCTTGGCAACCCTCCGCGACTCCTACGATCGTTTCCTCCTCAAATTCCCTCTCCTCTTTGGCTACTGGAAAAAATATGCCGACCTCGAATTCAACATCTCGGGCCCAGAGTCCGCCGAAATGGTATGCTTTCGGTCTCACGATGGTATCAAGCGAGGTCAGGCTGACACGGTTGCTAGGTGTACGAGAGGGGTTGTGCCAGCATCACGAACTCGGTCGATCTGTGGACCGAGTACTGTTCTTTCAAGATGGAAACCACTCACACTCCCCACCTTGTGAGAGAGTAAGTATAGGCGGACCGTTTCCTTCCCTGCCCCATGACTCCTCACCCGCAGCAAACCTGCGAGGCTGGCCCGCGCCGCCGACCGAACCGCCAGAACCATCACTCCGAACCTACAACCATCCGGGACATGGTGAGAGATACCAAAGGCAGCTGCCACCCTCTGCTGGGATCGTTCTCTCACAAACTTTAACCAGGCTCTGTGTGCTGTGGCCTCGTCCTCACTTCCCGTTCGCACTTTTCCCGGAATTGTTGTCTGGCCTCCTCAGATGGATCGCACCACTTACACACAAGTCCCCTATTGTATTTACACACCCTTCCCAATTCGCCCCACCCCATCCCGTTGCATTTGTTCCCAGCTGACACGGGCTCCAGGCTCTTCGAGCGCGCCGCTTCGCACATCGGCCTGGACTTCCTCTCCCACCCCTTCTGGGACAAGTATCTGGAATACGAAACGCGGCAGGAGGCGCAAGACAAGATTTTCACCATTCTCAACCGCGTCATCCACATTCCGATGCATCAATATGCTCGCTACTTTGAGCGTTTCCGGCAGCTCGCCCACGCTCGGCCTCTGGAGGAACTCGTCTCAGCGGACATGCTGGCTCGGTATCGTGCGGAGGTTGACAGTGAAGCCGCACAGTTTGGCGTGCAAAAGCCCGAGCTCGAGATTGAGCGTGACATCCGTGCCAAGATCGACGCCTCTTTCTACCAGGTCTTCCAGCGCACCCAAGAGGAGACCAGCAAGAGGTGGACGTACGAAGCCGAGATCAAGCGCCCGTATTTCCACGTCACGGAGCTCGAGCATCACCAGCTGATCAACTGGCGGAAGTACCTTGATTTTGAGGAGGCCGAGGGTGGTTATCAGCGGATCGTCTGCCTGTATGAGCGATGCCTGGTCACCTGCTCCCTCTATGACGAGTTCTGGCTTCGGTACGCTCGGTGGATGTCGGCACAGGACAACAAGGACGAAGAGGTCCGCAACATCTACCTGCGCGCGGTCACCCTTTTCGTTCCCATCAGCAGGCCGGGTGTCCGACTCCAGTTCGCCTATTTCGAGGAGATGTGCGGCCGGGTCGAGATCGCCCGGGATATCCACGCCGCAATCCTCACGCAGTTGCCGGATTGTGTCGAGGCTATCATATCGTGGGCCAACCTCCAGCGGCGACAGAGTGGCCTGGACGCGGCGATCGAAGTGTATAAGGCGCAGATCGATTCCCCCGTGGTGGACATCTTCACAAAAGCTGCGTTGGTTACGGAATGGGCGTTTCTGTTGTGGAAGGTCAAGGGCTCCGTTGATGAAGCGCGGGCTTCCTTTGCCAAGAACGTCGATTGGTACGCCGACAGCCGTCACTTTTGGCAAAAGTGGCTCGAATTCGAGCTGGAGCAGCCGACCAATGCGGACGTGGAGACGGAGCATGCCGGGCGGGTCAAGAACGTCTTTGCTGAGATGAGCACCAAGAGCCGTCTTTCGCCGAGCATCAAACAGGAACTGGGCCAGGTGTATCTGAGCTACCTGCAACAGCGCGGGGGCAAGCAGGCCATGAAGGAGTTCCTCATCATCGACCGGGAGCTGTTCGGGTAAGCAGTTCATTATCCATTCAATGCGCGGTAGTGAGCGATACTAACTGAAGACACAGACCCCAGTCAGTTTCTCTCATCACCAAGGCGAAGCAATCTAAAGAGAGTGCTGGCCTTCCAGCGCTTGACGATGCAACCCGCCCCAAGGCGGAGAGACGTTTCTACAACTACTTCGAGTTGCACACAGATCCGGATCCGAACGCACAGGGGCCCGCTAATTTCGATTAAGTTGATTTGAACGGGGAAATCGGTACGATCAGCGAGTTGGTAATGGCGACGCTTCTCATATATCGCGCTTCAATGTACATCGCCATGGCTTTGTGGCCGTCTTTTCCGAAGGAGGACGTGTGTGCGGGAACAAATGTTGTTGGGCTGGCCAGCGAAAGAGAAGCGCACTCCTTTGTTCCGAAGTCGGGGGAGCAGATGTTGGGCAGTTGTGGGCTCAGAGGTCTTGACAATACCTCCATAATGGGAGCCCGGAGGAGTTGGCCTAGGCATACGGGATTATTATGTATGGATTATGTAGCACTATTGGCATGGTGGAAGCTTCAACTGTTTCTTGCTCGTCTAAGCGTTCTTCACTTGTGCTTCCAATGAAATGTGTACTTGGTACGTCACCAGGTGTGAGAGCTGGTTTAGAGTACCCTTTGGGGTTCATTCGGCAATCATGTTCTGATTGCTGCAGGGCGATGACTGATGGACTTCTCAAGGCTGTTCCGTCATCGGCCTCGTTCCGAAGCGGGAGAGATCCAGAGCAGGTCCCACGTGCCGGGCCGGCCGGGCTGCTTCCGTGTCAGACCATGCTGACTTATCATTCAACAGGTCAAGACGGGATTCAACACGGCGTGTCGCCACTGCCCAAGCACCAGACCGCGGATGAGTGCTGTAAAACGTTGGATAAGCCGTATATTCGGCGGTTTGTGTTTCCTAATGACCAAAAAAGGTAACATTGGCACCGCTTAAAAGCAAGGGGAGGTGACTCCGACTGTTCTCTGTGTACATAGTAGAGATATGTAGAGTGATACAGATTACCGACTTGTAACTACCGAGCCCCCGGTGCTCCTTCAATGGTTGAGTCAGAGAGCCCGTTCCACTTGCAACGACGAAGGCAAAACTCAAATTGGGAACCCCGGCTGACAGGCTGCTCGGCACTCCTCGGAGAACCCTCGGCTCCGTCATCAAGGTTTCGGCGCGCCTCCGGGAAGCCCCACCCGTTTTGTTCCGCCACCACGAGAGAACGGATTCGTGAGTCGAAGTTCGGGGAAGACGGGGCGCACCGCGACCCTTGACCTGTCTCACACTGTAGAACGACCCACCGGTGGGCTCACTCCACACCCCAATCGACCACTCATGATGCGCCTATAACTTTTTTTCGATTTCATTCCACTCGCCATTGGCAAACCCCCGAAGCCGAAGGGTCATCCCCCGTTACCACCTGCTTGGCCCTCTGATTACGCATCTTCTGCCCCATCACGCCTTTCTGGTGGCCAGTTGTTTCTGATATTTCTGTCCTTGTCATCCAGACCTCTCTCTTTAAATTGCCGGATCTCAAGGTGAGCCTCCCCGAGCGTCGCTTTCCCTCCTGCCCTGCATTGCCCTTCTCTTATCGGCGATCGGAATTCGCGCCCCATCGCACTGAAGCTCCCCCACCAAACACTCCCTCCGGACAAACACCCGAACCTGACTTCGCGTTTCGCAAAAAATCACAGATGTCGACTGCCACTCGCACTTTCGCTCGCGCTCTGCGCACCTCGACCCGGCCTGCGTTCACGGCGGCGCCCCGGGTTGCTTTCCGTCAGGGTGGCCACCGCTTCTACTCGTCGGAGCCCGCCGCGAAGAAGGGTTCGTCGACCTGGCTCTGGCTCGCCGGTGCTGCTGCCGTCGGCGGCGGTGGCTGGTACTTCATGAACAGCCAGGGCTCGGCCACGCCCAAGGTCGTCACCCCCCAAGTTCGAGGACTACCAGGCGGTGTACAACGAGATTGCGAACCGCTTGGAGGAGAACGACGAGTACGATGACGGCAGCTACGGCCCCGTCCTGGTCCGCCTCGCCTGGCACGCCAGCGGCACCTATGATGCTGCTACCGGTACCGGTGGCAGCAACGGTGCCACCATGCGCTTCGCCCCCGAGAGCGCCCACGGCGCCAATGCCGGCCTGAAGGCCGCTCGTGACTTTCTCGAGCCTGTGAAGCGTAAGTTTTGTAGCACACCGCCTATTGGGAGTGGCCGGTGACTGACAACCAAAACAGAGAAGTTCCCCTGGATCACCTACTCCGATCTCTGGATTCTCGCCGGCGTTTGCTCCATCCAGGAGATGCTCGGCCCCAAGATCCCCTTCCGCGCCGGTCGCCAGGACAAGGACGTTGCCGCCTGCACCCCCGACGGCCGCCTGCCTGACGCCGCCCAGGCCCAGGACCACCTCCGAAACATCTTCTACCGCATGGGCTTCAACGACCAGGAGATCGTTGCCCTGGCTGGTGCCCACGCCCTTGGCCGGTGCCACTCTAACCGCTCCGGCTACTCGGGCCCCTGGACCTTCTCCCCGACCGTCCTGACCAACGACTTCTACAAGCTTCTCCTTGACGAGAAGTGGCAGTACAAGAAGTGGGACGGCCCCAAGCAGGTAAGCTGAGCCGGAAATTCTCGCGATGATTCCGAGTACGGTTGCTAACGCGAGAAATAGTACGAGGACAAGAAGACCAAGTCGCTCATGATGCTGCCGGCCGACATGGCGCTGGTTGAGGACAAGAAGTTCAAGAAGTGGGTCAAGGAGTACGCTGCCGACAACGACCTCTTCTTCAAGGACTTCTCGGCCGTCGTCACCAAGCTCTTCGAGCTGGGCGTGCCCTTCAAGGAGAACACCGAGAAGTGGGTGTTCAAGCCCGTCAACGCCTAATCTGGGCTTGATGCGGCCGCTCGAGGAGGATGGTATGCGACTTCCGCAGCGTGGGCGGCGTTCTGATTAGAGGAGCTTGGGGCATCGTCTAGACGGAGGATAATTAATGCTGGCTTCGGAGCCGGGCTCAACCCCTTGACTGGCTGGCGTGTCCGCGTTAGAACGGGTAGGTTCGCGGCCGATCGCAACTGCTGTATTACATGGCTTCTTCAGCGTTTCCTTCTCGTGTCTAGCAGACTAGATTTGTAAAATAGAGTGGATGAATTTAAGTCACTTAAGAAGAGCAACCAGTTCGACTCGGGGGTGTGAGGTGTGTGAGAGGTCGGGGAATTTGCATCAAAGGGGAGGCAGGGTGTTTAAAGACGTTCCAAAGGCGGGGGAGGTGTCGCGTGGCATTGGTTGTGTAACCGACAGGGGCAATCATGACTGGGAGATCAACGAGGACTTGGGTGTGTTGGGTATCATCGGCACCTCGCCGTTGCGGTGTTGCTGCTGAATTGTCCGGGTTCCCCGCATACCGGGAGCTCTGGACATACATACAGGTACGCAACCAGTGGCAACTCCAAGGGGTTGAGGTCCCGAAAGATGGGTTAGGGTTATGCAACTGCTCTTATCGTTTTTTCTTATCCAACTTTCCGTCCTCTAAACTGTTCAACAACCCGCAAACCACCACCACTAGCTCTCAGGAACACAATGGCGACCGCCCGAGTACCGGTGCTACGGCACCTCCTCAGCTGCCAAACACGGACCCTGCGCGCCTCGAACCAGCGGCGCTGGGCCCAAGTCCACGACGTGCGCTTCCTCACAACGACTCAACAGCCGCGCAACATCCTCGAAAAGTACCGCGACAAGCTCGACCGCAAGGCCCGCGAGGAGGGCCATACCGACATTGACTCCCTCAAGGCCGCCTACGCCGACAAGATCCACACCCTGCGCAAGGAATCCGACACCATCCTCACCGCAACCCCCGAACAACCACCACCACCACCCCCATCCAGCCCAACAGGCCCAACCCCAAACCCTACCCCGCGCCCCCCAACCGGCAGCACCGGCATCAAACCCCTCTCCGCCATCCTCGACCTCCCCAAAGCCTCCGCCCTCCCCACCGCCGAACTAACCGCCATCTGGCGCCTCCGGCACGCCGCCCAGCCCAACTCCCTCTGCGCCACCATCCCGACCCCCACATTCAGCACCATGGACTCGCTCGCGCGCACGAACCCACAGTTCGTGCTCCCCGTGCCCCACCCCTCGCAGGGCGCGGAACTGCATTTCCTGCAATGGACGTGGGATGCCGCGACGCGCAGTGCGACGGTGCTGTTTACCCAGCTGGCGGAGTATAAGGCGAGGGGGGAGTTTGCGGCGCCGCATACGACGGTGACGCATTATTTGGATTTAATGGGGCGTGGTGGTGGTGGTGATGGTGGTGGTGGGGAGGGGGGGTTGGAGGGGGTGGTGCTGATGCAGGGGACGGTGATGGAGGATCGCGGGGTGAAGGTGGATGATGCGAGGTGGTTGGTTATGTGCTTGCAAAGGTTTTATGGGGGGTGGGATGGGGTTGGCGGGGAGGCGGGGAAGGTAAGGGCGGAGGAGAGGAGGCGGTTGTTGGAGTGGTTTGGGAGGGGGGATGGGAGGTTTAGTGTGGAGCGGTTGTTGGAGGAGGCGGAGAGGATGGGTTGAGAGGGGGAAGGGGGAGGGGTTGTAGGATATTGGGATTGTATCTTGGGAGTGATATAGAGATGGTGTCTAGAGGTGTATTTGTATTAGAGGATAGATGATGTGCCGATGGCAGTGAATACAGGCTCTCCGAAGAGAATATTTGACAGCTATAGCCTTGCCCCAGACGCTCGCTGCTCCTTTTTCACCTGTTCCCGCATCACCCGCCTCAACACCTTACCGCTGGGTGATTTCGGGATCTGGTCAACAAACCGTATTCCCCCGCGCAGCTTCTTGTGAGGTGCGACCTGGGTTGCCACCCAGTCTGCGAGCTCCTGTGCCTTGGCCTCGCTCGCTTTTACACCGTCGCGAAGTACCACATACGCCCGAGGTACTTCCGTCGCCTTCGCTTGGTCCTCGATGCCGATGACACATGCATCCGCCACCTCCTTGTGGCCTATCAAGACGCCTTCTAGCTCCGCTGGCGGGACGGGGTAGCCGTCTAGACGAGTTAGTAATGAGTGAGAGCGCAATCGCGAAAAGGAAGAGTGCACGTACTGTACTTGATCAGCTCCTTGAGCCGGTCCACGCAGTAGAAATTGCCGTGCTTGTCGCGCCGGAAGACATCCCCCGTCTTGAAGAAGCCATCAGGTGAGAAGGCCTCCTTGGTTCGCTCCGGGTTTTTGAAGTACCCTGGGAAGACATTCGGGCCTTTCAACCAAAGCTCGCCGGACTGTCGAGAAGGTTAGCTTATACATGTAACAGAAGAAAAGAAAGTCAACAAGGGAAGAAACGCACCTCCCCCTCCTCCACCTCCTTCCCATCCTCTCCCACGATCTTGGCGCTCATGTTGGGCATAATCTTCCCAACCGACCCCATAAACTTCCCCCACTCATCCACCACCTGACAACACACCACTGCGCTCGTCTCAGACAAACCAAACCCCTGCTTCACGGGCACATGGATGCGATTCCACACGGCCTCGGTCAACTCCCTCGTCAAGGGCGCAGCCCCAGAGTGCAGGACCTTCAGCGACGTCAAATCATACTCATCCACCGCCGGGTGCTTGCTAAACGCCAGCACAATCGGCGGGGGCACATACGCAAACGTAATCCGATGGCGCTCGATGGCGCGCAGGGCACGGAGCATATCGAAGCGCTCTAGCACAACCAGCTGCCAGCCCTCGTAGACGGACATGAGGACGCCGCAGGTGAGGCCGTAGATGTGGAAGAAGGGCAGGACGCCGAGCTGCTTATCGCCGCGGCCGTCGGCCCCCCCGCGGGGCCGCCACTGGCTGCCCTCGACGTAGCTCGCCTGCAGCACGTTGGCCACCATGTTGCTGTGTGTTAGGCACACGCCCTTGGGTAATCCCGTCGTACCGGAGCTGTAGACGAGGAAGCCGATCTCTTGCGGGCTGATCTGGGCTTGGGTGTGTTGGTTTGTGGTGGTGGTGGTGCTGCTGCTGTGGATGCTGGAGAAGTCTGCCTGGATATGTCAGTTGGGTCTTGTTCTATGGCTGGAGTATCACGGGGCGCTGGCGGGTGCTACATGGAGCTGGGAAGGGGGCAAAAGGAGAGCAGCCTAACGCACGGCGGATCTGCCCCGAGGGGTCGCGGTGGTTGCCAAGGAGGATGACGCGGTCGAGCGGGAGACTGGCTTTTTGTGCGGCGGCGATGGCAATAGGGAGGTTGGCTGGCTGGGTTACGAGACCCTTCGCGCCGGAATCCCGGAGCTGGAAAGCTAGTTCGTCGACGGTGTAGAGGGGGTTAGCCGGGGAGACGATGGCGCCGGCCCAGAGGGCGCCCAGGGTGAGTATGGGGGTCTGGATGTTGGTGTTACTGGCAGCTTCACTTATGACCAAGCGGGAAAGTATCACAAACGTCAATAGAGTTGGGCGTGTAGAAAGCTAGAACATCGCCCTTTTCCCACCCCCAAGTGGCCTTCAGTCCCTTGCCAAACTCAATAGAGGCACTCCGCAGGTCGGCCCAGCTGTAGGAGCGACCTGTCTCGTCGCATGTTAGGATCTCCTTGGTTACGGGGAAATCTCGACGCTTATTTCCTAGGAGGAGAGTCCAAAGATCGATCCCGTCGGGGATATCAAGCGGCGGGAAGGTGGATGGATACGGCATTGTGAGTGACGAGAAAGCCGAATCACGATGGGAAGCGTAAGGCGAAGGTGCAGCTCTCAACTCCTAAGGGGGATACAAAGGGTAAGAGGTGAGTGAGAGCGAGAAGGAGCTCTCAATCGCTCAGTTTCGGAATTGGAGGTTGGTGTTGACATAACCCGAGCGTCCTGCTGTCATGCCAGCCATGTTTCCAGAGTACACAGTACATTTACATCCGATGTGGTTAGTCGCGTGCTGCATGTTCGGCCATGGCTGGCATCGGCTCTCCAAATCGGTCTTGGATCGTCAATGGGAAGCAAAGCTCGGCCTTGGAGGTCGGTGACAGGCGGTCGGGTTAGCGTCGGCCCCACCATCGGCTCTGAACTCCGGGCGCGAGGGCGGGGAGCGTCAGGTGATGAACGGGCGCTAAAGGTGCCCAGGGAGCCAGCTGGGGGAGCTCAAGGGTCAGTATTCTGTAAGTGGATCAAGCAGCGCTCACCTGCCATCCAACTTCAACTGTTGCTCACAATGAAATCCATATTTCCATCGATAGTAAGATCCCGACTTAATGTTCAATTATCAGTTGGAGCCTCACCTTGGCCACCTACACCCCTTAGTTCTCTTTGCTCGCTTCGTACTATTTCTCTGCTCAATAGATACGCCTAACACACTTCAAGATGCTTTCCGTTGGTGAAAATGCGCGATACCGTAACAAGCCCCTGAAAACAAGCTTCGACGAGTTCTCTAGAGCCCTCGGAAAGAGTCAGTGTTCGAGACTCTCGCGTATTCGGTTTTCTGCACCGCGTCTCTCGTTCATTGAATAGAGCGCCCACAGTACGGAATACACGAGCTGCCGTCGATAATAGGTGGACTCAATTCCTCCGTGTTGGAAGTCTGAAGGGTCAAGGCTCAGGGGCAGCAACAGGGGTCTGAAGCAGAACGGATCAAACTCGCTACCGACTGCGACACCTTCCAAACCGCGCTTGGGTACAAAATATTCTCCATTGGGTCCGCTGCTTGTGAGTCTCGACGCCTTCGTAAACACTGGGCGCTTCCTGGCGCTTCATGGTGCTTCCTGGTGTTTGAGCGAGGAGTCCACTACCCTGGTAACTGTAGTTGACGACATGGGAAGTTGGCAACACATGAGACCACGGAGTCTTGTAGTTTCCCGGTGATGGGGCTTCGTTCGGAGGAGACTAAGAGTTTAAAAGTCGCGTTATCACCAGCTTCACTTTCTCTCCTCTTCCTCTCATCCCATCAACCCACACTGTCTCCCGGCCTTTTTCTTCCCTCTTCACTTCTCTTCTTCACCAACAGCTGTGCTGTTTTGATTAGACGACTTCGACAAGTCTCACGTTTACATCCGAATCTAATACATTTTTTATTTTATCAACCACCACCACCATGTATTTCAAAGCGACAGTCCTGTTCTCTCTTCTCGCCTCGTCCATTGCTCTTCCGACGGGCAATGGAGACCGCAGAATCAAGCGTGGAGTCCTTGCAGTCCAGGACTATGCGGACTTTCAAGTCTCGTCTGGCGTCGCTGGCGATGCCCTGGCCGAAGTGAACGCGAAGTTCCCTGTATGTGTTCTCCCCTCCCTAACATTCCTGTTGCACCCATCACTTACACGCTCAGATTGACCAATCCGACTTCGCCTCGGTCGACGCTGAGGACTTGGAAATCCTCAAGGCAGCACGTGAGACGGCCGAGGCAGCAGAGACAGAGGCTGGGGGGTTCAACGACGCCATTGAGGCTGCCGGAGGCAAGAACACGCCCGAAGGGCAGGCGCTGCAGGCTGGCAAGATCAAGAACAAGGTGCTCAAGCTGCAGCTACAAGTATTGGCTCTGCAGATCGAAGCTGCCCAGGGCAAGGATACGTCCGAGAAACTGGCCAAGCAGCAGACGAAGCTGGACAAGAACGTCAAGGAAGACGAGGCGGCGGCTGGCCAAACGAGTACGAGTGTGGATTTTCAGGGCACCAGTGAACCATAGGCGCCTAGGACGATGCCGGCTTAAACTCAAGTATTTCGGAGAGATCACTACAAATGAAAGAGGAAGTCCGACGTCCCTGCCCACTCCCAAGTAGGAAGAAAGAAATGCCATTAAGCACCTGGATAAACTATGGCACCAACGCGATAACCCTCCACCAACTACTCGCCCACTTCGCGGTCGTCGCTCCAGTGGATGTACGAAATAACCTTCCACCGCCAGGTGGCATGGCGGATCTTCTTGCCCCAAAAGAACAGCGGCACCCATCCGAGTAGCACGGTCGCCGCAATGGCCGCCATCACGCCATACGCGTTTTGGTAGCCGGCCTCGGCAACCCACGGGTTGGTGTAGAAAGAGAGGAGGAAGCCGAACAGGCTCTTAAACGCCATGATGGTCGTGGTGATCTCCCCGGCCACGGGGCGGTAGGCGTCGATGACGTAGACGAGCGCCACGTTGGTGCCCTGGACGATGGCGAAGTTTACTGTTCTGTTAGCTGGGGATTGTTGAAAGAAGGAGACAAAAAAAGGGGAAGCTAAGAGAAGTAAACAACTTACACAACCCAATCCCCACGACGGGCAAAATCCTAAACACACCACGTCAGCACACCACTCAACACACACCCAACACACACCACCCAAACCCCCATTCCCAACCCAAACACCAACCCCCCAAAACAAACAAACCAAAACCAAAAACCAAAAACTCACCAATGCACCCCCCTCCCAACCCCCACCCCAAAAACCACCAACCCCACCGGCCCAACCACCCCAGCAACCCCCATCGCAGGCAATCTCATCTCAGGCTCCCTCACCCCCCCATTCCTCCTCGTAAACCAATCCGCCACCGCATCCCCCCACCTGCCACCAGCCGGAATCCCCACCAACGCCCCCAGCACCGCCGCCACAAAGCACACCCCCACCTGCCAGGAGGTGAACCCGTAGGCCGAGGAGAGGGCGAGCTGCGCGTTGGAGGTGAGGGCGACGAGGAAGCCGATGGTGCTGGCGAAGACGAGGGAGGTGTAGAGCACGGGGGGGAGGGTGATGAGGAGGAGGGGGCGGAGGAGGAGGAGGGGGAGGGGTTCGCGGGTTAGGGGGGAGGAGGGGAAGAGGCGGAGGGTGTGGAGGTAGGGGGTTCGTTTCTTTTGGGGGGGTTGGGTTTCGGGGTCGGTTGGGAGGGTAGTGGTGGTGGTGGTGGTGGTGGTGATGGGGGTTGGGGTTTTCGAGGAGGAGGAGGAGTGGTCGGGGGAGGTGGTGCTGGTTGAGGGGGGAGGGGGGTTGCGGGTGTAGGCTGTTTCCGGGAAGGCAAAGATTGCGATGAGGAGGACTAGGCCGATCAGGGCGGAGGCGACTTGGAAGATTACGCGCCAGTGGTTGTGGATGGTTATTAACCTGCGGAAGTGGTTAGACAAGGCCAGAGAAAAGGGGGGGGAATCAAGGGGTAGCTACCCCGAGACTATCAGGCCGAGTGCCGCGCCGACGGCAAGAAAGGAGCTGTAAAAGGCCATTACACTGCCGCGCTCATGCAGGAAGAAGAGGTCCGCGATGGTAATGGGTGCTGGGGAAAATTGGTCAATGTTTGTGTTGACTCAAAAAGAGGTCGGCTTTCTCACCAACAGTCTCAGCGGCGCCTGCTGCGAAGCCCATCAGGATACGGGCGGCAAGGAACCCACCATACGAGTGCTCGAAACTGCACCAGATGGCTGTGGCAAAGTACATGGCATAACTCAGCACATACGTTGGTCGCCGGCCGTACTTGTTGGCGATGGGGACCCAGACGAAGTTGCCTAGACCCTGGAGCAAGGCGGTGGTCGTGAAGAAATAAGAAACCTTGGCCACCGCTGCAGCAAAAAGCCCAGGGTTCTTGCCGGGATGAGCCCCCGGGAAGAAGTCCATGGCGATCTGGAGCATGGCAATCGAAGGGCCAGCAGCGAGGAAATTGCACATCATCATGGCGAAACAGATGACCGCTGCCATCCAGTACTTGTACCACTGTGGCCTGTTTGTGTCAGCAGTGTTCGAAGTAGGCACTCGAAGGCACTTGGATGGCCGTGGACATACCAGTTTAGGGGATCATTTGGGTCCGAAGAAGGGGTCGGGATCAAGATGATCTCGTTCGTTTCGGGATGGCGGAGACGGACATTGCCCAACGTCCTCTTGCGTGTCTTTTCGACATGACCGACTTCATGATCCGCGTCGAGGGGCGTTGAAATACTGACCTTGTCCATGGCTGAGATGGTGTAGGAGGAGAGCTGACAGGCCTAGAGGCTCTAATGTTGTTATATCAAGGTGCTAAACCTGGTTTAGCATGTCGTGTGGGAGTATTCTCTGTATTTTGCGGGTGGAATGGACACTGCTAAACAACAAAACCGTTACCGCCTCGGTTGCCGTGTTGATAGAAGATGAGAGCAGCGTAGAATACGGGCCAGCCACCCACTCACGGGTCCCCGAAGGGCTTCCATGGCCCCAGCTCCGTTGTGACTTATGAATGTGAATAAACACTAACCTGGGAGTACTGGCAACGTCTGTCACAGTCCCTAGCCGAAGCTTACGTTGCAGGGGGTGTTGGAGCCGCAAGCTTGTTTGCGATCTGCGCAGGGGAAGTGCCTGCGTTTCGGGGCCCACACGGAGATGCCGAAAAAGGCATGAACAAGAGTGTTCGGCAGCGGTCATCTCTAGGCTGTCATGTCCCTGGTTGATATAGCACCTCGTCCCGTAGAGGGACCATCTACCTGTCGGACATTTGGAACAGACTCGTCTATCTCGTGGACTTGGCTGATAACTTGGCGCAGGCTTGTCCGGAGAAGCTTCTACACAGTGCACGACTGTTGAGGAGCTCCCATAACTTGGTTGCATTAAGTTTCTCATGCTACCTTGTAGCTACCTATCTGACATCTTGACTTATGCGTTGGTACCTTGTGGTTCCTGCCCCTGACACCGTCAAGGGGCTATGATGTTGGACTCCTTAAGAACGCTGGTTATGAGTGGGATTACAGCGGCGTCTGGTAGCTCCGAGGTGTGTGGTCTTCAACATGATTTGTTCCCTCTCGAGCGTCTTCTTAAAACACCGAACTGGGTTCTGCTGCGCGTTCGGGCGTCAGTTCCCGATCCGGTGCCCGGGCCGGAATGAAGCTTGCGTACTCCTTTCTAACGATAAGGACGTTAGCGTAAGTCGTTGACAGGAGTTACCGCCTTGGACTAGGGGTACTCCCGCACAGTGACTGCTCGGGAAGGCCATTCATATCGTTACTGTGTCCTTCGGTCAAAGCGAGATACCAATGGAGGAGGCAATCTGTTTCCTATATAACACCAACCCTCCAACGTCGCACTGGCCAAGGACTGGCCCGCTCTTTCGTTGACAGGAATGGGGATGTCCTCAGCGCGGGGATAACCTTGGGCCGAGACTTCTTAAGTTGCCAAGCAGAAATATATTGGTGGCCGGAGATCCCCAACTTCGCAGATGTACCCCGTCGCGATGCTCGAGATGTTGTTTTGGCAGGTGTTCTTGCTGCGCTGTGCTGCTAGAGATACATAGAATTCGAAAAAGCGCAGCGTTCCATCCAGCGGCACGATGTCAATTTCCGGGAGAAGTGAGTTGGCGAGTCCGTGATTCGCTTGCCACTCGCTTGGATGTTGACGGCACGATACCGCCAAGTTAGCATTCTTACCCGTCCGGCTCAGTGGTTTGTGAAATTGACCACTAGGTCACCGTAGGCCAGTTTCAGCAGCCCCTAGCTCTCTCCTAAAACCCAATGACGAAGTTGTGATGGAAACCAAGAATGAAGTAAAATACATCTAAATATTCGCTAGTTTATATCCTGAAAAGGGTAGGGACAGGGAAATATTAAAGCCCCCAGAACTAAGGCAGCACATCCATACACAGTCGTATACACGTTCACAAACCTACGGGCCGGCAGCCATCTTATCGAACATGGCCCAGTCCACCTCCTCAACCACCTTCCGGTGGGTCTTCTCCACCGCCTCTGGCTTGTTCGCCTCGAACCAAAATGCCCATACGCTTTTCGTGTGCTTCGCCGCCATACCCCGGCTACTGACCAAGCCAACATGCTGCACGGCCTGCTCGCGCAACGCGAACCGCTTCAACCCGGTCGCGTCGCAATACTGCTCGATCATGGTATCCGTCTGGCCCCGCTCCCGCTTGCGCAGGTTCTTGATCAGGTCCGGTAGTGTTTCCCGGTTGAAGACGAGTGCCTGTGTGCAGCAGGCGTTCTTGTCCATGGCCGAGACGCCGGCGGCCAGGGCGGAATCAGAGGGGCCGAAGGGGACGTTGTGGTGGAGACTGAAGCCCGGCAGCGGAAGGTTGTGCTTGCCGGCCATGAAGGCCAGCACCGTGAAGCCCGGCGCCACGAGCAGCGAGACCACGGCGATGGTGACCCAGTCGAGCCGCAGCCGGCCGCCGCAACCACAAAGCCGCAACAGCAGGAGCAGGGTCCCCGACCCGCCCGCGGCCATCAGGAGTGTTAGGGGTAGGTGGTTGTACCACCAGTCCCGCTCGGCGGACCAGCCGAGATGGGTCTCAGTGTAGAACAGGCGCAGGTACAACCAGTCCTTGTCGCCCTCGGCCTTCTTGTGATCGCGCACCAGGTACTGCAGGCCGCGCATGGTGCGGGCCATCCAATCACCGGAGAAGACTACATCGTCTTCGAAGACGGCGATGAAGGGCGCGTTGGTCTCTTCCAGGCAGCGCTCGATGATGTACAGGTAGTCGAAGACGCCCTTGAGCGGCATGTCGCGGTCCTCCTCGGCCTGGCGCAGCCCCGCGGTCTCCAGCTTGCCGAGGCCCCGATACCCATCCGCGTCGTCGACTAGGGCCTTAACCCACGGGGCGTTCCAGTCGGGGTGCCGTGCGGGCTCGGTGTTGGCGAACAGCAGCTTGACGCTCAATGCGGCGCGCTCGCGCGGGTCGAGGCCAGACAGCATGGATCCCACGGCGTCGGCCATGTACATGCGCGCGACGTCGCCATCGCGGCGGACGGTCACGAAGGCGGCGCACATGGCGGGAGTGGGACCCGCTTTGGGTTGTGGTTTCGCGCCATCGCCTTTGGTCTCGGCGGTGACCTGAGAGATGAATTCGCGGGCTTCTCCCTGGCGGGCGGCCGAGTATTGGAGATCGTAGACGCCCTCGGAGCGGAAGTAGGCGCTATGCGGGTCGCGCCAGAGAAAGAGTCGGCCGTAGCTGAAGCCGAGCAGCCAAATGAATCCGCAAACGAGAAGAGCGCGCGCGGCGGGGAAGGAGAGAATTCGTAACGGGAGGTTGAGAAGCCCCCCCGGGAGCTTCTTTATGGCGCCGCTAACATTACACCGCCGAAGCATCCTGCACAGTAACTATGTTTTAACTGCAGACGGAACACAGTCGGGTGAGTTGTCGGTTTGATGGCGTTGCTTGCTAATCGATCAAAAAAGGAAAAGGTCCAGCCCCAGGCCAGGAACGCCCAGGTTCCAGATCCCCTGCAATTGTGCTCTTGGTGGATCTCCCACAGTGGTTCAGGCAGGGGTGGCTCTTGGCAGGGAAATGCCAAGATTGAGGGATTGCGCAAGCCAACGGATCCTTCCAGGTTAGCGTTCGCATGGACCTCTCGGTCTGCCCTGCAACAGCCATTGACAATGCAGTTGCCCTGGTGTGAAGTCGAGTCGCGGTTTCCGATCTTCTTCAATAATTCCAACAATTCTCGGGCGACATTCATTTTTTGAGGCATGATGAACTAACTACACTAGAACCGGGATTTCCAATTGCGCAATAAACAGGGACGGCGGCATGGAAGAGTGCGAGCAAGTGCGAGACGACCTACGAATTCCCCGATTCAGTGGAGGGAAACCTGAGTGCCGAGAGCATCTGGCCAGCGCTGAAGCATTGTGGCACTCCGCCGTTGGGTGGCTTCACTGCCTCACTTCCTGGGCACTGGGCTTCCTTCTCGGCACTTCAGTCAGCCATCCAATCTAATCCCTTGGAGAGACAGCCCACGAGGTGGTAGCACGGGAGTCAGCCATGGCCAGTCCCATCGAATACATCATCAATCCGGATCCGCCACAAAAACCCGCCCACCGGGTGTCCGGGACCCACAATCCGCTCGTTGTCACCTCCGGTTCGGCCTCGGCATCCCAATCCGCAGTCCGGCCCGGCCCGGGGCATCACACGCAAACACATTCCGGAAACCAGAACCAGTCGCATTCGCTTTATCAATGTGCTGACTGTCTCCGTGAGTTAAGCGTGCCTGGGAATGCTGGAATGGAATGTATTGTCTTTCTAGCAACCGCTGACCGCGTACTCTAGGCCGCTACTCTCGCCCCGAGCATCTCCAGGTATATTACAACCACGTGGAGATAAATGCCCATTGTGTATCTAGTCACTCACTGGAAACAGAGACACATTGCCTCGCATACACTTGGAAAGCGGTTCACCTGTGATGTGGGTTGCTCTTCCCAGTTCCTGCCATCTCCCGACTAACACGAGAGCAGGTCTGCTTTAAAGGATTCGCTCGAGCCGATCTTCTCAAGCGCCACCGCGCCAATCACCAGGAGGGTAACGGGAACAAACGCAGACGCTTCAACTCGGTTCCCTCGGCCAGCCGCGTAGGACAGGCTTGTACAGCCTGCGCAAAGTCTAGGGTGAAGTGCGAGGAGATTAAACCGCGAGTCAACCTACCGTTCCGTCTCGGCATTTTGCTAACCAGATCAGATGCACACGCTGCAAGACCCGCGGGCTGGCCTGCGAGGTTGCTTCCTCAGATGACCCGACCGCGTATTCCACCCAGCTCCCTAAGCACCGCACGGGACACACCGAGTCCACCCCTGAATCGTGCTGCTCTCTCTCGTCGAGCGCGGGGCAGCCGCAGCACCGGCTCCCCGCGGACTTAGCTTCGTCTTCATATGTTCGATCTACAAGCCCCGAGGACAGTAAACAGGACATATCACCCTTAGCTTACCCTACCTATCAGGGGCTCCAAATTTGCACCCCGGAGGCGCCCTCGACCGTGGCTGTCCAACCCCCCACGGACAACTTGCATGGTTATTCTGGCGGCGGTGCGGAATATACGGAGCATGAGCAACCAGGGCCCCAATTCCCCGACTTTCTTTGCGATGTTTTATATGAACAACCCTTGGGCAACCCCTCGAGGCTACCCGACGCACAGGGGCTATCCACGCTCGATTTCTACGATGACGCAAACCTAGATTTCAACGAGTTTGACTTCAACCTGCTCAACTGGAATCTTGATACCGCCCAAGTCACGCCAGAGGATACTGTGGCGTCCGAAGACCCCGCTGGCATGACTGAGATGCGCTCGTCATTAGCGAAGCTCTGGACCGAGTCACCGTGGAGGTGGACACCGGGGAAAGCAGATAACTGCTACACGGAACAGTCCAATTTACCACTGCCTTCCAACGACATAGGCAGCCCCCAAACCCACAATAACCGACCGGCAGTAGACCGAGTGGCCAGCGACACATTGCGGCCCTCATGTCGAGACAAAATCCTGGCCATCGTCCTGGGAACTTGCCGCGAGAGCCGCATGGCGAGCCGCGTAGCGTCGTCCTTTCCGTCCGCTGACACCATGGACTCGTGGATCAACATGTTTCTGGCCGCTCATATGTCCCAGACCGCGTCCTGGATTCACTACGGGTCGTTTTCTCTCAATAGCCAGTGGCCTGAGTGGCTTGCCGTTGCCGCCGCCGCCGGGGCCGTCTTGACTCCGGTGCCTGCTGTCCGCCGGTTCGGGCTTGCGTTACAGGAGGCGATTCGTGAGTTCTTTTAGTGTACGATACCTGCTGTGACTGACCAGATTAGGCATTTCTATTCCGGAGAAGGTGAGTTGTGACTCCCGTCTGATCCGTATCCGAGGCTTTATTGCTAAAGCCGGCATAGTTTGAGGAGAATAACGAGACCGTCGCCGAGATTGGCAAGGTCCAGGCCCTAGTCCTGTTACAGGACGTCGCTCTTTGGAGCGGAAACCGGCGGAAGATGGAGATTGCTGAATGCCGTAAGTCTGCTTGACAAGATGCTACTGTTACATGCTAACTCGGACTAGACTTGTCAATACCAATAGCTGTAAGATACAACACTCCTGATTCTAGAGCTATGCTGATATTCGTAGATGATGCGCTACAGGGGAAAATTTGCGAGGTCGGCCTACCCGGACATCGTCGTCTACCCGTCTGACGAGGGCAAGGCTTTGGAAGAAAAATGGAAGACGTGGTACCAACACGAGTCCTGGAAAAGGTACATCCCTCCGCCAACCCCCCGAGCCTATCTAATCTCCAGTAGACTTGTATTCCACGCCTACCTGCGCGATGCCCAAGTCTCTATGACTCAGCTCAACAACCCTTTCATGTCCTACGCCGAAATGACCCTCCCGCTCCCCTACTCCCAAGACCTCTGGCTCGCCCGCAACGCCGGTGAGTTCAAGGCCCGCTACCTGGCGTCCGACGGCCACAAACGCCCCCCTTCCCTCGGCGACATCCTCCGCGACGTCAACGCCCTCTCCACCCACCACACCCACCTCGACGTGCAATTCGCCATCTTAATCTACCTCCACGCCTTCTGGTCCCTAATCTGGGAATACCGCCAGCTCGCCTCCATCCACCCGCCTGCCGTCCCGAACACCGACACCTCGAATCCCACGACCCCAAATACCGACACCCCAAACACCATAGCCCTCCTCCTAGCCTCCCGCCGCACCGACCTCATAGCCCAGCTAACCTCCCTCCACCACCATCTCCTCACCCAACCGCCCAACCCCCAACACGCCCCCCTCCCCCGCATCCTCCACCACCATCACCTCTTCCACCTGCACACCCCGCTCCCCGACCTCCAGCTCTTCTCCGGCAAAGAGGGCGAGGACCAGGCCCGCCGCGTCTACCCAACGCTCCGCCGCTGGGCCGCCTCGCCCGACGCCCGCCAGGCCGTCTGGCATGCCGCACAGGTGCTGCGCTGTGCGCGCGCCCTGCCGCGGGGCAGGCTGCGCGAGTTTTGGGCGGTGGCGGTGTTTCAGGTCGTGTTGGGGGTTTGGGGGTGGGGGGTTTTGAGGGGGGTTTCACGGGAGATGAGGGGGGTGGGAGGTGGGGGTGGAGGGGGGCAGCGGGGGGCGGTGGTGTACCTGGACGGGGAGGATGGGGAGGCGGTGGATGTGCGGGCGTGGATTGCCGATGGGGAGGGGAGGCCGGCTATTCGGGGGTTGAGGGGTGGTGGGAGGGGGAGGGAGGTTCCGTGTCTACTGGAGGATCCGAGGGCGTGTATGGTGGTTGCGCAGGAGGTGCTGACGGGGAACTTTGTCGGCGTGTGGGAGGGCCTGCCGCCGCTGAGTGAGAATATCATTGTGGTGCTGAAACAGTTGGAGAAGGCGGCGGCGGCGGTGGTGATGGGTGGTGGTTAGGGTGGGGTTGTATTTAGCTCTCTAAGCAGGTTGGAGGATGGACTCGGGAGGTATACAATTTGTTTTGAGATGTATTCTTGTATTGTTGTACTCTCCAACTTCCCCCATCCCTCTAGTCCCATTTAACTAACATGTAACTCGGGGATTTGTCTCACGTCTAGTGAACGCCCTACCCACCCTCCACTCCCTCTGATTATACATTAAGCCATCCAACCAAGTTTGTATCCCAATTATTCACACGTCACGACGCCACATGCTCTTCACATCCCTCACGAGAACACCGTCCCAGAAGAGCAGCCAACAACGCAAGCCCAACCCCCAAAACTCCCGCCAACTCAACTCAGCTCACCCACCCCACCACTCATCTCACTCACCTCCCCGCACAATCCCCAATCCTCCTCTTCAAAAACCACTCCAACGGCACCTCCCCCCGCATATCCCTCGCCCTCATCTTCCCCAGCACATCCCCCAGCAGGCTCTGCACCCCCGCCGCGTCCCGGGCATCACACCCTTGCTCGGCGCAGGGACACGGGCACGAGCACGAGCGCGTGCAGACGGCGCTACTACTACACCCTCCTTCTCCTCCCCTTTTTCTCTCCCCAGCGGCAGCGGCAGCGGTGTCGCCGTTCCCGTCACCACCCGTCCCCTTCGTCGTTTTGCTGCTGCTGCTGCTGCTGCCGCCGGGGTTGCCGTCGCCGTTGGTCCCCATAGGGGGGTGTTTCAGCACGCCCAGCTCCCGCCGCAGCAATTCGATATCGTAGGCGGTGCGGTAGAGCTCGCAGGCGCGGTTGTGGGCGTAGTGGAGGGTGATGATGTACCGGGGGGTGTCGATGTCGGTTGGGTTGGCGGTAGCTCCGGTAGGGCTGGTGGGGGTGTTGTTGGTGGGGTGAGTGATGACTTGCACATGTGTCGATTGGGGTAGTCGGCGGGTGCCGTTGTATGTGTGGTGGTTCTTGCGCGTGTGGAGCTGGGGTTTGTGGGCCAAGCTTGATGGCGGCGGGGGCTGTGGAATGCGCATCCTGGATATCTTTCGTGTGGTTGATGCTTAATGGGATAAGATCGTGAGGGTGGTGTTGAACGAGGTGTGAGAGTCTTGAGAACAGGTTGAAATAGGGTGGGAAGGCCTGAGATGCAAGTCATAAAATAACGGATTAAAGTGTTGCTTCCGGTTCGATTCGAACAGTCGGGCGACTTAAATTTGTCGTTCTCTTCAGGCATACAAAGAGGGAAGAGGAGCGAGGATCAGGTTATCATCGGGCGTGATACAGCGGCCAGAGCGGGGTGGCAAACTCGGTCTCATCCCGTCATGGCCGAACTACTTACACAGTAGTTGTCGATGCTTGACCGGCCGAGGACTCACTCCAAAACACGGCAACGGAAAGGCGTCGACTCGACGCATTGTGACGGTACGACGGCTTCGCGAGGCTGTCTGAGACGGTCATCTTGTGCCATGACAGCAACTGCAGATATTAAGATTACGACTCCCGCAATGGGCTGCCTTAATTAACACGGTGTGTCGCCCAACCTGAAACAAGATTCTTTGGGTGATTGGCAGAATATCGCCCCAGCCTGGCATTGTTTGTTTGTGCGATGATGCATTTGCTGTTCCGACAACTTGGTTGAGGCGACGTGCGACCCAAATTCGGCAACGCAGGACATGAAAGAGAAGAAATCCATTGGCTTGGGCCGAATTCCGCCTGATTTGAACGACCGGAGGACCACTGCAAGGGCAGCCTCGCCCGACGGCCGCCTTGGGGGCGAGGTGGTACGGAATGCAAAACCAAGAGCCGCATTGTCGCAGCAATGCTGGCGCCTTCGGGCCTGGTGACCGTCACGTGGAGGTTTTGGCTTGACGATGCCCCCAGGACGTGGTTTTGTGGTTGTTGTTTGCTCGCTGGATTGGGTCCAGGCCTTCCAGCTTCCATGCTTGGAAGTCTGGGCTGAGAAGAATCTAACCAAGCAGGGTTAGGTCAGACTTGGGAACGAGAGGGACCCCTGCCCTGCTCGTGGACCGTGGCTCATCCTGAAACAGAACGGTTTGCGGGGCTTCGATCCGCAATGCAAGTTCGCCCCACCATAACTAGAAGGCAGGGCAGGTTCAAGCAGACGCGCCTGGCTTGCATTGACGGCGCGGACCTGCATTGACTGTGGATTTTTTTTTTTGGTTTGTCGCTTTCACAGGTTGCGATTTCGCAGTCTCTTTCGTCCACAGTCCAGATTACATATTGTGTTTTTTTGCTACCCTTAAGCCAAGGGCGGATTAAGCCGAGAATACCAAACTGTCATTCCATTTCAGAGCGGGGTCAAAGTGACGTCTTCTTGGCTGCTCGATGGCAAGAGTGAGCGAACTGACCGCGACCCACCAGCTGGAGCAGCGTTCCGTGGGGAAGAAAGGCAGGTGTTCGCTTCAAAGTTCTCTTGCCTTCGCCACTAGGTAGTTATATACAAGCCGTCCTTGTTCAAGAACTGCTGCGTAAAGAGCCGAGAGCCCGAGCCACTGCCCATTGGGCATCTCATCAAAGTGTGTCACCACACAATGTTGTTGCCTGTGTGGATGTAAACAAGGTGCCCTGGAAACGGCGTTTGTTAAGGAGGCGCTAGTGAAAAGGGCTGCGTCTGAACACGGCAGCTGCAACCTCAAAGCAACTGCGCCTGCAGCAAGCACTTTGGGCTTGCCAAGCAGGGGAGTGATGGATCGTGTTTACCCCTTCCCCATGCATTCCCGGTCTTGCTGTCATCCCGGCCCTCCCATTCCGTCGCAACACTGAGAACCTCGGGACCCGCTCTCTTTTTTTCGACCTGTTCTTCTAACTTCTTCGCGCCTGACGATTTCCTTCTTCATTTCTTCAAACACCCTCCTACATTTCTGGCCTGGAAGCCGATTGCTGTTTTAGTAAAACTCGTCCTACGAGAACACACCCGGCACCATGACGTTGCAGGCTGCATACAAGCAGTTTCTGGCTTCGCCGAACACATCGACGCTCGCCGACGACGCGTCGCTGCACTACGTCACGACTACGTCGAGCTTCACCAGCGCGACCGAGATTATCAAACACCTGTCCGCTGTGCGCAACAAGATCAAGAAGAAGAAGGAGGATTCCCTCTTCGCCATCGAGAACCAGCAGGCCCTCGCGGTGGAAGTCGAAACGACTCTTGAGTTCGTCCAGAGCGGGGGTCCCTACCTCCCCGGCTTGGATGACAACTTCCTGGCCGACCGCAGCGTCCATATCGTTATTGTCAGTAGCAAATCTTTTCGGGGTTACTGATCGGTCCCACTAACACACCTTTTCTGCAGACCCACATCGTAAGCTTCAATGGCGACGGCAAGATCGCACAGATCCGGCAGAGCTGGGACCAAGGCGCGCTTTTGAAGCAGGTCGAGGTTATCGGCAGGTCCGGCACGAACTGGCCCATTCGTGACAGCAAAGACCAAATCAACCTCATCGCGAAATGCGCCCAGGGCCACAACGCTGCTGCACCCCCTGCCGAGTCGCTCCCTACTCGCTCTCGCGGCAGCTCGACCAACGCTATGCGCGACCCGCATGCGTCGCTGGACTTGTTCGCATCGCGTGAGGGGCTGGAGAACGACAACCCTGCCGGCATCATCTCGCCCTATGCAGGCCGGAGACCTCGCCAGCGCTCCTTCACCGAGATCCTGGGCGACGAGCCCGTCGAGGAGCCCGGCTCCCCCAGCAACGGCCGCGAGCGCTCGCAATCCCCTAGCAAGGTGGTCGCACCCAAGGTCGGCGCTGGGAAGAACTTCCAGCCGATGCGCCTCTTCAATACTGACGAGAACGACACTGACGGCGATTCCCACGAGCCGACCCCGTCAGCTGGCCGTGTCCTGCGTCCGGACCCCAAGAAGTACCAACACTTTGACTTTGACGACGGCTCCGAGTCCCAAGACGTGCCCACGCCGAAGGCCGCCCCCGAGAGGAAGAGCAAGCACGGTAGCAACTGGTCATTTGACGACTTTGTGACCCCACAGAAGCACGTTGCCTCTCGTGGCATGCATCGTGCCCGTGACGTCCGACACTGGGGTGCCGACAACGAGGTGCTTGAGAATACCCCGGCTCCGAATCCTCAAGTGATCAAGCCTCGTCGTGACGCCGCGGCTCACTTCGAGCTGGTCGACGACGGCCCGGCGCGTGATGACACCCGCAATGCCAACCGGCTGCCCCGCGGCGCCATGCACAGCGAGGGTGAGCACCTATACGACAACCGTCTGCACCCTGAGGACGGCACCCTCCCCTCGCCTGGCCCGGCCCCACTCGGCAACATCACCAATCTCAAGGACCGGCACAAGGACTTTGAGCCCCACTTCAACATGACGGACGAGTCACCGCACCACGAGGGTGCCAAAGAGCCCGTCAAGGTGTCGGAGGACCGCCAGAAGGCCGTTCGCATGATGGAGAGCAGCTGGTCGAACTACGATGAATCGCCCGTGTCACGCAAGGAGAACAACAACCCCAACACTCAGCGGGCGCCTACTGAGCGGGGGATTGTGATTGCTGGCAATGGCATGGGCGGTAGGAAGGGTACCGGGCAAGGCTGGCTTCACGGCGAAGACGACGATGAGCCTGCGCCCACTACCAAAAAGGCTGGCCGCGGGCCCCCGACTAAGTCGGATAACTTTTGGGATTTTTAAACAAACCGCACCTCGTTCGCATTCGCGCAGGCTCGACACCCTTACGACAAGGGTATTTGGGGCATTGCGCCAGAATGGCCGTTGATGACTGACGTTTTATGTGCGGCTCATGATGAGAGAACCGCATTTCATACCCAACAATGGCTGCCGGATTTCTTTCCGAGATCTTGTTCTGGGCGTTTCTCCGCCCCAGTTGGTGGAATTGTTAGGCTGGCGGACAATTCCTTGTTGGACTATCAGGCTGTATTTATTATTGAGACCTGTTTGAGTTTGCGGCGCTGTTGAGGATCGCATCTGGGATTCCCGGGATATTTTCTCCTGTTCTCTTATCTGTTTTGATAGCATACCAATACACAGGCAGCACTACACCCGCGGCCTCGTTGCGTGTGACATACCCGTTCACCCGGTCCGTTCCGCAGAGAGCATTTTCAGAGCTCAGGACTTCTGTGCCAGGCAATAAGTCTTTTCGAGTTGTGTGCTCGCACCGCTTATTCGGTGCCCCGCACTGGAAACACGTTCTACATACACTATACCATGGTCAAGTCGCCAATGCCGAAAATGGAATTCTAAATTGTCCAGCCGGCGTTCTTTACATCGCCGCAGCCCCTGGGTATAATAACCAAAACAAAAACCAACGCCAGAGGTTCGAGTGAGTGCGTAGTCTCCAACCGTAACCTCACACACAGACATATATCCACCCAAACCGCCACCCCTCTCCACACCCTCTTTCAAAAACCAACCAACAAACAAGAGAATAGGTAGGTGGGTAGCCATTAACACAGAAACTTATACAGCCGCTTCCACCTCGGCATGCCCCTCTTCTCGTCCACCTCGCGCGAGATCAGAATCGGCAAGTTGAAATCCCGCCGGCCCGTATCCACGTCCATATCCGCCACCCTCACCACCCGCGTGCGGAACCACAGCTTATAGCTCACGTAAAACGCCAGCACGATCGGCGCGCACAGGTACTGTAGGAAGAAATTCTGCGCCACGTCCCGCCCGGCCGCGATCGGCACCACGGCCGCGCCCCCATTCCCCTCGGCCACGCCGCCCGCCGCGCCCATCATCGACCCGTCCCCGTCCCCGTCACCCCCGCTGCCCCCGCCTAGCGTGGTGGCCTTGCCAGAGGACGACGGCGCCGGGTGGGGGATGGGCCAGGCGGCGGTCCAGAACTGCGCGAGCAGGACGAGCACGTTGAGCGCGAGGCCGATCCAGGAGCCGGCGACGCCGACCTGGGAGCGGAAGGCCAGGTGGCGCTTGTCGCGGCCCTTGGCGCGCCAGGCGCGGCGGAAGCGGATGTGGGCGAGGCAGATGGAGCCCCAGGTGAATACCGAGGAGAGGCCGGACACGGCGAGCAGCCAGTTGAGCACGTCGGACTGGGCGTCCAGGTCGGCCAGGTAGCCGAGCAGGCCGAGGGCCGAGGCGACGAGGATGGCGACGAGGGGGCGGCCGCGCCGGTCGACGTAGCCGAGGATGGCGGGCGCCTGGCGCTGGTCGGCGAGCGCGGCGAGCGTGCGCGAGGAGCCGAAGACGGCGCTGTTGCCGACCGAGATGACGGCGACGAGGATCACGCTGTTCATGACGCCGGGGAGGATGGCGATGCCGGCGGACTCGATGGCGATGACGAAGGGGGAGGCTGAGGCGTCGGCCGCGGATTTGGCGCCTAGTAGGCGTGGGTGGTTGTGCGGTACTAGCAGGCCGATGAGGGTGAGGGAGACGATGTAGAAGAGCGTGATGCGCCAGAAGACCTGCTTGATGGCCGTGGGCAGCGACCGCCGCGGGTTGGCTGTTTCGGCGGCTGCGAGCCCGACTAGCTCTGTCCCTGTGAAGGCGAAGGCCGCCGTCACGAACACGGCGCACAGCCCCTTGAAGCCGTTGTTGAACGCGCCTGGTACCTGCCAGTACCGCCCTCCGATGTACCCGTCGTCGGGGAAGCCGCCGATGTTGATCACGATGCCGAGGAGGCTGAGGGAGATGGGGGTCAGGTGTTGGATACAGCGGGGCCGGGGTGGGGGGAGACTTACATGAAGCCGATGACGGCGGTGATCTTGATGATAGCAAAAACAAACTCGGCTTCACCGTAGCCTTTGACGCCGAACAAGTTGATGATAACGATGGCGAAGAGGAAGATGGTGATGAATATGGAGCGGTCGAGGTTGCTATTCCAGTAGCCTACGGTGATGGAGGCGGCAATGATCTCGAGAGGCAATACGACCAGCCATTGCATGGCATAACTGGGGCATATCAGTATTGATTGACAACGATGCATGCCATGGGAAAACTCACTTCCAGCCCATCGCAAACCCCCATGCTGGGTCGAGGAACCTGGTCGAGTAGGCCGAAAATGAACCCGCTACGGGAAAGGTAACGGCGAGTTCGCCCAGGGCTTGGACGGTGCAATACAGCATGCAGCCCACGAAGAGGTAAGCGATCAGAACAGCAGCTGGGCCGCCCGTGTGGAGTGCCTTTCCGGATGCCACGAATAAACCGGTGCCTTTGACGACTCAGGTTAGTCGGGAGTTACATGCGGTCATTGGAGTGGGGGTATAGCTGCTGGGAGACACGGAGAGAGGGGGATAACGTGAAAGACATACCGATAGACCCCCCAATAGCAATCATTTGTAGATGCCTCCCCTTGAGCTCGCGCGACAGCAGCGTATTTGCCGTGCCGACGTTGGCGGCATGCATATCGAAGTAGTGACTGCGGGAGCGCCCTCGCCGCTCCAGCGAGGGGCGGGTCTCGTCGGACGGGCGGGTGGCCATGGAGGCGCGGCGGCGGTCCTCAGCAGTGTGCATGACGGAGGCCGGGGTGACATGACGGCCGGGATCGCGGCGGAAGGTGTCCAGCCAGCGGCGGATGGGGTGGCCGTCCTGTTCGGGGTTGCTGCTGCTGTTGCGGGAGTAGGAGGATGCGTTCTGCATACTCAGCACGCTGCCCTGGGCGAAGGAGTCCTCTTTGGGGCGCAAGTCGGCCATCTCGAGATCGCGAGCGGAGGGCATTGCGCTGGGGCGCCTGGATACTGTCACCAGCTGCTTTTATCTGGTGCTCGTCTTCTGAAATCACCGTCGCTGACTCGGACGATTCCCGCTATCTAGCTGACTTGGAGTGGATACCGTAGCAGCCAGGAGGGAAACCAATCTTTGATATGATTGTATGAATAGCTGCCGTGTTATTTCACCCTGTACTTTGTATAATGCTCTCCGTTCTGTCCACCTGGGACCGGCCGATCACTGGGGGATCGTCTTGCTCGGTCCTCGATAAAGTCGTGGTTGCAGCGGTTTGCCCCCACATTGACGTCTCATCTCATAATTCTCACCATCAGGGTCAAATGGGATCGTGCCTGGAGATGAGATGGGTCGTGGAATACGTTTCGACAATCAACCGACCATCAAACATGGCATCGAGTCAAGAGAAAAGTCGGATTGTCGATCGTGTTGAGCAACGACCACTTATCAGTGAGACAGACGTCTTGCCTCCTCCGACCCGACTCCATTGACACGGGCCATCAGCAGTGGACATCCACCGCTGTCAGATTGGCACGATTGGCTCAATTGGCTGCCGATGGGCCACTCGGCGACCGGCGAGTTCAGCGAAGGAAGTGGGTGACTCGGTGAGTGGGAAGAAATCAGGGTCAGCAAAAGGCTTGGCCTTGAGGGCCCCAGTGTGGGGTTGCCAGGTTCAGTGCGGGTCGCAACGGTGCCTGGCCGGGTGTGGCGCTTTCCTTCAAGCCGCTTGCTTTGTGGAATTTCTCTGTAGGTATGTCGGTACCTATCGAAACCCCCAGAATACGAAGCAGAAGAGCGAACGAGCTGGTGGGCTCTGCTCTAGTTACACAGTAGATGGCAAAAATTTCATTTGAAAATTTATCACCGTGGAAACTTAACTGAGCCTGAGATCAGTCTGACAAGCAAGAGGCATTCCCGCTAATTTGAACCAAGTCTAAAGATTCCCAGCTTCCCGATCGGGATTTAAAGCGTAGGACCCGCTGCAACTGTTTCCTTCAGGGCAGGCGGGATACCGAGAGACGAGATGATCCCTCAGAAGGCAGGACGTTCCAGGTTGTCCACCACGAACCCCTGTCATCGGGAGCGCAAAGAATCTCGTGTCTCACATCACTCCCGTCCCTCCTTGTCCACGTGTTTGTCAAGGTTCCTGGCGTCACCACACCACCGACCTGCGAGACAAGCTTTGTAACTAAACCTTCCTCTTGTTACCATGCAGATTCTTTGTATACTACAGTGCGAAAAATATATACTCATTTCAAATCCATGATTCATCAAACCGCCGCCAACGCACAGTGTCTCTTTTATTTCATTCAACGATCTTCCCCTCCCCATCTCTAGGCTTCCTCGTCCAGCCCGTCGAGAACAGCGGCCCCATGTCGAAGCGCGGGAACGGGTGCGCCTCGGTGTTGAGCACGATCTTGTCCAGCGGCAGCAGGTCGTCGGGCGAAAACAGCATGTAGAGGTACTTGAGCGTCTCGGCCAGCCAGAAGCTCTCCATGTTGTTGCGCGTGACGGGCGGGATCTTGTTAGCGTTCGACAAGCTCGTGAAGCCGCCATTGTCGGCGACGGCCGTGTAGTTGGCGAAGCTTTTGAACATCTCCCAGCCCCACTCGCGGTACCGGACGTCGCCCGTGATGCGCCACATGTACAGCAGGCTCTCCACCGTCTCGGGTCGCTGCAGGTTGTGGCTGTCGAAGGGGCGCACGTCAAAGTCCTTGCGCCAGGCCGCCTCCGGGTCCGGGTCGAACTCCTCGGGCGCCTTGTGCGCGGCCGACTCCGGGAGTGGCGGGTTGCCGATGTTGAAGTAGGTGATCTCGGCCGCGAGCCCCGTCGCCATGTACTTGTACATGCCCCAGCACGTGTGCATCAGCTCGCGCGCGAGCTGCATGTCGGCCTCGTCTTGCTCGGTCCAAGTGGGGAGTTTTCTGGCTTCCTTCTCGGTGAGGCCGCCTGTCGCTCCCAGCGCGATGGTACCGGGCATGAAGCAGACGAGGTGGTCCATCTTAGGCGAGAGTGCGCCGTCCAGACCGCTGGGCCGTTCGCCGATGATGGTGAACTGGGATGGTTCCGTGTACGTGATGAGGTGTTTTCTGACGCCCTGCATCGCCTCCCGCCACATCTCCTGGTAGACGGGCTCCTTCTTATTGGTCTGCAGGTACTGCTTGATCAGGTACTCATAGTAAGAGTCGCCGCGGCTGCCGAGCCGGATGTTCGCGCCCTGGAACTTGCCCGTCGTAGCGTAGATGAAAATGGGCACCAGGCCATCCTTGGCGCCGTTGTCGTCCACCAACTTCATGACCTGCTCAGCCTTGTCCCAGTAATCCTTCTCGCCAGTCAGCTTGGCGAGGTACTTCAATTCCAACTGCAATGTTGTTGTCTCAGCGGTCGATGACGCGCCCATATCGGCGTGCGAGACTATCCCCTTGTACTTGGCCAAGTTAACACTGGCGTACGGTACCCCGGAAGGTGAGTCGAACGCTGCCACGAGCCGGTCCGCCAAATCCTTCGCCTTCTCCAGGTACAGGTCCTCTCCCGGCTTCCCGGGGTCATCGTCCGGAATGGGCGCCAGGTCGGGGTACTCGGTCGACAGGTAATGTGCCGACAGCAACCCTCCCAACATGCGGATGGTCGTCTCGAACGTATTCACATCCTGGTCTTGATCCCAGGTCAGCGACGTCGCCAGCCACTCGCGGGCGTGCGTCAGCCGGCTGGTCAAGTTCATGATCATCAGCGTATCGAGCGAGTCAATGATGATCCAGCCCAGCCCCTTAGGCGCCATGTACCTCCCCGTCTTGGTCTCGGGGTGAAATTCATCCTGGCCTGTCATCCACGTTGTCAGTCAACCAGTCCAAGCAACAGCAAACCCCTCTCCATCCCTCCCCCCAACAAAACAAAAACAAATCAGAAACACCTTACCCCACGCATACCGCTCATAAGCATCCCAGCTCAGCTCCATCGCCTCCACCACCCTCTCCCTCCTCTCCCCCCAATCCACCGTCCCCTTCCCCCCAACCTCATCCCCCAACCACCCCCACTGCCCCAACTTCCCCACCGCACGCTGCTTCTGCCCCGCAAACATCCCCGTCCACCACACCAACCCCACCAGCACCACCACCAACAGCCCACAGCTCCGCTTCCGCCTATACAGCGGCCGCCGCCACCCAGCCCCATGGGCACCGGGCGGATACATGTACGGCTTATCCTTATACATGGGCAGCGCGGCGCCGCGGCCGTTCCCGCCGCCGAGCAGGTCCTGGACGCCGCCTACGAGGGAGGCGGCAGCACCGGCGGCACCGGTGGAGCGCTGGCGGGAGGAGGCGGATGAGGCGGCGGCGCCCCAGACGTGGTCTTCGAGCTGGCGTTGCGGGTTCGTGAAGGAGGGGACATTCTTCGGCACGGCGAACGACATGTCCTCGTCGGGTTGTGCTCCCCTGGCTGTGGCGGCGGTGGCCGCCGGGGCGCTGGTGTTGTTGTTGGGTGTGGACCGGGGAGGGGCCGGGCCGTTGGCGGCGGGGGTGGGTTTGTGTTGGTGGTGGTGTTCGTGCTTGTTGGACTTGTTGGGCTTGGGGCCCGCTTTCTCGAGGTCGATGTCGAGCGGGTTGCCGGATGATGCGGTCTCGGTGAGGGCGTGCTGGGCGGACTGGACGGCTTCGCTGGCCTTGTCGCGGAGTTCGGCGGCGGCGGATTGGGTTGCTGTTGCGGCGGTGCGGATGATTTGGTGCAGGGGGGAGAAGTTGTTGTTGTTATTCTGGGCCTGGTAGCTCCTGTTGCTTTTCCAGGTCGCGATTGGGGGCCGATTCAAGCTGCCGTTTCGGAGGTTGAAGGGGTCTCGAACGTTCATTGGTATGTTGCTGCGGCCGGCCGACAACACATGGCGGTGGCAATCACCGTTGGTGGTCAATTAGGAACTGTCTTTAGAGTAGGGAACTACTATAGTAGGAGATGCCCTGGATCGCTAGATCGTTAGATCGGGAGATGTGTTCTCACAACGTCGCGTGCTACGTGGAAAGAGAGTTTTGATCGTGGACGGCCCGGGTGTTACACTGGCACAGTGCAGATCTGTCCCAACCGAGAAAGCCCACACCAGATGTGCCGGCCCGTGCCGGTCAACGCACGGACCATCTCACCCTCCACAACCGGTCGAGGTTATGGAGAGCCAGGAATGGAAGTTTTATGCACGAGTGCTTCGTCCGAACTACTCGGCGCTTTGAACTTGAGCAAGCAGGCCCGCGCGCACCAATTACCATGGAGTAGCGCACTTGATCCGCTGCGTCAAGAGTGTGTAGTCACAAGACGGAACAAAGTTTGAGCAAGGCGGACAATACTGGACCTGACATCCCTGTTACCTACCGAGGTATGTAAGCTCTCGGGCATCCATGCGCCCCAGATATCTCCATTACATACCAGGATCGAAGGGAGTTCGTCTCTTGCGGACTGCACACCAACCTACATAGTCCGTTGTTATCTACTTCCCTTCACTTTGGAAAAAATCCATCTTTTTTGCTCGCCCAACACAAAAAAGACAAGACGGCACGATGCAAAAAGACCACGGTTACGTCTTCTACCCCTACCTGGCTGACCAGGAATTCGTCGAGGTTTGCCACCACTTCGACAGACGATACCGCCAGGCAAAACTTGGCGAGACCAGGCGACGGTGGAAAGTAGACGTGCTCTCAGCAGTTGACGCGCAGACCATTTTCGCCTACGGCCCGGAGCGGTACACATGGCTTCAAATTACTCGGCCCCTGGAAAAGCCGGATGATGGAGATTTGTCGTCGTGCCTGGACGGCTTCTCCTTTAACGAACCCCAAGCGAGCCAGGAGATGGACGTGGAGGCCGACAGCGAGATGTTGTCGATGGAGGAGGCTGACCAGGTACGTAAACAACCATGGCGATGCACTGATAAATGACCTCGAAGCTTATGTTGCCAACGCACACGAACAAGGCCGTCATCACCAGGTCGTCTCCGCCCAACGGATCCGAGGCCGGGCAATATGGCTATGTCCGATATGAGGCGCATCTGCATCCGACATTCCGGACTCCGTGCTTGTGGTTCAGCTTGTACGGCCTGCCGGCAGACGAGGATCCCTTCAGCATCGACACGGTATTCCGGCGACTGGTGCCGGACGAGTTTAAGGCAGGACTGCGAACCAGCATCGGTACCGTGGACGGCATCTCGCTCGCGGTACGTTCCATTTTTGTTTTTATCATTTTGACTGAGTTCCTTGGTGATGCTAAATACTGGTGGTTAACCGAGATCCTATTTGACGGCCTAGACTAACACAAACCATTGCAGAATCATCCGGCTACAGGAGCCCCGACCTTTTTTGTCCATCCCTGTCGCCTTGGTGAGGCGATGGCCAATTTCGACAGCCCCAAAGAGGATTATATATCGGTATGGCTTGGCCTGGTCGGGCAGTGTGTCGGATTGTGGGTGCCGCCAGAGATGGCAATAGTGTAGAAGCCATCACACATCATCCCACGTGTAGCGTCCCCCGCCCGTCGCTGTTGACACGTCGTATTCGTCGTTCAGGGCCATGCTTGCATGATGGGTATCATTCGTCGTCGCTCTCCTCTTCCATCGCCACGTCCTGGTCGCTCCCCTCCTGCTCCTCTTCCTCCTCCCTCGGCCGCTTAACGCCGCGGCTCTCGGGGGTGCCGGCGTCGGTCATCACATGGTCAGCACCCGCCGGTTTGGACGGGGGGCCGGGCGCCGCAGCAGGCGCCCCGGGTACGGGCGCATTGAAGATGCTCTGTTGCAGGTCGGTAACCTCGACGCGGGCGGCAGTTGCGGCGGCGGGGATCTTGAAGGTGCCATCCAGTTTGGCAATGATGTTGGACTTGGACTTTGCGTACGAGATTTTCTGTTTAGGTTAGCATTATCCAGTGTCAGGTTCTATATGGAGAGCAGTGGCCTACCATTTCATGCCCAAAGAACTCAAACCCGTCTAATGATCGCATTGCTTGGGTAGCCGTCTGGACATCCTTGAACACAACGTGCGCCTGACCGCGCATCTTCATCGTCTTGAGGGCGACCACATCTAGCACCGCGCCGTAGGTCGAGAAGAGCATGTACAGCGCCGTCCGCAGGTCCTCCTTCTGAATTTTAGCTGATGGAAGGTTTGTGACGTAGAGGGTCTGGTTCGGCGGCACCGAGGCGACCTTTGCTGGGAGGCCCGGCGGAGGGGCGCGTGTGGCCATTGTCGTCATGGTCTTGTTTTCGACGTAAATCGACTTATTTATCTGTTCAGCGTGTCGACCGAGGATACAAGGCGAAACACTGCGGATGTGAGGTTGTCGTCGTTGGTCGTCGAGTCGCGTGTCTGTTTGGTTTCCAATGGGATGCGTTCAAGCTGAAAATTGGAGACCAGCCCAAGTTCAGCCACCAGAACCTCGAAGTGCCAAGCAGCGTCGTGACAGGGACCCAACCCCACCATCAACCACCCCTCCCCACTGCTGTCAACGTCAGCCAAAGTTCGAGCTCCCTCTCCATCTCTCGCCCTTCCCACTCTCACCAACTTTCACCAACAAATCCCTTCCCGACAATCGAAGCAACCGCGGTAGTAGAGAGCTACTCCTATCGCAATTTAACCCAACAAGATGGCTGCGCCTGAGGTTCACCACCTATTCCACAACCCGATCGCCGACCACTCGTTCTCGAGCGACCACAAGACGCTAGCCATTGCCCGCGACACTACCGTCGAGCTCTATAGCAAGGTCGCCAATACCTTTAAGCTCAAGGACGAACTCAAGGGTCACGACAAGACCGTGACTAGCATCGACGTCGCCCCCAACTCCGGCCGCATCGTATCTTGCTCGCAAGATCGCAATGCCATCGTCTGGGAACCCACCCCTGAGGGCTACAAGCCGACACTCGTCCTGCTGCGCATCAACCGCGCCGCCACCTTCGTCCGCTGGTCCCCGTCTGAGACCAAGTTCGCCGTCGGCTCCGGAGACCGCCTTATCGCAGTCTGCTACTTTGAGGAGGAGAACGACTGGTGGGTGTCCAAGCACCTGAAGAAGCCCATCCGTAGCACCGTCACCACCCTCTCCTGGCACCCCAACTCGGTCCTCCTTGCCGCCGGGTCTACCGATGCCCACGCCCGCGTCTTCTCGAGCTTCATCAAGGGCGTCGACGCCCGGCCCGAGCCCACCGCCTGGGGCGAGAGGCTCCCCTTCAACACCGTCTGCGGCGAATACATGAACAACTCGGCCGGCTGGATCCACTCTGTCGCCTTTTCTCCCAGCGGCGACGCCCTGGCCTTTGCGGCCCACGACAGCAGCATCACGGTTGTCTATCCGAGCGCCCCCGAACAACCGCCCAGGGCCGTCATCAGCATCAACACCCAGCTGCTACCCTTCATGAGCCTGATCTGGAACGGCGAGGCTGAGATCATCGCTGCCGGCCACGACTGTGAAGCTTTCCGCTTCCAGGGTGGCCTTGAGGGTTGGCAGCTGAGCGGCGCGGTCGCGGGCAAAGGCCGTTCCGGCGCGGGCGACCAGCGCGAGGAGTCGGCTTTGAACATGTTTCGGCAGATGGACCTGAAGGGCAAGGTGAAGGACGACACGCAGCTAAAGACCACCCACCAGAACACCATCACAATGATTCGGCCGTACGAAGCTTCTGGAGACTCCGTGCGGAAGTTTAGCTGTAAGTCGTCGTATTCCTTCTTTGATGTTCGACCACTAACCAGATCTAGCGAGCGGAGTGGATGGGCGCATTGTCATCTGGAACGTGTAGACGTAGTTAGAAGCCGCATACAAAGTCGACGTTATATACTGTCTGAGACATGCATTACTTTGACGTCGCCTTGTTGCCCATGGCGCGGCCCCGATTGGCCACAGGGTCGGCCCGGGCTCATGATGTCCCTTGTTGTGACGCTTATAAAAACGGCGGAGCGCGCTGTCTGGCTGGTATAATTTAGAAGCAGAGAACTCCAAGAATATTCAATCATGGATTCAGCTGACTCCACCCAACGCTCTCCGTCGCCCAGCAGTTTCATCTCTCCAGCCAGCAGAACACAGCGCAACCCATCCACTGGCACTGCAAACGCTGCCTTGCGGGGCGGCCAAGGTGGTCCTGAACCCCCTCCCACCTTCAGACCCATCGATTGGCAAGGCAGTGAGACTCAGGGACAGAGTCCAAGAGCCCCCAGCCTACGGACCATGGTTGATGTCTCTGAGAACGCCCCATCCCACGGTGGAACAATCGCCGACGGACACACGCCCCCACCCGCCTATTCCCGCAGGCCAGCCTTCTCACAGCAACATCATGAGACGCAACACCATGACAACCCTCCCCTAGCCCATCCACTTCCCAGAAGACCCTCGCACCCGTCCTGGATGCCCTCCTTAGCAAGCCCGACACAACCCACCCTTCCTCCACCATCGCCATCGCCATCGCCTTCCCCCTCCTCGCCAACCACAACAACGGACACCCACCTCGCCGCGCCCCAACACTACCTCGTCCGCACCACAACCGTCACCACCACCACCCCCACCACCACCACCACAATCACCACTACCACCTTCACCCACCATCCCACCGACCCTCTCTACTCCGGCGGCAACACAACAGAAAATGCATCCCTCCCCGCCTGCTCGCCGCCGCCGCGCCCGGCGAACCCATCGCCCAACCGCGCGCTGTTTAACCGCCGCCTTTGCCCGTGTGTCCCGCAGACAGCCTGGTGTCAGGCTTCCGGAGCACCTGTCCCCCGGGAGGGGGTGAGGGTATTGAGGCGGGGGGTGGGTTCGTGCGGTTTTGTGGTTGTGCTCTGGGTATTGGGGTTGCGGTTGCGGGAGGGGTGTTATTGGGAATAGGTTACTTCGTCAAATACAGATCTGCTCTGTCTGGTGCACTGATACCTACCCTTCAACAATGCCGATTAGATCGTCCCCTGTGCCATTGCCCGCCAATAAACTACAATTTCCCCGTCTCCACTTCCTCTTTCTTCCTCTCCAACGTGTCCAACATGCTCAAAAAGTAAGGAAGGAACTCTTTTGTTTCGGCCTCAAAGCCCTGGTGATGACCCGGCACGAGCATCTTCGCGCAGTCCAGAACCTTCGCCTGCTCCTCTGTCGCCCTCGCAAAGAAGGCATCCTTGCATCTAACGCCCCTCATCACGCCAATGCTAGTCTTGTTCTGTTTGATCCGCCAGAAGTTGGGCGCATAGCCCAACAAGACGGGAAACTCGTTGTCCCAGAAGTTTTTCGGGTTCTCGGGCTCCGGCTTCACCGTCTGGGGGATGCCCTCGTCGCCGTACCCGATCAGCTTGTGGGCAAACTCGATGGTCACCTTCTCCAGTCCCTGGATCTCATAGACCTCCATGAGATGGAGGAACCACTCAAACACCTCGGAAGCGTCTGGGAGGAGGGTGATGGTGGGGGCCTCGTGGGCGATCAAGCGGTCGACCATCTCCGGGAAGTCGTGGGCGAAGGTGAAGGCGAAGATGCCTCCGCTGCTGCTGCCGAAGAGGATGGACTTGTCGAAGCCCATGGCCTTGATGACGGCGCGGATGTCTCGTGCCTGCTGTGGAGGGCTGAGCTTCTTGTTGACCTTGACCTGGCTGGCCGACATCTGGCGGCGGTCGAAGGTGACGCAGGTGAACTTGTCAGAGAGGGCGGCCATTATGTTGTTGAACTGTCGCCCGTGGCCATTCCCGCCCGGAATAAAAGTGATAAGGGGCCCCTGGCCTTGGTACCAGTAATGCAAGTCGCAGCCTTCATTGTGAACGATCGCTTTGGTGGGGTTGAATTCCATGGCCGGTGTTGTTGTTATTTTCCTTTACAAGCGGGGATGGGTACCGAAGGTAAGTAGGTATTTTGTCTGAATGCCGTAGTTTCAAGCTCGACTACTCTACTAGGTCCGTACTATTTATGCTATCCGCGCATGGTGTTGGTAATCAGAATCCTTCCAGTTAGTGTGACCCCCGCTGCCGGATTTCTGAGTCCGGGCGGCCCCCATCGGGACTCATAATCGCCGTATCGCCGACAAAGTCAACAGCCTGCCCAATTAGCCCCCTTGGCGGCGAGGAGTAAGAATGGGGTTGGGGGCCGGATGAGTTCCGGGTATTAGTTCTGGAGTTCACGACTCGACTATTATCCCGATGTTCCGATTTCATAGACCTCGGTACTTTTTTTGAAAATCGTGCTCGGAAATGATGAGCTGAAAGAAATCCGAGAGTTATGAGCATTTCTTTAGCCAGGATGACTTAACTTAGGTATAGTACCGAGTGCCTTACTTTGTACTTCGGGCAGTTCCATAATACAACGGGATGCAAGGCATATTGAATAGTTTCGAGATGCCCACCCCAGACGGCTTCGATGCCAATGATCTGGCAACACGAGTAAAGAAATCAGCAAACCCTCAAACAACACACTTTAACACTTAATATTCCAACTCCACGGAACGAGACTCGGCTGGTTCTATCTTCGCCATGACTCTGTCGTTTGATACTTGTATTTTAACCACTGTTTCTTTTGCAGATGCTGGATGTTGTTAAATACGCTGGTGAAGTCTTTGGCATCCATGTATTCTTAAATTAGGTTATGTATGTACTTACCTATTTTTGGCAGCAAACCAACAACCAACAGCTAACAAACTGCAGCACTTAACGAATCCCAGCCATCCAATGCGCTGCGATGGGAGGCCTGATTTTGCTCTCGTTCATCTCCAGGCTCCCACGCACACCAACACATAACGAGTTCTTCGAAAATTCAAACAAGGAGCCTATACCCGTTTTTCCAACCGCATTTCCACAACTTCACCATGAGGGACGCCATGAAATCCGACGAGCTCGATGAGGAGCGGGATAGATGGGTGGATTCCCTCGACGATGCCGAAATCTGTCGCCTTGCTTCCTCCTTCCACCACGGAGACCCATGCACTATCTTTCGTCCGCGCAAGCGTGGCGGTTTCAACATCTGTTTTTTCGTCCAATTCGAGTCTCCTCAACTGGAACGATGGGTTGTCCGGATCCCAATCCCGGCCATGGTAACCAAAGCCGTCCTGGACGAAAAGACCGAGATTGAACTGGCGACTATGCGGTAAGCTTCCTTCTAGTCATGAACCACTCCTCAAACACTGGACTAAGGGAAACCCCATCCTCTCCAGATATGTGTCGGCCAAAACCACAATCCCCATCCCAAAGGTGCATGCCTACGCCTTTTCGGACACAGGACTAAACGGGCTGCCCTTCATCATCATGGACTTCGTTGACGGCCAGAGCCTTAAAGACCACGGTTTCAAGGCGGGCCAGACTTGGGGCGAGGCTCTGTTCTTAGGGCCCCAGACTCCCGCGGCAAAAGTCGTCCACCAGCAGCTAGCGGATATCTATGTCCAGCTTCGGCAACTAGAGTTTCCCAAAATCGGAGCATTGGGGCTAAGTTCCCGTGATGTCTCGGCCCTGTCCTGCGGCCCAGAAGAAATCAGTGTGTGCCACCGGCCGCTCTCGATCGAGATCTCGGACCAAGAGCTCGATGGCTTGGAGCCTGGCGAAGTTTTTTCCGCCCAAGAAAACATTTTCCACGGCCAAGGAATTCGTCGACGGCCTGTTATGGCTTGCCCACAACAAGCTCGATAAGGAACGCGACCAAGGAATGGATGACAACGAGCCTGCGTCCATTCTGTATGCCGCTCACCATTTCAAGCACTTCATTCAGAATGAATGGCTGGATCAGTCGGCGAATGAAGGGCCATTCGTCCTAGGTATGTCAAAAGCCAACCCGCATCTTCTAGCTTTATCTTTCCGGCAGCGGACAGTTCCGCGGCTCCCAGGTTCCTCTCTCTTGGCCATGAATGGAAACGGAATAGCTGACGCCGCTTTTGTCCGCGTGCTCATTAGTACACGGGGACATGGACATTGTGATAGGCGATATTTTGTTTGACAATGACTACAAACTCGTGGGCGTCCTGGACTGGGAGTGGAGCCGAGTCGTCCCGGTCCAGCTCATGATGCCCCCCATATGGCTCACCGCCGGCAATCTGCAGTGGGTGCTACTTATGGATGAGACGTATAACAAACAAGTCGGCTACGTTCGTGCAGCCGTTCAGGAACGGGAAAAAGAACTCGGCATCCCGCCACTCCTGTCGACCGAGTGGGCCCCCCTGGAGAAGTGGTATGTTATTGTCCCCCTTGCAACGGCCGAGAAACTGCGCTTCTTCCCAAACCCTCACCCCGCACAAAACCCCCGGCTGTGGGTGGTATGTACGACTAAGAAGTGTGCAACAGGTGCCATCCGGCTGTTGCCATTGGACTCAATTATCCCGACCATGCCTACCTTGCGTACGGGGAACTCGTCTTCAGAAAAATGCTGCCCCGGGATTGCACGGCTACCGACGGAGAGCAACAAAAAAGACTTGATGAAGAAGTCACCCCACGCATAAGAGCATTTATAGAGGCTTCAGAAGAGCGTCAGGCATTCTTGGAGAAGAAGGTGCGGGACCAGTTGGCGTTTTTTGAAGCTGAGAAGGAGCACTATGGCTTCGAGACAACACGTCGGATTAGGAAGACTTGTTCTTTCATGTGGTAGCCATTGGCACACGGTCGGTGTTCGTGTTTTTGTCTCAGATATTTTGGATAAGCCTGGGCTTGGTTTTTCTTTGGAACTGACACCACTAACCTTGGTATGGAAGGTAGGTAGGTAGTCCATGTGATAGATGAGCAGTACCTGCATGTCTTGCTCAGGCGATTTCGAGAATTTTCCAATCATTGGCCAACCCTCGCGCCTTACAACGATTGATATTGTGGGCAGGTATGCAGCTGCCTGACATGACTGCCCAACCCAGGATGCAGCCCGCCTATCTCGGGCCTGCACCCGACACAACCGCAACCTTCGGTTTATATGGGGACTCCGGCTTGTGTCACCCTACCTTTCTGCGGCTTTTAGAACCCTGTTCAATGCCCGTTGCGGGCTTATCCTCAATTTTATACCCTAGCAAATATGGACTCCGACCGCGCCTCGTTGCCCGTGATGGAGACCACCGAGATCAATGATAGCTCGATGCGCTCGGAGGACATTCAAGCTAAGCCTTTGAAAATCACCATCGTCGGCGGCGGGATTAGTGGCCTTTCCGCTGCGATTGCCCTGCGACGGAATGGCCACAAAGTTTCTGTACATCTCCCTGCCCCCCTGACATGCCGCCAGACTCGTTTGTAGGTATTGACCCCCGACTAACACCGTGACTCGCACACAGGTAATGGACAAATATAACATCATCGGCGATACTGGCGCCGCGATCCACCTCTGTCCTAACGTCACTCGTATCCTACCGCGCTGGGGCATCAAGATGGAAAACCTAAGCCCCAACTCGATGTCTCGCTACGTCGAACGCGCCCGGGGTGGCGACATAATCAGGGACGTTGACCTCGCCGAGTCCAACGCACGTTGGGTCTACCCCCGGTACATGGTCCACCGCTCTACTCTTCAACGGGAGCTGATAAGAGTTGCCACATTGACTGAGGGCGACGGCGAGCCCGTGTCGCTGGTCGCAAAAAAGCGTGTCACGGAAGTTGACCCTGAGGCTGGGGTCTATGTCGAGAATAGTACACTGGTATCGGCCGATGTGATTATTGGCGCCGACGGCATCTCCGTGGGTTTCTTCTCGAGACTACAGATACTAGTGCGTAATGTTAACTACCTAACACTGCTCTGTAGTCAGCAACGAGAGAAACCATCAAGAAAGTTCCGCTGGTTCGCACCGGCAAGGCAGCCTTCCGGTTCATCATTGCAGCGTGCGCGGCCGAATCAGACCCCGAGACAGCGTCACTGGTCAGCCAGAAAGACACTCTCACCATCTGGTTCGCCGATGACAGGCGAATCGTCATGTATCCGTGTGAAAACAGCGAGTGGTTGAACTTCGTCTGCATATACCCGGACGAGGAGTCGCAAGCAATCCCCACCAAAGGTAAGACGGCACCGAACCAGGCATGAACCGCTTCAGGAACGCGCAGGTAGCTAAAAGCCCCTAGATTGGAGCGGGGAGGCTTCGCGCGACCACGTACTGCATGTGTTTCGAGATTTCGACAAGGCGCTATTGGCCCTCTTCCGCAAAGCCAACAAGAAGACAATAAGGGTCTGGCAGCTGCTCGACATGGAGGCCCTGCCGACCTGGACATCCTCGAGGCTCGCCCTCATGGGGGACGCGGCGCATCCCTGCCTGCCCTGTAAGCTACACACCCGTCCCGGGTAGACCTGCTTGCCGCCGACGGCCGATACTAACCCAAACGACCACCGTCAGACCAAGCCCAAGGCGGCGCCCAAGCCATCGAAGACGCCGCCGCCCTCGCCGCCGTCCTGCCCAAGGGGACAGACCCCATAGACGTGCCCGAGCGCCTCAAGATGTACGAGAAGATCCGCTACGAGCGAGCTACTCGCATTCAGGAGTATTCGCGCCTTACGGGGCAGGATTGGATAGCCGGCAAGCCCGCGCGTGATAGTAAGTTGGCCGTTTTGAGCACCACCCCAACCTAACCCCCCCTTCTCCGCGGTTGATCGAATCCACTAACCGGAGCCCGAACGGGATGAAGTGAGGGAGTTCGAGACGTACAACTTCGACCACGACGAGATCGAAAACTCCGCCTCTGCCTTCAAGAGCTGGGTTGAGGTCGAGTGGCGCTCGCTGACTGTGACACCGCCGGAAGAGGAAGTGCCCTCGTTGGTTTCGACGCCGCCGGGGGGCGAAGAAGAGCGCTCGTCGAGTTTGGCGCCGGGGGGTGGAAAAGAGCGCTCGTTGATTTTGACACCGCCCGGGGAAGAGAAGAAGCGCTCGTTGGTTTTGACACCGCCGGCAGAGGGAGAAGTGCCCTAGGAAGACCTGCCCAACTGAACATCAAGCGTGGCCTTTTGCCACTCAAGCGATCTTTGACGAAGAATACTGTTCTCTGGGAGGGGAGATTTACTTTCCTGGCAGATATAGACTTTTTTAAAACATGTTTGTTTTGTAGTCAATATTCGTTAGGGGATAGTCCACAGTAATAATAACCTTTGGAGAGCGAGACAAGATGAGATGTGCTGTTGGGTTGAACACTACTTTACCCCTACCGTTGGATCATACCCAAGGGAGATAACCAAGCAACATCACACAACAATATCACAGACAGAGCCACGCTGGCTAGCAGTAGTAGTATGCACAAGTAAGATTGACAACGAATTACGAAGTAAACAAAGAAGAGGAAGCCGCCAAGGCCCGAAAAGCCAGCCCACGCATGCCGACAAACCACCAGTGTCTAATACACCACCCCCCCCCCCCCCCCCCCCCCCCGTCTAGGTCTTTTCCCCTTCGCCTAGCCAACTTGAAGTCCCCTCTCCCACACTTCCGTGGAAAGATTATCAGAGTTTGTGTGTGTGTGTGAGAGAGAGAGAGAGAGAGAGAGAAGAGAAAAAGAAAGGGAGAAGTCATCTCGTCATAACATGCCCCAAGCAAGCAAGCAAGCAACGCACGCCCCATGCTCTCTCCAACGCCGCCGCGCCCCAAAACACACGAATCCAGCCAACGCCAACCAACCAACAGAACAAACAATCGCCACCCCCTGATACGCGGTATCCTATACCAGGTGCACCACCCAATGCGGCCACCACTAAAACCCACCCCTCCCAGGCAGTCCGCGCACCTACCGCCTCCGCTCATCCACATCCTCGCCAATCACCCCCGGCCTCCGCGGATCCACCATGGCCGCCAGGCGCTCATCCCCACCCCGCGCGCCGATGGTGACCCAGACGTGCTTGGCGGGGATGGGCACGCCGCGGGTCTCGCGCACGCCGGTCCAGCGCAGGCGGCGCTCGCGGCTCAGGTCCGAGTTGCCGAGCCCGCCGTTGGCCGTCCACTCGCGCACGACGTCGCGCACAAACTCCATCTTCTTGCGGAACTGGTTCGCGGCGGGGATGCCCTGCAGCTCCGGGGCGATCTCGGGCCGGCGGCGCGAGCCGGTGCTGGTGCTTCGGGAGTTGGTGCTGCCGGTGTTGGCGGTGGTGGAGGAAGAGGAGGATGGTTTGGCGAAGTTGAGGAGGGTCTGGAGCGGGTAGGAGAGCACGGCGCGGTCGTCGAGGGCGGATTCGGCGAGGGAGCCCGTCTCGTCGAGGCGGCGGGCCGCGTCTTGTGGGAGGTGCCAGAAGTGGCACCACACGCCCGCGGCGTCGAGGACGATCTTGGTGTGGTCGGGGAAGTTGAACTGCGTGTGCCCGTCCGCGAACATCCAGCAGCCGACGTCGCCGAACCGCTGGTAAAAGGTGACGACGTCCGAGGGCACCGCCGTCGGATCTGTGATGGTCGGCACGCGAATGGCTGCTTCTTCGGTCGCTGTCGGCGTCGATGACTGGGTGGGGCTGTCCATCTCGCGGCCGTAGGCGATCATGTAGTTGGCGAACTTCTTCCACAGGACGATACGCTCGCGTTTGCGGTGGTCGTAAATGTCGCGTCCTGCTGAGAGCTTGCCGACGGTGCCGTCAGGGTTGACGGGGAGGACGAAGTTATCTGGGGCGACTCGGACGCGCGAGATGCCAGTCTCCCCGTTGTTTTCGTAGAAGTAGATGCCTTCCTTCATGGGGACGATTTGGTGGCGTCCGCTGTACGTCGGATCGTCCTTGCGTAGGCAGTGCCGTTCCGCGTCGTGGACGAGCAAGCATGCAGGGGGCAACATGCCGGGCTCGGGGCTCTCTGGTGATGGAATGCTACGGAGGATGCACCCAACACTTCCGTCGTTCAGGACGTAGCCCAGGCCAAACTTGTTGGTGTAATCAACCCACTTCACCACGATGTGCGGCGGGGACGGCGTCTTCTCCCGCGATGACACAAGTGCCATGGTGCGAGCGTTGAGTGCCCGCTCAAGCTCGGCCTGCAGCTTCTGTAGCCGCTCGAGTACGACATCGGGCTGGGTGCCAGGGACCGCTTCTTGGTACTCGGAGGGGCTGAAAAGGGATAGCCTTTCTTCCTGCTTCTTCTCTCTCGTCGATGCCGACCGTCGTAGCGGAGGGGCACCCTCCTCCGAGCGAACAGCTGGCTGAGTCCTGGTCGAGTTCGTTTGGCTACTGCGAAGGCTGCGGGTGGTTGTCCTTGAGACCGGGGCCGGATCTTCCGAGGGCTGCCGAGAGGGCGCAGCTGGTTCCCTCCCCGGGCGCGGTCGCAGAGCGACGGTTCTCGAAGCGGGCTCTGTCACAGTTTTTGATCGCGACACGCCCGTCGTCGTTGCAGGCTTATGTTGCGCTCTCTGCTGTGCAGCAAAGCTTTGCGGCGGAGCTCGTAGTAAGCCGGATGATGGTTTCCGGGCTAGGGTGCTCTCCTTTAGACTCCTGGATTCGTATGTTTGCTCTGAAGTCTGTGACGATTGTTTTGACAGCTGCTGGGCTGTGATCCGAGCCTGGAGCTTCTGCTCATTCTTGATCTCGTCAAAAGGCCGGTAGACAATGCCCTCGGCTAGGGGGATGACCGGGGTAAGTCCGTTTTGCTCCTCCTCTGCCATCTCTCTCCAGATATTCCTGAAAACCAACTGGGACTGGCACCATGGACCAACACCACACTCTCGGCACATCTCCTGGACGTTTCGAAGGTTGATGGACTGGGCTTGGGAATTTAGCGGTTCGTAAAAGGCGGGGTTTTCTGGCGCAAGCTCTCGCAGCTTGTAGTTGATATCGGAAGGGCCTGGCATGTACCCTGAGGTGAAGAATGGGTGTGCGACGATTGTGTCGGGGTCAGGTCTCTGGTCAGCGTCCTGGAGCATGGTAGCAACCAGATCCTTAGCTTCCTGGGTGATGTATTTCGACGACGTGTCCGACGACGGCCATTCGTAGTCACGGTCTTTTGCGCGGCGGTAAATCTCGTCCGTTGTTGATGATTGGAAGGGAGGTTTTGATGTGAGCATCGCGAACCTAGTCTTGCATTAGCATTGCGTGACATGCAATCCGTTTCAGGGAAAGCTTACACAATAATTCCCAGGCTCCAGATATCGACCATGTGGTCATGCCCCTTCTTGCCCTTCTCAAGAATTTCGGGGGCAATATAGTTGGGCGTCCCGCATAATGTTGTCCGCCGCATAACCTGCATGTCCTTGCCGGTGAGGAGGAGAGCAGCGAGGCCAAAGTCGCCAATCTTGGCGTTCATGTATTTGTCGAGGAAGATGTTGCCCATCTTGAGATCGCGGTGGATGATGCCTTTTGCGTGCATATATTTGATGGCGCCGGCGATCTGGACGGTGTAGAAGCGCACTTCAGCCTCGGTCAAGCCCTTGCGACGCTTCACCATGTCCATGAGCGAGCCATTAGGGCAAAGCTCCAGAACCAGGTAGGTGCAGCTTTCGAATGTAAAGGCGCGGTGAAACTGAACGATGTTCTGGTGGCGCATCTTGGAGTGGATCTGCAGTTCTGTTTGGAACTAGAGACGGGTGTGAGTTCAAATAAAGCACCAACAGACTGTCGCAATAGTATTCACCTTTTGCTCCATCTTTGTCGACATCTTGCTCTTGACAATCTTCAGGGCAACGCGCTTCGATGCTCCCGCGGCCTTGCTTTCGTAGCAAATGGCAAAGCCGCCCTTTCCTAGCAGCTTGCCGACCTGATAGACGACACCATCCTTGCGGTCGGAGCTTGGCGGCTCGACAACATTATTGGGCGGCGGTGGCGGGTGCTCCTTGTCCCTCGTCGTCTTGAGTTGGGCTGCAGCCTTCGTCTTCAGCTCGTGTGCTCGAGGGGGCCGTTGGGCATTAGCATCCCGGGGGGACAACGCCTCCATTTCGATACTCTTCCGCGCCCCGGAGGCTCGTGAAAAGATCTAGAGTTGGCGAGCTCTCAATTCTTTGCTTGGTGGTTGACGTGTTGTCGACCAAGAAATGTTGCTGTCCAAAGTCTGTTTACCGGTCAGTTGTACAGCAGTTGTTGTGCTGGTGACTCTGATGCACACGATGGAGCTGCCGATGTCAAGGCTTGCTCACAACCGGCCACAACAGAGGTTTTCGTGATGAGTCCGGTCCGGCGAGGCGCGGTTTGTTGCAGGTGTCGGGTCCGAAAGACACAAGTCGGGAAATTCGCGGCCGAGCCGGTCGTGGAGTGTTTCGCCGGGTTACCACGGCAACAGGAGTGTGGTGTGGGCCCACACTGTGGTTGTCCATGGCTGCCCGAGCTGCCGCAACTCACTCCAAATGATAAGCTTCCGTAAACGAGGACTTGCCGCAACATTATTGGCTCAAGTACCGAGGTGTCCCTGGGATAGCCCCACCAAAGTCAAGATGACTCCATCCCACCACCAACGCTTCCTGAAGCCAACAGTTGAAGTTCTCGCTGGGTAGAGAGGTACCTATTCAATCGGCAACAGACACTTCGAACGGATCACCGACCTCGAGCCCCAACTCAACACTTCTGCACTTGGCATCGCGCACCACACCACTGGTTAGCTGACAACCCAGAGAACTTGGAGCGCCATGGTGCCGCTACCACTCTTCAAGCTCGCGGCGCTCCTCGTGCGACATGTTTCCAAATACGGCGCGGTTCGTTTGCTCCCAGACCGTCTACCGAGCCCGGCAGCCTCCTGACTCCCCTCGTCCTGCAGAACCACATAAAACACCAGGCGCACGAACACCCGAGATTCCGGGACTTTGCTGCGCGGTATGGCCAGATAATACACCAGCTTAATATGCGGATGTCGGTCGCTGTAATACGGAACAAAGATGCCGAGCAACGGGCGAAGGAGAAAGCCGAGGCGCCGGTGGTAAAGACGGAAGAGCAAATTAAAAAGGAGGAGGAGCTCCGAGCCAAGTACGGAACGACGGCGCGGGCGACGATCAAGGAGGCCAAAGAGCCCCCCGTCAGTGTTTGGAAGCGCAAGTTCAGGCCGCTCCCCGAAGGGAAAGCGGTCGACCTTTTTGCCGACGTGATTGGCGATGCGTTTATCCTTGGGGTTGCGGGAGGGTTGATAACGTACGAGTACTGGAAGGCCTCGCAGAAGCCGGATAAGAACAAGGAGATGATTGAGGAACTCCAGAATCGGATGGAGGAATTGAGGATAAAAGAGGAGGAGCTGGAAGCCAGGGAGAGGGAGCAGCAAGAACGGGTGCAGCTGATTGAGGTCGCGTTAAGAGCGTTCAAGGACCCGAAAACGAAGCAGCCCCTCCTAGCGACCCCAACGGCGGCAGCCTGATGCCGTGGAAGCACGGAATCCAGTATTCACCATTATCCCCTTCCGAGGCCGGGCGAAATAACCTCGTTTGAGGTGTAGCATCGAGAAATATGCTGCTGTCCGATTCAACTGTACGAGGGTGCACAGTTTTGAGAGTGACCATGGAATGATGAACGGCATCGGGCTGGTGCCTGGTGGTTTGGATGTAAGTTTACTAAATGAGGAAGGCGTAAAGGTACACGGAGGTGAACAAACCCTTCTCCCACAAAACCTCGACATGGACAGAAACGATACCCAATCAGTTAATGAGAGACCACTCTTCACTTCATGATTCAGTCCTCAGTGCGGAATAACGGTAGTATGGATTCCTCAAGCGAGCAATTTGCTGTCAATTGGATTTGCTCAAGCCTGAGGCAACGCCCGGCCTGGACATCGACCGCAACCCAACTTTTACAATCTGATGGAGGGCACTGGAGAGGTATCACATGCTGGCTACCTACCTAAAATCACTTCACAGTTAACACGGTGACCTAGAAGCAGACCTAGTAACCCACGACATCGCTCTGAGCATCTCAGGTCCGCATTCAGAAACCGACGAGACCTTTCACCTCCTACTCCTCACCCCGGAGGACCTCGCCAGCCCGCAAACCCTCCCCCGAATCCAACACCTCCACAGCCTCACCAACGGGCACAACGTCGCCCTCCTTTTCCTCCTCCACGCCCAAGACACCGAAACAACTCCCCAGCCCGCCATGCACCCCTTCATGGACCTCCACATCAAGTAAGCCCCATCCTTTACCCACCCCAACAAACCCCCAAAACAAACAAATCACCACATAAATACCCAACTAACTAACACACAAACAAAAAGACTGCAAACCCACGCCCTCCCCCTCCCCATAATCCCCGTCACCCCCCTCCCCCGCATCCGACCCAGCCGCCCTACCCGCCGCTCTACACGCCTTCCACTCCTCGCTCCTGGCCGCCGCGCGAGGCGGCGCCGCTGGCTACCACTGGCCGGCCGATGCCGCGCGCGAGCTGCTGCTGCCTTGGTGCACGACCACGCCCGCGCCTGTTGCTGGTGCTGCGGTGGGGGCCACGGTGGGAACTATGGGTATGGGTATGGGTATGGGTATGGGTATGGGTATGGGTACGGCGCTTGGGCGGGGTCAGGGACAATGGTCGGGTGGGGGCCACGGTTACGGGCACGGGCATGGGCACGGGCAGGATCGGGGTCGGGGTGGGGATAGCATGTCCGGTGCGCTGTCGGAGGGGGTTGTGGAGGGGTTGATGGGGCGGTGGTTCAGTTTTGGGGAGCTGCTGGAGGGGATCTCTGCTGGGGAGGTGGTTGGGGGTGCGGAAGGGGATGGGGTGGTCTCGTTTTGGCAATTTGAGTTTGCTACGCGTTGAGCCTCAAGGCCAGGTTGAGCCGCGGTTGGGGTTCTTGGGAGGTGATGCCTCGGCATTGACCTGGTGATCTCGGTGGGCTGTCTACGTGGCATTGATGGCAATAGTAGTTGATAGCTTTGCGGTGGGAGACCAAGTCACGACACAAGTGAGCGGAGCCGGCGCTGACTTGGCGGTTGGGTGTGATTTGCTATATAAGCCCAGAGCCGCCGTGACGGAAGGATGTGACGACACCCACCGAGATCTCAGACATTGTCGCGGTAGAAGCCCGGTCTGGCGGCAAGCCGGCCTCTTTGGTACCTGGCAGAAATATCCACGGAGTTAGCTCCATGGGCGCCGGTTGTTGGGCCCGCTGCCCGCAAGCCACCTGCTGTTAGTCAGGAAGTTCGCAGCCTTACGCAGCAAGGCTGCAGAAGGTGGACGGATCAGTAACCAGTTTGGGCGTGGCCCGATTCTATGCAGCCCGTCGTTTAATAGTTTGTTTGTGAGACCCAATGATAGTGCGGGATTTCAACAACTGCTAATTATACATTTCGACGTTGGCGTTATTACCTATTCAGCGCTATTGAACGCACTTGATGTCTTCTTTAAGCTCGTTGGGTCGTGAGCACTAACTGCTATTTCCAACCGAGCAAGTCATTTCCCAAGCCTGAGGTTTTTGGTTTATTGTTTTTCTTGGTTGGCACTTAGCTCCGGCAGAGCAAGGGGGCCAATGGATGTCGTGGGTATGCGCATGGGGAAACTGACACCTTGTTCACGCGAGAGAAGTCATGTGTCGTGGGTGAGCGGCGACGAGGCGAATGGGGGAAGCACTTTTGGTGATTTGGTGTCCCGAACGGGAAATCCGGGCGCCACCCCGAAGCTGAACATTCATGATCTCAAGACGGTCCCACTGGCCGGTTCGCCGCGAGAGGCGTTGGTGGCGGTCAGCTCCCGGGCCGGGGAGTGCGGGGATGGCGGCGTGGCAAACAGTGGCAGCGGCAGCGGTGAAGGATCCGTTCAAAGCAGGGCTGCAGGTGAGACCAAGAATATCTTGTTCGTCCCGGACGTTCCTGCTCAACGGAGATGCGGTGACGACAACGCCCAGCCTCGGCGAGATCGTCGGTTAAAAAGCTCCACACGACAAGTCAACAGAGGCACGGAGTCTTCGCCGCGGCGAGACATCTGCAATGTCATGGCAGCATGAGCACCACAAATAGTGGCATAACGGTAGCCTTTTTAACCCGCACCGAGGAGCTTGGCCGTAACATGAAGGCATTCAAACGGGAGCAAAATCCGATTGTTGACCCAGCTGTGATGATAAAAATAGCCCAGCCTCCAGCGTCGACTGATGTGATCTGCTGCAGGGTGCTGGGCCAGCTCGAGGCCAAGAACCGAGCCAGACGGTGCGGGGGAACCTCTCGATTCCAGCTCCGGCATTGGCTGGGCAAGAAGCTCGCTCTCGGGTTCTCATTGGGCCGAAGGGCATTCTTCCATGCCGAAGCATCCAATGGTTGACGTTGACCAACCGCTGAAAAGATTGGTCCAGCGTTCTTTTTCGATCCATATTGAGGCCACGAGCAAGGAGATGTTCGATGTGCATATGCAAGCAACACGGAGGCTGGGACCGGGCCGGTGAATGCAAATGCAAAGCCTCCATCCACTGGAGATTTCGGCCCACCAGATAAAAACCTGCGCTCAGAGGTAGGTATGCTGCAATGCAACCGGAAGGCAGGTTTTATACATAGCCATCTTGGAATGACGGTCGGCTGAAGTTTTTGTGTTGCTGAAGAAGTGGCTGAGAGTTGTTGTGTTGATGGAGCCGAGATCGTACAGGTAGGTACGGATAACTCGGGAGCTGGCAGGCCATCAAACCCCTTGGCGTTTTGAGTTCACGGGCAATCCGCGGATGGAGGGGTTTTGAGAACCATCGAGTCCGAAAGATGTACCCAGTGGATGATCACAACATCTTGCGGTGATGGGCAATTGGAACGCTTGCCGAAACGGAAATTGAACGACAAAGAACATCATCAAGCTGCTCATTAACAATCGTGGACAGCATCATCGACATCTGATGAGTGAGCTTTTTCGCGATGGGAGGTTGTCCTGGCGAAGGCCCGCCGCTCAAGCAAGCCAGCGGCACGTTCACGTTAACGAGCATCCTTGCCCTGGCCCTGCCAAGACAGATTGTGGACCCCACACATCAGCATCCCATTGTTCGCCCCAAGTTGCCCAGCCGCCTCAAACGGTTTGTGCTTCAGCCGGCCGCCGGATAGACGGGATCGGGTCTCAGAGTCTGCTGTGGCTGTTCGAAGGTACGAGAGGTAGTGGGAGCAAGGAAACCCCCAATACGCCCATATGTGGTTTGAGCAGAGATTTTGATGCATCGCCCGAACGCCCAAGCTTCCATTTTGGAACGTGGCTGGACGTAACACAAAGAAGACAATTGGAACCCCCCTTCGAGGCTCATTATCCATTGGACGTTCCACTTGCCCGGCTTCGGGGCACCTCGGGCTGTTCTTGCTCGCATTCATTGCTTGCGTGCAGACAGGCGCAGGCGCAGAAGCAGCAGCGCCGATATTGCCGTTATTTGTTGCCCAATCCAGCCGCGATGCATCTCAGCCACCAGGAAGCAGAAGAACCTCTCAGGGTTGAGGAGCCGACTTTGTCACTTGACACCAGTGAAGTGCAGGGGCGTTACAGGTCGGTACATCATCTTGGCGGACAAGGAGACATGCGGGGGACCCTGGCTCCTGACGCAGCGGCATTGTGGCTGGCTATCTCATTGGCGTGACCTGCCCTGTAGCCGCCCTCGGCACACACCAATCACACCAAACAGTGCAGCCCAGAGAACTGTGTCGCAACGCTTGCATCGCACGAGTCAAACCCAGTCCACCAAGCCCAGCTCTGCAAGATGTCTCTCGTCGACGCCCAAATGAGCTCTTTGCAGTCCGCCGGGTGGGCAATGGCCGAGGAAAATCCTCATTTTCCCTCGCCATTTCTCGCTCCCTCTCGTCCAGCGGAGCGAGGATTTGAGGGAAAAATAAGTGGAAAAACGGAGGGAATAATAAGCAGCAGGTCACAGATCGTCGACCATGGCCCGCGGTGAGCGCCCGCATTTTACCGCCCGCGTCGCTTTTAGCGGCCGGCCTTTTTTACCTTCGACGACAGCCGTCCATCAGACAGCACGGCATGGCCCCAGCAGCAAATCGCTGGAAACGTGAGGGAGGGGGGGGTGGGATACCCCTGGTTCCTTTTTCTGCTTCGCGAGCCGCCCCCTGCTTCCCCACTCACCTCAGCAACGTCGTCCCGCCCTCTCCCCTCGGCTGCTGCCATGCGGACCATGCGGGGACTTGGCTCGCTCAGAATCGCTTGCGCGGAGACACTGAGGCGGCCCCGACCGTGGCTGATTCTGCTCATGACACAGATCGTGGTTCCATTTCATGTTCTTCTCTGCTGATGAGGCAACCCTCTTTCTCTATTTTCTCTATCTCAGAGTCAGTCAGGCTGTCATTGTTTTCGTGAACCCACCCCCCTGGGACAAGGGGGTGTCAAAAAGTTCCGGAAAGAACTCCACACCTGACTTACACAATCCACGGCTGCTCGCGCGCAGGGTCCCCCCCCCCCATCCAGGCATCTCGGCGTTCTGGGCGCAATAGACCCTGTCACTTCTTAAACTCGCAGGGTCCCGGATGTCTGGCGATCAAGCATCCGTCCCCGCTCCGCTCACACATTACCTACATGTTCAAACGCCCCCTTCCACCTCAAACCTCCCCTTTGGTAACCACGAACCTCCTTGTCTGATCTCCATCACGACTCAATGCGAGGGCTGCCCGGCCTGACATACCACGGCAGTTGAGAACCCACCCAGAAAGCTTCGTCTGAATCAGACCTCAGACCCCTCGTCAAACCTCCGGCATCCCCATGGCCGCTTAGACCTCGATCCGAAGAAACGGTCCACTCCTCTCTCAAACCCCCATCAATGCTTGCCCGTATGCCTGCCGTGGTCATAGACAGGGTCACCCGAACTTGGATATCGCACGAACACACCCCAGCTTCAGACTTGCGACCCGAGACACAGGCTACCCCCCGGCGACCCATCTGATACACGAGCTCCCGGGCTCCGGTGCAAGCCCTCCAGGGCGAGTGCCAGACTCCCGTCCGACGCCCGGGCTTGCCTCCCCTACCCGGCCGAGGCGAGGATACAATATCAAGCCAGCACCGCCCCGCTGGCCGTGGCTGTCTCGGAATTCCTCTCCGCCTTTCTTCCCTCCCTCTCCTTCTTCGCCGCCGCTGGTCGATAGCCTTCTTTCATATCGATCTTTTTTTCTTCTTGGATCTCGGTCGCCCAGGCTACCAATCCATCCGCAGGTCCGGAACCTCGCCTTTCTTTCGACTTTTACCTTGTATTATTTGTTCGGCTTCGGCTACCACATCTTCCCTTCGGCGCCTAGGATCGATCGTTTGGGTACGGAATTTTGTTGATAATCGGGGAACGACAAAAGCATCAGCGTGTTTTGTGTGTGACACGGCAAGAGACAGGAATTTGAGGACCGCTTGGACTATTAGAAGGGGACATCGGGACCATTTGATCCGACAATCTTTCGCCAACCGGAACCATGGGCAGGCTTATTAAGAATCACTGGGCGAGGCTCATTGTCCTCTCGGCAGCAATGTGTACGTACCCAGATTGGAGGGGATTCTTAGGAGGTGTGGCGGGACAGGACAGAATGCTGACACAAACATGCAGACCAAATCGCTGCCGCGGTGGAAGGGTACTTCTGGCCCAAGATATTTTGGGATTTCATCACCAAGACGCTCGATCCGGCCGTCAAACCGATACCAGTACTTCAGACCATCAATCTTGTCTTCGGCATCGTCCTCCTCGCATGGGAGTGGCCTCTCGGCTTCCTCGCCGGCTCCAGCTTCCACCGCAGTCTCGAAGCGCGCCTCGCTTTCCTGCCGCTGACCGCCCTCGCCGCCGCGCTCATGTACCAGGGCACGAATGCCGCCATTTACCAGGTCATTGGGTTGGGGGTCTACTTTTGGGCGTACAGTGAAGGAGAGGTATGTTTTGATCGGACGTACTTGGTTTTTGAGTTACGTGCTGACTGGTTCAACAGATGATTTGCGCAAAGCCGTGGACTCTGCCGCAAAGGACCGCGCGTGGGCGTGTCTAGATGGACACACTCACGTATTACCCCTGTCTATATCCACTCGTGGTGTGAATACTCGATGCCGCCAACACCTCTTACGCCTCTACCTCACGACCTCGCCACGTCGCCTCGATTGATCATTTCAGCCGCTCCAGCAAGACACACCAGTCACGATAATCACCAAACGAGGAACGTGGTCCAGAGTGAGAGAGGAGGAGAAGAGAGAAACCGTACATATGGCATCAACAACCGAAAATATGCATTCCTATTCTTAGATGGCGATCTGAAAGCGCTTTATTGTTTCGTTTCTGTATTTCTTTCCCATATACCATGACTTTTCCTTTCATTTCAGCATTACGACGACTCACCCTATGGTGCAAGGAAGAGGAGGAAGTCTCAGCATGGCGAGCGTGGCGTTGCGTTGTTATTTGATGGTGTCGGGGGAGACGGGGCAACTACAGACACTGGGCTAGTGGTTTGCCCCGGACTCAGGACGGGGACACTCGGGCAAGGCCGGAGGGGAGGATGTGGCTCGGGCTAAGGGGGATAGCAGCGGTACTGGTTCTATGCCTCAATTGTGGTTGCAAGGAAACTGGTTCTCTGAAGGCTCGGGTGGCAGGAAGCAATAGTGCTTGTGCATAATCCAAACGCAGTCAAGCCATTGCTTTCACATTTCACAATTGCCCTCACACTTGCTCAGTTTTTGGTATGCTTTGTTGTGCACCTTGCGATTCAGGAGCATTCATGGGGCTCCTCGGCTGTCAAACTTGGCTCTTGGGAAAGGGGGGATGCTACTGTCGTACCCAAAACCAAAACACGCCTGAAACCCAAAAAGGCCCAAGCCATCATCACGACAAGGACACCACCTCGTAAACTTGACTCGATTTTTGACAAGGTCCATCCTTCGTTCAACACAGCCAAATTCTCCATCCAAAAAAGCCGATCAAAGTTCTAGAACCGTGAACAGCCTGGGAGCTCCCAGCAAAGCTTCCATAACCCGCCACTCAAAGAGTCAGTCAACAGTCAAACTCAAAACTCAACAACCATGCACGTCAGCAACCAAACCAGAAATATTTACCTAACCAATCTAAAAATGGGCCCTCTTCCAAGTAGGCACGTAGGCTGGCTTCCTGGCGGTAGACGACACACGGTCCGCGCTGCACGAAGCGCCCAAACGAACGAGTCACAAGCCGGAGTCACCCACCTCGCGCGGAAAGGTCAGCCTCTCACACGATCCGAAGCGAAAAAACCCAGAGACAGCCAGTAAGCCAGTGAGCCAGCCCCACCGAATCAACGCCAAGTCTGTCTCACCTGGGAGGAATCCGGTGGGGGCTCTGTCTCAGATCAGGAAAGGGCGGGCACCGGCACACAGTCACGTGGCGCTTGGCGGCTAACTGAGTGTCCCGTTGCCGTTGCCAAGGCAGAGTTCCCGCTTTTCGTCCGTCCGAGACAAAACGTCCGGGTGGTGCCAGAACAAACCGTAGGCCGTCCTGGTGTGAGACGGATCACCACCGGGTGCAACAAGCGCATTGCGATTTGAGCCACTCGGAAAAGCAAAGATGTGCACAGTAGGTAGGTATGGAGGCACTCATGTCGTGTTACAACTATGGAAAAAAAAGAGTTACCGCCCCACGAAGGGGGGCCAGACAGGCCCGGATCGACCGAAGATCGCCCGCCTCATCGACCGGCCGACTTCCCGATCGCACTCCGTCTCTGGAGGAATTCGAGACCCCGACTTGTCATATCAAACTCCCGCCCCGTCTGCGTCATCCACATAACCCCTTCACGGCTATCCGATCCGATCGATGAATCACCCGTCACCCTTTTTGCGGCGCCCTGATGCAGAACAAAACTTCCGATCGTCTGTGATCAGGGTCCGGGATTGGGGTGGGTGCGCAGCCGTGACTACCCCCAGGCTTCACACGCCTCCTTAGCGGGTGATGTAGGTCCCGTTGGAGTCATTCTTGCGGCCTTGACGCTCTTGCATCTGCAGATCGTATCGGTTAGCTTGGATTCTTTGCTGTCCACGGTGGTGTTGTGCTGTCTGATGGAATGAATCACGGCCGCCACGTCGGCAGACAAGGTAGGGCAAGGCAGGGTAAGATAATGCAAAGCAAAGCAAGGCATGACAAAGCGAGCGCCGCGGCTGCTATGCGTCTAAATCCACCACTAGATTGATGGCTGGATTGATGGCTCGGTGATCTGGTCCGATCTGCGGCGCGGCCTCCCGCTTGGCGGCGCGGCCACCGAGAGCGGCCGGCGAAGGTCCAATGCCGTGTGTGTGGGTGTGTATGAGCGAGGCTCAGCAAGGGCAGGCCGTTTCGCGAGACGCCCGGCCGCCCGCTCGTACCCGCTGTCATACCCAGCCCTGCTGGCGGCCGGCCTTGCGGGTTCACCGAACACCGAGAACAGGCCGGCCGCGCAAGCGTGTACAACACCAATCGCCAATTGCCAATGATCATCATAGGCGCGACGGGAAAGGGAGGAGGAAAGAAGGAAGATGTGTTGTTGGGCGGGTGGAACAGGAACGAGAAGAGTGGTCATACCTCAAACTCCTGCATGCTCCCCTTCTCCAGGATTTGGAGCACGGCCTCGTCGTCCTTGGAGGTGCCGAACTCGTTCTCGAGCATCGCATTCGACGCGCCCTCGAGCAAGCCTTGAGCGCCCTGCCTGTTACGCCATCCTCGTCAGCATACCGTATTCTACCCCTCCCGAACTCAACATTATTGCGTCATCACTCTCCTCCCCCGCCTTGCCAAACCCCGAGTCCCACCACTCACAACGGATAACGGGATCTAGGCGGGTAGGAGGAGGTAGGAGATGCGCAAGAAAGCATAGCAAAGCCGAGTAAAGCAAAAACATACCTGTGCGTAGTAAACACCTTGAACGACGACACGACCTGGGCGAGCGGCACCGTCTTGTCGCCCAGCCACTTCTGGTAATCCTCGGAACTGTCCAGGAAGACGATGAAGTCGTCGTCGTTGGTGCCCTTGTAGTGGACCTTGAGGCGGTTGGCTTCTCCGCGGGCCATGTTGGATGTAGGTGAGGCTTGTGGTGCGTGTGTGATGGGGCGTTTGAGGGTTGGTGTCACTCGTGAGATGTCGAGTGGTTCGTCTTGGTCGTGGGGAAATCCGTTGGTTGTGTGTAAGTGGAAGTGGAAGTGGAAGTGGAAGTTTGGTGTTGTTGCTTTGAAGAAAGATCGCTTTTATCGCTGGCAAGATCAAATCGAGGTATTCTTATGAGAGTCAAGCCTAGTATGCTTTCAATAGAAGTTTTTTGTTGCTGTCGTGTGCTCAATGCCTTCATAAATAAAGGAGGAGGGGCAGGGCAGGGTGTTGACGTCATAAATCCAGCGTGACGATGAGGTGCACCAAAACCCCGCTTACACGGCCACCCAATCAAGCACTGTATGGATTGCTGCAGCACCGCCCCGAATTGGCATCTTTCTACCATGTTCTGTCTAGGAGAATCCAGGTATAGTTGGCTTTACCGTGACTTTACCGCAACCTTGATCAGCGTAATAATAATGCAAGCTGCGTTAAACCGCGCGAGCCGCCGGAGAAACGGCACTGACACTGCGACACTGCTTGGCTGAGCGAAACAGTGCCCCCTTGAGAACCTGACAATCTATTCACACAGTCCCCGGGCAGATCCGCAACTCCATCGCTTCCACTGCACACCACGTTCCTGCAGCAAGCTGCCCCTTTGACGTCACAGCCCGGCAGAGTCGGCCAGCAAGCGGATCGGAGCATCCCGAAAGATCTTAATACCAACCAGCTAATTTGTTTACAAACCCCTGCCTACCTACGTCGTATACTCCACGGCCAATCCACAAACCAAGCCTCGAACGAGGTGTTGCTCGGCCTTCCCTGCCCAATACCGAGGTATGCGGTGTGTTCTCTTCATCGATGCGTTCAATCCCAGCGCAATTAAGTATACATTTAGTGTTACCAAAAGCCAAAACCATCTCTGAACCCCGTAGGGTGCCATAATCCCCATCCCGTGTACCTTAAACATGAAGGAAAGAAGGAGAGTGATAGAGAGGGGTATCAAAAGCTGACCTATCCTTTACTTTTCACCCAAACCACCCCAGTCCCAATTGTGAAAGCCACCCGAAGTCTTCACCACGCAACCATCCGAGTTCCAACCGTGAAAGTCACCCCCAAGTTCCAGACGTGAAAAACAATACAATTCCAACAATGCAAACCACCCGAGTCCCGACACCACACCCCATCCCCTAACTCCCCAACCCACCCCAAAAACATACACAGTAGTAATTCAACACCCCCCCTGGCGAAACAAGCTCCGAAACCCCTCCGCCACAGCCTCTCGCCGTCGCACACCAGCCTGAGCCAATTTCTTCCCCGAAAACCTCAACGACCTCGACCTCGGAGACGCGGCCTTGCCCTTCCCACTCCCCTCTGACACCGGCAGCGGCAGCGACCCCGGCGGCGGCACCGGCGGCGGCTCCCGTCCCAGAACTCTCCCACCACCACCACCACCACCACCACCACTCCCGTTAGCACACCCCTCTGACACCGGCAGCGGCAGCGGTACCAGCGGCGGCACCGGCGGCGGCTCCCGTCCCAGAACCCTCCCACCACCACCACCACCACCACCACCACCGCCACTCCCGTTAGCACACCCCTCTGACACCGGCAGCGGCAGCGGTACCAGCGGCGGCACCGGCGGCGGCTCCCGCCCCAGAACCCTCCCACCAGCACCAGCACCACCACCACCACTACCACCACCACTGCCCCCATTAGCACCCCCCTGAGGCTTCCCAGACGGGCCCAGCCCCAACAACCCCGAAGCCGACATCTCGCCCAGGTACGAGCGCTGCAGGCTCGGCCGCTCGCCCGGCGCCTGGGCCTGGGCCTGGCCCTGTCGCTCCGCCTTCCCCTCCGCTTCCGCCTTCCCTTCCTCCTCCCCGCGCCAGCCCGGCTCGTCCGGCGCCAAGGCGCGCCGCGGTTGTTGTTGCGGGGCTGTGGTTGCGGCTATGGTTGTGCCTGTGGTTGTGCCTGTGGTTGTGGCTGCGGCTGCGGCTGCGGTGGCGGCTGCGCGACGGCGGCGGCAGCGGATCATCTCCAGCCCCTCGGCGTCGACGTCGCAATCAGCATCGCCGTTAAGGGTGCCGGGCGGGCCTGGCTCGGATGTTGATGTAGCGGGGGCGGTGGTGGTGATGATGGTTTCGGTGCGCGGCCGTCCCGCCGGTGGGGGGTTTGTGGGGTCTCCCGCGCCTGTAGGGGCCTTTGCCTTTCCCCTTTTCGCAGGGCAGTGCGCGCTCTCGGCGGTAGCCGCGGCGGCGGGAGTGCCACTCTTCTCCTTCTGTGGCTGGTTCTGGTTCTGGTTGTGCAGGCTCGCAAAGCTGGCCGAGCGCCGGCTGAAGCTGCCGGTGATGCTGACAGCGCTCAGTTTGCGCATCATGGACGACGCCGAGGCCCGGACTAGGTGCTCGCTCCTGGAGCGGGCCGTCATCCCGGGGAAGGGCAGAACGTCGCGGGTCCACACGTCCGAGAGCAAGGCCTCGAGCCGCGCCCGCTCGGCCCGGGCCGGCGCTAACACCGGGACGCGGCTGTTTGTGGTGAGGAGCGACTGCGACCGGTTGATTGGTGTGTTGCTGTCAGAGTCCGTCGGATTCTCCCTCGTGGCGCTGGTGTCTCGGAGAATGACTTGATAGAGGGGGGTTTTGGGACTGATGGTGCTTGCTCGGTGTATGGATATTCTTCTAGCAATGGTTCCTGTCCTGGTCAGCAGAACCCGCATCTTAATTTACGGTTCATAGGGAACATACCTGGTTGTCTAAAGACAGCCCCTAGAGACTTGATATTTAGCGTGAGAAAACTAAAAATGTCCGGTTGCTCCTTGTCCTGGTCTTCAGAACTCGCTGCTTGGCTGCTGCTCAGTCGCGCTCGCCACTCCAACTCCTCCTTTGGGGAGCATGCAGTCAAGATCAGCTCGTACAGTTGGTAGTTGGATAAGAATACAATCTTCCAAGAATGTAACACCGAGTGGCATTGGAGCCCTGCGTGTGTGGTAAGCATGGCTCCTGGCATCGTCGGAATGGTGCAATCTTACCTCGGCCATTATCAGCTTCTTCTACTCTGAGGTTGACTAACGGGATACAGGCTTGGATTGTGTAGACATGATCGATCCTGCCAACCGTCGCGAGGCAAAGCCAATCACGGTACAAGAGGGCGACCATGTACTGCCCACTGGCGCCGTCCTTGGTCTGCCAGCAGACGTGGAGGGCGCCGCAAAGTCGCAGATGGCCAAACGACCGGATGCGGTTCCTTGAGGCCGCGTCCAGCTGCTATTTCCTGTTAGCGTAGCCAGGAACAACCGCACGGTATCCATACCCGGTCTGGAAAGGCAAGTCGGTCTTGAAGAATCCACGTCTTCTCAAGGGCCAACTTGGTGCGAGAATCGTTCGTGGCTCGGTTGATCTCGGTAGTGGCTTCACGAAGCCTGGCGAGCGTGCTTTCAACCTCCATGTGCGAATAGGGGCAGTCAATCACAGGGGTGTGCTTCAACAACTCCAAGAAGAGCAGCGGATATTTGCACACGCGTTGAATTGGCTATTCTGGGTTAACCGAGAGCTCGTCCCCGGCCGAATCTGGCTTACCTTGACAAGCAGGTCGCATATCGTAAGAGCTTTCTTCGAATGGCCGTCGCGGCTCTCGGCGGAGCTCAGGGACGCGGCTAGGATCTCGAGCCCCTTTTGATACGAGGCCCAGCCCGGCATTGTGCGATGTGCCGCAGCAACATCTTTGGTCATCAACTCATACTTTGCGCCATACTCTTCGTAAATGAAGAAGCGGTTCATCTACCAGTTAGCGCGACGGTTAGCATGCCGTCCGGGACCCGGGCTAGTTGTGCGCAAGCACCTACCCTCTTCAAGAAGATCTTTGCGACCTCAGCTGCCGCTTGAGGCTCGGCCACCGCCCCCGGAGCATCCTTCAGCCATGAAGCGCGATCTTTCCCCTCCGGCACAGCATCCAGACCCTTCCAATGGCGGTGGCCACGAGTTGAAGAGCTTGACTCAGTTTGTTGTTGGATGGGAAGACCTGGTTGCGTGTATTCTGAATTCGGCAAGACCCAACGTAACTCTCTGAGAAGTTCCTCGTGAAGCTCTACTATGTCGGTCAAATTTTGGTTAACAGATGAGCGCAGTCCTGGGGGTGTGGTGGGCAAAGAAGCAAGGATCGTGACGTAGACCTATACAGTGTCAGAGTCCGTCGATTGACTTCACCTAAACACAAACCTACGTTCATCAAGAAGCGCACGTCGCCGACGTAGGCTTCCTCGGTGCTTATCAACTCCTCTAATATACGGCGCCTCTGCAAGGCACGCTCGATAACGGCCGAATCCACGGGTGCTTGGGCCTCGGGAAAATAACTCTCCTCGGAAAGCCGCTGCCCGGAGACGGAAGCCGTGCTACTGCGCTCCGTTCTCGGGGCTCGCGATGACCGGATCGTGGTCTTCCGTGAACGCGTCAGCAAGCTGAGGCCGGTCATGGATATGCTGGCGCTTTTTGCTGCTGTAACAAAGGCGAAGGACGAGTCGGAAGACGAGTGCCTGTGATGGGTGGACCCCCGGTCCGACGCCTCACGAAGCCAGGGGGCGAGGCTGCCGTCGTAGCCCAACATTTCCTGCTGCCGCAACACGCGTTTGTGCAACGTCTTCATCCATTTTTGGAAGGGCTTGGCCGGACGCGGCCTCGGTTGACAGTGGAGTTGGCCGGCTGGCGTTTCGTTGCAGAGGAAGTATTCCTCCTTCTCCGTATCCTCCTTCTCCGTATCCTCCTTCTCCGTATCCTCCTTCTCCGTATCCTCCTCCTCTTCAGGACGCGTTGCAAGGGTATCATCTCGCCAATATCCATCTTCAACGGGCCCCTTGTCCGCCATGCCGCTACCGCCTACTTGCAGGGCCCGAGACTTCGCATCTTCGGGCTGCTGCGGACCGGTGGAGGAGCCGGAGAAAGCGAGGGTTGAGAAGGGGGATCCAGAATCGACACTCACGAAGTGCATCATGGACGATTGGAAGCAGATATGGAATATCTAGAATCGGGTGCGTTCCTGTAACACACGCAACGAGCAGGACCTGCCTCCCGATTCAAAGCATAGTAGATAGAAAAGAATAATACCAAGCCCAAACACGCACCTCGGAGTCGGTGTTGGTGCCGGGTTCAACGAGAGGCTAGGTGGGGAGAAGGGAAGGAACAGAAACGGGTCAGGTCTAAGCTCGAACTTGGCCGAGATGCCATGCGGTTCATGTACCCCAATGTCGAGTAAGTGGTCGGCAGGAAGGAGGGAGGACCCCGGGAATGGCTCCCCGCCTCCTTCTCGATCTTGCCCTACTGGGAAGCGGGTGGAATATGGATGACGGGACCTCGAAGAAGAAAACATGGGATGAGACTTCATGTGGGGTATGACGGGAAGCCACGACCGGACTATGTCCTGCTGGTGACGGACAATTACTCGATGCATCGAGTCAGCGCACTGGTCAAAAAGAAAAAGGCTTGGCTCATCATTGGGGCGTTATCCGGACTGCCACGACCCTACCGGACCCGGGCAGCCACGTCGTGAGGCCGATTGGATCCCGATCGTGTTTGGGCAGCAGCATCCATGACGACGCAGACGGATAAGGTGACGCCTAGCTCAGTATCGTCTGCTCGGTACTTAGTCAGTATGCAATAACTCCTTCATCTCGAGAGAATATGTACTTGAACTTGCCTCGAACTTGCCTCGAACTTGCCTCGAACTTGCCTCGAACTTGCCTCGAACTTCCATTCGGGAAATCCGTCGTGCAGTCTTTCTCCCGACACAGTATATCCTTGATCCATCTTTTGTTTGTGCTCGTCGTGACTGTTCTGGCATTTTCCAGCTCCGGATTAGGGAGACAGGACGGATAACACAATCTTGGATTCGAGCCGGGGACAGAGACGCCTTCTGGAATGTTGGTTATTAAGGACGGGAGGTGGAAGGAATCACCCGACCTACGAATATCTCTCAGAGTTTTCGGGTAAGGTACCTGACTCTGGGTTCAGGCGGTTTCTTGGCGGTGCAGGCCTTCCAGGTTCGTGGTGGATGTCCATACCCAACTTCAGGGCTACCCCAGGCCCCTGAACATCCCGCCGGATCGGGACGTTTCACAGGCCTTGCCCCTCCATCTATTGGCCCAGGTCGGGAGCTGTCCCCTCTGAAGCGACCCCGCGCCGCGCATGCCAGCTGCCGAACGCGTCATTTGCGGCAGGCTGCAGGTGATTTGAGACTCCGACCCGTCGCCTCCATCGTTTTTCCTTGACTTCCAAGACGATGAACTTGGTATACCCATCCTGGTCTGGAATGAGTTCGCAGCTAGAGCCATGAATACACTTCACGCACCCACCGTCCCTTCGGGGCCGACCACGGCCCCCACCGCAAACGGAAATGCGACCCAGCTCACCATCGCTGAGCTCCAGCGGAAGAAGGACATGGTCGAGGGGGAGCTCAAAGCGCTCGGCGGCGTGCTTGATTCCGTTTGTGCCACACACCAATTCGCAGCCAGGGAGCGGCGAACGGCTAACAAAGGCTACAGCACGGTGTTGACATGAACACCAACCTTCTCACTCCGGATGGGTTTCCTCGAGCCGATATTGATGTGGCGCAAAGTATGGGGGCAGCGTCGTTGAGATCCTTGGAACGGGCATACTAACCGCCACAGTTCGGACTACGAGAGCACGCATCATCCACCTCCGAAACGACTGGAAGGATCTGATGGGGATCATCGAGAAGCGACTGCACGAGCACTTTGCGAGCCTCGAGGACGGCGATGACGAAGTTACAGCCCCTGCTGGCGCCGACACCTCTCTCCCGAGAGACTCGGTGCCTGAGACGCCTGACCAACCCTTTGCCAAGGTCAATTCGGTGGTGGACAACAGCCCGGCCGCGGCCGCGGGCCTCCAGCCCGGCGACCTGATCCGCAACTTTGGCTACGTGAACGTGGAAAACCACGACGGCCTAAAGAAGGTGGCAGAATGTGTTCAAGGAAACGAAGGGGTAAGGCAATGACATTCCGCCACGTCCGTGTGGGGGGACTGGCTGACACGGCTAACGAAACCGCAGCAAAACATCCTCGTGAAGGTGTCGAGAAGCGGTGGGGGCTCCAGGCCCCAGGAACTTCGGTTGACATTGACACCGAGGCGCGACTGGGGTGGGAGAGGGATGCTTGGTTGCCATATCCTGCCGCTCTAAGCTGAGCTGACCCGGCCGTGGTTGGTGGTTCAGCTCGCGAACATGCTGCGAACAGGCGACATACAGCCTGTTAGGCTCCGGCTGCTTGGGCCAAAATCGTGGCCCTGCGGCAGCCCCCACTCCGGTCTAAGACATGGCCTTTGGACCGCGTTCTCTGCGGGTTATTGGGCGGAGTAGGTGATGAAGAATGCCTGGTATTACGGGAGTGAGAGGACAAAGGTCCCAGAAAGAGATCCCAATCTTGGCCATTGACAACTTTGACGCATCAATAAGGCAGCAAAATCCTGCTAATCATGGATGAGCAATCGATGACAACTTTGACGCATCCACGAGCCCTTTGGGCACTGATTGTAGCTGGTGGCAAACTTTTTTTTTTTTTTTTTTTTTTTTTTTTGGACGCCTCTCTCGTTGTAAATGATGAATAATCTGTGAGGAGTACCGGATATGTTTGCGCAGGTCGGGGTGCATAAAGCTGGGTGGGCGGCGAACTTTCGACAGTTGAAAGCTCCCATTCATTGCCTTTGAAAGTCGGCCTTGGAGCAACCGAAAAACGGCAGAAAGCAAAAGACCCTCCAGTTCCTTCCAAGAAGCTCCTTTTGACGCACGGGCCAATCTGTCACGTGCACAAATCACCCCGCCGCCAACGAGTTTTTCGTCAAGGCTGCTGTGGTTCCGAGCCAGCTGCCTTTTGAAAACAACATCACCCCCCCCAGGCGCCACTCATTCTTGCAACCCGACCACAACCACATCTCCCTACGGTCTCCATAAGCCGAAAAAGTGCGTACCATCCTCGTTCTCCGGTCGCTTTTCCTCGACGATTTCACTCTCGGCTTCTACAAAAGCCCCTCCTTTGCGTCGCAAAGCTAACGTGGGCTTCCCAGACTTGATTTCCTCGACCTATTAATAAACACATCAACCACACAACATGGCGGCTCCTCAAGAGATCCCGACCTTCAAGCTGGTCCTTGTCGGCGATGGTGGTACCGGCAAGGTGAGTTTGATGGTGCTAGCCGTTGACGGCGCCCTCGATCGCGACCTCTTTCACGCTGACTGCGGGGTCGCGAATGGGCGTCGATATGATCCGATTCTTGCTAATACCGTCTTTTCTTAGACCACCTTCGTCAAGCGCCACTTGACTGGTGAATTCGAGAAGAAGTACATGGCCACCTTGGGTGTTGAGGTTCACCCTCTCGGTTTCAGCACCGTAAGTCGCTCCCGCCGAGCGTGCGATTCGTACCGTGACGGCCCGACGCTAAGCAACGCTACAGAACTTCGGTCAGATCCAGTTCGATGTGTGGGACACTGCGGGCCAGGAGAAGTTCGGCGGTCTCCGTGACGGCTACTACATCAACGGCCAATGCGGCATCATCATGTTCGATGTCACTTCCCGCATCACCTACAAGAACGTCCCCAACTGGCACCGTATGTATACGACAACAAAACAAGAGCACGCCGGGCTTGCCGCTAACGGAGTATGCAGGTGACCTCGTCCGTGTCTGCGAGAATGTCCCCATCGTTCTCTGCGGCAACAAGGTCGATGTCAAGGAGCGTAAGGTGAAGGCCAAGACCATCACCTTCCACCGCAAGAAGAACCTGCAGTACTACGATATCTCGGCCAAGTCCAACTACAACTTCGAGAAGCCCTTCCTCTGGCTCGCCCGCAAGCTTGTTGGCAACGCTAGTCTGGTATGTTTGCTTTTGGACACTCGTCTTCGGACTCAAAGCACTGAGGACTGAAACTGATGACGCAACTAGGACTTCGTTGCCGCCCCTGCCCTGGCCCCCGCCACAGCGGAGGTCAACGCAGAACTTCAGAAACAGTATGAGCAGGAGCTCGCATTGGCGGCCCAGGCCCCCCTGCCCGACGATGATGATGACATTTGAGCGGCTCCGGACGGGATAGCTCGGTCGGGTACACTAGGGGTGGTTTAGGATTGGTAATGCCCGTTATGAAAGGATAAGACGCATCTTCCGAGGCACGCGCAGATGGCATTACAGGCATTTGGGACGGGCATCGGGGGAATCACGTTTGGTATTGGCGGATGAGGGACGACATCAACTCGGGATCTCGATGGAGGGATTGGAGCGGCGGCCGGCATGATTTTCTTTGGTTTGGTTGACCCCAGAAGCAACTCAACCAAATACGCAAGCTTAGATCTGAACAACATTGCTGCATAAATTGCGGCGCTAGGTAGATCAATATGAGACGTCAGTCTCGCAAAAGCAGCTCCAGCTCGCCGCATTTTCCAAATTTGAGAATCACATCGTGTTTACGCATCTTTTCGTGGCTCAGCTGCTTCGCCAGATTTGGGCTTCAAGGCGGTGAAGCCCCGCTGTGGGACATAAGCATCATGACATCAATGGGGGAGGCGACTCGGGCGGGCGCTCGCTCTCCCTTATTTTTGCTTGGTCAGCACACATGGAGAAGAGCAGGCTTGGCAGACCTGTTCGTCTTGCCAAGAGCAATTGGAGCCGGTTGGCCCAGAAACCAGTGAGTGACAAACACTTCGGGCTCTCTCACACCTCTCCTCACATAAGATCCGAGGACATACTGTGGGAATATACTAGAGATGCATCGAGGTACGGTCATGCCATCTTGACATCATGTTGACGTTGAGGGTAGTTACACAGTAGATGTATTGAAATACAAACATGCAACCTCATTTTCGCCCCGGTAAATAGGTGTTCGAAACCCTTATTTCTCTTTCCAGGCTAGCAGGATTATTACGGCATAACACAAAGTGATATAATACAGTATAACTTGCTCCCGCTCTAACCTCGATTCTGGATCTTGGGGAGGTACATGCGGGAGTACGCGCCCAGCGCCATCACCGGAAAGTAGAGTTTATAATTGGGGTAGCCGATCATGCTGGTAAGGTACGGAAGCGTTAGACATGGGTTACTTGCACAGTAGTAAGCCATTAATGGGAGCAGAAGCACTTACCAAGTTCTGTTGAAGACGCCCTCCACGCCCTCTTGAAGCCACTCGCCACTTGGTTGCTGCCGGTCGGCGATGAGCTATTGGGGTGTTAGTCAGGACGGAAAAGAAGGATGGAGGAGAGCGAGAGAGTGAGGAGAAACAGACGCACCTTCAGGCCCCGCTCGATGGGCTCCGGATCGGGATAGCCAGCATGCATGAGCGCCATGACAGCCCACGCGGTGTTGACGACCTGGCTGGTCTCGTGCTCGACGTAGCGCTTCTCCACGCAGGACGAGTAGTGCTCGCCCCAGCCGCCGTCGTCGCGCTGCCTGGCCAGCAAAAAGGCGCACGCCCGGCGCACCTCCTCGCTGGAGCCGTGCTGCAGGCCGCGCGCCTCGAAGGCCTGCACGGCGAATAAGGTCGCGTACGTGAAGCAGATGGCCCACGAGCCGTACCAGGCGCCGTCGGGCCGCTGGCGCGCCGCCACGAAGGCCGCGGCCCGCCGCATGGCCGCCTCGACGTCGCGGGCCCGGTGGCCCGGCAGGTGGGCGCGGAAGCGGGCCAGCGCGGTGAGCACGGCCGTCGTGCACTCGACGTACGAGTACTCGATCATGATGTCGTCGAACACCTCGGCCGGGTTGAGGTGCTCGAGCAGGCGCGAGCCGCGCGTCCGCTCGTAGCTGCCGAAGCCGCCGTCGCCGTTCTGCATCCGCAGCAGCGTGTCGACGCAGTCGCCCAGCCGCGCGTCGCTGATCAGCGCCGGGAACCCGCACTCCTTCTGCAGCATCAGCACCGCCTTGAGCCCCTCGGCCGCGCAGTCCGACACCACGTAGCCGTTGCTCTTGGTGCTGAACGGCCACCCGCCCTTGCGCCCCTGGCGGAAGGGGTCGTCGAGGTCGTCGCGCAGCTGCGTGATGTCGAGGAAGTGGTGCGCCTTGCTCAGGGATTCGCGCACGACCGGGTCATCCGCAAGCCCGGCCTCGACCGCCGCCTGCACTGCGAAGGCTGTGTCCCACAATTGCACGCCGTTGGTGCCGCCGCTGGTCATGCCGTCCGGGCCCAGCCAGAGGTACACGGCGAGGCGCTCGCGGTGGCGGCGTAGGCGCTCCGAGTCCGGGCCGTCTTCGTACAGGGCGCACACCATGTGGAAGGCCTTGTTGACGGGCGCGAGGCAGTTGAAGTCGGTGTTGCGCTCTTCCTGCCGCATCAGCTCGCCCACACGGCGGTTGGCCATGCGCAGGAGCCAGCGCGGGCGGAGGTAGTTGCACCAGAATGCTAGGATGGAGAAGAGGAAGACCAGGAGGCCGGATACGGAGCGGATGGTGTCGGACGGCGCCGCCGTGTTGCGGTGACGGCGGAAGTCGACGGTCGAATACGGCGCCGTGTAGATCTCCTCCCGGATCTCGGCGAGCAGGTCATCTAGGGGCACCGTGCAGCGGTTTGACCAGAGATACGAGGTTGGGAGATACACCACGCGGCATTGTACCCACCACCGCGAAGGGTGGAATGGGAGCCAGGATGGGAGGAGCCTTAGAACGAAGGTTAGCAAGCTGTGCTATTATCATACTCTCCATCTTCACCGACACGGGGTTGTTGGCTCTCACCAAAGATCAACAGGGATGCAATTCACGCCATCCCACTCATACAAGTTCAAGCACGAAAGCCAAATCTTGCCCCATTGCGGCAGACCAGTCGCACCACCTACAACACCGTCAGCAAACCCCACCACACCACACCCACCCACCCACTCACTCCGAGTACACAATAGGCTAGTAACTCACCCAACGCCAACAAACACTCCCTCGCCCGCTCCGCCAGGGGATGGCCCCTCTCCATCCCCAACAACCGCAACATAACATAATACAGCGCCGTCGCGAACACGGTCGAGCGGCCCTCGAGGTGCAGGCCCCAGCCGCCGTCGGGGTTGGCGCGGCGGGCCAGGTAGCGCGTCATCTCGACGCGCCAGGCGGCCGGCACGGGCGTGCGCGTCACGTACATGGCAAACACCAGCCCGGGAAGCAGGAAGCTCGGCCCGCCGTAGTCGCACGCCCAGTGCCCTTCGGGGAGCTGCAGGTGGGTGAGGAAGTGGAAGCCATCGAGGGCGGGTTGGGTGAAGGGGGATTTGGGGTTTGCTGCTGCTGGCGATGTTGATGGGGTTGGTGGTTTGGTGGTGTTATTGTTGTGGGATGGGGGCGTTGGTGTTGATGATGGCGATGTCAACCCGAGGAGGTACCGCTCTGCAAAGGTCTGTGGTCGCGTGCTGCCATTGGAGACTTCCTTGTCATCGAGGTAACGCCATTCATGGTCCCCTTCGTGACTGTGAAGACGCCAGCGGGTGAGGTCGGTCGCGGGGAGATGGAATTGCTTTCCCATCTTTTCTCGACTGATGCTCTCAAGGGGAAATGCAAGAAGGGAACTCTCTCAAAATATCCGAACCTCCCATTTTATGGTGATTTTCATGTGATTAAGTTGTGATTGGAGAAAAGGGATTCAGGAGGATGATTCCGAGCCTTGGCAAACGTGAGAAGTGGCCGGCACTGGCCGGGTCTAATCTCTCAAGGGATGTTGGTCCGTTGGTTGACTGTAGCATGTACGTACAGATACATAACTTACGTGTACATATCGCATAGTAAGCGCTGGTCAAGTGCCTATGCAATTACAAGCATTCACCAACACGCTGCTGAACCTGGCACGTCCGCTCTTGCACCTTCCTTGTCAGCCGTCGCAAGTTACCTACCTAAGATTTCAGTTAAATTCTCACTCAACTGGTGAGCGTACTCCATTTGATTTGCTGGAGTGCGGCGACCTGCCTTCTGTTTTGAATCCCCACATAGATATTAGAGAAACGAGAAAAACACTGGACAACTCACTTCCAGTATGACCACAATCTCTAAACTCAGGGACTTTCTAAACGTAATACGGCGTACTATTTTATTTATTATTATTAGTAGTAGTAGTAATATTATTATTTAATTCCGCACCCCTTTTTCCCGAGAACAATTGCTTTTCTCTGACCGGCATAACACCTCCTCGGATCCGTCAAAGGCGACCTCACCAACATCACAGCACCCCCTTATTTCCTCGCCCCGTCGTCTGTGACCGAGCTCGGGGCTTGTTGGGTAGAGCGACCGTCGTTGTTTGTGGCACCCGATCTAGACTCCGATCCGGAGCTGCGCTCTCTCCTCGTGCTCAAATGGATTCTCGCCAGCCTCAAACACCAGCTCTACGTCGACGGGGCGCCTCGTCAGCCTCCTAAACCACTGGCGTCCACAAGCGCTCGAGCTAGCCTCAAGCTTGGACCGGGAGAAGTAGCAGCACCTAGCCCACGGCAGCGGTAGCAACCTCGAAACCCTCGCGCACTCGGCCGCCAGCCGCGGAGCATCCCGACTGCGACAAGGCCACCTCTGCTTCGCGCGCTCGGTCAAGCAGCAGTGGGTCCGCAAGACGAGCTTCCTGATCGAGATCTCGGTCGGGGCCGTGGCGGGCCTGCTGATCGGCCTGTCGCTGTACCAGCTGCAGGGCATGCACTTCCAGGGCGCCTACCACACGCCCCTGACCATCCTCTCCAGCGCGCTCAACTACACGCTCGTGCCGCAGGTCGGGCTGCTTTGTAGCTTGGCGATTGGGCTCGCGGCGGCCGCGCCGGGGGTCAAGACTTTTGGGGAGGAGAGTAGGTTGTTTTTTGTTTTGTTGTCATCGCTTCAGGGGGCTCAGAGTGGACTGAAGATTGAGAAATGCTAAGTAAATAGCTAACATCTCTGACTATCAGAACAAATCTACTGGCGCGAGGCGAGCTCCGGGCACTCGCGGCTGGCGTACTACGTGGGCAAGGTGCTGGCGACGTTGCCGCGGCTGGGCATCTCGGCGATGCACTTCACGACCTTCTACTGCGTGCTGGCGACGCCGTGGATGCCCTTCTGGAGCATGTTCCTGACCAACCTGCTGTACTTCTACTGCATCTACGGCCTGGCCTCCATCATGTCCGTGCTCGTCCGGCGCGAGGACGGGCCGCTGATGGCCATGATCGTTAGTTTGATTATCGGTGTCTTTGGCGGGTACGGCCCGCCCCTGTACCTGGTCAAGGAGTGGCATCTCGAGTGGCTGTGGCGGTTGTGTCCCGGGGTAAGTCGGATGTGGCTATTCCTTACCCGTGCATGCATGTTCAGCGCGTATACTCTCTCTCCTCTTTCCGCAGGTGTGGCTAACCGAGGCCTACTTCGATAAACACTTGGCTATAATGAGCCACCTGTACGACTTGGATCTCGCTGCGAGTTGGACGGGATATGTACGGGGTCGCTTCGGGATGGATATAGGGTGAGTACATACATCTCTATAAGGGATCTATCATCTCGCTAGGGCGTATAGGTTAATTAACGGTTTAACAATAGCATCCTCCTAGTTATCGGCACCGTTTATCGAGTCATTGCCTTTGGGGGGTTGATATTCCTCAACCGGCCGGGCACGAAGTGAAAAGATTGACGGTTGCTGATGACTTACTACACGGTGAAACCGTGGAACGAGTCGGTGCTTGAATCTTGTTTAATAGTAATGAGGTCTCGGCCAATAGACGACCGGTTCGTTCGATATCTCGTCGCGACTGGCAATATCTTGATTACATTACTTGTCTCCCACTGAAAAAAATACGTTCGACGACGTAATTATGAAATCAGGTGGAAAGGCTTGGAAGTGAGTCCGTTCATTGAATGAAAAGAAGATGCTGCCTGGAGATTGGCGCGTGCTACGAAGACAACTCCAAGCAGCCAATCCGAAACTATGAGTTGATCGACACAATGGTAGACCGTAGAAGACGAGTTTGATAAAGCCGTAGATAACTTGACTTCGACTACCTACCTAGGGAGGTGGAAAGAGCCAGTGCTTAGGGAGCCAGGAATGAGGTGTATCGCGCGCATATCCACTCCTAATTCAGTCAAGCTGCCCGAGCCTGCCAGTGCCTGCCTTCCCAACCGCCGAATTATCCAACAAATGGCATACCGTGCAGATGTGGGCCACCGCTGCCACGTCTTGACCGTGCCTTCTCTTGTTTTGCACGGCCAAATCTGCAGCAACATCCTCCAGTCAGTCACGAATTATGAGCGGGCCCCTTGCATCCAAACCCCCTCTTCGGAGAAGCCTGGGTAGCAAACACATGTCACCGAGATGTGTCGCGTGAAATTTTCTTTTTTTCCTTTTTTGCCCCTTCTCCGCCTATTTCGCTATCCTCCCCCCCTCTCAGCCAACAGGCAAGTTCGCAACCTGTCCGTTCCGTATCCCGTCTACGGCTGGCAACATGTTGATTCTCAACATCGTCCCGAAGCTCCTTCTCATCTTCTCATTCACGCGATGCGTAATAGCTGCAGATTCTGGAGATGACTTCTCCAATAACTTATTCTCCGACCTAGCACCGTACGTCCTGTTAATTATTGCATATTCTAATAATTCCCACGCTCCTGATGCCTATGCTGATAATTTGTGGGTGTGATTAGGCTGCTGTCGCTCTTGGGAGAACAAGTCACCATGCAATTCATGAGCCAAGCGATGGGCTGGGCAGATAACATGATCTTGGCAATGGCCCCCCTGGGCATAATCACTATCATTGTTAGTGCCATTCGGGTTGGTGGTCCCTCGTGGCTCAAGGCTCTCGTTGGAAGAGCCAGGGAGAACCTTGCGGTTGTCGAGGCCAGTCTCATGTCGTCTACCTCCAAGGAAGTTTGTGAGCTCTGGAACGGACAGGCGGTGGTGAGGAGTATGGGAGCAGCTCCCATCCTGGAGTATATGTTCTTGATACCAGACGGATTCCGGGGGGGCGGGGGTGGTCAAATACGTGTCACCAGACCAATACCACTGTTTGCTGCTGTATTAACCGGGTTGCTTGAGGAAAGCCGTAAGTGGTTTAACAACGAGTTAGCATTTCACGAACCTAATCACTCGGATTCTTAGCTTCAACCATCCAAAAACGTGTTCCTCCGGTGCGAAAGGCAGAGGAAGGATCGGCACCCAGCAACTCTCCGTCTATCAGAATGATTGGTACGCAGGGTCGGGATACCGATGCACCGAACATCTCACTCAACATGAACAATCAGTCTGGGACGGGCGGACTACCTTGGGTGGCAGCCCTGGGAACCATACTTCAACTGGGGGTACTTGTATTCTCCGGATTCGCCACTTACCATCCCAGACTGATGTTCCTGAAGGATGACCGCCCTGTTGTCCCTTATGCGTACCCTTGTACCGCAGTCGGCACGCTTCTTCTGGTGTCTGGCATGATGATATGTGCCCATGTCGTGGACAGCAGCACCGAAGAGACGAAGTACCGAGCAGCGCCAGGGTACAGGATCCGGATGGTCTGGCTGCAGAAGTCTGGAACCGTGAGCGACCAGGTCTTTGGTTCCTACGCGATATTTACCAAGGATGATAGCACCGTCTTCATAACGTCAAAACGAGCAGGCAAAAGGGGCAAGCCAACCGGCTCGACGGACAGAGTGATCCAGGGTATGATCGACGCGGTAACCAAGCTACTATATCCGTCTGCCGCATCTCGAGCACGCAGACAGAGCTCTCAAAACAGGACCAAAGCCTCTGCAGAGCAAGGCCACACGGCCATCTTGGCTTCCAAGACTGTCCTCGGCGCGCTGCTGGGCCTCTGCGGTTTTATCGTGCAGTTTATCGGTCTACGAGGAATGCACTGGTCGGCATCGGTTGCCCAGCTCGGCGCTACCCTCGTCATGACTGGTTTCAGGGCTTGGGTTCGTATTGGGCTTGCTAAACCTGCCGAGACAAGACGGCTCGCCCCGGGGTTCGAGGTCGACTGGCTTGTGGCGACACTAGGGGATCCCGACAAGGCGCCTTGGTTGGCTACCTCAGACCGCGAGGAAATCCACAGGGACTGGCGGATCACATCGAGCGTGATTCCCAGTACACTCGAGTGCTATGGAGATCGGGACCATGAGCCTCCTGAATCGAAGGCACACAAACTGATGAAGTTGCGGAGCCGTTTTAGCCATGGTATCACTCGGCATGGCCCGGCATCTGGAGAGGCCGGCGCGCTTGCCAGGGCCATCGAGATTGTGATGGACAAGTTGATCGACCCCAAAGGAGGGGGCGAGTTTATATGGACCCTCGGGGCCCATTACGCAGGATCAGTGGACCATACCATCTATTTTTATTTATTTCACGGCAAGACGTGGAGTGTATGTTTACCGGACATTGAAGCGGCGTTATCGCTGTGGTTATATTCGGCCACCAAACAAGAGGATGGGGCAGCGGGGTGGGATGGCGGCTCAAGCTTACAACTTCTGGGCCCGAGCACGCGGTCCCTCCGTCGAGACCTTCAATGGTGGAATTCCCGTAATGCACCAACCATCATGGAAGTTGAGCTGCATCGTGATAAGACCGTTGGGCACGGGATGGATGGGATGTGTCCATACAAGATATCCAAGTTGTCAATACGCAGCGAGGAATTAGTTGATCCTGACGTGGAGGAATTAGTCGATCCTGAGGTGCCCGAATTAGTCGCTATTACCATGGTGGACTTCGCGCGGGAAATACCACGCGGTTGGGGCGAGGCGACGAATTCCAGAATCGTAGGGTATGGGATCACCGATGGCGACACAGCTCAAACGAGAGAGGATTGGGGTGATCTCGATCTCGACTGCAAGTCATCACTACGCAGTGATTATTCGGTACTCACGGACGCCTCTGAGACGGGAAAAGAAGAGCGCCTCTTGGCTACAGGTGCAAGATCGGATGCGGCCACCAAGTCACTGTATGTCCAAGCCATGTTCTCGGCTTTCATGTGGGCTGTGGCAAAGGAGGTGGCGAAGCGGCAGAACGAAAGCATCACAGAGTTACGGATTGATGATACCGGCAGCGTCAACAGCCGGAGATCTTTCACTCTCTGGAATAGACGCTTGGCGACCATGGCGCAGGAGATTCAGAACACCGGATTCGGGAGTTTAGATGAGATCTACCTGAGCATTATTCCTGCGTTCAGTATGAACAAGCTGCTCCCGAAACCAGCCGAGGTCGTGAAACTCGCAAGGGACCACGCCGAGCAGCTGGGTAGAATGAAGCGCTGGAAAGAGGCCGGTGACGTATATTTCTGGCTCCTCCAACCGACGAATACGTTCCCAGAGGATGGCGAATTCTACAAAACAGCTCAGTACGATGCTGTGGATGAAGCTGGCCTGACACCGTTGCATGTAGCGGCTCTGGCAGGTGACAAGGAGCTCGCAGAGATGCTGATCCGCCATCATGCGGAGAAGGAGATGAAAGACCTGAGGGGAATGACACCACTCCACCTTGCTGCTTGGATTGGGGAGGAGGCCATCGCACGGCTGCTCATCGCCAGTGGCGCCGACATAGACGCAACAGACCACCGGGGCCGCACACCCGTCTATGCAGCTGCAGAGAGGGAGCAGAAGGCCATAGCCAGCCTATTGCTTGAGAACGGTGCCAACAAGGACGCGGCGGACAACGAGGGGCGGACAATACTCCATCTTGCCGCGGCGAACGAGCACGAGGCCGTCGTAACGCTCCTCCTCAACAACGGCGCCGAAAAGAACGCGGCGGATGACAAGCGCCAGACACCACTGCACGTCGCTACGGCGACCAACAGCGAGGCCATCGTAGCGCTGCTTCTCGACAGCGGCGCCGACAAGGAGGCCGCGGACGACGAGGGCCAAACCCCGCTGCACATTGCCGCCACCGCCGTGGATACCACCGTGGCCGAGCTGCTTCTCGACAGGGGGGCCGACATGGAAGCGCGGGACCACGAGGGCCGCACACCGCTGCACCTCGCCAGCCCGACCGCCGGGGCCCTGCTCATCAAGAGGGGCGCCGACGAGCACGCAAAGGACAACGAGGGCCGGGAACCGGTCCTTACCGACCAGAGCCAGGCGGCGCAGGATTATCAGATGCAGCTGATGCTGCTGGAGCAGCAGAACAAGAAGCGGATGCTGATGGCGCGGCGGGAGCGGGTTTGATTATTATAGGTAGTAGAGAGTCTCTTAGGTGCTAGGGAAACTAGAGGGCGTGCCCAGTGACTCAGGGCCCGTTGGAAAGTCCCCATTGCGTTATACATTTGACTGGAAGCACCTTGCTCTCTTCAACCGACGCCGCCTCGTGGGGTAGCGGGCCGTCCCCATGACGGTATCCTCTGGCCCACCCCCCGGGTTAGCGGTGTTGGGGTCGTACAGAACCAGTTCATCCACCCGGTCAATGCATTCGTCCTTGGTGGAAACGAAGGTTTTCTTGAGGTCACGGAAGTGTATCGTGCATCTTACCCCCGCTTGTCTGGAAGCACCCGCCAGCTGCTCCAGGGGGTGCCTTTCGTCGAGTCCCTGGCCGGATTGTATCTCTTTCCGGCCGAAAATATCCATCGGTCGGGCGTCCCTCAGCTTGACGCGGAGCTCCTGCAGCGAGAGCCCCTCGTCGCCGGACCCGTGCTCAAGGAGATATGATTTCAAGGCTGAAATAAGGACCTCGGGGACGTAGGTACCCCAATCGTCGCCGTAGACGAGATCGTCGCGTAGGTAGAGCTTTCTCAGACCGGGAGGGAGTGTGTCCCGTAGGTTGGTGCGGTGCGGGTGGCACCCGAGGAGTATATGCATGGGGATTTCCAGCTTGGTCAGGTTCTGCAGGTGCGTGAGGGAACCGATGATCCCTCGGCGGGCTGAGATGCCCATCATCCACTCCTCGTCCATCGTGTCCGGTGGATAGTCCTCGGTTGCCGCCTCGTCGGTGGATATTTTCAGTATCCTGAGCGTCTCGGCAACGCTCCCTAAGCTCGTGGCAAAGGCAGACCATTCGTCCTGATGAACTGCCTCGTAGTGCTCATCGGCGGCGAGATCATCCGTATCCTCGACCAAGAAGTAGCTGAACCGTTCCAGCTTCGGTGTTTTGGTAAGTAGCTCCCTGATAGCTGACGGATCCGATAAATGGTCCGTCAGTTTGAGCGTCCGGAGGGCCGGGAGGTTGGCGTGGGCGACCGAGGTGTCGTCCTCACGTTGGAAGACGGTCGATAAGTGCTCGAGGCGAGGAAGACTCGACACACCCCACCCCTCTCCCCTGATGTCAAGATTGAGGATTCGAGAGTCCAGGTTGTTCCGGATAGTGAGTTTTTTCAACTTCCGAAGACCCTCGAAGACGTCACCGAGTGTTCTATCAAGCTGTTCCAACATGGAAACGTCTGTTACCAGTGTCTCTAGCTGGGGAAGGGAGGCTAAGAGGATTGCCACCAAGGCCCCGGGGCTTCCGACATCGATTTCGGCACACAATGTGAGCATCTCGGCCTCCTGCACACGTTGCTGTTGGATGCCATCGCCTTGTAATGCCTCCAACCATAACGGTTTCACATCAGGGGGCGCGGGAAAGTTGGGCAGATCTCCCCAGCCCCAACGGCTCGTGCCAGAGAGCAGCTTGGCAGTCTCGACATAGCTCGCTCGGACTGGCCGCTGGCGAATGGCTCGGAAGAAAGAATGGATAGCATGATTTGGCAGGATGCGCTGGCTGTCTTTGTCGTTGAACCGCAAGAGGACGCTGCGATAAAGTAGCGGCTCGACGAAGGCCTCAGCGGCTTTGCAGGTCTGACCGAATGAGGAGAGTGACGAGCGGCGTAACTCGCGTAGAATCAGGTGAAGGATTTCCGACGGGATGAAGAGCAAAGACGGCGCCATTTTATGTTGTTGGTGTTGTGGGCGGTTTCCGGTTTCCTTGGGCATCAACTCATTGGCAATCTACGAAAGGTGAAAGGCGCACAGTTTTGGTTCTGTTTGATGACACCGCTTCGGAACGACATTGAACCGTGTTTAGGGAGTTACCAATTGCATCCCTGCCCTTCAAACCATTTCAATAATGAGCCCAAGAATAGGGCAGCACGAAACGTGTTCCACAACTTTCATATTTGCATGGGACGGGTACAGGCCAGATATTAAGGTGTATATTCAAAAAATTACCCAATAGACACGCTGCGGATCGACGTCATCTCAACTTCACAAGCAGAAGAAACAAGAAACACCACCCACCCACCCATCATCACGGCGCGAGACGTAGAGAGTCCACAAGAAAAACCCATCATTTCCGTCTCCTCCCTCCGCCCTCAGACACCCGGGGTAGTAAAGTCGGGGCCCTGCGGCCAGTTGCCGATCTGGCCCGGGTCGCCGCCGATGCGCACGTAGACGCCGACGGCGGGCACGCCGCCGTCGAGCACGAAGAGCTGGTACCAGCCGGGCGGGCAGACGTTGGCCGTGGTGGGCGCGTCGACGGTGCAGGCGGTGCCGGTGCAGCTGACGCGGGGCAGGAGGGTGCGCGCGCCCATCGAGTTGCCGTGCGTGCTGGAGACGGAGCCCAGCAGGGTGGCGGTGATGGCGCCGTTGCGCGCCGCCGCCCCCAGCGTGAAGGGGATCCCCGTCTGGCCCCACGCCCAGTCCTTGTTGGCGATGCTGAAGGTCGGCCGCGGCTTGCCGTTGAGCAGGTACGGCGGCATGAACACCTCGACCCGGTACTCCTCCGGGTTGACGCCGTCCTCCGGGTTGGAGCCCGAGATGAGGACGCGGCCGTCGAGGAGCGTGATCGCCTCGGAGTGGTACATGCGCGCGATTGTCGTGTTGGCCGCCACTGTGATGCGCGAGCCGAGCGGCTTCTCCGGGTCGTAGAGGAGCGCGTTGAGGTTGGGGCCGACGCCGAGACCGAAGCCGGCCACACCGTGGAGTGCGCCGTTGGCGATCAGGTAGGTGCCGTCCGGCAGCGGGGCCATGCAGGACATGACGCGGAACGACGGCAGACGCTCGATCTCCCACGTGGGGTTGGCCGCCTCGGGGTAGATGGACACGCAGTTGTCGAGGGCATGGCCGGGGCCCTCGGTCGAGCCACCACAGGCTAGGAAACCGAGAGGGTCGGTGTAGGGGTACTTCTGGGGCAGGAGCACGGCGGCGCCCTCGAGGGGATACGTGCGGCCACCCTTGGGATCGTTGACGGCGCCGGGCGCGTTGGGGAGCTCCTGGATGGTATCAAAGGTGACGGGGTCAAGGATTCTTGCCTCGTTCCAGTACTGGACAAAGATGCCGCCGCCGGGCAGAACGCAGAGGAAGGGGTACAGGTTGTTGGGGTGGGTGCGGTCCAGCCAGTCCATGTAGAGCGGTGCCTGTCCGGTGTAGGGAAGAACCTCGATCGAGGGGGTAGCAGCGTCATTGGAACCGATGGAGCCGCCGATGACCATGACGGAACCGTTGGCCATGATCATAGCACTAGGATACCAACGACCGGCTTGGAGCTTGAGCACGTTGACGTTCTCCTCCCAGTCGTGGGTTCCGGGGATTCCGGGCTCGCCATCGGGCCAGTACAGGCGGGTACCGTAGGTCGCATCACCAGCCCAGCCACCAATGTTGAGCTGGCGACCACCCTTGTCGGGCAAGGTCACACCGGCGGCGCAAAAGACGTCGGTCTTGATGTGAAGCGTGCGGAAAGTGAGCGTGGAGAGATCAAGCTCATAGGCACCGGTCTCGTTTCCGGGGCCTGTCGCGCCCTTGGAAATGAACGAAACCTTGCCGGTGATGGTCTCCTGAGTAATGAGCGGGATGTTGACACCGTCGATCAGGAACTGATACTCGCCCGCGCGGTAGTCCGTCGGGAAGTCCCACGTGTAGAACGGAGTGCCGGTCCAGAAGTAAGTCGTGAGGCGGGCGAGGCCACCACAGATGGCCGATGCGTTGCCGACGCAGGGGACGGCGCACTCGGTCTCCGGGCGGAAGGTGGAGCCGCTGGTGGCCATGTTGGCCGGGTCGCCGCAGTAACATTCCTCACCGTACTCGAGGCCGGCGGCGTGATAACCGAACTCGGCACATCGGTCCAGGCACATCTTGGGCGTCATAACACCAGGGAAAAACACCTGCCAGTAAAAAGTGCGCTTGTTGTTGATGTTATCCTCGGCGCAGCCCTGGTAGGTCCAGTCGCCGACGCTCGGCTGCGGAGCCGGAGGAGCGTAAATTTCGGGGGTGCCGTTGGAGACGATGCTCAGGCGGTCACCAGCACCGCACTTCTGGGCCGGGTCGCCGGGGCAAGGCGTGCTGCAATCTGACTCGTCAGTCTCGACACCGCCGTTGTGGATGGCGTTGCCGCAGAAGCACTGAACCCCGTACTCGGCGCCGGAAATAGTGTAGCCCGCCGCAGCGCAAGCGTTGGCGCAAGCTGCCTGGGTGTTGGTTTGGATGTCGGGGACCTGGTTCGGGAGGATACGGCCTTGCTGACCATCGATCCAGCACCCTTGGTAAGACCATCCCTCAGGAAGACCGGTAACGACGGGAGGCGGGGAGCTCGACGTGGGCCCGGCGGGTGTGGTTGAGCTCGGAGGCGGTGGTGTGCCGTCCCTGGCATATACGGACAAGCGGTTACCGGCACCACAGTACTGCTCGGCATCGCCCGGGCAGGTCATGCTGCAGTCTCCCGCAGGGGCGGGAACGGAACCGGCGTTGAGGCTGTTACCGCAGTAGCATTCGCGACCGTACTCGACGCCAAAGTAGGTATAAGCGGAGCAGTACGCCTGGCAGGCCTCGAGCGTCATCTCGTCGGAAGCGAAGGTGGCAGCACTCAGGGCGCGCGTGCCCGTGGCCTCGGTCTGGCATCCGTACCATTCGTAGTTGGCAATCGTCTCCGGTTGAGTCGGGCCGGCCGCCGGACCAGGGTTGGTGCCGCCGCCAGTAGGAGCCCTAAGCGTTGTTAGTAGATGGTTTGGTGCAAGAGCCATGCGCGGGTGCTCACGGAGGAGGTGCTGAGGTCGCGGTCGGGTTGTATTGGTCCTGGTAGTTGTACACATTGAGCCGGTCTGGGCCACCACAGAATTCGCTGCTGTCGCCATTGCAGACCATATTGCAACCGCTCGTAGCCGGAGCAGCGCCGTTCGCGATACTGTTGCCGCAATCTGTCTGGGTTAGGCTAAGCCCCCAAATGGCGGGGGTCACGACACGACTTACAGCATTCTCCGCCAAACTCAAGACCGGCGAGAATGTAGTTGGCTGCGCGGCAGGCAGCCGTGCACTTGGCAACGGTCATGTCAGCACCCGGGAGGCCGGCGCCATAGGTAAGCGCACGGCCGGTCGTTCCCTCGCTGTAGCAACCCATGTGGTTGTAGTCGTTGACACCCGGGTTCGCTGCCGGTCCGGTTACCTCGGTGGTGTGGAAGAGCGAGAGGTGGCCCCCGGCTCCGCAGGGCTGGGTGGCATCTCCCGAGCAAGCCATGTTGCAGGTCGAGTCAGCAACCTTGGCGGTGTCGGCAGCAAGGCTGCTGCCGCAGAAGCATTCTGCCGAGTACTCTGTGCCGGCGTACGGGAAACCCTTGGAAGCGCAAAACTCCAGGCAGGACTCGGTCGTCATCTCCTCGCCATCGGCATACGAGGCGCCATTGATAGTCCGGCCGGGCACGTCGGTGTAGCATCCTTCATAGCCCCAGGCGCCTGGAAGTTCCTCGGGAATGGTGAGCTGGGCAAGCGAGAGTGGGAGCTGTGGAAAAGGTTAGTGATATGTTTTTCTTGGGGCCATATTCACGCGACTGCGGCCGATTCGACACCCGGGCAACCCTTACGGATGATATGAGGAGGGACGAAAAGACCGTCCTTGATGGTGAGGCCTTCATGATGAAGACCGGTGCGTCCGAGAAACGGGCGCGAACACCAACAAAACGGACAGGACAAACGAGCGTCAGGGTCAAGGCAAAGCAGAGGCAAAGAGGAAGCCAGGAGCGAATGTGGGGGGTGACATTTCAAAATATACACAGGCTCTCTCAGCCACGAGTCGGGTCCGCCGTGCCGAGCCCGCGATGGGTGACACGCCCGAGGACGACGGACCCTCTTCCTCTTCTCTGGGAACGGGATGGACAGGGGGGAAGCCCCACCGAACTAGCGGCCCAAGGGTCCGCGCCAGCGGCCAAGCCCATCGAGCGGAATGGCCTGGCCAAGGGAAGAAGCGAGAGGAGTGGGACGAGTTTGGATAGGGCGGCGGTGTCCACGACTGCAGGGGGGTTGTGCTGGAAAGCAACACAGGGGTCCTCAGAGCGTCGAACCGTGCAGCACATCCACATCGCCCGTACTGTGTAATTTACACTCCCCTCTGTACGCAGTACTGTGAACGACAGCCGCCCTCCAAACATCAAAACTGTTGAGTTATCTTTTTGATCCCCCAGCCTCGCTCATGGAACTTTCTCTGGCCCGCGGCCTTGGAGAGCTTCAAGAAACGATAGGTGTGGCTCCAGTTGGGAAAATCTCTGGAGCCTGGTGCCGTGCGAAATGCAGGAATCGGTGGGCTTGTTCTGTATGCACAAGTAGCAACAACTCTCATCCTCTTGGCCTAGGTGACTTCACAACGGTGCCATCTGTCCACGTTGTACATCTGTACACCCCTACATCTGACCAGCGGCCTGTCGCCGGGGATGTTCTGGACTTTGGGACACAAGCTGTCCGTCATTGCCCCTGGTTGGCCGACAGATGGCTAAGGCTGAACGGCCTGATGTGGAGATGAAAGTGCCAAGATGCAAGTCCAGATCGGGCTCGCTCTCGTGCCCCATCCAGGATCCAGGAACCGCGAATCCCTCGTTGTGGGGACTGTCGGGTGTGTCTTGGCCCCTGCTTGCCGACGAGCGTTCGGACGAGCTGGCCAATGCGCATTCGTTGGAGAAGGTGACTGCATGGACTGCTTGTGACACTAAGCCTGTGGCTGCACAGCCATGGTTAATACGAGAACGGACGTCGACGCACCAAATGTGCTGTCTGCTGTCTGGCTCTTTTTTTGCTCGAAGTTGACTATTGAAACGTCAGATCTCCGCTTCGGGACGGACTATTGAGCGCAATGAACAGCTCGGAATTGATGGTTCGGATCCATGAGCGACTCAAGAGAGGATACAGAGAGCAATCTGGTGGGCACTCTTCTGGAGCAACGAGAATTCATCTTGGGGGTTGTGGTGGTTGCCATTGGCTGAGGAAAGGTTCGAGAATTTCACAAAGCATGAGCTGAGCGCACGAAAAGGGACAGTGCGGAGCTTGACCGGCTTGTCCCCGCAACGCCGCGCTTGCCCGAGATGGATGCCAACAAGATTGACACAGGAAAGAGCAATCAAGGGAACCAACCAACCTTAACGGTTCTGGAAGACGCAAAAATATCAGCCTTCGGTGTTGTTCTTCCCCTAGCACGAGAAGAGGCAAGTGTCAAGCAATCCGAATTATCGGTACTTGAGTACTTCATAGTTACTTACCCTGGGTAGGGAGTCTTCCCGGTTCATCCGATGTTTGCCAAAAAATTTAAAACATTTTACACAGAATCGAAAAAGTCCTGTCCAAGAAGGCATGGGCGACACGTGTTGAAGGAGCCTACAAGCACTATTTTTGGGCGCTCTCCACTCGGCGAGGATTGTTCCTCGATGGGATGTTCCCCACAGGCGCCATCGCTCGTTCGTCACTGTGTGGATGTCGGCGGCTGCCGGACGGTGTTCGGCCGAATTCAAGGGTTTTCAGGTCGGTATCCGATGCCTTTCTCATCAATGATTCCGTGCGGCTGGACTCGGTCTCTCCACCATGTGAACCCCACGGACGATCTTCATAAGGATTGACGGATCGCAGATCATCGCGCTCCGGCTCTGATCGGATCGCCTCCCGTGAGCTGCCACGGGCGTGTCAAAACTCTAAATTCCCATCGCCAGGGCTGGTCCTTTCAATACCGGTCACGAGCCAGAGCTTCTCCGTCGCACCAGGAATTTTTTGAGTTACTGTGTAGATCTCAGGCTTCCCCCGGGCAGTCTACCACCCGTCCCACCACCAGACTTTGAAGACCCCGGCGTGCAGAATTTCAACTCGTATCTGCCTGCACCCCACTGTCGATCTGACGTTCAACAATACAAGTACCTTACTCCACGCAGAAGCAGAAATCTGACGAGCAAAAGCCCGCGACTCTCCTGCTTGCCTGGCGCCAATCGCGCACACGGCACTATTGAATAATAAATGCGCCTTGCCTCATCCGGATTCCTCGAGCCCGTAATTCAAAATCGGGCGCAAAAAGTCAACCCCTCAGCGAACGCCCAAACTGCCCGACTTGCTGAGATGTTCAAGTGAATCCGTCGGATCTGGTGTGCCGTCCACCTCGGCCGGCCGGTGCCAACACGAAGCGGTGGAGACTAATGCATAACGCCTGGAACCCTGCTGCAATGCGACCTCTCGCCGTCTGGGTCGCGTCAGTCCGGTTGCGAAATCGTCCGACCGCCTGCGTCCTTCTCTGGATCGGGAATAAGACCAAAGCAGGCCGGCACCCGACCTCAGCCGCATCACCAAGAACCGACGGACCGTTGACCACAAACGCCACCACATCCCGCGCTGCATGCCCCAAGTCGGTCCTTATCACCCCATACCAAGAAACGACCGCAAACTGAGTGCTCGCACTTCCGATGGTTTCTGGGGATAAGTGTGACTCGGTCAGCAGATTCTCTCAAGATATCGTCCGAGGCAGCGAAGCGGAGGAGCAGGTGTCCAATATATGTGTCAGTTCGGCGCTTCGGGTCGCACAGCGCATCTCTTTGGCAATGGCACCGTAGAATTTGTGTTGTCGACTTGGCTGCTGGATATGGATTGAAGCTCAGGTGGGCACCTGCGGTTGCATCGGATATTTGTCGCTTTGCTCCGAAACCAGATACTCAGGGGCAGAAAGCAAACGCCCAGGAGGAGTAAATATTGCCGAGTCAATGAGCGCTAGTTACCCCTGAGACAGTGCTTTGCTCTGACAATAAGCGTCATTATGAACATGGACGTGAGTAGTAAAGCCAATATCTCATTTCCGAACATGGGGTTTGCACGGTGTCCCCTATCTTGATAGTGTCGTGCCGATGGGAGTGGGCACCCGACCACCGCAAATTCGCGTTTTGTTTGTCTGTTCGAGCAAGTTGGGCACTGGGAAGGCTGAGGGCAAGTTTCGAAACCGCATGCTCGTTGCTAAGGTTTCACGGCCTAAACACCACGGGCAATCTGTTTTCCATTCCTCCTCCACACACCCCTAAATCACTGGCCAGATCACCACGGCCACCTCCCCTCCCCCCATAATCCCCAACCTCACCTCACCTCACCTCACCCACCAACCCCCATCTCCATCTCCATCTCCATCCCCATCCCCATGCCATCCCCCCCAACACCAACACCCACCCCCAAAACCCGCCCAACCACGCTCTCAAACGCCCCGCGCTCCATGCTGGCCCCGTAGTGCGGGCACTTGACCACGCCGACGAACTCGCGCTTCAGCCGCTCCAGCACGCCCGCCGCCATCACCCGCTCGGCGCCGAACCGCGCCACCAGCTCGAACCACGCCTGCACGGGCGCCACCTCGACGCGGTCGTCGGGGTTGAGCGACGAGGCGAGCCCGTGCAGGGCGCGCAGGGTCAGGGAGGAGGTGCGCCAGGTTAGGTTGTCGGTTTCGCTTTTGTTGTCGTTGGGGTTGGGGTTGGTGGTGGTGGTGGTGGGGTTGGTGGTGTTGGTGTTCTCGTCACCGGCGGTGGTGGCGGCGGCGGAGGGAGGGCTGGCCGGTGCGGAAGTCGGGTCGAGGGCGATGGGCGGCGTGCTGGGGAACAGGAGGCGGTCGCTGCGCGAGGCCGCTTTGAAGATGTGCTCGGGCGCGTCGCGCAGCGCCAGGCTGGTCGCCATCAGGGTGTGCCCGTTGCCGTCGTAGCCGATGAGCGGGCTGGTGTAGACGGTGTCGGGGGGCGGCGGCGCGTAGTGGGACGGGTGGAAGTGTGCGCGGCAGAGGTGTTCGAGGCTAGGGGGTGGTTAGCTTTCTGGCTTTTGTGGGAAGAGGGGATTGGGAAGGGGACGGCGTACGCGAGGATAAAGTTGATTGCTGCTTGGGTTTGTGCGGGTGTTAGGTCGGAGAAGGGGTCACCGGTTGCGTGGCTCTCTCGGGGAGAGTGAGGGGGCTGGTGAGTGTGAGTTGAGGAGGGCGGCGGACTGCTGATGTAGAAGGTCGGCGCGTTCATGATCTCGTCGAAGCCGAGGGTGATAGTAACGTCCTCTGGTCCTCGTTGCTGCAGGCTTTCCCCGGCATCACTGAGCTGGCATGGCTGGGGCATGTCCTGCAAGAGAGATACCCCCTGATCCAGAGACAGTGGCGCTTTCTTCTTGCTCATAGCTTGTAGGAGTTGTGCCCTCATAGCCTTGTTTTCGTCCAAGAGATTCTTGGTGTCTTGCTCGGCAGCCTCGATCATCTCACGGATGCGGGCAACATCCATCTCGAGCTGCTTGACATAGTTCGCCTTGCGCTGCCGATGCTGGACTTGGGCTTTCCGGACTTGGGCCCGGCGAGCCTGGGACTTGTCCTGTGATGTTTCGGTGCGTGCGTCATCTTCGGCGCCTGTCCCTTGATGTTTTGTTTTAGTCTTTACACGCATCGTGAAGGAGGCGGGTTGGGCGATGAAACGAAACGGGGGGTGAAGAAACAAAACAACGAAACAACCAGAACATGTTCTCCATCTTAATTAAGCCCACACACCAGTATCTCCTCCCGTTGTCAGCCATCAAGGTATTGTCATGATCTCCGCCCCACCAAGACACCATCGCCTTCCCCTCAGTTGTGAGCACCCTGAGGGCTAGCATCAGTCCCCAGGCTGCCGTTGCCCAATCCAGGACTGTCTACCAACCACAAATGCCCCGGCGGCGTTTTTGTCCGAATGAGTGACAAATCTTGGTCACCACAACGGGCCGTCGCCAAGCCATGGCCGAACCCCCCACCCGCCGAAAAGAAACTGTGTATACTTGGCTTTGGCTCGTGATGAACGCGGCCGAAAACAGGATTCGGAAACCAGGAAATGGATGCGAAACAGAAAAAGGAAGAATTCCATTGCTAGGGCAGGATAAAGAACGGACATCCCCACTCACCCGATGTACCAGTGTTCTGACCGGCCTTGCTCTCCACGAAGCGAATCTTCTTCCCGCCCAGCGCTTCCTTAGACTTCCTCCAAAAAGTCGAGAATGATGGCCGATTTGTCTCGCTGTCATCTGCCATCACCGGCTTCTCGTCAGATGTTCCCCGCCTGGTACCTGAACGGCATGCATCAGCATCACAAATCACTACTTCAGATTCCAGCGGGACAAGAAGCCATACCTGGTCATAAATGGGACGTTGACTAAAAACTCAAATAGAGGGACAAATGCCCAGCTTCGGATTCCGTAATGGTTAGTTAGAAAATACTCACCCCAGAGTCTCCCCCCAGGGCTAATAAATGTGCAGCTTGAAAGAAGTGTCCAAAAAGAGGCGACATGTGTCAGCGCCCTCCAGTGAGATGTTCGTCGAGAATTGCCCTATCCAGGGTTAGCTCTTACCGCTCACTTTCAAGCGGCCGTGCCCTGTGCCGCAACACCCAGACACCGCCAAAACTCAAATACAACGCGCTGTCAGTTGGCCCGAGTTACCTTCCAAATACTCGGGCGGCTCGGCTTTGCTTGCCGAAGATCTCGAATTCTCTCACAGATTTTATCTAGCGAAGTAACTGCCATTCTTCCCCCAACATTTTGTTATCTCTAACCAACCAAAACGCCCAGAAGATGCTTGCTATTTTGGCAAACCCCAACACCAACACCAATGCCGCAAAATGCCCCCTCCCTAGTTAGAATCCCTTGACTTGAAAAAGCAGCTCTCCGAGTAGCCCTGCATCTTACTTCCCCTGGGTCTCACCCGTCTCCCCAAAGGGTATATATACCACGCCACCAAACCGATCAAGCATACCCCTCCCCGCCATCGTCATCCGTAGCCGTATCCTCCTGAAAACTCCCCACCACTCCCTCCCCCTCTCCATCCCCCCCTTCAAAGTCACTATCCTCTTCCTCCTCACTCTCCTCCTCCCCCTCATCCTCGTCCTCCCCATCCCGATCCAACAGCGCCATCGGCCGCCACGCGACGTAGCTACTCTCCAGGTCGAGCCAGCGCTTAGCGACGGGCAGCTGGAACGGATCAAACGGGAAGCAGGCCTCGAGATGTGTCCACTTTTCGTCGTCAAACTCGAACCCGCTGTCGCGCAGGGCGCCGCCGGTGGCGTAGCTGCCCGTGAAGAACTGCGAGAGGTGGACCGACTTGTTCTTTTCGATTTGCGGGTATCTGTGGGGATCGATGTGAGTAACGGGGCCGGGGGGAGGAGGGCCAGGGGACTGACATGTAGAGGAGCCGCAGGTGGTGAGAGAGGCGGGCGAACTCGTCCACGATTATCGGAGAGCAGCATTTGAGCGGCTTGATTGAGGGGTTAGCGGGTATTGACAGGCGCTGCAACTGAGGGACGGCTTACGTTGAGCTTGCTGCCGATGTTGGCTTGTAGGCGAGACTTTAGCCCCGTCATCCAAGGCAGTTCTTGTCCGATGAAAGACGCCGGATCGTCCCAATCGAGGCTGGGAGGGAGCAGGTCCTGGTCGATCAAGTCGCGCCACCGGAAGCAGAAGATCTAGACACAAGGTCAGAACACGGCGGGCTAGGAAAACACCCTTCCTGTTGCAACTTACATAGAGTAGACCCTGAAAGTATGCGCTGGGGGTTGTTAGTATGGTTGATATCGGTACGCTGGTTGGGGCAACTTACTAGTACTGGCTGTATCGCCTTACATCTGGCCCACGGCAACCAGTATGTACGGCGCGGTAGTGGTCCATATAGTCGAGGAACGTCTTGGTGATCAACTGCACCTGCTCGCTCTTAACCATGGCCCCGCGCGCAGTGAAGCTTGCCAAGTAAGCAACCGCAGCCTGCTTAACGACGGGTGGCCGGTTCGACTCGAACCTGAGGGCGGTCAGCGTCCTGCGATATGACCGTTCTGGCTGAGAAAGCTTACGCAAGGTTGAATAGTGTCCCAATGAACATCTCCATGAGCTGCTGGGACTTCATGGCGAATTTAAAGAGCAGGTATTGAGTGTGGCGTGACTTGAGATGCTGCTCGGTCTGTTAACCTCCGCATGCGACCCGACCTTCGAAGGAGTACATACCGGCAGAATGACGTTTGAGAAGTCGCTCAACAAGTCCTGGAATGCCTCGGTTGCCTCGGGGCTCTCCGGATCCTCGAATATCGGGTCGTAAATCGAAAACAGCAGATCGAGAATGGCGTCCATCGTCTCCAGCTTGTTCTTGACCGTGAGTACGCGCTTGGCCTGCTCGTTTAGGTCGTCGTCGTCGCTGAGAACGGAGTCGGCATCGCTATCGTCGTCGTCCTCTTCGTTTTTCGCATCGGATGCCTCCAGCTGGCGCAACACCGCCCTCGTGGTCTCGTCGTCGTCATTCTCCAGATCCAACGTCATCTCCACGTCCAGCTTAACCAGCCGGGAGAGGATCAGCTCCATGATATCCCGCTCCAACCCCGGCCTCGCAGCCTTGAGACGCAGTAGGTGGTCGATGAACTCCATATGTGTCGCCTTTGTTGCCTCGGTGAACGGAAACTTGGACGCGACCAAGCTGAGAATCATGTGTTGCCCCGCCGGGAACAGCTCGAGAAGGTATTTCAGCCCGACGTGTAACCACTTTTTTTTCGTTTCCGGGTCGACTGGCTCGAAGCCCGCAACGCTCGACGTATGGCGTGTCTCGGTAAACTTGTCGACAATCATGGTAAGCGCCTGCGTGAAGAGCGATCCCTGTACCGACGAAAGCGCAGCCAGAAGCTGAATATATGCCCGCGCAAAGTTCTCGTCCCGCTCCAGCCAGTTGCACCGCAGCACACTCCGTAGCAGACCCGAGCACGACCGGCCGAGTAATGGCACGTATCCCGTCAGTGCCACGACGTAGACTATCAGGTCCTGGGGTTTTGTCGTCTCGTCTTCGTCATCGTCCTCGTCGGGTGTTACATTTTTTGGGTTCGGCAAGAAAATATCCTTCAGGTTGTCGTAGTCCTCGTCGTCCCCGCGGCTGTGCCCCTCCAGCGCCTGGCGCACTTCGCGTTTTGCTTCCTCCAAGCTCTTGCTGTTGATCTCCTTGACCATGTTCAGGTTTTCGTTGAAGGCAACTGTCTTTTTCTGTCGCTTGGTTGGGGGTTCATCCTCGTTTGCCCCGTCCGAGTCCTCGGATCGTGATCGCGTGCCCAGGACGGAGGTGGGTTTTCGTAGGATGGGTTTCATCGGGGTGGGTGTGGCGGTCGGCGCAGAGCTACGCGCGACAGATGAGAGAGTCGTCATGGTAAAGTTGCTGTTTTTGTGGATGGGTCGTCGAGCGAGTGAAGAAAGCGTCGCCGCAGCCTTCTCGACGGCACAATCGGGGGCGAGGGAGTGTGAGGGCCCGAAGTGGTAAAATCGGGGGGAAATCGACAGAGGTTAAGGGGTCGATTGGTGGGATGGCGGGTTTATGGACAACAACTGGTCGGACATAATTGTTTTGCTTTGCGGCCCGATGATAGAGAGGGAATCCAGCTGTTGGTGAACCCGCAGCATTAATGTCTTCTGAGCTTTCTGCCGCCGTATCCACCCTCGAGAAGGAAAATGTCGACTTTATTTTTGAAGCGAGTGTTTTCCCCGCGAAAGGCACGTGCACAGTGGGGAGGGATGCCTGCTTCAGAAGGCGGTCAGACGTCACAAGCCCGAGACAATCCACAGTAATCTCCAGGGTCGTCATCTCGAATCATCGCGGCTTTCGATTCTTATTGCAAAACCATAACTACCTTACTTCACGTGAAGAATTATTGCATCTCAAACACACCTAAATGTGCAACCTTGACCAATTCCAGAGACAACAATTTATTCTATTCTCGTGATTCTAAGAATCTATCTCTCTAATTACAGCAATTTCAGTACGCGCAGCTCAGGTGAATCGGGTCTGCCTCGAGTGAGACCCCACTGCTCAAGCCAAACGCGCAGCCATTTCTGCCCCACCGGGCCGACCTTCGCCAGCGCCAAACTCGCATCTTCGGCCCTCTCCGAGGTCAACATGCGTGGCGAGTCAGCCGCTGCCGCGCCCTCGTAGAACTCGAGTAGTCGGATTGCTGGGTTGCGGTCTAGATCGATGTGCCCACTTGCGATGGCTTCGTCCGCACTCGCTCGCAGCGCCGACACCCACTCGGAGAAGTCGACCTCGCGCACGCCCAGTGCACCCGCGATGACTGGAGACAGGTCGGCGTGCCACGAGGCGGCGCGGGGGTTGACGACGTGGAAGACGTGTGTCCCGTCTTGCGTGGCGGTCGGGCGGGCAGACGAAACTGTGTGTAGGATCTCCAGAAGGACAATGGCCAACCTGTCGACGGGGAGCCAATCGATCCGGTCTCGAGACGGAAATGTAGCCGGAAAGACGCCGAGATGGGCCGACGATACCATTATCTGCGGTGCGGGGTAAGCGACGTCCAAGTGCTAGATGTCTGTACTGATGGCGCACTTACCGATGGAATATACTCGTGCTTATTCCACATCCCCGCCGTGCTCTCGACGGGCCCAGCAACGATGCCAACGCGGCAGACAGCGGAGCGTACGCCACTGCGCTGCGAGGCCCGGTCTAGCAGAATCTCGGCTACCAGCTTGGACCGGCCATATCCCATCGGGGCCGCGGCGCCAACGTCGTGAATCGGTGCCTCCGGCGCCGTGCCGCTAGGCAAGGATGCGACGGTCGACACGCTGGACACAAAAAGCACTAAGGCATTGTGTCGAGACGCGTGGGCTAAGTGGGCGAGGTTGATCACGCCGTGGATATGTGGCCGGAATGACTGCAGCGGCCAGTTGAAGTTAACGGGCCACTGGTTGTCTGTTTGCAGTTAGCTGCGACTGCATCGTGGCGCTTGTTTGGAAGGGGTGGGGTGGGGCCAGTATACTCACGGATTATATGTGTCACAGAGCTCACAAGCATGCCGTATGAGGCGCGTCCGAGGCCGAGCTGCGGCAGCGATAGGTCGGCCTTGAGGAACTGCACACGCGACGGGGGTAAAGCAGCGAAACCCCGTGCGGAACACAGCAGAGCGTGTCGCTCCGCTGCCTTAGCACTGCGGTTGAGGCAGATTACACGGGCCACCTTTGGGTTGCGGTTGAGCGCTTCGAGGATGTATGGCCCCAGGGACCCGGTGCTCCCGGTGAGTATGACAGTCATCTCGCCGGATCGCTCGGTTGTGGCCGGCCGCCCCGACCGGAGTGGGGGAAGTAAGCGAGTGTACTCCTCGAGCAGTGACCTGGCCAGGTCCGCGTCAGCATCGTCCTCTTCCGAGTCTGAGCTGGAAGACCAGGGCGGCGTTTCTGAGCCCGTCACCTCCTCGACTTCCACCAGCACCGTCGCAGAGGGCTTGCCATCAGGGTCTTGTTTCAAGAGCGGCGCGGCAACTTCACGCCTCGATGCTGCGTCAAACATGAGGGCCCCAAGCTGGTTCACGGTTGGGTTGGCATAGATGAACCTTGGGGAGAACTCGGCGAGGCTTGCTGGCGCCTGCCCCCGTTTGGCCGTCATGCGGATCTCGCGCGCCATCTTGATCACCTGGAGAGAATCAACACCAGCCTCGAAGATATCGCCATCGCCGTTACTGATACTGATACCCGCCACTTCAGCGATCAGTGCACGCAGCCATTCACTCGCGCCATACTTGCTACTCAAGTCTAATGGGGCCATGTCCTTGTTAAGCTCAGCGAGTTCCTCGGGCTCCTCGACGGACCGGTACAGTTTGTCGATATCGGCCTCGTACAGCGCGTAGGTCCGCAGCCTCTGCATTTTGCCCTGGCCTAGGTACTGTACAGGGCGCTGCGGATCCGCGAAGAGGACGTGGTACCGATCCAGCTGGCCGTGGGCCGGCGCATGGGCATTGGCCTCGGCGATGAAGGGAAGCAGCTGGTCGATCAGCTCATGCCTGCCCTTGGCTGTTCGCGGCGGTTCGGCAGTCAAATCGAGCAGCACTGCGGGCTGGAACCTGCCGCGACCGACCACCATGGCGCCCTTGACCAGCGGGCTGCTGTTCAGCGTGGCCTCCATGAGCGCGGGGCTTACTTTCTCGCCGTTGCTGAGGACGATAACATCGTCCTTGCGGCCCTTGTACCGATACAGGAACGGCTTGGCCGGGTCGGGATGCCGCTCATACAGGTCGCTCATGCTCCACTCCGAAATGCTTGGGAAAGTGGCAAAAATACCCTGGTACCGCTCCAACCCCGGTTTACGGACGAGGAAGAGTTCGAAGAGGCCCGGCGTGTACTCGCGCATCTCAATGCCGGAATGGCTGGGGTGCCAGTAGAAGAAATCCCAGTCAGCGACCGACGGCGACAGACGTTGAAGGCAGGACGTCTCTGTGGAACCGAGGTTGGAGATGACGCGCGAGTGCTTCGAGATGATGCGGCCAGCCGTCTGAGAAAGGGGTGCTGCGGGTCGCTATGTCAATAGCCTGCTCCTCCGTCTCGCTCATCGCCTCGCCAGTGCACTTACCTCCGCTGGCCACCACGTACTGCATCTTATCCAGCCTCCTCCGGGACTCGGGGGTCGCGGCTCAGCTCCTCATAGATGCTGGGGGCACCCATGGTGGCGTCGACGCCGGCGTGAAGGTGCATCTCATCGGCATACCCGGCGTTCGGGACCACCTTGGGCGCGCCGTACACGAGTGTCACACCACACAACAGGCTCCACGTGATCCCGGCGTTGAGTCCGCTAGTGTGAAACAGCGGCATGCTAGTGTACGCACGCCGGGCCTGCTGGTAGACCGCTGTCGTGGGCACGTAGCCGTCGACGGCAGGGACAGTCCGCCACGCCTCGTAGGAAGCTAGGTTGGCGTTCTTCCAGACAATGGGCTTGGGCAGGCCGGTCGACCCGGTCGTGTGCAGCACCAGGCACGGGTCCATGCACGCTTCCTCGAAGGTCTTAGTGTATGGGTACACGGCAACAGGCTCCGTGCCTTCCAGCATGTCGGCAAGCTCCGGCACGATGGCCGTCCGCATGCGCCGCGCCTCCAGGATGCTGTCGACGTTCGTGCCGTTGGCGCTGAGGAACACATGGCAGTCGGCGCCTGCGAGCACGTGGAGATGCCCGTCTAGGTTGTTACGAGGCGAGGTAAAAAGCATCTAACCGACCACAGAGCGTGTCAGCAAAACTCGAGGGTTGGCGTGCTGCAAATCCAAAGACCGACCTTATAGCCAACTTTGATGGCCCCAAACATCAAGAAGAAGTAACGAAGGTCACCTTGCCAAACACGCACAATCAGCCTTTGAACATATGTAGGGGTTACAGTAAGTGGTATTGCTCACTCGGTCCCATGTAGCCTATCGTCTCGAAGTTGGTTGGCTCTCCCAGCAAGTCTTTGAGATACCAACTGGCGCGGTTGACGCCACGGGCGAACTGGCGCGCTGTGACGTCGACGAAGCCATCTGCCGGTTTATTTGTTTTGGCATAGGCAAACAAAGGATGGTCGGGGACCGCGAGAGCGAGCTCGTCTGGGATCAAGTGTGTGAGCCGCCCTGCGACGGCAGCTGAGGCTTGGAACACCTCGGGGATGTCGTCACGAGGCCGGGCTTCAGACATGGTCGACGTGCTTCTGATTCACAGTACTCTGGTGGTTGGCTGACACGTTCAGGAGAAGCAATGCTTGAGAAGACTTGGTGCTCCAGCCGGCCTAGGACGTGTCCGTTTCATGGACTTGCACGTCTTTAGTAGCACATACCGATATGTATGGTGCGAGACCCGTTGACCGACCTCAGCCTTGCCGACGCTGCGCTATCAGAACACCTTGAGCCTCCCCATGGCAAGGCAAAACTGTGTCTTGCGAACGACCGGCATCAACACGGCTGTGCCCCCACGACGGAGTCCGCGGCCGAGCTTACGGCACCACGGCACCGGGTGGCTTGGGAAGGATTACCGGACACGGCGGGTATTGGATCCGGTAGGGCTAATCGTGACGGCCCCCTTTCTCTCCTTTCTCTCCTTTCTCTCCTTCCTCCTCAAGAACATGGCCTTTTCCCTTCTCCTTTTCGGACTCCGGCTCAAAATGGCATTATCTCCAAGGAGCCTCATGCTCCTCGTGGATCACCTCCTATCAGTAATGCACTACGACCCGGGGGCCATGGTCCCGTTTGAGTGTCTCCGGGAAATCATAAGGCCCGCTTTTCTCCGGCATTCCGTGCCTCCCCGGCACTGCTACTACAGCAAGGGGGTGGACCAAGATTGACCGTTCCGTACGGAAGAGGTAGCCGACTTCGGCGGGAGCCGGTGGAGGGGGGGTGAGGTGGCCGTCGAGACGACGATATTTAGTCCTCGTGCTAGACGCCCACTAGGGATGAATGGATGTTTAGACAGACAGACAGACAGACAGACAGACAGACAGACAGACAGACAGACAGACAGACAGACAGACTCGACACTTCAACAACAATCCGTATCAACCAACCGCCTTTGTTAAGCAAAAAAGACATCACAACCGCAACCATGTTGACCAGCGTTCTCTCCTTCACGGTGAGTGCCTTGGGAACATCCCACGCCGGCAGAGATGGGTGGCTAACAGTGGAACGCAGCCCGAGATGGCAGCCACCGTTACCGAGTACTGCACCAACGTCTCGGATGACGTTTCCGGCAACATGAACGAGCTCTGGGACTGGACTTGCACCCAGTTCGAGGACGCCGACAAGATGTCCTCGCCTCTCCAGGGCGCCACCATGAAGTTCCTGGCTTCGCTCCTGAAGCCCAAGCGCAGTATGCATCCCAATCTACTTCCGCCCCGAGGGGGGTTACATTACAAGATAGCCGCTGATGCATTGCTCTCTCCGAACCGGCAGTCCTCGAGATCGGCTGCTTCACCGGCTACAGCGCCATGGCGTGGCACGAGGCGACTGGGTCGCTCCAGTCCGAGATCATCACGCTCGAGCTGGACCCCAAGATGATCGCGGCGTCCCGGCGCACCTTTGACAAGTACGGTCTCAACGACCGCGTCAAGTTGATCGAGGGCCCCGCGGGCGACAGCATCCCCCGGCTGACGGGCCAGTTCGACCTGATCTTCGTCGACGCCAACAAGGACGGCTACCAGGACTACGTCACCAAGATCCTCGACCGGAACCTTCTCAGCCCGAACGGACTGATCCTATGCGACAACAGTAAGCATCAGGACCCGACCTGCAACCGAGGAGGGGTGTGTGAAAGAAAGGGGAAGGACGGAGTTTGCTGACATGGACATGTACAGTCTTCGCGCGCGGCATGACCATCTCGACCGAGTCGAACCCGCAGCTGCCCGACAAGGTGCGCCCGTACTGGACGGCTAACGGCAAGGCCCTGGACCGCTTCAACCGGTTCTGCAAGGCCGATCCCCGCGTCGACTCGATCCTGCTGCCCGTGTACGACGGCCTGACGCTGATCAAGTGGAAGGACGTCGCCGGCGGCTCCAACGGCTTCATCAACTGATCCGTTCCCGGCGCTGATGGGCCGTGTCCGTACCATCTCCGCGCTGAGTGGGGGAGGGGTGGGGGCGGCTCTTACATATTGCAGGGAGGACCGCAGGGTGGGGGAGGGGTGGGATTGCGTGCTCGGTAGTCACTGCTGCAGATCATCCAATATACTCTATCTGCTGTGAACCCCTGAACCCCTGAACCCCTGTGTATGTACCTGGTGTTTATTTGGAGAACCCCGTCGTATACTCGATCCATGTGGGCTTCGCCCGGTCCACATCTGACCACATCCGAGGGAGGGTGATATGTATGTACAAGTCGTTTAAGCAATGTCAGCAAAGTGATGCCCCGCAAGTTGATAATGCCGGAGTTCAGAAAAGGCTGTAAACAAAACGAAGATGGTCACCAATCGGGAAACTCCGGAGAACCCCCAGCGTCTCGTCATTTACATGCATCCTAAACTTTCCGAGTCGAAGGAGCGCATATACATACGGATGTACGGATGTATGTAGTGTAGTACTGATAGGATCCCTTCGGGTCGGGCAGCCGGCATATCACGCCGCATCACTGCATACATGGGCTGCAACTCTGATACTCACGGTTATTCATTGCCAGTTTGAGACCTGAACCAGATATCTTATTAGCTGGTTTACGGTCATGCAACCTCGCCCAACCCCCGCATCCAAATAACTCTAAGACGCGATAACACCGACGTCAGCTCCGTCTCAAATCAGCTTGAAAGTCACGGCTCTCAACTCTTTCGCCCACTCCAAATTGCTGCTTGACAATTACACACTGATACTATTGTGGCGCAGTCCAAAGAAATGGCGGCTGCTGAACGGAAACGGAGCGTGATCCTGCGCCGCCTCGGCCGGGACGGTCCGTACATTCCCGCCCTCGGACTAGGGCTAATGGGGCTTAGCTGTGAGTTGTCTTTGGGTGGTCAGACCAGACCGAGGTTGGGGGTGAATCTCGCACAACTCTGCATGGTAGCTAACTCTTGAGCACTTCCCCAGCCTTCTACGGCTCGCCACCCCCCGACGAGGAGCGCCTGGCCTTCCTCGACCGGGCCTACGAGCTTGGCTGCACCCACTGGGACTCGGCGGCCCTGTATGGGGACAGCGAGGAGCTGCTCGGGAAGTGGTTCGCGCGGACGGGCAAGCGGGATGAGGTAGGTCTCTCTTCTTCCTTATGGGCTGTGTAGGTTTGAGCTGACTTGGTGGTCTCTCTCTCGTCTGGTTAGATATTCCTGGCTACGAAGTTCGGGAACAAGGTGTCTTCCGATGGCGGGCGGGCGATTCGGAACGACCCCGAGTACATCCGCCAGTCGGTGACCGAGAGCCTCGAGCGGTTGCAAACTGACCATATTGACCTTTTGTATTGGTGAGGTTGCCGTTCCCAAACTTGAACTTACGCATGCTCGAGGACAGTCTACTAACGAACGCCGCGTGGTACCCTGTCATCAGCCACCGTTTCAGCGGCGAGACGCCCGTCGAGGAGATAGTGGCGACCATGAAAGAATTCATCGAGTAAGTCAAGACTCCCAGAAAGATGGCTACAGCACCACTGACTCAGCCTCCAGCGCCGGCAAGGTACGCTACCTCGGCTTCAGCGAGTGCGGCGTCGACACGCTCGAGCGGGGGTCCGCGGTGCACCCGATCGCAGCCTACCAGATCGAGTACTCGCCCTTCAGCATGGACATCGAGGACCCGTCGGTAGGCCTGCTGGCCTGCTGCCGGCGCCTCGGCATCGCAACGGTAGCTTACTCACCGCTCGGGCGCGGCATGCTGACGGGCCAGTACAAATCGCCCGACGACTTCGAGCCGGGCGACTTCCGGCGTACCATCCCGCGCTTCTCGGCGGCCAACTTCGACCGCAACCTGCAGCTGGTGCGCACGCTGGAGGGGCTAGCGGAACGCAAGGGTTGCTCCAGCGGCCAGTTGACGCTGGCTTGGATGATGCGCCAGGGGGAGGACATCTTCCCCATCCCCGGCACCAAGAAGGTGCGGTATCTGGAGGAGAACCTGGGCGCGTACGCGGTGGAGCTGTCGGATGAGGAGGATGCCCTGGTCCGGGAGGCCATTGCGCGCACCGAGATCGTCGGTACCCGCGTAGCCGAGCATCTGATGGGGGCTCTGGTCAAGGATACTCCGCCCCCAAAGTGACGGTGCCATGCGTGTGGCTGGCTGAGTTGTTGTTAGTCATGGTACACTCGTTTCTTGGTTGGTTGGTTAGGACTTAGACAGAACTTAGAAGTTTAACCTTATCATTCAACATGGTTATTATGATCTACCTAATTACTAATATCTTCCTGCTCAAGTGGCATGCTTTGAAAAATTGCAGCTTGAAGCTTACAAATAACCCAGGTACATACCTCGTCTGCAATATCAAGCGCCTGGGCAGATCCTCCAGTACCAGGATAGTGACGAATGCTGCACTCCTTCGCCAACTGTTTCACCTCGGAGCGTGGAATACCCCAAAGGGCGCCGTATCCCAGTCCCGAGGATGCATCCTGGTACCTCGCGGGCCATACCAACCTTGATGGGTAATGCCGGTAGTAAGCAGGCAAAATGTAAAGGTTACACAACGGCCCCCAACAAGCTTGATCCTTACTAAGACCGGGTGACGACGCGCAAGTTCTCCAGATGTGGCAGCGATAGCTCAATACCCTGCATCGACATATGCCGAAGGTCTTGGCCCAGACAAGGGGGAGCTATCCGGAGTTGATATCGGAATCCTCCTCGAGCCCCCCCCCTTCCCCTCGTACTGTGTACACGTGGCGCCATATTTTGATAGGATTGAAGCAAGGAACTCGTTACATTTATCTAAATACACTCCCTTGGTTCTGGTTTCATGCTTACTATACCGCGGTGGGCCGCGGAATCCGTCTATTCAGCTGCGCCGAGACGCGATATCGCGAGTGTGCCGGACCCATGCATCCCAGAGACTCCGGCGCGGGCCGGTTTTGTTCTTCGAAGGCGACGCCGACCGATTCGGGCACCTGCCGGCTCCAGGCAGATTTGGGAGCTGGAAATGCCGCGAGGTATGGGCACTGGCATCAACACGGGAACCCGGAAAGGAGCACGGTGTACGCAGGTAGTCGAGAGAAATGGAAAAATAGCTGGTTATACATACGTTCCTTGTTCTGATTTATTCCGCAAGCCAGGGCTATCTAGCTCTCTTTACGCATTAGATTTCCGCTCAAGCTTTTGTCTAGTAAAACTATCTACCATGTCTCGTCTGACCCAAGACCGTGTTCAGCAGTTGTACCAGGAGTATGGTGATCTGAAGGTGCTGGACGACATCATCCGCCACCGAGCCAATGACGAGCTCCAGGCGCCCATCCTGGGCTACCCTAAATACTCTGACCGGATTGACGAGTATGAAGGCTTCACAGGCAAGCAGCTCGACTGCTTCGTTGATGGAGCTGTGAAGAAATACATATCACTCGGCCTTGAGTCTGTAAGTCAACCTAGTCATTAAATCGGGGATCCTTGGCTGATCTTCTGCTTACCCCTTTTTGCCAGGGCGGCCGTGGCCCAGTTGGACTGCTCGCCCCATCGAATGTCGACTACGTTGTGTCTGTGTTTGCCCTCAGCCGACTTGGCTACACGCCGCTGTGTCTATCGTTACGGATCCCACCACCAGCTATCCTGAACCTCCTTAAGCAGACAGGATGCACTGTCTTGGTACATGGCGCTGCCACCGCCATCACGGACAAGGTCGCAGCGGTTGCCTCTGACTATGCCGTCAAAAGTCTCCCCATCCCGACCCGAGAGGACTACGACTCAGGGAGCATCAGTTCCGGTCCTCGGTTCGAGAGAAGCTTCGACCGTGAGGAGGAAAACACACGGCCAGCCTTGATCATGCACTCGTCCGGAAGCACGGGACTGCCCAAGCCCGTGACGGTGAGCCACCGAGCACTCCTGACGCACGCGCTCCAGGGCGCTGGAATGCACAACTTCAACCCACTGCCGTGGTACCACCTGTACGGCGTCTCAACATGCCTGCAGGCCATGTACCGGGCCAAGACGGCCAACATGTACAGCGCGACCATGCCGCTGACGACCGAGAACCTCGTCCTGGCCGTCCGCCAGCTCCGCCCGGACGCCATCCACGTGGTGCCGTATGTGTTGGGCCTGCTGGCCGAGACGCCCGAGGGCGTGGCTCACCTCAAGTCGGCCAAGATGGTCACTAGCGCGGGCGCAAAGACGCCTGATGAGCTCGGTGATCGGCTGGTGGGTGAGGGCGTCAACCTGGCTGTTGTTTTCGGCACGTAAGTAGTCCAAATACCACAAAGTCACCAATAACAAGAACAAGACTGACCCAGGGTCTCACCCACAACAGCACCGAAGCCGGGCTGGCAGGCGACACAATGGGACGGGCCCCCGGCGACGACAGCTGGAACTATGTGCGTTTCTACGCCTACCACCGATCGTTCATCCACATGGACCCACTCGGCGACGGCTTGTTCGAAGCCGTCTACCTACCGGGCCACCCGGGCCTGTCGACGAGCAACTCGGACTCGCCGGTGCCGGGGTCGTGGCGGTCCAAGGACGTCTTCGCGCCGCACCCCACCATCCCCGACGCCTGGAAGTGCATCACGCGCCTCGACGACCGCGTCACCCTCGTCACGGGCGAGAAGGTGCTCCCGCTGCCCATCGAGGGCCGCATCCGCCAGCACCCGCTCGTGCGCGAGGCTGTTGTCGTGGGCATCGAGAGGCCTGTTCCGGGGCTGCTCCTCTTCCGCGCGAGTGATGAGCAGGGCTTGTCGGACGGTGATTACCTCGACGCCGTCTGGCCTGCGGTTGAGGAAGCCAATGCTGCGGCTGAGGCCTTCAGCCAGATCTCGCGCGACATGGTGGCCGTGCTGGGCGCTGAAGTTGACTACCCGCGCACCGACAAAGGCAGCATCATCCGGGCTCAGGTGTACAACGGGTTTGCGCAGGTCATTGATGACCTCTACACGGGCATGGAAGATGGGACTTCGGCCACCGGTGACCATGAGCAAAAGGAGCGGCTGCCACTTACCGGCTTGGGTCTGGACGAGCTGGTGGCTCTGGTGGCCGGTGTTTTCCAGGAGGCGACAGGCCGGCCGCTGGCGTCGGAGGACGCTGATTTCTTTGCCGCTGGCGTCGACAGCCTCCAGGCGTTGCAGATGCGCCGGGCACTCCTCCGACGGCTGGACTTGCAGGGACGGCATCTGCCTTCCAACATTGTCTACGAGAGCGGCAGCGGTAGGGCGCTCGCACGCTTCCTCCACTCGCTGGGTCAGGGACAACTGCAGGACGGAGAGGCAAGGCCCGACGCGATCCCGGCAAAGAGCCAGATGGAAGACCTGATTTCGAAGTATGGCGGTTTCGGCAAGACAGTGGTAAGACAGCGTCCTCATTCACCCTGACATCTCTCGTCCTCAGACTAACCACTTTCCTTCTCGTCAACAGCTCCTCACGGGCGCAACCGGCTCCATCGGCGCGCACGTCCTCGCGCAGCTCATCACCTCCCCCTCCATCTCGCGCGTCTTCTGCCTCGTGCGCAGCAGCAGCAGCCCCAACGACACCTCCCCTCCCACCCGCCCTTCAGATTCCTCGCCATCATCAGACCCCCCCGCCCTCAACCGCATCCACGCCTCCCTGCGCACCCGCCGCCTCACCCACCTCCTCCACACCCACCCCACAGCCGCCTCCAAAATCCACGCCCACACCGGCGACCCCTCCCTCCCGCAGCTCGGCCTCGACGAATCCGTCTACGCCGACCTGGCATCGACCTGCTCGCTGGTCATCCACCTGGCGTGGCCGGTGCACTTCGGTCTGGGGCTGGGGAGCTTCGAGCCGCATGTCAGGGGTTTGCGGGCGTTGTTGGCGATGGCGCTGGAGCAGCGGGGGGAGCCGGCGGTGGTGTTGTTTGGGTCTTCGGTGGGGGTTGCGGGGCGGGCTTCTTCCGGGGGCGGGGAGGTTTTGGTGAATGGGGGGGTGGTGACAAAAGGGGAGGAGGCGGGTGGGGTGGTGGTCAGGGAAGAGTCGGTGCCGGATCTGGGGTGGGCGTCGCCGATGGGGTATGCGCAGTCCAAGCTTGTCGGGGAGCATATGGTGCTCCGGGCTGCGCGGGAGGCTGGGGCCAGGGCGTATGTGCTGCGGGTTGGGCAGGTGGTGGGGGATGCGGCGGAGGGGGTGTGGAATGAGAAGGAGTTTGTGCCGAGTTTGATTCGGTCTGTCTTTTTCTTGAGGGCGCTGCCGGCGCTGGATGAGGTGAGTATTTTAGTTACCCATGTTCTGTACACCATTTCTGCCCTGTTGCTCACCCCCCGACAGACCTGCGCCTGGCTTCCCGTCGACACGCTGGCCACCGCCATCGTCCAGCTGGCTGACAAGCTCGACTCGGCGCCCCGGCCCTGCCACCTCGACCCCGTCAACCCGCCCATCTTCTACAACATGGTCAACCCGGCATCGTTCGGCTGGTCAGACCTGCTACGGGTGCTCCGTTCCGCGCCGGGCATCCCACCCTTCGCCGAGGTCTCGCCTGCGCTCTGGCTAGCCAAGCTGCGGGCGAGTGCGGCTCTGGGTCAGGAAGAGCGCAACCCGGCGGTGAAGCTGCTGGATTATTATGAAGAGCAGTACGGAGCCGAAGAAGTGCACGTGGCCAATGGCGTCGGAGGAGTCAGGGCTGCGAGTCGAAAGTCGGCGGTTGTGTTTGACACGACGGCTGCTCAGCGGGACTGTCCGGTGCTTCGCAATCCGCCAAAGGTCCTGGAGGACGGGTATATCGAGAAGTTCTTGAAACACTGGTTGGAGAACTGGAAGGTTGTAAACTGAAAGTGGGGGATTTATCACTTGGTGCGCATATTGTTGCAATTGGAGAAAAGAACCTCCCTACGTGCCTAACTAGTTACTTAGCTAGATGGTACCTGCCTAGGTAGTTAGTATGTCAAATTGTCAATGCGTGAATGTGCCAGAGGTGCAATTGCCGACTCGCAATTAACGGCGTCGGTTTGGTGACACTATATTATATTTTATCTTGTCTCTTTTTCTTTGACTTTGACTCCGTCGTTTGCATTCGGTTAGATGCCACGCGCAATTTCTTTTTGCTCAGCTTGCTAGCATAATGAAGATAGAAAACGAATCAACATCGTACGTAACGCCATGAATGTGAAAATTCTCGATCGAACCAATGCATTCTTCGTCTACAAACCACCAATCACCAATCACCAATCACCAATCACCAATAAATCACCAAGTGTTCGGCTCTGACCATCTATTTCACTCCTCAACGCCCCCTATCCTCTCCTCTCCTCTCCTCCCCTCTCTCCCCCCAACCCCCACCGGCGCGCACTGTTCCCCCCAAGATCTTACCCCTATTCCATCACGATAACAGCCCTGAAACGGACGCTCCCGTCCATCATCTTGTCTAGTAGTAGCGCAATGCGATTAGCCCCTGAATCTACTTGGACAAGCCCGACACCAACTTACTGAAGGCCTCGTTTGCTTTCGCGAGCGGGAAGGTCTGCACCATGCAGTCCACCTTTTGCAGGTCCATGAACTGAATGGTATCCTCGGCATCAGTCGCGTGGCCACAGGGCCAGCATTGCACCGAGACAGCATATTTCAACTGTCTTCACGTTAGCCATTTTACCCAGAATTGCTTGCCCCGGTTCACACGGTCACGCCGTACCATGACTGCCGTGTCGACTGGCACGTCACCAGGAACCGAGAGAATCAAGAGCTTGCCCAAGGGCCCCAGGCCCTTCAGAAGGGTTCCCATGACCTCGGCCGTCGGCGCCGTCGTCATGGCCAGCCTCGCACCGCCCAGCCTCCGCAGCGCCTCGCCGGCGTCCTCCTTGCTCGAGTCGATGTAGTCGTGGGCGCCGAGCTGGCGCGCAAAGGCCTCCTTGTCGGCGCCGCGGCTGATGGCGACCACGCGGTACCCCATGCGCTGCGCCGCCTGGATGGCCAGGTGGCCCAGCCCGCCGAGGCCCTGGACGGCAACCGTCTCGCCCGGCTTCACGTCCATGTGCCGCAGCGAGTTGAACACGGTCAACCCGGCGCAGAGGGCCGGGGCGTACTTGGCGGCATCGACATGTGCCGGGACGCGCACCGTGGCCTCGGAGCGCAGGATGACGTACTCGGCGTCTGGATAGGGGTGGTTAGCGGTTTGGGAGGGAAAATTACTAATTACCACCACTGGGAAACTCACATCCACCGGCCTTGGTCGCGCCGTTGATGACTTGGTTGTCGCACATCTGGTGCATGCCCTTCTTGCACGCAAAGCAGGTTCCTATACATCATCAGCAAACGAACCCCCCCCCCCCCCCCTCCCCCCTCGGGATGTTTGGAAATTGCCGTACCGTCATGCCCGCCGTGCCATCCGGCCCCCACGCGGTCACCGACCTTCCACGCCGCCACGCCGTTTCCAACAGCAGCCACACGGCCGATTATTTCGTGGCCCGGGACGACAGGGCTATTTTTTGGCGGAAAGAAAATCAAATCAGTATTAGGTACGTTTCATACCCTCAAGATTGACACGCAAAGGCAGAACCTACAATCCACCGCCCATGATGTTCTGCTGGGGAAACACGTCGGAGTAGCAGACACCGCACGCCTCCACCTTGACGAGCACCTCGCCGGGGCCGGGCAGTCGCAGTTCGGCATCCTCGACGGTCAGGGCCGCGCCTTTCGAGTGGAAGGCGGCTTGCTTGTAAGTCTTGGGGAGCGTCATGTTGTCGTTGGGAGTTGGGGGTTGAGATGGAGTGAGATGAAAATCGGTTGTGAGTGTGAGTGTGAGTGTGAGTGTGAGTGTGAGTGTGACAATGAAAATGAGAAGACGGCAGAGGTTTTGGATAATATAACGAGGAGGGAACTCGGGGGAGTCAAGGGTCCAAATTTCCAATTATTGGTTGGAGAGTTTGGACTCGGAACTTGGGAGATGCAACCAAATATTACGGACTTTGCGCTTTCAGTTTCCGGCCAAGGTACCGCTGGAGTCATCCTACTAGACACGCCCCCTCTGGCATTCCTTGAAAGTCTGGGCTATCACACACAACTGTTGTCACTCAGCAGCGATTACACCCCGACCAAAGGGGAAGCCGGAGTGGAAATGTGGGTCTTGGCGTCCTTCAACGGCTTTCCCAACGGACTTAACGGCGAACCCGTTCCACCGGCGTTAGCGTGCCATCTCAGGGGAAGACTTAAAGAAAGAGATCAACAAGGGAATCATGGAGTCGTGCAAGAGCCAACCGACTCAACGGCGGAGCAGGAACATCCTCCACCCGCATCCGAAAGTAAAAACGAGTGGCGGTTGATTTATGTGCCGGCTCTTCTTTGAATTCATTTGACAAGTTTGCACCAGTTGTCGAGGTTCTTGGTCCTATTCCGGTTGCGGTGTTGGTTGTGAACTTCGTTGATCGGGAGGATAAGGCTACCCACAATCGGGGTTAGAAAATATGTGTAGGTAGGAAGGGCTGAATGTCAGGTTGAAGCCAGTGCAGCCGCCCACCACAAGTAGCAAAATAGAAAGTATTTTGCTCTCGAAAGGTTAAATGCAAAACCGTACCTTATTGAATTTCTCTTTCATTTTTTTAAAAAGAAATGCTACCTACTCGTGTATTATCGTAGAGTACCGAACCCGAGTTTGGGCAATTTTCGGTGCCAAGATGGAAGTGGACTTACTTTTCAACTAGAACTACACCAAGGAGGTAAACCATAGGAAACACAAAGCAGCTCTTATAGTACCAATCACTCTTACCTAAGCTAAGCTAAGCCCCAATCTTTATAGCAATAAATATGATGCTAGGTATAGATTGATTCAGTTAATGGTAGAGACAAAAGACAGTAAATAATAGGCACTATAGATTCAAGTATCATTCTTACTAGCTCGGTTAAGTTTAATTTGAAAAACCAGAAGCGTTTAACATAACTAGAAAGGACTCAAAGGAGGAGAAAGGTAGATGAGAAAATCAGCAAAAGCTCACCAGCTAGCCCCCTTTGCGGGAGGTAGCCAGTTACGAAACCCCGAGGGGGGTTTACTCCGTGCAGCAGCCCGGTGATGCCCCGTCGGGCCGATGCGGGCTGCGACAATTCTGAGGGCAGCGTCATGATTCGAACCGAGGGCATTTACGTCCAGGTCACCTACCGTGGCGAACTAGCTGCCCGTGGGCGGGACCACCGCGGGAAGTATTAACCGTTCAAGTTGAATACCTAGGTAGGTAGGTAGTCGCGGGAAAGAACTTGTACATACATATAGCACAGAACCTTAGAACAGCCCTAATTAGGCACAAACAAAGCCCCCAACTATATTACTGAGCCTATTTGCTGCCCGCCCTTCTAATTACCTAGGTAGGTAGGTACCTGTGCTTTTCACTCAACCCAACCCAAACATCGCAATTTTAGACACAATCCCACACCACTCCATGAAGCTCTACCTAATTACCTCCTCTACAATCAAACCCATCCCGACCTAATATAACTACCACCGATCCCAAATTAAGCCCGCTCCAAACCCTCGCGACTCTCACCCGTGCTGTTATCCGCCACCACCACCACCACATCATCCTCATCCTCGTCCCTCTTCCGAACAATCCACCTCGACCGCGTCAAGAACAGCGAGCAGAGCGTGTACAGCGACCCAGCAGCCACGACCAACAGCCAACACTGCGAGATGGCATGGACAATAATGTCGAGGCACCGCTCACGCACCTCGGGGCTGACCTGCTGCAAGACCTCGCTGCGGGCGCCCGCGACGGCGGCCTGGATCTCGTCGCGGTTGAACCCCAGCGGGGCGAGCACGTCGGTCATGCCGCCCAGGGCCTGGGTCTGGAAGATGGCGCTGGCGATGGCCAGGCCGATGAGCTGGCTGGACGCCTGGCTGACGTTGAGGAACTCGATGAGCTCGGAGGCGCGGGAGGGGCGCACGAGCAGGTTGCCGACGGCGTAGCCGGCCTGGGAGGTGGCCATGCCCAGCCCCAGCAGCACGCCGAAGCCCTGGATGTGGGAGAGGGGCGTCGACGCCTGCACCGTGTACATGCAGGCCGCGCCCGCCGTCAGGCAGAGGCCCGAGGCGACGAACCACACCACGTGGTACCCCGTGCGGCTCATGATCGCGCCGCAGGTCAGGATGGTGGCCACGTAGAAGCAGATGAAGGGGAGTAGGCGGACGGCGGCCTCGACGCCCGAGTCGCCGTACACGAAGAGGAAGAACAGCGGGATGTAGTAGATGGAGACGAAGAGGGAGGCGCCGCCGCACGACATGATGATGTAGAGGAGGATGAGCTGCGGGTCGCGGAGGAACTCGCCCGGGAAGAGGCGGTCGATGGGGTTGGTCAGGACCGAGTACTTCTGCGTGACGACGAAGGCGACGGTGCAGGCGACCCACACGACGATCATCGTGATGGTGCGCCCGTCGCTGTACTCCCAGAGCACGCCGCCGAAGGAGAAGGCGATCGTGAAGGCCGAGTAGAGCCCGGCCGTCAGGAGCGTGCCGAGCCAGTCCATCGTCTTCATGTTGCTGATGAAGGAGGGGTTGGCCCGCCGCGGGAGCGAGGGTAGGAGGAAGATGTACACCGGCGCCCCCGCCGCGAAGATGCAGAGGTTGAGGTAGAAAGCCTGGCAAGGATGGTCAGCTCGCCGGCTTGTTATATGACAATCGCCCCGTCGGGCAGGATGGATGGATGCGTGTCGTTACTCACCCAACGCCAGGTCGCAGCGCTGTCCGCGAAGGCGCCCCCGACGATGGGGCCCAGGACACACCCGCTCCCGTACACGAACCCGGTCAATGCGACGTAGAACGGCTGCTCCTTCGGCGAGCTGAGAAGGGTGGAGAGGTTGAGCGTGCTACATATCACGGCGCGCTGTCAGCGAAACGACACCTCCTCACACAAAGCTAGAAAACGAAAAGGGAAAAGAATAGCAGCCAGACTCACCCAAGGTACATGCCCGCCCCCCCGACGCCCGCCCACACCCTGCCCACAATCATGGCATTCATACTCGGCGCGGCGCCGCACAGGGCACTCGCGGCGGCAAAATTGACCAAGCACGAAATAAACACCCACTTGGCATCGAAGATGCCAAACGCCTTGCCCAGCGGCAGACTGCCCACGGTCGAGCCCAGCGTGAAGCCGACTCCGAGCCAGCCGAGGCGCGTGACGTCGCCGTAGGACTCGGAGATGGCGCCCTGGATGTCGGCGACGATGGTGGTGTCGAGCCCGAACAGCATGTTGGCCGAGAAGATGGCGGCGCACACCAGGAACCAGCGCACCCCGTGCAGCTCCCGCTCCGAGTCGCCCGTCACCACGGCCACGGTCGCCTTCTTGCTGGTTGTTGTTGGTTCGTGGGACTCGTTCGGCGGGCCGTCCGAGGCCCCCGAGCTGTCGACCGCGGCGGCCTCGGTCGGGGTGTCGTGGCCGTGGTGGTCCTTTTTTTCGTCCATGGCGGTGGGTGCTCGGTGGTTGTCCGTGTCTTGGTCTTGCTTTTCGGTGGAGACGTTGACTGTTTCTGCGATGGTAGGGGTTTGGGACGATGCGGTCGAAGATTGGGCTGGAGCTGGAGCTGGAGCTGGAGCTGGAGCCATGAGACTCGTTGGCCGTTGCAGCTCTTGTAGCTGGGGAAGTCCAACGACTACTGCGGTTGATAGTGGAGGGAGCACGGCGGGAACGGATGAAGCGGGTTTAAAAACGCCTCTATTTCCGGAGAGAGTCAAAGTTTGACGAAGGCACCAAACGTGAACCTTGATGAATGAAGAAGTGTGAATCAACAGCTTGTCATGTGTCGAGCTCGACAGAGTTTCACAGCACGGATGGCATTGTTGTCAGAGCACATCAAGCTATCTGTGGAGCCCGGGAAATCACTATCCATCCTAACTGCTGGATTAGCTTTGCAAGACTGGAAAAAAGCACGTTAACCGCGCTCAAGATTCCCCGGTCAATGGCTGCCCGACTTGAGGTTGTGTGGACACCGGGACACTTACACGCACGTTTTCGGGCTTTGGCCCCACTGAACTCCGGCTACTCCATCAGGGAGAACTGACAAATTCCATTCTGAGCCGCTGGAGTTGTGGTGCAGGGGTGCCGAATTCGGCACCGGAGTCCGCGGAATCCAAAAAAGGCCTCCCGGAATTCCCAAAAGAGCCGGGAACGACAACAGGAGGCCACCCAAGACGGCAGGGTACATGCGCAAGTACGGAGTACCGTCGACGCACCATGACAACTCCGGTGGAACCTCGCGGTATTTGCCTCGGCTCCATTCTTTCCCCTCCATCCTGTACCCAAGCCTCAGGGAACCGGTATCTCTTTGCACGTTGCACGCGAGGCTGGAGCGGGACGAGGAACCGCTTCTGCGCCACCATCCTGCGCAGTTCGTCGAAAGTGGTTATTGGTGATTACGGCAGACGTGATGTTCCTGAGTCATACAGTGAGAAAACCTTGGTTTGAAAGGTTTGATTGTTGCGTTGTGAATATTGCCTGTCTGGAGTCAGCCCCTTCGCGGGACGTGAATATCTTGTGTTGGGTAATAGTCTGGTCACTGAGGTTCTGCCTTTTCGGACCTCCTTTTCGCGGCAGCAGTATCCGAATGTATCCCACAACGTAGTTTTGTATCATGTCGTAGTCCGTAATTGCCGAGGGCTGTCGCTTCGTATCCTCAACTTGACGGATTCCTGGCAGTGACCGAATAAAGCCAGGTGCGTAGGAAGTGTCGACGAGTATCACCAACACCCGCAGGGTAATCCATCAGTGCCACTCCATACTGCACCGTGCCGCCCGTTTTCAAAGCCAACGCTAGTAAAACCCCGGCGGCCAACCCTCCCAACCCATTTGGGCGCCACCGGGGAACGGCCCACCCATTGATGGGAAGGAATCGGCCGAGTACACCATGTCTATCGTCCCAGCCAGCATATCCCGCACCGCTGCTGCCATCTCCTCATCACTTATGTCGGGTATGAAGGCGGACGGCTGAGAATAGTCGGGCCCCGCTGAAGAAGTTGAATTCGTCGCGATAGCAGCCGCCGGAATAAACGCCGCCGTTTGCGCCTCGGCGCCCATCCCTGACAGCTGTCCCATTACCGCCCCCTGACCAGCGCCTGCCGTGGCTTGAAACTGCGGGACTGGCTGCTGCTCGCCCATTATACCCGCGCCGCGGAGCAAATCGATCTTGGACAACAAATCACGTGTGGCATTCGCAGCGCTACTACCAACGGCAAAATGCTTGCCGAATTCCTCAAACACCTCGATGGCTGTGGCGAGGGCGGTGCGAACATGGGGTGCGACCGGACTCCCGGGGAAAGCCAAGAGAAAGCCAACCATGGTGATGGCAGCGTTCCACTGTTGCTGGAAAGCTTCGAGCCATCCGGCGAGCAAGTCCTTCTCGACAACGGTTTGATGTATGACGGTTGTTATGGCGATCCCGTGGCGAGCAGCTGTCAACGCGTGGGCCGTGGCGAGTGGCCCGGGTACTAGTGCCGGCGTGGCATCCGGACTGCGGCCGACAGAAGACTCCGACCCCGGCAAGGACGTGGCGGGAAAAGCAATGAACGGCCGGTGCAAATTGATCATGAAGTTGTGGTAGAGGAGCTCGAGGAGCAACCGCTGGCGCTGCAACCATACCGGCGCAAATATCTCGATATCCAGGCGGCTCGAGTCGGCCGACAAGGGGACGCCTCCCCCGACGCGCTGCGTCTTCAGCGCTGCCGGGAGATCTCGCAGCCAGGCCCGCAGTGCCCCGGGCCCATCCAAGAACCCTTCGAGCGCGTCCGCCGCCATGTCGAGTGCGGCGGGGTCGTCATATAAAGTCCACGGGCTCTTCATAGTACCTAGGATTTCGGCACACCGATCAAAAAAGGCAGCATATACAGCCCGGGTTGCCAGCACCAACTTCACGGTTTGAAGTGTATACGTCAGCCAAGTAACCGTGCTGCCGCCGACGGTTATAGAGGCCGTCTGGGAGCCGCTCCGCAACGCCAATTCATGGTCGTCGGCCGGCAAGCTGCACGGCGTCGGGGCCTCGGCGGTGCTCCACGGGCGGCCGAGTTTCATGCATGTTTTCGATTCGTTCACAAATAACGTCCACCAGAGCCGTTTCCGCAGCTCTCTCTCCGACCACGGCATGGTCTCTGGCGGCTCGAGATGAAGCCCCAGTGTGTAGCCGACTCGTACGGCCATGGCTAAGAGGTGGTGTGCCGTGTTCTGGAAACTAGCACAGCAGATATAGACGACGCAGAAGAGGAGACTCTGGAGCGTGGACACGGTTGGCCGCTCCACCTCGGACTCCAGGATGGCCCGGCAGCGTTGGTAGTGCCACCATCCGGCGAGAGTGCCGTCGTCGGCGCCCACGTCGTTGTTCTCGCCGCCGCTAGCCATCGCGGGCGCGCGCTGAGGAAGAAATGCCACGCCATACTGCATGCAAAGGGCCACCATGATGTCGACCAGGGCGCTAGGCTTCCGGAAGCTTCCCGGCGGCGGATCTAAGCAGAGTGACCTGTAATGTTCGCGGAACGTCGCCTCGTCGATGATCTGCAACGCGCAGTGATGCGACTGCCAGAACAGGTTCAGGAAAAACTCCTCCTGCGACGCGTTCAAATATTCGCCAGGAGTCCCGTTAGGGCTTTGTCCCCGGCCTTGCGTGTCACCATCTTTGCTATCCCGAGCGACAGCTGCCTCCCGGTCGGGCATGGAAGCGGGACTAGGAAGGGATTTGCTGGCCGAGTTGAACCACAGAGTCCGACCTGTGCTCGGTTGTTGCAGCGCCTGGGTCATGTGCGTTTCCATACGTCCGATGAAGTAAAACAGCGACGACGGCCCGTACCACTAATACATTCCCGCCGTTAGCACAAGATCCAGATCGGGGCTGCCTCGTATGGGAACTGCTGACCTGCTTTGGCGACCCCTGCGTGGTGCTCGCGTATACGCCCTCCCACAGCCTCCTGGGTGGGTTGTTCCCGCCAGGTTGTCGAGTACCATGACCGGGTCGTTCTAAATCTGAACTGTAAGATGGTCGATGTGCTATAGATGGCGGCGTCGTCGTCGCCGTCACGGGTGATTCGGCCGAAACAGAGCCGCCGGAAGCAGCCGAGCTACCGCTGCTACTGCGACTGCTTGTGCTCCCAGCATTTTGTCCGGCCAATTCGGCCTCCAGTTCGTGCACCCGCGCAGTCAGTCGTTGGATCTCTCTGTGGTGGAGCGGAGGAGCGTGTTAGTTCAGAGCAGGGGTCCCCCATCCCCGGGAATGTGGTAAACGAGATGGATGGGCCTAACAAGGCTCTCAACCCGACCCAACGAGCCAACCTACCTGAATGCGTGTGGAAGCGTGCGCACCTCGCCGCTGCGCGTGTTCTTGCAAAGCCCTCCTCTGAGGACACAATTCTGACATGGCCGCGAGCTGTCGCACTTGGTACGGTGTACTCGGCACCAGTCGCAGGCCTGAGCCACCTGCGCCCTCTTCGTCTTCGGCCGACTCGGGGCCTGGTTCTGTTGTTGTTGAACCTCGGGGTCGGCCGAGTCGGACTGCGGGGTTGTCCCAAAAGTCAAGAACATGGCTGGCTCCGCTTTCTCCGGAATGATAAAATGGAAGGTTAAACGGCGCGACCGAGCTAACGAGCGCAAGGGGAGTGTGAGCTTGGCGGAGCCTGCCAACGGTAATAAGATGGGGGTCTGGTTTTCAAAGGAAGCACGGGCATTTGTCACGATTGATAGTGGCTTAGTAAGACGAGATTTGGTTCGAAGGAAGGCCCATGCCGGCTTATCGCGAGTATTGTATAGGAAAGCGCCATGAACAAGGAAGATGGGCTTTCACTAGCTTTCTCTCTGAGGCCAGTTCCGGCACCGGAAAGAAGAAAACGACCGGACCGCCGGGGCTTTGCAGTCCACGCCCCGCTGCTGCAGAGCCTCACCCCGGAATGTCTAGCTGGAAGGTGCGTGCGGGGCTTGGCAAGCATCTCGCTTCGGGGTTCCGACGCACGCACGGCACGTCTCCACCGCGTGCACGAACACATCACAACGGTACCTGTTAGGTGGGCACGTGGTGGGGTACTCGAACTACCGTGTACTCCCTGCCTCCATCATGCATCCAATGTTCCTCGACTCCTTCCATTTTGGGGTCCAAACGGTCCGAACTCAACCACCCCGAAAACCTTAACGCGATTTATGTATTTCTGTACAACAAAAAAAACGTGGCCTTGAGCTTATGTCGGTTGCCCGGCACAAAACCCAATCATGGAGGTTCCCATTGTGTCGGCGCACGATTTTGATCTATTTACGTCTATTTATTATCTCGCTGCCACACCACGACGGACTGGTAAGCAAGGGACCTTACTTGACGATGCAAAACAGTGGCTAGGTACATGACTAGACGGTCACATGCTATTCCCGTCGGATAACTGAGGATGGAAGCCAGTGGGGGGCATAATACCGAGTTATTCACCAGCAACGGTGGGGGCGAGTAAGAGCGCGCCGGGCAGCCGGCCACACGAAGGGGGGCGCATGCCCTGGTGACATGGAATTGGCCATCGATACGAACGGCAGCCACAAATCCATCACATAAGCCAAATAAAACTGAATACCTGAGACCCGGAGACACATTTCGATGCTGATGGTGGAACAGGGTTGGTGGCTGGCTCACCTGATTTGGAATCGTACCGAGAGAGAGCACCACCAGGTTCCCAAGGATCAAAGCTATGTTGTTGCCTGCGCCATAACAATGCGTTCACAATATGTGCCCAGGATGCCAATCCAGACGCCCAGCTGACGTATCCTCTCCTGGTATCTCTCTCTTGGTGCCTCACGGAAACGGACAGGAACGGCCGGAGAAGACTCAGCTTCGCGAAGATGAGGCGTCCAAGCCTCGCGTGGGATTACTACACACCTTGGTCTAACTTCCGCCTCGCCTGATCCCTTCCGACTCGCGAGTTATGGCGAGATAAGGCGTGGCTGCGTAAGGGCCGAAGATTTTGGGGGCGACGGGGAGTCCGCGAAAGTATAAAGGCCCCTGGGTGGATGGAGGTCGATGCTGGGTTTCCGAGTAGACGCAAAGGCAAGATCGAAGACGAGAGAAACAAGGAAACCGCGGCCATGTTGACATCGCTGTTCTCTACCGTTGTGGCCTGTGGCCTCGCTGGCCTGTCGAGCGCGAAACTCCTCGGTTCTTCGTTCGGGGTTCCTAGCATAGACGCCACGTACGACTATGTCGTCGTCGGGGGCGGCACCGCCGGGCTCACCATCGCGGCCAGGATTGCCGAAGCCAACATAGGGACGGTGGCGGTTATCGAAGCCGGCACCTTCTACGAGATCAGCAACGGCAACTGGAGTCAAGTCCCGGCCACGGGTGGCATGTTCACCAGCACCGGGGCTGATGACTGGCAACCCATGATCGACTGGGGTTATCAAACCACGCCACAAGCGGTATGTTTGTCACCCAGAGCAGCTCACCGAGTATGCTAACTCGGCTTTACAGGGCGCGTACGACCGTCCTATCCACTACACGAGAGGCAAGGCCTTCGGTGGGTCGTCGGCACGCAACTTCATGTGCTACCACCGCGGAACTAGAGGCTCGTACGAGAAATGGGTACAGGCCACGGGAGATAACAACTACACCTTCGACGGGTTCATGCCCTACTTTGAGAAGAGCATCAAATTCACCGATCCAAACACGGAGCTGCGCTTTGCCAATGCCACCCCGGAATACGACGTGTCCGTCATGGGAAAAGGCGACGGCCTCTTGTCAGTTTCCTTCCCAAACTATGTGCAGGCCTTCGCGACTTGGGTAACCCAAGGACTTTCCGAGCTTGGCTTCAACATCATCCCCGGGTTCCAGAGCGGTGAGCTCATGGGTCAGGGTTACTTGATGTTCACCATCAACGCCACGACCATGGAGCGTGACAGCTCGGCAACCAGCTTTCTACGGCACTCGCTTGCGTACGACAACTACTTCCTCTACCCCTGGACCATGGCCAAGAGAATTGTCTTCGACGGTGACAAAACGGCCCGGGGTGTCGTGCTGGATACGGCTGGTGCCCAGTATACTCTGACCGCGAACAAGGAGGTCATCTTGTCCGCCGGTGTGTTTGGTTCACCACAGTTGCTGATGGTCTCCGGTGTCGGCGACGCCGAAGCTCTCCGTCCGCTCGACATCCCGGTGGTCGCAGACCTACCAGGCGTTGGGCAGGGCATGCAGGACCACATCTACTTTGGGCCGTCGTACCGGGTGAACGCCCCGACCATCTCCGCCCTGGGTTATCCCGAGTTTGCCGCCAAGGCCGCCGAAGACTACAACACCCGCGCTGCCGGCATGTACACCAACGTCGGGACGGACGTGCTCGGGTGGGAGAAGCTGCCCGAGCCCCTACGCAGCCAGTCGCTGTCCAACGCGAGCCGAGATGCCCTCGCCACCTTCCCGGAGGACTGGCCCGAGCTGGAGTACATCACCCTCGGCTCCTACCTAGGCTGGCAAAACGACAGCCTGAACGCCGACCCGCACGACGGCTACAACTACGCCTCCCTGGCCGCGGCGCTGGTGGCCCCCCTGTCGCGGGGCAACATCACGATCCGCAGCAGCGACACGGCCGACCCGCCCCTCATCAACCCCAACTTCCTGAGCGCGCCGGCAGACGTGGAGATCGCGGTGGCGGGGTATAAGCGGGTGCGGGAGTTCTGGGCGACGGAGGCGATGCGGCCGTTCCTGGTCGGCGAGCAGCCCGAGGCGTTCCCGGGCCCCGAGGTGGCGTCCGACGCCGAGATCCTCGACATCATCAAGCGCAGCTACAACACCGTCTACCACGGTGCCTGCACCTGCGCCATGGGCAAGCCCGACGACCCCATGGCCGTGACCGACGCCCAGGGGCGCGTCTACGGCGTCAGCGGCCTGCGTGTCGTCGATGCTAGTAGCTTCCCCAGCCTGCCGCCTGGCCATCCGCTGGCTACCGTCTGTAAGTTTGTTTTGCTACTTTTCCTCCGAAATGCGCTGCTACTGTTGTTGGACTGGTTGGCTGACCTTGTGCTGTTTTAGACGCCCTTGCCGAGAAAATAGCGGATGATGTGATTGCCGGGAACTGAGATACGGTGCATGGACAGTAGAGAGGTGGGAAACACCGGTTTAGACCAACAGCCGCCTTGTCGTTATATGTATTTTCTTTTTGTACTTTGTCTTACTTCCTCTTCCCCCCACCCCCCCTTTTCCTTTGTATTTTGTCTTAAGGTGTTTCGCGTGTATTAGTATAGCCCCTAGACTTCTTTTCTCTTACTCGAGCCGCGTGGACTTACACCACCACCTACCTTCCATCAAGGAGGTTTGAAGTACCAGTAGGGCCGAGAGACTCTTGAATAAAACTTTACTTTCACTTCGCCATGATACGCTTATGAGCTCCTCCAACTTGACTACCTATTATTGGTCCCTGGGAACATCACCTCCGGGTTTTCCAGCCCGCCGCATAAAACAAGTAACTCCCTTGATTAGGTGACCACACATCACCACCGGCCCAACCCCCCTTCACAGTTCATGTAACCCATCGCTTCCTACAACTAACCGGGCGTCAATACCGTACCACGTGACATTACTCACATCTCCCTCCTTTCAAGCTCGCTCGTCCACTCAAAAACACAGCCGCAATCCAACCCAAAACTCAACCAAACTAGTTTTACCATACTACCTCAGGGGCCTGAGCCATCAAAGGGATACTGTAACGCCCGAGAGGATGAATCTACCATACCACAATACGGAAAATAAAGATATGGACCATGGAAACCCTCCCCCCCGAACAAACCGAGACTTTCCCATCTACCCCATCCATCCATCCATTCATCCATCCGCATTCCCACACCGGACGAAAAGAAACCCACACACCAAATCCATAATACCCAACCCTAATGTACTCTCTCTCCGACCGGCAACACAGCATCAGCATAGCTACGTAGCCCAGCCGTGGCCGAGCCCCTCGCGGAACCCAGGCCGCCCTTGTACTTTACTATTGTACATACACGCGCGCGCAACGAAGCAAAATCAGCCCAGACTAAGAAGAAAAGACACCACACCCAAAACGCAGACTTGTGTGTTGCCACCAGGTACTGACAGGGGCGCAATCAATAGTCGGCCCCGGCGCCGTTGTGGCCAGGCTGCGCGCCGTAGAGGTTGTAGGCCTGCGGGTCTCCGCCCTCCTGCTGGCCGGGGAGGCCGGAGAAGCCGCCCGCGGGGTTCGAGCCGCCGGCGGCGCCGTAGCCTTGGCTGCTGGGCCGGTTCGGTTGGTTTTCGCCCCGGTTGGATTGGGACTGCTGCTGATGGGGTCAGTAAGACATCTTGCATGGGAGGCGGGGGGCAGACTGGGGAGGGGTGGTAAAGGGGCGAGCTTACCTCCCGGTACTTGGAGAGGTAAATCTTGAGCGCCTCGGCATAGTTCTCGAAGCCGAGAGAGCTCATGGCAAATAGGATGTCCTCGCCATTGACGGTTTTCCTCTTTTCCTGCTGGCACTTCTCTGACGCTGTGATAGGTCGGGTTAGCTCGAGTCAACAATCACCGGCCCCAAGGGGGCCCATAGAAGACAGGCTTACCTTCACTCGTAATGAAGGAGATGAACTCGCTGACGCATTCTTGCATGCACTCCTTGGCTTCTTTGGCAATCTTGGCGTTCTCGGGGAGGGCCGTCTTCATAATACGGGCCACTGGAGCAAAGTTGCGAATGTTAGCATCGTAGACATCAGCCTTGTCCGCCTTGGACGACGACGAGGAAGCGCGAGGCGCCTGCGGCGACGACCCGGGCGACAAGCGGCCAGACATGAACGTGGAGCGGCGGCCGTTGGCGCGCGCGCGCGTGTTGTCTGATAGGCAGGGCAGGAAGCGGCGCCAGTCAAGGAGGGTCTCGCCGCCATGCAAGCGGAGCGCAAGCGTCGAGGGGAGAGGGCCGCCACCACGGGCACACGCGAATCATGGCGAGTGGAAGCATCAGGGAAGCATCGAAAAAGGGGAAACCTGACATACCATTGGCTATGGGTAACCACCGATCTTGCTCTTTAACCTCGAACTCGTAGCCGAGCCCGGTCGAGTGTGGGTCCTGAGGGTCGTTCATTTGTGCTTCCTCGTCACCCGACGGTGCACCTTGCTCGACATCCTTTGGATTGGATTGGGGGGAGTCGGACATATTTGGCTACCTGCAGCGGCTGCTGGCTTCTTGTAAATTCCTTGGACTGCCAGCTCGCACAGCTGGGATAGAGTGGGTGATGTGTCGTCGGACACGTTGCAGGGTTGTAGGGCTTGCGGCCTGGTCACTCTGACGGCTTGACCTGCAGAGCTGCGCCAAGCACTACCTCTCTGCGCGTCCCAGCCCTGCTCTGACTGGCTCCTCTGCCCGATTTTCAGGCTGTAACAAGGAAGCCGCCTTGTTGGGGGGGCTGGCGCAAAGGTGGGGTGGAGGTAGGTCGAGAAGGGGGGGGGGGACAAAAGAGGGGTGGGCAATGATGGCCGGCAACGAGGCCGAGACTGGCTGGGCGAGCCCTGAATGGGGTATCGTGGGGTGAGCCGCACCGGTGGGTGGGCACAAGGGGGTGTGGGATGCGAAACTGCGGGCCCTGCCACGAGTGGTTGGCAAGGAAAGCAGCACCCTGGAGTGTGTATCTCTTGCTACCCGCTGGATCGCCCTGCTTGCAGGATTCTCTCGGCTTGCCGGGAATGCAGGACAGGCCGGTACCGAGTCTGAGCAGGTGGTCGATAGGCCGACTAGCTGTGTTCTGTGTTGCTGCTGCTGCTGCTGCTGCTGCTGCTGCTGCCGGTTCGAGCTGCGCGTGGTGTCTCCCCGTCTGTGTGCTATCTCTGGTCTGGTGTCGCGGTTACACCAGACTGGCGATGCGATAGAGACGGTTGGCTGTGTGCGGTTCGGCACCGGGCAGGACGGCTTCGAATTCGGGGGGACAGGAGATTGGCTGTGCTGCCACGGCCTTGATTGCGTGCCTCGTGGGATAATCTGTAGCGTCGCGTCAGAGACCGGTGTTCGCCCGGGGGGTGGGAGGTTTGCAAAGTGTCTGCGTGACGAGAAAGCGGAGTCCAGCAGGCAGATGGGTGCAGTCCCCGCTACTGGCGCCGTGATGCACTGCGATGCGCCGCGCTCCACGTCACGCGCACATGGCTACCAGACGTACCTGGGTTCCTGGTACCAGTGACCGTTCGGCGAGAAAAACAGCAATTAAATGGGGCTGCCTTGTCTTGTTGCTGGTCTTGTTTTCGGTGCTGTGTTTGGTCCGAGTGGGCGGTGTCCGAGTTGGTCGCGAACCGAATGTCGGCTTGGGCCCTTGTGATGCACGGGAAAACTGGGATGCAAGAGGCTGCAGCGCACACACGCGTGGGGTTGTTACGGTGCAAGATGGAGGTCGGGGCGAAAAGAGGAAACGCGCGGGAGAAGCGGGTCTTGATCCAGCTACCCCGGCCACGGCAACAAGCTCCAGCGCCAAGAGGGCGTTTCCACAGGACTTTGGCCAGCAGTTGGAAGTACCGAGTACTTCATCTTTCGACATCTCATCCATCCCATCCATCATTCTAACCGCCAACAGCCTGCGGAATGCAAACTAAGGTACCTCTCTTCTACCCCCCGCGGACCCATGGACGTTCGGGTAGCTTGTGTTTCTTTTTACCGTTTTATTCCAGACCACATTCTTTTGAGCTTCTTCGGCTCAACCGAACAGGTACCTCGCCAACATGATGCGGGGGCAGAACCGACATTGTAACCGAAGTTCGAAACAACCTGACCGAGCACCATGTTCCCATCACACTTCACATTGATTTACCTCACTATCTACCTCCACTTCGTATCTCGGAACATCGGTACTCAATGCATAGTTCAAACGGTAATAAGCAAGCGTTGCTGCCAAGGGAAGAGACCGGCGGATGTACATTGAAGCCCGGGTGTGGCTACCTTAGTCTGCTGCAACACAGAGTTTTTCTCCCGCTAGGAGCGGTGATGAAAGTAATCTATCGGCTCAGCTGTGCCGGGAAATACACGAGATGAGTAATGAGAACTGCGATTCTCTGTTTCAGCACATCCCACAAACTCGATTTCGCAGAAGGTGACAGCTCAAAGTGAAGAAACTGGCCGCCATTGATGTGATGATGTCGTGGGCGAGAGACGCCAAGGATCTCTTGGCGGTTACCGTCCATCGTTGGGGGACAAAAGATGGTGGGGGAGGCCAATGATTGATTCGACAATTCCTGCCGCAAGTCAAGATGCAGGCAGGAACAGGAAGGCTCCCGAGAGCCCAATGGGTCCAGTGGATGGGCTTGGGCCGAAAGGCTGGCTCGTGGCTGGGCTCGAAGCCAAGTGTGGTGACGGCGGCTGGGATTTCCCTCCCAGACGGCTGAGGAGTGATCAAGAAGCTTTCGGGAACGTGAGTGGTGTTCAATTTCTCCATTTTAAGCCAATCACAGAATTTAGGAATCAATTAGACGTCTTATTGGACAGATGTGAACTGTTTCCGAGATCTGGGCGGACCTCCAGATCGACTTCACTTCTGGGGACAGAGGGGGTCTGGGGAAGACTGTTTCAACAACGCCCCCGCGGATGTCGGGTTTGACACAAAGGGACAGAGTGGATTTCGAGGGAAGACGTCACCAGGTTGATGAGTTCGTATTCTTCGCCATCTGTCGCTGAGTTTCAGGAAGCCCTCTTTCGGCCCACCCCACTTTGAGACCGCATGCCCAATCCCATCGCAGCCCAACCGTTTGGCCTGGCTGCCGGTTGGGCATCGCAACAGACCATTCCGCTAGGCTGCAGCACGGACAGCATGTTTTGTACAACTCAGCACACCTTTCGCAAGAAGGAGAAGATTGTTGAAGTGTCGTTTTCTCCCGGCAGGCAAAATGTTTGCTGGGATGTTCGGGTTCTTTTCCCGTGTGCGACTGTTTGGACAGCGGGGTGATTTTCCCCTCCCAAGCAGCAAGTTGATATGCAAAACGGATCAAGTTTATGCATGGGTGTCTCCAATATCCCGTTTTCCACTTGATTTGCACGAGTTGACCACGCTCTTGGGGTCCGATGATGACATGGCGTCGAGGTTGGCTTCTGAGGCCCTCGTTGGAGGTGCTGCTGCGCTCTCATGACTGCACAACCTGGACGTTGTTCTTCTTCTGTGGAGAAGGTCAGACACGATGATCCGGCAGTACAAACGGGGAATGCTTCCGCGTACCTTCCATTTGTCAAGCTCATCCTGTTTGGTCTTGTACTGCTTTACAAGGTCATCCAGGACCTTCTTCAGCCCTTCGGCGGTGGTCCGAAGAGCGGGGATGACATCCTTCACGGTTCTCTCCGCGAGGACGCCATTAATCATGCGAAAGCACTTGCGGTCACCCGGAAGCGGTTCCAAGGTTTCAAGAACAAGCCTGCCGCCGCGGTTAGCGATGAGCGGTGAGAAAGCGGCGTCGAGCGGTGTGATGAGATCTCTGGCATGTAACGCAGGCCGGGGGAACATCAGAGGCCCAAAATAAACTGGTCCGGTCCGATTTCTGGGGATATTTCAAAAGTAAATCTTTTTTCTTACTTGTGCTCCTCGGCTTCTTGCTCGACGTCACCTATTTTCTGAGCAATCTGCTGCAGCGTGTTTTTGTAAGTGCTGTATTGCACCTGGAGGTCTGCAAAAGGAAAGAAAACAAGTCAGAAATCGGACCTGCCAAGATGTTCATAAGAGGTTAGGCTACCTACCTTGTTGCCTCTTGGCTGGTGCCGCTTGAGATGCCATGGTTGTGATATTTGACAAAAGACTTTCGATTGTCCTTTTTGAGATTCGACGTTGTTTGGTGACGAGCCTCGATGCCCCCGCCAGCCCACCAGAGTCTGATAAGATCGCTGTGGCTCCTGCGGACGAGCGGGGCAGCCCACTAACAAGACACAGTTGGCCAAAGCTCCCGGGCCGTTCCCACTCGGAACCTCGAAAGTTCGTGACGGAATCGTACGGATTTGCGCATCGTCTTCAAAACTTGTGCAGCTTCCAGATTTCACACGATCCGACGCACACACCCCCGCAAGCCTTGACACCCTGCCCACAATGCATCCCCTCCTGTTTACGAAAGACAACACCGGTGGGTCATGGATTACTCAAGCAACCGCAATGCCGCATACCCCCTAACATGTCCTAAACCAGGGTGCGAACAGGTGATGGCTGCGCTCGAGGAATGCCACGCAAAGGGCTTCGTATGGAAGGCGGTCGGCATGTGCAATAACAACAAGAAGCAGCTGATCGCATGCCTCCGAGAGGAACGGATCAGGAACCAAAACCTGAACAGGACCGATGTCCAGGACAAGCGGTCCAAGATACGAGAGATGTGGAAAGAAATCGACGAGAATAGCTAAACACCCTCTTCTTCCTGTCGCGACCGGTATTTCGAACGATATCCCTTCTTTGATACGGCAATCGAGTGGCAAATACAAAAGGGGGCAGGGAAACAGCACACTGCAGCACGAGGATCATGGGGCGGTGCGCAGGCCGTTGTACGATACCACACGTCCAGCAAGCGGCAGCGGTGTATAACATGATGGGAGCTGCAGACAGTCCGCAGTGTCCCCGATTGTATGATTATGATATCTTCTCTTCATTCCGACGCATCCGAAGCCGTCAACCCCCCTCGCGAACTCGACTCTCCCTTTACAAGGTACGGCGGAAGGCATCGCCAAATGTAAACAAGCCGTAGGCCGCGAACAACGACAGCATGATAGGCACGGGCTTCCGGAGCCGAATTGCCCGAGGGAACGAAGACCCGCCCAGAACGACAGACGCGAGGAGACTCAGCTCGACGCCGTAGGCCTCGCCGCTGTCGATACGGTAACCGCCGAGGCCGTCTGGTGGTGAGAGATGGAGTCAGCGGAGGTCCGGCTCATGTCTCCGGCACGACTGCGGAGGGGAAGAGAGAGTAAAAGAGATGGCTTACAGAGAAGGCCGACCGCCGTACCGGCGATTATGCTGGGTGTGCTCTTGGTCCGCGCATATCCGATGGCTCCACCGGTGGCCGTCAGCGCCGCGAGGATGTAGGAAGGGAGTTCAAGGCCCTGCGGTGATGTTAGTAGCCAGAATCGAACGTGATGCGGTTTGGTGTATGTACCATTTTGTATTTCAATTGATGTCTGATGGCGAATTGTTGACGTTGTTGGCCAAGAAGCTTTTCTTTACTCGGAGCTCGTGGAGGTGCGAGTCCCATTGAGCTCGAGATGCCACCTCTTGGGAGTTACCGGAGCACGGCAGGTGCCGAGTCCGAGGTGTGGGGGGAGAATGGATCTCGTCATATTTCGTATGGAAGGGTAAATTACACCTTGAATACTCCGTTCCGAGCGACGGTTCAGATGTAGAATTGAATACAGATAGATTGGTTTTAGCTTGCTATTCAGAAACCCACACTTTACGCCGGGTTCTCGATTGCTCCAATCCTAATTATATTTGAGTTTGAGAACCTACGGAAAAACAGAAAGAGAAAAAGAATTACAATAACGTGGGGTAGCAACCTAGGTATTCGGACAGATAGGTGGTTCGCCCGACGTCAACGGTATGGCCATGAAGATACTCGGCAACCTACCATTGGAGCTCTCACATTTTACTTCCCGGGCACTTGAGCGCGGACAATTTGAAGGTGGGAGAGGAGGAGCACGGCAGTCACGGCATGAAAAGAAACTGCGAGCTTGAGAGTCCCGCAGCATCGGGGCGACATGTCGATATGGAAGCGAGGCAGCGCCGCGGGGCTGTGCTGGCTGAACACCCACATCAATTGGTGCTGTTACACGAAACTAAGATGCTTCGAGTTGCCGGACATTCAATATGCATATGAAGATGACCGACCGAGATTCTGACGGCACTTTCTCGCAGCGGGGTGCCCATTGTCAAACATTCTATCCTTGACGGAGAGAGTACGTAGTTGTGGGTTGCTTCTGAGTTGGTAAGAACCTTAAGACTCACAAGCTGAGCGCGAGGCCTGCAATGATCCACGCGAAGCCATACAAGGGTCCTATCGACAAAGATCGTGGAATGTTCGATGGCACAAATGACATTGCACCAAGCTGGAGAGTCTGAATCTCGGAACACGGTGGGCATTTTATGATGCAAAGGACAGAATGCCTTGCCTTCGATGCACCCGCTCCCCGGCAATATAATGGAAGTCGTGACCCCCAATCCGGAAACCCAGCAGAATGCCTTGTCACCGACGAAGTAACTGCAACCCCACCAAGCGAACCGAAGCGGGAGCCAAGGGGGCCCACATTCCGTGAACCGCGGGGTCCTCAATTCTGCCCATAATTCTGCCAGTCAGCAAGCACCAGCACAGCCTCAACAAAGCTTCTTCAAGCCTCACACGCGCCAATCATGAGTTGCTCGGTGCGCATGAGAAATTGACGGACAATACCTCGAGCTCAAGAGACTGCGGAGCGAGGGCAAGAGACTCGCCCCGACACGAGCGAATTAACTTTCCCGATTGACCACCCTGGGCCTTGCTGCCTTGAGGCGAAACGGCGGGCATTCTCTCTCGCGGCTTTGAACACGCGATTTCAACGCTTAGCAGTTTGATATCACGTCAATGGTGGGGAGTGACACCGAGAAATCGGGAACAGTGAGCTACACGATAGGCGCACCGTCCCTTGACCGCGCTCCCGCCCTCTCCCATTTGCCGGCTGTCCGGCTTTCCACCGTTGGATCGTCTCATGCAGGTTGCCTCAGATAGCCCAATGTGTTCTCATCAGTGAGCAGAGGTGTGGGTTGAGATCTGTAGTTCTGATCGTGGGGTATTTTATCACCATCTTACTTTTTTCTTCTTATCACGGCGTTCTTGGCTTTTCTACCTTACCTATCAGCTGGGTTTGGCAACTCGGATCTGTACCTGTGTCGAACCCTTGAAGCGCTCGTTGGGAACCTCCTCAACCCAGGCTCAGGGCCGCAGCCGCCCTGCGCCTCACCACCCCCCCCATTTTTCCTCTCAGCGCCAAGCGAGGCGGCTCGAACCCGTCGGCCGGGGCGTGACTTCGCGAACCCAGCACGACTCAACTGGTCCCCCCTCACTGCCTCTCCTTACCCCTCGACATATTCGACAAAACCTTGTCGCTGTGGTTTTGTTCCCCGTACCATCCCTCCTCTATTATTTTATTTTTCAAAGCTTTGACTTGTCGCGCAAGAGGGTAACCAACCGACCACAACGCAACCCAATTCCCGTCCTCAGCTCGTGCCTCACCCCGCCGCGCGCAGCCGCACCTGCCCATGATTGTCGCCTAATTCTCCCCACGTTCAGATCCCGGGACTGCGCACTGCATCCGCACCCTGCTCTCTGGCAGAGCATCGGGGCGATCGCCCCCGGACACAATATATACTCTCTTGCGCAGCCGCCTCTACCTCCCACTGCAGACATGTCTTCTTCGACTTACACCTTCTACCCGCCCGGGCCTGACACCGAGCAACCCCGCAATACCTCACCTCAACTTCCTCAATACCTCAATCCATTCTCACCACAGCTCGATAGCAGCTCATCCTCTCCAGGGTTAAACGCCCACACGCCTGCCGACTCAGTGTCTACCCTGAGCGTCCACTACCAGTCCAGCGAGTTTACGGAGGCAGACGACCCATTCTTCGGCGTTAGCTTCAACCCCCTCGACGGCGGCGCCTCACCATCTTTCCTTGACGACGACATCCTAACCTTTAATGATAACGGGCCGCTTGCCGACGGCCTCGGTGTCCAAGCTGCGCCCGTTAGCACGCAGCATGTGCGCCCGGCTGTACCCTACTTGCCCCTGAGCCCCGATAAGAGTCCCTCGCTACCTGGGGGGTCGCCGAACGGGCAGTTCAAGGACGAGGCGGCCACACGTGGCATGTTCCCAGACTTGATCCGCACTTCAGTTTCGCCTCAGGACTTGTCGCTCACACACCAGTCCTCTCATGGGCAGGAGGGCAACCCTTCCGGTTTTCAGTTGACGCCGAAGACCAGCAACAGCGCCAAATCCAGCGACGACGGCACTGTCCCGACCGCCGCCATGCGGAGCCCTCGTGTTACCGTCTCCCATTGGGATCGGGATTATTTTGGAGGATCCCATGCCCCGAATACCAATCAACCCCAGGGTAGCGGCACTCCCACCTTCTCAACAGACCGCGATGCCGCCGGCCGGTGGATCCCCAACCAAGTCACTGGGCAGGGTGGGCTGGATCCTACGGCCCGCTCGACCACCCAGGTCGAGAGCATCAACAACTTGGCTGCTCAGCGAGATCGGGATGAGCGCAACGAGGGGGTCAATGAGTGGTTGAAAAGGTCGCGTTCCCATTCCACTCCCAATCGCGGGGAGCAGCTACCGGCTACGCTGAATGCGCCGATTGCGCCGAACGACGACGACGACGATGATGACAACATACCCCAACGGGAGATTTCCGCGGGCGATAGAACGGAGAATAAACAAGTGCCTGGGCAGACGTACTATGTCGAGACTGGAGGAGCGCTAACTCACGAGGATTTGGAGATCATGCGCCAGGCTCGCGTGTGGGAAGATGCGCCCTCCCCCTTCTCTATTTCTCAGTCGAGCTCCACAGCCTACCAACCGCAGAGCTCCCAAGCCGCCATAGAAAAATACCAGCAAATGTGCCGGGACACCGATTCGATCGTGTCGAGAGCCGCGACCTGGGGAACCCGACGACTCAGCTTACCCAGCATCATGGATGCTGACGTTCAAGTCGCCGGCAATCTGTTCAAGAAGCTATCGCTCAGCCGGGGAGATACGCGGCGGCCAAGCCTCCTTCAGAATATCCGCGGCCTTGTCCGGAAGCCGAGCATCAACTCGGGCAAACGCAATCGCGCTGAACCGGATGATGCAAGCTCCTTCGTGACCGTGTCTTCCATCGAGAAGAAGGACAGCCAGACCAAGCTCGCGCCCCCCAGCCCTAAACCAGGGTGGTCCAGAAAACAAAGTGTCCCGAGCATCAACACTGCATTCTTGGACGTTGGGAACAGGATCGCTTCTCTAGGCACGAACCATGGCCGAACGAGCTCCGCCAGCGCGACTCCCGTCACCTCACCCAAGAGCCCAAGCGGCTTTAATTTGAGCGTGAAGAAGCCCCTGAACCGCCTCCGGAGCAAGTCGGAGACATCCGGCATCATCGACTTGTGGAAGAGGGCTGGTGGGCCGCCAGTGCCCAACACGAAAGCGACTGCGCCCGATGACGAGGACGAGGACGATGAGGACGATTTGTACGAAGATGGCGATATGAAGGACGAGTCAAACAAACTCATGGACGGTATCACACCAAATCTGGCGGGCTTCCAGCAGCACGTGTTGAAGTTGAACCCTCTTTTGGCAACCTCCAACAATTACTTGGTTGAGCGCATCGCCCACCAGCAGTGCCATCGGTATAAGAACCTCTTGAACCTCAGGGTGAAGCACCTCCAGGCCGTCGCCGCCAGGAATTGTTCTTGCGGATCCATGTGTATCGCTATGGGCGGTAGCGCCAACATCCTGGATTCGAAGGGTGGAGAGCGCGGCCTCGACCCCCTATCTGCGAGATACGACGGCTCTGATGGCGATATCACGCCACTTGAGGGGACGATCAACCCGGATAGCTTCCCCCAGGATATTCCTATGCCCCCAGTGAGCTCGTTGCCGGCCGAGCTCGAGTGTCAGCTCTGCTTCACGGCGAAGAAGTTCCAGAAGCCCTCTGACTGGACCAAGCACGTGCACGAGGATGTCCAGCCTTTCACTTGCACGTGGGATCGTTGCAAGGAGCCCAAGATGTTCAAGAGGAAAGCCGATTGGGTCCGCCATGAGAATGAGGGGCATCGCCACCTTGAGTGGTGGACCTGCGACGTCGATGACTGCCGGCACAAGTGCTACCGCCGCGACAACTTCCTCCAACATCTCGTTCGCGAGCACAAGTTCATCGAGCCCAAAGTCAAGACCAAGGCTGCCATGAAACGAGCCGCCGGAGGTATCGACCCAACCTGGGCAAGGGTGGAACAATGCCACCAAGAGACCCCCGTGCGGCCCCAAGACGAACCCTGCCGCTTCTGTCACAAGACCTTCCCGACGTGGAAGAAGCTGACAGTCCATCTGGCGAAGCACATGGAGCACATCAGCCTTCCGGTGCTCAAGCTCGTGGCCAAGAAGGAACTCGACGAGCACACCATCATCAGCCCTGTGCAAGAACCCCCTCCCCGTCAGTTCCCCCCTACCTTCCCAGCCAAATCGGATCAACACCACTCCTTTGGTTCGCAATCTGGAATGCCCCACGGCCCGATGTCCCGCCAGCCCGGTCCCATGGCCTACCCGCAACAGGCCCCGCCGCTGGGGATGTACCCCATCGCACCTCCTTCCCAGGGATACCCGACGGGGAACCTTTATAGCCCGAACTTCGACGGCCTCAGCCACGGCATAGGCCAGGGGCAGATCAACATGTCCCCTATGGCCCACCATCACCAGCACCAGAACCAGCTCCATAACCAGCACCAGCACCACGGCTTCCAGAGCCTCAACTCCCAGGCCGCCTTCTCCAATCTACCTGTCACGTCAAGTGCGGGAGCGTACATGTCGGCGCCCCAGGCGAGCCCGAACTACATGCCCATGGCGTCCGACCTCGAACCCTTTCCGGCGCTGGATATGGATGTACTGGGGCTCGGGCTCCAAAACCCGACGGGCGCGGCGGGACAAATGCCGTATGGTGGCGGTGGCGGCGGGCTGATCGACCCCAACTTGGGACTCGGGGTTGAACAGCAGCATACACAACAGCAACAGCAGCAGCAGCATCAGCACCAACAACAGCAGTTTACGCCGCAGGGGTCGGTATCGCCTTTCGTACGGTCGCCACACGCGCCCCAAGGGGACTTCTATCCCTAGGACTGCTGACCTTGAAATTTGGGCGTTGAGGGGGGCTGGTTGGTGTTGTTTCGGTGTTCGATATCCCTCTTGGTTCTACACTTGTTTACTGTTACTATTCTGCACTCTTCGGCCTGCGGCGTATACCCCATATTCCTCGTTGCTTGGATTCTTGTATTCATTTCGGGGTGGATCGTGGCATTACCTTTTTTTCCTTCTTTTCCTCATCTTAGCCCAGCGCGGTGGAAAATACGATGGACGCATTGGATTTGACGGGACGGGGTGTGCCCTGGCTTGGAAATAGACATGTTTTACGTTTTATTTGAGATGGTGTTTGGGGATATGTATGTAGTCTATAGACGAGCGATTTCTGAACGACATTTGACCGTTGCGCTGCAAGGATCCTTCCTTTCTTTGAACCCATGACATGGCAACGTGAAGGTTTGGTACAGGTACAGCATCCGGACAATATAGGGACGCCCGTCCGTGCTCAACTTGGGAGATGGGACGATTCATTCCTTATTTGAGGGGCGGGACTACATATTATTGGCTTCGTCACAAAACGCATTGATGGCTCAGGAACAGGATGGATCTAAAGACCGAGACCAAGCTACAGTTCGGATGGTTTGCATTACTGCATAAAGATGGTAGGCATGGACTGGGAGATCTTTAATTTCTTTGAGATTTCGATGGGGGTGAGGGCTGTGGTAATCATTCTGGAAGCCGAGAGTATCTGTCACCTCGAAAGGTGTTCTCCGGACGCGACAGCTCCACGACGGGTGAGTTTACATTGCGAATATGTTAAGCGGGAGACAACGGATTCGAAGAAACAATGACACGAGAGGCCTCGATTTACATATTACCGAGTGGCAGTTCGCTTTCCAAGGTCAAGATCTCCAGGACGGCGGATCCGCTGGTTCGGGAAGGCGTTCCATGTTTGATCAGCATTCAGGGTGTTGTCGTTTCTGGCCAACTTTGCTGGATGGAAGAATCCCGAGGCACTTGGCGGTCTGTGATCCGAGTGAGGGGTCTCACTCGCTGGCGCCAGTGGCGTCATGGTGATGTGGGTGATGTGATGGAGGTGATGTGATGTTCGAGTTGAATTCTGTGGCGGGAGGTTCGCCGGGTGAGTTAGGTTGACTCTGGTCGTCGTATTCGTCAAATCTGTGCGCTGTGAATTTCGGAATTGTGTTCCTGTATTTGATGCCCGATAACTTCGGGCAGTTCCGTTGCCCGATGTTAAATTGCCAACTTCGGCCCTCAAAACATACATTCTGGTAATCACCTCGCAGAACGGCCCCGCGACCTTGATTTGTTGTTGATGCTCGATGTTTCTGCTCCGGGTTTCAGAAGCGTCGAAAAAGCGCTCCCAATGGCGCCGTCCCGCGGCGGTTCAGAGGGCTCACAGCCAATCGACGCCCACATAGCCGCCCAAACGGGCAGCAGGGGTCTCTTGTCAGCGCTTTCCTTGCCACTAACGTTTCAGACCGGCTGCTGTCTCTGAACTGGCAGGTGCGGGCCACATGCCAAGAAGGGGTGCCAGTTGTCAAAGTTATGAACTTTTGTTCCAATTCCGCAACAATCGCTTCTCCCTGGTCCACCTCCTGGACCAGTCTCGAAGGCGATGCCGCTTCACAAGGGTTGGGTGACTGGTCGATCTGGGAACTCCCGTTCGGCGGGTGCTGTGTTCGCCTATCAAAGCATGGATCTGAGTGGGTTTCCCTCCCTCGCAGCAATGGATCTGTTCCGATTATGTGGGTGCCGTGCGTTGTTCGAGGCTCTTCCGCGGCATCGGGTTGCCCTGGACTCCTGGAGTCGAGCAAGGGCTCCCTCCACCACGCGCTGCCATCTCCATTTCGTTTCAGATACCCGCGCCGGGTTCTCTGCCATGCTTTCTTTCCGGCTTTATCTCTCCTAGCACCCCCCCCTGCTCCCTTCTTTCTTCTGTTTATGCCTCTTTTTTGGCACCTTTTTTCCTTCAATTCGCTTCTTAATGCCCCTTTCCTGCGTTTTGGCTGGTGCCAATTCGTGACCTCGTCCTCGAGTTCTACTGAGACTTGAGCGAGACACCCGGGCTTCTTCCCCTTTGAGGGGCTTTTTTCTCTTTTGTCCCGCCTTTCCATTCGTTCCAGGTTGATCCTCGGCCGTGTTGTTATGAGACGTTGACTGTCTTCATTTCCTAATTCTCCTTCGCTTTTACTATTTCGCCGGCTTCGACGACATTTTTTACCGAACTTCAGGGGCAACTATTGAGTGGGGGATATTGGGCATCAAGGAACAGAACCAGCGAATTTGGTCGCTAGATAGGGGAGGCAGGACGACCGGAGCATTACTTGGTTGGAGAAGGACAAATAACCCGACTCGCCGACGGCACACACAATCGGAATCGAAGCAACTACCAGGTGTTAGACGGAGATGAGGGGACTCGCTAGGGCCTTCCTGACCGGGGCGCTCCTCGCCAGCGGAGCTTTGGGCCTGGACGTTCTCGAAACGGTCGGGTTCAGCTCTTGCAACACGAACGCTAGCGTTTCGGTGCAGAGGGCGAACATCAGGTACAACAACGACAACAAGACGGTTTCGTTCGACGTGGCAGGGACCAGCAACCGGGTACAGAATGTGACGGCCGTTCTCAACGTCACGGCATATGGCCAAGATATATACTCCAACACCTTCGATCCCTGCGCTGAAGGCACATTTGTGCAGCAGCTCTGTCCTGGTATGTCTCATACCGTGGTTAATACGTGCAGGACTGACCGATCTAGTGCCCGCCGGCAGCTTCTCCGCAAAGGGGTCTCAGCAGATTCCCGCAGAGTTTGCAGACCTGGTCCCCGCGATTGCCTTCCAAGTCCCGGATATCGCAGCCATGGCCACCTTGCAGCTCCGATCGAGTGAATCTGGCGAGAGGGTGGCCTGCATCCAGTCTCAGGTGTCCAACGGCAAGACGACCAGCGTGCCTGCCGTCTCGTACGTGGCCGCCGGCGTGGCGGGAGCAGCGCTGGTACTTGGAGGCGTCTCGGCAGCGGGAGCCGCGTTTGCGGGAGGCAGCGCCGCAGCCGGCGGAGGCTCAGCGGCGGGCGGCATGGGCACCATCAGTCCAAGCTTTACCGAGGTGTTGGGATGGTTCCAGGGTATGGCCATGAACGGCATGATGTCGGTCGCCTATCCTGAAGTGTACCGGAGCTTCGCCAAAAACTTCGGCTTCTCGGCCGGCTTGATCCCCTGGACGCAGCTCCAGGTGTCCATTGACAGCTTTCGCGCTTCCACAGGAGGCAATCTGACGGAGAATAGCGTTGATTTTCTGAGGAACGCAACTCTCGTATTCGATAGCCCCTCGCAGACGGCCGGGCAGGGCTCGCTCAAGCGAGCAATTCACCAATTCGTGCATCTTGCCACCCGACAAATCGAGACAAGCATCAACGGCACGGTTGACGAGACGACCGAGCAGAACGGTGCGTCGGAAACCGTCCGCGTTGCGGTCTCGGGTATCCAGGGCTATGTGGAGCAGCTGAGCATTCCGTCGGGCAACACCTTCATGACAATTCTTCTTGTGGTAGCCATCGTCATTGCGGCGATTGTGGTGGGAGTTCTGTTGGTCAAAGTCATCCTGGAATTCTGGGCTCTGTTCGGCAGCTTCCCCAAGGCGCTGGCGGGCTTCCGCAAGCACTACTGGGGCTCCATCGCGCGCGCCATCACTTCTCTGATTATGCTGTTGTACGGCGTTTGGGTGCTGTACTGCGTCTTCCAGTTCACCCAGGGAGACTCGTGGGCCGCCAAGGTGCTGGCTGGTGTTACTCTGTTCGTGTTCACCGCCGTCCTGGCTTACTTCTGCTGGAAGATTTGGAGCACGGCACGCAAGCTCAAGAAGGCCGAGGGCGACGCCGGTTCCCTGTACGACGACAAGGACATCTGGGTCAAGTACAGCCTTTTTTATGAGTCGTACCGCCGCGATTACTGGTGGATCTTCCTGCCCACCATCATCTACATGCTCGCCAAGGGCTGCATTATCGCGGGAGCAGACGGCCACGGCATGATACAAGCGAGTGCGCAGCTCATCGTCGAGGGCATCATGCTGATCCTTCTCTTATGGAGCCGCCCGTACGAGCGCCGCTCGAGCAACATTATCAACGTCACCATCCAGGTGGTGCGCGTCCTGTCGGTGGTGTGCATCCTGGTGTTTGTGGAGGAGTTTGGTGTCGCCCAGACGACGAAGACGGTTACCGGCGTGGTCCTCATCGCGGTTCAATCCGCCTTGACGGGCATCCTGGCCATCCTCATCGCGTGGAACGCCATCAACGCCTGCTGCAAGCAGAACCCGCACCGCAAGCGCCGCAAGGAGATGGGTAAGTCCTAGCCCCTTCTGTTTATGGTCCCAACAACCAAAACTAACAAAGCCACAGAAAAAGTCCAGCAGCGTGACACGCTCACCCCGCTCGACGCGCGCAACTCGCTCCTGCTCGACCGCACCAAGACGGGCGAGTCGGACGTCTCATCGTCCCTCTCCATCTCCAAGACGGGCTTCGCTCCACTCGTCTCGGTCAGGACGGAGAAAACCGCCGCCGCGGACGCCGCCCGCGCGACCTCTCCGGAACGGTACAGCGGCCCTGCCGACGACAACGGCAACGGCAGGCTGTCATCAAACCCCATGTTTGCGCCGCGCGCCCCGAGCGGCGGGTCCTTCAGGGCGCTCACGCCGAACACGAACGCCCCCGTGGGTATGGCGGTGTCGGGTCCCCCCGGGGGGCCAGGGATGATGAATCCGAGTCGGGAGAATCTGGTCATGGGGGCTGCTCCCCTTGGTGGTATGAACGGTGGTGGTGGGACCATGCGGCAGCCGACGTTGCCGAACCTGGGAGATGGGTATGGGGGTTTCGGGGGGCAGCAGCCGCGGGCGCAGGGTGGGTATTCTGCTGCTGCTGCTGCTGCTGCTGCACAGGGGCAGGGGCAGGGGCAAGGGGGAGGGTATGGGGGTTATGGTGGTTATGGTGGTTATGGGGGACCGTATGGGAGATATTGAGTGGGTGGGGTGAGTGGTGGTTGGATGTTCGGTTTGTGTTTGAGCGTGGCATAGATTTGTTGATAGCGAGGGGTTGGAACTGCATATATGTAACAATAGCTTATCCTAAAGATGTATTATAACTATACCTACTTATGAACATATGAAGCAAGACTTAGAGGCCAGATGGAAGAGTGTAATCAAATATATGTGAATATAGGACTGAGCAACGCATATTCTTCTTTTTCCTCCGAACAGTCACCCACTCGTTGAGGCTATGTGTGGGAATTCCGAGTGCACACTGTGCTCCTCCCCGACCCCTCCAGGCCGTTCAACTGCGACTGCCCCATTGCCCCTGAAACTGAGGGGCGGCACAGTGGGAGATGTGACATTGGCCGCCCAATGACCTCACACCCGTCAGTTGTTGGGCCCTCAACTCCATTTCAACATCACCAACTCTACCGAGTCTGACAGCTCCCACAACTACATATCTCAATTCATCTGGATTTTGTGTGTTTTGCTCCATTTTTGCCATAGAATTTTCGAATACTCACCACTACATTCCCCGCCTCATATTCTGGCCCGAACTCAACCCGAGACGAGACGAGACTCATGGCCAGCCTTGTTCATTAACCCCCCCATCATTCTCCCTTTGACGGCCCACAGATCATGAGTGACCTCCAAAAGAAGTGGGCCAAAGCAAAGATCACTAGCTCCATGCACACCATGCCGCCACCGCCGCTCCCCGGCTTCAACGAGCTCGACGAGGACCGTTACAGCAGCACGGGTTATGTGCCCAACACTCCTCAAGACGACGACTCGTCCTCTGCGTCCTCCATGTCGTCCACGGGTACTGTCATTCCCTCGCCGGGGAGGGCATTGTTTGCTCGACCACAGGGGTACATCCCCTTGTCATACATCCCATACATCCCATACGTCCTACTACATACCTCATCAACCTCGACAATTGGAAATTCCCAAGTCTAATGCGTGTTCTAGATTCGCTGGCCGTTCCCTCGACCCGATCCCATGGACAACCTATTTTGAGCGCGAGTTGTTCCTCCCGGCGCCCGACGGCTCTATCACTTATCACGCCTACCTGACTTCTCCGGCGCCTTCCTCCGGCCCGGGCAAACCGGGTGGCCCGCTGTTTGTCACGCACCACGGCGCCGGCAGCTCAGGCTTGTCCTTTGCCGTGCTAGGGGCCGAGATCAGGAAGCGTCTTCCCGCCGCGGGGATCCTGTCGCTTGACGCGAGGGGGCATGGGTTGACTACCACTTCGTCCAAGTCACCGAGCGAGGAGGAAGGGGACGGGAAGGACGACACGGCAGATCTCTCGCTCACCACTCTCGCGTCTGATCTGCTGGCCGTGCTGACCCTCACCCAGTCCGCCATGCACTGGCCCTCGCTGCCGCCCATCCTCCTAGTAGGCCACTCCCTCGGCGGCGCGGTAGTAACCGAGTTCGCCTCCGTGCTCCTCCCCCGCACAAAACCCACCCCCACACCCGCTCCTACCACAACAACAGCAACAACCATCCCCCCAACAACCACCAAACTCCTTTCCACAACCACCCCCTTCCCCGTCACATCCAACCCCATCACCACCAACCCCGCCAGCAGCAGCACCAACCCCATCAGTAGTACTATTGACCTCCTCGGCTACGCCGTCCTCGACGTCGTCGAGGGGTCCGCCATGGACGCCCTGCAGAGCATGCACGCCTACCTGGCGACGCGGCCCGGCGGGTTCGAGACGCTGCGCGACGCCGTCGACTGGCACGTGCGGTCGCGCACTGTGCGGAATGCCGTCAGTGCCAGGGCGAGCGTGCCCGGGTTGTTGGTCTGTCGTGAATCGGGGGAGGTGCCGGCGGGAGGGCCGGCGGCGAAGCCGGGGTTGTTGTTGTTGGAGGGCGTTGAGGAGGGGGTTGGGTTGGGTATTGCGGAGGGGATGGAGGGGGTTGAGGGTGAGGGTGGGGGTAGTGATGGAGAAGGGATTGGGAAGGGGGACGTGGGTGGGAGTGGGAGTGTGGTTAGGACTGCGGTTGGGAGTGAGACGGGGACTGGGCCTGCTACTAGGACTGGAACCGAAACTGGGCCTGGCATCGTACGCAAAAACGGAAAGGGGAGCAAACCCTGGCGATGGCGGACCGACCTGGCCAAGACGCAGCCCTTTTGGGAGGGCTGGTTCACCGGCCTCAGCAAGAAGTTCCTCGCGGGACGGGGCGGCAAGATGCTGCTGCTTGCTGGGACGGACAGGCTAGACACCGAGTTAACTATCGGCCAGATGCAGGGTTTGTTCACCCCTCTTCTCTCAAACCCAATACGAGGGACGACTTACTGACTGCAACAGGCAAGTATGCGCTGCAGGTGTTCCCCGAGGCCGGGCACTTTATCCACGAGGACCTCCCCGAGAAGACGGCGATTGCCCTGGTCGACTTCCACCGGCGGAACGACAGGGGCGCGCTGGTGCTGCCGCCCAAGGTGTCCGACCTGCTCGCGCAAGGGAAGAGGGTATGAGTTGTTGGCTAAAGGGGGTGAGTGTATTCGGTGGTCCTGAGCTGGGTTGGATGATACATATGGTTGGTTCGTACACAAGTTGAAGATACCAGTGACATAATATCGACGTGATAATTCTGCGCATTGCAAAACGGAGAGTTGATTTATATGGGTGTCCATCTAGTCCACCCGCCTCGCACACCAGGATATCATGCCAACCACAACCTTCAAATGCCATTTATGCCCGTACGCCAGCCAATCGCTATATGCCAAAAATCAATGGGACACTTATCATACCGCAACAGACGCCGGCGCCGCAGCGGACACCGGCTCCGTCACCTCCGGCCTCTTCGCTGGCTCCTCCTTCACATCCTCCCTCTTCCGCTTCTTCGACTCCTGGCCGTTCTGCTGGCCCTTGTTCTTATTCTTCTTCTTCGGCTCGGGCTGGACCGCAAACTCGCCCAGCCCCAGCACCCGGTCTGTCGCCCGCGCCATCTCCCTCATCCCCTCGTGCCCGAGCGTGTCGACGTACTCGACGTACGACCGGCAAGCGTGCAGCCCCCTGTACACGGACGCCTTGCCGGGCACCATCTGCGCCAGCAGGAACTTGGTGTTGGCCATCTTGTTCTCCACCTCCATCGCGTACCGCAGGTACTTCTCCGTCGTCTCCTGCCACGTCGCCAGCCCCCCCGCGGCCCCGCTCCGGAAGCAGCTCGGGTTCTTCTCGGCGGCCGTCGCGATCATGGCCCCGTCCACGCCGAACTCGTCGACCAGCGCGTCCGCCTGGTCCCGGCTCTCGACGTCGCCGTTCATGAGGCAGGCCACGCCGGCCTCGTGGCACACCTCGCGCACCATGCGCAGCTGGCCGCGGATGGCGCGCTCGCGCGGCCGCATGGGCGTGGTGCGGCAGTGGACGGTCAGGCCCGTGATTCCCGTGCGCACGAGGCGGCGCACGAGCGCCTCGGTCTCGGCGGCGGTCTCGAGCAGGCGGATCTTGACGCTGACGCCGAGGCCGCAGGCCGGCGTGACCTCGCGCACCAGGGCCTCGAGGATCCCCGCGAGCTTCTCGGGCGTGCGCAGCAGCGCCGCGCCCATCCCGCCCGTCACGCTGAACGGCTTCGGGCACCCCGCGTTCACGTCGATGCCCGCCACGTCGGCCGCCACGAACCGCGCCGCCGCCACCGCCCGCCCCGCGTCCGACGTGCCCAGCTGGAACACCAGCTTGCCCTTCTCGCGCGCCGGGTCCAGTCGGTAGATGACCGACTCCGCCACGCCGCCGTCGTTGCCGTTGTTTTGCGTGTGGGTCGGGCTGTAGGAGTGGGAGGCCTGGCGCGTGTACTCGACCATGTTCGTGCGCGGGTTGATGCGGCGCACGGCGCCAATGAGGGAGTGGTCGACCGTTTCGGGGCCTAAGGGGGGTTTGGGTGCGGCGGTTAGTTGAGTTTGGTGACTTGGGGGAATTGGCCGGGGGAGGGGAGGGGAAGGAAAGGGAAGGGAAGGAAACGAACCCCAGACTAGGTCGGCACCGTAGTGCAGCGCGAGGAGGCGCGAGGGAAGTTCGCCGGAGCGAACCATAGGTGCGAGGACTAGTTTCCCCCGGTAGTCGACGCCGCGGGGTGGGATAGGGACACGCGGGAAGGTCGTTGGGGCGGGGGTTGTGGTGGGAGTTGGGACAGTTGATGGCGAATTGGTTGTCGTAGCAGAGGCTACTGCTGCTGCTTCCTCGGTAGTCGCCATTGTGCCGATGCTTCGAAGTCCACGCAGAAAGCGGGCGGTTCGAAACATCCCAAAAGGTAGGTTGAGGGACGGCGATGGTGGGGGTCGAGTCAAAATTACGAGGTATGCAGTAATCTGTACCAATGGCGCATGCAAAGGTGGGATGGATTTCGGTATTGCGACCAAAGAAATTCAATCGAAATTCTTATCTTATCGGAAGCCCGCAACGGGCAGCCAAACCCTTCTTGGTGGACTCGGTGGAGTGGTCAGCCCTAACCCTCTTCCTTTAACACCCAAACCCCCCAAGACCCCTTTTCCCCTTTCCACATGGCAGTGGATGTCAACGTTAAAAGTGGGTGTGGCCAAGTTTTATCTGTTGCGTTGATCGGTTTGTAATACTGAACCCAACTCTTCGATGTTTCCGTTTTTATCCTATTCGCTCATGCCAAATGTCATGCTTGAAACGGGATCCTTTCACATGCTCTCTCTCCCAAGTCCCAACTCCCTGCTGCCCACACGCATACCCTTACCCGTACCCATGCCCGGATCCTGCGGTCGAGGCTGGACGAGAAGCGACCAGGTAGCCCAACACCGGGAAAGGCCGCAGAGCAATAGCGCACCTATTAACGTGATCCGAGTTTCCTTCCCCGCGTTGCGTCATGGCACCGAGCCCCGCGCCGTTCCCTGGACGTCGCAGCGGATGCACTCGTGGTCCTGAGGGCGAATGGAGAAGTGTTCAGAAACGTGGCATGGCGGTGGGCCGTAGGAAGCATTGGCGTCAGACGCGGCAAACAACAAATCCCGACTCCATGGCATGGATCGCCGGTGAATGTCTCATCACGAGACGGTTGAACTGTGGCCGTGTTACCTCGAGCGGCGTTTCCGATGCACTTGTCGCGCTAGCAAAGCTTGATCGGAGAAATGATTTCATACAGGCCCGAAAGTCAGAGAAGTTGGGGGGTCGAGGGCGCTGTCAGCCAAATCCCGAAGTCGTCGCCGAGCATGTCGGCTGAGAGAAACCAAGAGCCGTTGCCCGGTGCCGGCAGTCCGACTTGGCAAAGCCATTTCACCGCCGGCCAAGCCTTCCCCGGTCCCGATGCCCAATCCGGCGTGTTCTGCGCTCCAGCCCAGAAGTCCGTCTGGCCGGGGCTTGCCGGGTATCGTGGTCGACGAAGCCGACACAGACCCGGTCGGCTGCCTCACCGCGCAAGGCGGTGACCGAGTCGCTGCTCGAGCGTCAGCGGGCAGAGACACATAGTTAATGACGCCGAGGGCTTTGCATATCTTGTCTCTCCCGTCGGGGCCAGAACGGGAGCCCAGGCGGCGGTATTCCGTCGAGCATGTCCCTTCATCAAAACATCAAACATTCCAAGGCCAATCTCTCCATGGTTGGGCTCAAAAGCCCAGAGCAAGGCGCTGATCGCAGTGAGCCTGACCCGCTCTTTTAGGGTCCTGGAGTTGTCCCATGTCCGTGGTTTGAGTGGGGTGCCAGTGTCTGATCGTGAAGTGCACAGACAAGAGCCGACAGTGGGAGTGACAGTGCGCGGTGCGCGGTGAGAGACAAGGAAAGGGGGGGTTGAGGCAAAAAGAAATCCGCCGGCTTGCCGAGATCCCCAAGAGATCTCACCTACTTCGTACACAGTATCTGCGAGACCTTCCGTCCCAGGATGAAGCCTGTTAGTCTGCCAGAAAACACGAAGTAAAAGGGGTCGCTTTGGGAGCCGTATGGCTGGTCCGGCGACTGCCGTTCTATCTCCTTGGACCCTTGAACGGACCCTGATATGGGTGGATGGGCAGAGAGAGCGGGTTCGTTGTCGACTCCCCAGTTCGGAAATGCCTTCGCTACCTTGGCAGCCCGCTTCAGGTGACCGCGGGAAAGCGGTTTCATCTTCGATAGGCAGAGAAAAAGAAAACCCAGAAATCTCAAAAATCCGGGGTGTCGACCGGGGTCGTCAGCCCATCGAACTGGACCCGGTCTCTGGCCCGAAATTCCATTCCACCCCCGTCGATACCTTCGGCGGTGCGTGGGCGCATATCACAATCCGTCACGGGGAACTGGACATGGAAGAGCTGCTGAAAGTGAAACTGCGGGCATCCGGGTGGCGCTGCCGAACTCCTTCCTCCCAACGTCGATTGCCCCTCTGGCTCCCAACCCTGGAGAGTTATCTGTGACGTAAGTGGCTTGCTGCCATCGCTCGGCAGCCAGAATTAGTTTGTCTTTGTTGGTCCCAACAAGGGAAAGGAAAGGAGCTGAGTTGTTGGTGACGGCTTTTCCCGATTTCAAAATCAAAGAAAACGTGCAACTGACATGCCACGCAACCATTTGAAAGGAGGAGAAGGCTGAGAGAGGAAAGGTATGGCAACGAAAACCTGCAACTGCGACCGGACCCGAGTGAATCCCGCACTGTGCGATGGACTTTCTATCCAATCTCATCGCACATCTTGCGGCTCCCAGCCGATGAGCCGGCCTTGGTTTTGGCACGGCCCCGCAAGCACACTGGCCACCCGAGGAATCCCTTTTTCTGGATGCTCACTGGCCAGCTCCCCGCTCTGGAGCGCTGCCTTTCCCCTCTGACCGCCCGGCGAGGAAGAACTGGCTGGCGACTTTGACAGCTCGACAGACTAACATGTCCCGCCATGCCACACACCCCTTGCAATGGATGGCGGCTCAAAGGGGAGAGGGGGGGGCAAATGTCTTGTCCTCCGCTCCTTCGTACGGCTGGATGCATACCCAGTTAGCCGTTAGGGAGGTGAAAAGAAATGCCCAACTCATAGCGGTAGGTGCCCACGCGGTGGGGACACACTCGCTCATATCGGATTGAGTGTAACCACGCTCGAGCTGCAGCAAGGCGCGGGAGATCCGTCACACAAGTCACCGACCGTAACGAGCTGTCGTTTCTCTTAAAGGTAGGTTGGGAAACACGGGATGAGGTGTTTCTGCACACCCGTTGCCTCGCTCGGTTTGCTGCATCACCATGCCATGGCAGCAGCCGCTCCACCTGTACTGAGCATCCGACGCTGTCAGAACCCTGTCTTCAGCCCCGCAGTGGCGGTTAGGTACAGACGGTAGGAGAGACAGCGTCTGGATCCCATGGATGCAACTGGAAAGGCAGAGAGGCGAGCTTTTTCTCGGGCAGTGGAAGGAAGTGCTGGTTGCCTTGCTATTTGGAGCGGGGAAGGCACGCCTCGGACAGACAACAGCCCATGCCGCCGTTTGGGCTGCTTCCCACCCCGCGATTTGGCTGCCCCGCTGCCTGATGAAACCCGGATCGTTCTTCCATCTGATCATCTATGGCATGAGGTGGCACGCACTTCGGATGGGCACAAGGTACGGGGGATGGAATCGCCCGGAGGCGGATTGTAAACCATCTTGGTCCCCAGTGAAACGGTACCTGAAATTCCGTCCTGTTCGGAGCCTTCCATTATCAGGGTGTCAAGGCTCGGTTCACTAGGGCTCGAGTCAGAACGAAACGGGTCAGAACAACAACCGCCGCCTTCTCCCTGTTCCCGAACGCTGCAGGCCCTGCAGCTCACAAGCCCTCTAGAACGTTTCTCTCCCTGCGAGCCCCAGCGCAGAGTGCAATGCAACCACCACCACCACGCCCCGTTGGACGCATGTAAACCGATGTACAATAAACCCCAACATGCAGACAAAAACCGACCAGCATCCAGATTTCTAGACACCGCTAAGCACCAAAGGGGGCGGTGATGCAGCGAATTGGCAGCGGACCGCCGATCCATCCCCTCCTCGGCGCCCCTACGGGTCCTCCCCAGCAACTTCCCCATCCTCCCTCCTCCTCCTCCTCTCCCTGCAACCTTCAATCAACCCTCGAGGTGATCAAAGGCCGCTTGTCTGCTACCTCACGCGCTGCGATCCGGTCGAGCTCAGCGAGATCTCTGGTTTCTTTTTTTTTTTTTTAATCGTCATCCCGACTCGCTCTTCCATCCGATCTGCCCCCTTTCCGAAAACCGGGGCAGAGCGAGACGAGGGGGGCGAACAAAGCTCAGGGACGGCGCGTCTCCGCTTTCCTTTAGGGTCCCTGCGGATACGGGCGATTCGGCCTTTTCGCTTGCCTTTTCGCTTGGCTTTTCGCTCGCAGTTTTTGCGTCCTACGCCGCCAAGCACACCCCGACGCACCCTCCAGCGCGACCCGCCCACACCAGATCCGCCTCACAGCCAGCCATCTTGCAACCCATTCCGCCCTTTCCATCGTCCACAACCAGGCCGGTGCATCAAAACCGTCCGGAATCCCGTCGCGAGAGGCTCCCGCATGAAGACCCGCTTACTACGCCAAAGACGATAGTCATCCCGACACCGATCCGTTTCCCCCACCATCCGGTCGTGTTTCTTTTGTCAGTGCTGTTAACCGAGTCGCTCCCCCGCCCGCGGCGCTCACGCCGTCCACCGCCGCAATTATGAGCGGCGAGTCTTCGCTGGCAGTCGTCACTGCTGTCGTCAGATCTCTCGCGACCGATCCGACGACACCCCCTCCAGCGGTCTCCAATGCGTGTCCGAGCGTGAGGCTACCCGGTCCCGACAACGCTGAGAAGGTTGAACTCGAGCGGGAGCTTGCCGCCCTCGTACTCCGCGTTCAGCAGCTCGAGGCTAGGGCAAACTCGACCCCGACCCACGTCTTTCCCGACACCCCCAATGAGACCGCCGATACCATCTTCGCAGACGACAAGCCTCGCCTGAGGCCGAAATACCCCCCCGCCCTGCCGCGCAATGGATTCATCGACGAGGCCCTCGAGGGCCTGCGGGAGCATGTCGACGACCAGTCGAAGCTCCTCGACAGCCAGCGCCAGGAACTGGATGGCGTCAACGCTCAGTTGATCGAGCAGAAGCAGCTCCAGGAGAAGGCTCTGGCCATCATCGAGCAGGAGCGCGTGGCCACCCTGGAGCGTGAGCTGTGGAAGCATCAAAAGGCGAACGAGGCTTTCCAAAAGGCGCTGCGTGAGATCGGCGAGATCGTAACGGCCGTCGCCCGCGGTGACCTGTCCAAGAAGGTCCGCATGAACAGCGTGGAAATGGACCCCGAAATCACAACATTCAAGCGCACCATCAACACCATGATGGACCAGCTACAGGTCTTTTCTAGTGAAGTCTCCCGTGTCGCCCGCGAAGTCGGGACAGAAGGTATCCTCGGCGGTCAGGCTCAGATCGAGGGGGTCGATGGCACATGGAAGGAACTGACTGATAACGGTGCGTCTCGGTTTGGCTTCTGCCGTACCCTAGGGTCACCACCCCCCGTACTGACTTGGGCCTCATAGTGAACGTAATGGCGCAGAACCTCACGGACCAAGGTATGTCCTCCCTCGATGGATGGTGGTCTCGAGTGCCCGGCCCCAATAAACTAACCTCTCTCCGCAGTGCGCGAGATCGCATCCGTGACAACCGCTGTCGCACACGGTGACCTGACTAAGAAAATCGAACGCCCTGCCAAGGGCGAAATTCTCCAACTCCAACAAACTATCAACACTATGGTCGATCAACTCAGAACATTTGCCTCCGAAGTCACGCGCGTAGCCAGAGATGTCGGAACCGAGGGTATACTCGGTGGTCAAGCCGACGTCGAAGGGGTGCAGGGCATGTGGAACGAGCTAACAGTCAACGTGAACGCCATGGCGAACAATTTAACAACGCAAGTACGAGATATCATCAAAGTCACCACCGCCGTCGCCAAGGGCGACCTCACCCAGAAAGTCCAGGCCGAGTGCAGAGGCGAGATCTTTGAACTCAAGAAAACCATCAACTCCATGGTGGACCAGCTGCAGCAATTCGCACGCGAAGTCACCAAGATTGCTAGAGAAGTCGGAACCGAAGGAAGGCTGGGCGGTCAGGCTACCGTCCACGACGTCCAGGGGACGTGGAGGGATCTCACGGAAAATGTGAATGGTATGGCCATGAATTTAACGACCCAAGTGCGAGAGATCGCCAAGGTCACGACAGCCGTCGCCAGGGGCGACCTCACAAAAAAGATCGGGGTCGAGGTGCAGGGTGAAATCTTGGATCTGAAGAACACGATAAATACCATGGTTGACCGTCTGGGCACATTTGCTTTCGAGGTCAGCAAGGTCGCCAGAGAAGTCGGCACAGACGGCACCCTTGGTGGCCAAGCCCAAGTCGACAATGTCGAGGGCAAGTGGAAAGATCTTACCGAGAATGTCAACACCATGGCCAGGAACCTCACATCCCAGGTATGCCAAATAATCTTTGCCCCGGGTGTAGCCGTTTTTTCCCTCATACTAACCTAACCGCCCACCTCTCCAGGTGCGAGGTATATCCACCGTCACACAAGCCATTGCCAATGGCGACATGAGCCGCAAGATCGACGTCGAGGCCAAGGGAGAGATACTCATCCTAAAAGAGACGATCAACAACATGGTTGACCGACTGTCCATATTCTGCAACGAAGTGCAAAGAGTAGCCAAAGACGTCGGGGTCGACGGTATCATGGGCGGCCAAGCCGATGTGGCGGGCTTGAAGGGCAGGTGGAAAGAAATTACAACCGATGTGAACACCATGGCAAACAACTTAGTAAGTCGCTCCCATTGCGCCGCTTTCAGGATTGGTTGACTGACGGGGCCCTCCACAGACGGCTCAAGTGCGAGCATTCGGCGACATCACAAACGCCGCGACAGACGGTGACTTTACCAAACTTGTCGAAGTCGAAGCCTCGGGCGAGATGGACGAGCTCAAAAAGAAGATCAACCAGATGGTGTACAACCTCAGGGACAGTATTCAAAGAAATACGCAGGCCAGGGAGGCGGCCGAACTGGCCAACAAGACCAAGTCGGAGTTCCTTGCCAATATGTCGCACGAAATCCGAACGCCCATGAACGGCATCATCGGCATGACCCAGCTCACGCTCGACACGGATCTGACACAATACCAGAGAGAGATGCTCAACATTGTCAACTCGCTAGCGAACAGCTTGTTGACCATCATTGACGACATCCTGGATCTGTCCAAAATCGAGGCGAGGAGGATGGTCATCGAGGAGATCCCATACACCCTACGGGGCACCGTATTCAACGCCCTCAAGACGCTGGCCGTCAAGGCTAACGAGAAGTTCCTCGACCTCACATACCGCGTCGATAGCTCCGTGCCGGATCACGTCGTGGGTGACTCGTTCAGGTTACGTCAGATCATCCTGAACTTGGTGGGCAACGCTATCAAATTCACCGAGCACGGCGAGGTCAGCCTCACCATCCAGAAGGCATCAGCCGTGCAGTCCGGGAGTATGGGAGAGTATGCCATCGAGTTCATCGTGGCCGACACCGGTATCGGCATCCCATCGGATAAGCTAGACTTGATCTTCGATACCTTCCAGCAGGCCGACGGCTCCATGACGCGCAAGTTTGGCGGCACCGGGTTAGGTTTGTCCATCTCGAAGAGGCTCGTCAACTTGATGGGCGGCGATGTCTGGGTCAAGAGCGAGTACGGCAAGGGCAGCAAGTTCTACTTCACCTGTATCGTCCGCCTGGCCAACGAGGAGATCGCCTTCATCTCCAAACAGCTCAGTCCGTACAAGGGCCACCAGGTGCTCTTCATCGACAAGGGGAGAACCGGGCACGGCGGCGATATCGCCAAGATGCTCGGAGGCCTAGGCCTGCTCCCCATCGTTGTCGAGTCGGAGAAGAACAAGGCGCTCGACAAGGTGCGTGGCCAAGGGACGGCTCCCTACGACGTCATCATTGTCGACTCCATCGAGGATGCCCGGAGACTGCGCTCGGTCGACGACTTCAAGTATCTCCCAATCGTCCTCCTGGCGCCGGTGGTCCACGTGTCACTTAAGTCGTGCCTGGATCTGGGGATTACCTCCTACATGACAACGCCGTGCAAACTGATCGATCTCGGCAACGGAATGGTGCCCGCTCTGGAGAACAGGGCCACCCCATCATTGGCGGATAATACCCGCTCGTTTGAGATTCTGTTGGCCGAAGACAACACGGTGAACCAGCGTCTTGCCGTCAAAATCCTGGAGAAGTACCACCACGTAGTCACCGTGGTAGGAAACGGCAAGGAGGCCGTTGACGCCGTCAAGCGCAAGAAGTTTGACGTTATCCTAATGGACGTTCAGATGCCAATTATGGTAAGCTTTCCCCGCTCAGTATCAAACCAACTCTCTGGTCACTAACATTGCACAGGGTGGGTTCGAAGCCACAGGAAAGATCCGCGAGTACGAGCGCAGCCTAGGCAGCCAACGTACACCCATCATCGCCCTCACGGCGCACGCTATGATGGGCGATCGAGAGAAGTGCATCCAGGCGCAGATGGACGAGTACCTGTCCAAGCCGCTGCAGCAAAACCATCTCATCCAGACAATTCTCAAGTGCGCAACCCTCGGGGGCCAGCTGCTCGAGAAGAACCGGGAACGGGAACTCGCACGCACCGCCGACACCGCGACAAGTGGCCGGCGCGATAACCCCGCGCTCGCCGCCGCGTACCAGTCGGCGGCTGCCACCAACAACGCCTCCCGGCCGGCACTCTCGACACGGGCTATCACAACCGCAGAGATCGACAGCCCCTCGCTGGTAACGGCGGACCAGGAAGATCCCATAACTCGGTCACGTACCAGCCTCTCGGAACCTAACATTCACGCAGCGTAAAACTCACCTCCTGTGGGCATGGTTTCGTTGCCGCGGTATTAGCCACACTCCCGAGGGCTCACAGCACTTGGGTTGAGACAGCGTACCACGCGCAATTTTGCCTTGCCTACTTTGGCGTGGATCGTTGCTGCTTCTGTTTTGCCGCATCATGCATGCGGCCCGGCTTCGGCTTCAGATGTCGGTTTTGCGTTGGTTGGTTGCTGGGTTCGGTCTGGTCTGCTCTGGTCTTGGGTTCCGGGTTTGGGTCTGGCTTGGTCTGGTCTGGGGTGTTTAACTTTGTTTTGCTTGGTTGCTATTTTTGCTGCTCAGCCTGTGGGAGGGGGGGGATGGGGGTTGGGGTGGGGGTTGGCCGTGCTATTTTGTTCGCACGTCGGTGGTGGTTTCGTCTCACATCTGGTCCCATTATCTTTTTTACCTTTTCTTTTTTTTTCCCCGCGCGCGCGTCACGCCTACCTCTGGCACCCCTGACTGGACTGATCCTGTCTTTATGTTTCGTAACTGTCGTTGCATGTGATACCTACAGCTGGTTAGAAACGTCTCACTTGTTTCGTTGATCGTCTTTGGGGCTGCTTTGACTCGGCTTCCGTCTTGCTGATTTTGGCTTGGCTGTTGTCGATGATGCTTGTGTGTTTCCCCTCGTCGGCGCCGAGTTCGTCCTGCTTCCCGGTCGCCGCCGTCGTCGTCGTCGTCCTTCGGGTTTAACGCGCGAGCAGTGCCTTCTCATCCTCGTCGTTGCCTGATGATGTGGTGTGACGGGCAGTTAGTTGAGCTAACTGCGTGCGGATAGAAGAATGCAACAAAGCAAGTGGACATTTCGATACCTTGTTTCCTTATCGGATGCGCAAGCAAAGGAGGGTGAGGAAGGGAAAGGGAGTTAGCTTGGGTCGTGGTGATTGTTGGTCAAAGTCATATATCATATTCAGTTGTTTTCGGGCAGGCGAATATAAACGTATACGTTTTACAACCCCACGCGACTTCGAACCGTCCTTCCCTCGTATCTATGTGCCAGCCAGCATCAACGTGTGGTTGTGTTGCCAGACGTCGATTTTGGAGTTGGCGTTCGTGAAACCCACACCGGGTGCATCTAGGGGGGTTTCACGTTCTATGTATGTACAGTAGTACATGGAAGGGGGTGCATAAAACCATACCGTCACATGTTCCCTGCCTCCCCCCTTCGTCCCAACCCAAGAACGCGCTTCCATTTTTGTTCTTCTGCTTCCGCTAGCCTCCGGGCGCTGACGCTAATCCGAACTTCAGATTAAATAAACGTTAAAACAACTACCCGGGAGCGGGTTTATCATGCTTCAGTTAGCCGAGAGTCCCTATCGGGCTTCAATGAAAGTTATTTCCGTCACTTGGTCGGTTGCTGTTGGGTAACTCCCTCCAGCTCCATGTTTGGTTGGCGATTCATGTTAAGGGGTTGAGGAGGTGAAGGTTTTCCCCGTCTGCTCAGTTCAGGGGAGGGCAAGTGGATATGACGGTGCGGTTGACTTCCGTTCTCGTACTGATGATTTTATCTAACCAGCTACAGGATGGATGATGAGAGCGTCGTATTTACTTTGATTTCGGGGAGACCATATCCTTGATCGTTGCGGTGGATGGTAGATGACTTGCCGGTTGTATGTACTCAACTCCTAAACTTAGCTCCAACAAGTTGAAGGAAACCACAGTGTCCCGCTTCTCTTGTATTCCTATTTGATCCCTATATGATCCCTGTACAAGCCTCCATGTTGCTCTCTATCTGCGTCCAAGACCCAGTCCACCACTGGGGAAAGTAGCCTGATTGCTTGCTCGATCCCTCCCTCTCTCGCTCTGCTTTACCCACAAATGCTGACACCCGCCATATCCTCACATGATACATAGTCAAAAAGCTTCAGGGAAAACGTCCAAAAAAGCCCACACCGCTCAAGGGTATCCAAAGATGATGCATATAAACAAGGTAGATGTACGACAAGGTAAATAGGAGTTGTAGATATGACAAAACACCGCGATGGCCCGTTACAAAATCGATGTTAATGCATGCGGCGATCGACGATTTCACCCGCTTGTAGCAATGCGCTCATGCCGTCAAAATTTGGAATCTGCTTCCCTTGCGGCGGTACTCCGGTGGCAGGTAGCTGAGGCTTTTGTGTTTGTGGGGGGAAGCCTTGGGTGTGTTGGTGCCCGTTGACTGGAGGGCGATCATGGGGGAGGGACGGGGGATGGTGGCGGTAACCTTGACTGGATGTCAGCGAAGGGTTGTCAGGTATTTTAAATTACTAGGACACGCACCGTTGGTTACGGGAAGACCAGCTGTACTGTTTGGGGCTTGGTGTACGAGCGGAGGCTTTGGGTCGGGGTGGTAGGGGTAGTTGTGATGTGAAAGTTGTTGTTGGTTGTGGAATGTGGGCTCTTGCTTAGATGTTAAGAGGGCGTGTATCGGTAAGGAGCCGTCGGCCTGGGGCCGAGAATGGCTAAAGGATGACGGTTCCGAGGAGGAATTCCCGCCATAAGCGTGACCATTCCCATTAGTTAGTGGCGCTGAACGAGCATCAAGGCCTGTTTGGCCGAGCGGAAGGCCCGAGCTGCCACCAATGCGGGTTATGGGGAAAGGATAGCCGTTGGGTTCGCTCGGAGGCCGCATTCCGGGGAGTCCTTGTCGGTCGAACACATCGGAGAGAGACGGGAGGAGGTGCTTGCGCGCGCCCAACTGCTCCCGGATTTGATCGTCTCCCTGGCTGGAATGGCGAGGTCCAAGTAGCGACGGGTGGTCCCTCGAATCGGGGTTGAAGGTTGGTGAGCGAGGTTCCGAGTGGCTTTCGGCGGGGGAGAGCAGGGACTCCTCGGGGGATGTGATGGACGTCGAGGGGGCCAATGAACCTGTGTACTGAGAATCGCTCGTGGACGCAATAGACTCGACCCTTTGCCGAGCGATAGGCGGCTCGCTTCCCTTGCGGCTATCTGCGCCACTCCCGCTCCTGCTCGTCCTCGTCAGAGCCGAGCTGGGGCTGGCTCGACCTTGGCCGCCAGACTCGGAGAGCCTGGCTCTTTTCGAGGCATCCTTGTCTGCAACGCCCGGAAGTCTGTTAAAACAGCGTCGACGATAAAACGGTTCTGATACTCAACTCGCACACACCTTGAGACGGAGAGGCGTGCTTGGCCTTGAACTCCTGGAGATAAGACATGTACTTTCTGTACTCGGGCGTCTTCTTGTACTCGGAGAGGTCGCTCAAGTACTTGTCCTTGATGGCTTGGGCCTGCGACTCGAAGGGCTCCTTTTCGGCCGAGGTCAGGTTTTGCCAGTTCTCGCCAACAAGTTTAGCTATCTCGGTAAAGCTAAGGTTGCGACCCTTGAGCTCTTCGCGCATCTCTTTAATGCAGGGCCAAAAATCAGCGACCGTCCGACAGGCAGCAGAGGGGCGACCATGCGTGGCTTACTGTTGGAAAAGAGGACATAGGCCGAAGGAGGGCGTTCCGGTGCATTCTCATCCGGCTGATCACCAAGTCAGCGCTGAATCCCTACTATTGCAGATCCCAACATTGCGAGAGGTAGGGCGAACCTTTGGATGCCGCCGGTACTTCCTCTTTGCGACGGTGACGCCGGTCGTCTCCCGGCACTCCGCCGCCGGTGCTTCGGTGCCGGTCGCATCCTGGAGTTTGAGCTCCTCGGCGGATGACTGGGTCGGCGACACTAGGGATGCCTCGGGTGCGATTCCGCGCGAGTTGGCGATCCGCCTCTGAAGTTTCTGTGGGTCACTCCCGTCAGCAAAACGTGATCCGTCCGGGCGCGCGCGCGCCGGCCTTTGCGATGCCGGATGCTGCTGTGGCGCGTGGAGTACTGAGAAGGACTCGTACCCGTCGATGGCCCAGCTTCACCCCCAATGCATCGCTGCGGAAGAAAACCCAGTCAGCCTGAAATCCCGGCCTCTCTCTCATTCTGGCACCCCAGACGCCGCCTCTCACGTACAGGTCAGATTCGGTAATGTCCAGGATGGTTTCCCAAGTGTCAAATCCCTGTTGGAGGAACACATCGAGATACTGGGCGATGCCCAACTCCTCCAGAATGGTCCCCAGTAATTGACTCATCTGGACCGGTGCCCGAGTCGCGTTTCTCGATCGACCGTTATGCGCCGGGTCCAAGGACCAAGACCGTGGTTTGCCGGGATGGTGCGCTCCCACGGCCGGGTGGTTTCAGCGCCCGGAAATACCGAAATACCAAACTGACGGGCGCTCCTTCCAAGTAACTGCACAATTCTCTCTCTTTTTAGACGAATGGTCCGGCGACTATCGGGCCTGCTGTTCCCGGGTGTGGCGCCTCTCGTTGTTCGGCTGATTCGCAAATGCGCAGGCTGGCTATAGCGTCTTTCCGCGGCGTGGCAGTTACAGTGCGTGCGGTATCCTCGGAACCCGGGAGACGTGTGCGCGACGGGAGATGGCAATCTTGAGGGACCAGAGTCGAGCTTCGAAGTGCAGTCGGCGTGTCGGTCTGGCTGGACAGTTTTGGTGAAAAGGAAGCCGGGGTGGGGGAGGTTTAGCAGACGTTGTTAAGAGCGGCGAAGGCAGGGGAATTCTGTGGAGGGAGTCAATTCCAAGGTCAAGAGACAAATTCGCTTATGCCATGGCATTTCTGTCATCGGAAGCTGGGGGTTTTGGCCTGGTGGGGTGGAAGTCCCCAAGTTCGCGATGACATGCCGAATTGCACGGGAAGAAGCAGAGGTGGGACGGCGGAATCGAGATGGCCAGGGTCCCATGATGATGGATTGAATGGCTATTGGGAGAGGGTACTTACACGGAACAGGGGCAAGTCTCCTGCTTGAATGGGGAACGGGCTCGACGGGGTCTGGCTTTGGTGTAACGGGAACCGGCTCGCGTCTGGCCGGGAGGGATGCTGGAGTGGGCAAATGCCTGGGCGGCGTGAAATTAAAACGGGGACATGGGCCAGTGCCCGGGTCTAGACTCTGGTTCGCTGGGTCAGGCGAAGTGAAGGGCTCTGGCTGTTCTGTGTCTGGGGTTGTGTTGGGTTGCTGGTCTGCATGTCAGGACCGGCTCGAGGCAATCAGCCCCGGATCGAGGTGCAGGCGTCAACTGAATTCCGGATCTACGAGCGCGGTTGGGTGCCGTTGACTTGGGCTTGCCATGGAGCGTGGAGCCGAGGCCCTGCTCCGCACCTCGTATGCCTTTGTTGTGTACACTGGAGAAATCGGAGCGATGCGAATGCTTGTCCGAGAAACAAGCCTGGCACGGCTTGGTACGGAACTGCGGTTGGAAAACAGGAGATCGCCGAAGTACCCGGAAGTCGCCCGTCCTCTGAGCAGCCGAGTTTTCTTGGGATCGTGATCGTTTGAGCCGATCGACGACGTGTTCTCCGTTGCTAAGAATATACGCCTGGCAAGCCTGGCAAGCCTGGCTCTCCTCTCCTCGCATCCACTGAGCACTCTCGCTCGACCTGGGCTTTGGCTTTCGGCCTCTTTTCTTTTTTCCCCTCGCCGGCGGTGGTGTGGACAGCAAGCAATCCTACGAGTTCGCCGTCGGATATGTTTCAAAGTCCGGTTTCGCCCCGTGGGCAACAACAATCGTGCAACCGATGAATAGCGAGCGATGAGAATGCCGATGAGAATGGCGATCGATACATGAAGGGTTCCTCTTTACAGGCTGGTTCTGCCTGAACAGCATTCCGGAACTGTCTTAACAATCAGGGACGAGTTCCAGGCTGTCATTGGCAGGGGACCAACAGTCGCCTTGGGAACGGCGAACAACAATGCCATGATGGCACCGATGGGTATGGGGAATGAGCCACGAAATGGAAAGCGAACAGGGACAGGACAGGGAGAGGCATCTCGATCCCATCGAATCGAGCAGGCACATGTAAAAAACGTACGACTTTTATAAACGTACGACTTTTATGGGCTGCAGGCGCCATTGGGCCAATGGAAAGCGCCTTACCCGCCGCTTTCCCGAATCTAGCAAGGCCACCGCCGCAAAGCGGTGCAGGTATGATCCCCGTGAGCCAATCCCCACGTTTCTTCTGTGGATGTTCGGGCGTGTTCGGCAGCTGCCTTGAGGCGGTTTCGATGGAATGACTGAGCCCGCCTCTGTGGCTCGGACGTGGCAAAGAGGCCTGGCGTGAAACTTGAATTGTGAGAATTGATCACGTTTGTCTTTTTCACATGCCGTAGACCGCTTTGGAAACAAAGCTGGTCGATGGAGCCGCTTGGCCTGCTAGCTGTTCTTGTTGGTGTTGCGCGGGGAGCCGGGCCCGAGGGTTGTGGCGGGTTGCGGTTCTCGGCGATGAACCACCGATGGTTTTGGAGCCCGCCCATCATCGACATTTTGGCCTGCAATCGACAATCCGGCGGACCACGATGCCACTCTCACCCTGGCCGCACGCATTCTGCTGTCCCTCCCAATACAATCCACGCAGACGATCAGGGATCCAGTTACATGCACCATGTACATACATGGTGGGCATGTCAACGGAAAGTGCATTCTCGATGAGATGCCAAAGTTCGATGCCCTTGTGCCCTCAGAATATTTTCGAGCACCGCGGATGGCTGCCCGGCACTGCGTGAATGGAAAATGGGTTGAGCGGAGCCGGGGAGATGCGGAATTACACAAATACCATCAACTCCGGTGGAGTTTAGAAAAAAAAAAAAATAAGGCAGAGAACAAAAGCCGCGCCACCCGTCCGCCTCGCTTTGAGATTTGCCGGTTCAGCGCTTATGGGATTTCCGATTTTAGCATGCTTGTGCCATCTGGTCATGAGTTCGTTCTTGGGGTCCCGCGAGTGGAACGAACCGGCAGGGAAGGGTGCTTCGTCCCAATTGGCTAAGACATCGGAACCTCTTGGAGCTTGGAGGTCGGTCGAGGGCCTAGACCCTTCATGCCTTCTCTCTCACGTCACCGTCCTCGGACACACCCTGATGCTTGGTCGCATGGCGAGAGCACCAGACGACGACCGGTCAAAACAAGCTTAATTATTGCAGGACCGACAGTCCGGATACCCTACCTTGGGAGCTTGGCCGCTTTTTTTTATTTGTTTTCTTTTTCTTGTTTTTTGCCGTGGCATTACCGACAACCGCATTTGCGGAAGGGAAGCCGAGGGACAACTTGCGGCGCCGAACAGGTGGAGTTACCAGCGCCTGGGAAACGGGATTGGGAGCTCAGGCAGGTTACAGCCGCTTGCTTCCCAAGCCGCTGGAGAGCTTCGCCGCAGCCGTCACGCGTTTCGTTCGTTTCGGTTGGTACGGCGTGCGCACCGGTCGCTCGTTACTGGCTCATTCAGCTCCTTCTCGATCGAAAACTACGCTCTTCTCACTACCTAGTTAATCTGTCCACTCCTGAGACTCTGTATACCTCAGTTTAGAGAAGCTTGCGGGAAGAACAATAAACGCGAATCATATCCACCTATCTCCCGTCGACAACGCACATGGCACCACCATCCAACCCCCCCAAGTCCCAACAGGGTGAGAGTCCCTCGGGTAGCGGGAAAAACGAAGCATCATCTCCGCATGACCCGCCGGCGCCATCACCGTCCTCATCGTCGGTCAACGATAATCTAGCCCAGGTAAGTTAAACCAAGCAGCACCTTCCCTGCCACGTACCCGACCCTCGGGTCCGCCTCTCGGGGGCACCCGCCCGTTCTTCTTCCAGCTTCTTCAGCCCTGTCTCTCTCTCTGTCTCTCTCTCTCTCTCTCTCTCGTGTCCCGTCCACTCGTCGCTGACGTTACCGTCCCTGTGGTCTAGGCCCTCAAAGACCTTGCAAGGTATGATGCTTCTCTCCCCCCACCCCCTGCCCCAAAGCCACGATTCGGAGGGTTTCGAGACTGCAGCAGCCACCGCCAGTGGTGCGATTTTGGGTGATTTGCCCAAGAATGGTAACCCTCTCTTCTCACTCCATCGGGTCACACTTCTCACCGCTTCAAGAAGCCAGAGACGGTATTGGGACCCGCCCCGACCACTTGCAGCAAGTTGGACCCGGGTCGGCGGGCACCCCTATTCCGGATGCAGGGGATGTTGCAGCAGCAGGACCCTGAAAAAAGGACCCTGAAAAAAAGGGGACGCCTACGAGCTCAACAAACCTGCAGGGCCCGCCAGCGCTTCACGGTGCCACTGCCGCCCTTTCCCCAAAACTCCCCTCCCCGCATGGCATTGGCATGTGCGCTGTTCAGCCGCGCGACGGAATGGGACGGGCAGAAGCAAAGCTGCAGCCCGAGTGGTAGCGCCTACCCATTTTCAGCCCCATTTTCCTCCCGTGTTTTCTTTTTCTCTTATTAGCGCTCCCCTCTCCCGTGTACCGAAGAGCTTCGGCAGCAACCCCGAGGGAAGCTGTTGAGGTGGGGGTGATGGAAGAAAAACGCAGATCCGGGGAGGCGGACTACCCGCCGCCGTTGCCATGCCATGCCATGTCATGCACCATCCACGCAGGCATACTACGACACCATACACGCATATAACGCATCCACACATACCTACACACACAACACATACACATACATTACCCATACACACATGAACATACCTGTAACCAACTAACATGTCCAACTCGCACGGGAACAGGGGAGAGCAGACGGCCAGCACGCTCGAGGCGAACCTGACCAACCTGGAGGGCAAGCTAGACGAGATACTCGCCTCGTTTGGCGTCTCCGAGGCCGACCTCGACGCTCTTGACGAGCAGGAGAAGTCGCAGAGTAGCGGCGTGAAGGGCGCAACGGGCGGTGCTGAGAACGGCGGCGCGGGCGAGGATAAGAAGGGGGGTGCGTGAGGCCGGTCCTGACAATGGACGGTACTGTCGCAGGGGCGTGGGCGTGTTGATAGAGACGGCGGCGGCGTTTTCGATCATACATACATGCCTACCTAGTGAGAACAGATTGGGCACGTGGGGATGGCTGGCATGGCTGCCCGGGTATAGGTAGACATGCATTAGCGCGGTACGCAACACCGGGACCATTTTTAAAAGTACCCAGCATCGGACTACTGTGTAGAGTGCGTCTTTCCTGCCCCCCCTTGCAGGGGTGGTATGGGGTGTAAACAGTGGCATTCATCATCATAGAACTGTCGACCACAACCAAAGCGGCCGGTTGCATGTGTGTACACATCCGCAATGCGTTGCTCATCATCACAAGAAAAAGGAAACCAACCCAGCCGGTCATACAAAAAAGCCAAACCAGCCCCAACCCTCTTTATCACTCAACACCTCGTCCCAAAACAAAAAACCGACATGGTTGATTATTCCCCCTCAACGATTTGGGCATCCCAGTCCTTCTTGATCAACAACTCATCCAACTCCTCCGTCTTGGAGATGACCAGCCCCTTCTCGTTGGCCAGGTGCAACAAGCAGATGAAGCAGAAGCTGGTGGAGATGTCGTCCATGACCTGCTTCGGGTAGACGCGCTGCAGGCCGGTCACGACGTCGGTAAACTTCAACGTCGGGTCCTCCTCGCCGTTGCCAGACGACGTGGGTTTCTCGGGCGAGGTGGGGGTCATGAGGCGGCTGTTGTTTGCCGCGTTGTTTTGTTCCTGATGGAGAGACATCATTAGTTTTAGGGGGGCAGGGAATAGGGGGCGGATCTGATAATAAAAGCGGGACTCACATCAAGCTCCTCCAAGCCAATCCCCTTCCAAATCTCCTCCTTCAGCCGCCTGACATCCACCTTCTTGGCCACGCGCGCGTACTGCACATACTCGGGCCTGGCCCTCCTGTTCTGGGTCACCAGCATCGTCCCAAACGCCAGATCGGCCGGGTTGGTCACCGTCAGGCCGCCAAACGCGCCCGTCATACCGACGTCGGTCATGGGCCCGCCGGCCTCGGGCGAGAAGTGGTCGCGGGCGTCGGCAAACTCGTCGTCCATGTCGTCGTCGTCATCGCCCAGGCCGCCGCCGCCGGCGAAAGGCAGGCCGTCATCTTGGAAGAAGTTGGCGTCGTAGTCACCTTGGGGGAGGGCCTCGTCGGGGGAGGAGCCGTGCTCGGTGGACTGGAGGGGTGCCTTTTGTGAGGCCCAGAAGGCCTCGTCCATCTCGCCTTCGGGAACGTCATTCTGCTGGCGTTGCGAGTCGGCGTTGCCTATCCTACTGCCGCCGCCAAGGACGCGCCGGCGGCCCATACGGGATTTGGGTTTCAGGAAGAGGCTGAGCAATTGTTTGGAGCTGAAGTGCTTGTCGTCGGGGAGGAGGTTGCGCGATTTGGATTTCCAGTCCTTCTTTGGGAGGGAGATGGTCGAGTTGGACGAGGCTTGGGTGTAGATGACCTCGGCGACAGCGGGGTCGAGAGGGGCGGCGAAGTCGATCTCGAACGGTTGCTTCTCTTTGCGCTGCCTCGCCGGCTCGGTGGGCTTGTTGACGTCCTTGATCTTTCGTATCCTCCAGTGCTCGGCGCTGCTCCAGTTCTTTTGCAGGGCCTGGTCGAAGTAGCCGAGGATGTCCTCGTGCATCCTGTCGGCCTTTTGGGCGTGTGACATGGAGATGGCAAAGTCGCCGTTCTCGGCGTCGAGAAGGTCGGCCCCATCACCCTCCCCGTCAGCGCCAGCACTGTCGCCCATCCCCAACCCAGCGTCGAAAACGCGCATTTGCGGCTCGAGGGCAGCCTCCCGGGCCCACGCCTCTCCTCCCTCACCGAAGTCCACATCTCCACCCAAGTCGAAAGTCCCGAGTCCGTCTTCGTCATCGAAGCCAAGAGGGTTCTCCTCATCGATAAACATGCCCGATTTATCCCCAATCCCGCCAGGCCCTGGAGTCTTTTCCTTATCTTGGTCGCGCCAATCTTCGGGCGCCTTGAGAAAGGGGATATCCAAAGAACCAGAGGGGTCGCCCAGATCGAATGCTTTGAGCGAGGGGCAGACGTCCATGCTGTCCAAGAGACCGAGATCCGGAAAGAATCTCGCGCCAAGACCACCAACGTCAATTTCAACGTCTCCCTCCTCCTCTGGTTCCTCCGGTACGGGGGTCAACTCCCGATCGGCCATCGAAAGGTCGCCGTCCTCGTCCTCGCCTTCAATCTCCTCACTACCGCCCCGTTCGCGGGATTTGGAACTAGCCACATCCTCGGCATCGTCACTACTATCGAACACAATCCGTCCCTGTGAGTCGATCATGAGGTGGTTTAGCAGGAGGCCCTTTGCGCCGCCCTCGTCAAAGTCGGCGGATGCTTTCTTGAAGAGTGGGTCGACTGCGAATTCGAGCTCGAGTTTCTTGAGTTGCAGCGAGGCAAACGACGGCGCAAGGGTGGCCTCGGAGGATCGCTGGGTCTGTCTTATGGTTAGTGCCACGACAAGGAGAATAAGGTGGCCAGCCCGGTCCCGCGCACCTTCTTTTTGGCCTTCTTCCTAACATTGCCATCCTCGTCGACCTCGTCTTCTTCCTCGTCCTCGTCCTCATCGCCGTCGCGGCCCTTCCTCTTGTTGTCGCGGCTATCTGCTAACCCGCTCAACAACTTCCCCGTCTCGGTGGCGACACTGTCGACTCTGCTCGTGTAGATCTTGACACAGCCGTCAAGCGTGCAGCTGGCCTTCTGGAAGTTGACCCCATCACCCTCCTTGAGTAGCGACATGTCGTGGAAGTAGTCGATAAGGGCAAAGTTCCACGAGTTGGCGGCGTTGATCTTGTTGTCAGTGGCCATCTTCATCCACTCCTCGAAGTTGGCGAGGATGGGTACCCGCTTCATCGGGGTGACGGCCTTTCCGCCCACAATCAGCGGTTCGTCGTCGTCCATGATGATGGTGTGGTTGCCGCTCTTGCGGCGGCGCGGAGTACGCGGGCTGGATCCTGGCGGCTCGGCATTCTGGAGATCGTTGAATGAGGAACTCGACTTTCGTGGGGTGTTTGTCGCGGCGGCCCTGAGTTGGTTGATCTGGGCCTCGTGGGCGGCCTTGCGGCCGTGGAATCGCTGTGCCTTTTCGTGGGCATCGTCGTTGAGGGGGATCCTGTAAAATGTGCGATTAATGGGCGTTGTCCCGGCGCATTTGATGTGTGTGTGTGCGTTTGTGGTGCGCCATGTTTCAGGCGGTCTCTTCTGCGGGGAACCGAAAATCAAGTTGTCACAGGGTGCGACTCACTTTACTGGCGATTTGAATGGTGACGCAAGGAGAGAGCCAGAGGGGACTCTACTCCCACTCCTGCGGTGGTGTCCTTGGGCGACTCGAGGCATCTTATCGCGCGGTCGTGGTGTGTTGTTGCAGATCGAATGCGCTGAGCCGTCAACTCCGGATGTGGTAACCAAAACTGTTTGTTTACTTTGGTGGTTGAGCCGGAAGCGCCCGGCGATTGGCTAGAGGGCGGGTAGAGTCACGTGATGATAAGATCCCCCCGCAGCTTCAGGGGCGTTGCGGGCGTCTCGGCCCAACCTGAGCTATTCCACTTCCGTCGATCGCGAGTGAACGAACCCCTCAACTCAACATGGACTTCCTGGACGCGACGATTTCGTCGGATTTATCTCGTGGGCTGCGACAGCATGAGGGCATTCAATCCACATTCGCTGTTCCCGATGGATTCCCGGAGCTCGTGTAACATTCGTCTGACTTACCACGAGCCGGGTTGATGGGCTATGACATCTGCAGTTTATGCAAAGCCAAACTCCCGGCCCTTCCTTGCAGATCTGCGCATAAAGCTTGATATTGGAGAAGTTGTCCTCATCAACCTTGGCTCTCTCTGTTTCAAAGATGGCGAGCACAGGTAGGGCTGGAACCCGGGAGCCGTTTCCTCCCTGCAGAAACCCGTCCCAGCGGACTGGGACTCATTTGGTGGACGTCAACTTGCTGCCGTGGTAGTTATCGTATCTCCACCTGATTACACGACAATTCAGAAGAGGATGCGATGCATTGGCTGGACCTGTGCCTGTCAAAGCCCCCTCACCACAAGAAACACAACTCGCCGCGGTAGTCGCAAAAATATTAGATTGCACTTGCCCTCTTCACCTGGAACTTCGCTTGGCTGGCCAGCTGGCGAAGCAGGTTTCAGTGGTGTGTCCCAAACGAGCACCACTCCTCGCCCAATGGGCGGCCTCTGAAAGATGACGGTGGCGGATCCGCAAATCCGCAACAATGACAGCTCTCCGAATCCCGGTCCTTCCCACGCGCGTCCCATGGCAGATCAACGTCACGGACAACGCAATGCCGCCAATGCGACAACTTGACTTGTCTGTCGGTCAGGAAGTTGTCACAGTCCAGAGCCGACATGGAGTGATCTCATTACCTCCTCTCACTTCATCAACAATAATAACAACAGCAACGACAGAAATAACATCAACAGCATAGTTTAAATTCTGCCATTTAACTATCTGACTACAGATTATTTGATTTACTTACCCTTGACCACCAATTCTCAACCCACCATGCGCTTCCGCTAACACAATGCCGCCATCCCGCCCAATGCGTCGCCGCCGATACGGCGCCCAGCCGGCCGTTGCGGCGATCCTCCTCGTCACCATAATAGCTGCCCTTGCGCTGTTCCAGTCAACAAAGTCGGGAATCATCGGCAACGGTCATCGGCAGACCCGCTCCGTACTCAATCCCCGTGGGTTGCACGAGACTGACGCCGACTGCCGCAACGTGCATGATGCCGCCGACCAGTGCGCCTTCATCCTAGCCAACTGCGAAGACGACGAGGCCGGCCTGATCCATTACCTGTCGTTTTATTACTGCACTCTGGGCTCGGCCAAGCCCGTCGCTTTCACCATCCTCGCCCTCTGGCTTGGCCTGCTGTTCACCACCATCGGCATCGCCGCCAGCGACTTCTTCAGCGTCAACCTGAGTACGATTTCCAGTGTGCTGGGTCTGAGCGAGAGTCTGGCCGGCGTCACTTTCTTGGCCTTTGGCAATGGCTCCCCGGATGTGTTCAGTACCTTCGCCGCCATGGGCTCCAATAGCGGGAGCATGGCCGTTGGCGAGTTGATCGGTGCTGCGGGCTTCATCACCGCCGTCGTGGCTGGCTCCATGGCCTTGGTGCGCGAGTTCAAGGTCAGCAAGAGAACCTTCGTGAGGGACATTGTCTTCTTTATCGTTGCCATCAGCTTTACCATGGTCTTCTTGGCCGACGGGGAGCTGCACCTCTGGGAGTGCTTCACCATGATTGGCTTCTACCTATTCTATGTGGCGGTCGTCGTGGGGTGGCATTGGTTCACGGCACGCCGGAGGAACCAGCGAAAGAGGGATCTAGCGGCTCGCGCCCACCTCTACGACGCCTCCGGCCATGGCACCGACGAGCTGGAACCTTACCGAGATGAGCCGGATGAGGACGACGCTGCGCCGGTCGGCAGCCGTACAAACAGTGCTTCGGACCTGGGGGATGTCAGTATATTGGAACGTGGACCGCGGATCGAGATTGGAGGGGTACCGGCCGTCGACGACGACGACGACGAGGAACAGAAGGGGAGACACGTTGCTGCCGAAATGGCTAACAGCATGCGCGTCAACCGGCCCCGCTGGGGACGAAGCAACTCCACCATCACTCCGATTAGGCCGAGTTTGCTGGGAGCACTCGAGTTCAGATCGGTCCTGTCCTCCTTGCAGAAGGAAAGGAATATGTACCTGGGCCCGCTCCCTGGAAGGTCGAATTCGACCCAGCACCCCCCAGCCACGGCCGGTCTGGAAGATCCCAGAGGTCGCCCTCGTAACCAAACGATGCCATCGCATGTCCCTCTTGTGAGAGAGCGTGCCTTGTCGTACGGAAACGAGCCACTGAACCTGGATAATAATACCAGGTTTGCCCGCCCCGATTCCTCTCCCATGTCGCATACGCGGAACAGCTCGGCTGCTCGCACTATCGACGGAATGCTTGCGCCGCCGCTTGGCTCCGTCCCTGGCCCCGATCATGGCTCTCAGCCGCCGAAGCAGGGCCAGCAGTTACTGCAGATCAGGATTCCCTCCCCGAGCGGTCGTTCCAGTGGGCAGTCATCTCCCACCCTCTCGCCTTTCCCGGGCCTGTCAGAGTCGCCCGCAGCCCTTACCCCGGTACATGAAGCACCCACATTTACGTTCCCGGTTCCGGCGGAATCGAGGCAGCATCACTCCGTCCCTGATCTTGGAGACCAGGAAGAACAGCCGAAGCCAGTCAAATGGTGGCCATACAGCTTGTTGCCGGCACCTCACGTTCTCCTTGCCACCGTCTTTCCGACTCTCCAAGGCTGGAAGGAAAAGACGTGGTGGGACAAGGCCGTGAGCTTAATCTCGGTTCCAAGCATCTTCCTCCTAGTCGCTACGTTGCCGGTAGTGGAAACCGACAATGAGGACAATATGTCCGAGGCCGACCTCGCGGACCCACCAGAACCCGGCCGCCCCGGAAACATCGCCCCGGCGGTCGTGGTAGAGGAGAGCGGCGAGATCCAACCCGAGACCGAGTGGCAGGCGTACCGACGGCGCACCCGCTCCGTCTCGTCTAGATCTCCACTCAGCCGATCCCCGTCCTCGGTCTCCCTCAACACCAACGCCAACACCGACCCACCACCCGACCAGCCCTCGGATCAACTGCCCTCCCTCACCCTCCCCGTCCCGCAGCTACCCAAACACCCCAGCCCGGGCTCGGACCACTCCACCACCATCACCGCCACCTCCAACCCCCCGCCAGGCGGCTGGAACAGGTGGCTCGTCGCCGTCCAACTTTTCACCGGCCCCCTCTTCGTCGTAGCCATCCTCTGGGCCAACACCGCCGACGAAACCGGCTCACCAGTCCGCACGCTACTCCGCATGCTGCTCTACTCCCTAGTATTCTCCCTCTGCCTCCTCGCCGCGCTCCTAGCCACCACCACCCCGCACCAAAAGCCGCGCTACCACTTCCTGCTCTGCTTCCTCGGCTTCGTCATCTCGGTCGCGTGGATCTCGACCATCGCGGGCGAGGTGGTCGGCGTGCTGAAAGCGCTGGGCGTCATCCTCGGCATCTCGGAGGCGATCCTGGGGCTGACGGTGTTCGCGGTGGGCAACTCGCTCGGCGACCTCGTCGCCGACGTCACCGTCGCCCGCCTCGGCTACCCCGTCATGGCCCTCGCCGCCTGCTTCGGCGGGCCCATGCTCAACATTTTGTTGGGTGTGGGGATTGGTGGTGCGTGGATGGGGATTAGTAAGGCCAAGAAGCGCCAGCGCGCGCACCCCGGGAGTGAGCTGCGCTATAAGCCGTACCGGGTTCGGGTCGGGGGGTCGTTGATGATCTCGGCGGTTACCGTGCTGTTGACGTTGGTGGTCTTGCTGATTGTCGTGCCGTCTAACGGGTGGGTCATGAGTAGGCGCATCGGGTGGCTGTTGATTGGGATTTGGACGGTGGGGACGGTGGTCAATCTGGTGGTGGAGATGACGGGGACGTTTGCGGACGTGTCGTTGGGGGTGTGAGAGAGCTTTTTTCCCCTCCGCTGCTGCGCACACGGGAAAGCACGGTTATGCGGCCGTGTCTCGTGTGCTTGCATGGCATAACATCTGCGGCAGGGTAGAGCGGGGGTGGTGTCGGACCGGGACGGCCAGGATTGCCAGCATCCATCTGCACCACGGACACCGTTACCCCGGTACTTCACCAACTTCCCTTCTGCCCGTCCTGTAAAAGGGGCCCAAAAACAGCGGCCATCTCAGGTAACCGGGCCATGGAGATGCGTACCCCATCAGCGGCGAGGAAGGAGACGGGACGCTTTGGTTTCGGCCCGCGAAACACCCAGCCCCGGCCCGGGAGGGGAACGCAGGGCCCCCGGCTTTTGACAGGGGGGCCGGGAAGAGTGGCTGGCATTTACAATGAGCTGATGGATGGTCTTGGCTTGTTCGTGACGACTGATGATGGCGATAGACGGGTGTAGAATAGGAGTTGGCAAAGGTCAAGGTCTGGAATACGAGGTGTTGATAGGACATGTCCCGTACTTTTATTCCATTTACGGGAGAGGGGGGATCGTCAAGCGCTCCAGGGTGTTGGGTGTACTAAGGCGACGACGGATGTGGGTGGGTTTTTGGGTACATACACTCTTCCTGATGATTTTGTGGATACTACCTATGTGAATATTTGAATACAGCTGTTTAATCTGGTGTTTGGTGACTCCTGCCAATATGGTTTACCATGGACAAGTCTGGACTATGATATGCCCCTGAACCCCTGAAGATTCCCCGCTTGGCCGCCAGTGTGAGGGGAGTGGGGCATGCTTGGGTGTCAATGGAGGGGTCACTGCAGGAGGGAAGGGAGGGGCAGACCGACCACCTCTCAGCTTCCCCAGACGACAACGTGGGGCCAGGAACCAGTCGCGAAGAGGGGGATATCCTTCACCGAAACTTTGAACCGCCGGCTTTGGGATCTCGTATCTGCCCAACCAATTCGACTTTTTCCTTCCTCACCGTCTCCATTTCCTACCCCAAACTCGAATTCTTTCAACCGACTACACCAACCCCACAGCAACAATGGCCTCCTACCCACCCCTCGCCGAGCGCGAGATCAAGAACACGGTCGTCCTGTTCGATGTCGATGGCACCCTGACGCCTGCTCGTTTGGTATGCCCCTCTCCCTCCCTACGTCCTCGTGTTACCCCTTCCAGCTCCCAACCCCATACTGACTCGATGTCCGTGTGCGTTCCAGTCCGCCTCCCCCGAGATGCTCACGCTGCTCGAGCGGCTCCGCCAAAAGGTCGCGATCGGGTTCGTGGGCGGGTCCGACCTGGTCAAGCAGCAGGAGCAGCTGGGCAGCGCGTCGGTCAACGTGACGAGCATGTTCGACTTCTGCTTCGCTGAGAACGGGCTGACGGCGTACCGGCTCGGGGAGCAGCTGCCGTCCAACAGCTTCATCAAGTGGATCGGCGAGGACCAGTACAAGGAGCTGGTGCGCTTCGTGCTGCACTACGTCGCCGACCTCGAGATCCCCGTCAAGCGCGGCACCTTTGTCGAGTTCCGCAACGGCATGGTCAACATCTCGCCCGTCGGCCGTAACGCCAGCACCCAGGAGCGCAACGACTACGAGAAGTACGACAAGGAGCACGGCATCCGTAAGGCCTTTGTCGAGAAGCTGCGCGAGCGCTTCGGCCATCTGGGGTTGACGTGCGTACACCCTCTCTTTCTCTTCCTCCCGTCCCTATCACGCGCTCTCCCCGCATGCTAACAACCCCCGATAAACAGCTTCTCTATCGGCGGGCAGATCTCCTTCGACGTCTTCCCCACCGGCTGGGACAAGACATACTGCCTGCAGCACATCGAGAACGAGGCCAAGCGTCCCAACGGCGTCGAGTACACGACGATCCACTTCTTCGGCGACAAGACGTTCGAGGGCGGCAACGACTACGAGATCTTCAGCGACAAGCGGACCATCGGACACACGGTCACGGGCCCGCAGGACACCATCGACGAGCTCAAGAAGCTTTTTGATCTGTAAAAGGGGTGGGAGACAAACATCTAGGGATGGATAATCTAATGCAGTTGGTGATACTTTAGCATCGGCGTGGCGGGTCCAAAATAAACGCGGTGATTTAATCCAAGAAACTCTTTATATCGCTGACATGTCTCATTCAAACACCCGCTATCCAAGGCTATGAAACAAGACCAAACGACCCCTATCTCCCAGAGAATCAAAAAGGACATTCGAGCAAAATCCGTAACAAGTCAAAAACAACAACAACACACATCCACATCGTCACTCTCATCGTCCGACACCATCCCTTCTCATTCCCCTCCCCCGCTCTCCATCCACCACCTCCCCACCAACCAAACCCATCAAGAGACTCCCCAAACAGCCTACCCCCCAAACTAATGCCCATACTCCAAATGCGGCACAATCACCGGCCCATACTTGGTCGTGCCCGTATACATACCATCCCCCTGCACCACGAAATCCACCGCCAGACTCAGCTTGCTCAGCCCGCCCGAGTGGCCACCACTACTAGCGATGCTCGCCGCGTAGCCGCCCGTCTGGGGCTGGCCGGCGGCGCCGTCCGGGTCGTAGGCGACGATGGCGACGTAGTTGCGGCGGGCCATGAGCTTCTTGTACTCGCGGGCGCCGCCCGAGGCGTCGGTGTGGAAGATCTCCATCATGTCCTCCTTGGTGTCGGACACCTCGTTGGTTGATTTGTGGCCGTTCTGCGGGACGTACAGGAGTTTGTTGTTGTGCAGCATCTTGAGGAGGTAGTTGGAGCAGGGGGCGGCCACGACGGGGGAGGCGATGACTTGGTACATGGTCTTGTGGTCGGACGGGTGCGACGGGTCGTGCAGGAGGCCTGCGCCGGCGCAGTTGACGTCTGTGGGACGAAGAAAGGGTTAGTATGGGGTGGGATGATGTTGGGGCGAGGGAATGAATGGGGAGGTGGGATAAGGGACGTCTTACCGCCAGACAAGAAAGTCATCCGGATGCCCTTTTGTTGGGCAATGCCCTGCAGGGTGCGGATGAGGTAGGTCCGCTCGAGATCCTTGGAGTCATGCGTCCAGAGATCCTTAAGCTCCTCACCGATGTCGAACTCGCCAAATTGGTTGAGCACGTTGCCCATCAGGCCGGTCTTGCCAACAGCCTTCTTGACTTCCTTAAACCCGTGCTGCACCATCTCCTTGCCGCCGACCACGCCCGCCACTGAGCTAGTCACCTTGCCGAGGATGTTGTACGTCGTGTTAACCGCCTTCTTGCCGGTAGCGAAGGTGTTGGCCAGCGTTTCGACCGTCTCGAGTCGCGGGTACACGACGGGTACCGACACCATCCAGATGCAGTGTTGTACACTGGGGCGGAGCGTAGCCACTTTGGGGAATATCCCTTGGTATGTCTGTCCCGCCATGACGCGCGCCTGGGTGCGCTCCGACCGGCAATCCGGTCCGATCGCAACGACGGCGGGACCAAGGTACTTAACAAAATGCCAGCCGGCGCCCGTGATGGTGAACAGGTCCATGTCGGAGCTGACGTTGCGCAGGATCTCGACGGTGGTGTGATGCTGGAAGAGCAAATACATGTCCATGGCGATGCGGCCGATGCCCTTGAACACGGCCGACGACTGCATGTAGTCGGGGTACGAGCCGAAACCGTCGAATCTGATAAAGTCAGTACTCCTCTATTTTTCAACGGCGGGCGCAACTCACATGTCATGGTCGTCAACTTGCAGCACATGCGGAATCTGCGCGAACGCCTCGCGCATGAACGGCTGGTCGAAGTGACTGGAATAGTAGTGGAAGTATGCGTGGGACACCTCCTCCTGGTGCCTCGCCGTCCACGCGGCATTCTTGCGATTCTCCCTCCCCTGCATCGCAAGCCACTGCCTTAGTAGCGGTACCTCCTTCCAGAGCCGATCGCCGTAGATCTGAGCACCCAAACCGAGCTGAACATGGAAGCCGCCGCACTCGACGTTCTTCTGCAGGATATCCTTCCACATGAATCCAACGCCCCCGAGCTTAGCTCGCTCATTCTGGTTCGTCGATGGGGAAAAGTCGTTGCCCGAATGGGCAATCATGCGCCAGCCCGCCTCGTAGCGACCAGCAACCACAAACTCGTATCTCGTGCACCCGAGATGCGAGGTCACGGCATACGTCCACCGCTCGGTCCCCTGCTCCGACATCTGGAGATCCATGTCGTACTTGTAAAACGTCCACCTCTGGTGTGCGTAGATGTTCTGCGGCACGAGTTGACGGGGGTTCGGGGAGAGGTCCATGCTCAAGTGGAGATGGATGGTCGGAGGCTGCTGCCCGTCGGTGACTAGTAGAATGCTGCCGTGCCAGATGCCATTCTCGAGATCCATATTGACGTAGCGTAGATACGGCCCGAAGTATACGCCGTTAGTAGGCATGACTTTGTACACGTCAACGCCCGCGGTGGGAGGCGGGCCGGAGAACCCCCCCATTGAAGGCGCCACAGATGCCGAGACGCTCATGATGCTCTCGGCATATCCGGGGTGGCCCTGGGGGTGGAACATGGGCGAGGCAAGGCCTGCCTTGCCGCCACCTAGGAGTGGTGACGCCAAGGGGTTTCCGTAGGTTGATGCCGTCGGCGACAGCGGTGCGGCATCGTGGTGATTCAAGGGGGTAGGTCCCTTGGGGAACTCCCACTGAGTAGCTTGCGTCGCCAGATGGATGTAGTAGTACTGGCCCGAGTTCTGGTCGAGGTGGGCGATCCAACCCTCGGGCAGCGGAGGTGGCGATTGAGTAGCTGCTAGGAGCGAAGGAGTGTGTGTCAGTGCTGGCTGCCCGTTCTGTGCCTCGGCGGGTTTGGTCTCCTGGGCGAAGGCGGGATGGCCTGCATTATGCGCGGGGATCGCAGCGGCAGCGGCCACAGGCGGGCTCTGCTTCTGCTTCTGGGGTGTCGGAGCGCTGATCGGGATAGGGCTAGCAATCGAGTGGGCGCTCGAGGTAGCGGCAGGCGGAGTTGCGGCGGTGTTGATGTTAGGTACGCTCGAACTCGGGTGCGGTTGGGTTGGGCGCTGCTTTTCGTTGGGATATTTCGAGCCCGCGTTGGGGTTGACGCTGGTGTACGCGGGCGGCGGAGTCGATGCCTGCATGCGCTGGAAGTCCTGTTCCAGCACGCTCACCTGTAGGGCGCCCCCCGCGGGCCCCTGCGAGGTCTGCGGCGCCTGCTGGGCCTGCTGGGCCGGGTGCTGGGCCGGGTGCTGGGCCGGGTGCTGGGCCGGGTTGGGATTCTGAGGAAGGTTGAAAGCCGGCGTTTGCTGTGGCGGCGTCGGGTTTTCCACTACATCGGCGCCCTGATACACAGTAGGGGGGCCAAACGGCTGCTGGCCTGGGGCCTCGGTGGGTGTCCATGGCCGGGGCTGGGGAGGAGTTGGCGCAACCGGAGCTTGGTGGCCGTACTGTGCTAGCCTAGATTGCGCCGCGGCGCTGGGAGCCTGGAGGGCGTTGAGAGTCCCGGTACCGGAGATGCCCGCCGCGGCGTAGCGTGCTTCGATACCTCCCCCAGGAATAGTTCCCGGCTCGACGATGGGTGTCTCGGGCGGTGGCGGCGATCCGCGGCTGGCCCGCGTTGTGGAGTTTGAGGCGGTAGACGAGAAGCGATTGATGGGCGGTGCAAGACTACTCGCGCCGCCGGGCGGGGGGTAGTAGGGCTTCTGCTGATAAGAGTTGGAGATCTTGGGCGCAGGGGCTGCCGCCGGTGGGTTCCTCAGGGGTTTGGCAAAGAGGCCCCCGGCGTCGTCATCGTCGCCGCCGGCGGGACTGATTGGGCTCTGCAAGGGTTTAGGAGCCGTCCCGCGCCGCTCGGCAAGGCCCGTCTTTTTCTCTCCGGTGTTTACTGTCGGCCGAGCAAATGATTCCTTCTGCGCCGGCGAGCCCGAGGAGATGGGCGGCGGGCTGTAGACCCTGCCTGCCGGAGGAGTCGTCTTGGGTCCGTCATCTGGGTAAGGGAGCCAGCTGGGCTTGGACTGCTGCGGCTTGGATTGGTGATTGGAGTTCTCTTCGGGATAAGGTAGCGGGGCAGCAGAGCTCGACGCGCCGAACGGGAAGGACGGTAGCGGCGGGAGAGATGCGATGCCCGACTTGGATGCTGGAGAGGAAGCCGAGCCCGCTGGCGAGGACGAGGACGGGGGAGCAGGGTATTTGGGCCGGTTCGAGACCTTATCGCCGACGGGGCTCTGCGGCTTGAATATCCTCAGCGGCCCGACTGTCGGGCTGTCGCAGTCCTCAGCAGGTCGCGGTCGGCTCAGAAAGAGCTCTTCGTCGGGGACGTCGCGCGATCGGGAGCCCATGGTGGGTGAGTAAGTAGTTGTCCCGACTCTACTTGCAGTTGCGACGGTGTGTGCCCGAGGGCTCGAGTGTCGGGACGGAAGATGAGTCGATACTCGCGACGAGCGTGGTGTTGGAGTCCTCTCTCGGGGGTGGTGGGTGGTGTCACCTTGACCGCAGCAGACGGGAACCCCTCCTTAAAAGAGACCCCTGTATGCAGTGCTCTGAAGGTGGGGAGAGGGTGACTATGGAGGGGTAACTGAGGTGAGTTAAAAGCTGCTGTTGCTCCTTGTTGCCAAAAACGGAGAAAGAGATGCCGCAAACACTTGCAAAGCTCGAATCTCGACACACAAGTCGCACACTCAGTTCAACTGAAGCTCGAGTTGCAAAATCCAGGCCGAGGACGTCAGGCAAGGCAATATGCGGCCAGATGCGCAGGCCGCGTTGCGATCGAACAGGGGGCCAGCAGGGGGCCGCCGAGGGGCAGGGGTCGCGAACGAGGGGCATTGGTGGCGGCACTGAAAAGCAGCCCCTCTGTGATTGGCCTCGCAGGCTGGGCGCTTAAACTGGCTTGGAGGTCACGGAGCCAGTGAGGGAGCCCGTGAAGCGCCCCCCATTGCCGTACCAGACGGTTCTGTCTCCTGGCTCGAGCCTGGGCATGTCCACTTGGGCATTACATTGGTCTCGAATTAGTTAGTCTGACTCGAACATCCCATCTCGTCCCATCTCGTTGGGTTGCCAGACGGCCGCGGAGCACATGCATCGAGGCCGGCGGGGTTATTGGGGCCGGGAAAAAGGGGCGCGGCAGAACTAATTGTTTGTCGAGGACTCGAGGTTGAGAGAAAAGTTGACGAACAGGGATGCCCTGCCCGTCGAGCTTGAGTTGCACAAACGCGCACACTGGCGGGGCAATCGTTCAATGCACGGGCCGTTTGACATGAGCCGACAGGGGAAGAGGAAATCAGACCAAGAGCGGGCCCAGCCGTTGGCTCGCTTGCCATCTTTGGACGACCATCTCTGTGCATGTGCAATTGCCGATTCTCCGATTCTCCGATTCTCCGTCTCATTAAACGAAGATATCGAGTCAAAAACGTCAGAAATGCAATATCAGTAAACGGCTAGTTTACCAGTAGACTAGAGCTTATGGCTTATTGGGTTTTCTAGTTATTTCGGAGTTTCCAGTCTTGTCCTTTCGCCCCCATCACAACCATTATGGAAGGAAAAGAAAGTCAGGTTTGAGACGCTAGTGTACTTACTAAAACAGTCCAGATATCAAAGGCAACAGCTCTTTGCTTGCAATATTGTGTTTTTGTCCGCTAGTCACTCCGTTTCTACCCAATATTCAAGAAGCACACAAACACACAACCACACAACTACAAACCCTCACATCAAGCCGTCCCCAAAAGCCCCTCTCGCCTCCTGCTCCAGCACCTCCCTCCTCACCCGCCTCGCCTTCCACCCAACAAACACCACCAGCACCACCCCGACCACAAGCCCGAGCACCAGCAGCATCACATTCACCGGCACCGGATTCCCCCCAAACCTAACCTCAAACAACCAGTCCAACCCCTCCTGCGAGAAATTCAACACCCCCGACAGCGCGATAACAGCACCGTACACAGTCCCAAACGTCTCAAACCCAAACACCTTCGCCGAGTAATCCGACACGGCGGTGTAGTAAAACGGCCGGTACAGCACGAACAGCACCACATTCGCATACCCAGCCCACGGCGCATGGGGGATGACGCCGAGGACGCCGATGGCCGTAGCAAAGAAGACGAGCGCGGCCAGCACGGTGGCCGTGGCGGTGCGGTCCAGCACCACGCCGATGAGCGGGATGGCCGCGATGCCGCCGAGCGGCAGCGCGACGTCGAAGAAGTGGTTGAGCGCCACGGCGGCCGGGCGCGAGCCGAAGAGGGATTGGTATTGCGAGCGGATCGTGGCGACGAAGAAGTTGATGCGCGTCATTTGGACCACTGGGTACGGCTTTTGTGTTAGTGGTTACTTGTTTTAGGGGTGGTTCATGAAGTGGGTGCGTACCGGTGAAGAGGCAGATGAGGATGAACCAGGGGGATCTGATCTGCTTCCAGGCCGTGTAGCCGTGCATGACGCCCCAGACACCCGAGACCTCGTTAACGTGCTCCTCGCGCTCGGTCTGCTTGTCCGCCATGGCCGGGCCGAGGACGGTATGGATGCCCTCGATCACATCCACCCGGTGTTGGCGCTCCTCTTCCTGCAGCAGTGCCGTCTCCTCGTCGACCTGGTCGTACGGCGCCGGTTCTACGACGGCCGCGTGGAGCGGCTCTTCAATCTCTTCAACCAGCTCACCCACCGTCTTGTACGACTGCGCCGGCATCAGCGTGAACTGCAGCAGGATGATGGCCACGGGCACGATGAGATAGCCCAGGAAGAAGCGCTCGTGGTTGAAGGCGCCGTCCGTCTTCTGGTACACGATGCGGTAGAGCAGGAACAGCGCGCTCGACGCGTCAAAGGCACCGGTCAAGAGCGCGAGGATGAAGCCCGAGTTGCGGGGGAACGCATTCGACAGCTGGAAGGACGAGATGTACGTAAAGGGGCCGCCCAGCGCCAGACAAAAGTAGCCCAACAGCAGAGCATCGAACTGCAGCCGCTTCTCAAACGCCATCAACAACGCCCCCGCCGCGAGGAACATACTCCCTAGTAGACCACAAACCCTGGGACCATAGTGATCAAGAATCGCCCCGATGGGTAACGCCGCGACGTTCGTTGCCACGGCCGCGACGGTGAACATCAAGTTAAGGTGCAGGTCAACGCACGTGTCCTCATCGTCGAATGACCCATCTGGGGCCGAGCAGATGTGCCTATAAGCGCCTTCCGTCTTCAGAACGGGTTTGATGGCGGCATAGCCAAAGACGACGCCGGACCCGAAGAAGCAGTAGACGACGGCAGCGGCTACTTGGACTGTTTTGGTGTCAGCCGTGTGTTTGCTGAGGATGGCTACAGTGACATGGACCTACGGTGCCGTTTCCACTTGGGTACCTTGAACGCTCCGACTGCGTGGAGCTGATCGATAGTCGATGGGGGGTCCCACACTGACGGGAGCGGGTTGAAGGTTAGCTTGCGGGCACGCGTGGATGCATCCGAGCTCCTCCTCGACCGGATCTCGGTGGGGACGGTGGTGAAGGTCTCGATGGACGAGACACGGTGTAACGACATTGTGACTATCGTAGGTAGTATCCTAATAACCTACTACGAAAGATAAGTTGAGAGACTATGAGAGAAGAAGAATAAGGCTGCAAAATCTCGGTGAACCGCTGTGCTGTGTCAACAACCTGCAGCCAACAATGGCGATGACCGGCATGAGTGGGTTCCGGTGACAGGGGGGATAGCAAGGTTGGATTGCAGAACTTGGAACAGCTCCGAGCGGCAGGGGATTCCGGATAGTTACTTAACTGATACGTGCTTTCCTGCAGGGCTGATGTGGTATTGAACCTCACTGTTTAGCAAGGCAAGAAGGATCTCGAACTGCCGCGATGCCAGGTTACACGGGAAGTAATAAAGAAAAGAAAAAGATGGGTTAGACTTTTCAACACCACGACTTCGAGTGTTGAGATAGTGCTCCCCCCAACCACCTCCCCAAGCGGTGTGCGCAACATCAGTACATAGGTAAGGTTTGTGGTGACAAGCTTGTAACTTGGCTCAGCATCTAAAAAAGTTGATTCGTTTGCATCTTTTGTGCTTCTTCATGTCCTGTGTAAGTCTCTGCTTGACGCCGAGGATGATGATGCAATTGCTAAAATGCAGCTGACCTGCCGAGCCTGCCCGCTGATGGACCGCCGGGGCTCGTCCCGCGGGTGGCGGGAGCCCCACCTCTCCCGGACGGAGCAAAGGTCCCGAAGATCGGGATCCACATAGACGGACCTCGGAGTAAGGTGCCACTGGTGCTTAAGTGTGTCTCAGATATTGATCTCTCTTGCCGGTGTGCTCGGAAGGGGGCACTGGAGGATGGAAACAAACCCATGGCATTTCAATTAACCCCCAAACCTCTCAGCTACTGTGTATGTCCGCCTAGATGGTCAAAACTCCATATCGTGCCCAAGCCCCTCCTCCTGGATCCGCCTCAAATTTCCATTCTTCTTCTCATTCTCCTCCTTCAGCCTGGCCTCGACGTCGTCCCTGATGGGCCCCAGATCCGGCGGGATGGTCATGCTCTGCACGCTGGGCGCGTGCGCCACGAAGCGCAGCTGCTCGTGTACGTGCGTGATGATCTCCCTTAGCCGCTTCTCCGAGTTGCGGTTGTGGCGCGGCTCGTGCATGCTCTGCTCGAGCGACGGGAACAGCGTGTCGTGGATGAAGTGCTCGCGCCACGGCGTGTGGTCCGGGATCATCTCGGGGATCCGCGTGTCGGCGCCGATGGCGATGGACGTCTCGTACGCCCACGCCCGCGCCACGTTGCGCGGCGTGTACCCGCCTCCTCCAAACACGATCATGGGTATCCCCAGGCTCTTGCAATACCGCACACAGGCCCCGTGGCCCTGCACCCGCAGATTGAACCGCCCGAGCCGGTCGCCGGCCAGCGAATCGGCGCCGCACTGCAGAGCGATGGCGCTTGGCCGGTAACGCTCGTTGATGGCGCCGATGATGCTCTGGAAGAGCGTCTCGTACTGCTCATCCGTGATGCCGTCCTGCAACGGTACGTTGATAGCGTGGTGTGCTCCCGGGTTGTGCTCGCTCTTTGGCCCATTGTCCTCGAGTGCGCCGGTGCCAGGAAAGAACGTTTCCGGGTGGTACTTGTGGAACGAGACAGTCATGACGCGGTCCGTCGAGAAGAAGGCCTCCTCAACGCCATCACCGTGGTGTACGTCAATGTCAATATAAAGCACGCGCGGGTGGGTGCGTAGTAATTGTAAGATGGCGAGCACAATGTCGTTGATGTAGCAAAATCCTGACGCCTCGTACCTCTTGGCGTGGTGCAGCCCACCGCCCCAAGCGATGGCGATGTCGGACTGGTTACTAGTGATCTTGCGCGCGGCGTCGAGCGAGCAGCCCGCCGACATGGAGCAGTAGTTATAAAGCCCGTGGAAGAGCGGGCAGTCACTCCCGCCAAGGTTGTACTTAACTTCCTTGTCGGGGTTCTCAATATCCCGTGGCTGGTCTTCTGGCGCTGCCGTCGACAGATAGTCGAGGTAGTCGTTCGAATGGAACGCATTGAGCTCCTCGTACGTCGCCTCCCGCGTCACGTAGTTGTCCATGGCAAAGGGCATCCCATACGACGTGACCAGGCTCTTGGTCAGCGTCAACCGCCACGGTTTCATGGGGTGCGTCTGCCCGAAGTGGTGCTTCTCCATCTCCGGCGTGGCGTGGTACGAGACCGTGTAGCCCTTCGGCCGGACGATGCCGTACTCCTGTGCCGCAAATTTCATCTTGTTGAAGAAGATGGCATTCTCGCGGTCGTCGGCCTTGCCGAGCGGGAGGGCGTACTCTTCTACGACGGCTTCATCGGCTTCGATGTTGTGAGGAAGATAATTCGGCTTCGGGGGCCTGTACTGGTACGCAGAGGCATCCATAGCCGCACCTGAGAGAATTTATTCAGGCCAAGATGTGGCCGAATTTATAAAACCCGCTCAAGTTTTGAGCTCGACCTCCGCCGTGAGATCAGATGACCCCGGGTGCCGGGTGACCCTGAGAACTTGTGATGAGAGTAGGCCTTGAAAGAACCAGATATATTCGACGGGCTACGAATAAGCCTATCTATAATATAAATGAGATGGAAAGATCGCAAGGCTGTCGTCACTCTTTTCACTTCGTTGGTGAATAAACTCGGTTGATGCTGGCGGGTCGGTCTCGGTGGTTGGAGCTGCATGGATTTGAATCTCAGATCGAGCAGGCACAAGCAAATGCCATTTTCGAGGTGGCCATTCACCCCCTGCACTTGGAGTGCGCTAAACCAAATCTGGCTAGCCCCATGCTCCCCTGTGCATCAGCCTTCCATAAAGCCCAGCCCCGCCGAGATTTTCAGGACTTTGATTGGGGAGGCTGAGAACCGAACTTCTTCCGCTGTGAAACAAACGCGGGCTTCGGCGACAGGAAACAGCTATTCTTGCTTGCTCTCCACAAGAATCCGGCCTCGCCTTCCCAGCTCGATTCTCATCAATTTCGCGCCAACTCTCTTAAGCGACAGGGGTGCAGTGCTAGCCGGGGATCAGAAATTTCCCCTTTCGAGAGGTGAGCCTGTGGAATTCTCCTCTGTGAACCACATTTCGGCCCGTCATTTTTCTGAGCAGTGCTGCCCTGCGTCATCCACTGGATCTTGGCTTCGTTCTCCCTGCGCTTCACGATCCGCCTTCTTGGTGCTTCAGTCTACTCAGCACTACTTCCAAAAAAAAAAAGGAAAGAAAAAAAGAAGGAAAAAAAAGAAAACGGAAACAATACACCGCAGGGTTGTCACTCGCTCGGGTTTATTTATCACCTTACTATATATCCATCCGTTCTTGTGTTCCTCGCTTCTTCTCGCAACGCCCCGGTTGTCTCTGAGTCGGGTAGACTTTGGAGTGGGGCAGTCTTTATCACAAGCCTGAATTCAGTCCAGCTTCATAACGGGGTGGCACGAAAGGCAGTATATACGCCGTACGGCGCGTTAACAGCCATGCCTAGAGACGATTTATCCATCGACTTCGTCCGGAAGATGCCGCCGGTCGAGGCGGCCGATCCGGCACTCGTCCTCGACGAGTATTTCAACAGAACCCAAAACTTCCCCGAGGAGCTGCGCTTCGTGCAGGAGGAGATCGCAGAAAAGGACCGTCAATATAAGGAGTTGATACAGGAGATCGAGGACCGAGATGGGCGAATACAGAAGTGGATCAAGGCTCATGGTAGTCATCACGCGAACCCTAAAGAGGAGGAATACAGGACAACCATAAGGAAGAACTATGCGCAGGCAGAGCAGCTCTCGAACGAAAAGATCGCCCTGACACAGAAACTGCTGCACAATATGGACAAGCACACCCGCCAGCTCGACATGCAGATAAAGATGCTATACGACCGTGGCGAACCCGGCTTTACCAACCCCGACGAACTTCCCTCTCTCATACGCTCGAGCGCCGCGAACGTGACTAACGGAACGGGCGGCCCCCGAGGCACTAATGGTGTGAATCCCGCCACCTCAACGCTCAACAACCTAGCAAGTAGCGCGCAGGTTCGGGCAGCCAACGCCCAGGTGCGGCACGCCCAAACACAACAACACGGTTCGGCCTCCGCGCCAGCCACCCCGGCAGCGAGCATGATCATGAACCGCCAGGCGCGCGAGAGCTCGGCCGGCCCCGCCACCAAGCGCATGCCCCGCTCAAACAGCGGCTTGGGCACCCTCCCCGCGACCTCCAGCGGGCTCGCCCGCCACTCCTCCCTCGGCCCGGGGACACCCAAGGGCCACCAGACAGCCACCGGCGTCCAGCGCGCCGGTAGCGCCGGACCGCGCGCCACATCCAAGGGCTCCCTCGCCGGCGGGTCCCGCAAGGCCGGCACCCCCTCCAGCACATCCGGCCGCAAGAAGGGCACCCCGGCCGCGGGCGGCGCCATCAGCAAATCCGGCCTATCCCGCGTCAAGCGCGCAGCCAAGAACTCCCCCTCCTCGGCCGCCGAAAGCGAGCTCTCGGACGCCGATTCCGCCAGCGACTCAGCCAGCGACACACGCACGGGCGGGCGCGGCACGCCAGCGGCCTCCTTCTCGCGCTCAACCTCCAACCAAGCCGCGATGCCCACACCCTCGGGAATACGCGAAGCCAGCAACCCACACCGACGCACCCCCTCCGGCGCCAGCGCAGCCGCCAGCCACCCACACCACGGCGGCGGCGGCGGGGAGCGACAGCAGCACGGCACGCGGCCCAGCCCGCACCCCCGCGGCGGCGGCGGCAGCGGCGGCAACCACGCGCTGCTCCGGGACGAGGACGACCTGATGGACGTGGACGACGACGAGGCGGGCGACGACCGCAAGTACTGCTCGTGCCAGAACGTCAGCTTCGGCAACATGGTGGCGTGCGACAACGACCAGTGCCCCTACGAGTGGTTCCACTGGGGCTGCGTGGGGCTCAAGAGCGAGCCCAACGGCACGTGGTACTGCCCCGAGTGCAGCGAGAAGCTGCGGAAGCGGTAGCCTGGCTCCTGGCTCCTGGCTCCTGGCTTGGGGTGGGTTTGCACTGACAGCTGGGGCTGGTGTTCTGCTGGGTTGGGAAGAGAGGGGGGTTGGGTTGGTTGGTGGGCTTCATGGCGTGGTATGGTTATGGGAGGGTATGGGATACGGGCCGGTTACGAGGCGTTTTGGTGGGGGATCGAGCTGTCGGATTTACGACTGGGTCGGGGTTATATTGGATTTTGGTGAGCGTTGAGTTGTTGATAACGAGTAGAGCTGGAGTGTATTGGCCTATCCCATGGCATGTGCTCAAACCCCAGTTGCCCAGTTACGAAATATCAATATGACTTAGTTCAACAAACGTCAAGAGGATTGTGCTTTACACGGACAGATGGGGTCGGATAAACCATGCCCTTCACAACACGATACACGCACCACATGATTCAAATGATTTAACTACAAAATGTCTATTGGTGGTAGGTGGCAGGCGGCATCTCCCATCCACCCGTTACTCCGCCATCCGGCCGAGAGCCGGGCAGACGACGCCATACCGTCACATTAACCATCCCGTTTTCCACCCTTCAAAAAGCGTATGCAAAGGCCGCGATATTATAACTTGTTTCGGCACAACAAAGCAGAAGACAAAACCCCTTCTCTCCGTGCCCAGAAAAAACACCCACGCTACGCTGACCGGAGCGCCCTTAATGTTCAAGCAGACGCAAGCTACCCTGGACAACGACGTTCTCGAGAATTGATCCGGGAGGGACGTCAATGGTCTGGCCCTCTGTCGCGACGATGATGACGGTGCCCTTGAGGGTGACGCCGCGTCCTAGGTTGACGGCGCCCGTGATGGTTAAATGGTCGAGCTCGATGATCTTGGGGATGCTGGGGATACGCTTCTGGAAATCGGAGACCTTCTTAAAGTCGCCGCCGAGCTTAATCAGCGGGGCGTCACCAAATCGGTTGGCGCTCATTTGCAGCTGGCCGTGCTTGACCGTGTACAGATCCGACTTGACGAGCATCAGGTCAGAGCACGTCTTGACGGGCAGGAAGCGGCGGCGAGGCACGTTGACACCGTGGGCGTTCTTGAAGTGCTTAATGGCGGCGCCGACGGCCGTCTCGAGCTGCAGGATGCTGATGTCCGACTCGCCCTTCTTGTCACCGGGGATGGTCTTGCCGTTGGGGATGATCTCCATCTCAAGCTCGTCGTTCTCCACGACGCGCTTGATGGCCTTCAGGTTCATCCAAATGTTGTTGGTGTTGAAGTACTTGAACTTCTTGATCGACTTGAACTCGTTGACGTGCTCCTTGGGGACCTGCGCGATTTCGAGCAGGCGCACGCTGCCCTCGTAGTCGATGATGGTACCGCCCTTAACGTCGGCCTTGGTCTTGTTGGTCAGCTCCATGACGTACTCAGCCTCGCTCTCGACCATGTGCTGCAGGATGCGCAGGTCAACGACGGCGCCGAGGTTGTCAGCGTTGGAGAGGAAAATAATCTCGATGCCACGATCAAGGAGCTTGTCCAGAATGCCCGAGTTGTAGAGCGACTCGAACACGTCACCGTGTCCGGGCGGGTACCAGTCGTGGACGGCCGAGTCGACTGACTTGGGCACGGGGAGGAGGGAGTCCTTGTAGATCCTGGGGTACCGGGACTGGTTGAAGGTGAGGACGTTCACGTTGTGGCCTTCGTACTTCTTGATGATGGCTGCGGTGTCCTCGTCCGTGTTGAACGAGTTCATGAGGAGAATGGGCACGTTGGAGCCGTATGTGCGGTTGAGGTACTCGACTTGGCGGACCGACATGTCCAGGAAGGACATGCCATCGCGGACTTCGATGACCGATTTGGGACCGACGCAGCCCATAGACGTGCCCAGACCGCCGTTAAGCTTCAGCACGGCTAGCTTGTTGAGGAAGTTGACCGACTCGGAGTTGGCAAGGTCATCATAGTCGACAACCTGGCCCTCGGCAGGAGGCGCAATGCGGTCCCATGAACTGTAGTGGTAAAGTTGATTAGCTTAGCTTAAGCGTTTGATGTACGGAGGACATACACTTCGTTGCCCTTAGCCTTGTCATTGAGGTACCGGCGGAAGAGCGAGAAGAAGTTGTCCATCTCGGTCTCGAACAGCTATACATCATGTTAGACCGTGTCTCACTCGGTCTGCGGTATCCGTTCCGCTTACCTTCTTCTGCTCCGGGTCCTTCACCGTCTCGGCCAGGTTCGTGAGCGCATTGCGCATCTGGGCGGCGGCGATGTTGGTCGAGGTGTTCTCGAAAGCCTGTGGGGAGTTGGTGGTTAGCCTGACGCCATTGTCCCCGAAGTGCCAGTCAGGAGAGGTGGGAAACAACATCGACACCCATGGCCGCCGCTCGTGGTTTGTGTTGTCCGTCCGTTGCCATTTGAATCAGAAAGAAACAGGGCTTTTCCAAGCACCCTTGCCGCAACTTGGGCTTCAGGGACAGACTGCCAACATCCCAGTGGTCTCCCAAACAACATGAGATCAGAGGACCTCGTTCGCCAGGTCCCTTGAAGGGATTCCACGGCAGTGCCTGCCCCACGAACCCAGCATGCCCCTGTGACGAACATGCAATGCAAGGGGCTAAGCCACCGGCCCGTGTCACTGGCCACACCACTGTACACAACACTCGTTTTTCCATTCCATTGTTGTTCGACAGACCGAAAACAGTTTTGGAATGGGCAACAACGTCCCAAACTTCCCCCGCATACGATGGCCCAAAAAGAGCTCTCTGGAATGTGTATGGGACTCACCATGTGGGATCTTGTCTTGCCATGGTGCCTCTTGGCGAACTCGGCCTCGTCGCCGTTCCCGGGCTTGAGGTGGGTGGGCAGGGCGCTCTTAATCGCTTGCGCCGCCATTTTTGCTGTAGTATTTTTCGAGTGGGTTGCCACAAGGGTGAGAGTTGGTTGGAGGTTGAAGACAAAGTTCGGGCCCGGTCGACCACAAGAGACGGACTTCGGTTCTGGTTTGTACTCGAGTTTCGTGAGACAAGGTCTGGTGACAAGACAAAGTGCGAAGCGGGAAGGGGCTGCTTGACAGGATAAATTAGCCGATTGACGTAATGATGGGCTGCTGCGAAACCTTGTGGCCGAAGTGGGATCGACTTGGATCAACCCCTCCTTCCCGTGGTGGAACTTCAAATGTAGCAATGATTTGGCAGAGCTTCGGGTGCGGGGCTGGTTTGGAGGGGAAGCTTCAACGAAGCTTGGCAATACTCACAATTCTCGTCGTCAACACTCGTGGTGCAACTATTGCAGTCTCTACTCGGAGGGGATCTCGAATACAAGACTGAAAGAGGGAGAAGGAGGGAAGGACGGTGAGACGAAAGAAAGGCGGTCGGGCAGCCCAAGAGGTTCCCGCCCCTGGGAATTGGATGCCTTTATCGTTTCCCACCGATCGCCAGAGCTCCCCTTGTCGGTCGTGTTAGTGGATCAGGTATTTCGGTTGCCGCTTGTCAAACCGGGATCAGACACAGCAGTTGGCCTTTGGTGGCGCAGGTTTCCGTAATACGATCCCGTTGCAACGGTGCTTCAAACGGCTGATTATGATGTGTCTGGAACGCCCCTGGTGTTCTATTGGCGCCTCGCCGACGAGGAGGTTTTCTGAGGCCGACAACTATGGAGTTGTGACGAGGGATACAAACGAACGATGGCCAGACGGGATACAACCCTCGAGCTGAACTGTTTCCTTCGGCAGGTTGCAGTAATTTTCGAGGATCCAGCGGTTAACTGCAAACTCGCGGCAGCATGCCGGGTGGCAAACACTCGTCTCTGACACACAAAACCCCTTCCCACCTGAGCCTCCCCCCTTGTGCCGCTGGGCATCAACTTCGATGTGCCAGGTTGAGAGACTTGCGACGTTAACAAAGGCACCGACAAGCCCCTCCAAGCTTGGCCCAGGCCTAGGAGAACCCCTGTTGAACAAAACCCGAAAGGCGACATCATGCACTCAGCCCAACGCAACGAGAACTAAATAAAACACAAAAATGATAGCGCCATCATCACCCAAGGTCCACCACCTATTGACTGGGAAATTTGGTGTCTCCTTTGGGAACCAGGCTTTTTAATAATTCGGCTTGAAACGGCCGTTTTATGTTTTGACAAGTTGCTCGCAGCGCCTGCCTCGCAGCCGGAGCTTGGCGTGGCTGCCAACAAGTGCACGCCGCCGGGCAGGAGCGACACTCAGGTTCGTTCCATGGGAGGAAGGGACTGGTGGGCTCGGCCCTTCAGCTTTCTTAGCGAAGACTAAGGTGTGGTGGCGAGACCAAACAAAACTCGCATCGACGTTGTATTCCAGAGAAAAATATCTCATCGTGTCTCCTTTTCCTTCGGGCCTTGTTTCTTCTTGCCGAGCTCCACCCCACTTTGATTGACGCATCCACGCAGAGAGAATGAGGGTTGCCCGCACCTCTTCTGTGATGGGTCCGCCGATACTCTCAAAAGTACCTTCGTTGCATTGCAGTCGTTGGTGATCCGGACCGCCAGTTCAGGTGAGCTGGCCCACGTGGGGACGACGGGAGAGATGCTTTGTCTTGTCCGAGTTGAAGATCGACTCTGGGACACGGCAGGCAATCGGCACCTCCCGGGACACCTCAAACGCTGAGCCGCATTCTCCCGTTATTGACAAACAAGGGGCTCGATCGGAGCCACTCCTCGTTGGGCAAGCTTTACAGATATACCATCTCCGTTTTGGAGGCCCTTGACAAAGCTGTCGCTGTGTAACTAAGGCCCCGCTAGCCTCGGAGACAATAACCACATGTATGTACCACAGTAATTTGCAAACAAACGGCGCCTTCTTCATTCAGCTCTGACGTTGAGAATGGAAGCTTTGCCGAGAGCCGCCAGGGTACTCAGGGGACCCCTCCCTCAGACCATCGCTTGCCGGATTGGCCAAGAACGCCCGGCCCCACACCGGCCGAGAACCATCCATCGCCCACCGCCATCGCCGGGCATCGAGTCGGTGAAGGTTCCCCTGAACCGTTTTCCGACTGACGTCGACTCAGATCCCCACCAATTACCTTACCGCTAAGTCGTGCATTGCATTGCAGGTGCCAACGCATGTCTTGACCTTGAGTTCGGGTGATATACCCTGTCTCCATCTTCTGAGTTTGCGGACGACGACCCCTGAATCTGGGTTCCTTTGATCCGCGATCGAAATCCAGACGACACTCGTCAACACCGATTACTTTCCCCATGGGCAGTACTCACCAGGAGCTGCCTTACTGGCAGGTGAATATCCCCGAACATCTAAGAACCGCCGAGTGCCCCGACTTCCTTCGCAACCTCACCGACAAGGATCGTGGCATCATTAGCACGCCGGACAGCGAATATGAGATCGACTCTTGGGCCGTGGTGCAAAAAAAGGTGGCACAGAACCGGCTTGAGCTTTTCCAACGAGTCCCGTCCGAGCTCCGCCGGTATCTGGGTTTTACCTGGAAGCTTAGACAAGATCACGGCAGCGTCATGAACTTTATTTTGACGCAAAGACTGCGGTGGACGCTTCCGATCACGCCGAGGGGCCGTCCGTTTGAGTTTGACGACGATGTCAGGGTGCTGAGAAATGACTGGCCGTATGGTATCGACAAGCGGATCGTGCACCTCGTTGTCTGGACCAAGTTTGCGCTCGAGGAGGACCCCGCGACAGGGGATTTGACTGATGCAGCGCGGGCTGAGATTGATTCCTACGTCTCCAAGACGTTTTCTAAAATGCTCCCGAATCATGTTGGTTGCGCTAACTTCCATGGCTTGTTGCGGCGCTGACAGATAATAGGTCATCTGGTTCAAGAATTGGGCTTCACTCAAGTCCGTAAAATCGGTGGAGCACTTCCACGTAATGCTGTTTGATCCAAACATGGAAGTTGTCGATGAGATAACCAGCGGCGACGTTCCCCTATGCGAGAAGGAATGAACCGGCGCCCTAGTTCCGGGACTCCTCGTAGACCTTCACACAGCCGAGTAGATATTAGACAGCGAGACGAAAGTGCATTACTAGGTCTACGATCTGTCGACCGCCCTCTGCCTCTCGAGAGACTCCCACGTTGTCCGAACCTCGACAATAGGGCAGTCTGCCATGGGTACCGCAGTGGGCTTTTCCATCCGAATACAGACCTGCCAACCGTCCTCCTTCCAGCGCGAAGCCAGAACGGCCTCGGCTAGATGGGCGCCCAGAGCCTCGAGTGTCTCGAAAGATGATGCCTCCATTGCCTAAATCCCGTGTCAGCACCACATTTTCCGCCGGGCATCGTGGGGGTACAATGGATGAACTCACTTTGACAACGTCGCGCTCAATCTCGGTATACGCATCCTCTCCCCCCGTAAACCCCTCCACCGTAACCGTCACGATCACAAACTGCTTCGCCAGTCTCTCATTCGCATTCACCCCAACCAGCGTCGGCACTTTCAGTCTGCTCACCTCCAGCGCCATTGCCCTCCCTTCCATCTGACCCTGCTCGGCGGCATTAAACACCGCGCTCGCCGTCAGCCGCACCCCGTCCCCGAGAAGTGACGCCTTCGGCAACGCCACGGTCACAGAAAGCAACCGCACCTTGCTCACATCCAAAAACGCCGCCGCCGCCGCCGCGCCCGCCGTAGCACTCCCATCACGAACCCGCCCATCGAGCTCCAACCCAGTCAGATCCCCCCACACCCGCCCCAGCACATCCCGCAGACTTCTCTCCCCCGCAGCACCACCGCCACCACCACCACCACCACCACCACCCGTCTGCTCCTTCTTGACCGCCGCCGCCGCTACCGCCGCCACCTCCTTCTCCTCCCGCTCAAACCCCGCCACGCTCGCCAGCACCGCCTTGCTCAGCGTGCCGTAGTGCACCGTGTCGTCGCCGAGCGCGTCGGTGGCGGCCGCCGTCGCGAAGGGCGCGTGGAAGGCCACCTCGGCCGATACGCTGCACGGCTGCGCCTTGCCCGCGCGGCCCCAGGCGTCGCGCCCCGCGTGCTGGAGCGTCGTGGAGAGGTTGCGGATGGAGACCGTTGCGGGGGGGTCGGGACTGAGGGCGCGGAGGCGGGGGTGGGTTAGGAGGGGGGTGGGTGTTGTGGGGGTAGTTGTTGTTGTTGGGGGTGGCATGGTGGTGGGAGTGGTTGTTGTTGTTGCTGCTGTTGTTGTCGTATTTTTGTGTGAGGTGGAGGCTGGTGGGTTGTTTGAGGGGTGAGGGGGTGGTTGATGGGAGAAGGGGACTGTTCTTCGGAGAGCGAGGTTATGAGGCGGAGTTTTTCCGTTTTGAGCGGTTGCGACGTCGGAGAGTTGGGAGGTTGTGTGACGCAAGTTGAGGTGGTGGAACCTCAAAGTGAATACATTCGGAACTGCGAAGAAATCACCTCGGAATTAATATGAGTATAAGTATGGGAACGACAGTTTGGTTTACTCAATGGTCAACGCAACAACTTCAGAGCGGAGTGGTTGGATGGGTTACGATGAGAGTGGAATCTCCGATGACACCCAGCACGCGAAGCCAAAAGAGACGGGTTAGGGTTATTGGTGACGAATGGATTCGGACTCCCGGGCTACATATCGAGCTTGACCCGTTCGCAGAACTTAGCGATTCCATTTCTCTTCTAGTTGTAATAGGGACATATCGTCCAATCAACGGATGGGCTAGCTATGAGATAATATCAAACCTTTGAGTCTTCTGCTCAGCGACACCAGACCCAGACATGAATAAAACTTAAACAATGCCATACTACCTAATAGTCACATATTCTAGGAGAGCACGAGAGGCAATATGTACATCAAGGCCCCGGTGTCATGTATCATAAGGTACCTAGTTTCAAAGGGCAATACAGTCTCCAAGGTTGTTTCTTGAGACATATTGAGCACAGAGCACTTGTCATCCTCCTCAGCTATGTCGGTGACGGAGGGGGAAAGGACGAGGTCAGCAAGTAATAGAAGAGTGAGAACCGCTAGATGTTGCCATAGTAGAAATGTATATACTTGGCAACCTATCATCTTCGAGGACAAATCCACCTAGGTTGTTAACGGTGAACACTGGCGATGTGAGACATAGCTTTCCATCCGAACTCGACGCAGCCGCGCACATCGCCCTCCACACAGGGCCTTCCCGGCACCATCCCGGCACCATATATACCAAGCCCACGCTCACACTGTCACCACCTCCTCCCAGTTGAAGTCAAACACCGGTTTGGCTCAGCGGCATTAGGAGGAGGACCGGTTCGACTCCCCCTCACGGCGTAAAACCCGATTGTCAGGGTTTTCGTAGCCACCAACCTCCATTGATAGACCAGCAAATGGAGCTTGGTGGTGAGGTTTTTGATTTTCTTTTCTTAGGTACCTAGTCTCACTTTCTCACGAATACACCGATGGGAGTGATTTGGGAATGTGAAAAAAACAAACCCATCATCTACATCAAAACTGGTTAGGTATCTGTACCAACTGAAGTGCCTCGTTTAGCCTTGCAAGGGGGTGGGCGAGCTGGTTGCCAACTTGCGGAAGGAACGTAGGTGCCCGGGCCGTAGGAATCAAGCCAAGGTTGCTGCTGCGATAACGCTAGGCCAAGATCACGAGCATAAACTCGTTATCGCCCGCTCGAACAATGGCGACTTTGCGCCGCCAACGAAAGGATCCATGCCAACATCAAGTTAGCTGAAATATCTAACAACACCGTCCCAGGGGGGTAGTAGTAATCACTTCCAACCTTCCAATGCTGTCCGTCAAGGTATCAGGGCTAACATGTACTAGTATACTAGTTGAGAGGAGGAGGGAAAGAGCGCAACCTGGGGGAACCAGGAAGTCGTTCCCCCGAGCCTTCCGCTCTTGGCAGGACTCCTCCGTACCAGCCAAGGCTTTCACATGTGGCAACAATGATGCCAGCTCATGTTGAGTGCGAAAAGAGGAGCCCATTGTTTTGTGATTTGACAATCCTCCATGGGCTGAACGGCAGGAGGATGCGGAAGGGGTTTGGCCTTGACGGAACAAGTACACGGCAGGTCGGGATATCGGCACACACATTGAACACACAAGATTCAAAAAAACAACAGTCCGGTATACCAAGGTGAGAAGTCGGCTTCCCGACACCAGTAAAGACCCAAGTCTTACCGTTTTGCCGTCTTGCCATCTTGCTGCCAACCGGTTGCCGACCCGAACATCGTTTGTGTTGCTGAGGTCCTCATATCTGGTACGACCTACCGACATACTGACGTGCATCCTGTGCTCGCAGATCCGGGATCTCAGCCCGTACTGAAATGAGACGAAAAGCGGGAACGAGAAGTGTCTGTAATTCCCGCAACGTACGACACGGCATTTGTTCGGGGCTGTCGTCCCTTTAATATCCGGCCCGGGTGTTTGGGCTCTCTACCCAAGACCTCTCGGGCGAGACGGAAAGGCCAAGATGCGGTAAGCTTTTGTGGCTTTGCCGTGTTCCTGGTTATCGTCATTGGCGGAAAACCAAGCACCCTCGGCATCTCGAAGTGGCCAGGAGCCCCCAGTGCCCCCATGCTGAACCCCAGTCTACCCCATGCTGACCCATGCTGACCCCAACTCATCGGCGGGGGAATGTTTGATGGAAGGATGGCTGTGGGGCCTTTGGGGCCTTTGTTCTGCCGATCTCAGCCGTTGAATAACACGCGCAATGCACTCAGCAACTCCACCCCGGAAGTGGTCTCGGCGCTATCTGTCGGTCGTCGTCCGTCTTTGATGGACTCGGCCCGCAACCCATCTCCCAGCCGCCTCGCTACCGACGCCGGCCGGAAAGTGAGGCCGAAGCCGTGGGAGGGATTATAGCCGCCGGCGGCCGAGGCCTGACGTCTTAATTGCGACGGGAGCTATCGTGGGGGGCAAAAGAAGGAAAACCGGGGCAGACGTCATGCTTGCGGCTCTCCGGTGCTATGTTCTTGGTTGGGGGCGCAGTGTTCCTGCGTTCGGTGTGTTACTCTCGCCTTGACAACAAGGGTCCTCCATTGCGGCGGCTCGCGCATGCAATCAATCGCCTGCCCCTTTGAGTAATGGGAACCGCCGCTTGATATTGGATGCACCTCCAGGTCCAGGTTTCAGGTTCTCGAGCCGCCTCGCGCAGGCGCCGATCAGAGCTTAACCGGTCGACTCGGTAGATCTCCTCCGGGAATCCGCAATCTGCCTATTTTGTTCAGGCAATCAGAGCCGCAATGCAGCGGACGGTCCCTGACGGTCGGGCTGTGATCGACCGTGGACGACGATTGGGAGTTTGGAGTTTGGAAAACGACCCGACGCTGACATGCTGTGAGAGACGAGAACAGACTGACACGACTGACACTGACACGACCTTGACCCGATGTGGCCCACTCCCCTACCCACCCCCCGGTCAGACCACCAGACCACCGAGCAAGGCCGGGAGATCGTCCCGTGTCGAGCCCCCGGCGCAACACCGTCCGGCACTGTAAGCGACGTGGACCTGGGCCCGCAGCTCGATTGCGGTTGGGCCGAGGAGCCATCAACGCCGTTATGCCCCACGATGGGAGCCGCCTCGTCAGCGTGGCGCGCGTGGCGACGAATAGGGGATCTCGGGACGAGACTCAGGCCGCCCCCTTGTTTAGTGCCGCTATGCCGTTCCCCAGGTTCCGTCGTTCAACAGAGAAGGACAAGAGCCGATCTGGGGAAAAGAAACTTGCTCATCGTGAACCCCAGGGGGGAGAGATGTGGAGTGTGGATCGGGGGGCATTGGGCGGATGTATAAAGGGGCAAGACCTCCCCGGCCGTTCAAGTCGAGAGAGAGAGAGGCATCCGCAGTGTTCGCTCAGTCCAATCCTTAGCAGTCCATACTCAGCCCGCCATCATGTACAAGCAGGTCGCTACCGCGGTCTCCTTCGCCAGCCTCGTGCTCGGCCAGCAAATCGGCACCCTGACGCCCGAGACTCACCCCTCGCTCCCCATCGAGGTGTGCACGGCTCCCGGCGCCTGCACCAAGGAGGACACCACCGTGACCCTCGACGTAAGTGGCCTTGGGGACCCTTCTCATGGATGCACAAGTCACTAACTTGGAACCCAGGCCAACTGGCGCTGGACCCACGCCACCGACGGCTACACCAACTGCTACACGGGCAACGCCTGGAACGAGACGGCGTGCCCCGATGGCAAGACCTGCGCCGCCAACTGCGCCATCGATGGCGCCGAGTACGAGGCGACCTACGGCATCACGACCCCCGAGGAGGGCGCGCTCCGCCTCAACTTCGTCACCGCTGAGAACGTCGGTTCGCGTGTCTACCTGATGGCCGACGACGAGAAGTACCGCCTCTTCAACCTCCTCAACAAGGAGTTCACCATGGACGTGGACGTCTCCAACCTCCCCTGCGGCCTGAACGGCGCCGTCTACTTCAGCGAGATGGACGAGGATGGTGGCCTGTCCCGCTTCGAGGGCAACAAGGCCGGTGCCAAGTACGGTACCGGTTACTGCGACTCGCAGTGCCCGCGGGACATCAAGTTCATCAACGGCGAGGTAAGCCGCCACGACGAGCCATCGCGACTGCCGATACAGGTTTGCTGACGCTGAGAATAGGCCAACTCCGAGGAATGGGGCGGCGAAGACGGCAACTCGGGCACCGGCAAGTACGGCACGTGCTGCGCCGAGATGGACATCTGGGAGGCCAACATGGACGCCACCGCCTACACCCCCCACCCGTGCAAGGTCAGCGAGCAGACCCAGTGCGTGGACGACATCGAGTGCGGTGCTGGTGACCACCGCTACGAGGGCATGTGCGATCGCGGTAAGTCTCCCCAAGAGGAAGTTTGGGTGGAAAACGAACGGAAAGCTGACAACAACCTACAGACGGCTGCGACTTCAACGCTTTCCGCCTCGGCAACAAGGAGTACTACGGCCCGGAGAAGACGGTCGACACCACCAAGCCCTTCACGCTCGTGACCCAGTTCGTCACCGAGGACGGCACCGACACCGGTGCGCTCAAGAGCATCCACCGCTTCTACGTCCAGGACGGCGTCGTCATCCCCAACTCGGAGACCGTCGTCGAGGGCGTCGACCCCGTCAACTACATCAGCGACGACTTCTGCGAGCAGCAGAAGACTGCCTTCGGTGACAACAACCACTTCGCGACCATCGGTGGCATGGCCGCCATGGGCAAGCAGCTCGAGAAGATGGTCCTCGTCCTCTCCATCTGGGATGACCAGTACGTGTTTACCCTTCCCCGTAAAAGACACCATGGTCCCCACGATACTAACATTACACCCCCCCTTCCTCAGTGCCGTCTACATGAACTGGCTCGACAGCAACTACCCCACCGATGCCGACCCGACCAAGCCCGGCGTTGCCCGTGGCCGTTGCGACCCCGAGGCCGGTGTCCCCGAGACCGTCGAGGCCGCCCACCCGGACGCCTACGTCATCTACTCCAACATCAAGCTTGGTGCCATCAACTCCACCTTCACCGCCGCCTAAATAGACACGGTGGCTGGTTAGCTGGCTGGAGGGGGAGCGGGAATGGGGGTTTAGGTTCGGGTATATACTAGATCGGGGTGCATGTATATAGAGCCGCTCTCATAAGAGGGCTGGCGGCGCCGAAGATTTGCGGTGCAATAGATTCCGAGTCTGCCTTTTATGTCTGGTGTTAGCCGTACTTTCTGATTGTGTTGAATCTGTATTAAATCCGTCGCTCTTCCCGCATTAAGCTCACAGATATGCCTGAGTGGCTTAATACCGCGAAGTAATGGCGCTGTTGATATTACAAAGACTCTTGGGCTCCGAGCGCGGAGGCTAGGAGCTTGCTGGCTGCTGGTTTAATAATGACAACAAAAAACGACTTTGAGAAAGGGGGTGATTGGATAAGTAAAACATTGACAAGAAGAAAAGGGCTGACAAAAAGAAGAACCGGCAAGAAGGATGACTCTATCAAGGAGAATGAACGTGCTGAGGGAAAAGTCATGAGCAATGAGGAAGATTATGGCAAAGAAAATACTCTTCGAAGGATAATTTAGATAACCCAGATAACAACTTGAACAACGACTTGGAAAATGACTTGATGACAATCTTGATAGTGATATTGGAGATGGCTAGGTAGTTACAAAAGAAGAGCCTTTCCTGTATCCAGGACTCGCCTAGTTGTTTGCTTCATATCCCTTACTCCTTTTTTGATCCATTCTCGACCTCCCCATGTGCCCACTGAATCAAGGCAAGAATGTGACGCACAATCATCTCTCTACCTCCCTTAGTGGTGATGTCGAACCAGTCGGTCGAGTTCACCAAGAAGAACAAGTCTGAGCCGTTGTCGTTCGGAGAGAGAGCCACGATGTCCGCTGTGTACCCTGGAGCCGAGGGTGCGAAGGAGAAGAATCTCACGTAGTGCCTCGTGGCGTGGATTGTTATAACGCTATACAATGATGATATTAGTGAGTTGTTATGGGAGTAAAAGGGGGAGGGGCTTGCCTAGTACGAGAGAGGTTATTCTTCGTTTTATCGAGGAGCACTAGCAATGCTTGTCCGGCCATCTGAGCTAACAGCCCGTCCGAAATTATTGGAGGTTTTCCTTCTTCGAATACTTGAAGATACCGCTTCACTTCCAGTAATGCCACAATCCCGGCATCTTCACTTGATCGAAGCAGGCGCACACCGCCATCGTCGATGGCCTGTATCGTACGCCTCGGGCCAGCCTCAAGTTGGTACATCGCTGACGCTTTCTCGTCGCGGAATTCGAGGATCGGTGAATCGAGCTCTTGGCCGTAGTTCAACACGAGGCGCACAAAACAGCTTGTAAGACAACGAGCATCTTCCCGCTGCCCGTTGCCATCTTGATTGCCCCGTTGCCGGAGGAGTGCGCCCAACGCTGCCCAGGTACTCCCCAGGCTGTTTGGATTGTAAGATCGAACGATTTGAGACTCGGACATCATGGATAGCGCCTGGAGATCGTGAGCCGGGCCGTCGACTAGAGCTTGGATGCAAGGGTCGAAGGACTCTATGCTCTCGGGGAGGTAGGGCTCTAGAAGTGGGAGATTCCCCTTCGAGCTGGGCTTCGCGCAAAGAACCCGCAAGGCGAAGAGATGTTTTCGACCCCAAGAACTGACTGAGGTAGGGAGCGCGGTATCGAGGAGAGACCGTAACGTCTGGGCGCCTTCTGACAAAGCCTTTTGTCGAAAAGTGCTATCATTGTGGACGGAGTCGAAGTAAGCCATGGTTATGTGTTGTACGGCTATCGAGTATTGGGGTAGTTGCAAGACAGCAGGTTACTAGGCTGCGGCTAGAGAGCGAACTCGTACATGGGCGAGATTTATAGAAGAGAACGGAATGTAGGATTGGGAACACCGCCGAGGCACGGATGGCTTTCCACTCCGTGGAACATTAGGCACATGTCGAGGGGAGCAAACGCTGCATCGGCGCGTGGAGGCAACCTGAACGGGAAGGAACCTGAACAGTAACCGGACTCCGCAAGGTCACGTACACCTACCTCGTACTTATTGTTCACTCGATGCAGCACAGGAAACCTCGCTCTTGCCGTAGTGCCAGTGCCACCTGCGCATCGCATGGTCTCATTGGATGTGCCCAGGACAAAGAACCGCCGCGAGAACTGGTCCCTGGTTTTATCGCACGCAACAGAAATCTCAGCCCAGCCATCTCCACAATGTCACAAGCTCAACAAACCTCAGGCGTGATGTTTCGCGCGAGGTTATGGTCGCCAACCAAGGTTGTGGGGCGGTTTGGTTTGCGGTAGTCAACACAGGCCTGCGAGCTGCACTCAGTGTTGGGCACGTGCTCACGCGTGAGGAACGCACTCGGCCCGACAACGACACCTTACTTTGGTAGGCAACTCCATCTTCACCGCGTCATCGATTGACCCCCCTCGAGCTGCGCACGCGTCGCGCGACCGTAGGGCACTCGATGGAATCACCACCAACTCCTCCCGCGTTACATACCACATCACCCTCCGATTCAGACTTGCAGCCGCTATCACTGCACCAAATACTCTGCCTTCATCCGCGAGAACGGCTTTTGGTGCACCCGGTCCAATGGACAAGTCGCCACCTCGAGTTGCTGAACTGCTCGTTTGAGCTGCCCTCTCCCGCTGTCCTTAAGAGGGCGCGTCTCTGCCCCCCATTCAACGAACGAAAGGCTGGGGGCCGAGCGCGGCGCTTCGCAACGACATTCGGTCTTGGAGGTCGAAGACATGCGATAGAAACGCTTCTTGAGGACGAGAGTGGCCCGTTGACTGCAATCAGGTCGGTCACCCAGCTCCATTAGCCCTTAAATTTTAATGTATGGTCGCTAACCCGTTATCTACGCTCTGCTAGGGGTGGATTCAACTTCTTTTACCGCCGGCGCTCCATCGGTAAATTGCCGTGTGTTGGCTTCTCCCTCCCACCCGAATCGAGTGATACGTATGGGCTACCTATCGCCGCGTGGACCGAGTTTCGACTCATTGAGGACCGCCGCGCCCAGAGGTCCGAGAACGCCGTGTGGCAAGAGAACCCTCTTGTCAGCCGCTTAGAGTGGCTCCGGTGGAAAGCTGTGACCCCGAAAGAGCCATTGCATGACCCCTGTATCCTCGCGCTGCTGGTCGCTGTGGCGCAGGGGCAACAGATCGTCGCCGAACAAAATGAAGGGCAGACGAACCGGCCTACATATCGGGTACGTTTTATATACACACGCGGTCCCCTGGTTCGTTGCGAGAGTCCGTTGTCTAATGTCGCCCAGGCCCACGTTATTTGGACGGATGTCAGAGACGAGGAACATGCGCATGTTTTCACTGCCGATATCCCCTCCGCCTTGCTCGACATGTTCGACTACCCCTCCTTCGTGCCCCCGGCACCAGTATCCGTCTCGATCCGACGTAGGACCGTGCCACTAAAACCGTATAAGAAGCTTTATTCCCGGTTGCTTTCCGTCATACTTCCAGCCTCATACATCAGTACCCGTACGGAGCCGAAGGCGAATGCAGACGGTAATGACGGGCCCCGGACAATACCCCCAGAACAACCGCAGGAGAACATGGACCAGGCGATGCAGGAAGGACAGGGTGTGGTGTTGACGCAGCAACCCCAAGACCAAGGATGACCGTTATGATCTCGTTTTGATCTTGAGTCGGGCTGTCATCAGCTTGTCTATCTAGGTAGGCGACACGGGAGGTCTACTAAGAAAGATGACTAGCCTGAACATGCAATACGGGCTATCCAGCCCTCCCAAGTCACGGCTGGGTCGTGGGCAGAACTTGGACCAGGCCAACAACGACTGGTGTTAAGGATGCATCGAGATGCTACCAAGCTTCCGTCCTGCCGGCGTCCCAAGCGTCGTACATGCTCAGGCTATATGCGAGGCGAGCAAAAAAGAAGACGATCGGCAGACTTGCATACCGTCAAGCCCAACATCTTTGCCGCCGAGAACATGAGGGGACTAGCTAGTTGAGCGCGTTTCCCATCTGCGTCTAGCAGAATTTGGAATGATCGAGCGGCGTGCCAAGGCGCTGCCCGTGGTATTGCTCTCTAAGGGAACCAGCTGCTTTCCTAGTTGTAGGGAGGGCCCGGGAAAGAACCAAGGACGCTCAGAGCGGGCAATACACCCCAGACAACGAGTCTCAAGTGAAAAGAATAGTGAGACGCAGACGTGGTAACTGGAAAATAGTACTGTTTCCGTTTAGGCGGCGACAAACTATACAAAGTCTTAGAATACAACCCAAGATCCATCGTAAACGCTGAACCCTGGTGTATGAGCTTGTGAGGACGCCACATTCTCCGAGCCAGGGCCATAACCACCGGTATCATGTACGTGACCAGCAGCCGCCGCCGGCCTGAGGCAGGTGTCAAGAAACCTCATGAGAAACACTCCATACAATAGAATGTCCTCGATCCCAGACCATGGCAAGTCCGACGGAGATCGTGTGGTGTTCAACAGACTGTCGACTCTTGCTCATTTTCGGATTTGAGCCCACTGGAAGGAGAAAGGATTACGGAGCGTCGGGGTTGAATCCGGGGACAGACCGGCACTTAGAGTCAAGGGTGGCCTCCGTCTTGGAACTAGTCGTCGAGCCGGTAGCCTTACAATCTGTCCCCATCAGCCCCCCCCATCTCCCATAGATACCTCTTTCCTTCTTCCGTTGTGGCATCGATGATCTCGTTTTCAATGCTCAGACAGCCGGCCTGCACGACACCAAGCCGGGTGAATATTAGCGGACATATTACTCTCACATAAGTAAGTTTGAAGTAGTTAGGAAGAGCTCACCTCATCAAGAAGGGTCGCCGTCTTCTCAGCTTCCGAAACAGCCATCTCACCCAAGACCTTATTAACCTCTTCCAACGACCCACTCTCCAGCGCTGCTCTCATCTCCGGAGAGAACTGCTCAAAAACCTCCCTCGCCTTTCTCACCTCCTCATCCTCACCCCCAGCCGGTGGAACCCGAATCCGGATCGAACCGCCCTCGCCTGACGGATACAACTGCACCTGCTCAACACCCTCATCCTCCTTCTTCTGCTGCTTGGAGTCCCGCCTGGCCATGGCGCGGGTTTGCTGGAACCTCTCGGCCACGTTCTTTTCAAACAGCTCGCGCGCCTGGTGGCCTGGCGTCGTGACGCGTTTGAAGAACAGTGCGGCGCCGTCGCGCCCGAGCATGCGGCAGGATTCTAGTAGTGTGGCTTGGTGTACGTACTGGCGGGCCTGCTTCTCGTCGTTTTGGTTCAGCATCGCGTAATAGGCTTCGATGAGGAGCCCGTCGATTTCTGATTCTTGCTGCAGGATTTCTGGGTGTGAATGGAGATAGTCGCGGCTGGCGCGGTAGTCGGATGCTGGGATTTGGGCGAAGATCTTGGCTGCTGGAGATGCGCGGGTCTTTTGCTCACTATCAGGGTCTTCAGAGTCGTCGGTGGTAGCGTTCTTGTGAGAGTCCAGCTTGGTCTCATCCGGGCTGTAGTTCGGGTTCAGCAGTTCCATTTTGGTCTCCTGTTTCGATGTCTCTCCGGGTTTGGTCTTACTGACGTGCGAGCTGTCGAACCCGACGTGGTAGCCTTCACTAGTGATTTTCTTGGAATCCTGTTGCTCAAGCGCATCGAGCTTCTTGACGAGTTCTGTCTGAAGGTCTTGGATTTTCTGGACATGTACATTAAGTCCCTGAGCAAAGGCATCATGACGCTGTTCCTTTTCTATTCCTCTCTCATCTAGAGTCTTGTTCACGTCGTCTAAAAGGCTCGCGAGCATCTTTGAATAAGTTGGAAGAGATGGCGAGTCGAATATGCCTTCTGGTCGCGGCGGGGGACTATCTTCCTCAGGTTTGGTCGCCGCCAACTGCATCATAACTTGGAATGCAATGTCGGCCGGGTTCATATTGACTTGGGCAGAGCCGGCATGTCGGGATTGCAGGGCCGAGGTCAGGACGCGGAGACGTTGAATTAGGGTATCATTGATAACATGCTCATATTTGAGGGCCTGTATCTGCCGCTTTCGTTGCTCCCGCTCCATGTGTATCTGGCTTTGCTTCGCCCGTATAAAGGACCGTTTGTCGACATTTGGGTGCACCTCGATATCGGAGTCGTCGCTGAGCTCCAAGGCGTCCTGACGGGTTCACGTTTAGTGAAATGGGCTATCTTTTCACATGACATAAATGTCCCCAAAGGGGAAACATACCCATTTACTATAATCAACCATCCTGATGAAGCGATCGATGTTGAACAGAGTGTGGTAGAGGGAAGAAGTTAGGGGATGATCCCCAGATTTGCAGACTGGAAGGGGAGATGATGACCTGGGGATAGAGGGATATCTCGCCAAATCGGGCCTCACAACTGAACCAACCGCATATTATGACTAATTGGTGTCGACCACACAACCTAGAGTTGCCTCGACTGTTCAAACCATACAAGACGCCCGGTTCCAAGTAGTTACTTACCTCGCTTATTCTCTCAGGCTCTTGTAACGGAGTTCGATGAGAAGTGGGCACGAATAGATCATGGTGGTGCACAGTGGCCTTGTGATATCAGTAAGAGGATGTAGAGCATGCGGCGGACAATAAACAAGGCGTGGTTTTGGCATTCTAATCGTCTCCAACAGTTTTGACTCGCTTGGGCTGTTTTCGCCTTCTGCTGGACTTTTAGGCTCTTCAAATACATGTACACGACATGTTAGGCAGATACGGCAATGGTGATCACCGACCCGATTATTGGAAGGCTTGTATGTAATCTGTCTGAGTATCCCTCCCAACGGTTGTGCCACGGAGAAAATTGCAACTGAAACGAGACTGCTGCATGTGCACGGCTTGGAGGCAAGAGAGCCGAACGGCCAGTGAGCCAGCCTTGTCGACCCATCCATGTCATGCGGGCGGCCGAGATGCGCGGGACATTGTCCAATGGCTTGCATGCAAAGTCAGGAAATGGCAAGGCGATCAGAGTACTCGTGTCTGTCGCCAAACCCGATTTCCGAAAAAGAAAATGGACGAGTTCAAGTTTTGTCGCCGGATGACACGTGGAGAGAAGCTAGTTGAGAGCGCGCTTGCCGTCCCACCTGCTTCGTGCAAATGGACTGCACTGGCAACTTGAACGAGAAGTTGGGCATGAGGGGAATGGGCCAAGCGGTGAGTTTCCTCGTTGCGTATGCCAACCTGCAAGTCGAATGCAAGTCGAGCCGCGACAGCGTCCCATGATTTGACCATGTTGGGAGCGAAGGAGGCACGGGAGGGTATCAATCTTGTTGGAGCATGCTGATTGAAGCTTGTGGGGAGGGAAACCCTGTTGGGAGGCCGATGCTCCCCATATCTTAGCCAATCGCTGTCCTCCATCGGCTTCTTGCATGCGACTTGCAGTTTTCATCCCAGCTGAAGAGGAAAGAGAGGCCATCGGGCTCGGCCCGGGGAGGGGTGGGGGCTGCCCAGGTCAGCAGCGCTTGCCTGTTCGAAGTTCAGATGGGTGGGAGGGGTGGGTCAAGGATAGGTCGCTGCTCTCTTGCTGGTACCCTTGCACGACCCTTGGACATGGATGGAAGACCCATGTTGATGCTCCCAGGGAACTTGGCAGGCTGAGGCGCTGGACCAACCTGAATGGCTCTCGAATGGGTCCATGAGGGGAGCTCCACCGGCAAGTCAGTGGCACCGCGGTTGAATCCCAGCCTCCTGAAGAGACCCTGGTAAACTAAACAACAAACACTGCTCGTCAGAGGAAATTCCAGCTCTTCAGCTATCGCGACCCGGACGAAAGCGCATCTCGAACCGATTGAAACCCGATCGAATTATCGCGTAAACACACGAAAATACCCCCGAGAATCAATGAATGCGCCTTGAAGGAACTGTTCAGCTATTTTTGAGCGGTCAAAAATGATGCGAGATCCCCGTCGCCGGAGCCCGGAGAGCACCCGGCGGCGGCGCGCCGAGCGCCGGCATTCCAGAGAGCAGCTCGCTGCTGCCGCTGCCGCCGCCGCCGTCTCAGCTCCCGCTGCCGAACCCGCCCCGATCGTCTCCCACTCGGAGCACCGTGCCCGTGCCCGTGCCGATTCGAGCTCGTCGTCGTCGTCGTCGACCTCGTCCTCGTTGATGAACATCTCGCGAAAGAGCCGCTTCGGAATCCGCTCCTTCTTCGCCTCCTCGTCGGTCAAGAAGGTCAAGAAGCGCCGCTCATTCCGGAAGAAGAACTCGTCTTCGTCTTCTTTCGATAGCGATTTGGCCTATGGCACAGGTTATATGTCCAGGTCCTCGTTCGAGAGACAGCAGGCAACATACCAACAGCCCGCTCAACACCACCAACGCCCCCAACACCCCGCCCAGCAACATCCTCAGCAACATCCTCAGCAGTATCCCCAGCAATATCCCCAGCAATATCCCCAACAATACCCCCAGCAATACCCTCAGCAATACCCCCAACATGCGCAATACCCACCACCACATGCGCCGCATACCCAGCCCACCTACCAGCCCACCCCTGGCGCCCCATCTCACCACCCCTCGCAGGAGGATCCGTTGTTTGGGCCCGACGGACGGCCTGCGTTGCATAGGGCTCAGACTGACGAGGAGATCCTCGCCCTAGGCCGTAAGCTTTCAGACCTCGCCCGCGCCGAGAATATCCGAGACCTCGAACGTGTGGGCAAGAAGCGCCCTTCCCGCATGGCAGCCGCTGCCGTGGCTTTGTCCGAGTTTCATCGCCATGGCTCCCAAGGGCAGTCTGCCAGGGGCATCGGCGCGTCCAAACCTCACGGCCGCCGCCATGACGATTCCGACACCGACTGGGAATCCGCCTCGGACTCCGATTCTGATTCGACCAGCGACGACGACTCCGCCCTGGCTTATGGCTCCATGCCCAAGTTCTCGGACCCGAGCCTACCCATCGCTGGCCCTTCGCAAACCCAGCAGAACACTCCCCCAACCGTCATTTCTCAACCGCCCCCCGAATCCATGCCCCCTCCTCGCCGCAAGAGTTCCGTCGTCGACCCAGCCAGGTTCGGTCCTGTCAACTCCCTGCGTGGCGTCGTCAACACGCCTTGCGGCTTCCGCCCTGACGAGTACCCACAACATGGTCCTAGTCAGACGGAACCACAACTGCCCCCGCATGACCCGATCCCCCAGCCGAACAGCGCATCTATCGAGGCTGGACCAATGCGAAACGTCTATCCGGTCCCGACCACTCACCCCTCCCACTTCGACGCAGTGCCGAGTTCCTCGGGCGTGTCTGTTCCGCTTGCTGGAGCGGCAGGTCCATCCACACCGACGCGCCGGGACCGCGAGAGGGACAGAGAGAGAGATAGTGTCTTGTATTCCAGCCGCCCCGAGACTGTGCCGATCCAGGCGCCCAAGCCGAGAGTCCCTGTGTCGCCCCGCGTGTTGGAGGACCAGCGCACTGGGGTGGAGAGGGAACAGCAGATTCAACAGGGGAGCCCCCGCGAGCGCCGGTCCAAAAAGAGTCGTGACTCGGACAGGAGGAGCGCCGTAGAATCTGTTGCATCCGGTGCGCTGCCCGCTGTCGTGGGCGCGGCTGCAGCAGCGGTACTAGCCGGGGTTGTGGAAGACAGGCGGGAGAAGAGGCGCGATGAGCGGGACTGCGAGAAACGTGATGACAGGAGTTACGTTGATGACCGCCACACTCACCCGGCGCCCGACAAGAGAAGCGTCGTTGAGAGCGTTCTTAGCGGGGCCCCTTCCTCTGCTGCCATCTCGGACGCTAACAGGCAGCGTGAGCTCGACGAGCTTCGCGAACAAGAAGCCCGTGTGCGCGAAGACCGTCTTCGCTACGAGCGCGAAGCGCAGCGTCACCGCGACGCCCGCGAGTACCGCGAGCACGAGGAGCGCCACCGCCAGGACGAGGTGGACGCCCGCCGCCTTCGCGATGAACCGGAACTCGCCGACCAGTATGAACGTCGCGTGCGCGAGGAGCGCGAACTTCGGTACAAAGAGGAGCGCCGGAGCAACGACGAGCGTACGCGGTCGGAGCACGACCGGATGTTGAGGGACGCCATGAAGAAACGCGACCGTGAGGAGAAGCGCAAGGTCGAGACCAGTGAGCATCAGGAGGAGCGCAGTCGCGAGCGCGAGGAACGCCGCCGCTCGAAGGGCAAGGATGTCGTCACGGTCATTAATGAGCGTGGAACCGGTCCCTCGGCTAGCAAAGAGGCCCCGCCCCTCTCCGAGAAGAAGCAGGGGGGATTGGACCCTGCAGCGTCAAAGCCCAGTCGCGAGGAGAGGCGTGCTAAGCGCGAAGAGACTCGTCGCATGATCGAGGACCTTCATCGCCAAATCGAGCTCGAGAAGAAGCGGATTGCTGAAATGGACGCTGGCAAGCAGCCTCCTGCGGAGGAGCGTTCTGAACCCGGCCCATCCAGCAGCAAGAATGAAGCAGTCGATCCTTTCCAATACCAGGTTGCGACTGATGCCTTCCCAACTCCGGCACCGGGCAGCCCGAAGAGGTCCATCACCCCTCATATTCACACCGTCGAACGCGAGCCGGACTGGGCGCGTGAAGAGCCTAGCCGGTATGGCGAACGTGAGGAGCGACTGAGCCGGCGTTGTTCTTTCGAGCGGGAAGTGCGAGAAGCCCAGGCCGCCGCCGACGAACCTAACGGCGCCACCGCTACGGCCGACGACAGCATGACTCCTGCTACCATTTCGGCGCCGAGCGGCGGAGAGCGCGCCCGGTCCCGCTCGCGTGAACCCCCCCGAGGTAGAGACCCCGAACCTGTCAGAGATGTCGTGCAGGACGAGGCCAACCGCCACTACCGCGAGAAGAGGATGGCTGAGAGGGTTGCCGAGGAGGAGATTCGCTCTCGCACCCCTTCCCCTTCGCGGTCGGTTGTGGATAAGTACGAGGACAACGAAGACCCTATCGGCCGCATCGTGACCCCGCCGGAAATGCAGCGCCCTCCCACTAAGAGCAAGTTCGACGGCCCCAACGCTGACGTACGCATCGACAATGTCATCATGCCGAACGACGTTTCCAGGTTCCATCCCCCGCCACCGAGTGCGCGTGGCCTCGGTCCGGTGATGATGCCTATCTTCAAGTCGAGAGACCCGTCCTGTGAGCGCGAGAGGCCCATGCTGAACCTGGTTCTCCCTACCCCGAGGACCTCGCCGTCCCTGGAGAAGATGAAGGCCAGGCAAGCCGCCGCTCAGGCGGCGGCTGAGGACACACCCTCGGAAGACGAGAAGAAGAAGAAGGACGAGCGCAAGCCCAAGACCATCACCAACTACCGCGGCCAGACGGTTGAAGTTCCTGATGATTATGACACCGGGCGTGTTGTGGAAAAGGAGAGCCGTGAGTCCTCTCAGGAGCGCCCGGCCATCAAACTCAGATTTGGCGGTAGGAAGAAGAGCGCCTGGGGAAGCCTCATTGCCGCTGCTGTTGTCGGTGCCGCGGGCAAGTCTAAGGGGCTGAAATTGGGCCAAGGCGAGAAGCCTGCTGAGGCTCAAGGAAGTGCCGACGTTGTCGAGGCGGACAAGGACAAGCCGCGAGATGCGGAACCCGTGTCGGAGCCTAAATCCGAGCCGGCCCCCGTTCCGGAAGTTCAGCCGACGATTGAAACTGCCCCAGAAGCAACCCGGGGCGCTACGCCGGAGCCGGAACCAGTCTCAACTGAAGCTGCGCCGGAATCAAAACCCTCGCCGACCCGGAGCGTCTCTCGCGCACCATCCACCCCGCCTCGTTGGTCACGAGTCCCTTACGAATTCGACGAGGAACAGGAACCTCCCCTGGTCGGCCCGAAACCTGCCAGCCCGCAGGCGTCCAAGACGCACGGCTCTTATGGGGATGACATCGACTTCACCGCCACCCTCGCTGCGGGCCTCGAAAGTACTGGGTTCAATCCGAACATGGTGGTTGACGACCCCACGTTCCGGACAAGGGATTCGCCTCGTGGTTCAAACGAACTCCCCTACAGGCCTCCGTTTTCCGAGACCGTTACTGACCTCGGTATTGATTCCGCCGATCGAGGTGGCATGCCCGAGGGTAAAGAGGTCAATTTTAGGGGCGAAAATTCCGAATTCACGCCCAAGCCAGAGGATATTGAGCTCAGCAGGGAACCCTCGGTGCTCGATGCCGACGATGAGTGGTCAATGAAGAGCTCCACAAAGTCTCCGAGGTCGAAGCGTGACAGGTCCTATGACACTACGATCTACTCCGCTCCTTCATCTGAAGTATCCGTTGCAAGCTCGGGCAGCAAGAAGAGCAAAAAGAATCGCCGTAAGAGCACCAAGGACTCGTATGACATACCGGAGCAAGATGAACCCCCGGATCGGCCTGGTGATTCTTTTCAATGGGTCGGCCGTGAGGTGAGCTCGGTCGTGTCCGATCCCGCCGGCAAGCTTAACGGCGGCCATCATGACACGCAATCTGTCGTGTCCCTCCCCGCAAACGGGGGCAGCGAGCACCACGAGCGCTCAACCACCCAGAACGGCGACCAGAAGGATTCTTTTTTAGGTAATGCCGGCACCTTTGGCGCAGGTGCCGGCCTGGTGGGAGCCGCCGTTGCTCTTGCAGCTCAGCTTTCCCGCCCTAATGCCGCCCAGGACCTCGTCGAGGAGGAGAAGGAGAAGGAGCCGTTTCGTCGCGGACGTAGCGTCAGCTACAGCTCGCAGACCGTCGACCCGGAAATCGTCCAGCGGGAAATCAAGCCCGCCATTGATCCCCAATATGGCGATCTTCTGCCCCTCCCACCTAGCGAGCCTGGTTCGCCCAACCTTAATCACCTAAACAAAGAAGACGATACTTTCCCTTCTCTTCCCGACAGCGAGGACGACACGCCTTCTCCTCAGCAAACTCGCCCCCGGCGCGGTACCGTTGGCCACACGCACACCCGCCGCCGGAGCGCGATTGAACCACCCAAAACGCCCAGCCGCACCGCCGTGCCGGTGCAGTTCCGCATGGGCCGCGGCTCGGTTCCCTCCTCCCCGGCCTTCCGCTTCTCACCCTTGCACTCGCCCGTCGCAACCACCCACCCCGAGATGGGCAGCACCTCGCCCCAGAGAACCCGCTCCGCCCGCCCGATGTCGTGGGACAGCTCGCGGGACTTCAAGCCGCTTTACCTGCTCGAGAAGGCCGCGAGCTCGAGCGCGCACGGTGCTGCTGCTGCTGACGCCAAGCAACAGGACGAGTATCCCGAGCTGCCGCCTAGCGAACCCCCTTCGCGGGAGTCGCCGGGGCCGGAGTATGATGTACGGGAGGACGACCTGGATTACCTGGGCGTCGGGCTCCGGGTCGCCGCGGGGATGGGGGCGTCGGTGGGCCTGTTGGAGGCCCTGCAGATCGACACGTCGAGCAAGGGGCTTGATGTTGGCGCTGGCGAGGTCAGGTTTGGGGAGCCGCTTGGGTCGGGCGAGACGACGCCGAGGGCGCCCGCTTCTCCTACGCGCGGTTTTGATACCCTGACGGAGAAGTCGGATGAGGCCGCGTATGACGCTCTGGATGAGTGGCAGGTTGTGGGGGATTTGGACGCGCTCCCGCCGCTGCCGGAGAGCCCGGTTGAATCCCCTACTTTGGTACCGTCCCTTCCGGTTGTTCCTGCCGAATCTCAGCCTGTCTTCGAGGACACGAGGACCTTGCCTGCCCTCCCTGATAGCCTGCCAACCTCGCCTCTTCTGACGGCTTTGCCTCCGGCTTCTGCGCACTTACCTTTCGTCGAGGACTTGGAGCAGTTGCCGGCTCTACCCGAAAGCCTTCCGTCCTCGCCTGTTCTCGAGGCACGGCCTTCAGCTCTCAGCCAACCGCTATTCGCTCGTTCCGAGCCCGAGGTGTTGCCTGCACTCCCGGAGAGCCGCGCGGAATCGCCTGCTTTTGAGGCACGGCCTTCTGCTCCTATCCCGCAGCTGCTTGCTCGTTCCGAGCCCGAAGCGTTGCCTCCACTCCCAGAGAGCCGTCCGGAATCGCCTACTTTCGAGGCGCAACCTGCTGCCCCCGGCCCATCGTTAGTTACTGGCTTCGACGTAGAGCAGCTTCCCTCCCTCCCCGAGAGCCGTCCTGAATCGCCTACTTTCAAGGAGCTGCCTGCTGCCCTCGCCCCAGCGTTGCCTGTTGGCTTTGAGCCAGAGCAGTTGCCGGCCCTGCCCGAAAGCCGTCCGGACTCCCCTGCTTTAGAAGCACAGCCTTCTGCTCTTAGCCCGCCGATACTCGCTGCCTTCGATCCGGAGCAGTTACCGGCTCTGCCTGAAAGCCGCCCGTCCTCGCCTGCTCTAAAGGCGCTCCCTTCTGTTCCCAGCCCGGCATTACTTGATGACTTCAGGCCAGAGCAGCTCCCCGCACTCCCAGAGAGCCGTCCAGACTCACCACTTTTGGCGCCGTTGTCTCCAGCAGCTGCAACTCCGTTCCTGGCTGGGGAATTGGAAGACCTACCGGCATTGCCTGAAAGCCGTCCCGCATCCCCTGTGTTGGGTGGGTACTCATTACATCTATTCATTTTAAGTAACGCGCTAACACGATCCCTAGATCGTTCCGAAGCCCCCATTTCCTCGCCAGCACTGCGGCTCTTCACTCCCACTTTGACTCGAGCTGCGGATGTCGATTTCGACCAGTTACCGCCTCTCCCCCAGAGTGCCCCTGGTTCTCCTGTCCAAGAGACCCTCGCTTCAGCTCCAGCTCTCGAACTGTTGACAGACCCGACCCTCCAGGATGGACTCGACGCTGAACTACCTGCCCCGGTACAAGAGCAAGCGTTTGACCGGGAACTGGAGGAATTGCCTCCCCTTCCTGAGAGCCAGCCGGCCTCGCCTGTTCTGCCGAAAGTGGTTGACGCTCCCAAGGTCGACGATGGGCTGGAGATGCTCCCACCTCTCCCTGAGAGTACGCCGACCTCACCTGCTCCGTTGACGTTGGTTCAAACTCCCACCTTGCCGGTCGGCGATGGGCTGAAGTCGCTCCCATCTCTCCCTGAGAGCGGGCCGGCCTCGCCGGTTCTGTCGAACGAGGTTGATGTACCCGCCTATTTGCCAGTCGACGATGTGTTGGAGTCACTCCCACCTCTTCCTGAGAGCCGGCCAGCCTCGCCTGCGCCGTTGAAAACGGTTGACATTCCCACTTTGCCGGTCAGCGATGAGCTAGAGTCGCTCCCACCTCTCCGTGAGAGCCAACCAGCCTCGGCTGTTTTGTCGGATGACTTGCCTCCCCTCCCCGAGAGCCAGCCGGCATCGCCTGTTCTGTCGAAGGAGGTTCACGCTCCCACCCACCTGCCGGTCGACGATGGGTTGGAGTTGCTCCCAGCTCTCCCTGAGAGCCAGCCGGCCTCGCCTGCTTTACTAGAGACGGTTGACATTCCCGCCTTGCCAGTCGACGATGGGTTAGAGTTACTCCCACGTCTTCCTGAGAGCCGGCCGCTTTCGCCTGTTCAGGAGCTGTCTGCTCCATCTGAGCCCTTGGAGTCTTTGGCCCCTTCTCTTTTGGAAGCCAAGAACACTGAGCAACCTCCTGTTTCCCGCGGTCTTGATTTTACTGAAGAACTAGAGGTATTACCTCCCCTGCCTGAAAGTCGCCCTGTCTCGCCCGTCCTAGAAGCCCTTGCTCCGGCTGCTAGCTCCCTGCCGCCTCCAATCGATGAGGTTGGAGGCTTTGTTGCCCAGAGTCCGAGCCGTGAACTGGAGTTTGAGGATTTACCACCACTTCCGGAGAGCCGCCCTGGTTCGCCCGCTGAGATAGAGCCCACGCCTGCTCTCGCCACTGAGCCTTCCGCCTCGCTTCTTCCTACCGGGCTCGCCAACGTGGACATCGCACCGGCCCAGGAGCTGGGTTTCGTTGAAGACATGGAGAAGCTGCCTCCTCTTCCAGAAAGCCGGCCTAGCTCACCTGTTGTGGCCGACATCGCTCCAGTGGAAGCTACCGATTTCCAGCCCACCGCCGAACAGACTACCTCAACAAAAGATCGAGACGTTGAGCTAGATCTGGACGAGCTGCCCCCTCTGCCGGAAAGTCGCCCGGAGTCACCTGTCCAGGGAGATGCGGAGTTGGTTGAGGTTGCCAAACCCCGGCCTGCCAGCGAAGATCTCGCGCGGGAACGGAGCTCTGAACAAGACCTGACGGCTCTGCCCGCACTTCCTGAAAGCCGCCCCAGCACTCCCACTCCGCTCTCGTCATCATCGGCCCTGCTCCCCGAGCCATCCACTGCGTTGGTTTCTGACGCCGAGAAAACACCTGTCGCTCGGACGTTCGAGCCGAGTTTCAGCCAAGAATCTACCATCCAAGAACGAGACTTTGCTGAGAAGCCTTCCGAGGGATCCCGTTCTGGTCGGTTTTACCAGCCTCCTTCAACATACGAGGGGCTCAAGAACGCCGGGTTCCAAAAGCGGATACCGAGCCCCGATGCGACCCGCGGTTTTGACAAACAGGAGGCTTGGGAGGCCACGGAGAAATCCAGATCTAATCTACTCGGACCTACGGCGGCTGCTGCGGGCGCGGCGGCGGCGAGTGGCCTTCTCGTTGCTCACATGCGCCATGACGATTCACAGCCTGACCTGCAACGTCAGGAATATGATAAATTGCAAACGCCAACCTATGACCGGCCCGAGAGCGTCTACTCGTTCAATGAAGATGCCTCTACTGTCGCTGCTTCTGAAGCACCAACCTACCTGTCTGGTTCAACATTCTACGAGGCGCAGCCCGACTCTGGGAAAGCGGAGGAAGCACCGCCAAAACCTGGTACGCTCGCGTATCTTTTGAGCAAGAGAGGCCAAAGGTACCAAAGTCAGGAGGACGACTGGGCTATTACGAATGCCGCTTCTTCTGCTCGGAAGGGCAAACCTGAGACTCTTGCCGAAGTGCGGGACGAGCGCGATCTCGGAGAGACACCGGCCCAAACCAGCACAATTCAGCCTGCCGTTATCGTCGAGGAGGAGCAAGAGGTTGAACCGCAGACACCAGAGCAGACTTCGAGCACGCGCAAGAAGGGCAAGAAAAAGAGTGGCAAGAAGGGGGTTTCTTGGATCGAATCTCAGCCCGAGAGTCAAGAACAGGGCCAGGCTGATGAATCCAGTCTCGAGCGCTCGGCCACCACACCCGCCGTCGAGGTTGATACAACCACCAGCGATAACCCACAGCTCACCACTGCCGAGAAACCCACGCCGGATTCAGCTGGGCCTACCGACAAGCCCGAAAGTCACGAGACGATCGCCACGGTTAGCAAGAAAGCCAGGAAAAAGAAGAAGGCCAAGAAAGGAGATGCCAGCTTGGAGCCTGCAGAAGACCCCCTACCAGCTGCAAGTACCCTCAACGCTCGGGATGGAGCGGGACCCGACAGCGCGGGTCTCACATCGGGCTCAGCTCGGGAGTCCCACCCGACTGCAACTCTGCAAGAGATCGGTCCAGACTCAGTCGCACCTCCGCACGTGGAGCCACACGAGTTGTCGGAGACGCAACCTGTCCCGCCCAGCAGCGGTGAAGTTGTGGTTGGACGGGAAACCCCGAGTGATCCAGCAGCTGAGCAGGACCCTGGATCACGGCCCGTTTCGTCCGCAGCTGCAGGTGCCGAGCCTGGGAAAGACGAGCAAGTCGCCCGCAGCGTGCAGGAGGCTGACGCCGCGCCAGCTGAGCCGATCAAGGCAAAGAAGAGTATCTGGGGCTCCATGCTTCCCTCTCTCGCCGGCGGCGTCGGTTCTCTCTTCGGCAAAGGAAAGGGCGACACTGTCCAGGAACAGCAGCATCGAGAGCCTGAGAAGCGGGAAGACCAGGCCCAGCCGGCGTCCGAGTCGTCTCGTGATGCATTGCCGACGCAGGATGCACAACAACAACACAGCATCTCGGAGCCATTGGAGGCGATGCCCCAACCCCCACCCACGCCGCCAAATCTGGGCGAATCGAGCAGCCAAACTCCCGATGTGGGGCATGCATCGGAACTGCATGAACCCCCTGACAGCAACAAATCAGGGGTCGACACGGCGACCGACGCTGCAGACACCGCTGTTTGTGCACCCCACGAGCAGACCCCGGCCCCCGGAATCCCCACACTCGGACCAGTCGATGAGGCGACCCCCTCAGATGCAGCACGCCTCGACACCATTGTGGCGGGCAGCATTGACGAGCAACGCGGGGGGCCAGATGGTGAACAGCCAGACAAAACCGCACCTCGGTCGCTAGACCAGCCCCAGGGACTTGCGACATCAGAAGTTGCCCAGCAACCAACTGTCGATGCGCCTGTCGCCGCTGATGCCGCCGTCGAACCAGCCGATGCCATGGCAACGAAGGGCGAGGAGCTTAAGGACACGCCCAAGGATGATGAACCCGCATCCCAGGACCCGCCGCCGGAACGAGCACCACCGGCTGTTGCCGAGGCTAGCCAGCAAGATCTGCTCCCTGAACCCCAGGCCAACCCCGGACCTCCTGCGGCTCTCGAGCCCAGTCCGGTGACCAACCAGGGCGCCGATGACGAAACGTCGGTTGAACCCACTGGGAAGAAGGGGAAGAAGGCTAAGGGTAAAAAGAAGAAGAAGGCTGCGGCCGAGGCTGAGGAAGTGTCCGCCGTGGAGCCCGCCTCGGAACCTGCCGCCCCAGAGCCAGCGCCGGAACCTCTTGTGGCTGAAACTCCAGAGAAGAGTGCCCTTCGCGAGGCGGTTGTTGAGGCTGCTCCGGCCGAGGCGGTTGTTGAGTCTGATCCGGCCGTGGAGGTTGTCGAGTCTGCTCCGGCCGAGGCGGTTGTCGAGTCTGCTCCGGCCGCAGAGTTTGTCGAGTCTGCTCCAGCCGCGGAGGTTGTCGAGTCTTCTCCGGCCGAGGCACCGCAAGTTGAGCCCCAGCCCGAGCCGGCGTCTTCCAGCAAGAAGAGCAAGAAGAAAAAGAAGAAGAAGCAGGCCAGCCAGGACGTCTCCGAGGCTCCCGTCGAAGTTACCGCTGAGGAAAACACACCCGCACCAGTCGAGGAGTCAAAGCCGGCGCTCGCGCCAGACGCTGTCTCTCACCCGGACTCACTTCAGCCCCCTGTCACGGACTCGCCACCGGTTGAGGATCCCCAAACATCACAAGGAGATGCCGGTCCACAGGCCGAGGAGAACCAGGAACCCACTACCGGTAGCAAGAAGTCCAAGAAGAAGAAGAAGAAGCGCGCATCGTTAGCTTTGGAGACCGAAGCCCCCGAGCCTCCTGGGCCCGAAAATGGAGCGGAGAAAGTTGTGTCATTGACCGGCGACGACCAGCCAAGCAACTCGGGCGACAATACGGCACAGCAAGAAAGCCCCTTTCCAGCGCCAGCCGCGGATGACGCACCCACAACCTCAAAGGGTAAGGACAAGAAGAAGAAACGGCAGAGCGTCAGTTTTGCCGAGCCCCTTGAGGAGCACCTGGGTTCCGCCAATGCGGGAGGTGAGGACGACAACAACCAGAAAACCCAGGACTCGAAGGACTCCATCTCCGATGTCCCCACGGTTCCCCCGCAAAGCGGCGACTCTGTTGTTGAGCGGCCTGCCCAAGGCGAGGCCCAGAGTCCCAGCACTCAAGTCGGTGTCACTACCCCCTTGCCCGATGCCCGCGATGTGCCCGGAGCTGGTTCTGACGTGGAGCCGCTGCAGGAACCCGCCCCTCGGTCCCCGAGTCAACCGGTGGACAATGAGACCTCGGATGGAATGTCCGACAAGGATCAGCAAGCTCTGGCGTCGGGTGAATCCCAATCCCAATCAACAAGGACTGAGATTCTGGACGAGAGTAAGTGGAAGAAGTCGGATTGATTAGGGACCAGAACCAGGCATGGAAGTGGCTTCATGAGCTGACTTGTGTATTTTATCCAGAATCACCAATTGACGATTCATCTCCATCATCTCCATCTTTCAATAAATCATCTAAGAGCGAAAGCGTGCCGGATTCTGAGACCGGGCCGGGAAACATGCAGCAGCAGCAGCCGACAGGGCCACTGCCACTTTCCGGTGAGCAACAAGGTGACAACCCGGGGCCGGGACTCGCTTCTGGAGGCGCAGACCCACCGCACACCGCCAAAAGCACCACTGAACCAGTGCCAAGTGGTGCTGGCAGCGCCAAGTCTGGGCCAATAACAGCCGCCCCAGCCGCCGACCAACAGGGTCAGGGACCGGTCGTCGCCCGGGAGCCTGGCCTCGAGCCCACTGCATCTCAATCATGGAACAATAAAAATAACGGTCAGGAAAACAATACAATTCACGAAAGTGAAGAGTTGGAATCGTCCATTGAAAAAGTCCAAAACCCATCCGTGTATCGGGTCGCCATCGATGAGACCCAATCATCCACGCAACAGGACACTGCGGCCCAATCAACCCAGAGTGAGATTCCTTCCCAGCCACCTCACTACTATCATGACGATGAACCCGCAACTCATGAGGCCATAGCTACCGGTACCCGAGGTGAACAACACCTAGCGTCCGGGCCGTCTGCAATTGGCACGACGCCACCGGATGAGGTCCAGTCAACCAGCCCGCATGAGCAGCAGCCTGAGCAGCAGCACTCTGATCTCTCCGACACGGAATCCATTCCCGACTCCACTACGTCTCAGGACATGCCTCTCCAGCCCGAGGAGGACCGCTCACCTTATAGTCTTCTAAACAAGCCCAAAAAGAAGAGGAAGAAGCCCAAGGCCGAGGCGGAACCATGGCCCACCGAACCACCAGAACCACCCCAGCCACAGTCGGCCCAGGTCCCCTCCTACCAGAGCCTCCCGATAGAGCGCAAGCAGCTCAGCACCGTAGAGGAGGAGACAGAGCCCCCGTCCGAGTATGGCGAGAGCGACGCCCGCTCGCTCATCTCGGGCGACGACAACCAGTCTCTGCATCGCCGCAAGTCGATCGTCTCCGAGTCTTCGCGCACCGTCTCCTCTCTAGGTCTCTCCGAGACCAGCGCCGGCGGGTTGGCCGATGACGAGGGCGCGGAACCCCCTACTTACGCGCTCAAGAAGGCGGCAGCCAAGAAGGACAAGGCTGACAAGGCTGGCAAGAAGAAGGGCAAGAACGACCTCGGGGACGAGCCATGGCCGAGTGGTGACGCTTCGGGTGCCGAAGAGCCTTCTGGGCCCGCTGCGGGGAAGGGTGGGGACAATGCTGTGGATGAGGTCCAGTCCGTGATGCCGGAGGGTGGGGTGGTCGATGAGGCGCAGGTTCCGAGCGACAAATCCGAAGGGGTGCCGGATGTGCCACTGGTTGAAGATGCCCAGGTCGAGAAGGACGTTCCTCAGGAAGACGCCCCCACGGATGCTGTCCAGTCTTCATCGGAAGTACCCGTTGTGGGGCCTACCCCGGACCAACCCACACAAGAGGCTGCTGAACCAGTCAACGAACAGGCTGAGAAGTCACTCCCCGACGACATTACCTCAACCCCCACACAGGAGGAGCCAGAGCCGGTCCAGGAAACGGACACTCCACAACCACCACAAGAACCCGAGGTGCTGCCCGAACTAGAAGTCGCTGCGGGTGGGGGGTCCGGGGGGGACGGGGAAAGGGCGAGGAAGGCGGCCAAGGACCAGAGCGAGGCTAACGCCCAGGCACCTGCTGTTGAGGAGCCAGCACCAGTGGAAGAACCCGCAGTGGTCGAAGAATCAGCGCCCGCCGAACAGCCAGCACCAACTGGTGAAGAGTCAACAAAGAGCGAACAGCCAGCACCACAGGCTGGGGAGGCAGCATCGGGCGAGACCCCGGCACAGGTCGAAGAGCCGACAATTATCAAGGAGCCAACCACTGTCGAAGAACCCAAAACGGTTGAAGAGACAGCAGCGGTCGAAACCCCGGTAGCGACTGTCGAAGAGTCCACGACGCCTCTGCCGGCCGAAGTCGAGGTGCCTGCGCCAGACGTTTCTGAGCCAGTTGCTGCAGCAGTCCAGGAAACGGAGACCGTGGATGCACCCAACGATGTTGCTGAGGCCCAGACCGAAGAGGCTTCACCAACGCCGGGTAAGAAGTCAAAGAAAAGCAAGAAGAAAAGGAAGGGCACACTTGAGCCTGAGCCCGAGCCTGAACTTGCTACCGAAACGCCCGTTGTTGAAGAGCCGAGCCCCCCTCTTCCAACCGAAGTCGAGGAACCTGCGCACGAGGTACCCAAGCCTGCCGCTGAGGTTACACAAGAGTCTCGTGAACCCGCTCCCGATGTCGATTCAAAGCCCATCGAAGAGACCCTCGAGCCTCCTGTTGAAATTCCCCAAGAAGCCGCACTACCAGAGGGTACCACCCCCACCGAGGAGCCAGCCATCGAGGAACCAGCAGTCGAGGAAACGCCAACTAAGAAGGGCAAAAAGAAGAAAAAGGGCAAGGCTTCCAAGAACGCCGAATCCGACTCCGCTTCTGCCGCTGCTACGCCGAACGTAGAAGAGCAAACCCCCGCCATGGAACCCGAGGCCACCGTTGTCGAGCCCGTCCAGGAGGGCACAGAGGCCGTGCCCGCCGCGTTTGACCCGGTAAAGGAGCCCGAAACTGTTGCCATCGACGAGACCCCCGTACAACCCGCCGAGGAGGTTCAGCAGCCCGAGGACAGCCAGCCACAACCCGAAGAGGGCCAACCACAGCCTGAACCTACCCTTCCCGTTGAACAGCCCTCAGTTGCCGAAGAACCCGCCCTGGTTGTTGAAAGGTCAATTCCCGTTTCCGACGAACTCGCCGGTGACCCGGAAAAGCCAGGCTCCCCTATTCCAGACGTACCGAGCGCTCCTGTTCCGGACGTGCCAAATTCTCCCGTTCCCAAGGTTCCCGACGAGCCTACTCCTGAGGTGCCAACCGAGCCTACTCCCGAAGTACCTACTAAGCCCGCTCCCGAAGTGCCAGGCGATCATGTTCCCGACGAGCCAAGTCCGGCCCCTGGACCTGAGCCGGAAGAAGCTTCCGCCCAGCCAGTCAAGAAGGTCAAGAAAAAGAAGAAGGGCAAGGGGTCGCAAGTTATCGACCCTGAACCTGAGGCCCAGTCCGCTCCCGCTGCCCCTTCCGAGGAACAAGCTCCGGTCGTCGATGAGCCAACGCCTGCCAAGAAAGAGTCAACCGTCTTGGTTGAGGAGCCCGCTCCTGTAGTTGACGAACCTACCCCGACTATCGATGAATCCTCGCCTGCGGAAGAGCCTGTCCCAGTCGTCGAAGAACCCACTCCGGCCCTTGAAGAGTCCGCCACAGTCGATAAGTCCGCTCCCGTCGCTGCCGAACCCACCCCGAAGATCGAAGAATTTCCACCTGCGGAAGAGCCGGTTTCTGTCGAGGAGCCCAGCCACCTTGTCGATGCCCCCACCGACCCTGCCCAGGAACCTGAACCAGCAACAGAACCATCTCCTGTCGCCGAAGAACCCCAGCCTGAATCACTCGAGCAAACGACCCCAGCCACCGTAGAGAAACCAACTGCCGCACTAGAGGAGCCCGTCTCGGTTCCTGAGCAACCAATTTCCCAGAAGCTAGAGCCTGAAGCTCCTGTCGAAGCTCCGGCCGAGCCGGTCATCGCCGAGGAGATAGCACCCGTCGTGGTTGAAGCGGATAAACAAGCTGAGCCGATTCTCGGGGTACAGCCCGAACCCGAGCAGACTTTGGACGCACCGACGAAAAAATCCAAGAAAAAGAAAAAGGGTAAGGGATCCAAAGCTATTGACCTCGAGGAGCCCAGTACGAGCACGCCTGTTGTGGTTAAGGAGCCGGTCCCTTTCGCGGAGGAGCCCGCTTCACGAGAGCTCGAGGTTGAAACCCCAGCAGAGATTCCCACAGAGCCAGTCCAAGGTCTTCCCACCGAGGTAACTGAACAAATTCCGTCACCTCCTGCCGAAGAAACAGCCGCAACACCGGAAGCGACCGAACAACCCTCTCCCACGGTTGTTGAAGAACCCATTCTTACTGTGGAGGAGCCCCCGCTTGTTGTCGAGGAGCCCATTATTCCCCAAGAGCCGACTCGCGAATCTCATCAACCTTTGGATGAGACAACGGCCGAGCAACCTTTCTCCTCCGTTGCTGCTGAAGAACCCAGCCCGGCGCCGCAAGTTACCCCCGAACCCCAGAACCTGATATCCGAGGCCCCCTTGGTCGATCCCAGCCCTGTCATTGAGGAGCAGCCTTCCCGCGCCGAGCCCGAGGCCCCGACCCCAGCTCCAGAGCCTCTTAGTGCAGAACAACCATCTACCGAAGCGTCGGCTAGAGAACCAGTCAAGGAAACGGCCGAGGCTTCACCAGTGGAACCCCAACAGGGAGAAGTGTTGGCGCCGTCAAGCAAGAAGTCCAAGAAGAAAAAGAAGAAGGGATCCAAGGCTTCTGATCCTGAGCCTACTTCTAGGGGGTTGACTACCACACAAGAGCCCGCCCCTCTTGTGGAAGAGCCCGCCAACATTCAAGAGCCCGTCATCGTCTCGGAGGAGGTTCCGCCAATCGAGTCTCTAGAGACCCCTAAAGAGCTTCCCGAAATAGTGCAGCCTGAAGCGCAATCCGAGGAGGCCCGTGAGGTTGTCCAGTCCGAAGCTCAGGTGCAGCTCGAAGCAGAGCTCGCTCCGGAACGTGCGCTCGAAACTACCGCCGGGCCTGTCACCGAAGCCGTCGTCGAACCCACTCCCGATCTTGCCGTGGAAATTGAGCCTGTTGCTGAGGCTCACGAACCCCGGGACGTCTCTCTGGATGAGGACGGGGCAATCTTTGGTCGGCCGACCCGCGAGGGTGAAACCGATGCAGCCGTTTTTGCTTTGCCCAGCAAGAAGTCAAAGAAGAAGAAGGGCAAAAAGGCGGCGCTGGAAACTCAAAATCCCGAGGACGCTAATCCCGTGGCTGTCGAAGAGGCACCCGTGGCTCCTGAGGTTCCTGAACCTATCCAACTCGAGGAGACGCGCGAGGTTCCGGGGTCAGTTCAAGTCGGGACAATACCTGATCTGTCGGAGCCTACCCAATTCCAGGGGACGCCTGTCGCCCCGGAACCTATTCAATTTGAGGCACCAACGGCTCGCGGGTTGCTAGAAGAGCCTACCGACGTCCAAACCATCAACGACCCCCAAACTGTGGACATTCTCCCTGCCGACGCACCACAGGAAGAGGAGGACGACGACGAAGTGGTCCAGTTCACCGGCAAGAAGTCTAAGAAAGGCAAGAAAACGAAGGGCAAACCGGCAGCCGAGGCCAGCAGAAACATCCACGAGGCTCTGGTTGAGAACGAAAAGCATCCGGAGGTGGTCGAAGACAAACCAAGCAGCAGGCCACAATCACCAATTGCCGAGAAAGTCGAAATCCACCCTGGGGTCTCAGAAACCCTCGAAAGATCACCAGTTCCCGCGCCAGCAACCATCGGGCTGGGCCTGATCACCAACCCGCCCGAGCCGTACCCCGAAGATGCGCCGTCACCAAAACTGTTGAGCGGGCTCCAGACGCCCTTCTCGCTGGACGCGCAGGTCGAGGCCTCGCGGCAGCTCGGGGTGGACATGACGCCGGCGCAGGACAGCAGCCACGTGGATCACGAACCGCCCTTTGGCTACGATGCTCACCGGAAGAAGGTCAAGACGAAGGAGCTGGAGGCTGCCGAGCTCTCGGAGCCGGCTGTCACGGCCCGCGAGGTGGAGGTCGGACCGGTTGAGGAGGACAAGGGTCACGGCGAAGAGAAGGAGCAGGATCACGACAAGACGGTGCGTGGTGCGGCGCTTGCTGCGGTGGCGAGCGCGCTTACGGGTGGGGTGTCATTGTTGGCGGATGAGTTTGGGAGTGAGAAGGGTGATCATGGAGAGCAAAAGAGCGTGGATGTGGTTGCGGAGGATGAGAAATCGGCAGAGAGGAGTGTGGGTTTTGAGGAGACGAGGGAATTCAAGCCGGAGCCAATGGTGTTGGAGGAGGACCACCAAGAGAAGAAGATGGAGGAGGTTGAGGAGATCAAGGAGCGCAACTTCGAACAAACGACAATGGAGGAGGTGGATGAGCCTGAACATCAAAGAGAAAGGGGCTTGGACTTTAAAGGGCCGACAGTGGAGAATGAGGCAAGCGTCGAGTCTCGCAGTGTGCCCGGCCTGGGTCGAATGGATTCCGAGACCATCCCCAGGTCAGTCAGGGGCCCGTACGCGGCAGGAGATGCATCGAAGAAGGAAAAGAAGGAAAAGAAGGAAAAGAAAGAAAAGAAGGAACGACGAGAACGGTCGGCATCACCGGAACCAAATGTGCAACGAGCCTTCTCCTTCCCCGACGACATCGCGGACGAGGAGGTGTTCAACACGAGGGAGACCACGACGGAAACCACGGAAACCAGGGCAGACGACAAGCGAGAAGCCGAGCCGACGGCAGACGAACCGGTCCGACTCCCGGCTCTTTCCAATTTTTCAGAGTTCATGCGGTCCCACTCTAGCCTGCCGCCAGTGCAAGAGGAGCTCTCAGACGAGGAAATGGCAGAGGGCGAGTCACAACCATCAGCAACCCGACACACCCCAGGCACCCGACGCATCCCAGAAACCCCTGAGCTGCACCGAGACAGTGGCTTCTCGTCCGGATCACCCCATCTCTCCCGGTCTTTGCCTATCCCAGACGATCATGAAAAACTTCGTGATAGCGGTGTGCACCTCCGAGATTCGGGCGAGAGCATGACACCGGTCCGAGAGAGCCATCATCGGTCACTGTCGCCGAGAATTCCCGACGAGCGACTAGGGGTCCACACACCGCGAAACGAGGATGCAGAGCGCCGATTCAGGCGGTCACCGCTCAGTGGGCACAGGGGTGCTAGTGCAGTTGGGCCCGAGACACCCCGCCTGGACGAACCTTCACCGCCCCCTCGAACACCAGAACCAGAGAAGCTGCACGTCAACAAGAAGCGGGCCCCAGCCTCCAACGCAGCAATCACGCCGCATGTCAGCGCGGGGGGTGGGGGTGTCCCAGTGGGTCGTCCCATTGAAACCAACCCCAACCCCACCGCTTCCCGCATGTCGCCCAATACCAGCCTGGCCCGCCTTCGCACCCCGGAGCTCCCAGCTGCGTTGCGGCCTGACAGTCCAGGCAGTTTGCGCTCCGTGAGTGGTGGCACCCCCCCGCTGCAGCTCCGCCGGATGGACAAACGTACCAGTGGTAACTTGCGGTCCGCATCCCTCGGCCAGCTGGGTCTGCCCGCCAAGTCCCGCGAGCAAAAACAGCCAGGGCAGCAGCCAGCCACGCCAAATCAGAATTCCGCTGGTGCCGCTCGGGCCATCGCTGCAGCAGCACTCGCAGCAGGTGTGAGTGCAACGGCTGCACTAGGAACCCTCCAGCTTCAATCATCGCCGTTACCAGCCACCACCACCTCCACCTCCACCTCCTCCCAAGCTGCGGCAAACACGACGCCCGTCGCGAATGAGGGCCGTGTGCGCGCCAAGGACATGGCTGATGTCTTTGTATGTCTTACATTTTTTTAATTCCCCGCTCTTCTTTATTGAGACGAAATCCCTCGACGAGTGGTGCTAACCTACTTGCCCTACCTAGGATGGCTACGGCGAGGGCCGCATCGGCTCGCCACGTTCACCCACTCGACCGCACAGCATGCGTCGCCGACAGAGCATGCAAGTGCTCGAGCTCGAGTCTCGCGTCGAGCAACTCCTAGCAGAGAACCGTATGCTCGCCGATGCCCGCAGCCAGTCCGACTCGTCGTACACGCACCATAATGCCACCGCTCTCGCCGAGCGCGAGTCTGAGATCGAGTCCCTCCGCCGCATGCTCAGGGAGGCCAACGAGGTCATCAACCGATTAAAGCAGACAAATGAAGGCCTACGCAGCTCCACCTCGGCCATCGCCGTCAAGCACACCGAGGAGCTACGCCACATCGAGACGCAAAACGGCCAAGTCGCCCGGGAGCTCGATCTAGCCCGCGGTGCTGTGGCCCAGCACGCCCGCGCCGTGAAGGACAAGGACGTCGAAATCGCCCAGCTGCGTGCCGAGCTCGAGGCCTCGGCAGACCAGATCCGCGACCTTCAAAAACAGATCCTCGAACAGAGCCGGCCATCAGACGACCCGGACTTCCTCGTCAAACGCGACATCGACTACTTTGATCACCGCTGTCAACAACTATGTGCCCACGTCCAACAATGGGTCCTGCGCTTCTCCAAGTTCAGCGACATGCGCGCCTGCCGCCTGACATCAGAGTTCAGCGACGAGAAGCTCATCGACCGCCTCGACAACGCCGTTCTCGACGGCTCCAACGTCGACACCTACCTCAACGACCGCGTCCGCCGCCGCGACATCTTCATGAGCATGACCATGACCATGATCTGGGAGTTCGTCTTCACCCGCTACCTCTTCGGCATGGACCGTGAGCAGCGCCAAAAGCTCAAGCAGCTCGAAAAACAACTCATCGACGTCGGCCCGCCCCACGCCGTCCGCCAGTGGCGCGCCGTCACCCTCACCCTGCTCTCGCGCCGCCCGTCCTTCAAGAAACAGCGCGACCTGGACACCGAGGCCGTCGTCCAGGCCATCCTGGACACCCTCTCCAAGATCCTACCGCCCCCGTCCAACCTCGAAGACCAGATCCAATCCCAGCTCCGCCGCGTCGTGCGCGAGGCCGTCCTCCTCGCCATCGAGATGCGCTGCCAGCGAGCCGAGTACATGATGCTACCACCACTCCAGCCCGAGTACGACGACACGGGCGAGCTCACCGAGACGGTCAACTTCAACGCCGCGCTCATGAACGAGGCGTCGGGCAACGCCGAGCAGACCAACGAGGAGCTCGAGGCCGCCAACTCGACCGTCCGCGTCGTGCTCTTCCCCCTCGTCCTGCGCAAGGGCGACGAGATCGGCAAGGGCGAGGACGAGATCGTCGTCACCCCCGCACAGGTCCTCGTCGGCGGCATCTCCTCCAACAGCAGGCGCGGATCGCCCGCGAAGGGCCTCGGCCGGATGCTCACCCCCGTCTCCGATGCGGGTGGCGCGAGCCTAGAGGCCAGGAGTCTGGCTGGGGATAAGAGCCCCAAGGGAAGTATTAAGGGGGGTGTTGGTGTGGGGACCTACAGCGATGTCCCCTACAGTGATATCAGTATGGAGGGGAGTTATCTTTGATTGGAGGGACAGGACAGGTGATGGAAGGTGAATGGGGATATATAAGGGGCAATATGGTATGGCATTATACAAATGAATGGATTTGGCATGGGTGGATGGATGGATGGATGAATGGGCGGATCGGAGAACGGGAGGACTGATGACAAAAGTTGGGGTTGGGATGGAAGGAAAATCATGCCTGGCTATTTGCTTTGCCTTGCGTTTCTCCGTTTTGTTTTTTCTGTTTTTGTTTTTTGGCTAGTAGGAGTTGGGGCTTGTTTTTGTTTGATGGCTTCGGCCTTGACGTTCAGAGATGATGACCATGATGAGAGAGCAATTCATGATATAGCTTTATTCAGGTTTTGTTTGGTTTGGTTTGGCCTTGAGTTCATGAGTTGATATCCTTCCTACTTCATTCCTGCTTTTCTGTGCACTGCTTTAGAGGGTTGATTGTTTGGTTTGTGCGTGATAAGTTTCTTAGTCTAGGGCTTAATCCTTTCTTAGCCGTTCCTACCTACTTGTCTTTTTTAGCTACCAGTCTTGACTACATAGATAGAGGTTAAAGGTTATGAGCCATGAATGATGAAGTCCGTCGTATCACACTCACTCCCCTTGATGGTGTGCAGTTTCACTGTCAAACATATGTCCATGGGTGCCAATGCTACTCATCAATGACCTTCACCTAAGTCTTCGAACCCAACAACAACCCAACAACAACCCAACAACTGCATGTCATGACACCAACATGCTCACATATACACAGTCGGCCTGTATGACTTGCCCATGGCATGTCATTCTTCTCGCCTCAGTACCCCCCTCCGGACCAGTCGGGCACTTTCCCTCCACCACCGTGACAGGATGAGATGAAAGACCAACCCTACCCCCAGGCACGGCTATGCTTGATAAGGCAGCAAATCCAGAATGGTTTTCGGATGCCCGGTGGCGGCGTGGCCCTGTGGGCCGCGTCTACGGAGCTGAACCGTTTGACTTGGATACTATGATTGGATTTCCCTCTTCTGTATGCACACCTTGACGGTTCGGTCCGTCACCGGGCATTCATTTTGCACTTTTTGGCACTTACACAGTATCCTCTTCGGCGTTTTTGGACTAGGTCTTTTTCACACAAGTCTTGTGAAGTGATCAACTGATTCACTCTTCCTCAAGGGTGCTCCAGTACTTGATTCGAAACACACATTAGCTTTACACTGCGTTGAACTCAACGGCCTCCCCCATCGGCAACCCGACGAAACACCAACCCACCATCCTTCGCAACACCAACCAATACCTCAACATCCAACCCCTTCCGAGCAGAGCGCTCCCGGGTCTCCCCCTCCAGCCACGCAATTACATCCCGATAACCCGCCTGTTTCCTCACCAGCACCTGTCTGCAGGCCACCATGGCGAGCCTACCACTGGTCAGTCCCTAGGTCAATCACAGACGGATTCCAAAGATCGAGCTTACCAGGCAACCTCCTCCTTCTTGACACTGCACACATACCCCGGGTACCGCTCCCTCCTGACCCGGCTTGTCAGCAGCACAAACGCCACGTCGATCAGCGTCTTGATTGTATCTGTTTTGCAACACCCCCCAAGTCAGCCGCGTTCACCTCCGTTGGCGAATTCCGGTCCACGCCAAGGTTATCACCTACCGATCAATACCGCCGTGCCAGGCCGACTCGCCAGGCAACGGGCATAAGCCCACATCTTGGTCGCTGTCTCGATAAAGGCTGAGTATATGTTGGCGAGTACCCCACGGCGCGAGTTGTGTGATGTGTCGAAGAACATGAGGTGGGATTGGATCTTGAAGGTGTCTTGGCCGTGTGTTAGCAACTGAAACACAGCTCGTTACCAGCTAGGATAGTGGTCTCGGAGAGTCCGTCAATGACAGGAGATCTCAACTTACTGATAACCTTGCGCTTGAAGTTCCTCCCAGGACAGCGCGAATACTCAACCGTCAGGGAGTTGAAGATGCCTACACCCTCCTCGTCAGCAACCTCTCCCACCCCCCAAGGGCAAAAACAGCCAGTCAGTGAACCACATACCACTCTCTTTGACACCCTCTCTCCCCTTCGCAACCGCCAGCGTCCCACAATCAATCAACAGCCCACAGTACGGAAACCCGCCCCCCTGCCCAACCCTCGGCACCTCACCCCCCCCCCACCACCAACTCAAAATTCGCCAAACTCTTCGCCGCGTTCACAACCACCCCATACTCCGGCAGCCCGCCATGCATGACCTCCACAAACCGCCTCGCCTTCTCCCGGTCGGTCGTAATCAGCAAGAAATCATCAATCAGCCGCATCAGCAGGCAATCCCCGGCACCCACCAGAAACGGCAGGCACGTCCGCTCGAGGTCGGCGTAGAAGTAGTTGCACAGCGTCGACGACAGCACGGAGCCCTGCGGGATGCCGGCCCTTTGGCGGTAGTACTTCTTGCCGACGCGCACCAGGTTCTGCTGGACGTGGGCCGAGGCGAGGGCCAGCAGGTCGCGGGCGTGGTGGGTCAGCTGCGCGGCGTTGCTGACGAAGACCGTGTCGTTCTTCCGCCGGAAGGGGCCATCCTCCTCGAGGCGCTGCGGGAAGGGCCGCGCGTCCGTGCTGCTGGCCGCGGTGGTGTGCCACCTGCGCGTTGGCTTCGCGTCTGCGCCGCTGCCGGTTGTGGATGACTCGACCAGGCCGACTTCGGCGTGTTTTACGAGTTTGTAATGGGACTGTTGGGGGATTTGCTTGAGAAGCTCGATTATCGCGTCCTGGGGAATTGTGTCGAAGGCTGCTTGGACGTCTACTTTGGCGAAGTAATACTTTTGTTGCCCTTCGCCGAGCTTGGCCTTGAAGGCCTTGATGCGCTGGTAAACGTCTCCCACGGAGAAGAGCGACGCACCCAGACGGCCCGGGTTCAAGGTCTAGTGTTGTGTTAATGGACCAGTCCTGCGTGCTGCGAGTAGTGATCGCCTTACCTTTTCGAGTTTGAGTACTGAGCTAACCGGGCCTAAAATTGTGTTGATACTGGGCCCCAGTAACTTTTTGTTTCCTTGGAGAAGTGTACGCCGCCGCAGATTCATGATGGGGCGCATCTTATTCTGTTTCGGGAGGAGCCGGACTTCAGAATAACCCAGCCGCCGCGATTGCAAGATCTGGCGAGCGTCCTCCATCCTCACCTCCTCGAACATCGTCGTTTTCAACACAGCCAAGGCTGGCTCGGCCACATAGCGCCATACGTCGTGGCGGAAGAAAAAGAGACGGTACCGGTCAACGTTGGACTCGGTGACGTAGAAGTTGCTGCGGATCAGGGGTATCAGAAATGAATCAATGAGGTAGTACAGGAACTCGTAGAAAATCTCCGTTCGCTTTCGTGTGTCCGACTGGGAGCTTTTCTGGTTGCCCAGTCCGGGGGGAGCGAGCCATTCTATGTCATTAATCTACAAAGCTGTCAATATCATTTAGAAAGGGAGCACGGTAGCTAGCTGCGCCTACCTTCATGCCCTGCATCACATCGTGTAGGTACATGCTCTCGAAGCGTCGAAGGTGTACAAAGTGGTCGATCTTTTTCAGGAAGCATTTTTTATTGTGCTCCTGGATAGAATCTTGGCCCCAGAATTTATTGGGGATGACTCGAGATATGATAGCCTGACAAAACGCCGAAACACTCGCAGGTGGGGTGGCTAGCTCGGTAAGAGAGGCGTATTGCACATTCACGGCAGGCGTAGCCAGCGGCTTCGTCCCTTTTGCCGCTCTTTTAGACTTGGTTGGCGGCCTAGAAGATTGCGGCAACTTCTCACCGGAGGTCGCCTGGACCGTTTTCCGACTATCGGTTTGCCCGGGGACCTAGATGTATGAGCGTGCGGTTTAGTGGAGGAGAAAAAATGGACTTACCGGGCAATAATGGCGCAGCATTTCCGCGTAAGAGCAGCGTGAGTGAAGTACCTGCAGTCTTTGAACCAGATCCACCGTGTTGCCCCTGAGCCTCCTGGGGATATGTTTAACGGGCTTCTTTCCGAGCTCTGGTGGGGGGAATTTGGCTGCTATCTCCTCCTCGCGGAGTGTATAATCCTGAAGCTTCTGGGCTGTCTGCCGTCGATCCACGGCCGATGTGAATATATTGTGGAGACCGAATTGCCGGGGAAATAAGTACATCATGACATGAACCACATCCTTATGGTGTTGGTCGGGTTTTGTGGCAAGTGATCCCTTGTAAGGGAATCGATTCAGGACATCTAAGTGAGTGAGTGTGATATTACGAGGCAAAAAGGTACACGAGGCGAACATACGGATATGACGGAGACCAAATTGGACGAGGCCTCGGGTGTTAAGGGCGGCTCTGGCGTAAAGCATCCTATTCCTCGCAAAGGAGATTTCGGAGGGACGGACGGCATCTCGCTGGCCAACACTCACAAGGAGAGCTTTCCCGCTGTCCTTGGCCTGCGTTAAAGGCTCGAGCTCGGAGATGGGGGTTCCACCCAGCTGATAAAGATTCCCTTTACCCGCCTTTACGGACCTGAATATTGCACAGTCAACTAGTAAATCGATCATGATGCGCTCCCCTTCTTTCCCCAGCAGCATAAGGAGTTGGGGCCAAGGCGCTTGCTTCAGAGCCTGGACATTCTGATTGGGATAGACTGAATACAACCCGGGGATGGTTGACGCGGCGGCAGGGTTGGGTCTGTTGCTTTGACCGGCCTGCTTTCTGAATCCATCACACAAAGTGTGTTTTGGCCAGGAACCGGTGCCTTCCCTGGAGAATAAGAGCCAGACGACAAAATCAACGATCTTTAAGCGCAGGTCATGTGAGTTACGTCGTCTAGTAGGTATGCTGTGCGTGCCATTTTCTTACCTCGGATTGCGAGTAGATGGAACCCCTGAGGCCATCCGAGAGAGTCACATACGACTCGTCACCTTTTTGCGAGAAGCCGATCCATTGCTGCCAGCGATGCTCGTCATCTAGCCCGGCGCGTTGGCGGCGCGTGACAATGGTTTCATCAAGAAGCTCACCCAGGGCAAGCTCATCTGCCGTAGGGTTCTTGTCCGGGGAAAGGTGCCCAAGCCCCACTGACGCGATCTTCTTCCGCCGGATTCTCGAGGAGGAGGGCAGTTCTGAGAGGGCGTATTGGCGCAACGTCTGGATTTCCAAGTAATACTGGGCGAGCAGCGCGTGGTTGGCCGTGGCGTCGCGTGGATTCCGGCCACGCTTAACGTGTTTTGCCGGTCGCTCAGCGGAGCTATCCCGGGCTAGCCCTCCGGCGCGGTCTCGGCCCCTCTTTCGGGAACCCGGACCCGAAGCCGGGTCATGACCCGCCATCGATGCGGGGTCCGGTCGATGGGCTCCACCGGTTGTTGCTGCAAGCAGCCCAACGACTCCGAATGACCCCCAACAATGGTTCCGAACGGGCAAAGTTCCTGTCGGGGCATTCCTCGCCAAATATGAGAGGCCGAACGGCTACCTTGATAGCGAGGAGACAAGACCTATCAGCGGCCGGCCGACATGTGCTGCTGGGTGATTGGGCAGGGGTTGTGCGGGACGAGATGAATTGGGATTCAGACGGGCTTTTCTCATCAGTCAATCCCGCCCTTCAATTCAACATAGAGCAAGACAGGCGCATCCGGGCGGGGCGATTGGATGGGCGGCCACCGGTTCTAACAAGTAGCCAAGCCCGAGGTAGGCGAGCGGCACTGGCGAGCACTGGTGAGCGCGCACTGGGTTGGACGCCCTGCGAAGGTTGTGTGACGGCGCGTCGGCGCGTCGGGGGGCGTGGATGGGTCGGGATGGCTGACAGCCTCAAACGGTTTGCCAGTTCTGCGACAACCCTTTTTGGTCCTTGTTGGGGGTCAAGCCACGCTGCCCAATGTCTTTTGCACTTGCGGGCAAATGTTCCCAGGTTTGGGAGGTTTCCAATCGCTGTGTTCCTTCCCGTTCCCTGGTTGGCGGAGATCGAAACGGGGCCGGTCGATGAACGAACTGCAGATACGGGAGGAGCATGTCCTGGGTTTTCCTGCTTGGGGAATCGCTGTCGATTGTGGGCGTCATTGGGCAGCCACACCCACCGAGCCGACTTTCATGCCTTCAGATCGAACGCCCGCGATTCGCTGCCAACGGAAATTTCCAACCAACCCTGGGAGTGATCGGAATGCGGAAAGTGGGACCCGAAGAGACCACACCTCGAGGCAGGCACGGCTGGCAAGTGTGTAAGAGACGGACGGAGCAGGCAGGAGGGGCTCGAAAAAGAAACCACTGCCATTCTCGTATGGAGGTTTTTTACGAAGTATTGGAAGATTAATCCAGACTGTTTATGCTTCTCGACGGCAGTGTGGTACACTACCTAGTTAGGCCTCCTCTAGCATCTTCAGCTGCCTGGCAGGATCACTCGCACGGGAATTCGAGAACCACCTATGTGCTGCGATGAATGGGTTCATCCCTCTCTTCTCGCATTTCTCGTCTGACCTTCCGTCTGAATTCGAACCGAACCCGGCCAGGTGCGACCCTGCTCCCTGAGGGGAATACTGGGTAAATGTCCGAGAGACACGGGGCCGAAGGAAACCGGGGACCAAGACGACATCAGCGTTGAAGAAAAAGGAAAGGGAGAAAGCATGTCGAGACGAAGGCGGCATCAGCCCAAAGCCAAATCGGGCAGTTGTTTCCTGGGCAGAATCGATCTATTTCGAACCCGTCTGCTCGATCATCCAACTTCACTCTCAGCAACATCCCCGGACCCTGGTTGGCATGCAATGCACTTCCAATTGCAACCCCGCTGTGTGCGACTTTTTTTTTGCTGCAACCGCCCTCGCATAGGACGAGCCCGGCTCCATAACACAGGAAATTGCGTTCAGGGCTCTGAAGCATTCCGAGGACAATATCCGTATTCAGTGTGGGTAGCGACAGTAAACTTTCTTTGTCTTTGCGCTACCAAGTCCGGTTCGGTTGTGTTCACGGCACGATTTGACAAGTGCCGCAACTCGACCGGGCCACCTGCAGAGTGACTCCATGAATCTTGAAGAGTAAATAACCCGTTTAACGGCCGCGAGAACTGCTTCCATCCCGGGCTGCGATTTCCCTCCACAGTACAGGCGGGCACGGAGGAAGGGGCCTGCCTTCCAGGTTCACTTGGCGCTTTAGGTGGATCCGCGGCCTGCAGCAGTGGTGCCGGGAGTGTGACTGCCCGCGATGGATGGACGTTGTTTCTTCGCCCAGGGCTGTCCCCAGTTGCTTCTGCCGACGGCCAATCCAGCCAGACCAGCCCAATCCAACCAATCCTCGTGCTTGCCAGCGCATCAACCTCGACAAGGCCCCAACATCCCGCCCACCAAGCCCCCCAGTTGCCCGCATGGAACGTTGATGATCTCTGGAATCCTCAAATCTTGTTCGCTCCGAGGCGTGTGCACAGTAACAGCCAGCCGCCCGCCAGGAGCTGCCAAAGAGTGATGGGAGGAGGGACGAGTACGACGACACCATGGACCATGGCAGTCTCCAAGACGAGCCTGTTTCGCGCTCCAGCCCGTTCCTCGACCACCTCGACCACTACGATTACAATAGCCAGGATCAATCGCCCCTCTCGCCACAGCGCCAACACCATTACCGCGACCCTTTCGACGACATAGACGCCCTCGGCCCCGGCCCGAACCCTCCCGCACCCTTCGACTCGTACGCCGCCGCAAATCTACACGCTTTTTCTGCCAATGCCCTCGCGACCGCCCACGATCCACAGCCCCCCGACGACTCTGTAGACCCCGCCGACTTTTACCGCAGTTACCAGAGCGCGCAGCCGACCGAGAATGCTGGGGATGCCTCCCCGCCAGTGAAGGACCCCATGGCCCAGGCGACCATACCCGGCAGCACGCGGCAAGCGCCGTCGTTGCGGTCGAACGGTAACGGAACGACCCCTAAGCACCCCGCCGTTCCGGTAAACCATCGCAGCGCCGTCCGACCGAACCAGCGTTCCGCCTCCACACCCGTCAACAGCCGATCAGCAAATTCAAATTCTGCGGCGGGGGGAACGAGACCGTCAGCGACCGCCGAGGGTGGGCGTGGCACAGCCGGCGGGACGCCGCCGAGTGTCAAGGATCTTAAAAAGAAATTCGACCAGTCGTCCTCGCAGTCCGCCTCCGGCGGTCGGAAATCCGTCCCGAGGGCGTCAACCCGAGACACGGCGTCGAGCAGCGTTAATGGGAGGTCACCCAGTACAACCTCACACGGTACACCGAGGGCGACGGCGACACGAGACAGAGAGAGGGACACAGGGCGCGGCACAGCTAAAGGCTCCGGGACCCGGAGTTCGCAGCGATCCAAAGAGCCTACCGAAGACCAAACGTCCGGCAATTCGCAGTCGTTTGCAAGCAGGATATCCAGGCCTCGCACCGCGGGTTCCACAACGACGACAAAAACACCCAAGCCCATGGCACAGCCTGCTCCGCCACGTCAAAACGGCCTTTTGTTTGGCGAGATCCTGCCGGATCAGAGCGACGCCGTCACACCAGGGTTCGGCATCGAACCGGCCCGGCCGAGGAGGACTTCCGAATCCCACATCATCAACCCCCGGCGGGCACAGATGAGAACTCTCTCGAATCCGGATATCGCGGACACCGAACCCCCGTCACCCACCGATTGGTACCGCGCCGTAGACCCGGTTGAGCAGCAGAACACGGATCACCACGTGTCGAAGATACCAAAGAGCCATCATTCTCGGGCGCGCAGTGACCTTGCCGGATCGAAATTAACGTTGAGCCGTCCAGATCGTGGTGCAGAGAGGCACGATGTCGACTCCCCGATTTCGCCCACGTCCCCGGCCTCGCCAACCTCACGTCTTCCGCGACTAGCTCGGAGAATGAACGACGCCTCGAGCCATGGAAGCCCAGCGTCAACGCGCTCCAACTCTCCCTCCACCTTCAACAAGTATTCCACAACAAGCGGGAGAACATCCCGACAACATGTCTCATCAACATCACGCGCGAGGACGCCCACAGGGAACACCGCTCCCAAGACGTCAAGCCGAACCTCTGGCTCGACTCGCAAACCGCCGCCATCAAATATTGCAACTCGACCCAGTAGCCGACCTAGTAGCCGGCCTAGCAGCCGGCTCAATGCCTACGTCTCTGTGCCGACTCCCAAATTATCCCCGAGTCTACGCAGCTCGCGGCCGCGCCAGTCAGTTGCTACCGCCACGACTGCAGCCTCGAGAATGCGAACCGTGGAGGCGAGCGCTTCCCCTCTCAGGCAAACGCAACGCAGGACAGACGAGTCGACTCCCCGGAGGCGCAAGGTGTCCGTTGGCGCAATAGACTTCGCCCAACGACGGGAAACTATCAAGCTCGCCTACAGCAAGTCCATCCGGGAAACCCAGGCGAAAGAAGTTAGGCAGGCCGCTGCAGAGAAGAGAAAGAAAGAGTTGGCTGCTGTCGCCAGGGCCAAGGTTGAGGCAGAGGCGGCTACAGCGGCGGCTGTTGCTAACGCTACGGCAGCTGCTGCAGCTGCAACGACACCGCCTAAGAAAGCCGGCGACAACGGTCGACCCTCAGAGACGCCCACCGAACAGGAAGAACCCCAGGATGAAGAGCCACAAGAGTCCGAGGCCGACATGCTTACACCGCAACCGCCGGCAGAAGAGTTCCGCGCCCCTCTCGATTCGTTAAGGTTAGAAATACCAGGCAGTTTCCCGGGTACCGGGTCCCCATTAGACGAACAGGACGAAGTTCCCCTTTCCGCCATTTCGACGACGAGCGCGGTGACAGAGTTCGATACCGAGGTGCAGACCGAGCCTCCCAGGCAGGAGATCCCGATATCTATTGATAGCGGGCTGGGAGTGATCACGCCGGATCCAGCTCAAACCACACCCCATCAACCCGAAACAGTCGAGCAGCAGCTCCCCGAGCAAATCGCCGTTCCGGCTCTACACAAAAGAGCAACATATCAGTCCCCATTTGATGACGAGGCCGATGAAGACGACAACGTTTCCATCAAGATCTCCCTTGACACATCTTCGGTCCCCAGGCCGCAATCATCTCCCGAGCTCACACCAACTCGCGCGACCTTTGAACCCGAACCCAACCCCGAGCCCAATACTGCAGCTCCTCCGGCCGAAGACGATGAATATGTGCCCCGGCCGTACACCTTCTCCGACAACTACGAAACCACCATCACGATTTTGGGCCCGGAGACTGATTTCAGGCCGTTCCACAAGGAGCTGCCTCGTGCAACCATACCCCAGCCCAACTTGCCTCAAGCAGATGAGCCTCCCGCCACCATTACCCCTGAGATTATTGCTTCTGAGACATCGCATCCCGGCGATGGCCATTTTGGGGGACCCCAGATTGAGGTGGAGACGCTGGACCGCATCGAAGACTTCTATACCGGACCACGCCTGCGCGACAACATTGCGGCTCTACGTGACTCGACTTTCACTTCCTCCGATCCTAGCACGCCTCTTGATGGCCACCTGCCCTCAGCGGAGTACCAAACCTTGCCGGACCAGTCACACAGTCTCGCTGTGCCTGGGCTGCTCGCACCGGGGAACCGTTCAAGTCAGCACTCCGCGTGGACCGACTTTTCATTCGGGAGTGAAGACCGCGACACTGGCCACCCAAGTTCCACATCCCAGTCGCATGAAGTAGACGCACATGACGACGGGGAGTCGTTCAGAGCCGTACCTTCAACAGGCGACCTCAGTACTTGTGCATCAAGTCTCGGTGAATCTACGCAAAGCCCAGAGGCATCACCGCTGGACCAGTCCGGCGCCCCGCCCTCCCCTATGATACCCGATCTGTTGGGCAGTCAGCAGCAGCTCCCCGAACTTAGTGCTGCGGGATCTTTCACGCAGCGAAGTGAATCGGAACCCGGGAGCGTAGCGCCGCTTCCAGAACGCGATCCTCCCTGCCCTCCCGCATCCGAGCGCGAGTACAGGCGGGAGAGCACTTTGTATCTTGCGGAGAGCCGGCCAGAGAGCTACGCATACAGCCACGACGGGGAAAGAGATCTATCCGGGACCGTGTCACCGCCTCAGTCCCTTTCTCAACTCCGCCTTGACCAAGAGCCATCTCGTGTCTCACTGAGTGAGACACTCTATGATGGGCAGACGCCGCTGACAGAAAAGGAGCAAGAAGAGCAGAAGAGGCTCCGCCAGAGGCAACTGGTTATCCGAGAGCTCATCGACACGGAAGACGCCTTCGTCCGAGACATGACTGTCGTTGAGGAGATCTACAAGGGCACGGCCGAGGCGTGCCCCAACCTCGACAATAAAACTGTCAAGTTGATCTTCAGGAACACGGACGAGATCATCGCTTTTCACGCCGCCCTGTTGGTCGAGTTTAAGGAGGGAGCATCGACCATCTACACCCCCAAGGGCAGGCGGTCTCCTCCCCCGGTGCCAGATACGAAAGACTCGGACACAGCGACCCTGAACTCCGTTTTCTCTACGAACAAGCCCGAGCGGAACGACGAAAAGGATCGCCTCACCCTGCTTGGATCTGTGTTCTCCAAGAATATTGAGCAGCTGAAGGCAGTTCATGAGGTTTATCTGAGATCCAGCGACAACTCCTCAAAGCGGCTTGTGCAGATTCAGGAAGACAAGACCGTCATGCTCTGGCTCAATGAGTGCAACGAGGTGGCGAAGGAGCTGACAAGCGCCTGGAACCTGGATTCGCTCCTCATCAAGCCAATGCAGCGCATCACCAAGTATCCCGATATTATTACCCATCTCCTAAAGTACACCCCAGAGGACCATCCGGACCGCGAATCGCTCGTTAGTGCGAGGACGGTAGTGATTGACGCCATTGACGAGATCAACAAGACCAAAAAGAACTTCGAGTTGGTCGGCCAGATCGTCGGCAACCGGAAGCGCAAAGACTCTGACGTCCGGGCTGGAATAGCTAGAGCCTTCGGCAAGCGCGTCGACAAGTTACAGGTGTCTGCCACCAAAACGGCCGAAGACGAGGACTACCAGAAGTTTCAGCAGCAGTTTGGGGACGACTATCTGCGGCTCCAGGTCGTTCTACGCGACGTAGAGTACTACTCCAGGAATGTTGCGACCTACGTTCATGAGTTTCTCCAGTATCTCTCCTCCATGGAGCTCGTCATGCGCCTCCAGCCGTCCCGAGACTATGCTCACTTGGAAAGCAAATGGGTGCAGTTCAATGTGTCGATGAGAGACATCGAGAAGATCGCCTTGGAGAGACATGTGAGACTGATAACCCTATTCTACCGATTTGTATGCTAATTCATTGCCAGCTTACCGACGTCCGGAAGCATGTCATTGAGCCGTTTGAACAGGTCATCAGGTGCTACGGCAACCCCTCGCTCGCTATGAAGAAGCGGGCTAAACGGCGTTTGGACTACGAAAAATACATGGTGCTAAAGGCCAACGGCAAGAAGATAGACAAGCAACTCGCGGAGCTGGTCGAGCAGTACGAGGCGCTTAACGACACGCTCAAGAAGGAGCTCCCCAAACTCTCTGCCATGACAGCCAAGATCGGCAATATCTGCCTGGGCAAGTTCATCAGCATTCAGGCGGCTTGGTTTGCCATATGGAAGGAGAAGGTCAAAGCGCCGCTGTCCGACGTTACGCACGTCCCCGAACTCTCCGAGATTGTGTCCAGCTTCCAGCGAGAATTTGCGTTGCAAGAGGAGCGGGCAAAGGCTCTCAGTATTGTCAACCCCACGCTTAAGGGCAGGGCGTCCCAGTCGACCGCCGACGATGCTTCTTCCATCCTCTCCAAAACCAAGTCACGGCCGAGCGATATCCTCTCGCCCCGCGGGAGGGGCTTGTCTATTAACAGTGATCACATTCCGGCCCTCCCTACGCCCGACTTTGTTAAGCGCAACAGCGGGCAGTTTAGTTTGTCCCCGGCAAGCAGTGCCCTTCCCAGCCCTGCCAACTACTACCGCGACTACTACTCCGGCATTAACGGCTACCCCCGTGGCAGCGCCGGCTCGCCCGTCACGCCCGCCGATACCACCAACGGAAGCCGCCCCGCGGTAGGCGCGGTCCCCCCTTCCATGCGCCCTAGCACCGGCCGCAGCTTTGACTCGACAAGCCTGCCGAGGCAAAGCTCCGAGTCCACCGCCATGTCGACCAACCGGCGTGATTCGAACTCGACCTTCAACTCGAGCTACCCAGCTCACAGCGCCGGTACCGATCAACAGACCAGGCGCCTTTCTGGCCTGTTCAACTCTGCACTACCGCTGCCGGACGGGCCGGAGGAAAGCGCCAGGTCGTCGAGAGCTTCGTCCAGGGACAGGGGAGCAGCTGCCAGCAACGGGTATAACGTGCTTTGGCTGGCCGCGTCGCTGTTTGAGTTCAACATTGAGACAACCAAGCATGAGGCTGGGTATCCTTACCTGACGTATCAAGCGGGTGAAGTAAGTTGATCGCCATATCCACGTATCGTAAGCGGAGGGGGTGTTTACTGACCGAACCTTTACAGATATTCGACGTCATTGCTGAAAAGGGCGAGCTCTGGCTAGCCAAGAACCAAGACGATCCGCGCGATATCGTCGGGTGGATCTGGTCGAAGCACTTTGCCAAGTTGGCCGATTCGTAATCGTGCTCATCCTCTGCCCTTTTATGGGGGGGCGCTGCTGTTGCTACCAACCCGCGGGGTGCTGTGATACCCGCCATGTCGACTCCTGAGTGGGATCGGCATCCTACGTGCGACCGGTGTACTGGTTCCTTTACATCATTTTATTGCAGATGCCGTATGGGCTGGCTCATGGAAGACTTTAGCCCGTTTTTTCCTTAAAAAAGATCAAGAAAGAGGCCGGGGTTTATTACGATTTTGTGGGCACGGCGTTCAGAGAGGTGTTTAGTACCAGGGGAACGAAACAGGGGAATAAGGGGGGAATGATTTTCAGAAATCAGGGGAATGGATGGATGGGCTTTACTTTGTCCTTTTGTAATGCGGACCGCCACGTATGATTACCCTCACCAGTGTTGGTCTTTTTTTCCCTTTCTTTTGTCCTTCTTTTTCAACTTCGACTACGCAGTACAAGTGCAGCGTACATTAGGATTTGCCGGCGGGGGCTTTGGTACTAGTTGTTACACTAGATACCTCCTGTTTTATGAGAAAGGGGAATGATCCCATAAATGCCTTCTTGACTTCTAGTTCTGGCGTGTGTATAATTTGAACGTTTCGTCTTACCTTCCTTGGCCTTGTGGGAGATCCGAGGGAGAGGGACGGACTAACAACATAATATCCGAGCGGAAGAAGAGAAGCACGAAACACATATCGAGCACATGGAGCAAAAAGCAGTGCTTGAGTATAAAAGGGGTGAGTGGTTCCTCGTGCGAGTCCTCTTTTGCGTGTGTGATGCGACTTGGATGATGAAGGGAAATGGGTGGGTTGTAGAGGGGTAGTAGTAGAACCCAGTATATGTCTTGCGGCGAGCATCGTGGATAATGTTCAGGAAATGATACAACAGTCTGTCATGATTACTGCTGTCCGCGATTAAGATGCTTCGCTTTGGTTCTAGCTGCTGTCACTAAGTGTGGACATCAAAAGTCCTCAGGGGTTCTGATCAAGAGGGTTAGGGTTGGTATATGCTCATTGTTTACTTTTACCCCTTTTCCATGACCGGCGGTGGAGAGAATCCTGGGTCTTTGATCAGGAGGCGGGCTCAATGCGCCCACCATTACAAATCGGATACATTGATTTTGCAGCCTCCGTGTCGGCCGGGGGGGGGGGGATGATGGGGATCCGACGATGGTGGCTGAGCATAATTGTTCGAGGGCACGAAGAGTTAAGCCAAGCCGAGACCCAAGAGATCTAAGCGACACGGCCGACGACCACTTATTCGGGATCGCTACGCTTCGGCAAGGGCCGTACCGGTTGCAGCGCCGCTTATAAGAAGGTGAGTAAGCTACTAATTAGTAATGGGTGATACATTTGGCTCCCGAGGTCAGGTTTGTGTAATGAAGAGCCACAGAGCCATGTTAGCCAGACGGTTTCGAACCCGTCGATCATTCGCATCTGGGTTGCACCTTGGCACGGGCAGCGCTCGTGGTTGTTGTGAACCCGGTTTTGACGAACACGCCGATGTGGTTCAGACTTCTTCAGTGCAACGGCGCGAAAATCCCGAGTGTACGGGCGCGGCCCCATTGGCATGCTGTGGTGCTGCGCAGGGTGTATCATCCGAACCTCGCGAACCGCTCGTGCGCGAGGCTCTGCCACCTGCTTTGAAGATGAGACGGCAGATGCGCCCTTGCGGCGATCTCATCCCCTCGTCCCATCTTTCCGGGTACACACGGACAGATATCCCCGCGCATCGGCAATCGCTCCTCAGAATCTTTGTCACCGCCTTACCATCGTTGTGCAGGAGATCACACCCGACTGTCCGTCTCCTGCATCTCGTCCCGGCTCGGGAAGCGGGAGATCCAGAGCCGCAGGGGGCAGCGCGGCACGAGACGAGAATCAACGTATGTAACCTAAGTGGGCTTTGCATTTATCGTCAAAACGCTCAGACATGCCATCTCGATCGAGATCTGGCCGATTGTCTCGTGTGCGTGCCAGATCGCCAGCCTTGGCGCAGCCGATCGTCAACGTTCTGGAAACTCTCCTGACCGCAAGGCCCCCCGATATCTGGACTGCGTCCGCGTCATTGTGATAAAAGTCGTTTGACATTGTTATGGTATGACAGATATGAGAGAAAAAGGGAATTAGTACAAGTACTAGTGAAAGAAGATATACAAGGCAAAAGAAAGGTCAGACACTTGGAAGCGAAAAAGAAAAGGCGAGACTGAGCTGTCCAAGATTGCTTGTCAATATCGACTCTAGCTGTTCAGATAGGAGAAGGCTCTGGACCGGTCTTTCCTGTTAGCGCGACCTCGCCGTAAACCGTCGAACCGGAAGCGCGCCCGGCCGCTCCAGAAACTCGGAGACGCTTTCTCGCAGATCATCGGGCGCGGAACCTAAATAGATGCCAATAGTCAAAGCTTTGCGGCACGCCGCAGCCCATGCTCAGAAACCCTCGGATCTTGAGCGCTTGAGGAATCTCGGTACTCCAAGTCAGCACCCGTCAGTGTGCAAAGACTGATTCCCGAGAACCGGGTATGCTCGACCGTCCCCGTCCTGGTAAATCGCGGAGTGCCCGCGCGGGCCGCAACCAAGAATGAAGCCCGGCGGGTCGATTCCTTCGTTTGTGACAGACAGCACGGGATATCCATGACCGCGGTTTAGCCCCAGGACTTGTGACCTACGGCTCGAGTTGTCCGGGGCGAGTCGGGTCGTCGGAGGAAACCACGCGGAAACCCCTCGAGTGGTGAGAGACCAAAATGTTTCTCCTCCCTCGCCGGCACGGGATCGACGAAGGAGTTGGAACTTTTGCCTGTCCAACACGCTCGACGGGCGCCCGAGGGCCCCGACTTTGCGGCCCCTTCCAGTTCTGATGAGACACGTAGGAAGACTGTTTCGGTCCTGCCACACGCAGCTGACCGTCGTCGTTGGTGGTCGGCGTTTAGAGGAAACGGCTTTGCTCTTCCATGGTCGCCACCCACCCATCCCGCCCCCGGTCCCCTCGAAGGATGGCCCCGAGACCTCGCCGGGGCGCAGAATCGTGCTTCTGCAGCACCACGAGTTAGGTCGAGATGCTCCCTCGCCCCGCTTTCTCGACATCCCCCCAGCGCGCCAGCCGACCCTCCTCTTGCCGATCTCGTCCACCGAGAGCAAGATATCCAAGCTGGGTGACTCAGTGCCCATGGTAAGCCGGCGTGCCCAACCTATAGGACAGGCTACGATCACGCACTGTACTGTACCACCCCCTCCCATAAACAACGCAGAGAGGGCGCTTTCCCTCTTGGCTATTGACCTGCCCCCTATAGACAATGGAGGCCGGATGAGGGGCCTAGACTGCTCATCACCCACCGTCAGCCAGCGGTTGCGCCCCGTAGTCGGGGCGTCATTGGACGGCAGCGTTCGCCGCTCACGGCGAGACCCGCGAAAGTCGCCGCCGTGGTACCGAGTCGGGCCCCATTCACCGCGGCCGCGTCCCGGCGGCACCGCAAAAAGACGCCAACTAGGGGGTGGGGGGGGGGGGGGGGGTTATAGCGGTCGGGATGGGAGAAGGGGAGTCGGCGTAGTGTGCGGGGGTTGTCGTCCACCCAGTCTGCTTCGTGAGGATTCCTTGGATGCAGATGGTCCTGCCCTTGTCCCCACGCCCAGGCAGCCCTAGATGATCTTCGTAGAGGACCCATCTTGGCCAACACCTTCCGGCCGTTCAGTACCCCGCGTTCTGACGATGGGTAGATGGTGACACGATGCGGTTACCCCGAGGACTAGCTAGCTCGTACCCAAGCATAGTCCAGACGGAATCCTAGCCGTGAGACCCAGAAAATGATAAGGATGGTAGGTGTGAGGTGCAATACAAGCTCTCTCTGTGATAAAGTATTATCCTGGATTCCGTATACGGACAGGGCGGAATGGAAGTTGATTAGGGACCCTTTGCCTGCAGCGACGGTACATCGCTTCGTAGCAGGCAGCAACAGCTCTTCCCTCGAGGGCGTCACCCCCCCACCCCCCGGAGCAGATTACGGGAGGCATTACTTCAACGCCCATCGGCCCGTACATTACATCCCGTGAGAGAAACGGTCGGACGGGCAGACCTAGCGGGAAAGCCTGCAAAGAAATCCGGGTTAGCTGCCGATGGCTGAGGTGGGCCGGTTAAAGCTCGTGAAACGGTACTGATTGAAGGCGCGGCACGCTTCCGTATTCCAAATCACACAAGGGGAGGAAAACACGCACCGGAGCCGCCTGATGAATTTTGAGTGCAGATCGGGACGGCACACGGGAGCCGGGTAGATGGCGGTGCCGTGGTGGACACGCCACCAGGCTCGAATTCGTATCTTTGTCAATGCAGAAAAGACACCGGCACGGGTTTTGTTTGTTATTTCGGCTAGGCGCTGGCTAGGCGAGGCAGGCGCTGTTACCCAGACCTGGTTTTAGAGCATGGAGCCAGCTGGTCATGGGGCGTTGACGATGTTCCCATGTCGAGGGGAAGCGGTGGGAGACCAAGCTCCCTTGACATCTCAACCCAGATGGTGTCAGTGCGAGCCGCTGTGGTTCCCAAAGAGTCACCCTCTGACAGGCGCCGCATGAATGAGCATGGGAAGAAAACCCCTGGGCTGTCTTGAGTGCACGGATTTGGAACATCTAGAATCCTTCCCCAAACGCAATGCCAAGCCGGGTGGGTGAGCCATGGGATGCCAAGTGTCATCAGCACATCCATGCGTTCAGCAAAGGGCACACACCACCCTGGGCTGGGGGTTGAGTCCACCTTGTCGACATATTTTCAAACGACAGCAAAGGGAGGAGACGTGGCGGTGTCTGCTAAGAGCGGGACCCTTCTCGGGCACAAACAGCCGGGTTGTGTATCTCGGCGACTTTCGCGTGGTCTCGAGATCATAGCGCGGTAACCCGGGAGCCGGTAACCAAGCCCGACACGGACGGCAATTGGACATCGGGGATTCATCATCGGAAGGCCGGATGATCGAGGCGGTCCGTAGATCGGTACGGATATTCACATTGATCTGACGCCATTGAGGATACATAGTGAGACCGGGATTGAGGGCGCTTCTGCAGCACGCTCTGCTCGCTAACAGTTGCATATATGTAATCTGTATGCAATCATACCCCGACGTTAGGTGGTGGCGGTGAGAGCGGCGAGCGACAACGCTGCTGCTTCTTTCTGCTGCTGAGTCCGGGGTTGAAGCTTCGGCTATGTTCGAGAAGCTGTCCGTCTCGATCCTGGGCGACGCTCCCGCTGACGCGCCCTACCGCATGTGGAAAGGTTTGCGTGCAGAAGGTTGGGACGCAGGACCGTTGTGGTCCATTCAGTGTTTCAGTTGGGAGCCTCCTCTGTGGAAAAAGAGATTGATTCGGAGGCGAGAAGGACGCTGCATGATGCGCGCCTGCAGTCAATCGAAGCTCCGTGGAAATCTCGTGGAAGCTGCAAGGGGCAGAAAAGTCGGAAAAGAAGAAAAGAAAAAAAAAACTAAGGCGGTGCTGGAACTGGCCGAGCGCGCGCACAGACAGGGCAAGTTGACGTCTTTCCTCGATTTGGAATCGGGGCTTCTCGCGATCCAACAATTCAGACGGACTGCTCCCGTTTTGGGAATTTGCTCGCTTTTGATTTTCACTTTTTGGGCGTTTTCGTCGCTTGTTTGGGGGATCGCCCAAAATTCCCTTCTTGGCGCGGCAAGGCACCACTGTCAACCATCTGGCCGTGATTGACGGCGATGCAAGGTCTGTGCGTCGCGTCGTGGGGCGCGCGGCCTGATGGAAAGCTCCTTCCACCCCATCCCAGTGCAGGCTAGCTCAGCGGGGCCGGCGCCACCCGGCCCATATCCTGTTAGTTACTGTGTGGAATGCACTGTAGCCAGCCTGTTGTTTCCGCTCTGGAAGCTTTTGCGAACCTGGGAACTCGAATTTCCATGCTGAAGGGCCATCGTGCCATCCCACACCCAGAGTTGCAGGACCGAACCATCGAACCGCACTTTCACGGGACCATGTGCTCCCCGTCCCCGGTTTTTGTGTCCACGGTCAGAGATCCGGAAATCGTGGAGAACCCATGCCCTCGCGCCGACGAGATGGCCGCCCCCAGCTCGTTTCTTTTTTGGAGCCAGCAAAGGTGCGTGCAGGGACTACTGAGCGAGGAAAGGGCCTCTGGGCTTTCGGCAAGCAAGGGGAGCCGGGGGTCACGCGGCTCTCGCGATGCTATTCTTGGACCTGGCAAATCGACCCGCCCCGTACCCAGATGGGAAATTCAATATCGAGTGGGATTCAGCGCGTCCTCGGTGCTCGTCTTGCTAAAGGACTTGAGGTCCTCCGGCGGATGATGAGCAAATTAGGCCCAACCTCTACTTTTGGCGCAGTGTGGAAAGGTCGACCGAGGATTTGCTCCGGGCGGGGCTGGTGGTGCTGGTCGAGTTGTTGTTAACCCCCCGCGACCCGAACTATAGCCTCACCCGGCAGGGATCTTGTCGGGAGGGGCGCAGTTGGTGTCAACCTGCTGGTCCTTTCCCCTCAGTCTGGTGAGGTGAGCTTGGTGAGACTCCAAGTGCAGCGTCTGTGGTCGAATAGGAATGCATCCAGCTTCCCGCAACTAGCACGCCGCTCGCATGCATGCCCGCTGTTGCGAGGCGCACACACTGGCGCTCTCCCACACCGTCCGCGGCGGTTGGGTGACGCCGCCGCCACCCCAAGGACGGGCCCGATCCAAGCCAAAGGGGTCTGGGGGTGTAGCGGCGGGTGGCCCGTGTGGAGAGCTGCCTCAGGGGTTCGGCGAGGACTTCGAATCAAACGCTCTCCCTTATTACTGTCAGTTATAGGAGCCGGGCTCTGCTGTCATCTCGACGCACATGCCACATCTGGCGACCGCAGCGGGAACTAAATTGCAATATAAGCCCACACCATCTGCTGACTGGCTGACCGTCCAGGTGGGAGCGCCCACCTGCTTGTCGAGCCGCAGCTGCCGTGCCATCTAGCCAATGAAACCGGGCACTGCGTGTCATGTTGCTGTACCGGTGTGGGAACTCGATGATGTGAGGCATTGAAGTCGTCAGGGATTCCTGGCGAGACCAACGCACTGTCCACGGGATGTGCGGGGAGGGGGGATACTGTGATAGGATGGCAAGCGGGAACCGGCCGACCGGCCGACCGTGTTGTGGCGGGATGCCGATGTCAAGGAAGCGATGTGTTTCTTGCTGTTTAGTATACGTCCCGGACGACCAGGTTTACGCCAGGCTTGGTGGCAACCAACACCGGGACCTGCAAAGAATTTGGAACTGCCTGTGGGTGTGAGGAAGACGCAACCTGCGCGGTGCCGGCAGCTTACCCTACCCGAAGGAGGAACGGACACGGCAAGGCATGCTTGGCAACGAGCTCTCGGGATCCCAGAATCTCTTGGGCGAGATACAGATACCCCAGCGCAACCCCTCGCGCGACACAACCGAGAAGCCGCAGGGATGGCACCTCCGTTGATGTGATCCGCGCATGCTCGTCGTCAAGATAGCAATCAGGGCGCGGTGTGTGTGTGTATGTGTGTGTGGTGCGTGTGCGTGTGCGTGTGTGCGCGCGTGTGTGTGAGCATATTCCAAAGTCCGGAAAGCGCCATGGCCGTGAGCTTGGCCTGGAACTTGACCGGGCCTTTGAATGGTGTCTGTGGGCGTGTTTGTCGTCTGATTGACCCCCTGCCGAAGCCGTTCCGAGACAGACAACCCAGGTCCGCGGATTCAATCGTGGGTCCAACATCCCGATCGAGTCCCGCTTGCCTAGAACCTGGGGGGAGGTGGGGAGGAGGGGAGAAGGGGGGGGGGGGGGGGGGGGGGGGTAAGAGGTCAAGGCAGGAGTCGAAATGGAATACCGCCGTCTTATGTATGGCCCGTGCCCCACACCAGAGCGTGTCCCGTGTGTCGCAAATCCGAGTGCACTTGCGCGTCGCGGGTCGGAGTTGACTTAAGGCTGACCGTTGCAGACCAGAGTCGTTGTGTTCGTGGTATCATGCGATGTGAGGTGAGCTTCGATGGTTCCATGCCCGGGCACCGATCCATTGTTCCCTCCCGCGGTGCGGTGGTGTTCTTGCTGGCTGAAACTGGAAGAGACCAGACTCCTGTTCATCCATCGCAGGGGGTTCTGCAAGATCTGTTTCCCCTTCTCTGGGTCCGTTCAGGTTGAGGAGGTGTTCCCGCTCCCGCTCCTGGGACTGTGGCTGCGGCTGAGATTTGCAAGGTTGCGGTTGAGTGGTACGTACCCAAAAGAACAAGGACCGCACTGCAAGTCCGCCAAAATGGTGCCCCCCCTCCCCCCCCGGGAAATGGTGGGGTTGCAGGCACCCCCAGCACAGTGCTGAATTGACGCCCCTGCGGACTGCCCGTCCCCCAGAACGGATCATGGGTCAGTAAAACACACCAAAAGCGGGCCAAGCTCTGCCCACATCCCCGGAATGGACCGCGGTCGACAATCGCCAGCAGCGTCTCCCCACCACGACCCTCACCTCGTAGCCCCGATGCTTTTGGCAGTTGACCAGGGCGCAATAACACAGACATCGAAAGACAGTTTCACCTCCTGGCGGGCAGCTCGCCAGAACGGAACCCAGGGTATATAAGCAGCCACGGCCCCCTCACTCCAACGCCAAGCTCGGGGTTTCCATGTTCTCAAGTCCCATTGTCTTCCATCCCATCTCCAATCTCCAATCGCCAGCCAACACCGCGCCGCTTCCATTTCCATCCCCATCCTCCATCCCCAGTGGGCCGCCCGCCGCCCCTCGTCGATCGCGGACAGCTCCCACCCACCCTGCCGCGCCGCCTAAAGAAGCGCCCGTCACCTACCCGCTTTATTCTGGAGTTAATCTCCGACCGACCGGTCCTCTCTTTTGCCGCCGCAAAACGCCCACGCAACCCCCGGGGGAGCAGCCGACGACCGTCTTTGATCCGCAACCGGCGCGGTCCCGCGGGACTCGACCGCAACCTAAAACATGCATCAACCGCCGTACCCCCCGAGCCAGGCACAGCCGATGCCCCCCGATATGCACCCGCATCCCCACCAGCCGCCGTATCCCGCGCACCAGATGCAGCAGCTCCCGTCAATGCCCCCACCGGGCACCCAATACCAAGAAAGCGTTCCGATGGCAGGTCCCGGAGCGCTGCCGCCAGGACAGTCCGCCGCCGACGCCGCCCAGCCCTCCCCGTCGCAATCGCAGGAACGCGCCCCGCTCACCCCCGAGCAGAAACGCCAGCAGGAGTTGAATCTCAAGCCGTACTCGTCCGAAGATGACCAGAGCCGGGTATACTCGTAAGAACTTTTTTCCCTTCCAGGGCCGCGCTGCTCGCTTCGGTTACTGCAACCGAGGCGGCGCCCATGCGCGCCATGTGTGTTTTGGGACCGCTGTGGACAGGGCGCTAATTCGAGCTCCGGCAGCTTGGATGTTGTGCAACAGCCGCAACGTGCGCGGATGTGTGGCTTCGGTGACAAGGTACGCTTGTCTTTCTGCGCTGGGGATTTCGGCCTGTCGGACGGAACCGTGGGCTGACAGCCAGATAGGACCGGCGGCCCATCACGCCTCCGCCCTGCGTGAGACTCGTAGTTAAAGACGCGAAGACCGGGAAGGAAATCGATTGCAAGTAAGCGGACCGACCACCCCCCTGGCGGAGGCCAAACACTTGGGCCGCAGCTGACCAGGTGCATTCTCGTCCGACAGCGAGATAGAGCATACAATGTACGTCCTCAACGTTGACCTCTGGTCCGAGGATGCCTTGAAGGAGGTGAACCTCGTTCGCCATACCACAGCCACGCCATCGATATCGTCCACGTCGCCTGCGTCATACGCCCAGATCGAGCAGACCACGCCGGCGTACTCGCACATCCTGCCATCCAGCCGGGATATGGGTTACTCCCAGCAAATGTCCTACCCTCCCCCGGGCCAGGCTGTTAGCCCTTATGGCATTCAGCCAGCATATGGTCAAGGTAGGCTATTGGTCGCCCCTTGCGGGACGCACCCTTTTGAGGCCCGGTTGGCTAATCATTGCCCGCGCAAGCAGGCTTCGTTTCGCCCAACGGAACTGGCTACCCGCCCCCGAATCAGTACTATCCCCAGGCCGAGCTCCAGGGCTTGACGCAGCTCGTAACCTCACCCTACGGCCCGCCCAGAGTCTACGAACCCCAGTTTGGCAGCATGCCTCAGCGCATGTCTATCAGCGGTAACCCACCGTCGGGCATGTTTACTCGGAACCTCATCGGCAGCTTGGCTGCCAGCGCTTTCCGCCTCCAAGATACCGTGGATAAGATCGGAATATGGTTTATTCTGCAGGATCTTAGCGTCCGCACCGAGGGTTGCTTCCGGTACGTTCTCCTTTCGGCTATCTTCCGGTCGGCTGGGCTAACTCATACATCAGGCTTCGTTTCTCCTTCGTAAATGTCGGCGCTCCCGGCCAGGCGGGCAACGGCTCCATCAACGTCGGCAAGGCCCCCGTCCTTGCCTCTGTCTTCAGCGACGTCTTCCAGGTCTACTCGGCCAAGAAATTCCCGGGAGTTTGCGAGAGCACGGCTCTGAGCAAGTGTTTCGCCAGCCAGGGCATCAAGATCCCTATCCGCAAGGACAACCCGAATAAGAACGCGAACCAGGACGACGACGATTACGACTGAGCCCGCCTCGCCGGTTAACACTGTCATTTCTCATGCTCGGGGGTTACGACTGTCAAACCACCAAACCAGTTTCGGCCCACGCATTTGTCAACCTGTATTAGACAGCGGTGGGCGGCATCCGTATTCGTCTTGCTTTCTCGACCATTCCCGTCTCCCCCCCCCCCCGCCGCCCCGCCCGGGAGAAGCGTATAGACCGGGAAGGAGGAAGGCGACGGAGCGTTCGGGAGGATGGGTGGCTGGTGGTTTGCTGCTGATGAAAAAGTTTCTCTCTTGTTATCGTTCGGGTCATGCCTGTTGGAAAATGTCATGATTCAGGATCGCGGTGATACCAATTGCCATTCGGGCCGGGTTCTGGGTGGCGGAGGAGGAGAAAGCGCGGATCGGGTCAACTTGTTTATTATGCTGGTTTTTGTATTTTTCCTGACATGTTTGCTTGTCTGTCTCATCATGTATGCACGCCATTTCCCAACACGACGAGAATCAGGGTAGATGGGTTGGTGGGTAGATTGGGTACATAGTTCGCGCTGGCTAGATTTGGAATCCGAGTCCCCCCCTTTTCGCAGTTCGGCCCCCGAGCTCTAATATCGTTTATCCTAATAATAACACGGTAGCTCCAGCAACTACGCATGCCACACCATCTGTACCTCGCCGCCGGTATTGAAATATATGTTGTTGTGGCCACTCCACGTCTTCGCGGTCTGACGTCCCACAAGGCAAGCCACAGGGTCGCACCGAGCCTCCTCACGACATTAGTGCGAAAGTCTGGCCAACGGGAGACGCGAGGGAGAGACCGCCGGCGACATGACGTGCAGGCAGGCTGGTGACTGTGTGTGTGTGTACGCGTGCGCGCTGTGCCGGACTGCAAGTCATCACCCGACACATGTGGCTGTACATCAACCACAGTACACAGTACTGCGGCTAATCATTCCGCTTTTTGGTTTATACTGTATCGCCTGTATCTCCGGCTGGGTTCCGGTTTATCTCCCTTTTCTCTGTCTCTACACCAAGAGGGTTCGAGTACTATCTTCAACGATGGGGTTGCGAATAGGACATGATTTCTTGTTCGGCAGTACGCGACTGAGTCCCTCTTTGGAAACGGCAGGGGTCCATAATGACCCGTGGAGTTGTTGATTCGGGGCTGACACGAGGGATTTGAAGGGCTATTTAATGTCTACTATCTGAGACTGGAGCTGCAGTGTAACCATCGGGCTGAGGTTGGTTGCCTGCCGGGGTTTGGGCGATTCCGCGGTGTGAAACAAACCACCAAGCAGCTATCGCCGGGCAGATTTCCCCAACCCTTTGAATTAGTAGGCCCCAAGCGTCGAGCGAAAATCAAATCTGAATTTTGGTACCTGGCACGAAAATTAAACTTTTAACGCTTTATTTACTACCGGGCACTCTGAGGATGGAAGACGGTTCGTCCCAAACAACCCGGTCACTGCTGGGACAGAATGGCTTGAACCCCGCTCACCGAGTGCCACCTTCAGGGCAGTTCCCCAGGGCTGGATCCACGGAGTCGACGGAGTCACCGAAGAGAAGGAATCGCCAAGCGAAATGACACCATCGGGCACTTGCAGCCGATGCTCATTCTTCGGTGGGAAAGCATGGTAGTGCCCTCAATTGATTTAGCATGCTAGCATCTCAACCCATGCCGGGCTCGTTGCGCGTTCCTGGGCAAAAACCGGGCAACACCAGGCGGGTGTCTCACCTCCTCTTGCCCCTCACCACAACCGCCCTGGAGGTGAGGGGCAACTCACTCGAGGCGGGGCAAGCTGGAATTTCAGGGGTGCCCAGGTGATGTCAGGCCAAGACGGGCACGCCAAAACTAGCAGATCTTGTCCCTTGTTGCTGCTGTCAACTGAAGGAAAGAAGGTCTAGAAGGAAAATTCCTGCAGCCTTGTGATCAAATTTTGGAGATTCCCGGGCGGAGCCAAGGAATTGGAGAATTTGAGGCTGGGATCGTTCCCAAATGGGGCATTCCAGGTTCTGAAGCATAAATCCACCGCGGGGTCCCAGCTTCAGGTTGCCTTCTTTGTTTCAACAGTGGAAATAAAGTACCATACCACGTGCATACATACCTCTCTATCTCCATGTGTTTCCCGCAATAAAATCTACCACCGAACCGATCGCGACCCAGCCATCACTCACGTCGTCAACTTCTGGCATCCCGCCACCCCTCTGTACCCCGAACGCAAGCAAACATGTCGTCGCACTTCCAATCCTCCGGTCGAGGCGGCGCCGGCAACATCGTCGACAGCTCCAAGACGGCACAGATCCAGCCCGAGGACCTGAAGACCCCAACCCTCAAAACCTCAATGGTGACCACAGGTCGGGGCGGGACCGGCAACTTTGCCGCCGGCCTCGATGCCGAAGAGAAGCGCCGTCGCCAGGACGTTGAGCCGTAAGTTCCCACCACCCCACCCCTTCCCCCATCTTGGAGCATATCCACCCCGACAAAAGGGAAAAAAAAAAAAGAAAAAAGAAAAGAAAGAAAAAGCTAACAAACCCCCCCTCAGAGTCGTCCGCCGCCCCAGCCACGGCGCTATGCACGTCGGGCGCGGGGGCACGGGCAACGTGGTCAAGGACGCATCGGCCCCGGCCGCGGTGTCGGAGAAGCCGACAACGCCTACCACCACCGCTGAAGACAGGGAGAAGAGCGGGTCGCCCGTCGTGGGCGGCGGCGATGGGAAGGAGGACGGCAGCGAGAGTGATGATGTGGCTGTGCCGGCGGCGCGCAGGCCCGACGAGGTCGGGTGGGCGGAGAAGGGGAGGAATTTGCTGTTTGGGAAGAAGTGAATTTGAGATTGGGGGGGGGGGGGGGGGGGGGGGGTTGGAGGTGTGGAAAAGGGTTGGGGGTCGGCGTTCTGGAGGGGTGATGGGCTGAAGCTTTATTTCTCTGGGTTGGTTCGTTTTACGCCTGGTTTGTTGCTACCTGTTGGACGGGTTGGTGTTGCTTTGATGGCTCCCGTGGCTCTTCATACCCCGGCGTTGGTGTTTAAAATTCGGACGGATCGGAATGAAGCTTTTCTGTATGAGCGGTTGTATAGAACCGCGGTGTATGAGTCAATTGGTATGGGTCAATAACTATGATGGCGATTAAACTTGATCACAAGTCGCTGTAGGAAAGAGGGCAGCAAGCTTTCCTTCTGACGCCGTCGACAACCTTTCCCGTGACATATATCCGGAGGAATACCGATGCGGAGCCGAGCTCGAGAACTTACCCCTTTACTCCGCATATCTCCAACCTAAAAATTAACAATCTATACATACCACTCTCATCAAACCGTCCGGCACATTGGGGAGTAGCTGTCACATCCCACAACTATGTCAACCCCCCCAACAATCCTCCTCGAGGATACCCCCACCCCCTCCGAAGCCCTCCTCGCCCTCTTACACGCCCACCTACCACACTCCATCGCCGTCCTCCGCCACCTCCAATCCGCCCGCAACTTCCCCGGCGGCAGCACGCCAACCACCCACATCCTCTACGCCCACCATTCGGAGACAGACGCGGAGGGGGATACCAACGCCCCCTTCGCCGCGGCGTTCGTCGACCTCGCGCGCGCGCCAGAGACCCAGCTATCCATCTACTCCTCCCTCGAGCGCAGCACAAATGAGCGCACCAGCACCACCAGCAGCAGCAGCAACGGTGCCGTCGAACCGGGCGACTACCACTGGGCCGGCCGGCCCTTGCAGGACGAAGCGGCACTAGACCTAGTCCTCGCGCTCTTCCGGCGCACGCGGGCGCTCGCCATCCGAGCCAGCACGGAGCAGCAGCAGGACACGACGACGATGATGGTGACGACGACGACGCCGCTCGTGGGCTCGCTGCACGAGACGGTACGGCGGGGCCTGCTGGCGCGCGGGGGTGGCGATGGCCCGGTCGGCGGCGGTGCCGCCCGGGCGGGAGTGGGAGTTTAATGGCAAGTGGCTGTTCAGGGTGGAGGACCTGCCGCGCGAGGAGGGCTGGTCGCTGCCGCAGGGGGTGCGGTGGGATCGGGTGAGGCGGGAGGATGCGGGGGTTGTGCAGGGGCGGACGAGGGTTACGAGGTTGCCGTAGGTTTTTCTTTTTCTTTTTTTGTTTTGGCTGGTTTTTATATACGTGTTGGAAGGGGGGGTTGACTAGGTGGTTTGGCGATGAAGTGCTGATTATGTTGGTGCTTGTCTAGGGAGACGCTGCTTATGCTGCCGAGTACGGTGATGAGGTTGGAGGATGGGACACCAATCGCGTGGGCGTTTATGGGTGAGTTAGGAGGGAGATTGATCATGGCTTTGAGGTATCTAGCCAACTAACACGTCATCTGAACATTAGGACTTGATGGGACGCTTATGACATTACACGTCGAGGTTAGTTCTAGCTGGCATCAATAACCATGTTTCGAGCCACAGGCATTGCTAATGAGTGTTTTAGGAACCATATCGCCAGCGCGGTCTAGCAAAGGCCTTGGCCTGCAAGTTAATGCGGGAGCACATCTCGGATTATAGTGACGACGGTTGGGGGGCCGCCGACGTGTATGTTGGAAACAGCCAAAGCCAAGCGTTGTGCCGGAGTATTGGCGGCAAGAAGAGTTGGATCTTATCTTGGTAATATTGAGCGAAACGCGTTATTCGTATCGGGCTCTCAGCTAACAGGTTACAGGGCAAAGGTTGATCTTTCCACTGTGGGAGACCCGATGTGAAGAGTAGAAAAGGGGTTTTTATAACATATCGAAGTCCAGTCCTCCACATGCTTTTAGCCGGTTTTACATGGTACCATGGCATTATATACACTGAATACTAGGCCCGCGCTGCTATTGGGAGTCTGTCTTGGTCAGGCGATGGATCTCCTGGAAGAAGAATTTCAGGTCGTCGGGGTTGACAAAGGGTGTGATTCCTAGGATGATGTTAGCGGCATGCTGTGTGGTTTTGGTAAGATAAATAAACACACCATGCCCGAGATTTACGATCCAGCCTTTTCTCCGGTTGGCCCAGTCAAAGCCCTTCACCATCTCCTTTATAACCTCCGTGATGGCGGCATGCGAGCCGTACAGAACACCGGGATCGGCGTTGCCCTGGAGAATGACTGGGCGGTCACCGACCGTCTTGACGGCCTCGGCGGGATCGTGAAGCCAGTCGAGGCCGACAATGTTGTACCCCATGTTGCATGCAGCGTCTAGGGCATACCATGCACCCTTGGGGAAGACAACCATCGGAACGGGTTCCAGCCCCATCTCCCTGAGCCTCGGGGGAAGGTGCTTGGCAATGTACTCCAAGTAGGGCTGAGAGAACTGTTTGAACGACGATGGTGAGAGTTCGCCCGCCCACGAGTCGAACACTTGGACAAGCTGGTATGAATGGTCAACGAAAGCCCAAAGAGACAAGGGTCGATTGAAATACCTGGGCACCCGCCTGGACTTGAAGTGCGAGATATTCGACGCAGAGTTCCGAGATCTTCTGCAGGAGGGCCTTGGCCTCCTCGGGGTACTTGTAAATCCACTTCTTGGTCTCCTTGAAGAACTTGGACCCCCCACCCTCGACCATGTAGCAGAACAAGGTCCAGGGCGCTCCGCAGAAGCCAAACAACGGCACACGCCCCTGGAGCTTCTTCCTGGTCAGGGTAATGGCCTTGTAGACATAGTCGAGCTCCTTCGCGACGTCGACATCGCGCTTCATCACCTCGGCGTATTGGCCGTCGTCTGGGCTCTGGAGGGGACTGGGGAAGTGCGGCCCCTTCTTGTCGACCATCTCGACAACCATACCCATGGCCTGGGGGATCACCAGGATGTCGGAGAAGATGATGGAGGCATCGAGGAGGCCGGAATAGCGCTCAATGGGTTGCAGAGTCAGAGTGGATGCGACCTCGGGGTCCCTGCAGCACTCAAAGAAATCACGGCCGCCTTTCGCCTCGTGGTACTCAGGGAGATACCGACCAGCTATGCTGGTAGTTAGCACATGCATATTAGGGTAGTGCCGTCGACGGGCGGGGTGCCTTACCCTGCCGCATCACCCAGATGGGCGGCCGTTCGACCTTTTCGCCTGTATTCTAGAGTCAGCGTTTCGGTTCCAATTCATCTAAAAGACAAAAAAACGAAAAAGAAAAGAAAGAAAAAAGAAAGAGAACCGGGAAAGAAGCCCAAAACTTACCGCGAGCAACCCGCAAAATCAAGTCATTTTGGAGAGGGGGGAATTGGTGTTCCATGGTTGCGGTTGTTGATATCAAGCAAGCTTAAGCTCTCAAGGTTCTTAGGTAAATCGTGTTCTGGAACTTCCCCGCCAACTCTTAGATGGCGGGGGTTAGCTAACTAAGGTAATGGCATTTGACACGGACGCGGGGCACCGGGACAGTCGGCCAAGCCGCTCCCGGTCTGCGCCACACCTGCAAGGTACCCTGCCCGAGCCCAAGTTCCGCCCAAGGCCATTGTTCAGCCACACCAGGTACCGATTCAAGGTCGGCCAAAGCTTCTGAACGTCAAAGCTTCAATCATTGCGCGAAAAGTTGGGGGGGTTTTGGCTCAACTTGCGCCGACAGCAACCGACGACGACGGGACCAATTGGTCTCAACACCTCGCACCCTAACCGCATGCCGCTCCATCCACGAGTTTTAACCCTCGCTTCTTGGATGGAGCTGGCAAAACTCGCCAACCGCTCTCCCCGCCTCACCTTCCCCCCCGCTCCTCGGCAATGACTCCCCGGGCCTCGCAGTGTCGCGCCGCCCTCCAACGCCAGATAGTCCCATCGAAAGATTCAATATGGATTACGGATGGCTTGCTCGCCAGCGCCTTTGAACGATACTGCTGCGTGTCGAGGACGTGGAACAGAAAGGCGAGCAATGTTCCGGGACCGCTCGAGAGCCAACGCCGACTCGGACGGCGGCGCATGGGGGATGCTAGCACATGGCACTGTCCGCCAACGCCGCCATCTTGGGCGTTTTTAGTGCCGTTAAACCTAACACAATGGACTTGGAAGCCGCCATCATTAGCTTCCACACGAGAACGCAACCAACGGCGATACGACGATAGTACCCCCACAGAATCGATATCGTTGGTACCTCGATTGTTACGAGAGTCGGCACCCCAAGAGGCTGGAAAGCCGCTTGTGGCTTTTACGAGTGCGGCAGCGGCATTACCCGACCCAAGTTCGTCACCCGTTGGCACAACGCGACCTGACCCTTATGCAGCCCTCATGGGTGGTTTCCGGTGGGCAGTTACGCATGCCGACGACGAGCGCCTCGCATCCTACACCGGGAAGTTGTGCAGCAGGTTCAGACAACGTATCATGCTTGGGGAGATTCCACCAAATGACATCCTTCCGCTGTCGAGAGAAATATGGGAAATGCTGGGTTCGCGATTGCAGGGGTCAACATTAGATCACCGACTCTCCTTGTCGTTCTGTAGGGCGATTCTAAGCGGTATTACCGGCTCTAAGGTGTTCTCACCCGATCTCCTGGATGCGCAATTTTGGAACACATTCCTCGTTCAGATGTCCAAACTTCCAGCCGACGATACGCTCTGCAACCTTTTCGTCAAAGTCATGGCGTCGATGCCTGCAGCCCACCAACCCCGCGTTTCCGAAGGTATTCTCTCGGTTCTTGACTGTTTTTTCTCGGCCTGGAATCACTCACGATTGGTGCTCGGGGGTTGTGAGACCAGGCGGCTGATGGACATCGCCATCTTGGGAGAGCTGTATGAGAAGCAACAAAAGCTGTCTGCCTTGCCTGCATGTCTACGACAGGTCAAGGCAATTTCAGCTGCATTGCAGGCCGTTACCCTGGAAGAGACAAAACCGTTACTCTCCGCTGCCCACCGCCTCGTCTTCACTGCCGCGGGCGCCTGGCAGACAGGTCGGCACACTCTACGTTACGGCTGGCTTTATGTGCTCGCCCAGAATCCCCACATCAACGAAGGTTTTCTGTTCGATGCCGCCGCGTCCCTTTCCCACTCGTCGTTGAACATGCAACCCTTGTCGGTGGTAGAGGTGTCCTCGCTGCTACTGACGCAGTGGGCGAGTCGGGGATACCTCAGGGGCCCTAAGGACGTTTATCGTGCTTATAGACGGCACCGCGGAAAACGCGATGAGGCGGCGCTCGCGGCGCTTTTCCTCGCAGTCTTTTCCCGCGGGAAAGGCGAGACCAGGAAGGGCCTGTACCGGAGCGCTTGGAAACTATTGACCAAGCTACAACAGACGGACTACGTGATGCGGTCGCTACTGTTTGACACGCTCACCGGGAAACTCCCCGTGCGCATGCTCGAAGACCTCGCGTTCACATCCAACAACCACCTTACGGCAATCGACCTCCGTGATCTGTGGTCTGAAGAGGTCATGACCAAAGATCAACCGCAGTGGTTCCCGGGCGCTTTTGACAAGTACGCCGAAGACATCGTCCGCGACCCGACTATCCCTCCCAAAGAGATATGGCGCGTTCTGGACATCGGCAAGCTAGAACAGCAGGGTTCGACATTTAGGAGCAGGATCCTGCGCCACCGCGGCACGTTCGGGAAACGGCGAGCGGCGGTCGTGGAGAAGATGGCTAAGGCGTTTATGGAAGCGCCGCATCTCTCGGACCGCGCGGCCCTTCGCCACGTCTCGCGGTCCTTTGCGTTCCTCAAGGCAATCAGGGGCCAGGTCCCCGACTTTATCATCCAAGACATGTATCGCATCGTCACCAAAGACTTATGGGAGGAGAATCCCGGGAGGACAAAGCGGCTGCTATGGTTTCTGAGAATTGTCGAGAGAAGACACGGCCTCGAGATTGCTTGGTCGTGCCGTCTTGCGCTGAGGCGTTGGAGGGCTAGGCTGATGCAGGACTGGATAAGCAAGGGCGGAGGTAGGCAGTTTTGAGCGGGTTTGCACACAGGTCAAGAGATGGACGACACGGGGCCATGTCTCGCTACAGACTTGCCAGAGAGTTGATTCTTTCGACGAAAATAAAGTCACACAAAACATCCCAACCGCCTAGCCTGGTCACCCTAGCCGAGTGCTAGCTCCGCAAGCTGTCCTCATGCTCATGTTACGCACATCATCCCACGTGAGGGGGGAGGCGCAAAAATAACAAGAGGCCCAGGTCATGCCAGTGCCCCATACCACACCAGTAACAACAACCTCCACAATATCCCACACCACACCACGGAATCTCACTCAAACCATGCCCTCCTTCCTAATTCTCCCCTCGTCAATTCTTGCCTCCCCCCATCATCACCTGACAGCATAGGGCAGGGTAGGTTCCGGGCTCGCCCGCCATGGTCACACAGGGGGGAGCGCAGCAACAGTAACTCACGTCCCACGGCATGCTTAGATCGATGTGTGGGGCCGGGGGGGGGGGGGCGGGAGAGGGAGCGCAGGGAGGGCAAAGAAGACAAGAGAAGCACCCGCTCATACACTCCGTTCAGTGCAGAGTACATCGTGGTGGCGTGTGCGCGTTTTTTACTCACACGCGCGCGCGCGCGCCATGTCTCACCGGGATGCGTGATGTCGGATGAGGGGATGGGGCGCGTGCACGTGTGGTGGGGATGCATGTTGGGCGTGTGTGTGCGTGTATGGGTGGACGGGTGGTGGGTGATGGGAGGGAGGGCAGCTGGTATGGGTTGGTTGGGTTGGTTTGGTCAAGCTGTTGTTGGGGTCGGGGGTGGGGGAGGGGGATGAAGGTGAGGTGGTGCGGGAACGGGCGACCATCCCGCTTTCCCCGGCGGCTCCCCCCACCCTCCCTTCAACGCCCTTCTTTTTTCTTCTTCCTCTAGTGGCGCCCTGCTTGGCTTTGCGGTTGCTCACTCGTGTCGGTGGATGCCTTGGGTGATCTGGAACGGCAAGCTGCCTCCCCTGACGGGAGCGGAGGAGGAATGCGAGCGGAGGTCGTTTCACTTTCGACGCCCGACACTCGATCTCCCCGATGGACCTAATCTCGATGCTGCAGCAACCCTCTAGGCTCCCCTTCAACCCCCGATAATTAATACCACTGATAGGACGGCGTCATGTAGGCGTGCGACACATTACCAATCACCCAGCTCGCATTCCAATCCTGGATCTTTCCTAGACTTCCCCCCCGTGCCTGTGAGAGAAAGGTACCGGAGCTCTTGTCTCAGTTCTGCGTCGCGTCGGAGCCGGAGCGGCGCGGACACTGACTGTTGCTGCAAAAAACTCGTCGCGGGCCGACTCTGCGCTGGGATGGGCTCGTCGGATGGTGGGTTCATCTCGAGGTTCGACAAGATCCCTTGGAGCTGTGGTCAGAGCCAAGCTTTTGCTCAACCATCCGAACGCCTCCACAGAAGAGGTCGCCAAGCTGCTAGGGTCGGCTGATCTACGGCGCTAGGCTGGAACTCTCCTAGCGTGGAAGTGGGGTGGGGAGTTTTTGTGTGAACGTGGTCAGGGAGTCGGGTTGGAGACAGAGCTTCATTGAACTTGGGATCAAAAAGCACATGACATTAACTGTAGCGGGCGACATTAAAACCCGGTTTGGTTGGATTCCATAAAGTGACATACCTTACACCTGCTATATTAGGCGTCCCATTTTATCTTTACCTGTTCCGAAGGAACCCTCGTGAATGGAGGAGTCTCGGCCATCTCGGGGACTTTCTCGCACCGTCCGGCAGCGAGCGGGAGCTTCGCGTCCGGGTGGGTCAGGCAGGACCCTGGAAAACGCAAAGCAAGACGCCTTTATCTGACACCGACAAACGTCTGGGTTGGAATGGAGGAAGACGTACCTAAGGAAAAGCATGGGAGGGGAAACTTGAGTTAAATTTACCCGGCTCAACCACCAGGTACGGGCCGAGTCTCGGACCAACCCGACAATGCCAATGTCGCCATAGAATTCCAAAGACACCCGGCAAGATGGGAAGGGCTCCGAGACGTTGAGAGATCCCACCCCACGCGCGCAGAGTAGGATCGAGAGGTTACTCGGTACAGGGTGTGTGGGGTCGGGAACGAGTTGTAGCCGAAGCGTCCTTGACCCGGATACCGAGCTCACAATCTGCAGCCCGGGACGATCTGCGTCGGGCACTCGTTACCTGCAGTGGTAAATACTGGACTCTATAGACTCCTTCCCGCAGGAAAGAACTGCCTGTAACCGGCCCGGGGTGGGCAGGGATATGGGATCCGGACAGCGGGTCGCCGGAAATCGTCCCTTCCCAAACTGTCCCCTGCCTGCGTGCGAACTGCTGCCAGCCTGTGCACTGCTAGGCTGCAGTGAGTGTCGCACGCCAGAAAACGACGGGGTGCCTTCCAGTCTGAGTGTGCGGAATATCCATGGAGACCTGATGGAAGGCACCTGGGGTGTAAGCATCCATTGGAGGTCGCCCACGTTCCAGGTTGCTCAGGACGGCGGAAGTCCCCTCAAAGCACTTACCTGGACAGAGTCTAGAGCACTGGCACATAACACAGGCCACAGAGCCCCCGCTACCTTGTGTTCCTACCTAAGAATGGAATAAAGCCCGACACCCTCACGAGGCCATGCGGTTGTCAAATCAAACCGGCACCTACATGCGTTGGCTACCTACCTAGTCGTTGGAACTCTCGAGCGCAGGTGGGGATGGACGCGATGCAGCAGCGTTGAGACGTCGGGTCTGCTGGAGACGGGACCGGGTCGGCTTGAACTGAACTGGCCGACCGAAGTCACTGGGCACCTAAGACTGGACGTCTATCCGATGTCGAGTGTCCCCCGGTTGCAACAAGCCGACACCAAGCAGCGGACGAGCCGGCACAGGCCTGGCATATCTGCACCTTGGCTGCACGCAACAGACAGGCCGCGACTCCAAGCACCCGCCACCAATCTATTTAAGTTTGAACTTCTACCCTTGCTTCCAACCATCCGAGTCCCTCGTTTTGTCCGTCATTTCGACCTCGACCTCGACCGCTTTCACTCCCGCATCAATTATTCGACATGTCTACTATTTCATCTACTTTGGCATTTCTCATGTCTTAACTGCCACAAACACACGCTTAGTTCTTTTGCCTGAGACCCTTCTGCCGACCCATACGCTCATTTTCCGTCTTTTGTGGCCCGCCTTGATATAATACCGGGCCTTTACCCCCAAGACGTTGCTGGCTATTCCTCGACATTTTCTAGACCTTGGCCATGGCCACTGGTAACCAGATCCCGGATATGATGCCCGTTCACTACTGGCCCCATCCAACACACTCGGCGCCGCTCCGACAAAGCCAGGGCAACTACGGCACCGCGTTACCACATCGATCGACTCCGACGCCGCAATGCCCTGGTGGCGATGGGGCATCTGGGATGCTTGACCCGACCTCGTCTGGAATGCGGAGGCACAGTCTAGCCACAACAGCGCCACCACCTGCGCGCACCACCAAGTCGATCGAGAACACACCAGGAGGAGTAGATGAGCCTTCCGGTGGGCCACATAACGGGGAGGAAGACACCCACGCCCTCGGCGCTGGGTCTCCGACAGCCACCGCCGCCGCCTCTACCTCCCAGAAACCGATTCGCCGCCGTATGCGCATGATTACCTCCTGTCTCGAGTGCCGACGGCGCAAGCTCAAGTGCGAAAAGAAGCATCCGTGTCATAACTGCAGAAGGTTTCAGAGGGAATGTGTCTACCTGGGCCCCAACCTCGATGAGGCCAGTCAGCAGCGCTTGACCGAAATCAAGGAAAAGGTTGGCTCACTTGAAAGACAGTTAGAACGTGATGTGGCCAAGGGAGCAACCGCCCGCCGTGGCGGAAGTGGTAGCCCCGGCGACGCCACCGATCCCTATAACCAGCGGTTTGTGGCAGACGATGTCGAGGACGACCTCGGCGAGGACCGCGAGCTGCAGATTACCCCGATGGTAGCTCTCGACCTCACCTACGAAGACTATTCCGACGGCAACGGAACCGACGATCTCATTGACCTCGGAATCCGGGTTGGGAAGATGAGGATAACAGAGCGAATTGGTGGGCTAAACAGGCCGCGCATATCGGAAGAGGTACGCGCCCATGACACACAGAAGTCTCCCCAACCATGCTATCTCGCTGACGCCGCCTAGATCCAAGCCGGCATAGCCGATACCCAGAACCATATTTACGGTGCTCAGAGCGGCTTTGTGCCCGGTGGTGGACTGCAAGACGCCTCAGACCTCCCGGACTTTCTCAAGCCTGGGGATTCGTATCTGGCTCCGACCAGTGGCTTCTTTTTTGGCCAGTTTGCTGAGTCGCCGACCCTGCTTAGCCTGCTGCCGCCGATTGAGTTGGGCCACCGGTTGATGCGCCGCTACCTCGATGCCGTTCATCCCATCGCACGATGTGTCCACCTGACCTCCTTTGAAGGAATGTATACGTCGTTCTGGGAGGAAGTTAGGCAGGGAATCGAGCCTCGTACCTCGGTACAGGCGGTTGTGTTTGCGGCCTGGTTTAGCGCTGCTGTTAGTGTGGACGACAGCTTCTGTCGGGACCATGACTGCAGCAAAGCCCAGCTAGTACTGCACATGAAGATCGGGACCGAGACCGCGCTGAGCAAGGCTAACTTCCTGAGCACGACGAGGTTCGAGACTCTGCAGGCCTTCGTCATGTACTTGGTGAGTTACGCAGCACAGCGCCTTCCGGGCAGGCTAACAAGCACCAGCTTCCACTCTGCCGAGACGAGGTTTCTAGGGCTCATTCGGTTCTAGTCGGCGCCGCTGTCCGAGTGGCCGAATGCATGGGTCTTCACCGTGATGGCTCGGCATACGGTCTCACCACTCTGGAAACCCAAGTTAGGCGACTAGTTTGGCACCAGCTGTGTTTTCTTGATGTCCGCACATGCGAGGCCCAGGGGCCAAAGCCGGCCATACGGCGCGAGGACTACGACACCAAAATGCCCTTTAACTGCGAAGAGAACGAACTAACGCCGCAGGCAACAGTTCGGCCGGTGCCGGCAGAAACGTGGACCTCAATGCTCTTACCGATTATGCGCTTCGAGATCAACGAGATGATGCGCAACATCTGGACGGACCGGCGCAAGCTGGAAATCCGAAAGACGACGCTGACTGCCATGCTCACCAGGGTTGAGAACTTCCGGAAGCGGATGCTAGAGAAGTACAGCCGGCAGCTTGACGACCGGGTACCAATACAAATGTACGCCAGGCTTGTCATGGAGCTGCTCATCTTTCGGCTTCATGTCATGGTGCTGCACCCCTATCACTCTAACACGGCAGATCCTTTACCCGAGAAGCTGAGCGGCTTGTTGGTCACCAGCGGTGTCATGATCATCGAGATTGCCATCCGCCTGGAGTCGAATCCCATGTTCCGAGATTGGTCATGGTATTTGGGTGCCTATCAACAATATCAGATCGCCCTACTGCTTGCGACCGAAGTATTCTACCGGCCCAACCACCGAGTGGCTGAACGCATATGGCCCTGCCTCGACTGGGTTTTCCAGCTTGACCCAAACGTGCCGCGGGATCAAAAGAGTCTGCAAATACTGACCGAGATCATGAGCAAGACGAACCTCTACATGAACCTCCGCAAAGTCCGCGCGCCCACGACCATCAACCAGGCAGTGCCTGGAAAGCAGGCCGTCAAGGAATCCCCGCCGCCACCGTCGCTCCCGGACCAGCTGCCTCTTCAAGGCCAATCTCAAGGGCAACCATACCCATCCACCTCGCCGCTCCATCATGCAGCAGCCGGGACTGTTTCGATACTCAAGACAGAACACATCCCTTGTGCTTCCTTGCCGTCGTCTCTGTCCGGGCCCATGAACAACACCCTTGCCCCCAATGCCCTGCCGCCTGCTTCGTTTCCCATGGGCATGATGATTTCGCCTCAGCCACAGCCCCAGAACCAGCGCCAACACCAATATCAACATCAGCATCAACATCAACATCAGAATCAACAACACCAATATCAGCAGCATCAGCAGCATCAGCAGCATCAGCCGCTCGGCTTTCCGCCCGCCCATCATCAACACATGGTATTCACGGGCGTGACGAACGGCGAGGCCCTCTGGGGCTTGCCGCCGCAGAATCCCGGCCCGGGGAGCCCCGAGAACAGTAGCGACGGCGGGAGCGTGGCCGGCCAGTCGCAGCGACACGGAAGCATAGCCGGGCCATCGGGACAGCCGCCGGTGATTAATGTGATGCAGGAGCTTGATTGGGTGAGTTTTCTCCTTTTTCCTTTCTCTTTTCATTTTGCCTGTCGGGTCTAAGGTTTGTGTGGGTGAGAGAAGGGAAGGCTGATGATAGATATCTCATACAGGAGGCTCTCCATGAACTGTTCCCGACGGATCCGCAGACGGGCCAGTTGAGTTTCAATTCGTTTCTTGACAATGGGATGGGCCCGTGGTAGAGATGATGTGTTTTTGGGTTAAGGGTTGTCTAATGGTGCCCCGTATGGGTGCTCGTGTGTTTGGTGGAGTTGAATAGGGCATTTTGAAAAGAACGTCTTGGTAGGTAGCGGGACGCAAGTGTTTGTTGTGTGTGTTATATGGGCTTGCGTATTTGGCATTGAGATATAGAGCGTTAATTGACATTTGGCTGAGACCAATGACTCCGGTCTTCGCAGGAGGGCAGGTAGGGCTCTATTGTGATCTGATTAGTAAAGATATGTGAAATTGCGTCCAGCTCTGCCGATTATTTGCAAGCTTAAGTCTCGATGTTCAAGGTATGTATGTGCTTTGGCTATGCGAACAAAATATGCCTGCGTTGGTATCTATATTTTTATGGCAATGACTTGCCAGATACGAACCTGCTCAACGCATACTCATCCTATGGGCCTTCTTCGCACTCTCAACGCTAATAGCTAACTCTCTGTTTACATGTACCAGTCTATTCTATCCCTTGATCCCTCCCATCTACACATCTACTCCATCTTATCTAACAAGTACCTAATTAAATCCATCCCCACAACACTACAACACCACAACAGCGAACAAACCCCCCTCCTCCCTCCCCCCCCCGCCTCACCACAACACACAGCCCCTCTCCTTTCTTCAAAAAAAAAAAAAAAAAAAAAAAAGGGAAGAAAAAGAAACTACAAAACAACACCACTATCCCACCACCCCCCCGCCCCGCGATACCACCGCATCCCGTACCCCACCGAATCCCACCGCCACCACGCCTCATCCCCCCCAACCGTGCCCGTGCCCGTGCCCGTGCCCACCAGCCCCAGCGCCCGCAGCGGCGACGCCGGCACGGGTTCAAACAGCCACACCCCCGCGCGGCCCATGTCGTCGATCAGGCCCCAGGCTGTGAGTTGTAGCCAGAGGAGGGTGAAGAGCAGGTTGGTGAGGCGGCGGAGGAGGGTTTTACTTCTTTTAGGGGTGGGGTTGGGGAGGAGGTTGGGGAGGAGGGTGGTTTGGAGGGCAATGCCGACCGTTTGGAGGGCGAAGAAGGCGAGGGAGGTCCAGGGGCGGGTGATGCGCGGGACGGCGGTGTGGCCGCCGGCGGCGTGGAGGAGGCCGCTGAGGAGGAAGGCTAGGAGGGGTTCGGCAAAGAGGGCGGTGGGGGGTTTGTTGTTGGTGCTGTTGCTGTGATGGTTGTTGGTGTGGTTGTTGTCTTTGTTCGCTTCCGGCCCCACCTCAGGGCGACGGCGGGCCGCGAACCACCACCGCGCGGGCGCGACAAAACCGGCGCGGAAGGTCTGGTGCCACCAGCCGCCCCAGAAGCCGGCGAGGCCGCGGTCCAGGACCGAGGGCACGAACCCGCCAAAGAGGGTCGGGTGCTGCCAGAGCTCGGCGCGCGCGCCGAACAGGCTGCGCAGCGGGAAGACGATGGCGAGTTGGAGGAGGGAGTGGTACAGGTGTATGCCGGCCATGATGCCCGCGAGAGCCGGGATGTTGCGCAGCAGGGGGATGGTGAGCTGCGGGAGGGGCAGGCGGGCGTACAGTGGCGGGAGGGGGTACCCCTGGGAGGCGTAGTCTGGTCCGAGGACGAAGTAGGGGTCTTGCCGCATGATACTGGTCAGGAGGTCGATGGTCAAGTAGGAGAGTGTGAAGTTGAGAAGGCGGGAGCGGAGAAAGGCGGCATAGGTTTGCGAGCGCTGGGTGCCGGCGCGGGAGGCGAGCGGGATGAGGTCTATCCGAACAAGTTCGTTGCCGTCCAGGGGTTTAGTGGGAAAGGGCGGGTGGGGGATGGTCGAAATAGAAAAGTTCCATCCTGCGCCACGGCACGCGGTGAGAAGGTCGGCGGTCCAGCCGAGACGGGTGAGGTAAGGCGCGGTGGCTGGGAAGGGCTGCCAGAAGTATTCGTTGTGAGGGAGGGAGGCGGCAACGCTCTCATCGGGCGGCACCATGACAACTGCATCCTCTCTTTTACCTCCGTGGCCGTTTTCAGTCCGTCTCGGGCGCCGCTCAACCCTCGCCGCGTCCCATTGGGGCCGAGTAAATATCAGTAGCCTGAGGGCCCAGATCGTCCCCCAGACGGCGAGTAGTCCAGTTGCAAAAGCCACGGCTTCATTTATGGCAGATGTGGTCTGCAGGAGGTGGACGTTAAGATAGACGACTGTCGCGGCGACAAGCCAGCGCATTCGGTACAGCCATGGCCGGTTCGTGTGGGGGATGCTGAGGTAAAGAAGCGGAAGGAAAAAGCTGCCAACAAAGGACCAGGGGATGATCAGTGGTTTGACTTCACCGGCTGCAAGTGCCGTGTTGAATGCGTCCCGGTATTGTTGTCGCTGGTATACGGCAAGGTTGAAGGATTCTTGGTTTAGTCCGAACCCGGAGGCGGATCCGAGAGGGTGGACTGCCATCGGAGGCACCACTTTAACGCTATCCAAAATAGGAAATAATGAAGCAATTAAGGTTGTATAAGTCAAGGCCAAGTTGCAATAACACTCGGAACAAGACAGAGCCAACAGACCGCTTGGCTTGGCAAATAACGAAAAACAAGTGATTGAAATGCTTGGAGTGTGGCTGAACAAAATAAGAAAATTGTAAGCGCCGTAAATGATCAGCCTGCACTAGCTGGAAGTGGCGGAGTTTGCCGTGGCCGTTATATTGATTCGAAGAACAAACACCAGTGGGTTTGGGTTTCAGCTGATTTGCTGATCGCTTTGGTGTCTTGGTTGGCATTGGCAATTAACACCCTGAGAAAGTAAAACAACCCACTTAACTACCTACGTATAAGAGCGAGTTGCCACGTCTTTCCCAGCCCCGATGACCATTGCCGAGACCTGACTCGGCCGTCCGCCTCTCATCTGTCTTCCCGGACCGTTTACTCCCCCTTCCGCCACTCCGGCACGACCGCGTCCCCAACCCTCACCGTCGGGAACTGCCTCTCCTTCGTCAGCCCCGACGCTCCTTGATCCGCGTCATTATAGCACATGTGCACCCCGAAGAACACCTTCCCGTCAAACCTCCGCGTCTTGGACAGCGTCACGAACGGCTCTTCGCTCTTTTCCGCCGTCTCTTGGTTGATGCAGACCATGTGACACCGCCTGCATGCACCTAGCATCTCAAACTCGTGCTGTTGCGGGCCGACTTTTATGCCCGACCAAGAGTCTTCGGCGTAGGGTGTCATGGGAGCGTCAGTGTCTGTAGAGGCGATAACCATGTTGGCCCGGAAGACGGCTGGCAAGACCTCCTTGGAGCCGGGCTTGGAGACGCGCATTTCTTGGTTGAGCGCGGCGACGCTAGGGAGAGTAATGGCGAGGATGGGGCTTTCATTAGAGAGCAGAATCCGCCGAGAGACCGTTTTTTCCGTGTCCGAGTCCGGGGGTGACGGCGGAAATGAACCTGGAAGGGCGGGCTTGGCTGTTGGAAGGAGAGGGAGTTGGTGTTTTTGGAGGTGGGCCTTGGAGTACCGCATGCTTTTGCCGTGCCCGCCCGCGGGGAACCGCGCCAGTAAGCAGGGCACACCGAGGACGTCAGAGAAGAAGTTGTTGATGGCTGTGGATGAATACGTCTCCGCCTGGATTTCCTCTCCACACACACGGGAGGACCTCAAGCGCGAAGATGAGGAGCGGAAAAGAGAGGGGTTTTTGGAGAGAGGTATGCTGATTTCTCGGTCTTGGTGAGCTGGCAACTCCCCTGCGTAGCTGACCCGCAGCTGCCCCCGTTCGAAATCAAGCGACGGGCATATGAGGGCCATTTTGGGATGCCGTTTTTGGCTCAGTGCCTGGCCGGTGCCTTGGTGCACTAGACACCATTCCCTATCCCAAGCAAGACCTTCAGGCCTCACTTCCCAGTCGGCACCCGACGGAACCTGGAATCCACGACAGCTCTTTATGGGGTAGACGTATATGCTGTGGATGCGAAACCGTGACGGTTCATGGGGTTGTGGCACCAGTTCCGTTCTAGCCGAGGACAGTGATGTATCCCGGTAGAACTCGGCAATAAACTCAACGAAACCGTCCACGTCTGAGATGGTACTCATGGCACCGAGACTTGCCCGGATGACGCCAGTTGGCTTCCCAGCCATGATATCGATGTCAGTACCGCAGCGAAAACCCGAACTGAAGTTACGTCTCATTTCCCACGGTTCAAGTCCCAAAGCCGAGGCGATTCCGCCGGGATTGCAGACACCCCCAGTTCGAATATGGAACCCTTTCAGAGCGGCCAGTTTCTCAACCTCGGCCAAGCTTATCCAAGCTCCTTGGCTATTGCGAATATTGAAGGCAACAACGGGGCCAGTGGAGAGGCTGCGGTTCGCTGTCTTTGGGTCTGGTGAGTACAGCACACAGACCGGTTCGCCATTTCTGTGCCTTAACGATTCGAGCTTCGTGTAGAGCATCGTTGATAGAACAGACGTATGGGATGCGACATCCCGCATCGAGCCGAACAGCTGCTTGTGCACGTCCAACGCTGCATCTAGCGCGATGATGCTGTGAACGGGTAATGTTCCATCCTCGAGACGTTCGTGCAGGAACTGGGCCTTTGGTGCGTGCCACTGCTCTTTCAAGCAGACCACCATGTCGACCGTGCCGCCACCGAAGTATCGCCTCGTGTCAAATGCCTCCTCGGCATCCCGCCTCACAATCAATGCGCCCAAATCCGGGAAACCAAAGATTTTGTAGAAGCTGAGTACGGTGAAGTCGGGAGCTGCATCGACCTGGCTCAGGTCGAGCGGGGCGGAGCAGACTAACGCGGCTGCATCCAGCAGCGTGTATGTCTTCCTCGTCCCACGGCGGATCCTCTCAGCCCAGTTCAGAGGGTACCGCCGCCCATCCATGTTGGACTGTGCCGGGTAAGCAAACAGAACCGGGCGGTTTTCGCTGTCGTTTCCGAAAGGGCAGCTTCCGCCAAGCCACTCATCAACTTTTCGGTTGTCGAGACAAAGGCTATTTCGAGCCTCTTCTCTAACACCAATAAGGCTCGTATGGCTCGCCTGGTGATAGGCATAGTCGAACCCATCTGGAGTGGCCCTTAGGGCATCAGCAACCAGCTTGATTCCAGCAGTCGCGTTCGCCACGAAAACGAGGTCGAACTCGGCGGGGTCAGCATTGAAGAAACGCAGCACCCGTAGACGAATATCCTCTATTCGTGTAGTCGAAAGCTGGGATGAGGCCGATGCCGAGTGCGGGTTCCCAAACAGGTTCGAAGTCATGTCCTTTGCGAACCTGTCCATCAAGGACTTGGCGTAGGGAGTGGTCCCGGCATGGTCGAGGTAGATGGAGCCTATTTGTACAATTTAGTTAATCGCCCGCACCCGCTGCGCGTGAGAGTGATGGAATTCCGTACCATTTAGCATAGGATACTCCTCATCCCTGAAGCTTTCGACACGGGCATTGTAGCATGTGTCCACTGACTTTACTTGGTGGTCGGTCCCCGCCATGACCGTTCTGATGTTATCGTCCTGTCCGTGCCTCCACTGATAAAATACCGGCTGGTGACATCTGCGAGCGTAACACTGCGTTACGCATTTTCGTTGGAGTCGGAATTCGCGGTGGCGGCGAAGTGAGTGTGTTAATAAGTACACTGGTACGACAACGAGTTCTGGTCAGGCGCTGCTTTGCCCGTCTTTGGCCCACGCAATCCGGCTTTGGGGCGCGGAGTTCGCCCCCTTCCACTGCGCGGCTGCCAGTGCGGGGGATGTGGGGTCTTCTCCAACTGATAACAAAGGTCCGCTCACTGTGGCTGAACTTATAACAGTCAGCCACAGCTAAGCCACACTTACACTTTAAGTGGTTCGCGTTCGAGCGCGTCAGGGTCCCCGCGACGCGGTCGCGTTCCACGAGCCGGGAAGCGCGAAGCGCCAATTTACATGTGGGCCAGAGCTCCCTTCTTGGCCGCACCACCTTCCTCCCCCAAGCTTCGTCCTTTCCTCTTCCGAATTGAACACAAACAATTCGACTGCACCTACCAGATTCTAATTGTACTGCAAAAATGGCAATTGCAACTCTTGGAAAGAGGACACGAAGCTCTGGGGATGAGGGTAAGTGCCCGTGGTTAACTCACTACACCCAGAAGGAACCGCGACTGACATTGGAACCCTCTTGCAGAGCCGACATTGAGTCTCGACTTCTCCGCGAAACGCTCGAGACGGACTCCGAAAAAGGCCAGCGAGAAGGAGCACATCTCGGTCCACGATAAGGAGAACCAGGAGAATAATCAACCAGAGTCGGATTCCCAGGGGGAGGCTGAGCCTACACCCACGAAGTCTCACTCCAGACGCACCTCGATCGCCAGTACTGTTAGAAGTTGTAAGTGGATTCCGGTCGAGGGAACATTGGGCGAGATACTAACTTCTCGCCCCCCAGCCACCGTCGCCCCTGTCACTCCCTCAACACCACGCCACTACGATGTCTTCGCTAGGGGGACAACAACTCCTCGTCACCGGGTTATGTCGGTCGGTAGACTCTCGAAGCGGATGACACCCCAGACGCCCCTCACCCCGACTACTCTTCAAACGGTTTACCACCAGGCGAGGCAGCTATTCTCGCGCAGCACAGATCCCGGACAACTAATCGGACGCGACGACGAGCGCGCTCAATTACACAAGTTCCTTGAACGCTGCAACACAAGCCGTCCCAGCGGATGCCTTTACGTCAGCGGCCCCCCCGGTACAGGCAAGAGCGCCATGGTCAACAGCATTACCGACGAAGTGGTCTCCGGATCGGATTCTGTACGAAAGGCCTACATCAACTGCATGAGCATCAAGTCGTCCAAGGATCTGTACATCACTCTGCTGGACCAACTCGGCGGAGACGCTGACATGTCCGAGGACGATGTTGTCGAGGCTTTGCAGAAGCTCTTCGTCCGCAAGAAGACCACTGATGTTTTTCTGGTCGTGCTGGACGAGATCGATCACATCCTGACCATGGATCCCGAGAGTCTCTACCGCGTGTTCGAATGGTCGCTGCTGCAAACCGCGCGTCTTACCATGGTGGGCATCGCCAACGCGCTGGACCTCACCGACCGCTTCCTCCCTCGGCTCAAGTCGCGCAACCTCAAGCCCGAACTCCTCCCGTTCCTTCCATATACCGCACCCCAGGTCAAACGGATCATTACGGAACGCCTTAAGACTCTCGCCCCCAAGGGTTCCACCCCCGATTTCATCCCCTTCTTCCATCCGGCGGCCATTGAGCTCTGCTCGCGCAAAGTCTCCAGCCAGACCGGCGACCTGCGCCGTGCGTTCGAAGTCTGCCGTCGCGCCCTCGACCTGGTGGAGTCCGAGACCCGCATGAAGCACGAAAATGAGATCAAAGAGAATCTCCTCCAACAGAGCCCGTCCCGCAAGGTCCTCGGCGAGAACCGCAACTTTGCCTCCCCAGCCCGGCCCTCGGGAGCCCAGCAGCTCCAGAAATCTCTCCAGACTCTCACCGTCTCCACCGCCCCGCGCGTGTCCATAGCCCACCTCAACAAAGTCACCGCCGCAGCCTTCAGCAACGGTGCTAGCCAGCGACTCAAGACCCTCAACCTGCAGCAAAAGGCAGCCCTGTGCTCACTCATGGCCATTGAAAAGCGCAACCGTGCCACCCAGGCCGCCTCCGCCCCCACCACCCCCTCTTCCTCCAGAACGCGCGGCGTGACGGCGCCGACAATCAAGACCCTCTACGCCTCGTACTGCACCCTCTGCACGCAGGACTCGCTCCTCCACCCTCTCTCGTCCTCCGAGTTCCGCGAGGTCGTGGGTAGCCTGGAGACGCTTTCGCTAGTCGCGCCCGTGGACGGCAAGACTGGCTCGTTCGTGGCGCTACTGCAAGGCGGCACGCCCACCCCCAAGCGCGGCAGGAAGAAGAAGGATGTTTTTGCCTTTGGCGGGAGCGGTGGCGGTGGGCTCGCCGCCGACGAGAAGAGGGTTGCTAGCTGTGTTGGGGAGCGGGAGATGGAAGGGGCCGTGGAGGGGCTGGGGGCCGGGATTTTGAGGGGGATTCTGAGCGGAGATGCCTTGGATTAATCGTATGGCTTTTGTATTTTGAGATGGATGCGGGTTGCTTTTGACAGTTCTGGGGGCATGGGTGGCTTGCATAGCATGGCAGAGTATTGCATAGGCTGGTGTAGCATTGTTTGGCGTTTGCGGTGTTGGATTTGGTTTGGAAAAGGGGTGGTGTTGGAGAGCATTGTTATATAGACCACGTCACTGCCTGCTGGGGGCGAGACAAATACATGTGATGATACACATATTCGAGAGCCTCGGGATACTTCCGGTGCCTATTTACTCACATCTTGTGGCTCTCTGCATCCGTTCCAGTATGTATTGTCTACGTAAACAGCAAGATCTCACGCGTTCCAGACACGCTGAATCCGCTTGAATATTCCGTAGAGCCAGTGGCGTTCTAGCAGCCGGAGCAAAGACAAGGGCCGAAGTCAAAGGTGGGGAGACTGCTCTTACATTCCAAGGTAAAACGCGACAAGTCTTAAATACAAACAACCGAACCTATTCCTCCAACAGCTAATCCCTCTTCATGAAACCGTAACATCTAGGCCACTCACCCTTTAACTCACGTTCAGCCATGCGCCGCTCAATCTCGGCAGGCATCATCCGGTGGTCCATCTCGTCGAGTTCTTGCTCTATGCGGCGCTTCTCTTCCTCACATGCCTCACGTATCTGGGGCTTCGTCTCGTCGAGTATCTGTTTCTTCTGGCGATCCAACTCGGCAAATTCCTCGGCCATATCGCTCTTGATGAGGGCCATGGTGCGCGCTTCCGCCTCGCTCCGCTCGGCTTCGCTGCGTGCTTTACCGAGTGCTTCGTTGTCCGCCTCGGCGAAGCGCTGCTGCACCCGGATGCCAAACCGGCGGCTCATATCATCGCATATCTCGTCCATTCGCCGCATCTTCTCAACGTGGATCGCATCGAAGCGGCGGTGCTTCTCGGCGCGTAATTCAGTCACACACCGATCGGTTTCGATGCGCACTTCGTTGCGTATCTCGGCCAATCGGTTCATGTACAGGTATATATTTTCTTCTTCGTCGCCAGGCTCCATCGTGAACTCCTTCGGGTTGGATATGTAGCGGGACCTCCGGAAGATGGCCTGAAGTTTCTCGTACGGTAGAGGGATGGCAGGGTCCCTAGTTTGATATGTTAGGTATCCTGCGTTCACCTACCAGTCAGAGTGAGGAATGACAGACCTTGTAATCCCAGCAGCCAGCTCGGAGGCCGAGGGGCGACAAAAGGCTGGTCGTAACCCAGCAGGGCCGAGGAAGTCGGAGAGATACAGGCCAACCTGGCCAACAGGCTGTTGAGCAAGGTCCTCATCGTAGAAGAGCTCGGATTGCTTGGCCCAGTAGCTTGAGGAGTCGTCTGCTACCCGTAGGCTCACCCAACCCTTCTTCATGTCGGGATACTGCAGGTCAAGAATCATGGCGACTCGGATCTTGCCATCCGACATATCGATGTATTGACACGCCTTCCTTTCCATGTGTTGCCGAGGTTCGCTCTAAGAAACTTCGCAGACAACGGACGGCATCCTGACGATCTTGCCGAATGAAACATCGGCTTGCTTGTAAAGCTTGTTGCCGTATTCGATAGTAACCCAACCCCAGTCTTCGATGGCCTCGAGCGAGTCTCGAAAGATTTCATCACTTGCCGTAACGACCAATTTTTCCATGAACGGGGGGAAGCCAGTGTACTTCCTCAGGTAGTCGCGAAGGCCCATTTGAACCTGGTAGCGAAACTCGGATTCGGATATCTTGAGGAACACCGTCTTGGATTCGTAATCGTATTCGAATCGATGAATCTTCGGTCGGTCGAGCTCACGTAGTCTGACGAACAGCCGATCGGAAAGATCGTCCACCCGGCTTGCGTCGTCCCAGTGAAAGCTGAGAAGAGGCAGGCTACCCCAGTCACCAGTGCCGACGTTATCGTGAGCGTTGATGATACATTCAATGACCTCCTCGGCCGTGGAGACGTTGAGAAACACCTGTGAAGGGTTAACAGGTGCCATTTGCGCGAATGAGAAGGAGAGAAAGGTGCGAAATACATACGGGCTCAACGTGATCGCTACTATATGTGGCAGGCAGCACTGGGAGTGCCGTCGGCAGGGTTCGTGAAGCCATCGCCGGTGCAGACATCGTTGCAATGAGTGATGGGATGGGAATTCCAATTTGGAATGGGAAGATGGGAATAAAAAGGGAAATTTTCGTTACCTGTTGAAGTCAGTTTCGTCTCATCACCACCTTCCTGTAAAGCCAGGCTGGTACTGCTTCCTCATTTCTCGACTTTCCGTCGGAATTTGTAAATAAGTTGTGCGTAGAACCCATCCACTACACAGTAGGGCCCATACAAATGATAGATTGACTCGGTAGATTTTGGATTGCCGTTCCCCTGGATGACTGACACAACAATCTCTAACTCCCAAACCAGTGTTCGCTTGCTTGTTTGCTTTGCTATAACGCTCCATAACCCTCACCTTCACTAAACTTATCCCTTTAACTCAGTTTAAAACCCCACCCAACACCCACTCCTCTATCCACAGCCATGCGTAACCTAGTTATGCGTAGGCATCGCCACATCGGCCTTCTTCGAGATAGCGTCCTCGGCGCTCCACATGGCCGTGACGGTCTTTTGCTGGGTGTAGAAGCTGACGCCGGGCCGGCCGTAGAAGGTGCTGGCGCCGCCGCCGGCGATGCTCTTCTTGTTGCCGGTGAAGCTGAACATGGGGAGGGGCACGGGGATGGGTACGTTGATGCCGACCTGGCCGGCCTCGATGCGGCGGCGGAAGGTCTCGGCCGTGGGGCCCGAGCGCGTGAAGATGGCGACGCCGTTTCCGTACTCGTTGGCGTTGATCAGGTCGATGGCCTCGTCGAGCGTGTCGACGTTGAGGCAGACGAGGACGGGACCGAAGATCTCCTCGCGGTAGCACTGCATCTGGGGGGTGACGTTGGAGATGATGGTCGGGGCGATCCAGTTGCCGTTGGGGTACTTGGCAGGCTTGAAGCCGCGCCCGTCGAGGAGGATGTTGGCGCCCTCAGCCTCGGCCGACGCGATGAGGGACTCGATGCGTGCCTTGCTCTGCGGGGTGATAACGGGGCCGAGGTCGGCGCCTTTCTCGAAGCCGCCGTTGACTGACAGCGCCTTGGCGCGCTCGGCGAGCTCGGGGAGCCAGTCCTTCGTCTCGCCTACCATGACGAGGGTCGAGAGGGCCATACACCGCTGGCCGGCTGCGCCAAAGGCGGCACCGACGACCGCGTTAAGGAACTGGTTCTTGTTGCAGTCGGGGAGCACGGCGGCGTGGTTCTTGGCGCCGAGGTTGGCTTGCACACGCTTCCCGTTGGCGGAGCCGCGCGCAAAGATGTACTCGCCGGCCTTGTTGCCGCCGACGAAGCTGACGGCCTTGATGGCAGGCTCGTCGAGGATGAAGTTGACGGTGCGATGGGCGCCGTGCACGATGTTGACCACACCGTCGGGGAAGCCGGCCTTCTGGCAGAGCTCGGCCAGGATCATGGCCGCGCCGGGGTCGCGCTCGGAAGGCTTGAGGATGAGCGTGTTACCGGTCACGGTGGCGATGGGGATGCACCAGAGAGGGATCATGGCGGGGAAGTCTAGACCGGCAGGTTAGCACCTCCAATCCCATCACCAACTCCAGTATACCAAGACCTACTAAACGGGCAAATCGCAGCAACAACACCCAACGGCTCGCGGTACGTCCTCGTCTCCATATCCTTAGCCACCTCGAGCACCTCGCCCTTCAACAACTCGGGCGCACCGCACGCCGCCTCGGCGACCTGCAGACCGCGGAGCACGTCGCCCTTGGCATCGGCAAAGGTCTTGCCCTGCTCGAGCGTGATGCTCGCGGCGAGCCGGTCCCAGTTCTCGCGGATCAGGGCGACGAACTTGAACATGATCTGCTGGCGGTGCAGCACGCTGGTGGTGCGCCATGTCTCGAAGGCCTTCTGGGCCGAGGCGACGGCGGCGCTGAGCTCCTCGTCCGTGTTCTGCGGCACGCGGGTCACCAGGTTGTTGGTGGCCGGGTCGTGCAGGTCGATGAACTGGGTGGTGCTCGAGGGCACGAACTTGTTGTCGACGAAGTAGGGGGTGTTCTGGACTTCTGCGATCTTCTCGTGTGTGGTTGGGAAGCTGGTGGCAGTGCTGGAGAGCCCAGCGGCGGCCGACGCCGGACTTAGATGTTGTGCTGTGGCGTGTAACCTCCTCACCGCCGTTGACGAGGCGGGCTTTGTTGAGGGCGCCATTCTAGACGATGAGACGAGCAGGGCGGATCTGGGAGTGCTGGATGAGTGTACGAGGCGGCTGGTTGTAGCAGATGCTGAAGCAGCCCTCGTTGCTAGACGACGCATTGTGGTTTCGAGAAGACGGTGAGACTAGGTTCAGGCCGGTCGTTACTTGGTAGGTGGCAGTGGTTGGTCGGGGCGAGTTCGGACAAGGTTGGATTCAATACCGGGCTCTATAATTAACTCCCGAGCTGGGTTGGGATGAGGATGTGGGATTTGGGAATTGGCAATTGCCCCCTGTGGTTGGTTTCTCTCTCGGCGCAGCCCGTCCCTTCTACTTCCTAGTACTTAACGCAGGCACATTGCAGTGGGCGGCTCCTCCCCTTTATCCGATCTGCCGTTCTTGCTGTCGGCAACAGCGCGGGTATCGCTGCGAGTATCGGTCGTGGGGCAAGGGCGGCGAAGAGCGGCGAGCCGTGGATGCTCCAGCTTTCTCCGCAGTCCCCAAAGCCGCGTTCTGCCGACCGCCAATCGGGGGCCCCCAATTCGGTCGTTCGACTGGGGAAGCTCATGTGGAGCCCGCCGAGAGTCCGGGGAGGAGGAGCAGCACCGACCCGATTTGGGGTATCACGGGGCGTGCTCGGTTTGATGCGGAGGCACGACTGGAAAGGCGAGAAGGGCGAGGTTCCTGGGGTCGGGCCAATTCAACAGCAGAAAAGACTGCTTCATCAATCGGGAGCAAACATAAGACGTGTCCAATACTAACGCCTGTGTATTTTGGTCCTAGAATACAGATGCGCCGAGGGACTCCGCAGACCACGAAATAAGCAGAAGAATGAAGCAAAACTAAACGGCCTCTCAATCCGCGCCCGTAATCCTCAAAATTTGTTTGACTTTGACCGTGGCACGCTCTCGATTAAACCCCCGCACCAGGTCCTCCAACCCAAATCACCATCTACGACTGGCTCCGGGTGTTGCGCTTGGTCGCCTCCTTGGCGGTATCGGCGCCGGTGGCGGCGGCCGACGCAGCCTTGTCCTTCACATCCTTGGCCTTCTCCTTGACATCGGCCGCAACCTTCTTGGCGGCCGGAGCAGGGGAGGAACCGAGCCCGACAAGGCCAAAGAGGAGGGCGACGAAGGTGACGAAGAGGGCGGCAATACCACCGGCGATCTCGGGAACAAACTTGATAGCCTCAAGAGGGTCCTGCTTGGCGATGGTAAGGAAAAGGTCGAGCTTCTCCTGGATGTACGTCTTGGGGTCGTCGAGGAACTTGAGGTCGCTCGGCGAGTTGGGCTTCTCCGCCTCCTTGGGCTTGTCGGCCTCCTCGAGGGCCTTCTCGACGGGGTGCTTCTTGAAAAAGGTCTCATCTGCGAGCTTCTTGGCATCCTCGACGGAGTGGCCGACGTAGATGTTGTCAAAGAGGATGTCGTTCTGCATGGTCCAGATCTCAAAGCCAATCTACCGGAATGTCAGCAAGAATCATCACGGTGGGTGAACAAGAAGCGACTTACAGCGCCAATAGGCTCAAAGTTGGCGGGGTGCTTGTCCTCGAAGTAGTCGGGGTTCTTGATCTGGCGCGGAGCCCAGACACCCTTGTAGGCCGGGTTGTCAATGTACGGCGCAGTCCACTTGCCCTTGTAGTCGGGGTTCTTCTTCATCGGCTTGGTCCACGGGCCACAGCCAGAGACATCAGCGCACTTGGGGTTGGCCACGGTGGGGGCAATCCAGTCCCCATCCTCCTCGTCATCCCAGTCCTCGGGCTTCTGAGCCTCGGGGTCGGCGATGGTCAGGGGCTCGTCAACGAGCCAGTCCTCGGGCTGGGTAGCCTCCTCGTCGACGATCTCGTACGGGGCATCCTCATCCCAATCCTCGGGCTTCTTGGCCTCGGGGTCGGCGATACGGGCCTCGTCAACCCAGTCATCGGGCTTCTTGTCCTTGGGGTCGTCGATCTCCTTGGCGGGGTTGACCGCGGGGGTGAAGTCCTCGAGGAGGCTGCCCTCCTTGACCTGCTCGCCGTTCTGCTCGATGACGTACGTGTTGTCGGGGTGCACAATGAGCGTGTACAGCTCCGTGGTCTTGACGATCTTGGCAGCGGCCGGGGCGGTCAGGTGCTTCTCCTCGTACTCGCCCGTCTTGGGGTTCTTGTGGTTGAAGATGAAGTGGACCTTGTTGGTGTGGCCGCACTTGTCGGGGCCGAACATGATGACGTACGGCGTCGTGTTGGAGAACTCGTCCTGATGCAGGGCCTTGGTGTCCCTCAACAGCTTCATGTAGGCACCACCGCACTCGAGGCCATCTGTAGCGCGCGAGTCAGCACTGTGACGCGCGGCGATATGGGCATGCGGGAAAACTTACTCTGCAGCTTGACCTCGTACTGGACCACCAGGTCCTTACCCTTGGGGTCAATCTTCTTGGGGAACTTGGCCGAGATGGCGTGATGGGCAGCGGGGTTCTTGATGACAAGACCTTTGTCGCCCTCCATTCCCTTGTAGACGGTCGGCTCCTCGACGGCCCACTCGCCGACGTATGCCCATTCCTCGTCACCCTGAACATCCTTCTTGGCGTGCGAGGGCTTCCACCGCGTCTCCCAGTCGTCGGTGAACTGCTCGAGGAAGGGGGCCTTGAGCTTGGAGGGCTGGATCAATGCGCGTCAGCAAGGCTGTCCGGTTATTCGCCCTGCTAATGACCCTAAGGTCCAACCGACAGAGCCGGGCAAGGCTGCGATTGTAGCCAGAAAAACGGAAGAGGAAAACTCACGGTGAAGGTCGGAAGCTCGGGGGCAGCCTTGGTGGCCGACTCAGCGACCGAGCTGGTCTCGTCCTTGAGCACCTTCTGCTCGTCGGCGTTTACGCCACCAGCCAAGAAGGCTGCGCTGGCGGCAGCGGCAGCGACGTTGAACTTCATTTTGAGGGACCGAGTGCTATCTCAAGCGGCTCAGTAGACCGATGAATTGAAGTGCAATGCAAGAGGCGAGAGGTTGATGAGGAAAGGAAGGGATGTCTCTGCAGACAGACAACACGATGGGTTGGGCAATGGATATCGCTTCCAGAGCTCAAAGAAAAGAGAAAATCGCCGGGCGTGTGGCAGGCAGCTGGCGTGGTGAATTTGAAGCTCGGGCAGGCGATTTCTGACAACGTGTCTTTAACAAAGCGCTGAGCTTGACCTCCAGCTCCTGCGACAGTGGGACTGCGGGGACACATGGGGTGCCAGGCCGGCCAAACAGCGGGCCTGCCGAACTCCTTGGAACCTTCCGTCTGATTGGACTGCCCTGGCCGATATCTCATGCAAACACCCATCAACAGCACGCCACGGCCATCCAGCAACGGGCTTTCTTTGGGTTTGTGTGTATCAATTGCATACAGAAGTTCTTTCTACTTGTTATTTGGAACCTTACATTCCCAATTGGCACGTGTGTCTTTATTTTTGAGATTCCAATGGCAACAAAGCCGGAAGGCCCGGAGCAACATCAAACCCATCCAAACAGATAACACGCCTGCAACCAGGGCCCCCATATGATTAGACTTTAGCATTACACAGTAAGCGGGACATGAAACTGTATTCCGACACTATCACGGCAACCACTTGAATATATGTAGGAGGACACGGATAGCCAAGTACTATGATCGCAGGGCTGCCCTGTAGGTGAGGTGGCTTGTCCGCTGAGTCAAAGGCAGCTCCTCGGTTTCTCGCCCGATTCGTTTTCTCCAGCATCTCGGGAGGGAGTTAACTCAGAACAGTGCACATAAACCCCAGCGCCTAGCAGCAGACCAGAATCAAAAGAGTCTTGATTGATGCCCGCGAGAGCCTCTCAGCCGGCCTCCAATCCTTCTTCCAGAGAACAAACAAAAGACCACGTGGAGGAACAGTTAAAGGGCAATGTGTTCCATCCAATGTTCCATGAAATGTCCCGGGTGGAGTCGCTGCAATCCAAAGTCAAGCAGTGCCGGAGCAGCGCATTCGAGTGCACGCCGCATGTGCTCCCGCTCCGCATGCCAAGTGGAGGCACCTTCCGGAACCACTCCGCAGATGCGAGCTTCCCTGTCGTCAATTTAGCCCCAAATAGCCTCATGTCGCGATTCGAAACTGCCGCCTCTTATTAATATTTGCCGACAACTGAGGACAGACAGCATCGACAGCACCCATTTTGGAAAGAGGACACCTTGAGTGTTTCGGCCGTAAGCAGTCAGCAGAAAGCGCTAGGACCACATCGCTACCGAACACGCCGCCGACAAACCCGGACCGAGACCGGCATGACCCCGCCATCCAACGGCCAAGCGGCCGAGTCCAACGATCACCTCGTCCAGTCTGATAACCCAGAGCACCCGGCGAACCTGATCCCCTCGCTCTGCGCTAAGTTTTGGACACTCGGCTGGGTTACTGGCACTGGAGGAGGGGCCTCGATCCGCGAAGAGTACGTGCACCTAGCTTATCACCACCTGAGGTACCCCGCTATCAAACCTTGGGGACACAACACTGATTATCGGTTAACGATAGTGACCTCGTCTACATCGCACCCTCGGGCGTCCAGAAGGAGTTGATGAAGCCTTCGGATATTTACGTACTCTCCCTCGCAGCCCAAGCGCAATCCCTCGACCGGCGAAACCGGGTCTACCTGCGCAGCCCGCCCAGCTACAAGCCGAGCCAGTGCACCCCCTTGTTCCTGGCTGCCTTCACGAAGCGGCGCGCCGGCTGCTGCATCCACACGCACTCGCACTGGGCAGTGTTAGTGACGCTGATCCTCGAGACGCAGGGCGCCGGGAAGGACCGGGAGTTTCGCATCAACAACATTGAACAGATCAAGGGATTCGGCAAGGGCTTTGAGAAGAGCGGGAACTTGGGATACCACGACACGCTGGTAATTCCGGTGATTGAAAACACCGCACACGAAGAGGACTTGACCGAGTTCCTCGAGGAAGCGATGGATAAGTATCCGGATACCTACGCCGTGTTGGTGAGGCGGCATGGTGTATATGTGTGGGGTGACAATGTGCACAAGGCGAAGACGCAGTGCGAGAGGTACGGCTCCCTTACATTCGCAAGCAAGGGAAAGCCTCCTGACATGCAGCAGCCTCGACTACCTCTTTCAATTGGCCGTCGAGATGAAGCAGCTCAACCTGCCGTGGATAACCGACATCGAGCCGGTGACGCCGCGGAAGCCGTAGCAGAATCCAAACCCGGCTCCCAGCAGACTACCACAGTACCACATCTCACACGGAGCGAATTGAATGCGTCACCCATCCTCAGTGTCATGGCATGCATTTAATTACCATCAATTCAAACCTGCAAAGTTGCACAGCCTAACTACCCAATACCGATTACCTAGGCCCATTACACCTTCACAAGAAGCCCCTCCCACCCCGAGAACACATCCCTTCCATTGATAGCCCAAACGTCATACCCAAAAACTCAAAAAAGCCTTTCCTTACAGAGCCATGACAGCGGCCACGAGCCCGAGAACACCGACGACACCCGAGGACGCGCCAACCAGGGAGGCGGCGCCAGTCGACTCGGACGGCGAGGGCCCGTCGGAGGTCTGGGTGCCCTCGCTGTCGTCGGTGCCGGTGGCGTCGTCGTTGCCGGTGTTGTCGCCGTTGCCGCTGTCGTCGTTGCCGCTGTCATCGTTGCTGTCGTTGCTGTCGTCGCTGTCGCCGTTGCCGCCGGTGCTGGCGCCGCCCGTGGGCTGCGGGGTGCCGGCCGACGGGGTGTAGTAGTTGGCGCCGATGCAGTCGCTCACGCACTTGGTGTAGGCGTTGTTGTCGGCCTCGGTGCCCTCGCCGATGGGGCAGGCGGCAACGCAGTCGTTGGTGGCGTTGGCCTGGGGGAAGTACGATTAGTTTACATGTTGTTTGGTTGGGGGGGGGGGCAAGCGTGGTAGGGGGTTGGCATACCTGCGAGTCGTTGGGGAAGGGGACGGAGGTGCACTTGGCGCGGCAGTTCACGTCCTTGGGGTCGCAAGCATCGAGGCAGCGGAGGACCTCAGCCTGCGCAGAGCTCTGGGCAGCCCCGGCGCTGCTCACAGTCGTCTGGGCGTTGGCGAACAGCGCAAGGCCGGCGGCGACGAAGATGGAGGTGACACGCATGTTGGCGGTGTTGTGGTATTACAGATATTAAGTGTGTAATTGGTGTGTGTGTGAGCAAGTGATGCTTCAACGAGTGTGTAATATGGAACACGATATGAAAGACGGGAGAGGTGACAGGTGAAAGAAGACACAGAGAAGGTTGAGGATGGTGGGATCAAAACAGGAGGAGAGAGGAATTTGAATTCCTCGCTGCGGTCCGGGCTGGGCATTCTTATCCGTTTTCCCATCCCAAGGGAGACCAGACCATCAGGGAACGCCCTCGGGCGTCTTCCGGAAGCTGGCGCCGTGCAAGGAGCGGCTGGGTCACTTCCCACCCGCATTCTGCTGCCGCGGTACATACCATCCAATCGTCCAGAGCGTGCCAACCGCGCCATTCCGTCCCCACTCCCAGAATAAACACGAGGGGTGGGATCCTCCCTCCTCGGTCCCATTCGTGCCACAGAGGCACAGCAACGGGCATGCGGGCTCAACCGAGCAAACGAGATCGCAAGGAAACCCAGGGGGAGGCGTGGGAAACGTCGAGATTTCTTGTTTACTGTCGTGCGACATTCCTATTCCTCCCCCTCTCATCCGTCCGCATTCTCAGCTTTCCTCGAGGATATTTACAATTTACACGAAACGCCGAGTGCTACCTGAGCAGTTCTGTCAAGAAAACCGCATCTCCTCGCCTTTCCTGCGAGCCTGCTCCGAGGGGCGAAAAAAAGAAACCATGGCGCGCTTGTTTAAGATTGCGATAACTCAAATCCCAGCACCACGCTCTGGTCAGCCCAAAGAGTGGAAAGGAGTGGCAGTCGCCCGATCTGGCCCTCCGATCATTCTGGGCACCAATCATGACGCGGGATTTCGCGTAACAGGCTCCAGGGAAAGAAGACTTGGCGCCCACGGCCCAGCAACCACAGCGCCGTGCAGCCTGGCGAGCCTGGGGACAGCCCGGGAAACACCCCTGGAGGCGCGATGTCATCGGTCGCAAGGGAAGATGGAGGGGACGCCGGTTTTTATTCCTTTGGTGGCACGCACGGATCCATGGCATGGGAACCTGAAGCTCCTCCAAGCCATGGAGATTGTGGAAATGTGTGGTTGTATTCTGCGCTTGGGTGCCTGTGCTCGTGTGGAAGGAGCAAACACCCCGGCTGCTGGCCACACACTTTCTTGATCACAAGCCATCAATTTGATCTATTCGTGTATTTTCCTTTTTTCGGTCGCACCGGTCAGGATGTGGATCGGCCATCATCATCCCCGGCCGTTGCCTCTCCATTTTTGAGCCTTCTCGAGTCCAGAGCCGACGTTAACTCACAACGGCCGAAACAAACAACACCAACAAGAGATGAGACGGATGGATCTAGCCTCTAAACTAGCGCCTCGGCACCGTCCAAAGTTACTTCGGTGGCTTTCTTCCCTCAGCTGCAGCCTTCTGACCAATGACCTCGGCCGGTCTTGACTTGTCTCCTTGTGCCCAAGACGACCAGTGCGAATTGGTCGGGGGATCGTCGATCCACACGACGACGGTGAACACCACGACGAGTCGTCTCATGACAGAATCCGTTGGTGATTTGTCTCGGGCGTTGGTTCATTAGTTATATTATTGAGGAAGTCAATCACGCTATCACACAACTAGCGTGTTTGTCACCAAACCACATCAAGAGGTGGCTGGTAAATTGAGTCTGAGGGCAGATTGGTGACTCAATCAGCCTCAACATCGGACAAGCCTCCGTTCGGCATCATAATCGGGCATGCACCCATCATCATTACCGTTCTCCTCCAGGCCCGGACCACAACCGTAACAGCGCGCGAGATGGATCTAACCCATGTCCAAAAAACAAACCGCCTCCCCTGCATTTCGCCGTTGAGACGACTGCACCTCCGCGAAGTCGCGGAGGAACCGGCACCGCCGTCTTCCGCCGACCGGGGAAAGCGGTCACGAGAGTTGCTGGCGCTTTCTCACGAACTAGCGTGATGCCGCGGCCAGGCCCGAGGACATGGCGGTCGGGGCGGTCGCATGTCGAGTCATCCTTTGACGTGGTGCGAAAGAAGACCCAGGCGGCGTTGAACTATGCCCTGGTCACTCCGCTGGCAATCTTCGGAAACTCTGGAGCTCCCCGCCGGGTAGTGGAAGAAGTGTGTCGTCCGAGAGCGAGGGTGGGCCCGAAGAGACAGCATTCCCTGCGGAGGTTGTGGGTGGGATCGTCGGTGTGGGCGTTTATCACGAGACATCCGACTCGGAAGTCGTTCGTTGCTTGTTTGCCCTGATGTTGACTTTGCCGAAGAGCGGGACAAGGATGGTCGGACATTTCGAGCGCAAAGACCAACACAGCACTGGATTACGACATGAAATGCTGCAAAAACCTGCAGAGAAAACGAACAGCTCCACTTGATACGAGGGGGTTCAAAAGAGACCGCTCTTCCTGCTTTGACATTTCACACGCCGGGCGGCACTCGTCCGTGTCAATTTCGTCTGTCCAAGCCACACCCTGTCTCGGTCACCGCCGGGGCAAGGGACAGCATGGTGATTCCGGCTTGCCGACACTGGAGACCGCGAGGAAAACAGGGAAAAGCAAGCTGGAATACACAGAATTTTCTAGCATTGTCAATGCATTGTCTCGTTCTCCAAGCGTGAAGCAAGCCAATTTCCAGGCTCACGGCAACAAAGCGGGGGACCGTTGTCAACTCCACCGCCCCATACTTTTGTTCATGGGCCCCTGTGTTCGCGATCTGGTCGGTCCGCTCCACATCGGGCCGGTCGTTCGAGGCCGAGTGGTATCAGTCTCACCGGGCCGGGGACAGTCAATGGGGAGGTTTCGCACGGGTTCTCCCTCCAACTTGATCCCCAGTGAATTCGAGAATCGGCTGGCTTTTGGCATCCCCAGAATGCCCTAGCCGACAACTCTGGAGTTGCCATCAACCCATTCATGGGCCGGGAATCAGATGGAACATACGAATGTGGTGCGGGGAAGCCTCCAGGTTGGGGCCCGGCTGCCGCATGTGAGATGGTGGTTGTGGATACCGTTAGGATCGCGTCAAGGCGGCTTTCCCGCCGTCTCAACGATTTCCCCCCCGGAGCAACGGGCAGCCTCGTATCGGGTCAGCTCAGGAGCAGCGTGAAGCTCTCTAAGGCGGCGAATGCTCACAGCCCTAGATTTCTCTAGCCGACGCTATTCGAGCGCTCGCGGGGATGGTGATGATTCACGCATGGAATAGACGCCTTCAAGTTGGCGGGAGCCGCTATCCTCGGACGCCACGGTTCAGACGAGCTCGGCACTCCCAGCCTCCACCAGCGGCTTCGCGTCGGCCCACCGCAGGATCACGATATCGCTCTCCTTCAGATCCGCGGACGCATCCGTGTCGACGCCGCGGCCCTCGACGGGCGTGTCCTTCAGCGCGCGGATAAACACGGCCGACTCGAGGTCCGGCGTCTCGATCATGCTGATGCCGGCGGCCGCGTCGTTCAGGTTCTGCAGGTTGGCCGGGAACGACGACAGGAAGGACGAGAGGTAGTGGTTGTGCAGCAGGGCCTGGTGGCGGGTCGCGTAGGCCAGCTCCATCTCGGACAGGCGGGCGCGCAGGTCGTCGGTCGACAGGTAGTGCAGGGTGTGGCGGTCGATCTTGGCGATGCGGGCGCGCAGGTAGCTGCGCACGAGGTAGCGGTAGCGCTCGAGCTCGGTCTGGATGACGATCAGGGCGAAGTTGGTCTTGGGGTCCATGTCGCCCGTCATCTCCTCGACCTTCTCGATCTGCCGCTTGATGTTGTCGTTGATGCGCTCGAAGAGGCCGTCGGCCGGCCAGCTGTGTGTTTCATGTTGAATCAGCGCGTGTTGGGAGCGAAGGGGTCGAGAGCTTGAGGGGCATACGGCAGGAGCTCGGGCGCAGATCTCTCGGCGATCCAGGCGCGGGTGAGCTCTTGGAGATCGCGCTTTTCTTGTGGAATGGTGTGGAAGGTCGGGTCTACCTCCCGGAGAATGTCGTCGATATCCATGGTGGCCGCTGTGAGCGAATAACTAACGCAAAATGGCCGCTTTCGTTCGAACAAGGATTTTGTGGAAGTGCACAGATGCAATATGCAACTGGCAGCCCTTGTCGAGCTGATGGCCAAGTACCTCATGCGCGTTTCTGTTGTCGCGCTGAACGCGGGGCATTCGGTGGGGGTTGCTGGCTGCTGAGTGGTCCCGACAATTGGCCGCCAGCCCTGTCGATGAGACGCTGCGGCAACACACCGATTTGGAGTGCCTGCCAAGTGCCGCCTCTTCCCTGCTTCCCGAGACTTCATCCCATATCCAGTCTTTTTACTGCATTTGGACTGAAACAAACTGTCAGCGAGCTTTTATTTTCTATCTCGTGTCATCATTTAATATTCATTCAATTCAATGGTACATACAATCACCACCGTAGAACTTCCCAGCGGGCCGTTCTTTTAACACAACCTCCAAATTTCTATCGGGCACATCGGGCTTGTTCTTCAGCCCAATGCTCCCCGCCCGCTCCCACAGCTGCGAGCTCCGGCGATGACGGCTGAAGAAGTTCTTCTTATTCCGTGGGCGATTCGACAGTTCGACAGCCCCGCGTCAGCTACACCCCCGTCGATCACAACCAGTCAAGCGATGGTTGGGTTCACAACTTCTCCGAAATCCCGACGGCCTGCATCAATGGCTGTCTGTCCGATCTAAAGAAGGGACAAGGAAAGGCAGAGGAAGGCCAGCCTCTCTGACCCCCTCGCTTGACCCCTGCCTCAAACCCACGTTATTGGTCATTGTTCGCTCGGGCCTAAGTGGTGCCCGCCATTCCGGGTTGTTGTTGCGCAGCTGAGAAGTCGGTGTATGCGTATGGTCTGCACGCCGCCACATGTCTTGGTCCATGATTTGTTGTCTGACGCGGTGAGCGAGGGGAGCGAAGGCTCTGTATGTAGAATGGGGAGGGATCGTCCTTGAGCCACACCCCTCCGTCAGCTTCCCTGATGACATCTAGCCTGTCCTTGACGTAAGTCGTTTGCTCTCCTCATGGAACCACATCATGATCCGGCATCATCGCCATGACTCCTGTCCAGGCCCGGCTGGCTGCTGTCATTACCACCGTCCTAGCATTCGCTACCTGTCCAGCCTCGTCGTCTATACTGAGACATATATTCGAAACGAGCCTGTCTCTTGCGCCTGGTGCAGATACCCGGTACCACAAGACTTGGTTGGACCCAATTCCCGGGACCGAGCCTTTGTTTGGTCGCCAGGAACGCACCCTGGACGTAGGGAGGAGAGACTGCCTCGCTAACGGCTCCAACTACTGCTTCGGTAACGATGTTGACTTCTGCCCCAGCTGTGGAAACTGTTGCGTCGATGGGGATTTCTGCTGCGGAAGCGGGAAGGTGTGTTGCGGATCTGGTTGCTGTTCGAGTGACCAAGCATGCTCCGAGGGGAAGTGTCTCGCTTCAGTGTAAGTCAAGTGTATCTGGGCTGCCACAGGAATCCTAGGCCACCAAGTTGACAAGCCAAGGGAAACCGTAACGGTTACGTCGACTGTCGACCAAACCACCACACACATTGCGACACAGCGAGCCACCATTTTCATAGCCGAGGTTGAAACATCAACGATTCTGTCTACCACCGATGTCACCATCTCAACCGCGGCCACGCAGACCAGCGTCGTGTGGGAGACGACAACCGCCGTTGCAAAAAGAGCTGTCACCAGACCCCAGTCGAGTAGAGACAGCCAGCCATCAACCTCGGGGTTCTCGATCCCCACTGATTCCACCCCAATCCCAAAGGAAGCGAGGCAAGAGGCCACTCCTACGGTGACCGACTATGTCACTCAAACGATTGATGTCACGAGCATATCCTCCGTCATGATTACCGTCCATACAACTTCAACGGAAGTGGCAACAGTTTATCAAACAAACACTCAGTGCGTCTTAAGATCCCAAGATCCTCTTCATGTCCAGACCAGCCGTGATGGGTCCCGCCTAGCACAGCTATGCTCACACCCCCCCTAGCGTTCTCAAAGCAGAAACAACAACCACCATAACCTCCACTATCACACTCACCTCCCACCCACCCACGACCGTCACCCTCACCGAGACGGCCAGCCTCATCCCTTCACCCACCGCATCCGAAACTAACCAACCCACCTCTTCATCTTCCGCTGCACCAAACTCACTCCCAACCCCAGCGATAGCCGGCATAGCAGCAGGAAGCAGCGTCCTCGCCTTGCTCCTAGCCGGGTTCATCATCCTCTCCATCCGCCGCCGCTGCGGTGGGGCTTTCCGACGAGAGGGAAAAAGACGACCCTCCACCGAATCCGTCACTCTCGACTATTTCCAGCAGCAATACCACCATCACCACCACCAACCCCTCCACTCCGACGAGGACGCAACTCTCTACCCCGGAACCGGAACCGGAACCGCCACCCGAAGCCGTAGCAGCACCCACACCGGCACGCGAACCAGCACCGGGCTCCGCCCCAGCCTCGGCTCAAGACAACCCACCATACCAAATGTCCTGCCACAATTCGCCACCGTCACGGCCGCCGCCGCCGCCCACCACGACACCGAGTACACGCTCCCCGTCTCGGCCACCTCCATTCCCACCACCCCCACCAGCCCCGCCGCTGCCAGTACCGGCGCTTATGGCAAAGGCAACGGGGGCGGGTATCTAACCGCCCACCCGGAGCAGTACCAGCATCAGTACAAGCAGCACCACGAGCGCAACGCCTCCGGACTGACAACCCTCGTCGGCACGCCGTCACCTACAGCACCAGTATTTGCCGTGCCGGCCGGCGGGAAGGGGGTGGAGGAGTACACGCATCATCTGCAGACGCAGAAACAGAAACTCGCGGGTATGCCGGAGATGCCGGGAAGTCCCGTCGGTAGCAGCCCCGCAGGCAGCCCGGTCGGCGGTCCGGTCGGCAGTCCGGTCGGCAGTCCGATTGGCAGTCCGGGGAGGGGGTGGGTGTATCAGGTTGAGGTTGGGGATGGGGGTAGGCGGAGTCTGGGCGCCGGTGGTGGTGGTGTGGGTGGTGGTGGTGGTGTTGGTGATGTTAGTGGTGCGCGGCAGAGGGCGTATTCGTCGCCTTCGGCGGCGGCGGTCGCTCCTCCCCCTCCAGCTGCCGCTGCTGCTGGGGTTGCGCCGCGGGTTCCGGCATGGCGCTATCAGAGGGGTCGGGCGGTGACGGTGGGGGAGCTGGCGGGGGATGTGGTTGCGATAGAGTTGGATGGGGATGGCGGGCGGCGGGGTTGAGGGGGGTTGTCCGTTATGTGGTGTGGGGTGTGAAGAAGTTGTGGCGTACCTCCTCCTGGCTGGCCATTAGCGAACTCTCGTTTTTGTTTTTGTGTTCATTCTTTCCCGGCGTTCATCTTTCGTTTTGCCTTTTTAGATACCCCGGGATGACTTTCGTTTAGAGCGGGCAAGGAGGCGGCTGGGCTGGTTTATAACTAGATGGGTCTGGTTTGACGATGCCCGTATTGGCACATCTTCTATCGGATAACTAGGCAGTTAAGGATGGAGGGGACGCCTGCAGAGCGGCCGAGGACGGCCAAGACAAATCGTTCAATGGGACAGGGGATGGTTAGAATATGGTATACACTCGCTTGAAGCAGGACTCAAGCTGGGGAGGGGTTTTACATCGCTGGCGTTGACATTGCTTCGTTTTTGGAGTCTGATAGATAGATACCCTCGTTTTCAGCAGCGCATACTTCATTCGAGAACACGGCGAAAGCCAAGCCGAATGGCTTTTATTACGTCGTTCCTCAGAACCTACTGCCCTTTGGATGCAAATCACCGCCCCGTCGTGAGACCCCAAAAACATGAGAAGGTATATACCACCGTTCCTGCAGTTCATTACAATATACACTATCGTCACCACACATTGTTCCTCTTTTCTCCTTCCTCGTTGGTATCCAAAGTTGATTCGGGATCCCAAGCACAGCGTTCCTTTTCCAAACCTGGATAGTCCATACATCACCGCTCGTATTTCGGCAACGGCTCCTCCGGCTCTGCGATATTCCTCGGTGCTGGTATTGGCAAGGTATTTGCTCCGGCCGTACCGTAAGCGTAATGCAGCCCATAGGCGTCCTCATCCTCCAGCACGGGGGCCGAAGGTTGCAGATCGTGGCTAGTGGGAGCACTCGGCTCGGCTGCTGGTGCTGATGCCGCGGCGTTGCTGCTCCCCCCGGCGTCGTAATCCTCGGGGCACTCGGGCGGCGCGCCGGCTTCGGCAAGCAGCCGGCGTCTCTCGAGCTCCTGCTTATCTTCATTCGTATGGACGTCGGTGGCGGGGGAGAGATCCTCAAGCGCTGGTGCTGACGGCGCGTCGAGATGATCCTCTCGCGTTGGATTAGACGGTTGTGGGTCATGCGACGGGCCCGCGACAGGCGTTAATATTTGGTCGTCGGCGTCATAGATGTTCTCGCCGTTGGCCAGATGTGAACTGGAATGGTCTGCAGCGGGGGCTTCTGGTGGCTGGCTGGGGAGCAGTCGCTGCTCGGCACGTCTGATGCGCTCTTTGTCGGTGAGATGGATTTCATCTGGGATATCTGGAGGAGGGATGTAGTGGGGAGCAGGTGAATGCTGCGGCGAAGAGGTTTCCCAGTAAGGGTAAGGTTGAGGCGGTTGGATGTGGGGTGACGGGGCGTAGTCCTGAGGGTAGTCATCTGGCGGGTAGCCGTTGCTGTCCTCGGGAGCATTCGACCATGTTTGTTTCTCGTTCATATCGCCATCGTACATATCAGTTTCCTGGACTGGCACGGTGTGGATAAAAGACTCCGGCCTCATCGGCCCTTTCGCGCGCAGTCGACTGCTGTCTGCTGTCCCCACGACGACTTCAAACACAACACAGATGACACCCTTTTGACGTCGGAGCCTGTCTGTGTCGATGATGCTCGTGTTCCAAGAGGTCATGGTGGCGGGACCGCTTTCGTACGGATTGCCCGTTAGGCCGAGGGGACCCGCCACGGGACTCACTCTGGTGCCAGACGGCTTGATGCCGTGTATTTGATTAGCCAGCTTTCCACCCAGATCGACAATCACCTCGACATGGTACTTGAACGAGATCATTTCGTACGGAGCGCCTTTGATGGTGGGAAAGACATCTTCAGGCACCCGCACCGAGGCGGTGAGACTCGCAGTGAGAGTGTCCGGGTCGATAATCAACGGGGCAAAGGCCTGTGACAGGTCCTTTCGGAACACGCTGCAGGAACCTGCCGAGGATAGAGAGAGACCGCCCAGTCCTGTCTTGGACCTAGGGTAGTACTCCTCTTTCTCCAGCCGCCGAGCGTCAGCTTCGGGCAGCTCTTTGGAGAGCAACGGCGGCGACGAATCTATGCGCCCCAACCTGTATAGGGTGACGATGACACCGTGCATGCTCTTGATCCGTCTGATGTGCTGCACAGATATCTTGATCGGCACCATGTCTCCCCGAAGGCAACCACCTTTTGGTAGCTCAACGGTTGCTGTGATCGTCCGTTCCTTCACAGCGGGGGTTTTCTTCCCGGCGAGCGAAGGGGCCGCGGCTACCGCATAGTTTGCATCTCCAACTTTGCTTTGACTAGTGCTGCCACTAACGGCGCTCTCGCTACTCACACTCCGAACGTCGCTTTGCGGGCTTCGAGGATTGTTGCCTGTCAGCTCCTGTTCTAGGTCTTCGCCGATCACGGATAAAGAGCCTTCGGTGGAGTTCTCGTTCGCCCGAGCGGAGTCGGGATCAGACGTTGGCGCGGTTGCGTCCGTTGTGACGGAACCCTTTTCTGCACTGAGGGCAGCCTGCTTCTTCTTTTTGGGCCGTTTGGAGATGGGCTCGAGGTAGATAGTACGCGGCCGTGGTGGGGCTAGGGATCCAATGTCGAGCTTCTCAACGAGGTAGAGTTTTCGCTCGCAACTCGTTTTAGGCGGTGTTTTGGTGCCTATGGATGTCGGACGCGTCAAAGTCGCCGTGATCATGTAGGATATGGTCCCACGCTCGAACTGTACCGATACAGGTTAGCGACTTAAGAAAACCGGATCCAATAGTACCCGCAGAGCACGTACATCAATACTGCTCGGTAACCCACTTGTTGGGAAGAGGAGGTTGAAATTGAACTCGTATTTGCCCGGCTCGAGCCTCCCATCGCCGCTGAGGGTCTGCTCATCCTGGAACAATCTCACGCAGCCGTTGCCAAGATTTTTATGACGCGAACTGCGGCTCGACGTGGTCAAAGCCTCAGCGGGATCAATTATGGGTTCGTTCGAGGGTATGTTTAGGCCCTTGTAGACGCGCATGTGGCCGTGGAGCGACACGACCAGGTGTGTGATGCGGACGGGCTTGACGACAGTCAGGACAACGGCGCCCTGTACCTGGTCACCCGCGCCATACTTGCGATGGGGCTCGGCCGGGCGGATGTGGAAGTCGGCAACGTAGCGGGCACGCGACCGGAGGGGCAGGGTGAAACGCGAGAAGAACGAGAGGCTGCTGTTCGACGACGGTTCCTGGGAGGCAGACGCGGACGCGGGGGCAGGGTCGGCGGCGCGGTTGTCGGCTGGCTTCTTCGAGAAGCCCATCTATGCTTGTTGCCTTGGCAAACAAACGAATATGCAAATGCGGATACGTGTTTGGCACGTTCGGGAAGCGGCGTCTGCGAGATGGGAGGGGGGGGGCGACTGGTCCAGCGATCGGGATCGGGTTCGAGCGTCGGGTGCTGGGTGGCCGCGTCGACCGGTGCCCATGCGACACGGGAAGGTCGGGCAGAGTCCAACAAGGGCGCGCACGCGTACGATGGGTCGGGCTGCGCGCTGGCGGCGTCCGACCGAGTCGGGATCGCGATAGCAAGCTCGAGAGCGGGACCAGAAGAATGCAAAAGCCAAGAGATCGTGGATGAGATGAAGCTTGGGGGTTGCATATGCCAAGGCTAGACAGGCTGACTGCTTGGCTTTTGCCAAGATGACAGGAGAATCGTGGGGAGCGGCCAGAAAAGGTGGAGGATGCTCAGGTCGAATAAGACAGGAACGGCTTGCTGGGGGCTGCGCGGGGTCCTGGTCTGCGGGAGGCTCGGGGCTCTCCGCTGGGGCACCGTTTGGGACGCCGAGGACGGCCTGGAAAAGCTTGACTCGGGCTGATCCAGGGGCTCCAACCTGGTCTTCCATTTGTGGGCGACGAACGAACGAATGTCCATACAGATCATGTCCACTACTATCCGGGGAACGCCGGTGGCTTTTACGCGCACCAAATGGCATGATGACGTTCCGGATTGCACATACACACATATGTACACACACACACACCCGTCGCATCTATGTTCCATTAGACGGAATAATGGGTTGCGTTCTGGTCTGACACCAAATGCCCGCGCACTATTCACCCGATTTAGCGGTCTGGTGGTTGGTCTGCATGCTGAGTGCTGCTCGCGTGGAGAAATTAGGAGGGACACACTGCACGAACTGCCCGGCACCGAACTAGGTTGTCGGTCTGCATGGTGTTATTATTAATAACGTTAACTAGCCGAAGCTTGAGGGTTCCGTTCCCGTCTTCCACTTTGTCGGGTGTCTCGGAGCATAGGTTGGGTTCTCTCCTCGGCCATCTCAGGTAGGCACCTAGGTAACTACTGTGTAGGCAGGTACCAACAAATCGTCCTGCCGGGCAGTGGTGCGGCCAAGGTACCTGAGCTGTGAAGAGAAATAACCCGACGGGATTGCAGCTTCCGAGTTTTCATTTGAAAAATTTGATGGTGTGAGCCAGATGTCGCCGAACGAGCGAGGGAAGGTGCTCACCTCACTCTGTATGTACTGTGTACACAGTATGTGCAGTGTCAGCACCCCTAGTGGGAACCGAGCTCCCGAACTAGCCCCAAGTGGGACTGTTTTTCGTGCTGAGGTTGGAACCGACACGCCCCCAACCCAGGTCCACCCGTAACTCTCCCTCCAACTTCCACTCTCAGCTATTTTTATCACCGACCGACCACACAGTACGTGGCTACCTGCATATTGAGGCCTGACAACTGTGATCATGCATTCGGTTGAACATGGTATTTAAGCAACGAGGCAAACCATCACCAAAATGAGAGACATCACCGAGCTGCCTCGTGACATTTTCCTCTTTATTATTTGGTATCTCTCGCCTCGCGCTTGCGTACGCTCCCGCGCCGTTAGTCGCCGATGGTACGCCGCCTTCACGAGCGAAGATATCTCACTGCTTCTCTTGCGCTGGAATATTCCCCGGTGTCGTGAATTACGTTTAGCTGCTGCTGTCGCATCAGGGTCGATCTTGTCGGCCAAACTCCCCGCAAATGTGAAGGCCGAACTCGAAGATATTGCCGAGCATCCCTACAACTGGTCGTCGACCTTCGCCGAGGTGGCTCGCCGATATCACTATTTGAATAAAGGTCGTCCACGGGTCGTTGAGAAGCTCGAGTTGGCCGCGAGTAGCCAGGAACATGGGTCCATCTTCTCGTTTTGGGGCGTCGCACATTGGAACCGGTTCCTGCGCGTGAGCTACGGGACTTGTAACTTCCATTACCCTGATCCGGTCTGGTGGTACAGCCAGGAAGACGGAGTGTTGGTGTACCCAGCCGCCTTGGAAGTCCCGCCAGATCGTTGTGACGGGCGCATTTATCATATCCTCGACCTCGCCACTGGCCAACGGGTCCCTGTTCCCTTTGACGTCCGCGCAAGGCACGTTCGTCGAGTTCGGTTAGCCCAAGGGGTGCTCATTTTTGAGTGGGCAGAAGCACTGCCATACCACCAACTAAATGACCGAGAGGTCGTGCATCGCCATTTTGTCACGGCTTACGACGTCATTCGCAAGCCCTCCGGCCTTGCCGCTGGAAGAACATGGGCAGTCGAGTTCCGTTCCGAGTGGAAGCTGCATTTTCTCGGCTTGCCCCTGAACCGCTCTGATCGCTTCTTCTCGGCACACACCGCCACCCACTACGCCGTGTACTTCTGGCAACCTAACCGCTCACTCTATCAGGATGATCCTATCGAGCAGCTGGCTGTTTGGGATATCTCGTCGCCCAGCCCGTACCGACCATCAGAAGATCCCCACGGCGGCAAGCGGCCAACCGTCGCCCGAGCACCATCCTTACCAACTGGTTTGTGGAACGGGCAGAAGAGAACGTCAGCTGGCAGCAATATACGCGGGTTTGTTGACTCCAGCGCAGATTTGAAACCGTCCAGGAGGGCCTCATTGGCAACTGCTACCGCTGGGCCTCAGGTTGTCCGACGTATGGCTTGGCGCGAGCTGGACTTTTACGGTTTACGCCAACGAGCAACACCACGACTCAGGAGCTTGGCTTTGGATAGCCAGAATCTTTATGTGATAGAAGAAGAGCACCGCTGGGCAGATGGCCAGCATAGCTCCCTGAGCCCACCCCGTGTGCATTTGGTTCGAAGCACCGGAATCCCAGTTATCCCGGCGCCAACCTCGGTCACTCAGGGAGCCTGCAAGATTGCTGCTCGGTCAACTACCGATCTCGCCGGGGCTGGCCAACCTGACCTCCAGACGGCTACCCTGTCCAACATCGTTGACGGGCCGGTCAACGGTCCCATGTGGGTCGATACATGTGGTGCAAACGGGGATGTCGACATGAACTTTTGCTGGCGTATGGCAAACACCAACGGCAGAAGACCGAGCATGCCACATGGTGTGTGGCTCGCTCCAACTACGGGACGTCACCAGGAAAACTACGACGATCGGCCGCAACCACGATCATCACCGAGTCCTGTGGGCTGGCCATGGGCACTCGGTGAAACGGGCTCGTCAAGCCCCCTAATCGCGACCGAATCGACTCGCTGGCCTGGCTGGGCCCCTTGCTGGCGCCACGAAGATTTCCCTTACCTAACCATCTCGGAGATGGTGGACTTTGCCGCTGGTGTGCGGGTAACGGCCCGTCACAGCTTCATGTTTGAGGGCTTATCGGTCTATATCCGCCCGGCCGTTGTAGTTAAAAGTACCGCGACGGCGATGGTGGACCAAAGCAATGGACTTGCGGGGAATACTAAGCGGCGTCCTAGCGCTACGAAGGCGGTTGCAGCGAGAAGCAAGGAAGCTATATTCCCGAACCAGATGTGGTCTGATCTCGCCGCTAAGGGGCATATTGCTGGAGATGAGCGGTGGATTGTGGGAGAGGATGAGAAGGGGAGGATTACTGTGGTGCGCTTCTGAACGATACCACAGCCACCGATAATCTTCAGAGTAGATCTTGGGAGGCTTGCTCCTTATAGGTGCTCCATTGGGAAATCAAGACGACCTCCTCTCACGCCTTATCCACGTCAAGAAAAACACCATCAACTCTCCAAAGCCAAACCACGCCGAGGGAATCACAAGTTTACTTTGCAGGTTTACTTGCTGCCCGAAAAGCGCCTAATATGGCTGTCACGCGAATGGCCGACTCAGCTCATTTCTAATTGGGAGGGGGGCCTGAGCCCCCCCGCCGCTTCGGGTTGAGCGCAAGGCTCTCAATCTCAACCAGCGCCCCTCAACTTCATTCTTTCGGACTATCTACCCAAATTCCAGCGTCAGGAATCCATTATGCGCCTCCTGAATGTTGACACCTTCAAGCTAGAAGAGTTCTTCTTCTCGCCACCCGCCTACGCCATCCTATCCCACACATGGGGCAGCGACAGCGAGGAGGTTTCCTTTCGCGATGTCCTGGACGGCAGGCTCGACTCAGACTCCACGCGGCCGTTGAAAGTAAAGGGCAGCTGCAAAATAGCCAAGGAAGATGGCTACCAGTACATCTGGATCGACACCTGCTGTATCGACAAGACCAATTCGGTTGAACTTCAGGAGGCCATCAACTCAATGTATCGGTGGTATTTTGAGGCAGCTCAGTGCTACGCTTACCTCTCCGACGTTCAGCCCGGAGACAACCCGAATGGGAATCAATCTGCCTTCTCGTCAAGCCGTTGGTTCCAGAGAGGATGGACCTTGCAGGAGCTTCTTGCCCCATTGAACCTCCGTTTTTACGACGCAGATTGGTCATGTCTGGGGACCAAAGGGGATTTGTGTTATTTGGTCGAAACCGTCACGGGAATCCCGACTTCGTTCCTGTTAGGTATGACCGACATTCATCAGGCCAGTGTCGCCCAGAGAATGTCTTGGGCCGCAAAGAGAGTCACAAAACGACCAGAAGACATCGCTTATTCCCTCCTCGGCATTTTCGGCTTCTCCATGCCAATGATATATGGCGAAGGGGATAAGGCTTTCCGAAGGCTGCAGGAGCAAATCATGAAGGACCTTGGGGACGACTCCATTCTCGCCTGGGGCTTTGAGACAGACACGGCGCTGCCTAATACCACACTCGACATGGTTCTCGGAGCCGCCCTTGCACCCTCCCCCTCCTCCTTTGCGAATTCCGGGCACGTGGGCGTGATAGACCATGGCGCCCACTCCCCATTTGAAGTTCATGGCGGATGTATTCACCTTTCGATGGCCGTGCAGGCTACAGCAACGCGGACTTTCGGCCTTCTCCAATGTGGGCTTGAAGGAGATAACGACAATGTGGTGGGGATACCGCTCGTTGCTGCGCCTGGGAGACCCCCGGGGAACTATTTCAGGCTAGACGGCCGTGGAGCCAGATTGCTCCCAAAGCCTGTGTTCGACACTTCTACCACTTTGGTCCATCTGCAGCTCGACGGCGGGCGCAAGTCCCTCTCACAGGCAGTGGGCCCCTGTTTGATCCATATCCGGAAATCCGTCCCGGGCTTGGAGCTCACCAGCGTGCACCCAAGGGCCTATTGGCATAAAGAAAGAGCATTGATCGAGGCGGCGACCGAACCCACCGCAGGTGTTCGGAGGATTCTAATGCGGTTCCAAGAGACTGCAAAGAACGTAGCCGATTTTGTTGCTGTTGTTGAGATCGATTCGGAGGCACAGCCTAGTTGCAATCTCATGGTTGCATCTAAAGAGACGACGTTGGGGGAAATTGATGGCTGTCCAGACGCCTGGAGGGACATGGTCAGCGGGCGGCAATGCGCATATAATTCTTCCCTGAGCATATACATGGATCTACAACCGATCCAGGCGTCCGCTCAGCATAGAAGATACGTCCTCACACCCTCAGCCGTACCCGATATGCCCGATACCACCGTCAGCGCGACCACTGCGCTAGAGTTTTCAGGACTCAACGCACTATTGGACGACCTGCGTCAGGCTCGCGAAATTCATCAAAGCGAGGAGAAAGAAAGATGGGCCGCCTTAACGCAGGAGAAACAACTGGTATTCCAAAAACAGGCTGAGCTGGAAAAGATAAGGGCTCAGATCGCCGTCCTCGAACATAAAGCGCGTCAGCTAGCCGAAGCTGTCGACCAGGCGCGTGCGGTGAAATTCGACTTACTGGAGAAATACACCTTGGCTAAAAGAGCAGAAGTGGATAGCTGGGAGATGATCTCGGGCATGGAACGGTTCATAGATACCTATAATGCTAACGCGGAGGACCCCGAGAAAGCGGCTGTCCTCTCCAAAACGGCCGGGAAGATCTTGGCGTTCGCGGTCGATAGGAAATACGATAGCTTCACGCGCAGGCTCATCGAGCGAGCAGACGACGTCTCGGTACCGGATCTTAGAGGGATGACACCTCTCCACTACGCGGTTCGCCGAGGCCAGGATGAACTAGTCCAGATGCTCCTTGACAAAAGCGCCAATATCGACACGCGGGATGAGTTGGGTATGACACCCCTTCATCTGGCCGCGCAGGATGGGTTCATAAACATCACGGTTCGGCTTCTCGAGAAGGGTGCCAAAGTGTCAACGAACAATGCCGGGAACACGGCGGAGCGCCTGGCTAAGCTGGCAGGGCACACCCAGCTTGTGAGGCTATTCCAATCCCATCGGAGAAGAAGGCGCAACAATCCAGGCCCCCGATTCGCCCTCCCAACCGCCCGCCCAATCGACCCTTTGACATCGAGGAGCGTGGGTATTACGACGATGACGAGGGAAGTGACGCGCTAGAGTGGATGACAAGTTCCAACAATAGACCTCCTTCCCTGCGGCCAATTCCGATTTCAACTCGACCCCGCCAGGCACGGCTCGGAGGGCGCCCTACCCACCCGCCGAGGTAATGCCGCCAATAAAGACGACAAGGCGTGTAACATGGGGTGGAAGCATTTGAGTACAGTGGGCCGAAAGTAAACAAAAGGGGCCGAGGATGCAACTGGCGCCAGTGCAGATGTGACATCAGCAATCGCAGACAGTATCAAATACCAGACAAACAAGTGCGGAAATAACTGAAACACTTAGAACTTTGACTGTCCTATATTTCTGAGCACCATACAAAAACGTGCCGTGAAGAAACCCGAACTTCTTTTGAACTCCCCCGCCCACAACAACTCACTGCCTCGCAGCATTTTGTATACACTCCCCTTCTAATCCATAAGAACACAACCACTCCGGTATTACCCCATTCCTAGCCTAGTTAACCCCCACCGCTCACAAACAGTCAATCAGGTCAAGCCTCAACCCTGGATCGGCACGGGCAACTGCAAAAACCGCCCATAGTATTGGTCCAACCACTTCGCGGCATCCTTCCCGGCATCGTCAATGCTCGAATCCCAGCGGCCGACCGAGCCGACATAGCCGTCGGGGCGCACATTCACAACAGCCACTTCCCCCGCCCCGAGGGAGCCGACCCACTTCTTGGTGCAGTGCATGTTGCGCGTGTCCTGCATGGGGACGTCATCCAGGTAAAAGGTCCAGCGGCTGTCTTGGAAAATGGGGGGTAGGTCATGGATCTCGATGTCGTCTTGGGGCATTGTGGCTAGTGAAATGGGTTAGTTTCGCTCGGCAAAGGGTCGCTGTGAGGTAAGCGAGGGGTAACGTACTGATGAGTGCGAACGTGAACAGGTGGCTGACAGCCGTGTAGCGCTCTGGTCGGAGGTAAATATCCTCTGGGCCTGGAATACGCGGTTGCTGAGTGTATGAGACCTTTGCTGCCGCAGAGAGCTGACTGACGAGGGAGCTAGTTGAGGCGATAGCTTCACAGAAGGCATCGAGGAAGATGTAGGACTGGTGGACGTCCCACACCATTACGTAGATGCGAAATTGGCCAAGCATCGGAATGTCGAGCTGAATATCAACTGGATTGGAGTCGACGTAGCGTCTGACTTTGGCCGGCGGTAGGAGCGAACCCGGCTTGACCTCGCCTACCAAGCCCGGTGAGGGCTCCGTCATGTTGATGGCGTTCTGGTCGTACTGGGCACCAACGCCAGAGATAAGACGCACATTGGTCCTGAAATTCTCAGCAAGCGCCCTGGGATTTCCCTCGGCGATCCGGATTGCGTGGTCGTAGTCAAAGTTGACCAAGTCCAAGGCAATCTTCCTCCGCTCCTCTTCGTAGCTTTGAAGTAACGCCGGTTTGGCGAAGCCTCGGATGGCAAGGTTGAGCTTCCAACACAGGTTCCAGCCATCGTGCATTGACGTGTTCATGCCTTGAGCAGACTTTGGGGAGTGAGTGTGGCTGGCGTCGCCGGCGATGAAAGCACGGTGATGGTTGTCACAAAACCGGCTTGCGACCCGCTGACCGACCTGGTAACGGCCGAACCATTCAATGTTCTTCCACTCAACTTTGTAGGGAGCCATGATATCCTTGGCGCGTTGCATGACTGCCTTCTCACCGAGCTGATTCTTATCTGATTTGGGCGAGCTCTTAAGTTCAATGTAGAAGCGCGTCACGTTGCGCTCCCGGGGGATAATCAGGATTGAGCCGTACTCCTCCGAATGCACCAGGGACTTGGACCAGATGTCGGGGAAGTCAGTCACCAGCTCGCCGTCGACCACACCCCACAGCGAAGCTTGCGACATGCCGACAAACGTAGCGTCCGGGATGCTTCTTCTGACCTTGGAATGTGCCCCATCACCTAGAAAATAGTCAGCCCAGTCCTTAAACCACTCTAATCTCCATTAATACGTACACCCGACGAGATACTGTGTCAGAAACGACTTGCGCTCTCGGTTCACGTTCGCCCGGCAGTTAACCTGGAGCGGCCCGCTCTCGTCGTCGCACACGCTGTACGAGTCGAAAGCTGTGTTCCTGCGGATCTCAATGCCGCGCTTTTTTAGGTCCTCGATGAACAAGCTCTCCACCATTCCTTGGTGCACCAGGAGGATATAGGGGTCCAGCACATCAATAACGGGCGGGTAGTGAACTTCACGGCCAAGGCGTTGGAGCGGTTGGTCAGCGGTACTCTGCCAAAAGGCGATGTTGTAGACTCGGACACCGCGCTGCAAAAGGGGGTCCGCCAGTCGCATTTGCCGAAAAGTCTCAATCGACTTAGGTTGAAGACCGTCGGCTCTATAACACGTCCCAAGTCAGAAACCATGGACGGGGGTGAATATGGTCCACGGTGGCTCACCTTCCCACCGTCGTTTGGTCTGCCCGATCATCCACCACTTCCACTTTGATACCGTACCGGCCAAGGTTACATGCCAACATCAAGCCGGCCGGGCCTGCTCCAACAACGCAGACCTGGCACTCAAGGGGCGTCTCAGGCATGCTCCGAAGGAGAGCCAGGCGATCGACACACTCAGCCGTGTCCATCTGGTCTTCGCTTATCCGGCCCTCCGAGGGCGTGTTGGATCTGGTAGTGTACACCATGGTTATTGCTGTCTAGCGGACAACTCTGAACCTTAAAAGTCGAAAGGACCGGCAAGGGTCGTTATCATTCACAAGATGTCGCCCAGATACAAATGTGTCTCGGTTGGGTCCCGAAGGCGAGGATTGGAGTTGACAGCTTGGTGGTGGGCTGTAACCAAGACCAAGCGGGGACTGCCGCAACCCGAAACGGCGACGACACGGAGAGTTTTGGTGGAGGAGAGCTAAAGTATTGATGATATTCCAGATAAAGTCACCGGCCCACAACCGGGGAACCTGGGATTCTGGAATTTGGAGATTTTGGTGATGGCCGATCCAGAGGTTTGGATATAACCTAACACCAATGTTGCGAAGTAATCTGCAGTGAGGCGGAAACCCTGAACTTTTGAGTACAGCTTGAATCTGACGCTGTCAAGGTGGCAGGGGATATCTGGTGGGACGAGAGACGTGCGAACCGCTGCTTGGGTTGGAGTAACGTTGAGATCGTGGAGCCGCTCAGAGCCGGGTCAAGTTCCTCGGGGAAGGGTACTTCTTGGGCACGAGACAGTGAAGGTGCAGGAAAGATGCATTGTTGTCAAGGGAACGAATCTGGGCTGAAATTGCTATTCGATGAAAGTGCGGAAGGCACTACCTAGACAGGTAGGGAAGAAGGGGCGACAACCTGGAAAGGTTTCAACGTTCAACTTTGCCCGGTGCTCGGTCGTCTCAAGTTCCCTTCGGTCGTGCTGTTGTTTTGCGGGCAATGCCAGGCGGGCTCGGCGGGTAAGCTGATATGGTGTGGTCCGTACCTCGCCATTTTGCAGTGCAAGTGGGCTGATTCCACGCAGGGGATGATCTGATCTCGTGTGTTCGTTCTCCGCCCTCTGCCCAATCGGCGGGCATCCATTGGTCACTGGCCACCGGCAAACCCGTCGAACAGGGAGGGACCAGTCCAGAACATCACTGAAGACTGCCCGGCAGGCCACTTTAGGAGCTTGGGCCTCCCTGGCGCCACCATTTCATCGGACGGGAGCCCCCCCATGCGGGGCTTGGCGCCTTCCGGGAGCTTCCTCCTTGGAATGGACCTGCAACAGCATCGAGTTACAAATTGAGACAAGCATCTTCCCGCTTCCATGTAATCACCAATATCAACTTCCATGAAAGAAACAATGGGTCACACTCAATTCAGAGAAATCTCTAAGCGTCCCAAACAGAGCCAATGGTTGGGTTTTAGGGCTTAGTAACTACCGAAGACTTTGTGTGAAACTCCACGTCGTTGTCTCCCATTTCTGCATTGTCTTGGCTGGTAAGAAGATGCCTATTTTTCTATTATTTACCTACCTAGGTACTCCCACTCTTTAGGTAGGTAGGTATCTAAGTTTTAGAACTGATGTGGCTAATCGACTTCCACAGCCCAACAACTCATCCCACAATAGCGCCTACTCCTCGTTCCTTGAATCCTCCTCAAGGTCATAGAGTTCCCCAGCAAGATATTCCTCAGCAGCCAGGAAGCTTTCCCCGTCGTCGGTATGATTCGCAAGCTCGTGTTCAACGCTGGTGTCACCGTCTGGTTCTGGATTGCCATCGCCGGCCTCTTCCCCACCAGTGTCGTTGTTGTGTAAAGTAAAATCCCTGAGCATGGCCATTTTGTTGCGCCGTGATTCGCAAAGGCCGCGCTGTCTTGCCCGTTTGATTTTTTTCTCATATGCTGGCCGCCTGGCTAGTGCCACTTTGTGTTTTGTGATGCGGTCATTGCTGAGACCTATACACTCTAGCTCATCCAAGTTTAGGATTCGAGCGCTGGTAGCAGGACACTTGGACGCTTCCGGTACGGTTCTGGGGGCATTGGTACTTCCTCGGGCTCCATAAGCAGCAGTTGCTGTGGCGTTTGAGAGTGTCATTTCGCTAGAATCATAGCTTGCGATGGGGTCAGGCTGTCTTACATAGGTAAGTTGTTGATCTCCACCAGTCGCTTTTTGTGAAGTTATTTTAGGTAGCCTTGCTAGGAAAGGAAGCGGGTAAATAGTAATAGCATTGCAAGTTTATATAAGAACATCGAGGGCTGAGACGTTGGACTACGCCATTGTCAAGTTACCCCTAGCAACGATATTGTTCTGCGGACAATTCGGGAGCTATGCACGCAACAATCGACCGCACTGTGTAAATATAGAACATAATTACAATCACCGTCTAGGATCCATGATCATTGGTTGCTGGTTGAGCCTTTGAAAAAGAAAAGAAACAGTTAGTTATTATCCATTCTCTAAGGCGCGTACTTACAACAGGAATAACTGTCGGCTGTCATCCCAAAGGAATAATCATGCAACTTTTACCCAGCGTTCGGAACTTATGCTACGGTACTAAAACGTTCATTTTGTTGTATTGCTCGAGGAATTCACAACGCACCAGGTAGGATACAACAATGGAAAAAAAAGTCACACGATACGCCCGCAACGAGTACATACATACAAACAAACACAACACTAATCCCCGACACCCATCTTGACATATCTTTCCTGAGTAACCCTTCCGACATCCATTACATCACTTACTTCTCCACCAAAACTGTACTCGCACCCGCCCCGACACCTTCCTCCATCCCCTCCCCTGTCCCCTCCACCCCTTCCGCCCCCTTACCCCCCTTCTCCTTCTCCTCATAAAACTTCTCCACATCCTCCACCACCTTCCTCCCCGCAAACGCCTTCATAATCGTCTGATTCTTCGCCCGCAGCCGGTTCTGATACCAATGCGGCATACCAGCCAGCACCGGCAAGGTACCAGCAAAGCCGGGTAGAATCAGCTGATTACTCTCCCCCTTCAGAACCTGGCGCACGATTGCCTCAGCAACGGTCGCCGGGTGCAGCGCCGGCATGAGAAAGGGACTATCATTCTGGTAGCCGGTAAACAGCGGAGTCGTAGTGTAGCCCTGGTTGACGAGCACGGTGCGGACGCGCGGGGCGGCGTAGCGGGTGGCCAGCTCGGCCGTGAGGCCCTCGTGGAAGGCGTGCGCCGCCGCCTTGGACGCCGCGTAGTCGACCATGTTGGGCACCGTCACCCACGCGGCGACCGACGCCACCGTGACCACCATGCCGTGGTTCGCCCGCACCATGGCCGGGAGGAATTCCTGCGTGGTCCAGTAGTGCGCGAAGGTGTTGACGTCGAAGGTGAAGCGGATGTCGCGCTCTGATGCGTCCAGGATGGTGCGCCCCTGCACGACGCCCGCGTTGTTGATCAGGATGGTGGGGTCGCCTACCGCGAGCCGCACCTCGCGCGCGACGAGGGAGAGGGTCTTGCGTGAGGTGAGGTCGCACTTGAAGTAGTGGACGTTGGGGGCTGGGTGGTTTGTTAGTCGGGGGGTTGCTTGAGGTTGGGAGGGAGGTGAGTTATTCTTGCTTACCAGCTGGGTACGTCAGGGGCTGGATGTCCAGTACTACGACCTTGATGCCCCGTTCGGCCAGCAACTGGACAATTTGGCCGCCAATGCCGCCAGCGCCGCCGGTGACGACGACGATCTCCTTCGACCAGTCATACTTGTCGTCGACCCAGTTGTTCAACACTTTGCGAGAGAAATAGTTGTTGATCCACCTGATGACGCCAAACAGCAAAAGCTTCTTGAGGCGAGAGTAGGCTAGTGGGTGGAGGATGGCCCAGTCTTGGCCCTTCTTCGTGTACTTGGTCAGTAGAAGCAGTGGGAGGACCACCTTCGGGTTGAGAGCCGTGTTGCGGATGATTTTGAGAACCGTGTCTCCCTTGAAGCCCTCGCGGGGGAGGAAGCCGTTGTGCATGGGCATTATGGCGGCTTTCCAGTTCAATATGTGTTACAACAATGCGGAAGAAGGTTGAAAGCACATGGCAATATCTCGTTTCAAGATGGCTCTCGTTCTTAATTAAGTCCGGAATGGTACCCGCCAAGGAACAAGGGAGTGGTGGAGATGTGGGGAGCTCCCCTCATGCGGGAAGATGCCGAGGTTGGCATTGGGTAGAATGCGGGGAAGGGATCTTGGGAGGCTTTGTTGTTCGCGTTTCATCCCGTGCCTGTTTTCCAATTGGCTTTTCGGGCTTGGTGTGTGTCGGTTGTCACAGAGGAGACATGTGTTGCTCAGGGGCGAGTCAACACCAGCCCGTGAGTCGTGGTTGACAATGCGACTCCGCTTTAGTTGTTTACCCTCTTTCAGTCCTTAATTATTCGAGTAGTAGGTAGTTAGTAATAAGCGATTTACTGGTATCTCATCGAGAAGAAACTCTATCTAGGTGCACATGAAGAGTAGCCGACTCCGTATCTTATCACCGCGACTCCTCAACAGCCCTCCTTAGATCCCCCCTCAGCCCCCTGACCTCCTCACTAACACTCTCCTTACTCCTCAACGTCAAGACCGCCGCCCTCTGCGCAACATCAATCAGCCCGTCCACCTTCCCCCCCATAGCCAAACCGGCCACCAACACACCCATAAACGTATCCCCAATCCCGTTGACCGACACCACATCTTCCACCTGCTCCACCGCCGGAAACAACCTCATATACACCCCCCCAACATGCGGATGATCATTCATCGAGCGACTGACCACAAACCGCGCATGCTCGGGGTCCTTAAGCCTCGGATCCTCCCTCCCCAGCACCGTCGCCAACAACGCCCCGCCCGCACCCATCTTCGCAACAATGGTCGGGATGTACGGCAGCAGGTTGACGCACTGAACGGGAATCCCGGCGTCGGCGATTGGGGCGGAGGCGATGTCGACGAAGCGGTCGCGCGCGCCGCGCAGGATGCCAAACCCGTCCAACACGCCGAACCAGGCCGCGTCGTGCTCCAGGTAGCCGCGCCCGCGCGCCGCCTCGTACATGGCCAGCAGCTCGTGCTGGTTGGGCGTGCAGAGGCCGACGCTCGCGTGCGGGTAGACGCTGAGGGGGGGAGTTTGGTTCGTTTTGAGGGTGGGGAAGAGGCGCTGGGATTTGGCGGCTGAGACCGGCTCGAAGGCGATATCGGCGCCGTGCTTCGTGCCTGCGCGCAGCCAGGTCTGGATGTCGGCCTCGGACCAGTTGGCGTCGACGACTAGCCACTTGGGCTTGGAGGCGGCCACGGTGGAGGTCCAGTCTGCGGGGAAGGAGTGGGTGGAGAAGATGTCCATGTCGGCCATGGCCATGACGAGGTTCTTGTCGGCGTCGTTGACGGCCACGTATTGCGCTGTGCGGGCGGACGGGAATTCGGCACCAAGCTGGCGGATGCTGGAGGTGTCGAGGCCCGAGGCTTGGAGGGTGGACAAAATCGTCGAGCCGGCGATGTCATCGCCAACCATGCTGCATAACCGGACCTTGCCTTCGCCACTGATCCTGTGTGCTGCCAGGGCGATATTGTGCCCGACGCCGCCGACAGATTGGCTGATGGTGGAAGGATTGGATGTGTGCAAAGCTGGGGACACTGCCTTGCTGTTTCCTGACGGAGAACCGCCAGCGTAGTCGCAGTTCAAATCAAGGGCTACTGAGCCTGCTGCAAGGACGTCCACCGGATGGGGATCCTAGGCCCAGTCAGTCGAACATTGGCGTGTATTGGTACCCTAGTGGCCTACCTCTGGCTTGGCCGCTGTGTCTACCTCTGACTGGATTTTGGCCGCCGGAGTTGATGCTTGTTTGGCGCTGTCAACGCCCGGAGATGCCGCCTTGACCGTCACCGGCGCTCCGTCCAGTAGTTTAGCCAACTCGACCGAAATCTTAGCTGCACGCGCAACATTGGACCGCACCAGCGCTACATTAGCCGAAGTGCTCCTCTCCTCCGTGAGCTGCCTGATCCTGGTGAGGACGTACGGCGTATTGGCACTCCCGGTGAACCCCTTCTCCGCCGCCTCCCTGACAGCCGTCTCAATAACCAGCTCCATCTCCTTCCTCGGAATCGCCGCTTCCTCCGGGATCGGGTTCGCAAACAGCATCCCGGACTCGATGCCCAACCGCTCCTGCGCCAAGATAATCGCCGCGGCGTCCCTCTCGTCCCTCACCACCGACGGACTCGGCACGCCGCTCTCCCGCGCCCAAAACGCCGGAAAATCCACCCCCTTCCCGCCCGCCGCGGCGCCGCCATCCGCAAACGTCGCCACCAACGCCCCCTGCGTCTCCAAAAACTCCAACGTCCTCGGAATATCCAAGAAGCCCTTGCACCCACTACTAACCACCGCCACCCTGGTCCTCCCCAACTCGGTCAAATCCGCCGACACATCCATCGACGCCTCCCCACCACGATGCACCCCACCCAACCCGCCCGTCCCAAAGACCCGAATCCCCGCCAACCGCGCCAGCACCATCGTCCCCGAGATCGTCGTGCCCCCATGCCCCGCCCCAGCCCCCTCCTCACCACCCAGCACCGCCGGCGCAGCCAACCTCGCCAGATCGCGCCGCGAGGCCTTCGCAGCGCCCTCGCGCACCATGCGGCCCACCTCGGCCGGCGTCAGCCCCACCGTCGGCACCCCCGCCAGGATGCCGCACACGGCGGGCACGGCGCCGTGGGCGCGCACCACGTTTTCGAGCTCTACCTCCAGCGCGCCGCCCAGCGCGCCGTGCGTGTAGATGGTGGATTCGAGCGCCACGACGGGCTTGTTGGCGGCGAGGGCGGCGGTGACTTCGGGGGAGATTTTGAGGAGGGAGGGGAGGTGCGCGTGGGTGGTGAAGCTGCGGCGGGTGTGCGGGGTGGGGTGGTGGTGGTGGTGGTGGTGTCTGGAGGTGAGGGTCGGGACCCGGGAGAGGGCGCGTGTTGCCATAGTGCCTCCCGGGTGTTGTGGATGCTGGGATGGGTTGGTGTTTGTTGAGTGGTTGGGAGAGCACCGAGTGATTCGGTGAAATGGTTGCTTCTTTACTTTGGGAAGGAACCAGGAGGGGAACGTGATGTTTTTACCTTGGGGGTGGGAGGTTGTGTCGGTTACCTAGGGAGGTTATCAATTCCCGAAACGTGACTCCGGACTGAATGACCCCTCAAAATGGTGGATTTATGGGGAATCGTTTTGAGATGTTACTCCCAAGATGGAAGGTGGTGTGTGAGAGCTGGGAATCACAAGAGGTCTCGATGAGTCCACTTCGAGCAAGCGGAGAAGCTCGCCTTTCATCGGCTTGGATTGGCCAATCAGCGCCATTGCCGACCATGCTTCCGAGAGGTCTGCCGGGGTTGCTTGAATCGTGGATTTGTGTGGATAACGTTACATAGATGCATAACTCTAAGAAGGCCATGGACTAGTATTAAAGGGTCTGTAACCAGCTCGGAGTTTATTCCGAACTCAACTCAACTCTCGATTTCCGGTCTAGGAGGCCCCTTCCCAAAGCATGGCCTGTGCGGCATCGGCAGCTTCGGCCCTCCATCGCGGCGTGCCCCACGTTTAACGTTGAAGCTTACCAGATCGGGACTGGTGCCAGGCCCAGGAATTTTGGTCAATCTGAAACCCGCCAACATGCATGAGCTCTTTCCACCTTCTTACAGTCCCATCCGTTCGCACAAGAGCTTGGACGACGACGGCGGCATCTTAACGGAGGCGTTTTGGCTCTCGGTCCTTTCTGCGGATCTTGCCGTCGCCAACTGTGAAACATCCATGCACCCTCTTCAGTGAACGAAAGGTGGAATTGTTGGAAGTCGGTCGTTTTATGTTCGGCTCCAGTACATCCGATCTGGTCGACATGGATGCAACATCCTACACTCGCGGGAGCGAATCCGGGACAAGACTCGAAGCGAACCCGGTTCTTGTTAGCCCATCCTCCTAATTTCGTTCCGTTATTTAGGGGCCGCGATGTCCTCCAGCGTCCTCATGGCCGCTGCTTGTCTTTTCGATCTTCTTCCCGTTATTCTGACGTTTCTATAAGCCTAGAAGTTTTGGACCGCCGCTTGCGCTTCGTACACTCCTTAACCCGACAGTTTCACCTTTCGACTATTCTTTGAAGGGGGTTGTTTTCCGAGCTCTTTCTTCCACGATCCCGCAGTTCTTGTAATTTGAGTTTAACATTCGAGATATGGCATCCAAGTCCCTGTCCACATACGCGGGGGCAGCGCTTCTGGCCGGTGCTCAGATGGCCTCCGCACTTAACTTTACCATCGCCAACGGCCAAATCTTTACCCCGGGGCTGGTTATCGTCGATGCCCCCCAGCCGGGCACGCCCCTTGGCGGGGGTATGTTCCTTTCCTCTCTCACGCGCACTTGATTCAACCGTGGCTAATCCACTCCCCAAGACCTCATTGAGGTCGCCCTGGATGTATCCACCAACGGCCGTCTCCAGCTACCGCCTTACCCCGAGGACAACCCCAGCATGATCCACAAAATCGACATCTTCCTGTCTAGCTACGTAACGAACCGCAACTTCACCATCACCAACGGCACGGCCTCGGCCAACAACGCCAGCCTGGGCGACATCATGTTCCAGGAGCCCGGCAGCACCGTGAAGCACGTCAAGTGGACCTGGCCCGACTGCCTGGTCGGCGACGGCGGTGGCGAGGGGGAGGGCTTGGGGGATACCGCTCGGGGGGTGTACAACGTAGGCCACGCCACCCCTTCTCATCACTCAGAGCTAGTGAAATTGACGGTTTGTCTGTCTTTAGGTCTCCATCCGCCAGTCCTTCCGCCTCAATGGCGAGGACTACTACACCGTCTTTGACCTGCCTATCGCGGTCACCAACAGCATCCCGGCGAGTGACAACCGCCCATCGTGTGCCGCGCTGAACAACCCGTTGCTGTCCCCCGAGGAGGTTCTCGACTCGTCGGATGTTAGTGTGCCGGTTATGTTTGCGCCGGGCGATGCGACCACTGTGGAGACCAATCCTAATGGCGCGGCGAGCTGGAGGGGAGGGATGGGCTGGATTGGCGTGGCGGGTCTGGTTGCTGCGCTGGTGTTGTGAGAACTTGAATGAGAATGGGCTTGTGATGGTTGTGATAATACCCAGGGATGGAGTGGTTGACTGCAGCGTGAGACGAATTGGACTGGGGAAAGGTTGCATAAGCTCATACAGCCAGTAGTTAGATGGATAAAGTACCTGATTGGGGTAAATTAAAGATCAACTCTCACACTCATCTCAAATATTTTTTTCGGAATAATTACCATGTGCGAGGCTGGAGATGGACGCCGACTTTCAAGAACCAAGACCCACTTAGTAAAAGTCTTGGCACCGACCATTCTGCAAGGCTGCACTGCCTGCAAGGTTTAGAAAAAAAAAGTGAATCCAGCGATCAGTGATCTGCCCCTCGGTGTTCTTCCAGAGTTAAACATTCCCCATTTTCTACAACAACGTCACCATGTCGAGGCGCCGCCAAGAACAACAAGAGGATATGTCCTCCGACGGGGGGTCATTTGCCGAATTTGACGAAGATGACGCCCTTTCTACCTCCGACGACGACGATTTCGAAAAGAGGAAAAATGCGCTTCTCGACAAGGATTCCGACGAGGAGGAGCTGGAACGCTTCGTCTTAGGGAGCAAGGAGACGTTCCGCGAACAATTATTTCGCGACGACTTCCTTCCTTCCGTCACCGACGCCAAGGCACTCGTCAAAGTTACGCCTGAAGACGAGGCCGCCGCCACAGGCCACGAACATGTCTCCGACTCTATGCTCTTTACGCTTGACACGGGGGGAGACTCAGATGAGGAGCTTGAACTGGCCGAGGGGAGGCAGGCCCCACAAGAGAAGGAAGAGGAGGCACCGGCGTGGGAGGACAGCGACGACGAACGGTTAACCGTCTCTCTGGCTGGAGCCACCCGGCTTAGGAAACTTAGACACACCGAGGCAGAGGATGTCGTGAGTGGTACCGAGTACGCACGGCGGTTACGGCAACAGTACCTCCGTCTCTACCCGCTACCAGATTGGGCCAACGAGGCCGCTACCGCCGGCTCTAAACGGAGGAGGCGGCGCTCCTCGGCCGCCTCGAACGACTCCTCCGCCTCGGATATGGAGGTGGACAGCGACGGCGAGAGCATCGACGCCCCCCTCCCACTCGACACCTTCCTCCGCGACGCCAACTCCTTCGCCCCGACCTCCGACAACACCCGGGCCAAGCGCCGCAAGCTCCGCCCGGAAACCCTCGACATCCAGCGCACGCGCGACATCCCCGACACGCACAAAGCGGGCGTCTCCTCCCTCTCCTTCCACCCGCGCCGCCCCATCCTCCTGTCCTCCAGCACGTCCTCGGTCATGTACCTGCACCAGATCGACGGCGCGGCGCACCCTGTGCCCAACCCGGCGCTGACGTCGGTGCAGGTGAAGCGCACGGACCTGCGGCGCGCCGCCTTCGTGGGGCCCGACGGCGACGAGGTCGTCTTCGCCGGCCGCCGCCGCTACTTCCACAGCTGGAACCTGGCGTCGGGCCTCGTCAAGAAGGTCTCCAAGATCCAGGGCCACCAGAAGGAGCACCGCTCCATGGAGCGCTTCCGCCTCAGCCCCTGCGGCCGCTACCTCGCCCTCGTCGCGAGCGACAAGAAGGGCGGCGGCGCGCTCAACATCGTGAACGTCGGCTCCATGCAGTGGATCGCGCAGGCGCGCATCGACGGGCGCGGCGGCGTCGCCGACTTCGCGTGGTGGGCCGAGGGCGAGGGGCTGACGATCGCGGGCAAGGACGGGCAGGTGGCCGAGTGGAGCATGGCGACGCGGCGGACGGTCGGCGTCTGGCGGGACGAGGGGTCCATCGGCGGCACGGTGATGGCGCTGGGCGGGCGCGGCGGGCCGGCCGAGCTGGGCGGGGACCGCTGGGTCGCCGTCGGGTCCAACAGCGGCGTGCTGAATGTCTATGACCGGAATGAGCTGCTGGCTAGGCCGACCGCCGCCAAGCAGGCGGCCAAGGCGGGCGCGCCCGTGGAGATCAAGAAGCTGCCGACGCCGACGCGCTCGTTTGAGCAGTTGACGACGTCTATCTCGGTCGTCACCTTTGCGCCGGACGGCCAGCTGCTGGCGTTTGGCAGCTTCCACAAGAAGGATGCCCTCCGGCTGGTGCATTTGCCCAGTTGCACTGTTTACCGCAACTGGCCGACCGAGCAAACGCCCCTGGGGCGGATTACCGCCGTGGCGTTTAGCGCGGGGAGCGACGTGCTGGCGGTGGGGAATGACGTGGGCAAGATTCGGTTGTGGGAGATCAGGAGCTGATGGGAGGGGTTACGTGGAGAGTAGGATGTATAGGCAGAGTGGGATAGGAGTGGGATAGGGAATGGACGGCTGATATGCGATGAATTTTCAGGGAGGGAGTGGTAGTGTTCCCTCTAATGCTAGATACAGGGTGGTGTTGAGATCAAAAGATCATCCGCAAGAGAGCCCTGACAGGTCCCATCTTCTTCGCCGCCTTCTTTGGGTAAACCCTGCCCGTCTCCAAAGTGTACTCCGCCAGTTCCCCTGCGGTGCCGAAGTGTGGTGGTGTCCTCCCTTCTTTCACAGCATCGAGGAGGTCGAAGATGTTGACGTGGACGGTCCTCAGAGCCTACGATTTGTCTCCTTGTCAGTCAATGTTCGGGCTGCTGCTCAACCTTTAGGGGTGGTCATACCTTCCGGCACTGCGTGATGCTGCTGTACTCGCCGTTGAGACCGACGTCGCGGCAGAGGCGCTGCCAGTCATCGAGGAGGCCGTCGCCAAAGTAGGTCTTGAATTCCTTGACGATGTTGCGAAACCCCCTTTTCCTGGCCATGGTTGCGGTCGGTGCTGGGTTCAACCCCGACGTGGCACTGGAGATTGTGGAGGGTTTTGGTTGGTGTGTTCCGTGATGGGGAGAGAGCAGGAAGAGGGGATCCGGGTCAGAAATCCAGGCTTGATGGTGTACTCCAGGAGGGAGAGAAAGTGATATTGACTTCAGCATGCGGGCACGCTTCTTAAGTCACGACTCAACAAAGAACAGAGAAATGAGCGCATATGCAATCGCCCGCGGTTACCCCTTGCTGATGCAAGAACCCTCCCATTTCTATTGACTAGCCTATCTTTCGAGCTGTCATTCTTTCCACAGTTTCAGATTTGTTCTCTCACCTTAACGACAAAGCACGCCGCAGAGCAAAAGTGATAGCTCAACTTCCCTCAACGCCACAACTCCACACCCCCCTGCCCCCAACACCAAAACCACCTCAGCCCCTAACCTCCCTCCCCATCCCCGCCACCACCTCCCTCAGCCCCCTTACAACCCTCAAATACACCCCCCTCGGCACAACCTTACACTCATGCCCCAGCACATCCCAAACCGGCCGCCCCAGCCCAACATCCGCGCCCCCCTCCCTTACTAACACTTTCACCACCTCCTCCCACCCCAGCTCCATCGCCAACTGCACCGGCCTGCCACACACAAACCGCACCGGCTCCTTATCCCCCAACCACCCATATCCATCCCCATCCCCATCCCCCTCCTCCTCCCACTCCCAGTCACCCAGACCATGATACCCCACATCCGCATCCGCCCCCGCAGCGAGCAACAACCGCACCACAGGTGTGTCCCCCATCTGCACCGCCCGCACCAGCGGCGGCGTGTAGTCGGTGCGCGGGTCGTGGCGGGCTTCGCCGATGTAGCAGCCGTTGTCGAGTGGGTGGGGCGGGGCGGGGCGGTCGGAGGGGTGGAAGTTGGGGGAGGTGCCCTGGGCGAGGAGGGCGGTTATGAGGGGGTGGTTGCGGTGGGTTATGGCGTGGGTGAGGGCTTGGGTGGAGGTGATGCGGGTTTGGGTTGGTGATGTTGATGGGGGGAGTGTTGGGGGGGTTGTGCTTGTGGATGGGGGTGCTGTTGTTGGGGGATGGGATGGGTCAGGGGCAGGCTGGTCTGGGGATGGGAGGCCGGTTTCCTTGGTGGTGATGGGTTGGAGTGGTTTCTGGGAGGGGGTGGTGGTGGGTTTGGGTTTGCTCGGAGGTCGGTTGTATGTGAATCCGGCGAACTGCTTCAGTCGTTCCTCTAAGGAGACCCATCGTTCAGGGGGATAGTCGACGCCATGGTACTGGAAGGAACTGGCGGAATAACTGGGCTTGAACACAGGCTCGTAACCCCTTTCCATGACTTTTTTCCAGTCAATACCCCCAAAAAAGAGATGGGCTTTGACTTCAGCGGCGCCACCCGCCCCTAATCGTTGGCCAGGTTCACGATCAAGCAGCTTAGTCAAGACATCCGTGGCAGATGGTGGGAATGACTTAGGGAACTCGAGGGGCTGGCTTTGGATATTGAGACGTATCTTTTCAACGTCATTATCGTAGAACGGTGGTAGTCCCGTCAGCATTTCATAGAGAAATACGCCCAATGTCCACCAATCGGCCGCTCTGGACGTGTTCCCATCGTCAAGAAGTGATTCCGGAGCGGGATATTCGGGTCTCCTACGGCGGACTTGTTCCCCGTCCTCGATCTGTTGCATAAAAAGGCCGAAACCGCACAGAGTGACATGTCCCAACGAGTCCAGCAAGACATTTCCGGCCTTCAGCCAGCCGATGATGTTGGCATTGTGCAGATACTCCAACGCGCAAACGATCTCGGCGGCATACAATCTGGTCCTCTCGAGGTCGAAGCGTTGCGGTCCTTGCAGGTGGCTGAAAAGATGACCCCCATTAACAAATGGCGTATACAACTGGAGGCCTTTGGTTGACTGGTGAGTGAATGCGAGGGGTGCGACGAAGGGGTGGTTGAGTTGGGCCGCGGTGTCACACAACATGAAGATGCTGGATTGGGCTCCCCTAATTGTCTTCCTCGCATATCGTCGTTGGGTATCTTGTTTCTTGACTTGCAAGACGTCTCCGGATGGACTCAGCCGTGCATAGTCGGATGTGTCAATTTCGAGCGCCTTGTTCTCGACGTGAGTGTACTCCAGGCTGACGAGGATTTTGCCAGTGCCGCCTTGAATCTCCAACCACCGCGGGCCTGATACCATCCATCCATCAAAGGGGCTTATTCTCGCCACGCCAAGGAACACGTCTTGACTTCCTTTACGCGCCTTCGGGTCCTCGAGGTACAGTCGGATCGCCAACTCAGCAGCCCGCGATATATCGAATTTGCAGGTTGCACCATGTTGTGCTATCCACCGAGGATTCTCAGTGGTTCCTAAGAGGGAACCAACAGTGACTTGGGATCTCTCATAATCTAACAAGGCATATGGGAGGTGGTACTGGCGGCGAGAAGACGGACTCGGATAGTTGGGCTCATGACCGTTGAAGAGTTCACGGTACCGATCCGCCGCAGAAAAGCCCGCGCCTTCATGGAGTGTTACGGCGAGGACACCGGGCAGGTAGGGAGTCGTTGACATGGTGCGCGTCGCAAAGTCATGCTCATGCGCCTTGTAAATGATGATGTACATACATATTCGTACACTAGTGAGTTCGTGTACACTACATGGCAAGGAGCGTCAGTCCCACGGCATCTCCGGGCCAAGAGAAGGATGCAGGGGCCATGCATCCGATCCTACCAAGCAGTGCTTAAAACACGCAACTCAATGAGGTTGAGAGAAAAGCGAGAAATTCGAGTCCTTATCAGAAGCAAGGAGTCTAGAGAGGGTTGGGTTGTTTGGTCCGAAATTCTTGGTTGATGAGTGAAGCTTACTACACAGTCTAGACACACCTACTGAATAGTCAACTAACTAACATCAAGTAATAATATGAGGTTCTTGTCCGTCTGCTTCTCGTACCGAATGATAAATGCTTCTTTGTGGTTCCAGACCCACTAACTATCCCGAGATATTAATCTCTCAACGCCAAGGGATGTTATCGGCGATTTCAACCTCTCGACCCTTTTAGGGTAAAACCCGAAGTGAAAATGCAAGCTGCAACCCTTCTGAGGTTGAGGGGTAGGGCTGGAGGGGCAGAGGGGTTGATATGCACCTCCGAATTATGGTGGTCTGGTTCCCTCCCGGAGCCTTGGTATTTCCACACTAATGCCAGTTGTCAGCTCCCTTCCCACCTTCCCGTGCTTCCGTGCTTCCATAACTTCCTTACTCAGCCAACATCGCCATGCACGCCATGCCTTCCGACCTTGAAAGGTTGGTTGGGTTCCACTTCCATGTTGGTTTTTTCCCAAACTCCCTGCAAGCCACTCGGATCGCGGGAAGCTGAAAGATTGCCGATCGGGCAGGATTGAGGCCACGATTGGACCATTTCAGCGCCCATCCTCGGTTCTTTTTCTGCTGCTCCGATTCCATGCATTTTCCGCGATGGCAAGCGCCCGCAGCGGAGACCGGTGCTGCAAACCCAATTCGAACCACCGGGCGCTCGGGTTCTCTCGCGGAATTGCCGAGACGTGTTCGACCTCCGGAGCAAGCCGGACAATTCCAAGCGTCGCTGGGACCATAAGGTAGGCAAGGTGTGGCAAGAGACCCAGCGATACGCGTTTCGCCAGTGTTGGTTGCGTTGGTCTCGCTGGTCTCACTGGTCTCATTGTTTCACACCCCGCCCGCGGGACAGGTCGGCAACAGCCCGCCAAACCTGTCACGAGCTTGGTGTTTGCCAACGCTTGAGTGGCCACCTCAATGGGCAATTCCCTCAACCTATTCTCGGGTCGGATTCCCGGTGTGGAAGGAGGCCATTGGACCGATCTACGCAGTAAGCGACGGGAAATTGGAAGCTGCTTTTGCAAAGAAACAATCACAGGCTCTCGCTCTTGCCGTCGACTACGTGTCAGACCAGACTGGCAGTGCCAGGCAGCCTATCATCAAAGTGTGTCTCGCTTTCCTCCCTCCCGAATCGGCTGAGGATGGGGCCTAGGGGGGATGGTAACCTGGATCGGGCGGCTGCCATGTGTGTGCCATTCCCTTGCAGGCCCCCTTGGGTACAGCCAGCCCTGCGCCTGAGGGCTGGTTTCTTCTGCCCGCCCCCCCGGCCATGTTGCACCGGATGCACGGGGGGTTCTTTATTAACTATTCTGTTTACATCCTTGTTGGAGGGGTAAGATCTGACTGCGGCGGCTTTCTTTTGCGCAGATTCTCATTGACAAACTCACTTTTTCCCATTTCCCGTTTCCCAATCTCACACCCCATCTATCAATTGGCTTTGTCTCCTTTCTCTCGTTCACCCCCGAGGACATGGTTTCCGATCCGGCATCCTACTAAGTAGGCCCTGGTGCGTCGAGAATTATTCCCCTGCGTCGATTGCCTCAATTCGAAAACCCCTCCACCCCACAGGAGGAACCTGGTCAAGGAGTGGAGCACACACATGCGTCTTATACAGCAAGGTCACGACAGGACACAGTCACAGCAGGATACAGTCATCACGACAGGACGCAGTCGAGTAAAGATGGCTTGGTGGGATACAGACCACCACATCCTCGATGGTTCGCTGCCATCGAAATCACAGCTTACTATGGGCGATGCCTTCCCCAGGCTCGAGCTCACACCCGCCGACGAACACAACGAGATGGAACGACAGAGAGCATTGCTGTCTCCCGTCTTTGAGGAGCAATTGGGTGCATCCGCGATACCAGCACTGGTGGTGCACGTCGATATCCGCTTCACGGACCCCGTCATCCGGTCCAGGTACTGCCGCAGCTACGCCAGCTCAAAAACGTTCGAAGCCACCAACAGGATATGTCGCGGCCTCGTGCGCCGCATTGAGCGCTGCTCCGAGGAATTCATCACCCGGAAAGACTCGGGCGCGCTGGAAATGTTCAAGGACGACACCTACGAACGCAAGTCGCAGCGATTTGAGATGACCTTTCGTGTCATGAGGAGAGGGATGGGCGAGTGGGCCGAGCGAACTTATCGGTCTTACCAAAAACAGCCCCTAACCGTTGCGCATACAAAGGAGGTCGCGTTGGCCGTCCATTGGATGATTGGGCTCTTCTTGCGCCGTCACGACGAAAGCTTCCAGTGGCTCGACTGCCCAGCGCCCGAGCTTGATCCAGAAGGAAGTGAGACTGCAGTCCCTTCCCGGGATGGTCCGCTCTCCATTTTGTCCGTACCAAGATCCCGCTTCGTCGAAGCCTCTCAGGTCTTCGAGTTCGTCCCCGGATACAGCATCGAGATCTACTTCCGAAGTAGGAATCCGCACCGGCGGGTCCCCACGTTCGAGAGGAGGACAAGAGTCACCAGCATCCAAACCACGCCGTTGACTCTGTTCCTCAGCGAGGACATGCTATGGAAAGCATTGCAGTTTGCCAACCAGGCACTGGATTCGAAAAAGCGGCAGTTTGACGACCACCTCCGAAATCACAGGGAGCTCGGCTCCACTCATCTCGAGGATGACACACTTGAGCTTAGTCTCCGAGTACAAAACCACCTCGGACCTGCATATGACCACGTACAGAGAAGCATCAAAAGCAAGCTCGCGCTGTTTCGGGACCCGGGCGCCGAAGACTGTGCGACCTTCCTCTCTAATGTCGAGGGGTATTTGTCGCATATTCGGGACGAGGCCGATGCGATATTGAGCGGCACAAACGACTTCGAAGTCCGCATCGCCGAACTCAAGGGCGTGGGTTGGACGCTGCGAGAACCGGCCAAGTTTGCTCTCGGCCCCTCGGCCTCGTACGGCCGCCGGACCATCCAAGCAGCGCTGGACCGCATTCAGACCGGTGTCGGGGATGTCATCCGCGGCCACAACATTGCCATCCACCTCAGCGCCCACAAGCGAGGACACCTTGTCTTGGACAAGGCTATCGTCGCCCACGAGAAGCACGGGAACCCGAGGGAAACCTTTTTCTCGCACGAGGACGCGCAGGCGGCCTTTGTTGGGAGGCTGAAAGCCCGGGTCCAGACGGACATCGACAAGATATTCGAAGACTCGTGTTCCATCGACGACATCCCCGAGGATGACGACGACTACTTCCTTGCCCGGCCTGTCACCCCTGTCACCCCCGTTGCAGCCTGAACAGGCCGTGTTCGATGAGCCATCCCCAAGCCATTCGCCACCGTCAGCAAAGTCCTCTCCAGCAAAGCAGCCTGCGCTGGGCGTCCTGCAAAGTTCACCGAAATCGCGCTCCCGTCGGTTATTCTCGTTGTCTCGCCGATCCACAGAATCCATGCGGTCGATTGATTATCTCAAGAAAGCGGCTCGCGATCTGTTTTCGCACGATAGCAGGTCAGGTTCTGTGGTCAGCGAAGAGACACCGGAGCCGCATGGGGTAGGATCGCCTGTGGCCGATTCCCAAGGGCTGTTGTTAGCTGCAGCAGAGCTAAAACCTAAACGATCGTTCTCGCTGTTCAAACGGAGGCGCCCTTCCACTGTTCGCGTCAGCAACGCCTCGACACTTGTCGAAGTGCGGACCGCAGAGGGCGGCAGTCTCGATGGCCAGAATGACAAGGAGCCCAAGATCGGACAGCCGCGATCCGTAGAGAGCCGTTCTGGCGAGTCTATGACGTCTGGAGAGGAGGAGGCGGAGGCGAGTTCTAGAGCTGCTCTGACAAGGACTCTCCCTGTGGAAACACTCTCAGCTTCTGGCCTGGGTATCGGCCTTGCTATCCATCAACCTAAAGCACCATCAACGGAGAACAAAGACGCACCGGCAGCTACCCATCAAAAGCAACTGGGCAGAATGGACACTCCCGAGTTCATCGACGCTCGGGAGTACGTCGTCAGCCCGGCTTCTGAGGACGTCGCCCGGTCGGGGCTCTCGGGTGCCCTAACCAGAGTAGCGAGCCCGAGAGAGGACGATGAGTTCTCCACGGCACCGTCAACCCCCGAACTGAGCACGGGAGCTTCGTCACCGAGGCACAGCGTATTGATAACTCCGGAGTGCCTACGGACTAAATCCGGGACGAAGGATCCTGCTCTGCAAGACCTTTACCCGGTGTCCGAACCCGAGGAGGTTGTTGCCTGTTCCCCTGAGTTGAAAGCCAAGGGGGACCGTGACTATGTCGCGGCCGACGAAGACCCTATTGACCAGCACTCACTGCTGCAACCAACTGCAGCAGCGAAATCGTTCGAAAACTTTCCCAGTGACACAAGCACGCCACGGGTGTCGGAAAATGCCGACCCAACCGCCCGGGCTGTGTCACGTCACCAAACACCCGACAACACAACCAACAACCACAAACCGCCAGTCACACCACCGTACCCCTCCACCACAGCACCCGAGCCCAAGTCAAATAACACAGACTCCCGATCCACGTCGGAGAGCCAGGTTCACACCGCCCCCCTCGGGGCCGAGATCGACGTCGCAGCCGACAGCCCGCCCGCTGCCCCTGCGTCGGACTCCCCCACCTCTGAGTCCGAAATCCGGGGGTCGGGCCCGAGCGAGAAGCCACCGGCCCGCGCCCCAGGCGTGCCTGCGTCTGGACAGTGCGAAGCCGCCACAGGGCCTGCCGATAGGCTGGACGCCTCGCCGTCCGAGCCCGAGGCCTGCGTCGGCGAAGTGCCCGCCGGGAGCGAACTCGGCGCCGGTCGCGGTGCCGAGGCGGGCTCTGGGGGGGATAGTGTCGCTGGGGAAGAGGGTGTGGATGCGGAGAAGGCCTCGAAGAGGACTGCCGGACCTGACGTGGATGACGGAGAGGGTGGTGTCGGTGATCAAGACGCTGATGGCGGACCCGGTCTAGGTACCGAAGAGCTCGACAAGAAGCTCCCCGCTTCCGAGAACGTGACCGCTGAAGACGTCGGTCCCGTCGGCGAGACAGAGGATGCTTGCAGTCCTGTTGACGCTGACGCCCGGGCACCCGAGGCTGTCGATTCGGAGAAGACCCGCGGTCCCGATTCCCACACCGAAGTCCATGTTGAGCCCGAGACCGAGATCTCGGACGAGATTGTCTCCGTGGCTGATGCCGATCCTGCACCGCGTGCGGTTAGTGCCGAAGCTGAGGCTGACTTCTCGGGCCCGGGTACGCTTCCCAAGCTTGCCCACGACGCCGAAGCCGCCGCGGCGGATCTAGTTGTCCCTGTACCGGCCGGTCCCGCGACCGAGGGAGATATCGAACTCGGTCCCACACCTAACGGGCCCGAGATCTCTGTTGATCAGCTCGGGAATGGTCACATCGCCGGGGACTCGGATCAAAAATCCCCACTCAAAGAGGAGGAGCAGGTTGCCGTGTCCGACCTCGGAAGTGAGACATCACTGGACGGGAACGGGATCAAGGAGGACCTGAGCCCGGTTTCGGCCGAATCTGATGCCACCGGAAGTTCCAAAGATGGTGTCACCGTTGAAGCCGAGGAATGCATATCGGTTCCAGTGCTGCCTGGATTGCCTGGTCAGAACATTGATGGTGGGGCGCACGACAAGTCCACAGATGACCCGATCGGGGCCGAGGCTGCGGGCCGTGGCGCTCTCGACGGATGCGAGGGCGAGTCAGTTATGGATCCGAGCGTGACTGGAGCTGCCGAAGCCGAATCATCGAAGCTAGGTAGCGGTGAAGACATTGAGACGGAATCGAACCCGGTGCCGACGGTGACCCTCGATGGGCGAAATGCCGGTGAGCGGCCTGCGGAGCAATCCGTAACGGCCCCGGCTGGCCCCGAGGTTGTTAAACCGGAGACCCCGAACGGTGTTGTCAGCCAGGCTGTCGGACAGGAACTTTCGCGAGATGTGGATTCCTCGTCTGACGGTATTGGCGGGAAGGATTCTTATGAGTCCGAACCTTGCTCTGATGCCACGGTCGGAAATGGTGACCTTCGCAAAAAGTCATTCGGGCCCGAAGCTGAGATTGACGCGACCCGCGCTGGCCCTGAAGTCGGAGACCGTCGTGTTTGCGCCGACCGAGGAACCCCGGCGCCGGATTCCCATGGCAGCAAACACGCCGCACCGGCAACCTCCGTCGACAGCCTCGCGCCCCACCGTTCCGAGACATCGGGTTCGTCGACAGGGGCTGCTCGGTCCCGCTCCGCGGTTGGTTTTGGTATCTCCGGCGAGACCCCTGAGCCCGCTCGGAACCCGGCATCAACACAACAACCAGCAAAAGCGAAACCCCATGTCGCCCCCATCCCCGACCTCTCCAAACTCCCCAAACACTTCCCCGCCCGGACCCGAACCAGCCTCTCGTCCGACGCAGCCTCCTTCATCGGCAGCACGATCCGCGACTCGGTCGACACCATCCGGCCGTCGACGGACGAAGTCCAACCCGCCGCTTCCCCCCTCCTCGCTGAGCAGCCGCACACCAGCAGCAGCAGCAGCGGCGGCGGCGGCGGCGGCCGTTCCAAGACGGCCGGCTACCTCGGCATCGGCCTCCGCGAGTCGCGCCGAGTCGAGGTCGGGCTGCGCGGCGCGCTGGGGGATGTCGGGCCTCGTCGGCGAAGGAGCCTGCCGCTGCAGCATTTGTTGTTACCGGGTGGTGGGGAGGTGGGGGGTGGTGGTTCGGCTGCTGCGGCGGCGAGGTCGGTGTCGAGTGGGCCGGCTGGGAAGGCGGGTGATTCGAGGAAGGCTTTGAGGAAGGGGATGGGGAGCGGGGAGGAGGTGGATGGGGATGGGGATGAGTATGAGTATGATAGTGGGCGGTCGGCGGTGCCTAGTTTGATGATGTTGCTTGCGGGGGCGGTGGCGATTGGGAAGATGTTGAAGGGGCCTGGTCAATGAGTTTAGTTTTGGTGGAGCTGCATCGAGGGCCTTGTATTTTTATTGTATTGTCATGTTTCAAGGGGGAGGCATAGCTGTATTGGATTGTTACGACGTCGATGATGGGGTTATGGGCGGGCGCTTGGGCAATAATGGGTTGGCTTGAAGGAACGGAGTTGGGCGCATATCCAAGGTGGAGCATATGCATGGCCAGCACATTGGGAGCCACAGATATATCAATAACATGTATAATAACCAAAACATATGGCGTGAAGTCTAAGTGAGGATGGATATTACCCCGCACCTATGGTTTTATCTTATCACCGCCTGTTCACTGCTGCGCGGTGGGTGAATATTTTGTCAAGGTCGGGGTCGTGGAGTAAGTTGTCTGTGAATTAATATGCTGGGTATCATCTCTCAAGACGGTTCGGTTCCTATCAACATCAATCATAACTCGTCCCTCACCTGCCCCGCCTCCCCAACGTCTTCCTCCCACACCCGCTTCATGGGGTTGGGCTGGTCCTCCAGCTCATCCCCCGCCGTCCTATTCGCTTCCTCCTCCTCCCTCCGGTCCAATGTATCCTCCACCATCCTGCCCACCTTCTCCACCATCGAATCCCCATCACCACTACCCTCTCCCTCCTCCTGGCCCCTCCCAACCCGCACCGTCGGCACGGCCCCCTCCTCCCCAACCCCCACCACAACCGTAGCCGCCGCCCCACCATGCTCCCCAGGCGCCACCACCCCCATCGTAGCCCCCCTCTCCCCACCACCCGCACCACCACCACCAAGCTGCGACACCCCCCTCGTCACGCGCCACCCCGTGCGCAGCGGCAGCCACAGCAGCCACCACAGCGGGCCGTACAGGAAGCGCCGAAACACCAGCCACGCCAGCGTGGCCAGCAGCAGGCGCAGCGCGGCGCGCAGGTACCAGGTGTCGCTCTTTTGCGCGCGCACCAGCGTGCCCACCAGGTCGCGCGACCGCGTCAGCAGGCCGTCCAAGCCCTCGTAGCTGCGCTGCAGCTCGGCGAGGGCTGCTGAGCTTTCGGCGAGGGTTTGCGAGGCGAAGGCGGATTTGGCGAGCTCGCCTGCGATGAGCGTGTGGGTGCGTTGTAGGGCGAGCGTGATGTCGCTGGACGTGGTGACCACGTCGTTTTGTTGGCTGCTGCCGCGGTTGCCGGGTTTTTTGTTGAGGCGGCGGCGGTCGCGCGGTGTGAGGAGCTGGGCGCGGGCTTCTTCGTGGGAGAGGGGTTGTTGTTGGTGGTGTTGTTGGGTGCCTGTTGGGGAGGTGGCGTCGGAGTCGGGGGTTGTGTCGGGGTTGGTGAGGATGGTGGAGGAGGAGGCGGACGCGGAGGCGGCGTAGGACGCGAGGAGGAGGTCGCGCTCGAGTTTCTGGGCGGCTTCGAGGCTGCGGCGGGCGGAGAGCTGGGCCTTGCGAAAGGAGGTGCGGCAGTCTTTTAGTTCGGTTTGGAGTCGGTGTGCGCTCTCTTTGAGGCGTATCTTGCGGTGCTCGGCGTCGCTTCCCGGCCGGCCGGAGCGCAGGTCGATGATCTCTTCATGGAGCAGCTCGAGGTCTTCCTCCTCCTCGCGCAGAATCTGGCCGATCTCGGTGCTTAACTCAGTGGCAACGTTGTCTTCGTCGCTAGTGCTCAGGGGTACAGAACCCGGCTGGAATTGAATGTTGGCGAGGCGGTCGATGAGTTCGCGGAGTTGGCCCGTCGTTTCTTGGAGCGCTGCGAGGCGCTCGTGTAGCGATTCGAACGAGGCCATCGTGCTGTATCTTGAGGGTATCTTGTTAAAAGTTGAAAGTGGTCCGGATTGAATTGGTTGCGCACGAGGAACCCTTTGTGGTGGTGATCTGAGCTCGCTGACGACTTTGGAGAGTTGGCATCTTGAAGAATCGGCCAATGAAGGGACGTCACTTTCACAACCCATGTCGACGTTTCGAAACGCTTGCAAAACGGACCCCTGTACCTTGAAACGGTCGTCCGTCCCTCCATCCCACCTCCGTCCGGCAACCTCCGTCCCAATTGAACCGCAACATTCAACACCAATTTTCCCATCCACGATCCGATCTCGAACCTCCACACCCACCCACCACCACGACGCCGCACATTGCCTTTCCCGAACCCGCCGAACTCCGATTTCGCCCCACCTCCGACCGACCACATACCGGAACGACGTAAACACACAAAATCAAAGAAAAAGAAGGAAAGAAAAGAAAATGATAACCCGCTTCATCACGGAAGTCACAACACGGTTCAACCCGTTCTCAACACGGGCGCGGTCGGCACGGCTGTTCCTGTCCTTCCTGCCACCGACGGCGCGGTCGTCGGGCATGACCATCGCGACACAGCTGCTGCCGCGGACGTCGGCAGACCCGAGCACGCTGCACATCAAGTTTAGTGCGTTGTACCCCTCACCTCACCACTACGCCACACCACACCACTCTGCCTGCCTGGCGATTCCCACTACCACACACCCCTGGCCCTCCCGTTCCCTGAGGGTATTATTAGTTGGTCTGGGGCTAATAGAAAACAGAGGACGGCAAGGAAATGAACCTCGACTGCGAGGCCATGGGCATCAAGAGCATCGTCGAGGAAGTTGACCGGCACTCTCGCGCGCTACAGAAGGCCTCCGATTTGGCGGACGGTTAAATACACGGAACGGGAGAGAGCTGGATGTACATCTGTTTGTATCGATACGATCTACTTGTATGGGTGTACATATAGAAGATGCATTGGGAGGCGTTTGCTGTTTTCTTACGAACGAGGAATATACCACTTTACGAGGTTTCAACGATGCGCACGCTCATGAAGGGAGTATATCAGTGCCAGTCATATTCGTTTAACTCGAGACTATTTCACTTTTTAAGGCCCGATTTATCTACCTGAAGGACTATCCAGCGACGCTTTTCCGTACGACCTAGCCATCTAAGAGGAGGCACCGCTAATGAAGAACCACTTGTCGATGGAGGCGTCGATCGGAGCGGGCGGGAGCTCCTGGTTCTGGGGAAGGGGCGGCAGCTGGTCAGGCGAGACGCGGCTGCTCGAGTTGCTGACCGTCAGGTTGGTACTGTGCTTGTCAGTATCGGGGAACCTGTAGAAAGAGGGACAAGGGGAAAACCTACGTGGCGATGCTGCCGGGAGCGGTCTTGCCCGTGATGAGCTTCTCCCAAGCCTCGCTGCACTCACGGACGACGTCCATGGCATACGTCTTGTTCTTGCACTCGCCGGTGAAGGCGAACTGGTTCTCGGGCTTGCCGTCGGGGATCTTGTAGATGCGGAACCACTCGTTGGTGGCGCGCAGCAGGCCCGGCAGGTGGCGCTCGACGTCCTCGACGTCGTTGAGCTTGGAGGCGAGCGGGTCGTTGACGTCAATGACAATAACCTTCCAGTCCGTCTCCTCCTCGTCCAGGAGCGCCATGACGCCGAGAACCTTCACCTGCTTGACCTGGCCCGTGTAGCCGACCAGCTCGCCGATCTCGCACACGTCGAGCGGGTCGTTGTCACCCTTGGCCTTGGTCTCGGGGTGGATGGAGTTGGGGTCCTCCCAAGTCTGCAACGGTCAGATCACTGGGCAACGAGCATTCATCCAGGGGCTCCCATGCCATACCTGGGGGAAGGCACCGTAGTTCCAGAGGTAGCCCTTGTGGGGGAAGCAGTTGCGGACGAAGCGGAGCTTGCCCTTCTTGGTGTCTTGCTTGATGGGGTTCAGGAGCTCATCCTTGGAGATCTAGCGGTGGGAAATATGTCAGTCACAGCCAGTTCTCTTCCATAGCCTGGGTAAGCTACAACTCAAGCGAGCCGAGCAAACGGAGAGAGCTCCCACCCACCTCGAGCTTAGCGTTGGTCCAGCGCGGGATCTCGACGATCATGTTGAGGATGGTCTGCTCCTGGTTGGCAAACAGCGGGATGTCGTGGAAGGGCGAGACGGGGACGCCATCCTTCTCGATGTAGACGCGGTGGTCGAGCGTGTGGGGGGCGCCGACCTTGCGGACGGTGTACTGAGACGCCATGATGTTGGCTGTGCTTGCGCGGGAGACTCCCTTGGGGTAGAAGTGATGTAATACTTGGGCTACTCGAGCGGAGGGTGAGCTTCCCGGACACGATTGATCAGTCGAGGGAATTGTTGGAGTGGCAGAGTGCGAGGTCGCAGCAGCAGCTAAAGAATCAGCACTGGAGGCGGAGGCACCTTCCTCGGAGCAAGGCGGGGGAGGGGTTCCAGAGGGAGATGTGGGCCTCTTTTGGTGTGACGCCAGCCAACGGTGCTGTGATTGGCCAGGGCGGGTTGATTGCTGCTGCGGCATGTTTTGGGCTGCAAAGTGTTGAAGAGACGGGAACTGCTGCTGCTGCGTTTGCGTGAGGAGTCGACTGAGCCCCGCAGACAGCGCCCGCTTTGACCTCAGCACTCGTAAGGCCGTCATAAAAACATTCGGATGCCGCTTAAGTAACCCAGGATGTAGCTGGGCAGGGCTGGTCGGCTTTTGTGGTAAAGGTCGGGTGTTTGTTTCGAGAGTCCGACGTCCCCTTCGGCCGCAGTTCTTCTCCGAATTATCGGCTCGGGACCCTCTTTCGGTTAGTAACACAACTTTATTCCAAATATCGGGAATTCGTTTTAGTGTTGCGGGATGAGTGTTTATCTTTTCCGTTTTACTTTCTACATTTGGGCCAGATTCTCCTAATTAATATTTTTGATAACCACCACTAACTATGAGGCAATTGCACTCCCCCTTGTCGCTCTAGCCTCACTGTGGCTTGCCGATTCTCAACGTGTTTCCGTTTCTCCCCGAGCCCCCTTTTCGTCGCCCAGCAGCCGAGTCTTGGCACAATCACCCCTTTTGTTTCCACACTCGATGATATTGGGTACGTGATATCGAGTACGTACGCACGGCTGTCAATTACGCGTGTATCAAACACCAGCCCTTCAATAATGTCATCGCAACCCCCATCAATCATTCTAGAGAACATCCCCAGGCTGGTAAGAAACTGTCGGGTATTGGCCTGTTCCCCAACGCCCTATCCGCTTAACCAACCACAACACAAAACAAACAAAGCAACCCACTCAGGGGAAGCCAGGAGAAAAGCAACCACGTAAAAAAGCGCGAGAAAAGAACAGAAAATCATCATCACTCATCCCTACCCCCCGACCCCCGACCCCTATTCTCAGAAACCAAAATCCACCACCACAAAAATCACCTCCTCGGCAGACTGTTCCTCCCATACAGCGCCCCCCCAAAAGCCGGGCCCCCACCCGCCAGCCCCTGACTGACGCTCTGGCGCAGGATCATGGCGGCGGCCCTCGACGCGGTCATGCGCTCCTTCTGGCGCTGCCTCTCCTTGAGGTAGTTGGCGGCCTCGGGCCGCATGCGCAGGATGCGCAGGATCATGTCGTCGCTGGGGTCGGCCTGGGCCTCCTTGCGCTTCTCCTCCTTGGCCTTGCGCATCGTGCCCAGGTTGCGGTTCATCATGATGCTCTTGCCGCGCCGGATCGTGCCCAGGCTGCCGAAGGGCACGTTGCCGATCCCCGACGCCCCGCCCAGCGACGGGACGCCCAGCATGCCCGAGGAGGATGCCGAGAGCCGGTTGCTGCCGTTGCTGTTGCTGGCGTGGTGGCTGTGCGCTTGTTGTTGGGCTTGTTGCGCCTGCTGCTGGGCGCGCTGGGCGTTGGCCGCCGCCATGCGCTCCGAGGTGCGGATCAGGTTCTCGCTGGTGTCGAAGTAGAAGAAGTTGAGCGACACCAACTCGTGCCACTTAGGCGACTTGAGGATGTCGGCCGGGATTCCGAGCACTTCGCCCGACTCGTGGTCCCTCGCGTGAAAAAAGTCATAAAGCAGCTCCAGCCAGCGGTAGGTGACGTCCAACTCGGCTTGCGTGAGCGGTTTCTGGGGGGACGGCTTGTCCGAGAGCGGCGGGACGAGCAGGGTCTCGATGGCGAGGAGCACTTCCTTCCAGAGGCGCGTCATGACCGCCATCATGGTTGCGTCTGTGAGGGTCTGCTTCATGATGGCAAAGTTCTCGTCGAAGTAGGTGAACAGGGGCCGGAGCGCCTCCTCCACCTCTTGCGGTGTGACGGTTGGCGCGTGAGATTGCCTCTTCTTCCAGAGATTGGCCATGGAGGCGGTGATGCCCTTGGTTAGCAGGCCACGCAGAGACTCGCGAGATAGTAACAAGTTGATGTGCATCGATAGCTGCTCTCGGTTAGCGACGACTCTTCTCAACCCGACAGATCGTAACTCGGCCGACTGAACATACCTTGCTGGTAACGAGCCGCACCATGTCTCGCTCCGTCTTCTTGAGATGCCGGAAAGCCTTCGCAAAGTGGAATTGAATATCATCACGTTCGCCTTCCATCGAAGCCCTGATCAAAATCCTCCCTTGGGTATCCAGATCCAGCCAGAACTCCCGCGGCAGATAGTCGCCAAAATGCACCGGGTCGAGCTTTAGCGATGTCCGGCCGACAAAGTCATGGTCCCCAAACATGTCGTAATCCCAGATGGTCGCAATCAGGTTCAGCGGTCCCTCTACCGAGATATCAAACGTCTCGTCCCAGCGCGGGTTGAGGTTCCGATTGATAACTCTCGTCCGGTGAAGGCGCTTCTGGTACTCGTCGCACAGGACAACGTAAGGATCACTCAACCCATTCGGGTCACAGGCCTTGAGATCCTCACCCTCCACGATCTTAACCGTGAACACATATTTTGTCGTCCTCCTCCTCGCTGACTGTTTCGGCCCGTCAACCCGGTTAAGGAGCTCGGCGCAAGCGTCCACATTCATGCGCTTCTCCAGCTTGTCCAGAACCTGCATAGCCCACTCAATATTATTGAATTTGACAAAGGACTAGAGAGAGATTAGCAACCAATAACGGCTGGGTTGTCCAGTGCAACACCGCTCACCTGGGGGTAGAACTGGAATGGCTCGATCCTTTCCTTGGGATTCCATGTATCCTTCGCGTACTGGAACCATTTCGACGTTCCCTTCTGCGCCGCAGCCAGCTGCTGCTGTTCGGTCTCGCGCTCCATCTCGTGTTTGAACTGGCCGTACGCAACTTCGCAGTACTTCCCGATGCCTCCGGCAAACGATTTGGCAAGAGCAGTCATGAAACGCGCCAGCTGGACCTCGTCATTCCACTCCAGCTGGAGCAGTTGGTCAACCGTCTGACCGAACAGCGTGAATATGTCGATGATGGAGACGCTGTGACGCTCGTCGTCGGTCGGTATGCCCCCTTCGTGGCGAGTCCGGACCTTGAACACGTCCTGTTTGATCGCCTCCTCAACGAACCCCGGCATTCTGTCGTCGGCGTTCTTGATCCACCGCCAGACAAAATTCTCGAGTAGGTTTTCGATATGGTAGCCGAAGGGTGTTCCCGGAAGCGCCTCCACGTGCATTTTTCTAATCTCGACGAGTTCCCGGTACAGGTCGAAGCCGTCTTGGAGCTCAATCTCGACACCGCTCTCTTTGGAAGTCTGCAGCACGCGCTTGATGATCTCATGGCCATCCTCTTCGAAGCTCGGGAGCGTCGTCTCGACCAGAGCCTTGAACGGGCTTGCGCCCATGATCTCGGGGTTTTTGCGGTACCGCTTCCTGATTTTCTCGGCCAGCTCGGTAACGGCTTTGCCCAAGTTGACTACGTGCCCGAAATCCCAGTCTCGCTGGCTACGCGGGATGTGCTTGTCCAAGGAGTCCCTGTACGACTGGGCGGCCTGTTGGCGTAGCCCACTGTCAAGCCGCTGAGAGAACTCGGCTGCGTCTTCGGGTCGCTGCGAAAATGCTGGGTCGGGGTAGACGTGGTTATTGAGTAACGCCATGACGACGCCAACAGTGGGTGGCTTTGGCTCGTAGCAGCGCATGAGGAGCGTGTAGAGGTCCCGAAGCAGGGCGTCATGTAGATCCTTCAACGACTGTTGGTAGCCCGCGAAATCAATTATCGTCCATGTGCTAGGCTCAATATCGCTGAGGCTGGACGTGTACCCCTGAATGAGGATCGGCTTCTTGGGCTCCTCTAGAGGCTGTTTGACAAGATCCAAACAATCGTACAGCTGCTCCGGAGGCAGCTCCTGGTCGAGAAACTTGCGAGTCGTAACCTCGACGAAGGCAACGTACCGGGAAAACTGCGGTATCCGCCAGCGCACCGCGAGTTCTACTAGGAAATCCGTCGTCTCTTCAGACAAGGGCGACTCAGACGTGTCCGAGTGAAGCTGATCGAACGATACAACATACTGAAGAATGACCTTGTAGACGGAACGGGGGTCTGGGGGAATGAAGGTATAGCTTGGCCCGTCGACGCTCCGGATGCCAGATGTCTCTTCGGCAGTGGGCGACCCAAAGCCAAAAGAGGGGTCGAGACTGGGCGCGGGAGACTCTGGGTTGGAGAGCATTCGGCTCAGGTCCGCGTACGCCTGGTCCTCGTACATGGAATGGCGAACGGGGAGCGGTTTGTCGAGCCCTCCGCTAGCCCCTCCCTTCAAGTCCGGACGAGCAATCAATATCTCAGCAAATATCTTTGCTAGGTGGGGAGCCTCTCCCCGCCTCCACTCCTCGTATGCTTCGTCCACGTCAAAGTCCTGCTTCCGCAGGGTTCCAGCCATGCCGGCGGAGAGCCTGAACTGGTACGACTTGTAGTCTTTGAGCGCCGCCTCCTCGGTCCACGCCGATGTGTTGCGGTCGATGTCGGCTTGCACCTGGGAGTTGGTCACACCAAAAACTTTGGCAACGAGCTGCACCATGTGCATGTCCTTGACCTCGTAGCTCAGGGGTATGTCCACCTCGACATATGAATGGTCCTCCTGGCCCGTATCGAGGTAGAGGTTCTGATCATTGCTCATGAGCTTTTTCTCCAGTGTGTTGAGGCGGGAGACCAGCTCGATGTCTCCCTTATCTCTGAGAATGCTGCTGAGCAGCCGGATGAACATGGCCAAGTGCCTGTCGACAAGCACCTTCCACGAGTGGTCCTCGGCGGGTTTTCCGCGACCCTGCGCCTTCGAGGCGGCCGAGTAGAAGATCAGAACCAGGGGCTCGACCTTGCGGTCCTTGTCGATTGACTTTTGGAAGTCTTTGGCGGTGAACGCAGTGTAGGCCTCGGCAAAGGTCCGTTTCACGGCGGCGTCGCTAAACCCGGGCAGTCTCTCGATTCCCTGGAGGACACCCGACATGCGCTTCTCGAGGGAGTGGCGAAAACCAGAGGGCAGCTTCACCGAGGTCGAACCCGACGGGACGAGTTCTTTGACCAACTCGGCCACACTCGAGGTGTGGACACGCGGAGGCGGCTTGGGAGCACTGACATATTCCTTTCTCTTTTTCCTGGGCTGGAGAAGATAACGGAGGAATGCGACACGGAGGGCGAAGGAGTATGCGTCGTCGTAACTGACGCTTGCCACGGCGCGGGCGGCCTTTGATAGTGTGCGACTCGGTCGGTCGTCATTCTGAACGCTTTGCACACTGCCGACCCGGCGGCTGGGATGGTAGGAGGATCGGGATGCCGTCGACATGTCGACGACGCACACGGGAGTTGTGGCGCCAGAGGAAGTTTGGGCGGGGCTGCTGTTGGGCGATGGTCGGCCGACGTCAAGCGCCAGTCGTCATGGCGCCAGCAGCTGCTGCAGTGAAAGCACCCACTGAAGCGAGCGCGCAAGGGGCCAAGGGTTGCAAAAACACCACAAGGGCAGGCAGGAACAACTCAAAGCGAGGCGTGCGCGCTGGTGCTTCCTGGCAAACCGTGGCTGGCGGCAAAGAGCCTTCGGGATGAAATCGAAGAGATTGTCGTTTAGGGGAGGTTGGACCAGGGACGTCATACGCCTCTTTGCATACCGCTGTTGGATGGACTGGGATAGGCTTCTGAGCCACCAAAAGTGGAGGGGTTTTGGGGGGTTCGTTCGAGCGGGCAGGGATGCTGCGCGCGCGACGCGGGAATCTGTACATACGACGTAACGACGCTAGTACGTTTCACCATTCCAAGTTGTGCGCACAACCTTCGCCCACATACTATGTACCGGCATATTCTCTGTGCTGCGAACCATCAAAGAAATATCTATCTAGGTCGTAAATTGCCAAGGTTCGTCGGGACCATTTTATAACTAACATTGGGGAGGGGATTTCACTCAAAATCATATTTAGGTACTCCGGGAGTCATGTGTGTATTCCGGTACCATGGAGGATTCAAGACGTCCAAGCTTTCAACACCTCGGTCATCCCTGTTCTTGGGTACCTCGATACATGCCCGACCTCGACAACACCACCCGAGTCAAAAGTCTGTGGCCACCTTGTCCCTGTGAAAACATTGCGCTTTCCCCTTTCCAGTGTCAGTATGTTTATATGATCCGAGTTATTGTCTTCGGGCATGGAATTGATGCGCAGGGATTCTTTCGATCCCCTCAATCCGTGACCCTTTTCGGAACTTCCCGAGACCTGGAATGATTTTGTCTTTTCAACAACGAATTGTTATCAAAGACCGGCAGTGGATGGTCCCGAAATAGAACGTGGCCAGCAGCAAGGACTCACGTGGGGTCAATTCCATCCTTTCTCGGCTTTTGGGGTGGGAATACGAACGCCCCGCCCTGGACAGGAGGAAAGATGTGCACAGAGCTGTAATTCCGTACCAAGTGCCCAGGGCGCGAGACAATAAAAGACAACATGGAAAACGGGTTGCAACAATTAGTAACTATCTCTTGTCTTTGGTATCCTGTGATCAAATGCGGTTGTTTTACCCGCCGAGATGACGTTGATTGCAAAGACGTCATCAGGTCCCTTGTCAGCACGCTAAAGGTTCACACGATCGAATTAGCACGCCCCCGTGCCACAGGCCATTCCTCGGAAGCCCAAGCTGACGTTTCGACTCGTGGCTGTGGTTGAGAGCGTATGGTATGTGTATGTATCCGGTGTGTATTAATCTGAGATCTGAATTCCGAGATGGATTCCTCCTGTGGTGTTGGGAGCTCGCACCCGAGGCTCCAAACATAAAATTCCGACTCAAGCATGAGAGACTAATGAGAAGAGGCCGAAAGAAACAAGACTTCAAGAATGGTTTCTGATGGATGTTTGGTGTCCATATATGGAACCTCGACTGTCCGACGTCTCTCAATCAATGCCTCGGTGGGTCCCGTGAATTACAGGGGCTTTACCCAAGCGACCGTTACAGGGCGCACCTGGCTTGGGGGCCTGCAGGGTTTCAGAAGGCCGTGTTGCGTGTCCCGAGTGCCCCTGCCAGCCTGCATCTGAATTGAGCAGGCAACCCCGCTGCGCCGCTGCGAACCGCCGCCAGTCGCCAACCAAGAACTTCGTTTAGATTTCGACTGCTGCCGACTACCATCAACCGACTTGACCATCTCCTCCCACCCTGCCGATAGTCGGTGCCCCTTTGCAGCATCCTCGGCGCCGAGATGGGCAACGTTAGCAGCGTGCCCGATGAGGGCGCACCTCTCTATCTTAGAGATCAGAATCGCTGTAAGTTTTGGTTTTCCCCGCCGTGCGACTCACCAGAGAGCGACCTATCCCCGGTCTGTGCAATGCTCCGCGCGTGATTGAATGCGCCTTGCGCGACCGACTGCTTGTTGAAGCGTGCTTAGTGCGCTTGCTGTCCTTTTCTTTGCGCAAAATCGATGCCGCGATGCTGACTCCTCTTGCGCGCAGTATCTATCTCTTCCGCTGTCATAACTAGTCCGAAACGTCGTGCCCCAATAAACATCGTTCCGAATGCATTTCCGGCTACAAGAGTATCAGCATCGAGGACATCTGGCGACTCTGCCCCGGTCGAGTTTGTGCTAGTGAGTGCTCTCGTACTCCCTCGAGGTCGACGTCCACGGACGGCAGTAATGATGATGTCTGACGGTGTTGTTGCAGGATGCCGAGTCAACCAATTCTGGTTCTGGTCCCGCCTTCCTACTGAAGCTCTCCAACGAAGATGAGCTCGTCTTCACCTTTAGCTTCATCATTCGCCAGCCGCAGAATGCTGCCCAGAGCTCAGCAGGTGGTGTTGATGCGGTAGCTCCGGCGAACACCCAGCTCAACGGCCTCACCTTTGTATTCGCGTCAACGCCCCGCGAAGTCGAGAACTTAGTGACTCGCGAGTTCCACGCCGACCCAAACCTTCACAAGAATGCGAATGTTGCTCTTGTCGGTAGCTACTCGACCGAAGGCAGCTCTTCCGTAACTTTCGATTGGACATGGCGCTGGAAACCGCCCAAACACACCGAGGACCGGGGCGGCGGCTGGAGGAATACGTGCAGTGTTGGTGCCCCTTCCCAACTGCGTCCCTCTCATACAATGGCTAAGATATATGCAGTTTGTCGAATACGACCAGCGGGCCCACCGGCTGATAACCCTGGCCAGCTTCTCATTCTATGTCTCAAGTAGGTGCCTCTGAGCAATGCTTTTCCGTCGTAAACCCGTACTTACCTACATATTAGACACCTCACCCTATCTGAGCCAGCCTAATTCCCCTACCCCTCCACTCCTGAGCGCTCCTCCCAAGGTCCGCGTGGTGTCTGCACAATCGCTCGAGTCTCAAATTAGTACCATCCCGGAACACGAGGAGATCGTTTCACCCCAACAGACCATCGGCGATCCGATCGGTTCGCCGCCATCTGCGCCGCCAGCTCTAAAAGAGCCCATCAAGGTGGATGTTTCATGCCCTCGACCGACAGAGGACATGTCCATGTCGGATGATGGGCCAGTGTTTCGGGCCACCATGAAGGTTCTGGAACAGAAGACGGGCAATATGAGGATGCAGATGAAGCGATTGATCAAAAAGGCCGAGTACGTGCACCAGTCGCAGCAGGAGGCCAACGATGCGTTTGCTTCCTTCATGGACGCCCTAAAGGAGGTCTCGGCCACCAACGCAAATGCCGTCCAGCCTGCCATCGAGCACTACTTCGACAAGATTGCGCGCGAGATTCTGTTGTACGAGCGGCAAAACACCCTCAACTTGCAAAAGATCGTCATCGACCCGGTGAACAAGCTCTACCAGATGGACATCAAGCAGGCTGAGGCCAAGAAGCGAGACTTTGAAGAAGAGAGCAAGGAGTTTTATTCATACGTCAGCCGGTACCTCGGGCAGCGACACGATTCCGTCAAGGCGAAGCAGAGCGACTCCAAGTACCAGTCAAAGCGCAGGAATTTTGAGCTCAAGCGGTTCGACTATTCGTCATTTATGCAGGACCTCTCGGGCGGTCGCAAGGAGCAAGAAGTTTTGTCGCACCTCACCAAATATGCGGATGCGCAAGCTAGGTACTTTCTCCGCGCCTCGAAAAAGGTTGACGAGCTGCTCCCGCAACTGGAAGCGTTGTCCTCCCAGGTCCACGAAGCAGATAAGGGGTATCAATACCAACGTGTCGAGCGGGAAGAGAAGAGAAGGCTCCTAGAGAAGGGCAGTCTCGCGTACACGGAACCCGAGCCGCCCTCTACCGCCTCGGGACCCAATCCCGTTGCGGGCCACCCCAACGGCACCCAGTCGAACTCAGACACGGAGATGGGGCGGGCGGACAGCACTGGGTCACAACTCAGGCCAACGCGCTCCATCAACTCGAGCGGTTCACCCAGTGTTGGCGACTTGTCTAGATCACCCGGCAGTCTCAGTGCTGTTGGCAGCCCGGTCCAGAGTAGCAAGTTCAAGGGCATCCGTGATCTGGAGGAGCGGGATCCCAACCAGGCCGCACAATCCGACAAGGATTCTTCAAACAGGAAGGAAGGTCTGCTTTGGGCACTGAACCGCCCCGGGGGTCACGTCGACCCGCGGAACCTGAACAAGCAGGGCTGGCACAAGTATGTCCCCCAGTCTGCTTTAACTACCCACTTCTCACTAACACCTTGGTAGATTCTGGATTGTCCTCGACCAAGGGAAGCTGTCTGAGTACAGCAACTGGAAGCAGAAGCTCGATCTCCACATGGAGCCTATCGACCTCCGCCTTGCTTCGGTCCGGGAGGCCAGAAACGCAGACAGACGTTTTTGCTTTGAAGTCATCACACCTCAGTATAAGCGGGTCTACCAAGCAACATCCGAAGAGGATATGAATAGTTGGATTATGGCCATCAACAATGCACTACAGAGCGCCGTCGAGGGCCGAACGTTCAAGGACAAGCCATCGACGGCTCACGCGGACCTGGGTTTCAACGGGGTCGATATCGGTTCCATGCTGGTGGGCAAGAGCTCGTCTGTCGGCCACGCCAGTCATTCGAGCGCCATCCCCTTCCGACGAACAACCGTTGGCGCCCGGCCTAGCACTTCGCGCGGCAGCAGTTTCGAGGACAAGCCCGACAAGCTGCTGCAAATGCTACGTGAGAACGACCAAGGCAACTGCTGGTGTGCCGACTGCGGGTCCAGCAATAAAGTCGAGTGGGTTTCGCTCAACCTCGCCATCATCGTCTGTATCGAGTGCAGCGGCATCCACCGATCCCTAGGAACACACGTCAGCAAAGTCCGGTCGCTTACACTTGACACGACGTCATTTACGCCTGATATCATTGAGCTGCTTCTCCTTGTCGGGAATAGAGTGTCCAACATGGTGTTCGAAGCCAGGCTAGACCCAGCCGGAAAACTCACGGCTCAGGCAAACCGGGAACAGAGACTGAGATTCATCAATGCCAAGTACGTCGAGCGGGTGTACGTCGAGCCGATCTCGGCGACGCTCTCGAGATTTGGCACGCCAGAAGACACCCTGTTAGCCGGCATCAAGCGCAACGAGATCCAACAGATTCTATACGCCTTGGCCCTCCGCGCAAGCCCCAACGTGGCCGACAAATCGCGCGGCACACACGCCGTTTACCTAGCCCTTGCAGCCGCAGACCCAGCACCGCCTTCGCCAATGCCATCGCAGGCGCTGGCTCCCCCGACCCCGACCGTCGACCGCGTGGTACCCTTCCCAGTCGCGGAGCTCCTCATCCAAAACGGCGCCGAGATCCCGGACGCGCTGCCCCAGGTCCCGCTCAGCCTGGCGGCGCAGGCGTACATCGAGATGAAGCGCGGGCGCAAGGCGGCCATCGAGGCGTCGGGCTCGTACGACTCGCCGGGGACGACCACCGCCGCCGCCACGTCCATGTCGAGCCAGAACGACAAGCTGCAGCGCGAGCGCGACGCGCGGCTACAGAAGCGCGTCAGCGCCGGCAGCAGGCTCGCCAAGACGCCCATCCCGGAACGCTAGAGCGCGTTGGGGGTCGCGGTGGTGGCGTGCGGCATGCCGGGGTTCTGGAGGGCGGGCAGTCGCCGGAGGGGGTTCTCGTCGTGAGGGATGGATGGCTAGCTGTCCGTCCCTTGTTCCCTTGTTGGTGGTTTCTCCCCTCTCCGCCGGGTTTTCGTGCCTCTTGGGGGGTGTACGCGTTGCGTTGCATTGGGTTTCATGGACTTTATATCTAATTTCTTTTTGCTATTGTTTTCCTCTGTTTTGTTTTCTTCTGTATGAGTTCTAATCGGGGCGGGCCCGGGATTGTCGACACAGTCACAGTCACCCATTTCTGACTTGGCCGTGGGCGAGGCAAGGCAATATATGGCTATGCGAAGGACACGGGGGCTGGCAAACAGGAGCAACTGCACTGGATCACAAGCACGAGTAGTACTAGGCTGGCAAGGGCTTGGAAACGGTTTGGTTTGCGGGTTTCCGGGAGTTGGTTGCCTTTTGAGAGGGATGGAACGGGATGACGGGAGGTCCAGGATGAACGGATGGATGGATGGATGGGCGGGTAGGTGGGCTGGTGGGTAGGTGGCAGGAATGCGGGGAGTTCTGCGTGTATGGGTATACTATGTTCTGTTGGGTATGAATCGCTCTCTGGCTGGCGCGCATGGATTAGGCGGGACGCATGGGCTGCTGGTCTGGAGTTTGTAGGCATAATCTTAATGAATGATCAACGAACACTTCTGTCACGGTTTGCTTGTCACTAGCCGGCCAAAGGTCGCCTCCCATACCGTGTAGTTCGGCGGTCTGAGATTCGGGCTCTATCTAGTTGGGGATACGAAAGAAGTAAATACTGGACATATGAAGAAACCGAAGTCATGGGTTATAGAACCCCAGTCTGGCTGTGTGGTGCAACGCCGGGCTCGTCAGGCCAAGACCTCCCAGACGCCCGCCTAGTTTCAATCAAGGTAATAATACAATAAATAGCTGAGGTGGGACTTCAGGTAGCTCAATCTACGTGGTAATTAATGTGTCATCCAATGGACAAACTCGCTTCCAGAACGAGGGTCGTATGTGTGAACTACCTACCTAGGTATAACCAAGTCAACACTGACGGTCTTGCAAAATTCAACTGAGATTATAAAGTATCAACTGTTCCTGCTATTCTCCTTTAGCTTGCATCTTTCGGTGCTTTTGGGCCCTGTTTCTGTTTGGGGGAGTGCTGACAATGTGTTATTAGTCTGACCTGGGCTAAAATGCTAGTTCAGCGCTTTGATTTTGGGATTGAGTATGCCACGGCAGGTGCTTTTGAATTTGAGAGAGATGACTTTGGAATTCAATGGGATCAAGGCTGGGTGCAGCTTGCTCGCTCGTGTTAGTTAGCGCGGGAACTGATAATGGAATTGAAAGTGAGATAAAGAAAGTTAACATGAAAGTGGTAGATCGGATAGGTACATTCTCTTTACGTAGAAAGAGCAACCAACCAAAACATGTCACTTGTTTGCTCCGTACCTAGGTACCATTTCTGTTTGCATTCCGGGATATTTAACAGGCACCGTCCCAAACCAAACCAACTACAAACCCAAACCATAGACAGCAAAGTATCAACACCTCATCAGTCAAGATGGCAGACACGAAGCAAGAAAACCCGAAATCGACAAACACGGTCTTGGAACCGGAGGAACCAGAGGAACCAACACTGACCAACCCCCCTCCCACGAGCTTCCCCCATTTCATGCTCCTCCCGGCCGAGATCCGCGCGCACATCTGGACCGCGGCCATCCTCAACGACCTCGCCGTCGGCCGATACGAACCGCCACCCCCAAGCAAGCCGGCAAGAATAAAGCGAGGCGAGGGCGGAGGCGGCTTTGGAAGGGCACGGCACCCGCTGGCACCCAACAAGCCGCCCGCTCCCGCTCCCGAGCCGCCCGTGGCCGCTCCGCTGCTGCACATCATCCCCTTCCACACGCTGCCCGTCGAAGCGCCCTTCACCCTCGCCGAGGCCTACCTCAAGGCCAAATACGGCGCGGACTGGGCCGAGAGGGCAAAAGAAGGCGCGCTGCCCGCGGGGTGGGAACCGCGCCCGCTGGCCGGGTGGGAGGAGGTGGCAACGGACCGGCGGCAGGCGCTGATCGACGAGGCAAAGGAGGCGATTGAGCAACACGCGCGCAGCCGCACCGTGCTGCTGCCGCCCGGGCGGGCGCCGGACACGCTCGCCCAGTACTCGGGCGGCTGGTGCCCGCGCAGCGAGATCGTGCGCTCGTTCGCCGAGGCCGAGACCGCCGCGCACGCGCTGGGCCGCCTGGCCAACCGCGGCGACGGCTGTCCGGGGGGTGGTGAAGATGATGGGGCGGCAGCGGCGGCGGTGGTGGGCCAGGAGACGCTGCTCAACTTGGGCAAGGGCGATGTCTGCTGCTTTCTCAACACCCGCGCGGATGGCTCGCCGATCGGCTGGGAGGAGACGCTGCCGCTCTGGGGTAGCGAGAGAGGACCTTGGGGTTGGCGAGTATCTCCCAGCCCCTGCGGCCAGGCCCCCCCCCGTGACCATTTGGGCCTGTTCCCCGGGGGGCAGGAATGGATCGGTGCCGTAAGGGAGGGGTTTGGGTGCGACGATGAAATGCTGGCTGGGCTGAGTGGGCTGAGAGGCCTGCTCCCTGCTCTGGACCAGTGTGAGGCGCTGGCTGGGGTCTGGCATCCGGCCATGTGCAGGGCCTTTCGACCCCGCTGGAACGGCGGAATCGTGAACGTTCAGCAACGCTCGGCGCTGTGTGCCGAGTTCCAACGGGATCTGAAGAGCCTGCCGCACCGTTATCCCCAACTGAAGACCATCTACATCATTGACCCCTCGATCAAGCCCAGGCCCTTGCGAGGATTCCTCGGTAGGCTGCGGCCTCCACCAACGTTCCGTGGACGCGGTGCCACCTTTTACTCGGCACTTTCCTGGCATTTCATTTTGGGGCGGGCCCGCATACAGGACTGGAGAGATGCAGTCAGTGATGTTTTGGAACCGGTTACGCGGTCGTTGGGGAGACCAACAATCCAAGTCCTTGTCTTGGCCTGTGTGCCGGACGACTGTGAGCCAGAATTCTGGGGGTCAAACCACGAATAGTAGCGACGAGACAACGGATAGATATGCTCTAGCTATAATTGGAAACTGTTGTATGACAATAATCAAGAACCGTGCTGTGTACCAAGTGCTTTTGCCCGCAAGTATCCCCCCCATCACCCATCCATCCCATCTAATCCACAACCACAACCATCTTCCCTCCTGCACGCCCATCCTCCATGTACCTGTGAGCTTCCTGAATTTCGTCGAATCTAAACACCTTGAACGGCTTTGCGTCAAACCTACCATCCGCCACAGCCTGCACGATACTGTTCAGCGGGACGCCTGACAACGGAAACTCGGGGGTCCCGAACACAAAGCTCCCAAAGAAGTTCAAGTGCACTCCGCTAGCCATCTGCAACAGCGGGTTGAAGTCCTTGATAGGATCCAACCCCCCAAGCCATCCAGCCAAACAGACCCTCCCATCCCTCTTAACCAACGTCAACGACTCCACCACGGTGCTATTCCCAACGAGCTCCAGCACCCGATCAAACTTCTCCCACGCCTTCCCACTCTCCCCCAGCCTCTCCGGCAGCCCAGGACCCTCCAACACCACCTCCGCAACCCCTAACGCCCTCAACTCCGCAAACCTAGCCTCACTCCTCGTCGTACCCGTCACCACCGCGCCCGCCTCAACCGCCAAGTTAACCGCCGCCCGCCCAAACGCGGACGTCGCCCCACGGATCAACAACCGCTGCCCGCGCTGCAGCGCCAGATTCCGAAACAAGCACGTCCACGCAGTACAATACGACTCCGGCAGCGCCGCCAGCTCCGCCCACGACAGCAGCGGTGGCTTGCCCAGCCCCCCATCACCACCGCCCTCACCACCACCACCACCACCCTCACCACCCTCCCCCAGCAGCACCACATTCCCCACCCCCACAACCGTATATTCCGCATAACTCCCCGACCTCGTCCTCCCCATCCCGCCCATGACCGCCGCCACGGCCACCCCCAACTCCAGTTCCCCCCCGGGACAGGCGTCCACGGTGCCGACACACTCGATGCCGCTGATGGGCACCGACTCGGCCCACTCGCCGCGGCGCATGTGCATCTCGGCGTGGTTGACGCCAAAGGCGCGGATGCGGATGCGTACGCTGCCGGGGGAGGGGTGGGGGAGGGGGATGGCGGGGTGGATTTGGAGGGTGGAGGGGGGGCCGGGGGCGGAGATGAGGATTGCTTTCATGGTGGTGGGGGTGGTGGTGGGCGGTGGGGATGTTGGGTTGGGGTGGTTGGTCGAAGTGTTGGTGTTGGTGGACATGGTGTAGTTGAGGGTGGTTTATCTGACTTGTTGGATGTTGTTCTTGAGATGGATATAGGACTGGCAGGTGATGCAGAGATCAGACTTTGAAGCGTGATGCCGTGAATGTCTTCATGATGAGAAACCAAAGGTTACTTTATAGACTCAACCTCCAACTTTGCTACTCACAGCCATCTTAGTCAATTGCCGAAATAGGAAATGCAAGATTCCAATGACAAGGTGGTGCTGAATAATCGACATCAACCGTCTGTAGATGCGGCCAATGAAGGGCGTGAGGATGGCTTTTGAACCACGGGCTTGTGAATGTCGAATATCGAAGGGCGTGTTCAAGATATGAAATCGGGGGACATCATGATGTCAAGAAGATGACAAACACAACCCGAGACCTCTCCGAGACCAAGACACAATACAATAAATCCACATCCCGTAAACTCGACCACCCGGCCCGTTAAAAATAGTAATGCATTGGCTCAAGTTTTTTCCCCAGGCCTATAACCAGAGAGATGATAATATATAACATCCCGTTGACTTAACACAGAAACCCGAAGTGTAAAGAAATCTGACAACCTCCCATGCTAACCAGGGACGAGACAGACATGCTGAAAGGAAAAAACTAACCCGAAATAAACCCACACAAAAAACAAACAATTATGAGCCCAGATGACGCGCCGTTTCGGCCACGCCATGGCCAAAATATCCCACATCGCCCAACACCACAATCCTGTAACACCACCACCATATCAGCCGCTTAACGGCCCCCCTTAGCCTTCCCCTTTCCCTTCACCTTCCCCTCCGTCCCGGCCGGCCCGGTACCGGCAATGTCCTTGGTCGGATACCGGCTGCCCCCGTCGTTGCCAAACAACTCCTGGTCGCCCTTCCCACCCATCTCCATAAACTCGCCAGGGTCGCGATTATCATCCGGCCGCATCTCCTTCTTAGGCGTCGGCGGCGCTCCCATCGCACCCTTGGCGTTCTTGGCGTACACCTTTACGTCGGGCTTGCCCGCGCCTGCGGGGACGCGGTCTGTCACCCGGTAGGTGTTGATGGAGCTGATGAGCGTGCGCTCCCTGGCAGGGGCTCGGCGGCTCATTTCCAGCCCAGCAAGGCCTGAGACGAGACCATTAGTACTGTCGTTCACGCCGGGCGGCTTCTGTGTGAGCCAAGGATGTGCGAGGCACTGGTCGACGGTGAAGCGCTTGTTGGGGTCCACGACAAGCATGCTGTCGATGAGGTCAACTAAGGATCGGGTTAGTAAAATCTCAACGGGGCGAGGGGGCTTGGTGCGGTCAGGGACGTACGGGCCGGGTCGCCGACAGGGTCCCAGTACGGGGAGGGATAGTCAAAGAGGCCTTTCCGGATCTGGTCCGATAGGTCAAAGGGGAAGTCGGCCCTCCTCAGCTCGTCGGAAAACGGGGGAAAGCCGCAGAGACAGATGTAGAGCACCACGCCCAGAGACCAGATGTCGACCGCCTTGGTGTACCTCCGGGCCTTGCTGTTAGCAAGGATCTCGGGCGCAACATAGCTGGGCGTGCCGCAGAGCGTTGTCGTGAAAGAGGCCTCGCCGACAATCTTGGCAAGGCCGAAATCGCCAATCTTGACGGTCAAATCCGTGTCCATAAGGAGGATGTTTTCGGGCTTGATATCTCGGTGGACCATGTTGCGGTCATGCTGCATGCTGTGTGAGTGCTACGCCGGGCATAGGATGATGTAAAAAGGGAGCGAAAACGCTTACCAGATACTTGATGCCCTCGAACAGCTGGAGGAACACCTTGCGGGTTTCAGCCTCGGTCAACTTCTGGTGCACCGTAATGTACTGGAACAGTTCGCCTTCGGGTGCCAACTCCAGAACCACATAGACGGCCTCGGGCTCGTTGAAGGTCTCCTTGAGGCACAGGATGTTGGGGTGACTGATGCCCATAAGCATGGCGACTTCCTGGTGCAGACCATCGTACTTGGCCTTCTCGTCCACTTCTGGCTTTTTGGTGAATCTCTTGACCGCATAGCAGTCGCCCGTCGACTTTTCATTGCACAAAAACACCTGGGCAAAGTGGCCGCTTCCTAGCTCTTGCTTCATCGCGTACTGCTGCGCAAAGGGCTTCCCGTGTCGACATCTCGGATACCGAAATATGAAGCCCGCAGAGGCGCTGGTGACCCAAATCTCGTCACCCTCCCGTAGTTCCCGTCGATCGTTGCGTTGCATAGTGGCGCCATTGACCTTGGTGCCGTTGCTCGAAATATCCTCCAACACGGCCACCGTGTCGTTGCGCTTGTTCTCGGCGAAGATCAAGAGGTGCCGGTTCGACACCTGCTTGTCGTTCACCCTGATGTCTGCAAAGGTTTAGTATCGCCTTCTCCACAACGCACCAAGACATCGACTCCATCGAGAACTTACCGCATTCCGGGTGCCGCCCAAGGACATACCCGCCGGAGGCCGGCGAGCCGCCCTTTGGCTCTTCTTCCTTTGCCGGCTCTTTCTTGCCCCTTCTGCTGCCATTCCTCGTGACCGCGGCGGCAGCAGGCTCAACCGCTGCTGCCGGGGGCGGGCACACCCCTTTCTTCTTGAACACCACGGGCGCTCGCACGAAGCGAGTGTCAAGCGGTAGGAGATAGCCCCAGACACCTTCCTTGATCTCATCAACCCCCTCGACCAGTGGGGCATTGGGGTCAAAGTCTTGTTGGCTGAATGCTTGCGTGTCCTGTGGCGGAGAGCTGAAAGCGATTCCCTGCGAGAAGGTTTCGTCGCCGATGTGATCTTGGGGAGGCGTGGCCGTAGTCTCCTTATCAAACTCGGCGGTGCTCTCGTTCGTAAGGTTCGTCACTGGCGAGGGGAGGTGGTGGTGGTTCTGCACCGGGGTTTTAAGCCCGTCATGATCGGTAGCATGGTCGACGCGCTGTGACAAGCGCTCGGAGCGGCGCGGCTTCTTGAAAGATTCTTGCCCATCGACCGGCGAACCCTGCAACCAAAAGATTAATCGGCGGAGCTTTCCAGGCGGGCGCGACGCCATCGAGTACAGGGTACTCGTAAGTAGAATAGCGAGTAGGCACCTACCGAGACGGCCCTTCGCTTCAGGTGGCTGCCTTCAGCCCGTGGAGCCATGGTTGCGGGAGCCGAGATGACAGCAACTCGTCGTGACTAAATGGGTTCCCTTATGTAGCAAATGGAAGCGGGCGCAACCTGGAAGGTGTGCAATTCCCGAACAAGTGTGGGCAGTGGGGTGGCAAGTGGGAGGGTTTGTGGTGTGGGAGCCTGTTTGAGTGCCTGGAAAATGCGCGCGGCCTCGTGGGAAGGCTCAGCAGAAGCAACCACGGGTGCTCATCATTCGAGCTTGGGAAATGGAGTCGACCGGGGCAGCCGCGACGGGGATTTGGAGACTTGGAGGCCTTGCCTGTGGTTGGACCACTCACACCTGGGGTTCACGGGCCGCCCCTGTTCGCCGGGGTGACTGGACGGACCTGACAATGATCCGCTGTATCCAAGCTTCAGCGGCCTTGGCGATGCAGGATGTCAACTCCCGGTGCGGTAGGGCTGGAGATTGGAATGTGGTCGTGACTGGATCGCGGGGGTCAAGTGGCCACCGGACTGTTTGCTGTGACTCGATTGGGTCGCGGAGAAATAGAGCGTCTGCACTCCTTTTCTGTGTCATTCGAAACAGACACCACAGACAGGCCCCGAGTTAGTTAAATAACTACTGTCGTAATTTCAAGAGCAGTGGGAAATTCCGGTTCGCACCCCATGCCTAGCTCCACAGCTGTTCGAAGTGTCTAGACCGCCCGTGTAGTTATTGTTGTGGTGTTTCCCTTCAAGGCAGAATTTGAGCGGCCGCTTGTACGGAGGCTTGGGCAGATCGGCGCTTCCAATGTGGCGCATCGAAAATGCAAAATCAACCCAATCGCACGGGGCCCCATTGCTTTGCCGGCCAAGAACTCGTTCGTGTTCCCGGACCGGGGCCCGCCTCCGTAACGACTCCAAACGGCGCCGGCGACGGAGGCCGGAATGCGTCGCCCATTCTACTTCGTTCACCCTCATTGACTCGAGTCCTCCAGCACGCGCCCCGCGCATTCGCGATGTCGGTGCACTTTCGGCGCTAGGGTCCCGTCCCCGGTTCGGGGACGCGAACCAACTGCGCCACCGTATTGCTACCTTAACTGTGTTCCCGTTCCTGCGTAGTGCTCTGATTGACTCGTAGATGTGGCAGATGTGGTGTTGCCCAGACTGCCTTCCTCATTGACACCACCCACTTCCCATTTTGCTTTTCCATTTTTCTTCGTCGGCGGAATGGCCCAGGCGGGAGAGCAGGCAGCGGCGGGGCTGGCCCGTCTGCCGTCGGAGCTGTTCGACAAGATCCTGTTCGACGTGGATACGGTCCGCGACCTCGCCCGCTTCATCGCCACGGCCCGCTTCGTATACCGACGCTTCAGCATCCAGAGGCGTGCCGTCCTCTTCTACGTCCTGCAAAACGAGCTGGGCCCAGTGCTGGACGATGCTAGGTTCCTTTTTATGTTCCCCTACTCGGACCCCCGCGCCGACAAGGCTGCGTATATCGAGTGGCTCCGCCTTATGGCCGTCGTCTACCACGAGATACTCCGCAATAGCAATACCCAGAGTGGCATACCAGTCCGAGGGTCCGATGCCCTCCCCAGCCTCGAGGAACTCACGGGCCTGTGCCATACCCTCTATAAGATCAACTTCATCGCCGACATGTACGTCACAGCACGTCTCGCCCTGTTCAACCTCGCCGGCGGAGCTGGCACCCCCGCCACAGCACCACTCTCGCCCCTGGAGCGCCGGCGCCTCGTGCGCGCCTTCTACCGCCGCCAGATCATGAGCAACGCCTGGGCCGCCACAAGGCGCCCCCACTCGGGCTGGAGCCGCGAGGACGCGGCCGCCATCAGCAACTCGAGCACACACCAGGGCGAGCAGCTGGGCTTGTTCGGTACCCTCGAGCCCTGGGAGCTGCAGCATATCGACCACATCGATTTCTTCGTTACACGCTTGTGTTTCGCCCTCGTACACTACTGTCCCCGCACCCCCGACGGAGCCCCAGCCATCCTCCCCCGCCAGTTTAACGACCTGATCGCCCACCAGCACCGCCTCGTACAGTACCTGCAGACCCATCGCCGCCTCGTCGAGATGGCCGTCCGCGACCTGCCCACTGGCAGAGAGGCCGCGCGCTCCGCACACCTGTGGGACGAGTACGTGAACGTCTACCAGATGATCCCCTTGAGGTGCGCGTGGCAAGGGGCACAGGCCCACGACTTTCCAGACCCCATCACAGACAAGTGGCAGCGGGACGGGCTAGTCGTACCCTATGTCGGAGACGGACTCGATCTCGTCCCGTACGGCTGGCTGGACGCCCTGCGTGGGCGCTACTTTAACCAGTTTGGCGATTGCCTACATACGATTTCCTGGTTGCCTCCTTGGCAGAGCGACAGGCAATCCGCACAACAGGGCAAGACCCTGAGCCTCTGGACCCACGCCGGGTTTTCCCTGTGGGACAGGAAACGCGTCGAGGCCTTGAAGGAGCTGCCCATGTTTGAACCCGTGTATACCGGATGGGTCTTTGGTCGCTTGGTCGAGGAGAGCTGACGGACAAGGCGCCGAGAGAACAATAGCCGTGATTGCTGCTCTAGAGAATACAAAATGGCCCTTCTGACCCCGCGTAGCCGGGAGACGCGCCTTGTCATATTGAGCAAAATGACACCCTTGCCCTGGCGCCAACCACGGCGCTGCCCAGCTCAGTGTGTGGTTCAAACCATACCGGGAGGCGCTTCACTCTTAGAAGGGGCACCATTCAACCTTGAGCAATGTCGTTCATTCAAGAGTCATGCCAACTACAGCCAACCATTCCCAACCGGACAAGACCGGACTCTCAAACAAACAGCCCGCCTCCCAAGTGTCTCTCAGGCCAGCCCCTTACCTCGTCGACGTCGATCCGTCATCCGCCTGCGAGTCCTTGGCGCTCAGGCCCTTCTTCTTCGCCACCCTCAGCCCAGCCACCGCCATGACCATCGCCTCGAGCAGCAGCACCACCACCGCGCCAATGACGCCCGCCGCAGGCCTCGACACACCACCACCACCCTCACCACCATCCCCACCCGACGAAGTCGTGCTGGTACTAGCACTAGAGACGGCGCGGATCGGGAAGGAGGCGTTGTAGGCTAGTCCCCACTCGTGCTGGTCTGCGAGGGTTTGGAGTTGGTGAAGTATCTCCGGGGTCAGCGGCGAGGAGGAGGGGATGTACTGGTAACCGGCCAGCGGCGGGTCGGTGGCCGTGCCGTTGGCCAGCTTCTGCGTGGCGGCCGACCCGGCGGGCGGGTGCAGGCCCTGTAGGAAGACCTGGGCCGAGTTCTGCAGCACCTTGTTGACGGGGGGCCGTGACCGTCAGCTGCGACAGCACCGCCAGGTCGTGGCTCAGGCTGGCGATGGGGGTGCTGGCGCCGCTCTCGACGTAGCGGTTGCGGAAGCAGGTGCCCGAGCTGAGCACCTGGTCGGCGCCCAGGGGCCGTCAGCGACGTGGGCGGCCACTCCTTGGACGTGCGGTCGCCGTGGCGGTGGAAGATGTACACGCCCAGCTGGGTGAGCCCGGAGCCATGCGCGTAAGAGTAATGAAGTCATCACCAACCCTGCTTTTCTATACGTACAGGTGAATCCACGGTGTTGGCATTCATCAATCTTGGGCCCATGGCACCTTTCTGGCCACCATGCGTAGCATTCTCACAAAGGTAGCGTGTACGAGGCTGTGAGGTTAAGCTCCCTTAAGACTTAAGGCTTAAGTACAAAGGCTGGCTTGCAGCCATGGAATGCAACGTAAAAACAAACGAAGGCAAGGTGACAGGCTACTGCCACCACCTCCGCCACAACCTCCATGGTCTGCTGCAGGAAAATGGGGCAGGCACTTTTCCTCCAGGGACGCAATTCCCAAACGAGTTTCCCTTGTCTTGAACCGGCGATAAAAGTCGAATCTAGAGGAATGGAAGGAGCAGCCAGCTTGTGCTGCGAAGTGCTCGGCTAGGTACATCTTAAGGTTCACTCTGGTCTTTGTAAACTTCCATCCATCCAGGTCGGGATGAAATGCAGGTATCTTTTGTTTAATGGCGTTTGATTAACCCGCTTTTCTGAATGCCGAATTTCTACTTCAAAACAGTCTATGTTTCCCATAAATTCCGTGGAGTGAGATCGGGCACAGATCTGTCGAAGCCTTGGAGGACAAACTCAGTGAAGCGGGTGTGGTTGTTGTGTTGCTGTGCAGCAGTTCTCAACCCCCACCACCAACCCACTTGCCCCACCATCCGAACTTCACCACCGTTGATCGCTTAACTTACCTCTTTGCGCTTAGCGCATCCTACACGTGATCGTCACCGCACAGAACATCCAGGCAAAGGGAAAAAATGGCGACGAATGCGGGGCAGGGAAATTCTGCCAGTCGAGATGCAGAGGAGGCCAAAGCAGTAAAGGGCAAGGCCACAAAGAAACCCAAGCCTCCGGTTCGACCACCGCTCCCACCGGGCCCTCGTACCCCTTACGATTTTTACGACGCCTGGTCCCCTCCGGCAATCCCTAAGGAGTCCAACAACAATCGAGATTCGCGAGATTCGCCCATCTCCGACTTCGACCCTCAAGCCAAACTCGAGCCCATTTCGTGTCGGACGCTCACCCCATACAGCTACAGCCGGTGGCTCGATTTCCACCACAAAGCCCACACCGACGACGTTATCAGAGGCGCGACCGAGTACCTTGAATTTTACGGCAAAAAGAGACCCCGAGTGACTGGGCTTATCGTCAGCAAGATGGCGGCCCCTCAGTTAATTTTCGTCGACGGCACCTTCGCCGAGCTGGCGCAGGAGATGGCCGAGTACGTCCAAATCGGCGAGCAGGTCAAGCCGCATCTCGCCAAGGAGCAGAATGAAGAGGCACTTCAGGCCATCCTCCAGGCGTCGCACGTCCTCAATTCGATCCCCGAAAAGGAATTCACCGGCGCCTATAACCTCCTCATCCATCTCGTCCTGCAGTCCAAGGATCCCCTGAAGTACCTGCCCGCCCTCTGCGGCAACCTCCAGAAGCCCATCACATCGTCTCCGGCCCACGGTTTTACTCTCGCCGCCAATGCCCTGAGCACAGTATTCAACCTTCTCGAGCCGAGCAACCCCACTCGGTTCAATGTGCTGCTGCAGATCACGCGCTTCGTTCGGCAGCACGGCCAATACGACCTTCTCAAGCCACGGTTAGAGAATCTGGAAGGCTGGTTCAATATGTGGGGCACAGATGAGGACGAGCAGCGGAGGCTGTATGTTGAGGTGTCGGAGGCGGCCGCCGAAGCTGGCGACGACGAGTGAGTAGTTGTCCGAGCCTACCGACTTGGACTTGTTGCTGACGACGGATGCCGCAGGGATTCGTACCGCTACCTCATTAAGGCCCTGGCTACCTTCGACCGCGACGAGCAGGAGGAGATTACATCGGAAGAGGCGCAAAAGCTCTCCTTGAAGGCCGTCCGCATGGCCATCTCGCACCCCGCCCGGTTCGACTTCCAAGACCTCCGAGTCCTTCCCAGCGTACAAGCGCTCGGGGACTCGCACCCCATCTACTCACAGCTGCTCGATATTTTCACGGAGCAGGACCTGGAGGATTACAGCGACTTCAAGGACGAGCACGAAGGCTGGATCGAGAACGAGAAGCTTGATAATGACAAGCTGCAGCGCAAGATGCGGCTGCTCACCTTCGCCAGCCTGGCTGCCAGCACCCCCAACCGCGAGATCCCGTATGCCAACATCGCCAAGGCGCTGCAGATTCCCTCGGAGGAAGTCGAGATGTGGACGATCGATGTGGTCCGGGCCAAGCTTGTTGAGGGGAGGTTGTCTCAGCAACAGAAGGTCTTCCTGGTGCACCGCACCACCTACCGTGTGTTTGGCGAGAAGCAGTGGCGCGAGCTAGCCACCAGGGTCGACCAGTACAAGTCCATTGTCGACCAGCTCCTCGTCGTCCTTCGCAAGGGCCAGGCCGACGTGGAGGGTCAGCGCGAGCGTGAGCAGCAGGAGCTCGAGCGGAAGCTTGCCGGCGCCGGCATGGGCAGCGGCCCGGGCGGTGATCGCCGCCGCCAACCGCAGAAGCCGCGCACTGATGAGGATGACTGAACGATATAGACCAGGACATGGACGGGGACATTGCACTTTTGCTTGGATTGGTACTGGAGTTGGGACCAAAAGGGCAAAAGGTAGACATGCAACGGGTGCTCATTTTTCACATGGACGATATCCAAGGCACCTCTCTTCGCTGACCGGCTTGGGTCTTACGCATGGAGGATGGCGGGTATGGATGCATGGCTTGTGGGCAATGTGTGAATTACACTAGGCATCTGGGACATTCGTGCTTCCCTCTACTGGGACATGGCACTGCTTGTTGCTGAAGATTATAGTAGAGATCAAGGTTCTACAAAAGAAAAAAAAGAAGTAAAGCAAACGATCCGCTCTACTCGTAACAAGAAACCGAAAATGGTGCCAACATCTGCGACCCCCGCCGCTCGCTCGATGCCTGCTCCGTCCGTCTAGTCTATAGCAAAAACCTCAAAGTCCAAGGACAGTCCCGCTCAGAGCTTGTCTCCCAAAACCTTCCTCAGGCGCGCCTGGGTGTCGGCGTAGACGCCATCCGGCGTATCCGTAGCATTCACCTTGACGACGCGGTCCTCCTTCTCGTAGTGGTCCACGACGGGCATGCTGGTCTCGACAAAGGTGCGGAAGCGCTTGCGGATGCTCTCGGCGTTGTCGTCGGCGCGGCCGCTCGTCTTGCCGCGCTCCAGCAGGCGGCGCTCCATCTCGGCCTCGGGGCAGTCGTAGAAGAGCACCAGCTTGGCCGGGCACACGACCTCCTCGAACTTGAGCGCCTGGTCCATCTTGCGCGGGAAGCCGTCGATGAGGAACTTCTTGCCGCCCGACGACCGGATCGCGTCCCGCATCGCGTTCTCCAGCAGCGCCACCGTCACCTCCATCGGCACGATGTCCCCGTTCTTGATGCAGTCCTTGATCAGCTGCCCGTACTGGCTGCCCGGCCGGTCCTGCTCCGCCCGCAGCAGGTCGCCCGCCGACAGGTGCGTGAAGTGGTAGTCCCGCACCAGCCGCGCGCACTGCGTGCCCTTGCCCGCGCCGGGGCCGCCGAGGACGAAGAGGACGGTTACGTCGGTCGGCGAGAAGGCCGGGGTCGACCCCTGGCCGCCGGTCGTGGTGCTGGTGGTGGGAGGCATTTCTGAGCGGTGGGGGGTTAGCGATGGTCTTGTATTGGAAGGGGTGATAGTGCAAGGGACGAGAGGAGGGAGGAAGAGAAGGAGGAAGAGGAAGGGAGTGGGACAGCTAGACAGGTGTGGCCCTCTCGTGTGAAACGGCGTGCCGCCGCCAGCCCTCTTTCTTTATCGTCTACCCCTCTCCAGCCTCCTCCCTTGAGTATGCAGTTACACACCTTTCTGTCGGTTGATCAGGAGCATGTAACCTCCAGAACCGAGCGCAATGACAATCACAAACGGCCAGAACTTGACCTGGTTGTTGCTGCCCTTTGGAGGGGTATTCTTCCCCTGCGAACCGGAGCTGTACGAGCGTTGCGCGAGGGGCTGCTGGCGGAGAGAGAAGGACGGGGATTTCGGTACGGCGCGTCGGGAGGAAGCCCTCGTCGTAGAAGATATCTGTCGGCTGAACGCGGGCCGGTATTGTTGCTGTTGCTGGCGCAGGATGTTCGAAGCAGGTTGGCGGCTGGTGTTGCCCATCAGGTGCCGCCAGGCTTGGCGACCGGAAGTAGATGCAGCCATTGTTTCGTTTCCAAGGCGTTGCACTCGATCTGCACGATGACGCGGGTTGACTGTCTCTCAATTGGCTTTTCCAACGCGTGCGTATGTCGACTTCTCTCCTTGGCCAGCAGTTCGATTGTCCGTCCGACTGAGAAGGTAAAACAATATGGTGTGAAAGTATGGATGTGTTGTCAGTGCAGCCGAATTGGAGGTGGGAAATTTCAAGAAATTGTTAGTGTCGCATCATGCCATCTCATCTCGCGAGACAGGGGCCAGGGCTTGCTTGGCGCGAAAGCAGCCATTAATTCAGGGGCCTGAAGCGCTCTGAGTCGTGCTCTGAACCGCTCACCTCGTCAATCGCTGCAAGAGTGTTTATCCAACGAGACCCTCTCACCCCTGATCGGCACTGGCAATGTTGTTGATGTGTCCTTGTCTGCGCCTTCTCGACGTCTGAGCCTCCTCCAGATATCCATTAAATTAATTGACATTGTAACTCTGGATTAAGCTTCAACCAAGAACTGCGCCAAGCGTTGTACCTGAGCAAATGGAAGCTTCTTTCAATGACTGCAATGCAATCATGGAACATTCACCGGGTGACCATGGAAACCACAGACGAAGCACTGAACCAAGTTGACGACCAAAGGCATTGCCATTTGAATATCTCAAGTGTCTAGACTTCATCCACCCATCATCATCATCCACGTCCCATCACCGCCCATGCCCGTCGCTAGTACTTATACACATTCCCAGCCCACCCATTAGAGAGACGTAAATCGCCCAAACCACCCCCCAAGAGTCCCGGCCCGCTTTGTTTGGTATTCGCCCCGCAACGCCACTGATGTCCAACAATCTCAAGAACAAAAAGACAAAAAAAAGTGTAGAAAAGAAAAAAGTAAAAAGGGAGGTAAACCTGCCATGACAATCTCCATACCAGGCTCCCAACAAGAAGAAGAAGAAAAACAAGCATATCACAAACGAGCGTATATATGCCAACACACCCACAACAACAACCGGCGTACTTTAAGCGTACCGGTCCGACCCAGGCAGGTTGAAGCTAGTCTGCACGGGCGGCGGGCTGCGGACGGCCTGCCCCGCGTAGGCGCCGGGGATGGGGACGGCCTCGTACTGCTGCTCGCCGTCGGCGGTCGGGGCCGGGTCGTGGACGGTGACGGTGACGGCGGGCAGCTCGGGCGCCGTCGGGGTCGCGGGCGACAGGTCGGCGAGCGTGGGCGGCTTGTAGCCGGCCTTGGGCGTTGCCGGGGTGGCCTTGTTGGCCTTGAGCGGCGGCGCCTGCAGCTTGAAGCCGGCCTGGCTGGGGGAGAAGGAGGAGGGCGGTACGACCAGGCCCTTGCCGCCGGGTGTGAAGGGCGAGCCCTCCTCGATGTCGCCGAGGGATTTGTAGGCCGAGGGCGGGAAGCGCGGCGACATGGCGTACTGGGAGAAGGCGGGCGACTTGGGGCCGAAGCCGGGGGTGTTGGGCGCGGACTGGGTGCGCAGCTGGGCGAGGTAGAGGTCGGAGCGGGCCTTGTCGCGGACGTCCATGGACTTGCGCAGCTTGCGCTTGGACCAGTAGCGGTAGAAGACGATGCTGTAGAGCGCGATGCTGATGATCTCGACGACCAGCTCGATGATGATGCAGATCAGGCTCCAGTCCTGCAGGCGGCAGACGAGCGCGTAGTCGACCTGATCGCCGAAGAGGTTCGAGCGGCGGTTGTCCACGCACGCCCAGCCCCACATGTCCTTGTTCTCGCTGCTCGTCCGGGAGACCTGCAGGACGCCGGCCGCCACGGCCCACATGGCCATGCTGAAGATGAACCAGCCGACCGCGAACAGGGTGTAGTAGACGCCCACCTTCTCGGCCCTACGGTGGCCGCCGCGGCAGTAGCCGACGAAGATGACGATGCAGATGAGCAACGAAACACAGGCACACCCGAGGACTACCTTTTGCGGCCACGCGTTGGTGTCGGTGCCTTCGGCCCATGCCGGCATCCCGCTCATCGCCGGGAGGGCCTTGGTGGCGTTGAAGATGGCGAACGAAGCCGAGATCATGGCCAGGATGATGAGACTGCAGCTGAAGCTGACACCGCGCAGGGCGAACTTGGCCATTCGTACCCGTGTCTTGATTTTCTGCGGCGTTGTTAGTCTCCAATTACTCTAATCATGACGGAGGGGTGCTGCTGGCTTACCAGATCCTTCGCCTGCTGCTTGTCGGTCGCCTTTTCCCTCGATTCCAACACCTCCTCCTCCCTGAATGTCGGGCTCAATGGGTTCTGTAGGGCACGCCCCGGTGTCCCAGGAACCCTCATTGCGCTCTTCAACGGCGACTTCGGCGCCATGGGCACGGCGGTCGAGTCCCTACTCCCGGCCCCAATGTAACCGAAACCGACATCTCCTGGTTGTGCGTTTGCGGCGGGTTCTGACTTCTCCGAGAATGGAAGCTTTCGGGGTTCTACGGGCGAGTGGACTGCGGTTGCTTCGGCGAACCGTGGTGTTCTTGGTGGTTTTGCTAGTGATGATGATGTGGATGATGAGTCTGCGGTGGAAACTGAGCTGGCCGACATGGTGCGGGCTGGTGTGAGGTTGAGGGCCATTGGCCGCTTCTTCTCGTCGAGACCCATGGTCGGCGGTATCGGCGTCGAGGACGCTGTCAGTCCCGTTGTCGTTTTTTTCTTTTTTGCGCGTATGTGTGTAGAGAAGAAAGAATAAAGGAAGGAAGAGACCAGTCTTCACTTCTTCAGTTACCAGCGTTGCGCGGCAAGACGGTCACAAGGACGGGATGCTGAGACCGGTGGCAAGCTTTGGGTGTAGAAGGGAACCAGGGGAAGGGTTGGTTGATATGAGTCCAGCTGCTAAAGGAAGAGAAATCCCGGAGGAGAGGCGCCCTCTGGGGGCCGTGATGGTTTTGAATTACCGCTCGACAGACCAGGCCCGGGTTGAGCGGGATCCGCTCCTACATGGGAGCGTGAGCGGGTGGTTCGATGCGTGCACTCGAAGCCGCTGGGAGCACTTACACGGAGCAGGGGGGGTAGGGTGGCACTGGGGGTGTTGGACACGCTGATAGGGCGGAGGGTCAAGGTGCCAATCAAGCTCGGCGACTCGCGAAGGGCACTTAGACGCCCAGCGGAGTGACGGAGCGACGCTGGACGGCTGCTAGTCGAAGCTCGGCGGCCCAGAAAGTGACCACGGACTGCAGGTGCCGGTTACAGGAACAAGGGGCCACGCAGGAAAATGACTTTGGTCTGTTGCTGTATTTGTCTCGGCGAGCGAGTTTCGTCGAGTCCAGCTTCACAATACGGAGGTAGGTGTGTGAGGAATGAGGGGAATAAAGAAAGCCGGAGGAGATCTCGAAACGAAGAGGTCTTCTGGCGCAGAAAACCCGTGGGAGACATGGGTGTATGTATTCCGCAGCCGAGGGAGGGGCTGGATCAACAAGAATAGCAAGCTTGGTTCAACGGGCCAGACTGAGAGGGTTACGGTGTGCCGAAGGTCTTGCAGACGGCGGGAGACAGGGGACACAGTTGATCTGGATTGCCCCCAACGGTAACCTGTCTCGGAACGCCTTGCGCCCTTTTCCATCTCCGGGTCATGACTCTCATCTTCAAGCAGACCTCAGCTCGACCATGATTTCCAATGACTCTTACCTCGCGATGCCCCCGAGGAACAATCCATGTGCGTTTTCTCGACGGCCGCCGTGACGGAAGCGAGGCGGGCGAACAATAGGGACCGGGGGCCGATTGTGTGCTGCTCGCCCTCGAGTCACCCTCTCCTCTCGCACTTGGCGCCCATCTCGTCGCAACCCAGAACCTCGCATCTGCAGCTGCGCAGGCCCATTGGATGGAGGGCGGCTGGAAAGTCAGGGCCAGTTCCGCCGAATTGGACAGTTCAAGTCGGCCGCCCAGGCGACGGCAAGCACTGCCAAGGTGAGGGCGAGTGAAAGAGGGGCACTTGCAGCTGTGGTTGGGCGGCAAGAGGAAGCAACCGTCGAACCCTGTCACCCATCTGCCACCAGTGCCACCAATCACTAGCGTTCCTTTGAGCGGGGCCCGGATTGCTTGAAAACAGACGGCCAATTAAATCGCTGATCGCCGTGATGGACCTGCCGGTCATGCAGGTGGGCGGTAAACTACGCCCCACAGCGGCCGACCTCTTCTGTGCCGAGCATCTTTCCCAGCAACAAGCCTTTGCGCAAGCAGGAAGTGAACCTGACGAGGAACCAACCTCAGCCGACGTAACACACACAGTCCACCAGACCATTCATTGTTCGGTTCCCTGCGCAGCTTTCTGGCTTCTTTTCGCCACGTTCTCCTCGAGGACCCTCACCCACGATAACTTCATCTTCCCCTTCCAGGTTGATTATCGTCCTCATTTTCTGTGCCTCTATTGTGTATGATTCCGACTGTGCTCTCGGATGACCTCGCGTGTAAACTACCATATTTATCTGATAGCCCAGCATTTGGAATTGGTCGCTTCCTGCAGTCAGCAGTCGTCAGCGCTGCACATCAATATGGATGAACAGATCTTGATTGAGGTTCGGTCTTCACGCACAAGGTCGGCGTCGTTGGTGAGAGTATTGGGCAAATTTTGGAACTACTCCCGTCCCATGCATGATCACCGCGCACAGAACCAGACTTTTGCCCACCCACCATCTGTATTTTTAGCCCTCTTTTCGATATTGCCCTCATCATCGGCGGGTGAGCGGCGAAAGGGGTCAATTAGCCCCTCCTTCCGTCCTCCCGAAGGTCTTTCCAACCTGCCGGAACTGGTTGTGTCGTGTCACCAGGAACCACGAACGCTAGGGGCTCCTCTCCCGGACCATTCCCCACGGCTCGGCACTCTGGACGCGTCCGCCATCCTTCCCTCCCACGCTGCAGATGGGGTTACGGTACAGATGGTTATCCTAAATATACAACCCCCAACGGCGTCGAAGCATGGAAGCGAGCGAACAGATGGGATGGCGGAGAGGTCTGGGGTGGCTGACCACCCAGGATCACCGGTGCCACACTCCGTCTGTCGTGGAACATACCACGCAAGAGCACATTTTACTCAACATTTGTCATGATCGTGCCTTGGCGTGCTGTCGATATCGAGATCAGACCACTTGTCGGCACCCGAGATGCTTCGGATAGATTGTGATGTCTGTGTCCTGGAAGGAGGCGTTGGTCGTGCAGATCTAAACCGCATCGAAAGCCTCAAATCAATAGGGAGGTACCGGCGGCGATTTGAGAGTGATGTCACCAGGCTGAGTTTACACTACTAGAGGTGACGAGTGTTTGCTCGTCTCTGAAACTGCGCCTGCACAGTTCAGTTCCAGCCGTTATCAGCCCAGCATCGAGCTGAACAACACAGCCTACCAATCTGTTTTAGGGCTGAAAGCCGGCAGTCCGCAAAAGTGGCTTATAAGCAAACTAAACCGTCCTAACATGGATCGAGAAGTTTGCCATTCCTCTGTTTCAAGAATCCGGCTGCTCCAGTCAAACGAAAGGTTTCGATAACAGAGATCCCCTGAGCATTTTGGGGGTCACGTTATAAGGCCCAACTTCAACTTCGAAAATGTCAGTTTGAACAATGCCACCGAAACACTGTTTTAATGACTTGTGTTAAGTCTAAGAGTGCTTAGCTTTTTCGAAGCTTCAACGAGATCTTCTTGTGTAAGTATATCCGGCGAGTTTGCCTCGGAGAACATAGGTCTAGACGGTCAATCCTACTATCCCAGTGAGACCTTCTCGGTCCGAGTTTGACTTTTAGATCGCGCAACCCCTCTCCCGGAACACTTTTGAGATTGTTACTACCTAGTCGCGCATATCTGTTGAACGAACCTAGCAAGGGCATAATGTAACGCTTTGCTAGCATCTAGAAGGAAAGAAAAAAATATGGAATTTAGCGCGTCTCAACATGGATGAACTCTTGGAAAGACATAGCAGCGATCTTGCGAGTCTGAGAGGGACTTGCCTGCGGGCCGTTTTGGGGAGGAGTTCATCGTAGGTGGTTTCGAGTCACCAAAATTCTGCAAACCGCACCTAATCCGTCGGGGCGGTCCATAACTTGAAGACATCAAGTTCCTGTCTTTCACCTCATTTCTCTTAGAGAGAACAATTGCTCCGTGCTTAACATTGTCGTGGTTGTAGTGTCCCTCACCTCTGGCCGTCGAGCCTTTATCGCCCTTATCAGCCATCGTGGGGCAAAAGGATCTAGCCATATACGGACTAGCGCGGTACCAGCACTCGCTCGCTCGGCCAGGATCGAGCCAGGCCTGCCCAAGTATGACTGCACACGAAAATCGTGAGAAATATCAACTGTCAAGTCATTCTCCCAGCGGTCTCCTCCCAGACAAATCTCCACCACCTCCTACTCAACGACCTCGTGCATCTCGCCATTGGGTATTTGAGTCCCCCGTCGCTCACCCCGACACACCGACCCAGGACACAAAAGTAAATAATTTAGAGAGGGGTTCAAAAAAAAACCATTACCCCGCGGAAGAGTCATCACCATGGCGGCCAACGGAGACAAGTTCGGCAACGACATCGAGTCCGAGTCCGACTCCGGCAACGAGTCTCAGATCGATGCCCACGATTCCGATAACGAAATCACGGAGCGGCCCGTTAAGTCCGCTTTGAAGAAGACAGCCGACCTCGCCCCCGCCGTCCAGAGACCGCCACTGCCGCCCCAGACCGACCCTAAAGATCTCGATGTTAAGGCTTTGAGCCCTCTGACCCCCGAGATTATCGCGCGGCAAGCAACTATCAACATCGGCACCATTGGCCACGTCGCCCACGGAAAGTCGACTGTGGTGAAGGCCATCTCTGGCGTGCAGACCGTTCGTTTCAAGAACGAACTTATCCGTAACATCACCATCAAGCTTGGTTACGCCAATGCCAAGATCTACCAGTGCGACAACCCAGAATGCCCGCGGCCAACATGCTACCGGAGCTACAAGAGCGAGAAGGAGGTTGACCCTCCTTGCGAGCGGGAGGGTTGCGCGGGGACATACAGGCTACTACGTCACGTTTCGTAAGGGCCCCATTTACATGTTGCGGCGGCGTGGTAGCGTCTTAAAGCTATCTTGTTATTTATTTGTGCTTTACTAACCGGGATAGGTTTGTCGACTGCCCCGGTCACGATATTCTGATGAGCACTATGTTGTCAGGTGCCGCCGTCATGGACGCTGCTCTGCTACTCATCGCCGGCAACGAATCATGCCCGCAACCACAAACGTCCGAACATTTGGCAGCTATCGAGATTATGAAGCTCGACAAGATCATCATCCTCCAGAACAAGGTTGATCTTATGCGGGAAGAGGCGGCCAAGCAGCACTACGACTCCATCTTGAAGTTCATCAGGGGTACTGTCGCTGGCAAGTCGCCCATCATCCCCATTTCGGCCCAGCTCAAGTTCAACATCGACGCCATTAACGACGCCATCGTCAACACCATCCCTATCCCCCCCAGGGATTTCTCCATGGACCCCCACATGATTGTTATTCGGTCTTTCGACGTCAACAAGCCCGGTGCCGAGATCGACGAGCTCAAGGGTGGTGTCGCTGGTGGCAGTATCTTGCACGGTCTGCTGAAACTCGGCGACGAGATCGAGATTCGGCCCGGTATCGTGTCGCGTGACGACAAGGGCAACCTCAAGTGCACGCCCATCTTCAGCCGAATCGTTTCGCTCAACTCGGAGGCCAACGACCTCAAGTACGCCGTCCCCGGCGGTCTTATCGGTGTCGGTACCCGCATCGACCCTACCCTCTGCCGTGCCGATCGTCTGGTCGGTTTTGTGCTCGGTCTCAAGGGCCGCCTGCCCGAGATCTACAGCGAGATCGAGGTCAACTTTTACCTGCTTCGCCGCCTCCTCGGTGTCCGTACCGCCGATGGCAAGCAGGCCAAGGTCGACAAGCTCGCCAAGAATGAGGTCATCATGGTCAACATCGGTTCTACTTCGACCGGTGCCAAGGTTGTGGCGATCAAGAAGGATGCCGCCAAGCTCCAGCTCACAAGCCCGGCATGCACAAATATCGGCGAGAAGGTCGCTCTTAGTAGACGTATCGAGAAGCATTGGCGTCTCATCGGCTGGGCTACTATCGCAGCGTAAGTTACCTGCCTGGACCTGCGAAAATCAGATCACTAACGAGTATTACAGTGGTGTCACGCTCGAGCCTAGCACCTCCTAAGTGCTTTTCTTTTCTACGACTGCAATGAGAGGGCATGAGCTACGACGGTCGATTAGGACTTTGGAGTCGTGGGTCTGTCGGGTCTGGGTTTGTGCAAGTGGACAACTGGCTGGGGCTGCATGATTTGGCGAATACATACCAAGGATGTGGTGGATATGAACATGGTCTATGCCTCTTCATTTCACGCAAGGATGGATGGGTAGACGAAAAATCAGCGGAATTTGGGTTGTTAGAAAGTGTTATCCAGCGCAACGTCGCCTGGGAGTTTCCGGCCATATCCAGATGACGCTGCTGACCTCTCCTGGTTGATGTAGCCCAAGCCAACCTCTTTTCTCTATCCGTCGCACCATCTATTAACTTGTTTTGGTATACCACCCGCCCCCTACTTCCTCATCTTCTTCGCATGCTTAACCAGATTCTCAATGACCCCCTCAAACGCCTCCCGATCCCCAATCTTCTCATCCGTCCTCTTCTGCCAGTATGTCAACACACCCTGCGCCGTCCCCTGCATCGTCTCCAGCCGCCCGGCATGTCCCCGTAATTCCCCGTCCGTCATCCCCCCCAGCGCCGCATCCGTCAGCATACACACCTGCCGCGCAGAAACCAAATCAAAGCTCCGCTCGGGACTCGCCCTCCCTCCCCCACCACCACCATCCGCCTTCTTCTGCTTCCTCGACGACGACCCCCCCTCTCCACCACCACCCCCCGCCTGCGAACTCACCCCCGAATCCTTCCTCCCATCCCCCCCACCATTCCCACCACCACCACCCGCAGCCGCCCTCGCCGCCGCCGCCCCCTTAGCCATCGTCGCCCGCCCGCGCGAGTCGCTCGACGCGCGGCTCTTGAGCGAGCCGGACGAGGTGGTGCGGTGCAGCGACGGCAGCACCAGCTTCTTCTGCTTGGACGACGCCGGCAGGATCTCGTCGAGGTCGACGGGCACGCCGAGCGAGACGAGGAACAGCCGCCGGATGCGCGAGCGGATCCAGTCCGGCGGCTGGAGCGGGGGCGGGGCGACGAGCTGCGACCAGAGCGAGGCCGAGCGCGGCGTGAGGAAGATGGGGTTCTCTTTGGCGGAGGGGGTCGGGAGCGGGGTTGGTGGGGAGGGTGGCGGTGGGAAGAGCGCGGTTAGGTAGGGCTCGGTGAGGGTGGTTATCTCGGTGGGGGTGAGGTCTTCGAAGGTGGGGATTGGCTAAGGGGGGGGGAGGGGTTGTTAGTGATATGTTCCGTGGGTGGTAAGGATGGGGTGGTCGGGAGGGACGGCTTACAAAAGAGAGAGATGGAGCGGATGGGGCTGATGGGGGTGGCTGCGGTGGTGGTTGTTGTGCGGGGGTTTGGAAGCCGTCGTCGAAGTCGTCGTCGAAGTCGCCGTCTTCGCCGCCCTCTTCGAAATCGTCAAAGTCATCCCCGAATTCGTCGTCCCCGAAGTCGTCCCCGTCTACGGCGCTTTCAACGCCTGGCAGGCCGGGGCTTAACGGGGACCGTTTCAGAGCAAGCGAGGATTTCCTCCTCTTGCGTTCCGATGTGGTAGGGGTATTCAGAGACGATGCTATTGGAGTATCTACGCGATCGAGAACAAGTCAATACGAGCTATGGAGAAATGAGAAGAAATCAGGGGAGACCGCTCGGCACAAAAGCAGGCTACGCGTCCGTACCATTTGCTGCCCCACCATCTTCCACCTTTCCGTCGGCCTTGACCACCAGGTCTGGGTGTGCGTCCGACTTGCGCCTCTGCCTGTTCTCCGAATGTGTCACCGAGCCCTCAACATCCGGCGTCTCCTCTACCACTGTTTTTGGGATGGGGCGCCCACCAGGTGTAGGTGACGGCGATGTTTGCTCGGGCTCGGGCTCGGGGGGGTTCTTGGGGTCGGGAATGATGGCTATCTCATCCGGCTCGGCATCACCCTCCCTCAAGCGATAGGCCTGCGTACCTGGGACTTCCCCGTACGCCGGCTTGTCGTCGATCTTTTCGACTCTAGTCTTCGGGATGGGCGAGGCTCGGGAGGGGGACATGGGCCCAGACTGGGCGTCCGAGTAGTGCTCCTCGGAGTCGGATGCCTCTGCTAGAGCGGTGTTAGTCTGATGCGGGGCGTAGGGGAGGGAAGGGAAGGGAGGGGGAAAATAATACCTAGTTCATGAGCCCCTGGGTCGACTGTGTCCCGACGCTCCGGAGGCGAGAGACTGTTGCTGCGACGTGAAGACATTGCGATTTGTCAATGAGCACCGCTGTATCGGCCAAAGAGACCACTGAATGTTGAACCAGCAAGTCCGCCAAAGAGGGGGTTTGACCACAACGAAGAGGGCAAAACCGCCTTTGGTGCCGTGCGCGGGGAATGCAAAAACTGAGATTTGTCTGATGTCGCACGTTCCAGAGATGGGTATTCAAACACTTAAAATGCAAATCGGGTATGCATCAGCATGGGGACCTGTTCAACCGGAGTCTAGACCGTGGTTGACAGTGCCTGGTCAGGAGGTCTGATACCCCCCAGCGGCGAGACAAAGGTGGAGCACCTTGCTGGGCTCGAGCTTGCAGTGGGTGAGTGGGACTGGGAGACTGGAAGCCACAAGCTCCCCCCCCAAATAGTCCGTGCTGAGCTTGGCACCTGCGAAAGGCAGGGCGATGCGAGGCTGACCGAGCTTTTTCTCGGGCGTGTTTTGGCAGCTGCCAAAAGTCGGACCCATCAGAGCATCGCCCGATTAAGATCTTTAAAAACAAAGCGACGGTGTAAACTGAACCAACAACGGAGGACACTACTTCGCCTCGAATTATTGAGGGACTCTGGTCTTGCAGATCGAGTGCCACATACTGGCGATCGACACAATTCCTTCGAACGAGACGACCACGACCTGCACGCGAAGATCGCCCGTTTGCGCTCTCCCTGTGCTTTCTCGAACGCGCCGCCAAAAGCAGTTGCAGCTCTCACTCTCCCGCTGCCCTCTCGACGTCAAAACCATCCCATCTTGCGCGCTTGTCCACCTTAGCTTGCTCCGCTGCGGAGACACTACCTACCTGAAGCAGCTCGTCGCACCTAGCCGCTAAGATGTCCTTCACATTCGGCGCACCTGCGTCGAGCGCAACTTCGGGCCAGTCAACCACATCCACAGCTCCAGCTTCGGGTGGCCTGTTCGGCGGCGCAACTGGCTCAGCACCATCGTCCTTCTCAATTCCCAAAACCGGAGCTAGCGGAACAAGCACACCCCAAGCGGGAGGCGGTTTATTTGGAGGGGCGGGAGCGACAGCCGGTCAGACAGGAGGCTTGTTTGGCAACGCGGGTGGCACAACCACGCCCTCGACGGCAGCGCCTGCCTCGGGCACGTCGTTATTTGGTCAGACTGCGGGAGCTTCGACTGGAGGCACTCTGTTTGGCAACGCCAAGACCGCCGGGAGCATGTTCGGTGGTAGTTCAACCCCAGCGTCCGGGACCGCAACTCCCACTGGCACGCCCAGTCTCTTCGGCAACAAGCCTGCCACAACGACTGCTGCCCCAGCCACGGGCACTCAGAGCACTACAACCAGCGGCCTTTTCGGGTCCGGGACCCCTACGGCCCCTTCAGGCGGCGCCACTCCGACGACGGGAGGAATGTTTGGTAACACCGGTGGTGCATCGATGTTTGGTTCCGCCACTCCCACCTCCGGAGCCCCCGGCACCCAGGCGACCCCGGCGAAGACGATGTTTGGAGGTCTTGGCGGCTCGACTACACCGGCCGGCGCACCCCCGGCCGATACCTCCAAGCCCGCCGGGAATCTGTTTGCCGGTGGCCTTGGGGCTAAACCAGCGGCTCCCGCAACCAGCGCCGGCGGCCTTTTCGGCCAAAGCACAACACCCGCTCCCAGCGCTGCACAGCCGCAACCCGGCAACGCCCCAGCGGCCGGCGCGGGAGGTCTGTTCGGGCCCAAGCCTACCCAGACACCCGCCACGGGAGGCACACCCTCCATGTTTGGCACCGCTCAGACCAGCACCGCCGCATCCGGAACCAGCACACCTGCGGCGGCCGCACCAGCGGGTGGACTGTTTGGGAAGACCCCAGCCGCCGCCGCGCCAGCGGCCTCCACTCCTGCTGCCACCAAGTCTTTGTTCCCGGCAGCCGCGACAACGACAGCACCGGCGGCGTCATCCGCAGCAGCGACCCCTAGCTTGTTTAGCGGCGCGACGCCTGCTACTACGGCGCCTGCCACGTCGACACCCGCGACTGGCGGCTTGTTCGCCCCGAACCCCACAACCACTACCGCAACGACCAGCGCGGCTACTCCCGCTGCCACCAACACCTTGCTCGCCAGGCCGGCTACCACCGCTGCCGCCGCAGCTACTCCCGCTCCTGCTGCCGCAGGGGGCCTGTTTGCTGGTGCTAGGACTGGCACCACGGCCACGCCGGCGCAGGATCCCAAGGCCAGTACTGCCGCCGGGCTCTCGGCCTCGACCATGGGCCCCGCCTCCCAGCTCCCGCGGCTGAAGAACAAGACCATGGATGAGATCATCACGCGGTGGGCGACGGACCTGTCCAAGTACCAAAAGGAGTTCAAGGACCAGGCCTCCAAGATCGCCGAGTGGGACCGCATGCTGGTGGAGAACGGCGAGAAGATCCAGAAGCTCTACACGACCACCTACGAGGCGGAGCGCGCAAACGCCGAGATCGACCGCCAGCTCAGCAACGTCGAGAGCCAGCAGGACGAGCTCGGCGCGTGGCTGGACCGCTACGAGGCGGACCTGAACGAGCTGTTCGCCAAGGGCGGCGGCGCCGGCGGCGCGGGCAGCGAGCAGGCGGCCGGCCCGGACCAGGAGCGCGAGCGCACCTACAAGCTGGCCGAGAAGCTGACGGACCGCCTCGACGACATGGGCAAGGACCTCACCAAGATGATCAAGGAGATCAACGACATGTCGGGCACCCTCAGCAAGGGCAGCAAGCCCGATGATCCGGTATGTGCCCCCTACACTCTCACACGGTTATGTATCTTGTGGGAGGATATTGTGCTAACTCTTTGCGCGCGTTACAGTTGACGCAGATTGTCCGCGTCCTCAACGGGCACCTGTCCCAGCTGCAGTGGATCGACAGCAACGCGGCGGCGCTCCAGGCCAAGGTTCTGGCGGCGCAGAAGGCGGGCGGCAACATGGGCACCAACGTGTCCAGCACCGAGACGGACGCGGCCGAGAGCTTTTACCGGTCGTACCGCAGCGGGTACAGATGAGACGGACGGTGAGGAAGAGAGAGTGGATATGACTAGCTAGGGGCGGATAATGTCGGGGTAACTGGGTAGGGAATTCGTGCATGTATGTCTATTCACAGGAACAACCGGTTCCGGCCGGCAGAGGGCAGACAGGCCAATCTGTAGAGAAAATCGGACCGTGCCAGCCAAGTACACAGGGCGCAATATGACAAGTGCAAGGGGGAATACGGTTGGGGTTGGTAGCAGAGTTTGCATATGTACTTGTACAGGTGGTGGAGATTCCCCTCGAGAGCCGAAACACGGATACGTTAAAGTCAAGACGCGGAAGGGTAACTAAGCCAAGGCGAAGAACAACACACGGCCGCCATCAATCACCATCTGGCTTTCGTTTTTCGATCCCACGCCACGGAGGAAAAGGCCATGATTCCATTCCAATTGTGAGAGAAGAGGTGCTGCTTAGTTCTGCTCGCCGCCCTGCTCCTTGGTGATCTCGTCACTGCGGGAATTACACGTCAGTATCTAAACGTACCCATCCAATGTGAAACCGCGAGGTAGGAAGGAACGTTCAAAGACGAAAGAAGGCCCCCGAGAGGGGAGAGTGAGAGAGAGAGAGAGAGAGGAGCCTACATGTGATTGGACAGCTGCTGCAGGTGGGCCTGCTGCTCGGCCAGCTTCTTCTTGAGCTCGAGGAGCTTCTCCTTCTCGCGTTGGCGGATCGCGTAGTCCTCGCTGGCGCGCTCGCGTTTTTGGAAGGCGTCACTATCGCGGGGGGAGATTGTTAGTATCATATACGACTCGGCTTCGCGTGGGGGGGGGTGGGTGGTGATGGGGAACGGGAGGGGTCCGGTGGGGGAGGGACGGAGAGCTCGCGAGCTGGCCGGCCGGCTGGGTGAGTGGCTGAGGCCGGCCTGCCTAATGCAACTGCTCTCCGCCCCAAACCTCACGTCTCCGTCCCCTAGCGAAGCAATATCTCGGTGAATTGGAGGGGAAGAACGCACCCCGGACCGCCGGTCTTGGGGGGAGCACCGGTGTCGCCGGCCCCCATGGCGCGGGCGGTGGTGGCGAAGGTGCGGGACAGCAGCGCCGGGCGGGCGAGCTTGGTGATGGAGGTGCGCATCATATTGGCGGCTGATTGGGGTATTGCGGTGTTGTGGTGTTGCGGGATGATTCAATGGCGGCTGTTGATTGTAGCTTGCAGCTTCCTGCGGGTGGTCTGATCAAGCTCGAACCAAGTGGAGAGCTTTTCGCCAGAGTGCACGTCACTGCGAGCCTTGAGCCCCGCTTTTTGCCGGCCGTTGTGGTGAGCCGGCAGTCAACAAACAATGGATCTTGGCTCGAGCTTGGCTTCCTCCTTCCTCGACTCGAGTTCTCGACCACGAACGACTTAACCAGGCTGACCTGCCAACCCAGACCGCAACAACACCAAAGTGTGCTCGTGTCGATTGCCCGACCGCCCAGATTAGCGTGAGTATACCTATTTAGTCCGTGTCCATCATAGACAATCACATCTTGTCCGCTCTGCTTTCTAGGGCACTATCGAGTTATCGGATTCCTTGTTTTTCACCTGGCATCGGACAAGAGCGGGGATAACATCATCTGCTCTCTTAATCTTTTGTCAATCAACATATATACATATGTACACCGGAGGATCACCGGAAGCTAGCCGAAGAATGAGCTGGACAAGTTACTCGTAACAACCCTTCAAGCACCCGGACGGTTCCCGGGTACCTACCTACCACATGCCGCTGTGGCTCAACGGGCCAACTCCGAGAGCCTGACGAGCCCGTCATTGCCCTCTGAGATCGAGTTACACATCACCTACGCGCTGGAGAGACGGAAGAGTTTCCCGAATCGACAGAAACCAGATACGGAGCCAACCTAAGGGGCACAAACGGGTATGCGGGCACGCTGCATCGATAGGACGGGGAGAGAGTCGCACTTATATGAAATGAAGATCGCATCATCACCTTTGACGGCATTTAAACACTCACTGCCGGCTCTGGCACCCGCGATGCCCGACGTAAAACACAGCGTATAATTGGGATCGGGCGGACATCAACGGGATTATATGCACTCACATAGATTGTCTGCATGGAAACGGTAAGTACAAACTACGCTTTTGAAGATGGGCTATCTGCAAAATATGCGGTGATAGGGATGCGAAGCGGTCGTTGACTGTCCTGTGGCCATTCATCATTTATCATTTATGCTGTCTCTGGCGAGGAGAAGGCGAGAAAAGCAGCCACAACTTTCCGATAGCCTCGTCGGTATGGATGGTCAGGCTCATCAAACTAATATAGTGAGAAGACCACCAAAGGTATGGATTGAGTAGATGGTGCAGCCGTTGACATCGAGTTTGAGCATGATGATGGATCACTTACTGGATAGTCGGGCCGTTTGGTTGATAAATGATAGTCACCACGCCGGCTCCCGGCTCCTACACAACGACACATGCGGGCCCCGGCAATCAAAACCGGCATTGTGGACCCAAAAGAGTAGTCCGGAAGTGAAGCGGACGGGAAGCTGGTTGCATGGACCAAAAAGTCTGGGAAATCAATTACATTGCCGTCCCCACAAGGATAAAAGAGTATTATGCGCACCAACCAGGTCCAAGTATCGCGTCCCAAACTCGGAACGATCCGATGTTTAGACCAAAAATGGTCAGGGTCGGAGAGAGTAAAAGAATGACAACCACCACAACACCAGGGCAGGACTATGGAACAACACAAAATAATATAACCATGGGTTGTATATCCAAGGCTGCCTTGTCAAGGCCTATAAAACGCACTGGCACCTCCTGAGTAAGGAGGAGGGCGTATGCCTGAGGACTCGGTTCCAATTTATTAACTTTCTATTTCCAAGAAAAAACAATCACGGCAACAAGCCAGCTACCATGAAGGCCGCACTCCTTTTCCTCGCCACCATCGCCGGCGTAAACTCGGCAGCCTTGGCCCCTCGCCAGCAGCAATCTCTCTGCGAGCTGTACGCCTACTGGTCCGGCAACGGCTACGAGCTGCTCAACAACCTCTGGGGACAAGACACGGCGACCTCGGGGTCTCAGTGCACATACTTGGACGGCGCGTCCAGCGAGGGCGTGCAGTGGCACACGACCTGGACATGGGAGGGGGGAGAGAACAACGTGAAGAGCTACCCCTATGCCGGTCGGCAGGTGCCCAAGGGCAGGAAGATTGCCGACATCACCAGCATGCCGACTTCGATCAAGTGGGACTACGACAACGAGGACATCCGCGCTAATGTCGCCTACGATGTCTTCACTGCCGAGGACCCCGACCATGTGAACAGCAGTGGCGATTATGAGCTTATGGTCTGGTAAGTTTCCTCGGGGTTCCAGCAGGAAGAAAACGAAGTCACTGACACATATCTCGCAGGCTGGCAAGATATGGCAATGTCTACCCCATCGGGTCCTCTGTTGGCTCAGTCACCATTGCTGGCAAGACCTGGGACCTGTGGACCGGATTCAACGGTGACATGAGGGTCTACAGCTTTGTGCCGCCGTCGGGGACCGTCAAGGAGTTCAGCGCCGACCTCAAGGAGTTCTACGCTCACCTGGAGCAGAACTACCAGTTCCCGTCCAGCACCCAGAATGTGATCGGTGAGTTTCTCCAACACGACAATAACGCCCTCACGGCAATCTCGATCGACTCGCTAACCATTGTATTTATTTAGTCTATCAAGTCGGCTCTGAGGCCTTTACCGGAGGCCCAGCAACCTTCACTGTTTCCCAGTTCTCTGCCGAAGCTATCTAAGGGGCTATCTCCGCGTCCTCGTTAAGAGCACATCGAAAGACGAGGGTTTGCTAGGTACTCGGGCGAATTCCCATATTAGCCTCGGGCCGGATTGACACGAACTCTGCATCTCTGCATCCCGTCTCCTTTGCATCACAGACCCCGCACCTGGGAGTGCCCGCGGGAGTGCGGGCACTCGTATAAGTGGTAGCTTTGAATTTCCTGGTGTGTACATATTTAATAGCAACCTTGGTGAAATACCAGCCGCTACATTTGTGATCTTTTGCGTCTGGCAGGGCCGTGGCACCTTTCGTGAACGGTGATCAAAACCACCACTTTTGATATCAATACCGAGCCAATTCATCCTTCCACTTTTACGCTTGCGGCTTCCTTGCTTAGAACGGATCAGAGAATTCACAGGAAGTACCTAGCGCCTGCACCTTATTTGAGAAATCTGGTACCAGATCATCGCCACTGGGGCCACCACTCACCAGACTGACCAGAGTATCCGTTGTCATCTCATCAAACCATGTCTCCCTTCCGTGGAGTACCCGCTCTCCGTCGCCTCACGGCCCGGCCGTTTGGTATTCGATCCCTACTAAACAGCCCTGCCCCACACTCTCAGACCATCGCAACCGCGAGCACCCGTCAAAGCGACCGCCCCCGCGTCGCCATCGTAACCGGCGCGGCACGCGGCATCGGCCGCGCCATCGCGGTGCGCCTCGCACAGGACGGCTACCACATCACGGCCTCCGACCTGCCAACCCAACAAGCGCAGCTCAACTCGCTAGTCGCCGAGCTGACCGCGACCAGCAACAACAGCAACAGCAGCAGCGGCCACAAAATCCAAGCCCACGCCCACGCGGCCGACGTCAGCTCCCCCGAGCAAGTCGCGGCGCTCGTCCGCGCGTCGGCCGCCGCCCTCGGCCCGCTCGACACCATGGTGGCCAACGCGGGCATCGCGCAGGTGAAGCCGCTGCTGGAGCTGACGCCGGGGGATTTCAGCCGCATGCTGGACGTGAATGTCGCGGGGGTGCACCACTGTTTCCAGGCGGCGGCCAGGCAGATGATTGCGCAGCAGCAGGATGTTGGCATGCAGGTCGGGAAGGAGGGGAGGGAGGAGGGGAGGGAGGGGGAGGAGATTCGCGGGCGGCTGATCGCGGCGGCCAGCATCGTGGCGTTCAAGCCGCTCGCGCTGCTGGGGCATTATAGTGCGAGTAAGTGGGCGGTGCGCGGGCTGAGCCAGGCGTACGCGATGGAGCTGGCGGCGCACAAGATCACGGCGAATGCGTATGCGCCGGGGATTGTGGATACGGATATGTGGGAGCTGATTGATGAGGGGTTGGGGAGCAGGGCGGGGAGGGCGAAGGGGGAGACTATTAAACGGTATAGTGAGGAGTTGATTGCGCTTGGGAGGACTAGTGTGCCGCGGGATGTGGCGGGGTTGGTGTCGTTTTTGGCGAGCCGTGATGCGGACTATGTGACGGGGCAGACGTTTGTGGTGGATGGGGGGATTATTTATACTTGAGGGATGGCGGGTTTGGGGGGTGTTTGTTATCGGTGTGTGTTTACTGTCATTTTTATTTTACACTTTTGACATGAGAATTCAACGCTTCAAGTTTTGCACTAGTAGTTGAATTTGTAGGAAGGAAGGTATCACTCTGCAGCCTACTCCTCTCCCCATCCCTACGCAGGGCTCCTTCCCTTCGTGGCTTGCAATTTTTGCTTGCAATTTGACAACCAGCAGATTGCCGGAATGGAGTTGTCCATGCCTCAGAAACAAATATGTTTGATGTTGACTGTACGTAGTATACCGATCCATGATTACAACCAAATATATCAGAACGGCCGCCGAAAGTAAATATTCCTCCTTACCCCCTCCTTTTGCCGTTACCCATTAGAACGCTTACATATTAAAACTCAGGCCCAACTACAAGCTCTCCTCCGACTTAGCCTGCGACGAAAGTTGACTCTTGAGATGACTTTCCAAACTGTGTTTGGCGAACGGGCTCTTCTCCCTCAGCACTCTCCCATAACGGAAGAAAACCCACGGGGCAAGACAGAAGACCAGTGCAAAGCAGGCAACAACCGTGCCGGCAATGTTGGCCCCGAGACCCGGATACATGCGATGCGCCACCAGCGGCATGACACCTGACACTAGGGCCCGCACGAAGGCCAAGCCGCAGAACGCTGACGCCGCATAAAGCAGGTAGGCGTCGGTGAGATAGGCGCTGAGCGTGTAAGCCATCTCGTTGACGGCAAATCCGACCAGCACCAACGCCGCCGTGGGGACCAGCCAGTGGACCTGAGGAGCGGCCGGGGGGATCGTCCAGGCAAACCACATCAGTCCGACGGCCAGTGCGGGCGCGGCGATAGCAAAGCCCATGATCTTATCCTCACTGCAGCAGAGTCAGCATTTTGAAAAAAGCGAGTGAGAAAAACAGGGATATACTAACGGCTGTATCCTCTCTCCCCGCTGCAACCCCCGACGAACGGCCCTTCGATCCCACAGGCGCGGCAGAAAACTGAGCGCAACACCGGGCAAAAAGGCCAAGAACGCCATCGCAGCCGTCGTGCGCGTAAAGCCAGCCGACATGGACATATAAACATCCGGCAGCGACTCAGTGAAGAGATAGATGATACCCCACGACACGGCCGAGATGGTCGTGACCATGATGACGATCGGCTCCGTCCCCAATAGTTTGAGCGGCTGAACAACAACCAACCGGACCAGCGCCTCAGCGTCGGGCGCATGGTCGGGGTTAAACCAGTCGAGGCTAGCCACGCCGCCGCGGGCGGCCAGGACGGCGATCTTTCGCTTCAGCACCTGGCTGGGCCTACTCTCCTTCACACCAAGGAGACAGGCGAAGCAGACAGCCGAAACGGCAGCCGAGACGTAGAAGATCCAGCGCCAGGAGCCGCTCGCCGCCAGGATGTAGGCGCCGTACAGGGGGCCGAGGCACAGCCCGGCCGTCGAGCCGGCGTTCCACACCACGACCAGCCACACGCGCTGGCCGCCGTCGAACATGTCGTGGATGCTGCCCGCCGTCACCACCGCCGGCACCGCCGACGTGAAGCCCGCGAGGAAGCGGCCGATCCACACGGCTGATATGTGCGGGACGATGCCGGTTAGGAGGCAGCAGATGCTGAAGGCGGCGCAGGATACGAGGTAGGGCGTCCGTCGTCCGATGAGCTCGGATAGCGCTGGGGTTACGAGACCGCCGAAGGCCTGGCCGAGGTTGTACCTGGTTTGATTTTCAGGGGTCAGCGGAAACTGTACCCGGGTGATGCCTGCCTAACCCGGTGCGGTGGTACCTCTGCGGCGGTGGGCAGGGGGGGAGGATCATATGTGGGCACTTACATGAAGGTGAAGGCCAGGATCGAAGACACTTTGTCAACGCCATACTCTGGTTGCGCTGCGTGTGCCGCTGCGGCCTGTTATGGGTGTAACAACGGGGTGGTCAGCCATTTTTCAAGTCCAAGTGTCTTCATAAGCACCAGCCACAGAGTCACATGGGGTGGGCAGTGATAACTCACCCCGGCCGTGCTGACAACAGTGACAAAGAACTCGAGGAATATGATGACGGTCGTGTCGAAAGTCTTCCTCGCAACGCTCCAGTTTCGAGGATGGTCTTTGCTGTCCGGCAGCCAACAAATCAAACCGTCACTATTCCGTTGGAGGCCCAGGTCTGTCAGTTGTTCTAGCTCGAGGTCACCGTTCGCGGTCTCCGTCACGGAGACGATACTGGCGGGCTTGGACATTGAAGGCTTTGACATCGTGGGCTAAGGCACTGGCAGTGCAGGACCGGTATCAAGAAAGGGTACAGATTAATCACGATGGACCAGCATGTTTCGGTCTCCCCGGCTCTGGGATCAGGTCCCCTTTACATCTGTACATTTCTCTACTACCGGAACATCCATGGCGCAATTTCTGGTGTGATGTAAGCGGCCAGGCCCCCCTCGACCGCCGAGAGCAAATTTTCATGAAAATTTGAAAGTGTGTCTGAGACCATGGAGACGCCGAGTCATGGACGCGCCCAGCCAGAATCAAAGTTCTCACCCTCGTGCTTGGTACACGGCAGTGTCATAGTTAATAAGCCAACACTTCGCACTCGGTTTTACCTCGGACTGACCGCCATTTTAGGGATCGGCCCCGACGTGTCCCATCTTTCCTGTATCTGGATACGGAATGAGTGAACCATCTTAAAATTCGGCTTCGAGCCATGCCCAATCGCTGTGACTGGGAGGGGCCGAGGGAAAGGAGAGAAGGATTCGGATGGACACACGTCAAATGATAGTCCCCAAGAAGAGCCTTAACAAGTATTGTTGTACTGTCACATTATGTAAGGGGTTAGGAGGATTCCGCAACCAGACTTGTAGGGCTGGCTGAAGGGTGGGTTGATGATTCAGCCTTGGACCCGAGGGCCGGGTTTTCGTCCGAGTGGTGCTTGGGCACCAGGATCGCAGGATCCGTCTTCAGTAATCCTTGGCCTGGGCCAAAGCTCGGTGAGCCCATCGTCACATATAATCATCCCTACGATGCGACCGTCGTACTCGCCTGGCTTCACACACATTAACCCCCCTCCTTGGCTTGAACACGAGGCTCAAAGTTTGCTTCCACCACCACCATGACCATAACCACCGACCCCCCGAACCGTGCCTGGGGCACCAAGACAACCCCTGGCGAAGCCGGCCAAGCGGCCCTTAGCGAGACCGACGAGGTATCCTGGGGCGATCCCAGCCGGACCGGCACGGCGTTTGACTTTCGAAGTGAGTCCCGATCCCCCCAACCCCAGTCCTACGATCCCAGCCCCACCCCCCCATAACTCCCATACTCACACTCCACCCCCCGACAACCAGCGGACGCCATCACGACCCCCACCCTCCGGCAGCTCGCCGCGATCGGGCGGGCGACGCTCAACGACGACGTGTTCGGCGAGGACCAGACCACCACCGCACTGGAGCGGCAGATGGCCGCGACGTGCGGGCGCGAGGCCGCGGCCTTCGCCGTGTCGGGCACCATGGCCAACCAGCTGGCGCTGGGCGCGCTGTGCCAGCAGCGCCCGTACGGCGTGCTGGCGGACGCGTCGGCGCACGTCGTCGGCTTTGAGGCGGGCGGGCTCGCTAGCCTGTCCGGTGCGACTATGCAGCCCGTCAGGCCGGCTAATGGTCTGCATTTGACTGTGGGTGACTTGGAGGTGCATGCCAGGGTGGATGAGGAGGGTGGTGAGGGGGAGTTGGGGTTGCCGTGGACGGCCTGCCCGACGAGGGTGGTGAGTCTGGAGAACACGGCGCACGGGAATGTGATTCCGCTGGCGGAGCTGCGCGCGATCAGGGAGTGGACGGCGCAGCGCGGCGTGTTGGTGCATATCGACGGGGCGAGGGTGTGGGATGCGGTGGCTTCGGGCCGGGCCGGGACATTGGCGGAAATCGCGGCGTGCGCTGATGTTTTGACGTTATCGTTTTCCAAGGGGATCGGCGCGCCGATCGGGGCGGTGGTCGTGGGCTCGGGCGCCGTCATCCGCCGAATCAAGAGGCTGCGCCAGAGTATCGGCGGCGGGGTTCGGAAGACCGGCTTGCTCGCGGCAGCCGTGCGGGAGGCGGTGCTCGAAAACTTTGGGCCGGGGGATGTTGACGTGGGGGGCGTGTTCAGTGTCACTCATGACATGGCGGCGGCGGTGACGCGCATGTGGACGGACCGGGGTGGGAAGTTGCTCCGCCCAAGTGAGACCAACATGGCTTGGTTGGATCTTGCGAGTGCTGGCGTCACGGCTGAGACATTGAACGGCATGGGTATGCGGAACGGCATCTTGATCGCCGCGCCGCGGATCGTTCTCCACCACCAGATCTGTGCCAAGGCGTTGGTGAGCCTGGAGCAGGTGTTTGACGACATACTGGTTCGGCGAAAGGTCGAAGGCGCGGACGGGCCGGGTGCGTTCGGCTTGAGGAGTAAAGGCTGTGTCCAAAACATATAAGAGGAGGACTTGCCATGGTCGGATAGCATAAGTGCCACCAAACCTTCCTATGTTCCAGCATATGATGAGCAGGTAGAGTTCTTTAATCAAGGCTTCAATCACGGCTTCAACCGATCCTCGGCCTTCTCCTCACCCACACCTCTTTCTCGCCGGCCTGGGTCTCGCGCAGCTCAACCTCCCATACTTTGAGCTTGTAGTTCCCGCGGTCAGACCGGCCGGAAAAGAGGTCAAAGGACCAATTGTGCTTCGGGCAAGTCAGGCCTGCACTGAGGACGATACCAAAGTCCTCGATATCGAATGGGGTGCCCTGCGAAAGCGGGAAAGAGGAATGAGGGCATTGCTAGAGTCTCGTCATTAATGTGATTATTCACACTAGCAATTGCACATTGTTACGTTACTTACGTGGTCTATTGCGTGAAACTTGCCCCGATATTGAAATACGAGAACCTGGTCCGTCAAGTCCTGAGCCGAGTCCTCTGCTGGGATCTCAACTTCTGTCCGCTGGGAACTATCTGCCTTGGGGACATGGAAGACTTTGCAACCCGGTTTTGCATCCTCGCCATGGTTGCCCCTGCTGCCACACAGCCGAGACTCGCTTTCGATTTCATGGGTTTCTTGATTTTCATCAAGTCCAAGGCCGACTTCCGGAAATGATGAGGCGGCGCCGACGGAGAACCACTCTGCTCCGGTTCGGGATGGCCCTCGGAACGGACTGAGCAAGATGTTCATTTCCAGTGCTGTCGTTATCGGGACGTAGTAGATGCGGTTGGCGCAATTATGAACTAAATTGTAATATATTCTTTTAGTTTTCTCGTCTGAAAGCTTGTTTGATTGTGAGAGATTTCGTCGTTGCAATTAATTATTGATTTTGCTCCGAATGTGGACCCTCACGTGTCTTTTTTGCTACTTGCGTACCAAGTATTATCAAATCGTTCATCGTGTAAGTCATGGTTTGTATTCCCGGGTTGCAATAATTACTCAGGAGAGGAACGTGAGCATTTCGACACCATTACAGATTAATGGCCCGACAAATCAACAATTTGCCAAATTGAGAACACCACCGGTAGCTAGAGAATTATAAAAGAGAGAAACTAAACCAATACTTGGGTATCTTAGTGATAGTGTATGAAGTAGTTTTCTGTTCCTGCTCTGAAGCATATTAAACCCTAACCCTTCTTTACCCCCTTTCCACCGGGACCAACAACATAACAAAATCTTGTGAGTTCAGTGTGCTCGTCTGTACGTCTGTACGGAATACTCCCAAGCCGGTTGTTTGTATTGCCGGTTGATCTAGCCAAAACTGCGCTATTCCCCATCAAGGTTGTCAAAAAGGTGCTCGTGAATTCAAACGCAGGGAACCCGTGTTGACTTTGGTAACCAACCCCCTGAGCCAATGTTGATGGGAGGAGGCCATTTTTGGAAGGATTTTCTGAGGAGCAAACGATCGAGATTCCAAGTCCCGCAATTGGATTCCGGATAGCTCATGCATGAGATCGAGTTTATGCAGTGCAACAGCAAGTTACAACGGGGGAGGAATTGCCGAATTATCCATATAACCGGCGTGTTTCCAGGCTGGTTGTCGCCTCTCTAGGCGCCCCAACCGGGGTTTTCCAACGAGCCTCGGCACCCCTCTTCCCTGTATCATGCCCTCATCAGGAATCGGAAGGCCGGAGCAAGTTTCTTGAGCGGTTACGTATATCTCGGGGAGGACCAGCGATCATCAACCCATCACTCGTGCGCCTCTTTCTCTCCGACATTATCCAGGAACAAAGCCATAGATCTTCGCTTTGGGACCGGGTACGGACCGGACGGGACCATGAAGATCGGCACTGCAATGTGGGGAAATATATTGGCCCCAGGTCCTCGGGCCTCCAGCAACCCTCTTCCAGCACATGTTTGAAACAGCATGATGCCTCCGGGGGTGTTCGTCATAGCCGCTCAACTCAGAGTGCGGATGAATAAGACCAACCGGGAGGGAAACCTGGTCGTTGGCCCGAGAGGAAAAACATAAAAGACCAGGCCAAGAACTCCCTCCGCCGCCATTCTTCTGGGGACCTCTGCATCGCCACCGACATACGCGACACGTCTCGTCCCAGTTACACCAAGCCAGTCAAGCCTCACAGTCAACATGAAGACTACCCTTTCTGCGCTGGCCCTTGTGGCTCTATCCTCTGCCACCCCCGTCTCCCTCAAGGAACGCCAGGGCCAGAGCACCGGCGACGGGCCGTTTGCGCCGGCGGTATGTTGAAATGTCCCGGGTGCCATAGCCTCCCTCTCCAGCTCCCGCCTTAGAAGGGGGACCGACGGTGTGGTGAATGCACATTGAGCTCAAGGTAGCTAACACGACTTCGCTCGCAGGGCTACTACACTTCGGATGCTCTCCAGGGCCACACCTTCTACGCCCCCAAGGAGGTCCCGTCCGGCGCCAAGCTCCCCGTCATGCTCTGGGGCAACGGCGGGTGCTCGGCCGACGCCACGGGGCAGGCGCCCTTCCTGACGCAGCTGGCGTCGTACGGCGTGCTCGTCATCGCGAGCGGCACGCCCGGCGGCCAGGGCAGCACGACGGCCGACGTCATGAAGGAGTCGATCGACTTCATCAGCACCAACGCGGGCCAGGGCGACTTCGCGAGCGTGGACGCGTCGCGCATCACGGCGGCGGGCTGGAGCTGCGGCGGCGTCGAGGCGTACGCCCAGATCTGGGACGACCGCGTGCAGAGCGTGGGCATCTGGAGTTCGGGCTTGCTGACCAACTACACGGCGGCCGAGAACTTCCGCAAGCCCGTCTTCTTCTTCCTCGGCGGCCAGAGCGACATCGCCTTCGCCAACGGCGAGCGCGACTACAACGCCATGCCCGCCGGCGTGCCCAAGTGGAAGGGCAACCTCGACGTCGGCCACGGCGGCACCTACACCGACCCCAACGGCGGCAAGTTCGGCGTCATCGGCGCCCAGTGGGTGCAGTGGACCATGCGCGGCAACTCCTCGGCGTCCGAGTACCTGACGGGCGAGGGCGCGGCGGCCGATGGCTGGCAGGTGGTCTCTGCGGACCTGGACCAGTTCAGTGTTGAACCGATTGCTTAAGAGGGCATGGATAGGGGTCAGAGGACGCAACCGGAGATCTTGGATATTCGATTGTTGGATTGGAGAGTAAAGCTACTTTTTCAAACTACTATGATCGATGCAATAACATTCAAGTTGAAAGCATCTACTGCATCTCCTCAGTACCGAGTCCTTGGGCCGAGCCGGCTCTTGGACGACCGCATGCCGTAAAAGAATGCGGGAAAGCATCAAGTGAAGACAAACAGGGGAATGTAGCTCTTTTGCCAAAAGGCTACCAGTCGGTACCCAAGCTGGGCTCAGTCAATTCGATCCGCTGATTGGGGCGCATGTTGCCGGCTGTTCCCCCCTGCTGCTCTTCATAGTCACCCGCCCTGTCCTGCCGCTTCTTTACTAGTCCAGACTGTTGGTACCTGCAGTTAGTAATCTCGGGTCGAGCAACCGGCCTGGAGGCGAGGAGTCCGGCCCAGGAACACGCCTGTTGGCAGCTGCATGAGTACTACTCCAGCAGCAGTGGTAGTAATATCGTCCCATGAACCGGGTCGGGCTCGGCATTGCAGCGTGCGGAGAGGGGTCACGCCCCATTTAAGACCATCATGTCCACCGTGAACGTTGTTGTGCCTGAGCAAGGCCACTTGCTCTGTCATTTGCCTATACAAAGCTGTCCAAGATGGCGCCTCTTACACTCCGGGCTCTCTCGCTGCTCGCGCTCACCGGAGCCGCAGCGGCGGTGTCCCTGTCGGTTGCCAACTCTGGCGGCAATGACACGTCTCCGTATATGTATGGCATCATGTTTGAGGATATCAACCAGAGTGGCGACGGTGGATTGTAAGTTATATCGCAGCCCTCCTGATAAGCCGCGCGTGGTGCTCAACTAAGTCCCCTCAGGTACGCCGAGCTAATTCGGAACCGCGCGTTCCAGAACGGCACGCTCCAGTCCTGGAGCGCCGTGGGCGACAGCACGCTCGAGTTGGTGACCTCTGCGCCGCTATCAGAGGCCCTGCCTCGCTCCGTCAAGGTGGCGAGCGGAAAGGGCAAGGCGGGCCTGAAGAACGCCGGCTACTGGGGCATGGACGTCAAGAAGACCGACAAATATAGCGGCAGCTTCTACTCGTACGGTGCCTATGACGGAAAGTTCACCCTTTCTCTGGTGTCGGATATTACCAATGAAACCCTGGCAACCACCAAGATCAAGTCTAAGTCGGTGGAAGACGCCTGGACGCAGCATGAGTTCGAGCTTCTCCCGACCAAGAGCGCGGCGAACAGCAACAACAGCTTCGTGTTGGAGTTCCGCCCCTGCCACCAGACTGAACTCCAGTTCAACCTGATTAGCTTGTTTCCGCCGACGTATAAAGACAGACCCAACGGCATGCGCCGAGAGCTCATGGAGAAGCTCGTGGATCTTAACCCCAGCTTCCTCCGGATTCCGGGGGGCAACAACCTGTAAGTAGTCACAACCCAAGCTCTCTGCAGGCACGCAGTAGCCGGACCAGATTACTCACCTCAATAACAAAACAGCGAGGGGAACTTTGCAGGCAACTACTGGAACTGGTCCAGGACCCTTGGCCCGCTAACCGACCGGCCCGGCCGTGTTGGAGTGTGGACGTACCCGAACACAGACGGCCTCGGGCTGGTCGAGTACATGCACTGGGCCGAGGACCTCGACGTGGAGGTTGTGCTGGCGGTCGCCGCGGGCCTGTACCTGAACGGCGAGGTCGTGCCGGAGGAGGAGCTGGGGGTCTTCGTGGAGGATGCGCTGAACCAGCTCGAGTTCCTCATGGGCGACGTCTCAACCCCCTGGGGCGCCCGGCGCGCGGAGCTCGGCTACCCCAAGCCGTGGAACATCAAGTACGTCGAGGTCGGCAATGAGGACAACCTGTGGGGCGGCCTGGACTCGTACAAGAGCTACCGGTTGAAGATGTTTTACGACGCCATCAAGGCGAAGTACCCCGGCATCTTCATCTTCTCTTCCACCGAGCAGTTCGTGTACAAGGACTCGGGCCAAGACTACCACAAGTACACCCGCGCGGACTATTTGATGTCCCAGTTCGACCTGTTTGACAACTGGGCCGACGGACACCCCATCATCATCGGAGAGTGAGTAAAAGGCGGCCTCTGGCCCCCGCCACGCGCGGTCCTTCCGCAAGCTGACAAGTCACCTTAGGTATGCGACCATCCAGAACAACACGGACAAGCTCGAGGACGCAGACTGGGATGCCCCCAAGAACAAGTGGTCCAACTGGATCGGCTCCGTCGCCGAGGCGGTCTTCATCCTCGGTGCGGAGCGCAACGGCGACCGGGTCTGGGGCACCACCTTTGCGCCGCTCTTCCAAAACCTCAACAGCTACCAATGGGCCGTAAGTACCACACTCCCCCTCCCCCTACCTCCCGTGCACGCATGCACGCACTCGCGGCAAACAAAACACCGTCCTAACAAACCCCCGCAAACAGCCCGACCTGATCTCCTTCACCGCCGACCCCGCCGACACCACCCCGAGCGCGTCCTACCCGATCATCCAGCTCCTCGCCGCGCACCGCATCACCCACACCCTCCCGGTCACCGCCACCACCACCTCCAACAGCACCGCCTCCTTCGGCCCCGCCTACTGGGTAGCCGGCCGCGGCGCCGCCGAGGGGTCGCACATCTTCAAGGCGGCCGTGTACAACAGCACGGGCGGCGCCGACGTGCCCGTGAGCGTGAAATTTGAGGGCGGCAGCGACAAGAAGGGGGCGCGCGCGCAGCTGACGGTGCTGACGGCGCCTGGGGGGCCGTGGGCGCATAATACGCCGGAGAATAAGGAGGCGGTCAAGACGACGGTGACGACGGTGAAGGCGGGGAGGGGCGGTGTGTTTGAGTTTAGTTTGCCGGATTTGTCGGTCGCGGTGTTGGTGACGGAGGGGGCGTTGTGAGAGTTGTTTGTTGTTGCTGGGTGATGCGTGCTTGGGGTTGTTGGGAGGAGTAATAACCGGTGATGGTTGTTCGTCCTGGGAAACTGGGGATGTGCATCATCACTTCCCCGATGACGGTTCATCGTTGAAGCGGATGTGTTGTAGCTGCTCGCACATATCCTACCAAAAGACGAATCCTTTGTGGCGCTTTCGTAATCATCTCTAAAGTTCTGCGTCCTCAACTCCCACGCATGCCTGACTACCACCCTACAGTCAACTCTCCGTTTTCTTGATCCCGCTCTCCCATCATTTGTCGAAGCCGCCGAATGCTCTCCACCCTAATTCGCCTTATGCTCCCGATTGTAGAATTGGAGTAAGTTGCTTGCTCCGGGTGAGGACCCTCGGTTCAGACGGGATGAACATGGTGTTGGTGGTTGACGGACAGGGGGTTGTGCTTGGTGAGGGCGCATTTGCAACAGGTTTACGGTAGGGGTTGGTTGTTTGCTGCTCTGGAGTTAGTTAGTTCAGTTGGTCATCTGTCTGACTTGCAGCTCTTCTGTTGCCCCCCTCTCCCCTTGTCTTTTCTCTTTTTCTTTTTTTCTTTTCTTTTCTTTTCGTTCCTGCTGAGCGACGAGTTTCTGTTCTCATGCGAAAGCGACCAGGCTCGCTGTCAAGCGAGAGGAGTAATCACAAGCATCGTGTATGTGGAAATGAGTTTGATCCTGGCTATTACCCATTTGTGGGCTGTGGCCCCTTGTAATCTGTATGTGTTAAGATTCCAAGGGAGTAAGATGCCCTTTCAGTTTGTCTTCAGATTGTCGAGGTTGTGATGTGAGAGTGGAAAAAAGAGTGGGGCATCATAAGCAGCCAATTCAGGGGCAGTTTCTGGCGCTTTCCACGCCGAGACCACAGGCAGTCGTCTCGTGAACTCAGCACCTGTAACTCAGGGTCCCTGTTTGTTTCAGCACCACCTAGTTACATAGATTGCCAGGGTTCCATCGCCCAGCGTCAACTGTGCTATGAATAAAACGGCGGTTTTTGATGGGCTGTGGATTGATCTCCAGCCGCAATAAATAAATCTGTGCCTGTAGCTGACCGGTAACGAGGATGCGGTGCGAGGATGAACGGACCGTCCTCACTGCCCATCACAATCAACCAGCCAGGCATGTCAGGGAGAAGCGCATGAACAACCTACCAGGTAGGGAGCCTGGGCTCGGGCCTCTGAGTTGCTTTATGCATTCACTGCTGCTGGTCCTGCTGCCCGACTGATTTTTGACTGCCTTGAACAAATAGCAAAGTCTGGCCTCGGTTTGCTGAGGTAGGACTTGCGACCGTAAGACCTAGCTTTTTACAGGTTCATGGCTTCGGCACGGGGGTGGCCCAGGAGTCAACGCCGCTCTCGCAGTGTTTCCAGTTTGGGTAGTCTGTTGGTGAGGTGAGCTTCCTCAAGAGTGACGTACTAGGCTCCCTCGCTCCCACCGGCGCCAAAGCTGCCCGTCACGTGTTAAGCCCAGGCGGGGTCCGTTTGAGTGGCCGTGCCAGCCCAAATTTCACTGGTCGACCGCCCACGCATCCCGCCTTGTGTTGTCGCTTCGCTGCGCTTCGGCCTTGCCCCTTCCCTCATTTCCAACTTTGCATCCAAAACCGGTGACTTCGCCCACTCTTGTCCTCTTTCCAAAACATCGAACCACCGAACCACATCGCAAACTTTTTGCAACCACTTTCTACCCCGCCATCTTCCCCACGCAACGTCCTCCTGTCGGCATCCCGCCATCCACTAGATTCCACGAGGTGAGTCTTTGGTTACTGTCCCCTCACCCGCTTCATCGTCCTCCGCACACCACTTCTCGCCCGCTGTCGTCATAGCCTGCGCGATCGGTCCCTGCCTCTCCACCCTCTGAAACCATGGTCGCGATGTTCGAGGTCGCCTCGGGCTCCCCGTCCAATTGCCCCCCAACTCGGCGCCCAACATGCCCAGGAGACCCTCCTTCACGCGGTCTAAGGCCGACCGGGCTGCGCATCCACACCCCACACCGAGAGCGGGGAGCCTGGCACGAAATCAGCACAGCACAGCGCAGCGCAACTCATTAGCATCAACAAGGGCTGCTCCATTGCGGCGGTCGTTGTTGCGATGAGAGCGACTTTGTGGCACCTTTATTTCCCCTCTTCACGCTCTCGTTCTGTTTTTTTATTGCCCTGCGCTTGCACACTGAGCACACCGACTCGCCCCGCCCGGTTGTGATGTGTTGCTAACCACGATTTTACAGATACCACTCCATCCGCCAAAATGGGTCACGAAGATGCGGTGTACCTGGCCAAGCTGGCCGAGCAGGCTGAGCGCTACGAAGGCATGTATTCGTGGATACCGAGAACCACCCTCGACCGCCACTGACACTCCACCCCGCATACAGAGATGGTAGAGAACATGAAGATTGTCGCCTCTGAGGATCGCGATCTTACCGTCGAGGAGCGGAACCTTCTGTCGGTCGCCTACAAGAACGTTATTGGCGCTCGCCGTGCGTCGTGGAGAATCGTCACCTCGATTGAGCAGAAGGAGGAGTCCAAGGGCAACTCTACCCAGGTGGACCTCATCAAGGAGTACCGTCAGAAGATCGAGGCCGAGCTCGCCAAGATCTGCGAGGACATCCTCAGCGTCCTTGACGAGCACCTGATTCCCTCGGCCAAGTCGGGCGAGTCCAAGGTGTTCTACCACAAGATGTCAGTACTTACCCTATCAACGTGCTATTTCGGCCAGGCCTAACCCCAGTGTAGGAAGGGTGACTACCACCGCTACCTCGCCGAGTTCGCCGTTGGCGACAAGCGCAAGGATTCGGCCGACAAGTCCCTCGAGGCGTACAAGGCCGCCACCGAGGTTGCCCAGACCGAGCTGCCGCCTACGCATCCCATCCGCCTGGGTCTTGCCCTTAACTTCTCCGTCTTTTACTACGAGATCCTGAACGCTCCCGACCAGGCTTGCCACTTGGCCAAGCAGGCCTTTGACGATGCTATTGCCGGTACGTGATCGCGCACTGCGCCAAGACACGAACTTTTGCTAACAGCGATTACAGAGCTCGACACATTGAGCGAGGAGAGCTACAAGGACAGCACCCTGATCATGCAGCTTCTCCGCGACAACTTGGTACGTGTCAAAAATGTGACAATCTCCATTAGACCAATGCTAACGCCCTACAGACTCTCTGGACCTCTTCCGAGGCCGAGGCCCCCGCCGCTACGGGCTCCGCCGAGGCCCCTACGCAGGAGGAGCCGAAGCCGGAGGCGGCTGCGGAGGAGCCCAAGGCCGAGTAAGCGGCGTCATCGATGTTCCTGGTCTCTTGATAGTGATAACCCCGGTTTGGCAAATCCCTTGGTGGAAACGGTGTCTTTGGAGCGCGGACTGGAGATCCCCACGTACCTTTGCATGTTTACGGCAGATACACAAGACTTGGCAGGCGGTTCGTTGCGGGCAGCTGAGGGCTGAAATGTGAGCATTTGGAGGGTTCTGTTTCCTTTTTTAAATTGCTTGCTTTTAGACTCGGACTGTGGCGAGGATCGCCTGGGCAAGAATAAAACCCCGTCGTCAATAATAGACCTGTTTGGCGTCTCATGCTTTGCTGGCTACAGCCGTGGATATGAATTGTACTGTCTTGCATGATCTCGACCTGGTTTATTCAGGTAAACTCGGTGGCTTTCACCTTTGACCACCTCCAGCACCGGCACTTGTTCCTCCCTTAGTCCCGCTACCACTACCACCCTCCCGAACCCCAACATCATCGTCACCATCCTCCTCGACCACCGCAAAACAAACCCTCAACCACAAACTACAGTCCGCACACCCAACCATCAACTCCCCCAAATCAGCCGCATCCTCCAAGTCAGCCTCGGCGAACTGATACCCCCTCGGATTCCCGCACCGACACCCCCGGTACCACTGCGTCTCGCTCCCGGCCCCGTCCGCATCCTCATCACACTCCAGATCGTCCAGGTCGACCGTCTCGATGCCCGTCTGGAACGCTGCCGCCCCTGCACCCCCGCCTCCTCCTCCTCCTGATGTTGCGGATTGGGATTGGGATTGGCGCTGGAGAAGGAGGGAGGTGTCGTAGGCTTGGCGCTGGGCCCGGCGGGAGAGGGTTGCGTAGGCGGTGGAGATTTGGTCGATTGTGTAGGTGTGTGTTGTGTTGTGTGTGTTTGTGTCTGTGTTTGTGTTTGATGGGGGTGGAGGGTTGGGGGAGGGTGACGATTTCTTGTCCGGGTGGTGGTTGAGTAGCGCGCGCCGGTAGGCTCGTTTGATGAGCGCTGCGGCGGCGGGTTCGCCGCCGGTTTCTTCTTGGGTGGTGAGGGTGGTGGGGGAGAGGTTGAGGATTTCGTAGTAGGTTGGGTTGTTGGGGTCGGAGGGGGTCATTGTGTAGTGTGCCCCCCTGGCGAGGTGTGGGTGGTGGTGGGTGCTGGGCTGGCTGATGGTGTTGAGCGAAGGTTGTGAGAGCTTTTGTGACAAAATGAGAAGAATTTGGAGCCAATCACGTGCGTTTGTTTTGCAAAAGGCCCCTCCTCTAGATGTTCTTAGGAGAGAGAGGAAAGCTTCTTAGGGGGAGATGCGAGTGTCACTGGAAGAAGGGGAAATGGGGGACGGAGAGACTCGAACAAAACGAAGATGGCACGGGGGTTTGTGATATCTGTTGCCCACTTGGCAGGGAACTGATCGCCCAATAACAGCGGGGAGGTGAGACGAAGAGGACGACCAAATCCTGAACCAGACAGGGACGGCAGCACACTGCCTAGCTCGCCTGAGCTGCATACCAAGGGCCCTCCAGTGGTTGGATGTTGTACATTGGTATTGGTACAGTCTAAACACATCATAGCTCTCGTGCACGGCATCTGCCCGCTTATTTCGGGAACTTGGTCCAGTCCCGTTTTCCAACCTACAATTTGGTTAGCATACGATTCCAACTCACAGATACGGACCGCCAGAAACATACCTTCTTCCATTCCCTGATGAGCTCCGGCATCTCCAACATGGCCTGTCTCCTCTTGTCCATCCTGTAGAACGCCCAAGTCAGCAAAACGCCCCACGACAGCCCGCAACCACCCGTTCCAAGAACTCTGAACATACTTGGCACCCTGCTGCCTCTCGTGCTTGTGACCCTTGACCTTCTGGCCAACACCAGTACCCTTGACACGCAGACCGAGCTCGACTCTCTTGCGTAACCTTGCCTCGGTGCCCTTGGGCCCGTCCGGCAGCAGCTCCTCGACACCATGCTTCCGCGCCATCTTGACGAGTTCGGCCTGCCGGCGCAGCGAGTACTTGGGGTCGTGCCACCGGCCGGTTACCGGGTGCCTCAGGGGCCTGAACGGGTTCGGGGTGTCTTCTTGGTAGCCCGTCTTGTGCGTCTCGGGGCTGGCGCCGGCGGGGAGGATCGAGGCCGGAGGGTACCGCGCGAGAAATGTGCGCAGCCGCGTCGGCAGCGCCAGCGCCAGTTGTACGTGCTTCGTCGCCGCGGCCGCCATTGTCGAGGTCTGCTGACGCTGTAATGTGGGCGAGTGAGTACCTTGCCGACAGCGAGTTCGAGCCGTGAGGTTCGATGCTGCAAGCAGCGATTGATTCTCAAAAAAGGGTGGGTCCTCTGTTGTCGGACAGTGTGGTAAGAACAACGCTCATGCGACCTTGAACGGCAAACGCAAGCAGCTACATATAGTTATATAGATATATCTTGTCTTGTTACTTTATGGACGAGGTGAAGGTAATTCAGCGCAATTCAATGCTCTTCATTTCCCTCTCCTCACATGTTTTTCCTTTCACTAACTGAAGCAATTTGATAGTCTACGTACAGTGCAAACTCCCATTCCAAGACACGGTGTCGGGCCCATCTCTCTGCGCCAAGCATTGTGCCAAGCGACATCCATCCATCGATGAACGGCCCAGCATCATCCAGCAACCATTCCGCTCCCCAAACATTACAGACTACATCCACCCATCTCTATCCACGCCTTAGATACACTTGTACTACGCCATGGATCGAAGACGCTTACCGCCAGACCTCCCAGCTCTGCTCCGCCAGCGGGAGGCTGAGAAAGCTGCAGCTGCGAAACCTCGGTTCATCCCGAAGAAGGAACGAGAGCGCATGGCCGCAGAGAAGGCGGCGAAAGAGGAAGAGGAACGGAAACGGCGACAAGAAGCTTCGATATCACGACGGCATCCATCTACGAACGGGGCAAACGACTCTAATGGATACTCCAACGGAAAGTCGACTGCCCACGGTATACCAACCGGCCCCAAGGCGATGCGACACCCAGGCGATGGTGGCGAAAATGAGCACGGCGGAAAACGCCGCCGGATTAACGACGACGATGAAAAACGAGCCGACATGGAGCGAAAAGACGCTGCGGAGTTACGGGCAAAGTACATGGGTCCCGAGGTCAACCAATCTACCTTCTCGGCAAAGAAGAAGAGGAAGAGGACGGCGGCGAACAAGTTCAACTTTGACTGGGATCCCGAAGACGACACCAGCAGGCCTTTTGACCCCGTCTACGCAGAACGCCCAGAGCCCCTCGTAAGACTCGCAGGCTACGAGAATACCGACGAGTTGGTGCTACGGAGGGCAGAGGCCATCCGGCGTGGCGACCGCGAGACTGGGGAGGAGCGCGCGAGGAAGTTACTGGAACAACACGAGCGCGCCAAGCAGGCGGCAGAGCGCAAAAACTTTGGCAAGCACTGGTCAGAGAAAGAGCTGGACGACATGAAAGAACGCGACTGGCGTATCTTCAAGGAGAATTTCGGCATCGCCACTAAGGGCGGCGCCATCCCCAATCCCATGCGCAGCTGGGCAGAGTCAAATCTGCCGCGCCGGCTGCTCGAAATCGTCGAAAATGTTGGTTATGACGAGCCAACACCCATTCAGAGGGCTGCTATACCGATTGCGCAACAGGCACGCGACTTGATCGGTGTTGCCGTTACCGGTTCAGGTAAAACGGCCGCCTTCCTCTTACCCCTGCTGGTATACATCTCGGAACTTCCTCCTCTTACGGAATTTAACAAAAACGACGGGCCGTATGCGCTCATCCTTGCCCCGACCAGAGAATTGGTGCAGCAAATCGAGACCGAGGCCAGGAAATTCGCTGGTCCGCTTGGTTTTACCGTGGTTAGCATTGTCGGCGGTCACTCTTTGGAGGAGCAGGCTTTTGCGCTCCGCAACGGCGCCGAGATTATCGTCGCAACTCCGGGTCGTTTGGTGGACTGCCTCGAGAGGCGCCTGCTCGTGTTCTCCCAATGCTGCTACATCATCATGGACGAAGCAGACCGCATGATCGACCAGGGTTTCGAGGAGCCGTTGACCAAGATTCTTGACGCTCTTCCGGTCGCTAACGAGAAGCCGGATACAGAAGATGCCGAGAACTCACAACTCATGAGCCGCTACCTTGGCGGCAAAGACCGATACCGCCAGACAATGATGTACACGGCGACCATGCCGCCACTCGTCGAAAAGATCGCCAAGAAATACCTTCGTCGTCCGGCGATCGTGACTATCGGCAATGCGGGCGAGGCCGTCGACACAGTCGAGCAACGCGTCGAGTTCGTCTCGGGCGAGGACAAGCGCAAGCGGCGCCTGCAGGAGATCCTCAACTCGGGCCAGTTCAAGCCACCCGTCATCGTCTTTGTCAACATCAAGCGCAACTGCGAGATGGTGGCCAAGGACATCAAGTCGTGGGGCTACTCGACGGTCACGCTCCACGGCAGCAAGACGCAGGAGCAGCGTGAGGCGTCGCTGGCGTCGGTTCGGAACGGCCAGGCAAACATTTTGGTGGCCACGGATCTGGCGGGGCGTGGTATCGACGTGGCAGACGTGTCGCTAGTCGTCAACTTCAACATGCCCTCGAGCATCGAGGCGTACACGCATCGTATCGGCCGTACGGGTCGTGCGGGCAAGAGTGGTGTGGCGATCACGTTCCTGGGCAACGAGGACTCGGACGTCATGTACGACTTGAAGCAGATCATCTCCAAGTCTTCCATCTCCAAGGTGCCGGAGGAGCTGCGGCGGCACGATGCGGCGCAGTCGAAGCCCACGCGGGGCGGGGGTAAGAAGCTAGAGGATAGCGGGGGTTTCGCCGGGAAGGGGGGCTCATGGCAGTGAACGCCGTTAGCTCGGCAGGTTGTGCGTGAGATACTTTTGGTATGTACAGTTCTCAACGCCAGGCCTACAAACAAGCTCATCAGTACACCTTAAGTGTTCCATGACCACATTTCGCCAGCGGCCTTGTGACCTTGCGACCGATCTCACTAACGTCGAGCGTGGGGTGGCATGCGTGCGAGTTCATCAACGCAACTAAGGTGACGTTGAGGTACTGCAAACCAACTTCGGGAAAGTCTAACAGTTATCCCAGCGACGGATGCGCTTCGGGGAGGACTTGAGCAACGGTCGCCGCCCTGGAGCCAAGAATGATGGCGCCAGGTACCCGGTAACTAACCCCAAGAAGTCCCTGCTAGCCAGCCCGAAACGAGGTTACCCCTGTTGAATGGTAGGACAGCCATCGTGGGTCCGAGGTTTGCGAGAATCCTCGAGTTACCCCGTCACGCCAGTCGAGCCAGTGCGTTTGCTTGTGCCGCGAAACTTGAACATATTTGTTCTCGCTGTGGCTGATACATTTCCGGTTGTTTCGTGTGTTTGGCAGGGAAAACCGGCTTTGCGGTGCCGATTGATTGAGTTTGGGGGCAGGAGGTTGGATACCTTACCTAGAAAGAACCTTGCGGTTGGACCTTCGATGCCACCTCAGCCCAGTGCCAAGAGATCCCCCTGGCTGCGGCGTCCCTTCGCCGCACCTCTGGTCATTCCATCGTTGACAAGGAGGAAAAAAGCGGAAGGGTTTCTTAGGTTTGTGGATGATTTGTAAAGGGAAAGAAAGCTCAAAATGGAGTTCGGAATCCATTAATTGAAGATGAGAGAGAGACCTGGAGTCCTGAGCCATGTCCACGCCACGCTACCGGATCGTCACCGACCAAAAACATGTACCCAACTGCTCGGTAACGACTTCGCCTTGGTATTGATAAACTTTCAAGGTCCTGTGCCGTTTCGATCTAGCCGGGCCGTCAACTCATTGTAACCCAGAGCTCCGTCGGATTCCCTCCCATCCTAGGGACAGTTCGCTGGGGCACAACAAAATATCACAATCGCTATTTATAGAGCTTCCCGCTAGTTATATCCAGGTCGCGCAAATGTATTCATCGTTTCACCATCAGCCGCGGCTGATTCGATAAACGACGTCAACACGGCTTCACCTGCGCCAAGCTGAGGGCTCTGTCGCCAAACGATTGCGATACAAACGCACTATGTCGGCCACCGCCACCGATTTAACAGTGGGAAACCTGAGCGGCTCACCTATCATATTCTACCCGGCGCCGACACCATGGCCCTCATCAGCAGGATGTGAGAAAAACATATACAGGCAGGCTGATGGGGGCAGCATTTTGGCTTGGGATCCCGTCTACGCCAACAGATTCGGGTTAAAAGAGGCCAGGGGCTGCCACGCCCCGCAGGTGTCTGCATGGTGGTGGCAGAACAGACAACCGGTAACAGCATTTGGGCCGACGTTTGTTTGTCCCGAGGCCTATAGTGCTGTCTATACCAGTACGCTAGACAGCATCTCGGCAGTGCCGACACAGTTCACCTACTGCTGTCCTAGGTAAGTCTGCTAGCCCTAGAGAAGGAATGGACGCTAGGGCTGACGTGGTGTAGCAACTACAACTTGGGCGCGGTTTTCCAGCCAACCCAAAAGACTATGTTGCAGTGTACGTCGAAAGCGGGACCGGGCGCGACCATCTCTTACATGACGCGCACTTCCCTCACTCGCAAAGTCACCATCACGGGCGTGGATGGCACCGTGGTCCAACCCACCGTCCTGAGCACCAACATTCCCACCTCGACCGTCGTGCGGTTATCCCCCGCCACCGTCTACGGACTCCCCGTCAACGGGTTCAACATTGGACAGCGCCAGGCTAGCAGTACGGGCGGAGCGAGCAACACGGTGACACCCCCGTTATCACCCACGGGTGCATTATCACCAACCGATGCATTATCAACAACCGATGTATTATCACCAACCGATGTGTTATCAACAACCGATACACCCACGCAGTCCAGAGGCCCGGGACTAACGCCAGCTGCCATCGCCGGGATCGTCGTGGGCGCCGTCATTGCTGTTGGGCTGCTCGCCCTCGGTACATTCTTCTTGGGGAGAAGGTGGGCGGCTAACCGACGGCGAGCCGCGGCTGAGGAGGAAGATCCGATAAAAGACTATTACCATTATTTGCAGACACCAAAGGAGGCCGAGATGCCCATCAAGCATCATATACTCGAGCTGCCGGCTAATAAATCTGTGCAAGAGCTGCCTACTTCAAAATAGGTAGCGATGTTCGAGTTGCTGTATTATTACGAGTTGCATTATTACCATGCAGGATTGATGGCCCCTCTCTAGCAGGCTACGAGATCTTTTCTTTTCTGTATTGACCAAGACTTATACACTACCTACCTCGGTACATAAGTAATATTGTACATACATACATATATGAGTTTGGCGCCGTTAGCAAGTAAAGCCACGCCAAGTCTAAAGTTTCAAGTTTAACTCCAGACTTGACCAAATGACTTGGATTAAATACAAAAAGAGTGAGAAATAATCTCCAAATGAAGCACCGCTGAAGGGCACTGAAGTGCGGGAAATGAAGTTGCGTTGTTGTTTCTTTAACTTTGGTGTCCAGCCTCAAGGTGGGCTGGCGCGGGATATAATCTGTACGACGCTTCAACCTCGAACCCCACCTCCCGTTCCTCGCGTACCCCTGTTGCCAAGAGTCGGGACCGTTCTCATTTTTTTTTTTTTTTTTGGGTGTTCTGCTTGACTGCCGATGCACAGTGGTGAGGACAGTGCCCCTCCAACCGCCATCAAGTCCTTGAGCTGGTTTTGGACGGTGTCACGTATGTACCCAGGAGGAGACTATCCCCAGTCCAAGGATGTGAGGGCTTTTTCTTTATCTTTTTCTTTTTTTTTTTAAACATTCCACACAGCGGCGAGTTGTCGACGGTCTTGACAATTGTCCCTTCAACAGCCGACAAGACAAAGCCAGACCGGCGCTGTCGCCTCAGCCTGCCTGCTCCGCTCATCGGGACTCCAACTCAAGTCTTGCCGCCGCCCCCCGATGAGCCATTGAGCGGTGACCGTGTCCAACCAACTCACCTCGCACTGCACCATATGTGTAAATTGCGCGATAGTGCGACCAGGCTATAGTAGTTTGCGTCAGACGAGCAAACAAGGGCTAGGTTTCCCTGTTTATTCATTCTTGAAGAGTTATCCCACTCCGACCGTTGCCTGTGCGGCGCGTTCCGTCCCGGATACCGGCCAACAGCCCTTGACCAGGGGCATCACCCCGCAACCTGAGGTCTTATCCGCACGCCACTTGGGGTCTGATATTCAACTATTCTGGTCTTAACGGCCGGTCTGCCGGTCGGGAAGGAACGAGGGTGTTACTTTCTCCACGTTCCGACCTTAACACACCGTCGACATGGAACCAGCAACCAATCAAGAAGGCGCCAGTGACCTCAAGCCCTTCACAGGGACCACCGCCGCGCCAGTGCACCTGAGACCCAGGACAGCAGTGATGGAGGCAATCGAAGACATCGTCTACGGTTCCGTAAGCCATGCCCCACCCCCCACCTCACCGAACCACCTTCTAACACCTACCCCCAGGTCGCCGGCATCGTTGGCAAATACATCGAGTACCCCTTCGACACGGTCAAGGTGCGCCTGCAGGCGCAGCCCGACCACCTCCCGCTGCAGTACAAGGGCCCGCTGGACTGCTTCCGGCAGTCGATCCGCGCGGACGGCTTCGTGGGCCTGTACCGGGGCATCAGCGCGCCGCTGGTGGGCGCCGCGCTCGAGAACAGCAGCCTCTTCTTCTGGGAGCGCCTCGGCCGCGCCGCCATCTACGCCTCGGGCTACTCCCCGCGCGACCAGGCCCTGCCGCTGTCCGCCCTGTGGGCCACCGGCGCCTTCTCCGGCGCCATGACCTCCTTCGTCCTGACCCCCGTCGAGCTGGTCAAGTGCAAGATCCAGGTACCCGCGTCGGCGGGCGACGCCGCCACAGGCAAGGCAACGGCGCCAGCGCCGGCGCCGGCGCCGCTCCGTCCGCTCCCCGTCATCCGCGACATCTGGCGGCACCAGGGGCTGCGCGGGTTCTGGCACGGCCAGCTGGGCACGCTGATCCGCGAGTCGGGGGGGTGCGCGGCGTGGTTCGGGTCCAAGGAGACGGTGACCAAGCTGATGCGGGAGTGGAACGAGCGGTCGGCGCGCTCCGACGCCGAGCGCGAGCGCGCCCGCGCCGCCGACGCCCTCCCCCTGTGGCAGCAGGCCGTGGCCGGCGCGTCCGCGGGCATGTCGTATAACTTTTTGTTTTTCCCTGCCGATACCGTCAAGTCGCGCATGCAGACCACGCCGATCGGGGAGGGCGCCGCGCCGCAGAGGAGCTTCTCGGGGGAGGCCGCTGCGCTGTGGAAGCAGGCGGGTTTGAAGGGCTTCTATCGCGGGTGTGGGATTACCGTGCTGAGGTCGGTGCCGAGCTCGGCGTTTATTTTTATGGTTTATGATGGGTTGAAGAAGTACTTCCCTATGCAGTGAGGGAGTGAGGCTGGGGGTCTTTGGGGGCGGTTTCCTAAAAAGAGGGGCGGCATAGACGGGGGGGCATTTATTTCTCCATTAGCAGGCGTTGCGGCACCGGGATTTTGGAAAGGCGGCAGGTCTCATGATATGGGTAGTAGATAGAGCTATGTTTTGTTCATACACAGAGTCGAGAGAGAGCGATAGATATCTAGCATTCTTTCTACAATCCCATTTTCGCCTCCTTTGCCCCCCGCTTCCCCCTCCCCTTCCGCCCGGCCTTTTCTTCCACACTCAAGCGTTCTTCTTCCCCTCACCCCGACCCTTCTTCCCCTCACCCCGACCCTTGCCCTTGCCTCCAACGATGGGGCTCAAGTCCCAGCCATTCAGATATCCCGTCCCAAACGACAGGTACGTCGCAAAACCGAGCCAGGCGACGTACGGAACCTGCAACCAGCCGGCGATCTCGTCCACCCGAGTGCCCCACAGCCAGGCGAGGTACGAATTGATGCCGAAGAGGGCGGCGGCGTCGACAGTCGCAAGGATGGGCTGGTTCAGGCCGTAGAATAGCGGCATCCAGGCTAAGTTCAGGCCCAGCTGGATCGTGTAGAGCGTGGCGCCTTGGCGGGCGGCGAGGATTGTGTCCTAGCAAAAGGAGTGGTGAGCTCGGTGTATGTTGGGGAGGGGGGGGAAGGGGTTAAGAAAGGAGAGACTAACGGTGGTGTTGACAGGCGAGGTGCCCAGGTAGACAGCCCGGTGCGCGGCATAGCCCATCACCCCGTAGAGGGCGGTCCACACGGGCGGGAAGACGCTTGCGGGGGGCCGGAGGGGCGGTTGCTTGAGTTTGAGGGATTCACGGCGGTCGGTGGCAGCTGTTCATTCATGTGTTATGCTACGCTTGGTGAGAAGTTACAGTCCATTCAAAGAGGGACGTACGTCTTGTGGAATAGCCTACTGCTGACCCCAAGGCGATGGGCAGCAGGATAGAAACCGGGAGGCTGCCGAAGACGGCCTCGGGGAGTGTGAGGGAGGGTATGTAAGTTGTCATTTCGGTTTGCTTCAAGATGAGGGTGTACGATATTGTTTAGTAAGGTGAACTACAAGCTAGCTGTTACGGTTTAATATGGAACTGTGTTCTGCGTTGACGGACACAAAGATGAACAGTGAGACGAATCCAGGGAACATGACATCACCGAATTTACCGAACGCAACGTGTAACGAGAAGTAGATCAGGGGCGAGCACAGCGAACACACTGCAACTACCTATGAAAGAGTAGTAAAAAACATTTTATAGCCGTTAGAGCTCCAGGATTTCTTTAATATGGAATACGTTGTTGATAATCCAACACATCACCTCGAGTTGTAGGGTGTTTCGGGAGTTAGGCACTGAGGATATCTCACTCTACCCTAACCCTGCTGAAGCGTCTCGCTTCCTCCGGAACGAGTGGGGCGATTTTCGTACCCAAACTGCCGCACGTGACTTCGCCCAGCCACCTGGTGGAGCGAGATGCTGGAATTGTCCACTTGCACCTTGCCAATTCAGCAACTCCACGCTGTTCGCGATCTCCAACCCGCAAACGCGCATCGGCCTGCTCCGAGGAGTCCCGTCATCATCCTCGTTGTAGACGGTATATCATCAATTGTTCGTTCACCCTTTCTTTTTCACTTATTTATGCCCATTTTCATTTTCCCCATCATCGTCATCAGTTCCTGCCCTGGCGCTCTCTGCTCTTGAGTACGCTCTCGGCTTCACTTCTCAGCCTGATCCTCCTCTCCCGCCTCTCCTCCACACCTCCCTGCATCGTCGCGATGAACATAGCAACCTCCTCGAGCCTCCCAACCCTTCTACTGCACTTACCTTCTTCATCCATTCATTCACTCATTTGTGGCTCAATGCCCTCGCATGCTCTTCGTCCGATCGCATAACCCTTCCTCATTGTTACCCGCTCGCTTGCCACTCCCTCATCACCGCCGAGATTCGTTGCTTTCTAACCGCAATCATGTCGCCAAACAGTCCCTACCCGCCACAAACACCCAAACAACTGGCATTGGGAATAGCTTAGCAAGCGGCAAACGAAGTCGCAGCGGCACGCAACAAAAGACGCCACCAGCACAACAGGTCTTCTCGGTGTTTCGCCGGCTCTTCGACCTTGCGCATCGCCTTGTGCATTCTTTCTAGAATACCGAGTTGATGTCAGCAGAATAACACCGCTTTCCAGCCCAATATGGACTATCATCGTGATTCAGCCCGTTCGCCCGTCGACCGCTGGAGCGGTCGCGACGATACGAGAATCAAGGAGGACAGGGGAGACACCTTCTACCGCAGTGGCAGATCTCCTGGTGCGTCTTGACCCCTGCAACCCAGCCCTTTTTTTTCATATTCCCAGCTGCGACTTGCCATCCTGGCACTGTCTAGTTCCCAACCCGTTGCGCTTTCTCGTCCCCATTGCTAACATGTGCTCTAGGTACCGACCGTAGCCGACGTCGATCCCGGTCTCCCGCTGCAGTCGATCGGTACGAGCCAAGGGCCCGGGGCCGCGACGAGTATGCCGGCACCCGCGACCGAGACGAGCGCGGTCGCCGGTCCCCCCATCCCAACATCGACCGCTACGTACCGGGCCAGGATTCCGCTCCGCACCGAAACATGAACAACCCTCTTCCGGATCCGCTCAAGATGCCATATCAGGTAGGGTTTTCGTGGTTTGGCGAGTGGTGGAGGGCGAACGAAAAAATCAAGGAGGATAAGGAGCGTTTGAAGAGCGGCCGGAGCCGCGAGCCAGAGCGCCCTCGGGGTGCGCGCGAAGTCCAGGCGGAGCGGGAGAAGGAGAAAGCCAAGATCCAAGCTGCCTACGACAAATACAAAGAGGACCTCCAGGCCAAGATGGCACACACCTTCGTCAAACAGCACAAGGAAGAGCAGTGGTTCAAAGAGCGCTACGTGCCCGAGGTCCGCGACCCCTTCCGCCAGCAATTGAACGAGCAGCGGCACAGTGCGTATGCTCGGTGGGAGCAGGACCTCTCGTCTGGCATCTTTGACGACCTGTCCCTCGAAGGCATCCCGAAGAGTGAGAGCAACGGAGTTGGTGGCGTGGTCGAGAAGGAAGAGGGTGAAGCAACGGCCGCAAATGAGGTACTTGGTGTTGGTGACCTGGTCCCTACCATGCCCGCCGACGTCAGAGACGAGAGCTTGGATCAGCCCACTCTCCTTATCAAAACCATTGCGCCCTCTGTAAGCCGCCAGAACCTTGAAGCCTTCTGCAAGGAGCATCTTGGCGAGGGAGAAGGTGGTTTCAAGTGGTTGTCCCTGAGCGACCCCAACCCCAGTAAACGGTACCACAGGATCGGCTGGATCATGTTGCATCCCGCACCCGAAGCCCCAATCCTTGGGGACGTCGAGGATGCCAAGGACGAGGAAGATGGCGAGTCCAAGTCTGCCGTTCCCGTCTCAACCGCCGAGAAGGCACTCGAGGCGATCAACGGGAAAACCGTCAAGGATGAGCTGCGCGGTGACTTCACCTGCCATGTTGGTGTCCATAACCCACCCTCGCACCCTCGGAAGAAGGCGCTTTGGGATCTCTTCTCTGCCCCAGACCGCATCCGCAAAGACCTCCAGCTAGCCACAGAACTCGTCGCCAAGTTTGAGGCCGACGTCGGGTCTGACTTCAACGCCGCCCGCCAGATTGAAGAGCATGCCGATCGCCTGCGTGACGAAGGTAAACTCCAGCCTGCGATGCCCACGACTCCTGTTAAGAAGCCGAAGAAGGAGCGGCCTGTTCGCCTGGACGACTCCTTGGACGTGGAGCGTGAAGAGGGAGAGGAGCACGACATTATGGAGGAGGGAGAGGATGACGAGGACGAGGGCATGGTGGACGACGAGGTCGACGACATGGACCTTCTGGTTGAAAAGAAGCGGCTGGATCTGACCATCGAATATCTTCGTCGCGTTTTCAACTTCTGCTTCTTCTGCGTCTTCGAGAGCGACTCAATCCATGAGCTGACTCGCAAGTGCCCGGGCGGTCACCTCCGGAGACCCCGGAGCACTCTGTCCTCGGCTGCCAAAGCCGTGGCGGAGGCGAGCGCCAATGGGGACCCCTTCCCTGCTAAAAAGCGCAAGGAGGAGGACATCGAAGAGGGCGAGGCGCCCGAGGAGGACCGCAAATTCCGTGCTTCATCCAAGGCTGAGCAACAGCTCCAGCGGGCCTATAACTGGGTCAAGACGTTCGAGGACAAGATCAACCAAATCCTGCATCCCGAGACGGCCGACCTTCGGAAGCTCGGCGGCAAGCCAGTGGAGGATGCGGTCGGCGACGAGCTTGGCAAGTATTGCAAGCAGGAGGACGAACACAAGTGGCGCTGCAAGGTACCCGAGTGTACCAAGCTCTTTAAGGAGGAATATTTCTGGCGCAAGCACGTGGAGAAACGCCACGTCGACTGGCTAGACAAGCTCAAGGAAGAGGTAAGCCATTGCCTTCAGCCCACGTTTATGATTTAAATTGTGCTAACCCCCCGATGTAGTTCGAGCTCATCAATGCCTATGTCATCGACCCGGCACACATCGCCCCCTCGCGCACCGACGCCAACTCCAATGGCCACTTCCCCCAGTCCAACGGCCAGCAGCCGACGGGCACCCCGCGTGGCTTCAACCTGCAGAACTACGCCGTGAACAGCATGATCAGCTTCCCGAACTTCCCCATGGCCATGTTCCCGCCCGGGATGATAAGCAACACCAGCGGCGCCAACCCCCTAGCCAACCCAGCCGCCTGGCATGCGGGTGCCGGTGGAGACGAGCGTGGCGCCGGCGCTGGCCCGATCCGTCGCGGCGGCGGCGCGCCGGGCGGCGGTGGGGGCAGGTTCCAGAACCGGTCCGGGCCGTATGACCGCCGCGGGAACAACCCCCGCTATGGCAGCGGCGACAGCGCCGGCCCGCTGGGTGGCGGGCGCGGCCGTCCCGGGCCGTCCAACAGGTGGGGCGACGGCGCTGGTGGTGCTGCTGTCGGGCCGCGCGAGGCCGTGCAGGGCCGCACGCTCAAGAGCTACGAGGATTTGGATCAGGTATCGGGCGGTGGTGGCGGCGAGCTGAACTATTGAGTTGCGTGGCGTGGGTTCACGGTATGGAGGGGCTGGACTACTTATCACAAAGTTAATTTTGCGTGAGTCAGGGCGTGGAGGCGGGGCTGCTTCGGGTGCGGGCAAAGGGGAAGGCAGGCTTGAGATTGCTGATACGTGGGCGTGATGGAGAAACAGCTATTACCTGGGTAGCTAGTTAGTGGCGAGGATGTGGTGCGCTTGGGGATGCACTCGGGGCTCGGGAGCGATTGTTTAGATTCTGTACAAATAGGGCCTGGCTGACTTGCGATGTTTCCGAAATATGCCAATAACTAGTTTTATCACGTTTCTCTTCATGGTTTGCTTCCCAGTAACAACCTAGTCTGCGGCATCCGCATTCCACTCCTTTCGTTGTATGTGTGTACTTGGTCCCGGTCTACGGCAGGATGGACTCGTCGGCAGGTTCATGACAGCGCTTATTCATGTATTGCGGCCTCAACTAGTCGTTCTGACCGTCCTGAGTTGATGTCTCTAAATTCCTCGACAACCACGAGTCCATCATTCATTCATGCAGTTTATTTTATTTCCCTGCCATTTAATGCCCGTGATACATAGACCAGCCCAGCTCTTCAACGCCCTTTTACCTAGTCAGCGCGATATCATCGATGCGCAGAATCATCTTGACCGTCTCGGCGGCCAGCTCGATGGCGCTGGTGCTAACGAGCAGGGGCTGCAGCACGTTCTCCTTTGCGATGTTGGAGTTGACGCCGCTGCTCTTGATGCTGACGCCGGCGTTCTTCTCGCCCAGCTCGTGGCGGTGGCGCAGGTCGGTGACGACCTTGATGCTGTTCAGCCCGGCGTTCTCGGCCAGCGTGGTGGGGACGACCTCGAGGGCGTCGGCGAAGGCCTTCCAGCAGATGGCCTCGGTGCCCGTCAGCGCGCGCGCCTGCTTGCTGAGCTGCGACGCGATCTCGATCTCGGCCGCGCCGCCGCCCGCGATGAGAGCCTTCTTCTTGACCAGGCACCGCACCACGCACAGGGCGTCGTGCAGCGACCGCTCGGCCTCGTCCAGGATCAGGCTGTTGGCGCCGCGGACCACCACCGAGATGGTCTTGCCCGCCGACCGCGTGCCCATCACCTTGACCATGCGGCTGCCGGAGCTCTGGACCTCCTCGACGACGTCGGCGCTGCCCAGCTTGTCCTCGGTGAAGCTGTCGATGTCGGCGATGGGCTTGCAGCCGGTCGACTTGCAGATGAACTCGACCTCGTCGCGCTCGATGTCCTTGACGGCGAGGATGCCGAGACGCTGGAGGAAGTGCAGGGAGAGGTCGTTGACGGCGTCGCGGAGGATCGACTTTTGGATAAGGAGGACGTTGCACTTGGCCTTCTTGATCTTCTTGGCCATGTTCAGGAGGTACATCCGCTCCTCCTTGACGATCTTGTCCATCTGGCGGTAGTCGTTGACAGAGATGGTGTTTTCCATCTGAGATACAAGTCAGTAAGAGGGGAATCTAAGACAAGAGATAACGATAATCAACATACATCAGGCTTGGGGGGGCTCAGTTGGAACTGAATGAGACCGATCTTGGCCTTCTCCATCCGTACCGGCCCCCCTGCGCTCTTGATGACCGGCTGTGTCAAGACCAGACCGTCCACTAGTTCGCTGTCTTCTATCGTCCCGCCAACCTTCTTGATGATGCGAATGTTCTTTAGGTCCACGTTGTCCGCCGTCTTGAGGTCTATCGTCTTGGTGACTGCGTTGACGGCCATGGGGCCGAGAAGGTTCGAATACTGGGAAACGATCTTGGAGGATAGGGAGGTGTTGGCGGCCTGGAGGAGGGCGGCGGTATCTGTGAGAGCGATGGGTTGTGACATATCGTGGAGGACCTTAACGGAGGCGGCGGCGGCCCTCTGGAATGACTCGGAGATAACTGAGGGGTGGATGCCCTTGGAGAGTAACCGGTCGGCAGCACCGAGTAGACTACCACAGATAACCACCACGGATGTAGTGCCGTCACCGGCTTCGACGTCTTGGGCGTTCGACAGTTGGACAAGCATCTTGGCTGTGGGATGCATGACCGACATGCTCTTGAGCATTGTGCTGCCATCGTTGGTGATGATGGTCTCCCCCTTGCCACTCCGAATCATCTTGTCCATACCCCGCGGTCCCAGCGATGTCCTAATGGCGTCGGCAACAGCTGCAACTAGTCAGCACGACGGGGTTGCCGGACGATAGCATGAGGCAGCATACCTCTAGCGGCGACGATATTCGAGGACCGGACAGCCAACGGCTTCTCCTTGTCCTACATTGAGGGGTCAGCAGCAGCTCGACGCGATGGACCGTTGTCTTCGAGTAAGTACCCTGAACGTCGCATTTCCACCCCCTCCACCTGGCTGTGTTGCAGTCGCAGTCGCAGTCGCCATTTTGAAAGCTCGTTCTGGTCCGTTTGCTGAAAAGTCGGGCGGAAAAAGGCGTGTTGTGTTGTTTCGGCAAGCGGTGTGGTGCTCTTTTCTGTTGACTTCCAGGCAGCTCCCCCTCCAAGGTACATGCAACTGGCAATGTGGGACGGGATTTTTTCAGTCGGGTGCTGGAGTTCTTCCCAAGCCGCCAGTGGGGGGGAGAGCCTGAAGCTGGGCTGCTGTGGCCCTGGTGCAGGCGGGGGGCTCCATCTCGGTTGGCGCTAGCCGTCTTGGGACTAGCCCTCTTTCAGCCTCGCAGAGCTCTGGGCCCAAGGCAGCATGGGGATTACGGAACAGCTGCTGGGTCCGTTGCTTGCTGCAGCCCATAACCGCCTCCAACATCATTCATCCCTCGTCAATACTCCACGACTTCTCGCCGCAGAAATCACCACAACCCGATTTGGCCATTCGCATCCTTTTGACGTCGAATATCCCTACCACCACTACTACTAAGCGATTTACGATTCGAAACCCCCGAATCGGCAGTCCCCTCCGTCGCCAATCATCATGGTACGCCAACCCAACACGACCACCCCTCGGTTTGGTTGCAACCCGCGCCGTTGTCTCCTACATTCTAACGCTCGCATAGCCTTCTGCCACAGGTTCAAGCTGGGAGAAGTACAAGAAAAACTTCGCCGATGATGAAGTAGAAGAGAAGAAGATCACCCCGCTCACAGATGAGTTGGTTACACCTTAAACCGCCGCCACCGTGCTCGGGAGCTGACATCGTAAAGGGATATCCAAGTTCTCAAGACGTACGGCGCCGCGTCTTACGGGGCCGCCATTAAGAAGCTCGAGCAACAAATAAAGGAGAAGCAACAGAGCGTAGATGAGAAGATCGGCGTGAAGGTACGCTGCACCCATAAAGACGACCACGGACATAACGTTGGCTGACTGCTTCTGTAGGAATCAGATACCGGTCTGGCGCCGCCTCATCTTTGGGACGTTGCCGCTGATCGTCAACGGATGTCGGAAGAGCAACCGCTTCAGGTAGCGCGGTGCACCAAGATCATCCCGGACGAGAAGGACGAGTCGAAAAGCAAATATGTCATCAACGTCAAGCAAATCGCCAAGTTTGTCGTCCAGCTCGGCGAGCGCGTCAGCCCGACGGATATCGAGGAGGGGATGCGTGTTGGAGTCGACCGCAACAAGTACCAGATTCTTCTTCCGCTCCCGCCCAAAATCGACGCCAGCGTGACGATGATGACGGTCGAGGAGAAGCCCGATGTTACATACGGCGACGTGGGCGGCTGCAAGGAACAAGTCGAGAAATTGCGTGAGGTCGTCGAGATGCCGCTGTTGTCGCCCGAGCGCTTCGGCAACCTGGGTATTGACCCGCCAAAGGGCGCTCTCCTCTACGGCCCCCCCGGTACCGGCAAGACTCTGTGTGCGCGTGCCGTGGCAAACAGGACAGATGCCACCTTCATCCGCGTCATTGGCAGCGAGCTGGTGCAGAAGTACGTGGGTGAGGGTGCCAGGATGGTCCGCGAGCTCTTCGAGATGGCGCGGACAAAGAAGGCGTGCATCATCTTTTTCGACGAAATCGATGCTATCGGTGGCGCACGTTTCGACGATGGCGCCGGAGGTGACAATGAAGTGCAGAGAACCATGTTGGAACTAATCACCCAACTGGACGGTTTCGATGCTCGTGGCAATATCAAGGTCATGTTCGCTACCAACCGCCCGTCGACGCTTGATCCCGCCCTCATGCGCCCGGGGCGTATTGACCGCAAGATCGAGTTCGCCCTGCCCGACCTCGAGGGCCGCGCCAACATTCTCAGGATTCACGCCAAGAGCATGTCGGTCGAGCGCGACATCCGTTGGGAGCTCATCTCGCGCCTGTGCCCCAACGCCACGGGCGCCGAGCTGCGCAGCGTGTGCACCGAGGCCGGCATGTTCGCCATCCGGGCGAGGAGGAAGGTTGCGACTGAGAAGGACTTCCTGAGCGCTGTCGACAAGGTGATTAAGGGCAATCTCAAGTTCAACTCGACTGCCGCGTACGCGCAGTACAATTAGAGCGGGATGGCGGTTGCTTTTGTATGTACGAATAGAGCGTACTTAACTTACGAACTGTTGGCAATCACACAAGGACAGATCCTGGAATGGTGCTGGCGAATGACTTCAATAGTGATTTATCTCGCGTCGGACCCTACCCACCGCGGCCCAGGGTCGCTTCCGCTATCCCTACTACACATACACTGATTCCCTCCCTGAAGTTTCTTGACTCCTCGCGCCTAACTCCGGACAGTACTCTTCAGAAACCGGCTCACGGGTACCAAATTGCCGCTCTATGTCGCCTTGTGCGAACCTAGCCTCTAGGGCCCCCTCAAAAGCACTGTCTTGTGGACTCCGAACGGATGCAGTAATTGAAATGTTCCCAATGCCCTGTTGTCTCGTGATCTTCCCACCCCTTCTCCGTGAGCTGGTGAAACCACATATACCCGGTCAACAACGGGTTCTTGAATCGCTAGCTCCCGCTTCCTCCCGCTTCCTCCCAACTCTCTGCAGCCCCCTTCCTGTGGTCCCACGGGTATTCCAAATATTTCCGCTTCTTTGAAGCGGGGCCTGTTCTCGGTCTCTAGAGTGAACGGGTTGGCGTTTAATCCCTCCCCATCTCCCTCGTCGGTCGGCCGAAGACTGTCGTAATCACCCACTACCGCCCTTATCCCATTCCTGTCCGGGGTAATGTAGGTCCCCGTCGTGGGTCACCCGCCGATGCCGGTTGTCCAAATGGAGAAGGCCTCAATGTGACCATTACGGTCCTATCCAACAGCCAAGCACAACACAGCAGCCATGGCCGATACCAGTCCCACACTCCCAAATGCCCTATCCCGCGTAGAACCCCTCAACCCTCCACAAACGGCAGGCACCCCAAGCAAGCCACCTCCCCGTCCTGGCCCCGCTCGACACAGCACCGGCTACAGACGACCCGCCGGTGCCCGCCGCCTCTGGTCCACCCCTGCTCGTGCTGCGCTTCTTGTTGGTAGTCCTCGTCGTCCGCGTCCAACATCGTGAACGACGTCTCCCCCGCCTCCTCTGCAGATAGCCCTATTGGTGTGCTCGTCGTCGTTGTCGTCGCGGCAGTGGGTGAGGGGAGAGCGCGGGCGCTGTTGGGTCCCTCGGACACCGCGGGGTGTGGGTTATGTGGCTGCGCCTGCGGTCGCGGTTGTGGATGTGGATGTGGGTGTGTTTGTATTGTTGGCGAGTAGGCGTAGGAGCTGGGACCGGCGCCGTCCCAGCCGAGGCACTCGCGGATGCACACGTAGCACGTCCGCTGGCCGCACCCTTGGCAGTCGGCGAAGGAGTCGAGGTCGGATTTCCTAGTGGGCTTGCGCGAGCAGATGTGGCAGCGGCTCATGAAGGGTGCGGGGGTGGTGGGATTTCCGAGTGTGGATGGCGATCGGGTGTCCTCGGTCCGGGAAGCATCCCTCGTTTGTTGATGGTCCCGGTGCTCGAGGTGGCGGTGCCTTTGAAAAGGGGAATTGGAGCGCGATCGCTGCATCGGTTCTCCATCTGCTTCGATCTCTATGTCGACAGTTGTTCGCTGACGTTTGCCCGGTGGTAGGGGGATAATCTTGCGGTTCACCAGGGTAGATGACTGGTGGGCTCGATCGCTCTGGTGGAAGATCCCGCGAGGGGTGTTTGCGGCACTATGGGGGCTGAAAGATGTGATAATTAGCGCCGGGATCCATGGATATCGCGATCATCAAGCTCGCATACGGGGCCATCTGGTGGTCGTTGTCGTCTCGCCTCCGCTTCCTGGACGACTGTGCAGTCGGCGATTCCTGGGCGACCGACGGCATGATGGGCGGTTCGATTTCCGAAGATAGTTACTGAGAGTCGCGATCGATCCAGGTCCGCTTGAGCCCTATGGACGGAGTAAGACGCAAAATATTTCTACGACGGTTATGAAAGGGTTTGAAGAATGCTGAAAGGGTAGCTGCGGCATGGCATTGTGGAGGCGAGACGTTGAAGTCCAGTTTCGATCCGGGCTCGGCCAGGCCAGGGTTCCTCTGGGCTTCATCAAATCAACGCTTGCACTGTGTTGCCCCGTGCCTGGCGAGTCGCGTTCAGTGCAGCGCCCGGAAATTGGGGGTTCTGGTGCGTGGCCCCTGCATCGCTCCACACCCTGAATCTTCAGTCAGCCCAAGAATCCAGGCCCGCGAATCCGAGTGCTGCAGCCACGTCAAGGAGCATGAGCATGCGCATTCCGGGCCGCATTACCACTGCCAGATGGCCGCTTGGCGGGTGCCCAGGTGACACGAGGAGGAGGCAGGCCGTGGGTGAATTGGCAAAAATGGTTGCTGTGGCCGTTGGTATTGTCGGCGTATTAACTAATTAGGTAGTACGTACAAACCAAAAACGACCATTCCGTGATTCGGCGAGCCAGTTGCCAAGCATCTTCCCTCTGGCGACTATCACTTCGATCAACGCCGTTGAGAGTTCTTTCTCTTCGCAAAACAGCAAGGGGAGGGCTCGGTCGGTTTTGTATGTTTAGAGACCATACAAAATATATTTTTGCTTCGTACCTTGTTTCCCCTCACGGAAACGCCATGCCCATTGCCTCCTCCTCGGTGTTGGCGTGATCTGCAGTTCATCGAGAACCCGGGATGACACGCATCACGTGGGCCGCTAACCCCCAAAGAAGGAGAAGCCCCACCTCCCTACCTTCCGTCTTCGAACTTCTCTCCTCCTCGCTCCCGTGTCAACCCGTCGTCTGCTTGAGCCTCAACTCTTTCAACACCACAACACCACCCTCGACCCCCATCGGCGCATCACCCAACTAGAATACCGAGTCGAGAATTTACAAAATCGACATCGAGATATGAGTCGTGCCAACAAACTTGGCCCGGAGGTAAATCGGTAAGTCAGCCTGTGCTTTTGCTTTGGTGGCCATTCCTTCTTCCCGTTCTCCACCCGGTCGCAACCTACCGCCCCGACGGCTGCCCCGGCTTCCGTCATCCCCGATCTGCCTCGCTGCATCACGGCATCTTTGCTAACGACACCAATTATGGATAGAGCTTTGTTCGTAAAGAATCTAAGGTGTGTTGCCATCCCCCCGTGTTCGATTCGCGTTCTTGAAAGTCCAGTTGTCCTAACCCGCCGGCTCAGCTACAACGTCACTCCAGAGGAGCTGTTCGACCTGTTCGGAAAGTACGGACCCATCCGGTATGTCAATTTCACTCTCGCCTGGTCCTCGGGGTTTTTTATTAACTCAATGTGTAGTCAAGTCCGACAGGGTATCGCGAGCAACACGAAGGGCACCGCCTTTGTTGTCTATGAAGACGTGATGGATGCGAAGCAGGCGTGCGACAAGTTGAACGGCTACAACTTCCAGAACCGCTACCTTGTCGGTATGTTGAGTCCTAAATATCGTCCATGACGACGTCCCACAACTGACCATCGACTGCAGTACTATACCACCAGCCCGACAAGATGATCCGGACAAAAGAGGACCTGGACGCGCGCAAGGAGAATTTAGAACGTCTCAAGCATCAGCATGGCATCGATTGACAGTTAGACGGGCCTGCGGACAGTCTTCAGAGTCAACGCAACGTGTCTGGAGGCCCGTCTTTTCCGACAACCCCCTCCGCGACGACAAAGGCGGCTTCGGCGCCCAGAGCGCCAAAGTCGATCGTCAAGAAGGGCAGACCGGATTTCGCCATGCACGCACGCAGGATGCCTCACTTCGTGCGCAAGCTACTTCCGACGGTGCCAGAGTGCGCCTAGCCGACTCAATTGCGGCCAGTTTCTCGACCTGGACACCTTTTACGGACCAGTAACAGTGTCCAGGCGCAGGTGCGCGCGGTTTTTAGCTCTGGCCGGACCTGCCACTCCACTCACACAAACTGGCAACTTTTATCGTTCAAACCAAGGGTTCTTTGCTGGTGGGCCCCGGCTGCTTGGGCTTGGGGTATAGGGATTAGAGATGGAGTTCACGATTGCGATTTGGAGTTTTTTTTTTTTCTGGCGCGAGCAGGACAATCAGGGACAATTTTATTGCCCGTCACTATTTCGGTGCTGCCTCGGTGGTTTCCAAATGGCATCGGGCGCAGCCTGAATCCCTCCGCGAACATGGCTCTTTGCTATGGCTGGAGGACAGCGATTTTATTTGACACCAGCCTTCCACGTCTCCATAAAGTGCTTTTCAACGACGCTGCCGATTCATGCCGGTTTGTTTTCGTTTTCATAAATCCTTTGTCCACATGTTGAATTACGTCACTTCATCATCAACAACAATATCTAATTCTCTATTGTGTGTTTATAAACATGTTTTGAGCGAACGCCTTGCAACCGTTTGAATTCCCACCGCCAAGGGCGCCGCAGTTTGCCGGTCCGGCCCTCTATTTGTGAAAAGGATGGGAGCATCTCCTTGAAGAACAGCACATTCCAAAATCGCGCCAAGTCGGCAGCGCTTGCCGGCAGCTCGTGAACAGCTGGTCGGACCCGTGAACCAGATCTGGTTCGGAGGTAAGCGGGCCCGTTGTGTGGGGCCTTCGACGTGTGCCAGCCTCAAGGCCAAAAACGGGCGGCCAATAGGGGGCCTTATAGAAGAGTCGGCCGCAACGACCTCGTGCATTGCCCGCGGGACTGCCATCTGCGCCTCCCCTCCAGGCACCACGCTTGCTGTAACCGCAGCATTTCAAGATTCCTTCGTCAGCCTTCTCTCCAACTTCAGCTTCTTTTTCTTCTCGCCTTCTTTTTTTTCAGACACGCCCAAACAACACGCCATCAGGCATAACAACGACGTCGACAATTGATTAGTTACTACTAAAAAAAGCAGCGCCCATTTCCTGAACCAACGAACGGCAGGCGGCTTTCCCAACCGAGCGGACCCTTGATTCAGTCAACTGAAACACACTCCTTACCACTCGGACGGACTCCGGCCCCCTTTCCATCCGATTGGCATCCACGAGCACGACAGGAAACGAAACGATAGAGACTTTTCGCTCTCGATGTCTAGGAACCCAAGGAATAGAAGCTTCAAGGAGTAAATGCTAGCTGCCAACATATCGCCAGCCGCCGTTGCAGTCCCCGCATTCCCAGATGTCGCAGTCCCAACTTTCACAGCGGTAGCAGCATCGAGCCTGCCCTCCTCCTCCTCCTCTACGGGCGACTACTACACACCGCCCGTCCTCCACCTCCACGCCTCCGCCGCCGATCCCGCCGTTCTCAGCCTCGTCGAAGCGGTGACCGTTGCAATGACGTCCCCCAGCCCCACCATCATCACCACCACCACCGCATCCCTCCTCCCGCCCGCCTCGACCGCGACAGGCTCCCCCGCCGGGCCCGTGAAGCCGACCGAGTGCAGCCTCCTCGGCCCGTTCGCCATCTTCGTGCAGCTCGCCCTCGGCGCCCTGGCCCTGCTCTCGCTCGTCTACAAGCGCTGGCGCGAGCGCCCGCAGCGGCCCGTCAAGATCTGGTTCTTCGACGCCTCCAAGCAGGTCTTTGGCAGCGTGCTGGTCCATGGCGCCAACGTCTTCATGTCGCTGCTGACCAGCGGCAAGTTCAGCATCGAGGTCGACGCCGGCGCCGTCGCTGCCGGCGGGGTGGTCAGGCGCATGGTGGGGGAGCTGATGGGCAGGGGCGAGGAGGAGGTCTATGTGCCGAATCCGTGCTCGTTTTATTTATTAAATTTGGGGATTGATGTGAGTATTCTTGTCCTTTTTTCGTTTTTTTCCTTCTCTTTTTTTGGGAGTTAGGAGGGAGGCTAACGCAACACCCAGACTACCATCGGCATACCCATCCTCATCGTCATCGTGCGCGTTTTGACTCGCCTCGTGGCCCACACCCCCCTCGGCAACCCGCCCGAATCGATCCAGAGCGGCAACTATGGCACCCCGCCAAACGCCTGGTGGTGGCTCAAGCAGAGTCTCATCTACTTCTGCGGCCTCATGGGCATGAAGGTCGTCGTGCTCATCATGTTTATGGCGTTCCCCTGGCTGCCGCACGTGGGCGACTGGGCCCTGGGCTGGACCGAGGGCAACGAGAAGCTACAGATTGTCTTCGTTATGATGCTGTTCCCGCTCATCATGAACGCCCTGCAGTACTACATCATTGATTCCTACATCAAGAAACAGGACGCCGTCGCCGTCGACGGTGAGGCCGCCACAGGCACGGGCGGACCGATCGCTTACGAAGAGCTGGCGATATCCGAGAGCGACGATAGCGACGACGACGACGAGGATGCGAGTAAACTCGTCAACGCCGAGAGGAGCTCGCATGTGCGGATGGAGAGACAGGATTCCGTCGCGGACCGGCCCAGCCGGGATGGCGAGTATGATCCGGCGGTGGATGGCGACAGCCCGACGGTCATCGGCAGCAGCTCGAGCCACATCTCGGACGCAGGGGCGCTACCTAAGCCGTTGCTTCCTGCCGAGTAAGCGGGTGACTTTGTAAGCAAATGCTGTACATTGCTGGGCGTGGTATGGGATCTGGGTTCTACGGTTTGGGTGTTTAAACATGGGTGCATTGTTTCTTGTTCTCTCAGGCATCTTCCCTCCTCGTTTCTTCCGTTATCTACCGGCGTTGGATTCACACATACACGGGCGTACATTCGAATAATCAGCGGGTTTGTTGGGTCGACGCATAGCGATTTTTGGATTTATCAACGCTTGCATTTCGTTCTCTAGTCTAGCTGCTCAGGGAATTGGCTTCTTGGAGAGCAACACGAGGAGTGGTCCCGATTCCCTTTTGGTGCCGCCGTGCTTCTCAACCCCGTGCTCCTTCTCCTGCGCCTGTGTGCGTCTGATCTGCCCGACTTTGCCCAACCAATTCGATTTCACAGTTCGATTCCATAGAGTACCTAATCGGCTGTCGAATCTGTGTGCTAGTGAAGGCGGTATGTAACCAGAACTTTGGCCAGCGATGAGGATATATCGAGAACGAAAGGAGGTCTCTATTTCTCCGCTACCGTCTCGTTTCCCTTTCTCTCCCTTTCGTCGTTTTAACGCTCGCCTCCCACGACATCGAAGTACCTTCAGGTCAGGTTATAGACAGGCTAACAGAATTAAGGACTAGCCGTCATTCACACCAACACCGTATCCAGTCAGTTAGCGCGGAACAGTAAATTCCTAACGCTACTCCGCAGGCCAGATAAGGGGGAGAGCAAATCACTAACAACACCCTCCACGCTACGCATCCCTATCCTCCAACAAACCAACACACAACCGAGAAGAAAACGCACCCCAGATATTGCACACCCATTACCAACCCCCAGCTCCCGCGCTCATCATAAACAAACCGACCACACAACCGCCGCTCTCCCCAAGACCGTCACATATAATACCACTCCGCTCAACATGTCTCAACTCAACACATCTCAAACCCCACCGTCGCCTCCCCCCACCGCGGCAGCTCCTCGTCACTCCACGGCGCCGCCACCACCGAGCTCACCACCCGAATAACCACCCCCCGGAGACACGACGACGGCTCACCGACCACCTGCCCGCTGCAGCCCAGCACGACCCTCCTCAAGTTCGCCCGCAGATACGGCTCAACATCCGCCGGCGCGAGGCTCGCCAATTCCCCTTTCTCAACCTTGTCCACCAGCGCGGCCGTCAGCGGCACGCTTCCCGACACGGGCGCGTCGTGATCGTGATCGTGCGCCATGCCCGCCGCCGCCGTGAACACGCCCATGGCGCCGACATAGTTTGCCGCGGACGCCCAGCCCTGCTGTTGCTGCTGCTGGTCGGCGGGGATCTCCCCGCCTAAGAAGAAGACCACGGCCGAGGCGCCGTCGAGGGCCTGGTCGCTGACGCGCACGCTGGCGGTCCACTCGTGGTAGCGGTCGCCGTTGTTGTCGCCGTCGCCGCCGACAACAAATATCTTGGACTGCACCAGCGAGTGGTGCGGGGCCTTGTGGCTGGTGGCGAGGCCGGCGTCCTGGGCGCGGAGTTCCTTGAGGAAGAGGCTGGCTGGGCTGAAGGAGCCGTACATGCGGTTGACCGCCTGCTTGGTGCTACTAGCTCGGGCCTGTGATGTGTCGTTGTTGGACGTGGCGGGGAGCAGCTCGGCGTAGGTGTATCCGAACTTTGTGTGGTCGCGGATGCCGTCCGAGGTCCAGAAAGTGCCGTTGTCATGGGAGAAGAAGGGGGTGAGTGCTGTGTTGGAGTCTATGGGCTGGCCTCTCCGCGTGGTGTACGAGTTCAACCGCGCTCGCGACGGTGGAACCCAGGTATTGGGATGGACCGCCTGCCAGAGAGCTAGGATACGATCGACCATGCAGTGATGCAAAAAGAAGACTGGGTCAAAGGCGGACAACTGAATGTAGGCCATGTGTCCAGGCTGGGTAGCTGGTTGATTAAACCCGAAACCGCCGACCAGACTATGGATGGTGTCGTGTAAAGATTCGACCGAGTCATCCGGCCCTTCCGCTGCATTGTTGCTAAACGTGGCGTAGTTATTATTGCTCGAAAACAAAGCATAGAGGCGCTGAGCGATGGAGGCACGGTTCTGGTCCAAGTTCATGGCGACCAGCGAATTGTTTGACCGGGCGTCTGGGCCACTACTCGATGGACTCCTGAGCGTCCGTGTCCAGACATTCCACTATATGTGGTTTGTTAGAGTGATTAACTTGGTGCGATTTCGAGTCCACTCACAGGGTCTGACCTAAATACTGTCTTGTCGAGAGGATTGAAGCTGTAGCTGAATAAGGGGTTCGCGATCCGCTGGAAGCCGTTGGGGCCATCGACATCGATGAATGAGTTTCCTCCAATGCTTGTAGGGAGAACGCTCTCCCCGGAAGGGGGAGTGGCCGCCCAGTCCCAGTAGGGAAGCCGGAATCTGCGGGCTGCACTTTCGTAGCGCTGTCTCTTGTCGTCGGGCCAAAATGTAGCGATCGTCTGAATCAATTCGTAGAGAGCTTGCTGGCGAGAAGGTTAGACACCGGGCCCGACTACCAGGTTGATCAGCCTGTGACAAGCGAAGAACCGTCGTACCTCGTACAGGGCCATGTATGGCCGGTGCCATGTCGGGAACAGAACTGACGAATGGGCGCAATACCCAGTATTCTCGTTGCCTGTGATCGGTTCCACGCCACCCCAGCTCTGGTGAGGTATTCCGTGTATCCCTAAGGCCGATAGTTAGAGATATCCTTGTGACGACCGACACCGAAAGTCGAAAGAACCACAAACCCGCAAGCCCATAGTACGACATAGGCGATGCCTGATCCGTGTACTGCAACATGCTCAACCCCAAAATATACAGTGTCCACAGTTCCCGGTCCTGCTCAATCTGGCGGATCTCCTGGCGTACATGTATGTCGCCGCCGGTTTTGTCCTGCACGACCATGGTGGAACGGGGATCAAGCTGGCGCTTAATTCGCTTATTGACGTTGAAGCCATAGTCGTAGGCCGAGTACTGGGCGACGACGAGGGTATCTACGAGACAGAAAAGTGCGAGGAGGAGAGGTAACCGGAGAAGTGCCATTGCTGTCGTCGTTCTTTTATGTATCGGCCGGTGCTGTTGAACGGAGGGAGTTGGTGACTCTCGAGAGACTCGATGGCTTTGAGTCCCCGGGGAGGTGGTAGGGACTGGGAGCGCTACCGAATAGATGAGTTCTATCGAGACTCCTTCCGAGGCCGAGAGTGGCGGGGGTCAAGGAGCGGCGGAGGCCGGGATAGGAACAAATAAATTAAAACGAAAAGTCAAAAAGATTTGCAGAAATAAACATCAAAATAGCACTATCCACCATGAATATCGGCCCGCAACCAACAAGAGAGGATGGAAGCTAAGGGCAATTGCCTATCAAGGTCCCTACTGGCTCGGGAAATTGTACTCTCTGTTTGCGACTTTGTGAGAGGGAAGGGACGATAGTTCCATGGGGGATGAGTGAGGTATGACCACACGCTGAGGAGCAATTTGGTAATGGGCCGCACCTTCCTCCTTAAATGACTAAGGTAGCTAGAGCTTGGGTTATTTCTAGGGACTGGAGAGAAACGAGAATGGCCAATTTCAGTTCAATTCGTTGTTGACATAAGGCCTCGCTCAGACCAGACCGACCTTCCCTTCTGGAGTTGATACGAGCAACGAGGCCCAAGCCCCTATTTAGGGCGGCGGGAGACTGCATGATATACCCGTCACAACCGTCTACCATGAGGACATAAATGGGTTTTATTCCAGTGTCGGGATCACTGCAGCGGCCTCATTTCCCTCGTGTTCCCCACAACACCCATAGCATGCATCTGCGAGTAGGCGGACGTGGTCACGTCTCACGCCGCCGTAAAGGCTCAGCTACGCTCGCGAGGGCGGTGTCTTGGTATTTCTTTCGCCAGGTGTAACAGTGCCGTTGCCTGGTCTTTGACGGGGACGAGATCTCGGGGTAGACATAGGTAGCAGGTCCGAGAGGGGCGAGACGAGACATGGGAGAGACTGCAGTAGTAGACAGTTTGACTATTTTGCTTGCAAGAAAAATCACATGGTACTCCATCACGCCGAAGCCGTTACGTTCGGGAGGGCCTTCGGCGCCGTCGCCCTCAGGGGTCCCCTCCGAATCGCGTCCTTGGTATCCACCCGGTACTTCAACTTCACACCCATAGCCGCCAGCTCCACATCCAGGAACTTCAGCGCCCCCGGAACAACCACCATGGTGGTATTCTCACCCCCGATCCACTGCACGCCCTGTCCGTCCTCCCAGATCTCGCCATCCAGCTTCATTAGATCTAGCCCCTCAATCTGGTCCAGGCGTTGCGCACAGTTTCGGCAGCGGACGGTGCCGACCTGCTTACGCTTGCCAATAAACGGCGACACCGTCGGCTGCACCGCTAGGAACGACCCACAGTCGCGGCAGATCCACGACTTGGAGTAGTCGGAGCAGTTGAGCAGGCGGTCCTGCAGCAGGAAAGCCGTGCCGTGCGCCAGTAGCGCGTCGCGCTCCATCTCACCCACGCGGATACCGCCACCCTTCTTGCGGCCCTTGATGGGTTGGCCCGTCGTCGGGACCACGGGGCCCGTGGTACGCACCTGGTACTTGTCGTTCACCATGTGGCGCAGCCGTTGGTAGTAGACGACGCCGATGTAGATGTCGCAGGCGAACTCTTCGCCCGTGATACCCGAGTACATGGGCTCGTTGCCGTGGTAGTTGTAGCCGGCTTTCATCAGCTGGTGGCCAAAGTAGTCGCCCGCCGTGTGCTCCTCGTTGAACTTGAACGGCGTTGAGTCCTGCGCCAGGCCGTGCAGGGCGCCGGCCTTGCCCGCCAGTGACTCTACGAACATGCCGATGGTCATGCGGGAAGGGAAAGCGTGGGGGTTGATGATGACGTCGGGCTGGATGCCCGTCTCGGAAAAGGGCATGTCGATGGCCGGCCACTTTTGAGAGGCGACACCCTTCTGACCGTGGCGTGATGAGAACTTGTCGCCGATAATGGGTGATCTGGGGATGCGGAGCTTGATCGAGACGGTCTGTAGGGGTTCGGTGCTCGAGTCGCTGCCAATCACGCGCACCTCGTCGATGAAGGCGTCTTCCGCCTCCTTGTATCGCTCCCAGTGCGTGATGCCATCCCTATTAATCAGTTGCCCGCTATAGTCTGCCGAGACAGTGTGCCACGCGCAAAGGATGTCCCCCTCCCGGACCAGGCGTCCCACGTAGGGCAGCCCGTCTTCGTCGAGCATCTCGCGGTCCGACGCCCTGACGGCGCTGCCGGGGGCGAAACCGAACATCTTGCCGATCGTCTTGGACGTGCGCGTCCTCGAGTCATCCTTCAGGCTGACCTTCTTGGTTTTGTAGATCGTACCGTGACCAAACCCGCGCTCGTGGGCCGACTTATTGATAATCATGGCGTCGTCCATGTCGTAGCCCGTGTATGATATGACAGCGACCACGGCGTTCATACCGTTCGGGAAGTTGTCGAAGCCGTACGTGTTGTGCAATGGAGCGCGGACGATAGGTGTCTGGCCCGTCTGGAGGCGGTACATCTTGTTATCCGTCCGATGCCGGAGAGCAGTCCCCGGTGTACCCATTGTTTGCTTACCCATCTGACACTGGTACATGTTGCGGGGCGATTGGTTGAAGTCGGAGAAGGGGGTCATGTTCGCTAGGATGGAGAGGATGTGGGTGGGGTCGAATTCGACGTGCGTCGAGTCGCCCGGAAGGACTTCACCGTCCGTACAGGCGATAGACATGTACGGCTGCTCGTGCGGGCCGACAAAGTCTTCCTTTTCCAAGGGGAGATACTTGACGGGTCGAACCATCCTAGACGACTGCGAAGACATGTAGATACCGGGGTACGACCCACCCTTTGAAGGGGGCACATAGCCGATCTCCAGGAGTTTGGGGATGCCATGGCCGCCCTCTACCTTCCAACGCCGCAGGCTATCAGAGACTGCCCTGGCAGCTTTGGGAGTACACCAGCCGATAATCCTACCATCGAGCATCACCACGACACTCTCACTGGTAGCGGCGGAGGAGTAGTCATTAACCCCTAGCTCCATGGCAACACCAGCCACGGCCGATGCGTCCACCGAGTCCGTGATGATCTTGCATTTGTGGGCCATGTGGTTCAACAACCCACAGGGCGAGCCGTCAGGGGTGTGCACTGGGCACAGGAAGCCCCAGGACTCGGGGAGCAGTTTTCTGACGGTCGTAGTTTTCAGCTGGGCGAAGAAACTACCACGATGGACCATGCGGAAGTGGCTGATAAAACGCAGGAAGTTGAGCTTCTCAGCCACCACGGTAAAACCCGATGTCTGTTGCAGGTCGAGACCCGAGGGGCTCTGGAGATTGCCAGTGGAGAGGAAGTACTCCAGTGCATTACCGAGGTTCTCGTTCGTTCTCCTGAATATGGCAATGGGAAAGTCCTTCGTGAAGCCGGACGAAGTAAAAGACTGGGATGGGTTCCTTCTCAAATAGTCGCGTAACGCTAGCCTGAGCGAGACGGACAGCAATTCGTCGAGTCGCTCCTTCAACACCATGCCGTACAGGAAGCCACCGAGCAGGATTTCCTGGTTTTGAACGGCGTCAGGGTTGTCAACCGCACAGTCACCGGCAACTAGTGCGTAGAGTTTCCGGCACATGAATAGCAACATCTTGAACTTGTCGAGATCCTGCTCCTCGGTGACGTCGACGCAGCCAAGGTTGACCAAAACAATCCTCCGGAGGAATTCAGTGCCGACTTCGTAGTCTGACATGGTTTCGGGGACACCGAGCACAACCCGGAACTTCTCTCCCAGATACGCCCGAGTCTGTGTTTTGGTGTAAAGGCCGTATGTCTTGTAGGTGCGGAGGAGCAGTTCGACACGGTCTGTTAGGAATGTGTTCTCAATGCCCTTTGAATTGGGTGGGCCCACCAGGCCCTCGAAGATCTCGCGGTCGTTCGTCTCAATCAGGGCCTTGAGTATCATCATGACTGGCACGAGATACTCGTTCTTCCTCCAGGAAAACCGGAACGTGACATTGCCGTCGTTCAAGTAGTGGAGCACATTGGTCTGGGAGGTTTCGTCGGGTCGAACGGATCTTACTATGATACCGTACGGCGTGTATGAGGGTCCGCGATTCGTGAAACTCGGGCGGATGATAGCCAGCGGGAAGTTCCTTCGGTTGACGAGGAGCAGACGAATGATCTTTTCGATGCCGTTGACGATAAAATAGCCCCCTAGCTCCTCGGATTCCTCTTTCCTCTGCACAAGAAGTGCAGGAGAATTGTTCTCTAGGTGGCACTTGTTGGACTAAGCCGATGACGGCGCGTCAGAATGGACTTCCCGCATCTCCCGGCCGAGGGTAACTGCGTGGCATACCTTGATCATGATGGGCATCTGGCCCAACTCGCGGACAAACTCTTGCGGTTCGCCATCATTGATGCTGTATTCGAGGACAGCCGTGAGCTTCCCTCGGTAAGAAACGTGTCGTTCTCTGCACTCAGCCGGGAAGATCTCCCGCCTTTTGGCGAATTTGTTGGACGGCGGAACCTGGGACCGCTGGAGGGTGACGCTTTTATACCGGATCGTCAACTTGTTTTTGGTCCCAGGCGCCGCCCTGTCATCTCCGTCCAGAAATGTCTTTGTCCCAATCTCGGCAAGCGAGTGGTCGAGGAGGCCGGGCTTCCCGTCGGTTCGAAAGAGCGCATTGAACGACTCGATGTGTGGGTCGACGGCGAGCTGGAGGGCGGGATAGGCGGTTCGGTCTGTTGGTGGGTTCCGGAAAAGCTTCTCGCGGCGAAGCGTGTTGTACTCGTGGTCCCACGACGTGTTGGTGCGTTCGGGGGCCATCTTCGCGTATTGCGGCAGGAACCAAGGCAATTCTTTGTGTTTTGGTATGCGATCGCGTTGCCCCGGGGTCTAGCGGCAGCCCCTCGTTCGATCTAGAGATTGTTTATTGCCTGCTCATCACTGGGTCCTCGCGAGCTGGGAGGAGGGCAGGTCTGGGTATCGCTCGAATAACTTCAATTGACAAGTTGAATTGTCCGTTTGGGTAACTTTTTTTTCCCATCCTTATCGCTTATCGAGGAGCCGCCGAGCCCGCCGCCATTTCTGGTGGGGTTTCCTTTCTGTGGACCTTCCGACCCACACCCGACGGACTTCGTGCCTTGCTGGATGGAAATGTGTGGCCTTCATAAACCGCGAGTGAGCACTGCCGAAAAACGACTAGCTGACGCAATCCCGTCAATATCTCTTTCTTGGTGCCTAGTTCTAAGATACACCAGCCTTCAACCGGAGGTTTTTTTTTTTTTTTTTTTTTTTTTTTATATAATAAAGACGCTTCTCAACACGAAGTAGGGTATGTGGTTTCGACCAACGCGTCGCCTTCGGGTTTCCGTTGTCCACCCGGCGAGATCGTTGGGCCTCGTTACGCCGTAGTGAACGGGGCTCGGGGCGTGCGGCTTTGAGAGCTCCGGTAGTCGTCGGATAGGTACGTGGGTTGGCCGATGAGTGTCACAGCAGAGGAACGGGTTCTCAGGCTTGGTCTTGGGGGCCACAGACCGGATGTTGTGCATGGGACATGAGCAGTCCGGGGGTGCCCATCGGGCTACCTCTACTTGGGTAGGGAGGAGCTTCGAGCTACCTTACATTCATTTTGGTAGTTTTGCAACCATAGGTGGCCAGGGACCCGAGACCTCGTCGATGCTCTGTAATTTGAATGTAATAAGACTTGTTCCGCCGGGATTCTGCTGCGGCAGCTTCCCCAAGCCTGGCCGGTAAGCTGCGGCCCTGTGGGGGTTTGGCCATGCTCAACTGGTGTCCAGTGAAATCATCAGTGGGGTCGGCATCCAAACCACCTCAGCCCCAAAGAAAGGCCCGGGGCTGCAGCAGCCAACCATGTCGAGGGAACCTGGTCCGAAAAGACGACGTGCAGCCCACAGGGCCGACAGTCAAAGCCCGGCTTCGACCTTGCATTTCCGCAGGGTGTGTGCATCCCCAGGTACCTAGTATGTGCAGCACAGTACGTAGGACTGGCAGTCTGTGTCTTCTTGAAACCGAGGCAGATCCCCCAAAGTTGAGATGTGCTTCAGCGACGACGGCGGAGGCGAGGACATCGGTACTCCACCCATGCATCCATTGCCCGATATGGACCCCAGCCTGGGGAAATGCACGGCACAAGCGATTCACATTGCAAAGCCCGGCCCGATATGGGCCTGCCGCGGCCGCTCCGAAATCAGAGGCGCTTTGCTTTTGGAGTTGGGTCGGTTTCATCATTGGCCTCAAGTACAGAACTTTGCAGGACGCCATAAACCTGCTCCCTTCGAGTCTCTCGGTTGCAGCCATTGGTTTTCTCGGCGTGGGGAACCCTTGGCCAGAGCTCCTGGGTTGGTTTTGATGGCCCAATCACCCGAACGCCTGTGACCCCGCTGTTGGTGGCCGCTGCTTCCCCAACCCGTTCAACCACTGTCACGGAGGCGTCTGTTCGTCTTCTTCCAGATAAATAGCACGGACAGCCCTTCATCTATCTCACCAAAGACTTGGACTTCGGGGCTTGGGCTAGAGCAGCAGCGACAACACAGCCGTAGCGCCAAACTTTTGGGAAGAACAACAGGCAGGCAATATTCCCAAGGTATTGTCGGCCATTCATCAAAGCAAAGACGCCTACCTCCAGACCAGGCTGTCGCTCGAACGGCAGGGCCAGGCCCGCAGAAGCAAAGAAAGCCAGCAACGACATCTCATCTCAACATCTCATCTCAGATCGGCTTGGTCTCCGGGCACACAAGTATCCAGGTCCCTGCAGCATCCACAGCGGCAACCTCCTCCTGCAGCAACTCCTTGCAGATCCGGGTCTTCCTTGCGCTTCCCATTCTCTTGTCTGATGCGCGATACGACCCTCCCGGCCACGGCTCTTCTGCTACCTTACAAGTACTTACACTTGACGCCGCCGTCCCCTGCCACACAGCCGCTGCCGCTGCCGCCGCTTGGCTCTGGGTCTCAGCATTGACTGTGACTGCAACCTGGGAAGTCCTGAGCCGCCGCACCCTCGTCCGTGATCACAGCCGATCGTCTCGTCTTGCCGACAACTTCCACCGCTCCTCGCCGTCTCGGCGCTCCACACCCGGGGTCCTGAGTGCTAACCGCCCGCTTGTTGTTTAACATCCATCATATTCCTGCGCACCGAGGCACGGGCCACAGCTTGACTTGCACAACAGTTACCTACCTGGATTTTGTGTTCCCCGGAGCATCGTTGCTTGGTGGGCCTGGTCACTTGCTCACCCACGCCTTGCCCCCGTCTTGTTCTTCACCGATCACAAACAGGAACCCGCTTCATTCTAGTTCCTATTTCTTGCGAAATTGCAAAAGCCCCTACCAGAGCCCGCGCCATACGAGACATTTTTTTATTCATAACCCTGCGCCCGGCCACCGAGTCTCGGCGCAGAATATTTAAACTGGTCCCAGCTGAGACCTGTCACCGCCCATCCGTCCATCACCCAACCCATCAACCCGGTCCCGAACGACGCTCTTGAGAATACCTCAACCTGCGAAACATCTGCGCGACTTTCTTTATCCTGACCCGCGCCCTGACCTGGTTCCCCAACGCCTTCAGCACTCGCCGCCCTCTCGACCACAGCGTGGCCCTCGACGACCATGGCGGGGCTTTTCAGAAAGGTGTACGACTGGCTGTTGCGGACGTTTTGGTGAGTTTTGGCCGCCATGCACCTCCCCCGCGCCGCCGAGCTGCGGGGCACTACCGGGCCGCATCGCATCGGCGGCGCATCGCCCGCGATACCTGGGGTCGGAGGGCTAATCCGATGCAGGGCGACCGAAATGGATGTGACCATGATCGGATTGCAGAACGCTGGCAAAACCTCACTTCTCCGTGTAATCTCTGTGAGTAAATGGCGGACCGCTCGATCTTGATGCATCGCAAGGGCTGACACCGACTTCCTCATCGGCAGGGTGGAGAGTTCGCGATCGAGTAAGCAGCGCCCTTTTCCCACACCCTCTCCTGGTGTCACCGAAATCAATCCTCCCCACCCCTCCTGACTTCCGCCCCCGGCTGACCTCCTCTTTTGCAGCTCCATTCCCACAGTCGGCTTCAACATGAAGCGGGTGCAACGGGGGCATGTGACACTCAAATGCTGGGACCTGGGTGGCCAACCCCGCTTCAGACCAATGTGGGAGAGGTACTGTCGCAACGTTAACGCCATTGTCTTTATCGTCGATATTGCCGACCTGAACCTGCTCCCCGTGGCCCGCGACGGGTTGCACTCGCTAATGAGCCAGCCTGCCCTCGAGGGCATCCCCCTCCTTGTACTGGGGAACAAGTCGGATCTACCCAACAAGCTCTCGGTGGACGAGTTGATCGACGCCATGGATCTTAAAAATGTCGCGCATCGTGAGGTCTCGTGCTATGGCATCTCGGCTAAGGAGGAGACGAATCTCGAGGCCGTTCTGCAATGGCTGATGAAGTTTGCCAATCGGTGAGCTGGTCGTTCGCCTGTGGGCTTATCGTCGCACGTCTTGTTTTGGATACCCAACGTTCGGCGGGGTTCGGATTCGCATGGTGTTTCGGGACACCAGGTCGGCTTGGTTTGCGGTGCAGTCGGGCTTTCGGGGTTTGGTTTCCTGTTTCTGATTTATTTCTTTTTCCCTCCTCTCTCCGTATTATCGACGCAGCTTTCGGGGTAAAAGACATTCGAATATCGGCCGGCGACGACCAACTCTTCTCTCAACACCGACCCCTCTCATATCTATCCGACGGCGTTGGAAGTCTGCGACGAGGTCAAGGTTTTCTTTCGACCGACAGGCTTCATATCGTTTCGTTGAGCACAAAACAGCTCGTGTTTGAGACGAGGACTCAACGCCGCCGGCGTCAGACGAGCCCAGATGGGAGCCGCAAGGCCGGGCATGATTCGCAGCATCTACAAGTGGCGCTTGCCACTAGTAGGAATGAGGACGGAAATTGTGAAGATGCTTTAGCAACTGTGCTTCTGAAATACGTTATGACCGGGACAGGCACGGAAAGGAAGCGAGGGCTTTCGGTGCGCAAGGCGTGGGTAGTTTGTTCCTCGATGGGTTTTTTTTTAGCAGCAACGCTTAATTTTGATGACAATGAATTTTGAAACTTCCAAATGAAAAGGAAATGACGAAACAAAATGAGATAATCGAGAATTAACCAGCACCAGGGCCAGCTCTGGATCTGTTCAATCGCAGCAACGTGCGAGAGCTCCTGGTGAGTGAGAGATGGGCATCTCTGGTGAAGCCCCACCATGGAAGTTGGGCCGTGACCGTGTTGGGCATGTCGCTCAAGAGCCTGGGCAAGATGTGAAATTCGGGCTTAAAAAGAGGCGAAAAAGAGAAGACAACGCGCGAGGAAAAGGAATATTCACTCTCGTAATTCAAAGAAAGAATATGAAAGAGGAGAGGCCGGAGCAACGAGGGGAGAGCGCGCAAGGTCAAGTCCTGGACTTACACACGGACCATTTCCGGCCATTGACGTGTGAAGGTATCATTGGCTGCTGCTTTGCTTGGAGAATCCATCCGTCGACAAGACAGGCGCCGGCACACGGAGGGGCAGCGAACAACCCGGGCAACCGAACCGGGCAAGACAGGGCAAACCTGAGAGGGGGCTCACACCGAAGACATTCATTTCTCAATCGTCGTCGAGGCTCTTTGCTTCACTATTTTGCGGTCTTGTCTTGAGGCTCTCGAACGCCATTTTCTTCCTGGCGGTCGAATGGCTCATCTAACGGGAAGGGATCTCTCCGGACAGAGTCTATCCCTGCGCGCGCATGGAGCCCAAATCTTCTAGCGAGCCCCATATTGCAGTTTCATTATCCTGAGCAACGTTGAGATGGACACAATGGTGGCGGGCAGCCTGAGAGGCTTCGCCGTTTGCACACACAGCCTCCCAATTTTGAGCAAGCGGGCAATGATGCGCTGCTCTCGGAGTTGACGTCGCTAGGGAAGCATCTCTGCAGAAAAACTCCAGATGCCAAAATCTTGAGACTGAGGAATGGGTTTGGGAATCTCTACCATGGCCAATAGCATACGCGACGTGTGAGGGTGCATTTCAACCCGACTTTCCTTGCCATGTCGTGGGAACTTTGGCCGAGGTCCCGGGCTATGTCCTTCGACGGCGGCTTTCTCCAGCTCAGTCACCGCCTGGCCGTCGCTAGCGCCGTGAGCGCGGTATCGGCATTCGAGGCACCGCATCTCTTCGTATAATCCCTTCCGCGGTGTTTCGTGTCGATCGTCCGGAAGATTGTCGGAAACGCCGCTAGGAAATGGTGAACTGTACAATGATTAGGAATCCGCGACATTCTTCAAGCATCACCATAACTCTCGATTCTGGGTCTGCACTGTTCTGGACATCCGGGATGGAGAAACACCGATCGCATTCCCGCCTCGGCACGGGCAAACCAGGCGGTCACTCGAGCTGCTCTACTGCTTCCACGACTCCCATCCTTCCCCGAAAAGTCACCCGTTCCCCAGATTCACATGATCCACGTATGAACCCGCCAGGAGTATCGTGTGGGGGCCAGATAGACTCGAGTCTTATTCCTATCTCCCGAGGCGCCATGAATGTGCACCTCAGCAGGCCATCGTCGGAGGCCAATATCGACTCGTAGCTGATCAATGCAATGCCGAACGCCGTCCGTGTCCACGCAAGTCCCCGCTTCCCAACATGACCAAAAAACCGATCAACGATAGGACTTCTGGAACCTCGCACGGGCACCCTTTCCACCGAACTTCTTGGGCTCGCAACGCCGGGGGTCGGCGACTAGCAGGTTGCGGTCGAACTGGATAAGAGCGGTCTTGAGGAGGTTCTTGGAGTGCTCATCGATGTACTTGGCGTAGTAGGCGACCTAAAGATTGCTCAAGTTAGTATTCGTTTTCTTCTCAGCGCGGATCGAGCCGGCGTGTTCGGAGACTGACAATGGCCTTGGCAATCTGTAAAAACGGCCCCATTAGCATGTTTTCTCCTCAAACTCCTTGTGCGAGAAGCCCCCAATGATACGTACAGCCTGGCGCGTCGCATAGACCTGCGAAGTGTGACCACCACCGGTAACGCGGACGCGGATGTCGACCTCGGCGAACTTGTCCGTGCCGAGGATGAGGACGGGCTCGTAAAGCTTCGCCCGGAGAATCTCGGGGGCAAACAGCTTGAGCGGCTTGCCGTTGACCCTGATCAGGCCCTTGCCCTGCACACAGCGCGCGACGGCTGCGAGACTGTCAGAGACCGGTCGACCGGTATGCTTCGCTCGACACTGAAATCCGTACCTGTGGCATTCTTCTTCTTGCCGAACACCTGAACTGCCTGGGTGGTAGCCATTTTGACGTGATGGCGGGATACCTTCCTGTTTGTTAGTTCGGGGCTGGATTTTTCTCCTGCTCCAAAATTTGTGTGTGGAGGGGAAATCAAGATGGGGCTAGCGGCAGTCACGTGGCTGTACTTTTGTGGCTGAAAGTTTGAGGTGTGGCTCTGGAGCTGCAGGCTCGTCGAGTGGGGTTTGTCGGAGCCCGGCACGTCCGGTCGAGTCTCTCAAGCGGGGCCCGAGTCCATCACCCTCGCTCCCGCGCTCGGGGGTTCAGCACCGGTGTTGGTGGATACGACGGAGCAACGAAAGCGGCCCTGAACCGGCCTCCGCAACCCCTGCGATTCTAGAATATCACGACTTTCCGAATGAACATTCAAGTCTTGACCTTGGGAATCAGTCTTCCAAAAGAGGAAAAACGTATCCATTATCGGGGGCCGCAAGGCACCTCTCCAAGGTGCGTATGGGCGAGTCCATGTTGGGCACACATCCTCCCACCCTTCGTATCTCCAGCCCCAATACGTATCCCGAGCTCCGTGGTTTGTCGCCGTTGCCAGCCAGACTTGGAATTTGTTCTCGGGCACTGTACTGGAAAGCCGTCGGAAACGGCAAAAGGCGTGGCAGAGCTCCCTGCGCCTCCTATTTCCTCCCGTAAGATCAGCGCTAGGTTGCGCGAGGTGCCGGTGGAGGATCCGCACTGTCGACAAATTACTTGTAGTTGAGAGAGCCGTCGGTAAGACAACTTGAACGGGAAACTCGAACGGGAAAAATGTCAGCAGTCTACTTTGCCCAGGTGCCCAGATCTTGTCCGCTGCTTGGCAGCTTCCCTCGAGTGATCTCATTGGGAGAACCCTGCAAAGAACGACAGTCTGCCCGGCTCAGCCACCCAAGTGCCACGCCTTCCGTGGCACCGTGTAACCAAATACGAAAACACACGGTGCTACCGTGCCCAGCTCTTGCCAATGCTGCGGAAAAGCACCTTGATCCACAGTGCTGAAACCGCATGACGGCACGTCACCTTTCCCGCCCTCGCTGCTTTGTCGCATCATATCTTTGCCAACAAGCTCCCACCTCATTCAACCAACATTCCTCCATCCAACTCTCTCCATCACCATCGGCCCCGCGCCAAGTTTGAATCACACGTCACAAACCTTTTATACAAAACACGATTTTCAACATTTTGAGCGGTCGAAAACACAACTTCATATCATGGCGCCTCTCATTGCGCAGATCGCTGAACTAGCAAAGCGCCGGGACGGGTACGTACGACGCGGCGCATTGTCTCCAGACCACGCCGGCTAACGATATATCTAGCTGCGGGAGCGGTGGCTATCGTGACTACGATGGTGTTTGCCGCTACCATTCCTCATGGTATTGGTGGGGACGCTGGGTCCTCGCCGGGGTGGCGGTCTTCATCATAATCCTCGTCTTCGCCGGACTTTTGTATGTCTATCCTCACAGGCCTTTTTTACATGGCGTCGGAATGGACTAACACGACTCTCAACAGCCGTAACTCGCGCCGTCGCAGGAGGCAAGGTGCTCAACCGATGTACGGAACGGGGTGGATGGCACCTGCGCCACCCCCTTACTACCCTCCGCCTCCGCAATACTCGGCTCAGGATCAAGCTCCGCCGGGCGGTTACAAATATGGCTCGGGTGATGGGTATTACGCCGGCAACCAAGAGGGTATCCAATTGCAGCAACCCCAGAGCGCCTACCACCGCGGTGCGGAGCCCGAATATGCGCCTCCCCCCGGACCCCCACCAGCCACCAAATAAGTGGGATTGAGACGAGGGGCACGGAGATGGAGCTCGGAAGGCAGAGACCGCACTCGCTATTTCGACTCGGATAGGGGTAGCAGGGCATCGGCGTTATGGGACTGCGTTGATATGGGTGGGAAGCTGCCTACTTGGTATGGATCGGTTCGCGCGGCATCCCGGTGTGGATAATGGGCTGGGACTCTCATTGCACCTGTGGTTTACCACGCTTTTATGCTGTCTTGTTTGCTACCTACTCTAAGTTATAGCGATATTACCAGATTCTCTCTGGGTCAAAGAGACATGACTCGAAGTTCCTTGTGTGCATGACGTAGGCTGGCCCGTGCTAGATCAGATAACAGTGCAAAATTACTGAATCATGTCAGTTCCTGGAGCATTCCTCTCTTTAACAGAGCGCTCTCTAGCAAGTCCTTGCAACTGCCCGTCTACAATATTGGTTCGCAGCTGAGAAACTAGAAGGAAGCAACAACGGGTTTATCAAACACCCATCGCAGTTCTTGAATTCTCTTCCCTTGCTGGATCTCGCCGTTATACAGCAAGAACCAACAGACTGTATTTTCGCAAATGCTCAGATCGAACATAATTCCCGCCAGAGGAACATGACATTGAGAATCCAGCCTCTTAAGGCCTTTTTGCCGTTGTTGAGCCAAAAATTGTTTTATCCCGACTGTTTGTCAAACTCACTGCCCCCGCCAAGACATCTATCCATTTCAAGACCTCTTAATCGCATTCCGAAACCGCGCGCTGTACGACTTCACCAAGCACAATCCAACATGGCGATCCAGATCCTCTCTGACTTGCACCTGGAGGCCCCCAAAGCATACGATGTGTTCGATATTGAGCCTAAGGCGCCACACCTCGCCCTGCTCGGCGACATTGGGAAAGTCGCGGCACATAAACCCGACTTCCTCGGGTTTCTGACTCGACAACTACAGCGGTTTCGAACTGTGATCTTCATCCCCGGCAATCACGAAGCATATGGTTCCAACTGGCCCGAGACCATTGATATCCTTCAGGCTTTTCAAGAGGACTCAAAGGCACGCAAGAATACGTCGCTAGGCGATTTTGTCCTGCTCGACCGTGGCGTCCTGCGGCTCCCAGACACCAACGCGGTGATTCTAGGTTGCAGCCTCTTTTCTTGCGTTCCAACTGAGAGCCACATGGCGGTCAGTATGGGCCTCAACGACTTCTTCCAGACGGACAAGTGGGACGTGGAAGCGCACAACGACATGCACAAACGGGACCTGTCCTGGCTCAATGCACAGGTCACCGACCTCGAAGATTCCGACGCCAACATCATCATTTTTTCGCACTGGAGCCCAACTTTAGATGCTCGTGCGACTGAGCCAAGACACGCCGGTAGCCGGATCAGGAGTGCCTTCTCAACCGACCTATCCAAGGAGAAGTGCTTCAGGAGCGGCAGAGTCAAGCTTTGGGCTTTTGGACATACGCATTACAACTGCGATTTCGTAGTTGACCGGGAGGACGGAGCCGGCCCGTTGAGGTTGGTGGCGAACCAGAGGGGTTATTACTTTTCTCAGAGTGAGGGTTTTGACAGTGATAAGACGGTTGAGGTATGAAAAGAAAAGATGGGTTATCTCGAAACTCGAGCATGGTTGTTCACCAGCGAGCCAACCTGCCTGCTTACTTTACCGAGTTACCTACCGAGTGCACTCTGAAACGTTGTTAATTGGAGGAAACCAAGAATAAAAAAAGATGAAAAATAAAAAAGAAACGAAAAAAGATAGTTATATCCGTAGGCTGCCTCCGAAAAGTTGCTTTGGATCAGAACCGTGAACGGCGGTCCAGTGCCCATCCTCATGGTTGCGCAATCTGCCGGCATTAGGGGAAACCTGAGTGGACATGGACGATCCCCCAAAAATGGTTGGCCCCTGTCGCAGGGGTCTGAGGCGTTGGTACCTTGCAGCCGCGAGGGGAAGGCCCGGCGGGCCAATGCCGTCCTGGCGTTCGTCTCATGCACCCGCACTTTTTCTTCCCTCTTTACCAGGGCAGCAGTGCGGGACGCAGTTTCGCGCTCCCTCTTTTTCTGTCAGGCTGACTTTGACTGCCTCCCTTCCTAGTTTCATCTCATCCACAGGTGAGACGGGACAGCCACTCCTTTGGCCCTTTCGTTAGCAATATCTTGGTTGTTGGCGGCAATTGCCCGATTCCTCCCGTTTTTGTACGACTTGTTCTTGCCCTCCTTTTGCTGCTCGAGTCCAAATTCCGAATAGACTCGATTTTGCTTTCTCTGGCTTCCTTGTGCCAATTCACCTCGGTCATTCCACACAGTTCGACTACCCCATTTACGAAACACTTTCTGCAATCCGTTATTTGTACTTCGCGACTAGGAATATCATTTCGACCATCAGCCTGGATCCCCAACTTATTTATGTCCCACCACGTTTCGAAACCGACAACCGATTTACGAGCACCCCAATCGGGACGGCATTGGGTGCGAGACGATCATACACAAGCGACGACCAGCCGGGCTATGGCGCTGTAGTTCTTGCCGAATAACCCTATAATTCGACCGTTCATGCTAGTGTTGATCACGTTTATTGATCGTTCACACCCACACCTTCGATATTCCGGGATTTGCTTGCCGACGACCAGGACGCCGAACCGTCGAGAGGCAAGATGCCGGCAGTCAACGTGGCGATGGAGAGGAGTTTGCGGAGGGGGTTCTTGGATTTGTTCGTGGCCAGTTTGCAACCCGCGCTCGGGAGGAGGGATCTTGAAGGGCAGATCACGGATGTGAAGACGGCCTTCTCTAGCTGGGATAATTGCATGCAGGTCAACTACTGCAAGTAGGTCTCCCTCAACCCCTTCAATGGTGGTGTCGTGGCGCTGACAATAGGCTAGATGGCCCGTAATTGCGGTCATAATCGTCGGCGGCTTGATCGTCCTCGCGGTGGCTTGGTGCATGATTCGATGCCTCTGCTGCGGGCTTTCTTGCTGCTGCTCATGCTTTTCGTGCCTCAAGTGCTGCGGTAATTGCTGCGGTTGTTGCGATCCGCCGAGGGGCAGCCGGCGCAAGTATCTCGACGAACCCTACATACCGCCAGACCACGGATACAAGTCACAAGAACCGATGCATTCCGGTTTCAATAGTCGCCCGACAGCGGCTCCTGTCTCCAAGGGGCCAGCATTCCCTCAGTTCGCCGAGTTTGACGCTGGCGGCAAGAAAGACGATGACTCCCTACCCCAAATGCCCGAATGGGAGAGCGCCGAGCGCAAGAAGGTGTACCTTGAGGAAGAGGCCGTCGAGATGAACGCCTTGAAGAGGCCCGAGGCGGACGGGCAAACTGCCGGCGCCACCGTGGTGGGCGGAGCTGGGGGCATGTCTCCACACGGATCGCGCTCGCCAGTCAACCGAAGTCCGTATGGACCACCAGGGGGCAACAACGGGTTCTTTGCTGCTAGCGCTATCGACAACAACGACCCATACTCGCAGGGTGCTCCGGCATACAACCAGCCAGGCATGGCCTATACCGAGCCGGACTCAGGGTACGGGATGGCCGGTGCGGCCATGGGTCCCGGGCGACGCTCACCGCAGGCCTTCAACAACGTTGGATACAACGACGGGCACAATAACAACGGCTACGGGCAAACCCACGACTACCCCGACCCCGGAAATCAGGGCAGCTATGACAACTATGGAGGCGCCCCTCGCCAACAGCCATATGACAATTACGACTCCCAAGCCAACCAAGGCTACGGAATCGCACGCCACCAAACCCCCCACGCGATGGACGCCTCCCCCTACGGACCCGACCAGCGGCGCTCGCCCGCACCCCAGGGGCCTTACGGGGCCGACTCACGACGATCCCCGGCACCGCAGGGTCCCTACGGAGCCGAGACCGCAAGACGTTCCCCCGCCCCACGAGGCCCTTATGGCGCCGGCGCACGCCACTCCCCCGGGCCCCAAGGCGCGGGGGCCTTTGACACCCCTTATCTTGGCGGCGGCGGCCCCGACCCCCGCCGCTCCCCGGCACCACAACAACAGGCCGGCTTTGAGAACAACCGGCCCTATGGCGGCGCGCGCCCCCCACCCCAGAGGCAGTACTCGTCCAACAGCGGCGGCGGCGGCAGCGGCATGCACTCACCCATCAACGCGCCGACGCCGCTGAGGAATGATGTCGGGTTCGACTTCACGTCGGGGTACAGCCGCCCGCAGGCCCCGGTCGCGACCACAAGCCCCGTGAACGCGGGCGGGTATCGGCAGCCGAGTCCAGGGCCTGCTGAGCTCGGGGGCGGAGGCGGCGGGTACCCGGGGTACAAGCCGTACCAGCCGGCATAGATGATTGGGGGCGGCATGTGCGGATTGGATGGGATCGGGATGTGGGATGGGGTGAGACGCGGTGGGGTGGGATTTAACTAATGACCAGCGGCTTATGTTCTGTGGAGTTGGTGGGTTGTTTTCTTCTTCACTTCATGCCTTCGTTTTGTGCCCCCTTTTTTGGTTTCTTCCTCTCGCTTATGTCATGCGACATCATATAGATGGTGCTTTTTTTGTTTGGTTTTCTATTGATGACCTGGGAATCTGGGCTGGCTGGCTGGGATGGACAAGTTGGCGGTGTGATATAGGGGGAAGGGAATATGTGGCGCTGGTCAGAGAGGTGCGGTGCCTTCTCCCTTTTTTTGGTTGTCTTGGCCGCCCTTTTGCTTCTGCTAGGGGTGAGCAAACGGATGCTTCGGCCAGAAGTCTTCTTTTCTATTTTTATAGTTTTCGCTTCTTGCTGGCCGGTTGAGCAGCGTTGGGCTTGGTTCAACAAGCAAGTCCTTCTCATGCGAAGGACGAGATCTGGGAATGGGCAGCGATGGGCAGCCTGCTCAGGCAGACCCTGGGCGTATTGTGTAAATGGGTTTGGTGTACTACTAGAGTTAGACTGAAATGGGAGAGGTATTGGCCGGTTCGTATACCAAATTTCAAGATGCCGTGGAATGGTTGGACTCGACACGCGCGACGCGCGGGACCACCAGCTGTTCCTTGGGCTCTTGTTTCACGGTTGCCTAGCGGGAACCCCATTCTGGGGGTGGGCCGTGGTGGATTTCCCGGGTGTTCCCTCGGTGAGCCGCGAGCCGCGGTGAAAGTGATGCTTAGTGGGATCATAAGACGTTTCTGAGTATGTATTGCGCAGGTCAAGGATGCTAGCTTGGGGTACCTCAACCGGCTGATGGAGCCTGATCCTTCACAACGGGTCGTTGACACACACGTGTAAAAACCCACTATATATAATCATCATAAGCGCGGTTTGCGTCCAAACATAGTAGATAGATTGTACTTGATAAGGTTTACAGGTGTAAAATGACTCATGGACATGTTACACAACATGCTCACAACTCGGTTGTTGAGAAGACGTTGTGGTCAGAAAAGTCCGAATCGCAGGCCGTTTTACAGGTCGAAATGCGAGAAACACAGAAACAGATCCTCGCGGTAAGGGAACCGCCCGGAGGCCCGGGTTTGCGGCTGAAGGGCTGTTTCGACCAACGCGGGTCAGCCCATCACCCGGAGAGGGACGTGAGGTATTTCGGCGACTTGATCCTCTCGGTGTTTGTCATCGGTTTTACTTTTTTAATTTCAATTTCTCGCTGACGAGAGTGGCTCGAGAGTGGCTCGAGAGTGGCTCCGCGGGTTTGTGTAACGCCCCGGCGCGTCGTCAGATCCCAAGTCGGCTCCTGACGGCGGTTCCCTGACGGCCTTGACCTCGGAGGTCCGGTGGCACCCAATTTCAACGGCCTGTCCGCCAAGTTGCCAAGAGAGCTGTAAGGCGAACCGAGGGCGATCTGTTAGTGCAGCAGGCCAGACAATCCGGTCGAAGAAAATATTTGAAGTACCAAATGGCCATTTTCAACGCAAATTTTATCGTCTCAATTAGGTGAAGCAGTCAATCTGGAATAATCGGAATCGGTTGGTATAACTATCTTTTTACTTTTTGGTAGGGAGAAATGTCGACGTTTGAATTTCGAGCAAATCGTCGCGAAACGTCAAAGACAGCAACAGCTAACAGTAAAAGGCTTGGCGGTAGGGGGGCTGGTCCAGCCACGTTCAAGGGCCCCCAGGAGATTGGGCTCCACAGGACCTCCGAGGACATTGCCTCCCTGACGTGGCCGTGGCGGTGCGGCGGAGGATGCGGATCGCTGGGGCCGCAGTGGGGAAGGTTTCGAAGTGCGATCTTCGGGCTTTGGAAAGATGCCGCTCGCTGCATGTGCTGCAAGGGCGGCGAGCGAGTTCAGATTACTTCGTATTTCCCCTCGGTTTGGCGTTTGGAGTATGAAGTCGAACTCGGAATGTAGAATCCGGGGTAGCACAACTGTTGAGTCGCCAAGTTTCCAGAGCTTCTCTCGTCGCCGCAGGAATGCAGCAAATCGCTCGTTAAACCCGGGGGATCTTTTGTGGGAGGGTTGCAACAACGTACCCGTTAACCTTAACGCTTGTCTGAAACGGGCAGGACCCATGCAAGCTCTCAAAAAAGCCCGGCGAAATGACGTTATGCGTTGTTGGCTTTTTCTTTCCCCTTCGAAGCCAAATTTCAAAATTCGATCCCGACAAACCCCTCTTCCCGCCGCAGACAGGCACAAAATTGTCTGCACAAGCTCGCTCGGCTCGGTACCAATAGGCGCCGCCATGTGGGAGTCATCGGGTTGCTTGCGGCTGAGCCGATGCGATGGGTGCACAAGGAGGTAAAAGCGGGAAGGCGGTTCATGGGTGCTGGCTTCATTGGCTTCATTGGGTCGGGGGTGAAAAGTTGGACCACACCCAAACCCGGGTCTCCGGCCGCCAGATTCGGTCGTTGATTTGTTGCTTCTCTTGGATCCGTGTGTTGGGTTCTTGTTTTGATTTTGCCATCGGGCTCCCCTGCACATCATTTTACTTACCTGCTGCCTAGCTGCCTCTTTGATGATGCTATCGAATTGTTGCAGCATCGGCAGCATCCTTCTCTCTCAACAACGAGCAAAGCACACCCACCATACACAGCACTTGTACACAGTCCTTGCCAACGCCACTCCTGTATTCAGCAACAAGATCACACCGATGAACATCCCCATCCCTGTCGCCCAGGACTAAAACACCCGCCTACGCAGCCCTGCATGACACCGGCCGAAGCTAGGAAACCCTGCCACTCCCACTCCCTGGTAAAGCGTGCCAGCTTGTACCCCCGCGGGCTTGTTCAAACACCTCCACATGGCCATTTAACGATCCACCATTCGTGCTCAGCGGCTTGTCCATACAAAGACTCCCCTGCGCTCGCTCCTCCTCCCTCGGCGCTCCGGCTGTCGATCGCCAAAGAAGCACCAAGGTATTCAGCTGCACGATCTGGTCTGGGATCGCGAAGTCCGAGACATACCGTCTTCCCACAATGCTGTCAAGTAAGTGTCAAATCGCCCCATCCAGTAGCGCAGCTCGCAAGGGCATCACCCTCTGCCGTTCACACCCCCGTCGCCCTAAGTTCCGCTGCGAGGGACTGAGAAGACCCCCGTCACCGAGAGCGAGCAAGAGGCGGAAAGAAAGCAAAGAAAGAATTCTTGAGCGGTTCGGAATCACAAACTCCCCCAAAACTCAAAACAAACGAGGATTGCTGCAAGTTTGCCGCATCACCGCACTCTTGAGATCTCCAGGTCGGAGCTTAAAGCGTGGGTGACGCAGGCGGGCGCATTGCTCCCTTAAGAACAAGGAGGAGAAGAGGAGGATCAAGAAAAGAAACACAGACAAAGACAAGACCTCGTCGATACAATGGGGACGGCGACGGGAACGGGGACAGGAATGGAGAAACGACGGCCTCGTTTGGGTCTGTTGACCTCGTTTCTGCCCAAGCTTACATCTCGCCCAGGGCCGCAATCCCCGGAGATCAATCGGAAGCCCCTCCCGGCTAGCTCGACGACCTCGTCTTACACCTCGCCGACTAGTACCGTGCCGACAATGACAACAGGCACCGCCAGGACGAGCGCCGACTCCAAGTCGTCCTCCCGCTTTGAGTCGGGGACCGGGTCAACAGCTTTGTCGCCCATCGAACAGAGCTCGTCGCTCTTTGAAAACACCGCTCTTGAATCCACGCCGCCCAAGAAGCTTCACAAAATACCAGCCATGCCTACCGGCCCGCCTCCCCCACCACCACCACCCAACAAAGTTATCGCGAAGCTTGGTACACCAGCCCGCGTACCGGCCGTCGCAGCCATCCAGGCAACGCCCCCGAGTGAGAGAAGAGCCAATAGGAGCCCGTCACCCGACCGTCCTCCGTCGAGGGCAAAGCTCCAACCGAACAAACTCCAGCCCCGCCAACTGTCCCCGAATCCGAATCCGCGTGGCCGCAGTGTTTCCGCTCAACCCCCGGTCGTCCGTGATGCCGCGGTCGACAGCTCGCGAGCAGTCTCCAGCCCAATCCAAGGCCGGTCCGTCTCGAAGCCCCCGAGTGAGGGCAGTCCCCCCGCCACCGCCGACAAGCGGAAAAGGAAGAGCTGGTTTCCGGGTGCCCGCTCAAGGGCTAGTTCGGATGGTACCAAGCCCAAAGCCCGTGGCGCCTGGGTAATGTCGCCAGATAGCCAGGTCGACTACAACCCAGCGCTCCTGGTGAATGGGGAGAAGGTACCGCTTACCGCCGCAAGAGTTGTCCTCGAGACGCTAACTAACCATGTGTAGGTGCCTGAACTATGGAATGAGACAGGCAACGTCCTGGTCTACCTGCACCCTAAGGGAAGCGATCACGGGCCTAGTTTCAAAGTTGCCGACCACATTTTTAGCCCGTCGGCAGTCTTGGTTGAGCTCCTAGTGACGGAGATGATGGCGTCCCAAAATGCTGGATATCTCGACGTTGCACCGGCCGACGGCCCCGTGACTGAAGGTCACTTGTACCTCCCCCTCGGAAACACCGACGTCGAACGTCTTGTCGCCGCGCGGAACCTCTTCGCCTTCCTGACGCACCAGCCCCTCGTAGGCACATCCGAAAACCCGACTTTGTTTGCCGCCTTGCTCCAGGTGGCCGGCCTACTTCGGCGGTTCAACTTCTGCAGCTTTGATGGCTCCTCCTTTGGCGAATCGGTCGACACGGCCTTCGACTTGTTCATGGACCAGACCGGCATCGCCGATGTGCGTCACAGCCGGGAGAAGACGCTCGAGGCGCTCATCCTGGCGGAGCAGATCAAGTCGTGGAACCTGTACAACGAGGCGTTTGCCCATGCCGTGGGTAAGTACGAACTGCTCCTCGAGCTCAAGTCGCCTCTTTACGACCGAATCTCCGTCAGCACCCGCCAGCGCATGGACCGCGCACATTTGGACCTGGCCAACCGCCAGGCTAGCGTCAACAGTCGACTCGAGGCCTTCGAGTTTCCCTCGCTGTTCTCCGGCACTGCCAACTCCACCTCATCCGATGAGTACAAGAACGTCAAGTTCAAGGAATGGCGGACTTCGTTCGCCAAGATGAAGAGCTTCGCCCTCAATTACTACAAGGGCCTCTTCGGCAACTGGCCTCCGCGAGCCCGCAGTAAGAAGAACCACTTCTCGCAGAGCGGGCTGAACCGGCAGTGCCTGAAGATCCTTTACTCGGACTTTTGCGCCCTCTACGACCTCCTGGTGGATCGGCAGTCCATGACGCCCCGCGTCATCGGCGAGGGGCATGATGATTCCGACGACGATACCAAGGAGAAGACGCCCGGTGAGGCTTCCATCTCCGCCCTTCGCAGGGTTCTCGGCGAGTTTGACAAGTCCTCGCCCCCTGTGCTACCCCCAGTCCCCTTCGACGTCCCCAAGCTACCAAGCATGACGGCTATCTACGAGAACTACCACGAGCTACCCGCCAAAAAGCAAGCCAAGTACAGCAAGGCCCTCCAGCCCCACGAGCTCCAGCTCATCCTCATCAAATCCCGCAACATCGACACTGACTCGCTCAACCTCCCCTTCCTGACCGCCTACAAGGACTTTGAGCTCAAAGAATCCAAGGGCACCAACCCGGCCGACCTCGCCGACCAACGCATCGGGAACTGGCTCTTCCTTTACGTCGTCCTGCAGTCCCTCCCCATGCTAGTCGTCGACGCCCCCGGGCTACGCTACACCGAAGGAGTCGAAGATTTCCTGTGCCAGGCACCCCAAGGAAACCCCCCCTGGACCGAGGACGCCGGCCAGACCCGCAAGATGTGGTTCCAGACGGGCAGCTCCAACGTAGTGGAGCTCTCCGCCGACGTGGTCATGTTCTCAGTCGAAGGCATATACATGCGCTCGCACTGCTGGCTCGCCGCCAAGGAATGGGACGGCGCCAGCGCAGGCGGCGGCCCTCCCGCGGCCGCCCCAACCGAACAAACCTCCCCACTCCAGCCCCCACGCGCCGGCTTCCGCGACATGGACCCGTCCACCACAACCGGAGCCCCCTCCACCACCGCCTCCTCCAACAACCCACTAACCACCCACCAACACCAGCAACAACACCGCGCGCAGTCCCCCGGCGCCGGCGCCGCCACCCGCTCGACGCCGTCCTCCTCCCCGCACCTGCGCCCGCGCAGCGGCTCCAACGACCGCGCCCGCCAGGCCTTCCGCGCTAGCATCGCCATCGGCCTGGAACCGCTGCCCATGCCGGCGGCCCCGTCCTTCGACCGCAGCTCCCGCGTGCTCAGCGTCGGGTCCATGTCCAGCGGCGGCGGCTGGGGTGGCGGCGGCGGTGGCAGTGTCAGTGGCACCGGGAGTGCTGGCCCGGGGAGCCCCGGGCCCGGGTATGGCGGTGGTGGTGATGTGTACCAGCTCGGGCTGCGGGCGAGCCGGTCCGCGGCGAACTTGTCGCAGTTCGGCGGTGGCGGGGTGGATTATCTCGGTGCCGGTGCCGGTGCCGCTGCGGGTGGGCAGCCGCGCAAGTCGAGCTATGGGGCGCTTGCGGGCATGGGCGGGGCGGGGCCGTCGAATCTCGGGCCTGGTTCGGTCCATGGTGGGGCGGACTCGCTCAATGGGGGCAGCACGTTTGACGATATCTTGAAGGGGATGGATGGGAAGGGGAAGAAGAAGAAGAAGCTGTTTTTCTGAAAGATGTCTGGGCTATCATGATGAGCATTTGCATCTGGTTCCTTTCTTTCGGATCTGCCTGCGCGGAGTTTATTTTTGTTTTCATTTCTTGAGACCTTTCTCCGGCTTGGACCTGCCTTCGTTTCTGTCTGCTCGGCATCTGTATAGATGATACCCCTTTGTAATGCGACTGCCTGTTGTCCAGTCTCGGGATACAGGCCGGTTTGGTTTTGTCACCTCGGGGCTTGGATGTGCATCACGTCAGACAGGGTTTGATACCTAGGTACTCAACCCACTTTATTCGTATTGGTCTTTGGGCGTTGGTTTAGTTTGCATGGCATACGCGACACGCACGTACAGGAAGCGAGCGGAAGCATCAATTTGATCATAGAATAGATTCCAGTGTTTTCAGTCAGCAAAGGAGGATCAAAGTGGTGAAAGAAGGGGGGGAGGAGAAGTTAAGGGCGGGAGAAAGCCTTCAACAGCCTCGGGATTTTTAGTAATCTAGGGTACCTAGCTAATGTGCCATGCCACGCGGTTGCTTCACCGATTTTGCAATTCCAACGTGCATGAATGCCCAACAGGCTCACGAGGCCTCCTCGTTGCATACCGGTTGCCTTGGGTGTGCCGTGTCACTGATGTCACCCACCTGGACGTCCGACCGGATCCCGTTCGGGTAGATACATACCTACGGTACTCACATAATGAGGTTGTGTCCATCCTTAATAGATGACATGAGGTTGTCCAAAGTACCTAAAAGTTGCGATTACTACTAGTTCAGCCTTGCAACGAGCTAGCCGGCTGCAATAAACACAAACCTCATTGCGATAATGCGCAAACTGAACGGTAGCTCGGTCGCTCAACCACGAACTAAGTCAATTCGAAACTCAGGTTCAGCCTCAGCGGCATGAAAACGAGGCAAGTGCTGTGTGTCGAAGGCACGACAGCGTACCTTACCTTAATGATCCCACCCAAGGTGGTGACGGACCCGGAGTTGGTGTGTCACACGACCGATGTCCCGTTCTCTGGCGTGTTAGCTTTGGCGCAACCGCGCCCCGCGCAACGGGGGTCACGGCAGGCCTGAACCCCCAACATATTGACGAGACGACGGCGCTGACGCGCTGAAGCCCTTGCCTTGCCGTGCCACCTCCAACTCCCGACCCCAAAGTCCCGGCCCCATTCTGCCGCACAAGTCCCGTTTCGGATAACAAACCCCAATCAGGTTTCCGCCCACGATACTCGGCGCAATTGCGCTTTTAGTAACTACCTCCTTGCTAGGAAGTTATCGTGAAGGGAAAACCATCAGCCATTGGAAGCTAGAACTTGTGCCTTCCACAGGTAGGACGGTCTACGTATGCCTTGGGTATGGAATTCTCCTCTGCCCGGCGGTGGCACGGTTAGCACCTAAACCTGGCTGTGTCGTCGTGTACCCGCCATCTTGGGAGGGGTGGGGCGATCGGAAGTGAGTGCTCACGTTGACGCCAAGAAGGGGGCCGGCTCCACAAGACTGCAGCTGGACAAGAAATGAAGTCTCACCAGGACAACTTGGAAGTCCAGAATGCTGCTTGGTCCTAGGTTGCCACTCACTAGTCAGTTCGTTCCTCTCCTTTGACGGAGACGCAACCAAAGGTTCATAATACCAAACCATTGAGTTTGCGGACCAATCATTCCCGGCTCATAAGTATGCCAGAAACTGCCGTGACCTAATGATATAGGAGCGCTGGAGTGCTGAATGGCGCTGACTTTGGCTTCTCGCAAGCTGGATACGTGGGAACGTCAATCTGAGCAGTCTTTCACATAAAAGTGAGTCCCGGGAGAAGCTTGAGAAAGCTTGTGCGCTTCTGCGGGTGGTATAATGAATGCCCTCCTCCCACGGATCTGATCCATCCCACACCCGCAACACCAGACTGGACCCTTTTTCTGTAGAGCTCATCCCGGTCGTCGAGAAATCGGTCTGGAGCAGGGCGTGATTGGCTCACAAATCAGCCAATCAGACCCCCCTTCTTCAGCGAAAAGGGTAGTCATTGTAATAGCCGTTGCGTGTGTGAAGGGAGGCAGACAGGAGGGCAAGGTGAGGCTCTCGAGGTGATGGAGGGTACAGAAACTCGAGGGGGGTACCCTCATCTGACTGCCCAAACCTCCCCCTTCCCTTGTATTAGAGCAGCGCCGTAACCTCGAATTGCTGAACCCATTGGCCACTTTGTGTTGCCTCGTGAGTCTTGTTTGACGCCGCCTCATCCTGAATTACTTGACTCGGCCGCACTTCAAGCCAACCTGCCGCTAGTTCCGATATTGGAGACGTGGGGCCACATGTCTGACACTTCTGACCGCTTCGACCTCTTCAATGGGGGTACGGGTCCTAAACAGCCGTTCTGCAAAGACCCTTCGCCCCACAGCAACTCTGCCGGGGTCGATGACCGGGAGACCGCAAGTGTTTCGACATCCGAGGACTACTCAGACCTCTTTGACTATGGTGCATATTATGCATCCGGCAGGGCAACAGATGTAACCACACAGTCCGATGTTCCCCCCTCGACAGGGAAGCCTGCCGTTGTCCTCTCGGCAACAACCCCCGCTGGCGCCCCCGCGGCGGGTCCAGGCCAGGACGAGGACTGTCCTATGTCAGACCCTCCGGAGGGTCCCAATCAAGACGAGGATTGTCCGATGCAGGACGCTCCGGCACAAGAACCCCAACCTCCTCACGTCTGGCCGAAGGTTTTGGGACCCCATCCTCCGCGAGACACAAGTATCTTGGTGGAAGCGTCACCCTCGCCACCATCCTCCGCAGATATGCACCAGAAGAAGACGAGAGTTGTCAAAGATCGGGAAGAGACAGGCAGAGTTCGGGGACTCGGAGCTTGTTACCACTGTAGGATGAATAGGAAAGGGGTAAGTGTCTTTCAGACCCTCGCCGTGGGGCTTCCAACCTCTTGCTGACTGCCAATGACCAGTGCAACTCGGATGTGATCTGTGCGGCGTGCAAAGACCGGCCGTTATCAAAGTTGACGTGTATCCGAACGCCGTTGTCCGAGATGATCCCGGCAAGATTCGGTGGGGTTTACCTTCGATGTGCCGCTTGAAGTCCAACCGTGCTGACTCCTCGATTAGTACGATGGAACTGGAACAACCCAAGCCGTGAGCAGCCAGACAAGTCTTCTGCATGCCGCCTGTTCATTTCCTGCTCCGACCGTGTCAGAAGCCCCTGCCTACGCCTCGAGGCTTACACCTTCGGGCCGCCGGGCCAGGGTCGACTGGATATCGTGCTCAGTGAGCGTCCCTCGAAAACACAAAGTTGGGAAGACATAATATACCAGTGGATGGAACAACAAATTCTGCTTGAAAGCAGGACGGATTTTGAGGCCGAAATGGACAGGCTGCTTGTCGAATTCGTTCGCCAAGCGAGAACCAAAATCCGCTCAGCTGGGCAGCAGATGATCGGGGGTTTGTTGTGGAACCTTTTCCAGATGAGGTGTATGTGGAAAGTCTGGGGTTGCAAGCAACTCTTTTATCGGCAACAGCTTGATGCCCAAGGAGTTCCGTTTGACCTCCAGTTTGAGGGAATCCAGGACTCGCTTCGGCGGTTCGCCGGCCAAAAGATCTCGGAACTTGAGCGGAAGATCCTCCCCGAGATCGACAAGTATATTGGCGGGAAAGATACATCCCGTAAGGATGGTGGAGCAACTGAGATGGATATTATGAAGTGGTTTTCGTCGTGGCAGCTGATGCTGACCTACCGCCAATCGTGGAGCTGGGTGTTGGAGCAGCAACAAACGAATGCTGCCCCAATACCCATTGAAGGTCAGTTGGTCGCCATCAACTTCCCGCTCCCCAAATGCTAATCGAAAACTTCAGTGGCGCCTATGGATGTGACGAGGCATGAGTTCCGAGAGACGACTAGACGATTATTCGAAGGAATCATCGTCATCTACTCGGGGGTATTCCTCAAGACAACGACGATCACGAAGATCAGAAAAGCCGAGGTCTTTGGGGATAACGGGAGCCTCTCCGCCGCATACAAGAGAGTCTGGCAGACGCTCCCTGACTTTTGTAAGTTGCCGCCCGCCGATGTAAAACAGAGGGATCACTGACCTTGCCTCATAGACGGCCGAGTGGCACGCCAGGTGTCGCCCACGGATGAATTATTCATCGAGCGCATCGTTAAAAAGGAGTCGAAAGCTCTCTCGGCCTGGAAATGAACATAATGGAGCTTGCTGGACCGACAGCAGGTTATCCGGCGTTTGGAGGTCTTTTCATATGTTAGGGTTTCAGTTCAATTGGAAGGGGCAGCGGAACTATGGGAGCTCCCGGTTGGGCGTGAAGCGGTCATGAACAATGAAGGTTCGTATGAAAAGCGGCGAATGGTCGACGAATGTATCCCAGAATGTTCGAAGTAATGTTGCAAAAGGCAGTTAGAGCGGAAGACACCGTTGTCGGAAAATGTGGCTGGGGGGAGCTTCGGCCGTAAGCCAGCCTTATATGAATGGCATGGGGCAGGGTGAGCTGAGCGTTGATGCGTTCCCCGCATTCAAGGGAGTGGATTGATGGTGACGGTAACCTTTTTACCCTCGTGCTTATGCTTCTTCAGATTCTTGAAGAGACCGATGATATCGTCGAAATCCACTCCCATCGCTGCTTTCTCGTCGATGGAGATTTCCAGTTGGATCTGGAACGTCTTGCCGTGCTTTGCAGTCGACCGAAACCTACCCTCTAGTTAGAATGATGAGATAAAAGTATAAAGCCTACTCCGTACCTGATTTTATCCTGGATGGCATGTTGCGTCTTTGGCCAGCTTTTTACCAGTGCCGCCATGGCTGCGGTCACGGCGCCAATGTAGTCGGCCCAAAATGTCGCATCCGGATCTGCCGCATCCATCAGGGCCCGGAGGCTCTTGTATAATTGCTTGTCAATCGGTGCTAAGCTCGCTCCCCACCGTGCACAGGTTGTGACACCCAACACGGCGCGGGCGAGGTGCGTCAGCCCGGGTTGGTCGGGGCAACTGACTGCGTTATGCAAGGTCGCAGATGCATTCGTCTCGGCATCACATCCCAACTGAGTCCATATCTGGCGAGCATAAAGCGTGCCAAGCTGCAAACCGAAAACAGTAGTCGTGGTAGCCAAGTCGAGTCCCGGTGGAAATGCGGACCGTAGCGCATCGAGAACATCTGGGACACCGGCCGAACCTGGGCCCGTGACTGAAGGCTCGGGGTTCCCCATAATATACCCGGAATGTGTCAGGGGGTTGCTTTCCCGAATGTCCGCCGGCAGGCTCATCATCAAAGCCCCTTCACGGTTCCCGCCGGAACAAAAAGTAACGGAACGAATGGCGGGCACGGCAGCAATGAGTGCGTCGACGACAGCGACAATGGCGGGAAACTGAGCACGCCGGCGCTTCGACATGCCAAAAATCTTGCCGTCAAAAGACTTGTTGAACTCGAGCAGGTCCTTGGTTTGCCCGAATGCACTCCCCGACACGGTGAACGACCCGATGGAGGGAATCGGATACGGCTGTACGGGGTGTCTATACATCAACATGCTGCCGTAGCCCCGAAATCCACCTCCGCAGAGATAGACGTTGAGCCCTGACGTGGCTGGGCTTTCCATCCCGGCCTCGCTCTGCTGGGCTTCGGTAGCGTGGGCAGCAAGAGATGGGAACTTGGCGCACAATGTCCGGAACGCCTCGCTCATGCCGTCGCGAAGACGTGAGATTTCGGACGCTTGGGTGACAGCGTCGCCATTGTCTAGCACCTTGATCAGGCGGGCAGCCCCAAAAGGGAGACTTTGCCCAGCGAGTGCTGCGGCCACCTCAGGGCCAACGCTATCCTCTCGAACACGGGACTTTGCGGCGTAGGAGTCCAAGTACGTCATCTGGACACTTCCTCCGCCGAGATCGAGGAACAACCCCTTCACATCGACGAAGCCCGAGCGGGCGCCCACTGAGCCGAAAAGGGTCTCTACTGGAGGCGCCAGAATGTACACAGACAGGTCCGGGGACGCCTCCCGTATAGCCTCGAGCATGGTCGTGGCGTTTTGGGCCCGGCGCATCGCCTCTGTCGCGAAAACCCTCACTTGGCTTGGAGGGACACCGTAGTCGTCGATAGCGATGGATCTAAACCGTGCCAGAGTCTGGGATACCAGCTTGATCGTCTCGTCAGGGAACATTAACGATGGCCCACTCAACGCATCAAACAGCGAGATGGCTGCCCGCTCTCTGTAAACGCACTTGAGGAGTCGTGTCCGCGGAGGGGAGAGGTCCAAAATGGAGAAGCGGACGCCGTTGCTTGATGAAGCTTGTCAGACCTGTATTATTCTGTGTGATATAGCTAGCATGACCCAGGGCCACGCTATAAAAGGATGTCCGGCTTACCTTCCCATGTCGACCAGAGCATAAAGGTGATTGGAGCCCGATGGGTCCCATCGCGGCAGCTTTTGCTCTAAGTTTTCGAGCGTAATGATGTCAACTAGGGCATCCATCTCGACGGTGTCCGACTTCGAAAATCGGGAAAATAAGTGGTGAAGAACCGTTGATGTTGGGAAATGGTTGAACCTGGAGCCGCGGGTTGTTTTCTCATGCGTTGAAACTTGGGGTTGGAAAGTGGGAAAGTATCGGATGTGGGGTTTCCACTCAAGGCGAAGGAGGCATGCCTGCCCAACATTCAGTTAGGTGCACCTTTAGGGCTTGGACGAGTGGTAACCACGGTAGGGCAAGCCTGACTTCAAGATGCCATTTTCCAAAAACGTGGGCAATCGTGACTGGGCACGGAACAGACAACCTAGGCAGGTGCGCCCGCTACATCGACTGTCATGACGGAGAACTGATTAACCCTTTATCTAAGCCTCGGCATCAACAGCCGTTAAGCTGTTAGCTTGCTAACAGCTCTTAAACCGCTTACACAGTATGTAAGCGCGGGGAAGCGAGCCTCTTGAGGTTCGGTACCTATCTTGGGCTCCAACATTTCGTCTCCACGTGGGAGTCGTGGAAGCGATTCCATACTAAAAAATCGTAGCCGCCTTGGGCAAGTCCTTGGTGTTGGGGGAGGATGCAACAACAGGCCGTCTGAAGCAATCTCTTGGCGCACCTTAAAGGAACACTGATATCTTCCACATGGAAGGCCAGGGGTCCTCAACCTTGAGAACTGAGAGAAGGCATGGGTGCCTGTCAAACAGAACCTTTTGACTTCTCGCCTTCCCTCCCGGTGGGACGAAATTGACAAAGTCAGTTGCGAGGAGGGGCCCACGTGCTCTTGCCGGGACGGCTGGTTGACCTCGGGTTCGAGCTTGGACCATTTTTGGGATCTGCAGGTTTGGGAAACTCCGCTGTGGGACTCCCTGTCCAAACCTGCAAGAGTCGGGTTCTCGAGCTGCTGGTAATCATTGACGGAACCAGGGCCTCTCGGGCCTTCACCCTCGGTGTGGGATTTGACGGTCTCCGAGGAAGCGGTGAGGCAGACCCGACGAGATCCCGCGATACAACCGCAGGTGTCCATGGAGGGGGGAGGGGTGCCAGGAACATACTCCAGTTTTCATGTTCACACTGAAATATACCGTTTTGGCCGGCATATGTAAAAGTGACCAGAACCAAGGAGGTATCGTTTTCCAGGGCCAATATTATATTACTTCAACTGCAAATTCCAGGCGGAAGAATGAAATTAGAGGTAATATATACTATTCAGCTCGGAGGCTCTTACAGGGCCACCTGACTATATTCGATCGAAATATTATATTCCAACTCTGTTTTCATGTTCCGACCATATTTTCGAGAAGCCTGCACGGACCCGCCTGAGCCGGCGCGCACAGGCCACCTTCCCGTTTGGAGGTATATCAAGAAACGGGAGGCGCGTCCTTTTCTCGTGATTCTAGTGTAGATAGCTTAGTTGTTAATTGATTTACTTTTGCTCTGTGACCTCCCTGTTCGATTCCTGATTGTAATATTCCTTTAATTTCTTCTAAGTAAAAAACTTCGTCGGTAAAAAAGTGAAAATTGGTAGAAACGAAGGTGCAAACGGAGGTGGGGAACGGAGGTACCGGGTGGTAATCTTTTTCGGTATTTTACCGGGCCTCCAATACTCTTTTCTAAGAAATAGATGTTCTGCGAAAACATAATATTAAGTTGAATATGATCAGGAAGGCCCCTGATACTATCGGAAAGAACGCTCTTCTTCAAAAATCATGCTCACTCCATAACTTCCACCTTGAATGTTATTTTGGCCCGAAAAAATAAAAACTGGAGCATGTTCCTGGCACCCCCCTACCCCCCATGGGTGTCCCAGCACCCCGGTCACATCGCGCACAGCGGAGGGCGCAGATAGCAGCGCGTTCGCCCTGGTTTCCCCCACGTTGATTGAAAGACCCTCATTCCAAATACCATCGCTCCAGGCAGTGAGTAAATGCCCATCTACTAGAGTAAACACCTTCTCCCTCATTCAATGTGGCAGATTCCTTAGATCGCCATCTTCTCTCCTCTTTGGCCGTCATGAACTTGCGAGGGACGGTCATGGGAAGGAGCACGGGCACGGCAAGTTTGATTGGGTGGAAACCACTTAAACTTCGCGTCTTCACCCCGCGCCCACTTAACGCGAAAAAACGCGTCTCTTTTCGTGCTTCCCTGTTCCATCTCAAACCCCCTCGTCCTGTCACACAGTGCACCGCACCCTGTCATCCCCACCTAACCACACCTCCCCAACAGGAACTCCTGTTCTGTTGCTCGACATTCATTCATGCTCTCGCCGGGTACGACATAACTGATGCCGGAGCCGTTATTGCAATTAATAACCAAGCGTAACTTCCGCAACGGTGGACTTGCAGGTGCGTATTTACCTGGTCGCAGCACCACCGTGGTGCCCATGCACTGTAATTACAGTTATTCGCACCCTCGACTGCGACCCCTCTGTAGCTTCCATTCGCTTGCAGCCCGCATGTCGACACTTCGCGCGTCATGAACGCTTCCCAGCCTCTCAATTTGCCGCCTCAATTGAAACAAGCTACACCTATTCGATCACAGCGCACAGCTCAAGCTCCTTGCTCTCCGTGCGACGCGTGGATTCGACGCAACAGCAGAAGGATTCGCGAAACTTGCGAATCGAGAACTCCAAGTCATCTGCCTCGGCGCTCCACAAGCGGCGCTCCCCCACTTGCTTGCTGTCGAACTCCACGCGCCCGCAAGCCATGGACCGACTGGCCCCAGGGTTTTGTTCTTCCTTGAGCTTTCCGGGTCTTTTGCTGTGGGCGGCGTCCCAGCGCATCGCTAGCTGTGTGTGGAGTGTTGAACTGGCTGTCTATGAACGTGCTTGTACATGCAGAGAGCGCATCGAGCACTGTTAGTTCCCTCCCCTTTGGGAACGCGCAGTGCTTGAACGGACCAACCCGATCAAGGTCCGTCGTGATCCTCGACGCGTTGCTGCCAGCCCCATCGCCCTGCCCGACCGTTGGCCGGCTGCTGTCCTTGCTTGCTGCAATCGGGTCACGAATTCACAAATCAGCGAGCCCCTGACAGCTTGCACCCCTTCAACGGTGATCCATTGCGACGTTGTCGGCGCCCGCGCCTATCGGGCAGCGGCAGCGGGAGCATCAGTCCCAGGTTGCTCCACCACACAACAGCTGCGCAGTGTGTCGATTTGGGAAGCAGGGACCCTGGAATTCAAACTGCAACTGCGCCAACAAGGTTTCTCCCAGGGGCCCTGCACCATCTCCACTCCAGCCGAGCTTCCTCCTTGCCGGCTGTCCGTCCAGCGGGTGGATGCCCAGTTCTGTGCGGTGGGGGTCTGAATCAACAGGCCCAAGCCGAACTGCTCTCTCCCCGTGCGCTGTCGAACCCGCCCGCCCCCGTGCCCACCCCCTTCTTGCATGAGCGCAGCACCCACCGTTACATATCCCCAACACCCCATCATCGGAGATCCCGCTTCTTCCCCCTTTTCCCCAGCGCAGTCATTCATTTGCGACTCAGTTGACGACCAGTCGCGCTCGGCGCAGGGTCTCGGTGTTTTAACGATATCACGACACGACGGCGAGCAAGACACCACCGAAAAGCGCTGCGCTCACCATCTCGGTTTCCAGGTTCTCCTGATCCGACAACCGTATTTCGTTGTCTATTTTCCTTTTGGTTTCTCTCGATATTTTTCCTATCTCTCGGCGACGATTTCCCTCTTCTAGTAACGACCCTCAAACCTCGACATAACGTATAACTACGAAGGACGACCATTGACGAATCTTGCGCCTGCGCTTGGACTGGACGGACGACAGCCCCGCCCACCCCAGCCATCTGTTTTCGACCGACGCGCCTGCGCTAATCCAGTGGCGCGCCGCACATCAATCGACGCACTTTCAAAGCGGCTTCGATTGCGCGACTGCACCTAATTGACGTCGCGACTTGCGCATGAACATTATCCGCTTCTTGTCTTAGAAGCACCCTCGAAATAGCTCATTTCGACTCCTTGATGACACCTCGACATTCCAGTTCGAAGACAAGATGAATCCGCATTCCGGCCCTGCGACCCTTCCGCGGGGTTTCAAGTGTCCCGACTACGAGGCACCCAGCACGCCGGAACCGTTCCCCCAAATGGATGACGCTCAGATGCCTTCGGCCCCGAGGCCACGCCTGAAGTTGAGGAGGCGCGTTGTCTCCCAACTTACAGCGCCAACACAGCACTTCCTAGCCTCTGTCGCCGCCGCTGACGTCCCAATACCGAGCATCGAGGAACCCGAGATCGCTCACGACGACTGCGACATGAATGGCCCTAGTCCCTTCCCAGAATTCGACCACGACGATGACGAAGGAGATACGCAATTTCTCAGGCCTCAAGGGCGGGGATTGCCCGCGCCGAAAACGCCGGCGCCCGAGCTCGAAGCATCGATGCCGGCCTCCCGGTATCCCAATTGGGCGATTGGCTCGATTAGCAGCGCGGAGTCAACGCCAGAGCCCGACTATGAATCTAGCAGGCCCTCAACGTCGAGGTCAACACAAACTAGCGCATCACTGTTCAGCCGCTTCTCGCTTGCTTCAGACGAGGACCATTACGAGAACTTTGGAGACGAGAGCAAGGAAAAGGACAACTACCTTGCTGCCCCCAACGATGATGCGCCGTCCCGTGGCCCTGCAGACCTCCGAGGGAAAGCGAGGAAAGCGCCTTGGACGAAAGCGATGAGCGACCACCTGTGGTCAACTTTCATGTTGTACCTCCAGGACCCTAAAGTCACCCCTGTTCGCATGGGCAAGAGCTGCATCCCACCCCACGGCGTTTGTCTCCGTGTTTCACGAGAGGCAAAGAGGAGTTGGAAGGGCTCCAAGGCCCTGTCCAAAGCGACCGGCTCCGGCGAGGGTAGGAAGAGTGGGAGCGCCACTCCAACTGCGGACATGTCGGGCACGTTCATCCAGTGGCCCCATACATGTGCGGCCACCCGTGCGCATCTGCGGGATTTGTGCAAGTTGAAAGCCGGCTCTCGGACCAACAATTACAAATTCACCTCGCGGAACATCACGCCTTTCACCCAGGCTGCTGCCCGCCACTGGAACCGCCGCTCGACGCCGGGCCGTTCACCAGCTCCGTTTGCAACGCAGGATATGTCTCTCTCGCTTACCTTGAGTACATCCGAAAGCATGCAACCCAACGGCCCCCTCGCCCAACTTGCAGCATCAAATCCGGAACCTGCAGGCCCAAGCCGCTCGCCGCTCCTCGCAGGCCAAACCCTCGGCACTTTTGAAGGGGAGCCATCCTTTGCGGAACGGCGCCGGTTGGGGTCTCCCTTCGGCGCCAGCAGTTATGGGCCTAGCTCCTCTGGCTCCCTCGCGGCTGCTCTTGGCCTGACCGGCTCCATCCCGCGCCGGCAGTCCCAGACCGTCGGTCCACGACGGGCTCTCCAATCGCCCGTCCGACTCAGTAGGTCGGGTACCCAGAAGCGGCGGCATACACAATCTGGCGTTCCACGCAAGCGCCCCAGCATCGGCTCCGATCTGTGGCTTGACCCTGGCTTTCGCGCCGCGGTCGCGGCCGGCCCAGCTCCCACCCAGGAAGCCACCGAACCGAACCGCAACGACCCCTTTTTCATCCCCAAAATCCCGTCGGTACCCGCGCTCAGTTCCTCGACTAGCATGCCGAACGTCGGCGCGCAACTCGACGATTCGGCGCTCCCATTACCCCCACCCCGACTCGGCTCCCCGTTCACAGGGGAAGGCTCCAGTTTCAGCTTCCCTCACCGAGTGCACCGCGCGCACCAGGGCGGCAGCATCGACCTCGGCGTCCTCGGCCGGCCGTTCGCGACAATTCAACAATTCTCAAGCGACCCCAACCCGCTACCGGCGCGCAACAGCCTCGCCGATCGCCTCGCTTATATCGACCACCGCCTCAAGGAGCTCCGGCAGCGGGATGCGAATCACGCGTCCGAGTCGCCCCTGTAATACCATGGCTTCACAACACCCTAACCCCTCACCCCGGATCATTTCTTGGTGGTGCCATTCACTTCACTGTACATGTTCTGCTGTTTTGCGTCTTACCTAAACAGGAAGCGCGTTTTTCTTTTTGGATTTGCGACATGTCCACTATGATTATTACGACGTTCAAACGATACCACGTACGTCAAGGAGGTCTTGGACTGATGGTATGAACTTATGATGGGTGGTGGATGGATGGAAATACCCCGCTTGTTGGATTGAACATTTATCGTTTCGGAGCTTGTTCATATCGCGGTGGGCGTCTGCTTATTCTTTTTTTCCCTTCCTCATATACCCACTCCGTGGGCCGTTGGCGGAAATGTCTTGGAGTTGTTTTCCTTTGTTTTCACATTTACCACTCACTTACTCTCTCTTTCCTCTCTTCCTTATTTCAACAAGCTCATCATGGACGGCTTCATGAAAAATTACGACTGATACGAACGATGGGAACGGACGAAACGACCCTTGGAGTTCCAACCCCCTCCCTTCTTTTTATATGGGGTATATTCTTTTCAACCACATCGCATGCCTCGTTACGAGGCGGCGTATAACTTGACTTGGCGATTTGGCGACCCTGCATAGATGGGAGTTGGGCCTGAAGATAAAAACGACTGCCCTCCTTGAGGGCGATGATGAATGTTAATGCGGTGACGCATTTGATGCGGGTGATGGACGTTACGAAGTTTATATTGGCGATTTGGCTACTTAGCTGCTCTATCTAATTGCTAGTTAGTTGTTAGTTACAGAGTTGAATCGCATTCATTCACGAAACGCCTGGTTTAATTTTCCCTGATAACTAACCTCAGGAGACATGCATTGCACAAGTCAGGCTTTCAACGACTTGTTCGACGCTTGGCAATTCGTTCCGTTCTCCGCCATGTATGTATTCTGTACTCTTGTCTCGCATCCCACAATGCTACACAATTTGATTTGAAGCGAAAGCTCAAGAGGGCTGTCCGTTGTATGCATTGCCTTGCTGCTCGGGACCTAGGGCTTGGGAGGAAGATCTGGGCTTCGGGGTCTTCCAAGATCCCGGCCGGCAAGCCTTCAATGTGGGGCCGGCAGTTTAATGGGATCGCGACCAGACCCTGGGTCGCGTCTCTTGACTTTCCTCCTCCGCCAACCCTGAAAGTCCAAGCAACACCGCCTTATGCTATCGCTACAATGATGTCTCCACGGGGGTTGCGCGGGAACTTTGCCTTGGTGTCGCTATTCCTTGTAGCCTTTCTTTTCCTCGCCGACCCGGCAGCGGCGTCAACTGGCGACAGGCTGCCTGAGTTTAGAGAATGTGTTGAGGTTCGTGTCTCCTGACCACAAGCTTCCAAATTCCACAAAACACCGCCCATGCGCTGCGTAACAACTTGTCACAGCAACAAGAAGACTCTTACTAACGGATTGCCCCCTCAACAGATATGCGAACGCGAGAACTGCGGCCCCGACGCAGAACACCAAACCTCCATCCGTACGCCCCCTCCACCACACCACGCCCTCTCCCTCCCTAGATAGCTCCCACCACAAACAAACTAACACCCCCTCGCCTCCTCCCACCCGCAGCCCTCCACCGCCGCCTCCTCCTCTGGACCTGCCCCGCCGAATGCGACTACACCTGCCAGCAAATCGTGACCACAACACGGCTCGCCAGCACGCCGCCGCAGCCGGTGGTGCAGTTCCACGGCAAGTGGCCGTTCCGCCGGCTGCTGGGCATGCAGGAGCCGCTCAGCGTGCTCTTCTCGCTGGGCAACCTGGCCGCCCACTACTACGGCCTGCACCGCCAGGTGCTGCCGCGCATCCCCGCCGCCTACTCGATGCGGCCCTTCTACGTCTTCCTCGCCCGCCTCGGCATGGTCACCTGGTTCCTGAGCGCCGTGTTCCACACCCGCGACTTTAGGCTGACCGAGCGGTTGGACTATTTTGCCGCGGGTGCGTCGGTGCTGTATGGCATGTATTATGCCGCGGTGCGGATCTGGCGGCTGGATCGCCCGGGGAATGTGCGCGGGCTGAGGGCGTGGACGGCGCTTTGTGCTGTGCTGTACGCGTGCCATGTGGCGTATTTGGGCTTGTGGCGGTGGGATTACACGTACAACACGTTGGCGTGTGTGGTCTGTGGCGTGGTGCAGAACTTGTTGTGGAGTTACTTCAGTTGGACGAGGTATCGACAGACGGGCAAGGCGTGGGCTGTGTGGCCGGGGGTGGTGGTGATGTGGGTGGTGATAGCGATGAGCATGGAGTTGTTTGATTTTCCGCCGCTGTGGGAGAGTGTAGATGCGCACAGTTTGTGGCATCTGGGGACGATTGCGCCAGCAGTGCTGTTTTATCAGTAAGTGTTCGTTGGCTGGGTTCCCGGATGGCTTTGCTAACTCGCCATTTTTAGTTTCCTAGTCCAGGACGCGCAGGACGACATTGTTCGCAGTGCGCGGTTGAAGGCTTAAGAGCTGGGGCGACTTGTTTGTCGTGGTACTGCTTCAATGGGGGATTCGGACTAGTGTAAGAGTTTCACTACGCAGTTTGGTTTGGTTTAAACAAAATAATATGATCCAAACATGTTCAGATATATATGGTTAAAATAACCTGTGAAAACGCCATCCTCTACGGCTTACCCGCTCGCGTTCGATAGATCACCAGTTACACTCCTCCCTCAACAGACCGTACGTCACAATATCAAATACCCACCCATTCTTCGTCCCCGCCTTCCTTCTCGTCCCCTCATACACGAACCCGGCCCGCTCGAGCACCTTCACGCTGCCATCATTCCCCTCAAACACTATCCCTTCCAACCGGTTCACCTTCGGATACATCTCAAACACCCACTTGGCGTACGCGCGCAACGCCTCGGTCATGATCCCCTTGCCCCAGCACTTCTCCTCGGTCCAGTACCCGACCTCGAAGCAGAACTCCTCGATGTCCGACTTGGTCTTGATCCCGACCCCGCCGATCGGCACGTTGGTGACGGGGTCGCAGATGGCCAGCGAGGGGATCACGTCGGAGCCGGGCGCCTTGAAGGTGGTCGCGTACATGATCCACTGTTGCGCGTCCTCCAGCGTGTAGGGCGACTTGAAGCGGTACGACATGTACTTGGCCATGGCGGGCGAGTCACATGCCAGCTGGAGTGCGGGCGCGTCGGCCGGGTGGAGGTTGCGGAGGGTGCATTTGGTGAGGGTGAGGATGGTGGGTGGGGGGAAGGGGGTTGATGATGACGCCTGGGGCGGGTTTGCTTCTGGTTGGGACATTGTGTGGGAGGATATACCGTGGTTCGCGTCCCGGTGCTCTGTGGGCGTTGTTCGGGATGGTCGAGGAGGAGTTGCGAGTCAAATAACATGAAATCGTCGAAGGATTATGTGGTAAGAAGTGACGGCGTGAGTCACCTTCGCCGAACCGGAACAGGAAGGAGTTGACCACAGGAGAAATGCGAAGTACAGCCTTCAGTTAATTGAGCATATAAACCTTACACAATTTATACTTGACGGAATCCCCCCTCGTATCACAACCCGCCAGAGCCCCTTTATAGCTGAGGCTAGGTAGTCGTCCGCAATTGGGATAAAGCCCGAATACTAGACTCTTCCAACACAATACTTAGAAGCAAGGGGTGACCATTGTTAGATAACGCCACTCGGCTTCCTCCCGCTTACGAAACCGGATAGACCTAGATAGCCTCCCCCCGCTGCAAATAAACACATTTGACTCTTAACATCAAACGAGCAGGACTGACCTTGGTGTTTCGGTCGCTTCGCAACATTGAAGCCAAGATCTGAAACCAAGAATAGCTTGCCGAGCCCAAGCAGGGCAGTGGAGCCGAGCAGCGTTGCGGGGGGTCCGGTCCCTGGAAATGCCCCGCCGCACGCCAGGGACAGCCACATGGCTGCATCGTCCAATCACCGATGGGCTGACGCCCGATCGGATCCATGGATGTGGCTGCGGATTGTAAGGTGGCCTTAACTTTTGGCTAGCTGTTGGAGCTGAATGCGATCGTGGGGAACTTGGAAGCCTCGAGGAAGGGCTTACTGTCGACGGCGCTTTGTTCAATGCCAACCCAATTGATGCCGCTCTTTACTTTTTCTTGATTCCATTCTTGCGCCGCCTTATTCCTGCGTGATTTCTAGCGCCTTACACCTTGCTAAACCCGAACCTCGTGGTGTGGAACGTTTCAAACCGAGTCCCGGCCGAAGCGCTTGCGACAAGGCGCGCCAGACAGGATGCCGCCAAAGTCGAGGTTCACGAGGCTAGACGCCTTTACCAAGACCGTCGAAGATGCGCGCATCAGGACGACCTCGGGTGGCATTGTCACGATAGTGTCCCTCATCGTGGTCTTCTTCCTCGCCTGGGGGGAGTGGTCCGACTACCGTAGGATAGAGGTGCATCCGGAGTTGATCGTGGATAAAGGCAGAGGTATGGCATCACCCAGACTTTCCGGTGGCGCTGGAGGCTGACGGTTGGGGTTTTGAAAGGCGAGCGGATGGAGATCCACCTCAACATAACGTTCCCCCGGATTCCCTGCGAGCTGCTCACTCTCGATGTCATGGATATTTCGGGCGAGCAGCAACACGGCGTGCAACACGGTGTGACGAAGACAAGGCTGCGCCCGCAGAGCGAGGGCGGCGGCGATATTGACACAAAGTCGGTTAGTCTGTAAGCTCAACCACTGCGCCTACCTCAACCCCGCAACGGACAACTAACACTCAGAAAAGGCACGCCCGTGACGAGGTCGCCACCCACCTCGACCCAAACTACTGCGGCACTTGCTACGGCGCACAGGCCCCGTCTAGCGCGAAGAAACCCGGATGCTGCAACACCTGCGACGAAGTCAGGGACGCATACGCGCAAGCCGCTTGGGGCTTCGGTAGGGGCGAGGGTATCGAGCAGTGCGAGCGCGAGCACTACAGCGAGAAGCTGGATGAACAGCGTAACGAGGGCTGCCGCATTGAGGGTGGGCTCCGGGTGAACAAGGTCATCGGCAACTTCCACATCGCGCCCGGCCGCAGCTTCAGCAACGGCAACATGCACGTGCACGACCTCAAGAACTACTGGAACACGGCCACGAAGCACACCTTCTCCCACCAGATCCACCACCTGCGCTTCGGCCCGCAGCTGCCCGACGACCTGCACAAGAAGCTGGACGCCAGGAAGAACATGCCGTGGACGAACCACCACCTCAACCCGCTCGACGACACCCACCAGGAGACCGACGACGTCAACTACAACTACATGTACTTCCTCAAGATCGTGCCCACCTCGTACCTGCCGCTCGGCTGGGAGAAGACGTGGGCCGGCTTCCGCGAGGAGCACCACGCCGAGCTCGGCTCCTTCGGCGCCTCGGCCGACGGCAGCGTCGAGACTCACCAGTACTCGGTCACCAGCCACAAGCGGAGCCTGGCCGGCGGCGACGACTCGGCCGAGGGCCACCAGGAGCGCTTGCATGCGCGGGGCGGTATCCCGGGCGTTTTCTTCTCTTACGTAAGTCTTGGGCTCTCCGTTTGGTTGGGTGACGCAAGAACGCATGATGGGCGATCGCTAACTACTTGGTGACTAGGATATCTCCCCCATGAAGGTCATCAACAGGGAGGAGAAGGCCAAGACCTTCCTCGGCTTCGTCGCCGGTCTGTGCGCCATTGTCGGTGGCACCCTCACCGTGGCAGCGGCCATTGACCGTGCTCTGTTCGAGGGTGGCGTGCGGCTCAAGAAGATGAGGTCCAAGGATCTCTAGGGTTGGAAGGGGGGGATGTACTAGGGATGTAGTTGTTATATACCGCGGTTGGGTCTGCGCTGGTGTTGTTGTCGGTGGCTGTCGGGTTTGGAGCCGCTTTTGGCTAGTACACAAGTTTCCTAGAATGCATTGGGGGGGGAGTTACGGTTAGGTATAAACTATTTTGAGCCCTCAGCTCGGCCTTCGCTTCGTGTGCGCCGAATGCCCTGGCTCAGCTTGCTTGCCTTCCGAGTAACTATTGGAGAAGCACGACAAACGGTCGTTGTTCCAAGGCAACCTGGGAGCCATTCAACTCCGGGTACTTTCTCCGAGATAAAGTCGATAAAAAAGGCAGGATGTCCGGCAATGCCATGAGGCTTTCAAAATCATAAATGCTACATTACAGGTCGATAGTTAAATCGGGAGATTGGATATCAAGCACTGACAGTCATGTGGCCATTCTGCTCTCGGTCTGGACCCTGAAGATCGAAGAGTTCCACCGTGGGAACTGACCACTTTGTTCTCCTTCCCTCTTCAGGCGATCCATTTCGAAGTTTCAGGGAAGGTCCCGTTTTCCACCCAAAGACTTTTTGTTTCGGCAGAAACAATTGGTTGAATGGTCACTGGTGGTGCAATTTTACTTTCAGCCACCAAATGACCTGCACATGCAGGTCAGCTTTGCTCAGTGCTCAGCTCCGCTCTCAGCGATCGTGGAGAACCCTGTCGGCATCTGTTCGCTTCCGATTCGGCGCCAATTGCTGACGGGGCTGGCTGAGATGGATTAGCGGCCAAGATGAGAGTTGATAAACAGCTGAGCATCCTCGAGGCATCCCGAGTCGCACAATTGACAGGTTACCTCCCAGCAGTTGCCGTTGTCTGTCGGGGAGCTGAGATCGGGAAGGGGGCTTCCAGGTTTTTGCGTTCTTGGGGTCTCTTATTTTCTTCCTATTGGCTGAAGTCTCATCTCAACTTCCGAGTAATTTTGCAGGATCCAAATGCGCCTTGTGGCCCAGCATTTGCGAATTCTTTCTTGTTCGGACGATCTCCCGTTTCCTGACGGAAGCTAATAGCACGTCGATTTCACGCCGCGATGCAGGGCCATTGTGCAAAGGCCTTGACCGCCCTGTGGCAGTCGATGATCGGCAGCACACTAGCGAACGCCCACGGTCGAGGGACGACGTCTGGACTTCTTTGGATCGTCTAGCTTGTCGCTTGAAGCTTCGATTTCGAGTGGGGACGGGCGAGCGGCGACGATCTGTGCTTGTCTACATAAATAAATATTTTAAAACATCGTGAATTTAGCGAGGAAGGGTTTTTCATGTATATACCATCTGTACCTCGAGTAATGCCCTTGTGGGTATTAGTGAGAACCTTGACACTCGGTTCCGTTCGCTGTTTCAAACGGTGCGACGGGTTCGGCTGCAGGACCACCTATGCGGGCTGAAAGATGACGTCGTGTTTGTGATTCCAGCCCTGCCACGGCAGCTTGGGTTGGAGCTTCCAATTGCAGCCAACACGGGCCCGCCGGATTCAAGTTTGTCAAAAGCCCTAGGGAGTGGGAACGCTGGGCCGGAATGGTGGCCGCCAACAAAGGGCTTTGAACCACTGCGCCGACCACGCCGACCGACCTGCAGACGGGCCAGGCCGATCCGTTGGAGGGAAAAACGTTCTGGAAAAGGGGTCCTGCACCCCATCTTTCGCAGCGAGGTGTGGCTGGAATTCCACACCAGCGCCCGTTACCGCCAGGAACGGTGCGGAGACACTAGGCCGTTCTGGGTTAGCATCAAGCATTTATGGAACACTGCCTTTGCGAGCTTTACCGTTTCAGGCCTAGAGCATGGGAGTTCTTGTGGGTGCAAACCCCTTGCCCCCTGTCGGGCCATGCTTACCCACTTCCCCGTGTGCCCCTGTTTCTCCCCTTCCTCCTCGGCCAAATGTGACTCTCCTCCGATTTCCTGTCGCTTTCCATGTCCCCGCCTCTCGTGTTTTGCGCAGAAACAGCCACTGTCGTCCTTATCGCCGTTGACATTCGTTCGAACCAGTCCGACAATCAACTCGTCCACTCGTTGTGCGCCGCGTTCCGGTTGCGTATCTTAGTGGCCACTAAAAGTAGCCCATTGCCGATATAGAGATCGCTCCGCAATTATTTGTCTCTGATGCACTGCTCATCCCAGCAACAAATCCGGCGTCGACCTTGAAACCGACCACCCTCGTTCACGACCCCTCCGAGAACCCGACAACGTTTCGAAAGAGATCAGGATTTGGCGATTTTACTTGGAGACATCTTGCTTCTCGTTTTTTCTAGAGACCAACTTGTCAACTCGACTCCCGCCGAACCAAACTTTGCCCAACTCGGTTAATTCGCATGGTCGGGGTTGTTCACCACCGCATCTCTGTCGCTCGTTGTGGTCTGAGTTGACCTCACACTTCTATGCGCAACCACCGATTTAGCTCCAGCTCCCGTCGACGCTGCTGACACAGCTGCCCCTGACGTCTTCCCGTCGGCGTTAGGGTGCCCTTTACTGCGCCACCCTCATAAACACACCGATTCCCGAAGCCCGATTTGCGGCGGCTCGCGAGCACTGTATTGTGATCCGATACCGAACCTCACCATCATGTCGCAGCCACGACCGGATTTCATCGACCTCAGGTCCAAGTCGCAAGCCTCGGTTTCGCGACCCTTGCGATCTCCCCGCCTCCATGTTGCTGGCGAAGCACCCCCCGAATTGTCTCCCCTCGATGCGTTTGCGCAGCAGAGCCGGCTGCTAGCCAAGCAGTTAGAGGATAGCGCGAAGCTGGGTCGGCGTATGAGCCGACTACCCCCGCTGACTGTCGAGAGCCCTTTGATCGTTCAGGCCAGATCAGATTACTTCCGCTCTCTATCGCATGATTCCGCATCCGACGACGAACACCCACCGCTCCAAAACGTCGGGCTTGGGTTGAAAACAGAGATAGACGAAGACCACGCCGATCGACCTCGGTCGATGCACCCGCGCTTAAGCCACGTCCCACCCACTCCTGACCAGTCCATCCCGGTACCAGCCGTACCAAAGACCAATGTGGACCCCGCAAAGGGAAGGCAGCCGAGCGATGTAGCTACGGAGGGGGGTCTTTTCGGGATAGGGGCGCGCAGAGAACGGTCACCATCGCCCATGGGGGCCGGGCCTTCTTCCAGGAGGCAGGCGGACGGAAAAGCGGCGACTCAGGACGGTTTGCCTCACCAATCGCCGGTAGCCAGCGCTTCTATCACCAGCTCGCCTGAGCGACTCAGCAGGAACCCGTTTGAAGCTGCGGGCCTTGTACCTCCTAGGCCGATGTTCACGAAGAGATCCTCCAGCCTCATGTCGTCCCCCCTCGAGTCAACCGACGAAGAAGGAATTAGCAATCTGAGCACATCGGTTCAGTCTCTGGGCTCGCGCAAGTTCTCAACCAGCAGCAGCGTTCTTTCTCCCGCTTACCCCCCGTATCAACGTTCACCCTCGGTTGCATCAGACGCTTCTGGGCTTCCTCGACCACAGTTCAACTTTTCTAGGCCCCTAAGCAGAGCAGGGACGCCGAGCTTCGATCCACCAGCGCGTCAAGCGTCATCCGATAGCCAGGGTTCATTCTTCCCTCCCGACGACGCCGCCACTCCCAACAGTTTGACTAGCGAAACGTCGCGCGAAACTGCTGTCGACGACGACACCGCGGGCGCGCCGTCCTACATCTACTCCAAATTTGCATTACCGCGGGGGAAGGCGCTGCAGAGAGCCTCTGTTATCCTTCTTAATGACCCACCTACGCGGCCCTCGTTGGACCAACCTGTATCACCCACGAGCAACCCGCCAAGCTTTCCCGGAATCGGGCAGCCCCCGCCATCTCCTCCCACTCGGCCGTCCAGCTCCTCGGGGAACCGCCAGTTCGATGCCTCCCGGCCGTCGCAAGAGCGGAGTAAGCTGAGCACCGACATGATGCGGCCAGCTCAACAACCCTCTCCGAATCCCAGTAGACCGTCGACAGAGAGCGCTCCCGGGTCGGAAGAGGAACAACGAGGACGGAGTCTGGTTTCCCACCTGAATGACGCCGCCGCCGGAAAGTCCCTGGCGTCTACGGGAACTAGCGACTCGGCTAGCACCATCAAGGGCGGCAAGTCGGTGCATTCCGTTGCTCCCACCATGTCAGACATGACGGCAGAGGAACATGTGAGCAAGTCGATCGCTCTTCATGAGAGCGGCGCTGTGCAAGAGTCAACCTGGCATTTGCGACACGCTGCAAAGCAAGGCCACCCAACTGGCATGCTACTGTATGCCCTTGCTTGCCGTCACGGCTGGGGGATGCGCCCGAACCCGCGGGAAGGTGTTCAATGGCTTCGCAAAGCCGCAGACTCTGTCAGTCTAGAGATCAACGACGAAGAAGGCCAAGCCAAGAACGGCAAGGCGGTTGATTTTGCGGAACGCAAGACGCGCAACGCACAGTTCGCGCTCAGCATTTACGAGCTGGGCGTGAGCCACATGAACGGGTGGGGCATCGAGCAAGACAAGACTCTTGCACTCCGTTGTTTCGAGATCGCTGCGTGTAAGTTAGACGCACCAACGGTTGGCTCGACCTAGACTGACAGGATTTCTAGCTTGGGGCGACGTCGATGCGCTCGCGGAAGCAGGCTTCTGCTACGCTCAGGGTATCGGCTGCAAGAAGGACCTTAAGAAGAGCGCCAAGTTCTACCGTGAGGCCGAGTCGAAGGGGATGAGCATGGTCGGCAACAGCTGGTAAGATATCCATCTCTCTCGCCCTTTCCCGGCATACCTCGCATACTAACAAGTGTCTAGGATCCACAAGTCGAAATATGACGACGACAAAGACAAGCAGTCTCGGTCCAAGTCGAGGTCGAGAAAAAGCTTATTCAGCCGCAAGAAGGATTAACAAACGGGGAACGACACCGCCCCTCGCGCTATCATGCGCCTACAACACAACAACGTCTGGACGATTATGACACATATGCATCGGCATGATATTACATACCCCTTTTGTTTCTATGGAGTTGCTGGGAGTCGGTTTCCCAGAAAGGGGCATTTGTAATGCCCGGAGGCGATGATTAACACTGGACTATTGAACGGTTTTCTTTTCTTGATACACATTTTGAGCGCTGCGCGAGACACTTCATGCCGTGGTCTCTACGCATGAAAAGTAGGCGGAACGGTTGCGGTGTTTTACTTTTTCGTTCATTTCTTTGTCCGTTTCTCTGGCACATACTTATCAGGGGGTGGGGTTAAAGGGAAAAACTGTACCTGGACTTGTACACATTATCCAACCTTGTGTTTTGGAGAGATGGGGCCGGACGGGTGGATTCCCCCCCCGTTGTACGGGAGTTCGTCTGGGGCGGACAAAAGTTCTTCGTAGATATCCATATTTATACGGGCCTGGCATGGGCTGGGACGGTACATTTTAGCCTCGTGGGGTATGCAGACATTGGTTTACGGTCGAGCGGGTTTCTTGCGTTGACGCAGCGGTGTTGGCAAGTCGAAGCTAAAGCCAAGGGCTCATTGGGAGCAATGGGAGGGGTATCAATGGAAAGACGGCCACCATCACCGTTGAACAATGTGGAGCAAGTCATCTGGGGTTGTGCAAGAACCCGCGGCATCGTGATCCCGTTATTTGTACAAGAACATGTCTGTCTGTCTAGCCACCCGGACCCTTTGCCGTCAGAACTCCCGCCCCCGCGCCCAAGCACCCCCGCAGGGCTGGACCACCATTTAGGTGTCGACCTCCATCTTGTCGTCGTTCTCCTCGGTCAGTTCGTGCACGCTGACGAAGTTGCCCAGGTCCGCCTTGCGGATGATCTTCTCGTTGAGCACGGCGGTGGTGCCCTTGGGGAAGGCGTAGCTCCTGAGCTTCTGGGTGCGCTCGTTGGGCTTGATGTAGTTGCGCATCAGCGTCGTCTTGTCGGCGGTGATGACGGCCACGTCCACGTTGCTGCCGGACCCCAGGTCGTTCCAGATGCCCGCCTCGATCGCGTCGGCGCACAGCTTGACCGCCTCGTCCCGCGTCAGCGACGCCTTCCACTGCGTCTCGAACACCGACATGGCCGCCAGCGAGCCCGACCCCATCGTCACGTACGGCAGCTTGTCGGTCGACCCGTGCGCGTGCACCGTGAACAGGTGCGTGCCGGTCGGGTCCACGCCCGCCACCACCAGGTACGCGCCGATGTGGCCCTGGTACCGGAACAGGTGCTGCTTGAGCATCGTCATGCAGGTGACTACGCGGGCCTTGCGGCCCGTCGAGAGGGCGTGCAGCTCCAGCTGCGAGCTGATCAGGGCGGTTGTGAACTCGGTGTCGGCGGCCGTGCCGGCGCCCGCGCACCAGATGTTGGACGCGATGTAGTGCAGCTTCTCGCAGTTCTTGTCGGCGACGATGGGGCCCGAGGTGGCTCTTGTGTCGGCAGCGATCTGGTAGGGTGGAGGCGGGGTCAGACGGGGTTCCCCCTCCCTCTCTTTACAACCTGGAATGGAAACAACATAAACTTACCACCACGCCACCTTCGTATATGCACCCGACAATAGTCGTTCCTGTGCTGGTCGCCTTGGGCAGCGGGACTCCCCGAGCATGTAGCGCCGCATTGCGGTTGTAGTTTGAGAAGTCGAAGCCGGGCATATTGGCGATTGTGCTGCCTCTAGGTCGGGCCGCTGAATTACTTTGTCGGCGGTCGTGGTTGTGGGCGTGGTTGATATGTGTTTTCGCCGGGAGGGGAGCTTCGTCGTTGGCGGGATGGGGGGTTGTGGTGGGTTGTTGATGGTGGTTGGCGGGAGCTGGATGACGAGGCTAACGCTGCCTTCCCACTGAACGACAGGCGAGGCACAGGGCGGGCGGTTGAGCTCCCGTTGACGCGCCAAGGGGATGCTGCCTGACTCCACAGCCAGTCTCGCCAGCTCGGGGTGGGATGAAGATGGCCCAAGCTTCCCCACACGTGACGAGAGCTAGCCAAAACGGGGAGCAATTCGAGATGCAGGGGTTCCATCTGTTGCTGGCGCTGGCAGGCAAGGCAAGGCAGAAAAATCGTGGGTCGCGTCTGCTTTGAGCTATTGACGGCCATCTCGACGAGGGAGTCGCCCAACCACCACGCAGCGATCCAATATCCGCCTTGACTAATTGACGACATCCCACGACTGCGCATGCGCATTCCGATCCCTACCATTTTCAATACCATCCTATCGCCTAGCAACGTTTTACCCAAGCGGTTTAACTCAACCCACTGTTTACTTTTCAGCTAGCACCTTACCAACCACGCGCCGGTTGCCGAAAGCCCCTGTATTCCGGCTCACAACACACCACCCGCCAATGATTAGACGTAGCTTTTGACGGTCACGACCTCTCCCCGGAAAGAGGCAATAATAACAGCAGCCATGGCCTTCGGCTTCGGAGGCGCTAGCAACGCCATGATGGGTGCTTCCGCCGGTGGTGCGGGAGGAGTGACGCAGGGCAAGGACCTCGAGGTCATCCAAACAGAGGTGATTACAGCCTCTACTCGTAGTCGTACTGGATGTTTTGTTGGCTAACCGTGTCATCTTAGAGTCTCGGGTTCCTTTCTATTTCCGGCGAGGCCAAAGTTCAGCTGACCTCGAAATGGTCCCCTCCACCTGCACCCACAGCGTCGCTGATCAGTATCGCCTCGCGAAAAGGTCTGGTCGCTGCTGCTGGCCCCGATGCCGTTCACATTGCCACGACCGAGTCGGTACGAAAAGCCTTCGAGGGAGATAAGAACGGCGACAGTGAAGTGCGGCCGTTCAGCCCCCAGGCCAAGGTGCCGTTTCCGATTCGGATCTCGCAGCTTGCCTTCACCGCCGATGAACAATATTTGATTCTCTCCGCCGAGTCGGGTGGCGGTCTCGCAGTGTACGATGTCCAGGCGCTCACTCAGGGTGGAACACAACCCTCCTTCGAGCTCAGCACCAACCAGGAGACGCTACGGGCCCTAATCCCCAACCCAATGCCAGAGTCCGCCGGCCTTTGCGCAACCGTTACAAATAATGGGAACCTTTTTATGGCGAACTTGGCGGAGCGCAAGCTGGTTTCGGGGTCAAGCGGGCCAACCCTGCGCTCACAAGTTAGCTGCGCAGCATGGAGCACCAAGGGCAAGCAGCTGGTTGCTGGCATGGCAGATGGATCCATCTTCCAAATGACTCCGGATGGTGTTGAGAAAGCCCATATCCCAAAACCGCCAGGTTTGGGCGACTATCATGGTGCGTCTTCAGCTTTTCTTGCTGTCCCGTTTTTGTACTGACTCAAGTAGTTGCTTCGGTTACATGGCTCGAGAACCATGTTCTCCTCGTCGTCCACAACCCAACCAATGGCCAAGATCCGTCCGTTTTCCACCTCATCACAAGGCAACAGCCCCCGGGTGGGACCCCCACATTCACCTTTCAGAAGCTCACCGACCCTGTCGAGCCTTTTGTATCCGACAAGGCTCCTCACCACACCGTCCTGAGGCTTAGAGACTTCCCTCCGAATCTCCAGGATCTTCTTCTCTTGACCTCGACCGCCACTGAGGGAGTTGGCCTTCTGTCGCGGTCCAAGACCCCATTGACGTCCGATAAGCCCGCTGAAGCGATCACCAATGTTTTCACGACGACAGAACTTGCGGACGATTCTAAGCGAGCGCAACTGCCGATGAGCGAGGACTTGACCGAAACGTACCCGATTGGAGCTGCGATTGACCTGTCGAGCAAGGACAAGGTGTACAAGCCGATTCCAACTGACGAAATCGAGGTCTCGCCTGGCCCGCTACCGGGCTTGTGGGTGCTGAACAACGAGGGTGTTCTAGCGGCATGGTGGCTTGTTTACAACGAGTCTATCCGTGGAGGGACGACGTACCCAGGCATCGGCGCTGGTGATGCCGCTGCTCCGGCGTTCGCGGCCCCGCCGCCGACCGCCGCCGCTCCCTCGGCCTTTGCTTCTCCTGCCAACAAAGCTCCGGCATTCGGAACCCCGTCCACTGCTGCGTCCGCTTTCGGGGGCGCATCAGCTCTGGGGTCTAAACCATCTCCGTGGTCGACGGCCGGAGGTGCATCTGCAGCTCCAGCATTCGGTTCTAGTTCCTTCGGTAGCAAACCCGCCGCGGCCGCTCCGGGCGCGCCTGCTTTTGGCGCATCCTCTTTTGGAAGCAAGCCAGCAGCCCCCGCCTTTGGTCAATCCTCCAGCTTTGGTATGGGCCCCAAGGTCTCTCCTTGGGCGGCGGGATCAACCAGTGGCGCGGCACCCGCGTTTGGCCAAACCGCGTTTCCTAGCCCTAGCGCAAGCCCTGGTAAGGTCTTTGGCAGCAGCACCGCGGCGCCCGCGAGTGGTGGGTTCGCAACCTTCGCTGGCAAGGGCGGCTTTGCAGGTCTGGGCGGTGGTTCTGGCGGGTCGAGTATCTTCGGATCCAAGCCTGGCGGTGCCTTGACTTCGAATGCCCCCGAGGTCTCCATGGATACTGACACAGCCTTTCCCCCTCCGGCTGCCAAAGCCGACAAGCCCGCGCTTGGAAATTCACCTTTCGTCCTCGGAACAACCTTCAAGGCCGAGAAGTCTGCGGCCAATGATAACGAAAAGCCCAGGGACGGCGCAGGCAAGTCTCTGTTCGGGAGTGGATTTGGGCTTTCGCTGGATGATGCGTCCAAAAAGCCAGCTGCCCCTGTTTCCAAAGATATGGATATGGAAAGCACCACACCACCTCCAGTCGACGAGAAGCCCAAGTCGATTTTTAGCCCGGAGTCCACAACTCCAACGACCACACCGGCTCCTCAGAGGGTTGACTTTAAGAACGCAACATCGGCTGGTGGATCTAATCTTTTCCGCTCTAAGCTCCCTACGTCCGGTGGTATGACCAATATCTTTGGAACCCCTAAAGCCGCCCCTTCGATCTTCGGCACGCCAAAGGTCAAGCAGGAGGATAATAACAAGGGAGATCTGTCCAAGATCCCAGAGGCCCCTCTCCCACCTGATGCTACTAGTAAGGCGGTCTATTATTTGAGCTCTTCATCGTCGGGATCGGAATACTCACCTACAACAGTCTCCAAACCGCCGGCTAAAGCAGAGGATGCACCCTTACCGCCCGATTTCTCGGGCAAACCTGCGCAGAGGGGATCTGTGCCGGAAGCTGCGCCGTTACCCGCAGATTCCGTTTTCGCTAAACCCAAGCCCGAATCAAAGCCAACAACGCCTCCGGCTACCGAGGATGCGCCCTTGCCGCCAGACTTTCTCGCCAAGTCACCACCGAAGCAAGCGCCTACTTTGCCTGCTATGCCCGATAGCGCAAGTGACCATGGCTTATCTGAAGGCGAAGTGGAGGAGGATGAGGAAGAGGAGGAAGAGGAGGAGGGGGAGGAAGGGGAGGAAGGTGAGGAAGGTGACTATGAATCAGAAGCTGCCAGTGAAGGCAGTGGCGTCGATGTTGCTAAGGACCTCAGCCCGACAACAGGCTTTGGTGGCCAGACACCCGGCGCTACGCCCCAAAGCTCGTTTGGCGGGATGGGTGGAAGCACCTTTTCGACTATTTCTCGCACCGAAGCAGAACAAGCGCGGCCGTTATTTGGCGAGATCAGCAGAAACGCGCCTCCCTTGTACCCCAAGCCAGCCGTACCGCAGAGCCCCCGTTCGCCCAGTCCGATACGAGGCCCGCATCGCAGCAGCCTCCTCAGACCCAGCGAACCTAGCCGGTCCTTCAGCGCCCCAGGGGTGGCATCGCAGCTCCTGGGTAGAAAAACGGCGCCCCTGCAGTCGACGCTCGGATACAGCACTGGGCAACGCCCTCAAGTGGACCCGAATGTCCAAGCACAGCGGAAGCTCGCAGAGAAGATGCGGGCAGAAGAGCATGTGCTTGTCGACCCACAAGATGAAGGCATCCAGCAGATTCTGCAATCAAAGCTCGAGCCGACCCTCCAGATTCACGAATTCTTCACTGTCCAATCCCAGCTGGAGGCCTTAAACCCGGGTCGTGAAGAAGTACCTCTGGCCTGCGAAACGCTCTGGAGAGATATCAACCGTATGATCGACGTCCTGGGCCTCAACTCACGATCACTGCAGTCGTTCCTCCTTGGCCACACCACGCAGTTCAAGCAGGGCGGCCGAAGCAAGGAAGACCTCGAGAACCCGGAGGACTGGGTGCTTGTCGAGGTCGGTGAATTTGGCGCTGTACTCAACGAGGAGGTAGCACGGTGCGCGAAGGGTCGCATCCAAGACGTCGAAGCCGCTGAGGACGCCATCAAGGGTTTCGCCAGGGACCTCGCCAAGCTTCGCGCAAAGGAGGAAGACATGCGCAAGATCATCAGCGCGTACATCGACCCGGAACAGCTCGCCGTGACCAAGTCCTTGCCCCTCAGCGCCGAACAGGCGACGCAGCAAAACGAACTGCGCCGCTCCTACGCGACCTTCTCCCAGCTCCTCGCCGAGACGGAAGAAGCCCTGACGATGCTCCGAACCCGCATCGCCTCGGCGGGAGGCGCCTCCGGCAAGGGCCCGGTCCCCACCGTCGAGGCCATCATCCGCACCATCAACCGGATGACCAGCATGGCCGAGAAGCGCAGCGGCGACATCGACGTCCTCGAGAGCCAGATGCGCCGCCTCCGCCTCGGCTCTGTCGGCCCCACCACGCCCGGCCCCCGCAGCCGCGAGGGCTCGCCGTTTGTCACCCCGCAGCAGCAGCAGCAGCAGCGTAGGTCGCTGCTGCTGTCGTCGCCCGAAAAGGACGGCAGCAGGTTGATGCGGGAGTCGATGGCTAGCTCGGTTGCGTCGTATGCCGGGAGGGGCAGCATGTCGTCGTCGCTGATGTCGCCGAGGAAGAAGACCAGCATGTATACCCAGGAGGAGAAGATGGAGTTGCGGGAGCGCGAGGCCAAGAGGAGGGGTGCGCTGCAGATGCTGAAGAGGAGCTTGGCCAAGGCGGGGCCGAATGTCTCCAGGTTGAGGGATGATGATTGAGTGGGGAGGGCTGTGGTTGAGATGGGAGGGAGTGGTATGGTGGTATGGGGGGGAAGGATATGAATGAGTGGGCGGCGGTGAATCTGATATTGTTGTGTAGGGAGAAAGCGGGTCAGGAATAGCCGAAACTAAAGATGTATATCTTGGTTGTATTAGTATGATAGGCGATGCTCTGACGAGGAATTGGACTTTGAGCCTTCATAATGGACATAGACCTTGGGAAGTTAGTTGCTCGTGGTTTTGTTTTGGTTTCCTTTTCCTTGTGCCTAATCGACTCGAGAGAGCAAAGAGCTGGTTTTATACCTCTACCCAACGGAAGAAAATATCCACACCCAGGACCTCGTAGGTAGCCGTTCACATAGCACAAGCCAAACCCACAACTCAAGCCTGTCATAAAGCCATCGATTCTTCGCCCAAAGCCACATAACCGGATGAAACCCACCAACACCCGAGACACCGCCAGCCCTGATGACTCCCATGTAGCAAATCTTGGCGATATATATACACAATAGAGCACAGATTCATGAAACCCAGATTATACCGCCCAATACCCTTCCTCCTCCCTCCCACGTTTAATCATCCATTCAGACGCCAACCGACCCTCAGTCATCATTCCACTCATCCCCGCTCCTTACCCCGCTCGGCTGCCCCTTCCCATCAGCATGCACATCCTTCTTCTGCTGCGACGAGGCGGACGAAGAGCCGGGCGCATCCAAATCGTCATCCTCGTCCAGCGCCAGCGCAAGCTCATCCGGGTCGCGCATCTTGGCGTCCGGGTCCACGGCGCCGGTGACTTCGTCGTCATCATCGTCCAGCGCTTGCCCACGCTCGCGCTCGTGCTCCAGCACGCCCTCGTCGGCGCTGATGGAGATGCCGCGCGATCCCCACTTGGGGCGCACCCCGGCGCCGGCGCCGTTGGCGCCGTTGGTACCGCCGCCCGGTTGGTGGTGGTGGTTGAAGCCGTTGCCGCCGCCCAGCGCGGGGGCGCTCTCCTCGTCGTCGGTGTCGTTGCCGTTGCCGTTGACGTCGCGCGCGAAGCGCTTGTTGCCAAAGATGCGGCGCAGGAGCCAGCCGCGCGAGAGGTCGTCGGCGTCGACCACGCCGCCGTTGCGCAGCTTGACGCGCTGCCGCGACCAGTACACCCAGGCGAAGTCGAGGTAGAGCGCCGTCTGGATGACGCCGAAGATGACCGAGACCGGGTTCGGCTTCTTCATGTTGGTGTCGAGCTCCTTGAGGATCCAGTTGAGCAGGTAGAGGCCGCGGTAGGAGCCGAGGAAGACGATGTAGAAGGAGGTGATAACGGTGGGGATGGTGGTCTGGCGCAGGAGGAGGAGCTGCGGGAGGACGCAGACGGATTCGAGGACTTGGGAAAAGACCCAGAGGTACTAGTGGTTAAGAGGGTTAGCGGGGAGATGGAGGGGCGAGAGGGAAGGGTACCTCTTGGAAACTCCACCAGTCGTCAAAGATGAGCATGATGAAGGGTGACAGGAACAGGCACGCGGCGAGGATCACGGCGCTTAGCTTCCAGGCAACCTCCCGCTCGCGGGTGCGCGGGTAGACGAAGCGCATTATTCCGATGGTGTAGAAGGACGAGAGCAGGTAGAAGACCTTGAAGAAGTAGTTCCATGCGTATGATTCTCGGAAGAGATCAGTGTAGCGGGTGACGAAGACGAGGGCGTAGAACAGTTGTGTCAATAGGGAGACGCCTAGGTGGTAATGAGCGTCAGCATTGGCCATTCAGCCATCGACGAGAGCGCTAGAGCAGACAAACCCTCGGAACTCCTATTGCGATGGATAGAGAATATGAGGATGCATTTGGCCGTGATGTGCGACATGTCGGCCGCTATCCTAAAGATCTAACCACTCCCGTCAGTCGCTGCCCGGTGGTAAGACTGCCGTGACGGTTCAACTCACGGTCCACGCCATATTGTACTTGGCTAGGCACTCTGGCCTAAACTATTTGGTATACGTATGCGATGTTGGGAGAAGGGTTCGTTTGTCGGGTGGGTGGTTATGATGGCATCACTCGCGGCGCCTGCTCAGGGCAAGCTGAAACGGAAACCCGCCGAATCCTGAAAGTCGGGGTAGTTTGTTGTCGTTCGCAAAGGTTTGGGTTTCCCAACCGGAAGCAGCTGAATAACGTGGGCTAGCAGTTCGTGTCGATGGTCGCGAGAGTTGCGCATCGATGCTTGGGCGTGATGGGGGATGCAGCGTTGCTCGGTCCTCGACTGGATGGAACACGAATTGAGACGTCAGGCAGCCGGGGCCGGAACAGGGGGTGTGCTTGCCCGCGTATCAGCCAGCTGATAGCAGCTGTGCCAGCCAAATCAAGGGTTAGGGTCATATGCTGGTGAGTTCGTAACAGCATCATCATGTAAAAAAAGTGCGACATCGGGCCAATATGATTTTCCCGCTTATTATTTGTTCTACAAGGTCCCATTAAATAATCCAACGGCCGGGAAGTTGTAAAATCTCGCCGGTTCCGTCTCCGAACCCGCCTGCCCAATCCGGCAGTTGGCCTACGGGGAGCCGGGCTAAGCCCGGCCGCAGTGGAGTCCTTCGGTCCCGGGGGCCGGGAGTGAGGACCCTCCGAGATAATCGCGACAAGACAACTGACTATTTACTTGCGTGGCGCCAATAAGCATATGAGATGACAGCCAACGTGAGCGAGCCAAGAAGTCCCGGCCCATATCGAGCGAAAAGATCAGGCCCAGGCTCCTCCTCGTCAAGACCGGCGCCGCGCCGGAACAGCTTCCGAAGGTCCTCATAGCGCCCCTGCTTCTGGTACGTCAAAGCGAGGTCGGTAATGGCAATGAGTACGTCTGTATGGTCCTTCCCTAGCACCGTTTTGCGCATAAAAAGGACCAGCTCGCCCAGCTCGGCAGCCTCGGCCAACTTTCCCCTGCACCGATAAATGGACGCCAAGTTGCCACTTGCGAGTAGTGTAAGACGGTGGTCTCCACCCAGGACCTCCGTCGAAACCCTCAGGATAATGCTAGCATCCTGTTCGGCTGCGTCTAGCATGCCGAGCTTCTCGTACACCCAAACCAGGTCGTTCCAGCTCGCGAGTGTGGCCGGGTGCTCATGTCCCAGCGTTGCGAAGAGGTGCGCGGTCACTTGCCGGCCGAGGTCCTTGGCTTCTACCAGCTCGCCCTGGCCCCGGTAAATCAAGGCTAGGCCAATCTTGGAGCGCAAAGTGCGAAATGGTTGGAACTTCGAGTTGGAAGGATCGAATCCAATGATAGGTGAGCTACCCAAGTACCCGTAGGTACCTCCCTAGAGTAGCAGTCGTCCCAGCTCATCCACGAATCGGTCATCCGCCAGTCGCCTCTACGCTAGCTTAATGCCGTCACAGTTTGTCACCCCGGTGCAAAGTTTGAGCCAGTTTTCACACTTACACTAATCGTCTTCCAGTTTCGGCCGAAGACACTAGATAGCACCATATAGTAAGTGCAACTTCGTCCAGTCTTAGATATAAGGGGAGATGCCGCTGACCAGATTTGCCGACTAGGTCACTTGTTGGAGGAGGGCTAACTTCGCAACAGCAACCGATTCCACCGTATCGGCAGGGTTGTTATCGACTGGTGTGGTCTCGGATATGGTAGGTTCCTCGGGGTTGGGCCTGGGACCGGCCTTCATCGCGCCGGCCTTCCTTGCCGGCCTTCTATAAATCTTTTCGCACCTACTCTAACTAAAAGCCTCTAGACCAGTAACAAATCTCGAAACCCGATCAATTCAAGTTAGTTAAATGTGAAAAGTCCCAACCGCTAGAGGAACGCCATACTCTTAGCCGTTACGCTTGCCCTCGGGTCCAAATCGTCTTCATCGGCCGGGAGTCTGATGACGAGTCGAATGCGCGACTTTTTCGGCGGGTTATACTAGCTAAATGTGATTCTTCTGCCGTCTTCCGTCTCCACCTCCGATAAGAATCTCATCATCACTTCTGTCGCCTCTGGGTGTGCTGCTTTCTATGCTTCCCAGGCTCTGCTTGTTTTGTTTGCGCCAATGTTTGCTTCATCTCGGTTTTCGAGCGCGAGCATGAAACCACAGAGGTCTCTCATGGTCGGTCCTCCGAGTTCGTCGCGGATGTCGGGAGCCGGTATATCCTCTCCTAGTACGTTTTTTCTGAGCCGCTCTTCCTCGTTCTTATGCCATTTGAGGACCCTAGTCCGGAATGGCCGGCTAAAGGTGTAGGTATATAGGTATGTACCTCGGGAGGTATGTACCTGCCATCTACCACCTAGGTAGGTACCTAGGTACCCGATTCCGGTAGGCGGAGTCGGGTGCACCTTCGACTCACTCACGAAGAGGCATGGCGACAGTTCCGTTCCAACTTGCTCGAAGCAACCCCCGGATCACATTCAATGCGGCATGCATTCGTCACTCGCTGCGAGTGGACAATCTGGCCGCGCACCCTGCAGGAGCTGAACGTCGAGTCAGGGGTTGTCCAACCAATCTACGCCCCCGCGACTGGCAAAGGTCACCCTCACTTGCCCTGCGGTACAACCTCAGCCTACATACACGCAGAGAAATGCCTGACTCCCAAGTGTGCCGGCACTGTCGGGTGTCATGTCACCCTCTGGCCAAAAAAACCCGGACTCGAAAGGAAGCAAGAAACCAAGCAAAAAGAACAAATAAAAGGAAATCAAGAAGAGAAAATTAAATAAAAGAAATAGGATGAAAGAAAAGGTAAATGGAGTAAATCCAGTTTCTTTGGGCTTCAAAATGGCTTTCGTTTTGTTCCTATAATCGAGAACTCGAGGTTTCCACTGTCAACATCTAGACTTGGAGTTCGGCTTTTTGGTGTCCATGAGGTGCATATGTGCTCAGCGCCCAGTGCCGCCCGGTAATCTCTTACGTAGGTATGTACATAGGTACGTATGTACCTATCACTGGCTGGCACAGGTTGCCAGGCTGGTATGAGCCTCCCCCCTCACTCTCCCCTCGCGCCTTTACTGCCCCCAGAGCCGCCGAGGGTGACACCGTTGATGGTTCCCGGATTGAACCCGAGCTGGAATCCCCCAATGTTGTCTCCTTCAAATTTGGCAACCTGGTTTGCCCCTTTCTCTTCGTTCCTTTCCTCAGCTAGCTCGTCAACCCATTCTACCAAAACCCGCGAGATTCGCCGGAAATGGTCATCATCCGCCGTCACCGCCCTGGCCATGCCCTGGTGGGTGATAGCAAGACGGGTAGGGTTGGGCGCCCCGGGGACTTTGACAGCAGTCAGGCCTCTGATCATTTCCTGCGCCCCGCCCGAGACGGTGCTAGCTTTCCCCTCGTAGAACGCGACAAGTTCGAGGGAGCCCTTCCCTAGTAACGCCTTGAAACCTTTGGAGGTTTCCGTCAACTTCTCCGACTTGGCGAGATCATCTTCCAACGAGCCACCAGGGCCCCCTCCAGTAAGCCGATAGAACCTGTCCCCTGTTTTGGCCCAGAGAGCTGCATCGAGGTAGAAGGGCGTCCCGAGCAATGCCATCCTCTGCACGCACTTTACGAACAACTTCTCGGCTGGCCTTCCCTCTTCTGCCTTTATAAGGAGCTATATCAGGGTGTTAGTCCAAGCTTATGTTTCGACTTCAAACCGAAGAGAAACGCGGGAATAGGTCAACCACTCACGTTTTCCACGACAAGCCCACCAATGCTATGAGCAACAAAGATTACCGGCCTGTCGGTCTTCATCCAGTGTACTAACGTCAGTCGCTGTCCTGGGTACTTTGAAGTCTGGGACAGTAGTATCTTATGCTGGACTCACCGTCTTCGAGCTCGTACGCACGCCTCGGATCTCGTAAGAAATATCATCTGCGAGGGCGTCTATCCTGTTCTCTTCGGTAGACCAAAAGTCCCCAAGCCCCACATCGTAGTCGTACACGATGATGCGGGCTCGGGGGCTAGTTTGCTGAGGAAACTCTCAGGCCAGGCAATGGCCTTGCCTTCGTCGGAGATATGAGTCCACGCCTGCTGTCCCTCTTCGCGCCAACCGGGGACCAGTACGATGCCCCTGAAGCCCTGAAGACCCTACAGTGGGATATGAGCCTCACGGACAGGGCTCTCGATTCGCTTCGGGACATTAATGACTCGCAGTGGGAGTCCCTCGGCGAGGTCGTGGTCGGACATGCCAGGGTCACCATCAAAAGCTGCTCCGACGCCTGCAGCACCTTCGGGACTAATTTGCACAAGTGGACGAAGAGGTCCACCGACGGAAAACTCTCATGGCGCGACCGGGGCAATATCGGCTTCTTCAGACAGAGCCAGATCAAGTCCATGTCGCAGCAGCTGCAGAACTGCCATATCATGTCGATGGCCAGTACGGCCACTCTGTGAGTTGATCACGGCTTTCTGGTTTTTGAAATCATCTATATGACTAATACCAGACGAAACAGACATAGCTCTCTGCAGAACAACGAAGCCAGTGACAGACTCGAGAAAACGTTGTCAGAAGGCCTCGACCAGGTTACAAACTCAATAGCTGCTTTGAATATTCGTGCGGTCGAAACACAGGGGGCTGCGAGCGCTCCACCTCAACAAGCGGACCAGCCTCAAGAGATCACGGTGGAAGCAGTAGCAGATGTCCTCGCACATATTAGGGAGGAACGTAAGGCCCTTGAGGCTTCGCGTCAGTTTTATGAGGACCTCCTGGAGAGAACGCGGGAGGCTGCTGCTGAGAGCCAGGCCGCGTGGCCGTGGCAGAAACACACATGTCAAGTTCCAGTCAATGGCAGCAACAACCGGGGACTGCAGATGGGGGTAAATGAGGGTACCATGAACAACCTTCAGTTCGGATAAGAATGGTCCCTGTCCGGGGGACTGAGGCTGATATGGGAAGAAACCAGGGGTACAACTAAAGAAGTACTATTCAAGAGCTACCTAGGTAGCTACGGTAATTGAACTACCAAGGCAAACCCTCCTCCTTCAGCTGAATCCTCCGGCTATTACACCACTAAGCCCTATGGCGCGGGAACTTCTGCAAGTGCGGGAACAGACTGTTCCTCGAGTCAAAGTCTCTGCCACATTTCAAGCGCACAGTGTCATCCTCATCATCATCCTCATCATTGTCGTCGTCGCTGTCTTCCTCCTAGTCGTAATCCTCTTCGCCATGCCCCGTAGCCATCTGATGCTGCGAAAGGGCATTCTCCACCTTGAACTTCTTCCCACACTCACCACACCTAATCTGCCCTCCCTAGTTCCCACCGCCCTCCCCACCACTAAACTCTGCCACCTCACCCTCCTGGTCTCATCTAGGAAGGTTCCCGAAGTGGAAGAAGATGCTTAACCTGGAAAAAGCGTGGTGTTGTGAGGAATATGGAAAATGTAGGAAGGGGGAAGTAAAAGTGAACAAAACGAATACATGGTAAAACACACCCGGTCCGTTGTTTCTATCCTCGTGTATGATTTGGCACCAAGGAGGAAATACCGAGCGTGGTGGTTGGGGCGTCAGTGGGTGTCCTTGGTTGCGGGAATGCTTGGCAGCGATCAGCCCCGCTAAATTAGCGCGGTGTGGGGGCCTTCGAGACCCTGTAAAGTCGCGTCTCCAATCCATAATGGATCTCCAAGCGCGTCACCTTCAACCTTGAAAGGTGTGTTGCAATTGTTGGCTAAAAGGTGTTGACGACGGGTTTTGGAGATGTAACTTTCCCTAGAGACTACCACGGAAACTATCAGAAATGGCGACAAGTAAGCAATGCCCAGTCCCACTCAATGGCTATCAACTAACACGATGCAGGACAGGAGCGCATGCGAGACCGCATGCGCGGGGCAGGGTAAGTTGATTCCATCTCCCGAAGAACGCTCGATATTTACTTTCGGACCAGGAGACACAATGTTGGAGACATTGACTTTGGTTTCATCATCCCCGTCGCCGAAGAACCCGTCGAAGAACCCGAAGAGCCCCCAGTTATCGAACCGTCGCCACCACCAGCGACTCGCCCATCCCCAAACACATCCGCCAAGCGAAAGCACCTCGATCGCGATGTATCACGGCTGAGCCCTGCCCCAACAGGCTATCCCACAACCAGCCACGATGTATACAGCATACCCGACGCCAGCACCGAAGCAGGCGAAGGGAGCATCACCCACCACCCGCCTTCCACAATCCTCTCGCAGGGCCCCTCCTCCCCGCGACAAACCCGACCACCACCACATAACGCCGAGGAAGCCGAAAATGAGGACGAACCCGAAGACCATCCCATGGCCGACGCCCCTCCCCTCTCCACCGCCACCAAGCCACCACCACAACAACAACGACACCCCCAACAACAGCGCGGCCCGCTCTCGAGCGTAATCTCCGCCACGAAACGCCTCTCCTTCGACCCCTCCTCCCCACCCACCCACACCAACACCAACCCCAACCCCAACCCCAACACCATCACCGCCACCACCCCCAACGCCGCCCGCCGGTCCCGACCAGCCCACCACAACCAACACCCCCTCCCCTCCGAGATGGAACTAGCCACAGAGATGGAAGTGACCGAAAGCCCCGCCGACGCCCCCGGCAGCGGCCGCCGGCGGCCGCTGCGCGTCGGGCCGGGGACGCCCGTCGTGGGGTCCAGCGCGCTGCTGCAGCGGGTGCTGGAGGAGGAGGACCTGGACGCGGAGGGGGACGCGAGCATGGGTATGGATGTGGCCGGTGGAGGGGCGGGTGTGGGCGTGGGCGTGGGGGGGTCGTCGCCGATTGAGAGGCGGGTTGCGAGGAGGAGGAGTGGGGTGTTGAGGAGGGCTGCTGCTGCTGCTGTTGGGGTTGGGGGGGTGGAGTTGGGGGGGGGGTTGGGGGTTGGGAAAGCTGGGAGGAGCGGGAGGGGGTGGGAGGGGAGTGTGGCTGAGAGTGAGGTGGAGTTGGGGGTTGTGGAAGAGGAGGTGGAGGTGGAGGTTGAAGAGGAAGTGGAGGAGGTGGAGGGGGTAGAAGAAGAGGAGACGGGAGAGGAGGTGGAAGAAGAAGTGGAAGAAGAGGTGGAAGAAGAAGTGGAAGAAGAGGTGGAAGAAGAGGTGGAAGAAGAGGTGATAGAGGAGTCGATTGTTCAGCCTGAAGATGGCCAGACAAGTCTGAACGAGGGGCAAGCGGTGGTAGAGCAAGAGGAGGAGGATGAGGCGCAAGAGGTTGGCGAGAAGGAGGCTGCTCAGCGATTAGGCAGGAAACGTCCTCGCCGTAGTCTGCCCGCACCATCACCAGAGCTGGGGTCCGGCGCGGCGGAGGATTCGCCGGCACCAAAGCGACGTCGCAGAAAGGCCGTGGATAGTCCTGCCCAACAACAACAACCCGCTAAGAAAGCACGGGTGGGCAGACCGCCCAAGTCTCAGCCACCGCGTCAGCCATCACCTTCACCACAACCCGAACCACCAGCTCGGGCCCAGTCGAAGCCGAAGCCGAAGCCGAAACCTAAAGCGAAGAAACAAGCAAGAAAGAGCAAGGCTGCCGACGACGGCGACGGCAGTGACGAAGAAAGGCCGTCTGGATCTGTCCCGGTGACAGTGCAGCGTTTCACCAAACCACCACGTGCTACAGATGCTGCGGAGGCCGAGGACGGACCGAGCGCGGCCCTTCTCAACGGCGAAATACCATTTACTAGCCGCGGCGGCGTCAACGCAGTCGATGTCCTCTCTAAGCTATGCGAAGAGCTCATCGAGGCATATATGGACAAATTACAAGAGCGGGGCAGAGCGGCCGAGGACGCGGCGACGAGGAGGGAGCAGAAGACGATGTACAAAGCACTGGAAGCATTCCAGGAGGAGCTGAGAACCAGGCTTCTGGAACACGTAAGTGTATAATGGGCACGTTCGTTCACTGGATTTGGAAGCTGACTCGATTAGACAATTGCTCTCGACACTCTCCATTCCCTGCGAAAGAGGGTGCGCGCGGTACAAAAGGAGAAGCTCACGCTACGGGATGAGATCCTCCAAATCCGCGCAGAAAGAGAGCAGGTAGCGTTGCGGATGGACGCGATACGCATCCGGCATGAAGCCGAAAGCAAGCAGGCTTTGGTAGGTTTACCTCCCCGCTTTTGCCGACAATAACTGGATACTGACAATACCTCAGCGCCACATATCACTCTCGTCCGCCATGCACGACATCGACATGGCGGTAGAAAAGGGACAGGCAGCGCCTGAACTGTCCCCCGCCGAGCAGAAGAAGGCGGACTTGGCCAACCTTGAGCTGCTAATCAGCCGCGTGGCGGACCAAGCATGCACAAGGGGCGACGGCGGGGGGGCGCTGAAGCAGATCAGAGAGTTCAACGCCTTCTTAGAACGCGCGGCGGCTGTTTTAGAAGGCAGGTAACTCTGTAGTAACGACATGATGAATCTGTCTGATGACTTGGTGGTGTTCGACACATGATGACTAGGTAGTTTATACAGCGAATATTCGTACACACGTTTCCCAATCTGATCACGTTGACTTCGGGCCCGACCACGACCCAGCCAAAGCCGAAAACCTGTCCATGAACGTCTCCTTCCCCTCTGCCTTGCGCTTTTCCCTCTCCTTGGCCTGTTCTTGCCACAAACCCTGCACCTTCATCGCCATTTCCGCTTTGGCCCTGTGGTCTGCCCTAAGCGCCTTCTCCTCGGCCTCGCGCTCCTCAGGCGGCAGCTTTTCCAGCGTAGTCTTCCAGGAAGCCACAACCGCCGCGCTCGGCTCGGGCACATCACTCCCGTTCGCTGCGGCGTCCGCCCGAGCAGCTGGAGTCGCCGGCGCATCCTCAAAGAGCGTCTTAAAGGCGGGCACCTCCCGCCCCTCCTCCTTGGCCCTCTCCACCTCCCTCTCCTGCGCCAGCATCCGGTGGTACAACTCATCCGCGCGCATCTGGATATCCTCGTCCACCTGCGGGTCGCGGCCGTAGGCACTCATGTAGCCCAGGGCCTTGAGCAGGCGGCTCTGGGCGTTGTAGCAGCGCTCGAACCTGCGCACCTCGTCGCGGCACATGGTCATGCGCGCCGTCCAGGTGCCCGACTTCATGCACGCCGACCAGTCGACCTGCTCCTCGGCGCAGTTCTCCAGCGCCGCCCGCCCGATCAGGCCCTTGCGCTCCTTGAAGGCGTCCAGCACGTCCGACAGCTTCTCGTTGTCCGACTTGGTCTCGGCCTCGACGGCCGCGAGGGGCTTGTAGGTCTTCCAGAGGTGGGCGTACCGGCCGTCCGGGTAGAGGGACTCGGGGGGCGGTTGTGGGGCGCCGGTCGGGGTGGTGGTGGTGGTGGGCTTTTGGTCGGATGGTGGTGGTGGTGATGATGGCTGGGACTGTTGCTGGGGTTGGGAGGGGGGATTGTTGTTGTACTTGACGGGCGACTCTTTTTCGAGGAACTCCCGCAGCTTAGGGTCTAGCCGCCGCAGCGGATCGGAACCGCCGCTGTTGTCGGAGCCGAACCAGCCGTCGAACCAGCCCATTGTGCCGATCGGAGTGGATGCCAATCCCGGTATCAAGTGGTGGGTTTCAATGTTCGATGACGAGGAGTTGCCGTTGGAGAAGCGCACCATGTAGAATTTAGGCGGGGGAGCACGGCAGAACCGAGTGGGTCGGGGGGGCATCATGCCAAGACTGCCTTGCCAATTGGGCCCACCCAGGATTTCTCGTGTAAGTGAGCCCGCTCCTTCCTGCCATCATTGCTCAGCAACAAATTCATCGGCTCGCTCCCCGACGATGCCAAACGGAGAGTTTTATTCAGTCCGGCTACTCTGTCTTCACTTTGTTTTCCCAACAGTAACCATATTGGCCAAGATCTACGATGTTCCAATGGGGATGCGGCAAGCCTGGTTGACTGCTCGTCATGAGTGGGCATCTATCTCTTCATTTCCCTACCTCGTTTTTTTGTTGTTTTCGATCTCACTCTTCCTGACTGGAGATCTACCGGCCGTTGGTATGTGGATAATAGTTGCGCTTGCGCCCTTGTTGTGCTGATTTAAGTCACCCTTCGAACAGTCTCGGTCACTGGGTACGACTACAGCGAAGCCATCGTGAAGCTCCCTACCGTCATTTCATGCAGGTCTCTCGGAAAGGAACCCTGCGGCCATCGAGTTCCAAGAACTTGGTTGGGTTAGCTGGCATCGAAATATTTCCGACTCGGCTTCCATCCGCGGTGCTTCACATTTTGGGCGACTTCCCAGCAGCCGGTGACCCCTCTGACAATACCCATACTTTGTTTCGACGTTCTGCCAGGGTGCTTAAAAGAAGGCCGAGATTCCTTGAGTCGTGCCTCGCTTCGCATTTTGTTAGCGATTTCGCGGGTAGCCTTTGGTGCTCGCTAACGTGGCGAGGGAGGCAAGTTTCATCGCTGCAAGGGGTTGCGTGTCAGAGCTTCGCTCAGACCCCTTGTCCATCCCATTTCTGCACCGTTGAGCCGCAACCCCAAGCCGGAACTTGGACGGATGCTCCAGATGTGCCCCCATTTTCGTTGATGCGTGTTCTAGACGCATCTTGGCGGATGGGAGCCGAGTCCGTCCCCAGTTGGCATGCGTGTCGCCGTCGACTCGGTCCATGATCCAACCCTGCTCCCTCACACCATCATTGGGCCATCCCGTTTCACGAGATACCCGCATGTGCCTTGTTGGTGTCTGTCAGGGTATGTACTTCCGTGGCAAACATGAAAGCAATGAGCCGGGACCACGGCATCGAGTCGTGATGCTTTAGACTCCTGTGTCGCGGATCCTGTAAGAAGTTCCTGCCGCCATATATTTTCCCCTATACCCGAATATCATCTTGCCCTCTCTCCTCCTCTGTCCTCTGCGCTTCAGTCGTCTGTTTTTCTGTGGTGTTCACTTCGTCTCTTCTTTCTTTGTAATTCACTTCGTGACTGCAGGTCAGTGTTATTATTCTCTACGTTCTTTACACCTCGTTCTTGCTGTGTTCTTGAACACACCAGCTTCGGCCTGGTTTAATACCTACACACCAACCCCGAGTGCCTCAACAACCAAGATGTATTTCTCCACCAGGGCCTTGGTGGCGGTCCTCCTCGCTACTGCGGCTCGAGACGTGGTTGCAGTTCCTCAGCGAGGCAATAACGAGACCCCCGGCTTGGGCAACGGCGAGCCGGGCAATGACGGACCTGGAAACAACGGACCTGGAAATGGGGGATCTGGAAATGGTGGACCTGGAAATGGTGGACCTGGAAACGGCGGACCAGGCAACGGCGGACCGGGCAACGGCGGACCGGGCAACGGCGGACCGGGCAACGGCGGACCGGGCAACGGCGGACCGGGCAACGGTGGGCCAGGGAACGGGGATGGTGACGACAATGGGGTTGTACGCATACAAACCGTCGCAAACGCCGCACCAGCAGCCACCCCGATACCCCCCGAGGCCCTAGCGGCCCAACAGTCGAGTGCTGCTGCTGCTGCATCCGCCGCCGCCGAAGCTAACGAGGCGGCAGCAGCTTCTGGACTGAGACAACCCCCGGGTTTGCAAGGAAACGATGCTCCCGCTTCACTCCTACCGTTGCCTGGACTGGGTGGTGGAGACGCCGTTGCTCCTCCCGCCGTAGGAGACTCTACGGAGGTGATAGCTCCAACACAAGTGGAATCACAGCCGGCTGTGGTCGTAACGGAGAGTCCAGCGGGAGGGTTGCAGCAGCCCCCTGGCCTCGATACAGGAGCACCTGCGGCTGTGGCACCGATCCCGACCCCGGGTGTTGACACTTCTGTAGGTCTGCTCCGTGGTTTTTAAAGATTTGTGACTCTTGCTAACCTCTTCTAGGTTGATGACAGTGCCACGTCAGACGCTGCCCAGGTTATTGGGTCGTTTACCCAAGTCGTGGGTGGAGCAACTACAGCAGCGGGTGCCGCCGAGGCGCTCACATCCGCCGTGGTGGAAACCTCAGCTGCCGGCGCCGCCCCCGCCTCCTTCACCCCTATCGCAGCTAGCTCGGCCCCCGGTGTTGACAGCTCGGCAGCCAACGCCGTGGACTCGGCCACCACCGCGGCGGCAGCCGTCGGTTCCTTCGTCCCCATCGTCGCGGACCCCTCCGCCGACTCAGCCGCAGATCAGGCCACCGGCCCCTCCTCTTTCGCCGCGCCCACCCAAGGCTTCGTTTTCGCCAACGGTACAAGCAACAGCCTCACCCCGCTCCCCAGTGGTGGTGTAGGAACTGGGACTGGGGCCGGAACCGACACCGGCTCTGAATCCGGAGCCGGCGTGCTCCAACCCCTACCCGGCCTCACCAACAGCACAGCCGGCACTGGAACCGGCACTGACACCGACACCGGCACTGACACCAACACCGGCACTGACACCAACACCGGCACAGAAACTGGCTCCGACTCCGGCGCCGGCACTGACACCAACACCGGCACTGGCACCGACACCGAGGGCGGCGACAACGCCTCCCCCAGCCTGCAGCCCCTCCCCGGCCTCGACAACAACGGCAACAGCAACGGCGACACCAGCAGCGACGACGGCAACAACTCCCTCCAGCCCCTGCCCAACAGCCCCGACGCCACCGCCACCGGCGACGCCGCCGAGACCCTCGTTACGGCCGTCCCCAGCTCGACCCCTGGCACGGGTGCGGGCGCGGATGCGGATGCGGATGTGGATGCGGATGTGGATGCCTCGTCGATGCTGACGACCCTGACGACCGTCACCAACGGCGTCACGAGCACGCTGGTCACCCCCGTGGCGGCCGCGCAGACGGGTGATGCTGCTGGTGGGGCGGAGGATGCGGGTGTTGCGGGGGATGCTGTGGATGGTGTCACGGGGGGCTCGGGGGCGGAGGGGGTGAGGAGTGTGTTGTGGGCTGTTGTGGGGGGGATGGTGGGTGTGGTGGGGGTTTTGGTGATGTAAACTGGTAGGATTGATCGGTGGTGAATAGGGGGTGGGTTGGTGGGTTAATGGTCTTCTTTTTGGGCTGTGCCGTGCTGCTGGCAGTGTTTTTTTTTTACTTCTTGGGTGTTGACGGCTCGTGCAGGCCCGCGGCTGGCTGGCTGGGTGATGACCTAGAATCACGGACATGAGAGAAGCTACGGGTGTTTTGTTCACGGTTATGCGCACAACGATGACGAAGACCAGGTTTCTGGCGGCCTGTAACTCTGTAGTTCGGATACCTACTTCTAGATCTCCAAGAGCAAGCCAAAGTTCGAAATGGTATCCGACAGGTGATACCATCCTCCCGAACGGCCCCGAGTTAATTCGAAGATGTTAATGTAAAACTTATTTGAGAACTAACAGGCTCACTCTATTCAGTAGTCATCACAGCAGATGGTGTATCCCCGCCTCGTGCCATGGCTTCGGCGAACTGCCGTCCCGCGGATCCGAAACCTGAAGAGTTTCGCGGGAAAACGCGGGTTCACGAAGGCTTTAAGTCCCTCAATATACATTCCCAAAAATAGTGACACCCTTTCATGCGTGTCACTTGTTCCGCCGGTTGTTAGCTTGGCTAATTCAAGGTGAGGAATCGAGCTAGCATCCTGCGCTAGAACCGCGATGGCGGAAGGCAGTGGGAGGGCGGCGAGTGCTTCGTAATATCATGAGAAACCAAACCAGTCGTAAAACAAGGTTGGTGATAGAAGGGAGCAACGTGACAAAGCACATTCCAACATATGTCCGAACTTGCCCTTTCCGTTCGATGTGAATCTCCCTGCCAACAGCATTGAAATTTCTGGCAATCCAGGAATGTCTTGTATCGGAGGTTTCAGATCACAGTCTTGCATACCCGGTGTCTGAGACACTCGACGAAATACCAACATAAACAAAAGATCGAGTTAGCATGGCAGGAATGTGATTTATGACACAATTTTGATTGTAAAACAGGAGATCTATTGCGGCGTCGTGTATCCAAAATGCAAGTGCCCAAACACACCAACCCACTGATAGTCTTGAAGTAAACATCACGGGCAATAAAATACCCCCGAGAGTTATTGAGCCGTTAAACTCAACCATCTTGAACAAGTAGCCCAAGAAAAGAGCAAAATCCAATCGCAGTCCAAACCCATCACCAACCCCCCCCTTACCCCTGATTCCTATCCCACCCACCCCTCACTGCCCCGGAACCCCCATCCGAATATTGTCATACCGACTCTCCGGATAGCTCAACCAATTCTCCTCCCTCTCCAACCCGCCCATCTCCGCCGCCACCGCACCCACCAAGCTCCCCTCCCCAGCCCGGTCACCACTCGCCTCCCAAAACACCGCCCCACCCAGTCCCTTCTCAACCAAATACTCCGCCTTCCGCCTCCCACTCGCCAACGTATCATACGACACCAGCACGCCCGTGCTATCATCAAAGCTATAACTCGCCTGCGCCTCCTCATCCCAGCGCTCCACCGCGCCCGGCCGCGGCAGGTCACGGAACAGCCAGACACCCGCCTGCGACGACCCCGAGCCGACACCGGCGTAGGGGCGGCCCAGCCCCGTGGTGGCCTCAAACGCGCGGCCGTACAGCGGCAGGCCGAGGACCAGCTTGCGGGCGGGGATGCCGCGCGCGACGTAGTCGGCCACGGCGCGGTCGGTGCTGAACTTGGTGGCCTGCGGGTTGGCGGTGCTGGGGAAGAGGTTGGACTGGTGGCCGGTCGTGGCGTCCCACGAGCCGGCGTAGTCGTAGGCCATGATGTGCCAGGCGTCGAGGTGGGCGTCCATGGCTTCGAGGTGCATGGTATTGTAGTTCTGGGGGCCGGCGGGCGCCGCGATGGTGAGCAGGAAGTGGTGCCCCGGTGCGTGGGCCGCGGCGTAGGTGTTGAGGGTGGAGCGGCAGGTTTTGAGGAGGTCGACGTAGTCTTGGGCTTGAGAGGCGCTGGTCGGGTATTCCCAGTCGATGTCGAGGCCGTCGAAACCCCAGTCTGTGGATGTGTAAGTGGTGGTGCTTGGTAATGGAAGAGGGAAGCGGTGGTCTTACCTTTCATAAGGGTGAGAGCAGAATTACAGAACTTTTGCCTTCCCGCCTCGGTAGCGGCGACTGGGGCGAACTTGGGGGAGTAGGTCCAGCCCCCGATGGAGAGGAGGGTTTTCATGTGCCGGTGTTTCTTCTTCAGCATGTACAGTTGCTTGACACAGCCGTATGCGTTTTGCCCCTGGTCGTTCCATGAATCCGTGGGGTAGTGTTTCTCAAGGTCCGAGTAAGAGTCCGACGATTTCCTGTCTTGTGTGAGCCAGTGCTTTATGGTAACAGCCTTTGCCTACTCACACTTCTCCATCAGGCGCGATGTCAGCAAAAGCATAGAGGACGTGGGTGATCTTGTCGCCCGGAAGTTGTTCGGGTTGGTAATTGGCTCCGTAAATGCCCCTGAGACGGTTAGTCTGCCAGCTTCGAACATGCTAAACACATAACGAACCAGTTTGTGAAGTACAGGGCATTGCGGTATCCTGAAGGTGTGCTCTTGATGGTTGTGTTACTGAACGGAGCGGTCCCGTTTGCAGGTGCAGCAATGGTCTGGTTGGTGCTAGGCAACGGGATGGCCGAAGCGCTGGATGAAGCTGCTTTCTCAACAACTGTCCGCTCTTCCCCTTGGGGACTCGGCGAGTTTGACGGTGCCGGCAGCCAGAGCGTCTTCGTCACAGTCGCCCCCTGACATTGTACCTCGGCATTCTCACCAGGGCCGAGACCAACACTCTTTGGAAGGGCCGAAGCGGTCGAGGAGAACGCTAAAGGAGCGACAAGAAATAAAAATGAAGACAACATATTGTCTTTAGGGGTAGAGAAAGTCTGGGGTAATGACAGTAAGGAGACTGGGCAACGAAGTCAGAGCCGGAGGGGTGAGTTATAAGAAGCTACCACAACTCAACGTGCCAGTGTAATAAGTAAGGAATGAAAAACACTTGGTATGACGACCCAGCTCTCCAACCTCAGACACGGTGCCAGCGATGGAATGGAAGGTCGGTGGCATATTCTCATGAAACCTCCCCCAACCCGTGAGGACTTTCGACGTGAAGTATGAATCGTCCAAACCATCTTTCGGCACATGCCTGGAAGGCAAAGGGATAGTCAATATCGCCAATCTTTAGCCTGAGGTTGACAGACACATGGACGAGTCCCGGCTGGAACTCTCTAGGAGGTGCGGAATGTTGAGAGAAGACGCATGGAAGAACGGGAACCGGCCAGCAGTACACGGGTTCGAGATGCTGTGTAGATGACAGACGGGACATGACGGGAGGAGTTCAGCCGCATTGCCATCGAACATCCGGATATACCACATTTTGATTGCTTTCATCATCGGGATGAATCAGTTGGCCATTTGGGATTGCGTCCGCCTTGGGGGTTCTTTTGTCTGTCGATAATAGGTATGTTGTGGACTCCATCACGTCTCTCTCTCTCTCTTTAGCCAGGGAGCGGGCCATTACCCATGCGGTGACGGCGTCGATCGGATCAACACTGGCGTTCGGGAGATTTACGTTGCGTTGTTGGTGTTGACGATCACTGACCAGAAGCCCGGTAGTGGTTGCATGATGCTAATTTATAGTGGAATCCACTAACCTTCGGCACTGCAATGCAGCTGCAAGGGGCTACGAACAACACCCCCACATTCATGGAACCTGTCTGAATACTTCATAGAGATTATCCATTCTTCGTGTCATTAGGTATACATATTTGAATCCTTGAACCCCGAATACACCTCCTTCATCCGTACAATTACTTAGCCTTAGATAGGCCGGATTAACACAGTCTACGCAGCCCGTTGATCCCATCACCAAAGCCTCACATCCACACCCCAATTACAATCTCCCAGTACCCTCCTTCATCCCCGTCCGTCCTATTCACAAGTCAGAGCTCCCCATCACAGTCTTCTCCCCAATGTTGTCAACCGCCCTACACAGCACGGAATAGATTAGCCACCTACCCAACCACCACCACAAACAAACAACAACAACAAATCACAACACACAAAACTCACCTCCCCCCTTTCTCACCCTCCCCCCTCCTCCTCCTCACCACACCCACCCCCTTTTCACCCCACCTCCCCCACCCCATCATCGCAACCGGCATCAACACCAACCCACCCAGCACCCCCACCGCATTCTTCCACCCCCCCAGCACCTCCCCCACCAACACCGCCATACCCTCCCTGCCCCCAAGCACCTCACACTCCACCAACCATACCAACCCTGCCAGCGCCCCCACTACCACGCCGGCACCGACCCCCACCGCCAGCCGGAAGGCCAGCACGCGCGGGATGTCGTAGCGCCGGATGACGGCGTGGGCTGAAGACGCTGCCGCGGCGAGGGCGAGCAGCGGGGCGGCGTGGGGGTGGGTTGTGAAGGGGTTGGTGTCGGTGGTAGTGTACGTGTTGGTGGTGATGTTGGTGTTGTCGGAGGAAGGGAGGGTTTGGGAGAAGGCGAGGAAGAAGAGGGTGAAGAGGATGGAGGAGGCGGCGAAGGTCAGTGCGGCGTAGATGAGGGCGAGGCGGATGGCGAAGACGAGGAGGGCGACGTCCCAGAGGACTTCGATTATGGAGTCTGTTGCTTCGAGGCGCGGCCAGTGGGGCATTGTTGGACTTGTTGGTTGGTATGGGGTTGATGGATGGTTGTGATAGTGTTGGTTGTTGTTTTGGGGTGAGTTGGGTGATGGACTGCTTAGCTGCGGTGGTTGTGGTTGTGCTTGCTTTGTGGATGACGGAATGATGATGTAGTGGTTCGTCTGGTCTGTCGTGGTTGGAAGAGGGGCTTGGGGAGCGGCTTAGGTATTTGTAGAACGCAAAAAGCACTGCTTTTAAAGGACTCGACACGTTAATATGGTGTGACCTCCATGTAATTGCTCGTCAAGGTTATTTATTGTGTTTGCGGTAGCGATACCTAGAAGTGGTGAGCTCGGCTCAGGAGACATTGGTGGTGGTGTGATTCCGATTGCTACCACAGCCACTCCACAGACCAGTTAACAGTCCGTTTCCGGAAAGCCATGAAAGACCCGACCATTGTAGAACAGCCCACAGTTTCGCAATGCAGTATCACCTACGTTAGTCTGACTGATGTGATATTTGCATCGCTGCTTAAGTTATGGCGGTCATACTCGCCATCCAACGCAATACTCGTACTCTATAGCCGTCTGTCAAACTCCTGTTTACCAAGTGGTGTTGGGTATCGTCTGTATTCCTGAGGCGGCCGTGAAGACACCATCCATCTGCTCTAGTGGCCATGGTCTTTAGATTGCCGCCTTGCCCAACTTCTCAGCCAGCGCATCGACCTCCTTGTCCTTTTGTTGGGCAACTGGCTCCGCGTGCGCCTCCTTGGCCTCCTTGATGAACTTCTCAGCCTTATCCTCAGCCTCGACGTCTTCTTCCTCCTCCTCTTCCTCCTCTTCCTCGCCCTCGGACTCCTCTTCCAGGTCGCTCAAGCTATCGAGGCCCCAGTCATCCTCGATGACGATATCACCGGCTTGCTTCTCCTTGCGCGCCTCGAAGAGGTCTTGCAGCGCAATAATTGACTCGTCGTCCTCGGTGAACTTGTTGCCGTTGAGCTCCAGCTTCTTGAGAACCGGCAGCGCCTCCGCGGCCTCGGCCAACGCCTTGACGCCGGGCGCAGTGATCTCGTTGTACTGAAGTCGCAGGATCTGGAGCTTTGTGTTCTTCCCCTTCCCAAGCGACTTGGCTAGGAGCACACCGCCCTTTGCGCCGAGCAGCGAGTCGCCGATGCCCAGCTCAATCAGCTCAGCCCAGCCAGGCGCGACTGCCGCCAGCGCCCTGGCACCTAGGAGGGTGAATGTGTTGTCTTGCAGGTCGAGCACCTCGAGCTGCGAGGTATGGCGCAGGCCCTCGCTCAACAGATGCGAGATACCCTCCTGACGGATACCGTTCTGGACCATCTTGATCTCCTTGACCTTGTTGTGTAGCTTAAACGCCTTGGCCCATGCCGCCATGCTGCCGTTTTCGAGCCGGTTGCGACCACAGATGACTGTGTCGAGGTTGGGGACTTGCTGACCATTCTTGCGTGCCTCCTCTTTCTTGCCATGCAGTTCCGAGAGCGCATCGGCGATCAAGATTCCGGCGTGCGGGCCGAGACCGTTGTTGTTGAGGTAGAGGTGCTGGAGGGGCACGTGCGCAGCCAGGAATGCGACCAGGGGCGCTTGGGTGTTCAGGCCGAAGGCGTTATCGTTGAGATTGATGGTGTTGAGGTTCGGGAGGTTGAGGATCGAGTTAAGGAGGAAGGAAAGCGCTTCGGGGATTTCGTTGAGGAGGCGGCCGGTGAAGATGTCAGCGAGGTTGGCAACCTGGGAGGGGGGGATTGTCAGCGGGCTGCAACGCGCCATGGCGGGGTTATCGCGCCTGAACTTGACTTACACGCAACGTCTTCTTCGTCCCCAGAACTTCGCCGAGCAATTTGCATGCGCCGACGCCGAGCGTGTTACCGAGAATGCGCACTTCCTCGATATCGGCCGTGGCGCGAAGATCGGCAATGTGAGGCTCGAGGTCCTCGGCCGTGTCCAGCTTCAGGCCCCTCCCCTCAAGGGAGAAAATCTTGGTAGAGGGTGCCATTTGGTGACAGTAAACTAATATGTAGGCGTAGTCGCCGATATACCCGGAGTTGCACAAGTCGTGTTGGTTTGCAGGAGACGAAGTTGGGTGCTGCAGGACGGGGCGCAAGTCTAGTCTTCAGAAGGTAATTTATTGTTATGGTGGGGGAGGGGTAAACAGAAAGACCTGCAGCCTGGCGCTGGGGGCTGAAAGGTGGCAATCCCTTGCAAACCCGGTTCATTGAACCCACAGCTGGCGTCAGTTGTCCACCACTTGCAGGGCGGTGAAAGCTGAACCACCCCCGGTCGGTCTAGGCGCGGCGGGAGAAGCATGCCGCTCTCCGCGGCGCGAGCGCTCAGGTTGGAAGGGACGAATGGGTGTTTGCGAAATCCGCGATCTCCCAAATGTTATCAAATCCTCCCCCAATTCATCCCCGAGGTGTCGAATGCCCAAATCAGGTGTAAAATCCTTAACCCCAATCAACGCAGACGTATTTTACCAACCGTATTCCGCCTTTTTAACACTCCAAAACTCCAACACAACGTGAATACATCTAAGACAAAGCTGTTGATCTTGCATCGAATTCTCACGCCCTATTGAATTCCCCATCTTCAATTCTTCTCACACCGTTTGTCACAATGGCAAGGCCAGATTCCCCGATGGACGACTCACCACTATCATCAATGTCTTCCTCCGAGGACGAGTTTCCCGACGAGGTCACCGAGGTTATGGACGACGGCCCACCACCCAAGCGCCTCAAGATCACCGCCCGTTCGAACACGCCCTCGGCCGTGGCGCCGGAGCCCGAGGCAGGCCCCGACCCGCTCGAGGGAATGTCGGACGTATCTTCCGACACCGATGGCGACGTCCCCAGCTCGCCAATCAATGCGCGACAAGACGAAGATGACTTCCAGGAGCAGATCACCGTTTGCGCGTGGGAAGGGTGCAGGACCGGGGAGATGGGCAACATGGACAAGCTCGTCGAGCACATACACAACGACCACATTGAGAGCAGACAAAAGAAGTATACTTGTGAGTGGGTTGGTTGCTCGAGGAAGAGCATGCCGCACGCCAGCGGATACGCCCTGAAGGCCCACATGAGGAGCCATACGAGGGAGAAACCATTCTACTGCTACCTGCCCGGTACGTTTACGCGGAGCTTCCTCTTTGCTTCTGCCAGTCGACTAACCTCAGCGCCCTTAGAATGCGATCGCGCATTCACCCGCTCCGACGCTCTCGCCAAACACATGCGCACCGTGCACGAAACCGAAGCGCTCCGGCCCTCCGACCCGGTTCCCAAGAGCATGCAAGCCGCGACGGGCAAGTCCAAGAATCTAAAGATCATCATCAAAACCCCACAATCCCATGCCGCCGGCCATGACGATGCCGTCGACGACGGCAGCGCGGGTGACGAGTCCTCAAGCGACATGTTCACCCCCTTGACCGAAGACCAGGGGTTCGCTTCCGACGAGATCAAGATGCCGCTCGAGCGGCTTATGAAGCTCTGCCGGCTGCAGGTGAAGTGGGCCGAGGAGGAGGGCGAGCAGCTGCGCGCCGAGTGCAAGCAGTGGGAGGAGCTGTACAAGCAAGAGTGGGTTGAGAAGGAGGTGCTGCTGGATCAGGTAGTGGACAGCGAGCAAACATGGCGGACTCGGCGTCAGGTGGTGCTTGCGACGCCGGACGATGGTGACGCGGTGATGGCGGCGGATTCGAAGGAGCCGACTGCAATTGATGTCTGAGAACTCTGGGTGTTGTCAATGCGGTTAATTTGTCAACTCCGAATAATGGGCTTGACAGGCTGCGGCCGGAAGCGGTTCTTAAACCTTGTTATAGGGGGCGTTGTGGTTTTTGGTGGGAGTTTGGGAATGGGAAGGGCACTTGACAAGGCATTGATGGTGAGAGACATCGCTCTCCGCCATATGGCGAGGCGCGAATGGACAGTCTTTCGATATAGCATGGCCAGGTGGGAGCGCTGCTGTGGGGCGACGACGAGGGCGCGAGTGTGCCCCCTTTCGCCGCCTACAAAATCAAGCGCTTGTTAATATCCTTCGATAGACGCAAGGACAACTCATTATTGCCCAACACAACACATAGTTATCAAAAAACATAGATTCCTTCACAACCCGCCTCTCCGCCCACCACGCTGACAACACACACCTCAAGCCACCACACCACCACCATCTAATCACTGCGCCCGCGCCCCCTTCTTCATCTTCTTCTTATCCGCCTCGGCGTTGCGGAACGGCCACCCGCTCGTGCTCTTATCGGCGCCCGTCCGCCGGCTCACCCGCCGCTTCGCGTCGCCCGCGAACATGAGCACCCACAGCCCAAAGACCGCCAGCGCGCTGCTCCCCACGCACCCGAGCAGGTAGGCCAGCTGGCCGCCCGTGCCCCGCCGGTGGTAGCGCGCCCACGAGTACGACGCCGTCGCCGCGTGGTAGAGGGACGTCACTAGCACCGCCGCCGAGGCGGTGCCGGTTGGGGCGGATGGATCCGGGGCTGCCGGGTAGGGGGCGGGGGGGGGGAGGGGGTTAGTTGGTTGCCCTGCACAGTAAGGAAGGGTGAGGGGGGTTGGGTGGTGTTGGGGTGGTTGGGGCACAAACCTTGGCCGGCGGTTGAGTCGAGCGGGAGGGCGCCCGAGAGGATGAGCAGCAGGCTGCCGAGGGCGAGCTGGGCGAGGCCAAGGGAGCGGGAGAAGTACTGCTCGAGGGAGCTATAGGCGGCGCAGTACTCCCCCCCTTGAGCCGGGCCGTCGACTTGGAGGAGGGTGCTGATCAGGGAGGGCCAGATTATGAGGGGGACGGCTTGGGTGGTGAGCCAGGCGAGGCTGGCGACGCTGTAGGTTGATACCGACTGTCGAGGTTAGATTAGAGAAAGCGGAGGAGGAATGGGATAGGTGTGGGGGGTGACTTACATCCATGGTGCGCTACATAAAAGGCTAAGAGAATATGCGAGGGGCAGGTAGTTTCAGAACCGCGCCCTTGGCCACTACTTGTCTTTCAATCTTGACCTTCAATTCAGCTCCCAAGTTGTGATGAGACCTTCGCATGCGGAAACAACTCTCTTTGATACGACGTCATTGCAGGGGTAAGCGGTGAGTCCAGGACGTTATGTAAGCATTGGCACTCGTCTTAACTGCCACATTGGACTCAAGACAGAAGGGCAAAAGGCAAGAAGTTGAAGGAGATAGCAAGAAATACATAGGTAGTTAAAACGGAAGAAAAAATCATGAAATTTCCCAACTACCTACTAAGTTCGATTTGAAAGTTCAGAACTAAGAAACGGGAACCTCAAATACCAACACCCTGATTGGCACATGCCTCGGAAAACGGCGGGCCTGGAACCTTGCAGCTTGCGGGGCACCGAAACCGCCACCAGCCGATGCCGCAAAGGCGCAACGGCATTTCAAAGCAGTCACCTCAAATTGTACATCTCCGGCGAAAAGACCGCGAAATTACAAAATACCCCCACGGGATTTTTCTTGTTATCTATCCGTGTCAAATTCACCGCAAAGCCTTATCACAGGCTACAGATAGTTACTACTCCGACGGGTTTGTCTCAAAAGCGCGTCAACCGCGGGGTTCCCTCAACACGCACTGACCGAGTTTGCGCCCGCGGCTCCCATCACCAGTCAGTCAGTCAACCTTTCGACACCACCTAGGGCGAACGCCCACCCGCACACTCGCCCACAGTCAGTTCGCCCACCATGTCGGCCATCCTCTCCGCCGACGACCTCAACGACTTCATCTCCCCCGGCGTCGCCTGCATCAAGCCGATCGAGACGCTCCCGACGACCCAACTCGGCCCCGAACAGCAACAACCGTCGCAACAATCCCTCGAATTCGAAGTCATCCTCGACGGCCAACAACAGCCCACCGCCACCGCCGCCTCGCCCAACGGGACGGCAGCGGGCGCGGCGCCGGCCCAGATCTCCCTCACCGACTGCCTCGCCTGCTCGGGCTGCGTGACCTCGGCCGAGGCCGTTCTGGTCAGTCTGCAGAGCCACAACGAAGTGCTCTCGGTGCTGGACGCCGCGCCGGGGCTGCGGGTGGTACGAGGCAGCGATGGAAAGGCGGCGGCGGCGGTGTCCGGGCTGGAGAACCCCGACGCCAAGCTCTTCGTCGCCAGCGTCTCGCCCCAGACCAGAGCCAGCCTCGCCGCGGCCTGCGGGGGCGCCGTGACGGAGCAGCAGGCCGGGTGGATGGTCGAGCAGCTCCTGATGGGCCCGGGCGGGTTGGCGGGGGGAGGGAAGCACGGGAACGGGTTCGCGTGGACGGTGGACACCAACACGGCGCGGGAGGCGTGTCTCGTGCTCGGGTCGGACGAGGTTTTGGGCGGCGGATCCCATCGGGGCTCGGATAAGCCCGCGTCGCCTATCCTTACGTCCTCCTGTCCCGGGTGGGTCTGCTATGCGGAGAAGACGCACCCGTACGTGCTGCCGCATTTGTCGCGGGTCAAGTCGCCACAGGCGCTGATGGGCACGCTGCTCAAGACGACGCTCAGCCGTGTGCTGGGAATTGCGCCGGACAGGATATGGCACCTGGCCGTGATGCCGTGTTTCGATAAGAAGCTGGAGGCGAGCCGGGAGGAGTTGACGGATGCGGTGTGGGGAGGCGCGGGGACACCGGGGAGGGGTGTCAGGGACGTGGACTGCGTCATCACAAGCAAGGAGATCCTCATGCTCGCCGCGTCGAGGGGGGCAGATTTCTTTGACTTGGCCAAGTCCGCTCCCGTGCAGCAACCTGCATTTCCAGACCCGGCCATCCATCGGTTTTTGTTTCCGGCGCAACGGCGCAAGCAGCTCCGGGATGGGGGCACATCAGGAGGTAATCTGCATTACATCCTCCACGACGTTCAGTCGAGGCACGCCGGCTCGCAGATCCAGATGACGCGCGGCAGGAATGCTGACGTCGTCGAGTATGCCGTCGTCCTCGGTTCCTCCGGCGAAACCGTCTTTAGGGCGGCGCGCTACTATGGCTTCCGCAACATCCAAAACCTTGTCCGAAAGCTGAAGCCGGCAAAGGCATCCCGCATGCCGGGCGGGAAGCCATTTGGTAGTGCACGTAGGCCGACTGGCAGGCCAGGCCCCTTGGAACACGCCTATGTTGAAGTCATGGCGTGCCCCGGAGGTTGCACCAACGGCGGTGGCCAAATCAAGGTCGACGACCAAGTCATCGTTGATCGCAAGAACTTCGGCGAGAAGCCCGGGCCGGACGAGCAAAAGGCCTGGCAGGCCGAAGTCGACGAGGCGTACTTTTCCGGCGATGAGCCAGATCCTGCACACGGTGCGGGTGACGACCACTCGGCGGAGCTTATTGCTGGCATTTCTCCTTCGCATATTCGAGATACCCTAGCGCATTGGGCGGACATCACGGGCATACAGTTAGATAGACTGGTGTACACGAGTTATCGCGAGGTCGTGAGCGACGTCGGCAAGCCCGTCAGCGACACTGAACGGGTGGTCCAGCTAGCTGGTAAAATCGGTGGCGGGTGGTAACCGCGTCGTCGTTATCGTAGCGTACCGATAGATAATTTCAACTTTGTTCACCACCACCACGTCTGGCGAAACCAAAACCACCTCTACCGCTCCCATCTGGGCCCCTCGGTGAGCGTATAATTTGATCCTCCTCGCGCGGTGTGCTTGATCGGTTCCCAGGCTGGGCGGAGCCGTCGCCGCGCTTGTGGATATTGAAGCCCGGCTTCGGCGAATATCCGGGATCGAAAAGTTCCCTCGTGCCGCCAGATTGTTGCGAACTCGGTTGCCTCCTGTCCTGCCGCCCGTTATCATGGTCGCGGCCCCTACCGCCGCGCCCCCTGCCTCGTCCCCTGTGGTTCTGCCGGCCCTCTCCTCCTCCCGACGGCGGGGTGCCGGTGCGCGGCGTGGACTGGCCGGACGAAGGATCCGAGTCGCCAAAGATCTTGGCTCGGGCCTGTTCGTACCGTTTCTGCTTTTCTTCCAAATCGCGCTGCTGACGTTTTCGTATCTCCTCGGGCGTCTCCTGCTTCTTCTTCTCGGTCTCGTCTTCCTCGTCGTCTTGTATTGTCAATTGTTCGAGGCCAGTAACTGGGTCGCGCCTGGCGATTACCTGGGGGGCAGGCTTGCGGCTCAGGACTTTGACGGCCGGCTTGAAGGTCGTAGTGAGGGGCACTGGATTGTTCGTCGGGGGTAGAAAAGGCGCCTCATTGGGGGTCTCTCTACACACAGGGTTAGAGGCCCTTAGCGGGTTGATGTGAGCTGGCTAGTTAGGGTTTGCGACATACGCTGACTCCCATAGCCTGCGCTGCTCCTCGTCGTGCTTGGCCAGGCGTTCAGCGCGTGTCATGGGCGCTTGTTGGGGCTCTGACACGGGCGAGTCCTCCCTTGCTGCGCGGTCGGCTTGGGCCTCCCAGTCATCGTCATCCCAGGCGTCTGGGATTTTGGTGCCCTTTCCCATTGTGATAGTTAATTGCGGCCTTTACTGGTATTATGGTTTCGTGACTTTGTTGGCTGTTGTCTGGAGAAACGGTAGTGGAGTGACACACACACACCACTAACTTCCATTCCAGGTTGTCTCGGTTGATGGATTCGTGAAGTTGGGATTCGGTCTCCACCTTTCACTGTTCTCGAAGCCGCACGGACCATGATCTGCCTCTGGGGTCAGTGTCGGGGTTCAGTGATTACCACATTGAGGTCGTCACTGGGGAGCTCTCGTTTAGTTGCGTTTGGTTGCAAACTTTACACGCAAACCATCCAAACAACTAACAGTCATAAAACCGCACAGCCCGAACGAAGATCACATATTGTGTCGTTGAAAAGGTAACAAGCCTAGCTACCTCATATGCCATAACCGAGTTCCATCGTGGTTATGCCCGTGCGTGGGTTCTCAACTGACATTAGCGAGGTAGTTGAAGCGGCATCGGTTCAGCTCCTATCCAACACAAGGCGACAAGATGAACTCAGACGATCTCATGTCGGACCCGGGCCAACACGCCAATTACGTAAAGCCATGGGCCTGGAACAACAAGAAGTACAGTGACGACTACGAGGCGCACAAGGTCCGGCTCCAGGGCCAACGCTTCAGCTCCGGTAAGTCTCTCGGTGCTACTACAGAACATAGTGAGGATATTAACAAACTTCGAAGCGGATTACCCCGACCCTCTCGCCCCTCGGTCACCTCACCAGAGGCAGTATCCGAAGGGAACCGACCCTGAACTGGAGAGCAAGCTGCAAGAGTTGATTGCTCAGGTCAAGGCCGGTGTTGCTCGCGCAGCTAGCGCTGCTACTTGAGACATGGGACGTTGATGGATGGTTTGGTCCGAGGTGGCCTGGTTATGAATTACGATATAACGAGGTAGTTAGTATAACAGTATGGATATGGCGATAGGACATTGGCCCGGTTGGGCATGGAGTTTAACTAATGAAAGTGTGCATTATTTACGTTGTCTCTCCCTTCTCAGTTCATCGAGTTCTTGCTCTAGTTATTCCCTCCCAGGGAAGGGAGATGGGCTGAGACACCGAATCAAATCACATGATGCGCAACCTCCATCTCCCTTGGGGCTGGTTGCATCGTACCCCTGCCAGTCAGCTTGGAGAGCCGGTCCGGAAGCTGAGCTGACGCTGATCCCGCCGGGAGGACCCAATGTAATGCGCCACTCCCGCCCGGGGCGCCGACTTCTCGCCCTCACTCGAAATACGGCGTCCAGACAACCACACGACATGGTGTGTATGGCGCGCCCGTCCATTTTTCTCGCACAAGAGTGGCTGGCACAGTTCCCCAAAGTTCGTGCACATCGCTCGGCTCGTGTCACCTGTGTGGACATCAAGGCAGAGACGAGTGCATCTCCTCAGTCCCAGTACTTGGCATTACGGGAAGCTTACACGCCGAGCCATTTACAGATAGGAAGCCGGTGGCAACGGACAGACACGGCCCAATGGTGCCACGAGAATGCGTCCGGGATAACAAGATCGTGGTTTCCCTCGGAAACCTCCTAAGCGAGCTTGATGTTGTGTAAACCAGAACCGGCCAGTCCCCGCCCGCAAGCAAGCAATATGTCAGCATACGCCGGCAAGCTGTTGGCGCAGTCGTGTAAGCCGTAATTGCGCTGGTTGCTGGGACGGGCCGAGCCCCAGGGACAGAATTGGTCGCGTTGGCCGGTGAGGTTGAGAGTCAATCTCGACACGTCTCTGAGATACGTGCCGGTTGTGTTGGCCATGTGTCGCCGGTGATGTGCGATTATCTACGGGGACCAAGGCGGCACTAGTCCCAGCCAGGCCATCGTGTGCGACGTGGGACGCGGAGCTTTCGGTACGGAGTGGCATTTCCCGGGAGGCTGAAAGTTGACCGAGGATTCACGAGATGTTGAGGCAAAACGGGCTCGACGGGGAAGGGCTTCCTTGATCCGTTGAGGCGGGGTCGTCCAACCAAGCCTCCAGACGCCAATCGCCTGAATCCTCGAATGAGGGAAGGAATGAGAAAATGAATGCGTTGCTTGGTACCAGCTTGGAGCGACCAGGCGTTCTAGGCCATCGGAGAGCCACGGGCTTGTCTAGATCCGGTCAGTTGCAGAGTTGCCACCATCCAATGCCACTTCGACGCACGCTGGACTCGGAGCCATGTGCAGCATGAGAGCGTGCGGTTGAAGGAGGGAAAATGAGCGAGTGAAGTCCCTTGGTCGCAGAGACCAGCACATCGACCCACTCGAAGCCCCATATTTCCGTTTCGAGCATGCCACCGTCACACAACGTTCAGACGCTGGTCATGGATTTCGTGACTTGGGACATGCGCAAAAAGCGATGGACTGCAGGATGGATCAACTTATCCTGTGCATGTTTCAAGCAGGCCTGAGTGGCCTTTTGTCAATCCAGGCTTGGCCTGAGAACAGGCCAAGCTGGGCCACCAACACTGTTGACCCGGCGTTCTGGATGGCGGCAGCCCTCGTGATTTAAAAATAGCATAGATGGAGGCGGCTGGTTGGTAGACGACATCGAGTTCCGAAATTATCTCGAGAGATGTCGGACCTCTCTGCAATGGTAATTTGATCATTTCATCTGTTCAACTCGCCTCCCTTCATGACGCCCTTGCTCAAAATCCACAGGTCTGTGCTCGCCTCGGGCTGCGGTGTGAGCTGACCGAGCCCAACGGTGAGGTCGGGCACCCGACGCAAGACCTCGAAAGGAACCCGACCTACACAAGAGGCCGAAACCTGCTGGGAATTTAGTTAACTAGGCACTTATTTACCTACAAGATTGTGTCCTCGCTACGCATGGCGGCCAACCGACATATTAGCAACTGTTTCTCGAAACTTGACCTTTACTAGACGCGGGAACAAAGAACAAAAACCAAAATAGGGTTTCGGAGGCCCTCACCGAGTCACTGAGGTTCGGACGATCCAACATCCTCATTTTTGTTGACCCACCAGTCTCGGGAGGTCTCGGCACAGCCAAGCATCATCCACTCTTGGGCGCCTGAACCCCACCATAGTTATCTTAGCACATACGAATCGAATCGTAAGTGCCCTGGTAGGTGCGTCAGGAAGCTCGGTGGGTAGCCTCAACATTGGATCTCGGGCGCAGGCCTGCCGACTTAAAACCACAGCGCCTTGTCCTCCAACTGGTCCCGCATCAAATGCAAACCCAACCCCAACCGCCAAATTTCGTAATCACACGGCCCGACTCTTAATCGGCTCTGAGTCGCGGGCGGCAACATATCTCTTCCTGCCAGCTCCGCCAACTATTTTGCCCACTTTCTATATTCTTGTCTTCCAACACCATCCAATAATCAAGCACAACCATTAAATCGGCATCCTAGCCGTTGTTTGCCCAACTTCGCCGAACGACCGACTACCGACGACCAACAGACGACCCCGCGCCTGGCGTTTGCTTCGACTGAGCAACCCAGAAGGCAAAATGTCAGGCCCCGTCGCAGATGTTCCGGCCGGTGGACAACAGGACCTCTTGCGGAGGGCGACACAAGCCATGATGTCGAGGTATGTTGGTTCTTGTTCTCTCCAAGATGCCCACCCCGCATCCCATCCATCATCCGCATTTCACATTAGGCCCCCAGCACATGGAGTTCTTCCGCACTACTTCTGCCACTTTTGTTTTGAAATGCCTGGTTACTGCCTGGTTATTTATTGCCTTGCTTTTCTCCATACCACTTATACAGATTTGACCGCCCTGCGGCCGAGCATCAACTCCCTCCATCTTATCCCCGGTGGCGGCGGTCCAAGTGGGCTCGGAGCGCATCAGCATCACGGGTCCTTCTGTCCGGGTTCCCGGTCTTCCGACAGCTCAGTGGCAAGGGAGATTGATACCTATTTGGCCGTGCTGTTGTTCATGCGTGCGCTTTGATTACCCCTGGCTCCAAGCAGGCTGTTCCCTCTCATATCTCGGGCATTCTACCCGGCATGAGACATGGCCGAATCCACATTTGCGGCCCATGACTTTTGAGGGCGGCCAGTGCCGTCATCAGCCGGGGAAGAGGAAGGTTTTGTCACCATGCCGGACGGCTGCGGCAATGCTACCTCTATTGGGCTCTCTGGCCCGGGTTCTTCGAGCACACCATGGGTGCATCAACATGCAAATATCCCGCACTTACAGAGAGATACCTTGCCATACCTTTGTTGATTTGCACATGCAAACTCCGGGGTTGCACCGGTCTTTTGCTGCGGCGTTTTCTGCGGTGCGCCAAGGGGGTGCAGGCTTATCACTCTCTCATCCCGAGCCTTGGGATTGAGTGTCTGACTCGCTGAGTGAGCGAGCTGCTGTCCTTTTCCTGCCCTCTCAAGGCACCCCTCCCCTCATCAGACAAGGCTTGTAGAACAGCCGGTGTCATCTCCCCCCCCCACTACGAATCGCAGACCCTCAAAAACCACATGGCAAGCATCAAGGGTGCATGCTGCGCCGGACCCAAGCACCAAGGAAAGCGCTCTCGGCCAGAAGGGGTTTTATTTTATTTTTTTTACTCCCCCTGTCCCTCCCGGCCTGCAGACGACTTTTACACACTTCACCCACAAAGTTGCCTGCACGCACGCCTTGCACCAAGAGTGCCCCTCCCACCGCCCCGTCTTTTCCCCTCTGCCGAGTGAGACCCTTTTCCTGGGGCCGATCTCGTCCTAGCAGAGATTTCCACTTTTCCCCTGTCCCTCCTCTCGTCATAGACGTATTATCTGCCCCTCTTCCCCGAGACAACCTTGACAACCTTGCCAACCTTGCCCACCCTTGCCCAATCCCAAACCATTGTCATGAGTTAGCGATCTATCTCCACGGTTGCAACCGTCTCTTGTCTACTTTCCTCTCGTCTTCCCGCTCGTTCCCCACCCCCGTTCCGCCGCTTCCCTGCTTCTCCCGACCCGCCACGAAAAATCACTCACAAAGGTCGCCATGGACCCTGTTAACCCACGTAGCAGAACTGCCGCGGCCGAAGATGATGGCTTGGATCAGATCGGCGTCGACTCCCCGCGGTCCGGCGTCGCAACTCCCCAGCCAGATCTCCATGACAGACGGCTGCCGGGGATCATGAGCTACTTTAACCAGGTTCGTGCAAGCTCTCTTCAGCGATTGTGGTCTGGTTCTTTCAGGACGAGCGGGCAATCCACAACAACCACCTCGAAGCCAGCAACGCCAAGTCCCGAGGAACAGTTGCAAGCTGCAACACTGGCAGAGCTGCCATCCACTCCCCTTGGTCCGGATTCCCTTACGCCTCCGTCAGCTGAGGACCCTCCACTCCTACCGCACGAGATGCCGGGACCTCCCGTCGGGGCAGCGCTTGGGGGGGATGCGCAGCAGCTCTCATATCCCACACCGCCAGCTTCGCAACCCTCCTCGCAACCCTCCTCGCTGCGCAACTTCCCCGTGGACTCGTCTAGCCAAAAGCCTGCGGAGGGGACTCCTCCGGTCTCACGAACCGCGAGCTTGCGGCATGCGAGTATGTCGGGTCTTGTGAGAGGCAAAGCGAGGACCTCGTCTCTGCTGGCACCCCTGACGACCATGGTCTCCGAATCGAGCGTATCCGCCCCTCACTTTTCGAATCCTACGGGACGCTCCTCCACTGTTCCTAGCTCTTCTCCGAGCCGCGTACAGCCCCGTGCCAGCGATGGAGGTCTTTCTTACGAGTCAACCTCATTGTTGTATCTCAAGCAGACACTAACAAACAGTAAGAGCGGTACATCGACCCCGAGGCGCGCTCTCTCGTCGGCTTACCCTGCCCACGGCGAAGGGCATGAGGACACGAGGCAAAAGAATGGCGATAGGATTGACCGAACCGCGACAAGCACCCCTACACCGCCGGGAGCACAGGCACCAGCGGCCAAAGGCAAACTCACCATTAAAATTACCGAGGCTAGGGGCCTAAGGAAGTGTCAAGATCCCTACGTCGTTGTGGTCTTTCAGCGCAGCGAACTCATCTCCTCTGGACCCCGCCCGGCCGAAGACGACGAGGAAGCGGCCATCGCCGCTGTCTCCATGGGCGCCATGCCGATGAAGCGGCAGGGAAGCGATTCTGGCAGGGCCATGGCCATCCCGATGCGAAGCAGGCAGAGTAGTAACACCAGCATTACCGACTTCGACACCTTCCGTAATCGCAGCACGCGCCGTTCGTTTACCAGCCCGAAATGGGACGCCGAAGCGATCTTGTAGGTCTCGCGCGTTTTGCGACAAACCTCGTTGTAGCATGGCTAACGTACGTACCTACAGTGATGTTGTCGCCGCGGACAAACTCGTCGACATCTCCGTCTACGGCCGCGGCCAATCCGGAGAGGAGTTTCTCGGCCACGTCGACTTCCAAGCGGTGACTACGGAGAGAGAGGCTCCGGTCAGAGGCTGGTTCTCTCTGAGGGGCCACGCGGATACCATGGCCGAGAATGCGCCAACGGGCGAGATTTTTGTCGAATCCTTCTTCCAGCGGGCCGAGCAGAAGCACTTCGGACCAGGTGATTTCCAGATCCTCCGGCTCATCGGCAAGGGGACCTTCGGCCAAGTATACCAAGTCCGGAAGAAGGATACCAAGCGCATTTACGCCATGAAAGTCCTGTCGAAAAAGGTTATTGTTCAAAAGAAGGAGGTGGCGCATACCGTCGGCGAGCGCAACATTCTGGTGCGGACCGCCACCGCTGATTCTCCGTTTATCGTCGGCCTGAAGTTCTCATTCCAAACCCCGTCCGATCTCTACCTTGTCACAGACTACATGTCTGGTGGAGAGCTCTTCTGGCATCTGCAGAAGGACGGCAAGTTCGAGGAAAAGCGGGCCAAGTTCTACATTGCCGAGCTCATTCTCGCCATCCAGCACCTGCATCAAAACGACATCGTCTACCGCGACCTAAAACCGGAGAACATCCTTCTGGATGCCAACGGCCATATTGCGCTCTGCGACTTTGGTCTTTCCAAGGCGAACCTGACCAAAAACGACACCACCAACACTTTCTGTGGCACGACCGAGTACCTCGCCCCCGAGGTGCTTCTAGACGAGACTGGTTACACCAAAATGGTGGATTTCTGGTCTCTGGGCGTTCTTGTGTTCGAAATGTGCTGCGGTTGGAGCCCGTTCTATGCCGAAGACACGCAGCAAATGTACAAGAACATCGCCTTCGGCAAGGTCAGGTTCCCCCGCGACACTCTATCCCTAGAGGGGCGGAATTTTGTCAAGGGATTACTTAACAGGAATCCGAAGCATCGGCTCGGCGCCACAAACGACGCAGAAGAGCTCAAGGAACACGCCTTCTTCGCCGATGTCGATTGGGATGCGCTTTCCAAAAAGCTCATCACGCCGCCCTTCAAGCCCCAGCTGAAGAGCGACACCGATGTTTCGTACTTCGATCCAGAGTTTACCAACGCCCTCAACACCAACGGGTCCCTCAACGAGCGCGCTGCGGCCCTGGCCAAGGGATATGCGACTTCCACACCGCTCTCACCTTCGGTGCAGGCCAACTTCCAAGGCTTCACTTTCGTCGATGAGAGTGCCCTTGATGACCATATGAAAGATCGGTACGGCAAGTACGAAGACGAGGAGATGGACGACGCCGACCGCAAGAGGGACGATGACTGGGACGATGTCAACGATGCCGACGTTCGGAGTCCCAACCGGATGAGCGGGATCGTCCGGGGCAACAACAATGACGAGCAAATGTTTGGCGCGTCAGGCTTCGACATGTGATGCCTCTGACGGGCCCTTCTACTATTTTACCCAGTATCTGTCTGCGAGGACCGCTTTCCTACGGCCCGGACTGTTCTTGTTATATTCTTTTCTTATTCCCCTTGTCTATGTCTGGTCGGCTGGTACAGAAAAAAAAACACAATCATAAGAAAAGAGAGAAACTCACTGCTGATGACTTCAACGAACAACCCATAGCATGTTGCATTTCAGGGAAGGGGGTGGAAGGGGGGCTTCATCTGGCATCGGGGTGTTTGGTTGGCTGGAACGCGCACACTTGGAAGGGCGTTTGGGCGAAGGAGTCGGCTGCCGGATTGTTGACTTTTGACATCATTGCAAAGAATGATGAGTTACCGACACTGCGGTGCCTCGGGAAGGCTGTTATCACATCACGCGAATGACTGAGACTTGTCTGCTTGACGGAGACGCTGAGGTTCTGCAGGGCGTTGTGCTGCTTGTTGTCCAACGCAGGAGGTCTTCCGGATCCAGTTACTGGGTGAAGAGGCCTTGTGTTTGCAACAACTACATTTATGTCGTCTTCGTTGGGTTGGCGGCGCGGTTGAGGGGAGATGCTCTGCTGAGACCATGTTGGCCTTTACATGTAGTTATTACTTGTTTAGCCAATGATGGGAGCATGAGCTATATAATGCCTAATTCGGTGATGGAAGAGGTATCTGGTAGCTTGTTGTGTTTCGGTGTTACATTCTTCCACCGCTGCATCGGTTTATGACGAGATCCATATGGACTCAAATAATAGTAATAGAGCAATATCCCTCCAGCTTCTTCATAATGGGCACCGGGGTCGGCGGCAAGTATTCTCAGCAACACCTGAAGAGTGTTAGACACTACCCGCACACATGGATAACAATTGACGAGGCAAACCCGGCGTGCCGAGGCCCAGCGCAACCCGCTTCAAGAAGCTCCGATCGACGTTCGCTATCCCCAGCGTGGGTACTTCAGAGAACACTGAGATCGAAAACATCTGGGTTCGCAAGGTTCCCCCCTACCCCGCTCCCTAGATCCCCCTAGATGGTGCTGTCTTCTGTCTACGACTATCCGCGGTACTCGATCGCACTCGCACTCGGTAGGTTACTTCAGGGCCCATGTATCTCGATCATTCCTGAGCAAACATGCCAGCTTCGTCCTTGAGCACATATCACGGTCGTGCTTCGACCTTTACGGGTTAAGATGAGCCAATAATTATTGAGAGGAGAGCATCGACAGCGCGCATGTGTGTATACACGCCCAAGGGTGCTGGGCGCGATATTGTAACAAGGCTAAAGAACAATGTACATGGTATTCCCCGCCATAGGAATGGCTTCTCGTTTTTGGAGAAGCCCTCAATCACCAGCCTCTTCCTGTCTCTCACCGGGCATTACAAGGAAATCAGTCCCTTTTTTGTCCTGTCCTGCCCTCGAACTGTGCTGTCTTGATAACAGAGCAACAGTCCTTCCACCACAACCCCACCTCTACCTCTTCATACCGACCCCGAGTCCTATCTACCCTTCATGACCGAGAAAGATTTTGGTTTAGTGGTGAGCCTCCTCCTCCTCCTCCTCGACGAGCCAGTCCTCGATGACGGCGGCGGGCTGGTTGGCGGCGGCGCCCTCCTGCCCCTCGACCTCGACCGCCATGCTCTCGTACTCCTTCAGGCTCGACGCCAGGTCGGCCTCCTCGGGCGACTTGGGCGACTTGGGCAGGCTGAAGGTGGCCACCTGGCCGACCGAGTCGGTCTCCTTGATGGGCGTCGGCTTGTACGCCTTGAGCTCCTTGAGGTACAGCTCCTGGACGAAGTCGGCTGTGCGCGGGGGTGTTAGTAGGTTGGGGAATTGGGGGTGGAGGGGAGATGGTGAAAATATGGTGGGGGTTGGAGGTGGGCGCCGTATCGCGCGGGTGGCGGGGGTTGGGGTGTTGGATTGGCAGTTTTAGGAGGTGCTCGTGTATTTTCGCTGGCTGGAAATGATGTGTCGGTGGTGTTGCTGAAAGATTTGCCGTGCAATTGGTGTCGTCGATAGCCAACAACCCCTCGTTGCCAGTTCCCACCGCCGTTACCGGGCCTTCCGCGTGACCGACGCTCCAACCTCCAATCATTGATCCTTCAAGCTGTTGTTGCACGTACCTCTCCGCGAGACGGTCGGGGCCATGAATGTCCTCATCGGGACGGCATTGCGAGTGGCGATGCGGGAGACGGCCGCAACGGCCTTGCGAGCGCTCTGTGATGGAATGACGGTTAGCGATTCGCCTCGTCAATGGTGTTGTCATGCATGCGTCAATGCGTCGTTGACGGATAGATGTCGCGCAAAAGTTGACAACCGATTGATGCGAGACTAGAACGTACCGAAGCCCTGGAGATCATCTTGATTTCGATATGCGGTGTCGCAATTGAACACGCCTAAATCGGGAGGGGAAGATGAGTGGCAGTCGGCTGCTGCTGAGATGGGCAAGGTGGAGGTCCGTCGCTGAGAGGTTTTCAAAACGCCCCGGTTCAACGTCGTGCAGACCTCATCCACTTGGAAAGCGGGAATCTGGTGGTCCGTGCGTTGGTCGGGGTATCGGGAGGGACCGGTTGGCCAATCACGTGACTCAATCGCACCCCGTTCAGCAATGCAGGCCTGGAAAGGCTTTCTGTTTAGTCTACTTGCATTCATTGCTCTGCGTAATGTGATGAGCCGTGGAATGTATTTGGACTTAAAAGGGTTTCCGATTTTTTTCTCTTTCCAAAATGTAGTACTGCTCCTCCTGCCCTCCCGGCCACCGATCCACTTCAAATTATATACACAGTAAAAGCACGAGGCAGCTGTTCCTTCCCTGGGTTGGGTTTCCTCTCCAAGACCTAATAATGACTCGAGGGGAACTGAAACTTGAAACATTACGCAGCAAAACTACGGTAAGCAGCAGGTTACAGTACCTAAGGTAAGGTATCTTGGTAAACTTTGCTATTATTCGCTACCTGATCCCACGGTATCAACCATGCAATTGCTTTCCTTTTAACAATACTCCATTAGTGTAACTAAAAACTTGTAAGAAAACAAAATAGCCCGCCGTAGCGAACTTCGCTTATCATTATTCTTTCGCTCTTCAAGCGTGTGTTTGCTCGTTCATCTCCCGGTTCTCCTCCTTATCAACGGCAGGGCCTACATGGCCCAAAAATCGATAAACCTTGTAGGCCAAGTAGCCGCAGTAGACGACACCAGCAATCGTGCCATACGCTATGATGGGGCCGTTATCCTCTCTCGCTAGCCTTAGGCCGAGCCCGCCATTGATCACGCCCAGCGCCATCAGGATGCGGCCCCACCAGATGTGCACGTAACTGATCACACCTCGGTGGTGCGCCTTGACATAATGTAGATGGTGCAAGATGCCGAAGATGGGCTGGATGCCCAACAGGCTGACGACGACAGTTCCGAAGATGAGATGCGGCTCGTTCCAAAGCTAGATAGATCTCTGTCAGTGGAAGTGCTCGGTAGAAGCCGGGGCGCAAAGTTACTCACCATGCCAAATCTCTCGCCCGTAACGAAGCCCAGTGCAAAGCCCGCCCACATGAGACAGAAGGCGACGGCTTGCCAGGCGGCGTGAAACCACCACTTCCCAACCAGCGGCATGATCACGGAGCCGAGGGGGTAAAAAAGGACGAAGACAAGCGCCATGATGATGCCATGCGCCACCAGGATTGTCGGCTTCCTTATCGCGGCCTGGGTGATGCCACCGCTAGAGCCGCCACCACCAACCCCGGTGTCACCACCATCACCGCCGCCAGAGCCGGAGCCGGATCCATCACCATTCCCGTCACTGCTAGCTTGGACGAATGGGTTCGCGTCGGAGCTGACGGTTGCCGTGGTCAGGTCGATGTTGAACAGGGCACGGTCGTCGTGGTACGAAATGGTGGCGGCCTTGTCGGTTGAAGCCAGCGACGAGCCCGACTTCCAGGCGCTGATCCACGCCGCGCTGGTGCTCTGGAGCGACATCTCCCCACCGGTCCAGGACTGGCAGTTGGAGCACGCCACGTTGGCCGTCATGGTCGAACCATCATCGCTGACTCCGCTGCCGGCGAGGAGCGTCAGTTTGGCGGCGGTGCTGCTCGTGTCCAGCTTGGGCTCAGAGTGGCCCGTACCGAGTCGGGGCGACAAGGTCACGTTGCCATTCCCGTCCTGGTACATCAGGAAGATGCTGGAGTCCGTCATCCCTGTGCCGGTGCCCAATGCCGCCCATTGGAGCGATGTCGGGGCCTTAATCTGGAAGTAGATGTTTCCGGATCCAGCATCTGCTGAGGAAGTGGGGACGGCAACGCTGTAGCAGAGCCCTCCGGCTCCCGAAGGGCAGAACTGTGCGGGATCAGCGACCGCGAAGTCGGCTCCTGGATAGCAATGAAGGTTAGTCAATGCTCTGCTATTTTTGACTTGGCCGACGAGACTCACCCAAAAGGGAGACGGCTGACAAGAGCCAACCAAAGCTTCTCATTGTGTGTCGAGTGTGAAAGTAGGTACTGTATCTTCAAAGTTGCACAATGTTATCTATGGAGGGCTCGGGGATTGACCCGAGGATATAGGGCGACAATTTGCTGTTCCGAGGCCAAAAAACCGCGTCACGCCCTTCTGTTTGAGAATGCGCCGCGTCTCGGACTCAATTGGGGAGGAGGGGATGTTGAACGAATTGACACAGTACTTGGCTGCCTGAAAGAGAAGGATGGGGCGTCCAGGGCCAAATGCGTCGGATCGAGTTCGATATCACAAAGAATGGGGAAGGACCGGGGGACGAAGATGGGGGGGAGGGAAGCACAACGGTTTATAATACTGACTCGGACGGTCGAGTGTAGTCTCAGGCAAACGGACATGATGGGAACTTCCGTGCGGTCGCCTACATGGAAGTACCGAACTCCCGTGCAGACAAGGAAGAGGCTGAAGAACCTTGGTGCCGATGTGTGGGGGATCTTGGCAGGGCGGAAGGACTACGCGATGTTATCATTGCGGCTGTTTTGATACGATGATTCTGTATATTCGCCGATAACAAGGTATGTGTTCCGGCGCAGACCGGCGGTTACTGGCGTCCGGGACCAACATCCATGATGAATCCAGAGGCACAGCCACGGGTCAACGTTGTTCGGGTTGTCACCCCTGTGGTTGAGATTTTGTGGGAATCATGCAGGAATTGACTGCCGCAGGAAGCGCACGAAAGGGATCGACGCCGGGACTCGAGCGAAGACAGAACGTGCCTGCCCCCAAATCGGTATCACGCACTCGGCTCGACTTTCTCGGTGTCGATCAATCCTCGAAGAGCAACGACCGTCGAGATGCGATATTGCAGCTTCCATTGTGGGTCGGTGGGAGAGACCAAGTCTGCTGGCACTAATCTAAACCAGGTCTGGTTTAGCGCAGCCGTGACTGCCGTACGCTTAAATTTCACCGAAAAGGCCCAGACCTCTCTCTGCCCCATCCTGCTTCCCGCATCTTTCGGTCGGAACAAACCGCAAACCCAAAACTTAGGCATCAGAAGTTGACAAAGAGCCAGGCAGGAAATCGGCGTGAAAGAATCCAAAAGTCAGCAAGCACCAGGCGACGACACGTTGGACAGCGCTGCATGGAACGCTAACCCACCCCAGGAACTTTTACAGATTGCAGAGTTCCTGTTAGTTGCAGTGCAGTCCCCTGGTTCCGGCGGCGGTTGCAGGTGGGCACCTCCAGAAAGCTCGATTGAAGATCATCTCTCGCCAAATGTACCCTGCAGAATCCCACACAGCCCAGGATGACGACAACAAACCTTGGCGTTCCAAAGAACGCACTCACACAGGACCTGCAAGTCCGTTTCATATGTGCAAACACACCCTAAGTCACACCGGGTCCAACAAGAAGTCAGCGATTTGTCAGTTAAAAGTCGCGCCTTGGCTTCTTGGCGTTGTGCCCACGCCCATCATCGGAAAGCGTGGGGAACCGCAACTCCCCAAAGCCCAAAGGGACGGTCCGACTTGGGTTGGAATGTCTCAACCAAACTCCCTGGCATAGGTGAGCCAATCGGGCCTGGGCTAAACGTCCCAACACCTCCCGCGGACTCCCTTCCGGTGCTGCGTGCTGCCCACAGACATGACCGGGATCAACCGTCAACCATCAGCCATCAGCCAGCACCACAACCATAAGACTTCGTCACTCTCGCCAGAAGCAGGCAAGCCGGCGGCCTCCAACTCCTCCAAGCCCTCTCCCCCCAGTAGGCAGCGCTCCCGACAGGGCTGCAGGGGCAGCGTGCGAGCCATCGGAACGCCCTCGTTTCATGAGCCGTCGGCGAGAAGGCAGCTTGGCTTCACCTTGGCTGCATCTTGGCTCGGCGGCTGAAAGGTTCGAGATCTCAGACCTCCCATGTTTTGACCTCCGATGACAAAGATCCCATCCCACCGTGTCATAAGCTAATTTTCCGGGGCTGCTGTGGCAGTGTGGCAGGGGCCACGCAGTCCCGGCCCACGACAGCTGTCGTGCAATGGCTTAGATGATGCGCTCATCCGGAGCGTGATGGAATCATTCGTGCGGGAGGCTACGCGTCATTTCTACGCCTCGGGAGCTATGGCGGTGGCGGTGATTGTTCGTCAACGTCACCAACTTCGCTCAGCTTAGTTCCTGCTGTTGATGGCGGAAGGGAAGCGAGCTCCCCGGTAAGAGGGCATTGCATGAAACATGGGTAGCGTGAAGATGGTAAACTATACAATATGGCCCTTTGCTGCAGGTGACCAACACGGCGTCTCTTATTCGTCCTAGTTACATATCTCCCTGTTCCACCAAAAAGAGGTCCTTCACTCTCCCGGCGCAAGAGTCTTTGCCGCCCGATCAGGACTGATACCCCATCTCTCCTCCCAATCCCGAAATTGCACAATACATTCTCCCGGCCAGGACCAGGTCGTCGGCGAATGCATTTCCCTGCGCATCAAGCCGGGGCGAGTGGATCAAAATATCCCGGGTTTCTTTCCTCCTGCCCAATGCGGTCTTCACCTCGCCGTTTGGCAAGACGCTCCCATGTTTAAACTTCGTATCATCGCTCTCACCGGACAGGGAAGTATGCAGAGCCCGATTGGGGCGCAACGGCGGCTAGGGGCGGTTAGTGTACCCCCCGGACCTACACAGTAGCATGCACCCCGGCTGGGGCCATGGGCTGCGAGAAAACAAACCTTGAGGAGGTATACAAGGTACATGTGTATGCCGGTAATCGTCGAGCGGGAAGAATCATTGGGCTCCCGTCAAACCGTCCTTGCATGAGGTGGGACCTACATCCTTGCCTAACCGGGGACCAGAGTCGGCATTTTCCAGTCTCGTTTCGAGGGCTCAACGCAGATGGGACTGCACCGCTGCGGCAGATGATGAGACGCAGAGTCAAAAGGACATCTCCCGCCATCCAACGACATCAGAAATCGGGACTGTGGGATCAGCGCATGATATCAGTGAGCTCTATGGTACCCAGTAGGACATCTGCCGCTCTATATCCAGAGCGAAGGACCGCAAGACAGTGATCGAAAGCGTGTGAAAAGGGCGGTCATCAGCAGCTGCAATATCCATTGCCCTCCAAAAAAGCCCGGCAGGTAGGCCATCAGTGATCAGCACCGAGGGCACGGATTCCCCGCCCTCCCTGCTGCCGCTCCCTTCTCCCGCCTGATCTCCAAGTGAACTTCCCCCAAGCAAACCAACCGGTCAACCCTCACCCATCTCCTGGTTCCACAGGTCGCAAGCTTCCAGCTCAGCAAGGTCACCCGCAACAAGGAATCAACTGCGTCAGCCGTGCTGCGCTTCACAAGCGGGGCGTCCAAGTCTAAGTTGAAAGTCTGAACCCATGGCTCTCCAGCAGGCTGCTCGATGCGACAAAGCTGAAGCCGCCGAACGGATCGTCCTTGGCGCTGCCGCTGCCGCCTTCGAAACCACCGCCAGCCGCGTCCGCAAAGCGGGTCACGACCGGGCTCAGGCAGAGCTCGGTGAACTCGGATGAGAAGTTCTCTGCCAGCTCCGGGTCCGTGATGAGCGGCTGGATGGGCGGCTCCAGCTCGCGCGTGGCGAGCCGCTTCCTATATACGACAGTGATCAGCAGCAATTTCATTTTCAGTTACGGTGTGCCGGGGAGGGGGATTCGCGAGCCGAGCAACGGTTTCGAAAGCACAGCAACCACCGGCACAGTTAAAGAAGAGCCATGCGAGCGCGAACTTAACATACCAGTCGATCTTGCGGAAAAAGCGATGCTTCTTGATGATGTCCAAGTCCTTGGGCATGTTGGAGCCGAGACGTTTGGCCGGGTCCTTGCGTAGCAGGCGCGTGAGCAGATCCTTCGCGTCGGCGCTGAGGAAGAAGGGCATGGCCAGCTTTTGGCGCAGAATGTTGTCCTGGATCTTGGCATGGTTCGGGCCACGGAAAGGGGGGTGTCCCGTCATGAGGTCAAATCCCAGCGCCCCAAGCGACCACCAGTCGACCGCCTTGCCGTACTTCTTGCCCTGGATCACCTCGGGCGCCATGTACTCGACAGTACCGAGCATCGAGTTACACGCATCGGAATCGACCGCAACCTTGGAGAGGCCGAAATCGGTTAGAAGCAGGTGGCCCTGGGCGTCGAGGAGGCAGTTCTCCGGCTTGAGATCACGGTACACCACACCCAAGTTAGCGTGCAGGTGGGTCAGCGCGAGGACCATTTCGGCCATGTAGAACGCGGCCGTCTCCTCGGAGAACATCCTCTCCATACTCAGGTGGGTGAAAAGCTCGCCACCCTGGCCGTACTCGAGAATCAGGTACAACTTCTCCTGGTCCTGGAAGGCGTAGTACAATTTGACAACGAAGGGGTGCCGATTGACGCTCTCCAGGATCTGGCGCTCGGTCTTGGTCTGCTCGACCAGCTTCTTGTGGACGACAAGCGAGGCCTTCTTGAACTGCTTTTGGGCATACAGCCGTCCAGTCTCGCGGTGCTTGACCAATAAAACGGTTCCGTAGGCTCCCTTCCCAAGGCACCGGAGATGCTCAAAGTCGTCCGCGGTCATCTTACGACGGGAGGGAACAGCGGCCTCAACGGTGCGGCCGTTGGCCTCGCTCACGAAGTCGTTCTCCAGTTCAATTTCGTACCGGCTGCTGTCCTGCGATGCGGTCTCGTCTTCGCTGTTGATGACGCTTTCGGTTCGGCTCTTGTAGCCGCTGTCTCGGCCACTGCTGTCGGTCGTAGCATCGCTGGTGTGAAGGGAGCGGAGGCTCTCGCTACAAGTCAGAGAGGTCGTGCGCGATGAGGCAGCTGTCGAGTTAGCTGCATTATTGGTCGAAATGTTGAGGCCACCGAGCTGCATCCGCAGCTTGCTGATGCCGCTCAGGCCGCCCTGAGGGACCACCGGCCGGACCACCGGGCTGCAATTGGCACTGACAACATCGTTGATGGCAGGGGGTTTCTTGGATCGCTTGGAACGGCCCTTGCCGCCAGCCTGAGGAGTAGGGCAGTAGTCCGAGTCCTCGTCGCCAGAGACGGCCGGAGTTCCGTTGAAGCCACGCACAGTATTGAGCGCGGGGGTGGCCTTGGAATTCATCGAGCCGCCTTGGTCCGCCGGCTGCTCGAAACGGTGATGGAGGTCAAAATTGGAAAATCAATCAAAATAAAACAAATCTCAGAATACGTGCGATTCCGGCAATCGGGTCGAGGCGTGAGGCGTGTGTGTGTGTGGTTTTCAGTTGGTTATTCAAGCCTTTCCTCGACGTCGTCCAGCGTCAGCTCGCTTTTCGGTATTCCGGCTCAGTCCTTTGTGGCTCGGGATCACACGCATCTGGTGTTTGAAAAAAGAAGTAGAATTGTCTTGCTTAGTCGCCTTGGTCTGCATTGAGTGAGGTCTGTTTTCGGGGGGTGCGCTTGGTGAACTGCGTGTTCTAGAATGTGTTCACTTGGGAAAGGGAGAAAGCGCAGTAAGTGGCGGGGTGCCATTATTTATTTCAGCGCCTTCACATGCGGGCGCTGGGGCCCAGCAAACAGGAAACCTAAAAAAAAATTGTGGTCATACCATTGGCTGTGCCACGCTCAGGCTCACTGGGCGCGGATCGATCTCAGCCCCAAATCGCCCTGTTTTGCGGCGCTGGAACTGGCCTCATGATCCCCGGACCGGGGCCTCCGGGGACTAGGTGACCCATCTCCCCACGAAACCCGCATTTATGATGGAAATCCCGGATAGGTGCTTCTTTTATCCAAATGGTCCCGTCGAGCCGTCCCAACTTGAGAGGTTTAGCTCCATGAAAGCGTGACCCAAATCGGATACATTTCTTGACCGTGTTTAGTTCGCTAGAGCATACAAAGTCCATTATTTCATGGTACGACACCCGAAGTTTGTTGCACAAAGCGATGTGGCAGAACAAGGCGACCAATAGAGGCAAACCAGCTCACACGCAACCACTTCGTTGCTGGGAATCTGTCCACGAAGCATCAAGCCATTGTTTGCGACATTGGGCAACATTCTGCCTTTGGATTTCTGTTACATACTAGAGACGGAAGTTGTCCCCCCGCTCATCGTTAACGGTCACCTCGGCTGGGACTCGTTTTCAGCACCAAATTGGGGAAACTTGACATCTGAATCAGGACTCCTGATCTTGGGTTAGGGTTAGACGCATAAAAAAACACCATTTCGCCGAGACTGACCAGCATGGAATCTGGAAAGTACATACTTGGTAAGACGATTTACATACTGTGCAATCCGACCGCTAGCGGCTGCCCCACTAGGCTGCAGTTCCAGAACGCGATCCGTCCGGGAGAGCTTTCCATGCCTGATACAGATGACTGCGACTTCGAGGAGGAAACAACTCCAGCACCAACACCGCGAAAATGATGCACCCATCGCGCAGAGCATACGTGGAAGAAGCTGAGCCCGAGGTAAGAGTGTCCGCAACGCTCGCCGTCTATACTGAATTTACAGCAAACTTGACAACTAACCTGCACTCTCCCGCCTAGGAACGAGGTGGCATCGACCTACACTCCATCCGTACGTATACCAGGTATTATCCGATGATCCGTCGATTTCCTAACATGCACCACGGCAGCTATCGACCGCGACTATGATATTCCAGGCGCCGGCGCCGGCATTGCACCAGAGAAAGCGTCAGCCCTTCTATCGCAGTTCGAGCGGAAACGGCTAGCCGCAACCATTGCCGTCCCCACCGACGATGGACGAGTACGATCGAAACTTCGGGAACTCGGAGAGCCAGTTACGCTCTTTGGCGAGGGCCCCGCGGATAGGCGCGATAGGTTACGAGAGCTCCTTACCGAGCAAGCACATGGGCAGCAGGCCGGCGGTCAGGAGGGCGTGGATGTGGAGATGCAGGATGCGGAGGAGGAGGAAGAGGAAGCTGAGGAGCAAGAGGAAGAATTCTACTCCAGAGGAACGGACGAGCTCCTACAGGCGCGAATGAACATTGCCCAGTACTCGATACCGCGAGCGAAACGGCGCATCGAATTCCAAAAGAAGGAGGCCACCATCCCGCTACGCACACACGTAAAATTCCGGAAGGAGGTCAAGGAGCGGCTGCAGACCTTTGAGCTACAGGGCAGTCAGACAGCAGGAGACCGCCATATTTCCATGACAAGGATATCGCCCAATGGCAAGATGGTGGCAACCGGGAACTGGGGCGGCCAGGTCAAACTTATCGACATCCCAACACTCGAGCACAAACGAACACTGAGAGGCCATACAAACAAGATTAGCGGCATATCATGGATGCCAGGGGCGACCCTGCCTGAGAGCAATGTCTCGGAAAACACAGTCAACCTGGCATCGGGAGGTGCAGAAGGACAAATTCACCTGTGGTCGCTAACACAAGACACGCCCCTATCGACACTATCCGGCCACTCTCAGCGGGTATGTCGGGTGGAGTTTCACCCCTCCGGGAAGTACTTGGCATCTGCGTCAGAGGACACGTCGTGGAGGCTATGGGACGTCGAAACAACCACAGAGCTTGTCCTGCAGGAAGGTCACTCCCGCGGCGTGTACGCCGTCAGCTTCAACACAGACGGGTCTCTTTTAGCCAGCGCGGGCCTGGACAGCATCGGGCGAATTTGGGACCTGCGCTCAGGCCGGACAGTCATGATCCTCGACGGCGGAAACGACGGCCACATCAAGCCCATCTATGGCCTCGACTGGAGCCCGGACGGCCACCGAGTGCTGACGGCGTCTGCCGACGGGTGGATCAAGTGCTGGGATGTCAGGAAGGTGCAACGGTCGGGGGGCATCGGCGCGCACACGAGCGCCGTGTCCGACGTCAGGTGGTTCAAGGGCCTCGACGACCCCGTGGAGGGCATTCACCCGGGCGAAGATGAGAAGGGCATGCAAATTCCCAAAAAGTCGGGCACCTTCTTGGTCTCGGCAGGGTTCGACCATAAGGTCAATGTCTTCTCAGCCGATGACTGGGCTCTAGCCCAATCCCTCACAGGCCATACGGGCCCCGTGGCCAGTGTCGATGTGAGCAGGGACGGGAGATGGATTGTTAGTGGTGGGCATGATCGGACGGTCAAGCTATGGGGGAGGAACGACTCGGCTGGCATGTTTGGGGACGATTAGTCTGGGAGGAGTTCCGGGGTTGCGTATGTATGACTTCTTAGAAAAGGGGTGGTGAGCCAAAATGATGCAAGATACCCGAAGTCAAGCTTCTAATCTGGACATACTGTGTGCGCAATTCCGCCCTTTGTTCTATCCTTTGTTTGGCCTTTGTTCCAGAGCGTGAAAGCCCCTGAGTGTGCTATTGGGACAGTGCCGAGGCCAATGGATTGGGGATGCCGCGCGCACGGCCCCCCACGGCCCAAAACGCCCCACGACCTCGATAAACGGTCGCGGCTTCGGGATACTTTATCGCGACCCTTGCCCCTTGCGAAGTTGAAGAAAGAAGCATCTCTCCATCTCGACAAACAACCGTCAACTTCACCGTCGACAAACAACACCATCAATGCGACTCATCTAATCAAGCGCTCTCTAGAAAGAGGCACAAGGAGGACCCCCGACAACGATAACTGCGCACCTGCACTGCGACTGCACCGCAGAAACAAGAAAGATGTCGAGCGTTGACAGATACCGTCCCGTGAGGGAAGGTTACCAGCCGCCGTCGCTCCCACCGAAACCGATGCCTGCCGCAATTGATCGTTTATCGAAGTCGCCCTCGAGGAGACGCGACGTTCCCCCCGCCGTTCCCTCACCACCGACCCATTCATCGAGAACATCCCCACCCCGGCCACACTCTCGCAGGAGCGCACCCTCGCCTGCGCAGTCGAGTCCACCCAGAGCTCCGCAGCCGAGGCCGAATCAATGGTTCTTCACCGCGGATGAAGTGGCCAGCACCCCTAGCGTCGCTGAGGGCCTGCCGCTGGCGGAGGACAGACTCCGGAGGGCGAAGGGCGTCAACTTCATCTACCAGGCCGGGATTCTCCTCGAGCTGCCGCAAATCACATTATGGGTTGCCGGCGTGTTTTTTCACCGGTTTTACATGCGTTACAGCATGATGGAGGAGAGAGGAGGCATCCACCACTATGTAGGGATCTCTACTCGTGCTGAACAAAGAACCGTGCTCATCAATCCTGCAGAACATCGCGGCCACTTCGCTCTTCCTCGCCAACAAGACAGAAGAGAACTGCCGTAAAACCAAAGATCTCATCATTGCCGTCGCCAAGGTCGCACAAAAAAACACCAAGCTGATCATCGACGAGCAGAGCAAAGAGTACTGGAAGTGGCGTGACAGCATCTTGGCTTACGAGGAACTGATGCTCGAAACGCTAACCTTCGACCTCATGGTGGACAACCCGTACCTGCGGCTTCACGACTACATGAGCCAGTTGGAGTTGCTTCACAACAAACCAATGCGCGACTCGGCCTGGGCCTTCTGCAACGACTCGTGCCTGACGGTGCTGCCACTGCTGCTCAGCGCGCGCGACGTGGCGATTGCCGCCATCTTTTTCGCCTCGGCAGTGACGCGCGAAAAGATCGACGACGTGAACGGCGAGCCGTGGTGGCGGTGCTTAAAGGGTAGCGAAACGCACACTGTGAAGGCCGTTGAGCTCATGACGGAGTTTTATAAGGAGAACCCGCTGCGCAAACAGGACTCTAAGGTACCCGGTTCGCCCGAGTTCAACCTCGAGAGCACCCGTCGCCGCGGCGAGCTCAGCCTCAGCCAGATGGACCTCGACTCGAGCCAGTACGGCACCCCGACGCCCTTGGGTACCGATCGCGGCGGCACGCAGAGTCCCCGCCCCCCAATCGCGCGCCTAAATGGCAAGCCGGAGCGGGAGAGTAACGACAGCAAGGAGGTCGCGATCAAGAAGGAGTACCCGTCGGACTCGTCGGCTACTAAGATGGGAGACGAGCTGCGGGCCCCGGCAGTTGTGGAGCCCGCGTCCCAAGCGAGCAATAGGGGCGATTCGGATGCCGCACTTAAGGCGGCGGCGAACGACCTGGATACTCACGAGAGCTCCAGCGCCACGCTGAACGGAAGTACCCTCGGCGGCGGGGGGTTGATCTCGCCCCGAATCAAGAGACGGAGTGAAGACCCGGAGGGGTGGGAGGAGCGGGAGTCTAAGAGACGCAAACTGGATGACGAGGATGAGGGTGAGATCAAGGGGTCATGATCTTTCCGGCTTTTGGCGGCGACCATTTTGAGTCGATTTGCTGCTGTCGTGTTTTGCTTCTTCATTCTTGTTTCGGGAATGGGTTTAGGGAAGGCGTCACGGCTAAGGGGACATAGCTGGGCGGTTGGACTGACTTATGACTCCCTTTCGCGGATCCCCCCCCTTTTTTTGCCTTTCCTCAGGGCTACCTTCACGGGGAGGGCTTCGTTTAGCGAATACCTCGTTTTGTACATTTACATGATTTCTCTTCACTTACGTCGTTTAGATGAGCCGGCCCGCTGCCGCGTGCGGTGTTGTGTTTGGTATAGCAGGAGTGGCCGCGGGGGCATTAGCTTTAGTAGTAGCTAGAGGAACAAAGAACAAACAAATTCCACGCATGCCACGCTCGATATCTACATGATATATAATTCACCCCCCCCAGCAACCACCCTCGTCACCCCCGTACATTTACCCCGTCCCACCACCACCCCTCCTCAACCCCCTCCTCTCCTCCAAAAAATCCACCAAATCCAGCATATTCCCGCACGCCATCAACCCCGCCCTCTCCCCGCGCGTCAGAAGCGCGCGCTTGTCGGCCCCCATCCCCGGCCCGCACATCTCGCTGAGATGGTGCTGCACCAGCTTGAAGGGGAGCGGCGCCCGCGCCGTGTTGGTGAGGAAGGTCTCGACCGCCGACCACGGGCAGGCGTCGTGGCCTGCGTAGAGGGCCGGGTTGGCGAGCAGGGCGCGGGCGGACATTAGGCCGGCTAGTTTGGGGAGGGGGGTGAGGGTGCGGATGTCGGGGGGGTTGGGGGGTTTGGAGGTGGTGGTGGTACTGACGGTGGTGCTGGTGGTGCTGGTGAAGGTGGGGGTGGGGGTGAGTAAGGGGGTGGTGAAGGGGAGGGTGCCGAGGGCGAAGACGTCGCCTGATAGGAGGATGGGCACGCGGTCGCCGAAGGTGGAGGTTAGGATTTCGAGCGCTTCGAGGTTGATGGGCGTGCTGGAGGGGGTGGACCGCGTGCGTGGGTGGATGGTCAGCCAGTCGATGTGCCGGTCTTGGTCGGGGCCGAGGACGGTGGTGATGAAATCCATTGTTTTTCTAGAGGGAAGGGGGTTGTTAGTTGGGGAAGGGAGGTCATCTTTCGGTGTGGGGGGGCGTACCGGAGGTCCTTGTGTACTCTGATCTTGACGCTCACACTCCGCCCCTTCGGGTTGTCAATGTCCTTCTCCTTGTCGACACCCCAGCCATCTCGGCGGAGCTGTTCCCGGGTCTCGACGACCATGTCCCGTACCAGTTCCCGCTTCTCCATCAGAGCTGCCCCGAGAGTCTCGGAACAGGCCCATGACTGAGGGCAGCCGCAGTTCAGGTCCACGCCGCTACAGAATGGTGCCACGAGAGATGAGGCTCTGGCGAGTTCTTGTGGCACGTTGGCGCCAAATTGGACTATTGTTGGGGGTTGGGGGCCGTTGGTGGATATTGTGAAGTCTAGAGAGTCAACAATAGTCCGTCTCAGGTCTGGCAGCATGGACTTACCGCTATCTCTGGCAAAGTGGTTCCTGTTAAACTCCTTGGCCAGTATCATGGGTGTCCAGCATAGGTCTGTGCCATAAGCATAAACCGTTTGACGAAAGGCCAGCTGGGAGTCGTCAGATTAGGTCCATGGGCAGGAAAGGGGTTGAACGCCAGCCACGTGCCTTGCTATAGCGCACCATAGGCGCCGATGTGTATAAGAGCCTCTTTTCTTTTTTGGCAATATCGAAGAGCTTCAGGGGGCTGGTGATAGTTGGTGAGACTTCATTAAGATAGGAGAAAAATGGGAGAAACAAGAGAAACTCGACGGAGGGGATATGATCGAGGAACAGAGGGGTCCTTACTGGATGAAATCCAATCCTAGTATTTCGGCCATGTTCGTAAGACTGAGATATATCTAAAGCTATCGAAAATATTCAAGAACGTGATGGTTTTCCTGCTGTTGGATGGTACATAAGTGGTTAAGAATAAATGGTCAGATCCTTGAAGGGGTGTTGTGTTGTTGCTCACCTCGCTGAGTGTAATTATCACACCTTGTGTATTTAATCCAAGAAAATAGGCCGAGCTCATTCGTATCCTAACATCAGATGTACGCTTCTATCAACGTTCTCTTTCAAGTCAGTCATGGAAGTCTCCTTCAGTGAAAGTGTGGGGCACGCGCGTATTTACAAAATTTGGAGTCATTCACTCAAGCACCACCCGATTTCGGTCTTCATCTCCAACTCCAAGCTTGCAAGTCAACCTTCCTTTACCACAAAAACAACCAAACCATTTTGCAGTCGGTAAGGTTGAAAAAGTGAGAAAAATATGTCAGACGACAGAAACCCCGTCATTGGCCTGCTGGGCGGTGGTCAACTCGGGCGCATGCTGTGTGAGGCGGCCAATCCACTCGGCATCGACATCGCCATTCTCGACGAAGAGAACTCCCCCGCCAAGCAGGCGCACAATACCAACCGCCATGTCACCGGCTCGTTTAAGGACGCCGCTCGTATTCGGGAGCTGGCTGCTCAATCTGACTTTTTGTCGGTCGAGATTGAACATGTCGAGACCGAAGTGCTCGAAGATATCGAGAAGAACGGCGTCGGGGTGAAGCGGGCCGACGGTACCACCAAAATTCACAAGCCCCCCGTCCACCCGTCATGGAAAACGATCCGTCTCATCCAAGACAAGTACCTCCAGAAGGAGCACTTCCGTACGAGCGGCAAGGGCATCCCTATCGCCGAACAGGTGGCAATCGAGTCTGGGCCAGCCGCTCTCGACTCGCTCAAGAACGCCGCCAACAAGTTTGGCCTCTCTTTCATGCTTAAGGCACGGAAGGGCAGCTACGACGGGAGGGGCAACTTCAAGGTCGGCAGTGTGAAGGACTTTGAAGCTGCAATCAAGGCACTTGGGGGGTTGAGCCTGTACGCCGAGAAATGGGTCCCCTTTGTCAAGGAGTTGGCCGTCATGGTCATCAGGACGGAGGACGACAACGGCACGCTCAGGAGCTGTGTCGCGTACCCCGCTGTCGAGACAATCCACGAGGACAGCATCTGCACCAAGGTCTTTATGCCGCCGAGGGACGTCTCGGATGCTGTCTGTGAGGCTGCCAGGAAGTTGGCAACAGAGGTGATCAGCACTCTCTGGGGCCGCGGTGTCTTTGCCGTGGAAATGTTTGTTCTCGAAGATGGTATGGAAATCCACCCCTCTCGGTGGACGCTTTCCACTAACACTCATAGGCTCCCTGATGGTTAACGAGGTTGCCCCTCGTCCTCACAACTCGGGCCATTACACCATCGAAGCAGTACCCCAAATGTCGCAGTACAAGGCGCAAATACATGCCGTCCTTGACCTCCCCGTACCAAAGAATCTAACACCCAGGGTTTCCTCCTCCATCATGCTCAACATTCTCGGCGGCGCCACTCCCTCGGCCCATCTCCCGCTCGCCGAGATGGCCCGAAAGACCTTCGACGACGATATGGACATCCACCTCCACCTCTACAACAAAGCCTCCAAACCCGGCCGTAAGATCGGCCACATCACCCTCACCAGCACCACGCTCTCCATCCACGACCTCGAAACCAAAGCAAAACCCCTAATCGACCTCGTCAACTTGATCCGCCACGACCGCCTCACCGCGTCTGCCGAAACCCTCCGACCCGCAACCACCACCACCACGCAACCCACCCCATCAACCGCCCCCACCCCCACCTCAGAACACCCCCTCGTCCTCATCACCATGGGCTCGGACTCGGACCTACCCGTGCTGAGCGCCGGGCTGGCAATCCTACGCGAGTTCGGGGTGCCGTACGCGGTGGACATCACGTCGGCGCACCGCACGGCGCGGTACATGATGGCGGTGGCCGAGGGGGCGGCGGCGCGCGGGGTGCGGGTCGTGATCGCGGCGGCGGGCGGCGCGGCCCACCTGCCCGGCATGCTCGCGTCCGAGACGCCGCTGCCGGTGATCGGGGTTCCCGTGAAGGCGACGCATCTGGATGGGGTGGATAGTTTGTTGAGTATCGTGCAGATGCCGGTTAGTTGGTTTTTCGTTTTATCTGTGTTTCCTTCCCCTTTCCGACACCCTGCCCCCGTTTCCGTTTTTGTTTTTTTCCCCTTTGTGTAGAAAGGGGACCGTCGCTGTTGTGAGTGAGTGATTCATAGCTGACCAAATTGGGATTCAAACAGAGGGGCGTGCCGACTGCTACCGTCGGGATCAACAACTCGACTAATGCCGCGCTGCTGGCCATAAGGATCCTTGGGTCGTTTATGCCCGAGTACCAGGAGAAGATGAAACGCTACCAGGCCGACATGGAGGAGCAGGTCATTGCAAAGGGGACTAAGCTGAGGGAGGTTGGGGATGTCGAGTACCTTGCTGCGAAGGGTAAATAAGTTGGGTTTACTCACAGGTGGGGGAAAAAAGGGAAAAGGTTGGGGCATAAAAATGGACGAGTGGGTGGGTTTGTCGATTTAGATCACGCCGAGGCCCCGAATGAATATGAATGAAGACTCGTAAGCTCCGAAGGGATGTGTAGCGGATCTCGCTCACTGTGTTCTGAAAAGAAATTATACCGATCAATATGCCTCTCATAATCACTCCCCACAACAACTGAGAGAAAAGAAGGAAAACATAAGTGCCTAGTAACAGATGCGACAAGCGGCGTAAAAGAAGTAGGCAATGCAAGCTTTGCAAGCTTCTTTCTTTCAAACCATCCCATACAGCATTTACATCCCCTATTTCAGGGTTTTCTGTGTGTTTCAAGATCAAAATAAAATTCAGACTATCGCTTATACCGACACTTAGAGAACAAGTGATACTATCAACCTCAGACGACCGCTGAATCTCCTCTAGTTATGCGGCACCGTCAGTGGTGGCTGCAACGTTACCACTTTAGTAGTCACCACAGGCGCGGACTTGGTCGGGCACGGGGGAGGCGTGAAGGTAGGCCACGGCTTGCAGTCGGGGAAGCAGCTGGACAATATGTTAATTTCTCGTTTCTCTTTTCTTCAAGAAAGCCCAAGATGAGAGTGTACTTACCCGCCGTACATCATACCGCAATCGTTGATACCGTCCCAGCAAACCGAGACGTGGGTGTTGCAGCTCGCGGCTTTGGTGGTGGAGGTGGTGAACTTCTTGGTTGGGGTGGGGGTCACCGGGGGCTTGACCGTGGGCTTCTTGGTGGTTGGCTTGGGGGTCGGCTTCTTGGTTGGGGTCGGCTTCTTGGTTGGGGTCGGCTTCTTGGTTGGGGTCGGCTTCTTGGTTGGGGTCGGCTTCTTGGTTGGCGTGGGTTTCTTGGTTGGGGTAGGCTTCTTGGTCGGCGTGGGCTTCTTGGTTGGCGTAGGCTTCTTGGTCGTCGTGGGAGTCGGCTTCTTGGTTGGGGTGGGTTTCTTGGTTGGGGTGGGCTTCTTGGTCGTCGTGGGAGTGGGCTTTTTGGTGGGCTTTTGGGTAGCTGTCGGCTTAGGCTTGAGGGTGGTCACTTTGGTGATGACCTTGGTGGTAGTAGGAACGGGAGGCTTCTTAGTGGTCGTTGGGCAGGGCGGTGCGACGGGTTTGGCCGAGAGGTCACAGACATCGTAGCAACTGTTACTGTTTCAGAAACCACCCTTTTCGTTCTATCACCCGAATACATACCCGCCATATCTGATCCCACACGTGTTGATCCCATCGACACAGATGGTTTGGGAGTGGCACTCTTCATCCCCGGTTACCACCGGAGCGGCTACCACCAGTCCCGCGAGCAGGAGGATGGACGAAAATAGGGGCATGGCTGCTGCGTGATGCATGTTGGGCAAGTGATATGTCAATCCGGACTCAATGGCTGAGGAAGTCACTAGATAGGAAGGTGAGATAATCAGGATCAGGAAGCACGCACTGGCATCAAGACACGGCGAGCAACCCAGAGATATAGAAAGGTCTAGCCGGGCCTGTTGCAAGTAATGCCGTCGAGGATAACGGAACGTAACTTCATATCCTCGAAACCGGCAGCACAAAACTCCATGGCCGTACACGCAGGGGTAACCTATCATGATTGAGAATGTTAAGAGGTTAACTCTATCAAGCCGTCTTGGTCAGCCACTCAAGTGTCGACTCTAGTAGAACTTCTCGTATCCAATTCGTAGATACTGCTCCAATGGAAGCCAAGGCGGATACTTAAGGGGAGCTTAGCAGAAAAGGGTAAGGAGGAAATAGTGCTCCGTCGGAAGTCCGCACTGCTGCAGGTACGTCAAGGGAAAGTACTGTGTAGGGTTGCGAAGAGGAATAGGCTAAGGTACCCAATCCCGCGTTTGCAAAACCCATGAGGTGTGATGACTGGATAGGCCGCTATGTTACGCCCTCAAAGTTCCCCGTCCCTGGTCCGGCACCGTTATGGCACTGGCCATGCCATTGCCGGGCATTCTCTCTTTACCTGCATACTGTACGTCATGGAGTTATGTTGGTAAGTGTGGAGTGGAGGGCCTAGATGCCTTGGCTTTGCTCCTGCAGTCTGGTGAACATCTGATTGCTGCTTGTAGATATGCAGACGAGTTCTTGAGTCCAGATCTTGCGGTTGACGGCGGCTTATCTCGGAGATCAAGTCTTGTAAGGCTACCTGGGTAAATCTTTGCGGTTGGCGGCGGTTTATTTCGGAGACGATTGCTTTCGTGGCGATTCCGGGTTACGACATGCACCAGCGGTTGTTATTTGATACATTATCGAACAGGAAGGAGACAATAAATACAAATTTGGGGCAGACGGATGAGGGTGGTCTGACAATCATGTTTGTAACCCGGAAAATGGTACCAAACGGAGAATTTAGGTTAAGGATCGCCGGCCTCGAGTCTTTCTAGAACCCTATGATCGGCGATGGAAGCCTGGTTCACAAGAGGAAGGCGAGACAGAATTGGCAATGCAGAGGCAATCACGACCAGACCAGGTGAGCCGGAAATCATCCGCGGCGCCGTGGCACTTGCCCTCTGGGACGTGGTCCTCTGTTTTTGTGCGAGGTTGATAACTTATTTGTATGCAGTAGTAGATGAAATGATTGAACTCTTAACCGGGTGTCTGGGGAAGACAATGTACCGAATGCTAAAAATAAGTGTTTGCTAAATTTCGACTTAATCAATTGCGTCCCTCCTGCAGCTCTTAATATCTGGGCGGGAGAATCCACCATCAAGAACGCCCAATTTGCCTGTTCTGCCCCTTCACCGACGGGCGCGGCAATCCTCGGCGGTAGCACAAACAAAATCGAATGATGTTGGAGGGGTGTTTACCAACAAAACCCGCCGTGGAAGGAACGTGGGAACAACATGTTCGATGGTAGAGGACCCGTGTTGCGCAATCACATGGCTATGATGAGGAAGGCGAGACCAGCAACAGCATAAAAGAGTGGTGCTCCTTCCGTAGAAAGAATCAGAGTGTTGATCTCCATCTCACAATCTGAGACAAAGTGAGCAGAGCAATTGGATCTCCGAGTCCTAAAAAGCAACCTAACTGCAAATTGTCACCCAACCAACAACATCCACATCAACAACCAACCCCAAAAAACCCGCCATCATGAGATTCCAAGCCGTCACGTTGGCCCTCTTCGCCGCCGCCGGCCTTGCAACCCCCATCCGCCGGGACGTCAGCCAGGCGGTCTACACCCTGCGCCTCACCTCGTAAACCCCCCTCTCCAAAGCACCACCCACCCCCAACCAACCCCCAACTAACCACCCACCCCCTACCCCCCCAACAGACGCAACAAGGCGCTCGACGGCCTGTACCTCACAGCAGCCTCCTCCGCCAACAACCAAGAGACGACCACCCTCGGCGTGAACACCTCCGCCGACCCGTCAGCGGCGACAGTCAAGTTCCACCCGGTGCGCAACCCCGACACGGAGCTGGACGAGCTGCGCAGCGCGGCGGAGGGCGGCGGCGCGCTGGCCGTGGTCGGCGCCAACGGCCTGCTGGACTTTGCCGCGCTCGCCGACCCCGAGGCCGTGCCCGCGCCCGACGGCACCACGGTGGATTGGACGTCGTTCCGTCTTGACCAGGAGGACGGGGCGGTTGAGTATGTGGGTAAGGGTGTGGAGGGCGGCTGGGTCGCGTTCCCGGTTATGGGGGAGGAGGAGCGCTGGAGTGTGAAGTGGAGGGATGGTGAGTTTTTGCGTTTTTCTTTTTTTGCGGTTTCTGTTTCTGGTGTGGGGGGGTTGAGTGAACGGAGTGCTGACGTGTGGTGCTGATAGTGACTGCGTGGACGACGGAGAACTATATGCCGGTGCAGGTTGTGTACGAGCTCGTCGAGGAGTAGCACGATTCGGCGACGGGTTGGGTGAGTTGTTGTGGCCACTCCCCCTGAACGGACGATTCGGGCCGTCGTTGTTGTTATGACGGGAAAAGCTTGTGTTTTCAAATGTTTTGCTATTGTATTGTTACTTTGGCCGCGTTCCCTTCTCAAAATCCCTCGGTCGTTGCCAGTCAAGCAGCATGGCTGCTGAAATAAAACCCTGAAGCTTCATGGTTGCTATGCAAGACAACCGAGTGTTGTTGATATTCGCTCAAAAGTCAGAGGTGAACCACGAAAAACCTAAGAACCATCCTATTGTTGTTATTGTGACAGTAAACTCCGACCATGCACGAGACCAGGGTAAGTTTACATATCTACCACGTCCGATATTCAGGACTCACACCGCCGCCCACTCTTTTGCCGCCCACGCCATTCTCCATAGCCAGGATATCCTTTCTCATTTGCTCCATCACAACCTCACCGCACTGCCTTCCCCTTAAAAAGCCATCTCCTTCTTGATCTGGGCGATCGCCAGACCGGGGTTGAGGCCCTTGGGGCATGTGCGGGTGCAGTTGAGGATGGTGTGGCAGCGGTACAGGCTCATCGAGTTATTCAAGGCGTCCTTGCGCTGCTCCGTCTTCTCGTCACGCGAGTCGACCAGCCACCGGTACGACTGGAGGAGGATGGCGGGGCCCAGGTACTCCTCCGAGTTCCACCAGTACGAGGGGCACGACGTCGAGCAGCATGCGCAGAGGATGCACTCGTAGAGGCCGTCGAGCTTCTTGCGGTCCGCCTTGCTTTGCCTGTACTCCTTGCCCTGTGGTGTGTGTCAGCCCCAGCCCCAGTTACCGACCCCATGCGCGCAACCGTCCACTTACGTCCTCCGCCGGCGTATCCCTTTGCAGATACGGCTTGATCGACTTGTACTGCTTGTAGAACTGGGTAAGATCGGGCACCAGGTCCTTGACGACGTAGGTGTGCGGAAGCGGGTAAACTTTAAGCTCGGCGTTGTCCTCGGCGGGGATGCGGCCTGGGGATCGTTAGCCCTCCTCGTTCCGTCTCCTCCCCTCCCACCTCATCCCGGCCCAAACGTACACAAGCAGGCGAGGGTGTTGGTTCCGTTGATGTTCATGGCGCAGCTACCGCAGATGCCCTCTCGGCAACTCCGGCGGAAGGTCAGGGTGGGGTCGAGCTCGTTCTTGATGCGGATCAGGGCGTCGAGGACCATGGGCCCGGTCTTGTTCAGGTCGAGGGTGTAGCTCTGCATCTTGGGCTTCTCGGTTGGTGTGTCGGGGTTCCAGCGGTAGATTTGGAAAGTCTTGAGGTTGGCCTTGTCGCCCGACGCTGTCTGGCTCTGTTGCTGGCCGTCGACGACCTGGGCCATCCCGCGCATCGCAGCGGGGGAAGCAACGGCCGCGCGCAGGACCGGCCTGGACGCGGCGCCGAGTAGGAGGGATGCGGAAGAGCGGAGAGCTGCCATTGTCGCGAGACGGGCGATTGAGATGCGCTTGCACTGACGACGTCGACGATTGCGAAAATCACGGCTCGGAAAAGGCCTCGGGATGTCACGCACGGTTCGTTGGTGGCGGCGATGCCATTGAATTGAATGTGGATCCCGCTTTGCCGGACCTCGGGCCAGGCGACCAATGGCGTTCACTGGGTTTGAATTCACTCTTCCGGCGGTGCCCGTCGCCCGTGCCTCGCAACGAAAAGCTCGGCAGTCCAACAGCAGCTCTTCTGGGTCTGTTTCCACCTGGAGCTGCTCCGCCATGCTTCGGCAACGTCACCACTCGGCTGTTGGCAACTGAAACATGAGGCTCACTAACACGTGAGAGTCACTAAATCGGGCTGAGTTGCCAGGTTCAATAAATAGCACACTCCTCTGGGGTTAATTGAGTGATGTGAACGAATGTTCTCAACGTGGAAGTGCGCATGAGTTATATTTTTGTCGTTCATATCAATGCTTCTCGAGCAGTTCAGCCATGTCGAGTCTTCATGATGATAGCTAGGTTAAACTCGTGGTGGTTGTTACCATCCTTCAACGGCAACTTGTGTAGTTCCTTTGCATCGCTTGTATCCGCAACTGCAACAGCGTCAATCCCTCCACTTATCCTCAACCGGGTCGTACCCCAAGACCTCGGGCTCAATATTCAAGCTCTTGAGCATCATCATCATCGTAAACTCCTGCAAGTAAATAGTCAGCTCACGTCCCGCACCCCCAACGTAATAATAAGTAAACCCAACTTACCGTCTCCCCACTCTCCTCCTCTTCCTCTTCCTCTTCCTCCTTTTCCACCTCCCTATTCCCCTCCCAACCACCATCTCCATCCTCACCCCCCTCCCCTCTTTTACCACCACCACCACCACCACCACCACCACCCCCACCCCATCTCCCATCCCCATCATCATCACCCCCCCACCCACCACCACCCCTCACAACCCGCCGACTCCCCCTCCACGCCCTCGCCCCCCCCATCCCCTCCACCCGCCCCCTAATCAGCCCAAACAGCTCGTCCGCGGCCAGCCGGCTGGTGGCCTTCCAGCGGGCGGCCATGGCGCACAGCTCGGCGTCGACGGGCTCGCCGGGCCGTTTGGCGTGCGCGGAGTCCTCGATGCGCCGCGCCTGCCGCACGAGGTCGAGTCGTCTTTGGGTGGTGCGGAGGGTGCTGGTCAGGGCGGTTTGGGAGGTTTGGAGTTGGTGGAGGAGGGGGGTGTTGTTGTTGTTTTGGGGGTTGTTGGGGTTGTTGGGGTTGTTGGGTTTGGGTTTGGGTTTGGGTTTGGGACGGTTGGGGGTGGTGGTGGTTGGAGTGCGGTGTGGTTTTGATGTGAGGCTCGCGGTTCGCTTTAAAAGTCCTGGGGTGCTGCTGGCGCTGGCGATGCTCGGGCTGGTGGAGAGGGGAGATGCGGCGACAGGGCGGTGGCCTCCCCGGGCCGGCACTGGTGTTGCTGGAGTGTGTGGAGTGAAGCTCGCCGCGGACGAGGTTTGGCTGATGCTGGGTGAGGGTGCACTATCTGCGCCAGGCTCGGTTTGTTGTTGCCGGCTTACGAGCGGTGATCTGAAGGGTTTCCGGAGGGTGGCATTTGCAGTTTCAATCCGCCGTCGCTTGGCGGCCGGGCCGCCGGGGGTTTGGAATGACATTGTGGCAAGTGTGATTGAGCCGCATCTTTGAAGTATCACATCTTATCTATGGCTAGTCAGATTCATGCGGAGGGCGGATGTTCCGGTTGCGTTGCGTTGCGTTGTGAGGTGAGTGCTGAGGGTTGAAAATTCAAGGTTGGGTCTTGGTTGTTGTTAGGTGTTGTTAGTGTACGGAAACCGCAACTCGCCATGATGAATCCAAAACATTGAATTTTAGTTTAGTAAATATCGGCAGTAACAGCACTGTGGGCACGGCCCACATCCGTCTTGTTTCGATGCACGTCATCTACAATTTGCATGTTGCCGTCTCAACGATCTTTAACGCTAATAATGATTCATGTAACCAATACGCCGCTACCTACTCCAGACCGCGGTACTTTACTGCATACACAAATTTCGACTCTGTTTCATTAATGCCCGACACCTCCAGCAGCCCACTGCCCAAAGTTCGGATCCCCAGGCTGCGGAAAGAACCCCCTTTCCTGCTGAGGCTGTTGCTGGTTTCCGGCGGCTGCCCCTCCCTGAACGCCTCCTTGGTGCGGTTGCTGTTGCTGCCTCCTCGCTTCTTCCCGCCTGGCCGCCTGCTGTCGCTGTTGGCGGTACATGAGCAGGAAAACCAGCGCGGCGGCCAGGCCGAGGATCATGACGCTCTCCACGAGGCCGTCGTCGTCGAGGTCCAGCCCGTCCTCATCCGTCATGCCGTCTCCGTACTCCTCGTAGAGTTCATCATAGTATTGGGTGTCGTCGTCTTGTAGGAAGTTATTGACCCAATCGGTGAGGGACCATTGTTTTTTAAGTGCTATCCAAGTAATGTTTGTCAGTCTTGAGCTCAACTACCGATCGTCCGGCCCACCTACCTGGCTCATCTTGAATAGAGTTGATCCTGCCGTTCGTGAGGGTATTCCAGGCGCTCTTTGCCCGCAGCTTCAGTAGGCTGAGCGAGACCGGGAGATATGCCTCCTCGTTCGTCGCCCGCGCGGCATCATAGTAGCGCTTCGCAAGATGGTAGTCTTGGTTCAGGCCGACGCCATGCTCGTGCATCCACGCGAGATTGTACAGCGCCTGTGCGCTCTGGTGGTATTCAGACGCCCCGGTGTAGCACTGAACGGCTTTATCTACGTCGGTGTCGGTGCCGATCCCGTACAGGTAGTAGTCGCCCATCTTGACCAGCGCGTCGATGTTGCCCTGGCGGGATGAGCGTGTCCAGTAGATCAGCGCAAGAGTTGGTTCCTGGAGGATGGCAGCGGCTGGCTGATGAGATAGCAGCTGGGCGATGGGCAGGCGGGATTTGGCGGGGTCAAGAATGTGAGCGACGTTGTTCTGCGCTTTCTCGTATCCCTGCTCGGCGGCACCCAGGTACTGAAGAAGCGCCAGCTCGGTGTCGCCGCTCTCATATGCCAGATTGGCTTCAGCCCAGGATGAAACAAGGGGCTCGGCCCTCTCGGCCACGTGCTTATAGTAGGACACGGCTGTGCTACACGATCTATCGTGTGTCACGCCGATATTGTTGGCTTCGGCAAGGTGGTAGTAGGCATCGATATTGGCCCACCGCGAGGCAAGCTCGAAGTAGTGGTTCGCAGTCGCCACGTCTTCGTTGCTCCCGTGGTCAAGGTAGAGATATCCAAGCTGCACCTCTGCAGGCCCGTAGTCTTGGGTAGCGGCCGCCTTGAAGTAGTCAATAGCTTGACCAGCGTCCGCCTTGACGCCGTATCCGTTGAGGTACAGCAGACCCAGGCCGTACTGAGACTGGGCGTCTTTGAGAGACTCTCCGGCATCGAACCAGATCTTGGCACGCTCAAAGTTCTGCTCGACTCCTTCTCCGCGCAAGTACATGCGCCCGATGTACCCTGCCGCCTTGCCGGCCGTCTTATCCAGACCGACTTTGGGATTTTCGACAGGGCGGTTCTTCCGCCAGTACTTTTGAGTAACCTCAAAAAAATACCTTCTGGCCAACACCACGTTCTTGTCGAGACCCCTCTGTCCCTCGTAGTAGATGCGCCCTAGGTTGAACGATGCCTTGAAGTCGCCCTTCTGCGACATGAGGTCGAGATACTCGATGATGTCCTCGATCGAGGCGTACGCGTCCGAGTTGGGATGTGCCTTGATAGCGTTATTGCCTGCACTGGCGACGCTAGCGCCTTCTCCATAGGCGCCACCGCTCTCGTCAGCGATCCGGTAGGTTTCTGTGATCCAGCTCCTGCCCCCCGGCGGACCCGAACGATACCACGCGATGGCCTTGTCGGCCACCCGCTTGTAGTATTTGACAGCCATTTCGCAATTCTTCGGTGCCCCGATTCCTGCGTGGTGCCGATGCGCTATCGTCATCTCTGCCCTCGTATGCCCCTTGTTTGCGGCGAAGCCGTAGTAGAGGAGGGCTCGGGCCTGGTCGCGCTCCACAGCTCCTCCAATGCCCGTCGAGTACATCAACCCCATCATGTAGAGCGCTGAGCTGTTGCCATTGAGCAATGATAGCTGGCGGTAGTAATCAAATGCCGCCGGGAAATTCTTCGGGTGTGAAAAGTTGCCGTAGAAGTTCATCTCGGCGAGGATGTAGAGGGCATCGGAGTTGTTCCGTCGGGCGGATTCTTCGAGGAGCTTAGTCGCCTGCAAAAGTTTCCCGTTGTGCGGATTCTTGGACGAGGAATCGTGGACTGGCGCGCTGAGGCGCAAGGTCGGGAGAGCCTTGAGGGCGAAGTGTAATAGCGTTCCGAAGACGCCATGTTGCTTCCGTGCCCGGTGGTGGAGAGGCTGGTATAGTTTGTGTAGTTCAACGAGGGCCGAGTCGACGAGTTCGGAGCCTGGTGTAGATGAGTCAGTGATGTTCCCGGAGTTCCGGAATTGAATAGCGCAGAGCAGCCGTACCAGGCTCCCGGGGGGGTTGTTCCCCTGTTTGTGCAGCTACCTCTGCACGGAACGAGTCTCTGTTTCGCTCCCCGGTTGCGTCGTCACCAAGGACATGTTGATCAGCTCGTGCGTCGGCGAAGGAAAACGCGATGGCCTGCAATAGCACTACGGAGTGGTGTATTAGTGGGATGCTGTTGCGCTTGGTTCCGGGCGGGCATTGGCTTACGGTACAACCAGAGAAGCCCTTTCATGGTGGACTTTTGGTAATAAAAAGGATGCCGTTCACGGCCTTCAGTCCATGGCTGAGTTGGTAGTTTTGAGCTGGTGCGCGTTCAGAAAAAGAGTGTCAGGCAGCTCATGCGGCCCTGGGAAACTGTCATCGGCATGGAAGTCATTCTTACAAGTACAAGCTGTCCAGAAGAGCTCCCCACTGCGATGATGCACGCAGCCCGTTACCTAAGCTTTCGCCAGGGGTTTCGCGGCAGGCAGCGCGTGCCATCTGGCTTGGCGGCGCACTCTGACAAGAGGGTGGGGCCACCTCCTCCCACACCTCACACCCACGAAACCACCGGATTTGCATAGGTAGGATGAGTTCGATATGGTTGCTTGAAGCGATCATTACCTAGGATTTGAATGCGCATTGATACAGATTACTGTTGAAGTGTACTTAGTAGTATTGAAGATTTGTTGATCCTGATCGGGGTGTGGCGCGGAAGCTTCCACAGCAGTCACCAGCTGGCTGCCGACTGACGACCCCAAACCCCAACCCGCGTCTCCTTCCGCACGACTTTCAGTCGCTCCTCAAAGCTTGAAATTTGTTGATGAGAAAAATAACTTCTGGGCACGAGTATATCTAGAGGAGGCTAAGAATTAAATACGGAAACTCTCAAGGTAAACTTTTTGAATAAAACCCCGCACAAGGCCGGGGCCAACTTAATCGCTTTTTTTTGGCTTCGATGTTTGTGCGCCGGCTTACACATTCATCAGGCCAGGTTCAAAGCATTGAAGACAGGGTTAGCAAAAGGTGTCGCTATGTATCAGCTAGTCAACGCAGATGGGTACAAGTACCCCGGACGGGACACCTATGTCTTAGATATCCTGCCGGTTGCAACTGGATTTGCGACAACAGCTTCCGATCAAACTCTCAATCTCTTTGACCCCTTGAGACTGAGCCAGGGGCCAATCAAGACAATCCGGACGGACCATGGGAACCTCACCGCAGCAAAAGTTTACAGCACCGGGGACTCGGTAGTCTGCACCACGGGAGAGAACGGCACTATCTCGGTGTGGGATTTGCGCCTGGACCCTTCTACTGCCCGCGCAATGCAAATAGGGGGTGAGTTTGTTCCAATGTTTACTTAAATAGGGGGCATACTAACGAGCACCCTTGAGGAAACCTTCCTGGTCTACTATCCCTAGCCTGCTCAGATGCGACCAACACGGTAGCCGCCGGCACAGAGCTCGCCAATCACCAAGCCTCCATCATCATTTGGTTTGCCCTCCTCCCTCCACCATCCCCCGTCTAAGCCCTCACTAACCACTATCACCACCACCTAGGGACCTCCGTTCCCCGGCCGCACCGCGGATGCAATACAACGAGGGCCACTCCGACGACATCACCGAAGTCAGCTCCCCCCCCCCCCCCCCTCCCCCTTTCCACCCCTTAATACCACCCCTTAATACCACCCCTTAATACCACCCCTTAAAACCACCCAACCCCAACTAACCCCCCCTCTCACCCCCACCCAGCTCGCCTTCCACCCGCAGACACCCACGCACCTCCTCTCCGGCTCGACCGACGGCCTGCTCAACCTGACCAACACGCTCATCGGCGACGAAGACGACGCGGTCCAAGCGACGTTCAATCACGGATCCGTGCACCGCGCAGGGTTCCTGGGCGGCGCCACGGGCGCCACGGAGGTGTTTGCCGCGTCCCACGACGAAAAGTTCGCCGTGTACGACACGGCCGACGAGACGCCGCTGCGGGGCGCGGCGACGCTGGACCTGGGCGACGTGCGCCCGCTGCTGGGCTGCCAGTACCTCGCCGATGTGGTGGGTAAGGCGGGCGGGATGGGGGCGGTGGTGGGGGTCGGGGCGCAGGAGTAAGTTTGATTTTCGGGGTTGGGTTTTGGGTTTGGGTTCGGAGGGGTCTGCGGTGTGATGCTGACGGGATGATAGTCAGGAAATGTTCCAGTTGATTCACCTGTCCAAGGGCGCCGGTGGGTGGGGGTTGGATAGGGACACCGTTGTTGGGCTGCCGGGGGCGCATGGATCGGAGTTGGTGAGGAGTTTCTGCTTCTATGACGAGCAGCAGCTGGTGTTTACCGCTGGGGAGGACGGCTGTGTCAAGGCTTGGAGGCCAGGGAATTAACTAAGGAACGGCAGCTGCGACGGGAGGTACGGTGAACCTGCCTGCCCTTGGTTGCCCCGGCCGCGAAGACGAGATCGTATGTGAGGCATGATGAGCCGCATGAATTATTTACTTTTATTTACTATCGGCCATGCTCCGAGATGACATTCGCCCATCTAAATACTAAAATGTTACAGGCTGGGTTTGGCTGTCTGTGGAGGCGCCACCGATCTATTAAACGATGCTCATCTTGCATTAGAACTGCCCCTCCTTTTTGCAGAGAACGCTCGAGACACTTTTCCCATCCGAGAGCCAAGTTGAACGCACCGCACCGAGGACAAACCACTCACTGCAGGTTCTCAATCACGAGGGCCGAAGCGCCACCACCGCCGTTGCAGATACCAGCCACGCCGATCTTGCCCTTCTTCTCGCGAAGCACCGACGTCAGAGTGGTGATGATGCGGGCACCCGAGGCGCCCAGCGGGTGGCCGATGGCAACCGAGCCACCGAACACGTTGACCTTCTCGGCGTCGAGGTTGAGCAGCTTAATGTTGGCCAGAGCCACCACCGAGAAGGCCTCGTTGATCTCGTAGTAGTCGACATCCTTCTCCGTCAGGCCGGCGTGCTTGATAGCCTTGGGGATGGCGAGCGCCGGGGCGATGGTGAAGCGAGCGGGGTCCCGGGCGGCATCGCCCCAGCCGAGAATTTTGGCAATGGGCTTAATGCCGAGCTCCTTGAGCTTAGCCTCAGAGACGAGCACCACGGCGGCAGCACCGTCGTTGATGGGGGCGGCGTTGGCAGCCGTGACGGTGCCCCCACTGGGGATGAAGACGGGACGGACCGTCTTCAACTTGTCGACATTGAGGTTCTTGACCTCCTCGTCCCGGTCGACCTTAACAGGGGGCTTGCCACGGCCACCGCTCACCTCAATGGGCGCAATCTCGGTGAACACGCCGGCCTCGGTGGCGGCCTGGGCCTTCTTGTAGGTGTTGATGGCGTACTCATCCTGCATCTCGCGAGTCAGGCCGTGCTCCTCGCTGCAGAGCTCGCCCTGCATGCCCATGAGCTCCTGCTTGCCGTATGCATCACGGAGACCGTCCTTCTGCACGCCGTCGACGAGGGTCCCGTCGCCGTACTTGACACCGGTGCGGAGGTTAGGGAGGTAGTGTGGTGTGTTGGACATGCTCTCGGTGCCGCCAGCCACGACGATGGAGGCGTTGCCGGTCATGATGGTTTGGGCACCGAGGATGATGGCCTTCATGCCCGAGGCGCACACCTTGTTGACGGTTGTGCACACGACGCCATCCGAAAGACCGGCACCGATGGCGCACTGCCGGGCAGGGGCCTGGCCGAGACTGAAGGGAGAAGAGTGTTAGGAGGGCATCGATGGCGGGGTATTTTTGTGTTAGTCGACAGGGCCACTTACTTGGCGGACAGGACATTGCCGTAGAAGACCTCCTCAACATCCTCGGGCTTGATCTCGGGCACGCGCTCAACGGCAGCTAATGGTGCGGTTTTGTTAGCCGTAATCTCCCATTAGGGGGTGGCAACAAAACACAGAAAACGGGCATCTCTTACACTTGATGGCGTGGGAACCCAATTGGGTGGCACTGAGGCTGGAAAGACTCCCTAGGAAGCTACCAACGGGGGTTCTCGCGGCGGAGACAATGTAAACAGAAGGAAGACCGGACATCTTGACGATTTTTTGAGTGTAAAGACAAAGAAACTCTTGGGATGAACTGGTTGGGCACTTGGGATTGTCGGTGTAGCGGGGAATTTCTATAGTTGAGCAAGGAGTCGATGGCGCCGATAAGATATGCCCCTCCGTTCGAGAACAAGGGTCCCTTGCCCCCCGTTGAGTCAGCGGCAAATAACAAGAGCCCATTCAGCAGGGTTTATTCTGGAGGCCGATCGCGGGACATTCAGAGGAGCGCCTCATCTGTGGCTAATGCAGCACCCAAAGAGCTGTCAGCCACATAGCTCCCAACTCTCCCATGCGCCAAGGTGCGACCACCAAGCCCAGAGTCGGTAATTTTTTGGAGCAGCCTTACATCACTGCACGCGACGCGACGGGAAAGCGACCTTGGGGCCATTCGAAAACGAGACATCAATTTTTCCCGCAACCATGGATGACGATCTTTATGACGAGTTTGGAAACTTCATTGGCGAGGAGGTAGAGGCCTCTGAAGAAGAATCCGAACATGGCGTGGACGTGGGAAACTTTGCCTATGGCGAGTATCCCGAGGAAGCCCAAGAAGCTCCCGTCGAGGAGCAGATGGAACTTGACGGTATGCACACCGAGGAATTGATGCATTGGAGTTTGGAAGCTAACCATCGAGAAAGATGAAGGGCCTTCAAACGCAGTCATCCTCCACGAAGACAAGCAGTACTACCCGACAGCGGCGCAAGTGTACGGGGAGGGAGTCGAGACATTGGTGGAAGAGGAGGATGCACAACCCCTAACACAGCCCATCATCGCCCCGGTCGAACAGAAGAAGTTCAGTATCGAGGAGGCCGACCTACCGCAGGTGTACTTCGACCGCAGCTTCATGACCGACCTCATGAATTTCCCAGAGCAGATCCGGAACGTCGCATTGGCGGGGCATCTGCACCACGGCAAGACAGCATTGATGGACATGCTGGTCCTGGAGACACATGCGATCACAGAACGGTTAGACAAGCGGACGGGAAAGAAGCGGGACGAGCAACTCCGATACACCGATGTTCATGTCCTCGAGCGGGACCGGGGACTGTCGACCAAGGCCGCGCCCATGAGCTTGGTCCTTCCGAGCACGAAAGGAAAATCGCATCTCGTCAACATCATCGACACTCCAGGGCATGTGGATTTCGTCGATGAGGTAGCGGCATCCTTGCGGCTGGTGGATGGCGTGTGCTTGGTGGTGGACGTGGTGGAAGGAGTGCAGGTCAACACGGAGCAGATCATCAAACACGCGGTCCTCGAGGATATCCCACTTACGCTGATCGTCAACAAGATGGACCGGCTAATACTGGAGCTGAAACTGCCACCCAACGACGCGTACTACAAGCTGAAGCACGTCATCGAGGAAGTCAACACCGTTATTGAGAACACAATACCGGGACGGGGCGCGGAGAGGAGGATAAGCCCTGAAAAGGGGAATGTGCTATTTGCCTGTGCTTCCATGGGCTGGTGCTTCACTTTGGCGTCTTTCGCCAAGATGTACTCTGACAGCTTCGGCGGCGTCAACATCGACGAATTTGCGCGGCGGTTGTGGGGAGACGTCTACTTCAACCCGCGGAAACGGAATTTCACCAGGAAACCCGTTGAGGCGGAAGCCAGGCGAGCGTTCGTCAACTTTATTCTGGAACCGATATACAAGCTATACTCCCACACCATCAGTGAGAGCCCGGAGGACCTGAAGGAGACGTTGGAGAAGCTCGGAATCCAGCTCAAGCCGTCTCAATACAAGTCGGACCCGAAAGTGCTCCTGAAACTGGTCTGCGAGCAGTTTTTCGGTGCGTTTCTCTCCGCACGTACTACTCTACCATACTAACCTGAGTGTAGGGCCATCAACCGGATTCGTCGATATGGTATGCCAGCATGTCCCCTCGCCGGCGGAGGCTGCCGAGAAGAAGCTATCACAGTACTACACCGGACCGTTGGACACCAAGGTGGCAGAGTCGATGAAGAAGTGTGACCAAAACGGGCCACTGGTAATCCACGTAACGAAACTCTTCAACACGGCCGATGCCAAGAGCTTCTACTCGTTTGGGCGCGTGATGAGCGGTATCGTGCGGCCGGGCACCGAAGTCCGGGTCCTCGGTGAAGGCTACTCGATCGACGACGAGGAAGACATGGTGCTGGGGAGAGTCTCCGACGTCCTCATCGGCGAGACACGATACAACATCCCCACCGACGGTGTTCCCGCAGGCAACTGGGTCCTGCTAGGAGGTGTTGACAACTCCATCGTCAAGACCGCCACCATCGTCGACAAGAAGTTTGAGGACGATGAGGACGCTTACATCTTCAAGCCGCTATCTCACTTCACCGAGTCCGTTCTCAAGGTCGCGGTCGAACCCATTAACCCTTCCGAACTTCCTAAGATGCTTGACGGCATCAGAAAGATCAACAAGAGCTACCCCTTAATCACAACGAAAGTGGAAGAGTCCGGCGAGCACATCATTCTCGGCACCGGCGAACTGTACATGGACTGCGTACTGCATGACCTGCGGCGACTCTATGCCGACATGGAAGTTAGGGTGTCAGATCCTGTCGTCCGGTTCTGCGAGACAGTACAGGACATGTCGGCCACGAAATGCTATGCCATCACGCCCAACAAGAAGAACACCATCACCATGGCGGCAGAGCCCTTGGACGACGGGATCGCCAAGGACATCGAGTCAGGTGCGGTCAGGATACGGGATCCGATGCGCAAGACAGCCAAGTTCTTTGAAGAGAAGTATGGATGGGACATTCTCGCCGCCAGAAGCATCTGGGCGTTCGGTCCCGACGAGATGGGGCCAAACATTCTGCAGGATGACACGCTGCCAGGAGAGGTACGTCTAGCGTTGCATCTCCCACATCCGATGCCCCTATTGGGGTCGTCTACACGCGTCACCGGAATCGTTCCGTCTTCTGCCTTGCACATGCTAACGGATCTTGCACCAGGTCGACAAGAAACGGCTGAACACGGTCAAGGAGTCGATCCGCCAGGGGTTCAGTTGGGCGGCTCGTGAAGGGCCGCTTTGCGAAGAACGTAAGTTGTCCTCCCCCAACCTGCCTGTACCCGGTGTTCAAGCGGTGTGCTGCACATGCCCTCCGAACTCCTGCAGAGCAACCTGCCATGCAAGATCCCCACCATCGCACCACCTCCACCGGATCTCCCCCCTTCCGATCACAATAGGAAGCCACACCCGCAGGATCCACCCGTCTTCAACCAACAGCTCCCCTTTCCGGGAGAAGCAAACTCAGCCCCATCCCTTCTCTCTCGTGTCATGTCGTGCGGCCGTCGCTAACCAACCCTGATCCCAGCCATACGCAACACCAAATTCCGACTCATCGACGTCGCCCTCGCCCAAGAGGCCATCTTCCGCGGCGGCGGCCAAATCATCCCCACCACACGCCGCGCCTGCTACTCCTCCTTCCTGATGGCCTCGCCGCGGCTCATGGAACCCATGTACTCGGTGTCGATGACGGGCCCGCAGGACTCCGTCAGCACAGTGTACAACATCCTGGCGCGCCGCCGCGGGCATGTCCTGTCGGACGGCCCCATCGCGGGGACACCCCTCTACCGCGTGGACGGCCTGCTGCCCGTGATCGACTCGTTCGGCTTCGAGACCGACCTGCGCATCAACACGCCCGGTCGCGCCATGGTCAGCCTGGTCTTTGACCGCTGGAACGTCGTGCCCGGGGACCCGCTCGATCGGGAGGCGGTCACGCGCCCGCTGCAGATGGCGAACCCGCTGGGCACCGCGAGGGACTTTGTGCTCAAGACGCGCCGCCGCAAGGGGCTGAGCGAGGATGTGACGGTGGCCAAGTTTTTGGAGGCCGAGTTTTATCAGAAGTTGGTCGAGGAGGGCACTTTGGATGGCGCTTGAGGCGGCTGCCCCTGGGCCTGTGGTTCACATCTATCTGTCTGGTGTTGGGGCGTTCAAATGGGCAGAAGGCTGTAGAGGGTTAATGCAACTGTTGACTATGTCCGTCTGGTCTGGAGAGATCGTGACCTTGTGAGCGTGGCTATCTCTCCGTGGTTCCTACAACGGATGTGGCGGCAATGGAAGCCACCGGGCCATCGTGATGCTCCCCCGCCAGGCTGTCGTGATGTCGTTGGCAAGTCTCGGGTAGGGAGGCTTCCGTCTTCCTCCTTCGCTCGGGACCGAGATGAGATGTTGCTGTTGACAAGTCTTGGGGCTAGGGAAGCTCCCTTCTTCCTCCACGCTCGGGACCGAGATGATATGATGACAAGGACAAGCCCGGCGAGGACAAAAAAGAACGCAGCCTCGCCCGGAGGACCTTGCTCGTTCTAGGTGCGATGGATGTCGAGCACCAACCGCCAACGTCATAGACCAACACCCACCCTTCCTTTTGTCGACACCACTGCAACGCTGTGGCGCCGCTCATCGGATGTGGGCATGTATGTCTCACCAGAACTGGACAAGGTAGGCTCGTGGAGGCCATGCCATGCTGCCATGTGAGGCACTTTTGGGATGTGCCTCCGGGCGGAGAGCCAACGGTGGTTGGGATGTGAGACAACGCGGATGGTGGTTCCCTACTGGGAGAAGGAGGAGGGTGGGGATCGATCGGCCGGAGGCAGCTCCGGACTGGGCTTTCACATGTCGTTCTCCGTGTCGGGTGGTGTCAGAAATGGCTGTTGGCGCTAATGAAAGAAACAACCTGCAAGTGCTTGCGGGGTCTGGACGGACGGCAAGGCATGCCAAAAAGGTTATTTCGTCTAGTCGACCGTTGACAGATGCAAGGGAGGACGTTGCGGCTCGGTCCACAGCCTATCCTTGCAAGACGCATCCGATGCTGCTGTCAACTCCTCCATGGAAAACAGCCATGTGATGGATGGACGGTCTGGGCCAAGGTATGGATTTGATGTCAACTCAAACACCCGGGACAGGGTCTCGGAAGGCGTGGAAAGCTTGCTTTGATCGTTCGATGTCTTAGTCCGTATCCGCCTTTCTCCTCGCCAACATCATACACAGTGCACAGTCCCTCCCACCAACAACAATCCCCGTCTTTTCTTCTTCCCAGCATTGTATCTTCCTCCCTACCCAGCTCTTTTCGGCAGTCTCCGTTTCCGTGCTCGAGTGATTGCTCGGTCCGACTCAGCATCACCTGTTATGGCCGGCTCCGAGGTGCTATGCAAGCGATGCCGACCGGGCATGCATGATGTCTGACAGGCCGGTGACAAACAGAAACAGCGGATAGTTATCGAGTCGACAGCCTCTTCAAACTTGATTCTGCATGAATACTGTCGACGGCGGAGAGACAAAACCCCGGGTGGCAGGGAGCTTATGATTTAATTGTTGCGTATAGAGTACACAGTTAACAAGTTGATTTCCACAATATTTCCAGCAGTTAAATTGCCCGTCGAGCGCGGATAGCGAAGCTCTGTAATTCCGACTGGGTGTAGATTGAATAGATTGAACTTCGAGCCCAAGTGAGAGGCTTCGAGATCCACGGTCCTTCGAACGACGGGAAACAGAAAATGTCTCGCCTGAAATAGGAATGTTTGCTTAGTTAATGCCCGAGCGGAACAAGGCGAGCGTCGAAGAGTGTTTGAATTGAAGGGGTGGAGCGGGTGTTGAGTCTCGACCTTTGGGAAGTGGAACACAGCTAACTACGAAGTAGCTGAAACATATCGCACGTTAAGGACCTGGGACGGAATTACAAGCTCGGATGTTCCGTCAATTCCGAGCATATTGTTTGTCTGCAACATGGCGTCTGTCGATCTTGACAAGTCGCATTTCACATGCAGGCTTTCGACAAGTTGGCCTTGGCTTGGTTTTTCAGGTGGTGTTCTTCTGTCCTCTGTGCCAGTGTCCTGTGCCGTGCAAGGGTTCCTTTAGAGGATGAGGACCCTGGAGTCGTCCCGACCAGGTGGGAGCGAGGCGGACCAAGTGAATTCAGACCGAAGTTGTCCCACCAATCATAGCGACTTTGCTTGACCGAGCTCTTCTTGGGCATCCGGGGCTGACTGTGTCGCGACAAGCTTTCTTTAGAGGATTCGACGATTCTGCTGGTGGTCACACTAGCACATGGACGCCACGCAAAGGGATTGATTCCTCGAGGTGCCACCCAAGCCCTCAATGCGACCAGGCGAATCTCTGTAGCGGTCTACCTGGCTCCTGGCAATCCACTCATGCACATGTTTCGAGCATTTTATCCACCATGCGTTGTAGCGTGTCGTTTTCCAATGCGGCTGCAACTCTTTCCTTGTCACCCAACTGCTTGTTGACTTGGTCGTCTTGGGCATGCGACCCGACCTTCATCCTGACGTCCACTCGGTAGTTGGGTGGCAGGGTTTGCTCTAGCCGACACCGCACCGCTAAGCCGATAACGGTTGCGAGGGAGCAGTGATTGATGGTGGGTGTGAGCTCAACCAGGACCGTGATGAGAGAATCTGGGTCTGGCAGCACGGCGGGTGAGGGGTCCAGGTGGATGTCCGGGAGCCTCACAACGGACAGCTGGCCGAGCGTATGCGGGTGCTCAGGGTCCGAGATGGTGGATATGAGGTCTATGAGGCATCAGTTAGCTCTTCGTCTCCACGCGCACCTGTACTGTGCTTCCCTAGCCGTCGACAGGGGTGGGTTTCATGAATGACGGCACTTACCGTAGATATCTTGCGCGTCCACCGGGTCTTCACCGTCATCATCTCCCTCGTCCGATGACGAACTTGAGCCAAATGGCCAATGATGTTGGGGGAAGACGATGCTATCGCACTTTGAATCCGGGCCGTGCCTAGTCGCAGGGCCCTTACGCTGTCTGCTGGGCAGCTGCGACACGTTCAGGATGGTGGGGTTGGCGTTTTCGAGATCTCTTTCCATCTTTGGTTGTTTGACAGTCTCGCCGTTGAACGGAACGTGGGGATCGGGCCGGGACGCGATGTTACGTGGTATTCTTATGCGGATGATGGGCGCAAGCGGAAGAAAATTGTGCTCGAAGGTAGCCTATTGATGATGAATTGCAACTTTCTTCCTGGTTGACGCTGCTGAGCAATCGATTTGGCAGCTGAGAGAATGAAAGCTCGTTGAGGATTCATGGCGGGGTCAACACCCCACCCCACGCCCCACTAACGCACCTCAACGGCGCTGGCAGCACCGTCGTCTCAGGCCCTTTGCAGCTTCCTATTTTCTCGCTTGAAAGCAATCCGAGGCATTCCGGGTTGATCTTCAAACAAAACCAACTTGGTGTTTTCGCCCCACAAACTTGAGTTTCGGATCTTTTCCCTTTCAACCAACTTTTTACACTGTACATACCTACATAACTACCTACCTTAGGTACCTACATACACAGTAAACCGGGTTACTGGGTACCTCTGTACATACATGCCCACTCTCACCGCCCGATCTCTTCGGAAATTTCATCATCGCGGCTTCGAGTGCGAAATCGCACATTTGATGCAATGCATCTCAGACATGGGGCGTCGGCAAGATCCCGAATACGCCGCGTGGGGCTTCTACAATCCCTGCGCCGAAGCCACGACGAACACCACCAGAGCACCTTGCTTGGCAACTCGTGGTTCCCGGGTCTCGAGTCATCCCCACGTTTAAGGCGGCAATGACGCAGCGCCGCTCGGAGTTGTTTCTACAATAGGCCTGGGAGATGCTGTGTTGACCGCAGAAAAGAGAGCTCAGATCCGTGATCTCCAACCTTAAATTCATCGCATCGTGGAAAAGCAAGCCCGGTGCCTGCATCTGCCGGGGCATGGCGCACACCACACGGCGGGTCTCTCTCTCTCTGATCTCTGGTACTGAGGGGCCTGGGGGCGTCTGGCTTCCGTCCTGTTTCTCCTTCGGGCATGTTTTGCATGGCTGGCCGGCATGGACCCCTGGGGATCGCCCAGCACAAACCTCCATGGCTCTCAGCCAAGTGGAAACCGGACCTTGAGAAACAAAACCAACACCTTGCTTGGCCTTCTCTTTCTCGCTCTTTCTCGTCGTTTTCCTCTCCGAAGGACGCACACGGCTGTGGGCCCCTTCCCTCCAAAAGAATGGAGAAGGTCGGAAAACCATGGGTGATCCCTGAGCGTATCATCCGAGGGCTTCCCAAATCGGCCAAGCTGCGGCCTTTCTCGGCACCCTGCTCGGTAACTGCTTTCTCCTGGTCGTTCGTTGAACGCGGACACCCCTCTCGACAGCATTGTTTGAGGTATGAGATGGCGAGAAGCGCCAACGCCACAAGGTGATTCATCAGCGGTGAATGCGGAATCTTCGCCCTCGGAATCGGACAGCAACTATTGGCTCACCCCCGCTCTTTCGTGTCTCGCTGGACTCGGGCATGTGATAGACATGGGCCGACGGGGCCCGGCCGTGGCGTGGTATTGGCAATCACGTTATGGTAACAATTAGGTGAACAACAGCCGGGACTCATCACCCCCAAAACCCCCAGCATAGGGCCGCTTCTAGCGGGCTCGGCGTCGCGTGCTGCGTTGGGCTATTGCAACGCCACCGTCGGCGTGCCACTCGGACCAGAGGCGACACTTCCCTCCCTGCCTCGTGCCCCCCCCCCCCTTACGAGCTGGCTACGAGATCAAAACATTCGAAATTGCGGGATCGCGCTTGGAGTCTGAGAGCGGAACGGAAGGCGTCGACGAAACTCCTTTCCCGGCACGCCATGGCAGATGCTGAAACACTTTTCATGTATCCTCAAACGCCCCTCGCTGTTGGTCGGAATCCATCCAATAGCTGAGTTCGGCACTCACTCCGGACATTTGTCGAACAACTCGTAAAAAGGCACCAGCGAATTGAAGCTGGTGTTCGACTTTCTGCACCGATGGAGCTGCCCCCGGTTTCCCCGGAATGCGGATACACCGTGCCCCCTGGCACGCCTCATTGCGGTGAATCCCGGTTGAGCAACCGAGTCGTTGTGAGGGTGGTGGAAGCTCGGTCTGGACCAAAGTGCTCGCGGATCGGTTCCCCTTGTACCGAGGTTTGTTGATACAGGAAGCCTCCTGCATCTCTTATTTGTCGGAACACCACATCCGTTCTTCAATTCCACATTAGCGTTCCACGCCCGGACACATTCGAATGCCAAGGCGTTCAAGAGCTGTACCCTCAAGGCACAGTCAAGCTGGCGGCGTCGGCGGGTTTCATTCTGCCACAAAAGTAGCCTGGCGAGCTTGGTCTTCAAGAACCCAATCATCCGCCGTGGGCAACAACAAGAAAAAAAGCCACTGACCTGGCTGGGCCTCTCCGTCGTCCCCCGAGGGAAACAGGAGCAAACCAAAGCATCAGCCGCGTTGCTACTTCTTGTGTAGGCATGTGCACAGTACCGACACGATGGTGAACCAGCAGCGTCCCGGTTCCTGCTTGACAAGGAGTGCAAGGCGAGCGTCCCTGCTGCTTCCCTGCCTCCGGCTACCCCAGCAGCACAAGTATTCGTTACTTAGTATAATGGACATATTCCGTGGACAGCAGAAACCGTTTCTGCAGCTGCGGCCGCAGCCCACGGCAGTTTGGCAGGGGCACCAAGTGCCTGACATCCCGAGCCAAGTCTGTGGATATGTGGAATCCGGATTGTGCCCCTGCCACAGTAACTCTTCGTGAGCGCCCGGGGGATCGGGATCGGCGTTTCTTGGACCGGAGGGACTGGGGATACGGAAAGACTGGAGGAAACAACGAACCAGTGGAGCTACACTACGTGAATCAGAGTGAGCGGCAAGAATAGCATCACAACCTTGGGTCGAAGGGTCGACATGATATCGGCCCGCGTTGGTGGTTTGTGAAGCGGTGCAGGGGTCATAGGGGAACCCCCCCTGTTCGTCGTCGTGGAGAGAAGTCGGGAGGTGGGCGGACAGGCGGCTCCTTGATCCTACCGCCCCCCACCTCCGGGCCACTCCGCGCGGTCCTGCTTTGCCCATCGCCCCCCCTGTCTTGGACGCTGGCCCACTGGCAGCCTCCTCAATTTAGCGCATCGTCTTGATCCGCTTCCAAGCAAGGCTCACCCCACCATCCAGCGCCCCTGGAAATGACCACATCTTGGGCCTCCTTGCCATCCATCGCCGCGGCACGTCCCTTCATGCTCCTGAGATGGCGTCAATGCAGATACGCCAACAGCCCAGGTAGCCTTGCGCGGCCATCTCCGTCCACCCGACACCCATATAGTATACATACATACACCGGACATTGTTGTATCTTTCCTTCGAGAGGTATTGCGTATCCACGCTATACGTACCGTATACCAACCTGAAAGCTCCAGATATCAGCTGGCTCCAGGGGTTCGGATTCGAGGTCCTTCTCGATCCCTTCTTCATTCAACGCCGTCGCTTTCTTTCCACTGGAGTCGCCTCCCGGCCGGTTTCTCGGCGACTTCCCTGCACATCTCTCCCGAATTGTCTTTACTCCCGCGGTGTTTAGGGAACTCCCTCGACCGCGCTCACAGTTGTTGGTTCGAAGCGGGCCCTGGCCTGATTCTGTTTATCAGACAGTTGCGCAGTCGCCTGGAACAGGGTTACCCTTCGTTTCTGAGCAGCCCCTGGGCCACCGTCAGGCACACCCTCCGTTAGCTCGACTCTCGCTGGCCGGGAGGTTCCAGCCTGGACGCGCATTGCTTAAACCTGCTGCACGTCCGCGCCGTTCCACTGGCTGAGTCCGCGCTTGTTACCGCATCGCCCGACGACAGCGTTTCGTTGCCGCGCGCCGACCACCTCGTCTTGAGGACAACAGAGACGCCCTCAAACTGTACAATAGCGACGCCAGTTTGGTTGAACTTGGGCTGACGTCCTGAATGTCAAGCCATCGCCCGCATCCATCTTTTTATCAGCGCGCCGCCGTAAGCGTCCGTGCAAACATCATCTCCCGCCATGTCCAACGATCCGACAGCCCGCAGGCTGCTCCCCCAGACCTCACAGATGGGCTCCTTTTCCTTTACGCCGCCAGCTTACCAGCAACAGCCACGTGAAACTCAGAAGAGTATGCATGGCGCCGAGCTCCCCCTCTCAGCCTCTGGTCTCGGTTCTGACTCGGGTTTTAGATTATGTCTTTGTCGATGAGCACAACCGACACAAGCGATTGAAAGGTATGGGTTCTTGCCCCGGACTCTTCCTTCTCGAGGCGCTGTGCTGTGCTGACATCCGCACATAGTTATGAGAGCGTGTGAGGGATGCCGCCGGAGGAAAATTAAGTGCGACGCAGCAACCACCAATACATGGCCCTGCTCTGCATGCATCCGTCTGAAGCTGCAGTGTGTGCGTCCAAACGGCTTTGACAGCGCCGACTCGCAAGTGTATGAGCCACCACAGTCCCAATACGAAGCCTCACCTCTTTCCGACAACTTCCGACACCAGCTACCCATCCAGGACCAGCACCTCCTCGCCCATGCGCCCAAACCAGGGCCCATCTACCCGCAGCAGACCTCTTACCAGGACACGTCTGCTCTCTACCACCCAGTTCCGTATGGGGAGCCCCAGCCTGTGCCACACGACCTCCAGTATGCGCCGGTGCCTCACCACTCCGTCGCTGCTGTCGACCAGCAGTACGCGGCGCAGACTGCTGCGTTTCCGACTCCCCCGATGCAACATGCGCCTAATCCTGGTTCGCCAGAAGACACTTTCCAATCCGAGTACGCTCAGCAAGACTTGGCGAATCTCCTTGGGTCCTTGAAAGTGAATGAGGCGGGGACAGCACCATATCTCAACAGCAAGATGCAATCGAGTAGGGACGAAGAGCCGGCGGTGGAGGATGGTGACGATTACAAGACGTACCTGCCGCCCCTAATGGCAGGGCCAGGTTCCAAGATCCGGATTCCTCCGGAGCTGATGCCGGACGACGACACGGTCCTCCACTATCTCGACCTCTACTTTGTCAATGCTCATCCCTACGTCCCGGTCCTGGACAAGAGCTACTTTTACCACCAATGGCACAACAACCGGGAGTCCATCTCTCCGCTGCTTCTCGAGGCCATGTTCGCCATCGCAGGCCGTCTTGCAGACGAGCCCGCACAAGGCCAGCAATGGCTAGCGCTCGCAACACGTATGATAGCATGATTACTGGCGACCTGATTCAGGAACTGACGTTGTGTACCAGGTCATGCCGACTCGTTTATGGACGTTCCGCGGTTGAGCACGCTCCAGGCGTTGATGATCCTTTTGAAGGCGAGAGAATCAGCGCCGAAGAAGGGCTACTACTACCGGTCATGGATGAGCATTGTGCAATGCGTTCAGCTTGGCAAAGATCTTGGGTTGGACGAGCACTTTGCGGACCACCAGGCCGGCCGGCCATGCGGTGGGAGTCAGGCGGAGTGCGCACTCAAGGATCGTATTTGGCAGACTCTGTTCGTGGTTGAGATGATGGTTGGATCGCCGCAGGGTAGGTGCGACGAACCCGGGGCTATTGTCATCCGCTTACCCCTGTCCAGGTCGAACCGACTTTCAGATCGAGGAAGATAGCGTCTGCTTCGACGTCCCGCGGCCGATACCGAACAATGACGAGACCGAACACCAGGTCTCGCGTAATTTCACATTCCTTGCCAGGATCGTTCGCTCCGTTAGCCGGATGGCGAGAACCTATGGGCGGCTTAAAAAGAGCAAGGAATGGGGCATCAACCCGGAGTTTGTACAACTCGATCCGTCCCTGAACGCCTGGCTGGCTAGCCTCCCCGCCGACTTGACGCTCAGTTACCCGGCAGATGGGTCGCCGCCTTGGATACCTTCGGCTTTTGTCGGCAACCTCCATTCGTACTACTATCTGTCGATAATCCTGTTCAACAGGCCTCCATTGGCGGTCCTGACTCCGTCAACGCCCGGGGGACAATGGAAGCAGCACATGGTGGTCTCGTACGACGCGGCCAAGATGCTCTGCAGGCTACAAGAGGCGGTGGTGGGCTCGTTTGGGCTGAACGGGCTGCAGTGCATGCAGAGGGGGATCAACTTTACCATCTATGCCGTGCTTGGTTGCATCGTGCTGCACCTGGTACGTTCCCCTAGCCAGTATTTCTGTTTTTCTTTTTTATATCTTTGCGTAGACTGACAAGCTCCCAGGTTGCGGTGACATCTCCGGATCCGGACTTGAACTCGCAGGCCAGAGACTACTTCACGCGTCACATGAGGATTTTGGAGAAATGTATGAGTGCGTGGCCCATGCCCGACATGCAGAAGCAGATCGACTCGGTCCGGGAGGCCTTCTCAGCCGACATAAGGAAGCCGTTCGTCCTGAAGCCGACGTTCCCGTACGGCAGCCCGCACTCGGCGACGCACCCCAGCCCGCCGGGCCGACCGCTGGACTCGCAAATGTCGCACTCGCAAGTTAGTTACACCAACCACCCCCTGACGCCCGTCTCGGTCGGCCCCATGGACGGCAAGAGTGAATCGTCGCCCATCGTACAATCGCTAACCACGATGCCTTCGGTTCGCGGTTCTCAGACGTCGGGTGTCACGCAGACGTTGCCGTTGTCCGAGGCACCCGCCTGGAACCCCTCGCGCATCTTTGAGTAAGTAGCATCGTAAATCCGAATATGATACGTGCACCGCACCGTATAACAAACAAAAAGTGCTTGCTAACCAACCGCCAGCCAATGGAACACATCCTTCGGCGCGCCCCAGATCCAGCCGTCGCCGCCCGCGGTGGCGGCGCAGACGGCGTCTCTGAACGTCGGCTCGGCGGGGGGCGTCTCGCCGAGCCTGCAGGAGATGCATGCCGTCCAGGGGCAGCTCCGCACAGGATCGCAGCTGCCGCTCCCGCCGTACCCGGCCGCGCCGCCGCAGACGTTTGTGACGCCGGCCATGTGGCAGGAGTCGGTGGCGAGCGTCTACGAGGGCGGGCTCAAGCGGGCGTGGGATTACGACGCGCACCTGCCGGGGAAGCGCCACTGAGGTGGCGGAGTCGGGTTCTTTTTTTTTCTTTTTTGGTCTTTTTCGCCTTTCGAAGCTCTGCCGCTTTGGGAACAGACCTGACTCTCTGTTGGGTTCAACATCGCCCATCCCCTTGGTTGTGGTGTTGTTGATGACGGGAGCGGATCTTTGCATTGGGCGGTTTCCTGCAGTGGTTTCATCGGGGAGTGGACGGGTCACAAACACACACAAAGACATGCTTGGAAAACCAACGGCATACCTAGGCGATGTCCGGAAGACATCAAGCAAAACAAGGCGGCACACTGTTTTTAAAGGGATATAACTATGCAGGACGGCGTTCTGGCTTCTTACAGGGACAGCTCGGGGGTTATGTAAGTGGGATGGAATGGATAGGCGGATGGATGGGTGGGTGGGTGGTCTGGTTAAATACCGCGCTTTGGCAGACGCCGTCATGTATTACTACTAGGTAGCAATGGGGTGGGATTATTTATAGGGTCTGGAGCGGGTAGTGGAGGCTAAAAGGAGGGAGGCGGGGTATCAATCAACACACAGCCCAAGCACAAGGTTCAAAACACCGTTATTTCGCCTAGGTACTTGCGGTCATCGTCATCCTGTGCTGCTGCCGTTCCTTCTCGCAAAGGAACTTGCACTTGGGGCAGATAAAACCGTGCTTGTCGACGCCGACCCTACTTAGGCAACGGCTACAACGCCACCAGGCGTTGATCATAACGTGCGGGTTACGGCACGACCACCACTCCTCGTCGCCTTTGCTGCCGCGGCGTAGGAGATCTTCCTGGTGGTATTCCCGGAGATGGTCTCGAAAGTGGTCTTGCCGGAAGAAGGGCATAGTATAGCGGGGGCACCTCTTATAATCGCATAGGAATCTTTTCTTTTGCTTATCGGAGAGGTGTACGGTCTCGTAATGGTGATCTAGGTCGGTCTGTCGACTAGCCACGTTCGCGCACCCACGATATAGGCATTGGAACTCTCCTTCTTCCGATGATAAGACCCTAGGTGATCTTGTTAGTAAAGCTTGCGCTGCGGTACTTTAGGAGAGCTGTAATGCAACCGACTGTGTTGGTGCCGGGTTGGGAGCATCAGCCAACTCCAAGGTTGCGTCGACGTCGCCGGCTTCTAAGTTAGCGGTCATGTTGGCGAGGACTGCTCACTAACTAGTTTAGGAGTCAATCCCCGACTGTCGGGTCTGAGGGGATGGAAGATGCCGTGTATGGATGCGATGTAACTAATCTGTAGCTAAACGTGGAAATGAGATCTCGATGTTTCTGAGTCCACGTGGTCTGGCGTGCTCATGGGAGAGGCCAGTGGCCACTTGTGGCCCGGTAGTCGAGCCTTGGCGCAAAAAGCCTCCCGGGTCTCGCCTTTCCTCATCTGTCTCGCCGAAAGTGAATGAATGGACGGGCCGCAGGGGTTATTTTAACCTCCATGTCGGCATGTCACTGGCATTTCAAGACTTGTTAAAACTCCCCGGCTGTTTCATCCGTCTCACAGCTCGGGCTCCAGGACAAACCAACCTTGGTTGTCTTGTTGAGACGTTTCACTCTCTAACTAGTTACTCGAGCGAACACGCGATTTGGCCCGAGAGCTCGACTTTCTTCCTTCTTCCTTCTTACTTACTTACCCCTTGACATATCCGAACCTTTAAGAGGATCCGAAATCATCCAACAACAAGGAACAGTTCTCACAACTTGGCGATAATGGGCGTCAAAACCCGCTTGTCGCCCGCCAATTGGGCGTGGGACAAGCTCTCGGAATGGGATCTGAGCCCCAGGCTCTGGAACACCATCAGAGAGACCTGGTATCTGGGGTTTACTTCGTTTGGGGGGCCGCCCGTGCATTTCAAGATTGTACGTCTCCCAATATCCCCGTCTGCCGTGGTGTCCCTGAGTTTAGAAGTGGTCGAGCGATGCTGACAGTCTGCAGTTCCATGACAAGTATGTTACCAAGCTGCATTGGATCGACGAGGAGGTGGTGAGTTCGCCTTCCTGATGATGACTTACACGAAAGGAAATGGCGGGAGCCCGGCTGACCAGATGCTAGTATCAAGAGTTATTCAGTGTGTGCCAGGCCTTCTCTGGGCCGGGCAGCACGAAGATGCTGTATTGCATTAACCTGATCCACGACGGGTTTTTGCCTGCCGTGTTGGGCTTCCTTATTTGGAGGTGTGTTTTCTCTAAACTTTTTGCATCCACCGCCGATGACTGACATACGGACAGTCTGCCCGCTGCGCTGGGAATGTTCGGCCTCGCCATCGGTATCTCCAACGTCGGCGAGACGCTGCCACGCCCCGTATATGCATTACTCTCGGGCCTGAACGCCGCCACCGTCGGCATCATCGCGCTCGCCGCGGTCCAGCTGGCACAGAAGGCCATCACCGACAAGCTTACCCGGCTGCTGGTTTTCCTTGGAGCTGCCGCGGGGCTCTTGTACAACGCGCTCTGGTACTTCCCCGTGCTGATGCTGATCGCCGGCATCATCTCCGTGATCCACGACTTCCGCTGGCTCCACGGCCCCGTCAAGTGGGTGGCCGCCCTGCCCCGAAAAGCCATGGGCCGCAAGAAGGAGCGGGAGCCAGAACCCGAAGCCTCCCCATCACAGGGCGACGAGGTCGAGCTCCAGCAACCAGCCCCCTCCTCCCGCGCAGCATCCACCAAGTCCGCCCGCCAACGCCTCCCAACCCCCAGCACCGCCAACCAAGACGGCAACAACGAGGAGGCAGACGACGACGACAACGTCCGCACCGTCCCCCCCTCCCACGACCTCCACCAACAAACCACCCCCGACACACCCACAACAACAACCCAAACCTGGAAAACCGGCCTCCTCATAATCCTCCTCTTCCTCGCCTCCTTCGTCGCCGTCATGGTGACGCGCGGCGTCATCCCCTCCAACCCGCTCCTCTACCGCCTCTTCTCCAACCTCTACCTCGCGGGCACCATCATCTTCGGCGGCGGGCCCGTCGTCATCCCCCTGCTCCGCGAATACGTCGTCGCCGAGGGCTGGGTCTCGCCCCGCGACTTCCTCATCGGCCTCGCCCTGATCCAGGGGTTTCCCGGGCCGAACTTCAATTTTGCTGTGTATCTGGGTGCGTTGACGGCTGCCGGGAGGGGGTACTCGCCCGCGCTCGGGGCGGTGCTGGGGTATGTGGGGATTTATGTGCCCGGGTTGGTGACGGTGCATGGGACGGTCGGGGTTTGGGGCGCCATTCGTGGGTGGCGGTGGGTGAGGAGCGCGCTGAGGGGGGTGAATGCCGCGGCCGTGGGGCTGATTTATACGGCGGTGTATCGGTTGTGGCAGATTGGGTGGATTGATGAGGCGTTTGAGAGGGGGACCAGTCTGGCTGACGATCCGTGGTGGGTGGTGGTGACGGCGTCGAGTTATGTGGGCGGGTGCTGGTTTGGGGTCAGCCCGCCTGTGGCGTGTGTGCTGGGGGCTGCGCTGGGGTTGGTGAGGTATGGTGTTGTTGGGTAATTATTTAGGGGGGTTGAGGTTGGGGGGTGTAAGATTCTGTTTGGTGTTTGACTTCTAGTAGTTATTTCGAGTGAGTTTGGCCTGGATAGGTAGGTAGCTAGTTGCCGGGCAGCTTTTAGTCATGTTACAAATACAGTGAACATACAAATTCGATCTCCTTAACCACTTCCATCGATATAGAAACAAACAGGTTGGAGACGTCCTCGCTACTTCTTCCCCCCTCCCACATTGCCCTGGTCACCGCCCGCCGCCGCCCTCTTCACGATCCCCTCCCTAACATCCCTCCACACCCACCCGGTCTTCACCGTGTCCTCCACACCCTCCTGCACGTTGAAGTTGGCCACGGCCCGAAAACGCCACCACTTGCGCTGGGCGTCCGCCAGCGCGGTGTCGCGGACGAAGTTGACGGTGCCGAGGCGGGCGCGGGCGCTGGCCGGGGGCGCCGGGCGCAGGTCCGACAGCACCATGGAGCTGACGCGCGGCTTGCCGATCAGGCTCATGGTCGTCACGTCCAGCCGCGTGTTGGGCGGCGCCGTGCGCGCGAACCGCTCCAGGATGGCGCGCGACCACCGCGCGTAGGGCGGCAGGTGCAGGTGCACGGCCGCTACGAAGGGGGTCGTGCTCCAGGCCACGTAGGCTGCCGGGATGAGGCCGCAGAGGGCGACTGAGATGTCCGCGTTAGTACTATGTACATAAGGATGGTGGCGTGCAGGAAGGGGAGGGGGCCGTACCGCCTGCGGTGTTGAGAAGGGGTTGGCCTGCCGTGATGTAGGCGGGCGTCATGATCATGTCGAAGAAACCGAAGACGAAGAGGGTTGTTACTTTGAGGCAGGCGATGAAGGTGGTTCCTGGGGTATGGGTCAGCTGGCTATGTAGATAGAACGAGCGAGAAGAGGTTGGACAAGGTATACTGACTTGCTGTGCCGGCGTGATAGATGATCAGCCGCTCGGGATATACTGTTACGTCAAGCAACCATATCATCAGCTCTCATCCTCCCAACCTAAATGACATTGCTGCTCTCACCAACTTTACCCCCAGCGGGCGCCGTCACCCCTGCGCCGTTCTCTGCCGTGCCAGGTCCTCTGGTTTCCCCTGCTTCCGCCCTCCGGACAACGCTCGTCGAGAAAGCCGACCTCTCCACCCGCCGACTGGCAAGTTGCCTATTAAACCCCCCCGATTGAAGGCGAGATGATGACCAAACGGGCAAAGCCGCTTTAAACGGCAATGTTGGGTAGGCGACCGAATTAAATGTCCTCCTGTTCGTTTGTGGCCATTTCGAAATCTGCTGCAACCAAACGAACCCGCTTTGTATCCCGTTGCGTGAACCAGTGCCAGAGAGCCCTAGAATGGGGCCTATTGGCCTCAGCTGGGTCTTCATGATGAGTTGTGTTGATCTACCATTTCATGGAGTTGGTTGTCTGCGATTCATTGCCAACGGAGCGAGTTAACGTGAGTGATAGTGGAGAAGAGGCCGTTAACTCAACGGTGTGGGTCCGAGCTTCCCAAGCTGCTTGCCAGGGCAGTGCTCGGAGTTACAACCCCTGTTCTAACTATTGGAGGGACCTCCCTCACTACAAATCAGAAGAGAAATGCTTCGTGAACAGTCAACCACCAAGAGCAGCGTCCGAGACTAAACTTGTAGTCAATTCGAGTCTCAAGATCTAGCAAGTATGAAACCGGAATAGGCTATTTTCCGTCGGGCAAAACCCAACAAAAGCAAACAAAGTACCAAAAACTGTGTTCTGAGCTGAGTGAAGAAAGAATGCGAAGCAACGTGATCGAACGGGGATGGATAATACACGACCAGAACCCCCCACGAACAGAAACCCAACGAATCCAAGACCGCGGGAAACCAATGAGAAAGAAACAGTGCCCCCCCCCGAGACCATCTCCCTGTGCGTTCGTTCTTCCCACCCGTTTGCCCATGTCAACCCACCCGCGCCTACGCCCTAGTACCGTTTGCGCCGGTGCACCCGAACCCAGCCAGTTATTAGACCTCCCCCCAAAGCCACTACCACCACCAGCGACTTATCCCTCCATGGTAACATCGGCCGCGTCCTCCGGCTCCGTCGCCGGCATCTCCGTCTCTTTCCACTTCTGGAAGTCGTTGTTGGCCTTCTGCACGTCCTCGTGGCTCAGCCCCTTCATCCACGCATTATTCGTCACCATCTTCTCCTTGAGCTTCTCGCCGAGGACTTCCCGCCGGAACAATTCCTTGTCCTTGGACTCGCGCGCCTCGTCAGCCGTGGCGCGCCGGCCGTCCGTGTAGGCGAAGGAGTCGTCCGTGCCCTTCTCGAAGACCATCTTGGACGAGTTCAGGCAGATTCTAACTACCAAACCTTCGTGGATGGCCAGCGGCTTGTTCATGTAGTCATCATCGGGCGAGTCTCTGAAGGCGTCCGACGGCAGGTTGCGCTCCAGGAGCACTTTCTGCAGGCGCGACCGAACAACGCCCTCGGTGTGCTCGACGCGCATGTACGACGAGATGTAGTACTGCCACTGTTGAACCCGCTCCATCTCGTCCATGTAGAATGTCGTCTCGTCCTTCTGCAACCACCGGACTGTCGATTCCTTCTTGGCGGGGTACTAAAGTAGGGGGTTAGCTTCTATCTCAAATCTCAAGTCAAGGGAATGAATACATACCCAAGCAATTACAAACATCTCGCCATCCTTGATGCACTTCTCAGCAAACTTGCGTGCGCTGATCTCGTTTTGGAAGCTCGTCTCGGTCTGCTGGCGGCTGTCCAGATACGCCTTCACAAGCTCCTTGGTCTTCTCGCCCTTGGTATCAGGGTTGTTGCAGCTCAGCGCGAGCCGGCACAGCGTCTTGAGCAGTTCCTGGATCGTGTAGAGCTTCCATCCCTTCCTAAGGTAGTAATGCCGCAGCACGTCCTGGAACCGGTTCTCATCGATTTCGCCCGTGATGAAGTCCTCAATCAGGTCCCTCGTCTTCGGCCAGAAGGCCGCGGGATCCTCGCTGTCGAAGTAGTGCAGACCCTCGTGGACGAGGCCCAACGTCTTGGCCGGCTTCTCGGCGTTTTCGCGCTTGATCTCCTCCATCACGCTATCCTTGCTCAGCTTGACATTTTCGAGCCGTTTGAACAGCGTCTGGAAGACGGTGAAGAAGACGTAGATGTTCTGGTTGCAGTAGAAATTGTACCACGCCCGCGGGAACGGCGCGTCCGCCTTGAGCTCGCCATCCACGTCGACGAGCTCGGATCCTCTGCCGCCCTTGCCCTTCTCGACGATGATAGGGCCGGGAACCGTGGGTAACCAGCGTCCGTTCGATACTTCCGGTACCGACGAGTCCTCCGGCGCGTCCGGCATCTCTTCCTCCGCGGATCCCACGTCAGGCGTGGTCTCCTTGCTGCCGGATGCCGCGCTGTCCTCCTTCTGGCCACGGCTGCGGCTGCCGTTGCGGCTCGGATCCAGAACGCCGCGGAGGAGATCCGACTTTTTGCCATTGCGGCGGCTACGGCCATTGGTGAGCTCCGTAGGGGCCGTGTCATCCTCGTCCTCTTCGGCCGAGTCCTGGTCAATGTCGGCTAGCTTTTCCGACACTTTGTCCTCGGCAAGATCGAAGAACTGGGGGATGAACGACTCGAAGAACTCCAGGATGCGCCTCCGCTCCTGCGCGTTGTGCTGGCCACCAACGTTGGCAAAGATGACCATGAAGCGGAGCAAATCCAAGACGAGCTCCTCGTCCGAAAACTGATGTGAGAACTGGTAGCGAGGAGTCTTGCCCTTGGCGACCCGGATACGGCGCTGCTCTTCGTGCTTCGTCTTGATCATATCGACGAGGTGCTTCGCCGACAGGCTGCGCTTGTCATTGGTCTTGACCTGGATCCCCATGTGATCCAGGCTCTTAAGGTGCATCACTTCGGTTTGGCTCTGCCAGACCTTCTCCCATTCCCGCTACAGCACCCGTGGTCAGTAAACATTCATAGACGATGCAGGCGTCGGGTCTTACCTGAGTAAACCGCCATTCCTCATCCTTCTGCTTCAAACGCGCCATGACGACGGGGACGACCGTAAAAGGGTGCTTGAACATGTCGTTGGCCACCTCACAGCCCTTCTCGGCGCCGTAGATCTTTTTGAGAACTCTCTTGTAGATCGACGTGCTCTGCCCGCCAAGACCGGCCGGCATCTTGAAGTTGGGCCTCTCCGAGGCAGGTAGCGATAGCATTTGTTGTGCGATCGGCTCCAGGAGCTGTATGCATTTCTGGTTCGCTTCGATGAAGAAATCGTAATCGTGTCGCTCCTCCTCGATCCGGTGGAGGCTTTCCTCGTAGCCATTCTTGCGATGGGCGACGAAGCCGGAATCTTCCGAGGCCCAAGTCGGGTGCGACGCCCATTCGTCATTGAGAACCGACTGGCAGAGCTCGTCACGGCCGGAGCAGGGCTTTAGGCGCTCCCGCTTTGGCAACAACCGGTAGCTGGGGCCGAACCCACGACAGTTGCTGAGGGAAACCCGGCCCGTGGGCGGGTCCGGGCGGTTTTCTATGGCCTCGTCCATGGTACCTTGGATGAGCATGCCCTTCAGGGTGCCGAGGAGCTCGGGATTGCCGCCCATGAATTGGTTGGCTTTGAAAATCAAGACGTCCGTGGTAATCAGGCCTTGGTTCCAAAGGTTCAGGAGCTTGAGAAATTCTGTCGTCGCCGTCCGGTTGCCGATGTGCTTCTTCACCTTCTCGAAGAAGGCCAGGTCGTCCTGAATCGACGTTGCGAGGGGCGTGGGCGCCAGCGGCTCGGGCAGGACCGGCGTCAGTGTTGGCTCGATGAAGGCGGTTTCGGCAGCGTTGGGCTTGTGGGATAGCTTCGCCCGCTTATTCGCCGCGGCCGGAGGGAGTGTACCACGCATGCCCGACATTTGAGTCTGCTCGGAAGCCGGGGGCCCACCCGGAACTGCCTTTTCGGGTCGACGTTTTTTGTTCTCTTTGCTGGCGCTTGCCGGTGGCGCAAAATTGCCAACCGGGGGCATCTTGGGCCCGTCGCGTGCGGCATGCCCCGGTTGCGGCGTCGGTGTAGACACCGGTATTGCCATGCTCTCCTCGGCACGTTGGCCAGCCGATCGGGCTTGCGCGGCAGATTCGGGGAGAAATTGTTTGAAGTCTTCGAGGAGGTCGGGGGCCGTGTGGAAAAGGCTCGTCACCTGCGAGTAGACGTCCTGGATCGGCTTTTGTTCGCGTTGGTAGGTCTGGAGAATTTCCAGGAACTGCTTGTATATTTCGGGTTTATCCTGGAAACGATTCTGGGTCGCGGTTAGCAGCTGTGTCAAGTCGATGGAAAAAGTCTCCACCAGAATCTGTCTGACCCATTAATCCCCTCCCAAAGGCTTCGGATAGAAGCCTGCCTTTTGAATGCAAACAACAAAAAAAGCAAAACAAAAGGAGAGGGGCTGTTTTACCTTTATCTTGTTGACATAGCTGATGGCGTGGTTAAACTCGACAGGACCGCGCTTCTCCAAACTGGCTTGCTGGGCAGTGCTCCCGTTTGCACTGGGCGGGCCGGCGGTAGGCGTGGGCGTCTGTGCGGTTCGCGGAACGGGAGCGTGGTTCAGAGGAGTGCCGTTTTGGGTAGCGGGCACCGACCTCTGCTGAACCGGGCTGGCGCCGTCAAACGGAGCACCCTGGTTCGACCCGGGGAAGCCGGAAGGGCCGTTCTGCGCTGGTGCGCTGAATGTTGCTTCTGGACTCTCTGCACCATGCGACAAGGGCGGCTGCCACCCCGTCCTTGTGTTCAAGAACCCTTGCGGTGGCCCTCCCGCTGGCTGTGCGATTTCGTGTTGGGTCGCCCGTCCCGCGCCGATCGAGTGGATCGTGGAGCCTGAGGGTGTCGTGACGCGGATGCTGTTCGGATTGTTTTCCAAGCCGCATTCTATGCGATAACCAGGGGGCAGAAAGGTGTTGAAACCTTGGATCAAGTTAGGATGCCCGGCGAAGAGTTCAGAAACCCTGCTGATCACACCAGGTGTGTCGATACTAGTTTGGGGTTAGCGGGCCGTGAGAATGCAAAACCGACGGTTAGTACATACGTTTGGCTCTTGAAGTCTTTCATGATATCGAGGAACCTGTTGTAAACGTCCGGTTGTTCGTGGAACTGGACTTTGACTTGGTCGAGATAACTCAGCGCATCCTAGAAGGCAGCGGGTTAGCGACAATCCCATCACAGGGCCGACTTTTGTTAGCCGCATGCAACCTACGTTGAGTATCGGCTGCTGCCCTTGGGGCATTCCGCCGGGTCCTGATGGGGCGGCCTGTCCGGGACCCATGCTGGAGCCGAACGGCAATTGCTGCATGGCCCTAGCGCCGTCCTGCGGCATCCCCCGGCCATTCTCCTGCTGAAGCGGGCCCCCAAATATGGCACCGGGCCCGCCTGGTCCGCCAAGGGAGTTGGTCGAACCGTTGGGGCCGCCTGGCGCATGCGCCATCGGCGCGAAGATCTGGTGTTGAGCGCCCCCTGCGGCTGCCGGGGCGCCTTGTTGTTGAGGCCGGCCGGCTTCACTGTGCAGCGACCCACCGAAGCCGGGCGCGGGCGCGGACGGACCACTGATGGGTAGCGATGGCGCGGAGCTTCCGTGATTTGCGAGGAGGCCACCGGGGCCAGTGATCGAATTGGAAATCCTAGATGCGACAGGCTGATGGATAGGTAACGAACCAGCAGTGCTGTGGTGGGGAGCCCCAGAAGCGGTGGCGGGCGGATACGGCTCGCGATGCTGGCGCTCAGCTTCCTCTCTCTCGCGATCGCGATCCCGTTCGCGTTCGCGCTCTCGTTCGCGTCTGGCGAGGTCGTCCTGATGGTGGGTGCGATGACGTTGCTCGTCGAGGTCACGGTCGCGGTCGAAGCCGCTACCGGGGTGGAGCGGCTGGCTATTCATAATGTCTGGCTGCTCGAAGCCTCTATAACAGACTTAGTATCGTCATGTAATAGACCGAGGCACGGCGGTATAGCGCTTTGTGGGAAAGGACAAGGGCGCCGGCGGGGTGGGCTCGCGGTGTCTGCGGTTGGCGGGTGGGCTCCGGCTCAGGAGGCAGAGACGGGGGGCCAAATGCCGACCGGGAAAGGGGAGCTTGTGCTTACAGCTGCAGCTGGTATTCCCATATAAATTCTCTGCTTGTTTTCCGGGCAGAGCGGGTCGAGGGTTCGAGGTAGGTTCAAAAAAGGAATTGTCAGGTCGTCGAGACAACAGATACTACGCGCTGCTTGGGAGAAAAGGGTATCGCAGAATTGGGGCGTGTGTGTGCTCGATTAAAGAGCCCGTTCTGACGCTGAGCACAGGGCCCGCAGATCTCTTTCCCCTTGTCGCGCACTGATAACAATCGATAAGCGGCAGAACCTCGGGTAGCATTGCGTTTCTCAGCCCGCCTTGCGATTGCTTCATCCCATCCCCAATCTGTACAAGCCAATCAAACTGCACGACTCGGTGAAGGCTCTCGAGGTTGTTGTTTGCCTCGTCACCGAAGTCACCTCGTCTCCAAGCACCCGCACGCACCTCTGGTTGTGTCGTCATCCGCTCAACAACCACATAACATCTTAGCCAGTTATTGTTTCTCACGTGCGGGATTCCTGCTTGGGCCGCTAACCAGTTATGCGAAGAAGAAATAAGAGGGCGGACAAAAAACCGAGAGAGACAGAGAGGAAAAGGAAATAATCGGACAAGTAGAACACTTGGTGACCTCAAGGGGATCCCACCTCAAGAATATCTTTGAATTTACCGCTACTGAATTCCAGACGCTCGTCATCATCATCATTCATCCTATTTTATCCCTCGAGCCATTAATCATAACATCCTGACAGCGTTCTCATCTCGCGCCACCCTCACGATCTCAAAAATGTTGGTGTCGTTCTAGCCATCTCCCCATACAAATAAATTCGCCGGTATCATTCCATTTACTCGGAATAATTGCGCACGTTTTTGATGATCCACTAGTGAAAGTCAATGTGTCAGTCATACGAAGTAGGAAAGGCTTATTCATATTCGACATACCACTTGACCGTTTTCAACATTCCCCGCGACGCTGACGATCTCTATCGAACCCGGTTGAATCTGCACTCATGTGTTAGCTCAGCGAGCCTCCTTCTAGGAGAAAATGCGTAGGATGCGCATCTCACCAGGCGTGTTCCGTCCTTTTCTTCCCACCAGATATCCCGATCACCACCCACTGTCTTAATCTTCTGGCCTTCTTGCCAGGGACTCGCAGGTACTAGGTGGGCCTCCACGAACCGGCGCAGATTACGCTGAGCTCTCTCGTGGCCGTCCCCGCCCTCGTACGCGTTGGGGCCGAGCGCGCCGTATTCTCGTGGATCCTCCCACGGTTTCCTAGGGAGCTTCTCGACGGCCGAGTTGAGTGGAGCGAGCACTGTTGTGTTGTGGGAGGGGTCTTCCAGGCGGCGGGCGGCGGATTCGATGTCTCGTACGAATCTGATGTTGTCTACGTTAGCCGGCAGTTTTTCAGGAGCTCGCCCAGATGGCAGTGGCGGGAATGTGTAGGATGGTATGCATGTAAATACCCTGCAAATAAGTTGATGCTCCTATCGCGGCCCATCACATCGGACAGCACAACACCTCCCCCAGCACTGGCAGGCGGCTCAGCAGGAGAGGATCCCGACGGAGGCATCGCCGGTCCGGGACCAGCGGGGTCCATGAGGGGCGCTTGGTCGCGACCAAACGGGTGCGGCGTTGACGGGTTCCTTAGGAGGGGCACGAGAAGTTGAGCCGAAACGGTAGCACTGAGAGCAACGAAAGGCAAAAGGGACGGTCGCATATTTCGGTGGTCCTCAATATTCCCTAGATCAGATCTCGAACAAGCATCTCTATCTTGCGGCTTGACGTTGCGCAATGCGGTCGTATCATCAGTCGCTTGGACGCTGCGAAACTGGGGTCCTAACCGATCGGATGATTGGGCGGCAGAAAGGCCAATTGGTAACGGTGGTGACGTAGGGCGTCGGGTGTCATCTGACATCGGAATTAACAGCCCAGCGCCCTTTCATGGTCCCTCTCTGCAACCTGCACCACTCGGGGGGAATGTCGCGACTACGTTACTTGGTTTTGTGCAAATTGCCCCCTCGTTCTGGCTTTGTCTCATTATTATGCTTCTCTTGAACTGGGGGAAATTCGCTAGCTGCCTTGAACGGGTTAGTATTCTGGGGCTGTCGGGTTCTCGAGTGGTCGAGTTAACTCATAGATGTTCCGGTCGTGTTTTTAAAGGGGAGGAGGGTCGGGCATCTCCCTTATTTTGACCGAAACCATTTCATCCGTATTGCCCGAGTGTTGGTGTTCAGACCCAGGGTCGATCACATGCAAGCAACACCCACCTCATTACCTGAGCTCCGCCAGCCCACACATACCACTTGCCGGACTTGGCAGTTCTTGTGTCAACGGAACAACCAGACACCTGGACTGGGCATGCCGCAAAAGAGGGATGCCCATCAGCTCGGGAATTGGTCTGTCATCGTGCTTGGCCTGCCATGTCAGCCAGTCAACCGAGTGGTCAAAGGCCGAATCGAATGGCAAGCAGCTGGAAGCGGGTCTCCCGGTTTCAATCACATGCAAACGGGCAACTGGGGAACAACGCGTGACTGCCCATGGGGAACCCTGACCACATGCTACTCAGGCGGAAAACATGGAGGGGCAATGCGGCGATGCAACCACCTACCAAGGCACCTAGGCTCTCGTCCCTGGTCTGCCACAAAGGAATGCGAAGAGTAAACCAGTCCCTCGAATGCCACCCTTTGGGAGAGATCACATTCGGCTACTGGCGCGCAGCGTCTTATTCCTGAACAAGGTGACAAAGTGGGTGCTCACAACGCCTCCACGACTTACCCCACGAATCACCCGTTTTTGAGCTGTTCCGGTCCGGGGTACCCACCGTTTCGGGTGCCGTGGCGAGCCTCGGCCCATGTACCGAGTTTCGCGAGCCCACTTTGTCCTCGGCCAGGATCAACGCGAACAACACAATCGCCTCAAAGAAGAGGCTTCGAAGCCGTAACTTTGGTATTTTGGGAGCGCTAGATACTTGAGAAACTTCTTCATTGTATTTGGGACTTGGGAAATTTCGAAAAAAGTAAATATCCGCCAGTTTCAGCGTGCCAGGTTGCCCCTAGAACAGCTTCGCATCGCCTCGCCTGCGGCGGATTCACAGAGGCAAACACCCCCTGTCCTGCTCCCTGGCGTTGACCTCGGCTCACGAATCAGCGTGCCAGCAATTCCAACCGTTGCGAGCTCGGCAGGCGCAACCCATCGGTCAGATAACTACTCCCACATTCCTCACGCTCTCGGCATTCTCCTCTTTCTCTTTTCTGCTTTCAACAACCACAACATCTTTCCTTTCCTTCCACCATTCTTTTTTTCAGATACCCCATCGCAATGGCACCGAGCGTTATCGTCGTTGGCGGCGGCCGTAAGTGAAAACCCCGGCGTGTCGCATTCCCCGCGAGGTGTCGTCATTGTTCCATTGCCAACTTGTCCGTTGCTGACCATTGATCTCGTGCTCCAGTTTCCGGCCTTAGCGCTGCCCATACCATTTATCTCGCCGGCGGTAACGTTGTTGTCCTCGACAAGCAGGGCTTCTTCGGCGGCAACTCGACAAAGGCCACCTCCGGCATCAACGGTGCCCTCACAAGGACACAGGTTGAGCACGGCATCCAGGACAGCGTGAAGCAGTTCTACGATGACACCCTCAAGTCCGCCCGTGACAAGGCGAGGCCTGACCTCATCAAGGTGCTTACCTACAAGTCCGCCGCTGCTGTCGAGTGGCTGCAGGATGTGTTCAACCTTGACCTGACGCTTGTTTCCCGTCTCGGGTAAGTTCTAATTGCACCATGGTCGCCTCAAGGCAAAGTTTCAACCAAGCGTTTTACTAACCCGCCGGTTCCACAGTGGCCACTCCCAACCCCGTACCCACCGTGGCCACGATGCCAAGTTCCCTGGCATGGCCATTACTTATGCCCTGATGCAGAGGCTCGAGGAGCTCGCCGAGACCGAGCCTCACCGCGTCCGTATCATCAAGAAGGCCCGCGTTACCGGCCTCAACAAGCAGGGTAACAGCATCACCGGTGTCCAATACGAGCACAATGGCGAGAATCTGTCTGTCGACGGCCCCGTCATCCTCGCCACCGGCGGTTATGCTGCAGACTTCACCGACTCCTCTCTGCTCAAACAGCACCGTCCCGACACCTTTGGTCTGGCGACCACCAACGGCTCCCACGCGACTGGTGACGGCCAGAAGATGGTGATGGCCATTGGCGGTAACGGCATCGACATGGACAAGGTGCAGGTTCACCCGACGGGTCTCGTCGACCCCAAGGACCCCGGCTCCAAGTGGAAGTTCCTGGCCGCCGAGGCTCTCCGTGGTGAGGGCGGTCTCCTGCTGAACGCCGATGGAGACCGCTTCTGCGACGAGCTCGGGCACCGCGACTACGTCTCGGGCATGATGTGGAAGGAGAAGGACAAGGGCAAGTTCCCCATCCGCCTGATCCTCAACTCCAAGGCTTCCAACACTCTCGACTTCCACACCCGCCACTACTCTGGCCGTGGCCTCATGAAGAAGATGACCGGCAAGGAGCTTGCCAAGGAAATTGGCTGCACCCCGGATCACCTCCAGAAGACCTTCCAGACCTACAATGCCATCGCCGATGGCAAGCAGAAGGACCCGTGGGGCAAGAAGTTCTTCCACAACTTGCCCGTGGACATCAACGACGACTTCCACGTCTCCCTGATGGAGCCGGTGCTTCACTTTACCATGGGCGGTATCGAGATCAACGACAAGGCCCAGGTCCTCAACAAGGAGCAAAAGCCATTCGAGGGTCTCTACGCCTGCGGCGAGCTTGCTGGTGGTGTCCACGGTGCCAACCGTCTTGGTGGTTCGTCCCTCTTGGGCTGCGTGGTCTACGGCCGCGTCGCCGGTGATTCCGCCAGCAACTTCCTCTTCCAGCAGGCCCTTAAGGGTTCGACCGGTGCGGCCCGCCTTGGCCAGATCGCCCTGCACATCGACCCCTCGACGCCGGGCAGGATTTCTGTCGAATGGGCCGGTGCTAGCGGCGCCGAGGCGCCCAAGGCACAGGCCGTGTCGGCCAGTGCCCCCGCCGCTAAGCAGGAGTCCAGCGAGGCCAAGCCGTTCGCTATCCCGGAGAAGGAGTACACCATGGAGGAAATTGCCAAGCACAACAAGAAGGAGGACCTTTGGGTTGTCGTCAAGGGTGTCGTACTCGACTTGACCAACTGGCTCGATGAGCACCCGGGTGGCCCTCAGGCCCTCCTCAACTTCATGGGCCGTGATGCCACTGAAGAGTTCGAGATGCTCCATGACGACGAGGTCATTCCCAAGTATGCCCCCTCGCAGGTGATTGGGCGGGTCAAGGGCCAGAAGGTCACTCTGGAGATCTAAAAACAGGGCGACCTGGAGCGGATTGGTGGTTTTCTCATAGTACGGCGAAGTTTGGGGCTCTGGAAAGGCGTATCTTTATAGACTGGTGCCAAGAAGACGCAGACGACACTAGTGGGACGGCTTGAGCTTGATGTATCATTGCATTTTGGGGTCATAGGTTATTCGGGCACTCATACCAGTCGATTTGGATAAGTCACTGGTTCAGCAGGGACGCAACCTGCTCTGTATTGATAGCGTCCTTCTTCTTTGCGGGGAGGTAATGGACAAAATTATCATCCATCTCGGTAACCTGTGGTGTTTTTGCCGCGTGACTGTCCCCGCTTGGGTCATAAATTTCAGTTTTCTAAGTGGAAGGTGGCTTCGGTGTCCGTTGTCTGTCCTTAAGAGAACCGTTGAAACCCCGAAATGGATCGATGCCGCTTTTCACCTCAGCTCGACACCGGTTCTTGTGATCATTGCCGCTGAGGCGTCTAACTCGGGCCGCCTCTCGAGATAGCGCGTGTTTCGGCTTGTACGTCCATGTGGTAGGACACGAATATTGGCAGACTTCTTTAGTATATATCACCGAAATACCGGGCTGGTGAGGCGGTTGGTTACAATTGGAACGTAAAATCATCTGCTCGAGGGAAGGTTGGATGGTGGTTCGTGGGTTGGAGTTGATGGGCGGAGCCCGACTGAGCACGAACTTGCTACCAAACGACTGAGCAACCTCAAAGCTGCCCCGGGAGACGGGATAATAACAGACTTCTATTCACTTCTGGTATGACCAAGACATGGTCTACTTAGGTAGGTCGTCACGGGAGACAGGAAGAAATAATGTTCTGTAACCCCCCCCCCTTCCCCTCCCTTTTCGTTGGACTTCATTTGCTTTTCGTGCGTCACTCGAGCTGCAAAGTTGAATAGCAAGCTGCGCCCCCCCGCCCTCCTCTTTGCTTACTCGCCTGTATCGGTACGGGCGGCGGAATCATCCGCCTGCACTGTCATGCCTGCATTGCTTACTATGTATGTAGTTACATCTTCTTGCCCTTCCTTAGCTCGTGCTACGAAAAGCTGTCCTATCGCTGGCTTATTTCACTCGGGTAACTCGGAGCAGGGTCTATCTCCGCTGGTGGGGGGGGGGGGGGGGGGGGGGGGGGTGGTCGGTTGGGTTGGTGATATCAACTCTACCACGCTCGGTCGGCTGGGTCACTTGAGCGGTCGGGAAGCTGTTGGTTGGGGGCCGGTGATGACAGTTCACCTGTCACCGTCACGAGCAGCTTCCTTTTTCGGGGGATTCGGCATGAGAGATCGGGACTGGCTTGGAGGGAGTTCGCGGTTTCACGACGTTGGGGCTGAAAAATGAGCTGTGGTCAAGGTCGGGGAAAAGGGGCACGTATTATTGACTAATCTTTTCTTCTTGGTATCGAGCACGTCCATTCTTCTCATTGTTTTTTGTTTCCCTCTGTGCCTTCCGACTCTTTGCTATCCCAAAAGGGGTTGGAAAAACGCCACAACCACGCCATGGCTTCCCGCTCTCTTGATTCCGGCCAGTGACAGGGGCTGCATCTCGTTCGATTTGGAAGAGAGAACTTGAACCCACAAGCGAGGCCGGCCGGCCACCGTCAAGGCTTGAAGGTTGCGACCCACGACAGGGCTGGTTCCGGCTGCGGCGCGGACATGGACGTAACGGCGGCAGCCAATACCGAGCGCAGCCCTGAGCCGCCGGCCGCGCGTGCCCAAGAAAGCTCAACGGGCGGGAAGCCAGCGAGGGAAAGCTCGAAGGCTGTCGCCCGGACAGATTGGCCACTTAATCTATTGGTGTGCAGTTCTGGGGGAGCACGGCTTGGGTTGGACTGGCCGTGCGGGTCCTCCTCTGAGTCCTCTGTAAGTCCCCCCCTTCTTGACCTGCTCACTTCAGCATTCATCACAGCCAGGAAGATAGAATTGCAAGGGCGAGGTAAAACCCTGCAGAAACCGGGCGAAATGAAGAGAGAAACAGGTGGTATGCTTTCCGCCGACCCATGGCGGAAAGGACTTGCGGGAGCAGACCAGGTTAGGTCTTGACTGCAATGTCCGGAGTGGAAATGCTTCGGAGCGGCTGAAGCCAAGAAAGGGTCGAGGCGTCGCCCTGGTCTTACCCCGACGACCAATGCCGTTGACATCTCAAGCCATCGTGACGCAAATATTAAGTCAGTGGTGGTGTTCGGGTGATGAAGCGGCGGAGGGCAAGCGGCACAGCCTGCAAAGTGCGGTGAGTCAGGGAATGGCGTCTCAAGGGAGACACAAAGGATTTGGGCGGACTGCAGGATGGAGACTCGGAAGCGGTAACTAGGACTGGAAAAAGGAAGAGAGAATCGCGGAAAGGGGCGAATGTGAGTGGCTGCAAGCTTGGCCCCTCGAGTCTTGGTGAAGCTTGGAACTGGCTGGTGGAAGGGGGCTCGGCCATTGGCGGCACAAACACGACTGGAGCGCCAAGTGCTGTCCCAAAGAGTGATCCTTTCGTTCTATTGGATTCCTTCAAATTTATACCGTCATTGTCTATGTCTGAGGAAAACGACTGCAATTAAAGGTGACGGAAAACGTTAAAATATGGGTTCCGAACTCTCAGAAGGAAACAAGCGGGGACATTCCTGCTTGATGTTGATGGATGGTGGGCCTGCTGACCGGCACAGTGCTTTGTCTTGGCACATGATCCAATCCGACACTGTATTTCAAGCACTGTTGGGGACATTACAGGCCCTCCTGTAATCGAGGAGCCACTGGAAAGGATTTAATGTATGGTCCTCTGCACTGTGCGCCACCACAGCGATGATTCTTTCCAGATTGGGACAGTGCGGTGGTGGGTACGCACGTGTCCTGCTCCGGACAATGTGCACTGGGGAGTCTTTTGTCTCCCCGCACCAGCCCCGCAAAGTTAGCGGCTGGCCAATGAGACAATCAAAGAACACCAGAGTCTTCGCAGATCAAAAGGTGGGAATGTTCGAAACTGGACATCGCAGAGTCACAGTGCGATCGGAGGAGGTTGCAGACGGAATGGAATGAACCCACACTGTCGGAGCGCTCCCGCGTTGCAGGCTCATGTCTCGCGTCCTGGGAGCCTCGAGGGAGCCTCAACTCGATCCATTGTCTCTGGCCTGCTGCTAGCTCGGCATTCTTCGGATATCCACAAGCCTAGGACTGCCGGTGCATTCCCGAGGCCGCTTAGCTTCCCCAGGTTTGAAAGAGCATGATCTCGCTTGCGATCTTGTCATTCTGGGCTTCAGCACACACCGGCGAGTTCGGTTGCGCACCTGCACTCCCTGCCTTAGTGGGGATTCTTCATCGGCCCACTCAGCAGCAACTCTTGACCCGACCGGGGTCCGGATTTGAGAGAGCAAAAGGAACAAGAACATCAGAAAAGAGGAGAGAAAAAGATATCTTCCAAAAGGAAGAGGAGTTTTGTAATGACATCTTCTACTCCCACTTTCATTTCGTCTCGATGCAATACTTCGTACGAAGTACCACTTTGTACACAGTATGCGCTTGAAGGCCAGACGCTGGAACGAGGTCCACAAGTCCAGCGTCCGCAAAGTTTTGATTGGACAAGAGCAGGCGAGAGCCAACCAGACCTCGCATTCTCCTCTCGTTGGACAGAGACAAGGGTCCCCCGTTGAGCTTTACTCAATCCCCCACAAGGTGGGACTTTTGTCGACTTTGACTTTGACACATTGAATGTACATTACGAGTAGTAAGCGTCTTTCGGGAGACACTTCGACGTCAACGGTCGAGCGAGTTGCCAACACCGAAATGCGAGAACACGGGACTTCCGGCCGATGGGGGAACTGTTTTTGCACGAGAGATTCGTTGAGCTGCAGCCAAGTCGCCATGAACAAGAGTGAGTGAACTTGGCATGATTTTTGCGGAAGCCGGGAATCAGCTCCACCTACTGCTTCACAGATGCGGAATGGTGGGGCATGGGGACCGGGGTGAGTCCGGTGGAGCGGCTTTGTTGTGAGGGAGGGTGTGTGGGTGTGCTGTTCCTGCGAGTCCTGGGCTTCTGCGGCCACGGGCAAATGCACGGGCTCCCTTGGCTTGCCTGGGGGCAGCTGAACCAATAGCAGCAGGCCCCCCCGAGCTGCGGGCTCAACTGCTGATCTCGAAGCCTCTCTCGCCTACTGTTCCTCCCTTCCGCCCCATATTACCCAGACTCAGGCGAACGACAACCTCTCGCTTCAAATGGTCGAACGACACGCTCCAACCTCGCATCGTCAACCCCCGATAGTTTTGGCGGCAGCGGCATCGAATCTGGCGTGAAGGGCGCCTCCTCTTGCACCATGGCGATTTTCGCCATGGGCTGGCACAAGCCCGACAATGTCGCTGGCACCTCGACGCAAGCGATCATGATCGGATTGTTCGTTGCCACCGGCGGAATTCTGTTTGGTTACGACACTGGGTAAGCGGCCGGAATGAGAGGGAATCCGATCGTAGGGGAAGTACGGGAGGGTTTCAAGAGGCTGACTCGGCTCTCTTTCGCAGTGCGATCAACGGGATCCTCGCCATGGACAAGTTCAAGGACGACTTCTCGACAGGCTTCAAAGACAAGGGGGGACGAATCGGCATATCGCCGGGCGAAATATCTCTGATTGTCGCGATGCTCAGCGCAGGGACGGCTGTGGGTGCGTTGCTCGCCGCGCCGTTGGGGGATCGCTGGGGACGTCGGCTGTCACTCCTCTTCGCTATCGGGGTGTTTTGTATTGGCGCCATATTCCAAGTGAGCGCAACCAATATCGCGCTGCTCGTCGTGGGAAGGTGGGTTTATTTCCGTTTTTTTTCCCCGCATCTATATGCCGCCCGTTCTCCGACAGTTTGATGTTAACTTTGACAACAGGACGGTGGCGGGCATAGGGGTGGGAATCGTCTCGGTCCTGGTCCCGTTGTATCAATCAGAAATGGCGCCAAAGTGGATTCGAGGAACGCTCGTTTGCGCATATCAGCTATCCATCACAGTAGGATTGCTTGCCGCCGCGGTGGTCAACATCGCCACCTACCAACTGACCTCGGCTGCCGCGTACCGTATCCCGATGGGCCTACAGATCATCTGGGCCGGCTGTTTGGCTGGGGGCTTACTATTTCTCCCGGAAACCCCTCGATATCTGATAAAGCGCGGACTCAAGGATGCCGCTGCGCTCTCACTCAGCCGCCTCCGACGCCTCGACATCACACACCCAGCCCTAATTGAGGAACTGGCGGAAATCCAAGCAAATCACGAGTATGAAATGGCGCTGGGGCCAGATACGTACAAAGACATCATTTTCGGCGAACCTCATCTTGGCCGCCGAACGCTCACCGGCTGCGGCCTGCAGATGCTGCAGCAGCTAACGGGCGTGAACTTCATCATGTATTATGGGACGACCTTCTTCATCGGGGCGGGGGTCGACAACCCGTTCACCATCTCTCTGATCATGCAGGTCATCAATATGGTGTCGACATTCCCCGGCTTGTTTGTCGTCGAGTCGTGGGGTCGACGGAGGCTCCTTATGTTGGGAGCGCTTGGGATGGCCTTCTGCCATTTTTTCATCGCCGGTTACGCCACGGCCACCGGCAACAACAACAAAACGACACAGAACCAGATCCTCATCATTTTCGTCTCGATATTCATCTTCTTTTTCGCCGCCTCCTGGGGCCCGGTCGTGTGGGTCGTCACGTCGGAAATTTACCCCCTAAAAGTGCGTGCGAAGTCCATGTCGATCTCGACGGCGTCGAATTGGATCCTCAATTTCGGCATTGCGTACGGCACGCCATACCTGGTGGATCCCTCGGCAGGATCGCCCGACCTGGGCTCTCGCGTGTTCTTTGTTTGGGGCGCCTTCTGCTGTCTTGCCTTCGTTTTTGTGATGGGCATGGTGTATGAGACGAGCAAACTCAGTCTGGAGCAAATCGACGAAATGTACGAGCGGGTACCCTCTGCGTGGAAGTCTCGGATCTTCGAGCCCAGCTGGAGCTTCCAGCAGATGCGGGAGTTCGGCTTTTCGGACAGCGGCATACCCCCGACGGAACAGCAGCTCGAGCTCCAGCCATCGAACGCCAGCACGACACAGTCGGACACGGGCGGGAGCGCGGCGACGAATACGACGACGAACACGACGACGACGAATTCTCAGGACGCCAAGATGCTGTCGCAACTCGGGAATGTCGATTTAAGTTATTGAGTTTTGGACATTCGGTCGTTCGCGTTTCCGGCGATCGATGTAGTGGATTGGATACCAGGGATGGAGTTTTATATCATGACGGAGTTCATCGGAGGGCGTCAACGGTAGGCAAATTTCTGGCGGGGCTCTCCCTTTTATTTTGGGTTTGGGGATTTCATCTTGGGGCTGTTTTTGTTTTTCGCATATTGTGCTATCGACCAGGCCGAGGCTTCAGGATCTGTGGTGTTCGCTGGATGGCTGGGCCCAAACTTGGGAAGCCTATATTGGGGCCGTCGTATATTTGCCGGACCGGGCGTATGGCGTAGGAAGGGGGCGATGGGGCTCGATCGATACCTAGTTGAGTTGTGCGCCTACATATGGAAGGTATCTTGGGATGGGAACCCATCCTTGTCATGGCACAGTACCCATCTCACATATAGCAATTTTGAAGCTAATGCGTCGGGAACATGTGTGTTTCCATCGTACCTCTGAAACCCCTGTGCGCTTCCCGGAGCTGTACAACATCAAGCATCCGTCGGTCCGATTTGCTCTTTCCAGAGCAGTTCCCGGTGACTTCATGATTCCGATCTGCACGACGAATCTCAAATGCACATCCACCTATTCGGCCGTGTAGGTCTGTGTGACGGTGCTGGGTTTTGCAGTACTGTACTGTGTATGTTGTTGTCAATGCCCCGCTCCCACTTCCAACTCCAATTGCCGATTCCATCCTGATGTGTCGGTTTCTTCCCTCTGCATTCAACTATAACACGCCTGCCTTGTTGCCCTTGATTCACTGCGCGCGCAGCACATTCATCCAACTGTGCAACTCGGCGCAACGAAGCACAACCCCCCCCCCCAGAACGAACACAGTCGCAGCGGCCATCACGACATAGGTAGCGCACGTAAAGGAGAAGTAACTTGGTGTGTGCGAGACGTTGTATCATCGGGAACACAGTTAGCTAACTACTCAGCTGTCTTGCCCGGCCGAGTAGATGCCGAAGTGCGGGAGCAGTAGCGGTTGTTCATGATCATGGTGGTAATAGCCATGGAACCTGCATCACCGCCAACCAAACATCCCATCCGAACTCCGCTTCTGTCCTCCGCCTCAGCGAGGATGGGAGACAGGTCATACCGGGAAGCGAGTGGCTTCCGCCGGAGGGACACGGAAACATGCGAGACTACAGTTACATCTACACTCGCTCCGGACCAGACATGCTCTACGGGTTCATCGCACGGCGACCGTGGTCCTTTTTCCAATGTGAGTGAGACACTTGCTACCAAGGACAAAACTTGTCGGGTTACGGGCTCGAGTCGTCGTCGTCTTACAATCTCGAGGAGGGCCTTGTCGACTTCCCTGGCTATAGGTAGGCTCAGTGGCTGACGTCGCCTTGCAGATTCCCCTCCCAACCTCAACACCTGGTTTTGCTCCCTCTCTTCTTGCTCTAGCTGCTGGATTGGAGACGGTTCTGGCGGAAACGACAACCGGGTGCGGAAAAACAGACCAGCAGGACCCATCGCTACGGGAAGGCGCAGGATCATGCTCTAAATTATCAACGGGCTGGGCTCTGTCGGGCTGGATCTCGGACGCGTTGACCATCGATCAGCCTGGATTTCAACCATATATGCTATTTGGGGTCATACTATCGCTGTATTTCCTTGGTCTCGCATATGCCCTCCGGAACCGCTCTCCGATAACGTCCACTGGTCGCTTGAAGAGCTCGAGTATTGTCCTTCCGGCTATGGCGTTGTTCACGTTCACATCGCTCTTCCTGCTCACAGCGCTCCATCTACATTCGACCTCGGGCTATCATGGTTCACCTAGCAATGCGTGGGAACCTGGGACGCCCGGCCAGGCCGCTGAGCATGCCCCCATCTTCACGCTCCCAGCCTCGGCCGACGTGGGCAAGGACGTCCTGCCCAACATCAGGGACCCCGAGGCCACTGACGCTCAAACAGTATGCCCCGGCTACAAAGCGTCCAATGTCCAAGATACGGAGACTGGCTTCACGGCTGACCTTGATCTCGCCGGCTCGGCATGCAATGTTTACGGCAATGACGTTGAGCATTTGGCCTTGTCCGTCCAGTTCCAAGGTGACGACCGCGTCCATGTCGAGATCCGGCCTCGCTACATCAGCCCTGAGAATGAGACTTGGTTTCTTCTCCCGGAGGAACTCGTCCCGAGACCGTCAGCTGGGTACGGCGACTCTCCTCGTTCCAATGGCCTGGCCGTGTCCTGGTCGAATGACCCGACCTTTTCGTTCGCCGTGAAACGCGTCGAGACCGGGGACACCCTCTTCTCGACCGAGGGGAAGGTTCTCGTGTATGAAGACCAATTCATCGAGTTCGTCTCGTCACTTCCGGAAAACTATAATCTGTATGGCCTCGGCGAGGTCCTTCATGGGTTCCGCCTCGGCAACAATTTCACAAGTGAGTTCATTATTGGGTGATCAGGATGATATGGCGTCCTGACCAATTCTAGGAACATTATTTGCCGCTGATGTGGCTGACAGGATCGACGCCAACCTCTATGGAAGCCACCCCATATATTTGGACACGAGATACTTCACCACGGACGACTCGGGGACACTGACCTACGCTCCCGATGCCACGGACAAGACAGTCAAGTATCTCTCTTACACACACGGTGTGTTTCTCCGCAACGCCCATACGCAGGAGATTCTCCTGCAGCCATCTGGCATCACATGGAGGGCCCTGGGCGGGAGCATCGATTTGTACTTCTACAGCGGCCCCGACGCTCAGGATGTAATGAGTTCCTACCAACAGTCAACGACTGGGCTGCCCGCTATGCAGCAGTACTGGACCCTTGGCTTTCACCAGTGCCGCTGGGGGTATGGAAGCTGGGCGGCGATGCAGGAGGTGGTTGACAATTTCGCCAAGTTTGAGATCCCATTGGAAACTATTTGGTGTGAGTCTTCCTTCCTCGGCTTGCATGGGTGTAATAATCGCTGGGCTGACCTCCTCGTAGCCGACATCGACTACATGAGACAGTACCGCGACTTTGAGAACGACCCCGTGCGGTTCGGCTACGACGAGGGAGCCGAGTTCCTGGCCAAGCTCCACGCCAATGGCCAGCACTACATCCCCATCGTTGACTCGGCCATCTACGCCCCGAATCCCGAGAACCCCAGCGATGCCTACCCCCCGTATGATCGTGGAATTGAGGCGAAAGCGTTTGTCATGAACCCGGACGGTTCTATCTACTACGGGGCGGTATGGCCTGGCTATACAGGTTTGTTTACTTCCTTTTCCTCCCCCCCTTTGTGACTTGGGCTAACGTAATATAGTGTTTCCCGATTGGGTGGGCGCTGTTCTAAACGGTAGCGGTGCAATTAACTGGTGGATCGACGAGCTCTCGAGATGGTTCGAGAAGGTTGCTGTAAGTGTGCTTAGTCCCCCTTGGGTATGACCAGGGGCACCAATGCACTGAAGAACCAGAACTAACTTGTACAGTTCGATGGGCTGTGGATCGATATGTCAGAAGTAAGAACACCTGGTCACCCCTGAGAGTCGGGACACCTTTGACTGACCGGCGTAGGTTGCCTCGTTCTGCGTTGGTAGCTGTGGCAGCGGGAACCTGACGCTGAATCCAGCCCATCCGCCCTTTGACCTGCCCGGAGAGCCCGGAAATCTCGTCTTGCAATACCCCGAGGGCTTCGAGCGCACTAATTCATCAGAGGCAATCCCCGCCGCGTCATCTCTCCGTGCTCAGGAGGCAGCATCTCCCACCACGGCGAGCCCGACGTCTTACTACCGCACCACACCCACCCCGGGGGAAAGAAACGTAAACTGGCCACCCTACGTGGTCAACAACTTCCACGGCGACCTGGCTGTTCACGCTATCAGCCCGAACGCAACCCACCACGGAGGCTACGTACAATACGACTTCCACAACCTCTTCGGCCACCAAATCCTCAACGCCACCTACCAGGCCCTGCTCAAGATCTCCAACGACAAACGGCCCTTCATCATCGGGCGCAGCACCTTCGCCGGGTCCGGCAAGTGGGCGGGCCACTGGGGCGGCGACAACGAGGCGCTGTGGTCGCACATGTACTTCAGCATCCCGCAGGCGCTCTCCTTCTCCATCTTCGGCGTGCCCATGTTCGGGGTCGACACGTGCGGCTTCGGCGGCAACAGCGCGCGCGAGCTGTGCGCCCGCTGGATGCAGCTCTCGGCCTTCTTCCCCTTCTACCGCAACCACAACACCCTCGGCGCCGCCCCGCAGGAGCCCTACGTCTGGGCCGACGTCGCCGACGCGGCCCGCACCGCCATGCGCATCCGCTACGCCCTGCTCCCCTACTTCTACACCCTGCTCGCGCGCGCCAACAACCGCGGCCACGCCGTCATGCGCGCCCTCGCCTGGGAGTTCCCGCGCGAGCCCTGGCTGGCCGCCGCCGACCGGCAGTTCCTGCTCGGCCGCGCGCTGCTCGTCTCCCCCTGCCTCGAGCAGGGCGCCGCCACCGTCGGCGCCGTTTTCCCCGGCGTCAGGGACGGTACTACGGTCTGGTACGACTGGTACACGGCCGCGCCCGTCACGGGCGTCGCGCCGGGCCAGAACGTCACCCTCGACGCGCCGCTGGGGCACATACCGTTGCACCTGCGCGGCGGCAGCGTGATTCCGCTCCAGGAGCCTGGGATGACGACGGCCGAGAGCAGGCGGAACCCGTGGGGGTTGGTGGTGGCGCTGGATCGGGAGGGGGTGGCTGAGGGTGAGCTGTATCTTGATGATGGCGAGAGCTTGGTGCCGGCGGCGGTTACGTGGGTGCGGGTGAGTTATTCTCTGTTTTTTTCCTCCCTCTCTTTCTCCCTTCCCCTCTTTTTCTCTCTTCCCCTCTCTTTCTCTTTCTCTGGGCCTCGAAAGTACATAACACATGGGACTGCGGCTAACACATCGCGCTTCCAGTTCGCCGCCACCAACACGTCTATCTCGGCCGAAATCCAGGGCGATTATGTGGACACCAACACGCTGGGCAACGCCACTGTCATGGGGCTGACCAAGGGCCCCGTGAGGGTGTGGTTGAACAGTCGTGGGTTGGACTTTGCCAACTGGGATTATGACGAAGAGAGGACGGTGCTGTCGCTGCATGGGCTGAATGACCTGTTTCCGCATGGTGCTTGGGCAGAGCGGTGGGAGATTAACTGGGAGTGAGAGAGTGAGAGGGGGTTTAGGTCTAGGTTGGGTCTAGATAATGTTTGGAGTGTGTTTTGGTTTTGTTCGGTTAAGGGGCGCGCGGAAAAGGTATTGGCCATGGTATAGGTATCCTAATGAATGATTACGGCGTTTTAGTCAGTGTTTAAGGACCTCGAGTGTTTGTGGTTAATATTAGCGCAGTTACAGCGCTGTGATAATATTTGCAGCTCTTTGCTATTACTGTTGTTTGTTACCCCTGAACGGAGCCGTGGCTTCGTTGCTCGGTGTCCTGGGACACATTTTCTCTAGCCCGAACATCAGTCTACCGTGTGTATGCCCAGCCTCCCAACAAAACATTACCTCACCAAACAGGCCCCTCCTAGTCCCGTTTCCGGCCGGCCCTCCCCCCACCCTCACCCCAATCCCGCTCCTCATCCGTATCCATCCCCCCACTCCCGGCGCTCTCCATGAGCCGAATCCCCTGCTCCTTATCCCGGTTCCTCGCCCTATCCTTCCTGCTCACCCCGGTCTTGCGCGTGGCGCGGCGGCCCATGACGCTACCCATGCCGATGCGGCGCAGCTGCCTGTTCCAGCAGAAGGTGCCGGCGATCATGAGGGCGGCGAAGCCAAAGACGAGGGGCAGGGCGATGTAGAGCACGTCGGCGTCGGCGCGCGTCGGCGTGTGGCCGGGCCGCTTCTTCTTGGGCGGGCTGGGCTTCCACCGCAGGTTGACCGTCGGCCCGGAGTGCCACTGCGCCGGCTGCCCGTTCGCCGGCAGCGCCACCAGCCGCAGCGTGATGTTGGCCTGGTCGACGGATGGCCTCGAGAGCAGGGACCCTTCCGGGTGCCACTGGTAGAAGCCCCAGAGCGCCGAGATGGTGTCAGAGCTGAAGGCTTCTTGATCTTCGAAGTCGTCGTGCGTATGGTCGGCGGGGTCATCCGAGGGGTTTGTGATGTTGGTATAGAACCCGGCGACTTTGACGAGGGTGTTGTTGGGGTCGGGGAAGAAGGAGGTGTCCCAAGTTACTAGAGGGATTTGTAGTCAGTACGTGGACGGGGTGGGCATGAAGGGAGCGGTATCGCTCACCGTAGTGTGTTGACCCGGGATAGTAGATCTCGTGTTGCTTGGGGAGACAGAACGGCCTGAACTCGCCGTCGGGGTTGCTACAAGGGGCGAATGCGTTGGCACCCAGCTCGTTGGTGGGCACTGGCTGTGCGGCACCTGTGTCCGTGGCCGTGTCGGCGAGGGCGGCTGCCGCCGCGGGGGCAACGGTCTCAGTCTCGGTCACTGGCGCTGCTGATGCTGTGCCCAGAAGCAGCAGCCATGCGGCTGGAGTGAGCTTGGAGGGAATCATGTTGGTGGTGTGGCTCGGCACCGCCGTCGAAGTCGAAAGAGGTTGTCCTTCTCGACTCTAGGTGGGTTGTTAAAGCAATCAATGAGCCAATTGAGTGAGCAAGATGTGTATGGTGATTGCCGGTCCTCAAAAGGGATAATAATACAAGAGCGAGAAGGAGTGGACGGTCGAAAAGAATCGACTCGGCGACGTCAAAAGTCCGCTTTGGAGCGGCAATTTTTGGATGCCGAAGCTTCCAGGTCGCGCGACCAGGAAACCCCCCGCGGCATGTCCGCGCAGGGAGAAAGCGCGCTAAAAGCGAGGCCGTGGGGTCACTGACAGGGGTGGGTTTAGCGCAGCCGTGCAGGATGCCGAGCCATCACTCATCAGCTCACAACCTCGAAATGAGATATGATGAGTTTACCCTCTTCAATATGTCCATGAGCTTAGCTGCCTTGAAATGATGAGACGTAGTAAAAATGACATTTCGGTACCGGAGAAACGAGTCGAACGCTTAACATTTCCGATCATGCCGGACACACATGTTACTTGTACATTCGTTGTTTCAATGCCAAGCTATCTCCATCTCGAGCTTCCTGGTCAAAACCTCCGTGTACTTAACATACAAACAGGGATTGAACCGTACTATGTAGGTAAGGAAACACCATTATTCAACGGCATATCCCACAGTTACAGCCCTTAAGACACGGTATTCCTCGCCACAATTCCCCTGGCAAACTCGCCAAAGGTTATGTGCTGCTCCATGTCCACCTTCTCACCGAGGTTCGGCTGCGTGAACACGGCGAGCGTGTTCCGGGCAATCCGGCCCTCGCTCAGCGCCGCCCTCGCGCCCCTGACGAAGTGCGGCACGGCCTTGAACTTGCCGCCAGTAATGCGCTCGAGGGCCTCGCCCGTCTGGAAGGCGATGCAGTCGCGCGGGATCTTGACCTGCACCGTCTCGCCCGTGCGCGACTTGATGTACAGGCCGGCGGCCGGGTCCGGCGACGTATCGAGCTCGGGGAGCGGCGCCAGGTGCGGCAGGCCGGGCGATACCGGCTCGATCTCGGGCGTGGCTACCAGCGGGTTCGACACGGACTCGTCGACAAACATGGCCGACGTCAGGCCCGTCAGGCAGCCGTGGTCGAGGTGGGTTGCGCACCAGTCGTCCTCGTCCGGGTCGTTGCTGTTGGCGACCGCGTCCGACATGGCCACCGGGGCTGGTTCATTGGACGGGTCCTCGGGGAAGTAGTGCAGCAAGCGGGCCTTGGTCGTGGTCGAGGTGCTCACGACACGCTCCAGGTAGCCGCTGGGATAGCCGGTGATCTCTTTCTCGGCGAACCTGTCACACGCTTTCGCGACGAGGACGGCTACGTCGATGATTAGGCGACATAGGTCCTCAAAGGTCTCCTTGAACCCGGGAAGGGTGGCTTGGCCGGGCCAGATGTTGGGTGAAAGATACTCGGGGAAGTTGTCCGGGTTGAACTGCTCCGTTGGGACGGCACACGACAGTTCCGGGTCGACGTAGAAGGCGCAGTTGGCGTAGAAGGAACCCTTCAGCGTGTCCACCTGGCCGTTCTTGAGCGTCTCCTTACCGAGGGACCAACCGGTAAGATACTTGGCCTTTTCGTTCTCGAGCTTGTCTGGGCATCGTTAGTGCAGTAGCAGAGAGACCACCAGCCAGGCCTCATGATGGGACACATGATGGAACACGAACCCAGTTCCGATTTGGGCAGATTCCCCAGGTAGGACGAGTATGACAACAAATGACGCCTTAGACCGGCGAATTCGGGGGGCACATCCTTAACAACCAGAATGCCTAGCGAGTCCGGACCAAAGGCTTCGTGGAGTGACTCCAACGGCACCGTTCCTGAATTGGGTGAAGCTTGTTAGCGACGCCACTTACACAATGGCTCCCCGCACCCATCAAGTTAGAAAATAGGTAGTTAACTACCGTTCTTGAGATCCTGCAACGACACTGTGACAGCTTGCGCAATACGGGGCATGATGTATGGATGTCTGCTTCAATTTACAGCAATTTCAGTCCAATAGATGGAAGATGAAAGAATTATCCAAGCAGTTGCCCTGGCTGGTGGTTCTTTCTTGCTGCCCCTCAAGATGGTGGGGCACCCGCCAAGCATTCATCGCCTCTGACCTGCTGAACCTGGCAGGTGGACACGGTGGATGACGATGGTGGACCAAGCGCCAAAACAGCAGGTCGCTCGCCAGCTCTTATCGATAACATATCCTCGGCGCTCAATTCGGCAATCGAGACGCCAGCTCGCGACCTCGATGGGTAGCTCACTCCTCACACTATCAGACAGTAACTCAAGATGGTCAAACCATTGAGTTTTAAAGGCGACAAGAAACAAAAGAAAAGGAAGCGCGCCGATGCCGGCGAGGGAACAGGGCAAGCACAAGATGACAACCCGGAGCGGCAGCTGAAGGCGCCTAAAGCGGACGATGCCGACGCCAACGCCAACGCCGACGAAGATACCGGCGAGGACGACAGCTGGGTTTCGGCTGATGTCGTGAGCGACATCTCGGGCCCCGTCATGTTTGTCCTCCCGAGCGAGCCGCCAACGGCATTGGCCTGCGATGTCACCGGCAAGGTCTTCGCCTCGCCCATCGAGAACATCGTCGACGGCAACCCGTCGAGCGCCGAGCCCCACGACGTGCGCCAGGTCTGGGTCGCCAACCGGATCGTGGGCACCGAGCACTTCCGCATCAAGGGCCACCACGGGAAGTAAGCACACCACCCCCTCTCACGCATTTGACGTGCCCCTTCGATACTGACCCAGCGTGGTCAAGATACCTCTCCTGCGACAAGATCGGCCTCCTCACCGCCGCTTCCGACGCCGTCACCCCGCTCGAGTCCTTCACGCTCCTGCCCACCGCCGACACGCCGGGCACCTTCCAGATCCAAACCTTGCGCGACACGTACCTCTCCATCCGCGCCCCGCGCTCGGCCAAGGCCAACGCCCCGCCCGAGGTGCGCGGCGACGAGACCGACATCACCTTCAACTCGACCCTGCGCGTGCGCATGCAGGCGCGCTACAAGCCGCGCCTCAAGGCGTCCAAAGAGGAGAAGGCGCGCGAGAAGATCAGCCGGCGCGAGCTGGAGGAGGCCGCAGGGAGGCGGCTGGAGGAGGACGAGGTGAAGCTGTTGAAGCGGGCGAGGAGGGAGGGGACCTACCACGAGGCATTGTTAGATATCAAGGTTAAAAGCAAGCATGACAAGTTTGGATGAGGGAATGGGAAGATCACAGGCTAAGATAGAGAGCGATCGATGTTACAAATATGACGATACCCTTTTCAGATATTGATTCCGGCGGACCCTCTCTGCTCCATGCTACCAATAAGCCACCATAAAGACGGCAGCCCGTCTATGCAGAGTAGCATCGATCGAGGCACTCGCCCACAGCCTTCCCTTCAGTTAAAGGGCAGGGTACCACACCCACCCAGCCGCACAAGGCTCGGGCTTAGCTCCGCCAGACCAGGCGAAACCACGCTCAGCTCAGGCGCAACACGAAAAAGTACGAGCTGCTCCCGCACCGCATCCCACAACAGATCCCACGGAATCCCCCCCAAAAGCCCGACGGACGAATAGACAGCCAAGGCCCACTCGGCAATCGCCATTGCGGCGGCGTCGGCGGCGGTGGCGGCGGGCGGCGGGCATCCAGCCCGAGACTTCCGACCCAGCTGGGTCCAGACTCCTCCTCCTCCTTCTCCCCTTGCCTTGCCCCCACAACCCCGGCAACAAGCGGCCGCGTTTCTAAGAATAGCACACACAACACGCAACAAAAGAGCCCATCCATCCTCCCCCCCACTCACCGAACGATGCCATGCACCCCCACGCCCAAGCCAGCGGCGCTGCTGCTACCCCATACTCCCGAGGAGCCGGGTAGTTCTGTGTCCAGACCCGTGACTTGGCTTTTTGCGCCGGTTGGGCGCGGCCGGGCCACATGTCAGCAGCGGACCGGTCCCGTCCCTTCAGCCCTACGGGCCTAGTTAGTTGGCTTGTCACTCCATAGATTTTTGGTGTCGTGTTTGTTGGTGTGGTGTTGTTGTGTTTTGTTGGATGGTGAACCGGACGCGCGCGGGCTGGGTGGGTAACTAATTGCGCGTCGCTTTTGGTTTGAATGTATATCGAAGCATGGCATCACAGGGCAAAGGGACAGGCATTTTAGAATTTTTGAGTTTAGTTTTCTTCAGATGCAAGCTACTAACTAGACCGTTTCTCATACTATTCTGCGTCTCGCCATCTGTGCAAAAATCCATATATCGCAAACGCCCGTCCCGATTGGACTCAGATCGTTCCCGGCCTCGTTCAGTCATGCCTGCGCCATCGCCGATTTTGGCCCTTCGCTCAACGCCGGTCCCAATGCCGTTGAAGGATATACCCAAGGAAAAAGGACGGAACGCGCTGATTTAAAACCCTATTCCAAGCAAGAAGTAGAAAGTAGCAGAAACAAACGGGGGTTGATCGAAAAAAAAAAGAAAAGAAAAAGAAATAAACAAGAAAAGAAAGAAGAAGAGAACTATATGGTACAACCCTGGTGTAAAATGATAAGCGTGCTCCTCCTACTCAAACAAATCTAAATAATAACCATGCTTCTTCAATGATCAACTTTCACCCTCTTCGCATCTGCGCCCGCCGTCTCAGCTGGCCCATCATGATGCGGCCCGCTCCCGTTGATATCCGGGCTCTTCCGCTTCAGTGGGGCGAGATCATCTCTCAAAAATGAGGGTCCCGTCCCGACCACGGGCGTAGACCACGTCAGCGGGCTCAGCGTGTTGTGCTCGTTTCCCTTGATGCCCCAGTCGGCGTAGAAGCCGTTGGGGCTCGGGAGCAGGCCCTCGCCGAGAAAGCGGGACGGCAAGGCCGAGACGGGCGTGTCGATGTTCATGTTGTTGGTCTGGTGGGGCGGCGGGCGGGCGAACGGATTCGGTGGGCCCGTAGCGCCTGCCGAGAGCAGGGTAGTGGAGGCGGACGGAGAAGGCGGTGGCAGGACGACGCCGGAGGAGTGCGAATCCGTGGGCCGCCGAGAGGGCTGCGACGTGATGTCTGTCGCTGTCGTCATAGTTCCGTGTGGCGAGGCCGACCCGTTCGTGGCGCTGCCGCCGTCCGACTCGTCTGGGATTCGCACCTTCAACTGCGGCCGCGAAATGCTCCCGCCAACGCGCAGGCTGTTGGACCGTGACGGCGGCGTAAAGACAGTCTCAGGAATGGTCCCCAGCGATCCGTTCCGCTTGATCTGCGGCTGTATTTGGGCGCTTTGTGCATTGACGCGGGGAAGCGAGGGCGGCGAGTTCGGGTTACTGCTTCGCGCGACGCTTCCGGCGTCGATCGACTGTGATCGGCTAGACGACGGTTCTGTCTTCACTTCCGGATGATGGAATGCCGCGAGATGTTGCGACAGGATCGACCGGTTCTCGTCAATAGGCGTAAAGATGCTGCCACCCTTGCGAGGTGCCTGCTTCTTGATGTTGGTGTCCAGGAGAAGGGGTTGCCGCGCCCTTTCTACTAGTTCGGGTCTCGGTCTCGGCTCCCCGGATGCAGGTGGCTGCGGTTCCTGGGGCGGGACGAATATGTGAGGGACTTCTTGCTGTTGGGGTGGCGGCGGCGGCGGTGGTGGTGGAGGGAGGTGTTGTTGAGGCTGGGATTGAGGCGGCAGGTGTTGTTGAGGCTGAGGCTGAGGCGGGCTCTGCATGGGATGGGCTTGCGGTTGCGGCGGCGGGGACATATGCTGGGGAGGTATTTGTGCGGGCGAAGGTTGCGGTGGGGATACGGAATGGCGCCCTCTTTGCGCGCCTTGTTGTGGCGGCTGGTGAGGGAAGGCGGCAGGTCCCGACGTCCTTCGCTGTTCGTCCGCGTACGGTTGCATCTGGTGCGGGTGCGGGTGCGGGTGCTGCTGTTGCTGTGGGTAGGGGTACTGCGGGTGCGGTTGTGGTAGGCCGTGGGTGTGGTTTTGTGATTGCATGTTGTGGGAATTCTGAGCGTTGTACATGGCCGCTTGTGGCATGTATGCGAAGCCGTTCACTGCGCCCGGCTGCGAACCTGGCGGCCCGACCGGTTGGCCCGCCATGTTTGGTCCCATCCGGCGGATGTCATTTCGCGATGACGGCCGGGAACCCATCTGGGGCTGCGGGGTGTGGCCTCGCGGCCCGAAGACGCCATTGGAGATAGGTGGGGATGCTGATGGTGTGTGATGCCGGATGACGGGGAACGGGGGCTGCGATTGAAAGTGAGGCGGAAACATATGGACATCCATACCCTCGCCTTGTGGGGGAGTGCCGTTTTCATCTTCGTCCTCCTCGTCGTCGGCCCCGGCGTTGAAATCGGACGGGATCTTGTATTCATTCGGTTCGCCATGCTATCGCGGCGCCGTGTTAGCTAGGTGAGCGAGCTCGAGTCAGGGGAGGGGGAACATACCAAGGTCCATCGCTGGAGCATTTCGCGCATGTCGCGCGACGAGAACTGATGCAGCTTCTTGTTGTTTCCGAAGATGACAACGGCCACATCAACAGAGCAGAGCACGGACAGCTCATAGGCCTTCTTAAAGAGACCTCCCTTCCTCTTCAAAAAGGTGCTGGAAACGAAGCGCGTTAGTAGGTGATGGTTCACAAGATCAGGGGCTGGAGAGGCACTTACACAGAACGGTTCCTTTCATCCTTGATAGGTTTGATATCGATCTTCCTGCGACCCATTGTGACGGTGGTGTCACGGCCGAGACGCCGGCGGTATCAAAGCGATGTGGTTGTGGTCGAATGTGGCGATTGTAAACTCTGACGATAATCAGAGGGCAATGCGCTGGAGTTTGTCACAACACCCAAAGACGGCCGGTGGTGATGTGCGACGGCAAGGTGCGGTTACGGGGACAGAGCGGCTTTGGACGAGACCAGTCTCCAGGTGGAGGTTGCTTAGTACTGGAGGTTTGGTTTGTTTTTTTTCTTATACCTGACTCTCACGGAACTGAGCAAATTGGCGATGATGGGGCGACGGGCTTCTTTTTGTGCGCTGCGGCCAAAGAACAATGGAAGCGTCGGTTTCAATTCTCTTGTTCGCGACAAGGGTAGCCAAAAGATACTCCGGTACCTGCGGCGACGGTCGTGCAGCAGCAGTTCGACGTTGAGGCTGGATCTGGTGATGCTAATAATAGATCGAAGTTCAGAGGACAAGAGACATTGAGGAGGGTGCAGGTGGGCAGGTGGACAGAGGGGCGGGCGGTGGGTGGGAAAAGGCAAGACCCCGGGGGAACCCTCAGCATGGGGACCCGCTGCAACCAGGGGGCAGAAAAGCCGGAAAGCCACGAGTCAGGCTTGGCTGGCCCGCCGACTGGGGTGCCCCAAGGATGGCATGGCGAGGGAGCCGAAGCAGGGATGCGATTGGTGAGCTGCGGACCATCCGAGGGCCCATTCGCAAGGAGAATCTGGGACACAAAATGGAGTCGCAAACTCCTTCATCTCGAGGTTCTCTTTGACGCGGCGCCAGGCCCGTGTCTGAAACCCTCAAAGAACAACGACAAAGCCAGCCATTCGGCGGTGCTGAACTGACAATGAGCGAGGGGCGAGGTTCAAGGAAAGACGCAAGAAAACCGTAGCTGTACACTTGACTACAGTGCGAGCCCAAGAGAAGCAGGAAATGCAATCCCGAGTTGGCAACTGGATTTTCTGTAGGGAATTTGCTCGATCGGGCCATGTTCGTCGAACCGTAAATCAGGTCAATATACCCGGGTAAGCCTTCCAGATCACCCACGGTCCGGTTGCAAAGGCCGGACGGAACGAGAAGAAACGGAAGGGTTCTTGCGCCAAATATCCATTTGTTTGAGAGACGGCCACGCGGTTTGAACACTCACCATACGCAGTAACAAGAACTCTGCTGATGAGGATGGGCGCGCTGCAAACGTGCCCGACCATGCCGTCCCCGTCGCCGTTTTTGCGGCCAAAGAAGTTACCTGCTCGTACACGTGGGGAGCTGACAAAGTTTCGATCTGCAGCGGCGCTGCAGCAAAGGGACTTTGCCGCTCCTTGCAGCTTGGACCAAGAGGACCTCGCGTATACCCCTCCTTCCTATCAAGCTCCAACACACGCAGATCCCACCAGCGGGACCCATCGTTCCCGATTCCCGGCTAACAACGTGCCCATCCGGCTGCCCAGTGTCCCGGCACAGAGCCTCAGCGGCGCTGCTTCTCGGTTTTGAGACAAGCCGTTCTGTGTACAAGTAGAGAGGATGAGTCGCATTCTGGGTACATCATCCAGCACAGCCTGGCAGGCCTTCCAAGCTCCCTCCGCCGCGGCGTTGTTGATATGCGTTTGTTTGCCTACGCAGGTTTGCATCTTCCATGAGACATCGTTCGAGGTGTGTATGCAAGGCACGCTTCGGCGACGCGTTGCGCTGGGTATGCTGTCCCGTTTCGGGGAATGCAACCCACACAGGACGCAGACAACGCTTTCGAATGCGTGAGCAAGGGCCGAATGCACTGATGCGAGTCTCGAGCTTCGAAAGGTATCAATCGGTCCTGAGCCGTGGAAACGAAACATTCCAAATCCAGAATGGCGTCGAAATTGTTCCCGCGTTGGCGGTTGCACGGCGTCCTTGGCGTTCGTGTCTCAGGGACTCTGGACCGAAGACAGTTAATAAGAGAACTCAATGAAAACCGCGTCAGGAGCTTGAAGGTTCCTTGATGCAGCCGATGCATTGTCACCAGCGCGTCTGACCCCGGTTTCCAGATGACTTCTCACGGTCGGAAATCGCATCGTGTCACCCGAATCCCTGCCGCAGAAAGCCTCTTCCTGCGTGCTGTGGGCGCAGTCTTGTGGAGTCATCCCAAAAGCTGTTCGGCCGAGGAGTGATTGGGTCGGTGATGGGGTGGGGTCATCGGTCAAAGCACTCACTGATTGGCACCATGTGCTCGAATATTAGCCCAGTTAGCGGCTGTAAGCGCCGAGGGGGTTAAATGATTGCGATTGGGCAAAATGGGGAATTTGCCCGCTTGCGATCTCCGCGTTCTGCATAAGCGCGGTTCTATTTTTAGCTATTTTTAGCACAATCACCTGCAGCTTCCGGGGAGGAACCCTTTTCAACAACCACAACAATCCTCGTCTCCTTTATCAACGTCTGCTGTTTGGCTCATTCCTGAGTCTTCCTTTCGTGTTGCAGCGAGGGACTTGATTGATTTGGCCGCGTTCCAATACCGATTGAGACCAAGATCCACAATTTTGCAGCTTGCGAATGCATCCCGTCTCTTTCTGCTGCCAATCATCTGATCGAGATCCCACAGTAAGGCTGACCACCCATTCGCTCTTTCCATTGCATGTTCGCATCCTCCTGCTCTCCTGCTTCAGGTTCCCGTCACCCGAATCAACAAATCCATCGGTGACGACACCCCTCGACCCAAAGCCCTGGATCTCGCTTCACCCTCGTTAGTGTCCAGACGGCGGTTAAGCATGGCACCGTACCATGCAGCACACGGGTGATAAACATAGAATTATCTCGTACTATCCAGTACATACAAACCTGTTTGATGTGATATTGTCTCTGTTGACGATCTTGTCGAGGACTCATTGACGATGCATGCATGGAGAGCAAAGATGGCCCAAGCTCCAACATACTCCAATGCCAATGGTTCGACTCTCTTTCCATCACGTTTCCCTATCGTCTATCAACGACCCCTAGAAGTTCCCCTACCTGACTCCTTCCCCCTCCCCCTCCCCCCCCGGGCCCAACTGCCGCCAGCTACTACCCACACACCTGCAATTGAAATTGCTCTCCCTCCTGTTCCCAACTTAGACCAGGAAGATGACGACGACTTCCCCAAACCCCAACCGGGGCAACACCGAAAGGAGATGTGAGTGAGGTTGATCGTCCGGTAGCGAGAGCCGAATCGAGAAACGCAAGCGCCGGTACTTGCATCTAGAATGCCATCCACACCCCATGCAGCCTCACGGCACACCGCCCGCCCTCTCTCAACCGCCAGACGCCGACCCGCCCGCCCGGGTAAGCCATGGCATGAGGCTGGCCTCGCCGCACACGTGCCGACTGACAGAGACCTGACAAACGGCGGTCTCGTCCATACCACAGTCGGGCGAGTGGTGGTAACAGCGGCTTCAATGTGCAGATGACGTCCCCTTTCGGAGGAAGACACTCAATATCAAACAGGACGGGGAAAGAATAGAACAAACGACGATCTTGACACCGTCACCGCATGTCCTATTACAGGCAGGTTGGGCCAACCGTAAATATTTACTTAGACAAGGACAGTTACATTGCATGAGCCCTCTCTCCGCCTCTCGGCCGCTTGGCCGGGCCACACACTCCGAGGCCCATCCCCGGGCCTTTGGGCATGCGGCCGGAACCCGAGAGCAAGCCACAAAAGGTCAGATGAACGTGAGGCCAACCATAGCCCTTCCAAGCGGTGGCAAGGTAGATGGTTACATGATAGAGCTCTCACAAACTAGCATTAATTACTCTTTGTAACTACTGAATCGCACGCTGAAGACGTCTAACCAGCAGTGACCGCAGCTTGGACTAACCAATAATGTGCAACATAGAGATGCCTCAAGACATGGTCTATAACTAACAATCCCCTAATCTCGTGTCCTCGTGTACCCAGGAACGATAAGTCAGCGATGACAGAAGTATCAAGATCGGAAGATTTGCGAGCAATCCGCCACATCACTGCATCGACAATCCCATCGGCCCCCAACGGCCATCCATATGCAGGAACCAGCAGCAGCAAATCCTATCAGATCCGCCCAGTAGCGCCATCCAAACCCCACATGCTCGGTTCGATGCCGGACTCGCGCTCTCACAAGCGGCAGAGAGAGCGGCGTGACCACACCACCACACTTGCACCACCGCGTGGCCAAGTACCTACCAGCTTACAACATCCGATCGACAAGACATACACATGGCAAAAACACCCAAAAATGGCAACAGCCCGGTAATTAAGGTATATTGTATCCGGTCCTAAACGCCGCCATGCCTGCAGGTCCCTGCCAAGGAGAGGACTCACGGGACGTGCCGCGGCGAATAACAACAAACCCAAAGGTATTTTCCCCGTCCATCCTCCCCCATCCGTAGGTGGGTGGGATAATATAAACCGTCCCACCGTCATATCCGTATGTGCCCCTTCCTTCCCAAACGCCTGCGCAGAATGCCACGGGAAAAAAGCGTAGGAAAAAAAAAAGAGGAGGAAGGACCATAAACCCTAAACAAGATGCGCTCCTTTTCCGCTTCCCGCATGCTCAATGACGAAGCATAAGCCGTCTCGCCGTCGTTAGTCGACGCTGCCCAGACGGGAATAGGGCAGCATCCCGTCGACCAAATATCGTCCCATCCAACGCAGCCTCCTGACGATCACCGTCATCAATCCCACTCTGCTTCTTGGGTAGGAGAGCCGAGCCGCCGGTATGCTTCTCCCCCTTTCCTCAAGCCAGATGGATTCCCCCTTTTGTAAAACTTCCCGCTGTGATCCAAGGGGCAACCCGGGTGCCCAAATCAAGACTCCACTCACCCGGGTTCGCCCCCGGACCCAGCACACACCGCAAGGCCACCACAACCCAACTCTTCGCACCCCTCACCCATCTACCAGCCAAAGTCGATGCCCTCTAGCCAATGTTGACAAAGCCGGCAGCGACCGGGGCGCCAGTCGATCCGAAGCTAGAGGTGTCGTCCGGGTTCTGATCGCGTGGTCGCGAGCCGTTGAGGAGCGGGCAGAGTCTTTTGTGGGGGGGCCGATGTTAGCAAGACTGTTGGTGAGATGATCGTGATAACTCGATCGTAAAAGGAGTAGATGAGAAAAGTACAAAGAAAAAAAGAGAAAAAAAGAAAAGGAAGCTAGGTTTGGCTTGTAGGTTGACCGCCAACCTGCTATCCGTCCCACGGTCGTTTTGATTTGCTTTTGCCAGCGCGAGGTAAAAGGCCCAGGTTCAGAGGTGGATGCATGCTCTGACCCTATCCCCAATTCTCGCTATTGTCCCAACGAACTTGCTTCTTCGGCTTGCGTTTCGGCGGCGGATTCGAGTCCATCCCGCACTGGAAGTCGCTTGAATCCCACAGGCGGCAATCCCAAAAGGGGTCGCCCTCGCGGGGGTCCTGGGTGGTCCGCCATCTGTCACGCTTGCCAGACTTCTGGCGTGTGATGAAGGTGGGGCCCTTCCGACGGCGCCTGGCTGCTTCCTCCCGTAAACAGGGCGGGCATACGTACTTCTTGTTGGTTTTGATGTGGCCGACCTGGCCACAGTTGGCGCACTTTCGGGTCGTACCCGTTACTTTCTCCGTGGTCGGCTCGGGGGAGCCCTCGTCCCCGACGGCGCCTCCGTCCCGCATCTTTTGCTGGAGCTTCTTCTGTTTTTCGCGCTTCTTACGCCGCTCTTTGTTCTTTTCTAGCCGCTCCTGTTCGATGCGGGCCCTGTTCGGCGTTAGCACTCGGTGCTCGGGTCAACGGCGGGGTGGGTCATGGGACTTACTTTTCGAGGATGAGCTCATCCTTGTCCGGGTCGCCGGTGAGTTTGACGTTGTAAATGCTGATGGTTTATTAGTACGCACGTAAGCATTGTGGTAAGGGCACACCGAGTCACTCACTCAATGTTCTCAAATTCCATCTGCCGTCTCCTTTTGCTGTATTGCGCAATGACGACTGGGTCATGCACAATCTCGGTGACGGTCTGGATTTCACCTTGATCATCCCTGACCTCGCGGATGATCTTCAACTTGCGCCAGTTCAGGGCGCTGGCCTGGCTTTGGCTCACTTGGCTCACACCGTCCGGCACGGTTGCCAGCTGGGCGGCCTGATTCTGCACGTTGAACCGCTCGTCCTCGTCCTCCTGGGCGAGAACGTCGTCGTCGTCGTGCTCCTGGGCGTCCTCGAGGCTCTGCTTCTGCCTGGTCCAGATGTCTCGCAGGGACTCTGTGTAGAGACTGTCCTGATTCTTGACGTTGTACATGTGGCCGCCGTTCGCCTTACGCTGCCGTTCTATGGCATCGGCTGAGGTCGCAAGCGGACCGTGAAGCTGCTCGAGGAAGCCACCCTTCATCGAGGTTCGCAGATAGCTGACGCCGAGACCCTTGCCGGTCGGATCTCCGGGGCCATGGACGGCGATCATAGCTTTTCCATGGCTCGCGTCGATGAAGGCCTTAGTGAGCCGCCACGGCGCCATTTTGTTAGCAAGCGCGTCCGGGGGGAGCTCGTCGCCCTCCAATAAGTCGTCGTCCTTGAAAACCGCGTCGTTGACTTCATAACCGCCGTTCTCGAGCTCGTGAGCGCCGATTTGCATCGCGTCAAGGAGGCAGACCTCCTCCGGGCGGACGAGCTCCCGGATTTCAGATTCGGGCATGAGTTCCTCACCCTCGGGGAGGACCCAGTTCCTCTGTTCCTTGCGGAACTGGAGGAACTCCTTGAGCTTTTGACGGTTCTGCGACTCGTTGGAGTCAGCAACGTGGCGGGTAATGTCGGTCAGGGTGACGTTGTCGCTCCGGTGCAGAAGCCGATACGACACCATCTTCAGGCGGTTCTTGGCGATGTTCGTGACCCGCCGGGAATGTGGCCCCGGCACCTCCATCGAGGGCAGAATCTGGCCAACGACGTAGAGGTGGTCGATGTTGCGGAGGTACCACGACGAACCGGATTTGCCCGTGCTGCTTCGGCCGAGAATGAAGTCGGTGTCCCTGGGAGAGTGCTTGAAGATGGGAGCACGAAACATTTGGTTGTGCAGTGTGGGGACCGTCTCGCCCGGGTGGACTTGGCCGACCATGGCGAAAGGTGAGCGGTCCTCGGGCATCAAGATATAGGGTTCGCCGAGTTCCCGCTTTTCGGGTCTAGCATCGGTCCCTTTAGAGCGGCGGTAGTAGTTGATGATCTTTTGGCCCATGCCGAAGTTGGACAGCACAATGGGAATCTCCTCGCAGTACTCAAAGAGGATGGCGGTCGAGTTGTCATTCATGGTGAGGTCTGACGAGGCCTGGAAGAGTTCGGAAATTCGCTTGCCCTTGAGCTGCTTCTTCTTCTTCAGCATCGGAGGCTTCAGCTTTATCGGGTGGAAGGCGTCTCTCCGTGGGTGGAACTGGGGTCGATGGTAGCTATGCGGGTCGCTAGCAGATAGCTTGACCTTGTAGTAGGGCCACGAGAGCCTCTTCGCCGCCATGCTGTGTTCGACTGGGATTGAGGCCAGCGTGGCGCGGACCTTGCTCTGGCTGTTCTCCTTTAGAGCGTCATAGGCGGTGTCGGACGAGAAGTTGAAGCGCTGCGACAACTCCCGACCGAGGCGGCCGTTGGCCATGCGCACCGTCTTATGTTGGATCTTGCGCCTTTTAGCGACGCGCTCCGATTCGACGTCGTCGATGAGAAGGTAGGGGTCATTCATGTCGAGAATAACGCGCTTCCCCAGCTTGGAAGTAGCCTCCTCGAAGTTGTCAAAGTTGGGCGCCGTGAACCGCGGGATGGGCGGGAGTCCCTTGGGGATTTCCCGGGACCGTTTCTTTGGTGGCCCGTCAAGGAACATCCTGTCCCAGTCGTCATCCTCTCCGTCAAGCTCAGTCTTAATGAGCATGTTGTCGGGGATGTTGCTGGTTTGGGCCGGGGCGGAGGTCTGGGCGGGGACGGAATCACCAAGGGCAATCATGGGGTCCCAATCGTCGCAGACTAGGGCGATGTCGCGAAGCGTGAGACCTCCCACAAGCTCGGAATCGGATTCGTCTTCGATGTTGAAGACCTCGAGGTCTGCCTGTTCCAAGGGCTCGGGCTCCTCGAGGGAGACGAGACCGCGAATTTCGGCATCTCGAAGCTTTTGACGGACAGACGACGAGGCCGGGCCGGAAATACGAAACAGTTTTTCCTGGTCGGCTTCGAGATCCAAGCTGAGCTTTGTCGGTACCAGCGGTTTCGGGGGCTTGGCGGGTTTCTTGGAGATCCAGTGAGCCTGTTTTGGGCGAAGCATCTCGTTCCAGGGAAGAACGGACCGTTCTTGGAATCCCGGGAACGCCTGCTTTACGGCTTCGGCAAGACTTTCTGCCGGAGGGGGGATGTTCGGGTCTTGGTTCGCGTCGCTCGGTTTCGGGCCGTGGTCGAAGTTCAGGGCGATGAGATCCTCTAGAGACTCGCGCGGTTCCTCGTCGACTTGCATGCGATCTTCATCGTCGGCATCCATGGGATGGGGCGACGACGCGAGGTCGCCGTTGACACCTAGAGGCGACGAGGGGAGATTTTCGCCGAAAAGGTCATCGTCATCGTCCTCATGGTCGTCGATTAAACCCGGGCCGTCGCCGCTCGCGCGGCTAGCAGGTTGTTCATCATCGGGTAAATCGTCGTCGCTAAGGTCGATATCCTCGTAGTCAATAGCATCGTCGGCCTTGCCGGCTTGGTCGAATGAGGCGCCTTGCTCGATCTTAGCAAGGAGTTCGCCAACATCGCCGCCGCTAAGGCCCTCTTGGAGTTCCTGGATTTTGGCGTCATCGCGGGCCTCCTGCATGCGCCAGTCATCGTCATTGAGCTTGCCAGGTGTGGCGTTCGTTTCGGCTGGCATGGTAACTGTCGGAGTCGAATTATCAGGTTTCGCGATTGCCTTTTGAGATGCTCCCGGCAGTTGCGCGATGCGCGGGAACTAGATCATGATAATTTGGATACGGCGCTGGTAAGAAGTTGAATCTGCGGTTCGTTGAGGGAGCGGGGTTGTTGCAGCGAGTTGCGGTTGCTGCAGAGAAATATCGAGTCTTGCAGAGTGTCAAGTAGAAGTCGCTGGCTGCAAGTTGGAATCGGCTTCCAGGTTCGGCGCGGTCACATGTGGGTCTTTGAGCGGGTGGAGCACCTACTGCATGGGTCTCGCGTTACACTGTATGGGCGGGCGTTGGCGGGGGTTCAACGTCTGTGCGTTCCACCTTTTGCCTTGTGGAACTTGGCAGCGATGATAGGTATGTAAATCCCTGCTTCATTCACATTCGATTCAGACGACAGCTCATGGAACAGCGGCGTTGCAACTTTCAACAATGCGCATATCGATGAAGAAGACGAAAAGAGCATGGGTTATGTGCATATGAAGGTCAGGTGCGGTTGACAGTGCCAATAAAGGGGAGTAACTATCGGATATGCTTAATTGCGGTCAATTTGTGATCGAGGTATTCTGTACACAATTTCCACTGGAGAGGGTGAGGTGGGCTTGGGTGGTGAGGTGGCCGGAATCACAGGTTTCTTCCATTCATAATGTTAACTCCCCTAGGTACATACCTAGGTAGCTTATGTGGGTTGTTTATTCCCCGAAGCACCTAAGGTATTTAGTTGCACCAAAGTCTCGGGACCATTTTGATGCAGCTTGGTGGATTATGACTTGTAGCTTAGTTATCCCCGCAGCATCCATCCTGCTGACAACTCTAATCCCTCAGTTTCCACTCCCTTAGGTCACTCTATCGTTTGTAACTCCTTATTGACAGTCAAATCAATTTTGTGACCATGGCGGCGGTTAAACAGAACTCTGAGCTCAAGGAGCAGCTCCGGGCAAAGTTTGTGGGAAAGACACTTGAGGAGGTGCCGACTCCCTCGGTTGTGCTGGACCTGGCCAAGGTGGAAGTGAACTGCGAACGCATGCTCGAGGCAACCGAAAGATTGGGATTGCTATGGCGCGCTCACATCAAGTCTCATAAGGTGACTCTCACGACACTCCCCCGTCTCATGCTTCGCCCCTGAGTACCTATTGACTAACACCCATCAAGACGACGGAACTGACCCGCCTCCAAGTTGGCGACGCCCTCACCACCCCAGTCTCCCTCATAGTCTCCACCATCACCGAAGCAGAAAACATCCTGCCCCTCCTGCAAGAATACCAATCCCGCGGCCGATCCGTCAACGTAACCACCCCACCCCCACCCCCTTTCCAAATCACCCACCAAACTCACTAACCCCCCTCCCCTCTCTCACGCACAGGTCCTCTTCTCCTTCCCCCTCTTCCCCAGCGCCCTCCCCCGCCTCGCCGCCTTCACCCAGACCCTCGGCGCGGGCACCCTCTCCCTGATGATCGACCACCCCGCGCAACTCGCTGCCCTCACGGCGCACCCCCTCCCCCACCCGCCACAGGTCCTGCTCAAGATCGACACGTCCTACGGCCGGGCGGGCGTGCCGCCCGGCACGCCGGCCTGCACGGAACTGGTGGCGGCGGCGCTGGACGCCGAGCGCCGCGGTGTTTGCTACCTGCTGGGGATTTATTCGCATGCGGGGCATAGTTATGCGGCGCGGGCGGGCGTGGAGGATGTGTTGGGGTATCTGGCGGCCGAGTTTCGGGGGCTGGCGGGGGTGGCGAGGGAGATTGTTTCCGGAGGGGGGGATGGGAGGGAGCTGGTTTTGTCGGTGGGGGCGACGCCGACTGCGACGGTGGTGCAGCAGCCGGGGGTTTTCGCTTCTTCTTCTGGGGGAGGGGAGGTGGAGAGGTTGGTTAGGGAGTTGAAGCGGGAGGGGTTTAAGCTGGAGGTCCATGCTGGGGTTTAGTAAGTTTGTTGTTGTGTGAGGATGGGTAGAGTTGCGACTGGTTGCTGACAGGGCGGTAGTCCGACGCTGGATATGCAGCAGTTGGCGACGCACGCCAGGGACGCGTCGCTGATGACGGCGAACGATATTGCCATTAGCGTTCTTGCCGAGGTGGCTTCTCGTAAGTGCAACAACAACACATACCCGCACTCGAGAAAATACTTATACATCAACAGTCTACCCCGGCCGCGGTACTCACGGCACAACCGAGGCGCTCATCAACGCCGGCACTCTCGCTCTCGGCCGCGAGCCCGTCACAGACAAGGGCAAAGTTCCCGGACAGGACCATGCAGGTTGGGGATTCCTAATGCCCTGGGGTTTGGACAACCCGGTGCCCGGCCCAGACTTCCCCCGGGTTCATGACGGTTGGCGCGTCGGACGCATCAGCCAAGAGCACGGTATTTTGACCTGGCAGGGCAAGGGGGACGAGGTCCCGCTTCAATACGGGCAGAGAGTTCGCGTATGGCCCAACCATAGCTGCATCGCTGGTTCTGGCTTTGACTGGTATTTGATCGTCGATAGCAGGAACAAGGGCCGCGAAGGCGAAGTAGTGGATGTCTGGCCGAGATGGCATGGATGGTAAACGTCGAGTTCCCAAGTAGCTTTTTACCGAGAAAATTCGGCCACCAGTCGGTAGCAGCAAGTAGCAGCAATGGAAATGTTGAGAATGGGTCATGGATAACTATATGATGCTGCGTAACACCAGCCCTTTTGCCCAAGACCGGTTACCTATTCATTAACCTGAACTCCCCTAGACGCCTCTTCGAAACCTTGAGCGTACGAAGTAATAATCAACGACTTCTGACCACCCTCGCTGCCCGTGTTCATATCTCCTACACCCCACCTGCAAGTCATGTAGGTTGCCCTCGAACAAGTGTCGGCACTTTCGACGTGCCACCTACTTACAGCGTTTCTCCACGATTCCAGGTCCATTCTCGTCGTATTCCTTCTTCGAGATCCACATCTGGTGAAACGTGCCCAAGCTCGCCAGAATACTGCCTCCGATCCATGCACCGAACCTCCGCTCGCTCGTCAAACCCGCCGCATGGATCTTGATTTTGAGGCCAGGGTACATGGCCGTGAGTTCGTGATTCAGACGGTCGTTGAACCCGTTGAGCAGGCTCGTGCTTCCGGTAACAACAACGTGGCCGAGCAGGTTAGGCCGCAGGTCGACGTCAACTCCGTCTAGCGCCGCCTTGATCAGCGCGGGGATCGTTTGCGCCTTAGACAAACCCGGCTCCTCACCGAGGGTTGGAAATGCGGCGCTCTCGTCCCACATACCCTCGGCTACGCGGTAGCGCTGCTCACGCCACATCTGGTTGAAACCGTCGGGCATCTCGAACACACGGCCCGGTTGGCTCTTAGCGTAGTCTTCGTTACCCGGTGCCGTGTAGCGGCCAGGCCCACGCCATGTTTCAACAACCGACTCCTTGAACTCGGTGAGGACGCGCTCCTCTTCGAAGGCGCGGAATGAGTCGGTGACGGGGAAGTTAAACGTCTTCAGCCTGGCCTCTGGGGGGGCGCCAGCCTCGACGGGTTTTTTGTTCTCAATCATGAAGCTCGGAACGACATCGACCTTTGGGTCCCCGTTCTTCCACATGGAGCGGATCTGGCCGCTCAGCCAGACACCAGCAGCCGGCGACCGCTGGACAGACCTCTTAAGGACCATGCCGTCGTGAATTGCTGTGACGCTCGTGTTGGCTCCTCCGACGTCGATAACGAGCGCGGTGGCTTTCCCAGCGGCAAAGGCGGCAAGTACGGGGGCTCGACTGAGCCAGAAGGCGGGGCAGCCCCAGTTCTCCATGCTGATTTCAATCGCCTTCTCGCGGGCCTTAGCCGAGTTCCAAGGCGCCTCGCTCATGAGCAGGGGGCTTTCGGCAAGCGGCTTCTCGAGCGCGTCGGCGGCATCCTCGTCCTCGGCGTTCTCTCCCATCTCTACGTCGCCGTCATTGTCGCCCACGTTAAGGCCGTTCTTGCTCGGAGGGGTAGGTCGCGGGGGCTGCAGGCGCTGGACGAGCACGTGTTCCCAGATGCGGGTGGCGGCGTCCCAGTCCTCGACGACGCTGTCGCGGTTCATGTAATTGCGTACTTCGGCGCCGGCGCGCGGGGTGATGCTCGGGTCGCCAAACAGATCGCGGCCGTCGACGTGGATGTACGAGGACGGGATGACCTGTTTCGGAATCTCCTCACCCGCAAACCCCGCGCGTGTGTTGCAGTAGCCAGGGTCGAGTACGAGCGCCGAGACCTCATCTGGCGATGGTTCGTTAGCAATTGGGGCGGCGGCTGGAAAGGTTGGGAAGCTCTGATTGAAGCTCACCTCCGCCGTAGATGTCGGTCGGCTGCACCGACGAGGACAGCGGTTGCTGTGACATATTGACGGATATCTAATCGGTAATGTAGACGGAGATTCTAGCCCTATGGTGTATCGGTAATATCGGTGAGGGTAGAGTTGCAACGGGCAGTTTTACACCCGCGTTCTTCCTGTTGAATGAAGGAAGTTCGTTCTCCAAATTCAAGCAAGTGAACGCGACAGTTGATGGGTGGGGCAAGAGCTTGGGGCTTGGCATTCGAAGGAACTCCTGTGGAGGTAAATTCAACCCACTGCAGCTCATGGGGGATGGAAGCTGCAGGCACAGAAATGCAAATTGGAGGCGAACCCGCCCGGGTGAATTTATCAAGCGATGTCATACCTCGGTACAGGTAGGGAAAAATACCTAACTCCACGCCGTCATTCTCAACATCGCGCCGAGATACGACACCAAATTCAAGCTCTTGTCCCGGCATAAACTCAAACTCATAGTTAAAGGGGTATCATCATTAATGTATCCTTTTGTGTCCTCCTTTTGTATCTAACGCCATGCAAGCCATACCCAAACTGAAAACTATATCCTCGTGATCCCGACATCTTCATCCTCCAGCCCACTATCCCAATCCCTCCCCTCCCCATACAACACCTCGCACACCCCCGCCAGCGGCACGTCCATGACCGCATCGGTCCCCTCATCCCACACCTCCCTCCAATTCAGCTTGACGGCCTCCCCCGTACCTCCCCCCTCCTTCGTAACCGTGCCCCTCCTCCTGCGCCCACCCTCCCTCCTCCTCCTCTCCCCCCTCAAAATCCTCCCCTTCGAATCCACCACCGCCACCATCGCCGCCTCGTCCACGACCGTCTCCACGCTCTCCAGCGGCAGCGTCAGGATCTCCAGGTTGTACCCCGCGAGCGCGACGTAGATGTACACCAGCAGCATGACCAGGAAGCTGGGGATGGCGAGCGACCACCAGCGGTTCGGGTAGTAGTAGATGCCGAGCGCGTGCAGGAAGGGCGACGGCAGGTAGCTCCACAGCAGGTACACCAGGAAGAAGAGCGAGCTGAACAGGTACAGCACGAACCCGTAGTACTCGTACGTCGGCACCTTGGGCCGCGCCCGCGGGACCGGTTCCCCCAGGTGTCCGTTTCCGTTGCCGCCGCCGCCGCCGCCTGCTGTCGAGGTGCCCGCGCCGCTGTGGCCGTGACCGGGGCCGTGGCCGTCGTCGTCTGACGCGTCGGGGGTTGTGGGGCGGGACGGGCGGAGGAGAGAGGTTAAGGAGGGCGATGGCGGGAGGGGGGTTGGGGGACGGCCGTAGAAAGGGGGCGCGAAGGTGTGCTGGGTGAAGGGTGGTTGTGGGGGGCGCGGGTTGTCATCTTCATCGTCGTCATCATCGCTATCATAATCTTCTTCTGATTCGGAGCCGGACGAGTAGGATTGTTCGTCGTCTTCGTTGGGGAGGTGCTCGTCGGTGGAATTGGGATCGTGGTCGGGGTTGAGGTTGCTTGAGCCGGACGAATCTTGTCGGGCAAATGGCCGATTGCCGTTTAGTCCGGGGATACCGACGACATCTTCGTCAACTTCTTCCTCCGAGATCACTGGCATGGTGCTGCCATTGACATGTGTGGTGGTGTTGGATGTGAAATCGAGAATTGGAAGCGTCGCGCTTGCAAGCAGCATTGGGCTGCCAAGCAGGTCCAGCCAACCTGGAAGGGGTTGCTCAGCGGCTGGTCCCACTGATCGACAACCAAGCAACGCCAACAACCACTGTGACGGGCACTGTAAAATCCCCACTTTAGTGGTCTGGGAGCCCCTTTTCTCAACCTCAACGGGACAGCCTGGAATCCATAGCCGGGCAACTTCACAATATCTGATTCACATGATTGAATCCCGCCATCCCAGAACGTGTAAAGAGTTTCACTGCATAATTATCATATCCGTTCACGCTACATACAACCAAACCACCCAACCCGGGCATCTGCCCTACCCATCAATAGGACACCGGTACTCCGTCTCCTTTCCGGGCCCATCCTTTGCCAGCAACGCTTCCAGACAGCTCTGATGATAAATATGCCTGCACGCGAGCAAGACCAACGGCCCCAGCGCCGGTGACTGGTCCTTCTTGGTGGCACTAACGGCCCCCTCCGTCCCCCCTTCTCGCGGGTCTCGTTTCCCTTCCTCGTCTCCTCCACTTCCACCCTCCCCTTCCTCATCACCCTGCCTCAACCTCGGACTCAAGTCCTTCCCCTTCCCCTTCCCCTTCCCAACATACATCTCATCCTCCTCCCCTTCCTCCACTTCACCCCTTACAGCCCCCACTGCAGCACCAGCACCACCAACCCCCCCCTTCCCACCACCACCACCACCACCACCCCTCCTCTTCCTCACCCTCCTCCTCTCCTCCTCCGTCGCCTCCCACGCCTCATACACCACCCGCCCGCCCTGCACCCCGGGCCCCCAGACGCGGCGGGCGCAGGCCTCGCAGGTGGACCCCCGGGGCCGCCAGCCGCGCTGGCGCAGCTCGACGGCGCGGGCGACGCTGACGAAGAGCGAGCGGTCGAGCAGCCGGTTGGAGAGCCGCAGGATCGACTCCTCGTACGCGTACGCCGAGAACACCGACGCCAGCACCGCGCGCAGGTCCGCCAGGCTGGGCGACGCGGCCGCCGCGCGCGTGAGGAAGGCCCGGAGGATCCGCAGGAAGGCCAGGTTCGTGCCGAGGCCGGTCGTGGTTGGGGCGGTTGTTGGCGTTGTGGTTGTTGTTCTGGCTGTGGTGGTTGTCGTCGTGGTGGAGGGGGTGGAGGGGGTGGAGGTCGAGTTTAGGAGGGCGGTGAAAGTGGTTTGGACGAGGGCGCGGAGGAGGGTAAGGAGTTTGTTGGTGTCGAGCGGGGTTTGATGGTCGGCGCCACCGTTGGTAGAAGGGAGGGCATCGTGGGGCGGGGCGGTTTGCAGTGTTGACGATAACCGCCTGGTGATTTGGACTGCCGCGTCGATCAGGTCGAGCCAGAGGTTCTCATCGGCGGAGAGTATTTCATCGGGTGGCGGTTTCTGCCCTCGCCAGCCAGAATTCACGGCTCGCACCGTTTTGCTCTGTCCCTGACACAGCCAGATGCCCACCAAAACGAACTTCCGCAAGCCCTGCACCAGATCCTCGGCGGATGATTGCACGTCACGGGAATCGTCCAGGGACCCAGCAAGAAGACCCTGCAGTGCCGACTCGAGCGTCTCGAGGTGTTTGACCAGGCGGCCCATGGCTTCTTGAATCTGGCCGTCTTTTGCCATGAGGATGACCGCCGCATCAATCACGCCCGTCTCCTCCATCGTTGGGAGCAGCTGTTCCAGCCTCAGGTTCGAGGACTGGACCAAACCGACATAGTCCGAGACGTGTTCTGGATGGAACTGGCACATTAGGCGAAGGTACTGCTCCACTAGGTCCCTGTCTGTCGAGCGGCCAAGGGTGGTCTCCTTTTCCGGCTCTAGAATTGTCCTTAGGTAGGCGTACTGTAACCCTGGTTGTTGAACCGCCGAGTCCAAGACGTGTTGGTGCAGCTCAGGGGCGTGCTTCGCGATGGTTGTGGCTGTCATATTGGGATCGAGATCCACCAATTGCGCAGAATGCTGCTTGATGACTTGGTGGATGTCCTCAACCTGGCGCTGCGTGAGACCTGCTTGTGGCCGCAGATAGAGATCAATGCAGTTGAAGACGTCTTCTTGGTCTTCTGGGTCTTCAAAGTACGTATGAATGAGCTTTCCATACTGTTTGTCCCCTCTGTAGATGCGTTTCAAAATGCGGTAAAACCCAGCTTCTTTGAAAAGCGGTATGAGTTCAGCGACATCTGGTGGCTGGTACACTGACATCAGATACTCTGCGCTGAGTTGAGCATCCTCAGCCAGGTCCTGTCCCGGGTATTTGCAAAGTCCGACTAGGACCTTGGTCAACGTCGAGCCAGGGAATAAGAGATATTGTGGGTATTTCGGCAGGTTCCTGGCGATAAACATGTCCAGGTAGATGGTTTCGTTGGGCGTAAAATCGGTTGAGTTCATGATCTCCATTAAGATCGAGACGATGTACTGTCGGTTTACCGTCAGACCAAAGATCTGCTCTTCGGGTAGATCACGACCGGCGCTGCCGTTCGACTTCTCTGGTGAGTCATTGAGAAACGAATCCTCAAAGGCTTCGTTGAGGGCGCTTAGGAAGCTTGCGGCGTCAAAGTTCAACACCAGCCGAAGGTAGGGGAATGAGGGCTCCTCGGACTGATTCGGTCTTGTCAGAAGCCGCTTTTGGGTGCCCTTCGGCCATGTGATGCTCTTTCCCGAGAAAAGCAGCCAGTAGAGCTCGGCTTTTGCCTGTTGCGCGATATTCTCCGGAAGGGGCTCGCCTGTTGGGTAAACCCGTCCGGTGAGGACGTAGGAAAGATAAGGGAAGATCTTCAAGGCGTTCACCGCGTATATTTCAGCGTCCATCTGGTTGCCCGACGACTGCCCGTTCTGCATCAGGGGTACCAACAAGGAGAGCAGGTCAAACAGTGGCGTGACGAAGTCGTTCAGAGCTTGGTTCCAAACGTACAGCAACGCATCGTATAGACCGTGTTGCTTGCAGAGTAGCGTGATCTGGTCCAGGTCGAGGGTGGCGGTGTTCATGTGGCAAATCAGTTCCTCCAGCCGACTCTCCCAGCCCTTGGTGACGAAATGAGTGATCAATGCCTTCACAACCACCGGTGGGACCGCGGTGATGGACCCGTCGAGGATGTAAGGCTCCAGAGCCTCGAAGAAAATCCCCTCGACACCGGCCTCTTCGTACCATTCGTACATCTCGTCGAAAAGGAAATCGATGTCCCCCACACTTAGGCAAGCCACAAAGCAAGTTTCAGATAGTTCTTGGAAATGGTGGTCATCCGTCGGTTCCCTGTTCCTTTGCCTCTGGCCAAAGGCGTATTTTAGTGAGGCTCTCATAATCTCCATTAGCCTGTCCTGAACCATGGAATGCCTCGATTTGGTGTCTTCTGGTAGTCCGACCGTGAGTTTGTTGGCGTCTCCCGTGTAGTATGACGTTGCAAGCGTGATAGCACCGACATAATCGCCATTTTCCATGAGCGCGATGAGGCGATCAGCCCAGTTGGATAATGCCCCTATTGATATGTCGTTCAGCCCAAGGAGGAAGAGCCGCCCTTTGTAGGTCCTGAAGCTCATATAGAATGCATCGGCAACAACACCGTGCATCGAGGGGTCTTCCTCGTCGAGCTGCTCCACCAAGGTGTTGAGCTGCTTGGAGAATAGGTCGACGTGATAGATATGCTTGTGAATGAGGTCAAAGGCCTCCGTCATGCGCATACTTCGGTCTTCGAGGACAATGAGCCGTTGAGAAATGGTCAACACGGTCAGAACTGACCGGCTCAACCATTGCACTGCGACGATAGCTTCCTCGCACTTCCACCGGCTCCGTGCCCGGAATCTCAAACTTGGTGGCTTGTCCTTGTCCTCTGATTGGATCTCGTCAACATCCAGGACGGTGAGAACATTGGACCAACAGTACACCAGCTTGACTTTAGAGATTTGGCTTCCTGTGACGGGATCTGCCACTTTTAATTTGACACCGGGGAACCAGGCCAGACATCCTGTCATGGCGCTGTGGGCAGCAACTTCCTTTGGCCGAGCAGATTTGTGTTGGGTCTGAGCAATAGGGGTAGTCGATACGATAACGAGCAAGTAGGGGGTGAGCATTGCGGTCAACCCCAAGCCATCCGTAGCCATCTCAACGTTTCCGAGAGGCAACGATGAAAATGCCAGGACGGTGCTTGGCTTTAGCGTTTTCCCGGGTGGGGGTTTGGCGTCCGGGTACCGGCCCAATATCCGCGTGGTTTTGACGGTTCTGCCGAGCGCTCCGGTGCCTCTGGTTGCGAGATGGGAGAAGGCCATTCCCCGGTCATCTGCGGACACCAGAGCCGTGTGTCGGGTGCCGAGGAATCCCAAGTGGGTAACTTTGACATTCGGCACATGGCCATCGGCTGATTTGCTGGCCTGGTGCACTGGGTCCAAGTGTGGGATACTGAGGAATGGCCTGGCAGCGGCTCGCGAGGTGTCCCATGTGAATATGTTGCCGTTCGCATGCCCACCGGCGATGGTGGTATGATCGGCGGAGACTGCGATGGCGGTTATGGGACCGGATTCAACGGCTAAGGAAGGTTAGCACCGAAGTCCGAGATGACGGAAGAACAGCCCAACCTTTAGTCCCCGGACCTATGATCATCTTGATGTTTTGATTGTAGTCGAACACCAAGATAATGCCTTTCGAAGTGCCCAATACTATGGTGGCTGAGACTGCAAGACACGTTGGAGTCCCAAAGTTCCTCCTGCCTGCCTCGGAAAACACTTGTCCATTGAGCTTCTTCAGCTTTGTCCAGCGCACAACCTCCCACGGTGGTGACGGGGTTTCGGTATCCCCTGGGTCCAGCAACAACTGGCTGCTCAGCGACACATTCCGGCTGTGGGTGGATGGGAACGCGGGGGACGAGGGCCTTGGAGAGGAGAGGTATGGCGAGGCGATACGGGACTGGAATCTTTGGTCGAAGGGCCGGAAGGAAGGCGTCGGACTGGCCATACCGCGGGAGGCGAGAGAAGGGAGCAGGCTGCTGCCGGGAGAGGAGATCACGGAACCCTGTATTGGGCGTGAGCCATTAGTAGCCGATCTCCCGCAAGCATTGTCTTCCAATGTACCTGTATAGAGGGCGAATCATCGGGAACGGAGAGCATGGAGCCCATGGGACTCGCGGCACGCCGGGGTATGGCGTCGGTTGACCCATCGTCTGACGGCGTTTCGTGCTCTACCTCGAGTAGTTCTCGGTAGCGATGTGCGATGGAACTGGGGCCGGTAGGACGTTCAGAGGACTCGACGCTGGCCTCCTGCTCCTCTTCAAGAATGTCGGCAATGTGATCCTCGTCTCGGTCGCCCTTGACTGTCTCTTCGTCGCTCGAGCTCGAACCCTGATCGTCTGCTCGGGGCAGCTCTGGTTCGTCGGCCATGACGTCCGCGGAGCCACCCTCCTCCCGGGGTTGACTCAAACTCATCGGGCGTCAGGGGTGAAAGTCATTGCTCCGAGGAGACCGGTTAGGTGATGTGAGAAGGTGGTTAACTTTGTCGAGTTCGCGATTCGGCGGGTGACATGGGATGGCGCGGCTTTCGGCGTGGCTGAGCTTCGGTGCTCGCTGAACGATGGGTGGGGAAGCTACTAATAGTGGTTCCAAGAGACCCTATGAATTCGGCGGATAGACTTGACAGAGGAGCGTCACCTAAGCTTGTTTGGTGTTTTGGCGCATCGAGGATGGGATGGATGCTGCAAGTCCATGCAGGGGACCGAGCAATTGCGCAGCTCCCCTGCACTTCCAGGGCATTCGTCGGCCCACTGACGCCGCTGAATCCAGTGGGGAAACAGTTGATCAGCCGCTGGCAAGGCTGTGCGGATCTTATCGATAAGGCTTACAACCGCATCGGGTTCTTTGCTCCAGGTCTCCCTTCCATCTTGCGGGATGCAACTGTCCCAGGTCTTTGCATTCACATGCTCAACGAACATCACAACCCGATCCCGACAGTTATTGAACGACTTATTAAGACACCACGTCGAATTCTGACGAAAACACAAGCACCATGGTGTCTGCAATTGGTCCACAACTCCCACCACACCTGCAGAAGCGCAAGCGCACTCCCGAAGATGAGACAGAGCTCGGTTCGCCTCCGCCCAAGACAACGCGCCGAGAGAATGACGATGAGATCGCCTTGGGCGATGATTCCGACGACGGTTTTGGGCCAGCCGCTCCGGCTCCGATGAGAAAGACTGCGAAAGAAATGATGCCACCATCAATCGGACCCTCACTACCTCCGGGGGTCGCAAGCAGCGCAGCTGCATCGGCAAGCAAGAAACGATCAATTGGCCCTTCCCTCCCGCCGACAGCAGCGTCAGGCAACGGTGACGAAATTCCTCTCGACTCTGACGACCACATGACCGGCCCAGCCCTGCCTCCTAAACGCGTGCTCGGGCCAGCACCACCACCCGCACCCCTCTCCGAACGGCCCCCGACCGGTCCCGACACCAATTCCTCGGAAGACGATGACGACGACGACGACGACGGCTGGGGTCCCGCGCTCCCAGGCGCATCCAGCAACACCAAAACCACCTCCTCAACAACCCTCGGACCCTCCCACCCCTCCGCCTCCCAGCCCGAGCCGGCGGCACCCAAGCGCGACGACTGGATGCTCGCGCCGCCCAGCAGCAGCAGCGGCCCGCGCAAGCCGGACCCGACCAAGCTCAAGTCGCGCAAGTTCGCGAGCGGGCCGCGGGCGGCCGCGACCGACGGCAAGCCGGCCGGCGTCAGCTCCATCTGGACCGAGACGCCCGAGGAGAAGGCCCGACGGCTGGCCAACTCCGTGCTCGGGCGCGAGGACGCGCACAACACGCCCGCGGAGATCCGGTCGCGACCGGAGGCCGGCAGCGGTGGCAGCGGTGGTGGTGGGCGTGACGGCAGCGGCGGCGGCGGCAGCCGCGCGGACGAGGCGCGCATCAAGTCCTACATCGAGCAGACGCGGGGCAAGAGCCTGGTGGCGGAGCACCAGGCGGCGCGGGCGGCGGGCAAGGCATCGTCCGCAACGCTGGTCAAGTCGGGGGATCATGCCAAGTGGGGGGCTAAGGGCGGTGGTGAGGGTGAGGGTGCGGACGACGACGATGACCCGAGCAAGCGGGCGTTTAACTGGGAGAAGGACATGAAAGTGGGCGGGCAGATCAGCGGTTCGCAGCGGAAGGAGCTGTTGAATAGGGCGGCGAATTTTGGGGGGAGGTTTCAGAGCGGGAAGTATTTGTGAGCCTGAGAGGAGGACGGTTGATAGAGGGCATCTGCGTGGGCGTTTAGGGGCAATATCATGACGGAAAGGGGATAAGATAATAACAAATCCAAGAGATGTTCACGCCTGGCCGAACTTGGCGCATGGGATAGAGTAGGCACTGAATAGCATAGGCACAGGATAGAACAAGGCTCAGAAAGTGCAACGATATATATTCATTCGATCTCAAGCACCCATCCAAAATACACACACCCACCCATGCCATCCCATCCCATCCAGGCCAGCCAACTTTCACCAGCCTTCCAAGCAACCTCCCTTTCTTTCCATCCCGTTTGCTAGCCCGCGTTCATCCCTCCGAACAAATCAAGCGTCCCGCCCATCCATCCATACAACCCGGTAACTCCATGCTTGTAAAGGGCAAGTGTGCCTGCCCTCCATAACCGATAAAAGCCAATGTGCTATGCAAAGTTCAATACTGCGGAGATGTGAGAGGAAAACAGTACAAAAAAGGAAATGGCGAAGGCTGTTCGTCCGCCAGACGATGCCGACCTCCGCTGATATATGCGAGAACCAACTCGCTGAAGACACCACCTCTACGGCGGTCTTCCTTTCCTATAATTCGAGAATATGTGTGTGCGCGTGGCGGGTGTGTATGGCGCATATATGCATGTCCACCAACGAGATGACACTTCGTCGTGGTTGTGGATGTGTCGTGAGGACCGAACCAGGCAGATCAATGCGTGAGGCACTGGCCTTAGTTATGATGAAGTAGGGAAATACGAGTACATGTCGGGAAATGGGTATCGAGAGATGCGTCTGTCATAAAGCATCCCGGCGGTATATCGACGTCGTTTAGTCGCTAATTTTGCGCAGTCCGGACCCCAGCTTCCAGCTGCGATGGGGTAACCGCAGGGTCGGTACTAGCAGCGGGTGTAGGGTTTGACTGCGTCTGGCCGTCCTGGCCTCGGCCAAACCGAAATGTCGGGATCGCATTCCTGAGGTTCGAAAGCAGACCACCAGTCCCAGCTTGGGCGGGTGTTGCTTCCGCTGCTGGGGATGCGGGGCTCGGTCTTGAGCCTTGACGACCAGGAATGGTAGAGCGCCGCCTCGTGTCTCTCGGCCGGGACCTATCATCTGACCGCCCAAATCTAAAGAGGGCCGGCCGGGGCTGACCGGGCAGGTTCATCCGATTGCTGCGCGAGTTGCCAGGGAGCGTGACGTGAACCACGGGCGTCGTGCCGTCAGTGCCATCGGCGGCTTGAGGGCGGGGCTTGGGAGTGAAGTAGTCAGCCTTGCACAATGGGCAGCATGCCCTCCTTGTTGTCAACCATGGGTCGATGCAGGCAGCATGGAAAGCATGACCGCAAGTCAAGCCGCGCACATCGTCGTCATCTTCCAGGGCGTCGATACAGATAGCGCAGGTATCGCCCGCGGTCCCCAGGCATTCTGGTGGTAGAGCAGCATCGATATGTTCGTCTTCCTCGTCCTCGTCGTGGGAAATCTGGCTGAGGTGCTTGTCCGCGACGGTCGTCGTATCAGCGTCGCGGTTAGAGCGGTTGGAGCGGTTAGACTCCGTTGATGCTCGACGAAGCCCGGCAACTGTACTCGATGTACTTTCCTTGGGAACGTGGCGAGGGCTCTGAACCGGGGGCTTTTCTGTATTCTCCGGCGCGGTTTCGGCTGCAGGCTCCGTTGCCGTTCCGGTCGCCGTCGCGCTGGTCGTTGGCCGGCCGTCGGTTGACGAGCGGTCCTTAGGAGATACCTCGGGGGCCACGCCATCTGCGTCACGGATGCTGTTTGGCCGGCTCTGGGGGACCGATACACCACCTCGGGTTGGCAATCCTTCCTGTGCCCGGCTCGCAACCCATGTCTTGTATTTCAGCATCGGGAATTTTTCGTTCACTTCGTCGATCGGCATCAACTTCTTCTCTCTCCGGCGGCGGTGCGGGCGAGGCATATTCTCCATGCCAATCGGTTCTCCTTCCTCGTTTCGCAGCGCGCGGGCCCGCGCATTGTACCTGAAGCAATACTTTACGCCGACGATGATCCTGTCCATTGTCAGACCGCAGTTCCCAAAACTTCGACTTCCCGTCAAGTAAAGACTCACCAGAGGTTGGTGAAGACGACACCAAATCCGAGGGCGACAAAGAAAAGCAGCGACGACGAGTTCCCCCCTCCCCCTCCTCCCCCGTCGTTTCCTCCTCCGCCGTTGCTTCCAGAATCTCCTCCTCCAGTACTGGTGCCGCCATTGGCGAGGGTGCTGCTATCGGTCGGCGAAGGACCTGGCGACGTCAAGGTTGCCGAAGTAACTGGTGGTGCGGTCGCGGGGCTCGGAGTCGCGATGGGTGGGGTTTGGGAGAGCGCCGTCGTCACGGCCACCTCGGTTGCCTGCCTCACCACCACCCGCACTGCCTCCACCACGGCCGGATTTAGGAACGCCATCTTGCCGGAGACAATGTTGAGACTCGGTGGGGACTTGAACGGTTCACGGGCGCAGAGTGTCCATCAGGCAATTGTTGTCGAAGAACTCGGGCATGGGTAAGAAAAATGGCGGCCCAAAAGAACACGATAGCTCATTTGCCAGCATGCGAAATGAAACTGGCCTGATGCGGTGGTGGTTGGCTCGAGTATCGAGTCGAGAATGAATCCGTCGGAAGGCTGGGGAAACACTTCCTTGATGGGGTCGACGGGAAGAAGGAGCGCAAGCGTGCAGTGCCCGAGCCCAGAAAGTGGAGAAAATGATGGGGGACAAAGGATCTTGAAATGGGGTGGTGGGTGGGTGATGGAAAATTGTTAGGGGCGCTGGGGCGGCACACTGTCTCTCGTCTGAGACCGGACGGGGGCAAGCAACCACTGGATCCTGTGGGGGAGGCGGGCTGTGTCGAGTCGACAGAAGGCAGGGAAGGAATGGTTTTGTGGGGCAGGTCCTTCCAAGCACGCTGGATGGTTGCAGGGGGGCTGGATTCTTGGAGGGGTCCGGAACAAGCGGGATTGACAAGGGCATTGCCAAGCTGGGCAAGTTCGGGAAAGCTGGCAGCCATGGTTGACGACGACCACAGAAGCAACCTGCCGACATGGAGGAGAAAGCTCACTCTGCCCGGCGACGCAGTGCGAAAGTGCGGAAGAAACGATGGGCTGACGACCTAGGCTAGGCGCAGCACGCACGCGCTACATGAAATGGGTACACAAGGTAAAATACGTCAACCTGATTCCATTTTACACAGTACCCACACCACTTTGCTCGTGAGTCGTGCTCACTCATCATTTTGAGAGTTACCGTCACGGTGGTGGCGGATCCTAGATGAAACCTCTCAGGCGGATTCAGCTCATCCCGCCCGTCATGACGCGCTTCTCGGAGCGTTATCCGCGGCGTATTCCGGGATTGGACGGTTACGCCGCCGGGATCTTCCTGTGCCTTTACCTTTTATCTTAAAAGTAGACCGATTTAGAGATTCATCCCAACGGCTTTCCGTCTTTGGCGGCGCAACAAGATAACTTTGCGCCGTGTGTTTTGGGATGCGACAAAACCAAAATGGGGTCGGTTGGAAGCGAGAGCGGCATGCCCGCATCTAACCAAATCCGGAAGCTTCACGGAGCATGCCAGAGCCAGCGTCCTGAAACCTCAGACAAGAGCAAACACTCATTAGCGAAAACTCTCGATACAAGAGAGGAGAGGCAGAATCGGTGATACCCGGAGGGGGGAGGCTGTCCCCATCAGCAATCGACGCATTCCCCTGGTTTAACGTCGTGATCTGACAATCTACTCATCTCCAAGAGAACCTAGTGTAGAATGCCAACCGGAGATAGGTGGTGTGGTGAAATACCCAGCCGCCCAACTGCATCAGTTTCCAAATTAACTCACGGTGCTGTGCCTGGATTTACCTCCCGAGGGTCACACCAAAACAGAAGACGGAGGCGGCCTCCCTGGTAAGTTTGAGATTGCTGAGATTGCCTTGAAACTCGCACATACCAAGCAGGGAGAGATCGGATTTGGTCAAGCCACAACCTCATACGGCAAACGTCCTGCGTACTTGAACAAAACAAGCTACAGCAAATATTTCCTTCAAGAGGCGCGGGATTGCGTATGCGGTGCTCCATGATTCGTCCATCTGCAGACTGAAAAGCCAATTGCTTTGCTGTGGTCAAAAGGAGCCAGGGATGTCGCCTGACGCTTGCTGCACGAGGCGTTGGTACGGGCGTATCATCGATACCCGATCGACACTGCAGCGCGAGCAGACCACCACCGCCGTCGTACCGAGGAGATATGATATTGTGTTCAACCCTTGGTTGGATCTTTACAAATACTAGGAGTCGCGAAACAATTACAATTCGAACACGGCCTAACCGGCCCCCAGGATCCAAGACGGCACAGAATTGGCATCTCCTCGCTTGAGAAAGGGTGGACAGCAGACGGACCACGGCACATCCACCCGCAGCGTGTCCGTTCGAGAGATGGCGTCGTCGCTGGCGCGGGGAATACAGCGGGTCACACTGCAGCAGCAATGGAGCGTCTGCAGGTCGTCAACACAACGAACTTATCGAGGCAAAGCTATCCGGAGATCGACCTAATCCTTGCAAACTTGCATGATGTGGTAACAAAGATTGGAGCAACTTACAAGTGCAACAAGGATGACGAAGTCACACACGAGACACATCACAAATAAAATCTCCCCATACCTTGCTCTCCCCGGTGCCTTACACAGGACACAGAAAGGTCTTTGGGTCGCCCGGCCGCCGACCTCAACGCCGCCCGAGCGGGCTGAGCGTCTCAGGTACTCCAAGCGTTTGCTGGATACGCATTGCTTATTCGAGCTCAGCTTTGCGAGCAAACATGCCCTGCATGGCGATCCTCCCGAAGGCTCCTTTGTTCCCGGGAGGCAGGTGGCAGAGGCAGAGTCGAATATTTGTCACGATAACCCCCGACAATATTTCTTATTGCACGGGTCGAGGGTTGGCAGGTCAAAAACATCGGGCAGCACCAGCTGACTGGACGAGCGTGGCTCTGCATGCGAGGCACTACGGTGTGTAGCGAACCAGCTCAGCGAGATCAGACGGGATTAGACGGTCACTAGCGGGGGCGGGGCGACCTGCTAGTCGGCACCACCTTCCTCTCCTCAGGGCGGCCACAACCTAACGATCCGCCGAAGCCTGGCTTCCTCCAAACCCGAGAGAACCGAGTTTCCTCCACTCGACCCGGGCACCCCTTCCGTCCCATCTTGAATTTGCCCAGGCTTGACGCCAAGGGTCAAGAACGGGGCAACGCCCTCCAGGACGCGCAACTCAAAAGCGCTCCGGGAACAGAAAGATTCCCGCCTTCCCGTACGAAGAGCGGGGAGGGCAAGAGCGAGGCCGGGCATTCCGGCGAGCATGGAACGACCGGGGAGTCGGAAACAGTCACTCGGATGTATCGCCATGGATCTAACTTTTTTGCGTCAATAATTGAATCGGGTGATGGGTGACAGCAATCGAAACTTGGTCAACTACTCTCTGCTCTCCGAAACCAACTTTGATGCCGAGTCAGCCCCGTGCAGTTCGCCGAAGGGAACATGCAGAGCACACGCGAGCGGACCCCCCTATACAAATAGAGTTAACAGTCCTTCCCGATCACCGGAGCACCCGGAAGGCGGATTTATTACGGGGTTGTCATATTCGCGCTGCCACCGCTTACTGTGATAGAGAGAGGTCGCTCGTTCATGGTACCACCGCGCTCGCTCACTCCAGAGTCGTCACCAATTCACCTCGCCGCTGCTTGCTCCCGCCCTGCATCTGTCGTGCTACCCCAGCCAAGTGCCGCAGTTTAAATGGTTTCTGCCCTCATGACCCTCTTGCCAGACCGCTCACATTACCATAAGCCGATCACCGCATCGCGTCAGTTTATCCCTGATGCAACGTCCCTGCATGTGCTTTCCCTTTTGCCCATACATGAGGGGGTTGTGGTGATGTTCGAACACGCCCAGACCAGGGGATCTACATAACAACTTCCAAAGATAACGACAGCACATGTACATCCATGAGGGAAGCTGGGGTTATTCCGAAGGACCAGGGCCAGCAACAAGATTTAACACTGGGCTACCGGACCAGTGTGTATGCCACGCCCCCACTGAACAGTCTATCTCGGGTATAACTTCTGCTGTGGCCCCCAGCGTGCCGTGATCACGATATAATAAGCAAAGCTTCGGCCTTGCTTCCGTTTGGAATATGAGTAACGCAGAGCTAGAAAGTGTGACGGAAGATATTTGTACCCCTCAGCTGACATTAGCTCTCGTCTCCGCGCCATCACATAGCCATCACGAGTTGAAGTGTTTGTCTCACAGACTACCTCGTACTGCTTTTGCGGCAGTGCCCAGATATCTAGTAGATTATGGCACACTGTCCTTCCCTTCGACCACACAACTTTAGCGAGAGCCAAACCGGCATGTAGGCCAAACCATGCCAGCAGAAGAAGGACATTGGACCCCCCCAACCTACCGATCATTATCTAGAATCAAGAAAGCCGAACCCCCTATTCGTAAACACTCATATTGGCCCGACGTTCGGAAACCAGGCCATAACGGGCATAGTTAGCGATGGTCCATCATCGGGTTGAGCCCAACCTCCGGCTTGCCTTCAACGGCGGCCCTCCTCCTTTCCCGTCAACGTAATGTGCCGGGGGATATCAGAGAGGCGAAGCCTCAAAAGCCACCGAGGCATCACCCGAATGTTTCACATAATATCAACACGTGGTCCGCATACCCTCAACGTGCATTTCCTAATTCTTCTCTCACATTAACTATGCCCTTTATCACACTCTAGTCCACGAGTTACCACGGGGGTTGTTCGGTCTGGGAAATGATGGGGGCCAGCCATGGTTAAAGTGTTATCGTTCTATAGGCGATGTCCGGTCAATCCCCGCCTGTAAAATGTTGATCGATGAAAGGGTCGATATAACTAAGGGGGCGGCACAACCAATACCCCTATCCGACCTTCGATTTTAGGCCGTCCCGCGCGTGTTGACAACCGCCTACCTACGTCTTTTGACGCAGTCCGCTAGCCAGGGCAAACAAAAGAAGCAGGATCGTTTGATCTATGTCTACCCGCCCGCCCCCTACAGTACATTTCACGTGTTGGGCTCGGATGCAAGACCGATTATAATACACTGACCCGGGCGCCTCTTCTCCACTCCGCAAGGGAAACCTCGATCCACCAAACGCATCGCTTTTCCCCCCATCTACCTTGTTTAAAAGTTCCTGCTCATGTCGGCCCGCACTCTCGCGTAGTCGAAGAGGCCCTCGACGCTGCCGACAGCACTGATGGCAATATCCTGGTCCCAAAGCCTCCGGTTGGCAAACTCCATAACGTCCTTCTCGGTGATGGCGTCGATGACGCGCTCGATCTCGCCGGGGCTCATGCGGCGGCCCGTGTTGACGATCTGGCGGCCGATGTCCTCGGCGACGGCGGTGGTGCCGTCCAGGGCCAAAAGGATGGACGCCTTGAGCTGGGCCTTGGCGCGCTCGACCTCGGCCTCGGTCACGTTGCTCGACAGGCGCGACCACTCACGGAGCGCGAAGTGCACCAGGTCATCGACGGACCCGAGCTTGTCGGTGACCAAGTAGATACCCCAGAGACTGCACGAGTGAATTAGCCAGGGCTCTTTGGAAGAAAATCATAGCGATCCAAGGCGTCATCTTACCCAGTGTCGCTGTAGCTGGTGGAGAAGCTCATGTAGCTGTTGGCCAGGTCGTTCTTGTGGACGATGCCGCTGAGCTTGCTACCCTGGTGGGGGGCGTTACCGAGGGCCTTGTCGTAGTTGCCGACGATGGCCTGGGCGACCAGCGCGGTGAAGTAGTCGGGGGTCGCTCCAGCTGGCACCCTCAACGGCGATCGCAATGTTGGCGGTGGGGATGGTGTCGTCGCGGATCCTGACGTCAGAGCCGATGAAGTCGGGCTTCTTCTTGGACAGGGCGTAGGCGCTGGTCTCGGGGCTCTTGGACGGGAGCTTGGAGAAGTACCGGTCGGCCATCTCGACGAGCTGCTGGTGGGGGATACCGCCGGCGCCAGCGAGGACCATGCGGTCGGCCGTGTAGTTGTTCTTGACGTAGTTGGAAAGCTCGGTCCGGGTGATGTCGCGGATGTTCTCGCGGGGGCCAAGGATGGTGCGGCCAAGGGACTGGCCCTGGTAGGCGGTGGCATGGAGGTGGTCAAACACGACCTCCTCGACCTGCTTCTCCACCTCCTCAGACTCGCGCAGGATGACATCGCGCTCCCGCTCGATAGCGGCTTCCTCGAGCTTCGAGTTCTGGAGGATATCTTGCAGGATGTCGACGCACTGGGGGACGTCATCGTTCATGGCCTTGGCAAAGTAGACGGTGTTCTCGCGCTGTTACCGAAGTTAGATGCCGACGAACGGGTTCGCCAAATACGTAAGGCATGACGAACCGAGGTGTAGGCGTTCAAGTGGCCGCCCATGTTCTCGATCTCAAGCTCCAGCTGGTGTTGTGTCCTCTTCGAGGTACCCTGTTCTGCCAGTCAGTACCATCGGCCGGGTGCTGTGGCAGGCGCCGGCGAAGCTATTTCGTACCTTGAAGGCGAGATGCTCGAGGAAGTGGGCGGTGCCGTTGGTCTCGGCGGTCTCGGCGCGGGAGCCGGCATCGATCCAAACGCCGACGGTCGAGGTCTGGGCATAGGGCGAGTACTGAGTCGCGACCTAGAGGGAGAGATGGGAGTCAGGGAAGGCCGAGCTGGGGCCAATTGGTTGATTGGTGTCAGGGGGGGGGGGTAGCTCACGGTCAGGCCATTCTTGAGTGTGGTGGTCTCGGTCTTGATCGCAGGCGACGAGTGCGGCGTTGCGAGACCTCGCCTGGACGGTAGCGAAAGACCTCCAGCGCGGCCGCGAAGGCCCTGCGCGAGGTTCAGAGCGAGTCTCCGGGACGCCATGGACGCGGATGTGAAGGGTGGGGGGTGGAAAATGAGCGGTTTGAAGGAAGTCCTGGCTCCTCGCTTGCTTTCAAAAAACTCCAGTATGCAAGCGTAATTTTGCCTCACTTCCAAGGCCCAGCTCGGGAACGCCCGGGCCAAAGCAGGCTTGGAGCTCCTGTCACGTGGTTCAGATGCTGTTTTCCCCGGTAATTCCTCTTGGCATTTTGAAATTCCACTTCTGCGATTGGCTGGTAGGTCACGCAGGCATTCGGGGGCTCCCTGCATCTTTTGACCTCGCTCGTCATGCTCCTTGCACTTGAGCCCGAACTGTTCGCGATGGTACCCAAGATGTATTCTCCTGTCGTGCAACACCTACAACAAGGGGGGGCTCCTGGGCATGCGACAGGGAAGGAACACTTTTTCGAAAGATGAGTTGTAGACGATGTGAGATGCGATGCTTAGCAGACCAATTTCCAGGCGTTTGAAAGAACCTGGAAGATATCTCACGGCTGGGGTAGTTGCCCGTCCCAGTACATTCAACCTCAGAATTCACGTCCTTCCCCTCCATTGTTCATCAAAAAGTTCCACAAGCTTTGGTGGACGCAGCTCCGAGCCCAAGCATTCCCATCTTCCCATATCACCCGCCGCAGGACGATTGATGTATCCATAATATCCCGCCAATTAGGCAACAAAAGGTTACGATTTGCCCTCCTTGTTGGGCTGCAGCGGGCGAGCTCTGGCAAGTGCTCCGACCCTCTGACCCACATTAGGTGATATGCATCGATACGTCGTCGATGCTGGGGTTGGCCTCGAGCTTGAACACCTCTCTTGACTTTGGCTATTTCTTGTTTAGCTATATTCAGCCAATGCCCGGTCAAAGCCCGAATTTCTCAAAAATGACGGCTTTTATCGCAGCCTATCCGCCCCTCGGCCAAGTTACGCAGGTTCAGGACGGCAATGTGACATTCCATGCGGTTCTCGAAATACCCTTTGAACTCAGAGCGGAACCATGGCAGCTCGCTCTCTGGTACTCAAACGGTGATGAGTCGGAATGGATTGAGGCCGAGTGTATCCCGACTCAGCCAGATGCCCGGCCCACGGATTTACACGAACCCGTCGGGACGACGGCGAGGTTGTATTTCACAACCAAACTTGTCGTCCACTCCTCACTCACCTTTACGATCAAGTTCCGGCAACAAAATCATGACAAGGAGTGGCGGTGGGCTCGGGATGAGCAACACTCCAGCGATGGAGTTGTTGTGGTTAACCTGAAGCCGACACAGGACGGTGACCCCGAAAGCTTGCCGGACCTGATTCGGGATCTGAACCCGGACCTCAAATGGAAGAGTCATATGAGTCAGACCCCCAGGACCAGACTATGGTCCATAGAGGCCGGCGTGGAGGGGGCAAAGGAGCACGAGTCGACATTTCACCAAATGCCGGTTGGTATTCCATGGGGCCGGTTCCTCAGGTAAGGGGCCAGCAAACCAACGGGGGATTCCTGGATTTCTTTGGGCCTGGTCCTCAGCTGCTCCCGCCAAAAGCTAACTACCGGCAGGTGGTTTGCCTTGGTCAGGACATCGACTCCTTGGCTTGCCCCGAGGCAGGGCAAGTCGGAGTTCAACCCCGACAAAGATGCCCTGCTCTGCTCGTTCCTTTCCGCCCAAGGGAAGCACATGGTATTCCTCGGGATGAGTGGGATTAATGATGTGACTACAATGTTCCGAGGTGGTGATTCCGGCAAATTGATGCTTAATGTATGTAGATGCCGGAATAATGACTGAAACACGGACTGATGCTCGTCTAGATTCGGAGCGACAACACGAAATCAACAACAGGAACCGCCCTAGTAGCAGTCGGTGACGATTTCGAGAGCACGATTGCTGCTGTCATGTACCACGCCCGTACTCTAGTTATGGGAACGAGTGCATCTGCCACTCAGGGCTTGGTTGAGGCCACGGCGGAGGGCGATATCGTGCCCCAGTGGTATGAAAACTGGTACGACGGCTTGGGATATTGTGAGTGAAGACCTCCCTACTTAGTGTTATTTTATTTTGACCTTGCACCATTAGGCACCTGGAACTCCTTGGGCCAGAAATTAACCGAAGAGAACATTCTGAAGGCACTGGACACTTTGGCTGAGAACAGGATCAAAATATCAAATTTAATCATTGACGACAACTGGCAAGATGTCGACTACCGCGGCGAGGGCCAGTGGCAACACGGCTGGAACGACTTCGAGGCCGAACCGAAGGCCTTCCCCAGAGGTCTTAAAGCCCTCATCTCCGACATTCGCTCAAAACACAAAAACATCCAGTACATCGCGGTCTGGCACGCCCTGCTCGGCTATTGGGGTGGTCTCTCTCCTTCCGGGCCCCTCACCAAGCGCTACAACACCATCCAAGTCACCCGCGATGACACCGAAAAGTCCCAACTCCCTGTTGACAACACCATGACGGTCGTCTCCCCGTCAGACATCCAAACCTTCTACAACGACTTCTACACCTTCCTCAGCTCCTGCGGCATCAACGGCGTCAAGACCGACGCCCAATACATGCTCGACACGCTCCCGGACCCGCACACGCGGCGTGCCCTCACGACCCCCTACCTCGACGCCTGGGCGGCCGCCTCACTCCGGCACTTCAGCGGGCACGTCACATCCTGCATGTCCCAGACCCCACCCACCATCTTCCACTCCCTCCTCCCCAACACCCGGCCCGCCATCCCCTGCCGCAACTCGGACGACTTCTTCCCGGGCGTCCCGGACGCGCACCCCTGGCACGTCTTCGCCAACGCGCACAACGCGCTGTTCACGCAGCACCTCAACGTTGTCCCGGACTGGGACATGTTCCAGACCGCCCACCACCACCACCACCACTCCTCCTCCTCCTCCTCCCCCTTCGACAACACCCCTCTGGAGACGGAGGAGGAGAAGGAGGAAAAGGAGTGGGCCACCTTCCACGCGGCGGCGCGCTGCGTGGGCGGCGGGCCCGTGTGCGTGACCGACGCGCCCGGCCGCCACGACCTGGCGCTGCTGCGCGCCGTCTCCGGGCCCACGCCGCGCGGGCGGAGCGTCGTGTTCCGCCCGAGCGTGCCGGGGCGGGCGATGGATGTGTATGACGAGTATCGTGGTGGTGGTGATGGTGCGGCGGCGGCGCTGCTGAAGGTTGGGGCGTACCATGGGAGGGCGGGCACGGGCACGGGGATTGTGGGTGTCTTTAATGTGCGGGCTGCCGGGGGTGTGGTGACGGAGGTGCTGCCGCTGGGGCGGTTTCCGGGTGTTGTTGGGGGTGTGGAGTCGGGGAGGAGGTATGTGGTGCGCGCACATCGCTCGGGTCGGGTGACGGCCCCCCTGGAGGTAGGGTCGCCGGCGGCGGTGTTGACGGTTTCGCTCGGGGTGAGGGGGTGTGATGTGCTTTGTGCGTATCCGCTGCATGCCGTGGAGTCGAAGACGAGGGGGGAGGTGTTGCTTGCGAATCTGGGGTTGGTGGGCAAGATGACCGGGTGTGCGGCCGTGTTGAGGACTGGGTTTGAGGTTCGTGAGAATGGGAGGATGGTCGTCGATGCGACCGTGAAGGCGTTGGGAGTGTTAGGTGAGTGGTTAGCCTGCGTGCTGGAAACGTGGTGATACTGATCTCTCGTAGGCGTTTACATCTCGGTCCTTCCCGAGCTGTCGATTGACGATGACTTTATGGTGACCATCCAGGGGCTGCCGATCCCTCCTCACACTGCCTCTGTCAGCAAGCAGGATGAGCATGTTCTCGAGGCGGATATCGAGGCAGCGTGGAACGAAATGGGGCTCGCGAGCGGGTGGGCGAACGAGGTGCAGGTGAAGGTTTATTTTGCGTTGGAGAAGAGACATTGATGGACGACTTAGCCGTGATCGGACGATATCACTTCAAACTACTGGGCGATGTGAAAGGGGAGAACATGGTCTCGGTTGGTTCGATATCAAAGTCTAAGATCAACGCAATAAACCAGCTTCACAAGGACAATTTCAGATTATGCCTTACCTATCAAATACTCTTAGTGGGCGAACCTTCCAGCACCCCAGTACAGAAAGTGGGTGAATGCAATCAAAACCCTCGTGAACCGCTTGCAATTCGGAGCTCTTTACTTTCATAGACATGGCGGTTAATTGTGTTCTAGAGCTTTAAGACCTGGAGCGACTTCAAAGCTATTAAAACAGCGTTCTTGGCTCCTGGTTACTCAGCGCTCGTGGGCTAATATGCCAGAGCTTAACGGACTAGGCTTGCGTTCACCACTTCATTTTGTGATAGCGGTAGATAAGTATGTACCTAGCCTCATGGCGTTTGTAATCGAAGTGGCTCTTAAGACGCGGCATGGACGATGGGGCATGTGAGTCGATCGCAGATTGGATCCCCGCTGCATTCGCAGGAGTACACATGATGTCATGCAGGGACTCCATTGTTGACACGGACTGGAAGGGATGGTCCGGCACCGGCACCGGGCCCTCACAGCAACCGCCCTTTTATTTACCGAGGTGTTCAACGGCGGAAACAAGGGGACAGCGTTATCCAGAACATGAATAGGAAACCACACAGGTAGTCGACTCACAATTTGGGGCTTGACCAGAAGCACCAACCCGCGCTGATCACCACATGCCTGTTGTACGAGCATGTTATTCGCTCACCGATATCAGAGAGCAGGAGTCGGGCGGAGCCACAAGGTTCGGGATCCGGGTGCCTTCTCTGGACCGCCGGAGTGAGTGCTCGGGATGGAGGCGCGGGTTGTGGGGGGGGGGGGGGGGGGGGGGGGGGGTGCACGGGCGTCTGGCCAGGCGGCCGGGCGACCAGGTATGTATGGACATGTACCATCTCGGGAAACTCTGCCGGTTGATCAGTTGTTGAACTTGTCCTTGTCCCGAGTTGTTGTTTGCGTCTCGACACCGATGTTCATCATCCAATTTATGGCTGGGTGAAGTTGGCTTATCTCTAGCCAGGGCTCTTTCGCTCCCTCCGAATGCCATCTCTTTCTCGAGGTTGTGACATTGTGACGCTGAGAGGGGCGGAGTGCAGTGGCACGTAACCCCGCGAGTGGTTCGAGGTTGGCGCTCTTGGCAGTGGCACGCTTGGAACTGAGTCGGTGTGTCTGCCACTGCACTCTACGCAGCATTTCCGCAATCACCAAACGCCACGTGACGTGATCATTCCAACTGCACGAGGGGCTGGTCGAAAGGAAAGTGGGGGTACTGGGCGGTTGTGAGTTGTTTACCAAGTCACCTGGATCTTAGCAACTTGAAAGTTGGGAAATGAAGTTGCTTCGTTGATGTTTTACTTCGCAACTGCTCAACTCTGTTCGCTCAGTTATCGTCCCTTCTCCCTGCAGACAGCACCATCGAGACCACCCAACGCACAGACCAGGCAGGGTAAAAGTACCGACGTACCGCTGCCAAGCCCCGGGCGACCCATTTTTAGTGCGGCGAAAACGGCCAACAAGGACTTCAACCGAGTTTGGCGAGGCCTCGATTCTCGAACGAGGCAGTGACTGGTGACCTCCAACCATCAAACATCACGACGTCAATTTCGACCCGCACGTGCCCGTACTATTCCGGCCCGTGCCTCGAACCTAATAAGGGAGAGTTGCGCATAGACAAACTAGTGCTGCTCCGCCTGAGGCGGCATCCTTCACCATGCTGCCCTCATCCATGCGCCGTGTCGTCGCTGCGACGCCTCACTCACCCGCCGTTTCCTCCCTAGCCTCGTCCGTTCCGCGTGCCGCTGCCTCGTACAGCCTACCGTATAGATCGACCGGCTTTCAACAGCGCCGTTACTCCTCCTCGAAACCCTCCAGCCCGGACGATGGCTCCAAAGATTTCGCCGCTCGGCCTGTCCCCGCGTCACGAGGGTCCAAGACAGAAAAGACCAAGGGGCAAGCAAAGGCGGCGGCTCCGCAACCGCCCAGCGTCCCTAGTACAAGGCATATCGGGGATGAAGGTTCGTATTGTCACGCCTCGGTGCATGTTGCGTTAATCGACCTCCTAACATGTCGCCAGGCCTCGCCCTCTCCACCTTTTTCGCCCTGCACCGACCCATCTCGGTAACGCAGCTCATGCCGAAATCCGTGTCCGACGATACCTTTGCCCGGATATTCGCCTCGCGGAGCCGAAACAACAAAGTGGCCGACGTCCTCTCGACGCTGTCACAAACGGTATCTGACCTGGAGGAGCCCCTGTCGAAACTGAACATTGCCAACGGAGACAAGCAGCGGTCACAAGCGGCCCAAGACACGGAGGAGGGGGGCGAGAAGCTCAGCCTGAAGCATACGGACGGCTCCGAGACCCACCTGCACATCCAACTCAACCCCATGGCCGGCCAATACCTCCCCTACGCCGCGCCCCCGGCTCCCCAACCTGAAACCGAAGTCGACGCCGAGTCGGCCAACAGCGCCATCGCCGAGGAGCTCGCGGAGCAGCAGGACACACAAACGCGCGTGTACAAGGCCATGGTGACCATCGAGGAGACGGTCGACTCCAACGGGCAGCTCCAGGTGGTGGCACACACCCCGGAGCTGGTCGAGGAGGGCGCCGGGCGGCCGCGGTCTTTCCTGGAGCGCATGGCGTGGCGCCAGTTGCGGTACGATGAGGCGCGCCGCCACCAGGACCGCACCATGCAGGCCATCAGCGTGCGCCGGCAGCGCAAGCTGCGCATGAAGAAGAAGAAGTACAAGAAGCTGATGAAGAGGACGCGGAACCTGCGACGGAAGCTGGATCGCTTGTAAGGGGGTCGACCCCTGTGTGTAAATATCCCCACTACCCCCTGCCCCCAATTTTTTTACTTGCTCCTGTCTAGAGACTTGGTGTCAAGGTGTACGGTTTTACATCCAATGCATATTTTTTGGCTCTGGCTGTTTTTGAGTTCATTTTTCCATTTGCATAATCGCACATAGAGTGGGGATAACGAAGGGGAGAAGAGCACACGCATTGAGCTACGTAGGGAGGTAGACAGCTAGTCTCGACCAGGAAATGAGAACGTCTTCTGCCTACCTCGTACCCGAAAACAAAAACAACCCCCCCTTCCCCCTCCTACCCTTTCTCCATCATATCACACGATATTCTTATCCAACCACGCCGCCCACTCCTCCCCCGTCCACGCGCTCGCAATCTCCCCCGCCACCACCCCATTAAACAGCACCGTCGGCGTGACATGCACCCCCGTCAGCCTCGCCATCTTAACCGCCGTCTTCACATCCGCCGTCACCCCATTCCCCGCATTCTTCCCCCCCGGCCCATCACCATCCGACTGCTGCTGCTGCTTGACCTCCAGCAGCCGGTACACCTCTTCCTCGTCCACGCCCACGCTCTCCCGCGCCAGCCGCGCCAGCCGCCGGTAGGTCGCGTTGCGCGTCTCCTCCGCCACCGCCTCGTCGAAGTACTCCCTCTGGTGTGTGAACAGGTCGGTGATGAAGACCCAGAACCGGTCGGACACGCCGCGCAGCGTGAGCTGTTGCACGGCGAGTGCGGCCTCGTGGACCAGAGTGGAGGAGGGGTGCCAGGGCTGGATTTGCGGGCGGATGATCAGTTGGAGGCGGTTGGCGAGGTTCGGGTTGGCGCGGATGTGTGGGATGGCGGAGGTTAGGAGGGTGTTGAACATTTCTGGGTTGTGGGTTAGCCTAGGGTTTGGTTTGGTTTGGGGGGGGGGGGGGGGTGGACGGACTGGCGGAGAAGGGGCAGACGTAGTCGAGGTAGAACTCGAGCGTGTGGGGAGGCGGGTTGGATGGGGAGGTGGTGGTGGCATCGTCGGTGAAGACGAGGCGGTGGCCTTTGAACTTGGGTGGGAGGGCCATTTCGTGGTCGGATGTCCTTGGGTTGTCTTAAGTGCAGAGAAGTGTTTAGGTAGGTGCGCAGAAGCAAGTTGTAGACGGAGGTAGGTATTATTGGGGGAGATATATAAAGTTAACGACGACAGCAAGAGTGAATACGGCAATGCTCGACAGAGCTCCCTGCAATGATGCAATCAACAGCAGCTTACACGACGACAGTAAGAAATAGGTACTTTGGGTTGCATGGTAGGAACGGGTAGGTAGCCAAAGTGGGGGAGGGGAAGAGGGGCAGGTCTGCGAGTCTCCAACCGACCTCCTCCAGATAAAGTGAGAGGTGGGCTGATCACTGGCAGTTAAAATGATCCTCTGCCTTTTTTAGGATGGAAAACCTCAATGACTTAATATACAGTAAGAACCACAAATCTCGAAATCGGCCTTGTGGGAGGGAGCTAGAGGTAAGCAATCTGGAAGCCATACCTACCTATGTAAATGTGGTGACAAATAGGCAAGAGCAAAGGAGTTGTTAGCGGGTGCTTAAATCTGGCAATCTACTCCCCCTAGGTAGGTCCTTCCTCTTCCCGTTCCACTCCCTGCTCCCGAAAAACATCGTCCCCGGAAATACCACGCACAATCATCACGTTTTCGGGCAACAGTCCCTCCGAAAACGATTGCCTAACAACGTCGGGCGTCCCGGCAGCCCCGGCAGCTTCCGGTCGCTGTCCCGTGGTGGTGTCGGAAGATACTTCGGTTATTGCGTTGCTTCTGAACAACCAGGAGTCGCTCAACTCCAGATACTGCTCCCTATCCCTTTTAATCCTCGGCGTGTTCCCCTCGCCGGTGTAATCGGACGAAGTGTTCCCTTCCGTCGCCTTGCTGACCAAATAAACCCTCACAAACTTGGAGAATCCGGGCATCGAGCTGACGACGAGGGTGATATGCAGTTCAACCACACTGCGCGGGAACACCGATTAGCAGATTATCTTGACCAGCCAACCGCCTTACGGGTGTATCAAGACTCACCTGCACAATAGCACGACCGCAGCTTTCCAAGTCTTGTCTGGTGAGTTAGCCCACAGCCTGATTCTATACACCAGGGATACGGCTGTGGCGATGACGGCCCTGTATTAAATGCATCAGCAACTGCTCTCGCTCGACAACCGGTAGTTGGTTCGCCCTTACAGAAAACCTGTCGAGAATACTGCCAGCGCCTTGAGCCGCTTCTTTGTTGGCCAGCTGAGTCTAGCAACAACAGGGAGTGGCAGTAAGAACATGTACAGATCTAGGAGGAGATACATTATTGAAGTCGCTGGGGACCAAACTATAATGCGGTCGAATTTCAATGCCACATCGTCCCAGGTCTCTCCTGCCCTCGGAATGTCGTTCCAACACTGGGAGGCAAAGCTGACCATCGCAACAGCACAGGTCGCCGCCAGTCCGATACGGATGGCGATTATCATGCCGCGCTCAAGGGTGAAAATCTGGTGTAGCAGCAGGAAGATCGACGTCTTGGCCATTAACGTCGCCATTATCGTAATCAACGACCGTCCAAAACGTAACTACGGTTACGGCTTCCGGTGAGTCTCAACCTCCAACTGATCAGGGGACCGACCTACTTTGACAGTATCCCCGAGGAGCCAACAAACTGGGATATTCCACGCATGACGCGCAATACGAAGTTCTAACCACCCCATACTGTTAACAGCCGCAACTAGGAACGGATATTGGCCGGAACACTCACGGAAGAACATCAAGCTCGTCTCCGTGACAGCGAATCCGAGTCCCGCCGTACAGCAGTCTAAAAGATGTATCAGCCGCCGTGTTACCATGCAAAGGCAGCCATTGCCATGCGGGGACTCACAATCGCTCCACGCCAGTTGTGTTCTGTTTGCATACAGTCTGCCGCCTGTGGTGACGAGAGCCGACGCCATCATCACCGTACAGACGGCGACGACACCCGGGGCAAGAGTTCCAGGGTCAGAAAAGTTCGTCACCTCGCCCACGGGAGGTTTAGCCGCTGGGAGCGTACACAGGTCGATGTTAGATAAGTCGCCTACCATGCTGTTTTGGAGAAACCGTCGAGTTGGTTGAAGAGTTCGCCAGGAGGAGAACCTGGCGGCGGTGGAAGCAAGATTGACCTTGGGGAACCAAAAGACTGGGAACGAAGGGGTGATAACCCACATGCTCCTCCTTAATGCGCCATGGAAAGTCTTAGCGCAGCCATTTCTGCCTTTCTGAGAATCTCCCAAGCACTGTCGAAGATCGACCTTATCTCCAGGGAGGCTTCGCTTTTGTTTGTCTTCCAGTTCTTAGGCTGCTCAAAGTGTGGCTCCCGAGAAATCATGACGACTCGGGGGCACTTTGCACTTTCAAGAAGTGGCGGTTCTGAACCACTTACGGCGTTGTCCTGCCCGCCACATGCCGGTATTGTTTGCCCTCCTAGCCTTGTTTAGCAGCGAGGGCTGAAACAAGGGATAGGGGGTGCCACGTTCGGTTCTCTCGGCGTCATAATGTGCTTTTCTTCTGCTACCCCCGGTTGACGACCGGGACCGTCCGGGCTAGGGTCCCCGTGGCCCTTCATGCTGCGAGGGAAGATACAGAGTGGCCACAGAGAGTTGCTCACTTGGCGTCCTGAACACTTACGTACCCTTTTTGGCGTTGCCTAGGCGCATGCGTCCTGGACAGTGCGACGAGAGTACCGATACGCTGGCGAAAAGCCGTTTTTTCTGCCTCCACCCTCTTCAAGGATTACTCTCAACGCTTTTCGAACATCCGGCCATTTGGGGCAATGCGTGCGAGTAGAAGAAGGTTCTTCTATCAGGGTTTAATTTTCCGTCACAATTCGTGTGAGACGTAGGCTGCACTTGTGTGTTGCGCTCGGCCATCCAGAACTCTTTACATGGTAATCTCTGAATACAAGCCCCTGAGACAAAGACATTGTTTGCATAAACTACAAGAGAGAGTGAACACTGCAGTACGAAATGTCGGTACATTATTTTAGACTTACATAATTCAGGCAAGCTCCCCAACCCAATCCTGTTTCATAGGATAGGAGTCATCTCAACCCCTTACCACCAAGATGTGTCCCCATCTAACCACGGCCGGCTGTTCTGAAGTGCAGACCTGAACCCATCATGGGCTCTGTCTATTACGAGCGTTACTTCCAACCCCCCGCCACCGAGCCGAAGATCCATCGTCCTTATCCTCATCTTCGCGATACAGAGTAGGACTCCAGCCGTCGTCCGAATCGTACTCTTCACGGGTCGGGGCTAGGTTGAGGTTAAGGTACCCCTCAGCTTTCAGTTGGTTGAAGCCGGCAACCCGCTGCTTCTGCTGTTGCCGCTTGCCCCATGGCCAGGCCATTGAGAGCCAACTGCCCATGCTGGGAATGGCTGGGGGGACCTTGGCTAGCTTCACCTGCTGCCATGCCTTGATACTCGCAATGCTATTCATGTTTTACTTTTCGTTGGAACTATTTCGAATGTTATCGGAACTTACGGATTTGGTTTTAGAACAACGATGACTCGGTCACAGAGATAAAATTCTTCTTGCACTGTGAGGCCAGGATGGACATGCTGCTTACTTATGTATATCTGTCGTAGAGAACGAAACCGGTCTATAAAGTGGGAGTGTCAGCGGACAAAGCATTATGGTTGAAACAGGCGGGTTGAGTGTTGCTTGTCTCATTTTCTTTGTGGTTGTGCCCTAGACAGTCTTCAACTCGACGCAGGTTTGGGCACCGGGTCTGGACCAAAACAAACGATGGTATGCTTTTTGGGTCGGGACAACTCAAAACTCAAACTTGTCTCAGTATTGTGGCTGTAGGCCAGCCCCTACATCACCGACTCCCACGTCCCCGTCTCACAAAAGGGGGTTGATTAAGTCGAGGACATCCGGTCTCCATTAACCAGAGAAGAATACAAACTATTATTACCAACCCCTTTGAACTCAGCAAGCTCCTGCCATAAACCATACCATCAGGCATCCAAGACCCATGGGTTCTCAAAAAATACTACCAACCATCACCACGCGTAACCGTCACCGTCTCAAACGTGCCGGGCACAGTCAAGGTAACGGTATCCGTCTCGACCACCACTTCCCCGCCCGTCGTCGTCGTCGCCGCCCCAGTCTCCTCTCCCGAAGAAGAAGAAGAAGAAGAAGACTGGACAACACCAGAAGAAGAAGAAGATCTAACAACACTCGAAGAAAAAGAAGACGACCCCCCACCGCCCATATTACAAACAACCCCATTCAACACCCCCGCCTCCATCCCCACCCTCCTACACAACCCCCCATCCCCATCCCGCTGCATATCCATCGGCGGGTCGAGGTAGTAGTAAAACCTGCCTGTGTTGCTGCTGCTGCTGCTGCTGCTGCTGCTGTCGTCGGCAGCCAGGTCGGCGGGGCACGCCCAGAAGTCGCGGCGCGTGGCGTTGTAGACCAGGTGGCCGTAGCCGTCGAGCGCGAAGAGCGGGGCGGGGTAGGCCGGGGGTTGGAGGGAGCAGACTAGGACTGTGGAGGGTTCTTGGGGGGGGGGGGTGGGTTGGTTAACGGGCTGGTTGGGACTTTGTTGGGGGGGGGGGGGGGGGGGGGGGGTGAGTTGTGGTGTGGGATGGGAGGGAATAGGAATAGGCTCTGGGGTGGTGATGGGGTGAAAGAGAGAGAGAGATGGTGGGTAGGGGAGTGCTTACCGGGCCACCAACACCCTCGCAGGCCGGTGTCGTATAGTCCTCCGCCTCTAAGACGAAAGATGGTGCCCGAGGCTTCGGCTGACGAGTCCTGGGCCTTTGGAGTGCCCACAACCTGACCACCCTCTATCTGTCCGAGGATGCTGCCGTCCGAAACGAGGCTGAAGATGCAGTTTTGAAAAGTGTCTTGAGCTAGGAGCAGGACTGCCCAGCCACTGAGAAGGGTAAGTGTGGCGAGAAGGCCGGCCATCTTACGGTATGTGAGAGTGAGTGGCAGCTGAAGGTTATTGGAGATTAATCCTGGGATATATGACTTGGTAAAGAGTGAAGTCAGGTCCCTTCATATGTTCATATGTTTAGAACCCTTGAATGGGCCGCGCTCTTCTTAATAACAGGGTAACGTCATAACCTCCAATCTTGCTGGCAGTACTGGCATGGTAGAAGCGGATGGCTTTTGGCCGCCAGTGCACCCGAGCGCTGAGGCAACGAGCCAAACGATCGGACTTGCAGCTCGCGGGTTCCATCCGTCAACGACTCGTACCTGGACACTGCAACGGAGCCGACGATGAGATGCCATTTGTGATACCTGAATCGAGTCCATCAACTTGTGTAACTGGCTGGTGGTATTCGGATCAGAAGCCAGGCTCATCGACCATCAGTAGCGTGGCAGCCTTACCTCCGAAGTCCGCGGATGATGACACGGCGAGCCGAGATTGTCTCCATGCCGGAAAACAAGACAACCACTCTGGCGCGCACGACATATCGGAGTGCCCACGGAGTTTAGAGAAATTGTGTGCAACTTCGTGATTTCATTTCTTCGCCATCGGCGAGAGGACTACCTAGCCTTTCTCCTCTTCTTCTGGACTGGTGGATCTGCCTCATCTTCCGACGGGAGGACATCACTTGCGCCCTCGATGTCAAGGTCGGACTCAGCGTCCTCCCCTCCACTCCCCGCTTCCGAGCCATCATCATCCTCGGAGCCTTCCTCCTCTTCATCACTTGAGTCGTCCAGGGGTATCATATCTTCCGCACCTTCCGTCTGAGCATTGACCGTCTCAGGTCCATCTTCTTGCTCAGAATCACTGTCACTTGAGAAGCCGGAGAAGTTCTCGTCCTCTTCCTCCTCATCGTCTTCCTCGGCTGCCACGGTCGAGCCAGCTAATGAAGTCTCGGCAGCGGTCTCCTCCCCATCACGTTTCCGCTTGAGGGGCATCTCACCGAGCCGCCCCTGCCTGCCCTCAATGACAGCGTCGTCACCTCCCTCCATCGCCGGGGCAGGCGTGAACCAGGGGATTTTGCCGCGCATGAAGTCATTGAGAACCATCTTTGCGACGCTATCGACATCTGGCTCGCCGCCCTTGAGCAGCCTACCAGATTTCCTGGCCATGAGTTCGAGGAACTCAATGTGGTCTTTCCAGCCCTTGAGCTCGTATGTCCTCTCCATGTGATGCAGCTTGACTTTATTCAAGACAGCAGGAATGTATTGTTCCGGATGCTCCACGTTCTCAACGCGGACAACACCACGGAGGAGGAGATCCTGCGGGGTATCGTTGTGGTTTGGTGGGACAATACCCGGGCAGTCGATGAGATAGATCCTCTTCATGAGTGTGACATATTGCCAGACTTTGGTTTCACCGGGAATGGGTGCGACCTTGGCGACCGCCTTGCCACGGAGGGCGTTAATAATGCTCGACTTGCCGACATTCGGGTAACCGATCAGGCCGACACTGATCTGTTTCCGGTCTTTGTGGAGAATGCTGAACTGCCGTAGAAGATCGATCAAGGAACCACGCCCGAAGGGGTTCTTGATGCTCGATCTCATGGCGCAGGTGGGGTGGTCTTTCTGAAGCACTCGAATCCAAGCGGCCTACACCAGTCAGCATATATCGACATAAATTGTCTGATGCACGGTATTGAGATGTGTGAATCATCACTAAGAAGACAGCCATGTGCCATCCGAATGGATAGTGGCGGCCTTCAACTCGTATGGAACACGTCCGGTATCCGGCGATAGAACCCCAAAACGGCGCCTATCAATCCCCGATCTGATGACCAGACCAGGGAAGTTGGAAGTGGAGATCACTCTCCCAGGGACGTAACGGATTTCTCCCATTTAAGCATAAATAATGCGAAAGGATCCTGACTAAAGCCCTGGGGCCAGGAAAAACCTGACGGGGGTGCGGGAACGGGGAGATGATAGAAGGGCGCTTACCGCTGTGCTCGAGGGGACGAGGTCAATTTTGTTCAATACAAAAACAAGATGTTTGTGAGGGGCTTCCGTCCTGAGATATTTCTCGACATGGCGACTGTGGGGATAAGTTAGTACCTGTCCGGATAGGGGTGGTTCAATGGGTGTTCGCATACCATCTTGTTCCTAACGGATCCCGCGCATCTATTACATGGAGAATTACGTCTGACGAATCCATCACCTTGTCTGGGAGGCTGTTAGCAAATGTCCCTGGGAAACGGCACCCATAAAAACTCACAGAGCTCGTTCCAAATACGCTTGGACTGGCCCTTGCTGAAGATGGCCTCCTTCGCCGTCGCCACACTGAAGTCCTCCTCCACCAGCTCGTCGTCGTCCATCACTATCGACCCCGCAGTACCGTTGAGTAGCTTGAGCTGCTCCCGACGGGCTTGGTACGAGTCGAAGCTCTGCTCGGTGTAGCCCGCAAGCTCGTCGACGGTGTTGAAGCTAAGCTTCGGTCGTTTCCTCTGGGCCTTGGGCCCGAAGGTCTCTGAGAAGGGCTCGCTCTCGATGGTCATCTTCGCCTGGTGCTTCTTCAACCCGTCCTGTAGGCTGGGCCCATCCCGAATCAAGCTCATGGGAAGCTTGTTGCTCTTCAGCAGGACCGAGTAGGGGTCCTTTTCCTTCTCAGCGATCGCCTCCCGGAACGACTTGAGCGTGTCTTGCGAGATGACTCGGGTGTTGGTGAACCACCTCCTGTTCGGCTCGACAACGGCTTTGGGGATCTCCCGGCTCTGGTAGGAGGCGGCCTGGACGATCTTGCCCTCTTTGTTCCGAGTGGCCTTTCCATCCTTGTACATGTTCAGGGTCTTGACCTTTTTGGCGGTGCGATAGAAGTTCTCGCCCTTGACCTTGGGGTCGCCCGTCACCTTCCCCTGCCGCTCAATGCGGGACCGCTCCTTCTTGCCTATACATGTGTCAGCTGCGATTGGACTCGAATGGAACACGAGGGGGGTGTCGAGGTCGAGGGAGAGTGCTTACCGGTACCCATCTTGGCAATTGTTCGGCGTCAACGACTAGGAACAATTGAAAAATAAGAGAATTCCCCGCCTGCGAAGAGAAGAATGCAGCGGTCTTCCACGGGGAAAGGTGTGGTGGAAGACAAGGAGGAAAAAGGATGAGAAGAACAGGGACGGAGCGCGAAGCAAGCCAAATGAAGGTTTTTGGCGGGGTGGAGCTCCGAAGTCTCTTCGCGATAAAATTTGGCGGTGAATCACGGCGCAATGGCACAGGGCAGGCTGCGCTATTCCCGAATCAGCTTAGCGTCACCCTTCCCCATGCCCAGCGTCGACAAATTCCAACTCCTCGATTCCGTATCCCGCTTGCTGCGAATCTCGAATTTCGAATCTCAGCCTCGACTCCCCCACCATCCCGCCCGGAAGCCCAATCCTGCTCGCGGGCGGAATTGCACCCTCATCGACAACAACAATGGCGTCTCCACTCTCCCGGCCGTCAATATGCGGTCTCCAAGCGGCCCTCTCCACGTGCCGCATCTCAACGACAACCACGAAGGCGACGACCACGACGACAGCTAAGACACGCACATCACCATGGCGAGCAGCATTCAGCACCACCCCCCGCATCTCGCAGATCGCCGCCGTCCCCCCCGAATCCCCGCGCTTCATCACCGTCCCGGAGCCCCCGCAGTCGTCGGAGCCCAAGCTGCCCCCGATCAAGGGCCACCTGCCGGTGCCGCGGGACATGTTCCGGTCGCGGGAGGGCGACCGCAAGGTGCAGCGGGCCTACATCAAGGCGGCGACGCCGGTGTCCAAGGCGGAGCGGGCGGGCGAGGCGCCGCGGTCGGCCGAGGAGGCGCGGCACCGCGTGTTCGCGGCGGCGCGGCGCAGCGCGCTGGCGACGGGCGTGCGCGGGCTCTACCAGCGCAAGACGGAGCGCGACCGGCGCGCGCACGAGCGGGCCGAGGCGCGCAGGCAGGCGAACCTGGACGCGGCGACGGCACCCGAGGGGCTGGACGACGTGCTCACGCGGCCGACGGTGCTGGCGGCGACGGCGCTCGTGACCAAGGTGGAGCAGGACCCGGAGCGGTTCGCCCGGGCCGAGGCCGCGCGCGCCCAGCACGAGGAGCGGCTGGCTGTCAAGGCGGAGGCGCGCCGTGATGCGCTGGCGCAGCTGTATGTGGCGGCCCAGGGGTTTATCATTGATGAGGCGGAGTTGGAGGCCCGCATCGAGGCTATCTTCACGGCCGATCACCACCGCATCGGCGGCAGCAACCGCGGGCAGAGCATTTGGGACCTGGACGCCGCGCCCGTCAGCGTGGCCGACCTGCAGACCGCCATGTCGGGCCAGTCGACCAGGGCCATCGATGCCAACACGACGAGCGCGGTCAAGACCACCAAGAGGCAGAAGTCTGTGGCGGAGGAGTTGACGGGTGGCAAGTTGTAGGAAGAGAAGGATAGTTAGGGGCATTGCTGTTGTTGGCTTCATCGCCAATGTATCAAACCGTGTAACGGCATGTACAAATAAAAACAAACGGGGCCGGGGAAGGCTTTCCAGCTATATGCATTTCAAATGTTGTTCTACATGGAGACTATGTACGATGTATGTTGGGGGTTGATATGTAAGTGCGTGGTGCACGATGGAGGCTCCGTCAAACGCCGAAATCCCGCGACCCGATCCCGAGTTCAATTGCAAAAACAAGACACAAGGAAACATCCACTTCTCTCTCTTCCTCTCGCACACATCCCGGGCAACCAGCGCACTAAAAAACAACACAGTATCCCCTTGTACTGTGTCCTAAAACTAGCATCATAACCGACTCCCCTAAATCAGCGCCTCTCGACAAGCAATACATGCATCGCGCCATAGGCCAGCACAATAAACACAGCCCCAAAGATTCCCAGGTTGAGGATATCCGGCCACATCGCCTGGTTATCAAAGCCAAATGAGCTGAGGATGGCCGCACCGGGCACGGTGATATCAATGCCGATCTTGTGATCGATCAGGGTCAGCTGGGTGACCTCATTGACAATGAGGGCCTCAAAACCATAATGGAAGATGGACAGCCACTGCAGCCAGCGCGCGGCGGGCGGGATGGCGTTGTGGTTGAGCAGCAAGCCGGCAAAGAGCAAGCTGAACAGCATGACCAGGCTCCCGATGAGATTGGCGACGCCACCGTCCTTGCAGACGATGCCGATGAAGAGGCAGATGGCGGCGGCGGCGAGGTTGAACAGCACGAGCACGAGCATGAAGACCAAGAACTTGTCCGCCTCCGGCACGAGGCCTGTCATGGGGTAGACGATGGCCCCGAGCAGGATCGGCGGGATGATGCGCAACGGCACAATGTCGAACAGCACCTTCGCCGCAAAGTACGTGACGGGCGAGTAATAGCCGTTGGCGCGCTCGCGGACGAAGAGCAGGCGCTCCTGGGAGAAGACGGAGAGGGTTGTTAGGGTGCTGAAGCCGAAGAGGGCGAGGACGAAGAAGAAGAGGCCGAGGCGGTTCTGGAAGCCAGCAATATCCATGGACAGGCCATAAAACAGGTAGCCGGCGAAGACGGCCAATAGGATAGCGATGGCGTAGTGCGTCAACATCAGCATCGGGTTGCGGTACAGGTTGCGCCAGGTTCGCTGGGAGAGCAGGGCGAACTGCCTCCAGTAGCCGACGCGCGCGTACCCTCTGCCCATGGCACCGAGGTTGGCGTTGGGGCCGTCGGCGGCGTATCCGTTAGAATTTTGGCCGTTGCTGTTGGTTGCTGCCGTGATGGCTTGTTGAATCTCGTCGTGCGTGTTGCCGGCGATATCGGACTGGATGTAAGAGTGCACGAGGATATCGAGGTCGGTGCCCGTGGGAGCGGGAGGAGGCAGGTCGTCGTGCTCGTCTTGGTTGTGCGGTGGAACGCGATGGGGGGTCTGTTGCAGTTTGTAAGCCCCAAGCTCGTCACCAGCATCCGAGGAGGCGGCAGTATCTACCGGTTGCTTGCGGCGAGTGTAGAGCTCTCTCTCCTGCTTGGTTCGCACAGAGTCCCGACGCCTACTCTTCGGGCGAGAAGAGGACGGTGCTTCAATCGTGCTGTCGTCTCCGACACTGACACCAGAAATGCTCGCAATCGACTTGACCGCCCTGGTGCTGCTAGGACCAACGCTCGCCACGTCTGCCGTGAGGGTGCCGTCGTCGAAAGAAGTGGTGGAGCTAGCATGCATGGTTAAGTCGACGAGGTAGTCCGCAATATTAAAACCGGGAGGGCAGCTGTATCCGATATGGTCGAAGTAATCCTGGCATTGATGCAACGGGCCGGAATAGACAGTCTTTCCCTGAGCCAGCAGGACAAGGCGGTCGAAGAGCGCAACGATATTAGATCTGGGCTGATGAATCGTGAAGATGACGGTGCGCTTGTAGGTCTTGGCCAGCGTGACGAGACATTCAATGACATTGTAGGCGTTGTACGCATCGAGGCCGCTCGTGGGTTCGTCGAGGAAGAGGATGGAGGGGCTGGTGACGAGTTCGCAAGCAATGCTGACACGGCGCTTCTCACCTCCCGAAATGCCACGTCCCTTGCCCTCTTCGGATCCGATCAATGAGTCTCGGATGTGGTAGATACCTAGCTGCTTCTCGACTTCAAAGACTCGTTGCTCCTTTGCCGCCCGCGTCATGTCCCGTGGTAGGCGAAGAAGAGCGCTGGTGAGGATGGTCTCGTGGACTGTCAAGGTGGGGAGCATCGTATCTTCCTGGTCGACGAAGCCAGTGGCATTTTTGTAATCCGTGTCGCTGACCTTCTCGCCGTTGACATAGAATTCTCCAGAGACCTGACCGCGCTTGTTCTTGCGAGCAAGAATATCCAGGAAGGTCGTCTTGCCCGCACCAGATGCGCCCATGATGGCAGTAAGTTCACCGGGGTGCGCCATGCCCTGGATACCCGACAGGATTTCCTTGCCGTTGAGGTTGTAGCGGACGTTTTGGAAGTACAGGGATGCCGGCTTATGGTCCGCCATGAGCTTGATCGCTTCGTCGTCCGAGTCGTCCAGGTGGATGGGGCCATACTTGAACTGCCTCCGGGACAAGTACCAAGTTCCGAGGATGACGGCCACCAAGAAGAGCGAGCACCCGGCAATCACTCCCGCGATCAGTGGCGTGTTGATCTTGGGGACGTCGGGCGCGAATCCGGGAACTTCGGTGTGGTACAAACACTCTCCGGCACCACAGGTCAGCAGGATGCTGGTGTCGCCGAACATGTCGCTGATCAACTTGTTCATCTCCGGCTCTTCGAACGCGCATTTCTTCGGTTCCCCAGCTTGCTGTGTACACTCGAACTTCGCAGGGCCGCGGATCACCTTGACGAGGAACTCGGTGAGATCGACCGAGTCGTTCGCGCCGCACAGCATGCGGTCGGGGATGCACTCGCAGCGGACCTCCTCGCACTTGTAGGATGTTGAGTTTTTGCCTCCGGAGTAGTCGAAATCGGCGCTCGACTGGCATTCGTTCAGGTGGCACATGAAGGACTCCTGCTCATCGACCCAGACTGCAACATGTGAGAGGAGGGAAGATGCACGGTTTGGGATTTAGACTTACACTGAAAGTCGCATTGCCCTGACTCCTTTTCGCAAGTGAAAGTGACCTGGGGTACCTGGGCGCCGAGGAGTCCCCGGATGGCCCTATTCGTGACATCGCACATCTGGTAATTCCGCTTCACCACCTCGCCGCCAGTGTAGCAGACGCCGCCGTCGCCTGTCTCGGTCATGGCATCGCATGCTCGGTCGCTTGTGCACATGTTGCAGTTGATGCCCGTCCATCCTTCGTCGCATTTGCAGGAGTTGCCCTGTCGCGCTGGGCGGTTTTGGCCTCGGGATAGGGATCCGCATACTGTGTCATGTTGTGAGCTTGGCTCCTCGGCCAACACTAGATCGGGGGAAGGTTTCGCGTACGAGGCTCTAGACAGTTATCGCCGCCAAACCCCGCGGGGCAGTCGCATTTGCCGTCGTAACCGTTGCACGGGGCGAATTGGCCGCATGTGTTGATGGGGAGGTTGCAGTTAAAGCTGGTAGACGACAACCATCATCAGCCACGGAAGAGCCACGCGGGGGAGAAGACCCAGAGTCATACCATGGAGGGCAGTCCTTCGGCCGGCCTGCCATTAAGGCCATTTGCGCCTGCATCATGTCGGCAGATGAGTAGCCGTTGGAGGCGGAGGCTGAAACAACGCATGATAGCGATAGCGATAGACCCGCCAGAGCGAACACACGCGGTAGCCGGAACGCCATGATGGCGGTGGTCGTCGATTATCGCCGATAGAGAAGGTCTCGTCGACGCAACTGGCTGATGGAAGAGGGGAGAACGGAAGCTTGCCGATGGACAGCCGAGAAGCTGGGCGGATCGGTGAGGGCTGTGCCAGAAGGCTGCGTGTAACCAACCTACCCCACGACTCAACGGGCTCAACAGGCCAACGGCCCAGGCCAAGGACGAACCCCCAACCTCTGGTCGCACTCTCACCGCGAAACTCAGGCCACACCTGGCGACAAGTTTAGTGGCCGATTGAGTCGAACTGCAATTGTGACTAAAGAATGTGCTTGACCGAGATCAAAGCGGTAAATAAACAAGACGAGAAGGGGAGAAGTAAAGAAACGCAAGAGTGGTAGCCTTGGATGGCGGCTGGGGAACAGGCGGAGGTCCAGTTCCCCGATGATGTCGCTGTGGAGCAGCGGAGCACGCACTGCAAGGCCTGGGTCAGGGGTGCATGTGGACATTGAATGCGTGGCTGGAGGGTGGACGGAAGTGGATGCATCTGATCAAATGGAAGGGTTTGGTTGGATGGAAAATGATGGGAAGGACTTGGCCGCACAGCCACGAATTGGAGCGAAACCTGGGGTGAGACACCGCTGACATTGCGCAGGTTGTTGAGTGTCTCGGGTGCCACACAACGGCCCGGTTTGATGGTAGGAAACTAATCTGGAGACTGATGATGGCTTCACCATACAAATGAAAATCAAATAGCAAGGTAATGTAGAAAAGAGAAAGGCTGTGGAAATTTTGACCAACCACTTACTATCATTAGGAAATATTTATTTTATTACCTTATGTAAATGTGTGGATTTGACTGACATTTGGATGTTGTCTGGAGGGCGCACGCCTGGCCGACGGTTGCCGACCCCACCCCCTCCTTTGGTAAACTGTTATAAAACGAGAGACGGCATCTCAGTTGGAAGACTATTCGATATTGGCTAGTAAACATATAAATTCACTTTTAACTTGCCCAACTTATCAAGATGGTCAAAATCGAACCCTTCGAGGTCGAGCAATGGATGGACCGCCTCGAGACCACTCCGGGGGTTCTCAACATCGCCGAGACATGTGCCGCCTCAGTCTCCGTCGATGACCTGGTGCGGATGTGCGAGGACAAGGATGCGCCGGGCCCCCTCTCGCTCTCCAACAAGCTCACATACGGCGCCATCCGCGGCTCTGAGACGCTACGTCAACGCGTTGCCGCCCTCTATGACCGGGCATCCGATGCCGAGCCGCTCCCGGCTGAGAACGTTATCATCACGCAGGGAGCCATCGCCGCCAACTTCTTAACCTTCTACACGCTAGTAGGCCCCGGCGACCATGTCATCTGCGTGTATCCCACTTACCAGCAACTGTACTCGGTCCCGGAGAGCCTGGGGGCTGAGGTGTCGTTGTGGAAGTTGAAGAGGGAGAACGGATACGTACCGGATGTGGCAGAACTGGAAAGGTTAGTCAGAAACAACACCAAGGTATGTGCACTCCCTCCGCCCTCCACGACGGACCCGCCACGTTAACAACAACACATCAGCTGATCGTGATCAACAACCCCAACAACCCAATGGGAAGCACCATCCCCTCCCCAACCCTCGCCCAGATCGTAGCCTTCGCCAAGCAACGCGATATCACCATCCTCTCCGACGAAGTCTACAGCCCCCTCTACCACTCCCTCCCGGCCGGCCAAGACGCGCCCCCCTCCATCCTGGCCTTCGGTTACGACAAGACCATCGCCACAGGCTCCATGTCCAAAGCCTTCGCGCTCGCCGGCATCCGCACGGGCTGGATCGCGGCACGCGACCGGCGCATCGTCGACGCCGCGGCCGCCGCGCGCGACTACACGACCATCAGCGTGTCGCAGCTGGACGACCAGGTTGCCAGCTACGCGCTGTCGGCGCCCGTCGTGCGCCCGCTGCTGGCGCGCAACACGGCGCTGGCGCGGCACAACCTGCGCCTGCTCGGCGCGTTCGTCGATAAGTACCCTGCGGTGTGCGCGTGGGTGCGCCCGACGGCGGGCACGACCGCTCTTGTGCAGTTTTGTAGGGGAGGGGTGCCGGTGGATGACGCGGGTTTGGTGATGGATGTGTTGGGGAAGACCAAGGTGCTGTTTATGCCTGCGAGTCCTTGCTTTGGGTTGGGGAAGGACTTCAAGGGGTTTGTGAGGCTGGGGTATGTGTGTGAGACGGAGGTGCTGATGGAGGGGTTGGAGAAGCTGGGGCGGTATATCGAGGAATATTTGATGGTGGATGGGGGAAACTGAGTGAGGAATTGAGGAATTGAGGTTAGTTAGCTAGCATGGCCAAGAGAAATCCGGGTTTGCGGGTTTTGAGGGTTTTGCGCTTTCGTCTGAATTGTGCCGATTCCCTCCTCGTTGGCGAGGAAAGCATGAATCAGCCCCGGGAACGGAGCTTAACCGCGATAGTTCTCGTTCAAGGAAAGTCGCTCATCGCTGCTATAAGTGGTGCCCCAGCCGCCGAGTTCAAGGGTTTCACATTGCGCATTGTTTCAGCGCCAGAGCAACAATTCAATTCATCGTCCGTCAAACCCGCCAAGCCCCTGTTTTCAAGCACTTTCTCCGCACTAGCCAAGTAAAGCTTAGCTTTTACCTCTGGTAATCCCCGGGCCGTCTCCGTGAGTAACATGACATCAGGCAGGGACACTCCCTGATGCGGCAGCTGCGGGCAGTCACACAATCGGGCCTGTTCCCTTTCCGTTTCTGTGGCGAGTCGGCCATCCATCACCAATGCTGAGCCGGACGCGCACTCACTCAGCCCCATCGGCCACCTCAGACTTCGCTCGTTTCAACCGATTCCATGCCTTGATCTTCTTTTAGAGACGGACTTGCTTCCATCCGCCCTCTTCTCTTCGAGCGGCTCGCTCTCTCTTTTAGCCATCGAGAGGATTGCAGGCTGGTGACGATTTCATGTAGTATTCTGTCCGGATTTGTCATTCTCGTCTCTTCCGCTTCGTCTCTCGCTGAGAGCTGACACAACGTACTCACACGCGCCCTGCTCACCGGGCCTCGCCTTGGGCCGTCTTTGTCCCCCATTTCGCACCGATTACCTGATCCGGGCCTTGGCGGTCGTACCGTGTTCCTGTTGATCAGTGCATTCATTTAATAGTTAACCAGGCTCTCGGGGACTGAGCATCTGCCGATCTCGTCAATCAACTCCAAATTATTTCACAACAGTCGACCCTCGCAAGTATGAAAGGGTCTGATGCCGTGGCTTTGGGCGCGCTGCTCGCCGGAGTCGTCCAGGCATCTGCTGGCAATGGTGTTGTTCAATGGGACATCCAAAGAACGCAGCGACAGGAGGAATTCAAGAGGTTGAGGAAACGCGCCGACACCTTCGAGGAGGTTGTCACAAACGAGAAGGCAAGAGGAGGGTATTTCGCCACCTGCAGATTGGGGACGCCGGGGCAGAACCTGACGCTCCAGTTGGATACTGGGAGCAGCGACACCTGGGTGCCGCATTCCGACGCTCAAGTGTGCAGGGAGGTTAGCAGTGGAGGCTGTACACTGGGAACCTGTATGGCGCCCTGCCAACATTTTGGAAGAGCTAGAATTCGCTGACGCCGTGATTAGTTAACTCCGAGGAGTCGACCTCGTTTGAGGTAGTCGGAGAAGACCAATTCGACATCGAGTATGTGGATGGCAGCTCCTCGAAGGGTGATTACTTCACCGATGTCTTCGAGATCGGTGGCGCCACTTTGCAAAACTTGACCATGGGGCTCGGTCGCCGTACTGATATCGCATACGGGCTGGTCGGTGTGGGTTACGCCGTCAACGAGGCGATCGTGGGGACCACCCAGTCGCTTTCATCCGTCTACCCTAACCTTCCGGTCGACATGGTCAATGAGGGTTTGATCAACACGGTCGCTTACAGCTTGTGGCTGAACGATCTGGGTACGTTGATGTCGACGCACCGCAGGCTGTTCTCCATGCTAACGGTTCCTAGACGCTAGCTCGGGCAACATCCTCTTTGGTGGAATCGACACCGAGAAGTATCAGGGAGAGTTGACGAGGATCGATGTCTACCCCACCCAACCGGATATTTACTCGGCGTTCCTGGTCGCTTTCACCTCTTTGGACGCCGTTAGTCCTAGTGGCCAGGACAGGCTGACATCGGAAGATTTTCCTGTTCCTGTGGTCTTGGACTCCGGCACCACCTTGTCGTATCTGCCGACCGACCTGGCCAGTCAAGTCTGGAGGGAAGTCGGCGCCATCTATTCCCCCGAGGTCGGAGTGGCCGTGATTCCCTGCAACATGCAAAACAGCAAGGGATACTTCTCCTTCGGCTTTGCTGGCCCGAGCGGTCCCCGGATCAACGTCACCATGGACGAGTTGGTCCTCGACCTGACCTCGGGACGCCCGCCAACCTTCCTCACCGGCCAATACGAGGGGCTAGACGTGTGCCAGTTCGGCATCCAGAACTTCACCTCGGCGCCCTACCTGCTGGGGGACACCTTCCTCCGCTCGGCGTACGTAGTCTACGACTTGGTCAACAACCAGATCGGTATCGCTGCCACCGACTTTAACTCAACCGACAGCAACATCGTGGCGTTTCCCAGCATGAGTGCGCCCATCCCGTCTGCGACGGTGGCACCTGACCAGAGCGAGGTCACTGATATCCCGGCTGTGACGTCCCCGGCGTTTGCGGCTAGCCCAGGATTCATGGAGGGTATGGGTGTAGGCGAGAGCGCGGCGCCGGGCATGCCGGCGGCCTGGGGGACGGGCCAGATCATGATCGTGGGTGCCACCATGATGTTGACGGCGCTTGGATCGGGGTTATTCGTTACATTTTAAGCCACCGTATTCATATATGCGGATCTGGTCAGCCGGGGATCTATATCGGGCATTACAGATTATAGACGTGGGAGTGCTGGCATTGACGGGAGGTGGTTTCGTTAGTTATTCTTCTTGTAATTTACGGAAACAATATTTCAGCCCAGGGAAAACAGTCTACTTGATGAAGGTATAACTAACTACCTTAACTATTGCGCCCAAAACGTTTTGCTGTGAATTGGATCTCCAACCAAACCTCCATACCTATGTTGCAAGACTTTGGCATGAACTCCCCGCACTCAGGGCTGCTGGCATGCAGCGGGATGGAATGGCTGAATTAGTGGTGCTGGGGCGCTGAGTGGGATGCTGGGATCGGGCCCACAATAAAAAATCGCGAGCTGGGATGCCGAGAAGCATCAAGTCCACCCAAATTCCGTTTCTCGGATGGTTCCTCAACCTTTGGAACCACCCTCGTTTCACCCCTCATTTCTTTAGTCCGCTTTTGTCTTTTTGTCAAGATGCGGGTGATACGGGCTGCGGCTGCGCTCAACAGCAGCTGCGCTGCTGGTTCCAGGCAGGGAGCCCGCTATGCGAGTTTGGCATGTCGCACTGCCCTCACTTCTTCCCCTCTGGCACCATGCTACAGTGCCCGGTTGAGTGGTCTTCGATATTTCAGCAGGACTCCTGTCTCCAGGGCCACTAGCGCCGCTGAGGCTGCGTATGTTTCCCTTTTCCCAAGCTTGGTTTAGACAATTGGGCTTCGGGAGGCTGACAGAACTCTTTAAAGGCTGAAGCAGGCCAAGGAACTTGCTGCCGCGAACATGACCCCCGAAGCCGCCGCCGCCCGCATGACCCCCGAGGAGGCCAAGAGGTTGTCCATGGTTCGGAACATTGGTATTGCAGTACGTGTGGACACGGAGTACATGGCGTAGAGTTGGGGCCTAGAAACTGAGCAGCTTGAAATAGGCCCACATCGACAGCGGCAAGACCACCGTGAGCGAACGCATCCTCTTCTACACCGGCCGGACAAAGGCGATCCACGAAGTCAGGGGCCGCGATGGCGTCGGCGCCAAGATGGACTCCATGGAACTCGAGAGGGAGCGTGGTATCACCATCCAGTCCGCCGCCACCTTTGCCGACTGGAAGAAGGTCGAGAACGGCGTCGAGGAGACGTACCACTTCAACTTGATCGACACACCCGGCCATATCGACTTCACTATCGAGGTCGAGCGCGCCATGAGAGTGCTGGACGGTGCCGTCATGGTCCTGTGCGCGGTCAGCGGTGTGCAGAGTCAGACCATCACTGTCGACAGGCAGATGAAGCGGTATAACGTCCCCCGCATCAGCTTTGTCAACAAGATGGACCGCATGGGCTCGAACCCGTTCAAGGCCGTCGAGATGATCAACTCGAAGCTCAAGATACCCGCCGCTGCCGTGCAGATCCCGATCGGTTCCGAGAAGGAATTCGAAGGTGTCGTCGACCTGATCCACATGAGGTCGATCCGGAACGACGGTCTCCGTGGTACCAACGTCAAGGTTTCGAATACGGTACCGGAGAACCTCAGGGAACTAGCGGAGCAGAAGAGGCAGGAGCTGATTGAGAAATTGGCCGACGTCGATGATGAGATCGCCGAGATGTTCCTTGAAGAGCAGACCCCTACCCCTGAGCAGATCAAGGCCGCCATCCGCAGGGCGACTATCAGCCTCAAGTTCACCCCTGTTCTGATGGGCTCTGCCCTTGCCGACAAGTCTGTTCAGCCCATGCTGGATGCTGTCTGCGACTACCTCCCGAACCCCGGCAACGTCGATAACCTCGCCCTCGACCGATCCAAGAAGGAAGAGCCCGTGAAGCTTCTGCCGTACGACTCGCTTCCGTTTGTCGGCCTGGCGTTCAAGCTCGAAGAGAACCCCTACGGCCAGCTTACCTACATTCGCGTCTACCAAGGTACCTTGAGGAAGGGCCAGTACCTCTTCAATGCACGCAACGACAAGAAGGTGCGCATTCCCCGTATCGTGCGCATGCACTCGAACGAGATGGAGGACGTCAACGAGATCGGTGCTGGTGAGATCTGCGCCGTCTTCGGTGTTGAGTGCGCCTCGGGTGATACATTCACGGACGGTCGCCTGCCCTACGGCATGAGTTCCATGTTCGTGCCGGACTCAGTCATGTCCCTCAGCATCAAGCCCAAGCGCAGCAGCGACGCCGACGCCTTCAGTAAGGCCATGAACCGCTTCATGCGAGAGGATCCCACCTTCCGGCTCCACGTCGACGACGAGTCAGAGGAGACCATCATCAGCGGCATGGGTGAGCTCCACTTGGACATCTATGTCGAGCGTCTGCGCCGCGAGTACAAAGTCGACTGCGAGACGGGCAAGCCGCGCGTCGCCTACCGCGAGACCATCAGCAAGCGCGCCGACTACGACTTCCTCCTCAAGCGCCAGTCGGGCGGGCCCGGCGATTACGCCCGCGTGGTCGGCTGGATCGAGCCCAACGTAGACAACACCGAGGGCAACAGGTTCGAGACGCGCGTGGTTGGCGGCAACATCCCAGACAAGTACCTCGCCGCCTGCGGCAAGGGTTTCGAGGAGGCCTGCATCAGGGGCCCGCTGCTCGGCCACAAGGTCATCGGCGCGCACATGGTGGTCACCGACGGCGCCACCCACGTCACGGATTCCAGCGACTACGCCTTCAACCTGGCCACGCAGATGGCGTTCCGCAAGGCCTTCCCCGACGCCGGCGGCGCCGTGCTCGAGCCGCTGATGAAGACGACCATCACGGCCCCGGCCGAGTTCCAGGGCAACATCCTCATGCTCATGAACAAGCGCGGCTCCATCGTCGACACCGAGGTCGGCGCCGACGAGTTCACCATGGTCGCCGAGTGCAGCCTGAACGCCATGTTCGGCTTCAGCACCCACCTGCGCGCCGCCACCCAGGGCAAGGGCGAGTTCAGTATGGAGTTTAGCCACTACGCTGCGGCCCCGCCGCATCTGCAGTAAGTGATTCTGAGAAGGAGGCAGTGTTTTGGGGATGGCTTACTGACTTGTGCTTTTCACAATTCTAGGAAGGAGCTTGTTGCTCAGTACGAGAAGGAGCTCGAGGCCAAGAGGAGCAAGTAAACCTGAAATTGGTGATGCTGGTGGGTTTCTCCAACTTGAACGCCCTTTGACTGCCCGTACCCCGAGCTGCGACGAATTGTGGCCTAGTGGGGAGGTTCGGTGGTTTGATATAGGGCCATCGACAAGAGAGCCGCTGCGGAGTATTGATGTACTCCCGCCTCTGGGCAGTCCCGAAATGACTGATCATGATGGGGTAAGATAGGATGTAGGTTATATCTGGGATAGATCACGGGTAGATGGTCGATCACTGGGACAGGCGCCACAAGATAGAGGCGGCTTGTATCATAGCCTGGGTTGGTTGGTTGTCTGTAAATGGGTCATGTATGATACACGATGTAACCTGATCTTGCTTAGATTGGTTATTGTAATTAAGCAATGAGATACCATCCCTTCTCTGTTTGACGAGGAGACTGGTTGCCGTACTGCATCTGTCACATTGAATGATCCTGACTGAACTTTTGTTCAAACCTTGCAGGCGTGTTTTATTTATCCCTCCCGCGGTCCGCGGACCTTATCTACACAAACCGTGGGGTATAAGCACAACACCCAACACCCAACCACCCGATGCCCTTTCGCCTTTTTTCCCCTGTACCTAGTTACGACATACAGCTTACAATCGGCGGAGGATATCCTGGACAACCTCCTCCGTCTTGGCGGTACCACCCAGATCCGGGCTGAGCAGCTTGCCGTCCTCCAAGTTGCCATCAACAGCGGCATAGATCTTGGCCGCAGCCGCCTCCTCGTTCAGGAACTCCAGCATCAGCGCGGCGCTGCGGAGGGTGGCGATGGGGTTGGCGATGCCCTGGCCCTGGATGTCGGGGGCGCTGCCGTGGCAGGGCTCGCCGATGGCGAAGCCCTCGCCGACGTTGGCGCTGGGCACCAGGCCGAGCGAGCCGACGAGCGCGGCGGCGCCGTCCGACAGGATGTCGCCGTACAGGTTGGGGGCGACGATGACGTCGTAGGCCTCGGGCTGCCGGAACAGCTTGTAGACCATCGAGTCGACGATCTGCTCCTCGACGGCGACGCGGCCGGCAAACGCCGGCGCGGCGAGCGCCTCGCGCGCCGTCGACCGGAACAGGCCGTCCGTCTGCGACAGCACGTTGGACTTGTGGGTGATGGTGACGAGCGGGCCCTGGTGGATGCTCGGGGAGCCCGCGGCGCGGATCTTTTGGCGGCGCAGGGCGATCTCGCCGGCGATGGTGGCGATGCGGCTGCTGGCGCGCTGCGAGATGCGCTTGATGGCCTCGGCGACCTTGCCCTCGGGGGTGTCGCGCGTCGTCTCCTCCTTGACGTACAGGTCCTCGGTGTTCTCGCGCACGATGACCATGTCGATGGGCTTGGGCGCCGACACGACCGTCTTGACGGGCCGCACGTTGGCGTACAGGTCCAGCTTCTTGCGCAGGGCCACGATGGGCGACGAGTAGCCCTTGACGGCGGTGGTCGGAGAGCTGACGGCGCCGAATAGAGCGCCGTCGCAGTCGGACTTGAGCACGGAGACGGTCTCCTCCGGGAGGGCCACGCCCTGCTGCTCGAACGTCTCCCAGCCGGCCTTGAGATCGACAAATTCGAACTTCAGACCGAGGGAGGCGGGCAGGGCCTCGAGAAGGCGTCGGCCGGCGGGGATGACCTCCTTGCCGATGCCATCACCGGGGATGAGCCCTGTGATGCGGGGGCGGGGGAGTCAGTGTTGAAATCGGAGGAAAAGGAGGGGAATTGGTGTAGGGGGTGGGAGCCCTTGAGCCCTGCAAGCTGCTTACCAATTTTGAGAGTCCTTGCTGCCATGGTTGCGCTTCAATTGACTTTCCAAGCGGTGGTTGACGGACCTGTGTTGAAACTTTTTGGGCAGCCGGTGACACCTTCGAACCGGCCGGGATCGGAGCTTGTTCCCGGCTCGCAGCTCCAATGAGGTGTTGCGGTTGGACCCTTCTGGGCGGGCGTCACTCACCCGTGGTCCGTGTGGAAATTCCCGTCATCGTCGTACACGGGGCCTCCTACCTTAGCTAGACGAAACCTCAAGCAACTCCTACCTAGGTTATCTTTTCTCTCTTGCATCAAGTAACGTTGGTATATACCTAACACCGGTGATGCAATTACCCTATTTCTTTCCTCAAATGACCATCATCCCGGGGGAAATTGAGCTGGCTTCGTGCCTCAGCGCCAGAATTATGACGCGTGGGTGAATTACCGATGCAATACGGTATCGGTCGTATTTAACATGTACTGTGTCGGGTATTCTGTATTGTCCTGATTGACCGACTCGGGCAGTTGACCTCCCTTGCTTCGTTTTTGGAATTCCCCAAGTTTCCCGAGCCAAAGCTGAGTTCGTGTACTTGGAAGTATTCGTAACCCAGGTACTCGAATCAGCCCATCTCACATACACAGCAAAGGTAAGCCACGAATGCTCGGCCCGCTTCTTACTTGCGTATGTACTGAGCCACTCCAAGCCCCCGACAGCTTGCGCCGGCCGGGGAAGCCCAGCCAACAAGACTCACCTTGAGACCGACGCCCCGTGAGGTGTGTCAAAATAGAAATGACCAGATAACCATGTAGTTACACAGTAGATTTAATTTCCATGGAGGAAAAAAATGTTCGCCAACTCTGACGACAGCGTAACGGAGGAGCGAGCATAAGGGTGCTTCGAGGAGATGCGCGTGTATATCTACCTCGATGAAGAACAATTTGCTCGCATGACAATTTCACCTCCCAGAAAGGAAAGTATCCTTCACATGTGCTCTTTGCAATGGCTGAGTTATGAACCTTGCCATCGTGTTGACATTGTGTCATTGACAGGGGTTGCGCGACTGGGCCACTTGACCACGTGTGGGCCGACGGACTCGGGTCTCCCATTCCTTTCCGTCCGAACTCCCCAGCTCCCGCCTCCCCTCATCCCCTCGGTCGCGCTCTGCCAAGATTTGGACCACCGGGTTGCCGAGCTCTGAAACGCGCCTCTCAGCTTGGAGCTTCTCGTGCCGGGCCAACATACTGTTAACCACCTTTTGACTTTCAAGCCGGACATTTTCCCTCCGTCGGATCTGATTTCGTTGCGTGCTGATGCATAACGGCGCATCCTCCTTCATCATTTGAAGTCGCATACGCGATCGGATGCGCATGGGAGGGCTCCGCAGCAACCCCCTGAGCCTGGTCCATGCCCGAATTGTTTCTTCTAATTTGAGACACCTCTCATTTTTATAGGGTGGCACCACGAGCGCCCGCCGAGCAACCGCGTCTTGTCGCCCTCTCGTTCCCCCCCGCCACCCTCAGCCCGTCGCAAATCTGTCCTTTGCTGCGCACTTGACTCGTTATTTCCAAAGGAAGCATACCGGCGCGCGACTCACACGAGTCCCCCCCCCCCCATTGGTTGCCCCGAGTTTGAGAAGCCTCGGAGCTTCCAACGCGCGCGGCCTCTTGCGCGAAGCCCAAAAAGGGGGCCTCTTTGGTTTCAGCACCGACCTGAACAACGCTGCCCGAGCTTGACACAGACCACCACTTTAATTCAACCCAACGACTCAACTCCCCCTCTCGTCGCGACTTCCGCCACAAACCTCTCGTTTCCAATTAGCCTACCTGCTTGTGTAGTCTAGGACCTCTGTGAGGCGCTTGCTTCACAATCGCAACAATGAGCGCGGTCAAGAACCTTCGGGCTATGTTCGAGCAGAAGGGGGACACCAGCCCCCCGGACAGAGGCAGGTCGCCTGGCATTCCTCCACACGGTAAGGCGCTTGCCTTTCCGGTTTGACATTCGATGTTCCGCTTGGTGCTGCATACTCTGCACACCACGCGCATCGTTTTCCGAGTTGCGATCTCTGGAGCTAACATCACCTTCAGGCCCCGCCAGCGAGTCGCCCAGACCCCTTTCGAAGATCCGAACGAGCTTCGTGGCAATTGAAAAAGAGGGCAGGATGGGCATCCAGCGCGAAGGTAGTCAAGACTCAATCTCGGCACTCCGGAAGAACAGCGGCGACAGCAACGTGACAACACCAACGACCGGGATGGAGAGATCAAATCCCTTTGACGCCTTGGCTAAGTCGCCTGGCAAGTTGGGTCTCCAGACCCAGTCTCTCTTCGGGTCACCACGAGCGAATTCTGGCGCGCAAGATGTGGCGCGCCCGGCTGAAGCAACAAAGGTTGTGAAGTCCGAGCCTTTGCCCGCTGCGCTAGCGGAACCGAAGACGGGGCAGAAGACGGAGCCAAAGCAGGAGCCAAAGCCAGAGCCGAAGGTAGAGGCGAAACCGGAGCCAAAGCCAGAGCCAAAGGTCGAGGCGAAACCAGAGCCAAAACCAGAGCCAAAGCCAGAGCCAAAGGTAGAGGCGAAGCTAGAGCTGAAGCCGGAGCTGAAGATAGAACCAAAGACGGAGACAGAGGCAGAGCCGAAGGCAGAGCCAAAAACACCAGAGGCGAACGCGTCCGAAGGCGAGGCCTCGCTTGCCAGTGCTACGACACCGCAAGTGGGAACTCTGAATGGAGGAGCAAGCGGGAAAGAGCCGCAAAAGAAGGCAGCGAAGGAAACCACCAAGCCCGCCACGCGCACAACGAAGCCAACGCCAAAGCCTCTTGCCGTCGCGCCAGCAAGCAAGCCGGTCGCGAAGCCAGAGAAGTCACCCAGAGGTCCAAGGACCCCTGCCGCAACATCTACCCACCACCCCGTTGTCAAGCGAACACCCGAAAAGAAGCTTCAAGCGTCTGAGAAGCCGGTCACACCTCGCGCAACCCCAACTTCGAGGTCTGCTGGTCCTTCATCGATCAAGAGACCACCGCCGCTTCAGTCGTCTCCGGCGAGTACCGGCTTCGTCAAGCCGAAGGTTAAGTCGCCGACTCGCCCCATCAAGCTTCCCCCAGGCTTGACTACGCACACCGCCTCATCTGGCTCCAAAGTCAATGCCTCGCGCCAGTCCCTGTCTCGTGCGAGCAGCATCCCACCCAGCGAATCCCGCGGACGCCCGGCCAGCCGAACGAGCGCATCCACCACTGGCAGCGGATCCAACAAGGCAGTGCCGGTAAGGGGCCTGAGGCGGCAGAGCTCGACCATCGACCGGTCTCGGCCAAGCCTGGGCCCGCCCCCGAAGCAGCCTGCGAAAGATCATCCGCCGATGAAGAGGGAGAAGGAGGTCGACCAAGGGTTCCTCGCGCGCATGATGCGCCCCACGGCATCATCGGCGTCGAAGACCACCACCAAGGTGCCCACGAGTCCGCCGCGGAGAACTGCCGCCGCGTCCAAGAAGACAACGCCAGTCAAGTCTGCGAAGAAGGCTGTTTCCAGGCCCACACCGACTGCCTCATCCTCGACCGTCAACCAGGTCGCAACCGAAGCCGAACACGCCACGGCAGCTGGTGAGGTGATTGGCGGTGAGCTTGGCCAGACGAGCCCTGCCCAAGAGGTGGCACCTGTAGCGGAGCAGAGTGAAACCGTGGAGCAAGTTGTTGCCGCTGCCGCCGAGGCCGGGGACGAAGCTGCTGTAGCTCAGACTCCCTAGGCAGTTGTCGCTGATGTTGGCAGACCAGAAGCTACCATTGCAGAGGACAAGGGAGACGCCGAGACAGCAGTTCCAGAGGCGTAAGTATTATACCAAGAATTCTTTTGAGCCGCCAGTGGCAGGCGTTTTTTTTTTCTCTTTTTTTTGTGCAGCGGTTCTGTATATCTTTTAATCTCTCCTCTTCCTGTCCGCTTCGTTTGGGGGCGCATAGCGTTTGTTGAGCAAGAGATACGTATTTCATGATACCTGGTGGGAAAAGAAACGGGGTTTGTAAGCGGGGGTTGGCGATGGAGCATGTAAGGTAGAATAGCTGGCCACCAGGCAGGCGTTAGGGAATGCAATCTTTGTTTAGGATTAATGACCGGGACGATGATGGAATATGATACATTTGGCTACAACTCTAGGCCGTGCATGCTGTCGGCGAGACCAAACTACGGAAGCTGGACGCGGTGGAGATGTTTGCGTTGCCCTTGCAAATCATCACTTGCTAACACCGATAGCTCCTCCTCGCCCGCATGTATCGTACATAACCTCCCATCCCTTACGCCCGTATTCCTCCGGTTTTCCCACGTTCTCGATCGATCGCAGCCCCGATCAACGCCCACAGAACCACACGCCCACGACACACAGCCCATGCCCTCAACCCCCCTCATGAAACCCGGCACAGCACCAACCCGCCCGCCTTCCTCGCCAGCGCCTCGCGGATCTCGAAGACGCCGCGGTCCGTGCTCACAAACATGGTCTCGCCGAGGGTGAGGCCCTTGAGGGGCCCGACCGAGAACCCCCGGGCGACGCGGCTGAGGTCGGAGACGGAGGCGGAGACGAGCCGGCTCGGCTTGGACACGGCCTCGAGGTTGCGCACCACGGGCTGGTTGTCCCAGTACTTGAGCCCCAGCCACAGCCGCCGCGTCGCCACGTTGGCCGTCGTCACGGCCTCCGACTCGTTCGGCTCCTCCTCCGGCCCCGGCGGGCGCGGGCCCCCGCGCCGCACCGCCCCGATCAGGCCTGCACGGTGCAGGGCGAGCGCCAGGCGCAGGTTGTATTTGGTGTTGGGGATCGAGGTCAGCCCCAGGTGCGCCCGCGTCGCGTTTTGGAGGTGCGCGCAGGCGTTGGCTACCGAGTGGATGCCCATGTTGGATGGTTGGTTCCTTTTTTCTTTTTTTTTGGTCTTTCCCACCGGGTGGGTGTGGGGTTTGGGTTTGGAGATTTGGAGGCAACGGCCTCGGGATGGTGGAGGTGGGTGTCCCCTTCGTCGGGGGGATGGGTGAGGATCGGAGGGTGGTGGTTGCTGGATTCGGGTTAGGATTCGTTTCGTTGAAATATGTTGTGTTGAACTGAGGATAGGTAGGTGGCTTACCGAAGCGGGTGGGAAACCAAGCCGACCTGGGTGATCCTAAGCGGGAGTCGTTGTCGTCGTTGTCGTCGAGTCTTAATTGCGGCGGTCGTGATAAATTTCGGTGGACCAGACACACACGGCTTTGCGCTCAATCCGGCTGCTTCCGTTCAGGTTGACAGCTGAAATTTTGGCCAGGTCCTCTCAGGCACTTGCAGGGGGTGCAGCGATACCTCTAGAAGAGGCCCGTGCTTGAGCATCAGATACCCCGCCACGCCCGCCAGCCCACCAGGACCGTCCAGACACCATTGGCTCGCTGCCATCCCACCTTTAAGCGCCCAGCGGACCACTCTCCATGCTCCCACCACCTTCCAGAGCTCCCCAAAGTCGGCTCAATGGCCGGACACCAGCGGGATGATCAGGGTTTGCGAAAGCTGATTTGATGACGGAGTGCCATTGGCAGCGCGGGGCACGACCAGAGCCAAGTGATGGCTCCTGCAGCAGGGCCCAGGAGCTCGCTGCCCGTCACACATGCACTTATGCACCTGTGTGACCCGTCGCGATTTTATGGTTTCTCTTTCTTTTTCTCTTCATGGTACTCTTCTGCCTCCTGTTTTTGCCCGATATAATATTCTCTTGTCGAGCGAGAAAAGTTAGGGACTAAATAATCACCCGCCACCATCCCGTCCTTGAAGCTCTCGTCCTGCGAACTTCAACATCCTCCCTCGGCACTTCCCCTCATCTTATCCTACTCGTAGAGCTCCGCGAATATGGCCGCCCGGCCAGGAGAGGAGCACGTCGCTACTCTGTGAGTTCTAGATGCGACTGTTGACTTATAGACCATGTCGGCCGGTCTGACACATCTGAAGCTACGGAGACATCCACTACTTTTACGGCCCGCCGACGCACAACCCGCCCCATCACCGGTTCGACAAGGGCTCCTATGTGTACCTGTTTGAGGATGCGAACCAGGGGCGCGCCCGGATAGAAATCGCCAACAACCCCGGGCGTGACGACCAGGACGCGTTTGACGGCTGTACGCCCTACCTTGCTTGCCCTTGCTTGCCCTTGAGAGAGACATGTGCTGATGGGCGTCGGTGCTCCAGACCTTGACAGGGTTCACCTTCGTTACTCGTACAAGCACACCTGCCTCGTAACACTCACCGTCGGCGAGGTTCAGGGGAACGACGAGTGGCATCTGCCAACCTTTGACCCTCACAACCAGAACAAATACCACTACAAGCTCCACTCCCTCGACATCTACTTTTGGATGCCCCAGGACGCCGTGCAGTTCCTTAACGGGATTAGGCGCGTACTTCCGCCAGCGCAATGCGAGATCTTGGACGAACCCGGGCCGCCGCCTCGCCATGAGGCCGAAGTGAGTTCTGTGGTGCAGAAACTCGAGCAGGCTGCCATATCCGGCTCCAACTCCCTACAAGCGACACCGGCCGGCTTGCAGCCCAACACTTCCGGGGCCCCGTCCTTCCCCGGTCCGCCCATGTCTGCTGTCGCTGGCTCCGGAGACGGACCGTCGCCCCCGCCTCAACAGTTCACGCCGATCGCTTACAACCCCGCCGCGCCCCCCGCCCCCGAGGAGGTCCGCCACCGAGAGAAGACGCCGCCACCCGAAGATGGTGTCGCGAACCCCCTCCACCAAACTCTCGCCTATGATGCGGCGACGCCATTCTCGCCCGGCCTCGTTCCGAGCGGACTTGGCCCGCTCAGCCCTGGCATTCCTCCGCCCAACCTCCAGCACCCACCCGGCGCCCCAACCTTCCCCGGCCCGCCCCAGCCAAGCCTCGCCTCGCCCGGGTTTGCGCCTCAGGGATTCGGTTCCCTTGGCGGGCAAGCGACCGGCATGGCTCAACCACCGCCGGTGCATCCGGGCATTTCCCGCGCCGCCACGATGCCAGTACACGGGGGCGGCACCCCGCTCGCAAGTCCGGGATTAGCCAGCCCTTATGGCGTCGGGACGTTCCCCAGCCATGTGCAGCAGCAGTATACCCCCGGAGTCACGCATACCCCGACGCCACCTGGCGGTGGAGTGGGGGTGCCTCCGGCGGCTGGACGGGGACAGGCGCCGCAGAACTATTCGGTGCACCAGCAATTCTATATTCCTGAAGATCAGTACCAGCCAAAGCAGGAGACCAAGGGCAGGTTTGAGGAAAACGCGGGGAAATTGGAGAGGGGCGTTACCGGAATGTTCAAGAAGATCGAGAAGAGGTTTGGGTGAACGTGTGTATCTCGAGTACTATGGTGGGGGGGCGTATTGAGATTCTGGATAAGGGGAATGACTTGTTTGCCAACCAGGCCATGACTTGTTGCGTGGTTCGTTCCTGGGCCAGCTTTTTGTGGATCATGAAGTAAGAAGCTTTGCAGTCTCATTTTCTATCGAGATAATTCTGCCCTTTTTGTAACACATAACTCCAGATAAACAATGACCCACCCCTTCCCATAACACAGTGGTGACCGGTCGGGATGTTAAGTCCCAACCACGCGGTATGGGTCCGAATGCTGACCACGGCGTAGCCCCTGGCCAGGACGTCCCGTCTGGGAATTCCCAGGCTCTCGCATTGGCCCTTGTGTCCTGCCGTCATCTAGACCGGGCAACTTTCATGGCGTTTGTTTCAACGTGCGCAGGCAACCCATCCGTCCGAGCTCGATTGTCCGTCGTAGGCGACCAGCGCCTAACAACCGAGCCAGCAGAATTTCCCACCTCACCACGCAAGCGCCTCCCTCCCCCTCGCAGCCGGCTGCCCTCCCCGTTCTCTCCTCATCCGCCCCTCCCGTTCCCGCTCCTCCTCTTCTCCCTCCCTCCTCGCATCCCCCACCTCGTCCTTCAGCACCTCCCAGTCCACCCCATACCTCGCGGCCTCCGCCCTCACAATCCCCCCCCACTTCCTCAGCAACGGATGCGCCTCAGCCACATCCGTAAAAACCACGCCCCCATCCCCCTCCCCCAGCCCCTGACCACCACCACCACCACACCCATCCCCATACTGCTGCTGCTGGCCGCCGCCACCGACCTGATACCGCCAATTCCCGTCCTGCGCCCAATACTCGCCATCAAACACCCCCGTAACGCTCAACTCCCGTCTCGCCTCGGTCAACAGCCTCTCAATCCGCCGCGCCTCCCCCTTTCCCCCCATCCCCATCCCCATCCCCGCCCCCTGCCCCTGCCCCCGATAAGCCTCCGACAGCGCCTGCAGCCCCACAGCGGCCGCCAGCCCCTCCAGCACGCCCAGCAGCTGGCCGGCGCGCGCGCCGATGGTCGCGCCCAGGCCGTAGCCCTCGTCGAACCCGCCCTGCGCCGTGCGGGCTTTGGCCAGCGTGATGCCGTCGCGGTAGCCGGCGGTGCTGTGCGCGGCGGAGAGGCGCGGGATGTCGCTTACTGTGGGTTCTTGGGGGGGGTACGGGTACTGGTGGTGGTGGTGGTGGTGGGAGTTGTGCTGGGGATGGGGATGGGATTGGGGGTGCGGGGGGAGGTAGGAGGGGGTGGCCCAGATGTCGTCTAGGTCGTGGTTGTTGTGGGTGGCGGCGGTGTTGTTGCCGTAGTAGTTGGCGGTGGTGCCGTTTTCGGCTGGCATGTCACTGTGAGCTTCGTGAGGCCCGGCGGCGGCGGGGTTGTGCGAGGTCATGGTGTGGAAGATGTCCGGGTCTCTGTCGTGAGAGGAGGCGTTGCGGAGGAGCATAGTTTGGGTTGGCGCCAAGTGAGTGGGTATAAATGGAGTGAGTTCTGCTTGTTGGCAACGGGTGTTGGTGAGTTGGTAAGGGGTTGGATGTGTTGTTTGAAGGATGTGAAACTGAGGTTGCAAGCCGTGAAAAGCTCGATCGGGGTGACAAAGCAGTAACCCTAACCCTGTGTGGGTATTGAGTCATTCGATGGGGTCTGGACCGATGTTAGTGTGAGAGGAAAGAGCCGTCCATTCCGGATGGCATCCAGGCTAACTTGGAATGAGGTCTCATGGCTTACAACATATCGTTCCTTTCTTACTGAAGCGAATTATCGGATAGTTAGAGCCTTGTGGCCGGCTTTGTGTGCTTCCATTTTCCCCCTCTTTTCTTCTTTCCTTTCTTTAATTGATGTACTCTGATGCATGTCAAAACGGCTACACCCTACAGGTTTGTTTTAAAAATTAACTACTACCCTCTCCCTAGTTCTCTTCTCTGATGATGTATGAGGCCTTATTGTGGTTCTGTTTTGATACTGGGAATAAGGCGGAAGATGAGTTTCGATGAGAAAGAGAATAACCCAGCGGCAGGATGAAATCAAGAAGGGTTTCCGGGGAAGAAATTACCGACCCGTTCGGTACCTAGGCAAGCTAACGCCGACGACCACTCTAGCCCCAAACGTCCCTCGAACAAGGACTTTTCCGCTGGGTCAAGAAGCTATGGCTCCGAGTAGATATGTCACGCCCTCATGTAGCCCGAGGTGGGTGTCCTCAAAGACCACTTTGGCCTTCTAGGCACAGCCCACTACCCCCTATACATCTAAACGTCCCTGCAAATAGCCGTGTTATTAAAGAGAGGAGAGCCGTGAACTGCAATCTGGATGCTTTGATGCCGTGCCCCTGAAATCCTGGGGACACGCCTGGCTTATACACATGGTATGATTTAGACAAGTAAAGTGCTGCGAGTTGAATATCGATGAAACGGCCTAACAACTTGAAGCCGGCATTCTGAGCAAAGCCTAAGCAAATGAATAACATAAAACCCCGTATAAGTTATTGCGCGGGTGAATATTGACCCTGCCTACCTGCAGGTAGTCCTCGAGATATGATTAGTGAGCAGCGGCGTCTTACCTCATCAACTTCCCGGGCGTTCCATCGCTGGGTATAACCGTTAAAACGCACGGCCTAGGTGGTAATCATATAAGTTCACTTCCTGTCAACGACGTGTTATATTTCAACCAACTCTTCATAAACTCATTCACCCCATCATACTCGAGAGAATAACCCAAGCCATGGCAGCCTCGAATGACAATTTTCCTGTTGCTGGCCTCGCCCGTGACGGCTGGTCAACCGAGGAAGAGGCTACAGCAACTTGCTTCTGTGGAGCGGTCCAACTGGTTTTTGTGAGTAGTAGTCTTCCCTTCTCCCAAACCAACAAACAAAGCCCCAAGTTCCTAACCCACACAGCCGCTCCAAGCCCCGGGCCTCGTCAACCGGCACGTCTGCCACTGCAGCGACTGCCGCAAGATCAGCAGCGGGCTGTACATGTCCAACATCGTGGTGCGGGACACGCACCTGCGGCACGCGCGGGGCCGCGAGCAGCTCCGGACTTTCGCGCAGTCGGCGACGGTGCGGTCCGGGGGGGTCATGACCAACCACTTCTGCGGCGCGTGCGGCACGCTCATGTACCGCGTCGGCGAGCGCTTCCCCGGACTGACCATCCTGCGCACGGGGACCGTGGACGATTTCGCGTTGGCGGAGACCAAGTTGCGGCCGCAGGTGGAGCAGTTTGTTGAGACGCGGGCCGGGTGGCAGAGGCCGATTGTGGATGTGCCGCAGGTGGTGGGGATGCATTCGCGTTCGGATATTAAGGGTGCGGTGCTGTGAGTGTTGGGGGGAGGTGGGGGGTGGGTAGATGGAGGATGATGGAAGGACCGTGATCATCTGCGAACCGGGAGCAGAATGGAGCAGGTGCTCGCGTTCTGGTCAGTGCCCTTGGACTCTAAGTGGGAATCTTTAAAATGATCCTTTGGGACAAATGAATGCTCATCGAATTATTATTAACAGATACCAAATTTGCCAGTATAAGAGGATCTGAAGGAAGAAGATAGAGAGACCGTAATACCGGCTTCGCCTTGAGTTATTTTGCCATTGGTTGAAGTGTAGACCCTGTATTCACATTTGTTTAAATATTTTCATAAACACAAAATCTAATCAAACCTGAATCAATTTATCTCAAGTCTACTGTATGTAGCACCATGTTCCTCGTTCACTACCTCTGAAACGGGTCATACCCCCCTTTCGGGCAGACAACGCTTGTTGGTTTACCTGGGCGGGTATCAGTCCTATGATCACATCGACTCCGTCGTGTGAGCATCCGGTGTGTTGGTAATAATAGTCAATTCAATAGTTGTTGCTAATCACAAGATTACGCATTTGGCTGGCAAGCCACATGGCCCTCCCTTGACCTCGTCTTCCTCCGCTGGGCTGGGGTCCGCCTTCGGTTCCTCCTTCTTCGCAGTGACTGCCTCAGCAACCGTGCTCTCCTTTAGCCCCCCTTCCGACCGCCCATTAGCCGCGCCGCCGATACCGTTTCTGTCGTCACCATGTAGTTACGCACCAAAGGACTTGGCGACCGTCTTGTAGAACTCCTCGCCCTGGATGGTGGCAAGCTCCTTCTCCTTCTCCGAGGGTTGGCGGCTGCCGTCGACACCGGCAAAGGTGCCGGCGCCCCAGGGGCTGCCACCGCGGGCCTCGGACAGGTCCGACAAGGTGCCGAAGGCCTTGGCGTAGCCGAGGGGAACGTAGATGATGCCGTGGTGGGCCAGGGTGCTCAGGGCATTGATGGCCGTTGTCTCCTGGCCGCCACCCATGCTGCCAGAGGAGATGAAGACGCCGGCGTACTTGCCGTGGAAACCGCCCGTCGCCCACTGCTTGCCGGTCTTGTCCCAGAAGGCCTTCCACTGGGCGGGGAAGTTGCCGTAGCGGGTCGGGATGCCTAGGAGGAAGGCGTCATACCCCTCAAGCACGCTGGGGTCGTTGAGCACGGTGATGTCAGTCGGCTTGGGAGGGGCGTGCATCTTGGTCAGCACCTCCTCGGGGAGGGTCTCGGGGATCCTGTGTTGCTGGTTAGCTTGGTGATCTGTTGGGCACATTACGCTCAAAGATCTTTGATGAGAGACATACTGGAAAAGATCGGCAGTTCCGCCGGCCTTCTCAATACCGGCCTTCTCGGCCTCGGCAAGCTGGCGGATATGGCCATACATGGAGTACTATTAGGTGTTAGCCACGGTTCACGACCTGTGGCTGCCGCCAAGCCCAGCGCGGGGCAGGCAGGGGCACCGAAAACGGAACTTACAAAGACGATTGCGATCTTGGGAGCCATCTTGTACGAAGTTGAAGCGGGGATTTGGGAAATAACTGGGAGTTGAGTCTGATTTGGTAGTGGCTTATGAGATGGCGATTGTGAATATTGGGATTGGGTTGTGTTGTGGTGGAAGATGGGAAGTAAACAGGTCGCCATCGCAAAGTGCAAGAGCGTTCCCCGCCGGCTTTATACCTTACGAAGGCGCCATGTTTTGGAAAGTGGCAACCCGCCCAGCTCGCAGGTGCCGATCCCCCCTCTGGCAGTCTCAAAGGTTTCCTGTCTCGCCTGTGTAGCTTCCAGGTTCCGTTGCAGCCCAGCCTGCATTCGTCATGATCGGATAATCCACCTCAAATCACGACAGACCCCGGGCCTTCAATCCATCTCTGGAGACACGAAGGAGGGGCAACCCTCGGTGCCTGTACAGAAGCAGCCCAAGCGGCGGCAGGGGGCCCTTGATCGACGTTACCAACTTACCGAAGTAGGGATGACCTCCTTTTGTTTGTATGTACGTACACAGGAAAAACGTCAATACATAGGCCAATATGCGCCCACGTTGGCACCGTGGCTGTCCGTTGACAGTCTTCCGATCTGGTGGGATGGGGTTTTCTCCTGTGGCCCCTGTCGGCCCTGTGTTCCTGGCCACTCTGGGCGTGTCTGGGCCCAGCAACCCCTCGCATCGTCACATGCCCCGCTACTGTCTGGCTCCATTTTATCTAATCGCTGAGTAAGGGCTTACAGCAAGCGGCGCAAAAGCCCACGGAAGAGCGCGAGATCGCACCTAGCTCGCCATTTTGTTTTGCTTGAGCATTTCTTTGTCACAGTGACAAATCTCAATTGATTCGCTCGGGACTCCGTATGCTTGGCTGCAGCTGAGACAAGCTCACGGCACGGCCTCGGAGTGGAAGCCGACACAGAGCGGGAGAATTAGAACCAATGGCAAGACGTCGAATGTCTCAAGGCACGGGCACTTTTTCCATCTCGACTTGCAACACCTCGTGACGGGAGGGCGGTATCGTTTCCCGTCAGGACTTCATGGTTACATCGGGATACCGCCAATGTGCGAGTCTCGCTTGATCGCTGTGTGGTGTTTTGTTTAATGTTTGAACCCCCGCTCGACGACGCCACTCTCGCCACCCGACCCAGCTCCAGCGCTGCTCGTTGGCGGGCACCGTGGCATCGCGCCGAGACCGCAACCATCACGAAACACCTGAGAGCCCCAGGAGCCCAGCACCCTCTGGCCAGAAAAAGCCGTACACCAAAAATTATCACCGGTTCAATGCACCACAACTCGGCCAAAACGGGCTCAATTTTAGGAAGTCCAAGTGCATTCTAATACCCTATCATCGCTACCTCTATTCCATGATAGTCTTTCAAGGTTTGGGAGTTTTGGTCCCCCTGACTGTGGATGGAGGCTGCTTAATGTGTTGGTTTAAGTCGACTCTGCCAAGGAATTCATGAGGACGGAAAAGCTCAAGAGTGCCAGCAAAATCCGACTTATTTACTGTCAAGTAACGTGCAAACCCTATATTCGCATTAGTATGTGATAGAAATTAGAAAGGAAAATAGTTTTATGGAAGAATAACACCGAAAAGGGTTACGGCGACTATTTTAGTGGTGGATAAGAACGCGTTTTGGGGTACGGCTTTTTTTGACCAGAGGGTGCCCAGGCACCAACGTTACTCAGCAGCACTCCATCGCTTACTTGGCGTACAGTGGGTACTACCCGACGGCGGCGGGAGGTCGCGAGCCAGACAGTATCTCAAGTATCCACAACCTGCAGAATGCTGGACCCATTGGCAGTTATCATGGGTTACCATGTGTTCCCGAGTCGGGGCTGACAGGAGACAGGAGCATCTCTCGGCGGGGAGAACTCAATACCACTGTCGTATTATGTGTCCTCTATTCTGTTTACTCAAAACCATCTCAAAACACCGGAACGCCTGCCCATCTGCCCGTACCCAAACAAGGAAACAAGGGAGCCGGAGGGACATCCATATCGTATGGCCCGCAACGCAACGTGACTGCAAACTCGGCTCACGCCTTCCAAGCCCCTTTCCGTTTATACAACACAATTCTTGACGCGCAGTAGAACGCGGTAGCCACGACAAGTCCAAAGGCGGAATACAAGATGGTCCCTAGCCACTGTGGACTGTCGGTGCTGCCCAGGATAGCGCCGGCGATCGGGGTGCCCACGAGGATCGCGATGCCGAAAACAACAAAGCATAGGCCCATCCTGGCCCCCACGCGTCCCATATCCGGCGCGAGCCCGACAATGACGCTCGGCGTGAGGCTGACCACGGCACCCGAAAAGGCGCCGTACAGCAGCGCATACACCACGGAGCCGCCGATGTCGCGGATCCCCAGCCAGCCAAACGCCAGAACCGCGCTGGCGACGATGCACACGATGAGCACGTTCAGCGACCCGTAGCGGTCGGCGAGCGCGTTGGGGATGACGCGCCCGAGGATGGACCCGGCGTTGAGCAGCGTGACGAGGTACGGCGCGAAGTCGTCGCTTACCACCTTGTGCGACTTGGCGAACAGCGTGAGGTAGAAGAAGGTCACGTACAGCGTCAGGAAGGCGAACAGCCCCGCCACGACGAACAGCACGTACGGCACGTCGCGCAGAGCGCTGCGGTCGAACATGGACCGCTTCGCCGTCGGCGGCACCCGCGTGCGCATGAAGACGATGGGGATGGCCGACATGGCCAGCAGGATGAAGGCGATCGACCGCGTCGCCCACCCGAACCCCACGCGCGGCTGCAGCCGGCTGAAGATGATGGGGAAGATGACGCCGGCGACGGGCGAGCCGGCGCTCGACAGGCCCAGCGCCAGCGCGCGGTGGCGCGAGAAGTACTGGCCCATGATGGCGGCCGACGGCAAAAAGGTCATGCCCATCCCGACGCCCATCGCGATCCCCTGCGCCAGCATCACCTGCCAGTAGGCCGTGCACAGCGACGTCATGAACTGGCCCAGCACGATCAGGAACAGGCCCGCCACCAGCAGCTGCCGGAAGTAGCCCGCGTCGTACAGCGGGCCGGCGATCACCCCGACCAGGAACAGCAGCGACGCCTGCGTCGACCCGATCCACGAGATGTCCGACGACGAGTGGCCCGACAGCAGCTCCGCCTCGTAGTAGGCCTGGAATACGCCGAACGTGTTGATCACGCCCCACGTGTTGACCAGGATGGCGGCCGACCCGACTACTTGTAGCCAGGCTGTCAGTCCGCCGTCGGGGACCTCATCCGGCGCGGGGGGCTCGGGGCCGACAGCATCGGCGGTTGGAACGGCGCCGGCACCGGCATCCGCGGCGGCGGTTGGGGGTGTTGTTGCGGGAGTCTTTTCGTTGGGCATGTCGCTCGGCATCCGGATGGTTAGGTCCACTTCGGTCCGGTCCGACTCGGAGGCGTAGGTGATCTTTTCTGCGTTTTTTTCCATTGCTGTTGCTCGAGGTGGGCTTGGCCTTCCGGAAGTGACCGCGAACCGGCCGAGTGGGTAAAGCTTTCGGCGCCGAAAAGCTTGTGGTAGGGGACGGTGCCGAGCAGATATCAACGGGATCCGCTGGCTCTCCGTACCAGGCCGCCGTTCTTGTTTTGGCGGCAAAACTTGAACGTTGCTTCAACACAACCACAGCGGTTTCTTGCTCTGGTTCATGAACCTTTCCCTGCGTTTCGCCGGGGGCGTGGTCTTTTATTCACTTTCCGACTAACTGCAATTCACTCCCGTACCCGACTTTGTTCGGTTCGGGGATAATCAGGGCGTAGTGGCCCCCCGAAGGTGCAGTTTCCCCCCTTCTGAGCCTGGAGGGCGGTTCGGATTCCTATCCGGGTTAGCAGGGGCGGCCCGTTGGAGCCCCCCGGATGCTGGGTTCGGCGCTTCGGCTTTCAAAGCTTTCTGGAAGTTTTTCCTGTCCCAGACACGGCCGCGCTCGCGCTGTTTCGCTTGCTTGTTTGTCAGGCGTGGCCTGAATAAGAACCAGTTCTCCTCGCTCGATGTTTCTCCGATTACACAGCACAATATGGCGTATAAGAAGATTGTATCAGCCGATCTGAGGGCTCCGGGGGATCCATCTGCCGGGGCGGCCTTGCATCTTCCGCCCCACCTCATGCCTCGGAGCCAAGACGATGTTTTTTTGTTTACTGATACCTATAATCCATCCCATTAGTCAACATCCCGGCAAGGCCATGGTGCGATGAGGATAGAGGCGGCACCCCAAGCTTCGTTGCATTGTTTTGATCCGAGTAGTGAGTGCGGAGATGTATGCAAACATCCGAGTCATCGGTCCGGCCCGCCGCTGGTTGACTGCCGGTCCGATGCCCGTTCCGTTGGATGCTGCGGATGTGGGGTTGTCTCGGGCGGCTTGGTATGGGTGCCTGGACTATCACATGGCGACGGTTAGGGGCGGTGTGAGAGCGGCTTTGGAAGACGATAACCGTCAAGAACAGACATTAGCGATCTGCTGAGTGATACTAATATTTTGGAGTTCAAGTTAGTCATTGGTGGCAGGTACTGACGGGCACCACCGGCACGGGGAGGCATTTCTCTTTTACGCGCTGCGCGTATTCGTTTGCTTGCGCCCACTCTTCGCTCGCTCTTCGATGATGAGATGTCAAACTCCAAGCTCTAGGTAAGTTTAAGCAAGAGACTATCTCAACAAAAAGCAGCTCGCAAATGCATCCTTCGAGATTGAAAATGCAAAGGGGAGGTGGTATGCAGATGCGTCTTGAACACATTACGCTTCATCTAACTCCCCAACCCAGCCAACCCGAAAATCCAACCAGATCCAACGCTCCGGGACTCCGCAGGAAGTACAACAAAACAAGGGAGGGATGTAGTTATATACAGATTTGCGTGCCTGCCTCTGCCTCGGGGCCCAGGGTATCCCAACCGTCGCTCGCCCATGCCAATCCCCTCTTCATGTCGCGCACAATCGTTTCCCCATCACACATCTACCCCCTCACACATCTACCCTCAGCGCCCACCCATTAAATATATATAGTAGACCTCCAACACCCCGCCACACCTGTTCAAGGCCTCGCACTCGACGGCTCAATCACAATCTGCGGCACCTGATCCAGCCTCAGACTCGGCAACCTCTGCGCCCCTCCCCTCCCCCCCTCACCACCCTGCGCCGCCGCCGCCAAATCCTCCATATGCGTCGACAGCCGCTGATTCCGCCGCTCCCCCGGACCGGGATAATCAGGCGGCGGATCCGGGTAGGGGCTCACAGGCCGCGACACGTCCGAGTTGCGGCGCGAGTGCATGGGCGTGATGTCGTCGAGGCTGACCTCGTCGTACCCGGGCGGCGGCATGGCCATGTCGCCCATGTCGGCGTCCTCGGGCTCGATGATCTCGGGCGGGGAGCCCGCGTGCGGGGTGGTGCTGCGCCCCGGGCTGGGCGTGGGGATGCGCGGGGTGGTGGCGGCGGAGGAGGCGCGCGACCGCGAGCGGGCGCGGCCGCCCGCGCTGGCCAGGCTGTACACGCCGCCGCTGCTGCCGCCGGTGGTGAGCGCGGCGGGGGAGTCCGGGCGGCCGTGGGCGGTGAGGGAGGTGTCGATGGAGAGGGTGGCGCTGGCGCTGCGGTCGCGGCGGCGGAAGAGGCTGTGGCTGTCGGCGGCGATGCTGGCCGTGTCCGAGAGCAGGCCGACGCGCTCGGTGCTCTCGGTGCTGTTGGCGCGCACGCGGGTGCCGTCGGCGCGCGCGATGCCGACGTCGGCGTACGACACGCTGCTGACGGCCCGCTGGCGCGTGCCGCGGATCCGGTCGTGCTCGCCGCGCAGGTCCTCGATCTCGGACGTGTTGCGCGAGGCTGACCCGCGGGTTTGGTCGCGCAGGTCGCGCAGCGCCACGACGTCGTGCGCCTCGCGTGCTTGTTGCCGCTGCCGCCGCCGCTCCTCCCGCTCCGCGATTTGTCGTCGCCGCGCCGCCCGGATCTGGTACAGCGCCTCCATCTCCTCGTCCCGCAGCGCTTCCTCCTCCTCCGCCGTCCGCATCTCCACCACCACGTCGATCCCGTCCCGCTCGCCCTCCCGCCCGAGCACCTGTTCGCCGTCGATGGCCTTGGACCGGTACACGGGTAATGTCATGACGCTGCGGACTGAGGTGTTGCGATCGACCCCCGGTGTGCCGCCCTCGGTTGTGGTTTGCGAGCGGGTCTCGGTGGACCGGTCATTTTGGGAGCTGGATTGGCTGGGGCGATTGATTTGGAGGGTGTTTGGGTGGTCGTCGTCGTTGCCTGCTTGTTGGTAGGCATGCTTGCGACTGATGTATCTTTGGTAGAACTGGCGGAGGATGATGATGAAGAGGATGGCGAGGGCGACGCTGCCTAGAACGATTACTATGATCTTGGGAGCGGCCAGTTAGCTTGGGCTCCGGCCACGAGGGGGCTCATTCGTACTTGGATCTGCTTCGAGTTGCCCTTGTCGCGCCGTTGTAGTGTTGAGGTCGGGTTGCTGAAAGAGCCATCGACGACTTCCCTGCGAGACAGGCCAGGCGCCGGAAACTGCGGGGCCATGACCGCGGGAGAGCAGCGGCGAGTCCGGAAGTAAACGTTCGATCGAAGGCGTTGTCTGTCCGGATACGAAAAACAAAACCTCATGCGCATCGTGCGCTTCCCCGCAGGGGAACGAAAGAATTGTTTGCCGCCCGGCGACACTCGGTTGTGCAACGCTCTTGTATGATACAAGGGTCCGAGTCCGAGGTTCGAATTTGGGGGCTGCTGGGGCCTGAGGAGGGGTTCTCAGTGGTCGTTTTGTCGCGTGGATTGAGAACCTGGGTAGGATCGGGTTCGAGACGTTAGGATCGCTAAACAAGTCGATGGTAGGCACAAAAGTCGAAACACAAAATCACCGAAAACCGTTGACAATGCAAACGAAAAGCATCAAACAATGGGGAATTGGGCTGTGGACGGAGCGGAGGCCACACCGGCGGCAATGGGGTTGTTCTTTTGGCTCACGGTCCCTGCGAGGTCGAGGCACTGCTGCCCGCCAAGTCTGGCCGCTTCATCCGGTAAGGCTGGCCGTCTTGACAGGGGGCTGCTGGCCGGGGGCGGCGTCAGGCATTGTGAGAATCGCTTAACAGAGTTGATTGGCGAACCCACAGAAGCTCCGTGGAGGTGGAGTCAACGAGGCTCCTTTGCATTTCCCACCTCACGCAGTCGCCATCCATCGGTACCGTAAGCTGAGCCACAGCAATGCGTTCATCGAGCTTGGAAAACTTTTCGGGGCGCTTATTTCGGACGAAACTTTGGTAGAAGGGACGCTGGGCCGCTGACACTGGAAGAAACTCTGTTCATAGGCCGTGAAGGGATCGGCGTGCGTAGGGCAGAGATGCGGCGCGCCTCGCTTCCGTTCCAGCTTCCGTTCCAACTTGCAACAAGACTAGACTGATGAGGCACAGATTATCGCTGATACGCACTGCGTATTCTTTTCTTCTCTAAAGACCCTTGCGGCCAAGGGAGAACACTTGATCCAGGGTATCAAGGCTTGTGTGGGTTTGTCTGATGAAGTTTGGTGTTTGGGCATGCTGGCATGGACCCCACCAACCCACCAACCAAGCGAGCCAAGGCAATGGCGCCAGCTTGATCTCGAATCCTGGTGAGAAATCTCAACGGTCGGCCAAGTGCCCGAGGAGATGCCGTCTCGATGAGATCACCTACTGTGCAACTGCGTACTCTGCGGTGCAGGTCGTGGCCTGGAAGGAGTCGGCGAGTGTCTGCCTTCCCGGCGATCAAGGCGCCTAAATTGCCCAGCTGGTTTGACAAGCGGCGTTCCGCGTGGCTGGGACGTCAGAAGAGACGGCAGCGCCCCCCAGCTGAGTGCATGCAGGCCGCGGGCAGAGCCCCTTCTGGGACTGGGCACTGAGACTTTCCCGACCCTCCAATTGGAATCTTTTTAACTGACTCCCACTTGTCGTCGTTTCCACGGCTTTCTCCCCGCTGAGTTACCAGGCACCTCGACGAACCGAGAGAACGTCGGTCGCTGCCCGGGCGTACCTGACAGCAGCAGGTCTCAGATTTGGAAACCTTTTTGATATTATGCAACCATCTCAACCCGCCCTCCCAAACGCGTCAGCTGCAAGTTTGCAGGAGTCCCGTCCCTCGCAGCAAGCAATCATCAAGCAGCGGGCCAATCCGCGAGCAAGACTCGAGGGTTTCGCCAGAGCGTTGCATTCGTCATCCCCTGCCGCACGGGCGTCGTCTGTTGCCCAATCGCTGGCCTTGTCGAGCCATGCTGACCGGCTGCTCGGGGATGCCGTTAAGAACTCTTGGAGCTGCTCTTTGGTGCCGTCTTTCTCGCCCGGTTCGCATGCTAATTTGCGGATGTGAGCATTTGGAATCCGTGCTCATGGGGCTCGTGTGGGAAGTTTTCCAGCGAGCCCAGCAACCGTGCAAACCAGACACCCCCGACGCAAACAACGCAACAACGCAGATCGCATACAAATCCAGCAAATAATCCGAGGCAAGGCGGGGAGCTCCGGTTACGAAGTATGCACTTGACACAGGAGTTAGATCGGTCATATGTGTCGCCTTCCTTGAGCGCACAAATAATACTACTCCCTTACCCAGGGGTCTCGATAATTTTGACCCATGCTCGTTTCTCATCAAGAGAGGAATCTCACCAAGAAAAAAAAGAGAGAAAAGATGATCGTGCACCGGAGCATGAAGAAAGAAAAGACGACATTATCAGACGCTTCCGGGAGAGGGGTGGGGCGTGGTTGATCTAATCGTCGTAGCTCGAGGTTAGAAAATCGATGCCATTTAGGAAAGAAGGACGGTGTTTACTGAGCGAGTGCACTTTTTAAAACGGCCCTTCAATTTTCTAGCGACTGGCCTGTGACACCAAAACGCTCAATACATTCAGGCAAATGGGATATAAACATATTAGCCCAGCCTCAAGTTCTGGCCCGTACCTAGCGCCGGGTGCCGGATGCGGCAAGCAGGACCGGCCAAAGCCGGACCCGGATCGGAGCCATCGGACCAGCGGCCCCACCCACCCACTTGCACATGTCAACACCGCGCAACTTGGGCAATTCTCATCCATTTGGTTTCATCACAAACTTTCAGCAGTTTCTGTTTGATTCCGTTCTTTGGCTGTTTTAGTCAATCGGCAGTCGAGCGTGCAACAACGCGTGACTAAACCATTCCCAAACTGCAGCCACTTGCAAAGACCCTGAATCATCATCGAACCTCGGTTCGGAGTCGGTTCCCCTCATCGGGACGGTTATTCTAGATCACCATGGCTGCAAATACACCAGCCGTTGAGGACCCCATCGTGAAAAAACTGCAAGAGTACACCACGTACGTGAGCAAGGTGGCCTCCACGGAGAACACAAGGTAACACAAAACTCACCTCCGTCTAGGTGCGATGTCTCGGACGCCCTCGTCAAGCTCAAGGTGCCCAACGGCGGCTTTCTACCCGGTATCACCATGTGGTCGCCGCAACGTCAGGATGGGCCTACCAAGATAGCCGGGCCGGTGTATACCGTGCAGTACGCCCCGCTGGACGATGTGAGGCCCAAGTGGCCTAGTCACTACGTGAGGCCCATCTGTTTTGATTTGGCTTTGAAATAGGAGCTAAGACAGGAGGCAGATCGACTCTGTTCCAGCCGGCGCTGTTGTCTTCGTGACATCCACTCCCAGCACGTCGAATGCTCTCTACGGAGGTTTGATGAGCACTCGGGCCAAGGCGAGTGGTGCCGTGGGTTCCGTCATTGACGGCCGCTTTCGGGATCTGCAAGAACAGAGAGATTTGGACTACCCAGTACGTGGCTACCTGCCAATGTGGTGGAATCGGCTTGAAGAAGACTAAAGCCTACTCAGGTATTCGCTCGCGATGTAGGCACCACGCCACCCGGCCCCTTATTCAAGGTTGTTGCGGTCAATGAACCAGTGAAAGCCTCCAACGATGGTCGTGATATCGTCATCAATCCTGGGGACTACTTGATTGGCGACATCAACGGGGTGGTGATCTTGCCCAAGGGGCTTGCTGAGCAGGCTTTGCCGCTCATGGGGAAGCAGGTCGAGGCGGACTCGAAAATGGCTGTTGCGATTCGAAACGGCATGAGCTTTGCCGAGGCGAGCAAGAAGTTCAGATCATGAAGCACACAATCAATAAGATAGCTGCTGATAATATACTGGCTGCTAGTAGTCCGAGTACTTCTTTCCTCATTTCTTCACACCCTTCACCACAACAAAGAACGGGTCCGCGACAAATTCTTTCCAATACTCGGAGTCCTTTTGTACTACCTCCGTCGCTCCGTACGGCACCGCCTCGACGTTGGTCAGTCCAGCTTGCTCGTACACCTCGAGCGAACTCGCGCGGAGAATATCGAGGGTTGCCCCGTCAAACACGATGGGCGGGTCACTCTGGGCCGTAACAGAGTACTTGACCCCTCCGGGGAAGGGTCTGTACTCGTTGTACGTGATGCCGTATTTGCCCGTCTTCAAGTTGTCGCTATAGATGTTCGCCGTCCGGACTCCGACGAACAGGCCGCCGCTCTTCAGGTTCCCGACCACGTTTTCAAACATGGCCATCAGCACCTCGGCCGTCTCGGCAAAGTCAAACACCCAGTTGCCCATGACCACGTCGTAGCCCTCGGGCCGGAGCGGCAGGTGCGACAGCGGCTTGGCCGCGTCGGCCTCGAAGAAGCGCATGACCTCGCGCCCGAGCGACTTCTCGACGTCCTCGGCCACCTTCAGCATCCCCGTCGAGATGTCGACGATGTCCACCGACACGGCCCCGCGCTTGACGGCCTCCCGCGCGTGGAGGCCGCTGCCGCCGCCGAGGTCCAGGACAGTGAGCCCCGTGAGGTCGTCGCCTAGGGCGAGGCCGATGAGCTGGCTCTCGAGGGCAGCGGTCGGGGTGGCGCTGTACTGGTTGTTGTAGTCAGCCGCGAAGCTGTCGTACTCCTTCTTGGCTTGCTCCGGATTGGACATGGCGGGCGGTGGGTGGGTGTGCCTGCAGTGTGCTGAAATAGGGATGTATGGCTGGATGCAGGGTTTGAGCTGCCGGGTACGTTGTCCTACACACCGTGAAAATGAGAGAATAACTACTGAGTGACCATCGTTAGGCCGCCTTGGGTCCCAGCCCCTCACCAGGGCCTGTCTGCAGACGCCGGGGTGGACTCCGTTTAGACTACCACCTCACCTAGTGTCAATACTGCCCGGCGCGAGACAGCCGGATCAACGACGCCTCCGCTATCCTGCATATGCATGTATGTACAGAGGAGCAATGGATCCTCCGAAGAAGAGTTGCCCAACCCAGACCACCACCGCATGGCATCCTCCGATTCCCAACAGGGCCATGGTGATTGGCGAATTGGAAAGGGAGAAATGCCGCGCATGGCAATGGTCTTGGAATATTAAGCCACCCTTCCGGCCCCCGGATTATTCTGGAAACGTGCTCACCTGGATTCAACCGACCTGTCTTTATGCGGATTGCGGCACAGATCCCGGACGCCCCCTACCGCATTGGGCATATCAATGGCACCTAACTTGCTCATTCCCACTCGCAAGTGGCTGAAATGGGCAGCGGACACAGACAAGTTCCGTGGGTCGTACCAGAGAAGAGTCGATAAGGTCACTTATCCCCGAATATGTTGGCTTCGGGTTTGTTTTGCACTCGGAGACGTTCGAGTGGGCATCGAAGGAAAACGCGAACTCGAAACCGACATTCGCCATGAGGTCTCATCTGCTTCTCGGACTGTTGCTGGGTGTCCTACCATGGACCGCCGTCGCGCTGATCGGCGCCGGCGGCCAAAGAATGTTCTATCCAGCATGCGCATATGCATGTCTTAGGGCTCTCGACCCGTTCATGTTGGATTGTTCTAGCCACGATGGCGCAGGAGGCGGCCACTCCCACGGCAGCACAGGCATGACATCGCCAGAGTGTCGATCTGGGAACAAGCCCTACTTGTCGACACTGGCGTGGTGTATGCACACCCGATGCACCGACGATAGCGTGCCGGCCTGGGAGCTCGAGAAGTTCTGGGGCGAGCAGGCCACGCAAGATCCGACGGTGGCCCCGAAATGGGACTACGGTGCCACCGTCGCCAACATCTCCCAGCCGCCAACGGAGGTGGCCGACCCGGAAGAGATGCTCGAATCCACCGCGCTGGCGCCCGAGGTTCCTTGGAAGACGCAGTACAATACCATGACCACCATGGAGTACGAAGAAACGATGCACGCACGATACGGGTACGCACCCTCCGCTTCCAACCTCCCCATCCAGCTCTCCGTCCCCACCCACCACTAACAAACCCCCAGCATCATAATCCTCGTCGTCGGCTTCGGCATCCCCATCTTCTTCACCGGCCTGCGCCACCTACCCTACATGTCGGCCCTCCTCGACCGCATCAACCCTTACCTCGTCTACCCCTCAACCTGGGGCACGCTCCAGGTGCAACCACTACCCTACCTGCTCGGCAACGCACCAACAATCGGCCAGGCGCTGTACGTGGCGGTGCTGCTGGTGCTCAACGTCGTGCTCTCGGCCGTGTCGTACCGCTCCATGCAGCCCAACGCCTGGTACGCCACCCAGTACCAGGAGATCCTCGCGTGGATCATGTACCGCACGGGCAACCTGGGCTTTGCCCTGTTTCCGCTGGTGATGCTGCTCGCGGGCCGCAACAACGTGTTGCTGTGGCTGACTGATTGGTCCCATGCGACCTACGTGCTGCTGCACCGCTGGGTGGCGCGCATCTTTGCCCTGCAGGTGCTGCTGCATTCGATTGTGGCGCTGGTGCTGTACAAAGATACTGGCGCGTATCCAGCCGAGGAGAAGCAGCTGTATTGGATTTGGGGCGCCGTGGCGACGGTTGCGGTTAGTGTCATGGTGCTGGTGAGTGGGTTGCCACTGCGGCGGTGGTCGTATGAGATTTTCTTGATCCTGCATATCCTGCTGGCGGTGTTTGTCGTGGTTGGGTGTTGGTATCACGTCGAGCTGCGGTTTGAGCGGATGTTTGGGTATGAGATGTGGTATGTTCTTTTCTTCTCCCCCCTTTCCCTTATCTACCCCTGAACGGGTTGATACTCACGAAACCCCCCATGACAGGATCTACGCGACATGCGCAGTGTGGTTCTTCGACCGCCTCATCCGAGTCCTGCGCGTCCTCAAGGCCGGCATACGCCGCGCCAGGGTAACCGAGATCGGCGACGGTTTCGTCCGCGTCGACATCGAGGGCGTCCGCTGGGGCACCACGCCCGGCCAGCACGCCTACGTGTACTTCCCGACCCTCAACCCGCTCCGGCCATGGGAGAACCACCCGTTCTCCCTCCTCCCCTCCTCCATCCTCTCCCCAACCACCACCACCACCACCACAACTCCACCCACGGCCGCCACAACCGCCTCCTCAGACGACGACCCCGAAAAGTCCGCCCCCAAACCCACCACAACCACCACCACAACCCCCCACCCCCACACCCCCCCAACAGCAGCAGCAGCAACACCAGCAGGAATAACATTCATAATCCGCAAATCCACCGGCCTAACCCGCCTCCTCAAATCCCACACCTCCCTCCCGGCCCTCCTCGACGGGCCCTACCCCAACAACCCGACCACAGGCATCCAACGCTGCGACCGCGTCCTGCTCATCGCCGGCGGCATCGGCATCACCGGTCTCCTCCCCTGGGCGCGCGCCCACCCCAACGCTCGCCTATGCTGGAGCGTGCGGGCTACCGCGGCGGCGCTGGCCGAGGCGCTGGGGCCTGCGTTGGAGGGGGTCCCGGCGGGGGAGAGGGAGGTGCGGGTGGGGAGGCGGTTTGATGTGCGGGGGTTGGTGGCGGAGGAGGTGGCGGCCGGGTGGAGGAGGATTGGGGTGGTGGTGTGTGGGCCGGGGGGGTTGTGTGATGAGGTGAGGGCGGTGGTGGCGGAGGTGGGGAGGAGGGAGGGGGGGAAGGGGGTGGTGGTGGAGTTGGAGGTGGATGCTTATTCTTGGTGATTTAGGTAGGTAGGTACCTAGGTAGGGAGGTAATTAAAGGGGGGTGGGAGTGTTGGTTAGGTTGGCTTGGTTATCATGGTGGTTGGGCTCCTCTCCTGTTCTGTTTTCGTTTCATTTTGGTTGGGAGGGATCGTTGATCGTTTTGGATTGGGCTCAGGGGTTTGATTCTGTTGGAGACTTTCGTCAGGTTGCCGACTGTTCCGCCTTTTATGCTAGATACCATGGGAAATTGATTGCTTTTGTTCTACCAACTGGCGTTGATTTGGTGTGCTCTCTTCACTACCTGTAGCTGTTGTTATAGATGACGGTTTAGCTTTTGCCTTTCCCTGAAGCAGAAGTACAATACAGCATACCTACTGGGATCTCGATTCGTCATTATGCCGCCTGGCCCGACGCAGTAATATATCAATAATTACATGAACTAAGCCAATGTCAATAGTCGAGCATATCTCAGTATATCCCATCCTCACTTCATTTGAACGCCAGCCCACCGAATTATACCTTTTCATGCCTTCCCGCTCTCTGCATTCTCAGCAGCCATTTTCTTCTCCTTATCACTGACGAAAGCAGCGCACGCGACCAGGGCTGTCCCAGCCAGCATGACCACGCCGCAGAAAATGATCAGTCCCGCGAGGTTGTTACCACCTTCGGCAATGGCTCCCTGGGTCGGCAGGCCCGTCAGGCTGGCGACGGCGACGATGGCAAAGAAGGTGCCGAGCATCGCGCCCAGGTCGTGTGTGTGGCCGCCAGCAACCTCGATCAGCGCGGGCGACATGAGCGACACAAAGGCGCCGGAGACGAATCCGAACAGGAGGACAAAGACGACGAGACCGCCGAGTGAGTTGTGATAGTTAATGGGCAGCCAGATCGCCAGCACCATGACAGCCGAGAGGAATGCGCACAGGGTGATGACCCGCAGAGAGGACCCAACCTTGTCTGAGTACATGTTGGGGAGAATGCGGCCGGGGATCGAGGCGGCGCTGGGAGATGGATTAGCAAGATCATGCCTAGTTGGGCAACACGGCGTGGAGGGAAGCTTACTTGAGAATGGCGACGGTGTATAGTGCGATGTGCTCGGTCGACGCGTTGCTAGACGCGAAAATGGGCAGGTAGTCAAACGGGCCAAAGAGGCCCCAGAAGAAGAGGAAGCTGCCGGAAACAAAGAGGAGGTAGGACGGCTTCTTGAAAGTTGCGAAGCTGATCAGGGACTTCCGCCCTGCCAGGCCCTTGGGCGGGAGTGGGCTGGTGATGAGGAGGTTGGCGATGGCGAGCATAATGCCTATCATGAGGGCCGTGTACCGCAGCGTTTGGCGGAAGCCAATCTGGTCGAAGAGACGGGCGAGCATGATGGGAAAGACGACGCCACCGCACGAACTGCCGCTCGTAACGATACCCATTACGAGAGCCCTTCTCTTCTTGAAATACTGGCCGGCAGCGACCAGACCCGGTATAAAAGCCCCCGCCGCACCCAGACCGAAACACAGGGATTGGGCCAGAAAGATCTGCCAGTATTCGGTGGCAAACGAGAGGGCGATCAGGCCACCGACGGAGAAGAAGGCGGCTGGGACAAGGATGGCCCGTACGCCAAACATGTCAACGCCCATGCCCACCGGCTGAGAGAGGAAGAACATTAGGAACAACTGCATCGTCAGGATCCATGTGATGTTGGATGACGACTCGTTGGGTAGGATCTCCTTCTCGTAGACATATTGGAATGAACCTAGGCTGTTAAGGGGGTGAATAGTTAGCTCGCTGATGCTCGTGCTAGGGGGCCGAATCGATTCTTACGCATTAATGAAGCCAAATGAGCAGAACTGGCAGAGCCAACCACCGGCCACGGTGAGCCACGCACGTGTACCACCATCGGGAGGAACGAACGCCTCCGGCTGTGGCGTCTCAACGGTTTCGGCTGCAGGCTCGGTAACGACGGCATCGTCAGGGGCCATCGTGGTTGATGACCGGGGCTTTCCTGTTGACATTGTGATTTGAATGAATTTGGGTTTCGGTTTCCAGTTTCAGACGTTGAAGTTATGATAACGGAAAGTGTAATCGCTAGCCGGCCGGTGTGACCTAGACGTTCAGTTGCTCTTCTGGAACAAAGTTGTCGCCCGTGATGGAAGTTGTCTAGCTTGGATTGGAGAACATTTCAAGCAACCCGAGGGAAGGGTTAATATACCACCCTGCCTTTTAATACACCGACTTTTTCCTTTCTTCACACATCCCACGTCTTCAACCGGTTTCCATGTTGAGCAGACCTGCTCCGGGGATACTCCGCGGAGCATTCATCAAGCCAGGGCATCCGCGGATCTTCCGCCCAGGCCCGCGGATCGCCGATGTGTTGGAACTGGTCGAGCCTTACCTAATCTAGATAGGGAGAGTACCTAAAAAGAAAAGGCCATTAACGACATGTAGCTAAGAATCGACATCCGCCCCTGGCATTACCGCCTTGAGTGGAATATATGCCAGTTGGTTAACATGGAGGCCGTGCGCTCCTAATAAAGTCTGATAAGATTTATCTAACTCCCTCCTTTCACAGGGCACGTGGTGTAATGGTACATATCCGGGCTCTCATTAACAGGCACCAGGGAGTAGCTGGTTCGATTCCAGCGGTGTCCATTTTTTAAGACGCGAAGAACAGAGGGGGGCGAGGCAATAAGATGTAACGGGCTTGTTCCTGCCTTTTCAGAATGTAAATCTGTTGTCGACCAGTTTAAAGGAGGAAGGTGTGCTGCAGACCACACGCCAGCTAACAACAGCAGTCCAAACTACGGCACATGGTCTTCCATTTCGTACCTAAATGATTGGCCGGATGATCCGCGGATTATCCACGCACATGGTGCCACACACAACGTGCCATGTCTCACCGACGTGCTGCGTTAAAACAGGCGCGTCAAACATCACCCTACCCCGGCATCCACGGATACTCCGCGGTTTACACCCGAGACACCCAGCAGTCAACAAGACAGGGTCGCAACTATTATGAAACGGAGAGCAGTTGATCCGGCCGAAGAATCCTCTACGTCGAATAGACGGCGACAACCACAGACCTCGTGCGACTCGTGCCGGAAGCGGAAGCTCAAGTGCGACCGCGGACAGCCATGCTCGAGCTGTGTTGCACGGGAGTTGCCCTGTCATGGGCAACCAAGTGCCAAAATGATAAGGGTGGACCAGAGGTTGGTGAACTGACTCCGTCTGACTGGCTGTCATGCATATGATGATGCACATAATTATATAATATCGAATTTACAATATTCATACGCAAGAGCTGACCATGTCTAAGCCCCGACCCATCGTTAAATCAGAGCATCCTCCGGAGGCTTCGCGCCCTTGAGGAAGCCGTCTTTGACAACCACAACCACAAGGACAGGCAAGCTCACCCGGAGCAGAGCTCGCAACCTAGTGTTGCCAACACGCCGATGTCATCCGCAATGGGAACCGATGGCCCCCAACCGGCGCGGGGAACAGCAGTGATGCCGCTTGGCCGTCTGGGGAGCCTCAAGTTTGGCGTTTTGTCTCCTGCTCCGTCCAAGGACCCGGTTGCTTTCTCCAGCTGTCCATCCGTTGAACAAGGTTGTGTTCGGATGATGCCTCTGGAGCAGGCCATGGCATTATTGCAAGACTACCTCGATCATGTGTACCCCCTTCTCCCCATCATCCACGGCCCGACGAGCCGGGATCTCATCAGAACGTTTTATGATGGGCTTTCCCGCGGAGGGCAAGTCACACCGCAGGTCGCGGCTCTCATATTGGGAATGAGTGCCATCAGCGCCTATTTCTGGCAGCCCGACACCGGACACCATGCCTGGTTCGCGTCCTCCAAAGATGCCTCCGAGGCATCGAATATCTGGCGGAACTGGGCATCCGACATCTTGGACAACACGCCCAAGGAGCCGGGCAACAGCACGTTGGAGGGGGTGCAAGCCTGGACCCTTCTCACCTTCATGGTTCAAAACGTCGAGGGTTGTTCTACCCGCTTTCGATTCCTGCACTATTGCTCGCTTGCCGCTGCCCGCGAGCTTCTGATTCATGTTGTCGATAGCCCGAAGGCGGACCCCAACCAAGACCGTGTCACTCGTGAACTGAAGCGAAGGATTTGGTGGTATATCGCGGGAACGGACTGGTAAGCAACAACCCTTTCGCTCCAGTCCAAATTGAAACACACTGGTTGACCGGACTAGGCTTCTTGGATTCATGGGCGGCCCTACCGAAGGCACATACTCCGTTCAGCTACGGCACATGACGGTCAAGTATCCGAGGAACATGAACGACAGCGACATGGGGACGTTCGACGACTCGACCAGCGCGCCCGTCAACATGTCCACTCAGATGTCGTACTTTCTCCAGAGGGTACGCATCGGCGAGATCATCCGGGAAGTGCTGGACACCAGCCACCCAGGGGGCCCCGACGTCGACATCACCGACTACGACAAGGTCCTTCATCTCGACCGCCTATTCGAACAAGCTTTCATGGATCTACCCCCGTTCTTCCGAGGCCAATGTCAACCGTCACCCAGAGAGCTTGACACGCTCGAGCTGCAGCGCGTCATGATCCAGCTCGGCCTCCTCGCGCGACGCGCCCGGCTGCACCGACCCTTCCTCCTACAGCAGTGCCGATACGAGCCGCACCACCAACGGTCCCGCGACATATGCCTCAAGTCCACGCGGGATGTGGTTGCGCTCGCCATCAGTACCTTGCAGAACTCGTTGAACATGGACCAAGCCGGTGCGGCGGCCGCCGACCACAGACGACCTAGGAAGACGGGCTCCTCCACCCACCGGCTTGGTCTCGTCATCAACCACCTCTCGACATCCTGCACCGTGCTCGCCCTGTACATGGCCGGCGCGAACCCCGCTCCTCCTAATAGAAAGAACGACAACATCAACCACTCCAACTCCCCAACAGAATCACCCACCGCACCACCCACCGCGCTACCCACCCACGGGCAACCCAACATCCCCACCCCAACATCAACAACCGCCAACGCCATGGGTGGTAACACCAACACCAACACTACCCATGACAACAACCCGGAAGACGCCGCCGCCATATCCGACGAGCTGGGACAGGCGTGCCGCGTGCTGGGCGCCCTGGCCGGCGAGTCGCCCGCCGCCGCCGACACGCTGCGGAATCTGGTGGGGTTACTGAAGAAGTATCGGGCGCAAGGGGAGGTCGGTGTCGGTGTGGGCGTTGACGGCGGGGGGATCGAGCCGGGACAGCTATTTCAACCTCAGGGGGGGCCGGTGGTGGGCCGGCATATGGGTGGGAGTGGGCAGCAGCAGCAGCAGCATGTGGGGGCTTTACCGGGGCAGGGACAGGGACAGCAGCAGCAGCAGGGGCTTGGTGATGTGGGTGGTGATGAGGGGCTGCAGTGGCCGGCGATGCCGGAGCGGTTTGTTACAGACGCCGCTGTGGTTGGGGATGTGGTGCCGTCCATGACCGGGGGGAACGCAGATGGGGCGATGGCAGAGGATGGGGGGCCGTTGAGTCTGGACGGGCTGTGGGACGGGTTCGTGATGGGCTCGAGCGAGGACTATAATCAGCTGTTTACGGATTTGGATTATTATTGCGGGATCTTCTGATTTCCACGGCAACGGACATCGCCGAAGGTCGTATCAGCAACGCCATGAAGACAATGGTAGTTGACCAGGCTCATCTTAATATATTTGGTTAATAATGGTATCTTTTCTCGCCCACTCGCTTCTGGACCCGGTTAAGCACCCAGTACTGCACATTCGCGGCAATGGACATGACCACCGCAACCGAGATCAACGCTAGGATGACGGTCCACCCCATCTTATACAGCGGAGCATCCGTCGCCTGGAAGAGTTGGCTCCCGATGATGCCCGAAAGATTCGCGCTCATGATGAAGAGCGCCATGGTGATGGATCGTTCGCCGGCCGTCCTTGCATTGAGGGCCAGCCAAGACCCGTGCACGGCGTCTATGGTGATGTTAGCCTCGAGTCGAAGGGAGAAAGTCATGGCGTGGGAAAGCCTACGGAATGTAGCTTGGAATGCGATGCCTGCGGTAAGCACGCCGAATCTGAGGTTGCCGTTCGTGGAGTCAACAAGAAGGCGATTCCCGAGCTGTGTATGCCGTCAGCACCGTCGCAAATTTCTATCTGGCGTAAGTTGACGCAAGATACATACCGTGAGCCCCCAAAGAATAAAGATACCCAAGAACACCACGGGACCCCTGCGTCCCGTCTTGTCGGCAATGGAGCCCGACAGTAGGTTGGTGATGATCAAACACCAAGCGCCAATAGACACCATAGCGTTCGACTTTAGCCGGTCGAACCCAAACGAGACGACAAGCGATGGGGCGTACGAGCCCATAGTGGTTGCCGGCGCCAAACATGTGAGTGTCACTAAGATGTGAGGAAGGAGTCGCCAGTTGGTAAACTAGGTACCCAATGTTAACTCTGCACTCTGAAGATCAAGGGGAAACCCACGGTGGCCCTAGCTTCAGCCCAGCTGACACTCCGGCGAGGCTGGAACTTGGTTGGGTCATCACGGAGAACCCGTTGCTGTAGGATCTGTGCCTCGCGCTCGCTAAAATATCGAAATTTGAGAAGGGAGACGGGGTTGCCGGAAGATCGTGGGAAGAGCGTGATGAATAGGACGCCGATGAGGATTGTGAACAGACCCTCGAGCTTGATATGGTTAGTCAGAAGTTGAACCACACCATATTCCACAAGATGGGTCAAGATAAATAATGTTGATACTTACCAGGAACAGCCATTGCCATCCGGCTAGACCACCTATCCCTCTCATGTGTAGGCTGAATTAGAGGTGAGTGGGCTGATTATGTTGTATGAACTGGCGCACTCAACACTCACATTCCATAAGCAATGAGGCCGGAGCATGCGCCAGCCAGCATGTTGCCAATGAAGTAGGCCGAGAACCGTGTCGATGTCTCGTCGCGTTTATACCAGCGCGTGATTGTAAAGAGTCCGGCAGGGATGAAGCCGGCCTCGCAGAGTCTTTCTCAGGGTTAGTCTTACTTTACTTCGCTGGATGGTACGCCCGGGAACCATACCCGAGTAGTAAACGCGTTGCAAGATATGGACCCAATCCCTTCTGGAAAGCTTGAAAGGCAGCCACAAGACCCCTGTTATGTGTGAGCTCTCAGTCACGGGCAATAAATGATACCGAGACTCACCAAGCAACAATCTGCCCACCGATCCAAGCGGCTGGTCCAACTCTGTAAAGAATCAGGTTGCTGGGAATCTGCCGGTGGTGAGTGGCCATGCCCGGCTGTAACGACGAAGTCTCAAGGACCGTGACTTACCTCAAGCAGGACAATACCGGCAGACAGCAGCTGCTGGCCAATGTTGAACTGAAACTGTGTGATGCCCACATCTTGGAGAAAGTAATCCGTCAACGCATTGCCACTAACAGACAAATATCGTTAGGGGGAGATCAAAAGATTGTGGGATGGGGACGTACATGTTGCCTCTGTCAAGCTGCAGGGCGAAGAAGCCGAGTATGAGAAGCGGCATAACAAGGAGGTCGATCCTGACCCGTGTATTATTAGCAAGTCCACTCTGAAACCCCGAGTTTGAACGTTGCACGCTCAACAGAGCATACCTCCGAACCAATGCCTTCTCCTCCGCTTCCGTCCAGGCTATTTCTTGGCCTTCATCATCACTCCTGCTGAGCTGACTTTCAGAAAACTCGGCGATTTTCTTTTCGTCTGCCATATTCGACGGTTTGATAATCACTGGAGACTTCGAGTTCTGTAATTCAGTCCGGAGCGTATTAATAGTGGGAACGGAAAGAGTACGTGAGAGAAGATGGCGTAAATATAACTAACGGGCCTCGTCGCTCCTCATCGCAGTAGCCAAATCCATCCCCGTCCCCCGTCCCTCCCTGGCTCCAACTCCATTGTAGGAATGGGTCCAACGGTTCTCGGCAAGGTCGTGGGGGACGCGAGCCAGTCTTTTGGACATGTTGCATCATGGTATCTCAGACCAATGACGGCGGGACAGCCGAGTGCGCCCATGCCCAGTTCAAAGAACTACCCCGTTTTCGGGATCACGAACGGAGTTAACGCCGGGGCGGCACTTCGCTAGTGCGTATTGATGCCATCGGCGTGGGCCGGCACGCCATCGGACCCGCGGGGCCGGGTATGAAGGTATAAAATCCGGCCAACCAACGGCCAGGCTCCCCCTTTGATGCAATTCGTGTCATGATTGCGACATGCTTGGTTTCGATAAGTGAACATGCTCAACGTTGACCATGGGTGAGGAGTGACTGCTGGTTGGTCAACGCACCCGAATTCCGAACTCGAGGTCCAGAACCACGAGGGCTGAACCGTTGAGGAGACAGTCAGGAACAGCGGGATGTGGGGGTTTTGGTTGCCGCGAGATGCAAAGATCTGGTGGTTGAGCACGCCTTTTCTTTGGTGTTGAAAGGAGTCTGGGCATACCATTTATTAATGCCTACATGTCCCCATGTTCTGAGAGGATGGCGTGATCATAGGTCCTCGGGCGCTGGCCCTTCAAGCTTTTAACACGGAGCCGCTTCCACTCAATGCGGTGGTTTTCGCCATTAAAGCTGAAAACCATTTTGCGAGTCTGGTCGGAGTTCATCTCATGATGGAGTGTATTTTGCATCCTCGACCACCCTCACTCCGACAGTTTCGTCAACCCGACATTCGGCGGGTTCATTAACGGCGGCGACGGTCTCAAAAATGTGTTCGTTGCATTGGGTGAAAACCTAAGGGTAGAAACACAGGCATACGGAAGTTTGTTGATCTATGAATATGCAAAAATAGGGAGCCGCTAAGTGAAAGGCTGGGGGAGTATTCCACGTTGAACCAGAGGACCGACTTCGTCGAGATGATTCCAAGTGAGCCTACCTACCTATTGTTCTAAGAATGATAGGATCAAATCCATCACTTGCAATTGCAGATGTAGACTCGGGCAGATGTCACACCAGCTACAATCATTACTCGGCTAGCTTATGCATCGAGATTCGGTTCGATCCGAGACTCAATCTCCAGATACTGGGTAACAAGCCATTATTTTCCGTGCCTGTGTGGTCTCCGGCGCGTACCACTATGGCACGGGATGGCAAAAGCACTGGATTCATGTGTTGCAGCATCTCTAACTGCCGAACCCCGTGGCAAAGGCACGATAGACATGATCGGCACTGGGTTTCACACGGGGTCTGGATCAATCCATAAGAAGCACAGCAGAAGCTTCCCGGCTAGCCTCTTGCTTGCCGACGGGAGGTAGCCAGCTACGAAACACCTGATGGACTTCGCTTCAGATGGTTGAAAGGGAAGAGGGCGATCCCTAAGGCGAGTCAGTTACAGCCTCTGGGGTGGCTCGAACTGACGGCGTCTCAATGAGGAGCATACCAGCAGTTTTACCGGGCACCTCAACCTTGAACCACTCCCACTCGTCGTTCGGTCATTTACGGGTGGTGATAATATTGGACGGGTAACGCTGAACTTCCATCTCAACGAGTACGCCCCTGTGTCCCTGACTGTCGACGGCTGGTGCTTGGGCTATTCCACATGCACGCAGCACACCTGTTGTTTCGCTTAATTATAGACCACCACTTGAGTAATACGGGAGTCATAGCCCGTGACTCGACACGTCAAACAAAGACGACGGAGAGTTTGGTTTGAGAAGACTGATTTAGTGCCATTAGTCCGACGAGCAAGTGGTGTTAGTTGTGTTATGAAACGTGATCGACCTGAGCGACTAGTGGAAATAAAGCGTCCCGTCAAATGTTAACGTCGTAAGATCGGATGCCTAGCGGAGTCCGGAGACCCGGCTGCGAATCGTCCCTGAGCTCCAGGCAAATACCCAGACTCCAAAATGCCCATAAACCCACCCACCGCCACTCCGATCGGGCAACCGTCCGCCGCCGCGTCTTCAACTTGAACGTCGTCATGTCGTCCCAACTTTGAAGAGACGGCAAATCGGCCGGTACCTCGAAGGCGAGCTTTGAGATTTGCCCAACGAGTTTTGCGAGCCGTGTGTACGGTTACGGTAGACCTTAGGCGCTTAGCTATCAGTAACCAAGGCGAATAGCCTCGTAGCGAACACGGAACGGACGTTAGTGGTGTGAAATCCCGGTTCTTTCTGCATCGAGCCTGGAGCGGGGATGGGGAATTACTGTGACAGCATCATAACTTACTTTGGAGCACAGTCCCTGTCTCACATGGCGGTGAAGTCGCAGATGCCCTACGGTACCTATCCTGATGGGATGACTCTCAAGACTTTGTGGCCCACAATGTCGTACATTGCCTGCGGGATCGGGCCATCCCAGTGGCGAACCCAACAAGTCAAATAGGAACACTCCCGTGCATGGGTTGCCGGGAGGCGTCCTCGTCCAGCGGGCATCGGAGCGCGAAGGCTGCCCGGCCTAAATCCAATGAAGGCTGTGAAGGCTGCGAAACACTAAGCTTTAATTCTTGTTTCCGCTCGGCTATCCCCGGTACTAGGACTGTCGTTGAGGCTTTTCCTTTATATCGCGACCTCTACTCCCCCGGTCTCGCTCCTCCCGCCTGTCACCGAACTTTCTCAGTGTATCACTCCCTCACATCCGCCTTGACCGACCGAAGGGCGTGACGGGCCCGTGGCGACTATCGAACTCCTCGATTCCGACGACACCCGGAGCTGATCTGTGTACCAATATCATGGTGTCGTCTTGCCATAGATAGTTCCCGTCCCGGGCACACCGCTCCCTCCGTTCTAGCGCCAATCACGCCGCCTCCCAAGATGAGACCCTCGACCTTCAACGTGTCCACGGCACCGTCACAGCCGCTGCAACCCTCCTATTATGCGGACCGGTCCTGGGTCCCCATCGTCGTGGTCACGTCTACTCTCACCATTGCCACAACCTGCGTGTTCCTGCGCACCTATACCCGCGCCGCCATAATCCGACGGTTTGGCCCAGATGACTGGGCTGCTGTTGCTGCCATTATCCTCGCCCTTGGCAGCGGGATCATGGTAGCTTTAAGTGCGTTATCACGTTGTCTGCTCCTTTCCAGAAATCTTCCGGCTGACCTTTGCTCCTAGATACCCTCTATGGTCAAGGTCGGCATATTGCGGTAGTTGACCCATCTCTAGTCTGGAGATACTTTCAAGTAAGCCCCAAGACGTCACTTGCGGTAATCCGCCCGCGCGCTGACCGTGTCATAGACATTTTACGTATCCATCGTACTCTACAACGCCTCGTTAACCGCAACGAAGCTCACATTCCTACTCCAATACCACCGCATCTTCGGGCCCGGCACAGTGCGGACGAGCATCGCCATCGTCGTCGCCATCGTCATCATTGCCATGTGGTCGATATCCCAGCTCATGGTCGTCATCTTCACCTGCACGCCCGTCCCAAAGTTCTGGCACCCCGAGATCCCGGGCACATGCATTCCGAGCCTGCCCTTCTGGTACTTCAACGCCGCAGGGAACATCATCACCGACATCATCATTTTCGTCCTCCCGCTACCGGCGCTGTGCCGGCTGAACCTCCGCCGCGGTCAAAAGCTCGGCCTACTAGGCGTCTTCTCCCTCGGATTCTTTGTAAGCCCCAACCCTCCCCTTCTTTCCTAGAACCCACTACTAACTCAACCGAATCCCACCCCTTTCCAGACATGCGCCATCTCAGTAATCCGCATCCAATACCTCCACCTCAGCGACGACGTGACGTGGGACAACGTGGGCGCCTCGTGCTGGTCGATCGGCGAGGTGTGCTCGGGCATCACCTGCGTGTGCCTGCCGACGCTGCGGCCCTTTTTCGCCCGCTGCTTCCCCGTCCTGCGCACCGAGCGCGGAACCGGCGCCGGCGACGGCTTTGGTGACGGCTTTGGTGACGGGTATGGTGATGGTGATGGTGATGGTGATGGTGATGGGGATGGTTATGGGGATCACGGCCGCGGCAGGAAGAAATACCACTACTACTACCGCCACTCGTCGGGGCGTGGTGGGGGGGATAGCAGGCCGAGTGATGGGGATGCGAGTACGAGGGGGATGGTGATGGGGTTGGAGGATCTCGAGTTGCAGACCAGTGATGGTCGTGACGATGGCAAGGGCGTAAATGCGAGGTTGGGTGATGTTGAGGAGGCTGGGGGTCGGGAACGGTCGTGGGGGAGGGCGTCGGAGGGAGTTGGGTTGGGGATTGAGCCGCTGGGGCGGAGTGATGGTGGTTTTGGCTTGTCTAGACCTAGGCCGGCGTGGCCTTTGACGGATAGGGGGTTCCAAGATTAAGAGGGACAATTGTAGTTACAAGTACGGCTAGAAGCCGGCAGCTTCCTTAGTTGCTTTTGATACCATTTTGCGTCTTACGAAGCTGGGATTTCGATCGATATCATCTGCATTTTCACCATTTGCGGGTTCCATTCTTCCTATCTCGACATCATACCGCGAAAGCAAGATCGTGACTTGGGAGCTAGTGGCAACTTGAACCGACAACCAGAAACGCTCTCACATGGAACTGAACGAGTCAACTCGTCCAATAGAACCAATTGTTCAATCATCACATGATCGTCCCGAATTGTAATTCGTTGGTTCCGCCTTCGAATTTCCCAAACTGGAACTCAACCTAAACACCATCACGACACTCGTTTCGCCTGACATTAACCTGTGGCGAGAATGGCTCTGGCAGGTATTCTGAGCTCCGGCATAAACCGTCTGAAGCCGATCATCGGTCGCGCTCCTAAGCAAATACAACTCTGCCGCCCCTTTTCTGAGGAGAGCGTCAGCCGGTACTGTGATGGAGGTTATCATCCTGTCCAGATCGGAGATTTGTTCAGCGATGGCAACTATGAGATTGTGAACAAACTGGGTTATGGCGTTTACTCCACCGTCTGGCTGGCTTGCAACACGCAGTAAGCCCGTTCAACCTCCACTGCGTACATAGCGCAGATCTATGATCTAAGCCAGAGATAGGACGAAGCGGCATGTTGCACTTAAAGTTCTCACTGCCGACTCGTATGGGCGTCAGAAAGACACATTTGAGCCGGATATTCTGGGGCATATCAAGTCCCAGACACCGGCCTCACCCCACCGCGGATCAGGCCACGTTCTCGGCCTCTCTGACAAGTTTGTGCATCACGGCCCTCACGGAAATCACCTCTGCCTAGTTTTCAAGGCGATGGGCCCCGACATGTCGAAATACAGACAGCTATTTCCCAAGCAGAGGATCCCGATACCCCTGATGAAGGAGATATCACGACAGTTGCTTCTCGCGGTCTCCTACCTTCACGACGTATGCCATGTGATACACACGGGTAAGGCATACGCCATGTTTTGGTCCCATGAAAGTTCTAATCCTGAGTTCGAATGCCAGATATCAAGCCCCAGAATATCCTAGTGGAAACGTTGGCGATAAACACCATGTTCGAGCAAGCGCCATCCGAAGTATTTCTGCCCGAAGATACCCCCCAAGCCCCCGCAGGTGACTTTTACATGGAATCAACCCAAGTATTCTCGGCCGAGGAAGATATCTCGCGGCCAACCGATCTGTCGGTCAGACTCGCCGACTTTGGAACTTGTGGGTGCTTCGACCGACCGCCAGGGTTAGGAAGACTCGGGACGTGATAACGCTGACAACTCCTCTCCCACAGCAAGCTGGTTCGATCGACACTTGACCGAGTGGATTCAACCGCAGATGCTCCGGGCGCCAGAGGTGATCCTCGGTGCGGATTGGGACCACAAAGTGGACATCTGGAACCTAGGCTTGGTTGTGAGTCTTAGCCCGCGCTGTCGTTGCCTATCGCAGATACGGTGAGCCGTAGGTTTAACGAGCCTCACAGCTTTGGGAACTTGCTGAAGGCCAACTTCTCTTCGACGGAAGCTGGACCCCGACTGCCGCTTACAGCGCCGATGCTCACTTGGCGCAAATGACGGCGATTCTCGGCGAGATGCCCAACTCGCTTCTTGCGCGATCTAAGAGAGGGAGTCAATATTTTAACTCGGAAGGTATGGTGAGCTTTACGATTACTGGAAATGAGAAGGACTGACTGGCACGGCACATAAAACAGGCAACCTCTTGAAGTCAGCCTTTCCGCCATGCTCCCTAGAGCGATTCAGCAAGTTACCTGATTTTCCGGACGCTGAGAGCAAGGCATACTTGGATTTTATCAAGTCTATGATCAGAATGGATCCGGAGCAGCGGCCAGATGCGAGGGAGTTGTTGGAGTCGGCCTGGTTGAGGTAAAATGGTGCATGTAATTATGTGCGCAGGGGTATGAATACGATAATAGTTGGTTTCGACTTTCGAGTTCTCCCCTGGGCACTCGCCAAGTCCGAAACAGCAACAATGACAAACCCGGACACCGGGTGCCAAGGCGGACTGGCGAACCACCGAGACTATTTCCGATATCCCTTTCCTTTCCCCCGTGGCTGGGAGCACTCGGAAGGAGACCAGGAAGTCTGTCCCAATCCGTTCCCCATTCCGTTGGCTGCTCCGGCCAAGGGATTGCGATTGGGGTATGGAGAAATTCTCCACGAATGCACCATTGTGTTTTGTAGACATCTGCGGCACGATGGCCCAGAGAGTAGACACGGAGCCCCATGCTCCGACATTAGGCCAGAAGCCCCACCTCCCAGGAGCACGAAGGGAGCATCTGCTCTGTCTCATCGACACCGTTGACGTATGTCAAGGGTAGTGACGGGAATGACGGGAACGTTGTTATTGATGTATAGATTTATGTAAAAGGTGTCCGCACTACTAATACCTTCCTGGCCCCCGTTTCTGGGAATTCAGTTCGGTACCGGCAACACTGGATTGATTGACATCCACAATGGCCAGGGCTCTCAAATACTTGCTCTACGGAGTCGTTGCCTTCGCCGCGGGCACAAGTGCGGCTCCTTCGTGCCCTGCTCCCGGCGGCGGTGGTGCTAGTCCTCGGACATTCGAGGCTGAAGATGCCACTCTGAGCGGAACAACCGTCGACACAGCTCAGACTGGGTTCACTGGTGAGGCTTGCATCTACCCAAACACACTCGGACAGTGGTACTAACCCCACCCTCAGGCACGGGCTATGTGACGGGCTTCGAAGATGCCACCGACAAGTTGACCTTTACCGTCGACAGCGCCACCACCCAGCTGTATGATCTCAACATCCGCGTTGCCGCCATCTACGGCGAGAAGCGGACCTCGGTGATCCTCAACGGTGGAGCGAGCAGTGAGGTGCTGTTCCCGGCCGCGGACACATGGGCCGACATCGCCGGCGGACAGCTGCTCCTGAACGAGGGCGACAACACAATCGACATCGCCACCAACTGGGGATGGTACGTCACAACCCTCACCGCCTCAACCCCGGGGCAACCCGCCACAACCCACCCACCTCACATTACCCAAACTAACAACCCACCCCCAGGTACCTCATCGACTCCATCACGCTCACCCCCTCCGCCCCGCGCCCCGCCCACGACATCAACCCCACCCTCGTCAACACCGCCGCCAACGCCGACGCCGTCGCCCTCTACGACTACCTGCGCTCCATCTACGGCAAGCAGATCCTCTCCGGCCAGCAAGAGCTCTCCTACGCCGACTGGATCGCGGAGCAGACGGGCAAGACGCCCGCGCTGGTGTCGGTCGACCTGATGGACTACTCGCCGTCGCGCGTCGAGCGCGGCACCGTGGGCACGGCCGTCGAGGAGGCCATCACCCACCACGAGCGGGGGGGTATCGTGTCCGTGTTGTGGCACTGGAATGCGCCGACCGGGTTGTACGATACCGAGGAGCAGCGGTGGTGGAGCGGGTTTTATACTGAGGCGACGGATTTTGATGTGGAGGCCGCGTTGGCGTCGACGACGAATGCTAACTATACGCTGCTGATTCGCGATATTGATGCTATTGCGGTTGAGTTGAAGAGGCTACAGACGGCGGGTGTGCCGGTGCTGTTCCGGCCGCTGCATGAGGCCGAGGGTGGTTGGTTCTGGTGGGGGGCTAAGGGGCCCGAGCCGGCCAAGAAGCTGTGGGGGATTCTGTATGAGCGGTTGACGGTTCACCATGAGATCAATAACTTGATCTGGGTGTGGAACTCGCTGGCGCCGACGTGGTACCCGGGTGATGAGACGGTGGATATCCTGTCTGCGGATGTGTATGCCCAGGGCAATGGGGTGAGTCTGGTCGGGGGAGGTTGCGTTGAGGGGTTGAGAACATACTGACATCATTCGCAGCCTATGTCGACGCAGTACAACGAGCTCATCGAGTTGGGCAAGGACAAGAAGATGATCGCCGCTTCAGAAGTTGGCGCAGCGCCGCTCCCGGATCAGCTGCAGGCTTATGAGGCACACTGGCTCTGGTTCGCCGTCTGGGGCGACACCTTTATCAACAATGCGGACTGGAATTCGCCGGAGAACTTGAACAAGGTGAGATTTCCTCCGTCTAGAGTATCACTCGCGAACCGGATTCGGAACTGACAACCCGCAGATCTACACGAGTGACTACGTCCTTACCTTGGACGAGATCCAGGGTTGGCGCGGCTGATGTGGCAGACATGCTCGGTTAGAGATTCCCCACGTCGTTCACGGTCTCGGCGTCCCGGCACCTGGCCCGCTTAGTGATCAAACTTTCCTCTTCCAGGTCGAGATGATCGAGGTGTTTTTCCGTGGGAGTCCGCCGTCCGGGATGCTGTGTGACTGTATATATTACGCAGACCGAGTGTTAAATCAACATGATGCCCTTGGCGAGATAGAGTTCATCCTATTCGTCCCACGACAACTGTCTGCCCCTGCTTGGCACTCCATGTTCGGGCAACTTACCCATACAGCCGGGAGACGAGGCAGGCTTATCGAACGGGAAGGATGGCGGACGTCGGTAAACTCTTCTCGGACCCCCAATTCGATATTGTCTACCGTCCTCTAGCGAACCGGGATAATGGGCGGCGATGCTTCGCCGTAGACACGGCTGTTGCGATTTGCTCTATAAAGGCGGCCGGCAATGTCTGATTTAATCTCCTTCTCTTCACTTGTATGCTCTCGCGGCTCTGCAGATCCCAGGAACCCGGTTGTTCACTCGAATCCAGATCATAAATCATTAACCGATCAAAATGCAACTCATCTCTCTTTTTACCGTCCTGGGTACCGCAGCCGTGGCTCTCGGCCAGGTCACCGGCCCCAACACCACGACCGGAGCTCTTGGGGACGCAAAGGAGGTTAAGAACAACCCCGTGATCGGAGAGACATGGATTGCCACCTTTGACTCGGATGCCGTCAAAGGCACCGTCACGGCGGTCGCCCACACCGTGGGTATCAACTATACCATCGACGTGACTGGCCTGGTGGTGGATAAGGGGCCCTACAGTACGTACCATCAGACCAAGCTTGCAGGAAGTGTTCTGACCTTGTTTAGAGTACCATGTCCACCTGCGTGCCGTCCCCGAGAGCGGCAACTGCACCGAGACGGGCGGCCATCTCGACTCGTACGTGCGCGGGGACACGCCCCCCTGCCTGAACACAATGCCCCAGACATGCGAAGTGGGTGACTTGTCGGGCAAATACGGCACGGTGGCCGGGCCAGATGTCATGAAGGAGTGAGTGATACATACACGTGGTCTTATTGAGAACGAGGATGGGTTTACTTACTCGGTCGATTTTCAAGGTTCAACGACAAGTACACAGCCATGAACATCATCCAACTAGGCTACATCGGCAACCGGTCAATTGTGTTCCACGACGGCAGTGGTGCGCGCATTGCCTGTGCGTCGCTGAAGAAAGCCGAAACACCAGACGACACCTGCAATTAAGGGTCGACGCATGCATGCGGCGATGGCTTCTCGAAACAAGTTTGGGGAACCTTTTCACCCCTGACTTTTTTGATTTTCTTTTCGAGCTCGTGGATTTTTTGATATTTCGAGGGCGGTGCACCTGCCCTAAGTCGCAAGCGGGTGGTAGAATAGACAATAAAACCCCTCTTTTTAGTCTCGCGGTTTCCATTTCTTTCTTGCTTGTGTTGTTGGCGCCTGCCCATGGAATATTATGGTGGGACCCAGTTTGCCCAGTTTGTACTTTAGGCACTTGTATTTCGCTCGTGACTCGAGCAGCAGGACTTTGCATCTCGGGATTCTCAAATCCAGTAGGCAAGATATCAAATGAATCGGATGATGGTCAGCTGGTGGGGTCACGATGCGTTGTTAAGCCGTGAATTTTACCTTGCAAGACGCCTCATCCCTCCGCCCAACTCAACGGCTGGATGCAGGGTCGCTGCGCCTCCAACGGATATGCCTGCTGTCCCAAGCACCAACAGACTGGGCCTGGATTGTTCCACCGAGTTATCCTTTTGTCCCTCTCGAGATGCAATAAATATCCATTCAAGGTGCACTTATCATTCCCTTTGAGGTCGATGGAACAAAGGCATAACTTTTCTATTAATTAGGAGGCTCTTCAACATTTTAAAACGTGGTTACCATCCCTAAACCCAACAGCTCAAACATCCCACCAGCAACCTGCAAACCACAACCGACAAGACACCCATCCAGCACCCCACCAACCAAGCAACCATGTCGCAATCCACAGCAGCAACAGCCGCCGCCCCCAACTCGGACCCCAAACCCGACAACAACAACCGACTCTACGACCCGGCCCTGCCCCGAGACGGCACCCTCCTCCAGCAAACCCTCCGGCCCGCGCCCGACGCCATCGCCCTCTGCACACCACACATTCCCCCCTCCATCACCACCGAACCCATTATCGACGTGGGGCTTTCCCTCCCCAACCCCAACGACGTCCTCCTCATCATCCCCACCGCCAACGCCTCCAAAACCGCCCTCTTCACCAGCCACCTCGCCGCCACGCGGCCGTCGCACATCACTTCCTTGACCCACCTCCAGATCCCGGCCGAGTCGGGCGTCGGCGAGCAGCCGTACGACAGCGCCGGCCCGCGCGGCGCCTTCAACCGCGTCCTGGGCGCCGTGAGCGCGCTGCAGGTTGATCCCGCGCACCGCGAGGCGTTGCTGAAGGTGCGGCCGGGCACGGTGATCGTGGGCGCGGTGGAGAACTTTGTGAGGCGGGAGCGGGGCGCGGACGGGGTGGTGGTGCCGGTGGACTACGGGGTGGTGGTGATGTGCCGGATGTCGTTGGCTAGCAGGGAGCCGGGCCCGTGGGAGTGGCGGGTCGGTGTGTCCCAGGGGGTGACGGTGCCGGTGGAGTATTGGAGGGCGGCTGAGGCGTTTGGGTTTGAGGATGAGGCGGGCACGCATGGTAAGGTCACGGTGGGCGAGGTGATCGAGGCGAATGTGGAGGGGGTGGATTCGGGGAATTGGTTCGAGTCGTTGACCGCGGCGCGCGTGTCGAGGTATGACTTGTTGAGGGGCGCCATGGAGGGGATGGAGGTTCCGTGGCCGGTGGCTACGGGGGCGGATGCGCCCGCTGTGGTGGTGTAAAAGGCATCTAAGACCCTTAAGACATTGCGTTTAGATCGGCAACGGCCGTGTAGTAGACCCCTATTATCTAGACTAGAAACTAACTCCCGTTTAACACTGCAATTTTAAACGGCTTCCATGACTTGACCTGGCTACTCAGTGAATCCTCAGATCTCTTGCCTAAACCTCACGGTTGTCCTGCCTTCTCGGGCGCGCTTTGTGAACGCACCCTCCGTGTCGTTAACCTTTTCCACTGCGCTCGAAACGACTTGACCTGCTGTTTCATGAACCGAGTGATGGCGTCGCTGTTAGCAAGCCACACCCGCCACAGCACCACGATGACGATGGTGGCCGGGACGGTCGTAACCCAATATACCCACAGCTTATCCGATGCCTGCCACGTCCCATCGTCGTCGTTCATGTTGAAGAAAGTGGTGCTGAAGAGCGCCTACAAGCAGTTAGAATAGGAAAACGGATACAAGTTGTCAAGACCTACGGAGATGAAGGTCGCTGGTAGAAAGATCATGGTCAGAAGCGCGATCGACTTCATGACACTGTTGTCCTGGCGAGCGAGGCTGTTGAAGGCCTAGGCACTGCGCGTGAGTTCCAATTTGCCATTGCACGAGTCCTTATTACATTACGTACCAGGTTGATTTCATTCTTTAGCCGTTCCTGGTTGGAATCAGACCGCAGTTTCAAAGCCTTGACCAGTGAGATTTGGAACTGAGCGTAGTCCTTAGCCTGCTCTCTGTACGTCTCGCCTAGATCGGGGTGTAATCTTTGTTGAATCGCAGTTCGGCAGTGCTGCATTTCTTTCAGTGTATCGATACTGGCCTCGAGAATCTCGGATGCGTGAATCGCGTGGCGGGACATCTCGTGGATGGGTCCGAAGATAGCACCAGTCCGCATGCGGGTCTGACATCGGTTAGCACGGTATGGTGCCAGGCAGTGGGACGATTTCTTTCTTGCCTTTTCGAGGAGCCGCACGGGGTCTCGTACGCGCCAAACCGAGACGTCCGCATGGACAACTATTTGATCCACGAGGTCGGCATGCATAGCAAAGGGGTCTCGAAAGTCGGGGGGCTCAGGCCGTGCTTCTAGAAGCTTTTTCAGCTCCGATGGGAGATCTGGTGGGACGTCGACACATAGAACCTGGGAGGAGTCCGGATAGTCCCAGCGGGTGAAGAAGGACATCTCGAACCACCTGTAGTCTTTCTTTTTGTGTTCTTCCACATATTCCTCGCCGTTGTCATGGGGGTCCTTCTCCACCTTCTTCACCATCTTCAAGAGGAAGCGAAACCAAGTTGCTGCGTCGTCAGCTTTCGAGAATACCGGCGGGAACGGTCGGGGCGCCTACTGTGGCTCGTAACATGGTTGGCGGCGGGTACTACTTGGTTGTCGAAGCTTGCCTTGCTCCCAAAGTAGCCGTTGACGTCGAAGCACGTCTTGTTTGCCACGAACTTAGGCACGTTAAAATGGGCGAGTAGCTTCTGGCGCCACCCGTCCGCGGTTGGATAGTGGTCTGCATTGAGGAAACTGGGCCGTTCAGTCACGAGGGACGGGGGATAATGACTAAAGTTGAATTTTCTCACATATAGCATTGCTTGGGCAACCTATTTAGCTAAGGGCTGGTTAGTCTGGTCTTCTGGCTATCCCCATAATGGGCCGTGGGATTCAAACTTACCGCGTCGAGAGAGAAAACCACCGGATTCAGCTCCCACCGATTTCCCGGTACTACGATCAGTCAGCCCACCCCATACCAACCTTCTTGTGAATCTAGTAGCCGTGGAAAGAGACTTACAGGACTCTAGGACGAGCATATGTGGGGTTGAGTCGGGTGGTGCCATGGGGTGAGAGCTTTGCCTTTTCGGCGGAACATCAAGCTGCGTGAGGCACCAGCCGCCAACTGCTCAATGGGAACCCGTGTCCCGCGGTGATTGCAGATGAAAGTACAGTATGGCTTAGCACTAAGTTGCCATGGCGGGTCAAAATGGTTGAGAGAATGTGTTGACCACCAACTCCTTTAAAGGTCTCCGTTCCGCCGGGCTGCGGTCGCCGCGCATGAGCTAAAGCACAACTTTGCTCACACAGCCTGACGAGGCGAGATGCGGTCGAACCGCACGCCAACCAGGCGCCCTGTTGATCAAGGGTGCTGGCCCTGCTGTGGCCCGACTGGGCCGCCCACTTGCAGCTTCTTTGCTTGATTGGGCGAGACATTTAACCCCTGTTATTATTTCAAAACAACAGCGGCAGTGTCAGTCGCACAAGGGTTGCTCTTTCAGAAGTGATCTGGGATTGATTCCCGTCGGGCGCAGATAGGGTTCAGTTCCAACAGAACAGTTCGTCGGGTACGTCGTTCATGTGGATCATGAGACCCATCGGCACCCGCCTACCCAGGTACGTTGAACACGAGTGAGGCTCATTCGTATAGAAGGCTCCGTCATCAACTTGGCTGCACCTTGGGCCCTGGCTGTGAGCCTGCTCTGCCGCTCTTTTTTTCAGGCCCCGGCCGAAAGGCTGCGTGGTGCCGAAATGGCTTGCTTGCGAGGCAAACCGGGGGCCGTTGCCGTCTCCTCAATCGACACGTAAGGTATCGCCTGAAAATGAGACATGTATCAACTATTCAACTTTTTCCGGCACAAGACACAGCGGCACTGAAGTGTGCGAGTTAAATCCAGTTGTTGATGGCCAGCTTGGCATCTTGAATCTTGGGCGCTGCGGGAAGTGGAGCTGTTGCATGGCCGTTTTAGTGGGGCTACGCCGAACCTCGCCCGGTTGGCGGCACGGGTCATCTTTCAACCGTGCGCCCACACACGCAGGTAGCCCTGGCCGAAATTTCCAAATTCGCGAAAACCCACGAGAGAGGGACCGATCGACCGACGACACCGCACGACCACCACCCTCACCACATCACGACCGGATCCAACCGCGAAAATGGTCAACGTTCCCAAGACCAGGAAGACCTACTGCAAGGGGCGGGAGTGCAACAAGCACACCCTCCACAAGGTCACCCAGTACAAGGCCGGCAAGGCCTCAGCATTCGCGCAGGGTAAACGCCGTTACGACCGCAAGCAGTCCGGTTACGGTGGTCAGACCAAGCCCGTCTTCCACAAGAAGGCGAAGACCACCAAGAAGGTCGTCCTCCGGCTGGTGAGATAAAGCCCCATTGCGAAAGTTTGGATGCGGGGCAGGAGTCGCTAAACTGGGTTGGATAGGAATGCTCGTCATGCAAGACCAAGAAGCAGCTCCCGCTCAAGCGGTGCAAGCACTTCGAGCTTGGGTAAGTTCCCCCCGACGTGCATCATGTTTTCGTTCGAGAGAGACCGCCGAGATACCCGAGACCGCGACGTTCGATTGCGACGACCCGCCAACCGTGGCGCATCCGGGCCGACCGAGCTACACAGCCGATTCCGCGCTCGGGATGATGGGGGACTTGATGGGGGGCGGCGAGGATGCCTGGCCCGACAATTGGAAGGGTCAGAATTGACGAGGGGGGGGGGAAACCAATTCTGCTCCAGTTCTGTCGCACAACACTGGCCTGAGGCTTTGTCCCCTCGCCCTTGTTTGCAGCAGCTTTCGGATAATCGACCCTGTTTTGCGGACGGGAGGGTTGAGGCACACACTCCGAGCGACCTTAACTGGCGACCGACCCAACGTTACGGACCTCTCTTACCACCACAGATGCGGATCGGCGGTCTCTCTTAACCCACTTTGCACAGCCAGCATGCGGACGGACCGGTTCTGACACTCGGATACAGTGGTGACAAGAAGACCAAGGGTGCTGCCCTCGTGTTCTAAGCGCCTCGCAGCTTGGGAAGTTGGGGGTGACGAAATGGGGACATGGCTTCGGATCTCCGGAAGCTGGCCTTGCATGGCCCTGCCCGCCATGCAGTGGGAATCCAGAAAGCGATTTCGATCTTGACATGGGGGAAAACCGGGCTTAGAGGAACATGTACATGGGCATGGGTGGTTCGGACGTGGAACAACAAGCACAATACCATCCTTGGGGCGTTTCGTCTGCGCTTTTTATTCACGAATAATGCTTCTAGTCCCCGGCCGTCAGGTGTTTTGGTATCCGCAAGCTCTCTTGTTGGAGGGGGGAAGAAGGTGCCCGTAGCTCTCGAATGCCGAATGCCAAGCCGTTGCCCATCACGCGGCATACAACGTCAACACCGATTACGGTTGCAGCCAGGAACAAGTGATGCAACGAACGGCCAGTGAGACCAACGGTTTTCTTACTCAAAGATGCGAAATCGACACACCGTTCCGGAAACCCCCCTCGATTGCAGCTTTGGGACGGGTTCCCTCAACAGTGACAATCACATCTCAGCCCTAAGTGAGCCAAGTCTCCAGAAACCAAGCGCGGGAATTTTACAAGCCCACCTCGTCGGAGAAAAGGGCCCTTAGCGTACTCGTCGAGACGCTTTAGCGTTGCACATGCGTGATGTCCGAAGGTTTGCAAGAGCGGACGGTCTCAACAACATGACTGGGTCTCGTTTTTGTGCTACCCACCATGGCTAGGTCACCACCACCCATCACCAATCCCAATGTGGCAACGGAGATCCGAAACGATGGTGGGGTTACCCAGCGTTGCTAGCTGGCCTCAGCCCTGCCGCAGCCACCGCCATCGCCGCTACAGTGCGCCAGCTAAGAGGTCGGAGGAAAGCTACGGGAGATGGACGGTGAGGATTGGCTTGAGCCGCGCTGCAGCCGCACTACAGCCGCACTGCAACCGTTCGGGTCTTAAAAGACTTGTCCAAACGGTCGAGCAGGCAGCGTACGCCTGATATGAGGACTCTGGTGCCCAGCGTTGTAGACTCACCTGCGTCCCAATTTAGTTCATATGGAAGTCGACGAAAGCAACAGCAACACACTGGTGCCCACTCTAGCGGGCGAAAGAAGCAGTTGGAAGTCACCGTTCGTACCAATGGGCACTTAACTACGGCAGGAACCAAACGTTAACTGAGATCCTAGCACCCGTTGGTGTGTCCCACGGCGGTGGAATCAAGAAACATGCAACAACCCCTAATCCGCCCAGGAGACAACCGGGCCGCCTACTCCTACACTCTGCAGCCTACGGAGGACCATGACGAACAGGAACATCGGGATGGTAATAATACAAGGGGGCGAAAATCGCCTGTATGGCGATCGGATAGCACCCCGAACTACAAGCCAACGGCGCTGCGATGGCCGTTCATCGGTACCGTCATAGCACTTCTGCTCGTGGCCATCGTGCTGGTCATCGTCGCCGAGAGGCAAATGCCAAACTCGGACAGCAATGTCCAGATACTGGGCGTTCATCCCAATGCCACACAGCCTGTCCGGTTCGCACGAGCTGTGTTCGACGCGTCAACACCTGAGGGTGAAGTGACGATTGATGCCCCCACTCCATCCTCAACCGTTGTCTCCACCATCCCTTCACAGGCACCAAGAAGCAGCTCTACGGCCAACGAGCAGATGAGGGTCTTGGCCCAGAGCGTTACAGAAACAAGTTCCCGACTACCAACGCCCCCCTTTGTTACTGGGTATATCTCGACGCAATCTCCGCCCTCGTCTAGTTCAACGTCTCGACTCTCAACAACGCAACCCATCCCTCCGTTCTCCTCGATACGCATCTCAACCCTGCCAGAGGCCACGACCCGGGCACTGTCTGTTTCATCGTCACCAAGCGGTGACAGCACTGTGCCTAACTTACAGATTGCCGCTACTAAATCCTCGTCGACCACCTCAAGTTCCACGAGCACAACGGCCAGCCTCCCAAGCGGCGCCCGGCTAATTCCTATCTCTACCTCGGTTTCCAAGTTCACAACCAGCATTACCGTGCCGATAACAACAGTCACCCACACGTCGGTCTTCACGTCAGTCCACACGATCATATTCACCACCGACACAACACTCGAGACAGAATGGTTGTCCAGCGTGACCATTGTTGGCCCCACGACGTTTTACTCCCACTTTACGACCAATGGAACCCAGGCCAGCATGCCCGTGTCGACCGCGACGCACACCTACATCAGCCTTATCACGGTGACTGATACCGAGACCGTCGGCGTTGTCGCGTCAACTGCGACTAGCACCGGAACGGTTACTGCAACCAGCACCATCACCGGCGTCGTCATACCCAGCGTTGGGGAGGTCACTATCACTTACTACAGAACGGTCTTCCCACCAGAGGAAGTGCCGGTGACTCAACCCCCAGACCCTGTGAAGGTGACGGGCGTGGAAGTTATCGAAGGGAGCGCCGTGGATGTTGTGCAGTCACAAGGACCTGTTGTCGTGGTTGTCAGCCCCTCAAACAAGATTGTGACCCAGGTTGTTGGTCCGCAGGTTAGCACGGGCGTGGCGCGAGTGGGAGGTTCCGTGGTTACGACTGTTTTGGTCATCACTCCGACGGCGGGAGTGCCAGCCCAGGTGGTCACTAGAGTTGGCGGGACGCCAGTGACAATCGTTGACAACCCGGACCCGGTGACTGTAGTGACGGTCATTGATGGCGCCCAGCGCACTATCGTCGAGACCCCGCCTCCTCAGACCGTCGTGACGGTACAAGGGGGCGTCGTCACCACGATTATGGGGGACCAATCTATTACCAGCACTATCATCGGAAATGTTGGGGGTACGCCGAACACCCAGGTGTTTGTTACCACGCCTTCTGGACCGCCGTTCCAACCCGTCTCGTACACGGTTGTCAGAGAAGCCGGAGGAACGTTGTTCACAGAAGTGGTTGTCACTACTCCGACCGCTGCCGGTCAACCACTTACGCTTACTGCTGTCGATATCGTCGGGGGAACACCGGTCACGCAAGTTGTGGTTACGACTGTTAACGGGGCTGTGGTCCGGCCAGTTTCCTTCACCATCACGACCAACGTGGGCGGTACCCCGACGGTTATCACCGTAACGCCGTCACCAACGACGATCGTGGAAACCATCAATGGGACCCCCATCACCCGGGTTACCACTCCACCAGTAACCAGCTTCACCACGACCATTGGTGGCACCTTGACGACTCAAGTCGTCGTCACGACCCCAACCGGCACCGAGCCCATCACCCTAACCGTCGTGTCCACATCCGGCGACTCCCTCAGCACCTTCACCACCACCATCCCGCCAACCACCCGGCTCACCACCATCTCCGGCACCGTACGAACCATCACCTCCACCCCCTCACCCAGCACAATCCTCTCCACCCTCCCCCCCACCACCCGCACCTTCACCTCCACCGCCACCGCAACACACACCACCTCCACCCCCCTCCCCACCATCATCTCCTCAACCCGCACCTACCGCTGGACCGAAGCCGACATCTTCCTCGGCACTTTCCTCCCGCCCCTCCTCGGCGTCGCGCTCGTAATCCCCCTCCGCATCCTAGACCTCAACGCCAAACTCTACCAACCCTTCCAATCCCTCACCCACCCCCCCACCACCTCCCATCATTTCACCACCACCACCCCACCATCCCCCGCAACCCACCCCCTCCTCCAACAACACACCGGCCTCCTGGCCCTCACCACCCCACTCACCCTCCTCCTGCACCCGCCACACCACCCCATCCCCTTGCTCACCACCCTCGCCGTAGCACTCGCCTCCCTCGCCGCGCCCCTCGCTGCCGAAGCCGTCGGGCTCAAGCTGCACGGCGCGTGCTGGGCCAACACGGCGAGCGCGGGGTGCGCGCCGGCGCTGGGGGTGAGTGTCGCGCCGGCGTATGTGTTGGTGGGCGTGTTGGTGGTGGTGGTGGGGTTGGTGGGGGTTGTGGGCTGGGTGGTGGTGGTGGGGGGGTGGGTTACCGGCGTGAGGGCGAGTCCGTGGTCTCTTGCGGGGGTTGCGTCGTTGGCGGGGGGTGGGGGGGTGAGGGCTGTGTTGGGGGTGGGAGGAGGGGAAGGGGGGATGAGGAGGGTTGTGGGGGGGAGGAGTATGGGATTGTGCTGGTGGATGAGGCGGGGGAGGGGTTTCGTCGGGGGGAGGGTGGTGGTGTGGGTGAGGGTGAGGAGGGGTTTTATGAGGATGAGGTGGTGGGGGGTAAACGGGGCAGTCGACGCCAGCAGCAGTTGCCGTTTATGACGCTGCGGTATCCGTGGCGGATCGCGTTCATCCTCTTCCAGCTGGCCCTGCTCGTTTTTATCATCTACTACCACGCCTACTACCGCGGTGGGGTCCGCGACAACGGCCGGTTATGGCTCTTCCTCAACTCCAATCACTTCGGTGTGCGGTTCGTGTCTGCCATCATCGGCGTCATCATCGCCTTTTGCTGGCAATCTTTCTTCCTCAGTAAGTCTCCCTTACCCTACCTACCGCATCCCTCTCAGACACCACTTACCAACCCGTGAATCACAGGCGTCAGCACAATGACGCCCTTCCACCTCCTCTCGCAACGCACCCAACCCCCCGGCCCCTCCATCCTCTTCACCCCCCCAACCAACCCCTTCTCCGGCCTGTACTCTGCCATCCGCCACCGCCAGCCCTTCCTCTTCGCCGTATCCCTCGCCGCGGCCCTCTCCGAGTTCCTCCCCGTCGTGCTCTCCAACGTGCCCTTCAACCTCGCGCAGACGGGCACGGCGGCGACGGTCTGCGCCGTGCTGAGCTGCGTCGCGCTGGGCCTGCTGCTCGCCGTGCTGGCCGCGTCCTTCGCCGTCCGCTACCCGCCCATGCCTGTTGATCCACGCAGTGTGGCGGGCCTGTTGTGGTATGTCGCGCGGAGCGGGATGTTGGCGGACTTTGCGGGGGTGTCGAGGTTGGATGGGGAGGAGAGGGCGCGGAGGGTGGGGGAGATGGGGAGGCGGTACTTTTATGGGGTGTTGGTGGGTGACGAGGAGGGGAGGAGGCTCGGGGTGGATTGTGACATTGGGGGCGGAGGGGAGGAGGAGATGGGGTATAGGGGTGCTGGGGGGCCTACATACATACACTCGAGGGGGTAGTAACCCGTGTACTTGGTGCATGAAGTTGTAAGTGGGGACGGATGTTTTTCTGCTTTCGTGTTGGACTCCGGCGTTGACTACAGGTTCTATTACTGCTCTCTTCTTACTATTTCGTCTTTATACCCTGGCTTGGCGTCGGGAAGAAGACGGTCCTCCAGGCGTTACAATTTCAGCGTTGCAATAGTTTCTTCGGAGGCTTTGTTTGGTATGTTTCCGGTCCGGTTTGTTTTCTTTTTTGTTTCCGAGGCGCGGACACGAACCGGCCACGGCGGGTGTAACAAAAGAGTAATTTGATTACGATCCACGGAGTAGAGTTTGGGATATTAGATGATGAACTACCAGGAAGCCGGGAGTTTGGTTTGTGTTCCTGCTCGAGGCTTGCCGGTCAAGCCACGGCAGGGGCAGGGCTCATGTTGGCGCCACATCCCTCGATAATAGATTGACAATTATTTCTAAGCGGTCAGCGGTAACAAAGGACGTGTTCGAAAGCAGTAACATCTTGCAAGTCCCAATTTGACTTTACGCAGCACTGACTGTACTGAGCGTGGTTTCGGCATCACATCCTCGGACCGCACGTGGCTCGGACTTGGACGTCTCGACCTCGGACTATGAGATTGCCAAACGCTCAGACCCTCTTGAAACCAGTAGCCAGTCATGGCGGGTTCCGGATTGTCAGCTATTTGAGGGACTGTGCCGGTGATAAACAGATTCTGCTGCAACCGAGCTTAAATGTGCCCCTTGCTTGCGGGTTTCGGAAGACTCGGGCACTGAGGTAGTATCTTGGTATCTTGGCAGTTCTGCTAGTGAAGCTGCATGCTGGGGACTATTTGAGTTTCGTCTGTGAACTTTGAGTTAGCATCGACGGGGCTAGACGCGCTATGTATAGCCGAGAAGAAGAAGTACGACCTCACTAGTTAGGTGGAAACCGTCCGGTGCTGCGCCGCTGCTCTTCTTGAAGAATGGCATGGGCTGTGTGAGATGAAATTGCTGCCTATCAAGGGGCTGGAAGGGGGCCAGGGGCAGCGCTTGTGTGACAACCTTGGAACTAGCCGCGCCGTGCCGCACCGGCGGATTCAATACCAAGGATGCAACCCTGCAACGCGGGAGCCCAGATCTTGGTTTACTTGGTTCAAGGTCATCGAGGCGAATCCCACCGAACGGAGGCACATCTCCTACGGATGCCTGGTCTACGCCACTAGCTTAGTCTCGTGAAGCCCGCCATATCCTTAAACATGTCGGTCTGGCCCAGTCAATCGCATTTCGCTTCGCTTTCTTCTAGGCTACTACCTGTTCATCAATTTATTTCGCTCACTGATCAGGCACCATGTTACACGGACTCGACGATGTAAGAAAGCTCACTCTGGATGTGACCTGCCTCTTGAGACTGACACCGAGCCCACTAGGGATCGAACCTCCCCATCCCGAACCGCGAGCGGAACAATGGGGGCTCGCTGATTGTATGGAGTGGTCATCCTCAGGGAGCCGCGTTGCCTCCGTGGAGCAAACCATCATCCGAGGATCATGTTGACCTCTTGCGCAAACTCGAGTCCTGTCAAGCTAGCCAGCCGAGTCAACCATCTCCGGGTCAATCATACCCGGGTCAAACATCACCGGGTCCATCATACGCGGGTCAGTCCGGGCCACCACCCTCGGACCTCGGCGGCGAGAGGAGGACCTCCCGCTCCCGCCCCAAACTCCCCATCATCATTCTATCATTCGTCCTCTTCCTCGTCATCGCCGCCTTGATAGTAGTCGGCACCCTTCTGGGCACCAGAATATCCAAACTCGAAAACACCATCCCCCCCCTGGCCGTCGCCACTGCAACCAACTCCGCAGCCGGCAATGACAACAACAACAACGACAACAACAGCAACCTCCCCTCCTCCTCCGCCACAGACAACCCCAACCCCTCCAGCACCTCCACCAGCATCCCCAACGCCAGCTACATCCCACCGCCACCAGCGCCCGCCAACATCCAGGTCACGGGGTGGACGCACCTGGGGTGCTACTACGACTCGGAGGTGCGGGTGCTGCCCGAGGCGTTCGTGTCGTCGGTGAACATGACCAACGAGGCGTGCGCGGAGCACTGCACGTCGGACGGGCGGCGCACGCGCAACTTTGGCACCCAGGTCGCCGTGCAGTGCTACTGCGGGACCGCGACGGCGGCGGTGCTGGCGAGCCGGCGCGCGCCCGACTGGATGTGCTCGCGCCAGTGCGGCGGCCGGTGGGGCATCGCGGAGAATTGTGGTGGGAATTGGGTGCTGAGTCTGTGGGAGCGGGATGGGGATGAGGAGTGATTTGATGGGGAGGGACTTGGAATTTTGGAAGGGAGGGGATGGGGATTGGGCTTGGGTTTGGCCCTTGGGGTGGTTATTAGTAATGAGTGCATTGCGATGGCGTTGACGGTCATTATCACGGGAATAGGGGGTTTGGAACGGGATATGCATACAATACCTGCAGGGAGTTACCTTTCATACTGTATAAATTCAACAAAAAACAATCAATACCATCATGGATTCGAGCTTCAGATCGCGAGTCGAGTGAGTTTTCTGCTTCATTATTAGTAATTGTCTCTCTTCATGCCTCTCCAATGACCCAGCACCTCCTCTTCGGGGAATGGCATGAACTACGTGACCAATGGGTCCGGTCCGGTTAAACGGGAGATATCTGAGGGGCAAGACTCGAGGCTCCGCAATGGCCGGATGATAAACCGCCGTCGAGGGGTATAAGTGAATCAAGACGATTCCCCTCAAGAACGTTTGAATCTTGATTTTGAGAAGCGAGAAAACGACCACCACTGTCACCAGCCTAGTAGACCATGGCGCCCATCAAAGTCGGAATCGTAGGCTACGGCTTCTCAACGAAATGTTTCCACCTCCCGTTCATTCTCCCCAACCGAGAGCTCGAGGTCTATGCCTTCCTACAGCGGGCAGCCCCTCCCAGTGACCCGTCTGAGACGCCGCGCTGGGGTCATTGTACTATCGACTTCCCCCAGGCAAAGCACTACCGGACAGCCGACGATTTCTACGCCGACGAGCTGATCGAGCTTGTCATCATATGCACTAGCACTCACGAGGAGTTTGTTGAAAAGGCTCTACTTGCTGGGAAGCATGGTGAGTAAGACAACGTAGAGAGAGCCGAGTTACTACTTCTGAATCACAAAACTGATATGTTGAACTGCAGTCGTCGTCGAGAAGCCTTTTGTCAACACCAGTGCTGAGGCAGACAGACTGATCGCGCTGGCCAAGGAGAAGGGCAAGATCTTGACCGTGTTTCAAAGTCAGTAGACCGTTTTCCGACCACTAACGTCTCTTCTGTGTTGACACCACCCCCCAGACCGAAGATTTGACAGCGACTTCCGCACCCTGCACCATCTCACGAGCAACGGTGCTCTCGGTGATATACTAGAGGCGAACATCCACTTTGACTACCCCGACCCGGGCTGGATTTCGCGCTGGACGAAGAAAGAGTACGTCCCGGGTCAGGGCATGACGTTTGCGCTAGGTAAGATTCTTTAGTTGCCGGAAGTGCCGAATTACTGGAACTGACCGACCCAGGCACCCACACCCTCGACCAGGCCCTGTACCTGTTTGGAACCCCCGCCTCGGTGACGGGTTTCTTTCGGTCAAACCGTGGCGTTGACAGCGACGTCGACGACACCTTCACCATCATCCTGCAGTATTCCGGCAAGCAAAAGAACCTGCTGGTGACGGTCAAGACAGCGGTCGTCACGCACATGCAGGACCAACTGCGCTTCTTTGTCCGAGGCAACAAGGGCACTTATCTGAAGGTACCTATTTATTCCTACCTCTGTCTTGCCCTCTTGGCCCCCGACACTAACGTACGGAATCAGTTCGGGACCTGCCCGCAAGAAAGCCAGGGCATCGCAGCCCCCGGACAGCCGGCAACGGGCCCGGAGATCGGCGTCGAGGACGAGCGCATCTGGGGCACCCTGACCACCACGACCGAGTTTGACGGCAAGGTCCAGCGGTTTGACGAGGAGAGTAAGAAGTATGTCGGCAAGTACCCCAGTCTTCCGGGGTGGTACCGGGGGTACTATGAGAATGTATCGGCTGCACTTCTCGGGCGCGAGGAGATCTTTGTCAAGCCGGAGACATCGAGGGACGGACTGAGGATCATCGAATTGGCAAGGGAGTCGCATGAGAAGGGATGCACCGTTGCGTGGTCATAGTGCGACCGGTGTGATCTGGGGAGGGGATGGCAATGAATTCTAAAGTTAGATAGGATAGCTCCCAGGCACCGGAGCCAATCTGATGCCAACACACAAGAACAACAGCGAGACGCGATGTCGGAGGCGTGGTTGTATTGATTACCTACGTATAATCTCTTCCCCCGGGCTCTCCGAGCTTTCGTTGGACGGTATGCTCTACACTCATGCTGCATCAGTGGCAGTGCATCTCGACCCTCGATTTCGTGTAACCCCCTCCCCCGAAACGTCTAGACCTGCTTCACCGTGAACCGTACCCGGCCTTGGGGTCTCGAGATGGCGAATGAACTGCTTTGAATAAATTTCGGATCTGGCTAGCTCGATTCCGGGGATGCAGGTTTGAGGCGAGGTATCGGACATCGCACTCATGGCCTCAATTTCAGTTACGAAGGAGCGACACTGGCACCTCGCAGCATGCGCGCCGAAGCGGGACAAGGAAAACCACCATCGTTGGCATGCCGGGCCAATCACCTCCGGCCGATCCCCAACCGCCAATCTCATCCTCTCGTGCCTTCCCGCAGTGGGATGGACCCACCACAACAAGCCCAAGAGTTGCCTGCCTGAACCTGCTTCCTTCCTGCGTGCTACCGTTGCGTGCCTGCCTGCTGCGCCTGCGTTGAGAACATCATGCATATTTTGCCTCTGGGCTTGCATTGCCTTTGCATGCTTTGCATCCTTGAGGCTTGGGTGACTGGCCAGAACTGATATTGTCCTGTGGAAAGGCAATCAGACCCGAGACGCCGCTGCCAATACGGCAAGTCGGCAAAGCCTGCCATGCAACCCTTTGGTTGACTTCCTTGGATCCCGCCGAGTTTGGGGCTGGTATCCGAATGGCCAGACCCTCAAAGATTCTCAACGGTTAGTAATCGCATGCCATGGCTTGGAAGTGCTGTTTGGGCTGGCGAGGTAGTTATCGGTGCCACTGCCGTCGAGCAATCTCTGCCATCGGGCTCCTCGTTATCTCTGTTGTTTTCGAATCTTTCCGGGTGAGGTAGTCTCCCGCCTTTTTCTATCCACTTCTGAGCTAGCCTTCAATCATCCGCATTCTCTGTCTGGGAAGCATGGCGGCGTGTTTAGGGTGTTAAGACTCCCTCCACGATGGAACAGCCACAGCTGCGACCACCAGGGTTCGAAACCGAGAAGGTTGATTCTCTCGCTCATTCGTATCCTCCGTCCCATGACGCCATACAATCTCTTGCCGGCTGGACGCTTGAACAGAGCCGGAATCCTGAGTCCATGGCCCAATTCCAACAGCTATCATCCATGCCGATGGGATGGCTCCAGGGGGTGTCCGCGACGGCCCCAACCACGCTAGATTCAACAACTGTGGCCGGTCAGCAATACATTCCACAGCTAGGAGACTGGCACCAAGTTTCGAGCTTCGGATACATCGGCGTCGTCGAGTCAGCCTGGTCTCGACCGAATTCGGTGCCGTGGGACGCCGGCACACCGGTCACGGCCAACAACCGCCAGGTACCAGTTGATGTGACCACCATCCCACCGCCCAATACCGCGGCTTACCCTCCTCAACAAGCCGAAGCCGAACCCCCCGTTGCCTTCTTGCCAACGCACTGGCAGAACGACGATCTGGCCCGGCACCGGCCCTACCAGGTCCAGTCGACGAGCGGATATAACTTCGGTAGCGAGGGAAGAAGCGGGGACGATGAGACATGGGGTGGAAGGAAGCCGAGACAATCGCCGATCCTCACGAAGGACCTTTACGACGCCGATCACCCGAGAAACCGGTTCACTCCCCTGCTGCTGAGAAGAGTCCCGACCTCGGACGTCAGCAGCCACACCACCTCCCCCCCACACAGCGCGACCGCCCTGAGCTTCAACGCTCCCGACGCCTCCTACCTCAGCGACACCACCACCACTAGCACCACCATCAACCCCCCAAAACGAACCCGTCCTCGCCGACGAACCCCCCCAACCACACCATCAGCAGGTAACCACCACCACCACGACCACGACCACCACAACCCAACCCCCCCCTTCCATACCCAGACCCCAACCCAAAACCCCGCCCAAACCACCACCGCCCGCAACCGCAACCGCGCAGCGGCCTCGCGCTACCGGGCCAAGACGCAGGCGGCGTCGGCCCGGCTCGAGGCCGCCGCACGCGCCGCCGCGGCCCGCCACCGCGCCCTGCGCGCCCGCGCGGGCCGCCTGCGCGACGAGGTCGTCCGCCTCAAGCACGAGCTGCTGGCGCGGCATGCGGGGTGTGATTGTCTGCTGATTAGGGGGTATTTGGAGGGGGCGGCGAGGCGGGTTTGTGGGGGGTTGTGATTTTATTTCCATCATCCATGTTAGGTAGGGGGTTTGGGGGGTGGTGTGGGGGTGGTGGGTTGTTAAGGGGTTGCGTGGTGAGGTATTCGGGTATTAAGGGGTTTGGGCTTGGGTTGTTAAGGGATGTGGTGTTCGGGTGTTGGGCTATTAGGGGGCGACGTGTTGGGTTGTTCAAGGGTTGGGGGTTGGGGTGTTGTTGCTCAGAGGTATGGAGGCGGTTGTTTGTTTAGTTGCTTGTTGGAGGAGTTGGATGGAGGCTTTTTGATCGTTGATATGTTAATGTGATGATTGATGATGGAGTGCAATGGAATCGGAAGCATTGCTGGCAGCGAAAAGTTGGCTTCTTTGGTCTTTCTCTAATTTGGAATCCTAGGGTACCGGTATGACCCTGCGGTTGCCGGTTTGGTATGAGGGTGTTGTTCTTCTGGTTTCATAGTTCTAAGCTCACGCCACCTTGGGTGCGAACCTCGGTGTCTGCTGTCGCTTGGCTAGCGCAACCTGGGTAATGGTCTAGTTTCGTGGCGTGGCTGGTAGTCGGCGCTTCTGTCGTGGCTTGGCTTGCTCCTTTCCAGCCCTCTTGTTTAAGATGCGCTGACCTCGAGAGGACTTTCCTGGCTTGCTAAACACGTCGCTAGAAACTCGGTTCGAATGGGGGTGTTGAAATCAGTTGGTTGTATGTACGTCCGCAATGAGAGGTCAATACTGGCCGGAACACAGCCACAGTCCGAGGAATGGAAGCAGGATTTTGGATATTTGCCCATCTTGTCACTCTCTGAAAGCGGTTTGCCGCTTCCACGATCTCGTGCTCTGGGGTTGGCCCCCGAACATGCCGAGCGACAGGGTCAAAACACTCTCACCCACCGTTCTGGTTGTCTCGCTCCCAATCTCACTTTCAGTCAAGAGAGTGTTGGGGCTCATGCGGAATCAAGGTGGACAGGGCTACCAGGCATGTGCCTATGCCTCGACACAGAGTTCTCGTGAGGTACGTTGCAGACCTCAGTTACTCTACTTTGACCGCCAGTTATTGGAGGTCATGATGGTCCTCTGCTTCTCGGTCGGCTCTCTCCGTTCCGGCCTCTCCTGCCCCTCCTGCCCATTCTCCGGCCGCCTCCCCGATGCAGGCGAGGCAGACTGCCGGGACCAGCCGTAGTTGGTCCCGTTGGCTTCAAAAGCAGGGCCCTTGCTCCTCGGAACGGAAACCCGCAGGTTCCCGCCCTCTACCGGCTTCCCGTTCAACTCTTGCAGCGCCCTCTCGGCCTCCTCGGCAGAGCTGAAGTCGACGAAGCAGTAATGGTGGTTGCCCGGAGTCGCCCGGGTCTCGGCCCGCGGTGTGATCCGCTTGCCGATAGCGACGCTAGAGATTTGTGAGTTTCGTCTGCTACAAGATCGAGGGAGAGGTTAGTCACATACAACTCAAAGCCTGTGAGAATATCCTGCATTTCAGCATCGTGCTGCTCTTGGTTGATCATCATGCCGAGGCCGCCGATGTAAAGCTGAGCCTTGTCCACGGGGCGCTGACTCCTGCCCTCCAAGTGGCGAGCGGCGGCGTACGGGCCTTGCTCCCCATCGCGCCGCGCGGGCCTAGAGTCCTCGCCCTTCCAGTCACCCCATCGTTGGAAAGTTGGGTTGTGGCCGTCGCTGCGGTCGCCACCCCGGCTGCTGCCCCAGCCACCGCGCGACTGAGAAGGGGTCTTGGGATTGCACGGCCCGACCTTGATCTGGCGGTTGAAGAGCGAACTGCCAGGGAGGGCCTCCAGAGCCCGGTCCGCTTCTTCACGGGTGGTAAACTCGGCGAAGCAATAGCCCGGGTTCCTGCCGCTGACGGGATCGATTGAGATGTGCAACTTCTCAAATGACTCGGCAAATCCAGACTGGCGAAGTAGATCCTCGACATCGCCGGGCTGCACCGAATAGAGCAGGTTGCCCATGTAAATGCGACGCCCTTCCGCGAGGGCATCACGTTGTTGTGGCTCCGAGCTGGCGTCCATGGTGTTCAAATATCGTAATTCGGGTCGAGAAGGAATGTTGTGTGAGTGTGAGATGTTTGGCGAAGAAAATTCAAGGCTCACCGCTTGGCATCTGATGTCGAGGAGGCAGCCCAACCCGAAAATTTTCCCCTGTGAAGTTCGGGTTTCGACAGTTTGTGGATTAGTGGGTACGAGTGGCCAGTTAGGGAAAGGCCTGGACCGTTTAAGGGGTTCTCCCTCACCCAATCGCTATGCAAGGCCTCCCGTGTAAGAATAAGGGGTAAAGGGGGGGAGGATGGCTGACTTGACGAATAGCTTACCTTACATCTTGGGACACAACCTTTACAACCAAGAAAACACATACAATACGCGCTTGGCGGGAGGTATGAACGGGTAATAATACTCATTTTAGTTCATTTTATTAGTTAGGCTCCTTAGGTTAGGAACAGGATCGAAGCAACCCCTGAAGGTGTGCTTCCACATTGACTGACTTGACTACAAGTTTGTCACGACTATGATTTTCTGTATGAAGAAGTGTACTCAGTCACATAGTACTTTGACGCTACCCCTGAATCTCGTCCTTTTACTCGGAGCCTACTCGGAGTTTGGGCATTGAAATGAGCATACATCTCGCGTCGACCACTGAATATCGTACGAATTACCTACCAGGTTACCGTATTGTGCTATGGCATGGAGAGATGAAAACCCAGTAGTCTCTCCCAATTCCTGGATTCTCTCCGTTTTGATATTCTCGATCATCCCAAACGCGGCTACGACTTTAATTCAACAATGTCGGGGCCGCTTCTGGTACTTTTCTTGCCCTTTCTCGCCCTCCATGTCTTAGCTGATGTCCCCGTCTCCTTCTTATCCTACCCAGCGTACATCGAGCAGCGAGAATGCATTAAGCTCTGCCTCTGGCACGTCGGCGCGGTTGACGACTTGATTCCTGCCATTGGCTGCAGCCCACCGTGGGTCAACGAGTGTTTCTGCAACACCGAGCTAGCAATCAGCGCCAACGACTTCCTCTCGGGCTGTGTCGCGAGCCGGTGCACTGTTCCGAAAACGGCACCGGCCGTGACCAGCGCCTTGTCCGCGTATAACAACTACTGCTCGGCCAACGGGTTCTCGATCCCCACCGTCGCATCCATCCAGTCGTACACCGGCTATGTCGTGCAGCCGACTTGCGTTCAAGAATGTGTCTGGAGCCCTGCCGCGAGCTCCTCCTCGGGCGACTTAATGGCTGCCATCGGTTGCGGTCCTCCCTGGGATAACTCTTGTTTGTGCGACGCGGGCATCGTCGACGCTGCAGCCGCTTTCCTCTCGACTTGTGTTGCAAGTAGCTGCTCTACCGCACCAGACGCGATGGAAGCCACCGCTGCTATGAATATCCACAACGATTATTGCTCCGCGGCCGGGCTACCGATACCCATTGCCGTAACGGCAACTACACAGGTCGCTAGGACTACTGTCGCCAGTGCTGCTACCACTAGTACTGCTACGGCCGTTAGCAATACGAGCAACAGGGGATATCAAATCGCCACCACGACTCCGACGATTTCTTTTCCTCCTTCTATGACCACGGGCGTCAATGAACAGAATTCAAGGGGCAAGTAAGACCCCCGAAACGTTACCCCCATCGACCTCTAACTAAACGACTCAGCCACGGCAGGAATAAGACTTTCCATCGGGGAAATAGCTGGAATCGTAGCTGGGGGTGTTGTTGGATTTGCTATCATCATTGTGTCTACCGTCATGATCGTGTGTAGGGCGCGGCGCAGGCCCAAACAGACGTCACCATGGCCCCACGCTGAAGCACATCGTCTGTCGTCATGGGGGCCAGAGAAACGGACGAACTTGCCCGCAGTCGAAGCTGACGCAGGTGTGCCCCGGGAATACTACGAGCTACCAAGTTGAGATTGGAATAGTGTAATGACCGGTTCATCAAGTTAGAATAAACTAGGTGGGCGTCATCATACACTACGCGTTCCTTTCGTAAAGACCTTTGCATGAGGTGGCATTGCAGAGTCGAACTGTGTGTTGAACTGCAGCCGCCCCTATCAACATATCAACTTCGCCATGACAAACGGACGGTTGCACTTGTGAATAATGCGGGCCGTCTTGATGTTTAAACCCGCCATCTTCGTTCCCTCCAGCATAAGCAGCCGCCCCAATCGGGATCATACCGCTGATTGCTAGGTTGGAGAAGCCCTCGGCCCGGTGAGGGGGTGGTGCAGATACAATATCGATCCAGGGGCGGAGGCGGGACGTGTACGGGCAGTAATAGGCTATCCCAGTTTACCCGCCCGTTGAGCATAGGGATGTAATTTTGGTGAGGAACTGGTTGCCATTGACGTCAAAGATATAAGTTATATCCGGGAGAACCGAGAACCTCTACGGCCTCCTCAACAATTCTCACTGTAGCGAGGAACTCAGTCACCATGAGACTATCGTTGAGGCTGGGATTGGCGAGCGCCATTGCCACCACCGGTGTCATAGGATTTCAGTATCCCGACTGTGTCAATGGGCCACTCGCAAACAATACGGTGTGCGATGCGAAGGCAGCTCCCCCTGACCGGGCGGCCGCTTTGGTCAAGGCCCTGAAAATCGAGGAGAAACTTGAGAATCTCGTTGAGTATGTGAACGACAGCCCTGCCCCCTATTACGAATAGCTAATATCTTTTAGTATGAGCAAGGGTGCCGAGCGACTTGGATTGCCGCCCTATGCTTGGTGGAGCGAGGCGCTCCATGGCGTTGCCGCATCCCCCGGAGTGAGGTTCAACCGGACTGAGGGAGGCCGTTTCTCATATGCCACCTCCTTTGCCAACACCATTACGCTAGCCGCGGCATTTGACGACGATCTCGTTTACAAGGTAGCAGACAAGATTAGTACTGAAGCCCGCGCTTTTGCCAATGCTGGGTTGGCTGGCCTTGATTACTGGACTCCGAATATCAACCCCTACAAGGATCCCCGATGGGGAAGAGGGCACGAGGTATGCTTCAATGGGTATGTTGTCTGTTAAAATGCTGATCAACCCATCAGACGCCGGGCGAGGACCCAGTCCGCATCAAGGGGTATGTCAAGGCGCTCCTCGCGGGTCTTGAAGGGGATGACCCTTCCATTCGGAAAGTAGTTGCTACGTGCAAGCACTATGCGGCGTACGATCTGGAGAGGTGGCAGGGAGTCACAAGGCATAGGTTTGACGCGGTGGTTTCCCTCCAGGATCTGTCCGAGTACTACCTGCCGCCGTTCCAGCAGTGCGCTCGTGATTCCAAGGTTGGCTCTTTCATGTGCTCGTACAACGCGCTCAATGGCACGCCAGCCTGTGCAAGCACCTATCTTATGGACGATATCTTGCGGAAGCACTGGGGGTGGACTGAGCACAACAACTACATCACCAGTGACTGTAATGCCGTCCAGGTTTGTTTCTCCGCCATCGGATATGGGTCTACTAGTTCTAACGACGGCAGGATTTCCTCCCCGGTTGGCACAACTTCAGTACGACCCAAACGGAAGCTCAAGCAGCAGCAGTTGCTTACGAGGCCGGCACCGACACAGTTTGCGAGGTCCCAGGCTGGCCCCCCTACACGGATGTCGTCGGAGCTTACAATCAGAGCCTGCTCTCTGAGGAGGTCATCGATAAGGCCCTCAAGCGATTATACGAGGGACTGGTGCGGGTTGGGTACTTTGACGCGCCGAGTGTCAGCCCCTATCGGTCGATTGGGTGGGAAGATGTCAACACCCCTGAAGCCCAAGAGCTGGCACTGCAGTCTGCAGCGGACGGTCTGGTACTTCTCAAGAATGACGGCACCCTACCCCTGAACCTTGAAGACAAAGCGGTAGCACTCATCGGCTTTTGGGCAAGCGGCGCCAATAATCGCGGCCAGATGCTCGGCGGATACAGTGGCTTCCCACCTTACATCCACAGCCCCGTCGATGCCGCCGATATGCTCAACTTGACCTACCACTACGCCCCGAGCCCCCTAGTACAAGAGAACATCACCCAAGAGGTCATAGACCTAGCCGTCGCCGCAGCCATGTTGCCAGCCAACAAATCCGACGTTATCCTCTTCTTCGGCGGCACCGACACCAGCATCGCCGCTGAAGACCTCGACCGTGATTCGCTTGCCTGGCCCGAGATCCAGCTCGCCGTTATCGAAGCACTCTCGGCCCTCGGAAAGCCCCTCGTCATCGTTCAGCTAGGCGACCAGGTCGACGACACGCCGCTGCTCACCGACCCCAACATCTCCGCCATCCTCTTTGCCGGATACCCGGGCCAGTCCGGCGGCACGGCCGTGCTCAACGCCATTACCGGCGCCTCCCCTCCCGCCGGCCGGCTCCCAGTAACCCAATACCCAGCCTCGTACGCCGCGCAGGTCCCCATGACAGACATGTCCCTGCGCCCGGCCGCCGCCGCCGCCTCGGACAACACCACCACCGGCGCCAACCCCGGCCGCACCTACCGCTGGCTGCCCGCCAACAACACAGTCCTCCCCTTCGGCCACGGCCTGCACTACACCCAGTTCAAGGTGCGGCTGGGCGTGTTCCCAACCCTCAACCTGACCACAGAAGGCCTTCTGGCGGGGTGCACCACGCCCCAACCCCCTCCCAACCCACCTACACCTTCCAAGCCCCCTCCACCCCCAACCCTTTCTGATGCCCCTAACCCCCCTACACCCCCCAACCCCTCTGATGCCCCCAAACCACCTACCCCATCCAACCCCCCCACCTTCCCCAACTCCACCGCCCCCACCCCCCTCCCTAGCCCTTCCACACCACCACCACCCCACCACAAAGACCTCTGCCCCTTCCCCCACCCCATCTCCATCTGGATCACCAACACCGGCCCCCGCACATCCGACTACGTGGCCCTGCTCTTCGCGCGCGGCGAGTTCGGCCCCAAACCCTACCCGCAGCGCACGCTGGTCGGGTACAAGCGGGCGCGGGCCATCGCGCCGGGGGAGACGGTTGCCGTGGTGGTGGAGGTGGTGCTGGGGGATCTGGCGCGGGTGGATGGGCGGGGGGATCGGGTGTTGTTTCCGGGGCGGTATGGGTTGGTGGTGGATGTGGATGGTAGTTATGATGGTGGGGAGGATGATGGGGAGGATGGGGAGCGGAGGGAGGTGGTGTTTGAGGTTGCGGGGGAGGCGGTGGTGTTGGATGAGTTTCCGCAGCCGAGGGAATAACTAGCTACCTACCTACCTAAGCCTGCAGGTGCTGGTGGATGCTCGGTTTGGGATGGGGTGGGGGTGGGATGTAGCGGGCGTTGTGGCAGGGTAGTACTAGTGTTTGAGTGACAGTCCCGGACTGGGTGTGCAGCGGTATTGATAGATACCATGGCCGTATGACAACCCCCGGCTGTCTCTCTATCATGTCAAATAAGGTTGATATGTACTCGGCAAATACGTACAATGAACTCATGTCCCTGGCCATCCCTCACCCCCTACACACCTACAAACACTGCGAGTACCAGTCATTCACAAAGTTACACTTGAACGGGCTGGCGCAGGTCTTGCACCCAGTGTACCCGTTGCCACCACACTGCGCCCACTGAGCAGCGGCACAGCCAGAGGGTTCCGTGGGAGGAGCGGAGGTAGTCGGGCCGCCGGGAACGGCCGAACTGGTCGGCGTCGGGGTGGTCGAGCCGCCGGTGATGCCGAACCACTCCATGTCGGCGGCGCCGTTAACAGGAATGTTGTGCGTGACGCCCGTGCCGTACACGCCGACAAGGTTCGGCCCGTACACGTACTTGGTGTAAGGCGCCGCGGGCGTGTTGGGCAGCGTCTGCTGGGGCTGGCCGTAGGTGTAGCCGAAGACGCCGGACCACTGCTTCATGGTCTCGTTGAAGTTCTGCGGGGGGATGTCAGCCGCTAGTCTGGATGCTTGTCTGGAAGCAATCTACTTACAGGAGGGTGGATGGTGGCGTCTGCCGAGCCGTGGTAGATCATCATCTTGGGCCGGGAGCCCGTGTATCCAGGGTACATGTTAAGGGCGGTCTGGGCCCAGGCGTCCTGCGAGGCGATGGACTGGCCGTTGGCGCAGCTTGAGTTCCAGCCGGCCACGGTGCCCGTAAAGAAGCAGCCAGCAGCGACACCCGCGTAAGCACTAGCAGCCTTGAACAGGTCGGGATAAGTAGCGGCCATGACGTTGGTCATCATAGCGCCCGAGCTCGTGCCGGCGACAAACACGCGATCGGGGTCGGCATCGTACTGGGAGATGGTGTAGGTGACCATGTTGGCAATGCTGTTGCTGTTGGCACCGCCATCGCGGGTCAGAGTGGCACGGGACGAGACATCCCAGCAACCACCATCGTTGGGCGATTCGGGGTAGATGACGATGAAGCCGTGCTGGTCGGCGAGGCGGGCATAGGGCGTGCCGGTGTAAAAGGCATTGGCCGTCCCCGTGCAGTAGTGGATAGCGGTAAGGATAGGGGGTTTGGCCTGCAGATTGTCGGGGACGTAGATGTACATCCTCACACCCGAGGGGTTCGAGCCGAAGTTGTTCACCTGGGTCAGGGTAGCCCGCTTGGCGATCTCGGCGGCGGCCGAGAACGGGGCCAGAGCCAGAAGGCTCGAGGCGAGGGTCGAGAACTTCATGGCGGCGGTCGTTCAGGAGATGGTTCGAAACAGACTGCTGGTTCTCGTTCGGCATGTAAGAGGTACGGCACGGAGCGTGGTCGAGGCTTCTTATACATGGTTATGGTTCCCCCAGCGCACTCGCATGTTCCCGGCGTACCATCGCGTCGATGCATGGAAGCGGCTACATGGTGGGGAGAACAGAATGGTGTTGGGTTGGCATGCGGATGGTCGACCTCCGGTCACCGTGGGGCTAGCAGGGTGAGCCCCCCATCGGGATCCTTTCCGATCTGGGGCGGCTTTCCCGAGACGCTCTCCGGGGGACGCCGAGAAGGACCGCAAGCCGCGCTAGAAAAGCTAGAGGCTAGACGCGTTAACTACCGGTAACTCTTGGGTGTGTGTACCCGGGTCCCTGGGAGGAACTAGCCGGTCCCTGGCTGGCTGCGTTACGACCTTCAACGGGATGGAGAGAGCGAAGAGAGAGTGGGTTCAGGGGCTTGGCTTCAGAAGACTTGCATGTTGCTCCGCCCCTGGAATTTGGCAATCGAGATCGCGACTCATTGTTTCTCAACTCAGATACCCGTGCCTGGGATTCGCGCGCATCTCCGGACGTTGTTTCGAAGCAACCTTCAAAGCCCGGTAGCCTGGTTTTTCTCAGCTTACAACCACATGTCGGATGTGACCCCCGGCGGATAGCTTGAACTCGGGCGAGCGCAAAAGGTAACCCCCTCGCGGGTCAGGAGCCAAGAAGTCGTAGCGGGCAGCGCATGGGCCTCGTATGGAAGGAAAAACACCCGGTTTCCTCGACCCGCTGCCGCTTTTTGCCTGAATCGTTAGTGTCAACCGCCTCTTGCTCAAGGCTGACCAGGTACGTGGGACGGAGAATGGTCTGGACGGAAACAGCTCATGGCGCTGGAGATTGACAAAGTATCTCGGGTACTACCTCGTGACAGCTTCACCCTCCGCACCATTGCGCGGTCCCTCCTTCTTTTCCCCCTCAGAACTTCCAGAGACATCGGCAGACTCTCCCTTCTCTTCATCCTTCACCTTGCCGTTTGCCACCTTGTCTAGGCGGTCCTGGTTTGACTGCTTGAGGTTGTCCAAACCCGTCTTGGTTTCGGTATGATCCTTGCTGAGCTGCCGCGAGCCCACAAGGAAGGAGACCAACAAGCCCAACCCAGCAAACGCAACGTACATGATGTACATGGTCCGCAAGCTCTCGAAATAGGCCTCTCTGGCAATCTGCTGCTGGTTCTCGGGGAGGTCTTTGACGAGGCCGACGCTAGACGCGGCGTTGCTGCCGGAGAATAAGTTCGCAGCCTCTGGCCCAAGCTGCTCCCGCAGCCGAGGATACTGCTTCTCCATGCCGTTCTGGAACACGACGCCGCCAATGACGATGGAAATAGAGGCGAACAGCTGCCGAACAAAGGCAAATGTTCCCGTGGCGGAGGCCATGTCGCGAGCCTGGACGGTCGTCTGAAGGGCGATGAGAGGAGCCTGGAAGTTCGGGCCAACTCCGATGCCAGCAACAAGCTGGTAGATGATGATCTTGGCCCAGTTCGCGCGCGGCTCGAGGTCGATGAAGAGACCGAAGCCGAGCGTCATGACGGCCATGCCGAAGATGATACAGGGCAGGTACTTGCCCGTCTTCTTGATCACGATGCCCGTACCAGCCGAGACGAGGGAGAGGGACATGACCCACGGGAGGATGTACACTCCCGACATCAGCGGTGACGCCCCGAGGACGGCCTGGAGGTAGAGCGGCAAGTAGTAGCTGCCCGATAGGAAGACGAAGCCCTGCAGCGCTCCGACTCCGAGAGACGCGGCGCTGGTCAGGTTGCTGAAGAGGTACATGGGCACCAGCGGGAACTCGGCGAACTTCCACTCGACGAGGATGAACAGGCCCGCGGTGACGAAACCGAAGACGATCAAGCACACGACGGTCGGCGAGCTCCAGGGGTAGGTCACACCGCCGAGCTCGAGCCCGAGCAAGACCATCAGGGTGGCACCAACGACAGTCACCGACCCGAGCCAGTCGACGGCCGCCAGGCCCTCCCGCATGGGCGTGCGCGGGTTGTGCAGCTTAAGCACGAACGCCAGTATGGCCATGCCGACGCCAGAAATAGGCAGGTTGATGTAGAAACACCAACGCCACGTCACCTCGCTGGTGAACACCCCGCCGAGGACCGGTCCCACGGCCGAAGCCACCGCCCACACCATGCCCATGACACCGAAGTAAACCCCTATCCACGGTCAGCCAAGTCAACACCACACACCCACAACCCCCCCCCCCCCCCCCTCATCACACCAAAAAAAGGGGGAAAAAGAAAACAACTCACCCCTCTTCCGCATCGAAAACAAATCACTAATACACACATTCACCAAAATCACAATCCCCCCACCACCCACACCCTGCACCGCCCTCGCCACAATCAGCATCCCCATATTCACGCTCACCGCACTCAACAGCGACCCGACCCAAAACACCGCGACCGCAATCAGCATAATCGGCTTGCGGCCCCAGATATCCGAGATCTTGCCCCACATGGGCGCGGCGGCGGCGGTGGCCAGCATGTAGGCGGAGCCGATCCAGGTGTAGCCGGCGGTGCTCTGGAACTCCTGGGCGATGGTGGGGACCGCGACGGTGACGATGGTGACGTCGAGGGCGGCGAGGAAGAGGGCGGAGGCGAGGGCCAGGATGATCATGGTTGTTTGGAGCTGGGTGCGGGTTTCCTCCGGGGCGGGGGGTGTGGGGGAGTCGGTGGTGGTTGGGTCCTCTGCCTTTTCGTCGCCGTTCCCTCCCTGGGAGGAGGGGGCGGTGGTGGTGGGTTGGGGGCCATCGGGTTTGGGTTGTGATGGTGATGATGGTGGTGATGGGTCGGGGTTGGTGTTGTTGTGAATGGAGGACGCCGTGTCGTCGGTGCTTGGCACGGAGGAGTCCTTTTCTTTTTCCTCCGGCCCGAGGGCGGGCGGAGAGGCGGCGCCGGTCATGATGAAATGCGGCCTTGGTCTCTTGGTCCGGCGCGGTGGCTTGTCTCACGGCTGTGGAGCTATTATAAAAGGTGCAGTGATAATCTGCAAAACATCCAAAAACGGATGCAAACTGAGATCAAACTTATTAAACCAAGTCCAACGATTTATATTGGTTCATTGATGGCCATTGTGATGGCAGGAAAAGTCAAAATGGACTTTTTTCCCCAATGCCGGCACTTCTCAAATGAAAGGCGATGAGGATGGTTAAATGCTTGATCCGACGAAAAACCTCGTCGGAAACGGTCCCGAATAGGGGGTGTGGAGCTCGGCCGGGTCCGACCCCCGAGATGAATACGTCCGGGGGCAAGACGGACGTGCAAAGAGTGTTTTGATCCTTCAGAAGTGCCCGATGTCTCGGGATGGAGATGGAAACTAGGAGTCTTCCAGCCTACACCGGGATTTTTGACCAACAGCCTTTCACAATTTTGCCTCTTGCTTGATCAGTCAGATAAAACGTTTAATGGTTTTTTTGGGTTTTTTTTTTTGAAGTGGCAAGGAAAAAGGTCAAGGGTGTCATTTGTTGTGATCGGATCGAGAACAAAAGTCCCGACTTGCTGTGGTGACCCCAACATCCATCCCAAACATCCCAGCTCGTAAGCCCGGCCTAGCCCCGAGCCGGCAGTTGACCGACGCCGACCCCCGACCAGCTTGGCCAATTCTTTCCTCCATGGTTACAATTTCACGGCTTCTCAGACCGGGTGAGTCATTCGCCGCGTCCCGACCAGCGTTGCAGCCAGGCCACTGCACAGATGAAGATCAAGTTTGCCATTCTCCACAAGAGAGCCGTTGGAAGGGATTGAGAACGCCGCAAGTCTAAGTTGCTCGTACTATTGTGTGTATATACCTATATCCCGATAATCCAGGATCCAAACGCGTCGCCGCAAGCCGCGACAGTAACGACGGGACAACTCTATCAACTCGCACCCTTCAAGTCGCTGCAAAACATCGACCCCTCGGTATGCAACCCATTATCTACACCACTCCGCGCCGATATGTACAAACGACAGGACAAAGGAAAAAAGGTTACCCTCAACGACGCGCGCGCGAGATCGCAGCCGCGCTCAGCGCAGTGGTCGACGCAGCCCGCTCCATGCCATTGGCCGCCGACGGAGCCGGCGTGGTGCCCCTCGTAGGCGGGGCAGAACGGTTGTGCTGCATGTGCGCCCTGACCAAGTGGCCAGCGGCCAGCGCAGAGCAGAGCGAGAGCTCACCGGCCAAGACGGCGGCGGCGACGACACGGGCCAACCGCCGCGAGTTCTCGCCCGGGCTGGTCGGGTGGGGACCGCGGACGCCGAGCATGTCAAGCATGGCCGACTGCGGCTCGAGGATCGTACCGCCACCGAGAGTGCCGACCTCGAGCGAGGGCATCGAGACGCTGATCTGAAGGGACCCGCGGAGGCTGTTCAAAAAGTTAGCTCAAAGGTTCGTAGGGCTGAAGGGAAAGGGAAAGGGTAAGGTCACGCACTTCTTCATGATGGTGATGCAGTTGGAGCTCTCCACCACCTGCGCCGGATCCTGACCCGTGGCGAGGAACACGGCCGCCACGATGTTCGAAGCGTGCGCATTGAAGCCACCAACCGAGGCTGCCATGGCAGAACCGATCAGGTTCTTGTTGATGTTCAGCTCCACCATGCTATCGACATCCGTTTTGAGAACCGTCTTGACAATCTCGGCGGGGATGATGGCCTCGGCCACTACGCTCTTGCCGCGCCCGTCGATCCAGTTGATAGCCGCAGGCTTCTTGTCCGTGCAGTAGTTGCCGCTAACCGACACAATGTTCATGTCCTCAAAGCCCTCGCCCATCATGACGCTAAGGGCGTGTTCGACACCCTTGGAAATCATGTTCATGCCCATGGCGTCACCAGTCGTCGTCTTGAAGCGGATGTAAAGGTTCGTGCCGGCAATAGCTGTCTTCATGCTCTCGAGGCGGGCGAAGCGGCTGGTCGAGTTGAAGGCCTTCTTCATGACCGACTGGCCCTGCTCCGAATCCAACCACAGCTTAGCCGCACCAGCTCTTTCGAGGGTCTCGAACGAGACGCAGGGACCACGGGTCATGCCGTCGGCAGTCAGGACGGTGACGGCACCACCGCCAGAGTTAATCGCTTTGCAACCTCTGCTCGTGCTTGCAACCAGGACACCTTCTGTTGTAGCCATGGGAATAAAATAGCTCTGACCGTCGATGACCAGCGGCCCAGCAACACCAACGGGCAACGGCATGTATCCAATAACGTTCTCGCAGCATGCACCGTGGACCTGGGCCCAGTTGTAGTTTTGGTATGGGAGCTTGGACCGCTCGAGAACACTCGTCAAGTCCGCCGTAGCCTTGGTCCGCGCAATGATAGTCCGACGAACCTTGACGGCACGGGTGAAGTCCTTGAGCGTCTTCTCCAGCGCATAACCAGGGATCTTGCCACGCATCGAGAGCGCAACGACCTCCTCGTCGTTGAGCTCGTGGGCGCGCTTCTCCAGAAGCATCTTTTCCAGCTCTTCCTTGTTGCGGATGACAAGCGGTTGATCGGGATGTTGGGGCTCGGCCCGAGAAGGCGGTTGGGTGGTGTCGACTTCGTCGTCCGTCAAGGCAGGGGTGGGCGGAATCGATGGCGGGGACGGCGGAGCCCGGTATCCTCCAACAGGGAGCGTGGCCGACTCGGTGTCGTTGAACTTTTGCGCGTCGGCCAACTCCTTGGGGTTGATTGGGTGGTCGGGAACGTTGGGATCCTTGATGCCCGCCCTCGCAGCGTTGAAGAGATAACCATTCAAGGCCACGCTCATGGCCAGAGCAACAATGATCCACTTGGACAGAATGGGGTCCTCCAGACTCTTAAGGATACCACCGACCATCCTGCCTCCGACGCCGTAGCCGGCAAGCTCGCCGAAGGTATCTTGTTCGCCCTTCCCGACCGACTGGGGCAGATCGTAATGGATTGAGGGGAACTCCAACTCGTAGCGGATCGGGGTGAGGACCGAGACAATCGTCTCGCGGCCCTCCTTCCTGGCCGTTTCGAGGATCAGGTCCAGCCCGTTCGAGGCAACCTTGAAGGGGTCAATGGGAGGGGGCGCGACAACACCTCCTAGGCCGCGAGCCCAAGACGAGATGTGCGAGATGGAGTTGGCGCTCCGGAAGGGGATGGTGCAAAGGTTGACAGCGTTGATCAGGAAAAAGCCCGAAACCATCAGGACCTTGAACTTGGGGATATGGGTGCTCTTGATCTGGCGGCCGAAAATGGTGGTTCCCGGCGCATCCTTGCCATCGGCCCTGGCCCAGTCGTTGCTCTGCGCGACCGTCTCGGCGACACGGTGGCTCACACCATCATCCTCAAGGGCCTTGCGCATCTCGACATGGCGCTTGATGCGGTTGATCTCCAGCTTGATGCAGAGAATAGCGGTGTAGAAAGAGAACAGGAGAATGCAATCAAAGAACAGAATCCAAGCGGCTAAAAAGCAGAATTGCTGTAGCCCTCCCTGGACCCCAGACGCTGCGCCGAGAACCAGGATGCCAATCTCAATGGCGTAGTCCTTGACGATGCCGAATCCCTTCTCCTTGATCGCGACGTAAATAGCGGACTGGATAACGCTGCCGGACACGTCTGCCTTTTTGGAGCCCTTCTCGGGCCTGCGGTGCTCGATTGCGTGTGTCAGGACGGCGCGCGTGAGTACGATGTTCTTCTCGAACCCGATTGTCACGACCAAGAACGGCAGGCCTTCGGAGAGTAGGACCATAGAGACCGGGACGCCGAGTTTGGTGGTGACGAGGAGACCAAAGAGAAACGAGAAGGTGGACGAGAAGAGAACGCTCATGGCGAGCCAGAAGTTGGAGCCCATGCGGCGCATCGAGAGGAAGAGCGAGACAAAGGTGAGGTGCATCGAGATGTAACCCAGAGCCATAATGATGATGTCGAGCGTCTCGGCGTTCTTCAGGAGGTCAATGAACTCGACCCAGGCGTTCCGGGCCCACCTCACGAGACTGCTCCTGGTCTGCGCCCTAGCTGCCTTCATGATCCACATCTTCTTCTCCCGGCCATGTTCAGTCTCTCTCGTCTCTTGCGTAGGGATCCCGTTCGGGATTTCCTGGGCGATCGTGAGGAACTCGGACGCCTGGGTGTAGGGAACCGAGAAGGCCAGGGCGCTGTCTTGAGAGTACGTGGTGAATGAGTTCGAAGTCGAGGGCAAGGACCGAATGGAGAGGTTTTGGGGAATCGGGACCGCATCGACTAACGGGGGTGCCTTGGAAGGATCCGCAGACGTCGAGTCGGGGAATACCAGTGTCAGGAGCGCGAGGTAATCGGCAGCCGCGGGAATCGAGGCCTGGGTGTCGTAGTTCTGCCACTTCCAAGCTGTATCCTCGGCCGCGCGAAGCAGCCGGCTGCCCTCGTTCAAGGAAGACCATTCTGCTCCCCTGACGCTCCTGGTCGCATCAAAGAGGCTCTCCTCGAGGAGGCCAATGTAAGAAGTGCTGGCCAAAAGGGCTACCACGACGATGGTATGGATTGGGTGCGTCGAAGTGAGCCGAGCCAAAACTTGAAGGGGCGGCGTAATCTTCTTGCTCAGCCACGAGGGCGCGACATTCTGTGACGACGGCTGTTCCCCGCGAAACCGCGAGGGCAGCAGATTTGAGGCGATCATTATGATGTAAGGAGGATGCGACTATCGGAGCTCACGCGACATCGAGCGGTTCTTCTTCGAAGGCTAGGAAATCTAGAGGGATACTAATAATGTAATTAGCTTCCGACATCGCCGTAGAAAGTTAAACCATAGGCCCGCTGGTCCACAATGGCCCGATTACGCGTCAACACGCTGCCAACCAGCGGCAACGGTCAACGTGCCCAGGCCTGAATGTAACCGGAGTAGCATTGGCACCAGAGAGCGGCGGTGTAAAATGTGATGGGAGTTATGCAGGAAAATAAATGGCAGAAAAGCAGAGGGCATAAGCTTACCAGACAGCAAGCAGCAGGGCCTGGATTCGCGGTTGCGCGATAGAATTAACTCGCTGCGCAACGCGTCAGAGCAGGTGTGCGCTTAGCTGCACTACGTTGAGTGCGCTGCGTCCGATTGTCGGTTCGGCGACCCTGGCTGTTGAAGTGCCGGCAGATGCGCTTGGGACGAACTCCTATCGAGGGCTATCACAGCTCGAGGAGAACGCAGGCCAGCGCTGGGTCTTGGTGCTTTGTGGGAGTCTCCTCACTCACGAGTGCACGGTGGCGGTGTTGAATTGAGTGTCGAGAAAGACCTGCGGGAAGCAAACCACCGAAAGAGGCCGGGTTTCCTCTCGCCTCTCCAAGGCGGTGATCGATCTTTAAAAAAGAATTTCAATCTGATGGGAAAGACGGTGCATCACCGTTTTCTGCACGACAGGGACAGAAGCAGGCTGGGAGGTTCCGGCCTGCGCCATGCAACTTCACTGTTCCAGCCAACGGCCGCCAGCGATTGGTACTGGCCCACAGCCATCCGATATAGGCTAGCGTGGAAGGAAACGGATAGCTTGGCGAGGATGTCGAGCTGTCTCCCGCATGGCTGGCAGCTGTTGCTGTCAACGACTGCCCCTATTTCTTTCCCTTCAAAGTTAGTCCGTTGCTCCACTTTCAATTCTTTCCTGATCCCGTTTTTCAGGAGGCGGTCAGGGCCTTTCAGACGGAAAGATTGTGCAGCGTTGGGAGACTAGTATTGTGCTCGAGAGTTCTTCTCTTTGTTAGGGGTCGAACACCTCCCGTCCTCAGGGTCAATATCGAGGGGAAGGTGCAGTCGTCCAAAGTAACTGCTGCTTTTAGCAGCCGCCCCCACCCCCCCAAACCTGCAGAGCCCGCGTGCGAGATCAGGGCACCGAACGGTGCGGCGGAGGAGCGATTGGAGATCGGATCACATATGCCCCACTGTAGAAACGGACGGATGAGGAACAGGGGTTTGGCAACCGTAACGGAGCCAGCCCTGCTCTGCCACGACTGCTCCTCTGCAGTGACGAGAGTCTCACTTTCTCTCTCTGCTGTGCATGCCGATCATCCAAATTAATCACAAGATCGGTTTTCTGACTGTGTCCTGTGCAACAACATGCTACTTATAACAAGAAGCTGGAAACCCCGTTCGAAATCGGATCCGATTACCGACTTGTTGAAATTGGCCCAAGCGTGGGCTGGGCATCTCATCTCCTCCCAACCTAAATTCAACATGGTGACCAAATCCGTAGTTAACTCCTTCGTAACGGACCGTCTCTGCACACCACCACCGCCTCCCAGATCCTTCTTCTCTCAGCTGAGGCGCCCCTGCGCTTTCTCAGCGGCTTTCGGCGTTGGCTGTGGTGATTCTGCGGAATCTTAGCTAAGCGGTGTCTTCTCACGCCAAGATTCTTTCAGGCACGGCCGTTCGGGATTGCAACGCCAAGAAGCCCCACAGGCACCTTTTTGTCCTCGCATTAGTTATCTTATCAGGCTCTGCCCCTCCATACCACATGCCAAAATCCAGGATCCCAGGGTCCCTCGTGGTCAGCACCCAAATCGGTCACACGAGATGTAACCCGGAATGCATTTAGCTTTTCCGGTTCCTCGGTTCTCATCGAAAGAAACATCTGCGAATCAGACCAGAAACAGGCGGTAGGAATTTCAGCCGCAATCATGACCGACCCTGCGTTCAAGCCCGCGCTATTGGTCGTCGACATGCAAGAGGACTTTTGCCCTCCGGTAAGCCTTGAACCCATGATTCCATCCGGACTCGCATCCTTCCATGATCCCAACGCACATGAACCCATTCCGATGTTGCAGACAAATTCTGCCTAGTGCACAGTTGTTTTCTGATGAGTTGCCACCGCTACGCTATGTAAGCGGATGAGAGAATGTTGGGCTGCTTCCATCTTCTTGAGCACCGTGTTGTTTCTCTCAGTAGCACCTGGGCTACTCGTTGACACTGAAGCACATCCACGAACCAACATCCCGCCCCCATCCAACCACACCCACCGCATCACAGGACACCATCGCCCCTCACCAGTTCCTCAAGCCACTTCCTCCCCCCCCAACTAACCAACCAGTAACTAAACACCTCGCGTACCCAACAGAACGGCTCCCTCGCCGTCGCCGAAGGCCGCGATATCACCCCCCTAATCAACACCCTGCTCGCCCTCCCAAGCAGCACCCTGCCCCTCAAGATCGCCACCAAAGACTGGCACCCGCCCAACCACATCTCCTTCGCGCGCAACCACGGCCCCCAGAAACAGCCCTTCACCGACACCACCACCATCACCAACCCGCTCAACCCCACCGAACAGTACACCACCCGCCTCTGGCCGGCGCACTGCATCCAAGACACGGCCGGCGCGGCGCTCATCCCGGAGCTCGACACCACCCACCTGACGCACACCATCACCAAGGGCACGGACCCCCGCCTGGAGATGTACAGCGCCTTCTACGCGCCCCTCGCCAACCCGCGGGTGTCCGACAGCGGGCTGGCCGCGCTCCTGCGCGGGGCCGGCACGACCCACGTGTACGTGGTGGGGCTGGCGGCGGACTACTGCGTGCGGCGCACGGCGGAGGACGCGGCGCGGGAGGGGTTCGCGGCGGTGGTGGTCGAGGAGGCGACGCGCGCGGTGGAGCCGGCCGGGTGGGCGGCGTGTAAGGCGGAGATGGAGGCCGCCGGGGTGCGGGTGGTGGGGTGGGAGGGGGAGGAGGTGAGGCGGTTGTTTCGGTCTGGGGAGTAGTTGGGGAGTAGGGGGTTGTGGGTTGGGTGTGGGAATACGTTTTTGGAGAAGAGAATGTGCATAACAGTGGTCCGTCTATAATCTGTAGGAATATGAGCGTGTGTTAGTTGCACATCGATGAAGCACGGCTGAAGATGGGAAAAATAAAAACAATGGTTGCCCACTTCCGAATAGCGATTCCGAAAGTGCCATGAACTCCTATACTTCCACAACACCACAAGACATCGACAACCGAAAATATAACGTAACAATCGAATTCATTCCTCATGCTTCATTAACTTGTATACATTCGAATACCCAGCACGACTGAGCAGGGTGGCTTTGGCTCCCCTCACCCCTTGAACGAAGCCGCTGCTGAATACCAAACCCCGCAAATCCATAACTCCATCCCTACCGGAAACCTACTTACCGACCCACGCGGATAACGCCGGCGGCAATCAACTTCTGAATCTTGTTGCGGACGTTGGGGTTCTTCATGTGCTCCGACAGCGCGGCGGGGTCGGTCTGCGCCTGTTGGAGGATAGCCTGCATCACGGGGTCTTGCATAATACCCATAATCTACATCACAGTTAGCATCACTGTAGGGATATTATGGATACCTGGTAAACTCACCTCGGGATCCCGCGTCAACCGTTCGCGGGTCTGCTCCTCCGTCTCATTCTCCCGCGCCGAGTACATGGCGGAGAACGCCTTCTGCTGCTGCTGATCAATTTCCTTGGCATTGGCGCCGTTATGGTGCTCGGAATCCACCTCCAGGGCCTCGGTGCAGGCATCCACGCACTTGCTGTACTCGCGCATGCCGAAGTAAGCCTGGGCCTTGCGGATGAAGGCGCGGATGAACTTGGGGTCCTTCTTGATGGCCATGTCGCAGTCATCGAGTGCGCTGGGGAACTCGAGCAGCTTGATGAAGGCCGCCGCGCGGTTGCTGTACCCGCGGGGGTCCTCGGGCGCGCGCTTCGTCATCTCGGTGTAGGCAGCCACCGCACCTGGCCAATCCGACTCCTTAAACTTCTTGTTGCCGTCCTCGCGCGCCTCCTCGGCCTTGGCGGGGTCGACGTACGCCTTGCGCGCGGCATCAATCTTATTCCGCTCGGCCGCGCGGACCTTGTTCACCACGTCGGGCGTCCGGTGCTCGCGCAGCGACATGTTGTAGAAGTCGATGGCCTGGGCCAGGTCACCCTGCTTCTCATACGCCGTGCCGATACGGGCATAGGACTTGGCGATGACCTTGAAGTCGACGTACAGGCTACGGCCCTCCTCAACAGCCTTGGTGCAGGTATCGATGCAGGCCTGGTAATCGCCCTTCTCGAAGTGGGCCGCACCCAAGTTGTTGAGGTAGGTGGTGTCCTTGTGGAGGTCCCAAGCCGCCTGGTAGTGCTTGATGGCCTCGTCAAAGTTGCGCTTCTTGTAGTTCTCGGTTCCGAGCGCCTTTTCCTTGTCGGCCGCCTCCTTCGCCTTCTTCTTCTCCAGGGCCTCATCATCCAGCTCCTCCGGCTCGGGTTCGGGTGCCTTCTTCGCCGGCTCCGGCTTCTTAGGGGGGGCATCCGACATCTGCACGTCTTCCTCAGGCTCCACTCGCGAGCCAGAGCCGCCGGCTCCCGCGTCACCAGCATCCCGCATCTCCATATCAACGCCCATCAGCACGCCAAGGACCTGGATCATCCGGGGGTCGCTGAACAGGTCTTGCATGTTGTTCGGGTTTTGCTGGATGGCCTGCAGCTTGGCCATGAAGCTGGGGTCGGCGAGTAACGAGCTAGTCTTCGGATTGCTGGCGAGCTTCTGAATGAGGTTGGGGTCCTTGAACATATTGCCCAGGCCGCCGGTTGGGTCAGGGCCGCCTTGCACATTATTAGTCGACACATCCTCTGGTTCGTTATGCGCGCAGAAAGACCTACCAGCACCTCCTGCCTCCTGCTCCATGGCCCTCTTGACCGACGCCAGGTCGTTCTTCATGCCGGCATTGTTCGGGTCGATCTTCAGGCCCTGCTCGTAGGCGTCATGCGCGCCCAGGAGATCACCCTTCCCGTACAGTGCAGTGCCCTTACGTCCCCAGCCCTTGGGCCAGTCGGCCTTCAACTCGGTAGTCTTCTCGGCATCGTTCAGTGCGTTATCCCACTCCTTCTTCGAAGCGTACGCGGCGGACCGGTTGCTGTAGAGAATGTGGTTGTTGCCATCGAGGGCGATAGCCTGTGTAAACTTGTCGCTGGAATTGCCGTTAGCTTCTCTCCATTCTTGTGCCGTACTTCCCATGTCAAGCTAGGCGGCTAACTCACATCGCCTCGTCGAAGTTCTTGGCCGCAATGGCCTTGTTGCCCAGAGCCTTGAGCTCGTCGGCGGTTGACATGGCGATGGCAACGGCGTGTGCAAGGGTTTAAATAACAGCGTGTCTCGGTTTTGTCAAGGAATTTTGTTGATCTGTAAAGAAGGGTGCTTAGTTTTATCAAGGGAACAATGGGAACTGCCGGCGAAGAAATCGGGATGCAGACACGGCCTGCTGTGCTCGGCTCGTGGAAAGCTCTGGACTTTCGATGCCTTTCGATCGAAGTCCAAGCTCGTGATTGGTCGTAGCGCTCAGCTCCCCACAGAGACGGGCGGGGTGGTTCGAACGTTTGGCGGGGCAGGCACGGCAGGATCAACCCCTCAACTCCAAATCCTACCATCATCAGAATTGATCAAATCGCCGCGAGTTCAGCTCAGCCCCTGGTGAACACCTATTGTTATTTGTATTCACACAAAGAAATTTTTCTTGGCCCATGTTCCCACGGCAAATAATCATCTCCAACCCATCTAGCGCAGCAGTTTCCTCTTGCTCAGTCCGACACCGCTCACGATTAGCAAGACGAATATCCTACTTGGAGACCGAGGAAGCGTATATGATCCATTATCTTAAGAGAATATGGCTAAAGCAAAACAGGGCCGGAGGTATAAATAGGTTCGGATATATTCAGGAAGTGCAGTGCCGTAGCAACAGGTAGTAACTCGCAATTGCACCGTCTTTCTTTTGCAATTGACCCTACCCTTACTTCCCAGGAAATCCGAAAAGTCTATCCGCTTTTCCCTTTAAGAAATTGCACGACATGTTAAGCAACATTTCTAGGCATACCTAACTGAATACATTATGTAGGTACCTGCTAGCAGGGTCAGACACAGACACGCTTGCTCTGCTCAAGCGAAACGTCTACCTGTCAAAATCCCCTATTCTCATCGCCCTTCCCAGCCACCCCCATACAGGTTGGCCCTGGCTCGGGCATGCTCAAAAGGTCTCCTACAGGCCGCTCAGAGATAGTCACATCGACCATATTGTAGGGACTGAACTCGTACTTTTCCCTTCTGATACGGACTTCCACAAGGGGAAAGGGCGCGAGGTCCAGCCGCCATGTATCCTCCGGGATAGCCATCGAGCGGCTAAACAAGGACTCGAACTCTCCGAACCGAGTTGCCCGTTCGCTGAGCCAAGTAAACCCGGCGGTGCTCACAGGATCCTCAGTCTCGGGACCGTAGACTAGAGGCACCAACGATACCGAAACGGGAGCTCGGTTACCCCGCCGGGTTTTGGAACGAGCAAAGACAAGGCCAAAGCCGAACCTTGTGGCCGTTTTGGTGAGCCGGCAGTGTAAAGCCCATAGCTTGTCCGTGTTCTCCAGTTCCGGCGCGCTGATTGTGCCCTCCTGCGCCACGTGAACGCCGTGGTGGCTGTAGAGCGCGATAGACTTCTCGTATAGTGCGGTGTCGCCCCATCGGCAAAGGACGAATTCCCCCTGCGGTAGATATTCAAGGCCCTGGGGTTCGACCTTGAGGCATCTACGCATCTGGACGAGATCGGACGGGAAGTAGCCCGTGTTCGTGAAGCGCACCAGCTCGTCCGTCCGACTGAATTGAGCATCGCCCCAACCATAGAGAGGCAAGAGGATGAAGGTAGTATCTTCGGCCTCACACTGGCAGAGCAGGATGGCAAATACCATGGAACGGAGCTGAGTAATTCTCAACCCCCACCAGAAGAAGACGTATGGTGGAACGTCGGGTAAGACTGGAAGTTCGAGAGTAACACCTGCCCCCGTGATGGTTGGGTAAAGCAGCTGGCCCGTAGTCCTAGATGTGGTAGGCGTGTAGAAGAACCCGGCACCTCTCCAACGCGAGAGATTGGATGACCATTGGAAGTCGACCGGAGATTCGGCGAACAGACCACGGAGAGGAGTGCGTGACGCGGTTTCATCCCAAGGGATGGGCTCCAGTCCCTTCAGCTGCTGGTCGTTGGTGATTTGTCTCGTTGGTTGGTCAACAATTCTCCCCCATGCAAAGAGAGTATGGTCTGTGGGGTAGGCTTTCATGATCTCCTCCTGTAGTCTTCGAAATGCCTTTTTCCCCTCGCCGTAAAGTAACGGCATGTTGACACCGAAAATTCCGAGAAGGCAGTACGCAATGTCCTCGGTTCTCGACGTCTCTCGCTTGGCGGCCCAGGACATCCGCGCAGCCACGCTCCGAGGAGATGAGGAGGAAAATGACCTCAGGTCAGAACGGCAAATCCCCGTGATCTCCGTGATGTTCTTGCTCAACGAAAGCTTGTCGCCGATCTTTTCCCAGTCGCGGCCGTAAAACACCACGTCTTTGGGTGCGAGGAGCTCCTGGAGCGTCCAGCCCCGTGTGAACCAACGAGCACGGGCAAGATGGTCATCAAGCGAGAAGGGGTCCCGGTCGACCTGACTCGGAACATCTGCGAGGTAGGCGTAGCATACTGCGGCGTTCTGGTACCAGCGAAACATGGAATTGATGGCCTCGGAAAGCTCAGCACTGCTTCGTTTGTCGATACAGCAACTGGGGCGACTGTCAGCGACCTGATTGCTTGCGGGGCATCGCAAGGGGTCCCCCCTCAAACACCTGTGACCTACGTGTCGACCCAAACCCAGTTGTACCCATCGGCCATGGCCTGCCAACAGCAATCAACAACCTTAGCGTAGCCTTTCTTCGCCCGGAGAGCGTCCGCCGAGAGGGTTTGAAAGTCCTCATACGTGACCTCTTCCTCGGCCCAAGTGTGGGAGAGGATGGCATAGCGCACGACCTCCGAGTCGGACAAAAACTCCCCGATGGTTCGCGTATGTACGTTGAGGAGCCTCATTGTAATTTGTCGGTGCAGTTCAATCAAGCAGGAAGTAGGAGATGGGATTGTGAGAGACGTCACTGCCTTAACTAGTCCGCAGTTGCCTGCGGCTGCGTTTGAATGCTCAGCCTCACGCTCTTTTTGGGTGACATTGGGCTCCCATCTCCGTGGGATGATACTGATAGGTCAGGCTCCAGTCCAGACGGATTGTGACGGCGCGTAATCCCGCGCTATGGACGATACAACTACTAGTACGCTTTACTCGGTCCATATACGCAATCATCGTGACTTACACGCAGCAAGTTCGGGATGTGTATATGATTCCGCCGTATCTGGAGCTTTCAGGGGTTCGGGCTCCCGACCAGTGGCTGGAGACACGATGACGAAAAGAAGCTCGCTTCCCAAGCTCGTTCTCCGCATTTGGAAAGCTCGAAAATCCGGGCCAATCAGCACCAGTGACTGGTGAGGGTGATTTTGATTCAGATTTGTGCTGGGTTGAGGCTGACTGAGCACCTATCCAGGCAGCATTCTCACTTAAACATCATAAAAGACTTGAAAAAACCGGATATATCATGAACCAAGGGCTTTTTTAATAAGACGATGGTCTAACAAACCGACGGCAAGATGATCAACTTACAACACCTCACCAACGAGGTCACCTCCAACCCAGCACTGCTTATAAGTAGCGTGGTGATCCTAGTAAGAACTCAACCCCCCCAAGAACCTGCAAGTCTTGGCTTTCATCAACATCCCAAACTAACCCTCCCTACTCCCAGCTCCTAACCTACCCCCTCACCACCCTAACCTACAACCTCCTCTTCCACCCCCTGCGCCACACCCCCGGCCCACTCCTCTCGCGCGCCTCCGCCCTCCCCTGGGCCATCCGGCACGCGCTCGGCACATCCGCCTTCCACACCCACCATCTCCACACCCGCTACGGCCCCGTCGTGCGCATCGCTCCCAACCACCTCTCCTTCACGGCGCCGCGCGCCTGGCGCGACATCTACGGCTCGCTGCCGCGCGACAGTGGCAGCAGCGGCAGTGGCGGCAGCGGCGGCAGCGGCGGCAAAAGCGGCTACACCAGCGTCTGGCCCGAAGTGCCCAAGAGCAAGACCTTCACGTCGGCGACGGATGATCAGGAGGAGTCGATCGTCCAGGCGGACTTCCACGAGCACGCGCGTCTGCGGCGGGCGCTGGCGCCGGGGTTTTCGGATGCCGCGTTGCGGGTGCAGGAGCCGTTGCTGAGGAGGTATGTGGAGGTGTTGGTGGGAAGGATTGGGGAAAGGTGTGGTGGTGGTGGTGGTGGTGGTGGTGATGGCATGAAGGGGGAGGGGGTGGTGATGGATATGGAGAAGTGGTATAATTGGACGACGTTTGATATCGCGGGGGATTTGGTGTTTGGGCGGGCGTTTGGGTGCTTGGAGAGGGAGGCGTATCATCCGTGGATTGCGTTTCTGATGGGCACGTTGAAGGCGGCCGCGGGGATGGTGTCGGTTATTTATTTGGGGGGCAGGTGGTTGGTGAGGATTTTGTTCAAGACGGTTGGGCAGAAGTCCATGTTGGCTCTGCGGGAGATGACGGAGGAGATGGTTAGCCATCGGCTTGCGATGGAGAAGGGGAGGGATGATTTGTTTGAGGGTCTCGTGAAGCATCGTGAGGAATGGGTATGTTTGGTCCCGGAGGCGGGCTCAGGGAAAGGGGGCACAGGGTTGCTAACCAGTTTTTGACAGAACCTCTCGTTCGAAAAGTTCTCTACCAACGGCTTGGTCCTGACCCTCGCTGGGTCCGAGACATTGGCGACCACGCTCTGCGGGACGACTTACCTTCTGTTAAAGAACCCCAAAACGATAGATCGGCTTTCCCAGGAAGTACGCGCAGCATTCAGCAACACGGATGAGATCACTGTCAAAGCGGTATCTCAACTTCCCTACCTAACCGCGGTTATCAACGAGTCCCTGCGCATGTACCCTCCCGTTGCTGCGGACTTGATCAGGGTCATTCCCCCGGAAGGGAAGAACATTGCTGGTCACTATGTCGCTGGCGGTGTAAGTACCCTCTCACCAACACCCTGCGCCCAAAGGCATAGCCCTAACTTGAACAGACCTTCGTGGAAGTCCAGCCATGGTCGATCAACCACAGCCCGGACAATTGGGTTGAGCCCTGGACTTTCAACCCAGACCGGTTCCTTCCCGGGGAAGACGAAGCAAAGGAAGCAGGCAATATCCTCGAGGCATCTCAACCCTTTAGCTGGGGACCGAGGAACTGCCTTGGGCGCAAGTAAGTAACTAGGCCCTGGTTGAAAGTGACCAAGCTGACAGGTACAGCCTTGCGTACGCGGGACTGCGTTTGATACTCGCCCGCATCATCTTTTACTTTGACATGAAACTCGCGGGGGACAGCGGCGACTGGATCGGGCGGCAAAAGACGTTCCCACTCTGGGCCCGGCTGCCCCTTAATGTGCACTTTACACCCGTTAAGCGGGGCTAGGAGTGATGCTGGGCGTTTGTAGAAATTAGATTAGACAACCATCCCGCCTCTCAGGCAAACTTGCCAATGTTCGCTGTTACCCGGCTATTGACCACTCCCCTTTCCATCCTCTCCGTGACGGCAGCCTTCACCCGAACGCACTTCCCCAACACCGCTGGTCCAGGTTTATCATCCCCTCCTCAAGCCGAGCAAAGATCAGCGCAGTCCTCAACCTCGGACATGTCCCGGTACACGGTCGAGTACACGGTGCTGGTGATGCCGTCCTCATCCGAGCCATCATCGGCGCCATTCACCACAGGGGGGCTAGTCACGGTCGGTTCCGCGGCATCCTCAGACTCCGTGGGGGTAGCATCCGAGCCTTCCTCCGAGCCAGTACCCTCCTCGGCATCGCATTCGGCATCCGTGGGCTCAGGGTTGGAGGGAGTCGAAGCCGAAGGGACGCTGGGCTCGGCGCTAGGGATAACGACAGTGGTGGCGGGCTCGGAGGGCAGCAGAGAGCAGGAAGGGGACACGGTGACGGTGCTGATGGCGGTCTCCGTCACGGTCACGGGAACGCAGGACGACTCGTCGGGGGGCAAAACGGGGCCGGCGCCGTTGCAGGCGCCATCGCGGACGAAGAACTTGGAGGTCTGGGCGTGGATGACGAAGACGTTGGTGCCGTTGATGGCGTTGCTGCGGGTGGCTTTAGCTTTTGTGCGGAACGGAACAGGGATGAGAGGTGCTTACAATTGGAAACCCCACGAGGTGTTGACATCACAAGGGACGGTGACCTGGTGCTCGCCCTCTGAGGTTGGCACGTCGGAGGCAACCTGGGTGTAGAAGGGGGGCCAGTCCACGAAGTTGACCAGGAAGATGCTGAACACGGCGGGATCAGTGTCGACGCTGCTCCACTTCACGCTGTACGTCTCCCCCTTTTTCAGGGTAGAGTTAGCCACCGGTTCGTGAAACTGGATGGCCGAAACAAGGGGCGCCGCAAGGGCAAAAAGTGACAAGACACGCATTTTAATAACAGTTGCGGAGGCGGCGGCGGACAGATAAAAGAGTGACTGCTGCCAAACTCGCAGTAAGGACTGTAGAAGTTGGATAATGAGAAATGAGAAACTGAAGATGTCGAGGAAAAGAAACGGCCGAGGCGCCGGCGGCCACAAGCGTTCTTTTGTCAATACGAAGTCCACTCCCCAATGGGCCAAATTCTCCACAAAGCTGGTTCGTGATGCTCCACCCATCGGTCAGGTTAATGCCTGTCAATACGGATGCCCCTGAAATAACACGAGGTTCCCTAATTATAGTCATGGTCAAGAGCCATTCGTCCCCGCTGCAGGCACGGTTTGGCATGAAAGTCAAGTATGACTTTGCAAAGACAATTGCCCCAAATATTGACAAAAAAATAAAGACGACGATCCCGCCACCCTGATCTGCATATCCCGATACGCGAGGCCGATCACCCACGTGCCGATGACAGCAGTGCGCTCGGGGTGTGAGGGCATGAGATGGATGTGTTCGCCAACGTTAGATAAGGGCAAGTTAAGGCTTCTCGTCGTCTTCGTTTATCCACAAAGAAAGAGGCACGCTGACCGGGGAACTCCGGACCAGTGCCGGGGCTGCCCGTGACAGTGGAGCAACGTACAGGTACCTACCACCTAGGTAATTAACCCAAGCAGGCGGCGATATCAAAGAGGGATTACATGCGGCCACGATTACCTCGAACTACCTTCCTGACAGACTATTAGCAATTCAGGAACCAGAAATAACTATCAATCTGCTTCATATGCCGACCATAGGTCAATGTTATCAATGTAACCCACGAACCTTTTCGTCTTCCGTTGGGCAAGATGTCGAGCTCAACCCCCTTTTATGCCTGATTGATCTAAGATGGGTGCCACCTAGAGCAAATTGGATGTGTGAATGCATTCAAGTTGAGTTCCCGTCACGTATAGTTCGCGTGGTTGTTAACTTGTTATTTCAACACGAGAATGGTCACCTACGGGGTAATATCAAGATGCTCGTGATAATCAAGTCGAAATAATCACGACATGGCCGGGAACTGGGCTGGTTTTAGGTTTATTGTCCCACGTCCAATGTCCGGTGACGCCAAGTTACACAGCTGATAAGCTAAGGGGGTGCGATGCATCCGCGCGAACCCCTCCGAAGAGATGAACGATGAAAGTTGACGTGTTACAGCAACTGTTTCGACCGGACAGCGAGAATACGGATGTCCGACGCGTGGCGGCCACACGCTAATGCAGATAGTAGAAGGAAGACCCTGCTCATGATTACAAGAGAACCATTTTCCCACAATTAGAGGTTAGAAATATCAGCATCTTGGACGATAACCTTCGATAATCATCACCAGGCTGCGAAACCCCAATCCCATCACCACAATGCGCCTGCACACCCTCCACGACCTCGACCAGACCGAAGGCACCGTGCAACTGCGGCCGGCCTCCACCTCATTCACCTCCCCGTTGCTCCTCCACCCGCCGCCCTCGCCAACCGACCCCAACGACCCGCTCCGCTGGCCGCGCTGGAAGAAACACACGGCCTTCCTCTCCGTCTGCGCCTTCACCTTCCTGACCAACTACGGCGTGGGCGGGCTGGCGCCGGCCTTCTACGTCCTGTCGCAGGAGTTCGACAAGACGGTCGCCGAGACCAGCGACCTGCTGGTCTGGCCGATCCTCGTGCTCGGCGTCTTCAACTTCTTGTGGGTGCCGCTCGCCAACTACCTCGGCAAGCGGCCCGTGTTTGTCTTCTGCTCGGGCCTGCTGTGCGCTTGCTTCGTGTGGGGTGCCCTTGCGCGCTCGTTTGAGTCGTTGTTGTGGTCGAATATTGTGGCCGGGTTTGCTGGTTCGTCGACTGAGGCGCTCGGCGCGAGTATGGTGAATGATTTGTACTTTTTGCATGAGAGGGGGGCGAAGATGGGGGTGTATATGAACTTTATCTCGGGCGGGAATACCCTGGGTCCGTTGGTGTGTGGGTTTGTGATTACGGGGTTGAGTTGGCGGTGGCATAAGTGGATTGCCGTGATCTTTACGGCGATCAATTTCCTGACGGTGTTGTTGTTTGTGCCGGAGACGAGGTACTACCGGGATGGGGGTAGGGATGGGACTGGTCAGCCGCGGGCGGTATTGTCATCGACGGAAACCGTCAGTGCCCGTGATGGCGAGGCGGCAAAGGGAAGTAAAGCGGATGCGGATGGCAAAAAGGAAGAGGCCCACGCCGCTCCCACAACGGTACCCAAGAAGACCTGGCTACAGGAGATCAGCTTGTGGTCAGGGACCGCACCAGATACGAACCTCGCCAAGATGTTCGTTCGGCCACTGCCGATGTTCGCATATCCCTGCGTTGTTTACTCGTTCCTCGGATACGCCGTGTCACTCGTGTTGACGGTGTCGGTCAACATCCTCAACCCTTTCGTCCTCCAAGCGCCTCCATACAGCTGGTCACCCATGATCAACGGTCTGATCAACATCCCCGGCTTCATTGGAAACGTGGTGGGTAGCTACGCTGGGGGGTGGCTGGTAGATGTGTTCTGCGACTGGAAGACCAGACGGAATAAGGGAGTCTTTGAGCCGGAAAGTCGGCTGTACTTGTGTGCCATCCCGCTGTTAGTCACCGGGGCAGGATGCATGACCTTTGGGTTCGGGGTGGAGAGGATGCTACATTGGACTAGTCTCTTCGGAGGATATGGCATGATCTCGGTGGCTCTGACGGCGGTTCCAACCATCACTATGGCATACGTCTCTGACTGTTTACTGCCCGTCAACTCGGATGCGTTGATGCTCGTCAATGGTGAGGATATCTCTCCGCCGACCAATCACCAATAAATACCTAACGGCTGACTTTTTCTAGGCTTCAAGAATGTGGTAGCTTTTGGTTTCCTTTACGGAATTGTGCCATGGGTCGAGAAGGTTGGCTACGCGGAGTGCTTCGGTATACAGGCTGGCATATTTGTTACGGTTATTGCTTTGGGTATGGCAATCCTCATACCCTTTGGTGGGAAGATTCGACACATTCAGGCACGGTGGCGGATCATTTTGTAAAGAGGTGCGCAAGTGATTCGAGTGGCGGCGCGAAAGAGTGCGCTGAAGTTTGAACCGACGAGGACGGCATGGGGTGGTGTGATGCGCATTGTTTGCTGTGATCAATTGGAAAAAAGGGTGTATTTGATCAGTTAGCCGTTTTTGGGACATGGCATTTTAAGTGATTTTCCTTTTTTTTGCTCTTTTTGCGCGCGTCTGCCTTGAGTGTTTGTTGGAAGAAGCCCATCAACCACCGTGACCACCGGTTTAGCTCGCCGAGAATGCCAAGCTCCGTCGCCCACCAAATGGAACGGCCCGATGCAAGGCTCAGCGGCAGGGCTTCGAAACAGCGGGGCCTCAGAGTCATTGTCCAGAATCTAACCAATGGTGTGTTTCTTCATCTCGCAAGGCTCTGACTGTGATGGAGGGGCAACATTTCGCCAACTAAATTTCCAGCGGACAGACAACTTTGAACCCGACGCATTCGACGACCCAATCCACCACACGGCCACGAGCAATATCCACACGAAGCTTTTGTGAATATCGCGAAAGATCTTCTGATAGCAATTCGAACTCGATTCTCAAATTGCGACTGTAATCGTGCCCTTCAAATCCACCTCCCGATCGAATTGCCCTCGCGCGACTGAGCCATGGCGAGCGGCAGCACGGCGGATGACGCCGGTGCGAAGCTCCAGATCCTAAAGGATGCTCTTTACGATGAGATGAGGCAACATGGATCAGAAGCCCGTCCATTTTCACAAAAAGATCTCAACGACCTTAACATCATCCCCAACAACGATGTCAACCTCCTCCTCAGCGTCGTCCAGCGGCTCTGTGACGACAAGCTCCTGGTCGGCATAGCAAACCACCATGCTGGGATGGCATGGAGATGGCGTAGCAGGGAGGAGGCAAAGAAGTAGGGCTCCCAACCTATCCCCAATTCGCATGGACACCAAGCTGACGACGGCGGATAGGTACACATCATTACCAAACGACGAAGCGGTCATGGTGTACTCGATAATCGACGAGGCCGGCGCCGACGGTATCTGGAACCGGACGATCAAGAACAAGCTCAACATGCACGAGGCGGTGGTGAAGAACTGCATCAAGTTCCTCGAGACCAAAGGCTACATTGCGAGCATGAAGAATGTCGAGCACCCGAACAAGAAGATGTACATCAAAGCCACACTCCGGCCATCCGAACGAGCGACGGGCGGCCCCTGGTTCACCGAAGGTGAGCTGGACACAGCATTCATCTCCGAGCTCGAGGGCATCGTGTTCGAGTACATCAAGACGAAGAGCGCATACCGGGGGTCACAACCACACGCAGGCGGAGCCGCCTCTTCAGCCGGGGCCACAAAAGCCCCCAAAAAGGGCGCCGTAACCGCAGGCGAGACCACCGCGCGGGGGACAAAACGCTCGGCGACCGAAATCTCCAACGACGACGCCCCGACCGCCGCCACCCGCACAGCCAACGGCAGCACCACCACCACCACCACCACCAAATCCCGCGCCGTCTTCCTGCCCATGCCGGCAGGGTACAAGCACTACCCGACGGTGGCCGAGATCGCCAAGTTCATCCACGACACGGGCATCACCAACAACACGACGCTGGGGGAGTCGGACATCCAGCAGCTGGTCGACGTGCTCAGCTACGACGGCCTCATCGAGCGGGTGCGCGTGGGCCGCCGGCGCGGCTACCGCGTCGCGCGCGCCGTCAAGCAGGACACGGTGCCCTTCCACAAGCGCCAGAAGGAGCGCGAGGCCGGCGTCGGCCTCGACCTGCCCCTCGTCCCCGGCGCCGAGCCCCTCGGCAGCGGCCTGACCGAGGCCCCCTGCGGCCGCTGCCCCGTGTTTGAGCTGTGCGAGGAGGGCGGGCCGGTCAGTCCGAGCAATTGTGTTTATTTTTTGCAGTGGTTAGAGTTGGAAGAGCCGCCAAAAGCGGTGGCAGCAAATGTGGCCAATCCCCCATGAGGCGAAATGGGATGGATGGTGGGCCCGGAAGATGTGTTATTGACGTCGGTGATAATATACCCCATTTTTAGCTTGGGATCCTCAAGTGCTTCGTACGCCTTCCTTGGTAATCCCGCCACCACATCAGTTTGTTGTCGGCGAGCATGGGCAAGGCTGCAACCAAGTCCCTTTCCGCTTATGTGATTCAACTTGACAGGTAATACGTCACATAGCGGTCGTCAAAAGAAACAACGGCAATGGTTCTGGGTACGGTGGAAGAGCATGGACTTTTTGGCCAGTAGGTTGAACCCGTTCGAGTTTATGTAACATATGATTGTTCCCATTCGGGACTGCCCACCATATCATGTAACCGCCCTGCTTATCTTCAAACTCGCAAGTGGTACGCCTACTCCGTGATCTCGCCGGAACTGGCGATGGTGGGTTCGCTACCCTCCTTAACCGTACCCTTGTCATCACCGAGAAGTTCCAGTGACTTCACCACCCTCATCGACTCCTCGTCGGCGACCTCGCCGAAGACGACATGGCGGCCATCGAGCCAGGAAGTGACAACAGTGGTGATGAAGAACTGAGAGCCGTTGCTGCGAGGTAGAAAGGAATATTAGCTTCATCTACCTCATTGCTGGCCCTATGGATGCTGGGCGATCTTACGTGTTAGGGCCGGCGTTGGCCATGGAGAGTAGGCCAGGCTTGGTGTGCTTCAACTTGAAGTTCTCATCGGAAAACTTCTCGCCATAGATGGACTTGCCGCCGGTGCCCTGGGACAGCAGTCAGCATCGTTTCCCAAAGGAGCGACGTTTTGAATTCTCACGTTGCCGCGGGTGAAGTCGCCACCCTGGAGCATGAAGTTCGGGATGACGCGGTGGAACTTGGAGCCCTTGTAGCCGAAGCCCTTCTCCCCAGTGCACAGCGCTCGGAAGTTTTCGACGGTCTTGGGGACATCCTCGTCAAAGAGGTCCAAGTTGATTCGACCTTGCTGCGCTATTTTACGAGTCAGCTGACTACCTAGGAAGCCCAGAAGATGCGACGGTGTTGGGGAACGGCCGGATGGGCATTTTGGTTCCGTGGTTTGCTCTCATCAACTGTTGGTAGGCACTAATGTAGGTATGGGACAACAGCAAATTGGCAAACATGACCGTGAAGAAGAGAAGAGACCGAAAAGCAAGCTACTTACCCGTCTCCGGTCCGGTAACGTTGAAGTTCTCGTCGATGACGGGACCCTTCCACGAGATGTCGAAGAAACTAGGCGCGTGCTGTGAGTAAGATTGCTTACGGCAGCGGTTTTGCGACTTACACCTTTTTGACCATGTTGGCGGAAGATGCGGAGAAAGCTCTGGCGGAGATTCTGGTTGTAGATTGGAGAGAGGGTGAGTTGGCGGAAGTGAATTGACCAGATGGAAGTTTGTAAAAGAGGGAGGAAGGTCGGACGAGAGATGAGCAATGGCGGGGTAGGAGGGGTCGAAACATTTTCCGCTGAGCGCAAGTGGGTTAGCATCAGATCTGGCCAACCAGGGACGGAAGCCGCGATGTGGGACGAAGAAGGGACGGATGAAGCTGCTCATAGCCTGCACGTGATATTATGAGGGGTTGTTGAGCAAGATCGAATCGATCGGAGCTTCGAAATCGGCATGCCAGGTCATCGCGTGTGGGGGGTTCCATCCCCTCTGTGGGGTTTGGTGTGTGAGGGGAGAGGGAGGTATTGGATAAGTGAAAGCTGATGTGCCAAGACTGAGCAACCAGACACCCTCAACGGAGCAAAGGAATGCGGCGACGAGGAACGCACAGGAGGATGTCGGATCCAGCTCCCCACCTCCCGTCATTATGCTCGCGGCTTCCCGATATTGGCGCCTGTGAGACGGAAAAACAATAAAAGACCGCTGTGTTCGAGGGCAAAAGTTCACTCCCGCGAAATCATGGGAGAACGAACTTGCTGGATCAAAACGGAAGTCGGGCTTGAACTGCCCGCATTGGGGTCGGCGGTCGCTCCTCTGACCTTGCAGATGGGGGCCGTTGCCGTGTTACACTCCGACTGTGGAAAGCTCGAATCATCCACGAGGAACACAGAAGAGGCAGTGAAAAGGCACCGGGGCGGTGGCCAAGCTGGAGACCAACGACCACTGACCAACAGCTCGCTCGACGAGCGAGGAATGACCGGAATTCAAGATGGAGGGGAGTAGGTGTTTTGAGGTCTGGGTGCCCGCCATGTTTCTTCGACGGGAGGTATGTACCGGAGCCGGAGAATGTGGCTCAAGGCCCCAATGGCAAACGTGAGAAAGTCCCAAGGTACGAGAAATATGAGAGGAAATACGCACGGCTGTGTGGGACTGAGTCCGCGGGATCTAGAACGGTATAAGTTAAAGGTAAAAAATCGAATTGAAAGCTGGTGACAGGATGGATGAAGTTGTTAAAGATGACGACCGCTAAATTTTGTTTTGGTCGCAACAGAAAGTTCAACCTCGAAGCTTTGGATCCATCACAGCACGGGCCGCTAACTGGCTGAGCTTAATTGATGCCTTGAACATGAGGCATTCAAGATGTCGCACTCTCCCAAGTCCAGGTTCTTGGCGGTCTGGTGGAAATCGCAATGTGTCGCCCCTTGTCAGCACTGCTGCCCATCGACCCTGTATTGCAAGTTTCGCGAAATCATCACGACCGAAAGCATCGCCGCTTCGCATAAAGGCACCCCATACCACTATCCCGCATCCAAACCCTTCGGATCGCATATTGTGTCTATTGCGGGCTTCGGCCACCATACTCTTCCGCCATGGATTTAAACAACATCAAGAAGCAGGTCTCGAACCTGACGCTGTACGACCTGAAGGCTGGCGTGCGGAAGATGCAGAATGGTAGGTTGACTGCCACAATGCCTTGAACTCAATTCTTTGATTGTACATACTAATTGACTTGTCCGCGTAGCCGTCATGAATTTCACAGAAATGGAGGCGAAGGTCGGTCACCGTGGCGACCAAGGAACGGCGCCATACCCTTAAGCTAACAGTCGCTAGGTCCGCGAAGCTACGAACAATGAGCCATGGGGCGCGTCGTCTACCCAGATGCAGGAGATCGCCGATGGCACGTTCAACTAGTATGTGTCTGGCCGGTATCCAACGCCGCGAGTTGCAGACTGATACCGTTGCTAGCCAAACCCTGAACGAGATCATGCCCATGATTTACCGGCGATTCACGGAAAAGTCGGCCGAAGAATGGCGGCAAATCTACAAGGCGTTGCAATTACTCGAGTACCTGATCAAGCACGGCTCCGAGCGTGTCATTGACGATGCCCGATCCCATATTACGCTTCTCAAGATGCTGCGTCAATTCCACTTCATCGACCAGAACGGCAAGGATCAAGGCGTTAACGTTCGGCACCGCGCCAAGGAACTGGCTGAACTTCTCGGTGATGTTGAACGCATACGATCGGAGCGCAAGAAAGCACGCACAAACAAGGGCAAATTCACCAGCATGCAGAGTGGTGGGGGGATGGGAAGCTCGAGCCGCTATAGCGGGTTCGGGAGCGACTCGGGATACGGCGGCGGCAGCAGCTCAACATTCGGCGGATATTCTGGCGGAGTGTACGGCGATGGAGGCGGTTTCGGAGGCCAATCGGACGATTACCGCTCCACACAGGCCCGAGGAGACAAGTTTGAGGAATACGATGAGTTTGACGAAGGGGAGCGGCCTGCTGCGTCGGCGAGCGCCGCTCGGGTGACTCGGGATACAACTGAGCGCGCGGGAGTGAAGCGAACTACGGAACAGCCGAAGAAGAAGGAGCCCGAAGTGGATCTCTTCGACTTTGACGAGCCTGCCGCTCCGACCGCGGCGGCTGCCTCTAGCGTTGCTCCTCCCAACCCTTCCGGACTGGCGTCGCTCGGTGATGGTGGCGCCGACGACGACGAATTCGATGATTTCCAGTCCGCATCCCCGCCAAAGCAAACAGCAGTTTCCCAACCGCCACTCACCGGGGCTCTCCCGGCACCCGGCCTGTCCCTGGCCGCGCCGAAGCCTGTATCCGCGCCAGCGCAGGCGAATCTGAGCGGGATGGTCGCTTTGTCGTCCATCTCCCCGCCGCCAAGCTCGACCGCCAGCCCCGCTGGCAACGTCTCGGCTTTTTCCACACCTCTCACTGCAAGCACGCTGTCCCCGGCGGCGCAGGCACCCAAGCCTGCTGGATATCAGGCGTCCGGGCCCAATTACTTCTCTTCAGTGCAGCCTACTACTCCATCTTCGGCAGGGGCCCAGGCGTCCGGTGGCCCTCCAACTAGCAAGCCGGCCGCCGGCGGAGATGCTTTCGGTGCCTTGTGGTCTCAGGCAAGTGTTGGCATCAAGAAGAACACGCAAACCGGACCGGGGCCTGCCATGGGGCAACTTGCAAAGGAGAAGAGCAGTGCCGGAATCTGGGGCGCCCCTGCCTCGACAACTCCGAGTAACGCCGGCGCGGGCAGCAAACCACTTGGAAATGGGCTGGATGACCTCCTAGGCTAGTGTTGTCTCATCAACAGCATTTGTTACTTTTGCGGGTTCGATGCAAACCTCTTTTCAGGATGCCATCGCAGCCCGGGCAGGGCGGGGGACGTCGCGCAGTGACGAGGTTCATGATCCTGGATGGATGACTGCAATGTGGGATTTCACACAGACAACACAGGGAGCAGTAGATGCGTACAAACTTGAGAAGTAGTTCTCCACACCCCAATATTCTTGATTCCTTGACACGTGGTGGTCGTGATTTTGGCTGGAGCGGGCTGTGCCGTGCGGAAGGGGTGGGGGAGACAACCACGAACCTCAATGGCCACACTCTATCAAATGATGTTGGAACATGAGGTAGAGTCGTTTGTGTTTCGTTTTTGAAAGGCGTTCTCTCACCTGCAGAGCCACGCTCCTTATTTGCCACCGGGGCTTGTGACGCCCGACCGTTATTTTCCGGCCGTCGACCCGGCCTGGATTCGCACCGAGGCCCCCCGGTTTCCCCAGCTTCCCCGGCCTCAAAATCGGCCCCGCTCCATCTCGGGCTTGCGGCCGCCCCCAGACCGGGCCGGACCCGCAACCCGAGACAGCCCAGAAACGGCACAGGAGTTGATCGAACACGACACGGAAGATACTTGATATGCCCTATAGAGAGAGTTCACAATGTAGTCTACAGAACCACTCCCTTCGGAGCGCCAATCGGACGTGGTTTGATCGCCATGGCCGCCAGTGTTGTCTTGCCGGTCACCATATCTCGTACCCATCGGACCTTCCTACACTTCGTACTTTGGTGTTGTGTCTGATCTTCGTTCCTCCAGTTTGACTTTCCTCGGTCATCGCCACCTACTGGCCTTTTCTCCCCCGTGCCCCCTTCCACTTCACTGCTTTCTCTTCACAACCAAAACACATTCAAAACTTCTTCGAGAAGAACGAAAACGAGCTATACCCACGCTTTTTCCATTTCCACTTGCAGAATCGGCATACATTCACTCACCATGCCACCCGTCGTGCGCGACACCCTTTCGCTGCGCCCGCGAGGCTTCTATTCCTATGCGTTCCTCGCGACTCGCATCGCCCGTAAGTACATCCACGCGAGATATCCGGTGTTCTTTTGGGGTTTCATGGCACATGATACTTCTCAAGTCTCTTTCCAAACTGGTTCAAGTGTCTCTTTTTTCGGTGACTAAAACCTTTTCTTTGCAGAGATCATCTGCCTTGCCGTCATTACCGGTATAATAGGCCGTAAGTACAACCCGATATTCTTCATCTTCATTGCTAGAATGGCAACCTGGGAAATGAACACTATAATTGACACTGACGATGATCCAGACTTCATCCACATCGTCACCCGCGGCCGACAGCCCGCCCCGGTAAACCTAATCGTTGTCATCCTCTTTGTAAGCCCGCGCCTACCCCATTCTTTTCCTTGAGAGTAATATCTGATGAGTTGTGGCAGACTAGCGCAGCCTTGACATGGACACTATTTTCCTGGAATGGCTACAGTAGGCGGTACCTTGCCTACGCAGCGACCTGGGGTGTCGACCTGGTGTTTCTCATCCCGTTCGTGGCCCTCGCCATCATCCTTGGGTTGCCGATGGCGGATTCAAATTGCTCGGCCGTGACGAAAAATGGGAAGTTCGAAATCACTGCGCCGCCCGGGAGTTCTGTGGGCAGGGTGAATTTCCCGAAGGATGGCCGGTCTTCTTGCGTCAAGATGTTTGTTGTCTGGGTTTTGTTGATTGTGGTGTCCGTTTTGTTTGCTGTTAGTGCGTTGTCGGTTGGGTTTCTGCATTTGGGCGAGAAGCAGTTGGAGAAGGCGATCTTCGCCGTCAAGGATGAACCAAGGGCAGGAAGTGGTGGGGGTTTTTATGACCAGGGGATGAATGATTCCCGCGGAAGAGGGTTTGCGCCGACACCGAGAGCATACCCGGGTCCTGGAGAGGGAGCAGCCTACGGGTACAACAACTCACAACCCAGGCCCAGCATCGGCGAAGACCGTCTCAACCTCAACCGGCCAGTTACGGTAGCTCCGGCAAGGGCGGGAAACAGGGCGTACGGAGGGGGTCCGGTTTATGAAGAACCACTTGGCCAACCGGAAGCAGCGAGAATGCCGCGTCTGCACCCGGACGAGGCGTACGCATATTCCGGCAGCGGCCGTATGGGCTAGGGACTCGGGGTGCCCGGCCAAAAAGATGTGGATAGGCCCCAGATGGTGGCGTTCGGAAATGAACAGGGGACGCAAAACATGGAGACGAATGGCGGCTGGAGTAAGAGTGTGCCTTCGAACAAGATCAAGGACGGCAGCTCTCCAGCAAGGCCAGGCGGCCTGGGGAACATGACCATGTCCTCAGCAAGGGGTCAACCACAAAGGTCGAACATGCGTCCCAGGATCGACAAGACCGCTCGGGGCAGCGACGATGGCTTCATCCCCGGGGCCTCGTTAGCTCCACAGCCCGCCTCTTTTGGCAAGGCACCCATAGGTAACGAACCGGCTCCAATGCACAGTGCTGCAAATAGGGAGAATGGTCGACAGGGGAGGGGATTGAGTAACGACGACCGACAATATTCTGGTGATGCGACATCAACGGGCTTGAACCCGAAGGGTGGTGTCGTGGGGGCGTCGGGGGGACCCTGGAGCGGATCCGATGCCGCTCGTAGCCCCCACGAGTCATTGATCCCGAAACCGCTGACTGTTGGGGGGAGCGGGATGTCGGCTCGGGAAAGGGTGCGCGAGAAGTCCACGGAGAGCGGTTGGTGGGGAGCGCTTGATAGCGTCATTTCCAGGCCGCAAGCGGAGTACGACCCTTCTAATGTGTTGTAAAGGTAGACAGAGAGTAAATGCTTCCGGGATATCTTTGCGGGAAAGATTGCCTATAGCTAGATACAAAGTGTTAGCGTTGTCCCTTCCAAAGATAAGAAGATAATAATGAACACTTCTCGGACTTGTTGTACCTTCCACTACATTATTTAGCACGAGGGTGCGTCGCCTAACTATGATTACAGAGCCAACAGCTTCGGTTCACAGCAACAGAGCCGGCTGCTCCAAACTCTTGAGCGAAACCGCAAGGTCCCAATGATCTGGGTTCTCGTCGATATCGGCACGACGCTCCCAGACCTTTTCCATAATGGCAAGGCCCTCCCGGATGGTGCCAAATACCTTCAACGGCCCCATGCCCGCTACCAGGTCTCGGAAGGTTTGTTCTTGGCATGGGGAGGCCAAGCAGCCGGTGATGGTGAAAGGCCACACGAGCGTCCGCAAGCAGTCTGGGCTTGGAAGGCTCAGCAATAGTTGGATGGTTTCTGTGACGGAACTTCGGATCTCCGGGCACGATGGTTGCCATCCGGAAAGCACGACGCTGAGGTATGTGATCGCTGCCTGTGCCCAGATTCGAGAGTTCAAGGTGGTATCATGCATCATTTGCGGGGAGAAGCTGCCGGCGAAATATTGCAGAAGATGCTGGGGCCCATCGACCGATGGGGGGCTGTGGTAATTGATAGTAACCCCGAGTGTCTCTATCGACGTCCGGAGTCTCTGTTCTATTGCTGAGGCGCGGGCGACGAGCTGAGCGACGGACAGCGACCCCGCGCCCTTCATCTCTTTCTTCCATGAGTCGAGAGTGGCTATCTCCCCGATGGAGACAATGACCCAGTTTTCCACCCCGACAAACTCTTGAAGGTTGATGTGAGGTAAGGTTTGCTCTTTCTCACTTTCGGGCATGTGCTTTAGGGTTTCGTCGTCAGGGACCATCAACAAAATGTGATGCCACTGTTGAAGTTTCGGAGGCTGCTGCAACGCGGTGCTCGCGAGGGTATCGAGGAAGAGAAGTTGGGCAGTGAAAAAGCGCAATATGGCTTGATCCGAACCCCATGGATGGTGCTTTGGGGTCCACGCGAAAGGCCTCGAGCCCAGTTGGAGAAGGACCTTAATGAAGCAAGCATGGCCGTCCTCTGTCATGGCGTGGTGTTTCATGATCTCGTTGAAGAGTTCTGTTGCAGCGCCCAAATGCATGGTCCAGTTGCCCATCTTCGCAGTCGCGATGTCGCCCGTCATCAGCTGGATGATGCTCGCCATTACACGGTTCGCTTCGGCAAGGTTGCTTTTCACTCCGCGGGTAACAATATCTTGCATTTCGCGCTGCAGCCATTTTAGGGCCAACCCTTGCTGTTCTTGGAGTGCTTCCAGATTATGGGAGTGGCACTCCGAAGGTGCGTATTGGATGTGGCCGAGAACAATGGCATGGAAATAGCCCGCTAGGCTGAGGGCAGAGTGAAACAGCGCGTTGTTCTTATTCAGCAAAACGAGAAGCCAGCCCCGCCCAACATCTGCGAACGAGGGCCGATAGTAGGGAAACAAGAAGGGGAAGACATAATCCAGGTACATCATGGTCGAGTGGGCCTCTGCTTCTTGCGATAATCTTGCCCGATGTTGCGTGCAGGACGAGGTAAGACCGCCTGCATGCTCGTCTGGAGATGAAGCCGACGTTAAGGAATCGGCCAATGCACTATCGGAGCCGGATTTCGGCGTTGAGTCCTGGACAATGGAATGAGACGTTGAGGAAGTCGTGGCGCTAGAAGATGGCGGGGCGGCATTGATTAGGTCTTTGGCTGCCGCCATGTCGCTGCCGTCGGTAAGGGACGCATCGAGGGATTCGAGCCTCACATCGAGACCTTGCAGATACCGGCGCTCTCGCCGATGGGCGGCCCTTCGTTTGACCTCCTTCTTGAGCCAGTCGGCCTTGCGCTTCTGCTTCTCGGCGCCATCCATCCATTCCGGTTTGTCGTCGCTGTAAAGGCAATCGATCTCGAGGGCGAGGCATCCCTTGCAAATTGGACGTTCATCGTCACACTTCTTGCGCCGAAGCCGGCAAGTCCAGCAGCCGCCAGAGCTCCTTGTTGTTGCCGCCATGATACGTTTGTCGTCGTGAAAATGCTTGCTCCCTCAGGAGAAAGAGGTCAGGATGAACCAATCGTCGAATTAGGCTTCGACGCACCAGGGGTGCAGTGAATGACCACTGGGATGCCCTAGTGGCGCGCAATTTGTCAGCGGGGCGAACCGCCCCAAATCAAACCACTCCACCTCGGAAGCCCAGATCCATATCGGTCGGAATTGGGTGGGCTCGGGGACTGGGGAAGAACGACCGAGAGAGGGCAAGAGAAAACGCATGGCAAGCGCACTAACTAAGTAGAGAATGCCAAAGTATAATCCTTAGAGCATTTGCCTGGCTCTACAAATGTGTTGTCATAATCAGCACTAAAGCGGACCGGTCGCCTGCTCAGTAGGGGCCATATCGAAGCTTTACAGCTTCACATGCGAGGATGCAAAGGTCTGCTCCCTCAAGCCTTCGCACCAGCAGCCCGGTAAGCCCATAGCTCCTGCGGCTGGCCGGCAGCATCGCACGACGCAAACTTCCACCATCCGGAGCGCCAGGCCCCGGCAAGGTTGATCAGGCCCCACCGGATGGGCGCGGGCATCGGGGGCCAGTTCGCCCACATGCCGTTCTCGACGGTCCGGTCGAGGTTGAGTAGGAAGAACGGCACTACATCAGTGACGCCTGCTTTTGTCACAGTGCTCTTCCCCCAAGCCTTGAAAGTGGCCGAGGCCGCCTCATTCTCCGGTGTCCCTTGCTTCGGTGCGTTTGGGTGATCGGCGAGGTTGGAGATGGTCGCGATTTCGTTGTGGAAGTGCTCTTCGAAGGGTTGCTGGAAAGATTTCATGATGCGGAGAAGCTCGTCGCCTGCAAAGTCGGAAGGGGTTCTAAGGCTGGAGAGGTACTTCTCGAAGTCCGCAAGGCCCGCGAGGAACGACTCTACGGTTAATCGACTTGTCAGTGGGATATGCAACTTTGAGGCAGGTCTTTTGTGTAAATACTAACCATGTTCCTTGTGCGTCTCCTCGAATACGGCCTTGTCGTTAAGGAGCTCCTCGATTTTGGTGAACAACGTCGCCTCCTCATCGTCGTGGTGGGATTTGACGAACTTGAACCAGGTGAGACAGTAGCCAACAAAGTCGGACTTATCCTTGTCGGAAACAAGCGGGGCTTGGTGATATATAGAATTGTAACCTCGGAAGATCGAATTGTCTAAACTGGCATGTTAGTCCGCTGGCTCGGGAACTCCAACCGTCCATAGTTAGGTCTTTAGTCCATCCGCGTGCACGTACGCAGCAGGGCCATGTGTGTTGCTCCGGACGTAAAGATATCGGCCTGTAAGAGGGCATCTATTAGCCGGAGTAGAACTGGAAAAGCATTGACGTGTCGCCGTTTACCTTCCCGGTCTGGGATTTGGGAGTCGTAATCAGATTCAACGGCGCATCGGCCCACGATTTCGAGGGGGCCACCGAAGTCATCATGAACGGTGCGCGAGCAAGTAAAAGCCCCAAAACAAGCAACGGAATGGAGAGAATAAATCTCGCCCTAAGATTTTCCATCGCGATGTTCCAAATCGACGACCGGAGACTGCGCAAGTTCGCAATCACCCATCCATCGTATGATGCAAGAAGCACGCCGACTGCTCCTGCAGCAGATGCGAGGGAGTCCATGCTTGCTGGGAGCTCCGGGTGGGGCATTGAGTGTTGCTGATCAAATTGCTGCATTTGATTGGTCCGCGGAGTTGCCGACTCCAAGCCCCCAGGGCCTCGGACACTCCACACCACACCCCGAACTTCGTGATTTGGCGGTTGCGGTTTCCGAACAACCTCACCTTCCCCGCCCGAGACCCCGACAAACCAACCAAGCTCGACTCAACATTGTGATATTCTCATTATGCTGCTATTAGCCCTCAGACTGGATTTACTTGTATAGAGCTGCTTCAATGATGGGAAACTCGTCCAATGGAAGGCACGAGTTTACCGGAAAGCCTCGTCCCTTGGCGCCATGATGTTGGCAATGGGGTACTCATCCCGAACGGGAAGGCCGGTAAACCCCGGCGCCCTGCACGCGGGGTTAAACGTTCCCGCTCGTCGCCGGGTGACTCTGTCGGGATGCGGGCGATGAATGGGGGTTTTTTATACCGAAATTCATTCGCGCCCATCGACCGTAACCTTTCGTCTCATCAAACAGGCAGGAAGCACGGAAAGAAGCAGCAATGGCCACCCGACCCCATCTCCGTGTCCGCGAGGCCACGCCGGCTGATGTTGAAGCGATCGTGGATGTTTACTTCGCAGCCTTTGACGAAAACATCATGAACCAGCTTATGTACCCTCACGGGGTCTCCGCCGAAACGAGAAACAAGTTCGGAGCCAGGCTCCTTCCACCGCCTGCCTCTGAAGACGCTGGAAAAGACACTACGACAAAAGGGCAGACCTTGGTCTACGTTGCCGAATACCTACCAGAGGGCACGTCCACCGATAGCCCGGGAGAAATAGTCGCTTTCGGAAAGTGGCTGCTTCAACGTGGACCGCGCCCTGAGGAAGAATGGAAAAATGAAAACTTCACTGCCACAGCCGAGGTATGGGGCGATGATTGCGATCTTGGCGTTGTGGACGGCTTTATTGGGTTGATGAACCGGAGCCAAAGCGAGCATGCGAAAGGGGAAGCAGCGTTATGTAAGTGTTTTACACTGCGGTTGGCGCGACTTTCATTAACTTTGACCCCAGATTTGGGCATTCTTGCCTGCAGTCCCACCAAACAGCGTTCAGGGGCTGGATCCGCGCTTGTCGAGTGGGGTGTCAACCTCGCCGACAGCCTCGGGCTCCCTTGCCGACTCGAGTCATCCCCGGTAGGCTATGGTCTCTACAGGAAGTTCGGCTTTGAGGATGTTGCGGCCATTGACGTCAAGATCACTGAGAAGTGGGGGGGGACAAACGCAAACGGGAGTAACTGGGGGGCAAACAACGCCATCGCGCTGGCTGGCCCACTGCCGGATGGGGTTCAACGCACCGTCATCATGAGGCGGTCACCGAAAAAGGCATCGTCTTCATCGTAGGCAGACTGCTGTACGCAACGTCCGCAGACAAGAAGAAGCAATCCACAGAATCTTAACCCTGCTTGTGCCGCACATATATCCAGTCACTCGGTTGTCTGCCGTTTCTGTCCAACCGTTACAACGGCAACCTGCAGTGTGACGGCCCGGGATTTTCATTGGCAAGCGAGCCGCCGGCCGACTGCTGCAGCCCATCACAATGCGGAGAGACCCAGGTCACCCAACTGCCTTCGGGCAGCCCAAGGCAGCATTGGATCGGTCATATCACCAAACGCCCGAACAGCATCGATTGTCCGGTTCAACAGTCGTCACAACCAGCCCGGCGATCTCCCCGGGAAGCGGGTGCGGGCCCTCGGAGAATATGGATCCTCTCAGCGCCGCGGCTAATATTATTCAAATCATCAACGCCGCAAACAAAGTTATCAACCTTTGCAGGCGGTTCCTGGAAGTGGTGCGGGATGCCCCCGGCGACCTGCGCCTCATCCTCGTCGAAGTCTCGACCTTGAGGGCCATTCTGGACGACCTCCACTTCCTCGTCTCATGTAACCAAGGACCATCAACTCTAGACACCCTCACACGCGACCATGGCCCGGTCGAGGGATGTCGGAAAGTCGTGTCCGAGCTGGAAGACATGCTGCCAGCTGAATCTCTGTTCGCTACTGATTCCAAGAGGAAGGCTGTATTGGCTGCCATGAGCTGGCTCTGGAAGGAATCCAGGGCAAAGACACTGCTGGATGAGCTCAGGGAATATAAGAGCACCATTGCTCTAGCGCTTACCACCGATTCCTCGTAAGTGGCCTCAGTCCGGGCTAGATTTTGAAACAAGTAATTAATCAACGCATTATGTGCTCCCTGCCTCAGTCTGGACATCAAAGAGACAAAGAACAACACGGAGAAGATTTACGCTGCTCTGACCGGTAGGTTCACACAAGAACGCAACGCTCCATCATCCGCTAACGCCATCCATGAAGACGCACAAGAACAAAATGTTTTCAACTGGCTCATTGCCACGGACCCGACCGAAATACACGAAAGGTCCCGCGATACATACGAGCCGGGCACCGGAGAGTGGCTATTTCGCTCCCCTGAGTGGCAGTCATGGCTCGGAGAGAAAACCCGTTGTCTCTGGATTCACGGCATACCCGGCGCCGGAAAAACCATCTTTGCATCCCACTTGATCGAATCTGTCGGGATGCATTGCGGGCGCCAGGGGTCGGGGTACGCTTGCGTCTACTACTATTGTTACTTCGGCCATTCTCAGGACGAAACAACCCCAGTTTTGCGATGGATCCTGCTTGAACTGTGCCGCCAGCTTGGCCGTGTACCCCTTGCTGTACACGAGTTATACCGACGGGGTGGCAACCCAAGCCCTAGAAACTTACTCGCTACCCTGGAACAGGTCATTCAGGCTTTTGACCGCGTTCATGTCATCATTGATGCGGTGGATGAGAGTCTTCAGCGAGAGAATCTACTCCGAGTCTTGCGGGATCTGGCCGTCGATGGACGATTCGAGAAGCTCCGGCTGCTAGCAACCAGCCGTGAGTACTTGGACATCGAGGAAGTCATGGTGGATATTGCGACGCCAGTATCGATGCGGAACCCCTTCGTTCACGACGACATTGTCTTGTACATCAAGTCAAGACTTGACACTCACCCTCGGCTAAAACGTTGGCCGGAGATGCTTCGAAAGGAGGTTCTTAGAGCGTTATGCAGGGGAGCAAACGGCATGTGAGTATACCATTCGCGACCAGAATCACAGAGCTTTGATAATTAACCGATAGTCGACCAGGTTCCGATGGGTTGTGTGCCAAATTGATGCACTGCAACGTCTAAAACCTGATATCAAAATCGTTCAGGCAGCGTTAGCCAACCTACCCAAAACTCTGGACGAAACATACGAGCGCGTCTTCTCACGCATCCCTGAAGATGCCCGTTTATTCATCAAACACGTCCTGCATTGGTTGAGCACCCATCGACTCATTCACCAAGCCATTCCCGGAGCGGAACCCATAGCCACTTGTGACCTTTCTAAGATCCAGATCCCGCACTCGGCCGACATCCCCTGCTCGGTTTTATTCGCGGCCGTTCAACAAAGCCTGGCTCACGAGGAAGAATGTGACCCTCTGTTCTTGGATGGCTACGTTCTGGACGAAGACCTACTCCGCGAGCTCTGCGGATGCTTGGTGACAGTGGGAACATATACGATAAGAACCAATCTTACGGACAACGGGGAAATGCCTGTTCTATCGTTCGCCCATTACACAGTTCTCGAGTTTCTCGAGTCTCGTCGAATACGCTCCAGTCCCGCTGCGCTCTTCGCACTTGACCGAGACCGTGTGCTTGCCGAACATGCCACGGTACTGCTTCTTGGGGCAACTTCAAGCGTGGACCAATGGGGCTTGGAAATGCCCGACAAACCTGGGACAGATGTCTATGGCGATTTCGACCGTTATTGCGCCCAGTCGTCGGCGATCTTGTTGCATTGGCACACCGCTCTGCTCGCTTCATCGGGGACGACATCATGGGTATCAGCCGCCGTTCAACTGCTCCAGGCTCGTGCGCCGTATCTTGGAGGCCTTTTCTGGTACCCTCTAGAATGCTTCGTCCGTTTAGAAAATCCGATAGCTCCCGCCATTGCTGGTTTTCGCCGGGTTTATACTCTCAAGCTCCGCTCGCCGCCTCCTGAGCCCCATATTGAGCCCCTTGTTCGAATGCTTCAGGTTGACGAGCGGGCTAATCTGGCTCGAGCGTTGTTGACGAACCTGGGCCGGACGGCCGAAGACCTCGCGTCCCAAGTCGACCTCGAGTTTCAACCGGGCGCCTTCTTTTCTGGAACCGACGTCTACTACAGAAGTAGGTATCCCCGTGACTTTCTTGGTACCTTCCATTTCCGCGGCTCTGTGCTGGAATTCTTTGCCCATTTACCCTGCTGTGGATGGTCACAACCATGGCAGGGTCTTTACGAAATGCTCGATTTCGCCGCCGGGCATTTTGACCCGTCAAGGATTCTGCTGTTTGTTGTCGCAAACCACCAGCATGATGTGGTTTGTGTTGGTCTGAAAACCGCGTGTTGGGGTTGCCTCATTTTGAAGAAATTGCTACAGCTTGGGGCACGGTCAACCATCCCCGGATACGCTGTTGGGTCATTACAGGTCGCAGCCGCACTGTTAGATTCCGATAGTGTGAGGATCATGCTTGAGGCAGGCCTCGACCCCAACGATATTGGGGATTTGGGGGGCGAAATCGGTACACCGGACAAGGGGCCGATGCTCGGAGTGTTCAACAGCGTCAAAGGGCAAAGTGCTTTGCATATTGTGCAGGCGAGGCGTACTCGTGCCGTGTACTATGTTACGAGGAGCGTTTGGTATATGGAGGACCGCCCCTCCGAACCTGGGCCGATCGAGGACCTCCTGATTCAATACGGCGCAAGGAATTTCAACGCATTGTCGGATCCGGATTCCTACCTTGTCGCTGAGATGGAAACGGTTCAGATCAGCATTTCGGAGACTGGAGGCTATGGAGAAGATGGAGCTCATACGATGCAGCAACAAGGGACGGATGGCGGGCTCGTTCTGGTGGCAGGTGGATAAACCCCCAATCTTTGGATAGCAGGCAACGTCATAGCAGAAAACAACAAGCAAATTCAGTGTGCGATGAGTCGAGGCCGATTCGGGCAATTTTTAAGGGTAATATTCTGGGACTATGCTTCGAATGAGAACCACGTTGCCCCGAACCCCAAACCAGGGATTCCGTACCTAGGTAGGTAAGTATCCAAGCAAGCAGCCCGTTCTTGATGCGGTGAGTTAATATGGGTTCGCGTGACGACGGGCGCCGGTCGATGTCAAGGAATTGCCCCATTCGGAAGCATCTTGGCACTACAAACCCCTGAATCGCTTCTCCGCATTCCCCGCCGGCGTATTAGGGGTAATAGTTTCGGGAGCACGGCTAATCGGCCCAGCCCGCTAAGTCGGATATAGTTTGCGGCTCTTCCGCCTCCGAGGATGACACCTTTCTTGAAGACCCCGGCTCGTGATGCTTCATCTACAGTTCACATCTCGTTTGAGGTTGGGAACAGAACTACTAGTAATCATTGTTTGTCTGGCATCCCTCTTCGAGTCTCCCTGAACCCCAAGACACCGAATCATCATCTACATTCAACATGGCAGTTGTTATTGCACCTAGCATGGCGTCGACGAAAGAGAACACCGGGGCTTTGCCCAAGCGGAGGCTCACCAAGGAGGAGCTGACCAAAACACACAAGACGCACCTCAAGAAGCAGGACAACTCGCCACATGCCCCGAGGCCAGTGAAGCAGCCTGTCATGGCGGATGCGTATCCGGCATCGTCCAAGTCTATCAGGGAACTTGAGATTGTAAACCAACTACTTCTATGTTGCCAATTGAGGACTGCGTGTACTAACGCTAGAATTAGATCCCATTAACTGAGCTCCATGCGGGGGCACATCACCGGGGCAAAGGGCTCGTTGTCAAGGCAATCAGCGCTCCGTTTGTGGGTGCTGGTGCGGTGAGCATCGTGGAGGATGAGTTTGGAAACGCCGACAAGTTGGCCATCTACAACCAGGCCGACTCGTCGATTCTTTCTGGTGTCCCCGAGGGGTGTGTGGTTGCCATCAAGGAACCGTACTACAAGAACAACGGCGCACAGGACGACTTTATGATTTGCGTGGATCACCCCTCCGATGTCATCCTGTTGCGGTTCACCGACCCAATCATCCCGGAGTCGTTGAGGTTGGGGCCTCTTCTCAAGACGGCCGAGGACTGGAAGAATGCCGCCGACCGGGCCTTTATCGAGAAGGACTTCCCAACCTCGGTGTTTTGGTGAGCACTTTCGATACTACCTCAGCATGCACAGTTTAACTACTGACACCCTCCCCAGCTACACGGAAGCGCTCGAAGTCTCCGACGACGCGGCCTTCCAAGCGCCCATCTACACCAAGCGGTCCGGCGTGAACCTCATCCTAGGCCGCTACGACGCCGCCAAAGCCGACGCGCTCGCCTCGCGCACCGGCGGCCCGCAAGAATGGAAAGCCTACTACAACGCCGGCCGCGCCGCCTACGGCCTCTGCAACTACACCACCAGCCACACCTTGCTCACCACCGCCCTCTCCCTCAACCCAACGCACAGCGGCATCAAAAAAGAACACGCCCGCTGCACCGCCCGACTCCACGAAGAGTCCACCGGCGAGTACGACTTCCCCGCCATGCAAGCCTCCCTCACCCCGCAATCCGTGCACCTCGACCGCGGCTCCTTCCTGGCCAACACGCGCGTGGGCGAGTCGCCGCGGCACGGGCGCGGGCTGTTTGCCACGCGCGCGCTGCGCGCCGGCGACCTCGTCTTCGCCGAGAAGGCCACGCTCATGCCCAACCAGTACGAGCCCGCGCGGGCGTCGGCCGCGCTGTACGCGCTGATGGTGCGTCAGTTGTGTGATAACCCGTCGCTGGCGGGCCCGGTGCTGCGGTTGTTTGATGGGGGCTATGAGAGGGGTGGTGGGGAGGGTGGGTTGGTGGATGGGGTGCCGGTGGTGGATGTGTTTCTGGTGGAGGCGATTCGGACGCGGAATTGCTTTAGTGCGCCGAGGTCGACGCTGGAGAATACGAGGCCGAGTGTGCCTGAGGGGAGGCAGTGTAAGGGGTTGTGGGTGCATGCGAGTTATATGAACCATGACTGCGTCGCGAATACGATGCGGTCGTTTGTGGGGGATATGTTGGTGAGTAGGGCGACGAGGGATATTGAGGAGGGGGAGGAACTGTTCCAGCAGTATGTCCCCGTCAAACCGCTGCCTGATGTGCGGAACAAGCAGTTCAAGGACGGCTGGGGGTTCGAGTGCGGGTGCACGCTGTGCGCGGCGGAGAGGCGTAGTCCGGAGGCGATGCAGGCGAAGAGGAAAGAATTGTTGGTGGCGGTCGAGAAGTTGTGCAGCAAGAAGATGCCGGGCAGGGAGCTGATCCCGGATGCGAAGATCCGGAGTGTGGACAAGTTGACGAGACAACTGGAGGAAGCGCACGAAAAGGACGTCTATGAGGGTGTGCCACGGCTGACGCTGATTTACCCGAGCAACTGGTTGGTGGCGGCGCACCGTGGGAGAAAGAATCACGGTAAAGTGGTCAAGCATGCCATGAAGGTGCTGCGGAACTTTGGTTTCAAGGTGCCGGACGAGAGCGAAGTTTGGGATCCGAGGGAGATCTACACCAAGTCTGGCAACGCAACACTAATGACGGTCCATATTGTGGCCACTCTCAGGACGCTGGGCGAGGCATACGAGGCGCTAGGTCACAAGGAGATGGCATCAAAGTGCGTGGAGGCGGCCGAGTTTGGATACAGGTTGGTCACGGGCTCGGAGAATGAGTTGAAAACCTTGGACAGGTAATCGAGGATCATGGATGGTTGGTTCGGGAGGATACACACGGGCGTTTGTATAATACTAGCATGGTTAGCAACAGGGCACAGGATTCGATTTGCGGTCACAGTTAAACCTATATACTTGATACTGTTCTTGGAGCGTCCTATCCTGAGTTCAAAACGTAGTCCTGATGGTATTGTACGCTACCCAACCAGGTCCAGCCCGGTCCAACAAATAAGGTATGGGGTAGTAGGGTAGCTAGTGTACAGACAGACGCTAACAAGGGCTTCATCGACCGTAGGGGGTGACGTCGACGACCTCGACCAGTCTCCCATCCCTGTTTCGCACCATCGTCGTGCCGCCGCGACTGCCGCCGCCGCTACGACCGCCGCCTCCACGGCTACCACCGCCGCTGCCGCCGCCACGACCACTGCCACCACCGCTGCCTCCGCCACGGCTGGTGCCGCCGCCTCCACGGCCACTAGTGCCGCCCCCTCCGCGGCCGCTAGTACCTCCCCCACGGCCGCTAGTACCTCCGCCACGGCCACTGCCGCCGCCACGGCCGCGCCCGCTAGACGAGGCGGTGGTGGCTCTCCGCGTGGGGGCGACGGAGGAGCCCGAGCCCTCGTGGAGCTTGCGCTCGTAGCTGTTGATGTCGCGCTCCGTCAGGGGCCCGCCGCCGTACTTGGCGACGCACTGCTTGAGGTAGTGGACGAAGCGGGTGCCGTGGCAGGTGCGCGGGAGGCTGGCGATGCGGTCCGAGAGCTCGTCGATCAGCTCCTTGGAGGTCGGGTAGGTCCTGCGGCCGGCGTTGCCCGTGAAGTCGTAGCGGCGCGCGCTGACGTGCAGGGTCACGGCGAGGAGCACGCGGTGGATGGTCGACTGCGCCGAGGCCACGCCGCCCTGCCGGCGCAGCTCGACCGTGCCGATGCGGGTGAGCGGGAGGAAGTTCTGCGAGAGGTAGCGTTCTTTGCGGTACTTGTCGTTGGGGTCGCTCAGGTGCCCGCCGGCGATCTTGATGGCGAAGCACTTCTTCTGACCCATGGGGTGGTTGTCAAACCTGTCCATCTCGTGGTCGATGGCGCCGAAGAGGGGCCTCCAGCTGTCGCGATCGATGTCCCTGTAGAGCGAGGTACCAAAGGCCCTGTGGTTGGGTTTGGCATAGGGGTTGTCCCTACGGTCGTGGGGCAGAATCTCCTTGAGAGCCTTCTCCCAGTAGAAAGCGCCCTTTGCGATCCTAACGAGCTGGTTGTTCGTATACTTGTCGTTAGACTTAGGCCCGGGAGAGACGTGGACGTGGCACGAAGTGACGGGGTGCGTCCACAGCTCGAACTGCTCGCCGACGGCGTCAAAGACCTCGCGGATCTCGCTCTGCCATCTCCTAGCCACCGACATGGGCGGCGAGATGATTTCGACACCCCCTGCTAAACGTTAACCCCTGGCTGGCGAAGCAGCCGGAAAAGGGTGAGGGAGACTTACACCAGAGGTCAGCTTCGGGGGCTACCGACAGCTGCGACTCTTTCAGACTGGCGTCGCCAACACATTTCCAGCCATGATTACTTCCCAGCGCATCATTGATGAGAGATGTGAGGGCCATCTTTACACACACGCGCTGAGCTCCCACCCTGGTTAGACTTGAACTGCGATTGGAGAGATCGAAGTCCCACTGTCGCCAGTGAGCGGGTAGGCTGCTTCGGTATGCCTCAACATCTCTTTGGACGGCCTTTTTAACCTTGACGAATATCTCGATTTCGACACCAAAGATAGGTTTTGGTGAGGAGGAGGAGGAGGAGGAGGAGGTTGCAGGAGGCATGTTGGCGAGTAGCTAACGTAGCCGGGGATGGGGGGGGAGTTGGGTTGTTAAAGGATATAAGCTGAAGGAAAGTGCCTCCAACGACCAGTGTCGGGGCAGAAGAAACTAAAGAAAGGGTGGTGTATTGGGTAGGTAGGGTACTGTGATGGTATGAACCAGTTGAATGTACTGACTGTCGTATGTCCTTGACTCTTGATTTTCGATGCATGTAAGGGAGGGAAGGAAGTCTTACTTTATACTGCCCTCCTCTTTCAGACCTTCTCCATGTTATGATATTTGGGCTAGCCCGGGCGGGCTCACAGTCGGAGCAATAGCTAGGTACCTAAGCTACCTACCCACTAGAGGCCAGATGGTTGGGGCCGGGTTGGTAGCAGCGGCTATCGCCATAACTCTAAACGCCGTGTTTGCGTTTTGCCGGCGGCGACCAAGCGAGCTGACATGTTGTCGCAGGTCCACAGACTACAGACGAGTATGACGCTATACTGGGCGTAGCCCCCAAGGAGCCTTTGCTGTAGTAGACCAGCTTTACTAGAACGATTAGTAATTACTACATGTAGGCGAGAAGGTCGGCAGGGCCATGGCCGGGGGGCGGGAGACCCCAAACCCCAACTTCGAAGTGGACTGCTGAGAGCTTAGTTGGCCATGATACTATGAGATTATTATTGGGAGTGGTCGTCGCAAAGGTGAACGCCAAAACTGCCCATGTTACATGGGAATCTCACGGGCCATGGGCCGGGTATATGGAGCTAGATATATCCATATATCCACATTTGGTCTATCCTCGCGCTATTACCGGCTTGTTTTATTCGTGTATTAGATGAGGCACAGCTCGCAAAACGTGTTTCCTGCGCCGTAACGGGACCCGAGGCGCCATTGATCTGCTAGCGAATCCTTCCAAACTTAAGTTTCTTGGGACTCGCCAAAGACGCGGAAGAGGGCCGGTGTTGGTTGTAACTTGCTGGCTCCGCATGCCGCCATCCTAGAACCATATATTTACCGGGATACCCCTTGCCCGCGGACGATGAAAGTTGTAACATACTATGGCGTAGTAGGCCCCTCGCCCTTTCACTACGGCCGTTTTTGGAGGCCCGACATGAAGCTAAGTAGACGTTTTCAGGGTTGCTGACGTGCTGACGGGTGGCGCCGTCGTCACCAAAACCGAAAGCCGCCGTCTTACACACCCACACGGTAAAGACGAGTTAAGAGTCCGGGAAAAAACTGGGAAATGTGCCGGGACGTGTCAGCACGCTGATACACATAGGGCCCCAACCGACCCACCACCCGACTAACTATGGCCGCATCTTGTGGTCGGCGCGGCGTAGACTACGCTTCGGCTATGTTTTGTTTTATTACACCGTCCGGATGCTACCACTCTATCTTTGCACTACATCGGAGTCATAATAATTATAAGAGCTGCAAATGCCCCTTCCCCTGAGATCTGGTTTGTGTCATTGCAATTCACAGGTCATAGACTCACAAACTCAACACACTTTCGTCTACCTCGTCGACCCCCCGTAACTTCTTAGCCAGTTACACGGTACACCGTCGTTGATCGACTAGTCGCCATTGTCCGAGTTATTTGCTCGCAGATCTCCCGTTCCCTTCCGCCTTTTCGCTTCATCTCTTACCGCCTACACCTGCCCCTTTATCCCTCCTCTTCAATCACCATGTCCAGCACCGATCAGCAGCGCCGCAGGCAACAGGGGTCATCCCAGCCCGATCCGTCCCGCAGAGGCCCGGCGCAAGCCCCTAGCTCCGCTCCGGCCCCGAGACGCCAGGCAGCTCCTACTTCCGGTTCCGGTCCAACTTCGTCGGGCCGCCCAGCGCCAGCTCCTGCCGCCCGAGCGCCCCCGGCGTCCCGCGATAATGATGGCCCGGCTCCCCCGCCGGCTCCGATCGACGACTACGACCGTATGGAGGATTCCCGCGATAACGAGATCGCACAGCACTGGGAAAGGTGGTACCAGCGCATCGAAGAGAACTACACCTACCCCGTGGTGATCAACGATGACATCGCCAATGATATATACCGTGTCCTCGGGAGCCAGCCCCCGCAGTTCTCGGTGCAGCGCAAGCCCAGACTCGGCGACGGCCTCGGCGGCCAGGCTATGGGCAACGTAAGGGTCGTCCTTCTCGACGGCGACAGTCTGGACGACGTCAAGGACTCCTTCCGCGGCAAGAAGGCGACCGTGATCATTAACCAGGCCGAACGCTCGGCCTTTGTCCCGGAGAGGCTGACTTCTGATGCGGCCGCCGAGTTGGCAAATGCCCCTCCCCCTGTCCCCGCCCCCGCCTCCTCCGGTCAGTTGCCCATCCGTGGCGGCCCATCGAACCCCTCGCCGGCCCCTCGGAAAGAGGAGCGGAGAAGTAATAACGGGAACGGGAGCGGCAACGGGTCCAGAGGCTGAAACTATGGGGAGACGTAAGGGATTCCGCTGGCCGGGCTACTAGACTGTATGATAGCAACGTGCCAGGTGCAGCCACTCTTCTTATTTACTTGGGCGCTGTCCGAAAGCTGTCTTCAGTTATATTTGTTCATTAGACTTTGGATGTGAGAGTTCAGCCCACAATCGCCGCTCGTGTAGCTACTGCCCAGTATGTTGCTTATTATCATTCTTTTATCCATTTGCAATTCGCCAGCCGTGGTTGACGTTCGAGCTTCATAACGTGCAGGTGGCCTTTAGGTTAAGGCGGGCCCAGTATAAAGGACCCGGCCGTTAGCATCATCGAAACTACCTACTCCTCAGAGAGATAAATGGCATTTTCCGGTACCAAAGGCACAGCCAGAGTGTCCTTGTTACAACCCAAAAGGAGAGCATAATGACACTCGGTGGCGAGAATCTGACGGTAGGCCGGGTCAAACGGCCATTGATGTGGTGTTGCAACTGCGCGGGTTTCAGAGGTCACGCAGGAGGCCGGAAGCCTAGCTGCGCTCACCACATCAACTTTGGGGAAAGCCCGTGCCAGAACTGCGTCAGATGCGTCAAGTTCCTTGAGCCAACTAAATCCGGCAACGTCGAGATGGTGTAATGAAGTGTGGTGCACCTCGAAGCCAGGGCAGTCGCCGTTCTGGAGGGAAGGGAACTCGCTGATGCCCGGTGTGCTAGCGTTATCATGCTCAACACGGCTTACGACCTTGCTTACTCCGTGAAGGCTTGGTGGGGGGTTATTTCCTCGTCTTTGATCCTTAGGTCGCTATTCGCTTTTCAGGCTCACACGACCAAAGTCAACCGGCCGATTAGATCGACTTACCATGCCTTCGACACCACTGTTTTGATGCGGCTTGCTAGGACTGCACGAGTAGAAGAAACACTTTAGCACAACACTCCTTGAAAAGAAAAAAGAAAAAGAAAAGAAAAGGCTTAGGCTCGGATGAAGAGCCCCCTTCCACTGGATATGTTGAGCTCCAGAGCAGAACCATAAACTGCCTACGCATGTTCGTCACTGCCCTCAACCATGTAGTCGTATCCTAGACCTACTATTATACGACAAGACGCGTAATGCACTCAGAACTGCCCACAAGGCGACAAGTGTCCTTGAAATGTTGATTGGCCTTTCCCTGCCAAAGGCAGCAGCACCTTTGCATATTAACTCGGATATAATACTACTTTCAGCCCGCAAAAACAACTTTGGACGTTCTTCATATGCCGCGTTCGGCCAAAAACCGGAACCGTTGCGCCGCCGCAACCAAGCTCGTAACATTTAGGCAAATGGTGGATTGGCCGATGGTCATGTCCCACTAAAGAGATCGACAAGCCTGAGACAGCCTGTTCATGGAGAGCAATGGGCAGGAAACTCATGAGGACACAGGTGAACTGAGCAAACCCCCTGTATCCGACCGGACCGAACCAGGGTAAGAATAGGAGTTAAACGAGCTCGTTTTCCCGACCTGGCGAAACCAAGAAATCTGGGGAGGTCAAGCTTTCGTACTCTTCCTCAGCTTAACTTAATTCTACCTCGTGTGATAACAGTAGGCTTTTGTTTATTTATTTATTTTAACTCAATTACGCTAGGTTTCCCCAACATCCCAGGCCCGATCCTGAGAATTCCCTCTCTAGAACTGGTGCTGGTGCAGGGACATAGTCGCCATGCACACACTATTCCCTCTGATCACCGGGTTATCCGTCGCCGGCTTCGCAGTTGCTTTTCAAGAACAGACCGGCAAGACAAAGAGTTGCTTCTGGAGTCCATTAGTCGCAGAAGATCAGCTCATATGTGCCGCGCCGCTGTCGAAGCAACGGCCACGTACAGTCCTGAATGTCAAAACCCCAGAACTCTGGGATCACAGGTCCGGCGAGCGATATGAACCACCTCGAGAATACACTGTCCCACCACCCTGGCAGGGTCCAGAACACTGCCACATAGAGTTTTGCATATTCTCCAACCCAGACGCCGGCGAGGGTATGTCCCTCGTCACCACGTCTCGCAGCGCTTTCGTCGTCGCCACGTCCGAAATGCCCCTGAGCACAGGCCTCGAGGCCGGCGCCTTCTACGAGACCGAAATCGCCGGCAAGGGCAGCGGGTTGATCGCAAACCGGACGATCCGGAAGGGCGAGATCATCATGGAGCGGCCACCGGCCCTGCTGATCCAGTCGGTCCCGCACGCCGACCTCAGCCCGGAGGTGCGCTCCGACGTCTACCAGGCCGCCGTCGACCGGCTGCCCGAACCGGCCCGCGCCCGGTTCCTGCGCCAGGTGGGCAGCAACATCTACGACAAGATCGACCGCAACTCCTTCCGCATCTTTGTCGACGGCGACAGGAAGCATTCGGCCCACCTGGGCGTCTTTCCCGAAGTCAGCAAGTTCAACCACGACTGCCGACCTAAGTAAGCTGCCCCCCCAAAACAACCAATTTACCCCAACCCACCCTCCTAACCCCCTCCCAGCGTACACTACCGCCTCAGCGGGCTCAAGCACACCACCGTCGCAGTGCGCGACATCCCTGCCGGCGAAGAGCTGACCATCTCCTACATCTACACCGGCATCGCGCGCTCCAAACGGCTCAGCCAGCTCGACCAGTGGGGCTTCGCGTGCTCGTGCCAGCAGTGCACACTAAACACCACCGAATCCGGCGCGTCCGACAACCGGATCCGGCAGATCAAGGACCTGGAGGCCGAGATCGAGGAGCTGATGAGCCAGAAGCGGCGCGGGGTCGGGTTGCGGCCCGAGATGGGCGGGAAGCTGGTGCAGCTGTATCGCGAGGAGAGGTTGGATGCGTATCTGGCGCCGGCGTATACCAGGGCGGCGCTGATTTATGCCATGTTTGCGGATGAGGACAGGGCGAGGGAGTATGCGGCCGAGGCGGTGGCTGCGTTGGAGAGGGAGACGGGGCCGCGTGCGAAGGATGGGGAGTCGATGAGACGGTTGGCCGAGGCGCCGAGGGGGCATTGGGCTTGGGGGGTCAAGGTTAGGAAGGGGAGGGGTGGTGGGGGGAAGAATAAGACGGAGGGGGGTAAAGCGGAGGGGAAGGGGAAATAGGGGGAGGGCTGGGTTAGGTGCTGTTGCCGAGTGCGGGGGGGTATTGGTTGGGGGAGAGAGTACCTACCTACCTGATCTTGCCGGCGCGTACGTGGCTCGGGTTCACCCCGTGTTGTGGTAGCGCAGGATCCTCACGATGTTGTATACTACACCGAGTTTCTCGTCTGGGATATAGGAATCAGGGGATGGCCGAGGCGATGTCAACTGCAGGCATCGGAATTGACTTTTAGGGAGCTACTTAAACGTTACCACGGCCCGAGTGAGGCAAGAGTATAATTAATGCTAATATCGCAGAGGTGAACGTTGAAATGCCCATCGAAACACTGGTCTTGGGGTGCCATCATGATTTCTATGATGCCGCCACAACGCAACCTTTGAACTCAGCAGACCCTAGTGCCCAACCAACCCAGTTGCTTGAGACGATGTGCCTTTATCAACTTATATGGTCAGGTTGTTACTCGATGGGAAGCCACCAAGCGGCGGTCCCGGGACGTGGAGCATTTTACATCTGCGTACCTACCTAGGTACCTGTCTAGGTACCTAGGTAGATAAGGCAGCGAGGAAGTTGATACGTCAGCGCTGTTTAGAAAGGCCACTGATGCTGCCAGTGAGGGAGTACGTCTGGCGTGAACGTGGGGTACCGGAGAGCCATCCTCGTGCCCTGACTGAACGCCAGGCATGTCCCGTCAGGCGAGAACCTTAATGGATTCGACCTCGGTCTCCTCAACGTTCTCGACGCCCTCCGGTAAACCGAGTTCAACCTCTCTAATATCGGGAAACTCCAAGTTCCAATGCCTTGGTTTTCCGTCCACAGTAGCCACAAGCCGGTCTCCGGCCGGCGTGATTGCGATGCCATCAACGTTAGTGCCCTCGATATTACTCCGGCAGGTGGTGATGCCGTCGTGGACATCTCCGATGGACAATTTTCCTTGACCTTGGTCGTCCTTTTCTTCTTTCCGTTGCTTTCGTTGTCCTTGTCTCTGTCAGTCGCCGCTCCCAAATTTGAGGACCCCCTGGCTACTATAAAGAGACTCTTCAGCGGCCGGAGCGCCAAAGCATCCCAGAGGATGATATTGTCGGACTGGTGGACGGCGAAGATTGCATGCCCCCCCCCCCCCCCCGCCCCTGTACTCGATATGGCCATACCGTAAACATACTTGCGACCGTCCACTCCATCCATGACCCGCAGCTTGACCAGTTCGACCATCTCTGCCACCGATAGGGGCCGGTACGCCCTGGCCGCGACGGAGAGTATGGCGGTGCAATAGGCCGCATCGCTCGCTGTGAGCGTGTAGATGCTGTCTCTAGCCGACGAGTACAGACGCTTCACATTTCGGCTCTTCTTGCTCATATCATCTAGGATTCCCGGCAGGTTCCAAGCCTCGTTGGTCCACTGCACAACAGCCAAGGCCGCGTTTAAGCAGATGAAACTGCCAGGTGCCACCCCGCGAAGCTTGTCTCGCACGGCAATATAGAGACTCCCTCTGGAGAGGGGACCGCCGCCGCTGACCATATCGCTAAGCCTCAAAGCTGCGTATGCGCTGACCACTTCCCGTATGGCCTCCGCGTGTGAGTCTAGATCAAGGTACAGGTGAGAGTTGGCTTCGGCGGCGGGTGGGTGCACTGGGAGCCCCGGACCGAAGCTTTTGGGGCCGACGGACAGCAGCCACTTGACCTTGTCCCCATACGACGCTGCCATGGTAGTAAATATCAGGCCCATCAGTTCGGCCAACCCTTGAGCGCAGCTAATGCCGCCATGGTTTACATCGAAGGCCAGGATCCTGCTCCTTTACTTAGGATGGGACGACAGGTTCGATGACTTCGGTGCCACGTTCCGCAATTTCAACCGCGTCAGAGGGGGACACCCGGATCGAAGCCACCAGAAGGTAGGTTGGGGTGAAGTCGGTGTCTGCAATCATACTGTACAGGATGGTTGAGAGAGCGTAGAAATCACCCTTGATGTCAAGGCTGGCCGCCCTCATGCGTTTGAGGACATCATCTGGAGTCTATAAAATATATAGGAATGGTTACTTCTACTATCCCGATTATTAGCTATATCGGATCCATTTAAAGCGCTTCTAATACATATTAGCAATGTCTAGTATTCTACTTATAAACCCTCCTTACTAGGGGTGAACAGGTGATGAATGACTCTGTCTGCAAACTGCCAGACCAACTGCCAAAACACCAACCCTTGGATCTAAACAACTGTAAGAACCGGAGAGGGAGCTCACACGCTACTCACTCAAAGAACATCGCCTATGAATAGTAACGTGTCTTGCCCTCTGTCCAGAGGTAAACGCCCGCATTTACACACTCGAAAGGTTCATAATTGCGCTGCATTGATGTCGTCAAAAAGTGGTGGTCTTACTATATCATTGAATGACGTGAGAGGAATGGATGCCTGCGCGCGTGCAGCAATGGGATCTCGTGGTGCCGACCAATCGTTCATTGGGAGTCCGACAACTTTCATCCAATGGACGGGCGGTTCGCCGTCGCATTTGACTGCTGTGCCGACTGACCAATAGGGAGGCGAGCCCGACCCCCCCTGACCACAGCCAAGCCGCTGCGGCGAGCGAGGGACAAGGCCCAACAATGCCATTGGTGCGGGCCGCTGCCTCGGTGGACGAAGCAGGTGCGGGGCAGTGCAGGGCCGGCGCGTAGGCAGAATCACGATGCGTCAATATAACGAGAGTTTTCTCACTACGAAGGCTTAGGAAGCGGTTGGAGCCTGGCGTGCGGAAGACCGGAGCAGTGCCTAGGAGACTCGGGGAGGGTGGCCGGAGGGTCGAGCCTACAAAGATTACGTCGGGTTTGCTGAGATTTCTGTTAAATTACATGGGCTTTATTACATAGGTTATGATGTTAGCGGTGCCGGCGTCGAGCTCAACGGCGAGTACCCGGTGCGGGTTGAGCAGAAGGTCAGCGGGATAGCGTCGTCGAGGTCACCGAGGCACATAACAGATAATCGAAGAGGAATCGGAGAGAAACCGGCGCTAGCTTAGCTTTTACACAATTAACTCCTCGCTATACACGCTTCTTTCTGCCCTGAAGAACTCGGAGATGCAAGTTTGTTGATCGTAGAATATAGAGGATTACCGGCAGAGTTTCAATCGACATCCCGTGTTCTGTCCACTCTTGCTCGATTCAGGGTAAAACAGAACTTAATAAGCCCCTCTATGTGCCGAAGGCCCCGTCTCTCAATGTCGCCGCTGCCCCGTCGCCGACGACAAAGCGTCTTCTTGAGATTCTTGCAGAGCAAGCTTAAAGCCTGAACCGTAACGATCGTAAAACGCGGCGACGCCAGCGGCATCCGCCGGTGTGACCACCTCTGGTGTCGCATCCCTTGGCGTCGCATCTGCTGGCGCCATGTTGTCGGCGCGAGAAAAGTCCCGCGAAATCTGTTGGATCGACGCATCGCTGAGTTGCCCCCCGAACTGCACCCCCCGGGGCCCTAGGGATATGTCCTTGGCATGTACGATCTTTCCGGTTGTAGAGGCGAAGAACTGCATAACCTCCTCGTCCCCCTTGACGTTTTGTCGTGTTCTCGTTCGCCTTGGAGCAGATGTCCAGACAGAGCCTTGCCGTCTCCCATTCCTCCTGTAGCCTTTCGAGGTCGGCCGCGGCCTGGGGCGACGATAAAGCTGTCTTGGACCTCGCCATCAGCCGGTCCATTATGCTCTTCAGGTGTTTCTCTAACCGGTTCGCCGTGTTGATGAGAGCGTCTTGACATTCCTCTAGGCCTTCCCTGGTGATACGTTCGGCCACAGCAGGAGGCACCGCGCGGGCATCGGTAGACCCCTGGCCGTGATCAGCTGCTAACCGGGGCTGGACCCGGGCGATATGAGCCGACAACTGAGCGCAAATGGCGAGGCCCTGCTGCGTGCTCGACCTCTCCTCCTGCATCTGCCGCATTTGCGTCGCGTCCCCGGCAGACTCATCGGCGGCTCGTGAGAAAGTGGATTCGAGCTTTGAATCGATGCTTTTGAGGTGATCTTCAAGATCGGCCGTGGCGTCCTTGATCATAACTTTGTATGTTTCAAGGCCTTCGATGGTGACGGAGGATTGTCGGCTAAGTCGGGGAGAGTGCGGGCGCATGTCAGCAGGATTGGAGCAAGGAAGGGTTCCAGATCCGACTCACAGGTTCGCGTCAGCGAGCGCGATGTTTATGGTTGACTTGTACCCAGCCAGCATCCTCCGAAACTCGTCGATACCGTCGCCCATGTACTTCAGCTTCGCCCAGTCGCGAAAGCTTGTTTTAGATCCACCGGAGCGCGACGAGCAATGCGCAAGCGCCTCGCCGAACTCCCCGCAGGCATTTCCGCATCGGAGTAATGGTAGCTTAAGAGCCGTAAAATCTGTGTCCTTGTTTTGCTTCACCGTCTCGGATAACGCTTGCAAGACTCCAGCGAGAGCTTCAAGCTCGTCCTTGAGATCGCGCACATTCTTGGGATGGCTGCGATAGCTCTGGACCGTATCATAGAGCACGGTGCTCGATTTGAGCGCAAATGTAACCAAGGCCAGGAGGCCCGAAGCTAGGCTTATTGGGTCTGCCATTGCGTGGAGGATGAGTGAGGATGGGAAAGAGCAATAGCAGGGGGGCGCGGTCAATTTAAAGGAGAGAGAAGCGTCGTTGGGATACCTCAGCTGTTTCACAGCCTCAACGACAAACCTACCCCGCTTTGCGCTGACCCGAACGTCTGCTCAGATAGCGTGGGGTCTCGGGGGGAACATGCTAACAGGATGTCGAGATTCAACCGAAGGAAAAGCTGGACGAGCCCCATCCCGGGCCTGACCGTTTAAACGAGTACCACGGTGGGGTCCTGGTCTTGGCGCCAACGACCCCTGGATTGGACGGCGCGGTGCTCTCGTCAAATCGCGTGATTTTCACTCGGTAGCGTATGAGTTTCGTCAATGGGATTTCATTCGCCGTGATATCTCCCTACCTACCGAGGTAGACCGGCGGGAAACTAAAAGAACCCGACTCGGGTGTGCCAGAACCAGCTGGTAACTCAATCATTCCGGCCTTGAAAAACAAAGAGCCATATCATCATGTATCCATAAAATCTATGACCTCCCTTTCTCTCCTGGCTGCAGAGAGAATCAGCCCTGGCCCGAGTCGCTTGATGATGGTAAGCTTGCCTGCAGGCTCTTACTTTTTAGCGCCCGTTGGAACGTATGTTCGCCGCTTGTCCCTCGACCGATCGCGAGATTTCGGCGACGGCGACGAGTCTTCCCTTTGCGAATGGTCGTCGTAATCCATCTTGGGTGGCGTTCTCGGCGGCTCTGACCTCCGACCCCTCTCTTCCACATCCCGCCGCTTCGTCCTCCTCTCCCCCCTCTTCTCCCTCTTCCGCAAGGACACGCCCCTGGACGTCCAATACACCAGCACCACGCACATCAGCATCGCCGTGCCCAACGACAACCCAGTCCAACTCTCCCCCGCCATCGCCGTCACCCCGGCCTCCACACCAATCTCGCCAATCTTGATCGCGGCAGTGCGGGCCCCTATACAAGAGACGAAGCTCCCCAACATCAAAAACAGCGCCGCCCCCGACGCAAAGGTCAGGTTGGTCCACACGGCCCAGTCGTAGGCCGTCTCGGCGTGCGTGTACTCCTCGGAGCTGATGGCCATGGCCGGCAGGTTGGCGAAGAAGGACAAGCCCGTGAACCCGGCCCCGATCGCCAGCAGCACCCCGACCGCCCGCACCAGCGTGTCCAGCCCGCAGAGCGCGGCTTCGAGTTTGTAGGTTAGCCCGACTGCCGTTAGGGTCTGGCTGTTGCTGCGCGAGCGGGCGGTGGTGCCGTCGTCGTCGTCGTCGTCGTCGTCGTCGCGGGCGCTGAGCAGGGCGGGGATGGTGGCGATTTGGTCGGAGCCTGGTGGTTGCCGAAGGGGGTTAGTAGGGTGGGTTTGGTGGGTGCTGGGCAGTGTGATTGGGGGGGCAGAGGTTCGGACTCGTTATGGGTGAACGTACTGGAAAAATAGGCATAGCATTGGGTTAGTTTGCGGCCGTTATCGGCTGTGAGCCTGCCTTCGCAAATTGTCAGGGCGTAGAGGGAGTAGAAAGTGCCCGTGTGGGCGTTCCCCCCTACCCCCTTTGTAATGTCGTCGTCGATGCCACTGCGAACCTGGACGCCGCTTCTCTCACCAACGTTTGGTTGGGGCGCTGGGAGGGCGTTGGCTTTGACCTTGTTGCCGAGGTTTGTACCTAGGTGGGAAGCATCAACCTAGCATTGTGATACGTGATCAGCCAACTTGGATACGACAGCGTTAGACCAACGGGTCAGCGATGCTCACTGTAATGATCTCGTGGCCTTCCAGGACCCCGGGTTTGTTGCCTGCAAAGAGTGCCAACATCACCAGGATGAAGGCCATGAAAGAGCAAACGAGCGGGATCGCCCGCAAGACATGCTTGGTGTCGAAAGTGTGAGTCATTGTCGTGCGGCGTGTGCGGGTATGGCCATAAAGTAGTCTAGGCCTGGATAGCCGGCAAGTAGCGGCACTCGTAGTGGAGCGGTGGTTTCAAGGGAATCCGCCCGTGGTTTGGTGATGATTAAAGTAAGGTAAGGTGGCTCTGGTTGCCCGGAGGGGGAGTTAGGGGAAGAGGCCACCATTATATGCACGCCTCGTACGACTTGAAAGTGATGCCAATGACTCTTCTAGGGAACCCGTGATTAGATTGAGATTTCATCCCCATCAATAAGCCCTGGTGATAACGTGAGAACAGGTCATGTTGTTTAGGTATCGTTCGCTCTGGGAATATAGCCTTGAGCTTGAGGGGCATTTAAAATGTATCTCTTTGTTTCAATATCAGGTGACAAATTCTCGTATAAGTTAAGAAAAGTATATTTGGATGCTAGATCAACCAATGATGCTGTCACGAGGGCCTAATCCAAAGCGTAACAATATTTGCGATCTATTAGGAGGCTAGAATCCGGCTCATGCCAGAACCCTTAATACTCTTCTTGAACCCGACTCGAGTTGCGACCAAAACAAAGACTCAAAGCAGCTTTCAGGTGTAAGGATTAATGCCGAACTCGCCGGCGAGAACGGGGCCGTCGGAGCGGCCGGTGACTCCACAAATTCCGGGTTGGTGGGGCATCCGGGATTCGGGGTTCCGGAGGGGTTGTCTGGACATCCCGGAATCGGTAGGAAAATAAGTTGAAGACAAAGAAACAACATAGTCAAAGGAGTTAGGTCGCATTCAAGATGTGGTTTACCATACGGTATCAATGCTGTTGTTCTCCATGTTGGTAGGCTCTGTTCGGCTGTGCAAATTCGACACACTTAAACCGGAATGGGCGCCTCTAGGATATAAACTACGGTAGCGAGGCGGAATCGAGAAATGGGAGTCATACAACCAAGCAGCTCACCACTCTTGACAACAATACTTTATCGGCACGGCTTAAAATCTCGCAGCAGTACCCACCACGCACGCCACGATCTAACAAGTAATTAGGATGGGGTCCTCAACTGACGAACTCATGGTGGACAAACTGATGAATGTTATCAAGAAGGCTGACATGTACTCTCAAGCAGGAGTGGCTGACAAGGTATGGAACTTCGCATTGGAGAACCCGTTTGGGATCGTCGTCAAGGGTGAGGATGAGCAGATGGTTCCCGTTATATTCTCGAAACCATTTGGGGTCATGTTGCCGGAGGTCGTCGCGCAATTCGAGGCCGACCCCCAGCTATCCGAGTACTTTATGTTTTCCGCGGGGAACACAATCGCGTTGCGGGCTAGGTTCTGTCATAAAGTAACGAAGGTGAACGACACCCTGTCCCAAATCCTGTGTGTGATCAGGAACCTCCCCGGGAAGCCGTTTGGCGACCTTGATCAGTTCTGTGATGCTTGGAATTTCAGGTTACGGAACGGGGTTCCGCAGGAGGAATACAGAGTGCCAGCCAACCTCGCTCATATTCTTGGCGTGGTCACTGATAGGCATGCCACCAGCGTCTATTCCGAGACAGAGGACGGCGATGTTTGTGTCTTAGTACGCAAGATGGCGGGCGAGGTGGAATGCTTAAGCACGCTGTGCGAGGCAGAGTATCTTGTCGCGCATGAGGCGGACGGACTTGAAGACGAACTCCGCAAGGCAGGCGAGCTTGTATACAATGATGATGAGGGAGTGGACGTGCTCAGTTACCGTCGGGCCGGATTCGTCTCGTTTCGCCATCTTCAAGACAGGACTATAGGGACTGGGGTCGCTGGGCTACCACACCTCGGTATCACCCACGTATTCGATTGCAAGGTTGTTCCGGGCTGGGACTTTAGGGCTGAGGAGGAAATCTCGCTTCAGGGAAGAACGCCCGAGGGAACGCCGGAGTGGATGACGCCGAAGGAGGTACGGGACGCACTGTTATCGGGAAAGTTTACCCCTGAGGCCGGTTTGGTTATGCTCGACTTCCTTTATCGCCACGATCTTCTCGGCATCTCCATGTCTGACGAGCAGAAGAAGGCTATGGAGGACGCTTTGCACCCACTGAAGGATATGTTGGTGGTGCCGTAAAGTACGTGACCTCCATGACTCCGAACGGGTCGTTTTCCCAGCCAAAACGAAGGAGTAACAAACATTACAATGCCTTTTAATGGCCCCTCTGGAATATTCCTACGACCCATCAAATATGAAATATAATCCAATGCCTGCCTTGTACTTGAATTGAAGCCCCGTATATTGTAAAGTTCTTTTCTTGGCTAAAGAGTTGGGCACTGTGATGACTCGAAACTCCTCGTGTGTTGATAGCCGTGATAGCCCAACCTTGTCCGTTCGAGGCGTGATTCGTAAGTTGCGGTGAAGCAAAGCACCAGTCGGAGTAACAGGTGGCTGAAATAAAGCATCTGCGGACTGCAGCAATGACGCCACTCGTGGAAATTGAGAATGGTCGGGTTGAATTTGCCTGGATAGTTACGGAGCAGATCTAGAATCAACCGTTGTCATTGCCTTGATCATCATATCGTCGTTGCCCGTCTCCCGCCGCCGTCCTGGGGAAATGTGAGCAAAACTGGAAGAGGCGAGTCTAGACTGCTCACGCAGCGAGACCTGACCTGCCACTGCAGCCCGAGTGATGCACGGGCAGCCCAGCGACTGACAGGGTGGTGGGGGAGTGCGGGGGAGGGGCATTCAGACCCACTGAAATTTATCTCCCCGTTGTCGGAGCTTGGCCCCTGTTGTCCACTGTCCCGCCATTGCATTGAGTCACCTCAGCAGAGAAATTTCGTCGTGCAACAAATTGGGTATAAGGCAGCCCGAGTCCCGTGGATTACGTCGGGTACGACGAGTTCCTTCTTTCCCACGACCGACAATCCAATAATACTCGACCCCATCACCCCTACTCGACAATGACCCAACTACCAGACCCCACCGTCGACCTCGACTGGTCGGGCTATGTCGGCTCGATTCAGGAACATTTCAAGACCCAAGCCGAGGCGCACCCCGAACGTCCCTGTGTCATCGAGACCAAGTCGTCCACCACCCCCGAGAGAAGTTTTACCTACCGTCAAATATACGAGGCTGCCAACACCTTGGCATGGTATCTGCACAATGCCGGCGTCACCAATGGGGACGTAGTCATGATCTGGGCCCACCGCTCCGTCGACCTGGTGGTGGCCCTTATGGGTATTCTGGTATAGTCTTCTGGTCCTCTGTACGGATACACATGCCATGAGTCGAGACTTCTAACCTCTCGGCCCAATGTTAAAGGCTTCCGGCGCGACAATGACCGTCCTCGATCCCGCCTACCCTCCAGCAAGGCAGCAGATCTACCTTGAAGTCTCCCAGCCCCGCGCGCTGCTGAGGATCGGACGGGCCACCGACGAGAACGGGCCCCTGGCACCCTTGGTTCAGAAGTACATCGACGACGAGCTACCACTCAAGACCGACGTTCCCGACCTCAGGCTCCGGGATGATGGTGTGCTCTACGGCGGCGAAGTTGACGGCCAGGACATCTTTGCGAGCGTGAGGCAACTCGCATCCTCCCCTCCCGACGTCATTGTTGGCCCCGACTCGAATCCCACACTCTCCTTCACATCTGGCAGCGAAGGGCGCCCCAAGGGTGTGCTGGGTCGCCACTTCAGCTTGGTCAAGTACTTCGGCTGGATGTCCGAGCGATTCAGTCTCTCTTCGGAGAGTAGATATACCCTCTTGTCCGGAATTGCGCATGATCCCGTGCAGCGCGACATCTTCACACCCTTGTTCCTCGGCGCGCAGCTACTAGTACCCTCCAGGGAGGATATCCAGCACGAGAAGCTTGCCGAATGGATGAGGGAGCACAAGCCGACCGTCACCCACCTCACACCAGCCATGGGTCAAATCCTGGTGGGCGGCGCCTCGGCAGAGTTTCCCAGCCTGGAGCATGTCTTCTTCGTGGGCGACGTGCTGACCACAAGAGATTGCCGCGCTCTCCGTCGCTTGGCCGCCAACGCCAACATCATCAACATGTATGGCACAACCGAGACACAGAGAGCTGTCAGCTACTACGAAATCCCGAGCCGGACAAGGGAACCCGACTACTTGGACAAGCTCAAGGACACTGTTCCTGCTGGAAAGGGAATGCAGAACGTCCAGCTGCTTGTCGTCAACCGGGAGAACCGAACTGAAATGTGCAAGGTGGGCGAGGTGGGCGAGATCTTTGTCCGGGCCGCCGGTCTTGCCGAGTGAGTCTTGAGTACCATTTAGTTGCTACCAGCTGCTGACAAATACCATCTTAGCGGTTATCTGGGAGACCAAGCGTTGAACGAACAGAAATTCCTTATGAATTGGTTCGTCGACAACCAGAAGTGGGTCGACGCGGATCTCAAGACCAGCAAGGACGAGTCGTGGCGGCGCTATTACAAGGGGCCTAGGGATAGGATGTACCGAACAGGAGACCTCGGGCGCTATCTCGAGTCCGGGGATGTGGAATGCGTCGGCCGTGCCGACGACCAGGTCAAGATTCGCGGCTTCCGCATCGAGCTGAACGATATCGACAGCAATCTAAGCCAGAACCCTCTCATCCGCGACTGCAAGACCCTGGTCCGGAGAGATCGTAACGAGGAACCCACCCTCGTCAGCTACGTCGTTCCCGAAGACAGGGAATGGCAGCGCTGGCTCCATGACCGCGGGCTGGCCGATGTTGAGGATGAAGGTGTCGAAATGGGGTCAGTCACAGTCTTCCTGAAGAAGTACAGGAGGATGCAGACCGAGGTGCGCGACCACTTGAAGACCCGGTTGCCGACCTACGCCGTGCCCACCATCTACATTGTCCTCAACAAGTTGCCCCTCAACCCCAACGGAAAGATTGACAAGCCTAACCTCCCCTTCCCCGACGTTGCTGAGCGTGTCGAGGATGCGTCAGAGGAGGACTTGAAGAGCTGGGAGTCTCTTACCGAAACCGAGCGGACCGTGGCCCAGCTGTGGGCTGATGTCATCCGCGGGTTGAACCCGAAGACCATCCAGAGGGAGAATGGGTTCTTCGATCTCGGCGGACACAGCCTGCTAGCTCAACAGTTCCTCTTGACTGTTCGCAAGAGCTTGGGCACCGATGTCCCGATCAATACGCTCTATGAGCACCCCAGCCTGGCTGGCTTCAGTGCCCAGGTCGACAGGATTCGGAACAACGACACCACCACTGTTGGTCCCGAAGCTGGGGAGGCTGCCTACGCCAAGTCCTTGGACGAGTTGCTGCACCAGCTACCTGAAAAGTACCAGTCCGCCGACGGTGAAGCCCTCGCTTCGGCTGAGCAGCTGACCATCTTCCTTACCGGTGCGACTGGTTTCTTGGGTTCCTATCTTGTACGCGACGTTCTTGAGCGGACGGCGCGGAATGTTAAGCTTATTGCGCACGTCCGCGGTGTCAAGGAGCCGTCCGCGGCTCTTGCCCGCCTCCAAAGGTCTCTCCAGGGCTATGGCTTGTGGAAAGAGGAGTGGGTAGGGAGGCTCAGCGCTGTTGTGGGTGATCTGTCCAAGCCCCAGTTGGGTATCGACGATGCCACTTGGCAAAGTCTCGCGCAAGAGGCCGACGTCGTGATTCATAATGGCGCCACCGTCCACTGGGTCAAGCGATACCAGGACATGATGGCCGCAAACGTTCTCTCCACCGTCGATGCCATGCGCCTGTGTAACGAAGGGAAGCCGAAAGCCTTCTCCTTCGTCAGCTCGACTAGCGTCCTGGATACCGACTACTACATCCACTTATCCGACCAGCAAACCAGCACTGGTCAGGGCGCCATTATGGAGGAAGACGACATGAGTGGGAGCCGGTCCGGGCTTGGCACCGGTTACGGCCAGACCAAGTGGGTATCGGAACAGCTCGTCCGGGAGGCCGGTAAGCGCGGCCTTCTCGGGTCGGTCGTCAGACCCGGCTACATCTTGGGCGACTCTGAAACCGGTGTCTGCAACGTTGACGACTTCTTGATTCGCATGCTCAAGGGCTGCATCCAGCTGTCTTCGCGGCCGCACATCATCAATACGGTCAACGCCGTCCCGGTCAACCACGTCGCGCGCGTCGTGGTCGCGTCCGCACTCAACGCGCTGCCGGGCGGCGTCCACGTCGTCCACGTCACGGCCCACCCGCGCCTGCGCATGAGCGAGTACCTCTCCATCCTCGAGTTCTACGGCTACACGACGCCCGAGGTGACGTACGCCGCGTGGAAGGAGGAGCTCGAGAAGTTCGTGTCGGCCGGCGCGCTCGAGAAGGACCAGGAGCAGCACGCTCTCATGCCGTTGTACCACTTCTGCATGAACGACCTGCCCGCCAACACCCGCGCCCCCGAGATGGACGACAGGAACGCCGTGGCCATCCTCAAGGCCGATGCGGACCGCTGGACCGGCGTTGACGACAGCACGGGTCACAGCGTCAGCAGGGAGGACGTGGGTAGGTATCTAGCGTATCTGGCCGAGATCAAGTTCGTTGGGCGCCCGAGCGGGAGGGGCAGGGCGCTGCCCGAGTTGAAGCCTGAGGTGTTGGCTGCGCTGGCCGTGGGCGCCACTGGCGGGCGTGGTGGTGCGCCTTAGAAGGGGGTTCGGTTGGGCATAGACAAGATAAAAGCGATCCGTTTGTATGTTTCACCAGTTAGAGCGAGAGGATTTATGCTACATTGCATTGAAGAGGACATCGAGGGGTACACTCTCGCGGATACCATTGACATTACCCTCCTACACTGTCGTTCGCGCCAGGTTCCCACCATCCCGGCCACAGCCTCAGCAGTCGATTAACAAGCACCACCCCATTACGCACTACGCACTCAGAACTTATCCCAATTAGCATCAAACTGCTTCAGCGTCTCCTTCGCCACCCTCTGCCCCAACGCCACACCCTCCACCCCCGCAAAAGTAAAGTGAATCTGCAGCACCTCAAAGTCAGCACCCCACCCTAACAGAACTCACTCACAACACAACCAAGAAAATAAAAAGCTCACCCCGCCAAACACGCGACTCGCCGAATTCTCCTCCGCCGCCTCCCTCAGACTCGTATACGTCCGCTCGATCACCCCGCGCGCGTCCAGCGTGACGTTGCTGCTGACCGTCACCCCCGGCGCGGCGAGCTCGTCGCTGCCGCCGTTCCACGCCTGCAGCACGGCGGATGCGGCGCCGCCGAAGGTGGAGTGTGTTGAGACATAGTCCGGGTGGCTGGGTGTGGGCCGTAAAAGGGGCGTCCAGGACGGGTCCGAGATGTCCCGCCCGGAGGAGACCCAGGGCGTGGGGTGGTGGATTGCGGTGATGGGCCGCCAGCCGAGGTGCGTGTATCTGTGGTGGTGGGGAGGGGGGTTAGTGGTGGTGGGTGGGTGGATGGATGGATGGGGGTTGGGGAAAAGGGAGGGGAGGGGGGTAGGGGCGGGATGGCTAGGAAGAGGTAAGGGGTAAGAGGAGGGGAGGGGGGGGGGGGGGGGACAAACTTGGAGTCCCAGGAGGCGATGCCCGCGTTGGCGAGCGCGTAGTTGAGCTGGGCGTAGAACTTGGCTGAGTCGAGGACCTTGGTTGTGAACTTGTCACCGACGAGAGCGCCTGCGAAACGGTTCCATACGCTTGAGGTGATGGTTAGTGACTAATTAAGGGGTTGGTCACAAGGTGGTATGGACTCACGTAATGGAGGATTCGCGCCAGAAGTAGGCCGTGTCGGTGTCGTACTCGGACCTGGCGCTCGAGTCGAGCGAGCCTTGTTCTTTCACGTACAGGAGCTCCTCCTCGTATTGCTTCGAGTCGGTCGGGGGCGGCGGAGGGGGCCGGAAGCGCGTGATGTCGCCCAGGCCGGCGAACGGTCTCACAAACTGGGCCTGCGGGGTGTCGGGGAAGGGGTTGGCACCGGGGCTCTGCTGGTAGACGCCAGGTTCCTTGGGGCCGTAGGTGAAGTCGAGGAAGTTGGTGATCCCGTCCTCGGCGCGGGCTTGGGCAACCGCAGCTGCCGCCTTCTGGCCGGTTTGAACTGCCTCTTTGCCTTTCTTGGAGTTGGGGTCCAGTCCAATGGCTGGGATGATGGCCCGCAGGGAAGCATCGACTGCATTGTAAAGGCGGCTTCCGTGGAAGACCCAGAGGGCGGAATTGTGGGCTGCGTGAGAGACAGCCAGCTGCTGGAACTCAAGGCTTTCGTTCTTCGACTTCACCGCAGCTTGGTACACTGCCGCCTGCACAATGGCCTGATACCATGCTGAAGGAGGCGACTGCAAGCCCCCGATGACGGTCCCGTTAACAAAAGTTGCCGACTGGTCGACCCTTGTTGAACGTAAGCAGGGGGTTATCAGCATGTGGAGTGAAGGAAGGGGTATGGTACCAGTAGTAGACAATGTCCCCAGGGTACGCGGCGTTGACGACTGTGGCGGCAGTGGCCAACGTGAGAAGGGATAGCTTCATCTTGTTAAAGAAGAGGTCAAGTGACTTCGATAATAAAGTGCCGGCTGAGTCCCAAACCCAAGACGCAGGAACCCGTCTGTTCCCGGCAGTGGTGAAGCGGGAGGATGATCAACGCATTTAAGCTATTGCTGCCATGGCGAATGTGAACCCATCACTGTCTCGGAAACCAGGTTCCCGGATGCTAGGTAAGCAAGCAATGGCGCAAGCTGCAGTAGTAATTGACAATAACATGAAGCCCGGCACACCTGCTTGCCTATGCCCGATGCGATGTGACATCCTTTCAGCTTGTCCAAGAACCTGCCTCTTTGGTCATCTTGGCGCAGCTAAACCGTAGCACATCCCGCGGGTAACCAGTTGACGCAACTTCAGGTCCCAGGGGGTTGAGCCATCCGGGTGAGATCCGCAGTATTGCGCCATTTTGCGGCGCTTCTTAGTGCGGGCTACAACACTGATTCGGGGAATGTCGACACCCACATGGGTCTTTTATTGTTGATCACGATCTTATAGCGCGGATGCTGAATCTTCTCAATGGTAAACACACCTCGACCCCCACGTGCGCATCTGCTATCGAAAGGCAGAGTAGTATCCCGTCGAATATCGGCACCGAACGAGAATGCTCCCGGGTGAGTAAGGCTCACCGGGGCCGGCATCAGGTAATCGCCCATGTCGCAGGCTTTTCGGTTGTGAAGTAAGATGCAAACCATGGGCGCAAAAAGTACGACTCGGTCCATGATAGTGGAACAATGTCATCCCTATCCCTCTTAACTACCTCCAGTACCTAAGTACCTAGGTAGCAGGGGCTTTATGCATAGGTCACTTACAGCTATTCCCTATCACTGCGGAGTGCTAAAAGACGATATTCTTGCTTAGGCAGGTTATAGCATGTTTTGACTCTATTACCTGGGTAATACAGTTGGCCAAGCTTCGTCGGTTTCCAGTCATTCGGTATCTCTCTTACAACTTGATTTTCTATGTTGGGTACCGAGGTAGATATGTACCTAAACAATCATTGTTTGGTTTATACCTATTCATTCTTTTCCGAGACTCAAATTGTCGAAACCCCCCCTCCCCCCTGTTCCTCCCGGTGACGTGAACTCACCCCCAACTTTGGAGAAGCCTGAATAGGTACCTAAGGAGCGACGGGGAGAGAAAGTCCGGCCAAAACTCTTTTCATGTCTGCCAGCAACTTAAAAAGAAAGGGAAAGTCTTGGCTTCGACAGGACTAGCCCCGTCCGTGGTATTTATACGCTGACCGCCTGCGCCATGCCCCTCCAACTTGCTCATCTCATCGACTCAAACCACGCTTCCCCGCGCAAGCAACCCCTTCCCCGGCCCTTCTTTGCGTTCCCGAATACCACTTCCCCAACATTACCAGGGTCGCAATCTGGTCGAGCGCATGCATCTGCCGGGCCAGACGCGCTTCTTCTGAGTCCGCTCCATGGTTTAGATTACCTTTCCCTTTGACGCGTCAAGCCACAGCCGCTTTTTGGTATAAGATGCGCCCGTTATGATTCAGATATTGCAACTTAAATTTACGGCAATAGCTGCTCGGGCGTCATCAACGGGTGGCAGCTTTAGCCGGGCGAACCGGGTCCCCAACTCACCCGTCTCGTGCACGACCACGTCCCGGATCAGCGTTTGCAGGGAAGATGTTCGCATGGGAGCCGTTCTAGAACGAGTTGACCGTGTCGTGATTGAGAGAGTGTCCGTTGTCGATACCTAGTTTTGATGCAGATCGACCATTGACATGTTGTTAGAACCCTGGTCATGGACAGGCCACAGCTATCAACCCAGCTCAACCCAGACCCAATCAACCAAGCCATGGAGAGTGCTCCGTGCTAGAAGACCTCCCCATATGACCTACTAACTTACCCAGCCCCTTCACCCGTACCGTTACACTAGTTCCCCACAATGATCCCTTCGCTCGGTACTTGAGAATGTGCCGTTGCTGTAACTCCAGCTTTGGCTGATAATAAATATGCCGACCTTGTTGTGTCTGCGGGTCAGATAATGGTTCTCATGGTGTGGGCTTTCTTTCCAAAGCCATCACCTCTCATACCGAGTCGCTACAAAAATACAGGGACCGTTCCTGCGACAAGTTGTCCGCCATGAAAATCCCAGCCGGTGCAGTGTTGCCGCTTGCGCCTTGGATCGCACCCAGGGCAGCACTGAGAGGTGTCCAGGATATCACCTCCGAGTCTGCCCAGGCTGTCATCCGTGCTGCCGGCCCCAGTGCCAGTTGTGAATGGTTCCCACAGCCGCTAGACCACAAGAACATGAGCCGTGGAACATGGCAGCAGCTGTACTGTGTCAACCCTCAGTGGTGGGTTCCAGGATCCCCGGTAACTTTATCTCACCATCCCTCTTCTTCGGTCATTCACTAAAGTCCCCCGGCAGGTTGTTTTGATGACGCCAGGGGAGATGCCCATTACATCAGCCATCAACTCCGGGTACGGATACTCGTACTTGAGCAACACGACCATGTCCGGCACGTACGCTGAGATTCTCGGGGCAGCGGCGGTTGTGATTGAGCGTCCGTACAGTATCAACCGCTTGAGACAGCTCGCGTCTGCTAAGTCCAGCCCCAGATCGATATTTCGGCGGATCCTCCCCATACGATGGATTTGATTCCCGCACCCTCCAGTACCTCAGCATGGATCAGGCGGCTGAAGACATTGTCAACTTTGCCAAGAACGTTGTGTTCCCATTCGACAAGGAGCAGACCAGTGTGGCCTCCAAGACGGCAAGTTTAAACAGCCGGAAAAGTAGAAACGTACGACTGACCGAAACATAGCCCTGGGTGTACTGGGGAGCATCCTATGCGGCAACACTGGGCGGCTGGATCGAGCATTTCCATCCTGGCGTCTTTCACGCCTTTCATCTCAGCAGCGCCACCGTCGAAGCCAACACTGAGAACTGGTACTACTACGATACTATCAGAAAGGGGATTGATGCCTACCGCAATGACACGAGCTGCAGTCTCGCTCTTACTGAAGTCGCCGACTTTGTTGACAAGTTCTTGCTCGAGTCACCTCAGGACGTGGCCAAAGTGGACGCGGTGAAGCAGTATTTTGGCGCCACTTTCCCCATTGCTGATGACGACTTTGCCTAGTGAGTAGTCTTCCTAGCACATTGATGTTCCTCACTTTAATGCTGACATACCCTGCCCAGTGCCATTGCTACTCCATTCCGGTACTGGCAAGAGACAGGAGGTTACCGTGATGTTCTCGAGATGTGCGACGCCATTGTTGGTCCCGCTGATCCCGAAGAGCACGAGCTCCTCGGTACTATTTCCGCTGCGGTCGGCAACTACGCCGCTTATTTCAGAATGAACTTCCGTGACTCAAGTAAGCCTGACTGACTTCTTCTATCACAACCCCCCACTCCACGCATGAAAACCCCCAAACCTAACAACCTCACCCCCACAACAGCATGCACCTACCTGGACACCTGGGGCCAAGACGACCCGCTCTGGTGCCTCAACACGCACGACCTGCTGAACCCCTTCTTCGAGGCGCGCACGCTGGGCAACCCGTGGCGGACCTGGTACTGGTTCCTGTGCAACGAGCCGCTCGCGTCGTGGGCGACCGGCGCCCCGGAGGGCGAGCCCTCCATCGTCTCCCGCACCATCGGCGCCGCCTACTGGCAGCGCCAGTGCGAGATGCATTTCCCCCCCGTTGATGGGCAGAAGTATGGTAGTTCGAACGGCAAGACCCCGGCGAGTCTGAATATGGCGACGGGGGGGTGGTTGAGGAACTCGACGAGGGTCATTTGGACGGGCGGGTGAGTGGCCTCGGGGCCCTTTTTATCTTTTGGGCGGGTCGTTCCGCCGCGGGTTGTGGGTTTTGCTGACCTTGTGGTTGCTTAAAGCGAATTCGACCCCTGGAGAGCCACCAGCATGTCCAGCGAGGTTCGCCCCGGTGGCCCGCTTCAGTCGTCTGACAATGTCGCCGCCTTCATTATAAAGAATGCCCAGCATGGTGACGACGCGTTCACCCCGAGGGCACTGGCCAACCTCGGTATGAAGGTCAACCCGGAGGTGGTCAAGGTTCAGGAGCAGTCGATCGAGCTTATAAAGTTGTGGGTCAGCCAGTACTTGGTGGGCCATGATGGTGAGTAGGCCGGGGGAGGTTGGCTTTGCAAGCGGAAGGGGGTGTGAGTCAACATCGAAGATTGATTGCCATGTTGGCTTGACAAGAGACACAAAATTTAGGATCTTTGTTTGATCATGCCGTCCGAACCTCCTCCGTACATATGTCCACTCTCGTGACGAGTTGATTTGTCTCATTCTTGCCGTCTAAGCGGTGACCTAAGAAGGGAGTTTTCGCCTGAAGGATCCCAGATCCCATACAGGGCTACGTAGCTTATCGGTGTCGATGAATATCTTCAGTAGCGTATCCAAGAGTCCAAAAAGTCCTATCAAAAATGGTATGAGTTGATCCACGCGCCAGAGGCCCCCCATGCCTCCCATCTGGTTCGCCCGAATCAGATACTCGATAGCCACGATGGAGATGATAATCAGTGTCACAGACAACAGCGCCAGCCACCCATTCGGCCCATCGTCCCCACCTTGACGTGCCTTTTCCTCCTGCTTCGACCCCGCCGGCGTGGCGTCATATATTCGCCTAACCATCAGGAAAAAGAAGGCCAGGACGCCGATGATGGCCGCGGCTCGGGCAAGCCCTTGCATGCCTGGGTTCTCTGCAGTGGCCCGGCCAAAGAACACGACTGTCTCGCAGGGGAGCCCATCGACACCGTTGCCGGGACGGGCCTCTAGCTGGGTGATGCCGCCGAACCACAGCCAGGCAATGTAGCCCGACAACAGAGTGTAAAAGGCCATCCGCACGACGCGGGAGAGCAACCCGTAGGTAGACGTGTTTCCACTCAGCGCGGATAGCGAGCCAAAAAGCAGCCAGAAGCCGACGGCGGCGTCGGCAATGCGCAAGGAGCCGGTGCTGGTATACAACAGCATGACAGAGAAGACGCCGACCTGTAGGATAATGTTGATGGTGCGGTGGAGCATCTCGTACTCGAAGGCGTTGTATGTCACTATTAAGGTGATTATCCACTGGAAATAGAAGCCCAGTCGGATCCCGATGCCGTAGAGGTCTGCGTCGCTGACCATGGCGCAGGGTTCGGTAAGGATGGCGGCGTCAGCCGCAGACACGAGGCATTGTGCGGTGGAATCCATCTGGACTCCTGGATAGTGACACAAGAGCTGACTTGAACTATTCGTGTGAAGAGGATGAGATGGATCGGTGAGCTGATGATGGAGGGTGGGTAACTCTGCGGAAAAGAAGTTGAAAGACAGCGCGAGCATAGGACTAGATAAATAGGTCTGACTGCTCAAGGGGCCTGATTCAGCTTGACAAGGATACCCAGAAGCATATCACAAAAGTGCACAATTATTTGACGCGGGTGCCGCACCCTGAAAGCGCCCAGCCTTGTCGGGTTAACCGGCATATTGATGACCACCTCGGTAGGTACATAAGCAGGTAGGTATCGGGTGTCGGCATCGATGTGTGATACACAGCCTGCTGTCGGACAACATGAATTTCGGGGGCTCGGTTTGATGTATACACACCAGAAACCAATAGGGATTCCTAACGAGGCTGAACTTGATTGTAGCTGCTGTAAGTGCTGTTCAGCTGCTGCGAGAAAGGTAGAGGATGTCAAATAGGATCTCGACACGAAAATGCATGATCATCGCGCATATAGCGGCAGCTGAGGAAATTAATGACAAGGCTCCGGCTCCCGGCCGATACGAATTCCCGTTGGCAAAGGCGGCCAGCATAGGTGAGGAATGTGAAGACAGTATCGCTCCGATATAAAAGCCCACCGGTCGTCAAGGACTCACGGCGTCTGCTCTGAACTCTCCGTACGCGGACTTTTCCTCGAAACATCCAAAGTAGACTGACCGTCAAACAAACACCATAATGGAGCAGCAACCCGTATGTGGCTTCGAGGGCAACAACGACCTCTACGGACTCGGGCTGCGGACCGGTCTCTACATCCAGTATGTCTCCCTCGCCCTCGCCAACTTCCTGAGTCAAGATCCTAGGTCGAATCGGGCCGATGTTGGAGAGCCCAACGAGAACAAGAACTCGGGAATCCACTACCTACGAGGTGTCGCACTTGTCTACATTCTCGCCAACTTCATAGCTCTCCTCCACGCGAACCGGAACCGATGTGTCCGTGATGTGGAGGTGGTCATCCTGCTCCTAGAGCTACTCCCGCAGTTGACCCCCATGGTAAGGGTAAGCAAACTTGTTTTTTGTCTTATTACCTACACTACTGTCGTTATGGCATGTGCTGAGATCCGCGACGTAGCCGCGCCCAGAACTCCGAGACCTCATCAAGCATTATCCCGAAGTGAGCGAGTTGCACGCAACCGTCTTGTTCTTCGTGGTGCGCGCCTTCATCATATACCAGGCATACTTCTGGTGGCGGGGTATCAAGGTTCTCCCCTCAACACCTTGCGAGGAGTACATCTGGGCCTTCGTGCAACCCAGACGACTACATAGTGGGACGCTCAAAGCCATATTCCGAGTGCTGTTCACGATCCTCAGCATCGGTGCTTTCATTGACGCCCTCCGTTTCTTTCGCAAGTCTCGTCGCGACCGTAAATCTACCCTACCTTAGCCATGCAAGGTGGTTTGGTCAACTACTGACCAGGTACATTGGTATCTATCTAGGGAATCCACCCCGGAAGCTTTGCGGACTCTGCACGCCGAAAAAGTCATACACAGAGTGGCTAACTGAAAAGGTTACCAAACGGTCGAGTCTGACCTTCACGACCCTTGTTTTCATCTTCTCGGTTGTGGCAGTCGAGATGACGATTCGGGTGAACAATATCTCGGGGGTTGATGAGGTTAATTCAGCAGGCCAGGTGATCGCTCTCCTGGTTTCGCTGGGGACTTTTCTGCATGTGGTGATTGCTCAGGCTAGGGCAACATGAGCGCATCGGAATGGGATGGATAATGGAATATCGTGGGTTTGTAGCTAGCAGTAGAAACCATTACTCCAAGACGAAAAGATCCTAATCGAAGCGAGAGCTGGCTGTAGGAGTCAAGTACCAACGCGAGCCCAGTCCAAGAAGCATGCCATGCGGGTTTCCCACCCGCTCCCGACACAGTCACACAACAACTCTGCAACCTTTAGGGGTAAAATTCAGGGGCAAAATTCAGGGGCTAGGGTTAGGGTCGATCCCTCAGGGGCCACCTGAGCAGGGAGGGGATGAGCCAAAAGGCCAGTAACCACAACACGACAGAATCCAACGACCAGGCCACACCAAGCGCTCGTGAACCCCTTTCTTGCACAGACTCTTAACCGCAGTAGCACACACACAGACAGGAGACTTTCAAGGCTGACTCAAAAACAAAGATTAAAACATGCCTCCAACACCTCCCATGAAGATCCCTACAAAGATGGACGAACCACAGCCATCGACAACAACCAATGCATAATTACATGACATGGGCGTAAAGCGAACGTAGCCGGCTCAAGCGAAGCGAAAAAAGAAGAAGATGCCCAAAGAAGGGCGAAGCAGAGTATACCTAAAACAATGCTGTTACCGAACCCCCCCCCCCCCCCCCCCCCCGCTTACCCCCCCTTACCCTACCCCCTTACCCTACCCCCTAACAACCATCCCCAACAACCGTCCCGCAAACCCACAACCCAACACCGCGGCGACCTCACCCCAACTTCTCAGCACCGGCATCCTACGCCATCTGAGCAGCGGGCTTAACACCACGACGACCAAGCAGGGTGGCGCCGTCGAGGTTCAGCTCAAAGGCGCCCTTCTGGCGGTTGCGCTCGCGCACCTGTTGGCGGGCGGCGGCGGCGACGGTGGCCGAGTGCTGGCCGTAGCCACGCTGCTCGGTAGCAGCGGCAGCCGCAGCGGGCGGGGGGTGGGCCTTGCGCTCGCGGTCGCGGCCGCGCTCGCGCTGCTGGTCCTGGTCGCGGATCTGCGTGTCCCGCATGCTCTGCTCGAGCTGCTGGGTGGTGGCGGCGGTCGAGCCCGCGGCCTTGGCGCCGGCGTCCTCCTCGGCCATTTCTTGGTCCCCGTCCTCGTCCTCCTCCTCGTCTTCGTCGTCCTCGTTGAGCCCGCCGAGGCGCGACAGGCCGCCGGCCTTGGCGCCGACTTGTTTGCGGCGCTTGCCCTCCTCCTCTTGGCGGTGGACGGCGTAGCCGACGTCGAAGACCTCGCGCAGGTTGATGGCGGCGGGGGAGCGGAAGTCGTAGCGCTTGTCGCCGTCGACGAGCTTGGTCATGTCGAAGGCGCGCGCGGGTTGGTCGCCGGTCGAAAAGGCGCTCTTCCTCTCGTCGCGCGGCGTGGGGCCGGACTCGCGGATCCAAGGGTGGGCGAGGAACTCTCTGATGGTGTAGCGCTTTTCCGGGTCGACGCAGAGCAGGTGCGAGATTAGGTCCTGCGCTGACTTGCTGATGTCGTCCCACCATGGCGAGAGGAACGTGTACTGCCCCTTGGCGACCTTTTCGGTAAGCACCTCGATGCTCTCATCGTAAAATGGCGGGAAGCCGCATAGCAAGGTATACAACACGCAGCCCATGGCCCACATGTCGACTGACTTGGAGTACCGTTCATCCTTGACGATCTCGGGTGCTGTGTACCCGACAGTGCCGCACGGTGTCATGGTCTGGTTATCCCAGACGATCTTAGAAAGGCCAAAGTCGGCGATCTTGATCTGCCCGATGCCGCCCCCGCCAACACCCCTTATGAATTCACCCTCGTCAACCTTGTCTTCGTCCCCAGGCTGCTTAGGCTTGGGGTTCTTTGCCGGGGTGAATGGGATGGGGCTGAACAGAATATTTTCGGGCTTGATATCACTGCCAAACCTGTCAGTACATGGGAGCAACACGACCAGGGAAGTCCCTACCGATGCACGATCCCCCTCTCCTCATGCAGGTACTCCAGGGCGTTCGCCACTTGTGTGATGACGTGCCGTGACAGATCCTCACTAAAGTACGTCAGGCGCACAATTTGGTGGAACAATTCACCGCCTGGCGCAAGCTCGAGGATGATGTAGTAGTACTGGCGAGACTCGGCGAAATCGATAAGCCTGATGATGTTGGGGTGTTCGGTCTGGCGCATGATTTGCACCTCCTTCAGGATGTTTGCCCTCTATAACCACGGTTAGCGCTTGTGTCTGGCAACAAAAAAGACCAATCGCAGCATCCCCGGCGCTTGACTCGGGAGGTAAAAAGCAGGCCACCGACAGCCTTGGAGTTGCCTCGTAGTCACCGTCGATGGATTGCCACCCACACGCAAGATGGGACAAAGAAAAGGAGGATCCTCGCACCTCTGCGGCCCTGGGAGCCTTTGGCTTAAAGTCGGGATGAAGATGTCTGCTGCCCTAGAAGAGGCCCTGGTGTCGGTAAAGGGCGGCTGGGCAGAAAGGAAAGGAAGAAACAAGCACAGAAAGAGGAAAACAGATAGGCGAGACAACAACATGGGCGCCGTAATGTCACATACCTGCATGCTGTTCATCTCGAATTTGCGGACAACCTTGATAGCAACCTCGCCATTGTCCCCCTCGCGATCCCGAGCGCGGTAGACGTTGCTGAACGCTCCATCACCCATCTTCTCGAGGAGCTCCCAGCGCTCGAGACCCGGGTAGTGCGGGAACTTGCTCTTGCTTGCATTCTCCTCAGCTACGAGCTTTGCGATATTCTCGTCGGGGACGCGTTTCTGCGACTTCGTCTTGATGTCGATGGCCTGGGGTTGCGCGGGTTCATATTGGGTCGTGGTCTGGAATTTCGCAGCAGTGGACGTGCCGATCTCGGGGTCCGTGGCTCGTGACGGCGCGGTGCTCTTCGGAGCCGGTTGTTGTTTTGACGGTGAGCTGTCATTCTTCGCTCGCGGCGGTTCGTCGGCCACGCGGGCTTGCTTGCCTGTGCCCATGACCATGACATCAGTTCCCGTTCGTCCCAAAGGGTCCCATACATCCACTACAGCAAAGGGCCGACCCGTGCGCTCGCACAACCGACGTCCTGCTCTCGCCTGGAGCGCGGGGTGGGGAAAGACCTACCATGGCGGATGAAGTTTTTAAGTTGTTGTATTGTCGACATGGTGGGCGTGTGCGACCTTTGTCCCCCACTTGTTCTCTTTTTTTATTCTAGTCTGTGTTTTTTTAAGACAGAGATGGAGGGGCGCTCGATATAGCAGGGTCGGACGGGATGCTGCCGAAAAACTGGGGATCGGCAGAGCAGCGCAGCGGCGTGAAATACCGCCAAAAGAATAAAACGCCGGAAGATCTCGGACGAAGAGGAGGCTGCGCGCTGGATGCTCGGGAAACGGAAGAGGCGATGCGAGGCGACAACGACGGGCGATTTGCGACTGCACGAAATGGACGACGATGTTGGTGAATGAAAGGGGTGCTAGAACTGAATAGGTACGGCAGGAGGCCGGCGTGGTGGGGATTGCGGCGGATGGGGAGGTTTTAACAGGGCGGATGCGGGAAAGAGCAGGGTTTTGGGGCAAAAGCCAAAAGCCGGTAAGGTTCAAGACCGGACCAAGCTGGAAATAAAAGGCGAGCTCGTGGCGGGTACCTCAAGGTTGAACTCAATGACTGCAAAACCAAGGCACTGATGTGCAGAGGGGTGTAACCGATCAGTGGTAGTTAGGCGGGGGATAGCTTAAAGGACTTCCTAATGCGCCGTGTTCGTTTTTGCTCAGGCACCCGCTGTCATCATCGTTTTCATCATCGGGCAAATCTGGCTGAGCTCCGGGGGACTGGGAATGGCGAATGGGTCACCTGGTGAGCCTACCGCGCAGGCACACAAGCCTATGGATGGCAACCTCGAAGAAGCTGCCCGAGACACCTCGGGCAACAAACTTACTACGGATACGAATACTGCACTCTGTGACTATCTTACCTGTTACCTTGCTCGGCGGGGTCCGGAAGCAGCAGCCAGCAACTGCGGGATGCATGAACGTTTTGTTGTTCCAATGGACGGATGGATCAGAAAAACAGACGAGTCAAGTTTGCAGCGGGACGGAACGGATGGGAGACCACGGAGACCTCTTGCTCCCTCCCTCCCAATGCGCCGCACCATGGCACCACCAGGCCACCAAGAAAGAAAGCTTTCAAGGTCATGCTGCTTGGCGGAGGCGGGCAGTTGCCCTGGCTTTCACAGCTGGGCATTTCCAGATCTGCCAGATTGGTGCAAGGGGCCCTCGCAATGACGTAGTGCGCAGCGTCATGGCGCCTGGAGCGGAGATTAGCGCGGGCCTGGCATCAGCTGCGTCACCCCTCCCCCCAATGGGAAGCAGGCAGCGCTGTGGGTTCACAGGGGATTCTCCCATCCGCATCTGCGAGAAAGTTTGCTTTGCCCAAGCCTCGCAGTGCCTTGCCATGCTTGCCCGCAACCGTGCCGAGTGCTCCGGGGCGACGGCCTAGTCAGGCTGTCAGGGTATCGAAAAACACGCGATGGGGTGGTGACATTAATAATACTCGGGAATCCCACCATTTTCCGGCCAACGTTCCTTTTTTTTTTTTGCTGGGATTCGCACTCGCTCCCGCTCCTCTTTGACGACGGGATTTCTCCAGCTCCCTTTACCCCGCATCGTCACTGCCAAGACGGCAACGGCACACGCCCTGTCTTTTTCTGCTTCTCCGGCAGTCCGGCACGTCAGCGGAGGACCCTGAGTCGCGGCCTGCGGGCCGTCCAATACAGAGCTAAATAAAGCCCACGCCACTGTTTTTTTCGGCAGGTTCCAGCTGGCGGGGGGTCCTGAAGACTTGGCGGGGGGTCCTCGGCACCACTTCGGGGAAACCTGGCGGGGGGTCCAGAATTTTTGACCCCCCGCCAAGTCAATGAGTAATACCACTATTTTAGTTACAGGTAATTAAGTGAAATATTATAGCATATGTTCAACATATGGAAGAAAATATATAACCTTAATTCTAATTTTATTCCAATTTTAAAAAACTAACTTTAAAATTAACGTTAAAAATAATTAACTCTACTAAGCATATGCTGGGTATATGCCTTGTATATATATATAAGATATATTATATTCTAACTTTAACTTTATTCTTAATGTTGAACCCTAGAGTTCAGATTACTAGTGCTGTGGCCATCTGGGGGGCTCTACAGTACTGTAATTGAATTCGTATGGCCTGTAGCTATATACTGGTATCTTGGTTGTGGCGGTACGATTACTGGGTGGCTAGCTATCTTAGTTTGAAGAAGGTTGGTTCTTCTTTTCACTAAGTGTTAGTTTCTCCCGAATCGAGCTACCCTGCACCTACCCTGCACCTGGGTTTCCCAAGCGAGCTACCCTGCACCCGGTTGTTCCCAACCGGCCTACCCTGCACCTCTTGGCATCCCAAGCGACCTACCCTGCACCGGTGGTTGGCTCCCAAGCGGCCTACCCTGCACCGCTTGGCCCCAACCGGCCTACCCTGCACCGGTTTTTAAGGTAGTAGTGCAAGTGGGCCCGGGCACTTCTGGGTGCGGCTGCGAGCAGGTGAGCCCATTTTTAGTCAAACCTATACAAATGAGTTTTGCGGGATTCAGTTTTTTACCACTAAGACCGCTGGGCCGAATTCGGCACTGTGCCCCGGTCGGTGGGTATATGAGAAGGAAGTAGTAAATCCAACTCCAGTGGTTAAGATAGCAAATATAGAGGCATTCCCAAAACAATAGTGGTCTACCTACTAAATTAACCACTGTTATAGGGCCTAGGCCCTGTAATTACTGCTGGTAGCTAAGCAATAGTACTGTGCATTGCTTCCCCAAAGTGCATTGTAAGCCCTGTTAGTGTGTGCACTACAGGGCCTCACCCACCTAAATCTAATTACTTAATTTTATTCTTATTCTAATTCTTAAAAAAAACTAACTTTAAAAATAACATTAAAGCTAACTTAACATTATAATTAACCCTATAGGCATATGCCTAGCATATGCGATAAGATATACTCTAACTCTAATTCTAATTCTATTTTTAACCCTAACCTTATTCTAACCCTAAAACTAACTAACTTTAAAACAACCCTAATTCTAATAATTATAATTTTATTTTAGCTCTACATATGTATAGCATATGCCTAGATATTACACTTTAATACTGGTAATAAATAATCTTAATCTCGAGTGGTAATTAAGAAGACCTAGCGGGGGGTCGAAAAATCTGGACCCCCCGCCAGGTTTCCCCGAAGTGGTGCCGAGGACCCCCCGCCAAGTCTTCAGGACCCCCCGCCAGCTACAACCTCTTTTTTCGGGGGATGCGATGCATCATCTCGGTGGTGTGACCTCTCCTTGGGACGACCGCCGCTGCGACGACGATTGTTAAAATTACTCGTTCCCCGGTCTTTTTGTTATACACAGTAAACTCGAGACAAAATTAACTAGACAGTACACAGCAAAGCCATAGGTTGATGCCACCATTCCCAAGCTCGATTTGCAACTTGCACGAAACTCGTCAGGAACCCGGTGAAACAGCCCCAGTGAGCGTGACAAGCATGGGGCTGCCGCATGGAAAACTGTCGATCTGGTCTGGACCGAGGTCCGTCTCCCCGATGTCGACATTCACAAATTGTGGCTTGAAAAGAGGAGCCTGGACGTCATGACTATTGCGGTATGGAGTAGTACGGACAGTTGCTCAATATCACTCCACGCCCTGGGGACCCGCGGCTCCCGATCTGTTTCAAACCCAATGGATGCTCAACTCCTGTTGGGTCGATGAGGCCCATCATCTAGACTGACTCTCGCTGTCGCCTCGGCTTCGCAAAAGCCAAGGGACTGATGTGCAGACTTCCAGTTGGTCGAAGGAGCCAAATTGGAGGTTATGCCATGTAACCCCAGTTGCCGAAAATGGCTGGAGCAGGCCCGAGACAACGGCGGTATGGCGTGATATATCCAACCTTCTCCAACTTCTGGATTGTGTAGTATACACAGTCACACAGTGTACCCGAGCGTGCATCCATGCCGCCCCCGGGACACTGCCGTGACTGCTCCACACACAGAGTTCGGCTTTCCGAGCGCCTGAATCTCCACCGAGAAAGCCGCTCAAAACCCGCATTACCCCGGGGGTCCACCGGAGAACACGCGGCGCGGGGCCGATATGGTTTCCACTATGTTCGGCCGCTTCTGACTCCGCTCCGTCTCCTGCAAGCCGAATTTCTCACTACCACCGCAAGGAATACGATGGCGTACCACTGCACGGCATTTCCTTCCCCCGCTTTCACTAACCCAAAAGCAAGCCGTCCGAGGCCACAAATGGCTGGAATGTGTCCTGCCAAGCCTGCTGTCGTCAGCTAGACGGGCAAACACAATTACCGAGGCGAGTCGATGAGGTGTTAAACCATGACGGGAACCATCTTGCCATGGGCGACGGTGTTCCCTTCAAATATATTCGGCTGTTCTCCCCGTTCTCACGTCCCGTGCTCTGCTCCTCTCCACGGCAAACCAATCCCAATAATCTACAGAACCGGCAAAGCACTATGTCGATCCCCCGCCGTGTCCTCGCCGTCATCGGCTGTGGTGGCATGGGCCTGGCCACAGCCCGGCGTCTCGGGGGCGGCCGGAAGATCCTCCTCGCCGACTTCTCCCAAGCCAACCTCGACTCCGCCGCCAAAACGCTCGGGGACGACGGGCAAGATGTCGAAACCCACCTTGTTGACGTAGCCAACTTCGACTCAGTCCAGGCCTTCGCCACAGCCGCCGCCGGCGCGGGGCACATCGACGCCGTGGTGCACACGGCCGGCCTCTCGCCGACGATGGCGCCCGCCAAGCGCATATTCGAGGTCGACCTGCTCGGCACCGCCAACGTGATCGACGCCTTCCAGGACGTCATCCCGCCCGGCGCCTCCCTGACCTGCGTCGCGAGCGTCGTCCGCCTCCGCGAGAACCCTTCCCCGGAACTAGCCGCCTTCCTGTCCTCCGCGCCCCGCGACCAGCTGCTCACCACCAAGACCCTGCTCGACATCGACGCCGACGGCGAGGACGCCTTCGACCAGGGCACCGCCTACAGCCTGTCCAAGGCCGCCAACTTCCTGCGCGTGCAGGCCGCCGCCCGCCCCTGGGCCGCCCGCGGCGCCCGCATCAACTGCGTCAGCCCGGGCATCGTCATGACCCCCATGATCCGCCTGGAGATGGAGTCGCCCCTCAAGCCGGCCGTCGACGCCATGATCGCCGGGACGCCCCTGCGGCGCGCGGGCTCGCCGGACGAGATCGCGGGCGTGGTTGCGTTTTTGGCGGGGCCCGATGCGTCGTTCGTTACGGGGGCTGATATTGTGGTTGATGGTGGGTTTATGGCCGGCAGTCAGGGGACTTGGGTCAAGGAGGGGGGTAAAGAGGCAACCTAGGGCAGGGCTTGCTTGCGCGTCTTGTGTTGATCTTACTGAGTGATGATCTGAGCCTGGTTTGTTTGTGTTTGGTGTTTTTGGCCGGGCTTTTACACTCCTTGGTGGCTCAAATGAACGCCGCGTGGTCCACCACCCTGCGTCTTTTCCGCCCGTTTCCTGATCGCCAGAGCCACCGCTCTCATTCCCTTCGAGTTCCGGTCCTTTTCTTGGTAATGATAATCGTCTGGCCGATGACGGTAGCAGCTGATATGATCACTGCCTGAAATATATTGCCCATCCCGGGACAAGTCGGGAACCTCCCTCTGTCCATAGGCACCTTACACATTCTTATAAACTTTATCGTCGTCATCGCGGCCCAAACGAGACGAATCCCAGCGACCTGGTCTCTTCAATATTTTGGCCCACCAAAACACTAGCGTTCCCGTGCAGTGCCATGCCGAAGAGGTGCACTCGGCACGCGGCCGCGCAAGAATCCTACTGTCCCCAGAGTGAACCAGGCCCAGACCGACTGCCAAGCTGCGACCGGCCACCGACGTCCATGTGGGTTGGTGGAGTGACCGGCCCAGTTACCCCCCTTGTCCCCCAATGCAAGGTCGTCTCCCTCCGAGCTGCCCAGACGGGATTGGACGAGCCAAGCAGTCTTCCACTTTCGGTCAAGACTTCCCCAGTCTTCAACGGCTTCCCGGGATATTACCCGATCTTGGACCTCATTTGGACAAACAAGGGCACGCCAGTCCAAGACCACCCAATGGCCGGAAACGAGACGTTCCATGCTCCGGCTTGACCGCCAGGACCACTCACATTTTGGTAACACCCTCCAAGACACCCCTCCGATGCAAGCATGGATCGATCTGGCAGCGTGGGAATTCGGTGTTTCTCCCTACAGGCCAGTCATATTTGGTGTTCGGAAGAGCATGCTCCTGGATATCGAAGATGGGCAACATGGAGCAGGGCTCCTTGCCTCCCCGCCATCTGATAACTACGTGCTCAGTCCCAAGACCTCCTCCCTGTTTCCCCCTCCATCTTGGCCGTAACGATTCTGCATCTTGGATGATGCACGCCGCGAAGCTTGTTTCTCGTCACGGAAATCTGGCGGATCAGGAACAGCTCTTGGGAACCAGTGAGCTCCCAACATGACAGCGACAAGCATCGCCAAGTCGGCTGGCTTCTGGGCAGGTGGGCTTCTTCTTGGCCTGGGCATACCGTATCTCCCGAACCTCTCGTCTCCTCGGCTCGCGTCCTTGGTCGGCGACTTCCCCATCCCAGACTACCCCTTCGCCTTTCCGTTTTTCAAAGATCAAACAACGGCCGCGGCCTCACCTCCCGAGAACGCACCATTCGTATGCGACACTTCCCACACCTACCGAACCGAGCTGGTCTCGCTGGACCCCCTAATCATCTACATCCACAACATCATCACGCCGATCGAGATCGCCTCCCTCCTCGAGACCGCGGAGCCGAAGTTCGCCCCGTCCCAGGTAACCAAAGGCGGGCGGAAGCAGCACACATCGGACCGGACCTCGAGCTCGGCCGGCCTGCCGCGCGACGACCCGGCCGTGCGGTGCGTGCTCGACCGCGCGCGCACCTTCCTGGGCACCATGATGCGGGACGGGTGGGACGAGATGGGCCCGCCGCAGCTGGTCCGCTACAGCGAGGGCCAGAAGTTCAACGTCCACCACGACTGGTACGAGTACCCGCAGTGGGCGCCCGACGGCAGCACCCGCAAGTGGAACCGCGTCGCGAGCTTCTTCGCCATCCTGGAGGACAATTGCACGGGCGGGGAGACGCATTTCCCCTATGCGCAGCCCATAACGACCCCGAGTCCGAAGGGTGAGATTATGTGGCGGGGTGGGGTGGCTCAAACGGAGGGGGAGGAGGAGGAGGTCCGGCCGCTGTGGAGGGAACACGAGGATGGGGGGTTGGCGTTCAGACCGGTTGCTGGGAACGCGGTTTTCTGGGTGAACCTGCATGCGAACGAGACCGGGGACCCGCGGACGAAGCATGCTGGTCTACCATTGGAATCAGGGCGAAAGACGGCTATGAATATCTGGCCAAGGCGGTACTACTCAACCGACTAAGGATAGATACAATGAGGATGCAAATACAGCGCGAGCATCCTACCAAGCACTGGCAGCGATATTATGCTACCCCTATGCCGACCAGGCCTTCTCGCCATCGAACCAGGTCTCAACTACCTTTGCTTCCATGAGCTTCTCCTTTTCCCACTCCATGTCGACCACTACAAAGTCGGCCTTATGCCCCTTTTTGAGAACCCCTATCCTGTGGTCATCAAAACAGCTGTACGCCGCGCCCTCTGTCCCCGCAGCCACCGCCTCGCACAGCCCGAGCGAGAAATGGGGGTTCACCGTCCTCTCCATCTCGGGCTCCCGATACGACCTCCTCGTAGTTCCGACGTAGATGTTCCCCAATGGCGTATGCGGGGCGGTAGGGGCATCACTCCCGAGCGCAAGCGGCGCGCCTAAATCAGAGAACTCGCGGTAAGCGAAAGCCCGTCCACACCTGTGCTCGCCCAGCAGCTTCGGCCACGCCTTCAGAATGGCTGGGTCGGCATGAACCGGTTGGATGGATGCGGTAATGCGCCCCTTTCCGAGGCGAGCGGCGTCCTCCTCGGTGGTGAGCTCGAGATGTTCCACGCGGGGCCGGCGTTCCGGACTCGCAAACTTGGTCAGGATATCCACTACCATCTTCATGGTTGCATCCCCGATAGCATGGAGTGCGATCTGTAACCCGGCCTCATCCGCCCTCCGCACAACCGGCTCCAGCTGCTCCGCCGTCCACAGCGGCACCTCGGTATGCCCGTTATGCGCGTACGGTTCCGACAGCCCTGCCGTGCAAGCATCGACAATCCCATCACAGATCACCTTGATCCCCACGATCCTACAGTCCGGCGTCGTGTCGGCATTGAACTCCCCCGCCAGCTCGATCGCCCTCTCCACCTGCTTCAGCATATCCCTCTCCTCCTCGCACGGCTTCACCAACCAATACGCCGCGATCCGCATCGGAATCCTCCCCTCCCTCTTCCCCCTCAGCGCCTGCAAGGCATCCCACCCCCCCTCATCCATCGCCATATCCACCATGCCCGTATACCCCGCCTCATGATACGCCGCCACCGCCGCCTCAATCGCGCCCATCCTCTCCTCCACACTGGCCACACTCGCCAGATACGGCCACACATACGTGATATTCGCCGCCTCACTAAACACCCCGACCAACCCGCCCCCCTCATCCCTCTCAATCACCCCCCCGGGCACATCCGCCCACTCCTTCGCGCCGAGCTCCTCCATCCCGGCCGTATTACACCACGTCGAGTGCAGATCCTTGGAATCCACCAGCACCGGCCGATCCCGCCCCGGCACGTCCAGCCCATCCAGATCCGACGCGCGCGCCCCGTGGGGGGTCATGCTGTGCATCCAGCCGCGGGCCAGCAGGCGCGGCGCGTGCGGGTGGGCGGCGGCGTGCGCGCGGATGGCGGCCTGGATGGCGGGCAGGTCGGTGCAGCGGCCGAGGTCGAGCTTGTTGAGGGCTTGCCCGAGCAGCATCAGGTGCATGTGCCCGTCGACGAAGCCCGGGAGGAGGGTGCGGCCCGCGAGGTCGTGGATTGTGGTGGTGGAGGGGGAGGCGAGAGCGGCGGTGATGGGGGGGTCGGTGGCCGTGCCGACGTGCGAGATTTGGGTGCCGTGGATGAGCATGCATGATGCGAAGGTGGGTTGGCCGTGCAGGCCCGCGTTGGTGCCGGGCTGCACGCCGGACTGGAAGATCTTGCCGTTGGTGAAGAGGTGGGTTGCCATGGTGCCGGGTTTTGGGACGGCTCGTGCTGCTGAGACTGAGAGTGACGTCTGGGTTGACCGGGGTCTGAGAGCGGAACGGAATGTGAGGTTAATGTGAGGTTAATTTGTTAATATGCAGTGGGTGTGTTTGCTGGTGTAACAGTTCTGGGCTGGGCGGTCTTGGGCACCGGCGCATCTATGTAGGGACCATCCATCTGGTCTGATCTGATAAGCCGAGCGGCATGTTCCTGAAAGTTCCTAGTGCGGACCCCCTCCACCACTCTTGTCTCAGAACTGCCCACCAAGAGGTGGACTCGGGGGAGCGGGGTTGGGCTGGGCCGAGGACCGGAGCATCGGGCCAGGGGCTGATCATACTCCAGCAAGAGATACGAGAACAAGTCCCCAACCCGGCCAAGAGGGTGATCTTGCTCGAGAGCCGCATGTGGCCGAGATATTTTTAACGCGAGCTAACTACACTAGAAGTGGACTGAGCTTGTAGTCTTTGACTCATAGTTTGCAACCCAGCTACCTAGTGAGGACGAGAAGGGGATATTAAAGCATGTCAGCTATTGATTGCTTTTCAATGTAGATAAGTCTAAATAAAAGTTATATTAGGGAGTCTTTCTTATACTAATTGGTCATCGTAATATAGCCCAACTACCACCGTTGCCAAGAGTTCCGTTCAAATAAGGGGTAGCCCCTGAGGCTCCAGACCAATCCAAATAAAACCACACTTTCGCCTCCCAACCATCACATACGACCATACCTACTTGAAGAATGGTGATTGTGTTTTCCCATAAGTGGGGCCTTTATAGGCCGCTTAACCCTAAAACTATATTAATCGATAAACGGTAGTAGGAAAGTAGTAACTAACTCTCACTGTAGCCGGCGAGCCACGCTGAAACTATCTGGGTGATGATAATGGGTGTTACATGATATATCACATAGCCGCCACCCTTTGTAGCAAAGACGCTCTGAGCAGCCAATGAACTGGAAGAACTGCAACGGCGATAACAACGACAGGCGGCACGCTGCGTACGAGATCCCCGGTCCTCCCAACTTCATGACAACGGATTTGTTGGAGCGTCACGCATTGATCGTTTTGGCTATCACCCAACTTAACCCGTCCACCTCCTCCACTCTTCATCCCCCTTCAAAAGCTCCATATCCTCCTCCTTTAAACAAATCACCAACAGAATCTCCCCGCTCGGATGCTTCGGCAATAAATACCCCAGTCCCTCGACGGCAACGAACACTGGCCTCCTCACCGCAGCAGGAACCCCCAACTCCATCCCGAAATCCATCTCATAGCAATCTACACCGGCACCAGCCCATGAACTAATCATGATGTCACGGGAGGGATTGATGTTCGCTCCCATAGAGATGCTCCCCTTGCCGGGGGTTCGATGGAGAAGTGCGGCTAGTGTGCGCGTGTACAGTCCGATCCGAGATGTGGCGGGGTCCACCTCGTGCCGAAGCTCCGACGCGAGTACGCCCAGGGGTATTGAGATGATTTCTTGGATGGAGTGAGAGTGGTAGACCATGTTGTTCAGGAGGCCGGGATAGGTCGCAGGGATTTTGAGGTACCGGCGGGCGTCGACAGCGCGGCCCAGCGTGCACGTGGCGCTTGAGTCATTTCGAAGGCGGTAGTATCGAGCGCGGGTGATAGACTGGAAGATGAACGCGGTGAGCGTGTCGTCGGTGGAGATTTTCTTGCTGGTGGCCGTTTCCAGAGCCGCTGCCTTGAGCGCAGCAAGAGATTGCCCCGAAAACGAAAAACTCGCCCAAACCGCTGGCGATACCACTTGTTCCACCTCTTCATCATGCCGAGTCGCATCCATGTCGGCCGCAGGTGGCATCTTCACCGTCTGCCTCCCGAGCTGCTCCCTCGGCCCCTCCTCGTCGTCCCTTAAATCGGGAATAACCCCATCCCGCTCCCTGTTCGCAACCTCCACCTCCGCCTCCGGTATCTCCTCCCCTCGACACACCCTATCCAGCATCTTCATAACCTGCACCTGCCCCACCAAATCCATAACTTGATGTTGTCCTACAAACGTGACCAATATCCCTCCCTCAACATGATTCAACTGCACTGCAAACACGGCCGTTGGCTCATCCAGATTCGCCCCCGCCATCCCACCGGGAATGGTCATATAGGGCGCTATGATTCTCTCGTCGAGTAGTTCCATGGGGAAATTCCGTTTCCGCAGCTTCTGCATCGTTGGCGCGGATGGGTTCCCACGAAGATCACGGATGAGCAGGGGCGGAGCATCGCGCCAGGAAGCGAGCTTGTAAACTCCAGAGTTTCCCGGCTCGGTTGACGACTCGTGGATGATTTGTCCTGCGAGCCACGGGATGCGCCGTGCTAGGGTTTTCAGGCCTTGAGCGAGGGTGTCGACAGCTGATTGGCGGGTTGCATTTGCGTTTGAGTTGTCGGCGAGGGAATAGCAGAGGCAGAGCTGTGTGTAAATGTGCAGGTGGGGTGGCTGGCCGATGATGTCGAGGTTGAATTGTTTCATGGCCATGGTGGAATTTGGGTACAACCAGATGGGGAGTGACAGACTCGAGTGGTGGAGTTGAGTGAGAGGTCGACATGAGGCCGAGACCATTGGTTATTTATCAGACCCCGCCCCCGCATTTCAGGGGGTCTGCCAAATAAATTTCATTATGATTTATTATGATTCATCCTGCACCTGGTCACCCTGAAGACGGAGTAGTAGTTAGGAAAAGCTGTATTGATGGATATTCCATCTACACAGAGAGCTGATAAAGATGATACATTCTATGCTCTTAAACTGGTGTAAACAATAGGAAACGGTGCAAAAGGTTAGGTAGTGGCCGGTCTTTCCGGCGTCAGATGCATCCCATTTTCCGGAACTCATCATCCCATTTCCTAGACTCCAGGGCTCCCAAATTCGGCATACTTTACACCTACGACCAGGAAGGGGGTTCGAGAATCGTTCGTTGCTCATCCTTGCAAAGGCCTTCTCACATAGTGCTCTACAGTGAGGCTCCTGAACAAGAAATAGTCTTAATAGAGTTTCACCCGATTAATTTATCATGCGTCATTTGATCGTTGGCTTGGGAGCGGAATTCGTCATCGAAGGTCGCGACAGACTCGATCTCGTCATGCTGCCATTCCGTCTCGACAAAACCGTCTGCAGCCGGACGACCCCTACTTTCTGGGAGAGAAAACTCGGGTGACATTGTAGAATTTTGCAGATCTTCCTGATGCGTAACCGGAGTCCTGTTCGGAATCATTTAGTTGGCTCCCTGATATATTAGCCTGGCCTTCGTCTAAACGCCGATGCAGTGCCCGGCCGTACAGGGCGTCAGCCTTAGCAAGCTGGCCCTGAGCCCGATAGATGAGGACCAGGCTGTTGACGGTGTCGAGCATTGACGTGTGGTCCGGCCCGAGCGCCTTCTCGAGGGCCTGCAGCACGCGATTGTAGAACGCCTCGGCCTCGGCAAGCCGGCTCTGGCTTTTGTAGAGATTGGCCAGGTTGTTGAGAGTCGAGAACGTCGATGTGTGATCCGGCCCAAGTGCCCTCTTGTAGCTCTGCAGCGCGCGATCGTACATGGCCTCGGCCTCGTTGAGCCGGTTCTGGCCAGAGTAAAGATTGGCCAGGTTGCTAACGATATCGAACGTCGAAGGGTGGTCCGGCCCGAGCGCCTTTTCGTAGCCTTGTAGCGCGCGATCGTACATGGCTTCGGCCTCGACAAGCCGGCCCTGGCCTTAAGGCCCTGGAGCTCCCTGCATGACGGAAGAATCTCATCAATTTGACGCTATGGCATGACTATACTCTCGAAAAGAAAGAGAGAGAAAAAGACAAGCGCGACCAAGTCAAACAAAGTTGTTGGTTCCTCGTCTCGACCGTGTGGTCCCTCTGCCCCGCGCTCTGATGCTTGAAAGCAACTCCTATTCAGCTGAGAACTTTGTTTCACGGTGCCAATGGTCACGGCCATGGCAACGGTGAGGTATGTAACTACTCGACTAGGCACTACAGATGAAGATCCTGAACCTAGAGGTGAAAGAGGGAAAATAGCAAAGGCAGGAATGCAAGATCTGCTGCACTATCTTCTGGCCTATAAAGCCAATATGACAAAGCCCTGGTGCTGTGGCAGAGTGCCCTTCGGGCGAATCCCGAGCTTCAAGCATAGTCATCGCTTCACCATAGCAATTATACTCGTTTCTATGGCCCACGCCGAGTTTTACCAGAAGGATTTCGTCGGCGGAAGACAATTCTGGCAAGCGGCATCGGAGATTCTGAAGTCTGAAAAGCGCGACTATTGGATTCCGCTACTACTTTCACATTTACCAACCTGACAATGATGGGAAGTGATTGCGACCGCCTTAGTCAACTGCATCGAAGCACCCTGAAGCCGCACGCAGGTTCCTCGTCCATCCGAGTGGTCGGGGAATCTGAAGATTCTCTCCCCGGAACGAGAATCCTGCGAGGAGTTTCTTGCTCATCCTCAACTGCCGGTATAGGTAGATATGCCTCCGGAATAAAAATCGAGCGAGCTGCTTCGCGCCTGAACTGAGATGACAAAGGTGCTGCGGGCTTGCTGCTAGCGTACCCTTCGAAGGGTTTTGCTGGAAAAAACGGACCAGGAGCTTCGTGCTCAACTCGGCTGAGGCGAGCCTCAGTCGCTTTGAATCCCTATTAGATATCATACCTGGGGACTTCATTCGATCTGGCGTTTTTGAAATAGAAACGCCCTTCCCAGTTACTGATCGGGCCGCTTCTCACCTCAGCATCCTGTTCAGAGCGAACCGGCGAGATTTTGCTCGTAGGCGATTCTGGTCTGGCCGGGTCACGGGTGGCATGAGTGCTTTCGGGTCCCTCGGGGCCTCGTCTGCCAGTTGTATGCTTAGGTCTCCGTTTTCGTCCAAGTCCTGTCGGGGGCTGACCTGCTGTGCGAGGCTAGAAGTGTCGGGATTGGCATTATGATTGGTAATTTGGTATCCAGAACTCTGATATTATGATCTCCGAAGAAGGCTGTTATCACGGTATGAAGACGAATTCTGAATTTGGCTGGCGACGCTTAGTATTGGACAACTTCGCTAAGAACGCACTTTCTTGCAAGGTCTAGAATGTACCCGTAAAAGGCCTTTCCGCTCGCTAGTTGGTCATCTCTAAGTTGGGACATTGTGATTTAGGCCCCGGGTTCTGAGACTGGGCTTGTCCCAACGAAATCTTGGTGGACCAGTGTTGAACCCTAGAGTTCAGATTACTAGTGCTGTGGCCATCTGGGGGGCTCTACAGTACTGTAATTGAATTCGTATGGCCTGTAGCTATATACTGGTATCTTGGTTGTGGCGGTACGATTACTGGGTGGCTAGCTATCTTAGTTTGAAGAAGGTTGGTTCTTCTTTTCACTAAGTGTTAGTTTCTCCCGAATCGAGCTACCCTGCACCTACCCTGCACCTGGGTTTCCCAAGCGAGCTACCCTGCACCCGGTTGTTCCCAACCGGCCTACCCTGCACCTCTTGGCATCCCAAGCGACCTACCCTGCACCGGTGGTTGGCTCCCAAGCGGCCTACCCTGCACCGCTTGGCCCCAACCGGCCTACCCTGCACCGGTTTTTAAGGTAGTAGTGCAAGTGGGCCCGGGCACTTCTGGGTGCGGCTGCGAGCAGGTGAGCCCATTTTTAGTCAAACCTATACAAATGAGTTTTGCGGGATTCAGTTTTTTACCACTAAGACCGCTGGGCCGAATTCGGCACTGTGCCCCGGTCGGTGGGTATATGAGAAGGAAGTAGTAAATCCAACTCCAGTGGTTAAGATAGCAAATATAGAGGCATTCCCAAAACAATAGTGGTCTACCCACTAAATTAACCACTGTTATAGGGCCTAGGCCCTGTAATTACTGCTGGTAGCTAAGCAATAGTACTGTGCATTGCTTCCCCAAAGTGCATTGTAAGCCCTGTTAGTGTGTGCACTACAGGGCCTCACCCACCTAAATCTAAATAGGTTATGAGCCCGGAAAAGTACTATTTCCAGCTGTAGGCTTATAAATTGCCCTGCAAATTAGAGCCTTTGAACGCTATAAGCTTAGCCTGTTTCTACTGCTTGTAGCTTGGAATCCCTGAATTCTTCGTTTCTCCAAGCTAGAAACCACTATAGGAACTTCGACCTATAGATAGACCTCCTAGTGCAAGGTCGTCAACTATACTAGATAGCTGACAGTTAATATAGAGCTTCTGGGGGCCTATATTTTAACTTTTCCAACAAAGCCCGAAACGTTGGTTTTCTCAAAGAGATAGAAAAATCTAGCTTAACTTCGAAAGCTAGGGGTTATTATACCCACTGAAGGTACTATATTTATAGGCCTTCCCAACAGCCTGATCAACTGTATTGGTTCTACCGATTCTAGTAGGTAGGTAAAACGTAGTACCTCAAGGTACTAACTACTGCTGTAGCCAGTAGTTGTAGTTAAACTACGTAAAACAAGGACCTCTAAGAGCCGCACTGAGTAGAACTTAAGGCCCTAACAACCCACTGTAAGGTTGTTGGTCTAGGTAACTAGACTACCACTATAAGAGCGAATAGTGGTTACGCTATATCAAGGCTAGTAGCGTGTAAAAACTTACTGTGGTTACAGTATAGAATATAACCCGGTATTTTATACCGTTGAAGTCCTAGACCTATATAGTGGCATAGGCCCTATAACTACAGCGAAGGTAGTAATAGGATAGTGCTTACCAGCCTACGGCAACTGGTATAGCCGCTGTAGCCTACGGGCCTGTACAGAGGCACCATGGCACAGCCTGGGGGCGCTGGGAGCCCCCAAGCCCAAATAGAGGAGTTGCAAACCCGATTAGAGGCCCAGGCTACCCAAATGGCACAACTGCATGCCACTATAGCTACGTTGACGGATAGTTTACAACAGTTTACTGTTCAACAACAACAACGGCCCCAGATGCCTACCGAACAGCAGCTTACAGAAGCTATTGCTTCTGAAGTAGAAAATAGAGTAAAGGCCGCTTTACAGGCCCAACAGGCCCGTAATACTAGCCAGGGCCCTCCGGAGCCACTAGTAGTACCACCTTATACGGTACCACTACCAAATACAGTGCCTCCAAGCCCTGCCCTACAACCCACTATACCGCAAGACAATTTGAACAGTGGGTTGGTAAAAGAACTGTCAAGAAAGGTGTACGATTTCCCTGAAAATCTACGCCTTACAGGGCCAGATAACTTCGATATCTGGAAACAGGGCCTAAATATCATGTTTAGGGCTATCGGCATACCTACCTTTCCTTCTAACCCAGAGGGATTTATAGGGGGTAGCGACCAAACGTTGGCTCTACTTCTAATGCTGTTACGGAACAGTATAGGCCCTGGACCACAGGCCGCCATAGCCTGGCAAACAGACCCTGTAGCGGCCTATAGGCTTCTAATACTACGGTATTCGCACTCCACTGGAATTCAACGGGACCAACTATATAGGAAGTTCCACGAGTTGGATTTCAGTAAATTTAGTGGATCTTTAGCGGATTTCAACGCTGAATTTTCCAACTTGGCTAGCCGGCTAACCCTAAACGGGGTTGAAATACAGCCTATAGACCAAGTGAACCACTACTTAAAGGCTATGGAAAAAGCCTTCCCACAGTGGGCTGAACGGCAACGTAGTCAAATGCGGGCCCTGAGGACAGTTGGCCAAGGTGTTGAAAACCTGAATTTGAGCTTCTTAATAGCCGACCTTCTGGAAGAGCATAGAATTCCAGCCTCTACTACCAATAAAGGTATGGCTAATAGGGCCTACGGCGAAAATAAGGGTGCTAAAGGCCCCTATAAAGGCCCTAAAAAACAGGGGAAAAAGGGTCCCCAAAGCCAACAAAATACCAACGGCAGTAGTGGGAATAGTGGTCAAAACGGCCAAAAGAAGAAGAAGAAGAAGGGTCAGGGTTCAAATTCCAGTTCGAACCACAGTACCCAGCCCGATTCCTTTGCCTGTATTACAGGGGCATACAATATCACTACAGGGCACTATAGTGATAGTAGCGAAGATAGTAGTTCTGAATCCGATTCAGATACTGAAGAACTACCTTCTTTCTTCAATGCTACCCACCAGGCCTCAAAATCTACCACTAAACCAACTAGTGGGAAATCTTCGAAGCCAGCCTGTAAAGATCACTGTAGCCACCAGGTTACCTCTGATGCTCTACTCTATGATACTGGTTCCACAGACCATATCATAAACAATAGGAAATGGTTTACCAGTTTTACTAAAAATACTGGTCAAATACCACCTATTTATACAGGTGGTGGCCCTGTAAAACCCAAAGGTATTGGAACTGCAAAGTTCAAAGTACTGGTCCAGAAGAGTCCCCCGAAATACTTAGAGTTGGTCCTTAATAAGGCCCTCTATATACCCTCTATAGATATCAATCTATTTAGTGGGATCCGGCACTATAAGGCCGGAGGCTATTTGGACCGGGAAACGTTGAAAGGCCCTACAGGGTCTACCATTGCAGCTCTGGACTTCCAGAGATCGGGCTTCTTCCTTCAAATTGAGGGTCACCTTCGGCCAAGGCTCTACCTTACTAGCTATATTAATATAGTTGGTACAGGGTATAGCCTAGCCCAAACTACTAAAGATTTAGTGGTTGAACTACCTTCTAAAACCCAATCTTGGAAGGATAGTTATACTAGGTACGATGACAACGAACCTAGTAGTGTAGAGCTAGATAGTAGGGGTACTATCGGCTCTTCAGGGCCATCGA